AACCTAAGACTAAGCTAAAAGCTATCTAAGAAGTAGGCAGGTTTGTTTAAAGTACTTAAAAAAGTAAGTTATTTCTATTAACTAAAACTACTAGCTAACTTAAAGATTTATAATGTTTTCGCCTTAAAACTGCTTAGTAAAGACTCTAGAGATCCTCTACCTAGATAGGCACTACTTAAGCCTCTAGCTACCCTAATTAATAGTGTAGAAAAATAGAAAGTTAGTAAAATCTTAGCTAGTAAACTAGTGTGTTCTACACTTAAATATTGCGTTAGTTAGCTTAAACACAACCTTAATTCTACTTAGTACTCTGCCTTTAACTTTATAAGTTTTCTCTATAAGCTCTAAAAATACTATAATAGATATCTAAATAAGCTAGAACCTCTAAGAGCTTTAGCTAAATAGTTACAAGCATAGAAATTAGGCTTAAATAATATAAATTACTTAAAAGATAATAGAGTTAAGTAGGCACTATTATTTATTAAGTATTATAGTAGTTACATGTCTAAGTTACCTCTAATTCTAAACGCTAAAAACAAATTCTAGTAGCCTAGATTTTATTAGCCTAGTTGCTAGCCTAGCTGCTACTAAGCTAAGCTTAACTTTTGCCTTTACTAGCAGCAGCAGCTATGCTAGCATCTAGCTTAGCTAAACGCTTGTTACAAGCAGCTTTCTTAGCCTTATAGTAAGTAGCTTTCTTGCTAAGCAACTTACTCTACTACTAAGTTTAGTTTTCTAGCTTGTACTCTACAGGCATATCTAGGTTTAAACTTTTAGCTTTTATATTACTAAAGCCTAAGCTTAACTTACCTCTGCAAGAAAGCTTAGTTAAAGTTAACTTAAGCTTGCGCTTTTTATTAGCAAGATTATAAAGAGAGCTAGTTATAAGCTTTTGCTAAGCTATCTTTAGTGCAGCCTTACTACACTTATATGTAAACTCTATAGCTATAGCTTAGCTAAAATTAGCCTATATCTTCTTTACAGTTAAATCTACTCTAGCTATATACTAAGTAAGCAGCTCTATATCTGCGCGCAAGCTGTAGAGCGCAGTTATAATAGCTACTAAAATATTTTAATTATTATAGTTTTTTATTTAGGCGCAACTTACTAGAACTATGTTTAAGCAGTTTACAGCAGCAGCTTAGTAAGTTTTAAAGGCATCTTAGTAGCGCTTATTATTATTATCTATAGTAGTATATAAGTTATAAGTAACTATAAACGCGCAAAACTCCTTATTAGCATAAGCTAAAACTTATAAGTAAAAAGTTAGCATTAGATCTAAATTAAAGTAAAAGAGATATATAAACTAGCACGCAAAGCTTATTTTTAAAAATATAGTAGTTGCACTTCCTGCTATAAACTAATATAAACTTATAGTTTACTTTATTATTCTTTTTACTTTACTTAACACAGGCGTACTACTAGATGCAGCAAATATATATAATATAGTAAGCAACTGCAAAAGCACTAAGTAGAATAGAAATAAGCATAGTAGTATAAATAAAATAGATAGTATAAGAAAAAAATAGTAGAAAAGTAGTATAATCTGTTACAGGCTTAACAAGATACAAATTGTAAGTTAAAAAAAAAAGGTTTAAAACTAAAAAGCGCGCAGCTTTTATGCTTAAAGGCGCTAAATTACTTTTTAGTACCCTGCACTTAAATAGGCAGTAATGCTAAGTAATAGCGTAAGTAAGTTAATTCTAGTATAATATAACAGCTAGAAAATTTACTTTACAGCTTATTACAATAATTTTTAGTATTATAAAACTTAATTTAGATACCTATTAAGTATTATAAAGATATAACAACTTACCTACAAAACTATTTTAATATTATAAATTACCCTTATCTTACTTTAAAAAACAACAACTATTACTAATAAAAATATTAGTTTTACAAATAGAGGGTAATGTAACATAACGCTATATACTTAGGCTATACTTAAAGGCACTTTAAGTTATTATAACAATAGCTTAACCTGCTACTAGCTACATTTAGGTTAAGCTCTAACCTAGCTACACTCTACTTAGGTGCTATTTAGCAATAGCTTAGCTTTTTAACAAAAAGCACTTTGCATACTACTTTTAAATATATATATAAAAAATTAATCTATCTCCTACTTGTATCTAGAACACTACAGATACTTATAATAATTAAGAAACGCTACTTAGATGCTTGCTAGCAACTATAGGTATAAGAACTATAAATAGTTTAACTTTAGTTAGATAGTTTTAATTATTCTTCTGTATAAAACTTATAAAAATTTAGTTTCTTCTTCTTAGCACTTCTTACCTTATGTAATTTATTATTTAAGGTAACCTGTAGCTATACTAGAGATGTACTAAGCCTGTATTGTTACATACTACTAAAAACTTAAATCTAAAGTTAAGAAAAAACTTATAAAATTTAAAATTATACTTAACTTAATAAAAAAAGTTTATAAGAAAACTATTTATATTAATGATAACTTATTTAAGTTAGCTAAAAAAATAAAAAAAGTTTATAATTATAAAAGTATTTATAAAAAAACTTAAAAAGCTATATACTACTTTTTTTAAAAAGAGCGTAGTATTTTTATCTAACTTAAAGTTAAGTATACTAAAAAAATAAATTAAACATGTAATATTAATGCTATATTTTTATTTAAAGCTAAAAATAATAGTAAAAAAAAAAAGTATAACAAAAAAAATAAAAACTTTAAAAAAATTACTTACTATAAATATAGCAAAACTAGCTATATAGCTAAACACTATTAATTAAAAAATAAAGTTACACGCTTTATTTATATAATAACTAAGTTTTTATACTTTAAAAAAAATAAAAGTAAATTAAAATAAAAAATTCTAAAACTTATACTAAGTAAAAAATAACTTATAGTAAATAAACTAAACTTAAAAAATAAATTTAAGAATTATAAAAAAGCACTACTATTTAAATAATACTAAGTAAAATAGAGCGTTTAATAAACTACTATATAAAGTAAAAATAATTAATAAAAAAAAGTAATACTTATATTTAGCATAATAGTTTTAAGTTAAAAACTTTAAAAAGTATAATATATTTTATAAGTAAGTTACTAACTTAAGTAAGTTACTAATACTTAACTAGTACACTACTTGCGTAATAATAATATATAATATTTTAACTATAACTTACTTAAAAAACTTATACTAAAGCTAATTTATAGCTTATTATTTTTAATATTAATTTATAATATATTTAAAACCTTAATTAAGTTATAACTATATATAATATACTTTAAAAAACTTTTATTAACTAACGCGCTAAAAAGTATATATAATATAACTATAAAATAAACTTAAAGTGCTTAATAAAACTAAAAAAAAAAGCTATAGTTTAAAAAGTTATTAAGTATTTTACTTAAAGTTTTATACTTTTAAAGTTTTATATATAAAAAATAATAAATAAACTTTTTAAATTATAAAGTAGTAACTTTATTAGTAAAAACTAAGTTAATAACTTTATTAAGTAGACTTTTAAGCTCTATATATACTAGAGCTAACTATATAACTATTAGTAAGCTACTTATAAAAATTCTATAGCTATTTAGCGCTAGTTTAACTTAGTATAAGTAATAAAATAAAAATAAAATTTTTTTAATAATAATATTTATAACTTTAATAAAACTATCTTTATTATAAGCAAAATATTATTATAAATAGTTATTATAAGCTTAAAAAAAGTAAAAAAAATAAAAAAACTCTAGCTAAGTAACTATAAGTAAGTAACTATTATTTAAAGTATTAAAGCTATAAATTACTTACTTTTACTTTTTATTATTTTTATAAGCTGCATGCTTATTAACACTTAGTTTAAAAACTTATTATATAATTAAATTTTTAAAGTAAGCTTTAATAGCTAAATAAATAACTAGCTTACTTTTACTTAGTTAAAGTACTTTAATAAGTATATAAAGTTAAGCGCTATAAATATATACTACTTACTTATAATTAATAGCTATAAAAGCTATAGCTTACTTAAATTTTAAAATTTTTATAAAAAAAAAAATTTTTATATACTTTTATATTTATTATACTTTTTATAACTTTTTAATATTAGCTATTTTATACTATTAAAGTATAAGTATAGTAACTAAATTTTAGCTTTAGCGCGTAACTATATATACTTTATTAATAAAAAAGCTTTTTTTAAGCATTTAAGCTAGCTTTTAAATAAGCTATAATAATAAAAAATATTAAAGTAAGCTTTAAAAGTACTAGACTAGTTTTATATAACTTAAAAGCTATTATATTAAAGCTTAATATAAAGTTATAAAGTTTAAAATAATTATTACTAAAGTAAAGTATATAAAAAGTATAAATACTACGCAACACTTATAAAATTAAAGTATAAGCTATACTTATTTAAAAAAAAAATTAAAACTATTTTAAGTTTTTTATAAGCTTATTAAATAAAAAAATTTACTAGCTAAGTAAAAGTATATAGTAAATTATATATAATATAGTATTATTATAAAGAAAATAAGCGCGTATATAAAGCGTAATTAATAAGCTTATAAGGTATTAATTAAGAAAATAAAAGTATATTTAAATAAAAAAAACTTTAGCTATAAAAAAAGTAAAAAGTATAATACTAGTAAAAAGCTTATACTTAAAGTACGCAGTATAAAGTACTATAAGTATTATAATTAAAAAAAATATAACTTTTATACTTATAAAGTAAAAATAGTAAATTTTAAAAATAATAATAAGTTTAAAAAATAAATTAGTTTACTATAATTTTTAATTAATAGTATTATATATTTATAATAGTTATATATAAGTAGTGCGCTAGTTAAGTATTAGTAACTTACTTAAGTTAGTAACTTGCTTATAAAACACGTTACTTATTTATTAATATATATATATAATATATAGCGCTTAATAAAACTTTAGTTAGTAGTTTTTTATAGCTATTATAGCTTAGTAGTATTAGTGCACCCCTCTAGAGCTCTTATAGCTATCTTCTTTAGGCTAACCTGTTGTTATCCTGCACTCGTGCCTAAACGGATAAAATATAGAGCCATGCCTGCTTCCGCGCAACTTTTCCCCTCCCCCCTTCCCTCGCCTTGACCTCGTTCTCTTTGATTTTAACTTTGTTCTAGAATCAGGAAATAAGTTACGTCTATGATGCTGGGAGTCGCGTAAATCGTCGGGATCAATCCCGATGTAGTGAGCGAGAGTTGGTTCATGTGCATAACATCGATCCACACCCCTGTAGAAACGATCCTTGTCTCGACTCATGGGATATCAGCCTATTGGCTTTTTCTGTTCCTCTAGAGACGGGATAGAAAAAGGCTTATTCGAAATATCCAAGAGATCAACTTGTATCCTTGTACATTTCATCATCCCAGTCTCCGGGGCACATTGGACTGCGCTCTGGAATCCGGAAAAGGGACGGAGAAGGGGGGAGAGCTACCGGGTCAATGGAAACGATTTTGGATGGTGGCGATTCCGGACGAGTCTCTTTTTTTCATATATTATATCGGAGAGTAGTTTTCGGAGTGGGAGGACCCAGTTCCCCGGCTCGTTTGACTCTGTATACTGGATTTTTGTTCGAGAGCGAGGGCAGTTTTCACGATTGGCAATTCAGGGTTGAAAAGAGGAATTGGGATTCCCACGACATACATACACGCACGCACGCATACTTCTACGTGTCAGCGAGGCTCGTTGAAGATTTGTTCGGTGAAGGAATTGGAACGAGGCTGTTTGGATCGCTAATTGGGTTCTGGGACTACGCTGTCTAAGACTCCAAGACACTTTCACAATGGCGTATCTAGTGGTCGCTACTCTTCTTGCGCTGCACAGTGCCACTGCGCAAAGGACCTCTCTACCCGCCCCGCGAGCCAACCTCACCGTCACCAACGCAAAGACATCACTAACGCTCCTCTACCAAAACAATCTAAACGCTTCGGATGAGAACAATCATGTGGGAGCGCTTTTGCTGGATGCTGTCCCTGAATACAGCGCTGCTGCATCTGCATGTGCGGCGTTGAACGAGCAGCTCCTGTCACGAGAAACACTGGCGGAATATGAGCAGGATATCGCCTACCAGCTGGCATATCAAGGATACGCTGGATACTTTGGCGTTGAAGACGGGTTCTACGTGGATGGTGGAGTGTTCACTGTGGGTGGAGGGAACGCATCTTCTTCTTCATCGTCATCGACGGCATTGCCAGTGCTATGTACGCAATCGGCGAACAATGGCTCGTCGAGCGCTCCTCCTGCCAATGGAAGCTATGTCACTCTAGAAGCAGCCGATAACACGTTCGTTGGATACCGCAACAAGAAGTCCTTCCGTTTCTTAGGGATCCCATATGCGGACACGCCCTCGCGGTGGAAATATGCTTCGCTTTACTCGGGCACGGGCGAGACTCTCCAGGCTTCTTCTTATGGAGCGCAATGCGCGCAGGGAAGCTCTGGGAGCGAAGACTGTCTCTTCCTCAACGTTCAGACTCCGTATATCCCCAAAGCTGGGTCGCGCGAGAACCTCCGACCAGTCATGTTCTGGATCCATGGAGGCGGCTTCACTGGCGGCACAGGCGCGGATCCAGTATCGGATGGTGGAGACCTCGCGAGCAAAGAGGATCTTGTTGTGGTTTCTATCAACTACCGTCTCTCTACCCTTGGGTTCTTGGCTATCCCCGGGACTGATATAAAGGGGAACTATGGCATTGCTGATCAGATTGTGGCGCTCGACTGGGTAGTTGCTAACATTGCAGCATTCGGAGGTGATCCGGAGAGGATTACAATCGCTGGAGAGTCGGCGGGTGCTGGGAGTGTGAGGGCTTTGCTTGGATCGCCTCGAGCGGCGGGGAAGTTCCAGGGGGCTATCGCGCTGTCGAATCTAGGAGGCGGAGTGACGCTGGGTCTCGATGGCGACTATGGGACTACCTATAGCTCCTACGTGAGTAGTACCAACCTTCAATCGTACTTGTCAAGACTTTCCATCCCCCTTTAACACTTCACTGACACTCTGTTCCCCCAGTACACCATCAACCAATCCTATACAGCAGCAGGCCCCCAAATTTTCACGGCAGCAAACTGCACAAGCTCCACCCTCACCACGCAAATCGCCTGCCTCGAAAAGCTCCCCGCCCTCCAACTCGTCTCGCTCCCCACAGTCGCCCGCTACGTAGTCCAAGACGGCACCTACGTAAACACGCCCAACCTCATCCTCACCGCATCACCGTCGACAAACTCGACTAACTCGACAACCGCCCACGTCCCCGTCATCTTCGGCACCACAGCAAACGACGGGGCGTCTTTCTCCAATTTCCCACCAGCAAACATCACCACACATGCCGAGGGCCTCCAACACGCCCTCTCCATCAACGCAACATGGGCCGCAAACATCATCGCCTCAACCCTCTTCCCTTTCTCAAACTCGTCGCACAACCTCACCCTCGACTCCTTCAACGTAAGCCAGCGCATCGCCACGGACAAAACGTTCCGCTGCGTCGACCAAGCCACCGTCTACGCCGGCTCCTTCTCTTCCGCCCCTGTCTTCCCCGCTGCGTATTACTACGAGTTTACACGCACGACCGGCGGGTACGATCCCAACCATCTCGGTGGACCCGCGGACAACGACCCAAATAACCCCTATTTCCGCCTCCACGGTGCGGATCTACCGTGGGTTTTTGGAACGCTGGGGAAGGCGCAGATGAGGGATGAAGAGGACCTTTGGAGCGTGCAGCTTGTTAGTAGTTTGTTTGCGAGTTTTGTTAGAGCTGGGGATCCGAATCCTGGGGAGCGGGAGTTGAGGGTTAGAGGGTATGAGAGGGTTTTGGAGGGGGTGAGGAGGGCGGGGAGGTGGAGGGGTGTTGGGGAGAGTGGAGAAGAGGAGGAGGAGGAAGGACATGTGGTTAGGTTGTTGGATTGGCCTGGGGGGAGTAGGGGGTGGGTTGATGTGGAGCAGTGTGAGTGGTTGGGGTATGGGTTGAGGTATTATTTGGATGGGGGGGCTTGATTGTTGTTTTTAGCTTTTTTGGGGGGTAGGTGAGGATGGAGATATCTGGACCATGTTTTTAGGTAGCTTTTGAAGATGAGAAAGTGGGGGATAATCAAAGATGATGTTGTACTTGATCAAATATCAAACCACCACGGATCAAGGACATGAGTCTACAGAAAATAAAATAAAATGGAAACGTAAAGTCTGTAGCACATCTCCACTGCTACAAATGCCACTCTTCTCTCTATTTCCAGCTCAATTTTATTCCACCTACTCCCACGCCATGTGTGCTCGATCCATTTCCTCCTCATTGGTCGACGATTGCATAAGTTCTCCAATACCGATAACCACTGTACAATTGCTGATAACTACAAAAATCCCAGAATTGAGTTTGAGTTTATGCAGCTGCTGTGCAACGTTAAAAAAGAGTCTTTTAATATCCACATGTTTCAGTGCAAGATATTCTTGATGTTATGTATGCTATATTTGTCGCTACTATATGTATAAACTATGTAGTAACCCAGAGAGGATCTCTCCACTACGAATGTCATCATCATTTCATAAACCAGTGATCGATAAAAACCATCTGGTTCTTAGATCCGCGCCACAAATTCCGATTTTTCTAGCATTGTTAGAAAAAAACCAAAACCCAAATTCTGGTTGAATGGAAACCCCTTTTCAACGCTTTACACCCCCTACCCCGCTTTCCACAAAGTCTCTTAATACGACATATTTACTTACTAAACTTGTTGAAGTTATCAACCGGCGCAACCTCCTTGACACTCTCCCAAATCTTCTCGATCCCCGTCACAGCATCGGCGCTCAATTTCCCAGCCTTGAGAACCTTGGCAGTCTGCTCAATTTGCGCGTGGCTGCTGGCACCGAAAATGACGCCATTCTCTGCGTCGTCGGCGATGGCGCTGTGGAACGCAACCCAGCGATACGCAAGCTCGGCTTTACTCACGCCTTCCTTCTCGGCAATCTGGTTCCACGAAACGAGCGCATCGCGGAGTTCGGCGTGGTCGTACAGCGTCTTGTAAAGCCCACCGATGGCTTTTTCGTTGAAGCGACCAGCGCCAGCATCGATGTCTGCGGCGGTCTTGGTAAGGAAGCCACCAGCGAGCGGGGAGTAAGCGTAGAACTTGATGCCGAGGTTTTTCAGGGTCGGGAAGAGCAGGGTCTCGAGGTGGCGGGCGACGGGGGAGTAGTTGCCCTGGTAGATGGTGGGGAGGACGTAGTTGTTCGCTTTGGCAATGTCGTAGACCTGCTGGACCTGCTGGGCGGTGAAGTTGCTGAGGCCGAAGCGGCGGAAGATGCCGGCTTGGTGGGCGTCGTTGATGCCTGCGAGGGTTTCCTCGAATGCGATGGATGTGTCTGGGGCGTGGATGTAGAGGACGTCGAATTGCTCGATGCCGACTCGTGCGAGACTGTCTTTTGCGTCGGCTAGAGCCGTTTCGCGCGTTAGGCGGCCGGGCTGGCCGAAGCCTCCCTCGAGCTTGGTGTCGATGGTGAAGGAGGTGCGTTTGGGTTGCTCGCCAATGGCGACTTCGGAGCCTGGGTAGAGGCGTGCTGTGTCGAGGTTTGTGATGTCATTGGCGAGGAGGATGTCGAGGACTTTGGCGGCGGATTCGGGGGTGTTGTAGTAGGCTTGCTTGGAGATTCCAGCGCCTCCGAAGACTGTTTTGACCATGTTGAATGATTTTGGGTCAATTGGGATTGATTATGTGGTGGGTGAGTTGTATATCCTGTACGCTACGTCGGGTTGTGGAGGAGGAGGAGGTTCAGTGTTGTTGATTGGGATTGATGAAGTGGGGTCGCCGTAACTATGTGTTTGCAAAAGCTCGACAATGTGTTGGAAGTTGTTGGGATATCAGTGTGTGTCTTCCTGAATGAAAAGCTGTTCCACTTTAACAGCGGCATCAAGGCTGTTTATATATCCAAGTGGTCGGTGGAACATCTCGCCGCGGGGCATTTGGTAGTCCGTTTTGCGTGCTACCTCCCCGCTTTGTAGACCCACTATACAAAGAATCCTAGTACGTCTTTGCTCTAAAATCCGATCGGCTCCTTAAGCTCGGGAGCTGCGTCGTCGGAGAGGTTTCAAGTGTTTCCCAATTGCACGCAAACATGATGCAGAATTGCACGTAATTGCACAATACCCAACACAAAGATGGCAATGGGGTTAAACCTAACAACTAGTTGACCGACATCAAAGTTGCAACACTGACAAATCCCGAGTTACTCCAAGATGCTATCACACACGCAGCACGCCCGTCGGTAGGTCGGTCGGACTAACTGCAAGAGGCAGGGTGTGAGTTGTGATTGGAAATCAATAGGCAACGTCCTCATTAGCTAATATCTCATGGTGTTGTCGGATTTTACGGGATTAGATGGAACATCACGTTGTTGCTATTGTTGCTCCTGACACATATTGATATATGATCCATCTACCATATCAGATAATCAAACTTTGTCAAATAGCCAAATGCAGTAAAACATGGTAACGCCAGCGGGCTAACACGCCATCAGATTCGTCAGCGATGTCAGATCCAGCTTCCTAAGTAATGGAACAGATTCAACCAGTTGCAAATGCCACCAACTCCAAAACGGTATGCAATGTTGAGCGGCGAAAGAGTGCAGGACTTGAAAGAGACGAAGACGGGGATCATGAAGAAAAAAACGACCGGCGCTCTTTCTTTCATCTCTCATTAACTATCTGCGTCTTTCTTTCACTATAAAAGCGTCGAGATTTTGACTCACACAACATCATCGTGCACCAGATTCCCAGCTCGTCAGTCCTCGATAGAACATTCGCCTTGGCCTGCTGCTTGTCTCAAGGACGAAAATTCATCCGGCGGACAAAAGTCATCAAACATCGTGCACCCATCCACCCAGCCAACCAACAAGATAACATCCAAGAAAAAAAGAAACTGCGTCGTAGGGTATCAGGGGGGGGGGGGAAAGACAAAAAACAAACCAAACCACACTATAAGCAAAATACTCCGCCTCGATCAAATCTCATCCCTCAACGCCGAACAAGTCGAGAATCCAGAAAACAGCATTATATATCATCCCAAGGGAATTCTTCCACGTCAATCTTGGTGCACGTCAGATAAGGTAACCCGCCCTCTCTCAAATCCAGTTCCAAGAAATTCCGCATTAGCGGCTTGACAAGGTCCTTGGCCTTGTTCTTAATTTCTTCGACGCGCCGTTCGAACCGCTTCAAGTTTTCGCGATTATAGTGCTCCGGGCTCAACTTCAAGAAGCGCTTGCACTCGTCATGGCCCAGGTACGTCGAGCCTCCTTGGCCAAGGAGGCGGAAGATGCGGCCGGTGTTGAAGGGAGGAGGTGGTGGCGGAGGTGCAGCCTCCCCATTGCGAGATGAAGGCTGGCGAGGGGATTTTAGGATGGGTATGGGCGGCGGTGTTGTGTTCTCTGCGAGCCATTGGCGGAAAAGCGACACGGCCATCCACTCAAGCCAATTGTTAGATGGCGTCACGCGCTCTCCTCGGCTCGTGGTGAGGGTTAATCGAAAGAGTTTGACCTCCACTTTCGCCTTGAGCTCGTCCAGCTCGTCCACTTTGTCATCGATCAATTCCAGCACTGGCTCTGGTACTAAACCGCGTAGTTGGTTCGTGCCCTGTGGCCATTGTCCGACCACGTGCACCATAGCTTCCGAGAAAATAGCTTTGCTCCGCGCCATATAGCCTAGTTTCAGATAGCTGGGAGGATATTTGGCAATCTGTTTCCATAATCTCCCTTGAAATCGCAAGAGATGGTGGTCGACGCGTGGGCCGATGACTTCGAGGGCATCGTACATGTCGGCGATTTGCAACAACGATTTGCATTCGACGTAGGCATTGGCGATATTGATGGGGTCCAAGGCTGGGGGATAGTTGTAGAAAACCCGAAACAGATTGTCGTAGTCGCGGAATGTGTCGTCATCGGGGTCGTTTTGGGGAGCGGGAATATGGAGCGAAGAGAAATTGGCCATACTGCGAAAGAAGCCTGCTTGTGGAGTAGGTGGTTTATTACGAGGTGGTGGTGGTTGCTGAGGAGATTGTTGTAACGCATCCCCTCCAAACATTGACGCTTGCGTCCTCTGCCTCTAGTCAGTAACCTGCAAAGTCGCACGGAGCTTGTAAAAACCGCATGCTTACCTTTTGTACCAGCATGGGTATATCATCGTCTCTGCCCCAATCTAGCTCATATTTCCACCTCTTCTTCTCTTGGGGTTGCGGCGCACCCGGTGGAACTCGTGCGAGGGCTGAGCCTCCTTCACCAGCATTCGCCCACTCGTCGCTCAACCCCGCCTCGAAGAAGCCAGAACATTGGGTCATGATCAACTTGTGCAACAGATATCTCTGCTCTTTGCGCCCATTTGCGATGATGATCTCGACATCGCCGGTGTGGGTGAAGACTGGGAATTCATTCTGAGGTTGATATGAGCTGCCTCCGAAATGCGAACGGTGCGGGCGGTGTCTCCGGACTGTAGAGGCGCGAGAGGAATGGGAGGTAACGGAAGGAGGGCGACGGATGGCGACAGAGCGCTCTGCGCCTTGGTCGGGATAGGAAACCATGCGCAATTATTGAGGTGGAAATGCAGGTTTTTGTAGTGACGGCGTGGAAGGATGAGACAGGGTGAGCGATGAGGCCGGGCTGGAGGCGGAGGGAGATAGAGGAAGGACGTGTTGTGTAATGATGGTGTTGTGTTTACTTTGTCCAGACGACGGCCGGACGATAGCAGAGCAGCAGCAGAGTTGCTAGGTAGTTAGCCAGACTGACTAGCCTAGCAGATGTTTCTGCGGAGAAACGAGACGAAACGAGTCACCCCGCCCGCCTCGGTTGAAACGGGTGGCCACCACACCGACGTGCAAAATTGATGGGTGCGAGTGCGGTCACGATGGTAGGGCGCAGAGAGAGCGAAGGGTACAGAGGAGGTGAGGGAGGTCAAAGACGGCCGGTTTCAAGGGCATCAGACGACACGGCGAGGAGTGGCTGTGGCGAGTGCCTCACATGCTTGCAGCTGGAGAGAGGCCAGGGCATGATGGAATGAGTGGAGCTGGCGACGGGACTCCTGGACGGCTACAGCTAACGACGGCGAGTGCTAACCGCGAACGGCCATTTGTAGGATCATCTCCTGCACCTCACCAGCTGCCCCCTCCACGGCAAACCTTGTGCTGTGCACCAATCATCGGCCATATCCGAGCCAAGTCGCCTTCAGCCTCCTGCTCGTACACTGCGTAGCGAGCTGCTGTCGATTGGACCACGCTCGCGGGTTGCGTAGCTCCATGGGTAGCCGGTTTCAATTCCGTGACCAAGGCGCAAGATATAAAGGCATGCGTCTTCTTGTCTCGAAACTGGAACAGGTAGTTGAATACAGTTGAACACGCTACATCAAGTTTTTGTTATACACATCTGCCAACCTTAGCTATGTTACATCTTGGTATACACACTAATACAATTATACAATCAATCATTATGCTTTTTTTTATATCCCTTGCGGCCCTTAGTAACTCCCAGTTCCATGCATTTTTTGCCCTTGAATCTTCTCTAATCCGCCCATGAACGGCCGGAGCACCTCCGGTATCGTCACGCTGTAATCCCCCTCATCCCAGTTGTTCTCCAGAATCGCCGCAATCACACGGGGGGCCGCGAGCGCAGTCCCATTCAACGTGTACGGGAACTCAAGCTTCCCGCCTGATTTCCCAAGTCGTACCCTCGTGTGCAGGCGCCTCGTTTGGTAGTCGGTGCAAGTCGATGTTGACGTGACCTCGCCCCACCCTTCATCCTTTTCGCGCCGAGATGGGAAGAAGGCTTCAATGTCGCGCTTTCGTGTTGCGCTGGCCCCGAGGTCCGTTGTTGGCATCTCTAATACTCGGCAGTGTAGCCCAAGCGCTTGCAGGATTTCTTTTTGAATGGAGAGCATTTCCTCGAAGATGGCCTCAGAGCTGGAGCTGGTCGGCGTGGTGAAGTGCTCGCTGTCCGGGTTGTCTGGCATCGTCCAAGCAAACATTTCCACTTTCGTGAACTCGTGCACGCGATATAAGCCCTTGGTGTCGATACCCCTGGCACCAGCCTCTGCCCGGTAGCATCTCGATACTCCCACGGTTTTGAGAGGTAGGTCCACGTCTTCGAACGTGTGTCCTACTTTCATACCGGCAAGCGGAATCTCTGCGGTGCCAGCCAGCACCAGCTGGGGTTTCGCCTTGTCCTTCTCACTCTGTTCAATCGCATAGACTTGCTGCTCGCCGTTCTGATCCCTGGGTTGGAATCCGCAAGCCGATGCGATGTGTGAATACACCAGCGAGGGCGGCGCAACGACTTTCCATCCCCTCTTCCTAGCTACACTGAGCGCGTACTGCACCAACGCTTGCTCCAACATAGCCGCCTCGCCCACCAAGAAGTACCACCCCCACCCCGAAGTTTGCGCGGAGCCAGCGAAATCGAGCAGCCCTAGCTCTGAACCGATATGCACGTGCGATCTCCAAACTCGATCCGATTGTGAGGGTTCGGCCTCGGGATGTTGGTTGATGTATTCTACGACGTGAGGTTCGGTCCCGACTGGCGTATGCGTGCTGCTCAGATTCGGCTGTTGTTGGGCAAGCTCATCAATCTCGTCCTGCAGCTGTGCTTCTTTCGCTTCAATGACGCCAATTTCGGCCTTCATAGCTTTGGCCTCGTCGATCAGAGCAGCCCGGTTCTCGCTGGTGTCATCGGTGCTGGACTTTGAGCTTGCCTTGGCCAATTTCCCGCGAAGCAGGTTGTTGCGCTCTCTCAGATGGCGAGCATTCTGCTGCAACGCGAGCCATTCCTCGTGTAGCTTGATGATTTTCCACGGAGCTTCGCTGTGGGCAGCGTAGTTTCTGTCGATGCTGTTCTGTTGGTAGAGGCCGGGATTCTGGCGAATATGCTTGATGTCGACGGAGGGTTTCGGTGCAAAGGCGGGTCGGGTATAGGCACGAAGATGGCTACGAGGCAATCGAAGGGCGGCGGCAGCAGCTGGCGGGCGCTGGGTGCGACATGTGGAACAAATCCACCTCAACTGGTACATGGCTGGCGACGCATCCGAAGAAGAGAGAGAGAGAGAGAGGAGTCGGCCTCAATGCGGAGAAAGATGGCCAGCTCCAAGCCAGGGCGAGTTAAAGTTTGGCTACGACGTTACGCCTCGCGCGCAGATGTGGCGGTGCGGCGGCCGTTGCTTGCAAGGGTCCGCGTGCATGCATACATAACTCGTCCAGAATGACATGACGGGCGTGTCCACGTCAACCATCATTCGTACGCACCTGAGCTGTGCAGTTTGCGATATGTCTTGGACCACATCGGATGACGATGCAAGTCCGGTCCAAGGTACCGCGAGTGAGCCCGCCGCATGTTGAGCGCCAACGACCAGGCTCTTTGTCATTTGCGCTGGCCCAATGGTGGGATGGCATGCCTCGGAAGAAAGCGAGCACCACAGGACAAGTGATCCATCCATCTTGCGGAGCTGACCCTCAACCTCCGCCATCCATCCATCTGCCTGCCTGCCCGCCTGCCTGTCCACCCAAGCAGCCGCGCCCCGTCCATTGCGACACCTGTTACCTAAACTTGTACTTGAATCATAATCATCACCACCACACCGCCTTGGCTCCGACCGCCAGACGCCATACCACTTGGATATATAGTCGATATCCCACCGCCATTCGCTGGTAGCTGCCGCCTTCCTAGCCCCCCCTCCATCCTTACTTCCACCACCACTGCCATCACCACCATCTAGACTCGCCCTCAACAATCAATATGCACGACCCTTTCCCCATAACCCCTCCGGCTTGGTTCTCCAAGATTGTACAGCCAGTCGCCGATTCTCTGTCTTTTCAGACCCTCCCCCTCCACGCACACGAGGTCCTTTTCGCTTTCTGCCTCTATCACAGCATCTTCCAGTATTTCGCTCCCTTCATATCGAATCTCCTGATACCGCAGACATACGCAAACTTCAGCGCCAAAACTCGCCTGAGCTGGAACGTACACATCGTCTCTCTATCCCAGAGCACTCTGATATGTGCCCTCTCTCTGTGGGTCATGCAGAAGGATGGTGTGAGGAGTGATATGGATTGGACCGAGAGGGTCTACGGATACACGGGCGCTTCGGGCCTGATCCAAGCCTTTGCTGGAGGCTACTTCGTCTGGGACCTCGCCATCACCGTCCAGAACTTGAGTGTTTTCGGTCCGGGGATGCTGGCCCACGCTGTTTCTGCTTTGTTCGTCTTCTCTCTGGGATTCGTGAGTCAAACCCACCCCTTAACTTTGCTCCACATCCCCATACTAACAGCGTCCTCCAGCGCCCCTTTGTCAACTTTTACGCTCCCACCTTTATCTTGTATGAGCTCTCGTCGCCGTTTCTCAACGTCCACTGGTTCTGCGACAAACTCAACATGACGGGCTCCAGCCTGCAACTTTACAACGGCATCTGCCTCCTTTTCACATTTGCCGGCTGCCGGCTCGGCTGGGGCTCATACCAGTCGGTGCGCGTCTTCTACGACATCTACCGCGCCGTCGTCGCTGGCGACTCCGTCTTGCCCAACAAAGTTGTTGACCCAAGCGGTACTATGCGGTTCGCAAGCGGTCAGACAGTTCCTCTCTGGCTCGCCGTCTGCTACCTGGCTAGCAACATCACGCTCAACGGTCTCAACTGGTTCTGGTTCGGCAAGATGATCGAAACCATCCGCAAGCGCTTCGATCCTCCACTCGGCACTCGAAAGGCTGAGGGGGCGTCCACCTCCACGTCCGAAGGAGCGAGGAAGGCCCTCGATAAGCTGTCCGACAGGGAGAAGGTCCTTGTTGAAGGTACCCACGTCAACACACCCCCGCCAACCCCTTATGCGACCTCGGAGAAGAATGGCGATTATATCAGCGCGGTCAAGACCTCGAACACGACGGGCAAGCATTTGGAGGTGGACGGCATCGAGATCAAGAGGAGAGCAGGCGACGGTAATAAGACAATTCCAAGCGCCAGAGCTGCATAGTCGCTGGCTGCATGAAGGTGGTCAGATTGGCTGGTGTTTATATATGGTATCACATGGGTTGCTGACGATATTGGGCGGGCAACTGTTGTAATTGCTTAAGCGCGGTTCTTTTGCATTCCGCTGGTGGCTGGGTAATTCTTATTTCATCTTTAGTGATTTGCACATGGGGATTCGCTACGGGTGAACATTCCTCTAGAAAGGGTTGCATGTCTTCACGGGTACTTGTTTATACAGGATCATTTATTCGAATGATATCGATAGAAGTCAGAGGAGGCGGATGGCCTGTTTGAATGTGAAGGTATTGTTGTGCGCTTGGATCCGATGGCCTTGCGCTGGTGCTTCCAACTTGCAACCTGCCTAATCGGGTAAGTATAGTACGAGGCGCCAGAACCGTCGATTACTGCCGACATTCACTGCCCTCCTCACGCTTCTGTATCTGGTTAGCGGCAGGAAGGTGCAACTCCAACTCCAGTCGGTTAAAACTGCTTCGAAAGACTCCCCCATCATTGCTGCGCTAACATCCACCCCTCGCACACAGCTCCAACGGCCTACGTCTCTTTCCTATCCTTAGCTTTGTTTGTCGCTTATCTCGTGTCTTCAATAAATAATCCACCTGAGCCCTCTTCTACCTATTCACGTGTACACCCGCTGTGACGTACACGCGTGTGCTGCTCTGCAGATCAATTCGTCTCTCATCCCACCTTTGTGGGGTCTTATGACTATAAACTCGTTTCTATACCCCTACCCTACTGACTTCTCGTTGAACATCTACGACCCTCACGTCCTGCTGCTTCTCTTCACTCGCTTCCTCTGCGTCTGGCTTTGGGTTCTACCATGTTCCCCTTTGGAAATCCACTTCACCGCTTGCGCCATACACATAGGCATAATGTCGACACTCTTGTCTCGTCGCCTGTCCCTGAGCTGTCCGGATCCCTCGGTGATCTGGGAACTCTTCTACCCCTCATGACGGCCCTTGTCCTGACACAGTCCATATCTCTCACCGCAACTCTTCTTTTCACTGGCGCTGCAAATATTCTAACTGGTTTTGCGTTCGGAATCCCTTTGCCTGTTCAACCAATGAAGGCCATAGCAGCCGTTGCCATAGCGAGAAACTTTACTATCCAAGAGAATGCCGCTGCTGGTATAGTGGTGGCGGCATTGGTCGGCTTGTTCAGCGTGACTGGTCTGCTCAATAAAACGAATCAATTCACACCGATCCCAGTAGTCAAAGGCATACAGGTGGGGGCTGGCCTGTCGCTATGTCTCAGTGCTGGATCTAATATGCTCACGCCTTTGACATGGACCGGTCCCTGGTGGGGTGACAACTTGATCTGGGCTATCGCTGCGGCAATACTCTTGATGTGTACCTTCTATTTCCCTAGAATGCCCTACGCTATAATCATCTTCACTGTGGGGGTGATACTCTCAGTACTGTCTCCAGAGAAGAACTCGCATGGCCCGACCGATACCGCTATCCCAATCGTCCATCCTTCCGGCCAAGATTTCTGGAAGGCAACAACAACAGCTTCTCTGGGTCAGTTGCCCTTAACAATCCTCAACTCAGTCATCGCCGCATCAGCACTTGCTTCGGATCTCTTTCCCTCTCCACCATATCCCTCTTCACCCTCAGTCACTGAACTAGGCTTATCGGTTTCCGCTATTAACCTCGTTGCCTGTTGGTTTGGGGCCATGCCAGTGTGCCACGGTAGCGGTGGTCTCGCCGGCCAGTACCGATTTGGAGCACGCAGCGGTTCTAGCATCATCATCCTCGGAACAGCTAAATTCGTTCTCGGTCTCGTAGCCTTCTTCCATTCCAGTTCCATCATCAATGTCCTTTCCGGAATTCCAAAGTCTCTGTTGGGCGTCCTCGTACTCGCAGCCGGCATCGAACTTGCAAAAGTGGGGGAAAGCATCAATACTGACGCCAGGGATCTACGCATCATAGAGAATGCAAATGGTTGGGACGGTAAAAAAGTCAAACAGCTCAGCGAGCAGACCAGAAAGGAAAGGTGGACAGTCATGCTGGTCACTGTTGCCACTTTGCTTGCCTTTCGAAACGATGCTGTCGGCTTCATTGCTGGGCTGGGCTGGCATCTAGGCTTGAAAGCTGCCAATAAGGTACAGGAGTGGAAAGAGCGTCGTGAGGGCCGGGTGCTTTTGAGAAGAGCTAGTCGGCAGTATGGTGAGAGGACGGGACTTTTGTTCCACGAAGAGTCGGATAGAGTTGCTTGAGCGTTCTCAGTATCGATTAAATGCCCTTCATCTCTTTGTTGGTTTGATCGAGTTTTTCCAGCGGTTTGCAGCATAGCGCGGTGTATCCCGGTAGAATTTTGGTATCTTTGTTGGTCTCGTTTTCGGACAATTGCGTGTCAAAAGTTGATAGAATCATCATTCTTGCTGCATCATCTCCAACCGACTTCGAAGATCGAGGAACCATCAGCGAGACTTTTCCATACCTCGCACAACCTGTGAGGAAAGATATTCTAACATGAGAACAGAAAAGCATCGCCCTTTTTTTTTTCCCTTTTTTTTTTCCCTTTTTTTTTTCTCTTTTTTTTTTCTCTTTTTTTTCTTTTCTTTTGACTTGAAAACAACCAAACAGATAGGTCTCGCAAACCACCACAGACGATGCCAGGAGGAAAGACATCCACAATTGCCACAAGGACCGAGAAATCACCACAGAACTGCCAAAGCTCCAAGAAGAAATCAGAAAACAACCGCGAGACAGGGCATCTAGAAACCCAGAACCACATGAATGCTCGGCAGCTTGACCGTAGAACCCAAACTCCAGCTCTTCTACGAGACGTAGAAAGAGCACACCCAGTGCAACACCAGCAGGCTGACGAACCCAAGGGCCGTCGTGACGGCAGCATACGAAACGCGCTCAGTCACTGCTGGTGCGCTGCTGGGTGCCTCAGCAGAAGGAAAAGAGGGGGGAGAGGGGCGACGAGATGGCGGCGGCGGCGAGACGAGACGAGAAGAGGCTTCGCGGGGAGAAGGTGATGGCGCGAAGTGAACTCGGTGAGGAGGAGGAGGTGGTGGTGGTGATGAGACGCGGGTGAGTCGGCGGGGAGCTGGTGCGGGTCGGAATCGGCGGGAGGCAGGTGGAGGAGAAGGAGAAGGGAAAGTCGGCAGTGGAGGCAAGGGAGGGAGACGAATACGGCGAGGATCGTTCTCAGCCGGCCGAACAGAAGGTCGAGGACGCGGAGGGATCTCGTACGCCTTGAGGCGCACTTCGACCTTGCCCACCTCGGCGTCTAAGAACCTCTTGAACGGGTTCTCGAATCTCCACGGCTGCGGTCCCACACCGAACTTCTCATCGAGCTCGACGAGCGCTTCAAACGTCGTCTGGAGCTCCCGTAGGCCCTTCCTCGCCAGAACCACACGCAAGTCCACCGGCATGCCGGGAATAGGCGCGGGAACATGGCCGAGTTTGCAGTCTGGAGCCCAGAAGTCCGCAAAGCAGACATCGTACGCTGCTGTTGCCGCCTCAACAGCGCCGATCTGAGTCTCCAATCCGACGAGCGTGGTTTCGTCACTCCACTGCTCGGGGGACTTTAGGACTGCTTCCACATTCCAGTGTACCTCAATCGCGATCGACTCGAGGTCGCGCAATTCCCGCCGCTGCTGACGGGGGTCCTCTACCCAAGAGATGAAGGTAAGAAAGCGCTCGAGACGCTTCTCGAGGGACGGAGGGGAGGTGCTGGAGAGGTGCCGACGAATCTCACCGGGCAGAGCCTCGTAGTCGTAGCCGGCTGCTTGAAACCTCCCCTTGGGGTTCATAATGGCAGGGCGGGTCCTCACTGACTCGAGGATGCGACGGTATGGAAACGCCGGGGCCTCCTGTGGTGGTGGTGGTGCAGGAGCTTCGTCCACTGGGGCAGCCTCCTGAAGGGGTGCCGTGAAAGTTTGGTCGACTGCTGGACCAGCCGCCTCTGCTTCCTCCAGTTTCATCCGAATGCCGAGATTTTCCGCGGCCAGAGCACCATTGACCTTGGACATCTTCAACAGCTCCTCCCTGTGGCGCTCAATCATCGCGAGTCGGTCAGCTGCGCCCCTGGCGGCAACTTCCTTCTCAGTGGCCAGCTGGTGATCCACCTGTGTGGACAGCTTTTGGCACTGCTCTTGGAGAGCACGACGGGCAGCCTCGGTGGATTGAAGCTCTGTCTGTGCAGAGACTGCGTGCTGCTGTGCCTCGACGAGTTGCCTCGACAAGGCGTGGCATTGCTCCTGTAGAGCACTCTGCGCGGTCTCGGCCATTTCGAGTCGGTGCTCTATGGTCCGGCCGGCAGTCTGAGTGGCGATCAGTACGCCTTGGATCTCGTCCATCTTCTCTTGTGCCTGTCTTTGCAGGTCTTGTTGCTGCTGCTGGTGTTGCTGCTGCTGCTGCACCGCCTCTTGCTGGTACTGCTGGTTCTCCGCAGAGAGACCAACATTGAGTGACTCGAGGTCACGTACCCTGGCTTCGAGGGCGGCCAGTTGTGCCACAAGGGCGGGATTGTCGGTGGGAGGAGAGGGGGGAGGAGGATGAGGAGAAGAGAAGGAGGATTCCGCCGGAAAAGAGACTTGGGTCGAGGCATTCTGGCTCACGACGGGAGAGGGTTGGGAGGCGGAGGCGAGAAGAGGAACGGTGGTATCAAACGGAAAAGAAGATTTTGATTGGGCATCGGCGGCTGTGGCGGGCCCTTGTGCCTGAGAAGGTGACGCCTCACTCGTGGTGGGCAATGGTGATGTGTAGTTGTCTGCATTGTATCCCGGTGCAGCGTCCGTGAGGTCCAGGAGCTCTTTGTCGAGCTCACTCAAAGTCTCGGTCTCGACCTCGACCTTCTTCTTCTTCTTGAGCGGTGCTATCTTGCGGTTTGCTGATGGCATCTCGCTCGCCATCTCGTCGTGCTCTTTGGCCAGCTCGGCGGTGAACTGACCTTCGCTAACGCGAGGGACGAAGCTGTTATGCTTTGTGAGGCCAAAGCATATCCAGTGGTGTGCTGCGCGGTGACGGTGCCACGTCTTCACGTTCTGGCAAAACTCGTTGGACGTCCTGCTGAATTCTTCGTAGGCGTCTACTTTTTTCCCCGCGGCGGTTTTGTGGTCTGCGGTGATTTTTGCTTGGAGAACCTCGACTTCTTCGTCCGTCATGGTCCATTGGCGGTATACGGGGTCGGGAAGCACCTTGACGAAATCATTGAGGTCCCAGAGGACCGGCCAGAGCAGCTCACGGAACTCCGCGACGAGCTTTCCAGGGACGCCAGCCATCGTGATGCTGGGTTGTGGTGTGGATATGTAGGTGTGGAGAGGGTATAGACGATGGTGACTAGGTTGGATGGGTTGGTGGGTGGAGTCGACAGGAGCCAGACGAAGAGGCAGAGATGTCGGTATGTGGATGTGGGTAGGCTGGTATGCTGGTATGGGCAAAGCCGGTGGTGACAGAGTCAGACGGGCTAGTAGGGGATGTTGGCAGGCTTCAAACGAAGACAAGAGGATGTGGGTAGATAGGTAGGTGGGTATGTGGGTATAGCAGTAGGTAGGCAGGTAAGTAGGTGGTGGTGATGGTTGAGGAAAAGGTCTGTCGAGCTTCCTCACGAGAGGGCGGGGCACAACAACAACAAAAACAACGCCAAGAACTATCTAGAAAATTTTCTGTGTGACGTCGGACGCTGTCGAACGAGGGGGGGAGGAAAGTGAGGTGAATGCGTTTGCCAGGGGGCTCGAGCTTTCACAGCAAACAATCAACAAGTAAACAAGCTAACCGTTGCAAACGCGGTGCACGCCGGCCAATGGCATGACCTGAGCGTTATGAGTATCTGCGTGTATTTAGAAGAAATGCAGAGTCACCTTGTATCTGCACGATTCGCTTTCACGGCGATGTATTAGGGACATACTACTGGGCGGTGTGCAGTGCGGTAGACATAAGACGAACAGACCACTATCGCAGATACTACAAACCATTTAACATCACTCCAGCATAAACAAGGATCTTTAGAATACAAAATTCACCCAGGAAATCAATCTAACATATGGAAGACAGAGAAACACATCCACAAAATCCAGTCACCCTGCCTGGTTCGAACCATCTGTTCCATCACAGAGACTCGGTCTCGCAAGCAAAAGCAACCCACCACCACTGAAATAACAGAGTAATACACATTAAGCACAGCTATAAACATCTAATAAGCTGGGAAATGTTACGAAAAAGTCTTTTTTCCAGCTTGAACTGTTCAAAACTCGTCAGTGACGCACACGATATATAGAAATCCCTACAACCCCATACACTCAAGAGAAGAGAGACCATTGATATGGTATTAAATGAACCACAATATGCATAGAACCTCCAGCATAAGATCTCAATCTCTCTAGCTACGATAGATATGGAAAGACATAATGGAAAAACTCCATGTCCAACAACGATGATGTTGCGCTCTCCAAACAAAACTCCCCCCGCCTCTGAAAAACTCCCTTCGTTCCTGCACCCGTATCTCCACAACCAATTAAAAATCGGATGGTGAAACCCAAAAGATTTCTGCTTGTATTGTTAGTCTCAATCGATAGAAATTACTCAAGGTGCATGGCCGAGGAGTATCACTCTTCGTCCGTCTTACCAAATCTCTCAGTCCGGCATCGTTTTCTCTAATCTTTCCCCAGCAAACAGCAAACAGCCCACCTTTGATGAAGTGATGAATGATCAATGTTTAAAAAAAAATTAGTGGAAAAAAAATTATGAATTTGGGGGAAGAGTGAGCAGTGTTTATTCTAACATCATATCGTTTCTACGGAAGTGAAGATAGAACGCATCCGTACCACCAGGTCAAACTAGAGATGGACGAGGTAGCTTGATAATAAAGATGACGATGATTACGGAAATCACTCATTCCCTTCCACTCCATCTACTCGTTGTTGTCGTGGTGGTCCTCTTCACTGTCAACTTCTTCTCCTGTCTTCTCATTATCGCCCTGTTCCGAACTTTCGCGGTCCAGCTGATCATCTTCTTCTCCGCCACGATCTGCCTCGTATTTTTCGTTTCCAGTATCGTCACCCCCGTTCTGTTCTCCTCCATCTTGCTGGCGCTCACTCTCAGTTCCAAGTCCGCCATCTCCCTCCGTGGTCTCCTCATTCTTCTCTCCTTCACTGCTTTCACCCGCCCCGTCAGCCTCCGCCTCCTCTTTTGCTTTCAGGATCTCTTCTTTCGCCTTTTCTTCTTCATTCATCTTCTTCTTCTCCAGCGCCTCCAAATACTCTTTCTCGGCTTTCCTTCGATCCTCCACACCCTTCTCGCCATCCGCCTCATGCAGCCAAACGCCCTTTCCATCTGTAAAGATCTTATCGAGAAGATCAACAGACCCACACACGCCATCGACCTCACCCCAAGGAAGCCACAGTCCTTCTTTAGCAGTCCAAACGCCGCCTCTACCACCACGTTGATCCCAAAGACGGTCCCCGCCTACGGCGACGTTGTGGTATCCTACTGATGACTGCGAGAGGCGGAAATAATTTCGTAGGAGTGCACGTTCATGGCCCGAGTACCAGAATGAGGTCCATGAGATGTTGGGAGCATGTGGAGGGGTGTTGTCGGAAATTGCGGCTAGTCCAGGGAGGGAGAAAGACTCACGGTCGTCAATGTGGAAAGCAGCCGGGATGGTACCGGTGTATGTATTTTGAACTAAGGCTGTTGAGGTCCAGGGCGTTTCGCGGTCTGGGAGGTTGTCGATGTTTTGCTGAAATTCGAGATGGTCGATGTACACTGGTTTCTCGTTGGGGGAGGGATTGTTTCGCGTGTGATCCGGGGTCCAGTATGGTAGGAGAGTGTTGTGGAGCGCAATGGGGACGGTGAGTGGTGGTGTGGATGTGCCTGGATGGTGAAGCTTGGATAGGTCGGTAGATCCGTCGTGACGGAGCGACAAAAGCTCTTCGTGGGCAGAGTACTCAAAGGGTTGGAACAGGGCGTGGGCGTAATCAAGACCAATCATCATCTCGTATTCGTGACCTTCCTCGAGTGTCAGGCCTTGCTCGTGCTCTTTCAGCGCGGTTATCGAGTTTGAGAAGCTCGGATGAAGCCAATTGAACAGGTTGTTGGTAGCTTGAGTGATTTTGAACTGTCCCCGATGCATGTTACGCGCCATCTGCTGTTTTGCAAATATGGTAGCCATGACTGAGTGGACAGTCATGAACTGGCTCTTCCGTTCCTCGATTATGCGCACAGCTTCTCCATATAGCCTTCTTATATCTTTCACTGGGCCCATCAACATCGTAGAGTCTATGTGCTTCGCCAGCATTGTACTCTTATCTTTCCCTGTTTTCTTTCCATATACGTCGAATGGAAGCATAGGCTCTGGCACATGATGGCAGGCAATCTCATCGTCCCGACAAATCTTCTTTGCGCCAAATACGATGGTCTGTTTATATCGATTGCCATATAGTCTGTCCAGCCTTCTATTCGCATCTTCCAGCAGATTCTGATACTGCTTAATCAAAACATCACTGGGAAGCTGGAACCAGGTATCCTTTCCATCCACTATGAGCATCATGTCCTCGTCGTTGACCAGTTTATCATTTGTCAGATATCTGTGTATCTCTTTCAGCTGCGCCTTCTCCTTCTGTGCTTCTGATCCAAACCTCTCGTTCAATCCAACTATAGTTGGTGGAGGGTAATTGAGTATCATGGCTGACAGTGATGTTTTGCAGAAGTCGATCCCGTCTTCGAGAGCTGGCATCACAAGATGGAAGTTTGGAGTCGCTTTATTGAGATGGGAAGGAACGTGATAGACGCTGTTGTTTTCCAGATCAAGAGATGCATTGGATGGGTTCAACGGCGATGTAAAGTATGCTGGTAAATGACCAGTGTGAGAATGCCAGGACGGGAACTGGTGATTTGACGAAAGAGCTTGATATGATGTAGCGATCGTCTGTTGGAACGTGAGTATCAGTACCGGATCTATACCATCGATGATGAACATACTTTTGAGTTGCTTGCACCCCCCACGATCAAGATCACCAGAGCCAACAGCATTGATAGCACGAAGACCCTTCCTCTACGACCTCTCACCCACTGTAAAGCTGCATGGCCTACCTCCTTCGGACGGGTCTGTGGCGACATTGACATGGGCATCAGTTGAGGAACCGCCATGGTCACCATTTCGATGCTGAATTAAGGCGGGCGTCCGCGACGCACGGGTCAGGGGAGTTTCCGAGTATGAATGAGCGTACTTGGTTGATTGAACAGTGGCGCGAGAGGACTCAGACTGTGGGTTGGGTCTCAGTCACTCAAGGGGTGGGTACAGGTACACGGTTACGTTCCGCACGATGTGTGATGGGAATGTTCCTCGCGGAGGCATCCACGCCCCACGCGCCTTCCATTCTGGAGTAATCGCCTCTTGTCCTTGCATTCTCGTCCAGAGATCAGTTGAGAGACAAGGGCTGCTAGATATATACTTATTTTGTCTCGCATCGTAAATATACGAGGATGAATAGGGATTGCGGAGAGCTGAAGTGTCAAATAAACCTGCCCAGTTGTTCAACCCTTGCATCGAATCTTGCGTCAAAAGAACTAACTTCGTCAAACTACCAATTCCTCAACAAGGAACAAATCGTTCCAGTTTGACTCGGACAAAGCGATAGGACGCAATGATCCGTGTCCAGATCGCTTGGTGAATCGTAACACAAACCGACCTTGTTTTACAAGAGTATACATTGAGTGACTAAACTACAGCATGTGGGGGGTATCCTATCGTTCCATCCCCGGGGTATCTCGCAACACTTTAGACATTGAGTGATCCTTTCACTCGAGACGCCTTTTTTTGTTCGTACCATCCAAAGCGCCGGTTTGGGCGTAAATATCTTCCGTTTTCTCGGGTGCAGATACAACACTGCTATCTCTCTTCACACCCTCCGGTTTCTCCCTCAAGACACGCGGTTTCAGGTTGCCGTACATCCACGCAAAGCCGGCTTTTGCTTTGCCGTCGCTCGTAGCTTTGCCGTCGCTCGTAGCTTTGCCGTCGCTCGTAGCTTTGCCGTCGCTCGTAGCTTTGCCGTCGCTCGTAGCTTTGCCGTCGCTATTAGCTTTGCCGTCGCTATAAGCTTCGGGTAACGGGCCAGAGCAGTTGTTATAGACATACTCAAAGGCTCTATGGAGAGCATTTTTCGTAGCCGTGGTTTTTCCCAGTTCATCTCGGGAGGCTTCATCTCCGACCATACCGTCAGTGGTGTCGCCAGCTGGGTAGTGTTCCGTCGCCTTCAGTTCCTGGCCTTTGACCGCACTGCCTGTATCTTCCTTCACTCCAACCTGCGCCTTTACTCCATCCTTCCCCTTAGTGTTAGCTTGTTTTTTGAAGCGAACCTGGTCTTTCACGCCAAGCCGCTCCTTCATGCTCTTACCATCGCTCTCCACATTCGCAGCCTTATAAGGAGCGTTCTTCAAATGATCGAGGTCATCCCTGAACAGTATATGCAGCCGATTATCGGCAAGTGGGTAGACGGCTTCCATGAATGACCTTCGTTCTCCGGTTTCAGCCGCCCTCTCTTCCTCGGCTTGTCGCAGATCCCTAAGAGTATAAGTTAGCCCCGCTGTTTAATCAATGACAAGTAGTTTACCTTCAAGGAAGTATTCCTCAGGCAGAAGAGAACCTTTGCTGCTTTGACACCTTGCGGCGAACATCATCACATTGCTCCAACGCCTTGATGTGCGACTCTTGCGCAATCTTCCAAGCCTCCAGAACAGCCTCGTCCTCCCTCATTTTTTGTAAATAGCTATTGAAACCCAGTTTCTGCGTCCTCTCGCCGCGCTGTCGCACAAAGTTGTCGTCCAGCTCCTCAACCTCTGCGTTGCGAGCCGTGAAATGCGCTGTTATGGCAATTCGATACTGCTTGAAATGGCGTATATAACCCTCTACATGCTTGAAGTAGGTATCGGTGGTCGCTGGATCGAAACTGGATGGTGGCGCTGGTGCAAGAGGTACCGTGGGAAATTTGAGTTTTTGCACAGTGTTCGGTTTCGTAGGGTGAGCGCTCGATGCCTGCGATGCGAATGGCAATTGGTCTCCGAGACCTCCTAGGCCATTCAATCCAGTGTTTGGCTGAGCAAAAGGTTCTACGTTTTTGATGCCGTTCAGATCCAAACCTGAGGTGGGGGCTTTGGGGGCGGATGCAGCTGGGCTAGATGTTGCATTGCCGTTCTCTGCTGTACCAGTCTTGGAGGTTTTGGGCGTAGAATTGTCGGTAGCAGCCGGTGAATCGGTATCAATATCCATGGCGTCGCCATTGGTGGCATCTTCAGCAAACGCTTGATACTTGGCCTTTGGCTTGCTTGCCTGCTTTCCTGTCCCAGCGCTGTTCTCCGGTGCAGTGGACGGCTTTCGAGGGGGATTAGCTCGCCTTGTCGAAGCAGAACCACGTCGTGGGGATGGCTCTTTCATGTTCGACGGCATTGCCCAACTTGGTTCTTTGAAGGTCTCAGCCCACTCCTCAGGTGCAAACTTGGTTGAATGATGTTCTTGCGCGTTCGGAGGGGGTCCAGGAGGAGGTGGGGGCATCTGCGACGATTGTGGTCGGGAAAAGGGATTCACGGGCGGCGGTTGCGATTGGCCGTTGCCAAAGGGACCCTTCTCTGTTGCCGAACGCTGGTGCTGTCTGCCTCGAGTTGGCGATGTGCGACCCTTGGTTGTAGAACCTTTTTGGATATTGGGAGCAAAGTAATCCGGCTGACCCTCGAATTTCCCATGCCAGTCAGAGGGAGAAAACTTCATGTTAATGTTCTCTTCACTCCTGCTCTTGAACACGTTGTATGGAGATCCATCCGACGGACCCGGGCGCTGTTGGGGAGTACTGAAAGCTCCTTGCGCACCGGTTGACTGCTGCGACTGAGATTGAGAAGGTCCGCGACGGGTTCTTTCGTATTCTGCCCGTAAAGCGTCGCCTTCGTCCTCGTCATCACTCGAATCATACATATGAGGAAACTGAGCTTTCTTTGCGAATCCACCGTAGGAGTTCCGTTGCTGGCGGCGCCCAGAATCCGAGTTGATCCCAGCATCAGTGAAGCCGCTCGCTCGCTGAGGTTGCTTAGGGGAATCGCGGACACTGGCGGATCTGCCCAACCCATCTCCATACATGGACGTACGTTCTCCAGATTTGGTAGACGAATACGGTGTCCTAAACCGATTGCCTTCAGCGAAGGGTACATCTTCCGCTTCAGCATGTGCCTTTTCATTGGTAACAGGCGAAGAAGGTGGGCGATCGTAGTTGGAGCGATATGCCGACTTGGCCTGGCCTTCGTCGCCTCCCGGTGTCCCAGGATTGAATCCTTTCTTGTCCGACGGTGTCCTCGTGCTCTTGCTTCGGCCAAAGGGAGCTCCATTGGGGTTGTTTGGGTTATATTCACGTGGTTCCTCGGCCCTGGGCTGTTTCATCTTCTGCCATGCTGTGAAAACATTTGCCTTAGCTCCAGGCTCCTTCTGCCTCGAGTCAGGCCTCTGCGCAGTCGGGGGAGCACGAAAGTTGGCATGTGTGAAACGGTCAGCCCCATTGGCATAGGAGTGCGGTTGCCTTTGTGGTGGTGGACGGGAGGGATGTGGCTGTGGCCTGGGAGGAGGCGGCCTCGCGTAATAGGTACCACCATTCGGAGTGGTTGTGTACGATGCGTTGCGTGGTTGGGCGGGAGGTGGACGCTGGCGAGGAGTGTACGGTGGAATAGGTGGGACGCGTTTCCTCCGCTCGGCGTCATACTTTGCTCGTTGACTTGAATCGATCAAAACCTCGTGGGCTTGCTGAATCTTTTGGAAGTGTGGCACAAACTCTTCCTCGCGACCTGGGTGGCGATCGGGGTGGAATTTCAGAGCGAGCTGGCGAAAGGCCCGAGTGATTTCCTTGTCGGTGGCATTGCTCTGGATGCCCAGCTGCTCATAATAATCTTTGGTTGCGTCTACCTTAGCCATGATAGCACCGGCGGCGGCGATGACAGCGGCCGGAGCGAAGGGAAGGTGTAGTCAAGAAGGTGGTGTCCAGGATTTAGAATGCTGTTTGTGTATGCAAATCCGTATGCAAATAACAGCTGTCCGCGCAAGCTGTCGCGCTGTGCGGGTTCTCTTGTCGACTCTGGCAAGGCGGAGAGGGTCAAGTCGTGAGCTGGAAACTGACAATGTCGTCAGCTTGCATGGTCGTGTGGAAAGTATACAAGCTTAGTGGGTAACGTTGAAGAATTCGAATAAGATGCGGTGTCTTGTTGGTATTGTGGAGTGAGGTGTAAAGAGCAAAAGCAAGTGTGCTGTGTCCTGCTGAGCGCAATACCTGCCTACCTTGTCCAAGTTATTTGTTTTGGTGGGGAGTCGGGGCGACGGTTGGCAACGACGCCAAGCCTAAGACAGCACAGCAGGGCGCATCCCAGCGTGCTAACTTCTTCTTACTTTTCGCAGATCCAGGTACACTCCACAGTCGTTCACCATGGAGCGTTTAGTTCGCAAATGAATTGTCGGTGCGCACTGCATGTCTGCCAGGCCAATATGAATTTACAAGGGCATGCGGCATTATAAGACAAGATAGATATATATACGTATGTACATGTATTGAGAATAAAAAACACGAGCAATCTCACGTGCAGACAAGATTAAAAGAGTCATGAATTCATTGGAACCGTGAGATGATCCCCATCGCATATGATTTTTTGATAGTGCCTTGGGAAGCATATGAAGTGCTACCAAACAGCAAGCCTATATAGCTTTGAACAGCCATTTCCATTCACGCCTTTCCACCCACCCGAGAATATGGATTGCAAGATTCGCCACGCGTAGAGCAGCCTCAACGCATTTATCTGTAACGCCATAGGGAGAGGGTGTTGTGCCTCTTCCAGGTCTTCCTCCTGCCAGCGGTGGTCTTGTTGTAACCGTGACCCTTGCCGAGACCGCGGCTCTTCTTGCCGGTGGCGGTGAGACCACGGCTCTCGCGGTGCTTGTGGACGGGGTTGACGATCCAGTTGATGCGGGGATCGCGGCGGATGGCCTTGTGCTGGGGGTCAACGAGGATGACTTCGTAGTACTTGTAGGTGGAGTCCTGGTTGATCCAGTAGGAGTTGAGGACACGGAGGTTGGCGCAGCGGCGACCGACACGCTCCTCAGCGGTCGACTTGAGCGAACGCTGGTACTTGAGCTGGTTGATACCCTGGTTGGTGGGCTTGCCTGCAAAGACTGTTAGATTGTGTTTCTCCAGCATGCAAAATTTGATGCGTACCGTAGGTGGCACCCCTAAAATTCGAATGTTAGCCTTCTTGTCCAATTCCTCGTGTGATTCGATTGTACGTACTTGGGAGCGGGCCTCTTGCGACCTCCACGGCGGACGCGGACGCGGTAGATAACGTAGCCCTGCTTGGCCTTGTATCCGAGACGGCGAGCCTTGTCGGGGCGCGAGGGACGGCTGGCACGGTGGATGACCTTGAGTTGGCGGAGCTATTGATGCACTCTCAGCTATGTTCAACGAGTACACCACATGGGCTTGGAGCTCCATGTTTTTTTTTAAGGGTTCATACCTCCCAGCACTACAAACAATGTTAGCAATGTTCTCCAGATCTATTCAGCATGGAGTTACATACGCGGACGCGCAACAAGAAGCGCATCATATCCGACTGCTTCTTCTTCTGAAGCTCTTCGACATACTTGAGGGCACCCATTGTCGCTGTTGGTGGGGGGTTAGTGGTCGGCGGTGTCGTTCGTCGGTTGGGGTTGAGGGAAGAAGTTCGATCAAGTTGCAAAATTCATGTGTGCGAGTGGGTCGCTGACTAACGGCATGAAAAATCTTGGCACCACCGTCAAACAGCACTAACCCAGAGCATGAGTGAAGGTAGCTAATTAAACAGACAGGACATGATTCAGACAGGAAGGTGCTTTCATCTTCTTGGTCGGACACAATACTCGTACAGCCATAGTAACCCCATAGGAAATCCTCGCACTCTGGATACTCGCAGTTAGCAAGACATCACTTTTTCAGTCCGCCTCCTCTATCCCATCCCTCGGAAGACTTTTCACCATTCTTCGCACCCCTCTCTCTGCATATCTCAGGCTTTTTTGGAGTGCAAAGTCATGTTCCACGTTCCTCTGGAACTCGCTGATGTTTGAGGCCCCATCTTTGATTGCTTCCGACTCAATACCAAGGGCCCTCTTTATGTCTCTCACAGCCTTCTTGTGCCCAAGCCCCAGCAATCTCTCCATATCCTCGACCTCCTTTACCCAAACTGCTGTGACTGACTTCGTCTGCTCGTTTGTCATTTGCTTCACCGTGGTTTCGAGAAACTCGTATTGAGAGAGCAGGTTTTCGCAACTATCGCTCAACTTGGAGGCGGATGTGAAGAGTGGGTTCGTGAAGAATTTGGGGGAGCGAGAAGTTGTAGTGGCGTGCAAAGATGGCCGGTCAGATGTATTCAGAGCTTTTCCTAGCATGGAGACCATGTCATCACGGCGACGCTTGTCTTCCTGGTCACTACAGTCAAAAGAGGTTGATTAGCAGTGAAAAGTGACCGGTGGAGAAACATGGCAGTGCAACGTACACCTGATCCGATCTCTTCTGAATCATCTGTTTGAATTCGCTTTGATCGTTCTTGACCTGCTCTCGAAGCTGATTGAGCATGCCCTCGTCGCTCTTGGACCTCTTCGACGATTTGGCTTGCCTTCATATGATCAATCGCTTATGTGACGACTACTGTAACAAGTCACTCACTGGTCCAATGTGGCTGGATCCACCTCATCGTGGTCGCGTTTTCGGACTAACTTCAGCTGCGCGGGCGGCTTTTGCGCAGCACCCGCCGCCCCCGACACGATACGTTGACGTGCCATCGATTCGGCAGGGCAATTAGTAAAGTTGCAGCTGAGGCTCAAGTGATTAGGAGGATGAGGTGTGGAAGTTATGAAGTGGCCGGGTTGGGCAATGTGAACAAACAAGACGGGAAAGAGCGAACTGGAGCGAGAAGGAAAGAGCATGCTTGGCTATCTACATAAATACGTACCTGTGTATGTACCTAGGTAGGTGTATCTGGACGTCTCTAATAGGTAGCTCCGCACGAATAGATGTAAAAAAAAAAAAGTTGCCCCGGATAGTACTATTGATAGATTTCAGAGCATTGAGTCGTCGTTAGTGATGGATCGGATCACAGCGTGCCGAATCATACCACAACGCCAGAGGAATTGGAGAAGACATCACGAATTTTTAAGTGCGATCGTGTAGAGAGCGAGCATTCGCAACATCATCATCGTCAAGAGTCAGGGTCAAACATATCGCCACAAAAACTTTTATTCTGCCATCTGCCCACCATATACTACCTGTACATGGGCATTAAACTGATGAAGAGAACCACATTATGTCTATCTTCATTCCGTCGTTCATGAAGAGAAAAAGTCTGGTATCCGCCAGAAACTTTACCATGAAAGTGAATCAGAAGCATGATTGGGGGGTAATGAAATGTGCAGGATACGAAAAGAAAGGCTGATGTAGAAGCATATGAGAAGAAAAAAAAGTCAAATCCCTGAATGTTCTTGTCGCTTCTTCACAATGACTGACAGATTTTCCGAGAAACCACTTTACCGAGTGTAGACAAGGATCGAATGATTAGATTAATCAACTCGATATGATAAATGACCCGCCGATAGTAGACCGTGATTGATGAGTGGGTGGCGATGATGATGTCCAGTTTACTTGCTCAAAGTCATATTGGCAAGCGCGTTGTTCATGTCACCTAGGTCAAAGTCAACTGAATTCAGACAGGAATGTTTCAATACATTGGTAATGTCTCGATGACTACCGGTACCGTAGCGGGGTAATGACTAACCATTCAAAGCCGACGAAGCTTGAGGCGTTGCCGTGGCCGAAGGCCTTGGGGTAGAGGAATGACCTGCGTGGTTTCCATGACCTGGATTTTGGTTCATGATACCGGCATTGGCACCAGCGCCATACGCATTGTAAGGGGATGCTAAGTATTGACCATAGATCGCGCCAAGGTTAGGACTAGCTCCAGCAAATGCTGCTTGTGCAGAAGTTGAAGCTGGGTAACCGCCACGATAAGAAGCATTGCTGGATGCATGATTGAAGGCGGGCGACGCGGAGAAAGTCGTAGGTGGGTACCATGCCCCGTAGTTCATAGGGCTGCCTCCGAAGCGGCCATACATTTCCGAGCCCATCGCTTGTGCGTGTGCCCACTGTGGCATCTGATATGCTTGCTGAGAGGCGAGAAGAGGAACTTGGTTCGCAAAAGGATAGTATGCCTCGTCAAGATTGCCTTGCTGCACATTCTGGCCACGACCGCGTCCTGAGCGAAATTAGCATTTTCGATCGAACTGAACTAATGAAAGGAGTCTTACCACGCTGATCGTTTGAGCGGTATGAAGGATTGCCAAAGCCAGGACCGACGGCGAGCGATGCATTTGATGGGTTCGAGTGAAGAATGGCACCGGGGCCAATAGCGGATGGTGGGGGGACTTGCATCATGCCAGCAGGATTGACTACAGAGGCAGGGTTAACTGCAGACATCCAGATGCGAATCTTGTAGTGCTTGAACAAATCGGCAACAAGAGGGTTGAAGTTGACATAGTGCTCGGCATAGTAGAAGAAGGTAATCTTGTGGTGGTCCCTACGCTAGTCAGTTCGTCCGTCAATGTCAACTTGAGGAGAATACTTACGCTTGGAATTCAGCATCGAGGATCTCCATGGGGAAACCATGGTCGGCTGTTTTGGTTACAGCCAGTCGTTTGGCTTTAGCTTCCTGTCCTTCTTTGTCGCGTAGGCTGTAAATTTCGTGTTGCTGCGCAAGGCGTTTGATCATCTTTGGCTTCGCGTCTGGGTCCTGTTGTGCCCCCATGCCGGTGAGTTGGGCGCGATTGGCGCTGTTCGGGACCCCGTTGGCACGGGCCAAAGATCCAAGCATCGGGTTGCTGTTGCCTGTACCGGCGACAGAGTATTGAGAGAACATGACGAGCCACCGGAAATGCTCTTCCAAAGCTTGTGCCTTATACTTCTTAGCATCTTCCAAGCTCACATCCGCGTGGGTAACTTGTCCCAAGTCGACGCCACGATCACCTTCGCACACCACGAGGTCACCGCGACGAATCTCAAGACCAGTATTGTCGTAAGTGTAGAAGACGTCAGCACGTGAACACTTGAAGGCGACGACATAGATTCGACGTCCTGGACGACCAAGAGTAGATGGAACCGTGTACGGATTCGAGGTGATGGACGGAACGTTGGATATGATTGGGTCTGGGTGGGCAGCCGAGATGGATGAAGCATTGAGAGCACGGGACGCCGGGCCGTATCCGCTGAAGTAGGCATTGTGATCGAAGTTGTCGGACGGGACAGGCGACTCGGCAGACTGCAAGGGGGACAGTTCCTCTTCATCCTCCTCTTGCGTATTGTCTAGCGTGGGGAGTTGGAAAGTCGAGGCATGGCTAGTGTAATGGGCGAATGAATGCCGTCGACCAAGCGCATCAGGAGCGAATGCTGGGACATTACCAAGCCAGTCTTGTGCAGCAGATGCACCAACAGGATCGGCCCCAATGTCACGTCCTATGCTTCCTACATGCTCACTGAAGCGGCGAGTCAACGAGGACCTAGCATTTTCGGAAAAGCGATCGTTTTCTTCATGCTCATCCACGGCGTAGTCGCTCGGCACGTTCCTAACACCCTGGGGTGTTCGGCGTGGGTGTTGCGCCACGGGAGATCCCGAAGAAGCTGCACGGTTACGGCGGGCATTCTGTTCGGCAGCCTGCTTGAGAAGAGCTTGGTGCTTCAAATCGCGCTGCTCGCGTTCCCAGTAGTTCATTGGTAGCCGTACTCCTTGGTCGGAGTCGTTGGTCGTTGTGGACTCCATTTCGTAGATGTCGTCTTCACGAAGCTGGCCCAGACCAGCAGTAGACTCGCCGAGGAGGCTAGGCTTGGATGGTCGGTGGCGAAGAGAGGATCGCAGGCGGGGGTTGGCTTGTGCGGGAGGAGCTTCAGTCTCACTCTGGCCTACGCTATAAGATTGTGAGCGGACAGCTTTGCGCACCGAGTTTGTCTGGTTCAGAAGAAAGCCGATAGTTTCCTCGGTTTCGGGGGTGGTGGTTGGCGATGGCAGCGGCCTCTCACCTGTGGAGTAGGCTGAAGTAGGTGAGGGAAGCACCTCCTTGAGGCGCGTGCTTGCGGAATTCGAGGTGAAGCTGGATGTGTTCCACGGGAACGAGGATGTGGTCGGTCGTGTCTGCTGTGGGAGCTCTAGGGAAGGTGTGGTGGGCTGGGAACCTGCAAACGAGACCGATGGTAGTGAGTATTTCCTGTTCGGCTGAATATCTTGAAGCCAGCCAGACGACGGTCTGCGCCCAGCTGGGTACGCTGGGTTTACAGAACGTGCTGGTGGCACGTGATCTCGGTCCTCGTCGCTCGAAGCCAGGACGTCACTGTCCGGGGTCGGGCGACGCATCTGCAGCTTAGATTTGTCGAAGGCGGGGCCGCCAACGGCAAGCCCACCCTTGTAGGAGCTTGCACTCATGGTAATATCTTTCTATCACGAGTATAAAGATGGCGCCACTTCTATCTATGCTATACTCTCCCCGTAGTTCTAGAGTTAAGGCGCAGTCGGTGCAACGAGCTAACCCGTTTAATATTCTTGATATGATGTCAGAGAGGAAGCAAGGCTGCTTTAATTGATGATTGGCTGGCGGCGAGTGAAGGGGAATATATCGGGGTGTCAACCAGGAGTACCCGGGCTAATTGGCTGGGGTAGCCTGCTATTGAATTAGCTCGACAACAGTAGAGATGTAGGTGAGGTAATCTCAAGTGTATGAATGAGCCGATGAGAAAATGAGCCACAGGCTCAACCAACAGGAAATGTTCGAGATTAGGGGAAAAGACTCACAATGATCGCCTTTTGACACTCTATCTGTACACACAAGCTTGTTGTGTAGCGATCCTGGTAATCGATCGAAGGAAGATATATATATCAACGATCGTTGTATCGAGGTAGAAAGATGTCGCAGAGGTCAAAGGACAGTAGAAATACCAACGGCGAGGGCAGAAAAAAGGGGCGAAAAGAATTGAGTGCGGCTACTGAATAAATAGCAGTGGGAGATACGGTAGGAATACCGTGACGGGATGGAGGTGGTATGAACAAATGGTGAATGTGGTGTGTTACGGGGCAGTCCAGGATTCGTCTTCCGAGCCTATGGTTGATTTTGGAAATAGAAGAAGTAGCGGCAGGCGAATTCCGGAATTACTGTTTGCAAAACTCAGCACAGCACTCTCGATGGTGGAAAACTTATAGTGGCGTGTGTCTTAGGGGGTTTTGGTGATGCCAGCAGGTGGATCCACGCATTTTGCTCGCGTGCTTCATTCAATGGAGCAGCACGCAACGACCATCATGCGCTTCTCCTCTTTTTGATCGCACCAGGAATTGAATTCACCAAAGCCACAAGGCCAGGCAGAGTAGCACGGCAATTGTGAATCGCGTGTGCAGATGGGGCAAGCTGCTTACCTGAGTACAGAACAATGATACGTGTCGGCGACAGTGAATGTATAAACTCCAAAGCCTTCTATTCGTGGCCAACAATTATTCTGGAGGGAATTAGTCCATTTGCTACACGACACCAGTTGCTTTGCGCGGGATGCAACGGGTGGAGTGCGAGGTCTGCAAGACGGTCCGCCGCCATCCAAGTAGGAACAAGGAAAATACGTACCGAACCAATCTATATCGCTAGAAAAGCACTCTTGAAGAACAAAAACAATCTTTCCTTTCTTTTGGGGTTCACGCGAAAATAGCTGAGACGAAACATGGGATCAGCATTGGGGAGAGAGGGGAGAGACGGAGCATCTAGAGAATAGGTACCTCAGAAAGCAAAATCAAACACTAAACTCTTAATCCGGTCTATCCCTAGTCTTCTAAAGTGCGTGAATGGTGGAAGAAACAGAGGGGTGAATACTAGAGCATCAGTGGTTTCATGGGGATGGATGTACGGGGACGGGCTCGGCAGGAGAGAGCTTCAGCAGTGGACGAGGTGGGGAGCTGAAGGTCACGTTTGTCGGTCAATTCGAGTTCCTGGATGCGCGCTTATGAAGTTGGGCGCATGGTCGCCTGGGAGCCCTGGAGCGATGGAGGGGCACAAGAACAATGGATGTCTGGGAGAAGGCTGGGTGTTTGGCCAGAGAGTCGGAGGGGAGAAGAAAGACCAGGTGGAGTTGGTTGGGATGGGAGTGATCGCAGGTGGAGTGAGCGGGAGGCGCGCAGCAGTAGTGGAGCACACGCAGTTGACGGTAATAGCCTTGTCGCAAGCAAGCAACAGCTGATGGAGGGCGAGATGGATGGATGGACGGATGGGCCAGCAGATGGATTCTGAGTCTGTTGTCGGCCGTCGCAGGCAAGCGAGCAATGTCGGAGGGGAGGGGGAGTGAGGTATGATGTAGGAGGGAAAGGCGCTCGCGACGGCTTTGAGGCGCTGCGGTGGACTGGCCTTCGCGGATCAGGGGGTTTTGTAAAATGCGGAGACGATGAAGCTAGCGAGCTAACCCTGCACGCACGGTTTAGGACTCGGGCGGGGGCCATGAAATGGATGTCAGCAATTGACCCGCCCTCTCCTCCTCCCACCACCACCACCTACCGTCGTCCACCACCACCACACACCACACACCATCACGTCCACCGCAATCAATTTCCATCAATCTAGATCCTGTGCCTTGTACACGCCTGCTTACGCTACCTCCCCTGACCGTGCATGCAGATTATTCCTCGACAGCACGCAGACAGACAGACAGACAGACAGACAGAGCACTGGTGGCTACGCCCCATCCGCTTCCCTTTCTTTCAACGCTTTATTCATCATGCACGCCATCCTGCTTCGCTTCACCCACCCTTCATTACCCCCGCCGCCAGCCAATCGCTGCTTGCCTACCTGACTGCGCTCTCTGCTTGCTCAATAGCCAGCACTAGCATCACTTCTTCATATGATGATGACCTCCCAATGGATGGATCCTTGGGTCGCCAGATGCATCATCTTGCTTTACTATCCAGCCACACTGTTCAGCCGTCCACCATCCATCCATCGTCATCATCATCGTCACCATCATGATCCACAGCTTCTCCCTCTGGGCACATATGCATGCATGCCCTTCCCTCTTCCCCCCGGCTCAGAGCTGAGGGGCCGTTCCTGGAGCTAAGCATGAAGGCGGCTGCACGAGACCATGTTCAAATAGCGGGGTGCATCAATCAATCAAACATTGAGCCATCAACGTCCAGAGCGGACGTCGGACAGAGCAATGTACAGTATTTACCTGGGAACGAGCTTGCTTGCCCTCGTTGACCCCGCATTTCGTCTGCTGTGTGCGTGTTCGTGTGTCCTTGGCTGTGTGTGGCGCAACAGCATGCTCGAGCCAGTCAGCACTCGAGCCGTCCAAAGACACCTCCTGCTCCTCTCCCCCATTTGTGATTCGAAACATGTCGACACATCAATAGATTTTCCGGTACGCACTCATCCTAGACGAACCGCCTTCGGCCCGACGCCACTTCAACACGGGTCGCCCGGGCTTCGGCTGCGGAGGCCAGCCTTGAGCTCCAGCCTTGGCTTTGGATGGGAGCCACGACTGCATCAGTGGCTGCTCGCCATCACCAATTCCTCATAGGGTGATCGGCGACGCCATACTCGTCGCGAGCAAGCGCTCGTATCATCGAGTGTGGGCAAACTAGATGCACATAGCCGCGGTACTGCCAAAGGCAAGCGTGAGACAAGGGCCCACGGTTCAATCGTTCGTGGCTAAAATCCGCCGGCTGGTGGGCCATTCTGCGGCACGATGCGTCTCCAGGGCCATCGCACCTAAAACAGCCAGAGGTAGGAGGGATTTGCCAGCAACGTGCATCGACTGACATTCGGAACATGGTTGCCAAGTCAGAGCACGGTGGTCGAAGCTTTGCTCGCACGCATGCACGGCAAAGGAGAAAACAATGTACATGGACAGGGACATAAAACGGCTTCGTGAGACTCTGCCAAAAACCACTTCCATGGCCTGGCAGGGAACGCACTACACTGCATCAGCAGCAAGCCGAAGAGCAAACCAACGGAGAAGCCTCCTGCTGAGCAGTCGATGGTAATTCTGTAGGAACCCGCCTTAAAAAGTGGCTCAGACTGAGACTCTTGTCTTTGCAATACAGATACGGGCAGGACACGATGATGTTTATATTGAAGTTGTTGAGCGACGAGCCAAGGAAGCAGTAGCTGTCACGATGCGTTGCCGGGTGCGGCGTCTGAATGACGATTGAAGATAGTGGTGGTGATGATGATGATGATGATGATGTAGATTACTCATGTGTTGAATTGACGGTACCATGCCTATGCGGCAATCGAACCAAGTAGTTCGCATCGGAAGATTAAAGTCGAGCGAAAACACTGCGTAGCTAGGCAGCCCTCACGCGCAATCCATTCGATGACATGCATCATCCTGTCTCGCAGGATTGATGTGATGATGCTAAACGCCGTATACATGTCTGTATTGGCATGTATATCTCCTAAATAAACCACATGGTTGAGGCCGCTGTTGCCGTCTCAACCACGGAGTGACGCCATCTCAGCCAATCATGGCCTGTTGTGGCTCGCAATCCCAACTCAGCCTCCCTCTCCCCAACTGGTCGCAGGGCAATCAACACATAAACAACATCTGTTGATATACAGCTGCCTCCAATTCTGCTCCTCCATCTCTGCTTCGCAATAGCTCCACCTCCACGTCACCAAAACTCAAAACCCCAGCCGTTGGCGCAGAAAAAGGTGAGTGTTCTCGATCACTCGATCCGGCCGTGACTCGGTAGTAGCGGAAGCTGCCTGCGCATCATTGCGCTCTGACGTAGTTCACCACCCCATCACACTCCCTCGTGCCTATGACGATTTCAGACCCGCGACCGCCCGCTGACTTTCGCTTTTAAACCCAGAAGCAATCACTCTCTCCCTGCATAGCAAAACCCTCTTTGCTGTGCATACTTTCACATCTGCATCTGCATCCGCATCTCGCGCAGCCCTACGACCCTTCTTCTCGCTATTTCCTCGTGCATAGCCTGACGCTTTGAGACATAGTCCTTTATCACCCATCCTCACCACCACCACAACAACAACGAAAACTATCTCCGCTTTCTCCCTCCACACTCATCATGGTCTCGCAAGCATTGACCCTTGGTCTTCGTGGCTGGCAGGTACGTCGGTTTCCGATTCAATCTTTCCCTGCGTTCAGCATGTCGTCTCTTGGCTAACGCACGCATTGCAGTTCCTCTGCTCATTAATCATTCTGGCCTTGGTAGGCAACATGATTGCGACCGCATGGTCCGGCAACTCCGCAATGGTCAACTATGATATGTTCGTAGCCGTCTTCGGCATGTTGTCGCTGCTGTACCTTCTCCCGACCGCCTTTCTCTCGAGTTACAGCGTCCCAATCGTCAACATCGCCCTGGATGCCTTGAACGTCTTGTTCTGGTTTTGCGCTGCTGTTGCCACTGCAGCCTACTTGGGTGTGCACAGCTGCAACGATAGAGTAAGTCAACTTCGTTCTGCGCCCTTTATCTTTCCTGGGCCACCTTTCTGATGCTAGTAGGCTTATACCACCACCAACCACATCACCAACGGCTCGCCCAACACCGAAAAGCGATGCCGCGAAGCACAAGCCTCGACAGCTTTCTTCTGGTTCGGCTGGGCTGCCTGGGTCGCTACCCTTGCCTTCTCCGTTATGGCTGGTCGCGGCAATGCCAACTTGCGTGGTGGCATTCGTCGTGGCGGTCCTGCCATGAGTCAGGTCTAGAAACCTTGGTTCGGTTCCGTCAACTCGTGGGAAAGTACAGCCTCTTGGAATACTCGCCACGATCACGGTATCGAGGGATGAAACGGCTTGATGCAGGGGCTATACCCTTGTGCATTCGGAATTTAAACCATGTTTACGTATTATTCGGGTGATGATATGCTGGGTCAGGACACATGGAGGCACAATGGGAATCGGGACATTTTGGGAATACCAGGACACGGTTTGGTAACGATTATGGCGTTCACGTCTGATGCTTTGATAGCAATGTAGCAATAATTATCATCTTCTCGACGGCAATTCGCCGTGTACACATGGATACTTTGTTTTGGTACTAGCCTACCGTACATCCAGGGTCGGGTGGGGTAAGCGAGTGGATGGGTGTGATGATCATCATACATAGATCAGGGCGTACGGCGTCAGCATGCCCAGGCAAGGCAGCACTTTACCCCATCATCCACCGTCGACTACTCACCCATTTGAACTATACCTCACCTTTGAATCTCGATCTTCATTGTTTCCGTACATCCACCATCTGCATCCATACATACATGTATGTACATATATGTGCATGCTGGCTCACCTGATACCACAATGGAGGGCAAGCACTTCCGCTTCACACGTCCTTATCCACCGATGGATAAAGACCGTCCCGGCGAATTAGGATGGCAATTCACCAAACAGAACCTATCTCTCAAACACGCAACACCTCCGACTCAAGTGTCCAACACTACACCCATCACACAGCAACCACGACCCATCACGACCCCCATCAATCTTAACAACAGCAAACTCCTCTCCCTCCCGCAGGAACTCCGCCTAATAATCTACCACTACGTCCTCACGGACCCTTCCAACCCCAACCAAACCGTGGAAATCTCCCGCCAGCCCCTCTCCCCAGTCAAATCCTCCCTCCGCTTCCCGAACCCAGCAATCCAATTCACCATTTCCCCGCCGCGCAACTCCCCCATCAACACGGCGCTCCTCCGCGTCAACTCCGCAATCTACAATGAAGCGCTCCCGGTCCTGTATCACTCGATCCGCTTCGCAGTCGTCGACTTGCAAGGCATCTTCCCTTTATTCCTCAACTCGCTGCCGGACGCGAACCGCGCGCTGATGCGCTACGCGAAACTGCGGATCCCGGCGTCGCTGTACGACGTCGACATGTTTCCCGACCCGCCCGTCGCGACGCTGCTGTTCCACTGGGCGTTAACGTGTGCGCAGGTTGCCAAAGTCGAGGGGTTGTGGGATGTCGAGGTTGAAGGGTTGAGGGGGATTTTCGAGGGCGGCGGGAGGTTGGAGCGCGGGTTGTTGGGGCCGCTGGCGCGGATGAAGGTGAAGAAGGTTTTTTGTGGTGGGGAGGCCGTGGATGCCGAGAGGAGGTTGGAGGCTGTGGGGGATAGGCTCAAGTTGCAGGATGCCGAGAGGAGGTTGGTGAGGGGGGAGGATGGCGATGAGAAAGAGGATGTGGTGGAGGGCGGTGCTGAGGAAGGGAAACAGATCGCGATGCCTTCATCTTCTACTTCTGATGAGTCGACGCCTCCTGCAGACAACACCGACTCATCGCTCTCATCAAACCCACCTGCCACCACTATCGTCACAAACGTCATCACAAGCAACAACAACAACCACCAACCCCGCATCTACGAAGACGACCCTCCCCCCTACACCAGCCCAACAGACTGGGACATCACCTCCCTAGACTGGGACGTCACCAGCTTCTATTCCCCGACGTCGCCGTCCCCTTCGTCCCCTCTCTTTCCCGCATCACCAACATCCACGGATATGTCCGAAGGAATCATGGTGAGCAGCCCCGTCTCGTTTGATGCGTTTAGCAGTGATGGGGAGATGATGTGGGATGAGTTGAATAGTAGCGGTGGTGGCAGTGGTGACGCAGAAAGGGGGGAAGGAGAAGAGAGACATGGGGTGTAAGTAATTAGTTTTTTGTCGGAAAAAAAGGGCAGCGTTGATGGTATTGGAGGTGGTGTTTGGGTGTATGTTTAGGAGTTTGCGATTTTGGCTTCCCTTCTTCTTTGTCTCCACGACGAGTTTGGATTGGGAGACTTGGAATCTAAACGAGGGGGCGAGCGGGGTTTCTTGTGTGGGGTTTTGCTGTGTGGTTAATGGACTGATTCGATATACCTTCCGTCTGGGATAGGACGAATGTTCAGAGGCTCTTCTTTTATATTTACTGGTAACATATATAGAATTAGCTATATGTACCTTCAGAATCAGACGCCTCCTCACGAGATTCGAGAAACATTGCTTCGAGAGCCATGTATGTTCTTCCAGAAAACAACCACACGAGCAACAGAGCCAACTGCAAGATGTGTATAATAAGAGTGTCATCGTGGAAAGAAGAAGAAGAAAAAAAAGGCAAGATCTTTTTTTGGTTTCGTATGTATCAACCCATTCCCCCAGTCCCCCCATCGATCCCATATCTGGTAAACGCCATTTCAATGCTATAAATGTATGATGTCCATAGCATCATTCATCATGTAGTCATCACCGCCCCCCATGTAACTGTAACTAGTAAAGAAAGATCGTTTGAGCCTGCAAAAGCTCATAACCATGGAGAAAACATGCATGAATTCGTTTCCTCGACCTCGTAGCCCCCACATCCTGCAAGCAAAGACAGTGCTCACTGCAACAACGGATCGCGGAAGTGCTTCTGGAAGTTGTGACGTCTCTCGTTGCCGGCTTGGTACTTGGTCCTCGCACGCTGCTCGCGTTTCTGCTCGCGCTTTTCGACGGCACGGATCTCGGCCTTCTTCGCGTCGCTCACGCCTACCATACCCATGCCACCGTTGGCTCGGGTCATCAGTTGGCGACCACGACCATTGTCGTTGTGTGGGCGATCGGCGTCCTCGTCCTCGGAATCGGCATCGGAATCGGACGATCCGGCAGTAATGGTACGGCGGTTTTGCGCTTCCATACGCTCGGCGACACCTGGGTAGTTGCGGAGATTCTGGCGGTAGTATTTCTGTAAAGAGCGGTGACCTGCAACTCGTCCCGAAGGTAGGTGGAGCTCGTATTCGTCGTGATATACTGCAACAGGAGTGGCGTGCGCGTGCGAGTGGAAGCCGTCTGCGTTGCGGTGTGGGCGCGGATCACCGTGAGCGTGGTGCCTAGACTTGTGCAGCGACTTGTGGCGGTGTGAGCGATCGATGGGGATTGCAGTGATCTCATCTGTCGGTACGCTCGAGACAGTGCTGTCTGTTTCCCAGCCTTCGTCCTCCTCTGCGCCACCATCCTCAGTTGTTGTGACTGTTCTACGAGCGGCCCCCAACTTGACGCCTCCACCTGCAGTCGATGTTGACTCATCCGAGTTCTCTGCTTCTTCCTGCATAGCATCAAATTCGGCAGCGTCAGGATAGGAACTCCGGAAGTCGTAGAAATCACCAATTTCGACAAGTTCCTCATCCGTTTCGTAAGCGATAGTGCAGTGGCCAAGATCACGCATATGGGTTTGAATGCCAGAGGCAGAGTGCAGCATCTTCTGACACTTCAGACACTGGAAACCTTCGTGGACCTTGCTGTGGAGATACTTGAACAGGCCTTCAGAGTCGACAAGGAAGTCCTTTTCGGGAAGGAACAAGCCGTGGAAGCGGGTCATGTGGTGGATGTTCAGGTTGAAGTTGGGCGACCGGTAATTGCAGAAAAGGCAGTCCAAAAGCGGATCGGTCGAAGGTTTTGTGGATGCTTGCGAGCTGGTGTCGTCTTCGGATTTCTCGGACTGAGAGTTGTTTGGCCGTGTGGGCCGGCGCGAAGTGGTACCTTCGGTGTCCAGTTTCGTATTTTTGATGCCGTCCACGACATCAGAAAAGTCCTTCTCGGTCGTGGCTTCCGATTCGGCCATGGACTCGCCCAGGGAAAACGCCGAACTCATGACTGAGCCGGACACAGATGCAGCATCGTCGCCATGGCTCCTACCAGACTTGGCCATGTTGATTTTGTGTTTTTGACTGTTCAGATGGTTGTTGTAGGCATTCTCGCTGTAGTAGGTTTTTGAGCATGCCGGGCAAGACTTCTCAAATGATGCTTTGGCGGCGGTGGCGGCGGCAGTGGCCTTGTTAGCGAGCACCTTCTCGGTGAAGACTTCGGAAGACAGCGGTGGCAATGAGGCGACACGGCGTTTGAGATTGTAGCGACTGCAGAATGTCTTGGTCAGTACAGTACATGGCATGGGCGCGCAAAGGACTGGACTCGAGGACTCACTGCCAGTCGGTTTGCATGTGGGCACGCTGCAGTTCGCCCGAGCGGAAAGCGACCTGGCAGGTGTTGCATGTGAAGGGGTGGGTAGACTGCACTGCGCCTTGGGAAGCCATTTTTGCTGTGTGGGCGAGCGGGTAGGTGATTGTGGGAGGGAGAATGTGTGTGGGTTGGGAGATTTATTATAACTAGGTAGATATGTAGATGACTAAGTGGGGTGAGAGAGGCCGACACTGGGCAGAAGATGTAGATGGAATGTTGGCGCAGAAGGGACACCGGCAAAAGTTTGTTTCAGGGCCTCGTATAATGGATTGAGGTTCTGTGACTACATGGGCACCTTATCATCCATATTACCTCTCAATGATGCTGGGCGCATTTTGACTCGGTTTTTCTGCTGCCCCTCCTCCACCGGCGGCGAATATTCTTTAGTAGCCGAACTCAGACTAGCTCCATCAGTGACATATGCCAAGGCTAGTGGACCCTGAACCCGGTACACCAGATTGCTTACAGCACCCCAGTAAATAAACATCCATAGCTTACAACGTCCATCCATCCATCCATCCACCCATCCGAGCATCATTCATGCAACCCGTTCGATGATGCCCCCGTCGGAAAGGGCTGGCCCTCATGACGACCAAAATGACAGCGGCAATGGCAATAAACGCGAGGAAGTCCAGTCTCCCCATCGCCTCCTCGAATGCGCCCAAGTCATCAGGCACCATCAATTCCTGCGATTGGTCCGCCATTTCCTTGTACAGATCCTACATGGGTGCACCGAAACCTACTGCACAACTCCCACCTGTCTTTCATCCAGCAAGCGCCAGACTTCGAGACCTTTCCGAGCCCCTACCCAGCTCACTGCTCGTGCCTTGGCCTACTACCTCGCCAGCCAGGACAACCCTCACCGTGCCTTGTGCCCGCATCCTTTGAACTCGGATCCAGACGATATGGTGCTTGACGATGGGTCTGAAGGTATACTCACGTGGCGGGCACATCAACAGATATCCTCTCCCCTTAAAGCTACTTGGTCCCAAGTCGATGCTCATCATCTCGATGAACGCGTATTACGCTTGAGAGACGATATTTACCAGCGTCGTCAGTACAAAAAAGACTACAAGTCTCTCGGTCAGAACATATATGATACCATCGCCGTCATCTCCTCCTACTCCAAGCACATGCCCAGCCCTCGCACTCTCTTCGATATCATACGCTCACCTGAAGTTATCCCTCCATCTCCACTTGATGGCTCGTTAGAAACGTCACACGCCCCAAAGAAAGATCGGGGCACCCCTCCGGCTAATGCCCCTTCGCGCCAATCTTCGCAATATGCGTCTTCAATACCTACTCGAGAAGACCGACCTATCGAGTCCTCGCGCTCTTCCTCAGAACGTTCATCTCGACTACATGTATTTTCGCATCTGACTTGCAGCCTTCTCACCAAGATGAAAGAAGAGAACTATGACCACCGAGATGATCATGAGGCAGATTCCCCTTCTACATATATCGTGGACTTTGAATCGCATCGTCGTCATCGCCCTGTCAGACCTTTCGTTAACAGATCACTGTTTTTTACTCTCAGCGATCCTGAAAGCTTGCTCAAATCTTTCCGAGATGGTAGTAGTTCAGACTACCACGACTCTCCGCTTCCTCATCTCGATGCTTACCTTCTCTCAAACGCTTTCAGTGATTGGGATCGGCGAAACGGAGCTCTCATCTTTGACAGTCTATATATAGCGTTGGACGCTCTGTTTCGCCCCCCGCCAGAGATAGACACCCAAAAGAGCCCACGTCTTAGACCTGCTAGTAAAATGGCAAATCCAGACCGGGCTGACAGTATTGTGTCATCCGCATCGTCCAGATACCTGTCAAATGAAGAAGCTGCACACATTGTCATGATATGCATACATGCTCTGACTGCCCTTGTATACAAAGGTTGGCCCGCAACTTGGGCAGAAGTGCGTGTCTTTCGAGGCTGGGGAGTTGTCATACCAGGCTCTTCGCCAGAGACAGATCACACCGAGAGCTTCAACCGCCCATGGCTCCGAATTGTGGACGAACTGGAATATGAGCCTGCTATTCGTTTAGCCAACCGTCTACTCAGTGGCATTGGAATTCGGATGTGCTTTGAGCATATTCTTACAAGTCTAGATCATCACGAAGACCCCGATACCAGCGCTGGACCAAGTCTGCGCGTGGATGGTCTGTTAGAGATCCTGGTGAAACATCTTATTGTTGTTGAGCGCGTAGCACTCGCTAAAAAAGCAAGGCTGAAGGTAGACGCACCCCCAGAAGAAGATCCAGGGTGGACGGTCACTTCAACATGGATGGAATGGTTGAGAACGATCATCGTGAAGAAATTTGATGGCAACGCTGAGGTCAACAAGTGGGGGAGTACTGGAGCAGCTTTGCTTGTTCTTGAAAAATTATGTGCGTACCGTACTATGAATTTGCTAAGAGCACCAAGCTGACAATCATAGATGCCGAATCAAGCGCCCTTAATCTGCGCAAGAACATGTTTCATATACCATACCTCAATAAACGAATGAATGCTGCCGAAGTGCCAAACAAGTTTCTGAGCTGGGAGGACCAGCCAAACACGCTCCATCTTCTGCGGCTTCCGTTCTTGTTCAAAGATAACTACATTGTTGCATATTTCCGAACCATAAACTTTACTATAATGTCCAACCAGTTTCTACAAGCAACGCGGTCCACGGAGTTGCGAAACCGCTTTGATTCCTTCATAAGCGCTGCACGGATGCAACAAGTCGATGAATTGCTGCAGGTCACTGCGGACGAAGTCTTGCAATTAAAAGTCACTCGCGAAAACCAGTTGGAGCAGACCCTGGATCAGCTTTGGGGCCAGGAAAAACGTATGCTGCTCAAACCTCTCAAAGTGCGGCTCGGCACATCGGAAGGTGAATACGGCCTTGATCAAGGTGGTGTAACATATGAATTCTTCCGCCTCGTCCTCAAGGAGGCCTTCCAGCCCCAGACCGGTGAGTTTAATTCTCTCCACTTCTGGAGCTGCTGCTGATAGTGTTCCAGGAATGTTCCTAGTTGATGACCAAACCGGCATGATATGGTTTCATCCAGCGACGTTTGAACCGACGTGGAAATATCAAATGCTCGGTGTAATTTTCTCTCTTGCTGTATACAATGGCATCACTCTTCCTGTTACGTTTCCACTCGCATTGTATACGAGTCTTCTTCAGCCAGATCTTTCCCGCATGAATATTGACGACTGTGCCACGGATTTCATTCGTGATGGTTGGCCTACCCTCGCAAAATCATTCGACGACATGTTAGCCTTTGATGGCGATGTATCAGAAACATACATGCGGGATTACACATTCAGCTATGAAGCGTACGGACGACACGTTGACATCGACATGCAAACTGCATGCTCGGTCGAACCGACCGCGTCGAACACGCCACTCGTCACCAACGCCAACCGGCACCAGTTCGTCAAAGACTATATAACCTGGCTCACCAGAACCTCCATTAAACCACAACTCGACGCATTTCGCGAAGGCTTCCGGACTTGTCTGCATCCGGCTTCCCTCCGCCTTTTCAACCCCGAATCCCTTCGCTCCCTCGTCGAAGGCAATCCTGTCATTTCCGTCCAGCTTCTGCGAAAACACACGCGTTACGAAGGTTACTCGGACACCGACCCTATCATGCTGGACTTCTGGTCCGTCGTTGAGACATATAGCCAAAAAGAACTCCGACATCTTTTGGAATTCGTCACCTCCAGCGAACGCGTGCCCATTACGGGTTATGAGAGCATGAATTTCACCATTGCGCACGCCGGCGGGGATACAGAGCTCCTGCCGACCAGCAGTACTTGTTTCCGGAAACTTTCGTTGCCGGCGTATAGCGGTCGGGAGCGGATGAGGGAGAAATTGCGGATTGCATTGGCGCATTCGGAGGGGTTTGGTGTTGTTTAATTGAATCGGGCACCTTTTTTTCTCTTCATTCATTGTTCTTGGGACGTGGCTTTTTCTGTTGTCTCCGGAGGGGGGGCAGAGGTTGTATTCTACTCTTTCTTCTATAGGGTTGTTGATGCAAGATCCTGGGAAGAAAAAGCTGTCTATAGGCTGGGGAATGGCGTACATATTTCTACTTGTGCATATACACATTGTGGTATTAGTCCCTCTTGCGATCCTGCTTGGAGGGAAAGAACAAAAAGTATAGACGGTCGACTGCCAGAACAAAAGCTCTATTCGTGAGAAAAGACTTGGTCGCGCATACTCGTGGTAGAGCTCGTTCTCTCGCCCAACATGATATTGAAGATTTTCGCTATGTGTCATGCAGACACTCAGAATTGAATGATGCTTCGTCCAAGGCAACCACTCACGAACTCCCATCTATCCATCCACCCATCATGATCCTGTTCCTGTTCCCCGTTCATTTCCCTCTTCTTCTTTTCCCTCTTTTCCATCCCAGTTCTTCCCTCGACCCTTTTCAGTTCATGCTCAAACAACATCTATAGAACGTAGACTAAGTTTTTTTTTTAGCGATACAGCATCTGGGATTTTGAATGTCAACAGAAAAATTTGTACCTGAACAAAGTGTGATAGATAGATGTACCATGACACACAGAGAGAGAGAGAGAGAGTTAAGAAAAAACCAACAAAACCAACACTGATTTTAATAGCCAAATAAAGAGCGTGTGCTTCGTAAGGGATATCTAATTACTCGCTTTTCTGTGCCTGTTTCACATCTAATCATTTGCATCTAGATTTTAGCTGTCGGGGCGCAACATTGTGTCCTTTGCATGCAAGCTTTGAACGTGGTATATAAACGGTTCAACAACCAGATTTTGATGCTCGCAAAACGCTTGCTTGATTTCTTGCCTGCTTGCTGGCTGCCCGGTCGATCTATTCTTCAATTTCTGCTCGCGGCGCTACTGTATCAACGTTCCGAGCCTAAAAAAAGAAAAATATATAAGACAAGGCATTTTTTCAAGGTGACAAGAAAGAGGTGCAAGTGGAAACATCAAAGCCCAGAAGACAATAGAACAAGAAAAAGAAAGAGAAGGAAATTGGGGGTATAAAGTTTTGCCGGACAAAAAAAAAACAAGAAGAAACGATAGCAAAAGAGTAAAAACGCAAATGGATGAGACAAGGAGCAAAAGCCTGTGAGAACAGATCGGTACAGCTCATGACCAACAGTCCCACCTCTTCTTTTACTCGTCTGTCTTCCAAATCAAGACTCAGGTTCCTCAGCGCCTCAGAGTTGAAGGCACAGGAGAGGGTCAGACGCAAAGATACCAAGGATGAAAGAAATGACCTATACGCCCAGAGCAAGGCGCGCGCAAGTATCTGCATTACCACGCCCCAGAACCGTTCCACTCCTCACCCCGGTCGTAAAACCTGTTGGAGGCTGAGAAAGGAGGTCAGCACAAAAGAAATAGTTTCAATGAAGTGCTAGACAAGGCATTCAGGTCAAAGCGGCAATGAAACCGTCTTTGCTCAACCCACTATCATAATTGCTGTTGCTATTGCCGTTGCCGTTCCCCTCCGCCGGTCCATTTTGAAGTTGTTGTTCGGCCAGCGCAGCAGTAGCTTGCGCCGCGGCAGCTTCACTGGCAGCGGCCATGGCAGCTTTGAGATCGTGGTCAACAGAGGAATGGTTGGATGCGGATCCCCCATTGCCCGCGCTGCTGGCAGGTCTGGTATCGGTACCTTCGCGCTCCCCTACAGCAGCCTCAGCAAGATGTTGGAGACCTGCCATATTAGGTTGGTTCGCAGAATTGTTTTGGTCCAGCATCATGTTCGTTGGAGTTGAGGCTTTCTTTTGATGCAAAAGGTCGCGCAAGGCAATATCCCAACCAAGATTATCGACGCTGCTATGGACGATTTGCCCATTTGCCAGAGCATCACTCATTTCTTTGATGCTGGCGTGAGCCTCAACCTGAGTCTCCACTCGCTCAGATATATCTGTCAAAGTGGTCGCCACCAGATTGGCGAAGATGTGATGCAGTGGTGTGACTGAACCGTGAATCAGGTTGCTCAACAGATACTTCACCATTGACAGTGTCTCGGATGGAGATGCATGCTCCGAATTCCGGGTGACATAGATGCGTAGATACTGGTATGCAAGATAGGGAGGTGCGTTGACGGTCAATGGACTTATTTCTAACGACTCTCGATATCTGTTGAGCTGGCCGTCGAGATAAACAGTAGCAGGGAGAGTTGCCGATAGAGCTGCAAAGAAATTTGGTGAGGAAGGGTCCATTTGCGGTACTTTGGACGCTTGTGTAATGAAAGTAATCTGGCCTAGTATATCCGCAGCACGGGCAAGATGGTAGCCCACTTCTCCAAGAGCTTTCAAATCATCTAGGGTCACGGATCCAGAATGCAGAGGAAAGAGTGCACTTTTTTCCCTGCTTGCAGCGTAGAATCGATCCAGAATGAACGCTACCCAAAAAGTCCGTCGGGCTGCTTCGTAGATGTCGTGATCCTGGCTGCGCAACAGCGAAAGCACCTTGGCATCGTTTAGTCCGGATTCATTGATGCATCCAACCAACCGTCCAAGGAGCTCGGCAGTGCTCCCCACGGTGCTTGGCCCAGGTCTGTCGGATGCAATTATCAGGAATATCAACGACTGGCAATACGCGAGGTTGTTGTAAAACTGTCGCGAGCTGTCTGCGTCATGTAGAAGCTGTTTTGCTGATTCAATGAGCTCGTAGCAGAGTTGCGGACTGGGCTCGACGTTCGCCAATTCTCTCGGAGAAAACGGGCGTACAGAGCATTCCAAGGATTTGAAGAAAGCCTCCCTCAGTTTGGAAGGGCTGTTGAATAGACGATTCAAATGATTTGAATTTGGTGGTAACAAAGGCAAGGCCGGGTGAATGTATTCGTAATAACTGTTTCAGCGTTAATTGTGTCCTCGGTGTGGGGTAGAAAAATGCATTGGGGGAGGGTGGGGGATTCCTTGACTGATGGTACACTTACGCTTTGATGGCGGTTTCGTTCGCTCCTGTGATTAACTCGCCTGCCATTGTCATCTCCGTAAAAGAGCCGCGCCTGTTGTGCACGTCCATTCCGTTGGAGGCAGATTCTTCGCCAGTCAGTGGATAGACATTGGTGTCATGGGTGGAAAATATACCACGATCGTGGCCAGACCACGGACGGTTGATACTATCTCCATAATTTTCCGACATGGAGTGGGTGCGCTTCCTCTGCATCTGCGGAGGTTGCACATCTCCCACCATTTGGTCGCCAACACCACCAAGATCGTAGGCTGTCGTAGTCGGGCCACTTCCCATTTGGTTCTCGAGCGTGAAGACTCGTTCAGCTAGCTCTTTAATATATCCTTTGCTGGGTCCTCGTTTCATAGGCTGTCTACTAAACTGACACCTTACGCCAGTTCTTTTGCAGCTCGAGCAGGCTTCCGGGCCATTCTCAGTGGTAGCATCACACCTGATCTATGTCTTGTCAGCCAATACGCGATTTTGCTTGTGAACGCGCGCGCGCCTACCTTTTTCCGCCGGCACTCGTCGCAGGCGCGGGAAACTTTGGAACGTTTTCTACTCGCGCTGTCGTCGCCATACGCATTGGGATCTTCCAGACCCATCACTGACTGGGCGGACTGTGCCATGTGCTGGGGAGAATGTGTCGGACGCGGGGGCGTTTGGAAATGGTGATGCGCGGCGCTCAACGCGTTCATCTGGTGGGCTTGCGAAGTCTGCTGGTGCTGCATCAGATCGGCAGATTGCAATTGTTGTATATTTTCGCGCATTTGAATGTCTGGATCGGTATGTATGTGCTGTTGCTGTTGGTGCTGCTGCTGCGTCTGCGAGGTTGATCCGTTTTGGTTTACGTAGATACCGGAGCCTCCGCCGATGGAGACGTCGGCGTCGCTGTAGGAGGCGGTGGATGTCATGATGGTGGGACGGGGGTCGCGTAGGCGACAGGAATCGGTTGGAGGCTATGCGATGTTTCGTTTCGGAGCGGATCGCGGGGGATGGATTTGCAAGAGGGAGCGGGTGGGTGTCGTGAGAGAGTTGAGTTGAAGGGCCGAGGGTTTGATTTGCTGAGCTTTACGGGTTTTGTACTAGCGCGCTTCTCTCGAGAAGAGCAGACAGGTTGAAAAAGCATCGTGGACTGGAGGAAGAGAGATTGTGTAGGAATTGCAAGAGCATGAAGCCATCTATGGATTTGATTGACCCAGGCATCCACCCAAGCGTTGGTAACTGAAGTCGCTGTTCGGACAAACTTGAGCCTCCGAAGCCTGTCTCCCCAGCCAGCCCCTACAGTTCCTACTACACTACTGCTACGTACGTACGTACGCACCCACGCCAGGACGTGTTCCGTACTAAGCACTCGTCATACACGTGTGTTTGGGAACAAGATATTAATACCCTTCGACGGCGCTGGGAAGGACGGATGCACTCTGCCATCTATTCGGCGACAATTTATCCACGCTGCCGCTTGGTTCCAGCGTGTGTGCATGTGTGCGTGCAGAATCCAAGACGGCCATTTCATCAAAGCCCAAGCGCAGACGGCGGCGCAGATGGACTCGCTCCGTAATAAATGAGCAGCCAATATCCAGGTACATAGTACATACATGTCGATGGACGCCTCATTGATTCGAGCTGTGTATGATTATATATGCATAGTTTACCGCGGCAGGTATGGGACATGTTCTCTGGGTGTGTTGGGCAGGGCATTTGGTAATAGACGAGAAGCCAATGATGTCGGTATGATTCATGACTGTGCACTCGGGTATGTACCTACATGTACATGGAGTGAAGAGACGACACATGATAGCCAGCCGGTCGCCAGCGTATGGAAACATGCCAAACCAAAACACCGAGGCAAGACATATGCGCAACATGCAATCGCCCGATTGGCAGCTAGCGGCTGTGAGAGAGGAGGGAGAGGGAGAGAGGGAGCAGCGGTGAGCTGGTGCACACACATGGACACACACACCACACACACAAATGCAGTACGTAAGCACGCAACCAGGCAAAAGGCATCCCACTACTACTCTGCCGGCGCTGGGGGGGGGGGGCGTTTCGCTGGACTCGTACTGTCATGTATTCTATTCCATCTACCGGCGAAGACCGTCATGCACGCCCGTACCCACGCACGCACACACGCACACTCTGGCAGGGCTGCTCCTTGCGGCATAGTCGCCATTGCTACGACGCGGGTCGTCACATTTAGCGGGCCTTCGCCGCGCCGCACTCTCCCTCCTCCTTCACTCTTCCACCACCTCCCAGGAAACAAAACACCAAATCTGCCGTTTTGGCCTCTCCACCTCCGCTCAGTTCGCACGCGTTACGGCCAGCACCTCACTGAGGTCCTGTGCTCGGTCTCTTCCTCCCTCTCCCCCTCTCCCCTCGCCCTCTTGGTCCTTTCCTCTACTCTACTTCTCTTTCTCACCACCCACCATTTCACCCCACACTCCACTCTCCACTCCGGCGTTCAAGGTCTTCGTCCTCCCCCGTCATCTGGTCCCGGCCTCTGGTTCTCTCTGCAAGACAAAATAGATACCCCACGGCGTTTACTATACGACTCCCTCTTGTTTCCTCTTTGGTTTCCTTTGCTTTCTTCTCCGTGACGCTCATACGTTACTTTTGCTTCTTTTCGCCCTCTTAGCCTCGCGCTACTGCTCTCAACGCTCGGCTGTCACTAGCCACTGCAACGACCGTCTCTGGCCGCACCTCCGGAATGCCTTTGATCGATGGCGAGAAATTCGCATGCTCATCTTGCATCAAAGGTCACCGTGTAAGCGGTTGCACTCACAACGGTACGCTGCTAGCCCACACAGCACAAAGAAACCCGCAATTACGTCTGAGACTGACAGCCCACTTCCAGATCGCGAATTGCACCACATCAATCCAAAAGGCCGTCCTGTCAAGCAATGCGAGCACTGTCGCGGTGCCCGCAAATCAAAATCGCACCATGCGAAATGCGATTGCGGTGACAAGAAGGACAAGGACAAGGTGAAGGACAAGGCCGACCCCAACGCCTGCTGCTGCCACTCGGGCGCAAAGTGCATTTGCGGCGGCAAGAAGGAGTCCGTCGATCTGCGCTTGGACACCAGCAAGCAGACTCTCCACGACATGCGGGCGCGACCCAAGGTGGTGTCAACACACTCGGAAAACAACTTGACTGTATTTGCCAACGGTCACCACCGACCTTGCCACCGAAACAACATCTCGGCCCACGTTTCGGGCGCCCCGTACAAGATCCCTCGTCCGCATACCCTTCACGGTCACTCTGCATTCACCTCTTTCACCCAGGGAAATGCGTACCCTCAGGTGGACGCAGCCGCTCCACGCTCAATGGATACGCTGTCGCTTTCCAACAACGACTTTTACCAGATGTTCGGGTCTACATCCCAAGCCGAAGCGCTGCCGATTTCGCCTCTTTCGGGCAGTCTGGATACCAGCTGTTTCCAAGATCTGTTGCTTACCGGTCGAAGCTCGACATTTGGCACAGGAACCCAATCCCCAGCTGAGAGTAATCTGGGAGAAGCAAATGGCGGCTCACAATGGCCCTTGACAAGCAATCCTACGTCATTGAACGCTCGGAACTTTGGTTACGGCAGTCTCTCAACTTCGCCTTCGCAAGATTGCCTTCCAATCCTGGGCGATGACTGGCCGATACCTTCGGCAGGTTTGGCCGATCATACGTCTTGGACTGCAGGTGACCTTCCTCTTGACTCGAGCAAGCTGGGTGAAGATTTGCTACAGCCAATCTCCCATAGTGGCGAGTCGAAACAGAGTGCACCCGGGCTCTCGGTCACTTCCTCTTCTCCGTCGGAAGTGGGAGAGCCGACTTTCCTCGGCGAATTCGATCCCAGGGCCACTACTACGACCGAGACTTTGTTCTGGGAAGATAGCCCTGCCTTCCGACCGCCGCCTGCCAATGCAAACGACAGCCGATTGCCAACCTCCATTCCCCCGCGCTCTACCCCAGAGACACATAGCCTCCCTGACTACTCGAAAACTTTCAACCCTGTTGCAGCTGCTATGACGAGTGGCGATACAAACCTGTACAGCGAGACACAGTCAATTGCCATGCCAAACAATGCGGATGACGCTCTCGCCGCCAATGATTGGTTGTTGAATACGGCGGACGAGTTTGCTAATTATGCGGCCACATTCGACCCTTCGACATTCTCAGAATGGCTGTAGTTATTCGAGGTGCTACTCTCCATGTGGTGCACATCTAATTTTACGAGGCCATGATTCATGATGACCGGTGCGTTTCTATTCACATGCTAAAACCAGGATTGGTTTTGGTAACAGCGATCCGCTCCGACGGGCGGATCTTCCGACCTCGGTCGACCTGTATATATCACAATTTGGCTCTCGGATAGCTCTCTCTGTGGGATGACTATCTTTGAGCTCTTGTTTCATAGCTATTTAGGGGGACTGGTTCATGGTGGGCGGTACAGCACACAGTCGCATTTACAAATTCAGGCGATGTCACTTTTGTTTTTTGAAAATCGCTTGCTCCCTCACTCGCCATCTCAAAAGCTCATCTTCTATAGACCATGTTGATTCAGGCGTTGGATCGTCGCTGTTGTTGTTGCTGTTGTTAATGGGTGTCGGATAGAATACAAGACAAGCATGATTCATCTATGACGTATCTTCCGCCGTATCTAACAAGTCGGTGGATGACATAGAAGAAAGCTGGGCTGCTGCTGATGCTGACTGTATGCGATGTGACCCTGGGGGGAACGAACGAACATCTGTGGTTCAGGTGACGTCGCTAACCCATCCGTCGGCTGGTTGGTTGGGATGGATGGATGGAGCGACGGGGTGGTTGGCGCTGCAGGCGAAAGGAAAAAAACCCCCCCCCAGCCAGCCCGCCCCGGGCTGACGGACGCACACACAGGTTTCCCTTGACCCGCTCGCCCTGCGTTGCCCTGCCTGCCTGTCTGTCCTCCCTCCTCTTGCTGCTTGCTGCTTGCTGCTGTTTCGCTTCAGCACATGCAGCAGAGATTTCTTTCTTGCTTGCTTTTCTGGATTCCCCGACGCCCGCCTCTTCGCGTCTAGTGTGTGATGTATATATGTATGGGCACAGGGACATAGTTGTGCTGCTGCGTTGAAGTCCGTCTCTTTTCCACGAGGATTCGAGAGGAGATGTTTAGATTTCAATAATGGTGGCCTACTTGATTGTGCTCAAATAGGGTATACAGCGAAACCCAAACACCACATCGAGTCCCCTTTAGAGAGAGAGTGTATGTGCCCAGCACTCTTTCACCTATCCATCCCACGTTTACGTATCAAACAAACTTGATTCAATACACAAACCTCCAGTTCTTTACTCCGACCTTGCCTTGCTTTGCTTTGCTTACTTACACAAACCCCAATCCACTAATGCAAGGCCCGCTACAGGATCAAGTAAGTAAGGTAAGTAAGTAAGTAAGAGAGGGAAGGGAGGGCCGGGGGGAACAAGCAAATGCAAACCCCCTCCCAACCACGAGCAAAACTCTCTTTGCTTTTCACGGCGGCGGCGGTAAAGAAGCGACAAGGGGCACAGCCTCCCTCGCCCGTAACTTTACCTTCAGCTCTCAGCCTATTCGAACCTAACCTGACCTAACTTTCCTCTCCTCCGCTCCTAAAACCCCGCCGTCTCATGTCAAAACCACGCAACGTCAAAAAGCCCGCGTCATGTAAAGAAAAGAAGAAAAAAGAAGAAAAAAGCCAAAGCTAGTCCAATCAAGGCAGCTCGTGCTTCCCCCCCATGTTTTGTCTTTTTTGTTCCTGGAAGTGTAGTGTTTCCCGTTCGAGTCTAGCTAACGTGCGAAAGGAACGGGTTTCTTTTGGGGCAAGGCGGAGGAGGGTTTCGTGCAGCGTGCCAATGGCGAAAATGTCTCATGTACATGTGTATGTGTATGTATGCGATGGCTTGACATATGTTTTTTATTCCCGTCTTCTTTACCACACGCCCGCGTTTTTTCTCCTGTTTTGAGGGTTTGGAACCCTTGGAATGGGTTTTCCTTGAGAGCGTATCGCGCGTAATGTGGGATGGATTGATTCAGTGTTGCAGCGTCGTATACGACAACGAACATAGTTGTTGGATTGGAGTATACAGCGACACACGCGGAACGGATTCCGCATACAATAGGCGTGTCCTATAACCTACCCCATCACCATTCCCACTCTTTGCTTGAAACAACACGCCGAATCTCGACGAAAGTCGCCATCTTCACACGTGTATATATACGCCAATTCAATACTGCATCCTCAGTGAAGCTCCACAACCCCGTTCCCTATCCAACGGGGGAGGGGGCTTCCAGGATCTAACCAAGTAGCGGCTCATCCCGCACTGAAGCGAGGCGAGCGAGCAAGCCTGCGTACGAATACAATACAAAACAATACAACAAGTCGGCACGGCCAACGAGGCAGTGCAACAACCATCCTAACTGCTTCAGTACACAACCTAGTCTGGCGCGATAGGCAGGTGAGCAAGCACAGCATTCACTCTCTCGAGCCAACGAACAAAGGATCGAAGGAAGGAGGCTGGTATATCATGTACCTATCTGCGCGTCTGCGGCGTCTCTGCACGTGAAGCGGGGGATCGGGGAAGAGGGGAGGGGGAGCATGGGTGTGTGACTTGATGGTTGGGTGGGTGTGATTGACATACTATTTCATTGGATACGTCTGTGTGTGTAAATCGGATCTCAAGGTCTGGGGCTGGAGATGGAAGATTTCTCGATAAGAGAGGGATGATGGATGTTAGTGAGATTTCGTTGATGTGGCCTACGAGAGGCTGTAATAGACTTCTGGTACTGCTACTACATTTGCGGCCCATTTTCTGTTCATACAGGGGCCCAGGGGGGGATTAGTAGCGATAGGTAACCATCCATGTTGCTTGAACCGAACGAGCTATCAAAACAAATAAACAAACAAGCTGATGATCTGTTAGAATAGAGCACGGCAAACATGCAGATTGCAGGGTGATCATTGTTCAACGATTATCCTTGCCTAGAGAATCGATGGATTTGTGTAAGATTACTTTTCTTAAGCTACATAAAGTGCAAACTTTATCATCGATATTTGCTTTCCATTTCCCCATGTCGCATGAAGAACAAATAAGGCCGAAATAGAGCAGATAGGTATTTCCCCGTATGCGCAAACGACCTCCTTCGCAAAACATAGAGATGGAATGAAACATGGGAACACATGTTCTCTATGCTAATATTGTGTTGCCCTTTCCCTTTTTTCCGCGCTGTGCCAACACGGTTGCATGATCGAATGCACAGTATTTCTTTACACTGATCCTGTCCGTCCTCGAGTCCTCTTCTTCTCGTAACTCCGGACATTATTTTCGTCTGTTAGTGTATTGGTAAGAAGTTAACAATGCTTCAGTATCAAATATTTGACGACAAATAAGTGACAGAGATCAGGAGCAGTCTCGCACTGAAATGCCACAATTGAGAAATGTGATTGTGAGCGTTGAAAAAAATGTTATTTTGGCCTTTGCGATCGACGACTTGAACTTGTTGTTCATCCATGGCCTGGTGCAATCCGCGCCCAAGCAGTTTCGACATCTTCCAATAACGTAAGGAAACTGGGGTCTTCCAAATATTGGAGCAGAACGCAATTGAGGTTAGTTTTACGGTCTTCGTCAGGTTGAGATGCATATGTTGCGAGAGATGTCGCGTGGTTCGTACTGTTGTCACTGGAGTCACGGGGCTTGTGATAGTACTGCTCAGCATGGTCAGAGGAAAGAGGGGTAGAAAGGCGATTTGGAGGGTCAATTGAGCGTTGTCGCCCGCTAGTCGCGCTTGGAGGGCGGTTGAAGATGACACTAGAACCTGAAGACGGCGGTCGAATGTTGTCAGAGCCTGTAAACAGTAGACCATCTTGTTCAGTCATAGTCGAGGGACCTGTGCGTGGTCGTTTAGTCTTTGTTCGATCATCAGCTCGCTTATTATCTGGGAACTTCGTTGATGAAGTACGAGTGGGTTCTCCCATTATATGCCTGCTGAGTGAAGGAGAGCTACTGAGTATGGTAGGCTTAGGTAATGGAGGAAGAGCAGTGGCGAAAGTGGTTTGTGATCTCGGAATCGGTGGTGGGGCCATGGTCGCAGTTGATGCCCGACTGCTAGGCCGTGAGTTATCACTTCCATGAGACTTTGGCGCTGACTCCGGACGTTGAAAGGGTAGTTCACGTCGCGGTGGAAGCCCGTTCACTTGATTGAGAAGTATGGCCGGACTGTCTGGACGTGATACAAAAGTATCATGGTGGCTAGTACTGGAAGAAGTGAAAGCATTTCCATCGACTGAGATGGAGGATGCAGCGAAGCTGGTCTTCGGAGGAGAAGAAGGTCGCACAATGGGCGCCACTGATTGAGCGGATATGGGACGCGATTCCAACAGTGGAGATGGATGGGGAAGCCGAGAGAGCGAAGCTGTAGTGGATGGTCGTTTCGAAATCTCAGTAAGTTTGGAAGGCGGGCATGATACGCGTTCGGTCCGAGGAGGGTCTTTGGAAGGCACTTGCTCGATTTGAAGGCCAAGCTCAAGTAGATGATTGAGGACTTGGTCGTAGTCACTGGGGGAGGCAAACTTGAATTGAAGACGGCGGATCTTGAAAACGCAGTCAGTAAACTCATCCCGACTCAACAGCCAGGGTCAGCGGCACCTTTCCCTCAACTGGCAACTCATATCGCAATGCAATCGATGGGTATTTGGCTTTGGCAGATGCTGGAAGCTGCTCAGCGCGTACTTCCGCGCCGGAATTTCTGAGAGAAATCCACAATCTTTTCCCTTGATCAATCAGGTTCTGCAAAGGGATATCATACTGTGTGAATTAGTCATGGCCGCCCGCCAGATAGAAAGACGGCAAGACACCCAGCATCTTACTAGAATTTGTGAACGACAGTACACTCGCAGGACTTCAGAGGAGAAGCTTCCCAGGCCTTGTGTTTCGAGCACGAACCGAATGTCATCTTTCACATATTCCCATTCGAAGATCTGGGGTGCCTTGGGGGCGAGGTCTGCTGTACGAGCAATCCAGATCAAGTCAATGATGAGCATTTTGATATATTGATTACAGCTAGGCGCTTCCCTGAGGCGTGACAATAGCGAGAAACCTGGAGGGCGGTAACAAGGGAGGGAAAGAATGGAGCAAGCAATGGGTCCTCCGTGCACTTGAAGTTCGAGCAAGATGAGAGTAATCTGTCACGTGAATATATGGTCCGTGCGCCGGGGCCGTTAGCGCGAATGGAACGGGAGTTTGGAGCATCGCATTCTGATGTTCATCACAACCGCGACTGAAGCGCGCCGCGCCATCCATCGACCGAACGCATCTCCAGGCCAGCGATTGCCCCACTAATACCACTGCGCACTGTGGATGCCTCGCCCGGATCGCATCAATTCCAAGGGACAGTGCCGATTGTAGCCAGTATGGCGCCCAAGGATAAACCACCGCGCGAAGCGTCCATCGAACGCTCAACGGAATACGAAGAATTCTTGGATGAACTCGAGAAATACCACGAGTCCCGGGGGTTTGTCTTCCGTTTGCTTTTCGCGTTGCTTGCGCATTACCATTCGCGCGTTATTTGCTACAGTGCTAACGATGGCCATGTAGTACCATTCTGGACCGCGAACCTAAGATCGGAAGCCGACACATCGACTTATTGCGCCTCTACAAACGTGTTAACGACGAAGGAGGATACGACAAGGTCTCAGATACCAAAGGCAACAAGCTTGCCTGGAGGAGACTGGCTGGCGAATTTCTCCCTGGAAGCCCTAATCTGACTACTCAGGCCTTCCTCGTCAAGACCGCATATTACAAGAACCTTGCGTATGTTCCGGGTTGCCTCTTCACGTTATGCAAGTTTATCTAACATGATCTATCTAGTGCTTACGAGATTGTGAACGTCCACAAGCGCGAGCCCCCGCCCAAGGAAATTCTCGAAGACGTATCAGCAAAAGGAGGTGATTTGTTGACCCGGACGGTCGAAAACTACATGCGACCCACCAGCAGAGAGACCGAAAGGCTGAGGAATGGTGAATACGACACGGACGAATCGGATGAAGAGGGCGAGAAAAAGACACCACACGACGACAAAATGGATCTGGACGATGCTGGAAGCCTCAGCCGTTCTACACGATGTATGATACACGTTCTCACATGGTCGATATATGCTGATATTCTTTTCTAGCACTCCGTCATGCCCCACCACAGCGCGTCCTGTTCCAACCCGAGGTGAACTCGAGACGGGAAACTCGACAGTCGACCGGCAATATGAACTCGCCACAGCCCAATGGAACATATAGCGCAAGTGGTGCAGCCGCAGCCATAGCGAATTACGAACCCCGCACAGCTGTACCTTCAACTATGAAGCCCGTCACTACTCCATCGAACAATCCAGATCATTTCAACATGTTGCGTAAGAAGAACATAGCTTTGAGAAGGAAACGGCCCGTTCCAATGAAGGGAATGATGCTTCCAGGAACCGGGTTTCCTGGACCCAACATCTACATTCGCGCGTTACATGCACTGCGGTCAAAGGAGCCCGAAGAAGAGGCATATGCTCTACATCACCTTGTCAAGATCTCCCACGAGCGTGGTGACAAGTACCGTTTTGATCAATTCCCGGGCCTTGCTGAAGCACTCATCGAAAAAATCATACAAGTGGCCTCATTGTTCTACGACGTCACGTGGGAAGTTGCGTATGCGGAGGAGGATATCGCTCGACCCTTTGCTCTCAACGGTCTCAGCAGCACTCCAGATCTATTGCGCCGTATACGAGCACTCCAAAAACTTGACGTTAGAGACGACCTTTTGCCGGAAAACGAAGCCAAGAACCTCAATATGGTCAACGAAGCTGCGCTTATCTTCCGAAACATGGTCATGCTTCAAGAGAATGCAATGTATGCTTCAGCCATAGCTGCAGTGAAAGATCTCATCGTAATAGCGTTGAATCTGCCCAACCATCCTAGCGTAGTAGAGCTCCAGCAATATGCTCTCGAAATTGGAGAGCAGTTGACGAAGTTCTGGTCTCTTGACGCTCAGAATCCTCTTTATCAGTCGATACTCTCACAGGTCGATTCGGATGACAGGGGCAAAATCATCACCTCTTTACGAGCGCTCGGTCGTATTGCAATGAATCTTGAAGTGCCAAACAGATTATCGGGGGTACCCAAAAAGACTCTACAGTCATTGTATGAGTGGCTGCTAGTTGAAGATGAAGAATTGCGCCTCGCATGTCTCGATTTCCTTTACCTGTACACGGGCTTCACTGACAACGTCGAGCGTCTCACCAAAGAAATAGACATCGAAAGCCTCGTCAATCAGATTGTTCGACTTCTGCAATTCGGCTCTCAAACTTACGAGGAACGTCGGAATAATCCCAAGGTCTCGAAATCCATATCGCATACAAGCGAAGCGCCGAGACTGTCTTCTGCTATCCTTGAACAACTAGTAATGCTGGAAGAGCCAGAGCGAAGTTCGCAATGGCTAAGGACATGTTTCGAGGAAGACCCAGCCGGAGAGATCACCCAAATAGACCTATGGCAAGCATACAATGCTGCGTTCAAAGGAAAGCTGGCGTCCACTATGGACATCAAACCGCTCATGGCAGCAAAAGACTTCATCACGAATGTGTCTACAACTTTCAGCAATGCTTCTGCACAGGTTCTCACTGGCAGCAATGGACAAGCCAAGTATACCATTCGCGGTATCAGATCGCGATCAGTTCCCGTCGATCCTTCGACGAGAAAGCAGTACATGCGGTGCTGTTGGCAGCCTACTAGTCTACTCAACGGCTACTCTGATGTAAGACATTCAATTACGCAAGAGTGCGGCGAATATGCCTCTGGCGCTAAAGCGATGTGGGAGCATGTTGTGGGAGTGCATCTGAAAATTCCACGTGATGAGTCGGGCAGATGGTTGCTCGAGCAAAAACCAGACATCGATATGGAAAACGGTAGCGCGACGAACTCTGCGAAGCCCACAAAGTACTTCTGCCACTGGGGTGGATGCGCACGATTCAATCCTTCAGGCACCGATTCAGCTTTCGAAGCCGGTCAGCATGTGAAGACTCATCTTCCTGACACGAGCCTTCTACATGCTATACATGCAAAGCACAACCGAACACCCTCAATGTCCACGTCATTCGGCGCGGCTCACCAAGCAAGGACTGAACCTCAGACGCCTCAATTCGGTCAACCGGTCGGACTGGGCAGCTTGGGTATGAGCACCCGTCATCAGGATTATGACGAACGCAACGGTTCGCAGTCCACTTCTCTAGTACCACCGCAACAGTCGATTACCAACTTTCGCTACTATAACACCGCGGTCGATGAAACAAACCACAACGATGCTGCAGGTCTTCCACTCGCCTCTGTTCTTGTTCTACGCAATCTTGCCCGCCAATTAGGGAAACTTCCACCTCCTCCTACAACCCACGAAATCACTGAGTCACTTACATCTAAACGAAAGTTTAGCGAATCGAATTCTGAACATCAACGTAGTACAGGCGCGAAGAAACCACGACTCAGCGATGCGGCCAAGGAGACAGAAGAGGACGCCGAGAGTGAGGAGCAGGAAAGGCAGGAAGCAGCAAAATTAGGATGGGTGCCACGAGTATTTGGACCCGTAAAGGATCAGCTTGGCTTCGTAATGTCACACAACCTGACCTTGAGGAATTACATGGGCGCACTTTTCAAAGCCGTGTATGAAGGCGGTGCATGATTTACAGCTGTACTGTAGGACTCCTGTCGTTTGCGATGGCGTTTCCGGTGGTTGGTAATGGGTTAAAGAGCGGTATATTGTTTTATGGTATGTATTGTTTACATGTCAGGTTAGTAGATGTATGCTAGTGTAACATCGATGGTCAAAAGTGCATTGGATGGTTCCAATATGCTTGCTCGATGACCAATCCTCGATACTTTTTAGGCAAATTTGCTTGCATTGTGCGAAGTGAAGATGACATGTTCCATGAGATTGATATGCTGCCCTTTTCGGCTGACTAATACCCTCACTCTCAGACTACAGTCGCTGCAGATGAGTGCCCCGCTAAAAAAAAAAGTTGCACCCCGCCAAATATACTCACTATAGCCAAACAAACAATGAGCGTCCCAACACTTCAGACTGCGCCCGTCCTGTCGACGCCCGATACACATATCTTCGAAGATCCCACACCTCCCATAGATCTTACGAGCATTCCTCGCCTCTCTGATGAGCAAGTTGCGCTCACATATGAAATCGAACGTACAGTGAGGGAAATCAAAGATGGACGATGGCAGAGGATCGCGCTTCAGTTCCCAGACCAGATGCTGGTTGATGCCCCAAGGGTATTCGATCAGCTGTCGAGGGGTCTCAAAGACGCGTACAAACTGAAGAAAAGAACATCCCCGATAGATGATGCTAGTGAACAGAACGCAGAGGATGTTGCTTCCCAATTGAATCGCACCACTCTGAGTGAGAACGGGGATAGCCTGGAGGAGGAAGGGGAAAGGCTGTTCATACTAGCGGACACCTCGTACGGAGCCTGCTGTGTTGACGAAGTGGCTGCGGAACACGTTGATGCGGATGTGGTGGTGCATTATGGGAGGTCCTGTCTTTCTCCGCCTTCCAGATTACCAGTCGTATATGTATTTACCGAGAGACCTCTGGATATGGAACCTCTTCTCTCGACATTCCAAGAGACATATCCGGATAAAGATCAGAAGATGATTCTTGTGGCCGATATACCGTACGGGCATCACATACCGAAGCTCCATCAACACTTGCGCGACTGCGGATATGCCAACATCTATCCAACGAGTATTGTTCACAACCCGTCATCCCTTTTACCAAACAGAACTGTGCCTGCGGAGGTGGGAGACTCCCAAGATGCACTACGAGAGTATCACCTCTTTCATATTTCCGATCCACCACCCTCGCTGCTCCTCACGCTGTCCTCGCGCGTAGCTAGCATACAGATATATCCTACAGACACAGCCAAACCTACCGCAACACTTGCTTCAACAACGCTCGCCCTTCGTCGCCGATACGCGCTCCTCACTTCTCTATCCACCACGTCGGTGTATGGAATCTTGATCAACACTCTATCTGTAAAGAACTATATGCACATCCTCTCGCACGTCCAAAAGCAGATTGCGGCCGCGGGCAAAAAGTACTACACTTTCGTAGTTGGCAAGGTGAATGCAGCCAAAGTGGCCAATTTCAGCGAAGTGGGTGGCTGGGTGGTGATTGGCTGCTGGGAGAGCAGTCTGATTGAAAGTAAAGATTTCTGGAGGCCCATCATCACGCCGTTTGAGCTGCAGATAGCTTTGCAAGGAGACGAAGAGAGGGTATGGACTGGCGAATGGACGGGGGATTTCCAGACAGTGCTCGAAGGGAAGAATGCTTCAGGATCTACGACAAACGGCACAGTTGATGCTGATGGGGGTGAAGAGGGTGCTGAAGCTGATGCAGATGCAGATGGAAGTGGCGATTATGATTCCGAAGAAGAATCTGCACCTCCAGAATTCGACCTCCGAACAGGTCGCTATGTCTCGCATTCTCGACCCATGCGTCCCAAGACTTCATCAAACGCCGTCACAGGAGGAAGCAAGGCGAAGGCGTCCAGTACGGCACTCACGAAACGAGCAAATGGGGACGTTGCCCAGATAGGCGGTGTAGCAAGCCCAGGAGCCGAGTTCTTACGCGAGAAGAGAACATGGCAGGGCTTGGGTAGTGACTTCAAGGAAGATGAGGAGGGTAGCAACGGCAATGCAGCGAAGATGGAGGAGGGCAGGACAGGAATCGCAAGAGGGTATATCGTTGCTGGAGAAGGAAATAAGCATTGATGTACTCGGTGTACCGTCTTCAGAAACGATCAGCAATGACATATAAAGATCATCAAAGGGACACTGCAAATCTTTGGATTTGAACGATCAATTCCTCGTTGATATGCGCGCGTACCATGTTATCCTCTTACCGCCTGTGGATGCACGTGTTGACATATGAGATGAAATGCTGAGCAGAGAAAGATGGGTTATCCATCACGGCATGACTCTCTTCCATTCTACCTTGAATACACCTATGACTCGCGTTCTGTATTAGACAGGCCTGGGCAGTACAGCGAAGAGGGGCGACTGTACTGATGATGTGATGGATTTATGAGTTTTCAACTTCTGTCATGGCAAGCTTGGTCAAGCGCCATTCATCAGCTGCGCTCGTGAATGTTGACCATATGGGGAACCCCCACAAGGAATGGAATGATGATGGCATTTCACTAAGCATTAGCCAACCCCCAATGGCTGTGAATCTCGCAAACGTGTGGAGATCAAGGAAACAAAAAAGAGCATGCAAACCGTTCAAGGCCGCGTCAGCAGTTTGTTGAGCGCGCCAAACTAATTTTGATGCTACTTTTTTTCTTTCTTTTTCTCTCTGTGATGTGCATGGCCCCCGGCAGCGCCCGGATGCCGGTAACAGTGGGGTGCATATTCGATGGAGACGCCATGGTGTGGCGCGTATTCGTATACAAAGTCGGGGACCACCATGTTGCGTAGTGACTACGGGCGTCGGGGACGGTCGCGGAGGATGCGGTGGAGCTGTTTCCATTGCGCGAACTCGATAGTGCTGCTTCACAGTACAGGACAGTGAAGTGTAGAAGACCGAGTCCGAGCGAGGTAGCTAACGGGTAGCTGATTACATGAGGCCAGCATCGACGCCTCCCAAGTCCGTAGTGCCCACTGCCCAGCAACGAAACAAGATGGATGCCGCGCGCACCCAATCAAAGGGAGAGAAAGTGTTCCGCAGCAACAGCCGGCGAGCGTCAGCAGCATTGAAGCGTGAAGGAACCAAGCCACGCACTTGTCACAACTGGCTGGGATGTGCGAGCGAGTTCAATGTTGGCAGAGGCTGGTGTGAGGCGGCACACGACACCTGACAGACTTGAAGAGGACGATTGTTCTATTTTGGCCGCGCTGCAGGTACTCGCACGCTATACCGACCCCTGCGGAGCCCATGAAGTCACTGATGGCTTTTAGCTTTTCGGGGCGTGCCATCATTCCAAACACAGCCGCACCTCTTCCGTTCATCCCGGTCGCTGACTGAAACCCCTTGTCCCTCTCATTTAATAATGCTGCCCTCTCCGCATCCTCGCTGTGGCTGCCTGCTATATCCACTTCTTATTCCCCGTTTCCAGTAAATCGTCCCCTTGCTCTTCTTATTCTTCCCTCTCTTTTGAATACCTTCTTTGGAATTTGCCCTCTATCTCCTTGCATACACGTCTACGCATTGTTATTCTTGTTGGGGGCTACTACCGGAACTTCACATCATGAAGTACCAACTTCTAACGGCTTCGGCCCTCACATGCTTAGCCACTTGTACGTTCGACATGGATGGGGGCCCCTTGACATCTTACTCACTTCTCGCAACAGCTTCCTCAGTCGGCCGCAGAGAACTCGAGGCCAATGCCGCATACGACGCGCTAGATGTCCTGCGACGCGCAACTCCTCAGGCTCCTAACGGATACGCGCCAGCCCAGGTCGACTGCCCTTCTAACAAGCCTACCCTGCGCGTGGCATCCAACCGCGCATCCAATGAAGAATCAGAATGGCTGAGGAGTCGAAGACCGAAGACCGTGCAGCCCATGAAGGAATTCTTGGGTCGCTCAAATATCAATGGCTTCGATGCCGCTGCCTACATTGAAAAACACAAAGACAATGCTACCGCGCTTCCCAACATTGGCATTGCCTTCTCCGGTGGTGGCTACCGTGCTATGCTGAATGGTGCTGGCGCCGTTGCTGCCTTTGATAGCCGCACCCCAGACTCCACATCCAATGGCAAGCTGGGTGGCTTGTTACAGTCCGCAACCTACATCGCTGGCTTGTCGGGCGGTGGATGGCTGCTGGGAAGCATCTACATGAACAACTTCACTTCCATCCAAAACATTATTGACCAAAACGATGACGGTGACGTTTGGCAATTGGACAGATCTATTTTCACAGGTGAGGACGAACTGGTCCAAGTTCACATATCTATATCCTAACACATGACAGGACCCAGGGAAGGCGGTATTCAAATTCTCAACCAGGCCGATTACTGGAGAAATTTGGTCGACTCGGTCGATAGCAAGGAAGATGCACCCGGTATTTTCAATGCCTCCATCACCGATTACTGGGCGAGGGCTTTGAGTTTCCAGTTCGTCAACGCCACCGAGGGTGGCCCATCTTACACTTGGTCATCTATCCAGGACGACAACGATTTCAAGAACGCCGACGCTCCCTTTCCTATACTTGTGGCTCTTGAGCGTGCTCCCGGAGAAGTTCTCCTTTCCACTTCGGCGACGAATATCGAATTCAACCCCTACGAGATGGGTAGTTACGATCCTACGTTGAACGCGTTTGCTCCTCTCAAGTACATCGGGACCAACTTCAGCCAAGGCAGTGTTCCTGATGGGCAAGGCTGCGTTCGCGGTTTCGACAATGGCGGCTTCGTCATGGGCACGAGCTCTTCGCTGTTCAACAACATCATCCTCAGCCTCCCCACCGGCGAAACTATCCCCGACTTCCTCATGAATGCAATCAGAGGCGTCCTGGGATCCATTGGAGATAACAACGATGACATTGCCGACTACTCGCCCAACCCGTTCTTTGGCTTCAACAACGATACAAACCCCAGCGCGCAAACCTCGCGCTTGACCCTCGTCGACGGTGGAGAGGATCTCCAAAACATCCCCTTGATCCCGCTCATCCAGCCGCACCGCAACGTCGACGTCATCTTCGCCATCGATTCCTCCGCCGATACCGTTGACCCTGCCGGTCCCAACTGGCCCAATGGCACCTCCCTCGTAGCATCGTACCAACGCACAACCAACACTACCATGCAAAACAACACTGCCTTCCCTCACATTCCAGACACCAACACGATGGTTAACCTAGGCTTCAACAACCGCCCCACCTTCTTCGGCTGCGAGGTCGGCAACCTCACCGGATCCGGCGCAGGTCCCCTTCTGGTCTACATCCCCAACGCCCCTTACGTCTTCGAATCCAACACCTCCACCTTCACCAAACTCTCCTACACCAACAACGAGCGCAACGCCATGATCCAGAACGGCTACGACGTTGCCACCATGGCCAACTCGACGCTCCCCGGTCACGAGGATTGGTCTACGTGCGTTGGATGCGCTGTTCTTTCGCGATCTTTTGCTCGCAACGGCGAAAACGTTCCGGATGCGTGCACGCAGTGCTTCACAAAGTACTGCTGGAACGGCACTCTTGCTTCCAACAACCCTTCCGCCGCGTACAGCCCTGACATGAAGCTGGCCGCTATCGATACCCAGAGTGCTGCTGTTGGAAGATTCACCCCGAGTTTCGGAGCCGTGGCTGCGGTTGCCGTCGCTGGATTCATGGTCATGATGTAAAAAAGGAAATGTCGTCGTTATATATTTAAAAAAAAGTAAATGGGAGAGGGGGGAGGGGGGAGAACGAAAAATTGAACGAGAGATTTCCACGACAAGGGCTGGGATCTCGACATTACAAACATTGCTTCTGGTCCTTTTCATCAAAAGGCATTTCCCTCCCCCTTTTTTTTTCTTCCACGGGAGCTTTTTTGAGTGTGTACTTTTAGGATACCCCGACCTTTCATTTTCTTTTTGGGCTTTTACATGTTTGTTTTCTTCTTCTCATGATAGACGGATAACTGGATCAGTCAGGTTTTTATGGGCGGCCACACGAGCCAGCAGGTATGGAGTATATCCTTTTTGGGGGGTTTCGGGTTCATGACATATCTGCTGCACATATGCATGTATATATATATAAATTAAACTATTTATCCTAGAACAGAGAAATTGTTAGTCTAACGAAATCATTTATCATCGTTGTCTTTCCATGCCATTTTTTACTTGTACCATGTGTTGCTATCTGTCCATGTGTTCAGTAAATTCATGCTTAACCCTAGGGATTGATCCTCAGCATCTTACTCTTTATTCTGCCCGGGGAATTTCTTTTTCTTCATGTTCGAGTTCACGGATGGAAAGACAATTATTGTTTAGAATTCACAGCCTCAGAGAACCTGGATGGACTTGAATGGATTGGACAAATTACTACAACTTGCTTCCATTTCCATGTTCGCTTTCGCTGAGTTGAATCAATTTTGTGTAAAGCGAGGTTATGAAGTCTATTTGACTTGACTTGAACTCAACCTTGACGAGCAACTTTGATCATCTTCAAATCCACCTCTTTACTTACCTACCGTTTTCTTACCGTCTACTTTATACTATCTCCTCTCCAATGGTCCGCTCACTTGAAAAAAGCCTTCCACTTTTCTCTCTCCTCGTTGTTTAATTCCTGCTAGAACACCTCCTTCCTTCTCCCTCTAAAACACCATAGCCCCACCATCAACAACCAAATCCGTGCCATTCATATATTTGCCCGCCTCACTGCACAGCAGCACCAACGGCCCCGTCAACTCCCACGGCACACCCATCCTCCCCATCGGATTCCGCTCACTCCAGATCTTCCTCGCGCGCTCCAACCCCTCGCCCTCATTGAGAATCGTATCCATGTAACCCGGACTAATCGCATTGACTCTAATCCCGCACGCGCTCCACTCAGCGGCAAGACTCTTGGTCAAGCTCAGCAGCGCCGCTTTGCTGGAATTATACGCAGCCTGGGGTTGCGGGAAATTGGTGGCATGCGCGGAGATGGAGGCAGTGAAGACGATGGCGCCGGGGGTGCGCTGGTCGCGGAAGTGGCGGGCGAGGGCTTGCGCGCAGAGGAACGAGCCCGTGAGGTTGATGTCGTGGGTGCGGCGCCATTCGTCTGCGGGCATGTCCATGGCGTGCGTGCAGCCTACGACGCCTGCGAAGCAGCAGAGCGTGCTGATGGGGCCCAGAACTTGGATTGTGCTGGAGAGGGCTGAGGCGATGGACGACTCGGAGCGCACGTCGACGGGGGAGGTGATTATGCGTGCGTGTGGGAAGGATTTGTGGAGCGCGGTTATTGCTGTGAGGGATTGGTCTGGGTTGAGGTCCCAGAGGGCGAGGCCCGTTGCGCCGTGTTCTAGAGGAGGGTGGTTAGGTTGGTTTGGATGTGGTGGGATGGGATGGGGACGAACCTAGGAGTGCGCGAGCGGCTTCTAGGGCGAGTGTTCCTGCTCCGCCTGTGACTGTTGGGAGTTGTTAGCATATACATGTATACACTAGAGTAGATACTGAAATCCACAACTGCTTCTTTCATAGTCGGAAAACCCTCCAATCTCCGCCAAAGACTGGTCGAAAAATACCTCGACATGAAAGTCAGCAATAGAAATGCACATACTAACAACATTCCCCTGAACTTTGAATCGATGCTCCGCTCTCTGCGCATTCGTCAGTCCTTCAGGAGGCGTCCTCGGTGCCGTCAATGGGTTCGACGCCGTCGAGAGCGTCATTTCTGGGATCTGGCGTGCAGTGAGAGACGCTCTCTCATCCCCTCCTCCTCCGTTGGTAGCCGCTGCTGCTGTGGCGTCCGTCATGGTTTGAATGTGTTTCTTTTATTTGACTCGATGGGGTTTCGGACTGTCTAATCCAGTTTATGAATCAGAGCTCTAGTGTCGCTGTCTTTCAAAGAGAGCGCGGCCGAGGTATTCAACAGATAAGGTAACGAGCTAGGTAGAGGGAAATGGAGAAACGGTATGATCCCATCGTGGAGGAGAGAGATTGAGTGGAGTCGGAGCCATTGTTACATATATATACATCGTATCGGGAATGGCTGACGTGCTCCGTTCGTTCGATCTTTTCGTGGAGAGAGCTGTTATGCTTCTTGCCCCGCCCCCGCCCTCCATCGGTCTGGGTGACCCTTCGCCGAATGGAAGTTACGTCATCTAGGGGCTCGTCGAAATCATGGGGAGATGATCACGATGTACGCTGAGTGGTGAGAAGTATGCACTCTACAATTAACACGCTGTCTCAAACTATGCGGTCTCTGCAACGGTAATACGAATGGTGATGAGGTGAGAATAATACATTTCTACAAGGTTCTAAAAAATGGTTGCTTGTAATACAGAATCTACGAAGCCACAGAAGCTTTCCAAGATAAGTTTGTACATCGAGAAATAAAACGAAGAAGCAACGAAGCAGAATAATTAGGTCTGTGTGCTGGCGGTGGGAGGAGCTTGTTGAGATGATTTCCCACCTCTGGCGCCACCACGGCCCCCTCCTCTGTGCTTGCCTCTCCCCCTTTTCGCATCATCGTTTTTGAGATGTGCACCGGAAGATTTGTCCTTTTCTGCAGGTGCCGTAGGAAGAGCTTCACGGGCGGCTTTCCCTTGTATAGCACCTTCTGCATCACTCTGCTTCTTATCATTGGCCTTGGGCTTGGACTTTCCGCCTCGCCCTTTGCTTCTGCCACGAGAAGCCTTAACAGCTCTCTCGTCGGCTCGTTTCCTCTGCTCTTCCTCTTGGATGACTCGTTTACTTTCCTGGTCCCACCACTCTTGAAACTCTTGTTCTTGTTGAATCTCTTGTAGGCTTCGTTTCGCAGCCGCATCTCGGATGGAAACCTTCTCAGCTTGCTGTAGCGACAAGATCTCCTCCATGCTAAGGTGTTGGCTAGGGGATGTTGGCGAATGAGATGGAAGAGGGATGTGGCGGACAGAATGAGGTGTAGGGATTGGCGTGGTCGAGACAGACATGCCACGTTCTGATTGAGGTCGGGTTTGAGATGGGGAGCCTTGCTCGGATACGGACCGTTGTGCTCGAGGGGAGTTGTCTTGCTTGTCTTTCTTGTTGGAAGCAGCTTTTTTATTTGCGATTGTTTGCCGCATAGTTAGTTGAGTGGTACTGGGGGTTCGCGATGGCGAGGGGTCTGCTTCTATAGCAGGACTGGCACTTGCTCTACGATGAGAGGTTGCTTGCCATGGGGAAACAGCAGGGGGTGCAGGTTGCGGTTTAACCGCAGGATGTCCTAGCAGTTGAGCTTGTTGCTGACGCTTTCGTTCCTTCTGAGATGGCTTCGCGTGGAAGGAGCCCGCAATCTTCTCGTCCTTTTCTTGTTGAGACAACCCCAGTGACAGATTTGATGGCTTATCGCTCGGAGTTTGCGCCATGATGTCTTTCAAACCTAGCTTCGCGTTTGCCAGGGGTGACGCACCCCAAGGTCGTCCTGGTTCCCTTTCAATCTCAGGTTTCAACGATAATGGACTAGGGGAGGGGAGAGCGGCGGCCTTCATGGCACTGAGCCCGTGCGGTGAAACGCTGCTTTTCCTTCTCATATCGGTCCATTCTTGTTCTGGGGAGCCTAAAAGATGAGAAACATCCTGGCTCGAAGACGTCGATCTTTCTGTGAATTGCGGTTGGCGAATTTTCGTCTTCGATTCACTGTCGAATTCATCGTCCATCTCGAACATCAGATCCGTGACTGATGCTTTGCCCTTCAGGGAAGGAGTCACAGCTGGACTGTCAGCTTCCACCTTTCCTTCTCTCGAAGCTCGTCTACGAGTGCGTTGTCTCAGCGGAGAGGTGGACAGTTCTTCTAAACTTTGCGCTCGGAACGAATTCCATCCCGCTCCATCGCCCTCAGCAAATTTATTGGAGAGAACGATGGCATCGATCTTGGCTCGCTTTCCACGCTCAATCTTCTCTGCAAGCTCGGGATATTTGTCAAAGAGTAGAGCCTCTGCGCGTCCACTCCGAGCAAAAGGTAGATATGCCAATTGATTTTCGCGGACGACCTCATTCAACTCCATAAGAAGATCTTCGTCCAGTTCGTCAAGAGAACTGCCATAATTAGCCGGCTTGCTGTGCGAATCATCGAGGAGCACCTACCCATTTTGCATAACTGCTTCGAGACTGAGACACACATATTCCAGTGCAGCATCCTTGAACTCTGCTACCGAGCTAGGTGCGATGGCATTGAGCAATGAACATACATTGCGGGCATTGACTTTCTAATGTTAGTATAGCTTTTCGACGGCAGGTAGGATGACATACCGTATCTTCCGATCAGTTTCTGGCAAATTTGAGATAATCGTTCAAGCATTAGTTCATTCGCAACCGACATCACGTCCATGACGTGATCCAGGAGTTCATCAAGCGCTAGCAAATCATTCAGATCTTCGCTGATGACATCGTCAAAGAGCTCTTCTCCAGCATCAGTATAGAGGTGGCGGACAACAAGCTCGAACAGGTGCGTTTCAATATGCGTCAAGTCGACTCTGACAGATTGCGATTCCTCAGTGCGTCGCCCTGCAAGCCACTGACCTCCCGCACGACCTCGGAATAAGCCCTCGAAGAATGGACAACGCTGACACGCAAGATCTGCGTGAAGTGACATTTCGCCATCCGAAAGCTCGACTATCATGTCGCCGCTGGCAAAGTACGACTGCTCCTTGACAGCCAACTCCAAATCCAGATTCATAGTCTTCCTGGGGTTAACCATTTGACGGACAGCGGGTTCGAGTTGACGCATGTCTAACCTAGTCGCAACTTTCATGAGCTCAGTTCGTACTGTACGATACCTATAAGCCATCGTGGGGTAATGACGGGTGACGTTCCAAAAGTCGACCAGCGAGTCCGTGTACACATAGAGGATCAGATCAAATATTGTCAGGAAATCAAGACCTTGGAACAGTACTGTAACTGTTCTGCCCTCTTTCGTAATTTTCAGTAGATCGTTCAACTCGAATTCTTCGGAGCCGTTTAGCCTGAACTCCCCCATTGCTTCTCGAAAGATGTGACTCCGCCCGGACATGACGAATTCGTGGACTGGGATGCGAACATCTGAAATAGTCGTGCCAAGTTGAATGTCATAAGTGTTTTCCGAATTCACTGACTCCCGTTGCAATATCTTCATCACCTCTTTCTCTAGATCGGGTGATCGCAATACTCGCTTACGAAGAGATTGTTCAGCGGAGGGACGCTGCCAGAATCTTGGACTTGGATCTTCGTCATCCGATCTTTCCTCGTATATCGACAAAGCGTGAAATGACAAAAGCGGACCGACATCCTTCCAGAGTGTTGGTTCGTCCACTCCAATCTGATTCTTAGTCACGTCACAATCCTTACGTATGGCGGCATATGCACCAAAAGCAGAAGCTCTCACACCCACGACTCGGGTCAAGCCTGGAATTCGCTGAAACTTGTAGTCCTTTGGTTTGTGCTCCGCTGTGCCAGTCAACGCCGCATTCTGGATGGTAGCTCTTTTTGTGCGTCTCCACACGCTGCCGGCTTCAGTAGTGAGTATTATGGAACCATCCTGGTCTACGCCAACATCCCGGGCAGCCATATGGCCTTGTTTCGCAGACCATATTCTGTAAGGCATTGAGAGAGCCCCACGAATTTGCTTGGGATTTGTGGTAGAAGTACCCGCATCGTCTAAGCGACGGCTGACTGCGACAGTAAAAACTTCCCCAGAAGTAGACATGGCACAGATGGTATCACCACCGGAGGTTATCTTCTGGATCTTGTTTGGTGTAGTATCATATCGGGTAGTGAGCCAGCTCTCCTTGAGAAAACTACTCGTGAAGCCTTCGAGTGGAAACGCCAATTTCGCATACCCATAATTAGCAAACACCCAGACCTCTCGATTTTCCAATAGACATATTGTAGCGCCATCTATGGCAGATACCGAATGAATAGGGGATGCAAACAAAGATGCCGCAATTTTACGGGGCGTGATTTGCATATCGAGCGATCGTGCGTCAGAGTCCACGATGCCCAATTGGCCTTCGTTCTTTCCGAATGTGTACAACGAGGTGGTTGTGTGAGCAACTGAATGAATGCGGGAAGCAGCAATTCCGGTGATAGTTTCTCGTTTCAATGGCCCAAACACCTGGCGAGGGATGGTCGAGATTGGGTCATCATCTTTGATGCTGGGTTTGGGAAGAGAATAGCCCAACTGACCAAAGATGTTGTTGCCCCAAGAGAAGATTTCACCCTCCAGCGAAATTGCCAAGGTGTGGTTGTGGCCGAGGGCAATAGCAGCAATCTTCTTTTGACCCAAACCACCGCTTTCTATGCAGGCAAACTGATATCTTGTCATTTCATTACCCGTCCCAAGTCGACCTCCTGGTCCGTGACCACAGACGTAAAGATTAGCCACTGGGTCTGTAGTGAGAACGGCGGTATGTAGTTTGGACATTTGTACATCCTGGATCAATAGCGGAGTATTCCGGATGTGAGTAGGCAAATCGGCAATGGCTTTGGGCAACATAGATCTTGAGTCTCGCAGTGGCAAGCCCATTGCTGCTCTGCCCTGATTTTCTTTCTCACAATGCTCTCGGTAGAACATCTGCAACAGATGATCCGGACGACGAAGAACGATACGCTCGGGATATTGACGGTCATCTTGATCACCAAATCCGAGCGTCACGTTTTTGTTGCTGCCGAAGGTATAGACTTCATCTCCACCAAGAAGAATAGGAGGAGCTATCATGTGCCTCTGCATTTCGTCATCTCGATCTCCGCTATCACCATGGGCCATCTCTTCCTCGTCCTCTTCATCACGAGGCAGAGTCGTTTCCGGGCGTAGAGTTCGATCCTTGATGGTCAAAGAAAACAAGTCCAAGGGACCATATCCTTCCTTATCCTTGATTTTGACCAGACCACGCGCATGGGAGTTGAAACCACTCGAGCCATGACCAAGTATATCGCGGACATCGCGATTGAGGATGAGACGGGCAATCGCGATGTTCCCAAAGTAGAAGGCTCGATGGAGTGGAGTCCAACCATTTTCCGTGTCTTGGATATAGACATCGACCAATGGCTGTTCCAACAAGGCCTGTGCGAAATCAAGCGCATTCACGGATGTAGAGGATGCAGCGTGGTGCAAAAGAGTCATGCCGGTTCCATCGCGGCTGTTGAGGTCCGCGCGGGTCAGTATGAGGTTGTTTGCGCCCATGATTTTGCGCCCTTTTGCGCTTTGGACGGGTGACGCCCCATAACTGCCAGGGCTGCTGTTCAGCGCATTGCCATGATATCCACCCTGACGGCCAGCAAAGCCTTTCGGCGCGCCCGTACGTGAAGCATGGGTCGCGGATTCCAGCAGGTGCCGGAAGCCATCGACATCATCTTCAAAATAATATTTCCAGAGATATCCGCTCATGTGCCAGGGAGGTAGCGAGATTTCCTTTTGCTTCGACAATTAGCGCCTCGCTATGATCTCTGAGGATCAAAGCGTATTTAAAGGTGCTGGTTGCGAAGCTCGGGGAAACTCGAGGAGGAACACCGACTGAAGCCGGTGGCGCAATATACGGCTGTTTGTTCGCTATGTATAGGTAGATCCGAAAGCACGAGGCTGATAAAAGAGGTTTGCGATCGTAAGTGGATAGGAGGTCTAGCTGATTGCAGGTGGCGACCCGGAGCGACGCGTTCGATATGTGCCGTTTGGAGTCTTATCGTATAGAAGGTGAATTTGGGACTCTAGTGAGGCTGAGAAAGAAAGGCTTGAACGATGAGGTATACTTTGTCCCTCTGTTGTGATCCGCTGGGGAGATTTGGTGGTTGTGTGTGTATGACTGGCAATGGAGGTAGCGAGTGGCACTTGTCACTTATCTTCGATGACGAAATGCGGAATGGACAGATGTTCGGTTGTAAGCGGTCTTACGGGATGAACAATTATCGTTCGAGAGAGACGGGAGAAGTGGTGTTCAGCAAATTCAGATTGAGGAGAACGAAGAATTGCCGATGGATGTTGTTGATTATGAATGAAGGTGGTTTAGAGGGGCACTGCGGCGATTGCGGAGGAGCGAGTGGTGTTCGGCCAATGAAGCCCAGCATCGTCAGCCAATCACGGGGGCACGAGCTCCATCTCTTGGAAGAACCTCGACTTGCTATATTGGCGGAGAAGAAAACAGGCGAAGAAGGCATCATTCCATATATTGGGCCTATATGCGTACATTGAAGAGGTTAAGATTCGAAGATGCAGAATGAAAGGTGGATGGTGAAGTCTGGGGCTCTGGAACCAGTCGGCGGCAATCTGTGTGTGAACGCACGTTCCCTCCCCACTCGAATGTGATGGACATGGCGGTGAGAAGCTAGGATCGAATGACTATGCAGTAGCTCCATGCTGTGGGTGAGTTGTGATGAAGTGCAAAGTATTGACGTGCAATACTGGTTTGAATGTCTCAACGTTCGACTTGGTGAGAGCTGTTAGGTCATAGCCTCATTGTACAATCGACGGTACCCGAACAACTGGTGCTACTCGAAATGTTTAGTGAGGGTTGTCCTACCTGTGTATACGAGCTATATAGGTACAGAAGATATATCTAGGCATGTACCGTGTTGATATTGTTACATATCCAAGATTATGCAGGCAGAAGCAATTGATCTGGTAGGCTGATACGTAGTCATACGAGCAGAGACAGAGAAGCTCCTCTCTTGGATATATACCGTTCAACACCAGGACTCATTGGGTGGGTGCATGCATGATGCGGGAACAGAGTCACAGGCTGAGCAGCAATGTGATAGGCAGCCATCATCACAGTATGGCAAAGAGTGCGCAGCAGCGCAACGAGTAGGGAGCACAGAGGAGATGCAAGGTGTTTTCCTTTGTTTGCATTGGAATTGCTGACCGGCCGGCGATACGTGGGCTGGCAGGCAGGGGCAATGCTCCCGCTATGTGGGAGTGACGCATGGGTACTGTATGTACGTACATAGCCCCATGTTCCGGTGAAGTTTAGACGATGAGTTATCACCGGCAGCGAGCAGGCACCCGGGAGATGTGTGAGTTGTTGCTGTCCGTCCACGACTCGGGCCCTGCATGCATATCGACATCGGCATTGCATGCATGGTTTCGAGGCAGCAGCGGATGCACCCAGGTCTTTGTACTCGATGATCTGTACACGCACGGGTTTGAACATTTGAAGCTGGTGTATCGACCCAGTCACGTGCAATGACATGATGGCGTGGGTGCCGGCGAGCAATAGTCGACCACGATTGCGTCTTCTGCCATCATGTCCGCTTCTCTTGCCTTTTCGCGCCTTTGTTTACCTAGCTATGCTTGCAAAATGTTGGCAGATAACACCATCCGTCGTCATATCTGCAACAGCGATGTCCCTAGATGGACGAGGCAAGACTGCACGTGGATGGAGCGAGTGCATCCAGATGCGGTAAACCGAGAGAACCACGGCCTGTCAATGGAACAAGGCAACAAAAAAAGAAACGCCCACGGTGGACCAAGATGTAACAGCCAGACGGATGAATGGAGTGCATCGCATGCATCTAGAATGCGGGAAACGAGAAAGTGGTGAAGAGTATGTAGACAGGAGTAGTGCATGGCCTGGAGGCGGAAGTGACCCGCGCAGGCTGGCGGGCTTGGCGGGAATGGGCCGGGAGACGAGGCCAGCGGTTATGCATCCATGCATCCATTTGAAGAGGTATCCAGCTATCCAGCCATCATGGTTGGTGCTCTTCCAGTCTTCTCTGGCTGTCGTCACCACCCTCGTTTGTTGTTCGCCAGCGTCAGGACTCAGTAATCGTTGCTTAGCTGCTTTTTTTGTGCCATCGACGTTAGCTACATGCACCCACCCATGCACCACCACTTTCACCACCACTCATCCATCTGCTAACCTGCCCCAGCCTATTCTTCCTCGACTCTCCGTCTTCTTCTTCTTCTTTTCTTCTTGCCCTCCTCCTTTGCGTCTGCTCTGCTTGCCTGCTTGCTTGATTGCATCGTCTCGTTTTATCGGTGGAGCTAGCTCGCTAGTAGCTCTCCTACCCCTACCTACCTGCTCTGGGCATCCATCGCTATCAGCCAGGACAAGCGTCATCCGCAACAGTCACGAGCCTCGTCCAACCGTCTGACTCCCACGTACTTTTGTAGTAATACATGCATCCACACCACCACCCAGCACTCTCCTCTTAGCCTTCCCGCCTTGCTGGTACCCATTCTCCCCAGCATACCCGCCCGCATCGCTGCCTGCCTGCCTGCCTGCCCTCTGAACCGCTTTGAGACGCCTACCTACTACTACCTGCACACACGCACACATCCACGACGCTGCCCTGCCCTGCATCTCCACCTTATCTCCGCCTCAGGCATCGCCAACCACAACCTCTGCGCCCTACTTATATACTGCACTCCACACCCATCAAGCGACATGGCTGCTGCCTGAGCTCTCCGCCCAATATCCAGGTACCCTTTGCGCGTGGCCCCGTCTGCTGAGAGCTCCTCGCCCGCCACCCGACCGACCTATTCATCCATTCCCACGCACCTCGAGCCGATATCCTCGTCATGGCTTCTATCACCTCTGTGCCCTTCTCACCAACCCACCCGTAATCGCCTGCCCCGTCGTACCCAGCCTAGTTTACACACACCCTTACAACCAATCTGCGCCTCTGCGCCTGGCACCACCTCCACCGCCACACCATGTACCCACCCTCGCGACCTTCACCGAGGACCGCATCCGCCGCCAATAACCTCCAAACAAATCCAACAAGAACCAATAACCAAAGGGATCCCGTCTTCGAGCCTTCTTCCCCTTACTCGGATATAGCCCCCTACGGTGACCGGGCGGCCGAGGACGCTCATGGTGAAATGGCTTCTCGTGCCGACCCGCCGTCTGAGGCAGACCAGAAGCACATCCAGAAAGTGAATCAGGTCATAACAGTATGCATCTATCCCATCCCCCAGTACTCACCCTCGGGACTGATGTTGATGATTTTGCAGAATTTCTTCACCAAAGCAGCACTTACCATCGTATCTTCAAGGACCTTGCTCCCTCACGGTTTCAACAAGAATGGAGACATCAGGCAAAACAAATGGGTAGGCGCCTCTGCTAGTGTTGTGCTTGTTCTCAATTATGCTGACCCCGTGCTAGTTCAACGTCGTGCTGGACGATACCGACTCGCTCACCGAAGACCTCATGGAATGGAAGACGATGAATGCCATGGCCGGTCAACATCCACCTCTCTGCATTGAAATATATCTGGATACAAGGCAGCTAGGCCATAAGCAGTCGCTTGTGGTCCAGGATGAGCAAGGAAAGAGATGGGATGTGGGTGAAGCTCTGAATGTGCCCCTGGAGTCTACTTCGCGCCCTACCAGCCGTGTTGGCAAATCCACCCAGCTGGTCTTGGAACGATGGGAGGTTCACGTGGGCGACAAGTCGACCGTCCATCCATCAGAACTGAGCGACCCTTTACCAAACGTTTATAAGAAAGCAGTCGTTCTCTTCCGATCGCTGTATGCTTACCTACGATTCATACCCACACACAAATACTACAAGCATATCGCGAAACAACCGCCGAATTATCCTTCTCTGAAACTCAATTACCGCATCTCCAACGCAACCTTCAAGAGCCCACGGCCGGATACTCTTAATGTTCCACTGTATCCATCTGACGAGCCGGTCACGGAAAGACAAGAATTTGCACCGTCAAATTCGCCCGTCGGCCCGCTATGTATCTCGGTAGAATATCGCACCAACTGTGAATTCAGCGTCGAAGATTCCGAGTCGCTGTTGAGCTCCCATTTTATGGGTCTTGACACTACATATCTCGAGCAATCCAATCGAGAAGCGGGCCACATCCCAGGGTCGTTGCCAGTCGACAGATTACATCCCCAGGAATCTCCTGACCTAGGCCAAGCTTACGGTAGCATGTCCACCTTTCATCAGCCCGGTCCACCGACAGGAACAAGCCCCATGTCAGCGTTGCGGGCCGTTCGCGATATGCCTTCTTCCTCGCCTACCGAGTCGCCACCTCAAAAGTTGCCTCCCAATCATCGCACAGCTCAGGGCTCTAAATCATCCCTACGTACAACAGACACGCCGCCTTATCAAAGAAGAACGTCTGTTTCCTTCCAGCCCTTCAAAGCCGGCTCCTTGTCGTCATCGCCTGCGTTGGGTTCGGGCGTCCCTCCTTCCCCGGGCAGCTCACTAGGGCGGCCGAGTAGCTCCTTGGGCCGGAATCCGACTCCCAACCCTCTCACCCAGCCGCGCAATCGAACTTCGCTGACAGCCCTTCCACAGACGGCGCTCAGACAACCGTCTCTCACCAATGAGACGGCGATTGCATCGTCTGCCTCCAGCTCGCCAAAACCAGCTCCCATTACTCGATATAGCAGCAGCTTTGGTCACAGGAGAAGCAGGTTTTCTTCTGGTGGCGGAAGCAAGACTGAGGAGGACAATTTGAGCAGTGGGAAAGGCAGTGTAGCTTCTTCGCAACAAAGAGGATCAGAGGTTCTCAATGAGGGTGAAGGTGCCAGCTCTGGTTCCTCCAAGACTGACGATGAGAGCATTTCAGACTTTCTGAAGTTGCTAGAGCAGAAGAAAGAACTCAAGAGCTTTACTCGAAACGATAACGCTTCTCGAGACGCTACCATGAGGAAAACAACCGCCCAGCTGTCCAAATACCAGCGTATGCGAGAACCACAGTCTCATCTCTCACAGCTCTCCGACTCCATCTCGTCTTCGATGATGCTTCATCGCTCTTCTTCCTCTTCAAGTCGCCAACTTTCTAGCGTTCCTCCGATGATCGCAGGAACCTCAGTGTCCACTGCTTCATCACCAGGGAAACCCATCTCGCCGCATACACCTCACACACCTGCTATTCCATCTCGGTTAAGTGCTAACAGCATTGCCGAGTACGAACCCCGTCGCAGCCGTAGTCGTTCTGGCCAGCCGCCTAGGAGTCATGGAGCAGCCGATGTTCAGGAACAGAGTGAAGGCGACGATCTCGGGACCAATGCAATCGACATTCCAACATCACCACGCCCCTGGCATTACAATCGACGGTCTAGTTCCGCTGCCCAGCAAAATCGTGCTTTGGAAGAGGAACCGGACATGTTCGGTCTGCGCTCAGCCAGTCTTCCGGCAGAGGAGGTCGATCGCCAAAGAGACTTGCAGCGTACCACGGCACCTGATCTCACGTCTAGTGGGCTTCTCGCGCAAACTGAACATTTAGCGAGTACGGACCGTGCAGAGCAGGATTGTGAGGCTGCCAGCCCTCCGGGTTCCCGCGAGGAACTAGCACGCCCATTGTCAACTTCGGATCTCCCAGCAAAGCGCGGTACATACTCAGGAAGCAGTCGTGGACGCGGGGGCTATTCCTCTCACGGATCCTCTGTCAGTCTTGCAGCAGGTGCCACGAGCTCGACAGATCGGCATAGCCGATATAGCTTCCAGAGTCGACATGTTGCCAACGATGACGATGAACCCCTTCTCTTTCAAATGAGTGAGATAGGTACAGGTTCTCGACGAAGTCTGGAAGAAGGCAGAGGTGGGGCTGGCACTGGCAGTGGAGCCCGGCGAGGCTCACCCTGGCTTCGCTAACGACATTACTCTTTTTTGAAGAACATAGTCCTCTATTCTCCGCATGCTCCCATTCAGATGTTTTACAGCACATCGGCGTTTGTCCCAGGCCCGGTGGGTCTTTGTGCTTTGTACCTTGTTGTCCCTTGGCACGGTGTTTCTTGCCCTTGTTGCATACGCGCGATACACAATTTCCTACCATTCGCGAGCGAATGTTCTCATCTTCCATTTCTTGTCTCATTTCCCACATCTCGAGATGCTCTTTTTTTTGCATCTCCATCTTCTTTTTTCATCCAGTTCTATTATCCACCAGATTGCGTACGTAAACAGATTAGGGAAGCGGGAATTCGAAAGGGTGTCTGGTCGTCTCTGTACCAGACTCTAGTGCCTGCTTTTCGTCTTCTTTTCCTATCTTATCTTTTTTTCCTCATTTTATACGGTTGTTGGCATACACGGCCGGTTTATATCTTTCGACACTGCGTATACCTCCCTCCGTCTCGCTGTCCCTTCCTACTTCTCTTAGTTTTGTCGGGATAAGGGTTTACTAGGGTACAGTAACTTGCTCGCCTCTCTTATTTGTATACGAAATTTCTCTTTCAGATCCTGGATGAAGAGAAGAGGGGGTACCGAAGAAGAGGATTGGGAGGGAGGGAGGTGTCGCAGGTAAGAGAGACTCGCTGACCTCACGGTCTTCGTTGGGGAGTTTTTACATGTAACCTGTGCTCTTGGGGCTTTTTTTCATATCAAAGTACAGTATAGCACAAGTATAGTCAGGCGAGGGTGATGGTAGGGAGTATATAGATATACGTTGTTCGTGTTCGACGCTCAATATAGGAATTGAATAAGAAAAAAAGAATTATATAAAATATATGATAGACCTAGGGTTGCCTGTTGCTGTAACGTGTGATATTTGGTGAGCCAGCTGGGTACTTGAAGAATGAAGTTGCACGTTCCTGGTTCCCTATTCAAATCTCGCCGCTGATACAACGACGAAGTGAAAGACCCAAGGATCCATGGGATACAGGAAGCGCTGCAATCAGCATAGCTAATAGGATTGAAGGCAATTGGTTCTAACTATTTGAACTCGTTTGACAAATACATGCTGGAAGTGGAAACTATACAGCCAAACAACGCAAAGGTAATAAAAGCAAAGCAGAATGAGAAAAACAAAGCAGCATGGTACCGAATCAACAGATCAGCAAACCCCCCTCTCCCCCCAGACCTCTCCAAACTTCGTCCCCCCCGACATTTCACTCTATCCAAGCCCCAGGCATAGACGACCGATCAGACGCACGCCCCCTCCCACTCCCCCATCCCCTCGAAGATCCCTGACTCATCTCCGACGTAAACCTCCCCCTCGCCGGAACTTTTAAGCTCGCCCGCCCAGGCACAACCGTCGCTCTCCGCACCGACACCATCCCCTTCTTCCTCACCTGCTCGATGGCCCCGAGCGGCACCATAGCCGCATCCCACTGATTCAGCACCCTGAGCACCTCTATGACAAAAACCTGGCAGTTCTCGGTCAGCGCGTTGAAGCGGTGCTGTTCCCTGACCAACCCACACGCTTTGCTGAGCCGGCTGCGTGTACTGACCGCGCCTGGGACGCGGAAGTAATGCCATGCTCCGCGGTCCATGCGCGCGCGATCAACTTCTGTTTCCGAGACGAAGAGATCCGTGGTAGTGGTTTTTGTTTGGACCCCTGTAGAAGTGGAATTGCATGAGATTCGAGAAGAGTTTTTGGAGCCCGGGCCGTTGTTCTTCCAGAGGCCGTACATGTGGCCTTTTGCCGTGGCGTGGTCGGGCATGAGGAGGATTTCCCAGTGGCTGATTGCGCTGTTAGATGTGCGGACTAGCCAGAGATTTTGCGAGGTGAGGGAGATGTAAGGGTCTTGCCATTGGGTTGGGATAGAGGCGGTAGAGCGTGGAGAGGACGGCTTGCTTGTTCCGCAACCCATTTTGACTTAGGATTTGGAGAGAGCTTGTTGAAGAGAGATTGTAGGTGGTAATGTCTTGGATGACGGCAAGTGTAGTGTGATAAAAAGTAACCTTTGAAAGGTCAGGTAATGTGTGTATGGAGGATGTTGTTAGAGAAAAGGTAGAGATGTGCTTAGAGAAGGGGAGCACTCCCTACTTATATGTGCTGCCTGCCATACTTGAGGGCAAAATTTGATTTTGTGCAGTATTTTCTGGTTCTAACCGTGGTTTTAGTTAGCTATAGAACATTGGCACTTCAAAAAGAATTTGAACTCCATTCAAAAGTTCATTCGTCAATCAAGCCTAATCATTTGAATTTATGAATGGTCAGCCTATCAAACACTTCTTTATTACAGTCTGTTCCTTTCGACATTTGAACATGCAGACTATCCAATAGTATTTGCTTCAATTCTCATTGGACAATCGTTTTCTCAGCCTGTTGTAGAAGACTGAAAGCAGATGAGCGAATACTCTTTCAGTCGTATACAGTCACTAGAAGAATATGCGAATTTGCAGTTGATTTGATTGGGGCATAACAATACTTAAAACTGTGCTACTAGTCTATTGTGAGCATCATGTAGTGTGTTGACGTTTAATAACTACATGGGAGTTACGTGACATATATATGTATAATCTCGTCAGGGACTTCACCCCAGTTCTTGTACAATGTTTGTTTAGATCTGATTGATCGCAATGTCTCAATCTTCACTTGGTGCTTGATCTATCATTGATCATGATGTCACATCAAACCGAGTACAAGGGAATTTCAAGCAGTGTACAACACCTGCTCGACCACGACATGCAACTAAGCTCACTGTGTGTTAGGAACTGTCTTTGAGACGACGGCTAGAACACCACACAATATGCCAAAATGGCTGACCTACACATCACCACTTACGCAAGCTCAAGTCAACACCGGACTTGCCATGTATTATACCATGATGGCGATCATTGGCGACAAGGGCAGCTCCGCCTTCTTTGTTCTTCTGTCCATGGCCCTTACAAGCACGGTTTCATCATCCATGGCTGCAGTAAGCAGCCTCCTCTCCTTTAATGTGTACACAACATATATCAAACCGCGTGTCTCGGACAATTGTCTAGTGAAAGTGAGCCAAGTCATTGCTTTGGTGCTCAGCTGTGGTGGCGCCAATATGACATGGATTGGATACTTCCGCCTCATCCTTTCGTGCCTTGGTATTATCGCTCGCGCTCACTCTGCCTTGATCCTGCCCAACTCGCCTTGCAGCCGTGATTCCGCCTATCCTAGGCTTATTCATAGGCTGCTTGATTTGACTTAGTACGTCGTTTTCTATGTATGGACGCGTGGATCTTGAAGCTACTGGCATTAGTGTCCCAGCATTATACGGCGCGACGGCGTCGTGTCTCTCGCCGGTCATATATTCGGTGCTCCTCTCGCTATATAATTTATATGATTTTCAATGGCTCATCGTCCTGCGCATCTAGCTTGCTGATGAGGCACAAGTGGCGAAGAATAGCGAAGAGTCAGGCGAGGAAATACAGAGTCTGAATTGAACGACGCGGAGTCCTCGCCACTATTCACATTCATTCGAACCACACCAAAGCATGCATACACCATCAATGTTGTCACAGATTATTCCCACCAAAAACATGTCCAGTTCTTCTGGCGGTTTTCAGCATTTGATGTTGTTTTGATGATTCCACTCAAAGATGATGGAGCGTGATCGAAAAGGGGGCGAGAGGCGTTCGGAAGGCAGATATCTCTCTGCTACGGAAGCAGGGGTAACACGAGGACAGTAATTTGTCCGTTGCTTTTCAATCATGCTTCCGGGAGTTCACAGTGATGTAAAACTCGGTTGAGTGATGACCAATTCACTCCTTGCCGCTCACTTCTATGCGTGTGGGAGTGAGATTTCATCATAGCTCATCTCCTTAAATCCTTATTCTCCGAACTCCATGGTCTCAAATGTATGAGGTAATTTGTGGAGAATTTGAGGCTATGGTCATAATGATATCTGGCACAACGCAGTATAAGGGAGAAACACAGTGAATTGATCAAGGACATAGGCAAATACACACGTACCCGGTGCTGTAATTGAAATGGAAAAGGACGCAAGTAGTCAGGAAAGAAACAGTTGCCAGCGAACACATGGCCATCGAAATACAAAAACATGAAATTGCACGCACCCATAGAAATTCTACGTATAGTGCATAGCAACGGCGTCTCGGTGATAACTTCTTGACTCCGATGGTCTACCTTCCCACAATACAAGGACTATATTTTCGACCCATTCTATCTCATATCACATACATATTTCCGCATTGGTCCGAGCATATCAAACTGTACACATTGGTCCCCACTGAAAAAGTATAGATCTGCATTATGCTGTCGTGATATCTAATCTGTTCTTGTATCAGCCACCACGTGTGCCTCCAGAAAACGCGTAATACCTCGCCGTCCGCGCCCGCCGAGAAGTGACAGAACAAGTCTACAGTAGAAGTCTCTATATACTTTTAGCTATAATGTTGGTCTAATGAGGTAAAGTGTTGACGTGAGATCTCGTTTGCACTTGCTTGGCTGCGTTCGCGGCGCCAAGCTATTAACCAAATCGTTAACCCTTTTCGTATGGTTGACCAGAACCAGGACCACAAGAAGATGAAAATGAAGATCTTCTGTTTATATGCATTTTCGTCTAAGCCTCTTGTTGCGTGTTTATGATATCTAGGTTATTGGTAGATGACAGATGTTAGATATATATAAAGTCTCTCCACACCTCCCATGAAATAACACCAGTACAACACTGCAGTTGTTCACTGAACTAATTCCCTTACAATCGCTATTTTTCCTACATTTTTTTCTTGGATCGAAAACAAAATTCAACTTTACTTTCGGGCACCATGATACCCACGCTTGTCACTGCTTTGCTTGCGGGTGGCAGCTTTGCCTACGCTGCCCCTGAAGAATACGACTATGTCATTGTCGGATCTGGTCCAGGTGGAGGTCCCCTAGCGTAAGTTCTGAAGATACCTACACTTCTGTACATCCCTCTAACAAATTACTACAGAGCCAATCTGGCATCAAGTGGAGCTTCCGTCTTCCTAATCGAAGCTGGAGGCGATAATTCGAGGGACATCGCTCAGGCATTGCCAGCGCGGTAGGCATCATTCTCCCATTGAGTGATTTAGAGCTGGGCGTAGCTAATTGTCCATGTAGTCAGGCTTTCTCTGCTGAGAACGCTCCACACTCGTGGCAGTACTTTGTCGAGCACTACGGAAACAACGAGACGCAGGCTCGGCGCGACTGGAAGTACACCTATCGCCAGACCAATGGAAGTCTCTACACTGGATTGGATCCGCCAGCGGGCGCTACACCGTGAGTATACCAATTCGAGGTTCATGAAACTGCAATGGGAACACTAATCATGACTGGGTTATAGTCTAGGTAACATGTATCCAAGAGGTGCGACTCTAGGTGGTAGTGCCCAAGTCAACGCCATGAACCTTGCATGGGCCCCCGACAACGAATGGGATTACATCGCCGAGCTCACGGGCGACTCCACCTGGGGCCATGAGAACATGCGTCGACTTTTCATGGAGATGGAGAATTGCACTTACGTGCCCCACGGAACTCCAGGCCATGGCTTCGACGGGTTTCTTCAGGTGAGGGAGCTACCACATTGTTTTGGCTTGGATCGCTACTGACAGCCTACGCAGACTACTATTTCCAATCACGACAGGGATATGATGAACCCTGGCATCGCCAGTTTTTTCTCCGAGATGTTTCGCGTCGTGGAGGGGATTGAGGTCAGCGCTAACGACACGGCGGAAATGGCGAGACTCATCGCCCGTGATGTCAATGGTATTGAGAGCGACCGTTACGAATCAAAGATCTCTGGACGCATGAATGCGATCAATCCTTCTTCCGGCAACAGAAGTGGTGTTGCTGACCACCGTAAGTTTATTCCCAAGCTCATGAAGTGGACGTCATTACATCTCGGTCGGGTCTGTTGTCATCTGTTAACATGTACTGATTGAACCTCAAAATTAGTCAACAACATCGTCGCCGGAGGACACCCATTGACCATCAGTTTGAACTCTCTTGCCCAGAAGGTTCTTTTCGAGGACTGCGAGGGCACCCCCAAAGCCATCGGCGTTGAATATCAGGTTGGTGAGGGACTCTACTCCGCTGGCCAACAATACGACGAGTCTCAAACTGGAGAAGTCAAGACCGTGCGCGCAAAGAAGGAGGTTATTCTTTCAGCAGGTACCTTTAACACGCCACAAATCTTAAAGCTCAGCGGTGTCGGGCCCCGCGATGAATTGGAAGAGCACAACATCCCTATCGTCGCTGAACTCCCTGCAGTGGTAAGTCTACCCCCAGCCCTAGACCTTTACTGTTTGAGTACTAGAGAAAAAAGTTGCCAGGAGCTGACAACAACCACAGGGAAACTTCATGCAAGACAACTACGAAGCCCCCCTCATAATCCGCGCCTCGGAGCCCTGGATCGTAAATACATCCTCCCCATGCACAAACACCTTCAACGCCTCGGACCCCTGCTTCCTCCTCTGGCAAAACAACGGCACAGGACCCTACACCTCAGGTGGCGGATTCTACTTTACAGCTCGCAGCTCTCAATCCTGGGACAACGATTCCGACCTCTTCTTCCTGGGCGCGCCCGGCCGCTCCCGCAGCGGTTTCTTCCCCGGATACTCCAACGGCACCGTCGAGCCAAACTACTGGGCCACATCCATGATCAAAATGCAAACCAGCAACGCCGCGGGTACCGTCAAGCTCCTCTCCACAGACCCACGTATCGCACCCGCCATCAACTTCAACTACTTTGCTGAAAACGCCGACCGCGATTTACAAGCGCTTACCGAGGCCGCAGAGATGCTGCTTGCCGGGTACGACGGTACGGGGATCCCGTACGAGCTTATTACACCTAGTCGCGATAACATGCGCCAGGGCATCTTGGACGAGTCGTTCAGCCACCACGCTACGTCCACGTGCCGCATGGGACCCGACAGCGCGACGGTCGAGGAGGCGTGCGTCGATACCAAGTTTAGGGTCAAGGGGATCAAGAGTTTGAGGGTTGTCGATGCCAGTGTGTGGCCTCGTGTGCCTGGAGCTTTCCCCAACGGGCCTACGTTCACTATGAGCATGAAGGCTTCTGAGGTTATTCTTGGGCTGGAGTAGGGTTGTAATGTGCTGAAATGTGTTTTGGGGGCGATTATCGCCCTGCCATACCTTGAGTATTCCTCTCTTTTGTTGGGTGCGGGCTTTATAATTGTAGTCCTAGACTCGAACTATTCTTCTTCTTCTTTCGCAGACGGAGCACATGAACTCCCCATTTCTATAGACAAATACAATATTTTGATTCAAGGTCGTCTTTCCCATTCAAAACAAATCGAGAGAAGAGCATCACATATCAAAGAACATTGATACGAGAAAACCAAGATATAACAAAATCGAAGGAAGAAATATCTTACACACACGCGTATACACATTGTCCCCAATTCTCCCGCTCGAAGAGCAACTTCAAGTTCTGCCTTGGCGAAAAGAAGAGAAAAAAGAAGAGAAAAAAGAAGCGAAAAAAAAAGAAGAAGACATTCTCAAACCAGCCCAATAGCATCCGAAAACCACGTACGTCCCCCTATACCATTAATACAGGATACCACTACTAAAATTGATCCTCCATTCCTTTTTTTCTTCTTCTCTGGACCCTGACGATCTCTCAACGTTTATCTCCGATCTCCTCCCCACCGCGAACCCCAGCGGCCTATCACGTGAAGCACCCACACATGCACACATCTAAAACATGTGAACAAATGTCTGGACATTGCAATCAGGATATCCACCTTCCCAAATAATAATAACTGTCACGCATCTCAATGCAGCAAATGGGGCCAAAAAAAGACTTATCCCCCCCTTCCCCCGCACATGAACCATGCTTTTTCCTCGGTTTCAGAAAACGCGAGGAGAAGGGGGGTGACGAGCATCAGCAATTTGGATTTCGGAGAGAGAGAGAGAGAGAGACAACTATGCATCTGCATATACAATGACATTGACGCAATTGCATGTTGCGCTATCGATTTTAATCTATAATTATTCAAAGGAGAAATGGCCAAACCTCCCCACAGAGAACGGAGTACAAGTGGCAAAAGAGAAAATGGAGGGGGGTTTTGAGGCGTCCAGTGAGTAAGATTTCCATCTTCATCTTGATGAATTGCACATTCCGCAATAGGAAAACAGTGATGAAGGAGAAAGGATTCTTGATCAGGTCTTACTAGGAGGGGGAGGGGGAGATTCTTACAATTTTGCTCTTCAGAATGAAAAAGGCGGATAATGCACGTACGGTCATCACAGACACTCGTCTTACTAGGTGCGTAGGTGAGACAGTAAGGTAAGAACGCTTAAAACTAATAACTATACAGTTAATGGTTCTAAGCGCTCTTACCTCACCGTCTTACCTAGAACTAATGACTATGCAGTAGTAGTAAGACGCAGGGGCAAGAAAGAAATGACCCTAAGCAAAATCTAGAAGAATGAATTGAGCGATTAAAAAATGCAAAAGAGAAAAGAGAGAAGAGAAAAAAATGTTGAACTCGATCCATGGTTTCAGGACTGAAGACCAAAAAGACGGTCAGCACATGGCGGTTCTTTCTAGTCCGTGGAGGGTTTTTTTTTTCTTTCTGGATCTTCTTTTCTCCGGCTTTTTCGTCACGTGAGGTAGCCCACCCTCCAAACATTTGAATGTTTTCTTTCACCGGTAGTTGACTCACCGCCAATGGAATGCTACATGTGCAGGCCTAATGCAGAAGGTCGCTAGTACTAGCCCAGTAGCAAGTTCTAGTCCTTCAGAAAAAAAGGGATCTACAGAACAGAGTTTGAAGCTACAGACAGAAGCCAAGCGGGGAGAAGCCCAAGGAGCTCCACAGCAACCATAAGATTTGACAAATAAGAAAGGGCTGCGTAGAACTAACGCGATAAGAGAAAAAGGGGCGAGGGTAATGCAGGAGAGCAGATGTAGCACAAAAGTCAGAATTGTAAATCTTGCAACGGCGTCGCGCGCGAACGCTGGTCAAATGTCTTAGATTCAATGGTAGATCAGGGCCGCGTGGGATTGGCTCGGATAGACACAGAGTTTTGCGAGATGGAGGGGAATAGGAAAGAGAGTAAGAGAAGAAGGTTAAAAAAAAGGTGGCCTGTTCATGCGCAGGGGTAGGTGGCTGACTGGATTGGGCAAGTGACAGGAATTGGAATAAGGTACGGGTAGCGTAAGAGCCGCACAGTCCGACATGTATACAACGGGCAGGTCGTGGTGGTGGTGGCGGTGGTGGTGTAAGTAATAGAGATGAGTGCAGCCAGCTGTTGTGGTACCCAGGTGTTTGGGAGTTGGGCGGCTACTGAAGTAAGCAGTTCATACGTTCTCTCTCTCCATGCGGGCATGCGCGATTCGCATCGCATCTGTGCGAGCCGCATCGGAAGTCTAAAAGGGTGCACGGAAGGCAGAGCCTCCAGATGCGAGGGCGCTTCGCTAGACGAGCCCACTCGCTACGGGCATCGATTCGCAGCGCAGCGCAGCGGAGCGGAGATTCGGGGCGCCTGCTTGGACAGCGAGGCCCGATTTGGGTCTTTTCCACGTAACCCACTCCACTCCGGGGACAAGGCGAGCGCGACGGTGGTCGAGCGGATTGACGAGTGTGCATGCATCACTGCATTCACTGTAGGATGACAAAGGAAAGGCAGGTCAGCGTCTGTGATGTCAGTGGAACACGGGCTAGCCGAGACATGATTTGCTTGTCTGTGTCGGTTGCATGTCTTGGATGGATTTGGGTTTGTGGTTTGTTTACTCGGCGGTGGTGGTGTTGGTCGGTACTGCGTACGGCGAGGCTGTGCACACGACTGGCAGAGCGCGCTTCGTGGAATGTCTTTGAGGATTCGTCGGATGTCGGACGGGGCCGAACGGTGATTGGGATGAGCGAACACGAAGGGGAGAGAGTCATTGTCTGGGGATCTGTCTGCGGTGACTGACTTGATCGACTGAGTGAGTGAGTGACTTGTCCATGATCAATCTGATGCTGCAGGACTGATCTGGAGACACGGACAGGTGGAGCCAGTGCAGAGTCTAAACAGGTAGGTGGCATAGGCGGATGGTCATTTGGCATTCAGGATTGAAACGAACAGGTCAGAGTGTTTGGATGGTGGAGGTCCAATAGCGTAGGGCTGGGCAGGTGGACGCATGACAGGCCGTCTGTGAGGATGCGCGTTGAGTGGGCGAGAGTGGAGTTGACTTGGATGCCGCCATGGCCGCAAGGTGTTGTTCATGCGTGGTGCAGCGCTGGCCAATGAGGGGCGGTAGAGCAGACGCAGCCACAGGGGCGGTGGCGCTGGCAGGGGCGAACCTCGGGATGGATCGCGTCGTCGATTCGCGTCGCTCCTCTCCGAGAACGGTGGTGGCCACGCTGTGTACTCTGTCGTTCGTATCCACGACTTCGTACGAGTGTGGGATGGGATGCACGATGAACGCGCTGGATTCCTGCAATAGGCATGCATCGTGTATGGGGAATTTATTAACTAATAGTACGGCGTGGCTGGGGCGCACCCACACGAGTCGTCATGCTCCTCCCTACTGGCGAAGTCCGGCATAATCACTGACCCTGGGGTTCCCATACTACATACTTAGTTACTGTAGACACTTCCAGATGCATAGAGGATAGATGGATAGATACTTAGATATAGCCATCTGGGCCCATTCGTTTGTTCGTCCACCCACCCATCCATTCGTTCTAGTGCCGTCCAAGTGGGCTTCGAGACGGTGTCCAGTCCACACAGCGCACACCTCACCGCCTCCTCCAGCATACTTGCCATCCAGCCATCGTGACCCCAATCCAGGCCAGCCGACCATCCGTTAGGACACATAGTAATTGCAGACGCGCGACATATCAACCGCCGCCTCGCTCCCCCTTTGCCTCCCTTGCATGCTTGGTAGCTTGCTGCGTTGGACAACCACCATCAATCGCTTCTCAGCTCCGCTGTTTTATTATCATCATTATCATTATCGTTATTCACCAATAATCCTGCCGCTCCCGTGTCTGCAGGCCCTCAAACGAACAGGCAGCGCCTTTGAAACGCTTCCGCCCCCGGCCCCCCAGGAGATTGGACGACAAGCACCCGTTCTGAAATAGCTGCAAACATCTGGCCGCCAGCGAATCGACGGCTATCCATTTTGAAACACGCCTTTTGCTGACCCCATAATCCCATCTGCCGCTCGCCTTTCACTTCGCTCCCACAGCCAAACATAGCCCGCTAGCCGCTGTCTTCTGCTGCCGCCCACCACTCGAAACCCGTCCTGCCCCCTCCCATTGGCTGCTGCTCGCCATTCCCTCCAGCCCGCCGATCCCAACCCTCTCAACCTCTGCATTCTACAAGTATCGCGCTTTGCCGCGAATATACTACCTTCTTTTTTTCCATCATCCTTCGGTCAGTCCAGTCCGTCCTCTCCATTTATTACCTCCTCCTCCCTTTCTTTTTCCTTTCTCTCCGGGCAGGCTCGACTCAACCTCAAAAAGCTCGCTGGCCAATCACGAGCATTTCCCCCTCCGCCTTACCTTCCCTCCCTTTCAATTCCTCCCTTCCCTCATCCCTTCGCGGCAGTGCCTCGAAGAAGAAAAAAAAAACTCCTTGCGATCCGCCTCTCTCCCTCTTTCACTCCACTCGTCCCGCTGTGCGCCTTTCCGCCGGTCGGAACACCACCTATTTCTCCTAATTGCCGTCGTGTTTTTGCTTCAAGCCACCACCTGGTCCCGTACAGCCCCAGCTTACACACCGGAAAACAGTCAACCAACCAACTGCACATCCCCCGCTACGCCTCGCAGGGCTCACTACCAGCTCAGCTTCCGCAATCGGTAATTGACTTCGGCTGAAGCTTCAACTTGATCAACGTCTACAAAGACCATCGTCGTCGCTTGTTTCCACCACCGTCATCATCAATCACCATATCCAACATGACTTACTCGCGCAACCTCGCCGTGGAAAACCAGGCTGCCCTGGACCACTTCATTCAATCTCCCGTCTCACCGGATATGATTGCTTATCTTGCTCAAAAAGCATCGCAAGTCATTCGCTGCGAAGCACCATCATCAGCACATCTCAACAAGAACCTGCCCCCAACACCACCCGCTTCTCCATCACAGCACTCCACCTCCCCCCGGGAACCTTCACTACCATCCCTGGAGGAGTTCATCACCTCACTAGTCGAGAGATCACATGTCCAAGTCCCTACTCTCATGTCCTCGCTCGTCTACCTTAGCCGGTTAAGAGCTCGTCTTCCTCCTGTTGCCAAGGGCATGCGCTGCACTGTCCACAGAATCTTCCTGGCTTCCCTTATCCTCGCCGCCAAGAACCTCAACGACTCGTCCCCCAAGAACAAGCACTGGGCTAGGTACAGTGCTGTTCGCGGCTACGACAACTTTGGCTTCTCCATCACCGAGGTCAACCTCATGGAGAAGCAGCTCCTGTTCCTGCTCGACTGGGATCTGCGCATCGAGAACGACGACCTCCACTACCACCTCGAGCCCTTCCTGGCTCCTATCCGCATCTGGCAGGCTCGTCAAGCCGAGAAGGCTAGGATTGCTGAGCGCGAGCGAGAAATTGCCCGCCAACAGTACAGCCTGACCTCGGAGAACCTTAGCAGGTCCCGCTTGGACTCTTACGACTCCTTTTCCAACTACGCCATCGACCAGAGGCGGGGGTACCACACGCCATCTCACTCTCGTGCACCATCAAGAACGCCATCGCTTTCCCCGCCCACCACGCGCAGCTCTTCGGTATCAACGTCATCTGACTCTCCTAGGAGTATCATCGAGGAGAGCAGGGGTGCTGTCGTACGCCGCTACGATGCCGAGCGTGGCGCCATGGTCGTGGATATTGATGCATCTCACTCGCACCACAAGCTCCAGCACTCTCTCCCGCTGTACGACGAAAAGCCAGCCAAGAAGGCCAAAACTACTACAGCAGGTGGCTTCTTCAACCGCATGTTGGGCCAGTACGCCACCCGCCAGACTTCCTACTAAGGCGTAGACCACCACCACTCGCTTTTTCCCTATGTTCCAAACCATTGCTTGGCCCAAATTTACGACAATGAAGTTGCGGATTATGATTTAATGCGGTTGTGTCACGTTAGCGCTGTGCCTACTGGACTGGGTGCAAATCACAGGCGCTCTCTATGCATGATTGTGGTTGGAAGCAGGATCATCTATTCGTTTCCTCATTTCGTTTTCATCACCGGCATCTTGCATTTTACCATGTTATAGCATCGCGAACGGCGCTTTTTCCATTTTTGTTCCCCCCTAAAGGGATGGGGGAAAATCATCATTTAATCGTAGCATTTCCAGCCTCTTGTTCTTTTCCCGTTTATTTTGTTGTTTTATCCAGCCGAGGGAGAGTGGATCTGCGGCAATGCATCGCATTCTCAGATATAGTGAGTGGATGAAATGGGGGACATGTGTTTTATCTTGGCACTAGGGGGACGACACGTAAAAACCGGACCTTCCGCTATAGGACTAGCATCGGATCAGCTGTCTGCCTTCAGGAGAAGGTCGATACTCTTTCCAATGAAAATCAAACACAAGATATCACACTTCACTTTGATCTCAGCTTCAGAGCATGTCGTAGAATGTCATTGGTGTGAATCCCTTGAAACACGCAAATCCTGCCTGACCCTTTTTTTTTCCCTTCCCAACTGATTGTATGACACCGGGTTCGCCTTTTCCTTCCTTTCGGACTTTTTGACTCGCGCGTTTCCGTTTGTCTGTTATGTGGGGAAATCCCTTCCCAAAAGGAGACGCAGTGAGAATAAGGCCGTTTTTCTTAACGGGGATTTTGGAAATCTGAAATCTGAATCTTGGGCGCACTGTTGTTTTCTGTTGTGCTACCCGCCCTGTGCCCTGCCCTTTTTCATTCCTCCCCTTGGTTAATCTCCGCTCTTGCATAGTCGCATACGTCCCGCCCTGTCCATCCTTTTCTTTTCTCCGAATTGTGTTGGTTGCTTTGGTGCGATTTATCTGTTTCGGGCGTGCAGATTTGAGTGCTCCTCTAAGGGGGAGATGATTGCTGGTCTAGTGTTATGTACATGTAGCTTTATTATCACGCATCACCGAGGAATCAAGAATCACAATTTACACTTTAGCTACCTACTATATGGTACGTACATGAGGACACTGATCGTTTGTGGAAGATAGAAAGGGATGGGGAAGGAATGGGATGATGGATCTACCAAACATGGATTACCGTCATCGTCGTCGTCGTCGTACACGCAATCAACTTCGCCTGTACAGCTAGTATATATCAGTGGCTGTGCTCTGAGAAATCCCATCTTGAAGACAAAAAGGTGGCGTGGGGCGTCCGTTCGACGAACGTGCTTGCACACGCGCGTACATAGTAGTCTTGTTGCGGAGTGGCGCAAACAACCATCATTCATCATCTTACAAATGCGTAATTATGTGGCGAGGTAAATCCTCCTTTTTTTCCCCACTGATTTGTTCGAGATCTTGGAGGAAAAAAACTGCCTTCCTGGAATCGCTCTTTAGACCGAGGCTAGAATCTGCTTCGTATTCCTTTTTTGGGCATCTGTCTTCAATGTTAGTGAGCTGAGGGTTTTTTGTGTGTGGCGCAGTCGTTTATTGATTGCATCGCCGTCAGCAAGGAAAAAGATAGTTGGGTGTTGGGACTACGCCGAGGCAGAACAATAACAAGAGAAGAATTTTTTAGTATTCCGCCTTTGCAGATCAAGAATGCAACAAGTTTTGATTCGGTGCTGAATAGATGTCACCATGTCGATGACGACAACAGCTTGATCCAGATCCGGACCGACTGGTAGGCATTATTGCTACAGAAAACTTACCCTCAAAACCGGTGAAAGCAGATTATATCCCCCTCTTTTTGCTTTTTTTCGCCGTCTACGTATCTTGATTCGCCCGGTCTGGAAAATACCCCTACATACACGAGCAACAGGTCTTGCGTGCTGATTGGATAGCCTTGCCAGGTAATCAATCATCAAAGAAGGCTGAGTTTGTTCTGCAGTCGCGGTTGCAGTTGCAGTCTTATGTATGAGTGTATGTATGTATGCACATATGCAGTACAACCCCACGAACGTCTCTCCCCCCTCTCAAACCCATGCTCATCCCCTCTTCCAATCAACGCATCGCGGTGAAGTTGATGTAGGCGGGTAAGGTAATACTAGAAAAGTTAAGGAGGGAGGCTGTGATGCATAAGGCCTATAGCACTACATGCTGATCCTCGTCTTCCTTGTTTGGCCGTGGGATACCGGGTTTGGATATACGTGCGATAGACAGACTGGCTTTGTTCAGTTCAGCTTGTATGCAGGAAGTGAGTAGGAGGGTTGGATGGGTGGGTTTGGTTGGCCGAGTGTGTTCGTATAGTATAGTGAGGGGTAGGGGCGGGAGCTGAAATTTATGCTTGTGTGATGTGTGTGTGTGCGCCTTGAGTGACGTTGAGTGTATGGTAGTTGACCGGTGTGTGCGTGGGGGCGGAGGATAGTGTTGAGTGGTGGGGTAGAGTCCGACGGAGGGGTTTGTTGTTGGTTTGCTTGTGTTTTTGTGTACGAGGAGAGTGAGATGGGAGGATGTGGCGGTGTTTTGGCATGCATGTTGTTTGGTGAAGAGGCTGATACAGGTGAGGGGGAGTGTGGATTAGCATGTTGTTGGCTGACAGTTGTGTTCAAGTTGACCGGTTCAGATGCAACCAAAGTCTTGTGATATCTTTTGAGTTGTATTCATTGTTCATCGATTCCTTTTCTCTTGTATTATATCCATTCATTCTAAGTTGGAGTTTAGGTGATCCTACACACAGCAAATGGTTACAACGATCAATAGACTGAAAAAACGAGCGATAAGCAAAAAATCAAACGAATTTTGCCTTCAAGCAAGCTTTTGAGACAAAAGTAGGGATCAGGGGGGCACCCCTTTTCTCTTGTACATGTCGCTATTATGTTTGTTCTAATGCTCGTTGAACACCGTCTCCTCCTCTCAGGTGCCCTTCCCTCCAACCAAGAAGAAACTGATTATATTCATGAACGTTATCGTAAATGAACACTGTTTTACTCAATCTCAATAATGTGTTATCATAGTCTTCATTGTTGGTCTCTCTCCAGGCCCTAATCAGGAGCTATCGCTCACAAGATAATTCCTCTTTGAAACCCACCCACGGCCGATATCTTTCATACTATGTATCGCCATTTTGCGAGTAGTTCGGTGTCTGATTGGTTTCTTCTCGGATCGACAATAATTCTAGCTTGTAAGGGGACATAGGAAGCAGTTCCGTTGGAATAAAGTTCTACATGTAAGATTGGTGGAAATAGGCATTAGCACACACATGCACGAGAAAGCCTTAAGCCGAAAACAGAAGAAATTGCGAAGCGCATGTATGAAAGTTAATTCTATTCCATAAGTCTCGTAAGGGGCTGCGATGGCCGACCTGTCAGTCAACCTTTCAATGGCGAAACATGGAGGATGTACATATCTTATACTATTTCCTAAAACGGGAGAACTCACGACCAAAGCTTATGATGTTCGACTAGACATGTGGGTGGCAAGGAAGAGGGGGACTGTCAAACTTGTCACCAAAGTATGATTGAGTGTGTGCACAAGCGTGGCCTTTCTCAAATCATGATGTTTCAAAATCTGTCAACAACTCATACTGTGTTAAACCGGAAACGGGAAAAAGGATGAAGAAATTCTATCTCTGGTATTTAATCAAACAAAAGTGCATGAACACATATTAGTAGTCTTGAATGTTAACCTGTCGGATCGAGATCGGGTTGTCACGATGCCAAACAGGTCGTTCTATGCTTACCTCGAAACAGAGGGACCCGCGAGATAGATTGACAGGCATGAAGGCAGAGAGATTTCTTGCAAATCCTTGAAAAGGTGAAGGTGAAGTCAAAAGTTACATAAAAGCAGGTTCTAGTATACCAGTGATCACTTGTCATAGACTACATGGCAGCAGGTCAACACATAATCATCTCAAAAGTGGATTGTTGGGCTGTCTGAGATGTATAGTGCATCTCAGATTGGCCTTCTTACTGATGAGTATCTGTAGATTGGTCTATATTGATATGTTCTTGAAATATGAAGGTGCAGGGTTACATAGGGGGTGAAAGAATGCCCACTCAAATAGTAATGCATACTCATCACCGCCTACGCTAAAACCTATGAAGCCGATCAAGTAATAGTCAAGCTTTGTGAGTATATCAATATACATGCTACGGGGAAGCACAGTTTCTGTAGAAAATTACAGTGATGAACTATGCGGCTTTCTACTCTCTACGCTTGACTCTCTGAGGCTAGGTGATTACAGATGATTCGAGAAATGAAGTTGACGAGCGATATTTTTTAACGTGCTTAGGTAGTATTAATATGTGATGACAAGAGCAGCATATTGACTGAGGTTTAATCCGACAACTTCTTTTCATAATCCACCAATCCAATCTGGAAACCCTCTGGGAATTCAGCCTCCAGCGTACTCGTATCCGTGCCGTTCTCCTCCAACTTCGTGGGTCTGCATACATATCCGCCGACACCGACACTCCAATCCTCTTCATCGGAAAAGAACCAGTTGATCTAAACAACGACACAGTTAGCTTCTACTACGCGATTCTTACAATGCATCTTCGCCACACTGCCTCATCATGGACAGCTCCGCAAAGAATTAGGACACACATACCTCTCTCAATGGCCTCTTCTCAATCTCCTTACCATCGGCATCCTTGATGATCTGGTATACCCACAAGCTCTTGCCCAACTGATCCCTCTCTCGCCTCGCTTCCAATGTCACAGTCGGTCTCGTCGTGTTTCCGGAATAGGAATCAGATGGCACAACACTCCAATCGGCCCACGCATCGCAGCCTACAGTCGACACATAGGGTTTACCATAGTACCATTCGATACCGGTCTTGAGCCATTTCTCCTGAATAGCGGGGACGCCGGGTTTAGTGAGGTGGAGAAGAAGACCAGCCTGATCGTACTGGCGGAGCTCTTCACCAGGGGGTAGGATGAATGTTAGGCGAGCGCTTTGGAATGCTTGAGAATTTATCTGGACAAGGGGTGCTGGGTATGTTGGCGCGTTGAAGGCGTTGTGAGAAGGGGGCTTGCGCCATATGTCTGTTCCTGCTGGGGAGCTGAGGTTGAAGGGAGACACGGTAGTGGTCTTAATTGCGTAAGTTGGTGGCATTGTGATTGCGAAAAGGAGGATGAAGAAGATGATGTGATTGAGGAGCTGAGGAATTTGGATGGATGAAGCCATTGCGACTGGGACGTCTACTTTATATACTTTGGACGGTGTTCTTCAAGTTGGATTTCTTTCCAAATGGGTGCAATGATGAAGGATGGACTTTACTAACCAGCTTTGACTTGTGGGAATCTGACATGGTGGATCTTTATTTTCTAGGTCTGCGGAGGGAACTTCCTTATATAGTAAAATCGACAATTAAGCTGGGGACGATACCGGAAGCGGGGTGCAGGCTTGGCGAAATGTGGGATGGCGAGATTACAAGGATGGCTTATGCCCAAAGCAAACTACGAGCGGTGTTCCCTCTAGAGCAACATCTCTTCCTATTCTGCAATTGCTCCGTATATGGAGAATCTCAAGTAGTCCTATGACGCATTTTGTACTCCACAATTCTGCTATGACTCGTGATCTTACTATGGCTCCGCCGAGTATGACGATGTAGGTAAGGAACGGGAAGGTGGTAAGTGCTGTTGCTCAGTTCATTGAATACGAAGTTGAAAGCGCCTGAAATGATGCATGTCGGTCATGCGGGTAGCAAAAATGCCTCTTTAGGGACCGAATTAGCGAGCCCTGCGCTGTGCAAGTGGGGTTTCCAAGTTGCTATATTTATATGTCTCTTTCTTGTTTTAGCCGTAGATAGAATATCGGCCCAAAAGCGGACTGCAAAAACACCGTTGATGCGAGTGAACATCTTGACTTGGGGGATATATACACATTGTACACGTCTAGCTTCTCTATTTCTTTTGCTCATCCTCCTTTGGAGGTTCTGGCTTCGGTGTGGGAAGTTTGAACTTGGCGAACTGTTAGTCTGAAGGCACTCGCTGTATATAAAGAGATAGCATACCTGATCTGGGGTAGTGTTGTCACCAGGGCCAACAGGCTCCCATGCAGTTGATCCACCACGGAAATTCCTGAATGCCTGGGTCATTTCCAACGGCTCTACAACAATTCTCTTCTTCTCCTCGTCGTATCTGATCTCAGTGTATCCAGTCATAGGGAAGTCCTTGCGAAGTGGGTGACCATCGAAACCGTAGTCGGTCATGATTCGCCTAAGATCGGGGTGGCCAACGAAGAAGACACCAAACAGATCGTAGACCTCTCTCTCATACCAGTTCGCGCCGTCATAAAGATCGCAAAGACTTGGTACGGGTGTGGCCTCATCGGCGTACGTCTTGACTCTCAACCGTGAATTGTGGCGAATGCTAAGCATGTTGTACACCACCTCGAAGCGTTGATCTTTAGTAGGGTAGTCGACAGCAGTGATATCGGAGATTTGGGTAAACTCGGCGGCGGTGTGGTTTTTGAGAAAGGTGAACACGGGGATGACGCCGGCCGGCGGGATATAGATGGTCAATTCATCTTTCCAAACGGAGAACCTGAGTTCTCATTAATTCGCAATGCTCGTACATGGGGGTAACCAGACACATACTGTTGTACGTATTTTGGCAAGCAAGACATTATATATTGGCCATACTTGTGAAGGCCCTCGCCCTTCTCTTTGTACTTGTCGGCCGGGTTCACAATCGCCGCCTGGAGCTTGCCTGCCGGATCGCGAGGCGCATACTGTTGAAATGGTCAGCACCGGAGCCATGTCACTTGTACATAAGCTGCTTCACTTACTCGCAGGTTGGGAGGCTCGGAGCTGTCGCTAGCGATCTCCTTTGCCCGCAGAGCCGAGGCCGCGAAGGAGCGTACAGCAGCTCGGGAGCAGCTCGCGGAGCGCACCGCATTGCCCAATGGACGGGCAACAGACTGGCGCAAAGCCATTGTGAAGGTGGAGAGGAATTGGGGGCTGCTTTGCAGCTCGTGGAGGTGAAGGCAGTGGCGTTGGGATGCTTGATGTCGTCGTCTGCGTCGATGTTCGGTTCCTTCCCTCACCAGCAGCCCAGCTTGGCCAAAGCGGACTAGCGCATATTCACGTGACCCAAATCACGGACCAACTTTTGCTTTGCAACAGACCTATTACCTGCAGCTTCGACTGTTCAAGACCCCCCGTCTGCATCATCTCCAAAAGCATCATTTCCCTTTTCCAATCGGCCGACGGCCGGCGTTTGTCCCTTTGCTCTCGTCTCTTCCCCAACAGCCTCCTGTACCGCACTTCGACCCAGTACCTTCATCTCGCAACTCTCTCTGGTCTACACGCCACCTCTCAGCGCGCTTGACAACGCACTCACATCACTCGCCATGTCCCGTATACAGCAAGATCAGTTTGTCGACGATGACGAAGACGAGTGCTGCCCCCTCTGCGTCGAGGAATTCGATTTGTCCGACAAAAACTTTCGCCCATGTCCCTGTGGCTATCAGGTACGCTCTTTGGAGTTCCTGCCCGTGTCCCGGCGACGGCAAGCCTTGCTGATCAGGTTTCACAGATATGCCAGTTCTGCTTCAACAACATCAAGACCACCATGAACGGGCTGTGCCCAGCATGTCGCCGACCCTATGACGAATCGACAATAGAATGGAAAAACATCACCCCCGAAGAGTAGGTTCCCGTTTCCGCCCCGTACTCGGCATATCTAACGTGGTTAAGGATGAGCAGGCATAAACAGCAGATTGCGCAGAAAGCCAAGAAGAACGCGCAGATGCGGCAAAAGGAAGCCCAGAAAGCCGAAGCCGACTCCCTCAGCCGTAAACATCTCGCCGGTCTCCGTGTTGTTCAGAAGAACCTCGTATATGTTACCGGTCTTACCCCGACAATACGCGAGGATCGCTTGTTAGATACCCTGAGAGGCCCTGAATACTTTGGACAATACGGCAAGATCATCAAAATTGTCGTGAGCAAAGCAAGGGAGAATGCGCAGCATCAATCATCGGTCGGAGTATACGTTACCTTTGCCCGTAAAGAGGATGCCGCGCAGTGCATAAATGCCGTAGATGGCTCCCAGAATGGTGAAAGGACCTTGAGGTAAGCTCGCAATCTGTGTGCGTAGTCACTAACGCTGACTTGGTCTTGTAGGGCTCAATATGGCACAACCAAGTATTGCTCGGCGTATCTGCGTGGCGAGCAATGCAACAATCGGAACTGCATGTTCTTGCACGAACCCGGTGAAGACAATGACAGCTTCACTCGCCAAGACTTGTCCATGATGAATTCCATACAGACCCAACAACCTGCGCAGTCTTCGACCAGCCGATCGGCACCACCCGCGCACCAGGGCCCACCAGTTGCTGCTGCCGCCCCTATGAATCGCCAGGATAGCAACGATGCTTCCAGCCCTATAGACACCCCTGGACTACCTGCCACGGCCAGCTGGGGAAATAGAGCGGCTCAAGAACGTCGAGCCAGTCGTTCCACGAATGCCTCAAACCCCAGTCCAATGACAACGAACGCTACTCCTGCACCACAAGTTGCCAAGACGAACAAGGGTGAGGAGTCGCAGAAGGCCAAAGAGAAGGAGAAGGAGAAGGAGAAGGAGAAAGCAAAGGAGACGTCGACGCAAACATCGCAATCTGCTACCCCACAGCCACAACCACAAACTCAACCCTCACCTGCTCCTCGTCCCCCGAAGCCTTGTCTTCCAGGCTTGGAAAATTTGCTCAAGAAAATCATCAATACAGACTTCAAATTCGTATTCTCTAACAATGACCTATCTGAGGAGGACATGAAGGCTATCAAGGAATTCCCCCAATTGTTGGACCCCAATGGTGGTGCAAAACGGCGAGCTAAGAAAGAACGTGACGAAGAATTGGCCGCCCAACGAGAAGCTGAAATACAAGCCGCGGCGCAACAATCGCATGAACCGCAGCAGCAGCAACAACAGTCACTGCCACCTACTGAAACTGAAGAGCACGAAACCACTGCTGGAGGCAGTCTTCAACTTGGCGGAGAACCGGAAGAATCCCTGCAGACCGGTGCAGGCCTCCAAGCTCAAAATCAGCATGCGATTGCACCACCAGGGCAACCTTCGTTTGGTGGTACCATCTTCCGACAGAACGCTGAAGATCTGAGCAACCTTGGAGTAAACAACGGTCGGGGAATGACCCCACAGCAGCAGCAACAGCAGCAGCAGCAAATACTGCTTCAGAACTTCAAGTCAGGCCCACAAGCTGGCGGACTCATGTCGAACTTTCAGAACAATCAGGCCAGCCAAATGCACGGTCAGGGGGGTAACCCATCTGGCCACACCCGGCACACCTCCCGATTCAGTTTTGCCAATGATGGCGCTCCTGGATCCACTTCTGTTCAACCTGTCGCAAACCAGAAGCTGATGAACCAACAAAACACCATGATGCCAAAGAATAACAGTCACTTCAACCAACTCTCACAACATCAATCACTGGGCGGCCAGTTCTATACCAGCGGTGTTCAAGGACCTCCACCCGGTTTGAAAGGCACTGGCACACCACCAATCAGCGGAGGTGGTATGTTTGGCCAAGGCCATAATTTCGCTACCGGCAGTGTGTATGGCGCAAATACTGCTGGCAGGAACAACAATGATGCATTGTATCAGGACTTGATCCGAGGCAATGGTGGTGCCAGAGTAGCTGATGCCGGAAAGCGTGAGTCAATGTTTCCTTCCTTTCTAAACCAACACCCCACGACCTCTACGCCAGCTCCTGCCCCTGGCCTTCTCAGCTTCCCTTATGGACCTTCGCCTGGCGCGTACCAGGAGTCTGGTTCGCAAAAGTCTAAGAAAAAGGGAAAGAAGCACAGACATGCTAACACTTCCTCCTCTGGAGGCGGTGTAGTGGATGTTCAAGACCCAAGTATCTTACAGGCGAGGTTGCATCAAGGGGGTGGGATGGCCGGACAGGGGCTCTATGGCCAAGGTCAAGGTGGGTTCTCTTCTCTTAATAATTACAACAACTACGGCGGCGCCGGACGGTGGTGAAAACCTTCGCTTCTTCACATAATTTTGGAACCCTTCGGCATACCCATTGTTTTGTTACCTGCTTTTATTTCTTCTTTTCGATTCACATGTTCATTTCTTTCATGGCTGCATGGCGTTTCTTAGGGTTTCGAAGCGAATGCATCGGCACTCGAAATAGCTGATATGGCTTTCGAGATGCTTGGCGTCTACGAATGGGTCGGTCACTGTCCTTTCTCCTGGCTATGGCTTTGGCATGGCTTCATGGAACTGCAATCTCTTGAGCTATACATGTGTTTTCCTTGTCCAATTCTTTCTTTTCGGCTGGGTTGCTGCTTTTGCTAGGGTTCACGTCAACATCTCTCGTCGTCTTCGTCATGGCCAGTCTATGTACGTAACATCCCCTGTCTGCCGCTTTACAGCTGGCTTGCTTACGCGTAATCAGAAAGATGGCTTTCTATATTATTCTATCCTCAAGTTCAAGTGACGAAGATGCTCGAGAGGAACCCCTTCAACCGCAGCTGTATTTTGTAGCACTCACCAGCGTTTCATGAAGCCATCTCACCGTCCGATCGTCGCTGTCCGTTGTTCTACATATATCCCGTCAACTTGCACTTATCCTGATGTTTGAGGTTTTGTTTGCTGATTCTATATAGCAGAAGATCAAATTTTCAGTCTTGAGGAAGAAGCCTCAATCAACGTTGATGCGCTAGTCAACGATTCTGTTGCTGACCCACAGGGGAAGCCTGCAACCATTGCGTTGCAAACGGTAGATTTACCACGGAGATCAACTCCAACTATTCCACCCGGGTTCACTGCACCAGCAGTGCCCCATGCAATAGGAGCCGAGCAGCTTGCTCGTCCCTTATCGCGCAGCGCTGGGCCAATAATAGCTCCAGCTGTTCCAGTTGTGCCTGTTACACCTGGACAGGCTGCGACATCAGTGAAGACAAAAAAATCGAAGAAAGTCGTTGAAACAGCCGAGTCCGCCGACCACAACAAGGACGATATCAGTACAAATGCTGAGTCGCACGCGGTCACTCCTCCTTCGAGCAGCAAGAAGTCCAGCTCTGTCAAATCAAAGCCTACGCAAGAGAGTCTCAAGAAAACAGTAGAGGTAGCACCAGTGATAACTACAAAGGAGAACAAGAAGTCTGCTCCGTCTACATCTAAAGCTACCACTCCCAAGAAGACAGGTGGGGTTAAAGGGGGACAAACTGCAGTCGATATTTCGCCGCAGAAAGATTCGAAGGATGCCCCATCTTCTGTGACCACCCCGGCTTCGTCTAAGCGGCAACATCCTGGCAAATTAGATATTGCGGCGGCTACCAAACCTGCAGAACTTGAACAACCTTCAGTGCCAGGCTGGGTGAAGTCCGAATCACAGGTGAAGGCGACTCGGACTGCATCTACCGCACCTAATGCTTGGACTCCCGGAAGTCCAGCGGCCATATCGACAGGGTCACCTGTTAAGAAAACTACAGCTGCTCGGACGCTACGTGTGGTGGCGACGCCTAAGACAGAAAGTCCTTCTCCATGGTCGGCTGCCTCGACTACGTCTCATCCGCAGGTACCGACCGTAGAAAAACTTCGCTCAAGACAAGCGAGTATAGCTTCCGTCAACTTGCCCGGGACGCCCGTAAGCGAGCTCGTGTCCGACACCGCATCGATTACGTCTACTTCAATTTCACGCGCCAACTCTCCCCCTCCTGTGGGTGGTAAAGTTGGCTCGGCTCCAGTCAGGAAAAAGACAAAGTCTCAGCAGAAGAAAGAGCGGCAAGAGAGGGCCCGACAGGAGGAGGAACGTGCGCTGGCTATGGAAGAGCATAAGTCGGAGCCAGAGGTTGTTCAAGAGCCGCTTATGGGCCGCAAGAAGAAGGCGAAGAAGCCTGCGAACAACCCTAAGCCATTGCATGTACCTACCAAGGCCCCGCCCCAATCTCCCAAACCGGTCGAAGTCGAAGAAGTCAACGAGCAAGCAGAACCACCTGAGGCACCTCCTGTGGCAACCAAGAAGCCGCAAATTCGGAGTTCGACGCCTTTGCGTGTAGACCCTCATCCACCCCCAGAATCAAAGGAGAGGCGAGAGACTACCGCGCAGGCTATTATTGCCGATCTTCAAAAGACTGGGGAGCTTATTGCGTCGACTTTGGAGTTCTTCAAGCCACTCTCGTCGTCGCTTGCACAATCGTCACGCCCGGTACAATCTAGTGGGGGCCCTGTGTCCCCTCCGGATTTGAAGATGCACCTTTCACCCGCTGATGTGGAGGCGCTCTCAAAGAAGCAGCCGGTCCGGCTCACTGGAAATGATGGAAAAATAGACTCTAATACACTCATCACCCCTCACGGAAAATTCTTCTGGGGTCTCACGAAGGAACTTGAGGAGAGAGTGCTGGAATTAGAGAAACACATCGACAATTTGAAAGGGCCAGGACGCTTTCATACTCACAGAGGATTGTCACAGCAGCATCGTCTTGCATCGCAGGCGCTCCCAGCCCTCGCAACCGCTCTTAAAGAAGCCGGTGCAACTCTCAGCAAGAGTAGTGGTCAGCAACTCGATTCTGCACTTTTGGGAGCAACTGCGCTCCCCTTACCTCCAGTTCAGAACACATCTGATCTACCACCGCCGCAATCTCAAGCACAGCAGCAACAGGCGCCTGCTGATGCAGGCTCTTACCTCAATCAATTCGTCCTGCCAAAGACGGACAGTCCGGTGCCCAATAGCTCGCGGACGGAAATGGCAGCCGTTGGCGGCCTACCCGGATCTGGCACAGCAAATATGTCAGTCAATGTGAATAAGCTTGCCAAAGCTGCCAGAGCAGTCGCGGAAGGTGGAGCAGTCGGTACAGAGCTCGAGGGAATGGGCGTTATGGCAGCCGATTTACTCGGTGGTGTCTTCGTCCAAGGACTAGAAACACTTGTTGGCGCCGGTTTGGACTTCTCTACCTCTTCTCAAGATATCACCCTCGAAGGCAACGGAAATGTTTCGCTCAATAGCCGAGGGGTAGATGTTCAAAACCTAGTCAGCGCGTTCGAAACTGGTGGTGGATTGAGGGATCTCACTAGTAGGGGCATTCTGGGAAGTGGTAAGGGAAGACGGCCTGTGCTTAGCATGGATGAAGCTGAACAAGCTATGCTTGCGGCGAAGAAGGATCATGAGGCTCTCGAGAAGAAGCTGGCTGCGGTCATGAAGAGAAACAAGAAAATGGTTGGAGGTTCAGGAAGAGCATAATCGAGTGTCGCATAGTTCAATACGCTACATCTACATATACACTAAAAATGAAACTAACTTCATGGCAATGTCTGAAACTCTGTCAAGAACATGCGGTGTATTGCCCTCCTGCCTACATGTACTCGAGATATCAGAGTTAGGGTCGTTTGCTGGTTTGTTGTCAAACGCTGCAGTACGCCCAGACCCCTGCCCAAACGGATAGTGCGCGCGGTCTTCCTCGTCAACACAAAGGGACGCACACCCGTCCAGTAACCAAGCACAACCAAGTCCAATATCACAACATACAAAATCTCCGCCATGTCTAATGACAGGAAGCTCAACTCGCTTGATACAAAGCTTGAGCAATTCCGACTTAGCAATTCAAGACATCAGGATGACGTTCAGGTGAGCTCAGCCCAGATTACGCGGCGCGCGTCACACGGCGTCACATGACAAAGTCGCGAAAGCTAATATTGAGAGCCAGAATATTATCAAGGGTTACAGTGCCCTTATAGAAGAACACAGTCGACTTCTAGATGAGAATAAAGTTCTAAAGGACGAAAGTATCAAGGAAGCAGTGCACGTCGCCGCTTTTCCAAGCAGGACGGTGCCCCGCCCCTACGTGCTGGTACTTGTTGACGGCAATAATTACATAGTAAGCAATTGTACTCGATATAAATCATTTGGGAACGGGTATTTACATCTTTTCAGTTCAATGATGAATTGATTCGAGAGAAAGAAGAGGGGGGTATGCGGGCGGCGCGCATGCTCAACGAGGCTGCTGAGAAGTACCTCCAGCGTAGAACACCGAGGCTTGACGACGCACGCATCATAGTCCGCGTGTATGCCGATTTGACAAGCCTGTCAATTCGATTGGCAAAGGCCAATCTTAGTGGCAAGGAGAAGCGTTCTTTCTCGCCGTTCGCGGCAGGCTTTACGCGGTCTCTCGGCTTTTGCGATTTCCTGGACGCTCTGCACGAAGAGGGTACAAAGTTCAAAATTCGAGGTACATACATTGATTATAAACGGAAGGACCAAAGCCGCTGAACATGAACCAGAATCATTCAACGCAGCCTTTGAGGATCCTGCATGTAGTCACATCCTCTATGCTGCATGCCACGATCTGAGCTATATGGATAACATCGTACCTCACAAGGTCTGCCGCGACAAGATATCTCTGGTCCAAGGCGCTGATTTCGACTCGAATTATCACCACTTTGGGCTGGAGGTCACTGATTTTTCTACAATATTCCGGTGGTCAGATCTACCTGTACGTATACGCTGGACACCAATACCATCATGAAGCCATGACGCGATGCCCGTCAACTAACTAGGCACCTCAAAATGTAGACCCCAGCTGCAAATCCAAAGCATGCCCCTCACACAAGTGAACGCAGCAAAATCGCCACAAAAAATTCAGGGACGAAGAACGGACACGCCAGTACTAGTCGAAATTGGCGCGATATCAATAGCTACGCTTCTGACGATGTAGGCGTCTCCCTCAACGGTTCCCAGGATGTATCGAGTCCACATCACAAGTTTAAGTCACAGCCATGCCGTTACTACGCAAAGGTAATTTCGCAGTCTATTTTCTGTTTCTGTCCCTATATGACCACCTTCATTTCTCCCCTTCATTTCTCATTCGACCCAACTTTTATTTCCTTTTTCATGACCACCACTACTTTTGTTCCAATTGCCATCGTTGAGGGCTCTTGATTAAAACTTATGATGCAGGGTACATGTACAAGAGGCGACAAATGCTCCTACAGACATGGGTCCGAAACTACGAGCACTGGCAGTACTGAGGGGTTTGCACTGGATTCTGTTGAGGACCGCCCTAACAGGCTACCAAACATTCTCACTCCCGGCCTGATCACCATCAACAAACACAATCACCGTTTGGACAAGTACCTTCGTCCGCCTACATCTCAAGACTGGGAAATCTACAGGTCGTACTTCAAGGAAAAGAAACCATGCAACAATTACTACTTGAAAGGCCAATGTCCTAACCCCTACGAATGCGAGTATGACCACGAGCATCTCAGTCCCATGCTACAATATGTCCTCGAGTATGTGGTCAAGGAGAATCCTTGCCCGCGCAATGGGGCGTGTCGGGAGGCAGATTGCACCTACGGACATCTATGCCAGAAGGCAGGCTGCCCTGGACCTAGATTGGGCAAGGGTTGTCGTATGAGGAAGGCGATGCATGGTGTCGATTTTCAGTCGATGGGAACAGTTCCAGCGATTGGTAAGGAGGAAGTGAGGATGAGGGAGGAAGACGATGGCCACGGGGGTTTTGATTTGCTTGTGTGAGATGGAGATTCTCGTAATCAATGAGGCTGCTCGGAGGATTGGATTATGAAAAGAAAGGAAAATTGAACAGTGTCTTATTGGGTAGCTGGGGGTTGATTGTGTGGATCACGGACAGCACAAGGTGATACAGCTATCGATTCTTGCATACGAAAATGATACCTAGGTACAATACCTAATGGAAAAAGAGATTTTATTTGCGCGCTCAATAAAAGTTACTCAGCACCTTCCCCAACAAATGCTCCCCATACGTACTCCCTTGATGAACAGGCTCCCTCCCACTCTTCCTCACACACGCCCCAAGCGGCTCCACGACAGCATCGAAATTCGGCTCATAGAAGAAAGGCACAGACACTCTATACCCGTCGCCGCGGTGTATAACGCGATGCTTGGTGCTCTTCCACAACCCGTTGGTCCACCGCTCCATCATATCCCCAATATTAACCACAAAAGCGCCGGGAATGGGATCGGCATTGATCCATGTCTGTCCATCTTTATGCAAGACCTGAAGGGCCCCAGGGGTGGGGTCCGTGAGGAGGAGGGTGATGCAACCGTAGTCTGTGTGTTCACCACATGAAAACTCATTTTCCATGTCCGCAGCCGTACTTCCAGATTCCGAAGGCGCAACAGAAGAAGAGAGTTTCGGATACCCAATCATGCGCATAACCCAAAACGACATATCGGTGCTCTTCACAAAAACCTCGTCATCCACCTCCCCTTCCCCGTTGCATAGCAGTGCGATAGCGACGCCCATGGCCCTGACAACCGCTTCCCCAACCGTCAGCACTTGTTTCACGTACTCCTCATACACGTCTTTTAGATCTGTAGGCTCGCTCGGCCAGAGATTTGTACCTTGAAGTGGCGCAGACGTTCCTTTTCCACCGCTCCCTTCTGTCTTGGCTGCGTGATCCCACTCTCGGTACCAATCAACCGCCTCATGCATATCTCTCCGTCCGGCAGTGACGTTGTCACCCATGGGCTGATACCCCCTTGCACCATCGCCGCCTTCAGGTCCGCCGGCGTCGTGGCGCTTGATCTGGAGTTTCTGGGAGAGTGGGAGGGCGAAGAAAGAGCGTGCGAGGGAGATGATGTGGTCTTGGGTTGCGGTGGGGATGCCGTGGTTTGTTAGGTAGAAGAATCCATATTGTGTGCAGGCTGTGTTTATTGCCTGGGCTGTTTGTTTGCGTGACGCTGCGGTTGAGGAAGGGTTCAGGAAGGGCGAGATGTCGATGGTGGGCAGAGACATATTTCGGGGGTGGCTTGTGATTGATGTTTTGGTGCGTTGATTGAGTTGTTCTTTGATGTATTTATGGTCTTCTCTGTAGAAGAGAGGTGAATGTCTTCTTTTTGCCAATAGATTCGGATTTGTTGATGGGTTGGATCCGTCTGTGATTGAAGTTTGGTTGGTGACGATGAGCTTGACAGTAGGGTTCGTGATTGGAAATAGGCTTACGAGTCTGGATGTTGAGTAATTTTGTGCATGCAGAGAACGTGTACTAGACTAGTATGCTCATCAGTATAAATATACCATGACAGTCGACAGGCGAACGATACTCACAGGGTTATACGATCAAGATGATGCTTGCTTGAACAGCAAGTTACCTCAATGTGAGATGATCAAAGTTAGCACCTGACTGATCCTCCAGAACTCATGACCTGCTATATGAACCAATAAATCACCCGCAGGCGGTGGTGGATATATATTGACGGACAGAAGCTGATAACAGTACGCGATGTTATCAGATGCCCCGAAAGGTTGGCATGCGGTTATGACTAATCTGCATCGTTAACTGCGGTTCCTGCATCTCGGGTTGCCGATTGAAGCTAGTGGATGTATATATGTGCAAGATCGTACATACGCATCCCCAGAATTCGTTCTCGCCTATAATTATCCTTGGGTCTGGGTGTTGTGGATGTTTTGGGGTCGCATCATCCCGAGAATTGATCAGAGAACATTTGAACATTTCTAAGACTAATGATAGTCACATGGAAAATTGAGATAATGATCAGTAGTAACTGGCATCAATTCATTTCGCTTTTAGATATACTATCTACGTGGTATCATGCGCAATCAGCTCCTTACATTATAACCTCATTGGAGACATCCTACATCAATCGTTAGCAGCTAATTCGTAACAGGATGTTCTTATGGACAATCACTTACCCTCTTCAACTCCTTGTACGGCAGGCAGACGCAGTTTTGCACACGAACCTCATCGGCAACACCGCACTCCTTACCCAAGATGGTGACACTCTGCACTTTGACGCCGTTCTTCATGACGCTGGTAGAGTGGCTGGTGATGGGAGTAGGGGTACCCTCAACACGGGCCCAAGCGCCAACTTTGCTCTTCCAGCCAACGATAGCGTACATGACGCAAGCATCGTGCTTGATCTCCGAGTCCTCCAAGACGATGGTCTCCTTGATACGAACACCAGCGCCAACGGTGACACGGGGGCCGATGGAGACGTTGGGGCCGAGCTTAGCGGTGGGGTCCACTGTGGCTGAAGGGTGGATGTAGACGGGTGGGAGGATGTTTGCGGAGGGAGCAGCGAGCTCTTCGGATTGGGCTTGGAAAGCCTTCATGAGGTAGAGGGCGTTTGCTGGCACAGCAGACCCGGCGGTCTTGATCTGACGCCAGAAGTCCTTGGATTCGAGGACGAAGAACTGCCTGCTGTCTGCGATATCAGAGAGGACATCCTGCTCGAGACGAATAACTGCCGTCTCCTTGTCCTCATCATCGTCATCTTGACCCTGGTAGAAAGATGAGTCGAGATTCTCGGATGATGGGTAGGAGACCAAACGGGGTCGCTCGGTGCGGCGCTTCATGGCGCTACGAATGGCGGGGAAGATGCAGTCGGTTGCGAAGAGGTACACTCCGCAGTTGATCAAGTTGGAGATGTGACCCTCGGGCTTCTCGACGTAATGAAGTACGCGCTTGGTGTGGGTATCGGACACAATGCAACCAAAGTTGGTGGCTGATTCATTTGCGACTCTCGTACCCAGCATGACGGCTTCGGCATCCTTGTCCTCGAACAGCTTAAGCATATCGTTGAGGGGGAAAGAAGAGCAGACATCGGCGTTCAGAACGAAGAAGCGCTCGGGCTTGCCCTTCAATATCACATCGCGGAAGTGGTACAGGCCACCAGCAGTGCCCAAAGCCTGGTATTCCCTGAGGTACTTGACGCTCAACTGTGAGAAAGCGGTGGTGATGTAGTTGATGAAGGGCTGGAAAACGGATTCCTCGTAGTAACCGATGACAAAGACCTCCTTGATTTCAGGAACGCTGGCAATAGCACGGAAGCAGTGTTCGATAATTGGGTGACCGGCGACGGGGAAGAGGGGCTGTTGAGATGGTTAGTGGGGTGATTGCTTGAATTGTACAAGAATAAAGATAACATACCTTGGGAAGCTCCATAGATAGAGGCCTGAACCTGGTGCCTCGCGACGGCCCACCGACCTGGATCTGTAAGCTTTCAGGCTGATTGAGGGGCGACTTCATCCATATTCACCAAAATGACGGCCTTGGTGGAGGGGGCCGATCCGCTGCTCTTGGATCGCATAGCGAGTGAGGGTGGTTGCAAGCTCATATTGGCAACGGATAATCGCAGTGATTTCTGGGGATCTGGTTTCGTTTCCGGGTTCTTATAAATATAGGGGAAGGGAAGAGCTAATAAGTGAGTAGCGGTCGAAGTGGACAGCTGGTGCTGCTGGAGATGGTGGACCCTGGAAATCCAATAGTTCACCGCGTGGGCGGTAAGGGTCTTGGCATCAGCGGGTTGGGCCGCTGCCATCATTATGTTACTACTCGTTACGTTCTGTGACACATGTCGAGCTTCGAAATAAGTCTGTTTCCCGCAGTTGATTTCATATCTCCTTGATAGGATGTAGATTTTGGAAATATAATACAACAACACGCTCCCATAAGGGGCCCATTAAGTACATGTACTGTTACAAGTTTTGTATACTACAACCGGGCCGTGTTGATGACCCACCGCGAGCGAAAAAAACATAGCTGCACCATTACGCAGGCTTTACACCTTTATGTATAGCTGCGATTCCATCTGTCAAGTCCTCCCAGCCCTGTCCGGGAATCATGAATCCCGCATCCTTGATCATGTCTCTGAACTCCGTCTGAGATGGGAACCTCTCGATACTCTCGACGAGGTATTGGTAGCTGTCTCTATCGCCTGCCACTAATTGACCAATGAGGGGAATAGCACTGAAACTCCAGCGTTTGTAGATGGCGTCGAAGACTGGATTCCTCACTTTGGAAAACTCTAGGCAAGCGAACACACCTCCAGGCTTCAATACCCGGTAGGCCTCGCGGAGGGCAACGTCCTTGTGTGTAAAGTTCCTAATTCCGAAAGCGACAGTGTATAGGTCGATGCTGTTATCCGGAATCATGTCGAGCTTCTCGGCGTTGGCTTCAACAAATCTCAATCGATCGGATCGCGCGTATGGTGTTGCGAGCGCTCGTTTCCTTCCTTCCGCCAGCATTTGAGGGTTGATGTCGGCGACCGTGACTTTTGTATGCGCATCGTTATTGATCGTGGAGGCGTGGTCCAGCATTCCAAAAGCGATGTCGCCCGTTCCTCCTGCAATGTCTAAAATGTTCCATCCCTTCTCCTGCGCAGTGTTGGACGTAAGCGGGTTTCGGCCGGGGTTGAGATTTCGAATAAAGTGGTCTTTCCAGAGGCGGTGGATTCCGAGCGACATGAGATCGTTCATGGTATCGTACGAGGAGGCAACGGAAGAGAAGACGCCGGCCACTGATTTGATTAATTACATGACTCCAATAGGACTTTCATGATATATCGCAATCCTACCTTTTTGCTCCTTCAACGCCTCTTCAATAGTCTCGAACCCAAAGTGCGTCGTGCCTGTCGAACTTTTTGGCGGAGGCGGAGGCGGCGTAGATTGCGGCTGTTGACTCTTCTTCACCGAGCAGGAAAAACACCTGTACTGATTGCCAACAGCATTTCTGCTGATTTGCTTACCCCCAGTAGGCAATTGCCTCCGCAACAACGAGCGAGTGGCATGGGCATTCATGATTGATTGCGGGAGTGATGGATCGATTTGATTGACGGGAGACAGAAATGGAACCATCCCATCTCTTGGCGCGAAGTGCTCTGACGCGAAGCGCTAAACGCTCACACCCCTGCTTAGCTTGAGCCGCGGCAGGGCTGAACCGATGCTGACCGTGAGCCGAGCTCTCATTCATGACCCCGGATGTACCCTTAGTATGTATAACCCCACACATTTCCCCATGGCCAGCCGTTTTCCATGTAAAACCTCCGTTCAAAATGTCGTTACGCTCTAGATACAGTAGAATATGCCACGATGCCTTCCGTAGACCCTCAATATACGCCAATGTCTCTCAAATCACACGCAAAGCAACTCCCGCCTGGCAAACATGTCGTTCAGTCGCATCTACGCCCAATGCACAGAAGTGAGTGAGATTCTGCGGCAAAGTGCCCCTCTACAAGTTCGGGTTTCTCATATGAACTGTAGAGTTCTTTTCCCCGGTGCTTTAAACAGCGAGTTTACGGATACGCTCGAAGTCCTCCGGCCCTCCAACAACAAAGCAATCCCCACATATCGCGTGCTGGACCAATACGGTGAAGTGATCAATAAAGAGATAGGAGTGGAGACTGAAGATGGAGAAGCGCTGGAGCTATACAAGAACATGGTTTGTCGTATGTTTCCTCGAGCTACTCATCCAAGAAATCTACAACTGACATGTTTGACTATAGTGAGCATCATGGACCTCATCATGTTCGAAGCACAACGGCAGGGTCGACTCAGTTTTTACATGGTACTTCTTCCTCCCAACAGTATCCAAAAGCCCCAAACTCATACTGACACATACCCAAACAAGGTCTCCGCGGGCGAAGAAGGCATCGCCATCGGCTCCGCCAGCGCCCTGAACCCAACCGACGTAATCTTCTGCCAATACCGCGAAACCGGCGTGTACATGCAACGCGGCTTCACGCTCGACCAATTCATGAACCAGCTCTTCGCCAACACAAAAGACATAGGACTGGGCCGTAACATGCCGGTGCACTACGGCACTGAGAAACTGCACATCCACACCATCTCCTCCACACTAGCTACACAGATCCCACACGCTGCGGGCGCCGCCTACGCGCTCAAAATGCAAAACATGACGCAGAGCCCGGACGCAGAGAAGCGCATCGTAGTGTGCTACTTTGGCGAGGGTGCAGCCAGCGAGGGTGATTTCCACGCTGCGCTCAACATTGCGGCTACAAGGCAGGTTCCAGCCGTGTTTGTGTGCAGGAATAACGGATATGCGATCTCGACGCCTACGAGCGATCAATACAGGGGCGATGGAATTGCGAGTCGAGGCGCGGGATACGGCATTCCTACATTGCGGGTCGATGGCAACGACATCTTCGCCGTCCGCCGCGCGACTAAACAGGCGAGGAAGTTGGCTCTCGAGAATGACGGCCAGCCTGTTCTCATAGAGATGATGGCGTATCGTGTAGGCCATCACAGCACATCCGACGACTCGTTCGCATATCGCCAGAAGATCGAAGTCGAAGACTGGAAAAGACGGGATAATCCTATTACGAGGTTACGTAAGTGGCTCGAGGGCCGGAATCTGTGGGATGAAGATAAAGAGCGCGAACTGCGGAGTCGCAAGCGCAAAGAGGTTTTGTCTGCGTTTGACCGAGCTGAGAAGCTGAAGAAACCGGCGATCAAGAACGCGTTTGCGGATGTGTGGGAGGACTTGACCGAGGAGCAGAGGTCTCATGTCGAAGAAATGAGGGATATTTTAAAAAGATATCCCAAGGAGTATGATGTTGATCATCATGAAGGTGGTGTCGAGTCTCTCGATGAACTGCTGGCTAAAAAATCGTAGAAATAGAATAGATCTCGGGAAGCCACCGCGATCTATGGTTTTCTCGTTCACGATACGAAGAAACAAATGGAATATGTCAAATGTTGAACGGCATCAAACTAGGAGCAAAACTGTTCTTGATGTGTAGCCATAACAGTGCCCCTGTCTACCTATGACTGGCAGGTTCCGAGCAAAGAAATAAGAACGAAATGAGTACACTCGTTCGGACTGCCCATACATAGAGTATGATGAGCCAATAATGATAAAGAGCTACCGTCTACTCACCCCCCTCCTGTGAGGCCTCCCACTCCTCCTGTCTATACCTTTTTCCAAAACCGACACTTCTCATCAAGAGACCGGCGAAGAATACTGGCAGCATGGCCAAAAGGCCGACGAAAGCGGACAGCTGAGGCAAGAGTATGAACTTGCTCAGAGCGGTTGCGGCCAGAGGAATAGCCACAACATTGTAGACGCCCGACCATACGAAGTTGAAGTTGATATGGCGATTTGCGGAAGCACATATATCCAGAAAGATCATGATGCCATGAAGCTTCGATGGATTGACGAGTATTACGTCGGCAGCCTTCGCAATCTCAAACTTGTCGTGTGTGGTGATCGTGGTGAAATAATTGTGACTGATACGAACAGCAATGTCAGCTTGGTCAAAGCATACATCATTTGTGGCACCGGCTCCTATGAAAATGACTGTTCTCCCTTGTTTTTGGAGGCCCCGGATATAACCGCGTTTTTGGTTAGGTGAGAAGCTGTGATGGGTGGTCGACTGTGGGAGCCCTAATGCAAAAGCCACCGCGTTGGTTGCACCTTTGTTACCGCTGCTGGTCAAGTGTACATTGATGCCGCGTTCCTGGAGGCGCTTGACAATAGGCCCTGCAGTCCTTCGAATTTTATCCTCGAGGCGGAAAGTTGCAGCATGGATTCCCGAGATCTCCACGCAAATAATCGTATGACCTGATTCTATTTCTTCGATGCCCAGCCATTGCGGGCTGCCGATACGAACTCTTGAAGCGCTTTTGGAGCAAGTCGCTTCTATGCCTCTCCTAGAGACTTCTTTCACGTCGATGAACTCGATTGGTCTTGGGGCTTTGTTCTCCGGCATCTCTTTCCTGAGCCATTCCACCACGGCTAGAGCGACAGGACTTTGAACGTCGTGGAAGAGCCCGCAGAGGATTCGGCTGGTTTCTTCAATGTTGTTATCATGAAAATCCGCCTTGACGACGGTAAGAGTACCGCATGTCAAGACACCAGTCTTGCTGAACACAATATCGGTGACATTATTGGCCACTTGAAGCTTTTGCGCGTTCCTGAAGTAAATCCCATGTTTGGCACAAATGTGGCCGGTCACCAAATTAATGATCGGAACTGCTAGAGCAATAGGATATGGACAGGCTATTAAGACAGTTGAAACACCTGTGATAGCGGCTCTGACTGCAGCATTGATCCAGCTTTGATGATCGTAGTACCGTAGTACAATCGTCCAGCCAACGGAAGTGGCAACCCCGACGAATGCAATGAATGGAACAAACGCAGCAGTGAGCCGTTCAGCCACGACTTGTAATTTGAGCTTGCCCAGCATGGCATTCTCCGTTATGCCTGTCATCCTGCTGATCATATTTTCGCAAGGCAAAGCTGATAGTTTTACAACTAGCTCACCACTTTTATTCAATGTCCCCGCATAGACCATCGAGCCATGACCTTTGGCGGCGGGAACATCCTCGCCATTGATCATGAGCTCGCTCACTTCTGAACCGCCAGCCACAACCCTGCCATCTGTGGCTATGCGCGTGTATGGGGGTATAACGAAATGATCCCCGTATTGCAAGAGTTGAACTGGCATTGTTTGAGTATTGTGTGCTGTGTCTGGACTATTTATTCGTCGGACCTGGTCTACCTGTAGCGAACTGAGAGATGCCGGTGCTGTCGCGTTGTAGCCAGCTAAGTTGCTCAAGAATCGACCAAGGAAAATTAGCCCGACAGTCGAGGGATATATCGGAAAGTAATAGAAGGGTTGAAAGGAATAGTGTCGAAGTCTAGAAACATAATACAAAAGATCATTGGCGTACACGACCGTGATGCTGAGCGCAAGTAGGATGTCCATTGAGGCTGTTGTCTAAAATTGGCGAGTACAAAATCAGCATACTTGTGGAAGACATCTTGTCATTGACGACCAAAGATGACGAATGTCACCGTCTGGAGAAGCCACATTGAGTTACACGGTGTTTACATACTGAATAGACTAGTGATCTGAAAGCACCCGAGAAGATTTCCAGCAATACCAGGATTTGTAGTGCCGATGTGAAACCAAGCGCCACGTGCGCGAAGCTCATGTTGCCGTGCTCTGCGGAAGCTCTGTATAAAGAATACGCCGGAACAGAGAACGAACAGACATAAAAACTGAGAATAGATGATCGGCAAAGCCGCTTTCTGTAATTGGCGGCAGCAAGACATGTAGCTGTTGGGGCCACTTGTATTTTGAGGGCTGGAAGAAGTGCCGTGTAATATGCCATGAGGTCGCGGGCCCCGATTACTCGAGCATTGTAGTGAATTCGAACGATTCGCTGGCTTCTGCAAGTGGGATTGTGAGTCGGCTCTATATCGATAACACCTTTGGGCCTGTGAGCGTTACAGAACTCAACGACATCGTTAACTAGGAGATCAAGAATAGGTCCTTGAGGGATATCAAGCTCCTGGAAATTATAACCAGTCGCGGCCTTGAGCTTTCCTGCAATCTCCTCCACCGAGTACAGGTTCACATCAAGTTCGACGTGGAGCCTTGCGAGCAGAATGTCAAAGTGGAAGTTTCTGATGGCTGGGATCTGGGCAATTGCTTTCGAAATGGCGGTTTCGGAGCATGTAAAACCGTCGACAACAAAGACGACATGATCGACATTCGCCATTGAGCAGTTGTCTCGCTTCCCTGTTATTGTCTTGCAGTGAGCAATGATTGGTATCTTCCAGGCTGTTGGCAGTTGATGCCTACCTTTCGAATTCTATCCGAGTAGAGTCATTCCATCTGACCTGGCCTTGTTCGTCCCTGAAAGAGGCGTACCGGAGCAAGACATGGTGACCAGGACTCTATGGCGGCAGGCAATCGATGGCTCGATGGGAGTGCGCGTTGATCAATAATTATGGTGCGGATGTTGATATAAGCTGCGAAGATAGAGATCTCATGACGGGTAATTCAACAACTTGAAAGAAGCAACATGCTGCTCTTTCTCTTCTGAGGATGGAAGGTACAGTGACTGGAACAGGAAACAAGGCTTGTAGGGAACAGTGGTCGGAAACGCCAGGAAGACGTTAAGAAGGGAAAACGCCGTTTGATCGAAACCACCCAAAAAGCGAACGATCATTATTTGATAGACACCATTACAGTGTAGATTAGTGGTACTGGTGAGAGCATGTAGTCGATGCCATATGGGATGAAGTATGAAAGCGGACTAGCGCATAACGTGGTTACGTGAACGCGACGCCCGTTTTCATACGTCATCGACCGAGACCCCAACGACCGTCCATTGACTCATCCCCACAACCCCAAATTCCCACTCGCACTATTACCTGCGCATTGATTCCAAGTCCTGAACGTTAAGCGTCTACTTAAGGCGCGCCCCTCGAATGCCCACAGTACTGTCCATGAACAGCGTGGTTTGGAAGCAGCATGGCAGCGGGCGCGCGAAATAGGCTACACAAGCCCGCAGAAACCGTTACACCTAGACGATCGCTCCGCAAAGGGAGGTCATCGAACGTCGAAAATGAAGTCCCGGAGGTTTACCAAGATCTTCTTTACCGAGAAGCAGTTTCGGAAGCAGCAGGCACGGATGAAGATGCGAGACCGCTCAAAAAGAGAAAGACAACTCAGGCTGCGCGTCCTGCAATACAAACCAGCAATCCACCCGGCGCTCTCAAGCCGGTACAAGCTATAAACCCACAGCCGAAGCCATCATCGCCCCCACGAATCATCACACCTCCCTCGGCGTCCATTACCAGCAAGTTAGATGTCGCGGAAGGCAGCAACCGTATGCGCCAAACCATTATTGACTCCGATGAGTCAGATGGAAGTGATATGGAGTGGGAGGATGCGCTGGTAGACGGTGATGATACAGATGAACAGGGTGACGAGGATGAAAAGCAGCATGACATAGGCGATATTTCGATCACACTTGGTGGCGAAGAAGACGTTCAGAACGAGGTCGCCAAGAAGAAAAGTATGCGTAGGCGAGCAATAACTTCCGTGGATAAAAAGAGAAGGCTTGATATTCACAAAATGCACGTGTTATGTCTACTCTATCACGTTCACAGGAGAAACGCCTGGTGCAACGACAGAAGGGTGCAAGCCATTATGCGAAGAATACCGTCACCTCAGACACTATCCAACCTCGTGCCAAACCCTGAATACTCGCAATTTCAGACATCGAAGCGCTTTATAGATGGAATGAACGAATTGAAATTGATGTGGGCAAAACGGTTTTCTGTGACAGCCCAGGGCATGTATAAACCCCAATGGACGGATGCAGAAGCTGGTGCTCGCCCGTTCTCTGATTTTGACGAACTCGACGACCCGTTGGATCTAGATGATTTTAGGAGCCTCGCCGCAAAATTGGAAGGCTCACAAGACGTTGGGACACAACTTTTCTGTGCTCTTCTGAGGGCGATTGGAATAGAAACGAGACTTGTATGCTCTCTACAATGTCTCCCTTTTGCATCTGCAGCGCAGGCATCGCCGCCCCCAAAGTCGAGTGTGTCCAAAGCAGCCATCGTGCTGGACCCATATAGAACTCAAAGTCCCAGCCCTTCGAAGCCAAGGGCAAAGGGTTCGTCTCGTATAAAGCGACCTTCGCGCCTCGAACAAGCATTGGGGGAGCGACACCCCAAATTAAGTACTGGCTCAGCTACAAACTCGAGGAAAAAGTACCACACCCCGTACCCTGTCTATTGGGTAGAAGCTTTCAACTCAGCTCTGCAGAAGTGGATTCCTATCGATCCCTTATCAACGTTCTCCATCAACGCCCCAGAGAAATTGGAGCCCCCTTTGAACTCTTCCCGTAATAGTCTCACATACGCTCTTGCATTCGAAGACGATTATACGGCGAAGGATGTTACACAGCGATACACCAAGGCTTTCAATGCAAAAACGCGAAAATTTAGAATCGAGAGTACACCACATGGAACCAGTTGGTGGAAGCGCACCATGAAATTCTTCCAGCGATCAAGCAAATTGGACAGGGATCAGGTCGAGGATGTTGCCCTTGCTCGTAAGACGGCTGGCGAAGGCATACCTAAAAATGTCCAGGACTTCAAGAATCATCCGGTCTATGTTCTGCCACGCCATCTGCGGCATAATGAGGTCATCCATCCTCTGAACCAGGTCGGCAAAGTCAACGTGGGAAGTTCCATGAATCCCAAGATGGAATTGATATATCGACGTGGCGACGTACATATTGTGCGGAGTGCTGATAAATGGTATCGGATGGGTCGGGATGTTAGAGATGGCGAACAACCACTAAAACACGCGAAACCCAAGAAAAACAGGCAATTATCCATCGGCCCCGATGACATGGATGATATTCAAGATGACATTGGCGCCAGCCTCTACGCAGAATTCCAAACGGAAATCTACGTTCCTCCACCAGTTGTCAATGGCCGTGTGCCTCGCAACATTTACGGTAATCTTGACCTCTACGTGCCATCTATGTGTCCACCAGGTGGTGTACATATTCGTCATAAGTTGGCATCCAAGGCCGCTCGCATCGTCGGCGTAGACTATGCAGAAGCTGTGACAGGGTTTAATTTCAAGGGGAGACATGGAACAGCAGTAGTGCAAGGTGTTGTGGTGGCCCAGGAAAGTGCAGAAGCAGTCGAAACGGTTATCGACGGTATGATTTATGCTCAAGAGGAAGCCGAAGACCAGCAGCGCAGAACAGAAGCAATTCGACTGTGGAGGCGCTTTTACCTCGGACTACGCATCGCTCAGAGGATAAATGCGATTGAGATAAATGGAGAGAAAGGACCAGATATCGATGTGCAGGAAGAGATAGAGAAAGTCAACAAGGACATGACCGAGCAAGAGTTCGCTGGAGGCTTTTTCCCTGACGAGCGAGAGACAACCCGACCTACAGGTCAAAGCTACGAGCCACCTGTTCAGGAAGAAAACGCCGGAGGGGGGTTTTTCGCAGATGGGGCAGAAGATGAAGTGGATGAAGGGAATGGTGGATTTCTTACAACTGCAGATGAGAGTCATCCCCCGACTCTCCAGCATACTGATAGCTTTGGGAGCGCTATTCTACTACAACAGAAGCTCCGTCCCCAACGAACTAACAGTTTTGGTGGCGGGTTCATGATCGACGAGGATGATTTCGAGGAAGGCGAAGACTTTACTTCGGACAGATACCCGCCTACTGCGCCATCAGTCGGTACATCTCATTTAGAAGGTGGTTTCTTACAGGAATCCGAGCCGGCCGAGGCTTCCATTGCAAAGCCTGCACCCAACTCTATACTCTCCGCTACTTCTGAAAAACAGTTGGGAGTCCCGAATACACCTATGAATGAGACGAATCACGAGTCATTGGTAGGGAAAGAACCTGGTTCGAGCAGTTTATCGGAGGCTGAAGCCACAACAAACGGGGGGTCGGCGATTGCGGTTGTTCCCCAGGTCAGTGATGGCAAATCACAAGTACAATCACCACCTCAGTCATCACCATCAGATGCTGGTTCGTTGCCTTTGGAAGATCCGGAAGACGAAGATGCGGATCCAGATTGGCTGGTGGATGCTACATAGCTGGGGAATTGGATAATTTTACTATAATTTCTCCAGTAATGCTGGTCGATGAGCTTGAAAATACACATAGAGAGGACTTATGAGGTGCCATTATATCTACTATCTAATAATTACGTTCCTATTCCCCCCAAATCAAGTAGGGCTGCAATTCCTAGTTCTTATTCAATAGGTGAGTTTTTTTCACAGAATTTCAACGTCTTATCCATCTACTCCCCCTCAGGCATCTTAGAATTTGTTTGCAGTGATAAGGGCTTGAACTGAGTAACCATATGCCAAGACTAGTATACGAGGAAGGATGGATGGGGCGAAAACAAGGAACGGAAATACGAGATGACCACCTGGATCGGCAACATGTTGTCAGCCTATCGTATTTTTGAGGCGTGTCAATCAGTACGGTGATGCCCGAAAATCTCAGCCTTGTCTCTTTGAACGATATAAAATCGTAGCCCGCGTTATTCCAAATGCTACGGTGATCTTGCACAAGTCAACATGGCTACATGTCAACTCGCACAGAGTCCGAGTACATCGATATCTGGTTCGCCAGTACCAGTTCCACCAGCCGTTTCCTCGAATGCTGGTTCATCTAGCACTCCAAATTCGCGAACTACGTCTATAGGCGCGAGCAGTGGTTCATCTCGACTTTCAAATACCAGCACAACGCATACCTCACGAAATAATGCTCACTCCACCCGTTCTACTGCTTCTCCAACCACACACAGGACTTCTCGTGTTGGGATAAGCATTGTGCGAAAGAAGTTGCACGATCGACTCAAGCAACGACCTGTATTTCGCTTCCCTCTCCGCAAAGTCCGCCACAAGCTATTCGCAACGAACAGTCAGGTTGGAGCAAAGAGGGCGGAGGGTAAAAAGCCGGTCATTGTAAAGTTGCAATATGATGGTCTTTTGATCCACCTTTTGCCAGTCGCTGTGACTATCTTCTTGGTTAGTTTCAACGCCGTCACGTTTGTGAACGGGCCCCAAATAAGCACCGTGGGTCAATATGCTTTGCAAGGGGCAGCAAAATTCCATGTCAGTTCTTCGCATCATCATTCAGTGACATTAAAACTAACCTGACTGGTAGGAACTGGCCATAGTCGGTGAGTACTCGGAATGAATCGCCAGTATCGACATCTGATAAGTTCGCAGCCAGTCTCGCGAGGATCATACTGGACTTGCTGCGTTATCATCTTACGCATGGCGATATTCAGTTTGGTATGATTAGCTCGCCTTTTACTTTTCTAGGTCTCAATTATCTATGGTCAAAAGAAGTTCGAGCAGTGGTAAGTGCCCATTGGATGTGGGCTGTGATATCCGTTCGCGATGCGCATAATGCATTCAAACAGGGGACAATCTCTGACATTTCCCTCGCTTTGAGAAGACAAATAAAGCACTCAAATCTGCTTCATATTGTCCATCATACTGTCGAATCGAAACTTTTCTTTTTCTGCCTAACGGCCCTTTTCTGCTTCCTTGCAGCCATTGTTGGTCCTGCATCGGCTTTGCTACTTTTGCCAAGTACTGCTTGGCTTCCAGCAGGGAGCACGCATATCAATCTCAACGGTAGTTCAGATCAATTGTGGCCACAGCATCTAGAAGAGAGACATGCCGGTCCTCAGAGCTGTGACACGGGCGACGAGTACTTCTGTCTACAGGGTGGTTGGACCATTATGGATGGTTTCGTGACACCTTCGGGATCGTCAGATCGGGAGACTTACGTTAATGAAGGCGGTGCTTCTCGAGCGATGTGGGTATGGCGTCAAGACGACACATGGGCTACAACGCTTCACGGTGCCACTGCGTCGATTGCTTCTCGATTACATCAAGACCATGAGCGAGCTTGGCAGTTCGCGACGGGAAGGCGAAGGAGACTGCGGGATGCTGTGAACTCGGGCGTGTTCGTGCGTGTGTCAGCCCCCGTTCCATTTGCTCGTGTCCTTTGTGGTCCCATTAAGCCGGTCAACGATACTTCTCCGACTTTACTCTTTCCCATTCTTCACCCCCAAGAATCGTGGCGAGAAGAGGCAGATGTTGGGAGATTGGAAGAAGCGAATGTAAATGGATCATTCACTTCACTGGTAAATGCAAAATGGATGAAACTACCTGCAAAATTCGGGACATCGACAGCCGGGCTTGCGTTTGTAACAAAAGTGCAGGATCGTGTGGCAGGATGCGGCTGCTCTGTTGATGCTAGATGGGCGACAGGAGAATACCTTCTACAAGGTCAGACAACCAACTGGCAGGCTTTTCTTGGGAAAAATCAACTGCCCAGTGCCCTGAAATTTTTCTCTGACCAAAAGGAGGCTTTTTCAGAAACAACTATTCAGAAGAATGTGGGACAGCCTATATCGGCAGACGCCGAATGGCTCGCGCGCTTATCGACTCAAAACAACAAAACCGCACCAGTTATCCGGACTGCTTTAGAGCATTTGCTTGTATCTACAAGACTGTGGGATATGCAATGGGTTCTTGAAGATCAGTTCACCCCAATCAAAGAGCTTGAGTAAGTTACTCCATGTCTGGGAAGTATTATTCTAATCTTGGGTGTAGGGCAATCATCGCTTTGTACTTTGTAAACGCTATTTCGCGAATCGGATGGTACCCCCAGACCAATCCTGGGAAAGAAGGTGTCAATCCATCATTGGTGGACGAATCAGTGGTTGACGATAAACTATTACACCAGAACATTCGAGTCGGAAACATTTCTCACGATATCGCAACGCAGACAGCTACGATCGAATGGTTCACTTACGCAACCGGTTGGCAGCTGAATGATTCTGCACTTTACATCTCGGTCACCATTCTCGCACTCCACACTCTTATCGTTGTAGTACATATCATCGTATTGTTTTGGACCCGGTCTTCGTTCAAAGCTTGGGCTTCAATCTCAGATTTGTTAGCGCTGGCTTACCTCTCTTCCCCATCAGTGGGAGCATTGGAGAATTGTGGCCCCGGTATCAAGTTGAAGGAGACACTGCTCCAGAAGTTTAAGATAATTCCTGTTGCAAGCTCGGTCGGTGGGAATGTGCAACAGGTTCAGTTGGTTTCCTCAAGTGCTAGTACATCCAACATGGGTTCTATTGGAGTCAATCAAGAATACATTTAGTGGCAATACTCAGTGCCGCAAAAAGTCGTCGATATCGAAATATTTGATGTGATTTTGACGCAGAAGATATCTTCAGATTGAAAAGTCGCAAGAACCAGCAAGGCAAAAAATATTGACAACGCTGACCCAACATCGACCTAGAATTGCATTAGGAATACAAATGTTGGTCGGTACTTGATTGATATTGCCTAAGTCGTAATTAGCTGCGTTTGCACTTGAGTGGTTGCTTAAGTGCACACGTGATTCAGCTTAGCGCGCACCCCTCGACGCGTCGCGTCTCCCTCTCCCCATGGCATTTTGTGGGTCTACACTTTCCAGCTTCAACACCACATTTAAACGCAACCCCATGTTACGATGCCTCGGAGTACACGAGTCTCTAATAAAAATACCACCCCGAAAGTCTATGAATCTAAAAAAGTACCAAAGCAACAGCGTTTCCCACACAAGCGGAAGATAGTGCGGAGGCCGGACAGCAATGATGTCAGCGAGAAAGCGCAAACGAAATTGACCCCGGGGAAATTAAAAAGGACGGCCACGGTTGGAGATTCAGAAGATGATGAGGACACTATGGAAATCGAGGAAGATCTGGGTGTTTCTGATGGTGTGGAAACTGAAGGGAAAACGCCACCCGCTGTCGCTCTGAAGAGTGAATCATCAGCAACGAAGGGAAGGAAGCGCACCAGCGATGCCTTGCTACATGACATCCGAAAAGAAGAAGCGCCAGTACAGCGAATATCTAAACGTAGCAAAAAGTCCACTGCACACAGCAAAACCCCATCCGCAACTCGGGTTAGTCTCGAAACCGAACTCAGTGCAACCCACGAAGACAACACCGCCTCGCCGTCTGAATCCGAGATGGCAAAAGACACAAAACAGAGACGAAGGAGGCAATCTACAATGACACAAATGTTAGACGGCCGAAAACCCGCTCTTGACACACCGGAGCCGGAATACAAGCGTGTGAGAAGTGGTTCACGAAGGATTTCGAGTGGCAAAAAGACTGCTAAGGGTGATCAGAAGCAGCGGACACTCACACAAATGGTGCCTGGACTTGGATCTTTCAACCAAGCAACATCCGATGAGGATATTGAAAGTGATGCAGATAATGAGATGGACGAACCTTTGCATAATGATGCGCTGGCGCAGCGATTAGCGAGACATGCGGGCGATGGGATCAAGTCGGAATCGATTAGCCCTGTGGCAGCTTCAGGGCGTAGGAAAGGCGTGCGCGTAAAACCCGTTGCGTCTCCACGTCTTCAAGACGATGCGTTGCTTAACGGCAAGGAGTCACAGTACGAAAGCCTTCTTGTTGTGAGATCTGGTGACGACGACACGGAAGACGAGTACCAGCCTACACAATTCATCGCATCCCCGAGTTTGAAGCGTACACGAGCCTCCCGACGCAGTACAACATTGCAACTGCCAACACCCGCACCAACCGAGAAACGTAACAGGCCGCGATTCGGTCTACTCTCTACTCCCGAAAAGCGTCGTATTCGTGAGATTCCCTCATCTCAATCCCCGGCTGAGTCGTTACTATCAACTCAAAACACCCTACAAAAATTCAATAGTTCGCCTCTGAAGCTACGTTCCAATAATGCACTGAGCCGCATAGAAACGCCATCGAAACGCAAACAGGTCACTTTCCAAGTACTAGATGAGAATGCAGTACCGCCACGGCCCAAGCTTCACAAATTTGCGAGTACGATTCCAGACTCTGAGGACGAGGATGAGGAACTTATCGAAAGTGACTTCGACCAGGGAACTAGTGATTTTGGCGTTGGGACGCAACCCTCATTTACAAGGCCGAGAAGCCCTGCTGCAGGCATGGCTGTGGGTGCTGAAACCCAAGCGATGCTTAGATCCATCGACGAAGCTTGTATGAATATACAGACTACGCAAACGCCGAGGGAGTCATCAAGAGAAACCGAAGAACGTGCGATGAGAGTTGATTCATCCTTTGAGCTAGGGATAGCAGAGAGTATGAGTCCCAAATCGCATGGGGAGAACGTAGACCCAGACATACCTCCGTCTTCCCAGCCGACGACTTCACATATAGGGATCAATCATGAACCACCTGATCTAGCCAACTTGGCTGCTTGTTCTCCTGCCTCGGAACACGAAAATCGCAGAGTGTTGCAAGATACGTATCCTTCATCTCCAATGGCGTTCATAGCAGTATCATCGGATGAAGACGGGGAAGAGCCCTCCTTAACGCCATCCATAAATACCAAGCCAAATAAACGAAAACGCAGCTCTTCGCCGCTCGACAGATCAGATCAAGCTCCCACAAGCTCTCGTAATGACGTACTGACCTCGTCCAGTACATTGCAGCCTAGTACAAACCCTAAAGAAGTTACACGGGGCAACGAAGCGGGAGCTGGAGGAGATGAAGAAGAATCCCAAATTTCCAACCTCCTTTCGGCAGCCGCCGAACAGCAGCTTCATTCCGAATACGCAACTTACTCGCAGTTCCGACCCCCAGGACCCCCAGCGTCCAGCATGCAAGTGGCTCACGACACACTCTTTACATACCAAGAAACACCTCGACCTCCGCGCACCGAGCGAACACCACATCAGCACTCCAGCAACCCCAACCTCCACAGTGACATTAGCCAAGCCACAACCATAGACGAAGAAACGCAAACGCAAACACCCACTAGAGCCCGAGACCCCCCTACGGCCATAACTGACGCAGCCGCTGTCATCATCCGTTCCACGCCCCCACCCCCAGAAGACCACACTGCCCCCGCTGCCGACGATCTCCCCCTACCGCTTTCAGGACCCAGCACTCCAAAACCAGCCCCTATGATCAAAGATGAACAGCAGCAGCATCAAGAAAATCTTCTTGCCATCTTTTCATCCTCCCCAACACGTCCCCCTCCCCTCGTCATCCCAAGTTCTTTCCCCACCCCCAGTAAAGTCCTCACGCAATATCAACACTTCTCCTCTTCACCACCTCTGCCGCAAGACCAAGACGACGCTGATAATGATAATGAAGCGTGGACGTATAACGGACACGCAAATACCGAGAATGAGAACAACAGTAGTCTAATCTTGACACGCGGCGATGGCGTGGGTGCCAGTGGGGCTGGGAAGGGGTATACTCAGTGGTTAGCTGTCATGGAGAAAGATGAAGATTGCAACGAGGAAAATGAGGCGGAGCTGGAGAGTGATTCGGAGAGCTGGAAGAATTTTAGCATCCCGGCTGGGCCGCCAGTGGAGCATCTGTAAGTGTAGTAGAAGGGGAACTGGGGTTTTCGTTTTCCATGTGTGTGAAAAGATGGGATGGGTATGGTAAAATGAAAGGGATGCTAATTGTCGTATCTCTGGTGTGGTTGTTGCGTATTCGATTACCATCTGAAGGTACAAGATGGAAATTCCTCCATCGAGGTGGGGAATGCCATACCTTTCATTGCTCTGTTAAAGAATGTAGAAACGGGTACACAGATTTATAGATAGATATAGAGGTATAAGATGTCGAGGTAAAAAATAATTTCACAATATCGGGGTATCGTAAAACTCGCCATCTCCCCCGTTGACAACCACGCTCTGAAAAGAACGATTCCAAATCGTTCATAATCGAGCAAACTATCCTTGCGCATTGTTTAGCAGGGTATTGAAGGGAGTTCCGCTCGCAATTATTCAGCACCAACTCGGGGTCCACGACATTACTAAGTCGCCATCGTACATCGCCCAACGAATTGCAATCCGGTACTCATATAGACTATAATTTTTTGTACATCCGCTAGCTAATCGTTGTACGCTTCCCTTAAAGGTTTCGTACTAATGTTTCGCACAACTGCGATTGTCGATTCCTCTTCATATAGTGAAATGCGTTGGAAATGGCGTGTTGGCGCTCGAAGGATCGAAGATTGGTAGTGGATGTTGTCCGAATATGATTTGAGGAAGCGGATGCTACTAGCTATATCGAGGTGTTGTTTCTTTGATGCTTATACAAGCATTGTTAATGGTGTGCAAGACTAGAAATGAAGCTGGTATTTGGTTGTGGCTAGGATATGCGTATATAGAGGGAGAGATATAATGGACGTCTACGAATTCATCAGAGAACTATTTTCCCTTCGAGCTATCAAACAAACAATCAAGACAAAACGGAAAAATATCACAATACACCAACACAAACCAACCTCCCGGCCCCAATATCCATATCCAATATGTCATCTACGACCCCAGAAACCACCGCCGAACTTCACCTCACGCAACAAGGAGGCCCCTTCAAACTCACCCAAGTCCCCAACACCCCCTCACCACCAGCCAACCAAGCCCGCCTCCGACTCCACGCAATTGGCCTAAACCTCCTCGACAAGAAACAGCTCGATTACGGCCTCTTCATCCCCCAGTACCCTTTCGTGCTCGGCGGCGAAGGCGCCGGCATCGTCGAAGCCGTAGGACCAGACGTCAAGGATTTCCAGCCGGGCGATGAAGTCATTGCGATTCTGTCTGGGAAAATGAGAGGGTTTGACTGGGGCGGTGCGTATGCGGAGCGCTCGAATGTGTTGGCTGATGGGGGGTTTTTTGCTGCGAGGAAACCGAGGAATGTAGGGATGGGGGAGGCTGCTTCTTTGCCGTAAGGATCTCTCTTCTCCCATTATTTTTACTTTCCCTTTCCATCAAAGAGAAATAAGGTGATAAGCTGAATTCGGGGTGTTTAGGGTCGGGTATCTGACTGCTGTAGCGGTCATTGCAGGGAGTTTCGGAACGCCTCTCGCATTTTTGCCGGAGTTGGAAAATGCAGGTGTCGTGCCGTCTTCTGTGCTGGTCTTGGGTGGTAGCTCTGTGACGGGCGCGGCTGCGATACAGCTGTTGCGTTATGCGTATCCTTCGATGCCCATATACGCGACGAGTTCGCGTCATAATTTCGATCAGGTGAAAGCGGTTGGGGCAACGGAGGTTTTCGATTACCACTCGCCTTCGATTGTGGCAGATATTAAAGCGCAGACCCCAGGCTCCAAAGGTGTCGATACGATTTTCGATTTCGTGGCGGCTGGTGCTTCGCAGACGGATATTTGTGATGTTCTTGACCCCGCAGGGCTGAAGCAGTACGGTGCTGTGGTGACTGGCGTTGATATATCGGTTCCAGACGGAGTCAAGTACGCTATCAAGGACGCTTACGATGTTTCTGAGATGAAGGGCGGAGGGTCAGTCTTTCCCATGCTTACTCAGTTGGTCGAGGAAGGGAAGTATAAATTGCCTGTGGAGGTGAAAATAGAAGGTCATGGTTTGGAAAGCATCCCCCAAGCTGTTGAAAAGCTACCGAAAGTGAGTGGTGCAAAATTGGTGATCACCCTGTAGATTACCTGGATCAGAATGACAGTCTGTAGCTAGATAGTCATGGTAGTATGAGGCCAGGCATGACTGGGAATGTATAAAAATATAGCTTGTCCAGACCCATTTCGGCTCCATGTGGTGAAGTAGATAGAAAGGATGATCGAACCACGTCAAAAAGTAGGTTAGCGTGAAGGGGAAGTACCATTCGGTGCAGTGAAAGTCAGCCTTCAACTTCATATGGTAAAGTGACCCAAAGTTATGTCAAATACATTTGAACAGCCAAAAAAACTTCTTTAGCTGACATATTGTTGACCAACAGCTTCCGCGCCTGCCGTGTAGTGAAGCAAAGCGGATAAAACCAGAATAGAAAAACGGCAGCAGGCTCCTCCTGTATTAAAAACAACCCCCATCTCAATCCCGCTTACCATATCTAAATGTATATTGAAGGGGAGCCAGACTGGACGCATGATGAAACGACAACGCTTCTGAACAGTAGGTACATGAAAAAGGGAACGCTGGGGGGCTTGGGCTTTGGCTCATCGGATACAAACGTACCTACCTGTGTATATGACCAACACGGGTGTGGCGGTCCAATATGATTCGACGGAAAGAACAGGTTTTCCCCCATCGAACGGATGAAGAAAATGTTGATATGCCGAAGCCGGTAAATGCAAGGGTTGAATACTCTAATGGTATCCCTCCAACGGACAAAGAAAATAAATTTGTGGGTCGATCCAAGGTGTAACATAGGAGAAGTAGGAGGGAGGCCTCCTCTGAGTGGTATGATTTCGACCAAGAGTTTGAACAGTTTAAATGAACGCCATGAAACGCCAATCGCTCGATGAGGTGATGAGTAGTGATGATGCCTGACAAATTCGACGACAACTTGCTGTGGGAGTGCAGATGCATTGCAAATACAACGTCGACGTATGAGAAATTTAAACAAGGGGAGCTGCTCGATGACCCGAGAAAAGCGAGGAGCTCCGTCTTAAAAGTTTGCGAGTCCGTTCTTTGAGTGGCGTTTGCTGAATCGTTTCCTGCCCTTCATCGAGTCAGAATCTCCTTGCTCTTTACGAAGATGCCTGGCGGCTGGGATGTTCACGCCATCGAGAGTAGCATCCCCACCTAGTGTACTAGAAGGACTCGACAAACTGGAGTTCAGATCATTCAAGGTCGAGTCCGCAGAGTATGAATTGGCCATGCTTTGGGATATCGCGTAATCTCTGGCCTTTTCAATGCTGTCGATCCACTCGGTGGTATAGTATTTGCTGCCGTTGGGATCGCTCGTGGTGCTCTTCGGGTCTTCGAAGACGTACTGTTTCTCTCGCTGTATCGCAGTCAGCACAACGCAGAATATAGTGTCATAGTTTACTTACCGTTTCCACGAGCCACGCAGTGAGACCCTTCGAGTCCTCGAAACTTCTCCATGAACATCCAGAAGCCAACAGCGATATTTCTTCTTTCAACTTCTTGTCGTTCGTTCCTGCGGCACACATGAGGACGCGGGCATTTGATGTTATCATTACTAGTCTTTGCCGTTTCTTGACTGTGTTGCCTCCAAAGAACCGAGAAAACTTCTTGGGTGCCGGCTCAGGAGCACTGTCGCTGGCTCCGCCCACAGGATGGCCTGCAGGGTGATGCGTAACAAACATGTTTCCTAGCTTGAGAATTCGTTCGTCTCTTCTTGTCAAAACGGGCGACCAGTCAATGTCCAACTGACTAGGGGGAGGGAGTTCTGTGATCAATCGGGGTGTGGGGCGTATTGGGTTAGCAGCTGATGCAGATGGCGGGGCAGCAGAAGCAGAAGCACCGGCAGCTGATGGACCTAGAATTGTGTTACCACACAGTAGTCATAGAAGCGGATTTGTCGTACTCACCATTTAGACTGATGGGCTCTCTAGGGGGAGCGACATAGGCCTTGAGTCTCGGAGCCTTCTGCTTCCACAATCCTTTCCCCCAAGTGACACCATCAAAGAATGGATGACTCTTGATGTGTTCTATTGGCAATCGCGTCAAAGGATCTAGCACCAGGAGCCTCTCGACGAGATCCTTGGCTAGCGCTGGGAAACCATCTGGGAACGCGTATTCCAAACCCACAATCTTTTGGAAAGTTTGATACTCGTTGGCTGCTTTGAACGGAGGGCGACCGGCAAGGAGTTGGTAGATAATGCAGCCGAATGCCCACAGATCGCTGGCTTTGCAGGCGTTTTTGTCCGTTAGTAGCTCAGGCGACACGTATTCCGCCGTGCCTACAAACGACTGTGCTCTTTCTGTTTCTATGCCATCCAGTGGATCTCCTGAGCCCGTGCCATTGGGTTTCTTCAGGTCCAGTATTTTGGCAGTTCCGAAATCGGTAATCTTGATGTGCATTTGATCATCCAGTAGCACATTTTCGGGTTTTAAATCGCGATGTATAACACCTCGCGAATGCATATAGTCAATCGCGTCGAGTATTTGCGCACCGTAAAATCTTGTGCATTCAACATCGAAAGAAGTCATTTTCTTGAGAAATCCCAGCAGCTCTCCACCAGATGCCAGATCGAGCACAAAGTAGAGCGAGCGTTCATCTTGGAAGGTGTAGTAGAGTCGAACAATGCCGGGATGTTCAGTCAGCCGATTGAGCGTATCCTTCTCGATGTTGACATATTTGACCTTTTTCTCCTTGATGATATGACGCTTATCTAGAACCTTGATTGCGTATTCGCGGAGTGTTTGACGATCCGTAGCGGCCAGAACGGTACTGTATGAACCCTCGCCTAGTGTTCTGCCGAAACTAAAGTCCTTGACGCCTTTTTTCACCACCCTCGTTACAGGCCGACCATTCTGATCAAATTCCTGCCTCACCCCTGTAGCGGCGCCTTTTTCTTTCCAATCTTCACTGCTTTGCAATGGACCGCCCTCGATACCGTAAGGCGAACTCGACAAGTGGCTAGCGGATGAAGCACTGCCGCCGTGAGCGCCGTCCATGGGCATCGGTATGCGTCGTGAGCTTCTACGAGGGGGCAATGGGCCGTTCCCGGTGGCCATTTGACCAGGAGGGTATACTCTACTACTCCTACTCAACTCGCGGGTCGGTATGCCATTCGGCGCAACTCTCGAACTGCTGGTGCGCCGTATATCTGTCGTGACATCATCATTGTACCGGTAGGTGCTTGGGCCGGTGGCAGAGCTGGAAGATAGATTGGGATGATGGTACATGCTCGTGGACATGGGTCTGCCGCTCAAATTTTGCTGCGGAGGGAGGGTATTACGGGGGTGAGATATGGAGCCCGAGGCATACTGCGGGTACCCAGCCTGTTGTTGTGCCTGATGAGCCAAGGGCATTGATTGTCGGTGGGCGAGGCGGGCTGAGTATGCAGAGGCATCGGCAGACGGCGGGGGAATTTGAGCAGGCGGGCTCAGAGGAGTGGTGACAGGAGAATCGGTGGTGGTGAAGGAGTCTGGATTGAAGCCTAGTGCGCCCGAGGTAGGCTGGGTCTCGGGAATCATGTGCGTGGAATTATAGGAAGTAGGTTTGTCGGTAATGGTACTCGAGGACGATGCTTGCGAAGCCGATGACGATGGTTGGACAGGAGCTGTGGTCTCGGCATCGAGGCCGGGGGCGGGCTGGTCGGGCGGTGGAGAGGGAGAGGTGGGATGCTCATCGGGATTGGCGATGCGCAGACCTCCAAAGGACTGCGAGAGACTCAGGTCGCCATTCATGATGGCGACCAGAGGGCAGCAAGAAGGCGTCGGGCAAGCGAACGGGAGGTGATGGTTGCGAGCGAGCGAGCGTGCGGCGCTGCGCTATGCAATGCTATGTTATGCTATGGTGGTTCCAGCAGGCGACGGCGGCAGTCGGAGAAACTGAAGCTAGCGCGGACAGGCGACGACCGGGCGACAGCACATGGGGCTGCTCATGGAGGGAGGCGAGAACGAGGGACCGAGGACTCGCAGAGCAAGCAATGAAGCCGGGCAAAGCAGGGCGGAGAGTCGAGTGAGCGAAGGGGGGATGGTTGGCGGTCGAGGGTTTGTAGTTGGGAGGTGGATGGCGTGTGCGTACGCGGGAGAAGAAACAGACAGACCGAACAGAGAGGGGGCGGAAGACGAGAGTGAGTGAGTGAGTGAGTGACAGAGTACATGTACCTAACACCACACACACACACACACAAGAACATCGATACAGCCACACGTCAAGAGCTCGGCACCCCGGCTTCAATCGATATTTACCTAGCTGACGCTCCGGTCAAAGCCTGACTGCCTATCGACAGCACGCCATCATTGCAGACTTTTCATTGTGTTTGGCCCGCGTCCTCATCTACGACCGTCTATGTATCTGACCATCGTCGTGGTCCGCGATTCGAACCGTTGTCCCGTCTGGTTTGCCCGCGACTCGAAACCACTCTGAACCATGTGTATACTCGTCGACTCTGTCATTACCAGTCTGGGTCTCCATTCCCCCGTCTAGCAACAAACATTTGGCACGCGTTTCTTTTCCTTCGCCGTCATGACTTACTGCATCTAATTCGACCATCGATCAATCCGTCGACTCATACTAATCTTCCAACGGTTCAAATGGTCCCAATCCATACACATGTACATGGCCCGGGACCTGCCGTGCAACCTGCAGGGTCGCCTGCACACCAATATAGTGGTTGCAGGACGATAATAATAACAGTACTATGTACATGCATGTGTTTACATCACTATGGATACTTGGGTACTGACCGTTGCTATTATCCTCCTACATATTAGCCTTTGTGCATGCCAATGCAATGTCACAAGAATGCCTTACACAACTTCAGATGTCCTGTCTGGCTCTTCTTGATGCTTCTCTCGCTCGCCGCCACCTACGACGTTGCAATCTCGTATCGCGCCAGCCTTCTGGGCCGAACCAAGATTCAAAGCTGGAGTCTGGTTTGGAAGGATCCCTTCATGCAAAAACTACGTCATCACGACTTGTACCGACCGTTGACAAATCTTATCCTCGTGGGAACGCTGATGCTTGACATCCCATGGTTGGTTGTGTTCATCTCAATTTCCGCGGGGAAGGATCCAGTCCATGTCCAGAGAGTAGAATCAAACCTAATTCGATCCATCCGTGCCCGATATCCTCGCGTGAAAGGATGCGTGCCGGCTGACTAACACGGCCAGCACGTGATACGAGTTTGACAACATTGAACATCTGAACATTTGAACGTTCAATGTTTGAATGCGAGCAACCACTCGTGGGCCTCATGTCATTGGAATCCATAGGACCTGCACTGTCATGGAATTAACGAATGAATAGTTATTAGCCCTTCATAGTCTAAACCAGAGTCAGACCGGTGTTCGTAGTGCCGCGAGGATACGGCCAACCAGTGACAAGTGAAATGTAGGCGTCGGCGCGGAGAAATGCTTTTCCGGTCTAGCGTAGATTTTTTTCCAGCTTCAAAACCAAGAAACTTCTCAACCTCACACTTCGCACAGCAGCATGCGCAAACTGACCAACATGTCACTGAGCATTCCCACTGGCTGAACAGTCATCCCCCGCGCCATGCATTTGCGCTTTGGCACTCATTCAATCAATGAGACGTGCTGGTCGCGGGGTCATGAATCTTCTGGTAAGTACACCGACCGCTCACGCATTTCATTTTTCATGATGATACGAAAAGCCATTCATCAAACTAGAGTCTTTGACCCTCAGGGAATGAAACCTTTGCTTGCACGTCAGTCTGAGATTGACATCCCCTCTCATATGCGAACACATTGTGCAGTCGAGCTCTGCTAACACGCATTATCAGTCACTTTTCCCTTCTTGCAGGGCGACAGCATCAAATCACTGATGAAGGCAATGCCTGCATCATGGCTGGTTGCTAACCTTTGTGGTATGTTAATGACTTTTTCCTTCGCTCCCCCTATCTAATGATGATCATTGTGCTTCGGCACGCTGGAAATTACCGACTGAAATAAATGTCGACAAACAATGGCTGTTTCTGACCTCCAATCTACCCGATATCTTCTCCTCGTTTGTACGATTAGGCTTGTACTAACGTTCAACAACCAGATGATACCCTTCTTTGACGTATATCCACCGTCCATTTGGTACGCCTCCCACGCTTTTCCATCCCCACACACAACATGATGAAGTATTGGCACTGGGCACCGATACGTATGAAGGACAAGCCCTTTTTGTGGCAGGCCTAGAAAACCTCGCCCACTGATCTCGAAAACAACACTCTTTTCTTGGATACACGTTGCGGACCCCCCGCTGACCATGGTTGTAGACATCATTTGTGTCTCTAGCATTTTGTAGGGTGAGCATTTCTTTCCTTTCTGCCTACACCCCTATCACATGATGAAAATCCTAGATGACGAGTCTGACGGGATTCCCTGTGACGAGACTCTTTTTTTTAAATACCATTCATGCCTTCTGAATGATCACCCTGCTTCGTCTTCCTGTTTTTTGCAATGCGCTCTGTTGCTGACAAGATGAACAGATCTTTCTTCCGTCTGATGGTATGTCTAGCAGCTTCCTCCGCTTCCTTTTACATGATGAAACAACACGACAAAGACAAGCATATGTCCAAGCCTCGGCGAAGACGAGAACCGTTATTCCTGACACACTCGCGTTGATCCATTCAACTTTCTCCACGCCAAGCGTAGTACCAACTAATCGGTTGGTAGACTAATGGTTTGATTGTGACTCAGCCAGCCTGTAAACTGTAAGCTCCCCTCCCCTCTTCTATTTTCCCCACCTATCACAAGATGAACATTTATTTATCACGACGGTCTACCGAGCTTCGGCAATGGTGATAACTGCCTGTGACAAGGCAAGAGTCTGAACCATATCATGAATTCATCATGTTAGCCAGTGTATTATCTGAACCGAGCTGACAATGAACAGGCCCTTTTTGTGACCCGTGATGTTCCGCGTAGATGATGTCTGACGAGGTTTGGTGACCTTGGGATAGATTTAGGAGACGATGTGTGCTTGCACTGCTGTCTCCCGCTGCCGTGGGTACGGTGAAGCGGGTGGATGCCGCGCAGAGGTTTCCACCAGCGGGACATATTTTCACGTAGACTACATATGTAAACATACTTTCCTGTTCCGACTAGCCTTGCATTGACTGTGTTCTATTGAGATCCAAGTTTGCCCAAGTACGTGTGTGAGATGTAGGGACAGGGAGACTCGTCGATGGATCCAAATGGTCTATGTGGATATGGCGGTCACGTGGGGATGAAACGTCACCAGTCACACTTTGGTAAGCGACGCGGCATGTGTCATGCTCCGACAATTTCCCATTGTAAACAAAGGCATTTGTGCAATCAACAATTGGGATTCCCGAGTGCTAGCTGTATATGTGCATGTGTGGCGACGTAATGGCGAGGCGGCGAGCCAGATTTCGCCCGGGCTGCGATACTCGTTTTGGGTATATTACATGTAGATGAGGTACTGATAACCAGGCTCTCCAGAGGCATGTGAGGGCAGATGCAATGGAGAAAGGGAATACTTAAAGTCGCGAAAGGGCGAGGCATCCCTGTCGGTGGTCTTCGCTCTCAACGGCACGGGTAAGCAACGAGCACTGGGCGCTGGGTAGCCTGTAAGAGACATCTGTAACTTGTAACTACTACGACCGTACACACTCGCACATGTACTGTACTGCGCGTCCGTAGACCCTTCTTTTTCAACTACATACCTACCCACATCACCTTCACCAAACCACCACCACCCCGACGTCCCCTTCGCCCGCTCGACGACGTCTCCACTCCATTCGCTGCACCCCCACCCGTCTTACCGCTGCACCGCATACACGCTCGCATCCACGCCGCAAATCACCGCCGTCGACCACACGCAGGCTTTCCGACCGCTGTGCGACGTCGGAATCGCGAGCCCATTCACCTCCCTCCCAATCTTCTGTCCTGGCGATGGCTGTGGAATCTTCGTCGCCTCCTCGCTGAGGCTCTTGCCAACTCTGAAGAATCTGCCTTTTCCTCTTTATTTTGCTGTTGTTGATTCGAGATTAAAATAAAATTGGACTCCCCTACCCGCCAAATTCACCACCAAGGCTTCTGATCATTCAGTTCCTTGCGTCGCTCGTTGCGAACCAACCGTACCACTCTCTTCCCGCCTCATTGGCCATGGCGCCCTCGAGCATGTTTTCCAAGTTGCGCCCCGGCCATGCAAAGCGCAATGCTTCGAGTCTCAGCTCCCCCGAACCCGTTTCCAGTTCTCCCGTCCCCAGTCCTGCACCATCCCACGACTACCTGAGCAGCCCGCGCCCGCTCGATGCGGCCAGTCTTGCTTCTAGCTCCCCCGTCTCTCCGTATCCACCGCAGCTACCCCCCATTCCGCGCGTAGCTTCCAAGCTGGAAAGATCAGGAAACAGCTCTCTACTGAGCCCCCAAAGCGCCGCCGATCATGGGAGGAGAGAACATACGGAAGGGTTGCGGTCACCATCTTTCCATGCGCAGGAGCAGGTCTCGCCGGGATTGGATGGAAGACGGCCGCCGTCAGCGACATCCTTCAAGTCACAGACTCAGAGTCTGGCGCACGTTGTAGAGCAAGCAGTTCAGGCCGACACACAATCGCGAGCTTCAGTCGTAAGCAGTGCCCAGAGCGAGAAGCCCCAGTCCGGCGCTGCACGCCCTGCACCTCCCACCAAGAGCAAGTCGCGACTCAACATAAGGAATCCCATGTCCATCTTGATGCGGAGACGGTCGGGCCAAACCCTTGACCCACTGGCTGACGAATCTCTCGTCACCATCCGGTCGCCTAACAACATCCCTCCTGTGCCAGACAACTATGACCCCAGCATTCGTGGGCGCATTGTCCACGACTTCTCCGCCCCAAGACCCAACAGGAACTTCTCGTACAACAACGCCTACGCCGAAGAGCAGACCAGGGCTGATCCGAGTCCACCCAAGATCGAACGTTCGCACACGCCAGTCTTCCGTGAACATTTTGACGATGAGACGAGCTATGAGCAGACTCAAGCTAACATACGGGCTGAGCAGCTGGCAAACAATGACTTTCTGAAGCGAAACAGCTATGTCCCACCGCCTCCTCCTGCGAGGACTCCGCCACTTCCTCCCCCTGCGCCAAAGGCCTCCCCAGCCGTGTCCTCTCCACCCTCAAAAGCTGCAGTTCCTTCTCCGCCACCCGCAGAGCCTTTGCATGACTTTGCATCGTCTGTCTTGTCACCGGTGGAGGAAATGCCAGATCCTTCGACCCCCACGAGTCCTCGATCTGCAACCTCGCCGCGAGCTCGCAAATCAGCAAAAACCCCACCATCATCACGATCACGGGCCGCATCAGTCAATGACCCATCTTTCACGCCGGCCGGTCTCCCTTCACATCTCACGAGTCGGGCTTCGAGGTTTAGTTTTCAGATCGCGGATCCAGACTCAGCTGCGCAAGAGAAGATCTTGGAGGATCGTCACAAGGAGAAAGAAGCAGAGAAGGCGTCCAAGCAAGTTCGCATTTCCACGGCCACCATGGACGATGAGTACGATGAATACGGGATGGACGACTTCGACATGGACGGCGGCTATGAAGAAGAGATACCTATGTTGGGCGAGGAGGAAGAGTACGCTGGCCTTGGTGACCAGACTATGTCACCGGGCATGGCTGCTTTCGACTTTTCCTCCTTGTCCTTACCCCTCAATAACATCAACTCGATGAGTTCCATGGGCATGATGGGCGGGACGCAGACGCCGCGCGATGACAATGGTAACCCTATCGGCTTCGCCACATCCGGGCACAACCAACAGCAAGCCATGCACGGGTTTGGTCTAACGAATATGGCACAACCATCCAACGATCCAGTCGGGTTCACGCCTGTGGAGACGCCAGATGAAATCAAAATACCTGCGAAGAAGGAGCTGGCTCTCGATGCGGGTCTAGATGACGATCTCTACTTTGACGATGGCATGATAGAAGAGCAGGGTAATACAAATGCGGTTGCATTTGATGAAGACATGTTCGACGATCCGAATGGGCCTTTGTTCGAACGAAAAGTAAAACAGCCTTCTGTTAGTGCGAGTGGCCCAGCCTCGCAGCCCATGCTTCACTCTGGTTCGGAAACGGGTTACGAGGCCGACGACGATACACTGTCAAAACATCTCGAGAAGTCGGCACCCACTTTAGCCCACAAGACTTCAGTTGCACAACAACGTGGAATTCCGGAATTCGGTAACCTCGATGCGTACCATGGCGCTTTAGCAGACGCCGCCAACCGGGCCGAAGCAGATGGTCGCTTTTCCCGCAAGGCTAGTGTGGATGGCAGGCAAAGTAGCCTGTACGACGATGATTCCTCATCCATCAGTAATTCACGGCCCAGTCTTGTACCAGATGATGGTCGTTTTAGCCAGGAGACAACGGGATTCCCCCCAGATGACGATCCTTATGGCATGAGCTCCAGCTTTGTGGATGATTATGACTACAGCGACTATGATTCTGCTCTCGAGGATGATCCAATGATTGCGGCGGCCAATGCTGAAGCGCTTGCCAACGACTACGAAGGCTTTTATGGCTCGGAGTTTGGCTTTTACGCCTCACAGGGCGAACAGCCCAATGCATTTGGCGGTGTATTTGGACCTTCGCGCACTTTGAGCGGCCGCAACATTGTCCGGGAACCCTCTCTTACGCCGATCACAGAACGCAGTGAATATAGTACGCGGAACTCGTTCATTAGTATTCGCGGTAGTCAGCAACTTACCAGCCCTGGTCTTGCTCAGCTCGCAAGACTCAGTCCGTATGGCTGGCCACGTGAGGACGAGGATATGAGTCTGGACAGCCTGCTGAAAGTCAGAAAGGCGACGTTTGGGGGAAGCGCCTCGGGAAGCAGGGAGGGCAGTCCCAGGACTTCCAGTCCCATGGGTATGCAATTCCTACCTAGATCCAGCCCTCCAACGGGCGGGAGAATGCACGAGCAAAACGGGAGTGCAGTAGAGAGCGAGCAAGAACCCGGTGACACAGAAGAAAGTGACGACGAGGGTCTCGTGAATGCCGCCAACGGTGTATCTTCCGACGAATACTCGGACAGTAATCTGGACGATCTAAATGGCTACGACCACGAAGACAGACCCGACAGCCCAACCTTGACCGCCAGCGACTACGCATCCATATCGAGTCCAACCTCGCATCTGCCTCTCTCGCCTCTCCCTCCCATGCCACTCTATTCTCCCCCCGCAGTCCCAGTTCGACTCCCTACCGGCTTCCCCGTCGCCCTCCCTCTCCCGTCTCCAAACATCATGCAACCGCTCAAATCCCCGTCCGCTGTCCCCCTCCCCAATTCCCCGCCATCCCAAGCCCAACTCCCGCCTCTCACCCTCTCAACCGCATTCTCCCAAAACTCCACGCAATCCCCAACCTTCCACACCCCATCTACAGCAACGACCCCGTCCGCGCCCCGTCGTCCCTCGCTCGGCCTCGTAAGCCCTAGTAGCACTACTAGTCCCGTCACACCCAGCGCCACCACTGCCACTGTTGGCCCGCCTGGGACCCCGGGCTGGAAATCGGCGCATCATACTCATCATGGTCATGGTCCAGGGCATAGCCGCAAGAGCAGTGCTGCGGACCGCGATAGCGTGACGTATGTGAGGGAACATGACGAGGAAGGAGGGGAGCGGTGGGTTTTGGAGCGTAGGAGGACGGCGGAGAGCGGCGAGTTGGAATTGGTTGGACGGAGTATTGTTGAGGGGGGCACGATCTAATTCTGATCGTCAGTTGAGATATGATGTCTCCTTTTTTCTGTTCCTCTCTCCTTTGTTGTCTTTGGCGAGCTTCGGCTTGAGTTTCTTCGTCTTGTTGTTGCATTGCTATGGGCGTTTCCTCGTTCTTGTCGTTGTCGTCGTCGTCGTCGTTTTTGTCTTGTTGCGGTCCAGCTCTCGTTTTCTTCTTTGCGCTGCTGTGAGCGATTGCTGCCGTCTTTCCTCTTTCCTAGTTGTTGTTATCGTCTCTCTTGCAATGGAACAAGACCCTTTTTTTTCGGAAGTATGTTTTCCATTTTCGTCGCTAGCGAAAAAAAGACACTTGAGCGCGTTTTCCCCCTTTCCTTCCTCATTTCTTTCTTCTTTCTTTTCTTTTTTCCTCTAACTTGTCCTGTTCTCAAGTGTGTGTCTTTTTTCGCTCCAAAGACTCTGGTAATGCCGCCGTCACGTCACGTCACGCGAGGAGAGAAAGGAGAGTTTTTCCAACGAAGAAAGACTGAAGGAAGTGAAAGAATGGATGGAAGAATGGATCGAGGGAGGAAAGGATAATGGTTATCGGGATTTGCATATATTTCCCTCCAAGTCCAATATATAAATCTATGAACATATATACATATGTATATATTTGAATTGAAGTATCAATGATTGAATTCATGGAATGCTCTCTCGAAATCTGACTCATTCCCCTTTCCTCTTCTTTGCGTGCTTCTTTCTCTTCTTTTGTTTTGGTTTGTTTATGTTTTGTGGTGTTGTTTTCTTGGAAAGTTGTTAGAGGTTAGGAGGGTTTGATGGGCGTAAATGGAAAGCGCGGTAGGTAGGTAGATAGGTAGTTATGTACATTTATTCAATTTTTTCCACATGGAGGCATGGGATTTGTGTGTGTTAGGTAGGATTTGGGATATTGGTATTTGAAAGAGGGGAGAACAATGTACATGAAGAGAGAGAGGGAGGCTATCGCTCTCAGTTTAGAAAGTTTTGTAGGGACGAAGGGGGGCAATGGAGGGGATTCTTTCTTTTTTTCTTTTTCTACGAGGAGGTTCGGGGTTCTTAGTTTTGTTTTTATTTTGTTTTTTGGGGTTGGTTTGGTTTGGTTTGTTGTGAGCGAAGTTGAGGTTTGCATAGTTGAGGTTAGGCGTGTGTGGGGGAAAAGTTGGGCGTGTACGTGTACGTGAACGTGAGACAGGGCGTAGTTGTCATGTTTTAGAGGTAGGGCGTAAGTTTTTCTTGTTTCTCGAATGAGGTTGCTGGGTTAGAAATTCGGTGTGGATATGGTCTGTAAGTTCCCGCTTTTAGTTTGTTTCTGTTTGTTGTTTGGGTATTGGTCGATGCTTTGAATATTGGTGTAGGAAATCTTGCAGCTGTATGTCTTATTTTTCAATAAATCGCAGTGTCAATACGGTTTAGTCTGGTTCAAGCGGTGAGTTTTTCCCATCGTTGACTGGCGTCGACTGTCTCAGGATGTGCGATGTTGATACGACAGGTATGTCTTGCAAAGCTGACTGTCTATTACTATTTGTTGACAGCGGTCATAGTCAACGTCGACATGCGGGCTCTTTTACTATCACCTGGATCAGTTGGGAGAATCCTAGGTCACCTTGACTTACCGCAGCTGGCTTATCTGTTTTTGATAGTGACGCTTCCACCAATCACAGGCGGCTTTGCTGGTTTGCCTTCCTGTCTTATTTACTATCCTCTGTCTTGTACGTCTTGTTTGCTTGGCCAGGGAGTTCACTTTCATGTTCACGGTTTTTGACTCCTCATATTCACATTCACCTTCCCTAGCGATTATAAATCGTGAACTCGGATAACAGTTCGACCGTCGCAGCCCTAATCCAACATCTGCTTCCCCAGAGTCTTCCATACCTTCTCAGCCTGTGCTTCCTCCGATTTTGCGTATGCGGCACAGGCAGGATCACGATATGGATGCGCAATTCGGGTCCGAGATGGATCTCGATCCTGAATCAACGTCTACCAACAATTCTACTCGTAACCTTCAACCTCGGGTAAAGATGGAGCCTATTGTACTGTCTGAGGATGAAGGATTGGACAGGTCCCGGAAGAGAAAAGGTAACTTATCCTAGGCCACTTTCATTAAACATATACTCAAATCCACGCAGCCGAAAATATGGAAGCTGAGGACAACTCCGACGCGGACATCTATGACGATTCCGACAGATCAGTTGCATACAATCTTGACAAGCGACCTTTACCCAAACTCCCAATGTACCATCCAGACATAGAGCTTGTGAAACGAAACTGCATGGAGTTGGTTCGACGCTTCATGGTGCGTGTTCAAGACAGCACTTACAAGGATGAGGAACAACAGTACCTGCTGAGATATTCCGATAAACTCCGATCTCCTCCAAGCGAGATGAAACCCACAAAAATTGCACTACATGGAGACGCAGGCCATGGGAAGTCTTCCTTCTTGAATGCACTGCTTGGTCACGATATTGCAGACTGGGTATGTAATCTTTCATACTACACGCGTGAGTCATATGCTAAGCGTTCCATAGGGAGATTCTGGAAGCAGTTGCACCTCTGTGGTCCAGGAGTTCTATTAGGCAAACAAACAGAACTAGCCCTTCCAAGCAATCATTCGGTTCTTTAGCCGTAATGAATGCACCGAAATGATCAAGAAATACTTCGCCGATTGCATCAGCAAGATAGACACACCCAACGATGCAGATGGAGAAGAACGCGATCTTCTCGATTTTATGTCTTCAACAGCACTCACTGCTCTTGTCGCACTCTTTCGAGAGCACAAAGACTTTCAGACTGCGGAGACTGCGGAAGAGTATCTGCGTGACTTGGAACGAGAGGATCGACCAGCCATTCTTCGTGACCTTTTAAGATGGAACGACAACATCCGGGGACGTTTCATGCAAGATGATAGCGATGAGCTGTGTCTCGAAGCGTCCACAGCTCGCGATCTGAAAAATATGATACAGCCATATACCAGCACAGCCGAGACAGAGAGATTCGAAGCACCGACCCATAAATGCTGCCCTTGGCCTCTGGTCAAGAAAGTGGAGACGAGCTTCGACTCTACATTACTGTCCAAAAACATCTCAATAGCGGATTGTCCGGGTACGTCTGATATCAACAGTGCACGCGTGGAATACACCAAAACCTATCTGGAAGATTGTGACGTGACCATCATCGTCAATAAGATAGAGAGAGTGATCGACGACCGATCTATGTGGGAGAACATAAAAGCAGCTTACAGACGCAAAAGGTCTGGAAGCGTCATTGTTATCTGTACTGGATCCGATGTCATCAATCTCAATGGCAACCAAGGGTTTCTGTCTACCCCGGTGGAAGCTGAACTCCTCGCCAAAATCAAGGAGGATGAAGACATCATCAATGAGCGGCTGAGAAAAATCAACCAGTCTTTACGTAACGTGAACAAAGGAAGTATAACCGCATTACGCTTGATTCAAAGGCAGTCAATCTGTGCAGTCAAGAAAAAGGCGATACAGAGACGCACATTCGAGGCTCGCGTCAAAGCCCGGAATCGTTACGTTAAGGAAAACATCCAGCGAAGGTACACTGAAATGACCAACGATCATACCACCCTACCGGTCTTTTGTGTCTCTAGCACAATGTTCTCGGCCTATCTGTCCGGATACCAGAAGTCCGATCCTCCACAGTTGACTATGGAAGGCACCGGGATTCTTGCGGCACGTGATCATGTCATCAGTATACCTTCCACTGGACAGTTCAACTCGCTTCATTATCACTGCCAAAAATCTCTCGACCGGATGATGACTACAGTGGAGATATCGTGCAGCTCTACGAAGTTGAGTCGCCAAAAGGCACTGAATAAAATCATCAATGACGCTCGGGAGGTCAGTATTCTCTTCAACCCGGATATGAAAAACGACTAAGAGATACAGAATCTAGAAGATACTGTTGCGCAGATATCGAAGCAGTTTCTTGCAAACGAATTTCGATCGCTGCTTGAAATAATGAGTAAGTCTATTCCCATTGCACAATAAACAAACTAACGTGTTGTAGGCGACAATCAGGCGAAGTGGATCATCCAGGCCGGTCGATTGTGCAGTCAGTGGGCTCAGGTAAGCATGTTGCGAGGCGTTATAATCTACCACTTGTAAGCTAATACAGGATAGCTAAAAACTGGAAGCTATCGAGCATTTCTGAAGAAGGGGGGTAAGTTCAAAATCAATCAAACCAAATATTATTTCTTAAGACTGGGCTAATGCATGTAAGGTAAACATGGAACGAAAGTTGTCCCATATCGTAACTGGAATGAAGACCTATGTGAGGTTGTGCGAGCAGATCTAGAGACAGCATTCGATGAATTCTCTGAGCACCAATGCAAGGAGTTGGCAGAGAGAATCACAAGCAAGATCGTTGAGTCTATCAGGATTCTTCAACGAGAGCTGGATAGTATGTTCATGATATCAATAACGCGCATCGGAAACTTGCTAAGAGTCCATCAGGAAATCCCGCTACAGTCCTCTCCGACACTGTCCAAGCATTCCAGAAAAATCTGAAGCAACGAGGCGAGCAAATCCAAGAGCTATGTTGGCGGTTCCGAGATAGCTTGCGGGAAGATTTCCTGTATGCAAATTCTCCCTACTTGATATTCATGTCTACTGACCGTTCGTGAACAGTAAAATCCAATTGCGAGCTTATACCGACGGCCCGAAACACTACCTTAGTGATGCACTTGAAAAGGTTTACGAAGAAGCACTCAATGCAAAGAAAGTGCCTGGTATGTTGAATCCTGATTTCAACTGTCCGTAGATGATAACTGACAGAGAAAATTAATACAGGGAAACTGATTCATCGGGTAAGATGCGAAGCGCTTCAGTCACGAGTATGCGCCCACAACGGCATCTTCAAGGAGATTCACGCTGGTGTGAAGAGCCAGTTCAACGCAGATTTCCAAATAGATATCAATGAGCTGGTCGAAGGTATCGACGAGATTTTCGCGGAAACGCAGCATGATATCAACTTGGTCTGCAAGAACAACGAGGATGATTCTGAGGAGGCCAAGGCTTTCCGCGCAGACCTTGCTGCGATGTTACCGACCCAGAAAACCTTTCTGAAAGAGAACATACAAGATCTACTTGAGCAATGCAAGAAGGCTCAATTCTAGAAGGATATTATCTGGTCAGGTTTCCAGCGGGAATTGGAATGATTTACTGAGGGGAGTTCTATTTGTGGGCGATGGGGAACTACATGAAAATCCTTTCGGTATACGATCAGATACACTAGGTAACTGACAAGAATCCCCTTTTACAGATGGGGGTGAAACAATCGACCTTGAAGTACTGAGGGATATTCATTCTTGGAGTACATACCTAGGTAGATAAGTACCTAGGTATTCAGAAAAAGCATTTGTCATGTAAACACACGTAGAAAAGCGTCTATGCAACGACAATCTTTCATAGACTATACTTATTGCCTCGCTGCAAATCGTCAATTTCTTGGAGTTTCAATTAAGAATAGGCTTATCAAAATACATATAAATTATTTCGCATAGACTGTGAAGAGGATGTGGTGCATTCTTTCGTGCGGCCCGCGAAAGTTGAACGTGCATAGAATGCATTGAAGATTCGCCATTAAGACATCTTTCTTCACGTAGTTCTTTAAATTTTGGACTTAAAAAAGAACGCTTCCTGGCAAATTTTCAATATTCTGAAAGGGACTGAATTGGGTCTCCAGTACATATCGCGCCTGCACGAAAAGACTCATTACCCAGTGTCCACCCAAATAACCACCAAATTCTAACCATTCCCACACATTAGGCCAATAGCTAAATACAGCTGCCGTCTTACTGCGCCATATACACTATTTCTACATGTGGCAAGGCATTTGGATAATGTAAGGTAGGTGTTACAAATTAGAATTACATAATCGCCGCAGCTACCGATTGACTTGACCGCATGTTCATCACACCTGCCATTACCTGACATCGTCAGCATGTTGCGACCGGCAACCGTATCATTCCTCGGACTTTTTTTATTTATACAACTTCGGTTATTTGATGTGTTCGTTTGATCAATGCATCCCATCACATGTCAGGCAATGGTTTTCATTATCATCTCTTCCATTCACCTGGCGCTCTCATATTAGTTAACTTCATTCATAGCGGAGCGTTCAGCATTGGAAACTACATATGTGTGAGAGCAGTATGTGAGAGAAAGTTGAAGATGTGCTATGGTGAAAACGCGAGATGGGAAGATGTAAAATGGTGAGAGGGTTGACCAACAGTGTCTGGCACTGTCTGGGTCTCGAGAGAGAGAGAGAGAGAGAGAGAGAGAGATAGAGAGAGAGACTATACGAGACACGACGGGTCATGTCAACCGCCAGGACATGATAGCATCATAGCCCTCAACTTAAGTAGCTCTCAACTTAAGCGGATTTCTATCACATTTTGGGGTGAGTGAGATCGGGAGCGAGGGCATATAAACTGGCCGGCTCGCCCCATCCCCCAGTCTTTCTTCTCCCCCCACCATCTAAATTTCACAACCTCTCTTTTGACCTCCCTGGAGAGTCATTGCAGTTTGAAGGCTCTTCCTTCATCTTCTCGATCAATAATTTCCTGTACTGTCCACATCCGGTCTCCGGTCATCAGTGAGGGTATCATTTACATCGCCCAGATTGACTGGATGAGAGTCTTCCATTTTCCTCTCATCTTTGCTATCTACATCCGCGTCACTTATTAAGTATCGGGCATCTCCAGACTAAACACTGTTTAACAAATCAACACCGCCGCATATATCCAGAAGCTGCCGGAAAATTCACGAACTGGATATACATTATGGCAAAAAACCCATTGAAGAGAACCATAGAGTCTTCCAACGTGGAGGATCTTATGGTAGCTGACCATGTGCCTCCGTATGACCTGAGTAATCGAGATATTCCCCCACTACCATTCTTCAGCGAAGGAGCGGTGGACGCTGCAAAAACCGGCAAATGCCTCGTGGAACTCTTACGCAAAAATATACGGAACCATCCCTACAAAGGAAAAGAAGTCGATCATATGATTTCCTGGTTGGACCAATACAAGACCCCCAAATACCGACAACGCAATCTGTATCTAGCACTGGTAGGTCGCTCCGGAGCTGGAAAGTCATCTCTCTTGAATGCTCTTCTCGGTCATGACATAGCAGAGCACAATGCAGAGGGTGGCAGTGTGACATATGTCATTCAGGAATTTCATTATCTATCGCGGCCAACATCGCAACCTTTCGAAGCCCACATTGAGTTCCATCCATTTGAAGAGTGGAAGGGCATTCTGACGCGACATTTCAATTCATACATGGAGTATCGAGAGCTGGAAGCACGACGGAAACCCAGCTTCATCCAAGATTCTTTGGACGACGAAGATGAAGATAGCGATGAAGAAGTTGGAGCTGGAGTAGACGATGACAAATTGACGGAAGCCCGGGCCCGAGCTACAGCCACTATGACTGTATTGCATGCCTTGTTTCCGGAACGGTTCCCTTCGCCAGATACAGCTAGATTGTTCCTGGAAGAGGCCGCGGCCGAAACGAACCGCGATAAGTCGGAAAAACTAGCAATGTTACTTCACGACCTGGAAAAAATATATGATTCAGTTGGCCTCAACCAGGATGACACTGTGGTCTACGCGGAGAGTCAAGCAGAGGATCTGAAGGCCCTGGTTAAACCGTTCATAACCGAAGACGACCACCCTGCCTTCATCCCGGCTACAAATATCAAATGTTCACTATGGGCCATGGTAAAGCGTGTACGATATAAGCTGCGATCACACGTTCTGAAGACCGGTTGCGTCCTCGTTGACACACCGGGTGACACAGACACGAACCTGTTCCGCGTGGACGAAACTGCGCGATATATCCAATCCGCCGATAAAATCATCTTGGTAGATGACTTCAGTCGTATATATACGGAAGATGGAAACTTCAGGAGATTACAGCTCGTAGATTCCAGAAAGGGGCCTGGACATGTCATTGTGGTAGGAACCAACTCCGACAAGGCTGATAACAAAGGCGATAAGCTTCCCTACACACCCGGAGAAAACGATGAATTGAAGGAAATCTGGAAGCAAATTTCAGAGATGAGGCAGGCAATAAAGGTTCGAGAGAGGGAACAAAATGAGGCGGAGTTGCAGTCCGATTACGAGTCTGCCAGGAACATCAAGGCCGACGTCGCCCTCAAGAAGTAGGAAACCCTAACTCATACATCTTGCATACCACGTGACTAATACAAGTGAATAGGAAGCTGGAGGCCTGTCTAAGTCGCAGGTAAGTCTTTCGATCATAATTATTGCGAACATGAAACTCATACACTATCTCAAAGGGCGAACAGCATCATATGGACTGCTCGCCATCGTCGCGTATCTGCAATGTTCCATACTCAATACCGGAACCGTACAGGCTATGAAAAAGTACTGCCATTCTTCTTGGTGAGCAGCTCTGAGTGGAACAAGAAGCATCTACTAGGATATCAAGTAAAGAAAGCCCCACGACTAAGCAGGGAAGCTACCGGAGTTCCTGGTCTCATCGATTACTTGTTGGGCCTACCAACCGAAGCAAAATTTGCCAGTTTGTGTCATTGGATTACCGATGTCCTTCCTTTTGTCTTGGATCGTATTGAGAGTCTGCCCGCGATCTCCCATCTTGAACAGAAAGAAATTGCACTGGAATATTGTGAAATAACTCGGAAGGTGGGGTCCACGCACTCCAGACATTCAGGCATGATAGTGCGCTAACAAGAGAAATAGAATATGTGTTCGCAGATCGAAGATCGCTTTCAGAACTTGGAAGAGAAGGCCCTGAATAGTATTGTCGAGCAATTAGGTAAATGTCTTTCATTTCTCGCTTCCTTCATGACCTAAGTATACCCAGGGAAACACGGACCAACTGCCATTGAAGCAGCCCGCAAAGTGTGCAAGGAGAAAGAAAAGAATGTAAGTTCCACAAAAGTGTGTTATCGAGTGATTCCCAGTAACAATATGCAGCTCAGAGCCTCGTCGCACTTAGCAGTACTCAAACGAAATGGTATGGTTCATTCACTCTACTATTGAGGGTAACATAACGAATTCATTTATTAGGGAAACATAAGACACCGAAGATCAGTCAACAAGACTGGAACGATTCTTTCTTGGAGTCTGTCCGGAATGGAGTACGGCCAACTTTCATTAATGCCGCGGGCCGTGTGGATGCAAAAGTGAAACAAGTCAACAAAGACTTCCGATCCTCAATGGATGAGCTGGTCGAGAAATTTCGCAGCGACCCATCATCAGGAAGGGCGGTGGGTTTCAGCACGAGTCTCGATGCTTTTGGAAAATCGCGCATCGCTTTCCTTAGGCACGAGGTGGAGCTCACACGAGGATGCCTTATCGATGACATACGCGACGTTCAAAGCAAGGCTACGGAGAGCGTCGACAACTCATATTTTGCGGAGATTATGGTTCCCATCTACAAAACTGTCATCAATGAGCCCGTGAGACTTGGAAAGCCGAAAGGAAAATCACAACACAAGATCAGATGTGAAACTCTCGAATCGAAAGTGTGCATGCGCACTGGCGGACCATTCAGCAAATTGACCAGGAAAGTTGAATCGGAACTTCGCCAAACCGCCTGGAAATACCGAGACGAGCTGGCTGAAAAGGTCGGGCAACAGTTTCAACAGATCGAGGATGATATCCGTCTCGCAATGGAAGACAACGACGACGACGGAGTTTTCGATCAAGAGAGAGAGAAGTTTTTCAAGAAGCTTGTTGGGGACGTTCATGAGGCGCGAAAATTACTCGAAGATGCGGATAAGAAGCTACAGACTGCGAAAAATCACTGAATCACCAGATTAGCTTTTCGAATGCGGTTGGTAAGTTCTTCCTTCTCTTGCATGTATGCAAAACATTATTCTGTATATTTGCTTATTACGGTTCAGGGCTACATCTTCGACACATTCATAATCCACCACACGCTCATGGGAGAACAGAGAATAGGGAAACTAACCTTCTTCCAGCCTTGCGTCCATGGAAGGCGGAATTAGCAACCGGCAGCACCACATCACTCATACGCCGAGAAAAAGAACATTCACCATTTCTCTGGCATCAAGATAGAAAATCCTTTGCTCTCTTCTTCTCCCCGTCCAACTCTTACATGTATAGTGAGGGACGGATAATACTGTGATATACTCTGGTCCTATTGGACTTGGAGCGCACGACTGCACACATTTTTCTTTTCGATCCTGCATTCGAATTGGCGTTAGCGAACTGGCATGTGGAATATGTGGGATTCTACTAGGCCTCACATGACAAGAACCAAACAGGTCTGAACACACTGGACACAATCTTTTGGGAACTTTCAGAGCACAAAAGCAGGGGTTTATCACTCATTTTTCATTGCTTGGTTTCGGAGTTTCAGGATCTAGAATCTGAGGGTAATTTCATTGAGTTCTCTGATCCCAATGCATATATATCTTTCGGTGGACAGTGGTATCAGCTCAGTGGCGACGGAATGCATCTCTCATCCTGGAAAAGTTCAGAGCGAGGAGAAGAGAAAAAGCACTCCCGTTCACCCTATTTTCTCTAACACATATGCTGCCCATAGAAATGAAAGCATTTGCCTACTCCAAAAAGACTCATGCAATGATGGCAGTGGATAACAAGAAATTTCTGGATGCTGATGCGAGCAGATATATACATGGTACTTCCAAATCGCTATATCCGAGCCATTCGATCGTCAAAATTGGACATAGACAACCCAATAGGTCTAATTAAAAAAGTTTGCTGTGCCGCGTCCAGTCAACACTCCTCTCAAATACAATTTCGAGCAATCTCATCCCCCCATCTACCTCCTGCTACTTGCGCATATCTTCTCTCTGCTAAACCACCCAAGCATCTCTCCCTTGTTCCCTTATCAAGTGCCCACAGCTATGTCCCCGACCCAGACTTCGCCAACGCCAGCGCCAACGGCCACGGCTAAATACTATTCAATAATTACCTCTCTGCCAACCGTCTAAAAAACTAACACTATCTCTGAAAACAATCCTTCAACTTCAATCTCCGAGTCTCCATCTGCATCCCCCCAACGTCTAATTCACCGAAGTAGCCTGCGAAAAAGCACTCTGACTTCTCGACATCGCAAGACTCCATCCAGTAACCCACTGTTGGGTTCGACATCAATCTCACGCAAGCGGCGCATACGGCTTGGCTACCATCGCAGATCACGCTTGAGACAAGGAATATCTTTGGTGAGATGGATGGGAGGCGAAAGGAAACTTAATATTGTGCTTGTCAGGTTATTGGTGCTTGTATTTCCTGCGGAACAAAATAGGAGGAGGGAGAGTCTGTTGGGAAACCCAGAAAATTGTCGAGGCTGAAAGAAATCCTGCAGTGGAATGAACCTGAATGCATTAGTAAGTTTCACATTTTGCATTTAATAAATGGAACTTTGGGAGTGATTAACGTTTTTATGTTTGGATATGTACGTCTGCAAAGTCGACTCTACGATTATTTCACCAGCCTTAGATGAGATATAGGATATGTGGTACGCGGAAGGAAGACTTGACTGGGTTTTGGAACTCTCTGATATTTTCTCGGAAGAAGGCTTCGAGAACGTAAGCACAGTGAAGATTAGCAATGAAGCACACCTCGCGCGAGCTTCTCATGATCAGCACACGTTTACGATGAAAGAGTCTGCTAAGTATATGGTAAGAGTGGGGAGTTCCGACTGGTGAAGAAAGGTATCGGAGCTTATCGAAAGTCGGTATATTGAGACTGCAAGTGGAGCAGCGTTGTGAATGCCCCGAGTAGCGATCATCGCGCAGATATCAATATTGAATTATGTAGGAAGTGTGGGTGTACAAGCAACCGAGAACTCGGCCCAGTTTCGTGTCCAGAAAGTGATCTACCTTGTCTCCGAATAGCGGTTGGGTATTGGAGCATGGGATAACCTCTTGGATTGGTTCTGTTGCGCTTTATCAGCATCCACCCCCGCCAGTGTGCATGTGCATTGCATGAAGCTCCATTCTGTATTGTTTGCCTGATTGCTTAAATTTAGATGAAAGCTGGGGACCCATGCTGCCGATAAGAAAGCTTCGCATGTTGCCCATGTGGACCAGATGTGAAGAGGAGGCATGGGTTGTTAAATTATGTGAGACAGAAGTAAGATGAATATAAATAATAGACTGAGGGCCCTAATTACGGAGCGTGAAACATCTGCCAGTCCGCAAGCCCGACACCCAAGTCCATTTCAGATCTTTTCCTACTATATCGCTGAATCTTCACCAGAAAATGCTCTTCTCAACTCTTATGATCACCACGTTTGCTGTTCTTTGCGTCGCGAGTCCTTTGCCAATAGGAGGTATGCCAGTTCACGTTGTACTTTGTTTTATCTATCTAACATATAGCAGAATCTCTTGGACGTACTCCAATCGCCGATACAAGAGAGCATATCGAACGCAATTCACTCAGCCACTGGAACTCTCCATTCTCAGAAAATGATGATTTGACGGAGCCGACTGTCCAGTTGAGCTGATACAAAGCAGAACAAAGAGCGCCATTATGAGCTTTGAGACAACTTGCGGACTGGCTACGAGCGAACTATGATTTCATGATGTTCCGAGGACTATGAGATTGTGGAGACATACTAGGGATCGCGGATGGCAACTGTCTTGTCGGATTTTCATGGTATACGGAATGAAACCGCCATAAATTGGGAAGATGTAACATTTTGCATGCATGACATTAAACTCCAAATTAATTACACCGTTCTTCCCACTATTTCTCTATTATACACAACCAGGAATGCATAGTTTTGTCCCGTACGAGATAGTGACATTTACATCGCCGAACCAATTAGGCCACACCATAGCAAATGGGCAAACAAGGCAATAGGAGGCGCCGCGTATCAAACTAAGAAATAACGCCCTTCACACCTCAACAATCAAATTGCATATCCAGAAGTCTCTTCGCCGTTTTCATTGATGATCTGCGTGTTTTCAAATATAGATCTATTCGACGAGTTTATCCCCCAGGAGATGTTGTATATGATATTCGTTGGCGCCTCATGCATAATAAAGTAGTATATGTTTCGAATGGATTGTTCTGAAAGTCAAGCAACGACTTGTTTTATCGTGTATGGCTTCGGCAATGTAGGAAAAGCCAGCATACAATAAGAAGCATTTTTTTCCATAATACAAGTCCAGATAATCTAGAGCTGTGAGAGTTACTTGCTCTTGTCTCATCTTCTCTTTGTATGGCTCCCCCTTCCTCTTTTTTTCTCTCGTTAAGTTCAATGTCAATCTAAAACCCGAGATTCAACCACAGTAACAACAGCAGTACAAATCAAGACTTTGCATGAAACAAACTGAAAACCCCCGGATGAAAAACTAAGGGGGGATTGAGATCAGATAAGAAGTAACGAGTTCTCTTCAGGAAGTTCGCATTCATCTATCTATCCATCTATCAATCGATCGATCGATCGATTACAGTGTCTCATTACCATAACGGCAACGAGTCTCAAATTCTAACCTCCGACGTACACCGCTCTAGTTGAAATCGATTCTAAGCGGGCACTGACTTCCTTGTTCGTCGTCATGTCCAGTTGACTTCCAGGATTCATATAATCAGTACATCGCCTGTGGGCAGACAAGAATTAGCCGTTTCTGATCCTGACCTAGTCTCCCTCCTCTCTCACCCTCCTCCTCTTCTTCTGTAGGTTGTCACGGAGAAGAAATAGTATGGAAAGACTATGCTTACAGGATAATCGTAGGCCTGACATGGAGCAAAAAGCACATACAAGAAAGGAGGGAGATAGACAAAACACCAAGAACGGCTAGGGCTGCAAAGAGCAGGGTTTGACAATATATACGCGCTGAATGTATAAAAGAAGTGTGGCGGACGACTTCGAGCGCCTGCATGTTTGCTCCTGTGTTTCCGAACAAGAGCGAATCGTAGGCTGGTTGGATTCGAGAAAAGATCGAAGGCGATGCTCTGCCATGCTGTGAAGGGTTCGAAGCAGCACCGTAAATTCGGCTCTGAGTGCGAAGCAGTCCACGATGGTATGTATCGTGACATAGAAACAAAACGTCCGGTGCTGATCCCATCTAGGTAGCGAATATGCGAACATTCAGATCTACGCTGCCCGTTGCAAGAACACATCTTATTCCCGCCTTCGCGGCGTCTTCTTCCTTCTTCTTGCTCGCACCGTTTACATCGGTCCCGTTTGTTGCATCCCCACCCGCTGGCACGTCCTTGACGGCGTTGGGCGCCCATCTTATACAACTCACAAAGTGCGAGTGTGCGTCTGACACGACCTTGGTGCATCGTCCTTCTTGCGTCAAATCCCAGCATCGGATGGTGTAATCGTCGCTTGCCGAGAGTAGGTACTTGCCACCAGGATGGAAAACTAGACCGCGTACCCAATTGTCGTGGCCCACGAGCGTCTTGATGAGCGTGCCTCTGCCATCCCATATTTTGATCGTCTTGTCTCGCGACCCTGTAGCGATGTATTCGGCGGAGCTGCTCATAGGCGGAGGCTTTTTGAGGCCGGCGAGGGAGGCCAAATTTGAGTATGAAACAGGCGGTGCTATGGCGACGCACTCGATGGTGTGTTCGTGGCCTAAAAATGTGCACTTGGGCTCGCCGGTGCTAGCATCCCAGAGGCGCGCGGTTTGGTCGTTGCCTGCAGACAAAAGCCATCTACCATCAAAGCTAGGCGCGACCTCGCGTACCCAGTCTGCGTGTCCATGTATAGTCTTCACGCAGTATCCTGTAGTGACATCCCATATTCTCAACGTCTTGTCTCGCGATGCGGATACGAGAAGGTTACCGGAGGAAGGGGCACCGGCGGCACCGCTGGGGATGAATCGGATTGAAGAGACGGAATGGTCATGACCGGGAAGGGTTCGAATGTTCTTATATTCGTCCGAAGGGTCCCAGAGCTTGATGGTCAGGTCGCTCGAGCACGATGCGAGAAGTGTTCCACCTCTTGGACCACCAAAATCTACATCCAGTACGCCCTTGGTGTGACCCTTGACTGTTCGTTCCAGCTCTCCAAGTTCCCAATCCCAAATCTTAATAGTGGTATCTTCGGAACCCGAAGCGAGTGACGAAAAGACGGGGTGAAAGGCGACGCAGGTAACGGGGGAGCGGTGGGATTGCAGTGTGTGCCGGGCTGGGGCTCGGGGTAGCCAACTGGTAGGGTCTTGATTTTTGCGTATGAGGGAAGTGGGTGTTGTGGAATCGAGTTCGCTCTGCAATGCCTGGTTGCGCTGTTCAAGCTCCAATATCTTCTTCTGCAGGCGCACCACACTGGTCCATTTCTTCTCTAAGAGTCCCTCGTACTTTTTCCGCGTCGCGTCATCGAAGCTCGCGGCAATGTCAACTTCCTCGCGAAGGGCGGCAGCAGTGTTGGGGGCATTTATAACGCCGAGGTAGGCTAGGATAGCTTTGTGCCTGGAGGGTCACTGTCAGCGTGCGGAAGCGGAGGTGGTATTCGCTTGATTCGATGCATGCACATGGCGGGGTGACGCACAGTTCTTCGGCTTGCCGGCCTGGAAGAAAAGAGAGAATTGTCAGTCAAGTTCATGTAGGTATATCCAAATCAAAAGTCGTCGTGGCAGGTTCGAAAGGGCGCCAGACGTGTTGTTGGGATCTTGATATGCTCTGCAACAGCGGGGAACGTACCTGTGAGGATAGCGCTCATAACGACGCAATTGAGGTCACCAGATGCCGCCGATTATGGCGACCATAAATAAACTGGAGGTTTGCGCGGTGGATTGGGGGGATTGCGCGTGGTTGGAGGGGGTTTCGGAGTGGGAGAATGTCTTGGCGGAGGGGAATTTGCGGTGAACGGGGCGGAATGTTGGCCGAGCGGAGGGGAGTAGAACAGTCAGTGGGCGGGCGGGTAGATTGTATGACTTTTTATAGACTGCAGACAAGCGAGCGGTGGTCTCAAATGAGCGCAAGGCGGGGGAGCGAGGAAGTTGGGATAGATGGACAGTCAGCCAGTGATTGGTGGTGAATGTGGAGGAGGAGTGACGATAGTGGGCGTCGGTGGAGGGCGTGGAGGTGGTAAGTAGTGTACAGGGCAGTCGCGCTGGTTGCCGGGCTAACCCCCAGAGCCCAACAGGGCAGCAGCGAACAACGAAGACATCTGATTGATTGATTACATACATCATTGATCGCTGCGCTCTTGGAGACATTTGTACACACAGACATACACAACTCCCAACTCACACATCCTCACACCTACACACACTCACGAGACATACCATCATATCTCTCCTCTCACTATACTGCAACTCCGCGTTTAGTGTAAGTAGTCCCCCTCCAATGCCAGCCGATTGATCGCACATGTCCCGCCGCTTGTCCGCGTGCACAATTCTACACAGGCGAACGAAGAAGAGAAAAATTGCCCATTCTTATCCGCTCCCAACTCTCTCCTCGCAAGAGCGCTTGCTTCGTGCCCTTTACCCCTTCCTGCGACTACTCACACTATCCCCTGCATTACGCATAATTGTCACTTATCGCCCGCGCAGATTCCGCTCCGAACCCCGCCATAACAACGCATAATTCTCCAAAACAACAACCCACCACATCACCATGGCCGACGGTGAAGAAGATTTCAGCGCCCTACCGCTACCCGATCGTTTCGTTCACAAGAACTGGAAAGTCCGGAAAGAAGGTTACGAAGCCGCCGCCAAAGAATTCGACCTCGCCGCCAGCGAATCAGACCCCGTCGTGCGCCAGTTTATACAAGATGCCGGCATATGGAAAGGTGTCGTAGGCGATTCCAACGTCGCCGCACAACAAGAAGGCCTCAAGGCTTTGTGCTCCTTCCTTCAGATTGCCGGCGCCGCCGGTTCAACACGGTATGCGCTCATCCCCAGATTGCCTGGCAAGCCATCGCTGATTTCGCCCCCAGAACACGAAACCACACAGTAGCTACCATCGCAGAGAAGGGTCTTCCCTCGACGAGACCGGCCGCAAAACAGAGCGCACTCGAAGCCCTGATGCTGTATATCGAAACTGACAAACCCGACCCCGTTATCGAAGAGCTGCTACCCATCCTCTCCCACAAGCAACCCAAAGTCATCGCAGCCACCCTCGACGCTTTGACCCAAATATATCACGCATATGGCTGCAAAACCATAGAGCCGAAGCCTGTGCTCAAGGCCCTACCAAAGGTCTATGGCCATGCAGACAAGAATGTGCGCGCAAAGGCACAGGAGCTGACCGTCGAATTCTACCGATGGCTAAAGGATGCCATGAAACCCCTGTTCTGGGGTGATCTGAAGCCCGTCCAGCAAACCGACTTGGATAAGCTGTTCGAAAAAGTCAAAGACGAGCCTCCACCCAAGCAAGAGCGTTTACTGCGATCACAACAGGCTGCTAAGGAAGCCGCTGCCGCTGCCCCTGGTGCAGATGACGAGGAAGAAGGAGACGAAGAAGAGGAAGCCATTGATTTGGAACCAGAGTACGAGGCTGTCGACGTTCTCCCCAAGATACCCAAAGACTACACGGAGCGGTTGGCTTCATCCAAGTGGAAAGACCGTAAAGATGTGTTGGATGAAGTGCACAAGATTCTCAGTGTTCCCAAAATCGCCGAGGGTCCATTTGATGAGCTGCTTCGGGGCTTTGCTAAAAGCATGAAGGACGCCAATATTGCCGTGGTCATTACAGCCGCCAACTGCGTCGAATTACTCGCCAAGGGCTTGAAGAAGAGTTTTGGCAAATACCGGTCTACCATCATGGCACCCATGATGGAGCGTCTCAAGGAGAAAAAAGCGACCGTCACCGACGCTATTGGCGCTGCTTTAGATGCTGTTTTTGCTTCTACTTCTTTCCAAGACTGTCTGGAGGAGATTGTCGAATTTTTGAAGCACAAGAATCCTCAAGTCAAACTGCAGTCAACACTATTTCTTGTACGATGCTTAAAGACAACGAGGGAAGCGCCCTCGCCTCCGGAGGTCAAAACGATTGCCGAGGCATCCACCAAACTACTCACCGAATCCCAGGAGGTCCAGCGTTCTGCTGGTGCTGAAGTTCTAGGCACGCTGTGGAAAATTATGGGTGATCGCCCCATGAATGCTCATTTGGACGGTTTGGACGATATTCGAAAAGCCAAGATCAAGGAATTTCACGACTCCGCAGAGGTCAAGGCGAAATACAAGCCAAAAGCCGCGGCACCACCCAAGCCTGCCCCTACTGCTGCACCGGCTGGAAAGAGGCCAGTAGGTAAGCGACCCGCTCTTGGAGCAAAGAAGCCCACACCAGCGCCAGCGGCAGCAGCACCCCCTCCTCCTCCTGTAGAAGAACCGGCTGCTCCATTAGCCCCAAAGCCTACGTCGCGGCCAGGTGTCTCCAAGTTGGCTGGACCAAAATCACGCCTCGGAGGTCTCAAGAAGCCAGGTTCTGGAATCGCTGCTCCTCCAGCTGCTGGCGCCTCACCGCGTCGCCCCGTCGTCTCGCCGCCTCCTGAGGAAGTTGCGCCACCTCCAGCTGCCCCTAAACTTGGACTCGGGAGGGGGCTGGCAGGGCGACCTCTTGGAAAACCACAAGCGGAACCTGCAACGCTCGCACCCGCTGTACAAGTGCCAAGTGGCCTTGGCCTTGTGGAACGAGCAGAGCTCGAGGAGCTACGAGCGGAAGTGGAAAGGTTACGGAGGCAAAACGAGGAGATGCGCTCGGAGCGGACAAAACTCACGTCCCAAGTACACGAGCTGCAAAACCAGAATGCCCAGCTTATTGAAGACCACACTAGAGATGTACTTTCCATCAAAGCCAAGGAAACACAGCTGGTACGAGCCCGTTCCGACTTTGAAGCTGCGGAACAGACTGTGCAGAACCAGCGACGCGAGGTAGACCGCTTGAAGCGCGAGCTCAGCCGGCAAGTCCGTGCCACGTCGCCGCCTCCCACGGATCTCTCAGACCAAATTTACGCCGACACGAATGGTGGAGGCCGCCTGGGAGACTCTGGATATGGAGGTCAGGGCATCTACAACAAGAGAGAGCGCCTTGCAAGCGGGCCTACAAGCCCAATCAGTGAAGGTAAGGAGAACTTTGATGGTTCTCTCACGCGACCCGACAGTTCTCTGAATGGCAAGCTGAGCCCTCGCCGCACAGGAGCCAATTCGGCACAGTCGTCGATGTCTTCTCGAGGTGGGGGTCGCATCAGCCCTGCAGAAAGCAACAGCATGGGAACTCGGATCGGAGGCACGCAAGCGACTGCAGGTGCCGAGAGCTGGAAACGGGCGGCAGAGGTCACCCAGAACCTGAAGCAGCGTATAGAGATGATGAAGGTATGTTCTCTATTCCGGTGTTGTGCTCCCACGCACAAATACATGCTGTGCCCGCAATCCACTGACAATACCTACAGGCAAAACAGGGTCTCGGAAGACAACAGCAATAATGCGCAAGCTGCCTACGGTAGTTGAAAACGATTCCTGCACGAAATCAAGAAAAATTCCGTGCCAGACTTCTCAGTAGAGACCCGGCCAACTGGATCCTGGCGCCACCAATGAATGTCTCGGCGTAATTCACAACCGACATGCAGTTTTTCCTGGCCCTTACCCGTTTCAGCGCCATTGTCGGCTCCCCACACCACCATTAGTCTTCCTTTTGGAGTGCTAGTTCCATCTTGTGCATCATTTGGTTGGTCTTGTCGGGCATTTTACGTGGCGTTTTGGGCTTGGGCATCGGGACTTTTTTTTGGTCCTGTTTTTGGGTGGGACTAAAGTGGGGGTAGGTGCTTGAAACTTGACAGCGCATCTTTTGTTCTTGGTATTGACAGGGACTTGCATGCGGCATCATGGAATTGACATTGATCGATGTTTACGTGTTTTGGAGCAAGAGGAGCAAAAGCAAAGCATGTGGATTTGAGACTTGGCTATGATGATGCGCGGAACCATGAGCCAAGCGGAGGGAGCGAAGAAGGAGATTTGGGTTGGTACCTGCGTTCGCCGATGGTCGGTGGGACATGAAGTCTTCGTTTCTTGTTTTTTCTTGTTCATGTCTATTTGCGTCTTTCTGGTTTTATGTCTCTCTTATGAAGATTCCCCCTTTTTTCTAGTTACTTCTTTTACTTCTCAATAGGGTGTTTAGTTCTTTGAGGGGTGTTGATCTAGATAGATTTCATGTAAATTTTCGCTCTCTGCTTTCTTTTCTGACGTGATGTAGTATAATATCAAAGTACGTGTCTTTTTATGAGAGATGAGAGATCGGTGAGATGGTACGAAGGGGTACAGATGATCATTGGGTCGAAGCTGCCAACCACACACATCTTGTTCTTCCTATTCGTTTGTGAGAGGGTTGCAGTGGCTCTCGTCAAATGCGAACCATGGTACAGGTAACAGCGCATCCACGTCCCGGTACCAGAAGAACAGAAAGGAGGGGTTTTTTGTTTCTGTAATCGAGAAGACTCGGGAATACACATGTGAAAGGCGGAAGAGGGCGAAGAGTAAGAAAAAGAAAGATTAAATGATTGTTGCATGTAGTTTCTTGTACTTTCTAACCTTGTATCTGGAAGACTCGTCTGCTAGCTTTTGGCAGGCTCCCACGACACTTGAAAGAATGAAAGTGAGATGGCGAAGTCGGATGAATACATCGGTTTATGATGACTATATTAATTATTTCCGACAAACGAAAAACATGGATTGTTCCCTTCCCCTTCCCGTGGTACCCCTAGTCTTCTCGATGCTTACTACTTCGTTCCCAGTTCGCCGATTATCTTAACAAAAAAGAACAAGATACAGAACATCCATTTCCCTTTTTACCACTGCCGCCCACCCCGACTCCGATCCTCCTGTTGCGATGGACGTGCTCTTCCCCATTGGCCGTTATCGTCGTTGGGGTTATTGCCCCAGCTGCCTTGGTTGTTCCAACCTGGTTTTCCCCTAGAAATGTAACACCATGTGTTCGTATCAAAAAGAGAAATGAGAGAGTGAATAGCAGATCGGGACGCTTGCATTACTGGAGAAACGGGATATAAGAAGAATTGGGAAGAAAGAGAGGAATGGCTTGACAGAATAACGAGGGAGTTTGTAATAATTCATAAAAATAAACGAGACTGTTGGTCTTTTGGACGCCATTTCGTCCGCCCACTCGAGAAGGATATTTAAGGTTCGTTCGTAAGGATTGGAAAGAATGGGAATAGTAGATAAGGTAGTTTTGTCTTCTTAGCTCCGAGGACCTCTTCGTTCGAATCTCATCTCGCGTCTCTGTATATTTCACACTTCCGGAATAACTAATCCATCTAAGATGGTCGCCGTCTTTTTTCTCCACTGAATATCGGGTCTGGTAAGAATAGGAAGGAGATCCACAGCAGCAACGGCAACAAAAGTAGAACATCAACCACCAGAAAAAAAAAAGAATCCATACATTGCTCAAGGAAACAACAAAGAAAAAAGAGAACAACGTCGTGAAGAAAGGGGAAAGAAAGGCCACAAATATACAAGGAGAGAGATAAAGAGCTTACTGTAGAGTTCCGCCAGCGGCTGAGCATGAAGCAGCGACGGCAGCAGGGGTGGTAGTTGATTGAATGACGATAGTGGCGGTCATGACTTGGGTGCTTGTGGTCTTTGCGATTGTGTAGCGAGTTACGATCTTTTACCCACGTTAGTTCTTATCTATCATTCTACTTGATAGGGGAAAGAGGGAAAAAAGAAGGATATCACGTACCTTTGTTGGCGTAGGCGCAGTGACAGTGACGCGGGCAGCGGTTGTCTTGCCATTGAGGACCACGACGGGAGACGGGGTGATTGTTGCTGTGGTGGTGACCTCGGCTACGAAAAAGAAGAAAGGAAAAAGAAACGCGTTAGCTGATGTATCCCATTTGCGGCCAAGGAAAAAGGAAGACTCACTAGTCACGGTAGCAGTGACCGCCGGTCCAGTAACAACAGTCGTCGACGTAGGATAATCCGCCGTATTCGTGTCGGTGACAATGAGCGGCTGTGGATCGGGAGCCCGGCGCACAAGATCCATACGCTCGGTGCGTTCTTGGACGAAGCGTCTGCGTTCCTCTTCGAGAACCTCGCGGCGGTACTTGGAGTTGATGATCTTTGAGTAAGGGCCAACTGTGGGCTTGATTCTGGCGACTGGATCCCATTTAGAAGGCTTGGTGGGGAGCTTGCAGCTCGCGGTGACGGTCTTGGTCTCTTTGGCAACGGAGACAGAGAAGGTGTTGATTTTGATGGTTGCGAGGGTTTTGGTGGAGGTGGAGGTTACTCTTGCGGGTGTAACGGTTGTGGTGGGTGTGATCTGTTGGAGTGTTAGATTTGGGGAGAAAAGGGAGGAGGTGAGAAGGACTTACTGTAGCCGACGGACTGGTGATGGTCTGGGCAGGGAGCGTGGTGTTGACAGTGTCCGTTGTTGTCACAGTTGTATCTTGACATGTTAGCAATTGGGGCATGATTGGGGAGTGAATACACTTACTAACGAGAGGAGTAGACGTAGATGTGACTATGACGGTCGGCGTAAACTAGGTCGGCTGTCAGATAGACAAATATATTCTGATACAAGAGCAAGAATTACCGTGGACGTAGACTGAGGACCAACTGAAAGATGGAAGTCTCTCTGGTATGCAATTGGAGTTCCATTCCCGTTGTTGCTAAAGAGAACGACAGAATAATCTCCAGTGCTCAAACTACTCTTCAAATCTGGGCAGGTCGAGAGCTGATTGGTGTCATCAGGGGTCAACTGAGTGTCGGAACAAAGGCTCTGCACGCCATCAGGGTTGACAAAGACGTTGAAGCACGTATCAGAATTGCAGCCTGAGGAGATGAGTATGACATGTCACTATTTGCTTGAATGGAAAATTACCATCGAATTGGGACACGAAAGTGAAGTTGTCGTTGCTCAGCGAATTCTGGAAATAGCTTCCACCATTCTGGAAGTCCATACCATACGACAGGCAATCGGCGAGCACTGTTCGTGCACTCATGGCAGCGAGGCCCAAGGCCTTGACTAGTGATGAGGTATGCGGCATGATGGGAATGAAAAGACCAAGTCCTGGGGAGAGACAGACGGAAAGAACGAGAGAGATTGTGATTTGGAAAGGAGAGGGTGAGAAGCAAACGAGTAGGATGTTTGGGTTTAATAAGAACACGTCAACGACTTGAAATTTTCGAACTCACAAGAACATCCTGTCTTGGGTAGTCGGGAGTTCGGAGCCAAGGGCTAGATGGGCTGAAAGCAGGTTCGGAGTAGGTCAACAACTATTGCTAATCGATTCGCTTAATTGGAACGATAGAGTCTCGTCAGTGAGGCTCCATCGCGCCACGACTACTTACGAATGGATTCCCTGTCGGACAAATGTCTTAGTGGTAAGCTCTCGCATTCGTCGATTCGTAGTCCTAGACCTGCATGATCTTCTGACTTCCAGTGGAGATATGCGCCAAAAAGGTGGCTATACCTCAACTTTGGGTTACCACAAGAGGGATCCGCCGTCTCGCGTTGGATACTTGATCGAGATCAAAAGCATGCAATCAGAAAAACGACGGTGGTATGCATAATTCGGCACTATCTTGACCGACTATCGAATGCATTACGAACGAACACTGCATAGAACATTCGACCGACGCGGTGTAGCAACAGCAAGTGACCAGGATAGGCGAAGGGATGATTTGAACGCCCGAGTATCGTGTACTACATCAGGCGTGTTTACCGTGTATGCATGCAACCTGCTATATTTGGAGGAGCAGCGGGAATGAGCATCGTCATACTCGTGAGACACTAGCGCTTGATGTCGGATTTGACAGGCGTAAACAAGCAGCATCGATTTGAGTTCTCGAGCACTCATGCTACCCATATACAACTGACGAATCCCTGAAATGAAGGGGAGCAACGGTAGAGGTGGCTTGATCAATGAGCGATACATATGAGTCTGGGCGTGTTAGTGGTGCGAATACATCCAAGCATCATCCAATGACTCTTTTCGTCGGATAGCATCCGCAGTCCATGCACGGCAGCCAGTTGATCGGTTGATTAAGCGAGAACTAGTGCCAGATTGATACGGGATTTGGGGAGCCAGTGCCAAGACAAGCATTCTACGCGGATGCCGTGCCGTACCGGTTTCCATCATCCTTTGCACTTGTTTGCTTTCTCATTTTCGCATCCAAGTCCCTCGAGAGTGGCAGGGCAACAGCTTCGTTCGTAAGAAGAGTCCAGACAACCGCCTTCAACCGCCACTTTTTGCAAAGCGCCATAAGCAGACCTTATCTCCAGTGAGTGTGACGTGAGATTATCAATCCGTAATGTCGGTGTTTTACAGTAGCTGCTCCGTCCTCAAGGGACAATGCTTTCTCTTCACGGGACTGACGCGTATAGCTGCTGCGACTTGCCACGAGGGATATGTTGGACCCTGGTTTGACCATACCAGTTATGTATAGAACAGACGAGCGGCTGTATAGCATGCGCAAGAGTTTCCATACTGCTGGCACCGCTTAAGCTGAATTCTGGTGTGGTTGCACAGCCGTCCGTACTCGTAGTCGGCTCTCGACTCCATCGTAATGATTATGTGCATGTCCGTAGAGGTGTAAGGTACAAACGTGATCGACACGCGATAGAGATGCGCTAGTCCCCAATGAGCTCTAGATCAGCCGTTTATTCAAACCTCCACTCTTCTGCCTCTCCTTCCTTTCCTCTCTTCCCAGTTTTGACGTTGTCATTTGCTGCGTGAGGTTTCGCACTTACTTGTGTCTATTTTTGACCTCCATCTTCCATACCATCCTTGCACTCGTTTTCGGCGAAAGGGGTGGAACTTTGGATGACCCGATACACCTGCAGGTCGGCTGTCATGCAGTGCATCGACTCTATCGATATGCAAGCCCAGCATCATGACCAACCATCGTAGTACATCTCAACCCGCATTTTGTCCCTCGTGTGCGGCGCTGTATGTTTGAATTTTCTCCAGCAATGTACTATCTGGTCTGCGTGTTCCAGACGATGTCGTTCAGAGCTCGCGTGACAGAGTAGTCCTCGTAGACTCAGCCGCAGGATAGTGTACCCAGATCCAAACAATTCTTCAATTTCAAGCTTTCCAAGGCAGACGTATACGCTTGGTAGCATCCGAGTCGCTACCGGGCGCTATTCGGTCGTTATCCGTCCCAAGATCAATAGTGCTTTCAGCCCCATCCGAAACTACGCAATAGTCTATGCTTGAGTGTACAGCTCTCTACCTCGCTTGTTCCTGCTTCAGCTGGGGCCCCTGCTTCCAATCGTTAGTCTACCTTTTCTCCAAGATGGGGATCCGAGCTCCCCACTTCACGAAAACTATTTCCTCATTTGTCGTCGCCGATCAGTCGCTGGTGGGCTGGGAGGTGACAGGACCGATCTTCAGGAGCTAGCCAATCCTGAACTCTTACCAAGTGCCACCCATCTGGATCGCACCGCAGCAGAACCGAGCGACACGCGAGCTCGGCGTGCTGACCATGCGGCTGTTGCACTCCATGTCTAGGTCCAATGTTATGTTATCGGAAGTCGCGTACTGTTATACATAGGGTGTGTATGAAGGGTATAATTAGCCACACAAGTCCCTTCAATTTCTATATCCAGGTGCTCATCACTTTTGTCCTCTTTCGTCTTTCATTCTTACAGTCTATCATTATTAGTCGCCTCCCGTCTCAGTCGGGCTATTTAAGATGCTGTTCAGCTCAATTACGGGCTCCTGCCTGATGGCATTGGCCTCAGTCTCTGTAGCAGAGAAGATTCCCGACAACCACATCCTCTGGGGGGCAAAAGGCCGTCCGACCACGCTGCAAGCACGTCAAGCAGCAACATCCACCAATGCAGCTGCTTCTACCACTTCTAAAGTCGCTGATGCAGCCTGTACAAATGGTCCCTTCACAAGAACGTGTTGGTCGAATGGCTTTAGTGCTGCCACTGACTTTGATGCTAAATGGCCCACCACGGGCAAAACCGTCTCGTACAACTTTGAATTGACAAACGGCACATGCAATCCTGATGGCTCGGCCGGTGGCGGTAGACCTTGCCAAATGTTCAACAACCAATTTCCTGGACCTACAATCACTGCTAGTAAGAGTTTTAATCTCACATTGCGAGAAGCATCATTCTGACTCACTATCTAGACTGGGGTGACACAATCTCGGTGACTCTGACCAACAAACTCGAAACCAATGGAACAGGTATTCACTGGCATGGTATCAGACAATTGAAGACGGTCTCTCAAGACGGCGTGCCCGGAATTACTGAGTGTCCACTTGCGCCGGGCAAGTCGAAAACTTATACTTTCCTCGCCACTCAATTCGGTACAACATGGTACCACAGCCACTTTTCTGCGCAATACGGAGACGGCGCAACAGGAAGTATAGTTATTAATGGCCCGGCTTCCTCGAACTATGACATTGATCTGGGCGCATTCCCCCTCACCGATTGGTATTATGGCACTTCCTGGGCGGTTGGTGTTCAATCGCACAACAACCTTCAACGTGGTGCGGCTCCACCACCAGCAGACACCATTCTTATCAACGGAACAAACGTCAGTGGGGGAGGTGGCAAATACAGCAAGACTTCCAACCTCATTCCTGGCAAGAAATACAGGCTACGCCTCATCAACACATCGGTGGACAATACGCTTCGTGTCTCATTGGACGGACATCCATTGACCGTTATTACATCTGACCTGGTTCCCATCAAGCCATGGACTACGAATTGGATCCTGATCGCTATCGGCCAAAGATATGATGTCGTCTTCACCGCGACCAAAGAGAACGCGGGCAAGAACTTTTGGCTTCGCGTCAACTATGCCTCACAGTGCCCTTCGTCGGGGAATGTCAGCCCTAAAGCTCAAGGAATATTCTCATATCAAAATGCGGCCGATGCCAACCCGGATTCCACCCAATATGTGGAGCCTACCGACTGCGTTGAGCCTATCGCAAACCTTGTTCCATGTATGTCTTCCTGCTCGAGATGCCTTCTCTTTTGCCGAGAGTCATGACTGACAACAGTTTAGGGGTGAAGAACACTGTAGACAGCACTGCTTTCGTCAATCAGGTCGGCAGCCTCGACGTTGACATTTCCTCTCCTGGTGTGAATACGAATGGTCAGAACATTGTCGTTTGGGGTGTCAACCTCTCTGCTATCAATGGTATGTCGCATCAAGATGTGATATTTCGTATGACAAGCTGATCAGTATACAGTCGAATGGGAAAAGCCTACGCTACAATACGTCAAGGACAAGAATACCAACTATCCCAGTACCTTCAATCTAATCGAGATCCCCAAAGAGAATACCTGGAGTTATTGGATCGTTCAAGGTCAGTTCAATACCCTCTTCATACCCGGTCACCGATAAGATCACTGACACAAGAGACTACAGAGCCATTGAACACCAGAGTCCCAATCCCTCACCCCATTCATTTGCACGGCCACGATTTCTACGTACGTCTTTCACACCGCACCAAACTACACCTCAACAGAGGCATACCACTTCCAATCAAATCCGAGTGTGATCATTCTCCAACTGACAACTCTCAAAACAGGTCCTCGGCAACGGCGCCGGTGTCTTTAACAAATCCACATCCCCGTCAACCCTCAAATACGACAACCCAGCTCGCCGCGACACCGCATTCCTGCCCGGAGGCGGTTGGCTCGCCATCGCATTCCCTGCGGATAACCCAGGAGCCTGGTACGTTTTACACCCTCACACGTTTTTCAACATCTCCATCATCTCTAATAATGGGCTAACCTCCGCTTGCAGGCTCATGCATTGCCACATCGCCTGGCACGTCGCCGACGGTCTCGCAGTCCAATTCCTCGAAGCGAAAGACCAGATCCCGCTTGGTGACGCTGCGTGGGATCAAACTTGTAGCGAATGGAATACTTTTCAGGCTACCATGCCATTCCCGAAGTCTGATTCTGGGCTCAAGTTGCTTAAAGGAAGAGCAGAGTGGGCTTAGCTATGAGGTCTTTTTCAGGAACGCGACTTCGTATTTGCGAGGTTTGTAAGTTGGGATTGGAAAATCAAAATTCGGTTGAAATAGAGCAAGTAGTTCTGTGGGAGGAGGGTGTTGGTGGTTGCGCTGTTGTGGCAAAGATCTTCTTTTTTTTTGGTTTGTTTTCTGGTTGTTATGTTCTACACATTGTGCATATATTACATACATACACACTTAATCTGAACTACGTGGGAGAACTGTAATACTGCTCTTCGTCTCAAAATTGTTATTTAGAGACTCACTCTTAGCTTCGAAAGATCTTTACATTTCCTCCCTCCTTCTCTGGCCGCATACATTCCGGGCTCACGCTGGGCTAAAGGGCACACGTGAATACCAACATACTATTGAACAGGGGTGGGCAGTGAGAGGAGGAGCAAAATCCAAAGAATTTAGGGGACAAGAATCGAAAAAGATGATCAAACGGAGCTGCTCTATGTACCGCCCAAACTGCACAACGATTTTCTATATGCCTTTGCGCAAACCTGAAACCCGACACAGTTGATGGAAAAACAAGTGACAAACGAGAAGGTTAAAAAACAAAAAGGTCTACAGAGAATAAATGCCCGAAGAGAACAGACAGACGCCATCGCTTTGCTGCTATGTTGATACCCGGCCGCACAACCCAGAAACACGAACGCAATGCCCTCGCCCCCCAACAAACAAAAGAGTTTCTACAAAAGATGTGGAAATAAAAGAAGAGCCTACGACTTGGTCGCCCGAGCTTCAGCCTTCCCGCCACCAGACGAAGGCGAGGAAGAAGGGGGTTCATCGTCATCCTCCTTCTCCTTGCCTGCCTTCTTCTTCTTACGATCCTTCCTCAGCGCATCAGCAACCTTCTGATCCGACTCATCGTCGAGCTCGTCCCACTCGACATCGTACTCGTTAGCCACGGCCTTGATTTCTTTGCGCAGCGCGTTCCCTTCTTCAATCAGGATCTCCCATTTGCGGACGTCAAAGTTGTGCTGTTGGTAGAGTTTCTGCTGGCGACGGGAGATTGTGAAGTTCATGGCAGAGCGGTACGAGACTTCGCGGTTGTGGTAGAGAAACCATATGTAACCGCCTATAAGGGTGGAAAGACCGACGAGGTACTGTGGGACATTGTCAGCATGTTTTCTCTAGTGGGGGATGGGTTGAACATACGGTGACGGGTTCCATGACGTCCCAGCCCAGATCGGTTCCGAAGGTGAGCTTGTAGACGAGACCCCACCATCCTACTACGACACCTAATCCACACATGGCGACCCGCTGTGCGCCTTTGTGGGCGAGTCGGTCGCAATCTTTCTTGACGTCCGCCATTTCGCTGATTTTCTTGGCCGTCTTGCGGAGCCTCATGCGGAGGTAGTACGTGCGATCGTTGAAACTGGGCACGCCGACGCGGATGTTCTCTGGAGTGCCTTCGATCTCGACGGCGAATTCCTGTCCTCTGGCGGCGTCGCGAATAAAGTCGCCTACCTCAGTGCTCGAAGACCAGCGCACGAACTTGCGTTGGGCTTCTTTGGTGACAGGGGCTTCGTGGCCGAGGCCAGAGTACGATTCGACGCCGCCTTTTCCGTGACCACCTCGCAGTTCGGCGGCTTCATCTGGAGTCTTCCTGTTCATGGCGCTGAGCTTGCCTGTTTTCTCTATCTTACCGTCGACGCGGATCTCGTCTACTTTGTCGAAATCCAAGTCCGATTCCTTTTCATCCACTTTCTCGCTCCCTTCGCTGACGGGTGTTATCTGGGGCTCTGACTTCTCGAAGTCATCTTGCATGGAATCTTCAGCGCGGAAGTGAACGCCAGGGATTCGCTCTCGACCAGACTTGTCTTTTATAGTAGGAAGCTCGGCCTGAATGAGGCGCTCGAGGTAGGAAAGCGGTTGTTGCGGATGCACGAGAAGGGCAAGAGGCTCGATATCTTTGCGATCCGAGTTCATATCTTTGGTCGTCAAAGGCAAGATGAGCTTGAGCATTCGAGACGGAGTGGTCAGAAGTTTTCCTATCATTTCATCAGCTCGTTGATCCATTGTTGTTCGTGTAGATATTTCATCATACCCTTGGTCATTGCGCCTGCACTTCTCTGCCGCGCAACGGGAGGTACATCACTGCCCTCTCGATTCCATGGTGCACGCATCTGTCTTGTTTTGTCCGCGAGCTGCTTCTCATAGTCGTCCTTTTCTTCTTGGGTGATTTCGTTGTTGAGTTCCTCAGCAGGAGTAGCATTGGTACTGTCTGCGCTACCAGCTCTGAGAGGTCGAGGCTCGATGCGCGCAAAGGGAGTGTTGTTGAAGCATCTTGCGTGCCCAAGGAGCTGTCGATCCAAGGGTCTGGGACGAAAGTGTGGATGCGAGACAGGGGCCAATCGAACGGGTCGGTGTTGTTGTAGAGGAAGCCTGTGTAGGAGTGCCGATATCCGTGGCTTCATGGTGGAGGGCGAGGTAAAGGGCGGATCTCCGGCACGCAAAAAGAGGAATGATAGGGAAAACAAAAGGGATGGAAATGTAGGAAGGCCTACTAGAAACAACAACCTGCATCTCGACACGCGCCAGGGTCTGAACCAAGTTGGTAAAGCATCGCGTGTACGTCATCGTGACTTGCGTTGTGGCTGACGCGACGCCACGACATGTGGCTATGTCGGATGAAATAAGGACTTGGTTCGACACAGAGATGATGGAAGAGTGACTCGATTAATCTATATACATTCGAAAAGTGGTGGAGAATATAGACTGAATCCCTACTCAATGCTCATCATACATCTACCTATATGCTTTGATGTCGCTTTGGTTTATGCAGCCACTCCTGATATCTCCCCTTTTTCCATCTTCATAGGTAAATCTCTCCTTACCTTCCCCCCTTTGCACCCTCCGTTTCCTCGATATACGCCACCAAATCCTCGATTGTGCAAACCTTAATCCCCCACTGCTTTCCAAACGCCAGACACTCATCCCTCCTCATCATTCCACCACCCACCAACTCAGGTACACCGTCCGCTTTGACCTCTCCATCGGTGATCAGCTCGCAAATAACCCCGACATCGCCCTTCCCCGCTAGTTTGCAGAGGTCTACCGCAGCCTCCGTGTGTCCCCTTCGTACCCTCACTCCACCTTCTCTCGCCTGCAGTGGAAGGATATGTCCAGGTCGTCTGAATGAATCAGCCTTTGCGCTATCATCCGCGAGAAGGCGGCACGTCATGCTGCGATCGTGGGCGCTGATGCCCGTGGAGATGGAAGGGTCGATACCGTCGATAGAGACGGCGTAGGCGGTTTGGTTGGGGTCTGCGTTATCGGCAACCATTTGCGGGAGGTGTAGAGCAGCGGCGCGCGAGGCAGGTAGTGGAGCGCAAAGGTAGCCGGAGGAATAGCGGATCATGAAGGAGGCTTTGGCGGGAGTGAGGGAGGATGCGGCGATGATGAGGTCGCCTTCATTTTCGCGCGAGGGCGAGTCGAGCACGATGACGAATTCGTCGTTGGCTGGAAAGAGAGTGTGAGTTCGTAGTAGAGGTAGGTTTTGGGTTTACAAACCGAATGCGCGGATCACGTCTGGTATCGAGTCGAATGCTGGATGGGAGGGTGTGTGGCCATTGGTACCGTTTGCGCTCGGTTCCGTAACGCCTGAGGTGGCTGCGGCTGAAGGCATCGTAGTTTTTTCTGTTCCGTTCTATACCCTAACCGACTCTCCGTCTCTTTCCTGTGCAAGCAGATCAATCTGTCGTTTCTTCTATAACGTTCAAGCGGAGTTCGTTCCTATGAGTCGAACGGGAGTATAAAGAGACACTAAAGATCAAGACCGAATGCGGGGTGACAATTCTCTGGAAAAAGATAAAGGAGCGAGAGGTTGACAAGTACTATCAAATGTGCAGACTGTTTTCCTGAAGTAATTCTTGGTAGGCGTACGTAAGTAGACAAGGAGGGGATCTAAGAAGGCGAAAAAAGACGCGAAGCTGATTCCCAATGCTTACGAGTGTTCCGTACCTCGGCGGGTCCGGTCCCCCGATGCTGCCCCTCCAAAAATCTCGTCTTTGTAAGCTCGTGATGACAGAGAAAGAGACCCGCGCGTACCCGCAACCGAGATGCATGTGACTTTCTTTTTGTCTACCATTAACGATATATTTGGTACATGTTCATCGTCCGGTACGAGCAGTCTTAGTCTTGGATTCATACAATTCTATGGAACACTTCGCCCAGTGACCGTCGTCTTAGTCAGATCACCAAGCTGTGGGTGTGCAACTACTCTGAAGATCTTAGCATCAAATCGAGACGTGCAGAAGAGGACATGGATACGAAGGTCTGACCCTCGTAGCATGCATATGCGTCTCCATGCCGAATAAATTGATCATCACAAGCGAGGTGCGCGCAATATGCCCGAGTGACCGAGCGCTTCAACATCATCATCTTGCAGGGCATGTGTATGTTTTCAATCTTGATTGAGTTGTCCCGCCATATGAGCGATGGACTATACCAGTTATATCATTCTGGTTCCATTCAGGCCGTAAAACTATACGCAGCCGCTACTTGATCCCGATCAAGTCCATGTATCCCCCCAACTTCTCACTTTTTTTGCTTTTTCTTATTGTTCAAACTCGTTGCAGAAGGGAAATCTAAGCCATCTTTTGAGGCTGCTTATGCGCATCGCCCTCATCACTACCCTCGCTCTTCCGCTCAGATACAACGCCCGCGGAAACCCCATCCATTTCCGCATCTGGCTTCCAGAAGTCTTTCTTTCCAGATAAAAGACGGCGCATCCAAGGAGGCGTGACACCGCCGGGAATGCGATACGTCCAGGGATCCTTCTCTTCCTTGTTGGCAGGAACAATGCGACCGCCTGATGCCTTTTCGATGATCCAGACGAGCGTGTTGATGAGAATGTACGAGAAGATTCCTGCGATGAGGCCGTATGCGATCGAGTAGCTGAAGGGCATGATAGTGATGGTGAGGAAGGCAGGGACGGCGTCGCCGATGTAGCGCCAGTTGATGTCCTTTGCGGCTTGCGACATGAGGCAGCCGACGATGATGAGCGTGCCTCCTGTAGCCCACGGTGGGATCGAGGCGAAAATGGGCGCGAAGAAGATACTGATGAAGAAGCACAGACCAGTAACCATGGCAGTTATACCCGTTTTTCCACCTTGATAGGTGTTAGTTTCAACAATGTGCGAGACTCGGATAGATTAGAGTGACATACCTTCGGAGATACCAGCACCACTCTCAATGAAAGCAGTGACGGGCGATGTACCAAAGAGAGAACCGATCGAGATACCGATGGCGTCGACGGTGTAAGCAATGGAACTTCCTTCGAAATCCTGCGTGTGCTCATCCATCAAGCCAGCAAATCGAGCCATGGAGTACAAGGTTCCCGTGCAGTCAAGGATATCGACGTAGAGCAGCGTGATGAGTGCGAGACCGAACTGACCACCGTGCTCGGAGATGTTCCATTGGTTGACATTCAAGATCTTGCCGATCGGATGGAAAGTGACGACTTTTTTGAAGAAATCGAATGAAGAGTCGCCGAGCTCGGTGTGCGGGAAGTACGTGACAGAAGATGTGCGAGGCCAAGAGATGATGGACACGAGCAGGATACCCATGATGATGGCACCCTTGACGCGGTACATCATGAGCATAACAGTAAGAATGCCACCACAAAAGATACCAATCCACATGCTGGGATTACGCATCTTCTGGGATGGAGGGCACATGCCGAACTCATCGAAGTAGGCTTGCGAGCACCCGGCAAGCTCGAGGGGGGTGGATTGCGCCGCCGTGACAAGTCCGATACCAGCCGAGTACCCGAGACCGATGAGGGTGAGGTACATGCCGATTCCAACTCCAGTGGCAAGCTTGATACTAGCAGGGATAGCTCTGGAAAGGGAAGTCAGTATGCATGTCCTTTTTGATCAAAGTGGCGTATTGCGGTGTAGCTCAGAAGGGGGCGTGAGTCATGTTTTTTGAGATAGTACTCACCGAGCAAGCCATTGTCGCAAACCAAGTAGAGTAAGGGCAAAGAAGATCTAAGGCATATTAGTCTTTTGTTGCAGCCATGTTTCTTTTATGATTGCTTACCCATCCTTCAACGAAGACTGCAGTGAGTGCGATTTCATATGGGACCAACCCTTTTGGGACAGTTAGCATCCGAATGGAGATATTTGTGTAACATGCCCGAGACATGGAGTTGGAGGATAGAGAAAAGTGAAAAACATACCTGTGCCGTGATAGCCAACGACCGTGTAGGCAAAGTAAGCATTCACGCCCATACCAGGAGCAAGACCCAGAGGCATGTTTGCGAAAAGTCCCATGCAGAACGACGTCAAGGCAGAAATGGCAGCGGTGGCAGTAACAAGATCACGGGTGATTTCCTGCTTGCATAGCAGATACGCCGTGTCGGCATCACACAGATCTTTCGGATCTGCCAGCTTCTCGGGTGGGCAGTAGCCTGACATTGGAGGTCAGCACAAGGTGGGCAGATTGGACCGCGAAGATAGACGCACAGGTTCCACCGGTTGCCGAGAGAATGGATGAGTTGACACTGATGATGTAGGCCATTGCGAAGAAAGTCGCCAGGCCCGCACGAATCTCAGTGAAGAAGTGACTGTTCTTGCGCTCCTTGGGCTATGGCATCGTCAATTTTGCCCACATTGCGGCATCGATATGCTCAACGTACATGTCCACATCCTGCCAAGCGGAACCAGCGGCCGATGGCAGACTGGCCAATTTTGAGGTTGGTGTTCTCAACCCAACCCATAGTGATTGACGATCGAGAGCCGCTATCGAGTCGAAATGGGTCCCAATGCGGTTGACGGAGGGAAGTAGCAGTGGAGCAGCTCGGAGGGTTGAAGGTGAGGTGACAAGGGCAAAGCACGACGACCGATTTGACGACGACAGAAGATCTTTTTAAGCATCCGGGCTCGTCCCAAACAAGCCAGGGTCTATTATCTGCGGTCGACAGAACGCTAAGGCCAAGCCGGCAAACCCTTATCATCTGGGGCGGGATGCCAAGCCACACTCACACATCTTCACCAATCGCAGCTAGTCCTCGCCAGGTCGCCTACTGTCACTATACGGATGTATGGCCTGTTCGGTGAATGAGCATCTCTTTTTTTACTCTCTTCTGTTTGACGTTTCGCAGCCAGCGGCCTGGTTACCGGGATGCTGTGTATCGTACCCGTGCTAGGTTGGCCTGCAAACACCCATCACCAACCTCCCCATCTCCACTCCAAGTGGCGAAAAAAAAGAGGAAAAAAGGAAAAGAGACGGGATCCTGCCGCCGTGGCGTCTCGCATACGATGTATGAAGATGCAGCCACTCGCCATTTACAGCTGGTTCCAGAGGAAGCCGGCGAGCACCGATGAGCGCGCAGATGGGATGATTGCAGTCGGAGGTCACCTCTACACATCTGTTATCTATCTGTCACTCCTTTGGCCTTGAAGCTCTCATCTCGTTCGTTTATCGAAATAGGCAATCAGCTTTGTGGCCGGATTGTGGATTGGCAAATACAATCTCGTCAACGTCCGTCTCTGCGCAGTGCAGGGATCAGAACTCCACTTCAATTCCATAGCGGACGGCTAAAAAGCGGGACACTGCTGTCGAAAGCAGCTGAAGCTCGCACAAACAACAACGACTGCTATGATTAGTAGCATGTGTATGCAACTATGTCGTATCTAAGGTAGGAAATATGGTGGCTACGACAGTCAACAGCAGTGATGAGACAATAGCTCGCAGCTGTAAGGCGTCGGACAGGCCCCTCACTGCTGCATGCTGTGCTGCATTCGCTGCAAGGGGAATATCCACGATCGGTGCGACATACACATGCACAGTGACATCGGCCAGTGCCTGTATTCACCATCTCCCCTTTGTGTCGCGTGTGTGCGTGGGTGGTAGCAATCAACAACATGTCCCAACATCGTCGTTGAAGCATTAGCATCTACAACTCGTCTTGGGGGCCAACTGTCGCGTGAGGTAGCATTCCTACACGAGGAAATGTCTTAATCAAATGAAACTGCAAGCGACATCGGCTTGGGCTAGAGATTCACAGGAAGCGAAATAGGGCTGCATACTCGTCATACCGACGCAGCGGTCCCCATATTAATTCCCAGGTACGTCAAATCGGATCTAGGCGGCAAGTGTTTCAGGCAAAAAGTAAAAACAGCGCCTCGGTCCAGCCTGCTAATGCTGTTCTGTCAGTTTTCCTTTTCTTTTCCGATGCACGATTTACTTTTTCGCTTGGTGTTCGATGGAGCGTTCTTCCGAAACTCATCCGGGCGATTTCGTGTGCTAGAATTAATGTGAAGGGCGGACCCGCCCTGATCGAGATCTTCAACTGCAGCAATATTGCATTGCTTTTGATTCCTTTCTTTTCTTATCGCTATCTTCAGCATGATTTCCGCGTCCCCGCGGTATACGAGCGCGGAGTGTATTTCTGGTCTAGTCCTCCCAACCAGTGCGGCAGCGCGCGATGCCGAGTCACGTTCTCGCCCCATTGAATCTAGCAAGCTTGAGGCGAAGGATACGACTTCCGAGCCTCTACTATTCGCGTCGCGATACATCACTCCTTAGCTATGGAGGACAGGTTAACAACAAGAAAAGAATCAGCTTGAAGAATACTGCAAAAGCCATAGCTCACCGCCTGCCAACACGTCTGTACTTCTCTTCAAAGAATCAGGCTGGCCCAACTCTCTACGCCTCACGTTTCCTCTTACACATTCCCTAAACTCACTATCAGAACTCTCCCCTGACTCAACCCTATCTATCGTCCCACTACCCCTTAATAAATCCCCCCTCCTTCTCCGGGGAAGCTACTCGCTCCCTTCCCCGCCCGCCCGAAACAACACCAGGCACAAGGCCTACAGCCGCTAGCCTAGCCACATATAAAAGGAAACCTTATTGGTAACCGCTGCGGCTATGTACCTCGCTAGTTGAATTAGACTTTAGGAGATGAGCTGATCACTGCGGTAAACATGTGCGCGTGTCTGAGGTTGGAAACCGAAATGTGGAAGATTGCGATAAAGTAGAATTGTAGGAATTGACTACGCAAATCAACAAAACTATGCCAGAACCAGAAAGGCTGCGTGCGCGCGCGAGAGAAAGAGAGACTCACACATGGAGAGATAGACCGTGGAAGAACAAAAGAAAGTAAACACCTGGGCACCCAAACACCTCAACCGCAGCTTTAAACGCAAACGCGCGCAAAACACAACAAACACATCTCTGCACTACCCCGACCTTTAACATTCAATGTCCCACTGCATACCCCCATCTCCCCGTCAAACCAACAACGAAGCGAGAAAAAACTAAACTTTGCCTGTTTCTTTGTCCGACCTGCAATTTCTCAAACGTTACCTGGTACGGGGTTACGTTTTCCTGCAGTGTACACGTCAAGAAGGGAGTGACAGGTTACATGTGTGTTTAGCGAGATGTTGTGGTACCGTTTCTTGTCGGGGATGTGGGAACGCGGGTGGAGGGGTGATGTGGCATTTTGTGTTGGTCGGAGATGGGTAGTTTGGATGTGATGTGAGAATTTGAGGGAATGGGGTTGATGGTATTATTGTGTAGGGGAGTATGAATAGATGCTGCTGTAATCGATTGGCAGTGTTGGAGGTGGATGAGGGGACCTTCTCTTCACTTGGCTTGGTCTTTCTCTGATAAATTTCTTATTGTGCTAGTTCTCAGAGTCAGTCCGGTCTGAGACCTAGATAGATACGTGTGCAGTACGTGTGCAAATATGCAAATGTGCAGCCATGTGGAAATGCTTCGCATCACGTGATCTGTCCATGCCCATTCTTGGTCTGTACCTCATAGCTACGTAGTGAATTAGTTCAAGGCGCACTTATGATAGTAATGACATGGTAGGGTGTTCTATTTACTCAGGATCTTATCTAGTATGCTGAGACCTGGTGTCACTACGCAGGCGTTTTTATCTACATAATGCAGTTTTATAAATGTCGAGATGCCGAATCAGATATCAACAGGACGAGAACCAGATTATCAAAGTAATGCGAAAGCATGACACACGAACCTCCGATTCAATCCTGATTGCAGTCATGAAGTAGATAGCTTCCTGAGCACCAGCTCACTTGAGATTGCGGGATATATTTCAACTCACCATCGCCCTCCCCATCCCTGTGCAAGCCCCTCTAAAAACCTCCACTGTCCGCCGGTACTCGCTTTCCAACCATGAACCCACACTCGAGAACATAGCTCTATGATCGGCCCCATCTACTACTTTATCCATGGAGTCCTCTTTTCCTAGCGCGGCAAATCCCGACACTATGGGCAGGACTTTCCGCACCTCCGATGCGATGAGCTGATTGCGAAAGGCAAATTGGATGCCCGGATGTTCGATGTCAAAGGTGCCTATTCGGAAGGGAGGGTCGGTGATGGTAAAGCACGACTGTGAATATGTTTTGGGGAGGGGCTGGGGTGATGGTGGAGTTGAGGTCGTTATCGTAGTGGGAGGTGAGGCAGTTGGAGTCGTTGATCCCGGAGGAGGCGATGACGAGGTTGAAGACGGCGGAGTTGTGTCATTTTTTCTCCCGGTTTTCTCGTTGTCATTTCTTGCGCCGGCGCGATCCATTTCTTTGACCGCGAAACCGGCTGCTTCTCGATAGAAGAATAGGACTCTTGATACTAGGGACGCTTGTAGCATGACTAGTTCTGGACGTCTTCGCCCACAGTTACAGTCTAGAAAGCGCTGGAAAGATTCCACGGCCGATTTGTTGGCATGTAGGATTTGTGGGAGAGGTAGGACGTTCATGGGTGGCCGCCCGGTTGCTTTGTCACCGAGGTCGATGTTGGTGATCGTCAAGCTTTGGAGGATTTCGTTCGGTTCGTGGTAGCATCGATGTTTTTCGGAGATGTCCGAAACTGCCGGAGTCGGGGCCAAATTTTCCAGTCCCTCTTGGGTAGTGGGTATGATGACATCGTTATCTGGAGTGATGATGGGGTTAAAATTGTCGAAGTGTTGCTCCCGTTGCGGTGGGGTCCAGCCGTCAAGGGTCGGAGGAAACATCAACTGATCGAAGTTGTCATTTCCAGTTGATAAGAAATTGTCAAAATTTGTGTCTACTGTGCCATCTATGCTGGACATGGTAACGGTCGAGGAGTATTGTGGTCCACACTCCGTACCACCATTGCTGACATTGGGAGGATGCGTCGTGATTGTGCAAGCCGGACTGTTCCCCGAAATATGCGCGGAATTGGTATTGTTATCACGAGCTATATCAAGTCGCCTTCTGGGTCTTTTGCCAACCTGTCTAGATGGTCCGTATATACAAGTCAAACTGAGAGAGACGCATCGTGTGCACTGTGGATGGCCACGGTCGCATTTCGTTTTCGCAAAGCCACATGCATCACATGATGATCGGAGTTTTTTCGCGGGTTGATGAGATGTCCGGACCTGTGTTTCGGAGCTCATTTTTGGTATTTTCGACAGTTGAATGTGAATGATCACGTACAATCCTCATCTCACTTTGTGATGTTGTCCGGTGTTTATGTAATCTTCTTTCGCTTCATTGGGCAAGACTCGTTGATTTGTCATCACCATCTTCAGAGAAGTCCTCACATGAAATTGATCATTATTTCTAATTGCAATTAGGCGGTACTTGGAGCACAATATGAGGCTTTCTTTAGTTCGACATGAATCATGATTCGGTAATTGTATCCTCCATAGGCGATGATGTCCCCAATCCAGCTTTGCGAAGACATGATGTAGCCCAGGGATATCGACAACTCCAAGGAAAACTTAAACCACAAAAAAGAAGATAATAATACATGAAAAGATGTGAAAAGTACAGAACGCTAATTGGAACAAGAATCAACTGTTTACAGCTTTCAGAATCTTCCATTGGCAGCCTCCCAAGCAGCCCAGTCATTATCGTAGCTCCGCACATAGGTTCTCTCATAACCATCGTCGTACTCGTACTGTGAATCGTCGTACTCATCTTCATAACTCCTTCGTAAGCTATCGCCAAGCTGATATCCTGGCTTGCTGAAGAATGCCATCATGCTACCCATAGGAAACGGATTCGCGACCGGCGCATCATAATAGTTCTCTTCTATTTCATCGGTATCTTGTGTAGCAGAAGCGTAGTTGCTGTATGGTTGAATAGTGGAAGCAACGGTGTGCATCGGAGAGGGAATTGGCGAAGTTTGCACAGAGGCGTTGGCATATGACGGCGGTGTTGGTCGAGACACTACCGGCTGAGGGTTGGCGTGGCATCCGCATGTGCAGTGAGCAGATGTTACAGGTAAGTTTGCCTGGAGAAACGTTTCTGGCGTCAGTGATGTCGCGGCAGTTTCCGAAGAAAGTGTTCTTCCCTCTGCTATCCGAGGGGTTGTGGACGGTTTGAAGGACATGCTCAAAGGACGGGACCTCCGTTTAAGCCGCAGTGCAGTTGTTGCCGCGAGCGGATCTTCTGCTGATACGAATGATTTCGGTTCGAGAGGTTTCAAGTCTGCATCCGATGTTGGGCGGGAGGGTATTGTGGCCAGGGTTTCTACAGTGGACGCCATGGATGATATGCTGGGTGATCGCGAGCTTGGATGCGAGATAAAGGATGAGTCTGACATGGACCTAGTGGAAAACGACATGCTCGGCGGCCGAGACTCAGATTGCGAAGTGGCTGACGACCTTCTGTCAGGCGATGCATCATCTACAGTGGCAGCGGATGGCTTCGTGGTAGTGTCTGGGGCCGCTCTGAATAGAGACATTGTTCTTGTTCTGCGCAATCCTGGTTTATCTTCGGTAGTTTCTGGCGATTTCTTCTCGGGCTCTTTATATTCCAGTTTCCCATTCTTATCAGAAGCAAAATATTCATCTCCGCGACCGAACACTACTTGTAATGAAGCGAAGTCACGCGTTGTATTGTCTTGTGGCCAAAGCCATTCTTGTAGAGCAGGGGGGAGGTCATAGCCATCTACGAACTGGTTAATCATGCGACATTTCGTGTACATGAGGGTTGATCTACCTTGTCTGTATTCGCCAGCTTTATTTCTCCAGCAGACATAGTACCTTTCGAAAGCCCCAAATGCGCAAACTATGAGGTCATCTAGACTCTCTGGATCCTTGGGATCCTGTGGAATTAGGTCCAAACGCTCATACAAACGTATTGAAGATGTCATATCGAGACTATTTGCTGGAGCTTGCGGAAAATATTTCGATGGTAAGTCGGAGAAGCTAATCTCATATGGAGGACTCAGTATTCTTAAATAAATCGCCACCCGGTCGTGCGTCGTATTCCCGCAAATGAGTGAATCAAAAGAAAGAGTAAAAAAAGAAACGCTGTAACACAAGGTTGGCGCGTTAGCACCACCCTAACTCAGTAGTAGCAAGTATGACAGCGTTCAATTTGCCAAAAGTAGTAGAACGTTCGAAAAGTGCAGCTGTCAGAAAAGCTAGGTAGGTGTTGCGAGAGTGCAGAAGAAACAGAGACAACGCAATAGACATAGACTGTGAGAGGAGACGTCCAAGACTGGACAGATCCTACTCACGCCAACAGGCGTAACCCCAGACTTTGTTCCAGACGCTATCTGAGGCTCGTCACAGAATGCGGGTGGGGCCAACGAAAGATGGTGGTTCGAGTTTCAGATTCGCGTCCCCTGACATGCCTGGATCACTCCACGGAGTTTGGAATTCCGAAACGCTTAAAATGATATTATACAACGCGGATCAGATAAAATCGAGTCGTCAACTCGTGAAATGCTGCACGGCAATCAAGGGAAACAAAGTTTGTATGACGATTCAGCCCTGTTTCTTCTCAAAAAAGAGCCATCGAACATTCCACGTTGGATAACGATCAAACATGTGAAAAAGCAGTACACGAACGATCATTAAACATTGGAAGAAAATGTTAACGAGTCCACTATCGTTGCACGGCTGGATCGCCGCCATCTTCTCTGCTGGCGGTCCCTCTCCGTTTCTGCACATCTCTCGCACCCTGAGTCGCACCTCTCCCAACAATCCGGTTCTTATCCCTTGCCGAGTCTCTAGTAGATATACCTCTCCTCGAGGGAGGTTGCTTGTCTTCTGATGTCCGGTCGGCGCTCTTTCCGGAGTCTCGGACAGAGGCTGCACTTGAGACCGTATTGCTCCTGCTTCTTTCACCTCCTGCGATCAGTTCGTCCAGATCGCGCATCAGACCAGAATTGGTCTTGCTTCGAGGCAGATCCGGCGTTCTACTACTGCTAATACTACTGCTACTTCCAAGTCTAGTAGCCATGGCTCTGTTTCCTGTACCAGATGTCATAGTAGCAGTCATAGGCCTGCGAGCTGGCGTAGTGTTAGTTCGCGATAGAGGCTTCGGGCGCGTTGGCGAAGCCCTGGAAGCGTCACCGTCCCTCGGCCGTGTTGAAAAAGATCCCATTCTAGAACGTGATTCAGATGTTCCTTTGGACGATGGTCGCACTGTGTTGCTTCGCGACGAATTGGGGGTCGCAGGCTCGCGAAGCGTGCCGGATCGGAGCTTTTCCGGAGCCTTGCCATCTGTACGTCTAGTCTGTGAAACATTCGATGCCCCGGATTGGGTTGTCGTCTTTCCCCTCACGGGAACGAACGGCTCCCGTAGCTGAGTTTTGTTCTTGATTGCGCCATCTTGTTTGCCCTCGATTCTATCATTGGCTGTCAATTGACGCCTTGAATCAACGTTTGAGGATGTGCTAGAAGAAGCACCGAAGACTGCAGGATCAGCTGCTTCAAAATCGGTTTTCATTTTTGGTGGGTCGTAAACGGAAGGGCGGACCGGCACAGGTGGAAAATAGTTCGACTCCCTATCTGAGTATAATTGGAAGATCTCTGTAGTAGTGGTCTTTGGGGGGTTGTCGTAGTCAGAGACAGAAGTTGCGTCACTGATGGGTCGAGACGGCGATTTGCTCTTATTGCGGAAGGATCCATCGTTGAGCGTTTTCCCCGCAGCTAATGATTCGAACATCTGTGCTTGCGACATCGTCCGGGAACCGCTCTTCCTGTTCAATTTTGGCGTTGTGCGTTTCTCATTTGTTGCGGGAGATCCTTCTGGCTGTTGCGGGGGCGGAATATTCATGTGAGGGCTTGGTGTACGACTGGGTGCTTGCGCGGCCTGTGGTGGGGTGTAGGGAGCCTGGGAGTATGCTGGCGGAGGAGATAAAGGTGCACCCTCGAATATACTCTTAGGTATTGGGAGGCCTCCAGCTTCATCGGAGGAAGGTAATAGCTCGGTGTGTGCAAAGATCGGCCTTGGGGGATTGGAGAATATGCTTTTGGGTAAACTGAGTGGCTTCAAAGTGGGAGCTGCGGTCGTGGTATTGTCACGAAGTCCATCTGTTGCTTCATCGGGCGGAGGAACACCGACTCCAGGTGGATTCAATGTAGGCTGTGACGTGATTGCCCCATCAGTTGGAGCATCTTCTTTCGTGTCGACTTCCCTCTTTGTAGTCTGGTCTTGCTGTCTGGCCTCACTCTCTTTCTTCCATCTGGTTTCCTTTCGTGAGAGCTCTACATCCAGAACTCTTGTGCCAGGTGCGACTTTCGACTTCAACCCATCATCATCTTTGTCGAAGTAAAGAGCCCACAAAGAAGGTGCTTCTTCGACCACACACCATCCCTCCCATCCTTCAAACGTAAGTCGGCGATCTTGTCGAGAGCAATCAAAAGGACCAGTCAAATTTGGTTGGGCATCGACCCGGACCCCATACTTGGCTTCGTGGGTGTCTTTGTCAATATAGACCCAGTTCAGCATGGGAGCAACATCGGTGATGGTCGTGACAAGGCCTTCATAATCTGAGTCGGGGTATGGTAGATAGTATCCAGCATAAGTGTGACCGAAAGGCACACCATCTTCAGTTGTGGTATCTATCCAAAGCTGCAGAGAAACAATACAGAAAATCAGTTCTGGGCTGACGGGAATAGGGGGTCCAGATACTAAAGTAATGCCTGAGTGACTAGAAAACTTAGTTGAGACATACCTTGCCATTACGAAGCACAACTGGACGGCCATCAATTTCACGACTCCGCGCTGAAGACTTGACACATGACGCGATAAGGTTGCACCGACGGGCGCGGTGTTCTTCGCGTTTCTCTTTCGACTGAGACTGTCGAATAGCTTCTTGACTTCCAAGTAGCGCCGGAGCCGACACGATTGCAATCAGTATTCCCAATACCATTTTCGGGACATATGAAAGTGTAGGAATAAACTCGATACAATAGCTGCGATGCAAAATCTGCAGTGTCGTGATCCGCGCAGGCCGATGAGCTGTGCACGGTGTTAGAATGCATATACATTGCATAGGCATCTAGAAATCTAGGCTTGTTGAATGAGGTGGGTGCAGAGGATACCCGGAATATGCAAACCATATTCAAGGGAGACAGCTATACCGGAATCAAACATAGAGCTACTCACGCACACCAAGGATGAAACTTGTCGCTTTAGAAACTTGTCAACACATGGCTTGACATTTTTTTCTCAATCGTCCGATTATGAGGCCAGTAAGACGGAAATCCTTCTGTACGGTCTTTAATTGTTCTATAAACATTTTAGAAATATGCTGGCAGCACAAGTTTTACTTTTTATCACATTCAGCTGCAGTTGATACCCGAAAAATCGTGCCATCTATGCCTGGGCGTTCGTGTTTGAAGTTCTCGAATTGATCATTTTAAAGCCCGGGAGAAGTGTGGCCTGATTGTGGTGTGTTTTTTGGCAGTAGAGATCTGAGTCTCAAACACTAGCCCCAGGCCGCCGACCACCAGATCTGCGCCACTATTGGCGTAAGGTCTCATCCGTGCGGGAGGACCCACATCCCTCTTACGATGTAAACTTCAATGACATGATCATTCAGCTGCATTTGGCCCATGACAGCTCAAAAAGATTACCATGGCTTTCTGCAATGCGTTAGCCGTCGATCATGCTCTGGTCAGGCTAGGTCCGGAGCCCTTCCGATGACTCGCCATAATGGATAATGTAAGAGAATACATCTTAAAAAGCAAAACCACCAATCCCAGGCTGTAAAATCGGCAGTTGTGAGACTCGAACGACACGGGGGCCACAGAGTCAGAGTTGCCACACTTTCAGTCTCGAACGGCTAGGATCGCCCATGGCGGATGTGGCCGGAGCGTCTTGGTTGGGCGAGCAATACCTTTCAGAAGCTTGAGATAGTCGAGCGACACTGAAGCAGTTGATGAATACTTAAGGCTCAAGTCCAACTTAACTTTCAAGAACCAGAACACTCAATCCACTCCTCATTCACTCTACCATTCAAATCAACTATCCAAACGCCAACGCATTCATTCATTCGCAACACCACTCAACAATACAATCACTGCCAATTTTCTCATAGTCACCCAAACTCAAAATGTCTACCGTGTAAGTTTTTATTCAGCCAGATGTCCTCAGCTGTTAACAGACTTCACAGTGACTCCGTTCCCCGCCCTCTCGGCTACACCAGCGACTCCGAGACTGATGGACAAGCTTCCGGCGGCCGCAAGATCTCCCAGAACGGTCCCAAGGCCCCTACTTCCTCGGGCCTCAACCGCCCCGCCGGCTCCATCGTCAAGGGCCCCGTCGACGACAACGGAAAGCTCAAGGACCCCGCTCTTCTTCTCGGAATCAAGCTCGACTTGGAGGCAGAGATTCACTTGACGGCAAGGATTCGTGGAGACATCACCATCGGGTTGTATTAGACAATACAGGCAGGGCTATGGGAGGAGTCCAGAGTTTACGACATTTTTTCGGTTATATGTTGCAACCACCACGGTTCGGGTGTCACTTGATTCATGAATGACAGTATAAGCATGGAGTACTGGATATCATTAAAGTAGAAGAGGCAAAAAATATCTCGGTTTCGTCTTAAAGGTTTCGTTCTGCGCATGTGATGCTTGGGCAACATGACCCTGATTCAGCTCTTTGGATATTCACTACCGACAGTCGACGCCAACATCCAATCCCGGTCCATGTGTTCCTTGGTGACTTGCTCTCGAAGAAGCGATGGTTGAGTACAAGTTGCATTTCTTCTGCTCGAAGGATGTGCTTTGCGGAAAACATCAACTCGCTCGGTGGAGGAGAAGAACTCGGATATATCAGGTCTTCAATCACAAATAAATAGCGGAACACACCCTGAAGCATTCTTGATATTATCTTGAGTGCGGTACTACGCGATCATGTCATATGCAGCGTTGTCTGTTTCCTATGTCTACAAGTATCGCGTATGACGGTTGCACAATTTATAGCCTGTGGCGTAAGCCTATGATTCTTTCTAAATTCGGAACAACTGAGGCATCGACTCCATCACATAATTACATGAGGTAACAGCTCGCAACTGGCCATGAAGAGTTCGGTTACCACGAGCGCTAGCCAGCTGTGGCATGCAGCTCGTCCATTTCGATAAACATCACACTACCTACTATCTCGCCAGGCTTCTACTCATACACCCGACAAAAGAAATCGCAAGGAAATCACCCAGATATCTGTCCCGACCACAAGTCAGCAATCATGGCCAGTCCACTACGATGGGGTATCCTCGGCACCAGCTTCATCAGCCACACGGTCGTTGACGCCATTGCCCAGAGCCCAGGATCCACAGCGCACGCGGTATTCGGACGAGACGAAGCTAGACTCGCTGCTTTTGCCAAAAAATTCAACATCGCGAAGCGATATACAAGCATCGAAAGCCTGCTCGACAATGACGAGGTGGATGTGGTATACGTTGGACTGCCGAACCACATGCATCATGATGCCGTGGTAGCCGCGGCTAAGCGAGGCAAGCATTTGTTGTCGGAGAAGTCACTGTGTACTACGATGCAAGATGCTCAATCCATGGCGCAAGCATGCCGAGAAGGGAAAGTTTTCTTTCTTGAAGGTCTGATGTATCTCTGCCATCCAGTGATGGAGAAAGTGGGCGAGATCATCCGGTCGGGTGAGCTTGGTGAGCTGCGATCGTTGAATGGGCACTATGCGGCGAATATCTGGAAGAAGGCGAATCCATTGGGAATGGGGACCATCTATAATTTAGGATGCTATCCGGCGTCGTTGATGCACTTCATCGTGGAGACGTCTTCGGGGAGAGAGGCGTTCACCAAACGTCACGTGCAGGCTAGCGGCAATCGACACCCCGAAACGAACGTGATCCAGGATGCTTCTCTCATTGTGCGTTTCGAGGATGGTATCTTGGGGAATGTGTTCTCGACCGATAGTTATGGTAATGATTTTGGGTTCACTGTGATGGGCGATAAGGCCGTTATGCGGTTCAAGACAAATCCCTGGCTTCCTAAAGCGGGGGACAACATCATTGAAATCAAGCCATATAAGGGTGATGCCCGCCAGATCGTTGTGTCTGGCGAATTCGATGCATTTGGATACCAGGTTAGAAAAGTTGAGGATTACTTGAAAAGTGGGCGTCTTGAAGCAGCGCGGCCGTCACTCAATTTGGAGCAGTCTGTAGATCTGATGGGTTTGCTGACGGAATGGGAGCACAGTATCGCGTGAACTTGAACTTTGGATAATGAATGATACAATGCTAAGGGAATGACGGAAGTTGGATTCTATTCTAGGATGAGACATGGATCTATAATGTGGAATGTTGACAAGTAAATCATCGTGAGACATGATCTATGATACGATACAAAGGGTTAGACAAGAGAAAGATCGAAACCGGCAACCTGTTCCTCTTCAACTAACTCTTAATGACTTCTTCGTCATCATTCTCCGGGTTGATTCTGATCACCTTAGTAACCTGACTGCTCAGGTTCGGCCACTCCTCCTCAGCCCAAACAGTATCTTGTCTGCATTCGCGGCCTTTGGTATCGGGCGGAAGCATGGACATAGACAACACCAGCACAAAGCTCAGCCATGGCCCGCGAAGCCCGTGCGTTGAAGATCTTGGCTTTTTCCGGGGTTTTGACATAAGGATCGCGCCAGTCTTGATCCCTTCACATTTGCGCAAGCGTTCTGTACCTGCGTCGGTCTTCCTTGTTACACCATCGTGTAGCTTTGTCCTGATAAGACTCCCCCTTCGGACCAGAGTAGAAGAGACAGTTATCGACGCCGACCTTTGTAAGTTCTTGCTTGATGCGTGATTTCGTTGGTATTCCATCGTCGCCGCAGTCCGATCGTCTTGCTTCGGGGTATTCTGAACACTCGTCGTGATATTCTATACATTACCCATAATAAGTCCTGATATCTTCACTCAGTATGGGTGAGAGACCAATAAAATAGAAAATCAATAATTCTCGACGAGATTCAATTTTGATCAAATCCAAAGTAGTGGCTCATTTCCTCGTACAGATATCCCAACAGTGGCGGAATCCAAACGCTAATGGCAACAACTTGTCCAAAGCCCCAATCCGTACGATCCATCATGTTCAGGGAGGTGCCGATGGATAGAAGCGAAAGTTGCATTCCTACACCAGCGAGAAAAAGTAGGCTGAGAACGACGTACAGAATTGCACCTAAACTGAGAGAACCAAGGAAGAGAATATTGTAATGCGGTCCCTTTCCAGACAGTGGTATTTCTACTTTTCTGTTCTCTCCCCTGTTTCTTCTTTCCTTTTTTTCGAGGGAATTTCTTCGTGTGAAACATTTTGGCGCGAGCATGCCCAAAAGACAAGCCGTTGCGAAGCTCCAGATGATGGGTGTTAGAGCCCTAAGTTTCCGCGACGCCGCCGTGATGTCTTCCCGTCCTAGAACGTTGTTCTCCGGACACACCGCAAGCCCGGAAAACCCACCACACTCGTCAATCGCGGACAATTTGTACATGAATTGCTGGTATGCGCGATATCGTTTTATTTCAGACTGGATTTCGTTGTTGATGGGAGTGATGCCGTGATACAAAGTCCAGAAGACGATGGAAGATAGAAGCCAACAGGTAATGGTCAACAAGGTTACGTCTGGAGTAGCCTTTTTGCAGTGGATCAATATCATATATGCGAATACTACTGGGAGAACTCCGTTGGTCGCAAGCGGTGTGAGCATGAACGTCATCAGTAGATTTGTGTTGAAGATGTTATAACTAAGTGAGGCGATTTGAATGGTGGCACTGAAGTAGCACTGAGCCTTGTGGAACTGTAGAAGAAACGACTCGAGAACTTCTTGGTGTGTTTTTTCCTCCTTAGAAGAAGAGTAATGTTTCCTGGGCGCTGATTTGCTGTTGTCCGCCTCACCTTCCACTGCCAAAGGAGGAGGGTGGCGTTCTCGTCCTTTACGATTAAAGACTGTGAAGGTCGACAAAGCGAACCATATGACAACAACGAGCATGCATTGCATGATGTAGGATGTAAAAACCTTCTCAACTCAGATCATGTATTCAGAGGAAGAAGAAACACTCACCCCGATCCCCACAACATCGGCATCTGCAAATGGGAGAGAATCATACTGCGTACTACACAGCGAGGTCAAGCATTGATCAACCCCCTGCAGATTTGGTTGTGTACTATTGTGCAGCATATTCACAGCTGAGCAGTCTTGTCTACACTTCTCTGCACTCCTTGCATTGCGACAAGTCATAGTCAAACATTCCGTGACCGCACTCGTGACTCGTCTGAGTTGACTCTCAGCAGCTCGAGGGGATATATTACTGCCGATTGCGGATGTGATATTTGACGGCAAGCTACTCTGAGATAAATATCCAGCCATAGCAGGCACGTTTACGCATGTAGCAAAGCGTCGTTTAGGTCCATATCCGTTGCCGCTGAAGCCATCAATCTCAAGAATCGACTGATAGATAGTGGAGACGTTGGAACAGTCCTCCAGGCAGTTGCCGCTTGAACATACATTTGGTCCAAAGGTTTTCGCCTGGCTGTCAAATGCGGCCTGACACGCAGAAGAAGATGGATTATCCGGATAGCAACAGTCCAGGCCCGGTTTGGTGGGATCGCCAATGTCTTGACAGTACAAAGGAAAATCGTTCATGATGATGTGGTGATCGCACTTTCGAAAGATTCACCCGGACAGTTGTTGAAATTCTTTCACTATTTATATATCTTGGCCACGTTGTCGTAGATCGAGGCTGTGTGATGTCATCTCTCAGCTGGGACGCCTGAGCGTAACATGTTGGGGCCGTCCGCAGTGTCCATTCTCGTATTGTTGAGGGCTTACGGCAGAAGCTGATGACGATCATTATATTTTAGCGATTATCGTCGAGACACGTTGAACCCATACCTAGGCGTTTGCGAATTAGTAGGGAATGGCGCAGGCAGTGATGGGATGTGCTGGTTTTGTGTACGCCAAATGCCTTGCACGAGACAAATAAAAGTAGACGGATTTGCCTACGTGCAGCGGATCTGGCATTGATCGGTATTCCGTGATAGAGGCCCAATCGGATTCTACAGAGCAAAGACACGCTTCATTTCATGTGTCCCTCGATATAATTCCTTCTACACTGACAAAATAAGAAATGCTAGCTCGGAATTGTCAGTTCCAATAAGAACGGCTTCTTGGATCCGCTGCGGCTGATAGGATATATGAAAGCCAGCATTTACCCACAAAAAGGGTCGCAAAAGCGACTGCGTAAGCCCCCATTCAACAGGAGAAACATTCTGCAAAAGTCTCACCAACCAATGATTCACCTCTAGCTGTTCCTCTGATATCCCTCCCCACTGGAAGGACTGAACCACCAATCCAAATTCAGCGTCTCCACCCACGTCTGGTCCCTCGCATCAATGCTGTCTCGCACAAATTCTTTCCACTCATAGAATGGAGAGTAATCCAGAAAGGTACAGATGGAGTCGTTAGTCCACTTCTCGCGCGGTGGAAACGGCGATTTATCGAATACCAGTTTACACGCGTATCGACTAGGTTTGAGGAGGTCGAACGAGCTTTTTTGCAGGATGGGATAAGGGCCTTTCCTCCAGTAGTCACCTGGGTCGATGAAACGCCCACGTGATAGTGTGATTGCGTATTCTTTAGGACGAAAGGCCGCGCTATGAACTGGAGCCCAAGGGAAAGGAGCTTCGCTGGGCGGTGGAGGGTTTTGTAGGTGTTCTTGAAGCGCTGCACCCTTGAGCCAATATGCGCTTTTGTGGTACATCGAATGCATCCGAGGACTGAGCGTTATCTCTATGTTAGCCTTGAAAATGTTTTTCTGTACTGTTCTTGGCTCAGATGGTTCATTCTTAAATGACCAGCTGAACTCCACGGCTAGGTACGATCGTTGTTCTCCATCGCAAGACAGTTGTCCGTTGCCATCTCTTTTGAATTGTATCCAGCATCTAGTGCCGAAAGTCCAGGGGTCTTTCCAGTCGCAGAGAAGAGCAAGGATTTCTTCTCTGGTCACGTTTGGTCTGTTGTTCGTGGCCATGACTCCGAGGACGAGTGTTTAGAGAGATGACTCGCTGCAAGTACTGACTAGACAAACTGAAATAATTACTAGGTAACGATACTAGATTCTGCTGGGATTTTCTCGCTAAGCGGATTTTTGTCAATCAGAGGTACATCTATATATCAGCATTGCTGGATGTGGCAGTGTATGTTGAGTCTCAGCACGTACCTATACTGCGCCGCACTAGGATGCACATGCTAGCTTACTATGGTTAGAAACCAAGCCCCCAGGTATTGTGAGGCGCAAGTTGTCTAGGAACTTCCAAGTGCTGAATTGTTGTATACGTTGACCATTTCACCTATCCCGATTTTCGAGGGAAGAATGTTCCCAGTTCAGTATAAAGTCATGCAAAGAATCAGTAGATTCATTCTTGATGAGCTTCTATAAAAAACTAGGTCTAATGCGCTTATGCATATGATTGAGTGTCGACTTTTACCAACTCACGACCTCCTTACACCTATCAAAACCGCCTCTCAACTGGCTCCCCGGTTTTACCACCTTCCCCTGCAAAACAGTATACCGAATCACGTTTTCGCAGTCTTCAGGACGAATGCGCGCAAGCCATATGCACTGGGCAGCCTCGCCATTGCCCTCCTCTTCCTGTGCTTTGTTAACGTCCAACATTACCTGCTGGTTGTTGCTATCCTCGGTCTTTGACTGTCCGTCCCCGCCTCCTTCAGCCTCCTTCACGGCGGATGCCTTCCGGTAGATCATGACATTGGCTGAGAACTTGTGCCCACCAACATGACTTATGAAGTAGATGCCGACGCCCCCTGGACGCTCATCGTGTAAATCGCGGTACAGACCAAGGGGCCTGAGATGCCTCTCAAGCTCACGGCGAAGGAGAGGAGCCGATTGACCGCAGCGGGCGTCTCGTGTCTTTTGGCTGCATAGGAGAATAAGATATTTGTGAGGGCAGGGTCGAGCGGTCAATGCGGGCGCTGATAGCGTCGGAGGTATTCCTGATTCCGCGGATTCGTCGACAGATTGCTCTTGTACGAAGGGGAATGACGAGGTGTTGGTCGGGCCTTTGTTCACAAAGTTTTTAATGAGATCTGGCGTGTTCGCAGGCGTTACGTGGTCGATGAACTGGAAAGAGGGCAGAAGAAGCACGGTCGTACTGTGGTCGGAATGGTCGGGTATGGGGATGTTTGATGCAGACAGCATAAGTTTCTAAATCAGGTCAGTCGTTGGTCGAGTGATCCATCCTATGCAATTTCGACCTACCCCGTTGTCTGGTTTCACATCCCCTTTGTCCACAGCTTCCATAATGCTACCTTTCTCATCGGCCACATCGCGCACCCAGTCAGTCTTGCCCGTCCCAACTATGAGATGGGTGCTCCATCCTTTTACGTGACCGTAGAGCTCCTCGGTCTCATCAATGACGAATTTGCTGGGATATTTGATGGTGCAGCTGGAGCAGTCATGCAAGCAATCGTCTCCATCAACGGTGGGGTCGGTAGTGGGGAAAAGCGCGTCCGACGTGGGAGCCTTGGTGAATTCACCCGGCTTCTTCAGTTTCGGTACAGAGATCGACGATGAGGTCGGAGTGAGTTTGTAGTAGAAATTCTTGAGGGTTGCAGTCATCTTATAAGCCGAGTCTTTGGGATGCATGGCGTTCTCGGAGCCAGAGCTTTTGATTAGATTGATAAGATTAGATTACATAATCCGAACTTGTAGCAAAAATGGTGCTTTCTCCGGCACCTCGGATATGTACATACCTCGTTCGTATGGAAGCTTGTTGGTCTGGAAGGAGAATGGTATAGATGGAGAACTCTCAGGTTGAATCAAGATATAATTAAAGAAGAGATTTAGGGTTCTGCCTTCAGTTTTTGAGGTGTTGACAGCATCTACATCACGTGCAGACTCGGACATCTCGGATCTAATCAACGACTGCTCCGAGCTTTCACTATTGATTTCCCCGAACCGTAGCACATTTCATTCACTGCACATGCATCGCCATCAACCCATGCCAAACCCCAGCAATGCGCCTCAAGATTTTGAACGGTGCTCCTCGGTGTGAGGATCTTGATTTCAGTCCTGCGTCCCTCCTTGATGAGAAGACCGCAGCCAAACAATTCGCGCGTCAATTCGGCACAACAGAGAGCTTGTCCGACGTGAAATGGCGTCGACTTGGTCCAAAGGAAGAACAACTACACACTGGATGGTCCCAACCGTATCTTCCTGCAAGTACGACTCAGAACTTTTCATTTACCCTCCCCCATATCGAAGGCGTGACTCAACTTCCATTGGACGATACCTCTTACACAAACACCGATCTTGATCATCCATCACGTCTAGATGACTTCGTGGAACAGTCGCTCGCATTCCACGATGCACTTTTGTCTTCTCAGGTTGTTGCCGACGCGGGAGCTGATAGGACTGTGTCTTCATCGTCTTTTCTCGACAACACCTCTTTTCTCGAGTCCATGAACCCTACCGCTTCCGACCATCTCGAGGATACACATGATCAAAGGCCTGTCCTCCATATACCCTCGACATTGACACTGACAACACTGGCTTCACTTCCTACCGCTAGCTATCTCCGTTCCATCTTTCCGCAAACTCCTACTGTGAACATGATGTGCGTGGTCACTAGATCGCCTGAAAGCAAACAAGTCGTTGCAAAGAAAGGCAACTACAAAATGACTCTTCAAGAAGTCATTGTAGCCGACGAGACAATGTCTGACTTCAAGATTACTTTTTGGAACCGACCGTATAGCAAAGACCCTTCTCAAACGGCTCTAGTCAGCACGCTCGCCCAGCTCAAAGTCGGCCATGTATTGCTTTTGCGCAATATTGCTCTAACTTCATTCCGTGAAAGTGTCTATGGTCAGTCGTTGCATCCCTCGATTGTCCACGCCAGAACTACCGTGGACATTCTCGCCAATGACAACGGTGTCTCGAGTCGTCAGATCAGTGCTTTGCCCGCGCCCATCATCTCAACTCTTACGAGGCTGAGCCGGTGGGCAAAAATACATATTGCGCCCGATGTGGCACAGCTACCGCGAAAACGCAGATACCAAGATGGGTCCAATAGCAATAACGCGTCGTCATCAGCCCGCAAATACAATAAACAAGACGATATGCTGCCACCCGACACCATGGAGTCTGTTTGAAAACAAGTGTCAAAACAATGCTAGCCACCCGGATCATCAGCATCAACCATGTTTTTCCCCACACTTTGCGGATAGCAATCGATACACGTGCGAGCTGCCGGCAGTGCCAAACGGTATGCTATTCTTGACACTGTTGATCCCATCCAACTGACATCAGCGGAAATTTCAGTGGCTTTGTACGTGCACTGACAGTAAACGTCTTTCCCATGGCTCACTCCTCCTAAAGTCGACCTCCAAGCATGCACCCTACAGCAGCAACTGCAAGCATTCAGTACATTGAAGCTTTTCTTAGCCCCAGCTTCAATGGTTCCCTTTTCATCAATCTGTTTGTCAATCTTCACTCTCGTAAAAAGGTGCATGAGTGCCTAGGGGGTCCTCCGCGATCTTGGCAGCGGTCGCGGAAATTGCGACTCTCCAAATCACACGATCACGGAGCTGACTGTCACCAAGACAATGCCTACTGTGCCCCGACGGCGTGCGCCCACCCAGGTAATGTTTGTGCATTACTTCGACACGTTGCTAAACTGGTCTTCGAAGCCCACAATTGGAGTTTCGTAGTACTCATCATCATATATTTTCTCTGGTGGGATATGAATTGGATAGTCTGTAATGCATAAAGGACGATCTGAAACGCCTTCTCTCATTGGTCAGTTATGCTTTTTCATCTATCCGAAGAAACTAAACTTGTTTCAAAGCGAAGACTCGGTGTTGCACGTCTTACAATTGCGCTAAATGTAAATAGGCTACCATCGTCATTGGACAGGCGCCCTGCATGAAGTTGAGTGCCGCAAAGTCCTTTGACTCCACCACCACCAAACGGGGCTGTGCTTTCCTCATTTCATGTAGGTTCTGACAGTTGTTAAAGTAGTAGTCCAATCCAAACTTCATATTCCTCAACTATTCACTTGAGTGGTGCAGCCGTTGTTTCTTTCGTTTCTTCACGTTCGTTTGGGATCTTTCTGGATCCGTTCCATTCATTACCGGCTGGCCACAATGAAGTCTTTCTTTACCACCATCTCTGCACTAACAAGCACACTCTCTTTGCTCACATTCTCACAAGCTGCTCCTCTCAGCAATGGCACCGGCTGCAGTGTTTCCGGACGAACCGATGAGTCGACCTACTTCTCCGTTGTTGGGGTGCAAGGAACCGGGGTGCAGCCACGACAGGAACTGCGCGATCTTGAAAAAGATACCAAGAAGTGGAACATTTTTCTCCAAGCCTTTGCTCGGTTTCAGGCAATGGATCAGAACGACAAGGTCTCGTATTTCAAAGTCGCAGGTTAGTGCATCCGCCCACTCAGTTGTAAAGAGGCTCATGTTGTATTAGCCATTCACGGTGCGCCATTCGGCGAATGGGATGGCGTTAAGGGCGATGGACTAAAAGGATACTGCCCTCACAACACGAACCTTTTCATCTCATGGCACCGGCCTTACTTGGCATTGTTCGAGCAGATATTGCATGATCGAGCGGTTGACATCGCCAACGAGTACCCGGTAGGCGAAGCTCGAGACAGTGCTCGGAAGGTGGCAGACTCAATCCGTCTTCCTTACTGGGACTGGGCAATGGACCCTACCAGCGTCGAGGAGGGTGTTATGCCTGCTTGCCTTCGAAAGGCAACCGTAGGAATCACATATCCCAACGGCACCAAAGCCGAGATCCGCAACCCCCTTCTCAAGTACGACTTCCACCCGCTGAAATACGAGTTCTTTTCCGACTTGGTAAGCATTCCCGATTGGAACCTCCGACTTACACAATGGATCTAACATAGGGTAGAGTGAGTTTCAATTCAAGAACTGGAACACGACCATCCGGTCGCCATTGGATGGCGGCTCGCCCAATGCAACCAGCCGGAATGACGATGCCAACGCTCGCATCACTAACGCTCAGCCCAACAATCGTGACACTCTTTACAAGCTTTTGACTGTTCATCAACCCTGGAACCAGTGGAGTACCAAATCCTATGGCGGTGCGATCGGCAGTGTCGAAACTCTACACGATGGCGTACACAATACTTTTGGTCTTGGACACATGGGTATCGTCGAGATGTCTTCGTACGATCCGATCTTTTGGTTCCATCACTGCAATATGGATCGCCTGGCGACCATGTACCAATCTCGCTACCCAGACACATGGATCGAGGATGCTGTTCAGGTCGCTGGCACATATACAGTAGAGACAGGCAGTACCCAAGGTGCTCAAGCACCTCTCACACCTTTTCACTTGAACGCAAAGGGTGATATGTGGACATCTGATTTGTCGCGTAACTGGACATGGCTTGGATACACTTATCCAGAAGTAGCATCCAATCCCAGCAATGACACTTTGACCGCTACGATCAATAAACTATACAAGGCACAGACCCAGGGTCTTATTGAGAGTGGTGGTAATGTCACCGAGCCTGGAGCTGGAGATAACATCACCACAGCAGCCTATGCGATGGACTGGCTCGCGAAGGTCAACATGCCTTCCGATATCAAGATTTCCTACTCGGTTCGTTGCTTCCTTGGGGAGCCTGACGCAGATCCCAAGAAATGGGCCACGGATCCCAACTACGTCGGCCAGATTGGAACATTGTCATCTCCTCGCATGGATTCCGATACGATCGTAACTGGCAGTGTCGAACTCACCGAGAAACTTGCCGCCAAGTACAAATCTGGCGAACTTAAATCTCTCGACAAGAGCCAGGTAGAGGAGTGGCTGAAATCGCACTTCACTTGGCGCATCCAGGCCCTTGACTATTCCGAGATCCCACGTTCTAACCCACCCAAGGGTCTCAACGTCACCGTCTTCAACGTCCCTGTCGAACTCCCCAAGAGTGAGTCTGAAGTTCCGCAATGGGTTGGCCCGATCGAGGAGAAACCCGAGATTGAAGGCAACCCTCCAGAGCCATCCAATCCTCCGGCCCCAGCTCCAGGAAACGACAACAAGCAGGGCGGGTTTGACGCATCGAGTGGCGAATGGGTCTGGAGAGATGCGAAGAAGAGCAGCTCCAGTGCATCCACGAGTGCTAGGAGTTCTGCAGCTGCTCCTGTCCCGTCATCCCCGAGCTCATCAGCAGCAGCTCCAAGCTCCGAAATACCGGCTCCTTCTTCTTCTTCGGCTTCGGCTTCGGCACCGGCACCATCCTCGTCTTTCAACCCTCCCCCCGTCACGCAAGCACCCAGCCCCAGCGAAGCGGCACCAGAGCCTAGCAAGAGCGTTGTCATCGAGACATTGGAAAATGGCGAGGTGATTACCAAGATCGTCACAGTTGTTGTGCCCGTGACAGTCTACGTTCCTGCGCCCACAAACACTTGAAAACTCGCGGGATCGAGTCGAGTCGAGATGAGTTGATGATTGGTTTTGTGCAGATTCGAGCGTGCGTGATTTTCATTGTATATAAGTTCTTTCTTCCATTCTTCAGATCATTGTTTTGGCGTTTTCTATCTTGCGTTTTGACTTTTTCTTTCGAGTTGCGAATGCGTGCATACACGCTGGGCGTGTGTGTGTTTGTGCATTGATCTCCTAGCAGTTGACTGCTTTTATATACCACTTTGAGAAAAAACAGATAGAGCGGATGATATGATATCCACAAAATCCCTGCTAGATGCATGGGAATGAAGACATGTTTTGCGTTTATGAGGATATTCTGTTTGATGATTATGTGAGTGCGGCGTAGCAGTAGACCTATCGGGGACGAATTTGATTGACATCGACATGATCTCGGTCAGTGAGTAGATCAATATCATTCCAGATGTTAGCGACATTGATCGAGCTTTATATGTAAGCTTGTATTCATCCCTCAAAGTCATGTGGTTTCACGTGATAATTGTATTCAAATGTTCAAGTTCGCAGCGACATTGATGAAAAGCACCCTGCGAAGACTATGCAAACCAAACTACCCCTAAATAGGTGTTGAATACATCGGGGACCGAGTTGTTAGACAACTAACTTTGGAACAGCTGAGGGTCGGTCTGGAAAGTGGCCGGGTTGAATCTCAAAGGAAGGGGGCTTTTGGCAATGAATTCTGAAATGCCCATCCATGTTTGCATAGTAGAATAACTGGCTAATACACTGACCTAACCTCTATAGGCTCTACTCGTACATATTTATGCCGTTGGAAAGTTGGGACCCGCTTTTCTTTGATGTCTGGGGAGATCGCGTTAGCACTTTTCGTCAGGTCTTTGTCGTCTCATACGCGACCATGCAAAGGATGCTACTTGGAAAGCTAGGTGGGATGGAGACCTATTACCTTGCTGTACAGATGATAGCAGGAGTCCAAAGATTGTCGCTGTACAAGGCTACAGTTCTTCTGTTGACCGCAGGTTTGAAGCCAGCTTTTGCTTGACCCGAAATAAACGTCTTCATAGCGACATCTTCTGGGCTAATACTGAGAGTGAATACGACGCTATCAATTTGAAAGGGCTGAGATTAGATGATTTGAGGAAATCGTTTGTAGAAGAGATGGTACGGTGTGTGCCTGACCTTCATTTAATAACCTTCGACGCAAATAAGATGCCATCGGATTAGGAAATCTGGAAATTGGAGAGAGAATATTAACAATCAAGAGTACGAAGCAGACAAGTTCTGAATGGATTGAAGAAAAACCCGAGGCTTCCGACCCTACCGACTCGAAGGGTTTGAAGGGAGTGAATACAGAATGTGACGACAATGAACATGAAGATGAATGTGTTGAGGTGCCAAAGTATTCAAATTTTGGTTCATCAAAATCCGTCCAATCATGCCATCATGATTTGAACAAAGTACCACAGTCTCGAGGAGATTTGTTATTGCTCGAAAGTGAAGCTCCAAGTTAGGAATAACAGCGATCTAATTGGAAAGGATCATGATCACAGTCGAAGCAGAAAAAATATGAGTTCCGCCATGCCCGCCCAAAAACTATAAGATGTCCTTTCCTACCCGGTACTGAAGCCATCACTCCACAACCAACTTCTACTACTAGGATCTACCTGCCAGAAATCTTCACTACGAAGGAAGTGACTACCACCACGCACTAGATCTTCCACCGCCGGTCAACAACAACCATAACAACAACCCTCTTTCTGAAAACACACGTAAAATGTCCACTCAATCTCAACCCTTCAAAAATCAGACCACAGATGCGGTGCAGCATAACCAGTCCTTCCCAACACCAGAGCGCGAACCCGACTACTCCTCCCAAAGTAGCGATACAAACTCGCCCGGCGCTTTCAGACCTCCTTCACCAACCCCCTCTCTACAACGACAACTTGACAGCCTCTACAATGAAATACGCCTTTCTTCAACACTGCGGCTCGAAAACAACCAGTATCGGCCACAAATCTCAAACATCAACGACTGCTCCGCCTTCGTCACCTTGTCCTCCCCTGTACCACCAGAGTCCTCTTCAAGTGTGCCATCGTCTCCCGAGGAGGACTCGCATTCAGAGCGCTACTGGATGACTGCAGATGGGGAGTTGTGGGAGGACGTGAATCAAGTTATGCAGAGGGGACTGCCTAGGAGAAAGAAGAGGCGCAGGGGGAGGAGGAGTGAGTTGTCGGAGGCGAGGGGCGATGATAATGAGGAGGATGATAGGAGGGAGAAGACGTGGTGGCTTGTTTTTGGGGGATCTCTGCTGGTTGTGCTCGGGTTTGTGGGGTACGGAGCTTGGGTTGATGCGAGGAGTGTGAGTGGGTAGGTTCCAAGGTTGTTATGTATCTAGGGAACCTTCGAGTAGTATGAGTACATGTATTGCAAAATATCAATATGAATTTCTCGCTTACTTGTATCTGCACATATTCAAGCAGCTTGAATATGTATATACCAGATTCTACATCACTCCTCGTGTTTATCGTAGACTAAATGAGTGGCCGTTAAACAGAAATTGGTACATGCAGCACAGAGATGCAAGAGTCCTTGATTTTCTAAAACCTACTGATTAAAGACCAGTCTTCGGTATTGTGGATTTGATTTCATGACGACATCGTAATTGCGCACGACTCGAAGGGCACTCGAGTGAATGGCTGGATCACGTGCTGAAACTCACGGGATCGTCCGTCGGGGGTAAGCGGGCGGATGTACACTACTTATCGCCGGACTGGCGATGATGACTGAACAGAAGGCCGCCGAGTCTGGCTGGAGCTTCACGAAATACCTCTTGGTAATAGCGGATCCGCCACTCCGATACTTTTCCTGTTATTCCCTCACTCACTCTTTTCTTTTCTCTCATTTCCATGCCAAGACCGATGTTTCCTCCTCTCCTTCCATAGAATCCGTGGGCACTGACGTATCCTCCACCACTCATCGCACCTCACCGCCGCAGCTTACCATACAAGCAACCATACTTACAACGGCCCAACCACCATTTCTGATAATCTGATTCACATAAAGCATCAGTGGTAGACCAACGCACCCAGAAATAATCCCAAACGGGCAAACGGCCTCGATTCCCGTCCTCAAACCCCGCCGTCGCCGCTATCATCAACCGACAGTCATGTTCACCAGTTTCTCCGGCAACACACGACGCCCGCGTCAGGTCAATCTCGGGGGCCGTAAAACACACGCATTTGGCAGCGCTGGGCCTGGAGCGGGATCTCAGGCCGCCCTCGACCGCGCGCAGCAGGATAGGGCCCAGAGGCAGCGGGAGCGCGAGTCGCTCAAGGCGGCGAAGACAATACAGCGAGTGTGGAGGGGTCATCGGAGCAGGAAAGAGCTAGCCGACAAATTGAGGTCGGACTGGGATAAGCTTGAGGGAACACAGAATCAGACGCCGTTTGCATCCGAGGAAGAAGCCTATGGCCAACTGCTGCGGCTCGTCCAATTTGCGAGCACCCACAACCACGAGGATGCAGATCGAATATGGAAGTTCACATCGCGCCAGATGCAGACGATACGGAAGTCAGGTCCTCTCGTTGGGGGTGCTTGGCCGTCGGCTTACCTGAAGCTGGAGGGTGTGGTTTTGGCTATCATTGAACGGCAGACCGCATTGTTCGCACTCGAGTCTATCAAGAAGTCTCTCGGGATCCTTCGATTTATCGCAGAACAAATACCGGTCGAAACGTCGCGGAATGCCCAACGCTACTATACTGTCCTCGCCCGGGTTGCTTCCCAGGTGGATTTCATGGACGAGTCCGGGGAAAATAAGGCTCTGGTCGACCATCTGAGCGAAACTGTTATCATACCGCTGAAAAACATGTCTAGCCATGTTTTGAACGCGTACGAAGTTTTTGGATACTCCTTTCTACCTCTCCCCGTCCTTGCCGTGGATGGCGACTCGCCCTTTGCGGCAAAATTCCGTGATTCTCTGGCAGACGCCATCAACTACAAACTATTAGCGAATGCCCTCGCGACATCACTCACTGATGGAGGCTTGAAGGAACGCAGGGAACTGGCGGAAACTGGTGATCGGCTACGTTTTCTAGGCCTCTTCATCTACCTACATCGCTTCGCCCATAATTTCCACTCCCCGGAAGCGTATTCGGTGCATAAGGACTTTGTGGCTGTTATTTCGCTGCTTCTCAATTCGCTCCCCACAAATCTAATCGAAGGCTCGATGCGGGATGACATAGATCAGGAACAGCCCATCAACGATTTTTTGAGGGATCAGATATTATCCTTGGTCAACCAAGAAGGTATCGCCAACCTGCTGTCTGCATCGTCGCAGTCTTCAGAAACAACCGACGACGAAAAGGTGGACGAAGCTAGGCAACTTGCCAACTACGCCTTGGCTCTGTTGCGGTTCTTCCCACAGAGAGGCGACGAGATACGTATGTGGTTGTATATCGGCCCATCCACTTCTCGTTCGAAGAAGTTGCCTGCGATAAAATATTTCTGGGAGGCTGCTAAGCGGACATCTGTATTTGCGAAGATATCAAGAAACTCACGGGTCGTCATCGACCTATTGCGTCCCAAGGCCGGCGATACGCACGAGTCGTCGGGCTTTGAGTGGCAAGCTCCACAGCAACAGCTTGACCAAGAAGCAGTCACCGCTCACGAATGGCGCGTCATTCTGGTATTTCTCGAGCTATATACATTCATTTTGAAAGTCACGGATGATGAGGAGTTCTTTGCCGGCAGTCGAGATATATCTGGCGAGGCGCGCGATAATTCGTTGCCGCTTCCTGATGTCAAAGAGCTGGCTACTTTCCTCAAAAATTTCGGGTTCACGATGTACTATAATGCTGCTGATATCAACGAACCTGAGCAGCGTGACTCCAGCAGCACAAGCCTCAGCTTCTTCGCTCCGAAGGCGTCCGAGCCAGTCCCACAGAAGCCGGCCGAATTATCAGTCGGGGGTGTGGCCGGTTTGAGTTTGGATTATGTCAAAGGGCTTGTCACAGGTCTCGTCCGTAGCATTTACGAGCGTGATTCACGGCGCAAGTTCTTACCTGCAGACCAATGGTTGATGTCGAGATTCCACATGGATGAAAAGTTCATCGATATGATAGTGACTGAGGAAGAGAGTAGACACAAGATACAGGAAGAGGACGCTGAAGACGTGGACGACGTGGAGGAGGAAGAGTTTGATGATACCCCTCATATCATCGGTACCGGCCAGGCCCAACGACACCGCAGTGTGGAGTCACGACAGCGTCAGTTGCGCAAGCAGTCACGCCGACGGTTTTTGCAAGCTGTCGCTCCCCGATTGGAGATTGTGCAGAATATGCCCTTCTTCATTCCATTCACGACGCGGGTGCAGATCTTCCGGAAATTCGTGCACTTGGATATGGTGAGTTGTCCTCCTTTGCTCACGTTTTACAACATGAACTAACAGACAGTGCAGGCGAAACGCAGGGGTAGCACCGATCCCGAGATGTGGCGAGCGGGACTCATGCAACGCCCCGATGCTGGTTCTATCTGGGCAAGACATACAGCGCGTATCAGGCGCGAACACGAGTTCGACGATGCTTTTGCGCAGTTCTACGAGCTTGGACAGGCTCTCAAGGAGCCAATCCAAATCACATTTGTCGACCAGTTCGATCAAGCCGAGGCAGGCATCGATGGCGGGGGTGTGACCAAGGAATTCCTCACTAGTGTTACAAGCAGAGCATTCATGCCCACAGATGGAATCGACATGTTTGTGGAAAACGATCAACACCTACTTTACCCAAACCCATCGGCCGTTGAAGAGTTAAAGGAACGCTTGAGAGGACATGGGATCCCCGAAAATACACCCGAGTTTCGACTCCAGGTTTCCGAGTTTCTGCAGCGCTATGAGTTCCTAGGCCGCATCATTGGCAAATGTATGTACGAGGGCATACTCGTGGATGTCAACTTTGCCCCCTTTTTCCTCCGAAAATGGGCTCTTACCGGCGGTGCTGGTTCCGCGCCTAACGAATCGGGATACCGCCCGTCGCTCAACGACCTGCGTGACCTTGATGAAGGGCTATACCAGGGTCTCCATAAGCTGAAAACTTACCCTGGTGACGTGGAGGATTTCTCACTGAACTTCACAGTCACCGACACTATCACCGTGGACCCGACAACGAAAAAGACAAAAACCGCCACCAGAGATCTCAAAGCCGACGGTGCTAATACGCCAGTCACGAACCAGAATCGCCTAGTCTACATCAGCTACATGGCGCGACACCGCTTGCAGGTTCAGCCCTATCTCCAGACCACCGCTTTTCTCCGGGGCTTGAGTAGCATGATCCAACCTAGCTGGCTTTCCATGTTCAACCAGGCCGAGCTGCAAACTCTCATCGGCGGTACCTCGACTTCCATCGACATTGAGGACCTGCGCCGCAACACCATTTACGGCGGCACTTACGTTATCGGCGATGATGGGCTCGAGCATCCGACGGTTCGCATCTTCTGGCAGACAATGAAGGAGTTGAGCGACGGGGAGCGACGTGCAGTGCTAAAGTTTGTGACGAGCACGCCCCGCGCACCACTATTAGGATTTGGAACGTTGAATCCGAGGTTCAGCATACGCGACGCTGGTAGTAATCAGGAAAGGCTGCCGAGCACGAGTACCTGTGTCAATCTGCTCAAGCTGCCCATGTACAGCACCCCCGATGTGCTGAAGGAGAAACTGCTGTACAGCGTCTTTTCGGGTGCTGGGTTTGACCTGAGCTAGTCAGTTTCGGACCTTTGTATCTTCTAAATCCACTTCTGTTCTCGGGGCGTTTACGACGATTACGGTCTTAAGGTATATGGGTTGACAGGTTGGAAGGAAATTCTTATCGCATTTTCGGGTGGAGGGCAAGTAAAGCATCGATCCGGATTTATGATCTTCTGGAGTAGCGTGTTTGAATACCCCCCCGCTTCTCTTTTCCTCTGGTTCGGTCTCTTCTGCGATGAGTGTCTAATGCGGGTGCATTTACATAACAGTGAAGCTTGCTCAGCCCATGGCATGCGAAGGATTGATCCAAATATTATCTTAGAAATCGTTGCTCGCCGTACGTTTTGTTCACTTGAACTTTGATTTCCCCTAGTCACTCAGGAAGGCCCTATCACCAACGAGCTTCCTCATATGGCTCTAGCTCTTCATCCTAAGCTTCCACCCAACTGCGGGGACGAAGCTTTGACACTTGAGCTTATCATTGCTTCGTCTTTACCTTTCCCGTCCGAACCCGTTAATTTTCTTCAAGCATGGATGTGACGTATGCATATGTAAATGTACAGGGCATAGCTCTGTTAGCTCTAAACTCAATCAGGAAGGTCGGCTCAGGTCTTGCAGGTAGAGTCAGCATCGCAATTGTCGCCCATTGGATCGGTTGATGAGAGCTACGAGAAGCTTGCTTGCGGCGGGAGCTTAGCTGTGTGGGAATGGAGGTATAAATTGAACTGATGTCACCGCTTGGGTGGGTTTGTCGCTGCGGTGCTGATATAGTGTTGCGGTACGCGCGCACGATTGAATTCTGAGTAAGTGTATTTTCATTGATTGGGGGGATGATTGTACGTTCCTCGATGCTTCGATAGGGAATTGAGCACGGGGAAGAGGAATTTGTGGTTGAAATTGTGTTGAGTTGGAAATAACGACGGGTACGCCTCTGTCGGGTAGCACATGACAGATATAAAAGACGAAGACATGGGGGACCATCAGTTGCTCAAACGTGACGACATTGACAAGTTCACCACAGAAAAAAACCATCAGAAAAAGCAAGCCCGAAAGTAATAAGCCAGGCACCATGCCATCCCTCTTCAACACCCTCCTCTTCACCCTCGGCGCAACCACCACCCTCGCGCAATTCGTGACGCCGCCCACGAATCTGACCACCAAAGTCGGCCACGCAAATGTCACGCTCCGCTACAAGGCCGTCCCGCCAGGGATATGTGAGCTGTCGCCCCTCTACAAATCCTACTCCGGCTACGCAGATATCTCGTCAACATCACACATCTTCTTCTGGTTCTTCGAGGCCCGCGTGCCGGATCCTTCCTCCGCGCCTCTCACAGTCTGGATCAATGGTGGCCCTGGATCCTCCTCCATGATTGGTTTGTTCCAAGAATTGGGCCCCTGTGGCGTGGGACCCGATCTAAAACCTTTCAACAACGAGTTCTCGTGGACGGCAACCAGCAACATGATCTTCATTGATCAGCCGTCCATGGTGGGATTTTCGTATAGCGACCCTGTAGTCCCGGCGTTCAAAGACGATAAGGGATATATTGTGGAATTGCCTGAGAACAAGTGCCCTAGTTATGTAGAGGAGAAGTATGGAGGGTGCGGGACGTGGTCGAGGGCGAATCTGGAGCGGACTGTGAATAGTACAACGGCGGCTGCAGATGGGATGTGGAGAACGCTGCAAGGGTTTTTGGGCGTTTTCCCAGAGTATGGGAAGGCGGGAGTGAATTTTGCGACGGAGAGTTATGGAGGTATGTCTTTCTATCACCTTTCGGATTTTATGTTTGGAGAAATAGAAGTGACGCCGCTGACTTTGACTCCCCAGGTCATTACGGCCCCCTCTTCAACGCCTATATCCTCGACCAGAACGAGATGAATCTCCCAGACACCATACCCATTGACCTCCGCTCCGTGCTAATCGGAAACGGATGGTTCGATCCTCTCGTCCAATACGAAGCCTTCTACAACTTCAGCGTCAACCCGGGAAACTCATACAACATTGCACCCCCCAACGATACCGTCCGCGAGGAATGGTACAACAACATGTACGGCCCAGGAAACTGCTACGACCAAACTATACAATGCTACGAATCTGGCCGCGATGACGTCTGCGCGCGCGCCGACAGCTTCTGCTACGACAAAGTCGAGTACGTGTACGACGAGTATACTGAAGGTCGCGACGAGTACGATGCGCGATATCTCACTCCCGATCCATTTCCATACTCGTACTATGTCGATTACTTGAATCTTCCGGAGATTCAAGCTGCGATTGGTGCTTTTCAGAACTTTTCCGAGAGCTCGTCGACGGTCAGTGCGGCGTTTGCGAGTACTGGTGATGATGATCGTGAGATGGGGATCCTAGCTGCGAACAAGAAACTGCTAGATGCCGGTGTGCAAGTCATGCATTATTACGGTGATGCTGACTTTGTATGTAATTGGATAGGAGGGGAAGTTGTTGCAGGGAAGATTGGCGCGGAGGGATTCGACGAGGCTGGTTTTGTGGATGTACAGACTTCTGACGGGGTTGTGCATGGACAAGTTAAACAGGCTGGGCTGTTCTCGTTTGTGCGAGTTTACGAGTCTGGTGAGTTTCTCGACAATATTTTCTCCTTGCTCATTCTCAAAGGCTTTTGCATCACGCCAGAAAGAGGTTACTGACCGCGATAACCACCAGGCCATGAAGTACCTTTCTACCAACCTCTAGCCTCCCTCGAGATCTTCACTCGCGCCCTCAACAACACCGATATCTCCACTGGCCTTATATCACTCCTTCCATTCGACGACCAGACATACTCGTATAAGACCGTGGGTACACCAACGAGCGAATACAAGGAAGGAAACGCGACGGTTCAGTTCGACGTCACGCCTAAGAACGCGACATACAACACTAAGCTTAACGCTCCTGATCCCGTGCCGACATGGGGTGCTGCTGCCGGGGGATCTGATAAGGTGAAGCGTGAGAGTGCGGGAACGAGGAAGAGAAACGACATGTTAGGACGGCAAAGACAGAGACAGAGGCGGGTTAGGGGTGAAAGGATGGGAAGCCCGGGGAGATTTGGTTGAGGAATTGATATGTAGGGTGGCCTAGATGTCCAGTGAGAAGAACCTGCATTCTATGATTCCTTTCTCATGACCTGGAAAATGTTTGGTGTCTCTGAAGTGACACTAGAAACTAATATATTCTCTGCGTCGTGATAGTATAGGAGCTTTTTATTCTATCGATTGAGCAAGATTATATGATGGTGTTGTTGTTCAAAGTGCTTTTTAACGCACCAGACTTGTGTTGTTACTACTCCCAGCCACGGTTTTCAGATTGACAGTGAACCACGGTACACCAGAAGAACAGTTGCACAATCCCGCCTCATCCCTTTCTTCTTTATTCCCGACGGATCCCGTAAAAACCCAATAAGGAATTGGACTAAGTTTTGTAAATGTTCAAAGTCCGCTTGCGTCTGACGATGCGATTTGACTGTGCGACGCCATCTTTCAAACAACGTAGGCGTTTGAATTGACCCCTTCCGCTTTTCTAGCCGCGAATCGAGAACTTCTTTCGTGGTTCTTCTCGAGTGATGCAGCCGAATGCGAGATTTCTGACGTCTTCCACGTCTTGAGATGTGAAGCTTTCTAACGAGAGCGACACGCAGGAGCTCCAAAGTATAAAAGGCGAGTGTCCAATCCGCGATCAGAACGAAAATTGACATCCGGCTCAATCTACTCTTTCGAATCCAAAGTTCCACAGCTTATAAGGCGTCATGTTTCCATACCCACTATCCCGCGCAACACCATGCGAGCTCTGACTCCCGACGTGCTGCAAAAGCACAGGCGTAATCGCCCACCTCATATCCCCAATCTCCCCACTCATACCATCGGCGTATTTCTCAATCAGACTATCGACGGGTGTCTTGTTCCACTCATTCTGGTGGAACAAGGGAAGAACATCGTCTTGTACGGTGGCGCGGGGGAACACGAGGGCTTGTCCGCAGCACGCGTATTCTGGCATGAGTTGTACGCCTTGAGGATTCGGTAGCATGCAGACTGCGCCGGCGGAGAAGTATAGGCTGATGACGGCGGGCGTGAAGACGAACGTAACGAGGAGGATGGAAAGGGTGTGGAGGCGGAAGCTGCGCATCAGTTTGTGAGACTGGAAAGCTAGTAGCGCGAAGAAGACTGTGGCTGCGATGCCGGCGGAGAGGAGGAGGTATCTTGGCCAAGACTCTGCGTTCCAGCCTTGGATACTTTCGTAGTAGAACAAACGCAGGTAGTAGACTGTGCGGTAATTAGTAAATCTTCAAAGTGTTTGCGGTTTCGGACGTACAGTTTTCGTATCCCATCTGCTCGGTCTGTGTTTTGACTGTGGATAACGCGTCTTTTGTCTTTGTCCACCATGTTGATGTAAAAACGACGTCATCCTCAACCATCAGCACATAGTCGCTATGCGACTTCAGACATTCGCTCATAACCAGAGAATAGTCGAACTTGGACTTCACTTCGTGACCACCACTTTCCTCCATTTCCTTGGCTACATCATAAGTGGTGTCGTTTTCCGATCCGTAAGTGAGAAGTTTGTCGGCCATACCGCGCAACCATGGTGCGCCAAAGTCTGGATGTACGGATTGATTCGTGTGGGCCAGTAGTACCACAAAATAGAGATTCTTCCGGTCATTCCCATCAAGTCCATCCTGCATCGAAGAAAGGGTCGTTTTGAGATATGAGAGACGTGGCCGGCGCACTGACGAAATGCCGACACATAGAGTCGTTGATGGAGACGAAGAAACTGTTGCGGGTTTGATGTCGGTGGACGTGGTACGTAGTTGAGTGAAGGATTCGGCGTAGCGATCTGCTTGGTCTATCCTATGGGAAGAATGCGGTGCAGCGTATGCGATGGAGGGTCGAAAGAAGTACGATGTTGGATCCGCGTAGCATTTGTTGCGAACAATCAGTGCGATAATGGTGAACTATTGAGGAATCAAACAATGAGTCAGGCAATCATTGGCTGTCGCGCGCGTACAGACTTACAAGAAGAAGAAAATATGTGGTCAGGCGCAAGGCCTGCTTGACATCTGGTTTGGGCTGAGAGCTTATCAACAGGGTGTATGGTTGCTTCATGATACTTCCATATGGATACTCCTTCAACCAGAGGTTGTCGAAGGGTTGGTTTTCGAGACCAGAGGTCTCGCAGTCTATTGGGAGTTTAATGCTTATGTTGTCATTTGGGTTGCGCAAGATCCTAGCAAAGCAGAAATGTGGGACACAACGAACGACACTGAGCCTAAAAAGTCCGTCATACAGGTGATCAGACGGTACTCAATGGGGAAATGCAATATCGAAATTAATAATAGATTGGGGCTATGGGGCCACTGTTGTCCATGACTGAGACCTGTCCTACCACTCCGCAATGCGGCATGAATGCTTACCGGGAGGGTCGCAGCATGATTGGACAGTGTACTCATGGAATACTTGTAACACCTTCTGGGAACAAGTCTTAGTAACTCGATGTCATCATTTAGCGTGTTGTAGTGGCTGGAGACAGTCAGCCTGGTGTTGTGATCGATGATTTGTTTGGGCAATAGCGGCCTCATTCAAATAGTTAGTCTGACTCTGCTTTTAGATGCTACTCTTTGCAGATAAGATCCACAAGGAATAGTGGATCGCACTGCTAAGGCGACCGGAAGCTTAGTATAGTAGCGGGATCCTAGATTGGATGAATACCCCCAAAACGATGTTCAGCGTGAACACATTGTATGTCTCCCACCCTGTTGCGTTTCTAAATCACATATAAGCTTACTTGTGTTGCGCGGCATGTCAATTCGCAACATGGTCTTGCTGTGACAGTCAACGTCGTTCTGCAGTCGGGCTTCGTAGACGCTAACGCAATGAAACATTTGGCAAGGCATTGCGAATCGTCATTACCCCATTTTTATTGAGCCGTGGGGCCGGCTTGGGATTAAGGATTTTGGTGAGGAACTAAGCCTCATTCTTGGCTCGTCTATGTGCTGATCTCGGGATTAGGCGACCGACTTTCAGCTTAGAATCCTCACTAAAAACTGAACAAATCACGCGAATCTTATAGAGTACAACCAGGTTTCCGGATATGGCAGGTAAGGAGAAAGATTACTAAACGGTTGTTGTTTGGAGATTATTCCTCCAGCACGCGCCCAACAAGCAATACCGACGACCATTATACAATTAGCCACCTTCGAATATATACATGTACTGTAGAACCTGACAATCGTAATTCGCCCATCCTTCTCAGAAGATGATTGCGGCGATGACTAACTTCTCAATTCTCTCAGCTCTGTCCAGAATTAAGTCAGGGTTGCTGAAGCCAATACCAACGTGCGGTCGGCTATTGGAGAGCGCCATCATTGTGTCACGTGGTGATCGTTCATCTGGCGCTTCACACGTTGTGAACTCCAAGTCGTATTTGCAACATAATGCCCTATTATTCATGACTGCTGATACTTGTAGTCTAGAAATGTCACGAATTTCTCGACATCCTCCCTAGGAACAACAATGTTGTTCACGGGATGGTCTTCCTTCGGCCAACCAATAGCAATACCGCACAGAAGCTCCGACTCCTCGTCCGGATATCCGACAATGCTGACCTGTAAGCAACACCCCACCCCCTTTCCACCCCCTTTCCACCAACGCGAGCATCAACGTTTGAACAAACAGCCCTACGCACAGCGCATCCACCATCCCCAATCCTTTGTCCATGCTCACGATCCCAACCACAGGCGCACCAAAGAATTCATAACTTCTTAATTAAGCTTGTCTATGCTTTTCCGGCTGCGAGCGTGGGATATTGTAGCCAGTGGGACCGTAGAGAATGTGTCCAAACTCGGATCGGAAGTGTCGCAGATAGGATGGGATCGGAGCAGTGCTGGGAGCGGATGTAGTAGCGGCCTCCCGAAGGGCAGCTATGGCACGGTCGCGCACAGCTCCATTGGCGAGCGTCAGTCGCCAGTTCTGAATGTTAGAGTTTGATGGAGCGAGAGATGCCAGTTTGAGGCTTTCGTGGAGGAGATTCGGTGGAACTGAATCAGTTGTGAAGACGCGTACGGAGCGTCGCTGTCGGATGCAGCTTTCGAGGAGTTTTGGTTGGTGAGTTTCATTGACAGATAGGTTCTCTTCCGGTAAGATAGATGATTCCTTATCTGCTGTCATGATAATTATTGTAGAGATCTGAATGGAGACTTGAAAGTGCCAGGCGAACGAAAATCGGGGTATAAATGCATTTCAATGATGAATAGCACATGTATCACTGGAAGAGGGGATTGTGCATACCCCAGACCCATTGGAATGATGGTTTATCTGCATATTGCTTAACAATATGCTTATGAGCGCATAAGATTGACTTGGACTGTACATGACCAAAGAGGAGCAATGTAGAAGTGGTGTCTGGGTGAGACGACTAGTAAACGGAGTCAACATTCTGTCTCTCCATTGGTCAAGATTGAGGGTCTAGTTATGTAGATTCATGCTTACGGATCACGAAAATGACGTCGGTTCCGAATCGCGGGTAGTTATTAGAATCAAGCTATCAGGAACGAGGAGGTGGTTTGTGGCAGATCAGCAACAGAAAGCATGGTCACTGGGATGCATCGAGCTCAATTCCATATTATGGGATGCGCGCCTTTCGCAGAAATACTGCTTGTAACCGGTTTGCGCAATGTAGCGAATCCCAATGATTTCAATAGCGGACAAAAAACACACGAAAGATTCGAAATTATATTGATTGCTCATATCAGCAGCTTGAAGGCAAGGACTTCCCATCCTGAACCACGTGGAGGTTTGAGCAACACCAGGACAGATTTCTGTATACTAGGATGACTCTTGGTGAGAAAGAAATGAGACTCTCGTCAGCAAATTTTTCTCCATCGAACACGTCTGCAACAATGACACGCGCTGCTGCTGTGCCGGAGATCCGTTAAATGAGCAGATGATTGGCCTTCTTGTGAAGGTCTATGTAGATGGCATTATTATCAGGTGCGGTCGGGGGTAAGTTTGTCTCTACGTATAGGGAGGCGTCCCATAGCTTGACGTTGTCATGTCATGCCCTTCGAGGTCAGAAGATTTACTCTGCCTCGAAATCCACGGCCCCAGCTAAAAAAGCTGCGTCGAGTTTCTGGCTCCCTGCGAGGTGCGCGAGGGGCGAGGGATAAGTGGCTGCTTTATCGCAGCGGCACCACACTCCTGGCCATCGAACTACCAGTTGACGGATTAACAGGAGATGTACGACAGCCCAAGCTAACATGATTGGAACTTGGAGCGCTATGTCGCGCCTGTTCTGAACAGTTCAAAGGCTCAAGAACAAAAGCCGGTGTAATGCATGGCTAGATGGGGTCGATAAAAGGCTAATCAGTCGTTGTGGTAGCACGTGTACTCGAGGAATAGAACCTGTCAGCAAAGCTTTGGTATCATTCTACAAGTTATTCACTGACTGGGTGATTAAACATTTGAATTGTACTTACCTGATGCTAGCATACGACACAATCGCAGAGAAAGCCTTATCGTGGGTTGATTCGTGGCTGAGGCTGGAGTGTCAACTGTGTCATTTATGAGGTGAGGTGGTCAGTGAGCCAGGTTGACAAGTGGGATAGCGCACGTGCCCCAAAGAGAGCATTTTAGAGTCGCAGAGGAGTTCTATACTAAAATTTCCTAATCCATAAAATCTCTTTTCTGCCATTTTGAGCGATCTGTCGCGTTGATGTACTGCCCTTCGGGAATGCTTTAAGACTCCTATGTCTGTCACGAGATACGATATATTCCCCGACATCTTCAGTGTCTAATCTGTATGATATTATACCAAAAGAGCAGAAACTTTAGTTTTTAAATGACATTTGAGTTAATATTGTCTACACATAAAAATAATTCGTATCGTGTAGTATGGTTTATTCAGCATCAAAAAGACAAAACTCTCCCGCGAGTCAACTTATGAGCTAGCACAGGACAGAATTCGGGTACCTTTCATAGCATGTCACACATTCATGGAATGGTTCAAAAATTCTCAAATATATGTTATATACCCTGAACCTCTAAGATGAACCCGTGACGGGCGTAAAAAAGCCAGGGAATAGGCGATGACTTTCTCATGATTCGGGGTTAACAACTACTACACCCAGAATTCGGTATTAATTCTCCGACTTGGAATAATAAGCACTGCGCCAAAATCCTTCAAGATCCACATGTGGCTGTGCCGGTGGCTGACCAAGAAACTCGTCAATCGTTAGCTATTTTCATTTCACAATTTCACAGCAATCGCAAAGTATGGAGTCATCGGAAAGTGAGTCGTTTATTAAATGTGGCATGAAATATCTTGGCTACTTTCTGGCTGATGTGCATGGATAACAAATAGTATCGTTGAGAATATCGAGATCATGAGGTAGTTCAATGTCAAAATCGCCATATATTGAAGTCCTATTCTGAATTGTAAATACTCGACTGGACAGGACTCGTACAAAGAATCACTAGACTGATTGAACAGCCATACGAAAAAATGGATCGGTTAAAGTGTATTGATATTCAAGAAGATACAGCGCGTTAACCACATTCAGCAGAGTATATACAAGTCTTGTACCCTGCTCATAAAATCTCTCCCCTCAACGTAATCAAAGACAAAAGAAAATGTTATCTAACCACGGACCAAAGTGAGGCCGTAGGCAGAGAGGATGGGGTTGACGGGCTGGAAGTAGGTAACGCCACCGCTGTTGCAGTTACCAGATCCTCCAGAGGTGACACCCTGGGCCTGGGAGCCAGAGTACCAGGAACCTCCAGAGTCACCGGGCTCGGCGCAGACGTTGGTCTGAGTGAGACCGCGAACGCTTCCCTGGGAGTAGTTGACGGTGGCGCCAAGGGCGCGGACGGTACCACAGTAGACACCAGTGGTGGAACCAGAGCGGCAGACGCTGGATCCAACGCCACCAGCAGTGCTGCCAGAGATGGAGATCGATCCACCGCTGTAGTTGTTGACGGTTCCACTATATGTGTTTCCGCTGCTGCCGCGAATGTAGCTGTAGTCGTTTCCGGGGAAAACAGAGCCAGAGAAGGTTCCAATGTTGGCTCCTCCGGCGCTGACGGTAGCAGTGTTGCCGGGGCTGCCGCAGTGACCAGCGGAGACGAAACCGGCAGGGGTGACGGAGAAACCAACAGAGCATCGGCCGCTGTTGTTGATGTAGTAGGCGTTGCCACCACGGACTGTGGCCAAGGGAGTGGGAAGCTCCTCAACGGTGCGGACCTCAAACTCGGATTCAACGAGGCCAACCTCCTTAGCAAGCTCTGCGGCTTGGGATTTGCTGGCGGAGAGAGCCTCCAAGACGAGCTTGTTGGCAACGACATCGACGTACCAGGAGGCGATTCCAGTCTTCTCCTCGCTCTCAGCAAGAGTCTGGGGGATCTCGAGCTTGTCAAGTGCTTCCTTGGCCTCCTCAAGCTTGGAGAAGCTGTTGGAGACAACCTGAGGCGTAGCACCAGCAGAGGTCACCTCGGAGGCCAAGGCCTCGTCAGTAACAGCGACGTGGACCTCGCCATCAACGAGCCAAGCACCACCGAAGGCGTTGCCAGCGGCGGAGCGGAGCTGCTCAATGACCTCAACACCCTTGAGTTCACGGGCAACACGGACGTGGGCCTGCTCGGCGTCAAGTCCCAAGTCACGCTTCATGGCAGCCAGGATAGCTGGGTGGAGGCTGTTGGCGGCCTGAGTTGGGGCACCGTAGACGATGGGCAGGAAAACTGCCAGGGCAGCCATAAATTTGGTGAGTTCCATGATTGCTGGTTTAAAGACGAAACGAGGGAGCAGAGACGTTGTTGATGTTGTAGAGACGAGATCGGAGCGAGAGAAGACTGCGATGCTGCTGGGAATCAGAACAATGGTCAGGAACACACATACTTATACATATTTCTGGTTTGGTGTTGTGACTGTATCACACTCCCATTGCTTCTCTCCAAGACAAAGCCCCATATTACACAAGCCTATATCAGGTTTCTCCTTCCCAATTCGCCTCATTCCGCTGCAAGGTGTTTTCTAAGTGCTTGGAAAGTATCGGGAGACTGGTCCTCAAAAGGCACCTCAGAAGACATTGCCCCTCTAGCTGGCACTTAGTAACAATACAGCGACTGTTGATAGTTTCGGGAAGCCAACCCCCAAAGGGCACCTCACGGATACATCCCACGATGTTACCTATTTTTGATGCAGTAGTTCCGGACGGGTACCTTGGCAGCCTGCAGAAGCCCTCATGCGATGATCTGCCTCTAGCTCGATAGGAAGGAGGTCAACAGATGTTGAGGATTGAGGGAAGTGAATCACGAGGGTGGCCAAATCGTGTGCCAACCACCGGTCATAACCCTGCATAGGTACATCGTGAATGGAGAATTCGTCCACACCTTTTCGATTACCTTCTCGATTCAATGTCTGATACCGATAAGTGGAAGATAGGCATAGCCATGCGCCGAAACGTCGTGATTGGAGAATTAATGCACACCTTACAGATTACCTTCTGAATTAAACATCTGATATCGGAGCGCTGCATGGAAGATAGGAGCTATTAACGGATAAGGAAGGTGTAGTGGTGATCGACACGGCTCGACTATCGTAATAACTCCCCCCTGTTCGCACCCCGGATTGTCGTAATCTACTACCAAGCGCTACCCCTCACTGCCCAGAACGGACAGCATACGAAACAAGTAATCTCTCTTTTGACTATACAGCTATGCGCAACGGTCATCACTCCGAATCCTTATTATTTAGCATGGTATATCATGATTGACCATGTTCTGCTATCTGATTCTCCGACTATGATAGCTCGCTTACAGCACATCCGCGTGGTTGATATTTTGGGACATTTCTGCTATCGTGAGTGATTGTTGATTGTTCGTCTCCAAAACTTGGATAGTTGGGCAGATAATTGTTGAATATGGTGGCAATATAAACCTTGAACGTTAGTTTTTGTCCTTATGGGTTCATCGGCAGTCCTGTCGAAACCATCAACAGATCTATGAGCACGCGATGAAGATCTCACACGACGACCTTATCCGCTCCTTCTTCTTTGGAAGCTTAGCCCAAACCTTAGCCAAGGGAATTAATCAAAGTGGCTGGGCGTGGTCTGTATTTCCTCCGCTTTAAGCTTCGCCGTTCTAGTATTGCAATCTCGCTACTGCTTGACCTCACGCTCCCATTGTTGGTAATGCCCTCCTATCCCTTGACTAATTTTTTTTCTTCAGTTCTACTATAGTAGTCCTAGGCTTCAGATTTACCTCGGGAAGTCTGAGAAGGCTACGTAGACGATAGAACGGAGCCCACACACTGACTCAGCCACTTGGTCTATCAATGGGAAATTGCTTCAGGAGTTCGATATGCGCTTTAATGCTTTGGAGACAGATGGCTGGGTACAATCTTACTTTTATCAAATTGGCTTGCGTTGCGCAACACTTAAGGTTTGTGGCTAGAAGAGCGTTTGATGACACGATGGGCTTGCGCAACTTGAGAACCAGCTTGGTATGATGACATCTGATAACTCAGCCACACCGGCAAAGACTGAATGAGATGCAAAGATTGTACACTTGTGGGCGAAAGATGTGAAACAACCAACCGGAACCAGTTGAATAGCCAATAGCGAGGCTTCACGCGTCTCATTGGACGGCAATGAAGCCGTTGGATACATTTAGTCATACGTGGGAGACACCGATTGCTCGGTTATTGCATTGACAGTAAGCTTACATTGTCTTTGCGCCATTTCATGTAGCCACTTTCTACGCTGCTCGCTTCACACAAAAGGGATTCGGTGTAAACAAACCATCTGGATCAGCCCGGGCTCTTACCTTTTGCAACTGCTGATACTTCTCCTCATTCTCATAGTACGTACTTCTCACCTTGTGCAAATTCCAGTCGCCATAAGACCCCCATAACACGCGCTTATCTTGCTTGCTATAGCAACTATTGGGCCCAACAAACAGTTTATCGTTTTCAGCCTGCCAAGCATCAGCCGTACCCTTGTGTTTCGTCTCGTGGAAACAGTCCAGCACTTGACAGACCGTTGAGTCGCGCCAGCTGTACGATGTTCCGTTAGAGGCGTTGGTGCGGAACATTGACTTGTTTCCACCAAAACACTGGATTTGAACGGCGAGCCAACAATTCTGCCACAAATCGGAAGTAAGATCTGTATGCAGGACTTTGTGGATTTGGGCCGAGACCACATCGACCCAGCCATCTTTGCCCAAGGTGGTGGAGTTCGTCATCCAGGTGCGCTTCTCGTATGGATGATCAAACTCGCGGGGCTGATTGAAAATCCATTGGCCAGTCATCTTGGACAGTGGCTCGTCAAAAGTCTGGCTGATCAGCCGTAGCTTGCCGGCGTTATTGAGGGCGTCGAACCACTTCGGGTCGTATCTATCTTCCTTGCTAAAAGGCACCCACTGGGCGTAGAGTATCACTGTCGAGGGCCAGTGTGGCATTCCATCAGGACCATAAATCTCGGGATGGTCACGCTTCATGACGCCGTCCAGCTCGGGAACCAAGTCCACGAGGGAGAAGTCAGAGCTGAGCACACTGACGCAAAGGTCATAGTTGCGAGGCCAATCGGGATTATCTGCCATTTCGGCGACTTTGGCTAGAAGGGCCTTTACGGTGTCTTGTCTGTATAGCCATACTGCCCGAAGACCACGGGGACGTTGGCCGCCCACAGATGTGAAGTCGTGGCTTGTGTCGCGATGCACTTCGACCGTGTAGTGCGTTATGATCCCGAAATTGCCTGGACTACCTCCGAGGATCGCGTTGAACAGCTCGGGGTCAGAACTGGCGTCGATGGTTTTGATTTCGGCATTGTGGTCTACAAGCCTGATCTCACGGACGTGGTCGCCAAACAGCCCGAAGCTGCGACCAAGTTGACCATATCCTCCGGTTTGTGCATGCCCACCAACGTGGACATCCGCACACTGTCCATGTGGGAGGAACAACCCGTTGGCGGCCAGAAAGCCGTTCAGCTCACCAAGACTGAAGCTGACACTGACGTAGATGAAGGATTTGTCTGTAGTCTGGTCCAAGATTCTCAGGTCTTTCTGCAAATCTTTGAATGTTGGCTTCAAATCAAGAAGAATGTTTGGCCCAGAGGTCGAAGAGGCCCCGCTGTATTGATGCCCGCCGCTCTTAACCGCAACGGCGATATTGTTCTCCTTTGCATGTTTGAGCGCAGCAATGATGTCGGCATCATTGGTTGGCTTCGCAATCAATGCAGGGTGCATATCATGGTCAACCCCATGAGAACTCGTTGCATACTGGTAGTTGTTGTTTTTATAGGCCTGTGCTTCAACAGTGCCCTCAGCTGACCGGATGTATTGTGTGCCATTGAAACCTTGAATGGTAGCCATAATGGAAGAATTTCGAAAGAGGTTTAATAGTTTGATTGTAAGACGGACGCATCACGACGAAACCAAACTATATAAATATGCAGCCTGCTCTCACATAGCTTGAGCGTACGTTGTCTCCTGATGCGGTCGCAAATGGTAAGCTGACTACACACCATCTTCTTGTGTGTGCTGAGACAGGTAAAATCCAAGCAGTGTACAGTCGATGTATGTCATGTTCGCCGCTAATCAGCTCCAATCATCACGCAAGTCAGCACTATCGCATCGCCTTGTTCGTATTCTTACCTTTTTACGAGACACATACGCAACATCTTGGTCATTTGATACTCAGCTAAGGCTGAGGACCGAACAGAGTTATCATTCCCCAGATGATCATATCATGAGATTTTAATCATACCTCCCATATATGGAAACTTATGGCATAGGCGTTCTATAATTCTGCGCAAAAGTCAGCGTAGCTGGGTCGGGTTATATCACTTCCCGAGCTCGACCGAAGAGAATAAAAGAGCCTCCCGAAAAGGATCATGAGACAGATATTCAGCTGGTTGACACATCTCTGTTACTGGACGGGTTCTGGAACACATCCGACGTGTAAACTTTATTCATCGCCGAGAGCGTGGCCAAAGGGCACGAGACTTGAGAGTGGCTAAGCTGAGTTTGCACTTCTCGCCCGAGTTTGTTCCAGACGGGAATGATTATGCACATTTCTAAAATAAGAGCTGAGCATTTTCTCTGTTTGACACACCAGGTAGACATCATCTTTGATGCTTCGCTTTGAATCGTTCATTGCGTCACCGTATCTCGGTCACAATGAAAAAGAAGAATATTCACTAGCGTTCATTCCAGTTCCAAGGAATAAATGTGGTATAGGCGGTGTATGGGAGAGCTTTCTTTGGGTAAATCAGATATCTGGTAGTCCAAACGATTCCGGTGATGCATCACGTTGCATCACGTGATACATGATCCGTCTGCCAGATGGAGAGCTTATTAGCCCATCTTTACAGCTTTCTCTTTCTTCGTACTCCAAGTATGGGCAGTATTTTACATGCGATTAATGCGCACTATCAGAATAACGTCAGATAGGTCGATGGGATGCGTGACCTTCCGGCAGCAAAACAGATCGACAGAATGGCTGAAGTTCGTCCTCGGAACTCAGCGCGAAATTATTTGTATAATCGCGTCGCGGTTCGGGAGAATGGAACGGTAGGTTTTCGCGTACAGTTCGCGCTTGTTGGGCGTGTTTTGAGTTCGTCTCTTCGTTCCCGCCGGGTACCATATTGACGTGTGTCACGGATCGGCAGAGTACCGCCGTCATGGATGCATTTGCCCGTTCATTAACCGCCAGCACAATACCCCACCCCAACCGCAGAAACTGTGATTCAACACATTTAAAAGTCGCAAACATATTTTGGCCCTTAATTTGTATTCTATCAATGTGACGACATTGCAATACAGACACGGCAGAATACCTCCAAGTGGATACCGCGCTGGCAGATCTCAGATATTGCAAGGACCAAACGTACTGTACAAAAGCCCCGTCAAGATAGCACAATGGATTCTTTACGGTGGGAATTGCTCCAAAACTACCTTGATCGTCTGTTCTGGCCCATACCAATGGCGTTTTTCAAATATCTCATCGCATTGTGCCCGGCACTCATAGCCGCGCAGAATGCATCCACTGGTCAGTGTATCCCGGGTCCGAAGTCGCATTCCGAAATACCAAACGGCGGAGCGATTGAGGATCTAACATCATAGATAGTAGCATTAAAACTAACTACGTTGTGCTGAGACGTTAGGTCCTTACCCTAGTTGTACAACTCTTCCACTTCGTGACAATCCCGTCTGCGATGAATCTCTTGATCCTGCATCACGGGCAGAAGGCCTTGTCGCTGCAATGAACATATCGGAAAAGCTGATCAACCTTGTTGATCACGCTCCGGGAGTTCCTCGTCTCGGTATACCAGCGTACGATTGGTGGGGTGAAGCTCTGCATGGAGTTGCGTATTCTCCAGCAGTGCATTATGCCATGTCTGGCGAATTCTCCTCTGCTACCTCATTTGCCAATCCAATAACAATATCAGCTGCTTTCGACGATGAATTGGTGGAGCGAATCGGGAAGACCATCGGCACCGAAGGAAGAGCATTTGCAAATGTAGGGAGAGCCGGACTGGACTTTTGGACTCCAAACATTAATCCTTTCAAAGATCCGCGCTGGGGTAGAGGATTGGAGACGCCGGGAGAAGATGCATTTCGTGTTTCCCAGTATGTGAAGCATCTGTTGAGGGGCATGGAGTGGGCTTCTGAAGAGCCATCCGAAGCTCGTGGTCGTCAAATTATTGCCACGTGCAAACACTTTGCCTCCTACGACCTGGAACGCTGGGAGGGCATCGTGCGCCAAAAATTTGATGCTCAAGTGCGCTTGCAAGATCTGGTTGAGTACTATCTTCCGTCCTTCCGGCAATGTGCAAGAGACAGCAATGTAGGGAGTATTATGTGTGCATGTACGTATACCCCCGATCTCCTCAGCATCCCCTTTTGCTAGATATTTCATGATTCCGAGCCATTCCTTATGCATTTGACTGATCGATCTCCCTATTTAGATAATCGGGTCAACGGTACACCGGCATGCGCAGATAGCTACATGATGCAGACAGTATTGAGAGAGCACTGGGGCTGGACGAAACATGGAAACTATATCGTGAGCGACTGCAATGCGGTTAAAAACATCTGGGCAGACCACAAATGGGTCAGCACTGCCGCGCTGGCGTCAGCAAAAGCGTTCAACGCTGGAATGGATAACGTGTAAGTTATGACTCAGTACAAAGTGGAACTGGATTGTTCTGCGCTGTCAAAACTTCTTTCAGACGTGTACTTGTTTGCAATTAGCTAACTGCTCACTCGCGATTTAGATGCGAAGTAAGCCGAGGAAGCACTGACGTCGTCGGAGCCTTCAACCAAAGTCTTGTGACCGAAGAGGTTCTTGATACGAGCTTGAAGAGACAATATGAGGGTCTGGTTCGCGCTGGGTATTTCCAGAAATCTCCAGATCCTACCGGCTACCGATCTTACGGATGGGACTCGGTGAACACAGACGCTGCTACCAGTCTCGCTAAGCAATCTGCTACTGATGGAATCACACTTCTCAAGAACGACGGCGCACTCCCTATGCAATTCAAGCAGAATCAGACTGTCGCGCTGATAGGAATGTGGGCTAACGACACTCGGAATCGGATGCTCGGAAATTACTTCGGTCGTCCGCCGTACTATAGAACGCCGCTATGGACAGCACAGCAGACCAACATCAGTACTCTATACGCCGACGGGCCAGTTGCACAGAACAGCTTCAATCAATCGGCTGCAATTGAGGCCGCACGGGCCGCCGATACTATACTTTATTTTGGCGGCATCGATGGGTCTATCGAAGCCGAAGACCTTGATCGCACTGAGATCACCTGGCCAAGTCCTCAGCTCTCGCTTTTATCTGCTCTATCAGAGCTCGGAAAACCTATCATAGTGGTTCAGTTGGGCACCAGTCTTGACAATTCTCCACTCCTCGATAATCCAAGTATCGGCGCTATCGTTTGGGCCGGATACCCAGGCATGTATGGCGGTCCGGCTGTCTTTGACGTTCTTACTGGAGAGAAGGCACCCGCGGGTAGACTTCCTATCACGCAGTATCCTGGAGAGTATGCAGAGATAGTCAATATGACTGATATGACTCTGAGACCAAGCGATAAGAATCCCGGTCGAACATACCGGTGGTATGATCAGGCGGTCCAAGAATTTGGTTTTGGACTCGGTTATTCTAATTTCAGCGTCAAGTTTGGCGAATACCCCAAGAGCGTTGTGTCAGTTGGCGATTTGAATTGTGACGAAGAGTATCAGGACCTCTGCGCTTTCTCTCAAAAGGTACCTGTTGTCGTTACAAACGAAGGTGGAATTACATCAGATTATGTGGTATTGATCTTTGCGAAGAGCGAGGCTGGTCCTGCACCACAGCCCAAGAAGTCTTTGGTCGGATACCAGAGACTGAGGGATATAGAACCGGAAGAGGAAAGAGAGGCCGAGTTCGAGTTGACAGTGGGTAGTTTCTCGAGGGTACTGGACAACGGAGACTCGATCCTCTATGATGGAAAGTATTGCCTGGTCTGGGAGGGAAGTCTCGACGGAAACAATGGAGAAGAGCAGCTATGCTTAGACATTGTCGATGGGGACTCGACAGGACAGACTTTGGTCGATAAATGGCCGCAACCGAAGGGAGGGAACGGAACAGCAGCCGGAGGGTCAGTATGAGATTGCACGATATGGAGATTAATGAGGTAGCTTTGAGTTATATACAGTGCTTCCAGTATCACAGTGCTTTTCATCGAATAAAATCAATGCATACACAATATAAAGAATGTCTTAGTGAAGGTTACCTGAGAACTAGTCGGAAGCAAAGTGTAAGTTCGATGCGTAGGGCTGATCGGGACTTTTGTCCTATATAATGAAAGAATTACCCTGTAAAAGATTGCAGCCTATTCTCGATCAAAAATTCATGTTTCCGGATACCGACAGCGTAAACCTTTGCTCTATGCCAGTGCATGAATCATCGGCCGATCTGGGGGTAGAGCAAGGTACTCATATTGTAACAGAAGAAAAGTAGTTTTTCGTGAAGTCTTTTACTGCCGATAAACTGAAATAGTTTCACAAGTCGTAAGCAGAGCTGTATAATTGGGATTCGTACTTATCTTAAGAACTCTTCGTGTAGACTTAGGCACTATTGCATTGAATACACCATACTTTTGCAATCAACTTCAAGTATATACAATCGGTCATTTGACTCATCGAAAATCTATAGCCCAAAGCGACTTTGACAAACATATTTCGCGCTACACTAAACCGACTAGGAGGAGGGAGTGAATGTCCTTCAGGCATTCACTCGGCAAGAACCTCAAGTTCAACATCGCCACCAAACGGATTACCTGGTCCATGCATGAATTAGAATATATATTCTTCCGTAGTTTTGTACTTAATCAACAATTCTACATCACCCTCTACCACAAGATATTGGTTACTCAACCCCTCAATTCAAGTATCTTCCACAACCAGACTTCGTAACAACTCTACATTGCGCTAGCTCTTTGTCTTCTTAGACCATCAAGTCTTCCGTAAGTGTCTATTCTCTTCAGCTACGTATATCTTCTGCATGATCAAGCGGCTCATGAATTATACAGAGAACAATCACTCTCAACCAAATTCATCGAATCCAATCGCTTCCTTCCGTACAAACACATAGAAAACGAGATTGTGATGGCTGCCACTACATCATACAATCAGAACCCTGAATTATACGAATGCGGTGTTTGCCTAGATGATGTTTCCCCACAGCAGGCCACCTTGACCTGCATGTCGCACGTGATATGCGATACCTGCATACCAGAGATCTTCGAGCGGGCTATGACCAACATAGATGAGTTTCCTGCTCAATGTTGCGCCGATCATTATCTGCAACCGAGGGTGTACGCCCATCTCCTCTCCCCCGATCTAGTCGTAGAGTACGAAAAGCGAGCAGACGAACACTTCACGAAACCTAGGTTCCGTGTATACTGCTCGAATTCGGACTGTCGCCAATTCATACCGAGGAGGAAATTTACATACACGGGGTCTTCGGACGTTGCGATGTGTGAAAAGTGCGACACGATTACTTGTGTAGGCTGCAAGAATGAGTGGGCCGATAACTCCCATCGTTGCGACGATTCCTCGGATGGCAAACTACCTGAATGGCTACCCGAGTACAACCCCGAATGCCGGATCAAGAAGTGCCCTGACTGTCACATCTATCTCGAGCATAAAGAGGCCTGCAACCATTTTACTTGCAGCTTCTGCGATTTCGAGTTCTGCTTCATTTGCCTCTTGCACTGGAACTCTTTTCATGAGGATTGCCCACAATACGGGGATCCAATTGTTGGGTACGATGAAGAGGGCTATGAAAAGAACTCTCGAGGTCTGCACATTATGACAGGCCTAGATAGAAATGGTCATGACAGGCTCGGGGCGCGTCATCTCACCCAGGCGGAACTCGATGCTATTGCGCATGAGCACGATGACGAATTCCAAGAAGATGAATTCCAGGAGGACGGATTTGAGGAGGACGAATTCCACGAGGACGGATTCCAGGAGGACAGATTCCCAGAAGACGACCAAGACTTTCAGGTGCAGGATTGGGATACCGTCCACATGACCGACGAAGAGGAACACCTCGACGAGGCGATCATTGATACCATGGCTGAAGTCACAGCCCAATCCGAGCCAGAAGAGCCGCTTGAGCCAGAAGAGCCGCCTGTCCCAGAGGTAGCTCGACGCGAATATACTCTGGCTGACATTAATCAAATCCAATGTAAGCATCGACTCGGTTACATTAGCACATACCATTCGCTAGGCCATGGGTTCTGTCAGGTATGCCGGTACGATCCGCCATACTACCACTGTAAATGCGAGCTATGCCATATCTGTCTCTGTCGGTACTGCATGGATGATTCTGACGACCGATTGGAGTATTACGACTTAGACAGTATGGTTGGCCCCCTGCAATGGGCCGAGCAAGGCTTCCCGCCATTCAAACAATTTAGTCGGCTGGCACACAAGAAAATGCAGGCTGAGGATGCCGAATGGCACATCGACGGCATGATGGCGTACTACGAGCAAAAGTTCATAGAGCGCAATCCGTTTGTCTTCGATGATGACTATTCCATACGGCAGATGTTTGAAGCGGCTGAAGAGGAAGCTGGACTCCATTGGTATGTCTTGGAGAAAAATGTCGGGCTACTTGGCCATTGCTTCACGTTTCGTTTGGACAGAAGTCGATTTGCGATCTTGGGAAGAGAGATTTAGTGGGGAAGTGGCAGTTGGAATTGAGCATACACTCGGATTCCATAACTAAGATCTCTTGGAAAAAGTTTTTTATTTAATTGAAAATGATTTGACATTGTTATATAGATCAGTATATTACTGAAAAACTCTTACATGGTCGCTACCATTCGTGAATTGAATGAAAAAGATTACTTTATGGAGATCAGACTTGGTGATAAACAGCGATTCCCGGGGCTGATTTGTGAAATGAAAACAGAAAACAGTTAATTTCACTAACAAATACTAAACAGATAGACGTAAACTTGTCTCTTCTGACATTTGCTATCGAGCTTGTGCTACTGGTCACTCAACAACATATGTACTTCGATGAGCGTATCATAAATTCTAATTCAAATCTATTCTCTCCAAGGCATCGAGATGACAGTTTGTGCATTATGTATAATCCAAGTCTCCGGCTGAAGATGCTGATGAATACTAAAGGGCAACGGTAAGTTAGTTGCAAGTGGGAAGCGGCAGTCTCGAAATTTGAAAACACCGTGTCTTGCCGAAGGGTCCATGATTCATTGAAATTCATCATTTATTAATTACGTCGCAAACATTTCCAATGCTGAAAGAACCATGGGGAGCTCTATATGACCAATCGTATCATACAGTGCTGCGTTTGAAGTATATATTGATCGACCCTCGGATCTATGCAACTGAGCCGCCACGCATCGAAGTAACCTCAGCATGCAAGACCTCATTCTTTTCCATGGCGGCAGCAGCGGCAGCCGGGTCTTGCATAGCATGAGGGACAAGTTGATCGCCAAATAGCTCATCCATCTGCTCCAACGTGCGACCCTTGGTCTCCGGGAAAAAGAACCAATAGCACAGAAATGCTATGATATTGAAGCAAAAGAAGACGTAGAAGTACTTGAACTCAATCGATGTCAAAGCCTGGGGAGAAAACTGTGCGAAGATGAGGTTGACGGCCCAGTTGGTAAAAGTGGTGATGGCATTTCCCAAAGCGCGGACTTCAACGGGGAAGATCTCAGCAGGGTATACCCATGAGATGATGCCGAGTGGTGTATAGAAGAAGCTGAAGAGAAAGTTCATTGCTACCATGCTGCGAAGTTGTGCAGTGTTTGATGCGACAAAGTATTGGCCTTGCACTGCGTTGACGAGTAGGGCGGCTGCAAGGCCTGCGGCAGAAATCATGAGCGGTTTGATGCGGCCAAATTTGTCTAAGATGGCTAAGCCGATTGTGCACCAGACAATGGATAGAGCACCACTGATTCCAACGATTAGGAGAGACTCTCGTGTGGATATTCCGAGAATCTCGTAGATGCGGGGACCATAGTAATTGATGACGTTGATGCCAGAAAGTGGTCCAAATGCTTGCACGCCGCATCCAAGTAGCAGGCGCTTGCGCCATGATGACTTCGTGATGATTGACACCCATGTGATATCACCGAGTGCGCGGTCGGCAGCAATGACATCTCGTATCTCTCTGAACTCCAAGTCGATCGTTTCTTCCTCGTTGCCGCTGCGCAAGACCTTGAGGGAGGCCATGGCTTCCTCGTGGCGGTCTCTTTCCATCAGCCAACGTGGTGATTCCTGTAGGAAGAAGATTCCACCAATAAGAACCAGACCTGGAACGCATTGGAATGCCAGAGGAAACCGCCCTGATGAATGTCAGTGTGAGTTGCTTGAGATTCGAAGGAGACCGAACGTACATGAGAATTCGCCGCTGTTGAAAGAGCAGCCATAACCAAGCCACTGGGCAACAAAGAATCCCCAGCTTAACATCCATTGAAGCAGGCCGGAAAGAACGCCACGATATGCATGTCTCGTCGGCAGCGCGAAGGCTTGGATACGTCAAAACAGACAAGGAAGATGTGAACGCTCTCATCAAAATGTGTTACTGGTCTTTTGTTAGTAACCTGTTCAGCTATCATACCGACTGTCCGCAGATTGAAAAGTTTGGCTGGCTCGAGGTGACACATCTTCTTGCGCCTGCTACACAGTACATTCGCGATATGGAATCCTTATACTCTAAAATACTAGATGATATTGTGGATGCACAGGAACCGAATGGCCTATGTCCAACCATGGCACCGGAGATCCGTTATATGTGCGGTCCTCTGCACGACACCATCACATGGGGAGGTGCGGTAGCATTGCTTCCGGAAATACTGCGCTTCTACTACGGTTCGACCCACACCTTCGAGAAACTGTTTACGCCTTGTGTACGGTACATGGAGTATTTGCAGACAAAAGAGAGGCACGGTGGTTTAATCGAGCACGGTCTTGGGGATTGGGGACGCGACATCGCATTCGGAAACAACCAAGCCAACATTGAAACTGCGATATATTACCGCTGTCTCCGCAATATCGAAGAAATGGCTCGCAAGCTTGGGAAGACGGAAGCTGAAGAGCACTTCCGCACTTGGGCAGATCGCATCTACCGCGTATACAACGAACAGCTATTGGTGAGGGATAGGAAGCTGCATCCTTATGCATTCTACACATCTCAAGATAACCCAGGGACCCATGACCGAAACATGGTCGCGCAGGCGTTCGCTCTGCAGTTCAGTCTTGTTCCTGCAGAGCACATTGCAGATGTCCAACGAGCGTTTCTCGCGGACTGTGCAGACGCAAATAACCGCATCCAGGCCGGTGAAATCGGCTTAAAGTACCTCTGGAACACTCTCGCTGATCTCGACCGTCCGGACATCGTACTGGAAATGGCGCGCCAAGAAGAGCACCCTTCATATATGCGCTTTATGCGTCGAGGCGAGACGACACTTAACGAATTCTGGCAGGACGCGTGTCGAAGCAAGTGCCATGATATGCTCGGTACGATATACGAGTGGTTTTACTCCGCGGTTTTGGGGTTGAAGCCGGAAACGGAGGCGTACAGGACATGGACTGTGAGACCACCAATAAGCTCAGAGTTTGGTCATGTTGAAGGTAGCGTCGAGTGTCCGTACGGTAAGATTGCGATTCAGTATGATCGCAGCAGTGAAGATTCAGACGTAAATATGAAAATCCAGGTGCCGACTAGCACGACTGGATTCCTGCTTCTGCCACAGGATACAAGCTCGGTGGAGATTGTGCGGGTCCAGGGGAGCGTGAAGAGTGGAAAGATGACTGAGAGAGGAACGCGTATTGAGCTGAAGCCCGGGCATTATGAGCTTGCAATAAAGCCGTAGAGAACAAGAATGACGTTATTTTTGCATGCCGACATCTGGCATTCCCGTTCAGGACATCACATGTAGAGTATTTGATGTTATCGTCGTTCGCTGGACGCGGGTGAAAGCAGGCCACACCACGCGTATGCCGGATTAGGCTTAGTGCGGTCAGAATCCCAGCCTTCTCTCCATCCAGCAGAAAAGCAACGCATCAACCCACATCCCAACATGATGAAACTACGTCTTTTGGGAACTGAATATTCCCCAAATCCATCATTTTCCAAGCCTTTCGTGTGCATGCCATCAACGTGACGTGACTTTTTGTTTTCCCTCCACTCGGCCAAGCGTTGAATACTCACGGAGAAGAATAGAGGGGCTATATTGCTCGTTCGAACAGTACATGAATAGATTCCCTGGAAACCACTTTCTCAATTGATATTAAAGACCTTTTGAGGGGTGGAGTGAAGAAGCTGCAACCCGATTCTGTCCGTTCTTGTTCTGCTCCCTATACAGCTACAACGACATATGGCCTACCACTCCACTCCGTGTCACCAACTGCAAACGTGATATTGTGCCTGGAGTGAAATACTCCCATTTGTTTTATAAGAGACGTCACAAAATCTGAATTCACTACAGCATCACCATCCGTATAAAATGAAAGAGCTGGAACATGTCTTTTGGTTCACGGCCCTAATCGCTGATCCTTCGGCATTACTACAAGTGTTATTTGTCTCGCGGAGGATCAATGAGCTTTGCGTATATACAGTCTCCTTGCATTGAAGCTCATGCAAAGCTTCTGATATGTGAACTCTTCAATGCCGACGCGGTAATGAAAACTGAGTTGCCGGTAGCGTGGGACCCAATACCACCTCCACTCCACCCGTGTATACCATCATAACACGTAAAAGCTTTCAATCCAAACGCGGATGAAGCCAAGAACATTTAATAATGAATGATTAGTCGTGGAGATCAACATGTCGCGTGTTGGTTCACATGAAAAAGCAGGCCTCGGCAGGGTGGGGTGAATCGTCAGTGAGCGACCCCAACTTTCATTAACATATGATCCTCGCACAATGACTCTATGACGCTGAGGAAATGAGAGGTGTTTTTTGGAGTACCAAATTGAATTTGCGCAATGAAAAAAATGTGGCCGCTCGGTCTTAGCATGCTATTGAGAGGTCCATCCGAAGACCTGATTCTGCTACGCTTCCATAGTGACGAAGTCGACTACCATGACTTCGCCTCAACACACCAGTCATAGAACGATAGTCTTTGGACTATAACATACTGAGATTTCATTTGTAGTGAAATTGGTTGCGTACATAAATGTAGTGAATAAGAGTTTCTCGTAACGACAGTGTCATCACATGGACGATTCGAGCAGTTGACCGTAAAGTACTACGTCTTTTTCATGTCACGAAATATTTTGAGTGAAGAAGAGGGAGATACCATAGAAAAGTCTTTAAAAAAGGCCTCGAAGGATAAGTTCGGACGCTATTGGTCACTAAAGCGCTATTTGCTGGGTGGTTCGCAAGGATATCTCCGTTATACTTTCATGTGTGGAGGGCGACGAGCGTACCATATTTCTTCAACCTCAACACCACACATATTTCAAATCCGTACATCTCTGTTCGTTGAGACGCCACGTACGTCAACACGTTAAATGCGCAGTCAATCTCCGTTACAACTCAGCCTCAATTTAGCACAAAGTTTCTCGAATTCTCCCAATTCAAGAAACTCGATGTTACTCAATCAGTGTTGTTTTGTCTGATCATTTTGAGCTATCGTGATTTGAGTGAGACCTAAGTAGTAGTCATCAGACTTACTTGGAGTCACTCACATGGAAAATTTCAATCGGGAATTGTAAGTAGGTGATAACCACGAAACATGTGTTCGGCTGAAGCTTGAATGCAGCTGTATCATGTGGTTGTACACCAAGCCTTTGTGCCGCATAGGAATGCGATGACTCAAGAAAGTGCCCACTACCATTATGGGACTTGTACGATACCAATGTATTTCATCCTTCTGGCGGGATCGTACTCCAAAACAGTCGGAACAAAAAAACTAGATGCATCGCTTTCCAACGATCTTACATCAACGAATGGCTTGTGTATTCTAATCTAGAGATATCGTGCCGTAGTAGAATGAGCAAATTTGTATCACTACAGAAAAATTTTCTTGGTAAAATCCGCTAGAGTCATGACTAGCCGAGATTAAGTAGACAGTACTGCCTTTCAGTTTCTACCAATGGGTATCAAGTGTTTTATATCATCATCGCATTTCCATGCGGTACAAACACTTGGTCTTTACCAATGAGAAATACGAACTTTGACTCTCGCAATGAACGGAATGAGTGCAAGTTTTGAAAAAAGACTGCATTTGGCGAGCTCAAGGTAGCTCGATCAAACATTTTGGTAAAATGGAACTGTGAATTACTATTGTTATGCCGTTCACTGAGTCTTTGCTTCTTTGGGTATATCACGTTGTCTTGATCTGACTGTGCCGTGCCATTTCTTACTAATCGTCATAGCCCTAAATCAATGCAAATACTTCAAAGACTATAGTCATGATATTACTCTTGAACTTGGTTCCAGTCTTTCACTTTACTCAACTGAAAGTTTCTGATTTGATTTGATGACATGATTTCATTCTTGTGTAGGCAGCTACGTAAGGGCTGTTTTAAAGCCAAGCCCAAAAGTAGGGAATCAAAGGAGAAAGAGGAGACAAAAAACAATCAAAGGCCCATTGCCAATGAGAAAATACCAGAATGGAATGATCCCATCGCCCACCAAAATATACCCGGCCTTTTCCATACACTCCCACCCAGCCCTAACCCCTCCCATGTACTCTGGGTATACCAAAGTTCTCCCGTGTAATTCAAGTAATTTGAACTATTGCATTTCACTACAATTAAATTGGAGTGTTTCATTAAAGCTAGGTATACTAACTTTCGAGGTGTCGATAGGGGGTTCGAGCGCGCAGAAATGTCGAGACTATCTTCCTGCTGCATAGCACTCTTCCTCTTTGAGGGAAACTGCTTCGATAATCTTTTCTAGCTGTTCGGGGTCGTATAATGGTTGTAACAGGAGCTCGCCTAGAGTTGGAATAGGCGGCACGATTTCCTCATTTGTTTTGTCGTTGAATGCTCGAAGCATTATTCCGTGGAAGCTTTCTGGATCTTTTTTCCCGCCATCAATCCCATGCTCTGGGTGCAGTATACATGACGGGCTTCCTTTTTTAAAGATGTCTGGCATATGCTCCTTCAGTTGTCCCTGCTTGTAGTACGATCGAGCGAGTTTGCCAATCCCCCAAGCTAGGACATCGATAACCTTTCTGTCCCACTGCGGAGATGTATAATTGTCTGCTTGCATTGATTTTTCGAAGTTCACGCCATAGAGAATTCCCCTCAATAGGCTCCCAACTCCTACAGATTCTTCTATCTCGGATAAAATGGTCTTGTAGACTTTTGCAATTTCGCCATTGTAATGAGCACGTACGCTTTCAGACGAGACAACATAGGCTTGGCGTATGGTTTTGTTGGAAGTTGCAAGGTACCGGCCTTCTATTAAACCCTTGCGATGGTTTAATCGAGCGATTTTGGCGTCTCCAGTGTTTTGGGCGATGTACAAGTATGCTTGTTTGATGGATGCCTCAGTATCTCGTTTGATTTCTCGGAGCTCTGTCTCAAGACGCTGAGTATACTCCCACCGGCGGGACAGGATTTGTTCTTGGACATTCAGTATGATCTCCATGCCTTCTTGAACTTTTTTGGTCGTATTTTGCATTTCCGTAAGCTCGTTGGAAAGCTCTGGGATTTCTTTGCGCTTATTCCTAATGTTGCTATCAATGGCACCGAACATGCCAGCAAAATTGCTACGTTCGCGATCGAATTCTTTATGCAATTCTTTGAGGTCAGATTCGCGGGTCTCTTTAAGAGCAGCAATGGTGTGGTCTTTTTGATTTAGCTCTGTTTTAAGCTCTGCAATTTGACGGTGTAGATCTGCATTTGCAATCGACTCGTTTTCGTACTGAAGCTTATCGTTTCTCATGGATTCCAGAACTTTTTCGTATGACCAATGGACGTCGCGATAATTCCCCACGGACGTCTTGAGACTCGCAGATAACTTTTGGGCAACCCAATTCATATATGCGGCGTCTTCTTTCTGTTCTGGTTTGATTTTGTCGTAAAATTGATGGTCAAGAAGGTCTTCGCTGAAAGGGAGAATCTTCTTGCCGTAGTTGGATGGTCGTGCCAGTGATTCTTCTTGAATGGACTCGGGGATATGGACACGCTCTAATCGGGGTTTCAATTGTATCACCCTGGATTCATTCCTCCTGTTGATCCCAATCTCGACGTCTTCGCACGTCGCAACAAATTTTGGGGTGCGGATGATGCCATGGTTCATCTTCACGTTCTTGTTGCTGCTTGCAGGATCACCGCTGTTCGACTGGCTCAGACGCCAGTCCATTCTGAGGGCTCGACTCCACAAGGATGGCCTGTATCGTTCATGCGTTGGGGGATTATCCTTCCCGAAAAGCGTGGTAGTCTTTTGTGGCTTTTCATCTTCATTGCCTGACTTCGAGTTCGATTCGATTCTCGGTGGAAGGCGGATGCCGTTAGTCGGTTTGAAGGCAATGGTATTATATGGAATTCTTGTATGTTTATTAGAAGAGCCATTCCACCCCCAAGCGGATGTTAGCTCTGGAAATAGAGTGTTGGACGTTGGGTCATAGGGCTCGGACTTTTCAATTGGATCTGTATCGAGATACGTCTCAATTGAAGTCGGATCCTGTGGCTTCTCGCCCTCCTCCATATTGTCTTGTGAATTTTCTGAGTCGTCTTGGGTCTGATGAGCTTGCTCTGGTCCCGGTTGATCTGGTGGGGACTTGTTTGCCTTCTCATCTAATTGGTGGCCTTCCGCTTCTGACTCTTCAGAATCTTCTAATTCTTCGTAGTCTTCAGGTATCGCGAAAGGGACGTATCGTCTGCTTTTGTTTTTCTTCGACCTCCTGTCGTTGGCGGGGTATTTTTGTGCTGGAGGATGGTTCGGTGTAGATTGGGTGGCATCGTTGTTGTTGGTGTTGGTCGTCATGGTGGTTTGTGATTGATCTGAGGTGGCATTCATGTTGCCATAAGTATGCCCGGAAGTATTTGATTCATCATGATTTGAGGTTGTCATGGTGTCGGTGAGGAGCAAAAGTGCGTTTACGAAAGTTGTTTGTCTATTCAAATGTTGATACCAACGGGAGCACGGACCAACGTGACGTGGCTTGGCAGTCGGTGATGTGGTGCCCAAGTAACTAGCACGGCTTCACGCTCTCTTCTAACAGACACAACATCATGGATTCTCGCAGAAACTCCAATGTATCTCTTCCCGTTCGGAACCATCCAAACAATGGTTCCAACAATCAAAACCAGAATCAAAACCGACCAAACCGACCCGCCCACGCATTCGGTGGTAGACTCCAATTTGAAGACCCAATCCAAAGCTCTGCCCCACAAGAGCACGAAGCTGATTCTGACCGCGGAAGGTCAAATTCTAGCGATCAGTGAGTAACTTTTTACCTGCTACATTCTTCAGCTAAATCAGCTGTTAACTGTTTGCCAGCGACCCTTTGCCAATCCGACCCGGTAACGTGACTGTGAGAAGCGATGAAAGTCGCCAGAGATCCAGCACTCATTACACGGACGAAGATGGGACCTTTCGAACACCAAGATCTTCATCATTCTCACCTGAAAGTACGTCTCCTGGACACAGGAACGAAGATTCCGACGATATACAAGAGCTGCTTCAAGAGCAAGAAGACAACCCCGAAGAACGCCCATCAATCGAATTACCACTGGACATGGAATTCATATCTGGGGAAGCCCAAGGAAATGTTTCTCTGACCCCCTTCAATTACTCGTCAATCCTACTCACAAAGGGATATATTGCCATGATCGATGCCGTTTATGCAGAAGCGAAGTGGGTCGGGCATTTTCTCACCAAAGAGGATGGTGACAACAAAGACATTGCACAACTAAAACACTGGAGAAAAATCGGTCTTCGTATACTCGCAAGCAGTCCGCTGTATATGATCCTGTATACACTTAATGGCTTCCTAGCCTTTGAAGTCATCAACACCGAAGATCCATCTACGGAGGCCAAGGAATTGGCACCCTATTTCACAGACACATCCCCAGGACAACCCGGAGAGTGGTTTCGGCGTCAAAACGAAGAATTTGCTCCAGCTATATTTATTTTAGGTAAGAGTTAAGGTGTTCTTGCACACGACGATAGGGTTAAACGATGGAGATGAGCGATACGGGCGATTACTGCGAAATCAATGCGATATGCCTTCACACAAGCTTATGTAATAAGCAGGGATCGGGGGGCACGCTCCAGCTATATACATTCGAATTCTTGTCGATAGTGGTGGCGTCGGCCCAACTTACGGAGAAATCTGACTTGTACTTCAGCGCCTTCGTGAATACATCAGCGGAGACGAGCAATTCCATCAACAAAATTCAGCAATAGACAATCAGACCCGACCTCATTCCACGCCCGAAGACATAGCCCAAGGACGCCATTTTTACCTCCAAGGGAAGCAAAAGCGCGTCGAAACCATCCTGACGTTTTGCTTCGCCGTCGAGAAGTACATCAACAAACATATCAACAATGAACAAGATAGTGGAACCATATATCTTCGATACTTTGGATGCGCTGCTACAGTGACGGTGCCAGCCGCCCAGAACGCGCCCAAACCGAGCACCAATTGGCTATCTGCGCTTGTTTGCGATATATTGAAGAGGGAACATAGAATAAAACAGATAACCAAACTATACGCCATGCAGGCATACACAATCTGTTATCCCACCAGCGTGCGGGAATGTAAACTCGCTGAGGAACTCTTCACGCGCGCTGGGGGGGGGATACTACTATACTGGAACCGGTTTCAACATCGCCCAAGCTGGAGCTTCTGTGCAGTCAACATACTTTGACGAAGTTACACACGGCGTTTACAAGGAAGCTTGGCTACGATGCAAGAAGTTCCGCGAAAATCTCGACTTCATTCAAGGAAACTACGAGCGAGAGGACTCGACCATGGTTCCCGCATACCTAGCAGACACAGGCGAAACTTCCCAACCCACATCAAAGCAATTCGAAATTGACCGTGTCGAACAATTGAAACGTAAGAGGGACAAGCTCCGTGAGGAGCTAGAAGAACTCAAACGAAAGGATGCCCTACTGGACAGAGAGCTCATCGCTGATCGGGAAGACCTGGATAAACAGCTCGCCACTGCTGTAGACAGCTGCCCCCCTGAACAACCAGAACTGCGCGAGGTTCTCGAATCTCATCGCAGGCGAACCATGAGACGCGTGGACAAAGACCTTCAGGATCTTTTGCCAAAAGAAGGCGATTAGCGGCGGATGAGGGCCAACGATTTGGCACAGACATTTCTTTTTCTTTTCTTTCTGCAGATTACGTGGGCGTTCATACAATATTATACGTTGATTCAGTCAGCATACCAGTCTAAATCGCCTGTTCAGCAGCTGATTCTTCGGGCACGTTAATCAAGTTAGCATGCCATTTCAAATCGCCTGCTCAGCAGCTGATTCTTTAAGTATGTTGATTGAATCAGCATTCATTCTCCTATTACATGTTCCACGAGTTATTATAGAATAGTTTTCGTTTAAAATCAAGAGATCAATCCCCACACTTTCCAGTTTCACAAGTGATACCACCAGGTTTTTGCTGTTCATAATATGTGTCCGGAATCTACGATACAAGTGATTACGATCTCATTGCGTCACATTAGAGCTTCTTGGCGTATATTTGCTTCACTGTTGATGGTCAGAGAAACCGACGCATACATGTAGAATACAGGTAAATAGCAGATGTTTCATTCACTGATGTCTTATAAGGGCAACCAATGTGACTGAAGCTGTTGTAATCTATTCTGGCTGGATTATTATCAACTGGATCGGGTAATTTTTTCATCAGACGCATGAATCACAGAGACATTTGAAAGACCTGCTATGAACAGGCCAAGTAGGCATGCATTAAAGGCGAAAAACATCTCTGGGGACCTATAACTTGCTCTCTAAACAAACATTCAAGTCAGAAGGGGCTTAGAATCTTCCAGATGATTCTATGTGGCACCAAAGCTGGGCTAACGCCACAGATACGTCTCCGCTCACGTGACTGCCAAGAAGTGTTCACGGAATACTTGAACTTGCAAGACGCCCGCCCCTCTCTCTCTCTCTCTCTTACTCTCCACACCATGTCTTACAACAATTCATACAACCATTTTCCTGCCGGCACAGCCCCAAGCTCCCGGCGATCTTTGAACCCTCACCCTCATTCAAACTCTTTTCAGAACCAAAACCCATACGCGCAAACCCCATACAATCCACCCCCACCAAGCCCATACCAACATGGCCCAAACAATCCACAATCTTTCGCCCCTCCCATGCAAGAGTCTGTGTCCGATGCTCCGTCGTCGAAGCTCCAGCTCTATCAAGGCATGACATTCTGTCCGGGTCTCCCAAAATTCCCCGTGGCACGCTACCTCCCTCCTAGGGGCCAGATATTGAACTTTATGGAAAAGCAGTTCCAGGGTCATGGTCCCTGTCACCTAGATAACTGCCCACGTTGTGGACAGCCCAAGTCGACACATCCAGGCATCTGGTCCGACTGCCAAAACCCCTGCTTCTGCCACGGAAAAATGATGCACACTTTCATGTGCCCGGATCTCTATTCGACCACCAACAAGATTGGCCGCATTTTCAAATGGCCAGGCAAATATGAATTACCCTCTTATGTACAGATCCAACCGAATACGGATGAGGTTGAAATCCTACGCAAAAACGGATACATTAAAAGCACTGGATCTTTTCAAGACATATTGCCGCAGTTTACTGCAAAGGCATTGTCCCTCGAGAGAGAACTTAATATTATACACCAAGGACCACTAGGCAGACCAGGTACGTCTGTGATAAAGCACATTCACTTCACTGCCTACTACTCTCAGCTTGTTGGAGCGTTACTGACTGTTTGTTTCTGCGGACTAGGCTATGACTACAGCGTCATGCGCTCCGACCACCGGTATGCTCCTACTCCTACCTATGATGCCAAGAGCAATCATGGAGAGGTATTCCGGCATGCTACTAGACAATCAAACATACCTCCTTCACAGAGACCCCAGAAAATCCAACATTCGCTTGGCATCGCCCAAACTCAAATAATGCCTCGGCCTAATCAACAACCCCCTCATTCGAACCTGCCTTCTTACGCACCATCGTGGTACGGAGATCTTCCAGCGCAAGTCCACTCCGACCTCACGAGAATCCCCGAGACCCACTCTTCGAGTGTGACAGGGCATATTTCGCGCAGGTATCGTGACAACCATAGCCAGACCATCGAAATTTCGAATATTCGGGCTCAATTAAGTCAATGTCAAGAAGACCTCCGTCGCCATCAACAATACATAGCTCTTATGGGGCTCAACCCACTTCCTCCAATGAGGTCTCTCGCTCCTCAGATCACTCGCGAGCCAGACGCCAAAGACAGGTTCGCTAACATGCGGCGCGATGAATCTCCCTCGAGCACATCAAGGACAGATTAGCCCACAGGCAACGGGATTTCTCCCGCCAAACACTTCAAAAAAAAGATAAATTCGCAAACATTCGGCATAATATTTCCCCTCTGAGCGCATCCAAGAAGAACAGGTTCGCAGACTACCGACAAGCATCAGAACAAAGAGCTGTACGCTTATTGCGTCATCTGTTTTTTTAGCGAATGCGTTTACTTCTCCTTCCGAAGTCCCACATACCGCGTTGTTACACGCAGCGTGTCTTCCATATATGTTAACATAACGTATATTATCTATACCGCGTTGCTACACGCAGCGTGCTTTTAATATATGTTAACACAACGTATATTATCTATACCGCGTTGCTACACGCAGCGTGTCTTTCATATATGTTGACACAATGTATATCATCTCTTTCCCGCGTTGTCATACGCAGCGTGACTTTTCTAGTTCTTGTTAGCTTGCTTTCTTTGCTTTCCTTTTTCTAGAAAAAAAAAATAGGTGTTTGCCTGAGTGCTCAGGCAATTCACCGTGGTTTCTTTATACTGTGTTGCGCCAGAGCTCATCAATCGCAATAGCGTCAAATCCACAATAAGTTCTTCCAATGAAATTCATTCTCTCAATTGTTCGTGCTATACTAATGCTACTGTTTCACGCAAACCACTCCATGCCATGCATTTCAAAGCTACATAATTCTGTTACATCCGACGAACTCAACCAGATACCTGCTTCTGCCACATAATACAAGCTCAGTAAAGATTATATAAGTTTATGGGAGGCGGGGAAAGGAATAAAGTAACAACTAAGAAAAGAACGCGTGTTATGTTGAAGCTCACCGGTACCAAGCTAGCAATAATGCCCCAAGGGGTAATATAGCCGGGCTCGTCTTGTGTGTCAGAGATGGAAGCGCTCAAAATGTAGTAGTGGGCCGCTTAGCTCAAGCTCTCAAGTCGTTTTAGGAGAACAAGCACAAGGACCAGAATGGGCTTGTATGCTTTTGTCAGAACAGTAGGCGAGTACAATGTAGGATCGAATGGATGTGACTGTACATAGTAGTTCAATGTTGCTTAAGCGATGATGCTGTCTGGAACTATCTACATAGAAAAATCGTATGCCAAGCAACGCATTGGGTGAGATTTTCCGAGCAGCTAAGCGTATACAAGAATTCCATAAAGAGTTAAGCTTCAGCAAAATAGTAAGCTGCTTTTGTAGACAATTGTGCGAACTCGAAGCGCGATGATGATTGGCCGGAATTTAGGCTGATGAGCCAATCAGAGAAAGCTATATATCTGCACATCCAATCCCGCATTCGCTAATGCAGCTTTGCGGCGATTGTTCCAGTTAATTGGTTCCACGCCATTGCATCCGCTCTTACACCAGCCCCTGAGGCTGAGTATGCGGATAGTCTCCCATGCGCGTGGGACTCGCGCGACTCAATGTTGGTTTATATAGTCATCTAAATGGAACTATACATCAAGCATCCCTTTTCTAAGTTCTCTCTGTATCAGTTTCACTCAGTCGCTCTTGTACTTCAATTCCTCATGAGCTGAAAATGCCTTCATCAAAAGAAGATACCACTCAGAATGAGAAAACACCTGTCCCGAAAGCCTCGCAGAGCAAAGATAGTGAAGGGAGTTTTCTTCGAATCCTTAGTTACGCTACTTGGCTCGACCGCTGTCTGATGGCAGCAGCCACTATCTCTTCTGTCGGAGCTGGCGCTGCAATGCCAGCGATGAACATAGTTTTCGGCAAACTTGTGGGTAGCTTCACCGGGTACTTTACACCAGGCTCTGGAGTCACCGAAGACGAGTTCCTCGCCGATGTGAATCGAAACTCTCTCTACTTCTTTCTCATCTTCATCGGGAAGTTTGTTCTGGGATACATTTCAGTGTATGCTTTTCGAATGAGTGGCATACGCATCTCAGCCGCAATTCGACTCGCATACTTATCGTCTCTTCTCGAGCTGCCTGTGAGTGTCATCGACCAACTGCCGGCGGGCGAAGCCACGGACGCCTTGACAAATCTCGCCAACACTATTCAATCTGCAATCTCAGATAAACTAGGCTTAATGGTACAAGGTTTCTCCCTTGTCATCTCAGCGTACATCATCGCATTCGTCTACTCATGGAAACTCACGCTGGTCTCAAGCGCAGTTATTGTCTTTGTTGCCGCTACGCTGCAGATTACTCTACCACATGTCATGAAGAGGTACATTCAGATACTCGGAAACAACGCAAGCGCGTCGGGCATAGCAGGCGAAACCCTACAAGGCATACGGACAATCAAGTCACTTGGTGCGGAGCAAGAAGCGTCACGATGGCACGACAGATTCATGGACGAAGCGCAGAGTACTGGTTCCAAGTTGGCCATTTGGATATCGATGCAGTTCTGGCCCTCGTTTTTCGCCAACTTTGCCAACATGGCGCTGACCTTCTATGCCGGTGTTATGTTCTATTCGAAAGGGCTAATCTCAGGCATTGATGCCCTTGTCATGTACGTTAATTCTTGTTTATTTTCCAATATCCAATCGCTGATCTTACAATTTCCAGCGTTCTTTACTCGGTTCTGATCGTACTATCGGGTCTTGGAAGTATTTTCACACCCATACAATCCATCGTCAAAGCTATTTCGGCTTCCGCAGCATGCTTCAAAATCATCGACATGCCGAAGTCGAAACTTGGCGATCTTCAAGCGCCCGACGCCAACGCCGGCGATGATGTAACATTTGAGAATGTGCGATTTACATATCCCAGCAGGACTGAGGCGGAAGTTCTGAAAGGTGCAAGTTTCAAAATACAGGGAGGTAAGATCACCGCTCTCGTCGGTCATTCTGGCTGTGGAAAGAGCACTATTGTTGCACTCTTGGAACGATGGTATGACTTGTCGGATATCAATCCCGAGAAAGATATCGAAGTGGCAGAGGCTGAGGGCGCAAATTCAGTCTGCCAGAATGCTGGAAAGATCATGGTTGGCAGTCACAGCCTCGAAGACATGCACCGCAAGTGGTGGCGCTCGCAAATTGGTCTTGTACAACAAGAGCCAGTTCTCTTTCACGAATCCGTTTTCGATAATGTTGCAAAAGGTCTTATTGGATCCCAATGGGAAGCTGTATCCGATATTGAGAAACGCTCGATGGTCAAACAAGCATGCGCGGAAGCTTTTGCAGATGAGTTCATTCAGAAGTTGCCACAAGGATACGACACCATGGTTGGAGAAGGCGGTATAAAACTGTCAGGAGGGCAACGCCAACGACTAGCCATCGCTCGGAGCATTATCAAACAACCACCCATTCTGATCTTTGATGAAGCAACAAGCTCGATTGATGTTCGCAGTGAGAAGCTCATTACTGCGGCTTTGGATCGGGTATCAAAGGGAAGGACTATGCTTGTGATAGCGCATCGTTTATCCACGATCCGTCGTGCCGACCATATTATCGTGCTCAAAGACGGAACGGTCTCCGACGAAGGAAACCATGATAATCTTATGAGCAGAAATGAGGGTATCTATTTCGATCTAGTCCAAGCGTCAAATCTCAACCACGGCGACCAGCCTGAAGACCCGTTGGACATTCCGGATCGGATCGATCCTGGAAAGGAAGAACCCGAGGAGAAGTCGGAGCCCCTCCAAAACGGATATTCCAGCAAAGCACCAGAGAAAACCAGCGCAAAAGTGGGCCTGCAATCGGTAGGACGTCTGTTGTCGGAACAAAGGCAATACTATCCACTCTACATTTTTGCCCTGATGGGCGCGATGGGGGCAGGTGCTGCCGTTCCAGTTCAAGCCTGGCTTTTCTCTCATGTCGTCACCGTCTTCAACGAACCCGATCTAAATGAACTGACCAAAGCTGGGAAATTCTGGTCTTTGATGCTGTTCATACTGGCGATATGCGCTGCTATATCTTACGCTACCATCGGTTACTTCAGCACTACGATCTCTTTCAACGTAAGCGCGACGTACCGAAAAAGCTACTTCAACAGTGTCCTCACGAAACCAATCCATTGGTTTGACAAGGAAAACCTCTCGATAGGCACCTTGACCGAGCAGCTGGGACGAGACCCACAGCAACTTCAAGAATTGCTAGGCGTCAACATTGCTTTTCCGCTCATATCTTGCTTCAGTCTTGTTGGCTGCACAATAGTCAGTTTCGTCTTTGGTTGGAAGCTGAGTCTCGTCATCTTCTTCGCGTCTATGCCAGTTATTCTGGTCGCTGCATACTTCCGGATGCGCCACGAAAAGCATTTTGAGACGATGAATGAGCAGGTTTTTGCCGAGTCTAGCAAGTTTGCAACTGAAGCCGTCACGTCTTTCCGGACAGTCACGGCGTTGACTCTCGAGCAAGCTATCACTCAAAGATACAGCACATTGTTGAAAAATCATGTCAGGGAAGCTTTTCTCAGGGCTCGACTGACTGTCCTTGTGTTTGCTTTGAGCGATAGCCTGCAGTTCTGCTCTATAGCGCTCGGATTCTGGTATGGTGGACAGTTGCTGGCGCGCAGAGAATACGAGCCGTTGGAGTTCTTTGTCATATACTCTGCCCTGATCCAGGGAGCGCAAGCAGCAGGTCAATTCCTCGCTTATGGTCCAAACATCGCCAATGCGACATCAGCCGCAGATCGCATCATCGCCTATCGAGAAGGCTCTGAAATGATCACTCACTCAGAGGATGATCATGATCGCGAGAAGAATCAGGCTTGCAAGCTAGAGTTCCGCGACGTCAGTTTCCAATACCCAACTCGAGATGTTCCAGTATACAACAATCTCTCCTTCGTCATTGAGCCAGGTCAATATGTCGCGTTTGTCGGTCCCTCGGGCTGCGGTAAAACAACCATCATCTCGCTTCTTGAACGATTCTACGAAACAAACTCTGGCAGTATCCTTATGAATGGCCAAAACATAACAGACCTTCCCCTGTCACAGTATCGATCTCAGTGCGGATTAGTAGCGCAAGAACCCACACTCTTTGCGGGAACTGTCAAAGAAAACCTCATCCTCGGTCTCCCGTCTGCATCTACTACCCCCCAAGATACCATCGACGCAGCATGCAAAGCAGCCGAGATATATGACTTCATCGCCTCGCTACCTCAAGGGTTCAATACCCAGATAACTGCAGGGACGCACTCTAGTTTTTCGGGAGGGCAGAAGCAACGTCTTTGCATTGCACGAGCGCTGCTCCGAAAGTCTCAATTGTTGTTACTTGACGAGGCGACGAACAGTCTAGACAGCGTGAGTGAAGGATTAGTCCAAACAGCTATTGAGCGACTAGGCGGAAGCAAATCGATGACAATTATCGCGGTAGCGCATCGGTTAGCGACGGTTCAGCGAGCTGATCGCATCTTTGTCATGGGTGAGGGAGGCGTGATTGTGGAAAGTGGTAATCATGGCGAGTTGATGCGGAAAAGAGGTGTTTATTGGGAGATGTGCAAGGCGCAGGCATTGGATCATTGAAGCTTCAGTAGGGTTAATCAAAATTCTCGGTTTGTGCGGAAAATCTGGTCCGCAGGACCCACTGAACACATATGTCGCGTGAGCAGCATGATCACCGCATGCCTCAAAAACGGTATTATTATCATTCTCGGGCCCCCAATGTCACACCTGTTGTGAAGTCACCCTCAATTCAGGAGATGCCTTGTTGAACATTAAATTGCGATACTCTGAATGCCCTGTCTAACAACCCAGTACTCCGCGATCTCATCATTATTCCATTGTTAACCAGTAGTCTAAAGATGCAAACAATGTCAGGCTAACAAATACTCAAAATCTACGAAAAGATAACCAAAGCCGCAAATTTACACGCCAGAGTCGTCTTGCTCGATACTGTACGTCTCTGAATGTGATACCCATGCCGCGCAGTTCTCCTCGAGGCTACTCTGGTCTATCAAGGCACTGATCTCGGAAGCTCGTTCAACAAACTGCATCGCGAAGCCCTCACTGGTGTGCCATCCGATATGGCAGTGCATCAACCAAGCGCCGGGGTTATCAGTCTCGAAAGCAAGCACGAGATGGCCAGCAGAAGGAAGCATAGCCGTGTCTCTGCGGGGCGGGTTATCGAGATTCAAGGTAGTTGAAGAAGAGTACGATCCGGACCCTTGCGCAACAACGAAGAAATCGTGGCCGTGGAGATGAATGGGATGCGGAACAGGTAGAGTGGTGGAGATTATGATATAGACCCATTCATTGGCATTCGGAAGACTGACGACGGCTTCGCTGGCCTCCCAGGATGTGTTGCCGTTTACGACTTGACCCAACGAGGGATCGGCCCAGTCTACGACCATAGATGTGCTGTTCATTGTCCAGCGGAATAGGTTATCGCTGTTGAAGCCTACTGCAACGGGCTCGTCGGCGGTGGTAGACGCGGTAGATCCAACGGTCTTGGAAATGTAAGGGACAAGCGTGGTCTCGTCATCACATCCATCAGTGTAGGAGTAGGCGGAGGTTGAGGGTGTGGTGGTTGAGTCGCTGTAGTAAATAATTCCTTTGATATCATCCGATTGGGAGTTATCGGAGCATGCTGATTGCGGAATAGCACGCATCCAGAAGCTGTCGGCGGTAGATTCTTGGTCTGCGGTGATGATTACGTCGTAGCGTTGGCCCATGCCAATGTTGAGGACGGTAGCCTCGTACGGCTGAATAGGTACGAAATCGGATGCAATTACAGTCATTGTGTGGTTATCAAGCATGAACTTGAAGTGTGTGTCAACTGCACCATTGACGAGTCGAAGACGGTAGGAAGTGCCCGGTGTGAAGGTCGTATTATAGCGGAAGCCACCACTCTCGTATGTGTTAGTGCCGTTGATGAGGCCATTGTCCAGCGTAGGCGGGCCACTGGTTTGCGCGCTCATGTAAAGCTGATCGACTGTCTATTTTGCAGTTAGTAAAATGATCAATTACGGAAAGATTTTCGACGTGAAACTTACTTGATGGTCCCAGTCGTTCAGGAAAAGCATGCCGAGATCCTCGTCATAGTTCGCCGTGGCTGGTCCGTTGATTACGATGCCTCCGAGAATCCCTTGCCACGCTTGCAAAGCAAAGTGGGAGTGATACCAAGAGCTTCCATACTGTGTCGCCCGCCATGTGTAGGTGATTGATTCTCCAGGAGCGGTGGGACATTGAGTAATGGACGCCACACCATCGTTTTGCACGGTGTAGTTTTGACGAATTCCGTGAAAGTGTAAGCTGGTACCGTTTTGCGAGGTAGTAAGAGAATTTTTGACATGAACTGTGACTGTGTCGCCCCAATCGGCGAACAGCGTTGGCCCAGGAATAGAACCATTCACAGCCATAGCTGTGCGAGATACACCATCTGGCGCAACAGTGACGTCTGTGAGCTCGAGCCAGTACTCCCGGGTTACTCCAGTGTCAGGAACCTCCGTGTAGTAGTCGGTGTCTATGGAATAATCACACCATTCAGAACGTGAGGTTGCGGTGTTGCCACTGCATGCCGCTCTTTCTGTAAAATCGTCAGTCGTTTGTCTCTTAACTACGCAGAATGAAATCCTGCATACCTTGAAGAGATGGGGAGGGGATTGCCGTGGCAAATCCCACCAGGGCGGTCGAAGCCGCGAGGAAGTTTCGAACAAACATAACCTCGAGGAGTTGAATAGAAGGAACGAGTGAAGATTTAGGAGAGTATCAACTATGAATTAGTGGTATAAACAAGATTTAACGAGAGGCGCGAGCTGCAAAGCTCAAATTAAATGAACGAGAGTGATGACTGAAAGCCGATGACCGACGATGAGGTGCCATCTGCCATTATTTATGTTTTCACAATCTCTCCATATCTTTTCAGGTCGAGTATATGGATCTTTTAGGAGCCCCTTTCGTTACCAAGATAAGCTAGGCAAACTCTGCCTCCGCGATAGTGCTGTCTAATGGCCGGCGCATGAATCATCATGCTGAATGCAAAATCCGAATGTAAGACAATCGGATTCAACGTCACATCGTTTTCCAACAAGGGTCAGCCTGATGTCGTCGTATGCACATACGTACTTAGGTGCATTCTTGACGAAGTGGGTGCGGCACTAGTCATGGGTGCATACGTAACGGCGTGTTCGGCGGATTCCAACCTTGTCTGGTGCTGAATCCGTTTTGAGTGGAGAGGTCCAGCATTGGCAAAAACTATTTCCTCCAAAGGATTGTTCAAAAGGAGAGATGAGGTATTCCTTTTTCGATGATTTCTCCTGAGGCGGTCCGATTCGAATCTCTTCTTGGCTATTGCGGGCCACTTATCAATCATGCTATCGTTGGCACGAGAACCATGTACTGTAGTATCTACCCAGCTGCAGGTTTCAAGCTAAACTACACTTTCTGCATTGCGCACCATTACTATCTCTATTCTTCCCTGCCGATCGTACCCATGGAGTGTGGTGGGTTTTGTTGTTGCGCAATTCGACCAGTATTGCGAATCGTGGCGCAGCTATTTGTATAGGATCCACCGCTGCTATAGTACCTGAGTCGCATGTCCAAGTTACGCCGATTACGCCGAGATGTACCGGAACAAGCCTTACACCAAGGATGGAAATGCTAGGCAGTTTCCAGGATCTCCCCAACAGTAGTGGAATCTACAAAAATCGGTATCGTTGGGAAATGATAGTCAATGCCCTTGACTCTGATATAAAACATCGTCTTTCCAAGACGCTCCAACTCGTCACCTTTCGTCACCTCCAGTGTACCAGGCATCACTTCCACTCGTTTTAATAGTCACTCGTTAATCATGTTTGCTGTTCTACGCACCTCAATTCTTGCTGCGCTCATGCCCGCGGCCGTTTTCGGTGCAACTCAGAGGCGTGCCATCGACGGGCCTTTTGAGCTCTGGGCCTATGGCACCGGAATTGGAGGGTTTCCTTTGTTCTACTCTCGAGGTATGCATAGACAAATGGAATTCGTTGATCGTTTGACTAACTATATGAGATAGGCCTCGCTTTCGCTGGAAATGTAAGCCAGTTCAGCGCCAACGACTCCAATGCGGCGATAGCCAGCTGTAAGTGATCCTTCAAATTACAATGGCTCTTTACTCATTCAGGTCAGTTGTCACTGGACCTGATAACTCATGGATCGCATCACCGGTTAACGCAACTACGAACTGGAATCGTGCTACGCTTTTTATCCCTTCTACGGCCATGGAAAGCAGCCTCGTCGGATTTCTACCGGAGAACAGCGGTGGGAATGCATCGATAGAAACTACTGGATTCTCGTTCTACGGCACCACCGCTATGAAGATTGAAGCTGATGGGTCCCTCGCTTCTGGATTCACAGGTTTGCCAGTGAGCGACGATGTGATTCAAATCTTCTGGAACGACACAAGCTCGGGGCAGGTGCCTATCGCACTGAGGGGTGTTGCTCCATCAAGCCCTCCTCCATTTATTCCAGCAACACAACTTACTCCAGCCACCGGATCTAACCCGGGAGACGCCAGCAGTGCTTCGTAGATTTGCTGCGAGCTGTATGGTAGATGTGGAGGAGGGGTTTAATTAGAGGGTGTGTTAATGATCGCATCACCCCGTGTAGTCAAGTGGTACAATATACATCATGAACAGTACGACTTCCTCTATGCTTCTGACAACGGTTGTTACTTTTTGTGGCAAAATTATTAAACCAAGCCTTTGTGGCGTTACCATCCGGGTTAGATGCATCGGCGTAAACCCGTAATCTTAGATCCCTCCCGTCACTTGTAAACACCCTGCAAGCTATCGAGGAACGGTGTTTTGGGTTGACGTAAAACGTTTTGCTTTTGCGTATGCTATCTTTGCCAGTCAAGAACCCTAAAATGCTTTTCCCACCGGAAGTAGCCAGCTGAATCGAAACCGCGGCAGTCGTTGATCGCCACTCGGCAGTAGCACTGCGTGTTTAGCCATCTGCCGTACCACCTCAACCAATAAGTGAGCAGCTTCGTCACATTTACGCGATAGATAAATTGTGGGGAAGGGCCATGTGCCGTACGCATTCTAATGTACCCCAGTCTTGGTCGTTTGGAGTTTACAAGCTTTCGCTAAATTACCCTCCGATCGAAGCTTGGCCTGCTTTCGGGATCGTCTACCCTTATGACGGCTTCATACGCTAATGGCTAAAAAGGCAGTGCATGGGACGATTGCGTAGACCAAGGCCGGTTGCCAAATGGAATGGGTTGAAAAGTATTCAGCGCATCTTGGCCGTTGCACAAACGCCAGGTATATAAAGCGGAAGATGCCAACTGCTTCAATACACGCTCAGTACCAATATAGACAGACACTCGACACGATCAATCAAAAAGCAAAATGGTTTCTTTCACCGCCCTCGTAGCTACGGCTTTGGCCCTCGTCCCTAGCGCAGTCTCTGCACCCAGCGGCGTGGAATACAGCTCGACGCACAACAGCCTCGCTACTCGCCAGAATGCTCCATGGCAGTGGTGGACTGAAGGCAGCGGGCAATTCAGCTGCCAGCAGCAGGGAGGCGGAAAGTACTCCTGCTCGTGGAATGGCCAGCAAGGCGGTGGTATGGTAGCTGGAACTGGATGGGGAGCTGGTCGCAAGTAAGAATAATTCTTCTTCCACTGCATTCTGCAGAAACTTATTGAAATCCAGGACTGTGCGATACCAGGGACAGTACAACCCCAAGGGCCCTGGATATCTCTCCCTCTACGGATGGACCCGCAACCCTCTAATCGAATACTACATCATTGAGTCCTGGGATGTGCTTGCACCCGGCGAGCCATGGACACTTCGCAGTAACTTCACATCCGGCAGTGCAAACTATGCCTTCTACACCGCACAGCGCGTTAACAAGCCATCGATTGAAGGGACAAGGACCTTCACTCAGTACTTTTCCGTGCGAAGCGAAGCCGAAAAGAAGGTCGGAGACGTCAGCGGTACCATCAACACAGCCGACCACTTCGATGCTTGGAGCAGGGCTGGTTACCGTCTTGGTAACTTTGAGCAGAACATGTTCTTCGTCACTGAGGCCTTCGCCAATGGTACCAAGCTTCCAAGCGGTACGAGCACCATCACCGTCAGCTAGACTAGCTTTGCGGGTTCTTGTATATAACACAATATGAGAGTTATTTTGGAGCAGTTGTACTTGCTTGTGTGATTGTTGATAGACGACGCTGCGAAAGCTGCATGCGTATCGTGATGCTTTGGCCGCTCTTGGAGTTTTTTACGCTTGAATATACCACCTCGAATCAGAGAACTAAACACGTAGCAAATTCTCCATCGATTAGGAGGTATATTTGATCTTTGTTTCGCCCGATTATGCTCAACACGCTCTCTTTTTGCCGTCGCTACCGAAGTTTCGTCACCCGCCTAGAACCTAGGTTTCACCATGATAATTACTGTTATGGTGCATTTGAAGCGTTTTCATCCAGTTTCTTGGGGGGCTTTCGTTCTATTCTTGCGTAAAAGTTACTATTGCTGATAATCGTTAACCTTGATGGTGACAACCTTGCCGGAAACGAACAGCAGCACAGGACGACTATGAAACCCATGCAACGAATCTGGAACTTGATGAGATTACCGGGGATATGGAATATGTGATGATCAAATAATAGACTTAATCTTTTTATTGTCTGGGAATCGGCATTGTCTCTCAAATGGCCGCGTTGGATAGATATTCTGGCATAAGATGGATTAGTAATCGCGCCTAGTCCACAGTGGCGCAGCATTGTCACGTTGTGTCACCGAGTCATGGATAGAAAGAACCATAACACAACATTGTTCTGCCTTTCACCATCCAAAAAAGTACAGACAAAACCGATCATGAATTCAAAAGCATCAGACTCATCTGCGAGAACTCCAGACATCTACGAGCCCTGGAAAACACTCACTCCAGAAATCTATGATGAGTGGGACGAGGACGAGGACAAACTCTGGAAAGCTTCACTCGAATCCTTGATAAACGGCGAACAAACACCATTCCAAGCTTCGCAAAACATTGACGCTTTTATCCGTGAAGTGACTTCTTCCCGACTCACCAAACTCATCGAGTACGCAGATACCCACGACGTGACTGCCGAAGAACGCCAGTTCGGCATCTATGAAGAGGGTATATACGTACCGGACGCATCAACATATGCGAACGTAATTCTGCGCACTTTTGGTAAAGCTTGCACTGCATTTCCTCCTCGCAGCGAGACCCAAAATCGGTTGGTGGGGTTGTTGGAGGAATTGAGGGGTTTGCCACGATGGATGGCGCCTGAACTCGGGCCTGACGAGAAAGGGCAAGTTAATTCAACTGAGTTTTGGAAGTTTGGGGGGATTGAAGAGAGTTGGATTGGACTGGAGGATGCGTTTCGGAGGGAACATGCTGGTACGTTTCTCGTTATCGGATGAACTGATCAAAATGCGCTGAGAATGAAGACAGTATTGAAGCCAACCTTGGACCGCGATCATCATCCGTGCGAGTTGCATGCGCGTTGGCGTAACCTCCAGCATATTATGGCACGCATCACAGCCAGTGATCTCATCTATTGCGGGGGTTTTAACGCCCTATCTGATCTTGTCCCGTCCATCCAACCGAACAAGGATCCAACCAGATATAAGAAACGGAATATGGACTTTAGTATCATAGCTGCTGCCCAATGGGTCGTTGGGCCCCACGAATGTCGATTTGTGTATCACGAGTGCCTCAAAAGGGAGACGATTGAACATTTCTGGAAACCGTGGTCCAAAGAAGGGTGGGCCTTCTGGAAAATCGAGTTCGCAAACGTGATAGACAACACGCATTATGATGAGCGTACGCAGGTCGTGGCCAGGGAGGCTTTACAGCAGATGGAGACTACTGAGAAGCAGAGCGATTAAAAGGAGTCGCTCGATTACACGGGCTTGACCGCCGGATATTTCTCACCAACGGAACGTTGTAATGCGTACACAGATGAGCGATGAGCAGGGGAGAGAGATGGAAATAGCTGAGCGATGGTTGTGGATGCAGTAACAGAATCAAATAATAAATGAAAGCTAAAAGTGCATAAACATATCCGAAGAGACAAAGCGCAAGAAATGGAGAGAGATTATCAACAGTAACGCGAACTGAAATATACAATTCTTCAAGACGAAGAACGCAGATCAGATAAACAGGAATCATAAAACTTGTTTCAGAAGCAAAAGCGGCAGTAAAACGTGCGTAGGATATCAAGACGTAGTACTAACGTATGAAGTAAACAACGCATAAACGTATATGAAGTGGCAGAGTTCAAAGAAAGTAAAATAACCAAAACATTGGAAGTAGAAGAGAGGAATGGATGAAACGGGAACGAAGGAGACACATCCCGCACTACCACCTTGAGAAGCAATAAAATCGATAGAACAAAGAAGTTCAGCAACGACAAGGAACATAAGAAGGAAAATGAACCGATATTTTCCGATGCACCGATGTGCTTCTGCTACTCATCATACAATGATTGCAAGTTCTCTTCGGAGCGCTAGAAGAGGACGTACATTCACTGCACAATGAGCAGCAAAAGTAGAGTGCAGGATGCCAAACACAAATACAGAAAGAATAATAGCAGAAGCAATTGCAGTTGAACAAGAAATGGATAAGGACAACACTTTTAGAACAAGATGATTGTACGGCAGCAAATTAGCAGCGTTATGAAGACAAATGAAGGAATTGCACCAATGTACAACCAAAGCATAGGAAGCAGAGACTAGAAAGCAGAGGGAACGAAGCATTCGCATAAGATGAGTTTAACAAGGCTAACGAAGCGCAAGTAGAACATAGAATAAGCAGACGTATAGCAAACGCAGAAGAAGGAGAAGAAGAAGAAGAAGAAGCCATTACTAAACACTAGAATGTTGCGTACGTACGAGGAAGCAAAACAAAGCAGCAGGTATAGACCGTTATAGCATGAGTCAAGCGGCAGCAACTAAAAGTGAGGTCGCATAAATCCATCAATCGAACAAACTAGTAGAGCGTGTCAGTTAACAATGCGCAAAACGGTAATAGATAAGTAAGAAATTTATCAAAGCACGCGGAATAAACGTCATATTCCTCTACGACAAGCCATAAGAGAGAGCAACGATAGCTACCAAAGAATAAAAGCAACGCGGGGGTTACCGGAAGGAGATGATGATGAAAGATATTACAGCATTCCACCACTCAAGCGCGCTCGACCATCGTGAAAAAAAAGGTCCAAGAAAACGCCCGATCAACAACAAGCTTCCACAAATAACAGCAAACAAAGCCGTAGCGAGATTACATCTCAGTAACCTCGTTCGCTCAGCTTTAATTCACCCTAAAACCCCAAAAAGATTGAGGGTGAACTGTTCTCCTTCTCTCCTCCTCTCTCGTTGCCCATTCCAAGAAAGGGTAACGAACTCCGACAGACACGTAGACCGAAGTCTACACACTGCAGCGAGATATGATAGCGGTTTGATGAACAATGCTATCCTTGACTGTAGGTTCTCTCACCCGCAAAGCATCACCGAAACGTGTTCAAGTGAGTGTATTTGCGGGGCCATGGAATCGTGTGACCCGAAGACTGGTAGCGGTGGAGCTTGCTGGTCTCCGGACGGTATCCCCATGTGTGGAATGCCTGTTACAAAGACCAATGTCAGCACACTGAGCTAGAGAGAGTGTGTGGTAATGGAAAGCAAGGAGGGATGGCATACTTGTAGAAGCGTCGTAGAAAGTAGTGTGGTACGGGCATAGGAATAAAACCCCCTTGCCTGGGTGCCTTTTGTTCTTTGGAGCGTTGCAATCTCTTTTCGCTTGGGGGCGCAGAAAAGGAATATTGACGTTCGTTCTCGGGTTGCAGTGATCGATGAATTGGAGTTTGACGGTAGAAGGCGCGAAGAGGCAAAGGTGTTTATTCCTAGCGCGAAACCAGTTTCTTGGTCCTCAAGTATCCACTGGGCGCGATTCCATGAGGACTTGCTAAATCAGTTCCCAGCATATTGATCGTTTGTAACACGCTTTAGATGTTCAGCGGAATGATGGCGGTGGTAATAAAGTTAACGTGGTGTTGAGTTGAGGACCGGAAACAGGACGGTTCCGAGGGGGGGGGTCTTGTTGGAGTGTGTTTTGATACCGTTTGGGAGACTAGATTAACTAGAAAGCGGAAGAAATGGGATATTCTGAGGAGAAGAGTGTGGGGTGGGAGGGGATCTGGGTGTTTAAGTAGCTGAGCTATGGACACCACCATTCCCCGAATAGCACGCGGGTTTTAGTGTGTGGGCCCAAACTCGCTGCGCCTCTCCGCTTTCTCACCTTATCTGTCGGGAGTATACTACCCCCTGTTGCAAATGGCATTCTGCGCCAATGATACCAAACAATTCATTCGTTTAATTATCGTTTACTGTGAAACTCTTCTCGCTTGACCGCCCGATCAGCGCTGCTTCGACTTTGCGGCCGATGATCGTTGAAGGGTGGTGGCCTTGATATTTTTCTACGCACGTAAACGCATTCGCGCATACTTCGAAGCATCAACAATAATCATCACTTTATACAGCTGATTGAATTTCGGTCACTTAGCGAAGAAATCTCATGTACGGAAACCCCAGTCTTGGAGACTGAAATGTATAACGAGTATGAACGACGATATTGCGCAACTGGCGGGTACAATGAATGTGGATGCGGTGAATGCGAACGATCAGTGCCGAATTGGACATGGCGCTCTTACTGTGCATACAACGTGCGCCCCACTAACATCTCCAGCTTTCTAATACAGCCTGCACCTAAATTTGGGGTCGAAAGCTGTGCGCAATGGCGAGCGAAACCCGCTCGTGGCCCAGGGTCTCAACTGCCGTATTCACTGCAAAAAAAGAAGTATAAGGAGCGATCCAGTTGTGCCGCGTGGAATATAAATTTTAGAAGACAAATAAAGACTGAATGCAACACCTCGCCCGTCGTCTGATGTTCTGCGCTGAGGGTGCTGCAGCTTACGGCGCCCTGCTGTTGTGACCCAACCAATCACACCTGCAGCTCGTCAATTGACGGCGTTTTGACGGAGGGTGGGTGGTGTGGTGTCTCAAGAGCTGAGCCGCGTAGGCCCAGATTTCTTCATCCCATACGCAAACACTGCCAATTACGCTGCAGCTGCTTCTGGAGGTCTCCATCACAGGCAACAACTGCCACGCGTTCCCAGTGGCTGCCCCTGTCTTGCACAATCAGAAGATGTTGGATCGACTTCGTCTTTCCGCGGTTGCTGTTCGATTCGCTGCTTTCTTCTCGGTATTTAGACACTGTGCGGCAGAAATGAATAGCTAACAATGGATCTGGCGCAGTTGGCTCGTGTTCTGCAGTCCGCTCGATTTGCAAAGTAATATTTTGCCCATTTTCGCACAAGAGACCTACAGTGACCTCGGCGTTGTTGGCCTCGTGCATGTACACAGCTGGGGTGGTGTAGGCCTCCAAGCGAAGAAAACCACTCAATAGACCAGACGTATGAAGCTCGCGATACCTTGTTTGGAATGTTTTCCAATCAATCACAGTCCCGTCTCGAAGCTCGACGGCTAATTTGATGGCCTTGCCGTTCACTTTCGGATCGTGTGGTCGTTCGATCTTGCGAGGGACGCGCCGGGGGAAAGTCGCACCTATGTATCCAGCTGGCCAAAGGACCTCGCCGAACCAACCCGTCCACGACCAGCTCGGGAATCCTTCGCGACGCGCACCGGGGGTCTTCAATGTCCATCGGAGACTCTCGGAAAATATTGGTATCTCATTCTTCGAACCTGACAGCGCTATCAATTCGTTCGGCGATGACTCGCTCATTCCAGCGAACGGTAGACCGTATATTTGACGAAGAGAGTTTTTGTTTCTCTCGAAATTTCTGAATATACCCAGCATACCATTGAGGATATCCGCCTGGTGGGTCAAGTTTCTGTCAGAATACTCGCTGATCCGGCTGTATATGTCCCATGGGTCGACTCCACACCCGTCCAGCGGAAACATCCCCATAAGTGGAGCGATCCGATAGCGGGATATCAAATATGGATGTTCCCTGTGGTGCATCTGCTTCCATACTTTTTTTGGTATGTTCACCATCTCTGTGCAGTACATTCCACGACACTCAAAGTAGACCTGGTTTTCGGTGAATATCAATCGTCTTGTTGATAGCAAGCCCTCTTGGAATGTCCATGCTCTTGTCATCCATCTGCAAGTCTCAGATTCAAGATCGAGCTTACTGTGTACTGGCGACAATAACTTTCCATCAATGTTCACTGAAGAAGTTGGCGCTCGAAGGCAGTCACTGACGCCCGGGAGACCGTGGTTCGCATCCACCCCTGCAGCAGCAATGATCGTGACTGCAGCCTGTTTATAGATGGCATCCATTTGCTGGAGCTGCTTGTGAAACTCGGTCCGATTTTTCTGATCAAGGCAATATTGATCCACCCACAGCCTGACGTAGCCCAACCTTTTTGTCGCTACAATTGCGTCTTGTATCGTTTTGGGATACTTTCCGGGCTTTTGCTGAAATTCTGCATTATGACCCCACACGTAGCTGAGAGCAACGTATTCTTCTTTTTCTTTGGCTCTTACCACTTCCCCAGTAGTGCAATCAATCAACTGCAAGTCATCAACGTCATCTCCAGGATTACCAGCGCAGTGATGGGTGTGTAGTTCCTTGCAAACATCTAATAAATCTTTCAGTTGGTCGAAGTCGATCAGCGGTTGTATCGGCTTCAGCCAGAATGGGTTTTTTGTAGGATGAAAAGACATGTAGGGGATGCCCTTAGGAGGAAGTCCATGATCTGATGTCGACAAAACCAACAGTCTTGTTTCCAAAAGTTGTATTAGTGGCTCAGAAGACTCTCTGGATCTCACCGAATACAGAAAATATGGCTGTGATCGCTGCGATGCGAGTTCGGGCGGTAATAGGTCCAGTAGGAACTTGCATAATGTGCATAAATTAGGGTTCCAAGTTTCAATGGTCCCCAGAGGCCGATTGTCACGGATGGATGACCATAGTTCGTTGATATTGAGGTTGGTGCACCGGGGGCATAGGTCATCAGATTTCGCAGTGCTGGTATGGTCGCCAGCGCCATGATTGGCCATCACCCGACTTTTCTATTGCAATGCGGAACAAGACTATGTCGATGGGTATTCTCGGGGCATCGATATCTTAAATCTGGAAAGCTTGAAGTTTATGGTGTTGAACATTTGAAGTTACCCGAGACCAGGTGACGATGGCTCTCTAACATTCCTAAGCGAGAGAACGGCGCTAAGCCCAAAATAAACGTCACCATCGAGGGCGCAGTGAATGTCAGGACCGATTTCATATGTATATAAGATAGATTGAGCATGATCAGACGGGATATGAGAATTTATCTACATCGATTCATCTTCAAGTATACCAAGTTGGCTCCGGAATCTCGTCTAGCAGCTGGAATCGACCAAGCTCCCTATTCTTATACGCAACCGGATCATGCAGAGTATGCGTTCGAATATCGCGGTAAAAGCGATCCAATCCTACTTTCAAGCCTGTAGCTTTTGCTCCAGTCACCTCGAAAACGCCAGAAGTTACTCTCAAGCCGGTATCCGTAGTAACAACTTTGGTGCTCGCAACCCACTCAGCAAGCTCGCCTCTCTCTCGCGCAGTGAGCTTTGCGCGTGTTGCTGTTTCGCCAGCATACTTTGCGTAGATGGCGCTGACTTGCTCGCCAGAGCGATCTGCGAGAGTTATAGCGGCTCGAAGGTGTGCATGGAAATTCCCATAGGTTGAGAGGATGTAAAACTCGTCCGTGGCTTTCTCTTTGTTCTGTACATTTGTTAGCTGAGGTCTTTCGATACAGTTGATTAGCTTACATCGCCGCCATATGGCCACGCTCGGGTATTCTTGTTCGTATACTTGGTCGCATAGTCAATGGCGCCGAGCGCGATACCAAGATAGAAGTTGCTGAATACGAGTTGAATTGTCGGAAGGAGCAATGAAGCAAACGGAATCGTCAACACTTCGGGATCCGGCTTCTTCAATTCAGAGTTCCACCCCAGCGCATCCTTCCACGGCACTTGAACATTATCAATCTTCACACCCCCAGACTCCGTAAGGCGAAGGCCGATGTTTTGCCAATTGTGCGCGAATACGATGCCCGGCTGACGCGTTTCGACGAAAGCGAATATGTGATCATCGGTTCCTTCTAACACGCCCTCGAGTACAGTCAAATCGGATACCACGCCGCCGGTGTTGAAATATTTGGATCCATTGAACACAATGTTATTACCCGAGGACTGAATCTTCAAGTCGCTATCGCGTGGGTTTACCGCGCCTCCGATGAAGTAGTTATTCTCGATGACGAGCTTCTGGTATCTATCGGCTTGTTCTGGTGTGCCAACAACAGTGGCAGTGGTGGACCAAAGAAGATGGTATCCCAGAAGCATGCCAATCGATCTGCGACAAAGCGTTAGAGAGACCGGCAAATGTTGTTGTAAAAACTTACCCGTCGGCTTCAGCGACTTTACGGATAACTTTGTAGCCCACGCTCCACGGCTGCTCTCCTCCGCCATATTTCTGAGGACCGAGAATCTTCAACAGGCCGGCATATTTGAGAAGTTGAACTTCCGCACGAGGCGACTTGTTTTCCAGATCCCGTTGTACTGCATCTAATGCAAGTATGTCTGCCACTTCTTGCGCACGCTTTACCCATTGTGTCTCATCTTGTGGCAAGCTGGGCCATTTTTTGGAGAACTCTGCATATACTGAAGGGTCCCCTGCAATGTTGTGTTAGGTTTTCGACATACATTTCGACGCTTTTTGACATGAGTAACTTACTGTATGGAGCCGAAGTTCCATTGGATTGAGTACTGTCAGTCATTGCGAATCTGCTGTGCAAATTATAGCTTGTTCTTCTCGAGATGCGATGTGATTTGGGAACAGCAGCCCTGATTTAAGTTATGACCAGAGCTGCTCATGGTTTCCATATTTATTTTCATTTTCATCCACCATTCAGCTATGTGATGGCGTGCTATAATCCGGCGACGGAGGTTGCATCCAAAGTGACTTTAGTGGTTCGCTTTGCTGTATGGGCTTGATGTCGCAATGAAGCAACTAAAGTGCGTGATGGACATCCCCACCAAACACCACCATCTCCCTCTTGCGTCAAAACGATCTACATCGAGACCAGCATGGAGGATTGTCAAAGGAAAATCACCTCAAGTGCCTGGAAACTCCATGAACTGGGAGAAGATAAAACCAGTGCTTTATTATCAATCTACTAGAAATTTGCAAAAACGGATCAACACCGAAGTAATTCACATAAAGCACATGCTAGACACTCATCGTTCCACCCCAGCTCTACCCGTGCATCATATACACTAGACTTCCTATCTTTCCTGCAGATCAGATCACAAGTTAGTCCAATCGATCTCCCCGTATCTTTTCTCCGTAGCCATGGCGCATGACCGTATCTATTCGCGCTTGCGCGATTTCGCAAAATAACGCGACGTATCGCCGAGTGGCAGCTCGACTATCGAATCTTTCAACAGCAGATGAAACGTGAGGTACCTTTACATGTTAGTAATTTCTTCATCGCATATCATTCTCCATCACTATCTCACCATCCAATGAGCCCCGCAATGAAGCAGAACACCCCTCCCGCTTTTTTCAGCGCGATAGCGGAGCCTGGGTGCCCATCTGCATCTGCGAAATAACTTGCTGCGACGAACAAAAACCCGAGATCTACGGTAAAGAATATCCCGATGTACACTAAGTTCGTAGGGAGTGATGCGACGAGGAAGGTCAGGACGAATACAGTCCACACTGGGGTATTGTTAGTTAATTCTCGCGCAAAAGACAATGCCTCATGAGCACTTACGTATCATGAAGAATCCAAGCGCGTTATTAAGCTGCACAGTATCGTCTCCATAGGCAGCTGTGATACCAAATGATGGTGTCAAAATAGCGGCATACCCGGCATAGAAGAGTCCTTCTCCAAGTCAGTTGCGTGTGCAGGTCGTAAGACTGTCCAATTCTCACCAAACGCGCTGAACACAGTATACGCGAAGCCGTTACCAACCGAAAGCTCCCATTGCGCAGTAACTACCAGTCCAAAAGCTGCTGCAAAGAAGAAATTGGCAACATAGACATTGGTTGTGGTTACGCCTCGCCATTCCATCAAGCTCAGCGAAAGCGTAGTCAGTGTTGTCCCGAACACACCGATTGCCAGCGCAGTCTGATCGAGTCAATTTTCTGATATTTTGAAGACGATAGTATCACTTACGCCTGCGCCCAGTGTCTTTTGTGGTGTCACGGGCTCGAGAGTGACACTTCTTGTTGCTTGTTTTTCGACATCTGAGTGAGTTTGGATGTCTTTTCCATGCGCCACTGCGCTGCTGTTTTCATCGGAAGAGGCAGTCATGTCGTCAAATTTTTCCAAGTAATACAGTATCCAAGGGGAGGTGGTGAATTGAGTCAATCACAGAGGTAGAAGTTCAAAGACAATACTATCCGGAACTCACTCCTTTTCCAAGATACAGGACTCCTCCACGATCCGTTCTGCGCTAGTGCCTACAATTCTCCGCATCGCGCAATCTAGCGATACTTTAAGTGCTTCTGCCCAGGCGTATCATCATCGGGGCGACTTCTATCGTGATTCCTGATCGCGCGTTGTCATTGGACAACTCGCTAAAAGGATCGGCTTGAATTCGAGATCTCCCATCGGGGCTGGAGCCTGGATCTCTCTAATGCAGCCCAGAAATCTAAGATCGTCGATTGTTTTATTCAGTGGCTGGATGAGCAAATGAACAATTATTCTTGTGACAGTTTTACGACCTTGAGCACGATTCCAGCCTCAAGGGCATATGTCACGTGACATTGATAGGTTCGCACTTGTGGACGTCACAAATTCTGTACGAGATGAGTAAAGATTGTTGAAAATGTTGTTTTCAATGTACCACAACTGAAAATCATCCAGAATTTTCGATATCCATCAGCTTGCACCTGTCTTTTGCCACATTCTGGCATCGTACCGACTGGCAGAACCATGCTCAAATAACCTCTTCCATGCGATGTACATCCGAATTTCTAAACCAGTACCTGATCTTCTTGCCTAGTCCATAGTACAAAGGAATAGCGAACAGAGCTGGACCCATGGCACAAGCAAAAATGATCATAGCTGGAGTAATCCAACCATCCTTGCTTGCCAACCCGAGATCGAAAACCCAATAGCTGTATGAAAAACCAATAAAGTTCTTGCACACCGTGGCTACGACCATGATTTCGCCAGAGATGGGCTTGTAGGAGTCGATGGCATATGCGATGGCAATCGTGGGGACGGTGGTGACTGATAGCCCGGCAAGACCATAGCCCCAGACGATGATGTGACCCCAAGCCCATTTCTGCTGGTAGCCGATACCTCCGAGTATCAGTGAAAGAATGGTGGGTACCATGTATGGAATGAGAGCGGGAAGTCGCATCTCAGCTTCTCGTATACCATTGTTGTTGCGCGTAGCCCGTGCCGCAACCCAGTCAGAAAATGGACCGGCGGTGGCTAGACCAATTAACGCACCAACCACGAATGCGAAGTTCGTGTATCCAATCTCTGGGGGTGTAAAGAGGTAAGGTGGAGGGGTCAGAACAGCGGACTCGGTGATGTTGAAAAAGAGAACGAGATCTGCTGGACCAGCAAGCATGAGACCTGCCCAGAAAATAATAGGGTTGAAGAAGACCTTTATCGGTGTCCACGTGTCGCGGACAATAAACATTTTCCAGCGCGAGTCGGGTTTCTGGAAGGGCATGAATTGCTTGCGGGATGGATGTCCTCGACCAACTGGTGGGCTTTCACTATTGGCTGACTCCGTGTCGTCGCGCTCCACAGGATGTTTTTCGCCTGCTGCTTCTAGGATACCAGTGTCTTCCTGAGTACTTGGGGTTTCATCTCCATTCATGTGTCTGTTACTTCGATGGTACTTTGTCTCGGGAAATGTCAAAGCAATCAGCACTACAGAGAATACCGATAAGGCCAACTCAAGCCACCAGAAGGATCGCCAACCGTGATGGACGCTGATAGAGCCAGCCATGACTGGACCAAGGAAGGCCCCAAGGAAGTAGCCAGTACTGAGTGTGTTAGTATTTTTTGTCAAGATTATGAGTTATGAAAGGCTTACAAGTAGACGCCCGTCCATAGACCACGCTCGTGGAGGAAGAATACATCCGCGATCATCTGAACAGGAATCGACTCACTCGTACCACACACGAGACCGTATATCGCCCGGGCAGTTAAGAAACTGGTATGAGATGTTGCAAGAGCCTGCCAGACGCACGTAAGAGCTATAAAGATGGCAAAAACGAGACTGACGGCCCGACGCCCGAAGATGTTGCTCAACGGGACGATGAGAAAGTTCACAAAGCCGAGAGTGATGACAGTAATTCCAGTAAGCATTGACAGCTGGTTGTTGGTAAGACGAAATTCCTGACCCAGTAGGGGAAACATGGGTGCAAGGGAGAGAGTGCCAGAGACGGTGACCCAGGTGAAGAGCCACTGGCTAGCCATGACCGTTACTAACGATGCTTTAGCAGACATCACGAGGGGCTGGAGACGTTGACTTACACTTCCATGTTCTAGACCAGTTCAGAGGGTCAGATGGATCGGACGATGGACGAGGAAGCAAGTCCTTTTTTGCGTTGCCGTCGTCTTGCACTCTTTCAGTGCCTGGAACCATACTCTCCTCCATGTATGAAGCCATTTCGATGGGTTTAACACGAAGCCGGTGGGAGAACTGTGTATAGCGACTCGGTATCAGGTTTTTGGAATGTTCAGACCTCGTTCGAGGAGTGATTAGGCTTTCACTTATATACTTTCTTCAGGTACATAGTTGTCTAATTCCTCGGCACGTTTACGGTGGTACTCGACCTTTGAATTCCGGCGCGGATCCGTGTGCTATGACTTGGGTTACTCAATCATGTTGTGACGTCCGGCCAACTCACTGCCCTGTCGGGTTGTTCCCTGGTCGATGAGATAAGAAAGAACGAACCATGGAGTCCCGTCAGAGCCACAGCATAGTGCTGGTGCACATGGCACGGTGCCTTGTAGAAACCCTACAAAATTGCTTTTGGCTTGTAATGGTTGCCTGGTTTTGGCGGAAACGTGGATCTACACATGCAATTGAAAGCGTGCACAAGCGGTGATGAGTGGAGCCGACAAGCTGAAGATATCGCCGACCAGGTGTAAGGTGATTGGTAGTCTGCGAGAGACATGCTCCCCGCACGGGTAGCGGTTCGGCGCGTGGGGATGCGTTTTTAGCTTTGTTGAACATTGACCACGTTGGGAATTATTTAGGCTCCTGCGACTGCGGTTAGTCAACCAAAAGAGGTGTCCATTTCCAGCTCGAGAGCCTGTTCTTCAAGTCAGCCACGCATATTAGCCTACCGGTACTTTGATTGTCAGACGGAAACCAGACGCCGTTACACGAAATGTGAAATGTTGTTGAGACTGGTGCAGAGCAGAACTTGTGGAGTACCACTCATTTCGATACAGAGCTTGTGCGTGTGCACGTGCTTCCACGCTAGGAATTTACATCATGGTGCCTGATGAAGCTTTGCGGCTCAGAATCTTATTTCGACCCATCGGATACAACGGGGCCTTATAGTAGCCCGTGCTGTTGCATCTCAGCGCTTATGACTGCAAAACAATATCAATTGATACATATGCAAAACACCATTCGTGATCAACAGCGTAAGATTATATTGTAGAAGAAGATTCGAAGCATAGCGACCCAGCAAAGTAGATTCAGCCAAGTCCTCCGTGAGTAAGTGATAGGTGCAATGGCTGGACCCTGCATTCAGTCAAATGGAACCCGCTCCAGCGTGGTGCTCACACCCAGACCTGAATGAACCACGAGAAAGATATCGTAGTGCCTCTCGATACATGGTAACAGACACGTGTACAGCAAAGCCTCTCGTTGTAGGCGCACCGCGCATCACATGCATACGATGCAATGTTGCAGCCGGATAAGTCGAAGCCTCAATACAAAAATGCTGGGGCAACTCAGGCTTAGTTTTTACATAAATTGCGAAGAGCTATATTCTGTGTACTTTGTTGCTTGGGTTTTGCGTTGCTATATAACTTTCTTCTTGTAGAACATGGGACTCAGCGTCATCGTGATATCTGCGAGACACGAGCTAACCTTGGAACCAGATCTGGGTTCAAGCGTTTGTCTTGCATATCATGTGTCTTTGAAGTCCTAACACTTATAGACAGCGGAAATCTTCTTGGTGATGAATGTGTATCGAAAAGTGCGCACTTCAAGTAAACTAGTCATGGACGGGAAGTGAATGGAGAAAGTTTTGGCTGGGATGCTTTCTTTCGTGTCATGGTGAGGCTCCATGACTTTGCACATGATGTAGATATATTGCTAATATCTGATGGCGTTAGGTATTCAAATATAATTCCACATGTTCACGATGTACTCAGAGAGCAGCTTGTTTGGAAAGAAAGTGCGACTGTAGATGATTCAGGATGATAGAAGAGTGTTGTCATTGTAATCTATTTACATACGAAAGAGTAAAAAAAATCACATCCTCCCCCTATCTACCATTGGCTTTCATGACCGTCGGGTAAAGCGACACCGCCATTTTCCCTCCGAGAGTTACCAGCCGACCAACCTTGATCTGGATCATCAAAGAATATACTGTTTCGATGATAGAAGTCGTCGTCATCGTCGTCGCTGTAATATGGCGATTCAGTAGGGTCTTCAAGTTCGTAAGAAAGTTCTTCAGATGGATGATGGCTATCCAGCTCATCAATGTCCGTGTAATTGTCATAGCGGTGATGAGGGAATCCGCGGAGTGAGTCGTCTTCACGATCATCGGGATTTAGGAATGGAGGTTCGTTGTCTTCATCAAGAAAACTGTGACTTCCTTGGTCCTCTTGGTCATAGAGACCCAGGATTGATGTCTTATTGTTATCGTCAAGAGAGTAGTGGCTTTCTCGGTCTCCTTGATCATCGGGGCCCAGAAATGGTGGCTCATCGTAATTCTCGAAGGAATTATAGCATTCTTGGTCTTCTTGATCATCGTCTTCTTGATCTCCACCACGATATAGTTCGAGAGCAAGATTTTGGTGAGCTTGGGGCTCGTTCGTGTCATCGTATGGTATCATCCCGATCAATGCAGCTGAGGCGATGATATGAGTAATGTAGCTCTGTAGATCAGGGAAGCGTTCCAAGAACTCGGCGTGTCTTGCCACGTAGTCATCAGAAATTTCTTTGATGGAATCGTGTGGTGTAGTTTTATATCCCCTGAAGTTGACTTTGTATTCAATACTGTCTACACGGCCTCGCATCAGAAATGCTTCTCGTGTGACATTCCGTGGAATTGATCGATTACGCCAGAGATTGCGTTCTGTAATGTTTTAATTAGCCTAGTCTTTCAGTCAAGAGTAAAATACGTACCATCGTCTGTGAGTCGGCGACGGAGGCCCGTAACTGTCTGGGGGTCAAATGTATTTGGTTTCCAGTTAGTCAACTCGCGGGTTTCGTCTTGATTCTCCGAGATTGGCGGGTCTTGTTCCTCCCGGACTGATGTTTGTCTAGGGCTATCGAGAATCGACGATTGTTCAGAAAGATCGTAATGGCTTTGGTGGGTCTCAACTTCCATGTTGGAAGGTCGCAGTTGGTACGCTGGTGAAGGATTTGGGTCATGAGTTGATTGAGGATGTCGATCCCTGTTTTGTATTTCCCACAGGAACCGCATCAACATTTCACTTTCATATAGGCTTAGAGGCTCCATTGCCACTTTCGAGCCTTCCCGTGGAGGGTTACGAGGGTTCCTTTCGGAAGAGTTTCGCTGGGTATTTTCTCCCATCCCGGGGTAAACATATGTCTGTGTATAGCCATGGCCATATTCATATGGTATCGAAGTGTCACAAAGTGGTGGGGGAACCCGCGGGATTCCATAACGATCGCCATCATAAACATCATTTAAGAGTCGACTTTGGACCGGAGTTGGGGTCTCTCTCGGCCTCTCACCAAACTCATGGTGTTGGATCGGATGGTCGCTCGGCTGAAGAGTTTGTGAAGGTGGGTGATGATGATGGTGATCTTGTCGCTGATATGGAGCGACTGGATGAAGAGTTGATGGTGGTGGTGGTTGATAATAGTGATCTTGTGGCGGTGGATGATGATGATAATCTTGTCGCTGGTATGAAACGACTGGTGGTGGCGGTCGTTGATAGTGGTGATCTTGTTGCTGATATGGTGCGGCTGGACGAAGAGTTGGTGGTGGCGGTGGACGATGATGGTGATCTGGTCGCTGATAAGGTGTGATTGGATATTCAATCGGCGGGATGTGCTGCTGGGATTCATATCCAAGATTTTCGTATGGAGATGGTGCAAAGTGTTCGGTTTCTGCCCTTGGTTGGTAGTGTTGTGGGGCATTATCTGAAGATCGCAAAGTCAGTACTATCCAGGCAGGATATTTGCTGAATACACCATGTCATACATTGACACGACTAAGGGTCTCGAGATATACGGATTACTTACCGGTGTTGTCATGGGCTGGGTAGTGGAAAGGTTTGTTAACTGATTGTTCATGGCGCCCTGTCATTTGATGTGTTAGCCTTGCAAATTGCTAGCTGTCAACTGTAACATGGGGGAGCACGAGGGGGTATTACTTGACTTTTGATCAATGACAGAATAATTGTAGCCTGTAAAACTTGTGTTGTCCATGTTGGCATGTATGTGGAAACTTCTGGTGGGAGGCTCGCTGAGTTTGTTGACTTGACTGTCGTTGCCAAGACATGTCACGTGTTAGAAATCTGGAAATACTTACATTACAGGGGAGGGCCCACCTAAGGAAAGAGTATTAAGTACTCTTTTTACTTTAATACCCCGTGAAATAGCGTTTTAACATAGTTTTAACAAGACGTTAATAGGATCTAGACGTGAAGTAAACACTTGAGTGAGTGTTAACTGCTGATCCTATGGTGGGCCCGCCCTTGTAATGTGCCTACCTAGGTAGGTACTTAAGCATGTGACTATCCGAGCAGATGCGTCGGATCTTAGATCTCTGTGAGCTGAATCATTTGCCTGATCCGTCATGTCTAAGCTTGATTCAACAGTTTCGACCACCACCACCACCACAACAGCCACCAGCACACTGCCCCTTGTATTCCTACTCGTTTGGATCATGAGCGGCTATCATGCAGCCTGACATCAGCCCACCGCCATTTTAGATACGTTCTACACACTTTAGAAATCATAGTCCTTTGGCTCCAGCCGCAGCATTCTCGCCTCATCAATTCAGGGCAGTCACACAACAGCCTGGGGAGCCTCAACCACCCATTCTCAACGCAGAAACACCTCGCAGCCCTGTGCACAGATGAGCAAATCGAATATTAGGTGTGAAATGTTTCCCGAAGACTGGTTGCCCACTCAGCTAGTAAACATTGTTTCTGTTGGGGCAGAGAGAGAGGGAGAGTAAATTTCATTGACTTATATACACTGGCTAGCATACACAGCCAGGAAACAAGGAAGTTAATTTATTTAGCTTACTAAGGATAGTCTTTATCTAGAAAAACATGTACATCAATTCATGAACCTCGCACTGCATAATCGCTAAATTCACAAATGATGATGTACGGAAACAGCTACACCATGCGACATCGCATACCGAGACCATGTGTTTCCCAATGAACTGTGGCAACCTGACGTTATACTCATTGGATAATCAGGGAACAAGCGGCGATGAGATGAAAATCAAGATTTCGGGCATCCACGGGAAGGCCTGAAAACTAGAATAACATCCTTTCATGCGCATCAACATAGCATCACAATCGAACAAGTATCTCCCAATGGGCTCCGTCAGTCTCAAGTGACTGCTTTCCTCGGTTCTCTTGTAAAGGCAACATGCACATGTTCACCTTCTCCCCCGAACCTTTCGAGATTATTGATTACTGCCTTCCCCTTCTCCTCGAACCCTAGCCTCTTGTACAACTTCTCGGCCGGACTTTCACTTGAAGTCTCGAGATACACTACCACACCTTTGCCATTCTGCATCTTGTCTGCGTGTGGGAAAACCCACTCGATAAGACGCGAAGCCAAACCCTTTCCACGATGCGCAGGATCAGTGGCTATATTATCCAACAGGAAGTAGGGACGCGAAAGCAGTGTCTCATTACGGAGAATACGTAGACTGAGCATAAACTCGTACACGAGAGCTTTGTTGCAACCATCCGGCAACTCCTGGAGATATACTTCGTCCTTGCATAGCTCACGCTCTCGTTTCTCCTCCGCAGATTCATTCTCGCGGGATTCTCCAACCGTCGTTGGAAGCGTCCAATGGGCGACAGCGGCGATCTCCTGGGACGCAGAACGCATTACCATGAACAATGTATTTGGCGAATTTTCTATCAATGATGCTATCTGTGATGCCATGGTGGTGGCCAGTGTGTCAGGATTTACCTCCCCAAATTGAAGGCGTGTGAAAGGGGATGTCCAGGAAACGGCAAATATTTTGGCGATAGCAAGGGCGTCAGAGACCTCTGCTGGCACGAGCGCAAATGGCGATGCGCTTGCCATGTTGACTCGATTGAGGTCTGAATCAGAATGGGCGACAACTTGAAATAAGACTCGGGCTGCTTGGCAATGTGAAATCTGGACTGCCTTCGAATTCCTTGAAAACAAAAGTTATCATAAGTCGAATTATTACAGCTCTCAATGCCGTGATCTGGAGTCGAACGATGCCGGAACAATTATCGGGCCGGTGGTTTCTTGGCGCATTGGCTTTTGCTTTCTCGAATCTTCTTTCCTGATTAAACCTCGACCTTATTTCTACCACATGGTCCGACTCCACGCTCTCACGTCTCATTGACTTGAGAAATCATACTCGCCTCTTTTGCACAGGGAACAGCACTGGTAAGCAGACTTTGTTTTTCGCACACCCAACCACTCAACATGATGAATCACAAGCTGGCACCAGTCCTAGAAGACTTTGTACTCTTTATTGAGGACACGGCTCTGCGGGGAGCTTCGCGGCCCCTAGCACTGATATATTTCGAGAATCGCACAATTTTTTCCACATTCTAGCGTGCGCATGCACTGACATTGCCCGCACAGATACTTCTCATCTCGCATCCGACTTTTACGTCATGGTTCTTCACAACCCCAACAACTGGCACTGGGTGAACAAGGATGTCAGTGGCTGGGCGAAGGAGTATCTTGACAAGGAGTTAACGCAGCTCTCAGTCGAGCAAGATGGCGTTTCAGCAAAGATCACCAGTGTCATGAGCATGGACGGCGATGTGGATGTCAGCCAGCGCAAGGGCAAAGTCATCACGCTGTTTGACGTAAAAGTCAAATTGGAATACTCTGGTACGTTTCTCTATTGCAGCCGGCACTTCAGCTGGCTGACTGGTACATAGGCAAGAACAAGGACGGCGAGGAAGCCAGCGGCACCATCACGATTCCCGAAGTGGCGCACGACACGGAGGAAGACGAGTATGTCGTATGTTCCCTAAGCTCCGGTCGCCTGATTGCCAGAGCAAGGAAATAATTTGCTAACGAATGGACTAGTTTGAGATAGATGTCTACTCCGAGGATGCGAGCAAGCAACCCGTAAAGGACCTTGTACGATCCAAGCTCGTGCCTGAACTTCGCAAGAACCTAGCCAAGTTTGGGCCTGCTGTAATGGCTGAACATGGCAAGGACATCCAGCATGCTCCGGGATCCAACCCATCGAGCGGATTCACCACGCCCAAGGTGTATTCTAGCTCTAGTGTGAACAAGTCTGAGACCAAGTCTACCACGACTACATCAAAGACTGGCACTGGCTCATCAGTCAACACTGTCACCATCACCGACAGTACAGAGTTCCGCACTACGGCTGAAGAGCTGTTCAAGACCTTCACCGACCCGCAGCGACTTGCTGCTTTCACACGCTCCCCACCCAAGAACTTCACCGGTGCCAAGCCAGGCGGCACGTTTGAGTTGTTTGGCGGGAATGTGTCTGGAGAGTTTACCACTTTGGAAGAGCCGAAGCACATCGTCCAGAAATGGCGGTTAGCACAGTGGCCGGCGGGTCACTACTCCTCTCTCTCCATCTGGTTTGACCAGAACGACGTGGATGCCGTCACCGTCATGAGGGTTGAATGGAAGGGCGTTCCGGTCGGCCAGGAAGAGCCTACCAAGGGTAACTGGCGTGAATACTACGTAAAGAGCATGAAGACGACTTTTGGATTCGGAACTGTTCTATAGAGATCTGCCGCCCAAGCCCTGGCGTTGAAGGCGTACCAACGATGCACATGCGAAATGAGTTAACGGATACCGGGAGGCCGTAAAGGCCATACCATAGAATACATCTGCCTTGTCTATGAATAAGTTCAATCAAATTTTATCTATCCACACGCTTCTATTTGGGGATTTGTTTGCTTGCCATGTTACTGGAAGGACAAAATAATTTGGATATCTATGCAAAATGCGACTGGCTATATACATGCGGATCTATCTCTCCTATTTATGGGGATGAATCGATTATAGGGCACTCAAAAGAAGCAAATCATAGTGAAGGTGGGTATCGGGGCGCTGGTAGATTCATGGGGGAGGCAAGATAGACGCCAACGTGATTGCGTGACCGTCTATGGTATATGCCACGATCATACTCGAGCGGCCCCGAACCTAGTTTGCTTTTCAAAGTGCGTTACGCGGAGGCAGGTTTGGGATGACGGAATCCAGAACAATTGTCACCAGGAGGTTCATCCTGCAGCCTCCTTGACCTTGTTCTGCTCTGGCGGTTCGTCGATGAATTGAGGCGGAGCAGCGTCGTCGAGCATGAATGCAGGCATGCCTGATGACTCTCCAATACCATCCAGTTCCACCTCGTCGCCCAAAGCCTCCAGTTCAGCATCAAGCTCGGCCTCATCCACCTCATCGGGAACATCGTAGCTGCGGCTGATAGCGTCCTGTATATCATTCCCAATATCCATGAGATCGGCCATCTCGTCCTGCAGTTTTTCAATCTTATCGATATTGACCTTGCCATACTGTTTCTTCAGTTCCTTGGTGGTAGTCTTCATAGCATCAACCGTGACCATGGTGTTCTTCAGATTATCCTGCATCATGCCGGCTTGCTCCATATTCCAGGACTGCGCCTGCAGTTGGTCCCGCTGTGACTCGTACATTTTGCGTTGTTGCAGGACTTTGAGGGCTTTTTGTTTGATAGCTGTCTTGCCGGGTCCGTCGCGCATCTTGGCTAGTTTCTGCTGGTAGGCGGAGAGTTCGGCGTTGAGTTTGGCCAGCTTGACATCGAGGGATTCTACACGCGTGTCGACCTGTGATCCGTCAGTATGCTATGTTATGGGAATAGCGGGGCAGACGCGCATTCGAGATGGCTTGGTTCAGCGACGGTTTAGGTGCCGTGCTCTTTGCTCCAAATAATCGGTTCATGGTGGATGCAGTTCCCAAAAGCTGGGGTTTCAGCGTGAGGTTGTGTTGCGTGGATGCCTAATCATGCATGTGTTGAGTGGCGGGGATGCAGTGAGTGAATGTACACATGAGGAACGATCAGGTTCGGTTAAGCTCAGGTCGCAGCCGCGCCAGCGTTCAACGTCATACGGGGGTCACGTGCTACAAGTTGCTACCACTCAACGTCCACAGCAAAAGCAAACAAACATCATCTGAAACTGCCATTGTGCAATTCCAACGAGGTCCTTGCATAGGACAAACACATCTCCTCAGGTCAGTTCACCCATCGTCCGGTTCCGCCGTGCTTGGCCTAGCGTCGACAGCACTCAACTCACCCACTCACTCTCCGCGTGCTGGCGTTGTGCTGTCACCGCCTGCATCGGACTCCCCACACTCAGTTTCTGCAATTCTCAGTCTCACCACAATCCTCCCGTCTCTCTGACCATGAGATAGTGAACTTGTTGGTGTGTTTTCTGGTCGCTCACTCCTAGTACAGCGGTGCGTCGGTTGTTATTCGGCCAGCCAGCCAGCCAGGCACAGGTACGTACCTACCCGTCCCACATGCCTATGCCTCTACCCAGCACCATTCACACAGCTAGCAACCCGGCTCTCCCTCGTCCCCGGCCCCTGGCACGCGCCACACTCTGCTTGCCTGCCTTGGAGCCTTATTCTATACTTGAACATATCCATTAACCGCCTTCACCCCGCAGCTCTCTACGACACCGATGCGAGAGCGCACAACCAGCTACACCCCGCGCATGAGACCCACTCGGTTGCGGCTTCCCTCGACCCCCTCGAAATTTTGTCCCCCGCCTTGCGACCTATAGACCCCTCTCCACCATGTTCTGGCGCTTTGGCGGGTATGCGCAGCTCTCGTCGCTGGACAGCATCCTCGACAAGCCCGATGTCACCGTCGAGGAGCTTCTGGACGAGTCAGACCTCATCCAGGAATTGAAGCAGCAAAACTCAAAGCTAATAGAGTACCTCCGCGACGACAAGGTGCTAGAGCGTCTCCTGCGCTATGTGATAGCACCACAGTCTTCCCACTCGCCTGACGAGGATGCCGCTGGCGAATCGAACAAGGCCAAGGAGGGCTTCTTCGGGCGAGTACGGGCCAGATCTACCTCTGTCAAGTCGGAACCTGGAGATAGCGAGGAGAGTAAGGAAGAGAAGCAGCGCATAAAGTACGCCTATGTGTCGTGTGAGATTCTCTCGTCGGAGGTCTGGTCCATTTCAGAGGCGCTGCTGGAGAACCAGGACAGCCTGCGTCAGTTTTGGGCCTACATCAAGCAGCCCGCACCTCTGGATCCTGTCCAGGCCGGTTACTTCTCCAAGGTCAACGAGTCGCTGCTCGACCGAAAGATGGAGGAGATGCTTCAGTTCTTCAAGTCGATTGACAACGTGGTCGCCGATATAATGCAGCACGTAGACTGTCCCATGATTATGGACCTGCTGCTGAAAATGATCAGCTTGGAGAAAAACGAAGGCGGACAGGGCATTGTTGATGTACGTTCTCTGAATCACTCTTTGATGGTATGCAAATCTAACACTCGACAGTGGCTGCAATCTCAGAACCTCATCCCCCAACTCGTATCGTACCTGGCTCCGGATCAGCCATCGTATCACCAGACCTCCGCTGGCGACTTCCTCAAAGCCATCATTACCATATCCGCCAACGCTACGACACAGGACACGCAGGTGATAGGACCAAATGAACTCACTCGACAGCTCGTCTCGGAGCCCTGCATCAAGCAGATGATCGGATATATGTTACATGGGGGCAATCCCCTCACCGTTAGTGTCGGTATCATCATTGAAGTCATTAGGAAGAATAATTCGGATTATGATCTGGAAAACCAAGTGGGGCCAGTGCCAAAAACCACAGACCCCATCTATCTAGGAACTCTCCTGCGACAGTTTGCTGAACATATTCCCCAGTTTATGGAGTTGGTCCACACCACTCGGCAGACGGTATCAAACAAGGACGGCTCAACCTCGTCCAGAAAACGAGAGCTCAAGACTGCGTTTGGTGAGAAGATTGAGCCTCTTGGATTTGACCGGTTCAAGACTTGCGAGCTCATGGCCGAACTCTTGCATTGCAGTAACATGGCGCTCCTCAACGAGCGCGGCAGTGAAGCTGAAGTCACACGAAGGGATGCTGAGCGCGATCGACTGAAGGCAGAGGGCAAACTGACTGCAAAGGAGAACAATGCCAACGATTTCTCTACGAGCGTAGATAGCCACGGCTTTCATCACGCTCGTGCGCCTTCAAGCGAGTCGCCGGAAGAAGTTCGACGTTTGGAAATCCAGAACAACTCGGAAGACGACTTCGAGAAGGTTACTGCATCCGAGGCCGTTTCCGACGACGCAAAGACCATCACCGAGGAGAAGGTTGGTGAACCATTGGAACGCTCGCCCAAGCAGCCGCCAACCGAGAAAACCGAGGGCGAAGGAGAATTTGTGGATGAGCCTTTGTCGCCAGCAAAGGATAAAGCCTCCCCAGATGCCACTACGCAAGGTAAAATCGAAGACAGTGCGGAGTCGCCTACTTCTGCCGGCTTGTCTGCAAAGGTCGGGGGCTTGGGACTTGATACCGACACTGTTATGAGCGAGCGGGATCCCCAGGTACCCGACGCTGAGAAGGAGAAGCACGTGCCACCCTCTCTATTAACGCAGCAGTTAAGCAAAGCCGAATCCGATGCTGTCGAGCCGGCACCTCTCTCACCGCATCCAGAAGACAAGCCTGCACCCTTGTTCGCCAACAAGTCACGCGATTCCGATGAAGCCAAAACCCCCAAAGCCGAAGACAACGCGAGGTTCACGTCCGGCATCACTGATAGTGAGGGTTCGGAGGTCACACCTATTGACGAAAGCAGTAGTGCACGATCCGTGTTGTTTGGAGGTGTTGAGGGCCAGTACGCGCCGCAGTTTGAAGTGGACATCGACGGCTCCCCTGTTGTGGGCGATCTTCTCAAGATGCAGTTCGTGGAGAACAAAGTCGTCCCGACGATATTAGTACGTATTAATCCCTTGGGCTTTGTATCACATCTAATTGGTGTCTAGGACTTCTTCTTTCGTTTTCCCTGGAACAACTTCCTCCACAATGTTGTGTACGATGTTGTGCAACAGGTCTTCAACGGCCAGATGGAGCGCGGTTACAACCGCAGCTTGGCGATTGACCTATTCGAGACTGGTCGCATCACAGAGCGAATAATCGAGGGTCAACAAGCCAGCGACAAGGCCCAGGAAGAGACGCACATGCGTCTTGGTTACATGGGCCATCTCACATTGATCGCAGAGGAGGTCCTCAAATTCACCGAGAGACATACCCGAGAAACTCTTTCGGATGCTGTGGTGAAGAAGGTCGAGAATGCTTCTTGGGTAGATTACGTCGAGCACACTCTGTCCGACACGCGAGACCGCGACAATGCCATCCTTGGTGGTGTGCGTCCTGACATGAGTGTAGGTCCTCGACAAGCAGTGCTCAACGCCGTCAATGCTGCGTCTGGCTTCAACGCCGACAATGGCTCCTCGCTCGCGAATGCCAACAGCGGCAGCATCGGCCTGGATAGTATGGAACTAACCAACCCGGACTCTGGTGGCGGCGGCTACACTTTCAGTGGAGGCAGCCTCTTGAGTGGCTTCACCAACTCGAGCGATGAGGAGGATGAGGAGATGGACGAAGGCGACGGCGAACGTGACCGACAAACTCCAGTGAGTGAATCGGAACAAGTGGGTGAACTCTCATTTGAAGATGTTGAGATGGACTATCGATAAACACCGATCCCGACACTACACTGTCTGCGCGTTGGTGCGTTTTCATCTCTCATTCTTTTCTACAGTAATTCGCAAGGACGTTGCTGTTGTGTTTTGCTGCTGGCAATTTGAATTCAATGTTCATATTTTGGAGCATGTTGTACGGCACACCGGGAGATCTTTTTCATCATTCCCATGTACATACATCCGCATCCTCTCATCGGATGTATGAGTCTTATTTGTAGGAATACGCTATTGCAGGGGTAGAAGTCGAATCGCTCGTCTCTTCTTGCCTTCTTCATTCAGCTTTTCCCCCCTTCTACATTGTCTTTGGATGAAATAGGTCTATCCCGGTTGCCCTCGCTTCACTACATTTCTCCCCTTCTCCTTTCTTCTATTCCGCCGCCCCTACTCGTTCCGCTTCCATTCCAGCAACCCCCCGAGCATAATTTGCTAACATTTTATTCTTCTTCCGTTGAAACAGACCTCAACTGCACCTGCACCGCTGCAGATCCCACCCTCCCGCGCGCGCCGCCAATTCGCAATGCGGCTCGCGGCGCGCAAAGCCGAACTCGAATCGACGCGCGACCAGGAAGGCGACGTCGAGGGCGACGAAGAGACGCAGGAGCGCGAAGTCAAAGAGGGTCACGAACGTTTCGCGAGAATGTTCGAGGGCATCGACGACGATAGTAGTAGCGATAGCGATGACGAGGGTGCTGGTGCTGGAGTTGGGAAAGCATCTTCTACCGGTGGTGGTGTAGCTGCGAACGATGAGGCGGAGATTGTGGGGAAGGTTGATCTCGACAGTGGCGGGGATGCGAAGAACGAAGGGGCGTGTAAGGAAAAAGGCAAGCAGGATGAGGAAGGGGTGATTGTTGTTTAGGTGGTCCACGGTGGTATGGTTGGTTCGATGTGGACTTTGGTCCGTCTCGTGGGAGAACTTTGATGACTTTCTTGTGTGGGTGGGTGGTTGGACCCTTATTTTCTGCTTCGTTGGTGATGGTAGGGGATAGTAGAGGGGAGCTCGAGCGGATAATGTTAAGATACCATAGATATGAAATGAGACATGCTCTGATTGACCTCTGTTTGGCGGCCTATGCTTAATATGTATACTTGAATAAAAATTTCGCATCACCACCATATACAAGCCTCGAAAAAACCTTATTTCCTCATCCACCATAACCATCATAATGACAACAAGACAAAAAGAGAGGAAATTCATATCATCAATAATCCAAATCATCCCCATATAATCTTCAAACAACACCACACTCCCTGCCCCCTCGTCGCGCACGCTACTCCAAGCCGCTCTACGACAGATCCAACACCTCGATCTCGCTCTCACGCCACTTCCGTCTCGCTTTCCCCTTCAACACCACCTCTTCTTCCCCTTTGTTCGGACTAGCAACATCCTCAAACCTCCACGCCCCAGCCAAACTCTTCCTCAGCACAACAGCGCGTTTTTTCTTTGCCTGGGATTTCCAGGGTGCTTCCTTGGACGGAGGAGGGGGAGATGGAGAAGGAGGGATAGTGAGGCTGAGACGAGGGGAGCGGCGTGGGGGGTCTTTAGATATCCGCGGCAATGGAGAGAGAGGTGTCGTTGCAGTTTTGGAGGTGGCGGATAAAGGAATGGGTGATAGTGGTGGTGGGGGAGACGAAAGGCCCGTCAGATCCAGCGCTTCCGGTGTTGGTGAACATCGAGACTGTCGCGGTTGCGTAGGTCGTAAGGATAAAAGTTCTGGGGGTGGTGAGGAGAGTGTCGTTAGGTCTACGGATTCTATTTCTGTGGGGAAAGGCGGAGACACCGTTCTAGCTTCTCGTGTAGGGAGAGGAGGCGCTGGCGGTTTAGTAATGCGAGTAGAGAGGCGGGGGGAGGTGCGTCGTGTTGCCGTTGTAGTAGATGGTTGGCGTCTTGATTTTGACTTTGAGGTTTGGCTTTTGAGCTGAGTTGGGCTAGATGCGGATGAGGAGGAGGTCGAGGAAGATTGGGAAGCGTTTGAGGAGATCGAGACGAGTGGCGGCCGAGGGGCGAACACGTCAGCTATGGTACGACGTGAGCTGGTTGGGGAGGGGGAAGTGGCTTTTGGGGAGGAGCAGCGGGTTGTTGGTGGTGAGAGGGTGAGATCTAGTGTATCAATTCCTTCTTTGGAGATCTGAAATTTGGGTGCTGGTGCTCGCTTTGTGGTTGGTTTCTGGAGTGTTGATTTCCATGCGTCTAGTGTGGATTGTTTAGTCTTTCCTGGAGATGCGTTCATAGATTCCGTTCGCCTGATGGAGGTGGATCTGGATGTTTGTGTCCGTGGCTTCTTCGCGGGAATGGGGAGTGGAGACGGCAACGATGATGAGCCTAGAAGATCCAGCGTTTCTATCACGTCTAATAGAGGTGGTGTGTCTGGTCGTTGAGGTTCGTCTGCAAGATTCGCTGGAAGAGTTTGAGCGCGCTGTATTGGTCCTCGTCTTCTCTTAGTCACAGTGGATGGTGCATCTTCTTCCTGTGGGGAAAGAGATTTCTCTCTCGGTGGTAATGTGGCCTTATTAGAGGGCTGGGCTGGCGAAGAGGACAGGAGATTGACGAATTCTCTTCTCGGTGGCGAACGGGGTTGTGATGGTTCAGGGGGCTCATTCTGCACTTTGGCGAGAGCGCGAGAGAACTTCGTTCCCGGTTTGGTGACCTTTGCGAATCGATCAATAGTAGCTTGCGATGCGTTTCCACCAACCTTCGCTACTCTAGACCCGCGAGGCCTGGGTGCTGGTCGGCTAGCATCATTGGCTGAAGCTGTTCTATTCGCCCTTCGTGGTTTCTGCTGCCTGGCTTCCCAATCTTGCACTTTGAGCGGTACGCCGACCTTGACGTATGTCTCGAGCACCCACGCGCGTGCTGGTTTGTATGGATCAAATTTGGTCGGCCCGCGTTTCTTGGGCCCTTCCTCATCCTCAAGATCGTCGTCAATTTCTGCTTCTGGCGCTTCCGAACCGTAACGCAGTGCTTCTAAATCCTCGTCCGGGTTCTCGATCTCTAGATCAATCTTCACAAGCTCAATGGGGGTGAAACTAACACGAAGCTCTGTCGTGCCATCGGTAACCACGTGTTGCCGTTTTCCGTGAATCCCCTTGACTAACAACGCCTCGTCCTCTTCGATGGCTCGGACGTCGTCTGTTGGAAATCGCTCAATGCGTTCACCTCTCATCCTCAAGTGTCGCACTAGCAACGAAGGTGCCAAACTCCGAATGAAGTGCTTTGCGCCTTCGAGATTGACCCACTGGAAAGCTTCAAGGGCAAAGTCGCGGAGTCCGGGGAAGTCGAGGTCCTGATCCCATTGAATTGAGTCCTGTAATTTCTGGAGACCAACATCAGAAGAAATGGCAGGGTGTGTATAGTATCCAAGAATGTCTCTTCGGGGGAAGTCGTCCGGTATCTTCATGCTCGGCCTCTTTCGCATAAAGAGCTTGCTCTCGTTCGTATTCAACTCGTGCTGCAACCGTTCTCTCCATGCTTTCAGAGCTCTCGTATCGTTCCTAGCGATGCTACAGAGATCCTTACCAAAGCCTGCTCTTGCTGCCTCGCATGCTGTTTTTGGCCCACATCCTGGTATGCCCTCTGGTACGTAATCGCCCCCACTCATCAACGCAATTAAGATCATGCCTTCCCGATCCAGTCCGGCTGGCCCATTCTTCGTCTCCTCAGCATCGTACACATTGACATGCGTGGGCGTCTTGCCGGTCTTCTGCTCGGGGGACCAATTGCGGATAGTGCGACCGCTACCAAACATTAAAGTATCGACATCCTCACTCAAAACAGCATCGACAATGCCCTTGCGCTGCAGCAGTGCGCATTCGGCTTCAGCTTCTCCAGGCGCCAGATGTATAGGAAACCCAAACTTCTTTAGGAGTTGCTTCGCAAGGAATTCGGGGATAGATGCGACATTCGGACCAGTCCGTTTATTGCGCTTGAACGGCGGCTTGTTGGGGCCATCGAAAACAAAGACAGGATTGATGGACAGCGAAATCAGGCGGAGAAGTCGATAGTAAAATGTGCGCAGGGCTGGATTGGTGCCGCCTTTGCTCGCCTGAATCTGGAAAAGCCATATGGATACATCTATAGCAATGCGAAAGGGTCGGCCGGTGTCTTCGAATGTTTCTACAGCGAGCTTAGAGAGTGCTATGCGCTGACCAGGGCCGATTTCCTTGTAGATTCTGCGCCAGTCAGTAAAAGTTTGCGAGGAAAAGAGGGGTAAATCTTCTCACCCATGAATGCCCATGTTTGCGCATGCATGTTCAACAAAAAGCTTCTCCCGACGGCGATATAGGTCAAATTGTGGTGCTTTGTTCGACACAGGATGGATGGCAAACGAGGCAGCCACCACCCCAGTGACGCGACCAAATGGGGCGGTTGCTGGGGCGACGGGTGAATCACGGACCCCAACTACAAGGCAAGATAACCATCCCACCTCGCGATAAACACTATTTCCACATTGCTACCCAAATCCAACGTCGCATCACCATGGCTTCGCGCGCTGATTCCGACGTCTTTGACGATGACCCATTCGACCCATATTCCGCCGAGTCGTCGCCCGACCCGCTATCACGCTCCATCAATGAAAACACCCCCTCCGTCCGCCGCAGCGCCACGCGCTCCTCCAAGAAACCGCTGGTGTCGACTTCACCAAGCAAACAGAATCGCGGCCAGAGCGCTTCCTCCTTCGACATCGTTTCTCCCTCCAAATCCATGATCCTCAACACACCGCGAGGCACCGGCGCTAGCCCGTGGCGCATCAAGGTTACGGTGCAGGCCGAGCCAGATGCAGGCGACGAGAATGCGAGCTCGCCAATCGTCCAGCATATGACACGAACACATACTACAACAGTGCCTCTGAAAGACGCAGACGCATCATCTCCAGCGAAGCGCCGTGGAAGGCCGCGAAAGTCGGACGCGTCGAGCGCAAACACAAAGCGAAATGGAACGCCCGTCAGGAAAACACCACGACCGCACTCTAAGACACGAGATATCACCACAGAGTCAAGTTTTGGAGGTGTGGAGACTGATTCGGTGCCTAAAAAACGTAGAGGACGCCCAAGGAAGAGCCAATTGCTATCTGAAGAGCAAACTCTGGAGGCTCTAAGCCAAGACCTCAACTTTACTGGTATTTCTATGCGCGAAGAGAGCGCAAGTCCGAAGAAGAATAGAGGCCGGCCCCGAAAGAGCATACAGCCAATTATCCAGTCTGAGGAAGCAATTGCGGAGCCCGGGGAAGAGAAGAGCACACCAACACCTCAACCAGCACACGTGGATATTCCAGTCATAGAGACTACAGTTCCTACACCGCAGTCGCGAAGAACACAATCGAAACAGAAAATGGTCGGCGGTGAGCTCGTGGAAAAGACGCGCTTCACGCCGCCACAGACAGACCTGTCCAAAAGCATACGCCGACGCAAGAACACTCCTGCAGCCAAAGAGAAGGTCTTGGTTCACGTTTCTTCTGAGGAGTCAGATAATGATTCCGGCATCAACACTCCGTCTGACTCGGACGAGGATGCCCCCATGACTAATACGCTTGGAGAAGCTTCAGTCTCACGTCATGCGCCCGAAGAAGACGATATGGCACCGATGGAAGCACCGGAATTTGAAGATTTTGGCGAATATGATGAATTGGAGGATGACACTGGGTTTGCCTTTGACGAGGGCGCGACAAGAGGTCCCGACGATACGACCATTGTTGAAAGCGAGAATTTCAGCATGATTTCTGTTCATTCTTTACCGAGCTTGACCAGTCCAGCAAATGGTCTGCCTGGCCAGACACCGGTCACTACACAGACATCCGTTCAGAATCATGCATATCTTGCAATCCCATCGGCAGTCACACAACCATCCACCCAAACAAATCCCAACCCTCCCACAGCATCGGCAGCTCCAGCTGTTCGCCCTCCACTTTCGCGACACAAGACTCCTGTCATGGATGAGACGATGCCTTCTAACCCACCACCAATTGAGGCCCCCAGGGTGTCTCCTTTCGAGGCCGAAACACCAAAAATCGGACGGGTAGTGAAAGCTGGGGTCGCTTTGCAGGGCGTACTAGACCCGGCTCGCGTCACTCCCGAAGCTGGACCTGCAAAGGCCGCGGATCGGCTCAGCGAGCTTGACGACCTTTTCCGAGGTTTCAGTGATCGCACTCGGAAAGAGCTTAGGGCAGGACTTCGACTAGGCGAGCAGCTCGCAAGAGAGAATGCGTCGAACAAAGGGTCGCCGGCCGTTTCGAGCCCCATCAAAGAAAAGAACCCGTCGAATCTGGATGTTCCTCAAACAAAGGAACAACAATCGCGTCTCCTCACACCAGAGGAAAATGAACAGGAAAACCCGGCACTCCCCGTCGACGCTGCTTCCCAAGGTACGAATGTTCAATATCCTACGCTCAGCACCACTACTTTCCATTTGCCTACCCCGTCTATAAGCCCAGCTCGTAGCGAAGACGAGATGAGCTGGAAGGTGGATACACCGCCAGTTAACGCCATCACAGTAGTGAACAATCGATCGCTCACTGTAAGAAACGAGCATGGGGAAACACTACGCGGAAAGGATATATTGGTGGAAGCTGAGGAAGATGTAGAGATGAATGATGGCGAAGAAGGCGATGTCTGGGCAGACGAGGCTGTTCAATCAGCTAATGTACCCAACGCCGACGCTTTCACTCAAGACGAGCCCCTCAGACCAGCGCGAGCGAAGCTGCCCCGAACCTGGCGCCGGAAAAGCGCCAACAACTTCAACTATAGCGATGAAAGCGAAGAAGCGACCGAATCTGCTCATCCAATGCCTCAATCAAGCAAAGGCAAAAATAAAGTGCCTATAGTCGAAGGTTCTGATCCTATTGAGGAGGGGTCGAGCCAGGTCAGTGATGTTACAGGAGTATACTTCCAGGAAAATTTACCGGGCAATCACAACAAACGAGCTTCGGAAAAACTAGATTTGTCGCTTCTCATGAATGAGGGAGGAAGTTTGCCTCCTGATTCTTCCCCTCCGGCCCCTGTTTCCAAAGCAAAGCCTACCCCGAAGTCGAACCCTTTCTTGGAAGCTCCTAGGTTTGCTGCATTTTCCTCCTCTCCGGTTCGTAGCAGCCCCCTAAGACACGAAGTTCATGGTTCCTCGTCCGAACACAGTCGGACAGCATTCGAGGAGTCTACACTTCCGCTTGCGCCGAGTTCTCCCTTCCGCACAATCGTAGACGAAGACCACACAATCTCGGGTCAATCGGACCAACAACAGATTTACGATGAGATACGGGATAACGAAACCGATCCTAGCCTCAGAAACATTCGAACTGAGGCGAATGGCTACGTGGACGCCTATGACATGCACGACCGTACACTAGGCGATATCACAGAGGTCACGGAACCCAGCAGAAGTTTCATCAAACGGAAAAGCCCCGTGCGCACAAGTCCTCAGAAGAAGACTTTTGAAGAGAGCATGGTCAAGTCTAAGCAAGGCTATGCCCCACTCTTTGAAAACCCACCTTCAATTGAGTCACCCTCTCCGAAACGAGCGACCAAGAAGCAACGCACCCCCGAATCTTCACAAAAGCGCATAGCGGTAGCGCTACCCACTGAAGAGCCGGCTCAACCTTCCACAAGCTTTTTCTCACGCGTGGGCTCCTCTCTTTGGGGAGCTTTTGGCAGCACTGCACCTGCACCTCTTCCCCTTCACCCCGCCTTGGCCAAGATCAATCACCTCCCTAAAGTGGAACCATGGACGAAAACTCACTACAAAACCCTCGACAAGCTGTACCAAAAGCACATCAGAAACCCCTCTCTTCTTAGCCCGCACCATTCCTCTCCCTCAAGCTCGCTCAACACCAGCCTTCGTGACGATTTCCTGGACAAAACCGGCCTACCGTTCGTCGGTGCCACATTCTCGGTCTGGAGATACTCCATTCAGTTCGACGATGGCCTTGTGGTACTCTGCGCTGCGTACATGCAGCTCCTCTCCCTGACCGACATCGCCGAGTACGAAGCGAAATCTGGGAAAGCGATTCAAATGGGTGACTGTGGGCCTCGCAAGGCAGGAATCGTGATTGAGGGTGAAGAGGTTGCGAAGAGGTTAGCGACGGTGATTATTGGTGAAGAGCTCAGGCGGGATGAGAAGAGGGGCCGAAAAATTCATAGGGAAGGATCTTTGCAGATAGAGTGGCCAAAAACTTAGATGGTTTCTGGTCTTTGGAATTGGGTCGGTCGGGTGTTTAGGTTTTGATTTCATCGGGTTGATGGTTACTTGTGAAGGGTTCATAATATTTTGGGTGTTGTTTAATTCCTTCTTCTGTTTATGTATCAGTCATGCGTTGCCGCTTTTTTGTACACTTGAGTCTTTCTTCTTCTGCTTGTTGTTTGGAGTTGTATACACATTAGCGTTGGGACATGCTTTGTTCACGAGCGTTTTCTCCTCTGCTCTATACCTACGTCCTTTCAATCTTAATAACCCAAAACAAAATATACCAGATCAATTGAAAGTTGCAGCTCACTCAAACAATCAACTCACTGCATGCCTATAGCATATACACTGGCCCTAACATTACCTCGACATCCGGTACCTCAATGCACAAACTCGCATGAGGGGCACACGCGCTCGCGAGGTTACAGCTCGCTCGCCTATCTATGCGAGGAATCATCTCATCTACCGATCTAGGTAAGAATCCTTCCCACAATCCCCCTCCCACTAAAACGATGTCCATAATCGCGAGGTCCCTCGTCCTGCGTCCTCCTTGTACGACGAAAAGGGAAGCCGCGGGATACGTGTATACCGTATTTCTTTGTGGGGAATGCCGCGCGGGTAGGTCGACGCTATCTTCTGCGTGTTGAGGGTCGGGTGAGTATGTGATGGGCTGATGTGAGCTCTTTTTCTTTGTGTGTACGTGGGGGAGGGACATGGATTGGTTGGTTGTTCGCATCTTTAGTTAGCTAGGTAAGTACATGTAGGAATATTCGTTCAAGCAAGTTGTCTTGGTAGCTACTATCACATAATCAGAGAATTATAAAGTCCGGAAAACAATGATAACTCTAGCTGAGTATTATACATTTTCTGTGGCTTTTGATGACGTGACGAGGTGCGTAGAGGAGTAAGAAGTGAAGACTGGTGGGAAGCGAACGCAGGGTATATGAGGACATCCATGTCTAGGTTATATGTACGATGCATGGGAGCCAAGCGGCGTAGTCTGTTGGTGCGCGCAAAATAAATGCAAGTGATACTGCTGTGCGAGATTGAGTGGAACGTTCCAGGTCTCGTCTTAGCTGATTCTTCTGGTCTTATGTGCATATATTATCCTGTTGGAGCTGCCCTCGTTGACTTTTCAGCTCTTTTTTCCTTCTCGTCTCCGTTCGATTTGATTTCTCAAGTTGCAAAATAAGGACGAATTTGGAGGAAAGAAACATACGTATCCCGCAATGGCAGAAGCAAATGGAAAACCAGCTCGCTATGCACCAGAAGAACTCATAGTCTCTGAAGCCACGGTGGATGATCGAGAGTACCTTGTAACCTCTCCCTCTCCAAACTCATTCTCACACAGCCATTGACCTAAAACCCCCACAGGCAGAAGGTTACTACGCCTGCTTCGACGACGAATGGCACAGGCAAATGGAACCCCCAGACCGCCGCCCTGCCGACTGGCAAACCTCCCGCATCACCCGTGTAGCCACGCGCATGCTGCCCTGGTTCTCAGAACCACACGTGCGATTAGCAAAAGTCACGCTCTCGCCCTCTTCGCCCTCTTACGACCCCGCAGCGCCCAATCGCATCATTGGCCATGCGATGTGGTTACTCCCCGGCCGCACGTCCAAGGAAATCATCAATTTCTGGCGGAGAGATGCAAGTGATTTGCTGGGGTGGAAGGAGAAGATGGGATGGACAAAAGAATTCGAGGACGAGCTTTGGAGTACGTTTGACGTGGATGCTTGGCAGAATCTTGAGTTTTTGCCGTGGGATAGGGCTAGAGAGTACTATATGAAAGGAATTGGTCATTGGTAAGCCCTTTCCCGCCAGCTCTCGTGGTTGACTTCCAAAAAACCTCTCATCCCTCGTGTTTGCAGAGGAATTTGGGAAAGTAGAATTGAAGTGGACTGACGCGAAAGCTAGGCATCTCGCGCCCATCTGGGTTCTTCCTGAACATCAGGGTCGAGGCATTGCGTCGCTGCTTCTGAAGGACGCGTTTAGTCTTGCGAAGAAAGTTGATCCGCCACAGCCGTTATATCTAGAGGCTATGCCCGATGCGAGGCCGGTTTACGTGAAGCATGGTTATCTGGCGTTTGATGGGGAAGGGAAGGAGTTTGCGATGATCAAAAACCCGCCAGAGTCAGTCAAGTCGCTGTTGCAGAAGCAGTAGAGGATGGCATTTTCGATTAGGGCCCGGGAGTATTGTAAGACGGCAAGACATGTGGTATAGTATATAATTAGAATGAGAGTCAAGATTTTCTTGGAATAGACTTCTATGTTGTCAGTATGAGGATTTGAGTGGTGCTGTGTAGTAATCCCAGCCCACCATAAATGGCGTTCGGATACGGAGCAATGATTAACCGATCAGCATCCCATCCAAACAACCACCAACCAATAAGCCGATCACTTTCACAAGCATTACAGCCTTCCATCTCATCTCATCTCATCCCCAAAAGTAATATGCCAACTAAATCTTCAATATTCTTCCTCCCGAAAGACATCCGCCTCCAGATATGGGCCCTAGCATACCACAATGAAGAACCCCGCACAGTCGCACTATCAACAGACCCTCACCGTCTCCCCTCCCCAAGCCCAGCCCCAACAATGTACAATCTATGCCATGAATCCCGTGAAGAAACGCGATTCCAAGCCAGCCTCTCCAACAGCCTAATCTCGCTACAACAACCCAACCCAAACACAAACACAAACTCGTCTTCACCGCTCCCGCATCTCGAAGTCGTGTTCCGGTATGGCGTGGATAGACTCCTGATAACAGATACACAAGCAACACCACCCCGACCAATCTGGGCCGATAAACCTACCTTACAAGAACAGCGGCTCAGGGAGCGTGATCCAAAGGAATTGATACCGGCGTGGCAACTGTTTAAAACCAGATGCTCTGAATCGCTCATCACAGAAATGTACATTGAAGTCAGCACAACACGCGCCCACCGAACCCCGGAAATCGCCGAATACGCTGCCGACTTCCCTGCGCTCGAAACCATCATATTTACGCTGCAAGCGTTCCAGTGTCTGAGTGAAACGGAACGAGAGAATCTCAGAGGCCTCGCGCGAAACGCGGCGTCGACGGTCAAAGCCAAAATGATGCAGAGCGCGACGAAACTCGATGGGGGTGCTGGGTCGCGGAAAAGAAGGCACGATGGGTTCAAGATTGATGTCTGGGTTTGTTTGTGGAAGCAGCATCGGTTGTGGAAGCAGCATCAGTTGTGTGATTTGGAGCTCGAGGTTTGGGAGGAGAGGATGATGGGGAGGGGGTTGGGGAGGGGGTTTGAGAGGATGAGGTTGTTTGTGAGTTGTATACCTGATTTCGGGAAAGCTATGCTACGATTAGAAGGGAGTACGCATCCCCCTCCTCGGGAGACGGAAAAGGGTGCAGTTGGCGACAAGGGGAGAAGGGGGATGATGAGGGATGTGATTCCCACGGGGTTGGAAGAGTGGGATGGTGGACGTGCCTGGATCTGATTTTTCGGAATGCTCTCACGCCTTCAACCGGGGTATTGGATCTCAAACCCAGCAGCCCGTCCTGATAAACTACCAATCTACTAGCGACACCGGGAATATCGCTACCGTACCGAGATTCGATATCGCCTTAGATTCCAACGTACCGAAAACCAACATCCTCATGGCATGTCCCGGACCACGGCACATTTCGCTTCCGAAGCACCATATCATGCAAACCAAGCCAGCTCAATTGAATTGAATCCAACCTAAACTCGCTTGCCTCCTCTACAATCCCCCTCCCCGAATCCCCGCCCACCTAGATTTCCAGAACCTCTACAACCGCTGCACCCACGCCGCCGACAAAAAGGAGAGCAAAGCTCTCACCCCCATTTCCCGGGCTGTTTTGGAATCGTGATGCTAGAAAGATTTTTTTTCCTTCTCATCTTTTACGCACAGGACTTGAAGTAGCCTGGCCGACGTTGTTGTATATTGATTAATGTTGAGGACATCGTGAATTCAATGAGAGCTGGGTTAACACGACTACATCAACTTAAAACAGTAAATCTCACTTCATCTAGGGGAAAGTGAAGGTGTTCCTCGAATATATTAACTTTTCCAATACCCCAAACTCTGTATATACACGTAATCACACCATACCAGCCCAAACAAACCCCTCATGATCGAAAAACACAATAAACCCTAACCTCTACCCCTAAACTGCTCAGTGACCATCTCCCCCAAGGTCCTGCGCTGCCTCGGCTGCCCCTGCCCCGTCTCGCCCGCCAGAATCCCAGTAGTAACACCTCCCTCCCGTTCCCTCTCCGCATCAAGTCTCGCCCTGAGTCCCTCAAACTCCCGCTTACTCTCCTCACCAACCATCCAGCCAGGTAGCCTCCAGCCAGTGGCGCCAGGAAGCATATCCCGTCGGTATGCCGTGCCGACCGCCCATCCAACCGCAGCAGCCAGGAGTGAGCCAGGGAACTGCGAGAGCGCGAGTTGTAGTGGGGGGAGGTACGTTGTGGATTTTGATGTGAAGGTCAGGGAGCGGGCCCATAGACTTGTTGGCGTGGACGGTGTAGAAGATGAGGAGGAGGAGGAAGAAGAGCTATAAGGTGCGACCTTGTAACGGTATGTATACGGGATCGCGGCGTAGTAGTTTGCGAGGAGGGCGAAGATGAGCGGGGTTGGCCCTGCGGGGAGGTGGTTGATGCGGCCGAATGTGAGCGGGCGGAGGACGAAAGTAAGAATGAGCGGTGGGAGTATGGTGGTATACGGGAGAGTAGCTAGAACGAAAGACTATCATCATCAAAAGTCAGTTATCCCTTCCCCAGTCGCAAAAAGAAAGAGTAACGTACAGCAAACTTGCGACTCCCCCATAGTCTCTCGACCACTCTCAAAGTATACAGACTCAGAACCGCGAAGAGCACCTCGGTAGAGTTGGTGAAGCAGGCCTGGAATGGACGGTTAGCTAGGCGCATTCTTCATGCCGCGTGCGAATGCACAAAGAAGGGTCCACGAACCTGCCACGTGAAGATCCTCCAGAACTGGCCATACCGCCAGAAATGTGGGACAACCTGGATGTGAATGTAATATCTTGTGTCTGTTAAGCTTGCGACCAGCGCGCCGATGACCGTGCCGAAGACCAGGAATCGCGACACAGGTGCGTTTGTGAAGCCTGACGTAATCATTGCTTGAGCTCGTGAGCAATCGGCGTTTGTCTAATCTTGCTGTAGATTACCGAGTGAATGATGAGGTGTGTGAGGGTAGAAATGACATTATTTGGGGTGGGTGCCAATTGCTGAGAGGTTATGGTGGAAGGTGTGTGTTGTTGGAGGGGTTCGGGACATGTGGAAGTTGTTCGGTGGTCCGACGAACGTCAACCTCTAGGGCGGTATACGTCACGTGCACTTCTTGCGTGAGGAACAACATTTGGACATTTGAACATTGACTCGTCGGTACAGACAATGAAGCATATCTGAAAAGCTGAATATTGTTTTTAATAAATAAAAAAGTCATGACGTCCCATTCAGCCATACTAGAACCAAACCGAGTGCCAGAAGAGCCAGGGTAAATCCTTTTCCCACCCGTACTCCAGTGGTATCGAACAATGAAAGCTTGCTCCTCGCGGAGTAGACACATCTCGGAACGCCAGTTCAAAAAACAAAAAACGATTCTCCCAGTACCAATACTGCCATGACAAAAACAAAAATCAACTGTAACCACAATCACCACCATATATATCATACAATCACCGATCTCGGCGCGAAGGCATTTGGCTTTTCAGCTTCGCGATAAACTCTTCGTCGCTCTCGGCAGGATTAAAGAGAAAGTTTTGCCCCGAGGAATTCGGCTGCAGGTGTGATGGCTGACCTCTAGACCTAGCCAAAGCACGCGCAGGGCCACCTGCACCCGAAGACAGCCCGTCGACCGTCTTCCACCAGCGCGTGCGTGGATCACGATCCGGTTCCGTTGTTAAATCAGTTGCCACAGAATCTGTGGGAGAGTATTTGTCCCAGTCGGGGTCATCTGACTGCCTTCCGTGGCCGGAGTCTGGCCGATGAGTTGGTTTGTGTCGCTCGTGTCTGGTGCGGCTGTTGGGGCGAACCTGGTCAGATCGAATGGGGACTTGAACTGGTCGAAGATTCTTCGACTCAAGGGGGCTCTGTGTGAAGCCGGGTGAAGCGCCTTGAGAGGAGTGCGAGGACGTATCCAAAGTCAATTGATCGCGGAACATGCCTCGCAGGCCATCCGATTGATTGGTTGGCGTGCTAGGAGCTTGTTGATCATGTTTTCTCGAATTCGACGAACCGGCCACAGAGGGCGATAGTTGCGCAGATGGTCTGGTACGCCTCGGTGTGCGTACGGGCTGTTGAGTCACAATGGGGCGGCTTTCCGCATGGGACTTCGCGGTGGGAGGTGCCTCCGGGACTTTCGATTTTGATCGTGCTACTTTCACAGATGCCTCTGACATGCGCTTTTTCAGGTCATGTGTTGACTTTTTGCTCACTTTGTTCAAGGTCAAAAAATCACGTGCTCGATCCGACACGGTGACAGACGGTAGTGACTGTTTGCTCGCCTCAACTTGAGGTGATGCAGGCTGACTGTAGTAGTCGGAATCGAAGTGGCTTGTCGATGGTCGCGATTCATCAACACTGTAAACACGCGCAGGGCCTTTGGTATCCCCGTCCATGCCAGTATGGTGGTATCCGGTCGTTGGGGCTTGCAAGTTCGACATTTGCTGCCGAAGCAGTGCGTTTTCTCGAGCAAGCGACTCCTTCTGCTGTTCCATCCGGAAAATGATCTCTGCGGCTTCTTCTAGAGCATTGTTCTGCAACTCCATGTTCTGGACGCTTTCCTCTTGAATCTGTAGGATATCTGCATTCCGCTTCTGCAATTCCTCGTAATCGTCGTAGATGTCCTCGATCTTGTCCTCAAGATGCCTGTTTGTTTCTCGAAGATCATGATTATCCTCCTCCAAATGCTCCAACTGGGCGATGCGATCGTTTGCCTCCTCTATCTCATCCTTCAACTCGTTGTTTTGTTTACTGATGAGCTCGAGCTTCATGTTCTGACTGAACAGCGCTTCTTTCAACTTATCCACCTCGGCCTGTTGTTCGCGAATAGTGGGCTTCCGGGGCGCCATTCCGTCGCTCGGCCTCCGTGTACGACGGGTCGGTGTATTCCTGGGGAGAAATGATTCGTCTTTTGCTTGCTCTAGCCACGGATCGGACGTACTTGGGCTGGCGGCCTCGGGGGCAGAAGGCTTTGATTCGATGGGAGCAGGAGACGATGTGGAAGCGGGAGTGGTCTGTTTGGCCCTCTGTGCCTCTAATGCATGGCGCAAATACTCGCTTTTAGGTTCAACCATGTTCGAGGTACTCGCAGCGGGCGATGATGATGTTGTCGATGGTGTAGAGGCCACAGACTGGGCGTGTCGTAGTGAGTTTGGGGTGGACATGTTGGGGCGATGCTTGTATGAGTCGAGGCTTGAATTGTATGAACCGCGTATATAAGCTAGCTTCGATTCCTCGGGGATGAAATTCCTTTGAGGGTGCACAATGCGCCTTTGTCTTGACGATCGGGTGGGACCTCGGGAAATCGAGGCGTGGCTGCTAACAAAGAGATGGGTGTTGATTGACAAGGAAGGAACGATGCCGCATGAGAAGGTAGGTGTGTACGTATGTCGCTCGTCTGAGGGCGTAAACAAAGGCCAGATGCGCGACAAAACAATCCCGGGATATGGTCCTTTTGGTGGTAGGAGGATCCTGGTAGCGAAGGAGATCTGAGGTTAGTATATCCACAACGGGATCGATGACTAGTCGCCAGCAAGCTGATTCAACCCATAGCTCATCCAGTAGGGTCCCGATGTTGAATTGAGATATGACACGCGCTTGAAAAGACGGGGCAATTGAATGAGGACGGATTGTCGATGCGGACATGCAAATGTGTCTTGGAGGATCAAAGACGTCTAGGCTGCGGTACTACACATGGTAGCTTGACCAGACGCCGGGAATTTGGAATATGAGCGCTTCAAATTGAGCATACAGTGCAATTGAGGTGCCTGAATCGGATGTCGCGATAGAGGAGAGGAGAGGATGGGGGAGAAGAGAAGGAAAAGTGGGAAGCTGGGGCAAGCCCGCACCTCGTCTTGTCTTTTTGGAGAGGATGGAAGCGGCACGGCCTCTCTAGTGCGCCCGGGGGAACGGTATGGCGAGCCATGTGGGATTGCTAGTCTACATATGGAAGCCGGCCTTTCTCCATTCGTCCAAACCGCTCCCAGTGCTGTGAACTGCATGGATTCGCGCATGTACCCCTTGCGTTTCCCGTGCACATCACCCTCATCACATCAATCCATCCATCCCTCCATCCCCAGGAGGATGCGTGAGAATGCTCAGATTGCGGCAACGGATCCTGCCCCTGAACGGTGCGAATTCATCCGCAAATCCTCACCAGTCGTGCCCAACGAGGGGCACGTTACAGCTACTGTATAATGTAGTCACTCTAGTCTCACTCCCCGTCTAGCTGCCGTCGATCGGTCCGACCCTTTATTGCTGCCCAATGTCCCTTGCAGGGTCTCTCACCGAACATGGTACCGTTGAAGAGAAGGGTCCTCCTGTTTCTCCATCAAATGGTGTAGATCTGACTTGTGTCTCACGCTTCTTGAAGGGCGGGATACTAGTCTTGAGACCAACAACCCCTCTTTTTGAGCTAATATTCTCTCGATTCATCATCATGTCTGCATTGCTTTGCTATTATATTCAACTTGACAAGTATTATTACTATTATGGTGGTCTAGCTACTTGTATGCCCTGCTAGTAAGCTTATATTTGACTGGAACAACCCCAGACACTTGTAGCGGCGAAATAGTCCGCAAACCGTAGAACATTAGTGACCACACGGTCAAGTACGAGCTGAATCCCACTTCCCCAAAGAACAAGACCTCTTGTGTAACGGCTGCACTCTAACCGCCTGACAATCCCACTCTAATCCAACTTGACCCCAACGCCCGCTTCTTCAAGCCTCCTCTCCCACTCGATCCTCAATGCCTCCATCTCCTTCCAGCATGTTGCGCCCAGCTCCATAAACTCTTCCTTATCCTCCTCCGTCGTGTCCGTCGCAAAGGGATCACGCCCCTTCCTCGGTCTCTCGCCGACTTGACCAGTCCATCCATATCCAGCCACCTCAGTACGCTCCACCCGTTCGTTTCCCCACATGTCTGTTGCACTCCCCCACTTTGCCACACCCTCGTTTCGTTCCATGTCATCTAGCGTGCTCTGTTTTGCCAGAGCAAGCCATACCATAGATACGGCCGCCTTGTCTACCGTCACGTTGTGCCATTGCTGCCCAAGCCAGCGACCAATGTAGAAGACGAATATCATGCAATACTCTAGAACGATGTGCAGGGGTACAATTGCAGTGCCTACTATGCCAGGGTGGGCGAGATAAATGCGCGGTTGGGTTGTCTTTTCGGCGGGCTCATCGGGATGCGACAGATAGTTGTTGACGTAGGGAGCGGTCGAGGGGAGCTGCGATGTCATGCCAACAAGATCCATCAAACGCTTCGAAGTCTCGTACGGTTCGGTGGATAGGAAACCTTGCGGGTCGTCGAGTTTGAAGGAGTGCTTGTATGCGTCGAGACTGGTTGTCCAGATCAGTCGCCCTCTGGTCTGTTCACTTTGCGCATGTCTCGCGAGCAGCGGCGCCAGATAGTGTCCTAGCAAGTAGTGTCCAAAGAAATTCGCGCAAAAAACCTCTCCCAATGGGGGTTCTTCCACTTTGCTTCCATCAGACTTGGGCGGGATTTGGGGCTTGGTGAGTTTGCCAACGGCAGCAATCTTGAACTTGGGCCAGACAGACGCGTTTTTCAGATCTGTCAAAATGGTCCAGATTGCCAGAGGCCAGTTCAACCCTGTCCAGCCGCCTATCCCAGCATTGCATATGACTGCATCCAGCTTCGGTATTGTGTCCCGGAGCCGCCTGGCCAGTTGCTGCACCGATACTAAGCTCAGGAGATCCAGCCTCTCCTGTCGCAGGTGTACACGATGCTGTAGAACCGGGGATATGCCTGGTATCTTCTGCTCCGCCTTCCGGCACAGGTGCTGGATATGCTGCTGTAGCGCCTGGACGGTTGCATCGCCTTTTTTCTGGTCCCGCGTGGTCACAATGAGGACGAGCGATTCATCTTGGGGGCGGGTCTGCAAGAATTCGTCGATGAGACGGGCGCCGACTCCCAGGCCGAGGCCGCTGTGGTGCCATCAATCGACATGCTCCATACCGTGTCTTCGCAAGGCACACGTGATCTGTTCTCACCTGTTAGCACCTGTGACCAAGACATAAAAGCCATTGCGTGGCAGTGGAATGTCATCGACGGACATGTTGGCAGGATGTTGTTTTTTCTAGGTGCTCTAGTTGTCCACCATAGGAGGTTTCAACTTTTTTTCTCTAGCTAGCGCGCCCGTTCTGGTTAGTCTGTATTCTTCGTCACACGTCAAGGATGACCACAGGTGTGCGAAAGACTGAGTTTTGTGTTGACCGTTCAAATTCGAGATACACATAATGACAATTCGGCCAGTAGAAGCCTATCTGCATCAGACCTGCTCGTTAGTAATGAGAATCCTACGTATTGACTTGCTCAGCGAATCAGCACGTCTGGAACATTGTTCCTTCGCCCCCACGACCTCCAGTACGAAAATAAAAGAAATCCACACCCCACACACAAACACATTGACACGGTCAGATCCCTTGATAAGTCTGGATCGGTATCGGCTACTAGTGCTTCTGCATCATGTCAATCATAAAGCACACCGTATACACACGATCTAATTCCGAAGCGTGTCGCCTAGAGATTCAACAGATTGCGTCGTGGTGCCAGCTTCCTCCACTCCAGCCTAATGTATCCAAGATTGGGATATGCGTCGGTTTCCTAATGGGTAGTAGAGAGTAGAAACCACAACTGCGTTTTACGCAAGCACTTTCAGACAATTGCGACATAGAGAACTGTCAAGACCAAGGAATATATCGCAGACAATCTCATGATAGCCTTTCTGTCAAGGGGAATCGGCAAACCCCTTGAATACAGGGTAAGCCGCATCCACGGAGCGGCACCGAATCCATGATTCCAGGCCAAGCCGATATGATGGTGAGAACGCATCCCCACGTTCGGAGTCGGCTTGGGATTGAAAACATCGGACCGGCAGAAACCCCCTACCAAGGCCGATGATTGTGTTGGGCCGCCATAATCATGGTATCGTGGTAGGTTGCGGGTCCAATACGATGATCCACCACAATTGCCACGAGTAACTGCATAACATTTGTTCGAATGCCCGCCCTGTGCATCTAGAAGCTCGGTGACGGGCATCAATGGTACGGAGGACCAGCCGGACATGCGAGTCTCTAGTCCTCTTGGGGAAATGATGAATGGGTGGACCCTTCTCAGAGTAATATAACGCGCAAATCAATCAAGCTTCAAGCTCTGGATTGAGGGCTTTGTGCTTGCTTTTTGTGTTTTCTGGACCTCAATCGTATTTCAGTTGTCACAGCTGAATATCGACTGCATATCGGAGAACATCGGACCACAGAACAAACAGGATTGGGTGCTCTCTGACAAACATTCCGCAACAAGCGGCTGCGTCAGCCTCCTCAAAACGCGGGGTGTAGAGCGGGGAGGCGGGTTTTCAAAAAAAGGGCCGATGAATGAAGTGTAATGACGAGTACATACTCGCCTAGCCAACAACTGGCTACCTTCAGTACAACATACAAGTGTACCATGTTGACATGCCGATACAAATGCTCCAGACTGGCATGCAAGTCATCTGTATTCGTTGAAGTACGGTAATTGAGAGACTTCATCATACAGCACCGACCGGCACATGTCTCCCAATGGGGACTGGCTCCTCATGCTCCCATTCGTCCGGATTGGATATCCCATCAAACTCAGAGGGTCAAAAAAAGAAATCCGGAGATGAGTGCAGTGCGTCTACGGCTGCAGCTGTCGTCAAGTCAGACAACCATTAGATTGATAATGCAGCGCTGAGCTTTTAGTACCCACTGTGTAGTATTGAACAACAAGAGCAGTTGGTGTTAGTAGACACCTCGGGACGGGCCGAAAGTGAAGTCCTGTGGGGACACACGCTTGACTCGGTGACACCGGCTTCTCTGGACTAACGCTCTGTAGCGGCGGGAATTCATAACCTACGAAGAAAGCATTGCTGCACCAAAAACAAGGCGTTGTACATGTTGGGCCGTTGGGCGATCAACCTTATATATACATGCTGCGACAAACTGGATGTTTCGTAGCTAGTTCAACTCGAGACAATCATCTCGGCATCTATTTCAAATGGCATGTAGTGAACTGTGCTAGCCGCGACGATTCGTAAGGAACCTCATTCAACAGTAACACAACTGTCAGGGCTTGTGAAACAGCTCTACAGGGAAGTCGGCTTACCTAATAATCCCTGCCACGTGTTTGATAGGCCATGCAGGTATCATCCCTGCGCCCATGCGTTCATAATGCACGTCTTAAATTCCACCGCTATATATTTCTGAGCGCATCGCAAACTCTATCAACTTCAGAGGTGGACCTATGCGGCTAATCTGTAGCATGTAAGTGACAGCACGCATTATCATGTCCATTCGCCAAAGACGCAAGGCTTCGTCAGTTACTCAAGTGCTCCTCTGGCGTGATACCCACTAAACTGAAGGTCCCTGGGCGAGCGTATATCTGGACCAGTGATGTCTGTAAACTCGATTCAATCGGAAGGTAGCTCTCCTCAATCCTCCGAAAATGCAGGTGCAGGTCCAAGAGATGCCCAATATACGCATACAAGTGCAATTGGGTAGCCATTATAGCCCTGCCGTGGCATCCGGTGACCGATAAAGAATCTGCCCGAACACATTTGATCGTCGGTGGCGTCAAACTTGCCAATGCGATTGGCGAAAAGCAAAAAAAATCCATGATTGAGTTGATATCGTAACTCTAACCCAGAGCCACGGCTCAAGCTCCGTCACTCTATCGTGTCTCAAGCAACCCCAGTGCGCAAGGCCGGGGTGAAGGGCCGGCCTATTGACCAAGTTTCGACCGCGCATGGCAACTGCAGGTTGATACTGAATTTGCGAACAAAAGCCAAATAGCTCAGACAGTGATGAAGGGGACAAAGACAGTGGAATTTGTCACTAGTGAAAGATACTCCACGGAGGATTCGTAACGTCGGTCGTACTAGTCATGTTAGCTAGAGTTATGGACAAGCAGAGGATTGCTGGTAGTTTAGACCCACCATAATCCGGCCTTTACGAACAAATTTCCGAACACAATCTCAGATGTGATGGTTGTACTTGCATTTGACAAACTTGAACTCGGTGCTGTGTGTATCTGAGAGGGAAAGTGCGATGACTTCAGCTCCAGTCTCAGATTCAATGCAGGGTGTGCTAGGACTCCAAGCATCGTTCCAGAAGCCTCCCGGAACTTTGGGGCTCGGAGTCTTTACTCAAAGCCGAATCCTTCCCGGTCGCTCGGAAAGACAACCAAAATGACAGTCCGCACAGTATCGGCTCAAGCCCAAGAAAAAAACGGTGCCCGTCATCAAAGGATGCGAGCGTGCGCCCCCGCTTTCAAGTTGTAGTTGGTTGGGTACTGGGGGGGGCAGAGCTTGGTTTCAACAGGATTATTCAGTGACATGTGTGGGCGAGACAATCCTGTTGTGCAAAAACGCTAAAGCTGTTAGGATTCGTTGCTGACTTGCCACGGCTGCGGTGAGTTTCGCATGCGCAGGATCAGGAGCCTCGTATTCGAATCGTGACTGGTCGAATCGAAATTCTTTCTTCGTCAACGTTGGAAAGATTGTCCATGTGACGCAGGGTGCCAATGTCGCTTGATCAGCTGCTGGCGGGGGCGCGCCGTAGATTGCGTATCGACTGCATGATTGCGTGCACGATATCGTCCAAGCGATAATTTTGAGCGCTTGCACTCATTCCCTCTCGGTGGGATTGCAACGCATTCGATGTAAAGGCATACTCGGGGCGCCTAATTGGCAGGCTTGGCTAAAGAGTTCGCCTGCCAGGTCGCTCGTTGGAATGTTTCCTCATGTGTAAGGAACATGCGGGCGTTTGTTCATGCTAGAAGCGGAGTCAATGCTTCCGGTGGTATTGAGATCTCTATTGGAAAACGTTGCGGCGGCCAACTACCCGTTCCCCCGCATGCTGGATTTTGAGCAAGTCGCAAGGTGACAACCGCACATGTATCTCGTGGCGGAGTTGTAGCCGACGGGCACAGTCATGGAATACCGACGTGGGTAAAGTTTAAGTGCTGGTGCCGTGGCATGTGGTGTCCTTCGTACCCCTAGACCAAAGTGCAATCATGCTGTGAGACGTCCCCATTGATCATCTCACAATGCTTGATTTTTGGTGGAGAAGAGTAATTACAACTTGATGTTGGGTACAGGAAAGGCCGAGAAGACGTGAGGCTGAAAGGCTGCAGGAACCATGCATCCGCAGATTATTAATGTGGCGCGCTGCAGGCCGCCTATTAGCGATGCAATATGGCGTCAACAGCTTCGAGGTGTGGGACAGAAAGACATGCATAATGCATGAGGAGGTGTATGTAGTGCGGTAATTGAGTCCCGCACTCTGTGGGACATTTTGATTCCGAACAAAATAAATAATAATACTAGTGTCGGTTTTCCTTTCTTTTGTTTTTACCAAAGTCCCAGATTTCTTCCAAAGGGGGTATTGAGCTTTCCTTGCCGTCGTCCTACCCAGTTCCGTTCCGTATGCGCCTCGCTGAATAAATACAAAGCGAATTTTTTTTTAATTGGTATGGGCCATCAAAGTTGAAAATGTGCACTCGTAGACCGCCGTCCCTTGCTTGCCGCCGAGCCTTTGCAATCGCCTTTAATCATGGTCAGAGATGGTGGTACAAATGATGGTTCGTTGGGGAGACCAACCGCAGTTTTCATCGATTCTGTATTCTCTGTGCTTCTCGTCAGTGTCTTCCCTTTGGTGGAATCAACGTGGGTGAGACTTCGTACACTGCGACGACATTGGCTGGGCATCTCTTTTGCGTTTGTTGGTATTTTGTGCACCAGGCCCGGACAGTGTAACGGAGATGGGAGCATTTGTAGTGCACTTGGGTATAATCGCACATGTCGAAGTCAGATCTGGCGATGGGACGGGTAGAGGTTGAGGCTGATCGAGTAGGATGAACAGAGGCAGGAACTCGAATACGTCGGTCCGTCAGGTAATATATGTAGTGATGAACCAGAGCAGAGAAACGATTGAGTCTGGAACAAATCACGGTAGGGTAGTGCTAGCTGGGCCGTGTAAATGGAAATGGACCCTATGGGACTTTCCTGGGGATGGCCACAATCAGGCAATGGCTCAACATGACAGCAGCGGAGCTAGGAGCCCCACAGGTCGAAGAGGATAGACCGGACGTGCATGCCTGTGCTGTGTATGAAATCAAGCCCCTTTTGGGCGACATGCGGACAACTGATATGGGCCGGCCAGAGGAAACATTCCATGTACAGGGAAGCCGGCACTAAGGTGGTTTGCGAGACGCATGGAACGAAAACGAAATATTAGAGTGGGAAAAGGAATGCGTAACGTTCCAAGATTATGACAAAACATCCGACAGCCAGCCTACAGGTCGCAGGCAGGGTTGGGCTGGTAGCGGAGTGGGATGCGTCTCGCCTCGGTACTAGTTCCTCGTGCGTCTTTTGGGCAACCTTAATATTTGCACACAGCTAATCAGCAGCAGTGAGGGTGGAAGGATGAAGCATGGGGCGCGAGGAGGGATGATGGTGCCACTGTCGTGCGTCTTTACGTTGACATAGCTTTTTCGCTTGACGTGGTGCCTGCACGTGTTTTGTCCGTGCGCGACCTCAAACCTTTTCATCACTGTCACAGGGCCATGCTTCTTAATACTCATCTTAAAACCACCACTCGTCAGCTCTGTGTATACACCCGGCGCGACATGCTGACCGGCACTCGCATACCTTTCCCCATTGCTTGCTTGGATCCCACCGTGGGCGAGTGCTTTGTTGCCTCGACCTACCTACCTACCTACCCATTGCCTACGCCTACGCAACAAGGTACTGATATACATACCAGTACGCCACTGCCTGTCTGTGTCTTCTGTCGTCGATTGTGACCCTATGGCCACCCGCTCACCGAAGTCCTGCTTAGTACCCGACTCTCACATATAGAACTGGTCTTCGGGAACTCGACCACCGGCTCGGCGGCCTTGTTCTAGTTCTATGCCCATGTATCCACCGACTATCCCAGGATGCAGCAAATCTCTCTGTGCAGGGCTGCGCTCGGCCCTTTCAGCATGCCTTGCTAAGTATGGACCGTCATTTCCTGGGTCGGTGGGGACCCAAACATCTGGCCTACCGCTCCGCATGACACCACCTGCCCTTTTGCATATACCATGCCTGGGATATGAGAAATTCGAATAATTACTCGAGGCCCACCACAGCGTTCCATGTTCAAACCGTTCCAGTCCTACATTGCGCTATGTGCTAGGCGTGATGGCACACAGACAGCCCTGTCAAAGCTCCCAACAGGCCACGACTTCCCCGGCAGTTTATGATGAGCTAGGGAACAGACTTTATACCAACGTCAGTGTCTGCGTTTACCATAATGAGCATGTTTCATCAAAACCTCCGACCAAGCCTTGCACCGAACTGGTTGCGCATGGCTGATTTAAACGTGCCGTGGAAGCCGGTATTGCCGCTCAACATTGCTATTGACATGGTCGTATTGACATCAACCAGCCAATAGGTATCTTCACCGTCCGCCACGGTCATCAAAGCAAGCAGGTGAAGACTATCCCCACTAAGACAGACCGCAGTAAATTATCAGTCAGACAGGGAAGCACCGCCCTATGCCTCGAGGAATATAGTATGCAGCCCAAAAGGCGGATATCGGCGCTTACGTTTGGCTGAAGATGAAGAACGTGCCATATTTGAGGGCTGTCAACTGGGATCCAGGGCCCTTGGGCATGCACGAAATGGCACCTCTCCGCCATGCATGACAGACATGTTGGTCATCAACGGGCGGCAGCATCCGGTGGGGTACGGCTATAAGTGCTTCAAGTATGATAAAGCAGGCGTGCTGAGCTTGGCTGACCGTCCCACTCATGCACCCAATTGAATTCGAGCCGCAGCTGGGAGTACATCTCCCCCTGTGGCCTCCTGGCTTGCCTATTCTGGGCCTACTGCAACGGCAGCCTTGGATATCGACAAGGAAAACCCGTTAAGATGCCAAAAGCATGAAGTCAATCAATACGATCCATGGGTATTCATCCGCCGTGTCTTCCTTTATGTTCATTCCTTTGTTCGTATTTATTAAACCGACTCGCCACATTTCCACGTACACGGCTCATCATAGGATTACCTCTATACCACCACCCTGTCGGCGTAAGTTTTACCGCTTTCTGTCGGCTCATACAACTTCTGCCAGGTTCATCTTCCTCTCACCGCTCGATGCTGTCACATATACCGGAAACTCACTCGGCCCGTACATCATCATAGTTCTACAGAGTGGTTCTCCGTCAGTACTCGGCTTCCCGTGAATGAATCTCACCCGAGATATCAAACAGGGTACACGATACACGACGCAAACTCTGCTGCCCCCCCCATGCTGCTAACTCTACATCACATGGCCTACTCCGCCTACATATACCCTATCATTCTTCCGGCTCCTCACCTCCTGGAAGCTCCTCCCGTATCACTTTCTTGTTACAGGAAACCATGACAGAATTTTATGCCCAGACAGCCATTTCTCACTCGAAGGCATCATCAACGGGAATATGACAACCCCCACGTCAAAGAAACAAGCTGACGGAAGCTTAGCTGGACAACATACACACGCATTAATCCTTACATTCTGATCCTTCTAGAGCGGCCCTACATCCGCGCATCCACCTACGTAGATTCGACTTGGCATCAGCAGGAGCAGGGTGGGGTCGACAGCAAACAAGAAGAGTTATTCCCACTCCCAGACAATGACGATCTGGTACTTGCTCGCCGATGTGTATCGCCTCTTCTTTCCCCTTTGATTTTACACAGATCGCCCACTCAGATTCTAGATACAAATGGCGTGACGGCCTTGGCGATGTCCGCCCCGTTGCTGAAATCTCAGCAGCATATCTGACGGGAATGTGAACACGGCGGTCTGGCCCGCATATCGCGTAGCAAGCACATTCCCCCCGCCGATAATAAAAAAATAGCCTGCATACATGCAATGCACCCAGGCGCACACAGTCCTTCCACATCCACACATGACATACGAATATATCTGCGTGCGTGCATGCATGCATACATACATGGTTGCATGCGTATACATTCCTCCCCAAGGATTCCTGAATCCGGCCCGTCACAACTGCAAGATACTGCAATGCAGTCTTTCGTATCTGTACGTCAAGCGATGTCTCGTATTCGTTGGACTTTTTTTCCCTCCTCGTATCGTCCGAAATTTCGTTATTTCCTCCTCTGGAGATCTTTCCTTTTCGACTGGAGAAGTGCGAAAGGGGGGACGGACGGTCGGGCGTAGTTGTAGATGGCCATTCTAGAAGTGATGACTCGGCAGCGGAAGCTGCCTTCTGCAGACTCTGGAATCTTTTTTGCTCCCGTTTCGGTAGATGTATTGTCGGTCGGGGCAGTGTCATCCGCTTTTGCGAAAGACGTTGCATGACGGGACGGGACGGGAGGACAAGTCGTTGGTGGGGGTCAGACCGTGACCGACTTTCTTTTTCCCATCACTTACTTCCTATCTTCTGCATCGTCACTGCCAAGTCTGATGCGGCGAGGTTTCAGCGTTGGGTGCCTGAGAAAATTTGAGTCTTATACAGTATCTTAGTTGGGTAACTGCTGAAGTAAGCGCTGTTACTTTCTCTTAAGCGGAGGTAGAGCCCGTTCCGTACCTTGCGTCGGCTACATGGTTTCATTTTCCTCTCACTACGCGTTGGTTTTTCCATCAATCGAGTATATTGCTAGGATCAGCTAGCTGAAACACACTGAGGACCCCTGTCTTATTTTTTGCCTTTCTCTCTCTGTCTCTCTGCGCCATAATTCGAGTAGGAATTCTATCAATTGAGCGAATATGCATCTACAACAAAAAGGGAGGTTGAATTAAGAGTTCACTCCTCTGACTATCCATTCATCCATTCCACTTCCCCATTTCACACACCTTCCAGACCTTCCCCACTCCTCAAAACCACTGCAAAACCACGTAGAGATTGAATTGTGCGTGTGATGTTTCTGTTCGCGCAAAAGCATCAAAAGCCATCCAGGAACCGCTCAACACCACCACATGGAACGAACAAACACACACAACCCTTGGTCCGGCCGCGACAGCTCAACAACAACTCTTTGAGTGAAACTGTCTTTTTTTGTTGCCTGCTCATTGTACAAATACTCCACTCCGCCTTTGAATTGTTAGAAACACCTCAACTTCCAGCTCAAAAAAAAATCCGAGATCAACACAATAAATTAACAAAAACGGCTAAAGACTCCGCAAGGAGAGAGGATACGACGAGGATCGCCGTCCTTAGTATTCCGTGGAGATGTAGATGCAAGATGTCGAACGTAAGTATAATAAGTCCAAGTAACATATGCGACAAAGGTATTCCTTGAGATTATACATCAATGCATCTGCATCTACATCCAACAGTCGAATCGAACTCATCAATACACGACCATGATATAAATCTTTAACCAATTTAAAAGTGTCTATTCGTGACGTTCTTCCCTATCTCTCTCTCTCTAAATATCTCTAGCTAGTATTTCCCTACGACCACACGAAAATCTCATAAACTCACAAAGAAATTTCAGATACGACAAAACAAACAAACAAACAAACAAACAGATATATCTCGGAATCACCGATGTATTCCCCCCTAACAGTTATTTCCCACGCAGAAACACACACATACATACAACTCTACACATCTCTAACCTATACTTTTCCCTCAATTATAGAGTTCCCCGCAGATAGATACCCCTTCAACACCCATTTCCCCGACATAAAATCAGCAAAGCTATCCGAAAAAGAAGTTCGTATTTTATTGCGTGACATTCTATTGGTCATAGATTTTATTAGAATGATGTTTGTATTTCAGATAGCGAGTTGCTTGGAGTAGGAAGAAAGGATAGAGAGAAGAAGGGATAGACATCGTAGTAGCGGTGATTATATGATCTTGAGATGTTGTTAGTTTGCGTTCACAATGTTTCGACGATTAAAGCGATGGATTGGATTAGTTAGATCATTTATGGGTGGTGAGTTAAGAGGGCAAGAGGAGAGGAGGTTGTAGAGGATATAAGATTGTGTTAATCCAGTGATTTAATTCTTAAATGCAGAGTGAGTGACTCTGGTTGGCTGAAGTAATAGAGACATTGCTGAAATAGGCAAGGAATCAGAAATCGAGAGGGCTTTGCTTTTGTTTGGACTTGTCACTCGTTAGAGAAATTTTGAATAGGTGAGATTGTTTGGTGAATGTTATGGAGATGTTTTTTTTTTCTCTTCTTTCCTCTCATAGGCGGGTTCACATTATGGTTTACTTGAGGGTCGTGGGTTCCAGAACGTCGCGAAAAGGACGAAATGAAAGAGGAGGTATAGGCTAGATTTCATGTTCCTATCGACTGAATGACTACTTTGGTTACAAGAGGGAATAAAGCAAGTGAACATGAAGAAAATGAGAAAAGCAAAAATATAAAAGAAAGGAAGAAAAAAAGTGTATATAGAAAAGAATATTAATTCATCATCACGGGTCATCATTCGCTCTCTTTTCTCTCCCTAATAACCTCACGCAAAGGCTCGACATGCATGCATAATTTACGATTCAGGCTCGTTATTGGTATCGTCGGCGCTCAACCATCCTCGACACATCTCAACGGCGCGGCCCCACTTCTTGAACATGGTTTCGCTTTCTTCTTTGGTGATGTTGGGCTCAAAGACCATGCGGTCTTTTTGGTTGATTTCCTTGAGCTCGTCGAATTCTTTCCAGATGTCGACGGCGAAGCCTGCGGCGATTGCGGCGCCGAGGGCGGTGGTTTCGCGCATGGCTGGGCGGTCGACGGGAATGCCGATGATGTTGGCTTGCGTCTGATAGGGAAAGTCAGTATCTAGAACTGTGAAGTTAAAAAGATGAAATTACATACCTGCATGCACAGATTCGAGTTACTCATTCCACCATCGACTGCCAGTTCCGTCAGTTTGTGTCCGCTGTCCAACTCCATGGCATCGAGAATGGCTTTGGTCTGGAAACATGTGGCTTCGAGTGTAGCTCGCGCAATGTGACCTCTCTCTGTGAATTGCGTGATGCCGAAAATCGTGCCCTTTGCGTCGTCGATCCAGTAAGGTGCGAAAAGACCACTGAAAGCCGTCACGAAAACGCAACCACCATTGTCCTTTACACTGGAGGCCAGCTCGGAGATTTTGTGGCTGTGAGTAATGAAACCGAGGTTGTTCATGAGGAATTTGACACCTGAACCTGCGACAGCGATACTGCCCTCTAGAGCGTAGACGGGTTTGCGACTGCGTCCAAAATCGTAGGCAACGGTGGCGAGGAGACCGTGCTTGGAGATGACGGGCTTCTCGCCCACATTGTACAAAAGGAAACAACCTGTACCGTAGGTGTTCTTTGCAGAGCCTGGTGTGAAACCCTGCTGACCTACAAGAGCGGCAGACTGATCACCTAGACATCCAGCGATTTTAATGCCTTTCAAGATACCCGCGGCCATGCTACCAAAAGAGTCTGGACATGACGAAGGCACGATTTTGGGAAGTTTGACTTTGTTGCGGTCGATACCGAAGAATGAAAGGAGCTTATCAGAATATTGGACCGTGTTGAGGTCCATGAACATGGTTCGGGAGGCGTTGGAGGCATCGGTGACGTGCACGTTCTTTTCCAGCTTGCCGTTGAGGTGGAAAAGAAGCCATGAGTCGATAGTTCCGAAACTGAGGCGGCCTTCTTCGTACGCTTGTTTGACAGCGTCGACGTGTTCAATCAGCCATACAAGCTTCAAACTACTGGGATACGTGGACAGTGGCAGTCCGCAAATGTTCAAGACATCGTCGGCGCCCTCTCTCTCCTTGAAGTCGCGCACAAGACCTTTGGTACGGGTATCAGGCCACGCAATAGCATTGTACAAGGGTTCTCCCGTGTTACTGTCCCAAACAACAGTAGTTTCACGCTGGTTGGTGATGCCGATCGCCTTGATCTCATCCACCTTGTGGCCTCTGTCGATAAAGGCCTGTGTTGCTTGTTCTATGCATTGTTCGACCGAATCGACGATTTCCTGGGGATCGTGTTCATGCCATCTGTAGTGCATTTGGTGAGTGTCTGTCAAGCATCACTTTGCGAGCCTCGGGTACTTACCCCGAATGCGCGTATATCTGGTTGAACTCAATCTGGTGTTGCGCGACTGGCTCTCCCGTGCCATTGAAGATGATGAAGCGCGTGCTCGTGGTTCCCTGGTCTATGGAGCCAATGAAGAACTGCTTCAGCTTCTTCTCATCGAGCTTTGTCTCGCCATTGGTGAGTTGCTCCTTGGGTTTGGGCTGTACTTCTGGATTATTCGCTGAGGCGTTCGCAACCGACATGTCTCGGTCCGTGGTGTTTTGCGCCCCAAGATATCGCGGTAAAATAGACAGTATTATTGGCGCACTTGATTCCGATGTCGAGGGAATGTGTCGGGAATCGCGGTTTTAATAAAGGTGGACTGTAAAGTGGGCAATGACGTTTGGTGACCCTCTTTTGGAGCTAAAGTGGCGGCGCGGATGGGACGAGGGAGGGTATCACGGAATGACTGGGAGGAAGATGAGAGAGAAGGAAAAGCAGGAGGAGAAGTTGTGGATTGGATGGTGGTGAAGGGCAGAGTAAATCATATCGTCTGGACAAGTAGTACCGGCAGCATGTGCACTGTGCAGGAGGCTGTGAGCGATGGTGGGGTACAGCGAAGGCGACACTTCGTGTTTAACAAGGGGAGAGGCGGGGGAGGGGAAGCTCCCACGAACCAAATTCCGAATGGAGAGACCCACGGCTACGCGTTCTCATCATGTGCACGAAAGCATTTTCCCATCATGTCCTTTTCGCGTGCGCTAAACATTACTCAAGACCCATTTTTTTGCCCCGATCGGAGATGTTCCTTCGCCTTCGCGCGCTTTCCAAGGTGGAACCATGTCGGATGGGGAAACCCGAACGGATGTGATACCAACACGGGCAGTTTCAGGGGCAATTCTGTTGAGTTTCTTTGGGTCGAGAACACCCCGTCGTCTTGGGCAGAAATGGTGGCGTGAATTCCTTCATTGGCATCTACTCGACTTTACTTTATATGTGTGACCCGAAACCCGGGGCCAAGTATCCCCACCCACAAGAATGACAAAAGAGAACCGAGAACCAACTACCCTCGGAAGATAGCAATAATACACAGGCAAATGTGCTCACAAAGAAACAGAAAATCATTCAACAGCCCCATCTGATCCGCTCATGCTGTGGTTGCTCACTCATTTCGCAGCCTGGTCCTTTGCCTCGTCGCTCTCCTCCTGGCTTTGGATGCGGATGGCTTCTTCCTGCTCCGCCATCTTCTCTTGCGGGTTATCGCGGAGTTCCTTGGCCCTCTGGACGGCACCAGGAATCTTGTGAACATCTTTGTCCGCAATCTCTCCCCTGCCAATCAGGGTGACCACAATACTCGCGCCGACGATGAAAGTCAGAACAAACCGATAGATGGCGTACCATGGTGGGGTCCAGCCCCGGTATGCCGCTCGAGTGTCGACATAGTACAATACTGTGAAACCGACGAATTGCGTGATGAGGGCATACTCAACAGGCATCAGGAGTGTTGGCCACGCGACTGCGGGTGTCCAAACGCCAATCGCATAGCGTTTGTAGCCCTGGTGGCCTCCATATCCAGCAAACTCAAGACCCCAATGGATTGCTCCGAGGAAAGAAAGTATCTGGAAGATGTATTAACGGAATTTCAGGCTGGTCTGCTGCGATGCTGCCAAACTTACCACTGCACCATACCCTACTTGCAAGGGCTCGAGTATGTGAAGTAGCTGGGATGCTGTGGACGTCGACATGAGATATCCCGCGCCTGCCACGGCATGGTTGAGTTCATAGGCGCACGCAACAGTGGAAACTGAAGTAGCAAGATAGGGGAGAACGCCGGCGAGGCCGATAGTGTATGCTTCTCGGGGAACTTCGGAGAGGTTGAATGTTTCCCTGATGGTGTGCTAGAGCGCAGTCAGTATTTGTTGCGGCAAACAACACAATTCGAGTCCGCCTACCAGATCGCCTTTTACTCCTGAAGACACGTCTCCCTTGTGCTGTGCCCTATCTGTGTCACCGACCTCGCCTACAATGGGATGTATGGTCGATGTTGCAGAAACTGTTTCCGGTGTAGGTTTGATCTCCTCTTGTGCATATCTCTTCTCAGCATCTTTGCGCTCTTGCGACAAGTTGCGGCGCGTAAGAGCAAACTGAATTGGGTTAAATTGAGTTAGAGCTGATATTTGCGGGCGTTTCGACGCGACTGAGCTGAATTGGGTAGACCATTGTGCAGCTGGCTTGAAGCTTGCGGTTGGTCGGATGGGGGTTGGGACTGCGCGCAAGGCAAGTCGCGTAGCTCCGTTGCGAAGCATCTCAGTGGATTAGAGGAGTTAGAGAAGCAGATGCCGGCGCTCAATTGCAGGAGGAAGAGAGAGGGAGAGAGGGAAAAAGCTGTAAAAATAGGGAAAAGGGAAGACGGGAAGAGAGGAAATTGCAACTGGGTCGTTAGAGATAACAAGCTGACGATGTCAAGTTGGAAGCTCCCCGCGTAGCACGGAACAAGCTCCAACAGCTTTCTCAGGACGTGAAGATGACGTCACATGCAAGCCACGGACATCTGGGGCGGACGGAGCACGTGACCATCGTCAACGTCCAGGTGTCAGAATTTCCAACATCGATTGATGGATGGATGCAGACGGAAGTCGGCTCAAAACTACTGGATGATGATGATTACTAGCGGCAATGTTATTCATTGAATGTAGACCCACAGCAATGGCCGTACGTATCACATTGATGAGTGCCATCTGTTGCATCAATTGATGATTCTTGGGGTATTTGAAGAATGGGACAGTAGACTGAAGAACAACAGCCCCTTCTCATGAGGTACTGAACAACCGGGCTTTGGGTGTTTATGCGATGTGTAGATGGGTTTCAATGTTCAATACAGGCGTGTGGTTGACAGCGCAGCAGAAGCGCATTGGCAAGCCCGGCATTTGAGTGGCTAACCCTCCAAATATTATGGAGAAGAGACAGACAGCAGACTCAAGAACGGCAGCCCCTTCTGACAATCAGTTTTTGGATGTGTATATCGCATATAACATGTAAAAGATCCTACTCAGTGTAGCTGCCGGCGCAAGTACAACTGCCTACATGATGATTTTTCCCATGCAAAAACCACGATCAATGCCACGGGCGTGGCTGGTGCCGTGGCAACGGGCGAGTGCAAGCGCAGCGGAATGGCGGGGCACCCTCGCCCTTTTTTTCGCAGCGGAAGCGAAGCGGGGCGGTTGTGTCATAAGCTACAGGGCGGCCGACGTCAAAGAAAGTTGTGGAAGAAGCCCTTCACGCAGAGCATCCGTCACCCTTGGGCCCAGCAGAACGAGCTGGCATTTTCTGTTTGAATTTTGCGCCGTGCTAGAGCTGATTGAGAAATCCAAACGCAGCAAGCTAGGCAGCATCGCTTTGTATTGGTGGGGAGCGGGTCGAAATTTCTAGAGTGGCTAAGTCTTGGCGTCCAACTGATAGAATCTTCCACGAGTTTCCCTCACCACCAACATAAAAACCCGCCCTCCGCGCTTCTCGTTACCTTTCTCCCACTCTCAACCACACTGCTCTACTAGACACATCTGCATTCCGTCTATTTAGACTTTCTCTCGACCACACTCTACCACATTTTCTTTTCTTTGCCTACTTGATACCCCACCTTTTCCTGCGTTCACATTCACATCACCATGGCTCCCGCTGTCGGTATCGATTTGGGTACGACGTACTCGTGCGTCGGTATCTTCCGTGATGACCGTATCGAGGTAAGCACTTTCACCAGCTCTCGTTCCGCACCTGTGTCCACCATACTGACCTGTTTTCCAGATTATCGCCAACGACCAGGGTAACCGCACAACCCCCTCGTTCGTTGCCTTCACCGACACCGAGCGTTTGATCGGTGACTCGGCGAAGAACCAGGTCGCCATGAACCCCGCCAACACCGTCTTCGACGCCAAGCGATTGATTGGTCGCAAGTTCGCCGACGCTGAGGTTCAGGCCGACATGAAGCACTTCCCCTTCAAGATCATCGATAAGGCTGGCAAGCCCGTTGTCCAGGTCGAGTTCAAGGGCGAGACCAAGCAATTCACACCCGAGGAAATCTCCTCCATGGTCCTCGTCAAGATGCGCGAGACCGCTGAGAGCTACCTCGGTGGCACCGTCAACAACGCCGTTGTGACTGTCCCCGCCTACTTCAACGACTCTCAACGTCAGGCTACCAAGGATGCTGGTCTCATTGCTGGCCTCAACGTCCTCCGTATCATCAACGAGCCTACCGCCGCTGCCATTGCCTACGGTCTTGACAAGAAGACCACTGGTGAGCGCAACGTCTTGATCTTCGATCTTGGAGGTGGTACCTTCGATGTCTCCCTCTTGACCATTGAGGAGGGTATCTTCGAAGTCAAGTCCACTGCCGGTGACACTCACTTGGGTGGTGAGGACTTCGACAACCGTCTCGTCAACCACTTCACCAACGAGTAAGTTTATCCCTGGGTATCCTGCATCCCCAAACCACCTCAACTGTGCGTTCTTTGTCCATTGGCGTAAGCTTGATGTGCTACAATGCAATTGCATATTGTTGACCTCCATTTTTTCTAAACATTTGCTAACTGTTTCCAACAGATTCAAGCGTAAGCACAAGAAGGACCTCACCTCCAACGCTCGTGCTCTCCGTCGTCTCCGCACCGCTTGCGAGCGTGCCAAGCGTACTCTCTCTTCCTCTGCCCAGACCTCCATCGAGATCGACTCTCTCTACGAGGGAATTGACTTCTACACCTCCATCACTCGTGCTCGTTTCGAGGAGTTGTGCCAGGATCTCTTCCGCTCCACCATGGAGCCCGTCGAGCGTGTCCTCCGCGACGCTAAGATCGACAAGTCCTCCGTCCACGAGATCGTCTTGGTCGGTGGTTCCACTCGTATCCCCAAGGTCCAGAAGATGGTCTCCGACTTCTTCAACGGCAAGGAGCCCAACAAGTCCATCAACCCCGATGAGGCTGTTGCCTACGGTGCCGCTGTCCAGGCTGCTATCTTGTCTGGTGACACTTCTTCCAAGTCCACCAACGAGATCCTCCTTTTGGATGTCGCCCCGCTCTCTCTCGGTATCGAGACTGCCGGTGGTGTCATGACTCCTTTGATCAAGCGCAACACCACCATCCCCACCAAGAAGTCTGAGGTCTTCTCCACCTTCAGCGACAACCAGCCCGGTGTACTCATCCAGGTATACGAAGGCGAACGTGCTAGAACAAAAGACAAGTGAGTTGCAACGTTTTCCTTTCTCTTTTTTTGACCCTGAAAAAAATTGGTGTCTGAAGTGCATCCGCATCTGCACCTGCGGACCGCACACTTCCGGTTGAGACAGCAGCCCACTACGAATGGGCTTGCAGTCACGACCTCTCAATGAGACATCAGCACCCTCGAGTCCTTATCCATTACTCATTTTTCAATATGCTAACATTTTTACAGCAACCTCATGGGCAAGTTCGAACTTACCGGCATTCCCCCTGCTCCCCGTGGTGTTCCCCAAATTGAGGTCACCTTCGACTTGGATGCCAACGGCATCATGAACGTGTCTGCTCTCGAGAAGGGCACCGGCAAGACCAACAAGATCGTCATCACCAACGACAAGGGCCGCTTGTCCAAGGAGGAGATCGAGCGCATGTTGGCTGAGGCCGAGAAGTACAAGGAGGAGGATGAGGCTGAGGCTGGCCGTATCTCCGCCAAGAACGCTCTCGAGTCCTACGCCTACTCCCTCCGCAACACTCTCTCCGACAGCAAGGTCGAGGAGAAGCTTGATGCTGGTGACAAGGAGAAGCTCAAGTCCGAGATCGACAAGGTCGTCCAGTGGCTCGACGACAGCCAGCAGGCCACCAAGGAGGAGTACGAGTCTCAGCAGAAGGAGCTCGAGGCCGTTGCCAACCCCATCATGATGAAGTTCTACGGCGCTGGCGGCGAGGGTGGCATGCCCGGCGGCATGCCCGGAGGTGCCGGATTCCCCGGTGCTGGCGGTGCTGCTCCCGGCGGTGCCGGCCACGACGATGGCCCAACTGTTGAGGAGGTCGACTAAGCGTCTCGCTTCTTCGATCTTGTTCTATCTTCATTATCCGCATAGAGGGGTTATTCCTTTGGTTGGCGGTTTTTCTTTCGGAGTTTAGGTCTCTTTTCATTGCATGAGTCACGATTATGACTGGGTGGGAAAAGTTCCAGGTAGCTGATGGATGATATTCGTCTGTGTAGCTGAATCATGAGATCCGATAATACATGTTCAAAGTTCAATAATGCTTCCTCTATGTTATGACTTGATGCTGTGCTATGTGATGTAATGTATACGAGTAACTACTTTGGTTCTCTTTCTTAGGGTTTTCGACTTCGACACTTCACTGATGTTACTCACCTGAGGTCTACTCTAGATTTTCTCATCGCAGTACGTCAGCATATATTGTATGCCTCCTGAGCGATAGCCAGTTGTCGCATTGTAGTGAACGTCGATCATATTTACAACATTTATTACGTAGAGATCACTCATCATGTGCATCAGCCTTGGATCTTTGGGCTAATCACTCTAACAATGTCGTGCTTGTATCATGCTAGATGTCGAATAACAAATTTTGTATATGAGATTGACACTCACTACAATGCAATAACTGGCTATTCCTTACAGAGTATATTATGCATGTTAGCATACTACAACAATAACATCTAGGACCTTTTAATAATAAACATGATGGTAAATTAATCTAGTATGTAAGATGAAGACTTACTATAATACAATAACTTGATATTGTTTGCAGAGTACACTATACATGTTAGTATACTGCAGTGATGAAATATGATAAGAAACATCGTAGTAAATTGATTTAGGATATAGGATCAAGAGTTGCGGTAATGCGATAGCAAGCTATCATTTACACAGTATATTTTACGTGTTAGTATACTGCAATAATCAAAATTCAAGATCTTACGATGATGAACATTGCAGTAAATCAATCTAGGATACAAGATTGACACTTGCTTTAATGCGATAGCAAGCTGTTCTCTGCAGAGTATATTGTACATGGTAGTATACTGCAACAATGAAATCTAGGATCATATAATGATAAACATCGCAGTATATACCACTTCAATCGTGTTGGTGACGATGTACCTCAACATATATCATATGGCATCCGAATAAAAACCAGTTGTCATATTGTAATGCGTGTTGATCTCATATACAACACTTGTTACATGTACGTAGATGTCACTGAACATGTGTGACTGCCCGACCCTCACATCATGAAGCATACATCAACTGAAAGCACGCGCTCACCACAAGTCTTAAAGACTGATCTTTTCCATTCTACAACATGTACACACTATCATACAAATATCATACAACCCTCCCCCAAATCTCTCTCCATCCAAACCTGCAACCCCAACGTAGGGAAACCTTCACCACTCCGAAGCCCTCCCAAAAGGCTTCTCCACCTTCTCACCCTCCCCCCTCACACTCCACACATCCTCGCTATTAGGCCCCGCCTTGATCTTCTCCTCCTTCTTTCGATACCGATCCTGGATCGCCTGCACCTTCCCCTCCGCACTCATAGTCTTGATCCCCATGCAGAACCGCCAATCCGCCCAATGCTCACTACACGAGCGTAGCTGACCGAAGCGGTAGATGTCGTTGAAGTGCCCGCCAAAGGACGAGCAGTAGAAGGCCGAGTCGAAGGCGTCGCGGCAGGACATTGTGCTTGGGAGGAGGGGGTCGTGCGGGGTGGTGGGTTCGGTGGAGGGCGGTGGAGGTGCGAGGTGGGGGAATGCGGTATTGAAGTCGTCGTTGTTGTTGCTGGTGTTGTCGTTGGAGTCTTTGGGAGGTTGCGAAGGGGTTGTTGATGCTGGTGGTGATGGTGGTTGTGAGGTCTGGGGTATGGGTTGGAGTTGTTGGGGCTGAGATTCTGGTTTGGTTTCGCCGCTTGGAGACGATGTCCACCAGCCCCAGGCCATGTTGAAAAGATGTTTCGCGGAATGTTAGATGCGGTGGGTTCGGCGGATGCGCAATGAATGGGTCGTGTCGCGACGTGGGTTGGAGGTTCGGAGATGGGGCGGAGAAGGCTGTTATGCCGTGGTCGCTGTACACAGAGCCGTGGAGGATCGGAAGGAGATGTCGAGAGCCAGTGCTTTGGAACGTGACGCCAGGCTGTTGATTATGCGGGATGTTGTGTTGCAATGGAGATCAGGGTGCGTTTCCCATGTCAAATTGTTGGACGAATCAAATTCAGATAACGCACGGACCATACTCCAACCATTTTGGAGAACGTTGGGATTACCATTGCGTGTGCTCTCAAATCATGTAAAGTTTAGACGCTCGCTATCAGAAACCCTGTCATTCTCAATTCTGTCATTCCAAGATACGTCGACAGAATAACAAGAAATTCAAGAATTGTGACCGTCTCCCGCGTTGACACATCAGACGAAAACACGATGGCGCACGGGCCCCAATCAAGTCGCCTGTCGGTACGTCATGCATTAGGATGCGTGGAGCTAAACATCTGCCTTGCGGGCGATCACTCGACATCCGCAGTTCTGCTCTGTTGTCCCCCATTCCTTCCAAACCTCCTCTTCATTGCTGCGGCGTGTTGTTTTTGCGTGTCGGTGTTTGGCTTCTTTATAGTCGTACCTACCTACCATCTCTAATCTCGCGCTTGCCCCATCGACTACGCCCCGCGGGCTTACCACCACACTCCACTCACCCTTCGATACCCTCGCGCGTTTGTCACACCTATATTGAATCCACCCATGACCTTACGACACCTACGACATAACGATCTCACAATCTCTACCTAGGCTACACCATACCTCGAACCTCCTTGTCTATCATCAACCACCTGGGCTCTCCGCTACCCCGCCATCCTACACCTACCTTCCTTTTGCCCCGACCTGGGTAACGGTCATCACCCACAACCATGCTCGAGGGTCTAGTGGCGAACCTCCTGAATCGGTTCTTGGGCATGTATGTCCAGAACTTCGATCCCAAGCAGCTCAATGTCGGAATCTGGTCCGGCGACGTCAAATTACGAAACCTAGAACTCCGACGCGAAGCCCTCGATCAGCTACACCTACCTCTGAATGTCGTGGAGGGACATCTAGGGTCGCTGACGCTCTCGATTCCATGGTCAAATATGCGGGGCAAGCCGCTAAAGGTCAACATCGAGGATGTCTATTTACTCGCGGCCCCCAAGGAGGATGCTGATTATGACGCCGAGGAGGAGGAAAAGAGAGCACATGCGGTCAAGATGGAGAAATTAGACAGCGCAGAACTACTAAAAGAACGAAACACGGAAGGCATGAGTGCTGAGGAGCAACAAAAGAACGAGAGTTTCACGACGAGCATGGTCACTGCCATTGTGGACAATGTTCAGGTGACAGTGAAGAATATCCATATCCGTTACGAAGACTCGATATCCGACCCGGGCCACCCATTCGCATTGGGTCTCACGCTTGCCGACTTCAGCGCTATCAGCACTGATGATGATTGGAAACCCACCTTTATCCAAGGCGGCACGACAACGACACACAAGCTGGCAACGCTGGGCTCGCTGGCTGTATACTGGGATACCGATGCTAAACTGATAGGCACCGGCCGAGGCAGCCAGAGCAAGGATGAACAGAACATTAATCACGACGACTTTATCGAAAAGGTCCGGAGTATGATTGTGCGCGGCGAAAACCCTACTTTGGGCGACCATCAATTCATCCTCAAACCCATCAGCGGACGCATGGGGCTGGAAATGGACAAAACTGGCAAGTCGGATCGGCCGAAGATGAAGGCGCGATTGCTGTTTGACGAGCTGGGTTTCATTATTGACGAGGATCAATATCGCGACGCTCTCATGCTAGTCGATTTGTTCCACTACTTCATCCGCCACCAGGAGTACAAGAAATTTCAACCAAAGTCATCCCCGAAAGAGGATCCTGCCGGGTGGTTGCGGTTTGCTGGCCAAGCTGTTCTCGACAAGATCCATGAGCGAAACCGCCAATGGAGTTGGGGATACTTCAAAGAACGCCGGGACGATCGGATACGATATATCGATTTGTTCAAGAAGAAGAAGCGAGAAGAGAAGCCCACACCGGAGGAGGCGGAGGAGCTCGACAAGCTCGAGCGCAAATTATCATACGAAGACCTTCGATTCTGGCGGTCGCTTGCGCGCAATCAATTACGCAAAGAGAACGTCGGTGTCAAGAAACCACCCCCGAAGCAAGGTTGGGGCTCCTGGATCTGGGGCTCCAAAGAAGAGGAAAACAAAGACGACAACACTCAGATGACAGATGAGCAGCGCGAAGAGCTGTACAATGCGATAGACTGGGACGAGAAGAAAGCCATCACAGAGTCTGTAGACATGCCGCGCGAGTATGTGAAAATGGAAGTTAATATGAGCCTACGAACCGGAAGTTTTACTCTCAAGCGTGATCCTCACGGAAAGTCCAACGAAATACTTCGCCTGCTATTCGATTCATTCAGTACACAGTTTTTGCAACGCACAGATTCCATGTTCGTCAAGGTAGCACTTGAAGGCATGCGATTGTATGATGGTACCACTGAAGGAAGTCTGTTTCCGCAGATCATCACCATCAAGGACGCTGCTCCTGTTCCTGATGACCATCGCATTGAGGAGCTTAACGACGATGAGACTCTTAGAGAAGCTGAAGATCAAGAGGAGGAAGAGAAAGAAGATCCCTTCTTCCAGCTTTCTTTCGAGAAGAACCCATTGGACGGCAGCGCTGACACGGCTCTGACCATGAAACTGAAGGGTATGGAGTTTGTCTATAACCCAAAGTTTATTGTGGAAGTCGCAAAGTTCTTCAAACCACCGGAGCGCCATATGGAATCCATTGGAGCCCTCATGGAGACGGCCGGCGCAACCGTCGAGGGCATCAGGCAGCAAACGCGTGCTGGCTTGGAATTTGCTCTCACCGAACACAAGACGATCAACGCACAGCTGGATCTCCAGGCCCCTCTCATCATTGTTCCTGATTCTGTGACGAAAAAGTCAAGTAACTGTTTGATTCTGGATGCAGGTCATATAAGTGTTACGAGTGAGCTTGTCGACAAGGCGACACTGCATGATGTTCAATCGAAACAAAAACAACAATACACCGACGAGGACTTCCGACGTCTGGAAGGACTCATGTACGATCGCTTTCTTCTCAAGCTTCAATCTACCCAAGTGCTCATCGGACCCTCGATAGACGAGACTAAGGCGCAGCTCGACGAGAAAGCCGAATTCAAATCCCTGCACATCGTCGACAGAATAAACATGGACTTCAAAGTGGAGACATGTATTATTCCAAAGGCGTCCGATCTCACAAAGTTCCGTGTTTCTGGAAACCTTCCTGTGCTCCATGCATCAATTTCCGATACCAAGTACAAGAATCTCATGAAGCTGATCGAGGTGGCTATACCGAAATTTGATGAGGGCGAGCCCAGCAAGCAGGTTGTCGAGGGTGCGCAAGGACTATCAAATCTAAAGCCCGCCAGCGAAGCCAAGCCCAGTGAAGATCCGCTGGGTCGACCGAGATCGAAATCGTTCCAATTCGCCGCACAAGAACATGAGCTTGTCATGGAGGACGAAGGCGACGATGCCAAAGATGATAAATTTGAAGACGCGCCCGAGAAGAAGCCAGAGTCCGATGCTAACATTCACCAGCGCAATTTCGAGTTCAACTTCACTGTGGACAAGCTTCAGGGCTCCTTGTACAAGGCCGACTCAGAAGGCAAGAAGGCAGATCAGCTGCTGGTTGAGCTTGTGGCTGAACACTTCGATCTCAATTTCTACCAAGAGCAATTTGAGATGGTTGCTATGGTAAGCTTGAAGAGTTTAGCTGTGGAAGACCACGTAGAGGCGAACCCTATGCCCGAGTTCCGCAATATCATCTCCTCCGAGGATGCGTCCGAAGAAGATGAACAAAAAGATTTGTTCTCGCTGAAGTTTGTAAGAGTCAACAAGGAGTCTCCGGAATTCCAAAGCAAGTACGAGGGCATTGCGATGAATCTGGATGTGGCTGTCTCCACCATCAACTTGATAGTAACAAGAAGGACGCTACTGACACTGCTCGACTTTGTCCTCCTCACATTCACCAATCAGGATGCACCGCAGAACCAACAAGCACAGATTACAGACAAGTCAGGGCAGCAACAGTCTCAACAGCAGCAACAAAATAATCAGGATAAGATCCGCATACGAGCCGAGCTCAAGCGTGTTGCCGTTGTTCTGAATAACGACGGAATACGGCTCGCCACTCTAAGTTTGAACTCTGGCGATGTCGGAATTTTCCTCAGCGGCGGAACAATGCGGATTGGTGGACGTCTAGGCAACTTGAACTTGATCGACGACGTCAACCAGGGCGTGCCAGAGGATTCGCCCATGCGGCAATTGGTCACTATCGAGGGCAAGAACCTGGCAGACTTCAGCTATGAGACGTTTAATAGCGAGTCCGACAGCTACCCCGGATACGACTCGTCCGTCGTACTCAAAACTGGCTCAATCAAGATCAACTTCCTCACGGAACCATTCCGGAAGATTATGGAATTTGCGGTCAAGTTTGGCAAGATGCAGGCCATCTTCAATGCTGCTCGCCAGGCCGCTGCAAATCAGGCGACCCAGATCCAGCAACGTTCGGCAAAGATGCATTTCGACATTGCCATCAGCACCCCCATTGTGGTATTCCCTCGAATGGTTATCTCAGATAAACCAGACAGGGACACACTTACAGCCAACCTGGGAGAGATTTATGCTAAGAACAAATTCGTGCCCTTGGACGATTCTGAAGATGCTGTCGTGGCCAACAAATTATCGGCTGGCGTGCGAAACATCAAACTGACATCGAAACTGCATTACGACGAAAACCGCGCTGAGGAGCTGCAGCTCATTGACAAAGTGGATGTTGACTTTAATATCACAATGGTGGAACATACACCTGGGCTCCATCGACCTGATCTTGAAATCGATGGTAACATGTCAGACATCAACCTGCAACTCTCACCCGAGCAAATGAAGTTTGCACTAGAGCTCTCACGCTCAATTCCCGCTGCTTTCGCGACTGACTCTGATGAGGTGGAACAAAACCTGCACCAGGAACTCCCCGAGGAGCAGACACGTCCAGCAAGGCAGTTGAGTGACAAGCCGTCGACACCAAGCCCACAAGATTTGACATCAAGCCAAGGCCCAGAGCTGTCGGCTGAGGATGGAAAGTGGACCAAACTCGACTTCGTCTTCAAAGTGGGCACTGTTGGCTTGGAGCTTGTTCAATCCAAAGAAGGCGAGCCCATTGGTGATGTCGAGTCTGCAAGTCTATCAAAATTCTCGCTCAACGATACGAATGTGAAGCTTCGCATGATTAGCGATGGCGCGCTAGAGGCCGAGCTGGTAGTGCAGTCATTCACCATCCGTGACAGCCGGTCGCAAGGAACGAACAAGTTCAGAAAAATCATGTCATTGATCAACTCCGATGTCAAGCAGCAATTCATGGCAAGCATATCAATGTCGGGTGGGCAAGAAAAGAGTTTGATTGCTCTCCTCACTATTGATAGTCCGAGAATCATTCTGGCTCTGGATTACCTGTTCGCACTACAAGCCTTCGTCAATACGGGACTGGCAACCGATGAACCTCTGGAGATTGAGGACGAAACAGACGCCGAGGATCTGGAAAGCGATTCGGAGATCATGTCGCCGGATGGTAGCCGTTCACCTGTAAAACCCGGCACAGAGAAACCCGATGAAAGTGGCATGAACATCTCGTATCGCGTTAATCTCGTCGATGCCCAAGTCGTGCTCATTGCAAATCCAGCAATATCAAGCTCGGAAGCCATTGTTCTTGGCACCAAGCAGGTACTCGTATCGAAGCAACAGGCCATGACCTTGCAAGTCGATAAGGTGGGCATGTTCCTGTGCCGTATGGACCGCTTTGAAACCAGCAGACTACGTATCCTTGATGACTTCAGCATCCAAACTGCCCTCGATATTAGGAACCAGGGTTCCAAGTCGTCTCTCACAAGCATCACCTGCGACATTGAGCCCCTTGTACTGCGGTTGTCTCTTCGCGACATTCTCCTCGCAATGCAGATTGTCAATCGGGCATCGGCCATGTCAGGTGGTACTGATGACAAGAAGATGGCCGATGAGAAGCCGCAGCAGCTCAAACAGAGTACACCTTCTAAAAAGGGCAAGTCGACGAAAGCAGCCTCATCAAAGCCGCCAACCAAGTCTCTAGCTACCAAGCGCTCTGCTCAAACCAGTGTATCTCAACAACCGTCCAAACCGGGCTCTGCTGTTATTAAGCGAGAAGAGATGAACATCAACATAGAAGGCATTCGAGTCGTATTTATTGGTGACGTTCACGAAATGCCCATGCTAGACTGGCGTGTGAAGAAGTTTGGAATCGACGTCCGAGACTGGTCGGGAGCATTGACCGCCGACACCAGTCTCGATACTCTCATCAACGTATACAACTTCTCGAAATCGGCATGGGAGCCGCTCATTGAGCCGTGGCAACTAGGCTTCCACATGGCAAAGGACCAAAACCCGGAAAGATTTGGAGTAGAGTTGTACTCTCGCAAAGCTATGGAACTTACCATCACTGCAGCCACCATCGCATTGGCATCCAAATCATTTGATTTCCTCACCACCGAGGAGGATATTCTGTCTAAGCCACGAGGCAACGATGCGCCTTATCGGATTCGGAACTATACCGGCTTCAACCTCGACGTCTGGGCGGAAGGCAAGGACCTATCAGAGGGCTACGCTTCCAAGTTGGAAGATGGAGATGAGCAGCCCTGGCGATTCGAAGATGCTTCTGCTACCAGAGAAGCTCTGTCGACTGATGGCGCAACTGGTGTGCTTGGTATTCGTCTCGAAGGCAGTGGTTTTGACTCCATACCACGCATTCCTGTTCATCGTGAGGGCGAGGCGTTATACAATCTGAAGCCCAAGCAAGACCGTATTCAACACCGTATCCTTGTAGAGGTCAGCCTGGGTGCCGACAACGTCAAGAATATCACATTCAGGTCACCACTTCTCTTGGAGAACAACACTCAGATCCCCATCGAGCTTGGCATTTACAGCCCCAATGAAGGCCACTTGCTCAAGATTGAGAAGATCTCACCTGGTGACGCCAGGCCAGCTCCAGTTGGAGCCGCATATCTGCACTCCCTCGTTATACGCCCAGATCAAGGGTTTGGCTACTCATGGTCAAACGAGCAGCTTCATTGGAAGGATTTGCTCAAACGCCCGACTCGCACAATCACATGCCGAGGAGAGCAAGACGATCAATCGCCTCCCTTTTACTTCCAGCTCCATGCCTCGTATGACAGAAAGGATCCATTGACAAGCGTGTACCCATACATGCGCCTCAGACTAGGAGCACCAGTCGAGGTGCAGAATCTTCTGCCATACGACTTCAAATACAGGATATACGATAGTAATACGAAGAAGGATTGGACTAATTTCCTTCGTAAGGGAGGCGTCAGCCCAGTCCACGTGGTTGAGTTGTCGCATCTCTTGTTGGTCAGCGTCGACATGCAGGACACGCCGTTCAAGCCCAGCAAGTTCGGTATCATCAACTCTACGGATCGAGAGAGTTTTAGAAGAGAGGAGGTGCTAGAAGTGAAGGACAATAACGACCTGACCCTCCACTTAAACATGCATTTCTAGTAAGTTGACAGCCATACATTGATGAATTACCCTGCTAACCCCTGTAGCAACTACCCTGATGGCGGAGGATCGTTCAAGGTGACAATATTCAGTCCTTATATTGTGTTGAACCGCACTGGTCTCGAACTTGATCTTCGGGCGAAGCAGTTTATGGGTCAAACACGTGCAGCTGCCGGACAGGGCGTATTCGCTAACGACGACAATGATTCCGGAAAAGCAGCGCCATTGATGTTTTCATACCCTACACGGGACAAGAAGAATCGTGCGCTCATCAAAGTAGGTGATTCCAACTGGAGCAAGCCGCAAAGTTTGGACGCTATCGGAAGCAACTATGCTGTCGCGTTGCCTTCCACACAAGCCAGATCGGAAATGCACATTGGAGTGAATGTGTCCGAAGGAGAAGGAAAGTTTAATCTCACCAAAGTCATTACCATTACTCCTCGCTTCATTCTCAAAAACAAGATGAAGGAAGAGGTCCTCATTCGCGAACCCACTTCCTCCGATTGGACGTCAGTCAAAGATGGTGAATTGAGGCCTTTGAGGTGGTTACGTCAAGGCGGCGCACCGCAGCTGTCGCTGTGTTACCCCGGCGTCAACAATCAATGGTCATCGCCCTTTAATGTTTCCAACGTGGGCAATGTTCACGTCAAGCTCTCCAAATCTGGGCAGCGCCAGAAGTTGATTCGGGTTGACGTGCTCATGGAAGGCGCTACCATCTTCGTACACGTCAGTGTTGAAACCAAGCACTGGCCTTTCTCTTTCAAGAACATGAGCGACCAAGAATTTCTCTACTGGCAGGCAAATCCAAACTTGGATGAGGATGAAGACGATCGTGGCTCAGGATTCCGTCCAATCCGGTACCGCTTGCCCCCGCGGAGTATCATGCCTTACGCTTGGGACTTCCCCGCTGCAAAAAACAAAGAGATTGTACTTTCAGCAAACGGTCGGGAGCGACATGTCAAACTTGCCGAGATTGGTAACTTGATCCCGCTGAAGTTACCTCCTGCGCAAGGTCAAAGCCGAGGGAAGATTGTTGATCTCAATGTCGTTGCATCGGGACCTACGCAGACACTCGAGCTGTCGAACTTCAAGGCGTCCAAGAGTGTATACAAGCAAAAGTCTGGCTCTGCCTCAACGTCCACCACAGGCGGCTTCGAGGTGAAAGACGTGGATACTGATGTAACCTTCAAAGCACAGCTGCGCTTCGCCGGCATTGGTATCTCTCTCGTCAATCGCCACCTCAAGGAGCTGGTATACGTCACTTTGAGAGACATCGAACTCAAGTACAGCGACTCTCCTCTTTACCAGATGGTGAATTTCCAGGTCAAATGGATCCAGATCGACAATCAACTTTACGGAGGCATCTTTCCGATTCTCTTCTATCCTAGTGTGGTACCAAAGACAGGCAAAGAAATGGAGGCGCATCCGATCTTCAACACCAGCATCACGCGTGTCAAGGACGATTCATATGGTGTTCTCTACATCAAGTATTTCACAATCCTCTTGCAACAGATGACGCTTGAAATCGATGAAGATTTCATCTTTGCCCTGCTGGACTTTGCCAAGATACCTGGCGCTTCCTGGTCCGAAGAAAAGGAGGGCAAGCTGTGGGATGAGTCGCTGGATATTCCTGAGCCCAAGCAAGAGCAGTCTGGTCAAGATGTCTACTTCGAACTCCTGCACCTACAGCCTATGCAGATCGATTTGTCCTTTGTGCGAACCGAACGCATCAATGCCGAAGACACTGCGTCATCGTCCAATCCGTTCATGTTCGCTGTCAATGTTCTTACAATGTCGATTGGCAATGTCAACGACGCTCCTGTCCGATACAACGCTCTGATGCTGGAGAACGCCCGAGTTTCGACCGATGCACTCATCACAAACATCAAGAATCACTATGTGCAAGAGTCGCTGCGACAAGTTCACGTTGTCATTGGATCCGCTGATTTCCTCGGAAACCCTGTTGGCCTCTTCACGAACATCAGTTCTGGTGTGGCAGATATCTTTTATGAGCCCTACCAAGGTCTGGTAAAGTCCGATCGTCCTGAGGAACTCGGTATCGGCATCGCCAAGGGTGCATCTAGTTTTGTCAAGAAATCTGTATTTGGTTTCTCGGACAGCATGGCCAAATTCACAGGCAGTATGTCCAAGGGTCTTTCTGCTGCCACACTCGACAAGGAATTCCAAGATCAGCGTCGCATGTCACGATCCCGCAATCGACCCAAGCACGCGCTCTACGGCATTACTGCGGGTGGAAACGCTTTTGCCAGCAGTCTTGCCAGCGGTCTCGGTGGTCTTGCGCGACACCCAATTCAGGGCGCCGAAAAAGAGGGTGCGCTTGGTTTTGTCAAAGGTGTGGGTAAAGGTCTGCTAGGTGTGCCGACCAAAGCCGCCATTGGAGCCTTCGATCTCGCGTCCAATATGGCTGAAGGTGTACGCAACACCACCACAGTGTTCGACCAAGAGGGTCTCGACCGCGTTCGGCTGACGCGCTTCATTGGTACCGACGGCGTGGTTCGCCCTTACTCGCAGCGCGAAGCCTTAGGGCAGTTCTGGCTCAAGACGCTTGACAACGGAAAATATTTCCACGAAGATTACATTGCGCACTTGGAGTTGTCAAACAAGGATATGTTGGTGATGCTGACGTACAACGGCATTCTCATGGTGCGCACAAAGGGCCTGCGGACCGAGTGGGATGTACCCCTGAAGGATGTGCAGACTATTAGCAAAGAACGCACGGGGTTGGGCATCACCATCAAGGGAGGCACGAATGGGCCGTTCGTACCTGTTGCGGATGAAGCCGGAAGGAATTGGTTCTACAGGCAGGTTGCTGTTGCGGTTACGGCTTATAATGATAAGTGGCAAGCCAAGGGTTGATCGTTTTGGATGTGGTTTTGTAACGGGGGTCTTCTTTTGAGTACATAGGAGCTGTGGGGTCAGTAATTATTCCCATGGTTTTATTTTTATCACTTTTCGTGTTTCTTCTTTTGGTATTTTGATCTGCGTACCGTCTGTCTGTCTTTTTCATTTAGCAAACATTTTACTGTAGAAGCTATGAAATATAGTCTACGAGATTCAGGGCTGTTCTTCTCAATTGTACAATTTCTGTTCTGGGCGCCACGAGATATCGTACATAGTGCAGTTGCAGTGTCCACACAATCCATTCGTGTGATGCACCTTGGCAATTACGCATTGATATCTGCCGGACAGGCGCGGAGATCGTAGATTGCATCGCTAGCTATCGAATGTCACCGCCAAATCATCTGTTGCTCGAATGCGGAAGTGGAGACTACGAGAGTCAACTGAAACGTGCAATCAAAGCAACATATATCTTACTATATATATATATATATATATATATATATAGATACGTTATGAGACCAAAGAAAACGATAGTTATTATTGTTTATCTGTTTGTCAAAGTGAACGCTGCTTATCCGCATTCACGATCCGTCACCATCGATTTCGAGGCTGAAACTACGCACTCGTACTGTCTCGCGCACGCACACAGGTAAATCGGAACATGCCCCAAAGCAGGGAGATCGATCTCGCTCTTCGGCCTTCCGAGGACGCCGTGGCACGGAATAAGCAAGGTTTAGTTCCCTCCCTCTGGACGCTGCCAATGGTCCTTTTTGTGGGTCGCAAGGCGCGCAACGTGGTGTTGCGCACCTCACACTAAATAACAATGACATCAAGACTCGGTGACTGCCAAGCCTTTATTTTTTGGAATGGGATGATATTGTACCGAACGCGGTCGCGATGACGCCGTCATTGATTGGGAAATAATAAAGCCTGTGTTGTTAAGTGTGCATAGTGTTTGAGGTAGCTTTCAGTAAAGTTTTCTTCTTTACTACTTGCTTTCGTTTTTTGGAAGAGGAATTTCTTTGATAGATTTATTATCTAAGGATTGATCCTGGGAGCCGGTTCGTTTGGTCTCCACATTCGAGAACGGGGCCAACAAAGGAACCTTTTTTGACTGGCTGCTCTTTTTCTATTGCGACATTCACTCTGGTTATTTACCTAATAGTACGTTCTGATAGCTACTTGGTGCCAGTGTACTGTGGTAAACGGAAGAGTGGTTCTGGTACTAACACTGCATCGTGATTAGGATCCACGGCCACCATGGCCCAATCGGAGATGCCCACGCCTCACACAGAGCAGCTTCCAGGAGGATGGATAGAAACACCGTTGGAAACTGGACGACAGCAATCATATACCAACTCTCAATCAAATACCAATGCCAATGCTGCTGCTGCACAACGTGCGCAGCAAACATCTAGCAGTAACACCCCGGGCAATACTTTTCTGAATTACACGCCAGTCATCTCGAATGAGCAATCGAATGCTGCGTCAAGAGAGTCTGGACAGTTCTCCGCGTCGAGCCTTACCACTGCCGTGCCGTCTCCAGATGAGAAGGAAAGCCCTGCAGAGCCCGTGGAAGCGCACGAGGTGCGTTCTGCGTCGTTGGACTCGACAGACTCCAGCAGCAGCGATGAAGACGCCGCGGGTGCATTTGTTTCTGCGAAGCCGGCGTCCACGGGGCCTTCACGGCCGAAACTCCAATCAAATGGGTCGAAACCGATGACTGAAGATGACCTCTTCCGCGTTTTGTCGCGGCGCAGGACGAATACTAGCATGGGCCGTGTCACTACTGGAGGAACGGCCACCGACGACGAGGATGAAGAGCAAGAGGAGATTAACAAGTTGATGTCGAGGATGTTTGGGCATACTAGACAGGCGCAGTCTGAAGAGGAAAAGACCAGGCATCTTGGTGTCATTTTCCAGAATTTGACGGTCAAGGGTGCGGGAGTGGGTTCGGCGCTTCAACCTTCTGTGGGGGATATCTTTTTGAACCCTGGCCGTTTGCTCAAAAGTCTCTTCACAAAGGGCCCTCGAAGGGCTGCGGGGAAACCACCGGTTCGAACAATCCTCGATGAGTTTTCCGGATGTATCAAGCCTGGCGAAATGCTCTTGGTGCTTGGACGACCAGGCGCTGGATGCTCTACTTTCCTCAAAGTAATAGGAAACCAGCGATTCGGTTATGAGGACATCTCTGGAGATGTGACGTACGGTGGCACGGGATCAGAAGAGATGCGAAAGAAATTCCGCAGTGAGGTTCTTTACAACCCTGAAGACGACCTCCACTACGCCACGTTGAAGGTCAAGGATACACTTCGATTCGCCTTGAAGACAAAGACCCCGGGTAAGAACTCTCGTAACGAAGGCGAGTCACGTAACGACTATGTCCAAGAATTCCTTCGCGTCGTGTCTAAATTGTTCTGGATCGAGCACACCATGGACACGAAAGTCGGCAACGAGTACGTTCGTGGTGTCTCTGGAGGAGAGAAGAAACGTGTTAGCATTGCGGAAGCCATGATCACAAAAGCTTCGGTGCAGACGTGGGACAACTCGACTAGAGGTCTCGATGCAAGCACCGCCCTGGAATATGTTCAGAGTTTACGATCACTTACCAACATGGCCAACATTGCGACGTCGGTCGCTCTTTATCAAGCTGGTGAATCGTTGTTCAGTCTTTTCGACAAGGTTCTCCTCATCCATGAGGGCAAGTGTTGCTACTTTGGCCCATCCGATCACGCAGTCAAATACTTCAAGGACCTAGGTTTCCATCAACCAGAACGTTGGACGAGTGCGGATTTCATCACTTCGGTCACGGACGATCACGAACGGCATATCGCAGAGGGATATGAGAACCGCATCCCTCGATCCGGCGCCCAGTTCGCTCAAGCATTCCAGAAAAGCCAGCAACACCAAGACAACCTCTCCGAAATCGAGGAGTTCAAACGCGAGACTGAACGCCAAACCCAAGACCGGAAAGCCGCCATGACCAAAGCCACAAAGAAGAAGAACTTCACCCTCCCCTTCCACAAACAAGTAACAGCCTGCACAGTCCGCCAATTCAAAGTCATGATCGGCGACCAGCAATCACTTGCAGGGAAATGGGGCGGCATCCTTTTCCAAGCTCTCATCGTAGGCTCCCTCTTCTACGACCTCCCAGCGACAGCCCAAGGCGCCTTCCCCCGTGGCGGTGTAATCTTCTTCATGCTCCTCTTCAACGCGCTGCTCGCCCTCGCAGAACTCACAGCAGCCTTCGAATCTCGCCCCATCCTCCTCAAACACAAAAGCTTCTCCTTCTACCGCCCGGCCGCCTACGCCATCGCGCAAACAGTCGTCGACGTCCCTCTCGTGCTCGTCCAAGTCTTCATCTTCGACATTGTGGTCTATTTTATGGCCTCTCTCCAACGCACCGCTTCTCAATTTTTCATCTCATTGCTCTTTCTCTGGCTGCTCACCATGACCATGTACGCCTTCTTCCGCGCCATCGGCGCGCTCGTGGGTTCTTTGGATGTCGCGACGAGAATCACGGGTGTGGCTATCCAAGCCCTGGTCGTCTACACCGGCTATCTCATCCCCCCGACCAAAATGCACCCCTGGTTCAGCTGGCTGCGCTGGATCAACCCCGTGCAGTACGGCTTCGAAGCCCTCATGGCAAACGAGTTCTATAATCTCGAACTCCAGTGCACTCCGCCTTACATCGTACCCCAGCTTCCCAATGCACAGACGCAGTACCAATCATGCGCTTTGCAAGGTAGTCAACCTGGCTCTCTTACCGTCAACGGCGCAGATTATATATCTGTGGCGTTCCAGTACTCGCGCTCGCATTTGTGGAGGAATTTCGGCTTCATCTGCGCGTTTTTCATCTTCTTTGTGGTCTTGACAGCCGTGGGGATGGAGATTCAGAAACCGAACAAGGGAGGTGGGGCAGTGACGATTTTCAAGAGAGGCCAGGTTCCCAAGACGGTGGAGAAGGCCATGGATGCTCAGGCTTTGCAGCCTCAAGACGAGGAGACCGGGAAGGAGACCAATGGTAACGCTATGCCGACGGGAGACGGTGAAGAGGAGAAGGAGAAGGCCACAGCTGGTGTGGCGAAGAACGAGACAATCTGTAAGTTGCTTTACATTTCCCGGATTTGTGTATGATGCAGGAAAAACTGACAACGCTGGGTTTGTTAGTTACATGGCAAAACGTCACCTACACGATCCCCTACGAAAAATCCGAACGCACCCTCCTCCAAGACGTCCAGGGCTACGTCAAACCCGGAAAACTGACAGCACTCATGGGCGCGTCGGGTGCCGGTAAAACAACCCTCCTAAACACACTCGCCCAACGCATCAATTTCGGCGTGGTGCGCGGGGACTTCCTCGTAGATGGTCAGCCGCTCCCGTCTTCGTTCCAACGCTCTGCTGGGTTCGCGGAGCAGATGGATGTTCATGAACCTACGGCTACTGTACGGGAGGCGCTGAGGTTTTCGGCGAAGCTGCGCCAGCCCAAGGAGGTGCCGTTGGAAGAGAAGTACGAGTATGTGGAGAAGATGATTGACTTGCTTGAGATGAGGGATATTGCTGGTGCTGCTATTGGAGTCACTGGGTCTGGGTTGAACCAGGAACAGCGGAAACGGGTTACTATTGGCGTCGAACTTGCTTCCAAGCCTGAGCTACTAATGTTTCTGGATGAACCAACCTCGGGTCTAGATTCGGGAGCCGCGTTTAACATTGTCCGGTTCTTGAGGAAGTTGGCAGATGCGGGTCAGGCGATTCTTTGCACGATTCATCAGCCTTCTTCTGTGCTGTTTGAGCACTTTGATCAGTTGCTGCTTCTCAAGTCTGGCGGCCGAACTGTCTATTTTGGAGAGCTCGGGCACGACTCTCGCACGTTGCTCGATTACCTCGAGGCAAATGGTGCTAAGAAATGCCCTCCCCACGAGAACCCGGCCGAGTATATGCTAGAAGCAATAGGCGCTGGAGATCCCAACTACAAAGGCAGCGATTGGGGCGACATCTGGGCGAAGTCTGCGGAGAACCAGAAATTGACGAAAGAAATCCAGGATATTACTGAAAAGCAACGCAGTATGAACAAGGAAAACAACAAGACAAGAGATGACCGGGAGTACGCTATGCCACTGTCCACTCAACTGTACACGGTCATCCATCGGAGCTTCGTGGCGATGTGGCGCGATCCCACATATGTCGTAGGCGTGTTCATGCTGCACATTGTGACTGGTCTCTTCAATGCATTCACGTTCTGGAATCTCGGAAACAGCCAAATCGATATGCAATCTCGACTTTTCTCGGTATTCATGACACTCACCATTGCACCGCCACTGATCCAGCAACTGCAACCTCGATTCCTCAAGCTCAGGAGTCTTTACGAATCGCGAGAAGGCAATGCGAAGATTTACTCTTGGACCGCATTTGTTTGGGGTGCCATTCTGAGCGAGATACCGTACCGTATCTTGGCTGGTACGTATATCCCATTGAGGCTTGAAGTTTCGATGCATTTTACTGACTTCGTATAGGTACCATATATTGGTGCTGCTGGTATTTTGCACCAGGTTTCCCACGTGATACGTATACGGCGGCGAGTGTATGGCTTTTTGTCATGCAGTTCGAAATATTCTATCTCGGGTTCGGTCAGGCGATTGCAAGTTTTGCAGCCAACGAGCTCCTCGCTTCATTGCTTGTTCCGTTATTCTTCTTGTTTGGTAAGTCATCAACAACTTCTTTCGCTGATAATGAGATGTACTAATTCCATGTAGTCGTATCGTTCTGCGGTGTTGTAGTACCTTTTGCTGGAATGCCCTACTTCTGGAGAAGCTGGATGTACTATCTAAGCCCCTTCACCTACCTGCTGGAAGGGTTCCTCGGGTTGCTCGTGCACAATATCCCCGTACAATGCGATGCTAGTGAGCTTGCAATCTTCTCCCCACCTCCGGGTCAAGACTGTCAATCGTACGCCGGCGGATTCGCACAGCAGTCTGGTGGATACGTCGAAACACAACCCAACGGAGATTGTGGATTCTGCCAGTATGCAACGGGCGATGCTTTTGCGGCTTCATTCAACGTCTTTGCAAAGCACACGTACCGCGATTTCGGCCTCATGTGTAAGTGAATCCCAATACGAAAAGAAAAATGAAACTCTTCTGCAAAATACAAAAGCTGACTTATGATCATAGGGGCCTACCTCATCTTCAACTTTGCGGTCGTGTTTGTTTGTACCTATCTCTACCTTGGCGGATTCCGAAAGCTCAAAGCCTTCTTCAGCCCATCTGCACGAAAACAGCGCACCGAGCAGAAGAGAAGACAGACCGGGGATGCGGCGTGATCCCGCGGGATTGTCAGGTAAAGTTTGTCGATTGAAGAGATAGGGTCAGAGATCGTGGTAGTCGGGTGAAATCGGAAAGGGACCGCGGCCGGCATCACGAGATGACTAACTAGTCTTGGAGTGACGCCACGCAATTCCCACATCTTCTGTCCTAGCGGGATTATTCTTGAAATCACCCCACAAATACTTTTTTTTATGTTTGTGTGGCGCGGTCTGGGGTTTCTAACAGGGGTGCTGGGTGGTGGAACCGTGTCGAGGAAAGAGGTGTGTAATCTTGTTGCATTGTATATAGGTTTTTTGTAATGGTGGCGATTGGATGTAGCGATATTTCGGCATGAGGCATATATTTACTTGGATACTAATATTAATGGAACGACCATTTGCATTTCACCGTTCGCGTTGTTTTACAAGTTGCGGTATTTACTCTGACTACTACAACGGTTGTTCCAATGGCCGAATTTGGAATGGAGCGGGTGTGTACAGGCAAGTTACAACTGACAGATGCATGCCAATATGGCCCACTCGCCTTCAGCCCTATCATAGCAACTCGCGGTTCTGGGCGAGTGGACAATCCAAGAACTTTGCACGATAACTTGAGCCGACGACAATCATTCAGTGGTGGAAATAATCATGAGCAAGTGGTGACGACGGATAAGAGTCTCGGCTTAAGGATATCCAGAGGATGACATGTGCCGCAGCTGAAGCCGAAAACGTCACAGGCAACGATTGACAACCCATCCGCCCGAGGACGCAAGACATCGTGAACTGCCCAGAGCAGTTAGGGGCAACAGGGGGCACAGGGGTGAGATTATCGTCGCGAAGACGAACCGGAAGAGGATTGATGCACGGCCCAGTGGGTGCTGGGGAAAAGCGCTTTTCCACACCCGGCGGTGATTTGCTATGTGGAGTTTGGATGAGGCTGTGCCACTAACAGTCGTCAAACGATCGATCCAATCTGGGGCTGCGTGCTTCTTTGTTTTTTTAATTTTTTGGTTCATTTTTTCGTGATCTCGATGGCACTAGCCGTGTATACCCGGGTGGTTTTGTATCATGTACATCTCCCTTGATGCGCCAAATACCTGGACAGAGCAGCCAACCAAAAGGCAGAATGAGTACCTGGGGGTGATGTCATCTTCATCTACTGCCCCGCAACAAAGCGATCGACCTCGAACATTTGCTCACTCAAAGGGGCTCAAACGACTCGGCATCATCACGAGCCCAGACGTCTCCTTACGTGTATGTAAAATCAAGGCACCAATCAAGGGCGACGCGTATGCGGTTATGTAAGGAAAATGTAGGGGCGCGGCTGCAGGACCAAGTGTTATGCGTGATGCATCATGCCTTTGCCGCTAGCCAACCTAAACCCCAACCATCCCCGCCTCAAGGACATCGTTCGTTCTGCTAGTGTCATGTGAAAGCAAGAATCCCCACCTCCCAGTGTGCCAGTCTCCTCCAGGTAGCGATTTCCATCTTTGCCATGCTCATCGATGACACAACTCTGACCGTGTTTCCCAGGACAATGAGCCCGAGTGATGCAACAGGCGCGGTGAATGTGGAGTTCTTTGGCCTCTTGTTCGTTCCAAATGCCTCTGCTTTCACCGCCGAACATAAAGGCCGCACTGGGAACCTGTCCCCGGTTTCTCCTGTCCTCCCCGGCCTTCACAACTGCCTTCCGACTTCTCCCGCGCATTCGAGTCTTCGGCCCAGACTGCTCCAACTATACCCCGTTGCAATCCAATCACAGGCGCTCGGATCCCCGACTAGTCCCCAAGGTCAGACATAGCATCCCTTTGGCCATCTCTGCCAGCGTCGTCACGATGGGTTATAAAGAGCAGCGAGACCCCGTCATTCGAACAGCAAGCCCCGCCCCATTAGCCCAAGACTTTGCCCGTCAGCAGCTATCCAAACAACAGCGTTCCAACTACCACTCTTCTTCCCTTTCTTCTTCCATCCCATCCAAAATGGTTTCCCAAAGCGTCAACAAGACCAATCTCCACCCGACCGGTGTCCAGTGAGCATCCCCCTTGACACTGATCCATTGTATCGTCACCACCCCGTTCTGACCAATGTCTCCCAAACAGGCCGTCGAATAAGGACCACACCGAGATTGAGGAAGAACTCCACGACCGCGCACACATCGACTACGACCGCGTGGCTATTGTAAGTCCAACTGACCACCCGAGTGTTCAATGGCATGCTTGGCTGACAGCTGTACCCGTCTAGGTCGCCAATCCATCAGTAGCAGCTCTCTACGAGGATGCGCTAGTATACGAGTCGGGCTCAGCCATCACATCAAGTGGTGCTCTTTCAGCATATTCGGGTGCCAAAACTGGCCGTTCGCCCTCGGACAAGCGCATCGTAGAAGAAGATTCGTCAAAGAAGGATGTCTGGTGGGGTCCAGTGAACAAACCCATGTCGACTGATGTAAGACTTCCTCGTCGTTCTTTTCCTTCTGCCCCGTTTTCCGCCGAATCCAGATCCTCGGCCGGCCGCCTGTGAAGATTTCCCAGACGTCATGCAAACGGGGCAGTAGCCGAGCGCCTAGCTGTGCCGAGACCCCTGCAGACCCGCTAGTCTCGCTTCCCCGCATAATCCCATGCGCCCTCGTTTTCGGTCTAGGCAATCCCTCACGTGTACCCACGAGGTTTTCTAAATGAACTCATGACTGACAGTTATCATAGGTCTGGCGTATTAATCGCGAGCGTGCAATTGATTACCTGAACACCCGAAACCGCATCTATGTCGTCGATGGCTTTGCCGGATGGGATGAGCGCTACCGAATCCGCGTCCGTGTCGTCTGCGCGCGTGCCTACCATGCTCTCTTCATGCGCAACATGTTGATTCGCCCGTCAAAAGAAGAACTCGAGCACTTCAGTCCCGATTATGTCATTTACAATGGTGGTGCTTTCCCAGCCAACAGATACACTGCCGGTATGACTTCGTCAACATCCGTTGCCATCAACTTTGCCGAGAAAGAGATGGTCATTCTAGGAACTGAGTACGCTGGAGAAATGAAGAAGGGGTATGATGATCCCTTTTCTTCAATTCGTCTTGATACGTTATGCTGACTCTCCTTTTTAGTATTTTCACCGTCTTGTTTTACGAGATGCCTGTCAAACACAACGTCTTGACACTCCACTCATCTGCGAACGAGGGCCAGAATGGCGATGTCACCGTGTTCTTTGGCCTGTCTGGAACCGGTAAGACAACTCTCTCAGCTGACCCCAAGCGTGCCCTCATCGGTGATGATGAGCACTGCTGGAGCGACAAGGGTATCTTCAACATCGAGGGAGGCTGCTATGCCAAGTGCATTGGTCTGTCAGCTGAGAAGGAACCCGATATTTTCGGCGCCATCAAGTTCGGTGCCATTCTTGAGAACGTTGTCTTCGACCCGGTATCACGTGCTGTTGACTACGACGACGACACTTTGACCGAGAACACCCGATGCGCGTACCCCATTGAGTACATCGAGAACACCAAGATTCCTTGCATTTCCGACAACCACCCCAAGAACATCATTCTCCTCACCTGCGATGCCCGCGGTGTGCTACCTCCCATCTCGAAGCTCAGCAAGGAGCAGACCATGTACCACTTCATCTCCGGTTACACCTCTAAGATGGCTGGAACCGAGCAGGGTGTTACTGAGCCCCAGGCTACTTTCTCTTCTTGTTTCGCTCAGCCTTTCTTGGCTCTGCACCCTATGCGCTACGCTAAGATGCTCGCGGAGAAGATTGAGGAGCACAAGGCCAATGCCTGGCTCTTGAACACTGGCTGGGTTGGTGCTGGTGCTACCACTGGCGGAAAGTATGTGATGCTTCATCCCACCCACGATTTCGACTGAGCTTTGCTAACCATCAATCAGGCGCTGCCCACTCAAATACACACGTGCCATCCTCGATGCCATCCACTCCGGCGAACTCGCACAATCCGAATACGAAACCTACGAAACCTTCAACCTCTCCGTCCCCAAGACTTGCCCCAACGTCCCCGACGAGTTGCTTAACCCCGCCAAGTCATGGAACGGCACAGCAGACTTCAAGGGCGAAGTCGAGAAGCTCGGCAAGTTGTTCATGGAGAACTTCCAGAAGTACGAAGACGAGGCTACGACTGATGTCGTCAAAGCCGGTCCTCACGTATGCTGCTGCCCCAAGCACTGATTGTTCTTCTGATTTTTTTCCTTGTTCATCTTTTGCGGTTGGGTTTTCATCTCACGACATGACAGATTGCATAAACATATCGCCTTTTCTCCATTTCTCAGCTCAACGACCCGTCATCCGGTCGACTGCTGCATGATTTCTTTTCTCGGTGTCGAACATGCGACGAACCCTGTTTTCTTTGGTATTTATAGGCTTTCATCATGTTTCTTCTTCTTTGTTTCGTATCATTGCTATATTCTCCTTTTCTGGATGTATTTCGTTCATTGTCTTTGGAGGTCTTGTCGGCCTTTGTATCTATCACTCAAAATCCGGATGGTTGGACCGCGGAAGAGATTGTAATTGCAGATTGCATTTGACAAAGCGAAGCTTGGTTTTGAAGAATAGCATCGGATCTGAGTTGGTTTTCCCTGGACAAATCTGGGAACGCCGATTAGATCACAGTTTAGTTGGGAATGATACCTCAGAATGATCTTATTTAAATTGTCACCTTTCGTTGAGAATGAAGCATGGTGCACGATGTCTGCTTGTGCATGTATCATACGCTGGGACTTCGCTGCAATCTTAGAGTAATGCAATGTGATGTGTGGAGGGGAGTACTTGACGATCAAAGGGATGGGTCGACGAGTTGAGTATTACACCACAAAAGATAGAGCACGAGTTAAGAGGTCATTCATTCCATATAAAACAGGATATTACAAATATACACAAGAAAGTTTTCTATCCTTAGTACCACTCTGTATATTGTCATGTTCATTGATATCCTGAAGTGATGTTGCTCTCTTTATCGATAGGAGGCCCAAAAAGGGGTAGCGCGCTTTTAGCGAGGTGACAGGGGTCCGGAAGCTATCAATACACCCTGCAGTCACAAAGCACACATCATCACCATGCCTCGGGCCTCCATGGAAGGTTTGTCACGCAATGAGAGAATCTGGTTTAAGAATCGACATAGGGGCTCAGCCGGTTGATCATCTTCCAACGCCCAGCTTATCCCCTCTTTCGGGAAGATCCTCCCCCACTGCTTTGAACAACCCCGGGGTTCCGCAGAGCAGCGGCGTTAACGATGGAGCCTCGGATACGAACGACACGCTGAACCCGAGGGGTCATACCAGCGGATATCCCACGAGTGACGAAGCGATACTTTCGGATACGAGTGAACGATCACGACCGGTTCCGCAGATTAGACGACCTGGGGATGGCAGGAGGAAGAGTAGTGTCTCCGACCACGACAAAATCCTCAAACTCAGTCCGAAGCAGATCTTCGAGCTCACGAACGAACCTGCGAGTATACCTGTGCGCGCCGCGACCCCGATTCTAGAGGATGCGTCTGAAGAACAGGCCCCGGAAGAGAATAGTGTTGGCTTGGGGGTACATTCAGACCATGGTGTCAACGGGAAGATGAGGAGCTCCTCCAGGACTCGGGAGTCAAAACCAGCGAAGGAAGTTGTCGCTATCAAGGGGCAGTCTTCCGAAATGAAGTACAATAGGCCTGCGCCTATCGCAAGATCTTCCACTACGCCTATCATGCGGAGAACGCGATCAAACCAAAGATCGCAGGCGCCATCGAATACATACGAGGGCGAGGAGAGACGGCCAGGCAAGGACACTCGCGATCCAAGAGAGACATTGAAATCACCGCCCCAGGAAAGGATACGAGATGTCCCATCGCCGATTCCAACTTCCATGCCTTTACCGCCCATGTCTATGCCATCGTTTCTTTCACTGGAATTATCCTCTGCCAGGCCTTCTCCGCTATACATATACCGGTCATCTGCTTCCGATTTCCCATACGAATCCTCCAAAATCAAATACGAGCGTCTGCTCAATTTTCTATTTCTTCCTGCCAAACTAGAGGGCATACTGGCGTTTGGAGCTTTTGCTTGTTTAGACGCATGGATGCATGTTCTTACCATTCTACCACTACGCTTTGTCATCGCAGTTTGGATACTGGTCAAGTGGTGGTTCTCGGTCGTTATAAAAGAGGTTCGGGATATTTCCAACTTTGTATACAGTGGACTTCCTAGAGTATGGAAAAGAAGAAGGAATACAGATGCTCCAACGCCTGTTATGAGCACCCCTGCTGATGAGGAGCCACCGCCACGGTCACGCAGGCCTTCCATTACTATCGATACTTCATCCAACCCTACTTCTTCTACTTCGGCAAGAGAAAATAGCCACGGCATGGCCACATTCAGATTCCCTGACCCCAGACAGCTTCCTGCAAAGCGGATGCGCAACCGGTATCGTCATCGTAGGACCAAGTCGACGCCTTCTGCTCTCCTTCCTAGCCATAAAGCCGATATATTGAAAGGACTGTTGGTTATTTCGAGCTGCGCTGTCCTGATGCGTTTTGATGCTAGCAGGATGTATCACGGAATACGCGGTCAGTCCGCCATCAAGCTATACGTGATATACAACGTTCTCGAGGTCTGCGATCGACTGCTATCTGCTCTTGGACAAGATGTCTTGGAATGTCTGTTCTCCCGTGAGACACTCGATCGAAACGCAGATGGCCGAAGCAAGGTTCTACGACCTTTCTGGATGTTCATGCTTGCACTCGTATACAATGTCGCTCATGCGACGGCTCTCTTCTACCAAGTCATCACCCTCAACGTGGCAGTCAACTCTTATTCAAACGCTCTTTTGACACTTCTCATGTCCAATCAATTTGTTGAGATCAAAGGAACTGTATTCAAAAGGTTTGAGAAAGAGAATCTATTTCAAATCACATGTTCCGACATCGTCGAGCGTTTCCAGCTATGGCTCATGCTACTAATTATTGCAATGCGCAATATAGTCGAAGTGGGTGGCCTCAGCTTTTCTTCTCCCTCGTTCTTTTCAACTGGACTTGGGGGAGGCAGCGCCAATGCCACAGCGTCTGCCCCTTTGACAGCAAGTAGCATACTGCCAATGAGCTTTACCATCTTCCCAAAGTGGATTGGGCAAGTGCTGAATCCATTCTTGCTAGTTCTGGGCAGTGAAATGGCAGTAGATTGGTTGAAGCATGCATATATTACTAAATTCAACCTCACCAAACCGGAGATCTACGGGAAGTTCTTGGATGTGCTGGCGAAGGACTACTACTCTGATGTAAGGAGCTCCCCTTTGCTCTGATTTACACATCTAATCACATCACTAACAAAACAAAGGCCTTCACAGACCAGACTCTGACCCGACGTCTCGGTCTACCAGTACTCCCTTTAGCATGCCTCTTCATTAGGGCTGCCATCCAAACCTACCACATGTTCCTAGCAACCCACATGCCACTTCCCTTCCCAGCCTCCAGCACATCCCTCTCATCAGACGCACCTCCCACATCCTCCCCAGCCCTCGCGCACATTGACCAAATCTTCCGCCGCGCCCTCGGCCGCAGTACCTTCGGCGCAGGCGGCTCCTCTTTCCCGACTTCCCCAACCCAACAACCCTGGTGGAACCCCAACAGCTGGAACTTTGACGATGCAATCGCCGCCAGCACCATGCTCACTGTCTTCTTGATCGCATACCTCTTCTTCCTAGCCTTCAAGCTCATCCTCGGCATGTGTCTTCTCAAGGTTGCGCGCGGTCGGTACGCTAATATGAAAGAGCGCGAGCGCGCTGGTGTCGATGTCGGTGGGAAGTACATTGGCGGATGGGGCGTTGTGGATGTTGATGAGGAGAAGCGAAAGTGGATTTACAACGACGATCCCGAGGCGCTGAAGCGGCTGAGGGAGCGTGATGAGAAGGAGAAGGCGAGGATTGAAAAGGAGAGGGAGAGGGGGACTAGCTTTGGACATGTAGAGAGGTATGCCATGGTTGCCAAGCGGATTTGGTAGATGAGGTGATGGAAAGTGCGGATATATTTCCTTGCCATGATTGTTGTTTGGGATCTAGATTATTGTTTATTGGGATACCCTCTTCATGCTTTACCGTGTAGACTTGCGTGAATTCCGAATTTCTTTTCTATTTTTTTCTTGGAGAATGGCAAAAGCTTCTTTCTTTTCACTTCCACTACATTGTAGCATACCTACGTATCTTTACAATACCCATATTGTGCGCAAGTACAATCTGGAAAAGATATAAAAAAAAAATTGGTAGCACCTAACATTCATGAATTCTGGATTGTCAATCCCTCCTCCTATGAATCGAAAATATTCTGATGCGTTGTGGCACCCAGAATCTCTGAAATCTGGAATCTCCAAATAATCCGCAACGTGCAGAATGAGGCGAAACTGAGCACATTATGTAATTATAGCATTTCCATACATCGGCACAATGAGTCCAAACAATCGACGAGTCCTGGAAACTCGGAATTCTCGAAAATCCAAAATGTTGGAATAATCCGTGAAAAAATGTAGAGTCGAAGCAGTGGTCCGGGGGGACATGTGATTAGGAATAGAAAACAGAGTGCTTGCATTTTTTCTTCCATTTTTTCTTACCTTGATAAAATTCTACAAACTGGATTGTTCTGGTTTTTTTCTAGATTGACTGTGACAAATTTTCAAAGTCCATTCTTCCCCCTGTATTCTGGATTGGGGGGGGGGTTTTTTTTTATTAAAAAAACAATCGAAATTCTTTCTCTTTTCTCTGGAAACATGTTGATTGGGGATCTAGTATCGGGAAATCATATTCTTGAATATTCCTATCAACGGGACCTACCTGGATTTCAATTCCACCTATTCACTGGAAGCATTCATCGGTCAAAGTGTCACTTCAAGTTCATGCCACCGACGGCTTGAGTGATATGGCCTTTTGCAGGACAGGACGACACTATCAAAAGTATGAATAGATCAAGTTCTCTGCCGGTCTGTTCCTGTTGGCGAAACCGTCACATGATAATCACTGCAGCAACATCAACTCAACTCATCCCATATGGACCAAAGAGACCAGAAAACGTAAGTGTATGGGTATATAAGTGGTGATATCGATGGTGTAGCCTTGCTTCCATCCCTTCCTACAGGTCATGACCCATTAACTTCACCAATATCATCTCAATCTTTGTACATTCCACCCAAATCTGCTTTCCTTTCGCCTGATGATAGTGATCCAAAAATTTACATGTTGCTCAGAAATCCTTCTGCCAACTTCATATCCTACTCGCTCGATCCATCTTCCAGATGATCTGCAACACACAGACCTGCAAAGATCTGTACGCTCTGCATGCAAAAAGCAACTGCGTTCGCAACAACCCTCAACAACAACGCCGACTACCAAAAACGGTGAAAAGGTATTCGTAGGTAGATTCTATGCAGAACATGTGATCCAAAATCGATAGCGGTGCAGCCGGGGTGGTTGAGAGAACCAACACGGCAGTACACCAAGAAACAAAAAACGCCGTGAGCCAACGCCGAGCAGATATATGGGATCTGACAGGAAAGCGAAATGGAAATCGTGACGCCGTCGGGGTTTGGAGGAGAGGGGCGAAGTTCAGGTGTTGCTGATGATGACACGGGCACCTTCCTTTCCGAGGACGCCCCTCTCCTTGGCCTTGGGACTCCTGTCCCGGCCTTTTTTGCGACTGAGAAAACCAAGCATGCCCGATGGTTTCTCTGCGTTAGGGTTCTGTAAGAGCGAAGAACTCTGATTAGCCATATCGGACCATGAGCCGGTCTCGTTGAGAACTACCTGGACACCGCCGCCCATGCTAGTGCTGCGCTGGGGGCCTCCACGACGATTTGTAGGCCGCGAAAAAGATGGGGTCGCACTAGACCCGTCGGCGGGGAAATAATCCGCGGTTTCGCCTCGTTGCGACATGGGCGATGCCGAGGTGGGTTGGTTGTTGAGCTGAGCGGGAGGCAGGGGAGGACTGCCGTTGGGGGATTGCGTCGTTGATCGTTGGGTGGTCACCGAGCGGGTAGGATGCAGTTCATTGTCGGCAGGTTGGCGTTGCCACGTCTCTTGCGCCGAGGTGCACGAGGTCGGTGTTGGCTCGTTGTTGCTGTTGTGGCTTCCACGCGAATTGTTCACCGAGTCGACAGGATCGGCCACGGCAATGGCAGCTGGACGCTGATCCGCGACAGTTGTGTAGTTGAAAGGTTCAAAGAGGGTCTCAATCATCTTGTGTAGCTCCTCGGCGCGGATTTCCGCATCTGTGGCATCGTCCTTGAGCGCCTCGCGCGGCTTTTGTCTCCTTGCTCGTGCCTCCAAAGGTGCCTCCTCCAGCAGCAATTCTTCCAAATCGTAGGTGGCGTCGAAGTTGGTCTTGTCACTCGAGGGAATGAAGATGGGGTCGATCTCTTTGCGCTCCAAAGCTTCAAAGTCGATGGGCCGGAAGAAGGGATTATCACAGAAAGAGTTGAAACTGATGGCACCAATGCGCTTTTTACGATCCTTCTCCAAGAGCGAACTAATGGCGTGCAAGCAGGGCATCGAGACGGGAGGATTGGTGACAGGGAATGTGGGATCTCCTTTGGAGATTTTCTGGGCTAAGGAATCGTGGCTGCTAGCCTCGAAAGGACGCTGTACGGGGGGTCAGCAAGCGAAGTCATATGGGACAAGGTCGAGTGGAGACGGTACCTTGTTGTAGATGCACTCGTAAAAGAGCACGCCGAGGGACCACCAATCGACCTCACACGAATATCCTTTGCCTTCGTACACTTCGGGGGCGAGATAGGCAAGTGTGCCTGACTTGCTCGTGAGGGCTTTGTGCGGCGTGAAATCAGATGCGACGTTCTGGTTGGGTCAGTCCTGATGCGAATAGATGGTGGGTAGCTTAAACATACAAAATCTGCCAAGTGGACATGGCCCTCTGAGTCGAGCAGCACGTTGTCGGGCTTGATATCTCTGTGAACTATTCCCTGCTGGTGTATGTACCGGACGGCGCATCCAAGCTGGGCTATCCAGAACCGGACCGCCTCTTCTGTGAAAGTCTTGCGCGAGATGTGGAAGCGGAGATCACCACCGTTCATGAGGTCGACCACAATGTACCTAAAGGGTGTCAGCATGCAGGCCTGTGGGTCCACGAGTGGCGGGCGGGCGGGGTCGGGCATACAGGTATTCGATGTCTTGGAAGCTGTATCGCAAGTTACAGAGAAAAGGATGATTGAGATGCTCCAACATGCGGCGCTCGCGAATAATGTTACGGACGCTCTCGGAGCGCACGACTGGAGGAAAGGGTCAGAAATTGCACGGTAGAGCTTTGATGCGAATGGGTGGAATGGTGCTACTGACCTTCATCCTTGCGAATGTATTTGAGGGCAAAAGTCAGACCGGTATCTTTTCGCTCCACGATGCGGACCTTGCCAAAGGCTCCCTTGCCGACGACTCGCAACAGGCGAAAGTGGTTGAGGTTGACTGGATTGTCTTGTCAGCAAGTGCATCTATCGTGTGTGTGGCGATTGAAAGCAGTGGATGGCGACGAGGTTGGACGCACCTTGGTCGGTGAAGACGACGGGTTTTCCGTTGTTCTGACCCATTGTTCGCTACAATGGCTGTGGCCTGGCTGGATAATAATAATGCGCTAGGAATACATTCAGAGGGAATGCTGAGAGGCCGAAGGTTATCTCGGGGGCGGGAGAGGACAGCAGGCGGTGGACGATGGGTGGTGGTGGTGAATGGATGGGTTGATGGGGGGGGGGAGATGTGGGACGGCGGGACAAAGGTTTCGCTCCCTTAGTTTGTTTGGTCGGGGGTTCTGGTGCCTGGGTCCGAGATGGAGCAGGAGAAGGGGGACGAAGGCGAGCGGGTAGGGCTGCAAGTGGGTGGGTGCGTAAGTGTATATGTGTGTAGGAGAAAAGAAGGATGGGTAGGTGAGTGAGTGAATGAATGGATGGTGGTCTGGGAGCGTCTAAGGGGGCGGAAGGAGTCACGGGCTGGGCTGGGCGAGGCAGGCGGGCAGGAGATTTTTGGGGGAACAGATAGATGGGTGGTTGTAGGGTAGGAAGGAAGGATAGCTACTCAGTAGCAAGGCAAGGGCAAGGGCACACACACACACACAATAGGCAGATAGGAGGGGGTAGCAGGCCCAGGCGGCGACGGCGGTAGTAGCGTAAAGCAGCTAAGTAGCGGCTGCGAGCGAGCTATCATCAATGCTACCGTATGGTATGGCATGGTATGGTCTGGTATGCACCGCGACGGCGCGACGGAATCACCTATGCATCAACCCACCAGGCGGCCATGGCAGCAGCAGTACGTACGCCGGTCTTCTCTATACTCACTCTCTCTCACTCCATACTCTCTCTCTCTCTCTCTCTCTCTCTCCTGATTGTTCCTCAGTCTCACGCAGCCAGGGCCCTGATGAGGCCGGGCTACCAACTCACCAAGGACTGGCTGGCGGAGGGGGCGCGGCGCATGGTGGCCCCGGCGCCCAAGCCTTCTGCTGCACGCGGGGCATACGACCCACAGGGGTGGCCACGTTGTCAGGGAATGCGCCCGTAATCTGCCCAGCTAACCTCCCAGCTAGCTACTCAAGTTTTTCCTCTGCTCCCTTCTTTCTTTCAATTTGTTTGCCTCCTTTGTGCATGTCGTGTTGGTCAGATTGATCGTCTTCGTATCCTGCTGTTTGCCACGCTGATGCAGAATCATACATAGATATATATACATATCTCCACATGTCCATGTATGTATGTATGCCGACAATCATGCATCGTGTGCTAATTGTGACGCTATCTACATATGTATGTATGTATGTATCTATTGATCGATCCTTCAACGTCTGAGGTTTCTTTCATGGCCAACCCCCCCGCCCCCCTGCTCCATCTTCAACCCATCAGCCTCACATGCAGCAGCAACAACATCAAATAAAGTGCTTTCCATATCGTCCAGCTTGCCTATACTCATCAGCGACGGCCGGTATAGCCGATTGCAAGCAGCAACTCGACGCTACGGCCACCGAGCATAGTCAGCCCGGCCTTCGACAGCATCCAACACTTGATCCCCTTTTCGCCTAGTCCGCGTCACGGGATTTCTCACTGCTCACCGTGCGCCTTGCTCTCCTCTGATTGGGGCTGGATCGGCATTATGCCTGGTCGTTCCTGAAACATCAATCCCTGAAATCCGCTTCGTAGCCGAGAATCACAATCTGTACACTACAGCCATGTGTAATGTGCAGACTGCAAAACTTGTCCTCGCATCCAATCACATCGTCCTGTTCACTGTTACCATCCGTTCGGGAACTGCTCCAGAGATCCCCGTCTTCTGTTCCTTCATCCACCCTCATCCTTTCTTTTGGCCATGTCCATGTCCATCGTCTAACTGTCTCAACGGTCAACCGGTACTCAGCTTCAACACCGATAGATGGTCTTTTGCTTCTGCCATCGTGCAGTCTTTCGGTCCGATTCTGCGTGCCACTATCAATTAGTCCATCAGTCTGTCAACTTCAGCTTCAGAAACCAAGCCAAAGCAAGACGTTGCATTGTTCAGAGCCGTCCAGCCAACTGTCTACGCGTCATGGACCGTCTTCCCACTTTTCGAATTAATCAAACGTCAAGCGTGCATCAGATTCGTCCACCGTTTGCCAATACTGTCAGCCGGCTTGTCTCGACTAGCTTTTTGCTTCTTTTCCTTCAACTCTATTACACTTTGTTTTGCTCGTCTCGTCTCTTCTTTCTCTCCTCCTCGCAGGTATTTCCTCTCCTGGTTTAGATAGGCGCTGCACTGCTAGACCTACGGCCATATCCGGTGCGAAGAAGCAACTCCACAGCGGCCAGGTAAAACTGTTTCATGGCTCCCCGCATACATACTCAAAGGCAGCAAACATTGTTTTTCTGCCAGAGCAGCACTCAGAACGCACCTCGCTACTCCAAGCCAGCTAAATCGTCACAGTCATCAACCGAGCACATCGTCTGCATGCTCCCCTTGACGCCACAATGTCGCTCTCGGCATCCTCCCATGCCATGATTCAATGACTTGATTCGGCAGGTTTCGGTCGGATATAAGGCTCAAGCCTCGTTTCTCGTCGACGATTCTCGGCCGCTCGGAAAACGAAAGCAAGGCTGGTAAAGACTGGGATCAACAACATTCCCCCTGCCTGGCCTTTCTCCACGCGAGACAGACACACGTCTGCGGCTTACAGGAAATCGTTACTGATAACTGCATATACGATGTTGTGTTAGATGTAGACCGCTTTTGTGCCGTAATGGAAGCATGGAAGAAGCTACTTCCGACAGGACTTCGGAATCTTACCCATCACCGATACACATGATGAAACGCCACACAAAAGCCCTGTCATTGAGGACTCACAACGACTAATGCCAATAAAGCACAGTTCAAAGGAATCACACGATACCAAGTCAGCTCTTCGGACTCTCTCTGCACATGGCATGGCATGGCAATGATCATGTCCGTTCGGTTCGCGCGCGCGCCCACGCACGCGAAACAGTTTTACGTGTGGTTTTCCATGCGCTAGTTCGGGCTCGATAAGTGGTCTCCTAAACCGACTTTACATTCCCGAACAGCAACACCACACCACATGAACGTGTTTATGCCTCCAAGTGGTACCCGCCATTCATGTTACTCAATCTACTTGCATAATTTCTATATATATCCTTTTCTGCGTATCGCTGATTCAATCATGTCATAAAAACACCCTCCCAAAACCAAGTCGTTCTTTCACCCATCTGTGCACACAACACACCTACCCTTCGTAGAGCCTCTCCTCTCTCGCACCACTCACTCGGCTTCGGAGCATACCGAACACGCCATTCCCCAGCCAGTATACCATCTCCTCCGCATCCCAGCTAAACAAGCTCGCTCAACGGAAATCTCGCACACGGTACCCTACCACCAACCCACCACTCACGCTACGGGAAAACCACACTAAGCACCCAACCCCACGGACTTTCTTCTAGCGTAGTTCAGTTACGGTAGCACAGACACACACACACGTTCATCCATCCATGCCCTAAAGCAGATCTGACAGCATGACAACATTCTATTCCGTAAAATATATCTGAATCCTGTGCTACTTTGGGGGTGTAACGGGGGAACCGTTGTTGACGAATCCAATCACGCAATCCAGAGAAGGAGAAAAAGTGGTACCCGGACTCGCGGATGATCGACCTTCTAGATGGTTTCTAGCGTGTTACTTGTTTGGGATTAGGTTGCTGTGCCAACAAGGTCTCGCCCATTGACACTGGCTATAACTATACCTCTCTACATGGTTTGCCTGCACCCTGCCCCCTGTATGGTATGATGATATCGTGCTCTCTGTTCCATCTCTTTCCTCTCGGTCGGTCCTCGCTTCGATGCAAGAACGCAAAGCAAAAAGCAGGATGTCCGGAATCTCCGATCTACGCTCGTATTCAGAACATTAACATCATCAGCGAATTCGACAAGACTATGCTTTTTGACTCCTTGGTCCTTCTACCTCTTACATGTCTGCAAGCGGGTACAACGGCAACAACTCGAGTATCATGTCTGATTATATACAAACACATGACATATCCTTTCGTTTTCTCCCTTTGCTTCTCGCTCCTCCCCAAACACCAACAGTTCCTTTTTTTCGCGAATCCCTTGCAAACGCCATACTTCCCCCCGGAATCCATGTCAGTCAGTTTGTTTGTTTGTTCGTGTTCGGAGATCGGAGATCGGGAATCGAGCACAAGAAGAGAAAATGGAGGACTTGGGCTGACGATTCCGTGTTGACCAAACGAGAAGTGTGGCATTTTCCTAGCATAGACGGGGTTACCGAGACATTCGTTTCTTTGTCGTACAAACCCCCTTTCCCTGAGCCTTTTTTGCGGGATCATGTACCGAGGACAGTGAACTAGTGATGATGCCAATGGTGATATAGAAGCAGTTACCAGTAGGAATTGAGACTACGTGAATATGAAGTTCTCATGTTGAGAATGCGAGAATCATGAAATCAAACAATCTTACAATTCCACATTGTGTCTGTCTAGAAACCGTATTCAAGTCTGAGGATCCGGAATCGTGCACCTATAGAACAAACTCAGATATGAATGTATGTGTAAATCATGCAACGAAACCTCATTGTTAGGCTCACCATCACACCTTTTTTACAGATCCCAATTCGTCTCCAATCAACCCCTGACAACCCAGTCCCTAATATTCTACTCTCACATCCCCTCAAGACACCTCCCCCTCCCCCCCTTTGCAAAAAAAAGGAAGAACACCTCCCCTCCCTCCTACCCTCCCCCATCAAAAAGAAATCTACTCCCGCACCGCCCTCAACCCCATCCACCCCATCCCAACCCCCACAAGCGCACCACCCCAGAGCAACCCCGCCGGTCCCATCCCCAAATACCCACCCCGCACCGCGGCAGCAACACTACACATATCCAACGCATCAGCCGCGATCCCCGCCCACAGCGCGCGGCGCGTCTCTCTCCTCCCGCCGTCCGGGGCGGTACCGTCGGCAGCGGTGTAGAGTTGTGCGCCGAGGACTGCGTCGCGTGCGCCGAAGAGGCGGGTTAGGAGGACTGCTGGGGTCGAGGGGGCGATGGTGATGAGGAAGAGGGAGAGGGTTTTTGTGGGGAGGATTAGGAGGGTTGCGCCGAGGGAGAGGCGGAGGGTTGATAGGATGGTTATTGCTGGGGAGGTGGGAGGAGTTGATGGTTTGGATGCCATGTTGTTGGATATGTTTTTAGTTTGGGGTTGATGGTGTTGTAGTTTGAGATGTGGGTCGAGAGAATTTAGAATTCTGTATGGTGTTTTTCTTTATATTCTTCCCTTTTGTAGTGTTTTGTTGTTGGTGCGGTACTGTGATATTTGTTCGAGTATGTCCGATCGAAGAGGGAGGGTTTGCGTGCTGGATTGCGTGCTGGATTGCGAGACTGCAGTGGATGTATGAGAATGTCTGGTATACAAAAGTCTTGGTAAGAATGTGCGGTGAGCTGATGATGATGGTGGGAAGAAAAAAAACTTGGGATTCAAACCGCTCCTTTATACTTGTACGGTAATGGTTGGCTTTGGAGAGCATGATGTCCTCTATTCCAAGCACAGTTATGGCAATTACATACTACTAACGTTATCATATCCAACGACAATTCTGTGGGGCTCTGTGGAACTCTGTAGGTGTATAAGCACCAATACAATAAGAATTACAGCTGAATGTTCTCCGACTACGGTATACTTGATGTATGCTCTGCATGGGAGCATAACGTTGAAGTGGAGTCGTTAGGCATTACGCTAAGGTCATTTGTCCAATCAGACGAGGGCTCTGGTGTCGATCTCCCGTTTATTCGGCATGACTCCGAGATGTTTCTTCTCTCTTGACACCAGATCTCTATACAGAGATGTTTGAAGCTTGAGTATTATCGTATTGTTAATGATTGCGAAGCTCTGTCTGAATATGATCCAAGATAATTTTCTGTTATAAAGCCCCAACTGCAGCATCTGAATGTGTAGCCACGAGGCGTAATCAATCCTACGCTAACCATCCACCACCCCTGCGCATAACGTTATGCGGGTCCAACATCTCTCTTCCCTCCATCCTTGCCTTCTAAGCCTAACCAACCCACTGAATTCAAGAGCATAACGGCAGATTGAAATACGCGACATGCCTGCGACCCGGAAGACGCCCGAAAATGTCCCGGGAACTGGCGATCCTGATCGGAAGAGGGTGTTGAATGTGCTAGCCCAAAGGCGATATCGTATGGTAGAGTGATGACTGAATGGGGGGCTTTCTGACTAACAATGGCAGGTCAAAGGCGGAGAGAGAAGATGGCTGCGTTGGAGGCTCAGAATAAGGGTCGTTGTGTGGAGTTAGTATCCGAAGAAAGTGCCCAGTGTGCGCCTGGGCTTACAGGTATGTTCTCCCTAAGCGTTGAACGTCGCGCATATGTGCCTTGTAGTCGTTTTCAGTCGTGCTTGTGAATAGAACTGACTCTTTAACGTTGCTTTAGCCACATGGTCCGACTCTTCGCTAGAAGATCCAATTGCGGAAACAAATAATGCTCAGCAAATCCACACTTTCGGACTACCCATGGTCGACTTTGGTGGAGATCTCCTTGACATGCAATTACTTGAGGACTTCAATAGTTAGTCTTGGTCCACCTATTCCAGCCTTTACGAGTAGACCACTGACCTCCCCCCAGATTCATGCAGTCCATCCAGCCAGTCCAGCAGCTCAGACGCAATAACCCACTCCAACCCCATCCAAACAACCACACCTCCACCAAACCTCACCTTCCCCCTAACCGCCGACGGCGCCCAACTCGACATTCCCGTCCTCTCCGCCATGCGGGCTGCCATGAACATCAGCACAGCCCTCGGCCTCGCAGACATAGTCTGGGACCCAAACTACATGCACACGTTCCCCACATCAACACCCCTCGACAACCTCCCACCCAACCTCCACCCAACTCCAGCCCAGCTAACAATCCCGCACCACCCCTTCCTCGACGCCCTGCCCTGGCCTTCGATCCGCGAGAAGCTGATTTGCATGTTAGCCATGCCCTCTGGGCTCCGTCCGCCTGTTGCTCGCGACGATGAGCCAGGGAGTATGGGCCAGGGTCTTGCGGTGCTGCAGCTCACGACTCATCTGGACGATTATCGAGATGGGATCAGGGTCCATGGGAACATGGTGGGGTGGGGAGACTCGAGTGAGATGGTCGAGGAGGCATGGGAGATTGGCGAGTGCTTTTTTAGGAATTGGTGGTGGTGTATTGATGAAGGGGCTGTGAGGATCACGAATATGCGGAGGAGGGAACGGGGGTTGAGGCCGTTGAGGATGAAGGGGTAATGATGGTGGAGTGGATGAGTGTTTTATAATAGAATATCGCTGCTGTGTACAATGTTGAATTCGATTTTGAAGTCATCTTTCAAGTCTACATAGGGAGAAGGAAATGGGTTTTGGGCGTACACGCCGTTATGAGATGTAGCATAGGAGTTGGAAATGATTTGGCCATGCGTTATGTAATGAGGGGAGGGAACGTTGTTCTAAAACATTAAACATCCCATCGCCATTGAAAAGAGTTATTATAGCCGTAGACTTAGTCCTGCGAGCCTATCTTGTACACGTTGAATAGAATACGACATGTAGACAATCCGCCATGCCCATTATGTTTAATTGATTCAGTGTTCCCGTGATGACGCGCGTCCCATCCCAACGCGCTGGGGCATGGTTGCTAGGGTAACAAAACGCCAAGGCGATCGTCTAGTGGGGGAAGCATGAACAGGCGAGGCGAGGCAACAGTGTACATCCTCAACGGCGAAAGCGGCGATGCAACATATACTCACGTTCCACTGCCTTTCTATTACCTACACTACATGAGTACCAGCCCTAGGAAACATCCGTCAGCTTTTCGACCTATCCATACGCAGAAATCATCGACACCTGCGCATGCTTCTCGAATCCTTCCGCCCGATTTCTCCGACGACTCAGACCTACCCGAAGACATAGATTTCTTGGGAAATTCTAGCTCGCTCTTCGACCAATCTCTGAACTCCTCTCCCCCACCGATCGCCTTCTCAACACCATATACAACGCAAAAGCGAGATTCAGCAAGAAAAACAAACACCATGGTTCGCGAACGGGAGCCGCCTTCGGGCCAACCGACCTTGAAACCCAACACAACGCCGGAATTTGGGAAAACAAGCCCTATCCGTAACCCTCTGAAAGCAAACTCTCAGGTTTTCAATATACCGAGACCAGGGCAGGCGAGACCAGAACACCACCGCGATTCGAATCGGATAGCGACGCTGCATCCGTCGGCAGAGCCTGTGTATCCCAAAGTCGGACCACGCCCTAGTAATGCGTCGTCTGTCGATTCTGACATCTTTGAGATCCCAGCAACACAATTTCAGTACGTCATGCGTATGCGCACAATCATCTTCGTCTGAGCATTGAGTGAAAGATGTCGATCTTGCTTCGATTTTTTGGTAGAATTCAGCTGACCTTGCATGTGTGAATTAGGTCCCAACATAAGCCGCCTGCGCAAGGCGTTCCCGTTATGCAGCCTTATAATCCTCCGCTTCGACCTCTGCATCCCCCTCCCAAGCCCATATATTCATCCATGGGTCACGCCAATGGGTTCCAGCCAGTTAATAGCGGTTTCCAAAATCCTTTCCACGCAGCCCGAAAGACTGTCATTTTAGACGACGTTGCACCGAAACGCACTCTCAATGAGGATGAGGATGACTTCGATCCTGACGCGGAGATTCAGGCCCAGGGAAATCACTTTGGCGCTCCAGATCTTTACGGATATGTGGATCACAACAAGGCGAACGAGAATATCAAGGCGCTCTTAGAAGGTGCATTTGATGAGGATAAGATTCCTCGGACGCGCGGTCGCAAAAAGAAGAAGCAGCAGGAAGACGATGCGAGCCAGTCACTCGCTGACCGGTTGAAAGCCCTGGAAATTAAGAAAGACGAGGAGGCTACTGCCGAGGAAAACGAGGATGACGAAGCTGAAGACGACGGCACAGTAGACGGCATGAAGGTGAAGCTTCTGCCTCACCAAGTCGAGGGTGTGGCCTGGATGATTGAGAAAGAGACGGGCGCCCACAATAAACGGGCCAAGCTCCCCAAGGGAGGCATTCTCGCTGATGATATGGGTCTCGGCAAGACTATACAGTCTATTGCCTTGATCCTTTCCAATCCGCGACCGGAGAAGGGAGTGGAACCCGAGAATAAGAAGAATAAGATCTTGCCCACTGTCGGAAAGAGCACGCTCATCGTCGCTCCGCTAGCTTTGATCAAGCAGTGGGAAGGCGAGATCAAGGAGAGGATTACCAAATCGCACAGTCTCAAAGTTCTCGTTCATCACGGCCCTAGTCGTACAAAGTCAATCGACAAACTCAAATCATACGATGTCGTGGTCACCACATATCAGGTCCTCACTTCTGAGCACAAGACTAGTGGCGAGAGTGTGGATGGATCGAAGAAAGGGTGTTTCGGTGTTCACTGGTACCGTGTTATCTTGGATGAAGCTCATTCGATCAAGAACCGCAGCGCACAGATGACCAAGGCCTGCTATGAGCTTCGATCGCACTACCGGTGGTGCTTGACGGGGACACCGATGCAAAACAACCTAGACGAGCTCCAAAGCTTAATCAAGTTTCTGCGCATTCAGCCGTACAGCGACGTTTCGAGCTGGAAGGAATCCATTTCCGGTCCTATGAAGAACGGAAAAGGCAACCTCGCGATGCGTCGTCTTCAGATCTTCTTGAAAGCTTTCATGAAGCGGCGTACCAAGGATGTCCTCAAGAAAGATGGTGCACTGAACTTTGGTGGGAAAAACACGGACGGCGACAAGAAGCCGGCTTTCCAGATCGTGGCTCGTAATGTGGAGACGGTCATTGGAGAGTTCACAGCCAAGGAGCGTCAGTTCTACGAACGATTGTCCAGCCGTGCTGAATCTCGCCTCGCTGAGATGATGGGTGGCGAGAAACAAGATTATATTGGTGCCTTGGTTCTGCTTTTGCGATTGCGGCAGGCGTGCAACCATCCGGAACTTGTGAAGAGCAGCGTCGGGGACGACAAGGATGCTCTAACAACCGGATCTAAATCCAATGCGCAGTCTGTTCTCCAGACACCACGCAAGCAACAGAGCAACGATGCCGATGATCTTGCTGATCTGCTCGGAGGCCTTAGTGTGCAAGTCAAACGCTGCGATATATGCCAGAACACACTGAACCGCGATAATGCTGCCTCTGGAGCGATTAGGTGCAACGACTGTGAAGCCGATCTCAATGCATCGGTGAAGAAAGTCAAGAAAGTCAAGAAAGTCAAAAAGGTCAAGAAGCACAAGAAGGAGATCGAGGTTAAACCGGACGCGTCTCAACCCTCGCGAAACCGCCGCGTCGTCATGGACAGTGATGACGAGGAAGAAGAGGGCGAATGGCTGGTGCCCGAGGATGAACAGAATGTGACCGACTTGGGCAAAGCTGGCGGTACTGACGACGAGAATGCGGATGGTGGAGGCGATACGTTAGCCACTGTGGATTCTGACTCTTCCACGGATAGCAATGAGGACACTGTGGGCTCGTTCGTTGTCCACGATACTGACAGTGAGGAAGAAGCCCCCATTGCACGCATGAAGAAGCAGCCCAAAGCGATCAAGATCGACGATGACGACTCTGCTTCCGAAACGGAAGCAGACACTGAGGATTCTGGATCTGAGGCCGACTCAGAAGAGGAAGGCGAGTCTGAACTTGGATACGATGACTCGGAACTTACGCCTTCGACCAAAATTCGCCAGCTTCTCGCCATCCTTGAGAAAGAGACCCCAGATCACAAGGTCATTGTCTTCTCGCAATTCACTTCCATGCTGGATCTCATTGAACCTTTCCTCCGCCGCGAAGCTTACGGGTTTACGCGGTACGATGGCAGTATGCGAAACGATCTGCGCGAAGCCAGTCTGGACAAACTCCGCAACGACAAGCGTACTCGTGTACTACTTTGCAGTTTGAAGTGTGGTAGTCTGGGCCTCAACTTGACATGTGCCAGCCGCGTCGTCATCATGGAGCCTTTCTGGAATCCTGTAAGTTCAATCATCGCCTTCAATTTAGACTTATCTAGCTAACCCACATCCACAGTTCGTCGAAGAGCAAGCCATTGACCGAGTCCACCGCCTTAACCAAACCGTCGACGTAACCGTCTATCGCCTCTCCATCCACAATTCAGTCGAAGAGAAGATTCTCGCCCTCCAAGAATCAAAACGCAAGCTAGCCGCCGCAGCGATCGAAGGTGGCAAGGCCATCGGCAAGCTAGACATGCGTGATATCCTGGCACTTTTCAAGCGTGACGCCGAGTTCAAAGATGAGCATGTCGACGATCCGCACGATGCTCATCTATACACCAAAACTCGCGTCCTGGACGAGTCAGGAGCTGTTATTGGCAGCGAAGGCTCCAGCGAGACGACCGAGGACCGGAGAATGGGTAGTGGAAGGAAGGCTGGGAGTCTGGGTTTGAAGAAGAAGAGGGCCGAGGATAGTGTTTGGGGCCGTCGTTGAGCACCTTGTGGTGGCGCCGTTGAAGTAAATACTTCGGTTTTTCTATAGCTGTTGTGACGCCCGGCTTTTTGGATCACGTTTTACGATTCTCGATCTTCTGGGAGTTTGATTCTTTGGGCTTCTTGAGCCTGGGGCTTCTTATTGATCTTTGTTGTTCTGATGACATTCTCATGATGGTTTGGCTGGGTGGGGTTTGGATACATGTTTGGAGTCTTGGTTTCTTTTCCTTGAAGATTTTTTTTGTCTTTATGCAACCCATCTTTTCAGGGTTCACACGTCTCTTACAATTATAGATTTTTTTTAAACATCCACAAACATTCTCTAGCTTCACTCCTCGTTGTTGTAGTCTTCTCTCAATGTAGTTGAAAAATCGAGACACAGGCATCAACATAACCGCGAAGGCAGTGATGGGGTTAGTCCTGGGCTCATTGTGGTTATATAAGATCGCGTCCAAGCTTTTGAGGAGTCGCTGATAAAAATAAATTCAGAATAATCTCACCCAAAACCGATCCCAGTGATTCATCAGCATGTCAAACCGCCGCACCACCCAAGTCTCTTCACACATAACGCAACTATTTTCACTTGCAATTCATGCGCACACGACATCACCGCCAAGATATTTCAGTTATATGGGATATAAACATCCCTTTTTTCCATTTGATTATTCTTCACCCAGTAATGACCATCATGTGATCCCCCTTGTGTAATTCCTGCAGAGAAATAAAAAAGTCCACCATCCAGCCAAGCCAGTAGCCAACCCGGAATCCAAATTGAAAGTAGTATGAAAGAAAGACCCAGACAAAAGGGATATCCAACTGTCCCTAATACCAGGTCCGATTTCCTCAAACTGTTTTTTCTCAGGTCAAGTAAGCAAGCAAGCTAGGCAAAAGCCAAGCAGATGCAGGAAAAGCCAAAGAGACGCAATAGCCAAGAGGGGAAGGGTATATTAGCTCTCCTTGCAAATGTAGTCGTACACAGTCCCCCAAATCCAAAAGGTGATCAAAGGCGTATGAAGTCGAATTCAGCTTGAGAACATGTGTTTGACTTGATGCTGAGCTGACGCATCGACGACATGCAATAGTTAACCAAAAGTGGGTGGGTGGTTCAAAGGGCAGTCAAGCAATTCCGAGATATCATAAGCCAAGTCCAGGTGTAGCGAAGACGACTATGCAGACGTATGAAGGGCGCAAATTCGGGGAAGGCATCGTGAAGGACGGAGTGGTGCAAGAGGAACGAACGACGTACGTATGCAGTCGAAGCGAAATGTGGCGATTCTTGCAGATATCAGTGCGACGGGCTTTCTAAAATCGGCGACACCATCATGTAAGCATAGAGTCACGCAAGGTTTAAGCCAACTGGGACATGGTTTTGTCTCCATGCTCCGAACCATCTTCCTCCGGGTCCTCGACCTCGGCAAGACGATACTCACGTGGAGAAGGGTGCACGCCCATCCTTGCAATTGGCAGATTTGCGTTGTTGCGAGGACGAGGGTACTTCTTGCCGGACAGAATGGTGCGAAGCTTGGGGTTGGACACCGCACGCTTGACTGGATCTTTGCCACGGTACTTGTTGCCGTGATCGTTGACAGGCTTATCGGAGGCCTTTTTAACCACTTTGTTGGGAGCCTTGTTGACCATCTTGATGGGGGCGGAAGCAATCCTAGCAGTTGTTATGCTGCCGAAGTTGGGGTTGCGAGAACGGAGGGGTTCGCGCACAACTGGCATGACTGGCACACTAGCTACACGACGTTGATCAAAGCCACCTTGCTCTTGATTCTCATCTGTCACGCGAGCACGAAGACGAGGTTGATGGATATTTCCGAGTGCTCCGGGAGTAACAGAAGGGGCAGTCCTAACAACTTGATCACGCGAATGAACGGTGTCTTGAAGGTTAGTATTGGAGGCGGCCGTGTTGTTGGATACAACGCGACGACGACAGCCCGAAGGAACACGATCGCCGTTATTGAGGTGAGTAGGGTCGGCTTGGCCACCCTCTTGATGAGCATTGTTGACGTGGTTGACGAGAGTCACGCGGTCTTGAGGGAGGACGCCGTTGCCGTCACCAACGTGAGCGACCGGATCAGCAAGAGGAGTTCCTGCAGCAGAGTCACCCGAGTGACCATTTCGAGCAGAGCGTCTCAAAGGGACAGGCTGCGCAAGGTCAGCCCGAGCGATGTTGCGCTCACGCTGGCGAATGCGCCCCTGAATGCCGCCGTCACCACCTGAGTCGATGGCGCGGTGAATTGCACGCTGAGTCTGCTGACGAGGCATTGTTGTCGAAGATGTCTGCCGTGGGAGCTCGGAGTGGTGGTGGTTGTTGGCTGCTGGCTGCTGTCGAGTGTGTCGGGGGATTGCACTTTATATAGTCGTCAGGCAGCACACAGACCAACAAGCTACGGTTGTTTTGTTTACACCTGCTATCACGATAGGAAAGCACGCCATGTAAACAACAGACGCGTAAGATAACGATAAGACCAGGCGGTATGGACGGGCTTGGAAGGATATACTACTTCATTCCAGTCGGCTCCGTCCAACATTTGAACGCGCTGACCATCCGATGGTATATGCTTCGTGAGAAGCGGCGATTGGATTTGTTGTTGTTTTGACTGGACCAGGAAGGCATATAAAGAAGAAGCGGTGTTGAAAAGAGCTGGATGGTTGAAAGAGTGAATTACTACACGTATAGGTGAACACCACGCCCTTTCGATTCAACATCTTCAGTCAGCACCAAAGGGATATTATACGAGAGTGATGACTTTGAATCCTGCCGATTCATGTTCGACGGGAGCATTTGTGAAGTAATCTTTTCTTGTGATAGTGACAACCTCAACTGCTTCAACGGTGTTTGCAATGTCAGCTTTCTGTGCCAGTAGGAGGCCCTCATCTCTACCTTCCGTGTGTATGTCTCCTCCCAGTTTGGAGTCTTCATGCGAACGCTTGATTAAGACAAGCATTCAGCATCTTCCTCGGGGTTCGTCACTCCTCGGGTTTTCCATCGAGAATTGAGAGCTGATCGGTTTCTGGGTGGCTCTGAAAGAAAGTCCAGGCGTTTTGTTGTATGCTCAAGTATAGGCGTAGAGCTTGAGCTGTATACAGTTACCCAGAGTATTTAGTATTTGATGTCCAGTGAGGCGTGATTCATTTCCGCTGATTGCTGTGATTCGAACCGAAGAAAAATCACGGCCCAAATCTCACCCCGAAATCATGACTGTGATACTCATGAATTCTGTTAGCCCAAACTTTGTTGTATGAGCTAGCCCAACTTCATGTGGAAACACGTTACTGTAGAAGTGGTTCATATAGATTGTCGTAAAAGCGGCCCAAGCTAGGTAGAAGTTATTCACTTCAGAGGAAACAGCTTGTTGACCATCGCGGCATCTGGGGCACTTGTCAAGAACCTTCCCCTCGCACTTATCTTTCTCCCTGCAGCTGACATCCCCACCTTCGTTGGGGAAGGAAGGGTGGGCTTGGGCATAACCGGGCGCGACCAAGTGGCCGAACATGAGTGCAAGAGAGCATGATGAGTACAATCGTTCTCTTCGTTCTCTCGTTGTAAACATATACGAATTGGAAGAGAACCAAAATGATCTGTTCAATACATACCCGGAAGTATAGCTTCTTCAGGGCTGAGGTGGTCGTCGGGTTTTTGTGGCCGGGAGTTACGAAAGCTTTCTTTCAGTTTGTTGCAATCTCTGGTAGACCGTGCCAGAGAGAATTTGGAATATCCATTTGGAAGGTTCCGAACGCTTTCGACTCGTTGCATTCCCACAGGAGTTAGGTTTTCGTGAAATACATGATTCGCGTAGACAGGTGTCGCTCCTGAGGAAACCAAGCTTTTGAATTGAGGACCGAAGTAAAGAAGACAAAAATGCGGGCCTTTGTAAGTCACACCATGCATATGTTGGCTTGTGCGGAATCCAACAGTTCTACGTCGGTGAGTCGGGTCGGGTATCTAGGTGCGGGCAGTGCTGGCGAACGGCACGCTTTGTGATGTGTACAGCAATCTTTATATCTATCAAGGAGAAGCTGAATTGCGAAAGCGGCTCCAGTATTTTGGGTAAGGGTTCCGGGAACGCATACCCCGGCATGTCTAGATAATGTCAGTTATAATATCTTGATCATGTTCCGGGGACCTACCTTTCTATGGTATCAGGAGCATATAGGAGGAATAGTCCCCTGAATTCAACAATGACCAACGATATCCCACCGAGTAGGAATGTGTGTCAACGGACATTGAACTCTTTTCCGGAGTCATGTTAGCACATGAATGGTTATACTCCTCGGCTTAGATCGATGAAAAAAGCTGGCAAGAAAAGTGTAGTGCTTCCTCGAAAGATTTGGCGTCAGAATGATGTACTGAGCGCATTACCGAATCGAATGCCTCTGCGTTCAGGGTCCTTTCGCATGGTTCACACAGCTTGTCCGTCGCCAATCAGTCCTCCAATTCAAAGTGACCAGGCGAGGTCAACATGATCGAATCGAAAGGTCTAGAGTGACGGCGTGGAGGGAAGAGAGAAAGTGGCAACGAGTGGTTGGAGCTGCGTCTCAATCATGTCTACTTGGTGTTTTACGTGTTGAGTGAGCACTGAAGTAAAAAACAGGTGTTTTCAATAAGTCTCGTGAAAGCTGCCGTCTTCTTACATGAAAGTGATGAGAAGAAGTGAGAAGTGAGAATCGAGAAGATGGTTGATGGAAGATGGATGAGCCGAAGGGTAAGGCTGGAGGGGAAAGAGAGACTAGTGGGGCGAACCTGCCGAAAGTGAACTTACCTGCATAGCCAAACCCTTCAATGTTCGTTCTGCCAAGTGCGCATGTGTTCATTGGAGGAAACTCGTGACACGTCAGTAAAGATACAGACGCACAAAGTGGATTGACCAATGGTTAATAGGATTGGAGTATTCTTTAAGTTATACATAATCATGCTGCATCTCGGACTGAGGTCTCTCACCTCTCCTGACTCACTCAATATATATCACTTGGTAACCAAAATATCACCGACCCAAAAAGTCCTCGAATGAAAAGGACGAAGAAACACAAGCAGAAACCCAAACCAAACCAATGACAGCTGGTGACCGAGTACCGTGGGGAATATGTATGATGATGCAAATATGCGACAGCCAGTACGCCTTGAACGCTGGCCGAGCCCGCCCATGCCCAATGGTTGAAAATGTGTTAGGAAGGAGATATTGGCAATTGATGTGGATCGCCCGTCTTCTAGATGTCATCCATATTGCCAGCTGCTTCATCTTCATCGCCAGACTCGTAACTACCTACTGAGCTCATCTCATCGTCGTCTTCGTTATCCTTGTCGGAGTCCTCCGCGGTGTCCTTGGAAGCATACTTTTGAACGTACTCTGTGCAATATTAGAAGAGTCCGTCCCTGCTGCGAATAGCTTGTCACTCACCCTTGACTTTGATATCATAGTTCTTGGGTTCCCGCATCAACAAGGCAGCGGCCTCTCCGTTGAGAGGGTCGGTCGGGTTAGGGTAGCGAAGGAGTTGAGGGAGGAAGACTTCGAATATGTTGATCATGTCATACATGGGTGACCATGTTTGATTGATGACGTCCAAACAGACGGAGCCAGATCTATCCGTGTTAGAGACCAACCCCATGTCTGTATAGCTGCCACCTCCACATTTGTAACACAAAAGTGAGACTCAGGGGGCACTCACAACTCGTCAATGTTGGGATGGAAGATTCGATTCACGAAGCCGATGCTCGGGCTCTTATAAGGGTATTGATCGGGGAGTTCGACATGGATCTTCCAGAGGCCGCCGGCGAAGGGTGCTAGAACCGTCAGCGACCATCTTCGCAAGATATTGAGTAGGAGCCTGCGTACTCTCTTCCGGCCCCTTGAATCGAACATAGAACTCTTGCCTAGGGTGTATCAGCGAGGGAGCGACGGGTGCGGTTTGAAACGGAGACGAGTGGTACGAACACTGAGATTTGTTAGTGGAATGTGCGACAAGGGAGAAAAAAGGAAACATACTGCTGTCGTTGATGAGAGTGACCTCATAATCGCTCATGAGCCTTTGCTATGTCAGCTTGAGAGGTTGGAGGCGCAAAAGGACGAGCAGTGTTTGCATGCTCTTCACGTACATCCTATACACGCGTCAGCGTTCCATTTAAGCCCATGGGTCAAGGGAGCACCAAGTGCACCTACTTCATGACCTGAACACAAAGGCAAAAGCGTTCCGTCAGCACATCTCTACTTCTTGACCATGTCTTGCGTATCTAGGACAACCTACATCCGTCTCGATGCGTCTCTTTGGGCTACTCATGATGGCCTTTGGTTCTTCGGCTTCTTTGCTCAGGTGTATGGTATGGGACGGGGAGTTTAAATTGTCGAAAGGTTGGAGGAGCGGGTGGCAAGTGGTGAAGAGATGGGGGAAATCGAGGTAGAGCGGAAAGTGGTGATTGATAGGGTACGTAGGTACCTAGCTAGGACGAGGTGGAGTGCGGCGAGGGGTTGTCGTATCGATAACTAGCAGGAGCGTGAGGGGTGGCCTACATACGCGGCCGCTTTGTTGGCGGGAGGGGGGCCGTGGATTTCCGGTTCAGGGAAAGGAGCAGGTTGGCGGTTTGTTCAGTAGCAAATGGCGAGTGAATGGCAGGAAATGGTGAATATTTAAACAGGAGGAGTCAAAGGAACCGGGCGGTACCACCTACGCTATCAAGGGGAGCATCAACATTGAATGACATGAATGGCAGGGGTCATCTGATCACGAGTCATGGAGGTCACGCCTGCCATTGATCAACACTGATAGCTTACCTAGGTAGCTGAGGACATGCTCACCGAGAACCTCTGCTCGTTCCGTTTGGCTACATTGACGATAAGAAAATATGAGTTCCGAGACTTCGTTCCAACCATGTTACGACCATCCGAAGAAAATATTCGCTACGACCTGGATATGAGCTCATTACCTACCTAGGTACGTTATGTAAAAAGGCATTTCGCGGAACCAGGTGCATTTGAACACGTCTTAGATACCGTGGATTTCACCTCTAATCCAAAATTAACAGCAGTCATAGGACCCAAAGAAGAAGACAAAAAAAGTTGAATGGGTTGAACTGAGAATTCTTCCAACTGTCCACGTCGTCGTCGTCATTTTCCATCGGCCTGGGAACCAGACAATGGTGTTCCACGCGGGGCGAGCGCGGAATAAAGACCAATCGGTCCAGGCGCTGCTGACTACACACCCCGGCGGGCCGAGGGACCAACTCCACCAAAAAGCATTGTGGTATGCCCATCTCTACAGCGCAAAAACCATCACGAAGCAACATAATAAAACCCCGCGCCCGCGCCGCTGACCGCCATGTCTCCTATTCTCCAAACCAGGAGTCCGCCCTCTAGTTTGGTTTCCACCAATTCAAATTCGCCCCCCTGAGAAAAAAAAAAAAGAAACCAAGTGCACTGCACATCAGACGCAAACATGTCGCGTGCCTTGACATCAACCACAATGAAGACTCTCCGGTCACCCTTACGCATCGCATCGACTTTCCGCACACCCTTCTGCTCACCGCCGCCTCCACCGCATCATGCCCTTCCAACATTGTCGCAACCCCAAACACAAACCCGCCAATCCTCCCACTCCCCCCTCGGGACCCCTCCGCCCTCTAACCGCAAACCAAAAACCCTCACCACAATCCAATCCCTCTACCGCCGCAAAGAACCAATCACCATGATAACCGCGCACGACTTCCCCTCGGCCCACGTCGCCGACCACGCAGACATGGACATGATCCTCGTAGGCGACAGCCTCGCCATGGTCGCGCTAGGCATGTCGGACACGAGCGAAGTGCTGCTGGAAGAAATGCTGCTCCACTGCCGCAGCGTAAGCCGCGCCACGCACTCTGCCTTCACCGTCGGCGACCTCCCCATGGGAACCTACGAGATCGCGCCCGAGCAGGCCCTCGAAAGCGCCATCCGCGTCGTCAAAGAAGGCCGCGTCAAATCCGTCAAGCTCGAGGGCGGCGCCGAAATGGCGCCCACTATCGCCAAAATCACCACCGCGGGGATCCCCGTCCTGGGACACATTGGCTTGACGCCCCAGCGCCAGAACGCCCTCGGCGGGTTCCGCGTCCAGGGTAAATCCGCTGCGTCGGCGCTCAAACTCGTCCACGATGCGCGCGCCGTCCAGGCCGCAGGCGCTTTCGCAATCGTCCTTGAAGCCGTCCCCGCTGAGGTCGCAAAAATCGTCACCGATGCGCTTTCTATTCCTACTATTGGCATCGGCGCTGGCAGCGGCTGTTCCGGGCAGGTCCTCGTTCAGATCGATATGCTTGGCAATTTCCCGCCTGGACGGTTTCTGCCAAAGTTTGTGAAGCAGTATGGGAATGTTTGGGAGGAGAGTCTGAGGGCGGTTAGGGAGTATGGCAAAGAGGTCAAGAGTAGGGCGTATCCGGCCGTAGAGCATACTTATCCCATGGCTATGTCGAGGGAGGAGTTTGAGGAGTTTGAGAGGGTGGTTGCGAAAGGGATTGAGAGCGGGGAGTAACATCATCATTCTAAGGGGAGAAAGAAGAGGTAAGTTTGTTTGGGCCGAAGCGAATTCGTTGCAGTAGATATGTGTGGATACCCTTCGCTTTTGATGTTTGGTTAGCTAGCAAGTAAGATCTCTATCTATCTATATTGGAGATTTCTATTTCTTCATTTCCAAGCACACATAGACGTTGATAACCTCGATTAGCTTTCCTTCTTCTCTGTACTCCTACTCCTCTGTCTTTTCAATTTAGAATCAACTATTAATTCGAAAAAGAGACAACAACAGAAATTGATCTGGGATGTCGTAGTCATGTCGTACTGACTTTGGGTATATTTATATATTTCTGCTCTACTAACCACCATACCCATCCATCATCGTGGATCGTTGCTGCTCACGGGAAGCGAATTCTCGATCCTAGGCGAGCATGCAAACGGATGCACTATATTGCTTACGCACCCTGTTCCTCTTGCCGGTTTTGAAAGAATGGGATGGGAATAATGGACGATGCCATGAAATTTGACCGCAGTTAGAGGTGAATTCCCGACTTTTCAAAAAGGAGGGGAAGGTTCTCAGGCAAGGAAACCCAAGAGTAATGTTTTTCATCCAAAGCTGGGTGATAAAGCATACCCGACGACCAACTCATCGCCTTGTTTGAAACACTACACATATCACACACACACACACTTGTTAGCACTCAATCTATTTCCAACCCAAGCTCCGTCGCGCGAGTAAAAAGACAACAAGAAAAGGGGTGGAAGAAGGACATGGCTCACCCTCCATAGATTCTCAACCCCCTCATCCAACCCAGGACTAAACACGTTGCCGATGTAGCAATGAACGCTTTCGTGCGGCTTGACGCCTAGTTTCTTGCGGAGTTGGCGAACAATGACCTCGAAGCGAGAGGATGCGGATAGTTTGAAGACGCGCTGTTTCAGGGGCGGCGCGGAGCCGATGGGTTGGAGGCGGATTGTCACTACGGTGGTGATGTCAGTTAGTTGAGGGGTAGGGTGGGGGTATGTGGTATTGGAGCTGAGATGAAGGAATGAAGGAAGGGAATTAGGAAATGTTGGTAGAAGGCTGCTTCCGGTTTGCAATGGGCATATGGGCTTATTATTTCTTCGTGACACGCATATGTAGATGCTCTGCATACAAGGAAAAGAGTGTATGTACTCCATGGGAAGCAAAACCAATGAATAGAAGAGTTATCATGAACATACCTTTCTCCACACCCAGCCTCCCCGCCTCATCCAACGCTTTCGAAGCATCGCGAGGGAGATTTGTCAACACAACCGACGCAGCCATTGTCAACGGCGCTTCAGCCTCAGCCTCGGTCTCGTTCTCATTCGCAGTAGCTGCCGGGTCGGCGAACTCCTCACTTCTGGAGCCTTCGTTTGACGGCATTGTCGTTCGTGGTAGATTGAAGGGCTCTGGTGGTGATGGTGGGGAGTGAGACATTTTTTGATTTCGATGCTTGTTATTCGGTGGCGTCGGCGTCGTGAGGGTTTGATATCCTTCTATTGCTGCCGCCAATACGCTCGAGCTGTAGTATTCGCTTGTATAATTTCCTCACACTTGTCTCTCCTCTTCAATCCTCTCCTCGGTTTGTAGATGAGTATGTGGGGTTCACAAATGTTGAGGGCCGCCTCCCAGTATAAGCCCCTCCACGTCAAGTGTGCTCACTGTACCCGCCTATCCGCTCCTCGAGCTTCAGAACCGTGAAGAATTCTTGTTTCAGCTTCCCGAGCGACTTGATAAGAATTCAATAGTACCCGGGGAAAAAGTAAAGATCAACGTCGGTAGTAGTGAACTACCGCCCAAGCGCTTGGGTTGTTGCTCGAATCGCCCAGCAACACGTTGGTATTATGGCTCAGGAAGAGTAGAGCAAGTCAAAGCGCAAGCAATCACTAACCAATTCTATATCCACTGAAGTTTCGATGCAAAGGATTCTTGAGTAGCAGAATGAGTTTTGTGGAAAGGTGGAGGAAGAGGGCGAGAGGTCTGTGAAAGCGCAACCTAGAGGGCGAAGTGACGTTCGCCTGGCCAATCGGAGGCAGGGATCCACGACGACAACTGATCAAGTGGTTACCTACTCAATCACCACCACGCGCATCACTCGTATATGAATATGATCTGAACGGGCATTTGCTTGTGAGATTTATTGAGGATTTTTGGGGTAACATTAATGTATATCCAGGCTAGAACCACTAGGGATACATGTGAAGCTTTTCCAGGCGAAGAAGAAGTGGTCCGGGACAGCCACCACCCCACAGGTATTTCCACACAACACTATGAAACCAAAAGCCATGTTTGGCAGACTGGGCAGAGACTACTTGCCACAGCTACGTTTGAAAGAGCCTCCCATAATAAGATAAAGAAAACCCGGATGCGGTAGGTATATACAAAAGGAAATGCATCGTAGACCACCGAAGTGGAAAGGGAAAGTCAAAAACAATGCGACCTAGAAAAACAACCCACAAGCCATGCTTCGATGAAAGGGAAATGCGCCTCAAGAAATGCTAGGATCGCCAGAATGTAAGGTAACGGGTATTCGCGAGAGCCGAAGAAGAGAACAACAGGGTGATTGGAATAATAAGCTGTTCATTCGTATGATATCGTCGATGGTGAATTTTTGAACACTCAGGGGAGCACACAAGAAGCGGTCGTGACCATTATTCGCGGACTAGCTGCTCAAGCAGCTGATCGAGTTCAAGCCAATTGTCTGCAGCCTGTGCAAATTTGCGATGTTTTCGGGACACAACGTGCTGGGAACAATGTTAATCGAAAGATCGTAGTGCGACCAATCCGAGGAGAAACTTACTTCGTCGAAATCGTTGAACTTCTCCCTACAATTCTCGCAGTAGCCAGGTTTCAGCTCCTTCTCCACGGGCTTCCTGCGGCGAACAACCGTCACTCTGCGAGCGCCTTCCCCATCTTCACGGATGCCACCGAGGGATTCCTGAGCCCTGCGTTTGGCAGCGCGAATTGGTTGGGATGCTGCTTCCTGGCTGAGAGCTGCCCTGATCTGTGCGTCATTCATGGTAGACGATTGACCACTGTTGGTGTTGGCAGACGGAGCGCTGTTCTTCTCCAAAACTTTCCTCTTGAGTTGATTGACCTCTTTGCTGTTGCCTGCTCGAGCACCTGGGCCAGCAGCGGTGGAAGAAATGGCTTGTGAGCGGATAGCGGACGTGATGTTGGACTGCTGCAGACCAGAGGCAATAGGTTCACCACCGATAAATCGAGGCATCGCACGCAGGCTGGCTTGAGCGCTGCCAAACATTGGGGGCATGCTATCAGGATTAGGACGCTTTGTAGGTACGTGTTGTGGTGGCTCCAATGGTTTCGAGTCTTCCTTGATGGAGGGAGTCGGGGCAGTACAGCGGCGAGCAAGATTGTTGTTCTCGTTCAACGCGCGTCTTTCGTGTATGGCAGTTGCAGCTCGAGTGCGTGGAACAGCGGCGGCGACAGCAGCTTTCCGAGCCTTCTCAGCATCTTCCTGTTGCTGCCGACGGGCATGGTCACGGTCCTCAACGAATGGGCATTTTCCTGTACCTGAGATTCGAAACTGCGGCCACTTGCCGTCTTCTTTCTTAGCCACCTTGGGATACTCGCGGATCATGACGGGCCGAGTAAGTTCGTCCATATCATGAACATATACGTAAAAGCCGCGCAATGGAATCATGTCCTGAGCTGCAACCGAGTAGTCACGGTCGGACGTTCCGTTCAACCTTTCATTTTCAAGCAACTTTTGCAAATCACCCTGACGCGCCTTGGGTTGTTGGGCAGCCTGACGCGAGCCATGAACATCCTCGTCTGTTCCGCGGTTGAGCAGGGTCTCGAGAATCTTTTGCAGCTTATCCACAGTCCATAGTTTCATGCCCAGCTCTTTTGCCTTCTGCAGGATATCTCCGCTGCTGGTCTTGTTGTAGTTCTGGAGGGCGGTGTCGAATATGTTTGTTTTAGAGACCAGCTGGGGATTGACGAAGCCCTTAGCCGTCGACGATGAGCTGGAGTCAAGTTCACGAGGGATGGTACGGGCCGTGATGACATGGGTAACTTCCTTGGAGAAAAATTTGACCTCGCGCTGCAACATAGTTAGAGAAACGCGCAGTACAGGGGATGTATGAAGTAATGCTTACAGCACCCAGGATGAGGGTCTGGCGGATCATTTTGAATTTGACATCTTCCGGAATGCTCTCAAAATAAAAGACAAAGGTGGGGAACAGCTTCCGGTAGTGACGCTGCCACTGGCGAATTTGTTCCATGTCATTGTTGGCTCTTTGCGTCTTGTCGGACTGCTTGGGCACAGCCTTGAGCTCACCACGAGCCTCTTGCAACTTTCTAGTCAAGGCGGTGGTTGGGGCCCCACTTCGGCGGACAAGGCCCGAACGGCGAGCATCCGCATCATCGACCTCGATGATATGCTTCTTGGAGGCAGGCTGGCCATAGGCAAATTCGCGTGTCTCGCTGGCGGTGGAGCGCTGCCGCTTCCCGCCGACTTGGGGAGCGCGTAAAGGCGAGTTTGTGGCATGTTGCAGGTTGGCGAGGGGCACGCGACGGTTTGCCATTGCGTCTGCAAACTGTGGGGAGGGCGGAACAGCCACTGCTGCCATGCGTAGCTGCAGGGCGAGAGTCGACTCGAAGGGGAGGGAAGGTTGATGGGAGCGAGATAGGGTCGAGATGGGTGACGATGGGATGGGTGACGGGCGGAGGGGCAGGGTAGGTCAAAGTTTCCAGCCTACTACTATAGCTAGCTGGGACGCGACGTAAACGAGGCAGCACAAAGCAGTTTCAGCAACGTAAAGCAGCCATGCCCAGCGAACGGTGGAGCGGAGAGGTGGGTGGGAACAGTGAGAGAGAGAAAATGGCTCGAGTGGTGAGGGAGCAGTTCGGCGGTAGTTGGCCAGCAGTGAGAGGAGAAGGAAAACAGATGTTGGTGCTTGGGGTTGTTGTTGTGGCTGGTTCCCCAACCGCACGAGCGAACCAAACGCGAGAGCAGGAGCGCGCTAGACTGTCTTGCGCGCTCCCAAGCTTCTGTGGCCCAGCAACCAATCCTTGCCGTCCGAAATGACAATAAATCCGATCAACAACGGGAGATTACTCTGTGCATACTGAGATAGTAAACACCATCTCTGTTTACACTCAATTGAGTCTCTTCCTCCACCACCCCTCGATCGTCGCCATGGTCTATCCCAGAGACTCTGTTCTGGCGTCATTGCAATTTCCCTTCTTGGTCGCCAAAACAAATAACCTACTACCCCATTCACCTGCCAATCTACAAATACATTTTTAGTTGAACCCCTGTGAACGCCCCAGCTAAATTCCCAAACTACCTGCCATGCACCCATACGCCAATCCTTCCCCTAAAAAGCTGAACAGACAGAAACAGTCCAACACCCAATACAGAGACGACTGGGGGAAAGAAAGAGAGAAATAAAGAAAAAACCCTCGCTGAACATGCATGATCCAACCGCTCAACCATCTGCCTGCTCCATGTCCCCAAACATGGGCTCTCACCGAAGAACAATGTCTTTGCGTGTCGGATTCTGAGCCTGCCACACCTCCTCGTGCATCTGCCCGATAGCCACCCTCTCCCACCATCCCTCGTCCTGATACTCGACAAGCATCACATTGAGCATGCACCACTCACTGTCGTTGAAATGGGAATCGTCAAAGTCTTCCAGAGCCTCGTCCCACAGGAATCTGTCGTCTTTCCAGATCGGGGTTCCGGGGGGATGAGCTACGTTGCTCGAAGGGCGCGTCGTATCGGCTTTCGCGGGGCACCGCCGACTACGTGAGAGCAAGACGTACTCAAACTTTCGCTCTCTATCGTCACTAGCTGAGATGAGATGCCTATAGTCCATGATATTTCCGCAGTGGCGATTCTCCTTGTCCATGAGCTCACTGTAAGGCATCCTGTGCTTGTCATCGTCCACCACTTGGCACATCTTAAAGCTCTCGGCGGGGATGGTGAAGGCAGCAAATCGCAGTGTGTCCGTCTCTGTAGTAGGATGGGTATTGCCCCGAAAAGGCCCATGATATGGCACTTGCAGTCGTACCTTTTGGTCTCTCAAACGTCGGACGGTCCACGGTGAGTTGGAGGGCCCCAAGTTATAATAGAAGATTTCGGATCGGAGAAAGTCGCCCTCGGATTGTCGAATGTCGGGGCAGTTGTATGGGTCAAACGGGAAGTTCACGCCCGCACCCTCCCAACCTGTCCAGCTCCAAGACGGGTGTAATGCAGGATGTTGTTTCCTGTACTGAGCTCCCGTGGGACACCAAAGTAGTGCCAGATCGAATACAGGCTCAGGGAGTCCGTGGATGAAGGGTCCCCCGCATTGTTTCTCGAGTTCCGCGCATATATCCGCAAACTCTTTTGACTGGCCTGATCCGTCTTTGGAAACCTGGTTGGTGACTAGTTGATTGTACTTTGCGAAGGCCGCTTTCCAGTCGTGGAAGGGTCCGGCTTTGAAGTCCTTTAGTCCGAGAATTGGCGGTGTGAGAGCATCGTAACCGGCAGTGGATGGGCTTCTCTTCCTCTGAAACTTGTTGCTGATTCGACCGATAAAGGTCCGAGTTTGGGAACCGTCAGATCGAGTCGAATGGATAGAGCGCGAACCTTCGCTGTCGCTGGATCTCGACGCTTGGCCCGGAACAAGCAATCCGCCCGGATTTGAGCTGCGGTCCTCGATGGAAGGCGACTTGCTGCCTCTCCTTGTCAAGTTGGATACCCACGAGGGTGTCAGGCGCCCACTGGTGGGGGAATTTGCGGTCGACATGAGGAACAGCATTCAAGGCTGTAGTGGGGCAGGGTGATGTAGAAGGTGGTGAATAGAAGATGCGGAAGGAAGGTGGTGGTGGTGGTGAAGTGCTGGATGCGGAAAGAGCACTTGGCGCTGCCTTTTTGAGTGTCCGCAAAGCAAGAGTCAGGAATGGGGTGAATGGTTTCGACTGCGCCACAGTGCAGATTTGCCTCCTGATGCGTCAACTGTCTTGTGAGAACAATGTGGCCGGGCAATGTCGTATCATGGAACAGCAAATTGGGACACAAAAGTGGCTGAGCTTGTTTGGCCACAACGAGCCCCTGCTTTAGCTCGCAAAGCGCATAGACGGACGGACGGACAGGCTGCCTGGAACGGAATGTGTCTTCTGCTGGCGAGTGACGGCAGTACTGTGCTCCTGCGAGTCGACCCAGACAACAGACCTCGCAGACGGATCGGGCGCCTCGTAGGGGGCCACGATATATTTGTATCGCCCGACGAAAGAGTCGTGTCTCAAGTGTGGGTCTAACTATGATGTAATCGTGATCCCCAATAAAGACTGTACTATGTAGAAGCGGTTCCAGAAGTTCGGACGAAGATTTCAAATCCACTTGCTCTCACAAACCTTGTCTGGTGTCACACGTCGATTGAGATCTAGTCATGATGGAGTGGAACTGAGCCAGGGCAGGGCAGTAAGAGTTGTGCATGATAGCGGTAACCGGAGACGAACATTTGAATTTGGGAGGCTCCACGTACGTGTCACGACATGACTCCTGATTGAATGACACGCATTCCGGGCTGTCATATCGCAAGCACGTAGAGAAGAAGGGAGAGGGGGTACGACGATTGGGAGGCTGTGAGAAGTCACATACTCTTCGAGCATAGCCAGCTTTGAATGTATCGTCGTTGTGGTCATGTGTCCGCAAATTCCTTTGGTTGCGCCGTCTCTCTAGCTCCCTAGTCGAGGCTATAGGTCGCGCTGTAAAGAGAGGTTGAAACACCGAGTATTTGTCCCCTCGTAGCAAGCTACAGAGATGATTTCTAGAGAATGATACTACACATGTAGTTTAAAAGTCTCCTGCTATGCCAGTCGAAGAAGACAGGGGTGGATTTCGCGTGGCGGTACAGCGCGGGGTAGCTACCGCAGAAGAACTAGGCGTCAATCGCATTCGCGTCCCCCCACCGAGCCCATGTTATTAAGCTTCTCCCATCACCGCAGCTAGCTTCAAGAATTGGCTGCTGAAGTCTACACGTCCAACCTGTCGCCATGTCTGGCTACGAGGGCAAGTCTTGTCTGTTAAATCTGTTCAAACAAGTCCACTGACACTGCATCAGTCGAACACAATATCCCTACAAAGGAAGACAAACCCGATCAGCACGAACACTCTCGCCGGCCTGATCTGTCCACCTTTTTCAGCACCTTGGAACTTGTAGACACCTCAAATCCGAACGATCACCGCAACGCGAATGCTCAACCACAGCCGGAGAACACGGCGGCGGCCTTTCGCTTGCTGGCGAATGCATTCGAGATGATGCGCGGCCCCGAGGAACGGGATAACAACACTGGCGGGGGGGAGGACTTGCTGGGCAACATGATTGAGTACCTGAGGCAGAACGCTGATGACCCACCGAGCGAGCTCAAGGGTGTGCCAGATAGTTTCCTGGATGAGCTGGAGAGGGTACCGAACAAGTCCTTGAAACCCTCCGATACATGTCCGATCTGCGTCAATCCTTTCTTGGAAGGTAAGCAAAGGAGTGAATCAATTGATCACTTGCATGACTGATTCGGAATCAACAGATCAGTACCCCCTCGTGGTGCAATTGCCCTGTCACAAAGATCATTACTTCGACCTAGACTGCATACGACCGTGGCTCAAGTTGAACTCTACATGCCCATTAGACCGCAAGGAGCTGCTGAAGCCAAAACAACCTCCGCCACCGCCAGATGATGACGAGGAGGATTACGATGATATGTACGCATGATCGTTGCAGATTTACAATGTGCCTAGTATCGGCAGAACAACCTACCCAAGGTTCTAGCCCCGGTCGCGGAGCTGCTGGACGGACGAAGTGCGTAATCTACTCGTTCGAACTGGCGAGGAGGCAATACCACACGTCTTGCGACACTAGTGCTATTCTTGTCACCTATAATTGAATACCCAGATGTACACATCAGTTTAGACGCATACATATGGACACCAAGCGTGGAATTTGCAAATCAACGATTCAAATACCTCATGGGACTCTCACTCCTGACACCAGATCCACAAGTTCTTGCCACCCTGTGAGACGCGCGGTAGCTTACCTATGTCCAGTGTCCACTTCTCAGCATCAGTGCGAAATCAAAACCGTTGTTCATTTACCTATGTTTTTGTCAACTCTCCAATCTCTCATCGATAATCTTTCAGAAATCAAATCTCGGCCGAAAAAGGAAGTATCGGTAGCAAATCCGCGTAAGCCAGATTGACCCCCAAAGGAGGAAACCCGAACGTGACAAAGCACGTTGAGATCGGAGATAGTGTCAGATGCTCTATCTACCATTATGTAACACATGGTGCCTCGTACATACCTTGGTCTATGATATGCTCCATTGAACCGAGTTGTTGATCTGCGTCTGTTCGATCTCCCAATTATCAACACTCTGTAGTGCGGACAATACAAGGCAAACTATCCTCGGCCGATGTGGTATGGGGCAAGAACATTGAAATTGCCAGAACGATTGCCACATCAAGTTGTTAGACCGGTCAGCAGTACTCGCACTTCGGATTACAGATGCATTATACAGGCGCAGGCGGAGTCGCACATATTGTTTTTTATTAGTCACGACCAGACGGGCTTGCGCCGCACGTGGTTTTCGTCCAGAAAGAGGCAATTGCCAACCATCTTCAATAGCTCTACAAGTGCCACTCGACCACAATAACGGACGTAAGGGGCATGCTTTACGATTTTAGTATTTATGTGGAGGTGAGCAAAACAAGGCGGAACCTTAATATCGCAGGCGGGACAACATAATGGCCGAGAGGAGGAGCCGTGCCGCGGATAGGAGTTCCTTGACAAAGCTCACGGCTTTTACCGTGTTTCGTCCGGCTTTTCGGATGTGGATCAGTCAACTCACCCGTTTCGTTTGCCATCGCAAGCTGCCTCCCCCGCTATGAAAGTAGGCCAATATCCAGCATGGGCACCTCGTAATAGTTCATCATCGCAAGACTTGTAGAGGGTCGATATAATTCCAAGCAGCGATGGCATCAAAGGGCTCGGGCACCATGAACCCGGCCTCGCCTAGAAAGCGTTCGTCCAAAGTCAGCCTTCGCGCCTGCTGGGAGTGTGAGACTACCAAACCTCGCTGTCTTCACATTTCGAGTGCTGATCAAGTATAAAATAGGCAAGAAACGGAAAATACATGGAAATCCACCCGAATCCGACTCTGCTAGCGCTGGTTTGGATCAGGGCAACACCGACCATGTTGACAATGTTTGCCAGCTTCACATAGGGGAGCGATTGGGTAAGCTGGAACAGCTGTTCGAGAAGTTTGTTTGTCGGAAGCCTGTGAGCTACGACGTACTTTCGGACGATACTCGAAGTTCGAATTCAACATTGGTCAACGAGAAGAAGACCCACCTTGGTTATCTCCCCCAAATAGCTACCGATGCGCAGAGTATATCTTCCATTGGCGATGGCATTGTCAGTATAATTTCCTCGCTATTACTATCGCATGATGAGTATTGATTTATTTAGCTCCTGCATCATGCATGGACATCGTCGCCGTCAATCGGAACATCGAATCCTGATGCAGGAACCGAAAGGCCGTGTGATGCAGTACAAAGGGCCCTGGCCCAACTACTTCCCTCCCAACATGACGCCAATGTCATTTTCGAGTCGACCAACGGCTGGATGTCTCTAGGTCTGTACAGGCCCTGCAAAGATTTGTATGTCCGCAGCGATCCAGAGACGTATGCTCTGGACATGTCCGCTATCGCAAACGAACGCAGCATCATCGTGGCTCGCACTCTCATGCACCTGGCTTGCTGTATAAGCTCGCTTCCTCCCGAATTTGACTCCTCACGTCTAGAGCAGGTCTGGAATCTGGAGGCGACCATGGAAAATTACGTCAAAACAGTCGCATCGCTCATCGCTTGCTCAGACGAGATCCTGTCAACACTGCCTGGCCTGGAAACTCTTCTGCTGTATGCCCACTACCACATGAATACCGCTAATCTTAGACAAGCATGGCTTGTCATACGACGGGCTATGAGCCTGGCCCATGTCATGGGATTCCATCGAATCGTCGAGCAGACGTCGACAACACCGCCGATCGAAGCCGTCGAGCCTGCAACACGCATGTGGAGAAACCTGATCGATATAGAGCGATACTTGGGCCTTCTTCTGCGCCTCCCCTTTGCCGCCGACGACTACCCAATTGATCAGAATGCCGGCCCGCACCTCATCTACACAGCTCGCCTTACGCAAATATCTCGACAGGTCTCTGAGCTTGACTGCGCCGTAACGCCGCAGACGTATGTAAAAGCGCTAGCTTTGGACGAACAACTGGAGTCATTGATGAGGGAGCAGCCAAAAGAGTTTTGGGCGGTACCCAACGTCCCATCGACTGCGCGGACATCGGAATCGTACGAAGTAATCACAACGTTGATAAAGCAGATGTGGCATTTCATGAACAAGATATTCATACACCTGCCTTTCCTTCTGCGCTCGACGAAAGACAACCGATACGAATACTCCAAGGTGGCAGCATTGCAAGCGAGTCGGAACATCATGATGCGGTGGTTTGCATTGCGAAACGCAGGCATCACGCAAGCATGCGGACGTGCTGGTGAACTGGCTGTCTTCATAGCCGCCGTCACGCTGACCTTGGACATTCTCATCGAAATGGCCATCAAGGATACCAAGGAGGTGCAGAAGACCAAATGCAGCGACTTTGCCATGCTCTGCCGGGTCATAACAGAGCTCGAAAAACTCGGCAAATCCAGTTCACGGGAGAAGATTGCTGCTCGCAGCGCCGTCGTGCTCAAAAACATACTCTCCACACTGGATCCCAGCAAACGAGCGGCCGGCCAAGTGAAGGTCACCATTCCCTATTTCGGGACCATCCAGATGAAGTACAAGGAGTTACCTACCCGGCCAGCGTTCAATCTAGACTCGGACACGGCGAAGAAATTGAACAGTACAGCCACTGGACATCATTTGCCAGTGTTTTCTTTTGTCAGCAACGCACTGTGGCCGTCATCTAGCGAGCATGGCGATTACGATTTGGATTTTGATATTATACTTTACAATGGGCTCCAGGATATGGACGTCGATGGAAATTGGGTTTTCTAAGATACCGCTTGCTTTCTCATCCTCCCATTTGGATTATATTTTTTTTGTTCTCTCTCGAGTTCTTCAGCGACGAACTGTTTGCTATAGCGATAGTTTCTTCCACGTTTCTTTTGTTTGTTGTACGCATAGCATGGCGGGGATGGTTCTGGGTGTGCGTCTTGGGTTGTTTGCTTTTGGTTAAAATCATTATAAGCGTGGGGTTTGTTTTCTTAGTGGAAAGGATGCATATGGTCTTGTTGAGACAGCTTGTTGCTTGGCATATGTTTGTTTTTGCCCCTTCGGTGTATATACGTTGCAATGTTTCAAGGACGTGGCGAGCATGCCACTGTTCATTTTACGGGTTTGATTTTTTGGACCTTTTCTTTACGCTTTGCTCCCAACATGATGGGCAGAATACGCTACTGTGAAAAAGGCAAATACGTGGTGGACAGGCATACACGAGTGGGAGGCAGTTTGATGATGAGGTGAGATGGGGGGTGTATGTCTGGGAACGTTGGAACCTATCAAACCGTGGTTGGGGTAGTAATCCCAAACGTGCTACCTGTAATTCGCTGCGAACCGTTGCACCAGGTCGCAAACAATCCGCGACACCTGGGCGGAAAAGGGGTGCTGGTACATAGCCAGGTACAGTACTGTACATGACGATTGTAGGGGTTTCGCTACCGCTTTGTTGGGAACAACATCTGAAGGACTTGGTGTAAACATTGAAGTAAAAGAGGATGGCGGGTAGACAGGATTGATTGACGGACTGATACGCTACGTACAGCGTCGCATTGGTACGCGGGTTATGCAAGTGAACGGTCATGTTTCATTGATCCAAGTGGAAAAGTGAGTGAGATTCTGGTACACGTGACGCGCTTCAAGTCTGGTGGGCTGGCATCAGCACTTGAGCAAAACAAACTCGGGCAAAACAACCTTGACCAAACGCACACGGCGGGTATCACTCGGGTGCAGAGAAGAAAAGAAGCCGCTCAAAGCATACACACACATACATACATACACACACACACACACACAGGCAAACAGCCGACTGGCTCCACTTGGACTGTTCCTCGCCTCGCGTTTGTTCGGGCTAATAGGCTAACCTGCCTGGAGGATCGACGTCTCCTCCGATCTAGGTACGCCTGTCCTTGCCAGCCAGCCAGCCGTCTGTTCTATCTGTCTGTCTGCGTTGGCCGCCGACCTTTTTGACACACGACCACCTCAACCGCCTTTCCATCCCGTTTTCCCTCGCTGAGTCTCCTCCCCTTCACCTCCGCCGGCGCAAGCAGTCGCTTTCCCCACCCCTCGTGCATGCTCCTTTTGTATGCTGCCTGCCGTCTCCGCCATTACTCATCCTGGGGGCCACTCCCGTTGAGCCAACCTCGCCGCGCCGACCATTGAAGGAAGCATGAGCAGCCTGGCGCTCCAGCAGGACCTGTTCTGGGACAACACGCCCGCGCGCCGTCTGCCAACCAAGTCCTCAGTCACACGATACGAGGATGTAACCAAACGCGACGAGCGCGAGCTCTCTCAGTTCGAGTCCATCTTCACTACGTACCCGCCTGTCCTCGATTCGCTCCTGTCCCAGATATCCACCACCTCCTTCCTCGACCTCTACCACACCTCCAAATACCTCCGCGATTTCCTCCGAAACTATCCCATCGCGTGGAAGACGCTCTCTTTCCGTCTACCGCAACCCGCCACAGCAGCCGTGGGCTCTCCCGGCAACGAGACCCCAGAACATCGCGAACGCCAATCCAAAGCCTACTCCTTCGACGCCCTGTTGAAGCAGATTATTGCACCATATGGTACGCGACTGACTAGCCTAGACCTCTGCAATACTGCCGTGTCAGGTACAGCCCTGAGCGTCACTGTGCTCGGACCCCGAAGCAAGACACTGAAGCATCTGTCGGTCCGAGGCTGCAAAAATGTCTCCATCAAGTACCACATCGTACCGTTCTTGGAACCATTTACTATGGAATATATGCCCGACTCGGCTAAAGAGCTCGCGTTGCGAAGCCTATACCTCTACCGTTGCCGTCATCACCGCCGACGCCCCTACCTACCATCCTCCCTCATTCGCCGCGACTCCGACACCGATCCGACTCATCAACTCATAGAAATTTGTCACAAGCTAGGGATATGGACAGACACTGCCTGGTGTCCGACTCCAGGAGGACGTTGTTACCGAAGGAAGGATTACCATGCAGGAAGAGCGGGCCCACAGAATCTCGAAGTTTGGGTGCCATTTGATCGTCTGTGGAGATCGGGAAATCGCATAGGGCCGGTTGAAGGCGCTAACAAATTAGGTGAACAAGACGGCCGCTTGTGGGAGATTGACGAGACCGGCCAAGACGGAGAGCCGCTTGGAACCGAGAAGGGCATGTTCAAAGGCGAAGGGAAACATGTACCCACCCACCTACGAAAGAGCCATAGACAGTTTGTGGAAGACATCAAGTGTACGCAGTGCAACGATGTCATTCTGGAGCGCTGTGAATCATGCAGCGTGCGCATGCACTGCATGGGATGCCGTAAGACTCTATGTGCGAGCTGCGCATTCAACAGGCCCATTCCGAGGAAGCGCCCAAAGACTCGGCATTTTGCAAACCTCGCATTCGGACTCGGAGCCTCACTGGGGACTAGCTTGAGCCAGGCCAGCGCGTCCTCATCTTCGCTGCCAAACGGAAATCGAGATATGCCGCAGCCAAAGGACCAGTTTTGGTGGGCCCCAGGAGCCTCTCGGTCGCCAAATCTGATGACCGAAGCCTCGCAGGAGGACGACTCCTCTGACTCCGAAGAAGGAGGAATTGGCAACAATGGTCTCCCTCTCCCACCCAACAATCGCGATCCCCCTCGACTCAACATGCACTGGTGTTGCTTGGAACCGATTTTCTCAGGTGGTGGTGGAATAGCCGTCTTGGGAACTGGACTGGGAGGAAGGGGGGCCGACAAGATACGCGCAGCACCTCTGCCTCGTTCCAAGCAATTCGAAGATCCGGATTTTGCAAACCAACTCCGACCGGTGGATTACATTCGCGAGCTGAAGAACAACGGACTCTACGAATATGTCCTGGGTGAAGACGTCGACCTCCTGTCTTACCTGAAGCAAGACAGCTTGGAGCTTCAAGCGCAGACATGCCCTCGCGGCTTGTGCAATGATTGCTACCGCAGTTTCAGATGGAAGATAACCTGCCGTTGCTGCAAGAACCCCATTTGCAAAGAGCATGACTTTAGGGCTCTGAAGTTTCGCAAATGCGGCTACCGTGACATGCGTACAGAGCATGAACATGTACGAACGCACAACGACCCTCCTCGTCTCGTCATCCCCGAATACAATCCGAACCGAGTGCACGCGAAAGAAATTGATCGAACACCCACCGCTCCACCGGCTATCCAAGGTCCTTCGTCGTCTTCATCATCATTTATCAATGCTGAACTTGACGCATCCGATACCACACTAACATCACAATCCCAAGTTCTGATTCCTCCTTTTGCACCATCATCTTCCGACATGTCTGCGACTAACTCTATCAATTCCCATACCTCTTCTGATCCCTTCACGAATGTGGAATCGCTACCCTTCATACCCGTCAGTTCGTCCCGACCACGCTCACTGAGCGTCTCTGGCGTTCGTAGCCGCAATACTGTGTCTTGGCCAAGTTCACCTCGTGGCATTCCCACCAATTCGATCACCAACCCACTTCCACTGCCCTGCAACGCACGTCATCCTGTGCAATGGGAGGGTTGTGGCGCATATTTCTGTCAATATCCCCGACCAGTGGGAGATAACAGACCTCAATGCCCGGCAATCCTCAAGGAGTGCACCGATTGTGCAGTACTTGTGTGCGATGTGAGTTTTTGACCTGCTACTTCGCTAAAGTTATACTAATTAGAACCAAGCAATGCACCGCTTCCAATCCTGTTTGCACATGTACATATTGCACCGTCAACTTTCACTGTCCGACGTGCGCTCGGAAAAGGGATGTCAGGGCCAAGTGTCGTCTCGAAGCCGAACTAAAAGCCAAGCGAGAAGCCGAAGTGCGCGCGAGAGAAAAGATGGAGAAGGAAAGAGAAATCCGGGCCAGGGCGGATGAGATAGCAGGCCAGGTCAACGAGTTCTTCGCATTCCTCCTCCCACAGATCGAGGAGTACATAGCAGAGACCCCAACCACGGAGCAGGGCGAGGACCTTGACCCAAGCCCCGAATCAGAAGACAACAGCACCAATCAAATTCATAGTCTGGATGCCATCACCGTTACCACGGCGTTTGGCGTCCACGAGGAACCTAACAACGTCACCACCATCTCCGCGTCGGGACCCGCACACGCTGCTGCCATCACCTCCACCGCCACCGCGATTTCACAGCCAGAGTATGCCTCTCTGCTCGACCTCATGGACGATGCGGTGCTCACTGAAGACGGAGATGACATAGTGGACGCGGAAGATTCGCTACATGACGATGGCGACGATGCGGATATCGACACGGATGATTTCGACGCTGAGAGCGCTGTCATCGATGAGTTTATGGATGAGGGGATGCTTACGCCTACGACGTCGTCGTCGTTGCATGCGTAAGGTCACCCTTCCAGGAGGAATGGACTGGATGAATAAGCTGGATTATTCTCGGGACTTCGAGTGCGTGAATGGAACAGAGTGGAAAAGGAAGGAAAATGCTTATATATACTTAGATTTTTTTTTCTATCATCTTATATTGTTTGCTTTGTCGTGTTTGCGACGTGTCAAATCCATGGAGGAAAGGAGGATGAGCGAATCTGGAATTTAACTTTTTTTTTTCTCGAGAGACTAAAGCGAGAATTGAAGAATGAAGAAGGGGAATAGTGAAAGATAAGTTTAATATGACAGAGAGAGATATGAATTTGAGGACTTTTCTTTTTCAAAGTATAAATTTTCATCGCACGTGAGAGAAGTTGTCTGCCTACCTAGGTAGGTATCAATAAATACATGTTTTAGAATGGTGTACGGCATAATTTCTTGTCTGCGAACTCTTCTCTTTTTACTAGACAAGTAGTAGATATTTTCAATCTTCTTCCCCTCCTGCCCTTTCTTTACTACCAACACGTTTCAGTGCTCTGCCGAAAAGAAAAGAAAAAGACTCCTACTCATAGCTTTGAAAAAGTGATGGTTTGAAATTGTCTTCTTCTATCGCGTGAGGAGGGATCTCTATCCTCTCCACGTCTATCGGGGAGGGGGGGGGGCTCTTCAATAATACGTTTTTTTTTTCTGTCAACCTGCTCCTTCCACCGGTCAACCTCCCCTTTATTTCCCGTTTCCCCCACCAAAAAAGGAGAATGATGATAAATCTATAACAGTATGCATATAAGAAAGTCTCTCCACGCTTGTCCCTCACGCAAGGAGGTTCGAGAGGAAAAAACATGAACAGGACGTTAACGTCCCTCCAACCTCAACCGATCCAACGTCCTTCCTTCCTCCCTTCTCGAAACCAAGAACCATATGCTGCTAAGCCAACACAGCACAACCCCGGTCCAGCTATGTCCAGGCAGCTTGAACACATTGACAAACATCAGCTGGCACGCGGTCCGCGGCACGGCCACGAAAGTCGTCGTCAGTGGGCTCGTGGCTTTGACGAGCAACAACGTGCTTGTGAAGACTGCAAAACTGCCCATAGTGCCACACCAAACCATGAACCAGAACCAAGGGAGGTCAAGAAAGGGGAGATTATGTAATATCCTGCCGACGCCGCCGGAGACGAGGACGAGCGGGGTGAGGAGAATGATGGAGAGCAGGGAGGTGTAATGTAAAATGCGGTAGTAAGCGCGAGTTTCCTCGCGGTTGGGGGATGTGGAGTCGTCGGCGGTGGAAGGAAATCCGGTGACGAGGCTATCGCCTTGCGGGATGAGGTCTGCGACCAGAGTGCGGTAGGTACGGAGGAGGAGGATTGGGTAGAGGGCAACGAAGAAGGAGGAGAAGACGCCTGCGACTATGGAGTCTTGGGTTACACGGACGTTTGCGCTTAGGCTGGCGAAGAGGAGGAAGAGGGTTGCGCTGAGGGCTGAGGAAAGGGTTGAGCCCGTGGGGTTTTCTTTGGAGAGGATGCACGAGAAGATGAATGCGAGGGGGGTTACGCCAATGCGGGCGACTTGGTATACGGGGAGTGGTGCGTAGCTGAAATTTTGTGATTGTGTCAGTATGATTATCCTCGTGTCTGTCCGGGGAAGGAGGACTTACGCAAAAGAGAAATTGCTAAGAACGACTTTCATAGAAAAGGTCATAGCGAGCGGTAAAACCTGCTTCGCTACTTTCCAATCAAACTCGAAAAGACCACCACCAGCTATGCCACCAGAGCCATTCGTCAACCATCTCCCGAACCTCACCAGCATGGATTGCGGCTTGTTGGGTGCGCGATAGCCTCCGTTGGTGGGGGTAAAGGCGCGAGCAGGAGCCACCGCCGCGCCGAACCCCAGCGTTCGAAGTGGAGACGCGAGTCCGCGTGTAATGCTGGCGAAGATGATAATAAAAGAGTGTGTAAGAACGAGTTGGAGGTAGCTGTGCGCGAGAGGGAAGGGAAACCTAGGGTGTGTTAGCAACGGTTGCTTCTTGAAGCTGGCAATTAAACGTACTTGTATGTGCCCGTGAGGATGATGAAGCGATTCATCAGTAGCAGGCCAAAGCTACATCCCCCTACCCAAAAGACTAGCAAAGCAACCCAGATTTGCCATCCTAACCATGTGCCAAAGAAAAAGTTGCCCAGTCCGCCCTCTCGCCATATGCCCCTGAAGGTGCCACGGCTCCCTCGTCGATCCACACTGTGAGAGACCAGAGGACGAATACTATCGGCGGGCTCGAAGTAATCGTCGTCCTCGTCCTCACTCTGGACGGCGCTCCTGGATCGCGGGTATGGGGAGGTGCTGCGACTGCTGAGGTCAATGAGCGGCAATGCAGGAGCTTGCAGCTCGCTGAGCGAGTGGCTGCTGGAATGGCTCATGCGGGAATTGTCCATTTGGGCGTACTGTTCGACGTCGGAATGATCTGTATCATCGAGCGAGCTGGCGGAATTCTTGCGGCGAGAAGAGTCGGAGTAGCGATAGTTGTCGTCCTTCTTGGAATGGGTCGGCGTGGAGGAATTATTGTTTAGGAGAGAGAAGGCAGGGCGGAAGAAGTTATTAGCGCCGCGGGTGAAGGGGCGCGAAGAATTCATGCTGAAGACTGCTGCACCGCGAGTGCGGGGAGAGAGGAGGCCATGCTGACGGAGAGAGACCACTGGGAGGAGGTTCGTCCAGCAAACATGTGTCTGGTCTGGTCTGGGCAAAGGCAGGTGATTCTTGTGCTGTGCACAGCCAGATGGTGGTACGCGGCACCCTAGGTAGGACCCCTGATTTGACGCCTCTATTATTAAATAGGCATCCGCGGGACTAAACAATTTTCCGAAAAAGGGTTCTGCATGTCCGCATTGGATTTATGTATTCAGAGCATCTGTCTGCGAGAAGAATTGCACAATAATCATCATCATGACGGTAGTGTGGAAAGATTGGTGTTCTGTTGATTTACAATTGGCGGCCGGGGAGACGTCAATCAATATGTGATGGTACTACAATCGTCATGCCCTTTTTCCTTTCCTCTTTCTTCGTTTACTTTCGCATCATTCGCCATTGCTTACTCTTTTGCGCTGAGTACCTCCTTCACGACCTCAAGCACTCGGGGCAGAAGAGCCTTCGGCGCACCCACGATGCCATTGTTCTCCTTCAGCGTCCTTCCAATGCCGAAGTCCAATGGCTTGCCCCAAGCATCTGTCACTTCTCCCCCGGCTTCCTGCACAATCACAACACCGGCAGCATGATCCCAAATCTTCTCCTCATACTTCTTCGCGAACGGCAACCTCAAATACACATCTCCTGCCCCACGAGCAATCGAAGCGTACTTGGCTTGCGAATCCATGCGCACGCTGGGCTTCGTGATGCCGAGCTTAGATGCGATGTTGGCTTGGTCGCCGTGGTTGGAGTGGCCAGACTCAACACTCTCGCAGAAAGTGGCGTCACTCATGTTGGTGATGGACTTCATGGAGATGGGGTTGGAGGTTTGTAGGGCGCCTTTGCCGAGCGGGCGGCTCGCTGCGCCCTGGCCCTTGACTGCGCTGAACAGCACGCCTTTGCCCTCGCCCGAATCAGCATCAGCGCCAATTGATGCGTCAAGTGGCGCCTTATCATCGACGGGCAGGTTGGGACAGCCGAGTACGCCAACAGTGGGCACGCCGTCCACCATGAGGGCTAAACAGACGGCATATTGGCCGCCACGTAGAAATCCCTTGGTTCCGTCGATGGGATCGAGAGCCCAAATTCTGCCTTTCCTGCCTCCAGCGCTGTTACCTTTGTCCAATGCATCCAACATAGCATCACTGCTCGCAATGGGTCCTCCAATCTTGTCCTCGGCAGCAGAGTCCTCAAGCTTCGCGGCTTGTACCAATTCCCAAACCAGCTCCCGCAGAGACGAATCTTTGCGCAGGTCGTCGGCATCTTCCTCTCCTACAACCTCGTCTTCCGGGAAGGCGTGCTTTATGGACGAGATGATGAGGGCTTGGGCGCCGAAATCGCCAATCGTCACTGGAGACGCATCCGACTTGGTCAACGTGCCTTTGGAGTGTGACGAGAAAACGGATTTGGTGAGAAGAGTGGCACGCTGAACGGCAAGGAGCGCAACCTCGAGTTCCTTGTCGTAAGCCATTGTCGCAATTGATCTGTTGGTTGAGAAATTCGGACTGCGGTGGAGGATAGTGGGGGAGGAGGGGTAGAAGTGTTGGGTCAACTGGAACAGACGCGTTGCGCTGCGGGACACGAAAGTGGGGAGGGGGAAAAGTGAAGCGGCCAGGATGAGTAGCGGGATCAGAAAGTATTTAAATGACGATGATGTAACGTGCGGCGACATAGGTGTAGACGCCGTGGTGGTGGATTGCGGCGAGCTACAGTACCTGTCTAAGCTTCCCCGTCTCTCCAGTCTGTGCGCGTCTGTAGATTGATCATATTGATGTGACACACTATGAGTTCTGCTCCATGTGGCAAAGATTTTCTTATTACCCAAGTTGAATCATTTACAATATAAAAAATCGACCAGGTAATGAACGTATCGCTCCAACTGCGGTTGACGAAGTAGATTTCACATTAACACGAGATAGACTTGGCGCCATCATCGGCGAACTCGGAGGTGTTCAGCTGTCATGGAGTCAAACGCACGTCTCCAAAGGGAATTGATTGATTTTTGCCTTTTCCCGTTTATCTACTCTAGGTTTGCAAAGACCCTAGCTTCATCCCGGTATACACATTCATGCTTTTGCTCTGAACGACCTAGCCAGGTGCATACAGGCAGGTTCACTCTACGAGAAAGCTTGGACCCCCAAAGTAAACAAAGAGCATCCACCTGCCAAACCATACACAGGCGCCCTGCACATCGCGAGACATCTCACACGTACACGATCACGCTCTCGCTAGCATAATGTCTTCGCCTTCTCGGCCGTCCACGCAAGAGCCAGCGCTGGCCACCACCAAGCGCAAGTTTGACACGCTCCTCGACAAGCTCACTGCCAGCGCTTCGACCACCTCCCTAGCAACCACCCTGCGCGAATCCAATGCCTCCGCGACCTCCCTCACTAGTCCTCCACCCCCCGAACCCAAGACCAAACGCTCTCGCCTCTCAGACATACTCATGGATCGTTCGCGCCAGGTATCTGGCAACGAGCGAATCCAAGCCCTCAAGGACCAACTATTCACTCCTCAAAAAGATAGTCCTAGGGCGACTGTTGGGACCAGCGTGCGTGCTGTTGGAACCAATATCAGATCACCTGTGACTACGACAACACCGCGAAAACCTATCAACTACCAACCCTACAGCCAGGACCAATTCCTCGATAGACTCAAGACGTTTGCCGACGTCAAGAAGTGGACCAGCAAGCCAGATCCTGTTGGCGAGGTCGAGTGGGCGAAGCAGGGCTGGACTTGCGACACATGGAATACCGTGGCTTGCAAAGGAGGGTGTGAGCAGAGGGTGGCGGTCAAGCTTCGCCCGAAGCGGAAAGATGCAAGTGGAAAAGAGATAGACATGAGCGAAGACCTTGCGGCAGACATCGACGACGGGCTGGTCGAAAAGTATCGAGAACTTATTGTTGATGGCCATCATGAAGATTGTCTATGGAGAAAGCGCGGCTGTTCAAGTGGGTGTCCATGAAGCTCTTCGTCGTAACTATTGCTGACTATTGCCAGATGACATCTACCACATTCCTATACCTAATCGTGCCAAGAGTACCGGGGACCTCCTTCTCCGTTACCGTTCATTCAAGGCCATCGCCAAAGATCTGCCAACCCTGGAAAACCTTATTTACCCCGATCCACGTGTAGAAGACATACTTCGCCGCGTATCGCCCTCATTTTTTGCCCCTCCAGGATCTGATATCACTGAACAACCCCCCAACTCCCCCACCGACACCGTTGCATTCCTGCTCGCGCTTTTTGGCTGGGCAGGTGTGTCTGAGTCCCGGATATCTTTGGCAGTCTGTAATCACTGTTTTCAGCGTACAGGTCTTTGGCTCTGTGCCGACGCACGCCTCCAGGAGATGAGCAAAAAACTGTCCGTTCCCATTGAGACGCTGCGGCTCAACCTCGTGGAAGCCCATCGCGAGCACTGCCCATGGAAGAATCCCGAGACCCAACGCAATCCGCTCGACGGGCCCATTGCGCACATGGCCGGCTGGCAAACACAAACTTTCATGCTCCTAGGCAAGAAGAAAGAAATAGTAAAGGAACAGCATCAGAGGAACATCGAGAGTGTCGATCTAGGCAGCGAATATACTTACCCGAGGGGCAGTGTGGATAGTGGACACACAAGCTTCATAAAGGAAGACGAAGACGACAAGCAGGAATCGAGATGGCGCAAGTTCAAGGCCAAGCTGCGAAGGACGACTAGCAAGAAGAGCTTGAAGAGTGTCAAGAGTGCTAAGAGTACGAAGAGCGTGATAGATAAAGACAAGGAGAACAAGTGAGCGAATTCGAAATGTGGCATTTCTTCATGTAGCAATGGGGGCTTATATACATATTCTGGATACCCGTCATCTTCTCAGTTTTGGGCAAGATGCCTCAATAATGTACGAATGGATGAGTATGAGCACATCTGTTTCGTATAGGTAGCAGCCGATCTTTCCATGGGCTTCTCAATAGTATTCATGGACAAGATAGAAAGAGTGAAGCACAACCTCACTACCTTGGTAGACAAGGATGATGCAAATACCACACTTTTTCAAAGTTCCATGGTACCAAACTTGAAGGACGCGTAAGTGGTAGCCAACCGCTAATGCCGATCACCCGTTGTGGGGTACATACTTTAGTACAAGTATCGGCGTAATCGGCTCAACTTCAGACTTTGAACTTTCAACGTCTATCTATGTAATTCTGTATCTTACTCTCTTTCGTTTCAGTCCTAAATCTTTCTGGAATTTAGGCTCGGGGCAGAATAGAAAATAAAATCAGAAACTTGCGCCGGGAGACGAAGGTATTCTGGGATGAACGCAACATCCCATAAATCTATCTTACCTCCGCCTCACGCTCGCCTTCGTTACTTATCTCTCACTCAACTATCTAGCAAAGCATCGAAAAGAGAGGAGACCAAATATGCCATCCAAAGGCATAATATGCTTTTCCTATAACACCATTCCTGATCTCTCCATCACCTTCTCCGTCCCAGGCAAAACCATTACAAAACGCTCAACCCACGAACACACAATCGACCACCTGGAAGTCGAATCCTCAGCACTCCCACGCTTCAAGTTTAGTGGAGAATTCTCCTTCAGCGTACAAACCACCACCAACAACAACAATGAAAAGAAACTCACCAAACAAAGCGTCCTGGTCAACACACTGACCGGCGCCCTCGAAAGCGGAACCATGAAAACCATGTCCGAAACGCACAGCATCTTCACAACAACCAATGAAAACAACCAACCTAAAGAGGTAGTGATAACGTTCATCTTCTACGACGCCGGACCCGGCCTCGCACACCTCCCAAAACAGCACCACTGTAGCGTGACCACAACCCTAAACCACTCCTCCTGGATGACTCTCACCATTCCCTCATCCTCACCCTTGTCATCCCGTCCCTTCAAGAAAATGGTCCTTCCGTCCGCCCACGACGTAGGCATGAACACAATGTCCAGCGCCACACACCTCCTCTCCCGCAGCGGCACCGGCGCCATCAAAGAAATCCTAGGCCGTTCCCTCCCCCACGGCCTCGACCTCGTCAACCGCCTCTCCGACAAAGCAGTAGCGCGTTTCGCGCCGGACATTGTCCGCGCCCTCGCCGTCACGCAGAAAGACTCTGTGCTCGACTTACTCCGGATCGGGGCGCGGTATTTTGAGTTTCGGCCTGCGAGGTGTCATGGCAGGTTACTTGCTTGGGCGCCTACGGACGCCGATGTTGGGAAAAGAGGGGGCGAGGCGTTTGATGATACGATATATTTCCAGCACGGCGCGATCCCGGGCATGAAGTATCAAGATTTCTTAGAGGAGGTGGTGCGGTTTCTGGCGGAGAATAAGGGGGAGATTGTGGTTGTGCAGAATCGGTGGGATGGGGTTCCTGGGGAATGTGCTCGACCCAGTGGAGAAGAGCTTCAGCGCGTCTTAGACGATGTGCTGAAGGGGAAAGAGGATACGTTGAAAGCGGGTGGGATAGATGATGTGTTGAACAAGAGCGTGCAGCAGTTGAGGGATGAGAAGATGAGGTTGTTGGTTTGTCAGAATGTTAGGCAGGTTTCGAATTATGATGATGATGCTAATGCGACGTTGGATGGCGGTTCTATGGTGGACAAGTTGGAGAAGATGGCTGAGGAGCCGCCCAAGGGGTTTCCGCTTACATTGCTGCAGTGTCAGGCGACGCCAACGAACATTAGAGATGTGGTGATTGCTTCGGTGGTGGATTGCGATGTCTCGACTAGTCCGCTGTTGGTGTCTAAAGCTGTTTGCGATGCAAAGATCTTGCCGCTGCTTGGGGGGAATGTTGGGAAGAAGTTGATGGAGGGACTGGGTGACGATGGGCTTGTTGCGATTAACAATGATTTCTTGGATGGTGCAACTGTAGAGCTTGCTATGAAGTTATGTAGAGAGAGAATGAGCTGAGTGTTTTATTGTAGAACCGTTCGAAGAAACTGGGATACATGATGATGTTAAGAAAGCTCGACTTTGGGGATGTTGGAGTCATACCATGATGTTCTTATAAAATTTGCTCTTCTGTTCGTAGAGCTACCTGGCGTATCATAGAAAGGAAGTTTTTCGCTTGCTCAATCACTCATTAGATCAGTTTTCGATGCTGATGATTGTTCACTGGCCTACATATTCTACGGTGGTGACACACTATATATTTCGTTGAGGATGTTTCAATTGGTCTCTCAAATGGTTGCGGAGGCCAATGCGTCGTGGCTTCCTATCGTGAATCTCCGTAGGAAAAGGCGTGATCTTGAAGAACACTGACACTCTTCTCATTTCCAGGATGAGTTAGTGGAGAATCTCATTCAGCAGTCCGATTTAATCAATATACTTCTCGCACCCAGAGCCAATCTGCCATGCATATTTCTTGCTTCTGTCCGATCACGGGGTATTTGACTGGGAGTGATGTGCATCTTGGTGTCGTTGTGCTGTATCTGATTGGATTGGGAAGTCGATGAAATTCTATAAGCATTCTGCAAGAGTATGGGAATCGGGATTTGTAGCTGAGTTTTTCTCTCCACGGGTTATTCTTCAGTCATATAGTTGACGCTATACCATTGGTCTTTGATTTTCTTAAATCTGTAGAAGTGGTGTGAGTGGGATAAGGAGCGCGTGAAGCAATCGAATAGGACAATTTCGAATCATAGAATCTTTCAGATGAATAATTGTTTTTTCGCAACTTGCGAATTCAATGGCGCAACCATTTTGTTCAACTACTATCCGTGATTCCATCACAGCGATAGCCAATACTGTGATATGCATTATCAAATTGCGAAGTAGGGATTGGACAGTATATGCACCCCAAGAAATAAATGGACTGTATGGCTCTCTTACTTTCTTCTGTGAAGCAACTTGTACTGAACACATGAGATTTATAAAGTGCTGCCATACCCTCGCACCTTTGCTTAAAGTCTAGCACCTCAAGTCAACTGACGACCGAACGACAACAGCTTAGAGTCTACGACCTTTCGATTACCACCACAGAAACCACGCATCATCAAGCTTCATCGAATAATCATGCCCAACAACAGACTCGGGTATCATGAGGATACCTCATCGAGGGCAGAAGTACGCTACGGACCCCAAGCTAGACGAGACCATGACAGCACACGAGGATACAACGACATCCTGAGTCAGCTTCATGCCCGCGATAGCAATACGTGTAACAGGCCAAGAAGATCGTCTACCACCACCACCACCTTGAATGGTATTGCTGTACCTACGAAAATCGACAGTTCATCTGACTCAACTTGCTCCATATGTTTGGAAGAGTACAGTGAAATCCACAGCCAGGGCCACCTACCTATGAAGATACGGATTTGCGGTCATATATTCGGCGCTAAATGTATTCGAAGATGGCTCGGAAGCTCAACGACATGTCCTATGTGCCGAAGGCAGCTCAATGCTCTACCCAGATCACCGACTTTTGCTGATCTTTATTCGACAGTTATCCACCCATCACCGTCAGATCTAATTCGAGGTTCTGCGATAACGACACCCCAACTCACGCCATTGAGGTTCACTCGATCCCGGTCGAGATTATCCGTTGAAATCGTAGCCATAGGATTGTTCCCGGGAGATGGAGCTATACACGGCCGGTTCATTGATGTGTTTGCCTCTCGGACGTATTTCCCGCCAGAGAATCCTGTGGTGTGGGCCGCGTTGTCTTACGTTATGACTCGGGCAATGAGAGAAATCTGCGAGCGGTCAACATAAAACAATCAAATAGGGCCATATCGACAGGTCTATATTCTGATTGGTTTCGCTTCGTGTCAGCAACTTCACCACTACATCTACCAGTTACGTGGACCTTAAAAACCAGTCGTCGCTTTACCTCAACAACCCGTCATGCCATCTATCCCCTATCAGAAGTCTCGCGTTATTCTGAAAAAGCTTGAATGTGGTGGGCTTGGGTTTATTCTCTAGCAGCTGGCTGCCCCTAATTGTCAAAGATGGTGCGCGGATGGATTGTGAAGTAGAAATTGTTGCGCGTTCGGATCATTTATCGTCTTGAATATTACGTGGATATCAAACGTAGTTTGCACATAATACTGTAATACGACTGTTCATCACACCTTTCTGTGAAAATTCTGCTGAATAGGTTTTAATAATGAGAAAGGTGGGAGGTTCATTGGCTATTAACTCTCTACCATGGTGTCGGACGTCAGCGATACGCGCGAGACCATGGTAATGGGTGCATGAGATGACCAATGTAGTTGCTTGAGGACATATGGGTAAGACATCTAATTATACATCCTCCGGATGTTATTTTCATGAAACATGCAGTTGCCCTTCTCGCATTGTTTGATTGTGGGGGCGCAAAAAGGGTTGTGGTTTGACCCGGACTTTGCGGCCACGGGCGTAGCCGCTCGCGTTGTCTAATCACTACTTGGATGTTTTGAATCGGAATACTGCACAGATGTCGCAACAACAAAACACCGGATCCTTCATACCAGGATATGGGCTTTGTGAGTACGTATGAGCCCTTACCAAATCTGTAAATCCGTTAATCTCGCAATTTCGCATATATGCGACCTACTGCTCTTTTGTTGCTTTTGGGAGATTGCGAGATCTCCAGACTACGTTCATATACACAATGACTGGAAAACTCCTTCATTCTCAGTGAACCACTCTCCTCGATGGCTAACAGTCCCCAGGGGCCAAATCCCTGGAATTCTTTTGATCCAATTGCCCACCCTTCAGCACGAACGCAATCATCATCGACATCATCAACGATATCATCATCAGAAATTTTCGAATCATCAACGACACTATCATCAATACCAACAGACATAATACAGCCAACCACCGCTTCTGACCTAGCGCCCACGATTTCTAGCACGTCGTCTGAAACTACGCCGACGTCTTTAGGATTAACGCCGACGTCATCAAGATCAATATCAACATCTCCATCTCCTGTGTCAAGTTCTGTGCCAACGTCCTCGAATTTTGACCTAACACCGACCTCGTCCAACCCATCACTTCCTACCAATAATCCGCCGAGCTCTCCCACCAGCCGTACAGCGCTCATCACTGGCATAACTTTTGCTCTTGGCTCGCTCCTCCTCGTAATCGCCGCATTAACGGTATACTGCGTGATAAGAAAACGGCGTCGCCGACTGAAAGCTTCGAGGAAACTGGAAGCAAAGAACGAAGAGCATGGCCCGGTGGAATCGCGTTGGCAAGATAAACCCGAGCTGGACGGGGTTTTAATTCTCGAGTTGGAAGGAAAGACAAACACTGAACCAAGAATAAAGTACGCTGAACTGGATGGGGTAGAGGCTGTTGAACTGGAAGCAGAGTATCGTGCTGTGGAGTTGGCGAATGCAGAGATACCCGTCGAAGCTGATACCACGACGCACCAGCTCAGCGTGACGAGAGACACTGAACAGGAGGACATTCCTCCTGACGCTCCTGAACGCACTTCACGGGTTGATGCCGGGTCGACAGTCCGGCAACAATCGAGCTTTGGCTGAGATTGCTGCCTAATTGAGTGGGCACAGCCACCCGACTCTCCCATGCCTCCGAAGCGAGAAACGGGTCATGAAGAACTTAGTGAAGAGGAAAAGCCTAAACGCCCAATAATTCCTAATAAAAAAAGATGAAAAAACATACAGAATTGTCTCACTATAGCGTTGAAGACCGGCTCTTTGATGTATAATTGTAACTGGGGAGGTTGGCAGCGTGGAAATCTATTGTTCCGCTCCTTCGCCCCCCTGGAGTGGATGCCTGACTCATCCATGTAAGACGGGACGACTGCATATAACAACAAGATAGTAGCCTACTGCAGGTTTCATTCTTCAGACCAACTAATCACGGTATTCAAAACCTGCGAAACCGACCAAATCATGAACGAACAATCGAGCAGAACGACAGACAATATGTCCCTCATGGACCTACCACTTGAATTGTTACAAAATATCGTCAGCATAGCCTTCGATAGCGGCTCATATACGCCCCTGTTACGTCTTCGAGAGGTCAATAGTAAGTTCCGTCACCCTCTATAAGTGTAAAGCCGCAAATTGCAAAGCCGCTATAGTCTGTAGAAAGCGTACTTCAACAGGCGTCAGAGACTCGGAAAGCCACCTACTTGCCATGGAATCCCACCATGAGATTGGCCCAGGATTCTCGTCAGATTACCCTGGGTACAAAGGCGCATACAGAGATGCTACGTGATGTAGTGCGCTGAGGTTCTGACGACCTATTGTTATATGTTTGGTTCGATTATACTCCCTTCGCACCTGCGGGATTGGTGTTGCTATGACTAATGGTGATTTTAAGAATATTTGGATTATGAAGTCACGAAGCAGTTCATGCGCCGCCGCATCGGAACCATACGATCACATGAGCGCGACAAGATACCAGCCACTTTCAAGGAGCGTTTAATTCTCTCCTATCTGGACGATCGCACCACCCAGGACGACAAATTTGTAAAGCTCATGCAACTAGTAGCAGACGACATGGCGAGCTTGATCCAGCAATTTCCAACTTTAGACACTGCGCACTTGCAATCTCGCGCTGACATCTTCGAAGCCATCAGCACAGCAATCGTAAAGTTCGGCTATGAGAAGAAGATCATGACAGAAAAAGACGAGGAAGAACTTCCTGGTCGTTGCCTTCGACGACGGGAGAGCAGTGGACGGCCTTGCCTACGTCATACGTGCAGTGCTGCTGGATGTAAAAAGAAATTCTGCCGACACAAACGTAGACCTTACTTCAAGCATCAGGGTGTAACCGAAAGAGATATAAGACGCACGAGCTGTATGATCGGGGTCATACTAGACTGGCCAGATTATGTCGCCGCACTGCTGAAAACGGAGAGCCTCAAGTATACCGAATGGGGGTCTTTGTGCTTTGGAAGGCCTCTGGCGACGGCAATTCGATTGTGCTGCACGAAGGTCATGCCGCTATTCCTGGAAAGGGGGATGCGGATTGCATATGCGAACCAGTACAGTACATCCGTTTTGATCGACGCAGCGGCAAAGGGAAACATAAATGTTTTCTTTGCACTAATGCCTTTTGCGACGAGGAAACCATACTGGGATCTGCCTTGGGGTGAGATCATGCACGCTGCTCTTTTAGAAGAACAAGGGCGTCTGATAATGCTGCTGCTTGATCGTGGTCTAGTGCATAGACATGGCACCTCATTTTACGATGTTCTGGAAGAGACGGTGTTGCTCAAAGGCACCAAAGCACTCCAGGCCGTGTTCTCAGAGGCAGAGATGAAACCAATCTTGCTACCGATGGCCGGCGAACCGTTGGGTGGACCATATTGAACATAGAAGAAAGGTCGTATAAGATGTTGCCGAGCTCGTAGAATGACTCCCAGGAGAACGAATGATAGCTTCAGGAGCAGCAACTCCCTATATGCAGCCTTTAGGGCTACTCAAGCTCCTGCAGACAGACTACCGCTAATTCCGCCCTCGGGTAGCAATGGGTGATTGGTGTAACCTGTTTCTTTGCAAATGTAGAGTTTTGGTATCGAGAGAGGAAAGTATCGGGCTAGACAAGGCTCGCTACGACTTTGGTGCACAGGACTGATGTGATCTAATCCCATGATTCCATTCTGACAGGTGAATATCGAGGACTAGTCGGCCTGGGGATATCTGAAGAGCAGTGGCAATCCGCGATCTAGGATAGTAGTCCCTCAAGTCCATTTGGAAATTTGATTGGGGAGAAGCTTTCTGAACATGTCCAACTGCTTCACATGCAAAGCGCTTTTCATCCCTTGCACCTGCGGTTTCGCTTGCAGCGTTTTGTCAATCCTCTTGAGTGTCCCCGCATAAACTACAGTGAAATCGGGGAGATGCGTGTGCGGCGGTACGATGCAGTGTGCTGAGACAGTGCAGAACTTCAGAAGCAATGTCAGTAAGTTATTTCCATTATCTGTGATGAGAACACCGCGTACCTTGCCCACTACACATCCCCTCCCAAGCACAGCTCCGGCCTCTATGACACTCGCCTCGCCGATTTCGGCTGCTTCAATAATCGCACCCGTCTCAATTATGACGTGTCGCCCTAGAAAGGTCCCGTCGACTCTCATACTCTCTCTTGAACTGCCACCCGCTGCAGAACTGGCGCGTTTGTCGGCATCGCCGCTACCAACGCCCACCCGCGCCCGTTCGTACACAATGACGCCTTCACCCAGCACAACAGGAACTATCGCGCTACTGATCTTGCTGTGAGGGTGCAGCACGGTGTTTGGGCCGACGGTGATGGGATGTATGCCTGTGAAGGAGGCGTGTTGCGCGACGAGCACGGAGGGGTCGAGAAATAGAGAGCTGGGTTTCGGGAGTATGGAGGTGCGTTTTTGAACTGCAGATGTACGGCGGTCGCCGGACGGTCGGGCGGGTGTTGGGGCTGCCATTGTTTGTGGTTGTGCGTGACTGTTGGTGAGTTTAGAGATTGAATTGGTCCAGCACGGATGCTGAACCTCGGGAATCGGGATGCTCCAGTGCTGGATCGCGTCAGCACGTGACAAACATCCAACATTTGAACTGAACGTCCTCCATGATTACAAGATTTTCTGTTCACAGAAAACGGATGATCTACGGATTTTAGTTTGTCGTTAATTGCACAAGAACTGGCAAAGTGTCTACGTGCCATGTAATGGAATGATCATACCTAGGTATATGCTTGCGTCAATCACTTGAAGCGTTTTGAGTACTTGGAGCCCTGTTCGAATATTGTTTAGACCGATGGAGACTTTGCTTGACATCAAATTGTCTTATCACTACGCCATATATGTTTGCCTTCAATCACGCCAATTTAATTCTCTCCACTATCTTAGAAACCCTCATTTGACAACGTATTCGTGAACAGCCTAGACAAACCGTTTACCCACAGTATTTAAGTTCATCCAAGCCCTTTTTATATATCTCAATCTCGATCTCATTCAATTTCGAAATCACAGTGGCGCACTCAACTCCCATTTGATTGAAAGTTACCACACCTCAACCTCAAATCTCTTTTCTCACCATGAGCTTTTTCGACACCTGTATCTACTACTATTGCTGCATGCCATGCTGTGATCACTTGGAGGAGGATCATTGCTGCTACGGTTGTTGCTGTTGCTGGTGAAAGGGGCAAACTGGATAAAGTGGAGGGTCGGTCGCGCTATGGATTGGTCTATACTGGGATGAAGGAATGAATCAATTTGATATAACGCAATTCAATACCACTACAACTCACGCGCAAATATTTATAGTAAGTGGTAGAACTGAAATTTTGTATGTGAGAGTTATCTATACACTACACATTACGGACTACCAGACTTTATAAATTTGTTGATGAATGACCGTGTATGACAGAATCACCTTAGGCAACGCCAGACTCGAATGATCAATCACTATCATGCCCTTGGATGTGATCGTATCTTGATTTTATGAGCTCCGCATCTTGCGCACTCGTGTGAGGTGTCTTTGTTTCATTCTTATCATCCTTTGACGCTGCTCGTTGTTCGCTCTGATCGCTTTCCACGACCCAGCCACAGAATGCTTTGCAAAGTACCCCTTGTTGATACCGAAAGATAGCACGATAATTTTCAGACGCGTGCTATGTATATGACGCTGAAGAGCTAGTAAAACGTCCGCAGCTGTGCAGGTATTGTCTTCTGTCGAGAAGCGAAGAAGATCGGGATCAATTATAATGTAGACTTCGTCGAGACCTGCGAGGGCGCGATCTAACAAGACCAACCAATCTTCCTGACTAGATGCGGCGCGAAGGCTGGCTAATGTGATTGGAAAATTTTGTAAAGCCAGAGCATCGCTGTTAACTTCAAGGGCATGTAAGAGCAAAATTCGAAGAATATCCTCAACACACGGATCTCGGTCTAGAAAGTTTGCGAAACGTAGAGCCCAGATCGCTGGCCGTTTGGCGTTTTGGATTTGCTGCAGGAGACTGAGCAACAGAGCCTTGCCGTAAGCTGAGTCTGGCGTCTCAATGATCAGATAAGGCAAATTGATATCCTCTGACCAACCGCGGAGATCGTTGACTACCGCGTTCGGAAGAATAACGTATTGCGGATGTCTTTGGGCAATGGCGGAGCAGTAATTCAGGCTTTTCCCAGAAGAGGGTATGTCTGACATGAAGGGCGCTGACATGATCTGATTGAGCTGTACAGTTCTGATCATAGCAGATTGAGAATGTATATCCAGCTGAACCTGAGAAGAGAGCGATTGAGAACCTGTTGCTCATTAGCTACGAATGAAGTTACTAGAATAGAAACCATACGGGACATAATTTGTAAAGATCGTTCATTTCCGAGTGAAAGAGCCTCTCCGAGATGTTTGATCTCCAGACGTGCGAGACTAAGTTCCTGATAAACATCTTCAACTTTTGTGTGTACAGCACGCAACTCTGCCTGGGCTGCGGTGTTCGCGATCTCATTTATATTCTTTGACAACCCATAAACTTCATCGAGTTGATCTTGAAAGTCGAGAGCGAAGGGTTTCAGAATTGCTCCGATGGCCCTTCTAGATCTGCTCTTTTGATACCAACGCATAGCATGAACCATGAACTGTATAAGATGCGCATAAAGTTTCGCGACAGCTTCCTGCATCTGTATCGTGGGATATAGAATATGTTTCAACTCTTGTCTGGGTAAACAATCCGCGATTCTGCAGAGGGCTTTTGAGAGTTGGTGAACAGACTCCTCGTGATTCTCTACTCCCTATTAAGTGCGGTCAGCGCGGCACTCAAAGCCAGAAAATCATCATACTATAAACAGAAATTTCATCGTTCCCCACACTAGCGCCGCGTACTCGGGGTGATGTTGGACCATGACATCTAGAATAGAGCCATATACGCTGATTCTCGCAGATAATTGGGTGAGCCATTTCCAAACTCGAGTATTCCGCTTAGCACTGTATTTGTCTTGTGCGATCTTGACGGCCTGAACAATATCTTGGATGGAAGTTTGAGCACTTGTCCATAGCTGGTCTTTCTCGTTATCATATAGTGTGTTGATGAAGGTCTGTTTCCCTTCTCTTAATGCTTTCTCCAACACATCGTCGGAGCTGTCTGGTGGTCAATCTTTTGTGCCTTAAGAGATTCCAACCGACGAACCTCATCAACGAGTCGTTACTGTACCAGCCTTGCAAGCGTTGACGAAATGATGGATCCACGCCCAAGCTCCCTGGGTTCGAGATACCGTCCATTTGGTTGTGTGGTGACAGTCTAGATTTGTTTGACACATGTGAATCACGAAATCGTTATACAAAGTGTTCTATGCGCTGCCTGATTGTAAACACAAGGCAGACTCGAAATGAAAGTCACCTTTCAAGGCACGTGGTCAGCAGCTGTGCGGCGCAGTCAATCCTTCAGCTCATTCGCTCATGCAGGCAATGTTTGTAATCACGAGGCTGATTCGCCGATCATCTATTTCAACCGCGATCAGGCTGGCAGCGATTCAGGTCTAGCCATTTTTCTTATCTTCATATTCCAGTAGCATACTGTAAACACGCTATGAAAAACGGGACCCCTTCTTCGCTTTCTCGCGATCGATATGAGGTCTCCGGTCTTCTCGGTCTGAGGAGTATTCTCGGTAAACGTAGGCTGGAACATAGCCCGCCCGCTGACACGAAGAGACACTCAAGCAAACACATACCAAACATTGAACAAACCCCTTCTGAAGATGGAGATTCCGGGTCCAAACAGTATGAGTCGGACTCTGACGACGATGGGCGTCAAAATGTCGAAGATGAACGCCTGCCGGGGCCGGCCAGAGGTTAGTTTTTCCTTTGCCTTCATGGTTGTGAAGCCGAAAAAGGCTGTACCTTCTGCATTACCTGTAGCCATGCAATTCCAAGTCACTAGACTGATGATATTCACCCCTAGAAGGTCCTGCAGAATCTCGTACGAGCGGTTTCAATACCACCTACGACCGCCATATGACGAGCCAAAAGAACATCTTCCAAACTCGTCTTGTTCACCGAAGACAATCGATTTCGTCTTTCGAATGGACAAGAAACATCACCGAGAGCGCACTGGATACTGTACCTGCCCAAGAAGATAAGATAGCTGCATCGCGCCGCCAATCTGAGTTTGCCATCGTATACCGTATCAAATGTGACGCCTCCAAAAACACGTCTATCTATCATGATGAATTCTTCTATGAGGATGACCCTCTAAATATAGATCTGACAGGAAGACAACGAACTTCTCACATCTCAGGAACGATACCAGTTTATCAACTTCATGAATATGCCCGGTCATTCAGTCACTCTTCTTTCCTAATCATCAAAGATCGACATTGCGGAGCCCGTTCCGGGGGGAAATCTACTCAAAGAGAAAGGGAAGAGACTATCTTAATACTCAATGAAGACCTTCGACAAGCGATCCAGAGAGTGACAACTTGCTCGCTTGAAGACTTCACCAACAACAAATCCCTGGAGTTCCGTGCCCCTTACCAATATTTATATCACCACGAGAAACTCCTCCGTACGCACTCTCAATCATGTGGCCCTGTGTTAAAGGAAGAAATCGAAGCTGTCATTCGATACGTCGTCGCACGCTATGGTGAAGAGTATACTGAGACAGAGAAGCTGATGTCTCGGGGCAAAATTACCAATCAACATCTGGACAAAATTTTCTGGCCCAACCAGCTGATAGGGCATTCCTTCATAGGAAAAGGCGAACGGCTACACAACCCTTACATAGTTGGGGTTGCTGCAGGGTGGCCTCATATACAAGACTCCGTAGTAAACCTCGAAGTCTGGAGCTGGAAGATTTCGGGGAGGAAGTGCGTACGAGATAGCACAATTTTCCGAATTCGCGTACCTGTGGAAGACGACACCGAAGAATTCCCATTGATACATCTTAAATTGTTTCCACTATCTATCCTCAATGAGTCGTTGATCCATTCTTTGCGTCAGCGAGGAAAAAAGGCATGGGGCCTTCGCCATTATCATTATATTCATCACACGGGAGACGAACGCGTAAAACCGGGGAGATACATGATTGATAAGTTCATGTACGATAAGCTGAATGGATTCGAATTTTCAGATCCTTTTGGGCTACGAAACACCCAAACAGATCCATGGAGACTCGCACTGGACAGCGAAGCTGAACCTACAGAAGACGAATTTCTTCTGATGCCTACGTATCTTCCTGGTTACGATCTACTAGAGAAGGATTGGGTTGATCTTTCCGTTGATAAAATCGAGCCTATTCAGTGGGAAAATTTGCCTTTCGATGAAGACTTGGTACTACCCGCCGAAACGAAACGTTTGATCAAGGCGATGGTCACAGTCCGAGCATCATCAATTAAGAAGAAGAAGGAAGAGCGGAAAGACAAGGAATTTGACATTATTTCTGGGAAAGGGAAAGGGCTCATCATGCTATTTCATGGCTCTCCAGGAACTGGCAAGACTCTGACTGCTGAATCGGTCGCCGAGATCGCACAGATGCCATTGTACCCGATCACGTGTGGAGACATGGGCACCGACCCAGACAAGGTTGAGTCCTATCTGAGACTAGCATTCAAACTAGGACAGCGATGGAATTGCGTGCTCCTGTTAGACGAAGCAGACGTGTTCCTCGAGGCGCGTGGTCAGGCCGACCTTCAACGTAACAGCCTCGTATCGGTTTTCCTCCGCATGATCGAATACTACGAAGGGATTTTGATTCTCACTTCAAATCGAGTTGGGACGTTTGATGAGGCCTTCCGCTCTCGTATCAACATCGCTTTGCATTACGAAGACTTGAAACCGCGGTCTCGTAAGCAAATCTGGTCTAACTTCCTTACACGCCTGGAAGGCACAGAGCACGGCGAGAATGTGGAAGAGATCAAGCATAGGCTTGATGAGCTGGCGAATCATAAGTTGAATGGACGTGAGATCAGAAATGCTCTATCGACAGCTAGACAGCTGGCGTCTTATGAAAACAAGAAGTTGGATTGGGAGCATTTGGAGTTGGCAATCAAGACAGCAAATACATTTGGGAGATATTTGAAGGATTTCCATGACATGAACAATAGCAGCTGGGTAGAGGAGAAAAGGATACGGTGATTTGAACTAGCTGGAACACTGACTAGTTGCGACAGGCTCATTGTGCTGTCTTCTCTTGTTCGCATGTCTTTGTTGCTTTACAATTTCTTCTTTCTCGGACTTATTTTCTTCTTTCTTAGTTTCTTTGCTCCCTGGCCCGGTGCCGAAAGCAAAGCTCCTTTTTTGGGCCTTTTGGTACTCGCCTACTTTTCATCACTTTTTTTATCTGCCTTTTTGAGTGTAGGAAACACTGTAACTTCCAATAATAAAAATCTAAAACTCTCAGCTTCTTTACACTCTTAGTTTGGTAAAAATTTGTAACGAAGACTTCGTTAAATGCTCTTACTACTTGAGCATTCCAATCCGATTGATTCATGAACTTGAATATGTAGACCATCCAGTTGTCCATATGCCTTTGCATAACAAAGCAATAGATGTTTCCACAGTCTACCCTCCACGAGCCTTCTTAGATCTTCTTCCCATTATCTTCCCGCTGTCATGCCTTTGTGAAACCAACTACATTTGTCACTGTTTGTCATGTGCATAGCTCCCATGGTATAAATGTACTTATCTAGAGTTGATTAGCCATTACTGTCCGTCGAGCAAAAGGTTTGATGGGAGAGAAGGAAGAGTAGCTGTCAATCTCTGAGTTGTGGTATGGAAGCCGGGCTCCAGGGGTGTTCAGGCGAATGGGCGTCACGTTTTGGGGAGAGAGATGATTGCTAGACCATCGAGAGGGCAAGGACATATGTTCATCACGCTCTATGGAGAATTACGGCTGCCAAATTTAAGAGTAGCGCCTGTATAGCATATCAGGCGAATTAGATCCTTCACTCACGCAACGACTGCATTAGCCTCCTTCTCTCGCCTCTCTTCATCTTTAGGCCCGAGCTTTCCAGTTTTCCGCAGGATATTCTCCAGCACTACTTTTATCTCCTTCAAGAATCGATCGACCTCCTGTTCGGTGCCTACGGTTATCCTCAAGCAACCGAGACAGCCGTACTCTTTACCGCGAAACCGAACAACCACACCTTTTTCTTCCGCAAGACCTTCATAGACTGCAAGCGCTGTCTCGTTGGAGGGATTTCCACCTTGATCAGAAGGCGCATCAAGCATTTGGTAGAGCAGGAAGTTTGACTCTTGTCCGCCGATCAACTTTCCAACGCCAGGTATTTGAGGGAGTTCGCTGATTAAGCGATTTCTCTGCTGGATGATCGAATCTTTATTCCTTTGCATTGCGCTCAGGTGCTCTGGTCTCAGCGCTGCTCGCGCGATCTGGCTGGTCGGATTCGAGATGTTGTATGGTCCCTTGAGCGAGTTCAATATCCTCGCAATGGCTGGATCCGTGAAAGCTGCACCCAACCGGATACCTGCAAGACCAAATGCCTTGGACAGAGTTTGTAGAACTACGAGATTGGGCCACTCGGTGACCCATTCGGCGAGACTTGAGCCTTCTGGCGCGAAGTCGATGTATGCCTCATCCAACACCACGACACCATTCCAACCCTCGGTCTCAAGTATGCTCTTAACATCTTCCTTTTTCAGCAAAGTTCCAGTTGGATTGCCAGGCGAGCATAAGTATGCCATCTTGATGTCTGATTCCTTCGATAATGCTTCTTTGATTGCCGGTACATCGAGTTGGAAATCGGAAATTTGTAGAGGGACCTTCACGAGCGCGACATCATTGACTTGTGCTGAAACACTATACATTCCGTATGTTGGAGGACACACGAGAATTTTATCGCGACCGGGGACGCAGAAGGCACGGAGGAGGGCATCGACGGCTTCGTCGGAGCCAACGCCCACGAAAAGGTGTTCGGGGGTGAGGGTCTTGTCGGTGTGGACGTGGGTATTGCGCAAATTGCAGAGGTCTTGTTTGAGCTCTATTTGATGGCTGTACCCGTCAGTTCCTCGAATTCATGGTTTTAGTATGTTCTGAGGAACGTACGGATCCGGGTATCGATTCAGCCCAAGCAAATCTATCTGAATCGCGGGTGACGATGTAGAGTCGTTCGTCGTTGTGTTGGACAGTTGCCCATTGTTGTCAAGCGTTAGGCCAGGACCATACGCGTTCTCATTCGCATCGAGAAGGATATTCTTGCCGTCGTCCTTGTAGTCGCTGCATGTTTGTTAGTGTTGCGACAAGCGTAATCGAGTGCGATTGGACGTGTCATACTCTCGTGCGCATCGATACGGCTCCAATGCTAGAATGTTGGGTCGCGCACATTTGGACAGATCGAATGCTGAGTTTGTCGGAGTCATTGTGTTTGTGGAATGGGAGATATGTGGTGGTTGTGTTGAATCTGAGGGCTAGATCTATTGACTAGTGGGGTTCTTTATAGATCGTGTTAGTGGGGCAGCGAAGTCGGGGAAGAGTCACATCTCCGCCATCATGACTCCTACAAACAAAGAATACAGTATGATTCAACGCTCTAATTTGTTTTAGATCGCCATTTCTTGGCTTATCTATGCTGAATTTTTCATGTTCAGTTTCGTCAATTGGTTTCGTAAATTTCCAAACAGAATTGAGGAGTCGAGTCTGACATTCAACCGCACAAAATCACGCTGGATGTTGGTAGACTTCAAACATCCAATGTCCTGGGTTGTTGTATATATGTTGGATCTTTTGATTCGGGTTGCAATATCGTATTCTTCTCATAGTAAGAATACCGTTGTTTACAGACGAGTTTAATACATTCTTCGCAAAACCAATCGCCCACCACTGTGGCCGAGAACTAGGAACCAGAAAAGCGTATGATACATAATGTTTTGTTGCCCGGAATCCTTCCTACCATCCCACGCTGGCTAATCAATTGACAAACATACGTAACTCCACGCTGATAAATGCGACACAAAACGCTCAATACCGAAGCCATTGAAAATCGTCATGAGCTAAAATCATGTTATGCCCCTCGCCCCAAACTACTCCTTCTGTAGCAAATCGTAACCGTCCAATTTGGATAAGGGGAAATAGGTTCCGACATTCAGCGGCTTCAAAACCTTTGAAGGCTTTCACGTTCGCTTGGAGCGTACCACGCATTGTGTCAAGCAACTTCTTGGCTTCCTCAGGCTCAACATTGACGCGGCGTGATGGCGTAGCCAAATGTGCTAACCCTGGGACCAGCATTGTCGGCGTGCGAAAATTCAAGACAAGGGTCTCCATGTAAAGGACACGAAAGGCCGGGTCGCCACTGACAAGGAGATTCGATATCGCTTTGAATAATATGGCGGCGTAATCAAACAACGATCCAGCAAAACTCTTCTTCGGATCCTCCAGGAGATGAGCCAGCTCATGGTCATGTGGAACCGAATCGTCCGAGAACCCGTCACGGAACGGATCCCGTACTCGCAAGTCGATGTTGAAGAGAACAGAGTTGACAAGGGGAGATAGCGCCGGGAATCTCTTCCAAGTCAAGGAAAAGAACGGTCGACCATGAGAGAAGGTAATGTCCAACTCGTAGTCTAGCCGCTTCGAAGCGGCCATGTGGCGAATGGCTTGTTTGAACTCTCGATTGATCTGTCGACATGTCCTCAAGAGCCCTCGGTACGGCCGCATAGGCAAGTGATCCCTGATATATGTGTCGGAAACCACCATCACCCCGCGAATCTGCGGTTCCAGGGCGTCGTGCAAAAGGATTTCATAAACATAGTTCCGTATCTCTAATGGCAAGTGTAACAAGCCAGGCATGATGATCTGCGCGATGGCAAAGTAGGCAAGAATGGAGCGAGACGTGAGCGACAGCAGGGATTAAAGCAGGAAATGATCCGATCTGACAAGGCGGGTTATCCGATCGGGAGAGTGCTGCAGTGCGGGTAACAGCGAAGTGGCATGGACAAAGACAGCAGAACGCTTCAGAAAGACAGCTACAGCTGTCGCATAATCATAGTTAACAATTGTGCGCCACATAGGTTGGTGAAACGTGAATGAGAGGCCAGACTCAGGCGGAGCGATTCTGATTGTGGCTGATTTAGAGCACGTGTTTTTGGCGCTAGAGGCTTTGCACGTGCCCGTTGGCGCCAGTCCTTTCCTACTAAACGAATCCAGACGGGTTCACCCGACTCATATACTCTGTCTCCATAATTTTTTCAAAATGTTCTTTTTTTCGTTTCTTCAATTGTACTGTGCTGTCATTCTCTACGAGCATGGATGACACAGCCTTGAGTCGTATCATTTCCAACAATGACCCTGCATTAACGCAAGGGGTCAGTGTCACCAGGGCAAGATCAAGCGACAAGGTCACGCCGCGTTCAACAACTCCCAAGATCAGCCAGTCCTCGAATACGCCTGAGACCCTCTCCAAACATGAAGTAATTCTGGCTCGTATGAGATTTTGCTATTCATGCTAATGAAGGAATAGATTGGCTGGCGTAGAGCAGTGAGGAACTTCTCTGAGTCATGGTTCTCGGTGACCATGGGGACTGGGATCGTCTCCCTTGTATTAATCACCATCCCTTTCAAGACAGACTGGTTGTATTGGATGTCGGTAGTGTTCTTTGGGCTAAATACGTTTCTATTCGTTTCCATACTGGCGCTGTCGATCTTGCGTTATGTCCTCTATCCCGAGATCTGGAAGGTCATGATCGCGGACAACACCAATTCCTTGTTCCTTGGGACCATTCCATTAGGATTTGCCACACTTGTCGAGTCCTGGATTTTCCTTTGCGTACCTTATTGGGGAACTTGGGCCGTCACTGTTGCATGGGTTTGCTGGATGATTGATTCCGTTGTGGCAGTCGTCGTAACTATCTCTCTGGCAGTTCTCTTGATATCCGCATCGGAGAAGCAGCAGTTGGACCGAATAACTGCAGCGCAGTTGTTACCAATATCAGCCACCATTGTCGCTTCGGGAACTGGCGCTGAGATAGCGAAAGTACTTCCCAAAGCGAATGATGCGCTCGGTACTCTTCTCGCGTCCTATATCATGTGGGGAATGGCAACTCCTCTTGCGATGACAGTGCTCGTCATGTATTACACCCGCTTAGCATTACACAAGCTCCCGCCACGCGAGATAGTGGTTTCCTCGTTTCTTCCAATTAGCCCACTTGGTATGGGAGGATATACCATCATGTACTTGGGGACTGTAGCTCGCGAGGTCTTCCCACAAACAGAGTCTTTTCACGAAGTCGCAATCATCGGGGATGTCTTTTATGCTCTTGGAATATTCATTTCACTCATCATGTGGGCGTTCGGGCTGACCTGGTTATGCTTTGCCCTCGCTACGATATACTACTCGCGGCCGTTTCCTTTCAACATGGGATGGTGGGGGTTTACTTTTCCTCTTGGGGCGCTCGCAATCAGTACAATGGAGTTCGGAATCCAAATGCCGAGCTTGTTTTTCGGAGTAATTGGCACGATTCTGAGCGTCGCCGTAATCTTATTATGGTGTGTCGTTGCTGCTGGGACTGTAAGAGGGGCTATCGATGGTCGACTCTTCTATGCGCCTTGTTTGGCGAATCTCCCGAAGACCACAAAGAAAGATGACGACGTCGAGAAATAGACAATTCCCGAGAATATTTTGGGTGCAAGAAAACTCCTATCGATTCTTAATTGATGAAAAGCAAACACATATATACATATTTACATATTTACACATTCACACGGTGCACGTAACAGAACCATATCGTGACTCCTCAAAAGTGCGGAAAGCCAGCCGCATCCCAAAAACCGTTTCGTTCCCTTTATGCAGCAGCGTTGCATTGTTCTGGGTCTCATTAGTTCTCATCTCAATCAATCACGCGATCAAACTTACGCTGCTGAGCCTGACAATCGGCTGCCTTGAAATTTGCCTGTTGAGAATTGACCAAGTTCATACAGGCGTTCATTTGCTGATCGCAAGATCTCTGCAGCGCAGCACCAGCATTGACAAAAGTATCTCCCTTGACGAAGAAGGGGCGATCCGCATTTCCGGAGTCGAGAACGGGTGTTGCCTTGATACCGCCGAGGGCGCCGGTGAACTTCTGGGCATCGTTCTGGCGGGGGAGGACACGGGCCTGGACAGTAGCCAGGATGGCGAGGATAGCGAATGTGGTGAATTGCATGATGATTGAAAGAGAATTTTCTTGCGAGCTGGCGCGAGTTGATAAATGAATGTATGGAAATGAAGAAAAGAAAGAGATGTAATAAAAGAAAGACTTGGAATGAGAAATTAGCAGGAATGACTGGAGTTTTCGAAGCTCCAACCCTTGCGTTTATATACACGTCCTCAAACTATCATCTAACCATAATTTAAATGACCAGGCCGCGACTTCAATGCCAGCGTTTGGTTGTTGTTAAGCAACATCTGATACACTAAACCCATGTCTGACAGTTGCTTGGAGTTGCTTGAGTGTGCTTGAAACCATAACTGTGCCAAGATTCTGCGCAACTCCTGCAACTTCATCAGCGCAACCAACGATAAAGAGCGCAGTGTAAACATTGTTTCCGTGGAGTATCGCCGATTTGCACGGAAAAACTACCTGGGGAATAATAGTGAATGGTGGCGTGTATGATTGCCAGACGGCGAGTGCGTTGCAGGATGCTCCGTGAGCGGATGGTGAGGCACAAAATCGGTGATTTAGGAGCCGCCGAAGCCTGGAGCACGCGTCACTTGTTGCGATACATTTCTTTGGCTCTCGTCGTTGTCAGGTGAGATCAGGAACAAGCAGACAATACTGCTAGATAAGTCGAAGAAGAGGGTGTTTCTATTTCAGAAATTCGAGATGAAATGGTTAGCGGTCTGTCCTGTCGATAATCATCGAGCCAAATTCAAAAATAGCGGTCACAACAAAGGCAAATCTTCATTGGTGTGCCTTGTGGTAGTCACTTACAGCTGATGAACTCGACCTCCGCTCTGCTCAAGAATGAGTTTGAGTACTCGAGAAGCGAACTGCGGGGGTATGTGTTGGTAACACTCGAGTGACAGATAACAGAAATGATCAGAGCGAGGAATGATTCGTGTATACAAGAGTTCTCCAATACAACTGATCTTGACTCCACGCGACGGGAGTGTCGCTACCGAACAAGCAGATTAGATCTAGATCTGGCTCCGGAGAATTTTCCCGCAAAAACGAAAGATAAAAAGCAAGATGAGTTGAAAGAATTGGAGAAATAAAAAGGTTGTTCATGTTTGGATTTTAATTCAGCCTCTGTAAGCTGATATGACACACTTCGAAGACATGGCTGTTACCTGCTGTTACAAGTAAATCCGTGGGGTGTAAACGTGGAGTAATGTGAGACATGAGGCGTTAAATCATAAATGGGAAATCTCTAGAGGGGAATTTCGTTTCGCTTTCATTGCCCCACGATATTCTGAAGTGGTAAGTAACGATCGTGCCCCCCTTCTTTGGCTCTGCGCATGTACCCGAGTAAACAACAGCGGGCCAAAAAAAGCAAAAAAGAAAAAAGTCCCCTTTTATCTCGATGGATAGAAAATCCGCCCACTCATTTTAAGTGGCTGTGCCGTCCTTTCCTTTTTATCTTATTCTCGCGGCATCCGCTTCCCCGGAAAAAAGAATTCGATATTGGTTTCAAAAGCTCGCACAAGCATCCGTCCATCAACCAATCAACCCGAAGTGAAATAACAAAAACAAAAGAGAAGCTACCCCGCTCGGAACGCTAAGCCATGATACGAAAACGTTCCCCAAGAAACGCCACAACTCTCAATCGAGACATGACACCGTTTCCAAAGCGCACCACGGAACCAAATCCACCTTCGTCGCAAGTATGTGTGTGCACTACCCCATGTAAGAGAATCATATTTTTTGTGGTCAGCATCCGCATGGCATCTGTCACGTCGCTCATCTAAAACGATCGAACTTACCCAGAGCAGTGGGTTATGGCATTCGTGATGTGACCATGCCCTACTCTACGTGTTTGGCACGAGAGGCTCCTTGAACCCGCGGAATCGGAACAGCCTGTTAGAGAACGGGATATTTGGGTACCGATTGAGGTTGTGGAGAAGATGGAGGAAGAAGGAAAAAAAAGTGTGTTAGAGAGGGGTGTAAGAGGGTCCCATTCTGGCGAAGTTGTTCACCACTGAAATGGATGCTTGAAGAAATATATCATCTTCCTGCTATCCATACCATCCCCCTCGTCTGCTTCCTCCTGCTATCCTTCAGTGGATGAAGAAGAAAGCGTGTCACACCGTCTCCCTTTGCATGTACGAAAGCTTGCTCTATCATAATGACTCTGGAAGACAACCCACGCGGTCGCCAAGCCATTGAGATTTCAACCGCGTTCAACGGTATTGCTCTTATCGTCGTTATTTTACGTGTCTATACGCGCGTTTTTATTGTGCGGCATTTCGGTGTTGAAGATGGGTTCGCTGTATTTGCTCTGGTAAGATCATATCTATCATCCATCGTATCCCCCCTGCGAACTGCAAAGGTCCGGGTGGAAAAGAAGATGTTGACTGATGAATATTCAGGTGTGCTCCATGGGTTTGACCGTAACAATCGGACTACGTGAGTTCACCCAATAAAATACACGTAGGATTGGACTTTGAGCATCTGGAACTAACAAACGATGAAATAGAAGCCATGTGCGGCATGGGCGAGCACCACACCGAACTCGAGCCCAACATTCTACGAGACAGTCTAAAAGTAGCCCTCTCTTTCCACCCTTCTATAGTTTCACACTCACTGAAGCTCACATCGCCAGGCCTTCTACGCCTCCCTGATAGTCTACAACCTCGGTCTCGGTCTCATAAAACTCTCCATCCTCCTGCAATACAAACGCCTCTTCCCCACAAAGAAGTTCCAGATCCTCTGCTGGATCGTGATAACCGTCGTTGCGCTACACACAGCGTGGGCGGTTTTCGGGAGTATCTTTGCGTGTTTCCCGGTTCATGTGTTCTGGGAGAAGAATGAGGAGGGTGCGTGTTTGAATCAGTTCGCCATGTGTAAGCCCGCCCGGCCTGTCTTTCCTCTTCCCTTACTCCCGTTTTATGATGAAGAAGGTATATGTGTGTGTGTGTCGATGATGAGAATGCTAAAAAAGAAACAGGGTTCACAAACGCCTCCCTAACCATTCTAACCGACTTCTCCATCATCCTGCTCCCCCTCCACACAATCCGCACCCTGTCCCTCCCTTTACACCAGAAACACGCGCTTACCGCTATTTTCGCAATCGGTGGATTTGTCTGTATAGTTTCGATATTGAGACTGCATTCGTTGATTGCGATTTCGAATTCGGACGACCCGACATTTGATAACCCGCCGGCAGCGACCTGGTCGGCGGTGGAGATGAGTGTGGGGATTGTGTGTGCTTGTTTGCCATGTTTGAGGCCGTTGGGGGTGAGATGGTGGCCGAGGGCCTTTGAGGGGGGGAGTTTGGGCGTGGATGGAGGGAGCGAGGAGAGTTTTTATTCCGAGGAGGTGGGGAAGAGGGAGGGCTAGGAAGGGAGGTGAGAAGAGCTTAGGGAGTAGATATGTGGAGGTGGAAAATAAGTTTCGTTACTTCTTCAGTATGTATTGGGTATATGGTATCATCTCGTTCAACTTAAAAGCTCAGCGATCTTCTGTTTTCTTTTCCATTATGTCGCTCAGCATCCCGGCGGATGGATCAAGCAGCAACCTTCCCATTCTTCTTCCGCCAGTCTCTGACACCTCTGTCTATCACGGCTCTACTCACACCGTCTCTGACCAGATACATTACCACGCCCAAAACCTCCACATTCTTGTTCCGGCTCTCGTCATCGAAGAACAGCATTTCTTCATAGGGAATCCCCGTATCCCTGTGGATACGCTCGAAGTGGGTCGTCTTGCTACCAGGGTAGATCTGAAGGTTGTCGAAGTATTCAATTGCACTTTTCGAGGAAGACATAGTAGACGACGAGGGTACTTTGAGTAATCTGAGCATTTCACGGCCCAAGTCAGGATCGTGGGTGCGTGAAGCGGCAGCGACGAGAATGGATTTTTGGTTGAGCTAGCGAATTGTAAGCTTGAGATAGGAAGCACCAACAAGGCAAAGAGATAGAATGAGCATACCGCCTCTAGTATACTAGGGACATGTGGGTAGAATGCGAAACCTTCCCCGTATCGATCCTTGACCTTTTGTCCTCCCTCCTGGGCCTTGATTGGGCGGGTGACGTGCGTATCGACCCAGAACGGCCATAATGTGTAATCCAGGTCGAATGCGATGATCTTGGGCAAGGGCAAACCATCGGTGAAGGTGTCTGGCCACATGGAACCCGCAGGTGCGGTTGTATTGGGATCGGTCGCGTTTGTCCCGCGGCGGGGCATTGTGAAGAATGTTGTTGGTGGCGGCAGCAGCGAGAAGTGGTAGAGGAGAGTGGATGCGACCAAGACGATGAGACTATGTAGGAGAAAGGAGGGCGCCACGGTGATATGAAAGTGGTGTTTGGGATAGCCGGTCGTCGATATAAAAAACAATGTAGGTAGATGAAGATGAATACATGTTGAGTGTGGCTAGCTGTGGCTAAACCGTGGCGTACCCCGCGACGTCATCGGCACACGGACCCTCATGACCCGTTGTCATGTTTGGACCTCATGAACAACCAGAAGAAAGCTAGTCAAATTTCCATGATGTTATGTAGGCCAAATGTTCGAGGGAGCAAGAAAACCAGAGAAGATGGCGAGTGTCTGACTGGAGCGTCCCCATGCCGGGCGTCACGATGAAGATGGGCGTTGAAATTAGGGTTCGTTAGCGCGAGCCCACTGCCAGGGGGAGAGATCTAGGGAGACTAGAAGGGCACTGGTCCCTAGTCAACTGCACATCATCCTCCATCCATCCATGACCCGTCCCATCACCAGACGGAGGAGCCTGCATCCGTCTCTAACTACTACATCCCTAGTCTGTACATGTGTACCGGACTCCCGTGGAGCTACGCGACAATGTACCGGTACCTATCCGATTTCCGTCTTCACCGCATCCATTCCGAAACCGCCATCACCACGCCTAACCTCCCCTACGTGCACCAGTCAAGTCACTAGAGATGCTGTACGCAGATCAGGAAACTGTTATGACGCTCTCTCGCATCTTTTTCTTCTTCCTCGTCTTGCACACCGTTTGGTTTCTCTCCACTTTCGCTGCCCCGTTTTACGCATGATTACCGCTACATCTTCCACTCCCTGTCGGCCATGTATCATTCTTCCATCCCCATGTGCCAGCATTCCTCGGCAGCCAAGCCATCATGACCCCGGATTTTCATTCTGGCTTGTTCACCTGCAGGCGAAACAAAAGCCAGAGATTCGAAATCTCAGGAGGACGGGGCTGCTAGTGTAAAATTGATTAAACGCTGCCATTATATGCGCTGGATATAACCAATGCCGAGCACCTGATTCGTCCAACACCAAATTGATACTACACTAACCTACGAAAATATGATTTAGCTACATGCATCAGACACAAGTATAAACAACACGCTCCCTCTCACCTTTGCTCCCAAGCCTTAGCTATCGTCAGCCGGGGCGTTTGTCCAGCAACGAAACCCTGTCCATTTTCATGTCTTGCTAACCTTTCCCTCCCATGAATCACTCGTGCACATCATTTCCTTCGTCTCCGCATTCTTTCCCCACAACGCTCCCGTATCATGCGTTCTGTTTGTCTCACTGAACTAGTCTCTCGCACGGCCCCGGTGAACGACTTCGCCCATATTTAAATCCCCTCCGCTACCTGCCCCGTCAACCACGACACCACTCTCAACCGGAGCTTTCAAAAACATGAAACTCTTCGGGGTACTACTCTCTCTTGCGGGGCTGCTTTCTGCTGCCCCAACCCCACAAAACAAACACCCGCTCGCTCTGCGGGACGGCGGAAATCTCACCGCCTGCCCAGGATATGCAGCCTCCAATGTTGTCAAGACAGACTCTTCCTTGACTGCCGACCTCACACTGGCAGGCGAGCCATGCAACTCGTATAGCGAGGACATCAAGAATCTCAAGTTGCTAGTCGAGTACCAATCTGGTTTGTTGCTTCCGCAAACATCATATAAGACATATGACTGACCGAATATAGTCGACCGTCTTCACGTCAAGATTTACGATGCCGACCTCAAGGTATTCCAGGTTCAGGAGGAGGCTTTCCCGCGGCCAGAAAACGGAAAAACTAACTCAGCTGATGCCGCACTTGAATTCAACATTGTCGAAAAGCCATTCTCTTTCACCATCAAGCGGAAAGAGAACGACGAGGTTCTATTTGACACGTCCAGCAGCCAACTGATATTCCAGACCCAGTATGTCCAACTTCGTACAAGTTTACCAAAGGATCCTCATCTGTACGGTCTCGGTGAGCACAGCGATCCCTTCAAGCTACCTACAGACAACTACCGTCGGTCACTGCTCAATTCCGAGTCTCCCAACATCCCCTTCAACTCGAACCTGTATGGTACTCATCCAGTATACTTTGAGCACCGAGGGGGTAAAGGTACTCACGGAGTCTTCCTATTGAACTCGACTCCTATGAACATCTTCATCCTCCGCGATGATGCTGGAAACCAATCTTTGGAATACGACACCATCGGTGGAGTCCTTGACTTCTACTTCTTGGCCGGAAGCAAGCCTCATGAGGTATCTAAGCAGTACGCAGATGTAGCCGGCTACTCAGCCATGTTCCCATACTGGACCTTTGGGTTCCACCAGTGCAAGTACGGCTATTGGGATGTCAACATGGTCGCCGAAGTGGTGGGCAACTACTCTACAGCTGGTATTCCCCTCGAAGTCATGTGGACCGACATTGATTATATGGATTTGCGTCAGGACTTCACTACAGACCCAGAACGCTTCCCTATCGACAAAATGCGGGAATTGGTGAGCACACTCCATGAGCGAGGGCAACGTTACGTGCTCATCCTCGACCCTGGCGTTCATGCTGTGGCGGAACAAGCTTCTTACGCCCGCGGTCACGAACAAGGTGTGTTTCTCAAGGCTGCTGATGGGAGTGATTTGCTGGGTGTCCAATGGCCCGGCAGTGTTGCATGGCCAGACTGGTTTGCGCCACAAACCACCGAGTGGTGGATCGATGAGTTCAGGCGTTTCTTCAACCCGGAAACCGGCATCAACCTCGATGGAATCTGGGTCGACATGAACGAAGCCAGCAACTTTTGCCCCAATCCCAACTGCGACCCGTACCCTGAAGGAAACCCTCCGATTCCCCAGAATCCCCCTAGACCTAACACTGGACGGCCCATCCCGGGCTTCCCTGCGAGCTTCCAGCCGACGTCCAACCTGAAAGCGCGTGCAGACACCAATCAATCTAAGGGTATCCCCGGCCGTGAATGGTTCAACCCAAAGTACTCTGTGTATAACCACCGTGGCGGTCTATCCGACTTTACCATTCCAATGAACACCACCAACTACGATGGTACCAAGCAGTACGACACACACAATATGTACGGTCACATGATGGCTTTGACTACCCACGATGCGATGATCGACCGCCGCCCTGAACTCCGCCCTATGGTACTCACTCGCTCCACCTTCGCCGGCACCGGTCGCAAAGTTACGCATTGGTTCGGTGACAACAAATCCGCATGGGAAGACTACCGCATCACTATCCGCCAGATGCTTGCGTGGGTTGCTATGCACCAAATGCCCATGGTCGGCAGCGATGTCTGCGGCTTCAATGAAAACACCGAAGAGCGACTGTGCGCACGTTGGGCCATGCTCGGCGCCTTCCAGCCTTTCTACCGCAACCACGCTGAGCAGTCCACTATCCAGCAGGAGTTTTACCAGTGGCCGCTTGTCACCGAAGCCGCTAAGAAGGCGATTGACACGCGCTATAAACTCATGGACTACATCTATACGGCACTCTACTACCAGACCAAGACCGGAAAACCAATGATCAACCCACTCTTCTACCTCTACCCCGAAGACGCAAATACTTTTGCCATCCAAGAGCAGTGGTTCTACGGCGATGCTCTGCTCATCTCCCCTGTCACGACCGACTACTCGACCGAGGTGACATACTACCTCCCCAACGATACATTCTACGACTACTGGACCGGCTCGAAGATCCAGGGTCAAGGCGCAAATGGTACGTACCGCCACATATAAATGAATAGCACACAGCAGACTAACAAGAAACTCAGTAACCGAAACAAACGTCAACTACACCTCGATCCCCATCCACATCCGCGCAGGCACAATCATTCCAACTCGTCTGCACTCTGCAAACACAACCGCCGAACTCCGCAAACAGCCCTTCACAATCATTATCGCGCCCTCGGACGCCGGAAAAGCTACAGGCCGTCTCTACCTCGACGAGGGCGAGAAAATCGCGCAGCCTGATGTCAGCGAGATCGACTTCTCATTCGACGGCGGAAAGTTATCCGTCGATGGCAGCTTCGGATATAAGGGCGATGGAGGAGAGAGCATCACAGTTGAGAGGGTCGTTGTGCTTGGTCAGGAAAAGGAAGGTAAGGTTGGAACATGGGATGAGGGGAGGAAAGAGGTTGTTGTCGAGGGTGAGTGGAGGTTTGATGGTGCTTGGGGGTTTGAGCTCTAGGGCTCGCGATTGCACCGACGACGTTTCTTTCCATCTCTCTATCTGCATATTTCTTGCATGGATGAGCGTTTTTCATTTCCAGTTACATGGTCAGCGAATTTCAAGATCAGTTCGTTTAGATGATGGGGCGTAAGGCTGGCTGTGTTCGCATTGTCAGATCCCCCATTTGCATGAAATTCCACGAATTACAACTTCTTCTTCTCTCTCTCTTTCTTCCAAAGTATGATGTCCGTCAGGATAATGTTGATTCTGTGTGTTATTTCACGCCAGGACTATTCGACCATCCTTTTTTCCCCTTGAAGAAGTAACATGGACAATCAATTCTCTTCGTGAGTGTGCCTCAATCTGACGGCGCAAAGAGGGGGGTGGGGAGGATACATGTATACATGTACCTCTACACGGCTCAAGGCAGCGGACGAGCTAATGCAAGATCATGTACGGTAGATCATCCATCCATCCATTCATTCAAGAACCCTTGTCCCCTGTCTTTCATGCACCACATGACCTCTCGCATCTTTCTCTCCTTCGCTTCCTCTAAAATGAGTTGACATTCTAGAACGACATAATGAAGACTACAACACCGCGAAATATTCAACTACGAATTCTATTCCGCACTAATTCCAATGAAGGTGTTCTGTGTACATAATGGAAAAAGCTAAGGGTACATAACAAGCCTCGCCGCTCGACTCAAGTCACCGCAAAATCGCTAACAGAGGTTTTTTCTTCTTCTTTGCGTCGCGTGCCGTTGTCTACCTCGTGACTGTACCCACTACCTACTCATGACCATCATGTATCCAACATTAGTTTCGAGCGGTTTAGCCGCGAGGTTCGCGCGTGTTTCGTTCGTCTCGAGGCTCGCATTGAATACGCACGTATGACGATCATCCGTTGTCCGGGTCATTCAGTATCCGTAGTCTTGGTATCTCGCTGCATGTGCAAACGTGCTTCTTGCTGTTCAGGGTAGGATATGAGAGGAGCGACCTGGTTCATGGCGTGTGGATCGGCAGGTTGCAGATGTCATATCTTGGGTTTGGGAGTTCAGGTGTACGGTGTGCGTGATGCACGAGTGCGAATCATGGTTGTGTAGCATAAGATCGCGGAACTCCGAGGGTGATGTACCTGTGGGGTGTTTGAAGCGAGAATTTGCGTATGATGCTGGCCGGGTGAGGTTGTTTTGGTTGTTTCGGTCGCGATGGTCGCGTGATTCTGGTTGTGCAGTCACGTTCGGGGTTATTTGAAGGGGGATGTTCGCTTCGTGATATCTCGCTGTTTTTCACTCTTTTCACTCGACGCGTTTTGGTTCCCACCCAGCCTGTGGAAATTGTGCAGGCGGAGGTGTTTGGGTTGCGAGGTCGTGCAATCATGGGTCTATTCCTCACCCAGAACCAACTTCCAAGCCCTTGACTTGACCCGCTAAGTCCCTCACATGGTTTTCTGGTTCTGCGTCATAACCGACCTCGATGTGGTTCTTAGGTCTGTTCTTGTTCAAGCCTTCAAGAAGCGTGCATGCTTTACACACCTCTTGACTAGACAGGTATCCGCACTTCTTGCACTTACCCATGACCTGTTTTGTCACAGCCTTGCGAGGAACTGATGCAGCAGCCTGACCTTTGATTTTCTTGGGTTGTTTCTTGATCTTCTGCTGTGTGCCATCGCGCCCGTGGAATGTTATCTCCACCTCGAGCTCGTTTTCCACCGCGGCTTCGTTCTGGGCAAGTTGGCGATCCATATTGGCCATTTCGCTACCCGCGTTCCTACCGTTGGAACTTCCGCACCCACCTTCCTCCTCTTCAGCCATAGGTATCGCACTGGTGCTGCTTCCGCATGCGCCACCGCATCCCTCGTCACTCCCGGGGCACAGTTTTGCCATGTCTTCACCACTTCTGACTACGTCAAGAATAGCGCTAGGCCGTACGCGCTCGAGATTTTTGATCAATGCTCGTGCGCTGCCGCGAAAGGCTTCGGGGGAGTAGATGCATTCCGTACTGAAGTAGGTGAGGTTTTTGTGGAGAGCGTAGAGGACGATTTCTTTTTCGTATGCGTATTTTAGGGGCTTGCTGCGCTTGATATTTGTATGCGATGCTGGATCGGTAGGAGATGAAGATGCTACTGAAGAGGGCGTAGATGTCACGATGGAGGTAGTCCGCGAGAGTCGGGGGAGATCACCCCGGAGTACTGGAAGGGTCACGAAGTTAGTGATACTATTCCCAATTTCCAAGACACAAGTATGAAAAGGGGAAGGAAATCCTTACAGTTCATGAGCACAGTTTCAGCAACATCATCGGCGTTATGACCAGTGACAACATGTTTGACACCCAATTTCGCCGCCCCTCTATCTAGGGCCTGCCGTCTGAATACTCCACAATACGTGCAGTTCCCCTTCTTTCCTACCTGTTCTACCACCTGATCCATAGTCCACCCATACAGCTCCTTGTAACCCAGAATCGTCAGTTCCATCCCATATTCTTTCGCATTCCTCTTCACCGTCTCCAGACTGTCATCTCTGTACCCTTTGATCCCCTCATCTATACTCAGCAATATAAGCTCTACCCCATAGTCGTAGCGCTCGTTAAGCGTTTTGAGAACGGAGGCCAGAACGGTGCTGTCTTTGCCACCTGATGCGCCGATGGCGATGCGTTCGCCACGCGCGAAGAGGTTGGTGCTAGTGATTGTGTGATGGATTTCGGTCTCGAAGACGTTGAAGAAGCATGGCTTGCAGAGCGCTGAGCGATCCTTCGGGCGCACAATAGCCGCAGGGTTGACGGTGCAAAGGGCGCAGGGCTTGGGCGCCATTTTTGCTGTTGCGAAAATCGAGGGAGTCGTTGTAGGAGGGGTTGAGTGAAGATGTTGGTGGGTACTTTTTTCGAAGCGGGGTGAGTCAGTGAAGTCGCGTGGGGCGCTGTTGGTGAGTCATGACTCTACTTCATATTAGGTCTTCCCCGGATCTACCACATCAATCTATTCTACTTTTGTTATGTATGTACATGTATCTACTATTCTTGAAAAGTTGGTCATAGAAAATCTCTGCAATAGCCGTAGATTACTAGAAATTCTATCCAGTGCAATAGCTATGAGACCGGAATAGCATTTTCCTAACCCTCCCATACATGCCTCGTGAGTACTCCCTTATACAATCCAGGTTGTTTTTCTCACTTTTTCAACCTGTAGTAATGTGAGTTTAACGGTATCTGCTTCATTCATGTCATCAAGATATATAGTAAATCATGAGAGCCTGTTGTTTTGGACTCGCCATTAATCGGTGAGCTGAAAGTTCCGATCGCTTGGTAGGCGATTGCGTATGCACTTCGCTCGCAACGCCGCACTTAGACTTCACACACCCGATTCCATCAATTCTTTCATCATCGACTGACCATTCTTCCAGTGAGATTGTTTTCGAATCGTCTTTTTGATCAAGATTATACGAAAATTCTAGTTTGATAGATCGCTTGTCTCGCCCTCACAACCGCACTCCCTAAGAACCAGCTATGTCTTCGGAAGGACCCCTCGTCCGCTCCGCCAACAGCCCTAAAGAAGCATGTGAACTATGGTGGCCACTGATGAAAGATTTAGGCTGGTTAATACGCCTTTAAATTCATCTTAAACAATCTATCACTAACCATTCTTCAGAACCGAAGCTCCAATGACGCACCCAGCCATTTCAAAGCCCTCCGTAACGGCAAAGACTGGCATCTCATCATCCCAAAACTAAGCACCAAACCCGAGGGGTGCGTCTGTGGCTTCACCTACCCCAACAAAACCGGATGGATTGGATTTTTCATCATGGCCGCAGCTTATCGAGGTCAGGGCCTCGGGCGTGAACTGTGGAATAGAATGGATGCTTCTTTTCATGAGAGTCAGACAGAGATGATTGGGCTTGATGGTGTTGAGGAGCAGGTTAAGACGTATGAGAGGAGGGGTTTCGTCGATGTAGCGAGGATTCCAGTGATGTCGCGAGTCTCGTTAAAAACGAGACCGTTACCTGCTGTTGAGCTTGATCCTGATGTGAAAGACCGTCTTGTAGATATGAAGTCTGTGGATGAAGATTTGCTAGCGAGGTTGGATCTGGAACATACTGGCTTGGACCGCTCCGCGTATTGGTTGAACAACGGCATTCACCACCACCGACAGAACACTTTCGGACTCGCGCTCGCGGAGTCTTCGACCGAAGAGCTACGAGGATTCCTCCTAGTGCGGGACTGCGAGCATGGACAACGCTTCGGACCGCTTTATGCCGAGACACTTCAGGGCGCAAAGGCGTTGCTGTATACCGCCATGGATCGCTCCAGCGATTCGGATGGGAGTATGATTGCAGAGGTCTTTGGTGGTAATCCAGAAGCGAGAAGATTGTTTGAGGAGTTGGGGTGGGAATCCGCAGGTGTCGATTATCATCGGATGTGGCTGAACGGTAAAGTTCCGGAGGAGCAGCAGGAAAACTGGAAGGGGGCATCGGGGATGTATGCCATATTTGATGCTTGTGCGGGCTGAGAGGGTTTTTCGTCAATAGTTTTAATATTTGAAATTGGTATTTCTTATGGATGCCACTGGTAACTGTGGAGATGATAGCTTTTCGCGAAGGAATGTTCAATTTCATATGATGCCTAATAGCCCCGAAGCTGGAATGGGCGACCCCAACGCATCACTTGCGTATTACCTTAGCATCTGGCCCAACACTCCGGTACGTTCAAGCGTACAAGCCTCTGACTATGCTTATGATTGGGTGTCATTCCTACAACCGCAGACCCCACTAGTCTTCTACACTACACGGGTGCACGGAATCCTTGTACACATATCTAGAGCTCCAACACAACAATCTAGACTGCAGAAAGCCCATATCTCCTGCATGGCCCGACTCTGTTGCATGAGCCCAATCATCTTTTCAGAAGGGAGCTAAAATTAGAATAGTTTGCGGGCAGAGGGAACTAGGCAAGTCAGGACAAGGGCCTACTAATAAGCAGGCGCCGCCATTGAAGCCTGCCTTGAACGGTGAATGATCAGATGGGCTTAGAAGTTCTGGCCAGGTTTTCTGGTTCGCGCCTCGAATCGGATCAAGAGCGGAGATGTTACTGAGGGGAGACACCGAGTGGATGACGGAAATACGGAGAATGGTTTGATTAGTGGGGATCCAATTAAACATGTACAGAAAACCGATAACTTGCTCGGAATGAATCTATCTGTTCTCGGGTATTGACATTGGAATAGGTAATTGTTATTGTAGAGGACCGCCAGAATGGGAAGTAAAGCAGAAGTGTAAAGTTTAAACTTAGCTCGTGTGGCATTGCGGCTTAATGCCAGCGAAGAATGCTTTTTCGTGTCTTTGACTAAACCTTGTCTCTTCAAATTTGTATACAACATGCTGTTGGGTCGAAAAGAGCGGTCGTGCTTGGTTTGTTTGAAGATTTTGTAGTCGCTTCTGGGAGTACTTGACCAGAATGAGAAGTTTCAGATGCAAAATTGGGTAGCAAGCTTGGGTCGTAGAATTATGGACGGCGAATACATCATGGGTGTACGGCCACCCCTCTCCATTTCGTGCAACAGAATGCGCTGGCTGGTATTTAGCGTAGGAGAAGTTGTTGGTGTGGTTGCATTGGATGGAAATGATTTGCGTATCGGGAACAGAGAGATAAAATAGCAGCAATGAATTTATGTGTTCCTGATTCACCGTCATATGACATTTAAAAGAATAGATCACGTTTTGGGTCATGATGGAATCGCATTGAAGCTACTTGCGCGCCCACTTCTTCTCAGTATCTCCTGTTATATAGCCTTTGTACATTGGTGTGCACACATATTTCTCGCTTTGACTGCCACATCGAGGGCACATATCTGCCCTCGCACCATGGCACCTGTCAACTGCCTGTCATCCATACTGATGGTGTTTACTCTTTTCGGACGTTCTGGCACAAATTCGTCATTTAGGATAGGCTCTGGTTTATGTGTCATTCAATCTCTGTAGGGCAAATCATAGACTCACTGCAAGGGTAGATAACCTTTTGGTCGAATAGCGGTTGCCGATAAGTGCACAGACGATCCGTTCAGTGGGTAAGACCACAGCCTGCTGTGAGCTTCATGTGTATGGTTGCGGGTCAAGCATGGTTCCTCCATCTTGATTAGATGCTGTGTGAATCTCAAGGATGCTCGTATCGAGTACCAACACAGTGGAAGACAATCCAGGATGTAATATTGAGTGCTGGCAAGCCACTAACACGACATCGTTGATATTGGAATCGTACACGCAAATCTTGGATTATCTGGGAGTATATGTGTTGAACAGATGAAACTTGTGTACACATGTTTATCGCAGTCGCTGACGGAACTCGATCGTCCTCTTCCCCTTTAGGAAACATTGTTAGAACCTTCCCCATACTACCACATCACACTGATTTTCCCAATGGTACATCAACTCGAACGACGAAATTATTAAGTCATATATACTGGACAAGGATGTACCTTTAGCTGGTTCCTAATCTTCCATTACCGTAACGTGACCTCGAATCCAATGTTGCGTCGTCCCACTACACTCAAAAGCGCCACAAAGCTTGATCGGATCACATTAGTGAAATGAGACACCACATAAACAGCCAGTCATTCGTCATCGCCCTCGAGCTTGGAGCATCATATTCCCAAATGAGGTGGTGTATCATTGACACAAGAGTATTCGTTCGCCTGAGTTTTGTAACGTCTTACACTTCTTCGGCGTTATCCGTGCGATAAGTTCGATACGACGACATACGACTCGCTTGGAAGCTGTACATTAATTACGACCTATGCTATCATTGAAGCCAGCCCTATACCAGTGTTCTGATATAGGTCTAAGCTTGGAACGCCTGCACATGAATGGAGAGAACGCAGGGGACCGCAGCATAAAGCTTGACTAGATGAGTGATACTTGAAATGCACTCTTGCAAAGGGTGCTGTCAAGTCAACTAAATCTTATGAGTTTCATTTGCTGCGGGGAATCCGCGTGTAAGGAGTGCAAAGCGGAGGTTTTGACATGCTTGTTACACTCGCCTGCAGTATCGGTCTTTCTTACATGTGTGCGTCAAAGCTGGTCTGATCGGTCGATGCCATTGCATGCGGTGTTCGGTAGTCACCGACATGGTGAGTGTTACAAATCTTGTTATGTCATGGTGCCTTGCGCATTAGGGTGTTATCCGCTGCAAGAAAGTGTAGCGGTAGAGATGGGTCTGTATGGGCCCTGCATGTAAGTCATCGAGGCCAATCTGGGGGCCAGGTAACACATTCCTCAGGCGTGGGCTCAGCCAGGCTTGTCAGACACGATCTTTGAACTGCAAAGCCACGAATGAAGTTTGCCTGTGAACTAACGCGATGGTACCACTATTTGTGATGCCCGGGCCAAGAAAATGATAGGTCAGATCTTTTTTTTAGGGAGGCCCAGCTTTCAATGACAGACGGGAAGGCTCCCGGGGCAAATACATTGAGAGAATCTGCTGGACGTAGCTGGTGCTTGTCGTGCAGTACACGTGTTGATCAAATGATAGTAAAGCGTCACAGGTGGTTGTTCGTCTTCATCGCATGAAGGCAGTGTGTTGCTGGCTATTGCGCATTTTTGCAAGCAATAAGATTTCGAACAACGTTAATACTGTGAATTGAAGGGACTATAATCGCTTCTAGGCGGTAAGGCTACCTAGTTCACGATACTCGCTATTGCCGAAGTGTATTTGCAGGCCCAGCATTTAAGCCAGCTGTGTGTATCAGACAGCACAAAAGGAATGTCGCATCTGTGGATCTTTCGAAGCTGAATACTTATCCGTCGGGACGGAGCTCGGCAGAAACATATTTTGACAGCCACGTCGTACCAAGCTCGGCTTTTCTAAATTACCAAGACGCGTTCGCAATTCCTTAGATCCACGCATGATGGCCTGCGGTGGATTTCCAATAGGAGTTCGTTGGACTTGCAAAACTATCATTGCATAAATCTAATGATCGACTGAAAGACAAAGCGAATTTGAAGAGATAAAAGACGCGATACCGAGATCAGAACAGAAAGGTTCTACGTTTCGACGGCGTTGTTCTTCGTTTTGTATGGCCTCTAGCTCGTTGATTGTGGCTTCATGTTCCAACTGATGCTTGAGCTGCCACATCAGCTGGTCCATCACCGCCAGATCATTCAACAAGCCCATGCGATAGTGTTCATGCTGAGTCTCAGCCATAATCGGGAGAGAGCATGAATTTCGTCAGCAAGATGTCTAGACATTTGACGAATGACGTACGTTTTAGTGACAAGTGAGGAATAACCAACCGAGAAGTGGCGGCTTGCGCGAAGGACCCATATGGGGTGGGGTGGGTCTGACTTTGACCAAATGGCGGCGACGAATACAGTATGTGCTGTCGAATCGCCACCGCTGGTCGAATGCAGTGACAGCGGGAGCATGAATAGCTCATGTGGACACCCACATGACAGCGCTGATGAGAGCAGGGGTTCATACGAGCCGGCCTCGTCTTCGATGCCGCAGTTTTCAGTCGACTTCTCAGCATCTATCTTCTGTTATTCTATAAATCTCAGAAATTCCTAGCAGGTGAATTGATGATCAACTGATTGCTTGGAAGTAGACCGGCACGAAGCGTTCAATCGCCTCCGTAGGCACATCTGGAATAGATCTAGCCATAATACAGCAACTATTAATGTTCAAGAAAGCAATTTCCAAGTCTAGTTGCGAGTGGAGGGTGCCCGCAGCGGTGTCTTTGACTCAGGAAGCAGTTTGGTGTTTCCATTCTACGTGTACAGCACAGGCGGTCAGGACTGAGACACTACAACACCAACTTTTCTCTCTGAAACGAAATTCTTTGTTCTTTAAGCGTCCGGTGAAGCATTGACTAGAGCAAATGCGCGTCGACATGGTGATGTGCCGTTGCTTGATGCATGAAATCGCTTGCGCTGTAAAACGCTGCGTGAAGCCCGGAGGCGCGCAATCTTTGCATAATTTCGTGCCATGATTATTTGGTGATTTTGCTCGGTGTTTTTCTAGGTAGGAAAAGAGGGTGGACCGACGGCAGTACGTAAAGAATCGCGACCTTCGAGTAGATACTCCACATCAAAACACATCAGCTAAAAGACATATCGCCAATGAATGTCATATCCGATTCATTTCTCAGTTTATTCATCTTGTATAAGAAGCAAGTAGCCGAGATGCTCATGGCACAAGGGGAGATGGGCACACGTTTGTCTGTCGGCCAAGCCAGGGACGTGCGTTTGTGCTCGCGGGTAACTGCATCAAACAGCGTATCAACTCGTTTCTCTTTCTACGCCGCCAGAGACCTTGGAAAAGTGGAGATTCATTGCAGAGGCGGAACACTGATCCAAGAAACTGGGAAAGAGTTTGACGGGGTCTTCAAGGAAGTGGGACGACTGCGTCTCCAACTACACTGATCATTAAATTTGAATTGTCGTTCAAATTGTTTTTCCAATTTCTAATAACATTTCACCATAAAACCAATTGAATACTTGTGTTGATATGAGAGACAACAACCTCGCTTCTACAAGAGTGGTTTGCAGCCAGTTTCAGTGACGAGAACTCGCACGGTTCCCTTCACGGCCACATGTGCATAAGAATTATGATGAGCTAGATGCTCAGACAAAGACACATCTCTTAAGTCGCCATGAGCACGTACTATGATTCAGTGCGAGATATGTGTTTGACACTGTACGACGAAGGGTCCCTCGACTTGAAGCCCCACCTCTGCACTCTCAACAATCCCTTCCTTTTGCTTTTTCGGTAACAGACATTCGGGGTCCAATGAAGATTGAAGAATAGTTGTATGGCTTTATACTCTTCCAAACTAACCTGGGAGTGTTTTGAAACCTGGCATATGCGCTCTCGCTCGCTCACCGGATGTTCATCTGCACTGGGAAAGCTTGGGCAAGCTTTGGTGCCACACTTCGCGGGTAGATGTAGGGTGTCCCAGTAGAGCGAAGATGCCATCTAGTCTTAAGAAGCTGGGTGTGGAAACACAGCGTTTAGTCTCCTAACTTCGATCCGCCTCCGATCATTTCCCTGGTTTTGAAGTCTTTCCGTGTCATCTTACCCGTCCCTCCGATTTATCCAAGCCGAACGGCCGGGGTAAGCCAAAGAAGTTGCGAGCTCTGGAGATCTGGAATACTTCCCTGAATTAGGAGCTTTTCTCTTGATTCTTGAATGATACTGAACTGTCATTTATCGCAGCTTGGTAGTGGCCAACCAAGCTGTCCTTCCATCATCCAAATTTCGTTGGACACCAAGCGAGATAATTAACTGCCACCACGGGTGCGTTCCGTTTGTTGGACGTTCACCTAAGCCATACCCCGAACCGATTTACACTCGTATCAATGTATCTCGGTTGTTGCAAGGCCCTTATTACACTACCGACCAACCAGCCAAAGTCTACTATATTCCAGGACGACGACCCCGACAGCTGGATGCTCACCAGCGGCCACTACATCTGCTGTCTATATTATCCAGTCGACTCAGCATATCTTTCGTACATCTAAAACATCGCGCTTTATCACTACTTTCAAAGAGGTCAGTGGGTCCAATACAGGCTCTTTATCGTCCTCGTGGTCAAGCTGCAAACGCAGTGCAGGTCATACTTTCTTTCTTCCCCATCAAACTTGAAGTCACCACCAAATCAGGCCGTGACCGTTCCACCACATCTTAGTCTCTATTCTTCTTATTTCCGACGACCCCTCTCTTCAATTCGCAGCCTCTCGATCAACGGGAAGGGAAAGCACAGACAACAGCACGAAATAGGAAACACCAACAGGCACCTAGACAACCCCACTCACCATCTGTATACTTTCAACCACGATACCCCATCGTTACACCCTGGTAGAGACCAAAGGCTATGAATATCCATAGCTTGCTAAATCCTCTCCTTGGGGATAAACGCGCAAGGTCGAACACCTCATCGTCGCCACCTCCGGTCCCGATCTCTCGACACCCAGCATTAGCAAGCAATGAGCCCACACCAAAGCGACTGGGAGCTGCAAAGGATGCGCCCCTCTATACTAATGCCAGACCCGTGGGATTTGTCAACTACCCTCCTTTTGACTATGATATCCACGACAACAAAGAACTCGCCGCTCATCATCGTAGCTTTTCCTTATTCCCCATGGGCGACGTTACCGGGAAGGGAGTAAGGCGCATACCATATGCCAGCCACAAGAAGGACTTTACAGATAAGACAGGTCGCGATGCTTTTGAAGGTGGGTCATTGTATATTTTTTCGCGAAAGCAAATGGTGGTACTGAACTATGAACACAGTGTACCATTACCATTACCACAATGACAGGAGGGAGAAAGAGTGGGCAGTAGTGTGGGACTACAATGTTGGGCTCGTGAGGATCACGCCGTTCTTCAAATCGCTTGGACATCCAAAGGTCAGTCACTTTGCCAAAGCAACTGAGCTGGAGTATCACTAACTATCCATCGCACAGACCGCACCTGCCAAAGCACTGAAAGAGAGTCCGGGCCTCATGGACATAAGCTACAGCATCACAGGCGGCTCACTAATCTGTCAAGGTCCGTTCAGCAACCCATTCCCACTCTACTACCTACTGCAAGTAAAAAACTACTAACACATTCTCCGAGAAGCAGGATACTGGGTACCCTACCAAGCCGCAAAAGCCCTTGCCTCAACCTTCTGCTACGACATCCGATGGGCCCTAACCCCAATCTTCGGTCCAGACTTCCCTTCCACCTGCGTGCACCCCAAAGACGCTTCGTTCCAGAAATATCGTCTCGACCCCTCCATCGTTCGCTTCTGTACACAAGAGACGAATCGTTTCCGCCATGAACGCGATGCGTACAAGATCTTGCCCTCGATTGGGCTTCCTCCGCTTCCAAAAGCCGCTCTGCCTCCTACATATTCACCGACGAGCTACGGAAAAGATATAGACGAGTCTTCTGCCATACAAGTTGAGGGCTATGAGGAAGATTCAGGAGAGATAGAAGAAGAGGAAGAAGGGACACCACCACCTACCCGCCCAAAATTCGAGGACCCAAACTGGAACCCCTATAGCGTTTCTTACCCCTCTCCCTCCTCGATGTCCTACACACACCACCACCTTCGACATCATCATCATCACACCGAAAAACCTACACCATCCGTACTGTCCCACCAACAAAGCAATATTCGTCTCCGCCATAATCTCGAGAACCCCCACTCTACCCGCAAACGAGCAAGCAAGAACGCACCAACATCATCCCCGGCAAACCCACCCCCTCCGCCATCATCATACTACCGCTCCCCGCAGATCTCTCCCCGCAGCACACCAACAACAACGACCTCGTCCTGGACACCGATCAATGGCTCGCAGTCACCTATTACGCCGTATGCACCAATCAGGGAAAGGTCGTTGCATACCCCATCTTCGGAAGCGTCGTTCACGGGCAGTCCAGGGGAGAATGGACGAGGGGTTGCGGTAGATGTTCCTAGTTCCGGTTCTGGGGGTGGGAAGAGGAGGGTAGAGTGGGAGAGCGGCGATGGAATGAAAGAAGGGCAAGGTGAAGAAGGGTTTTCAAGGAAGGAAATGGATGCTGTTGAGGCTATGTTGATGTTGAGGAATGCGGATCAGAGTTTGTCTAGGAAGAGGAGGGTTGTTTGACCGCAAGGCTGAGGGGTGGAAAGAAAGGTATTCTCCTAGGAGGAATCTGTGAAGTTTTTTCGGAGAGGGTGTTGCAAGGATGGTTTCTTCTTCCTTTTCTCTTCTCCTGGAGGGGTTGGTACGGATGGGTGGTTTTTTTTTCCTATGGGGGAAATGGGACTGGCATCTATTGTCTGGGGTTCTGGTACTCCTTTCTTTCTTTCTTTCTTTTTGTTTTTCCAATCTCGTCATGCACGTACACACACATACATACACACACACACACACACACACTCTCTCTCTCTCTTTATACCTCCTTCCTTTCGGTATTTTTGCATATAGGATGGGTTTATGATAGATTTTTTGATTCCCTTTTTTCCTTTTCATATTCATGTCGGGAGCAGATATTGCATGAACTTTGAGCTGCTCAGCATTACTTTATGGACTTGCATGGGGTTCATGCCCACTCACTTTCCCTTCCCCCCCTGTTTTTTTTTCTTCGTCTCTTTTTATGTGTGAGTGTGGATAGCGAGGGTGATGATGGAGGCGCTGTGAATTCAGGGGGAATCATGTGTGTGCGCGTGTTTTTTCTTCCTTTCTATGTTTTCCTTGGCGTTTAGGAAATGTAGGGGAGTTGGGAGTTTACTCTGACACTTGATGATCATCATTGATTTTTATGAGAACGTAGCACATATATATACTTGGTAATAGAGAAACTTGTGAATCGATTGTCTTGATTGGTGTGGGCTAAGAAATTTTTGGAAGCGTCTACATTCGGTGTGTCTATGTATGTCTGACATGTAATTATTTGCCTTCGACTACGTGACTACGTGGCTCCCCCTCTCTCTTGGGGCAAGGGTTCACACGAATACCCGCTCGACAAGAACAGGAAAACTTCGATGCACGAGTACCATGCACGAGCTGCGTCCCCAAGTCCACATCCGCACGTGCCAACGAAGAAGAAAAAGAAGAAAAAGTCTCACTTCGCAGCCGCAGTAGCCCTCAACTTCTCGAACCTCGCCTTGGTGAACGGGATCATCTTCTCCTCGTCCCAAACGTACGTGACACTATCCAGCTTGATGACTTCGGCGGCCCAGTTTTTGAAGTTGGGGAGAGCATCGAGTTTTTCTATCAGCGATTCAGGTATGATGCCGTGTTTGGCGAAGGAGTAGGTGCGGAGGATGAAAGGTGCTACGAGGGCCTGTGTACGGGGAAAAGTCAGTTGATAGTTCACCCCGGTTTCAACACCGAGTAAGTTTCGGCTGGGAGGATGTATCTGCAGTAACAGTGATAAAGGCGAGACGAGACAGTAGACAAGTCTACCAAGCAAGGGTCGAGAAAAGAGAAAGAGAGGAAAAAGAGACTCACCTCAGCCATGCCAACCGTCTCACTCCCCCCGAAAAACGGCTTCGCGTCCGCCAACAAAGGCTCAATCTCCTTCTCCACATTCTTCACAAACTCTTCGACGATCTTCTCGCGTTCCTCTTCAGGCTTTAGCCCAATCTGATACCATATTGCGCCGACTTTGGAGAACCACGTATCGACGAAGAAGTTGATGCGTGCGCGCTTGAGGGCGCCCTCGACGGTACCCGTATTGGGGACGAGGTGGGAGGGGTGCGCGTCCGCTAGGAACTGTGCGACGACGGCGGATTCGGTGAGGATTTGGCCGTTGTAGTCCATGGTGGGGACGAGACCGCGCTGATTGAGGGGGAAAGGGTTAGTCTTGTTGTCTTTCTTGATTGTCGTATGAAAATTGATGAGGTGAGGCGTAGAAAATGAAGTTCCGTGTTTTATTTAGACGCGAGGGCAAACAGAAGGATTGCGTGGTTCTCTTGCATGGTGACTGCATTGCTGTGCCGTCTGTGGAAAACATGCGGTTCGAGAATTCTCGATTTCTCGTTCCATACCGTCATTACAACGGATGGCAATGACTTACAGGGTTGAGGTCGAGGTACCACTGCTCCCTCGGCACGTTCAAATCGATAATGACCTCCTCATATGGCAGTCCCAGCTCTTTTATAGCGATGTGTGCTCGATGTGCCCATGGGCAGGCGTGGTTGGTGTCTTCAAGTTGTCACAGTCAGTGAAAATGAAAAAAAATCATTATATAACCTCATGGGGAATGTATAAAGATCGCCGACAAATGGTAAATATACATACAGAGCGTGATCTTGGGTGCTGCTGTGTCGGCCATGTTTGCTTGTCGATTGATCGTGTTGCCGGTGATGGACAAGATAACGTCAAGTTCGGGAAGGCGGGGTAATGTTGGATGTGCAAGTCGTACAGCTTTGGTGACTTGAATTTGAGGAACTTGACCAGACTATTTGTATGTACAAAAGTTCGTGGGATATGGAGGACGTGCTTAGAAATCACACGATTGCGTCAATGACCAAGCAAATGTTGACAAAGCGCAAGGCGAGGGAAGGTAAGAGGGATGAAGGAGTCGGGTCCTCGGAGGATGCACATGTCCGACAATCATCCCCGCATTGCACTCCATACGCGATCAAAGAACACTCAAAGACATTCCCTCTCGTGCATTGCGGGCCTGAAGCACTTGATACGGGCTAAAGTGACATACAATAACTAAATGTATTGATCCTAGTAAACAAATGCCACATGTGGAAACCAGACAAGGGTATACGCAACCAAGCAAACGCCAGCAAATGAGCTCCTCCGAATATATTCGTCCATGCAGAATGGTTCCAGCAAAACCCAACCAAGTTTAGGTATAAGTAATCGTGAAAACGATAAGGCTGATCAGTACCAATCATCTTGCGGTTTTTTTGATCTGCGTTTCTCGTTGCGTTTCCGCCGCTTCTCCTCCCGCTCCTTCTCCTCTTCCGCCCTTCTCTCATCTAGTCGTTGATCCAGATCCATGACTTCTACTCGTGAGGCTTCCTTCCGTTTCCGACTAAGCCATCGTAGACGCTCGCGCACCATTTGTAGATTCGCTCGCTCGACATTGGACGAGATGCCCGCGCGGGACATGTGTTGTGGACTTTGGGTATGAAGGAGGTATTCGTGATTGTTGCTGAATGACAGGCCGTCGCAAATCTCGCAGACCCATCCCACACCGCTGAAGCGAACAGAACCAGTGTTCTTGACAAGCTGCATTGTGCCGATGCGCTTGGAAACATCGAGACGTGCGTCTCGGGCTGAAGCAAGGCGTGTTTCCTCGGGCGTTGACGCTCGGCGGTGGTATTTTTTGCCAGCCATTTTGGCTTCGTATCGCTCTTTGCCCTCCTCCCGCTCTTTGGCTTCTCGCTGACGAGCCTTTTCTGCGTACTCTTCTCGATCGTAGGTTTTGCGGAAATCGGTGTCTCCACCTCCGCTCTTCCCTCCATTTGCCGCCATGATGTTGGGAATTGGTTGTTTTCTGTGATGAAGAGGAGATTTGGGCTGGGTTCCAGCGTGATTCGGTTTGCGATGGATTCTCGGCGTTTCGGTGGTTTGGGCGATAGTGGTGGGCAGAAGTATCTAAATAAAAATATTAGAGATGCACTGACTACTTATAGGGCTGAGGTCACCGCGCCAAGATATGGAGGAACTAGCCGATTCGGGTTGAGCTGGCCATCGTCCGGGGAATTGAGAAAAAATGATGAGATCTGACGAATCACATATACGATATTTGATTGATTCGATTGAGCATGGAGCTGGCTGGGTAGAAAAGCATACACAAACCAAGGTTCATACCTAGATGTACTTTTCCTGTTTCAATATGAGTCCATACGATTCCACTTTATGATTCAAATAGGGAACTAAGTATAACTCTGGTCAGTCTGTTGAAGAGCAAGAAATGAGAATTTCCATTGGAAATGAAAGCAATATAGATTACGAAAATCGAATTGAGTTGACAAAACCAAAGCCACCCATGCCATGCAGAGAATCAATGGCTTGAAGGCACGACACAAAGATCCACCCAGCAGACTGTGCAACGATAAGGAAAAAAAAAAACTCCACGCTATGCTGATATATATATATATGGTAAACAGCTTGTCCGCCAATGCTTGTCGGTGATATCCCCTCATTGTCGGGTGTCATTTCGCATGTGAGATCGGAACGCCTGTAATATGCTGATTTCGTCCCAATTCGTTGCTCGTTATTGTCGTTGATGTTGACCGCATTCTGTCCAATTAAAACCCAAACATTGGACACCGTTCCGATAGCACTGGCTTCATCACAGACTGACGCAAAGAAACAAAGGAAAAATAAGGGATGTTCATCACTGGTACATGGCAGGAGGTCTTGAAAATCCACCTCCTATCGGCGGAGTAGGCACTGCTGGCGGTGGGCCTCGCATAACTCGTCCCACAACAGCATGCATATCTCGAGGCATGGATACCGAGTCCCGCCTCTTCTTCTTCTTTTCCTTGCCGAGCCTCGAGTGATCCATGAAGCCGCTGTCTCGGTAGCCAGCCGCAGCGAAGGGCGGCTCTACGACGCGAGGGGATCGGTCGCTAGGTAGGCGAAGCTCGACTAGGCCATAGAAGTAGTCGAGGACTTCGGGATAGCGGAGGACGGAGGCACGCCAGTCGGCATCGATGCCCCTCTTCAACTCGGCATGGGCTTCTGCTATTTGACGCTGCAAGTTGTCTACGTACATGGGATGGATGGGTGGATGGCCCGAATATTGCATGTAGATGCTGTAGTTGGGGAGCGAGTTCAGGTAGGCGGCGTGAGCGGCGGTGCGGGTCGAAGTCAACTGTTTGAACTGGTTCAAGATGTGTTGGCGGGCATGCTCAATGACCCAATCTCTATATTTCCAGAGTCAGCGTACGGGGGTATGTGGGAGTGGCAGGCATGGGGATGGCGCACCGAGTCTGGGCCAGTTTCTCGTCCATGGCGCGCTGCTCGGCCTGCTTGACTGCAATCTGCAAGCGCTCGGATTCGCAAGGACACTCGGGATAGGCGGGCGCATTGCAGATAGCGCAGTTGGGTTGTGTACCTGCGTCCATCATCTCAACAGGTAGGAGCCGAGATGTCTGTTGGCATCGTTACCGGACATGCAATGCAGGTGGGCGTGGGCGGGCGCTGAGCTGAGCACAGCAGAGCAGAGCAGAGGCGGCGGGGTGTTCGGGCGGGGGACGTCGTGGGGTGGGAGCAACGAGGCTGCGGGGGACTCGGCGGCGGTCTCACAGCGAGGGCAGACGGGAGAGGTTAAAACATGAGAGGGTGGAAAGGGAGGCGGTGACCGAGTACATGATATTGTACACGATGCTGTGGGCCAGACGGGCGGCCCGGCATGGGCTGGCGTTTGCGGCTTATGGAATCAAGTGTTGCTGTGTGGACAGCAGTACAGTGCAGTCCTGTACAGAGGACGCCGTTGGGCGATGCGTTGGCAGCGAGACCCCATAATTGCTAGCCCTCCTTGCTCTCATAGCCGTCTTGCATACGACAGAGCGGGGTATCCATCCGACATTGCCAAGGTATCTAGATAATCTATCGCATCGCCATGCATCGAGCGTGTCCGATTCTCTTCTATATTCTCCTTTTTTGTTTCCGCCATTGTATTGTCCGGGGGATTGGAACTCTGAAAGTGGAGTTAGTGCGTGCCGTTGACGTTGACGGTGGTGGTTGTGGTGATACCTGACGGGGCCCACCTGGCGGCCACTCACCCATCCGCCGTCAATCAACTCCTCCATCGAGCTTCTTAGTTCATCGAGTGTCAACTATAAACCGTGCTCACATACCAAATACCCAAAGGAAGGCTGGAATTAGGGATCAAGATGCGAGGAGTTAAAGTAGACTGCGCCATAACAATCGAGGGTGACTGGCACCGCCCTTTTTATATGCGCTTAGGTAACAAGGGCTAGGCACTACCATCTACATATTTACATATGTACCATCTGCTGCAATATCATTCACTTCTTGCTTTTGTTTCAGTCTCAACATTGGATACTCTCCAAAAGCATGATTAAACGACCAAAACGCCCTCGTCGTCCAACCATCTTCGAGCGCCTACCGGAGGAGCTACGCCAGTGTCTTGTTCCCTACTGCGACTCTACCACCATTTTCAATTTATGCATCACATCCAAGGCAACCTACAATGCTTGCGTAAGAGTCCCCTCAGTTGCCCATTCCATGTCTTACTGCTCACAATATGCTCTTAAAGATTGGACTCTTATACTTTCACATTGATTTAAGCTGTCATAATGCGACCGATCTGCGTAGGCACAACTTCCATTCCGTCCTCGATGTGACGCTTGACCACCTCCATGCATCTCAAACCGATGCAGAACGTCGACTTCTACTTAGACAATCCAAGTTCTCAGATCTGGTGTTGGAGAATCCTCAGCTTGTATCTCATACTCGGTCATTCAAATGGACCTGTCTTAGTACGGATCAATGGTATGTCCCAGGGTCACCAGAACACGTGCCCTCCTACGCCAGACTGAACTACGGAAGCGGTATGTCTCTAAGCCCTGAATATAAAAACCCCTCCACTCTAACACAAGCAAACAGACCAGCTATGGACGACATTCTCGTGCTTCACCGCCGTCAACGAGATCGATTTGGCATTCCTAACGTATATCTCCTTCCAACTCTTACCCACCCTCACTCCCTACCAAACCCACTAACAAACACACAGAGGGAAACCAGATACATCAATCCCTCCCCCATCCCTCTTCCCCACCGCAACTTCCCTCAGCCTCACCGGCATGCCGACATCCGCCACACTCTCCAGCATTTTCTCCTCCATCACCCCCAGCAAACTCAAACACCTCCGCCTCAACAACCTCCACTCCATCCCCACAACCCCCACCACCCACCACGTAGGCTTCGCCCTAGGCCATCTCTCATCCCTAACCAACCGCTGCACCTCCCTCCAATCATTCCACTACCACTCCACAGCCGAGTACTTCCCGGGCTCTGCACCCCATCACCAACACCACCCAACCCTCTGGCAACAAATCATGCAAAAAGAAACACTGCGCTTCACCGAACTCGCAGCGTTTATAGAATCCGTGAAATTCACGCTTCGCGACTTCTTCTTCGAACATGGCCCGGATATCGATTATGTAGGTTCCTCGGTATCGGCACAGCAAAGGCAAAATAACCCGCTACCCATGGATCAACTGTTCGATGCGCACTTGCGTCCTGTTATTAGCACGGGTCCTTGGCCGCAGCTGAGGAGGTTCCGTTTGCTGGGAATTGGGTATCGGGATCCTATGTTTGTAACGACTTCATGGTTGGAGGAAGGCTCGCAGAATGATGTCCATGTGTACCGCGATGACGTGAAGATGTTGTTGGATGCGATGCCTGGGGTATGCGAAATCGCTGTTAGCGATAAAGCGGGTCGTCCGTTTTATAATCATGTTGTTTCTGGGAAGTTTTTGGTGCTTGGGATGTAGGTAGATGACGAGCGTGCTGGGTATTTGCTGTTGTATTGTACTCAAACTCTCTGTTGTTGTTGTTGTTTTGGTTGGGTTTTAGGTGTGTATATGTCCATCTATAATGATTAAGTTACTTCACTCGAAAATCATCGCATCCTTTTTAGCATCAGTTTCTGAGGAGAGAGGGAAGAAGAAGACCGCAAAAATATGAGAACTCCCCCAACACTATTCTCTCAACCAAAAGGCAGAATAGCCCGTTCAGGTCCAGGAAAAAAAATCCAGCCCATTCCTCTTCCCACAATCCAAACCTGAGCGCAAAGAAAACAAAGAAAAGGAAAAAAAAAATACTCGAAAAGTGCAATTGAGATAAAGAAAGGAAAAAGATTCAAGCTGGCTGTCTTTTGAATCCTTCAGCTACACACACATACGTTTGCCCAGCCCAGCCCAGCCCCCAAACCAATGTAAGATAAGACAAGTTAGTCTAGGGAGACCCAGAACAGCGACGGGGAATGACAAATCCATGTTGTGTGCAAGAATATATACACATATCTGTTTACGCTCTTCCCACTTCGTAATTTCGATTTCTAGCCATCTTTTTTTTTCTTTGGTTTTTCAGATTGATCGAGATATCGCGCACCCATTCAGACCAACACAATTCCGAGTCTAGACCCGCCGTTCCACCCCTCCCCCCTAGCTTTTGCTAAAATCTCACAACAACCACGATTTCTGAAGATTCTGCAAGAAAAAGAAGAGTTGGGCTGCAAAACGTTTCTCCATCATCATTAATCACCGCAAGGGAAAGTTGAGAGAAGAAAACGACACGGAACAAGACGACATGGAAACACCCCAAAACCCCACCCTCACAACTACAACAAAGCAAAAGTCCTGCACCCCTTGCGTAAAAGCAAAGCGAAAATGCGGTCAGCAGCTTCCCCGCTGCACACGCTGCGCGAAGAAAAACACGCCCTGCCACTATCCCAACAATGTCACCAACGCGGCGCGAGCGCCCAACGACATCACAGCAACGATTCCTGGTCTTGAATTTTCTTGGTTAGATGGATTGTTGTTTGGTGATGGGAGTGGGGGTGGTAGTAGTGATGGTTTGGGAGAAGATGCAATGATGGGGAGGAGCTTACCGTGGAGTGGCGAGCTGCAACCGCAGTTGGCGGCGGCGGCGTCGACGGGAGGATTGGGGAGTAACACCACCGCATCGACCACGACCGACAGCTACAGTAATAGCAGTGTCAGTGGGAGGTCGAAGACGTCTGGACCGGAGCTACGAGATGCATTTGATATGATGCCTGTATGGGACGGCGCCGCTGTGGGCTTGCAACCAGAAGAGAGTTCTGTGAGCGATCTATCCAGGACGACGGACTCTGCGGATGCGGACTTCTCTATTCAGCAGATACCTGCGGATGCTCCACTTTCAGTAATTGGTGACGAACCGGACTATCTGCAGGTCACGACAGAAAGAGACGGAGAGAGCGGAATGAGCCATCTAACACTCTCGCAATCGCAAACAAATGCTGCGCTCCACAGCTTCAGAACATGGCCAGAGAAATGGGTGAAGGAAGGAAAAGCGCCATTCATTCATCCTCGACTGTACTCTCCGGAGATGCCCAAACCACTGCAAGATGCGTATGCGGCATGTGCGATCTACTCAGTCAAGACGACGCAGAACGAGGCCATTGCATTCGTCGTGATTGAGTCTAAGGCTAATGAGCTTGTGCGTTCGTATGACGAAACTAAATGGACTCCACTTGATTTGCTTGCCGCAGTGCAGGCCCTCATCATTTTCCAATTCATCCGTTTGTTCGATGGTGATATACGGCAGCGTGCCCAGGCTGAAGATGCGCAGCGGGTCCTTCAAGCTTGGGCTGACGAGTTGGAGGTGAAAACCATCTCCGAGCGAGCGTTTGCCACGGACACAGCGCCTTCATGGCGCTCTTGGATCTTCGCGGAATCGGTTAGGAGAACATTGATTATGAGTTTGAACCTTGCCGGTGTGTACTCATATCTGTTCCACGGTTACTGCACGCTTGGGCCCAAAATGAAAACACTCACTTTCACAGCACAGAGATGGCTGTGGGAGGCTAAGAGCTCGCTTGAGTGGGACCGCGTTAAGCATTCTCGAGCCCCTTATTGGATCGCAAGATTGGAATTCGATCAGATGTTGCTTGCGGGGCAAGAAGACGAGCTAGATGAATTTGGTGTGATGATGTTGATCATGACCAAGGGACAGGATCATTTCGATGACTGGGTTGTATCGAAGCACTTCACACGGCCGTCGGTTGAGGACTTGCATCTCGGAAAGACCTTGACCGATCTTGTAAAACCTTTAGAAGACTCTACATCCATAACAGTCAATTAAGAGCGTAATATCGATAATACAAGTTTGAGACCCACAGCCTCATCGTTTGGTTTGTCTTGAGGAAGGCGAGCTAGCTTCAGGGTGAACCACACGCTGTGAATCACACTAAGTAAGGTACTTCAAGTGCTGGTGTGGTAGAATTCAGAAGGAGAACTTACCATATGGCGAGCCAGAGCATCTCTACGCGAGAATATTCTTTCCTCCGCACACAAATCGCACCGTAATTTCTGCCTCCTAGCATTGTGTATGGTGTCCTCGTGTCGTGTAAGGTCGTACGGCCTTGAGAAAATAGTGTTGCAAATCTTGCCTGTCGTAGGGTTGATCCGCACACATTTGTGCGCTATCACCTGCGTGTCTTGGTTGTATGGTATTATTGATGCTGCCCTTGCCATCGGATGGCCATTGTCTGCATCGTAAGCAATTCGATGATCCTGTTTGTGCTTCTGGAGCTCTTTTGGCGTTTCGAATCGTTGATCACAGCCGTGATAAGTACAAGTGTACCGCCCAGGATTTGCGCTCGTACCTGTTTGACCGTCAAATCCTTTATCGTGGCACTAAGGCAAGTATCAGCTACAGTAAATCATTTCAAATTTCTTGGGAAATGGCCTAGAGTTTTTGACTTGATAAAAAGCATTGAACGTACCTCAGATGCGTGCGCGAACCAGAGTAATCTCTGCAGTGTTCTATCGCCAGTGATTTCAATCCATTCATCACATACTCCACACATACCCTCCCAGTGCTCTTGAATCAACTGGAAGCCTGATCTATGTTTTTTGACAAAACGCATCGATTTAGGCTTATAATAGAGCGACGCGGTAAGTCTACTGACCCCATGGACACGCTTTTTGTGGAGAAAATATATGCCATCTTGAAGAATATGCCAACAACCCGGCTTGCAGAGACCACACCAACCTTCCACCTTGCCGGGATGTCCGCGAAGCCAGGTCGGGGTGTACAAGTCTCCATCGAAGCGAAGGTCTTGTTTCTGTGGAACAAGCCTGGTGTCCACTACCAACATATCTGCTTCTGGAGGATCTGATGGATGTTCGTGCAACGAAAGGTACAGCTCAGGAGGGACTGAATCGTCATCTAGAGTCATCTCTGAAGCACTGTCCTTGTAGAAGTCCCATTCTTGATAAGGCCTGCGTATGACAATGAACGAAATCTCCTCCATGTGACGACCGAGATGGCGGAGTAGCACACGTTTGCCAGGCGCCAAAGATACTTTACAGAATGGACAGATTATCTTAGGAGTTTTAACATACCTGTATGAAGTTAGCCGATCGATGAGCCCCATCACGAAGTGTTCCAACATACCTGGGATCAAAGCAAACAGTCTCGATCGTCTGTGAGCTGGAATTCCCACAGGGGCTCATCTGACCAGCGATAGGACATGGATGTGCGCTTATAGATCCAGTATGCTCGGTTGCCTTGAACAGGTGATCGCATTTAATCTCATTGGGTGTAACCGAAGGTTTATCCGTGCTTACAGACTCCTCCACCATGGACCCCCCATTCAGGTGAGCCGTCCTTAAGAAATGAGTTGTCGGGTGAATATAATCCTGGTGGCATCGGACTGCTACCGGATCCAGTAGCTTTCCATCACATATAGTACATTCGTACCAGGAAGAATACAACGCTTCGATGCATGAATCGTCTGAATACTGTGAGTGAGTAAGATAGTGATGAAGCAAATCATTTTGCTTGGAGTATGTCTGTTCTGCAGAAACACAATGCTCTACATGGCACATGTACGGCTCGACATCCTTCATAACATGACTCCTGTGCAGTGTCAGATATGTTCTAGATGTGAAGGTACAGGAAGACATACTTCCATAGCCGTTTGCTGCTGACTAAAACCTCCTGAGAGCAGATATCACATTCAAACGACTGTTTGCTCTTCAATTCTGCCGGTGGGGGAGGTAAAACAGCAGGCGAAGCGGGCTCTGGGGTAGAAAGGTCGTTGCCGTGACTTTGGTGGCTGAACTTGCTCCCCCTTCTTGGAATGGTTGGTGGGTTAAAGTTTTGTTCATGATGGTCAAATATATCGTACCCGTGGAGAGAGCTATTCTTACTTGAAGAACACGAAGATGGGCGTGAAGGTGAGACAAGCCCGGTCCAATAGTCAGATCCAAAATTCCTCTTGTTGGGACGTGTCTCGACATCAGCCAGATCGGGCTGCCTTCTTCTTTTTGTTTTGGAAATCAGATCACAATCCATCGGTATCGCTGCTGTATCATCAGGATCTTGCACATGATCATATGCAGCATGCTGATGTAGAGGAGCCTGGCTCATAAATATATGATGAGCAGCAAGAGTCGAGTCCATAGGAACAGGTATCCCATGGTCAACCCTTTGATGCATGTCACGGCCACTCGAAGATAGGAAGACCATATGGCACTCCCTACAAGGATAACTAATATTCGAAAAATGACACTTCTGATGATTTTCAAGCTGCCACTTCCACTGAAAACCTCCCTGACAAGTGTCACAGACGTGTTGTGTACGCATAAAATCGCTTTTCAGTGATTTTGGACTTTGGATATTGGTTGAAAAATCACCAGGTTGGGAATCCCGATTGGAAGCCCGCTGCTGAGCTGACAATTTTGCTTTTTTCAATCTTCTAGCACGAGCTCCGTTGGCCCTGGCTAGTCTGACTGCAAGATACTTCGCCATATCGGGATACCTGTCCATGATGGCACGGTAGTAAATAGTTGCGTCGAGGTCAATGTCAGGGGGTATTCTTGGGTCGTCGCGTAAAGGTAGTGCATTGGCATCAGTTGCGGCTAGGCCCACACGAACGTTCTTGAAACTTTCTAGTTCTTCCTCTTCCAAGGCTCTATCAGATTGTTGCTCACTTTCGAGTGTTTGGATATTAAGTGGATGGTCAGAGAATTCATCTGGCCGTACAACAGTGACGAGCCATTTCATCAGTGGCTGGGTGAGTGATGTGTTGTTCGAAAGCTCTGCGGAATTCTCGGCTTCATCTTCGACAATGACGTCTTCGTACATCCAGTCGGGAGCATTGTTCATCTCCACATCTCCAGGATCAGCATCAGCCTCATCAGGGAAAGTGCGGCTACCAAAAGTCTGCTCATCATGTCGTATTTGCTGCTGAACTACAAGGGTGTCCTGTATCGTATTGGCTTCCGTGATATCTGAAACCGTAGTGGAATATCTTAAACCACAGTCGGGACTGTATCGTTAGCACATTTCCACCATCACCTGACGAATCTTTCTCATACCAGACTACAAATTTGTTCATGCTGGCTTCAATACTCGGTCGGCCGGTACATGTCGGTCGGAGACAGTCTGTCCCATTCCAGGTCACGTGAAAAAGCAGCATCATCATCTTGATCTGCACGCCTGGCTGAACGACATGTCTCCACCTTTCTTTCGTGATGGGAATGTCTGGTTTCCTTTCAAGTACAAGACTGAAGTCTCCATTCTTTACCTTCGTTCTACCAGGGGCATCTGCGAATTGCGATTCCAATAAGCCATAGAATGGCGAGTGCAGGTCAGCATCGGCCGTGAAGCGTACAGTGAGTAGTCTCCAACTTACCTCCCAATATCGGAACCACTCGAAGGGTAGCATCCGTACGACACCACGACCGTCTTCAAAGCGTATATTAGAGTTGCATAGAAGGCTCGGACTTGGAGAGATTGAATTTTGGATGGCAAGCAAGACATGAAAGTTTTGTAGATTCCCGTGAATGATCTGCTGTAGCAAGCCCCGAAGCTCCAATGGAAACGTCTTGATAAACTCGACAATCTGCATTCCTATATCTCGAAGGATCATCAAAGTGCTGTTACTTGACGCTATTCCGATCGATAATGTCGACACATTGTGGGCGAGATCTACAGCTTGCTGATCTAGATCGTTGAATCGGGTCTCAATCCCTGATTTGAGCGAATCTCGCTCGATTTTGGAATTTTGCCGGAACTCTGATAGCTCCTTCTTGATATGAGAAGATTCTACTTCGACTTTTTGCATGGAAATTTGCTGGTCTTTCACTCTCGTCAGAATCTCTTCCTGCCCGGATTTTGCATTCCCCTCCAGTCGTGATAATGCTTCCGATGCATGTAAGGCTAGTAGCATGTTGATACTGACAACCTTTGCAGAAAGAACTGCTCGGAGCTTGTCAGTCTGATCTTCTAATAGCAAAGCCCATTTGACTTTCTTCCCAGCTGCGCGGAAAAAGTGCGAAGCGTAAGAGCCCAGAGAAGCCCCATACGACTCAACCTTCTCCAGAAATTGCCGAAGTGGCAATCTACACGCCAAAGCCATGCACCGAATGGCATTGACATGGTGAATGTTGCTCTCGTTTGGCTCGAGAGCTGCCAGCCGTTGCAGTGTGTTCTCAAGACTTGATAATTCCAGGATAAGCATCTGAAAAGATGAAGATGCGCCCCCAATAGGCTCGAGGGCTCTAGTAATCTTCCTGCACAATTCTTAAAGGGCAGAGTTCTTAGCGAGAGCCCAAGCGTGCGTGAATCAGGCAACTACATACCGATGGCGGCGATGAAGTCCCCCACTGAGAACCCAAATCCTGGAGCCACCATTATGAAAATAGAAGCTTTGAGACGACTTCAAAGCATATATTTGATATTGTTTAATGGGTGTTTCAAGCGACGTAGAGTTGGAACTTCATACATCTTATCGAGACTGAGACTGAACACCCGCCGGGGACATCCGCGGATCAACTCTTTCTCCGACCATGCCCATGCATACAGCATACATCTGCAGGAAGTCGCTCAGCCGCGCCTGCATCACCCTTGAAATGCAGCAAGCCTTGTTCAGGTCCGTACATAACACCGAGGTAGAAGCTAGTCAGAACAGTACCATTTGTACAAAAATGTTGGAATTCTTATGCATCTAATGACGATGCACGCAACTGATGATATACACAAGTCCCTAGCAGCAGACCCCCAACAAAAGAATCCCTACTCCGCCGAATTCTCACCAAGTCGGTGTTCTCATCGCCTTGTGGAAATAACGAACACCGATATACACCATTCCCATATGTGAAGTGCCAACCTCACATCCATTCCTTTGCCTGGATAGAACGCCTTAACAAAAACAGCAAGAGAAAACAAAAACAAAAAACAACAACATCACTAGTATCGTGGGAGCTTCGTATGCTCAACTATCGTAACCCCCCCTGCCGTGAAAATTCGATGGAAGAAGTCCTCTAAGCCGAAGCCAAAGAGGAAAGTGATGGCAGAAAACGACCGCTATGCAATTCATTTGTGAGAAACCAATCATCCAAGCAAGTATCCAAGTTCCAGTTCCACCAACGCCAATGGTAAAAATGACTCTTTTCCCATGAGGAAAACTCCTGGACAGTTGACGCGCTTGGTGGTAAAATTCGCGTTACTGAATCTATAGGCCTGGTCGTGGTGTAGGACGTGGAGAGGGATTGTATGTCCAAGCACCTTCTCTGACTAAACGTTCGCGAGCCTCGCGTTCCTTTCGTCTCTCCTCGTCGGTGACTTGATCGTTAACCCAGTAGGCGGAACTGGTTCGCTGGCGGAACTTCTTATGTCTCTCGCGGTCAGGGAACATTTGCTCCATGTTCAAGGGCGCAATCGGACCAAAGATTGCCTCTGGGTCAACCAGCTGTTGCTGTGTCAAAAGCTCACGGAGATTTGGAGTGTCAACCCAGCTTGGCTGCTCGAAGGGGTCTGCCTCGGAATCGGAGTCTTCGTCAGAGTCAAGACAGGCGGGTAGCTCGATATCATCACCATTCTGGAACTGCATTTGAGGCTTCTGTGCAGACTGGGAAGATTCAGCGAAAGGAATCTTGCCCTTCCCGAACTGTGCGTGTGCAGGCGTAACTGGGTTCATCTTTGCTTGTTGCGACGGACGTTTGGCAGGGCGGAGGAGGCCTTCGTCATTGTTCTCGGCCTGGAATGGACGCTTGACTGGCGGCTTAGCGGTATTGACCGGTGGTACATTAATACGACTGACACCGGCAACGATACTCTGTCCTACGGTTTGCATGCGCTCTACAGGTCGAGCAGAAGCCAGATCGGAACGAGGTTGAGCCGCAGGTGCCTTGGGCTTTTCAAGTGGTTTTTCTACCGCTTTCGTCGGTTGTGGTCGAGCTGTGCGGGGAGCAGACTTGGAATAGCCTGCTGTTGGCTTAGAGGCCGCGACCGGTTTTCCTAGGGCCGATGGTGCCCTGTTGGACGCAGCAGTGGCCGGTCTTGAGCTGGGAGCCTGTCGCGCAGGTTGAGGCGCTGGTTTGGGGGCGACAGGTGCACTAGCAACAGGCTCAGGTCTCGAAGCCGCTGGGGGGGCTGGACCATATCGGCTGCCTTTAAGATTGACCCTGATCTTCTGAGGAGGATTGTTCTTGGCCAACTCGGGTTTACTGGGGTTCTTGGTGAGCTTCTTCGGTTCCCTCAACTTGTGACCAGTTGTAGGAAGGAAGCTCTTAGGTGGCGGAGGTGGAGGCATATCCTCTGCTGAATCACCATCGTGCGCTTTGGGACCGGTGTTCGTTCGGACCGGTGCCGGCCGAGACTGGCTCTGCTGCACATTCGTGACGGGCGTCTTGGTCGCGGCCGCGGCTGCAGCTTGTTTTAAGCTTTGCGAGGAACTCATAGGCGCTGGAGTCTTTGAGGATGCGGCCTTTGACTTTTGGTACTGTGCGGCAGCCTTTGACTGCTCTTTTTCGCGCATTTCACGGAGTTTATCCTCTGTGCGCTGTTTCTTCTTCATCTCTTTCTCTCGCACCTCCTTTTCCTTCACACGATCTCGCTCGGAAGAGCTACGAGTTCGCCGGCTATCTTCCTTAGTAGGGCTACCGGGTGTAGCAGCCACTCTCGACTTGTTCGATTTGAGAGACTCTTTCGAGGGCGAACGAAGATGGGAGAATATTGACGGTCCTGCCTTTTCATTGCGTTTGGGGCTGCTGCTGAATACATCGTCGCTGGAAGGCTGTGGTTGAAATTTTGGTCGGACAGGACTATCGCTCAGAGCATCTATTTTGACTTGAGCACTGGCCGCACTGGACCCGATGATCTTTTCCTTTGCGGCACGGAGAGCTGAATAAAACTTAGCCTTGGAAGCGCTGAGATGGCCGTCCATTTGCTTCTTACCAGTTGGGGAGCCAGCCGGAGTGGTGGACTCCACAACTGTCGAGAGGTCTGTTGGGTTCGAGACCGATATGGGTTTGGCTGTTGCTGTAGATACTGGGGCAGATCGCGTGTCGGCAGAGTAACTTTTTCCAAAAGGCGGACGTGTAGGGGCTGGAGCCGTAGTCCTGATTGGCGAGATCCAGTCGTCGTCGTCATCAACATCATCTTGGTCAATTGGCATCGGTTCTGGAACTGGAAGACTAGGATATACTGGCTGTGATGTCTGTGTCAACGATTCAGTCTGCGAGGTTTGTGAGGTTTGCAATGCCTCTTTGGGTTGGGATTGTTGTGAGGATGTAAAGCTCGAAGCCTGGATTGCGTGTGCAGACATGACGTTCTGGCTGGTTCGCTTTGGTGGTTCATTCGGCTGCTTAAGCATGTTGATGCGCTCGAGGAGTCGCTGCGATGAAGTCTTGTTGTGAATCTTCGTCGTCTCTGACTCTTCACGTCGAAGCTCCGGCCGTTCCTCATCCATGTCCACATCCATGTTTTCTTCATGGTAAGACTCGGGTTGCTGCAATTGAGAACCTCCCAGGCTTTTCCCACCTGTGAAGCGACCGAGATTGCTGGGGCGAGCCTTGTTCTGGTCAAAGTGGCTGGTGCGCGAAAGGCGCTCACCAGTACTCTTCTTTGATTGCAATGGTTGGCGGGCTGGTAGAGCCGAAAATGTAAGACTACTCTTCTTTCGAAGAGGCTTGACTGGACTTGACTTGTCTGATGGGGACCGCACGTCCTCATCAATCTCCATTTGGTCATCCAGGTCATGATGCACAACGGTATCGTCGTGTTGATCGTCGTTGGCAACTGCGGGCGCAGGAACTTCAGGTGAAAGAGACGTGCGGGCGAGGACCTTGGGGTCGGGTGAGAAAGCGCGCTCGTTCGCGGTGTTGAGCGCGCCCTGCGTCTCAGCCGATACATTGTAATCTTCTGATGGGATTTGGGGTGGCTGGGGGAAGTCAAGAATTTCCGGGGCCACTGCATCGTCATCTTCTTGACTCGACTCTAGATCATGCCGAACAACTGTGCCCTGGCTGTTGGAGTTCGTAGCATCAACCTTGTCGTCGTCTACCTCCATCGCATCCGCTTCATACGCGGTGCGCGGATCTTCTTGGGATGCGCGCTTGCTTGTCAAGGCTTCTTTGGCTGACACGAATGATTCTCCAGTGTCGCGTCGCTCGTCCGACATATCTATGGACTGACGGAAAGATTGTGTTGGTTGTGTAGATTGTGTGGCTGGCTGCGAGAAGATATCGTTGTGATCCTCGTCGGACATGGCGGTATCTTGAGTGGAATGGATAGGGCTAAAGGGAGCCGACAAAGCATTGGTGTTGGCAGTGCCGGGGCGGCGGTCGGGAGACGCGCGATAACTACTGGAGAAAGCGAAGCTGGCATGATCATTCTCCTTGCCTTTGTGGAGATAACCCCCGAATATTGACTGGCGTTTGGGCGATTTTTGTGGTGAGGTGCGCGCTGGAGAGACATTTTCGCTGTCTTCAGCAACGTGGAATTTCGGCTTGGCGGTGTGTTTGTGTAAAGTGCCCTTTAGGCTCTGCTCAGCCGGGCTAAGCGGTGTGTGCGAGTTGGTGCCCACGAGATCGGCCAGCGGCTACAGAATTGATCAAATTAGCTAAACATACTAGACATACACGCAACGAAACTTGGCGCCAAACATACCTGTCGGGGCTCAACGGGCATTTTGCGCGCGGTGCGAGGCGTCTTGCCGCGTAGCTTTCCGGGCGTCTTGAAGACATCTAGGTTGTTTCTGCCAGAAGATCAGTACAAGAGAGTCGTGGAGGTGGGTCCGAATAACGTAAAGGAACGCGACGTACTGTCCATTTTGCGCGAATATCTCGCACATGTGTTCGTTGAGCCAGTCGAGCTCGTTGCGCACAGAGAAGCCAAAGTCTTCCAATTCCTGGGAGACGAGGTCGTTGGCCTGGTGGCGCTCTTCGAGCATCCATTGCGCAGAGCCTATGGCAGGCGCTTTAGTATGGGCGGCGGCCATTGCGATTATGTGAGGTGGTGGTGGTGGTCGGAGTGGTGGTCCAAAACACGCGTCGAGCGGCGGCGGCGACAAGAAGATGGGCGGGCACGAGAGCGTAGATTACACTAGTCGCTCATAGCGCAGTCAATGCTCGCAGCAAGATGATGGGTGTTTATTAGAGTGTGGTAGGCGCGTTGAGGTTGTGGGTATGGAGAGGTATTTCTGGCCGAGTTTCCAAGGATGTGTGGTGGGGAGTGATGTTGTGCTGTGTTGTTGACGGATCCAAAACAAACAAATGGTGGTCCAAGCGCGCGCATCTGCCAAGCCCAGTCTACGCTATACTGGGTGAATCGTCATCGTCCCATACAGTGCCAGTGTATCAACTTGATGACCAAACCGACTTGAATATAAGAAATAGGTCAAAAATTGCTTGAATGCAATTTGTTTCTATAATACTTCCAGCTAACAAGGCACCAATATGTATCTCAGCACTGACATGGCAATACTATGTGCTCGTTGCTGCTAGGCACAACTACGCTTTGATTGAACCGAGGATATTCGAGTAGACGTACACAGATCATAGAGCTCATAAGTACAAAGCAACTCCAGCGTTTGCTATTCTCATTCATCAACTACTGCAATTTTTATACACATATATCATATAAACCATGGCATTCAGAGTATCCCGTGCAGCTCCGTCGCTGTTCTGTCGTCAACAAGCCCTGCGTACCAAATCATCCCATGTCCTTCCATCGTTGACGCAATCGAGATGCTTTGCTTCCACACGGCCTTCTCGCCTCATGGAAATGACAGGCTTTACACAAGATCAACTTGATGTGCGAGAAGCAGTGACAAAGATATGCTCACATTACCCAGATGTATGACGCTTGTCTCGCCTCGCAGATTCAACTAAACGTTTGACCAGGAGTATTGGATGGAACGAGACAATACGGGCGAGTATCCTCATGAACTTCACCGTGATCTTTCTCAAGATGGTTGGATTGGCATTGCATTGCCTGAAGAATTAGGAGGCGCTGGCTTGGGCATTTCCGAGGCCACTATGATGCTGCACACGATCGCTGAGTATGTGTCACGTGATGTTTACCCATTCACCGATCTAATTCCGAGCAGGAGTGGAGCAGGGATAGCCGGCGCTCAGTCAATACATGCAAACGTTTATGCTACTCAGGTCCGTTTTCTCCAAAATTTTGCCGTGATTATCATCGTTAACAAAGACTAGCCTGTTGCCAAATTCGCAACTCCAGAACAGAGGCAGCATATGCTCCCTGACCTCATTGCAGGAAAGACAAGAACTTGTTTTGGCGTGTATGTGCGATCTTCCATACTTGATTCAACTCCTTCGAATGTGTCCATACCTTCACATACTCACTCAATACAGTACTGAACCAAATACCGGCCTCGAGACACTGAAGCTCCGGACTACCGCTCAAAGAGACGGGGATGATTACTTGGTGTCCGGCCAGAAAATGTATTATTCCCTCAATTTTGGACGAAACAAGAAGCTGATCACATATATAGATGGATTTCCTCGGCCCAGGTAGCCACCAAAATGGTTCTTCTAGCTCGTAGGTATATCGCTACAACACAGTCGCGTCACACATCACTATCTCTGAGAGACTGGCGCTTTGAGACTTGAGTGGTTTACCACAATATTTCTCACTTAGATCATGCTAACAATATCTCCATGAACATAGGTACGACTCCGTTAGAAGAAGTCCGCAAGCCTTCAGAAGGCCTTTCCCTATTCTTCATCGACCTAGACAAAAGTGCCCCAGGCCTCGAGCTCAAGCGCATCAAGAAAATGGGTGGAAGAGCAATCGACGCCAACGAGGTCTTCTTCGACAACTACCGCATCCCAAATCACACCCGAATCGGCGACGAAGGCCAGGGCTTCAAAATCGTAAGCTCTGTTTCACAAAACCCGTGCACAGTTTTTGTTGACGAGAAATAGGTCCTCCACGGCATGAACGCCGAACGATGTCTACTCGCCGGAGAAGCACTGGGTATCGGATATGCAGCACTCAAAAGAGCGACCGACTACGCTAGAGAAAGAGAAGTTTTCGGGAGGAAGATTGGACAGAATCAGGGGATTCAGCATCCGCTTGCATCTGCGTATATGCATCTTGAGGCTGCGAAGCTGGCAACGTATCATGCTGCTCGTCTTTATGACAATAATTCGAAAGATGCGAGTATTACGCAGCATGCTGTAGGTATAGCGTGTAATTCTGCCAAATATCTTGCTGCTGAGGCGGCGTTTACGGCTTGTGAAAGAGCGGTATGTGGGATTTTTCTTCGACTTGCTGAAAAGAAATGAGGATGTGGGTTGCTGACGAGTACAGGTATTGACGCATGGTGGGATGGGGTATGCACAGGAATACCATGTAGAGCGTTATCTCAGAGAAGTGTTTGTGCCTCGAATAGCACCAGTCTCGAGAGTGAGTTTTCGTCTCCCGGTAACCCAATTCGCAAAGCTAATCAATGACTCAGGAGATGATTATGAATTACATTGGCGAGAAAGCACTGGGGCTTCCTCGTAGCTATTGAAAAGGGTCTTGCAATTGCAGGAATACGTTGCGCTTCTCCTATGCATATATACGAACGTAATGCCACCATTGTTACACTGTTGAAACCGTGTCCATCGCTTTTTGAGCTCTCTCTTCCCGCACCTCTCGATGACGAGGCAGTGGTCCTTCAAATTTCCAGAATCAATGCATATCATCCATCAGTTGATTTAAACCCTGAAATCGTCTCTCTTCTCAGCCTCTGTCCCCATCCACCACATCACACCATATACCTGATCTCCACAAACGTAAAAATCGTATCACTTCCAGAGTCTAAGCATGTTTCCATCATAGAAATGTTCAGAACTGTGTCGATGGCCATATTTTCAGTGCCCATTGGTTGATCAGTGGTTTTTTATGGCACTATTCATTGTCACTGAAGGTAGCATGCTAACAAAAAACTCTGAAAACTTAGAATATCATTAACTATTTAAAAAAATGAAAACCACGAGTCTGCTCAAAGGAATCGTGAAAAGTAGTGAAGTAGATACAGAAGAAGAAAACAAAGTAGAAAAATCTGGATCTCTCCCTTCTTACATCCTTCTGCCTTCCTCCGAGTTGCTCCATCACAAAGACGATCGACAGATATCTACTGATCAGCTTTGACCTCACTATCGCCGTCCTGGCTGGCGGTTTTTTCTCCAGCATCCACGGCATCAATTTGCCCTTCCGGAGTATCGCCACCGGCCTGAACTTTTCCGAAGCTAAATCCACCGCCACCACCACCAAACCCTCCTGCTCCCGCAGCACCCCCTCCATAGCCACCCGCTCCCGATCCATAGCCACCAGATCCCCCGGAACCGCCTCCAGACACGCCCCCTCCTCCAGCACCACCTCCACCGAATCCTCCTCCTCCGGCTCCGGCACCGCCTCCTCCTATCTGGCCACCACCTGACATGCAAATTGTGCCTTCAGAGCACCACAGGTTAGCTTGAAGTCTTGAACTATGGAACCTCAAGAGTAGCTACTTACCACCGCCCTGAGCACCACCACCACCAGCGCCGAAGCCGCCGCCCTTTCCAAATCCACGTGCCTGGAGATGATCCGAAACAATGAGGTTTTGAATCGTATTTTCGAGAAGAGCGACGCGGGCGATGAGGTTGTGAGTTTGGAAGGCCTCAGTAGAAATGTCTTCATCCCGTGGTAAGATAGCGGCGTTGGTGCTTGGAAGTGGCGACGAGGTCGTGAGTGTTATTCTAAGAGCGAGGAAAATGATGGCAAAGGTGGTATAAGTTGGATTATACATCTTTGCGATATTCTGTTTATCGACGCTCTTCGCCTCTGGGGTGAATGGTTTTGCTTTGCAGAGAGGGGAGAGGGCTCGAAGCTTGGGTCGTGCGGTATATGCTAAGGAATAGAAGGCTAGCCAATGTAGAAGTCGAAGTGAATAGATGGATGAGTAGATAAATATGATATGTATGAGTGTATGTCTGATGAGCACAACCAGGACAACAGGCGATCAATACCGTTTATATATGATTTTCGTGTGTATAAGAACACTGGCGTACTCCATGTTGAAAGATCGTAGGCCAAAAATCTTGAACTTTGCGATCGGATTCGCATTGCACTCTCGCGATAATTGGCAAAAGAGGGCATGACTGCGAGCTGGACTAAACCTTCTTCCTAGTGATCCGGTCCAGGATAGATAGACATCTTATGCTCAAAATTGTAGAAGCTATGACGTCGACCCTCTATACTACACAACGGATTGTAGTAGCTCGAATTTATCTGAGGCTGATTGGCCAGAAAGTTCATTCCGTTGTCCAGTCGGGGCGAACGGGTGGAGAAAGAGGAGGTTTGAAAGTTTAGAGAAGACGACTATGACAGATCTCTCGTTCGTCAATCGCATCGGCAACACATGCACATCTCCGATTGATGAAGGGGGGTTTCTCCAGGAAGTAACAGCATATTAGGTCACCTAGAACGGTCGAAAGGGAGATCAGGACTTAGTCACTGCAAATGTCAGCTGTTTCATGAATTCGCGCAACCAACCGCAAATGGCTATAGCTGTCTGTATAAGGCGTCGACATGTATGGCGGTACACAACTAAATCGCAGAACACGCCGGTCCTATTGACCAAGGTAGTGCGTTACAAAAACGCAAATACATAATGCGAACACGACTCATAGTTGAACTTCACAGTTTTGACACTGCAAGATGGAGACGATGTGACGTGCTCACCTCACCCATCTCTCAAATAAATGTGTTGATGACGTGATGGCATATCATTGGTGAAGTGCGTTGCGTCGCAGAAAGGTACAATGAAACAATGGGCAGGTGCTACTGCTTGTGCTGACTACGCCGTCACTACACTATGAACTAATGAGCAGTGTGGGCGAGATATTTCCTGCTTGTGCATATGAACAGTGAGGCTATGTTAGGAGTCCAAATAGCAAGCATTAAATTGGGACGGCGGTTCCGATGTGCATTTGCAATGTAACTCTGGAGTCTTTGTAATGACCGGAAGAATCCATACTGGAGAATAATGGTATTGAACTCTCCACTTAGAAACTGACCAAAGGAAACGCGGGAAGAAATTTGAAGATGATCTAGCCCTTCGACACGTCCGATGGACTGACTGCTCATTGAGTCGCTCTCGAGGAAATCCATCTTCATCAGAGTGCCATCTTGGAAGCTTTGACTATGTTTGTTCGGTTCTGGATAAATTGCATGTCTTGGTCTTGTGCCGATGTTAGGACGAACGGAACTTCGATTGCTTCCAAAGCCTCCTTTGATCGAAGCCTGGATGTTTTGTGCGGCTCAATATGTAGATTCCAAGGATGTGTGACAATGAATAGTCGCACAAAGGCACACGATCAATACAAAGATTTGATAGAAAGTGATTCACATCGGTTAAAATGCTGCCTCGCATGATGTATAAGACCATTGTTGTCAGTGTAATATCGTATCTCGTCGCAGAGTCAGATACTACGTCGGCTTCCTAAATTGGAATCGCGTACATATTGACGCAGAGAACAGCTAAGCGAGCGGCCTTGGGCGGCCTTAGACTCGCAGGATAGCAGTAACCAGCTCATTAATATATCCGTTAATATAGATAACCTGTAAAAATAGATCCAGGACTGGTGGGTTTGAGAAGAGTGTGGTAGCGGATCTCTACATGAATAACATCAGTATCTACACACTCGTCGATCACTTGGAACTTCCGACTAGTTAACTTACGATTCAAGCACATTTGAGTTCGTCGATGGACTATCCAATCCCAGAGGCAGCAAAAGCTCCGTCGGAAATTAAATGTAGGCGAAAAATGTAGCCAAGTAAACGTGGATGGAAAAACTGTGTGTTGAAAGCTCCGCGGATACTGACGGATTACCGATCCGACAACCTCTCTTGAACAATATGTAGCCGCCGCCGTGCCTGTCTTGAGTCTTGGAAGATGCAACATGAGGTGGGCACTGCACAAGTGTTCGTGTCGTGGCGACACAACGTGATCGAATTGCTTCATCAATGCATGCACCCCAGAATCTTTGTGATGCATGCTCTCTCGGAAGAATCAAAGAACGTGAAGATACTGCCGCTTGTTCCGCATTTGGTGTTGCCCAGCAATCACTATCATATCAAGGTCTTGGGCGAGTGTTTTTTGAAGGTCTTGAGATACTCGTGCTATCATCGACCCGGTTATTTCGCAGAACAAGCTTTTGGCAATGGAATCTAGAAGTAGTAAAACCGGGTTAGAGGGCTCGGCGCTGTATACACTAGCCTGACCAAGTGAAAGTCACGTGTAACCACCCCTTTCGCAAGAGCCCAAAACCGTCTAGATATCTCCAGACACGGCTGCTTTGGGCAATAGGTGGAGTATGTTTATTTCCCGATAACCGGTGGCTCTTCCCCCACAGGGAAGCAAGCAAGGCAAGATCTTGTCCCCACTTGCCATGCGAGTTGTGGTATGTGGAAATACTGAATAACCTCAAGGGCTCCTTGTCTAGTCACACCTCCGGGGACCATCGCGAAATTGCAACTCACCCCTAACTTTAGCTTCGTGATCATCGTTAGATTAAATCTTCCTGTTATTCAGGCTCAAGTAGTGGGGAATGGGGAGTATAGAAGGTCGGAGGCTGCTCGCCAGATTGAAAGATCACCACCTCCATCACCACCGACAATCCAAAGCTCAGCTTCACCATGGTTTCTTTCAAGGTCCTTGCTCTTGCCATGACGGCCGTCACCGGGGTATTGGCCGCCCCCTTTGATTTCCTCCACGAGCGTGACGATGCCAACGCCACTGCTACTTTGGAGAGACGCCAGAATACTCCCAACGGTGAAGGACAGCACAACGGGTACTTCTACTCCTGGTGGTCTGACGGTGGAGGCTCTGCTGTCTACACCATGGGCGAGGGATCTAAATACTCCGTGCGGTGGACCAACACCGGTAATTTCGTGGGTGGAAAAGGTTGGAACCCTGGAAATGGCCGGTAAGCAAAGCATTTCCATTGATGGGAATTTGACTTGATTCTGACCATCACATAAAGTGTGATCAACTACGGTGGTTCTTTCAGCCCTCAGGGCAACGGTTACCTTGCTGTCTACGGCTGGACTCGCAACCCTCTTGTTGAGTACTATGTCATTGAGTCTTTCGGCACCTACGACCCAAGCAGCCAGGCATCTGTCAAGGGCACTTTCAACACCGACGGAGGAACCTACAGGGTTGCTGAGTCTACCCGTTACAACCAGCCTTCGATTGACGGCACCAGGACCTTTCAGCAGTATTGGTCAGTGCGTACCGTGAAGCGCGTTGGTGGTTCCGTGAACATGCAGAACCACTTCAACGAGTGGGCCCGCTACGGCATGAGACTCGGTTCGCATTACTACCAGATTGTTGCCACTGAAGGTTACCAGAGCAGTGGCAGCTCTGAGATCTACGTGCAGACCAAGTAGTGAGTACATACTAGCATGTAGAGTAGCATCGCTTCTAACTACGTACAGAAGAGTGATATCGCGTGTGGTAACGCACAGCCCTTTTCGGCTTCAACATATAGACAGGATGTTGTCTCGTTCTTGGAAGCTGGCTAGATTATGTTTCAATCCTTTGCTCAGATGCCCGGTTTTGATCAACTTGATTCTTTAGTCTACCATATCTCGGTCGCTACTCTGTATGTAGTTTAAGCATGTTTAGAAACCAAGTTATGTGTACCAATTTGCCGTATATTTACCTTTGCAAGTCTTTTCGGTAAATCTACTCGTTAGCCATCTGCCTGATAGCTCAGTGATTTTGGCTAGGCTGTTCAATATGCCTTCTATTTCATAATAGTACACGACCATGGATCCGAAACTTCCATCGAAGTGACAACGAATGCAATATGAGGTTGAAGATCGCTGTCATGGTATCTGCGGGTAATATGTAGATCTTTGGTTCACGTTAATTGCAACAAGGAACAGTGAGACGATTGGAACACTGCAACCTGGGTCCCTAGCATCTCGAGAACGTTCGCATGCACTGCACGTTAAATACCGGGTACGAACAAAAGCCATATGGCAGATTAGGAGATCTCTATGCCAATCGCCCAAACCTCGTGTTGGGTGGGGGATGTACAATGCGTGAGCGCTCGTATTCCGTCGCATCTAGGTACATAGGCGCGCGTCCCATGCGAGTAAGCAGTATTGCTCCAGGGACATGCATCGCTTTGACAGAAAAACCTAATTCTTTAATCGAGCTCGTTCATATCGGTCCTTTATCGGATGTCGTGGATGATGGGCGTGGTGTTGAAGGCTACATGTAAGATGTTAGAAGAAGCAGGGCCACCCAAATTCACTAGCTCAAACGTCGCAAGCCAATCCAGACGACGCTCATTCCAAGTCCGCCATCCACCACGTCCCAATAATCCCACTCGTTAGTACCTATCAACACCACCAACACATTTCTCCAGCCATTTGACCGAAAAAGTCTCCATCCTCCGCTATCTCGCTCGAAAAGCCTGTTCGGGCAGAGTGGCTTTCCCCCGCATTCCCCCCTTTCAGGAAAAGGTCCGTGTGTGCCGCCGTATCTAACGCCTAACCGAGTTCACTGGAAGGGGGCACGCGACGTGGATGATCAACCGGGTCAATCCGTGACAGCACTGTCACAATTATAATAAAGCGATTGAGGGGGACACCACAACAAAGACTTGAGTTCTCCTCACGGCTACATTTTGTCTGGAAACGCAGCGCGACACGCGAAAAAGCTATCGAAATCGTGAACGTTAAGCAGAGTGAACGACATCCTGGGAACCAGTGACGATAGATCGATTGCTATCGCCGTTGTAATCTGTGCGGGTACGCGCGTGCGATAGGGAGAAACCTGGAACAGGACTGGCGTCATCATGGCGAACCTGTCGCACGTCAACAGCGAGGCGAGTAACATCAGCAAAGACGGTGTCCAGTACCACGAAGAAATCATGGACGATGGCGATGCGCATGCACAACAGCGCACGGTTGGCGGCCCGTCCACGGGAACTCAAGAAGTAGGGAGTGGTGGAGTTGATACCCCTAGTACGGATGCGAACGGCGTAGCGCAACACGGTGCGACCGGCGCGACAAATCAAGAGCGAGGTTCAAGATGGTGGAACTTGAGGAAAAAGAGAAACGACAGACACCATGGTCATTATAAGGTGTACAAGAGAAGATGGTTTGGGCTGACGCAGTTGGTGCTCTTGAACGTTGTTATCTCCTGGGATGTAAGTCTTCCACCCAAGCGATTCTTAAGATTGTTGTCAAGAGAAATTAAAGTGAGAAGAATGATTGTTAATGTGTTCGGTACGTATCTAGTGGTTGACCTTCGCACCCGTTTCAACGACAGCGGCAGATTACTTCAAAGTGAGCGAGTCTGCGATCAATTGGTTGAGCACAAGCTTCATGTTTGCGTTTCTGGTTGCAACACCGTAAGTCGATTTTGTTCCGTCACTATCACCACCGTCGAAAATATACTGATCTGATTAACCAACAGAGTGGTCATATGGACTCTGAACCGTAACCCAAAAATCTCAATCGTATTTGCATCAGTTCTCGTCCTGTTGGGCAATTGGATTCGATATGCAGGCACACGAGCAACCGGCGGTCACTTTGGCGTCGTCATGTTCGGACAGATCCTGACTGGGCTGGCCCAGGCGTTCGTGCTCGCAGCGCCAACGCGGTATTCTGATATCTGGTTCACCGAGTCAGGGAGAGTGAGCGCGACAGCGATAGCGTCTTTAGCGAATCCATTGGGTGGAGCTGTAAGTTCATGACCATCTTTCACCATTCTATTCAAATTGGAAACCAGCAGGCTGACAGTACCTTGCAAAGCTCGCTCAACTCATAAACCCCTTCCTCGGCTCCTCTGTCCCTAACCTGGTGCTTTACGTCTCTATTATCTCCACCGTAGCAACTATCCCCTCGTTCTTTATTCCGCGACTCCCACCTACACCCCCATCCGCCTCCGCCAACATACCCAGAACACCCATCCTTCCCTCGATCCGCGCCATTCTGCGCTCGCCACCAGCCTACGTCGTTGCACTGACGTTTGCTACTTACGTTGGTCTCTTCAACGCTTTCTCGTCACTTATCAACCAAATCTTATACCCGTACGGCTACACAGAGGATGAGGCCGGCATCTGCGGAGCGGTCCTGATTGTGGTTGGTCTAGTTTCTGCCGCGATCCTCAGCCCTGTGTTTGACCGTACGCACGCGTACGTCACGGGTATCAAAATCCTGTGCACGCTTGTATCGGTATCATATCTGAGTTTGATCTGGGCACCTCAGACACGTAGTATCGCGGCGCCGTACGTACTAAGCGCCATCACCGGCGCTGCATCGTTCTCAGTACTACCGATTGCGCTTGAGTATCTGGTTGAGATTACGTTTCCAGCGAGTCCGGAAGTGGGGTCCACCATCATCTGGGCTTGCGGCCAGCTGTTTGGCGGTATATTCATCGTCATCATGAACGCTTTGAAGGACCAGCGACCGGTTGATCTGAAGCGCGTTAGGGAGATGGGGAGGGGTCAGGGCGGAAGTAGTAGACCACCAGGAAACATGTATAATGCGTTGGTATTCCAGGGAGTGATCGCGATGGTCGTGTTACCATTCCCACTGGCACTGGGTATCAAGCGATTAGGATTGGCACATGGGCGAGGACGGTTGGAGATGGATGAACAAAGCATACAGGGCGAAGAAGCCCGCGCGCAGGAGTAGATTCTTTCTGGGTTTGGTTACGATTTCCACTTCTCCTCATACGCCATGGTGCCGGCACAATGCTCATGTCTGATATCTAATGCCATTAGTTATACAAATAATTCCTGATCAACACCACCAGTGCAATGTCTTCATCTCAAATGACGTGGGGTAGACCCAGGTAGGCGAGAATAATACATGATATTCTAAACAGGTCTTTGGTGGTATTTACAATTGTCCATGATTGTGTGCGAGTGTCGTAATGACCAAATAGATCCATCTCCCCCACCGTGGATCGTATGATATCTTCGCGGAGAGTGTCGAGTAGAGAGGGCAAGTTTACTTGAGGGCAGCGAAGAGCTTGGGAGCGGCACACTGAGTTGCGCAGTGGGCAAGGTGGAAGACTAAAATCACGTTAGACCTAGATCTGCATTCACGAGACACGATGCAGAGATAGATACTTACATTCTTCGACACAGTCCTCGCTTGCCTTGCCGTCATTTTCGATCTGGCCTGTCACGCGCTCAACACACTCGTCATAGTGGTGCTTGGCTGGTGAGCACTGCTTGGAGGTCTCGCATTCTACCCAGGACTGTCAGTACAAGTCTTGACCAGCGCGGAGTCCTCTTGAGCTACTACGAAGCGCAATTGCGTGATTCATTCCATCAACGCCGCTCCATAGATCATTTCGTTCAAGAATAATCTCCTTTCGCCTACCATGGGAAGCGGAAAAGCGCTCACTCACCCTTCTCAAGTGTCTCTTTGGGGTCGACTAGCTCCTCTTCCTCTTCCTCCTCTTCCTCCTCCTCATCGCCATCATCGCTAGGCTTGTGTCCCTGCTCGCCGCTGTCCTCTTCACTCTTGGTATCTTCCTTGTTTGCCTGGGCCTCCTCGCCAGACTCCTCATCGGTGCCGGAAGCAGGTGTATCGGTCGAGGAGCCACCCTGGGGCGGAGCCTCGGCGTCGGGCGAGGGGTGCGAGAAAGTCTCCCAGACGTCGGTGATGAAGTCGGTAAGTCCCATTGTGGCGGCGAGGTGTCAATTGGCCGATTTAAGGACGAGGATGAGGTTGTGGGGGACGGTGCGTTGAGGTTCGAGAGTTTGAAGCTTGGAGAGAGGTTGGCACGGATTGGAGTGGATCGAGGAATTCGGTCAATCGGGATTAGTCAGCGTAATGAAAATTAGGCTCACGCTCAGTGGTTCGCTCGTCCTGTCCTAAGACTACGTAGACAGTACCTACAGACTCAAGAAAGTCCATGAAATCCAACCATTGCCAAATCTCATACGCAATTCCTGCTTAACCCATAGGTTCTCGACTATGTCCTGTGTCGCTCAAATGCATCTTTCACTGAGACACCCTCTTCTACATCGTCGATGACTTTTGCATCCTCGCTCGTCAATTTGGGCAACAATTCCAGCACCTCCCGCAATTTATCTTGCGGGATTGCAACCACACCATTCTCCAAGGGATCGATCATGATTATATCCCCGGGCTCGATGGTAGTCTCGCCTACCTGAATTGGCACGTTCTTCGCGTGGAGCTTGGTCTCGGCCCCGGCGCCGATGATTGATGTCCCTCGTGCCCAGATGGGTAACTCTGTCTCGCTCAAAGCCACCAAATCTCGTACACGTCCGTCGACAACGACTCCCTCCGCTCCCAAATGCGCCATCCGTACAGCCATTATTCCGCCCACTACTGCGCACGCCTGCCCTTGTGGTTGGCTGATCACAACGATCGTACCGCGTTCTGTGTGGTCTGCGTAGGGGCCTGAGTCTTGTTCGATGTTGGAGGCTGGGAGATTGCTAGACAGCGCAACAGGATTAGGGAAAGATGGCGATGCCTTTGGAGCCATGAGGAAAGTAGATGCTGGTGCAATGACTTTTGTGGGCTGCTCTGGTCTTCGGGCGCGTGTGGTGGTGGGTGCTGGCGCTGAAGAACGTCAATGTTGTTCATTTATCTATGGTACTGCGTTCCCTGGCCTACTCACTAATATCAGGTAAGAATCCTGCTCCCGGGACTTTGAGCTTCAATAGCGCATCAGCAACCTGTAGTGGTCAGTAAACGAAGTACGTCTGAGAGGGCGGGCATCCCATACGTCGCACGCTGCATAGTTGAAGAGAACTCTCCATTTGGGAGGCATCGTGCCGGTTGATCCTCTTCGAACGATGTGGCTCATCTTGATTGTGAATGTAAGGGATTATATGTGTACGTGAATAGCAATCAAGCGTATAGCAAACATACATGTAGCTCCGGGTGGGGTTTGCCATCCACCCGAGGCTTGAATGCTGTACCATGGCTCATGTATTGAAGACGCCGGCCCTGGTGAAACATAAGTTGTTGAGAAGCATCATTCTCATTGGATATCGACAACCTTGAATCGACAAGGTTAAAAGATAGATTATGGTACTCAAGTACATGTTGCCAATATCAATAAATAGATACAAAGACTGAGCACATGGAATGTCATCAACATTGAATCCTCAGAGCTTCTGCCGCCCATTCTGGAACCCCGACCAGCAGGAAACTTCAGCAACTAAACATTCTACAAAATTCTGGCAACCAGTTTGATGCCCACATGAGTGCTCGAAACGGCGTTCACACAACACGCGAGATCCACGTTCAAGACATTCACTGCTGGCACGGCTATATGCTCACGTGATTGCCAAGGCGCGATCCCGGGCGGCGCTTTCCATGGGATCCATCTGCTTCTGGCGACATCATTGAAGCGCGCCATCATTAAGTCGACAAAGTTGATGCGCCAGCTTCTTCGCTTCCTCTAAACTGGTCGCTCGACTTATACACGCGGCGTCTGCCGCAACACTGTTCACGATGGCTCAAGGCTCCCTGGCTGTTCAAGTAAGTCCTCGAGAAATGGCCTGGCTTGCCGCCACGTCCGCCGATGCCGCGAGGCAACACAGGCACAGCACTGACAGTCAAATAGAATGTCCTATCATTATTCCGTCAAACATCATCTCCTCGTGTCCTCGGACTGGCGCCTCAAATCGCTGGATTGAAGCCTGCTGGTATGATTAGAAACGCCTGGCGCAGGAGTGGGATGGCGACTAACAGCTACCAGTACCACGGCACGCGCTGCCTCATGCTTCAACTACCCCGTTCATTGCTTGTATCGGCAGGCAATACTCGACTTTCCCTCGCTTCGGTTCTTCCCTCACTACTCGTCCTACCCCGAGAATTGGGAGTATAGGGTTAGGCCTTGCACAACGCAGATTGATAGTGATTGGCCCTACGCATACTCAACTCGTTCGTTATGAAAGAGAAGCAAATAAATACCCAAACAACGCCGCGGCGCAAGCTCCTTTCTACAATGCACTACTGATGGCGGATATGCCCCAACATGTCGTCGACAGGTATAGAAGTGGCAAGTTTGCGTCCAACAGCATGGTGGAAAGAATCTACGCACAGGCCTTGGAGAGGATGGGTCATTCCGATATGTCTGGACAAGAAACAGGAGGGGCACCAAATCAAACCATCCAAGCTATTGGACAAGCCATAGCTGCCCGTACCGGGGGTGGCTCAGTTGGCAAGGTCAAATCCGGCACTGGTGGGAAATCTGATCCCTTATATGTGGTCGTTGACGAATCCCTTGGGTCTATAATCTTCAAATGGTTCCGTTGGATTGCTGGATTTGCTCTGATCAGCTATTTCGCTTTGATCCTCATCTCCCTGTTCGTCGAAACCAGCGGTCTCATGAAAAAGGTCGGTGGCGGTACATCCGCCGAAGTTCGCCCCGAGCACCAAACCACGCGTTTCAACGATGTACAAGGCTGTGATGAAGCCAAAGAAGAACTTACTGATATTGTCGATTTCTTGAAAAATCCCGATCGCTACAACAAACTCGGCGGCCGACTACCAAAAGGCATACTTCTTATTGGACCTCCAGGAACTGGAAAGACTCTGCTGGCTCGCGCCGTCGCAGGTGAAGCTGGTGTTCCGTTCTTTTACATGTCTGGCTCTGAGTTCGACGAGGTCTACGTAGGAGTTGGTGCCAAACGCGTTCGCGAACTGTTCGCTACTGCTCGATCCAAAGCTCCTGCTATCGTGTTCATCGATGAACTAGACGCTATAGGTGGTAAGCGTAAGTCGCGTGATGCCAACTATCATCGCCAGACCCTTAACCAGCTTCTGAATGACCTCGATGGTTTCGACCAGTCCACTGGTGTCATATTCATTGCTGCCACTAACCACGCGGAAATTCTGGACAAGGCTCTGCTCCGACCTGGTCGTTTTGACCGACATGTTCAGGTCGAACTGCCTGATGTCACCGGTCGCTTGGCTATCCTGAAGCACCACCTGAAGAAAATACGAATCTCGCCCGATGTCGATCTCTCTACAATTGCTCGGGGCACCCCTGGCTTCTCAGGCGCTGAACTCGAAAATCTTGCGAACACAGCAGCTATCCAGGCTTCGAAGCGTCAACAGAAGTCTGTTACCCTGGTGGATCTTGAATGGGCCAAAGACAAGATTTCTATGGGCTCTGAGAGGAAAACCCGGATTGTTCCGCTCGCCGACAAACTCCAGACTGCATACCACGAAGGCGGACACACTTTGGTTGGACTTTACACTAAAGGCTTCAACCAGCTACACAAGGCCACAATTCTGCCTCGCGGCAATGCTGCCGGTATCACGTTCTTCCTCCCACAAGAGGAGCACCACCGCTCGCGTCAACAGTACATGACTCGACTGCAGGTATGCATGGGTGGTAAGATGGCTGAAGAGATTGTCTTTGGCCCCGATTCAGTCGGCGACGGTGTGTCAGGCGATATTGAACAAGCAACGCGACTTGCCTATATGATGGTTACATCATTCGGCTTCTCGGATCTTCTCGGCAATGTTGACTTTCGGTCTAACTACGAACAAGTCTCTCCTGAGACGAAACGGCTCATTGACAATGAGGTCCGTCGCTTGATTGATGAAGCTAAAGAGAGCGCCAAGAAACTCCTGCTCGAAAAGCGGCCTGAATTGGATGCCCTCGCCAAGGGGCTGGTTCAGTATGAGACCTTGGACAAGGATGAGATTGTCAAGGTTATCAAAGGCGAAAAATTGCCTGATCGTATGATGGCCATGACTGATGCGCAGATCAAATTGCCAGAAATACCATTGCCGCCCACGGTGAAGCCACCGGTCCGTGGCAGCCAGAGCGAGGATGGAGTGTCAGCAGAGACAAAGGGTAGCTAGAGCAAGAAATATATTCTGTGCTTGCGCGGGACTAGCAGAAGAAAAAGGAAGCAAGAGCGAGTGGAAGAAAGAATCAATTTGTTGCCAGTATTTCTCATGGCGATTTTGCCTAGGGACGAGGGTTTTCCTTTGGGTCTGGCATTTGGCACGGCATAAGAGCGCTGCTTTTCTTCATTGAAAGATTTGGCGAATATTGGCGTTTTGTCGTCGGTACTGCGACGATTTGCATCTACAGACAGTAACCACAACCCACCCACACATATCTCTCTTCTCTCTGTATTTCTCTTACCATTCCCAAGAACAGACAAAAAGAACAAACCTGAAAACTCCAAAATGCCTTTAGCCGCTCTCCTTTCCCTTTATTATTCTTTTACCAGTGTCTTTATATATCATTTTTATTGGATGTGTGTTGTATGTACGATTAGGTCTTCTCCCCTTGGACACCAGGATAGCTGGCTTGCTTGTAGGTAGGGTAAACTGTTATATTGGTACTTTTTTTGAGTAGGGAATGATGAAAACAATGATAGAATTCATTCAAATTCGCTGTTTCCCTTGTTTCCGCTGTCTGCTATGTACGTACTTGTCCTACTTTCAAAGACTCTGCCGATGAGAAGCCTCAGCACCCCTTGTCCCGTGAACGTCCCATCAACATTTTCCCGAATCCAATCCCACATGCCCTTTTTGATCCCTGCACTCGTTTGTTTTAACTGTCCATGATCCTTCTCCCCAGACCCCCCATTTTTTCCCTTGCACTTCAGATAGACTTAATGACACACTTACGAGATAAAACATTACAAAATACCGTCCTATATAAACGACAGGTTGTTGAAGAGCAAGAAATTTCATCAAAAGAAGATTCGTCAAAAGATCAAGCCGGTGCTTCGTGTACAGCCTGACCCTGTGCCTCGGCGACATTGAAGATGGGAGCATGGCCGTTTCCGTGCCCGTCGTACTCGCTCATAGGACTCCCCACGACGTGTACGGCCGTCGGACTGCCGGCCCATGGCTTGTTATCGTCTGCCTCCCATGCATTGACCGGGGTGAAGCCGTGCGGATTGTATTCGGTGATGGCGTCGGGGTTGTTGTTATTGTTGGCGGCGGTGGTTCCGGAGACCCAACTTTGGTGTCCAGCTTCGCGCTTGAGACGCCGGTCGCGGATGAGAAGCCAGATGATGAAGGAGGCCACGGCGCCGACGACGACAAGTCCGCCAATCGTTCCTCCTACAATGGCTGCTGTATTGTTGGGCTTGGACGGGGCCTGGGTCTGTTCAAGGGTTGTCGGTGATGGCGCCGTAGAGCTGGATGTTGAGGAACTGGACGAGCGTGTAGAACTGGAACTTTTGGTGGGAGTACTAAAACCACTCCAAGTTCGTTCAACAATCACGGTTCCTTGCTTGGCAGCACAACCCCACTCAGTCATTGTCGTCGTTCTTGCGGTGGAGTAGGCATAATTCCACACAAAGCATTCAGGAGCTTCAGTAGCCGTACATTTCTTGATCGAGACATTGCTTAAGCATTTGGCATCGGAGCAGCTGGCCGACATCAGGCTGCTAGGTATACATGTTGTGGGTATGTCGCATCCGCCTACATTGTTAGGGTCACAGCAGCCGTGTACCCCATAGTATGTGTTTGTGGCGCATATCGAGCTTTTACCCGGTGGGCATGTCAGAGACGATGCTGTCAATCTATTAGTATGCAATTCCGTATTAGATCTGGAACAAGAGCTCGACTCACTGGAAATACCAGCGACAAATCCGCACACAGTGTCTCCCTCTCCTCGCCGGAAGAGCTCAAGCCCACCAACCTTCGGAGCTGCTGTCGGTGCCGGACTCCAACCATCCACAGCTGGAATTGCAAGTGTGGGCCCCGGTAATGCCCAAGGGAAAGCTGCTGCTGATGCAAGAGCTGGCGCTATTAAAGCGCAGAGAGCGTGTATCAGCATCGAGGCTGTACTGTGGGTTATCCAGAGTATCTTGAGCTGTTTAGCAGGTCATTGCGCTGAGTGAGCCACGAATCTTTGGTCGAACTAGCACGAGCGGTTGATGTGAAAGCTGGCTAATCGGTAGGGAAACCGGCGAGGACACACTGAAGTCTTATGGAGAGAAGGCTGAGAGGTGGGACGTAACGATGGTTGACGTCTGTCGCAGCCACGGTGCCGGGGAGCTGGCATATAGCTGCCCGGTCGATCGAACAACAACACCACACACTGTTGTGGTGAGCCAAGCAGTCATGCGGGTAAGCAAGCAGTAGATTGCCCGCAGTAGGTAAGCGTAGGAGCTGACCGCATTCGCGGGCTACGAACAGCGAATTGGAAGAAAGCATGGCTCGCTTTGGCCCAATCTTCGCACCCTAGAAAGCCACGAGCTCTCCAGATGCCGAAGGGCAAGGCCAGATGCAACGATGTGGTGGTGGGGTGTGCGGCACTGTGTATGGGTAGCTGTGGGGGCTGAGCGCATTAGGAAAAGCAAAGGTATTATGTCACAAGCACGTCTTTCTGCTCGAATGTTAAATATAGATGTGGGTAGAAACGATAGCCTTCTCCCTTGGGTAGCCCAAACATGCAAAATCCAGATCGCTTTTCTGTCTCGGTTGAGAGGAGTAGTTTTGTACAAGTACAACTGTGGCTGTCACGACCGCAGTTATGTCATGACAGCGCGCGGAAGGGAGTCTGACTTGACCGGAAGAAATTTAGTTAGCCGCCTGTCAGCCTGAGCAACATAGTTGCCATAGCTCTGCGTGCGGCGAATCGCGTCGCTGCTGCGCTCAGTCATATCCATTCCTTTCTGACAGTCAGCTTCCGTGAGATGAAGGCGTTGTCAACAATGACGACAATCATGCTTCTTGATAGCTTGATAGGTTGTTTGCTCTTCCCACGAATTCCAGAATGACGTGTATGTTGGTTGAGCCTCCGGCTGTCGTGGGCGCTTCTAGAGAAACCTCGTTTGATGCAACGCTTTCGCGAGCGTTCGCCCTGTTGGACACACTGCCGGTCTGGACTATTTCTAGACATAGATGCAATGGGTGGGCCGGAAGGTAGCACAGTAAATATGTATTTGTAGTCGCAGAGACAGGCTCCACGCAATGGCCTATTGGTATTCCCACACTGAAAACGCCTTTGAGTATTTGATAGCAGCAGCGGCTCCTTCCATGTTTCACTGCTGGACTTCTGCCAGACAGTTGAAGCCTGGAGCCGACTTTATATAGTACGATATAATATACAGTCCGATGTACAAAGTCGTGAAATAGTGAAGGCAAAAAATCTACTTGCGCTTGTGGGGACCGACGATGTTCGGGTACATTCGCGAGAGATGGTAATTGATGCTGTTCTTCTTGCGGTTTTTGTCACGCTGCGTGGACCATCAGTTACTGATCATGTATACATCCAAGTGGGTAGAATCTCATCACGTACAGGCGCATCCATGCATTGTCGTAGCTTCGTCTCGAGCTGTGCACAGCCTTGAACACTGTAGCCAGATGATGCCCAGCATCCTGTGATGTACTTGTCAGCGCATGCTTTGAGATAGATGGCTGTCGCATGTCTTTTGCATCCAATGTGCATCAACACAGAAGACTCCGACCCAAATGTTCTGGCCATCCAGTATTCCAGTAGATACTGGTGTATTCTATACACATACCCAAAACTGACGACATTACACCGAGGCACGGGTTGGTTTCTGGCTTATTCGGTCTGCGAACGCGCAGTTTGGGGAGCGGCGGGAGCGGGCGGTGCGTGACCGAGGCAGCGGTGATGTTCTGGGGCTTGGGAACCATGGTGATAAACGAATTGCACGTCCTGATGAGAAGGAATTGCGGCGAGGGAGTGCGAATGGGGGGTGATGCGGAGGAGGTTGCAGTTGCCCGCGGCGACTTCGAAAAAGTACAGTCCCAAAACGGACTAGCGCAGCCAGCACTGTCAGACCCGCTGTTGCTCTCGGTTGTTGACTGTTTGTTTTGGTCGCCTGCCTACCGCCTTTCAACCATCGCTGCTACTGACCGGTCCAAATCCGACTGCACAACGCGCAACAACAGCAATACGCCTAGAAGACTTCATGCATTGGCTTTTTTATCTTCATTCATAGATTCTGCATTCTACCCTTTAACTTTTGGATTCATGCCTCTGCGTCATTGCTACGGAATAGATATACCTACGCAGTAGATACGCCATCGTCACCATGGCGCCCTCACCACGCAAGAAAAGCGCGACGACGTTCCAGCTCTCTTGGAACGAAACCGATGCTTCCTTCCTCGATCCGACCGCCCTCCCTATATCCAAAGCGCCCCGTGCTTGGGATCGGAAACAGGAGACCAAAACAACAGCCGAGGGAAAGCAGAAGAAGGTCTGGCGCAGATACACGACGAGATCGAAGACTGCGAATGTCGCGTCGGCCGAAGATGATCACGAAAATGACCATGATTCGCGCTCTAGACCTGTCAAAAAGCTGCAGCGCATGAGCCCGCAAGCCATAGAGAAATCCGCCAAGTCACAACGGTCCACGAAAAGCGCGTTCAAGGCTACACGCTGGGACCGTAGGAAGAGTGTACTTCCAAGTATGCGCATCAGATATAAACTCTGAAATTCCATATCTAACATCGCATTTAGGAAAGAAAGTTGCGGTCACTGAACCCGCCAATGATGACGCAGAAAATGCAGACAGTAGCAGCGACGATGACCGGCCTGGAGCAGAAGCTGATACCAGCAACAATAGTTTCTCGGAGATGAATACATCGCCTGGTTTGGCTTTGGAATCTGCACCTGCTGTGGAAACCAAAGATCGCAGGTCAACCTTTACATTCAGTATGCAAGATGGCCAGGAAGAGACGATTGTCAGCGATGCGACCAATCCACCGGCATTGTTGCAAGAATCTGAGGTAGATCAGGAAGCCACTTTGGTGGGCTTTTTCCGCTCCCCAACCAAGAGCGCATCCGTGGAAAAGTCGCGACGATCATCCGAGCACATCACATATCCTGAATTGTCGCAGTTGATGGACGTGGAGCCCGCCACAAGTGAGACCGTAGAAATACTGTTCGGAGAAAGAAGTGAAGCGGAATCTCAAGGTGATGGTCCCGCTGAGGCTGTCCTTGCGAGTCAGAGCTGTGAAAAAGAGCCAGAGGAGCAATCAATTGCTGATGCAAGGTCAATTGCTGATGCAAGGTCAATGGAAGTGTCATATCCATCATTGCCTGCAGCAGAGGCCCAGCAAAACCAGGTTGACATGGAAGATGCGTTGGAACAAGAAATAAAGGATGACTCCGAGTCTGATGCAGAGGAAGCTTCGATATCTCCTCAAGACGAAGAGTTTCTGGATGCTCAATCTCGAGAAGCAGACGGACAGGATGACGAGCTTACTGAAGCCTCCCTCCAACTGGATATCCAACAAACTTTGGAGAAGGAGCAGCTGGAGACTCTTGAGTCCACTACAGAAGATCACCCAGAGACTTTAAGCAGTCTCGATGAGGGTATGGAGGATAATAATACGGTAGAATTGCCCCAGGAAGAGCCCACTGACGAGATACTTGATGCTCCCGAACTTCAGTTTGGAATGGAGGACATCGCGGACGGGCTTACCCTCGGTTCTGTGACACCATCATCGAGGGAGCCGACTCCCAAAAAATTACGGTCTCCTTCCCCTCCTCCAATCGAGCACGGCGCCGACGATACGACGACGATGGCTCTCGACGACGACACGGCTATGCTCAAAGACTTTCTTTCCCGTGCGGCCGCTAGCAAGGCAAGCAAAGCAGCCACCATCTCTCGTCGCGAATCTCTGCAAAATCGGCGCGACTCGGATGTTGTTCGTCACGCTCTCTCCTCCCCACGAAAAGTCCTGGAAGATAAGGATCCCAACTCACCCACAAAGTTCGACAACGAAGTTACGCTCGACCTCTCTCAGACGCTGACTCTGAGCATGGATCAGCCTCCTCTATCGTCTGCAGAGGAGCCAACAACCACGAAAGAAACTGAAGATGCGGCGCCGAAGAGTGCTCGACGATCCTCTCGCACACGCAAATCGCGACTTCCAGCACCACCCTCAGCATTACCCACCGGTCCATCTAAGATAGCTGTACGTCGTGCAGATGGCGGGGAGCCCGTTGTTCTTAAGAAGACCGAAACACAGGAGTTGAGCCAGCTGACGCGCGCAAACACACGTAAAAACAAACAGGGTGCTTTTGTCGTCAGCCTTCGACTGGCAAAACTCTCCAAAGAAGCGTCCAAGCGAGCGTCAGATGAAGGCACTGCCGATTCTTTAACTAGCGTGGTTCCCGTGCCGGGCAAGAAGTATGTGCGCTGGGACGAACAGCTAGCATACTTTCAAGAAGGCACTGACACCAAGGCTAACATGCTTGCGGAAGCAGAATCTCTGGCAACGCCCGACGAGCTCAGCCTACCCGGTCCAGCGGCGCCCAAAGCCAAAGCCAGGACCCCCAAGGCAGCGGCACTCAAGGAGAAGAAGACAGCAACCTCGACGAGCGGCACATCTACACCCAAAGTCCGCAGAGTCCGGGGACTGGGGACGTCCAACGGCACACCAGGGAAAGGTCTTCTGAATCCTGCCTCATTACTCCCAGACGAAGTACAGGAAGAAAAAGACCTCGCCGACCAACAGCAACAGCAAAGGTCCAAACCCAAGTCATCAAAAGTCAAATCGAATTCCGCAAGCAAGTCGAAGAGAGTGGCTTCCTCAACGACCGCTTCATCAACAGCGACACCCCCAGTCGCAGATACAACACCCGCTCCTGCGACCTCGGACCCTCCATCCAGCAAACTCCCCTCGCTGGACATCGCACCCGTGGGCATCGAAACCGCCTCTTCTAAAATCTCGTCGTCGATGCGGAAGAGCAGGCTCGCTTCCCCCAAGAAAGTCAAGCTCCCTCAAGCACCCGCTACTGACGGCAAGGAGAGCCATCAACAGCGGAGTGGCATCACGGGCGTTGGCAGCAACCATATCGCGGGGGCGACGCCGAAGAAGGGTATACCTGTTTTGATGGGAATCCCGGCTGGCATGGGCGTTGTTGGTGGTGGGGCCACTGGTGAAACGGGGTTGCCGAGACGGAGGTTGAGGAAGTTGTGAGGGGTGACGGGAATGATTGAATGGTCGGGTTGCTTCATCGTCGTCATCTTCTTTTTCTTCAGCATCAGCATTATCTAGCATCTTTGTGGGCATTGCTCTTAGCGATATGGCGTTTTTGAGGGGTTGTTGTCGGCGTCTTTGAAGTGAAGAGATGGTTTTGGTGGGGTTTTGCTTTCTCGATGGTGTTTGGGTTTTTTATTTATTCACTCGTCATATTCACTTTTTCGGCATCTTGAACACGACTTTTCACCGTTACCATATGGAATCATATCCTTGATGGTTATGTGAGTGATATGCCCTACGTAAAACGTTTTATCCTGATCTACTTTAAGCCATTGGATGCGGTTGCTTTGTCCAATCCAGCGGCGGGAGGAAGAAATCAAAGGCGAGGGAAAGTAGGTTTTTGATGCTACTCTTTTGATGGTGGAAAAGCGTCAAATTGGCTTGAATTTCGGTATATCAATGCGTACTATAACTACAGAGTTCTTAAATGCCGAATCGATTTGTCTACTTGAGGCGCTTTTCGGCGGCCTTCCAGTTGATGACGTCCCAGATGGCCTTGAAGTACTCGGCCTTGCGGTTCTGGTATTGAAGGCTAGAATTTGAGTTAGCACATTTCATTCATTGCTTGCTACCACATTCCCGACGAATTCGCGAAACGGATGTGGGAAGGCAAAGGCAAATGTTGGACTTACTAGTACGCGTGCTCCCAAGCGTCAACACCCAAGATGGGACGGAATTGACCCACAACGGGATCCTGGTTTGCGTATGTCCTGATCTGCACATTTCCGGTCTGGGTGTCCTGTACCAACCATGCCCAGCCAGATCCTTGGATGCCAGCCAAAGCAGTGTTGAACTTCTCCTTGAAGCTGTCAAGGCTACCGTAGCTCTCGTTGATAGCCTGAGCGAGCTTTCCAGTTGGGGGATCGCCACCGCCCTGGTTAGTGGGTGCCAGATTCTCCCAGAAGAGGGTGTGGTTGATGTGGCCGCCGCCGTGGAAGTTGATAAGGGGCTGCAGCGCAATCTGGGCGGCGATATCGGACTTGGCCTTTGCCTCCTCAAGCTGCGTGCTGAAGTTGTTGTACGATGTCACGTACGTGTTGTGGTGGTTCTTGTGGTGGAGCTCCATGATTTTGCCGCTGATGGCGGGTTCGAGGGCGCCGTAGTCATCTGGGAGCGAGGGAGACGGTTAGTTGATTACTTTAATATCGGGAATATAAATTGAATCCAACTTACATGAAAGGTCTGGCAGTGTTGCTTTGCCGCGGACAAAGGTGGTGCCTGCGAGACCGGCTCGAGTGCTTGATTTGGGAGCAGCGGCGCGGAGGGCCGAGCGGGCTGCGCTGGTGCGGAGCATTGTGGAGTTCATGGTTGCGAGAGACGAGAGATGTTGAGTTTGCGCAAGGGATTGGATTGGAGTAGGATGTTGGAGATGGATTGGTGGGTGTCGTTGGACGATGATGGTGGAGTTGCTGGTGCTGGAGAATACAAGTGAAGCTCTGGCCCTGTCGGGTCACTAATTGTTTCGTCATAAGCCCGAGCTTCCGAGCTCGAGGCAAGAGCTCCCCGCCCGCCCGCTGCAGTGCGGCAGTAGCTACTTTGACCATGTGCAATGCTAGGCCGCCCAATCAAAAATCGATCGTGTCTTGGTTTGGATCCTCAACTCGGAGCATCTGTAGACGCAAATGACTTGATTTTGGTGAATTTGCGTGTCGTCAATGCCGCTCGGTCTGCATCGGTGTTGCTGCGGCCCCGCCTGTGATCAGTAGTACATAGCTACTCGATTGCTTAAGTGTATATAAACAGGTTGGAAAATTACTAAAGCCAACAACCCCGTCTCGTGCCATGCTGAATTGGCTCCTCTCAGGCACCATTGAGCAGATCAGTCATCTCGAGATATATCAGCCCATGTGACTTGGCCCGTAATAATTTTACCACGTTTCTTGCAAGTCGTCCGCATTACTCCTTCAGACTACACCTCAATTTTTTGGTTCCTGATCCCCTCCCATTACTTACCTACCCCGCCATCCTTCTCGTCATCATGCCTGGGGCAGTTGTCCACCTACCAAATGGCCAGAACCTGACTGTATCGCCTGTCTTTGGTGGCCTGTTTTTCAAAAGCAATGACCTCACAAACCACAACTCTCCATTTCCACCGGGCTGGACAATCATACTCAATTCCGAGGACCACCACAAGGAACACGACGAAACTCCCGATTCAAGCCATGCTAGACAAGATAAAGAGCACGACATACCGCGTAAACCACACTTGCACCGATACAAGAAGCCTACGTTGCATGACGATCATCTCTACATAAGCTCCATCTCCAATCCCTCGAGTAATGACTTCAAACCCGCAACCTCCCCCACCAGGCAGATCGCCATGATGTTGTGGGCCACCTTGTACTGGTACTTTCACCAGCAGGAACCAGAGTTGCATGTCACCAATGCAGTGTCCAAGAACACAGCTGATGCCGGGAAACCAAAGGGAGAATGGCGCATCATGATCGATAGGGAGGGCATTTTCAAGGGGAAAGTGGTGTTGCCCAAGCTGGAGCGTATGGGCTTGATTGCTAGCGAGGAGTCCAGCGTGGGCATCGAGCAAAGCGAAACAAGCAGCGAGGGATGGACCGGCATGTTTGTCAGTCGACGATCATTCTGGCAGCTCGACCCGCGCATCTATCTTTTTACTCTCTCGCCCATGTCACAGAGTCCCTTCCCAGCGGGATCACCATACACCTCGCGGCCCAGCTCTCCGGTAAGGGGCGGCGAGTCTCAAAGAGATTCGCAGATTGAGCAGACATCGCAAGGACTCTGGTCACCCACGGCGCCTGGACCTTTCCACTCAGCTTCCCACTTACCCACATACTACCCACCTCCACCAGCGCAGTATATCTTCACAAACAACGTGCGCCATCCTCTCCGGCCAAAACCGCCTCGCCAGGGGGAGATACTGTATACGCGATTCATTCCCAGCGTGGGGCAGTACCTTTCCTTCCGCGTGGCTTCCATATCAACCAAACCACTCCGGCACCGTGGCCCTTCGTCAACGAAACGTATCTCGCAACTTTCCTTCAACGACTCTCCAGGCCCAGGTTTCAGCACGGTGAATCCCGGCATCTCTGACCCCGAGTACTTACACAAATGGATGAACAACCCGCGCGTGAACCATTTCTGGGGAGAAGCGGGACCACAGGAGCACCAGGAGGAATTCCTCAAAAGCGGACTGCAAAGTCGACACTCGTTTCCCGTGATTGGATGCTGGGATGGCAAGCCGTTTGGCTATTTTGAGATCTACTGGGTAAAAGAAGACAAGCTGGGTCGTTATCTACCACGCGTAGGCGACTACGACCGAGGGTTTCACTGCTTGGTTGGCGAAGAAGAGTTTAGAGGATCGCATAGGGTCAAGATATGGTTGACGGCGCTCGTGCATTACTGCTTGCTGGCGGACTTGAGGACCGAGTCGGTCATGCTGGAACCGAGGGTGGACAATGAGAAGTACGTATCATGCCCTTTGCTTCTGCAAAAGAAAGACGGCGGTTACTGACACAAGTTGATTGCAGACTGAAGAGATATCTGGAGGACGTAGGATTCTACAAGGAGCGCGAAGTCAGCTTGCCTCACAAACAAAGCAACCTGATGAGGATGGGAAGGGACAATTTCGATGGACCTGCGTTGTAGCGCTGCATCATAACATTGGTGTCTCGGTATTCGGAAACAGGAGGAGGCGAAGTATGCTTCTGTCTGCATTGCCTGTCGGAGGTAAGATGGGATTATGCGAAGTAGCAGATATACCCAATAAAGTCAACCATCACATCGGTGCTGGGATCCCACAACAGAATCTCTGCAAGCCATCTCACCGCAACCTGACGAGTGCACTCACATGACGGGTACAGCATGGCAGACGTGAAGGAGCGGGTGGCTTGATTGGCAGAGGCGGGCGCTTAGAGAAGAGGGGAATTGGGCCAATCACAGCAGCAGGATGGCGGGGTTGGGGGGGTGAGGTCTTTTTTGGGGGAGCTGCAGGGAACCGCATAGCCGAATCCATGCGTGTGCTTGGGGCCGTGAATGGACCGAGGGAGAGTGATTCATGCGCGATTGATTGCGCATCTATGGTGATTGTCCTGGAGATGCGCGGAGAGGAGGAAACGAAACAATGTTTGTATTCTGTTTGTATTCTGTCCAGTGTAGACTAAGAAGGGAGCTTGGACGCACACCCAAACAGAGTTGAGCCTACCCCAACACCACCTCTTCACCATGGCCATCAACATGACCCTCAACATCAACATCAAACCAGCCACAATCCACCCCATCTATACGTTGATCGCGCATTACACGAAGCGGCCGATGAGGTGACCGCCGTGCAAGAAAGAGGAGGATCCCGCGTGGTGGCGGCCATGGGGCATCCCGTCTGTCCCCGCCCGGCGCCTACTAGGATGCTGCCAATGGCTCCTCGAGAAACAAAGACGCCCAATCAGCGCCCGCCAATGCACTTTTGCCATGGCTTCACACCTGCACGCCGTCCACCAGCCAGTACAACCGCTGCATCCCCCAGATCCCTCCGAATATCTTATGTAGAGCCGCCCGCCTTCTTCCAGCCATGCTGGCCAGCTCGAGACGTTTCGCTGTTCCACCTGCGTCTGCCACTTCATCTCGTGCACCCCCTTCCTGTGCCTGCTTGTCGCAAATCATAACTCCAAAACAGGCATCGTCAATTAGCATTTCACCTCATGGTTATACCAAACCCGCTAGGGTGCTGATCTTCTGACATTTAAAACCATGCCGAAGCCATCACTCCTCCCAACTGCTCTTGTATCATTGATTCTTGTCCTTTCGTCTGCTTCTTCCCCACTTCCCTACGACTTCACAGACAACTATCGCGATCCTGCTCCATCGCCCGAAGAAGGTCCTCCTGCCTCGTCCACCGCTTCACGAAATAAGGAAATCCTCCCTTACCAGATCACTGGTGTTGTCGGCGGTTACGTTCTCACTGTTCTGTTCTGGGGCATCTTGCTCCTCACTGTCGGTCGCAGAATGCGTAGAAAAACAGAAAACTCCCCCAAGACTCTGGAGCTGCAGTTGGTGACAAAACGACCCGAGGAGAGATTGACCAGTCCAACACCGGCGAGCCCAGCCAGCGCCCGCTCTGCTACAAGCTGGTTCAAGAAGGGTTTCCGCAAAGAAAAGCCCGCGAGCATTCAAGAAGAACACAGCCCGCAAAGCCCAGCCAGCTTCGACCAAAACGTCTTGAACGCAGACCGAGCCCGCGCCCAAGAAGACATGGAGAGACTCTATGCCGCCGTCATGGAACACGACAGGAAAAAATCAATGTCTCAAGCCAGCGCCACCTCCTACGACGATACCCCCAGCTCGCGCCGTCCATCTGCCATCAACACCCACGACCTTTCCGCTCACTCCAACCCATCCTCCCCCATGAAAGCCGTTTACCCACCCAACTACACGCAAAATGGTCCCCCAACCGCTCCTCTCCCCTCGTCCCACCAATCCTACCGCCGCCCAAGTCTCCAACCCCAAGAACCCGCCTCCCCGCGCAGCGTTCTGTCCCGCAAATCCGCGACCTCAACCTCAAGCACCAGCAAACCGCGCTTCAATCTCAAAAACCTCCGCATCTCAGGCCCCATCGCAAAATACCCCAACGACCGCGACGAAGAGGCCCGCACCCCGTTATCACCCCGCCACCCATACAACCCCCCGCCTCCACCATCCCCACCAACCCAACAAAACTCCCCCACCACTCCCGCAGACATCGAGGAAGCCTACGAGCGCCTCGACGCAGTCCAGCCGCTCCCCCGCCCAGCTCCGCAACGCACAATCTCCATCTCGTCCTCCAACGCTGCTACCCCGACCACCGCCACACTCCCCTCCCAACAGCTCCCTCGCTCCGCGGCTTCGTCAAACACAAACCTGCCTCTACGTGGCTACGCTGAGCCCCTGCGCAGTCCCGATCTCCGTACCACGGTGCTGGATCGCAGAGTCGAGCGCCTGGGTATGACGAGCCCCAAGACCGGGGTCCCGTTCACGCCGTATAGTCCGTACATGCCATTCACGCCCGTCACGCCCGTCACGCCGCACCTTGTGACCAAGAGGGAGAGGAAGGCGGCGAGGAAGTTTGAGGGCAGGGGCGTCAAGAGCGACGCGAGGGATATGGTGCAGAGTCCCAAGGATATGTTTGGGGATGCTTGGTAGATGGGGTCGCCAGATGCCTTTTTATTCTCCCTCTTCCCACTTGACGAATTCCCTTTTTTTGTTTTCTGTGTTTAGCTTTTTTAGCATGTACATTGTTCTTCTTCTTCTTCTTCTTCTTCAATCTTTTCTTCGTCTATTCTTGTACGGCACCATTGCTTTTTTTCACAGTGGAATTATATCAGTTGATGATACCTATACGGTCAGGGGAACGAATTGATGGGAAATTACCGTTTATCCTGTTTGGATTAAAGGGGGGGGGGGGGGGTTAGAAATCATGTAGTTTAGCATCATCTGATATCATTATTCAGAAAAACGACTCATTTACAATAAACGCTATACCCACACTACCTCCCAATTCACGGTGATTTTCTTGGATTAGGTACAGTCGACTGTATTCATGGTGTTATTTGTGTGCACCCAAGACAGACAAACAAGCACTACTACTTATCGTGTGCCATGTTGATTAAGGAGGGTTTCCCGTCACGCAAGAAAGCAATCCCCCAGGGGAAAAAAAGGAATACCGCATTTCATATGTACCAAATCATTATAAGCACCTCCTCTAGTCTTTCTTGAAATTAAAAGTACGTAAATTATATAGTAGGCGTTCATGGACCGTCTTAGACGACGGGAATAGAGAGGAGGGGAAATTATAAAGTCCATGGGTGGAAGTAGATAAGATGAGAGAGAGAGAGAAACCACATGATGATGTTAGATGTCGTATGCAAAGAAACCGCTAAAAACAAGCAAACACGCGAACAGACAGGCAAACAAGAAAGCCAGTAAATGTATATGTATGCAAATGCGATGATTCGGGGAACAACCCCTCCACCCCTTCCCCACGAGTATAGAGACAACAGTTGGAGAAGACGGTATTATGGAATGCAGATGGCACGTGGCAGCGAGAACAGCGACGAAATCAGTGCATGACGCTCTCCCTCCATCGATCAATAGCGGCCCGCTGTCTCGGATCCATGGGGGGTTCCATCATCATGGCCTGGCCCTGCTGCTGGAGTCCGAGACCACCAAACTGCATCTGCGGCGGCATCATCATGGACGGGGCGCGCATCCCCGCGGGGCCATTGGGCGGGTACATCATCCCTTGCATACCCATCCCGCCCATGCCCATTCCCATGTTCATCTGGTTCATGGGAACTTGCATGCCCATGGGGTTCATTTGCGGTGCTAGCATAGGCATCGACATGTTCATGTTGCTCATACCCATCATACCCATATTCGACCCTGGGAAGAACGAGTTGCGGTCGCCAGGCATGCTTTGAAGACCAGGCATGCTGGGATTGGGTTGATTGTACATGCCAGGTGGTGCGGTCATGGGTGTGGTGGCTCCAACGCCACCGGATAGCTTGTCTTTGTAGGCCTGGATCTTTGCGGCGATGGCTTGGTCTTCAGTCGTTTTGCTGACGCCCACGCCACTGCCGAGAAGCGGTTGATCCAAGCTTCCGAAGCCTGAGATGCGTCGGTTGACGTCGAGACGGCTAGCGCGATGCTTTTCTTGCTTTTCAGCGTTCTGGCGAAGGAGACTGCCCTGGGGGAGGGCGGCTAAAAGAGCTTCATCGGAAACTGTTCGGACCTGGTTGTGAGGGTTTACGGGATGCGCGCCTAGGACGTCGGCCATGGACATGGACGCTCGCAATGGGGGACGATTGCCGAGAGGGTTCGCGTCGCCTCGGGCTAGTGCTTCGGCTTGGAGTCGTGCGCGACGTTGCCCAAGGGTTTCCTCCTCTTCTGCACCGACGTTTGCGGGAGATGAGGTTGGTTTTGGCTTCTCTTCCTCCACTCCGAATTGACTCATCATCTCGGCAGCAAAATCTCCGCTGACAGTACTCTTCCGTACATCGACGATTGCTTCGTCCAGTGCCTGTTTGCCCTTCATGCGACGCATCCGCTGAGCGAGTGTTTCTCCTTCATCCTCCTCGGATTCTGCTTGCGGTGGAGTAGCGGTAGTAGGCACATTGAGATGAGATCCATGGAATTGTGTCTGTCGTTTCGAAGGACTGAGATCGCCGGTCATTCGGTTGCTGTCGCCAAACAAACGAGTCCGCCTCCTACTAAGGGGTTCGTTCTCCTCCATCTCACGCTGTGCTATCAATCCCAGAGGGCGATCCCAGTCTGAGACTTGCTGTGCAGGAGCCCCTTTCCTGTTGACCAAACCATCCCGCCCAGGAAAGAGAACACCCAATGGCACATCATCTTCTGGATCTTCGTCGTCATCTTGGGCAAGCTGGGCTTCCCAGGCGAGATTAACTTTCTTTTGCTTCCGTTTCTTGTTTTCTATCTCAGCAACAGCATCCAGCTGTAGCAAGGTCGAATGCATGCCATTGGGGAACGCAGTAGCAGCGGTCAAATTCCGACTCTTTTGCTGGGCTTTACGCATCTGGAGTTCAGCAAGCAGAGTTGTTGGCGGACCGAAAGCCATTTCGTCTTCCTCTTCCCCATCTTCCTCTCCCTCTTCTTCATCTTCTTCAGGGTCCTCTACAGCGCCCTCATCTGCATTTTCAAAAGAGTATGCTCTGTGCGTATCATCCTGAGGATTTTCAGGACCCCTGGCATTGGGATCCGGGCTGTCGAGATCATCGCCGAGACTCATTCGGCTTTCATTAGCACGGACTGTCAACATGTTCAGGTCGGCGGAACTGTTGCGTTTCTTCAGCTTGTTTAGGAGCTCGCCATTGGAATTACGACGAGTATCGAGCAGATTGAACGATGTTCGCCGGCTTTTTCTATTCTCGGCCTGTTCAGTCTCCACTTTCTCAATTATGTTGGCTTTCGACTTTCGCTTATGTTCTCTGCCATATACTTCATCGCCCACGTGCCCGGCAAAAGGATGGTCGGTAAACGCAGAAACAGGGGCATGTGCAGCAGCTTCCAAAATGTTGTTCAAAGTGTCTTCGGCAGATTCACCCTTGACTTCAAATTCCTGGGGAGGTGCAGGTTGGTCAAAGAAAGCACTGGCACGTAATTGAGGGGGTAGGCCAGCAAGACTCTGTCTGCTTTTCCGGTTGGGTTTGGGCGCCTCTACCGGTTCGGCTGGCCAAGCTCCAGACTTTCTGTTGTCTGCCTGCATCGATTCGAGCACTTGAGTCCGGCGGCGAGCCTGGGTGTTGGCAGCGGGAAGTTTGGAAAGACGCTGTGGGAGGTTCAACATCCTTGGAACAGGCGCAGGGTAAAACACCATTCCATCGTCGGGCGGAGGTACGCCGTGCGAGTCTGATTCTGGTGGATTCATAAAAGATGAAGCTCTACTGTCCCGACCTTGTACAAACTCGGGCTCTTCCGGGACTGTCTCTGGAGCATGAGCACCGTCAAAGTCCTGCCATAAGCTCCCCAACTTGTGAGTGGTATCGACAGAACCAGCTGTTGCAGGGCGTTCGTGAGGGATTTCTGCATAAGGGTTATACTCGAAAGACATCTGGTCGTGGGGCTGCTCCTCTGGACCCTGACGATGGTCTTCCATAATGACGCTCTGCCGTAGTTCGTTTTGTATCTCATTTGTGATTCGGTCATACTTTTGCGTGAAAGAAGACACAGAGCGGTGGCTAGCTTGCGGTGATAGTGGCTGTTGGTCTTGCTGCTGTTGAGCTGCCCGAGCCGAATAGTCTTCTTCCTCTTCTGTCTGCACAATCTGGCCCAGGCGGGACGCTTTCGAGCTGGATCTCTGACGTTGAAGTTGTAACTGCGATGGCGGAGCTTGAGTGAGGGAGCCGGATCGGAGTGATCCAGCAGGGGAGGTTACATAGCCAGCGGGAGAGTAACCCCCCCACCGGGCCTGGCCTACAACATCCACGATGGAGTTGGTATAGGAGCTGGTAGATGCGTTTCGGCTCCGGGTGGTGAACTGACGCAGGGGTTCTTCGGTCGGTGTTGTTGAGTTGTTGGGGGGTATGGAGAGCGATAACGAGTGCATCGAGGCACGGCGGCTGTCCGAGAGCTTCTGCTCGAGCTGCAGCTTCCTGATCTCCTCACCCAAGTCGGAACCGGCCTCGCTCATCTTTTCGGCGTGCTCCTCCAGGCGTTCGATGTTTCCCACGTAGGCTCCCTGGAGGGATTGTAGATCGGGGGTGGGGTGACGGATGTCCAGGGCTGCATTGTCGCTGGAATGTAGGGGCACCACGGGCTGCGCCACGGCGGCTGAAGACGAGGCCATGCTGAGCTGAGCACGTCGATTCGATGATGACGGACAGGATGGGCTAGCGAATGGGTTGAGAGACGGCGCCGCCGGTGGGGCGTGTTGCCGGCGGAGAGAATGCGTATAGTGAGTGGTTTCTTCAAAGGGGGCAGATGCAACAGCTATAGGAGATCGAAGTTCGGCGTTTCTGGCGGTGGCTCTAATTAAAGAATTGGGTTCTGAGAGTACCACAAAATGACCCTGGGGGGATCAACGGGCGTCTTCCGCCCGCCCATCTAGCGTTGCCAAGACAAAGCCAATAGTCTCAACGGGCCTCCGCAACCACGATACCATTCTTCCACTGCACACTGCACGTCACCACCCACCCATCCCCGAACATCTACCATGGACGCCACCGACGACCAGAACCAACCCAAGCGGAAGCGCACCTTTCGCCAGGATGCGGCGCGCAAGAAGAGCAAGAGCGGAGATGAGGGCGGCAAGGAAAATGGCGCCCAGTATTCGGCGTTTGCCTTGAAGATGATGAACAAGATGGGCTACAAGGGAGGCGGTCTGGGGAAGGACGGCGAAGGTATCGCAGCCCCCATCGAAGTCAAAGTACGACCGACAAAGGCTGGTGTTGGTGTCGTCAAGGAGAAGACGATCGCTCAGATACAGGAGGAAAAGAGGCGGGCGCGCATGAACGGCGAGAAAGTCGAGTCGAGCTCCGAAGACGAGCGCCCCAAGAGGCGAAAGCCAAAGGCATCGGCAGCAACATCGGGTGCTTCCACTCCCACTGTCCGTCCCCGGAAAACGGTTTACGCCTTGGAGGAGGCTGGAATCCACGTTCCACAGTCTATACTTGACTATACCACAAACCAAGCGAGAACCACGACTACACTTAGTCTTAGGGGCACCGAGCAACCCTTCCAGTCCAGCGCTCAGAGCAAGGCTTACATGGAACTGAATGCCTTCATGGACGAAGTGGAGACGCTTCAATCGGATACACACAGTATTGAGCAAGAAACGGAAAATCTGGTCGCCGAACTTCAAGCACTGAGCACCCAATCGGTACAGCTACAGGACACTATTTCTCGCCTGGCAGATCTGCACAATACGAGCGACTGGTCCAAACTCGTACAAGGCCTTAAATCGATGAGCCTTTCAGAAAAAGAAGCAGTGGCTTTACTACATCCGAAATTTTCTCAAGCAGTCGTAGCATGGGATCCATCACAGGGCCCACTGGAAGAAGTCGCGCTCTCTTTGATAGAGCTGGCCGACATCGTCAACCCTCGTTCGCAGGGCGAGCGAAGACCTCGCTCTACAACACCCTATCAATCCATGATGCTGATATGGTGGTCTCGCTTTCACTCGGCACTGATCAAGGACTTCAGACCAGACAGTTCTACTGCATCTGCTTTTCTTCTTGCCATCGAAGTTTGGCTTCCGGTTCTTAAAGGCGTGCCCTTCATCTACCACCGCGTTATCCGGGAGGTCAAGCGGATGACGTCGGACGTTATTCAAGTATGGAATCCACGAAAGGCCAAGTCGCTACCACAATGGATCCTTCAATACCTCCCTTATTTCGATCCCTTACCTGACCTTAAGCCCAAATTAAGGATTCTGCTCCAGGTCTGGCCTTTGGGGCGAGGACTGCTACCTGGTATCAAGCTGTTCCAAAAAGCGTTTCCTAAAGAACTGGGGACAATGCTTCTGCACTTTCTCGTCCCTCGGCTGACGACGCACCTTAACGACAACCTTGAGATGGATCCATCCGACCAAAATATGGAACCAATCACTGCTGTTGTGAGCTGGACTGGCGTACTTTCGGCGCGCATTATTGTGGAAGTTCTACATAGTGCCTTCTTTCCCGCATTCCTCGCCTGCTTACACTCCTGGTTGACATATGAATCCTGTAATCTCGAGGAAGTTTCTAAATGGCTTACGTACTGGGCTGAAGACGTCTTCCCAAAAGATATTGCACAAGAGCCCACCTTCAAGGCGGACTTTGAACAGGCCTACACCCTTGTCGGAGCAGCGCTCGATCTGGAAAATGAGGGCAAGAGCTTAGAGACTCTTGAGTTCCCCGCAAGCGAACCAGCCCAGGTGCCTTCGCCAGAGACTCCCGATTTCTCGAAATCGATCAATACTGAACCATCCCAACCAACCTTGCCGGACGCGAGCGAGCTCTCTTTCAAAGATATTGTAGAGTCCTGGTGCGCGGAAGAGGACTTGCTCATCATCCCTCTCCGCAAGGCCGATGAATCTACGGGCTTTCCGCTATTCAGGATCACAGCGAGTGCAGCGGGAAAAGGTGGCGTGATTGTATACTTTAAAGGTGACATTATATACGCCCAGAATAAGAAGGACAAGAGTATCTGGGACCCGGTCGGTATGGACGATGGTCTGATTGCCAGAGCGGAAGGCAAGTGAACGAATGCGAATGCGACCGCGACTGCGACGGACATGTTTCCGCATCATTCTCTTCATCCGAGGCCACACTTCTATCGCCAGAATCAGATGGAATGATGAATTGCGTATGCTTGTGTTTGGGAGAAAAATTGTGTTCTGGGTGATACCCCGTTCGACTACTAGAGTGCCGGGGTATCCTTAGGACTTGTAAGTGTAGGTCGCATGGAAAGCATGGATGCATGTACGTTCAGGGTAAGCTTCCATTGCCTTAATCCAAGGGCAGATACCGTTACTGGCTTTTGCGCTAACAATGATGACATATCCTGCACTCGAGTGGACACTTTTATGTAGTCAGCCATGAATATGAAGTTGTTGAATGCTACAGCCAGCCTTCCGACAAACTGCAGTCGCTCCACTGCTTTGAATGAACTAAGCGTGAACTGAACACGGTGCGTGCGCACATGGCCCTGCCCAACCTAGCGACGGGGATAAAGCGAGATGAGATCGAGTCCACTTGTTTCGGCTCGTAGCCATCCTCTTTCCACAGCCGCTGATATGCATTTCCATTGGTCGAACATGCTCTGTGTGTGATACTCCTGCCGAGTCCCTGGCCCAGAATCTGGGCTGGAGCGACAAATGAAGCACGGTCCAACATCGCGAGATGGTATGAGGACTCATCGGCAGTAGGCTGATCAAACGCTGCAACTAGGCGATGTAAGGAATTGAAACGTGTGTACTGGTTTTGCACCTGCCGACCATGGTTGTCGTGCGCGTAATAAAGATCCCGAAGGGTTTAGCATGATGCTGTATGATGTTCTGCGTCGAAAAGTGCATAGGTATAGCCTGTACAATAGTCAAGGCATATACAATTGTCATAGACGACAGCTTATCCCTCCAACCAAGTACTAGACACGTAAAATACTAAGTGTGACAGGAGGTCAAGTTTCAGATACCCTGGGATTCTGACGATGCGCCATCATGCCATGCCACTAAAGCGAAAGGGCTCAGGCTTCATTATATCCGGCGAATGGTGAAACACTTGAGCATTGCCAGACACACGGGATGGCACAACTACCACAAATCGACATGTCATGCCTAACGCACGTGGATCGCATTCCATGACTTATACAACAGACTTTGGCATTGCATCCAAATTCTGATGCCTTAGGGCTGGCCCTTCGGAACTCTCACTTGGGATCGGATTTGCTCTATTTCGCTTCCATCTCGACCTTCCTTTCAATCTCGCGTTTGGCCGTTGACGGTCAATCGCTTTACTTTCTCTCAAAAACAATCCTGGGGGAGTTTGTTTCTCCCGCTTCGTAATATCCTAATGGTTCGCCAGACCACCTTCCCCGGCACTCAACACATCGGAAGTGCAGCGCAATTCAGTCATTGGAGAAGATACAATGTCTTCTATGGATTACTGCTCACGACGACCATGTCCAGCATATTGCTTGCTGCCGATCAATTCCACTGGCGAGCTACCGGCATATCATTCAGATTGGCGAACCAATTCCCTGCTTCGGTCGCGTTCTTCGTGCAGATCTTAGCAGCGCTGTTTGGTGTGATGCATGTCGCTGTCATTACGAAGTTGCTCAACTACGCTTTAAGACTTCGGATCACCAAGGTGAGCGTTTCTCTCGATGTTATGAGGACATGGGTGGATCTTTCCATTCCACGGATGGATTGTAAGTTCAAGTTCCCGTCTACCCCCGTCTACCAATGTACACAATGGCTGATTCAAAGATATAAAGGGGATCTTCCGATGCGATTTCTCTTTCCAGTCGCCATGATGGTCTTGCTCAGTCTCGTACCTGCCGCTCTCTGGGCTGGTTCCATTACTCCATTGATCGATCAAACCACTGGTACTGGCATGATTCTCGTACCCACCTACGACGATGTATCCATGATCAAAGAGTATCCGATGGGAGTTGGTCATGCGGGACCCATGCTGCGTAGCCGTAGAGGCTTGTTTACGTACTGTCCCGGTCAGAAACTCATAGGCCCTCTTCTCTTCTCTGCTGCAGCTGCATCTCCTCTGGGCATGAAAAAGCTGGTTCATCCCAAGATTGACAGTACTCAATTCAGCTACTCTGGACGATCTTTCGGCGTAGGAGCTCCAGTTGGATTAATGGACCAGCAGATCCTATCCGATTTCCAGGCTGCAGGATACGTTTACGAAGAAGAGGGATATTTCGCCAACGTCACCTGTATCTACAATCAGACGACAGATTTTGCACTCTCGGGCCCTGTTAGCGAATGGATTTACGCGGCCTCCGGGAATCTCCCAGATAGCGAAGGCGGACCTGAATATTCAAACTACGTTGGTCACGACGGCGATGCCATTGTAGCAATGGGCGTAGCATGGAGCGAGAATTCTCCTCGGCGCTACGTCTCCATTGCCGCCGGAGAAGCCTACAAGGCCCTCAACAGGACGCAATGCGAAATCGACTTTCAACCCATGATGTTCAACGTGACAGTCGATCTCGCAAACTTCAACATCACAGTCGCAAACACCCGCCCCATCGAAGACTTCAACCCGCAACGCAACCTCACGCGCACTCTAGTCCGCCAATTCGAGCTCCTCTCCAACGACCTAACAAACGTCTACGTCTCCCAACTCGGCGAAGCCTTCAACGCCAGCATCGCCGCCTTCAACATGTCCCGCATCGCCGCCCAGCGCGACCCCATGAGCGAAGCAGACGCCACCCTCGCGGGCCTCACAAACTCAATCACCTCCATGGCCGACGACATGCTCGTGGCCTTCGCCTCGGCACAGCTCATGGTCGGAAAACACTTCGAACCCCAATCCGCAGTCGTATACCGCTACGGCCTGCAATTTGGCCAGCCCGCGTACATCTACTCCATCTTTGCCCTCAACCTCCTCATCATCTTCGCCGTCCTCGTCGAAGCAGTCAGAACACATGCCTGGAACGACCTCCCCCGCTTCAACTACCTCGACCCCCGCGACCTCGTCGTCGCTGCCTCGCGCGGCGGCACGGGACTCGCAGGCGCCGCAGACTCCATCGTCTACGACGACGCGCCCGCTAGGAAAACGCATAAGCGTGTGTGGTTGCTCAGTGGGCCGGACGAGGGGAACGGACAGCTGACTGTGCGCATGGGCGCCGACGATCAGGGCCATGCTACCATCACTGTCAAGGATGCCAAGTGCGGTGGTGGTAGAAGTAACGGGTTGAGAACGCCGGTTATGTCGACTTGTTTCAACGATATGCCCAAGAGTCCGCTCGGGCCGGGATACGTGGGCGATGCTGCTTCCGTGGATGTGGAGAAAGCGAGGGCGATGAGCATTTGGGAAGAGGAAAAGAAGAAGGAGTTGGATAATGGAGGGAAGATGAGGATTTGGGGTGAAAAGGGTTGATTTTTGGGCGACATGTCGGAATACTCTCGGCAGTGAGTAATTGTAGCATGAGAGTGTATGGGACGTGGGTTTCTAGTCTATATTGTCGATGTATATACAACTAAGGTTTGGGTACGTGAGTTGCTCGTTCTCTGGGACGCTGGGAACTCCTAATAGTAGCTAACCTGCCTAATCACCTGTATACACACTTTGCGTCTCCTTCTCATTATGTTTATCTGGATTAATAGAATTCAAAACTTCTCGAAATAATGCCCATGCTACACCGGTGTCACATAATCTCGTTGAGAACATGCAGGGAAAAGACATGCTTTGTGATGACGATTATGGATTACACAATTACGTCTAGCTACTATGATCAACAATCACCTTCTCTGACCCAAAATGCGATGCTTCTCCTTAACGTAAGCCCTTCAAGACATGATTAACCAACAACTATCAATCGTCCACTCATCGTTTACTCAGGTGCACCGTTGAAGATCAACTCGTTAACAGTTCCGCTGGGAACATTGGCGATAGCACCCTTGATGCTCAACTCCTTGATACGGTCGGTAACCGTAGCAGTGGTAAGGTCCTCAAACGCCAAAAGGTAGGCAGCGAGACCAGCGACGTGGGGGCTGGCCATGGAGGTACCGGAGATGGTGTTAGTGCCGCCGTTGTTCCATGTGCTGAGCACATTGACGCCAGGAGCCCATCCATCGACGATGGGGCCGTAGCTGGAGAAGGTAGCCTTGGCGTCGTTGATGTCTGTGGCGCCGACGGTGAATGCGGAGGGCTCAGAGGCTGGCGATGTGTTGGCTGCGTCAACGTTGGAGTTTCCGGCTGAGACGGCGAAGAAAACACCTGCAGCGACTGCGGCGGCGACCTAGGATGATAGTGTTAGACTAAAAGTCAAAGGAAATATTGGATTGATTAGGTCTGATATCGTAGAATGATAAATACTTACAGCATCATTAACTGCTTGTTGCTTGCCTCCTCCAAGGGACATGTTAGCAACGGATCCCTTAGGGCAGTTGCGAGTCTGCGAGTCGGTGGCAACGAAGTCGATACCCGCAATCACACCGGCGAAAGTGCCACCACCTGAAGAGTCGAGCACCTTCACAGCAAGAAGCGTGCTCTTCTTAGCAACTCCGTAGGTGACGGATCCGATCGTGCCAGCAACGTGGGTTCCGTGGCCATAGCCATCTGAGTCAATGCCATCGCCCGTGAAGTTCTCGAGCCACTCGGCACCTATTCATAATTAGTCAAGTTTTCATGAACAATCGTGTTGGTCGAGCTTACGGTCTTCGAATTCGGGGTGTGTGGTCAAGATTCCAGTGTCGATCACGTACGCGCACACTCCCTCGCCACCCGTGGAGTCGTATACATAGGTTGTGTTTCCCTTGGTGACGTGAGAGATGCGGCCAAGACCCCATGGAGCACCAGCCTCGCTTTGCCAGTCGAACGCATGAACTTGAGCATCCTCAGAGATGTACTCAACAGAAGGGTTGGCTTTGAGGTTGGCAACCTCTTCATCGGAAAGCGAGCCAGCAAAGCCGTTGAAGATGTTGTAGGTGAAGTCAGGCTTCTTCGCAATGGAAGCAGTGACCTCACTCACAGCATTCGCGGACATCTCCCCCTTGAACTTCACGATGTACTTGCCCGGGATGATAGAGGCATCCCTGGGCGTGACAAGAGGTGCCGCAAAGGCAGCGGGGAGGAGTGATAGAAATAGTGATTTGTACATGATGTAGTATCTGCCGAGGATTATTCAATCAAGTAGAGGTTTTAAGAGGACTGTGAGCTGCACCGAGTGGAGTGAGTTGAGAACAAGAAATGATGGAAACTGAGGTCTTTTTATATTTGGCTTCTGGACCCTGTTCAACGAAAACTTGAATGTGCAACCTTTCCTGTGCCATACACACCTTCCTAGTAGCGCAAAGTGTCAACAGAACGCTCAATATTGCCTGCAGTGCTCATGATCAAATTAGTCCATACAGAAAACCCGCTGCGGTCGGTCACTGCGTGGTGTGTGTGTGCTGATATCAGATGCGGTATGATCGTCACAACAAGGGTAGATAAGCAAACCGTAAGCCTTGTCGTACGGTACCTCAGTAGTGCAGTGATAGTTTCGTAGTTCATGCTCCCAAATTCGATTAAAGATTTTCTTTTCGTGAACTCCTTAAACGTCCTCTTTCTCTCTCGATTATTACTCGAGAAGACAGTACTTTCCAAAGTCAAGTTGGAACTTCAGACCTTCTCGGTGACTTCATATTTCGTTGAGTACGATGCATCGTCTTGCGTTCGGTGAGTTGTGATGCAGCCAAGCACTTACATCAATCTAAAAGGTCTGACAGTACCAGAGAATGAACCCTAGATATGCACCGTTGAAGGGTCCTGCCGATATAGGATACTATTAGCGTCAATAGGTACCCCAGTGGTGGTTATGCAGGTGCCTTCGGAAGGAGTCCGTAGATTTTGCTGCGCACCATTTCAAAGCCAAACAGGCAAGAGCAACTGGAAAATGTGATACTCCGCTCTTGAGGCAGCTTTGCAGAGAAGAAGTCGGTTGCATACACATATTCGGAAGCGGTACCGACCACTGAAGGTATTCGACAATGCTGACCAGGGTCAGTGGAATTATTGATAAAGCCGTTCACAGTCTTGGCACTCAATCCCAGATCGTCAGCAAAATATAGTCAGGCGAGTGCATTCCAGTATCAATCCTGAAAACCAAGGAGTTTTATTGGCTTCTCCAGTTGTTTGCCGCGATAAACTGTGACGCACATGTCTTACTGTAGCTCGTGGCAGCCGTGCAGAGGTTCCGACAAACGCTCGTGGGGTTCGCATGCAGATATGCGAAAGGCAACACGAACAAATGGTTTCGTTCGCAGACTGCCCGAACGGGAAGACCAGAGGCAAAACGATGGCTGTGTCGGCAGCATTCATTCCGGTATTGCGCAAACCATGGCCTGGAACTGACAATTCGCGCTCTGGTAACTGAAGATGGATGCCGTTGGCTGGATGAACTGGACTGGCAAGGCGTAGAGGAAGGTATTGCTAAAGGTGGGGAGAGGCATCTCCTCTAAGATTGTCTGTGCGCACATATATTAGCCATGTCCGTCTCTACCCATGCTTGAACAGGGGTTTCTCACCAACGCGGAGCGTCCCGGCAAATCATTGATTCGTTCCCTCTATCAGTCTCGGGAAATGGATGATAAGCTCGTCATCTGCTTAAAGAACACGAGGGCATGCATCGATGTACCTACCTAAACAATTGTAATAGGACAAGCAACGTCCAAACCGTCAACCAAGATGACTGCACGCCAAGCGATGGCGAAAGATAAGAGGATAAGGCGTATTTCTTACGATGAATGTCGACCAAATACATCTGCGTTGACTGAGCCTGCAGTCTGAGAGCCCAGCGTGCAGATGCTTCTATTGGACTTGTTTGTCAGCACTTCCCAGCTCCTACTGGCTAGGATCAACTCCCGGACGCTCCCATCACATAGCCGTCTATAAGGAAGGTAGAAATGGATCTTCCTTGGAGATACTCGAATCTGCTGGGCTGCGCATGGCGAAAACTTGATTTAGAGTAAGTCTGGGGTAGTACGATGTATTGGCGATTGATTTCGTATCTGCGACATCGAAATATCGTCCTTTTGAGGAAATAACGCAGTACTTCGTGGTCTGCTCGTTCGCATCCAAGTAAAGAAAGCCGTTATATCCGGATTGGCACCGTGTCGCACGACCTCTGTAGTCTGTCGTTGAAGTCCGACGGCTACATGTTGTGGGTAGCCCAAGTATAGCCTTAAGTTGCCAAAGAGCGACAGGAACACTGCTCATCATAAAGCCAATAATCGTTTAATTCATACCTCGAGCACTTTATCAAAAGTGCGTTCGATGAGCCTAAGATTGGAGGTGTCGTTTCGTGTCGTATGCTGGTGTCAACGATGGACCTTTCGGGGTGGTGTAGTCGAAGGCCATCTGAATGTTGAGCTAAGGCCCGATAGCCGGATTGGAAAGCGATTTGAGTGCTTTCGCATTCAGAGTTTAGCATACCATAGAGGCGCAGTGCCTCGTATATCGCGTGTTGCGGTTGCTTTGCAGATGGAAGTAGGGTATCAAGTGCCGATGTCGAGAGGATCAGTGCTGGGTCGCGCGCCACGTTATATCTGCAAAGCCACGTCCAAGTACAGTTGCAAAGGCCTTAACCGTATGTGCGCCTTCTCGTTCTTATAGACAAAAAGCCATTTGTCCTCAGAAGCACCTCCGTTTTTTAATTGGCTTCGCGACATTGCTGACATGTGCGTATAGATTCTGCAACCGCGATGATTTCGTTTCCTCGGAGGAGATTCTGTAATCCTATTGGGAGCCAGCAACGGTAGGTTCGCTGCATGACTGGTAACCGACCGATTTTTGAGCTGCTCCCACGCACATGTGGCATGTGGCAGATGGCATGCGACTTTCAGCCAACCATATTTTCCATCGATTATTGAAATCTCGGAAGTTGTAGAGATATGGAGCTTCGTCCGTATGTTCTGCCACCGGACAATCATGTCATTGGACATTCATTCCATCGCCAGCTTCTGCTTCTTGGGATGGCACCGAGGACAAAGAGCTTCTGACCGGTCGTTGTAAGACAATCGTGTTGCTTATTTTATCTTCTTCATACCACCTTTCGACATAGTAGTCAGGTGGACGGCATCGTTATCGCTGGCAAAGGTTCTAGATCACATACACTTCCCGAATTAGATGGTGCCTCAATGACCAACAGTAGATATCTGCTTTCTTACCCCATTTGGATGATCGGCTGGAGTATATGAAGATACAGCTGCTCGAGAGAGAGAGAGAGAGAGAGAGAGAGAGAGAGAGAGAGAGAGAGAGAGAGAGAGAGAGAGAGAGAGAGAGAGAGAGAGAGAGCGCGTTTACCTTGCAATGCACAATCAGGAAACACGGGACGACTTACAGCTAAACGCGTACCACTCTGAGCGTGTTGGGGTTCGATCAACAGCAACCACCGATCTCTTCATTTGCAAACAAACACTAACGGGCTTTCCGATTGATCGAAGCAACCATCTCGTTGATGTGCGTAAGTTGATCGGGGCCGACTTTGAATGTGGTAGTCATTGCCCGTACAAGGCTTCACGTGCAGCAGAAGCTCATTTCGGAAGGACCAGTTAAGCCAATTTCAGATGAACTACATCTCAACAACAAAGGATCGAAGAATACAGAAGTCAAATCATTGTATGAGAGAAGAAGGCAGCGAAAGCTATGTCCAAGCCAAAGTGGTGGTCTGAGGTATATGAAATGCACAACGAGAACGTTGGCTCCCTATCAAGTTTTCGCTACGGAGCACCCCCTACCCGCCTTCCCACCGCGCCGCCTCCCCGTCCCTATATTAACTCCACATCTCGGCACGACTTCATCGCCATACATTTCCCCCATGTTTTCCCCACAAGCTCCCATGTCTCGCCAAGCTGTCGAGTAAATGAAAAAGAATTGATGATCTGCGACTTGGAAGGACGACCCTCATCCTAGATCCATCCCTTCACCTGCACCTCGTCAATCCCGAGGGTCTTAAGATCAGCATCTTCATACATCGGATACGCGCGTCTAGAATGCCGAGGACAAGCTCTTGTCGTTGTCGATTCTGCAGGTCTTGTGGAGCTTGATCTGACCGCTGAAGATGGAGATTCACGCGACCAAGGATCACGACTCTGCATCAAGTAGATTGGTACTATATGCGCAGTGATTCATAACAGCTTGCTCACAGGGCTTATAGTAGAAGTGGCACTGCTTTTTTTGTGCGGGACTGGTGAAGAAATGGCGCATGATCTAAAGAAGAACAGTAGTGGCCTCATTTTCTAAAGATGCCTGAATCAGGTAGATGAGTAGCTTTAGAACAGTGGTACGTATCTCGTCATACCTTACTTCACAGCAGCGATATAGACTGCTGCTATACGACTAAAAGCGAGGAGCTTCGGCAGAACTTCAAATAACTTGCTTGCCATTGGCAGCCTCGTTCACTGATCTGGGGCCTACTCGTGTGACCTTCACCGACACCGAGATAGCTCACTCGTGCTGCCTGCTAGCCGGACCAAGGACACATGAGATCAAGATATACATGAATACATACCTATTCGTCCTGATCTCCATCTGCAAGATGAGCATTTTACATTACATTACGCGTTCGCCAACAGCCAAGTCGCTAACACGGCATCCACTCTACTATGCACGGTCTCCAATGTCGAGATCGACCAAGTGATTGAGAATTTCACCTCAAATTCCCGGCCAAAACTCAAGAAAATCGCATGTAGATGTGTTGCTGTACGCACGGTTTCGATAGGCGTTTCTGACCCAGCAACACGTTCTCCCGTGGTAAGAAGTATCATGCGACCTCCCCCCAATCCCCCATTTCTGGCTCGTCCCCCGTAGTACCTGCGCGGAGAGCAATAGAGTAGTTCTAGACGCTTTGAATAGGCAACAATACGCGCACTCATGAGAGCCTTACACGTTTCGCGTCTCACCGACCCGAATCAATTTTTTGATCTGAGATCGAAAGCAAGATATCTGCTCACTATGAAACATGCGCGACACAAAGGATGTCAGCCACGCTTCTTTTTCAATGGTAGAGTTGGTTGCGTCATTCGCGATTTGCGCGTTGTGGGGGGGAATTCGTCAGCCAGCATTTCCTGTTCGAGACGGGCCTGCGGGTAAAGTGACTGGAAGTGGCTACTGGTTTCGAGAAGTGTAGACTGGGGCTTTCTCGAGGTAACGTGATACTGCGTCGTACCTGCGCGACGTCTGAGTCGTCGTGTCGGTAAATGATACCTCAGTGAAATGGTTGAACATTGCATGCGTCGACTAGTCAGTTGTGTTATCGTCTTACTGCGTCGAAGAGAAGATAAGATAAATAATTCCTGGTGGTTCGAGAATAAAGAAAAGACGATATCTTGAGCCCAACACATGCCGCTCAGCGTAGAGATTGTTTCCGCGCCAATGAGAGATCGTTTCGAGATTGCGATGGAGTTTCTGTCAAGGTTAGTCCGAGAGTGCTGATGCAGGAATCGTGAGGTCATTAATTTGGAGATGATCGGCACATCGAAGCACTGCAGCAACGATAACGGATCAAGAAGTTGCGGTGAAGATGGTAGATTGATATGCTAATAAAATGCAGAGGAACACTTCTCCCGAATGCATGAGGTCCCCGAACAAAGTAAATGGAAATACACCCTCCGTATCAACATCGTCGCCATCGTTATCAACATTAGATGCACATGCGCGTCGTTAGATTAGCGGAGAATCTAGGCACCGTTCTGGGCCAAGGAGTTGGTGGTTCCGGATGGGATGCCAGAGATCTTTGACTTCTGGGCAAGAGCTTGGAGACGGGATCCGAGAGCGGCAGGGGTCTTCTTGCCCTCAAGTCCCAAGATGTAAGCACCTACAAGATTGTTAGCCATCGTAGAACAGAGCATGCAGGGAGATTCATGGGGCGACACGTACCAAGACCAGCAACGTGGGGAGTAGCCATAGAGGTTCCAGAGATGGAGTTGGTGCCACCGTTGTTCCAGGTGGAGAGAATAGAAACACCGGGCGCGAAAAGGTCAACAAGGGAACCGTAGTTGCTGAAGGACGCGATCCTGTCAGAGCTGTCGGTAGCACCAACGGTGAAAGCAGTGGGCTCGGAGGCGGGGGAGTAGTTGGCGGCATCACGACCATCATTACCAGCAGCGACAGCCAAGAAGACACCGGCGGAGACAGCACTTGCAGCAGCGGAGTTCACAGAAGTAGACTTGCTGCCACCGAGGGAAAGGTTGGCAACAGCTCCGTTGGGGCACGAGCGAGTCTTGGAGTCGGATGCGACGAAGTTGATACCAGCAATGACACCAGAGTTGGAACCGGAACCGGCAGCGTTGAGGACCTTGACGGCGTAAAGCTTGGTCTTCTTGGCCTACACAAAATGGTCAGTAAAGTTCATCCTCGAAGATTCCTGAGTACGTACGACTCCGTAAGTCTTGCTACCAATGGTACCAGCGACGTGGGTGCCGTGGCCGTTGCCATCAGCGGTGGAGCCGTCACCAGCGTAGTTGGCAAGGTGAGTAGCACGGCCCTCGAATTCAGGGTGAGCCGTGTAGATACCAGTGTCAATGATGTAAGCGCAGGTGTTGGCACCAGCAGAGTCGTCGTATCTGTAGGTAGTGCTTCCAGTAGAGGTGGTGGAAAGGCGGGCAAGACCCCAAGGAGCGCCGGTCTGAGAGACAATGGCCTTCTTCTCGAGGACCTCATCCTCGAAAGCGTTGACAATAGCGTCTTTCTCGATGTACTCAACCTAAATCTTGTTAGCATATGAAAAATTGGGACAAAAGACTTTCGGGGATACTGACATTGGGTAGAGCCTGGATGGTCTTTACAACATCGTCGCTCATCTCACCAGCAAAGCCTTGCCATTTTCCAATGTTGTAGACATGCTCGGGAGTCTTGCTCAAGAGTCCAATGGCGCTCTCAACGGCAGCAGTAGAGACTTCGGCCTCCTTGAACTTGACAATATACTTTCCAGGAATCACGGTTCCGGCACGAGGAGTGACCAGAGGGGCACTAATGACCACCGTGGGGAGGATCGTAAGAAGGAGTGCGAATTGCATCTTGACGAGAACGTGCTGTCGTTTGGTTGAGCGAAGAGCTGATGTTGAGGGGCGAAAGACTGAAGTGATCGATGCCTGGCGATTTAGAAGACGTTGCGCAGCTCCTTATATACTTTGAAGATCAGTTTTGTAGGTAAGGTCGAAGTGAGTCTGTAGAGATCACCTTCCAATTACGATTAGTTCTGAAGAGAAAGCATATGCAGGTATTGCATGTGTTCAACGTAAACCAGGGTATAGAGCTGCCCCTGTTATCGAACCCTCTGCGGCTCAACGTGGCAGCTGTGCAGCTCTCTTAACCAAAGGCGGGAGGTAGCACGGAGCAACCTGGCGGCAATGTTTTCCAGGATCACAGCGTTAGCAGCAATGGCAATGGACAGCTGGGTCAATCATGGGGTACTGTTCAAAGTATTAGATGAAGCCTGAAGCTTGGCAAGTCGCCATCGAATGTAGATTGCTCACTGGCTAGCTTGCTACTTGGCTGCAGCTGTCACCCCCTGTTCCCGAGGGGAAGGCGGGCGTAAGGTGCTGTGCAATGGGATGATCAGCAAGGCTTCCAATATCTCGTCCGATAATCGATTGTACCGAGGGAGATGTACATCAGCTTAAAGTCAGCCACCACGGGACGGAGCACCAGTTCAAAAAGGGACGCTGGCAATTTTTGCCACGGAGGTTTGTTTTGATTTGGTTGGGAGTCACGAAGTACTGGGATGCAGCCAGTTCGGCTAAGGGGACTTGAATATTGATATTGGTGGGGGAGATATGCACCCTGTGCTCCGAGCAAACATGATGCGCAGGCGCTCGGGACGATCCGTTTTCATCAGTCGAGACCGAGTTAAGCTCTCAGTATATGATACGTGATCTAGAGCAAAGCTTGTGGATGTCTGTATGCATGGAGAAAGAAACATCAGTATGAGCGAGCCCAACAGCTTGCAGATGGGCAGAGTCGTGACCGGGTAAACAGAGAGGAACTGTTGTTTGTTTTGTTGGAATGCAATAGGCCAGAATTAGATTAAAAGACTGCCCTCGTGCTTGCAAGAGGAGTTGACCCATGCCGATCAATTCCATGCCAGAGACTTGACGTTGTCAGGCCAATCAAGCAAGTACATAGTTGTAAGCGAGGCATTCCTTCCCTCCCTTGGAAAACAGATGAAGATGAGTCCGTGACTGGACGATGTGGCATGCAGGTGCTTGTTTGCATTTCTCCAGGTATGGGAACAACATGCCACTACCGGTTCTGCATGTACTCACTAACTTAAGCTTAAAAGCACGTATATCATCAGCACCTCCTCAATGTAGCTAGCCCACTGCACATCAATCAAATCTCTTGGCCAACTGTGATAACGCGATAACAGGGCGGAAGTGTCATCATACAGACTGCAGTTGAACGGCAAACACTGTGGCGAAGTTCGCAAACCTGTTGATCATAACATGGACAGGCGATGGTGGTGAGTGATTGTGGCGTTTGTCTCCGCGAGACAGGATGCTCGTGTACTTGTCATATGGAGTTGTCGATGACGATCTTTCATGTTATCGGTGTTCACGCGAGCAAGTATATGGCGAGTACATGTGAACTGGGCTCCGGCGGCGATCGGCCCAAAATAGGTCTCCCCGAGCAAGTTCCAGGCACCTTCCAGGAATCGACAAAACGTTCTCCAGACCAGAACGAGTGTCTTCGACACTCTGCCGACTGCCGACACATGATCTAAGCAGCAATAAACGGCCTTCCTATTTACGATGCTTTCCGTGGTAATTCCGTCATTCGAGGATAGCATGGTGTTGCGCAGGTATAGGGGGCGGAGGTGGAGTGGGAAGTAGGTGCGTGAGACATGTGTGGGAGAGATCTTGGCTTCCTCCTTTCGCGTAAGGCGCTAGCGTAGACATACTTGTGGCTATTCAACATCGACAACAATTGGCCACTCATTTGATGGTCAATGTTTGACATTGTACACACTTGATAGCTGACTGCGTGGGACTGGGAAAGCTTGACTCGCAAAGTTCAGCTTGCTCTCTCCTGGGTACGACATGATCACCAAAGTAGCCATGAAAAGCTTATTTCCATCCACATTGAAGCTCAACTTAGCAATCCATCTAATTCTACTTGCTCTGAACAGCACAAGCTATCATTCGACACTGTGCTCGATCAATCTAGCCCGCCACCCTGTATTGAGGGGGCCAACAAGGTCGGCCTGCAACTGCGGCACTTCCCGGCCAAGATTGGTACCGTACATATGCACGCACCCGAATTGCATGATTGTTAATAGTCAAAACATGAATGGGCCCGAGTCTTGCGCAATATCGTACCTGGCGGAAACAAAACTGGCTGCCACTCCAGATTCCCGACCAATCATAGGTACATTCGTCCGACCCTGTTTCGACACGCACTGCAACGATTGAGAGCTAAACCCCCCAGTCTTGCTGTTACCTTCCCCGAATGCAAACACTCCGCTTTTCGCTGACAATTGTGCCGATGTTTCCCTATTTGCTCTGTGTCTACCTTTGTGATAGATTGAACTTGCAGCAGCAAAGTGGAAATGAGCTCCAAGCGGGAATAACGCCAATGGCTTCGTGGGCGCAAGAATGTCGCAAAGCCATCAATGCAATGTGAGCTAACAGCTCCTTCCGTAAAACGCCTCCAGGACCGTGCTTGCATTACGCAAAGCAAAAGTCTACGAGCGTTTGGGAACCTCGATTTCGCCAAGATGATAAGGGGATCGCTGCAAGGCTTCAACAGAGACCCTCTCTGATCTGCGTGGGGGCGGGTAACCGGCAAGCATAGAGACGATAGTGTCACAAGTCCTCCAAACTGGCCGCGTACAGCTCAACAAAGCCTGCGTGTTCTCGTTCATTTCCGCCCGGGGGACAGTATCCCGTGCCTCATAAGGGGTGGTATCGGAGACAGCGACCAATGCAATCAAATCGCACTGTGCAATCATGGACGCGTACCTTAAACGTCTTCAGCTCGGCATGAAGTGGCGACCAGAAAGGCAGCATTGCCGTATGATTGCGTTGTCGGCCTAACCACTTCACAGCCTCCCATCAAGGAAATTACTTTGTTGTACATGTAACCAATACATTCCGTAATCTCCATGATAGATGCTGTGATGATGGCGACGATAAGCGAATGATTCCGCCTTCGCCAGGAACGGGAGGTGTACCTCCTATGCTCTGATTGGTTAGTGTAGCCTGCGGTGATTGGCCAGGCTTAGAAGCTGTCTGGATACGGTTACCGTCGCAACTAATTGAATATCTGCTCAATCTGATAGGTTGGATCTTTATCAGAGCAAGTATAGTACTCGTCTTACGATATATCATGGTTTCTCTAGTTATGCACATGCTTTGATCTGTGCTATCCCCTAAGAGTATTTAGATGATAATGCGAGAACTTTTCTAGTACTTGTTTTAACTGCTATAGAGCAAGATGGCCGAGCCCCCTGGAGCACTCCCAAATTCCACAGTCAGGCATCGGTAGATTTCTGGCGTCATCATCGGAATGCCCGCCTAATTCATGAGGGGCTACCAGCTCATTAGTGTCTATTGTGCTTAGGAATGTCGATCACTTGTTGACATTGATTGCGCAATGTCTACCGTAGCATAACAAGAAGGTACTTCGGCAGTTGAATTGGCAAGTCATTCGGCTCTTCCACTATCAACATTTAGAAAACGGAAATAATAATGAGGACTCATGAGTTCATAATCGGATCAAGATAAACAATTGCATTTCATATATCATGACGCGTCCTAACCCCATACTATAATGGAAAACCAATTTTCATATCATACACGCAGTTGTTCCCATCGGCCAATTTTTCCTCTTCTCTTTTCAACCCATCGTTCGAGCGTGGAACACCGTCCTCCCTAGAAGTTCGTACAATACTTACCGAATTTACGCTCGTTCAGCGGTTGAGGAAACACTCCAGCATCCAATAACTGAAATAGGTCCCACTCGCCAGCATCACCCTCAGTCTTGAAGTTCCAAAACACCCAGCCATTTGTTCTAGCCTCGAAGGCATCGAGCTGAACTTCAATGTAACCTCGCACATCGTTCTTCCACTCATCGCTCCAATCCTTCACTTTGCCGCTCTTCCCCGAGCATGAACCGATGCCTTTGGACTCGTAGCGACTCCCTAGTTTGAATCCATTGATGTGAGGTGCGCAGTCTGTCATGGCACCAGACCACTCGCCGACAATGATCCATTTGTCGCCTTGGTCGTACTTGTGAATTGAGTTGCAGGTCAGTGTTTTGTGTTCGGTTGGAGTTAGAGCAACTTCGTACTCCGTAAAGAGTTGGTACTCGTGGTGGTCCAGCACTACCTTTTGGGCATTATTATCCTCTGGTGTAAGGAACTCATTGAAATAGGATGGGTCCCAGAAGCCATCGTGCATCATCACGGCGGTATCGCTGATTTCGCGCAAGTTGTAGTAGCCGTCTTTGTAGAACTGCTTAACCATGTTCTCGTCCAGTGCGTTAAGGGCAGGCTCGTTGAGCAGTTCGATGGCGATAACCACATCCTGCATCTCCGGGATCGCATATTTTTGTTCCAGGGTTTTGAGTGCGCGGTGTGTTTGTGGGATGCTGTCGCCATCGCCCCATCCTGGCGCAGATTGCTTGTGTCCTGAGTGATCGAATCCGTTTTGCGATTTGGGCGCACCATGGAGATCGATGATCACCTTCAGCCCCGTTTGTCTAGCCCATGTAACAGCTTTCTCAAGATAATCCGCTGCCCCTGAAACATATGGTGCGCCATCCCCGGAAATGTATGCCCAGTATCCCACAGGGATTCGTACTGTGTTGAAGCCGGCACCGGAAATCTTCTGAAAATCTTGAAGACTGACGAAACCATCCCAGTGCGCCTTGAGGGTCTCGTAGCACTTGTCCTTGCCAAGTTGCTCACAAAGTGTCCACTCATCGCTAACCGTGATTTCGTTCGTGCTATGCGCCCAGAATATAGATGGGGAGATGAATCTATGCTTTCTCAGCAATGCGTCAAGAAACATAAAATATGGTGATGACTTGCGGTTCAAGAACGAGCCAACCGCCGATGTTGACACCTTTGATCTTCGTCGAGGCCCAATCAAATGCGGCCGTCCTGTTTTCCAGAACATCTGCGCGTTTGCTGCATATATTGTCAGCGGTCTGCTTGCCGTGTGCGGACCACGCGGGAGACTTACATGGTTGGTGCAGCGCTTGATATGGCGATCGCTGCAGCCAGGCAGACTGCAAGAGAAAACCGTATATGCATGTTGAGAGAAAAAGATACCTCTTGGGTAAATGATCTTCGCTGGAGAGATGCAGGTGCCAGGGATGTATGCGGTAAGAGGGTAGGGGTGATAGTGTGTATAAGCGTGCAGTGTTGCTATTTGTACACAATATAGGAGGGAAGGCTAGCGCTCTGTACAAACTCAGCTTTAAGTACGTTACACAGTATTCTGACTTACCTTGACCTGCTGATAAGCTATAATATGACTCGCAAGTATCACACTGGTGAATGTAGTATGAATTTTCGGCGTTGTGTTGGGAAGTGGTTGTTTGGCGTCTTCTGTATGGGCCGCGACTGCTGTGAATGGAACCTGCCGTTTGCACGAACATTCACATCTCGAGACATCGCAGTTTTATATACACTTTTTCTGGCCTTAGACGGTGATATGACAACCAAGAAGCGACACGCATTTGATGTTGCTCTATCATGTTGTTCTGTCGCACTAGCTCATGCACCAACATACGTACCATGGATACACGCTTACGTATCTAGCTTGACGATGTGAAGCCTCACTCCATATGTATGCACGCCGTGGAAAATAAGGAAATGACTGTACCTTGCATAGATTTATATTGATCAATGTGGGAATGTTGCATGCATGCGAGTTTCAAGACTGCACCGTGTAAAATTATCGACAAACATCAAATAATGAAGGAACAACGGTACTGGATGTCCCAATGTATCACCAAATGCAATACCAAGCATCAAAGTTGGGCACGGTGTGACGGAACAAAAAAGCCGGGAGAGGAGATGGCAGCTTATTCGCGTTCACGATCGGTTTTCCAGTTAGGGAAGTACCACAGAACGCCTGTCAAGTCATAAGTGTCACTCTATTTTGATTTGCAACCCTGAAAATATCTCAATTTTCATGAAGATCATGACTCCTCTCTATGGCATGCTATGTGATTATCGTGGGTATAGTGCATCAGTCTCAATGTGTAAGATACAGGCTTCCATCACGAAGCTTCCTCCGTGAAGTTCGTAGTCGTCAAGTTCGGATTCCCAGGCAAGATGAGTGGCTTGACCTTCGGCAACGAATCCACAAAAGCGTCATCCACCTTGAGATGGTCCTTGACAATCTGACCAGGGGTGAGTCCCAACCATTGATTAACACTGACATCGTTGAAGTGGCTATCCTTCAGTACCTCCAGGAAGACAAGCGTTTCATTGCCGACGTTTTCGATATAATGCGCATTTGGCACAGGGACGTACCCGACATCGCCAGCTGTGAAGTCGAATGTGCGAGAGCTGGCGGGAGCTGCGTAGACTGTGAGGCGTGCAGAGCCTTGGATGAAGTAGGTCCACTCGTCGGACTTGAGGTGCCAGTGCATCTCACGCATAGCTCCAGGTTCCAATGTGACGAGCGCAGCGGAAATGTCTTTTGCGATGGGAAAGGTGAGCGGATCAAGGATCTTGACGGATCCGCCGGGAACTTTGAGGGGTTGTTGTTTGGAGTAGTGGTACGTGTAAGCGTCTTGGTGAGGCACGAGTCCTGCTGGACCGGTGACGTTCTGTTTCTCGATATCTCTAGGAGCAGGTGTTCCAGGGAAAATCCACAATTGACCCTCGGGTTGGCTCTTGAACGTATCCACAGAAGTGCGAAAGTTCTTCGCAACAACACTCTCAGGCATTCGTTGAATGAGTTCGGAGAGAAGGAAGGTCCCGTCCTCGCTTGCGCTACCATCATCGAAGATAATAAGAAACTCAGCGCCGTTCTCGAGTGCCTGAAGAGAGTGGGGGATCCCAGCCGGAAAGAACCATACATCCCCCTCGGTCACATCATCGACGAAGCTCTGGCCCTCATCAGTTACAACTGCCACGCGGACGGATCCCTTAAGCATCAACGCCCACTCTCCTGCCTTATGCCAATGAAGCTCTCGGTAGGCATTGGGACTGAGTCTCATGTTTACTCCAGCCATAGCTGTTGCAACCGGGAGCTGATCGACATTCTGCTCTCTCGCCCAGCCAGCACCAGCGAGTCCGTGGCGGTTATGTGATAGCCCGAACGGCCATTTGGAATTTGGAACAGATCCAGTATCAGTACCAGGTGGAATATAGAGATCGGAGTTCAAGCGATCATATTCTTGCGTTCTGAAAATTGTGAGTTATATCCAATGATTGATCCACGCATTATTAGTGCATACCTTATCCCAGGATCGGTTGGGCTGGTGTCACCACCACGAATGGGCTGAGGGTTCTTAACATGTGAAAGATCGACATATAGACCGAGATCAGCGTCTTCAGATTGCCCTGGTGCAAGTTCAGTATCTTCGGGCGAGACCTGTGTGGAGGGCGAAATTGGTACGTTCTCGTCGGCGCTATAGCCAGCAAGAGCATCAGAACCACGTAGAGATCCAGAAGATCCAGAACTGGCAGACTCTGAAGTCTGGGGTGCAGGAAGTGCCAATACATGGCTGATAGACAGCAAAGAAACGGCAGCGGAAAATCGCATGCTGGGCTGGATGTAAAGAAGATGTTAGGAAATGATTGAGCTGAGTGCAGTGCAGATTAAGTTCATGGGGCTCGAAGTCCACCTTTATACCTTTCCCCTCGAGTTATTCCGCGCAATTTGGAAGTCAATCTCGTCAACACCACGCCTACATGGTACTTCGACCTTCATCAGCCACTGACAAGGATTCCGTGAAAACAAGTTTATAACCCCGACGAGGTGTAAAGTCGGTCGAGTGTCGGATACCTCGGGGGCATTTCGCTGAATGACATGTTCCATGTAGAATGGAACTCGGCATATAATTAGGTATGGCTAAGCTCTGATGTCTCACAAGCCAGACGCTTAACCTCTCTCTCTTACTTCTTACTGTTTAGCTGAACTAATGTTCACTGAATGCTGACTCGCTATGTAGCGATCGACTGCAATAACAAGGAGTTTAAGATCAATATTCCGACTTCAGACCGAGCGTGTACGATATTTACTAGAGATGACGCCCGTCACCGCTAGTAATCCAACGGTCCCGGTAATACGGCATATGTTTTTGGCCAATTGACAAACGCACTACACTGGTCTTACAGTATCTGACCTTGCTTCGGGAGGTTCGGGAAGGTGCAAATGGTATGTGTGCCTAAGGATAGATGTGTCGGGCTATGCATTAGTCGAACATGTGATTCCAAATGCAGTACAAATGCCCTGCAAAAATCCTAGGAACAAAGCGTTTGCACGAATGACCAGTCAGTGTTACGATGATTGCCAATCATCTATGGCTGATAATTCTCTGAGCAATGGGGGAATGACAAAAGTGAACCTTCGAGTCATCTAGGCATTGAGCCTACCGCTATCGATTCGGAAGTAGCCATAGTTCTAAGGTATACCTCAGCCACTGAAGAAATTCTAGCATAATATCCATACATCCGATTATCCAGAGCGTGGGGTTGACTAGATTTGCTGACTCGCAGACATCATCGACGGAAAACAACGCATTGCCCAATGTGGCGAGGAGCCCCACATAGAAGCTGATGTTATGATCATCGAGCGGGTCGTAAAGCCGTGTGAACCTGGTCAACAGCCACAAGACGCGTGGCTTTCGGGAAGTTGGGAGTTGACGTTCATTCATGGTAGGCAAAGCGTACACCAAGCTTTCCATGCAAAAAATCAAGCTCAAAAGTAGCGCAAAAGACTGGTGTCCCCAGAAGCCAAGACTTCTATGCGGGTAACTAGCCCGGGCAGTATCTCCCGTAGTTCGCTTGCGCATGAAATGTTGCCGTCTTGTCTTTCTATACTAAGTTTTGCTCCCTATGGAGATGCGTAAATATTGGGTCGCTTTGGAGAGTCATCATAGTATGCAAAGAGGTGAAGTTCAATCCAGAAATCCCAATGTCTCATCCATAATTGCAGCAAAGCTCTTGGTTTCGCGATGTTTCCCACTGGTAGTAGGCGGAAACTGATTCATCTCCGCACGGAAACCTTCGGACCTCTGTATTGCAGGAGCGAGATCTCTGCAACACAGTTAGCCAATCATGTTTTCCATCTGACGGTGTCATTAGCTCACGTCACGTCTCCCTTGAGAAGATAGCGCGATTTCTCCATTGCGTCGGCTAATTCCTCTTGGTGGTTGTCGAGCAGTTGCTTGTTCGGGACGACGATGAGCGAAATGTGGAATCGAAGCGCTTCGAGTATAGTCCCCGAACCTGGCGGGCCGTTCAGCTGCTACATGCATATGCATAGACCATATTTTGGAAGTCCTACCTGCATGTGATACCACTAACCCTCCTGATTCTTGAACGCGTACGAATTGTTCGTGCAGTCCATGGTTGCTGAACGCCATGCCCTCAATGCTCAGAGTCGGGCCATGCGATGCTTGTCTCAATTTCTCTCGGGCGGTCTCGGCGTATTTATCAAAGGTTTCCCTCGCGGTTCCATATTGAATCAGAACATCTGTAACCCCAATTTCCAGTAGAGCGTCTATCGAAGAAGGGTTTAACATGGATTCAATGAGGGTTGTGAACGGTGCGGTTGCGCCAGTAGTCACAAAACAGACTTTTCCCATTTCGATGTATGTAAGCAAATGAAGGGTGCCAAACTTCAGGTTGAAACAGCAAGTCTTGAGGCGTTGCGCCGATGTAGTTGTAATGCTGGGCGCAGGTGGCCCATGGATACAAAAGTGAATGGCGATGGATGCATTGAAGGTCGCGGAGCACGGCACTACCATTCTCCGCGATATCGGGAGTCCGCAAAGATCACATGACAGCAAAGCTTATGTAATCACCAACATCCTGAACGTCGCCAGCCTGGTACACAAATTTGTCCAACTCGTGTTTAGTTCTATCCCAATGGCTTCAACAACACGGCGACTGGCGTTCAGCGCACGACGCTGTTCGTCCAAGCTGTATGTTCAAACCGCTCAACCGCGATTCTCTCCATTATGGCAACGGCCCCTTTCAACAAGCTCCTCACGTCGCGCGGACGAAACGCCCGCTAAAGACGGCATAACCACTCCCGAGCTCGCAGACCTCATTGATGATATGTACGGCGTTCAGGAACAAGTTCGTAGTAAAAGTGGCCCTACATGGCAATCCATCGACCCCAATGGAATCGATCAGGCAGCTTTGCAAGAGCAAGGCAAGGATGGATTCTGGTCCGAAGGAGAAGAAGAGTTGGGGCCGGATGAAGATTACTACGCAGACGACATAACAAGTGATGGACATCAGTTACTAGAGCAGCACCGAGAGCTGAGGGAGTATGCTCGGATGATTGCTTGGGAGTTACCACTCTTGAACCGTATGTCTTGACCGCACCCGCATGTAGCCCCAAGAGTTTGTTAACCTGGATTAGATCTTGCCCGTCCTTTTGAAGTGCCCACACAAGCCACTCCTTTCCGATTCCGCTACACGTCCTACCTCGGCGAGCGCCACCCGGCTGTGAATAAGGTGGTAGTGGAATTTTGCGCCAAGGATATGAAACTCTCTCCTATACAGACGGATAAACTCATTAAACTCGCCGGCGTTCGCTACAACCCTTCCAACGACACAATCAAGCTATCCTGCGAGAAATTTGACACTCAAGCGCAAAACAAGCGCTTCCTCGGCGAGACCATCTCGAAGCTATTGACCGAGGCCAAAGACGGGTCGGACACATTCGCCGATGTGCCGTTCGACTTTCGACACCACAAGCCAAAGCCCGTGTATGAATTCCCGGAGAGTTGGATATTGACACCGGAACGCAAGAAGTACTTGGAAGAAAAGAGATCAGCGAGTGTGTTGAAGGAAGAGGAGAGGAAGTTTACCGGGGCCCTGATCGATGGAAACAAGGTTGTTGAATCGAACTTGCCGCGCAACGAACCTGAGCCGGTGCCTGTGATGATCGGTGGGCGAAGAGGAAAAGCGCTCAGATAGAGCCGTGTAGTTGTAGGATACATGTATATTGAAGTCAGGATCATTGTACCATATATTGTTAGAAGAAAAAACGATGAGACCAAATACTACAGCATGAATCGCTCGAGCACATGATTCCAAAGAGGAATACGAAAGAGGAATGCCAAAAATTGAACAGTCGTTCAAAATTAATATTGTGAAATTAACGAAAACCCCAGGGTATATTTGATGGGCAGGTACTGAGCCCACCAATTGGAACCGAAACGCCAAACCCGTATGCCATTTACCCAAGCGCGATCTATGATGATCAATTGACAGCACTTGTACTCTGCCTATTCTTTTTTCGACCACCCTTAGTGGGCGCATCGCCGTCTTCCCTTTTCCTCTTAGAGGGCCGACTACTTCCACCCTTGGGTCGATACGCGCCGTCTTCCTCGCCGCCTTTACTCTTCCGTGGCTTTGCTGTTGTACCTGTTTCCGGCACGAAACCATCCTCGTCTTCGTGTTCGGTTTTGGGTGCAGGCGTGCCGTGAGCAGCAGACTGACGTTTCCCTCGGCCACCGCCATTAGCGGATTTGGCTGGCAACTTTTCCGGCACGTTTTCGGGATTTACCTGGTCTTTATCTTGCAGAAAGACCTGCGGCTGGTTCTTACGAAGCCAATTGTATACGCTATTAGGGTTCCGAATAGTCAAGTCTTTCTCGGAGGGCGGAGCTTGTATGGGAATTGTGCGGCGAATGTCTTGGGATTCGGGTTTATAGTTGGGATTGGCCATGGCCATATCCAGAGACAGAAGGTATTCCTCTTCGTGGTTGGGAGACATGTAGCCAGGCGCAGTCTCTGTGAGGTCCACGCCGTCCACTGGCGGGTGGGGTGGGGTGGTGGAGTGTGGTACGCTTGATTCCAACTTGGCCAGCGTCAGCATCGAGCCAGCTACTTGAGAATTATGTAGGTGCTCTGTCAAATGCGCATAGCTTTCCGGTGTGATGAGACCGTTTGCCAAATCTGACCTAAGCTCGTGCAACCGATGCTGTATAAGTTCTGGGTCTAGACTGGTGGGAATTGCAGGGTCGGTTTCGGCGAGGGTGCGGAGGTCGACGCGGCGGGGAGCTGGAATGCGGGCAGTCTCATTCATTGTCAAGAGTGTATCGAGGAGTTGACTGCAACGGATTAGTATGTCATACCGCAGTGTAAGGCAAGCTGATACGCACTCATTCTCCTCTTGTAACCGACGCGACAGTGCCTGTGCTTTCCATTCACCCAGAATCAACGCATTGCTCATATTCATCGTCTCCTCAAATCTGGCGCGCATTTTGCGGTACTTGCGCCTGTCAAGACTGTAAGCTTCATCGCCTGATATCGGTTTGCACAATGATAATACGGATGGTGGTGATGTTGACGCGTTGCTTACCTCCATGAGCGTTTGACGGGTGCTTTCTGATCGTCTGCGCCGGGCTCTGGAGCAGCGTCGACAGCCGGGGGATAGGGCTGCCCTTGTTGAGGGTCAATCTCTGCCTCGGAGGCCATTGTGCACAGGGTTGAGAGAAATGCTATGTGATGCTGGTTGTGGAAGGGAAGTTGGGTGTGAATGAAGCTTGCAAAGGTGGAGTGGTGGAGGATGGTCGAGCTGCGTCGTCTCAGCAGTGGTGAGTAGCAGGAGGTCTGTGTGTAAACTCCGGCCGGTCTGGTACTTTCCCTCTCTGCTCCGGCCAGGCCAGCATTCGTCACCTGCCTTCCGCCCCCCGGCCAACAAAAACACCTACCTCTCTCCATACGGGAAGCCCCTCGTGCGTGTGTGTTTTTGTCATTCCACCGACTTCACTTGTTACCATCTACTTCTACTTCACCCACAAGGCGCCGCCCCTCACTCCATCGTCCACCGCCGCCCCATTCCATTCCATTCTGCCATTCGTTGATTGCAGCAACCCGAAGACGAGTTTCGTAGATACTCATCAATTTCATACGGTGAGGAGATCCTGCCCTTCGCAACGCGTTGCCACCACCAGCTGCCAGCGCCCCGTACGTTGCCCTTTTGAACTCTGTTTGTATAGTCTGCGGCGCGCGAAGCTTACTTGGGTAGTTTCGAGCCTTCGTCGACACGCACGCAACTCTCGCCGCTCGCATTCAAAGCCGACCGTCGCTTCAATACCGCCAAACTGTCATCCCTACTGTTAAACCCTACCACTCGCCCCAGCTTTGCTGGTGACCCGCGGGCCCGTTTGAGCGCACCACAGAACACGATGCCACTTGACGCCAAAGACACGAGACGACGACGTAGCAGTAGTCTTGTCTACACCGAACCCCCCGAGTCGCTGGAGCAACTGAGCGACCAGTCCGCCTTGCCAAATCTCAATGCAGAATGGGTCAACGCGAAGGGTGAGTGCCTGCCCCAACCCGACTTTTGCCATAATCTTGCGACACGTCTACCGACAACGTGGCCTTTTTCCACCGAGACATGTGCTGATATACTGTAGGCGCATGGATTATCCATTTTGTCCTCATCATCACCGGCAAGATATTGTTTGATATTATGCCTGGCGTCTCCCAGGAACTGTCGTGGACTTTGACCAACATATCATATACCGCGGGCTCATACCTCATGTTCCATTACGTGCGCGGAGTGCCTTTCGACTTCAACTCGGGAGCTTACGACAATCTCAACATGTGGGAGCAAATCGATAACGGAGACCAATACACTCCTGCCAAAAAGTTCCTTATGTTCGTTCCTATCGCGCTGTTCTTGGTTAGCACACACTACACCCACTACGACCTTACATATTTCATCATCAACACAATGGCAACAATAGCTGTGGTTGTTCCCAAACTGCCTTCGGTAAGTTGACCCATATCTTGGTCGATCTTCGCAGCTAACTGTGTGCCAGGCTCACAGGATACGCTTCTCGATATTCTCACCCCCACCCGATGACGAATAGCCTTGCCCGACGCCATGAGCGAAGAAAATGTATATCTGTTTGTATTTTTATTTTGCGGTCGCTAAAGCATCGAGTGTGGAGTGGACACACATAAAACATTGGGTCAGAACGCATGGCAATAGTAGTTCTGCGTAATCGTTCTTTCATATTCATTTAATGCATGTTCTCGTTATTATTGTTCTCTTAGCACCCCAACCAACGTGAATTGTATCTGTTGACTCCGTGGCTGCTAATGGCAATTTAGGTTTCCAAGCGAAGGTCGCTGTGTGTACATCAGGAATGAAGACCAAGATTTCAAACTTCGCGCCTGGAACTGGTTGTCAACGGGGTACTTATAGCATATGGGGAACTCCAGGCGGTCTGGCCAATCACAACGCGCGATTTTCTACAAGGTGCAATTTATTAGCAAATCTGACCAAGGCGGGTAGCCCGCACGTCATGTCTTATGTCGTCACCATTGTCCACTCAACCACGTCTGATTTTGTTCTGTCTGCGATTTGTAGGAATGCGCTGATCGACTTAGTGATTGACACCGGCGAACAAACCATGACCTGAACGCATAAAGCGCATATCGTACGATCACCGTCCAACAAGAACACCAAAGCTTACCACCAGCCTATCATTCATTCTTCACTCTGTTCACGTTCATTGCAGCAAAACACCATGTGGAGCCAACTTGAGCCCACGGCGCCTCACCTGACCTATCTAGTCGTCACAACCTTCCTGATACTCTATGCTGTTTTCTCAGTAATGATCCGGAATCGACTACACCTCTCGGAGCCTCCGTTAGCTACAATCTTCGGGGTTATTGTTGGTCCGCAAGGTATTGGGCTACTACAACCCTATAAATGGGGTTTCGACGACAGTGTTGTCCACGAAGTCACCAGGCTCATCGCTGGAATCCAATGTTTCTCTATCGGACTAGAACTACCACAACGATACTTTGTCACCAGATGGAAAGATCTATTCATGTTCCTTGGTCCTATCATGACGTTCGGTTGGCTTGTATGCGGCGTTCTGATCATGATTGTCTTTGAGATTGACTTTGTCTCTGCACTCATCATCTCGGCCTGCTTGACTCCTACAGACCCTGTCCTTGCCGCCTCCGTCCTTGCAAATTCGCAGTTCAGCACACGAGTCCCAAAGCGTATCCGCGATCTCCTTTCCGCTGAGAGTGGCTGCAACGATGGAGTTTCATTCCCATTTCTCTATGTCGGCCTCTGCATCCTCACCCGCAGCACCGTTGGCGGCGTCTTCAAGAAATGGTTCCTCATCACCATCCTCTACCAATGTGGTCTCGGAATCGTTTTAGGCCTCGCCGTCGGCCACATCTCAAACCGCATCTATCTATTCAGCAATAAGCGGGGAATGATCGGAGAAGCCTCAAACCTCGCCTTCTACCTCCTCCTAGCCATATTCTCCACCGGTCTAGCCTCCACCCTCGGCGTCGACGACTTCCTCGTTACCTTCTGCGCGGGCCTTGGATTCTCGCACGGCGGTAACAGTCCCACAGCGAACACCCAACTCCCCATTGTCATCGACCTAGTCCTCAACAGCACGCTCTTCGTCTTCTTCGGCGCAATGGTCCCATGGTCGTCCTTCGCCCACCTCGACTCCATCACCCCACTCCGCCTCGTCGCCATCCTAGTCCTCATCCTGCTCTTCCGCCGCATCCCCATCGTCCTCTCCCTCTTCAAACTCAACCTCCTCCCGTCTGTCCTCACAACTACAGAGGCGCTGTTCTGCGGGCACTTTGGCCCCATTGGCGTCGGCGCGCTGTTCCTCGCTATCGAAGCCCGCGCGCAACTGGAGACGGATTCCTCCCTCCCGCTGCCGCATCCGCCGCCTACGGGGCTTCCGATTGAGGCGCAGAGAACCGTTGTGCTGATTTGGCCGATTATTTGCTTCGTCGTGTTTGGGAGTGTGATTGTGCATGGGTTGAGTACGCTGGCGATTAGTATTGGGGGGCACTTTGCGAGGCATGAGGGGGAGAGGGCGCCGTTGATTGGGGCGGAGAGAGAGGGCTTGCATGGGATGGTGTTTGATGGGGAGGGGGAGACGATGGAGGTTACGGATGATGGTGAAGAGCAGGGTCTGTATAGGGGATACTTGCAGGAGGGTACATAATGTGGTTTCTTGTGAGTAGAGATGATGGAAGTTAGCAGGAGTAGAGAAGGTGTTTTGGTTGGTAATTTTATGTATGTATATAGTATGCGATTAGTCGATACCCAATGCATTGTATATATCAGAAAGGGGTACACTTGTGCTGACATGTGACTCTTCGCATGTGTATGTGACCGTGGTAGTAATTCACAGATCGCGAAGGACTCACTTGCTGAGTATTCATTCGTGGAAAGAAAAAGAAAAGAGAAATATGACAAGAATAAAGACTCGATATAACGATTGAAACTTGTATACAACCTTTCATTTTTGGGTATGATACATATGCAATACACATTGATACAACAAATATACACGCAAGGATCCGCGAACAATCACTTGTTCCTCTTATTCTTCAACTTAATCGTCTCGCCGTTCACGAAGATACCCTTACCCTTGTACGGTTCAGGTTTCCTCCACATGCGGATCTTGGCCGCAAATTGCATCACAACTTCCTTCTCCGGACCCTCGATCAACAAACGTGTTGGCTGCGGCGTGCTCGCCGTCACGCCTTTGGGTAGGCCGAGCTCGATAGGGTGTGAGTAACCAACTTTGAGATTGACGAATTTCTGGCCGGGGTATTCGGGCTGGACGGTCGTGGCTTCAGTTTCTATGGAGGAACGGTATCCGACACCGACGAAACTGAGAATCGCGGAGTGGCCTTCGCTGACGCCGAGGATGTGGTTTTGGAGGTAGGCACGGGTTGTTCCTGTGGTCTGCTATTAGAACCCCAACTGTCTTCTCGTGAAAGAAAAGCGTCGTTCTCGTAGAAGCTTTACATACCCCACATGGCCTTTTGCTTCGCATCTGTGGTGTCCTGCACTGAGAGAGTCGGGCCTGAGAGAGATGGATCTTGGTCAATGTTCACATAGGAAGGAACGGCCATTGAGAGCTCGCCAAGCGGTCCCTTGATGTGTACGGTCGACATGGGCTGTATCCGAGACCCCTTTCCTTTCACAGGGGGTTTTGTGACCTTGAAAGTAACGCCTGGCGGGACAGAGAGCGGCGCGGATCCGATCTTGGACTGGCATGGCGAGGTGCTTGCGAAGGTCCTACAGGGGCCAGGTGCTCGTAATATGGGTGAAAGAAAGCCATTGTTCGATTGCGATGCTTCGATTGATCCTGTCGCAATGCGCTGGGCGCGCCGCCGTACGGGTGTGAACATCTTTCCGGAGTTTTGGACTGGATGCTGACGATGGCTTAACTTTTTGGCGCAGGCCATTGGAGTTGGGATGGCAATTACATAATCAATCATGTGATTTCGCGAGGCCGAGCTCGACCATTAAATGTACACTACTTAGCGCGCCACTAGCTAACTCATCATTCACATCTCACTGCTTCTTGCATCACTTCACTCAATGACATCTTAGTCTTCTAGCAACTCTCTTAACGATTAAAGTGAGACATACTGTTCAATTTCACTTGTATCTTCCAGAATCACTTGTCAGGGCTCGAAGCAGGCCTTGCATATGCTTTTGCTCAACCTCACCTTACTGCATGTACCGGGGTGCAGAACGTCCCTTCCTTTTACTTTCCGAAACTCATACTTCAACACTCTCTCACCCCGGGAATGTTGCCCGTGATGCTCGCCAATGCGTAGGTATCACCCGCATCCCGACTTCTCTCCATTTCACCAATTTTCTACTACTTCTCATTGTTTCGATCTTTCTCCTTCAACATCATTGCTTCACATATCCCGAGATTTTCCTTAGATTGCGCAAGTCATGCATTACTTCAACCACCGAAATAAATGTATTGCATGGATGTGGTTACTTCTCTTCCCACGGCTATTGGGAGCGAACTCACATCGGCTTGGCAATGACGTCTACAATATCAACACTGATCTTCAATCCTTACTCCAGGACACTACACTCAGCCAGGACAAGGAGCTTACTGAAGCTCTGGCATGGATTGACAAACTGCCCACCGAAACTTCATGTACTCAACTAGCAGCAATGAAACTGATGACAGAATGCAAGTTACTGGATGACCCTTCGGGTTTCGCGGCGACACACCCAGAAGTGCATCTTGACGACATCAAACTTGAGTATGCCGTCAAACTTGCTGTTTGTGAGATTGCCGGGGCTCAGCCAGATCAACCTCAATCTACACTGCAGAACTGTCAAGTATTTCTTCCTTCCACTCAAGCATGCAACAAGCGGTCATGGTGGAGTCACACGCGACAATCAACACCAAATGAGATGCCATGCTACCCTCAATCCAGCGATAAGGACCTCCACATGTGCTTCAAAACTCTGAGATCATCTCCTCAATACTGGACTTCATACAGCAATGCAAAGTTTCGTGCTGCGAACATGTGCCAGCTCAGCAGACACGCAATCGAGCGGGAGAAGACCATACAACTCCACAAAAACTTGACCATGGTCACTTTTCGTTTGCGTTCCTCGCTTCATAATGTGGAATCCCAGATGAGGGCCATGCAAAACGAGTTAAGGGAGTCTACTGAAGGCTTCAAAGTATCCAGCGAAGAAATCAAGCAATCGACTGATCACTTTAGTCGCTTCATGCAAGAATCTCAGACGGAGGCCGCAAAGCAACGCCAAATCGCAAAGAATGAAATGCGTTCTGTGCAGATAGAAATCGGATTGGTGCGTGACTCAATCATCGCAGGTATAACAGCACACAATGAAAAGTTCAACTCGGAGATGGACGCAGCAATGACGAGAGCTGTTACGGCTATGCAGAGCGGGCACGTCGATACACTGACAGCGATAAGCAACGAGCTTCGGCAGTTTTATAGCACTCTACAGAATGAAGGTTCTGCGCTTGCTGTGTCCATGAACAGTCAGCTACAAGAGCATCACGAGAAGGCAATCTTAGCCATTCAGATTCAGCACGGGATGATGATCGAGAGCTATAACATCATGACAGCAGGACTCGAAGATGCCAGTTTAAAGATCAATGGGCTTGCGAGCAAAGTCGATGGTCTTGATAAAAAGACACAGCGATCGCTTGTGAAGCTTGACAATCTAGACCACCGCCTAGACGGCATTGGATCGAAGTTCAAAAGCGTGGAGCAAGCTTTTGCTGTCCTGGATATCGTGTTCGGGTTCGGCCAGCTATGCGTAGCGGTCGTTCTGATACTCGCCATCCTGTTCATCCTGCCTAGCGTGAAGAAACACCTCTCCACAATCTCCCTGTTCGTGCTCGCTTCGGTCATGTTCGCAATCTGGCGCTACGGATCTAAATTTCAAGCACCATTTGAGATCGTTCTCCCAGATAGAGGAAATTCCACCGCACTGACCAAGGACGCCTGGACCAAACACATCTTCACCCCGTCCCCATACCTGTGGGGTGGCGTAGCAATAAGCTGTTTCTTTCTCGCGGCTATACTCCACCATCTCAATGCTATCTGGGATACTGTCGCCGACTGTTTGCACCGTGTCTCGTTCAAGCTAGCTTGTTGGACCGGTATACTTCTTCAGCGTCGGGACAAGAATAGCACTCTGATCCTACCGTCTACGGAGATACCTACGTGCTAAGTGTCTAGTGTTCGTTCCTCGTGATAGTTCGTCACTCTGAATAGGGTCACTAACTGCACCACGCTTGATTAGGTTTTCTTACCCCTTCTACTCGGCAGCGAGATTTAATCTATCGACCAAAATCAAGACGGATGCTGCATCGTGTTTTCTGGAACTAACGGGGGTTATGGACATTCTTTTTCCCGGGAATTTTGGTCGGTCTCAGTGTCGGGAAAAGTGGGATCAACTATCAAGAACTATGTCCTTTTGCTTTGTGTTCTGCTCTTCTTCTTCTTCTTCTTTCTGCACGACAATATCTCTTCTTACAGGAGCTTATTTTACCCCCTTTGCGATCTAACGAATTTACGCTATCAATGCGTCTCCATGACTTTACTCTGTGGCGGATCGGGTGGGGCCTTTTCCCCCCAGCAAATCTTCAGTCTCCCATAATATCTGGTGTTTCCTAGCTATGGTTTATGGATCATGCATGCGCACAGAGATATTAGAACAGTTCCAATATACGATATGACTAAACTTTGGCGTTTATGATGTGATATGTACACTCATGTTTTCGACTTGGTTTGGTATCATTATGCATGCTCATATTCATTCGTCTTGTTCGTTGATTTTTGGATACATAGAGACACCCTCTCGATTGAACCCAAGCACATGCCGCTTTAAACAACCACAAGCATTCTAGGGCTGCTGCTGCTGCTGCTCATCCATCCATCCGTCATCGGATTGGGGAACATGCCGACAAACAAAACAAATCGTGCATCAATCTTTTGTTGGTTCGTTTGCCAATGCCTCCGCAGTCAGTACCAAAGAATCCCCCGACATGTATCCCCCAAGAGACCCCATCCATCCATCCAATCATCCAACCCAGAAAAATCTACAACAGACTCTTAATAGTCTGCCCGCCCTCAAACACCTCACCCTTCTCCAACTTCTGCCACCCATTGACGGCACCCACCTCGACGCACACCATGTGCTTGTAGTCTGCGTCGGGGGCGAAATCGGCCATGGCTTTTGCCTTTTCGACCCAGGGGTTCCAGACGACCGTGTCCTGGAGGTTATCGCGGACGACGTCGAAGCGTGGGGTGCCGTCCTCGACGACGGAGGTGGTGCTCTGCGGGATGGATTGGTAGACGCGGTCGACTTCGCCCGTGATGGCGAGGGAGCCCGATTGCGAGTGTGTGGATGCGTCGAGGACTTTGTCGATGTAGGATACGCCTGTGAGGCCGTTGATTGCGACTTTGGAGATGTCCTGTTTAAGGGGGTTTCATTCTCGTGTTAGTGCGGTGATATCTTTTTTTATTTAAAGGGAGGGGAGGAGGGGGAGATAGCTTACGTTGATCTTGAGGTACGTGTGGAGCAGGAACTGGAACTCGAAGCTCGTCTCACCCTCGTTGCGCACGTTGACGACCGTCTGCAAGCTGTCCTTGCTCAACGTGACGCTGTACACGAGGCCAAAGTCGAGCGGCCACGCCTTGCGAGCCTCGTCGCTCACGCCCTTGGAGTAGAGTCCAAAGTCGAGCTTCACCGAATTGGAGTCGACGGTATCCTCGGACGTAGACTTGCCCAGGAACTCCCAGCGTGACGTGCGAGCGAAGCCGTGTTGAGGCAGGGACGAAGTTGCGTGACCGGATTTGGGGGGAGGACCGAAGACCTGGTTGTAATTGTTAGCCAACAAGAAACGTTCACATATGTTTATTGGCAAGAGAAGGTGGATCTTGCAGGTAGCGGCGGAATTATAAGATCTGTGGGAGATGATGTAGTACGTACGGGAAACACGACAGGCACACCGCCCCTCACGGCCTTGGTGCCGTCCAGCGCTGCCTTCTCGCTCAACCACAGGTTCTCCGTCTTGCCGCCATTGCTCTTCCAACTCGTGACGGTTGCACCGAAAAGCAACACCTCGACGCTCTCACCGGAAGGCAGAGTGGCTACAACTTTGGAGGAAGCTCCGGTGCCTTCGATGTTGACCTGGGCCTCGGGAGCAGCGGCGCCCGGGGTGAGAGCTGAGGGACGGTTGGCGCGTTCGACCATTTTGATTGATATTGGGTAATGTGAAAAGTGAGTGGTGTTTGATTAAGAGAAGGAGGATGGGCTTCTTCCTGGTATGGAAGTAGTGATTGAGGTGGCCGTGGGGCGTAGCTGGATGGGGAGAGACGGAGGAGGAGGAGGGGTAACGAGATGAAGCTATAGAAGAAGCTCGGAAAGTTTCGGTTTCACAATTGGAAATAGGGAAGAAGGCAAGCAGAGGTGGACCAAGTAAGCAAGCAAGTAAGCAAGCTGCAGGGTGGAGAGTGATTGTAAGAGTCGAGAAGAAGGAGTGGTGGGGTAGTAGGAGTAGCTAGTCTATGAGGAAGAGGGAGGGGTAAAGTAGTTTGTGCTATATAGTGGTGTATGGAGGTTAGTTAGACAGGCAAGCAAGTGAGTGACGGGAATTGCCCCACCATCAGACTCGGGGGCGAGTACAACACATCGCAGACACACTCCCTCATGCTGGCACCCCATGCATGCATGCACTAGACCTTCACCTGAAACACTAGCGCAAAACCCTGCCGACTTCCATCATCTTCACTCATCAGCCTCTACGGCTACTCTACTCCACCTTTTCATCGGGAACCCGAGCAAGCAAAGGAAGACATCAAGCAAACTTGCAAAGCATGTCCTTCCATTCCTTCGTAGACAAGGTGACAGGCTCAGGAGCCCTAGGGTATTGCCGTGTTCATCGTACATGACTTTTGTGCTTCACTATATACAAAAGCCGCCAACACCAATGGCCTGGCATACAACATGTCCCAACCACTGACAAGAGGCTGCCCGCATATCAGTAATCCTCCTCGAAAACCTTACTCAGTCATCCTGCCCCATTGCCCTAGTTGGTAGCCCTTTACTGCTTCCCTTCCTCGCTCCTTCGACCGGCCGCGTAGATTTCACGTCTTATGTCAAAAAGGGTATCGTCGATCTCTCTCTCCTCGCGCCTGCCCAGCACTAATTGGCTGCTCCTGACCAGCGCATCTTTGAAGTTTTTGAGTTGATTGAGGATACTGCGGGGAGTGAGTATCACTCGATCCGCGAAAGACCGGCTGGGCGTGTCCGTCTCGCCTTGAGCTGACAGTTGTGATTGTGACTGTGAAGCTTTCTGGTCTTGCCGCGTTACCTCTGCCGTCGTGATATTCGACCCGATGCCATCTGACGCCTGCGGTGCAACGTCCAGCCCAGCTTTCTTCGTTCTCGCACTCTTGGGTGTGACACGAACATGACTGAGCCGCTTGGCTTGAGCGGGCTGAGAAGAGGGCGTCCGCTTTGCCTCACTCACGTCCTGGCCAATGTTTGCACGAGCCCGCTTGGGCGTCGGTGTGCCATCCACCACCGTGTCTGTCTGAGTTTTCATTTGGCTAAGTGCAGAAGCTGACCTCCGTACTCCACGCCTGCGCAAAGACTCTGGTACTGACACCCTGCTCGGCGTTGTTTCACCCGGAAGGCTGCTTCTGGTCCGCCTAGCCGAAGTGCTCCGCGTGGTGGGTGACGAAACCACAATGTTATCGAGTACTTGCACCCCCGGCGTGGCTGGTCCTGGTGTTCCCGATGCTTCATCAGTCACAATCGGTTCTGGCTTGGATTTTCTGGGCCTTCCACGAGCACGCTTGGTGCTCTGGGCTGGTTCAGCAGAACTGAGAGCTGCTGATGATGTGCGAGCAGAGCGACGGACCGGCTGGGCCTGGGAATTCTCTGCGTCTGCAGCATAGCTTGAGAAAGAATCTTCCACTCGAGTGACACTGCCAATAGTGGAATCATGGGTCTGCTCCTCCATCTTTTTGTCTAATTCCATCTTCTCCTCGTCGACTTCTGTATCGTAGGCGGTACCCATATCGTTTGAGTGTGGTTGTTCATCTTGAACCAATTCGGTGTCTGCTCTCGAACCATTTTGTAGCACAACTTCTACTTCTGCCGACTCAATATGGCCTTGGTGAGATTGCATGTCAGCATCGAACTGGGCATCCAGTTGCAGATCGACTGAAGAGCTAGGCATGTCTGATTGCGTGATGTCTCGTTGTGACGGTTGCGAGCCTTGATTTACAGTCGTCTCATCGATCGTTGTGCCTTCGTCAAAAGACATGGAGAGTGATTCATCAGGTTGCTCATATTCTGTGTCATGTGCATCCATGCCTTTGCGGGTTGCATTGTGGTCAACACGAGGAGGTGAAGAACCAAGTACGCTGTCTCCGGTGTTGGACAGTGTGACTCGAGCAATGGTTGGAGTTGCGAGACTGGTGCGATCACCGTCACGGACTTCTCGGTTACGGTTGCGAACGTGGGGCGTAGGGGAAGAGCCGACGAAGACGTCCATAGGCCCTACGGGTGGTATACGCCTAACCGGAGTCCTGTCATTCTGAACCGGGAGGTCAGAGGCCACCGAAGCATCTGAGTGTATGTCTTGGAAATCATCTATCATAGGCGCGGACTTGGGTTGAACAGGTGAGGAGGTTGTGCCAATCGCCGCGAACAGATTTGAAGTCACCGCTTGTCGGTCGACCATCTCGCGTTGCCGCTCAGTCAGAACCTGCGATTCCTGGTTCACCAGTGCAGGCGGATGAGCAATTGGTTGGAACTCGATTTGCGAGTCGTCATGTCTCAGGCGAGCTTTGGGCGTTACACGAGCAGATTTCCGTCTACCTGTCGCGCTCGACGTAACCGCAGGAGACCGGGACTTCCGACCATTCTTAATAATACGAAAGGGCGACTCCTTGATGTGATTATGCCTGAACTTTTGCACAGGAGTATTGGAATTACCATCGGAATCATAAAAGGATACCGCATCCTGTGGGCATTAGTGACGAGTATTGTGGTGGAGGGAATCGAGTCAACTTACGGTGCCCGTCTCGCGAGCTTTCAAGGAAGGAAGAGTCAGCTGAAATATGGGTTGAAGTCTTTGCAGGGCATCCTCGAGCTCCGTTGGGTATTTCAGTGACTCCTGTTTGCCAAAGGTGGAATTCCACATGGAGACCGATACGTTCACGATGCTGCGCCGCCGGCTAACGAAACCAGCAATGACCAAGTCAGCAAGATGATGCAAAGTCTGGCTATCCGTTTTCTGAAGTCTTTCCAACGCAGCGCATATTTCTTTCCAAAGGTTCACAACCTACGACTTGTTAGATAGACCTCTCAGAACTCCTGGTCACACTCATACATACCTCAACGTGTAATTCCTTAAGCGCAGATACTTCAACCTGTAATCGTTTGTCCGCATCCTCGACCCACAAACGGATGGGCTGTTGGAGCTTTCGAAGAAACACGGCAAGCAAAGGAGTTGGACACGAACGGACGAAACCTGTTAGCGCTTTGAGGAGAACTCTACATTCTTCCACGTCATATACACTTAATTGGTGATATACCGCACTGCCAATAGAAGTGATACTTGTGTAGAGATGCTTGTAAGGGTCGAATTCAGGATTGCGTCCTGGTTTGGAAGAAGATGGCCAGAGTTGTTGGCGGCCTTGCTCAATAGATCTCCGAGCAACCGCAACGGGCACATTCTGCAGCAGAATGCTCAAGAAAGACAGACCGCTTCGCTTTTTCGCTTCTGGAATCGTGTTGAGGATAGACTCCGACACTTTTTCAACCGCAGCAAGCACAACGCCACCTTCACCAGCTTCACGGCGAACCGTTTCGACGAATGACGTCAACAGCTCCTGTCCTACAGGCTCTCCGAGAAAGAAGGGGCATCCTAAAGACATAATTTGAACAACGATTTCATACTCTTTGCCAAGTTGTCGCGAGCTGTCAGTGGCAGAATCAGCTGTTTGTTCTCCTAGGCAAGACTGTGCCAGTGCACCGATCTGGGTCCAAAATGCAACAGAGACGACGGCTTCAGATGACGGTACAATTGCTGCACAGCAATCTCGAAGGATCTCCAGTTTAGTTAGTCGTGTATTCTGCGAGTGAAAACAGGGTTCGACTAGCAACGACAAAGTTCGTAATCGAACCGTATCCGCAAGTCGTCCTTCAGATCGGTTGGCAAGCAAATCGACAAAATAGAGCAAAGGCGAGATTCGAGACACTTGCTGACGAGAACGTGACGGTGTCGAGGCCACCTCGATTTCATCCTTCTGGTTCTGAGCCAGGCACTTGTCGGTGAAGGCAAGCGCACCTAGTTTCTGGACAGTAGACTCCATCAAGTAGCAGAATTTGTTGGCCCAGTTGTCGTCTTTCTGTTGAGACAGCGCCAACTGTGCAGCATGCGTGTCCCACATTCGGCGAAGTGAATTGACAATGCTAGCCATTGCATCCTTGGAATCTGCTGAAGCCATGACCTCTTGACTGCTCGCCGCATTCAAAGACTGTAGCAACGATTGCCACATCTTTTTAGCAGGCTCATCTTTGTCTTCGCCCGTGGTCCAAGGGGTCGCGTCAAGCAGCATCTCTACAAATGGAAGAACGGAAGCTAGAGACTTGCGAACCCATCTAGGGTCCAGTAGTGGAAGTTCTCCTCGCTGCATCAAAGCCTGTGGACGTAGGTCAAGGGCTCGTTGCGAATCCCAAGGTTTCCGAGAACCATCGAGCAGAGATGATACGATACGGCAGGCAGCTGCAGCATGCAACGGCGATATTGTCGATCCAGATGGGGTCCAAAAATCGACTACAAACTCCTTCCAGTATCGGTCCAGTTGCTTGGAAGACGCGGAAGGGTTGAGGGCGTAATAAAGCAGTAGGCAGTATGCCGATTCACTCGACTGGCCACGCCGGGGATTCTGCAGTTGGTGGAAAGGAAGTACCAGGAAAATTTTGCTCCAGCTGACGTCCATGATCTCGGTGATGTTTACGGCATAGATCAAAACACCAAACGCGACGTTCGTAAAAGCTCTGACCATTTCGCTTGAAGCCCTGATGCACATGTTGAAGCAATTTAGCCAATCTGGCAGGGATGGAAAGTGCTTCGCGATCATAGAGCCCTTTAGCAAAGCTGTTATGACGGACCAAGCTTGAGGCACTAGAATGGCGTGGTCTGTATCGAGCATTCTGATCAATTCCTCGGTGAGCGTATGTGTGACTGTTTCGCCATCCTTCTTTCGATGATTGAGAACGGCAAGAACCGATTGCGTGACGTGGGGATCTGTGCCTATTGTCCTAGCAGCGGTAAGAGTAGTTTCTAATGCACTCTGATTGATATCCTTTTGGACAGACAATAGGGACTGTAGGAGATGCTTGAACCATTGATCGGTATGTTTGGCCATGACATCAGGCTTCTGCTGGAGTAACTTCTTGTATATTCGGATGCGGTAAGCCAGCACTGATTGCCCTGAAACACGATGCGGGATCGTATCTATCATGGTGAGAATGCGTTCGACGCGAGAGACGGTCATGACCTTGGAGCGGAAGTTCTGCTGCATAAGTGTGGCGAGGTGTGTATTAACAACCGTCTTGGGCATATCCTTGTCGGAGGCAACCTGTAGTATGCGCTCGACTACGAAAATGCAAAAACTATCTTCCATGGCAGACCGCAGCTCTGGAATGCGAAGCAGGGCCATGAGTAATTTCAACGCCTGCCCTACTAACTGTGAATCCAGTCCAGAATCATTCGCGCCCTTTGCCTGCATATCCCGTTGTACGAATTGCGTGAGCAGGCCCAGCTTGTCGACCAAAGCTTGCACATCTGGAATTTTGTCGAACGCCTGCATGGTTCGGTGCAAAGTGTTGTAGGCATCCATTCGAGAGGCCCTCGAGGGCGCGGCTAACTGTTTGGTAATCGATTCGAGCATCTCGGCAAAGCTTTTAAATGTATGCGCTGGGGCGCTCTGATCGGCCGAAGGAGGAGTTGACGTCGGGTCGATAGGTTTGAGGATAGATTTTAGAGGTTTAGATACGCGAGTCTGAGGTAAAGGTCGCAGCGGTGAGCTATGAAGAGGTGTGGATGTCTGTTGAACAAAGCCAGTGCTTGGGATTGCACTGGGTTTGGGCTCGAAGAGAACACGCTTCCTTCGACTGGCAGAGCTCAATGGGACCGCGCTGTCGGAGGCTGGTGATGATCGGGGCGTACTGAGAAGCTTTTGTGCAGAAGAAACCACGGGCTTGGAAGCAGGGTCCTTGGTCCCAAAGGGATCGTTCAAAAAGTTGAGAAGCTCGTCGGCATCTTGATCATCGACTTGATTATTGGTAGTATCGTCGGCGGGGGTTTTGGCAGGTGGTGGTGTAGGGGGACGAACACAAAGGGACCGGAATGGAGACACCATGGCTATGCTGGAAAGACGCTTAGAGAAAAAGAAGGAAAGGGTATCGCTAGCATTGTTGTCGGTGAAGCATGTGCGGTATTGGCGACAAGCGTGTCAGATGAAGAGTAGTGAGGACAAAGTCGAATGCAAACAAAACAGTGGAGGTTGAAGACGGACGTCAATGCACGCATAGAATGGTCGGCGGGTAACCGTGCCCTCGACACGTCGGAGCGCGTGCTTGCGCGTTAATTGGCAAGTGGCACCATCGCACTAGCCCGTCCCGCTCCACGCGTTTAAGTGGTTTTCTGGAGGCAGGGGCCCGCAGTCAACGTACAACCTGTACCTAGGTATATATATATATATATATATATATATATCATATTATGTTTTGGAGGACAGCTGCATTCTATACACTTCAGAGTGCATGCATCACGCAGTGCCCAAGAATTCAAAAAACCTTGAAGCATGCATGATACCTACTGCGTCCAGCTTCCAATGGCCTGCTGGTTAGCAATGGGAACCTGCAGCCATGCACCACCGGTTGACTGTGATTGATGTACATGAGCCAATCTCTTATACCAGTTGACTACTTCAGCCTTCTTGAAAAGACATTCTAGATATCCCCTCTACAATCAATTCCCACTGCAAATGTGAACCAGCCTTCATATTCTGGTTTTGCTGAATGGGCAGACCGTGGAACTATGCACCCCGCCCGCTAGGTACCAGACAACATCTACAGTAGAGCGCGGGACACCACCAACAGCACCACATCACCTTCTGAATTGTCCTTCTGACATTACATTACATTCCGTCGCCTTGCCGGCTTTTCCTCCAAGATGCAGACAGCCAAGTTCATCTTGTTGCATTCTCTCTCCCTTGATTGCGGCCGCCCACCATGATTTATAGGGCGACCAGCGCGGGGCACATCCGCATCCCACCTTCCTCGACTCCAGCAGCGCCAACCCCGGAACCACTCCCATCATCATCATCGTAGCCGCTCTTCAGCTCACCGACCCCCTTTCTCTCGTTACCAGCGAACCCGCCACCACCCTCCCACATTATGTTGTCCAGAATACCCTCCAAGGCACGCGGCGGCAAGGGTCAGTCCTCACTCACCCTTATACTCCCCCAAATGAGACTGACTGGGTCCCAAAAGCGAAGCTGGAGGATGTCACCCGCCTCCTCGATGAACTAAAAGCGGACCTTTCCGCAAAGAAACTGGCCCCGAAGCGTACGCTTCCCACCCCCCTGCTACTTGACTGCGCGCTCACGCTTCGTGGTGCACAGGGCGAAAGTCGTTATTGGAAGAACTCAAAGTCCACGGTCGCGCTGTCGAGAGCGCCGACCCTATATTCACCAAACATGTACGCCGTGCATCCTTTGGAGACAAGGACCACAACAAAGTTAACACAACTCGGCGTAGGGTCTGGAAACACTATGCCACTATGCTTTCGACGAGGCCGATGCCCAGGTATCGCAAGAGGCCCTTCGCTGCATCGCAAATGCTCTCCTACTCGAGCCCAAGACGCGCCAGATCGTTGTGGATTTAGGATATGCTCCCAATGCAGCGGACAAGCTCAAGGCATGTTCACCCTCACCCTATTGAGCAATAGACCCCCAATCTAACCATGTCCCCCCATAGAGCGAGGACATTGACGACGAATTTCTTCTTTCGCGCGTTCTCTTCCTTATGACCTACGATACCAATGCCGATTACGATGCCCTCGTACAAACAAACCAGCTCGCCGAGCACATCAACCTTGCCATGGCCCGCCACGCAAAGCGATACTCAAAGTCCACCCGCCGCGCTTCTCAAATGCACACGTCGCCCATGGACCTCATGGCCCTGTCCGAAACCCTCAAACTCCTCTTCAACATCACTCATTTCTACCCAGACCTCGCCGAGCACTTCTCCAAATCCATACCTCACATCTTCAAGATCTTGTACCGGCGCAAGATTCCAAACCCACCGTTGCAAGCGCCAGTCAACTACCTGATTAATGCTCTCATCAACCTGGACCTTGAGGATAAGAAGGGTCAGCAACTCAAGTTTCTCGGCATGAATGCCGTCTTTCCCAAAATCGACGCGAAATGCAACGCCGAGCACCTCATCAACATCCTCGACAACGCCATTGTTGCATACTCGGAGCGCGAGCTCGACGACACCATCGCACCCGTGCTTACCCTCATTCGCCGTGTTTACGAGATTGCACCAGACAGCGTGAAGAGATACATGGAGTGGCTGCTCCTCCCCACTGACGAAGAGCGCACACGGCCTCTCGGTCAATCTGATACGCTGTCCGCGCGCCTTCTCCGCCTTTCCACCTCCGCTATGACGCCCTCCCTCCGCGGTTCCATATCTTCTATGATGTTCGAGCTCTCCGGGAAGGACGCGAGCAAGTTTGTGCAAAATGTCGGATACGGGTTTGCGTCTGGGTTCCTGCTCAGCAACAACATCCAGATGCCCGAAAACGCCATGGAAGCTCACGCAACGGCAGAAACTGATGGAATTCCAGTGAACCCCATCACTGGTCAACGACTGGACGCCGAGGAACCGAGCAGGGAAGAGCCCATGACGGAAGAGGAGAAAGAGCGTGAAGCTGAGAGGCTGTTTGTTCTTTTCGAACGGTACGTCGCTGCTTTTCCTTTCCTAACCCTCCATTGCTACGCGCAGATAAACCATATATAGAAGGTCAACATGAAGACTGACAAAGCCTACAGACTCAAAGCAACAGGTGTTGTCGACGTCCAAAACCCAGTCGAGGAGGCATACCGATCCGGTCGCATCCAGGAGCTGCCAGATGATTCTTGAATTAAACTCGGGCAGTCACCCCTTTTCTCTCTCCACAAAGCATTGGTCATTTGTAGCTTAGTGTCCATGATTGAAGGAAAACACATCCAATATATCCCATTGTTGCACGTTGACTTGGTTGTCTGGCTCCTTGCTCGCCCCTCTATCTCTTGCTTCTTGTTGAATTAGAGCCGGTTTGAGATGATTGATCAAGTACACTTTGTTTTGTATTTCCTTTTTATATTCAATCCATCACACAAAAACACGACGAGCGAAAGGACAATCAGAACAATGACGAAAAGGAACATGGCCATGCAAAAACAACAACAAACAAACAACAGTAGAGTCCCACCGTCATGCAGCAGCATCAACTCCACAACCCGAAACACAACAAGACTAGAAGAAAACAAGACAGTGAGCTATAGTACATTTGGGGTTTTTTTTGGTTCGATCGAGAATCCTCTACTTTCTTTCCATTCCTATTTGCCACACCCTGAAACACGAAACCATCGAAAGAATACCTTTCCCCCCATTCTCATTTATTCCTGTCATTCGTCACATCACATCGTGCCACTTACTTCTTATCCCATTCCTTCCCCCACAGATACAGCTCCATCCACTGCACGGCTGCAGCAAATGAGCGTGACCTTCGCCATCTTTATTTTTGGACTTAAGCAAAATAGCTCTTCCAAAGCACACCCTCCAAATCTTCGAGCTGGTCTTGTTCAAAAGCCTATTGGAGTATGAGTTAGCGAAACAACGATTCAGGGTAGTGGGAGAGAGAACGAACCTTGACATCGACATGCCACGTGTCTTGCCTCGTTTTCTTGAAATCCGATAGGATGGCTTTGACACTCTTGCCCACGGAGCCCGGGTCTGCAGCTGCTTTTCTGGCAAGCGTAGCCAGCACTTCGGTGTACCACGCAGGCGGTGGACTCGCGTATGGGAAGGCCTGGATGAGGGCGCCGAGACCCAGTACGGCGGCGTGCCTGGCCAGTACAAGCTTAGCCTGACCTGGGGTGGGTGTGCCTGGGTTGCGCCTCTTAGGCAAGGGGTTGTTGGTAAGGGTATCGGTGAACTGCTTCTTGAGCTCAGCGACTTTGCGATCGCGTAGGCTGATGGATGAGCAGCGGATCATGCCGGAGAGTGTGGTGGCGGCACCCATGCGGACTTCCAGTTGATTATCTTCAAGCATGGCAGAAACACAGTCGTAGATGGCGAGCTGCTGCTTTTCGCTCATGAGGAAGAGACGACGGAAATAGATTACCTGGATGTTAATCAGGATGCGGAGACGTTGATGCCAGCTCGTTGCCGTTCGACCAATGCGGATGAGCGAGGCGATGAAATCGGCATCTTCGCCTTGTCGATGTGGAATGTTTGGCAAATGACGGAAAATGTGGTAGGCCAGGGATTGCAATTCAGGGTCTTCCTTGATATCCATCATGTGTAGAAGTTGTTCGGTGAATACGTCAGGGAAGAATTGAACAAGTTGTGTGCACTCGTAGGACGAGAGCGTGGAGTCGAGCCAAAGCAAGACGGTCTTGCCACCTGAGGTATACGAAGATGGTGTTTGTTGACCAGCGGGACGTTCTTGACGCCACACCTCAAGACGATCGAACACTTCTTTGATTGTCTTTGAAAACTCTGCAGTCGGCTCGTAGGGGCGTATGCCAATCGAGGAAGATTCCTTTTGTGCTTTGATGAGAGCTCCGACATCTTTGTAAGACTCATGGTACCGTGTTCGATAAATACAAGCTATCGTTTGGCCCATAGCTTCACGGACTCCTTTGTACGGGTGATCAAGATGTTTCATGAAATCTTCCAGGATGGGCTTTTCTAGACGAAAATGCCAGCCTGCATCAGCGATACATTGTTGCAGGAGGTAGATCTTTGAGCTCTCTTTGAATGCTGCATTGGATTCCATGTCGAGACGGAAGCTAGATAGCCAATCGATCAGGGGCCAACTTCGTCGAGGATCGCGAGTTTGCAACACCACATGCAAAAACGTAGTCCAATAGCCCGAATTATCAGGGTTCAAGCCATCCTGGAAGATGCCACGGATGATGGGGAAGACATATTCCCAAACCTCTTGCCGCTGTTCAGGCGTCAAGTCCGGAGCGCAAGAGAGCAGAGCACCCATTATTTCGGCTGTGGCACGGTGTTGATGTTTGTCACTTCCATCTCCATAGACTGATTGCGTAAGATCCTTGATGTCTTCGAATGTGGCCTGGGCCATATCAGCAAACACCAAATCGAAAGCATTCGTCAACAGCATAGCACTGGACATGCGGAATCGGTCGGATCCAGAATCTCGCGGCTCTTGCTTCATGAAGGCAAAGTAGTTCGAGAACCAAGAGCGGTCTAGGAGTGATCCGATCTTCTTGCGTACGGAGTTTTCAACGTCGTCAAAAGCTATGGATGGCGGGTTGGGCAGATATCCCGTCATGTTTTTAGTCCACACAAGCCATCCCGCATGGTCATGATCGACGTAGTATTTGGCGTCTGGTTTAGCAAACATACCCAGATATTCGTCAGTCCAGTTTGGGTCCTCTTGGGCCTTTGTCTGCACCGAGATCTTATCAGGCAACTCTTCTTCATTGAGAAGGTATTTCTGATAGCTGTGTCCTGAAATCGCCCTTGTCTGGATGACAGAGAAGAGACCGACAAGAGCGCCAGCATAGAGGCCACGAAGACTAGGATGTTGATCGATGGAACCCTTTGTGACGAGCTCTATCATTTCATCAGACGCTATAGTGTCATAGCGCATCCCGAGATTAACGATAATGGCAGCTGTGCGACTAACTTTCTTCCAGTGCGCCGTCTTGCTGAAATCAATCAGCTCTTTGGAAAGGTCCGCTTTCTTGCCTTCAATACGGGCTCTCTTCTTCTGTATGAAATCTCGGCGCTTGGTTACCTTCTGATGTACGATAGTGTCGTCATCACCGATTGCAAACGAAAGAGCCTCGACGACCTGCTTGTCAAGAATTACCATTCGCTCCATTGCCTTGCCCATATCCATTATCTGGAACGTGGCATTCGTAGCGAGCTTTTGGACTGAAGGCTTATCGGCGCCTGTGACTTCAATGAAAGCTTTAATCAGTGTTGGTGTGAAGCGCCAGTCACGAGAAATGGTCTTCGCAAGACTTCCGAACAAGAGAGTAAACATAGCACCCTTAATGCGAGGATAGTCATTCTCCGCAACAGCTTTGACAAGTGCCTCCAACAGGGGCGGGATGACCAGCGGTCGTGCACCGAGTACACACTTGACGGCCGACTCATTGGCAGTCTGAGCAGTCCGGCGAATCTCGGTATAAAGGGAGATACTGGATTCAGCCAGATCGAACAGAAGTTGCTTATCAAGGTCCGTCTTTGGTCGAGGAGCAGCATTGTGCCGCAGTCGTTGAAGATGATAGACGTATGCGCGTCTAACAAGAAGAGGTCGCGGGTATTCCTTCCTCAGACCGCTGAATTTGAAAGGACCTTCATCAGATGCAAGAAGGCGTGTGATACGTTCAAGCACATGGGCGGATCGCTCAATTCCAACGTCGATGAACCACGATCGGTAGGCATTGTACAAAGCGTTAAAGCACGGCACATCGTCTTCCTGCTTCTCAATCAAGAAACGGTGAACTTGATGTAGAGTCTCTCCAATTTTATGCCTCAAATCGTGGACAAGCTTGTAATTCGCATCGTCTTTCTTCAAGGGATATCCCGTTTCATACAAGAATGTAGGCTTGACGTCCTCATCTTCGGCTTCCCCAAGCCCAGCGTCATTCTCGATACCTTCCGTGTCCATAGCATCGGGATCTGAGCCTTCATCAGAATTGGGAGAGTCGGTATCAGGAGGTGATTGGCCGTGCCGAACGTCGAAAAGTACAGATATACCCGAGACTAGCAGCCTTATGAGGACAAGGTTTCTTGATATTTCATCGGACCAATCTTTGCCAGTGCCTTTGCGCTCGATTGGTGGGTTGGCTGAAGTCAGCGCGGTGAGAGTAGAGATTGAACTGTTAGCTTGCGATTGGAAAAGCTGGATAGCAAAATCAATCTCCCCAGCACTAGGCCTGTGCCATTTCACGTTCAGCTTGTTGACATCAACTTGCCTCCCCCAAGAGTCAGTCGTGAGACCCTGCTTGAGCTCTTCGTCCTCGTAGATGGAGTAGTCGTAGGTGTAGGTGCATGTCAAGTTGAGAAGGAGGTGGTGGATGAAGTTGGAAACGTGAACGGTAGGTGTACCTCTGCACTTTTGCTGCATATACTCAGCAATGTCGAAAAGCTCGTCTTTCCATTCCATAACAGCATCTCCAACATGTACAACACACATACTGAGTATGCATAGATACCATACGAGGCCTCTATCCCTTGGCAATACATCCGCGCCTGTCGTTCGCGTAGAGCCTGCTCCAACCTCCTCGATCTCTGTACGGATGCCCGCAAAAAGATGAGGCAGAAGACGCTTCAGCGACTTCTCAGGATTCACCTTCACCAAGCTGTTACAGATGAAGGATATCGCATCTCGAGCTTGATGAATGACGTGGTTTGAAATAAAGTTGGCGACCTTATCTAAGGCGATATCGAAAAGCTCGGGAGAAAGCGCTGCCAATAGTGGTGTAAAAGCAGCTGGCAGGTGGTTCGCTACGAACTCTTCAGGTGTGCCACTACGCACTCGTGAAGCATCTGGCAGATTCTCCAGGAGTGTGAAAACTCGGCCTAAGAAGGAATGAAGGAATTCAGCCAGCCCTGTCGTTGATGATCGGAGAATCATCTCTTCCTCGTGGTCTGAAAGTTCCTTGTCGTAGTCGATCTCGACTAATCCCTTCATGTTCTCTAACCGCTCCACTTGCTCGGTAATCCATCTCATGGCGAGACCTGTGTCGGTATCGAATTCCTCTGCCGGCGTTGCAGTTCCGGACCCCGACGAATCTATGGTTGGTCTCTTCTTTTCTTGGGTAAGATCGTGGAACGGCACCGTGTAAGACACACCCTGTATGTAGCTCAAAGTCTGAACAGTTTTGTCCAAGTCATTGGGATCAATACCCGGAAGTGCAAGCCCTAATAACGTTGTGACGTGACACCTGTACCCTTTTGTCTTCGCCATGATCTTCGACAGAACTTGAAGAGCCTTGATGGAGGAAATTGTGCGGTGGACCTCGACTAAGCCTTGCATCGCCGGATACACCCTTTGAAGAGCACCAGGAAGAATCAGAGTCGGCTCCAGATACGCAAGGCTTTGAAGGGTGCTTAATGAATAAGCCACCGCCTTGTCACTTTTAGAAAAGATACCCATGAAGGTCACCTCGCGCAAACAAAGCACGAAACGGCGTTTGATGGCAGCATTCAACTTCCGGTCTTCAGGCACATCCATCTCTCCGCTATGTTCACGGTTCCACCGCAAGACGAAAAAGTCGGCCAGATAATAGACCAGCTGGGCCAGCGTCCGTGTCCAGCCTCCGGAGTTGGAAGGGTGGAAGAAGGTCTCGATGGCTTGGATGAGAGCCTCTAGTTTGCTTAAGACAGAGTCTGAGTGCTCTGTGCATGCAGGTGAAAGTGACATGATTATGGTGCGCGAGATGTGATGCACAGATGGGTGTTTTCGCTGGTCGCGATCAAGCATGATGGCCAAACCAGCACCCAAATCAACAGTGTTGCTGTATGGCGATGTTGCTTGGCCCACCGGTATCTCCAGGAGTCGAAGAACAGCCGTAAAAAGTAGAGAGCACTGTTCGCCTGTGAATGTGCCGTACTGCGAAAAGGGAATATGGGGAGCGACGAGAGAATCCCTAGCCAGTCTCGAAAGCATATCTACAAAGTGAGCATCTACCAGTCTTGATCGATTCACCAGCGACCAAAGATGGAACAACAACGGCAAGTACTCTTGCGGCTGTAGATCTGGCCTGTCTTCCGGTGCTGGATTTGTGGGGAGAAGCAAGTTGAGCAGACCAATGACGACGAATGCGCCTTCAGAGTATGAGGTACTGAAGAAGGGCAGCACCTCTTCCAAAAGGGCTGGAATCTCTTGCGGATCAAAGTATAGCTGGGCAAACGTGCACAGTTTGGTCAAGGTGCGTATGTTTCGCTTGATACTCGGGGGTGAGGAGCCTCCCGATTCGGATGGGAGTACGAACAGCTTCAGCTCTCGGAACAGAGGCCGCCAATCGAGTGTCAAATCTTTGCCCGGACGGAGGTAGTGCTTGCGCCTGAATTCATGTCAGTGGAGCCCCGCCACCATCAGCTTGAAGAATGGTCCACGGGAAGACTTACTTTGTCAATACCATAAACATGCTCGCGAACCTCTCAGCCACGAGATAGTCCAGGCCGGGTGCAAGAGCCAGCTCATAGTACAGGTTCACCAGCTTCACGCGCGTGGCACGTGGCAGGTCGAACTTGAGGCTGATCCATCCACGGATCTCACGAGTCCAATGCACAGCTCCCGGGGCAAAGTCGCCCGCCGACACAGCAATGTACAGATGTTTTAAACATGTGTTGAGGTTGTCTTCGCGCTCGGATTGATCTTCGGTCTCGTAAGGAAGGTATTTGAAGTAAGGAAAGGTCCGGGGCCTGTTCCGATTCTGATCATCTGTGCCATTGATGCCTCCATTTGTCTGGCGCCAGTCGCCGCCGGGCGATGTTGCACGAGATTCCGAGGCGGAATCGAGAGCGCCCATGAGCTGTGATATCCGTTCGTTGACAGCCATGATGCCAGGTGTAGGCTGAGTGTGGGGAACGAGCCTACGGCGCGAAGACGACGAAACCGAGTTCAGGGGGCCCGATCATCAACGTATGGAAATCAATCGCCGGACGGTGGTACGAGGAGAGAGTTTTCTGCGGAGGCCTGGAGGTGAATCAGTTAGCATCGGGCGCAGCACAGCAAGTGGCAGCTCGAAAGCTGGGTGGATGGCGCTTACTATGAGGCCGGACAGTTGCAGGCTTGGTCGGGAAAGACTATGAGGGTATGAATGTTAGCGGATGGATGATGTCGTATGTATGTAGGTAGCCGTCGCCTTGCTCTCTCTTGCAGTGCGGTTGGGTTGGCTTGGTATGCATCAACGGCGGCGGAGGCGGCGGTGGTCCAAGCTCCAGCCCCATCTACATGATGACATTCTACTTGTATGATCATCGAGCTTACTACAATTTATAGATGCGTAGATGCACTCATGTATTCAAGAGTTTGGACATTTGGATAATGCCACACGACGATGACGATGGGTAATAAAAATACAAACTCAAAAAAACAGACGCCCAAGAAAAATACACTCACATGCAATCAATTGTGCTATGTAACTTTGGCTGGAGAATGCACTTGTGTGATAGGGTGGGTACAGATCTGAGTACCGCTTGGGGATTCGCTTCAATTAAATACTGCTGGCTCTACCCGCTAGGCACTCAATGAACGCGCAATCGATGTTTGGGGGCAACGCTCGTCTTTTCAAACAACCTGATAACAACCTGATAACAACAACCGTCAGATACCTAGGTAGGTTTTTCTTCAAAATTCTTTGTATGCGTTTCAGAATATTTGATAAAACGTTACTGTGCGCAGAGCGCAGGTTACCTACATGTGTATGTAGGGTAGAATAGATCAATTGATCATAATAAAACCAGACATCTGGAAATATACAGGTTTTACTTTATATAGGGACATAATCGGGTGTTCATTACTCCCATCATATCCTTTTTAGCTGAAAATCGCCGTGCTTCCAAATCTATGGGATTCAACATCAACTCCAAATTCCAGTGGAATGTTCAAATGTTCACCGGAGAAACGTCAGGTGACCACACCATCAGCACCATTCCACCACATCCACGCGACCATTCTATATCAACCTCACTGTTCAAACTAACGCCACTGACCACCCTCCGCCATCCCTTAGAACAATACACATAAAGCCACGCGCAGAACCCGAACACGCAGCCAACAATGTCCTACTACGACGTAGACGCCATCCTAACCGACGCGCAGGTGAGAAAAAAACAACCCGCCGCCTCCTGGCCCCTGGCGGTACATTGTATTGCGTGTGCGTGTGTGTCTGCTTACCAACTCACCATCTCGTGATAGAAAGTTCCATGCGCCTTTGAACTTACTGTGCCCGGTCTAGGCTTCTTGGAAGGCAATATGAGTGGCGATGTGAGTCAGCTCGCGAGATCCCCAAAAATGGCTCATATGTAGTCTTTTTTTAGACTGCTATCACGAGGACATTGTCTGACGATTATGTTTTGTTCTCTTCTGTTCGCAGATGAAACAGGGTTCTAAAGTCGAGCTTCCATTATGGCTGGGTGAGATGCTTGCATTGAGGTATAGTGTATTCTTTGGTATTCATTTTATAGTGATTGACTGTGTGTAGCCAGAGTCTAAATACGTCCTCCCTTGTTACCCTCGACCATCCCGCGGCCCTATCACCGCGCGTTCTCAATGCGTTGAAGGCAGATCCCAAATCGGTTGATCTCCGAGCCCAAGCTCAACATTTCTATAACCTGGGCGCCCGCATCCTCGAGCTGTTCGACGAAGAGGATATGATCGATGTGCTGAGCGATGTGAGACATGCTCCTTAACAACTAACCTTTACATTCAGCATGAGAACTGATCGGATACAGACGTTCAAATCTCGAGCAGCTGTCATCGCTGATCAGGCAAATAATGGTCGCGGTGCGCTCGGGGAAGGAGGCGATTTCTTGAAGAAGCTGGACGAAAACGAAAGAGAATGTAAGTGACGTGCCGCAAACTTCGATCGAGCGTACTGCAACTAGCCATTCCTAGTGTTTCGAGCTGCACATGACAGCGCGAAAGGCGTCCGGACATGGATGGCCGATCTCAGCAAGAAATGAGCCCTCGTACGCTACTAGCATAGGCTGCACATGTATCAGAAGGTGGTTCCTTTCCATTCAGACGAAACTACCACAATTTTCCACAGGGGAACTCTGGGCGCACTACGCCTTGGGGTACGATGAAGCGAGCATGAAAACAACGCATGCCGGGAGCAGAAGAAGACGATGGGGTTAGCGACGAGAAGAGAACAAGGCAATGCAAAAAACTACAACGTGCAAGGTAGATTGTCCCTACCTTTAATTACAATACAATTACCTGGCTTGAACGCCTCCCAATGCTTGATTCCCGCCAAAACGTGGGGAAATTGATTCGAACCTTCGCCTGATTGAACTCATTTGTATTCCACATCAATGATTCACTCCCCCTAAATTGCTGTTTTGCAAAAGAATGGCGAGTTGCTCCGGAGGGTACCCAAAAAAGACTGGCCCGTTAAAAACCATCTGAGGGACGACCTGAGGAGTTGCGGACGGAGAGGGTTTCTCCCGGGCTGGCTCAGGACCAGGCTTCACAGGCTGCTCCAACGTTGATACAGGTGCCTCTGTATTGATTTCTTGGTGGACTTCAGGGGCAAGGCCAACTTCCTTGACCTTCGATCCATCATTCTTGACAAGGTCCCCGAAAGGACATTTTCCGGGCCGTTTAGGTGATTCCTCAACCGGAGGGCTTGTCTCTAGTGGGAGCTGGGGAGACGCCGTGGGCGCAGAGCCTACCGATGATGAGCTCCCGGCATTGGTATATTTGGGAGGAATCGAGATACCCCAAGGTCGACTTGGTGACTCTCCAACCCGGACTTCCTTCATGGGACGGTCAAAATGAGCTGTTCTCGTCTCGTCGGGAGACTGTGCCAACTCCTGCCCTGGCCCCAGTGCACTATCCTGTAGGCTTGATGTAACGGCCGTAGCCCATTTCTCCACCTTCGCATCTTGTTTGGCCGCGTCTTCTGGCGCATCTTCCATGTCTTCCGGTTCCTCCGGCAGCCAAGCCTGATGCTTTTCGCCCAAACCTTGGATCATGCTGACCAGGTTACCATATTTGCGATCCAGTTGTTCTATGCTTTCAGCGTTACTTTGGAAGCGACCAATGCAGACCTCGTGACTTCGAGGCAATTCATGCTTGTGCTTCTCAAAGTATTTAGCCACCTCTTCGGGGGCATGTTGGTCAAGAAAGCGAATGGGGCAAACAGCACCAGAGCCTTCGACCGAGGGTGTTGCAGATGCAGACAGAAGATCGGCACCACATATTTCTGCTCTGATCGGATCGTTGAAGGATGGGCGCTTCGAGCGTCGACCTTTGAGACTCAGACGGGAGGTGGAACTTCGCGGAGTAGCTAGAGGGCTCTGTCTAGTACTGGTGGACGCAAATGGACAGCCGAGTTTACTCGGCGTCCCAACGGTTGTAAAATCCTTTTCTAACTGAGACGCATCTACACTGGATCGTATTTGAGCTACTGAGGGTTCTTTATCTGCCAAAGGTCCACTCCAAATCTTCACACCGGTATCGGCGGAGAGAACGGATAACTGCGCCGAAGCCTGCTCAGCCTTTTTGATAAGCTCATAATGCTGCTTGGATTCGGTATCATCCCTTTTGTCCAGATGTTCAGTCCAATGAGCGCCCAAACGGTCCGGTTTCGGAGCGAACTGAGCCAAGTCCTGGAGGAAGACTCTGTGATCTTGCGCAAGGGTATCTGGCGTGAATCTCTTCAAGAGATCAAGGTACTGGATGAAGATGGTCAGTCTCTGTAGTGGTCATATGAGATGGAACAAAGAAGGTTGCAAGAGTGTTATCAGTAAATGGTAAAAGTTGTCTGTCAAAGCCGGAATACGGCTGCAGGTCTAGAGCTAAAGTTTTTCATCACGAAAAAATGGGGGGATTGCAGAGAAAGACGAAAAGTTGCTTACCTGCTGTTTCGCCCATGACAGCTTGCTTTCAAGCTGCCGTTGCTGCTCGAACAACGTTTGGTATTCCCCGCTCAGGGCTGCAAACCCATCAGCAAGCCGCTCCGCTAGCTGGTGCACCGAGGGCTGCGTATTCTCCGCCATGGCGCAGATGCTCAAATGCAGGCAGATTCGGCCAAATAAATGATGCCTATAGGTAGTTTGATGCAACAGCGCATCACACAAACCGACGGGTCATGGAGAATGAGGGAGTGGAGGTGGAAGAGTGGAAGCAGATCCATGGAAATTATTACATAGCGTCGTCACGTGGTCAACTAGGGACCCTGGCGACGGCAAGAACGGCGACCCACGAATTCTTGGAAGGCACCAGACCAGATCGACCAACGGCACTCAGCCTCAGCAGCGCCCCGAGTTACGTACATACACACTTACGATAGATCTTGCCATTGAGCGTTCATTCTTATGCAGCATGCCGCCTGATTCATGAAATCTCAATTCTATTCTCTCTCAATTCAGTGTTTCACAGCTTGCTTCATTCAATAATTAGCTTAATTCGGCGGCGAGCCCCTTCCAACCGACACAGCGCGTACATCTCCCCACAATGGCGTCTCTCCACAAACATGGCATATCCAAATGGATTGCATCGTCTCCTCCCATCGCTTGGACAGTTCGACAACTGCGCGAGCTCCTCATTGGGGCTCTTCGGCAGGGGCCCATCCCGCAGCATGTCGCGTTCGTGATGGATGGCAACAGGCGCTTTGCTCGAGAGCAGCACATTGAAACCGTAGAAGGACACAACATGGGCTTTGAGGCGCTGGCCAGGGTAATACTCCACCCAGCTATTTTGAGTAGACGTCTTGCTGAATATTCATCAGATTCTCGAAGTCTGCTACAAGGCAGGCGTCAAGGTCGTGACCATTTACGCATTTAGCATCGAGAACTTCAAGCGATCGAAACACGAAGTCGATGCATTGATGGCCATGGCGAAGCTCAAACTACTGCAGTTATCAGAACACGGGGCCCTGCTCGACCGTTACGGCGCGTCGATCCGCATTCTTGGCCAGCGCGAACTGGTGAAGGCAGACGTCATCGAAGCGATCGATAAAGCAGTGGCCATGACCGCGCATAACAAAAGGTGCATACGAAGTCTTACTCGGGAAATACTACACATGCTGATAAACTTACAGGACTGTTCTCAATGTGTGCTTTCCGTACACGTCGCGAGATGAAATCACCACCGCTGTCAGATCCACGGTAGAGCAGTTCAACACACCCATAGACATTGTCCAGACACCCTCGAAGCGCACCTTCTCCGAGTCCCACATTACCCAACATATTAGGAAGCAAATGGTTGGGGAAGACAAGGACGGTCCGCCGTCGCAAGACGCTTCGCGATCGGCATCGCCTGCAGCCAAATCGTCAGGGGAGAGCCAATCATCGGCAACTTCGACCGCCATCAATTCCTCAGAGAAGGACGAAACTCCAACTACGGGCCCGACATACCCCGATCCCGAAACTATTACTGTAGAAACGCTAAACAACAACATGCTCACTGCCGGTGCTCCTCCTCTAGATCTTCTAGTTCGAACATCCGGAGTGGAGAGACTGAGCGACTTCATGCTCTGGCAAAGTCACGAAAACACCTCCATCGTTTTTCTCAAGTGCTTGTGGCCCGAATTCGACTTGTGGCATTTCCTTCCGGTGCTAGTGGAATGGCAGTGGCAGAAGAAGAAGCTTCTGGAGCAGCAGCGAAGTCGTGGCATTAAGAGTGATTAGATGGTTGCAGTCTAGGACTACGCAACAAAGTGGTGTATAAATCATAGGGGAGATTTCGTATTGATACCCCATAGCAAACCCCAAAAAATTATCCATAGAGTAGAGCAAGACTTCGGTCGTTTCGAATATAAAACTAACTTGCGTCGCGTTCAAATTCACGGGAACCTTGAAACGAGGCACATCCATTCGACCCTGTTCAACTAATACGAAAAGTGATGCTTCAATAGTGAACGATATCGAACTAGATTTTGGCCATTCCTAGCGGTTGTCCGACAGCCATAAGGGCAAACATTTCATACGATACCAGCCCTGCAGATACCCACAGTCCACTCAGATTGCTGGAGTGGCTAGCCCTCATATCCTTTTGACTGGAATGCTGAAGGAGATTATCTCGCTATTTAATTAGTAGGGAAGCATGGTCTTTCCAGCCTCAACCCAGACGTATCGACCCGGTTCACCTTCTGATTTGACCATCTACCTACCCTACCGCAGAGTGCCATTGGCCGTCAGGTCATCATTACATGCACGTGTTACCGTGGACGAGAATTCCAACAGTTTAACGAGAATCTGAAGCACATGGTAATGATACCACGAGTATGGGCTTTCAGCAAGTTTAAGACTTTCTTAGGGAAACACGGCACGGATATCCATCAGCCGCGTATCCACCAGATCGAGCAGTCGGGTAGGCTGTTTCACCAAAAATGGTGTTAGGAATACCTTCTTTGGGCCTCCGCCATTGAAACAATCTTTTGACCAATGTATCTCGTCCGCGTCGCATCGTATCCCATTCCTTATAGGCCGGGATGATATCAAAGGATCGAGCAGTCAAAACAAGAATGATCCGCAGCTCGTTGTTGACTAGACTTTGTCCGATACAATTCCTCGGGCCTTGTTCAAATGGACGGAAAGCACCAGAGTTGGCAGGAACATGCAGCTCATGCTCTGAATCTGTGAGCCAACGCTCCGGTAAGAACTCATCTGGCCTTTTCCAGATTCTGGGGTTCATGTGGACTGCATGGTGTAGAATCGTGACATCAAGATTCTCTGTGGAGCAGAAGTTTCCTTTGAGATCCTTGATGAAGACTCCAGGCTGGCCTGCGCGCTGTGTAGACGCTGGCGGGAATAGTCTTAATGTCTCTTTGACCACCGCTAACGTATATCGGCACTGATTGAGCAATGCTGGGTTCTGTTTGAGAGCTCTCGAAGCATCGTCTGGGTCAGGTCCAAATAGCGCATCGTGCTCTTCGCGTAAACTCAATAGAGATCTAGGATGTTGCGATAAAAGATGATAGATATAGATCAGGGTGGCAGAACTGGAATCGTTTCCTGCCATAAGGAACGTTCGAATTTGATTTGCGGAAATCTTAGCAAAGCCCGGATCCAGTGGCATGCTTGAGGAAGTATCAATGCCTTTCTGCCGCTCCCCTTCGATGTAGTCGCGCAGAGCCATAGCCATTATGGATAATGGACGATCCGTCTTAGCTTTCTTTGAGTCGACCTCTTCCTGAAGCATTTCCTGGTAGTGTGTCTCTAGATTGGTCGAGATGATCGACTCTAGGATTCTCCCATAGTATTTCTGTACCACGAACTTGACAGGTTTCAATAGAATCGATATGTTCCAGAAAGAATTCCAATTCAATATCGTGTTGAAAGCGTGCGAAAGTGGGTGCTCGGAGTATTGGTTATCTGTATTCATATCTCTTCGTGATCATCAGTGATCTTTGCTGTCAACTGTGGGAAAGGATTTTCTTACAGTGTCACTTTCGTGATAATCTCCATGGTCAAACGCGTGGTCAAGCTGTCCAACCTGAAAACACCTTTTCCAGCTTTTTGGCGTAGTATGTCACAGAACGTCTCTGCGGACTGAATCACGGTCGGGATAAGTCTTGCCATATGAGATGCGCTAAAGCCAGGATTGAACAGCGCCCTCCATTTCTTCCATTCATCGCCATTCATAGTAAGAACGCTCTCACCCCCGGTCAAAGGTCGGAACATGTGGACTTGCTTTTTGGGTTTTGGGAGGTTAAATTTGTTCGAGACTTCCATGGATGATTCGGCACCAAAAACAACAAGCGTAGCCCTATCTGCAGGCCAAAGATCGAGGACAAACGCTTCAGTTTCAGAATGCTCTTCGCAGAGTTTCTTGACAACCAGCAATGCACTCGCGTCTGGGGGCATGCTGTCAAGGTGCTGCTTCATTACTAGTAGATGCCCAGTCCACCAGCTCCAGCCCGGGGCGATAGCCTACGATAGTATTAGAAGATTCGTTGATCGGTGCTATGAACTCACAATGCCCCTATTTCGCAACTCGTTTATATGAGAGCGTCTTCTGTATCCGACAAGCAATATCCATGATGTTGAAGAGGCAATCAATATGAGAAGCAGGAAAAGCGCCATTGTAGTTGTGTGCAATGATGTTCAGCCAGACTCAAATCGAGAATGTCACGACCAAGTGTTATAAGTACTCTAATTATATCGTATGAAAGTCCTGAGAATAGAAGAGAAGTATATGCTTGAACATAGATGTTGTTCATCGGCGAGGAAAAACTTTGTCGATCCTTCATGTAGGTTGGTGGCGTGGCATTGCAATAATTCAATTGAGCAGATTGCTGACCGCGACGAATTTCAATACCACGCCGACGTCCTGTTCGACTCAGGATGTAACTTGGCTATTATCCCCATCATTTGCTTCCCGATGGAGAGACTATAGCAAGTCTCCAAGGTTAAACCACAGATGACATGCCATTCTTCAAGTTTCCCGAGAATCCTGTCTGTTCTTTCGCATATGTAAATTTGTGGCGCATAAGATTCTATATCTAAACTTCTCATCGGTCCAGCATAGTAACGGGGAAAGAACAAGTAGGTCGCACCTTTTTAATTCGCGCTCTCTCTGTAGCTTCCCGTGCAGTTGGAATAATCTACATATTGTTGATTGAACCCCATCACGTAGAGATATGCATTTAGTGGGAAAATTGGAATCTATTTAACAGCATCGGGCGCACCTTCTGTGTGTACCCACCTACCTGTTTATAATTTCTGAGTTGGAGTTTAGGTGATCCGACACAGCGATAGTTAGACGATAAAGGAACCAAAAGCCAGGCGATAACCAAAAGTCAAGCGATAAATGCCTTCACACAAGCTAATTGCAGTAATAGAAAGCTAACTACCTGTTTACATACGTAGGTAGGTATCTATGCGGGTGCCCAGATGATAGCGAAGTCACGTGATCATACAGCCCATGAAAGATTCCGAGGTTCAATGTTTTCGATGCGTGACCTGCGCCTCTGCTATGATATTGGCTCAAGCTTAAAATTTTGCCGCCCGAAGTAGTGACGGAGAGTATCAGTTTAATTATTAGGGCCGATGGCCGCTTCATATCTAGACTGTACAGCATGAGGCCTGTCAAGAGACGAAAGAGTCTACCTATGTATGTAGGTATGTACACCTGAATTGCCAGTGGTTACGTTCTGTTGTAATTATGGCATCACCTTACCCTTCACTAGCCTTTCTCACCATTCAAGTAGCGTTCCACACTACAACGATCCCTCGCTCGGTTGACTTGCACTCTACTAAAACTCCTGATTGTATCACGTCACGTCATTTGTAACAAAGGGCAGTTTGCAATTGTACGCTAGTCGCTTCACCCGTCTGACTTCTTTTCCTTTCTTTCTCCAACATCCTCTGCAAACTTTCATCCCCAACTCTGCCAGACTATTGCCTGTCTCCTCACACGTAGCATATCAATACGAAGCTTGGCAGTTGATAACAAGTCACTCGTCATCTCCTGTTCTTCCCGACACCTGCAACCAAGACTGCTACTTCTTCACTGTCGTGAGCTTCGACGCAGATTTCTGTTGTGCTATACGAAATACCAAATGGCTTCCTTTCTGTCCATTCCAGTCGAGCTGAGGGAGCTTATCTACGGTCATGTGTTCTCATCCATCACGATCAGACACGGCTTTGGAACAACTGCACCATCAAACCGTATAGCTCTGTTGCAAACCTGCAAGCAAATACATTGTGAAGCATGGCGTCATCTTCCAATGAATGCGAATTTCGAATTCCGAGGACCAGAATCAATGCTGAACACTCTCTTGGGCGCTGGTCAGGCAGTGATTACCCGAGTACGCCGTATTCGCGTCAAGGCGTTCCCGTTTCCGCTATATGCGAATGGCTGCGCAAACTACTACCCTACGTATTATTTCCACAATGCGCTCACTCTTCTTCCTGGTCTGCATCTGGATCGACTGGTCGTCGAAGATAGTTTCCATGGCTTTGGCTTGCTCGATGGATGGAGGGATGTGGTGACCTATTTCGATATTGAGGGTTTGTTGAAAAGCGACGCTTGGAAAGAACTTGAATATATTACGCCAAACACAGATTTCATCGCATCTGGATACGATCATCGACGAAAGAGGCTTGCGCAGCCAGAGTCTTGGGATGCTTTGCTTAAAGAACGAGATGGCGAAGCATCAGGCGCTGCAGTGGAGATGTGGATCACCCCCATATCCACCGGTCACGATGGTCAGGGTGAGCCTCAAGCGCCGCGCACTTGGTCCGCACGTCCGGGTCACGAGATCATCGAAAACTGGCGGCTTGCAACCCCGGAGCAAGAACTCAAAGGCGAAGTTCGAATTGTTGCACGCAGAAGCGATAGAGCGACCACTGTTCAGACAGGTGTGTCTCTCAACAAGACCTGGCAAGAGCTGAAAAATCACGAAGAGGGCTTCTCTCCCGAAGGTCAGTCATGCGACATCATCAATTCCTAACAGTACATAGAGAACGCTGACACCAAATTTTCAGATTGGACGCCTTATTACAATGACATGGCTGATGCGGTTGGTTGGATTTATGGAGGTTGGGGGAGAAGAATGGAGCTGGCGCATATAGCCCTTGGTCGGTGACTGACGTGCCACGACTGCCAATACGGTTGAAGTTGGGTAATTGATTGCTGCCAGGCCTCTGCGGCTCTTCTATCCATGATATTGTTACCATGGATTTGGTCCGGATCTCGTTCTGTACTACCGAAATGCGTCGCAATGTTCGTTTCAGGTACAAAGGGCGGTTGATCTACCCCACATCAGTGCTTACGGGGCGTTGCCCTTTACCCGCAAAGTAAACACCAAGGCTTGTTATGTCGATAATGTCCTCTTTTCTGGATGTTATATTGTACTCCTAAGGGTTGTCACAGGATAGAAATGCGAATCTACCAGAGTATGTCTCATTCTTGATGGATCTTCAAGTACATGTTAAAGGGTTTGTGCCCAACACTCGGCCTTATTATCGAAGATTTCTTTTATCCCTTACGAAATGGCGCTCAAATGTTATTCACGAATATGTTTAGTCGTAGCTTCCTGTCTCTTCAGCATTATCGTTTTCCTCGTCAAAGCCCCGAATTGGCTGCATAACCTATTTTTGATTGACACAATTCATACAAAATCTTCAAAGTTGGGTCATATCGCGAACAGAACTTTGGGCGTAAGTAATCATTCATGACTATGTCCTATTTTGGGGCAATTTGGTTGATACTATAGGTAGTTTGAACAGATATTCGTGATCAATTCGCCGTGGCGGACGGACCGGAGAGATGCCATGACACTAATGGCTTCTTGTCACGATATATCTTTCAAATGGATTGACGGAGTCAACTACACGCAGATCCCAGACAGTGCGTATCCTCCTGGGAAACATCAACAGATCCCCCTAGGCGCACGCGGTTGTTGGAGAGCGCATATGAACGCGCTACAACAGTAAGTGAACATGGTCAGGAAGAATCTTCGCATTTTTGCAGTCATTCTATTTCAATACCATGTAGAACTTGCGAAGATGTTGATTTTTGACAGAGTCGTAGCGCAAAATCTATCCACCGCGCTCATATTCGAAGACGACGTCGATTGGGACGTACGAATTCGGGCCCAGCTCCTAGATCTATCTCGCGCATCTCGCAGCCTACCGAAGTTAAATCTTGAAGTCGAGGAAGACTCGTACATTCCCTTAGTATCTGAACATCCAGATTTAGACCCAACCGATATCGCGAAACGTTCTTCAATACCGCTCTCCTCCGACTCCGGCCAGGCACACGAATCTCCATATGGGCGCGATTGGGATGTCCAATGGCTAGGTCACTGCGGAGCTAGTCTTCCACCTCCGTCGCCCATGCACCCGACGAGCATTTTCAAATCCAATGATCACACGGTTCCTTCCGCGGAGCATCTACGGTTTCGTTCCAGTGCGCCTCAAGACGAAATTGCAACCTTATATCCTCCTTATACACGACTCTATCATCGCACTGCTAACAGCACGCTGTGTTTGCATGCGTATGCCGTGACGCAACGTGGGGCTCGTAAGCTTCTGTATCAATTTGGAATGAGAGACTTTAGCCAAGGGTTCGATTTTGCTTTAAGCGACTACTGTGGTGGGGATCTGCATAGAAAGACTGGAGAAACCGAGGGGCAGAGACCAATGTGTCTTACCGTGCAGCCACCGCTGTTCAGTCAGTTCTGGGGTGAGCATGGTGAAAGCGACATCATGAGTCCAGGGCGAGAAGGAAGAATGGTTGGCAGTCGATACATACGGTGGAGTGTTAGAGCCGGTTTGGAGGCGGCGGTCAGTGGGTTAGAGGTAGATGATCAGTGGCCGGATGGGGAGAGTTGAGCTATCATGATCTTGGTTACATCGATAGGGGCGGATTTCCTTTCTCGTTCATGACTTTACGATGCTCGTTCTTCTAAGGTCATTTGATCACACTGTCGGAACATTACACATGCTGGCGTAGTCGGCCGGTGACACTTGGCGGTTCAATTTCCGAACCTGATACCATAACGCACTACGTTTGATTTGTGTTACTATAAGATGTAGACATATATCACAACTCCAATGCAAAATGTATGAATGAGATTGGACGAGAGTTTTGTGGGTCGCGACACAGACCGGCTGTACAACAATCCAAGTGGTACGCAAATCTAGGTACCTAGGTATGTTGTACTGTGCGGGGGATGCTAAGCACTGTCCTACATGCTAAGTAATTTGCGAATTGTTTACGCTTGTGAGTGTAACGTCAACCTCGCTCGAATAATTTGGCAAGCTGCACGTTTAGTCACGAGCCTCTAAATATGTCAATGAGCCTCAGATCACATGATATCAGTGGCGAATGATCTTGAAATCGATTGAGAAAAGCGGAATCTTCGTGCGAGGTTTCTATTAGCCGAAGTCTTTGGAATTTAATCGGCAGGTCATTGATTCTGAATAAGATACATGTGAGATTGTTGAAATCATGAGCGAGAATTACCCACATTACAGGCTGCGTGAATTGCTTCCCCAACCGCCCGAGTCTCTGCATATCTACCTAGGTAGGTATGTTCATTTCGACGATGAATAATGCTTTCAAGTGATCAAAGCCATTGGGAGAGACGATTATCTGACACTGCATCTGCAGAATCTTTGTATCGAAGACTGGGGAGAGCGTCGATATGCCGGTTATGATTCCCACGAAGAACTACCGTTGGCTTAGCAACTCCCCTACAGTGAACTCGTGCTCGATGGGGAGCTGTGACTTTGTGGCTCTGCTATCCTTCCTTTCGGAAACTTGTATTCCTACCAATAGTCGTGATACAACAAGGGTGAGATAAAACCTGGGTAATGTTATTCCATGCACTGAGACGAAATCAACATTTGAATAGTTTCTTGTGCTAGATCACATCATGATAGCTAGAAATGGGCTTATTAAGTATATTTTATTAGAATTGACGTCAAATTATTGATGATGAGGCGATACGCATTGAAAGTGGTGAGAGAAGTACCAGCAAGACGACGAGGTCGCGCTCCTTGTCGATGATCATGGTGCCTGCCTTCATTGGAACACATCACTCCACTTGATCCGACGGAGGCAAGTACAGGAGAAAAGCTGCCATCGTCATCTCACTCAAGCAAGATAGCAATAGCTCTAAACCACTAGAATCTTCCGTTCTTCTCGACTCGACTCTCTCATTCCACTTCTTTCGTCTATCATTTCATCGGCAGCAGCATCAACTTCTCTTCACTGGAGCATTCTTGTGCACAGTCCCATCACTACGAGAAGAATATCCACGAAAATGGGTTGTCCCTTCGTTCTACTCGCCCTCATCCTGCATGTTTCCGCCGCTCCGGTAATCCAGCTAGCCAGGGTAGCCGATATGTCATTCTCCCCCCATGAAATAAACTGGAAACACTTCGCCATATCCAGCACTTCTCTGGGTGGTTTTGCTTCCATGTGAGTGGTTTTTGTATTGACCCAAGACTTTGACGCACTCTACTGACCGTTGGTGAGCAGTGCCGGCGCTGGTACGAGCGCATTCTTATACTACCGCTTGCGCATGAGCAAACGTAAGGCCAAGGCTGATCCACCAGCAGATGAATCCAAGGAATCCACAATACAACAATCTGACCCTGTAGAAGTCCCTATCATCACACAGGAGTCAACCCTCACACAGCAACCTGGCCGAACCGAACAACCTGGCATCTTGGACCAACCTAGCACTACGCAGCACCCAAACTCTGATAAGCCTGAGGCTACGCCAGGTGTGAGTCGGATGAATTCACGTCGACAAAGCGCCATCATGGAAACTCCTCGTGAGCTTAGTCCTCCTACAACCCGCTCTTCTAGCCATTCTTCAACCCATTCCTCTGCTCCTACACTTGCCACACGATCATCCGCAAGCAACGCCACCCCAGCACTAGAACAGCCGAAAGCTCAACCAGTATGTGCACTGTGGATTTTCAAAATGTTGTATACAATATAATGCTGACTGACTGCCTAGTCGCCTGCAGTACCCATTGCAAGTGATCATGTGAACACACCTACCACACGATCTACCAGAAGCAGCTCCACTGCGGCATCGAAACAGGCAACAGTTCAATCTGTATGTATATACTGGATGTATACTATATGAAATATTATACAATGCTGATTTTTTGTCTAGCCACCTCCAGTAGACAAGACAAGTGGTCATATGAAAGTACCTGCCGCCCGATCGAGCAGAAACAACTCCCCTGAAGAACCGGAACAGCCAATAGCTAAAGTAGTATGTGTAGTTAAGATGCGTCATCTAAAACAAAGAAACATGCTAACTATTCGTCAAGGAATCCACATTGCAGCACGCAAGTGAGCCTCCGGATGCGCCTATCACCCCCGAAGAAAAAAGGCGCCAATCTCTAGCCACCTCAGCTCGTAGTGATGCCAGCTCGCCATAGTCCACGGGATTTTCTTTCACGAAAAGATCCCATCGTGTTGGTAGCTTCGCTTTCTTTTGTTCTCGTACTGCTTCAGTCACGCTTGCGGTCTTTGTAAGGTTATCGTCAGTTGCGTGGAACGGGGTCTGGTTTCTATTCCTTTTTAGTACATACACATCCTCAATACCGAGCTTCTCTTTTCTCTCTCCCCGTTCATGTCCTTCTTTCTCGCTAGTCATGATATGTGTGTCACGAACGTTGCTCTCTTAGGGCGTGAGAGAGTGAGATCGTTGACTCGATCACGATAAGCCCTGACATTTAGGTACTCATCTCGAAACATTGGACTGCGCTCACATGAATGAACAATTCATAAAACTCTTAATATGTTATAGGACCCCGTAGCATGTTGGGGATTGGCTGAAGTGCGGAACGGCACGACAAAGCACAAATATAACAAATGACCGGGACATGTTGAACTATCAGACCCACACAACAATAAGACACGGTTGCAATAAATCCCATAAGTCGTCAGGAGAGCGGATATATTTCTTACAGATACATAGAAAACAAGATACGTAGGTATGTAGTAGTGCGGTAAGTAAACCAAGCGCTAGCAAAAAAAAGGTATACACAAGAAGTGAAAAAGAACAACCCCCATTCGCATTCCTGCTTCCGCCAAAACCCAAAACAAAAGCGCTTCATGATTACATTGTGCTCATCATTCTCTCATTTCTCACGCCACAGGGCTCTTCTTCTCCTTCCGGAAAATGTCATGGAACATTTGCCGCAGACCCTCGCTCTTCCGCCGGCTCTCCTTGGGCTTCTTCTCCTTCTTTCCTTTATCCTTGTTCTTGGATTCCTTCTTCGCGGCTTTTTGCTTCTTCTCGTTCACAATGACCATGCTAGTCGGTCTCGTCTTCAACCGTCCTCCGCCCTCCACGATCCCAGAGTCCCAGAGTCCCGCCGTGACTACGGGATCATATGCGGATCTCGCCTTGCGATCGCGGGGGTTTACAGAAGGGGACAGCGGGGAGGAGGCAGCGAGCAGATTAGAATTATTACTGATGTCGTGGAGTGTGGGACCGGGATCGACGGCCGAGGGGATTGGTGATAACTGATGTGTAGGATACATAAGAGTGGGTGTTGTAGTGGGTGGTAGGGAGAGTTCCTTGATGCGTAGAATCTCCGTACTTCTTCTCGCTTGGCGCTCTTCCTCTGTTTCGATGAGGATTTGCTCTTCGAGAGCGAGGCCGAATTTCTTCTTGGTGCTACCGGCGCGGATAAGCTCGGCGGTGCCTGTGGAGTTTGCGCGGCGAGGGCGCGTTTTTATTGGTGATGAGGGAGTGGATGGAGTCGGATCGGGTGTGCCGTTGGTGAAGCTCGAGTTGCGGTGGAGAAGCTGTGTACTTGTCCGTATTATTCTTGGGATGGTGCGGTGGGTTTCGTCGATGGTGGAGGCTGGGGAGGCGGAACGGGGTGAGTCGACGAATGGCATCGAGACGGCGCGGTTCATATGCGGGGTGCAGGTGTTTCGAGAGTTGGAATATGCTGTAGACCAGTTTTCGCAGAAGGCGACCCAGACACCGGAAATGACGATGAAGCGGCGTAGATCGTCATCGGTCGTCACAGGTAAGCGACCGTTGGGGGGATCCATGAATGATTCCATGTCGATAGTTGAAGGGGTTGGTAAGGCGGAATTGGGTTGACTCGGTGTGGAGGGAGAAGTTGCGGCGGGCATCACATAAGAATCCTGGATCTCGATTCGACCCTTTGTCAGGGTAGCGATGACAGGGTGGCGCCGCGAGTTTGCGCTGATGGTACTGAAGTTGAACTTGGTCTCATCCGAGGGAGTCGCAGGTGAAGCTACCGAAGTATTAGACATTGTGGACCGGCGACGAAGATGGGATGCTTTAGGCACCCAGCGAGACTTCAGGCACAGTCCATGATCGTCGGTATAATTGAATTCGTAGGCACCGTTGGGTGTTGCACCGACTTCCCATATTTGACCGTTCTCCAGTATGATTTCTGCCCTAGATGAGAGTCCCCTGTCTTCTCTTGCCGGGCAAATAACGGCCACAACGTCCCTAGCACCCCAGCTGTCATCCTCCATTTTTTCTTCCAGACTTTGATCATATCCTCCGCAGCTCACAATCAAGATGTCGTGAGGGGTGAGTTTCCTGGACTGGAACGAGCGAGCAAGACGGCGAGAAGACACGGGACCCAAAATAGAGTACGGAACGGCTTCGTATACGGGTTTTGGGCGGCGCGAAGCAACGACCTGGTGGAGCTGAAGCAAAACTTTGGGGCGGACGGAAAGTTTTTTCTGCCTGGGGTTGGAGGTCGGTGGAGGTTGAGCCAAGTTGTAGACAGTCTTGGGCCGCGATGCCCGCTTCCTGGGCCTTTCTTGCAAGGATGCAGCAGTACTTGACGTACTGGGACGAGAGGGAGAAGCACTCATGGGGTGACTAGTAGGCTGAGCGGAGCCGAGTGGGAGTTGAGATTGTTCGAGAGATGTGGCTGAGGCATTGGAAGGCGCAGGGCTGGGTGATTGTCTGCGTAGGACGCTGCCGAGGATGGAGAGCGGCATCTGGAGGAAGGAGGCATTCGCAGGAGACGGGGAAGGGCGCGGTGGAGAGTGGTGATGGTCTGCGTTCAACATGTCTAATGCCATGGTGGTGGAAGCTGGCTATAGGATATGTAGGAAGATGTTGTGCATGGCTGAGGGGTAATGTATATTGAACCGCACGAATTTGGATGGTCACGGTATACAGGTACAAGTAGAGGAGACACAAGTACGAGTGGAGATCAGGCTAATAATATCGAGAGAGGTGGAAGGCTAGAATATCAATCGTCAGTGACCATGTGGAGACTCATGAATTGCGGACGAAGGCTAGGTTCATGCGGGCGACCAGGGATTCAAAGGGGCCAAAAGAGCGAGGGGTGGTTTTATGAGGGGAGGATGGGCTGTGCGCTGACGAGGTTTGATGAACACAAGCACAAGCCCGTTGCATCTGCAGTTTGTCGCACCGTGTATGGTACCATAAGAATCCCTCGGGGTAACATGGACTGTTTGCCCTTTTGAAGTGCTCGGTAAGGGGAAATGTGCCGTACCATTCCATGCCCTCGCAGGGCTGAACGCCACGGGTCAAGCCACCCGAAAGCAATGCGAAGACCCGTCTTTTCACTCTAGATGCATCTAGGGTCCCTCGTTGCCCCAGGTTTCGATTAACTGTTGCCGAAATGAATCTCAAAGGATAAGCAGCGGGACTTCCAAAGACGGGAATCGATCTTTGTCCGGCCGCGAGCAAAAGGTTGCGAATAATAGGGAGAAGATGAACAAGAAATAGCCAGGAAGGAAGAACTGGAGGAAAAAAAGCCGCAAAAGGATTCGATTACGGCTGAAGCGGGTCTACCAAGGCCATCATAAAGCATAAGAAAGGAGATGGGTGGATGGAGCCTTCGCCGAGCCTCCGGCCAGCATCTGACAAGCTTTGTCCGCGCGGTCTCTCGGCACCTTTGAGATCCTTCCGGGAGCCCGCATGCTGCAGGTTCAGGGCGAAACAGTCTTTCATCTGCCTTTCTCTGGAGCGTGATTGGGCGGTTCCTTTGTTTCAAGCCACTGCAAACGGTGGCTACTTTCGCCTCCTTTCTTGCTGCTGCTGATGCCCGCAAACCGACCGTGCCTCGCAACATGGCTATAAATGTGGTAAAGTGCATTGCATTGCGTTAACCACGTGCCGACGATGGGTGGATCATCATGGATGCTTGATGACTACTGTAATGCCTTGCCCCCAAGCCTCGTATAATCTCCTTCGCCAAGAAAAGAGGTCCCCCGCCAGTGACCACGTCCGTATAGTCGTACGAATACGGCCATGTACGAGTCAGCTCAGCAGCCTCTCGTCCATTGGTCACTTGTTTCCGTCATCGGGTGAAACAAGTGCAATGATGATCGGTGGATTCTGTAACAAGCTCGCTCTTCATGCTTCTCCCTTCACACGACGTGAGATTAAGTGGGCTGGCCGCTTACAACAGCATCAACTACTATTCTTACCAAGTGCAAAAGCCTTGCGCTTGTCCCCATCGGCATCTCACTTTTCTGTCCTCATCTTCCGCAAAGAGATGAAACCGGTTCTTGACTCTTTGCCTACAATTAGTTAACACATCATCGTACATACGTATGTGAGGACTTAGACTTCACGGTAAATTGCGGGGTAGTCTTGACCAGCTGAGTCGCCATGCATCCAACTCTCTCCATGTAATGCGTGCATCAGAGTTTCGCCAGCAGGATTGACCATGGAACATGAAATCACCAAAGTTGGAACCTGGCAAAAACTTGGTCTATGGCGCTGTTTTTTCGTTTGTTGGAAAAGGTACAGTTCCTTAGTTGACACAGCTTGCCGAGGCCTGCAGTTTAGACGGAGCCGAGTTCATAGCCCACCAAGTGCAGATTCTTCCTGCTTCGTCTCCACGAAAAAAAAAGTCTACTTCCCCTTTCGCCAATGGTCAACCCAAACACCGCTTCGCTTAACATCATCATCCTATTCTCTTAACTGCTTTTCGTATAGCATCTGGCTTTGCTGTTAACTGTTTGTGGCTCGCCGTCGGTGTCGGCTTGACTCTGGAATCCGACGTCCTCCAGCATCCGAGTCCTTCCGCTGCCATTGTCCATTTCGAAATTTTTGGTCCGTAAGAGTGAGAAAATTTGGATCACCTGGACGAATACACGACAACAGCTCATTACATCAGTGGGCTAGTCGCGGATGATTCTGGTACCGATTCCGAAGGCATCCAGAACTCGTTTTCCAATGTCACCTGACATGCGGCCTGTGACTGATATCGAGCGACTCGTTCCGTGGTTCCGTGAAAACAATGGATGGCTGAACCCGGATGTAGAAATTATTCACGATGAATCTCATGGCTTCCATGTCTGTGCTGTGCGACCCCTCAGCTCACCAGCCATCGTCAAGTGTCCCCTAACGCTTACCATCTCCCATTTGAATCTGGACCACTCACAAACCATTGTTCCTCACATAGATAGCCAACTCCAGCTATGTCTTGGAGAGGTACCCAATGAGGTTCTAACTTATCTGCTACTGATTGAGCAGAGATGCCTTGCCAAGCAGCAAAGGTCTGCATGGCAGCCTTACTTTGACTGTCTCCCAGCCTCGAACGAAATGACTACAACTCTTTGGTTCGATGATGATGATCTCAACCATCTTCAAGGAACAGATCTTTACACAGCTACGAAGGAAAAGAAGCGCCAGCTCGAGGCTGAGTACCATAGTGCTATGGCTATTCTGGCAAGACTAAATGTAACGCTTGACCCTTCCAACCCGACATTGTAAGTCCTGGCCGACTATAGCGTAGTATGATTCTTCCTGAGCATGATATTTTTAGATATTGCATATTCGCGTAGGCTTTAGTGCTGATTGATTATAGCGAGGATTACCTGTGGGCGTTTACCATCATGTCATCGCGGTCCTTTGTATCTACCTACATGCTACCAAATTTCAACACCTTTCCAATCCTCTTTCCTGTACTCGATATCTTGAATCATTCTACTGATGCAAAGATTAATTGGGCATTTGACGATAAATGTTTCACTCTTGCGCTGGAGAACCCGGCATCTGTACTGCCCAAAAGCCAAATCTTCAACAACTACGCTCCCAAGCAGAATGGGGAACTGCTTATGGGCTATGGGTTCTGCATTCCGGAAAATCCCATTGAGCAATTCGCCATCAAAATGAGGTTGCCACCAGATATGGTAGAAGCTGCGAAAGACACTGGGTTGTATAATCCAAACCAAGTGCCGTTTGGGTTGCCTCAATCTGCAGTTGACAGCGACCAAAGCGTGGAACAACACTTCTTACGGCCACGCGCACATCCGTTTGGACATTACGAAAATAATGTGCCCTGGTTGCGAGGAATTCCACCGTGGATCATGCATTCTACCTTTGTTGCTACTGTTATGCAGCTAGGACACACACCTGAGAACACGGATTCCCGCAAGCCCACAGGCATGCTCGTACTCCACGTCTTGCTACACTTATACGAAGCTATTAGGGTCAAGAGCCTACTTTTCCCGGATTCAGCACACAAGAGCAACGAAACCTACGCAAACGTCAAGCAACAGCAAGCAAGCATATACCGAAATGGCCAAGCCAAAGTCATCCACTCCATCCTCGCAGAACTACAAGCGGTATTATCTAATCTACGAGTCCGCGATCAAATCCCCCCAGCATCGCCAGCCCTTATAACCACGACCGAGGCCCTCCTTGTATTGAAAGCAGAATACCCTTCACACCACGCGTCTGTCGAAGACGCTATGACCAAAACCTACGATATGTCCACCATGTCAGCCGCCCAAGAACAACACCTCTGGGTCACCCTTCTCTGTCTCTTCGCTTATCTCACTCTCACAACTCCCGGGACCGAAAAAGAAGAAAGCCTCATCCACGCCTGGACCTTGGAATTTTTCGAAGTCTACACACTTCCTTCTGTCGATGCGATTCCCGATCCCACCGCCTCTCCATCTACCGTCCGATCTACACTTTTAGACTTCTTCGCAGACTCGCATGATCCCATCGCCGAGCTCAACTCTATTCATTCTCGGTTCGATGATGCTGCGCTCGAGAAACGGTACGGAGACCTGCCCATATGGGATGACGACGACGATGTGGGGTTGGGGCGTTTGGGGGATAAAGTAATCGCTTGGGCGGAAAATTTGGTGGATTTCTACGCGGTGCAGATCCCCGGGGAGAGTGGCAGGGTTGGAATGTATGTGAGGCCTTATCAGGAAGGGGGAATGGTGGAGGAGTGGGTTTATGGGGAGTAGGGGGTTGATCCGAGATATCGATCATCTTCAAGTGGGGAATACTTTGGCGGGACTGTTAAGAGCTTTGTGCATTAACCGGGGGAGACTTTTTCACAAATATGGGGTCAGTTGGATGTATTTATCTGCCTTTATTGAGTAGGGGGTATCGCAACCACTATCATAACATCTCCTGACTCAAACATACAGCTTATCCTCCACCCTCTCTACACGCGCATGAGAATTGTTCTGTAACGAAAATCAAAAAAGATTTGCGGATACCATAGCAATCGATTTCACCCAGCCTGCAACAACAGCTCTTGAGCCAACAGCTGAATCTCAGCCTGGTCCAGTGATTCACCCACACCGCTCTCCCTCCATGCACTACTCACTACCCTACTCCCATCACTCACAAACCCCGACCTAGCCATCCCCGCACGGTGCATAATCCGCGCGTAACGAGCCCGATCGCGCTGTCGCCGCTGCCGCCTCCGCTCCTCCTCCCCCTCTTCCTCCTCTTCTTCTTCTTCCTCATCCTCATCCTCCTCGTCTTCCTCCTCATAATCATCGTCACCACCATCGAGGTCCCCAAAAAGAACCCTCCGACACATCGGACACGTGTTATTATACAACCCCAACCACTTCTCCAAGCACCGCTCACCAAACACATGTCCGCACAGTCTCAGCTTCACCGCTGATTCTGCACGACGCGGCGGGGGTCGAGGCGGGATGATCGATACGACGGGCGGTAATTCCGGCATCGTCTTGGGTAGATTGGTCTTGATGTTGAAGACCCTGTGGACTCCGAGGATGATCTCCGAGATGCCGTATTGGACGCGCGATTTGATGTATCGGTAGAATCTGGGGATGGTGTAAGGGGGTAGGAGACGGGGTTTGGATGATGGACGGGGGCCGTGGCGTTGCTGTTGGTGCTGGGGACGGCATTGCGGGTTGGGTTTGAGTTCGTTGTAGCAGATGGGACATGTTGAGGGGCGTTTTGGAGTGTAAGGTTCGAAGATTGCGTTGGTGAGGTAGCGTTTTGTGGTGGGTGTTTTTTTGTCTTGAGGGGGTGCTGAGGGGGTTGTATGTTAGTGGGTTAATGGGAGGGGATTGATTCAGAGGGGGTTGGCACACCTTGATGATAAGACATCGTGAGATGTGTTTTTTTGTTCAAAGAATCATTTAATGGTAATAATTTTGATCAAGGTTTAGCAAAGTTCTGAATTCTTGATCATAGAGGTTGGATTTTGTCTGAGTGATTGTCGTACTCAAGGTCGCGTTTGTCGTTGGGAATAATCAGGCGGCAGAGAAAAGTTTGGCCAAACCAAAGATAATATGTTTTTCAACATATCCATTTGGTTCGACACTAAATCATACATCCCAAAGCGCAAGATATGAACATAGACGATCTTGCTAGCTAGTGGCTCACTGGCGAATCAGAATCACCACAGTCAACTCTGACGATAAGTATTCGATGTACCAACAATGGTTGAGCCGATCTCTCCCCAATTGCTCAATCCTACGGCAAGTCTCGCCTTTGCATTCCCAAACTTTCTCATACGCATCTCCCCGAAATTCCATGACAACCCTTTCCGCTTTCTCAATTCAAACATTCCAAGTAGCATATCGATCGTCCCCGATATAATTCAACAAATACCGGATAAACCATTCCTTAGCCCTGTCAAGATAATCGTCTCCTTCTTCTAATTGTCCCAGAAAATCGATAAAATCAATGGTCGACGTAGAAAGTTCAGAAGAAATTTGCAGGTCCATATCACTTTCCTGATCACAGTATTCGATAACGTTTGCGAATTCCAAGCCAGTCATCGGGTCTATAACCTCTCGCAAAGCATCTCGGTATCGTTGCCTCTGTTGCCGCAGTTGCGAGGCATTTGGTGTACCAACAAATTCCAATTGTCCCAACATATTAATGATGTCATAGAAAGGGTTGCTTGGGAATGCTAGTTCCTCATTTGGATGTGGTCCAGTTTGAGTTGCCCATGTCTGAGATCCCCCCTCAGCAGCATCAATGGTATTAGCGTTATCATTGGATGCAGTACTGGAAAGTTCCTTTCGACAAACAGGACAGGTTTCATTATTTTGAAGCCAATCTCTCAGACAGTACGAGCCAAATTTATGGCCACAGCCCCTGATAAAGATAGCGACATGCGGGGGAGAATCCAAGGCTAATAGTAGAGAAATGCTCGTGTCTACTATACTGCCATACGGTTCGAGACAAATTAGGCATTCTTCGTTTTTCTCAAGTAATTCGAAATCGGCGATTTCGAGCTGGAGGCGAAAGAAGTCTTCTTTGCTTGGTAAGGAGGCCATGTCTGCAGGAACAGTTGATTGGCTAATGATTGGTGTTGAAGTGAATACAGGATTCAGTCGATGTAATCACTTTGACGAGCTGGGTATTAGTTTATAGCGTCGTCTCTTTATATTGGCTTGAATGTCAAATGATCCAAGCGGGTGCAGATGCTGAGTCACGGTGTCAGGCAGACATTGTCGTCATTTTTGCTCGTGCCTTGAGCACGCGGAAATTATCTCTCCTGGCTTCATTGTAAGACGCAAGGTCACAACCGCTTTCCGAATACTTCCTGGCAAGGGAACCTATGCTACAATATATATAACACAGATCCCAACAGCTCTCAAAAACTTTGTTCAGACCATCTGCCTCTGTTGTTTTGTTCGATATTCGTCGCTGCGTTGTTGGACGGTTCTTCTGGAAGTTTGTTTCGTTTTCGCTATCGTTTTCCGGGAAGCGTAGGATTCTCGTTATCGGCTTCGTTGCCCGTGTCGATGTAGGATTCCAGAAAGATTGAACAGCTGGGGGATGTCGAAGATACAGGCACAACTCAAATTCCTCTATCCAGAAAATGCATTTTGTCTTTGGAAGGCGCCATGGTTGATAACTCATCTTACGAAGTAGCAGTCATGAATGGACGAGGGGTGAACTTGCGCTAAACGGCTATTTCGTATCTTAGACTTTTTTGTGCACAAGGGGCAGATGCTGTTATACTGAATAATGGTTATGTGGGAATAATGGATAAAGCAAAACGATGGCAGTGTCAATGAATGATGCTATAGTGGCAAACAATCGCGCATGAATCATGTACTTCTGTCGCTTGCCGTCTCACTCATTACAGAAGGAACAAATACGAAGAGTTTTCCAGCTTAAAAAAAAAGCCGCAATACAGATCTCAATGAAAACAGATTGGAATTTCTGGTGTTATAGTAAGATAACACCACTGATTCTGCCCACAGTGAACAGACGCAGGAACGATGGATAGGCTCTCATAGCGCTGTTCTCAACCTCAAACATGTACCGCTGGTCTCAATCCTGAGCTCCGGCTTCATGCACGTTACCGTGACATCCACCCTTTTCCAAATATGCAAATGCTCAATCCCGCGTGATATGTGACTCTTCCTATGCCGTTTTTGCTGTTTGCCTCCCTGCACGGCATAAGAAGTTTCGCGGATAATCCTTATGTCTCCGCTAAAGCAATCAATCAGCATTGATTGCTTTTCGACTCTTCCTCTTCTTCTTCCGGATCGTCAATACCATCGTTGTCTCCAAGCATAGGTTCATCCATACCTTCAGCCTCGTCCTCTTCATCGCCGTCCATCTCTTCGTCTTCGTCGTATTCCGTCTTCATATCACCATCATTTTCATCCTCCCAATCCTCCATGTCTGCATCGTCATCTGATACGAACCACTCGTCGCCCGACTCTTCCTCATCCAGGGCCATTTCTCGCTCGGCCTCCAAATCCCTCTCCACCTCCAACCGCGTCGCCAGAAACCCCCGCTCGACCTTGCCCACGCAATCCGAGATGAGGTAGTACGCCTTGTCGGCTCCGATCCGGCGTGCGAGCTGGCTCATCAACTCTGTGAGTTCGTCCTCGGTGAGCTGCTTTTCGGCTCGAGGTGGGAAAAGCATCGTATTGCCTGGAGAATGCACGGAAGATGATCAGTCAAATCCTCTCACACGCAAAGCAAACCCTAACAAATGAGAGTGATGGACTCTGGCCGCTGTAGACAGAATCGCGAGTGACTTTGGCATGTCAGACGTAAAACGTACAGGTAGGGCATGTGTGACCGACTTGCAGCCACTCGGTTAAGCAGCGACGGCCGTGGACATGGCCGCAGGACTTGATGCGCACAGCGGAGTGCAACGTCTTATCTTGGCTGGACGACTGCTCGGGGAGCATGAGGAGCGGGTCTAGGCATATTGCGCAGTTTTGCTGGACGTTGTATTCTGTGCGCGTGACTCGCTCCATACCGCTGGCTAGAAATGCCTCGCTGTCGGGATACATGTTGGTTTTGTAGTCGTCGTCAGACAATCAGCACACTCGCGCGGGCGCAACTCCTTGCTAGTTATATGGTAGTCGAGAGTGGTGGAGTAGGAGAGAAGAGGCCGGATGGAGGGGGATGGCGATGGGGGGATGAAGGTGTGGCAGGGCGGTCGTTCAAAGGCACACGAATCCGGGTAGCCAGCGTTGTTGTTGAAACTAGTCAGGTCCTGAACGGAAGAAAAAAGTTTGCAAAGCAACAACTTTTTGTGTATGCGCGAGCAAACATAAGGTGGTCGAAAAGGGAATTACTTGATTGGTCGAGGCTAGCCTATCTTGGAGGTGGACAGCCCTATACGCTCTCACATAAAAACAACGAGGTGATTTGGATTACTCAAGAATAGATGTAATAAATACAACTTGATTGGCAGAACGATGAAACTATGTAAACTATCTGTATAAGTATCGTAAGTGAAATATGTGCAATGGTGGTTCAATGTGCTCAGAACAGATCCCGCTTCTCATCGCTTGAGCCATTCTCTTTGGCATCTTCCTGTTGGCGGCTTACTAAAAGCTCCTCTTCCACTCGTCCAAACCACTCCCCTACATCTTCATAATCGTCATTGTCTTCGTCTCCTTCCTCCTCATCATCGTTATAGTAATCATAGTAATCGTAATGACCCATCCACTCGCCAACTTCCTCGTGTCCAGAATCGTAATCCCAATCCTGCACCATCTGCCCACCTACATCGAAAATCCCAAACAGCACATAGTGAATCCAAGGAGCCTCCCCCGAATCCAAATTGACCACGAGTCTCTCCTCCACAACAGAGCGGCGAAGCCTGTCGAGCAATTGCCGAACCATCCCCATGACTGACATAGATTCGTTCAGCTCCTCGTTTAGACGCCTTTCGTATTCGATGGCGCGATCAATCGAACCTCGACCGGGCCAGGCTGGAACAGGGGAAGCACGAGCTTCGTTGTAGAGAAAGAGAACCTTACGGCACATGGGGCACGTGTTGTGCTCTTCGACCCACCGGGCTAGACAGTCGTAGCCGAAGACATGTCCGCATGATTGGATTTGGACAGGTTTGTGGCAGAAGTCGCTGTACTCTTCCAGGCATGTAGGACACCTTGGTTCTGGTGCTTTTTCGATGTCGATGGGGCGGGTGCCGTTTGCCAGGAAGGACACAGCTGAGGGGTGGTATGGGGCTGTGGTGGTGTAGGGTTCGGGAGAGTCTATCATGACTTCGCGGTACTCATCCTGGATGTCGTTGAACTCGGACATGGTTGGTTGTGAGTGTTTGGGTTTGGGGTTTAGTTGGAAGAGGGTGTTTTTGTCGGAGTTGTGTTGGAGTTGGAGTTGGAGTTGTCTGTAGATGTTGCAGTGTGTGTTGAAAAGACTATAGACTGGGGATTGCCAGGTTCTTTATAGTTCATGATATCGAAAAATCAATTCTTGAGCATGAGAACAACGGCTTTAGATTCGTCGAGGCATCATCGCCGGATAGGCTGCTGGAAAAATCAGTTTTGACGAAAAATTGATATTTCGTCAGTGAGGTTTTTGCACTTGAGACATTCCTATTTGTTGGATCAGAGGCATTAGATATACGTTGAGCCTCAGTGGTCGTTCTCAGAGAGAACTCTGTGGATTGCTTATATGGACCATCACTTGTGGTTGCGTCTAGGAAACACTGTAACGTAACTTCCAATCCAAAAAAAAAAAAAAAGAAGAACTTGGTTGCGTCCACAAGGTGATGATGGATTATAAATTACACGTCGGAGTTTGGGTGATCCTATACACAGCGATAGTTGCAACGACGGAAGAACCAAAAAACAGGCGAGAACCCCCAAAAAAACACAAATTGATGATGATCATTTCATTGTACATTTGATCAGGAACAGCTCAGAAGCAAGATTTTTCCAACTAAACAGAGGGCGACATCATCGAGCCTCAGTGACCGTCTCAATCAACTTTGTGAATCACTTTCACCCACCATCACTTGTATTCATATCTCCAAGTCAATATTCAATCCTCCATCTCACTCCCCCCTCTGATCCGCACACCCCCATAATTTTTTTTAGAGAAAAAAAAAAGATAGTTTCCCAAACCCAACAGAAGAGAGAGCTCCATGATCGATCCTCGGTGCGCGTACCGTACCCAAACTCCAACTTTAGACTTCGTAGTGCATAATCACCAAAAACAAAAAAAACAAAAAAACGAAAAGAAAAACCAGACACAAGAGCATGAGCATTGTCACGGCAAGCGTTATTCTAGGGTCTCGATGTCATGGATTCGGGAATATCAAAGTGGTCATGAAAAATTAAGTAGGCTTGGCTGGCCTACAGGAGGATGGGGATTTGTATAACGCGACGATGTCATTTGAGAAGATTGCGAAAGGGGCCTTGGAAGAATTTTTTTGTTGGTGATATCAGACTGACTGATTTCCCTCGGGCTGGGCTCGCTCGTGTTAGAAGATGGATATTACCCAGAGGAAGGGGAGGGGAGAAAAAAAAAGAGTGAAATTTTAGCATGACCGCAGAACATATATTATATATACCTATGCAGTTCAACAAATCCTTGCTATCCACGTTACGGATCGAGCGGTATTAATTCCCCTTCTTCCCATTCATTCTCATCGCTCTTTCCGCTTCCATAAGGGGAGGTTTGCTGGCTTGTTCCTTCCCGACTCCTCAAGAAAATCTGGTAATCGTTCGTTCTTTTAGGTACTTTGAACTGTGACAAGTATATCGCTGAATATATGCAGGATCACCTTACAACTCCAACTTGGACAAATCATTAATACTTTGGGCTCTTAAGATCGCATACCTATCGAATCTCGACATCGACATCGCTCGACATGAAAGACGCAGAGCGTACGAGGGAACCCTTACGCAGATCCCGACGAACCAACGGCAGGATCCGCAAAAGAGATGAAGCGCGCCCCGTTGTCGTCGTCGCCGAGAGCAGCGGCAGCAGCAATACCATCGGTGCCGATTCTTCCCCAGCAACGCAATCGTCCCCGTCAACTACAACGCTGAATTCTTCCCAAACACTACCACCAGCACCACCTCGACGACGCCAGAGATCTCCCATCATAACCAGAAATACCTACGTATGCAGCGTCAACAGCCCCGATCCAACCGTCTGCCGTTTCCGGTATATTCTCCCTAGACCAGCACCCTCGACCGAGATGAATACTAGGCGCTCGAGACCCAGGTCCTCTATGGCACCTGCGTCGTTCCGCGGGGCTTATACTCCTACGCCGTTGCCGCTGCCGGATTTCGGGGCCACTGCTGGATACGCTGGTATCCCTGGCATGTGTTCTATGCGTCCCATACCAACGTTTCCGGGGTCGCAGCCTGGGGTTCATTTGGGGTATCCTCATCCGCCTTCCCGCCTGCAGCAGCGACCTCAGGTTCAGCAACAGCAGGTTCAGCATCAGCAGGTTCAGCATCAGCAGGTTCAGCATCAGCAGGTTCAGCATCAGCAGGTTCAGCATCAGCAGGTTCAGCAACAGCGAGAACTACTAGAAGAAGAAGAGATATTGTTTGATAGGGGATGGGGGGTATAAGAGGGGAGTGTTGTTTGCGTTTGACTGGAGACGGGGATCGAGAATGTTCAGATGTTTGTAGGGTGGGAGGCACTGTACTGGATGGATCACGGTCGCATGTTGGGAGGTATGCGGTCCTGTTCGAAACGGTACTTGTTACCGAAAGGGACAAACGCAGTAATTTCAAAAAGTTGAAAAGTTCATCGGAGTATATTGTTGATCGGCGTATGAATACAAGTGCTGTTCTTGGGTAGAAGCTGGCTGAACCTACACTCAACTTTAGGTGTACATGGATCCCTGCGATAGGGAATGGCAAGTACAATGAACGCCTTAGAAGATGTGTAAGCAGAGTCTTGAGGAAACAAGACGATACATGATGTGTGTTATTCAAGTGCTTGGCAAGAATGAAATGGCAGATGGTGCGTGTGTCTACGACAAAATGTATTATGCGTCAGGGCGAAAGAAGGGGTGGGCGGATCTAAGGTCATACAAGCTACCGTTGGGTGATGGCCAGGAATACCTGGCCGAAATGTGTTCGGCTTAGAAGAATGTGTAAAAGATCAAGAGAAACACAGCGACAGGTGTGTACTGCTGGATTACACGTGTTAAAGCTGTTAGCTGGGGTCAGCCTGGTGGAGGAGCGGGTTTGTGAGGGCACGAGATGTGGGGCCAGTGGGGTGCGCTGAGCTGAGCATGCTCAGAGCGAGCAGAGCAGGAAAAATTTCCGCCAGGCGCGCGCGTCCGGTCTAGAAGATAGAGCCAGAACGCGTCCGAAGTTTTCCGGTAATGAAGAAAAGACGCGATACATGACGCGTTCACCCGTTCAACGAACCGTTTCTTTAGTGAAGAATAGGACAAGTGTTTGGATACGCGCCGTCACACGTCTTCACGTGCAAGGCTGGCTGGCAGGGATACGGGGCTGCAGACGCGTAATATGCAATGTGAAACAAGCTCACCGGGGCCCGAGACGGCAATCTCATGGCCCAGAAATGGGAGCATGTCGCGATGGAAGCGTTCGGTGAGGAATGCGCAGGGCTGGAGACTTGGTTGCCACGAGATGCTAAATACTGAAACGGAGATGCAGAATGCAGCTGGCGTTGGAGAAGAGGGAGTTGAAGCGGCGGCGTAAAGAGAGAGAGGGAGAAAGAAGACAGAGTGAGTGAGTCATGTCTGCTGCCTGGCGGACTGGTGGCGGGGATATGTGCCGCGCCGCCGCCCGACAGCAGCGCGACGAATCAACTGGAGCCATGGCATGCGCTGGATGCGCCGAGGTTGGGGTTTGCCTGCGTCCGGTGAGGCCGTGTTGGATTATATTGTTCAGCAGCAGCGGCGTCGTCGTCTTCCCTCCTCCTCCTCCTCTCGCTGGCAGCGGACAGACAGAGTTGAGGGCGCAGAGGAAGGGATCCCCACAGCGTCGGTGGGCAAACCATGGTGGAGTCGATACGTCTAGCGGACAGGATTGGGTCGGCATTCGCGGCGAGGCGAGGTGCCAGTGGAAATTTTCTGCAAGGTGGTGGGCGAATACCGGGGGCACTTGGGGGCTCTGCGCGCCGAAGAAGGTTGCCCGATGGCCGGCCAACTGGTAGCACCGTCATCGCCGCCATCATTGCCCCATCATCGCTCACCACCCTCCCTCTCTGGATGCATCGTCGGCGCCTGAAACCTAGTCCCTTCACTTCACCTCGTCCTGCCTCGCTCGTTCGTTCGTCCATTCACCCTTCTCACTCACTTGCCTTTGCCCGCGTCACGTCACAAACGACTGCGGCAACAGCCATCGTGAATAGGGGGAAAGAAGGGGGGGAGGTGAGAGAATGCAGCCTCTCTCATGCATAGGGCCGGCTGTGTTGCAGCAGCAAGCATTGCCAAAGTGATGGATGGCAACCAAAAGACAGGCGAGAGAGAGAGAGAAGAGGAAAAAGTAGTGGTGAAGCCATGCATGGAAGAGCCCCTTTTCCTTGATCCCGCCCCCCCGAAGTTTCTGGACGTAAAAGCGGCGACCCGCTAAAAAGCGCCCTAGCGCGCCTTGGCATCACACAAACCGCAGGTATATAAGCCCGGCCTCCCCCCAGTTTTTGCAACCCCTTTGGCCTTGCTGACCCTTGCCGCCGACCTCAACACCACCACCCCGCCCACCTGCCCACGCGACACCCGGAGAATAATTCCCTTTTCCTACGTGCGCGCTCTCTAATCCCGCCTGCTGAATCGATTTGCGCCCATCTGCGCATCTCATCTGGCACCCACGCTCTCTCCCAGGCAGGCTCTTGTTCGCTTCTGCGCTCCCCAGCCAGTTCGCGACAGCCGCTAGTCCGCATCCGGCTCTCCTCTTCCTCTGACGAGCAGCCTCACCCCCACGACTACGCATCCATCCATCCAATCCTCTCCATTCTCGCCAAGCGCCTTGCTGGCATAAGCACTTGGTGTCCTCTCCACACTCTACCTAGATAGCTGTCTTTCGAGACACCCACGACCGACGACCGCGGTACACTTGGCACGTTTGCGCACAAAGGGACTCATTCGGTTGAAGCTTCCTGCCTACCGGTACGGTTTCCTCCGCTCCCTCAAACAACCCATTCTCAAGGCGCCGACCCGTCTTCGCGAAAGCGACAGAGTCCCCGCCCGTCCCGTCGTCGTGTCTCCAATACATAGTCTGACGTCTCAGTGCAGTCATAAGAACCGCCGCGTCATCTCGAGCTCACCACTCGCACAATAAAACAAGTCAATCACTCCCATCATCATGGATTCTCTCCAATCTCATCCTGCTACCGCCGCCCAGGCTAAAACGGTAAGCTCCAGCCGTGATGTTGTTCGCGTCGTAGAAGCTTCACTTCTGACACAACGTACAGTTCATCGCACCAGGCAGCCTGTCTTACCCTGCGGGCGCTGAACTCACTCCTCCTTCGTCTGACAGGACCACCCAGCTTGACAGCAAGGGCGTTGCTACTCCGGCCGCCACTCCTGACACCGCTAGCAACACGTCGGGCATTGTGCCCACTCTGCAGAACATTGTCGCTACCGTCAACTTGAGCGCTCGCCTCGACTTGAAGACCATTGCTCTTCATGCTCGCAACGCCGAGTACAACCCCAAGCGTTTTGCCGCCGTCATCATGCGTAAGTAGTGTCATATTTGTAGTTTCTGCACCGTGCATGATCTGAGCGACCCTCGTCACCTACTTCGTTGCATGTGCATGAAATCCAACTAAACTCGTAACAGGTATCAGAGAGCCCAAGACCACAGCGCTCGTTTTCGCCTCCGGCAAGATGGTTGTCACCGGTGCGAAGAGTGAGGATGATAGCAAGCTGGCTTCTCGCAAGTATGCTCGCATCATCCAGAAGCTCGGGTTCAATGCCAAGTTTGCTGAGTTCAAGATTCAAGTAAGCATGCTCCGACTGTTCGTTCAATCGTTGCACGAGTACTAACTTCCTTCTCGAACATTGTTGGCAGCACCGACATTCGCTTCCCCATTCGTCTCGAAGGCTTGGCGTCTTCCCATCATACTTTCAGCTCGTACGAGCCAGAATTGTTTCCCGGTTTGATCTACCGCATGATGAAGCCCAAGATCGTCCTCCTCATCTTTGTCAGCGGCAAAATCGTCTTGACTGGTGCCAAGGTTCGTGAGGAGATCTACCAGGCTTTCGAGCTCATCTACCCTGTGCTTTCCGATTTCCGCAAGACCTAAATGGCTTGCGCGACGGAATTCTTCATCGGTCCGGCCATCGTGGTCGTTGATCCGATTTTCTTTGATTGTTTTCTTGCGGCATTGCGTGGTGTTATGGCTCTACCTTTCGGATTCGGCGGTTCCTTGTTCGGCTTTTCAAAACATTCCCCCTTCACACGACTAGACATCTGCACAAGCAGCATCTCGTGCAGTGGTGCAAGTAGGCGTTCCGACGTCGGACTAATATGTGTTTTCATGACATGGCCGAAATATGCACCTTCGAGTATTCTTTTTCCTTTTTCTCTCTTCTCTTTTTGATTTGATTGTGGGTATCGGTACGATTATTCGACGGAACGGTTGGTGGAGGTTGACTTCGAGATTGAAAATTATACGTGGGGTGGGTTGGTGAGGGCTTTTGACGTGCGCGGGTGTGGGAAAAGTGCCTTGCGCGAGAGAGGCTCCAACGGGTGGCCGATGAGATGCCCGAGCTTCTCGACGACAGTGTTTTATTCGCGGTCGATTGTGGGCTTACTGCACGGGGGCTGGCGACATCAGGTCGTTGGTCTCTCTGACCATTCAAATAGTAATGCCAGCACGATGACATGTACCTTTTGTTCCTTGCTCTTGACTAAGTGGCGTGACTGTTCGGGCTGGAGCGTGAATGCAGCGGTATCGTGATGAGGTGTCGTGATCAAAGTGGCAACTGTTTATCGAGCGTATACTTCCACCTTGTCCGTCAGTCACAGATGGACATGTGAACGGGAGCAACCAATCCAAGCCTCCCAAAAGAAGACTCGGGCGAAGGAAAAGCAAAATCGAGAACAGAAGAAAATATGAGCAGCGGGGTATAAAAAGAAGTGGCAGAGAAAAAAGAGGGTTGCAATATACATACCATACTCTGGGGGAGCGAAGGTGCAACGCAACGTCGGGAAAACTATATTAAATTAAATCCGGGGTAGTTTGCCGTTACCGGTCGGGCCGCACTTATATATATACACACACACAATGTGTGTATATGTATATATATTTCGTATTCTCCCATTTCGGATGCGGGTTCCCGAGTGTCCGTATAAAGCTTGAAAGCTTCGAAGCGTATCGTCGCACTTCGATTCCACTGTAGGTAAGATAACTCGCTTGTTGCTGCTGAGGCTCGCTGGTGGGGTTGTTGGTGTTTCGTTGAAGACACGGAGGGAGGGAAGCAGGTAGTGCTTTAGACCCTCATTTCTGTCTTTCTGTCTTTCTCTCTTCAATTATCGTTATGTGGTTGTTTGATAATTGGGGAAATATGGTTGGCTGGTTGGTCAGATTGTGGTTGGTTAACAACCGCGGGTTTCTAGGTAAAATGTGGAGGTGGGTAGGTTTATATCGGGTACGGAGCGAGTCACTGTACCGCCCACACCATACTTGTCGGTATCTGACCCATCCATCCATCTTCATGGTATGCATGGCGCTGCGATGCTTCTCGAGGATGGCTTGGTTAAGAACAGGGTGCGATGGTGTGGGGGAGACAAAGCCTCATCGGTTTTAGATGGGTGGCGAGGAGCTTTTGGTAGGTTGAGGAGGATCATGTGGAGAGTTGAATGAGCGGCGAAGAGGATGGGTGGCGTCAGGAAACACGCGGGGTGATTTTGTGGTTTGTTCTTGGCCAGTGGGTGGGTGGGTGAGGGAGTGAATGACTCGTCTCGCATGGACATGTTGCTCACACACGAGCAAACGCTCGATTGTTGAGGGAGGATGCAATGGATGCGTAGTCAGTGGCGTAGCATGAGCTCTCTAGATCGAACATCTGCTGTTTGGCTTTTTTCATCTGTTCCATTTGGTCAGCATATCTATCCATGTTATATCCGTGGGGAAATACCCACATACACGAGGGCGAATACTCTGCCTGTGAGCGGCCAGCAGCACTTGCACAAGCTCGACCAAGGGAGAAGGCGAAAGAATAAAAAGAAAAGGAGGTGGTGCATAGGGGAAAGAAACGTTCGCTCTGCAATGCCGTGGCATGCATTACCGTGCAAGAGCGTGGGTTTTGACGTGGTGTGCCAGCCCCCTTGACGACGCAGCGTTGTTTCGTGTGGTGGGTTTGGATGGGCACATGTATGGTACGCTACGCCCAGGTACTTATGTACCTAGATGTCCAACACAAGGTCGAACGTGCGTGGCCCAGGGGAAAGAGGGGAAAGGGGTCGGGAATAGGAGAGCAGCAGAAAAAGATGCGTTATACTTACGTTCGTTTAGTTGGAGGAGGATGTCGGGGACGCGCACGCGCCGACGTGATTTGGTGGAGGTGGGTGCTGAGGATTCCTAGCAAAAGAGGAGGAGAGGGAACAAAAGCTGGGGGAGGACGACTGCAATGGTGGGGATTGGCAACAGCAAGCAGGTGATTGACCCACGGCCCATTTTTCTTACCATTTGTGCGTGAGTAAAATGCCTCGTAGCTCCGGGCGAATAAGAGGTTGTGGAAAGCGGTTGTTGTTAGGGTTAAAGTTTCGCTTGCGTTTGCTCTTGATGGCGTGTCGTTCTGTGGAATGTTGAGGGGTCTGAGGGGGCATGCCAGTCAGGGCAACACCAACCCGTTGGGGGGTGATGTGGCTGTTGACTAATTCCAAAGGGGGATAAGGAGACAACGACAATAAAGTAGACAAAGACGAGCATTCGTTGTTGGACCGGCAATCCGTGTAGACTTGTGCCGCTGGCACTGTGTATTTGACATTAATCATCGATGGTCAGAGGGCCACATTACCTTCTGCTACGTAATCGGTACAGAAGTATATATACAAAACATGAAGCAAGCCTGACGCCGGTATGTGATGTGCCACCACCACTAGTGACAACGCATTACCGTGTTCGCCCGATCTACCAATTTCTTCCTTCCTCCTTACGCTGTGTTACAGTGCATCGCAAGTGGCACTTGAATGCAGTCACCATCCTGGGAGGCAGGACATGGCTCCTCGAGCCGTCCCTCGGACAGTTGCATACCGACAAGCAACATGAAGCACCGTATTTCTTACGAAAGCTTGAAAACTTGTTGGGAGCGGAGGCTCGGGATTTGGAGCTCTACTGTGTCTGATGCGTCTCGACATGTGATTGCACATGAGGTAGTGATCAGCGGGCTAGCCCTCTGGATTATTTTTGCATGATACATCCCTTGTCTATGAGTTCACCCGTCTTCAAATCGATATTCATAAGGTGACTCGCCTTCAGTATTGTTTGCTCTGAGCCTGATGACTGAGCCTTGTGACCGTAGTGAACTGGAGCTGGATTGGGGTAGAATGGTCGACGGGCTTCTCTGGAGAGTCTTCCTCCTGACAGATCCTTGCTCAGAAGCTGCTGATCTACCAGACGGTGTACGGAATAGAACGTTGCTGCTGGTCGATGAGCTCGTTCTTATGGACTGTCCAGTGCGCGCAGTCTGAGGACTTCCAGCACCATCGAAAGACAAATTAGACTGTCTGTCTATCATGGGTGTCAAGTATGGTAGATCTGCACGCGAGGACTGGTTCGAAGACGGAGAAGAAAATGAGGAAGCGGACGAGGAAGAGCCCGTCGCCGTAGAGGGTGCGAGGCTTCGATTGTCGGAGTCGTAATTTGGTTCAGCACGGGCAGCTTCCACTACAGAAACATCCAACTCGGTCATCCCGTTCAGGATTTCAGCGAAGACGCTCATGATATCCCGAAAATCGGATTCGCCCAAAGAATATGTGGAAAAGCGCGCATGCTCATATAAGGATAGGAAGCGTAAACCGAGGCTTGGAGGGTTCAGCAAGCCAAATGAGGACAGCCTAGCCAAGTATTCTCTTAAGCCCATTGACCGGGGGCGTTGAAGAAGACCCACAATCCTCGCGTCAGGAAGCATAGGTGTGTCCTCCAGAGTGTGCGTGTGTCCTTCCACGGCAGGGTCAGGCGGAGCGAGCGAGACAGCTTTTGCCTCGATCAGGTTCGGCAGCTCTTTCACGACATCGTTGTAATACAGATTCGGAAGATCAGGGCTGGCTGGCGACGCCCATCCAGGATGCGAAACGTGCCCCCAAGGTGGGTTTTTGATAGAGATGGGTATAATCGTCGGGGGATGCGCGTGCCGTTTCTTAAGATGTCCTTTCTCTTGCGGTATGATCTTGGTGCCGTCCTCGCCTTCAGTGCTTCCCCCGACCTCTCCTCTGATATCCCTTGGCCGACTGTCCCATGCGACAACTGCACTCCTTCGCAAAGCCTTCACAATCATCCTCCTGACCAGAGTGCCCACCTCACCATCCTCTATCGGTAAATATGGCTTGGGAATAGACGCCAGCACACTGCGGTTTGTGTACAGTCTTGTCGAGTAGATGAGGAGGACGATGGCGATTGTGAGGACATAAACACCGCCGATTACGAAGATCTTCTGGATCGCATCGCTCTTGACGGACTGGTACACTGTATCGGCGGGCGAGACGGCGAGAAGAATAATCAGGATAATGAAGAGAACGGTGTAGGTCGAGCTGTACCATATTCGGAAGAGGGTGGGTATATGCATTATTAACTATTACATGACTGAGGATGAGTGGTGGTGGTGTTGTTTACGGGGTGCGTAGAAGCGTCATTGGGAGTCTCGAGGTTGCCAAGAAAGGATCCACTAATCATTAGCGCAATGCAGCATGGGCTGGCCCGGACTCGAAAATCAACGTCACTTCATCCCCTTCGATGGATACTCCTGTGTAGATTCTACAAGATCATCTTATATCTTCCCGGGGAAAATACCCATCCGAAAGCACTGGGAACATGAAAGTCGAAGCAATCGCGATATCAAACCCAGTAGCACACATTGATTCATGTACATACTTTTGTGCTCAGCTCATCCCATTGAAAACGACAATCTGTCATTTGCGACACCCTCTCATTTCACTGGCCACCGTCGTCACAAGTTACGAATATTCCACAGCAGGGCGTTGGACAAGATAACACAAAAATCTCCGCTGAAAGTGTTGACCGGAAAGCTACCTTCCTGTTATAGTTCCGGCCCCTTTGCATTGCGGCGTCTTGTATCCTCAAGTCCTGCTATTGTCATATCGCCCCAGTCCCTGCCCCCTTCCAAAGAAGTCCTAGCTACCATTCAATCCCGCTGCCACCGTTCCACGTGGGTGTCTTCAGGCGCCGCTACTGTATAGCATTGCCAAACAGATCTCACCTCATCTCACCCCTCAGCCCTGTAGAGTTCCCTCGTGCCTGGGGGCCGAATCTAAGCACGGCTGAATTGACTTGCCCCGTAAGATCATTACTTCACAGCCGAATACAACCGGATGCCGACAGAGATCAAGAAGGGGGGTTGGTTGCGAAAAATGGGGCACTCTACAAGGACCAGTCACACCTACAAGCGCCCATGGTCTTCTCATCCATTGAACACGAGATCCATATCCAATAAAAACCCTAGAGTTATTATGGCACAGCATGTCTGCGCCGCCCTTGTTGCCGTAAATAACAATGCGATTGATCAGGCCCACCAATCTGTTCTCTGTACTTTCGGTCCCAAGCAAGAGCCGGGCACACCAGTGAGTTATCGGGTTCACAGACTGTCATTCTTCCGAAAGCCGCATGTTTACACTGCCCGTGTTAAGATACTCAACGCCTTTTTCGGGGTCGAAAAAGGGTCTTCTGACCCATGAGCGCATTCTAGATGCTACGCCGTATGGCAATATTGAATTTGAGTTGTGATCATCGTTTTCAGCCACCTTATAGGATATCCCCTGTCGGTTGACCCGCATGAATTCGTACATAAATGACATCGAAGTCCGGGCATTTTCGCATATTACAGTAACCTACAAATCCACAAGTCATTAAGCATTTCTGTAGAGATGTCTCTTACAGCACCTTATACCAATGCTATGCGCATTGGGCAGGGCTTCAACACTTACACCCAGGAAATTCGCCTCGATAATGCTGTTCGGGTTGGCCCAGCTCCATCCTCCCAGAAAGTGGACGAGAAGTTGGACTCGACGACCAGCAAATCACCATTGTCACCTCCGGTAACGCCAAATGCTACCACAAAGAACGATCCGATCCAAGACCTTAATGGACTACACGAAACATCGTTAACAGTTAGTATTACCCCACCCAGCGCTGGCCATCTCGAATAGCCCGATATAGTGGCCGTACTTGGAGTTAATCATTTTCGTTTATAGGTTCCTTCACAATCAAATACACCCGCTCCGGACTTGGGAAGCGCACTCAGTGTGCTCTCGGCACCTGGAGAAGAATTACCATTTGAGATCAATGGGCCAACGCCGACAACCAGCCAGAGTGTGACATACTCTACAAGGGCAATCGAGAATGTATCCGATATTATGGATGCCCTCAATATCTCTACCTCGATGAGTATTAAATATGGCACCATCCACGGCAACGGAAACGCTTCGTTTGTCAATGAGAACAAGGTGTTAGAAAGCGAACTTAACTATGTAGTAAGCGTGATGGTCAATAACGATGCCCGAGCTATCAAAAAAGACATGGAATTCCAGGATATCTCTGGCCTTCCGTTGGACCGCTTCACTGAAGTCTACGGCGATTCATTCATTTCAGGGTTCATGGAGGGTGGGCAATTCAACGCAATCATCTCAGTCAAGCTGAGCGACAAGAGCAAGTACAAATCGGTCAAGCAAGCAGTCGACGTGCAACTCGCTGTCGGTCCACCGACGCTTGAAATCGGTGCCAGCGAAGCGGTTTCGAAGGAGCACAGTGAAGCACTACGAAATACAGAAATTTCTATCTCGGTGAATTGGGTTGGAGGGGGTGAGATCAAGCGACCTCAGGTACCCTGGACAATCCAAAGCGTCGTCGCTGTCGCGAATGCTTTCCCATCAATGGTACGTGCATTGTAGTATGAAGTACATTGAATTATCACGTTGGATACTGACTTCGTACCCCAGGTATCACGCTCATCAGCACGAACGCAAGCCATTCTCACCAGATACTCGTCTCTGAGGTCATTCCAGGCTTGGAAATGGGCCCGACTCATCGAACAACGAGATCTATGGGATAAAGATCCTGCTCATCAGAAGGGGGGTGAGCAAAACAAGGATGGAAACGCACGATATGAAGAGCCCGTCATCATTCTCAATTACGTGCCCTGCTCGCTGTACACTGCTGAGCTTTTCGATGCCTTGATGAAGTACAAGAAACTTTGGAAACGCATCGGAGACATACTCCACAACCCTTCCCAGTACAAGCTACGCCCGGCTCCGCGTGTATTGCCACCAAAAGCATTGCATTCGCCGGACAAGGTTGTTGCAAAGCAGGTTTTGTCTCCATTGCAGACCAGAGATGCTGCAAAGAAGGTTGTGGGCCCTAATCAAGTACCGGATGGTTCACCGTGCGAGGATGGTACTGATGCCCTTGGTATCGACCGTGCTTTTACATTCGCTGTTGAAGAAGGAGCGGTAGGATGGAATCTGATTGAAAACAGTAAGTCGCAGTACATTATAGTAGCGTGCTCTGCTGACCATGACACTTGCAGACCTACGACAAGATCCGATCGCACCAGAACCGGTGGCCTTGAATGAAGCACGTTTGCTTTGCCGTGAAGCAATGACGCTGATTACTGAAGAGGTATGCTAGGAATGAGACATGGTACAAGAGTAGACAGTGTTAACAGTGTTAAGGCTTCGCGACTCGTGGACCACCCTCATTTGGCGTACGCGCAGTTCTCGCCAACGACGAAGTCCACGCGCATGAAACGCCCAAACTATGCATACCCTGAGGTGCTTGCGCAACGCCTCCCGATACCCATTCACAACGACATCCTCTCCGATCTTTCTACGGATGGCGCCTACCTCAAGACGATTGCTTTTGCGCGTTCGGGCGAAGATGACATGTGGTTTGAGCCGGACATGGTCGGCGACCCCAAGGCCAGCGATGACGATTTCAAAGAAAAGTTCGGCATGGGAGGACGATACGAAGATTTCAGTACACTGGAACTGACAGAGCCGAGAGGAAGCAAAGGTGCGAATCCGTTGCGCAGAATCTCTCTGCACAAATACACTCTCTCATCGCTCAAAAGCTGGATCGCATCTTCGCATCTCAAGAATGCCGAGAACGCAGTGGGTGCCCTTGGATTCGCACTTGTGCATGCTTCCCCAGACCGCGAAGAAGTGCGCGCGGATGGCTGTACCCATCACCTCGGAGACACCCACTTCCACTCTTCCTCTGAAAGCAGCAATTTCAAAGCCCTCGATCTCGGCAATGTCGATGTTACAAAGATTGAGATAGCTTATATCCCGGGCTCAGGATACATCTCCGGAATCACATTCTACGATCATGTAGACGGCCAAGAGACGGCGAGATTGTCGTGGAGACAGTGGGAAGGGAAAGAGCCGCCAGGCTTGGTCAGAAAGATCAATGAACCACCAGAGAGGGGGGATGGAACAGTTTGGCAATTCGTTGGCCTTGCTGGAAGCTGGGTGGATACCATGGGGAAGGGACATCTGCTTGCTAGGCTCAGCGGAATTTGGAAGAAGAACGGGGAGTGAGGCTTGTCTCAGGTAAAGATCCAGTGAAGTCGGAAGAATTTCTTCATGTGTGAAGCAAGTATGCTTCAATACCACGTAGACACACTGTTCGCTGGAGCGCACGTAACAACCGTCCAGTCCGTGACGGTTGTTATGACATGGGAGTTGGGTTAGAGATGGTTTATAGTATTATTAATCGTAGAACTATTTGCATTCCTTGTTCGGAACTGTCTGATACTACGTTTACTTGTCTATTCGCGCGTAATAAGCACGCGGGTGTCTTGGCACAAAGTAAGTTGTAGGCGCAGCTAGCGCTATTTGAATCCCCCATTCCTTTTCACCCGCCATTCAACCCAAACCGACGATATCCGGCTCCCGGCTCCAAAATTGGAGGTACGCGACCCACAATAGTTACAAGCTTCGGGAAAATGCTGTCGAAACGGAAATCCAGCGATTCCTTGTCGGAGAAAAGCGCAAATGAGTTGAACACACCCCCTAAGACAAATCCGTTGCTTGGATCATAGAACCATGCCTACCAAGCGGCAGATGGAAACCAGTATTATATTGCGATTCACCGCCAGAGTATACGCGCCAAAGACCTGGGAATTGATGAATTGGAATATGAGGTCGTCAAGAAGCAAAGGGCGTTGGTGGAGACAAGTCGGCAGAAGCAAATGCTTATGATCCTGAGCCAGGAACGTGGGCTTGCTGACGAGATGCATGCCAAACTCATCAAGGCTTTGACAGACCAAATCGCTAAAGCAAACGTGCTACTCAACGCCAAAGACCATCAAATTGAGGTTCTGGGAAAGGAGTTGGAAGGGGCGCAGCAGGAGAAACCAGAGGTAGTGGACAACTATCGGCTTCTTAGCGGCGGCTCCAATCGTTTTTGGAATTTAGCGAGCCGCTGGATCCCAGCAAAGCAGAAATGCTTCAACAATTATGCAACTCCCTCCAGAAACCCGCATGATCGTGTACAAGCATTGCCTTGTCGCTCCCCGACCCGTTGATTTTTGGCCGTTTGTTCCGAAGGATCCGCCAAGCAATCTAACGCGGAAGGATATGCTCAAGGCAAACTTGAAGGCTTTCCACGTGAATCTCTTTCGGGTTTCCAAGCAAGTTCATCTTGAGGCTGTTAGAATTGTGTATGGCTGCAACAAGTTCAGGTTCTCTGATGTGGGTTGCTGGTCTGTCCTGCAGGGGTTTCTCCTGAATCTGTCCCAGAACCAGAGTTGCCAATATCTCACGAATATCGAGGTTGCTTGCCCAAAATGGTATGATGGTTGATGGATTTTCGGTTACTTATTCCTTTTTCAACACTGGCTGACGGGGTGATTCTGCTGTAGGTGGCACGTCCTCCATAGCAAAACTCAACTCAGGTCTTGGGGAATCGGCGGGCCGGATCTAGCGCTCACGATGAGGCTTCTTCTCCAACAACTGCGGTTCGGTCCAGAGAGCGTTAGGCCTTCAACATGCGTATGACATGATGTTAACGTTGCCCAACCTTGAGCGCTTCACCATGACTGTTCATCCCAAAGCGCAGCTACTACCCGGGGCTCTTGAGATCCTGGGCCGTATAATGAGCAACGATGACCTGTTGCTAGAACAACGCCCCCCTGTCAATCAATCAAAAAAAAAATCAACTGTGTTTATTCGTCGAGCTCCGTACAACGCCCAACACGTCTACGGGCGAGACTTGGACGACGACGCTGCCATGGGTCGACAGGAACTAATGAAGCAGGCAACCGAGAATGGTGTTGTGATCAAGACTGCATCGTATGGCAGGGTAACGGATCGCTCTTCGTATCTGGTCGATGATGAAGACGAGGAGGAGGAGTTCGACATGCCGGTATACGCGGACGATGAAGGCTGAGCTTCCTACACGTCACGTGTCGCAAGAAAGCTTGCTCTTGTGTTGGCTGGCTGGTCCAACTAGTATACGGGGTGTGGTCAGGATCAACATGTGTTGGAGATCGTTGCATTGAGGATCGAATAAGATTCGAGCGACCCCCAAATTCTGATGGGGCTGTGCTATAACTAGGCATGCAAGCCAATGACTGCTGGTAAGTTGGAGCCTTTTCAACATTAATCTAGGGTAAGTAACTGCCTCGTGGTACGCCGTATGCTATCCCTTACGCTTAGCTCACTAGAACATATAGGGTATGCTTTGGGTAATGTTCGAATCAGACGGTCAATGGTTTTGCAGCTTATTGGTTTCCGCCCCCGGCACAGCCTATTTGCGATCAGGCATCCACTTTTCATGCTAGAATATGTCTACCAGAATAGAATGCAAGTTAGGCTAGCCATTAGCGAGCACCGCGTGCGAATGAATCCCGGGCTGACCGCCCTTGTTTCTTATGTCATCCCATCTTGACACAGCCCATTTTGAAACACACAGGCGACCAGTTTTGCTGCTCTTCTTGCGACATGGTTACAAGGCTCAGCGGGGCACTAAAAATCCAACGGCGTTGGAATTAGGACGGGATATTTTGAGCGAGTAATGCGTATACCCCTAAATATGAGAACCCCGGATTGTGGTCCCTTCCAGGGTCTCGTGCATATAACCTCGTAGCATGGCAGAATAGTGTACGCGGTCTGCAATCCTTTCCAGGCTCGGCTCTCTTTCACTCGAATTACAGCATATCCTGCTTGCATGGCACCACTCGACATCATGGACAATACCATTGACCCAAAAGAGTTAGTAGACGAGGCCGTGGAATCGGATGAGGAAACCCACTACGAGATTCGATGCTATATATCGGGAGGTAGTACCCGGAAGATTCGTTCGAGAAACTGCAGTTTGCGCATTCCAATGGCTGTCTTGACTCCTTCGCGGTGGATATCACTGCTTCCTCAATGGGCCCGCACAAATCTCCGCCGTATCAGAAGATGGCATATCCTTCTATTCCTCTTCTTCTGGTTTATCTTTTATATCATCGGCCACCGCCCACCACCGCAACGGCATCCATCGTCGCAGGTCATGTGCCCCAGTCTCCCACCAAGCCCTCCCATTGTGCCTGATCTGGGTGAAGCTTATAACTGGAGGGCATTATCGCATCGCTATCCTGTCCGGACATTTGCGGAGCTACCCAAGGAGAAGGGAAGACATTTGTCGCAGGTACAGTTCGACTTTAGCCAGGAGCGAGAGTTGACTCGTCTGCACAAGCTCGATTCACAGAAGTCGCGACGAGAAGCAGTCAAAGAATCATTTGCTCGTTCATGGAACTCCTACAAGCAACATGCGTGGACCCATGACGAGTTACAGCCAGTATCTGGGAAACCGTTGAAGACGCTCGGAGGTTGGGGAGCGACGTTGGTGGATAATCTCGACACGCTCTGGATCATGGATATGAAGGAAGAATTCCGTGAAGCAGTCGATGCTGTTGCCACTGTTGACTTCAAGCCAGAGTCGGTTGAGCTCAACCTTTTCGAGGTCACCATTAGATATCTGGGAGGTCTTTTGGCTGCCTATGATTTGACAGAGTGCAAAGACTACAGGCTGTTGGAGAAGGCAATCGAGATTGCGGATATGGTATATTCCAGCTTCGACACTAAGAACCGCATGCCGGTGACACGCTGGAATCCAAAATGGGCGGCTAATGGAGTGCCGCAAGCTCCCGCTAGACAAGGCATCATCGCTGAGATGGCCTCCTTCAGCTTGGAATTTACTCGATTGTCGCAACTCACAGGTGACATGCGATACTATGATGCCGTGAGCCGCATCACGGATATTCTCGATTCTCAGCAGAGCGACACTAAACTTCCTGGATTATGGCCTGTCAACATTGACGTTCAGACTCCCGATCTCACCAGGGATACGCAGTTCAGTCTCGGTGACAGGGCTGATTCGGCTTACGAATACCTAGCCAAAACTTACCAATTGCTCCACGGCACGGGATCAGCTGTGCAGTACAGAATGATGTTTGAGTTTGCCATGGAATCCGTGATAGAGCACCTGCTTTTCCGGCCCATGGTCCCAGACTCAGCCGACATTCTCATGCCCGGCGTTGCCCTCGCCCACGACGCCCATACTGTAGCGCTAGAACCGCAGGCGCAGCATCTGGCTTGTTTCACCGGTGGCATGTTTGCGCTCGGTGGCCGACTGGTCGAAAACGATACCTACATTGAATATGGTCGAAAGGTGACCGACGCTTGTGTCTGGGCGTACAAGAACGCTCCCAACGGAATCATGCCCGAGAGCTTTACCATGACTGCATGCCCATCGCGGGACGCATGCCCGTACAACGATACTATCGGCCAACAGCATCCTGGATTCGCAGAAGTGTCAGACCCACACTATCATCTACGCCCAGAAGCCATCGAGTCCGTCTTCTACATGTATCGCATTACTGGCGATTCCGCATACCAGGACATTGCGTGGGACATGTTCCAGGCCATTGAGAGCAAGACGCGAACAGACTTGGCCAATGCAGGCCTCGAGAATGTGATGGAGGACAGTGGTGCGAAAGTGGATAAGATGGAATCCTTTTGGCTGGCCGGAAGCTTAAAGTATTTCTATCTCATTTTCAGCCCACCGGGGAAGATGAGCCTGGACGATTGGGTATTCAACACCGAGGCGCATCCTTTCCGTTTGAGAGGAGCGAGAGAGAAGTAGGAGGTTCGAAGCGCATGTTGACTGTGTGGAGCATAGTCGGTGATAACGGCAGACTGGGTGGTGGCGTTACGACATTGGCATTATACCCTCTCGTTTGTTTTCTAAAAGTTCATGATTGACGATGTTATTCAAAACAAAATGCAAAATTTTCAAATCCTTCTCTTCTTCCGTCTAGCTGTTGGAATGTTTGCGAAGGGTTGGTGGAATGCAACGTTGAATCAGAGGGGTGAGGTGACGCAAGTCCGCACGTGATCGAGGAACTATGCGGAACGCGCGACCACTCGACGTATGTATTCATATTCTGCACACGGTATTGATGAAACATATCCTCTCAATCAAGTTCCCTTATCTGACTTATACGATATCCGAGTAGCTCATCAACAACTGGCTCGCGCATAGGTTTTCACGCTTGTTCTGATTCAACGCTCGCCGCGAACCAGCGCCACCCTTCCCACGCCCCGCAAATACGGCTTCAGCAACAGTCTCAGCCAGCAACCGCCCACAGTTGCAAAGAACCATCACCTCTCTCGCATCGCCTTTGCCGCAGACAATAGGGTGCGGGCATCGGGCCGCTCACTTTCTAACCATCACAGGAAATCAAAGTGGACCCGTTACGCGGCTAGAGCGCGTTCCCCTCTTCTAGCCTTTCCTTTCGCAGCTGTCCACCAGTTCGGCGACGAGAAAGTGTTCGACATTGAGCGAGCTAGGCGCCAACTATTGCTCTGCAGCTTTTCCTCCGAGTATATAGAAAGCTCAGCATCGCCGGCGTCGCGGAAACAAGGTCAACATGTCCATCAAGTGAGTCTCTGCCATTTGTATATCGACTGCTGTATGCATGCATGCAGTTTGCGAGGGCCCCTCATTCTCTGCTCTAGCTACCTACCTACCCCGCGAACGCACGCATCCTTAAAGCTCCCCAACAGAGAGCTGCAAGTCTGTGCGCTGATCTTGATCCCATGGCCGTTTACCGCAAAAGCAGAGCGTTCAGCATGCCGAAAAACAAATCTGACAAAAAGAACAGTTGGGTGATGCTCGCTGAAGGCGGCGGATACACGCCGCTGCCGGGGGAACAGACGCTGTACCAGTCGCCCCCTCGAACCACCCTCTCGCTGCAGAGCAGCAACCGTAATCCATCCGGCCGCGCTTTCTCCAAGCAGTGCAAGTCGGGTGTCGTCTATCTCACCAACAGGCGGGTATGTCGCTGCTTTCGAAATGCTTTGCGCCTGCGCTCGAAAGCTGACGGTCACATCTAGTTCATCTATTTGCCTGTTACCCCAAACGCAGACCTCCAGTCCTTCGCCGTTCCCATTCTCAACGTTCAAGATACTCGCGTAACAGCGCCTTGGTTCGGAGCCAATAAGTGGGAGGCCGTTGTACAACCTGTCTTCGGAGGCGGCATACCGGCGCAGTTTGCGGAGCTGGAGCTGGTGATGGAGTTCAAGGAAGGGGGCGCATTCGACTTTGCAAGCACATTTGACAGGCTGAAGGATCGGCTGCGGCAAGCTGTTGACGTCGCAGGTATGTCGGCTAGCGATGGAACAGAGACAGGCGACGGGCGTGGTGCAGGAGCACTGGCGGGTGTCAGTCTGACCGGCGTACACCTGGAAGATTTGCCAGCATATGAGGATTCTACGGGGCATACAAGAGTCCCTGATCCTCTACCTAGCCCACCGCCGGATAGGGAGAGCGCTGGAGAGCCTCAGAGCGCTTCCACGGTGAACAGGTCGAGCCCGATGGAGAGCCCGCATCAAGAGACATTCCAGCCACCGAATGAACCCCCTCCAGGATATGAGGAAGTGCAGCAGAGCAGTGTAGCGGATGAGTTGGAGAGACGATTGCGCAGCCCAAGAAGCTTTGAGCGGTGAACGAGTATTTCTCTTGATTCTGGGTTTCAGAAGCATGGCGTTCGGGTTGGGTAAACTTTGTAATAAGTCATGCGCATGGTTTGGACTCGCATTCCTCTGGGTGATCCACTCGCTATGCGCCGCTATCATTCTTTGGCCTAGCCATCACTCATCATCTGAACGGCGCATGACAGGCTGTTTACGACTTGCATACACGGCAGACTTTTTTTTTTGGCTGTTGATCCATTCTTATGAAATGAGAAAAGATTTTGGATATTCATTCTCAAATCGCTGCTTCACACAACACAGATTCCATCTTTTAAGACCCTTTGTCACATGGATCCCGATGAACGTCAACATTACTGGATCTCGCCAAATGCCAGATTTTGACATGCGTGAACTCGAACCGCAAGTGGAGTGAACGTGGTTCAACATGTGAAGACCCCAGCGCATGTGAAAAGCCGGGGTAGCTACCGCGCTATACCGCCTTCAGGCAATCATCCATTTGCCTCGGTCGATGATGTCGTTTCAAAGTCCGACTTTAAGAAAGACCGCGGCTTCTTCTGTGGCATTGTTCTATAGTTACCGACACCACCTCGACTCCTCCTTCCATCTTCTTCATTTCCTCTACTCATAACAACAATCCAAAATGGCAAACCAAACTGGAAGTGGCCAAAAGGGTACGTTGCAAAGTCGTGAGACACAAGCTGATGGCAATTTATGGTGGCGATGACTGACGATAGCAGCCCAAGAACGCCTCTCACAAGTCACCAACCATTTGAGCAGCTCCTCGAAATCTGGAAAGCAAGCTCTACTCGAGCAACACCCCGATGATGTACGTTCCCGCATATCTCCTTGCAGAGTCCACGCAGAGTCCAGCATCTTCATTCTGCAGTGCTGCGCCCCGCCTGGCATCTGGATCCTGCAGTAACATCACTGAGACCCGAGTTAATATATTGTCAGATTGTCGTAACCTGCGCTCTCCGCACACCCATCACGAAAGGCGGCCGTGGTGGCTTCAAGGACACGCAAGCGGCTGATCTCTTGCACGGTGCCTTCACCTCCCTCATCCAACGATCCGGTATCGACCCCGCGCTGGTTGAGGACATTGCTGTCGGAGCCGTGCTTGCTCCTGGGGGCGGTGCCACCGAGTTCCGCGCTGCAGCCCTCGCAGCTGGCTTCCCTGTCTCCACAGCCGTCAAGTCCCTGAACCGACAATGCAGCTCTGGTCTCCAGGCCTGTGTTGACATTGCAAACGCCATTCGTGCGGGCGTCATCGAGGTCGGCATCGGTGCTGGCGCGGAGAGCATGAGCACACAATACGGACCACAGGCTGTGTCAGAGTTCAGTGAGCTGCTGGAGAGCCACAAGTCCGCGGCTGAGTGCAAGGTTCCCATGGGCGTCCTCTCTGAGAAGATGGCCAAGGAGAAGGGGATTTCTCGCGCGGATCAGGACAAATTCGCTGCTTCCTCGTTCCAGAAAGCCGTCGAGGCACAGAAGAAGGGTCTCTTTGATGAGGAGATTGCACCTCTCAAGGTCAAGTGGACAGACCCTAAGACCGAAAAGGAGCAGACTATCACTGTCAGCAAGGACGATGGTGTTAGGGAGGGTATCACCCCAGAGAGTCTGTCCAAGATCAAGGCCGCTTTTGCCAAAGACGGCTCGATCCACGCAGGCAATGCTTCCCAGATCTCTGATGGCGCCGCTGCCGTTCTCCTGATGAAGCGCAGCACCGCTCAACGCCTGGGCCAGAAGATCGTGGGCAAGTTCGTGCAAGCATCCATCGTCGGTGTACCACCGCTTCTTATGGGTGTTGGCCCCGCTGCCGCCATCCCCGTTGTGCTCCAGAAGACCGGCCTTAACAAAGATGAGGTTGATATCTGGGAGATTAACGAGGCGTTTGCCAGCCAGTGCTTGTACTGCATCAACGATCTCGGCATAGACATTAAGAAAGTCAACCCCAAGGGCGGTGCTATTGCCTTTGGTCACCCGTTGGGTGTTACTGGTGCCAGGCAAGTCAGCACGCTTCTTACCGAATTAAAGCGGACGAACCAGAGGATTGGTGTTACTAGCATGTGTATCGGAACTGGTATGGGTATGGCTGCTGTTTGGGTCGCCGAGTAGTCTCGTCCATCTATCTTGTATCTTTGCTGTACACTGTATGAGTAGTTTAAAATGAACATTCATGACGCCGTTTCTCTCAAAAAAATCGTCCCGAATTATTTCTTGCAAACATTTGAAGTACTCATATGCGCTCTCAAGTTCATCTATTAGGAATGTATGTAGGGTCGTGAATCCTAGAAAAAAAAATGGATGTTCCCAACCAGCTGGCTGACGTCTGACTCGATCAAAGTTCCACACATGCTCCACCCCCATCCCCATCATCCCTCTCTCAACCGAGCCACGTTCCAGAATTATGTACCATCCCCCCACCATCTGCTGACATGGCTTTTCACATCCACCTCCCTTCCCTTTCTTTACCCCCTTTCCCCCCCCCCCCCCCCTTCTTCTTTTTGCAATCTATATTTACATTCTTACCACAATATTTTTCATCGAATCAACGGCTTCATGGTCTAGTGGTATGATTCCTGCTTTGGGATAAGCGAATGTCTTAAAGTTGCAGGAGGCCCCGCGTTCGAATCGCGGTGGAGCCCCAGATGACGATTTATTTTTTGCACATTGTCGATATCTGTACTTCTTTTTTTTGCTGGGAAGAATATATCATACAACAAAAAGATCTTTTTTTTCCCTGGTTACTTACATGATTAGTTATAGGATCTCATGTATAGCTGTTTCTTTACAAAACGAATGTGTGTTTACGTACGTGACAATGAACAGGACTCTATTATTAAGAAAATTTGTAGGGTTTTGTTATGTTTGTGCTTAGAAAACATACATATGTTAATGTAAGGGGAAAGACTAGAATACGTTATGCTTGCTTACTGTCTTGAAGATACTATTCATCTAGGAGAGAGAAAAGGGGGTAACAGAAGGCAATAAACGTGTAGTTGAAGTTATCCTGTTTTTAGGTACCTAATCTGGCCATATATATGTAAGAACCCCATTTTTTGTAACTTCGAATCCATCACGAGTAGTTGAAAGATCTGTATATGTATACATGCTATCTAATAAGTCTATATAATACGTAAGCAATTTCACAATTTTCTATACTAACAGTGCAGAAAGTAAGTACAGGTTAGTTTAAGGAGAATGAACAAGATGTGTTATGCATACTTACATTTGTGGAAATACTCTTAACGCAGGAGAACAAGAATAAGAGAGAACGTTTAAATATATATATAGATATGCATGCATGCTACTAGACAGACCTACATTTTCTTAAATAAACTTATTATTTTCTATGCTAGGATAGCGAAAAATAAGGATATGTTAATCTCAGCAGGAGAAGTAAAGTGTACTATGTACATTTACTTTCTTAGGTATACGCTCTATCGTGGGTGAATGCGTTAATGTAGATATCTTTGTGTATATATACAAACATGCCATTTAATAAACCTATATCCTTTAAGAAATCTATAAGATTCTCTATATTAGAATTGCAAAAACTGCGTTGTGTTGATATAAGGAGGAGGAGTATAGTATATTATATGTGAATAGTTAGTTGAATATACTGTTGGTCAGGGCGGGGTATGTGTAGTAGACAGGAAGAAGTATATGACTGTACAGTATCAGCAAGTCACTTAAAACATTCTTTTCTCTAAAAAAAAATACATCACCAGAATGATATTATCATGGAATTTTTTTCTTTCATTATTCATCGAGGAGGGGTATATCTAACTACTCATTCATTCATCCATCCGTCTGCATAATCATATCATACAAGAAAAAAAAAAAGAATCATCATCCCCGAGCGAAATTCCATCCTCGCTCACTCCATCTCCGCATCCAACACGACCTTTCCGTTTCCCAGGCCGAAGGCCTCGACAAAGGCCGCGAGAGCATCCGCATTGATGCCGTGACTCTCTACGAGAGGAAGACTTCCGGGCGTGCCGAAGAACACCGTCGTGCGGTGGATTGTAGTGGTAGTGGTGGTGGTGGTCGCGGGAGCAGACTCATCGGCGGTGGTGGAGTCGTAGCTCGACATTGCGAGGTTTGCGAGCGGGGAGCGCGGGAGAGGGGAGCGCGGGAGGGCGGAGCGGGGAAGAGGAGAAGAGATGTTGGGGGTGTCGGGGGAGATTGATTTCTGAGCATGGGTCGTCTTGGATACTGCCGAGACGGGCCATGCGATGAGGATCCAGGGAGTGGTGTTTGTGCGGGTTTGCTCGATTTCCTTGGGGAGGTTGAGGGGAGCGGGATTGATGGCAGCGGTGGCTACATTGGTGGAAGAAGAGGGAGGAGGGGACGAGGTAGTAGCGGCGGCGGCGGCGGTAGATGCTGCGTACTTGAGCAACACGAAGGCCCAGCGTCCTTCACGTGTCTTTTGCTTGTTTTGGCTGAGGTTGAAGGTATCGGTCTCCACGTACAGGATGCGCGCGATGTCGTTGGTGTTAATGTGGAAGACGGGTCCTTGAGCGGTGAGGGAGGGGGTGATGGTGTTAAACGAGATGGAGACGAGGGGCTTGGCGGTAGGGCGGGTTGGTTTGTATGTAAGTGAAGCGTTGGATTTGAGTTGAGAGTCCGTGGGCTTGTGGACGGTGTAGATGTTGTGAAGTACCGTGTGCCATGTTATGAGGGCATGGGCGGTGCCAGGCTTTTCATGGAAAGTTAGTTATTGTAAGATTTGGAAGAAAGGATGGGGGGATTGTGCTTACAGGGTAGATTGGGAGCTTTTTAGCAACGGAAATGGGTGGTGTGAATGGAGTGGTTGGAGTAGATGGTGTTAATTGGGTGGGGGGATTGTTGTTGTTGTCGTCGTCGTCCTCGTTGTCCTCGTTTTCGGGCTTGCCTTTGTTGGTCTTTCGCGAGAAGGTCGTGAGGAGGTTTCTGGAAGAGGCGAGACGGGGTATATTCCTCCTGAACAGGCCAATAGAGCGGGACCGAACGCTATCTGCTTCGGAAGCCAGGAAAGGTGAATCGGGCGATGGCAGTGCGCGTGTGTCTTCGGCACGGCCAGCAGCTGGAGAGCTAGGCTCGGCGATGGGAGAGAGGGGAGTCGCTCCAACGCGCTCCAATCCCTGGGTCTGGCGGCCTTTGGGAGATGACTCGGGGGAAATGTTAGCCTGAGCCAATCCGAGTATACGTCGAGCCTTTGAGTCGTCCAGGCGAGGTTGCATCTCCGGGTTTTCGCCATCTTGTTGGCTGCCGTCGTCCTTTGAACTCACCAGAGAGGCGTCGCTGCCAAATGCGCTTTTGATGCTTCCCATTTGGCTGCGCTTCTCGTCGAGCGCCTGGCGCTCCTTCAGCTCGTCTTCACTGGGCTCTTCGCCCGCGGCTAGATTGATCCACAAGGTCAGTAGATAGTTGGATGGTGATGAGTAGGAAGACTTACAGGTTGGGGTGACGCGCTGTGCGTCCCGAGCGGTCTGCCGCAGTGCGGCGCCGGCGACACCGAAGAAGCCCGAAGGCACAGATGGTGGGGGGGAGAAGGGTGCCGCGGTCATGGCGGGCGAGGGCGAGGGCGGGCAGGATGCTGCAGGAAGGTGAGGAGGTTGTGGTGGTAGTGGTGGTGGTGGTGGAGGAGGGAGATGATGGTGATGAAGCAGCAGAAGAAGAGGGGAGAGGGGAGGGTGTAGGGTATAGGGTGTGTGTGGGGGGTAGAGGGAGATACAGGGTGAAGTAGGAAAATTGGCTTGTGTGAGGAGTCCAACTTGCCTTGTACTTTACTGGCGTTTTTTTGCCAGCACAGAAGCCCGGAGACTCCGTTTGCGCTGAGCACGCTTGTTGGCGTTGCCCGCACCGCTTCCTCCTGCTGCTGGGTTTGTCGATGCCATTCTTGCCGTTGGCCTCGGTCTTCTTCCGGATGCTGGAGAAGGAAAGGAAGAGGGAACGAAGAGGAGAGCGGGCTTGTATAGAGCAAAGCCAAGCCTGGGTGAGTTGGTAACTTGCTGGAGGAAAATGAAGGTGAATGCGGATATGACAAGAGGAAATGGACAGAAATATGAATTAGCTCGAATGTGTGCTTCCATTCTCGACGAACATGCATCAAACCGAGTTGGACGACAAATAAAGTCTTGGCGTATGGCGAATATATACATAGAAACATAATAGAGGACGAGTTGGGGTAGGAAAATTGAAAAATTGAAGGACATATGCGACGGGATCAATCTTTGGTGGAGAGTATTCGACTACCCTTTGAAGAATTAACATTATAGAACATGAAATAGTATAGCGATGACCTATCTATCTAAGCACACCCATCCAACTTGACCCTATCAATCCAATGTATTGTTGAATAACAAACACTAGATGGGGACCTTAGTTCACAAGATCGGGGGAGCTCGTCCGTCCATTACCACTCATCACATAACTCTTAATTGACGGAGAAGACGTAGGAGGCCTCGAGCACGTAGGCTGGGTCATTGGGGCCAAAGATGTGCTTCTTCTCGCGCTGCCACTCGGGCTGGTTGATGGCGTCGATCCAGTCCTCGACCTCCATTACGACACAGCCGTACTTCTCCACGACGCGAGGGCGGGAGTCGAGGCCTTGGGTGGACTTGATAGGGAGGCTTCCTATCGAACAACATCCGTTAGTATATGACGAATTCATACAGACTTATCAAGAGAAGAAAGGGAAGGACGTACCGTTCTGGCCGGGGCAGCTGTACACCTGGAACGCGTCCTGGTCTGAGAAGACATCAATTTGGATACCGCTCCACTCACTCGCTAACGTAGCGACGGGGCCGCTAGTACGCCAGTCGTACGGGCCGTTTTGGGCACGGTTGACGAGGTAAGCATTGTCGTATCCGGTGCAGTTGAAGCCGCAGTTGCCCAAAATTTCGGGGGATGTGAGGTTGGCGCCGAGTTGCTTAGGGCTTGACCAGAAGTCGTTAACCGAGTATTTCTCGTTGGGGAGGATGGTGCCGTCTGGGATCAGGATGTTGTCGACGCCGATACGCTGGCCCGAGTGAGGGAGATGCAGCGTGTGGTTTGAGGCTGTTGGCGTGTCTGGGTTGGCGAAGCCGTCGAGATTCCAGTAGACCTTTGATGAAAGATTAGAATGTGTCACGAGAATGGTTTGGAGCGTACATACGTGCGAGCTCAACATGATGGGGGTCTTCTTGGTTGTCGAGAGAGCGACCATCTTGAAGCTCCAAGTGTTCTTGGTCATGGTGTAGGTGATGTAGCTGATGACTTCACCGGGGAAACCCTCTTTGCCATCAGGATCGACAATGGAGAAAGTGATGGAATCGCTGGTGTGGGAGACAACCTCGAAGTCACGCTGTTTCTATGTCAACATTTGCTTGAAATGGCCAGTATTCTTTAATGGGAAACGTACGTAATCCCAGCCATCAGGGCCACCGTGCAAGGTGTCGGCGCCGTTGTTCTCGTTTGGCGTGACATTGTACTCAACCCCATCAATGACAAAGGTGCTGTTCTTGATGCGGTTTGCATAGCGACCTGTTGTGTATTAGCATCTATTCTCATTTCAATTGATTACAATGCTCCCGAATGACTTACCAGGGACACCTCCCAAGTGAGGGTGGAACTCGTCTTCGGCGTAGTGGGTAGCATTGTCGAAGCCCAAGACGATGTCGCGTTCAATGCCATTGGTGTCGTTGATGAACAGATTGGCAATGGAAGCGCCATAGGGAATGAACAGACCGCGAATGCCCTCGGCAGAGATCTCGTACTTGCCGTCCTTGTCGGGAGTTGGCTTGGTCGCGTTCTGAGCGAGGATGGGCGTCACCGTCGCCGCGACGGAGAAGAGAATGGAGAGCTTCATCTTGATCTTGTACCAGGCTTGTCTTTGCACACTGAGTATAGGTGATGCAATTGGCAGTTGAGCGACCACGGTTCTGAGTTAACAAGACGGTTGGCTGCCCACAAGGTAGAAGGGTAAAGAGCGGAAGTCGGTGCGAGGGAAAGCAACGCGCTTATGTAGCGGCGAGCCATTGGCCGGGATAGATGCAAACAATGCCCATGACGACCAACCAGGCAAATGTCGAGCGGGAGGTAGCGCAAACAAACGGGTGAGAGGGACCCTTGCAAGCTTGTTAGTTGTACCGGTCGCTCGCCTTACCCTCCCTCGATGACTTTTCCCCGCAGCCGCGGGTGATTAGAGCGGAGAGGGATCGGCTTGGAAGACGATGCGCGCTGGGCGGAGCTTCACTTCTCGGATGCCATGCTCGCTGGCAACGTAGAAGGTCGCTCTTCACGACAGATGGCTCGAAATGGGCCCGCTGCCTGTTTTTGTTCGACTCTGTTGACGTTTGTTTGGGGGGTTCCAGGACGAAAGCTCCCCCAGTCGGTGGGTGAGCTACCCCGGCAAAAGACGCGGAGCACATCCAGTCCAGGAGACGTGATTTCTTCCGATTGGAGGAACGACGCACAGCATCAGGCAGTGTGACGACAACCAACTTGTCGAGATGAGGGTGCAGGAAGCAAAAGGTGTGGAGACGGGCGCTCGGTTGGGGCTGACAGCTCCATGGACCTTGGTTCCTTGTTGGCTTTTGTGGAGAGGCGGGGAAAGCCCACGCGCTATCCAGCTTGTGGAAGGTGCAGAGGAAGACGCCACGAACATTCCGCCTACACGACTTCATCTATTCCACCCACTCCGTCTGCCCGGTTCCTGAAGCCTGGAATCCCCACATGCAAGATGCCATGCGCCTGCAATATCTTGCCTGCATGCGTCGGCCGTTCGAGACGTCTGTACAGAGTTGGTTCCAACATCCAGGGCCTAGGTTGAGAGCGCTGAATCATCATATATCAGAAACACACAACAGATCAAAGGACAGCGGGCTCCATCGTGAATTCATTTGATTCATTTCTCCCATCTTCCACCCCCTTCGCATGCAGCTACTCAGAGCATGCTCATAACCTCGATCCATCGTCTGGAACCCCGGATGAGGAGGAACGAGGGGAATAAAAAAGAAAAAAAGAAACCACCCCATATCTACATCGCACAGGCATATGTAGCCACAGGTGCAGGATACACAATGAGATCATGTATACACAGCCATTGATCCCCTGCGTCCATTGCTCAACCAGTCAATGTCCATCCTGGTTCCCCATGCAAAATCCACAATCCTTGTCGAATCATCTACCTTGACAAGTGTCCCACCACCGCTTTATACACCTTCCGTCGAAATCACCCCCCATTTTCTTCTTTCGGGAGCCCTTCATTCGTTCGCCGTCATCGAAATCCACATTTCTCGACAAGAGGCCATGCTGTCAAGTCTTCATTTTCTTGCCATTCGATTCCGACATGTCGTTTTTCTCATTCTTAGTAGCTCGGCCACGTTTGCGTCCGATCGTGCTGGTGCCCTCGCTCTTCTTCCTATCCCCTGTGTTGCCCGTCGCCAGTCCTGGGGAAGCCTGTATTGAGTGATGCTCTGTACCAAATACAGGAGCATCTGTATCCACCCCCAAAGTTGGTGTTTCCATTTGACTTCGCTGTGGTCCTACGGAGCTGATGTGATTCGTTTCCTGGCCCTGAAGCTGGGTCGGAAGAATCGTCCTAGGCGGCGGGAAAACGACCTGCTCGAACGGGGAAGCGTTTGAACTCAGGGTCCTCGGTCGTGCTTCTGCAAGTTGCTGGTTGCCTGCAGGTGGGCTTGAGAACGTGTATGACTGGCTGGCTGCGTTTATCCAGGCTGGGTGCTCCCGCTGCCCGTGCATGTCGGGTGAGAATGGCCCAGAGTCAAACGTATTGAATAACGGATTATGCTGACCGCCAAAAGCATGCGACGAATGATTGTTCGTTACAGCGCTAACAGCACTCAAAAGAGAATCCATGCCCTGCTGATCTCGTGTCGACGACGGTTGAGGTTGGTGGAAACCAGGCTGCTCGGCGAAAATAGTGCTAGCACTGACCAGCTCTGCAACGGTATTCGGGAGGTCTCTCAAATCGGGGAATTCGGAGAGTGTGCGATCTGCAGAAGGGATCATAGAGGGAACAACAGGAGCATTAAAATCTGAATTCTTGCGTGGAGTCTTTTGTTTGGTCTTGACAGCACGTGGTTTCGAATTGTCCGACGCACAGCTGGGGTGTGCGTTCCTGAGTCCCCAAGTTAGCTTTACTACTCCATACCATGCATTTGTTTGGGGAAGTGATAAAACGAAATATGACCTGTTCGGTCAGTGACTTGAGTACATACCATGCGGAATCAGGCTTTCCATGTTTGTACCAACAGCCAGTAACGGTATTCTCGTCGTCCACAACTTGTCCCCAATGGTGTTTCTTCACGTTGTATCTTGACGCAAAGCCCATTCCACAGATTTCATGTATGTATGGCCTTGCTTCAGTGCTTACACGACGCGAAGAAGGCGTTCCTTGCTCTGGGCTAGCGACTGAGGTCTCTGTCGGCGATACCGTAGAGGCTGCCTTGGCATTCAATGCATCGTAATGGCCTTGTACACGATCTGTAGTAGCCGAGTTCAGATCGACATGATCTTGATCCAATTGGTTGTTGATCGGCGATGTAAAATTATCCTCGTTGTTATCTTGGGGTAAATTCACTGGTACTATAGGTTGGTCAGCTGGACCATACGCATGATGGGGTGATGAAGACGAGGCCAGCTGGGGGTCCTTCTGAGAACTAGGATTGAATGTCAGTTGGGCTACACGATTTTCCTCGGATGCGGCAAACTGTTCGGGCTGGTGTCGATAGGATTCTGCTGGGGTGGTTTCTATGCCACCCTCTTGCCATGCGCTTTGGAGGAAATATGCGTTTTCCTGTTGACCTGCATCGGCATAGCTCGATGAACCGAAATTGTTTGGGTGGTCAAGTCTCGAGTAAGATGCGTAATGCGATGTATCATCATGGTAGGAATTGGCGTAGTGTTCAAGAGCCGGCTCAACTGGCATCGAAGCAATCGAAGATGAAAGTTCGTCCGGAGTGTAAGGGTTCCAGGTAATGTTTCCGTTCTGAATGTATCCTGGCTGTGGGTTAGATGCGTTTCCACCGTAGTACTGATACTCTCCCTGGTCATAGACCTGGTTTTGGTGAGAGATCTGGGCATGGTCAGGGTTTGACATCTGCGGCATGGGAATGAACGGCACCCCGGGCGAGTCAGCAAAGGACGAGGTCGACTGAGCGTGGCTGGTGTGATAGGTAGGATTCCAATCCGAGGATTCATATGGCCTCGGCAATTGCAAATGATGCTGCGGCTGCATAAGGCCGGGTGGAGTTTGTGTAGCACTGCCAGTCGGCTCTTCGACCTTGGGAAAGTAGAAGTCGCCATGTCCCCAATTAGCCTGAGGGTGATCGAGGATGTTGAGTAGCATATGTTCAAGTTCGTAATGTGGCATCAAGACTTGTGACATGGTCATGTGTGCTTGCTGTTTGCTCAATTGCCCGTTTTTGAAATTCGCGAGAGCTGTAACGATGGTCTTCCGCTGTGTCGGCTGCGTCCCAAAGGTGGCCTAAAGCGATGTTAATGTGTGAAATGGAATAAGAATGAAGGCTGTAATGTGTAGTTAAAGCTACGAGCAGGACGAGCGAGAATTCATGCAAGTTGGTGGACGTACATTGACCTTTAGCATGAACTTGACGCAAAGGTCGCCAACGCTTCCAGCCAGATATGGCGATTGCACAGGCGCAGATTCCTGACCGGGACGTAGCGGCGCCACGATAGTTTTGGGGGAAACAGAACTATGACCACCATGGGGCACGCTGTGGGCAGTTAGATGATTTGTTACACCTGAGGAACGGGATGGGACAAACAGAGGCGGGGGCTCGTCGGGAGCATTGGCCATGTTTTCCATAGGGATGGGCCAGAACTGTAGAATCTGGAGGGCAGAATAGGTGAAGAAGTTGAAATTCGTGCAGGGCAACGGTGTTGATCGATCAATGCGAGGTAGAGTTCATGTACTGTAGGTAGTGTGAGTGAAAAGGCTTGGCAGACTACATGGGTTTGGTCAATGTGTGAAGGCCAGGCAATCGAAGCCGGCCGGAAGACGCCGTCAGAACAATGGTCGTTTCCGAACGGCGGAAGACATATGCACTTCTTGAATGTGTACGACAATTAGTAGTATTACAAGCATCCGATGGCGGAGCATGGATATATGCAGCGCGAGGTGAATGATTGGACAATCCCGTGACTGCCTTGATTAGGGTCGCTGTTTCTTGCGGTGTGCACATCTGCCAACCTGTCTTGAAATTTCAAACCATAGCGATTGCATTCTGTTCTATCAGTATAAATCTCCAGCAGACGTCACACGTCCACGGTGAATGGTTTGCCGGCTGGTGCCCGGATCATACACCGCCTCAGTGATGCTCTTTCGACATCGCCAGCCACTATCCATTGGATCAAACAAGACCAGATCAGCGGGCTCTCCAACTTTCAAACTCAGAGATGTCACTTGGTGACCGATAGCAGCTTTAGCTCTGGACGAGACGGTTTCCTGCATAGTGGCGTTAGCAAAGCGATTCAAACAGGTAAAGCGTATACCCAGAAGGCTACTTGCATAGAGCGTCTCAGTATCTTTCTTTGTTCCGCCTTGATAGAGTCCGACCCCCATGGATGCAATGCTTAGTGGATCGCAGTTGCCGTGCGGTGTGAATGCGTTGCCGACATTGTTGATGGCAATAGCTGCATTGAGTCCGTGATATCTAATCATATCCAGCACGGGGAGGGTACTTCGGCGACCATCTGTTGTGTGCATCATGAACAGGTCTGAAGTTGGAAGCCCCACAAAAGAAATCGGGAGATGGCCAACAGCGTCTCTCAATCTGGTCCATTCATCCTTCTGAAACCGTGTAAGCCGTGTGCAGTGTCCTAATGTGATTGATTTGCCTTGACGAGCTACCCAATTCCTATCCTTGATGATGTCCAAGACGGACCAAACGAGGGGCTGTTTTTCTTGTTCCATGAAGTAGTCGAGATGGAGGTCAAGATGTTTTCCGTGAGCCAGTGCCAAAGAAGTGATCCATCGTACATTCATCTTCTGCTTTGCTACATCTTTCTCTACGTACGGCGTACTTCCCAAAACCTCCACGCCGTCTTCTTGAGCAGCTGCTTCCATCAGTCTTCTCACCTGCTGACCTCCGTCTTCCCCGGAAAATAATGGCAGTTGCGCAAATGCACAGATTTGTAACTCGCAGCGATTTGCGAATTCCTCTTTCAACACCAAACCCGCGTCTAAGCACTTGAACTCGACTCCTCCGTCTACTTCTACAAAGGCGCGCATGGCCGTGACTCCGTGTCGAATGCTCTCTTCCACTAGCTGACGGCCCCGTCTCAACAGGTCGTCTTCCTCGAATCTGGCTTTGGCTTTGGCCGTCATATCCATGGCCTCTTGGAAATCTCCATTCTCAATCTGTAGATCGGCATATTTAGGATCCTGGAGCAGAAAGCACTTGTCCAGGTGGATGTGAGCATGGCACAGAGAAGGAGCTGCCAGACGGTTGGCACCATCTAAAGTGTCAGTGAAGCCGTGTTCGCCCGTGGGCCTGGCGACTTCATGGGGGTCGATGGAAGATATCTTGCCGTCTGCAATGGCAATGTCCCAGAGAGCCGAGGTCTCTTTGCCAGGGAGACGGACACGGGTGATCCTATTCACGGTACAGGAGGGTGGAGCGTGGGAGTAAGGCGGTGGAGGGAGGCGCGACTTGGGTCTCCTTTTCTTTACATCACCTACTACATGTACCAAATCAGGTGCCACATGAGGCTTTTCCGTGTCGTTTGAATTATTCATTTCGATTATTGATTGCCGTGGTGTCGTACAGGCCTATTTCTTCCTCTTCTGCTCCAAGAATGATGACGTCGCGCGTGGAGCGTATGCTTGCGGGTCAGAGTGAATGGATGGATTGGCGATGGCCGGCTTGCTATCAACATCGGTCGGCGGTACTCATGGCAGACGAGCAGACTCGGTCGCGCACCCGCAAAGCCACGACACAGTAGGCGTCGGGGGTTGTTTTGCAGAGATGGAGAGTCGCAAGGACATGTTCGTGGGCGGCAAGGTCGGGAAAGCAAGCAAGCAAGCAAAACGCGGGGCAGGTGGCAGAAAAGGGGCCCCGGCAGGGCTGGACGTGCTGTGTCTGGCAGACGCGTCTAGTTACTTATCTCTCCCCCAAAATTTAGACCTCCATCCTCCCCCAATCCTCCTCCCATCCCATCCCATCTTCTCCCCATATTCATCGCGCCTTCTGCCGTCTCCATCGATCGTTGCGGCCAAGTCATCCTCACCATGCAGCCGCAGTACCGGAACTACCCGCCGCAAGCGCACCACGCGACGCCTACACGGCCGCGAGGGCCAGGTACGTACCTCTTACACCGAGCAGCCAGCATACACCACCCCCGACCCCTCCACGCCGCGCAAAGCTCAGTACACAATGATCCGTAAGGCTGATCTAGAGCACATGTTCCGCAAACCAGGTCCCATTGTACACCACCAGCACCCGGCTGCTCAGCCATATGGCAACGCCAACATGCACGCCGCCGCCGCCCAACGAGCCGAGCAAGAAAAGCGCGACAGAGCGCGGCGCATGGCCAAAAACCCTACCAACAAGAACATCCCCGAGGGCGTCGAGGATATCTGTATAGGCGACGGTGTGGCCCGCTACAAGCAGCTGCGCGAGGTCGAGCGCACACTCGATGCCACCATGATGCGCAAAAAGCTCGAAGCCTCGGATTCCGTCTTCCAGTCCCGCACCGGCCGCACCAGCACCATGCGCATATGGATTTCCAATACGGCTGAAAATCAACCCTGGCAGACCAGCGGCATGGATCAGGACACCTTCGATTTCGACAGCGACACCAATGCCACATACCGTGTCAAGATTCAAGGCCGCCTGCTCGACGATGACGACGACGACGACGCCGACCTGGAGGGTGGAGAAGACGAGGGAGAAAAGGATCCTGATGCCATGGAAGACGACAGCGCAAACCCAGAAGCCACTAAAAAGACGGACGCCGCCCCCCCAAAGAAGCCAAAGGTCTTTTCGCAATTTTTCTCCGCCATCACCATCGATTTCGACCGCGCCAAGGCCCTGCAACCAGACAACTTCACGCAGATCGAATGGAAGCGACCCGACGGCGCCAACCCCAAAGACAATCCCTTCTCGCAACTCGAATTCGAGCGCAAAGGTGACGAAAATATCAACGTCACCATCAACCTCCAGCGCCACCAAAATCCGGAGATCTTCCACCTCAGCAAGCCTCTCGCCGAGCTCCTCGATACCGAAGAGGAAGACCGCGCGGGTGTACTCATGGGCGTGTGGGAGTACGCGCGCGCAAACGGGCTCCAGCAAGACGACGACGAGCGCAAATTCGCCTGCGACTCCCGCCTCAAAGCGCTCTTCGGCGGCGCAGACCACTTCTACTTCCCAAGCTTACCCCAGCTCATCAAGCCGCACCTCTCCCCGCTCCCACCCATCCAACTCCCATACACGATCCGCGTCGACAAGGACTACATCGCCCCTTCCTCGGACGACTCTTCATCAACTACAAAACCACCCTCGCAACCGACCGTCTACGACGTCCAAGTCACCCTCGACGACCCGCTCCACCCGCTCCTTCACAGCATCCTCCGCTCCAAACACAGCACAGAGACCCTGCAGCACATCCACAACATCGACCAGCAAATGGTGCTCCTCGTCGGTGCTCTTGGCAAGTCCAAGGCCAAACACGCCTTCTTCACGAGCATGTCAAAAGACCCTGTCACTTTTGTCAAGCGCTGGCTCTCATCCCAAAAGCGCGATCTCGAGGTTCTGCTCGGCGATGCTTCTCGTGGCGGTGGCGAGGATGGTGCGAGCCCGGAGTGGAGACACGGTGGTGCGGATGGTGTTTGGGGAACGGATGTTGCCAAAGAGAGTGTCAATCTGTGGTTGGCCAGATCGAGCATCCCCAAGGCTCATTAAGAGAGGAGACGGAGAAGAGAAGTTGGGACAAAGGCGTTGCTCTTCTTGCGGGTTTTTTCGGTCATGGGGGATTTCTACATCTTTTATTGTTTCTCTCTCTCTCTCTCTCTCTCTTTGGGGGTGTATTTTCTGTAGGAAAAGAATTGGTGTCTGCACGGAGTCTTGAAACACAGAGGGATCTCACACAGATTGATACCCCTTTGAGCATCTTAATGTCGAAGGTTGGAGAAACAATACACAACCTTTCGCATACTCATACTGCCATCTATTTTTGTCTGTTTCCTTGCTTTTCCCCGGATTCGGTTTCCCTCCCTTCCAGAAATCTATCCAATAGTTATGTATGCTAGCTAAAATCCAGCGAAAACAACACTATTACCGTCATGCCAACACCCCCGAATGATTTTTGCGAGATGATGCCTCAATTCCCCATCCTCCTCTCGATCCTGCCAATCCTGGGGGGCGTCTCATCCATTCTCTCCTGTCTTCCATCGTTATCACCATACCTGACTCCCACCGCCGCAAGCTCTTCTCGCATAACCTCCATCTCCCTTTCCAACTCACCCCGATTCTCTTGATCCTGCTGCTGCACGGGTATTCTCCTGTTGTTCACCGCCACATTCGTCGGGCTCGTTACATTGTGCGACACCATGGAAGGAACGCCCGGGGGAGGAGGATGGCGACTAGTGACGCCCTCAGCAACATCCAGTGTGGTAGATGTAGACGGAGGACCGCGAGACAGTGGACGCTGGAACAGATATGCCGGCGGGACTGCTGATGAACGATATATAGGCGATACAAGGCGGAGGGTAGGGCGAGCTCGCCTGGCTGCGAAGTGCACGCTTCGATCCTCCGGTCTGGCAAAGCGCGGGGGCTGGCTTCGAGGCCCCCTGATCATATTTACTGGATGCGTGTGTGCTTCCATCTGAATGGAACCTACAGGATCAGACAGTCCGCCATCCGATCCACCAAACGGGTGGGGAGAGCGCGAAGTCACCATATGCGGACGATTGGAGGTGTCGCGTGGTCGTGGAGGCTGTGGTAAGCTGTAGCATAATGGTATGGCAAGATTGCCAGCGACATGATCGGTATTCCGTACTTCTACATTGGGTATGTTGGGGGATGTGCCTGGAACTCCATCTTGTCTGGCAGTATCGTTGAAAGCACGCGGGTGGGTGTCCAGTGTGGAATTGCTCACGGGAACATTTTCACTCGAACGCTGGTTAGCTCGAGGATTGAAAAGAACCCCACGGTTGCTAGGAGGCTCTTGCACAGTAACTTGTCGATCTGAAGGGTAGCGGTATTGCTGCATTCCATAAGGTATTTGCTGGCGGCCTCCAACGGTGGATCGATCACGACCACTGTTGACAGGCTGCCAGCGGGAACCATCAAGCATCGTTCGCTGTTGAGCCGATAGTACGAACTCGCCAGAGCGCTGTAAACGAGACCCTGGTCGAGGCATCGCAGCGCTACGTGTCCTATTGGCCTGCATCTGAGCAGATATGCGATGCATATGTGAAGTTGCTCGTTCCTGCACAAGGTCCAGTGGAGATGGTGTATTACGCTGGGCTGCCGTCAAAGCATCCTGGTCTGCCCCGAGGATGTCATCTGAAGTCAATAAGTCGATAGATGGCCGGAAGTTGTATTGCCCACTCGATGATCGGCTGTATGGATGCACAGGCAATGGAGAAAGTCCCGAATGTCCTCTAGGGTTGGGTTGTGGAGTAGGGGAGGTTGGCACTCGAGATTGTTCTGGATATGGCGAAGCCGGTGCACGATATCCATGCAGACGAATAGAGTGATAAGCGCCCCTACTGGCTTGTCGCGACGCTCCAGCCCCGTCGTATTGTGACAGCTCTAAACCTCCTTGCGATTGATCGCTACCAGAATGCTGAGATCCTGGAAGTTCATAGAATGAATACGGTAGACTGGACGAAGACGATTTCTCACTACTCATTCTTTAGTCGACGGTAGAGCATTTTCGATGATATGTCAATACCTGGATGGAAGACCTTCCGTCGCATCGGTATAAACAGTTTTCCCTGTACTCGACAGAGACTTGTGGTCGTGGCTAGCAACGTCGGAAGTTTTGTGCGATGTACTGAGATCAGGCGGGGGTATCCTGTGGGCTGGAGTCTGTCCAAACACATCATCAATCGAGGATTGCCCTAAGACCAACTGTGGTGCGTGAGAAGAGTGAGAAGGATCACTCGCTGATGAAGTTGTGCGAGCCCGGGCCGTCGATAAGGGTTTTGGGCGGGGCTCAGTCTGAGGTACAATTTCCCTGAAAGTGTATTCTCGACAAGCATTGAAGTATCCGCGCAGATGAATTGTTGACGAATGGTCGCTACCTGGACTGAACCGCGTAGACCTACCAGTGGAAACCCTTTCACTAGAATGGTGAGTCCCGTCGTTATTGTTGATAGGTGTCGACTCTTGTGTTTGTTGAAGGGAATCCCCAGCGTGAACCTGCTCTCCCATAGACGGAGGTCGGCCAAAAGTTCGAGATGAAGTCTCTCCAGGTGTATCAACTATATCCAAACGTTCCACAAAACCGTCAGCAGAAGCATGCATTCGAGGCGACGAGGCCTGCTCATGGCCATCTTCGAAACCAGCTCTCTCTAGTTCAGCAGCTTGTTGGGAATCAAGATGGGATTTCAATCTGAACTGGTGAGCGAAAATTTTCAATTTGCCCAAGATGATCATTATCTTGGTTATACACACGATTGGTCCTCTGAAGCAGATACTGGATGTACAGACCTCAAAGGGAGCTCAAAGTTTCCAAAAGGCTCTGCGACTTGGGGAAGCGAAAGTTCGGACACATCTTGACTCGCAAGCTCATCAAAGGTCTCCGATGCTTCTTGGTTTGGCTCCATGTCATCATCGACAGACGCGCTGACAGCTTCCTGCGGTCGTAAGATGGGTATCGTGCCTAGACTAGCAACCGCAGCGTCTCTAGAGCGCTGTGCCCCGCCTCTAATTCGTGCTCCAACTGGATATGCCGATGAAATTCGGGTGCGTCCGGGCACTGAAAGATTAAGTGGCTGGACGATCTTTCGCCGTTCTATGCGCTGGCGTGTCTGTTCTATATCGGCCGTTGTCAAAACGATCTCAGAGGGCTTTAGGCGCAGCATGCTGGGTGGCAGACAGCTTGGAGCTGATGGTGAGGGAGATACCCGCTTTCCCGGGCTGTGGTTGTGGAGATTCCAAGAGACAGATTTCCAAAAAAAAAGAAGCTATCACTCCAAAAAAGAGGTATGAAGATGTCGAGTGTAGTGAAGTAAACAGGGAATGATGTTATGGTAGACATGAAGCAACAAAAATAGATTCTGGAAAGACCCATCCAGCGCTTTCCTTGTCGCACATGTCGATCGCATAGAGCCATACATATAGTAGTAGTAGCTTCTCAATATGGTAACTGCTACCTTCCTCACAGTCAATACCTAGGTATTCACTGTTGGATGCATAAGTCGACGACCATGCGAAGAGGCGATGACAACACGAGTCTCCTGCATGGATTCATGTTTACTTTTGAATATGATCGAGGGTAAGATGTTGCACGGTCAGTTGAAGAGCGATTAGCACACTGTGCATTGCAGCAACAGTTCATTTCCATTCATCTATCGACAATATACCAAAATCGAACTCAGTACAGTTTGAGGTAAAAAGAATATAGAAGAGAATCGAAAAGGTTATATACATGAAATCGCCAAAACCCGTGTGTTTCTCTCGTCATCCAGAGTTCGCCCGACTTCCCTCAGACACGTCTATAAAATGCTTCATGATGGAGCTATTAGGAAAATAAAGAACCCTTCTTACCGCCTTTTTTGCCGTTCTTCTTGCTGTCTTTGCTGTCGTCGTCATCGTCCTTCTTCCCGCCCTTCTTGAGGTTAGATGGCTTGGAAGGAACCTCAGGCTTTTTGCCTTTCTTGCCATCCTTCTTTTCATCTTTTTCATCCTTCTTGTCGTCCTTTTTGTCATCTTTTTCATCCTTCTTGTTGTCCTTGCTGCTGTCTTTGCCGCTTCCTTTGCTATCTTGATTACCATCCTTGCTATCTTTCTTGCCGCCCTCCTTAAGGTTAGAGGGTTTTGAAGGCACTTCAGGCTTGCTACCTTTCTTCCCGTCCTTGCCGTCCTTGCTGTCCTTGCTGTCCTTGCTGTCCTTGCTGTCCTTGCTGTCCTTGTCCTTCTTATCGTCCTTGTCTTTCTTATCGTCTTTGCCATCTTTCTTGTCGTCCTTTCCATCTTTCTTATCGGAATCAGAGGGAGAGGAAGAATGAACAGGTCCAGTCTGCATATGAAAATCCATGTTGAAGCTCTCAGCGCCTCCGACGATCTCAATAGCCCCGACGTTCAAGCCATAATCGGATTTGTAATGGGCCACAGATCTACCAAAAACAGTCTTGGATAAGTCGTTGAACACTTCTTTCTCCTTTCCGGTTGATGCCGGAGTGACCTTGAACGCAGACTTTCCTAGCTTCTTCTGGGCAGCCTTGATAGCAGGTTTTGTGTTTTTCTCCACGACGGGTGCAAAGGAGATCTTCTTCAGGGTCGCTTCTTCCTGTTTCGGACTCTTGTTCACGTAGAGATACATGGCGATGTCTCTCAAGGGAATCCTATCCTTTCGTGGGTCTTTATCGTTGTTGGCGTCTTCGACCGTTACCGTGTTGGTCTTGCGGTTGACACTGATCACATCCAAATGGGTCTCACCAGTGCCTTTTCTGTTGACTCGGAAGGTTTCCTTGTTACCCACAGCAGGACTGGCGTTGACCTCGTAATTATAGGGTTCTGCCTTGATATCTGGAACTCCTTTGGATCTGGCATTCAACTGCTTGAAGCTAGTTGGGGCTGCAGCCACGCCAGAGAGGACGCTTCCTAGACCCAAGAGGGTGGTGGTAATATGATTGATAGAGATCCGCATTGTCAAAAGTAGCGAGAGTGAAAATGAAAAGACAAAGCAGAAAAGAAGTGAATATGAAGGGTCCGCCGGGGGCGATCAGAGTGCAATTTTTGGAGAAATGAGTGCGGAAGTCCAATTAGACCTTTGAAGCGAATGTATTGTGCTGAGAGTATGAGAGGTTAATGAGTACTTCGCTGGAGTTCACCTGCTCTCCTTAAATACTGATGCTTTGTCTTCAACACCTAGCATCACACTTGCCATTGAGTGTGATGTTGCAGCTTGCGAGGTGCAATGTCCGAGACAATACACGACGATTGCACACAAAAATAGCGCACCGACATCGTTTTTACCGTTTGAATCGAATTGCACTCTCGTGATTTTACACAAACATACGATTTGGTAATGGTTGTAAAATGAACTCCAGGGAAATGAATCAAATGTGCTATGTATGGCATACTATACCACTATAAACGTTTGCTTGGTGGTTTCATGTACTGTTAGTTCCAACGTCTAGAACATTTCGAGTAAAAGGAATGCTCGGAGTCGGAGATAGGACGGAATATTGACATGGTCTGATGGCCGGAGGAGTTGAGATGAACAGTATAGAGTGTGATGAAATAGAGCAAGACATGCCCCGACTTGATTTTACAGGGCTGTTCTAATTCAAATCCCATTTTACTTGTCTATCCCACTCAACTCCGTTCAAAATTTGCACAAGCAGACCATCCAATGGTATGTGCTTAGTGAGGAGCAACTATTCGGGTTTTGTTTTTGTTGTTCTAATTTCATGCACATGTGTCCTGCGAGCATGCTAAGCATGGGTATTTTTTATGGTGTAGGAAGGGTTGTGAGCTCGGCTCATCTCTGTACAAGTTGATCAAGAAGACGTGTTCGCCTTGGAGTACAAGCACTCAAGCACTCGAGCGTTGCTTTGGTAAATTCACTTGTCTCTCGTGCGAAGCTATCCCGTTTCATTCTTAATGGTGTGGGGAATGACGGTAGATGGGAAATCCTGTTGACATTTAAACATAGAAATATGTAAAAAAATTACCCTTAACGGCAATGATTAAGGCTTAAAAGTCGGCCATCGGCCTTTCACCACAAATCCGGTGGGGGCCAATCCCGTAGCGCCAAGAGCACCAACGTGATGGTACGACCATGCCTCCCCGGATCAGTCCATCTCTATTTCCTTTACTCTCGACATCTAAATCTCAACTTCTACACACTACGCTCCTTCACTCAAAAAGCTAAGTAACAAGTTGCCACACAATGAGTCTGCTGAAGCTCTCGTCTGAGCTTCTTCACGAGATCCTACTCTATGCTGTGCATTCTCGCGGCGTTGCGCGAGCGATGAGGCTGAGTCTCGTTTGCAGTAAGCAGTTTTTGGTGTTTCTGGTCTCTCAACTCACTAATGTTTCATTCTAGAAAAGTTCAAGATACATTTGCCACGCGCGGTCTTCGAGTCCCGAATCCTGGACGATCACTTTACCAAGGGTCTGTATAACGCGCTTATGCCTACGCAATCATGGCAGATTCGTAAAGACCACGGAGGCGTGCGTTTTTGGCACTCTTATTATGTCTTCAGAGTCCGCATCGAGACGGTGCAAAACGGGACTGATCCGCGAACTGGCCGCTACGTTGAGATGCGTCAAATAGCCACAGAATTCAGCCGATGGACACAAGTAAGCGTTGAGGAGACCATAGATGCTTTGTGCTGGCTGGCTCTCGAAAAATGGAGGGATACGTTTAGGAAATGGGATAAGAAAGATGTCACATCAGATTTCGGCTTGAATCTATTGAGTGCAGCTGCCTATTTTGACAGCATGCCATTAGCCAGACAACTACTGGCCCAAGGTCATGATCCAACAAACGACAACGACCTCTTTCCGTCACCTATGGAGATAGCGGCTTGGGCAGGCAATGGTGATATGCTGCGGCTTTTCCAAGACTCCGTACCTGAGTTCGAATACTCTCAACCCCGCTCTTCGGGTGATATAAGGAGCTGGCGGGGTCAGGTAGGACCGGGTTCCGTCAAGGGAGCTGCACTTAAAGGGGACATAGATATGCTGAAATTGGCAGTATCCCCTGCCTCACAATCAGGTCCAAAGTTTGATAGTGCTCGCCGGCCGATCAAAAAGTTCAGGCTTAAAGCCATCCAAAGGTCTGCTCTGTGGGCTACTCTGCGATACTGCAAAACTCCAGAGACTTTTGAACATATCATCTCGCTTATGGGAAGTCGGTTATTCGACAAAGAGAGTCTTTTAGCGCACTATGCTGCCCTTGGAAACGTGAATATGGTACGTCACCTTCTCGACGCAGGCGCTCAATGGCAGGGTGAAAATAATTGCAACCCATTGCAAATTGCAGCACATTACAGTCACGAGGATGTCGTCGATCTGCTTATTGATCGTGGCATCGACCTCGGTGACAGCGAGGGTCAGGCACGCGGCACGCCGCTCATGGCTGCAGCTTCTAGCGGTTGTATGAGTCTGGTTCGCAAATTTGTTGATGCCGGTGCCAGAATCGCGGAAGACGAGGAGCTTGGAATCGCGATATATTTAGAGCATACCGAGATGGCGAACTACTTCATGGATCTGTACTCTTCACATCCGAAGAGTTGGTGGCGTCATTTGGCAGCTGCAGAAGAAGACGGGTTGGAATCGATGGTTGATTTACTACGGGCGCGAGGTGTCACACTGCCGCCTTAGTCAATCAAAAACGCAAAACATCACATCAACAAGACAATCCCGAAAGGGAGCATTCGGCCCCAGTATGCTCACTGATAAAGATCAATCGCGGTATTGATGGCCGAAACAGTGAAGTACAATCGTTTTCGGATTTCTCTTCGCGTGGTCAGTAGTTTTGGCGTCACCTACTAGACCTCCACCATGGTTCTGTTCCTCAACCTTACAAATCCGTACATCTCCACTGGATCGTTGGGACATCGTATACGTCACTACGTCAAATGCGCTCAATACTAGATATCCATCTGCGTTTTGTCTCGGACAGAGTCATCACTCGTACCTTCGCTCTTCTGAAGCATTCACCTCATTTGAAAGCCTTGTAGTGTAGAGATTGTGGATTTGGTGCAGAAAAACATCGCTTTTTTTCAGCGTAAAGATCACATAGTGGCGAAGAAATGGTCAAAATTTTCATTGTCTAGCTTATGATGAGTAGCGGAGGTCGTCTGCGGAGAGCTTTATTTCCCTGGATAGCTGGCGAACCTGTACACAGCCCCCCTACACCATATATGCTTCAGTGCGCTTGGCGTTTCTGGGTCTGCAGACTGTCCCAATGGTTTGTGTGGGAGTCTCACAGACAACAGAGCGCGTCGTTGGCGTTGGGGTCTCGGCGATAGTACCGGTTGGTCTCACTCCAACAGTGATATCAGCGTTGCCTCTGCCTTGTTGGCCTTCAACAACAATGAATGTATTTCCTACAGTTCCAGCGGGTAGACCAGCGGCTTTCCAGGCATTGTAGTGGTTCCGGAATGTAATGGTGCCACCGCGACGAGATCTATAATTTGCAAATACACAGTCAGTAAGCTGTAAGCAATATGCTGCCATCCGTTCACCCAACATGGCAATCCATGTAATGTGTGTCGTCAAACTATTTCGTATGCGGGATTTACGTACGTTCTTCTGACAGCAAAGTATTGGCGAAGATTGCCATTGTATTTAGACCAAAGCTCGTACTGAGCACCGTCGCTGTTGTGGTAGCCGTAGAATGAGTGACCTGCATTGTCGGAGGGATTGTGCTCGGCAAACGCTTCCACGACGTAGAATTCTACAAACGGGTTACTCGTGAAGCCATAGAGACCAAAATAGGAGTTGCCCTGGGGATTGTATTTCGCCGTGTAGTTAACCACGCTAAGAATCAATCAGCATAACGAGGATTCTGACTTGGAGGGCAAACGGACAGGTCAGGGCTTCCTCGGTAACCTTTACCAACAACAAAGTTACCTCCAGGTCCCAAAACCCAGTCTACAGTGAAGCGGCCGGCTTCAAGACTTTTGTACGTGTAGTTTGTGGTGTCTTGGCCATTGCCCCAGTTTTGGATGATGAACTGCTGGCTTTGGGCAACAGAGAAGAGCGCACCAGCTGTGACAAGGATTTGTTTGAGTGAAATCATATTGTAGTATGACCGGGATGGTGCGAAGTAAGATGAGAGTGTAATAGCAGTGAAGACACGCTGCTACTTGTACCTTTGCCGATACTCCAACGCAGCACGCGAAATGGTTTATCGTTGTTCGTGATTGACATCATTAGGGCTTTGGCGTTTCTGCAGTCATTTTTTTTATCCGGTGGCAATGTTCATTGTAGCTACGCCAATGCTGCGATGCAACATTGAAAGACTTTGACATGTTCGTGAGCGGTATTATTAGAAGCACACGGAATCCGAATGCTATAGTTTTACCCGGTAGCGATCATGTCGGGTAGGGAGCTAAACTCGGTACTGGGAAAGCAATGCAGGAGATAAACCGGGTTGCGAAGATGCAGCGCAGCCAAAACAATATAAAATACGGATCGCGCGGATCATTGCAGAGTTTGTCGGTCAGAGTCCGCTGGGTTTATATATTATAGTCTTTAATCCACTAGCTTTCAACTATTATCTACGAGAGAGGCACCGAGAGATGTATCAAACTTCTAGTCTTCGCCATAAATGGTATCTAGTGCACCACTCCAAAGGGAACTAGCCGGCAAATGGTATGTGGCAAGGCTTTGCAAAATCTAAGAAAGCTTAGGGATTGCTTAGGAATATGCAGGGTGTAAGCCGTTGCTTTCGTGAACTGCAGATAAGATGCCGAGTGTCAAATCCAAGAGCGCCAACATCTCGTATGCGGACCGATGTCGCTCAACTTTGCTACCCATTCTCCCATGCGGGTTAGCGCTGGATGATTCGACACATTTATGTGATCAAGAGTCTTGTCGCCTAAGAAATCAAGGTAAGATATGGTCACCATTCTTTGAGAAGTTTTTCCGTCCCTTCGACATCACGCTCATATCTTCCATAATGTATGAAGAGCTCACAAAACGTGAAATTTGTAGTAGGATAGCATCAATATCTTCGCTCCATAAGTCCTTCCTAAGCCATCACTTTCACTCGATTGTCCAAGGAAGTTTACATAGAAACGCATCGAGTAGAAAAGATAGCGTCCTACACGTCAGCACTCGTATTACCTGCATACCTAGGTATACCCAGTCTGCAATATCCACGTGACCAATGCGGCCATACGCCAACACGGAGCCAAAGTGATTAGCATAGTACCCAAATAGGCAGTTGAACATAGTGTTATCCATCATTGTGCATATCGACCCCTCGCTAGGAATTGTGCCAAGTTTTCCGCCTCGTATTATGCTTACTTTGCATTCATTTGCCGATCCTTGGACTCTTCGAGAAGCAGCCGCTGATTGCATCCTCCGTTTCCTTGAGTACTAGGTACGATATTGTTATCGCAATACATTTTCTCGTATTTTGAATGCCCTGTGACAACTCATGCTCACTTCACGAGGTCAGATTGCGTCACCCTGCAACGTAGTGACGTAGGCGCAAAGCCGCACCTGGTGTAAATCCACAGGGAATTTCAACTCTAGGGATACTTCACTCACGCTTGGCTTCTGGAACTAGAATCTCAATCATCTATATCGTACTCTCCCTGAAGAATTTCCCTTTCACGAAATCCACAAGTCCAAATTTATGCCAGTCCTTATCAATAAAAATTGACGGAACACATGGGCAAGATCTGATACCGGTTTGGCCAGCAAGGTTTACCCTGTCAACTTCGGAAGTTTGATCAGTCACGTGTGCCTCCTAGATGTTTCTGTCATCGACGACAAAGTGCGAAAAGTCCACAACAGATTCTGTCGAGTCCATTGCTAGAACTGATTCATCGTTCAAATATGCTTTCATGGTGCGAGTAACTGCCTGGGGCTCACGAGTTACCGTTTGAGTCATTTGATGATGCATTTGAGATGCGTATGATATTGTACTATACTACCGGTGTGTTCCAATCTTAGAATCTCCATTCAAAGCATGGGATGATCAAGGCTATTTACGTCCGCGGTTGTGACATTGGCTTCAATGAGATTCTGGACAACCTTCTCCTTACAGCCTGGAGTTATTCAATCTGAGAAGTTGAGGGATTGCCAAGAAAGTAGAACTCAAGCCACCATCTATGGCAAAATACACAGTCTCCACGGTGGGATGGGGGTCAACCACAGGTTCTCCATAACTGTGCTTTACGAAGGACCACAAAAGCAACGGCCGTTGTTCATTGAGAACGCAACGGAGCAGTCAATGTGCAGTGCGGATATCTGACCCTCGCTACTTAGTAACAGAATTCAGATTGGCTTTGATTGATATATCAGCTATGTTGACTACGGAATGTTCCTGACAGGCCAATGCACATGGTCCTTCGGTCGAAAAATCTCGATTAAGCTTTCTAGCTATGACAGCCACTAGCTCCTTAGGCGCTCGGGGTTCTGCAGGATTCATATAACAAACCACCTGGTATGGTCATTCCCCGTTTATTCTTCTGATCTTGCAAGTAAGGCAAACATTGTAATCTTGATTTTGATACCTAGTAACAACTGGAGAATGAAATAGTGATCTATCAAACACCAATGCAAACCTACTCATGATAATCCAAAACCATGCTAACCAAATTGCGCCGAAGTATTGGATACGATAAACGAGGGTACACTAAACGCAGGTACGATATACGAAGGGTTTCGGATACCGCCCCGTCTTTTTAAGCTCACAGCCTCACGCTTGAACAGAGATCAAAGCGCCTACACACTAGGAACAAGCCTACCACCAAATTTTACACGCCCAACAAATGCTTTAGCGTCGACATATGAAGCAATGTAGTCGTCAAATGTGAGAATGAGGAGGGAAATCCTCAGCCAGTAACCCTATATCTGAATCCAGTGCCGAGCTAGCATCTTCTACTTTTTGTGACTACTTCGCAAGGCGATAGGACAATAAGGACTTCAGTGATTTCACGGTGATTGTCGGAGACGAAGATTGCGTGTCGGCACGGACCGCAGAGAAAGCATGGTTCAATGACCCAAAAAATCCACCCCTGGTATTCCTATGCATATCATTATTCGCAATCCTGGCTCACATCGTCGTATGCGCCGTTCTCGTATCTGCTGCACCATAAAACTACGCGCGTTTGCACCATTTAAGCAACCTTTTCTTTCGGGCCTATAGGGGAACCTCCCTAATAAGACACTATAAAAATGCCTTTAAGTCGATCGTTGAAGCCACAATTTCAACGCCACAATCTTTAACAACATCAAGTCTGAACCACATGATATGGATCCTGCTTGGGACGACCCTCCTCCTTATGAATTGCACTCTTCTGGTGATGTTCTTGCTAGCACTTGCACATTGAAGGGTACCGTATTGCACTTCCCACCACGTGCGCAACACTGACTGTGTATTACAGCTGATGGGACTCTCGATATCGATTTCGCATCTGCGGCCCCCGAAGAGTTGGATAAACTGCTACCTGTACAGCAGCCAACGTTAGAAGAGCCGACACTCAGACCTGCGGGGAAATGTCCACCACTCAATATCGTGGTGCAGGTGGTTGGTAGTCGGGGAGATGTTCAACCGTTCATAGCCCTTGGAACTGCTTTGAAAAGATACGGACATCGTGTACGACTGGCGACCCATGATGTGTTTGCAGACTTTGTTCGAAAATCAGGCTTGGAATTCTATCCTATTGGTGGTGATCCCGAGGAGTTGATGTCTGTGAGTGCATCCATTGATTCAAATCTACCATCACGTGCTTACCTGTACATCGCGACTCAGTACATGGTGCGCAACCCGGGGCTTCTTCCATCCCTCGATTCTTTGAAAGGAGGCGACATTCCTCGAAAACGACGCATGATCTACGAGATGTTGCGAGGCTGTGGGAATTCTTGCATGCTTCCCGATCCAGTCACTCATGAACCGTTCGTTGCAAATGCTATTATAGCGAACCCTCCATCTTTTGCGCATGTGCACTGTGCGCAAGCTTTGGGTATCCCTGTGCATATGATGTTCACGATGCCATGGACGGCTACAAGTGCATTTCCGCATCCGCTCACCAATCTGAGAACAAAAGATATGAAGCAATCGCACGCAAATTACTATAGCTATGGCGTCGTCAACATGATGACTTGGCAAGGGTAAGATGTTGTCTCTCCTCTACTGGATATGCCGTTTTGAGTGGGATGATTGCGGACTGTCGGAAGCTGATTTCTATTCACAGGTTAGGCGATGTTATCAACAGGTGGCGGGTGAAGGACCTGCAACTAGAACCCATACACACGAGCATGGGCCCAGATCTAGTCGATTTTCTGAAGGTACCCGTCACATACTGCTGGTCACCTGCACTGGTTCCAAAACCGCAAGATTGGGGATCAAATATAGGCTGGTACCCCAATCTCGATTTTTGTTTCACCTCAAACTAATATGCACAAGATATATGCGGCTTTTTCATGCGAGATGAACCGGTATATACACCACCCGAAGACCTCGCGAATTTTCTTCGCGCCGGTCCCGCCCCTGTGTATATTGGATTTGGAAGTATAGTTCTGGAAGACGCTAAGAAAATGACTCAACTCATTCTTCACGCTTGTAAGACAGCGGGGGTTAGAGTTGTCATTTCAAGAGGTTGGAGTAAATTGGGCGGTGATGACTCGAGTGCTGGCGATGTTTTCTATCTTGGAGACTGTCCTCATGGTAAGTCATGATGAGTTATCGGACCTCGAACCTCGTTGAAAATCTCAAGAGTGGCTCTTCAAACAAGTTTCCGCCGTTGTACATCATGGTGGAGCGGGTACCACAGCGTGCGGTCTGTACAATGCACGACCGACGGTCATTGTCCCTTTCTTCGGCGAGTAAGTCTCCCACTGATTTCCAAGTAATAAGTATTAGTGGCTGACATGAACAATAGCCAACCTTTCTGGGGCAATGTCGTTGCCAGCAATGGCGCCGGACCACTTCCAATACCGCACAAGGAACTGGACAGTCACAATTTGGCAGAGGCGATCAAGTTCTGCCTTAAATCTGAGGCCCAGCAAGCTGCTCGAGTTGTCGCGGAGCAAATGCGCCGCGAAAATGGTGTTGAAACGGCTGTACAGTCCTTTCATCGCCATTTAAACATCCCGGATTTGATCTGTGGTGTCATACCTCAGAATGCTGCAGACTGGGTTTGTCGCCTGCCAAAATCTAAACTGGATACCAGACTATCTCATGCCGCGCTGAAGAAGTATATTTCTAGTGGACAGCTGAAGCCCGCACATGCACTGCCGTAAGACAACTACTCTAATCTTTTCTATGTAAAGCAAATCGTGTCTAACGTCACACAAGATACCGGCCTAAGGAGTACAACACAGATGTTGAGCGATGGGACCCACTGACTGGAGGTGCATCAGCTACGCTAGGAATCATGACTGAGTTCACATCCGCTCTAGGTGGCACCTTCATCAATCCGTTCAAGGATTACAAGCAAGCTCGACTTGCAGGTGACGGAGGTGGGTCGGCTGCAGCACTTGCTGTGGGCAAGGGGTTCGTATCCATGGGGACCAGCGTGACAAAAGGCACTCTCGTGGGCATGCCGTTGGCACTCGCAGAGGGGCTTCGGAATACACCAAGGTTATACGGCGACGAAGTCAAAGATCTTGGGAAAGTCAAAGATTGGAAGAGTGGGGGAATTGTTGCCGCAAAGGTGTGTGCCGCTTTCTATATCAACAGTGTTAATTTTCTAACTTTATGAACAGAATTGCGGAATGGGATTCTACGAGGGAGTCACTGACATCGTGACCAAGCCCTATGTTGGTGCAAAGAAAGAAGGAACCCTTGGCTTCGTGAAAGGTGTGGGCAAGGGTTCACTGAATATGGTAGCCAAACCTGGAAGTGGTAAGTACTACTCCGATCTTCACCATGCTTAGTAATCTTGACACTAAAGATTAACCATAGCAATGTTTGGGCTGTTGGCGTATCCTGCACAAGGGATCTATAAGAGTGTAAAGAGCTTTGGGAAGAACACAATCACAGACTTAGTCAGGACTGAGAAACTGGCAAGTTTCGAGCGCTACAACTCTTCGCAGGGCAATCATTAGCGGCAAAGGTTGTGCACGGCATTGAGTGTATTATAGTAGGATGTATTCATATTTTCACGGGCGATATATTCGTAATCTATGATATTAATACCTTGCATGACATCGTTATCAAGACACGGTCATAGAACCCATAAAAATCGGCCGGGGTGACTGTCGATCCTTTCCCTCGACTATTTATATCAAATTGCGTCAGAGCGTATCCGGCATATCGGTACAGGATCGCGCATTAAAAAGTGTATTTCTAAAAAGTCTAGCTATCGAAAAGGATGGAAATTATAGGGTACGAAATATTCTTCTCTACTAGCTGTGTGCCCAAAGACCCTGCGGTCGCATTACCCTCGTCCACTACGCCTCCACATCCTTCAGAACGGGATACTTGGAGAGATACGGGTTATACGCGTCGCGACACCTCCCGTTGTAATCTTCCTTTTCTCCAACCTCAATAGCAAGCTCATTTCCTTTGACACCCAATAAGCCCACAACACTCTGTCCAGGCTTCGCTTTCTCCCATCCAGGTCCCTGTGTAGGATTCTTGATCCATTCAACGAACCAATCGTTTTGGAAATCCGCCAACGCTTGCTCCTCGCTTGTTACACCGTCGATCTCCTGGAAGCATTCGTTGCCACCCAGGAAGAAGGGGATCTCGGTGCCGTGAGTGGGAGCCTGCACTTGAGATGGGAGTCCCCATACGTTGGCATAGTCGCCGAAGAACCGGTACGCCCAGGTATCTTGCTTGGTGCTGCGAAGCTCGAGAAGATAATCAACCGGGCAAAAAAAGCGAGCGTCGCCGTATTGAGCGCCGCTCATCGCCGAGACGGAAGGGTAGTCTGAAGCATTGTATGCGGATAGGAGTACGTCTTTGGGAATCTCAGCGACATCTGCGTCGAAGGTGTCGATCCATTTCTCGAAATCCGTGTTCTCCCCGCCGTAGACGAGGCCGAAGACGGATCCTTCATAGGCAGAGTTTCCAGTAATCAGTGGAACATGGGAAGCATACTTTCCCTCCGCAAACCTCGACTCATAATCCTGGAATCGCGTGATTTCGTCAACGGCAGGTGTGAACCATGTGTTGTAGGTAGCGTTGAAGTTTTCAGTTTGGAATGCGTACATATCAACCTTACGCAAACAGTCTAGTTGGCCACCGGCTGCAGCGCTAGGGCAACCAACTTCGGCGGCGACGATATCCAGGGCTTGGTTGGTAGGGGCGACGGCGGGTCCGGATTTGGCATTTGCCGCCATCTGCACGGCGCCTGCAAGGAACGTGTCGGGGTGATTCCAGAGGTAGTGATCTACCTGCACGGAACCAGAGGAGTGACCACCGAAGACGATATGGTTAGGGTTACCTCCAAATGCTGTAGGGGAAAACATCAGTAACCGAATCATTGCTTGGAAATATCTGGAAGGATTCCGGGCAAAGACTTACCCGCAATGTTATCGCGAACCCACTGTAGAGCTTTGTCAACATCTAGGATGCCAAAGTTTTGCGACGACCCAGTGTTCTGTAGCTCCGCAGAGTTCGGGTACGCATAAATGCTCTCTCTCGTGTTGAAGCTGACAAATATGACACCTTTACGCGCGAAGTTGTTGCCCTGAAATTGCGGGTTGCTACTGGAACCCGTCACCATTGCTCCGCCGTACATGTAAACAAATACAGGCAGACCCTCCGCGTCATTCTTCGCTGCTGTATCACGGGGTTTCGTGAAGAGTTGAACTATTTTGTTCAGCCAGTCTGCCAACCAAGCCAACGAGTGAATGGAGGCCGAACCATTAGCAGGCGAAGCGGATGCCGGCGCCCAGATGTTGAGATTCAGGCAGTCTTCGTCTTGCTGAGAGAAAGACGTTCCGCTTATGGCTTGGGGACATGTCGGACCATATTTCGAGGCGTCGAATACGGTGCCTGGTTTGGCTTTCGGGACATCTTGAGGGGCTTTCCATCTGTTTCATCCAGTCATTTTGTTAGCATGGATGGGTCTATGTAGAAACAGGAAGGGTTACAAGTATCCTGTCATGAAGAGAACACGGCATACCTGTTATTGCCACCTGTCGTATCTGCGAAAGGAATACCCAGAAATACTGAATTTCCAAAATCATCGCAGAATCCCTCCACCACCCCTTGCGGGAGAGCGACGGTCGATTTGGGATTGGCAGCCCTGCTCACTGCGGCGCCACATACTGTCACCACGGATGCACTAAGCGTTATTAGAGTGGTGAACTTCATGGTATCCCGCGTGGCTGGCAGCGTGTTGATCAGTGACAGGCAGTCAAAGTTAATAAAGGAGTGCCAACACCCCTTTGGAAGACTTCGAAACCACAAACACGGGAGAAGAAGGGCCCGTCAGCAGCCACTTAGGTGTTGAACTAACGTATTCGCCTCAGAACTCAAGCTTGACAAATTCGAATTGGTGCGCCGGCTGACCCTGAAATGGTTACTTCATATGGGGTCTGTGCTATGAGATTTGTTGGCTGTGACTTAATTAGGGTTTGGGCTACAAGATGCATTCCAAGATCAAAGTACGGCGGGAAAGCCTCGGCTTCATGCGTGCGATCGGCAAACTTATGGTGGCAAGTTGTTTGGCTTCTGAAATCACAGATTTGCCCATGCGTTTTGACATCCAGATTTTGAATCTCCCTCGGTACAGGACTGATTGGGTCGTAGGTGAGTCCGCGTGGGTCTCATAGCTCATGATGACATGACTAGTTATACGACGACACGCAAATGGGATTTCTCTGAACGGCTTTGTGTGGAACAGTGGAATTGAGCTCCACTATCTATTAGAAAAGTACGGTAACTTGCTGTCTGACATATATCGTTGAAATTTGGGGTACGATTTGGGGATCGTACGGGTACTGACGCAATCTGCAGAGGTGCATATCTAGCCAAACTTTGTTGGTACGTGAGACGTATCTCATCAAAGCCCAACCCGTTCTTCATCGTGTACAAGAAGTATTGGGCAGATGATTTCAATTTCAAACACCGCCACCATTCTAGAACGGCAAATGAGAAAGCATCTGCATGGAAGGCTGAGGATCAAAATTAAAACATAAGACGCCAACGACCACACTAGAGTGCAGAATTCTCCACCAGACTGCGCAACCGAGCACAGCAAAGGGCCGAATAGCACGGGAGACGGAACCACCATCCAACTCGAGCTTAACCAACTTGAATGCTGAACTATAACAAGTGGAGTCTCTGATGAACCAATGGAAGTTTGACAACTTCGCCGTCTAGAAAATCCATGAGACGTTTTTCATTGGTAGTGCTCTATTTTCACACTACTATGGCCTCAACGAGTTTGGGTAACGGCACAGTAAAACGGATTTGGGTACCCTGGAGCGAAGCGAACACCAGGTTATCGGGGGCCGCGATTCATGTGTGGAGAGAATCCGAGCGATCGGGGTACGATGGTACACCGAATATCACCATGTACAAGAGCAAAGACAGCCCCGCTGGTCTCCCTGGCATTGCGTGCATATACCTTGAGCCCACGTGTTTGTTATGTAGATCATAACCCCTTAGTACCTCTCTCACATCCTCAAAGTGACAGGTTTTCCACCTGATTTTTATCCGGTGAGATGGGAGCCAACGGGTATGGTCAAGTGGTATATTCTTCCCCGATGAGTCCTCTCGAATGTTCATTTTTGCTAACTTTGCTGTGTAGATATCATGGTATATTTGCACCGTCGCCGCTATCCCTTTTGTCTGCCTGCGTATGTTCGCCAGGTTCAGAAAGTTTGGCAAACTCGCAATCGATGACTACCTTATCCTTCTGGCCTTGGGCTGCCTGGTCGGCGATCTCGCCATCCAACAACACATGTGGAATTTAGGACTGGGCGATATGTCCCAGGTAACACCTGAAAACTTCAAGAGCATCATGCAGATGATCGTGCCCGGCTCCATCCTCTATGTGTCATCCCTATGGGCGATCAAATTTGCGCTGGTCATCTTCTATAAACGTCTTTCGGCGGCGGGGTCTCGACTATCAATGATCTACAATGTCGCACTCGGTGGTCTGGCCGCTATGTTCTTGGTCATATTCTTCCATATCTTGTTCCAATGCTATCCATACGACAAGCGGTGGTCCACTGATCCCGATTGTAAGTGCAGCTTTCCGCGTGCAAAGTACTTTCTAACAGTTCACAGATCAATGTGATCCCAAAGCAGCACAGATCAACTACTGGATCACCATCTTCTGTGGGTCAACCAAATATTCTCGCAAGTCTTGGGCGCGGTGCTAACAGTCACTTTTCAGTCAACATCGGCTCAGACGTCGTAATAATGGCCCTCCCAATCGCCATGGTATCCCGCCTCCAGATGAAAATCAAACAAAAAATCGGCGTAGCCTCCATGTTCGCGCTGGGCCTCTTCGTCATCATCGCAAGCAGTACGTCACTTACGCTACCCCTCCAACCCCTTAGCAACCCGAGTGGTCCTTGAAAAAAAAAAGAAAACAAAAAAACTAACTCTTTAACCCCCCAGTAATCCGCGCCTACTACTCCCACAAAAACGAAACAATGCTCACCTGCACCGTCTCCATGGTCGAAAGTGCCATCGCTCTAATAATCGCCTGCCTCCCCGCCCTACGCTCCATGATCATCGGCGGCACCACCCGCGGCGACCCAAGCAGCTACGGCAGACACTACGAAATCAGCCTCACGGGCCGCCGACGGACAGGGAATTTTGGAAACGTGAGCGCCATTGGCTCCGCGAATCCGCATGCTTCGTCTGCTGGGAGGACCTCGAGGAGCCACCCAAACGGCTCTGAGGATTCGCTGGTTTCGGAGGAGGAAGCCATAGAGTTGGATGGCAGAGGGGTCGGGATTAAAGTCGAGACTACTATTCAGACATTGTATGGGGATTTGGATAGGCATAGTAAGGCGGAGAGCTCCAAGAGTGTGGTTTGAGATGGAGATACTTGTTAGGGGTGTAAAGGTGTATTCATGATATAGATTTGGTTTTAATGATTATAGACTTGATTATTCTGAGCATTAAGTGTTTTTGTTCTGTCACTGTCTAACCTTCAGTTATCCTAGAGGACGAATACCCCTGAAAATATATTAGAAAAAATGGCCCCTTATTACAATTCCATAGTCTTTTCAGCAGAAAGGTGTAGCTTGAAGAATATACACAGCGAACAGAATCAGAGTCCAGAAGACTACTTATCGTCCCCGTTCCCGATCAGGGAGACACAAAAAGAAATTAGGGTATCTTTGTACGCTCAGACATAAGAAAACTCAATAAGAAAGAAACCCCCCATCCGAAGCATAGAAATACACGAAATTGCAAAACAAAAATATTACAATAGGTATCCGAAGAGTGTGTCTACCCCTGACCAAAGACGCACACAAGTATCGGAGCAAGAAAGTCGGAGCCATAACAGCGACCCCCTAAAGACTAAAAACGACGAGGCGGTCGATGGCGATAATTAGTCCACGACGCCTGTTTAGATGCCGAGGATACCACGCAGGGCAAACACTAACGAGCCATTCTATCCAGAAAACCCCAAAAATAAGGTTTCCTGCCTTCCCGCCCCTCTCAATCCTATTGAGGAATTGGTATTGATTGGTGCTAGAGGGTTTCCCATTGTATTGACAAGCAAACGGACGTCGGTGGCTACACGGAAATGGAAGGTGAGGTTTCGCGACGGCGTTGTTCGGAATCGGGCCGGCGTTTGATGGACAAGTTGACAAGGCGGCTTGGGTGGGCATGAAGCGGCGAGACTGGTTGGTGGATCGTTCCGAGCGGCGCCGGGTTGATCGCGGGGCTGATTTGTTTTTGGAGGTTGGGTTGGCCTTTGGATAATCTCTTCGAAGGCGGGTTGTTCGTGTGGTGGTTGGCTGCGGGATGAGATGTGTTGGGTAAGTGTTTCGTTAACGCTTTCTCTCCCTCTCTCCTAAGAACAGATTTGTGCTGTACCGTGATCATGGATTCGGCTCGTATTCGCTGAGCTCTTTATTTTCGTGGTTGTCGTAGAATGATGGTCACTCATCCCGTTTCAAGTCACTCTAGCAACTCTCCCCGGCATCCCAATCCCAACAGGGCTAATTTCCATTCGCATGGCGGTGGTAATTTCCATCGCATCACTACTCCTCCTCAAGTCGCCCAGCTCAACATCGTCCATGGCCATCCCGTGTACCCTCCCCTGCAGCATCTGCTCGACGCTATCTCCACTGTCGTTCCGCTTTGAGTGCGCTTTCCAGCTAGCTCTATGAGTGGAGCGCACGGGGCTTGGAAGATTTGGATAAATGTTCGTATTCGCAGACGCGGGGTCGAGGTAAGGACCTAAGTGATTCATGTCGGTGGCAAAGGGGGACGGCGGTGGGTTCTTGGCTGGGTTGGGAGAGCGGCTGCCGGAACGGTTGTAGAGAGTTGAGGCAGCGGAGTGAGGGAACGATTTCTTTTCGTTGGGGCCGCCGTGGTGCGAGTTTTGCCCGTATGAGAAGTACTGCGTTATACCTTTGCTTAGGAAGCGGAATAGGGGGCGCCACTTGATCTTGGAGTCAGTGACTGTTTTCTATGGTTTGGCTGGAGGTTGGCTACTTACGGTTGGCATGCAGGCGGCGAGAATACCGACACTTCCTTCAACCGTGCTGAGAGCTTGAACGGGAACATTATCCCCTGTTACACACTCGTTAGATCTTTAGCTGTCTTTGTTGAGGGTCTAGCAGAGACTTACAAGATGGATCCACCATGTTGATTCTGTTCGCCTTGACGAGACGAACAATTGATATGATGCAGACAACTCCGCCAACGGCAAAGAGCGAGCATATACTCCACTTCGCACGCTTGTTAAGTTGAAGTCCCATGACAACGGGGATAGGAAGAATAAGGAGCAGCCAGTCCGTAACGATGTGGACTGAGCCCAGTAATACAATCGCTGATGTCAAATTGGTCAGCGACTCTCTTGCATCGAAGTGAGTTGGTTTCGACATACCCAAATTGAATTTTACACATTTGGTGCTACCGGGGCCTTCCGTCCACAAGGCACTGACAGGTATCTATTCAAGCTCCAGAGTCAGAGAAGTGATGTCAAGGTGCTTGCGGCGAGCTTCATACATACACATTGCAAAATATACACAAGCGGTTGAGTAATTCCCAGTGCTATCACAAAGGCAGCGACGCCCAAAAGCGTTGGAACCCAGCCACGGGCGAGCTGGAATATACGATGGTAAAGAGCCAAGATGGAGAGCTTGGTGAACATGAGGGTGCAACTGTAAAATGTCGTCGCAGCAAGACTCGTCTACGTCGATCAAGTTAGCGATCATGGCCATCCGCTGTACTCCATGCTGACTGACCTTGGACATGGATTTGCGATCTGTAACAAAGATGGCATGCCTACCCATCCCCCACTGGACGGTACTCATACAAGCCGTGCCATGGCCACACAGTGCAACCTAAACACTCGTCAGTCCGGAACCAAAAAACCTTTGTGAATCTCATGAAAATTGCACGTGTTGCTGTCGGTAATTCGAGTCATGCACGAACATGATATCGCCGCATCCTTCGGAGATTTCAAAGGGTCGAACACGCCACCAGTCCGTGCTCCCGCCAACAACAACGATCCCATCGACGTACACTAAACTGCTTGCGACAGCAACGACAACAAAACGTCTAGGTACTTGTCCGATGGAAAGATTGTATTCGAAATAGTGCCAGGATGTGGAGCAGAGAGCTTTTTGGGAGGATGTAGGATGTTCTTGTTGAGTAACGTACCACTGCGACAAAGATGAACCAGTCGTCCGTCCCCAACTTCGCGCCGATCTTGATGCGCGAGCCGAATCGCAGTGCGACGGATACGAAGCCCAAGAGGAGGAACGTTGAGTGAACTGCCAGCATCATGGGCCTGCGATCGTCGTCGGCATGCGCCATCATGTAGTCGATCTGATCGGGTGTTGGTCCTGTTGGAGGAGACATGTCGATAGTTGGAAAGGAACTTCAAGCCGTGCTTGCAAGCTATCGTAGATCGATGAATCTGCTCCGCCGAGAAGTTGAACGAAGGTTTAACTCTGTTATGTTTTCCCACTGCAGGGACGCCGACTGCGTATATGCGGAGCCAAAGAACGAAAGGTACTTGTTAACACATGTATATGTATGTAGGACGCCTGAGAAAATCGCGAGAGAGTCGTAAGAACAAGAACAAGAATCCAGATAGACTGGTGGGGAGCAATTCATTTTTATTGTCTGGACTCGGGGTTACCGTAAAGCTAGAATATAATCATATTCTTTCCAGAACAGTCCGGATTACCGCGCTGGTGTGATTGAGGTGGTATAGCGGTCGGGTATTAAAGTCGCAGCGAGGCCTGCTGCCCGTTTAGGCGATGCAACGGGTTTGCGCGTGTGGTACAGTGACAGATCGTTCATAATATCCGTGGGCGAAGGATGGACACTCGGAGTCAGCGTTGGTTGGGTTTGGGGAGTGTCAGGCGCTGTACAGTGCAAGTGAAGAATATCCAACACTTGTTTATTTCCTTTACTTCGCCACTTTCGCGTTTAGGCCTTCTTTTCGCGGGAACTGAGTTGAACGTAGGGCTGTTCCGAGGTACACCTTAATTCGGATGTGATACAGGGGTACGTTTGTTAGTATCTATCAATACTCACTTTGGTTCCCGGCCGCCTTAACTATCGAAATGACGTCTATCTTCTATGATCGCGAGGTCCTTCACAGGTTCCCTGGCATGCCCCATCCAAGACGGTGATGAAGAGCTTGTTTTACAATCCTGGCCAGCAATTTCTCCTATAATCCCTCATATAACTTTCTAGAAGCATCAAAGCACATTTCCCCAAGCTAGTCTCACTGAAGATCGAAAACACAAAAAAACACCCGTTGATGAACAGCACGTGCTCCTCCTTTTCCGATCTCTTTCTAGCCCACTCGATCTAATCCCTGGACCCTACCATACATACTGCGCCCTGCTCCTCTCTACAATGACATACCACCTCCGGCCTTCCCATCCTCGTCTTCCCACATCTACCTTCCCACATCTACCTTCCCATCTTCGCCTTCCCTTCCCACTCCCTTTCCACTACCTGCCCCATTATCCCAGCCCCATCCTCTCCCAACAACACCCACTCACAACGCCGAAAGAAGCACACACAGCCCAATCCAATCCAATTCTAACCCACCCTCTTTCCACTCCCCCTAAAGCCCGCGTCGCAAATCCCGTTCGCATCACTTCCTTTCCCCCCTTTCCAGAAGAAAAACACTTCACCTGCTTCATTCAGTGCATGAGCAGTGCATTTGGTCTAGCTTCCCAATCTAGAAGATGGGCACAAAATACGAATCGAGTTTGTTGATCATGGATGCCAGCGCAGTTTTTTTTTCTCATGTCTTATCACGATGTCCGGTGGTAGGACGAGAGTAATTGAGGGGAGATGGGTATGTGTGTATGTGTGCGAGATGGGGGAATATGATGAGTACTTATCACGGCTCTTCAGAAGTTGTTTATGATATACGTCATTCGATGGGGCGGGATCAGCGATGATGTATAATAAATTCGTAACGTGTTATCAACAAGCTCCACGGCATCACATTCATAATCGCACCCTCACTACCCGTTGGACCCTACTATCCCATCAAAACGCTAGTTGAACATCGAAGCATCCAGCCAAAAGATGAAAAACATGACAGACTTTAAAGCTTGATGAAGCTAGCTGTCGCTTCAAGACTCAACATTCAAAACCTGCCCACTCTCCTGGTCAATAGCAACTTTGACGCGTTTCGTAGATGCCTTCCTCGGGTTCTTGGCCTCGAAGATGTCTTTGAGTTCTTCGAGGGTTTTGCCGGCGGTTTCGACGAAAAAGCTGGAGAAAGCACACAAATCACGGTCAGCAGTCTGCTTCATCGCCATTCATCAAATAGAGAATATGAATAGAGAGAGGGACGAAAGGGGGAGAGATAAGGGGGGAAAACTCACAAATAAACCACGACGATTTCAACACCGATCCAGATGATGTATACAATGTAAAGCTTCCACTGGATCTTCTCCATACCCACCGAGACTCCAAACGTGTTAACAACCATGGCAACGTTCAAGAACAAGAAGTTCATGCCGGATCCTTTGGCACGCATGCGATTATCCAGTACTTCCACAGAGTACAGCGTTTGTAGTGGAGTCCATCCCCAAGCGAAGCAGATTCCGAAGAGGTAGATGCTGACAATCGTACCGTACGAGAGGTTGTTTTCGGGGGTGGACTTTGCAGTGAAGGCAGTGAGGAGGATGTAGCAGAAGAGAGCACCGATGAGGCCTCCAATAAGCATTTTGCGACGGCCGAGTTTGTCGAGGAGAGTTGCGCCGTACACTGCGGCGATGAGACTGAAAAGGGGGTTTATGGCGTTGATGAGAAGCTGGGTTTTTACGTTCTCGATGCCGGCTTGTTCGATCATCTGGGGTAAGAAGTAGGATACTACGTTGTTTCCTGACCATTGGCCGAAGAAGGCCATGCAGATGACGAGGGCGATGCGGTAGCGCGCGGCGGGTGTATTTCCCAGCTCGCGGAAGTCCCACCATGGATTGTCGTTGCGGGTGACGGAGAAGTCGTTTTGGATTTCCTCAATCTGGAGACGCACGATGGGGGCTTCCGCATCGCCATCGCCGTGATATTTGGCCATGACTGCAATGGCTTCTTCGGTGCGGTCTTTAGCCATGAGCCAGCGGGGAGATTCGGGGAAAAACATGATGAAGGCCATCACGATGCCTGGCATGATACATTGGACCAAAGTGGGGAGACGCCACGCCCAGGAAGATTTCTCGAGGTGGAGGTTGGTGCCGTAGGTTGTCCAGGAGGCTATGATGTTACCTGCAAAGAGTCAGTTTGTTAAAAGATCGGGAAATTAGTACTTGGTATGTTTGTCTGAGATCCGTTGAGGAGAATGCGGATAAAACACAGCAACTTTGTAACCGAGATAAGCATCACTTACCAACCCACCAGAAGTTGTTGTACATTCCGGCCATGGTTCCACGGTATTTCGGGTGGGCGAGCTCGACAGTGTAGGCAGGACCAGCAGCACTCGCAATACTAGCACCGAATCCCAAGAGGAATCTGCCTCCGATGAACTGGCCAGTGCCATGGGCGGTAGTCTGTACGGCTGTTCCGACAAGCACAAGCGCACATCCCACAAATATACACACTCTTCGCCCGTATCCGTCGGCAAGCCAGCCGCAAAAGGGGAAAGCTGCAATCTGCCCGAGAGCATACACGATGAAGACGATGCCGGTGGAAGATCCCTTTCCGGAAAGACCAAAGGTCTTTTGGTAGGCTTCCATTGCGTTGATGGCGCCCATGAGAGACGAGTCGAAACCATTCATGGTCGAGACTAGGTAGCCAATTGACATGATACCGTAGAGTTGAATCATATTCCTGGACCATAGTCTGGGCTTTTGAGCTTCGATAGCGGCAGCTACAGAATAGAAAGTTAGCCAATCCCCATAGTTTTTGCTGTGGTCGGTATGCGGGAACGACGCAAATACAGATGTAGTATTACCACAGCGTAGGGGAGAACCTTACCAAGACCCACAGACGCAACATTCGCCTCAACCACATTCCCAGAAATCTTCACATCCTCATACGCGACATCGTGATGATCAGTCTCCGACGCATGTTTGTTGTCCATCTTGATCAATCTAGCAGAGCAGTAGCTAGCTCTTCAAGATCCAGATTCCAGGTCAAGTCCAAGGCTGAAGCAGCAAGGGGAAGAGAAACAGCTGATTAGACACAGTCAAACCAGGGGGCCTGGCAGATATTTGAATGAAATCAAAGAAACCGCGACGACGCACGCGCTCCTCTAGATAGTTTCATAGAAGGGGCCGGGGGTCATTATATGGGGATATAAATCGTCTTAGTTCCTCAAATTAGCCAGGGTATCTTCGCTTGCGAGCGGGGGAATACCCCATGGGCTTTTCTGGAAAGCTACCTGGGGTTAGCTCGCGGCGAGACATGCTGCTTTCGTGAAAGATGTGTTGGAGCCAAGTTTTCGCTCTTTGCGCCTGCCGCAGCACCTAAGAGCTTAACATGCTGTTGGATATCTTTTCGATGTCCGCAACGCTCAATAGACGTTGCGATTGGCATCGCCTGCTCTCTTCAGCAATCTCTCGCAATCCACGCCCAGACACCGCAGTCATGAGAGATAGCTCCAGCCCACTTCGTCCTCTGACACTTGCCGCGACATCTAATCGCCCAACACAGGGTCCTCACCCCAACAACCATCTACATGATGGCTTGCAAGCCCGACCTCCATGACATTTAGCTCATGATGAACTATACTTCTTCCGTGAAAGGACGTGTACGAGCCGAGATTCTTTTCTAGCGCCTACCGAAGCACTTGAGGAGCTTGTCGTCCTGTTGCCGTTGTGGGTATCACTTCCGCGCCGCCCGCCTGGACGCTGGTGAAGAATTTTCTATCTCTTCTTCCCGCCCACCGGTTCGGCGACACCTGAAGCTGCTATGGCCGGGTGTCTAACCCTGGACGGCGAGAGTCCGGGGATCGATCGGGCTGGTGTTGTTGTTGTGTGTGGGGAAAATGTCATGCCTGGCAACTTACTCGGAGTACCCTGACTAGGCCCCAAAGAACAACCAAAAGGAGGGGGAACCGCGAAGGTCAATTGGTTGTCTGTTGCGACGTCGTCCACGTTCTGCTTCGGAGCCGTATACAGCATAACCCGAATTCGAGATAGCTGACAACAGGAATGCTTCCCATCTTTCTCCCTCGCAGATCCAACGGCTATCGTGGACAGAGAAATTTCAATCAAGACCTGCTTGGCCTGCGGTCTAGGCACAATGGAACAAGCATATTTCCCCGCACACGAAAAATGCCAGCGTCCCCGGCCCCGTAGCCATCCTTGGGCATACCCCCGGTGAGATCTCACAGCTGCTCAAGAAAAACGAAAGGGAAAGCTTGGGGACCGCTGTTGCCCGCCGGCGCTTTTCTTGGTTGTTCTCCTTGCGAAAGCAGAGCGGGAGGCGCTGACGGTCCACGGATAAGTACTTACCTCGGCATGACTGAGGAATCCTAAATGCGCCGAGAGAGGATCCGCATACACACACGCACGGATGGTCAGCAGTGAAATGGTCACGCGTTCATTTTTGTTTCTTCGCTCGAGTAAGGGCAGGGAATCGAAGGATGCAACAGCTTGGGAAGCTAGTTTCTCCACCAATTGACAAGCGTAAATTGAGTAGTTTTGTCTTTCACTTGCGGAATTCTTTTGAGTTTTCCGCCAGATTTCTCTCAATGTGGTCGCTTGCATCGTTTGGTTGATAATTGATATTCAGGTCGATTATAGTTCATACACTTCGCCCCATCGCATCTGTAGAGGATGCCGCAAGAACTGGATAATACATACGTAAAAGCAACATAAGAAACAAGATTCGGTGATAACGGTACAAGGAAATGGAGGTAGGGGTTGAGGGAGTGTTCGTCTCGTAGTTCAACTGAACGTGACAGAATGTTCGTGGTAAGTATTACAAAAGATATATGCCATGGTATACAAAGGAAAATAGACGCCGCTTTTTCTGAGATTGAGGAAAAGAGATCGCTGAAGAATAGATGGCAGGGTATCAAACCGCTTCAGAAAGTAATGCGTAACCGTGGAAATGGGAGAAGACATATCGTGATACAGATGGAGAAGAATAGAAATCAAACCGGTTGCTAGACGGAAACGTCACGCGTGTTCGGATCATGGAATTGAAACGTTATGAAATGCGAGGATGGTGCGCTCAAAATCGGGGGCCATCGTAGTTCCCGCCCAGACTTCCCCAGGCCGCGAGTACATCGTCGCTAATACTGTTGCGTGCAATACTAGTCGTACTGCCCATGCTACCGACACGGCTATTTGCGCGACTGCCTCGACTGGAACGACCGGGACCAAGATGATTGCGGGCAGGGGACGATGTCCGCGAAGACGACACGCTATTTTGTCTGCTGTTGAGAAGACCATTGGTGGAGACAGAAACAACGCTCTTGCGAAGGGAGCTCTTCCTCGGGAGTCTTGGATTGGTGTGGTGAGGCTCAGCAGAATAAGACGCTATAGAAGATACCTCTGACACAGGGCGAAGTTCTTTCTCGCTTGGTTTTCTAAGCATCGTCACTGGGATGTCTGTTCCGCTTGACGCTGTACGTCGACGACGATGATTTGTGGAAGGATCGTCGGGTTTGATGCTACCTGGAGGCGGGTCAATGACGCCAGTCTCAAAAACGGCCACCTCATCATTGTCGCTATGCATGGAGGGTTCACTGCTAGCAACTTTGACAACGATATCGGATTCGCCGTTGCGCAACCCAGGCGTTATAGGTGACGGAAATGGGGTCAAATGGTCTGTAGTGCTTTGGGAAATAACGCTCAAACGTTTTGAAGGAGTTGGAAAGAGATCGAGCGGAGAGAATTCAGGAGGCGAGAGACGACGCGGAAATGTGGCCTTCTCCGCAGGCACCTGGTAGCGATCGGAACGAAGGGTTTCACCCAGAGAACTGTCGTTTCCACCGCTACTTTCTCCGCTGGAGTTTTTGGCGTGAGCGGAGCGGCCCCGTCTCATGGCTGAGGCGAGTGGGGTTTGGAGGGGAGCCGGAGCTTTCCTACCCGACTTCTTCTTTTCATCAACCATCCGCACAGGACTCTCAGAAGGGCTCTCAGTCGACAAGAATGCCGACGTCCGATGCGATCTATGTTTTGATTGCGGTGGAGTGGCTTGACGGGTGGCTTCCTCTTCATTTACTGCAGTTGCACCGCCCTGGATCGAGCTCTGCTGCATCATGGCTGCCCGTTTCTTCCGCAGCGCCTCCAAGAGAGCCTCCTCCTCTGGTGTCACGGCCATGAACTTCTGCGCTTCCAACCGAGATCGAGGCTCACTGGTCGATGTGCGGACGCTGCGTGACGATGGCGACTGTGGAGGCACAGCGGTTCGAGGGCGGGCCTCTTCACTCTCGGCCTCACGAATGACGGACGGTTGCTGCCTTACGTGGCTTGATCGTCGGCTGTTGGTACTGAAATTCCGCGGGAACTGCTGCATGGCATATGGCTCCGGTGTATACATGACTTCGATGGTAGCAGCATTTGTCGACGTCGACATCATACTCAGTTTTCCAACCGATGATTTCCTATTATGGGTTGGCCGCACCGGGAAGGCGGCTTCCGCTTGTCCAATGATTATATCTCCATGCTCTGCCATGTTGATGCTATCGCGAACAGATACTTTATTCATGTTAGGAGCCTTGTTAGAATCCACATCGCTATCACCCTCATCTTCGGAAGAGGAGAAGGATAAGACGCTCGAGTTTTGCAGATTGGAGCGCGACAAAGAAGAATCCTTGGTCCTGGCTGTGGTCTGTGATGTCAGGCTTTGCAACGAAAGCTGGCTGGGTGAATTCAACCGGTGAGCCAAGGTGGGTTTGGAATGACTATACTGTGCCTTTCTGGGATCCAGCATTTGATGTGCGACGTGTGGCTGCTGAGCTCTAGACGCACTGGAGCTTTGCTCCATATGTCCAGGAAAAGAATTTTTCTGTCGAAGGGCAGGTTCATGATTACGATGTTGGGCAGGAGCCGGGGAAGGACCCGGTGGGGCGTCTTCCTCTTCATCGAATTCGTCGCTGTCGAAGCCATCGAACCAATGCTTGATGCCAGGAGGAGGACGACGAACATTGATCTTGGCATTGTCGTACTGGTCACGCTTGTACAACCGAGTGGGAGACGTCGTCCTTTTGATTATTTGGGCAGACGAGTTCTGCTGAGGCCTCGGTTTGGTCAATTTGGCTTGACCCCGCAGAGTCGGGGTAGGCTCGCGTGGCATAGGTTGAGGGAAGTAATCCGACGCAGGGGACAGGGCCATTGGTGAGTTTACCATCTTGTTGGGCGAGAGAAGACTCTTATCGAACCCCTGGCCTCCATGACCCCTCGGTTTAGGGAACAGTTTGGCCAGATCCAGTCGCGGTGTGACACTCCTTCGGTTACTTCCCTTGTTCTTACGACTTGCGCTATCGCTGAAGGTCTCATGGGACAATGGACTGGAACTGTAATGGTCGTTGCCATTGCCATTGCCAGTGCCGTCGGCGTGGGAGGTTACAATCTGAGGTTTGCCTTTCCGGAGAGCCAGGTCCCGCACAGCCGAGTTGGACGTTTGCTGGGATATGGACAAAGGCGAGCTTCGAGCATCGTAATGGGAACGCATAGTCGAGTCGGAACCACGTGGCCGCAGGTGCCTGCTGAAGGAGCTGGAGGGCGAGGTGGGAGGTTCACTGCCAATGAAGGCCATGCTGGAAGGTGGAAGCAAGGTGGAAGAAGCACGGTTGGACGGAGCAGAAGGTTTTGGCAAGGAGTATTCGTGGGGAGCAGTACGGTCGGAAGCGGCATCAGAGAGGGTGACGGTTACATGGGCTGGACTGGGCGGCGGGATAGAGGACGTCTGTCGCGAGCTCGGACGGAAAGGAGGGCCGTCAGTTCCAAGAATTCGCTGGGCTTTTGAGGTGGCGGAAGAAGAGTTGGTGCGAAGAAAAGGCGAGGAAGAGAGGGAGGGCGAAGGCTGCTGGTGGGATCCGGCGGAGGAGTAGGAGGTGGGAGTGGGAGGGACGGTGGGGCGGCCATGGATGCTGTTGGTGTTATCACGGTCGACGACGACGCTTTCGACCAACTTGGGGTGAGACTTGCGACCGGGCAAGGGAAAGGAGAACTTGGAGCCCTTGTGGCGCGCCATGGTAGGGCGGAAGGGTTCAGGATTGCTTCGGTGGCTTTCTAGCGGGTTTGGCAGTGGTGGAATAGGGACGGGCAGCAGGCCAGCTGCGACTCGCTCGGGGCGAGGGCAATATTGTGGACTGAGTCGCGGGGAGTAGCAGATATGTTGGGACTACAGAGGGGGACGCATGGGCCTCGGAGGGGACAGCAGATGCGCCCCAATGACGATACGGCGGCGAGGCGGAGGACTAGCGATGGCACTTTGTGTCTTTGGCATATGTATAGCAGCGGGAGAGCGACGACGGGTCGGTTTGGGGAGTGGGTACAGGCAGGTAGTGTGCTGGGCTGGGCGGCCGACGACGACGAAGACGACGAGGCGACGAGCGGGTGGTTCAAGCGCGGGCGGCGGGCAAAGACGGCGGGAGAGGGAGGGAGGGAGCGGGTGAGGATGTAGCAAGCAAGCAACAGGAGTGTATTGGAGGATTCGTGGATGCTGTGGTGTTCCAACGGGCAGCAGTCTGAGCGTTGAGACAGGCAAGGATGCGACGGGATGGTTGCAGATGGTGAAGGGGGGGGGCAAGAGGAGGAGGAAAAGAAGGGGAGAGGGATAGAAACACGGGCAAGATAGGTAGATTGATAGCAGACAGACAGAGAGGCTAATTATTGATGATTTGCAAGGCCCTTGTACATGGAAAAGTCCCTGGCATCGGGTGCTATGTACAACTTTGGGTGCCTAGTGGGCAGAAGTGTGATGATATAGGTAGGCGGGTGGTTATATCTTCACTCTCGCCCATGGTTGCTTTGTCCCGCCTTTTGCTCCAGCAAGGGCACCTGCCCGTGCCTCATTCGTCACTTGGGGCCCATGTGGGCAAGTAACTTTGCTGGAGGGAAAGGCGGACGATCCTCCCAGTGCCTCCTCTGGCATCTTGCGAGGGGGGGGAGAAGAGATTGGGGAGAGAATCCAGGGGTGTTGATGTGCAAAACGACGCTGATTGGCTGTGCATGGGGCGGGAAGCCGTGCGCGACGGCGCTTTCGCTACGTGCAGCTAGCGCATACTAGCGTCTTGGCAACACATCCTCCCCTGCTCGTCTTTCCTTTTCGTCGGCTTGGTTCCTTTTGGTCAATTCATCGTCCCATTATCTCCTCTCAAAAGAACCATTGCATGAATGAATGTCTTCCACGACAGCCATCGTCTTGGGGCTGCGATATGCCTTGCAATGCAGGCGCTTATTCGACGCATGAACGCCTACCAAGGACGCAATCATCCGCCCTGTACCGTGGCCTTGCTTGTTCCGCCAGAACCAGAAAGCAAAAACGAACCCTCTCACGGTTTCGTCTAGATGAACACGTACCGCCAGAATAACAACACGCTGCGCGCACATGTGTCTCCATCCGCGTTTTCTCTTCTTCTAGGCCCACAAAAACTAATTCGAACCTGGTTTTCGACCTGTAGTCGGGTCATGGTGTCCATCATCATCATCATCTACCTTGGTCCCCACACGCCAACTTGTATTTCACCACCCGGCCATTGACTCGTTGCGCGCCATTGCCGCATCCAAGACCCTTAATATCCATCTTCTCGCCGTCAAACCCGCTGTCCCGGCACCCAGCTTCCACTCCCTATCTACTCGGCTTCGGTACACTCTCCCACTGAAGACTGCGCCCTACCCAGATCCTCACTCACATCACATGCTCACCCACGTTCACGCCACATGGCTGTCGACAGTCACCAGCTCACTTGTTTGCTTATTGTCTGCAGCCCTTCGTCTTTCCCACCCATTTTGCTTCTTCTTCAGCTTTAACCACTTTATCAATCCGGAGGCCAGTTCATGTGCTTTTTGTCCTTTTCTCTTCTTTTTCTTTCCTCCATGCGATCCAATGTTCTGGTCCTCGATTTCTATTCTCGTCATTGTAGTTGTTGTTGCTACTAGCCTTGACCCTTTTGATCATCACATCCGTGCGTGCCCTGTCCACTGACTTGCAGGCACCTGCGCACGCACAGCACAGCTTCTGTACCTCACCACCAGAGACTAGGGTTACAGAAATCAAATCGACATAGTTACTCGTCATGCTTGCGTGCTTCTCAGTTCTGTTCCCCTATTGCCCCCATATCTCGGCGATCACGGGCCTTTCATCTCTATCATGTATCACTCAATGTCTTGCATTGAAAGGGTATACCTGCATGTATTTGGGCACCCTCCATCCACTCTTCAGCCCACGCTGAAAATAGAATCGCGAGACTTGTTTTTGACGGAATAAACTTTCCGACTTCTGATTTCGAGACTTTTTTCTTTCGTGGATACTAATCACGACTCCAATCTTCCGTCACTCTCGAGAGCGTAGTATTGCGACTTGCATGTCCTACTGCTCCCTACTACCGCTACATCGCGTCTTCTCCCCGGTCTTCCCATCTCTCCCCGTTTCTTTGCCCCACATACTAGTGTAGTTGATCGCTTCTCATTGCTCCTGCTTTACCAATACTACTCATAGATTTCATCGTTGGATCACCTATGGCGTATGCTCCCCCACATAAAGGCAAAACGCACACACGCTTATTCTATCTCTCTATCTGCATCTACTATCCCTCACGGTCTCCAAGTCGAATATATCCCAGATCCCGAAATGCTGGGCCAGGATTCTACTTTGCTACATATAGCCAGCACCAACTAGCCTTACTACTTTGGTGCTTTTTGATTATCTTTCTCATCCGTCCACTCGCGCTATGTTGTCCCATGAGACAGCACGATGCGTTAGTAATCGGTGCTCCACATCTGTCCTGTGTTGGTGCTGGATCTACTATACGAGCATCACGCAGCGTATCCGTATAAGCGTGAATTCACTAAGGTGGGTAACCCCTCTATCAAAGTCATAATTTGCTGGTGCTCTCAAGAACGATTTCTTCTGTTACTCAACATTTGAGCATTTACACCTCCATCGTCTGCGCGCGCTCGCTCACTTTTCAATCCTGGGCCTCTTCCAAACAGAGCTCTGAGCCTGTAACGACGCACGCCAGCACCACGGTGGATGTGCAGCACGAATTCGACGGTAATCCAGCACTACCTATCTATGAGTTGCTTGCATATCATAGTAAAGCCAGACATACTTGATAAGCAAGAGTGAGTGCATGTCAGCAGAGAGGTAACCTCGTTAGGTTTAGCATCAATCGAAATGCACAACTTAGTCTCCAAGTGTAGACTACGCCATGCAGGGTCCAAGAGTGTCGGAAAAGGAAACGATGCACCCTTGAAGCTAACACCACAACTGGGCAATAAATGTAGACAAGTGCGCACTTGAGCAAGACAGCCAACTATCTTCTAGGGCTCGCTGGAAATGGTACAGTGTATTAGTTACACGAGGGACGAAGGACTTGCTAACCGCCAGTCGGGGGTAAGCATGTAGGGCAGCGCCACCCAAACGCAGCCCTATCCTCCTTCTAGTTGGTAAATATGACTGCTTCGTATATTCGTCTTCATTTGACTGTACAAGGATTTTCTGTCAACGCTTTTCAGAACGCAGTGGTTTGTTTGCAGACTGCCTTCAAGGGTGTGATGCACTTGTCCTAAATTAAAATGGACTTTATAAGATGTTGCCTCCCCGCCGTCCACCGCTGCTGCTCCTAGCACTTGTTTTCCTATCTGTCCTGTATACATCGCCCCCAATGGCTGAAGAAAAACCCACCATTGTCATCATCTCAGGCGCCTGGCACGTGCCCGAGTCGTACGCCAAATTGACCGGCGCGTTGGAGAAACAAGGCTTCAAAGTCCTAGTCCCGCGTCTACCCTCTACAGCCCAGATCCGTCCACCAACCGCCAGCCTAGAAGCCGATTCAACCTTCATGCGCGAGTTCGTCCAGGATCTAGTCAACAAAGGCACCGTCGTCGCCGCTCTGATGCATTCGTACGGCGGACAAGTAGGCACCAACGCCCTCGAGGGCCTGGGCACGCCTACAGAGGCCGGCGGCCGCGTTTCCCAGCTCATCTACATGACGGCGTTCGCCCTGGACGCTGGCTGGTCCATGATCGACAAGGTCGAGGAGTTCGGCCACGGAGATCTAATGCCGCTTGCCTTTGACTTCGCCGACGACAAGACGGTCGTCAGCCGCGACCCCAAGATGCTGTTGGTTGGCGACGCTGCTGGAATCCCGGACCAGGACGTCGATGCTTACATTGCCACTTTTGTGCGCTGGAACGGCCAGGGCATGTACGATAAAATCTCCAGGGCGGCGTGGAGGGGGATCCCCACATGTTATATCTTGGCTATGCGGGATATGACGGTCCCTTTGGATTACCAGAGGTCTATGGTTGAGCTCATGAGGAAGGAAGGCAGCGAGGTGCGCACTTTTGAGATTGAGAGCGGCCATTGTCCGAATTTTTCCGAGACTGCTTGCTCCTAAACTTCACAGCTCGGGTCCCTGATTTATTGTATATAGTGCTGCTTTGCTTCTTTGTAGGATCATTCCTAGCGGAATATTCTGATCACATTTTTATCATACACGTCAAGCCCTCGTCTCGGTAATGATCGTAATGAGAAAGAGAAAATAATGAGAAATGAGAAATGAAAACGAAACACTAGGCCTGTAGAGTCTTTGCATCTCGTCTCATGTGTATCAGCAACAACACTTCGGATATTTTTTCTCTCTACCTATCTGGTATCCAATGTTTAATTAGCGTCGCGTGACATTCGTGTCCAGATACCTTCCCTTGCATTGACATGTCTCTCTCCAGTCTACTGTTCTTTGTTCGTACATCAAGTGCTTTGTCCGCGCTTTGGCTGTCTCTGCTAAGAGCACCCGAGACAATTTGCCGTGTTTTCGCATCGAGTGTCTGGTCCTCGTTGGAAAAAGTAAGTATACGGTGAAATATGCCAAAAGTCAAATGCCACGTTCTACCAATCAATTGATGGATTGTCCGCAACGAACCGTGTAAACCTCATCGGGGTGGAAGGGACTTGAGTCAGCAGCTTCAGTCGATGAATGGTCCCGTTTTATTTGCGATTGGTGATCGAGATTAGCAGTCTAAGTTTAGCTTAAGGCCAACATTTATTTCCAATAAGTTCCTGCTATTCTGTAACTAGACACCTCAGGTGGACGTTAATGTGTGTTTCTGTACGCTATCTGAAAGTCAGACATAGCAAGCAAGACTTGTATATGTTTTAGAAACTCTTGAGAACCATGCTTCTCGCTTTAGTAGAGATCAGAGAAGAAAATGGTTATAGATAAGCGCTCACAACCGCCTTCTGGTGCAGTAGAAACCACGAAAAACAACACAAACTGGTCATACTACATTGTATTGGTATCAAACTATCTTACCCATGTCTACATCAAACCTCACGACCAACAAGGTCGATTCATCGAAATCGAGCAAAGCTCCATTACCCAAATCCAATATCGACACAACTCCAACATCTTTAGTCGCCGATCTACAAGATGATCATCCAGGAACGAGGAATGAGGAACTCTCAGCCTCCACCCCAGACTATGAAGACGGAACAACAGCGATGGAGAGCAACGACACAAACACAGTTCCGAAAGATCCCCAGCCTTACCCCTCGTCTTCGACAATCACTACTCCCGCAATAAGTAAACAACTTGTATTCACGAGTGCTTTCACACCAACTGGCGGAAACTCCCTTGTTCAAGCGCTCTTCATTCGAATCCGGGGAACAGATTTCAAGGAGCGTGGTGACTTGTGCCACATAATTTGGGTGGGTAGTATGAAAGTGCTGATGCGGGGCCGAGGGCCGTCGGAGGGCCACCTGTCCAAAGCAGAAGGGTATGTGGATGCCGGCAGAGTCAATCGATTTGCAGCTTATTGCTTCGAGTTCCCGCTTGCAGCTGCGTGGCAGACGCAAACGGCGGAAAATCTGTTCAAGGATTGGCTAGAACGTCTAAAGGGGGAAGAACGGTGGATAAGGGAGGTGAGACCGTTACTGGACTAAGCGGGGGTACATCTATACGCTTTTCCATGTTTCTTCGGCAGACAATGTAACAGTCTGATCGCTTTTGATTTCCTTTGTTTGCATGTTGGGTTGTACGGCCTCTAGCGTATTGCGCCATTACCGCAGTACTGCGTGCTTTTGTTTCATCGCTGGTAGAGAGGGAATTGGAGTTGGCGGTCTAGAATGTGGCTCTCGCAATTGCTTTGATCAAAGAAAATTCTATTCTTATGGGGATTTTTTATTTCATTTTTCTGATGAAAGTCAGAGACCTGAGTAGCCTATGGGTTATCGGAGACTGGTGTGCGATAATACGACCTAAGTAATTTATGTTTCTTTCTTTCATACATGCTTTCCCTTGTTATCTTCGCGGGTTCTTTATCTTTCCAGGAGCAGCACCGCACACCGACTAATGGACTCGAATAGAGTACAGCCAATGTAATCTTCTTTGTCCCATTTGCTATCGTGGGAACGAGATGGTTTATGCCCTGGTATAAGAGTCCCTGGCAAAACGGATTTCGCCAAGTTGGAAATCATGCAAGCTTACAACATATCGGAATTCCAGCACGTATTCTTCCAAGATGTATACCAAGAAAGAGACAGCTATGCGGATCTGGGGGGCCGAGAATCACAGTGAGGCTTTTGAAAAGTTTTGCGACAATAAGGATTATTTAGAAAATGAAGACAAGAAATGGGAGAAATCTGTCTCAATGAAGTTCCCTTACTACTCTTCCGATCCTCTCCCCAGTCCGCTTCCAACAGTAGAGGAGATAGAGGCAGCAAGATTCACTGAACTCGAACTATCCAAGGACCTCCCATGCGCTAGCCACGTTTTCAAGATTCGAGACTACGCTGTCAAAATCTGCAGCTACCCAGGACCGCTACAGGTATGAATGAATGCTTACTCGTGTTATCATGTGCGGGACACTTTCGCTAAAGATCCATTTTATAGGAAGCAGAGAACATGGTATTCCTAGAGAAAAACTGTCCCGGTTTAAAGATACCCAAAGTATACGCAGCCTACAAGAACCAAGGGGGCGACTTCAATCTCTATCTAAAAAGGTACCCGAAAGAGTACCCGGACCGATCCACTTTGTCCCCGACATATTTACTCGTCACCTCATATGCGGATGGTCCATCCTGCTACACGCCGGTCTGGCAATCCCTATCCCAAACAGCGAGGAACAACATACTGCGAAAACTAGGAGAACAGATGCGGCTCTTACGAAGCGTTCCCCCGCCCAACCCCCAATACTACGGCCGTATCCACAGTCAGGGTTTCCCCAAGGACGATTATGTCTTCTTAGGGGGGATACAAGACCTCACAACTGCTTGGAACGGACCGTTTTACAGCCACAAAGACTTTGCGGGGCAAATCATGGAGGCTGGTTTGGCATGGGCGTGTGTGCAGCATGGCGAATTCAACGGCGAGTTGCAACTGCTTCTCGAGACCTACGAGGACGTCATGTCGCGTGCCAGCGGACAGAATGCGATACTGTACCACGGGGATCTGCAACTGCATAACATCATCGCCATCGAGAACAAGGATGACAAGGATGACCCTGACATCTGTATAATAGACTGGGCAACCATGGGGTGGATGCCGGCATACATGGAGACGGTACGAACCTTGTGTCGAGGCAAGGCGTCGGTTTCCATGACGCTTGATCACAACACGTACCTATACGAGTTGCACAAAGGCGATGGCCAGGCGCATTTGGAGACGGCGTTTTACCTGACTAATTTTTTGGCGGCGGCGAATATCTCCATGTAGCTTCCGATTGCTCCACGCATGAAGAATCATGCAACTGAATTCATTGAAGATGCCTGTTTCCATCATTTCATGTCATTCATCTCGTAAACAGACACCATGTGTGCGGGCAGATGTCTCCAACCGGAACTTGTAACACACCCTCGCAATTGAATGTCTTTGATATCACCTGTTTCTTTTGTCTCCAGTTTTGTCACTATTATGTGGGCGAGCGTCATATCCAATCCCATCCAAAAAAGAACACTACAATGTAGATATCTACACCGTGCTTGTTGGTATATGAATCCCTCTCGTTGTGCCTAGTCGGTTGGTGCTCGCCTGCCATTGGTGGATTTGGACATTTGAGCTCGATGATCTCGCCCCGCCCAACGGGCGCAACTATATATGGTGTTATGTGCGCAAAGTAGATGTACATGGCATTTGTCTAAATGATTTTTTTTCTGAAGATAAGATCAGCTGACGGCGAGACTAGCTGCAGCGGAGACACCAAATATACTGCAATATTTGTAGAGGGCCGAGTACATATGGTATGCAGGTAGTACGCACAGCGACTACCGTGTTCGTGTGTATATATGTGCTTGGTTAAGTACCGATTGCTTACTTAACAAGTAGATTAACATATATGAAGTCATGGTTAAGGGTGTCGCTATTTTATATATGCTTAGATGGGATTGAAAAGTAGACGAGATTCTAGTCAGCTTTTACAGTGCATGTGGTCATGAGATAACGTGCGCTTACATATGTACATGGACGCGACATAGATGCTGCTGCTGGGACTCTAGATGCTCAGGCAGCGTGAACAATCAGTAAAAGGGCAAGGCGTGCTTCGACAAGTTGAATACTGTTGCGGTCCGAGAACAGGGCGTGGCAGGTCTATAAACCATCTTACATATGCTTTGGGCGGGTGAAGGGGGATAAAGTTCACGATAGTTGTTTGCGCCATCAGCGTACCCGGTATCGATGAAGCAGATGACGCATTTGGCGATGCAAGGGATGAGAAATGTCTGCAACGTGCATGCACAGAAAATCAGTGAAGAGAGATGGGGAGACGTGTTATTAATTGAGCAGGTATATGTCTGATGTTTAATACAAGAGGCGGGTAGCTAGTCAGGCCGTCAGCCACGGAGGTTTCGCTGTCGGTCGGCTGCATCCTTGCCGAGAGAGAAAGAGCAAGGCAAGGCAGGCAGGCACGTCGTTGGTCGTTGCTTCCCCACCACTCTGGCACCCGCTCACTCACTCACTCACTCACTCACTCACTCACACCTTCTTCTACTCTCTCACTCCCTCCAAACTGACACACGCACACACACCGCACCACGCCTCCTCCTCCCCTCCGATCATTCTCGTTACTCTCGGGTCGACTGTACCATGTGCCATCGTCGTCTCTTGTAATATCATCTACGCACAGAGTCCGTCGCCACCCATCTGCCTCGCCCCCGGCATCCGAGCCTTCGTCCCCTGGGTTCGCCGCTCTTCTGTCAGCCAGCACCAACCTTACCCGAGGGCCACAAACAGGACTCCAGCCCGCCGTCAAAACTCCTCACTACGTTGCTTCACGCCTCCACCGTACCTTCCCATGTTGTGTTAAAAGTGCACGCCTTCTTGCTGCGCGTTTCCGTCTCGCGTCTCGCCGCCCTCGACCACCACCACCTCCACTACCATGACCTCACCAGACCGCAGGGCCGAGGTCGGCTCGACAACGATCCAGCAGAGTCCGACCATGGAGCCCTTTGGCACTGTGGCACGTCTGTCCATCGCTCCTGCTACCACGACGACCGTCATCACCACAACCACTACTACCACGACCCAGTTCCCTCCCATGTACATGAAACAGCCCCGAAGCCTAAGCGAACGCGATCCTAAGGAATACCCTCTCGCTCACACTATGGCCCCGGAGTCCATACGCAAGATTTGTTTCGATGTCGGTGGCGAGCAGGCTCTATTTGAGGAAGCCAGTGATGGCCCGGCAGCCATGGCAGAGCACCAGCACCTCCACCGAAATCTTAACCTCTCTAACGGGAAGCTTCAAGCGTATGAATCTTCCAAGGGCAAACCCACCTTCGCAACTCCATCCCGCATCACACGCCCGAGTAACCCTGTACCTCATCCAGCCTTGCGTTCTGTGTCGGGACGCCGGAAGCGATCGTCCTCCCCCCTTTCCCCTCCTTCGATCTATGAGGCCGCCGAGCTGGTCCTAAACCGACGAAACAAGAAACCGCGCCTCTCGCTCCATAACCAGAGAAACAGCAGCACTACTGCACTAAGCTCCAACTTCACCCCAGACGAGTGTGACGACTCAGTCCCCGCCACGCCTGATACCGATGCCGGAGGGTCAAGACCTCTGGATACAACACGTCCCAACAGAGTCAACCCAGCCTCGCTTCCGCAGGCAACCCGGAAATCACGGCAGCCTCCGGCATGGCAGCTTCAGGAGCCTATGGCTGGACCATCCAACGACAAGCAGACACCGGAGGGGAATCTCGCAAACGCTCTCGACCACAGAGTGTCTACACCTGTTCTGGAAGGCCCTGGTACGTATTGATGGAAGAGACGCCATATTACGTGGCGTTTTGACACTTCACTCGCCCACTGCATATACCTTGTAGAATTATGCTGACTGTTATTCCCTTTTTCTAGGTATCGCAGCAACCCCTCCTATTGCAGACACAGATTTAGAACCGGTCGGTCCCTTTGCGCCTACAGACATGGCGTATCCACAACGACCCACTCCCTTGGATACGGTATCTGCACAGGATGCGAGCTTACCTAGCCCTAGCTTGTCCCCCGTTACAGCAGCTGCTAATCTAGCACAACAAAACACATCCGCTGCATCATTTTTGCGAGATGACGAAGAAGATCCCCATGATGTATCCAGCTTGGACATTTCCCAAGATTTCTCCGTCGAGCGCCATACTTCCACTCAACTCGCATCGCCTTCGTGGCCCAAGCGAATCCAACTTCCCGAACCAGAGTTGAACCCCAGTCTGCATGCTCAGCTGCCAACACCTCCCACTGTCATGGACGTCCCAACCATGCTGGATAGTTTTGATCAATTACCCGACCAAATGAAGACATATGTCATGTATCAGATGCTTCGGAGATGTCCTAAGCCAACTTTACACTTCGTTGCGGACGTCGTCAACCCCGCTTTAAAGTGCGACTTCATTGCCTTGCTTCCGGTGGAGCTCAGTCTGAACATCATTGGTTATCTTGATGCACAGAGTATGTGCAGTGCAGCGCAGGTGTCTCGCAAGTGGCGGGAGATGATCGATACTAATGAAGGGGCTTGGAAAGATCTTTTGGACAGAGATGGCTACGCTCTGCCAGATAACGAATTGGAAAGGGCCATGGATGAGGGGTGGGGATGGCAATATCCAGAATCGCGTGATAGCTATGAACGCGACCTTCGACCTGCCCCGTCCAGTGGGACATCGGACGCAACATCATCTGGGACATCGGACGCAACATCATCTGGGACATCGGACGCAACATCATCTGGGACATCGGACACAAACTCATCTGGGACAACGGACGCAACCTCCTCGCCCGTCAATTCTGGCCTCAGCACAATTGTCGAACCAGAAGGCGCCGTTACACGGGCATCTGCGTTTCGGCTCAAGAGAAAGGCAATCGGCAGGCACCTTGGAAGCGGCAACAAAAAGATGCGCAAGAAAGGCTCCCTTCCTCCGACCCAGCTCCAGAGCATTCTGCAGGCTCCCTTCGCCCCGTCCCAGCAAGGACCATTCGAATGCGCCAAGATCGCTAGGCTAAATGTGCCGGAGTCTGACATTGGCCTCCCCACACTGCGTAAAATGCATCTTTACAAGTCACTGTACCGAAGACACCATTCTATACGCAAAAGCTGGATGGATACCGAGACTCAACCGAAGCATATTGCCTTCCGTGCTCATCAGCGCCATGTTGTAACATGCCTCCAGTTCGACACGGAAAAGATTCTGACTGGTAGTGACGACACCCATATCAATGTATATAACACCAAAACCGGAGCTCTTCTCAATCGCTTAGAAGGTCACGAGGGTGGCGTGTGGGCACTCCAATATGAAGGAAACACACTGGTCTCGGGCTCTACCGACCGTTCAGTTCGAGTGTGGGATATCGCCAAGGGCAAATGCACCCAGATTTTCCAAGGCCATACATCCACTGTACGATGTCTAGTCATTGTTAAGCCAGTCAAGGTTGGGGAGACAGCAGATGGACAGCCAATCATGATGCCCAAGGAGGACTTGATCATTACTGGCTCGCGAGATTCGTCACTCCGTGTGTGGAAGCTTCCCAAACCCGGCGATAGGAGCATTATGCAGACTGGAACCTCTGCAAACGACTACGATAACCCGTACTTCATCCGTGCGCTTACAGGACATCATCACTCTGTACGTGCTATCGCCGCCCACTGTGATACTTTAGTCAGTGGAAGCTACGACTGCAACGTCCGCGTCTGGAAGGTCTCCACTGGCGAGGTGCAGTACCGACTCCAAGGCCACACGCAAAAAGTATACAGCGTTGTCTTGGACACGGAACGCAACCGCTGTATCAGTGGTTCGATGGACAATATGGTCAAGGTATGGTCGCTTGATACAGGAGCTTGCATCTTCACCTTGGAAGGGCATACGTCGCTTGTTGGGCTCTTGGATTTGAGCCACGGCCGTCTGGTTTCAGCAGCGGCAGACAGTACACTACGTATCTGGGATCCCGAAAATGGACAGTGCAAGAGTCGGCTTTGCGCTCATACTGGGGCGATAACGTGTTTCCAGCACGATGGGCAAAAAGTGATATCTGGCTCTGACCGCACACTTAAGATGTGGAACGTCCAAACGGGAGAATTTGTCAAAGATCTGTTGACGGATCTGAGCGGTGTGTGGCAAGTCAAATTCAATGAGCGCCGCTGCGTCGCAGCTGTGCAGCGAAACAACCTGACATATATTGAGGTATGTGGATGCCCTTCTACTGTCTCTTTTCAACTCTCACTGACATGAATAAAGGTTCTGGACTTTGGTGCCTCACGAGATGGTGTGCCTCTGGAGGAGCGAAACAGGCGAATTGTTGTCGACCTTGGAGGCAAGGAGATGTCCGAGACTGCAGAGACTGCAGAGACTGCCGAGACCGCCGAGATAGAGGGAGAAGGCAATTGAGTGTCAACCAGGCATGTTCTACGCCAACTGTTTACAACCAAAAAACCAACAGATACCCCCTTTGCAGCGACTTGAAGCTTTTGACACGCACAGGTGGAGATTAGGCTTCTGATGTTTTTCTTTCTTCATTCTTCGAAAAGGGTTTTAAGGGTTGTTATCGTAGCATGGCTAGCATGCGTTTATGTGGGTTTCTTTGCTTTCCGTATACCATCTTCTGTGGGCATGTGCGAGTCCACGTTGCATACACATGGCGTTATTATGGTATCCACGCGCAGGGACATGCAAACAGGGCGTTTTCCTTTCCTTTCTTCACATGTTTTTCTTTCCTCAAGCTGTCACGAAGCATTTGTTGACAGGATGATGGGTATTGCGAGCGCGGATTGCTCAGAGCATAGTTATAGGCTGAATGATGAGATTACACATAATGATATACCCAAGAGGCATTCACTATGTATTCCAGTCAAGATTGAGAGTGCAATATGGCTGTTGAATCCAAAGGTTGTGTTGTCGTTCCCATGTACCATGGGTTCATACATGGGTACTTGGATCCGTGTATTCAGGCAGGATAACCCCGCCTACCGCCTACCCCAAGCTCCTCGCCTTTCTGGGAAGCTTCCGGCTAGCACCTCTTAACCACCCACACCCGCAGCATTCTGCAATGCAATACGCGGCAGCAATCCTCCATGCCCGCTGCTTATTTCTTTCACTTGGCCTTTGAGCTCTATCCTACGCGCTCACCAACATCATCATCGTCATCGTCAGACCGAATTCCTGCTCCCATCACCTTCACCCCACCTCCGCAGACCGACATCTTCACATCGGAGCTTCCACGACACCAACACCGCCATTACTTGGAGTACGAGAAGAGGCCTGTAGCCGAAAATAAACGCCCACGGGCGCCCCGAAGACATAGTCATCGAGACAACCCTCGTTTGTCCTTCTCCGAACGCCTACTCGACGCCGATAGTCCTGTGCCTCCCTTCTCTAAACCAGCCGGCAGTCGTCGTCCACGAGCCCAGAGTGTCGCGCATGAGGACTGGCGTTTCGACAGTGTTTCCATCATCACCATCGATATGAAGCCGGCCGATGCAGGGCTGGCCACCAAAGGCAGATATATCCCCTCCGACCCCAAGAACACAGAGGTCGGCTGGGGTGTGGTACATCTATATCGAGAAGGGCAGGAGACACCTGGGCTATACGACGAATCGCCTGGCGCCGGATTCAACGAGCAAGATTGTACTACGCTATGTATACTCGCCGTGCCGTCGTATATGACGCCTTCGGACCTGCTGGGCTTTGTAGGCGAGGAGACGAGAGAAGATGTTAGCCACTTTCGACTCATACGCACTGCGAGGGCAAATAAGTACATGGTGCTCATGAAATTCAGAGAAGCCACAAAGGCGAGGAATTGGCGCAAGGAGTGGAACGGCAAGGCCTTCAACAGCATGGAGCCCGAGTACTGCCACGTCGTCTTTGTCAAATCCATTACCTTCCAGTCCGACCCATCACATCGTGATCCGTCATCTTACCCAAACCTCACGAACGATCCCTTCATGCCAGTCCCCTCCAAACAGCCTACTGCGCCGCTTCCCCCAGCATCAAGTGCCTCTCCTTCCACAGACGCTCCCTCGTTGCCATCTTCCCTCACTGCTAAACCCCCGGCGCCGCCCACACCCTCTCTAGTCGAGCTCCCAACGTGCCCCGTATGCTTAGAGCGTATGGATGAAACAACAGGCCTTTTGACCATTCTCTGCCAGCATGTCTTCCATTGTGCATGCCTTGAGAAATGGCGAGGATCCGGGTGTCCGGTATGTCGGTATACACAAAATGATGCGCTGGCGTCCTCACACCTCCGCGGCGGTGGAACAACCAACGGCGATGGCGAAGCACCAGATAATGAGTGTTCTGTATGCGGCTCAACACAGAACTTGTGGATCTGTCTCATCTGCGGCAACACTGGCTGTGGGCGGTATGACAGTGCTCACGCCTTCGCACACTACGAAGCCACCAACCATACCTATGCCATGGATGTCGTGAGTCAGTACGTTTGGGATTACGCTGGTGACGGCTACGTTCATCGCTTGATCCAAAATAAGGCCGATGGTAAACTTGTCGACCTGCCCCTCGCGTCTTCGGCCGCCCAGGGCAACGAAATGACGGGTTACGCCGGTGATACAGTATGTATTGAGGTTCTCAAGTTCTCTACAGCTTTGAGTTATGTGGCAACTCAACATATTCGGAGCCCTCCATTCAAGTATGATTGTATTGACTCGGCTAACTTCGTACACTCAGGTCCCACGCGAAAAGGTGGACAGCATGCGCATGGAGTACGCATACCTCCTGACCTCACAACTCGAATCGCAACGTCTTTACTTCGAAGAACAAGTTGAGCGCGCCGCGGATAAAGCCTCCAAGGCATCCTCCACGGTCGAGACACTCAGCGCTACCATTGAATCCCTCAGATCCGAAATCGACCGTCTCACCACCTCTAACACCGCTACCTCCGCTTCCCTCGCACAACTTGAGAAGCAGGCCGAGCGCAACGAGAAGAAAGCCCAGTCTGCACAGGATCTCGCACGGAACCTCAGCAAGCAGATCAAGGAAGAGCAAATAATGAACGAGTCGCTCATGACACGCATCCGACACGTCGAGGCACAGAAGCAGGATATCGAGTCGAGCTTGAAAGGCGCGCAAGGGGAGAAGGAGGACCTAGAAGAGCAAATTCGCGATTTGAGCTTCTTTATTTCGGGCCAGAGCAAGTTGAAGACGATGCAATGGGATGAGGCGCTGGGGTTGGAAAGCGGCGAGATTGAGGACGCATCTTTGCAGATTGGTGGAGGTGGGGAGAAGGCGGATAGCAAAGGCAAAGGTAAAACAAAGGGGAAGGGGAAGAAGAAGGGATAGGCTTTTGTGCTGGCAAAGAGTGGCTTTGTATGATTTCTGATGCTTTTACGATACCACATTGGGGGGCGTTTTTTGCTTTCTTGGGCGTGGGTCATTGGCGTGGGTAGATGGATCGAGTGGATTCAGTTAGTACGCACGCACGTTTCTTGCGTAGATGTGGAATACCGCCCGAAGAAACACTCTGTAATAGAGCAAGATCAAAAGTAAGTAGGCAGTGGACGAGGGCAAGCAGAACCATACACTCCCAAAAATGAATAGTATTCATTCATTGGGCCTGGGTACCGGACCGGGGAAGAAGACCGTTATCATACGTAGGTACGATCCAATGCATCCCAAAAATGAGAGAGGTAAGAAGATAATTCGAAAAGAGAAAAATTCATTCATCAATGTCCTCGTATTCTTGTTCCAACTCATTGTGTTCGTTGTGTTTCGTTTCCAAGTGTATCGTGAAAATACATGACAATGAAAATGCTTTAGAGGAAAAAGAGAGGGGAAAGAAAAGGATAGAAACAGAACCAAACTCCAACTCTCTCTCTCCCCCTCTCCCTGGCTCTGGCTCTAGCTCTGCTATATATGTTTCTTTCTCTCCCTCTTTTGCGCTGCCCCACTCTCAGCCTTCAAAATAACAAACATGACGGTCATAAGGATAGGAGTAATGGTGGTGATGTTAGAGCTGGGAAGGAAAGCCATAAAGCAATAACAAACATCAATTTCCAGTGGGGGGAAAGAAAGAAAATCCCCCGAAGAAGGAAAGCAGATGACAACACCGGTTTCCAAGTACACACTCCCCTTTGCATTACGATCCCAATATAACACCAGTTCTCCCTGTTGTATTCAACCCCCATAGATGAGAGGAGAGAACACGAAAAGGGGAACGAACAAACATCCAGAAAATGACAAACGCCGTTGGTGTGGGTGCGGTCCCTACTCCATAATTTGAGTTTTTGCATGCATATAAAAACGCTCCAAGGTTCGGTGACGTGAGGGAATGGTGAATAGTCCCAACATGGATCCAGAGTTACCTGCCTAGGAGGGTGTGATGTCGAAGAGGTATCCAGATGGGAGACATTCAGAGGCAAAATCAATTTTTACGCAAAAAACAAAAAACATTTCGTAAGTGGTCGTGATAGTTCGTTCCGTCTTTATCCTTCGCAACACCACATGTCCAGTCTCGACTTCTCAGTTCCAAAAGTCGTCATCGGCTACCTTCTTGCAGCCGCCAATCTCCTTGTCGAATCCAAGTCCGAGGCTGGATCCAAGATCCATCTTAGGAGGAAGAATCTGAGGTGGCGCTTCCTTCTTCTTCGTTGGGCTCTGCTTGATTGGACTCCCAACGCTGGGCTTGCCGTCCGAAGGTCCCATGCGCACGTCGCGGACCTCCCATTCATCAGCGGCTGCAGCACCGATCCAAACCTTGAGGGCATCATGGACCGCGCCGTAGTACTTGGGATTGCAGGTTCGCAGGTGTGCCATGACTTTCTCGAAACCAGATACCTTGAGCTCGGAGCGGAAGCTGTTGCGGGTTTCGCGGCTGGGGAGGCTCGCGAGTATGCCGTTTAGGAGGTCAAGATGAGTCGCTAGATAGTTAGTAGCATCCCATTCAACCCCTCCAACGTAGGGAGCAGCTGGAACGATGGCTCGGGGACCAGGAAAGTGAGCCTTCGTGTACGAGACAGGATCCTCGTTGGTAGAAAGGGGGATGACGTTCAGATGGTGAATAAAAATCCAGAAGACTTCTTTGGTAACATTTGTGATTTCCTTGCACCATACCTGGTATGGACGTGGTTGATGCATTTGAAGGATGAACGGAACTGTTGAAGACTCCTTCTCCTTGACTGGATCCTTCAAATATCCAATAAGCTCCTTAGCGCGGGTACTGAGTTCAGTTGACGGCGCCGAATCTAGATGAGCGAAGATGATCTGGATGGCCAGCTCACGCGTGGTGAATTCGCTAGGCCCTTTGTGTTCTTCATCAAACAGCATACCCAGGATAGCCGGGAACAAAGTAGGTGAGATATCCACAAACTGTTTGAGTGCGGAATCCGTTGTGCAAAGACCCTTAAGACAGCGGAGAACTTCATGTAGGAGAGCGTCTTCATGGTCTTCACGCCATTCAACTTCAAGGATGCGATGTAATAAACCAACGAGCTCTTGCATGCCGCCCTCTTCAACAAAAGAGTTGACCCATTCTACCGTCTCATTCCTGAGCAACAGACGGAGCTTGTGGAGTTTGCCTACTTCCACCTCTTGAGGTTTGGGGGTGGCCTTGAGATAGAGGATAAACTCTGCTGGCAAAGTATTCTTCGATCCTTTCGACACAGATCGTTGCGATGAAATTGAAGCTAGGGATCGCGACGAGGGCGTTTTGTGAAGCGACTTCATGGATGCAGCATCGCCTTTTTGCTTTTTGGTCGGAGAATCACCTTTACTGAAGTTGAAGGTCTTGCTCCTCGGTCGCTCACGCTTGACAGATGCACCCGCATTGTTATCATTTGACATTTTATCTGCCTCTAACAATCCATCATGAGATTTGACGGCGCGAGAAAACGTGGGTTTGGTAGGGGAGCTCGGTGCGGAGGGCCCGGCGACGTCCAGCTTGTGTGTACGAACAAAGTCAGCCTTGACCTCAAGTTTCAAAGTCCGCATCTGTGCTCGCTGGTGGGTGGGAATATTCCTCGATTCCTGTCAATGTGTTAGTAGGTGCTTTTCAGCAGCCCAGAGTCTAAATACTAACCAGAACCGACTCAAACTCGGCATCAACCACTTTGGGGTCGAGTTTTATGGGTGGCATAGGAGCGGTAGCGGACTGACTGGTCGATTTCGACTTGCCGTTGAATGCGGCGACGGCGGCCATGACGCGATTCTGCTTCTTAGGCGAATCAGGCAACGGCTTTGGTGTGTAGCTATCACTGCTCTGGTCGGAGCTCGCACGACTCAAGAATCCACGTGGGTTCATGGTTCTTGTAGAGACGTTTTCCTTCACGCGACCTTCATTGCCCTTTGTGTCTCCGAGGGGCGTCCTATCAGTATTGGTACTCTTCCTTCCTGTGAATGTGTCGATCAGAGTTGCCGTCGACCCTGACTTTGGGAGAAAAACCGACTTAGGCCGCTCCTTCAGTTGCGATTTCTTCTGCAGAGAGGGTTGGCCGTAGTCGAAGAAGTTGCGTTGTTTAGAAGGAGAATACTTTTCAGGCGAGTATATGGCGATTTCTTCCTCGATGCTGCGGCGCTGGTCATTGAGCGGGACCTTGCTGGTTGAGGTTGTCTCTTGCAGTGGCTGCTGCGAACTGAATTGCGCCCAGATGGGGGTATGGAGCGGTTCTGGGGCATTGGAGGTGCTAGGTGGAGTTGTGTTCTCTTTATCCTTTCCAGCCATCCTGACCTCTTCCGGATGCTTGCTTTTCCTAAATAAGCCTGCGATGTTGGCCGAGGACTTGGTCTTCTTAGGACTCGTCGATGTCTCCTCCCCTCGGACGCGGCTCGGTTCCCTGGAGCGGCTCTCCTTCTTTTCCTTGTCTCGACCCAGCGACCGGAGCGAGTATGTGCTCACGGTCTTCTTGTGTAGTCCTCCTCGAACCGGCTGTTCTGTTGGGTCTTGCGACTTTTTGGGCGACACTGGTGCATGGGTAGGAATAGGCTGTGTTCGGTTTGCCGTTCGAAGTTGGCTGTGCGGATGGTCGGGTGGGAGGATCAATGGTGCAGAATGTGTGGAAGTGGCGGGGTTGGCCTCGTAGAGTGCAGTTGCTGAGCGTTGGTGTTTCTTAGACACAAGGCCTTTGAGTATCGATGTCGACTTGTTCCGTTGGTGGCCCACGGGCGCAGGCGATGCCATTGTGAAGGAAACGGAAAGGTGATGTCGATGCAAAGAATAGAAGCTGCCAACTGGACTCAAGAACAGACTCAGAACAGAAGGTTGAGGGTCATAATGGGTGGAAGGTAAGGTTGGGATTGAGGTTGCCGCGTCGGTGGGACGGGTGTACGGGTAAACACATTGCGGTTTCCCTGACGACGGTTGGTATCAACACTAGCGGGGTAGCACGTGAACGAGCTACTCCACATTGATCACCACCTTGTACCTTGACGTCAAACCACCGTTGATCCCTGCCGTTCCTGGCTCTGTTTTGTTCCTGTTTCTATTGCTCTCTTCAAGTCTATATTGAAAACAAAGCGCTGGGTGTATTGGGAGACAGTGCATAGGTGTATCGGGGAACAACCATAGTTGCGCGTCGCTGGATTGTTTGTGTGCTTGTCTACAGTCCAGTCCCAGACAAGATCGTAAACAGTCGTGCGCACAGATGCAGAGAACAGGAACGATAACGGGGCCATTCCAGCCTAAGACTGCAATAATATTTTTCCACGATTCCGCTTTCCCGAATGTCATTGCGGAGCGGGAATCCACCCAGTAGCTAGATCAATGAGGTGCTTCAAAACATCATGGAAGCCAACCGCAGTAGGCTGTCCGAATCATGCACATCCATATACATCGTCATAACTGATAACTGATGCTCTCACGAACAATATGCTAGGCTCTGCTGACCTCTTTGATTCTCCCTTCTACCCTCGGCGCAACCGCCTTGGTCCAATCCACCCGTAACTCCTCCGTCCCCAACTCATCCGCACACTTGGGTGTTCCTTTCAACCCAGCCAACCTCCACCATTTCTTCATCACCCTCCTCACCATAGCCAATTCATCTCCAGTGAAGCGGATCAGCTCCTCATCCACAATGTCCTCCTCGTCCGTATCAGGATCAGCCTCGGAATCGCTCGCCGAGCCGGGGCTCTCGTCTCGCTTGTGCAGGTCTAGAACTTTTGAAATGCTGGCGTGTCGAGGCAGCTGTGGAGCCGAGCTGTCGGTGGGTGAGGCGTCGTGGAAAGTGTGCGTGCGCTGGAGTGAGGTTTGGATTTTTGTGAACTTGCGATCCATGGAGGGTCCCCAGTGCTTCCATTTGCCGAGGACTTTGAGGGACATGAAGTATTGACGGAGGATTGTGGAGATCAGAACCCCGTTCTCTTCATTAACGATCTCTTTGGCGGTGCCACCTTCTTCTTCGATGAGAAGCGATGTGTAGCCGTCTAGTTGTATACTGTCAGTGGACTGCGGCGTCTCATCAAAACACCAAACGAATCAATCGCGCCGGAGGATTTTCTTACCTTTTCCTCTACCCATGTAGCCGCGAGTGGCAAGCACATACTCTCGCTCGTCTTCTAGCTTCTTTCCTCCAATTTGAGCGCTAACAATCCGGCTATGTGGTTTTTGGCTGTAATCAGCCTCAAAAATGATGTTGCTGACCTGCGGAAACCGGCCTTCGAGCGCGGGATAGTTCGAGACTCCGTTTTCCAGAGCGTCCCATATCTGTTTCCCAGTGACCTTCATCACAACGACTGGATCCTCAAATGGGAAACAATTCACAACGTCCCGCAACCGTAACAGTCCAGGCGGGTAGATCTGGTCACCACGGATCGTGCCGGCAGCCATGATGCAACAGTCGGCGTTGTAGTAATAACGCATCAAGTCGCATACGAAATTGCCTATATTGCTCTCGCGAGTTCGAACGGTAGTAAAACGTGCGTCTAGAGGCGCAGCAGTGTAGCCAATAGGTTTATCCAATTTTTCGCGCAGTTTCCTGGTCAACTTCTCCACGGTCTGTACGGCTTCTGGATCCTCTGGGATAGTGCTCACGATGTCTCTGCGTGTGATCTTAAAGTCCCATCCTTTGCCATCCGCCTTCCTCCATACTTCCACGTGGGACAGCTGTTTGAAATCCGTACCGGAGCGTAGTACATGCGTGCCGTTGATCAGACTGTGCGCATAGTAGTGATCATGCCCACCGAGTATGATATCAATATAATCTCCGCCAGTCTTCTCCGCCAGCTTGTTATCGTTCGGCTCCCTCTGGTGCGATACCGCTATGATGATCTCAGCACCCTGCTCTTTTAAGCCCGGAATCAATTTCTTTGCCGTCTCGGAAGCCGACTTGTATATAATGTCTGGGGGAAGCGAATTGATGGTATCCAGCCACTCCCTCTCCGCCAATCCGATCACACCAACCTTGATGCCGTTCGAGGATGTGAGCATGACAGTCTTCTCCGCGTTTCCGAGGGGAACGTCGTCCCCGAGGGCTGGGTCTAGGACGTTCGCGAGAAGCCAGGGGAATTTGCATTGCGAAGTCAAGTGTCTATACTGCTTGATGCCGAAATCGAGATCATGGTTCTGATAGTAATCACGTCAGTTGTTATCGTGAGCATCAAATTCAGATTGAGGTCAATCGCACCCCTACACAGGCCACATCAGTGCCCACGTTGTTCAAGATGGGCACCATGTGCGCGCCCTTGGTGACGCTGCTCTCCAAACTCGGGTTGAAGGCATCGCCACTGAAGAAGGTCAACAACTTGGGTTGTCCCTCGAAAGATTTGTCGTTGCGATAATGATTGACCAAGGTCTGAAAGCGTGCGATGCCGCCCACAGGCTCTGCTGATGAGGCATCGACATGGTAAACATCGTTGTAGTGTAGGAGGCGGAGATCTGGCGGGGTAGTGGGGGTGTTTTGCGGCTCAAAAACAAGTCGCGAATCAGGGGGTATCGGCTTGGATTTTGCGTCTTTGGATGGCATTGTGGGCGAATGGAAAGTGGCAAAGGAATTGGGGATTTGTCCTCGAAATGATGAAGTGAAGTTGTGTGATATCCCGGAATTGAATTGTGTCGCGTGTGGGAGCTGACGGGCCTGTGTGGCTGTGGCGGTGAGTCTCACTCGTCACTAATGGGCATTCAGGGTCCAATGCAGCTCAGCTTGGAGCAGCTCAGCTGTGCTGGGTAGGCGTGCCAGTTGTCAAGGCACAAGGGGCTAAGCCGGCGGGCGGGAAGTGGATACTCTTGATTTACTGATCCAAATTTCACTTCTCTTCATTTGCTACAACACCCTTCTTCACGTGGGAGCACATCTTCTCCAGGAAAAAAAGTCCGGTGTTGATTATATCCGTTTACCTTTGCATGCTGCTACTCAATCACCCTGCTTGACATATGCTATGCTGGATGCTGGATGGAGCGAAATGGTACAAAACGGGACCCCCAAAGAATAGAGATGGTAGAACGCCACAAAAGAAAATACAAAACACCCTAAATGCCGCGAATGCACACCAGCAATGATGCACTCTCCGAGAGCACCATATCTGCCAGTTTGCACAATGCGAATCGGAGATAACGCCGACGTCTTCCCCCGAACCGGCTTCCTGGGCGTGCACATGGCCTCTTGCCTGGTAACCCCGTTTCCAAAACGCCCAAAAAGCCCTCAAAATTCCAAATAAACAAGCCCAGGTCCATCAGAGAGCATCCCAGCCATCCCATAGACCCAACTTAGCCCGACCCTTTCCCTTCGGGCCCGACCTAGATCCAGATACCGATACTGGACCCGACCTTGAACGCCTTGAACTCCCGCTTAATTCCTATTGCCTACTACTGCTCGGTCGCCCGCCCTTGGCTGCCTTGCCCTTTGCGTGCGCTTCTCGGCACTCGGGGCTGCAGAACCACTTCGCTCTGCCGCTGGGTGCTCGGTCGAGTTTGACGCAGGGCAGATGGAACCACTCGCGGGGGCACGAGTCGTTGTCGCATGCAATCATATTGCCGAATGATACTTGGTTGCAGTAGCAATACAGGGGTTCTTCGCCGTCCACCTCTGATTCTTGTGACTCTTGTTCGGGCGCTATCGAGCTTGCTCGTGACGACTGTGCAGTGGACTTGACTTCGGTCGTAGGTTCCAAGACTGGAGACTGTGCCACGGCATTACTAGTAGTCGGCGCACTCTTCTTGGGCCCACGTTTGGAAACAGTACCGGTCGTCATGCTGTTATTCTCGGACGATGTGTTTGAGTTGCTGTTGCCGTTGTTGGCCTTCCGTGTGCTGCGACTCCTCGCCATGGGTATCTCGGGAAACGTGCCCACCACTGGAGTGGCAGTTTTGGATGCTCGTCCTGCACGACTGGTCATAGGGGCTGGCGTAGGGACGTCCGGCTCAGTGTTATCGGCTTCTTGAGCTTCTGCCTCCTCATGCTTCAGCGTTGTAGTGGGCAACGATTCAAGCGAGGGAAGCTCGGTGGTTTCCTTTGGCGTTGACGCGTCCTTGGTGGAGGTGTTTTGCGGGTTCATGCTAGCTGCTTGTTCGAGCTCCGTGATAGCATTGCTATTAGCCGGCTGGACCACTGAGTGTGATGATGAGGGGCGCTGGCCCATGAGGGCGTCTGGGGCTGCTGAAGCCACGGATGTCGCCGTCGAATTCTTCCTTGCCCGTGAAGCTGTAGGGCGTTCCGTATTAGCGATGACAGATTTGGGGAGGGAAAAGGTGGACGTGATGGGCGATGATGCTGGTGGAGGTGAATATGCTGGCACAGCATGCTTTCGCTGCGCCGCAGTAGGTGCACCCCGAGGTTTCCGTTTGCCTGTGCCGCCCCCCTCTGCACCTGGTGTCGCTCTTGGGCTTACACCTCCTCGCCCACCAGATCCTGCAGCTTTCAGGGCACCGCTGAGGGATCTTTCCATGGCAGGTGCTGCGGCGGCTGCTGCCGCCGCGAGAGCCTTTTCCGTCTTCTTCCTCTTGCCTTGGGATACATTGCCATTGGTGATGCCTAGCCCTACACTGCGCCCATCGCCCGCTGTTTCCGCTGCTACCGCCTTGCGCTTCTGTGGTTTCTTCGCTGGTCGGTCGTCAAAGTCAGAGTCAGCGTGGTTGTTGCGGCCTCGCTTTGCAACCATGGCCTCACGTCGAGCCTCACTCTTTGCTGCAATAGAGTCGGCATCGTGTACATGCTGGGCAGCGGCAGCCAGATTGTTGGCCGACACTACCTCTCTTCGTTGCCGCTCGTGGGATGCGCCGCCCTTTTTCTTCTCTTCCTTATCTGCGTATGCCCAGTGCGTGAGGCTTCCGTATCGTGCCTCTTCGCTGATTTCATCGTCTAAACGCGCAAAGGAATTGTTCATGCGCGCGAGTCCTTTATCCTTCGTGGCTTTGGCGCCACCTAGCACCACCAATTTTTCATCGAGCGTAGGGAGCATGCTCACAATGACCATACGTAAACGAAAAAAAACCTGGCGCTTCTTGAGGTCGGCCTGTTCGTCAGGCGGAAGAGTATTGAAGTCTTCTGGAAAGAGCAGTTTGTATTGAGCAGCGGGGTCTTGCATGACAGAGCCATTAACGCTTGCGCTGGCACTGGTTTCGGCGGCATTGCCATTGGAAGCAGGATCACGCTGCTGATCGCGGACGGGAACCGGCATTTGAGCGATTTCATCGAGCAGAAGCTTGAGTACATGTTCCGGTTCATTCATTTTAGCCTCGACCTCTTTGAACATGGAAAAATGCTTGATCAGCTCTTTTGGAAAGGCATCAACAGCCTGTGTAAAGTGTGTGAGGGCGGGGCAGAAGCCGGTGGAGGTATTGGCAGCTTCGGGAGTCTGCTCCATCCCGTTGGCGGCGAGTCGTCCAGCAAAAGTACGAGCATAATAGTTGGTAGGGCGGATCGTCGTACGTCCCTGACGAGTCGACTGGCGACGATCTGGAGCTGTAGCACCGTTCGCAGACCGGGAGGCTGCCGCTGGAGGCATGGTGTGCAAGCGGAGCGCAGCTTGAGGGTGAGCGACAACGAGGATGGTTTCCGGTGGCTGCTGTTGGGTGCGGGCACTCGTCGCGGAGGAGGCAAGGAGAAACTAAAGTGCAAGAGCTGGAAGAGCGACGGTGGGGCGCATTTCAGAATCCTGAGCGGAGTGAGCTTGCGTGTCTGGCGTGTGCGAGATTAATCGTGGGAGAGAGATGACGAGGGAAGAGGAGACGGAGCTCATGTGTGTTTGCACTCTGCTAAGCGTCACACTCCCGCCGATAGCCTTGACGCGCTAGCGATTGGGCCGGCGCACGCCTGTCTGCACGTGATACGTCTCAACCTAACCGCTATAACGTTATTTATCGCCGTCGTCTCTTTCAGTCCACAACCGGGAACAAAGCATTGCACGTAGTTGATTAGCGCCACAGTTGTCTTTGAAAGGATGTCGGCCCAGATATACAAAATGCGGATCAGCGTTTACGCTTTCTCTGATCGTGTGCGGTGGCATCAATTGATGATATTTCAAAATGGTTTCATTCTGTGATCATGCCGTATCAAATTATATACCCTTGTCCTCATCATTTCCATCATTGCCGGCCCTACCTTCTACCTCCATTCTGGAAATACTGTTCTTAATGCTATTCGTTTGCTACATATACCTACTCGCCAACCTGGCCCCAGGCCACATACCCAAAGATTCTATAACAACCGAACGTATATCTGGTGAGACTTCATATATTGCTTCGACAAATCCAAGCGCCGACAACCCGCACAATCATAGCCCACGGAACAGAAGTTACAATGATGAGTTCGGTGAAACCAAAGAGGAACCCCCAGCAGGTCAGACAGGATATAGCCATAAGGTTCATGAACGGGAGTTGCGCGAGAAAAATGCGGCATTGAAGAAGGAACGCGATGCAGCTATAGACGCATTGCATAATGAGCGTTCGAGGAGCGGCGCTGCAAGAGACAGCTCTGCCGTCTCGGAGAGCATACGACGAGTAAGATCCGCCCACAGCCAGAAGCCCACCACGCACAAACAGTTGCGGGTGTGGCAGCAGTTCGACATGAAGAAGATCTTTCACGCTCTTGACGACTCCATAAAGCTTTTATCTAGTCAGCTACATTGGCATATACGGGATTCAAAGGTGCTCAAGAAGAAAGCTTCTGCTCTATCTGGATCCTTAGTACTTATCAAGGGAGTGCCAGACGTATTGTGGCTGAACGAAGAGATTCATCTGCTACAAGGCGCCGTATGGTCCATTATACTTGAGACGGTGTTTCAGAACGACTTCAAGGTATTTGGCGAACGTGCACAGAGTTTCGCACAGGAATTTGCGCATCCCAAAGTGGAGGCGCAATCCATGAAGTGGCGCTGCTTGACGGGGGAACAATTGGTGACGAGATGCGGTCTTGTACAGTTCAGCTCTGCTATGTCGAATGGCCCCCTGGAGAATGTAAGAGTGATATTAGGGAAAGAGTACAGCATAGAAGAGTGCATATCGCGGATGACTAGAACCAACGCTACAGAGCATCTTCTGGACGATATGGACAATCTTGCTCTCCAGAGCATCCATAGCGCGCGAAAACAATTCATCGACAGCCTAGAACTCCTTACTGGTCACTTCGGAGCTCGAAGAAAACTAGCTGATTCGGTAAAAAGGGTTGTTACCGATGCACAAGTTCTTGCTATCCAGATGGTCATTCAACCCCACGTCTATCGATTTCGAGGTCCACCATATGGTGAGGCATTTCGGAAGGTACAAAAATACCAAGAACAAACAGTGGTCACAGCTATCACTGATGCTGGACATACCCTCGATGGAGAAATCGTCTTTACAGTGAGCCCTGGGTTCGAAAAATTCGAAAGCGCCGACTTACAGCAGTTCAAAACGCTTCACCCCGCTCTTGTGTATGTCACTGGAACTAAGAAGACAATGTTCTCTCCTCGAACACTTCCACACGTCAACCCGTCAGGTTTGCCTAGAAATGTAGGCAAATCAGGACCGTCACTAGAAACATCAGAGTCGTCCATGACGAAAACTCAAGATAACCTAGAACGTATGCGAATTCTGGCCGCCTTCAAAAACCTGAAAAATGCCGTTAAGGCTCTCGCAAACGCACTCCAATATACTAATGCCTTGGACGACTTCCTATCCGTGGCCCCACTCTCCTGGGACCAAAGAACAAGAAACCTTTTTACCGCTGAGAAGTCAATCTGGGCAAAGCTCATCTTTCACCTCTTCGATAATAAATTCTGCAGTTATGCAATCCTAGGAGAAGCCCTCCATCGCCACTGGACAAACGCATACCCTGAGGTGCACTCATCCGACCCCTCTTCCGTATCAACTATAGCCAATTCATGGCGCTACAAAGAAGGACTTAAGCTGCTGGAGAGTCTGGGTGGGGAGCTATTTTTGAAGGATCCCAAAGCAGCTGTGGTCATTGACAGAAAAGTGGAAGACAGCTTGCAAGTCAAAAAAGACATAGTGTGCCTAGACATCCGCAATTTTCTCGACGAAGTGTGCCAGCCCGCTCCACGCACTGACGCCACATCTGCGCCTTCTAGCCCAGAAAGAAACGCTGTTATCAAAGACATGGTCCAACTCGCGATCACTCTAGCCATTCGCCTGGACGTCTCCCGCCAACACTACCAGATCTACAACCCGGCTCGCCACACACCATACACTCGTCCTCTTCCACCCGAACCCCCTAAATTCACCCTTACGCCCGACTGCGCTCACCTCGAAAAAGGTTATATAGCATTGACACTTGTTCCGGGCCTCAGAGTATATCCAGCTGCCGACCTCCGAAAAGAAGAACACCTAGTCCCGCCGGTTGTTCACGTCACCTCATCGACCCTAGGTGACGTTTTCTACCCTGGACTCCCAACCACCCCCCTCACAGCCCGCGCAATGGCATTTCACGACGCGAATAGTGCAGACCCACGAGTCGAAACCGTAGACACCCAAGATCTCCCTCGACAGAAAACCGATCCATCGGGTGAAAGCAGCAGAAGTGATAATGTTAGTTATGCAACGTCGAAGAGCCCACCTGGATATAGGGCCGATCGATCGACGCCCATGACAAGCTTGTATCCTTCTCTGAATGGGAGTCAGCGAACATCTAATACAGACTCCAGATTAAGTTTGGGAACACCCAATCTGCAGGATGGTGGAGTTGCTGTAGAACAAGAGCTGAATGGCGCCACGGGCTTGGAAAACGGGCATGGTAATGCGGCAGTGGGAGGAGCGGGATATGTTCCGAACTCGAATTATCGGCCGCCGAGGGTAGACGATGTATTGCCGGAGGAATCAAGTAGCGAGAGATGGGTTTCTGGGAAGTGGTATGAAGATGTGGAGGGTGATGACGAGCTTTAATCTTTTGATTTCTCCCTTAATGTAGTGTTCATATCCTCCAGTTTTGTACTGATTTGTATCTTTCTGTGGCTGTTTGGCGATAGATAGGAAAGTGAGAATATATGGGCTTGTATCTTTTTTTGCGGTCTAACTTATGTATCAATACATCTTCAACCTCAATATAGCTGTCTTTTGGACAGTTAGTAGTTCTTGTGCAAATCGAATATCTACTTTTCGCACAAGCCACATCACTTTTCTTCACTCAATACATTCATTCATGCATGGGATCGGTTTTGGTGTCAAGAGACTTTTCATTGATTTTCTTCTATTCGGACTCAGGGTGCAGGGAAGGTGGGGGGGTGAACGCAAGGACATAGCAGATCTGGGTGAAAAAAGTGAAAAAGAAAAGCCGCTTCATACCTAGATATGCATGCGTACGTTTGTGCGTGCATTAGGTAGGTATTGAGGCTGATTTCTGGAAAAGGCAAAATGTGGGTAGATGGGAAAAGTTTTGTGGTGAAGGGCATGCGCTTGGAAAGGTGATTTTCTGGGCAGGGGTATCGTGTTGTGTGGGGAAAGGGAAAAAAGAAAAGACAGAGGAGGTTTCTTCCTTGCATAACGCACCCTCACTGGGGGTTTTAGTGAGAGAGCATGTGCTTGGAGATGAACGCAGAAGAAAAGAGAGGAGAAAGTCTCTCCCATTCCGAATAGCTTCCTGATGAGCAACCTTTATGATATTTGAGCCATCCCTTGAGATTCCATATCATGTAACCATTTAGTGAGTGAAGCGTTTCAATGGGTACATTTGAATGTGAAAAACACAGGGGAGATTTCTTCCGGATCGTGTAGATTTTTTTCGTGAGAAGCCGAAGCTGACCATCATCTCCACAAATCTTGTATGAAAAAGCATAGATGGACAAGTTCCGAATCTTGTTGAATTGCGAAGGCGCGCGGAAGAAATCCCTCAATCAATATACTCCCTCTTGATGGTGGCCGGTGGCTGAACGTAGACAAGTGTGGGCACCAAGTCCACGCGCTCGCGGAGGTTTTGGCCATGAGTATCGCCCCATTTTGCAAGTCCCGGGTTGACGGTGAAAGCCACAACTCCCCTTTTTACATCTTCACACTCCTTAACGCTCGTCAGTCCATGGTGGTTTTCTCGACGGAATCCGTCTCCCACTGTAGGAAAGACTGCCTGAAGGCGGCAGCGCTGAAGGTTCATCTGCAGCGAGAGTTTGAAAGCCTTGTTAACAATCGCTCTTAAATTGCCAAATTCGAGGTTTGTCTTGAGGCAGGTAAGTGGTTTCGCGATATGCTTTATGACACTCTCGCGCTGGTAACTGATACTCTCGGCCATGACTGGGTTTTTTGGCGCGGGAGTTCCTTTAGCGATTGCATCGAAACCAACTTCCTGCACAAAATGCTCGATGGTTTGATACTTCCATCGTTCCACGTTTTCGTGTGGAATAGGCCATTCGTTTTGGTGGTCGTTGCCGAACAAGGAGGTGAAGCTATCGGTAAGGTCCCCATACCGATATCCCAACATGAGAACTGGATAACATAAGCATGGGACATTTCTTAACAATGTATGTATGCGAAACTTACAAGGAGAATCAAAAATTTCCTGTATTAGTATGGACCACATATATGCCTCGATGAGATAGTTGATGTTCGAAATCACATGTCCAGAAGGCAGGCGGGCGCCATTCAAAAGACGGCTTCGGCGAATATCTGTGATGCACATAATTTGGGACATATCGCCAACTTCAAAATCCCTGCTGAATGACTTGATCCAAGAGCCTAAGGCACGAAATTCTTGAATGAATAAATCATCGGACACAGCTTGTTTCTTGTCTATGAGACCCAGTAGTTGTTTTTGTAGTTCGTGAATCTCGGTCTGCAGCGTGTGTGTTTGGTTTCTGCAATCCATGGCGTGAGAAGCATCTATGCTAATTGATTCGATGACCTTTCTCATCGATTTTAGATCGCCCTGGTTGTAATGCATTCATTTGCACTTCGCATAGGGGATGATAAAGTCGAGATCAATCTTTTCCAGCAAGTATTTGCTGTATTCGTGAGTAGCTTTAATTTTCCGAAGCTGTTCGTGACAGTCATCTCTCTGATCACGTAGTGCTTCGCACTCCTCATGCACTTGTCCCAGTTCCCGAATTAATTCTTCCGTTTCCAGTGCATAACTTTCACAGTGGAGACAGATCTGGCCTGTAGTCTTTGTCTCGTTTTCTCTGACACGCAGTGCATGCTGTTTATTTTCCACGCTCAAATTGCGCAGCTGATCTTGCTGGCTCTCAATTGTTTTGATCATGGACATCCGTTCATTCGACCATTTCTGTATTGCATCGACGTGAGCTTGCTTTTGTTGACGGAGCTTTTTCTGCCCGCTTCGAGCGCGTTTCTTCCAGTTGCACAACCTGTGTCTCAATGTGTCTTCCGAGTTTTGGCTAGTCTCAGATTGATCACCCTGGTTCGAATATACATCCGAGATATCTGGAGAGAGGCTGTGTATAGATTCCCTCGACTGCATCTCATCATCGCAAGATCCGTTTGTTGTAGGAATCTCCCAAATATCTGAGTCTTGCTCTGATGACCCACGGGCGGGCATATTTTGGTTATCCAGCGGATCTGGGTCGCCAATGGACGAGGCAATAGGCTCGTTGTGCATTCCAGCAACACTATTTTCGTGGGGAAGATGCTCCGCTCCCGACTTGATGATACTCCACGACTGTAACATGTAAGTACGTGGATATTATGACCATATAAATACTATGATTACTGACCCTTGACATAATGCACCACAACGAATGAGAAGAGTGAGAGATCAAGTGCTTGCAGCGTGTCGGACAGGTGAGAAACTTACATAATGGTCCCCAGCCGCAAATTTCAATGCGCGAGAAGCTTCTGTCCAGAACTCTCACCTTCACCTCATTTTGGACATGACTTTGGTACTTCACCTTCACCTTGAATTGACATGGCATTGGTAATTCACCTTCACCTTGACTTGATATAGCATTGGTAATTCACCTTCACCTTTATTCTTGGTCACACGATACTACGTCATTGACAAGGTCGTCCCCAAACGTCTCTTTATTCCACCACCCCCCATTCCGAGCTCCTCATCCAAAGCCCGTTAACTACCAAGGCTCGACCTCTCGGGCATACGGCCCATCATGTCGGGAAATGAGCTTGTAATTGGTATGCATTCTCCCGTCCCGCTTGAGTTATCTACTGACGAAGACCTATACAGGCGTAGATTATGGCACAACAAGTACAGGTAAGAAACATTTGACTATCTGGTTGGGCGTTCTTTGACGTCTTTAGGTGTCTGTTACACCGAACAGCCGAAGTTCAGCGATATCGAGCCCATATTGAAAGTCGTCCAGGACTGGCCGGCCTCTCAATCCAACAATGGAACACAAGACAAGGTTCCTAGTGAGATAGCCTACATTGATGGTCGAAAACTCTGGGGCTTCCGCATTCCCGAAAATGTACAAAGGTTGATTTGGACGAAACTTGAGCTTGATCCCCCAAACAGTGGGGTTGCTAAAACAATCCGAAAAGAACTGCAAGCTTCATCGTATGGCGGAGTAGCCGGTGTCAAAAAGCCTATGGATGTCATCGCAGACTATCTTTCGGGAATCGAAAATCACTTGATCAAGAACTTAGACCGACGATACGGTACCGCCTTGTGGAGAACAATGCCTATGACACTTGTCATTACGGTCCCAGCGGTTTGGTCAGACTCAGCAAAAGACCAGACTCTACAAGCCTTTTCCAAAGCTGGATTCAATAATGAAGTCTTTAAAAAACTCAAGAACACCATCACCGTGACGGAACCGGAGGCTGCGGCAGTTTACACGATTAAGGAGCTGAGGGGACGTATGATGGAAGCGGTACTACAAGTGGGAGACGCCTTTGTTTTGTGTGACATGGGCGGTGGAACCGTTGACCTTATATCGTATGAAGTCACCAGTATCGATCCTGTAGTCATCAAAGAAGCGACAGTTGGTACTGGCGGGCAGTGTGGCGCGAGCACGGTTGAACGAGCATTTCTCAAGATGCTAGAAACCCGACTGGGAGAGAACGAGTTCCAGGAGATTGCCGGATGTACAGCGGAAGAACTCTCACATACTTCAATCCCAGCAAATCTGGTCAAAGTTGTGAAGAATTTCTCAGAGGAAAAACGCATATTTGGCGACGAAGAATATCAGCCCGACAAGATCTACATCTCAGGGTTACCATTTCCATGGAGCTCAAAGCGGAAAGATAACGTGCGAGGTATCGAGAAAGGTGAATTGGTATTAAATGTGTAAGTTATGCCTTAATCTATATGTTTGCACGCAAATATCATCACTAATCTGGGGGTAGCTCTGAAATGGAGTCCATGTTCCAAATTTCTCTTGACGAAACAGTCGATCTTCTGCAGAAACAGCTCCAGAAGGTAGCGGAGAATAGTGAATCAGAGCTGAAGGTAGGTTGCATCATGCGTGTACTAAATCAAGATATGAGGGTAACATTTCAGTAGTATATTTTCCTAGTCGGCGGCTTCTCGAATTCGCCATATATGCAACGAAAGATCGGCGACTTCGCAGAGAGCCATAGCGGCATTCGGGTTCTCAAACCCCTTCAACCGTAAGTTGCATACCTACATGCGTCCCGAGTATAACTTAATATCAGTTAGTTGGTCAGCCATTGTCAGAGGCGCCGTATACAAGGGTCTTGAAGCGCAGAATACAGCCGCAATGAGATCCGTCTCATCTAGGAAATGTCGGCGTCACTACGGCACCGATTATAGTGCACCATACGATGCAGAGAAGCATCAATACAAAGACAGATATGTTGATGAGAAGACGGGTAAATTGAGGGCTAAAGATCAGATGGAGTGGATCATAAACAAAGGCCAAGACCTTCCCACATCTGAAGCCTTGCATGGGAAACACACTTTCAGTTTCCGTTTCTGGCCAAAAGAAAGTCGTGTTGTGACCATCGAATTCTTTGCTACAGATATGGATAAGGCCCCAAGTCACCGAAAGGATGAAGTGAGTTTACATTTCAAAGAGTAAAAAAGCATGGACTGACAAACTTAGGGGGTTTATCATATTGCCAATCTGAAGATAGACCTTGGGGCTGTTCCAAAGACGGAGTATCACAGTAAACCAAGTCCTACCGGTCGGACCTATTTGGATCTGGACTTCGACATAGAGATATCAGTCCAGTCTGCGCTTGAATTCTCCCTGTCGGTTAATGGAATCCGTTACGGCTCTGTCAAGGCAGACTATGTCTAAGTTTGCGTGGTCGGGAAGCAAAGTACTCGGCATGGACGTGGTTCGAGATTAGATACAATTCGATTTCGAGGATGGAAGGTGGACAAACTTCAGAGTAAAGGAGGAATTGGGAGACAAAGGAATGGCAATGCACTCCGTTGCCATGCATCATCCAATTTATTCACGACTCCAAAGATGGAGCGCTACACACATTCAGCCCGACTAGTATGAAATTGAAGATATTAGTCTCTGATACTTGAGGTCTACTCTGGAAAGATGGGAGGGACCCACTACCTTCTCAAAATGCAAGAATCTTTCACCTTCTACCTCTATATTCGACTCTTGTCTCATGACCCTACCTTTTGAAATACCTTAGAAGATCAAAGTTTCTGTTTCGTATACGTATAACCATTGTTGTTCATATTCCCGATACCAGACGATGAGGAAAACTAACCATTTCAGAGATGACGGCCTAACAACGAGCAGCGATGAGAGAAAGCTAACAGAGATCTCAGACAGTCTATGTATTCTCGACGTCTAGTTACTGAATTGGCAGCCGCAATTCTGAATACAAGTTTTCCCCTAACAAAGGTCAATTTCTGTGGTCGCCACACTTAATATTTACAGAAGTATGTAGCAGTGGGTACTCCAATGTGCGGGGAGAATGCAGCATTGATATCACCATTACTATGTTCATGTCTGCATAGATTAATCAGTATTACTGAAGAACGATTCTAACCAATAAGTACAGATAGGTGGCTGTTCTCCATCATACCCTTCATGTCACTGTGCTCAAGCTGTCCCATGCTCCAGAGCAAACAAACCACACGGCATAATGACCGGCGCGCAACGAAAAGCATATACGGATTTTATCACCGATATTTACACACCAAATCTAATATGGTCGCTCTACATACATATATCAGTCTTTTCAACCCAAAATTAGTGTAGAGCCTCGTTCCTGATATACCCTACCTTGCGGCCACTATTTTGACAGAAAATATACGTGAAAGAACTCGACTATTATATCTTGCGAACAGTTTCTCTAATTAGCTAATAGATTGCATTCCCCGATACCGGTATCCTCGAATTGTGTTCACATGATCGCGCACTATGCACGTCACACCCTCATCAATCCGACACTCTGTACCTCTCTCAACGCCACACCTTAACCACACACCAACCAACATCTCCCATCACAAAAAAATCAACTCTACTACACACGCATGAACTCACGTTCGCAGGAAAACCTGATCCCCACCATCCCATAAACACGAAACGCAACCAACACGAAAAGAAAGCCATCGCACGGAAAACACCCATCTTCCTCGCACTCCACACCATCCCCCCAAACACTAAACCAGCATAAACTAAGAAAGGCCCACACAAAGACAACAAGGCATGTCCCTGCCACCCACACCAAAAACCCTAAATCAGCACGTTGCATGCAGTAGCGTACAAGGAAGAACAAGAGTTCCAAAACCTTAACTCGCACATACCCACATACACACACACACAGACATGATGCTTCTGTAACATCGGCATGGAAAACCAACGAGACGTCCCCGCACAACCGACCCGCCGACCTTTTCTCTCTTTTGCGTTTTGTGTGGTGGGTTTTTTTCTTTTCTTGACGAGCCGCCCCACCCGTTCCGAGATTCGCTGAGGGAGGGGAAACAAGATTGTGGTAGAAAGAATACGATGGGGGAAAATAGCGATAACCGGATTTGTTTACGTATTTTCTTATCACTCGATTCTCCTATTGGCTTTTTTTTGGAGGGGTTCTTGGATTACGTTACGGATGCGAGCTCAACATGTTTTGGTATTTATTGGGGTAGGTAGGGAGTTGTTGATGGATGATGAAAGCTCTACCTTCTACTACTTATCTACTTACCTTGCGTAACAAGGGAGTATTGAAGTGAGTAATGACAGAAACGTTTGTACGGGAAGTCAGGTGTGGAATGAATGCTTTGAGCAGATATCGTTTGCAGGTAACACGATCAGCTACGACGAACAGCATTCACAAGCCAGAATTCGCGAGTTCTGATATGACCTAGTCTACATTCCTGAATGAATATACTACTCATTGAGAAAGCGTTATCTGTTTCTGGTATAGAGTATTTCCAAGTTCAGCACAGCATCTATAATCACATGCTGCAACAACATCATCATGTGCGACGCGATGAGCCATTGATGGCTACGAAGATATACAATAACGCATACTGGCACATCTAAACTGCACCAGTCTTCGCAATTCGAATGAATACAATCATCTACAACTGGGGTGAGTAAATGGAGCCGACGTTACGTTTATCAACGCACCTGCATGGAGCAAATATGGGTAGTTGAGACGACATCCCCTTTTGAGTCCATGTGTATTCTTTTCTGCACCCCCCACCACTATAATCGAATGCCACTCATGGCATGTGATAGCCCCTCAATGCTTCTCCACGTGTAGAAAACAATCACTTATGACGCACATAACCCCAAATTTGACGCAATTAGATTTAATTATGTGCTTGCTGATGCACTTTCCCCTTCTTCGCTCGTACTGTTCAGGGACAACTGTGCCCTTTGTTGTATTCCACAAGCCTATGTAATCAAGAAGAAAAACAACATCTCTCACTATCCGTAGAGCGGAAAAAAAAGTACAGACAGTTAAAAGAAGTGGCTTTTAAGCTAAGTACTATACGCAGCAAGAAAATGGTTCAAAAGCGTTACATAACCTAATATCCAGTACTATAAGAACGCCTTGTACGTGTGCTGTTTCATCACCTAATCAATCTCCGTATTCAGCAGGTGCTCTCATTCCAACAGAAACCCCAAAATTCACACTTACACTCAACTATGTCTATATTAAAAAAGATCTTATAGTAATAGCAGTTATTCTAGGCCTTAGAGTTTACCTAGCTGCTGACTTTTGAACAAAAGAACGCCTAGTCTTACTGGTCGGTCACGTCGCCCCCTTGACCCCAAATGACGTTCCCTTGTTGACTGTCTTGTTGACTATAAGATGGAGAATAAATCTGTGAGTAATCGAGATGCTGATTATATCTCTGATGCTGCGGGCTATGCAATACATCCGACGCGGTCGATGGAAGCAAAGGACTGGTGAAGTAATTCGAGGGATTAGGTAGACTGCCTTGAAGTTGATAAGATGAGCCGGCTGCTGTACTCGGTACTGCCAAAGGTGTGTGATAAGATGAGGCCGCTGTTGTACTCGGCATTGCCAAAGGTGTGTGATAAGATGAGGCTGCTGTTGTACTCGGTATTGCCAAAGGCGAGTGATAGGATGAGCCCGTTGTTGAACTCGGTACTGGCAAAGGTGTGTATGGATGGCTGCTGTATTGCGGTATATTGTATGACAAGGATGGTTGGCGGGAAATGTACTGCGATGAGGCGGCATATGATGGCGCGTAATTCGGCTCGGAAACCCCAGGATTAGAGAAGTTTTCCTTGCGGTCCTCAGTATCCTGACGAAAGCGTTTCGAGGTCTCATGATAGGAGTAATCCTCGGTATCCTGACGAAATCGTTTCGATGTTTCCTGGTAGGAGTAGTCGGCGGAGGGAGCAGGTGCGGTGACAGTCAGCTCATCGCGCTGATAGAAGCCGCGTTTACTCCCGCTCATCAGCGCACGCGGTTCTTTCCGTAATCTTAGCCGGACGCCTTGGTCGGAGAAGGCACGGGAGAGATAGGTGGACTCCTCCATGCCTTTGAAGTCTTTGGCAGGTAGAACCTTGAATGGTTCGGTGAAAACGCTGGTGAGGAATTGCACTTCGTTGGTTTCCCTGGGTTGGTTAGAGGAGAAGAGGGAAGCAGTGCGGGGAGAGAGTGGACGTACTTGTGAAGATCGAACAAGCTGAACTTGAGGCAATAGGTACCTTGAACCTTGATAGAGATGTCACCAAAGACGAAGAAGCCCCCATCCTTGTTGTTGTGATCCTTGAGTCGGTGTAACGAAGATACCAGCGAACCAGCCAGAGCATTGTTGCCCAGATCTTCGGCGACATCATCCTTGGGTCTATGCAGGCTGGCGCACATGAACAGATAGGGACTCTGGAGAAAGTGCCTGTCTCAACGTCAGCAGCGCGATGCAGGTTAAGCAAAGCGAAGGGGAAAGTAACTTACTGGCCTGGGTCGGCGGAGGAGGAGATGTGACATTGGACGATGGGGGGAGGATCGACAGGCTTGCGAGCTTTCTCCTTGCCGTCAGCTGTGACCAGAGCCTCTTTGGGCTGCTGGCGGATCTGGAGCTTCACATCCTCGCTACTCGGCTTGTTAGTGGAGGGCGGTTGCGGGTGGTGTTTGCTACTGCGATATTGATGCTGTGAGCGTGCGTTTGGGTGGCCATACCTTCGAAAATTGAGGGTAGTGTGGGTATGGGTCGGCACGGACGGGTAGAGCGGGTGCTGGTGAGGGAAGGCAAAAACGGAATCCATTGAGCTGGAAGTCGCCCGCAACGGCGCGCAAGAAGCGGCGCGGTGCAGTACAAGTGCAGTCGACGGGCGCAATACCGTGGGTGAAATAACCGTGGCAAACGGGGTAACTGATGAGGCAGCAGCAGCAGCAGCAGCAGCAGCAGATGATAATGATGATGATGATTTTGCTGGCGATGATGATGTGTGGAAAGAAGAGAAGATAGTATCAACAACAGTGGGATGGATCGTGTACACCGGCGGTCCGTGGGTTTAAATCGATGGGTGTGGTCGAGAAGGCGATGACGGCGTTGCAAGCAAGACGTCGTGTGTGGCATTGGTCGTCGCCCGTGGAGCAGGAGCGATGCTGTGTTGGGAGGAAGGCACAGCCCGCGCCGAATCAGCGTCGATGGTGACGATGGCAATGATGACTGCAATGGATCGAAGCAGGCGGTGGTGAGAACCACTCCACTCGACGAATGTTCAAAACGCGGCGATGCTCGTTGGTTGTTGCTGTTCCAGACACCGCAGGCACCAACCCCATGTGATCGACTGGCGATGCGAGTGAATGGAATGGAATGGATGGATGGATGGATGGATGAGTCGAGACAACTGGATCCGTCCGCCCGTCTGCTCCCTTTCGATCGTCTTATCACTGACCGGATCCCTCTTTCTCTCGCCCTTTCTTCTCCTTCTTTTTCTTTCTTCTCTCTCTTTTCTTTCTTCTCTCTCTTTTCTTTCCTTCCCTCTTTCTTCCCTGCTCTTTTCCGCTCTCCCTATCCTATATCCCTTCACTGCCCGGCCCTGTCTTGACTGTACAATTGACTGCACCTCTTGTGTGGCCGACCTGTGACGACCGAAGGGCTGGCTGGCTGGTTGGCTTGTTCTGGTGTTTGAAGACAAGACCCGCACAGTGGGAACAAGTCAAAGGATGGGTGGGTAGATGGGTGCATGCACCTGATCCGGGTGATTAGAAAGCCGCCGCCTGCGTCTTGTTGAAAATCCCCCCCGGCCTCAACGTGCTCTTGGATGCTTTCGATTGGACGGGTCCTCAATGGGCAGTATCTGCTGTTCTCTCCACTCCCGTTCCGGCTGTCTGGCGGCAGATGGCGCAAGCTTGTGATGGCAGCAATGGTCGTGGTTCAGACCCGCACGCACCAGCTGAACTCCGACGTGCTCAACCTCACAACATATGAGACCTCTCAGTCACTGGCTGCTCACCAAGCCGGCATAGTACAGGGTTCCAGTGCTGCTCGTTGCGCGATGGATGCCCGTACCGTGGTACTAGCTGGAGTCACTTTGCCCGGTGAACAAAGCCTGCACTCACACTCGAGTCCCAATCTGGCAGCGAAGATGATGGCTCCCTGCAGCTCAAACCGGATCGTAATGCTGTGCAACTCAATTCGAATGACCTGCGCAAGTCCTGCAACTACTCCAATGCACCAAAAAGCGTGGTTTGTGCAGGCAAGCGATGGTTAGGTACAGTAGGTATGCACAGTATGGACTCGTCGTCTCTCCGAGGACGGGCGCCAGCTGTATACAAAACCAGACCTCCAGCGGAAGGAGCCGTGTTGAATCGTCTCGAGGTTCGGATTGGTGGGTGCGTTGCTGGAAGAGCGCTATCACGTACAGGCCCCCGGACTCTCCGCACTCCTTCTATGGCCTTGCCCCTGTTCGAGCAAGCTTTGCGCCAAATCGCCGTCCTCTGTCCTGTCAGAAACCCAACGGCGCTGATCGGGTTCGCCGTCGTCTCTTTTCTGATTGCCTACTAGCAACTGTCGCTACCAGATGAGCGAAGCCTGAAAAGCTAAGCCAGCACCCGGCCTCCTAAACCGCAAGCAATTGGTGTGCGGTCCAGCCAGTAGGAGTCGTGGGACGTCTTCTCCCCTCCAACTCGAAAGTATGAGTTTTGGATCACTGTTGCCGACAAAGAATGATTCTTTCTCCGATGTGCTCTTGTTTGGAGCGATGACGGCTTGGAACTGTCTTTGCTCTAGCCGTCTTGCTGGAATTCCCCGTACCGGCTTCGCACCCACCAAGGTCGGAAAGATGAAGCGAGAGATTAGAAAGATGTCGTAAGGTGAGAGTGACAGGACGTTGCGTCTCGGTCAGATACCGTGAACACAACAAACGGCTCCGAAGCGCGTCCAAGCTGCCTATGCGCGCTGACTGGGTTGGTGAGGACAAGATGCGGCATAGATGGACCCTGGCGAGGCTGCAAAAAGTCCCTTGGACGGAATCACGAGCGAAGCCTCTATATGCACATGAGCTTGCTTGCAAAGGCAGATCTGCCAGCCAAGTGTTGCTTTGAAGTATCAGGAACGGAACAATGGACCGCCGTCACATCCTGCCACGGCGAGGGGGGCCCATGTAATGCGAGAGCAAAGTGCTGCACAGGCGGATTCGGTGGCGGCAGTGCATGGGCATCAGAAAGCCTTTGTCGATTGTGCGTCAACTCAACGGCAGATCCAGGTTCGAGAAGTGGTATGGGCGCGATGGGTACAGGGCCTGAACGGGGCTCGCTCGGATACCATGCAACAGGCTCAGCAGCAACGAAGCCAAAACATCCAAACAAGACGTGCAATTTAGCCATGAGAACTACTCTACTTGAGAGGCCGTATATATCTCCCGTTGGCGCCCAATCTCTCGAAACATGTTCCCCCCGCTCGTCCCGCCCACCAATGTCAAACTTGACTGTCAGTTCGCACGCTAGACGACCCATGAGTGCCATCATGTCGTGTGACGCAACCGTGTGCATCCGTGATGCAGCTGCAGTGGGAGCTCCCAGAGCTGGCCGAGTCTTGTTCACTGCTACGGATTGCCATGTATCGAATACTCGCAGACATGGACCTGGCAACCATGTGCGATAGACGGGTTTGGTGCTACGCTGCCCAGCATTCAATGGTGGCAGTGGTTGTGTTGGAGAGACGGCTTTGGGCCTTTTCAATACTCTGTGTCTCGAGACTACGGGCCAGAGGAACCTGTGACGAGCAGACAGGCAGGCCAACTCAGCGATGTCCATGTACATTTCAGCTAGACAGATTATCATGTGTCGCTATAGCACCGGGTCAGCATCTGGATAGTAGCAGGCTTCATAGAGGTGCTCGAGCGGCAAAGCAGCCGGGACTGACGGAGCGCGGGGAAAGCCAGAGACATGGCGGCAGAATTCAGCTGTGGGAAAGACGAGGTGCGATAAATGAGATGCGGTGAGGTGCAGAGTGGGGACTGCCAACCCGGTGCGAGATGGATGTTAAGACCAGGCACGGGTATAGCGTGCTGTCAGAGGGGAAGGTTCCGGACAGGGCCACGATGGTTTCCATCGAGTCTAACGAGCACCGTTGCTCGATGGCCGCTTGGTGGCTAAACAGACGGCGAATGGGAAGCATCCAGGGCGGTGTAACATCGTAGAATTCTCAGCGAGCGTGGATCACTCTCTGCCCTGGTCGCGATCCTGGTAGGTAATCTGTCCCGACCAACAACGGCGATCTCCTCAAGCTCCTGGTAACCGCCCTTGGTGTGTTAATCCAACTCCAAGACACTGCTGCGTACATGACAAGGTCGCTGTGTGCGAATAGTCACGGAGAGAGCTCAACAGCCCTCGTCCCTTCTTTCGTCATCTCCTCCCCAGCAGACAATTCACTGGCGATGGCTGATTTCCATCAATGCCGTTTGGCCCCATTGGCCTCTGCTGTTCCTGCAGACATGCGGCTGTTGTCACCTTCGCACGGCCCAGATAATCCTCTAACATAGCCTTATATGGGCCTTAATCAACATCGAATTCCCGTTGCAAAAGCCCGCGCCTCCACGTTTCGGCCGGCTGAGACCTCTCACATAACCACCATCATTCATTCATCCATTGATTCATTCAGCCAGTCATTCCTGTTTCGGCCATCAAGCATCCGGACCTGCACACCTCGTTTCCGCGTGCCAGGTTCGCCATCCAAGTCGGCCTTGTCGAATGGTCATTGTTCGGTTGGTTGTGCATTACTGGCAGCCGCCTGCGGACATCGCAATACGAAACCCACTCGTTCGTTCATCACCCCGGGCGTGTGCTTGCAACAATGGCTACCGCACGGGACGTCTCCTCTGAGCTATCGCGTCTTGGCTTGCAATTAACTTCGTTCGAAATCAATACGTCGACAGTATTGGACATGTGGCTTGACCGCCCGTCATCTGGCGCTACCTGTCTAGCCCTAACCTTAACCCTCATCACCACCATATCACCACCATCACCATCACCGCGAACCTTTTGAGTTTGTGTATCTGACCTGGCCGCTCCCAAGGGTGCGCAAGGACGAGCGAGTGCGATCAAATGTTAATGTCCCTCCATCTCGCGCATCAAGCGCTTCCTGACGTGCGCGATCCTAGGAACATGGTTCATGCATTTATTCCTTTGTTGTTGAGTTGCGTCCCACCCACTTGCGGATGAATCCTTTGAGCCATAGTGCATTGCATTGCCATCTCTCGTCGGCATCTCTGACCTTACGCCTGCCGTCGTCGCAATGCTTCTCGGAGAATTACTTGGACCTGGCGTACGGTCCAGCTAATGCTACTACTGATCGACGACTTTCGCAAGCGTGCTTGCTTGCTTGTCTACTCAAACGACCAACAAAGCCTTCTCGTCTTTTCTTCCCCCCTTGCTCTGCTGCTGCTGCTGCGGCTACAAGGCCTCCAATCGATTAATCTATCGTGTCGGCTAGCAATCAAAACTCATCGCAAAAGCAATATCTGCTATTCTGTTTAGGCCATCAGAAGGCTAAACCCCGACCCAGCCAATCGCTTGCGTTGCCAGCCTTCTAATAGGCGGCAGATATCCTACACGTAGTCGATGGGGCCCGATGATGCTGTTGTTCATGTAGAGAACAACTCGAGGAATAGTTGCCTTCTTTCCTTTTTCCCAATCACGGCAGCTGCGGGTTCTGCATCACGATACCCGTCACCGCAGGTCGTCGGTCTTGAATCGTGCCCCACAATCGACATACTATGCCAGGACATATGGAAGTCAGCCCAGACTCGCTTCCATCCGTTTTCGGCCTCTCGCGGTTAACTGCAGAGCATCCATCTGCAACTATCTTTATTGAATTAATAGCCATCTATCTCACCATCCGGGGAAACCTGGTCCCACCTGCCGTCCACCTTCTCCATGCCGACTACGCACTAGCATCATCAGCAGTGACTACCATGATCAGTCATCCACATCTTGAACCTCCGCCTTTTCCCTTGTCCCGTCTGCTTGTACCAGGTTCTTCCCTTCTTCTCCTCTTGAACAAAACATGGAGAACCAGATAATGACGCAATCAAGCATCATTACGTTCCGTCAGAATGTTATGCGCGCACGCGGTTGAGGGGTGGCGGTTCGGCTGCAGCCAAAACCAAAACCGGCGACCACAGCATCCTGCAACTACATAATGGCAACCGACTAACTTCATGCTGTGCCTCCACCTGTCTGGGTGGGGCCATGTCCGTTTGGGCAATGCACCACTTCTCGATTCTACGCGCAGTGTTGACCACGAAGGAACTTGCCCGCCGTCCTGAGAAAGACTTCTTGTTTTGTTTCCCACTTTTCTCCCAGTCTGTTACTGTCGACTTTTCGAGTATGCTAGGTCGTCCTCGTTGTGGTTTTACTCGTATGTGTTTTGTGTATATGCCCTGCTGCTCGTTACCCCAACCACTCTACAGTGTATGTGGGGTGGAAAATAGGGAATGCATTGCGTCCACATCTCGACAGACAGATAACCTCACCACACACACACACACACACACACACACACATTACCCAGGCACCCCCCCCAACAACATCATCTCACAGCAATGACATTGTCAGAACGCGGGTTTCTCAAGAACTCTATATTCTCTTCTTGAACCATGTTGCATCAATCCCGTCCGTCCGGTACCAATGGCCTTTTCCAAGGTACAGTTGCAGTCACTCACCACCCACCACATGGCTTCCACACCCACCCAGCCACCCACTACCACATGCCATGCCATGTCCCGTCTACCAGAGTATCATCTGCGAGTCAATTCCTCTTTTTCTCTTCCTTGCTTTCCCCCTAAAAACTTTGCTTTCTTTCGGTCACTTGGAATTCCCATTTTTGAGTAATCACCGGCAAGGGTGGCCACGTGCGGTTTTCCATGCCATGTCGAACTTTATTACTGGCATCTTTGTGATTCTCGGGAGGGGAGGGGAAGGGAGGGCATTCAATCACACTTTGCTCTCTTCTTTGCTCTACTTTACTTTTTGGTTCTATTCTCCTCCCTCCCCCGCTCTTGCTCCGACTGTCCGGTTTTCTGGGGTTCCAGAATAAGGGAGGGTGGAATGTGGCGGACTTTCGTCTTTTGGCTTTTGTCGCTTTTTTTGTCGTTGTTTTTCGGACCTTTTTTCCTTTCCTCCCTTTTTTATTTGACGGCTACGCGATGTGAGAGAGAGAGAGAGATTGATCTTATAGAATTGAACTCTCTTTGCCTTTTTCTCCCCCTTCTCCCTCTTTGCAGTCTTCATTTTCTTCGTATATAGTCTAGGTTTGATGACGTTCAAGCTCTAGACACTTATTATCCCCTTCCCATCCCCTTCGCTCTGCTTTTCTTCCATATTCCTTGTAAAGTGTTTGGAAAAAGAACTAGTCTTTAGAACTGGTAAAAAAGAAAACAATATCTTCATATGGTCTGTCATCTGCTACCCAATGTAACTTACTATTTTCCATAGGGAATGGTTTCCACCAGGGCATGTATTGGTCGCTAGTTACAATATATCTATATTCCCCTGGTTCTAGATCACCTCTCTCTCTCTCTCTCTGTGTGTGTAGTATTCTTTTCTCCGCGCATGAATAGGTGACGAATACCAAGCTAGATATTATCCACATCAAATTACATTTACCCTCACTCTTTTTCCTGCCTTTAGAAAAGTGAAGAAGAAAGAAATAGAAGAATTAAGAATAATGCACGGCATACGTTTTTTCTTTTTTGAGCTGTAATAAAAAAAAAGGATTGTTGTTGGATTCTTCCCAGCCCTCTCTTCTCTATCCTCTCGTTCTGATCGTGTTGAGTGTTTTTGTAGGTCCGTGAATTGATCGAGATGTTGGTAGAATTATTGAGAAATGTTGATGCATTTTTTTCCCTGCTGTGATGTTGAATTGTTTTTGGGGGGTTTGGAAAGATTGGATAGGTAGATGGATGGATGCAAGACGAAAATCCCAGCCCCCTCTCTCTCTCGCTTCACATTTGTACTTTCGTCATCCATCTTCACGGGAGCAGGCCCCCCTCAGGCAACAGCATACCGAAAAACAAAGATTTGGACAAATTGTTTGTTGATTTGCTATAGCTGAGAAGGTGTACATGTGTTGGAAGTTTGAATACGCACCCATTCCCACAGTAGCAAAACAAAGAAAAGAAAAAAACAAGTTTCATCGTTCACCATCTTTCCTAATTTCTCTATCTGAACTGGAGAATCCGCTTCCTTGACGAATTTTCAGATATAAAGACTCCCGTCCCTTTCCATCCCCTCACTCCTTGAATCATAGCCTCTCGAGTTTAATCCAAAGCTCATCGGTGCCCGGCGGTGCTGTATACGCGTCCGTCTGCTCGATGTTTGTATCATCGACGATGGAGGTGGAGAATGTGGAGTACAGTGTGTATAAGATGTATTTCATTTCTATATCGTCGGGGGAATGTGGTTAGAGTGTGGATTTTTTCCGTGTTTATGGGAGTGCATGGAAAGAAGGAGGTTTAACAACTTACGGTAGATGGCGAGGTGGCTTCCTACGCACATGCGGCCGCCGCTGGAAGGTGGGGATGTTAGTTATGGTCATCTCTCCCCATTTGTTTTATTATCCGTGGGGGGTTTGAGGATGGACGGGGTACGACGACACGGTTCACACAGTCGTAATGGAGAGAAGAACTTCTAGTTAAGATAGGAAGGGAAGGGAAAAAAACAGAGACATACCTCCCAAAAGCCCAGAACCATCGACTCTCCATGTCCTTTCGCTTCTCTTCGCTGAGTTTGTGCAGATCTATCCATCGTTCTGGTCGCCACTCGTCGGCTTGTTCGTATACATCTTCATTCATGTGTAACAGGCCTGCGCTCGCGCTCACACGCACTCCTCCTGGTACGTAGAACTCGCTTGCCCCGCTACCGAGTTTGCATCCATGGGTGGGTGTGACGCGGGGTTGGGGACCGGGGATAGCGGAGTGCAGACGCAGCGTTTCGTAGACGACGGCATGAAGGAAAGGTGCTGCGTCGAGAGTTTTGGGGTCAGGTAGGCGTGTTGAAGATGGAGTGAGAGCTTGGAGTTCGCGGCGGAGTTGGGATTGTATATCCTGGTTCTGGGAGAGTTCGTGGACAGCATACGTTAAGGTTATACTGGAAGTGTCAAAGCCTGCTGCGAGGTGGTCTAAGACTTCGCTTGCGGTGGTGAGTTCGAGGGTCCTGGCCATTTTCTGCATTTCTCTTGCGTTGGCTGCTGGGTCTGCTGTTGGGGCGGGTTTGTCTTTGAGAGATTGCTTCAAGAGCGAGGAAGAGAGCTGTTGTAGTACCGACGGTGAATCTTCGACATTTATACCGTAGGTTTGCTGCTGAAGTGCTAGACTACCCGCACGCTTGCACATACCCATGGTCCATTTCTCGATCTCTGCGTTAGCCGCATCGACCTGAATGGAAGAGGTATCACGTCAGTATTGCTAAAGTAGAAGTGCTGTAAAAGGCCCTTGTCCTTTTGAGATAATGTGTAACGTAGTCCTCAATACGTACCCATTGCGGCACGAGCCGATACCCAGTCCACCGCCGTATCCACGATGTCAACTTCGGATACTCCTGCGGCCAGAAATTGAACGAGCGACGAGAGTTGTATAGATCAAGAAACCAAGTGAGATCCTTAGGGTTGTTAAGCAGATTCGAGCTCGATTTCAGTCCGAATATGTAAGCCGTTACTATATCCATAGTTGCGGCATTCAAGATCGGTATGATGTTTACAACGGTGGGATCGTCGCCTTTACTGAACGCGGAGCGAGAGGAGAGAATAGGAAGAAAACGACTCTTTAGGATGGAAATCGTCTGGGTTAGGAGAGCTGGGGAGGTGATTATGACGGATTTGCTGTAGATGTTGCTGATCATGCGTTTGCGTGCTGAGTGAGGTTTATTTGGACCCATTGAGAACATGTTGTCTACTCTGTTTCATGATCATGTCAGCTTCCACATCCTGTGTAGCGTTCTATTACGCCATCTTCCCATCTAGTCCATCCTGATCCTCGCCCTTGTTGTAATAGATCCGGATCCCATAAGACTATAATCAAGTCCGATAATATAATTCTCGAAAAGCGGGAAAGAAAGAAAGAACCCAAAACTTACCCTCCATAATTCGCAAAGAACCCATACCAATTGAATCCTCTCTGCCCCTCCTCAATGCCTTTTTCGAACCCTCCAGCATAAATCTCCCGAATCCCACCCGCCACACAATTCACACTAACCTCTCCAGGGCCCAAGCACACAACAGCACCCAATCTCTCATGCGCTTCTTTGAGAGTCCGATTCTCGCGGCCGCTCCAACGGATATAGGATATCCAGAGAGAAGTCCAGGGTGCGAGGGGATGAGCGGCAGGGATCAGGCGCAGGGGGTTGGATGTGTGTTTGTAGAGGAAGTGCAGGGCGAGGAGAAAGGGGAGGAGTTTTGAAAGGAGGGCGAGGTCGAGCATTGTGACCGTGTTTTGAATTTTCGTGGCAGGGACTTTTTTCTTCCCCGGCTTTCTCGATGAGCAATAGATGTAGCGGTGGAAGTTTTGGTGTTTGGCGTGAAGTGGACGGATGGTAGCGTACCTACCTAGGTAGTTTTTCACTTGTTGCGAGCAATTGCTTTCGTTCCTCCTCCTCTTTTCAAGTCCTTTCCTCGATGTAATGAGTTATCCCACCATATGAGTCATGTGAGAAGGTCTTTCACGTCGAGGAAATATTGAATGTTTCTGTTGTAAGTAAGAGGAGGGCGTCCAGTCTTTCCCCGCAAGCTAGTCACGTGATCGCTTATCTGGGTCAAAAATCTGCCTCTAACAGTCTAGCGTTGCGATCTTATCAATCTTTCAACTCGACACTGCTTCGTACACTACCTAGGTATGCGATTGAACCCTCACGTGCCTACCCAATGCTTACCGAAAAGAAGAGGATAACCAAAAAAAGTTACAATCTTCATTATTGCATTGATCGTACTATCCGTACTTTCTGATGACGGATGTTTGCATATTTCTCATTGCTACCAGACCCAACGATGTCTCTGATGAATGGGAGTGAACAGTCTAGCTGAAAAGCCTTGGTCAGAAAGGGACGCAAATCCAATCTCACCGTCAAGAAGTTATCCTAATGCAAGATGAGAAGCAAAACCTCTTCAATGTTGACAACTGAAGCCCTTGCAGGGAAGGAGGGGAGAAGAAAGCCCCCAAGAAGAAAGCAAAGGCTAATAAACTACACAAGACTAAAACCCGATGAATGATGATACCGCAAAAGGGGGAGGTTTGCCTAACATATGCCCACACACAACCTATAGAACCGACAAGTGTGAAGAAGAAGGAAAAACAAAGTAGGGGAAGTAGAGAAAGCACACATGGAGTTCTACTCCGTTGAGACACTGGTTCGGCCAACACATGCTGAACGCAAGCAAACCCACAGTCTAAGTTCCCACCATAAGGATATCATCGTCGTCTTCGCCCTCAGCATCAATATCCATACCGTCATCGTTGCCCAGCGCGATTGCACCACTAGCACCATTTACAATGACCCCTGGGATTTCGTCATCAACTTCCTCTCCTTCAGCATCGTCCGTGTGTCCCTCGTCCGCAGCATCAGCTTCGTCTTCGCCGGTTATACCCCCTGCAGCATGGTCGTCCATGTCTCCGTTGGCATCCTCATCATCCTCATCTTCGTCGTCCTCGATGACACGGCCGCGGAGTTTGTTGCCGCGAGGTCTATGCGGGCTCCCAGTTGAAGTACTGCGAGTCGCTCGTCTACCGCCGGCAGAGAGAGCTTTGACTTCGCCGCCCTCATCGACATCGTCTGTATCAGCATTGGTGATACTCTTGTTGAGGTGACTCCGCGTGCGACGTAGGCTGATAGTGCCGGGAGTGACGGCACCACCGTTGGACGTGGGCGATCGCTGCTGCCCTCCATTCGGTGAGAAGCGGATTCGCGACACAGGCGCCGTGGCAATTGAAAGATTTTGCGACCGATTGCGTTGATGTGGCGTGCTGGTAGTGCGGCGGCGTGAGCCAAAGGGACGACCAGGGCGGCGCTTGGGAGGCGGTTGGCCCGGGATGGGTGGGAAGACTTCGTAGCGAGTGGCAGGAATTGAGGGGGTTGCTGTCGTGATATGAGAACCGGCGACGGCGACTACAGAGCCATTCGCGAGGGGGGTTCCTGGGGCAGGTGAACCGCCGCCGTAGGTAGATTCTTCGGCGGGGAGGGCGGAAGTGACGGCATTACCCAGGCCGTCTTCATCATTATCACCGCCTGTGAGGGAACCATTATGGGATGTGCCATTCGCTTTTGCCGCGAGTTCGATCTGTACGCCCTCTTCAGGCTCTGGCTTCTCTTCGGTGTCTTCGCCGCGCTGCTGGACAGTGTGGAGGGCTGGCCCATCTTCGTATTGCCCGAGACGACCCATAACGTACGGAGTCCAGACAAGACATTGCGGTTTTATCTTCGGGTTGTCGCTATTGTTGGCCTTCTCGAGGTACTGTTTGAAGTACGAGTAGTCTAAGCGGAGGGCGTACTTGCTTGTGACCGGATCTCGCACCAGTGCGCGTAGACCCTCGAGCGCAGAGACGATGTCGTCGGGCGTCATCCCGGTCCGCTCGGAAATGGCTGCAATACTGATAGGAGATTTTTGACTGAGAAGCTCTTCGCATATAATGAGACGCCAGTATTTTCTGTAACTTACCAAACCCATGTCGCTGAGAGGTTTTTCTGGACTTCCTGTCTTCTGCTCTACCCTGGTAAGTAGGTAGGAGAATTCGATCAGATACTGACCATAGCCTTTGCGCATGTGGATTGGAAGAACCAAAATACAAGACACATTGTTGAGAGAGCTTGGCCGCTTTTCTTTGGAGAAGTATCCAACAAAATGACATCCGAAATTATCGTTTTCTGTCATTACGTAGAATAGGAAAGGTTCCACATCGTAGTAGAGTGTCTTGGAGCCCAAGAAGAGTTTCGCCAGAAGACAAAGATTTTGACAGTAGACGGGGTTTTTGCGACCATCAACCTCAAAGAATGAGTATTTGCCGTCGCGATAGATTTCGTCGCCAGGTGGGTGTTTCGCAGGACATTTAAGCTGATATCGTTAGCGTTTGATGAATATATGCATGGAAGTACAGTGGAGCTCACCTTGTGCCGCCATGCTACATAGTCCGAGTTCATGTACTTGAGACAGAACTCGCAAATGTAAAGCACCTTGTTTTTGCTGTACTCCTCAGGATATGGCGCTGCATGCCATGTATCGATTTCCCACCCACCGAAGTTGATACATTTGATCTTGCTCGGCGGTCCAGTCTCTTTTGTGCGACGTACAGGTTCCTCGTGGGCATAGAGTGCAGCTTGTTTTTGTTTCCAGTCCTGCTCTGCTCGTTGGCGGGCGTCTTCAAATCGTTTTCTATCAGCTTGGGTGGGATAAGTCTTTGAAGTGTCGGCATCGGCTTCCGACAAAATGCCGCCATAAGGCTTGCTTTTGCTTTCGTCCATTTCCTTGTCAGCAAATCCATGAAATGGCGCAGTGTAGTTTATAGTGACAGCGGGATAATGGGACTCCTCTGCCACTTCTCGCGCAGCTTGGGCTGCACCTCTATTGCGCTCGCGCCGCTCCCTATCTTTTTCACGACGTCGCTCGCGACGTTCCTCATCGAGGGTAAGTATCTTTTTCTTGGGTTTAGAAGTGACTATCCTCTGAACCTTTTCGTTGTTCAGATGAAAAACGGCGATGAGACTAAGTCCCTCGCCCTCCTCTATTGACACCATAGGTCGCTTATCTTTCTTTTGCTGTTGTTTTGTGCGACGGGGACGCGATGAGCGTAGCCGTGAAGACCTATAATAAAAGGGTAATGTCAGTGAATGACAACCAGGATGATCAAACGCGTTGTCGGAGCGCAAACCAACCACAGAACGTGGTGTCCCGATGTACTTTAGGAATACGTACCCGTTCTCCGACGCACTGTTATGTGCACCATCGCTATCCTCTCCATCCGTGACTGCACTCCTCTCTTGGGCGTGGGATGTTGATCGGGCTATCGAGGCAGCTGTTTCCGGTCTGGATAATTCGGAAGACCTACGTCGTTTTCTTGGCTGTTTTCCAACGGGATGTACTTCCTCTTCAAGTGAAGCTTTTCGTTTTCTGAGCGAACGAGAGCCATCTATTGAATCATCAGGGAGAATAAGTTCCGTGAAAATAGAATGACCGCCCGGGTCTTTGCCTCGGTGCGAGGGCAAGAGATCCCTCGTCAACTTGGGCACCGATGAGAGTGATTCTCTACGGCGGGATTCTGATTCTGGGCTGCCTTCATTCCCATGTAGGTCGTTCTGCATACAAACCGTGCATCGCCAATTAGGGGCATCTGTGACAGGACCAAAGTTAGCATGCAAGCTTCTCCCACCATTGCCCCAGATATTTATATACGTACCATCATCGAGACTAAGAGTATTAGCGTCTCGCGCGCATTGCCGATGTGCTGCGGGAACAAAGATCATGTCAGCTACCCGAAAACATCAAAGTTGACCATTCATTTAAAGAAACAACATACCCATGTCCCCGCATGCTTTACACGACAACACCTCCTCGAATTCCTCATTCGGGTCGTTATCTTCGTCGCCGTTGCAATACCTAGTATGGGGTCAGATCTCTGCATGAATTGCTCATCATCGAAAATGATTCAAGAAATACTCACACGCAAACACTGGGCTCAAACTTTTCGGTCTCTGGCTCTTCGCCATCTCCGCTTTGCACTTCCCACTGGTTGTCGGCATCGGATTCGGACGTGTCATGCTCGCTGTCACTAATCTTGGCATCCGAAGACGAGTCTCCGCGTGCATTTCCGTACGGCTCGTCCTCTTCCTCCTCGTACACTGCATCATCAGGCGCAGCGATCTTGACCGCACCCACAGGCTCGCTGTCGTCCTCTTCATCCACCTCTTCACCCTCGGCGTCTACATCGGAGCCTTCCGCATCCGTGTCACGGGCGCCGTCTTCTTGTGTATCTGCTGCCGTAACATTCTGATCATAGTAGGTATCATCCTCTTCGTACTCTCCATCGGCGTCAATGTCCTCTGGGTCCATATTGCCTGCGCTCTGGCCCATGAGCCTACCAGGCTCCGCCATCGCGAGGGACATGGCCGAGGCTATCTTAGAGACAAAATAAGCCAGGTTCACGATCTATATCCACTAGACCATATAGATGACGGGGTTTCACGAGTGAAAGCACCCCAGGGGTGTCTGCATGAGGGCTTCGTGCCCTAGAGCGCGTCGTGCGGGCGTCCGTAGCGCGTTGTGATGGCCGAAAAATGAATTGCTCGAGAGTATTGTGTATGCCGTAAACGTGTTGTATTCTCCGTGGGTGTTTGAAACGCTTCCGTGGCTGTAGCCGTGATGTTGGAGGGCTTGCGGTCGCGTTGGGTCGTGTTGGGAGAGAGGCGGAAGTGGGCGAGTGGATGGCACGCGCAATTAATTCGGCGCCACGGTGGCGGAAGGGCACGAGAGGTGCGGTCCAGGCAAACGTGCAGGATCGAGCGACACCGAAATAATTTCCCTCACGGCGCGAGCAGATGCTGGCGAGGAGTTGTTACTGAATCCAAAAGCGCGGCCTCCTGAAGCTGGGGATTCGGTGCCAAGACTTGGTTCCGCCAGCCGAACTGGACCTCACTTGTTCAACCCAAGCTCACCACCACCCCAGACCCCACCTACCCTTCGACACACAACAAGCTTCCGGACCCTCCGCAATCATGGGTGTGCCCTTCGAAGCCTTGCTGCCGTATGGCATTATGCTCGGCGTGAGTCAATTGGTCCTGCTGGTTGTGCGACGCTTCAATTGACGCTTCGTGCAGATGTTCACCTTTAGCAGCTTTGCTGTTGGATCGCTCAAAGAGATGCAGAACGGAGGAAAGAAGACCAGGCGCGGACTCGATGTGTGGGATAGGGTAAGTGGTTGCTTCTGCGTCTGATTCTGGTGCCTGAGTAGCAGCTAACATGTCTCCAGCAAAGTATGACACCTCCATCATGACCTCATATGCGATACGATATCAGAAACTGAACGCAGTACAGTGATGCAGCGCGACCGCCGACTTACTGGATGGGCGCGTGGACAGACCGATCTGCCCGAGGCACCACCAGGCTTCGAGTTGAACAACCCATGGAGGGTAAGTGCGAGACATGGAATGGGTTGTGGGCACGCACAGCTAATACAAGATGCAGTTGGAGAAGCGCTTCGTCTAGATACCACCCACATGTACAATCCAATTTGCCCTCACCCCCATGTATACGATACTCCATACCACAGACCGATTCCAGCCCAAGCCAATCAATTCAATATTTATCTTGTTCTACTTGATATTGCAAGGGAAGCATCGTGATGAGTGATGGTTGTGCAGAGGGTATTCCCCGTCGTTTTGGCAAACGTCGGATTACTAGGATCTGTATTGAATCATAGGAAAAGCCTTCCCATTGTACTCCGATAGACCTACGTCTAATATCTGTAACGATGACGTCGCTCCGAGTTCAGTTCAATGCCCAACCACCAACTACTTGATCTCTGAAGGCAGTCCTCTAATCCCATCCCTCTCCGCCTCGGTCAACTTAATCCCAAAATACTCCTCCAAAGCCCCAACCCTCTCCGCCTCACTGGCAAACTTGATCTCGAGTTCCTTGGCCCCATTAATCCTCTTCTTCAACACATCCTGATTAACCGACACGCTCCCCACCAACTCCCCGCCCTCCCCCATAACCTTCCTATCCAGCATCACCATACGAGTAAAAAAGATCTTATTCGAAGTACTGGTGAAGTAATTCATAATCTGGTAATCGTTGTCCAGAAACTCGAGCTCGGTGAAACAGTACACGGGGGTGAAGTCTGCGTCGGCGGTGGGCTTGTGCTCGTAGACCCAGAGACGTTGGTCAGAGTCAGTATTCCCGGTGATGTTCTTCCATTGGAGACGGGCGGTCGCGGGGGAGATGTGAGGTTGTGGGGCGGAGGGAGGGGAGGAGGAGAGCGGCATGGGGGTCGTCGGACCTGGACCGCCGAAGCCGACGTCTACGTGGAATTTCTGGGGGCCAATCTTTACAATATTGATTTTGTGGGACCTGTGTGGGGTTGTATTTGTTGGTATAGTGAGGATTGAAGCATGAGGTTCGACATTTGGACATAATAGGATCACGTGAGATAGATATATGTGATTAGAGCCATCGATGCGTGCAATGGACCGCAAAGCTTCTTTGCACACATCCAAGCCCATCACGATACTCGACCTCTAGCTACCCCGAATTTTCGGATTGAATGTAGAGAGAATAGAAGAAGAAGGACTCACCACCCCGTCCACGTCTCTCCAGTCCACACCCTGCCCCCCGCGGAGTAAACCTCGTACCCCAAACTCTTCAACAACGCGCCAAACAGGCTGTTGTTCTCCATGCAGTACCCGCCGCGGCCATTCGCATCGCCGATGATCTTACGGTACAGTTCGTCCGGGTGCAGAGTGATCTGGTGGTGCGGCGAGTAGTGCAGAGTTAGGTTCTCGAAGGGGATGGTGGCTAGATGGTGGCGTTGCAGTAATGCGAGGTAGGTCAGAGCCGAGTCGGGGTCGAGAGAGGTTATGGATGTTTTTTGGGAGGAGGCGGGGATGGCGAGACGGGTTAGGTAGGCGGATATTTGGGTGGGGGTGTATAAGGCGGGCGACATATTGTTCAGTGGTGGTGATGGTGACGATAGATGGTGATGGGGGTTCAGTTTGGATCAGTGAGCGTTGGTGAAGACTTTCTTTCTGGGGGATGTTCTCGATGGATTGTCACGGAACAGTGGAGTTTGCGGTACATCATAGCATCATTATGGTGGAGCATTCGCTTCGCAAGGGTCATGGTGGTGGATTGCTTTCCGCTAAATACGAGGAGTCGGCTAGTATGAACGATGGCAGTGCCACAGACACATTGTGGTGATTGATGTCGCACGCAAGGCGCCACAAGATGTCGCGCTCGTCTTTCACGAGGCACTGTCCGTCGGATACGGGATCCGGATGGCTTGTGGTGTTTGATTTAATCCCCGAATCTCGTGGCTATCTTTCCGGAGGATGAATGGTGAGCCGGGGCTGGGCTGACATGGTTCGTGGAGCTTGATTGCGCGCTCTCTGAGGATGGAAACAGGAATGTCATAGTCACCAGGCTTTGACGGAGATGCACCTAGGTTCAAGTTTTGAGGTAGAGAGTGTATCGCCAGACAAGATATGGGGAGGTGTTGTCGACGAGGAGGAGGAGGAGGATGTGGGAAGGGTGGTGCATAGTCGGGTCGGGCCAGGCCAGGCCTAGCGCCAGCCAGGGCGGAACGGGCAGTCGGGACCATTCATTCGTTGCTCGATTCATTCATTCCTCAGTTCGTTTCTCAAGCTACGGACTCTCGTACCCCTGACCGGCCAGCCAGCGTCTAACTGCACTGCACGGTACCTGTCCAAGTACCAACTAACCACGCGCCAGGGACGTCCATCCCATCACAGCTTGCCATGCTCCCATTGATCGCAATCTCCACCACCGCTTCCTTCCCCTCCCTCTCCTGAACAAACTTCAATCCCACTCCTCATCCATCCCACCTACAAAAAAAACCATGTCTGCACCTTGGTGACGCTGCGCCTTTCTTTGATTCTTTTCTTTTTCTTCTCCGCATCCTGCCCGCATCCGCATTCGGCCCATCTACACTGCGCCTCCTCGCTGTCTCCACCACGCACGCGGCCCTGCCGCCTCGCCTAGCACCGTCTGACTGTGTCACTGTAATCAAGCCCCCTCGTTGCCCGGCCTTTAAACAATGGCCGCGAGCAATGGAGGACTGCGCACCCATTACCCATACGGCGGGGACGCCCTGAGCCCTCGTCCGCTCTACGACAGCTTCCCTTCTCCCACCTCAAACTACCCGTCCCCCGGAATAGGCCCCGGTGCTGTCTCGCCCAGTTTCTACCCTATGGCCTACCAGAACAGCCCGCGCTTCGGCGGCAGCGTCTTCATACCGCCTCCCGACGTCTTCGTTGACGGCCGCAAGGAATTCGATCAGGAGAATGGCCCTTATGCCGTCAAGCGACCCATGTCCGAGATCAACCGCGATCCCGTCGCTATGCACTTGCTCGTTGAGACCGCCATGTCGGATAGCCAGCGCTTCGATGTCTTGACCGTGGAAGAGGTGGAAGCGCTGAAGCAGGAGCAGAAGGGCCTGGACACCCGCCTGGGGACCACAAGGAGGAAACTGGAATCCGAGACCAAGATTCGCGACGCCGCCCAATCGCTCACGCGTCTGACGTCGAAGAAGGATAAGGGACACGTCAGGGGATTGAGCAGTCGCGGGAGTAATGCTAATAGGGATACATTGGCCAAGTCTGAGGAAGAGCTGGCCGCAAGCAATAGGAAGGTCGCCGATCTCACGCGAGAGGCGTTGGAAATCGAGTCCCGCATGCGCTACATCGACACACAACTGTTAATGCACACCTCTGCTGTATTGCAGATGACACATCACGGCCCAAGGAGACGCAAAAATCCGCAGATACTCAACGAGAACGACCCGAGGCCAGACAGTCCCGCGAGCATATATACATACGAAAACGAACGGAGCGATAAAGCTGGGGATGATGCGTTTGACGAGAGGAGTCTCTACCGTTCGCCCGAGAATCTTGACTCCCTCATGAACGCTCTTCAGAAGGGCACACATCACCGCACAGAATCCATGGAACGCCAGAATCAGACTTTGACCACCATGAGCAAGCGGTTGGAAAACCTCAACGAGCGCATCCGGGAACTTATTGTCGAAGCGAATCCTGAGCGGAATCAACAGTACACACGGCCTCCGTCCATGCCGATAGGCGGAACAGTGGACGCTTCCTCTATATATAGGCAAATGGACTTCTTAGATCAGGGATTAAAGAGTGTAGCTACCGAGCAAGCTGAGAAAGGCGCGTCTTCAAACTCGGACCCTGAAGTGCAAGAGCGACTAGAAGGCATCAACAATCAGTTATACGCCATGCTCAGCAGATCAGACGACCAGGTGCCTCCGCCCCCAACGGTCGGAGGCGTTCAGGAGCAATTAGCCTACATGGAGGATTCCTTCTACAACATCTCGCAATTGCACTACTCGATGAATGAGCATATTGAGGATCTGAGAAACAACCCGAGCGGCAACGACGATGTGGAAAGGTACGAAACCATGCTCAAGGGGCTTTGGCAGACAATACAAACCGGCGAAGAAGACGCTCGAGAACGCAAGCGCGAACGTAGAAGACTACTTGCCGAGGATCCAGACAATACGGAGGAGCTGTCACCCGATGAAGACTATAATGTCAATGAACAATACTCGCTGATAGCTTTCGATTCCAAGATACGACTGTTATTCCGCCGCGCCAGTTCACTCAAGGACAAGCAAGTCATTCTTTTGCGCCAGATCAAGCAGCAGCGCGAACTCAACAACAAATCTGATGCGCAAAGAGAAGACCAAGTCAACCGACTCAACGAGCAGGTCCTTACCGCCCGCTCTGAGAAAAAGACCATGGAAGGCGAGCTCGATCGAGCAATGGGCCTCCTCCGCCAAGCCGACGAAAGCAAGAAAGAAGAAGTCACCCTCCGCAACGTCGAAGCCCGCAACACCACTCTCGAAACCGAACTCCGCACCACCCAAGAACGCGCAACGTCCCTCGAATCGCAACTCGCCGCCGCCCAAGAATCTGCCCGCGCTGAAGCAGAAGCCATCCAAGCGGACCTCGCGCAATCCGCTGCCAAAATCGACGAAGCAACATCCGCTCTGCACGCCGCAACCGCCGCCAAGAACGAAGCAGAAGCGCGCGCCACATCCGTCTCCTCGACTCTCCAAGCGAAAGAAGAAGAACTCGAGACCCTCGAATCCGAAGTCGTCCGCCTCACCACTGAACTCACCTTCGCCAAAGCCGAACTCGACGGCGCATACGGCACCCGCGCCGAGCGCGCCGCGGCGTCAGGCGCCCCCGCCAAACAAGAACTCGAAGAGCTCCTCTCTAAAAACGAAGCTCTCGTCGCCGAAATCTCGGCCCTCCAGAAGCTTTCTGAAGCAGCGTCCCAATCCGAGCAAGAAGCCCGCGACAGCGAGCGCACGCTCAAAGCCGAACTCGCCGGCATGGCGACAGACTACGAGACGCTTACGCGCGACGCGATCCAGAACGAGCGCGATCGCGATGGCTTGGAGGCTGCGGTCGATAAGCTGCGAGACGAGAAGGAGGCGTTGGAGATGGAGCTCAGCGATGAGCGCGTCAAGTGGCTCGGACTAAGAAGCCCCAGCGTTGCAGCGGGCGCGAATGCGAATGCCGCCCTCGCCAGTCCTATTCCCCCGGAGATGGGCGCTACCTCGATCCGCATGCTCAGGGAGGATTTTAGGAAAATGATGCGGGAACGGACTGCCGAGGGGTTGAGGGCTTTGAGGGTGAGTTTTTCTTTTTCTCTTCTTCTTCCTTCCCTTCTATCCCACAAATTTCACTTTCACTTTCTCCAGTTTTTTAGTTTTTTCTTAATCTGTTCTATGATGATTGATTCGTGAGACTGACCCTCAAATTCAGACGGAACAAGAAGAACGCCGCAAACTCGAGGCCATCGTTCGTCAACTCCGCAAGGACGCTGCTTCGTCCTCTTCTTCTACTATCCCGGCTGCCAGGTCGAACCTTTCGGCTGTTACGCCTGCGCCTTCTTCCACCGCTATTCCATCGACACCGCCGTCGGTCAAGGCGTAGAATTGGAAAAATAAGCGAAAGAGAGAGAGTTAGAGAGGTAGAGAAGAACTAAAAAAAATCATATAGAAACGGTTGATTGTTATTATCTCTTTTTCTTCTTCCTCTTTTTAGATGATGCATGGTTCGTCTGGTCCCCCTTTACCCACGGCAACAATTTTCAAAAAATAAAGCAAGGAACATGGGAGGTGACGATAGAAAGCATTTGTTTTTCTTTTATTTCGTTTCATTTACCCCAATTATTATTATTTTTTTCTTATAAGAGATGTCGCGATGTTGATTGGACATGTGTTCTGGGGGGGGTTATCATCTTCTCAATCAGATGGGATGGATTCGAGTCGACTGGTTTATTGGGGAAATGGAGATTGGTTCCCTCTAACGTTATGTGTTATGTTATGTCGTGTATGTATGTATATCAGGAGCAGCAGGAGGAAGAGAGGTGAAGGATCTACTTATCGATGTGTTGTGTGTTGTTTAATGCTATTGTTATTTTCATTTCCATCTCCTTTTTCTCTTTGGCTCTCGTTGGAGAGAGGAAGCGAGGAGAAGATAGGAAGAAGGGAGAAGTCAGTAAGTAAGGGATACGAATGATATTGCATAGTCGATCAATCAATCAACCAGTGTTGCTGTTGCGAGAGGTGGTTCGTTATTGAAGCAATTGATTTCTTACACGAACGTAGGTTGGAATGGATGAATAACTCGATTTGCAGTTGTAAAAACATGATTGATAATACGTATATGTATATGTATATATATGTTGGATTTGCAGCAACATCAGAAGAAGATTTCCGTCTTTGCAAACACAGCAACAAGAACAACAAAGATGTACTCTGTCCGCCTTGACAACACAACTCCCACCCTTACAAAACACCCATCCTAGACCCTTCCACACTACCCTACCTACAAAAATCCAACAACAGAGAGTGTGAGATAGAAAGAGAAGAGACAATCAAGAAGGACTACCTCCGTTTCTCAACCATGACAACCTCGTCCTCATCCTCATCATCACTCACGCCCTCACTATCCCCTTCATCGAAAACACTCCCAGCCCCACTACTCCGTCTCCTCACCAACCCGCGTCTTCTCATCCCGCTCTTGATCCGCCGACTAACCTCCTCAAGACCCCCTCCATCGATGGTGCTGAACGGCTTAAGCTGGAATCCGCCGCCGAGCAGCGACGAGCCAGACGGTGTTCGGCTGTGGTCTCTCTTTGGAGTACTCGGTCTTGTGGAGAAGAAATCCTGGTTCGCGAGATCGCCAAAGGATTCGTTTCGGGGGATGGTGTGGGCGCGATGGAGCGATGGGGAGGAAGGTGAAGTCGGGTAATCGTATGTGTCTGCGATGTTCTGCTGGGCAGGGTCTGAGGGTTCTTTTTGAGGTGGTGGGGTGACTGGACGGCGACGGGTTGATGTGGGTGAGGTGGTGGTGGCAGGTGATTTGGAGAAGGGGTCTTCGATGATTCGTTTCGAATGGAAGTCGTCGAACATTTCCGGGCCGAGCTCGTTGATGATGTCGGTGATGGCTTGGGCGAGCTTTTCGCGGCGATCCTTGAGGCGCACGAGTTGGTTGCCCGACCAGGGGCTCATGATTTTTATGAGGGGGACCAGAGATTTGACAATGTCCATTGCAACTTCACCAAAGCGGAGCGCTGCGTATGTGACAGTGGGGTATAGGATCCATTGGCCTAGGATGAGCCATCGCTTCTTGATACCGGGGGGTAGAATGCCGAATACGTTGTTACGTGTGTAGAGGTAGGTTCCGATCATGACGTACATGAAATAGATGGAGGGTGCGGCAGCCATAGCGACAAGAAGCTTCCAGGTGGCTAGGACATCTTTGGCGGCAATCTTCACATTCGATTCCGCGAGGGCTTGTTTGGCCTTTGCACGCGATATCTGTTTGCAAACGAAGAAGACGCCTCCAAACAGAAGTAATCCCGGAACCACAAAAATAGTCAGAAAACTCAATTTGATCAGACGGTACCAAAAGAGGAAAAGGCAGGTGAAGACGTTCACGCGCGCGTATTGTACTTGATGATCGCGGAGTCGGAGCGCAAGCAGCTCTTTGTTGTAAGCAAGCACCTCCTTTTTCAGCTGTATGATGCGTGGATCGTCCTTGTACTTGGTGTAGCCTTGAACAAGACGGCGATTCAACTCGACAACTCGTGGTAGCGGAAGCTTCGTGCCTGTCGGGTTATAAAGTCTTCGAACGGCTTGAATCAGCTGCACATGAGGGTTAGCTATAATACTGTATGTAAAATATTACAGCCGAGCTTACCATGAGTGTATCGTAATCGGGTGTCGTAACCGTGACGGAGATAAGACCTTCTCGGATGACTTCCAGCAATTCTCCTATCGCCTCACGCTTGTGACCCCCTTCGAACCTATCGACCATTTCCAGAGGTACATCAATTGGGTTACCAAACTCGATGACAGCCCTTGAGCGGAACTTGTGCGCATGAAAGTAGTTCATTCCCACAGGAATGATCTTGAGGTTACAGTCACGCTTGGAGGCCACCGTACCCAACGCCATGATAGCCACTCCGGCTAGTACTTGTTAGTGAGATGTCCGTATATAATATGAACTCCGCGTACCTTTGAGGGGAAGGAGGTCGGAACGATCATGGCTACCACCTTCGGGGAAGATGCCAACGGAGCCTCCTTGATGAAGTACGGTATGCACGGCATCGTAAACACCACTTTGATCCAATTTGGGAGCGACCTGGAAATTGATGCCTTCAAAACCTGGGGCAGGACCCAAAAGCTTTGACGCGCCACCAACAAAGGTCCCATCTTTGGTCATGTCATTACGACCAGTCAACTGTTGCATAGCGATTCCTCCCTTGAAGGGGCGCTTCAGTTTTATCTCCTCAGGGCCCTTGATTTCCAGAATCTCAGCAGAAGCTCCGACACCATCGACCTTGGGTAGCACCACGGATCCGCCAACTTGGAAGGGGTGTGCATCGAACTTTGTGTCCACGCCGCGGAGGAGACATGGGTCGTTGACGGGGTCGGGGAGGTATAGTTTGCCCTGGGCGGGTCTGACAAGATCCATAGCTCTGCCTACTGGAACAGCACCCAGTGCTGAAGAGACGCCACCTATAAACTTGCGCTTCATGGATTTCTCGGCGATCAGGACGTGGATTCGGCGGTTCGATTCTCGCTTGACGATGCGCAGCAGGATCAGAGGATCCACAAACTTGCCAATGTGTCAATATATAAAACAAACAGAGACGGTATGGAAGGAAGGCAGCGTGTATACCTGGTTTGCATGGGGGGCGCACACGAAGATGACGGGGCCATCTTTGGGTACCTTCCAGCTGCCTCTGGGGTGAACTTCGCGAAAGAAGAGCTCGACGAGGATAGAAAAAGTCCACAGGAAAGCATCGTAGACCTGCTTGTTCATGTACCCAATCTTTTTTGACTTGGGTGCCATTGTTGATGAATGGTTCGGCGTTTGCGCCGGAAAGCTTCCGAAAGGCAATCCGAGTAGCTAGCGAGGGGGGGTATTTGGGTATATCGCACGCACAGATAACTGACAATGTACAAAAGCAAAGAATTAGCGGGGATAGTTGTGCGCGAGGGTGCGTGTCGTGTGCTCACCTCGCGGTAGATTGAAAGGAAGCGCAGAAGATAAACAGAAGATATCAAGCAGGCAGCGGTATGCCCCGGGCGTATATGTACTCAGTCGATAGTGGGAGAGGACAAGTACGCTGCCGAGGGCATGGCAAGGCAGGCAAGGCAGAACAAAACAGACGAACCGTTGGAGCGGCAGAGTTATAGCCGGAAGCCGGGACGAGGGATCGCCAGGTAGGTGGGCATAGGTGTTTTTTTGAGGCGCTATAGCTGCTGTTGAGAGGGCGTCGGGGCAAGCAGCGAACGGAGTTGAGAGAAATAGTCTAACGAAGGTCTCGTCAGTGGCCAGGCGGAGGCGTGACAAGCAGTGACGCTATGTCGCTTTGTCAATCTATGCGCCATCATCCCTGGCTGAACCCCCGCCATGCATGCATCCATGCATGCACCCCATCCATCCACCTCTCCTCTATCTATCTATCTGTTTATCTTTCTATCATTTTCTCCTCTATCTGCAGAACCTAGGTACCAATCGTGACCGCTTCAGCCTCATTATACATCTGCCCACTTCACAAACCTCGTTCCATACCGAGCAACAGCTGCTACAAGCAACACCAACCACTCTCATGAGTCGACACCCTGAGGATGTACATCCATGAATTCATCGCGCCATCCAGCAACCACTTGAACAATCAAGCATCACGTGCAATCTCCGATCAATCCATCCCCTACCATGTCCAGAGATACCGACAAGTGCACACCGTCATCTCCCCAAAATCAAGAAATGTCTCACAGCTCATATGACGTTCACCGGAGCTCTGCACGCGTACATCACAACCATCATTGACGTCAATTGTGAGAAAGAAACCATGCTGTATTTATTTTTTACCATGATGAGTGGGTGAAAATGCGATCAAACGCCTGACCTATGCAGAGCATGCGAATATACTAAAATTGTTATAATGCCAGAACCAAAAAAAGGATTAGAGTGCCTATCTACAGAAGCAAAATGCTTTTTTCCATCTGTCAGAAAAGAAAGGCAAACACACAAGAAGAGAAAGAGGAGGGGCCGGCTCCGTTGAAACATCGACCCAGGTATATAGGTATATGTGACTCAAATCACATCTACAAAAGAGCTGCCATGACTGCCATACCCGCCGCAGCGAACAAAGTGCTGAAGCCCACCGTGGTGGTGCCGGTTGCCGCACCGAAGAAGGTGTTGTTGCCGGGGTTGGTCGAGTTCACAGGCGTCGATGTACCCGTGGGGAGCACAGTCGCGTTACGAGAGGGCGTTGGGTAGGGCACAAGAGGCTTCGACGCTGGAACAGACGGCACAACAGGTGGTGAGGGAAGGGGCGTGAACTTGACGCTAGACGACAGAGGAGGAGCTGGGGGAGCCAAGGACGAGGGGGTGGGCGGAACCCAGACAGTCACCGTCTTCATGCCAGAGCAAGTGCACGAAGATTGTACAGGGGCCGGTGTGAATTGGAATCCAGGGGTGCCTGCAGGGACGGGGACATTGGTAGGCACCACAGGGGCAGTAGCCGGCTTGCTCTCAGCGGGGTTGCTGCTGGGAGTAGCGGCAGCGCCCTTGCTCTCAGTGCAGCTAGTAGATGCGCTTTCGGTAGGCTTGCTGTCGACAGGCTTAGGCTGCTCGAGAGAGAAAGTGGGCTTCGCTTCTTCGGGCTTGCCCTCAGAGGGTTTTTCGCTTTCGACAGGCTTGTTGGAGTCAGCTGGCTTGGTGGGTTCCACAGGCTTGGTGGATTCGACAGGTTTCACGGATTCGACGGGCTTGTTGCTCTCGATCGGCTTGGATTCGACGGGCTTAGATTCAGCAGGCTTCGACTCGGTGGGCTTCGATTCCACGGGCTTCGATTCGACGGGAGTGGGAGCGGGCTCGGTGCTAGAAGGAGCCTCTTTGCTGGAGCTAGGGGCGGCCGAGGAAGAGGGTTTCGGGGCAGGGGATCCTCCAGTGCCGGGAAGAGTCTTCTTCTTGAGAGTGATGAGAGCCTGAGTGACTTCCATGGCGTTGAGCTGCTGGCCGATGCCTACAATGCCGTCGGCAACACCCTTGTACCACCGGGTACCGCAGTTGGAGCCGTCATCAGCGCAGGTCTTGCCGGCGGCAACAGCAGTCGTCTTGAGGTATTCGCTGATAGTGTCCATGGTGAAGGGGGCGAGCACAGCAGTCTTGGCCATCCAGCGACTGAGGTAGGCCTTGAAGGACTGTTGATCGAGATTACAAAATTTCGTACTGAATTCACAGCGCTCGAACATGACGTTCTTGACCTTGTCGGGGTTCTGAAAGAAAACATCGGCGTGCTTGAGAAGGCCAGCAACGCGATCCTTCCAGACGTTGTCACCCTTGGAGACATCGAACATGAAAGCACTACCGTGGAGGTACATGGCGTTGTTGTAAGTCCACTCGGTCTTGTCGGATGGGCCGTTGCAATTGGTCTTGTCGTCGGTACCGTCGAAGACCTCGAAATTGGGGCCGATCAGGCCGACCTTGCTGGACCACTCGTAGATGGTCTTGGCCCAGTCGGCATACTTGGACTCTCCAGTGTAGCGAGCGAGGCGGGCAGCCAGAGCAAAGGCAGCTCCGTTGCTGATGGAGTTCTTGTAGTTGTATCCACCGACGTTGGCGTTGTCGGGGTAGATCTGCCACTTCAAACCGCCGCCGCAGGACTTGGTATCCCATCGGGACATGATGTTCTCGAAGCAGTTCTGCGTCACCTCGAGGTAGCTGGCCGGGGCGTTGGCTGGCTCGGGGAAGCCATATTCAACGGCACTCATGGTAGCGAGACACCAGAAAGCTTGGTCATCGTTGCCCTGCTGGTCGCGCTTGTCGGCCATGATGAAGTTGTTCTCGGGGCCGTAGTTGGCAGCCAGAGCATCCTGGACGGTCTGGACGTACTGCGAGTCTCCGAAAGTCTGCGAGTATTCGATGACACCACCCCAGATGGCACCGCTAGCCCACCAGTAATGCGGTTTCGGCCAGTAGCCGCGCTCTTCCTTTGGCAGATCGGGGGAGTTGTACTCGTAGCTCGACATGAGGCCCTTGGCGTACTTCTCGGAGCAGCTCTTGATGGAGCTCTCGTCGTCGGGTTTGAGCTCGAGAGCACCGGCGACGGAGGCGAGGGGAAGGAGCACAGCTCCGGTGGTGGCCAAAAACTTCATAGTTGATGTTCCACGCTGGTAAGATCAGAGGAAAGAATGGGTTGTGTGGGTAAAGTAAAAAGGTGGTCAAGGTTGAGGTTAAGAAGGTAGAGGCGGTTGTGGTAGTGGTAGTTGATTTGGAGTGAGCGATGTAAATAGAAAATAAGGGTAAAGCGAAAGGGAAAGGGAAAAAAAGAATGTAGTAGCTTCAATGGAAGCAAACGAACGGCAGCCTTTCAAGCAGGCAGAGAGGTAGGTAACAGGACAGAGAAGACAGAAAGTAGGTGAGTCGGCAGGAAGAGGTGCATGGGGAGGGGAGGCCAGCAATTAAGGCGGATCGCCCCTTCCCCAACCAACGCACGAGCTGCCATTCACTCGATTCGCGTGGGTCGGGCGGGCCCCCGGCTAGCGCGCCCGCTTGGGAAGCGGCGGTGTTTCGAAACCCCAGGAACAGGCAAGCGCAGGGCTAATGGCTGCCATGTTTCAACCTCACAGCCAATGTCCGCGCCCAGTCCTTCATTCATTCACTCACTCACCCACTCAATCAATCAATCAATCATGCCGGCCCGTCACCTCATGCTGTATATACTTGTCATGGCCATGCCCATACCCATGCGCATCCAATCTTCGGCAAAAGCAAACTGCAACAATACGTACCCTAGAGTCGCCCAGTGCCGCCTTCATTAATGGATTGATTCATATCCATTCACTCTCGTCCCCCGTCATCCCATCGTTACTAGACTAAACTATACATGTGTAGGTACACGCCGGCCAGCCAGCCAGTTCGCCCAGAGCCTGCTTCTGTAACCGCCAGCACAAACATTAAATTCTTTAGCAGCTTAGCTGAGCGGCAAGCCTTCGGTTCCTGTTCTCCAACCCGCCACCAATAACCGTCCTGGCTTGGTCTTGTTTCCTAACAACATCATCTACCTTGCCTATAGAACAGAAAACGCAAAGCAAACCCGTTCGTTCCTCACCCGACTCAGGTCCCTCCCCAATTCACATCTAGAACATTTTATTTTGTGCTGCACAGCCACGCCCCACGCGGGTTTCCTCCTCTCCCCACGGCATTGGCATAGAAGCATCGCCGCATTGGCAATGACGCGGGGCTTCCCATGTCCATCTCCACGCATGAATATCGCTACAGAACTAACCACTCGGACTTCCGGCGGGAGTAGGGGCCGGGGGCTGATTACTTTTTTTTTACTTTACAGCTTTTTTGCCAAATCGTTACATTCGGTGCGATTGTTTATGCGGCATCTTGTCCGTTTCGAGGAAAGCTGTGTGCGCCTAATCAATGGCGCTTACTTGTTTAAATATACACGTGTAAGTATGCTGCTGATGGTGGCATAGATGGGTGCTGGTTGTTAGGACATCGGTTGGCAGAAGGACGACAATAGGCGTCCACCGTAGCTTTTCATTATCCGATCATACACACACCGTGATCATACATCTTCTCGCCGTCTTCTTCTCCGATGGACTGTATGCAATGCCCCCCAAAATGAATGGAGGGATACTTCCTCATACCTCCTAGCGTCGCAGTAAAGAAGAGGTAAAATACCTCCATGTGCATACATGTACTATCTGAGCAATACCCATCGATTTGACTGATGATGGATGATGATTAATCGTCATCATTTCGTTGCTGTTGCTCATCCAAGGGGGCCAGGGCCTCCCGTACACTGTCATCATTGTCCAGCGACCACGCCGTACGCGTTGCGGGTTTCCGGTGGCTCAGTTGTCACCCTCATCACCGTAAGCTTTTCCCGACTCGGACTGTCCGACGGTTGGCAGCACCTTGTTATCGCGCGGGATACAATGTGCGTGGATATGAAAGGTATATCTAAACATATGGTAAGTAAGCAAGCAAGCAAGCGAGGGTGGTTGAGTATATAGAGAAAGCACTGGCAGAGATCGGTTTTGGATAATTCCGCTCAAAGCTAAGCAGCAGCGATACTACAACAAGCAAGTGTTTGACTTGCTCGGATGCCTGTCCTCTGTCTGGGTGGACCTCCGATGGTGGACAGACGGCTACTTGTTGCGTCCGGGGTACCGTATAACGTCAGAACCACCAACCAACGAGGTCAACACAAAGCAGAACCCTTCTCATCGTACGCGGACTAAATTAGCCAAAAAAGCTGCCTGTTCCCTTCAACCAAAGTGTTCGCCAAGGCATAACAAAGATCCGTTCGCTCCCGCACGCATCCCAACGGCGTGAGATGCCCGTAAGTCTGGCCCAACGCTAAGTCTAACCCGACCCCATTTTAAAAAAACACCACGCTTTGATGCAGTGAAACCAAATCCCAACCAAACCGCATAATCATTATCGAATCCGTCAGCATCCTGCTCATAGCCTTTATGAGCCCCCCACAAGCCTCTTTTCCTTCTTCTCCCTCTCGCTCTCCTTGATCGCCGCGATCTCCTCTTTGGACATGTTGTACGACGCGGATACTTGGTTGAGAGGGTTGTCAGGGTGCTTGTCGAACTCCTTGCGGATCTGATCGATCTTTTGCTGTCGCCGTAAGCCCTTGTCGTCCTTCATCTCTTCCAGCCTACGCTCCTCGAATGCGGCGTAGGCGGCCTTGACACGCCGCTCCGGGTGACGGTCGATCTTGTCGTTGTTGCTGCCAGTCAGACTCATGGCATCGAGCGCGTTGTCGATGCCGGTGGCGTTGAGCGAGCCAAGTGCTCCATCGATTCCTCCACCTCGGGGCTTCTTTTCGGCCTTCTTTGCGCCGGCTCCTTTGGGCTTCGAGGGCTGCGAAGCTTCCTCTTCTCGCAAGAGCGCATCTTTTTCAGCCTTCTTACGTGCGGCTTCCTCCTTCTTTGCTGCGGCTGCTTCACTAGGAGTGCGTCAGTTGTGCCGCATGTGGACTTCGGACCTGAGTGGACGTACGCTTTGGAGTTTGACTTGCTGCCTTGATCCCATTTCTTTGACTCGGCGGACTCGGCTTCCCGATCCTTCTGCGCTTGCTTTTGCGCTGCTGCATCGGCCTTGCGGGCCTGGCCTTGGGCCTTTTTGGAGCCTTCTCCACCTCCTCGCTTAGGTGGCATGATAGTGGTAGTTTCGAGGTAGGTTTGCTGAGGTTTAATAGAAGTGGTTGAAAAAGTTCGTAGAGGTTGGAGGTAGCTGGATGAGTCGAGAGGTTTAGCGGGGTTGCCTAGCATCCCCGATGATGAAAGCAGTGGGGCACAGCATTGACTTTCCTTGACTACGTAAGCAGCCCGAACGCCGACTTTCATTCACCCACTACTCCGTCACTGCATCCTATCGATTGCTAGCGCCACTGTAGCGCCGTTTGTACGGAGCAGCCAGTCGGATCAACTTCGCATTCAAAACCCCAGCAGTCACAAACAACACTTCGTCATCGATGCCTTTCACCTCCACCTCACACTAATTACTTTGAATGAGTATACGTTGACCGGAACCGCAAGAGATGGGAGTTAAAATTTTAACATTCATTCGGCTCGCTGGTCCTCAATACCATCAGTCGATCCATCTAGCCTATCGTCACTGCTTGTCTTCCAGGCTTGGGTTCCTTCGTGAAGCTTGAAAGCAGACCCATGCACGCGAGCTACATATTTATGTGCACATACGCACATGATCAACGTTGAATCCAGGTCGACTTCCCAGCCCCGCATGCATTCGTTCGTGAACTGGGATCCTATAGATTGCGGTTACAGTCACTAAGTACTTTTCACAACGTGAAGTTACAATGGAACATCTCGTATCAATTGGGCAATGCATAGCGTTCCATTCCCCATACTAGCCATGCCGGTTAAAAGGACAATCAATCGATACTCCCGGAGCGGGGACAACGATAGTTACGTAGGAAGAGCGCAGGGTATCATGGAGGGGTATGGATTATTTAGGAAGTTCATTTTCAGCATCTTAGCAACTCTTTCGCTCCTCATCTTGCTGCATCAATTCAATTGCTGCGATTCTGATCCTACCTGCAAGCCGGTCATCATCAACAACGCCACTGGGACCCGATTGAAGTCAATATACAATATTTTTGCGACCTGGTTAAGATCAATGGCTGGAACTAAACACGTCCTGCTGGCCGCATTGGCGGGGGTAGCAGTCGCAGACCCAAAGGTTTCCCCGCTTCCACCTATGGGATTCAACAATTGGGCTCGCTTTCAATGCAACTTGAACGAAACTCTTTTCACGCGGACTGCAGATGAGATGGCTAAGAATGGTCTGTTGGCAGCCGGATATGATAACATCAACCTTGACGATTGCTGGTCGACTATGGAGCGAAATGCCAAAGGCGAGCTCGAATGGAACACGACCATTTTTCCCCACGGGATGCCCTGGCTAGGCGATTACCTGCATGAACGCGGTTTCAACTTTGGCATCTACACGAACGCTGGGAACAAGTCGTGTGGGTTATACCCTGGTTCTCAGGATCACGAGGAGATTGACTCTCTGACTTTTGAGAAGTGGGGAGTGGACTATTTGAAGGTGGATGGCTGCAACATGGATTTGCAGAAAGGGAGATCATACTATGAAGAGTTTCAGTACCGATACGAGCTATGGCATGATGTCCTACACAACAAGCTCAAAAAGCCTTTCATTTTCTCACAGTCTGCCCCCGCTTACTTCAGTCCAAATTTTCATCTCGATCAGAATAACACCGATTGGTACCGTACAATGGACTACATTAGAAAGAATGGTGAACTTGCACGGCATTCGGACGACATCAAAGTATACGGTAACAACCCAACCAATATTTTCGAACCAGGAGGTCACTGGGAATCCATGATGAACAATTATATCATGGAAGTGCGACTCTCTCGATACCAAACTTGCGGGTTCTTCAACGACCCCGACTTCCTCATCGTAGACTGGCCTGACCTCAGTCTCGATGAAAAGAAGACCCATTTCGCACTATGGAGCTCCTTCTCAGCACCTCTCATCATCAGTGCCTGGATGCCAGACGTCAAGAAAGAAGAGCTCGCCTACCTCACCAACAAAGACATCATCGCCGTCGACCAAGACGCCCTTTGCGAGCAAGCAACCTTAGTGTCTCAAGATTCCGCCACCTCCGTCGATGTATTAACCAAAAATCTGGCAAACGGCGATCGGCTCCTAACCATCCTCAACAAAGGCAATAAAACCACCACCGCCAAAGTCCCCATAGAGCGTCTCGGCATCGACGCCGGCGCTCGTTACAAAGCAAAAGACCTCTGGACCGGCCACACCAGCACCGTCGACAAATCCATCAGCGTAAAACTCAATTCCCGCGCAACAGCCATCTTCCGCATCTCCCCCGCCAAAGAAGGCAACAAACTTACCGTCACACCCACCGGCCAGATCTTCAATACTTTCTCGCTCAACTGCCTCACAGCAACGTCCTCTCATCACTCTCCCACAGTTCGCTTTGCCCCCTGCACCGGCGACGACGAGCAGGTATGGCGCGTGTCGCAGCAAGGCGCTATATCTTCTCTAGCGGACGACCGGCTATGTCTTGCTGTCGATCGAAACGACGTCAGTCTAGAGCGTTGCGAGCGTAACCCTAGTAGTACGGCGCAGGCGTGGAAGTACGGTATCAGTGGCAACCTGGTAAGCAAGTCCAAGGGCAGTCTTTGTTTGACCGAACTCGGACATGGGAAAGTTGAGGCAAGGAAGTGTGGGAATGAGGTTGATAGCCAGGTCGTTGCACTTCCTGGTGGTGTCAAGCTGGAGTAGTTGGAAGCTGGTTATGGTTACTTTCTTGGGTGGTAGGAAGTGTACTGTAATGCTATGTTGTAGCAATCTAGGATTATCTTTCTAGTGTATTGAAGTCTGTTGATAAATCTGTGCTGTGGTTCATCTGGGAAAAAACAAGCTGTCTGTAAGCAAGAGCTAAGCTCTTATATTTTGTTTGTTTTCCACTACGCCGTCCGCTTTTGTGTCATTTCAACAGCAAGTACGTTCGATCGGTCGCCCATATTCATCTGAAATGCTTGGTACCATACTATCTGACAACTCTACTCTTTATTTTTTAATTCTTCGAGAACACTGTGATCTCGCGCTTTTCGTTCTTCGCTCCCGACTCGCTTCATAAGCATCGACTGCTACATACAGGGCCTTGTCGCTCCACGCCCGCATCACTCTAGCCTTTGCCAGATAGTTCTTCCATAGAGACGAGCAGTAAGTTCTTTCCCCACCTTGCTGGTTCGTCCTGCAAGAATTTCGAAGTAACAATTACACAGCTGGTTATTCTGTCACCCAGCGTCCACTGCCACTGATTAATACATATGAAGAGGATGGGAGTGAAATACGGTTGTATGGAGGGGAAAAGGCAGACGAGCTGGTGAATGAATTGTTTTCTCTCGCTACTTATATCCCATTTTCTTGACGCAAGACCAACGCGTCTATCTCGCCCCGCAATACGTCTTTGAACGAGCATGTAAGCACGTATATCAAATGACTGATAAATCTTTTCGCAGTTCCATGTATCCGCAGAGCGACTACCGCAGCGGCGGTCGTTATGATATCTCAACAGCTGTGCGGTATAAATCTGATCGCTTGCTCCTCGCAAAGCCTTGGACTCATTGGTTTTTTTGGAACGCGAAACGGAATCGTCATGCACACGATGATGAGACGAGCCCAACTAGCTCGGTAGAAAGTATTGAGATGGAATCGCTCGATAGTCGAAGTCGCACTGATTGACCTAACCGTAGCATACACGCAATACTGTCTGTTGTTCAATTTTTGGGGGGGCTGCATATGCACATGAAGTTCTATACACGTTCGCCCATGGCGTTTGCAATTGATATTTCTTGCATCTTGTCTGTCTCTGCGCGCCCCTTTTGCTACTTTAAGCCTCGACTCCGTTTTCGGCCGAATTTATGCCTTCAAACAAGGCTGGTACAAGCTTAACCAATTATCTCACTAGCTTTGACCGAGGACGTGGTTTGTCTGCTACGATAGATGCATAGTCGATGTAACCTAGGGAGACGTTGCGAATTGCCCCATTTTCTCTTCGCCACACCGGCCAGCACAGAACGCTTGAGCGGGCAACGGATGAGGCTGCACAAGGCTATTTTTAGGTTCAGGCTACACACGTAGTTGGCTAGCTGCGGTATCGTGTGGTGGAGTCGCAGAACTATCTCTGTCCTTTATGTTGACTACAATTTTCAATGCTGGCTATTGTCTTCCCACAGACCATAAACAAAACACACGTAGTAGGAGAAAAAGGAGGACACAAGGTTTCTCAATGCTATTCTCTTTACGAAAATGCACACCTACAACAGGAGATCAACCCGCCAATAACTTCCTAGCGCAAGAAACGCATAAACGTAGATCACCAAGGTAAGTCAAGTGCCTAGTCCATTGGGTGATAAGTAGGGCGACTCGACTATGAATAGTAGGACTACCCCACAGAATTATTGTTTCAGTTGGGATTTATCCTTAATCCACCCGTGACATCAATAATTAACCGAAAAGGAGGCAGGCGAGGGTAGTAGTTGATCCATTGGTAGACACTATTGGAACTACAGGGGTTCCCTCCTTTTGGGCACCAAACAATTCTCCTAAACCTCAAGTACTATTAACACTGATACGCACAACATCAAGTGAGCGCTCACAGCAGACACTCAGTCAATGCTTAGGCCTCTACCTAGTAACATTCGATCACTTATGCCTGATATCATCATGCCCGTGATAGCTGTAGAATTTCCAAGATTCACTGTAAAAATAAGATTTCGCCGAGTACGGGGAACGGCGACGCTACGCAGGGTCCAGCCTCGCTAGCCCACGTTGTAGCATCAACAAACATCGGATTGTGAAAAGGAGGATATCGAAAGATCCACATTGGTCGACCGCCGTTGTCATCATAGCTCCAACCACATCCCATGCTGTTCCATCGGAAGCACACATCAGATACGAACAGCATCCAATATATAAACTTGCTCTTTCCCAGACTACAACATCCCACTTCACCACCACCACCAACCATCACATCTACACAACCAACTCCTTAATAAATCCAACCCACACATCCAACAAAACACCGCAACCATGCAATTCGCAACCTCCGTCATCGCTCTCTTCGCCTCCCTCGCGGTCGCCGTCCCCGTTCTCCCCAACCGTCCCACAGTCGACAACCAATTCGGCGCATGGCTCGTCAACTTCTCCCACGACTCCAACGCCCGCGAGTACCTCTCTTCATCCTTCTACCCTGCGGACTTCGACCCTAACCACGACAACCCTTCGCGCAACGCCTGTGTCGCTGACCCCAACGCCACACCTGCGTTCGAGAAGCGCTGCGATCACCTTGGATTCACATATGAGTTCGATGTTGAGACTGGTGGTATGTTTCTCCTTCCCCGATCGCCTTTCTTGGGCCGGTACTAGTTTGTGGCAAGTTTGCTAACGATTGTGATAGTCTTGAGTCTGCAGATGGTACAGGGTGACGTTACATTGTTTGGCGAGAGCACGCTTGATGCCGATGGTGACGCGGTCATCCAGGTCAGCAAGGCCATTGCTTAGATGGGATGTCTACGCAGTCGGATTGTGGGTTGATGTAAAAAAAACAGCGTGTGGCTCGTAACTTTTTAATTGTAATGACATAATGCATATAGACTCGTAGGCGTTAATCACTCTGGTATCGCTCAAAATGCACGTATGGGTGAATAAAAGTCCAGGCCATCATGCTACAGTATGCTATCATCATGCATATGCCTTTTGATTGCCTGCGCTGCCTACTAACAATCATATAGCAATCGCCCACTTCCACATACATTCAAACATCTGATTGTCTTTGTGTACAAAGTATTTGCTGAGACGTGCCAGAAGAATAGCAACATGCGACATCTTGAGCATTTTGGCGAGACGGTGTATATATGCATACCCAGCCACCTGTTCTTTCAGCATATTTGGTATTGACAAATGACGCCAAATGCACCATAGATGCAGCGATCATGTGTATGATTGTGAAGGCGTACACATATTCACCTGCCCATCCGAGAGCACACTGGTGCTTGTCTGCTTGCTGTAGAGGTACAGACTTGGTTCAGATGCAATGTCGTCATAACAAACGGCAGCAAACTCTCTCGCTTACTAACCGCTACAGAGCAAAAAACAAACAAACATAATATTTCCTACAGGCACAAGATTCGAACCTGCGATCTTCCTAGGAGTTCCCACCAGCAAAAAGCAGACATCCCTCTTCATGCTGGCCACCCTAGAGTGACTCGCAAGGTAACACCTGCGACAAGGCGGGATCCTAGGTTACCAATAGGCAGCACCCACCGAAGTGACTACGCTTGCGGGGCCCTTACTGTCCCTCTCTCCCCGGGACCACTGTGCCAAGTCGAATAGAAGATTTGCGGTTTAGATATAATATATAGTGCTCAAATTGTGAAGCGAGAGTGCGAATGCGTGATTGAGTGAGAGCGATTGATTGTGCTAAGTGAGAGTTGTTTGTTTGCTTGTTTGCGTGGTCCGGGCTCGCTCTCATTTAGGTAGGCGCGATGAGCAGATTGCGTCTGAAGGTAGAACAGAGGCGACATGGTACGATGCGAACATGAATCTGACGAGCGTCTACTCATTGAAGCCGTCCAGCGTGTATCGGAGGAAGGCACGTCTTATCAGCCCCTCGCGCAGAGAGGCTTGAGCACCACATTGGTAGCGCAGGTATTGTAGTCGCGGTCCTCTGTCAACAATGGCTGCTGTGACCCCATTAGCAAAGCACATCAGATATACGATATGTCACGCGCAAGGGCGTGCCTCGTCTCATGTAAACTTTGACAGCGCCCTGATGCACGAACATATATCCTGGTGAAGCATTAGCCGGAGAAAGAGCAGATTATGGCCATAGGAAAGTGACTGGAAAGTAAGAAAAGAGATACAACGAGAAATGGGCCAATGGAAATGCAGAGAATCGAACAGCAACGAACGATCGTCCTTAATGCAGGCCTGCTGCCGACTCGCATGGTCTTCATTTCTTCGCATTCTGAAAAATCCGATAGAAAAAAAATGTTGGTCCAGGAGTAAGACACCAAATGACGGTCGCGGTGGAGGATAGTTGGCTGTTTCATCGAACCAACCTATCTTTTCTTACGGCGTGCAATCATTGCGACAATCTCTTAGAGGCCTTATGCATCTGTATTCATCCAACTTCCATCTCTTGACACAAATGGGTACGCCGAGAATCCAGATTAATATTGAGATCTAGTTAGGAATGGAGCTCAGGTGGGTGTGTAGTCACATATTATCCTTAAACATGCAGATACAATGGCATACGACTCCGGGTTCCCGGTGCCACGCAGCCTTCACCAGTATGAACGACATGCGATCGATGGTCTGTGAACAAGCAACATACAGCCATCGGTACAAGCGGGCTAAGCGAACGTAGAGAGATGAGGTGGCGTAGAGAGGTGATGGAGGAGTGAAGAGTGATGAGAAAGGACGTCGCATCTAAGTTTGCAGTCATCGGGATTGCTGATTAAGGATAGATGTTGACCACTCACAAGGCTGCTTGTCTGACCGTGCATGAGACGAAACTACATCGGGAATCGGGTGAAAGCGAGCATCTACCCCACAGTATCATCGGAACATCGTACCCACGCATCCCGGGAATAAAATGGATCGAATCGGAGACGCAGAAATGGTCCCATCTACGCAATATCTTGTAATTTTTGGTGCGATGCGTAGAAAAGAGTAAATGCCGATGCCGAAGATGGTCCAACTAACCGAGTTGGCGGCATTCGGAGAGCTAAGCACACGTCATGCTGACTACCACGAAAAGCGTTGCGCCATGCGATGTCAAAATGGTAGTGTACGATGATGGTGCGGGGAAGACGGCGGCGTAATTACAAAACTCGAAATCTTATGAGGTCGTCACAATGGCTCTGGTCTCGTTACAAGAAGCTTCAAAAGTACAAATGCTTCAGATGACATTGCATGAATATGTCAGATTGATAGACAATACACGGATATGGAGCAGAAGGACCGTAGCTGGCCGTAAAGCATCGTTCTTCTTCATTTCATGATGTACTCGTGTGTCGTACTGCGCCATCCTCCCTGTTCTGCAATGGCTCAGACCACGCTGATCTCAGCTGCCACGTCGCTCGCGCTTTGTTAGCATATCGCTGACCTGGGGAATGGTCGGATAGCTCACTACAGAATACGCAGGTGAGTGGTGGTTGATTGTACGAGACTGATTTGCACTCTCGGTGCGCTACTGCAAGGCAGAATGGCGTTGCCCTGCATAACGTGCTGATGCAAACTGATGTAGGCGGCATATCATGAACTAAGAGAAGCTCATATTTCCAAATCGAAGTGCGGGATTAGGGAATTCTTAGATCGTGATGTCGTCGCAGTGGCGCTACAATAGAAAGTCTTCCATCCCCTGGTTACCCCTCTTTCAATCCCTCGAGTACCAGCACCATCTGCTGTGAAATCACGGTTGGGTTTGGTACTGTGATCATGTCTAATACTATCGAAGAGCCTTCTCGTACACACGACTACGGAGACAACAGTTTTCGCCATTTCCCACCTGCTTCAAATTCACCAAGCTCAATCCCAAAGCCTGAACCCTTTCACATCGAGGCTCTTCATACCGTCCCGACCGCCCACTCCATATCAACAAGAGGCGTCTCCTTGTCGGAGGGCGACAAGAGTTCCACAACTCTCCGTCGCTCGCGGACTTTATTAGGCTTATCCCCTGACGCTCCACTCCTGGAAGATGATGACTATCACGAGCGCCAAAAGCTATGGTGGTCTAGAGTACGAATAGCAATGAGAGAACCATTCGCTGAATTCTGGGGTGTGGTTATTATGGTCCTTTTTGGCGATGGATCTGTCGCGCAAGTGCTTCTCTCAGCTGGACAAACGACTGCCCCTGGTGGAGCAGGTTTCGGACCTTATCAGACTATTTCTTGGGGGTGAGCGAGTTCCGAACACCCAGTTCTCAGCCATACTTAACTACTTCTTACAGATGGGGTCTGGGCGTTATGCTCGGTATATACGTGGCCGGGGACTCTGGGGCGTACCTCAATCCAGCTATAACATTTTGCAGCTGCCTCTTCCGACAGCTACCATGGAGACGGTTCCCGGTCTACTTTATCGCGCAGATATTGGGTGCTTTTGTCGGATCTGGTATCATGTACGTGATCCTGGAGCACTCAAACACCCTCCGTTGCGACCTTTAGAGACATTCCAAGTGCGTTGAATTTCATCTGCTTAACATATAATGACTTCAGGTATCTACGTGTTCCATCCAGATATGCCGTTTACTATCCTGCTATTGACTGGTTCGAAGGCGCCCCAGGGCGCAGATCTGTGCCACCAGCTGAAAAGGCGACGGCAAACATCTTCAGCACATATCCACAACCATTTTTGAACACCGGCCAGCAGTTCGTGTCAGAGTTCGTTGCAAGTGCAATTCTACTATTCGTCGTTTTTGCATTGAAAGACCCCAGCAATCACGGCTCTGGGAAGGTATCTTCTTTCCACCAAAAGAATGGTGAACATTGACCGACGAATTCTAGAACGATAAATGGTTCCCCCTGTGTATGTTCTTTCTTATCTTCGGTCTAGGTGCATGTTTCGGATGGGAAACCGGATATGCCATCAATCTCGCCCGTGATTTTGGACCGCGGTTGATGTCGTATTGTGTTGGGTACGGTACCCAGGTTTGGTCTGCCGGCGGATGTATGCATACCCCGTCGTGATGTCTTCTTTCTTGGTGAATTGTTGACAGCTCCTTTACTGACTCTGCCTATTCGATTCTAGATTATTTCTGGGTAAGCTCGCAAGTTCACACACGAGTAGGATACATGTACTGTTCGAGTGCTAAATGACGATAGGTTCCGATGGTTGCCCCTTTCTTGGGATGCGCGTTTGGCGGATTCTTGTATGATCTTTTCATCTTCACCGGTGCTAGCCCGATTAATACGCCATGGATAGGCTTCAAATTACTTTTGAATCCGAGACACGCTGTACAGTTACGGCATGAAAGACGGCAAAGATATGCAGACGAGAGCATTGTATAATGTGAATAGAATGCGAGACAGTTGCATGAAACGAAGCAAGTCTTGATAATCGGATCTTCCGAAAAGCAAAGAGCTGAATCCCCGGTATATATTGGGGTTGTAAATGCAAAATAACATCAATTGATGCAGTCAGTGGTAATCTGCCTCACCTCTAGGGTCAAACTTCCTAATGCGGTAAGTATAGAGCTGACCCGTCAATCACTGTATGCTCTTAAGTACTTGTTGTAAACCTGTTAGAAAATATGAGAGAAACGAAATTCCTCATAATGCACTGAGATTTGGCTGGCCGAATTATCCATAGACTAAATATTCCGGAACTCGGAACATCCTCGGAACGGCGCGTCACATCACGCTAGCCACTCTTCGGCTAGACTCCCTTCGACGCCCTCCCGCGTGTTGTCTCTCGTGTCTATCTATGATGCACACAGCTTCAACCCGCACTGCGATTGCATGTCTCAAATTCATGATCGACCTTTCCCCGCCTATTTTTTCTAATATTCAATACTACCAAGAGAGCCATGAACCCTGAATTTTCCTAGACAATTATTCAACCCCACCCGACGCGTCCTACAGCGCGTCTTCAGTCGGAACTCTTGCACGTTCACACGCACACTTCACCAACATGTACCTTCCACGGGGTCTCATAGCCCAACTCTACCAGAAACTCGTAAAACGGAATCATGCTGCATCTTCCCCCATACTGCTCCTCGTGGGCCTCGAACCAGACGCGCTGTGCGCTTGTCGTATCCTCACCGCGCTTCTCAAACGCGACTATATACCCCACAAAATACAACCAGTCTCCGGCTTCAACGATCTGATCTGCGCGGCAGATGATCTTGTAAAACCAATGCGAACATACTCCGGTGGAAGTGGTGGCCTTGTCGTATGTCTAGGTGTTGGCGGCATGGTTGATCTGGAAGAGATGTTTGGCCTGGATTATAACGACGAACTGGGAAGCAGAGGGACTGGAGATGTCGAGGTCTGGGTCATGGATGCGCGGAGGCCATACAATCTTACCAACGTGTTTGATGTGCCTGCTGAGCTAGACGCCGAATCTGGCGAGTTGGTGCGGAAGATCCCGGGTATAGATATGGGACGATTACCAAAATCATACCAATCAACGAGAGGAGGCATTATTGTGTTCGACGATGGTGACATTGAAGAGGAAATGAAGGCAGAGCAGGAGGCCTACTGCGAGTTGAGCGAGATGCCGGAGGTGGGAGATGAAGAAGAAGATGAGGACGACGACGAAGAAGACGAGATGGATGGGTTGGATGCTCCAAGCTCCGGTCAGAAGAGGTCACTGCAAGACGATGAAGATGCAGATATGAGTGATGACGACGGTCGTCCCTACCAACGGAGGAGAAGCAATTCGGTATGCATTCATATACTACTACAACGAGCTCAACTAACAATTGCTAGGGTGGATCAATACCATCACCACGAGAAAGGAGACCTCCGCGGCACGGCCTCCGAATCTTGGACGGCTCCTCAGATTTCTCGCGCTCAGATTCACGTAGTCGATCTACGTCACCGGTCACCACAGTCGCACCAAAACCTCCATCTATGAGAAAGCTCCGACAGGAGCTTCGAGCGCGAAGGACGAAGTATAATGAGGTTATTGAGGGATACTACGACTCGGGCAATACCTACTCAGAACCAGTCTCATCGATGATCTACTCCTTGGCTTCTGAACTTGGACGCGAGGATAACGATCTTTTATGGAATGCCATTGTCGGAGTGAGCAGCTTGGAGCTTTACGGAAAGACTGGAACCGGCCTAGGCTTAAATCCATTGTCAACAGCAGGAGGATCATCGGGATGGAATGGCCACCGAGGAGAGCGCATCCGGGGTGTCTTGCGAGATGAAGTTCGCCGTCTGAACCCTATGGACGCCAAAGATTTTGCGCGCGAAACAAGTTTAGGAGATTCAACAGGCGTCATTCCTACGAGTGCCCGTTCAGCCACCGACAAATCCATCAGACTCTCCCCTGAGCCCCGGTTTCTGCTGTTGCGCCACTGGAGTTTGTATGAGAGCATGCTTCACTCACCCTATCTTTCTGCTCGTCTCCACATATGGAGTGATGCGGGACGCCGACGCCTCGACAAATTACTTGCCAAGATGGGTGTCAGTCTGACCCAGTGCAAGCAGAACTACACACATATGGACATGGAGCTAAAGAGAGGCCTAAGGGAGCGATTACTCCGCTTTGCCCCCGTTTACGGTCTTGATGGTCTGGTTCCCCCTGCACCCCGCGGCAACGATTCAAAAGACGGATGGGGTTTCGTGCGTTCATGGGGATGGAAAGCATGTCTATCCGCCATCGATGCCAGTGTCATACTGGGGGCCATCCTCGAAGTCGGCGACGCAAAATCCCTTACTGAGTCTGCCCTGGACTCCAAGAACTTCGTCGGCAGTCAAGACCACAACGAACAGGCGCAAGTCGACTGGAGAGAAAACCCAGCTCAAGAGCACATCACAGCTCGTTTCTGGACAGCCTATGACGCACTTAACAATATCGACCTCCTCGTCCGCCACATCCACACAGCGCAATACCTCCACAAAGCCATCCTCCGCACGGGCACCGCACTCATAGAGAAAAAACAGATCCGCCACCTCCGCGCCTTCCGCATGGCCGTCGTAAAAGAAGGCCCAGACGTCGAGCTCTTCACGCACCCTGGCGCTCTAACCAAACTCGCTCTCTGGATCGCCGAAGCCATTGTCGAGCTCAATGGCACTAAGGGAAAAGGCAAGGGCTCAGAGCTCGTCATGGCCGGCCTCGACGAGAACCGCGGTAAATACATCGTCGTCGGCCTCGGCGGCGGTGGTGCTGGCTCAGCACACACCACCCGTGAACTCATTGCCAAACGCGACGCTAAACAAAAAGCTCGCGAGGCGAAGAAGATGGCTCGGCTCGCCGAGCGCCAGAAGCGTCGTGAGCGGCGCCGTCTTCAGCGAGAGCGCGCTGGCGAGGACGTTGTATCCGAGTATGAATCCGAGTCTGACGAGTCGGAAGAGGAAGATGACGATGAGACGGAAGATGAAGACGAGACTGAGGAACTGCCCAAGGGTCACGGCCGCAATAGGTTCGGGCAAGCATTCCGCGATATTGCGGGCGAGCTGGGAGATTCGGTCGGCGTCAAGCAGGACTCTTTCGAGGCTTGTGTCGTTGAAGTCAAGAAGGAGGATTTAAGTGGGTTCTTGGAGAGGTTGAGTATGCAGGTTGTTGTTACGGGGATGGGACCTGCGGCGTGAGTTCTCATGTTCTATTCTGTTGTTGGTGTAAGTGTTGGTTTTACTTGACTTGATTGATGTATAGACGGGGGAGGTTGATGTTTTGGTGCGTATATACATTGTTATGTGTTTCTTTTTTTCTCTTTTTGATGGGTAATGTTTTGGCTTTTTGTCTGTTTCTTCTCTGAGCATGAGCGCAAAAGATATGATGGATGGATTCTTTTCTTCTCTTACTTTGGGCGTTTTGCTTTGGTTCTCATGCGGTTCGGGAGGGTGTTTAGTAGCAGCGGTTTGCGAGGAGTGTTGCTGCATTCATGTTTGCATTCCGTGTTTGCATACATACATATATACATACATGTCATGTGGTTGCAGTGGGGGAAGTCAAGCTGCAGTGCATAGCGCTGGAATTCAAGCCATTATTCGATACACGTGGTAGCCATGCATAAGTGATGGTTGATATCAATGATTTTTAAGCTTCCTTTTCACTTTCCAAAAATCATTCTGACTGGATGTTAGGACGCTGAACACAAAGCTGTGACAGTGGAGATATTGTGCGTGATCTGATGTATCGAAGCAGCGCGTAATGAACTCCCAGCTTTCAGAATGCTGGCCAACGACTATCCTAGACTAATACGCTTGATGCAAGTTTATCTGCTACATTCAAGTATATATACAATCCCGCAGATATAGGATATTCGGGTTTATGCGTGAGCCCGAGCCTGGTATATATACCACTGACTACACATCCTGATGGATTCACATCTCGTGACCCCATCAAGAATGCGTGTTGAATAATATGGTATGAAGAATAACGCCCACACTACTCCTCGACGACCGTTGGAAGTATGAAGTTCACAAATGCGGAACGTTCATGCTCGCCAAAAGAAGGTTCACGATACTAAACAAGCCCTCTCCAAGTATAAGACCACTTGCGAGAATGATGATCGGAGTCTCACTCTGACCCTTGTACCTGCGCCACCAAAGGCTTATGATGCCGCCAATAGTGCGAGCGAGTGTAAAAGAGGGCGTGTTATACATGCCTATCCGTTGTCAGCACGAGTGCATACGAAACGAATAGCAAGGACCGATATGAAGGTTCAAAGACAGTGATGATAGAAAGGGGAAAATCTTACCAACAGCGACCGCAATTCCACCCGGCACGAAATCAATCCACCACCCGCTCAATCCGCTCCTCTTCCGCGCAGCTCCCCACACCCTAATTGCGGTGCCGATCGCGAAGATCACTGCAGCACCCGCAGCCCACTCCCGCACCATCGGCGGTAAGCCTGTTCCTGTGACCAGTCTTGCTGTGAAAACCCACACGTATCCAGTCGGGACCTCGAACAATCCGCCAGGAATCGTATACACATTGGTGTAGAGCTTGTATACAGCGGCGGAAAGCACTGCACCAACAGCACTTCCTATCATCTGACCCCAAAACTGCGCGTTGGGCGCTGCTCCGAGCAGGTGGCCACACTTGAGGTCTTGTAGGAGATCGCCAGCTTGCAGGGCTGCGCTTTCGCTGATAGCGCCAGCAAGAAGGTTGATGATTACTGCATTTTTGGCGCCAGGGCCTGTGGTGGGAGTTACGAGGGCAAAGACTAGCTGGGTTAGCTTGCTGATGCCTGAGACGGGGTTCAAGTCTGTTTCGCCGAGGGCGCGAACACCCATAATGGCGAGGAATAGGGAAAGCACAAGCGCTAGAATAGTGAGGGAAAGAGGGATAAGGTTAGGGAAGGAAATGTGAACGCCGAGTATGCAAGCGGCAAGGGAGAGAACGAGGCCAATTATTGTCGTGCGTGTAGAGATTTGGTGCTCAGGAGGTGCATCGGGCTCATTCTCAGAGGCTATGTGGTGTTTTATGGCGGCTATGGGATTTGACGGTGTGTCTTCATCGTTATCAAGTTGTGTGTATGAGGCATTGCGGCTGATGTTGAGGGTGAGGATCTCTTTCCACGTGTGGGATTTGATGATGTCTTTGGTGGTTGGGTAGTAGAGTTTTGCCAGAGCAATGAGCGGTCGCAGCACAAGCCAACCCAGACTGACGAGAGAGTCTGCAAGCATAACAGCAAGAGATACCCATACGATCCAGCCTTTGGAACCGTCAGTCCAATCTGAAACAGGTCCAGGGGCCCACCCTTTATGTTTTGCCAATGGCGAGAGAATACCCCATCCAATTATCGCTCCCAGAAGCATATGCAAGGTGGTCGCCGGTCCCATTATAATGCCTTGACCAACGTAGGCCGGTGACGGGTTTAGTGTCCAGAGCCATTTCGTAGCCAACGGCAAACCGAAGATGGGGATGTCGTGAAGATGAGGTATAAAGTATGAGATAATGGTATAGAGTGCCGATCCAGCGAACGCAATAATTAGAAGTCGAATTCTTGCTTTCCAATCACTATCATCCTCTTGATCCGGTTCCATATCTGCCTCCTCTTCGCTTGACGAGCGCATTGGATACTCTTCAGATGATGAAGTAGGAGGACCCAGCAGCTGCTGTTCTTCCCCTGTCCTTTCTTGAGATTGGGCGCGCGGCCGGGTGATGATATCTTGAGATTTTTCATCTCCATGCAAAACTTGAATCATCAGTGCTGTCGCCGTCCCGCTGGGGAATTTAAGTTTTTCTCTAATGATGACCTCTCGACGCAGTGGCACCGCGAAGACGACACCGAAAAAGCAAATTCCCACAGACCAGATTATGAGTCTCCAGAGGCTAATATCCAACGGCCCGTTTTCTTCGGGGGTCAAAAGGTAGTTCAGAGCAGGAATCACACCTACGAATCCGCAACCAAGAGGCATAGTACCGACAGATCCAGCGACCGATTGGACTAGCACATTTTCCACAGGCGTGAAGGGCACTTTGAGTACACGGGAAATGGTTTTGAAAAATGCGAATCCAATTAATGCTGAGGGCATAGCCATTCCGGAAACCCATCCAGTTTGAAGGCCAAAATACATGTTGGAGAAGCATATCACAACGCCGATGGCGAGGCCGACCAGAACACCCCGGAGAGTAAAGTTTTGCGGCTCGGAGGCTCTATCGGCCAAGTACTTGCGGTTCCTTGATCTTTGTGATGCAAGTCGAGAATGCGATACTGTCCGCGTTCCATCCAAATTCTGGTTAACACGAGCACCTGCTGTGGCTTCATTCTCTGAGCTGTGTTGCGATCCTCTATCTGGAGCCATGTCGATCAGCTCTATGGGGGGATTCGATGGAATGGCGAAGTCTATGGAATCGTCATGGGTTTCTCATGTGGCTATCGAGCGCTCGCCCCGAATATCACGAAGGAAATGCGGCGAATGTTGTGATGGTGTGGTCATGCGCGACTGCATATGTGTGTAATGAATGACGGAAATAGGCGGCGAACATGGCTGCTCATTGGTGGGGGTGCACATTTGTCAGCGTTATCGCAAACGTATCGTGGAGCCGGTACTACACTGTCCCCTTTCCCCAGACAGCACATACCCACAACCTCCAATCGCATATACAGAGCACTATCCACGGCTTCACGAATTTCTTGAAATTGGCGCAATGAAGTTCTCTTCGGCGCTGCTGCCGTTTCTGGCCGCGCCTCTCGCCGCCGCTGAACACACCTCGAATTGGGCTGTGTTGGTTGGCACGTCACGGTTCTGGTTCAACTACCGGCATCTTGCCAATGTCCTGTCATTATACCGCACTGTAAAACGCCTCGGCATTCCAGACTCCCAGATCATCATGATGCTGCCAGACGACATGGCTTGCAATCCCCGCAACTCTTTCCCTGGCACCGTATACAACAACGCCGACCGCGCGCTTGATCTTTACGGAGACAATATCGAGGTGGATTACAGAGGCTACGAGGTCACGGTGGAAAGCTTCATCAGGTTGATGACGGACAGAGTCCCGGAGAATATGCCTCGATCCAAACGACTAATGACGGACGAGCGAAGCAACATTCTAGTATACATGACCGGTCATGGAGGCAATGAATTTTTGAAGTTTCAAGATGCAGAAGAGATCTCGGCTTACGATCTGGCCGATGCATTCAGTCAGATGTGGGAGAAGAAGCGTTACCACGAGCTTCTCTTCATGATTGACACCTGCCAGGCCAACACCATGTACTCCAAATTCTATTCTCCCAACATCATAGCCACTGGCTCGTCAGAGATCGATCAATCCTCGTACTCACACCATGCTGATAGCGATGTCGGTGTCGCTGTTATTGACCGCTATACTTACTACAACCTCGAGTTCCTCGAAAATAAAGTACGCGACCCCACATCCGAGCTCACACTCGGAGAGTTGTTCGACAGCTACGACGAAGACTTGATCCACTCCCGCCCGGGCTTCCGATATGATTTATTCAATGGCGGTGCGGATGCTGCAAGGTCACGGCGCATAGTGGACTTTTTCGGCAACGTGCAGAATGTGGAGGTTGATAACAGTGCCCAAAGAAACGAGACACAATGGCAAGAGGAACTAGAAGCAATCGAGAAAATGATTGAAGAGGCAAAGCGGCGGCATAACGAATCCCTGAATGCGCGCCCTCAACCATTGAATGTCATGGAGGAAGTCCAACATTCCGAGCGCCAGCAGAATACCCACAGGGAGGGTGCTATGAGAATGGACGAAGAATTGAGCTGGAAAAAACAAGCTATTGGTGGTGCCGCATTGCTGGGATGCGCTGGTATCTGGGTCGTCAGCTCGTGGCTCGAATCCATGTGATCCGTATCGGTTACGCGCCATAGTAACATTTGCTTCCTTAATAACGTTCATAGCGAGGCGTTCTTCTGAACAGCTCAGATTTTGATGAGCTTTACTTGTTGCTCTGCAACTCATATCATTGCTATCCTTCACCATCACCTAGCCTTTCCCACTCATGCATTCTAGTATCTGCGCCGGGGTCGTATGAGACACGCAACACGTTCAGCATGTTGGCCCTGGAGGTCTTGGAGTTTAGGATTCCCGCATGCGCAGCACAGAGGCTCGGGGGGGTTCAAACCTCGGGGCATTGAGCCACAGGTGCCCTCTGGACAATCACCCGCAGGCGGATGAATCTTGTTCTTGAAACCGGCTTCCAACACGCGCTTCCCCCCAACAGAAAGCGCAGGTACCGTTACATGGTACTCACTGGGGAAAGTAATTATCAGTGGGGATGGAGCAAACGGGTAACAGTACCCGTACCCACGGGATTGTACATTGCTTCGCATTGACAATCCTTTAGGCGCTTGCACAAAATACATTGGCAAAGCCATGTCTTTCAGAGATGTGGAATGTCGGCATGATGGTGATTTAATATCTGGATGATCTACACAAGGGTGTATGAATCCCGATTTCCAATCTCTAAACGATTATTGGTGGATGGACTCGATCCGTTTCACTGATTCATCTGTTTCAAACACGATGGCTTACAAACTCAAGCGAAGGACATATCTGGTAACCGAAGACGTGTGTATGGCTCTTTGCCGCCTTTTTGATGATTCTAGAGCGCCTATGACATTCACCATGGCGGCATAAGGACTGCATGGCGCTGCCAAATTGGCTGCCATGCCCATGGCTAAGCCTCTAGGCACGAACGAAGGAGCAGGCTGATACACTATCTCCGCTCCTGCAGTTGTATTCATTCCCCGGCCGAACACAAGAGCTATATATCGTGAAGGAACTCCAACATGATGCTCACACGTCGCTGTCGCAGACTGTCCTGAACAGAACCCTCACTCTTTTCTACACACATTCGTTTCTTGTTTTCAGTTCCCCTTCCATTCTTTTTTTTGTTGCGCCCAAGATGGCAGCACGTTGCATTCTTTCCACTCTCGCTTTAGCGTTGAGTTTGACTGGTTCACAAGCTCAGACGACGGCTGTACCGTACACAGACGAAGCTACCGGCATCACATTCTCTCAAGTCACTGAATCAAACGGGTTCACTTACGGTTTTGCATTGCCGCAGAAGGGCAATGATTTCATCGGTAGAATCGAGGCTCCTGTAGCCCCCGGTTGGGCAGGCTTCTCCATGTCCTCTGGAATGACCAGTGGTCTCTTGGTAGTTGCTTGGCCAAATGGTGACAATGTAGTTGGATCTCTACGCAAGGCCGTAAGTTTATTCCAACAGCGAAGCCAAGATGCCCTGGTATTCTTCGATGCCCTGTGTTTGTCTATACCTGTTGATCATGTGGGAATGGCTTTTCACATCATGCTTCCGCTCCCTGAAACCAATTGCTAATAAACATACAGACCGACTATGCTTCACCACCAGTCTATACAGGCTCTTCTACCCTTCAGACCATCTCCGCAGGTACCAAAGTGAACTCTACCGCCTTTACCTACACTTTCCTCTGCCAGAATTGCACCAACATCGGCGACCTCTCATTCGGAGATGAATCAGAAATCGTTCCACTTGGGTGGGCAATGTCGACCAAGGCAGTCACGACACCAGGAAGTCCATCTAGTGCAACTAGCTCTCATATTGGCTCTGGAGGTCAGGGTATAACTGCCATTAACATGGCTGATGCTCGCTCGGATGACTTCGAGAAATGGGCCGCCCTCGCTGGCAACTCTACCGCTCCTCCTACGGGGGGCAACTCTACTATTCCTCCTCCCACAGGTGGAAACTCCACGACACCACCCGTGTTCAATGGCACCGTCTCTGTGTCGAACACTACCTATGATTATATCGTGGTCGGTGGTGGGCCATCAGGTCTCATCACCGCCCAAAGACTTGTGGAGACGGGCAAGTCGGTGATGCTTCTCGAACGCGGCAAGGCTTCATACTATGCTTCTGGTGGTGACTTGACCGTCCCTTGGAACGACACCCTGACGATCTATGAAGCCCCCTACTTCTACAATTACCTCGCCAGTTTCCCTGGAAACGATGCTTACTGCGATGATGTCCCGACTATGGCTGGCTGCATTCTAGGTGGCGGCACAGCTGTCAATGGGCTCGCGTTCATCCGCCCTCCGAGCTTTGATTTTGGCAACAGATGGCCCGTGGGCTGGCGATGGGCCGACGTCGAAGCTTCCGCCGAGCGACACTACGCTCGCAATCCAGGAACTACACACCCCTCGGCTGACGGAAAGTTCTATGACTACGCAGTGTACGATGTTCTATCCAAGGCTCTCGCAGGTGCTGGTTGGGACTATGCCGACTCCAACGAATTCCCGGATAACAAAGAGAAGAGCTACGGCCAGGCTGCAATTAACGTGCTCAATGGACGCCGCGCTGGCCCTGTTGCAACCTACCTCCCACTTATGCAAGGCAAATCCAACTTCAAGCTTCTCCTTGAAACTATGGTCCTCCGTGCAGTCCGCACAGGTTCGACCATCACTGGCGTTGAAACTCAAGACAAGGCCGGGCAGCGCACAATTTACAATGTCAAGCCTGGCGGCAAAGTAATTCTTGCTGCGGGTGCTATGTCCTCTCCACGCATCCTCTTCCGTTCAGGAATCGGCCCTAAAGATCAGATAGACATCGTGAAGGCTGGGGTTGTCCCCATTACTCTCCCAGACGAGAGTGCCTGGATTGATTCACCTGTTGGCTTCGTTCGCGACCATACCACTCTCTCCACTAAATTCAACGTTACGGCCGGAATGTCGATAATGACCGCCGAGGAATATCTCAATCCCTCGCAAGCTAACATCGACCTCTACGAACAGCACGCTTCTGGGCCACTGACTGCCTCGTCCATTATGCGCCTCAACACTTTCCGCACAATCACGACATCGGACGGCACTAGCCTCATCGTACAAACTCACAACTATGCCACGCAGAACAACACAATCAACACTCTGTTTATCCTTACCCACAACACTACATCGGTGGGTAAACTCGGCATCACTCCCGAGGGAAACACGATCTGGTCCGAATCGCCATACCTCACTACTGCTACCGACCGTGAGGCAATGGCAATGGCTATCGATGAGTGGCTCGTCATGTCACGTCAACCTAACTCGACAATCACGTACAACGGTCCTGCAAACATCACTGGCGCAGAGATCGTAGACACTGTTCCAACCGGAGCGGGCGTGCACATGACCGGCACCACCATCATGGGAACAGACCCTCAAGATAGCGTTGTCGATGTTAACTGCAAAGTATGGGGCACCGACAATCTGTTCATCGTTGATGCCGGGATGCACGCTGACCTCCCAACCGGTAACACACAAGCCATCGTCGGTGTAGCAGCAGAGCACGCCGTTGAGAAAATCATTGCACTGGGTGTTGGTGGAGGAAACTCCACGCTCCCGATAACCCCGTCCAACCCTTCGAACTCAACTATTCCGGCTCCATCATCGGGTTCCACTGCTCTGCCTCCCGCTTCTACCCTCGCACCTCCCGCGAACCCGTCTTCAATCTCCTCTTTCAGCACCAAGCCTGCGCCTACTTCAACGCCCCCTGCCTCCCCATCCTCCAGCGCGTCATCTGAACCCATTGCCACCGCCGCACCACCCAGCGATGGAGGAGAAGGCGGTAATGTCGAAGTCGTCAAACAATGGAATCAGTGCGGTGGCCGGGACTACAAAGGTGCTACTAAGTGTGCTGAGGGTCTGATGTGCAAAGAGTGGAATCCCTGGTACAGTCAATGTATCGCTGCCTAAACTTTTCTTCCCATATTTATTCTATTTTGAGACTTTTTGTCTTCCACGATCATTGTTTTCTTCCTCTTGAAGGGGGTAGAGAGGTTTACTTTCATAGCTGTACATATTTTTCGCTTCTGAGTAGCATGCAATGCATAGCACAAGTTTGCATACATGAAATCATTTTAAAGTTTTATTCTCTTTTGGCTTATCATATCAATCCCGTGTCGGTGATTTCATCTGAGATGATACGCGTGCGGGAGATTGCGGTTTCGCGTGGCAGACACAATGAAGCCGAAGAAAGCTACCCCATCACCCATGTCGTACCAATAATCGCATTCGACTTTCATCGTCAAATGCCAGCATCACCGACTCTACCTCAAAACCCACAGCTCTAAGTAACCGCGATGATAGTTTGAAGTGTGTCTTCTTACATGCTACAAAACACTTCCCGCGAGCTGCGCCACTGCCTCTACATATGTGCAAGATCACCATGAATCCTTCGCCCCCATCATTGGCCGCGAAGTCAAAGCACAAAGCATACCGCAATAGGTAATGTTCGACTCATAGCTGCCCAATACATCTTAGGCCCCCATTACACTGCATAACCCAGGATCATATTATTCTAAGCCGTTGGATCCTATCGTATCCCGTTTCTTCTTCTCCGCCCCCCTTCCCACGCCTCCTTGGATTCTTGCCCTGTAACGCTACCTTCGAGCTACGCCGCAAACCATACATACGCGCGAAGCGCGACGTGACAGACGGAAAGAGACGACCAAGAGAGCATGATGCGTGCTCTCCCCATCGCATTATGCAGTATCGTCCTATCCTGGACAACAACGGTACTCGGCCAGCTCCAATTCACGGAACCCGATGGATCGAAAAAGGATCTAACGCAAACTTACACCGTCGGCGACACAATGAATATCAAGTGGAAAGAAGGCTGGTCTGGGATAGGTGACGCACCGGGGTTTGTTGATCTATGGGTAACGTGGTTTGAATCGGACTCTTACAATTTACTGTTACTCGGTGAGTCCACATTGCTCTTCTCCTCCCTTCCCTTTTCTTTTCTTCCCTCATCTCCAACTCTGAGATAGGATGATTGGGGAAGGGAGAACCCCATGATGGGTTGACTTCATTACATGTACTAACGGCGAGGGTTGTAACAAACAGCCAATATAACCCTGACGCAAGGCGGATTCCTCCCCTGGAAAATAAACGTGACAAACGAAGCCGCAACCGCCGACGAAAAGTTCGTGCTAAGATTCCGTCCGCACCGCGATCCAAAAGATTACAGCTTCAAAGGTCCCATGGCGCCGAGTCGCGGGTTCCGGATTAAAGCCAGTTCTTCATCATCCTCTTCTTCTTCGTCATCGTCTGGATCGGCGACGGCTGCGAACGCGCCTACGGATTCGGCAGGGACGCTTTCTGGTTCTTCATTGTCGACTTCGGAGGGAAGTGGTTCAGGTTCTACATCACAGACTCCACCACCAGACGCGTCGAACGCGGGCACGCGCCATCCGCTCGATAGGCCGAAGTCAACGCCCTTGGGAGCGATCGTAGGTGGAGCGATTGGCGGGATGGTTGCGCTTGTTGCGCTCGGTGGAGGGGCGTTTATGCTGTTTAAGAGATGGAAGAAGGCGAAGGGTCCAGATGAGTCGGCGGCGGCATATGTCGCTACCAGAGATGGTGGTGCTGGAGGGAGGTCTGCTGGCGATGCTCCCGAACTCGTGCAACATGGTGGGAATCATCAGGAAGTAACTTCGTATTATGCGCCTGTGAAATACGCGGCACATGGTGGGACTGCAGAGTTGGAAAGCGTGGAGCGACCTGTGGAAATGGGAACTCAAGGGCGTGATGGGCGATGAGGAGATTGGTTGGTGAGATATTCCGTGTGTTTGGTGGTAATGGGATTGAAAAAGAGGTGGACATTGACTTTGTAGGATTTTACTGGGAAATGGACGCAAGTGGTGGAGTCCAACTCACGATGAGATCCACGTCTGTGTAGAGAAGTTTGTATACCCTCAACGCCTTTTTCTTCGAAACTGGCTAGAAGAACTTCTTCGAGATATCATTTTTTTTTTCTTAGGCTTTACTTCAGCATCCTGGCTTTATAAATGTATTGGACAGTTGGACACTGCAAGACGCAATGGTCACAACTTAGTCCAGTTGGATATTCAACATGTTCCGTCTAAGGATGAGAGTACAGTTATGGATCCAAAAGAATTCAAGTCCATCTCCCGTTCACCGATCTTCTCCATGGTTCTTGTCCGAACTGCTGTTCACCCATCCCCATGCCAGTTCAAGCGAACTTCGCTTTTATTCGCGAAGGCGCGAAGCTAGCGGGCGGTTAACTCAGTCGAAGGAGCGAAAAGGATTCCAAAACGAGGTTCGGTACTTTCGGTAATTTTTGTTGTCTGCTTTTGCCCCTCATTCTCCGCTTGCCCCGCAATCCTTTGCTTGTTTCGGGAGCGTCTTTTCTGATGGAGCCCGTGGTTCACGGTGGTTGGTTGATTAGGTGGAAGACGGGATATTTACCTTACACCTACACCGATGACTACTACTTGTACCTCGTTGTGGCGGGGTTTAAAGGGTGGATGTGCCTCGTGCTCCCCCGCATTCCCCAGTATTTGACGCCCTACTGTTGATGTCTTCAGCCGCGGCTGTGATTTATAGAAACAGCACGTAAGAGAAACTGATCTCGAAATCATTGCTTCATCTTTCCCCTTGTTATACATTCGAAATTCACGATGTCACCGCCTTCGGCCATTATTGAGACCGCCACCAGCAATGGAGACAAGCCTTCGGCGGCGGCACCGCTTGAACCGGGGATCAAGAACGCAGATGCATACATGCAAGCCATGAAGTTTCCCATGCCTCCCAAATTTGACGACAAGTTGAAAGAGAGGGAGTATTTGAAGGGGAAGCTGGCGGGTGAGTTTTGAATGAAATCCAAGCACCCAATTCCATCACTGCTTTCCACCGTCTTTAAATCATCGACCCAAAGTGAAGAGAGCTCAGGCTGATGAGAGTCACACAGCCGCCTTCAGAATATTCGGTAAGTACGGATATGATGAGGGTGTAGCGGGACACATCACACTGCGCGACCCTGTAGACCCAGATACGTTCTGGGTCAACCCGTTCGGCACCGCCTTCAGTCTGATCAAAGCGTCCGATTTGATTCTCGTCAACGAGGCGGGCGAGGTGATTGATGGTGGGGAAAACCGATTGCTGAACCAGGCGGCGTATGCAATTCACAGTGCCATACACGCCGCCAGACCTGATGTCAACTGCGCCGCCCACTCGCATACAATCTATGGGCGCGCGTATTGTGCGCTTGGGAAGAAGCTGGACACGATTACACAGGATACGTGCGCGTTCCACAACGTACGTACAAGATACTTGTCCGCTCAATGTAATTCTTCAGTTACTGACTTAACTTGATTCGTTTGATAGGACCACGTTGTCTACGATTCCTTCAACGGTGTCGTGCTCGCGGCTGAGGAAGGGCGCAACATCGCAAAGGCACTGGGGCCACACAAGGCCGCGCTCCTACAGAACCATGGGCCGGTGACGGTAGGGAAAACCATCGAGGAAGCGGTTTTCTGGTTCGTGGCGCTGGATAAATGCTGCCACGCACAACTGCTTGCGGATGCGGCAGCGGCGGGGACGGGCAAGCAAACGGTCAAGATCAGCGACGAGGATGCGGAATATACAGCCAAGACTACGGGTGGCCCGCTGGCTGGATGGTTCTCGGCCAAGCCAATGTTCGATGTGGTGGAGAAGGAGACTGGTGGGGAGCATTTGCAGTAGAAATGAGATGGAAACATGGTAGACGATGACTAATCTGTCACATGATAGTCTTCGGCCGCCTGCATACTTAGCATCGCGAACACGATTGATGAAGTCGTTGTTGGATGATTATAGATTCTCAATTGCAACATTCACCAAAGCTGGAGCCGATCTACTAGTGACATGTCTATTCCGCCGATCAAGGCGCGTTGGAAGCAAAGAAAAAATGAAAGAGAGGTACGTGCATGTCAATCGTCATGTCTCTCTACTGTATCGGACAGAGCCCCACTTGCTCTACTCTCACAAAAAGTCCATGCTCTCTGTGTCCCAGCCTCTCTTACATCCTCCAACGGACTGGCCCGCCCGTAGAATTCTTTCCGATCGCCGGACCAAATCGTGCGCCCTTACCAAATACAAAAACTCATACTTGGCCCTGCTGCCCTGGCTGTCCTGCGATTCCATGCCGACTCTGGGTACCTGAACCCGCTTCATCGTCATGGGTGAGCTCCTTTGAAAAGCTGCCGCACACAGGTCTAGCTTCACATCTCTCCTGCCACGCACCAAAACCAACAACAACTTCGAAAGGGAACTCGTCTTCCCGCCTGCTACCATTGCCTGTTCTATCCTTTGACCGAGCACTTCCATATAGGGCGGAGTCGGAGTGGGTGTGTATGGGCTGTGCCGCTGCAGAGTGGAGCTCGATGCATGACATAACCTGGCCGCTGCACAAAACATTGCCCGCAGCTTCATTTTCTCCAGTCGCCGTCAATCAACTGTTCACGCCCTCGATCCCGCCGAATTGGTCGCGCATAGTGCTCCATCAGCCCGCGGGATAATTGCAGTCGCGTCCTTTGTCCTGCTCACTTGGGGCACCACTTCTACAGACCACCCCCGACGTTGACCCCCGCCCTGCACTCCCAGTATGGCCAAAGGACCGGCTGTGGTCATTATTGCACGGTATGCTCTTCTTGTCCCATGTTGCTGGCGCTCCGTTATTTGTCCTCAGTCGTCGAACTAACCAACTGCTAGACACGGCGCACGTCTCGACGCTGCTGACAAGCAATGGCATCTTACATCCCCCACTCCTTATGATCCGCCTTTGACCTACGGCGGTTGGTCTCAAGGCAAAGCCCTCGGTACGTTTTGTTAGATACAGAAAACCCGAGACACTAGTTGCCTAGGCCCGAGGGTTCAACAATCACTGCACGAGCTTTTGCTGACTGGGTACTTCAACAATGTAGGCTTGCGCATAGCCGCCCTTCTCCATCAACGTGAAAGCGACCGAGAAAGTCAAGCCGATAACTCCAACAACGCAAACTCAGATTCCTGCGCCCTCGATACAGAGACGGATGGCACGGCCACGGGCAGGAGACACAAGAGGAAGAAGCACAAAATCATCATACACTCGAGCCCTTATTTGCGATGTATACAGACAAGCACCGCTATTGCCGCGGGTTTGTCACAATTTCAGTCTGCTGGTGCGGAGAATACAACAACAAGATTGAGCATTCCTCGTCCAGCAAAGGAGAGGGGCGGAGTGCTTGGAGCGAGTCCACTGGAAAAGTCAAAGACATTCACGTCTTCGTCGTCAGACGCACACTCGAAAGTCGGCTCCAAATCGCATACTGAAAGAGACAAGATTTTGTTGAGAATAGATGCGTTTCTAGGCGAATGGCTGTCTCCAGACTACTATGAGGACATCACACCGCCGCCGAACTCGACTATGATGGTCGCGGGCGCCAAGGCAGATTTATTGCGAAGAGGGGATTATGTTGAGGTGAAAGCTGCAACGCCAAGCAGTAAAGGACATTTTCCAGGAGGGTGGGTCAAAACGCCTACACAATCGGCAGTCAATAATCGGAAAAATACGGATGGTGGGGCTTTCCCGACTTTGGGAAGTCTAGCACAGGCTCTACCATCCGCGAGGGAGCGGTCAAGTAGTCATGGGCATAGTCGAAGTCAGGGAGGTACACTGCTCAGACCGAGATCGCGATCCCGAGAGGGCATCTCGCCCACCCTACCCACGGCACACAAACCACGCAGCTATCTATACGAAGCTCCGGTTCCTTCATATGCAGTCTCGCCTGCAGATCCGATACCTAGGGGTTATTTCTCGCATGCGCGAGATGCATGTATCGATGTCGATTTCCAGTGGGATAGCATGCGCGAACCCCAGGAATGGGGTGATGGCGGCGAATTTGGTGACGAGTGGAGTACCATGCACAAACGATTTCGCAAGGGTCTTGCCGGTATGATGCAGTGGTATCAAGAGCATGGCTCACTGCCTCCTAAGGATCTTTTTCCTGGCTTCACGTACAGCGAGCGTCCTCCGGACAAACTTCAACATGCTGCTACCGAACCAATAATCAAGACAGGCGTAACCAACGACGAGGATGGGCATACGGAGGATGATGAAGAGCTGGTGTTGGTACTCGTCACTCATGGAGCTGGGTGCAACGCCCTTCTCGGCGCCATCTCTAACCAACCAGTGTTAATCGATGTTGGACTGGCCGCTCTATCCATGGCTGTACGAAGAGACGAGCCGAGGAAGCCAGCAGCTACGATCTATCAACGCCGAGCTTCCGTCGTAGATCCCGGCATGTCCGATTCGTATGAGATGAAGTATCTAGCTTCCACCGACCATCTACGTGCTGGTGTAGACCCCTCCAGACTCCCCCAATTGCAATCTCCAGCCGTGCTATCCAGCCCTTCGCTTGATTATAGAAGACGAGTCGGGTACGGAGCTAGCGCAAGCAGCACCCCCGTTAACCAGGTCGACTCACCATTCACATTCGGCGAGCCGGTCCGTAGCGGTTGGAACAGCTCCTTGGGTAGTATGAGGAGGAGTTCTACCAATGGAAGCAGTACCACGCGCGTTTTGTCTAGCTATGCAGCAGGAGGTACGAGCTCGAGAACGAGCTCAGGGCTCTGGAGTAGTGCACGTACACCTAGTCTCGATCTCAATGACGCATCACCGCTACCAGCTGCCGATGACGATATGCCCCTTCTCAACTTTGACAATCAACCCAACTCCAGGCCGTCGTCTTCTTCGGCTACTAAATCTAAGCCCACTGGTTCACCTAAATCGCCTCGTTCTCCTGGCACCACATCTGCCGCCAAACCTCTCCCACTATCTTTGGATGGTACAACGACGCCAGTTCCCTCTCAAACAAACGGTGGCATGCAACAAAACAGCGTGGAAGACTCGGAAACACACGATGATGTCGCGCCGCTGCCACCCAAGGGCCCCGCTATGCCACGCCGCACACCCAGTACCGGTGGTTCTGGGCTCTGGAAACCGAAAAACGCGGGGGCTGCGGCGCCTGGACTTTGGGGTCCACCACGGAAGGACGACGTGTATGAGCACGGCAGAGGTCCCAAGAGGAGGTGGACGGTTTCGGAGAGAGAGATTGAACCTGATCATACTCGATGATCTACGTCTCTTTGAATGCAAAAGCAGGCGTTGTGGCATGAGTGATGGAAACACGGCGATGGATCTGTGGCGTTCCAAGGGTTTTACTGATGTGGAGAAGGAAGCCTGTCCTGCACTTCTTCATCTCTCATAACCCTTTTCTCATCTTCTCATTCTATTGTTTCTTTTTAGCTCGATACCTCACCTTAGTTCTTATATTTTACCATTCTCTCCTCTTCGACATTATGATGGCTTTTTGAAAGTGACTGTACATCGTCTCAACAACTAATACTTTCTACTGCGAAGGCGTGAAACGATCTCACCATTGGTGTATTTATCGCAACTGTTATATATTGTCACTAGTCCGGGATCACTGTCCTGCGTGCCTTCAGGCATTGGCAAATACTACATTGGAAAGCATTCTCAATATCTCCCATCCCTCGCATCGATAAAATCACACATCTCCGTCAGAAAATAAAAGAGCTTTAGTTCTATCTACGTCCTGGGTCAGTACAATCACACCAGCCCAATCTCACTCTGATTTTGTCCCAAGAGCAGCGACAAGACTATGGAGAAATATTGTCATGGAAATTTCTAGATCAAATCTCGTTTTCCAATTATCGTATACTTAATTATGTAGCTTCACGACATGTGCCATCCCATTCAGTCTAAACTGCTCGACCTTGTATATGAGGGACGTATGCAAGTAGGGGGAAATGACAAGGGATAACTGCAAGTTGCAAGCCACAGCCCGCAGTCCGCAGCCCGCAGCGTAACGCTCAGCTGAAGAAGAGAATACGAGAAGCCATACTCGGCAACAATGGAGGAACAGGGTCTCTTAATACGGTCCCGCGAGCCCTCCGATATCCGACTTTATCTCTCAATTCCCACCGAATGAGAGCTATCTCCCTCACACGTACATATTCCTTTGAGGGGAATACAGCAGCAACGCGAACAATCTAAGTACTCATGCAACCCCTCTTCAAAAGAAAGAAAAAGGCAACGGGTAAATGAAAAATAAGAAAATGTCCCCCCAACAAAGCCGACCAGACACTCCATCCTCCGAATACACAGACTCCAGCCTCGGCGCCGGCGACGATCCCAACCTCATTATCCGACGGCGGCAGCGACGCGCCTCTTCTACTTCAACTCTTGATAACAACGCCTTTACAACCGCTCGTGAGGAGTTCGATACATGTGTTGATCGTATTGACGGCACAGTTGCGCAAGGTCGAGATGGCGATGATGATGCTGCGGTCCCACCAGCCTTGCGTCAAACCTCACCTTTCCTTATCCCCGCCAACCTATCACCCCGTACTACAGGGTATTACACGCGTAAAGAGTGGGCGATTCTCGACTCGCCTTCATCGTCGAAGTTAGAATTGCAAGATAAACGCCGACGACGACGGGGGTCGTTATTCTACAACAACGACGCCCAGGACGATGGTACTACTGAGAATAATTCTCAGTGGGTAGCTCTCAACTACGATCTGAGGAAATGTTTAGGGCCGCTGTTTTATAACGCTGAGGTGGACCGGAGGGGTGTCTTTCCTATTCTCTACGTCAGCGATGTTCATCTAGCTGCGCTGTCGCGGGCGAAGAAGCGGAAATTGATGAGGATGCTCGCGTTTTCGTGGAGACGAGTCGACTATACAATCACGCTCGCTGCTTCACCCTCATCTTCATCATCATCAGCGTTTCGAATTTTATGGCGCAAAGCAGGCGAGAGGGGGATCAAGCATGAGGTACAAGGATCCTACGCCGCCGTTCTAGCCCTCACGACAGCGCTACGAGGCAACCACACCCTCTTCGCCGAACTGCTCGGACAAGCCCCATCCCATGTCATCAAAGAGCTGACGCCTTTTCTGGCCCCGCCGCTCATCACGCTCAGTAATGTCCAGGACCTGGTCTACTCGGGCACCCAACACATCGCGCACACGCACGACGGGACGAGCCATGAGCGAGGGGAAGTCGCAAGAAGTATTGCGGCGGCCATCGGCACCATTATCGAGAAGTCTTACCGCACCTCCACGGTAAACAGCAACGATGATCTAGCGACTAGTTTGCGGAGCGTCATCAAGCATGTCTTGAATCACTCCGCCGACGCCCGCGATATGGCGTGCCAGGTGGGGTTGATAGCCGCTGGCGTAGAGCGCTACATCCTGGACTCTGCGTCTCGTATAGATGAGAAGCGGGAAGTTTGTAATTGTATCGCGGACGTGCTGTTCGCTGCTGTAGGGGCATCTGCGAACGGTGGGTTTGCGGGTGGGATGGCAGGGCCGGTGGTGAAGGAGTATATGCGGCGAGTGATGAGAGAGAAGAAAACTCAACTGGAGGGCCTGCGGGGTGCAATTAAGAAAGTGTTTGAGGAGAAGGTGTATGATCCGTGTCTTTCAAATGGGAGGATCATGGTTGAGAATGAGGATATGGTCTTGGTCTGGAGGGAAGTCGATAGGACGAGCTTTAGGAATTGGTACAACGAGGTGGGAAGATGGTGTGATTCATCAAAGGTCGCATAACCGTTCCAGTGGACTGTACTTTCCCGAATATTCTGCTATTATCCGTTACACTTTCACATCCATTATCTTTCGTTGTCACCTTCCCTCCTACGCTAAATTGAGAAAGTACTCTCGTTATTCCTAGCATTGATGTTCTACTCAGGGTCTCCATTCATTCCGCATGTATAGTTCGAAATCGTTTCTGATTCGTGATTTTATTCTCATGACTAGGATCATGATGACCCAATTGTACCACAATCCCATGTCCATCTGTACCTTGTACGCCTTGCGAGAACCGTCTCCTCCCACGATGTGATAGAAAGTAGAAGCAATTCGAAGCCATCTATATAGTCCCGTGAATCATGATCTTTGGCAAATTTGCCGTAGAAAATCCCATAATCATCCATGATCCCAATCCCGTTGCGCCAAAGAAAGTCCCTATGCACATGCACGCCGAAATTCCCCATAGCCTGCGGAACGCCGTTTGTAGAATAATGGCCCAGGTTTACCGAGTGTTGGAACGTTGAAAGGGGAACAAATTGGAAGGCAAATCACTAATACTGAGACTGTACCGAGGACGGCTTTCCACCATACGCCAGTTCCTGGAACCCTGGTGGGATGGTCCATCCGTGCTGGTTGCAAGCTCGAATGTAAGCTTCAACAGCCTCGCCCACACCGTAATCTTGATTGCCAGAGACGAGACGAGCGGGTCTAGGATCCGTGGACGTCATCTCCAGTCGCACCTGCAGCAAGATAGATTCGATCGATAGCACCGAAGTCCAGCCACTATTGGTCAGAAGTTCCATGCACATGGCACCGCCCAGAGTTACGTGACCACCTCCACCCTGTGTAAAACCGAGAAATCGAGGACGGATGACGCGAACAAATGGTGGACACATCGGGTACTCCTTGCCGAAGCGAAGCTCCAAGACGATACTCTTATGGCCCATCCTCTTCATATCCTGCGCCAACGGAAGGCTCGAGTCGAACGAATGCAATTCGACGATCCACTGGTACATGTTTGTAATCTTTTCCTCGTCAAGGTGCCAACCAAGCTGATGCTGGGGCTGCTTGGCTTGAACTTTGACAAGCTCCTTAAGATCCCTCATGAGGCGCTGCGTAGCTGCAGGCGTTGCCCAGACTGGCATTTCCAGCATTGGCAATGTACTGTAATCGAGCTTTCCGGGCACGTAGTCTGTCAGAGGAGGTGCTTGCTGAGAGAACGATTTGCCCATCAGTTTGTGAAAGAAGCCTGTCTTCACGGCGCCTTTGCCTTTGTCTAACATGGTCGATATTACTCCCACAGAACCAATGGCAGACTGCTGTTCACTCTCTTCGCTAAAGATGTCACGGTCTTCCGCCATTGTGGCAACACTGTCATCATCGCCGTCAATCTCGATCGGATTGTACATGCTAGTATCTAAGCCGCATAAGTTAGCATAATTCAAACTGGCATGATTGCGTCACATGACATCCTGATGACTCACCAGTAGTCTTTTGACGCTTGTGTGGATTCATACTCGTTTTGGTATTTATAAATCGGGATCCTCCTACAGCTGACTTGGGAATGATGAGCCTGCCTCCCAGTCCGTTCGGAGTGTAATTGGGGTCTTGATCGATAGGGTCGTATGGTTTAGTCTCCGTGGGTCCTGCGCCATTGACGGTTGAAGCCGACTGATTGCCGATTTGAACGAACAGATAACGGGTTTGAATCCAATCAAGCTGTGAAACTACTAGATGTGGAGATTTGCTGACAAACTCTTGTGGAGAGTTGACAATCTCATTAAGGGCAATGGCTTGGCTGACCTGGAGTTCACTTTTGGGCCAGGACCCCTCCTTTCCATAGCCACGGACGCAGTAACCAAGACTAGTATTGTAGTCTAGAGAGTGATAAACGCCGTGTCCGAAAGCCCTACCGTTGATGGTATCTTTGTAATGCAGACCTTCGCGGATGATACTATGCCAATTTTGCAACGCACTGCCATGCCATGCAAACAGAGTGCTGTATTTGAGATCGAGACGCTGCGTTGTTTGACGGACAGCATCGATAAAGCGACGTTCTTTATCAGGAGCACCCATGGCGAAGCGAAACTGAGCCCAACCACCCATACCCCATAGACGATCTGACGATTTACGTCCTATAATCTCATCTTGCGCCACTTGCATGATGCAAGCTCGGTTTGATGCAATAATCCATCGAAGAACACCCCAGCCAGCCGGAGGGAGACGATCAACCCAAGCGCTGAGTGCAGACTGAGCTCGGCGTTGAAGGTAGCGTTTCATGTCGGCAACGCTTGGAAGAAGATCTAGTAGGGCAATGATTGCTACTCGCTTTTCAGAGTCTGTCAATTCATCGAAATTGTGTTTGTATATGTAGAAGCTGGCCCTTTGAAATATATTATTGCGTGGTTGTGTGCTTGTGATCGCGGGTGTCCGGTTCTGTACATTTGGGGTCAGCTGCGGTTGGGCAAAATACGATGAGACACCCTGCGGAGGCTGATCCACAACAATGGCCGGCTGTACTGGCTCCGAGACACTGACGGTGGGATAAAAAGACGTGTCTGTGACTCGGCAGTGTAGAGGCGGCTCCGGATTATGATCAGTACGGATGACCAGCCACTGTCCAGTATGCAATGGGCATGGAACGTTTCTGTCGGCGAACATTATTTCTTTCGTGACTTCATTATATCCCATTTTTATAGCGACCTCGCTTGCTGTGGTGGGCGCCGGTTCTTGAGGAGTGGTCTGAGGTTGTGTACGCCAACCAATTGTATTGTTCGCAGTCATGCCCATAGAATTGTAAGGAGTTCCGTATGCAGTAGATGAAGGTACCATTAGGCTCAGACCGTTGGGAAAGTCTGCAAGCTTCCCCATGCGAGCACTGTGGTAGCAAAAGCTAATCAGTAGGTCGACGACTTTGGGCTGAGACAAGATCTCATGCTCGATGCTGGGTCCAAAGCCAAGAGACATGTACTGCCAGAGACAGAACTTATTATCGCACACGTATGGTTTGATCGCCTGGAGATCATTCGACAGCTTTGAGAAGCATACAAGGCAAAATTCTGTGCAGCGGACGAAGTGCCGCAATGCGAATTGCATACCAATCAAAGGAAGCGATTGCGGCTGGGTCATGGGACAGTCCCTAATGTGATCGGCCATTACCACAGAAGGCCAGGCAGAATTTGCATCATCGGGATTCAAGAACCTGTCTTCCAACCCCAATTCCGAGTGTGATGTCTTTTCCAGGCTCTCGTGATAGAAAGTTTCGGCACCATACCAGGACATGCCATTGTACCGATATTTTAGTAGCTGAGCGAATCGGTCTGCGAAGAGCCCGTTGAGAGACTTGGAGATGAATGCGTCGCGGAAACCGCGAGGGGAAGCCTCCGTTGAACTCTGTGATTCACCCGAAGTTTCTTCATCTCGCCGATCTTCGCGCCCTTTGTTAAGGTCGGTAAAGGCGCGGATGGCTTCTTGCAGTGTCGGCTTGTAAGTGGTGCTGACTCCGATACGCATTGCAAAGTTGTTGATTGCATTAGACGTGTCATAGTTCAAGATAGACTCAGCGGGCTTGTAACCATTCGGGTATGAGATGATGAGCACCAAATACTCGTTTCGACCCAACTGCCATGCCTCCATGGCTTCTGTCGAGATACCAAGCTTTGAGACCCTGATAGAAAGACTAACATAGCATGCGCGTCCATCCATCAGACCGCCGAGACCACCGACTTTGAAACCGGCGGATTTGGCCGCCCAGAGGTCGGCCCTTACTCGATTTATGAAAGCTTCGTTGGGCTTTGCTGAGCTCGATCCGGGAGCATAGGACATGTGTGATTCAAGATGCTGGGACATATGGTCCTCGTCGGGGAAAAAGTCGTCGGCTTCTTCATCGGAGTCCTCTTGTAAGCCGTCGTAGTCCTGGGAATCCACCATATCTATGTTGTCGTCTTTATCTCTCGACTGCAAGCATTGCGAGACATGCTCAAGGATCTGTAGAACAGTTTTCCGGGAAGCTCCCACGGAGATAGCAGCCATGGAAGCAGCGATGTTCGAGGGTGCATCGTCAGCGGCAAAGATCATACAATCATGGCTGGTCGGATAATCGTAGACTTCAGGAATCCGGACTGTGAGTTCAACTTGACCGTCTGTAGAAGTGCCTAAGAACGCGGAGTTAAGTTAGTGAAATTCAGGTTGGAACGCATAAAAAAGACCAGGGTCCAAGAGAGCAAGTATCGAATGTTAGTAAGCGCAGAGGAATCCCATCTTGAAAACAGTTTGTTGGTGTCCTGAAAGGATGGATACGTACCTAGATGTGTGATTATCAAAGTTAGCGAAACCGTTGTTCAAAACGTTGCACAAAACAGTATTTCCCGAAACTAGGTAGGAGGGAAATATACATACAGTTGAAGCTGAAGACGCCATCGTCCTCGCCCTCATGGACGTTGGAGATGCCAGTTGTTGACACGCCATTGATGGCCTGTTTGAGATCTTCCTTGAACTGACGACGGGGCATCTGGAGATGGTGCAGCGGCCCGCAATCCGACAGAGAAATTGAAAGAGCGTGATGCTCTTGGTAGTTGAGGTGGACGCCGTGTGCGATGGGTTGGGGACGGTTTGAGAATTTGAGAAGCGATGGAAGCGCAGAAGTCGAATTGGGATATTATCTGACTGCGGGTAGCCGCCAAGCAAACGGTTTGAGATGTTGAATATGCTTGGCTACAGAGCAATTAGCTGGAGTGATGGAGGGAGAAGTGGAAATGAGTGGAGAGGTAGTGCGGAAAGGGAAGTGAAGTGAAGTGGGGGAGATGGGGAGAGGAGAATGACGAGAGAAGAAGAGAGACAGAAGCAGTCCAGTACACGAGAAAGGAAAAGAAAGAGGACGGGAGATAGTGAAGGTGAATGAGCGTTTGTGCTCCAGGCAGAAGTGCAGTGGATTGGACGGAGCTTGGGCCTTTTGCGTCACTGCCACCACCCCGCACCCTGCAGCTGCCAATTGCTAGCTGGTAGTGGGCAGCGTATTCTCTTCATCTGGAGCGCATCACGATCACCATGGTCTAATTACTATCTGCTGAACATGATCAAGTATATGACCAAAAGCCCAGCTGCACTGCTAGTTTGTTTACGCCGGCATGCATCCGCAGGTACGTACCTGGCCAAAACATTCGGGGTAGACCCCCAAAGCTAGCGTGCCCCTCCCCTGCCCTGGAGCAGCTTAGCTGCCGACGCCGCCTATTTTTGTCGCTCTTGTCTCCGATCGACTTCGTTATATCCGCGACACCTCACATCAATCCAGCTCCCGCACATACGCACAAACTTCTCTCTTGGAGAAGAGCCGGGCACTCGCCATGGCCGTCTCCTCGGAAGCACCCGCCACCCTCTCCAAATCCCCCCACGTCGCTGACCCCACCCTCGCGCCTTTCCTCCAACCCCAATTCGACCCCGCCGAATACCTCAACACCACGCTCCCCACTCTGTCCCTGTCCACCGTCTCCTCGCGGCCTCTCAAGCAAGGCACCTCCGTCACCCTCGCCGAGCTCTCCTCGCAAACCTCAGACCTCCTCTCGCAACTAAATGCCCACACGACGCGCCTCTCCGCCATCCTCACCCAACTCACCGACGACATCCTCCGCAGCGGCGCACGCCTAGCCTACGAAGTCGAAGTCCTCCGCGGCGAAACCTCAGGCCTCACAGAAACCCTATCAGACACACTCGCCCCATCCATCAAGACCTTCGTCCCGAACGGGATCTCTCTCGAGCCTCCGAAGAAAGACACCGATGAAATCGACACCGCAGCATCCCCCGCCGAAATCACAGGCAATGCCATTGCCGAGGAACCCCCCTCTAAAACTGAGGTCGAACCATCTGCTTCTACGGAAGAATCACCGCAAATCACCCCCCTAAAAACACTAACCCTCGTACGCTCGCGCCTCGAAACAGTCATCAAAGTCTTCGGCGAAGCAATGCATTGGACGCTTCCCCCCAGCGAAACATCCCTGACTTCCTCGCTCATCTCCGTGTCCGACCCTTCGGATGATGTAGCTGCGCGGGAACAAAAGGGGAAAGAATTCGCTGCCTCGCTGCGTAGTGAGATTGCGGATTTGCTGGCGGGCGAGGAGGGCGTAGAGGCGGCGCGCACAAGGGTCCAAGCGCTGAGGGAGTTGGCCGGCGTATGGAAGGGGACTGTCGAGGAGAAGGCTAGAGCGAGGTTTGTCGAGGGGTTGGTTAAGTTGGTCGAGGAGAGGGCTAGGGCTCTTGAGGGGGAGAGGGAGAGGGCGAATGCGAGGGGTTTGAGGAGCTCGAGTGTTGCGAAGCCTGGGAGTGGGGGAGCTGGTGCTGGGAACACTTCTGTGGCTCCGCAACAGCAACAGCAGAGGAGCGGTGGTGGAGGCTTCTTGGATAATCTGCAGAGGATTAGAGAGAGTTATATATAGCATAGCTCAATACATCATCATCACCATCATTATTCGAGGATTGTTGTGAATCAAGTTATCTCTTCAATAAAACGAACGCTTGGTATCCTACAATGCAGCAAAAAGCGGTAAAAACAACCAAACCCGATTTCAGAACAAAAACAAGCAAGCCCCCGAAACAGTATCCACACATCCTATTCCCCCCAAAATGAAAAACAAAACACAAGCCAAGCAACAACCCCCGCCTCAACCCGTCTCTCTCTCACCTGGCAATCTTGGGGTGTCCAAGGGGAGGCTAATTCCTTGCGGACAGCCTCAAACCCGAGGAATAACCCCTCAAGCCGCGACAAGGGAGGAGACGGGGATGGCAGGAACGTGCTGAGCAAGTGGAAGAAAAGTACATGAAGACAACCAAGCCACACCAATGGGGCAACCCAGAAAGCAAATCCAAAAACGCCATTGTCACCACCCCGAGTTCGTTATCATGCATGTTTGCAGAGCAGAGGAAAAGCATAACCCGCCCTTGTAATCCCAAAACGCCCATGAAAAACAAAAACGCCGTGCTTTTGCGCAATGCAGGATCGAAAAACAAAAAACAAGGATGCTAATATGCATCCAGAACGGCGAGGGCACGGTGACCCTGAGCCTCGAATGCTGAGATCTGGCGCTCGCACTCTATGCGCAGTTTCTCTTCTCCGCGCTTTGCGTTATAAAGGACCCACTCCTCGATCGTCATCTTCTTTTCAGGGCTCGTCATGCGAGCCTTAACGGCTTGAACCAGCGTTGGTGGTGCATCTGTCATATTCATATTTTCTTTATCGAGACCAGCATCCACGACAACGTTGGAGACAATGCCAAAGAGATCGTGATTTTCGAAGAATTCATCCACGTTGATAGGTTCCCAGACGGTACCAGGGGGTGGGTCTTGAGGCGTAGTGGGTGTTGCAGGCTGGTCTGTAGGCGGCGTTGTGCTTTCCACTGGTGCAAATGTCCTCGGTGTCTTCGCTGGACTGCTTTGGTGATGACGGATATCTTGTGGAGACATGAGAGTGATGGTCTCGCGCTGCGCAGCGCGCGGAGTCTGTCGGGGGGTAGATTCAAGGAAATCCGTGCTAGAAAGATCGCTTATCCTACCCCTTTTCGGTGGAGGTGGAGGAGCGTCATCAACATCCATCGCGTCGCTGGTGCGCTTCTTCTGCCTGGTGGTGCGGGATGATGCAACGGAGACGGTCGACGTACGTTTCGCTGCTGCTGCCGCCTTTGGTTTGCGGCCTTTAGGCGCTGCCTTCGCTGGTCCAGAGATAATAGAGTCGGTAATAGCATCGACCGAAGGCTCTGCAGCGGCCATAGATTCTTCCAAAAGCTGCTTCTTTGTCTTTCGTCCCCTCTTCGCGGGGGCTTTACTGGCAGTGGATATGGTTGATTCTGCAAAAGAAGTGTTTACTACAGATTCGACAACTGACTCTTCTAGGACAGCCTTCTTAGTTCGGCGTCCTCTAGCGGCAGGCTTCGTTGGCACGACCGATTCTGCGACCGATTCTGCAAAAGACATGACCGTATCATCTGGAACAAGCGCGTTGTCTTTAGCTGCACCTTTCTTGGCACGACTGGTCTTTGTGGTTTTCTTGCTGGCGGTGGAGGATCTAGTAGACGAGCGCTTGCCGCGTGTGGCCTTAGGTTTCGGCGCAGGGTGGTAAAAGTCTTTCAGGGAGAAGAAGAGGCAGTCGGGCGAGCGCTTGCGGTGCTCTTCGGTGGGGTCGTCACCAGCATCCCACGCGTCAAGCGACAAGGAACAGTATGGGCAAGTGACGCCATCGGGTGTGTCAAAGCTGGGATCATAATACCAGCCAGCTTCTACCATCTACAGAATGTTAGCACGATATGAAGAAATGGATACGTGAGGGTCGAACGTACCTGCTCAACATCGGGGAAGCCAGCTGCGACATCGAGAGGCCACATATCGGCAAACGTCATGCGACGTGCTTCCAGCATTGCTTCACTGAGCGGATCATCCTCGGTGCGACCCGGGTCGCTGCTTCTCAAACGGATGCAGACGTTGATAGCAAATCCGCAGTTTGGCGAGAGAGAGAGGTGCTCGAAGGCGGGGACATCGGCTTCTTCCCAGCCATCCAACTGGGTTCCACACGAGAAGCATTGTACGTTGTCTGGGCTGTCGGATTTGGGTTGGAAGAAGAATCCGCCATACGCCAGATCCTCAGGTCGCGGAAATTCCAAAGGCCATCCTCCTTTCTGTGCAGCTTTTGGTGCCTTCTTTGATCGGCTCGAGGGGCGTCGCGACTTCGATTTTGGGGGCTCGAAGCTCTCCAGGCGCGTCTGGAAAGACGCGTATGACGCATTCATCGCGGTGTGCACCGGTGTTGCGCAGGGTAAGAGGCTATTCAGAGTTCTGTGATACTAGAAACGCAATTCAGATTGACGTGAGCGCAGGGTTAAGATTCTGGGAGACGTGCGCCTGGGTGAGTGCGGTTGTGGTAGCGGTGTGAGTTGTGGTTGAACAGTAGAAGCCTGGCAAGTGTTGTGGAGTCGCGATAACCAAAACAAACAAAGGCCCGGGCCCCGCCTGCCAAGACTGCTGACTAACCATATGTCCTTCCGCAAATCCTCAACATTCGTCTGCCATTCATCATGTCTCGATTACGCCCATTGATACGTATACCATGGAGCCAACGGTCACTGCTCCATTTCAATCGACGCTATGCTACCTCCGAATCCACCCAGCCGGCCGCGGCGTCGTCCCAACAGTCGCTCCCACCTGATTGGGAAGATGAACCACCTTCGCTCTCCGATTTCACCCAGCTACCACACAAGGACTTTGGAAAGAACCAGCTGATGGAAACCAACGAGGAGTTCAAGCGTAGCTTACGTGGTATTCTGCGCCAGTTCCCACCCATTACCTATGCTTTCGCCTATGGTTCCGGCGTTTTTCCACAGTCTGATGCGACAGCCTCGCGCATCACCCACTCGCCCCATCCGAACCCTCCCGAGGCGATATTAAAATGGCAAAAGGGAGGGGGCAAGATGATTGATTTTGTTCTGGCTGCCCGTTACTCTTCACATTTCCATTCGTTGAATTTGCGGGAGCACCGAGATCACTATTCATTCCTAGGAAGTCTAGGCTCCGGCGCCGTTAGTCATGTCCAGAAGTACGGTGCAGGTGTTTACTTCAATCCATATATTACCGTCAACGGCACCATGATCAAGTATGCTGTGGTCGACATGAACATACTGCAGCGCGATTTACTTGATTGGGATACCATGTACTTGGCCGGTCGACTCCACAAGCCTGTCAAGATTCTTTTCGAAGAGCCCAACATCCGCGTCGCAAACCAACGCAACTTGCTATCCGCCATACGTTGCTCACTTCTCTTACTTCCCGAAACCTTCACCGAAAAGCAGCTCTATTCTACAATCACTGGCCTGAGCTACCAGGGTGACCCACGTATGACGTACGGAAGTGAAAATCCTAAGAAGATTAGCAACATCGTCAATCATCAACTTCGAAACTTCAGGCTATTGTATCATGACTTGATCATGTCGCTTCCCAACATAGAATACGTAGATGGCAAATCTATCAGCCATTCGGATTGGATGGACGATACCGAACTCGATCTCAAGCTGAAACAAGATCTCGACATAGAGCGCAGAGCCAATATGGTTCGGCGTCTGCCCAAGTCGTTCCGAGAAAAGGTCTATTTCCAATTTCAGCGCAAGTTCGCCATTCCCGGTCGCGAGTTCAAGGAAATGCTTGAAGCCAGCAAGAATGAGGATGAAAAGGGCTACACAAAACCTGTGGGCAGCCACTTTGACCGTCGTATTGTTGCCGAGAAGGATCTGCCAGAGCAAGTCACCAGAGCCATCAATCAGACCGTCGCTTGGCCGGCTGCCGTTCAAAGCGCCAAGGGTGTTCTCACAGCTGGTCCTTATCGCGCGTTACGGTACCTGCAGGAGAAACGTGAGAAGGGCAGGATGAAGTCATGAGAAAGACTCAACGTAGGCCGTTTGACCGGATTTAACATCTGCAACGCAGTTCATGCTGTCAACTTTGTTTCGCCTTCCCTTTGTAGCTTATTTGTACTCTACCTTTATTTCTTTTGTTAGCCGTGTTCATTGGTAGAAACAGCGACAAAAGCAATGTTTGGCTTAGACAGATTCCTCTTCAGACTCTTTGAAGAGCTTATCATTGCATATAGCCGCCGCTGTCAGAGAGATATGTGGGTCAGGCTTTGTATCACTTTGAAGTACTATCTTACATCCTCCCATTGAATTACTTGTGGATGAAACATGAAGAATGAGCCAACAAATAGAGAGGGCAAAAAAAGATAACACGCAAGATAATACGCTATCACGACAATCGGACTTCCCGAAACGATTGGCCGTCCTCAGCAGCTGACGATGCAGAAGAAGCAGGCGACCAAACCTCCTGATCTCCATTAAACAATCCAATCGGCGGAATCATGATCCTCTCACCATCCTCATTCAATAGCGCCGCTCTTCCAGAAGGAGGGTTTATTAATATTATGCCGACAATCCAGCCCACCTGCGGCAAGTCAGACAATCATTCTGGTATCTCGTCAATATATTCGCAGGGAGACTTAAACTTTAGCTCTGCCCGTTGCTCTATACCGCGGGGGCTTTTTTTTCCCCCTTCGCTTATATTCACGTTCACTCGCAAAGCTTCCGCAGAGATCATGCGTCACAAGCAGTTCGAAAATGATAAACACACACACTTAGATGATACATAGAGACAGGGACCACCTATTATTGCACTCTACTTGGGGAGTAGCTGTGGTACGGTTTGTTCCCCGAAATTAACTTACTATACGATACTTTACGAACGTCATAACAATTTTTAGCTACGTAAATGCTGGATCTAATGTGCAGCAGCATGACAGTTTGCTGTTTGTATACTTGTAAGCAATCAATCGAACATGATTGTTTGAGCAAACAAGCTTTCCATGATAGTAGTTTGCTCCTGTTCAAACACCTGCTTGACTGCATCTCTTAAGAACAGTCAGAATGAAGAATCATATTTTGCCATTACTCTGGTGACCCAAGAAGAGAAATCGTATCTGCGATGGACAGACCCTCCCCGAATTTTCATCATATCGGCTATGTCGAAGTCAAGCCTCTCCCTAGCAAAAGAGCCTCCACTCGTCCTACAAATTCTAAGGATACGCCAGTATCTTCGTGCTCTATCTGCTTCGATCCCATCGATCTACCACAACTTCCAACGCTTCCTCCTATACTCTTCAACGAGCATAATCACACATTGGGGTTGGAGAAACCAGTCACAATCGTTACATGTGGACATGTATTCGGGGAACGCTGCTTGTCGAAATGGATGGATATGTCAAATACTTGCCCATTGTGTCGACTGGAGTTCTACGAGAAAGAAGAACGACTTGGATACTCCCAGCCCGAATTCTTCGACTCTTGGAGAGGTGTAACTATGATGAGTGGCTTGGCTATCCTAGACCGCGACTGGGAGGTTGCGACGACTGCGGTGGAACATTCTGATCATCGTGAAGAAGTCGACGAAGATGCTTTGGACGAAGATATCTACGTGGAAGATGCGGCAGGGCGAACTGATGGAAGCAGAAGCGAAGGTCAAGAATCGGATGGACGAGTTGGAGGACAACGGCGAGGCGCAATCAGAACCATCTTTCTTTAGGGTTTCTTAACAGAGAGACACTGTGGTGGGGAACATATGTAAGGCAATGTATCTACCACAAGGTGCATACCTCGGCTCAGTCTTTTCATCGCTCCATATTGCGTACTCTGTTGCTGTTCTTGTACATGTCACAGACACAAACCAGATAAATATTCTTCGACGTCTTTTTGAAGCTCTTAGGGAGCCCACATGTATGTAGCTAGAACGTTTGGGGTGATCGTGCGTCACACTGACTACGTGGATGCCAAGGCCGCTTTACCTTCTAAGGGCTAGATAGCCGATGCAATTAACCGTATGGCATGTTAAACTGCCAGTCTTTAGACTCCTTACACACATCTTCCATCGACCCAAATCTACGGTGTTGTCTCATGAATCATGGATAAAAACTCCAAAACACGCGTTGGAAACCTCCTCAAATATACGTACCGTGCCAATATGGTTTTCTTCGCTGGGTTTGCCGCTTATTACGTCATGAAGGGAGATCAGAAAGAAACTACAGAAGAGGTGGCCGCGGAACGTCGATCGAATAATCGAGATCAACCTACATGATTCTCATGAGGAAAATTTGACATTTTCACTTGCGTCTGCAAAGAGGGCGGAGATGCGCACATCACAAAGCATATCAAGCACTCGGGGATGGAAGAAAGATTGCATATTGTTCGAACTGGCGCACGATCTCAAAACTTCCAAACCCGAATCATCCGCCTCTGGTTCTTCGCCCCGATCAGCCAAAAAGAGAGAACATAGCTTCATCGTCGCTACCTTCATCGGCAGATCCTTCGCCGTCCTTATCCTCGCCGCCCTCGGGCTCGTTTTGGTTGTTGTCATCCACAGTGGTCTGCTGTTGTCCGACCTCCGCAGAGGAGGTCGTTACGGTCGTAAGGATGTCTTTGACGTCCTTTAAGATGTTAGCTACATCTTCAGTGTACCGACACGCATCGTTGAAAGGACAGTTCTACATACCTTACCCTGCAGCGCTTTTGCGAAAAGCTGGGTCCAAACAGGCTCGATGTCCTCGATGTTTGCTGCAGCGAGAAGAGTCTGAAGTTTTTCAGGAGTGATTTCGAGACCTTCGTCTGCGAGGATAAGGGCTGCGTAAGCGACAATGTTTTCCACCCTGCTTACGTCGGTGGACATTGAGAAGCTTCTCTATGGGTTGTCGGGAGAATGGAGGAAATAGAAAGTGTTGGGGAAGTATGCAATTTCGTTCGGTACGGCGATACTAAAAACAAAACGGAGCAAAATTCGACTGTGTACACGAAGGCCATGAATAGCATTCTCTCGATCATCTTATAGTGCATGTCTTTCTATTGCCCGAGTCTCTAGAGATTGTGACTCACTCGTGAGTCACTTGTAGAGGACTTCAGTACGAGGCTGCCTCGTAGGACAGTCATACAGCTTGATCCATATGTCAGCTTGTGAGGCGTCGCAACGAATAAAACAGCTTGGTTGGAGCTCGGATGAACGCTGTGGTGTCTATCAAGCTACATTTTGAAAAGATCCATCACGATCTTGCAATCTTGCGAGTTTTAATCTAACGATAATACGATTCTTAAGTTGTTATGCATTAATCACTGTGAACGCCTGGCAGCTAGTAGCGCCCTTGAATCACGTGATGACGCCCTTTTAGCCCGACTATGGATTCAGGAGCTAACTGGAACCTTGTCAAACTCAAAGTTGATGGCATTTAGAATTTCCCGCCGTCAATCTTCACGACCTGTACTTCAAACAACTTTTCCTAATTGTAAAGAGAGTAGGACATATCGGAAACTTTATTATTCCGGTTTGTATTCCTTGGGCGATGTCATTATGGATCTGATCCCTGCTTCCAAGTTTCTGCCAGCTACAACATGCACCCGTGCGGCTGAAACGTGATCTGTGTGGGGTTCTGTCCCTGAATTGCGTAAAGTATGGCATCATTCCTAGTAACAGTGTGAGGGGTCAAAGTCGAAGTTGACGAGCACGCTGTACTATATAACCTGGGGGGAGCAACTGCATTTGCAATATTCAACAAACATCAACCCCGAGGACTCCCAACAACAACCAATCATGGCTACCGAAGAAACTGTACAGCTCGGTGAAGCTCATGCACCCAAGCAGGCATCTCTTGATGCCTTCGACTCCATCCTTACCTCTCTCAAGCAAGAGCTTGCTAAGCTCCGCCACGACCACGACAGTAAGATGATATCATTACCACTTCATGCTTAAAAAACCATCTAACAATATCTAGAACACGAGCCAGAGTACTTTCGCGCGGTGAAAGATGTCTCCGATTCCGACCTTGTTTCCTTCTCCTCCTCTGACCTTGAATCTGTCCGTGTCGCAAATTCAGCATACGGACTCCACCTTTTTGGAAAAGTCAAAATCCCTACATTGAACAACGCATATATACACGTGCGCATCTTTGGTTCAGCGAAAGAGGGTACGGATGGCAGCAGCCTGGATGAGCGAGAGTACAAACTACACAGCATCCATACCGAGGAGGTTGTAAAGGATGATGGAGACCATGTATTCCGCGCGATTTTTAGCAAAGACGATGAGCTGGAGTGGTTCGATACATGATTTGATACCCCGATAGAATGACGAGAGCTGGAACTGTCTACATGTTCTAAAGCTGTGTGGTGTAAAAACCGTGTATTGCCTTTGAGCTGTAGCTGCTGGCCTAAATAATGAATGCATGACATTTCGGGAGCCCTTCCCCGTTTATGCAAATCTCTCCCATAAATGCGATTGGTTCAAAGCAAAAGAAGTGTGGGACGAGGCCACGTCAAGCGAAGACCCTGCAGGTACAAAAAGCTGATACGTACAATTCAACGAAAACTTCAACATGTCTATGAACCGAACACTAGAGCATACCATAGCAATTGATTCGCGCCAACAAGGAGTCGCCGGGTAACACAGCGTCGTTTCTATGCTTAACATGGTGTTTTATACTTGAGATTTGTTTCTCGGTCCAGGATGACCGCATGACAGGTTGGATGGCACGTCCCGACCATAAAGTCCACTTTCGGCATAAGTACCGTCTTCTCATACACATTGACTCTTACTGGGTGTTGGGCCCTGCTATTACGATATCTATGTACGCCACAGTCCTGTTTGACGGACGTGGAGGGTAGTAACGCATGATTATCACAGTCTTCATGTTACCACACAACGTCAGTCACACCATGCTGCGCCCACAATTGGTCATCGTGGAGTGGAGGTGAAGCTCTGGATGAGTGAGAGTGCTGATAGACTCCATGCTACTGATTGCCAGCGAAATACGAAGTGATCTTGAGAGCCGCATACGACCATGGAAGATAAACTTTGGCGCATGCCCGTCGGACAATGTGATCTCTTGTAGCTGAAATCTGAACCGTAGTTCTACATATTTCTTCCAAATACCTCCATTCTGTAAAGTGGCAGTCAATGTGATTCATGCCTCCCGAACAGCTCCTTCCCGAAGACCTCAGAATGAACACCCAGTGGTGGCTCACAGAGGACACAAACGAGGACTTCAGTTACGCTCCCGATCATCCATGGCACTTGGAAATCTGGGCCATCGAAATCCCCCCCGCAATTCGAAGTCTCATCGATGCCGAAGACAAGCCGCACCTAAAAGACGCCGAATGGGGACTTACCATGAACCCCGCAATAGCGAGAGCTTGTATCAAGGCTCCCGAATGGGCGGTACATCGTTTGAAGCTATCAGCGGAGCCAAGGGATATGGATGTAGCGAGAAGCATTGCATTCAACCAAATCAGAAAGCACTATACTACGTATAGTGTAGAGAACAATCAAGTCTTCGCCAGTGCCGGCGAAAGCTCCGCCCCTACCATTTTTGGGGATTGGGTGGAGATTCACTTCATGCTCTGCACAGAAAACCGTGAGTTATCTGTGTATAATCTTAATCTAATAGATATCTGATGCGAAAAAACAGTGTTACGTTCGACCATATACGACGATCGTGTAAGAAGCCATCTGCAAAGGATGTCTCCTATTGCAGCCAACGTCGTCACTGCGTTCCAAACAGGCGAACCATATACTGGGGACTGGTCTAATGAGAACGAAAGATTGATATTCCAGGCCCAGTCATGGATGTTCAAACGAAAACAGCAGCACGGCGCGCCTATTCAGTCGAGCTCGCAAGTTGAGCCAGACATACAGGCTGCGTCAAGCTCTGCTGATGGACAACACCTGCGAAACATTGGTTCGTTGCTGAACTGATAAGTCGGCTCATCTTATGGACAGGGTTCAAATGGGTGTTTCCTGATTTCGTTCCTCTCACAAAGGTGCTCTCATTTCCCTCCAATATTGAGGATTAGTCGTTCAATTTCGACTGAGCCATGACGCTCCTGTATACCCACGGCGGTGCGCTTTCTCCAGGCTGCTTGGTCGTTCTATCTGACGTTGTTTTCTCGCCATAGATTCTTTCGGTTTCCATGCAACGCTTCTTTTCTTGCAAAAATATAACTGTATTCTTAGACTTCACAATTGGCAAATGGAAAAATTTGGTACCTTATCATCGCCATTCGTATGCTTTCTCCGTTCTTTCCAGGAGGGTCGAAGTCTACAAAAAGCTCAAACAAAATCTCCGGGAGTTCTTCTCGCCTGTACAAGTAAACAAGATTGAACTCCTCGGAGCGCATAACCCCAATGCATGATGTAGGATCGCAATCCACAACAGCTCAACAATTGACAATTTTTTGCGCACCTAGACCTAAAAAAAGGCCCCCAAAGATCACACGATTCATCAATCACATTCTTCGAGTCAGTTTCCAGGCCGAATAACACCGCACTGCTGGCATTGACCCGCAATTTCCAGATTTCGGGATATTTCGTCAACGTGTTAGCGAGGCCCCACATGAGAGACTAAAGATTGGGGGAGGAGGCAAACCCCTGTGTAGTTTAGTGTTATCAGGTCCACACCAACAGCGGGGGTCGACATTGGAAAAAGGACAACAAATGCATGATGATGATGGGATTGCTTCAAGGTACAGTGTAATGGTGGCGTGCACAGCCCAGCTAAGAATTATTGAGATGTGCAAATTTTGTTTATGGAGGCTGCTGACTGGACGCTGTGCGAGTAGGGAGAGAAAAAGCAAGTACACGGAGACTCACCCGGGGTGCCGTCTTACTGTATGCGTGCGCCATCGAATTTCAATTCGTTAATGCTGAGCTGGGAGCTCCCAATCTGGGTTGTATTTCTGGAATTGGACACTTAGAAGCAAAGGACAAAAAGAGACGGGGGAAATCATTACTCATTGGTAAGCTGATTTCGCGATCGCGCAGGTGGAAGTCACTCCAACGGAAAGCCAGGAAAAGAAGAGAATGGCATTTGAGACTGCAAGTTCAACACCATCTAAGCTTCTTGCTTACGATCTGGATAGCGGGAATAGCAGTATCCAGTGGGCACAGCAAGAAACCTGGTATACGGCTTCTCCTTTATCAACACGTCCGCGGAGCAAAGTATAGGAGAGTGACCGTCTGGACGAACCAAGCCCTTCTGCGGTCCCGAAAGCGAAATCGCCCATGCTCGAAACAGGATAGGAGACGTCTTAAGACGCACGCGCGGCATAGTCGGGTACCATTCTGCATTGCTGTCCTCGTAAGCTGATGGAAACTTGCGCCAGGCACAGGAGAAGGTTTCTACACATTGGCATTTTGGCCATTCATTGGTTAGATTCATAGGTACCTGTACGCGCTGAGATGGATGATGGGACACGTGATGCTATACCTCTCAGGGTATGTCGGTCCAATTGCTGATTGCAGATCTCCCGTCCTTGACTGTGAAAACGCGGGGTATGTTTTCATATGTTAAGTCAAGGAACAGATGATATTGAGCGTGTGGATGGGGCGGGTTATGCCTTTGATACACCGCTAGTTCTCAACCATGGTTCTTTTCCAAATCAAAGAAAGTCTTCATTTCCATCGCTGAGCTCCAGTTCGATAAGCATTCATGCTCTGCCAAACTCGAGTCTCTCAGCTTGCATAACGAGATTGGATTTGGCATACCTTATGCTGACTTCAAACGGATAATAACATGTAACACGTTAACGCATTAACCCAGATATTAGCCATGACGAAGGAATAGGAAGGTGAGCACCTCCAAGCATGCACCCCATAGCCTCGCTAGTTATTCGGCGACACTGAAAAACCGGGGAAGATGACAGGCCAGCTACACCATGCACACCAACGCTTAGCGCCTACGCTTTCGTCGCATTTGTACTTTGGTCTACGCAACACATGATACGCGTGCGTTCACGAGGTCGGTGCGCCATCGCGTTTCCAGAAGGCCACGAGGTGGATGTTCGGCTGTATGTGCTCTGTAGCGTGAGGATCTCCGATTGATCCTAGCTTTGCAGAGCTCTTGCGCCCTCCTCCTGAGCAGTGATAGGTCGACTCCAACGGTCGGTGATGCGGTTTGGGGATGGCGTGTGAAGCGCAACGATGCAGGAACGGAGCATGCTAATTTGACTACCTACCGTTTGAACTGGCCTTGGTCCATTTGTTTATGGCGGTTTGGGGCGGGCGGGGTGGACGAGGGCTGGGGAACGAAGATATAAAAGAGCGATGGAGTCGTTCATGGGAAGAGCACGGCATCACAATCGCTCTCCCTGCCTCATCAGTTCCCTCTCTCGCTCTCTTGGTTGGCTTTGTCCCATTCGTTCAATTTGACCTTCATTTTCAAGCTCCTTGATACAAACGCTCCCGTACATCAAACACCATGAAGCTCCTCACTTTGGCGACTCTTTTCACCCTGGGTACTGCCATCCCCGTCGAGCCCCATATCGTCCATCGTCAGGCTCTTCCAACTTCGCGCGACGAGCTCGAGAATGGCAGCGCCTCAGCATGCCCAAAGGCCATCTTCATCTTCGCCAGAGGTAGCACTGAGCCCGGTAACATGGGCGACACTCTCGGGCCTGTTGTGGCCGATGTCCTCGAGAAGAAGTATGGAGCCGCCAACGTTTGGGTCCAGGGTGTAGGTGGGCCGTACAGGGCCGGTCTCCTGGAAAACCTGGGAGCAAAGGGAACTAGCCAGGCGTCTATCGACGAGGCAAAGAGGTTGTTTGTGATGGCCAGCACAAAGTGCCCCAACTCGAAAATTGTGTCGGGTGGATACAGGTTCGTGCTTCTCTACTTTCTTTTTCTTTCCAGCCCCACCCCCCTTTCCATGGCTCCTTGACTCGTGCCATCACATCTACAACTTTGCGCGTTGTCGTGTTTTTCTTTTCGGTCCTTGCTTCATATTTATATCCGAGACTAAAACATGCCGCAGCCAAGGCTCCGCTGTGATCGCGGGGGCAATTCCCGACTTGACAGCCGCTCAGCGCAACCAAGTCGTCGGTACCGTGTTCTTCGGATACACTCGCAACAAGCAGAACAACGGCGGCATCTCCAACTACCCTGCTGGAAACCTCCAAGTCTACTGTGACGACGGAAAGGACTTGGTTTGCCAGGGCACACTCCTCATTACCGAGGCGCACTTTTCCTACGACGACGAGGCCGCCGGTGTTGCGCCGCAATTCTTGATCTCCAAGATTGGCGCGTAAGATGGAGACTTCTTCAACGACATCTCAGGGGGATCTTCTGGTGATGAATAAATAATGAAGGGAGTTATGATGGAAACTTTTAATGTGGATATTTATGGTCGCGTGCTTGTATATATTAATACGCGAATAAACTCTTGTGCATACATCATCTGCTCCTTATCCGAATAACGGTGTCGCACCAGCTAACGGGCCCGATATAAAGGGACCAGAACATCCGTACTGTTGGTGTACAATCGTCCGTCCCCTATATCTAGTCAATCGTAATGACCACGTTCTGTCTATTTAGAGATGGAAAGATTCGTGTGTCATCGCATTCCTTGACGAACATCTGTTCTTTGGGTGCACCGTGGTTCACTGCCTATTCGGATTTCCATGGTTCAGAACAATACCGCTTGTTACGAAAGATGGCAAACTATTAGATGACCCGCATATTCAGATTGTAAATTCACCTAGCTGGAGTATGGCAACTATGCGCAAACCCTACAAGCGAACTTGTCGTGTCTAAAACTCCCCAGTGTATTCAGTCGCGGGATGCATTGTCACTGTGTACGCATGAGCCTTTTTTTTTATCACGCTTGCACGCTTTAGTGATGGGCAAAAATGTGGATTGAGTAAGTATATACAAAAATTGCAACCGGCGCTGTCCGTCGCACCAGCAGACTAAGTATGTAAAAGAAAAGAAGAGAAGGAGTACAGTAGTACAAGGTATCGGGTGAGCAGCACACCAAAGAAAATCTCTATCTCCATCGGAAAGAGAGGATGTAAAAAGTGAAGAAAAGAAAATCTCAATCAAGTGATTCCGCCCAAGTGGTATCGAAAATCCTTCGCGGGCCATCTAACTGAACCAAGCATTGACACTCTTCCAGTTGACGTATTGCGGACCGATTTCTTTCAGATCCGCAACACCAAGGTTCGCAGCATCGATGGCAACTTCGTGCTTCAACATCTTAATGACCTTCTTGACACCATCAACACCGTAAGCGTTGCTGTACATGAAAGGTCTTCCGACACCGACAGCCTTCACGCCCAGAGCGAGGAGCTTCAACACATCAGCGCCATATCGCACGCCGCCGTCAGCAAAGACCTCGACCTGCTTGAAGATTTCAGGATCCTCCTCGTAGATTTCCAGAGCAACCTCGAGGGAGGAAGGAGTGGTGTCGAGTTGACGACCTCCGTGGTTGGAGAGGTAGATAGCCTTGGCTCCGTTCTTAACAGCGAGACGAGCATCGTCAACAGTCTGAATTCCCTTGGGGATGATGGGGAGAGAAGTCATGTTGCTGAGCTGGTGGTACATGTCCCATGTCAAAAGACTGTACGAGGAATCCGCGGAACCGACGCCAAAGCGAGCAGCGCGGTGACGGTTTCCGTCAGCAGCGGAATCGACAGTAAGAATGATAGCCTTGGAGCCGGCCTTCTCAATCTTCTGGAAGAGCTCGCGGGTCTCGTTCATGTCGTCGGTGAGGTAGACCTGCTGGAAAAGAGCCTGGGTGCTGGAGTTGCCGGAGGTCGAGTTTCCGGAAACCCTGGCGGCGTAGATGTCGTCGAATGACTTTGACGAGAAGAGAGATGGCATGTAGAGGATGTCCTCCTCACCAGCACCCTTAACAAAGTTGAGCTCTCCATCTTCATGCGCATAGCCGGCACGAGCGCATGGGGCGATGAAGAAAGGAGCAGAGAACTGGTGGCCCAGGATAGTGGTGGGCAGTGACTCTTCGATCTTGAGGATGTCGACCATAACACGAGGCCGTAAACGGAAGCGTTGGAACACTTCAAGGTTGTTACGGTAAGACCATTCTCCAGCTGCACCGTTACGGTAATACGTATATGAAGAGGCATTGAGCTTGCGACGAGCTGCCCAGTCGAAGTCTGGCAGGCCTACCATGCTGTCGAGTGGGGGTAGTGTGCCATTGGCAGTGGAACCGGCAATGTCATCCAGTCTGTTGATACATTAGCAAAACATTCCTCCATTGAATGTAAGTCTGCGGGGTACGAAGGGAGTGACGGCGCAGGGTTACGCGGTAGTTTGAGACATTGATACCCCATTGATGCATCATCTACTTGAACTGTACAACCTTGTACTCATGTACGTTGTGACATCAGAAGTACAAAGTCCGTTGCGTAGAATAGGCATGTCAACAGGTTCTCAACACCTCACAAAGTCACTGCGTAGTGTTGAAGGGTATTGCCGTGCTTCGGAGAGAAATCACAGGTTGAACTTACCCAGTGTCAGGCTCGTTTAGGAAAGGACGAGCTGCAAGAGCAGTTGAGGCCAGCCCGAGGATAGAGAAACGCATGATGAATGAAAGACAGCGGTGAAGAGAATGAATAAGTGAGTGGATAGGAGGATGACAGTGTCGTAGCCAAATGGTAAGTGATCGGTGGGCAGTGGTTCTTATATTAATCCAAGGCGCTTCTGGAGGCTTGGGCGTGCAATCAAAAAGAGCCCACTTCTAGGTTTCCAATTGCCTAATTCTGCTGTGCCAAGCACAAGGTTTCTGGTCTTGGGGATTTCAAGCTTCATTGTATTTCTGACGCAATTTTTTCTTTTCTTTTACCTAGTATGCTGGAACATAACAGCCAAGAAGTCATTTCGGACCGCTGCCTAGGGTGTTTTACGGTCCGATATGTGGCCGCGATGCAAGGTATCCCAAACAGGCAGGCCATTACAACCAAAGCGTGCGAATTATAAGATGTGCTGCTATTATAATGATGTGAACCCGTAAGAAAGTGACGTAGGCGCTTATGATACCAAGGTGGAATGCACTTCGCTCTGCAGGTTGATTTCTTGGTAGTGTATAGCGCACCCGTTCGATTTGCTGGCGATCACAAAGGACGATAAGAATGTACTGACTTGCGGAAAACATGTGGGTTCGGTTGCCTGTCATGTCATTTCAGATTAGCCATTGTCCAGATCTGATAAACGTCGCCGCTGCGGAGTCGTTCTAAGCTCTGGACCATGTTTCATTCCCTCGGTCGACCCACCAGCCTACAATTTCCGAGCAGTAAATATCAAACTCCTTGGCTGGGCACTTCAGTATGCATACCAATGACATAGATGTGTCAACCTTATCTCTCTAAATGTTTGCATTATACTGTTAGCAGGTTTCAAGGAACTATTCGCCTAAACTCATGGCCTATGAGCGCCGAGCTGCGCAAACTGATGCATAGATGATGTGGGGTTGTCATCTTATTTGGATCCCGCTATCAACGTCGCAGCGCATTTGTAAACATGACCAATGCGCCTGTTTGACAGCAGACGGCGCTTGCGGGTCTAGTAAACAAGGCACCTAGCGTTCCCCGAACGACTTTCTTAGTCTTCCTGATATGGCATCCCCCGGAGAATTTTCTCGAAAAGCAGTTGAACGGCGAGCGGCAATTCTTATTCTTGTCGTGATCTTCCGGGTGAAGATTATTTTCTAGGCAATTTCAAGGCAGGCCCCCATGAGCAAATCCAACCTCAACAATTCAGTAATCAGGAAGCCATAGGTTTCTCCACCATACGTCGCAAAGTTCAAATAACAACTGATTCAGTATCCTTGCTAAGCCCCATATTCTACGTGAATTCTAGGTCTTCGCCGCCGAACACGCAGATTCGACTACCCTCTTCCCGTCCAATCCCGCCTTCGCATAGTACGTATCTGCCCTGAGCGTGTTGCAAAGGTACGCATGGTATCCCTCATAAGTCCCCGCATGCAGCATCTGGAAAATGTACAGATCGGTCATAGCGTCGAGCATTTCTGTCTTCGCTTGAGCAGCCTGCACAACTTCGCGATTCTGTCCCGCGCAGATCAACTCTTCAATCGCAGAAGTGTCCAGCTTCATCCTCGCTATGCCTTCTCGATACCTCTCATAGTTGTCGCAAACGTAGTCAATCTGTTTTTGCTCCTTCGCTACCACCTTGAACACCCTCGCCATCACTTTCGACACCAGCAGATCAGCTTGCGCCGCCACTTCGGCACTCACATTCCCAGCATTGTACTGCGACCAATCTCCTGCGCCAAAGTATCCAGAAAGAATGCACCAAGCCGATTCAACGTCTATGGCTCCTTGTTCCGTTTCGCGAATCGGTGCCCACAATCCCGTCAAAAGGCTGTTTTCCACATACCAGCACATATCCGCAAAAAACTGGATATTGTCGCCCTGCTTATCGAAGGGCGTGCCCCCGTACCCCTGTACAGCGAAGACACCTCCCATGAAGGTTTTCATGTGCCAAAGATTGTTAAACCTATTGTGCAAGCAAACATAAGCTTTGTCCAACCGAGATTATTCAAGGGGTCTCTTGGGCAATGGGAGTGTAGTACCAAATCGGCGAAGGGGGAGGTAGTCCCGCATGAACTGCATCACATATGACTTCCCGAGATATTTTCGTTATGTCGTTATAATCCGGAAACGTTTCCACATAGCGTGATGAGGTCTCGTTGAAGTTGTCGCACAGCCAGGTAAGTTCAGAAGTCGAATTGGAGGCTTCAAGTGCAGTGTAGGCGAGCGATGTGTACGTCCACGACGTTACGTACGAGAGATTGCCCCATGCTGTTTGCCAACTATGGTGAGCTAGGGTCATTGTCTTCTACGAGGGCTCCGGGCCTTACTCGGTGAATTTCCTGCATATGGGATCCCTCGCTTTGTTAGCGAGCGAGGATGCACGTCGCTGTTTGCTGATCCTAGCGTTGCCAGCACTGCTAAGATGACCGAAAACTTCATGATGAGGCTGTACTAAATCAAGAGGATTTGTTTGCAATGGGAGGAAACAATACTGCATCCGTTCTCAAATCGCAGGCCCTACTAAGACTTTATAATAAGCTTCAGCAAGGTCTTCATTGCTTTATTGCATACGAGCTTACGCCCAGGTCAATGGTCGATATTTTTTGCTCTGATGCATATTGTATATGACAATGGCGATGCACAATAAAGCTTTTGGTGAAACATAGCCAGTCGAAGCGGAATAAACCATGAGAGAAGGACGCAGTATCATCTGGATCTTTCGGATCGTTCATCTAATTTACTTGGCACACGCCGTTCTTCCGCCGGATAGGCAAGACTGGGAGCAAAATTAGGCAGGATGGAGAGGGGTACAATTCGAACATGATCTCGTGGGAAAATCTACTGTATTAAATATGTACAGCTAAATACAAAGGAGTGAAAAGTGGCAGTCCACCGAATAGTTGCTGCGTTGCAACGGATTCGCACGATGCGGAGGTACGTTACTTATGCCTGAATAGTGCCGTGTTGTTTAAAGTCACCCACCCATCGGTCAAATGTGTCCTCCGATTGCGCGACTTCGACATCAACACTGATCAAGGACACCTCGAGTAACGGAATATCCTCCTTGGGAATATCCACGCCGCCCTAAAGTTTGTTAGTAATTTTTTCAAGGTCTATGTTGCATATTGGACAGGTCGCTTACAAGTTCAACTTGATACTTGAGGTTCGCCTTCAGGTAATCACGCGCTTTCTCAGCAGTAGTAGCACCATCAGCAATGGCCTTGTTCAAAGCACTGGTAAGATCCACTGGCACAGGCGTGATCTTGTCATCCCGCACGCTCGCGCTACCGAGTGTCGACGCCATACCTGCAATCTCCTCGACACCCTCTAGAGAGACAAGTACGTTGTATGGCGATGAACCTGTCTTTCCGTCATCAAGGCCATATGGGGGAAGCTTGACTTCGGCCAAGAAGAGCTCTCTTTTCGAGGACGAGGAGGCTTGCGACTTGGCTTGCGCAGTTCCAACGGGGACATCAGGTGGGCCCGAATATTGCGCTTTGATAGCCGCCACAATAGAAGCGTTGGACGGATTGTTGGCGAGTTCGGGATAAGTGTATCCCATGTCGTTGATGTTGCGAGAGTTGGTCGCTGTCCAGAAATCACCTGCAGCATTCTTATGGAAAGGCGTGAGAGCTAGATCAATGTTAGCCGAAAGGTTGTTTTCAGTGTAGGAATTACTTACGTGAATCGGCATCGAGAAGCTGGCCTCGCTCGATCGTCCATGTTCCTGACCCAGCATCGCAGGACTCAAGGTACGTTTCAGGGAACACTGCTTGCCAAAGCGCAATCTGGCGATCGACGTTCCTAAGTCCGAAATCAATAGCAGTTCGACATACATAAACGACATGCACTTACGCGTGATGGAACCAAAATGCAGGGTCGAATGCGGAGACACTGGCGGGACTCATATGCCCTGGGAAGAAAGCGATGTGAATTGGGTTATGAATCGATTCAATGTCGCCGACGCTGCTCGATCCTCCACAAAGGTCTGCATTGGACATTTGAGTAAAGGTTTGAGACTGCGACAAAACGTTGTACAGCGAGGTGCGTCGGCTGGCATGGTATCTGCGCAAATTGTCCTCCAAAGTCCCGTAGTTGCTGGCTGTGGCATGGGCACGAACAGTCATTAGCGAGTTATCACAGACAGAGGGCAAGCCTCCGCTAGGTCCTGCACCAAGACCGCAGCCCTATCCCTGATTAGAACGTATATCAAACTTTGTTCACTTCATCCGCACTTACGGTTCCATTGATCTGCGTATTATCGAGTGGATGAAACCTGTACTCGTACAACGGGTTATCGATCGAAGCAGTCGTGCCATTGGGGAATGACACAGTCGCTTTTTCATTCGACATGGAGGATGGAAAGAGAGGCTGGTCTGTAGGAACAGCTTTAGCCCAGTCCCAGAACGGAATGCGGAGGCTCGAAGCAGCTTCCTGGTATTTGGTCCGGGTCGCCGTCGGAAAGGTGTCTGCTATGCCGGATGCAACTTCTTGTAACTTTTGCTAGATGGGTGTGAGTGAACATTCACTGTTGATCTTTGTTGCACTTACTTCGAAAAGTATGAGATACGGACGATGCCAAACGCCAAACAGAAGTTGATTATGTGGACAGTAGCCCATGTTGGGCAAGGGATTGATACCATCTACACCGTCCCATGATTCCCTATTCCAGTTAGAATAAGATCGCAGAACATATAGCATCGGCTTCTTACCATGGCATTCCATGGATACCTAGGTACATAGATTTAGTGATTGACCTGATAGCAAAGGCCCTAATACAAGCACGTACCTGCAATTTGATAGTAGGAGTCGATGACATTCTGATCAATCGCTTTGAATTCTGCGAGAGCGAGAAGGAAGAGGTTCCACATTTCTCCTCCAGCTTTCTCCAGATCTCTGATCTCGACCCGAGGCTGGACGCCCCCCTTTGCCCCAGTGATGGCATAGTACGATCCAGGCCCTTGTCGCTTCACATTGGAGTTGACTCCTGAGACAGAGCTGAATGCATCTGAAGATAGCAGGGGTGAGCCATATGCATTGACTGCTAGCAACGAGGCTACACCAACAGTGGGGATCTTCATGATAAAGGATGCAAAGATTGCGCAAGGATTAAGAATCAGGGAAGAGAAACGATCAGCGAGGTATCCATCAAGTACCGAAACGCGAATTCTAGAAATACTTATACGCTCAATAGTTACCGCAGCACTCACGAGTATTGTTAGATATTACGTGTGATCATTCCTTCTTTAAGGCAAAAGCCACCATAAGGGTGGTGCACTGCTGAACAATCCTCTACGCATGAAGAATTTTCGCGTGAGCAAACGAAGTATTCTCGTTTATACGAATAAATCTCGATTATTGTGCGAGAGCGTACAGGAGTGGTCCTGTGTGTACCAGGCGCACGATCTACCTGGTCGTTGGAAGTGATGCTGTCAGCAGCCACTCAGCTGCACGGAAGACACCAGAGTCATGCTCCCTTCAAGGTTTTAATCCCATTTCGTAGCGAAATTCTTACAGATTTTCGTCGTATGTATGCTCTTGAAACGAGATTCGATCGTAACATAAAGGAATAGGTTTCAAAAGACACGCTTTCAGTAGGGAGATCATATGATACCCAGGATAGCTACTCGGTGCATACTATCCTCGAGAGTGAGTAGGCAGAATCTCATTAAAGTTTATCAGCCCTCTAGTATAAGGTCAGCAAACACTGTCATACGCGTAGTTCGAGCGTGGAGAACACTTGGCAAGCCATATACTGGGCTGTGTTGTAACGTTGGAAGCTTCTCCGCTTCTTCGACGTTGAATCCTTCTATACAATACGGGCATATAATGTCAAAGAGTATTGGCTATTGTGGCGCGCGACGTGATGTTTCAGGGAATGTTGCATTTAAGATTGTCAACACGAATCCCGCGCGAACGCATGGATACAGATCTAACATACGCCAACAATACGCAGGACGAAAGACCCCAGAGAGTGGAAGCTGGGATTTTCTGCTACATTTATACTCGATTAAAAGATGTCAGCAGAAGACATTGACATCAATAGGCACTTAGCTCTCAATCTTCTACAGTAAAAGTGGCCAGCCAGTGGGTTGCTGACAAAAAGCGAGGGTTCGACTACATTTGATAGCCATGGAAAAAAAAAGGATTTTACAAGCAGATCAAACTCGTGACTGATTTGGAGGTTGTTCGAGAGGCGATAGTTGTCGACTTTGGAAAAAAAAGTCGGTGTTCGTCGACAGTTCCAATGTTGAATCATCCCGATGCCGTCGGCAAGGCGCCCCACTCTTATTTCGAAGTCTGTGCGTCAATCCTCCGACGCATGGGTCTTCCTCCTTTCACTCCTCTTTCCTTTCCGCTCCAAGTCTCATCATCGCCATTGTATGTTATCCTTGACTTCGAGGGAGCGAAGGGACACGGCAAATAAAGTTCCGATCACGAGCGGCAATTTCAACTGATTACCGGATTTCCTTACTCCCGACCCCAAATTCTTTTCTTGAAGGAACGCGACAGACCTGACCTGTACGCCACCAGATCCTGCGCAGTACTTCTGTGCGCCTCTATTTGAATCTATTTACGATGGGGTTGGTACACATCACTTTGATCTTGATTCAACTCCGTTCTATCCGATGCCCCAAGAACGTAAAAGTTCCCACGAATGGCATAGCTGATGCGAGCCCAAGCATTCGGTAGTTCTTTAATATAAGCCAAGCACTATGAGACAGCCTTTACTATGGATATGAACTATCCCCTCACCGGCACTGATTTCATTCGCAGACCATGAGCTGCGAGAGGTGAAGATAGGCATTCTCAACACATGTAGATGAACACCCATATTGATGCGCCTAGGCGTGCGCGATAAGTGGCCGACTCAGAATATACAAGAGGGTTTGTTCCAATGTTATGATATTCGTAACCCGGTACTGCTGTTCATTTTTGCTACGTACTTTTGCATAGTTTCGTAGTAGTAAAAGAAATACAGCCGTTATTGCGCTTTCAAACAGCAGATCTTCGAATACCCTGCACGATGAAGCTACATATATTTCTCTTACAGGCCGGGATAGCCCATGCGGCTCTACGATTCGGATGTTCGACCGTCTCTATCCAGCGTTTGGACCCTCTGGTTGAGCCTGGAAACATTCCTTCAGCTCACGTCCACCAAATAGGTATAATGCCCTTGCGATATCCGCTTGCCAACGTCACTGATGCAGTTATACAGTGGGAGGCAATGCCTTCAATGCGACTATGAAGGGAGACATTGGGGAGCAGGGGACTTGCACAACATGTGTCTACACAGAAGACTTCAGGTAAGGCAAACCTTGTCACGTTGGCGACAAGTCTAATCAAATCCCAGTAATTATTGGACCGCCGCCATGTACTTCAGGCATGAGAATGGCTCCTATAAGCGTATGTATATCCTGGCAACAGAGCAGCACGACGAAACAATCGCGTGGCACAGTGTTTCAATACGATCATGTCATATAGGAACATGCCAGCCTAGAATGTGCTAATTTTAAACCCGCGACTGTAGGAGTTCCGCAATACCCAAATGCTCAATTGGGCTACGAAGGTTCCGACGATTCCGCCATCAAGGGTGGCATGACGATTTACTACACGAACAAAGATTTCAACTCCAATGGAGACCAGTATATCACTGCCTTCCCACCTGTAAGACATTTAAACACAAAGATTCCGGCATAGAATGTCTAACAAACGCTAGGGTTTCCGCATGACTGTCGGTAGCCCCACAGTAGACAACGTCAACGGCTCCAAGCCAGGCCTCCGATACACCTGCCTACAAACCATCCTAACGCGAGGCTACGAGACCCCAGATTTTCCAAAGGAACCATGTCCCGCTGGCATCATGGCGATCCACCACTTCCCAGCTTGCTGGGACGGAAAGAACGTGGATAGCCCCGATCATCAATCACACATGTTCTCGACTGTTAAGGGTGGTTTCCGCGAAGCAGGCCCATGCCCGGCATCCCACCCCGTCCGGATGCCGCAAGTAGCGTACGAGACGATGTGGAATACTACTGCGTTCAAGGATATGTGGCCGAAAGACGGATCGCAGCCGTTCGTCTGGTCATACAGCGATAGCAAAGGATACGGGACACACGCCGATTATCTGTTTGGGTGGAAGGGCGACTCGTTGCAACGTGCGCTGAATGATACTTGCATGTTCCACGGATGCGGTAGTCCTGGTATGCAGGGTATTCTGAAGACTCAGACCGTCGCGGATATGAATGCGTGTGCTGTGGAGAACACGGTTGAGGAAGATACGGAGGGATGGCTTGAACAACTTCCAGGGCAGGGTATGCCTATGCGCATCTCTGCGTAAACACTTGCGTGATATATAGATTGACACTTGATAGACTGCTACACACCATCTCGACTTTTACAATCTAGCACGAGGCGCCTGCTCGTTCCTCGCTTTCTCATTCTCTTCTCTCCACCATTTTTTTCTTATCTCATGGCCATCCATGAATGTACTAACCCATGATCTGTCAAAGGGTGGTAGCCTTCGTCCCGGTTCCTCATCCTTTGGCTCACCGGCTAGAGACCTCAACTTCTCAAAGTATTCCTCGAAATCCGGGAAGATCAAAGTGAATAGCGCACCGTCACCTTTTTTAGCGACGCGCTCTTTCTCCCATTGCACTTGCTCTTCCACCGACGGAAGTATAGCGCGACCAGACAGCACGCGCGCAGCGAGCACAGCCTGCCATTCGAAGACCTTGAACGTCAATCCTGCGCCCACGGCGCCGACGAATAGTAAGCTGGGATCTTGTTGGTACACGACGTGCTGATATAGTCCAGGAACACGATTTTTGCGGACCGAAATATTCGGCAAGAAGGGCAATGACCATGAATACCCGGTTCCAAAGATGATCTCGTCAACGCCAGCGACCGATGTACCGTCGATGAAGTGCACTATTCTTTCGGTTCCAGATGTCGATATGTGAGAGATGGAGGGTTTGGCAGCAATTCCGGGGTGCTTAAATGCTTCGTCGCCGAAATAACCGTTCGGTTTATGACCTTTGACTACGGCATATACCGGTCCCGCAGCGACGCCCACTAGATCGTATGCGATATCTGCTGCAGAGACTGATGCGCCTACTACGATGACAGTCTATTCGCTTGTTAGATACCGGTATGATCTAATGGTGAATCACGCTGCCACAATACATACCTTGCCCTTGTACGAATCACGACCCCGGAACATCTTAGAATGTTTGACGCTTCCCGGTCTTGCAGTCTCAAATTCAGCCAGGCCTTCGATACGCGGTATATACGGAACATGATAGTGACCGTTCGCAACCACTACAGCATCAAACCGCTCTTCCCACCATTCGTCCTGTCTATTCCCATTTTTGCGAAGGACAAGTCGCCATTCTTTTCCTACTTTCTCGGCTAGCTCGACGGTAGTCTCGTACGAAACGAGTTTTTCGTATCCTCTCCGGTTGACCAGATCCGCGATGTAATTCCTGATCACAGAATGATGTCGAAATGGCGTGTCCTTCCCATGCTTGGAGATGGAAAGCTCGCTCCGTTGGGTTGGTATCCGTTCTTGGGAAAAAGACATTGGGATAGCGTCCACGTTGGTTTCGAGATACGGATACACGGATGATTCGGTATAGTGCTTCTGCGCTCCTTTCGATGTCTTGACCGGTAGTGATGTTGGAATTTCGAGAGGGTGTTCTCCATCTCGATCAGCCAGGGCGGCAAAAGACTGTGGCGCAAGGTGTGCTGGTGATGATGGGTCCTCGAGCCTGTGATGCATGAGCTTCGGGATGCAGAATGGTTGATGAGAACATTTGAAGGATGGCCTACCAGCAGCCCCCCGGGGCTTCCCTTCGCTCAAAAACGCGAATCACGTCGAATGCTTTTTCCTGGGCTAGCGCATCAACGGCGATGGCCCCAGATGGACCAAGGCCTATTACTGCAACGCGCTTGATGGCCATTGTGAACTCGATATCACGTGCACGGTTTTGCCCTTCGGTGAAGGTACTTGTGCAGTCTCGCTGCAGGTACTCGTAAACCGTTTCAGGTGTATGTACCAAGTATCTGTGATCAATACAGTAATGAAAAGACAGTACCCATTCGTATGCGATCCAAGGCTATGTTTTACTGAAATTCGACATCGTCGCGCAAGGGTCCCTGAAGGCAAAGTAGAGGTCGCGCAACAGCGTCCCACACAACTTATAGACAAGCGGGCTAACATAATCGACGCTAACACCTAAATGACAGTTCCTTCATCGGTAGATTAGTAACGCGAAGCACGCAGCACGCGCGTGGCTTTCGCGAATGCGCATTTGCAGTTCGGCTGGCTATCTTTGCGATATGGTGGGTCGAGATGGCGCAATTCGTCTAGATCCCTTCTCATCTCCTCTTGGCTGAATGCCACAAGTGCCGCCATCACCACCACCATTGGCTTGGGGAGCGGCATACATGTCATTCGGCATCTTAGTTGTCTCGAACCGGCTTGCTTTTGGATACAAATGATGCCGTCCCAAGTGCATGGCATTGGGATCCGGATTTCGTGATGGGTAGGGTTGATGTCGTTCTTTTGGCTGGGCGTGATTTGACACAGAGTAGATAGATGGGCGTTTTAGGACGGAGTTGTCTGGGATTTGATTGCATGGGAGCTTCACTCTTTTTCTTTTCTTTTTACACTTGGATACAGCATGTCAGATCAAGAAAAGGCCGTTCTTGAGCGAGGACTACAGAGTGATGCAAGTTCCAATGATGTGAGCAGTATTGAGAAAGATGTTGCAGGTTTACGGGCGAGAAAAAAGTGAGTACTCAACTCAATTTGCATGTCCGTATTGACAAAGTCTGTAGAGTCGATTTGACGGTATTGCCGTTGCTCTTCCTGGGGCTACTGGTCTTCCAACTCGATCGCATGAACCTCGCCTCAGCACTGACAGATGGCTTTGCGAAACAAATCGAAGTCAATCAGAATACCATCAATCTTGGTAATCAGCTCATGTTTCTGGGGATTGTGGTTCTTGAGATCCCATCAAACATGATACTGCAGCGAGTAAGTACATGCGCATTATCATCAATTGTCCTCCACGCAATCTGACAGAGTCCAGATTGGACCTCGTAAATGGATATCGGCACAAGTTTTCATCTTCGGTCTGGTTGCGACACTTCAAGTTTTTGTGAAGGATAGAACCGGATTTCTGCTTTCCCGTGCGTTTTTAGGACTTTGCGAAGCGGGTTACATTCCTGGCGGAATCTACACACTATCCACATGGTACACGAAAGGTGAATTGGCGAAAAGAGTCGCAGTATTTTTCTTCGGGATGTTCGGAGGGAACGCGATCAGTCCGCTACTTGCTTCAGGTATTTTGAAGCTTGGTGGACGAGGAGGCTTACGCGGTTGGCAATGGCTGTTTTTGCGTAAGGTCACCACGTCGCCTTATCTGCACCGCTGAAGCTGACAATTGAACAGTGGAAGGCTGCTTTACCATGTGTGTCTCAATTGTACTCCTCCTCTTGCTCCCGGGTTCTCCAGATCAGCCGAGACCCCTTCTCTCAGCGGGAGTAATCCACTTCAAACCCACCGACCTCACCGCCCTCCGCGCACGCATCGAGCGCGACGACCCCGAACGTAGATCCGGCTCACAAGGTCTCCATATCCCACCCTCTCTGGTTTGGCGAACGATTACCCACTATCGCCGCTGGCCGAGCTTCATCTCCACCTTTGCCGTCTTCTCCACCTGGAGTCCGCTCACAACATACACCCCCTCCATCCTCGTCTCGCTGGGCTTCAACCGCATCCAAGCCAACGCGCTCGCTTGCGTGGGAGGTTTCATCGCTCTAGGTGTAGTCTTCTTCTTCGGCTGGCTCTCCGATAAATCGAACAAACGCGGCATCACAGTCATGATCGCGCAGTCCTGTTACCTCACTATCCTCATCGTCGCGTACGCTGTGCATCCACATGTAGGAAGGTGGTCGCGGTACGCGCTGTGGACTTTTGTGAATGCTTTCGCAATTGGATACCATCCTGTGCATAATTCTTGGGTGCAGCTTAATTGCAAAGAACCTAGGGAACGCAGTGTGGCGATTGCTATGTGGGTTATGAGTGCGATTAGTGGGTTAATGGTTGGGACGCAGTATTTTAGGGGCGATGATGCGCCGTTCTATCAGAGGGGATTGATGATCATGATTTGTATGGTTTCGGTGGGGATTCTGTTTGCGGGGTTGCAGTGGTGGGTTTATGTGCAATATAACGAAAAGGCCGAGAGGAGGCGGGATAGAGAAGGCGGCGAGAAGGAGTGGGTTTATGTGCCTTGATTCAAAATGGTGGAATTTGAGAGCGCCTTGAAATCGCTTTTCTGATCAGCAGTATGAATATTGGAGATAGGGCTCATTTGCATCTAATGGTATACTACCGGTAAGCCGACTGCCCCTGAATTCAGTCTCCCCAATCAGATCACTCGCATGGTTTCCGTCGCTACAATTTGTGAATGACGGACAATGGCTCGATTATATCCAGCCCGGAGGGGGTTGATTCGATCTAATCACAACCATAGGCGAATTCGGTTGACCCGACACCCTCCATCCTTTCTGGGGATGTAGCCGAATTTTCAATCTCTTCGCGCCATCCAACGAAGTCTCGCTACCACTCGTAGATGTGTACTGCTTCTGCATATCGTTCGGAAGACTATAAATCAGTGTTGGCATAGCCGACGTTTTCCACACGCCTGGCCCATCCACAGCCTCCTTTGTAGTCTTGATGATGGTTGCTACCAAAAAGGCCAGGCTGAGAAATAACAGAGCAAATGGAAATGCGAGCCATGCCCATTGGACACTGACAACGGTCTGCATAGCGTGGGCAGATCCCTTTATCATCTCGCGCGAATCTGAGGACCTAATCGCGTTGGTCATTGCTATACCCATACGCTCGAAGTAGACGGTCAGGTTGTTTGGAGGCAGCCATGCAAGCGTCTTTGGTTGGCGAAGATAGGCGTGACCTTCGAGGTAGGTTCTGTATCTCAGTATCGGCGCCGATGATGGTTCAGCTGTAAGAAATGATGGGAAAGTGTTCCAGAAGATAGCATCCACGTTGATATGGGTCAAGTTGTCCATCCCGTAAACCTTTGGATCACTAATATCACGTATGGCGATATCCTCCGCATAAGATGTGAATGTACCAGGCTTTCCATCTAGGTTGAGGGGATATGAGTCCCACGGTATCACGGCGCCGGCCTGGCTACTTGAGGATGTCTTGATTACTTTTTCGCGGTAATTGTCGAGTAAGTAGGTTGATTCCATCGTCTTTATACACCAGCATATGATACATTCCTCTGCGATCGGGGTTTGGCTACGGTACACATTCGCGGGATCTCCTTCGTAAGTCGCTACGATGGCATCTTGTATGACATTTTGTATGCCTTTGAAGTGGATAGAGCCACCCCACATTGCCTTTTTGTCGGGTATTGTAAACAGGGGGAAGATTCGACCCAAAAGGGCCTCCCCAGGCAATCCTTCTTCGCTTAAGCTGTATCCAAACATCATAACTGGAGCTGGCCCGGTAGCATTCAAAAAATAGCCGCACATGGTGCGATTGGGGTATTCCCAGTTACGAGTTAAATTCCCAACCCAATCTGCCGGCGCAGCTCTGCACATGAACTGAAGCAGATCAGACACATCGACGCACCGGCTGCAAACTCCTAGTGTGTTATATTGGGGAAACGTGCAATTATTCGTAGGACAAAGAATAGGAATATCGGGATTAATTCTTTCGCCCATCGACATCGGTTGCGAATCTATAATGTCGGATCAGCATCATAGCGCTTATCCGTGTCAGCGTAGAACGCAACACAAGCCGTAGATTTTGACGGGATTCTTGTCGTATGATGAATTGACTGGAACGTACCTCTGCCGAAAAGGAATCTCTCGAGGAGTGGCCTGATATTATAGTCTTCTATTGTTAATGACAGACCGGCTCGGGTCGGTAAGGCAGACTTGGGTGTGTATTGAACAACCCTCGAAACAAAGCTTTCCCCCGCTAATGTAGAGTGAGATGAATAGTTGATTACTTGTTGGAAAAAAGTATCGTTGGCGATGAGAAGAAGTGTGAGGAGAGCCCCTAAAGCTGCAAGCGACCTGCCTCTTGTCCTGAAAAGCAAAAGAATTGACCCCCACACGCCTCGCGATGCTTTATCAAAGATTTCAAAATCCCAGAGCTCTTTTGACTTCTGCCCATTAAACCTAGACATGGTTAGTTCTACAGAATCATAGAAGCCGAGAGTCTTCGACATACCAATTCCACTTTAACTGGCCAATCGCTTCAGAAACAGGTAGAAGCAGAGCAGCAGAAGCTATTTTCGAAAGAACAGTAAAGGCGATAGCAAGTGTGTCGCGACTCTGGAATTCTTGATTGTTTAGGCGCAGTAATATCATTATTATAGCAGCCATGCATGAAGCGCTGACAGTCCATGTGACAATTTCGTAGATCCACCTTTTGAGAACATTATCTGACTTGTTCAGTTGAGCGAGCTTTCTTTCCAGCCTTTGTGTAATATCAAGTGAAGATTGATTTCTTTGCGCTTCAACTGTTGACGGTGATGCGCGCTCCGCACGTTCTTGCTGGGGTTGCGAGCCGGTTTTCATGTTTTGGACTTAATGAATAACCTTCGCGCAGATGGGAAATTCCTCATGACACTTGAACGGAGCGCGCGAGGGAAAGCACGAGAACATAGCTTTTACTAAAAGCGCTCAGATGTAACTAGTCCGCGTTCTATGTGTGAGAATGAACTCGGCTACGTTCTCGAGTTCGTAAGCGCTGCGGCACAGCAGCTCCCTTGAGCAGGATAAATCTCGCAAATTGAACGCGAGGGGTATCTAACAACATAGACTTATCTTGACTGAAACTTGGTAATTGAGTCTGCGCGGCTCGTGAAAATCAGCACCCTATACGTTGAAGGAGACGTAGTGTTGAAGCGGATTTGGGCGGTTGGGTGGGTACTTAATGCCGTGGTGGTAGAGTTTCGCTAGGTAAGCCGCCCGGATGCCCAGCGCGTAACGAGGGCACACACGAAAGATCTCATGATATTTTTTGGGGGTACTTGTAGAGAATTCTTATGTTGTGCAGAGAGATTCCTCGTGTTGATTTCATGAAAGCTTTCATGATTAAGAAACAGCACTAATTCACCTCATTCCCTGACACTTTTGATTACAATAGACAACCAGGGCTGCTGATGTTATATCCAGCCTGGAGGAGGTTTATTCGAGTGGCAGACTATGACTGGTGAAACTGGACTATATATTTGCCCTGATATCCTCCATCCCTTCTCCGGGTGCAATTTCACCCTTAGCTTACGAGAATCTTCTGAAGCCTTGTCTACAGACCACGGAACTTTGACCTGTTTTTGAGCGTCGCTCGGAAGGCTATAGATCAGGGCGGGCATGGTTGAAGTCTTCCAAACCCCAGGGCCAAGATCGCCCTTTGCTCTCTCGGTTTTCACTATCGTTGCGACGAGGAATACGATAGAGAGAAATAACAAAGCGAAGGGAAATATTAGCCATTCCCACTTGACTTGAATGAAGGTTGTGAGACTGTAAGCCGGTCCTTCAACCATATCATATGGTCTTGTCGAGCGTATAGCATTCGTCATCTCAGTGGCTATTCGTCCGAAATGATCCGTTATGTTATTCGGAGGTCTCCACATGCTCATCGGCAATCGTCTTGTGTATGGCGGGCCTGCAGTATAGGTCATTTGTCGCAGAATGGCATCCGATGAGCCCTTTGGGACAGTCAAAAATGACGGAAAATAATCGTCGAAAGCAGTGCTGACGCCTTCGTGGGTTGTACTGTTCAACCAGAATGTCTGATTGTCGCCCGGTATTGTTATTGTTACATTCTCATTGTAGGTAACCATGGATCCATTGACACGACCATATACCTTCTCGGAAGTCCAAGGAAATGGCCCAGGTGTCGAATTGGTGAAAGTATTGACAATCTTCTCTCGATAGCCACCGTACGCGTAAGAGGATTCTATCTCCTTGACACACCAAGATAACATGCATTCTGTAGCAACCGGAGTTTTGTTTTGGAAGGTTCCTGAAACACCATCAACTGACCCAACGACTACAACGTCAGTTATAGGGTTGCGGATGTCTTTAAAACTGAGAGATCTATCCCACAGAGGTACTTTATCCGGAGTGGCAATCATCGGAAGAAACCGGAGAATGAGGGCCTCGCCGGCCTCAGCGTGGCTCCCTGAGGAGTTGATATTTGCAGTAAGATAACCAGACATCAACATTGGATTTTCGTCCGTGATGTTGAAAAAGTATCCACACATCTCACTCTTCTGATCATCTTCGCGGGTCTTGTTGCTGATCCAGTCTGCTGTTGCAGTCTTGCAACCAAATCCCAACATTGGAGTCACATCTTTGCACTGACTGCAAACTCCCAGAGTTTTGTACCTAGGAAATGTGCAATTGCTTGTTGGGCAAGAAATTGGTATGTCGGGTCTTACACCATCGTCTACAGCAGTTGGATAGGTACCTATAGATGTTCAAATAAATTAGTGGGAGTCTGTAATCACGTTCTCGGGGGAGCATCAATCTGAAATTTTGTTTATAATCGCAAGCCTACATCATACCTGACGTACCATTGGAGAGAAGATATTGTGTCAATATCTGTGATGTTGTGCTGAGCTGCTGAGCCATATCTAGGTTGTCTTTATAGATCATTATATTTGGAGGAACGTAGTGAATCGTCCTCGAGATTTGTCCAGTGCTTTGAAGAGACCAATCTTGTGGAAGGTTCAGCACTTGCTGGAAAAATGTATCGTTTGCAATAAGCAAGAGCGTCAAGATTGCGCCAAGTGCCGCGAGTGACCTTCCTTTAGTTCGAAATAACAGTAAGGCTGATCCCCATGCTCCTCTTGAGGCTTTATCGAATATTTCAAAGTCCCAAATTTCCCATGACTTATTGCCGTGAAACCTGATACCGGAGTGTCAGTTACAACAAGAGTGTACCCTCAGTATGAGTAGTTGACTCAAGGTGGAATAGGAGATCAGATAAGTATTACGTACCAATTCCATTTCAATTGTCCTAGTGCCTCAGAAGTAGGCAACAGTAGAGCCGCAGAGGTGATCTTTGACAGTACTGTAAATGCAGTGATCCCTTCACTCCTTCCAACTAAGTCCTTTCCGTGAATATCGAGCAGAATGACCACGATTGCGGCCATACAGGTTGCCGCTATCGATAATGTGACAATCTCGTAAATCCATCTCTTGAATACATTTTCTGAGGCGTTGAGTTCCGCAAGCTTCTTTTCAAGCTTTTGTGTGATGTCCAGCGATGATTTTGAGCCTGATTCCCCGTAAGATGACGTTGTGCCTGATATGTTCCGACGCTCCCTAAGACGATGTCCGCGGCTGCGTCTCATGGCATCTCGGGTGTGAGCAGGGCGATGATGTGATCCAGCCATCGAAAGTTGAATGTGATGGGGCTAATAAAAGTTACAAAAAGATCTATCAGTCTTGAAGAAGACCTTAATGTGGTTTTCGATTTGTCCACTCAAGAATACAACAGGGAATAGATTGAGATTCTTTTTACGCAAAAAAGAAAATGGCCACACAACGGCCAGCTTGGTATTCACGACCTCACTGCAGTTCGGCAGCATTTTCATCTCGTTTACAAACTCGGTTAGAAAAAAAATATCAGCTGCTTCTCAAATTACGCGCTACAAGGATGGTTTGCTGTTTTCGTGCACATCTTCTTAGCATAGGTCTGGAGAGAGCTAACAACACCATGATTGTACGCGCTGCGGCACAGCAATTGGCAATTCACACGTGCAGATGAACATGTGCAGCCGAAAATATCTCACAGTGCAGTATTCCTCTGATACAAACTAGGGCAGGTGTGTAAATTCATGTTACGTGTCTTCTTCAAGATAGGATAAAAGTCGACAGTTATTTAAGACCTTCCAGCAAAGTAGTTCTATTCTTTCCAAGTAAGAACACTTTGATTGAGAACAACAAAAACAACACCACCTAGAGCCTTAGCATGAATTTCTAAAAACAGTACTGAGCAGCACAATAACCCGTGCATGATCTTCCGTGTCGAAGTTCAGCGCGTAAAATCACAACGCATAAAGAACTTAGCGCTCACACTCCCACACGAAACAATTAGCGCTTGGTATCCCTGTAAGCGCCCTCCATGCATCACGACTCCTGCAGATCACCGTTTAGTTCCCGCCCCCGCAGATGTTGAAACTCTATCCCGGTTACGCGCTGACAGTTTAAGAATCAGGCGGTTATGCGGCGGCAAACACTGTTGTCAGGCGCTAAGATTAGTTCACGAGTTTGTGAATCTGTTTTGGCATCATTGTACGTAGCTGCGCGTTTGTGGAAACGCGCATCAATATAATATGTAGAGAAAACCTGCTATCTGAAAGTGCAGTCATGATCGTCGACGAGCAATCCGCCGAGACAAATCTTTGCGCCATATTACTCGTACCATGGATGGGTGTTGGATTTCGGCCTTTTGTTCAACATCGATCTAGGATATGGAGACATTCTTTCCTCCCCTACACGAGGCTGGAGGGGGTTCTAGGAGACTTTTTTTTTTGGCTATTTAGTCCAAAGCTGTCATAGATACAGATGAAGATGATCGATGTTTATGATGAAATTCGCCATTGTTGAGGCAGTTGATAAATCTTAATGGCATGTGTTTAGCGTTGTACCCGGCATATTCATCCCCTTCATTGGGGACGTATGTAACAGGGAAACACTTAATCAGTGATGACTACATCTTTTACAACGAGACACAACGGTAGTATGAGGTATAATCCTTGTATAGATCCTGCGTCCGAACGTGTCTTGAGATTATGTAAACTTTTCTCGAATACACGCCTTACTCTATGCTCCTCAACCCGTCATCGAGAGTGGCGAGAGAATGTTAAGCATTTGTATGAGATTATGTTCAGATGTTACTGTTGACGCCAACTAGTGTGTGCCATATCGCGAAAATTACGTAGAAGTTTTGACCGAGTATTGTATGGACAGTACGAGTCTTACTTCCGCAAAGTCGTCAAGGGAACATGGAGTTCAACAGACCATCTGCAAGCCACAGGCAAATGTCTCTGCGAGAACCTTGGTGGTGAACCGCATCTGCGACCCTGCACCTACCATGAGTTTATCACACCGCGAACTGCAGGCATTGATGATTCCAGACTTCAATGCAAAGCAGAGTCACCCCGTCCCGTGTTGCCTTCGACCCAATACTTCTCAGCATTCAATTGCTCGCGCCTAGATATTAAAGAGAACAACAAAATCCTCGTTATCAGTGAGATATTGTTGACGAATGAGCAATATAGAAGGCTTGCTTTGTTGCGGTGAGGTCTGTGACGACAGTACATGCATGAGACGAGCAAGCCCACCGTTGCGAAAGAGCGGGACGAGCTGCATGATACTGCAAACCCATGTTTGAGTTGAAACACGGGAGAGCTGCAAGTGTTTATGGGTTTTGATGAATTGATATGCGAAGTGATACTCAGTCCAGAAACAACGATACATGTGATGGGGGTGAGAATGAATACATCAGGAGAGCGTACATGTGTATATGGTAAAGCTGCCATCAAGTGGCGACAACGGGCACCTGTATGTTTCTTGATATAAGTGCGCGATAGAATTGAGGCCATGATGTTCTGCGTCATAACCACTGTGTAGGTTTTCCCAGGTTGGAGCTGCACGAAATCCGACGCACTGTCACTGCTTGTAAAGGTCATTGTCCGGTGCGTGCTGCTGGTACGGGCTTGAGCAAGGGTATCGACATGGGGCATGGCCTTTTCAGTGAACAAATCCTTCGTAGGGCCATAGACAGCCAAACAATTGAACGCAAAATGAAAACTGTAGCGCCGTTAGAGTAGTCCCGTGGTGGTCGCAAGTGTGATGAAGTTCCATGGGCCGCTCAGCGGGCCGCTGGCGCAACCATGCAGCTTCTCTTATCCAATCGCTTCTTTCCCGCTGCAGGTCCATGGCGCCGCGCAGTTCAGAGTTCTGGTATCACAACAATTCCATTGGCTAGCGACTGATAACTTATGGTGAAGGAAACAGGGTAGTTACAGGTGTAAAATCATTATTGAATATTTTCTAGATGGAAGAATGACGCCAGTTCTTTGTAGCGCTCGTGTTCTTCGATTGTATGGAATAGATGCAATCATTGTCACATCGTTCCAGCCCTCCAAAAATCCCGGTCTGACGTCCCGCGTTCCATCCAGGCTTGTCCTTGGGTTTCAGCCAACCACACCCATGCAGCTATCATAATGCCATCTGTCGGATGTTCCAATGAAGGAGTTTGGCACGACTGCATCTCTGTGATCGGGCTATCGGCTGATGTCTTGCCAGTAGAAGTAGGCGCCAATGAATGTGATGGGGGAAGCATAACTGTGTTTCGCAACATCGCACAAGGTGTTCGTCGATACGGGCTCGAAGTAATAAAGAAGGCCGGTGCCCGATTTTGAGTAGCTTGGTTGCCCATCATCCACTCCAACCGCAATACTTTGACTCGTTCCGCGCCAAAACAAAAACAACTTATTTTGCTCTTTGATATTCCAGATCTACCCTTTCCGTTACCGATCAGACGCATAAACCTCGCCACAATGTACAGAAGAACCTTCTTTCTGTTTGCGGTTCTTCTCTTAGCGGTTGCTGCCATTCCAATCACTTCTATCCGGGTATGTCGCATTTTTGCCAACTGAATGAGTGATCAAAGACCACTAACAATGACGCAGGATATCAGCCTAAGCATAGTACATGAAGCCCTACCACCTCGGTCCATCCAAGTAGTGAACGAATCAAGCTCCGAAGTCGATGAGCTATCGCAGAATGATAGTGACTCCAAGAGCCAGAAGCGGCAGGGCAGCCAGCCTGGAGGCACTACCGGGTACAAACGGCAAGGCAGCCAGCCTGGAGGCACTACTGGGTACAAACGACAGGGCAGCCAACCTGGAGGCACTATTGGGTACAAACGACAGGGCAGCCAGCCTGGAGGCACTACCGGGTACAAACGACAGGGCAGCCAACCTGGAGGCACTACCGGGTACAAAAATTGAGTTTCTATGACGCTCGGGCGGTCTTGTGTTCGTGTATCGCGTTGTGTCAAACGAAGTACGACGACGGTTTTCTTACTCCTTTTCTTGTAATATCTCTTTTACAGTTTCATTTTAGCCTGGTTGGTCCTATTCCTTCCTTTCTTCCTTTCATGTTTCATATACCTTCTTGATTCATACCCATCCAGGTGGTGGTTCAGTTCGTCCAGTCTTGGGTGTTATTGGAGAAAACAAATTCCCTGAGGCCCGCCAGCCTTTCTTTGGTAGCAATTTAACTTTCAGATGCTTGGCTTTCGCTCTTGGTGTACCCTCGCCATCGGATGCATTGATCTTTCTCTGCATATCATCCGGAAGGCCATAAAGAAGTGTAGCGATCGCTGAAGTCTTCCAAACACCGACTTCATCTTTCTCCTTTGTTGTTTTCACAATCGTTGCTACCAAGAATATTGCTGTGAGAAGGAGAAGGCCTAGCGGTAATGAGAGCCATTCCCAGCGAACTGCAACGTAGCTCTCTTTATCGTATGCATCACCGTAAATCAATACCTTGCTTGACGATGAACGAATGGCATTAGTCATAGCAGAAGCTAGCCTTCCAAAATGGTTGCTCATGTCATTCGTCAGCCATGGATCGAATTCAAGAGTCCTAGTGGAAACTAGTGAAAGATAGTTTTTGAAACGCATGAGAGGTGTGCTGCTTGAGTTGGCTACTGTAATCCAAGAAGGGAAGATGTCATCGAAGATCGCAACAGTGTACCGATGCGCAATGTTTGGAACTCCAAAGACGTCGGTGCTATTATATCCCTTCGCTGCAGGGTCGATGAGAGGATCCTCCAGGTAATACATAGCTGTTCCAATGGCAGTTGTCTCAGATCTCCATGGAAATGGTCCTTGGCTGTTGTTGTGCACCGTGCGTACGACGGTCTCTTCATAAGCGCCATAAGCGTATGAAGACTTCATAGTTTGGACACACCAAGAAATCACGCACTCGTGAGCTAAGGGCCGCTCATTGCGACGTACACTATCAACTGTTCCGTCTTTTGCTCTGACCACTATAATGTCCATAACAGGATTGCGTATATCTTTGAAGTTGATTGATCCATTTCCGTACATGGGTTCTTTCGTTGAGAGATTGATCAGTGGTAATGACCGCATGAGAAGAGTCTCGTTAGCCCATGGCTTTCCAACATCGAGACTATATCCTGACATCATCGTGTTGTTCAAAAAGTATCCGCACATGGTTCCGTTTGGGAAGACTGCCGAGGCCCCGCCGGTGAGATTCCCAATCCAGTCAACAGTGGTATTCAGACATTTGAACGATAGCATGTCGGAAACATCAGCGCACTGACTACATACAGCAAGCGAGTCGTACTCGGGATATGTGCAGTTGCTGGTCGGACACGAGAGAGGGATTTCAGGACGCGTTCCATTTCCGAGCAGCATTGGTTGTGTGCCATTGTCGTAAAAGAATTTTTCGGCGACTGCTCTTACATCGAGATCTTGCCGACCTAGTTCTAATGAATTCCTGTACTCGATACCAAACTTTGGCTCATATCGAACTACTCGCGGAATAGAACTGACCGTTTGTAAAGTCCACCGTTCGGGGAAATCGACAACCTGCTGGAAGAATGGATCGAGTGCTAAACAGCATAGCGTAACTAGAGCTCCAAGAGCTGCGAGCGCTTTGCCTTTAGTCCGGATAAGAAGTAGAAAAGAACCCCACGGTCCTCTTGATGCATTGTCGAAGATCTCGAAATCCCACATTCTTTTTGAGTCACCTCTGAACCAGCTCCATTTCAGCTGCCCCAACCCTTCTGAAATTGGCAAGATTAGAGCTGCACCTGAGATCTTCGACAACACGGCGATAAAGGTATTCAAAGTGAGCCCACTTATCCAGCGTGGCGGCTTCTGCTCGCGGTAACGGATCAAAGTGCCGACAATGATGGCCATACATATGGCACTAACCCACCAACTGATTATTTCGAGGAGCCATCTCTTGATTACATTCCCAGATGAACTATATCGCCATAGTTTTCGCTCGATCCTCTGAGCAAGATTCTCGGGAGGTTCGGCGTTGTCGTCGACAGGGGATATTGACAGATTCGATACGGAAGGAAAAGAGTGTCGTACGGTTTCTGTCGGGGCAGCGCGTATGCCCAATCCCTCTGCTTCTCCTGAGTTCGGAACCTTGGCACTACCGCAGTCTTTCTTTGGTGGTAACGGTTTCTCGAGCTGAATGCGTGGTCTCGCAGTGGGGAAAAATCGCAGCGCGACGCGTTGAGAGGGTTGCAGGGTAACTTCCGGTGGGGGCGGTAGATGAGGTTCAGGAATGGGCCAGATAGGAGAGATATTTGTGAATTGGGTAGCAGGAGAAACAGGAGAAACATTCGTTGAGACATTTGTGAACTGAGTAGAGGCGGCTGCAAGGTAATGGATAGAAGATTGCTTCTGCGCAAATCGTCCTGGTCCAGACAGTATGGGTGAGATTGAGCGATAAGACCGAGCAGTGCCGATATCATCGGTAGTCTCAAGATAGATGGGGATGTGAGGGTACGGAGGCCATTGCTGCGGCTTCTGTGCTTTCGCCATTATGTGATTCCGGTATGTTGGGTGAAATTAAGGCACTCGTCAAGAGGCAGTGAAAACCAGCTTCACTTCACGAAAGAGTGACCGTTAAACGTCCCTGTTCCGTTGAGTAGCAAGCAATATTTGAGAATTGCAAATCAAAGCATTGGAAATTGATTAGGTGTGAATATTGGGGTGGAATGTCAGATGAGGGAAAATGAATGTGGAAACCTCCAAGGTGCTATTATCAGTGCATTCGTCTGGAATCGGTACACGGCGTAGTTCGTAATTGACTTTGCAGTCATCAAACACTTTCCATGCTGGGGCAGTGCTAGTTGCCTTCTGGAGAAGGGAGCATCCGAAGAAGCTCTCCAGTCATAGCAGAGTGTAAGCGCGGCCGCCGATCGTACGACCCGAAAACACATGCCAAGGGGGGAGGCTCAACATCGACTTCCAACTTTACGACTACAATATAGTCATTGAGTGGTTTCTAGCCACATTCTGATAGGACTTGAGCCCTACAGAAGTTGAGTATAAGCGCTGAAAGACCAACGGATGGGGCCCGAGCTGTAGCCGCTGAAGGTATTTGCATATAATTAGGCTCCGCCCCGATCCTGCATCGGAACAATACGACGCGTGCGGCGCGGTCCTCCAGTAGGCGGTTGCTGTGGAGGGGTCGAAACCGAATGTTTGTTAGAAGCTGAGCTCACCGTATTACCCGATTTTGTGTTCCTCGAATGCTGCCATCACTTGCGGAATCATGATAGTAGATGATGAGCTATTGGGTTGGTGTTGGTTACATGGAACGCGTGTTGAGCAAGTACAGGGCAGGCTACCTTTGCCAAGATCGATAAGCTAGGCGAGACGCTAATTTTGTCTCTCGGTGTGTTACCTATCGATACGATATTACACTATTACTGTTCGCCAGGTCTAAAAATGCCCCTAAATCATCGCTGCTCGCCCACCTACAAATGACAAGTACTTGTAGCATCAGATCCTACAGACATGTGAGACAACTAGAGCCGCTGCTGTGAATGGACCAGTGTCTGTGACCTGTGGCACGGTCGTTCTTTCACCCAGCGGCATTGTAGTGTTTCTACTCGACATACTGTTTCAACTGTTTCCAGCCACACCCGATCTCCCATGTCGATCTTTTACCGCCCAAGAGTGGCACGGAGAAAGGTTTTCGCCGTGTTCGTCATCAGGATCATGCAAACACGAACATGACCGCTAAAGCCACATGCCGAGCAGTATAGTGCGCTTGAGCGATTAATCGCCGGCCATGTGGCGTGGACAGCATTTGTATTCGTTAGTGTTTGAGATTGACAGATAGATAAGTGCATTCTTTGAATGAGATTCTTACTCGCCATAATTCAGGACCACAGACACCCACCAGAGAAGTGTGTCGTTCAATCGCGTTCGATCACCCTGATTTCAGCTTGCACATCTTGCAACTTGCTCGCAGCCAACCCAACGAATCTTAGATCAAATTTATGCTAAAGTAGCTCTGCCCTCAAAAACTAGATTTGGGTCTCTTCTGTGGTCTTCTGACTGGCGGCGTTCTTCACACATAGCTACCTAGGTATGTATGTGCCAAGTCCTAGCCATCGCCGTTGGGCCTACACGCGCAAACAGATTACTGTCAATGTTGGTAACGAAAGAGTTCTTTGCTTTTATTTTCGTTCAATATACAAGTTTTCGTATCAATCTGTTGTCCTGAGTCTACAATATGGTTACTCGCTTTGTCAAGAGATCTGCGTCGTGTCTTCACTATACGGAAACTCTCTACGCACCATAGATGATTTCCACCACGTCACATTCGTTATGTCTTTGAGACACTACAAACTATTCTTTACATGTATACTCCAAACAAATTTTTGATATGCATCTGGTTTCCCAATTGATCGACGGATGAAACTCTACGTCTTTCCAGCCGCTTGCTGTGCCGCAGCGCCAACTGAAAATCCTTCACTAACCCAAAGTAGCCACAACAGCGCGTACGCTTGCATTCAGATGGACTATGCATTCTTTTCACGCTCGAATATCGGATTCTTGCCGCCAAAAGTATCGATCATTTCGCAACGGGCCATACTTCCGGGATGGACTTGCGATCAGGTTGCTTTTCCTCGGCAGCGGTTGTATCACGGGCGTCAGTAAGGAAGAACATACAGCGAGGCGTGTCCTAGTCACTGTTGGTCAGTCAAAATCCTTTGAACAAACATACACCTCACTCGTACAAATTCCGTGACATGCGCGTAGTTTCAAGGCGCAATGTCTCAATCTTCGCCGATACATTTGTTTGACCACAGCCACCCACGGCCTTTCCCACCACCTTCTTACAACGCAGAGCCCCACCAAACGAAATCCTCGCTTGACATTACGCAAAGACTGGAACGTAATCTTGCCCATCTCAATGCGTCGAACAATGTTTACAAGAGATGGTCTTATGAGATTATCAGTTGGTCAATCAGTGCGATTTGCATGGCTGCAATAGTTGGGATCCTAGCATATTGTAGCAATAAGGCTTTAGTGCTGTCGTCGTTGCATCTTACATCAATATCGGTACTCTCGAAACTTACTTCGGCTGCGTTGATCCTACCTACGTCTGAAGCTCTTGGGCAGTTGAAGTGGAGTTGGTTCAATGGAAAGAAGTCTAAAGAGATCTGGGATTTTGAAATTTTCGACAAAGCTTCGCGAGGACCTTGGGGTTCAATAATGCTCTTACTGCGTACTAAGGGCCGATCACTAGCTGCTCTAGGGGCTGTACTTACTGTGCTCTTGCTTGCAAACGATACCTTTTTCCAACAAGTGGTAGACCTTCCTGAACGGTGGGTACTACAGGGGAAAGGCTCGATCGCGAAAGTCGTGCGTTACGATCCAGATTCCCTGGTGGAATTAAGGGATCAGGTCCGGTATCTACAGCAGGAACAATACGTGCGACCTCTGCTCCAGCAATTCTTTTATAACAACGGTACGAGAACCTACCAAGTAAGCGTATATTTTTGCACAGATCACTGATTGATATCCCGAAATTAGGCACCCAGCCGGTGGCCATGGGCAGCAGTACGCGACCCGAAGTTCCTGTTGCATGCCCTACGAGCAATTGCACTTTCCCCGACTTCCATACTCTGGGTACGTTTTCCAGAACAAAAAATAATCGAACATACCACATTGCATCACGTCGTGAGATTTGATTACCCTACCAAAATCTCTAATTGGACTTTGCTTATTTTTTTTCACTATAGGCGTGTGTAGTAGATGTACCGATATCTCGGATATACTGGAATATGATTGCAAATCACGACCGCTGGACTGGATAGGAAATCTGACGCTCTATGAATCAAAGGAAGGCCAACCACTGTACCCCAACGGCACAGTATGTGGCTACTTCGTAAATTCAACAAGCGATTCTGCCACCCTTATGTCAGGATACACTACCACAGCTATGAATTCATCACAAGGAAGCGCGCCAGCTGGTGAGGCTCTTCTACTACGGATGATGCCACTTACCACGACGTTTACACGGAATCTATTATGGGGCGGAGCCCTGAAGTTCAAGGATCTACGCAACCCAATCCTAGATGCCTTGATAGTTGCCGCCGAAGACGGATACTCTGGAGTTCGCAGGGGCGAGCCGCCTATCGCAAAAGAATGTGCATTGACTTGGTGCATCAAGCGCATAAGATCATCATATCACTATGCTACCCTCGAAGAGGAGGTCGTGTCTGTTGTCTCGAACTCAACTCCTGGCCAAAACCCGTGGTGGTTCGATATGAGTGGTTCCGATGACTCATACGCTATGGTTGGTTACTTCGAGGACGTGAACATTGACCTTCCGGCAGAGAATCAGACTTATGGGACGTCCAACGAAACGCATAATCGGATCTTGAACAATTTCGACGATATCTTTCCTTCTTTCATGACCGCAGTGAGTGACACGGAGAAGCCCAATTGGAGAGTAAAGGCATGGTTATACAACCACCAGTATCACCGCCCAGTTAAACAAAACCCGTGGATCCCGCCCCAAAACATCACGATATACATGGAACGCATGGCAACCGCCTTGACCAACGCATTACGATCATCATCTTCCAGTGATATGGTTGAAGGCCCAGCTTACGCTATTGAGACGTATGTCCATGTTAAATGGGCGTGGCTGACGTTCCCATTCCTCATATTATTACTCAGTCTCATATTTCTCGTGGCCACCATACGCAAAACAGCTACTGGACTAGGGATTTGGAAAACCTCGACTATGCCGACTTTGCTATACGGTCTACCTAAAGACATGCAGAAGGATTTCACGCCATCATTCACACAGACAAGTGCAAAATCATCACTTGAAGAACCAAAACATGTCAGGATTCGATTACATCCGGAGAAAGGTTGGCGAGTCTCGGGGCAGCCAGTTAGCCCCCGTTCGCCAGCCGTGATATTCAGATCTAATCAACCTCCGCCGGGATGGATCTGAATGATTCCCTTGGAAATATTTGGACTAAAGATGAAGGCAAGAATTGCTTTGTGTCTTCGGTCTGTGAGAATACTTTCTTTCCCATCAACACTCGTAATCCAATACTCGAAGCAGCAATAATTGTCTGGACATCACGTGTTTTACACTGACAAAGTTGCGCATGCCGGTCTGCGCTTTTTTTCTTACTGTATCCTTTTATATGCCAGAGAGAATGTAAATAACAAACATTTATGAATCCAAAAGCAAATAGAATTTTTCTTAAGCCAAGCAGATTTGTTGACCATACCGGGCGTGCAATCAGTGATCTTGACCTTGCATTGCTCTCCACCATTTCGACTGCTGCTCCACCTTACCCTGCTCTTCGATCAACCATCCCCATTTATGTCGGAACCATGGTCGGACCTCCCAGCTTCTTCTGTCCCAAGGCAACCCTTCTTCTCTAGCCCGAGATCTCCAACATACCATACCGCCGAGCAGTATATCTTGCTTCAACTCATGCCATTGGAAAGGCGGCGGATTTCGTGCACTGAGTGTGATGATACGTTCCCTAATCCAAGGGAACGGTATCGTATCCCAGAAAGGATGGTGCGCGATGGTCAATTGAGCCGGTGTGGGTTTAAGATCAGGCGGAACTCCATCGAGCTGAAGGAGCTCCGCTCCAGGCGCGTACATTGGAGAGTACCAAGGTGATCTGCAGGTCGGTAGCGCCATTTCCTCGAACGCGAGGCCGATTTGTCGACAGTTGTGATAGAAGCACTCCAGTGGCGCTTGACGACGGAGTAGGATGCCGTTGAGTAGAGGGTCCGGCATGATGGATGTGCCGATATTTTGAGAGATTGCGGGTGGCCATAGTTCGGGACGCCAATCCACTCCGTCTTGGGTGAAAGGCTGAATTGATGTACGCTCGCTCTCTGCTTTGAGTGCTCGTAAGCCAGCGATGATGACTTTGCTCACGTCGAATTGCTCTCGTAATGCGAACCGCATCAAAGACTCCGCGTCATTCTCACTGTCGGCAGCAAGCAATCGCATCAATACAGTCATATTCGAGTTTTGGGAAGTTTCATTAGATCCCGATTCGGGCAATATGGCGGTACTGCTCGCTGTACCAGTGTTTGATGCAATGTTCCCAGAAGGTGTAATGTTGTTCCGAATTTCTTCTGTGTTATTCCCGTGTGGACCCCCTTCATCCTGCTCCCTCTCCTGGGTCTTCTCTCTCAATGCGCTGACTTGTTCCTCTAGATGGGCCACTTGTTGTTTGCGTTTTGCTCCTACGAAATACAGTTGAGAAGTTTGGTCTGAACGTGCAATATACCAGACTACGTACGATATTTTCTTTGTGCAGCACGATTTTGGTCGCGGCGCTTATCCGTCATGTTCCTTTTGTATGGGGCCTTTGGCTGACTGGTATTCATGATGGGTTTTGGGTTGTCGCGAAGATGCAGGATAAGCCAAATACTAGTGATTATCTGAGAGTAGAAGGAGAAAATATCTAGGAGAGTATGCAGCGACTGTGTCTTAGAAGGAGACTTTGCTTGACTTGAGCGGTGTCGGATCGGCTGATTTGACTTTTGGCTCGCGTAAGCCAACATCCGGATCCGGGAAGGTCGAGTATTACGGGAAGTACCAGTCGGGCCAACCTTTTAGGATCTAAATGTAATCATAACGGGAGTGAAGAATTGAAAGAGTGATTGCAAGATGAAGCCGAGAGCATATAAATTAGGGCCGTCGTGTGCAAAACAAATGTCAACACAATTATCCAGCATACTTCTACCACTCAATTCGAGAGCATATAAATTATCATGTCGACCAATAAAGCAGCATTCCTAAAGTCTCTAAAGACACCATTCTCGGTTGATGATGCGCCTCTTCATTCACCTGGACCCCATGAAATCCTGATTCGCAATCGTGCCATTGCAGTCAATCCGATAGACTACAAACAACAAGATATTGGCTTCTTCATCAAGTCCTATCCTTGGGTAAGATCATGTCCAATTTGAGCTCCAACACATGCTAAGTATTATGTAAAGATTTTGGGTATGGATGTTGCCGGCATAGTTGAGGAAGTTGGTGCCGATATCACGACGTTCAAAAAGGGAGATCGTGTCGCGGCTCTCGCGCCTGGTATGCCGACTGGAAACCAAGCATACGCTGCTTTCCAACTATATACGGTAGTTCCAGCCTCAGTTGCATCCAAGATTCCGGACCGTATCGCATTTACCGATGCCGCGGTGTTGCCTTTGGGACTCACCACTGTTTGTTGGGGCCTTTTCGGGGAAGGATATCTTGAACTCGATCCTCCCAGTGCTTCAGGCACACCTTCGACGAAAAACAATAATAAAGTAGTTCTTGTATGGGGTGGATCTAGCAGTGTAGGATCATGCGCCTTGCAGCTTCTCTCCGCTGGTGGCTATACCATCTTGACAACTGCTTCAGCGAAGAACTTCGACTTTGTCAAGGAACTTGGTGCCACTCAGGTTTTCGATCATCATGATCCCGACATTGTCAAGAAACTAGTCGACGCTGCACGCGGCAAAGAGATACTCGGCGCATATGATACTATCTCTACGGCCCAAACAGTCCGCGCGTGCGGCGAATATCTGCATGAGCTTGGCGGAGGAAGATTCACTAAGGTAGACCGAACTGTCGATGCCTCAGATCTACCAGCAAGCGTCACTGTCACGGAAAATCAACCGCCGGGTTTACGCGGTCCTGATGGAGGTTTGGCCTCATGGAATCGCTTGTGGCGTGAGTTCATGGGCGAAGGGTTAGAAAACGGCAAACTGAAGACTAAACCCAATGCCTTTGTGCTGAAAGGTGGTTTGGAGAAACTCAATGAGGCTGTAGATCTTGTGAGGCAGGGGGTTTCGGCGAAGAAGGTCGTGGTTCAAGTGGTGGACGGGTCATGATCCGAATCCAAGTTGACCGCTATGGTACCCGACCATGTTCAACAGGTCTTGGGATCTTTGTGTATGCTCTAGCACATGAGCATTCAGTCCCTGCAATCTAGGATTATAAGAACAATAAACTGCGATTGAAATGTGCATGCAATAATAAATCATGGTCCATATTGCGTTCAGTAAACCGATATTAAAAAATTCGAATGGAGGCATGCTCTTCGAATTTTTAAAATACCAATGACTTTTGCACGAGTTGTACTCAGTACATAAAGTATAAGCAATTGGGTGAGCCCGCGGGTGTGCAATGAAGTATGCGCAAATTTTCACACCATATGATTTCTCTCCAGGACGATAAGATGGACGGATGGCAGTATCTCAATCCAGCGACACACGATACAGGCCAAACTTGAAGACATTTAGAGCAAGCAAAGCCGATCACGTGGCTAGCGCGGTTGATTAGTCACCATGTGATTGCACGTGTCACACCCAAACTACCGTCTCTCCTCTTCACGCCAACTCTTGACAATCCTCAAAATCGCAGTGTGTCGCTAAACAGCTAGGAACGCACTTTGCCCACGACTCTGTCCCCTACACCACAAGCTGTTCGAACAGCGGTGCTTTGTGGCAGAAATCGAGGCAAAAACGACAACTCCAAGATTCCCATAGCAGACTGCCACAAAGAAAATTCTCTGTATCGAACGGTAGGTACGATGGCTACACGCTCAGACGCGTCAGCTATTTTGCGAAGAGGTCAGAGTCGAGTTGATCGGCCTGGCTTGACACTACGCAGCAAGCAGACTGCAGCAAGTGGCACCTCATATCCAGACTGACATCCTATTGCCGTCGCCTTCGTCTCGGTACTCAGATGAAGACGTGAACCGCGTCAAAGAAAGTCCAAGCAGACTGTGCTTGGACTTCACAAATGGTAACGTATCTGACTAACACCCCGTGTACTAGAGGTTTTCCATCTTCGCCTGCAACAACAGACACTTCTCAAGGTCTTCACCGCCAACAACATTGACAACGTGCTTTCTTACTCTTCTTTGCGAAGACCTAGATCTAGTTCTGTGCCGAGCGGCGACTTGTCTATCCGTGCTGTCGACTGCATTCTAGAAGCCACCCCACGATTGTACAAAGAAACCGCCACCACAAAGGCCGTCTATGAAAGCATCACAGCCCTAAACGCATCGGGTTATTATATTGTCTCTCACCCAACAAGTCGAGTCGCCTTGTCACACGCCGACTTGTACAAACTCACCTCCGTTCATCACAGGATTCCATCGGGTGCAGCTGCAGGAGGACGTCAAACTTACCTCGGACTGCACAAATCTCTCAATCGTATTCTGTAGCGAGTGATCTTTCATATCAAGTCGAATTTTCTCTTCATTCACGGCTGCAAACGGCAAGACTATGGCTCCATTGGAACTTATGCATCAGCTGGCAAAGCGCGACGATGACGGACCGAGGAAGGCGACTATGAGTAGACCAGACTTGACGCTCGAAGCATGGGCTCAAGGTTTCAACGTGGGAAGTTTGATCATTCTCATCCTCATTGTCTTCTGTAACTATCGAGGTGGAATCTGGCTTCACAAACTGATTCTGCTGGAGGTAAGCCTTTGTGCACTATTGACAAGATGATACACATGTCTGATGAACGCACCTTAGCTTGTCCTCGCTCTCTGGCACGGCACGTTCATCTTCTTTTCGGACCCTTCGTATGGATGGTACTTGTCCGTCACCGCGACTCTACTCTTCATATCATACCAAATCCACAATGTCGTTTCCTGGTTGAAGATCCGGCCTTTCCTTCCGCGCTGGGGTTCCATCCTCTTCATCTCTTCTCTCATGTTCGTACAGCCCTTCTGGGTCGTGGAAGCCTGGTCCAACTTCGAATACTTCAACCACCTAGGCTCCAAAGCCAACATCCGTATTCGACCTTGGGAAGCGTTGCTACGTGATCCATGGTGGATCTTCACAACAATATGGTTGATCCGCGCGATCCAGAAGTCGTACCAGTTCACTTTGAAAGCATTGGTGAAACTCAACAGGAGGTTCGGCGTATTGCTCGCAAGCATGTTCCTCTCCATTATCTTCCTGGTCACGGACATTGCGGTCAGCGCAGCTCGCGTTACTGCGTCATCCGGTATCAACCCGTTCTGGCGTTTCGCCCTCGTCTTCAAGTGCGCATCCGATGTGATCTTCCTCGACGATTTCAAGACTGTACTCGATGAGATCGTGGCTCACAGGTTCGGCGGTATGACTGGCGGCTCGCGCCATCGTGCGCAGATGTCTCAAAATCGGAGTGTCAACAATCATAGCAATCTCGCCAGCCAACTTCGCAGCGGCCACCACCCTAACTTGGACCATTTCCCTGGTGCAAGTGGTCCTGCTGACAAGGGCAAAATTCCTCCGCAGGATCGGGAAACCGGCTTCGAGACGCTTGTGTCGTCTGGTGCGCCTAAGCGACCGTCTGTCGTCAGGTGGCTAGATCCATTCAAGCATCGTCATGATCGCAACAAACCCAAGCCTGCTACTGCTCAAGATGACAACCAGATCCAGCACACCACAGAAATGTCCACGAGGAGTGAGGTTTGGGACGAGACGATGGGTTCTCCGAGTGGCCAGCAGCCCCGGGTCGCCCCACCACCTCCTCCACCACCACCTGCTGTACTGGCAAGTCGCACGGCGCAGGGTACCAAGACCGCATCGCCCCGTGCCAGCAGGATGGCGTAGAGGTGGTTAGTGGCATATGCTTTCATTCATGGGGTTAAAGAAGGGTGGTTACATGTCGGACTCCAGTTAGTTCGCTCTTTTCGTTTCCATAGGCGAAGTATGGCGTATGGGGGATCAATAAGTAGGCGTTCAGGATGGCGGGACAGGGATTTCCTTCTGAGGATACCAAATACTGTTTGATTTCGAGCAGCAATTCATACGAAGGGGTACAACTCTTTCGTACTAATGCGTCAGATGACGGCTTGTATGTCAGTTTCCCTCTGTTTAGAGGATGATAATATACACATCACCATCGTACACATACGATGAGAATGTTCTTCTACTGGCTATCCAATACCTTCTTCGCTCCATCCACAATTCTCTTCACCTCCGAATGCCCCCTCTTTACCACGTCTTCCATCGACTTCGTAGCCTTCTGGAAATCATCTGGTAGTATAGACTTATCCAGACTCATTTTCCTTAGTTCTTTGTTATGATTCTGTCGAGCACTCTGGATGGATCTCTCCGCCTCCATCGCTGCTTTCGACGCGCGGTCTACGGCTGCGCGGCGCGTTTCGCCCGTGGGCGGGGGCATGGGAACTTGAATTGTAAGGGGATTCGAGGATTCGGGGGCGAGTGGAGTGAGGGAGTGTGGCGATGATGCGATAGCGCTCGAAATAGGTTTGATGTGCTGGCAGTCAGACATTAGCAAGCTAACTTCTTCGTATGCTAACCTTGCCTCCAACCTGTGTAGAGAGGAGGGGGAGGCAGGTGGTATTTTAGCATACCTCAGCCTCTCCGCAGATAACATTCAGTACTCTCCCGCGAGGTACCACCTGTGCGAGATCACCTAATCGCACAGTTTCCTTGCCTGTGCCTTCTTTCCCTGCGACACCCAATTGTACCTTCAAGCCCTCTACCACCTCCGGGTTCAACCGCCCACCCGCACGCAATTGGGAGAGATCATGGGTCAGCTTTTCGATCGCTTTGAGGATTTGGGATTCGAGGTGCGAGAGGTCGAAAGCGGTATCGACAGAGGTAGGCGCGCCGCGTTTGCCTACGGGAGGCGATGAATCGGAGCGCGCTTGAGCTTTATTGGCTTTTCCAGCTTTCTTTTGGAGGGATTGGGATGTAGAGAAGGGCTGGTATGCTGGTGGGGAGCTTTGAGGGGTGCGTGTGTACGCGATGCTTTTGAATGGTGTGAGCGAGCTAGCTGTCGGAAACGTCAATTGGAGGGAAAAGAGCTTACAGATTGCGGCAGGGAGACAAAATTGCTCTCGTACTCCCTGATATAGCGGATTGAGAAGTTATGCGTATAGCTGCACGTGGTAAAGCCATGTTGAGTGTAGTTGTGTGGTCACTGGATGAGATTCGATGGCTGTAACAGATTGGAGAGCTCGTAGTGCACAGACCCAAGTTCAAAGTTCATAGTCCCACGTGGACGTCATCGCATTCTGTATGTCATTACACGCGAGAACGCATCAAAATTAAGAATACCAAGATTGTCAATTTCAACAAATAGTTGAATAATGAAGTGACTTTTTAGTTAATTCGTACAGAGTGGACAACAAAGAAAACCTCGTAGAACCCGAATCGACAATCACTCACCACCGTCGCCGCCGCCGCCACTACCATCAGCACCCTCGCCATCTCCCAGTACTAACCACTTGTACGCAAACGCTCGCTTTTGTTTCTCCGATTCAATCATGCACATCGCTGTAGCCACTATGATCTGGTACAAATCAGAGCTTTTCACATTCTTTCCTCTTTCTTCTTCCAGTTCCGAGTCGCTGAGCTTCATGGTAGATAGGTTGATCTGATCCTGCAACTTCCAAATCGCACGATCAAACAGTTCAAGGTGACCAAACTTTTTGAACGTGACAGACGAGGTGTACTTCCCTAAGCAAATGGGCAGACTCATTTCTTGTCCGGTCATTGTGGCAGGAAGCTGTGCTTCGAGTTTGAGATGACCGTATCTCACAAAGACGCCACGAAATCCCGGCTTGTCAACCGATTTAGTGCCTTTCCAGCGGAATTCCACACCAGCGTAGTTGAAGTCGTATTGGCGTGTCTTCAGCGACAGAGGACTTTTCCACTTCAGATACACAACTCCCTCAGCTCTGGCACCCTGGAGTCCCGGGTTGATAGTGTGGATGGAAACATCAGGGTCCTGGCCGGTCCCATTCTGACGGTTCATTTTGACTCGGGCATCGTAGTTCTTGCCTGAGTCACCTGGCACATGCCAGTTACCGACTTTGTATCCTTTGAGTTTCCTATCGTCACGCTTTCGATCTGCTCGGGTACCCCCGTCGTGCCTCCATTTCACCAACCCTCTTGGGTCCACTGCACCAGATGCTGCGAGGCTGTTGCCGTATTGGAGCTTGTACTCGCACCAGAATGCGCTTGAGTGTATCAGAACTTTCGGCTTCCCTTTTCTGTCTTCACCAGCATAGAGCACTCTGGGTGGGCGATGAAAAGCCAAATGTGGTCTATGAACGTAGAACGGGCAGTCGTCATAGTTCCGGTTCGTATTTCGGGGTGTTCTCGAGAAGCTACTCTCTTGAGCAAGATTGATATCTGTTTGTATCCGTTTATGATGTATTCGGTATGGATATATGTTGTATATGGTTGGATCCGCACCCGTATTCGGTCCAGCATAGTCAGGCATTGTATCGTTTGAATGTCGTTTCGTTCACTCAATGAGATATTGAAGTCTAATTTCATAGAAAAGAGACTTACTTCCATCTCGTTTTTATATATCAACTCTTTCATGTTACAAAAACTGGAAATAGGGGTTCGTCCTGCTATAGGAGAAGGCGGAGCACGATGCTTGCATTCGCCAAAATAACACAGCCTCTCCAGAGCACCTCGCATACTTGATCTCTTCCCGCCTATGGTTACCATCTCATCGACTGCGAAGACCGACTGCGCCTTGACGAAGGATGGCAATCAGATCCTGACGCTCCATCAGGGCCATCACATTCCGCTCAGTGGAATTGTGGGAATCTGGAAATAAATGCGCACCGCAACTAATCAGGCTACAAGACATTTTCAAATTGTCTGGGTCGGGTTTCGAGTAAGCCCATGCGAGTGGTGAAACATTCAAGTAGAACACTCGTACGGTACGGTACCTATTGCGCGCGGGACTAGTTCCGCTCTTGGCACTCTTACACGGGCGCCATAGCTTAGTGATGACGCTCGAGATTGACTTCGCCGTGCACCTGGTGGCCAATTTCACCAACCATCAACTGCTTGTCCACCCGAACTTCCTACATGCCCACATCTACCGCTTCATTTTCGCTTCCCTGTACTCGCTGTTTATCAGCGAAACGTCTGAGTAAGTGCCGTTCCGGTACACATTCGCATGATAAGATAGTGCGTGGGGCGACGTTCCGTCGAGACATTCTTGGATGAGCTATACTAACAGGGTTCTTTCAATTGTAGAGACAAGCTCGATTCAACTTCACCGCGTTGTTCCTGTTCGTCGATATGCGAACTCTTCAGCTCAACGAACGGACGAGGATAAGGAGGAAGCCTTGAAGGATAGTGGAGAGGATCAGAAAGATGAAGGAGCCATGTCACGCCGTCTCCGCGACATGAGCGAAGCAGCTCTCGAAACTGGCGGTCGCAGCGCACAGAGTACAGTCTCTTCAGCTGGCTTCAGCGAAGAACTCAAAAAACAGCTTGAAGAACGCATAGCCTCCGCAAACTTTCGCGCCGAGAATCGAAATGCTTTCGTAGAAGCCGAGTTGCCATCGACCGCAAGCCGACACACCCGCGATCTTGCCACTGCGACACCTTGGTCCGGTACAGAGTCTATACACGATGCGAGTCTTCGGATGCTGAACGACTCACACAAGCCTATGAAAGTGCGCACACCAGGGCCATCAGCCCAGCTCCCCCGCTCAATTGACACGGGACGGAGTAAAAGAGCTACGGGCGTTCGCCTGGCTGATGCCAGAGACAGGAGCGGGCTATATAGCAGTCTCAAAGATTCAGAAATCGATGAACAAGAGAAGCAAAAGAGATTTCAACAACTCAAAGATCGCTTCCAACCACACGGCCGTTCCGTCACTCCCGCTACAGTGCAAGGTCTTGCCTCTTTGGCCAACGAACGCATCGAAGACGCCATTGCACGAGGGCAATTTAAGAATTTGCCAAATCGCGGCAAAGTCGTCGAGCGTGACTACAACGCCTCAAATCCGTTTCTTGACACAACCGAGTACTTCATGAACAAGATAATACAGAAGCAGGATATTGTGCCGCCCTGGATTGAGAAACAACAGGAGCTTGTGGCAACTGCAAGCAAATTCAGAAGTAGGCTGCGGGCAGATTGGAAACGACACGCAGCAAGGGTGATTGCAAGCAAAGGGGGGACGCTTCAGGAGCAAATGAAAAAAGCCGAGGCATACGCAAAAGCAGAATTGATTGTTAATCCTCAAAAGAAGAAGAAAGAGATCCTTAATGCCGTTGATGATGACGGGCGCGTATCCCAAATTTCCCTATCAGGCGAGCTCAAGATATCATCTCCTGAATCATCAGATACGACCATCGCAGAAGAAATCGTTGCGGAACGCACTTCACTCCGCAGCGATACTCACACCGATGAGTTTTCAACTGATTCAAGCAACACCCCAGCTCAGATTATACAAGTTCCTCTCAACGACGGCTCTGCATCCACACCACCAGCCGCTTACCCCTTCCGCGATCCGGATTGGGAAAAATTGGAGTCCGCCTATCATGAGCTCGCGATCAATGATCTGAATACAAAAACCCGATCTTACAACCTGCAAGCCCCAGATCTAGCCAAGAAACCCTATTTTTCACTCACACGCGAGCTTAACGCGTGCTATTCCGACGTTGCGCCCCAACTTGCAGAAGCTATCAAGGACCGAGCGACGAAGCCGATTCGGAAGGTCGAGGGTTTCGGTCAAAGTCTTGCAGGCGGCAACGGCGGGGTAATGGACCGGCTTGTAGGCGAGAAAGTCAGGGTACGGGACGAGAGAGTTGGCCGGCAGTACGGATTCAAACAGTTTTGGCAGGATGTCTGGGGCGCGGGGAAGAATACGGCGTAAAAAATTTTTATCTTGCTGCCTAGCCATCAACGCAATATTGTACGACAAACGTGTAACATTTTCTTCTTCTCGACCGGAAAAACTGTAATGTTGTATCAAGTTGTCTCTTTCTCGACAACATACGTTGCTAAATATCCTCAGTAATATTTTCACGGCTACGTCTATGCCCCGCCAGGGTCCAACATAATACCTAAGAGAAGCAGATTACAAAGAGAGGGATGAAAAAAAAGCACATATACGATCCACCCTCCCCCAGCCCAAACTAGGCATATACATCAAGCACCCCATCCTTGCACACACAACACCCTTGCATACACACATACACGTATACAAACACATGATACCCATGTAAAGCGAGACCGATGCCGTCCGGTCTAATGACGAGCATTAGCCTCGATCACGATGCATATTCATCTATCAATCTCAACTGACAGCAGCACACATATGCAATCCCTCTCCGCTCCTGCATGCATGAATGCACATCTATGATAACGTGAGCCTTGGAAGAACTCTCTTCCACTTGGAAGATGCATGATTCGCGGTCAATCTCGCAAAAGAAGACATGGAGGCCAGGGGGTCAAGCAAATTAGAGTTTGGACATGTGGACGGGGGGGATGGGGAAGTGTTGGATGGAGGGGGGAGGGATATTATGTGTATACGGGTAATATGTTGAATACGACGGGGAAGTGTGGATCCCGAGTACGATTCCGAGTTGGGATGACCTGATCGGTGATGGGGATGTTGTTGCGGTCGAATGAGGGTGAGAGTGCGTGTCTTGTCGCTGTTGGATTTTGATGGGGCGGTGTGAGTGGCACTGGTGTGTGCAACTTGAGTGGTTGATGATGGTGAAATAATCCCCTCTTCGTTTTCCTTTTGTGTGATTATCTGCTCGTCCATGGCTATCATATGTTGATTCGACAGTAGGCTGCTCCTTGTCATTTATTCAACGTCAAATTCTTTCCGGGCGCTGGCTTGGAATCAGGCACGGGTAGGGCCGTATATTAGCTGTATCCTGGATACGGTGAAGTGGCGCGCAGGGATAACGAAGACAAAAGCAATCATACACACGCATGCTGCTTATAGTAATTTTTCTCTTGCGTCATCGCGCTGTCATTATTATCCAATGTGTTTTAATTGTATGACCGTTGGTTGCTATCCTCCTCACCGCTGTGATCCATTCCGTGTCCTATGGTTCACTTGAATATAAACTTTTGATATTATAGGGAGACATACACGAGAACAGGAATCTTATTATCCAGTGGGTAAATTTAGTAGACCATTATTCCTAACAATGCGTCACCACACTTTGCGCAATGCGATAGAGATCAAATATTCCTTGAACTAGAGTAACTCAAGCAAGGTAACCAGCGACCTGCTTGCGCGATCTGTCACAATAAGTTCAATAATTCGATATATTCAATCCTTACCTAATAAACGTATGATTCTCCTACCGGTAGAAGGACACGTTCAGCCTAGTCCAGCTAGTCCAGGTACATCTTTCACTCTCAAATGTGACATACTAAATACATGCGATATCGCCATGAAGCATCACAATACGATAGGTTAGAGATTCGGAGTGCTATACCTAGCATCATTTCAGTCCCTTAATGATTCTGTACCTAAGAATATCTTCATACAGTGAGTACGAATCAAATCGCGTTAAGAGATCATGCGACATAGCGCTGAGGTGGTCGTTGTCGTGTTGGTTCCGCGAGTTACGGTGGGTTACAGTCAAAGACGAGATGTCTCATTTCTCAGAAATTATTGATAGCTCCAGCCAGCCAGACTTGAGTCGTCAACCAATCACTCCAGTGATAGACTCATCGGCTCGTAAACACGCCGCTCAACGTATCCTCCGAATGAGGTCCTGTCCACCCCCCGGCCAAGCTGCAGCGATAATCACCTCTCAAACCGCAAATTTCGTAGAAATTCTTTCGTGCCCCCGGATTTCAAACGCCGATACATATCACACGTCCCAGCAGCGCGGTTACACGCCGACTATACTAACTCGGACCGCAACCCCCGTACTGATTTCACTACCGCTTCTCCTCGGACTCCACTGTCCTCTAGCATGGTTTCCCAATCATTTCTCAAGGGTAGCATCGACGATCCTCGTATTTGGCGTTTGTGACTCACATGGAGCTCGTTTCAATTTCTTGTTACGGTATTGATCGCCCAAACTTCCGCGTGTTGCCGTTTTCTTGCTTTTTGCTTCAACTCCATCGTATGGCTGACAGAAGCAGACTCGCATCAAATGCCCAGCGACCAAACCCAAGCCACTTCCGGCACGTTTGGGGGGTCTTCGCTTTTGGGGAGTTCTCCCTTTTTGAGTTGTATGCCAAATTGGGAATTTGAGCGATCGAGATCTGCTCGCCTCACTTCTAGAACGGGGCAACACAGAGCTCTCATGGTTTTCAATATCTCTGGTAGTGCCTATCCGGCAGTGATCATCGGGACCTAGCCGCAGGTTCGGAATCAGCTACTTTGAAGCAGGGATTGTGGGTCATCAATGTCTCAAGAGTCATTACACCACATCAGTGGTCTTTTCGAGGATTGACTACCCTCTGCCTGGGAGTTAACTGACCAGTACCGACAATTACATCTCCACAATTGGCCAACTTCGAATTGATGCGAGTACGAGTAAATGCGGACTGCATCGCAGTTTCGACGTCGGGATCGCGCGGTAGCTGTGCTCGATTCTCATTGTTTTCGCAACGAAGATGATGAGGTAGTGAGGCGATCATCTGCGAGGGAGTAGCTATCGGCATAGGCGTAGGCGCTTGTAGATAATCATCGGTTGCCGCGGTCGCAAGAGCATTCCAGGCCCTTGACCTTCCCGGGATACCGAGACGAGAAAGAGAATAGTTGCGCTGATACGATTTTGAATGTATCCAACGACGCGGTAACGACGTAGTAATGTTTTCCTCCAATATCAGATTTCCGGAGGGTGAGTGGAAGGAAATCCGCGGAGTCTGGAGATTAGCGCGTACAATGCCCTCTGCTGCGGCTATAGGTAGGAGAGCTGAAAGAGCAACAGATGTGATTGAGTGGCCATTTTCTGGCTTTTCCTCTTCCAAAATGTCTTTTCTCTCAAACTTGACGTGAGAGCTCTTCCCAATGTTTTCGATAGGAGTAAACCATATTGGCGAATCTGTGCAGCGTGCTCTTTGCTGTCGTTCATATCCAATGTCTAGGTCAATTCCTAGGACAGTTGCAGAGTATGATGTTGAAGCAGTACTACAAAAACTCGGATTTTGGCTGATGCGCTGACTATGATCGTCAATACACCTTGGCGGCGCTTCCAATAGATTGGGTGAACGCAGCTCTGTATTGCCTTGTACAAGCGTTGTGGTTTTAGCGAGATCATGCTCTAGCCATGCACCACATGAGTTTGGAGGTACAGCGTACATGTCCCCTGTCGTCCCACCATACTTGGAATCGGATAGGTCGGAAAACGAAAGCGAGCGAGTAATAGAGCATGCACTTATGTTTTGGGATTCGGAGGGTTGTGTAACATTCATTTCAGAGGTCAAAGGCTTCACCTTCGCAAGGCAGCTATTACGACTCCTTGCATGAGACCGAGGCTCGGCTGATAAGGATGGGGAAATAAAAGAAGTTGGGTTATGCTTGATGTGCTGTACAGTCTCATGCACCAAGCCCTCATCTGACTTCTGCGTAGTTGCGGAAAATTGCAACATGCCAGGCTGGCAACGGTTCGCAAATGAAGATGATCCGGCAACTGCATCCAGTGAATAAGATTCGCCAGAGCATGTTTCTCCTGCCTGGATTAACGTCCTTGGCGGCTGGTTATGCTCGCTGCTTGTCTCCTGTCTAAGTCGCTGAACACCGTGGGTCTTCGCATATGTAGGCGATATATTCTCTGCAGTTCGAAGGTCAGAGCTTTGGCCGCCGCTTCTTGAATACGAAAGGTGTTTGAGCTCTGCTGCCGAACCTTGCTCCAGAATTGTAGAAAGAGGTGTTGCATTGCAGTAGTTGGGGGAGAGAGCGGGAAAACTGTGAGGATTGGTTCGCAGCGGGGTTTCCAGATGGACAGTCACTCCACTGGGATATCCCTCGTTTCTCTTTGACAGTTTGTCTTTCGCAATACCACAGACTTGGAATGTTGAAGGGGATGTTGGAGGGAACGTGCCGTTGCCACCACCACTACAAGGAGTAGGGTTGAGACTTGCGTACATCCTGGCATCAGTAAGAGGACCCTGGGCTGGCACATCGTCGCGATGATTTTGGGCTCTTCTTGAATCTGTCATAGACTTGTACGCATTATCGATGAAGCGTGGCGTCCAACCAGAACCAGTGTCCTGTTGGACTGTTCCATGACCCAGAGGGTTGGGATTGCGGGACGCACTGGCCATCTATTAGGGATGCTGCACGGCAGTCTTTCAAAGTATGTGAAGAGTAACGGGCTGAATAGCATAGAGACTATGGTGGTGTGAGGAGGTTGATCATGTTGCAAGACGGCTGAAATGTCTGGTCACCGTTCCACCCGAAATGCAGGCGCGTGGAAACGTGTGGTGCTTTCCTTCACCTCCATAGACCAGTGGAAAGAGCCTTGAGTCACCAGGGCGTACGATCAGCAGCCCCTTCCCATTTCATTAAGATTTGTTCTCTCTACCCATTTTGCGGACGGATCTTCCAGCTCATAGTTGTAGTTCCAGTAGAAGCAGTACATTCTCGCAAGGGTGAGGTTAGCTAAAAGGTTATTGTGGATATCGCATGCTGGCTGCCGTCCTTCTTACGAGGAAAAAACGATCTTCAATGGAAACGTAGTTCGTACCGAGTCGACAGCCGAGAGAAAAGATGTGTGGAAGGAGTATACTTTTTCCAACGACACTCGATACTCGGCAGGTGTCTTACCCGCCCTTCCAGTTCTAGTAAGGTGTATCGTAGTCAGATTCGCCGACGCAGTTGTGTATCTCGTGGAATGTAATGCTCTTAGCCGTCTACATTGTCCCGAATGACGAAGGCAAAGTAGCCGAGTGATATTTCATCCGCAGCGCCATATGGCGGAGCGAAACAGTCGGCGAAAGGTTGACAGTCCAAGGGTTGCATATCAACAACGTGGGTTCCCGTCCGCATGGAATGGTACCGTGTTCAACATACTCGTCTGCGGTTACACCTTGAGCGTCGACATTCAGTTGACATTCCGTTTGAGTGTCAGCAATAATGGCCCAGTATCGTTTGGATGTACTGAAGACACGACGGCGGTCGATTGGAGTTGGTGATTGGTGGAATACATGCGGCAGGAGCATAATTGCTTCTGTCTCGTTCCGAGGGTGGCGTCAGAGAGAGGAAAAGGAAAGAAAAACCTTGGGGCGATTCCAGCTTACTGGCCGTGGAAAGTTGTGAAGCCACATGAACACGTCTTTTAAGACAGGGACTGGGTTTCAAGGGAAGCATTCAAGCTCGTGGCTCAAATCACTCAATCCTTCGTGTAGCGCGCCTGGAAACGCGTTCGACCTATCCAGGTCGTGCACTAAGCACACGAGTTCGGCGTGAGCAAAGGGTGGTGGCGTCTCTACACAGCCAGCGGGTGTCTGCAAGCGATGGTGAGCATATCATGAGTATTGACAGGGAAACCTTTTCTTGAAAGCGAGGTTTTACCTTAGAAATGGCAATCGGTATGTATATCCCTTCTCAGTCGGAAGTCTATTGCAGGTTGAGGACGTTACCGTCTATGGTGCCCAAACCTTGATTGTGGGCTGAAAAGAGCATAAGCGGTAAAGACCTCGCGGCGCCTTTCCAAAATGCCGCATGTACGATTGTACGTGCGAAGCACATTGCACTACTTCTCTTGGATATTTCCAAGGGGTCGCAATGGAATTTTGCAGGATCCATCCGTAATCTTACTTTCGGATCATCGATAATGGTTTTTTGTTATACGGAATGTTATTTGGTGTCCGACGAGACCCACGCAAACTACGACATATGGAAGGGTCTTCATCCGCGTGCACAAGACCGTTTGCGTTCCGCTTCTTTACTTTTCTCATAATTTTTTTTCCTTTATTTTTTGTGGCCTTACTTATACGATAAAGTAGCCAAACGTATCCGGGAATTCGCGTCAAAGAATGGCGTCTATTCCTAGAGCCCCTGTATCTCTCAAGGTCAGGGTAAGCAGACCCTAAGATACTTCCTCGGAATAACGTGGCGTTTGTTAGTAGGGGATTCCAATCCTTGTATTCGTAAATCCAGAACTAGGTGTCGCTTGTGATTGAAATGGGTCGAGGTCAGACCATGGGAGTGAGGTGAGGCGCAATTGGTAAAGCGACTGGAAAGAGAGTTCCTCCTCCATCCTCATGCCCTGCAGATCAATCACTCCCATCACCATCTCGAGGCAAAATAAGCGAGGACGAAACGACGCCTGACAATGAACGACGCATCGTTGTATCCGGGGTTATTGTGAAGTACAAGGGTCTAAGCTGCGTGGAGCCAGCCTACAGATACCAGTCGGGTTTGTTGAACTGCCGATAACTTTCGCATATCAGAGAAATTCCCCTTGTCAATCAGATCGAGGCGCTGATATCCGCGTCGCGACCGCCTTCTCGTTCCAATCTCTTTTGTCTCGCTTACGAAAAATTGCAAAAGCAAGTCCTGCTCATGAACGATAAGGGACGCATGATCAGCCCTTCGTCGCCTCTCTAAGTTTAGTCCCGAAGCAGCTGGTGATCTTCAATACCAGTGTAAAGCCTCTTTCTTTTCTGTGTGGCAAGGGGGCATTCGTGCGACCGGTGGGAGTAAATGTAACTGCATGGGGTTGTGTGTGAGACCCAGTGGGGTTTACCTTTCGGGGACTGTTGGAAGATCGTCCATGCCCGGCCGTGGTCTTCCGCAGGCATCAAGAGATCTATCTTGGATGCTCGACTAGCTGCATAGAAGATCCCGTCGACGATTACTCGGCTAGGCCGGCCCGAGTTTGTGTGTGTAGTTGGCCGCACGGGAACAGCGCTGTGCGTGATGTTTCAGGCCGTACCGACAGAAAAGCACAACGCCTTTGGCGTTGCGCCCCTGTATTCTTACATTGCCAGGGTGTCTGGCAGAGAAAGTGTATGGTATTCGTACGGCTGTATATGCGTGTGCTTTTCTCGTGCCCTCGACGTGGACTCTGTGGTTGAATTGTATTATAAAGGGTGGTGGGGTCTGGTTCTCGACACCTCCTCCCATCTGAACAGGATTTTCTTCGACTGCTGCACTCCATCACCGGTACCTCAGAAGCAGAGATATTTGAGAAGCATAGTCGAATCCTCGTGATAGCTATGTCTCCCCCTCCTCTAGCAATGAGTGAAAGCAAGGCCGTGTTGATGTCTCGGCTTGGTCTGTCCGGACCTGGCGGGGAACAAATCTACAAGATGCTCTTAGTAAGTTGAACCGGAGAACACTATATGCACTTACTTAATTGAGCACCTTGATCAGGACGAAGCATCTATTGGAAGAGATCGCTTGAGTTGCGACTCCAAAAACCTCACCGTGTACTCGAGAACGCAGAGTCCGCCGGCCCAGCAGCCTTACAAGTGGGATGAACTCTCGGAGACGGCAAGACACCATGAGATTCTTATGATCGTCAGCCAGGCGGGCCAATATACGAAGCCTTACTATGCAATGGGGTATTACAAGCGTGCAACCGAGGAGAACTGGGTTGCTCAATGGTTCCTATGGCACTGCTTCCGCTATCGCGACAACAGGCCTCGAAATACCATGAACAACGTTTCGGTCTATAGAGGCAGAGGTGGGTAAACGAAGTAAGGCTTTCGAATACAAACTAAGAAGTTGATTGCAGGGACAACAACCCAGTTCTACGACCCCATCTACAATGCGTACCGTCGTTAGTCGAGAAATGTCCCAACATAGTCGTCAGTTGCATCGATCAACACAATCACCGGGCCTGGGACTGGATTGAGGGTTCTTGATCTTGTTGATGTTCACAAGAGCCGTCATTTCCTAAGGTCGGGAAGGGAAGCAGAGCAATGTAGATGTCAATGCTCTGCCCCTAAGCGTCCGCTTCCTCGGACATCTCTCATTACACTGTTCTTTTCTCTTTTTGTCGATGCCGACCAGTCGACGAGACTGTGTTCATGGTCCCTCTCGCGTGGCCTTTTTGGTCTTACGCGCTTGGTCGTTTTACTTTAACTTGCAATGCAAGTACCATTCTTTCGGTAATGACATTTTCTGTTATCATTGGGTTAGTATTGGTTAGGGAACTTGGGCTAGGTAGCTACCTTTCTCAAAAATAAAAATCTGCGATGGATGACCTGGGCCAACATTGATTGTGAAGGAATATAGAGTCGGATTAACCTATTCAGCTAGCTTTGATTCGGTGGGTGACTAGCTCCGGATCTGTTTCCTCGACCGTCAGTAGCATGGGTTAGGTCTGCCATAACAAGACCATAGAAGCTGCGTAAGCCGCAAAGTTCATGTACTGCAGTGAGGGTCTATTGCTGTTACATGCGCTTCCACACTGACGACTGTGCGACGGGTTGGCGAGATTTGAAGTATTATTTGCTTCGAAGCCCAAATATATGAGCTATGAATGACAAAATTAGGATGGAAAAAGACTCGTAAGCTTCACACTCTATAGCCCACATACCTGGTTTCGAAAGGCGAACTCTAGTGTCTTGTTTGAGATCTTTGTTACTATGCATGCCTGTCAGCCATTACTCTTTTTCCGCATCGAGAAACCATCTTACATATGTATCCCAATCCTAATCTTTAAGGCTCACGATGTTTGCAGTTTAGTTCTCCCTTTATTAGTATTTCTTATATCTCTTTCTTATATCTCTTTCTTATATCTCTTTCTTATATCTCTTTCTTATATCTCTTTCTTATATCTCTTTCTTATATCTCTTTCTTATATCTCTTTCTTATATCTCTTTCTTATATCTCGTCTTATACCTTCTTTTTCTTGGATTAGCCACTTTTATGCAGCCAACATGCGTACACTCTCTGTGTTATATCTTTCTTATAAACCTCTCCCTTGTATTCCTTTCTTGTGCATTAGTACGTTATACTCTAATCCGTTAACCACATAATAAGCACAAGTCGAAGTTTTCATCATATTCCCTAATTCAGTCAGCAATATCTCCCCATCGCGTGATATCACAGCTTCAATATAAATCCACATCAGACTAAGCTAACTTACCGGTCAGTGAGGTGCAATCAACTTTGACGCCAAAAGTCGACGGCAGCTCATCTCAAAAATCACACGTATGTTAATCAAGGTAATCAACGACTTTCTCTAGGTCGAAAGGGATAGATGACAGTGATACAGCACCTTGCTACAACACAAAGTGTGGTTGGATGAAAACCAAGGCATTGGCGAACAAAGGGGGACTTTATAGATATGACAGCTCTGAGTATGATACGACTCGAGTCAATGCTCGGACGCATGATTCATTCCTGCCACTTCCACCTCATTCGAATTTGTAACACGCCCCGTTTATACAAAGCCCCTCCCTCTCCCCGGACCGAAACACAGCACCCACGGGCCGAACACTTAATGCATCCGAGCCTACATATCTGAATATGACAACCCAAAAAGCTATACAAATCCGCGGAGATGAGGAATTGCAAACAAGTTATCGGATACAGTGTATGTGTGTTGCAGTGCACGATCCGAAGCCGTTCGTTCCCAGTCCTCCGAATCGGAGGTATTCTCCAAGAGAATGAAAAGGGGAGATAAGAAAAAGAAAGAAAAGCAAGGAACCGTTGGAAACTCTGACTTTGCGGTATGCACATCAATAAAACGTCTTCTCAGCCATTGCGATGGTGGCGTTGCAATTCCATCGTGTTTCTCTGTTTGGGAGCCGTCATTTTCCCATTGCGGAAATGATGCCCATTGAATTCTCTGATTCTCATCTTTACTTGACTACAAAACACGACGATATCGCTCTCGTACGGAGAGGAGTCAGACGATTTTTCGAGAGAAGGAATATTGCCAATGCCTAAACGATGAAAAATCTAAAAAAGTGAGGCCCCAATGTTCCAATTACTCGTATTATGATTCGTTGGTCAGGCCTTTCCGACTTCCGAACCTCGCCTCCACGCCTGCTCATCGCCTCACACATGTTGTGTAGGTGAGATGATCGACAAAAAGGGTCCTGCAGGGTACGGTACGGTAAGTGTGTCGGGTCGATCAGGAACACAACATCTGAACGGAGAAGTGAAGGAAAAAAAACTTGTCGTCCTTTGTGATTACATATTCCACGGAAGCTTGCTTGTCGCGTTCCGACTTTCTAGAAGCAACGGAGCAGCGTTAAGTTTATCTGAGCCGCAAGATGGTGAAGAGATAGCTGGGGTTGGCGTGTAACCTACCGAGTATCAGGTACAACACATTGACGACTGATTATTCGATAACTTGCTTGAACAAGGTTCGACTGTACAGACGGAAACTCAAACACTGCCACCACATGTCTAACCCATTAGTCGTGCGCATATGCCCGAAGCTATTCGCAATCACAAAGTCAGCTCAAACTCCAGCACCCAAACTTTATCCAACACGTTTTTCCAGAGCCTCGAACACGCCACGCCACGTGGTGGACGCCGCAAGGTACCGTTCGACACCAGGAATGTCGTCATAACGACCATTCATTCCACTACCGCGACTTCGACAAAAAAAACACCATTCATGGTAAATTGTCAACCTGCCAACACAACGAATTCCCAATCCCACTTCCACGTCTCACAGAATCCCCATCACGAAAGAAAGTCCAGAATCCTTCGCAAAAGTATCCATCCAGACGGCGAATTGATCTGCAAAAAAGAAAAAGATCATCGCTGCAACGCGCAATCCCTCCCAAAGAGCAAACTCGCCATTCGCTTAGATGCAATGTTATACGGGGTAAGAGTAGTAGATCTTTGCGGATCATCCCCCCAACCGGAACCCAAGGCGAACCCTCTTTTATTTTCTTCCTTGGTTCCGAGTCCTTTTTCTTTATTGTTTCTTTTTCATTTGTTTTTTCGCCTCAGTCAGGCTATTGTGCGTGTTGGGCTTTCGGATGAGGGGAAGAAGTTTACTCCCGGGTGCGTGGGTTGTTGGGGGTAGGCTCGTATAGCGAAGAGCTGACCTTCCGAGCGAGCTGTAACCTTCGGAGACGAAGCACGTTTGGGTCATGACTGTTTTGCGATTTCTTGTGAGTTACGCGTGCATAGTTCGTAGCCAATCTGTCCAATTACTCAGCATGCTATTCAAATTTCATCTGAACCTTCACGATCCATAGACACTAACAGGAGATACAGAAGTCATCCGCCACCTCCCCGAGAAGAAATTCAAGGAGACTTCACTTGGCACAAAACGACTTGTCGATAAATTACTAACGAGAAGAAGATTAAGCTCCAAGATACGAGTTGGTAATATGATTCATTATCTAAACATGTTATTGTTCTATAAAATTGTGATAGATCCACATAAACTATGCCGGGCTATAACCAGTCAGATTGGTAATACACAGCAAAAAGCAGCCATTGGAGAGCATGCTGTACACTCTCGTGCCCGCGCCTTCACCTCTGAGATACCGTCCCTCACACATATCGCAAAGAAACCCACAATTAAACGACTGCAGCGGGCTTGCCAAGTTGCTCCGATAGCGTAGTCGCATACGAGTGGCGGGCGGCCTCAATGGCACGATATAGAGGGGAGACTATCAGGTTGATATATTTGGCTCCGCCCTTGATGCTATTTGGATCAAATTTCCTGCGCTTACCGGACCGCTGGAAAATGGCCTCGATTTCCTGTTTCGTTTTCTCGACTTTCGCAGTACGTTCGTTCTCGGCGTCGGTTGCCACTGCTTTGATGCGATCAAGCGACTGGTCCAAAGTTTCGATCAAGTTCGCGACTTCGCCGGCGCGATCTGCATCGCCCGAATAATAGACGGCCCAGAAATAATGTAGAAACTCGACTGTGGTGTTGTGTGTCATGGCCAGGCTGTCGAAGAGCTGTTCCGAGATGCCTAACTTGGCGGCTTGTTCGCCGGAGATGAGGGTTTGAGCTGCAAGGTAGTCATCCCCATGTATATGGCGCTTGTGAATCGCATTGGTGATCTGGGAAATGGCTACCGATCGAGAGGATTTGCTTCCAACCCTCGATTTTTTCTGCGCCGGTACTTCCTCGTCGCTACTACTGTCATCTTCGACCCCGATTGCTGCTTGCAGCTTGATTCCACCATTCTCCCCTTGGCCCGCTGGTATACGTTTGATCTCTTCCTGCATCTGGGCCAGAACTTGCGCGGGGGTACGTTTTGCGTAGGCTGCCGCACTGCTTGACGTGTGCAGACCTTGGCCGGCGGAGAACAACTGACTCTGGTCCTGTATGTTCAGTACCACCCGGTTGTCATCGGCGGCATTCTGCAGATCTCGGAGTTGTAACTCTTTATAAGTCTCCTCGTCCAAGCCCACTGGCGCATGCCGATCGACGCTATCAGAAGGCGGGACTTCTGCCATCATCTTCTCACTCATGCTGTTCAATAAGCGAAGAATAGGTACCTTGTCATGGGCGTTTGGCCGCATGGTGAAATCGGGCCTGTTGCCCAGGCGCTGACTGTGATTTTGTTCGTTTCCCTCAACATCGAGAAAATGGGGGACTGACTCCATGGAAAGCTGCGGGGCAGCATCGGCATCATCACTCAAGTTCAAGTATGTGTCGAGCCTAGGATCTAGGGGATCATTATCCGTGATTCTTTCTCCCTTCAATTTCTTGAGGAGCCGGCTCGCGAAAAACCGTGCCCAAAACTCGGCTTCTTTCATTCTCGGCCCAACATTTTCAGTATAGACCCTTTTTATGAGTGGATGCTGTTTGAAGACCAGATGTATTTGCTCTTTGCTCATGCGGAGTTGGTGCTTGCCATCAATGAGCTGTGGCTTGACGACTGAAAGCACGTTATATGCGCCTGCTCCTTGTGATCTCTCTGCCACATGAGAACGTAACATATGTACTCGTGTGGTCCAGAATTGGTTGGAGAACTGGACAATAGACACAGACTCGGGCTTGTCGCGTAGGGCCTGATCGAAGCGCTGCCGAAGTGCCGGGTTTGAGCTCAGCAAAGAGCGCTGCAACTCTATATCTGCCATGAGCTTCGCGTCATCGTATTCACCGTCGCCATCCTCCTTGGGCTTCGGGGTACCTGTAACCGTCCGAGCAATGGCCACGGCGGCGGAGGCGTTGCTTGCGCCAGCATCGGGAACCGGGGTGGCAGCAGCTGGGGTGGGCACGGATTGAGCCTTTGAGGCCTCGATAAATCTGCGCAGGGCACCAGTTACGGTCTGCTGGTCATCACGGGCGGCGGACGATGTAAAGGTAAAGGCGTGGGCTTCTGTCTGGCCGGGAGCCTTGTTGACAACCACTTTGATGGAGGCTTTCGCTGCTGTGGCCGGGGTTTGCTGCAAGTCTATGGCGGGAAAGATCAGTTAGCTGCTACTTGTCATACATGAGGGTTTATCGAGATGATTGACTGGCTGCTTGTGGGATGAGGAACCGACGCACTCCCAATGTCTGCGATGGCTATCTCCAGCGCAGGGTTGCCACTAGTCGCTGTCCAGGCGACGGTGCGGCCGTCCTGGGATATGCGTAGCTTGCCATCAGTCTTTTTGTACTGAGCAGCAGCTTCGGCCATACTGAGGGCGACGGGCGGCAGAGGCAGACACAGAGACGACAGAGAAGCAGAGAGGCAGTATGACAATCAATGAGTGCACGGATGGAGAGTTGGTCAAGCCACGCTAACTCGATTTGGTATCTATGTATTTAGGGCTGAAAGCTGTGGACCGTGGATACATGGCTTGCGCTCCAGAATGATCATCATGATGCGGAAGGATTGACAATCACTGACCACCAATTTGTACTCGAGAATCTGTCAATTGGTATATGAGATGTGTGCAAAGGTTTTGGGCGAGCCCCGCACGGAGGCTGCTTCTTTGTTTGTTCTCGGTACAAGTGAATAACCACAGGGCTCGAGACGAGTAACGTATCGACGCGCTCGCCCATGTAGCTTCAAACCGGTACATACGTGTGATGGAATGCGGTGGAGCATCCACGTATGTACGTGTATCCACAGTTGGTCGATGCATCCGAGGATGGGAGACGGGAGGGAGATGGGGACCGGTGAAGGCAGCCCGTACCATCAAATACGCCTTCAAATGTTTGTTTTGTTTTTCCTTTTCAACTACCGGCAACCGTCGTCGTTGTCGGTGGATCGTTGGATGCAGGTGATGGGTGACAGGCGCAGCGGCCGCGGATGATCATTCATCAGCCACGGTTGATTCAATGTTTACCTAACGTTCCGAGCTGGGCACCCTTGATTGGTCCACATGGCCGTCCTTTTTCCTTGGAGCAGATGCAGATGATGTCTGTATTGTCCATGGCGTCGTCATGGGACAGAAGCAACATTTGCATGCCTGCGAACAATAAATGTCGCGTCCACGTTCAATAAGCGCCCGATTCGCCGCTCTCGCACAGCAGTCAGCAGTCTAATCAATTGATACACATTTCACACACGGCCAAGCACGAAGCACTATAATCGGGAAAAGCGACCTGTTGTTGTACTGTGAGGCATTTCCGTGACCCTAGCCGGGCGCGCTAAGCCCGAAACAACCTGAGTCAAGCTGGCTTCAGAATCACAGCTAGACTCTTTCTCGCATCTCAGCAACAGACACTGACCAAGATCCTCATAGTCGCTACTCCTGCTCTCCCTCGTCGGATGAGTTCCTCAATCATTCCTCCATCTCCCCCCCACATCTAATCATCCCAAATGTTACGTCTATCGCTTAGGGCCTCCCGGCAGCTCCCCAGCCAGAGCTGCCCGGCCGCCCGTGCAAGCTTCTCAACCTTCGCCGCATCGCCGTCGCGATCCGCCATCACCACATCTCGCAGACCGCTTGCTCTCTCTGCTCAGCGCCAGCAGCGCCGGAGATATGCTCTGTCTGCCGAGGACACCGACAAGGGCGTTGTGCGTACCTTGCTGCCTGTCCCTTTGAGCCACTCGACGCACTTTTGCTAACAGCTTTTGCCCGCAGGACCCCAACGACTCTTTCCTCCAGGGCAACACTGCCAACTATGTCGACGAAATGTACATGCAGTGGAAACGTGACCCTTCGAGCGTCCACATCTCCTGGCAGGTCTATTTCCGCAACATGGAGTCGGGCGACATGCCTGTATCTCAAGCTTTCCAGCCACCCCCGACCATCATGCCCACCCCCCACGGCGGAATCGGTCCCGACTTCAAGCCCGGCCTCGGAATGCACGCCGGCGAGGGCGCAGACGTTATGAACCACTTGAAGGTTCAGCTGCTCGTGCGCGCATACCAGGCCCGAGGCCACCACAAGGCCAAGATCGATCCTCTCGGCATTCGCGGGGAAGCTCAGGCATTTGGCTACAGCAAGCCACGCGAATTGGAGCTCTCCCACTACAACTTCACTGAAAAAGACTTGGATCAGGAGTTCGAGCTCGGTCCCGGCATCTTGCCTCGCTTCAAGACGGACAGCCGGAAGAAGATGAAGCTCAGAGAGATCATCGATGCTTGCGAGCGCTTGTACAGCGGCTCCTATGGTGTCGAGTACATTCATATTCCCGACCGCGAGCAGTGCGACTGGCTTCGCGAGCGTATCGAGATAGAAACCCCTTACAAGTACTCTGTGGATGAGAAACGCCGTATCCTCGACCGCCTCATCTGGGGTACTAGCTTCGAGGCTTTCCTTGCCACCAAGTATCCCAACGACAAGCGATTTGGTCTGGAGGGTGGTGAGAGTCTGATCCCGGGTATGAAAGCGCTCATTGATCGGAGTGTCGATTACGGCGTTAAGGATGTCGTCATCGGAATGCCTCATCGTGGACGTCTCAACGTGCTCAGCAACGTCGTCAGGAAGCCAAACGAGTCCATCTTCAGCGAATTCGCTGGAACTGCCGAACCAGGTGATGAGGGCTCGGGTGACGTCAAGTACCACTTGGGTATGAACTTCGAACGACCCACGCCTTCTGGCAAACGTGTACAGCTTTCCCTGGTCGCCAACCCATCGCATTTGGAGGCTGAGGATCCGGTCGTCCTCGGTAAGACTCGTGCTATCTTGCACTACAACAACGACGAGAAGGACGCCAAGTCTGCCATGGGTGTGCTTCTGCACGGTGACGCTGCCTTTGCTGGCCAAGGTGTAGTGTACGAGACCATGGGTTTCCACTCGCTCCCAAGCTACCACACTGGCGGTACCATTCATATCATTGTCAACAACCAGATTGGTTTTACCACTGACCCTCGTTTCTCCCGCTCAACTCCGTACTGCTCCGATATTGCAAAGGCTATCGATGCGCCTGTCTTCCACGTCAACGGTGACGATGTAGAGGCTCTCAACTTTGTTTGCCAGCTTGCCGCCGATTTCCGCGCCGAATTCAAGAAGGACGTTGTCATTGATTTGGTTTGCTACCGAAAGCAGGGTCACAACGAGACGGATCAGCCTTTCTTCACTCAGCCATTGATGTACAAGCGAATTGCCGAACACCCTCCCACCCTGGACATCTATATCAAGAAGCTCCTCGAGGAAAAGACTTTCACCAAGGAAGACATTGATGAGCACAAGGCTTGGGTTTGGGGCATGCTCGACGAAAGCTTCAACCGTAGCAAAGACTACCAGCCGACAGCTAAGGAATGGTTGACTTCCGCTTGGAATGGATTCAAATCTCCCAAAGAGCTCGCAACTGAGGTCCTTCCTCATTTGCCCACGGCTGTGGAAGAGTCCACGCTCAAGCATGTCGGTGAGAAGATCGGTAACGCGCCTGAAGATTTCACCGTCCACCGCAATCTCAAGCGTATTCTCGCTGGCCGCACTAAGACTGTGACTGACGGAAAGAACATCGATATGGCTACTGCGGAAGCTTTGGCTTTTGGTACGCTTTGTATGGAGGGTCACCACGTCCGTGTTTCTGGTCAAGATGTTGAGCGTGGTACATTCTCTCAACGTCACTCTGTCCTTCACGACCAGGAGACTGAGAAGACGTACACCCCCCTCCAGGACCTTAGCAAGGATCAGGCTACCTTCACCATCTCCAACTCTTCGCTAAGCGAATACGGAGTGTAAGTTTACCCTTATGCTTATGCAATTGACACTTCTGTATACTAACAACGACTTAGTCTCGGATTCGAGTACGGTTACTCTCTGTCGTCGCCCAATGCGCTTGTCATGTGGGAGGCCCAGTTCGGTGACTTTGCCAACACAGCACAAGTCATCATTGATCAGTTCATTGCCTCTGGTGAAACCAAGTGGTTGCAACGATCTGGCCTGGTCCTCAGTTTGCCTCACGGTTACGACGGCCAGGGTCCTGAGCACTCCTCTGGACGTATGGAGCGTTATCTACTTCTCTGCAACGAAGATCCTCGTGTGTTCCCATCTCCAGAGAAACTCGAACGCCAACACCAAGACTGCAACCTCCAGATCGCCTATCTCACCAAGCCGTCGAACATGTTCCACATCCTTCGCCGACAGATGAACCGACAGTTCCGCAAGCCTCTCATCTTGTTCTTCTCCAAGTCTCTGCTCCGTCACCCTCTCGCTCGCTCCAACATTGAGGAATTCACTGGGGAGTCGCACTTTGAATGGATCGTTCCTGACCCGGCCCACGAGTCTGGTGAGATCGCGGCCAAGGAGGACATCAAGCGTGTCATTCTGTGCAGTGGCCAGGTGTATGCTGCTCTGGTTAACGAGCGCAAGGCTCGCGAACTGAACGATGTGGCCATCACCCGTATCGAACAGCTCAACCCCTTCCCATGGCAACAACTGAAGGAGAACCTGGACTCGTACCCCAACGCGCAGGACATCATCTGGTGTCAAGAGGAGCCCCTCAACGCTGGAGCGTGGAGCTTCACGCAGCCTAGGATCGAGACGCTGCTGAACGAGACGGAACACCACAACAGGAGGCACGTCATGTACGCTGGCCGTGGCCCGAGCGCATCTGTGGCTACTGGTACCAAGGCGGCGCACAAGAAGGAGGAGGTGGATCTGCTCGAAATGGCCTTCAGCGTCAAGCAGGACAAGCTCAAGGGCGAGTGATTTGGATTGGGAATGGTTGGAGGCGCGTAGCATTGTATTATTTGTTCTCTTGTTTTTTTTACTATGTTTGACATGGCATGCGTTATTCCCCCGTTTACTAGCACATTGAGGCTTACTTTTACGAGGCCTCTCACTGTACATTTTGCATGATGAAGGGTGTATGTATTCGGTATTGGGGGTTGTGTACAAAAAAAAAGTTTAGATGTTCAGACGGTGACTCTCCGCACGCACGGGCTCTTGCACCACATGACTTGAAGTGTTCTTTGAATGATTGACAGATTGTCCCGGTTTGATTTCGTAAAAGCGCGTGGTACCCGTGGCTTTTCCCTTCTCAGCACTCGACGACAAATCCAGGGGGATCAAGGCGGCGTGGTGTTGTCGAAAGCCGCGGGTCGGAACGCATCGGAACCAATGCCGGGCTGGCTCCGTTCCCCTCCCCCTCCAGGAAAACGCGCCCCGCAATCTCTGGACCCTCCTCGTCACTTGTCGTCATGGTGGTGCTATTGTCCTGGAAATCCTCACCGGGACTAAACAAACCCGGGGCAGATGTGCATAGCTGTGCATTCTACAAGTACGCGCGCACTCCATCGCATTGCGAGAATCGCCATCACTCGCGTGCCTGCCATGGGAATGTTTCTGGTATACGCTGTGCGTCGAGCTCGTGACACCTGAAGCGTGGAGAAGTGCCGAGGGGAGAACGAACCTGTCAACGCAAAGGGAGTACCGCAGCCATCCATCCATCCCTTCTCCCGCCCGACTCTAGCCATCGTGATCCGAATTTAGTTTTCAGCGGGTCCGTCTTTGCTCACTTACCCACCACCTGCTAGCCCTTTGTCTTTCGAGCCTGTGATTCCTCTACTCCTCATCCTCCTTCTTCCTGTCGCGACTGTTTCATTTTCCACCTACCTGGCTGCCTACCTCCCGTATCTCCTTGACCTTCTTTTAATTGCTTGCTGATTTCGAGATTCTTTGTTTCTTTGCATACGACACTGACCACTATGGCTACAACCAACAATGGCGAGGGAGCTGTGGGCAAGGACTCGATCAACACCGACATCATCACCCTGACGAGATTCCTCACAGAAGAGCAAGCAAAGCACAAGGAGGCAACGGGAGACTTCACGTATGTAGTATCTCGTCACCTTCACAGACAGTAGCTTTCTTGCTTACGACCATGTGCGCAGATTGCTTTGCCATGCTCTTCAATTCGCATTCAAGAGTATCTCGTTCTACATCCGACGAGCCACATTAGTCAACGTACGTGTTACAGCTCGGAACGTTACAGTTTCTATAATGGCAGATTTCACTGACGCGAGCTTTTCTTCTAGCTCACCGGTCTCGCGGGCCAGTCCAACGCAACGGGTGATGACCAGAAAAAGCTTGACGTGATCGGCAATGACTTGTTCATCTCCGCCATGCGCTCGTGTGGGCGTGTCAAGCTCCTTGTCTCGGAAGAGGAAGAGGAGTGCATCACCTTCAATGAATGGCCTAACGCGCGATACGCCGTAGCCTGCGATCCCATCGACGGGTCCTCCAACCTCGACGCGGGTGTCTCCGTCGGCACCATTTTCTCCATCTTTAAACTCCCCGAAGGCGCGCGCGGCGTCAAGGAGGACATTTTGAAGCCGGGTACTGAGATGGTAGCGTCAGGCTTCACCATGTACGGTGCCAGTGCGCAGCTCGTCATCACCATGAAGGGCGGCGGTGTCAATGGCTTCACGCTCGATAACAACTTTGGCGAATTCATCCTCACACATCCCAGCATGAGCATTCCCAAGAAGCGCGCTATTTACTCGGTCAACGAGGGGAACTCGCTATACTGGGAAGAGCCCGTCAAGGAGTACATCAATGGGCTCAAGTTCCCGACCGAAGAGGGTGGAAAACCGTACAGCGCCAGGTATATTGGTTCCATGGTGGCAGACGCATACAGAACACTGCTTTACGGTGGCATCTTTGCGTACCCAGCCGACAAGAAGAGTCCAAAGGGTAAATTGCGCATCTTGTACGAGTGCGCACCCATGGCTATGGTGTTCGAGAATGGTAAGTCTACTTTGTGTCTCTTCCCCTGACGTCTTCAACTCCCATTTTTCGCGAGCGAGGAGAACGACCAGGATTTGCTATGAATTTACGCTGACTCGATTCTTCTCGCACTAGCTGGCGGTCTCGCCGTCGACAGCAACATGAACCGTATGCTCGGGGTAGTACCGGAACACATTCATGACCGAAGCGGCATCTTCATGGGTAGCGAGCACGAGGTGCAGAAGGTTATTGATACACACAAGAAGCACCAAAAGTAGAACCTTTGATCGATCTATTCGAATCCGCATATAATGATGGCACACAATTCGCTCGCCTTTCTATCTCCCCCATATCCCTCTTCTACAACGAACAAATTGCGACGCGTTATCCTGCATGCCAGAAGTCACTCATCTTTTCCCTCGGTGGTTAAGAAAGAATGTATATATACAGTTTAATCTATGAACAAAGGCTTACGAGTGGTTTAAGCAACGGAGCCTTTGCATATGAATAGTCCTTCGGACAATATCACAGCGACACTATTTCTTTCTGATATTTTCCTTGTGTGATAAAACTGGGAGCTTTTGTACGGTTGTACGAGTACTTTGGACGTACGGATCCATCCGTATATAGCACTCGCAAGGATCTAGAATCTCGGGCACATGTAAACTTTCTTTATCTGGTTTTGAGCATGATTTGCATGATGTACCTACATAGGTACCTAGCTATGTACATTTCATTTTTTTGATAGGGTGATAGCGTACCTACCTTTCACGGATTTATAGGAAGCTGCGTGCGGCCACACAACATCATCAATTGATGTTTGTTTACACTACTACATCCTCACCATCACCAACCATTTCTTTCCACATTCCGCTATTCTTTCCATATCATCACCAGAGCACAGATGGAGTCGCAGAACTTGGGTAATGAGCAGTCGTCGACTGATCAATAGGAATTGAATGCGGATGGCCAGGATGTTGAGCAGGGAACGCCACAATTGCCTGATGACGAAGCCTATGCAATTTCATCCGACAGCAACTCTCAAACTCTCATCGCCCCGGAGTCTATGAAATTGCATAGCCCGTCAGATAAGACAGGCAGGATCCAGAGTAGCACTGCTACAGAGGACGGCCCGACGATACTGACGTAAGTCTGTTCAAGTCTTACTGTGCTCAATTTTGGTCCCTAACATTTCTGGCAGAACTTTGAGAGATGTCGGACAATTCAGCATCAAAGTCGATCGCCTCGTGGGAGATCGAGTATGGTTTATTCCTCACGGCACTCGAAGTTCACGCTGCGGAACTTATCGTCGTCTGCTCATCGACACTGTACATCCCAAAGAAGAACCTCATGCTGCTATCTTCAATATGTTCCCAGCTGGAAGAACAATGCTCGCGGCAGGAGACATGCATGATTGCGCAAGCCTATTCTCGCGTTGTCAAAAGGTTTCAAACACAGTCAACAACATTACAAGTATTCGAATTCCATGTCCGAGTCCGGGTTGTAATTACGACATAGGCTAGGGGCTTCAGCCATCAAAAACGACACATTCAAGGGTTCAATTGGACTTCATAACACACTTTACCAAGTTTCACATGCAGATCAATGTTTTAGCAGACACCTGTGTTTGCTGTGGAGACCAAGTTGGCTTAAGGTCCCAGCTGCTGAAGCACATGACGCGTCACGTTTTTGAGATTCTTCGAAATCGCGGCTTGGAATTGGTGATCTCTTTCATAGACGGGATCACGATTGTCCAGACGTCCGTCTTGATGGAAAGCAGCCCGGATGCTATTATGGACATCGTTGGGATGGTGTCAAGGATTCAATCAGAAAGGGTCACCGACAAGATTATCGCGGTAACGGCCCCGACCGAGTTATCAGTTCTATCATGCTTTGGAATCGATGCAGTATCGCTCCAGACGATGGATCTGAAGAAACTGTGCAAGTGGCGTGCGTTCACTCTGTGCTTTTACATCAAGGAAGCCGAAGCTGCAAACATTGGTCTGTATATTTCCGGCTACATCAAGGCTGATGGCTGGTGTGTCATGTTGTTCAAATCTGGGGACTTGGATGCGTGTTTTGCTGAAGGACCGGTCCAAAGTTGCGATGAGCACTATAGCAGGGCGATCCGCAGTTTGGTATTGGCGATCCGCTTAAACGTGTAGACAGGTTTGGTACGCTCGAGAGATGATTTTCCTTTTCAGATGGGCTGAATACGATTTCTACAGTTCAGACTTGCACAGGCGTACAGTGATGACTGATGCCTTGTGCCCTTGAACGGTGTATGATGTGTAGAGGTATAGAAACACGTGGGTAATGTGGATCCACTACACCGCATCCCAAAATAACACAGAAAAATGTTGTCCGGAGCATGCTCTGGATAGGTCATGCCGCTGTGAAAGGTTTGGCCACTGGATTGAAGGTTTTTATTTCAGTATGCTCTGCACAGTTTACGCGCCGCTTGCCTTCTCACCTGTGCATGTTGGCGGGTGCATGCTTCGAGGCAGTGACTGGGCCAATGTCGGTTTTTGCCTTTGTTTGGTGTGGTTCCTGGAGGCTGTGTTGTTGCTATAGTACTCGCCTTGTGAGATTTTGTTTTGTGTGTCTTTTTTGTTATTTTCTTCCTTCTTGTGTGCAATGCGGACGATTTTGGGGGGCGGGAACCGAGTCAACGATGATGGGACGCCGGATTATGCTAGCAATACTTACTCATAAATCCGTGATGTACTTACTCATCAACAGTTGTGTTCAAATGATGTTCTTTTGGGCTATGCAAATCTATGTTTATTCTTTTTCTTTTCCCCTTCGGGTTCTGCTATATTTACAAAAAAGAAGTAGGTGTACTCGACGAACAGACAGCCCGAGACAAATAAGACGCGGGGCTGATGCCATCAATACCCCTCTACATAATGTATGCAAGTATGTGTTCGCCACGAGCGGAATCGGCGAAGTATTTCTAAGCCTCCCGTAAGGGGAACATGTGCAGCGAAGCGGCTCTCTTTCTCTCACTGTGCGGGAAAAGAAGGTTTGCCTAGGTGGTGGCGCAAAGTGCTTATTTGAACTAATGTAGGTTCGTATGCACGTAATCTTCAGATCAGATTCGGGGGTGACTACGTGGGTTGTGTTTGGAGAGGGGGGGTAGGCAAAGGGAAGACGGTGAGCAAGTAGAAAAAGATCAACGTTGGTTGGAAAAAGTGTATTATTCTTAGCCGTCTCGCCCCACTCGTGTAGAGAGAGACTCTGAGCGAGAGCGAGACCGGGCAGGGGTCCCCCCTTGTTCGTCGAAGCTGCGTGCAACTGTGCACACTCTATCCTGCCGCTGTGATTGGCGTGTTCGCTTTGGCTGCGGCGTTGAAGAGAGCGAGCGAGCGAGCGAGGTGTTTGCGCGGTGGATGTTGTTGTTGTTGATGTTGTTGCTGATGATGATGATAGTTGTAGTGCTAAAAAAAAAGACTCTCTCTTTCTCTCTCCAGTCAGAGAAGGCAGAAGACTGAATCAAATCGACGACGGGCAACACAAGACAAGACGCTGCCAGAGACACAGAGTGCATAGAGTGCATCACCCGTGGCGAGACACGGATGCAGGGCGCATCGACCGCATAGACTCCCGCCCGTTACCAGGCAGGCGTGCCAACCAACGGCTGCCATTCCCTGGTTCATCTATGTACTCGACATGTAGCCGCCGAGGGACATCACCTGTCCGGTCCGTTCGTCTCCATCTCGTTGCGTCCACTGTTGCAGCCACACCAACCTTTTTCTTCATTCCTGTCCGTTCCCAACATAGCACAGAGTGGATCGCCCACCCGCACGGCGCAAGACATGGCCTCCTCTCCCGTCCACTATGAATATGATCATCCTCCACCTCCTCCCAGACAACCTCCCCCACCCCACACGCCCTCGCCCGCCTCTTCTTCGTCGCCCTCGCTGCATGTCCACTCCCACATTTCACCTCTGAGACGAATCGCCGTGCAACCGCCCCCGAGAATCACCACCGCCCTCGCGCCCCCACCCGCACACTCCCAATCCCAAACTCCTCACAGCGCCTTTTCGCCCTACGTTCCCTCGCCTTCTTCGTATGCGTCGCCCGCGTCCTATGCTGCGTCGCCTGTCGTGGGAACCATGAGGTCTTCGCCCTATAACCCCTCGCAGTGGGCGAGGGGGGTTCCCAATGGCCATAATGTCAATGTCACTCCAATTGCGACCGCTCCTAGATCAGACGTTACCGGCATGGAGGGTATGTTAATATTTTTTTTGGTCGACATATATTCATCCATAACAACAACTAACATATATTCTCTTCCCAGCATCGATGCCTTCTCCCCCTCCGCCATACTCGCCAGGGCAGAATCAGAGCATGTCGCAAAACCTCACGCCTTCTCCGCACCTCGCCGCCAATGCATTTCCAACAAATCACCCTCCACCCCCGCCTATACCGCCGTCTGAGTACACTCCTTCACCCTCGTCGCGTCCTGTATCGGGCTTCTATAACAGCAGACCGGGATCTTTGGTTGTCCCTTCGAGCGCGACCAGCGCCACTTCCAATCCACAGTTCCCCCCGCCTCCACCACCAGCCAACGGCAAACGCTCGGCCTCTCGCGATAAGTTGACCTCCAAATTCAGCTTGTCGTCTTTCAGACACAGGAATGCCGATAGCCCAGGCCCTAGCAACATCGAGTCCCTGCGTCTCAACACCAGCGAGGCGATACAGCGTGCCCCATCTTCGCCTGGAATCATGCCTTCGCGAGCTCAGCACCAACAGGCGCAACAGCAACAGCAACATCAGCCATACGATGCTGAGCGGCGATGGAGCCCTGAGACATATTCTCCCATCGGCGCACCAGGTTCGAGGAGAGCGGCCTCGACTGGTGTTCTTGCTTCAGCTTCTCGAACGCCTATTGAGGCTTCACCGGTCCCATTCGGAAATTGGGAGCAGACCATGCCTCTTCCTCCCCCACCACCCGGTCCCCCGCCTCCGAGCAGTTCTAGATCTCAGAGTCTAGGTCGCGGTATGGATTCAGGAGTCAATCGACAGTCGGTACATCTTGCTGCCCCTCCCACGCGAAGACCAGGTCAAAGCACTTTGACACCCATTCCTCCGACCCCCATAGGATGGCAAGATGAGCGGAGTAGGTCGCGTTCACCCGCTGGGCTGCAGATCAACACCAACTTACAACCTGCCCACCCTCCGGAACAGCCTGTCGCAGAGGGCGAAGACAACTCCACCTCCTCTGGACCTACAGTGTCTACCTCACACTCGGGCAGCACGCTCTATCGCAGCCCGAAACAAGAATCCTCGCGCGGTATACGTGAACGTCGGAGTGAAAGCCGTGCTGCCCGCGAAAGAACGGAACCCAGCAACAATCCCTGGGCGCATGATATGGAAGTGACAATAGCAAAGCCTTCCGATTTGGCGTTGGCAAGCCCCGACGGTGGACTCAACCGGCGCGGTGCGGTCAACAAAAGCACTCCGCGAAGTGCAGGTGCAACGCGTACGCCGAGGAGCGCGGGACTGTTCGACGAGCCGGGATCATCGCACACGACTCCCAGACAAGATGCTTACCAAAGGGTCGTCTCGAGTGCCGCCCCTACGCCGCCGTTTTCGCCAGGTACGGATACTTTCGATCCTCGTCATTCTCAGAAAGCTCCAACGTCCATCCCCTCCAAAGCCCTCCCTACCCCACCTCTTCACAGTGATTACGGTGACCATGCCTCGGACCTGGCTAACAGCTCAGGCGCCGCGTATCGTTCCACTTCCCAAATGTCGAAACATGCAAGCGCGGGACCGGACAATCCCGCTTCTGCTACTCCAAAAACCTCGGGCAGTGACCCGTTCGCCCAAGCTGCAATTGAACGACACCGCCTGTTCACTGAGCGTGAAATGGCCGCGCAATCTGATCAAGAGAGACTGGAATTATTCGCAGAGTTCATGGTCAATGAATCTCGGATCCGCAGAGATCGATACTCAACAGCATTCGATGCTATGGCAGGCGACGTTATCGAATTGACTAGGGATTTATGGCGTTCTTTCAACGGAACTGGGCGTAGATCAGCCACTCCAAGTGCCCAGAGTGCGTCTGCCGTGCCAACTGGCCGGCAATCACAAGCTTCCACCAGCGGCGAATCTCCTGATACTAGATTTTCCAACTCTGGACCTACAACAGCTGCCAGTCCAGCTTCGTCAGTTACGAATCTCACTTCTCAGGAACCCTCTTCTCCCTCTGATGCACCAGGCCAGAGGCAGCGCGATGCGTCTTGGAACTATAAGCCCGTGCTATCTCCCATTCCCAGTATGGCAATGAGCACTGTGCCAGATGAAGAAGATTCTCGGGGAAGATCTGCAAGTCGCTGGTGGGAGGCCAGCAATGACGGCGCGTCCTCAGGCGCAGGCATGGGGAGAAGACTTGAGAGGAGTAAGAGGGAGTCCAAGTACATGTCCCTACCCAAAGAGGCACAGGAAAGCCTTCAATGGGCGGAGCAGGCAGAATCCTCACCCAGCTACCGCGGTGAATCAAGCAGCCGACAAGGAGGAGCATATGGACCGAACGAATACCCTCCTGAGAAGGTTGGACTCCATGACCCAACTAGCAAAAGTGTCCTGAACACGTATCCGAGCTCTGCGCCTGCCACGCCCGATCCACGAAGGATGGATGTGTCTAGACTAGTAACACTGCCGCCATCCTATCCTCGACACCACCCTGCTGTTAACAACAACCATCCTGATCTTGCGTCAATTCGAAGCACACTACGTACCCTTTCCGACATGGAAGAAGTCAAGACAACCAAGGATCGATTTAATACGAGCAAGAACACTGGCAACGAGAAAGAAGCCAAGGAGTTGGCTGATCGCCGCGCGCAATTTCGATACAACATACAAGATAATGTATCAAAAGGTGTCCTCGGCTACGCAGAGGCGGCTCAAGCACAAACCGATTTCGAGAACCGCGAGAATCAGCATGCCCAAGATCTTGTTCAAAAGGTCTTTGACACCTTCCAGGCAGAAGTTGCAAATCCTCTTCATGCCATGCTCTGCGAGCGCATCAACAAGGCGTCAGCATCGATTGAATACCTCAAGACTCGCCTGCGTGATGACGCGCAAAAGCTCAATCCGAATCAAACGCAAGAGGAAGGCGATGAGCAGCCAGAGTTACTCGAAATGCTGACGTTGCTCAAATGGCTGTTTGAAGCACGGGAACAATTGCACAAAGAGCTGTTTGAGCTTGAAGACGAACGCAACGACCTGTACAAGGATATTATTGTTCTCCCCTATGCGCAGGCAAGGAACAGCCAGAAAGTCAACGAAGCAACGGAGTTTTTCCATCGGGATGCGCAAGATCGCAAGGTTGCTTGGGAAAAGGAGATTTTGAAACGATACGAAGAGTTCATGAACGTCATTGAGCAAAACGTCACGCGTGGTGTTGAGGTGCAGCTGTCGGCATTCTGGGATATTGCGCCCGGTCTCCTAGCGGTCGTGCAGAAGGTCCCACAATCACTCTATGGTTTCGAAATTGTGATACCTCCCCAGGAGTACGACGAGAATCCATTGTATCACGACTTTCCGATGCAGTATCTGTACAGTGTCCTGGCCCATGCTGGGCGGTCGGCGTACCAGTTTATCGAATCACAGATCAACTTGCTCTGTCTCCTGCATGAGGTGAAGACGGGAGTGATGACTGCAGGATCCAAGTTACTGGAAACGCAAAGAATCCTGGAGGGCGACGAGGCCGAGAGTGTCAGCAAGGAGATGAAGGCGATCAGAGAAGACGAAGAGCGGCGACTGACTGATGATTTGAAAGAGAAGGTCGGGCTGGTGGAGGATCAGTGGAAGGAAGCCCTTGGTCGTAGCCTCGACAAGTGCAAAACGCGCGTCGAGGAGTTTCTTGTGGAGCAGAATGGGTGGGACGACGGATTGAAGGAATGAGGTTGTTTCTTTTGCTTCACGACATATAAGGCGCAAATTTTTTTGGGTCATCGGATTTCATTTTTTTTTTCTCCACCATGTATTGCAATCATGGACGGTTGCTTGTGTTCGGGTTTTGCATGGCAATTGTCGCCCTCCCATCTCTGTTTTCTATTTGCGTTGTGCAGCACAGATACCCATTTTTATTCGGCGGATGACCTTGTTTCCCACCCCTTTTTAGAAGTAGCGATGGACTGATGTGTATATGTTAGCGGCTCATAACAAGGCCTTTGTGGGCAGTAGGCGCCACTGCCGTCTGATCAAAGGTGTTTTCACATTGTTCCTTTGTCTACATATGTACATATCTTGCGGTGTGCTTGGATGACGGTGAATCACTGTCGAGGCTGCCTGTCGTTTGCTTCATATATAGACAGACGCTTATATCCATCCACAGCTGTATGTGGTGGTTCCACATTGGAATGCATATGTATATTGATTGAGCAAGCCGGCTTATGACGATCGTCATGACGAGACATGTTTCCACCCCCCAAACGCGAAGGCTGCCCCGGTGAAGTCCCAAGCAAGAGCCGGACAAAGGCGGCCACTGCATTGTTTCCTCGGTGGTTGCTCCCGTGGTGGTGGTGCCCGACGCATCGCTCATTCACCGCCGACAGCAGAGTAGCCCAAACGGGCACTAGCGCCGTGGCCCGCGCACCTGCCAGAAATCTTTCTCTGGCGTTCGTTATAAACCCCAACCCTCTCCTTCGCATTGTCTCCCTCAAACGTTTGACACATACACACCCCACCCCCAACAGCTCTTCTCTCCTCGGTCTCCTCGCGGACCTTCCAGAACAGAAAAGCCACAAAAAAAATACAGAAAATCTCAAAAAATTCCGTCTTGACGACCCTCGCCAACCCGCTCGTCTCACACGCAGTCGCTTGACAGCCTCCCTCGACCGCTTCCCTCCTTCGACTTTTGCACTGCCCGCAGAAGTTTCTCCCTGCCCCTCTCTCTCCCCACCCGTTCGCTTTCTCGGACAGTTTAACTACTGCATACTTCACCTGTTATCGCTGTCGCAGCTTTCAGCAGCCAAAAGGTGCGCCCTCAAAACTTTTTTTTTTCTGCCGCTCACCACCACTGCCCCCCAAGCGAGCGCGCCTGCTCCACGCAACCCTGCACCTGCCCACAAAATTTTGACTTGCTCGCTCACACCCGCGCTAGATAAACAAGATGTCTTCTGAGGTCGCCAACTCTACTTCGCCCGTCCAGGACGGTGCTGCCGACTCCTCCAACGGCACCACCCTCAACACCAACGTCCCTGCTGCCCAGGCCGAGGGCGCCACTCCCACCTCTGCTACCCCCGCCCACCCCAACTCGGCCTCTCTCTATGTCGGCGAGTTGGACTTCTCTGTCACCGAGGCCATGCTCTTCGACCTCTTCTCCTCCATTGGCCAGGTCGCCTCCATCCGTGTCTGCCGCGACGCCGTCACCCGTCGCTCGCTCGGTTACGCTTATGTTAACTACAACAGCTCGGAGGATGGCGAGAAGGCGCTTGAGGAGCTCAACTACACCGTCATCAAGGGCAAGCCTTGCCGCATCATGTGGTCCCAGCGTGACCCCGCCCTGCGCAAGACTGGCCAGGGTAACGTCTTCATCAAGAACCTCGACCACGCCATTGACAACAAGGCTCTGCACGATACCTTTGCTGCTTTCGGTAACATCTTGAGCTGCAAGGTCGCGCAGGACGAGATGGGTAACTCAAAGGGCTACGGCTTCGTTCACTACGAGACTGCCGAGGCTGCCAACAACGCCATCAAGCACGTCAACGGTATGTTGTTGAACGAGAAGAAGGTCTTCGTCGGTCACCACATCCCCAAGAAGGAGCGCATGTCCAAGTTCGAGGAGATGAAGGCCAACTTCACCAACATCTACGTCAAGAACATTGACCTCGAGGTTAGCGACGAGGAGTTCCGCGAACTTTTCGAGAAGCACGGCGAGATCACCTCCGCCTCTGTCGCCCGTGATGACCAGGGCAAGAGCCGTGGCTTCGGCTTCGTCAACTACGTCAAGCACGAGGCCGCTGCTGTTGCCGTTGATACCCTCAACGAGACCGAGTTCCGTGGCCAGAAGCTCTACGTTGGCCGTGCCCAGAAGAAGCACGAGCGCGAGGAGGAGCTCCGCAAGCAGTACGAGGCTGCTCGTCTTGAGAAGCAGTCCAAGTACCAGGGCGTCAACCTCTACATCAAGAACCTTGATGATGATATCGACGATGACAAGCTTCGTGAGATGTTCGCCCCTTGCGGTACCATCACCTCTGCCAAGGTTATGCGTGATACTCTCCCTGCCGATGGCGCCGAGGCTTCTTCAGACGAAAAGGAGGCCAAGAAGGAGGACAGCGAAGAGAAGAAGGAGGGCGAGGACGAGAAGGAGAAGGAGGCATCTGGTGAGGGCGAGAAGGATGACAAGGAGAAGGAGAAGGTCACCATCAAGGGCGAGAAGAAAATCCTTGGCAAGAGCAAGGGTTTCGGCTTCGTCTGCTTCAGCAACCCTGACGAGGCTACCAAGGCCGTCACCGAGATGAACCAGAAGATGATCAACGGCAAGCCTCTTTACGTTGCCCTCGCTCAGCGCAAGGATGTGCGCAAGAACCAGCTCGAAGCCACCATCCAGGCTCGCAACCAGCTTCGCATGCAGCAACAGCAGCAGCAGCAGTTCGGTGCCATGCCTCCCATGTTCATGGCTCCTGGTCAGCAGCCTATGATGTACCCACAGGGTGGCCGTGGACAGGTACCTTTCCCTGGCGCCCCTGGACAGCAAGGTGGTCGTGGTGCTTTCCCAGGCGCTATTCCTGGTCAGCAAGGCGGTCGTGGAGGAGCACCCAACCAGCAGATTCCTCCCATGTTCATGCCTCCCGGCATGGCCCCTGGTGCTTACCCACCTCAGTTCATGAACCAGCAGTACATGCAACTTGCTCAGGCTGCCCAGCAGGCTATGGGTGGTCGTGGCGCTGGCCGTGGCGGACCCGTTCCCGCCGGTATGCCTGGTATGCCCCCAATGGGAGGTGCCCCGGGAGTCCGTGGCGGACAGTCTTTCCCTCAGCAAGGCGGCCGTGGCGCCCCACCTCAGGGTCGTCCTGGCCAACCTCCCATGCCCGGCTTCCCTCAAGGAGGTCGCGGCGCTCCCGCTGCTGGCGTCGACATGAACGCCCTCGGTGCCGCTCCTGCTGGTCAGCAGAAGCAGATGCTCGGCGAGGCTCTCTACCCCAAGATTCACGAGATGCAACCCGAGCTCGCTGGCAAGATCACCGGTATGCTTTTGGAGATGGACAATGCTGAGTTGATCAACCTGTAAGTACCACGTGATCATTGCATACATGTAACATTGCTAACCCTCGTTCAGCACCGGCGACGACAACGCGCTCCGCCTCAAGGTTGACGAAGCCATGAATGTTTATGACGAATACGTCAAGAACAAAGATGGTGAGACCGAAAAAGAAGCCCCTAAGGAAGAGTCCAAGGAAGACAAGGCCTAACTTAGTTCTAGTTGGCGCCGAGTAGGATTCTCGTCCTGAACATGGTTTTCTCGGTACCCTCATGATGACGGTTTCATGAACAAATGGCGCACGGCGTATGGGTTTACGGTTCACATTTCTTTATGGCGGACGACCTGTCGAATGATTGCACCCAAAAGTTTTGCGATATGTGGACTTTCTTTTCCCCGAGGCGTACCATCTCTTTGCTGAGCATGGTCGGCTCTTCCCATCCTTCGGTCATTCGATCTGGGGGGTTTTGCTGCAACTTTCCTTTTTCTTTTACGGCATGTACTATAGACGGACCGGTCTGCGACGACCATGACCATGATACCTTTTTCCGTCGCGAATTCTAAGAGATAAGACGTCTGTCTGTTTGGGCATAGTCTTTTTTTGGTATGGGTGGGGGTGGGGGTGATTCTGACGATGCACATCAGAATGTCTAGGGTAGTTGTGAACATGAACTATGATGGTATGCTACTATGCATTTGCTACGATGTAGATGATAATGGCAAGAAATCTTAAAATTCATGTCCATATTTCTGCGTGATGTGTTGATGTTTGGCTATCTGTTGAGTAAGTACGACCAGAAGGTGTAAAACTTCCAAATGCGCTTTCAACAGACTCTCATATGATGATTTCCTCTCCGTTTGAATCGTCTTTTCGTCTTTCGGATTGCCCCCTCCGACCACATCTGCATATGGTTGTGCTAGATAGAAGAAGGGAGAGCTGGATACGTCAACTCAAGACTCAAACCCGACCAAAGCACAATATCTATTCGCAGGGAGTGTAGGATGGATCAAAGTGTGGTAGTGATTCTGTCCCACATTTCTTCATGCAGAGGAAACAACAAAGTCTATATTGGTGTGAAGGCAGTCATTGTTCAAGGATTGCAAGAATCGGGTTAGTATCAATGTAGAGTAGTATTAGGTATTCATTCTACTTTCCCCGCGAAAAGCCAGATCGGAACAGACAAGACAAGACAAGGACGTGGACGAGGACAAGCGATACCCTTACCAACATGAAAAAAACACCCCCTAATATACCTCAGCCCTGCTCAAGAATCTTTCTCGTGTCCTGTATCAAACCCTCGATCCATCCATCCATCGATTCAACCCGATCCATGACACCCTCCGCATAACCCTCCGCAGCACCCTTCCCCTCCTCCTTCCCACAGCACGACCCCTTCTCATACTCCACCCCATTAGCCTCAGCAGCAACCCGAAAAACACTTCCCTCGAAATCCCCGCGATTATAAAAATCAACAAGCAGCCATTTCGGCGGGCGCCCCCACATCTCCGTGCAAGCCTTCACACTCTCCCCCAAACTCCCGTTGCCCTGCGCGGCATTGGTCTGGTCGAGCAACGGGATCGCCGGGAGCAAGATCTGCTGGCCGAACAGCTTAACTTCGGCATTGAGGTTGTGGTTGAGCATGTACATTTTGTCTTGAGAGATATGCAGGGGTTCGTCCATGGGCCGGTCTTGGGTACATGGGAACGCGGGGTCGGTGGGTGAGAAGGGGGTTTGCCACTGGTATGCGAATTCGTAGAGGAGCCAGGGGACTTTTTGCTCGTCGGCGCCGTCGTCGAGGGTCACGACCACGCGTTGGTTGAAGCGGATCATGTGGTCGAGGGTTGGCCATGCGTCGAGGGTTGTTGCGTTGGGAGATGGGGTGTAGACGTATGGGAGCATGCCCGAGTTTGTGAAGGGTGCGATGAAGGCTGTGGGGTGGATGTGGTTGGAATTCACCATCATGATGGAGATGACTTCGTTGGGGTGCGTCTTGAGCCATGAGACTACGGTCGTGAGGTAGCTTTCTAGGGTTCCGACATCGAGAATGTTGCATGATGTGTGGCAGAGGTGGATATCGGAGGTTTTGGGTTTGGTGTGTGTTTGAAATGTTACTGTTTGTTTGTTTGTTAGCTTGTGTTTACACTTTGCGTATCCGGTTGATTGATATGTCTTCCTCACACGTAGTTTTGGGGGTCACGGGGAAAGACAATACTCACAGCCGCGAATCCCGTCGTTAAGTTGCGATAGGACGGGAAGATATTGGTTGGATGCTGCGTTATGCGGGCGCACAAATGGACTGTTGTGAGCTACTACCATGGAAACGTTGCTGAACTTCCGGTTGCACAACTCTGCATGTCCGTTGCATTCGAGTATGTCTGGTTCTTGAAGACTATCGATAGTGTTACGCTTGGATATAGTGTTGGGAAGATCGGTAGTCGTTTGATATTCAGCACTCTTATCGATGCCAAAAATATCCGCCAGTGTATCAATTTCCTTGTCTAAAATACGAGCAGCCGTGTTGCTGTTGCTGTTAACAGTGCGGATGCGGGTCCTCATGGGGAGGGCAGTAGAAGAGGCACTGAGGACGAAAATAAGGAATCCGTTGACCAGCCTCATGATTGATGATCGTTAAATGGTGCAGTTCAATAGTCGTTAGTTTGATGATCGGTCAATCGATGATCGCCAGATAGTGTTCCTGGCCTTCCTAGGGTGGAGTAGAGTAGTAGTGTAGTGTACGTGGGTTGGGTCGAGACTCACCCAGGCAGTTGGGGAGGACGTGAGTATTTTATACCCGCGCGTGCTGTAGACAACAACATCGTCGTCGAATGATGGTTTCGGGTTTCAAATGGTTGTAGTGTTGGGATCGATGGTGACTGGGGGTTTAGAAAATCGAAAAAATGATTTTTTGCTCCAGCCCAGTGATAGTTTCCATCAACGTTGGATCGTAAACGATCAGTCAAGTGTATCTCACCATTACATTGCAACGGAAGGGACCTTTGATGTGCAAAGGAAGGAGCAAGGGCTAATGTCGAGCAAGAAGATCGGGCAAATCAAAACTGGCGTCTTTCAGAAGACACATTGGCTGCAATATGTCCAGACTGGTGCGGTTCGACTTCTGGTAGCGATCTTATGGTAACGATATTAGCCATACAGGACCAGTTACGACTTTACCTACGTCCCGAGTCTATGGAAGCACCAAGCTACGCCTCAGCCACACCCACGGCACCTGCAGCTACCCGTTCACTACTACATGCGGGTCACACCAAACAACGGCTGCGTTAAAAGTAGAGAATAATCTCATGCAAGTCTATCCACCACCTCGTAAATGCATACGATGGGGTTAGCTGCAGTTGCAGCATCTGTGGTCATCACGTTGGAAACGGACGGGCGTGTGAGTTGGAAAAATGTTCAACAGACTGATATTCATCAACTGAGGAGAAGACAAAAGGCCGTGAAGCCCATGTGGGAGTGGGTCTTTTGTTTTTAGGTTTCGTAAGCGCGTTAAATCGTTCAAGTGGCCGTCAAAGCGAAAGAGAGAAGCAAACATAAATGACTAGATCCTCCGACCCGCAATCAAAGAGATAGACCCATAGTGAGAAGAAAGGGGCGAAGAGAGAGAAGTTGAAGTAATGAAAGAATCAAAGTATCGCTGAACGCTGCAATGCCGTCGCTATGCTTTCCGCCCAAGCAAAGAGGTAGACCCATTATGGTGTTGTGTTCTCGAAAGAAGGAAAATCGCAATATTTGAGATTGGCGAGCGGCAACACTTTCAGAAGCCGCTCCCAGGCGAATGCAAACATTGGAATTGGGCAACCAAGTCGTTAGTTCGTCGAATGTATCGTCGTTTGTAATAGATGCAGAATCGTAATCATGTATTGGTATCGTTGAGCCTGAGCTCGTCAAGTCTTTTTAATGGTCGTTATGGTATCGTTTTTGTGTTCTTTGGTTGTCGTCTTTGTTTTCGGCAAAATCTTAACCTTAGGGGTTTCAGGTTGCAGGCTCATCGAGTCGTCTAGCATCGATAGCCGGTCTCACGGAGACAGGAGGTGCATCTCTCATAAGCACGGATGCTTCCGCGGCCGCAGTAGCAAGAAGAGACGGAGGTGGCGGAAGATTTGCTCGACCTTCGGCCGTTGGAATCCAGCCCGCAGTCACTGTTCCGGGGGCTAGTTCCGCCGCTGGAGCTCGAGCTGTCATACTCGTTGGACGAGCAGGTGTTCCTCCTACCCGTACCAATTGCTACAGGTAAGCCTTGAACAACACCGCCCTGACCTGGGCGTTGACCAGGGTACATTCCATCGTTGACGGAGAAGTTGCGGCAAATCATGTAAGCACGAGTGGCAGCGGCATTCTTTGCCAATTCGTCAGATTCATATTCGACGTCTGTAGAGTACTCTCTGTTGTTCACTCGTACAGTACACCCGAAGCCATAACGAGTGCGGAAGGTCTGGAAATGAGGGTCGGGCCAGTTGCGGCGCTGGCAGAGGCCTATACATCGTTAGATGGACGGTCATCCCACACTCCAACTTCGACACTCCATGTCCAATGTACCCCTAGCATTATCGTGTCTTGTCTTGATCCGGCCAATTGGTAACCGGTGTGCTAGCCACATGATACGTGCATGGAGTTTTATTGAAAGAATGTTCTCCCGACGCCAATTGACACTACTTGGGTTTACAGGGAAGAAGGTATAGATGCAAAATATACACAGCTGTGGTACATTGGGACATTGATGACGCGAGACTAATCGAGAACATACCTGTGAGGTACATGATGTAGAACATGGTGATGCGTGTCGACGTGTAAAATGGATGGCAATTGGTGCAAAAGGGCGCTTTGAATGCAGATTCGTGGACTAGAATGGAAATTCGATGCCAGGTAAGCTGATAAACTGGCACACGCACGTTGCTGGCGACAGTATCAGAGATGGTGGCTACTGTTGTACGACGGTGAAGGTGTCGGGCAGCCTGACAGCTACCAAGGTAAAAAGTGACAGCTGTCGAGGAGTATCAGGAAAGGCCAGCGGCAAGGGAGAGAGAGTGGGCTGCAAAAAGAGAAGGGGGATGGATGGGGGGGGTGGCAGGATAAGTGTAGTGTGGGATGAAGGTAATTTATTGCAGCAGGCGAGTGCAGCGGGCGGTTCTGGGAATGCAACCGCATTGAGATGGGGCCCCGCCAGTAGGATGCAGAGGCAATTGGACATGAAAGAAATGAATAACCTGCGGGTTTTGTTGCGGCTCTGTGGAATAGACCCATATTGATGTGCTGGCGTGCATTTTCGCCAGTGACGACGGGGGGGTTCCAAAATGTGAGCTAACAAAAAAAAAGACGTTAAACTAGAACCGTACACAGCTTCTGTTTGACCGGTACTCGCGAGAGCGCACATCATTCGGTTTCGCCACTTTGCTGCAGCAATAGCGTGATGAACGGCTCGCTGGTGATCGGAAGTATTGCCCTGGGACTCGCTTGTCAAGGCTGTATCTCGACGTTTGGATCGACACCTTGTCACGCCTCATGCGGACGCATAGCGACTACGTACCAGCACCTCCTCCCCTCGGCTCGGCGAGACAAGAAGGCGAACGACTCGATTGCACTCGATGCTCGTACTCGTGCGTACATTCACTGATAGTATGGGGGCCGCTAGTGCCGCGTTCATTGGCAGCGAAGTGAGGAGACGAAAGATGCAAAGCACGGCAACGTCAGATGCTGCAAGCCCCATGTGCGTGGTTTCCGTGGCACCGAAATACCATATCAGCCTTGGCAGAGAACTGATAGCAATCCATCCCTCGAGAATGGTCGGTTCAATCGAAGGATTGGTTTTGCATTCTGCGGAGCAGGGTCAATGGTCGTGATAGGGCGGCTGGTTGCAGCTCCAGGAGTACACGGGGCAGGGAGCCGAGCAAGATGCACACAGACAAGTAGACAGGCAGGCATTGATGGTTGATTCCCCTCGTTTTCCTCTGCCGGCAAGGAGCGCGGGAGTCGCGGCGAGAGAGGAGGGAGAATGGATAGAATGGACGGTCAAGAATCAAGACGCTATGGTGAATTGGCGCGAATTGCAGGACGAGCAGAGAGGAATTGCAGGCAGCTCCCCGGCAAGGGACAGGGAAAGCTGGGGCAAACGGAGGAGATTGATTGCTGGAATCGAGGCCTCAGAGCGAACGGGGTTTGGTGTCGCGGTGGGAGGAGGTTGCACGCCCGAAGGCGACCGTGCTCATGCATCCATCTGCGTGGTGAGTTGGCACACGCTTGAATACTCTGGAGCGTGGAGCCATCTGCGCCAAACCCCCAAAAGGGCGACGACCAACGGCTGCTAGTAGCAGCCATGCTTGCATGCATGAATCGCGAGTTGCAGAAGCGTCTAATTCTTCTCCATCAGAGGTATGCACGCAAGCATCGCGACCCGTGGTGGATCCTGCTTGGCAGGCGAGCATCTCAGCCCGGGGTCGGCACAGGCGTTCCTGAGACGCGCATCTGGGAAATCATCCTTCGGGGGGGAGCGAGGGAGAGCGAACAGCTCACGCACATTATCCGAACTGCTACTCCAAGGGCGGGTGCACGTCAGCAAGAATATCTCCCCAGATATTGCAGTACATGGTGGCTTGTCGAGGGCGCCAGCCTAGCGAGCGTCATGGTCGACGACTTGTCCTCTAGCCATCCAGCGAACCATGACACGACGAGCTAGAACGGGGCTGCAGCTGCTCAACCATGACGGTGGCGAGCAGAACAATCGACTCGGAGTGGGTATGCTGATGCCGATGGATGGATAGTAGGTAATACCACACACGTATGTACATATGTACATGTAAACCCCATGCCATCCTATACGTACGGTGATCGGTAGGTGGCATAGCGGATCATCGTGGATCGACGCTCGCTTTGAATACAGCAGTGAAAGCATGCACATAAGCAGAGAGGCAATGGCAGATACGATATCTAGTACGGTCGACACAGGCCATCCGGATGACAGAGAAGAAGTGTGGGAATGGTAGGTACTCGGTAGGACCGAGCTAGACGAAACAACGGCCTCTCTCGCTGGCTGGCACCGGTGGAAAGGACGAGGACACACACGCAGGTGGGCGGGGCATCACAATTGCACTTGACCACGAGCCAGCGGTGACGGATGCTCGGTCGAGAATTGTATGTACTCGCAGTGCTATGATAGCTGTACAGGTACATGTAATGGAGATGCGACACAACACCACAGGACCCTGGAAGCCCATGTGCATACATGTACATATAGCAGCAACGGGTTACGCAGAACGAGCGACAGATGAATTGACCCCTCGTCTTAACTTGTTTCGTCTCGTCCCACTTCACCTCGCGTCGTATTGAGCTGTGTCCTTTGACTTTGGTTACGCGCGGGTAGCGGTTGCAAAACGAACAGACGGGACAGATCGAGGATTGCAGTGCCGCTGCAGGCACCAGGCCCGGAAGGGAACTTTCTGCCGTTGCAATTGGCGACACAGAAACGCTGGTCCTTTGATTGTTCAACGCGAAAATGAGGGTGATGCTGGAGAAAATGGCGGTGAGCAGGGCGGGCGTGGCGACGCTGATATCGAGCCCCTCAATTGTGCATCGCTCTAGTTGAAAACAGAAGGGAAAAACTCTGCATGGAATGGAACTAATTACCGCCGTGGTCATCCTTCCCTTCATCCTTTGATTGTTATCTTTGGAACTGGCCTCTTTTCTTTCTTTGCATCCTCCGTGCGGCGGCGGCAGCGTAGCGATGGGACATCCAAGCACATCGGTGCATGTCGCCCATACTTGAATGTAGGTAGATCGGATCTGAGTGATCCTCGTTTGGATCGCCATTGGCGAATCATGTCGAGAATAAAGGACAACGTCTTGAAAGCGCCGGCCAGCTGACTCATATAAATGAATTGATCTCTTCGCATCCTCTTCGAATCGGCCGGCTTCCAGTTCGCTGGGGGAGGGAGGTCGACCCACTGGTTCTCCTTGTCGTTCCAACCACGACCATCACTCTCCCTCCTCTTCAGCCTTGCCGGACCAGATGTGCTGCTCGTGCTGCTGCTTCTGCCGTTGCTGCCTGCACTGTCTGTCGCAAGGATGAGAGGGGCCGGAGCGTGCCGTGTGTTGGTGTTGGAATTTTACGTTGCACGGAATAAAATCAGGGTCTTCGAGCCGTGCGCAACGATTCCCACGGGCCAGACCAAGACTTTTCTGTACAGCACTGCACATGTGTGTGTAATTAACTGCCCGGTCCAGATGTGCCGCTTTTTCTTCTGTTACAGTTCCCGTGTGTAGTCTCTTCAAAGGCGGGGAATCCAACGTTGCAACGCTTGAAAATCCTGAATGATCTGGCTGATACATCGCATTTACATCTCCATCGATCGATGCATCAGTGAGGAGAGACGGGAAGCCACCCGAAGGGAACGACGCACTTCATTTGAACAACTTGCTAGAAATCATCTGCTGTGTGAGCAAAAATCACGGCGATCCCTCTCCTCACTTCATCCACAGTATCGTAGGGGAACCGATGGGATAGCCGTGGGTCTCCTCACTCGTCCGAAGCCGTGCACTCTCTATCCAGATGATTGCGACTTGGGGTTCAGTACATAGCTCTAGTAAAAAGCATCTTTGCAGATGAAATCAACGAAACGATTGTCTTGATCACCAAATTTCGAATAATTGCTGTCATCACACATAGCTATTGCACTCATTGCATCTCATCACGGCCGCAACCGCAACCATGAGCAAAATCCTCCGTTTGACCCTATTTAAGATCCCCGATCCCACCCACGTTCAAGAGGCCATTGCGAAATACTCTAGTCTGAGCAAAGACGCTGTCAAAGTACGTGCAATCAAGGATAGAAAGAAAGAAACAGACTCCGTGGTTTCACTCCCCGCACCAAAATCACATATACACGAACCTACCCAACCCAAGAACTCAATGTCATAGATTAGACTACTCATCGTAAAACCACAAACAACGTTTCATTTCCTTCTCCTCACCCCTACATCACCGAAGAAAACGCAGTGAATCTAACCTTCCAACCCTCTTCAACCTCACAGAATGGCAAGCCCTACATCACGAGCGCGAGCGCAAACCCTACACATGCCGACCCCCGCAACAAAGGCTACACACTGATAGCGCGGACAAGCTTCGAGAGCAAGGCGGATATGGATTTTTATGACAACGAAGACGAGGCGCATGGACAGATCAAGGCCTATTTGAAAGGGAAGGTTGTGGATGGGCCGCCGCTTGTAGTGTACATGGATGTGTAGAGTGCCGGTAAAAAAGAGAAGGGAGGGAAGTGGAAGATGTGGATTGAGAAGAAACCAAAAAAAGTAGTGAATAAAGGTATTTCTTCTCTTAGTCCTGACCAAGAAGGACCTTGGGAGGCATGGGCAACGTAACTGAAGGAATGAACCCAGTATGAATATGAAAAAAAAAAAATTGATGGCACCAGATGGCTAGTATTATCTATCGACTCGTCTGTATCTTGAGAAGTTGTAGACATATCCTCCGATCGTTATCCTGAGTACATTGTCTTTTGCAGGACAATGATGTGTACCGCGAACTAAGCAGCCTTGAACTCGTGAGCGATGGACTTGTTGCATCTGATGCTGTTGGCGTGTCGATTTAGGTAAATCAATCGGACATGGATCCTCGAATTACTACCAGTTGTCATATCTCCCATCTTAATCCCATTAAGTCTTCCGCGATCTGTGGTTTTCTATTCGGATATCTCCTTCTGCCTTACATAGGCGTGATCCGATGAGAAATGAGCGAACGAATTCGAAGGGTTGATTAGGTGTGCGATTGTAAATATCTCATAGGCAACGGAGACAAGCGATGCGATAATGTACACAAGAAGAAAAGAATGTCGGGACTTATTATCTTGCGGGTGGCGGAGAAAAGATCTGTAAAGTGTGACTGAGAAAAAGAAAGAGCAGCAGAGGTTACTGTTCGGATATCGGACTTCGGCTCCACGGTTTCTGAGCCAGGTCGGCCGGCCAGCCAGCCAGACGCGGCGTGACACGCGTGAAGAGAGGGGTATGGAAAGCAATTGAGTGTGTTTGGTCACTGGGTACGTATAATAGAATGAGGGGCAAAGTCACCCTGAACCTTACGTCCTCGGTCATTTCTTGTATCTTGTTGGAACTGAAATCATTAGATCAACCTTGTCCACTCTAGCCTTCCATCATAGTGAGTTCACCCGGTCCTTGAATAGGAACAGAGCCAACTCGTTGCAGGAACAATAAAAAGAACATTCGTCATGGCACACGTCGGAGCGCTCCCAAAAGTACATCGCCACATCACAGGGCACAATAAGGAAGGCAAGGCCATCTTCAGCGACAAGTTTGACGATGAGAGCAAGATGAAGGTTCACTCCGACGGCATCGCCTTCGCGCTCAGCTATACTACGCAAGGCTTCCCCGTCGACATGGAGCAGGACAAAGACCTCGACGTATACGGCAAATACCTAGCGGACACACCAGGACTCGTTGTCTCGGGCGGAACTGTCCTACGTCACGTTGATATCCCCCCTAAAACCGAAGGTGCTATGCATCGTACTGTATCACTAGATTATGGATGTGTTCTCGAGGGCGAAGTCGATCTGCTTTTAGATAGCGGAGAGGTTCGGACAATGCGGAGAGGCGATGTTGCGGTTCAACGAGGAACGATGCATTCTTGGATCAACAAGAGCGATACAGAGTGGGTGAGGATGCTGTTCATCCTGCAGCCGAGCAAGCCGTTGAACATTGCGGGCGCAACATTTGGAGAGGATCTGGCAGGCATGGCAGGCGTACGTCCATCGGATTAGATATGACCATCGGTGGTTCTGCAGCTGAGCATAATGAAATGAAGCAGACCGGAAGGAATTAGCCGTGTTCAAGCATAGTGTGGTCTAGTCGAGGTGAATGCGGATTTCTATCGTCAAATGCTCTAAGGTCTTGGCGCGCAAAACAATCTAGTCCTTATCTAGTCCCTAGCTCCACCCACGTCTAAACTTCTTCACCTGCGTCCAGCAGCGGGCCTCCCAAAAACGTGACATTACAAACTACATTACTTGAGGGGATTGAAACTAACAACCCGAAAATAGGATGCGGTAACTCTATATCATGATCTATCCTGATCCGGCAACGGAAGGCTCTTGCGAACAATAGTAGTCATAACAAACAGCACAACCATTGTTTACTACAGTCGACGTCAGCCGCCAAAGGCGTAGACCGAATACGGGGAGACAACAAAAAGAATGGCTACTTCTAATCGAGATGACTCTCCCTCCCCTCCTACATCTTCCTTTTCATCACCATCGCAACAACAACCACTGCCTCCTTCGGCTCGTCTCGAGGAAATCTTAAACAGCGACGATCGCTTTGAAGAGCTTTCAGATTCGGAAAACGATTTGTACGAAGACATGGGCACGGCAACCCTAGAGGAGCAAGCAAACATTACTTACCTGGACAAAATCAGGATACCGATTCAGGATAGTCTAAAGACCGAGACATCAGAAACCCAGGACGAGACGCTGCAGATTGTGCTCCCGTTTCTAGAGGGAAACCCAAACAACTTTCCACTCAATATCTTTGGTATCCCGCAGCTTCAGAAAGAAAAGCATGTTGCCTTTCTAAAGCAATCGCTGGGTGACTACCCGGGTGCTTTCGCGATGCTAGATGCTTCACGACCGTGGATGGTTTATTGGAGCTTACAGGGTTTGAGCTCCATGGGTTACGATTTATCGGAGTACAGAGACAGGTAAGTCGCATCTTGTTTTTTTCTCTTTTCCTTTTCGTTGTCACTTTCCAAATCCATGCTTTTTTATCGCACAAAGATCAAGATCAAGCTCCATCTGACGATATCCCAGAGTCATTCATACCTTCAGCCTCATTCAACACCCATCCGGAGGCTACGGAGGCGGTTTCGGTCAACTTCCCCACTTGGCTGCCACCTATGCTGCGGTACTATCCATCGTAATGGCTGGAGGGACCAGCGCCTACGAATCCATCGATCGCAAAAACATGTGGCACTTCCTGGGCCAGATGAAGCAACCAAGCGGAGGCTTCACCATGGCTGCCGCAGGCGAAGAAGATATCCGTGGCGCCTACTGCGCTCTTGTCGTCCTCTCTTTGCTTCACATCCCACTCGAACTCCCTCCCGATGCACCAGCCCGTGCTCACGGGATCACCACCTTCACCGACAAGCTTGGCTCCTGGATATCAGCATGCCAATCCTTCGACGGTGGCATGTCGGCAGCGCCCGGTAACGAAGCACATGGCGCCTATGCCTTCTGCGCCTTGGGATGCCTCTCTATCATCGGATCACCCAAGCGCACTCTCAATGACCACCTCGACCTACCCGCGCTAATCCACTGGCTGTCGGCACGGCAATGCAGCCCCGAAGGCGGCTACAACGGACGCACCAACAAACTCGTCGACGGCTGCTACTCTCACTGGGTCGGCGGCTGCTGGTCCATTGTCGAAGCTGCGGCTTCATCGTCCAACATATGGAACCGCACTGCGCTGTCACGGTATATTCTCGCGGCGGCACAATTCAAGAAAGGTGGCTTGATCGACAAACCCGGAAAACGCCCGGATGCGTACCACACATGCTATAACTTGGCAGGGCTGAGTGCTGCGCAGCATGTGTATAGCTACGAGGATACGATGCTCGAAGAATTGGGTGGTAGCGAGCTGGATGCGCCGTACTACTGGAAGGTAGAAGGGCTGTATGAAGGGGACAAAGTTTGGGAGGAATCCGATGAGCTTGAGCAAGTCCATCCGATTTTTGTGGTGCCGTTCCGCGCGGTTCACGAATGTAGAAGGTATTTTGAAGACATGAGGAGGCTTGATTTCGGCCAGGAGCGCGAGTGAATAGCTCGTACATTCGGTTCCCTGGATAAATGGAATGGCGGTTTGGCTAATGCTTTTATACGTTTGACGTGTTTGTGTTTCGTAGATAACGGGCACTTGCATACTACTCAAATGGCAATGCGGAGACTTTCGCTCATTATATTTTGCTTGGGTTGAGTATCATCTTCTTCCCACTTCTCTAGACCCCATATTACATGTGCTAGGGGTCGGTTTGTGCATTCGAATTTTCTCTTTTGTCCCCGTGAGACTTTTGTCCCCTTTTCTCTCTCTCTCCTTCTTCTTAAACCCAAAATCAAAATCAATGAACTCGAGAACCGAAATGTGGTGACTTATGACACAACTCCAACACTCCACCCTCATCCTTCCATGTCTCCCTTAACTCCCTCAGTTCACGCTCATGATCATAACACAGGAGATTTGAATCGCCAGTAAAATCCTCAGCTAGATGTATCCAGTGACGCAGCAACACCAAAACTCTTGTTATATGCACTTTTATCCCCTCGCCCGGTCACTCATGTTCCCAAAATACTCTGATATATCAAACTCCTACATTCTTCCTCCTGTCCTCAAAGGATATGAACCTTGCTATATATCATCACTTCCCAACATATGCTCAGAGATGGGCAGCTGAAAACAATCAATCTTGCTACCACTATCCCCCTCCCCCCAGTGGCTTCCCGATCATACTGTCCAGGTCATATGCCACGAGTATGCGTGATCTGCAAGGGCAGCATTCATTGCTTTCTTATCGTATATGGGAAACTCTCCCTATATCTGTTCCCCCAATTGCAAGAAAGATTGAGAGAACAATTTTTGGTAATTGCTAGTTTTTGTTTTTTTGGGAGTCTCTTTATCGTCGTAACGATCGCGGTGTGCAGCATCACTCAAACTCGGAATTAATATTAGAATTTTCTGGTGCGAAGCCGTGGGATGTTGTCCACATACTCTGGATGCAATTGATCGATCGATCGATCAGACATCTCCGTCGTCCTTAGCTTACATCTACCCTACGCTATTGTTATTTCTCTACTTTTTGCCGTCTTTCACATGTCCGTTTTCTTCTCTCGCTCTTTCTTCCTTTGTCTTCACGAGATTGACCGATTATTTGACCGAACGAATAAATGATTTACGCTCGTCTAATCCAGTCCAGCATAGCTCAGCTCAGCCCAGTCATGTAGTCCAGTCCGGTCCCAGTCGAATTGGACCGAGAGATCAGAAGACTATTCGTTTGCTTCGTTTCATACCAGCCACCCGATCATGACATTCTCGTTCTTACCTAGTAAGCCCTACTGTCTAGAAGGGCGAAGAAGAAGGAAAAAAGGAGGCTAGAAAGAAACCGGAAGCTAATGATCTTTTAGCTAGCTTCAAGTATGTGTACCCACGAGGCAGAAGGGAGGATCCGGTGATTGCAGATCATGTGTTCTTTCATTCCCTGTTCTTGTCCTTGTTCTTCTTGTTCTATATTTTCCGGTCAAGAACACAGGAGTGGGGAGTTTGGATACAAGGAGGGGGTTGGGTTGGTTAGTTTGGGTTTTACAGTGGTGGAGGTGGGGGGCAAGAAGGGGGGGACTATTCTTTGTAGGTATCCACTAGAGACGAATCAATGGATTGGTGAAATAGTTGTGGATTGAGTGGTTACAGACTCGAACGGAACCCCCCCAAAAAAAACAGGAATCAAGGAAGAACAAGATCCATCTCTTGATGCTATTCACACACACCATCGCTACTATAGCTACTGCATCTTCTCCCTTCCTTCTTGATATCATGGTCATGTAATGGCCATGGTGGGGATTAGGGCTATAAGAGATGGAGGGGGTGCCATGACGCGTGAGATTGATGTCCTAGGTAGGACAAACAAACCATGGCCCCAAACTCCCCAAAGATCAGCAGTCAGCCATCAGCAGCCAAACCCATGTTCGCACTCCGTTCTTTGGTCAAAATTTTTTTTTCCTCTTTGCTTGGAAAAACAACGACGAAAAGAGACAAGCACGTGAATCAGAAACCAAGGTAGAAGTAGAGAAGCAAGGGAGGGCAAAAAAGTAGGGCCGAAGCATTACATTCACATCATCGATGGCGGCGGCTTCGAAAGTCAATGGCACATGGATTCCATTTCGGTTCTCTCAACCTCGCGCAGGGATGACCCCCGTCTGCAAGATTCAGCGAAGAAGAGAGCCGGAGAGAAAAGAAAGAGAAACAGGGTGGTTGGGAGAGGGTCGGACACTAATTGGTCTAGGGTGAAGTCGGTGAGCTCGCTCGCGACAGAAAGAGAACGGCCAATTTTAGATTGATTGGTTCTGTCCGCCCGGGGTTGACCGATGAGACACGAGCAGAGAAGGGTAGAGTTGTGTAAGGGTGGTATGTTATGTTAGGCAATGGCAAGGTGGGGAAAGGAAAAACCCCCGACGTTACACGAGGGAACGAACAAGAGGTGTCTTTGCTGCTATTGTTTTCTTTTCCAGTGTCGAGGGTTCTAGGGATTCGGGGCAATTCGGCGGATTTTAGTTTCGGGACTTGGGGCGGGAAGGATGGGTAGGTGGGTAGATGGTGCGGTGATCAGCTCTCTTTCTCGATGGGTGGATGGACGGGACAGGGACAAAGGGTCCAGGTCGAGCGGGAAAGGGAAAGGGAAAGAGGGAAATCTCTCAGTCGAGCGGAGCTGGCGGCGATGTGCATGAGGGAGGTGGAGGAGCTGTGGGTGGGGATCACTATATTTCAATATATTCGCAGCAGGTGGTGCGAAGTTCTGGATGGGTTGGATTGGGGGGCTAAGCGGGGCCAATGGTGGACGAGCAAGGAAGGGCATGCAAGGTGGCCGGATGGAGTAAATGGAGGAATGAATTCGTGAAGGAATCGAGGCGAGGATTCAACGGGTGGCAGTTATGATCTGCTTGTTCATACATATGATGTAGTAGTAGTCCATGTACTGCAAGGACGCATTGAAGCGCAGGGCACTCGGTCCACGCAGCTTGCACGCACGCACGCACGCTTTATTATTATTATTATTTTTTGGTTGGGGTACAGTATTACATTACCTACATACATGCATACACGCTCTCACAGCGTGGTCGTCCCCAAACCAAGGGACCAGCTGCCCCGCCAGCCAGCCAGCCAGCCAGCCGAAGTCGAGACGGATCAAAACGGAAAAAAGAAATAAACAGACATTGAGGGATTGTTGTTATGATTTCTTCTTCTTCTTCTTCTTCTTCTTCTTCTTCTTCTTTTTGTCTCGCAGACGCGACGGGCCGGCGCGAAAACCACGAACAAAGAAAGGACGGATGGCAAGAGTCGGTGAGTAACAGATTGTATCTGGTGGCGGTGGCCCGGGCTGTCCGGTTTGTTTGCTGGCTCGCTCGCTTGTTCGCCTGCTTGCTTGCTCGCTCCACTCCACCCCCGCGGCTTACACTGAGCTTTTTTCTCACTGCTGCTGCTGTTGCATCTTCAAGTCCGATGGGATCCCTTATTTCATCATTTCATCTCGAAGGGAGCGGGAAGGGCTGCTGGCGGGTGGTTGGCATGTACAGCGCAGCACAGCACAGCACATATGCCGTGCAGGACGTTTATCGTTATCGGCTATCGATACCTAGTCAGTCGGTCCAACCAAGTCCAGTCCAGTCGCCCTGCTTGGCTGCCCGCCTGCTTGCTTGCCCGTGTGTGGTGGCCTGTCTGATCTGTCGCGTCTGTCTGCTCACAACTAACTGCAGCGTAGTACCGCCTACCGCGAATGAATCAATCCAGAGCATCTGAGGAATGCCGGTTGACTGACACATTCGGCCCTTGTAACCTGCAGCACCTAAGCTAGCCAGCCACAATTTCTACATGGCTCGTAAACGGCGTCAGCAAGCCCAAAGAACGAGCATGTCATGTCCATGTCCATGTCCATGTACACTGAACCGGCCAGAGTCACTGCCGATGCTGACTCTCTTTCCCTTCCCTCCCTCTACATCGGATTTTCCTGTGCTGTCTGGCGCCTGTCTGGGGGGGGGGGGGGGGGGGGGGAAGCGTCATCAGCGCCTACATACCTAGACGCATACACACACACACAGAAAGAGAGAGGGAGAGAGAAAAAGGGCCTACGTTATCGTTCGGTATTCTTCGCCCTGGCTTTTGGGAGTGGTTTGGATTTGTTTTTTGCTCGGTTCATCGTCTCTCGTTTGTACCTACATTGCCATGTCCCATGTACGTACGCGCCTATGTGGGTGAAGGAGCATGTATCGTGAGCTATATATACCGGCGCAGTGATCCGATCCGAGTCGAGTCGAGTCGAGCCGGGGGCAAAGCTGGAGGGAGCTGCTGGTCAGATAGGCGCTGTGTCTGTAGGTAGAAGAGGAGGCTGTATGTAGATGGAGATGTGAACAGAGACAGACAGACAGAATCCATGCTCGTCCCACAAAAGCCGCGGACGGGCAGATCACCACCAGTTGCAAAGGTGGAGAGAATGGCCTCAATGGCCCGCCTGCCCCCGCTCATTGGCCGCGGCGCGGGTGCTGGTGCTGCAACTGCAATGCACAAAGTCCCGTGCCCGTCACCGCTTTTTTGCGAACCAACGAGACCCACGCCGCACGTCCCCCCAACCCCCAACCCTCCTCCTCGACCCTCTCTTCCGTCCGTTTGCTTCAATTCTTGTTCGTTCTCTCTCACATCACACCGCTCTCACTGCCTAGAGCACAGAGCAGAGCTGAACCGCACTCTCTCATCTCTCCGCCCATCATGGAGAACCAAAACTCCCACCACAGCAACCCAAACTCCAACCCAAACTTCCATCTCTACGCCTTCGACCCCAATTACGACCCCAACGCAGATCCAGACAACAACCACAGAGCCTACAACGGCCTGCTCACCCACTCCACCTGGCCGCTGCCTCTCTCCCCCTCCGCCGCCGCCATGCACCACAACCACAATCCCCACCATCAACAACATCCGCACCACCACCAGCAACAACAACATCACCATCAACATCAACCCCACCACCACCAGCAGCACCCTCACGACCAGCGACGCGTCAATACCGTGGCCGCGACCACCGCCGCCGTCACCAATAATGTCCTGCCCACCTCGACCGCCATGGCGCCTCTTCAGACGGCAAATCTCAACTTCGCCTCCGCCATGACCACCAACCCTATGCTCAACGAGTGGATCAGCCTCAGCGCCGCTGGCAACTTTTCTCAATCCGCCTACGATCCCATGGGCATGAGCACCGCAGATTTCACCACCAGCTTTGGCGCCCCGCTCCAGGCCTCGCCCGTCGACTTCGGCATCAACACCTCCCAGGCTTTGATGACTTCCATGCCCATGTCAGCCCCGTTCAATATGATGACCACCTCAATGGATCTCACCCAGCACATGGCTACGGCTCCCTATGGCATGTCGGATTTCCAGCACGAGTTCTCCAACATTCCCAACACCACCGCTACTCAAGACATGACTGTCGCCGCGAGTGCCGCTTCCGCCAGTGTCGGAAGCGGTTCGCCAACCGAGAATTGGCTCGAAGTCCGTTCCCTCCCCAGCGACAATGGCTGGAGCATGATCGAGACGGGTCACCACCACCGCAACTCATACGATCTGTCAAACGACCCGGCTGCCAACCTCATCTTCAACCCAGCCCAGTCCTTGCACATCCGCACAAACTCCGACTCGTCACAGCAGTCCGATGTCCCTCCGTCAGCCGGTTCCCTCAGCAGCTTCGAGGAGGTTCAGTTCCCCATGAATTCCCCCCAGTCTGATGTTGAGAACACGTTGGAACATGTCCACTCCAACTGCCTTCACGGTCTGCCCATGGACGACTTCACCAACTACATTTCGCCCAACCAGTCGGTGAGCCCACCCATGGCACGCGTCGAGCCTGTCGAGATCAAGCCGTCGCCATCCCTCTCATCATCCCCAACCTCTTCCGCCATGAGCTCCCCACCGGTCGCCCGTCGGAGGAAATCACCCACTACCTCCACAGCTGCCGCCGGGGCCAAGCCTGCCAAGAACATTGCCAAAAAGACGCAAGCCCACTCCACCAAGAAGGATGCTCAAGGCGAGAAGCGTGTTGGTAAACGGCGCGGTCCTCTGGGTCCCCAGCAGCGCCAGCGAGCTCACGAGATCCGCAAGCTGCGCGCCTGCTTGAGGTGCAAGTTCTTGAAGAAGACGTGCGACAAAGGTGACCCGTGCGGTGGATGCCAGCCATCCCACGCCCGTTTGTGGCAGGTCCCTTGCACTCGCATCGACATCAAGGATATTGGATATTTCATGAAGGACTGGAAGGCCGACTACGAGCGTCACGTCAGCCTCGGCTTCTCCATTGGCAACATCAAGGGCTTCTCTCCTCACGAGCGTCCCATCTACATCACCCACGGCTACGGCCACTACCTTCCCATCATGGCTCGCGAGGTCTACGTCCGCGACGAGAAGTGCTTCGGTGTTGACTGGTTCGAGTCGCTCAACGGCCTCTCTTTCGAGATCAACACTGCCAAGCTGTCTGCCGGCATGGAAGGCGTCTCGCGGTCCATGCTCTCCAACTACCTCGATCTACACATCGATGGTGGTTTTGAGGGCTTCGTGGATGAGTACTTTGAGGGCACATACTTCGTCACTGAGCTTCTCAAGACGGCGTACCGCTTCTACACCCGCGAGAAGCTCCCCGTGATCCGCAAGGCGTTGAAGCTCGTTGTGGCCTACAACCTGACTCTCCACGTCACCATGGTCGAGGGTCTCGGCGACGAGAGCCAGACGGTTGGAAAGGTCGAGGACCAGCAGTCCAAGTTCTGCAACAAGACCATCGCCCCAGTCATGATCAACTTCCAAGTCAAGTGTGCTCTCGCCGACATGTGGCGTGAACTCCAAAAGGACGTGCTCGAGGAGCTCTCTGCCCTGTACTCATCCGTCTACAGTGGCGACAAGCTCAAGAACTGGCCGACCATCTTCATGCTCGCAGGCATCCTTCTCGCCGTGTGGGAGTTGATGCAGTTCGATTGCAGCTACCGCGTGCCGGACCAGGCTGCGGTCAACAAGTTCTGCAACGACATGGAATCCACGCCCGTTGGCGTGATCGTCGGCCTCTTTTCCGCCATCTCGCAGAAGCTCCCCGCCTTCACGGAATGGGATACCCGGAAACACCACCACCTGCTCAATTCGAATCCGGCGGTGTGCGACGCCATGACCGAGGTCCGTGCGCATGTTACTAAATATGGTAAGTCCAAAGACACCGTCTGTTTTAGCTAGGCCCAAACTAACCGCGCGTGCAGAGACGTATCTTCGCTCACGGAGCGATTGCAAGTTTGACCGCAACGACTTCGACTCACTGTCAAACAAGTTCCTCTCCAAACTGGTCATCCGCGCCAACTAGAGGAATGGACCCGAACTGTCCGCCCTCTCACCTCCAACTTCGACTTCTTCGTCTCCCTTCGTCCCAAGGCTACTCATCATCACCTTCCTGCCACCCCACCCAAAGCCTCATCACTGCCTCTGACCCCACCTGCCCATCTCTTTACGGGTTTATGAAATCTATAGATTACGTGTCCACGTTTGCTTAGTCAAACCACGATCTCTATGACGGCTGACGACTTACACCAAAAAAGTATGATGACGACTGCAACTCGTTTGATATTACATCCTTTATTGATTTGATTTGATTCCCCGGCGTGTCACGGACGCCATGTTCAAACGGCCTCCCTGTCTGGGCTCCACCTATCCAACTACACCACACTCTTTTACGGCGGCACCGGCTTTTTCCTTTCTGTCTCTTTCCTTTTTTTTCTTGTTCGTTGAAACGGGTTATCCGCTATTTTTACATGCTTCTACGGATCACGATTGGCTTCTTATGATTTGCCGATGCCACGACCATTTGAGCTTCCTTGCTGCATCTTCTTCAGCCCTGTCGAGAGGTGGTTCATTCCTTGCACGGCTGCCGGTAGAGCGTTCTCATACACCTTTGACTGCTGTTGTTACGAACACGGTTGGGTATATGATGATCTCTATCGTTGTTTCTTTCCCACATTCTTATCTCTTACTTTCTCATGATTGTGTTTTATGCATAGCGAGCAACCCTCCATTTATTTTTATTAAATCCTGTTGCTTTTATATAAGACGATGATCTATCTGCTGCCATCTGAGAGGCGAGGAGCAAACAGGGCGGATGTCTGATGGTCTGGACGGATACATGGATCTATCTCTTGTATATGATGGCCACCATCTATCGCGTGTGGGCAGAGGATGAGGTGAATCATCTGCTACCCCCTGGAACAAAAATATTCATATATCTCTATCATCTATATACAAATTTCTCTCTCACATCAAGTCTTCGGGGAATCGTGGTTCTTTTAATGCTCTCTTTCCGGCCTCAAGGCTACGGCTCATCATAATAGTCATTATAATCCAACCTAGTGCTTTGTGTAATGGGAATAAGATGAAAACGCATCAACAAGTCTATCTGTGGTCTGCGCGTGGTGAGCTGCTTTATTGCTTTGCTTTATTCAGTTCTTACTGCTAGATAGGAAATCTATCGATGGGTTACGTCTTCTCCCTGTCCTTTTTTTTTTTTTCATGTTCTACTGGTACCCACATAGACGCTTAAACTGTTTCTTCTTCTACTACTGACAATTTGCATGTTAGTCTGCTTTGTTAGTACAGCCTCATCCTCAATCCCATACTCTGTATTGCTTGAATTTGATCTTGCATGCCAATATCTACCCATTCTCCGATCTTCTATCCTCCAACCGCATTGAGTCGTATTCAAAGGATGAGTAATATCCCAACCGTAGCCAATGCTTCTCAGCACACCACCTTCTCCCACCAACGGCTCCATGCAAAACCTCCTAATCTCCACCTCGCGTGAAGCTCCAACGCAATAACAGTAGCAGCACATGGATAGGATGCAGCAGATTCGAAAACTCCCCTTAACTCCGTTTATCCCCGTTGTCCAAACTTCAACTACTACATTCGATCGGACATAAAAAGTTAACACCCGCTAATACGGTGCCTTTTAAGGCATATTGAACGGCTATCGTCGAGAATTTTCGATCCCAATGCATTCAATTGGCTCAGATCTGTTTGTGGGAGTGGTTCGATCCGCATAAAGTAAGGGGATCCCCGCACACGCACTGCGAGAACAGTCATTGGCATGTCATCTTTAAGTATAAAGAGGGGTGTAGGGGGATCCGGAAGATTCCTCGTGTCAATAAGTTTCTTTTTTTTTTCCACTTATTTTCTCCCGCGCTTGAGAATTCCTTAGACGACACAACATTGGACCGGGCAAACGAAACGCTGCGCTTTCTTGACTTGGAAAAAGACGCGGTTCTATATCCTCCTCGCTCTGAAAGAACTTTTTCAATTTGAAAGTATAGATCAATTGATCTCCAGCTATCTTTACATCTATCGATTATGGCAGAGAATAAGATGGAATATGTCAAGTGAGTTTCAATATCCCTTTCCTTTCCTTTCTTGCTTCCTATCAATGCGGGCAAGCAATCTGTTCCTACATCCCCCTCTGCCCACCAGAAAACTTGTCATGCACACACACATTTTTAGGATCCGCGAGAAACTGACACATACATACCTGAGTTTAGTCTCGGAAAGTCCGGTCTCAAAGTTTCAAAAGTCATCCTGGGAGCTATGAGCTACGGGACCTCAGAGTGGCAGCCGTGGGTGTTGAACGAGGAGGAAAGTTTGCCGCTACTTGAGCATGCTTGTGAGTTTTCCTTCTTCTTCTTCCTCTGCTTCCTCTCTGGATTCGTAGTTTTTCAGTCGATCTGAAATGAGGGCGTGTTCGTAGTACATTGGACACGATCGATCGATCAAGATTGTCACTGAACTTATCCAACTCAATCAACACCTATACTAACCCCCGATTCCAACAGACAAATGCGGAATCAACACCTGGGATACCGTACGCTCACCCTCCCTTTCCTCTCCTCTCCTCCCCTCTCCCCCAAATAAATTCCATTCACCCACCTAACCCCCGCCTTTCCCATCTTTTAGGCCGACATGTACTCCCACGGCCACTCGGAACGCCTCGTCGGCAAAGCGATCCAGAAATACTCCATCCCACGCTCCAAGCTCGTGATCCTGACAAAATGCTACTTCGGCATCGACGAAACCAACCTCAAGCGCGGCATCTTCCGCGTCTCTTCCAACGACGGCGAGTACGTGAATCAAGTCGGGCTGAGCCGCAAGCACATCTTCGATGCCGTTGAGGCAAGTGTCGCGCGGCTGGGGACTTATATCGATGTGCTGCAGATCCATCGATTGGATCGGGATACACCCAAGGAGGAGATTATGAAGGCGCTGAATGATGTTGTGGAGAAAGGGTGGGTTAGGTATATTGGGGCGAGCTCGGTGAGTGCTTTTCTGCTTTTCCTTCTTCTTCTATACTTGCTCACCTCTCGTGGAGGAGGAAACCAAGAGAGAGTTTGTTTGAAAAGATGGACAAGAAAATAATAGGACAAGAGCAGATGTATGAATCGCGAGAAGCACGAATTCGGGCTGACACTCAGTGACCCTTTAGATGGCGGCATGGGAATTCCAAACCCTGCAAAACATTGCAGACAAACACGGCTGGCACAAGTTCATCTCGATGCAGAACTACTACAATCTCATCTACCGCGAGGAAGAGCGGGAAATGGTTCGTCAACTTCCCCCCACTCTTCGCATACATATTTGCCCTATCCCACCTGACCCAAACAACCCACGAACCCCAAAGAAAGAAAGAGGAAGAGAGTATTAACACCACCGCCCAAACCCACAGATCCCCTACTGCAAAGAAACAGGCGTCGGCCTAATCCCCTGGTCCCCCATCGCCCGCGGCGCCCTAACCCGCCCCTGGACAGACCGCACAACGCTGCGCTCCACCACCGACCAAGCGCTCGGGGTCCTCGTGCACAACCGCGACGACGATACCGATAAAGCAATTATCGCGCGGATCGAGGAGGTGTCCAAGAAGCGCGGGGTCAGTATGGCGTGCGTTGCTACGGCGTGGTGTGTTTCTAAAGGCGTGTGTCCGATCATCGGGATGAATAGTAAGGAGAGGATTGAAGAGGCCGTGGAGAATGTTCGGTTTGTGTTGAGTGATGAGGAGGTGATGTTTTTGGAGGAGGCGTATAGGCCCAAGGAGGTGGTGGGCTTGATGGTTGAGGTTAAGCAACCGAAGAGATAGGCGGAGTGTGTGTAGGTACGGCGGTGATTGACTGGGTGTGGAGACATAGGGATATACTGAGGCATAAATCAATATCGTATGTGATACAATTGGATGTTAAGCTGCTACGTATTATCATTCTTGTATCCGTCAAGAGCAAGACGTCCCCTGGTACGTTGGATAGCATCAATTGATTGTAGACGGTGGAATCACTGCATCAGCACATGAATTCGTAACATCATTTGGACAGCAACATAGTTCACAGATCACAGATACACAATCACATTGGCATGGGGTATTGAAGGAGTCAGATTGATGAGAATAGATCTCAGCCCGTAGGCATCCTGATATCATTGAAGCCCTAATGGCTGAACCCTAAAAGATATCAAAGTCCCAATCGTGATGCATTTGCCCTATAACGCCATTCCATGAAACCCATCATTGACGCAACCAAGTATTTACTGTCCACCACGAAGACGGAGCACCAAGTGGAGCGTCGACTCCTTCTGGATGTTGTAATCAGAAAGCGTTCGGCCATCCTCGAGTTGCTTGCCAGCGAAAATGAGACGCTGCTGATCAGGAGGGATACCCTCCTTGTCTTGGATCTTTGACTTTACGTTGTCGATAGTGTCGCTCGACTCAACCTCAAGTGTAATGGTCTTGCCGGTCAGGGTCTTGACGAAAATTTGCATTCCACCGCGGAGACGAAGCACCAAGTGGAGGGTAGACTCCTTCTGAATGTTGTAGTCGGAGAGAGTGCGTCCATCTTCAAGCTGCTTGCCGGCGAAGATGAGGCGCTGCTGGTCTGGAGGAATACCCTCCTTATCTTGAATCTTTGACTTGACGTTGTCAATTGTGTCGCTAGATTCAACCTCAAGTGTAATCGTCTTTCCTGTCAAGGTCTTGACGAAGATCTGCATACCACCACGTAGACGGAGGACCAGGTGAAGAGTGGATTCCTTCTGAATGTTGTAGTCGGACAGAGTGCGACCGTCCTCAAGCTGCTTACCAGCGAAGATCAAGCGTTGCTGGTCCGGTGGGATGCCTTCCTTATCCTGAATCTTGCTCTTGACATTGTCGATGGTGTCAGAGGATTCCACCTCAAGTGTGATGGTCTTGCCGGTGACTACGAATGACGTCAGCACATGTGCAATGTGAAAGGGTAAGGTGGCAACTTACGAGTCTTGACGAAGATTTGCATACCGCCACGAAGGCGCAAGACCAAGTGCAGTGTGGATTCCTTTTGGATGTTGTAATCGGACAAGGTGCGGCCGTCCTCGAGCTGTTTACCCGCGAAGATCAAGCGTTGCTGGTCTGGTGGGATGCCTTCCTTGTCTTGGATCTTGCTCTTGACATTGTCGATAGTGTCGGAAGACTCGACTTCCAAGGTGATGGTCTTGCCGGTGACTGAGAGGTGTTAGCAGGCAGGAAGGCGAAAGTCAGAGGGCGCAAGTGGCAAAGGGTACTCACGGGTCTTGACGAAGATCTGCATGGTGGTAGTTCGTCGAAGGTGTTGCTGTGTTCAAGTGGTTGTTGATGGAGGAGACGTGGATGTGTTTGGACGAGAGTAGGTAACTGAAGTGGTCGAGGGTGAGATTGGGAAGAAGGAGAGCAAGTAGAAAGGCGGCGGAGGAGGGTTTATATGGAGGGAGGCAGGCGTAGGCGGCAAGCTGAGGCTGTGACGCCCCCAAGTGAGTGAGTAATGCACGCAGCAAACGGTCCGTGCACCAATCAAAGCAAGGAAGAGCAGGAACGTTCGAGCGCCTTCTTACCGGCCGGCCAGGCAAACATGACCGCAGACTCACCTGTTTGGGTTCCTTTTGACTGCCATTCACTGTTAGTAAGGCTTCAACAACCGCCATGTCTCTCGGCTCATGAGTTCACCTCCATCCATCACCATTGCCACAGCTCTCCACCGCTACTATCACTAGCCATCGCAATGCGTGGGTCCATCAGTCCAGCCAGTCCAGCTTCCCCGCCTCATCCGCTATCGCACGCTCGGACCCTGTGACGCCTTATCGCGACACTCCATGTCCCACCCTGTTTACTCGCCCTCCATCACCAAAACACCCGCTGATTACGGCTATGCAGCCTCGCACCGCTTTGGGGCTTTACCTTGGCAGTAGTTGTTGCTGCGTGGTCATCCCTCGGACTTTTAACAAGCCAGAGCGCCGACCACTTATACCTTCTCTCGAATTCCTTCTGCGAGCATACTAGTCTGACCATGGGAACAAGGGCCCAACCGCCGCCTGCGAACACACAAAGGAACGCAATTCGCGTCGTCGATGACACTTTCTCCCTCGTACGCTGAACGACAGATCATGCACAAAACTGCACATTTGCAGCTCCATCGATTGATTGACAATGGCGAACTACGTGAATCGTAATCCTCGGGTCCACAAAAGCCACGATCTTACCCATATCCCGTGACGTAGTTGATTTGCAGAGGCTGTATTCTGTCTCCTTGGGTTCTTCTTCATTATATACTGACTACTCCAAGATTCGGATAATGAAGAGAATACAGGTAGCCTTTCTCCGCTCACAACCAGCAGTCAAATCCGTTCGCATGTCGGGTACCATGTCCTACGCTGCTGCCGCCGGCGCGACGAAGTTTTCTCGTCCGACGGCGAATAGCACAGACAAGCAACAACAGCAACAATCGGCGCCCTCACAGCCTCCCAACCACGCACTGCAATCGCAATTAGACCCCAATAGGGGAGCCGAAAGAACTCATCATCCCAGCCACACCACTCCGCCACCGAATCCTTACCACACCCCACGAACCTCTTCCCCCGAAGCCAACGTCTACGTTCTCACCCTCCGCACCACCTCGTCCATAAGCGAACCTTTAGCCGCCCTGCGAAATACCTACTTCCCGGCACACCTCAATAAGATACCCGCCCACATAACGCTCTTCCACGCGCTTCCCGCCTCACGATATGCTGTCTTTGACGCTACCATCTCCGCCCTCGCGCGAAACGTACGCCCCTATGCCATCTCCACGGGCCGCCCACGGCGCATGCGCAAGGGCATACTCGTGTTGTTAGCAGAAGGAAACAAACAGACGCGGGGGCTTCGCGCGGACTTGCTAGAGAACTTCCTGCAAGACGAGATCCACGAAAGCGAGTCCTCTTCGCAGGAAGGGCAGGAAAATAGCAGCGAAAGCGGTGAGGAGGTACAAGGTTGGCTAAGTGAGCAGGACCGCAAGCCTACTTCGGCTTGGACCCCACATTGGACCATTATGAACAAGGTCGACGATGGGGACAAGGTCCAGGAAGCGCTCGCGACGGTGACTGGGAGCTTGCATAATGCTCCTGAGCGCGGGACGGCGGAGGGTTTGGTGCTCTGGAAGTATCTGGTTGGGGGCAGGTGGGAAGAGGTCAAGGAGTATCGTTTTGGTCGCGGCATATAGCAAAACGGTTTTGAAAGAGGGAGCAGAAAACATGCATCTAGATTCCATACCATCTCCAGACTTTGGGTATTACATATCCTCCCCATGACCAAAATCAATGCATAGCCATCTCAACCGTGGCACCGGTAGCAACAGCCACCCCACATTCCCTGAAAGTAAAAAGAGGCATGTTCCACCAGCCCCATCTAGAAAACCCTTTCTTGTAGAGACATTCGTCTGTTTTTCCATCATAAGATCCCCGTTTTTGTGCTGTGAAAGTCCCCATGGCACAGAGTGTAGAGTGAAGTAGAACCCTTGAATGTGGAAAAGAATCGTAAACTCCATAAAACACCGCAACATTTCGTCTTTCCCACCGAGGACCCACCCCCACATGCAACATATACAAGAGAAAAGCGCGGGATGATTAAAATAAGGTGTACGAGTAGGAGGAATAAATCATCAAGGCTCTCGACCGTGCGACAAAGGCACGCTGCGCCGAGTGTTGCGCTTTTACATGATGATGGACGGGCTGTCAACGTTGGCCTTGACCGATTTGTGCGGAAGAACCGAGCCACCGTTGACGTAGACCTCGTCGCCAATGGATACGTCGTCACCGAGGACGGTGACATTCTCTAGACGCGCCCACTTGCCGACGGTGTTGTTCCAGCCGACAATGGTCGACTTGACCCAAGCGTGGTCCTTGACGCGGCTGTTCTTGAGAATAACGCATCGCTGGAGACGGACACCATCGCCAATGACAACGTTGGGACCGATGGTGACGTTGGGGCCAATCTTGCAGTTCTTGCCAATCTTGGCCGAGGGGTCGATCAGGACGTTGCCGCCGTGGACGTACGACTCGGAGGTGGATGTGAGGAGCTTGGAACCCTGGCGGGTCAAGGAGGAGAGGTACAGGCAGGTTCCCGAAAGGAAATCCTTGGGCTGACCAACGTCCATCCAGAAACCCTCGAGGTCAAATGAGTGCAGCTGGCCATCCTTGACAAGGGCGGGGAAAGTCTCCTGCTCGATGGAGGTGGGGCGGAGCTCAATGCGGTTGAGAACGCTGGGGTTGAGGATGTAGATACCGGCGTTGATACGGTTGCCGACGAACTCGACGGGCTTCTCGACGAAGCGGTCTATCCTGCTAGGGTGGTTGGGTCTGTGGACAACGACACCGTATTTGGAGGGCTCCTCGACCTTGGTCACAACGATGGTACCTTCCTCGCCGTGCTGCTTGTGGAAGTCGGCGAGCTTCTTGAAGGGGTATTCGCAGGTTACGTCGGCGTTGAGAACGAAAAAGGGGGAGTCATCCTTGCCCAAGATGCGCTCGGCCAGCTTGAGGGGACCAGCGGTGCCGAGGGGCTCGGTCTCGACAGAGAATTCGATCTTGACGTTGTATTGATCCTCGTACTAGAATGGATTGTTAGACAGACTGCGACGAAGAATGCCCAAGTAAAAGGGGAATTATGCTCACGGTCTTGAGGGCAGCGGCCATAATCTCAGGCCTGTAGTTGACGGCCAGGACAATATCCGTTACACCGGCATCGGCCAAGGCCTCAATTTGATGCTGTATCATGGGCTTGTTCGCGAACTCGACCAAAGGCTTCGGGTAGGTCAGGGTCTGTAGGTGGGGTGTCAGTCTGGCATCCTTCGTGGGGGCAAGGGAGCGGTGAGCGAGGGAACGTACGAGAGGTCGCAGACGGGTTCCAAACCCTCCAACGAGAATGATGGCTACATTTGGCGGTCAGTAGACTGCAGGCTGGGCTGAGCAATTGGCATACGAACCCTTCATATTGACGGTGGTGGTGCGGTGGAAGGTAGGTGTAGAGTGGTGCGAGGAGCGGCGGTGGTGAGGAGGAAACGACTATTATTATGTACAGACAGCGAGCGAGCGTCTAATAACAACAGCAGATGCTAACGAAGGAAGATGCACGATGGACGACAATGGTGAGGGCAAGTCAAAGAGCAGGGCAGAGCAGGGAGCAGAGGGGGAGTGAGGACAGCTGTTAGTTATTATATATATGGACCAGCAGCTCTTGGACGACGAACGAACCCACACACCCCCCTCGCTCGCTCGCTCGTGCCCGCTCGGAGCTTCCCCCCTAGCTTCGTTGGTGTGCAGGCACGCAGTCACAGAACACGCCCTGGCCATCCCACTCATCCACCTCTCCCCAATAATATCCCTCTCCCCTTTCCATGTGCCACTCCGATCTTTTCCTTTCTGCGCCCGCACTATTGCACATTTCCCTTTCTTACCCGATGCTCGAATCCCTCGAGAGAGTTTTTTTCCCGCCCCTGACCCCCCTGCAACACTACTGGACCCTGAATCCGCCCGAAGCTGAGTACGCATTGATGCGCGCCTGTATAATTCCCGTCGATTCGCGCAAATACCACTTGATGCGAGAGTGATGCCTATCGACTGTCCGTATGGCGGATTCATTCTACATCCAGTCTACAGTTGCAATCACACTAAGACCCGCGTACGTGCTACCATGCATGGCTTCATTTGCAGTCTGCGGCTGCGCCCCTGCTGCTATCGATTGATACATTCAAAACTACTGGTTACATACGCCACCGCCAGTTACAGTTGCAACGACATGGTAGCTCTCCCTTTGTAGCTGCTCTCAGCGCCGCACTACCTCTCAGCGGGCACCGAGGCGAGATTGGACACCAAGGCCAGACCACTCCCAGTCTCCATGCGAAGAGGCAAGCTCCAGTTTTGCAGCTCAGGAGAGACCGTCACCTGACGCACTAACCACCAAATCTCCTTGCGAAGTTTAGGTCAAGTTAGCTGACGGCACTAATAATAACTTCTCCAACCAACTCCACTAACACGCTCCTGTCCTGGTGCACGATCCCATTTCGACCATAGCAATCGTTTCCTTTCGTCTCCTTCGTCTCTTTCAACAGTTCCATTCATCGTGACACGGGTCCACATGATCGATTGATCCCCTTTTTGTGGAGAGACGTCGGATCGTCTCATCCATCACCCCTGCCAACCTCCAGCGGATACACTCTCGTACGCGCGTTCGCCCCAGCCTGACACCCGCAGTCCTATGCCCGCATATACTCGGAGACTATGCTGACACGGCCTTACTGTGTCCATGTATGGGATATAGTATGCCATCATCACCGTCTATCTTGAATTTCTGCGTCTGTCGCCGCCTTACGCTGCACCATGTTGAAAGCAATATTCTGGGTTCAAGTCAATTCCATGCGCCTATTTACTCATTGAACCAGACCTGTGTCGCAGACACCCATATCCTGCGTATTACAAAGGTTTTACTCTTGTATCCCCAACCCTCCCGGGAACAAGGCAATACAGCCGATACTTTTCAAAGAGCTGTGATCGTGCCTCGTGGTCGGCTGGCACCCGTTCCAGTAATTGCTCCCGCTGGTCCATAAACTCTGGGCAGTCTTTTGCCAACTTCTGCTATTCGTCACGAAACCCCAGAGAAGGTATTTGAACATTGATGAAGTCCAATTGAACTGTCACAACAACCATGAAATGATAAATATCGCTGTCCACTGGCTGGTTTCCGACCACGTAGCGAATATCTGGAGCACTGCCCATCTCTCAGAACCGCCAACTTGAAAAGCACTGGGAAACTCACAAGAAACTCGGATTCTTCCTGTCCGTCACAGCCGGCTCCTCGGTGAGGACGCCCACATAGTACTCATAGGCTTCCCTTACTATCTCTTTCTTCAATCTCCGCACTGCCATGGCATCAAACTTTTCGAGTATACACCACCTGAACCAAAGTTTAGCAGTGAATCATATTGAAGGCAGCAACGTACACTCGGAGGGCGCCCAACACCGGACTGATAAACTCCCCTGCTGGTTGATGGCGGCGATAAAGGAGCATCGTGCCTAACCACCCGGCGATCATCCACCACCTGACAAGATGAAAGGCAGGACCGTCATCAAGGGGGAGAAAGATCATTCCAAATGGTTTCTCAATACCATAGGGCCCTGGACAAGATCAAAATCAGTAAAATGCAAGTGGATATGTACAGACTGATTATCAGTGTCTCGAAACAGCACACAAGAGGTTCGTCTTGATATAAGTTTTGTTCGTTTTAACGTACCAGGGTCTGTGTCGATAATCATGTTTGATCCTGGTGTAATGTATTCCCTGATTGTTGCTTCTGGCATCCAGTAAACTCTGCCCTTCCCGAGCTCCGGAGGGAATACAGTACTGCCGACGACGACAGCGACTCTGGGGTGTCTATCATTCGAGGCGTACGGTTCATGCTTGGATTCTTTCCGTTGAAGTCTAAATTTGTGGGGACGGCTGATGGGCACTTTTTCGAGCAAACCATGATACTCGTTTTTGGTGGGCTTGCCCTTTTTGCGTTTTCCTTTATCGTCCTCCTTCTGTCCGTCTTCCGATCGCGTAATGAGTGGTGCGGACCTTGATGGTACAACCTGTGGATTGCCAAATGGGTCCGAAGGTGAGAACGCTGATGATTCAGTATGTGGATCGCCAAATGGATTTGACAGTTCGAGCGTTGATGGTTCAGTCCGTGGATTAGCAAATGGATTTGACGGTGCGAACGTTGATGGTCCAGCGTGTAGCTCATCAAATGGATTGGACGTTGCGGACGTTGGCGGTATAGCCTGTGCGTCACCAAAGGGATTTGACGATGCAGACGTTGATGGTCTAGCCTGCGGGTCGCCAAATAGATCATCAAACGGATTTGGCAACGCCGAATTTGGTGGTCTGTTATCCGACATAGTCGTACTGTGCTTAGTGATAGTATGTTGAAGTGCACCTAAGTTGCAGATCTCAAGTCAGCTAGTTGTTAACCAGCGATTCGGCGATGGGTTGACAGGGTCCGAGGAGGTCGCATGCAGAGTCTTTGAGCTGAGGGACCCCGATCCACCATGCACGCAGGTATAACTCACAAATTTGTCTGGCTTCAGCGATTGACAATACGATAGAGATGTAACGGTAGAGGTAGCGAAAGACTCTACCAGGCGGTCTGAAGATGAGCACGCGATGAGAATATTGGGTTATGTGGGCAAGTGAACACAAGAAGGATGGACACGATCAATTGACAACCTGAATGCGAGACCCTATGTTCACTCTTTCCTCCAGACTCAACGGCGCCTCACGCCATTGTCTTCTCTTACTGGTTCAGCTTGAGAGCTCCTACCCGTCCAGGCATCGACCCCTTCGCTCCCATCTTTATCCTTTATCGAAGCAGCGGGTCTCGGCTTCTGTATAAACCACCACACACCCCATGCCAGCCAGCAAAAGATGACATCAAAAGCAACACTGCTGACAGCTGGTGCCTCAAGTAGCGCATCAAGAATTCCTTGCACGCCGCTATATCCATACGACATCACTGTTATTCTTACGAACAACAAACCTCCCCCGAGTATTGTAGCGGCCCATAGATACCCGTACGCTTTGCCCGTAGTCTCGACGCTCGAATTGGCGAGGAACCTTCTGGGCAGGATGGCGCGGGCTACAGGGAGCATAAGAAGCGCAACGTGTGGTATAATGACCATGGGCAGAAAGTCGGTTTGATGATGCCAGTAATGCTCATCGACGAGCATATGCGCAGGTCCTTCTGTAAATATAATCATGAGCAAGCTAAGAACCCAGGGTCCCAGCCATTTCCTCGGATTCGATTCCGTCGATGTTGGAGGTGGCGATGGATATGGACTGAGAAGTAATCCAAGCAGATACAGATTCGTAGCAAACCCGACTGATACAATCTGGCCGAGCAGAATGAATGCCCAAGCATGCTTCGTCCCTCTCCTAACCTCTATATCATTGTCAGTTCGGCCACAATACCCTTCGTAACATTCATCGTCCCGCGTCCTCCGTGGATCAACCAATCAACTAGTCTTATCAGGATATCAACTTACCCGTCTGTTCTAAGCTCACACCCAACGCACACGCAAACAAGAAAATCTGATGGGTCCACCAATATCGCGCGTTCCCCACAACAGCAGTCTCCCACGCCTCTCGAAACAACGAAGTCTCCCGCAGCCACAGCCCCCAGTGCATCTGGTCCGGCGTTAGATCGTAGTACGACCTCCACCGCATCCATGTCTGGTACGAGATCTTGAAGTATTGCAGTTCGTAGTACCATACCACTAGTACGCTCCATATTGCCAGTACGCTCCATATTGCCAGTACCGCGTACATTCGCACATGTTTTGTGAGCTTTGGAGAGCGAGGCGTATGCGATTGTATGAGGCGTGAGTAGCTGCTGCGTAGGTGGGCGATTACGAAGGCTGTCAGGGAAACAGCGAGGAAGAGATAGGAGAAGAAAATGATGTAGGCGCGCCCGTTTGTATCGATTCCTACGGGAGGCGCTTCTTTGTTGACGAGACGGGTGGGTATGCGGTCGTGCGAGTAGCTGGGAGGTGCGAAACCGGGCGGTGCCATTGTGGCGGTGGATGGTTGAGAATTTTGTAAGTGAAACCGGTTTTTGGTGAAGATTTTGACATTTTTGAAATCGAGATATCTTATAGAGACCCAAAAAATACAGAGAATACGTGTTCATTTGCTGGTGTTGGCGTACTATGAGAGGGATTCGACTGCCGATTATGTGGAGAGCTCTTGTAGATGCGATTTATCCGGCAACTTAATTGATATTTAGGCGCCACCTTCTTTAATGTCGTGCTAAACTACAACTAGTAATTTGAAGTGGGAGTATACTCTTTTATTCTATACGAACTACTGCTTTTAGGTAGTCAGGGCGGCATACCCAAGTGATGTGAATATATTATAAGTGTCGATCACCCTTTCTCACGTAGGGGCCAAGTTTGCGCGCAATTCAATTGACCATGGCCGACGTCACTTCGGGGACTGGAGCTTTCATAACTTCCATAAAATGAGAGAAAGAGAAGATGATGGTTATTCCATTCTATAAATCGCAAATGGGGTGATTATGCTAAACAAAATTCCGATGCAAAAGATTCAACAGCCCTTCAGAACAACTACGCCAACTGGCCCTTCTTGTAAGGAAACTGTTCCCTGAAAGCCTCCGCGATCTCCGTCCTTGTCGCAACCCAAACGCCCTCCTTCTCAGATATATACTTGACAAAGTCCTGCAGCGCCTTGAACCGCCCCGGACGGCCAATGATGCGGCAGTGCAGACCAATCGTCATCATCTTAGGCGAACCTTGCTCGCCTTCTTCATACAAAACATCAAACGCGTTCTTGATATGTTCGTAGAAGCCTCCAGGACTCCTGAACCCAGTGCCCTGGGTGTGGAACTTGAAGTCGTTGCAATCGTAGCTGTACGGCACCATCAAACAGCCCTTTGGGTCTGAAGCGTCGCGCTCCTGCGGGAGATCGGTCCAGTAGGGGATATCGTCCGCGTAGGTATCGCTAGCCCACAACAGCTCCTCGCCCATTTCCTGGTACACGAGCGGGATGAGAGCGCGGGATTGCGGCGACGGACGACCGTAGTACCACCCCTTGGGCGCGTATCCAGTCAAGTTCTTGAGCGCCGTGATACCGTCGCGAATATGTTTCTTCTCGGCTTCGACGGAGAGGTCGCCGTGGTCGATCCAGCGGTATGCGTGGGAGGCGACGTCGTGGCCTTCTTCGACGCAGCGGGAGACGACTTCTGGTTGCTCTTCTACGGCGGAACCGACGGCGTAGAGGGTGAATTTCATCTTGTAGTCGTTGAAGAGCTTGAAGGTTCTCCACCAGCCGCGCCGTGAGCCGTACTCGAATTCGGATTCGCCAGAGTAGTCGCGCTCGTTGATGCGGTGTTGGGCGGGGTATTCGCGGAGACTGATTTCGGAGACGCCGTCGCCTTTCATGACGGAGCGTTCGCCGCCCTGGAGATTGGTTAGCGCCCTGTTCTTGAGGTGGAGGTTTGGTTTCTTTTGGGGCCAAGGGATTTACCTCTTCGTAGTTTATGACGAACGATACGGCAATTTTAGCATTGTTGGGCCACTTCAGGCCTTCGAGACCCTTCTCTCCGTATCCTTTGAAGTTGCGTGGGAACGCATAGTCCTGGGGAGCTGCGTAGACTTCGGGCATTGTGCTGAGGATTGAACCAATGGAAGAGATATGTCTATTGCTATTGATCGATTGAGTAGCAGATGAAAAGAAGAGTTGGAATTGATCTGTTGTGAAAGGGGTTGTGCGCTTGATTTGTATGTAGAGCAACAATGGCAGTACTTGATATTGATTGATATCAGGCCAGAGAGGAAATGATTCTCATGCCAAACATCGGACAAGGCCAGCCGTCGGAGCCATACGCCGTCGGCGGCACCGCCTATCTCTTGGTTTCATCGATAAATCATCTTTGCGATTTGTAACGATGTTGAAATGGTGACCCCTCGTAAGTACCCCGGCTATCTAACCACATGTGCATATTGCGGGGCGTTATCAACAGTGGCAGGGATGCGGGAGACGAGGGGAAATGTCGAGTCGTCGCCGGTACTTGGGAGCACAGGAGCAGGCAGCACTTGATGGCAGGTGTCGGGTCAAAAGCACCCGTTGCTTGACGTGGATAGCTGGTTAATAATGAGAGGGATGGGATGGAAGTGAGATAAGGGAGCATATCTGCGGGGGGAGTCTTCTGCATCGGGAGGGTGCATGCGCGTGCTGCCCCGCCGGCATTCGGACGCCATTCCTCACACTACCCACCGGCTTCACACACTAGTTGGTGCCCGATATGGATGTTTACTGCAATGGCTTCAGTGTCGCATTACGTTTTTTGTGGACCCAGGGTTCGGATGACTGTTCTCAACTCCTGGCTATTCTTACCTCTTGACTTTTCTCAATTCTCATGAGACTGAAAGACCGCATGAACATTCCCAGATATACGCTTAACTCACACTTCACCTACAACACACTCCAGAGACATTGCACCATCATCACCATTCGGCAATAGCTGTACTTGGAAACAAAACATAAATATGAGCTCCGATCTGTACCGACTAACGGCCACCGAGGTCTTACAAAAGACCAAGGCTGGAGACATTTCTGTCCAAGACTATGCGACTTCGCTATTGAACCGAATTGCGGCAAGAGATGACGCTGTTCAGGCTTGGGCATATCTCGATCCAGCATATGTATTGGAGCAAGCAAAAGCACTGGATGCCATACCTGCAGCTGAACGAGGGCCTCTACATGGCGTCGCCATTGCCGTAAAAGATGTCATCTTCACAAAAGGTCAGTGGCCGTTCAAAACCCCGTACAATTTGTCAACATCATTGACAGATTTCTAGACATGCCAACGCAGTTCAATTCCCCAGTCTATACCAACAACGCCCCAAAACTCGATGCTGGATCCATAGTCATTCTCCGCAAAGCTGGAGCGCTTATCCTAGGGAAAACCACAACAACAGAATTCGCCGCAACAACCGTAGGCCCCAAAACCCGCAACCCACATGATCCAAACCGCACCCCAGGAGGATCCTCATCTGGTTCTGGAGCGGCTGTGGGCGATTTACAAGCACCTATCGGTTTAGGCACACAAACAGGCGGTAGCACCATCCGTCCAGGCTCCTACAATGGCATCTACGCCTTCAAGCCGACGTGGAACGCCATCACGCGCGAAGGCCAGAAGATCTACGCACTCATCTTAGACACGCTGGGTCTATACGCTCGCAGCGTAGCCGATCTCGAGCTCCTCGCCGACACGTTCGCCATCTTCGACGATGTCCCCGCACCGACAAACTTCGCCGTCAAGGGCGCAAAATTCGCGCTTCTGAAAACAATGGTGTGGCCAAGTGTCGGTCCGGGAACCACGGCTGCTCTCGATAAAGCCGCCGATTTGCTCCGCGCGCATGGAGCTGAGGTCGAGGAAATCACTCTCCCGGAGAACTTGGACGAGCTTCCTCAATGGCACGCCGCGGTCCTCGCGTCGGAAGGCCGCACTGCCTTCTTACCAGAGTATGCGACGGCTAAAGATCAGATATCGGCGCAGTTGGTCGGCCACGTTGAGAACAGCGATAAGATCTCGCGGAAGGCGCAGTTGGATGCGTTCGACAACATTGGCGCGGCCCGGCCTGTTGTGGACGATATCCTTGGTAGATATGCTGCAGTTATCACCCCTAGTGTCCCCGATGAAGCGCCTGAAGGGATCGAGAAGACTGGAAGCGCGGCTTTTTGCTTAATTTGGACGGTAAATCATCATCTATATGTTCACTTGCAATGAAGAGCAAGCTAACGCATGTGCCCAGGCTTTACATACACCTGTTGTCAATGTACCAGGCTTCCAGGGAGACCATGGTATGCCAATCGGGGTGTCACTCGTCGCGCCGCGCTACCATGACAGACGCTTACTCGCAGTGAGCAAGAAAGTGGGCGAGATCTTTGAGAAAGAAGGAGGGTGGAGTCGATCGGTATGAGACATATGTCTGAAAGCTCTTCTGTTCTTGTGAAATAGACTAGATTCCCAATTTTCCAATATTCCAAGGAATTGTTTATAGTACCAACATCACACCATATATATCAATTTTCCCTTTGCCACACGCGATGTTGCAGAGAGCTGTTTTGCTATTCATCAACATTTTGAGTGATTGATGCAAACTACAAAACAAATTACCTGTAGTCAGCAAGATTCCATTGGCCATGGTCCATCCCGAAACCCGCGCCCATCTGCATGGCGGCATCTTGGACAGGGTCGATCCCATACACCCCAGAACCCTGGTAAGCGTTCCAGCCAGGCTCAATCGACTCTTGATTGACACCATTGAAACCGAAAGCCGGACGCGACATCGGATCGCTGTCATCTGTCACCATTTCGTTCCACATTCTCCACCCCTGCCAGCCTCCCGGTGCTTCCTCGTCAACCTCCATGAAAGCTTCTTTAACTGCATCCGTTACGAGATGAGACATGGACGGCTTTCCCGCTTGCGACACTTTGGGCGACACGGGCGCACCGCTGCCTTTCAGGATACTTGAAGAATGGCCAGGTGAGAATGACTGGGTTTCGAGGCTCAGCTGCAATGATGGGGGACTTCTGCTTTGCGGCGCTACCTCTGTCGGCTTCATGGTCAACTTGAACAAACTTTGTGAGAGTGCGTCGAAGATATCTCGGTACTTGACAGCTCCCGGCCACTTCTCGCCGAATATGGTCAGAATCTGGGAGCAGCTTTGAGTCGCTTCAATCACTTCGTACGAAAAGAGTCTGCGGTCGCGCCAGATACAATATACAAGCGTCAAGCCGGCTACGAAACAGGAATGTAGCGAGATCATGGTGTATGTTAACGTCTTGTTCTGGCTGAGGCGCTTGTAAGCGTTGCACACACTGGCAGCAGAGCGAGCACAGGTGACAAAACGTTCATCTGATGTCTCGAGTATCGGAAGAAAAACAGTGAAGAGGAAGAGAACTGCCTTGTGATATTGCCTGTCGGTTGTCAGTCCTGCAACGCATGATTTCAAGAGAGGTGATCCTCACACTCCGTAGAAGTCACGCGCATCCAGATATGCACTTTCAGGATCGTACATCCAGGTACTTCTGTTGTCGTTCTTTGGTGTCTGGGGATAAGTTTGTATCCACTCGTCGAGGTCCGCTCTTATGATGCACATCTTCTGATCAAGCTTTGCCCGGTCTTCCGGGGTACCGCGAACCACGTCCTTGTCCACACGAAAGACGGCCTTGTGAATTCTGGATTGGATACGGTCGAGCTTGATGATATGGATAAACGGCCGCATATTAGACCATTGGCCCATGCTTGTGTCATAATCATCTTTGTGGGTCAAAGTCCAAAATTCTGGACTCGCACTAGGAAGCTGCGAGGTGATTAGTTGAATTCATCGATAAGGAGTGAGCAGCTCACCTCTACGTTGATGTCTCGGTCTGCAATTGCGAAAGCCCTGCCAAGTACAATGCTGGTCACTCGATCAAGACAGTAGCACGACCAGAATGCCCGACGTCGAATCTCCGCATCTCTGATATGAGCAGGGTTCAAGGAGCCCCTCTTCCTGTGGAGGCCCATTTCAATACACACAGAAGTCGCATATCTGATTTGCGACCACGCTCCTGCACCATAAGGAGATCTTTGGCCATGGACTCCCAGCAAGATGAGGAATTGAACTGTCGCAAGGTCATGCTGCCTAAGTATATGTTCCATGGGCTCGGTCGCCGCTTTTAGCTGGGCCTGGATGGCGTTAGTTGTTTCACAGACACGGAGCGTCCATAGGGCTCACCTCATCATCTACACCACATGGTTTCTTGGTGACAGCTAAGAATCGAGCTGTAATGGCATAGATCAAGTGCAATATGCTGCGTTGTGTGATTGATAACGCCCCTGGGAAATACTGTTTATCAAAAACTTTCTCATAGACGGCACGGTCCAACAGTGGCCAGCGAGGGTGAATGCGCTCGAAAAAGAAGTCGAACAGCATTCGCGCTTGCGATTGGGTGGGAAAGGCGGAAGTAAAGTCATTCGATCTAAGGAAAGAGAACAGGGAAATGTCAGCGGTATGAAATCATGGGCATCTAGTTTGTCACTGAAGTCTCAAGATGACACATAATGTGACATTTTCGGCGTGATATTCATCACAAAACTTACCCAGTGGTGATGGACTGTTCGGATGGCGTCGGTGTACTTGGGGCATTAAAACTCCGACTGGCCGCAGAAGGGTCAGGCGGCTTGCTACCCGACGCACGATATATGGAGGATTGAATTACACGAGCGATGGTTGCTCCAGAGCTAGAGCCTACGTAAAACGGTTCTCTGTTTGTATCGGTCGTGCCGGAAGCGCACAATGAGAGGTATGCCACTCCATCTACGAGTGACGTACCCTCATCGAAATCCACCTCTTCGGAGATGGAACCGGCATGTGATTCACGGCGACTGGAGAATGACGGGTGTCTGGCTGTGAAAGGAACTTGCTGCGTTCCTTCCGGAATGTTATCGAAATGATCTTCGGCATGATCGGGAAGACGAGCCTCCAGGAAGGCAATCCGCTCTTCCAAAGCACTGATGTACCTAATGCAGGTCAGGGGGTTGGTCACCCAAGTCTACGGGACTGGGGAAAGTCTAACAGAGTCTTCCCACCAGGGTACTGGGGACGAACTATCCTCTCGTATGTGCACGTCTGTCTTGCTCTGTCACAGGCTTGGCAGCTCGGACGTGCCCCGTCACACTATGAATAGATTTCGTCAGAACCATGCGAATACCAAAGCTTTCTGGACCAGTTTTGTTGACTTACTCGCTGTTTCCTCCGCTTACATCGTTTACAGGCCAAGGTGATTCGAGACTTGCGGTGCCCAGTGCTCGGAGGGTTTGCGACAGTGGTGCTCGAGGACGCCGTAGGTTGTGGTACCGCCGAATCTGTACCAGGTGCAGTGTTTGGTAGCTGGTTCTCGTGCACAGAACCTTCCTGTTGGCTCTCATGAAGCATGATGACGATGACTTTGGAGAGACTGTGCGTGTAGTCGGAAACATTGTCGCCGCTGCATAGATTGTAGGCATCTTAGCTGCAGCCACATCTCAGGAGGAATCGATCGGCAGTCGCCAGCCGAGGCAGACGTCTTCTCCACACCATGTTGAATAGATAAGTTACCGTGCATCATGTTGATAGACATGGAGAGGTCGTTCATAACGGGCACTAAGGTGGGGTTGGTTTAGGATTGGGGCTAGTTTAGTCTCGGCGGTGCCAATTGGTTATCTTTCGCAAAGATAAGAGCAACACAGCCAACTGGACCTCAGAAACATGCTTATCATTACTCTGGTAGATGTTCAGGGTCTGGGGTATCAACTGCTCCAACAAGGCAAATAGAGTCAGCTTTCGGTTGGAAATCCGCCGATGAGGTTGGTCCTTGTCCAGACCATCACACACGATGCACGCAGTATCGAGATGCTGGGACTGAATCATGCGCGTTCCGTCCATTCAATATCAATGTCTGAATCCCACGCACCTTTCAATGGATGCAACTCAGATCCCGCGACATCTGGTTGAATCACACCTCATACACGATGGGCAGAATTGAGATCCCAACCAAGCATCGATTGGCGGCACCTTTCAAGTCAAAGGAGGCATTCGTCGACTTCGCCAGAGCTCCCCAGGGCAATGATGGAACGACTGTTGGTAATTCGAAATGGTCAAATAAGGATCTCGATCCAACTCCAGTGGAAGACAGGACATGGACGTGGTAAGCTTCGGTCGATCCCATTAGATACCAAATCATTGCTAATGCATCCATTCTAGGTACAATCTTCCTTTGTACTGGTTCTCCAATCAATTCTCTCTAGTCGGTTGGAACACAGGGTCAGCTTTGGTGACCGTGGGCTTGGTAAGTCCGCGACAATTAGACAAGTGTAGACTCGTACATCATACTAACAACGTTTAGACATGGCAACAATCGTTCGTCTCGGCATGCATAGGATCCTTCCTTGCTGCTGTCGTGGTCGTCTTCATGGCCCGTCCGGGCGCTAAATATCACATCGGATTGTAAGTATCACCGTCTTTGCGCCCAGTTACCGGAGACTAACATCATGGTTAGCCCTGTCCTTGCTCGCTCCGTCATGGGCATGTATGGGTCGTACTTCTTCGTTTTCATTCGAGCCGTAGTGTGCATCATTTGGTATGGCATCCAGACTTTCTATGCCGGCAACATCCTTTCCGTAATGCTTCGTTGCATCTTTGGTTCCTCGTGGGACAACTTCGCGAATACACTACCCGCCAGTGCCAATGTAACTTCGAAACAGCTTCTGACCTTCTTTCTGGCTTGGCTTATGGAGTTCCCATTTGTAAGTTGTTCGGTCTTGTTCATTGTTTATGCGGCGTTTTACTAACCCCTTACAGATGTGGGTTCATCCAAAGAATATTCACTACATCTTCACCGTCAAAGGCTTCGTCATGCCCATTGCTGCCTTCGCAGTTTTTGGCTGGTGCATGAAGAATGGTGGTGGACTTCGATCTATGGACCTTGCGTCCGCAGAAGGAGAGTTCTCAGCTTCAAAGACCCCGTTGGGCTGGAGCATCATGGCTGGCATAAACACCATCTTCGGCTCTCTCTCGCCCATGCTGGTTAACCAGCCCGATCTCGCTCGTTACTGCAAAAAGCCGCGTGATGCAGGATCTATCCAGGGCGTCAGCGTGTTTGTGGCTTCTGTCATTGTCTTCTTCCTAGGCATGGCTTCGACAACATCCATACAGGCAGTGTGGGGAGAGGCATACTGGAACGTCTGGGACCTTTTCGAAGCAATTCTCGACCACCACTTTACCTCGGGCGCTCGCGCTGGCGTCTTCTTTGCTGCTCTGGCTTTCTACCTCGGTGTTTTTGCTACCAACTTCGGTGCCAATTCAATTCCGTTCGGCTCCGATATGACTGGTCTGTTCCCAAAGTGGCTCACCATTCGCAGAGGACAAGTGCTCTGCGCAGTCCTTGGTGTTATTGTCCAACCATGGCAGCTGATGGCCAACGCCTCAGCCTTCCTCAGGTAAGAGCGAACCTTCTCTATATCGACTTTGACCTTTCCACTGACACACCACAACAGTTTCCTCGGTTCCTACAGCATTTTCATGGCGCCATTGTGCGCAGTAATCATGGTCGACTACTTCATCGTGCGGAAAGGCAACGTGCACATCCCCTCCTGCTACATCGGCAACAAATCCGGGCTCTACTGGTTCTGGTCCGGCGTCAACTGGGTTGGTGCTGCAGCGTGGCTACTCGGCACCACCATGGGTATCCCAGGTCTCATCGGACAGTATCAACCGCAGCTCATCAGCGACGCTGCTAGATACATGTACATGATGGGCTGGTTGTTGACTTTCTTCACATCCGCTATCCTCTACTACGTCGCTACTGCGTTCATCAAGCCGCGCATTTTCCCGTCGGGCTTTGAGGGCACACCACTTAAGTTTGAGTGGTTGGCTAATGAGGGCCGTGAGGGGTTCTTCGATGGGGAGAGGGATGGTGGAGATGTGTATTATCCGTCTACACCGCCTGTCACCGATGGCGAGGAAGTAGAAGTTGGCGAGAAGTCGGGCAGGGCTAAGATGTGATTGATGTGCGATAAGAGCGTGAATTCTGGCGATGTTTTCTTCTTTTATCACTGTCGCTTCGTGTATTGTTTCAGTTTGAACTTGGGCTACCTAAGAATGATATCGATGTGTGTATTACATGTACCACTTAATGTTAAGAATTATCAAAAGACTCTTGTATTGAGCCTTTCTTTGCGTCAACAAACATCTGCTGTTCGTAAGGCTGTCGGGGCGGTATAATTGATGCGCTGACTAGGTCAATAACATGGACTACCTAGCGGCCAATTTCGATCAGTGTACAAGATATTACGGGGAAAAACTGCCACAAAGAGTTAAATATATGCAATTCTCATTTACCACATTACATTTTACAACAACTATAGAGCGTGTTGCTTTGATATTCTCTTTTTCCTGGTATTTCCCAAAGAAAATCGTATCGTCGTGTCTGCAGATTTGTGCGACAATCATATCCTATGTACATAAACCGAACCCTGGAAAGAAAAACAGAAACTAACGAAGATTCTCCAAACTACACTAAACCCTTCCAGTTCCACCCGGAAAATCCTCATCTTGTACGTCGTCTTTGATGATTTACGAGCGATACTCATTATTTGACTCGGTCTCCTGCATGGACCCTTTCTCATTCGCGACAGGTATTCCATCAGTCTGTATGGCTTCCTTTGATATATCCGGGGTCGGAGGTATGCTCTGATCGCCATTCGATGTGCCCGTCTCCTCGTCTTCCACAGGCTTTGGTGCCTTCAGAGTAGTGTTCCCAACCCAGACTGTAAGCAGCAAACTCAGACCAGAGCACACGAGATAGAAAACAAAGATATATCGCAACCCCAGCATATATACATCCAGGATCTGGTTTTTCTGGTCTGACGAAAGATTTAGGGCATCGAGCGCATAGGTCGAGGATGTAAGTTCGGTCAATAGGCTGTTTGACATGTAACTTTCCTGCACCAGGCCCTTGCGTAACGTGTTGGAGAGGATAACGCCAGAGACGACTAGTCCGAAGGCTCCACCGATGGTGCGGATAAAGTTGCGTAGCCCCGTTGTGACTGCACGATCTTCAGTACGGCTGTTGGCGTACATGCCTACAAGTGTAGGCTGGAGAGTTAGGCCGATACCAGCTCCTTCGACGATGAGAACGACGATAAGCACAGCTAGACCAGTGGTTCGACTGAAAAGAAGCGTTAAGCCGTTCCCGAGAGTCCAGAGAACGAATCCAGCGAGGATGCAGTGCATATAGTTGCCTACTCGTGACATGTACTGACCGCTCGCAATAGATGCAAAAGACGTGGTGATGATGATGGGTAATATCAACGCACCAGACACGAGCGGGGAATACCGCAAGATGGACTGGAAGTATATAGGGAGGTAAAAGAAGTTTCCAAAGTAGGCAAGGCCGGTCAAGAAAGACTGCAAGTATAGTGCCCAGCAGTGAGGGGCGCGGTATAATCGAAGCGGCATGATAGGGAGTGAAGCAAACTTCCATTCGTAGATGAAGAACATGAATGTCAGCACTGCGCCAGCTACCGTGGCTCCAACGAAGAATGGGGACGACCAAGCGTACGTAACGCCACCTCCTGACAGCGGAACCAGTAGGAGAAGTGTTGATGCGATGTTGAGGACAATGCCGCCGTAGTCAATTTTCCTGATCTTTTCCATGGTTTGGCTTGATGTATGCTTCAGAGGTAGGAAGAATATGAGAACCGCGACAGTTGGTAATGTCATGATGGGCATCATCCAGAATACCCACCTCCACGATCCGCCTTGGACAACAGCGCCGCCCAAGAAGGGGCCGATGCCGTTCCCGAGTGCGATTACTGCACCAAGCCAGCCTATATGAAGAGATTAGTATGCTATGCAATCTATCGCAAATTTATGGATTGCTCACCTTGATACTTGCCACGATTTTGCAGTGTTGTGATATCGCTGACAATGATCATCACCAAACTGTTAACTCCTCCACCTCCGATACCTGCAATTGCGCGAAGTACAAACAGTTGTGGGGCCGTTTGCGCGAAACCACATCCTAAATCCCCCAGGGCCAGAAGTGCAAGGCATAACAACAGTAAACCCTTGCGTCCAAAGATATCAGACAGTCTCCCGTTGATGAGCTGGAATGCCGTCGAAGCGATCAGAAATGATGTACCGATCCATGAAGTTGCAGTGCCTGTATTGAGATCCCCAGCAATAGCGGGGGTCGCTGTCGAAACGCTCGTCTGGTCGATGAAAGACACGAATAAGCACACTGATAATGCTGGTATCGCAATTCGAAGCTGTTTTGACGTCATAGTATTTCGTTGGCCGCTGATCGAATGCGTATCGTCGTCGTCGCCGACGTCGCCACCATTTTGCGCGCCGTCCTCAGTCGATCGCATTGAAGCTGAACGATCGATATTCGATGGGACCACTGTCAACTCAAGTTGCTTCTGGTCTTGAGATGATTCATGGGGGGTAGCCCCGGGGATTTGAGCACCCTCCTCGTGGGAACATGGCTCTGAATCCAAATTCGCCGCCCCGGTATCATGGCGTTGGGTGCTCATCGTTGCAAGATGAACTGCTCACAAGAAGGATTTCAGTAGAAGCACATATACATTCATACCGAGGCTATGTGGACCGGACATAACACAATTGCGAGTCGGGAATGAAGCTCCGGGACATTCTCTCCACTGAACGAATTTTAGGTAGTCCATGATCCACATTCTACGGAAATTTCTGCGCACACTGGAAAAACGACAGCTGCGCTTGCTATGATGCATTCATTTACAACAAAAGATTCCTAACAGAATCTTTGTCTGGCAATGAAATGCAGTGACGGAAGACTGAATCCGATGTAGGAGTGGGGCGCTATCTGGGGTGATGGCTTGGCTTCGGCTCATTTCTGGCCGACAACTTCAACGTTCTTCTTCAACTTCACCGGGCAGATGCGGCGAGGAGGCGTATCACGATTAGGCTAGCAGGGGTTTTCGCCGTGATGAACGGTTCCATAGCAGAGCTCTTGTGTTATCGGGCGATACGTGAAGGACGTTGCCATCGTGACAGACTTCGATGACCACATATCTTAGCACTTATTTGCTTTGAAATTTTTACTTTGGACATATATCGACTTCACCGGCTTCAAGTTTGTCTTTCCCGTATTTCAACTTTTCAGTCTCAAAACAAAGTCTTGAACAAAACATCAACTCGTTGTGCTCCATTCAAGGAACCAAATTTTAAGACGTATTGCAATCAACGATACCCGTCCCGAAAGATTTTCCAATATGTCACGACTTTTTCAGCCGTTGGCGCTTGGGACAGCGAATTTGGATCATCGCGTAGCAATGGCGCCATTAACTCGTTACCGAATGGATGACGACTGGAAAGCTAATTCGATGAATAAAGGTAAGTCATTGCTGACAATGCAGAGATCAGCTTATAACAGATGACCTATTGCTAATGCACAGTGTGACAGAGTACTACGAACAGAGGGCATGTGTGAAAGGTACCTTGATCGTTAGTGAGGCATGCATTATCGCCAAAAATGCCGCTGGTTGCTATAATGCCCCTGGCATATGGTCCGAAGCTCAAGTCGCTGCTTGGAAAGAAATTACGACAGCGGTCCACGACAAAGGGTGTATCATCTACTGCCAACTCTGGCACCAAGGCCGCACTGCTTATCCCGACGTGCTTAAGGCGCAAGGATACAAACTATTATCCTCAAGTGCTGTTCCCACTAGCCCTGCAGACGAAACCCCCGAGGAAATGACCGAGCAGGATATTTTGGACACTATCAATGACTACGCAACTGCCGCCAAAAATGCAATTGCTGCAGGCTTTGATGGTGTTGAGATACATGGTGCCAACGGATACCTCCCGGACCAATTCCTACAATCGACATGTAACAAACGTTCAGATAGCTGGGGCGGAAGTATCGAAAACCGGTCACGTTTCCATATCGAGGTCACCAAAGCAGTGATAGCTGCCATCGGTGCCAACAAGACAGCGATGCGTCTCAGTCCATATAGCGATTTCAACGGCATGCTCATGGACGAACCCGAACCAACCTTCGAATATCTCCTCGACCAACTGAAACCACTTGGTCTATCTTTTCTCCATCTAATCGAAGCTCGTATCAAGGGCAATGATGATGCTGAGTGTGGTGGACAAAAGAACGTAGCATGGATGATCAAGCAGTGGAAGAACGCCAGTCCTGTGGTATTGGCTGGCGGATTCAAGCCCCTATCGGCGAAACAAGCGGTCGACGAAACTTTTTCTGAGTACGATGTCGTGATTGCGTTTGGCAGGTACTTTGTATCAAATCCGGATCTCGTATATCGAGTCAAAGAGGATGTGCCTCTGACCGGGTACGATCGTTCGGTGTTCTATACTCCAAAACTACCCAAAGGTTATATCGACTACCCTCACAGTCAACAATACCTACAAGCAGCAGCATAAGGGAGTTACAATTAGCGACTGTTGATATTGTAATGTTTTTGGTCTTTCTGTATCTTTCTCCCCTTTCACCTATTAGCTAGCTTTGGAATACTAGATTCAATCCTCTTTAAGATGCACCAGACATGGAAATGCGCAAGTCACCAAATGTTCAGTTGTCCATGTAAGCATTCTTCTTGCTTTTCCCACAGAGACTGGACCATATTTTCGTCACCAAATGCTCAATCGAACTGGTGATTGGCAATTCCTATGCCTTGAAAGATGCGCGCGCGACGGTGAAGGTTGAGTGCGATGGTCGCGTCCGGTGAGTGGCACTCATTCTCTTCAGCCGCTCACCAATGGCTTCGCAAAGGCGGTGTCGAGATGCAGACTACGATATAAGCTAAGTCAACCAACACTTCCAAATGATCAGACTTGTTTTCTATTGAGACTCACGGCCAATCACACGAGTTTGACCCCACGTGGACCCATCACGTGAGCGCACTACGTCACACCAATGAACCTTACTAGGAGCGGCCTAGAGTCTCCCCACAGCCGCGGAGGCCAGACGCTATCGAAGAAACCCTTCTTCAAAACCTCCTTCCCAGGAGCATCCATCGTATCGCCATTTTTCATCCATCGTTACGCTTCGCGGATATACAGATCTGTTCTGTATCGCTAGGAATCAAAAGGCTGCTGCACAAACCAAAGCGTGCTTGGTGAAGTCAGCTCACGGACCACGACGCAGTAATTTTCCTCAAGCTTTCTATTGGCCCTGCAAGTACTTTCCAGCCATCCCTGTTCGACCACCAATACTTCGTGAAAGCCATCAAAAAACTTCATTCTTCCGTTCTCGCAGCTATTGTTACATTCGTTCAGCACAATGGCGGATCAACCCACAGGACAATCGGAACAGTACCAGGCCAAGGTCCTTTCTAAGCACCTCGACCCGGATTTCACTGCTGAATTCGACGGCACCGCCGTCGAAGCCGCAGGGAATGCCAGCTCCTCCCATTCCCAGGATGGGCTTCCAGGAGAATCGTCTCTCCGGTTACAGGGCGGCGATATCCACCGAGATCTGTACCGCATACAAGCTAATGCTAAGCGTATCAAACACCACCAACGAGCCGCGACCTTCTCGCATCCAACCTATGCAGCCTCTGAGGTCAGCCATGACGATATCCCCATTTCCGAACAGCTCCGTCCCGGGGGGTTCAGGAGGCAGTACTTGGAACGGAACAGTCGGTCTTTAAGTTTTGTCAATGCGCCTGTGACGAGAAACTTTGTTTCATTTCTGTCGCTATACGGTAACTTTGCCGGCGAAGATCTGGAAGAATCCGATGATGAAGGAGAAACAGAAGATGAAGAGGCTGCGGAAGAACCCAACGAGCAACGACCCCTCTTAGGAAGGCGTAAGAGCTCTAAGAGACTTAGGCATCAGGGTCAAGCTTCCAATGTCCAATCTTTCTTCACACTGCTGAAAGCATTTGTTGGAACCGGTATTATGTTTCTTCCAAAAGCTTTCAAGAACGGAGGCATGCTATTCTCCACCATCACGCTCATCACAGTTGCTTCGGTCACTATGCTCTGTTTCCAGCTACTACTGCAGTGTAGGGCACGGTACGGTGGCGGATATGGCGAGCTTGGTGAAGCGGTCGGTGGCCGCAAACTACGATCGTTGATTCTCACGTCCATTACCATATCACAGATTGGATTCGTATGCGCTGGGTTGATCTTTACGGCGGACAACTACTCGTCCTTCCTGGCCGCCGTGACTCCGAAAAGCTCTATTCCACTTTCTACCAATGCTCTCATCGGTATTCAGATTGTAGCATTGGTTCCCATGTCTTTCATCCGGCATATGGAGAAGCTTGGGCCGGCCGCGCTTCTTGCAGACGTATTTATTCTCATCGGTTTGGGATACATTTACTGGTACGATATTTCAACCATTGCAAAGATGGGCGGTTTTGAGCCCACTGTCCGCGCATTCAATCCCCGTGATTTCACACTCACTATCGGCTCCGCTATTTTCACCTTCGAAGGCATCGGTCTCATCCTCCCTATCCAATCCAGCATGAAGCATCCTGAGAATTTCAACAAGCTCCTTGCTATTGTCATGCTCATCATCACCATCATCTTCACATCAGTCGGTCTTCTGTCCTACGGTACTTTCGGCGAGCGCGTCAACGTTGAGCTCATCAACAACTTCCCGCAGTCCAGCAAGCTTGTCAATGCCGTACAATTCCTCTACGCCACGGCTGTCATGGTTGGTGAACCCGTCCAGCTCTTCCCGGCTCTGCGCATTATCGAGGGCAAGATCTTTGGCCACCGCTCCGGCAAGCAGGATGCCATGACCAAGTGGAAGAAGAACGGCTTCCGGATGTCCCTCGTCTTGCTCACTGGCATCATTGCCGCCGTCGGCGCCAGCGATCTGGACAAATTCGTTGCCCTCATTGGAAGCTTCGCGTGTGTGCCTCTCGTCTACATCTACCCAGCTTTCTTGCATTACAAGGGTGTTGCGGAATCGAATCTTGCAAAGGCTGGAGATGTCCTGATGATGATTATCGGCTTCGGGGCTATGGTGTATACGACCAGCATCACCATTGCACGTTGGGCGGAGACGTAGATCCACCCAAAACTGGTGAAGAGGTTGTAGGGAAGCGTGATATATAAGTTGGTGGAGAAGGAAGTAATGGAAAAGATCCTGGATTGGTTTAATGTATATGTGTAAACGTCATCCTTGCATCGTTTGAATAGGCGCCTGGATGGTTTGATTGTTTGATTGTTTGTTTTTCGTCCGTTAGCATTAGCATGACAACAAAAGTGTAATGGAACATGGGAGCGTTGTGATTTTCAGCAAAATGTTAGACCAAAAAAAAATACCAAATCATTGTTCGTCAACAGTCCGAAATTCTCAACGTGAAGTAGAGAAGGGGAAAATCGCGAAAATTGTGTAGGAATGAGCGATTTACTTATGCAGAGAGCTCGAAGAATCGGCAAGCAACACTCGACCCCAAGGTATACAGCTCCCCATCATCTTCTTCTATATACTTATCTCTGTTGGCTAGAAAGAAACAAGTCAAATCCGGTTGATTCGGTGGACCATGGTTTCCACTATCGAGTTAGGAACTGTGGTTTACAACATCAAAAACGACACCGGTTGTTGCTTTGTACAAACGATATGAGAATCATTGAATAGCCTGAATTTTTCAAGTATTGTATATATTCGATTGGAGTAGAGAGTTGCATGATTGCACCTACATAGACGTATATGATGAGCTGTGGCGGGGTGGGTGTGATAAGTTGGGTTAGACAGTGTTGAAGAACCACGGTAGTTTGTTTGTAATCTGACGAATGATGTGGGGTTGGGGGAGAAGAGGAGAAGAGAGGTTGAGTGAGCAATAAGTAATGTAGCATTTGTGGTATTATTAGTAGTGTATGAACGTGTTGGATGTAAGAATGCAGAGTAGCTTCTAGGACGATTGAATTATGTATATATGGTCCATGGTGTACATGAATACGTCACGCGTTGAAGAACTGTTGACTGTCGAGACACCATGAGCTGTGATGCAGTGAGATGCTGATGGCATAGATAGGTACTTGACATGCTCGTGTTTGAGTTGAGCTGATTTTGAACACGAGTCGCAGCCTCTATATACGTAGTGCATAAGTCCCTGTTCGCCCTGGGGATATATCCAAAAGGCAAACGCACTGAGAAAAGTGCGAGGTGTGTTGGATGAATGCCGATAATGGATGAATTACTATGTAATATTACGAATGATTGCGCCAATGGCCAAATGACGAAGATAGAAAGCTTGGAGTCTGCCGGTAGAAAGTTTAGATGGATTCACTTGATTACGCTGATGAGAGATGGACACATTTGTGTGCTGGTAATCACGAGGACTAGATTTTGTGCATGCAGGACCAAGCTGATCAGATTAACAGGATGCTTCCCACGGACATGCAGGGTTACCTCAAGTTACACGGCTGCCGAAACCGCCCGGATCCTGAAATCTCGCGTTTTCACAACTCACCTCTCATTTGCCTGAAAAGAAGGTTGTCGCGGCAGCTCCGACGTGCCACGAAAACGGCGGAGTGGATATTTGAACAAGGTGACAGATTGACGCGGTCTAGATGGCAGTAGCGGTGCTGCATTGTCATGATGTGTGACAGTTGTTGCTCTCGCGAGTGTCAGTCGAACGGCAAAGGGTCCAGTCTCGGTAAAAGTACGAGTGACAAGAGTACCAAGAGGTGTGCCAAAGTGTCTAAGGCGGAATAATAATGCATAAGATATTGCACGTCCATCTTGAGAGCTGCAAGCCTTTCTCCCTCGCTTCGCTTTCGTGCCCCTACCGGGGCTGGGGTTGGCCTCAGGTATCTGCATCGAGGATAGGGCCCGCGGAAGCATCAAAGAGAAGTATCTCAGTGCGAGCTCACGTTCGCAAAAGATGGTCTATACTGCGTCAGAACGATAGGAGAAGATTGACGAGAAATCATAGAGATGATGTGTATCAAAAGTTGATATCAAAGGGAAGATAGCCGGTGGAGAAGAAGTAGGACAGAATCAAACAACGGTCGCCGAGTCGAGGCAGGGTAGCTTGGCGTGTCTTGAAGGAGCAGAAGCACAGCGCATGAGCAATTTGCCAAGTGCGAGAAAGCGGACTGTTTTGGGTCTTCAGACGACACTGGTGTCATAGACAGAGAGATTAGCTGGGGACTCGAGCGGTTGGGCTCAACGGGTGGTTCTGATAGGCATTCGCGCCGTCGCAGCGCTGGCAAATGGACTCTTTGTGCTGGTCCCGCAGTGGGCGGGATCCACGGAAGCGGGCAAGATAGATGGACCAAGATGGATATACGAGCGTCAAGGCTTTTGTGATGCAACAAAGACTGTTTGGCCATGCAAGGCGTTCGGTCCTTCCCCTCTCTGGAGTCTGAGATGGTTGGTAAATCCGGAAGCGACCGCTTGTCAGCTTGGAACAGGTCAAGAGAGGGGTGCGACGGCACACGCTGCCCTCGATCTTACTTGTACTCTGCTGGATCCCATCTCTTGTTTGTTCTTCATTATTTTCTGTCTGCAGCCGGCCGCATAGAAAAGCAACGGAAGAAAGATTGCTGCGCGTGAACGAGATACATAGACCCCAAGAGAATCAAAGGGAGCAAGCACCACTCAGCACTCAACCAACATGAGCCTCGTCGCCGGTAAGCACTTCCTCCTCTTTCTCTTTCTCCCTCCCCTCTACCGTTCTGCTCGCACACCCACATGCAAGACCACCACGAAGAAAAGAAGAAAAGGAAAAAAGAAATGGAAAAGAAGGTTTATTAGGGGCGGACTGCCGCCTCATATACGGGAGTGCGGTGGTGGTGTGAGCAGTTCGCGTATGGGGGTCCCCCATGCTCCGCACTGCAAAAAACAGCCCACCTTTGCTACCAAGCGCCAGCTAACAGCCCATTGTCGCCTGATTTTCAGATCCGCTGGATCGCATCTTCGCCGGAAACCGCACCTACGCCGAAAGAACTGTGCAGGATGACCCGCATCACTTCTCCCAGCTCAGCAAAGGCCAGTCGCCCGAGATCCTGTGGATAGGCTGCGCCGACTCCAGAGTCCCAGAGACGACCCTGTGCAATCTCAAGCCCGGCGACATCTTCGTCCATCGCAACATTGCCAACTGCGTCCACACCGACGACCTGTCCTCTGCCTCGGTTGTCGAGTATGCCGTCGCCCACATCAAGGTCAAGAAGGTGGTCGTGTGCGGCCACACCAGCTGTGGAGGAGCCAACGCAGCCCTCAGCGATGGCGATCTGGGGACCACTTTGAATACATGGCTGCACCCCGTTCGAGAGTACGTGCATATACATCTCCCCCTCTGTCCATTTATACATCCTTCATACGTCACCCTACATTTTCTGTTCCCTCCACTTTCCCCTTGCGATCGACACGAACCCGTGGGTCTCCCGCCTGTAGCGCGAAGCTAACATATTTCTTTTCCCTCTCTAGACTCCGCCGCAAGCACAAAGCCGAGCTAGAAAAGCTGCCCGACGACGCCGCCCGTGCTGTCCACCTCGCCGAACTCAACGTCCACTCCTCCATCGAAGTCCTCAAGCAACACCCCTCTATCAAGCGCGCCATCTCCGAGCGCGGCCTGTCATTACACGGCGTCATCTATGATATCGCCGCTGGCCAACTGCGCTTGCTTGAAGAGACGGGCAATAGCAAAAAGTCTTTCGGACTGTGGTCGCCCAACTGAATCCCTACCTAGTTGGGGGAGGGATTGATTCCCGTCTGTAAGGTTTACACCCCGGGTTGGGTGCACGATTTATGTATTGGAATGATCTTTCAGCCAAAGGCGTTGTTGTCGGGATATACTGCCGGCAGATTGATTGCCCTCGTCGTTTTCTGCTTATGGGATGGGGAGTCTGGAATACATGCGGGCCCAACATCTCGGACTCTTCATGTGCTATCTACAGCAAATGCAACTGTGTTCTTTTTTTGGTCTTAGTCTCCATAATGAATTCCTCTGACTCGTGTCTTGTGTCAATCCATAGACGTGATGTACTGCCTCTGACTATTGTTTGGCTTCCCACAACACATGTATTTCTGTACCGGGGGCGTGTTCATTGTTAAACTAGGTTGTCGGGTGCACTTATCCTGGGGTGATTTGTCTGTGATTTGCCTTGTTCGCAATCCGTGAATCTTTCCGTGGAAGATTGGCAACATCAAAATCCTCGATGTTTGGTCTGGTGTACTTTGGACTGGCTCTTAGGTTAGTCTCGTCGTCAATGTTACAAAAGGATCAGGGACTCAACACATTGTGAGCTTTGCACCACGCTTATTCCGCTTAGAACCACCTTTTCCCTATCCAACAAAAAAAAAAACTTACATCTTTGTACCCACTACGATGGCAAGGAAAAATGAAAGACAGCAAAATTCCGTCTTCCCAAACCCATCCATGAATACATGCACGAAAAAGCCCAAACTCCACGAACAACAAACCCCGTCCTCTACCCATCCCACCACGCAACTTTTGATTCGTACCTCCTACCCAGAAACAGGTCACGCATCCCCAAGCTGAAGAAGCACGATACTTACTCATTCTTCCCAACACACCGTTCGAGCTCCCAAAGATCGCCAGCTAAACGACCATGATGCCTCATGATGACTAACTAACCGCGTGATTTTTCAGAGTCTACATACCCAGGTATGTATGTGGTTGATCCTCCAAATCCATACACGTAGAGTCAAAGCAATCATGGTGAATGAGTCATGCGGCAGATGCACTTCCATATATCGGCAACACGAGGAGGTGGGAATAACTCGGGGTTACTGTCCGTCAATAGCGCTTCGGACCATAACGTTATGGCATGCATATACCTAGGTATGTATCTATCTATGTACCTGTGTATGCATGTGGGAATTACATACCTATCCCAGCTTAGTGACTTCTTTTTCAGCTTGGGTTGTTCGACAAGTAAGCTGGATAAGTCGGACCAGGGGCTTCTTTTTTCTTCCCCTTTGTGGAATTTGTTGCTTTCTTTGCTTTTCCGGATGTCTTACGATAATTGCATAGTGTAGGTGTGTGGCTCTCTCGCGCATCCCTGTCGTGGATCTTTTTTTTTTCTTTCATGGGGCTGGATATCTCGCCTACTATTTCGCCTACGGGGACTTGGAAGCGATGTGACGGTACCATTTATTCTTCGTGGCAATTAGTGTTGAGGGCGCATGGGGGGCAAGGCAACTATTTGAAATTTGAAAATTGCGAATAGAGGTAGAGTCATAGTTAATGAAACTACAGCATTGCCAATATTGATAGTGGAATCATGGGGGCTCGGTGCAGACCTATCGTATCGAGCAGCGGGTTTTCCGGTGCCAACCCCAATGGAGATTTGCGGATGATGAGTGATCATTCCAGTGGAGGCGGTTTCGCACATGTCCACAGACCAACGCGGCCAGCCAAATAATTATCTCTTTTTGTTTTTCAGCTGCATACGTACGAAATAATGGTGGTTTTCCCCCTCCAGGTCAGCGGTGAGCTGGATGTGCGAATTTATTAGTGCCCTATACAAGGGCAGAAGAACGAATCTCCATCAGTCTGGGCAGACTATGCCTTATTGGTGGCTTCTATACGAGAGATGAAACTCGGGAGGGTGAGCAAAAGGAGAAAAGGAGATATCATGGCTTTAGGATGGTGTTAACGGAGCGCATTCTGGCGTTTGTGCACGAGAGATTAACATCTAGACGTGGTTGCATTTACGGGGGGTTTCTAGGCAAGAGTGGCTGTACGCTTGCATGTCGCCTATATACATCTTCTATATGTACGTATGCACGTACGCAAGCAGTGTAAGCGTCGGGGTAGCTTATAGGATCGTTGTAGTTCTGGGGTTGTAAGCAAAGCTGACATTCACGGGGAACAACATGTCAAGTCATCAACAACCGCGGTGCCAAAGCCTACAGTTATACGATATATCTCCTGCAAAAAAAGGTGTCCGGCGATTAAGTGCATACACGGTGGAACCCGCGGGTAGGCGGTCAAGAAGGGAAAACCCAAGCACCCCGGTTGCTTACGCAGCACACGCAGTACACTCGCCAGCCTCAGCCCACGCAGTCACATACAAAGCCCTGTTCATTTAAGCTATCCACTAACATGATTCTGGACTGGTAGCGGCTGAGCAGGATCCGGCAGCATGGCAAACGAAGAACGACGAACGAAGCCGGAAACTTCTACGATGCAGTCTTTTCAGATCAGGAGGGTCGACAAGGCCCTTGATTTGCTCGCCATCCAGCGGCCATTTCCCGACGGCAAGCAACGTCATATCAGAAAAAGAAAAGCAGACGCTTTGTGCATAGGATTTGCTTGCGCCTTCGCGTCGCATACCGCTCATTGTAGCGCCTCTCGATGCCATCGTGACTCCCAGCATGTATGCATACCGGCTCGTCTTCGAGTGTGCGCGCCCTGCCAACGACAAAGCCAGACGCATCATGGAGCATGCTTCTGCATACAAAGTACCACCACAAAGTGATTACATCAACATACCCACGTTAGGCTCTATTCAGTATATGTTAGAAAAACAATAGTATCGGTACCCTTGATCAGCCAGCCGAGTCACCGAACTTGATGTCGCGATGAGATGCGTCACAGTGCGCCGGTGCTCGCCTTGCCCTCGTGCCCCAAGACCCAAGCTTACATGCTACCGACGCACGTATAGCGAACGCCACAAAGAATTCTCCATCGTAGTAGACCGGGTATGAGTATTGCCGGAGCTTGGTTGGTGGGATTAGGCGGCCATTCCCTGTTAGCTCATGGCCCATGTGTGATCGAGTTGAGGCTTCTGACCTGTGGCGTACGGAGTAGGTAGATTTCTCATCGTCTTTATTTTCGTCGCTCTGAATGGCTATTCTTGTAATGCTGGTCCCTCAGCTCTGTTTCCCCAAATCAGGCACGCATAGGGAACCTCGTATGGTGAATGCTAACCTGTTTTGGGATTGACCGTTTTTATATTACCGGTCGTCCACCTCCTCCTTCCTCACGTCTACATATACACTGGGGCCCCCTTTCCCGTCTTTTGAAATTAGAACATCCCACTTCATAGTGCCCATCGGCTGACCCATTCCGCTGGAAGGCTAAACATCCAAGCTTCCTACTCCACTTTGATGATACCATCGACTGCTGGCGCCATGTTCCCAACGATGCACACCCACACTCTCCCGTCCCAGGAGGCGAATTCACCATCACAGTCCCAGATTCGGACACAAGCTTCATCTCCAGCATCATCTCTCTCGGGCCAAGAGCCTGAGAAGAAGCCCAAGAAAGTCAATAGCGAGCTTCGAAAGCAGCAAAACCGGATAGCTTCGCGCAACTACCGCGAGAAACGGAAAAGGAAACTACAATACCTCCAGCAACTCATCAGGGAAGGTGGTTCACACTCTCCTCAGGCCACTTCGGCAGCCAAAAGCGAAACAACTGGAACACAGCGTCAACATAAAGGCAAAAGCCAGGCCCAGAGACGTATCGTGCCGTCGAATCTGTACTCTCAACCAGCACCCTCAAGCAGCAGCAGCAACAACATTGCCACCAACCTCACCGGAAACACAATGCTATTGCCAACGAGGCCCTTTACGGCACCCCTATCCACAACCAACAGCAACTCACAGCCTCCATTGCCTGCACCAACCACATCCCCCTATCCCGAACACCCCGTCCCAACCACTCGCCCATCGTCGTACCTTCCCTTTGACCCCACGTGGCAAACATCTCCCATGTACGACATCCCCCCACCAATTGAAATACCATCGTGGAACAGCCTTCCGCTGCCCTGGATTCCGAACATCGAGTTCAGTCCACCCATGACCACGAGATCTGCCGATGACTTCCAATTTACACCGCCACCACCTCCACCACCGCCGCTCTCCTACTCGAGCTACGAGCAGCTTCCCACTCCACCGCGACAGGAGCTTACGCCTGAACCCGACTTCTACTTTTCCGGCGCTACGAGCGGAAGCTTTGCGGATTGTAGAAGGGTGCTGTTGGATGGGGCGCAGAATAGCGTCAGCTTGCCTAGCTCACCGTTTTGTCACCCACGATGAATTTTGAGGGACTAAGCGCTACTGAAACAATGGAACTATTATTGTTGTTCTGTACCTTTATTCTTTTTCGAAATTGGGCGCGTGACTCAAGGATTCTATCTCGAATATGCTGGTGGGAGGCGTGGGGATACATCATTATCCCATTTGGGAAAACAAGAAGAGAAAACCCATGGGTGCTTCTAGAACGTTGCCGCAAAAAATCATAAGATATTGCTGATCAAGTCTATGAAACACACCTACTTCAACGAAGAAGGGGAAGAAATCACAAATCCTCATCAATTATCACATGGGAAACAAGGAACCAAGAGGAACGCACGAGCAAGAGAGAAGCAGAAGGGTGGGTGGAAAGCAAATCTCAGGAACCAAAAAATTCCAAGCCGAAAAAAGACCCCACTACTCAGAAGTTCCCTCACCATTCGCCAAGAAAAGACACTATCTCATACACATATACACTCTCACCTTCGCTTCCAGAAAAAGAATGGCACACCGATACCGAATCCCAGAACTTATCATTACGACGCGCCCTAAGTTTTCCAAGACCAAACCGCAAACGGTAAACACAACGAGCAAAGTATTAAAAGCCAAGCTAGACTCCGCCGCAACGGGTAAACAAAAAGACCCACGCCCGTCGTCCCATCATGTCATCTCACAAGCAACATGTTTGGAGACCAGAGCGAGGCCGGCCTCACGTAAGCGCCGAGACCATAACCCTCACTCCCTCCCCCCTGTCACATACCGAGGTTGCCGATCGAAGGGGGGGAGATTTGCTGTGCGGGAGCTGTTGACCTTTTTGTTTCCAAATCATGAGGGGGGCTAATGAGGAACCTAGGCCGGCTGGCTGGTTGGGTTGGGTTGATATCTCCATCCGTGTGCTAGTGAGCCGAGAACGACATGGCGGGACGAGGAGAAGGCGGGTTTCTAGATTTTAGGACGGGTTTTTATTCTTGGCATGCATGCATGCATGCATGCAACGGCAGGTACATATATAGCACAGCATCAGACAGACATTTAGAAGAAATTTTGCAGAAAAGTAAGAGTACTAGTACTAGATTGCAGAGTATAAAGGGGGAACGAGGGAAAGAAGGTTAGTAGAGCAGGAACAGCCCTAGGAGATGATACTATTGCGAGTTATCGAACCGGATTGAGGAAACAATCGTTGCTGGTCTCTGTCTGGCATCCGAGGAGTCCGGGAGGTAACAGGGGTAAATAGGGAAATTCTTGTGCGGACGAATATATGCGCAAGATACGGTAACGAGGAAGGAGGGAGTGGGGGCAAAAAGAGAGGATTTTGACAGTACGCGGACTTTGCACTTTTCGTGCGGTAGGCAGCACATAGACTCGATAGAGTCAAGGAGTGGAGAAGGGGAATCTGCAGATTAAAACATAGAATTGTCCTTGCGGTATATCTTAGGACTTGGGTGCGCTATCAGCCATTGATTTGCCTATGATGAGAAAAGGAGCGTGGACTGTTTGTGATTTTGCGTTGGGAAAGCTTCTTTTGAATGCCTGGAATTATACATCTAATCTTGGTCCGTCTTTTCGACGTCTTTTCAAACCCATGGGCTATAATAATAGAACCCGAACGACTGTTTCTAAAGAACAGAAAGTTATGTTGGCGTCTCATTCTACCCTCCAAACCCTGTAGTGTTTACACATAGACAACGACGCTCGGTAACAGCGTACAATCAACCGCCCCGATGACAAAACCAAAAAAAAAAAGAGCAGAGATGGATAGATAAAGCTCTTATCCGATGATTCATACATTCTCTCCACTCTAGCCTCCCACTTTCCCATCTCACCCTGAACACTCTTACAGATTGGGGAGCTGGGAAACGGGGGAAATGGCAATAGATACAATTAAGACGATAATGGTGTGAAAGCGACAAGATATGGGAAATGACAATAGAGAAGGTCCCGCTCGTTGGAGCTTCTATGCAGAATATGGGAGAGAAAACAGGGAAACGTGCGTCTAGGAGAAAGGAAAGAGAAATGGTGCTGAATGCGGACATTTGGAAGTAATGCGTTCCAGGAGGAGGTTTTGAAGAGAGGAAAAGGAAGAGAAATGACTGAACAAGATACAGTCGGTTCTATCTTGTGGGTATGAAGTAGAGAAAACTTGATAGCTGTGAAATTCCATTCTACGCTTTGGCGGTCTTTTCGCCGGAGGCAACCGTTGCGTCATCCTGTTTCTCACCGACGGCGCTTCCCACACGCTTCGGGTCCTCTAGGACTTTCTCCTCTACTGCGCCGACGGTTCCGCCGACTTTGGTAGTTCCCGTCTTTGCCTTCTTGACCTTGGGCACACGCGCAAGCCAATAGAAGAAGAGAGCGCCAAAGATGTTAAAGATGACATACACCCAGAGAATGCCGAAGTTGCGCCACACATCCTTGTAGTCAGCGTGTACGGCAGCAAGGAACACGTTTGTGTCGCCCAAGGCGCAGTATTGGCAATCGGAGGTAGCTCCGGGGTTGTTGACGTAGCCACCAGCTAGAGTTTTCCAGGGATTGGTGTATTCCTCGCAGGACGTACCGTTCGTGGGCTCGAAGTGCAGGAATTCAGATGCGGCGCAGACTACGTTCGTATTTGCGACGCCGGTCGACAGCATTCCGGATATCATGTATGTAAACGGTGAGACTCGATACATGAATATCCAGAAGCCAGGGAGACGTTCAGGGGTAGCGAGGACACCGCAGAAAATCAAGCACATCGAGAAGCACAAGTTGGCAATGTTTCCTCCGTTTTCAGCGGTGTCAACACCGGCGATGATCATGTGAGCGAACGTCGAGGTAAACAACAGGAACATCCAGCAGAAGAGGAACATCTGAGCACCTCGAAGTGCCACATCATCACCGGCATTGTTGTACAGACCAATAGGATAGTACCAAGTGAAGTAGATGAGGACAGCCATAAGCGTGTTCCAGGGCAATTCGACTACGATATTGGCGATCATAAAAGCGACCCATGAGTAGGCTTTGGAGGGGCGCTCACGGACTTCATACAAAGCGCGTTGGGTGACGAAGTGTGGCATGATCTGCTGTACCAATTGGCCGAAGATGGTCATCATCATGAAGATGGAGAACATCTGGTTTTGCAACCCTTGTTGAGTGTTGGGGGTGTTGTAAAGCGAAAATCCAATAAATAGACCAGACAAGGTGCAAAGTGCGGTCTTGGAGTAGATGTAGGTAGGGGTTCTCCAGTACTGTTGATAGACACGGATGGTGACCTCGCGAAGCTGCTCCCCGAAGGGAGCTGCAAATTCACGGTAAGCAGCCTTATCCTCGCGCTTTTGAGCGGAAACAGTGCGTTCAAGGGCGGTCATATGAGCTCGCTCCTCTTTCATTTCGGCCAAGTGTTCCTGGACAGCGGCGTATTCAGGAGAGTTGCGCCAGGCGTCATGCCAATCGATGTCAGTGTGTGAGCCAGGTGCCGCACCAATGACCTCAAGCATCCATTCAGCGGGGTTGGCAGCAGGAGGGCAAGGTTTACCTCCATTACGAACGAAGTAGTCGATAAGGATTTGCGAGTTCGCGCCGACTTCGCCGAAGTACACTGTCTTGCCGCCGGATTTCAAGAAGAGTAAACGATCAAATCTAGCGAAGAGCATGGCAGACGGCTGGTGGATAGTGCAGAGGATGGCTTGACCGTTCTTCTTGAGCTTGTCGAGGAGATCAAGAATGGCCCACGAAGTTTGAGAGTCCAGACCAGAGGTGGGTTCGTCGAGGAAGAGAAGCAACTGTTCTTATGTTAGTGTCTGGGACATTGTGAGAAGATGTTCGATGTTTCTTACCTGAGGCTTAGCAGCCAGTTCAACACCAATGGTAAGACGTTTTCGCTGCTCAACGTTGAGACCTTCGCCAGGAACACCAACAACAGCATCGGCGTATTCGGACATCTCTAGAAGCTTGATGACTTCCTCGACATAATCAACCTTCTCCTCACGAGACACATGTGCGGGTTGACGGAGGAGAGCAGAAAAGGTCAAGGCTTCGCGTACTGTCGAGGTAGAGAGATGCAAATCTTGCTGCTGAGCGTAACCAGTCTTGCGTTGGAACGAATCATCGCGAGGCTTTCCGTCGACCAACATCTCTCCCGAGATCACACCCATAGTTGTACGAGTAGCGAGGCAATCCAACAGTGTTGTCTTACCGGCTCCGGAGACACCCATCAAGGCAGTCAAAGTTCCAGGCTTGACCCATCCATCCACGTGATCCAGAATACGGCGCTCTTCGTTTTTGATTTTGATATCGTAGCAAACGTCTTTCCATTGAAAAATTGCGGTTTGGCGCTCAATGATGGCAATGTTGTCAGAACTGTCCATGGCAGCGCCAACGTTGCGGCCAGCGGGAGCCGACTCGAGATCATCAGTCGACTTGTTCTTAAAAGCCTTGTGACCGCGTCGGAAGACGAGCACCTCGCCCTTGGACTTCTTGGCTGTGATCAGTTCAGTGGCTGCCAAGTAGATGAACATGAGACCGAACAAAAAGACCCAAAGGATACCGAAATTCCTCCACTTGTGTGAGTTGTAGTAGTCGTAGGAGATGTTGATCCAGGCGTCTCCGCTGACAAAGGGCTGACCGGGAACTGAGCCAACAGTGGAGCAGACCTGGTTTTCGGGAGCAATGTTTGAGTAAGCTGGACCAGAAGGCACAAAGTTGACACATTCAAAGTCTCTGTTGTGGAACTCATTGACCATGAGCGCCTCGAATGCATAGCTGACAGGATTGAGGTAGCGAATCCATTCGGACCACCCAAGCATGTAGTTGGGAGGGATGGCGAAACCAGTGTACATGACGAGACCGAGGATTAGGATAGCAGCTGGAGCGAGAGCTTGATCCAAGGATCGAGAAAGCGATGCGATGGAACGGAAGAACATGGACATGACCAGAGTGAGCATGAACGATATAAGAACGAAGAAGAAGTACGGCCCGGGCTCTCGTCTCAAGTTCGTCATGAAGTAAAGTACCAAGTTGAACGTGATGGCATTGAGGATCTTGTACGGCATGTCTGTCAACATGGATGCGAACGCTTCCGCCGAGGGATGGTAGAGGGCATAGCGTGAGTGTTTCTCAACAATTGGTCGTTGGGCGTACAGAGTCAGAATTTCGAGAGCGGAACCAAAGGCGTTCATCAGGATGGCAAAGAACAGAAGAGCGGCGCGGGAAAAGAAACTGTCCGTATTGGACTTGAGGTTGAAGAAGACCGAGGATATAATAAGCGCCATGATGGAGTTTGCGACCAATTGGAAGACGGTGATGCTGGGATCTGCCATCAACCTTCGGAAGCCGCGCCATAAGCAAAGGTTCACTTGCTGCATGTACGACAAAGTGTAGGGCGATTTGATACGCTGACCCTTGGCTTGCTGGGCTTTGCGAGATTCGGTGAATTTCTGAAGATGTTCACCGCCAATGGGATACTTTTGCTCATAAGCTTCAATCTGCTTCAGCAACTGTGCGCGTTCGGCTGAGTCCTTCCACCGCTGGGCAAACTCGTCGGGAGTACGCGGCACGCGATCTTCCCATCCAGGACGGACGATACGCTCCAGGGGACTGGTCATGGAGGTGAGGAAATCGGCGTCGGTCTGTCGGTCTGGACAGTCGAAACCCATATCCACGAAGTATTGCTTGGCGGCTGTTACAGGGCCGAAGAAGATTTGGCGACCCTCGTACAGGACGAGTGCTTTGTTGAAGACGTCGACAGCCGACTGAGGTGCCTGGTAGATGGCAACACAGGCGGTGGCACCGTTGATTTCTGTTTCCATGCGGAGGGTTTTGCAGAATTCGATAGCGTTGGCACTGTCCAAACCTCGCGTACTGTTGTCCCAGCATTGTAGAGGAGCGCCACTCAAAGCAGCTTCGGCAATGGTAACACGCTTGCGCTCACCTCCCGATACGCCGCGGATGAAATCATTTCCCACTTTGGTGTTGACGGTGTGGGAGATGCCAAACATGGCCATGATAACATCCCGCTTGTGCTCGCCGTATTGTGTAATGGTGGCACCTCCCGGAATATGGCGTGGGGCACGTGCTCGGGCAGCAAAGTACAGAGTCTCGCCGACGGTCAACATGGGGAAGTGAACGTCAACTTCGGCTGTGTAAATTGCTTCTCCCCGGAAATCTTTGGCCATCTGCTGAGGACTGATACCTGTTTTGGTTGTGAGTTATGGCTGCATGGAAGGCTGTGCATTGGAAGACAAGAAAACTCACCCTGGTAGTTCATGACGGAGTTTTGGTCGACAAAGAAGCCATGGGTCTCGCCTGCCAGAGTCTTTAGGAAAGTGGAACATCCAGATCCGGGAGGTCCAAGCACGACCAACATCTCTCCGGCCTCCACCAAGCCCTCGATATCTTTCAAGATCTCGATCTTGCGGCCCTTGTTTCCCATGACCTTTTTGGCCAAACCGGCACCTTCCAGCCATACGTTGCCAACACTCTTCTGGTAATCCGTGTCACTGCCGAAGCCGTGAACATTGAGGTTGCGGAAAGAAACACCGGCAGTCCTGGGTGGAGGGGCGTTGGGGTCCTCGAGCTGTGTGTTGAGCATGGCCTTTGCCCAGGCCCGGGCATTGAAGTGATCGCCGTGGGGGTCCAGGGCAGATCCAGCTTGGGCGTGGAAGGGGTTTTGATGTGTGGTGGAATAGACGCTCTGCTCGGTGTAACGTCTGGCCAATTGGTGGACGACGCTCTCTCTGCGGCCATTGCTGTCGGAGCTGTCCAGGCTCACGGCTTCGGAGTTTTGGTTAGTGATGTCTTTTGGGTTGTTGTTGTTGTTTGTGTTTGTGTTCCCGGGAGTCAGCCTAGTGCCGTCCTGGTTGGCAGCAATAGTGGAAGCTTCCGAGGTGTCGGAGCCGGCGTGACCTGTGCCAGGGGCGGCATCACGGGGTGGAACATGATGCTGGGCCTGGTTGTCCCCGTTGGAGGTGAAGTTCCCCACCAAACTCATGGTGGCAGCGTGGGTGTTTGTCGCGTCGCAGCTGGGATGGGTGGTCCTCGAGCTGTTTGGACAGGCGAAAGGAAACAAACACTAAGCTTTGAGGGGGGGAAGAGGGGAGGAGAGACGTGCAAGAGCAAACAAGAGAAGGAGGGGGGAAAAGTATTATTAAAGGGAGTAAGCAGTACAATTAGATGGGTAGATAAGTAAGTAAGTAAGTAGAGAGAGAGACAAGGGGCGAGCGAGCGGCAAGAGCGATGTCTTTTGTGCAGGCGGATAGTAAAAAGCGTGGGAGAGGGAGGCCGGTTAACGGTAGAGCCAGGGCACCGAGAGGCTAACGAAGGTCGCGACAGGGGCGGGCGGGAGAGCGAGACGGCGAAGGGGAACGCTGGCCTGGTAGAAAGCGCACGGAAGGACGGAATTGCCTCTTCCACGCTCGTCTACGCCCAGCAGACGCCCTCGAGCTACGCCCGGAGCGGCCAAGCGCGGGCCCATCGCGTAGGCCACGGCGCGCGAATACGGTGCATACGCCTCTGCCTTCTCCACACCCACATACAAAGGCCCCATTGTGTCTTGCTTCCGCCCAACACTCGATTGCGGCGTTTTTGGTCCATCTCACGTCTCCCGAGACAAGACGACAGGCATGCCCGCCCGCACTTTACTTACTGTGCAAGGAGGACGGGATCGCCCGGAAGCACGACGTTGGCTCTGATCGAAATGTTTCTTTTTTTTTTTTTTTTTTTTCGCTCCCCTCGTGTCCCAGCTCCTCCACTCGCGCTGCTACATTACGTTACCTGCTGCACTGCGAGATGCAGTTGATGCAGTACCGGCATCCTTCCCACCGGGCGCACTGTAGGACTGACCATGCATCGCCATCAGGATCCGGCAGGTATACACGGACGCACACAGGCACGCCAGGTGGATGGAGCTGGCCACGCCTTGGCGGCACCGTCGTCGCTGGTTGGTCGCTTGCATCCTTCTTCTCACCGTGTGCGAGACTTCGAGACCGCCAACAATTAGCTGACATCTCGAACGGGAAGTCTATGCCGTCGTTTGTCGGTCTGATGTGATGCACGCCTGTTCCAGTCGTCACCGTTAACCATCAACTTCCAGACGACTGCCTGATCCCACTGCACGCCACTTGGTACTCGCGCATCGCCTATTACAACTGCCACTCTGATCGCCTTTGCCTATGACTAGTACACTCTACCCTCCCCCCCATTCCAGACTCGAGCAGTAAGCTACAAGTCCAACTCTCCACTTTTTGCATCCACCCCCCAAAATCAGCCTTCCATCCAATCTCTCCCGCCCAGATAGACTCAGCCAAGCGCCAATCACATGAAAAATCCCATTGCCAGGCCCCCTGTTCTAGGACACCCTGAAAAGTCTACACAATATAGTGCAGGCCCACAGGGCTGACGAGCAATCGCCCTCGGACGAGAAAACGCGGCGCTTTTGAGGCCTTGAGAGAGAGGGAGAGAGCGGAGCGGGACCCCGGAACCTCGTGTTCCGCTCCGACGTCTGTTTGGCTTGCTCGCATCCCCCACCCGCGCGCACGTCAATTCGCCCGTCATGACAGCTGCCTAATCACCGTATACACACGTACACCGTTGTTCCAGCTCCCGTGCGCATCAATGTTGGAAACACCGTACCGCTGCAGCCTGCACCCTCTACATGAACGGTTACTTTCCCACGTGCGTGGCTTCGTTTTCGTCCGGATGGCCTGCCTGCACGCCGTTGATCCCTACCCCAACCTACCGGAATATCGCGAGCCCTATCAATCTCGGTCTGTCTGTCGATTCCACACCTGATGTATTAGTGATGCATGCGCGTACGTATGCACGTATCATCCTTTTCGCATCCGTGATTTCTCATCGGTATTCCTCGCATCCATCCCGACTCTTTCCTCTTGCTCCTCTGGTCAGTCCCGATAAGTCGGCGCTTCGGTACCGCCTTCCTCCGTCTCTCCACCCCCATGTCAAGAGCTGGCCTCCACAAGACGCGTAAATATGTACTCAATTGGCTATACGCGCCTCTAATCTCCAACCGGGCAATATCACGTATCAGAGGATCAATCTGGCTTCAATGTACGAACAAGATGACTGATTCATTATCCATCATCTCACGTCACCCTTGCTCAAACCTTGTCTTCCCCGTCTTCTGTCCCCACCCTGCCCAATCGCGTCCCGCCGTGTACGATCATCGTTACTCATTTCCAGTCACTTTCTTGGCGGAGACTTGTTTGGGAACCTTTCCCCCACTTGCTAGTTGTCATCTTTTCACTCAAAGTATAGAAGCTTGCCAAACCCTACTACCCGGTACATGCACATGCACACGCGCAGGTAGTATCAATTTCGTAAAGGTGAACATCTGCTTGGGTTGCATGGCTTGCATAGCGTGAATCCATCGCATCTAGAAAAACCAGAGCAACTGCAAGTACAGAAACCCCTCAAAGATGAGGAAAAGGAGACATCTCACAGTATAACCACATGTCCTATTCATCATCACTCAATCCCGCAAGACAAACACATGGCAAGAACAGCATGAAAAATCGTGATATGCTTGTTTCCTCTTCAGTCGTTAAAACCCATGTACATATGCACTACCCTTCCTAGGTGGTTAAGAAGACAAGGAACTTGAAGAAGAAGAAAATTCATCCAATTAACAACATGCTTCTTCCCCCTCAATCTCTTCCACCACCAACAGCTCTATCCCACAATCTTCACCCCCCTCCAAGGGAAAATGAAGAAGATCAAAGAGCTTATGCACTAGCACTCGTCAAGAAGAACAACCAAAAACAATTAATAATGAAAATACAGAAGAAGAAGAACAAGTATAAGGAGCCCAGTGAAGAAGAAGAAGACAACACCCAACTGGAAGCCCCCAGACAAGGAGGAGCGAGTAAGAGAAAAACATTCAGTCATCAAACCGAATTTCCGAAGAACTGACTGGCCATCATGATATCCTTGTCGTTATTTGCAAAGTCCCATCCAACAATCGTCGGGTCCTGGCTACAACACACGATCCGCCGAGCATCAAACTGCAGTTTGAACACCCGCGACGTACCCTGAGCGTTGGCTCCTCCAGCGTGGTTGGGGGCAGCGTGGTGATGATGGTGAGGAGCTGCGTGGTGGTGGTGATGGGCCGTCGCCGCCGCCGCTGTAGCGTTGTTATTGTTGTTGCCACCAGTGGCGGCGGCTGCATTCTGCTGTGGTGCTGGTGTCGCTGTTGATGCTTGAGCCTGAGCAGCGGTTTGACTTGAAGATGCGGCTGCATTAGACGACGTTGCTGCTGCTGCTGCTGCTGTGGCTGCTGTGGCGCTGCCCGTGTTGGGCTGGAACGCTTGAGATGCTGTATGCAATGCTTGTGCCTGCTGTGCCAATGTCTGAGCTGCCTGTACTGAGGCCGCGGCTTGTATTGCAAAGGCTTGCCAGGGCTGTACCTGTCCGCCCTGGTTTTGCTGTTGTGTCTGGTTCTGCTGCTGTGTTTGGTTTTGTGCTTGGTTGCCCGCAGTTGGTGGTCCGTTGGCGTGGGCTACAGGGCGACGGGGGCGTCCACCGGCTGCTCTCACAGCTTCGCTTTGGTAGAGCACCTTCGCCTTCTCCCAGGACCCATCTGCGCCCTTCTTCCAGATAATGACTGTTTCATCGTATGAACCCGACACGATCCGAGCCCATCTGCTGCCCCCACCTCCCGGTGGCAGTTTGGCTCCAAAAGCAAGAATAGAACTGGGGTCTCGTGACCCCGCGTTGCGTGACCGTCGCGACTCGCGCGACGACTTTTGATTCAAGAATCCATGTCGTTGCGCTTCAGCGAAGAAATTCTGATCAACAGCTTTGGCTTCAGCTTCCATGTCTTCCTCGTTACCGGGAAGATCGGCGAACTGGGCCTGCACCGTCCGAACGAGGCTCGAGTGTCCGTGTAAACAGGCAATTTCCGCGGCTGTGGCATGATCGAATATACGGACAGTCTCATCTGAGCTACCACTAACGATTCTTCGTCCGTCAAATTGCACGCAAGCAATGCCTTTGGTATGTCCCGAGAATGTCCGAATGCAAGATCCAGTGCGGACGTCCCATACTCTTACATTTCGATCACCAGAGGCAGATACGATCTGGCCATTAAGAATTTGTATGGCGTTGACAGCGGCAGCATGACCCTCAATGGTCATGATCAAACTATTAGGCGGAAGCGGCTTGAAATGCAGGTGCTGGTTCTCTACCTGATGTTGCATGTCTATGATGTACGACGGAAAGCGGGCTTTGGACTTTTTCGTCGACGAGGGATAGGCATCGTCGGTCGGCCATAACTCTTTCCTGTTCCAAACTTTGATGGTTTTATCTTTGGAGCAAGTCACAAGATAAGTGTCGTCAAACTTCAAATTCAGCACCGATTCCTGGTGTGCTTTCTCTACTCTCTTGATCATACGTCCCGTGGAAAACTTCCAGAGGATGAAACTGCAATCGCTGCCTCCCGAAACGATGAGATCCTGCTCGGGTCGCTCGTCAAACTGCAGACATAGAACGGACGCGTGATGCCCAACTAAAGGTGGCAATACAAGTTGCTGCGTGTCTAGGTCCCAAACGCGGACGGTCTTATCTCGACTTCCGCTTACTAGGTATTTCCCAGAATACTGTATGGTATAGACACACTCGGTATGTGATTGTTCGGCGTGTTTGGGATGCGGAAGCTGGAAATTGACGAAACGTCCATTATCCCAATTCTCCTCCAAGCGCCGCTTTTGCTTGTAAAGGTACTGCCAATTTATTTTAGGTTCATCTGTTGGAAGGAAGAGTGAGGGGCGAAAAGGGTGGCTGGTTGAGGTCGACGTAGACGTGAACGAAGACTCATCATCGCCAGGGTCCGAGGATCTTTTCCGACGTCGTGAGCCTTCCAAGGTAGGAGATGCGATCGAGGGGGTGTCTTCATAAGCGATCCCTTCCATGCTGTCATCTGGCTTAGTAGCCAAGCCATCATCTGCTTCTACTACACTATGCTGTTCGCCCCAACCCGACGTAGTGTCCTGGGCACTATTGAGCGTGAGTGGCTCCAACTTGTTGTGTATACCATTCTCCGGGGGGCCGTCGCCAAAGAGCTGGCGCTCGCGCACACGTTTCTTAGAGGAAGGTTTATCCGTGTCCGTATCTGTGGTTGCCCGAACCCGGCGTTTGCGTTCTCTATCCCTCAGCTCTATTCTTTTCTGTCGCTCCCTCTCTTCAAAAGTGCGAACGACGCCAAAGTTGGAGTTCCATCCCTCTAATCGAAACATCACCTTCCATAATGAACTGTCTGTCACGCGGATTCGCCATGATTGCGACAGAATCGACGAGCGGAGTAACGTTTCCGGAGTCAAGTATGAGAATATCTGGAAAGTGATTTCGGGTGGGAGGTGCATTACAGGGTCCAGATGAAGGAGAGGATTCAACTTGTCAACAATGCCGGCTATTGACGAAGTGCGTAGCGATCGAAGAATAGCGTAGGCGAACTCTGATTGTGCGCGTCAGTGGCCGAGTCACTATGTTTACAGATAACCAACATACCGCTTCTCTCAGATTCAGTCATTCCCATGACCCACTCAGGCAGACCGTACTGAAGGTCGACTTCTATCGCACCCTCCCCTCCACGCATGATCATGTCGCTGCCAGTCTGACTCCGTGTATCTTCCGAATAACCCTCGTCGAACTTGTTCGCGCTCATGGTGGAGGCGGAGCGTATAGCCTGCAGGTATGATGGCGCTGTAAAAGCAGCTGGATCGTTCAAGGGATCCGCCATGATTATTTCTATGTCCACTTGAGTAGGCAGCCGTCGGGGCTATTCGATTTTACCGTCTCGTTGGATGTATGGTTGCGACGAAAAGAATCCAGCATGTAGGACGAGGTCTGTGATTTGAGTGTTTCGGCCTATCAAGGCTACTGCTATTGCGCTTTGTGTGTTCTGGGTGGCGCGGCTTTCTTGATAACTGACGAGAAGTGGGATGAGTGAAGAGGAAATGGCGCGATTTGCCGAGCCCCAGTGTGCGGGTGAGTGGCGAAGAAACAGAACGACCCTTTGGGATGCTGAATGCGCCAAAGTAACAGATCTGGGAAAGAATGAAAGAGCGGCTGTTTGTTTTGGCGATAGATGACTACTAGGCGTTGGAGTTATGACTACTTCCTACTTCGTCAGGCTGCCAACAACGGGGCCTTCCTCGCCAAGCGACCAGAACTTAGTAGCCGCGTCTCTGCCCTGCACCTGGGCACTCACGTGCTAGTACCTAAGAACGCCAGTGCTGGCCTTTCTTTCAACAACACTCGACTCTAGATGTCTTCTGAGGACTTGATGGTACTACACATGCTGCAGTCGCAGCATTTTCTCGCACTCTATCATATGTGATTTAGACACACACCAGTTGCTTGACATGAATCTACTCGAATCGCGCACTATTGACTTTCCTTGCCATGATTGGACTCAAAAAGTATTGCCGCATACGTTTAGTGCTTTGGTCTATAATTCTATTTGAATTTCTTTGGAAGCTGGATATGGAGCAATATGACGATGTGATTGCAGTTTCTTGTCGTACGGCAGGATGTTCATCATCGATCTTGTACTTGGCCGCTTCTATCGACACTCACCGGAGTAGCTCCAGATGGGGTCAGCTACTAAGCAGCTGTCCAGCTCCATCGCGATGGGCATGTTCTCTACTGCGTTCGCCGTTTGCGTTGGTCATGTTTGCGGATCATTATGAGTACATATCGTATCCATCTACCTCAGCTGCTTGCCGGCCACCACCCCATGTGGAAGCGATGCGAGGACCGCGGCCGCACAAGACTATCGAATGATACCTTGGCTTGCTATTTGTAAAAGTGGGCGATATGACAATAATGGTTTGAATTGATTGTGACACAGGCCGCTCGGGGATATCAGGCTCAAATACAGATTGTTGATTTCGTTCAGACCGAACTCACGGGCGATTTGTCAAAGCATAGATGATGATAGACGTGACGTGACTCGCCTTGGGCCGGGCCGTGCTCAAAGGGAGCACATGGAAAGCAGCGGGTAGGGGAATACAAGCATACTTGCATGGGTTTATAGGGGACTCGGTTCCTTTTAAGGGGCGGGAAATCGGCAACAGCTAAAAGACAGCAGGTCGGTGTGCGGCAAAAGAGAGAGATCAAACAAGCAGATGGCTGTTGGAGTTTGGGCATCATGGCGTTGCATTCCGAGCGGCCACGTTATGCGGAGTAAGCGTCAGTGCATCCATCCCCAGGTGTCTCACGGATGGATGACGAAGAGAGTGAGACTCGGATTGAGCAGCGAGTGCGGCTGACGATGGAGGTGGCGACGGTGGTGATGGCGGCACTGGATACCGTGTGGTGTGTATAGAGCTGTATGCATGCCGCTACATATGTTTTGTGAAGAGTGTGTGTGGGTACATTGGTGGTTATTCCAGGGAGCAAGTGGTGCGACTTGTGATGACCTACCCAACCACCGTTTTGCGATGGGCAGGGCCTAGTGGTGGTAGCAGTCGGGAGGCAAAGAGGCACTGGGCAGCAGAAGCAACATGCGCGTGCGCAACGGCTCGTGATGGGCGAACAAGCGTTGGGCTAATAGACTTTGGAGATGATGATGGCTGGACGGGGTTGCTGGCGACGCGGATAAAGTGCCTCGTCGGCCATGTACATAGGTCGATACTAAGAAGGATCAATTGATGCTTGATGCTTGCAGGCGTGCAGCACTTGCAGCACTCAGTGTTCCCGTCACGTGCTCAACTTGAAACACCCCTATCGCGCCAGCCCACCTTCTTCGATCAATCCCACCACCTGCACCACCACGACATACATACATACGCACCTGCTTCTGACTACTGACTGACTGACTGCTCCCGCAGCGGCACTGCACGGCACTGCAAACCTCCCAGGCGCCTGAACCCACGACCACATAATACCTACAGTACATACCCCTCCACCCACCGACTCTTCCGCCGAGTCGCTGCAACCAACGAGTGAGTGAGGACAAGCAGCGCCACCACCCATCACGCCCACCCCGATCCACACTAGGTACTGGAGCCCGGAGCCCGCCATCCTTCACCACTCCTCCTCCTCCTGCCTGACCCTGCCCTGCCCGCCACTGCACTCGCTGCACTGCACCTACCACACAGCTCTCCGGCGCTGCCAATACCACCTTCCCTCTGCGAACCGTCTTCAGGAAATGATTGTCTAGCATGGAGGTTGCCTTTCATTCTGGACTTGCGAGACCTCACACTTCACAATCCTCCCCCACCGCCTCCTCCCACGCTCGCATGACATCTAACAGCGGGCCCTCCCTCATGTCCCACCAAAGCTACCAAAGCCAGTATTCCGCATACTCCCACAATAGCGCGCGCGACACCCAGAGCTCCCAGGCCACCAGCGCCTCGACCTTGTTCAATGGCCCGCCGCCCGCCTTCCCCACCTCCACCCCCGTGAACGGCGGGCCCGTCGAAGCCGCCAACAACGTCCTCAATAAGCGTGCCGACAAAGAGACTTCCCTTTTTCAACGATGTCTACAGCTTCAACAGCGCCTGCGCGCCATCCCAGGTTTGGAGCGCTGGCTCCGCGAAGAAGAGAACAAGGCTGGAGTGGACGACGACCCTGTGGCGCTCTTATGGAGAACATTTCGGAGGGGCTACCCACTGCTCGACATATACAATGCCTTAAACCCCCGCGTGCGCTTGACCATCGATGATTCCAAGATGACCGAGGCCAATGCAAAGAAGTTCGAAAAGATGGCTACATATAAATTTCTGCAGGCCTGCATCCAGGAGCTGGATTTCCCTCCGGAGGAACGCCCCATTATCGGAGATCTATATGGTGACGATACTACTGGCTTCGTCAAGGTACGCCTACTACTTAACCTAACGATGCCGATTTACTATAGATGCTAATGTTCATAGGTGGTCAATGTGGTAAACCGTGTCCTTGACATTTTACTTCAGATGGGTATCATCACAACAGACAATGATTCTTCCGACCCCGCTCACGGTAGCACCGCTAAACGGAGTCAGCGGGAACACATTATCGACGAGCTGGTCAGAACCGAGCGTACCTACGTGCAGCACTTAGAGCTTTTACAGCTATTCAAGAAGAATGTGGAGGAGAAGGGCATCTTGACTGGCGACACTGTTCACAACGTTTTCCTCAACTTGAACGGCCTGTTGGATTTCCAGCGACGCTTCCTCATCCGTGTTGAGCAGACCAATGCTCAGCCTCCGAATGAGCAGAATTGGGGTCAACTATTCGTGCTCTACAAAGATGCCTTTAAAGTATACGAACCGTACATCGCGAACCAGAAGAAGTGCGAAGAGATTGTTGTAAGAGAGTTTGATAAGTTGAGAGAGACGGGGGGTTCTGCGGAGATGCAGCAAATGGTTGAATCGACTGCCACTTTGACTTCCTTTCTTCTAAAACCCTTTCAGCGGTTGGCGAAATATCCACTGCTGCTTAAAGTGAGCTTGAATCCTGTACCGACTGGTTTGCGCGTCCGTTACTGATCATCATGTAGGAATTGCGCGACAAAGGCGATCTAGATGAGACCCGAAAGGAAGACGTCTCCCAGGGCATGATAGCCGCCACCGCCATTCTAGAAAGGACAAACGCAGCTATTGATCGTGAAGATCGCCTAGAGGCTGTGGAAGATCTCAAGACCATGGTCGAAGATTGGAAAGGCCACCGGATCGAAGGGTTCGGTGATCTGCTCCTTTATGGCCAGTATACCGTCCTCAAGGGTGATGGTATGAATGGGAAGAACGAAGAGCGAGAGGCGAGTTGCCCCCCGAGCGTTTCGATCTGCATATACTGACGACGTGTAGTACAAAATTTACCTTTTCGAAATGATCCTGCTGTGTTGTAAGGAGCTTAGTGCTAAGAAGGCGAAGAACATGAACCGAGCACAAGTCACCAGAACTGGGAAGCCTAAGTTGCAGTTGAAAGGTCGAATCTTCATGCAAAATGTCACCGAGACTGTGTCGCTCCAGAAACCTGGTATTACACTCGCTCTCCTACAACAATTATCAGACGCTAACTTGCATCAAGGATCGTACACATGTCAGATCTTCTGGAAAGGTGATCCTGGTATCGAGAATTTCATTATCAAGTTCAACACGGAGGAGATGATGAAGAAATGGGCAATGCAGGTTGATACTCAACGACGTGTTTGGAAAGAAAGTGCCCGAGCCAGTGCCAACGCCGCACAGTCCAAGCCATCAGATACTCAGTTCACCTACATGCGAGATCAGGCCTTAGAGAATCCCTACCAAGAGGACGATGATGATGACGATGGCGACGATATCGATACTGTGGTACCCGGATATCCAGCGGACAACTACGGCATGAGACAGAACAGCTCAATCGCTCCCCCGCGTTCTCGCTCGACAACTGGAGATAGCGGGAACGACATGGACCGCATGGTACAACCTGCACGTTTCCCTATGGGCCAGGCGCCACCGCTAACCTTGCGTACTCAGCAGCTTGCACAATCAGGTAATGCACAGGATTCGTACTTCTCCCCTGTAGCCGAGTCTCCGATGTCTACCATGTCTTCTTACTCCAACGCTCGAACAAGCTCCTCGTCTGCTGGCACGTTTCCTTTCCCCCGTCAGCAACCGCCTCATGGGTATCACGAAGAAAACAACCGCTACACAGCGCCTGCTCGCGGCCACATGCCACGGGAAGGCTCCATGGGACCCAGTCCTTATCCTGGCAGCCGATCCGCACAACGGCCATCCCTGCCGCCCGCTGCTCATTCCGCTCATCCCGCAAGTGTGAGCTCTGGCCGACTCAGAGCTGCAAGCAGTCCAGACATTCAAAATGCTGGCCATCCTGGCAGACGATTGCCCAACGGGCAGTACGCACCTGTGCCTGAGATGCCACCCTTCCCAACACACTATGCCTACAACGCAGCGATCGTGAATCGCAGTCAGAACAACTCGCCTAACAGTATGCCGCCACCACGCGCCACTACACAATCACCGGCCATCCAAAGGGACCGCTTGATACAGCAAAGAACGGCGGCGGAATTGGCCAGTCACGAATACCAAGGTGGACCCACCCGGAGAGAGCCCAGCGTAGCTTCTATGCAGCGAACCATGACACCGGCCTCATCTTTTGAGCGCAGTCAAGGCACTTTGACGCCAGCTTCCATGGACTCGCGCACCATGTCGCCGCCACTACCCCAAACGTCTGTTCCCCACGATTCACACAGCAGCATTCCAACACAGCTCAAAGTCAAGGTCCATTGTCCAGCTGCGGGTAGCACGATGACACTGGTTGTCAGCACAAACATCAGCTTTCAATCGTTGAAAGACCGCATCGATGCCAAGTTGCAGCGTTCGACGAGCGTCTCCCTCGGATCAGGCCAGGTCAAATTGAAATATCTTGACGACAACGATTATATCAGCATTCAATCAGACGAAGATGTCCAAGAAGCCTTTGAAACGTGGAAAGAACAGCAAAGAGACCTAAATCCTGGCGGGCAACAGTTAGGTGAAATTGAGCTCTTCTGCCAGCGTTAATAAGACGCATATCAGAGTACACTTGTTTTTGGGAGTGGGCATCTTCCGGCGTTTCGTTTCCAATGGGAACTGCATTTTTGGGCAATACCTTTCTTGTACGGGTGGATTTCTTAACTTTACTACGGAGAACGGTGTCGGTCGTGGCCGAGGACTATGCTGCTTGGCGTATGTGGCTTGCTTGTCGATCCATCTGCGTGTGTCTCGCGTGGGAGAGAGCATCAAGACTTGTTGTTCTCCAACCACGCAGCTCACCACCTCAGTCACTCATTTCCCCAGATGGCATCAGTGATGCATCTCTGAGGACAGAGTGGAATGGCTCGTCGTGCTTATTCATCTTTTTGCACATGTCCACTAGACGACTGAAGAAACGGGAACACACACGATGGGACCGTACGATTTGATGATGGAATGATACTTGTTTGTGGGCTTTTTTTGGGCTGTTGTTGTTTTCTCTCTTCTCCCCCTACTGCTAGCGGGATTCTAATGGGGGGAGCGATGCACAAGGAATTTATCTCTGATGAGGAAAAGTCTTATCTAAGGAAACAGATAGCTGCTCTATTATCATTATATTATAGATCAAGTATAGGGCTTTTTCAATTATTTTCATATTCCTCTCCCATCTTCCTACCGCCACTGATTTAGTTCTGTTCTTTAGATGCCGGTTTTTTCTTCTTCTTTGGTTTTTTTTTTCCCTGATGCAACAAACATGACTAGGGAACCCCGAGGGAGAGAAGTGTTATGAAACAGGCACATGAGTGCAACACAAGGTCCTTCCCTATGTCCACTCTCCCGTAAATAAATGGGGGGGGGGGGGGGGGCCCTTGCCTCCCATCGTTTCGGTTCGGTCAAAACTTTCAAATGTTGTTGGGTCCAATATATATCAAACGCCGCACGTTCAATGTCGTTCGTTGGTGCTTTTTTTCGCAACGAACACCAGATCGAAACTAAATTCATGCTATATATAGAGACACACTATCGCGCGGGCTTGTTTTTTTTTTTTTCAAACGCAGCTTTGTTCGAAACTGCACGGGCACTTAAGAAAAGATGGGGTCGGTAAGTGTGTGTGCCTCCGAAAATAGATGTATATATAGGAATCGTTGAAAACGGTTTCACGTTTCGCAAACTAGTACAATAATTGCGGTGGTGGGTTGAAACGTTTGCTATATACAGAGCGAATGGTTTCCAATTTGGGAGATGGAGGGTGTTGTTTTAGGTGTATTGGTGATCTTGTGGGGTCGAACACTTCTATATATATTGTCTCGTCGTGGTGGTGCGGTGGTATGGCATGGTGCAGTGTGAGTATCTGGTAGAGTGCAGATGGAATGAGGTGCACACGCACATACCGGAAACTCCATTTCGTCTAAATTCCTGCGGATCTGTCTATATGATTGAAATGAACACACAGGGGAAGGGCAGTGATACTGGTAAAGAGTAGAGAGAAAACTTCCGCCCTTCCAACACCCCGGTTTCAACGAAGAAGAAAGGCTAACCAGCAATTCCAATCCTACCTCCTCCGTGTCCTCCCTCTGCCCCTCATACCGCCCCGTCCACGAGCCCACCTCCGCCCCACATCGTCTATAGGCTCATCTTTAGCATCCACCCACCGCTCATCGAGTCCCGAAACCCCCACAACCCCATTCTCTTTCTTCGCCCCCCCGTTCGTCGTGGCCCCGCCATCACGCCCTGTTTCAACCCTCTCGATTTCCCGTTGCACCCTCAACCGTATCCCTGTCCCCAAACCATCACCATCTATCTCTCCTTGCTCATACATGCCCAAACTCAGCACGTCGCCCGTCGGATCCCACGTCTTCTTCCTGTCCACACGCCCCGAGTCCTGGGACCGTACCATCCCACCTCGATGAGCCGGGAAGAGAAAGGGATCCGGGAACTCATCTACAACAGACGTAAACGTCAGCGCCTGGATTGTACCTTCGAGCCCCGTATACACCGTAGGCGAGAACGCCGAAGGGATCGAGAGCGAGTAGGTGGGAGAATCTGGGGTGCGACGGCGATGCGAGGAGGAAGAGCGGGGGTTGAGGAAGAGGTTCCAGTTTGAGGATGACGAAGAGTTAATGAAGGAAGGGGAGTGGTAGGTGCGTGGGTAGCGTAGGTCGAAGATCTTGAGCATCGAGTGTATGGAGCTTCCAGCTAGGAAGCGGTGCGGGCCCTGGCTTGCTAGGCTGTAGATTGGGGCGTGGTTGGAAGTGTCGCCGTAGAGGGCTTCGACAGCTTGAGGGGAGCGGAGGTCATGGAGGCGGACTGAGATGGAGTTAGGTTCTTGTGTCATGTATGTAGGAATGAATGGATAACAGAGGCAGAGGGCTATAGAGGATCGCTTTGTGTTGGGTGAGGAAAGTGTGAGCGCAAGTGTACGTACCGATACCGTCGTATCCTCCCGATAAGAAGATGTTGTTTGTACTAGTCACACCTTGCACGCCATCTGGAACAGGAATCACTGGATATATGCTTGTATTGCGCGGGACGTATCCTCCTGAACCGGCATTACCACTCTCGGATTTCGGGTCGATATTAAAGCGTCTTAGCGGGGTCGGATGAAAACCCGTGGGAGTGACTGTGTAGACTTGAATCGGCTCATAAGTCGGGCCAAGTCCCAGCGCTACATTGGAATTCGATATGAAGTTACAACTCCAGATACGTCCCGGGAGAGGTGGCCCAGTCGGAGAGGGCATTATTGGGGCTACTTCGCTTAGAATCTCTTGTGAGGAGGCGTCATCAGAAGGGAAGTGTTTGACGGAGTAAAGAGCTAGAGAAACATCGCCCAGGGCTGCTGCAATGAGCGGCTCGTTGTCGAATGAGACGGACAGTGATTCTACAGATCGTCTCTTGGGGGGCTCGACTGACTGATCATGGGTAGAGAAGTGCTGCTCGCGCGTAATGTGACTGTCCAAGTCCGCAGTGATGATGGACAAACGTCCAGATGCAGTACTAAAGACGGCTTGCTCGGATGTTGCGGGATTATTTCTCTGGTGTGGACGTAGGAGCTTCATATCGGTGATATCGTCGATTCCCTCGGCGCTATCTGGGATCTTGTACGTGTACCACATGTTGAAGTGTTTGAAGGCATCAAGCCCACATGTTACCGTCCGCTCACGCTGCTCATCTTCCACCTCCCCGCGCTCGCTCTTGGAATACGCGTCTGCTTTGGAACCCGTGTCTTTGATCCTCAGTACAACTTGGGTCCCGGCTGACCAAGCCAGAACCTCTTTTCGATCCGTCCAGGTCCCCCTCAATTCGTCGTAGCTGTCGATAGTAGGCTGATAGCCCATTGTCTGGCCACGCGGATCGATCCATTTCGTCTTCTCCCACGAGTTCAGGCTGATGAGGTGCTGGGGAGGATCCACGAACCGAGCCACGAGGGCTTTGCTGTCCCAGTTCCGATGGAGTGTCGTTAAGCCGTGCACGGCGGTTTTGGCGTCATTGTCCAGTTTGGTGACAAAGAAACGTCCTCGCAAAAAAGCCTTCCAACCATCAGGGTGGACGAAGTGGTGCAGCCTACGATTGCAAAGGGCAATGTTGAGCACATCTCTGGGGTGATCGAGATGGCTAGTTATGAGAGACAAAAGCTCGTTGGGAAGGGCGCTGAGTGCTGCCATTTCGGTTCAATTGGTAAGTTCACCGCTTCTCTTTCTCTCATGAGGGCCTTTGGTCAATTCTCTTGTTGCAAGGTCTGTTTTGGTGATGGCGTGGGGGAATCCGGTATGATATGTAAGTACCTATGTACCCCAAAGGAGCCTGTGCTGGGCAAGTTTCCGTGACTCACAGAGTTGTGCAGGGGGGTTTTGATATTGGCAGTTTGGAGTCACATATCTTGCCAGTCTGACTGTATAATTACGGGATGACGACAGAGATTTTCCAATCATGGCGGGTCGTCCCTGCGCCGGGTTCCTCGCCTAAATGGAGGGACGGCTTGGCAGGTGTACCAAACGTCGTCGATAGGGGGAGTAGCTGTGGGCCACTCGCTAGATGTCCATGTACCATCAAAATCCCATCTCTATAAGGACTGTCGCTATAGGCGATGTAAACCAGCACCTTGCCATGGGCGGTCGCGTGCTTTACGACGACGAACGGGCCAAGCCCCCACTCCCGGCCCCTGCGAACGCCTCGGTACAGCTGCCAACCCGAATCGAGCATGTCGATGGGACACGGCACGTGACAAGGCCTAGCCCCAAGACACGGGCTAGGAATCGCATGGCGTAGGAACGGCTCTGCTTTGGAGGCGCATGCTCGACGAGATGAGTCGTCTGCAGTCTGAAAGACGCCGCAATACTGCCAGGGAGAACATGTCCAATGCACTTCCATCTATCTTGGGATCAGTCAGCCTCTGCTGTACTGCCCCTCACGCACGTACGCACGCACATCTTGGGCAGGCAGCCATCAATGGCTAAACTCCATCACTGGCGGTCGCTAGCCGGTGATCGACTTAGAGCACCCCGGTCAATCTCCGTCGACCTCTCCGGACGTGCCCAAACTGTCTCTAGGTAAGCACCGGGCCAGCCCACTTCTCGCTCGCAAGGGGTCATGACTATACTGCACGCACGCGCGTTGCTGGCCGTGAGTTGAGCCTACGATAACTCCATCCGTCTGCTCCCTCATCCTCACGCCAGCACTCTCTGCTGCTCGCCCAGCAGCGCCATATAGCCAGCCATGAGCGCCGCATCCGAAACCCCCGTGGACGACAAGCGCGCCCTCAGCCTGGTTCGCGATGTCGCTATTACCATTGACCGTTTGCGAAGCACCATCGACTCCATGCGCCTACTGCATGATCAATGGAAGGACACCACCGGCACTTCGATCAATCTGATTGCCCAACTGACCGCTCTGAAGACGAATCTGGGCGAGATCCAGGACTGGCTGAACTATGCCATCAATGATCTGCACCCGCAATTGCTCAACGACCTGCACCTGTTGATGAACTCGTGCACTTTGCTCGTGAGGAACCTCGACGCACTCGTCGCCCAACTGCGCCAGCCCGACCATGATCAGACAGATTTTGCTATCAAGCTTAAGTTTGTCGTCGGGAGCAGGTCTATGAACCGATTGCGCAACGTTGCGAAGAGGCAGACGGATGCGGTCAATCTTCTCCTCGCAGCATGCAAGTGGTAAGTATCGCTATCCACCATCTCGTATAACGAGAAGACTTGTCAATTCTAACCATCATATACAGCCATACTACAGCACAGAGGAAGATTTTGCTACACAAAAGCAGACAGATTAGGAAAGAAGATGCGTCCAACATTAATACACTCGTGCGAACTTCACGGTGGAATGGACAATGTATCCGTGCTCTCACCCAACTCTCCCGCATGATCCAATGGTTTCGTCTTCTATTCTACTTGAAGCTGTTCAAGAAAGGGCCTGAGGAAATGCCCACTGAAGAGGAATACATTGATCAAGCCGCCATTATGCGTTCCGAAGCTATTGACCGTCAACTAGAAGCAGACGCCACTTACCTCCGGCGTGAGACCAAGCTTGTTCTCATGGGCCAGGTGAACAGCGGAAAAGAGCTCATCATGCGGCAAATGAAGGTCCTCTATGCCGAGGGCTATCCGCAAGAGGAACGCCTCCAGTATCGTTTCGCTATCCGCTCTACCGTCCGCCTCTTGATCCATGCCATTATTGACCTCCTACGCGACACGGGCGTCAATCTTTCCGAAGACCTGAACCAGGATTTCGCTGTCCTCTTGCACGAAGTCGAGACCGTCGACATCAAGAACATCACGCCAGCTGCTGTCCACGCCGTGGAAAACCTCTGGCAAAGCCCCGCTTTCTCTACGCTCTTCCTCAAGAACTTCGAGATAGACTTCCCACTTTACGCGCCGTACTATGTGCAGGAAATAGGGCGCATCGCGTCGGACGCGTACGTACCCAGTGAAGCCGACATCATCCGTCTGAATCAAACCATGGGCGGCATCAAGGAGCTCCGCTTCAACTGGGACGAACTCGAAGTGCATCTATTCAACATCTCAGGCTACATCCCGGACCAATTCCGAAAACGGTGGTTCCATCAGCTCGAAGGTGCAACAGCACTCATCTACACCGTCGACGTATCAACTTACGACCGCCCGTACCTCGGCCAGCCCACCGAATCCCAGCTCCTCGACGACTTTGCAACTTTTGAATCGTGGGCCAACAGTCCCAAATTCGCAGGGTCCTCCATCATGCTCCTCCTCAACAACTTCTCCCGCTTCCGCGATAAACTCCCCCATTCACCCCTCTCCACCTTCTTCCCAGATTTCCAACCGCCATCATCCTCGTCCACCAACAACCTCGCGTCCCAGTCCTCACAAAACAACAATAACAACAACAATGCCGCCCCGGCAACGACAACCGACGAAATGGAATCTGCAGCCCGCCAATTTATCCTCCGCCGCTTCAAAGACGTAAACCGCAACCGCCTCTCCATCTACAGTTTCTGGGTCGACCTCGACACGAGCGATAACGCGCACCTCTACGCCGCGCTCAAGAAGACACTGCAGCATATCCAGCAGCGGAAAGCGCGCTCAGAGGTCTGGGAACGCGCCAGCACTACCAATGGGGACGGGCAGAGTCGGAGTGGGACCGCGGGCCGCGCGACGCCCAATAGCTTTAATAGGAGTGCGACGTTGAGGAGTAAGACTAGTACTCTTGGCGGTGGTGGTGGAGGGGGGAGAGCAGGCGGAGGTAATGCAGCGGCGGCGGGTGTGGGGAGCCCCGGAAGGAAGAGCGCGACTGTTACGGAGAGGACTTTGTCGACGTCTTGATTGCCACGCCTTTTTTCTATGTACCCATTTCTTTTCTTTTTCTTTCCTTGCCCGCTGGGGGATTCAGAACAGGAGTAGAATCGCGTCGTATCGCCTCGCTGGATATCATGATGTTAAAGGGCTCTTGGTTGGAATCGGGTTGTTTTGCCTCCCCTTCTCTTTTGGCGTTTTCTTGCTCTCTCTTTGTTAAACAGATATCATATTAGGAAGGAACCAATCAAAGACGGACATATAATCTTAAAATCTCATCTGCTCATGATGCACTACGTTTGCTCGCATGCATGCTGATAGGATATATGGGGAGTTTAAAGACAAGAAGAGGAAAACAGAGGAACAAACAAGGTCGTTAGGTATAGAGAGAGGGGGGGAAAAGAAGACCAAGAACGAGGTTTCCCAAAAGCAAGAAAAACTTTTCGGGGGATGATAATAGGGGGAAAAAAGCGGAAAAACAGGATTAGCCAACCAGCATTCCATTTGGGGGAGGGTAAATAGGTAATTGGGTAGTAGTGGTGGTTGGTGGTGATAACTAAATACGAATATGAAAAAAAATCTTTCCCCCTCTTTCCCATCTTCTTCCATGACTTGAAAGGAAAGGGGGGAGAAGCCAAGCAATATAAAGATGGGTGAGAAGAATAAGCCAGAAGAATGAAAGAAAGGGGTTCTCGGCCTTTCCCACACCCCACCGAACACATCTCGCCCTGTTCCCTTCCTTCCTTCGTCTAGCAGTACCCCCGCTCACAATATGATGACATGAGAAAAGAAAAAGGAGAAAGCCTTGCATTGTGTCGCGCACGAGCTCGTGGTTTTCACCAAGCCCCTATATCAGAATCTCAAGTTCATCACAAATCTATCAAGTTGTTGTTGCCTTGCTGGCGGTTCCCTTGCTGGGGAGGAGCACCAAAGGGGTTGGCGCTTGCGTACGGGTTGGCACCGAAGGCAGCGCCGCCACCCACCGGTCCAGTCTGGGCGGGCATCATGCGGTTTTGCTGCGGCATTCCCGTGAATTGAGAGTTGAGGAACGGGTTGTTGCCTGTCGCGTTGGAGTTGATCTTGTTCAGACCAGCACCTGCTGAGTTGACAAAAGTTCCAGGGGCTGTGTGCTGAGACGGAATACGAAGGTTGCCGACGTTTCCGAATGTGTCTTGGCCCTCCCCTGTTGCTAACAGACTGTTGAGCCGTGCTTGGTGGGGGTCCAGTTGCTGGTTCTGTGGCTGGGCCGGCGGGGGAGTTGACATTGATACAGGAGGATTGAAATTGGTGTTGTTGAATTGCGATTGGGTTTTCTGTTCAAAGAGAGTGTTGAGATTTGGCTGTCGCTGTTGTGACGTCGTGGTAGCAGTCTGTGGTCTGTTCAGAGATTGTGCAAATGGGTTGTTTGATCCCGTAGGCTGCGGCATGAGTGACTCTTGCGGTCTGTTTGCCGTCGCCCACGGGTTATGGCTGCCAGGCATCAAGGTGCTCTGCTCTTGCTGGGGTTGTTGCTGCTGCTGCTGACCCATATCACCAAAGCCATTGCTGAACTGGCCGTAAGGGTTGTTCATGTTAAATGAAGTTTGCTGCGGTTGTAGCATCTGCTGTTGTTGCTGCTGCTGACCAAAAGCATCGAAACCAGTGGGTTGTGGCTGTTGTTGCTGGAATGCATTGTAATTGGGGAAACCGTTCTGCTGGAAGCCTGTTTGTTGCTGGTTCTGCATACCAGTAGGTTGAGAATAGGCATTATTGAGGAAGCCAGTGTTCTGGGGCTGCTGCTGCTGGTTCTGATCAACGAGATTGCCGAACCAATCCACTTGCTGTTGTTGTTGATAACCCTGGTTGTTGCCTGTGGGTTGATAGGCCGTTGGCTGTGATGGAGTGTCACCAAACAGAAGATCAGGGGTACTTTGCTCCAGCTGGCTCCGCCGTAACTCTTCTTCTTCCTTGCTGAGTTTGATAGCTTTGGCCAAATCGTCATCGCCTTCGACCTCGCTTGGGTTGTTGCGTTCCCGGCGCTTTCGCTCCTCTTCGGCTTCGTTTTTACTTGCTTCCAGAGCCAGTCTCAATTCAAGATCTTCATCATTGTCTCTGCGCTGACGTCCCTCTCGTCTACGCCCGTCTGTCGAAGGACCCCCTCCGCCACCTCCATGTTGACCACCGCCATATTCTTCTATGCCTGTGACGCGCGCTTTCCACGATTTACGGTCGGCGCGTTCTGCGCGGAGTCGCTCCTCATCCATGACAAGAGCGGTGAGTTCCTTGGCCGCAATGCGAACTATGACAGCGTTAGTAATTGTATAGCGAGTGAGCGACCGGCAACGGGAACCTACTGTTCTGCCCGACGTCTCTACCGTCTTCATCAATGTATTGGAATTCGCGCAATGTCTTGATGATATAGATATTCTTCCGCGCCCAGGTGACAACCAACTCTGAGCCCTCGTGGAGGCAGTAGTCGAGAACTTTGAGCGATTTCAGCACGTGGCGCCAGTTCTTGCCCTTGTCATTGAGTCGTTTGTCAAGCATATCCATGACCTGGTAGAAATCGGTGGAGCTTTGCACTTCGTCAGCGCACGTGTGGTCGATGGAGATAGGGAGATGTCATACTTGTTGAAGGTGATTTGGGCAATGTCCGCCATGTCGGAGCCTACCGGACCCCACGGATCATTGCTGGTTGCTTCGCAAGTCAGCTGTTGAAAGCGCCTAGAAGTTGGATGAGGAACAAGTTACCATTGCGGACTTTGACTTCGACGGCTGAATACCCCTTGGTGACGTTCTTGACGCTCCGCACGACTTTGGACATGACTGCGGCGAGGAGAGGAGCTGCCTGCTAAGCAAGGCAATGCGGAACCTCTTTAGGCTGACGTGTTTAGGTGGTAAAAGAGTGTCTCTAGATAGAAGTTGTACGAAGGGTTGGCTAGCGGCCCTGCGGCGCTGTAGCGAGATGGTGATGGTGGGTATGATGCAAGCGGAGGAGGTCGAGGAGGACGAAGAAGCTCTGGCTCGACGGGTACGTGGGCAACGTCGTCTGTTGAGCAGGGCGCGTTAGTTTGAATGAATTGGAAGGTGCCAGTCGACTTCTTGTAGCTAGCGAAAGTCGAATGTCGTCTAGACGGTTAGTGGGTGGTGTGTGAAGTTGGCAAGGTGCGTCGTCAGTCGTCACTTGCCAGAGAGGCTGGGCTGCGGCCCGAGCGTCGTCCCTGGGATTGCCGCTCGTTCTCACCCAGACCTGTCGGTCATCGGCTTCTTCTGTCCACTCAAATACATATACATATGTATGCAAACCACGAATACAATCCGAATCATAAGAAACAACATGGACCGAGTTCATCGCAAGACGAAAAGCCTTATGGCTCCCGAAATGAACCAAAGCTTTCTGGTGCCCGATGCGAATTCCTGCCAGCCTGCCATCCTGTGTATTCTGCCTGCACCATTGCACAAACGCATCCATGTATACAATAGTGGTGCGCCAAGTACAGGTGGTCAAAGACGCACACAGCGCATGCACAACATCGCTGCACAGACAATTTCAAACCTTCAACTTCATCTATCAGAGAGTAACTGCAATACTCGCATGCACGTGCGCTCGTTTCATCTACAATGTATTCATTGATGGTGTCCATACGCATCCGTGTCTCCTACAAACACGCCGAGGACTGGAGATGGATGATGCCCAAAGACCTCGGATTGGCACGCATTACGCAATGCTCTCGCCACACCCAAGACAGAGGAGTCACAACACGCAAGCTTCACCCACGTTCCCATCACGTCAAGCAATCGTCTAATAAGAAAATGCAAATTATTGGGCGGTGCTCCGCGCACCTTGTAATATTCTATAGCGGATGTGGAATCCTCATTAAGTACCTGTCTAGGCAGTATAACCGTTCGCAGATGAAACACCAAAGGAAAGTAGAGAAGTGCAGACAGTACAAAAACAAGGAGGGGAAAACAAAGCAGACCTTTCGAGCCGTGGACACCAGTTACCAGTCTAGCAGAAGACGCCCAACTCCGCCGGTTTGGGACGAAACATGTTGGGCAATGCATGTTTCGTCGCTCCCATGATCGAGGATGCAACAAAAGAAACTCTGCAGAACACAGGAGAGACTGGGAAAACGAAAGCCAAGACAGGGTCGAAAGCTTACAGAACTCTTTTGACCCGAATGCACGCTGTCCCCGAAAATTGAGTATACACGCCGACCCAAAGAAGAGCTAAGGAAATTTTTTGTATGAAACAGGGGTATAAATCCTGCCGCGAACACCCATGGAATAAACTCGAGACTCGCAAATCGGACTGGGAAGTATTGTTGTTACAATTGACGACAAGGCAGATAGGAGACTACACTGCCGGAGCCCACATTTGCTGGCCTTGATTGGCATTGTAATGGTCCGGCTCAGTGCTGTTGGGGCGACGAATGTTGGTCTGCTGGTAGTACATGCCGTGTTGCGGGTTCGTGTACTGGGGTTCCGGGTACACGTAGTTGTTGTCGCCGGGTCCAGGGGAGGGCAACGCCTGCTGAGATGGTGATTGCCATCCAACGGCAGACATATGGGGGCTTCCATGGGCACTGTTGTGACCGGATTGATTATGGTTGGCAGAGGCTGGGGGCTCCAGAGTCGGGGGTGGGCCGTAGGCACTAGGGTGCGAAGTGATGGCCGGGCGCGAGTTGCTTGCGCTCGAGGTGTATGACTGAGGGGTCAGAGCGGGAGAGGCGCGCGGGCTAGGCTGAGGCATCTCGCTACGTAGGTGAGGGGGTACATTCATTTGGCCCATGTAAGCATAGTCCGAGGTCTGACGGTGCATACCCGGCACCACACCAGCGGGCATTCCAGCAGCAGGAGATAAAGACATTGGGCGGTCGTTTGGAGATGGCGTATTCATCGGCGAAGCAGTCTCGGAGTATTCCTCTCCATCGGAACGGCCTGAACGACTAGGAGCGGAAGCGCGCCCAGCGAGAGCGCGAGCAGTAGCAACAGCCGCTTCCTCCACTGTACCCGTGTGGTGGTTTTGATGGCGGGTCAAAGTTGTGCGACGCGTAAAGGTCTTCTGGCAGTCCGCATAAGGGCACTTGTACGGCCGCTTGCCAGAATGGATTCGACGGTGACGCGCCAATGAACTCGAGTCGCTGAATTGCTGCCCAAAACGTTAGTACCAGTGTAAATGATACGAGCGGAGTATGCGTACCTTGCCACAACGCTCACACATGTGTGGCTTTTCTCCGGTGTGGACACGTTGATGAACCGTCAAAGCGGATCGCTGGATGAATTGCTTGCCGCAGTTGGGGTAATCACACACATGGGGTCGGATGCCGCTGTGGATGCGCTCTATTGGACAATGTCAATGAGGGTTCAATGTGGGGATTCGGGGCCCAAGCTTCTTACCATGACGCGCGAGGTCACTGCGTCTCGCGAATCCCTTGGTGCACGTGGAGCATGCAAACGCTTTTGGAGGACCGCTTTCATTGGTAGGACGCCCACCTGGTTGTTGGATAGACTGATCAGGTGGTGGTTGCTGGGCATATGTGTGGTCGGGAGGAGGTATGTAGTTTTGGTTATTGAGCAGAGGGATTGACTGTTGCATGTGTGTAGGAGAAGGGTAGCGTATCTGGTTCATGTGCTGAGCGGGCATAGGCGGATACGAAGACATCTGCTGGGGCTGCTGGGAAGGGTATCTGGACGTCTCTGAAGGGTGCGGGGATGTGCCGCGCTCTGAACCAGTCTCTGACTTGATACGGTTATTCATATAAGGCGCACCAAAGTGCTGCTGCTGCAGCTCGTGCGGCATAGCGTGCGGCATAGCGTGCTGCATAGCGAAGGGTTGTGAAGTGCCTGCATCTACTATCAATCTCGCATTCAACAGAGTATCAACGTCCTTCGCTGAAGCAATACCCTCGAGCTACGGGGAGAACTTTGAGGGCAAAGGGCGAACAACAGCGGAAGGCGATGGGAGGGGAGGCGTACCTCGGGTAAGGAGTTCCAGATTGGCAACGCGCCTTGGAGAAGGTATGAGGATTGGTCACAACGGCTTGTTGCGATGATGTTGATGGAGGTGGTGGACACGATGTTCGATGTGGCCCGTTCCTTTGGAAGCTGGGAAAAGATGTCGGACCGCGCGTAGGTCAATGCTTGAGGTTGCACTACAACGAAGGGCTGTCAGTGACGAGTTGTATAGCAAAATATCACGCCCGCAGGCGCGCTTTTGGTGGATCGCGAACGCAGGACGTGTTGTGGGCGGGATGGGCAGGCTCGTTGGCAACGCGGTTGATTCTTCGAAAAGGGGAGGCGAGCGGTGACGACGAGTCTCGAGGGTGGGAAGGGCAGCAGCGAGCAGGATCGCGACGGGAGGTGAAGTGTGGTTACATACCTTGGTTGGGACCTGGCTGTGGCGAGGCAGAGCACAGAGCAATGGGAATGGAGATGGGGTTGGTGTTGAGGGCGTGGTGTGTTGAAGGTACGAGAGTGTACTTCTTTCCTGAGTTGCGCGTGGTGTGGCTTTGGCGCTAGTCCAGATGCAGGATCGGGTCTTTCCGATTCGACCAGGAGAGCCAGGCGGGCAGGCAGGCGCGGTGGATGACAGGGAGGGATGAGAAGCTGGTCAGGCCAACGGATGGATACCCCTGGTAGGAGAGTGCAGAGATTAGTACAGATGTGTTTGAAGGCACGATGACGGTAATCGCGAGGGGGAGGCACGCGGCGAGGGTGGTGTGTGTGTGTATGTGTGGGTGAGAAAAGGAAGAAGAAAAAAAATTGGGGAAGGGGAGGATGTGCAGTTGGGAGGAGGGTTGAGGAAGGCCCAGGCCGGAAGAATAATAAAACTGTAGCAAGATGCAAGATTGCAGAGGGGGAGGGTCCGGTGTAGTAGGCAGTAGGTAGGGTATTCACTTACCAAACAGCTAAAAAGGTGTAATGCTATATGGGATGTGTAAGAGCGAGAGGGCGAGTGAATGGACTGTGTGTGTGTACAAGGACAAGATGAGAGTCGGGTTATTACTGCGCAGGAGAAGAGTCTACAGCGAGCGACTACAATGGCATAACAATCAAGTGCCCAGCCAGCCAGTCAGTTACCGGGTAAGAGGGAAGGAATAGCTAGCACCAGATGGATGGCTAGCTCAGAGTTGGAATGTTCGTTCGTTACAGCGACCCCCGGGCGAGACGAGCCAGTCCGCGCGTTGTTTATTAAAAGGAGCGCCGGATCGCTGCTGGCTGCTTTGGGCGCGCTGAAACTGCAAATCTTACCCTCCCTGATTCTGCCAAAGTAATCGCCAGCAGCAAGAATAAGGAAACGAAGACACACGACACCCACCGGCGGCAGGGATGCCTTCAAAACTGTCCGCTGACTGGATCCCTGGGTCCCGACAGGCATGTATGCATGCCTTTTGTCTCATCTCCAACAATAACAACCACATCAACATCAACATCCTCGCATCGTCATCGCCATCGCCATCATCATCATCAACAACAACAGAATAAACAGCAGCCTGTTACAGACATGCAGACACGCACACACCAGCAGACTGGATCAACCCGACGCCCTAGGCTGCCGTCTTCTTTCGCTCGACTCGCTGAACAGGGTGTTGTTGGTTTCGGACACCCCCTTGTCGACCAACCCGCCGCTTGACTGGCTCGGGGGCTTCTGCTGCCAGTTGGATGATGGATGACGATTCAACCAAACAATCCTCTTGGGCTGCATGTGGTAAGTGCAATTACACTGCGTGGCGGCGGCGTCCCAGATTGTGCTGTGCAATGTGTGCATCACGTCTGCCAGCTGACGAGAGCGGGTTGGTTGATAATGATAACCCCCTATTTCTAAGAATCCTTTCTCGTGTCTGGCTCGCGAATAGAATGCCCCGGCCAAGGTGCTGTCAACCGATATGTGTAATAGCTATTGGCATCCCGCCACAGGAACCCCCATATGTTTCTTCGTGATTCGTATCGCAGGAGTGCGCGCGAGAGTGAGAGACGGAGGGAGACAATTGTACCTAGGTAGCTAACTGTCTGCTGTTCCTGCTGTCGCCTCGTTGGACCCGGGCTTCATGCAGACCAGGTTAACCCCATACATGCATACATAGATGCTACCTATATCCACAGCTGGGATACGATCGATGGACTAGTTGCTTGCTGCACAATAGCCACAGTACATACAGTACATACGTACATGGTGCCCGTCTGGTGCGCAAGCATCAACCAGCTAGCACAAGTTGCTTGACATGACGGCGGGCCGGTGCATCTAGATAGATGCGCCTACCGCAGCCCAATTAGCCTGTTGCGAAACCCATTCCCTCTACCGCCGGCCTGCATGGTTTCCTGTCGAGCCGGAATCAATAAAGAATAGATATTAGATATCCCCAACGTGTGCAGTCATGTACTGTTTAGGCGCATGACATCACGGAGCCCTTGGCAGCCACCATTGCCTCTGGGCCTTGGATTCTTCGCCCGCTACCTCTGTACGGCTTGTAGCGGTTCACTTGAGATCATTCCAGCTGCTACTACACTTGAGAATCAAGGTCGATCTCAATCAAAAACATGCATGCCTGGCTAGTAGGTTCTTTCGGCAGCACGCACCGAGCCAAGGCCAGCCCCTGGGGGTGTGTCGTGAATTGGAGTTGGGCGGCAAACATGGACAAGCAGGCAGCACGGTGCGAGTCGGCGCATATTTGGTTTTGGCGGTTCCTGTTCGATTTGATTGTGCTTGGACAGATGGAGAAATAGAAGCTCAGGGTCACAGGCGTGGTGGGTGGTGAACGGCTCGCAGTGCATTCTCTGGCCCCCTTTGCCGCTGCACTGTCCATGGCACACAACGTACCGCCTCCCAGGCTTCCACGCTTCCACGCTGCTTCCAACGTGTTTCTATCCGATCTGTCTGTGCTTTGCTCACACCACCATGACCACGACACGCGATCAGATACAGGGCCCACATTGAGCCTCAATGCACGCCCCCAAGGTCGATCCTACAGCTTCCCGCTCGCCGACTGCGGAGGCGACTGCTTCGTGCGCACTCACCACTAACTACTATGCACACACTTGACTGTACAACAACTGACCCGGCGGTGGACTCGCTCACCCAACTCGACAACTGACACGGCGGCCGTCGTTATTGGCGCTCTGCTTGTCTACTCGTTACTGCATATGTATGCAGAGTTCCGGCGCTGCGTCGGCCTTGGTATGTAGGGAAATAACCAGCACCTGTCACGCACATGGTAGAGGGCGACGACTATCCAACACGCACGGCTGTTTCACACCATCTCGCTCACCGGGCGCCGCAAAGAAGATCAAGCCAAATACACGCTGAGGTGACGGCAGAACCGTCAGCAGCGCTTATCGCCCGCCCGCTGCCTGCGAATGAAGCTGGATGAAGGATGCTGCGAAAGGGCTATTCTTGTCTCCCAAAAGCCACGCTGTGTCAGAGTCCAGCGCCGTTGGTCCTCCCAGTGGCCCACCATGACAGGGAGCTGCATCATCTCCGGCGCCGCCTCACTCCCCCGTCGAAACATCAGCCCGGCAGGGATCCCACTCTTCCAGAAGCCTTCCGCTTGCACACTAGCCGCCCCTCGTCAATTTCCAGAAACTCCTGCCCACCCACCACCGCCTGCCTGCGCGCTGCTCCCCCTGTTTCCAGAAGCCTGCCTCTTCCATCATAGCCCGCATCCACCGCCTGCCATGCGCACCACCTGCAACAGAGGTCACATCTGCTCCCCCAATTAATTCTCCCCCTCGCTTCGCTGCATTGCTTGCTCTGCTCTTCTGCGCCGACGTGCGTGGTCCCGTGCAATTGGATCGCTTCGCCGCGTCGCGCCCAATCCTGCAATGGAAATTCCTTTGCTACACTCCCTGGCAACTGGCATGGGCCCGTCACAGACCGCCAGATGTGTCGATCAATTTGCATACACATGCCTTCTGTTTTGGGCAGTCAACGACTATGCCAACGCGAATTCCGTCGCGGGGAAAGGGGATCCCAGCCGATAGCATGCCATAGTCCGGACTTCCTGCTCCCTCTGTCCATGTTCAAGAGCCAGAGGACTCTGATCCGAGCCATCGGGTACACCACGGTCTCCCGCCGCCTGCGGCTCAGGGGATGACGATCGGTACTGCCGCGTTGTGCCATGTTCTGTGCGAAACCCCCCGGTGTCACTTGGCTGCGCGATTGGCACCTTGTCCGTCGGAGCGGTGTGCGCTGAATTATCTCTGGCCATTGCCGTGGCTCCTCTCCACCCATTGAAAGTGTGTCTGTTTACGAATGCAGTCTCTGTTGCGAAGAAATCCCCAAAACCCAATCTGCTTCAAATTCTATCTAGTCCGATCTAAGTATTAACTTTATGGAAACTTGTAGTTGTGAATGATGCAGGTACAGTTGATCTCTTGGACCACGAGTTGCCAGTGGGAACCACGCAAAGATTCTATCGATTGAACTTTAACAAGTCGTAATCTCCAGTCTAGATCTTTCTCAGATAGATACCCTTTGTTGAGTTGTAGACTACAGATCATCCAATCCACACTTATGGAACACGAACGTGTTTGCCACACAACTCTTCGGACTTGAATTCCCATGATGATAATGGTGATGATAATAATACAACATCGTGATCGCTAATGCAACTGTTAAAACATTGTGTGAGGGGTGAGTATACTGAGATTGAACCAAAAATTGCCACTCCGTTCATGCGCCGCTCCGAACCCACAGCCCTTGACTATACTTTCGGTACACCTCCAGTGCCGAACAATTCCATCTTGATCCTGTTACCCGAAACCCCCAGGCTCTTGAGCTTGCTCTCGACGTCGAGCATGAACTGCGTTGGTCCGCAGACAAAGTACAGTGCCTGATCATTGTCCATGAAGAGCACCTTTTTATCCACCTGATCCAAATCCACTCTCCCTTTGACGTCGTAATCCCGTCCTTGTTCCTCTCCGTCCGCAGGCGAAGACGAGAAAAACACCGTCCTCAACTTCTCATCCCTCGCCGCCATCTTCCCAACCTCCCTCCTAAACGCCCTCGTCTTCTCATCCCTCGAACCATGAATCCAAGCCACAGGCCTCCCCTTACCCTCCCCAACAACCGTCTTCAATATACTCATCAAGCACGTCAACCCCACACCAGCCGATATCAACACAACCGGCGCATCCGCACTCACTTCCCCTTCCTCATACCAGAAATCCCCAAACGGATGCGTAATATTGACCACATCCCCAACCTCCTTCCTCGCATGCAGAATATTCGACAAATACCCCGGCTCAGCCATATGCCTAGGCTCCCCAATCTCCACCGCATCCTCCCTCTTGACACTGATCCTCAAATACCCCTTCCCAGGCGCATCGCTCAGACTATACTGTCTCGCCTGCCACACCCCGCCGTCCAATTCCTCCACAAACAGGTTCACGCTGATGTACTGCCCAGGTTTATACGCTAACCTCTCTGCCCGTCTCTTCAGCGCTTCGTCAACGGGTTCGAGGTAAAACGATGTTATAGCCTCACTCTCCTTCTCTTTCCGCGTAATCTTGAAATCCCGCCATCCGTCCCACCCGTTCGTGCTATCGTATAACTCCTTCTCCTTCGCGATCAGCAGGTCAGCGAGCTGCCAATACGCCGCGCCCCACGCATCCATAATCTCGTCCGTCGCCGCGTCTCCAAGGACGAGTTTCATGTTTTTGAGGAGGTACGTGCCCACGACTTCGTACTGCGCGGGCTGGATGACGAGACTGGCGTGTTTGTGCGTGATGAGCTCGACGGCTGGGGTTAGTGCTGAGAGGTCGTCGATGTGCGCTGCGTAGGCGTAGAGGGCGCCTGCGAGCGCCGTCGCTTGGTGGCCCGTTGCTTGGTGGGTGTTGTTGAAGACGGATTTTAGGGCTGGGTTGGAGGTGATGACGTCGGCGTAGAAGCGGGTTGTTATTTCTTTGCCGTGGGCGGCGAGGACGGGGACGGTGGCTTTTATGGTGGTGATTTGGGAAGGGGTTAGGGGCGCGTGGGGAGGCATTTTGATGTTGGATTTGTTGGGGTTGTTCTGTTTTTTCTTTCTGGATTTTCTGGATCTTGGGGAGGTTCGGGTAGATGAGTTGAATCGTGGATATCTGTTTATGATCTCGTTTTCTTCTCTGTTCTCCAGTGGGAATATTCTGTGTTGTAGATGTGGAACCCGCGGAAACACTCTCAATGCTTCTAGCTTCGAAATAATGATATAGCAATCAGCGGCGAATATATCAGAGCTAGTGATACTTTCTCCAAATTAAAAGAAGAAAAAGAAAGAGTCGTGAAACCATCTTATATACACTATCTTCCTCCCCCGAGCAGACCATCGAACCACTCTCACGTCCCTCCACCCAAAGCACAAGAAAGTGGGAAGCAATCGAAAAAATCCAGCATTTCCGCGGAAAAACGCATTCGCGCTCTCTAAAATAATCCAAGTTTCTGATGTTGTGGGTGGAGTAGTAATACAAACAAGAGTCACACCACCGACGCTACATTTTCCGTTGAGTAATGGCTTCCGAAAACTAACCGGCGGGATAGAAAAGGCTTACTTTCAGCAAAACTTTACGCCCGTAACCAACGAGCTTCCATTGCAGCAACGAATCCGCGTGCATTCAGAGTTACGCCCGTAAAAAAAACCCACGTTGTGTATGGTCGCTTATGCAATACTAGGGTTAGCTGGGTGCTTTGGTGCCGGAGGGAACCGGAGCCAGGGATATCGTGAGGCCGAGCTAGATGGTCCGGCTACGGGAATAGGCGTTGAGGAATTACTAAGGCTGAGAGGTGATTACTGATATTTGTGGATGCTGATTAGGATTAATTGAAAGATAATTGTACCACACCTCTGGAGGATGGTTACAGACAAAAAGGGGGTAATAAAAGCAGTAAAAGAAAAGGGCAGGCTACCTTACGTAATAAAAAAGAGACAAAAAAATAATAATTTAAAAAAAGTTAAAGTTCTGCCTTTTGCTATCTACAGTAAAGCATCTTAACAACACTATATTAATAACACTATATTAACATGTTAAGAGCTTAATAACTAACTGCTGCCTGCGAGCTTGCTTGTAAGCAAGATAAAAGAAAAGTAAGTAAGCCCTTGCTAGACTCTACTTACGCACAACACTTTACCTACAAAAAGCTATAGACCTAAATCCACGAGCCATCGACTACCTTTAAGGTCATCCTCCTCTCGAACTACGACGACCCGCAACAGTAGGGCAACAACGACAGTTGCTCCTTGAAGCGGATTAGGATTAAGCCTGTTCAACAGGGGGTTTTTTCATTCTTAGTTTTGTTTTTCTAGGGGAAATTGCTGGTGTACCGCGGAGTTGTGGAGTTTTTCATTTAGGGATTAATTTACGATCGTGGATGGCGGCTCGCTTGGGTTGTTCGGGTTTGGAGGCACAACAGTATATATAAGAATGATGAACGAGACATTGCTCATGCTATCATTGTTGCTACTTCTGAGCGTTTGAATATCGCCTTGAAACATGTCCATCCTTAAGTACACCATGGTGATGTGCTTTGCTTTTGTTTCCGAATCAATTGAAGTATGCAATAAATATATACAAGACCGCAGAATTGAAAAATGTTGCATAGCCTGCATACACATATTGTGAATACACCACGCTGTACTAAAGCAGGTAGTTTAAAATGGCATATACTGTGATGTTGACTTCATATGTTGTCGTGATACAGTTTTTTTTACGAAGGACTTGGGTGGCCACTGCGCGTGAATTGCCAGGCAATATTCATATGTCATTCGGTATAGGCAGGCTTGTCATATCACGATCACAGAGCATCAATCGAAACACCTACTGCTAGTCCAAGAAACCAAAATCATTGCTTACAAAATATGAATAGCGCATCGTCAACGGTATTAGACGGCGATCAATGTGATATCATAGGCCTTGATGCTCTGCTTTTAGCTAGAATAGATTGCTGTGGATTTTCTCATGGGCGAAGACATTCTCACTTGATACAGTGATAAATCATAGATGTATACGTTTATTCAAAGCAAAAGAACACTGATCTACTAAACAAAGAAATTGCGTCCACAGTGAAGTAATGACGCTGAAGTACCTACCGCAATACCCCCTTCAGGCCCTCCTGTCATCGTACTCACGCGGGCGATCATCTTAATTGAAGGCTCACGGATACCACCAGATCTACCCAGTACCAATCTAGAGGTTCTAGTTTTTGATTCGTTCGTAAAACAATGTATAAGCATCGGCGTCATCATCGTTAGAATCTAGATTTGTAGCAGGCACGGGATTGTCGATCATTCGCCTACCAACGGGAAGGTTGCTCAGAACATCCCAAGCGTCGTTTGTTCGGTATATCTTTCCCTCAGGTCCAGTGACATCTGCAATGTAATGTCCCGTGTTGACAGAATCTCCGATATGGCGCATAGCCCCCCGCAACCTGTAGCGAAGCGGTGTACTGGGGTCTTGTTGCCAGTGTGTCAGGTCAATTGTCTTGTCAAGAGGAAAATGATCGTGTCTTTTATGTCTACGCGTTGGATCCAACGGCACATGTGCCGGGAGTACAACACGTAGATATAGCGGTGCAGATACGATTTCGTAAGGTCGTTGTACTCTGCTACTTCCGCATGAACAAGCTGGGTCGGTGGTTGTGTAGGGTTCATCTCCGGCAAAATGTCTGTCAATGACGCCCTGAACGCTATCCTCCCGGTTATCTGGGAACCGGTTCATCGTATCTAATCCAACGGATAGATAGTGTTGGCTACCGGGTCGTGATGTCTTGCAGTCATCACAAACCCTTAGGAATAGGGTGTATAATTGGAACAAAGCTTCGAACTCGTCGTTGATTCGCCTGTGTAAATGTTTCGTTAGCATTATCCTCTCCTCCTTCTCGTCAAGCTTGTGGGATGAATACTTACGTCACAATGTTTGCCTGTGTTGAGTGCTCCAAATGAGTGAAAACATGTCTCAGAAACTCGTCGGCGTCTTGCTGTCTGGGTGGTCTAGTACTGGAACCCTCTCGTTCATTGTTGATCCGATGAGCCAGAGTGCGAAAAGCTCGCAATTCGGGTTCATGCGTCAAGACATGTGTGGGCCGCAAGTTCCGGTTCATCCAGTAAACAAGAGCAAGGTTCTTCAACACGCAGGCGACACAAGTTCGAAGCTCCCCTGACCTGTCGCACGGCCAGTCGATATTGCCTCCATTGTCCTGCTGATTGTGGGTCAGAATCCAGTTCACGAATTTCGGAAGGTGCATCAAGCTCTGGATCGCAGAGTTCTGGTAGCAAGCCACGCCGGTGTTATTGGCTATTCTCATGCTGCGTTTCCACCTGCGACGAATTGGCCATGATTTTCTGAAGGTCCCTGCGACATTGTCTTTGTACGCTTGAAAAACAGTGGTGGTTCCCTGAGTTATGTTGGTATTTGCCGCCTGAGGTATGTTCAGATGTCGTGTCAGCACGAACATGTTAGGCCCGATAGGGTGTTGTCGTGCTCGAGCAGCCCTGCGGGTTAACGGATACGCCGGGTCCAAAAGGTTTACCATAATGCAAGAGAAGTCTAGCAAGTGTCTTTTTTTTTCGAGAGGTTTAGTGGATTGCTCAAGTGAGTTCAAGATCCTGCAAAGTATAGTATAAACCGAGGACTATGAAGACAGGATAGCTGATTGGAAATTGATATGATGCCAATTATTGCAAGACGGGAAGTTTCGAGCCCAACTTAAATACATGGAATTCAGCAGAAAACTAGGCGGAAAACTCTGAACAATAGAATCAAAGAAAGTACAATGAAGCTGCAGTGTGCTGCTTGCCTATTGTTGTGTGCCTATTGTTCTCGTTATTGTGATACTATATTTGGACCCTTTCCTTGTGATGTGGTATGCCTTCTTTGTATTGTTGTTTATTGTTCGAGAACTCGATTCTTTATTGCAGGTGAAGCTGGATACCTCAGTATATGGAGAAGACGGCTGCTTGGAACTCCAGACACCAAAAAAAAGGTAAAAATATTACTTGCAGAATTAGCCCGTAGTTCTGAAACCCATTCTTGCCTGTGGGCAAAAGTCGCTGTGAGGCCGGCGGGACAGACCAGTTTCGCACTTTAATTGATACAATTACAATGTCATACTCCCGAGCCTAGAATGAAAATTATATGATACTGCTGGTGAATACATGCTCTATGTTCTCAAATCCACCATCGTGATATTCATTCATGAGTTTTCGAAGAAATGGTGTACATGTTCCGTGGAGTAACTCAACATTGAAATACAGGAACGATGCCCGTTCCCTTCCCCTAGATATCGCGTCTCCGCCCGCTAAGACAGTTAAAAAAATCTAACTGATAACACTGCAAATCAGCAAGATCTGAAAAACGGCATTGGAACCTAACATATATAAAGACTTGGATGATTGAGAGATTTGCCAGTCATGCGCTGCCTTCAGCGAGTAGTGCGTGTGATCAACATCTCATCCACATACAGTATCTCAAATGCCAGGCTGTGTGATGAGAAATTATGAATATCTATCATATACGCCACCCGGTTTTTCTGGTTGCTTCTGCCCTCGCGTTCGATGAACTCCTCCACGCTCAGACAAAGAACAGATCCGTGTTCATATTCAGCAGAATATACAGATATGGTTCAAGGTCACCTACACAATGTGCTGTTGCTGCTAAATACAGAAGAAATAAGGAGGACTTGAACAAAGCGTGATATTCATGTGGCTGGCGAAATTCAAGTGATTGATAAGAACAAGAAAAATGTGGCTGCTGGAATTTGCCGTCCTTTGTGCAATATGAATGAGAGTTGCATACGCGTGGTTTGAACTTCAGTAGCTGATGAAAAATTCACGGCAGATTATACAATCCGAGATAGTGAAAAGGATGACTTGTGGAGAGTTTGAGGTCATGGCGATTAACGAGATTTTAGTGTCACGAAGGGACACAAGTTTGGCATGAAGAACTCTACTACGTTTCCCGGGACCCATATAATCTAGATCTATGAGAGATTGATTAAGATACACACTTTTCCCTGCCTTCCAAACCAAGGAGATCAAAATATTTCCTTGCCATGATACGCCAACATTAAATATTACCAATGCGTCATGTTCCCATCTAGAAGATCGACAACCACATATAGACCTAAACTATGTCAAACTGAAGCCCGTGTTCATATCCATGTCCATATCCATATTGAAAGTAAGCTCGCTATCGTCCCACGTCATGGGCTCAGTGGTAGCAGCGCCAATGATGTTCTCCAATTCAGAACTCGAGCTGAATCCTAATTTACCAAGGTCAGATGTAGCATTCAGACTCGCGGCCAAGGACGCAGTCGAAGCTGCGAAGTCCATATTGCCATTGCCCAGTTGATCCCAATTGACGAGGCCGAGGTCGTTAGCAGTCGGTTCACCAAACGAAGTGAAGCCCGACTCGCTAATGGGCGGTATCATGTGTGTCCCTAACGCATCGGCCTGGAACCGTGTGCATTCGCCGACCTGCTGAGAAGAAGCGAGCCCGATTTCACCATTCTCGCCCATGCAGAGTCCGCCTGGTCCACCAATGCATTCCATTTCGGAGATGGGCGCTCCTAGAGTTGTGAAGTCGGCCATAGAAGAGAATTGTGACAAGGAGCCTGTGGTGGTAGGCACGGAGCCAGACAGGCTGGGGAACCCAGTTATGGGTGGTGGTACAGAAGCATGTCCAAGTCTCGCCATATTGAGGGAGCCCGAAAGAGAACATTCGTAAGCTAACGCAAGGCTTGCAGCGTCGGCATCTGCATTAGTAAGACACTTGAAGTTGCTCAGGTCGAAGCTGGGGTCGAGGTTGGAATTAGGTCGGACACCAAGATCTTCCAATGCATCGAGCGTAGGAACGGGAGTGTATGAACCGTGTATCCCGTGGGCTTGCTTGAAGAGGTTCAGCCAGTCTGTGTTGTCTGCAGCGGTCTGGTGCCACGGGTCGTCTTCTCCGTAAAGAACGCACCGAGCTTTGCTCTGCAGTATGGAGTCCGGAATGTTGTTGGTGCTGTACTTGTCCATGTACTGTCGCGCAAAACGACCTAATCGCAGCGTGAGGATCTCCCAGCAAGTTGCTCTTGCGTCTGCCTCGGAATCATCGGTGAGCTTGTTGGTGCCTGATTTAGAGCCGGGCGAACCGTCTGCCTGAGTTGTTTGCAACCCGGCCTCGAAAGTAGCGTTATCTGGAAGGCCTACTGGAATGACAGCCTCCAAATCCGCCGGAAGCATGTACATTCCTTGTTGCCCCACAGACGAGGAGTTTGAAGCGGAGAAAGGAAATGGTGATTTGCTTTCGTTGGCGATTAGATATGGCGGCATCGCATTCGTTACTTGGCTGGCAACTTCTGCACCCAGCCCGCGACATCCTTTCCACTGCTTCATAGTGGCACCGTTACGGAACTCTTTGGCTAGGTGGTCGACACGATCCTGCCACTTTTCGAAGGTCATTGAGCAGAAGCCGCAACGAGAAGCAATGTCCTGCGTTTCAATCTTCCATGATTCCATACTCGGTGACATTTTGCAGCTGTGCCTGTAAGGAAATGTTAGAATGCGGACGACACAAGTTGGCAAACAACGTAACATACATCAACCGTAGGTGTTGCCTAAGGTGGTCTTTCCTGTAGAAGGTTCGTGCCTCCAATCCTTTAGATTGACAGGTTGGCTGATCATGTGTTTCAAGGTGCTCCTGGCTGGGCTCAATCTCGTCACAGAAGACACACTTCCGTTGCCCAGAAGCCGAGCAAGTGATGACTTCACCCAACGGAGCACAAATCCATTTCTCGAGCGAAAGATGCAGAGACTTCTCGTGCCGAGCCCAGTCGTATTTGGACTTGAAGCAATCGGTGCAAAATGTACACTGGAACATCCTTGCTGCGTCAGTTTGATCATACTTCGAAGTGCGTGTTGGCAGGCGTCGTCTCCGGCGCCTCTCTTTTGATTTGAGGCTGTTGAACGACCCAAGAGAGTGACGTGAGCTGTGTGAGTATGCGGAGTTCATGGATCCCAGAGACCCTGAAGAGATTGCAGTGAAGCCAGTCTCCAATGAAGTTGTGGATGGCGCTCGGAAAATTGAGAAACTACCCGTGCTGTCGTTGGAGGGCTCTTTGTTGTAGCTAAGGCTGCTAGAAAGACTTGTAGACTCCGGAAACTCGAAATGTTCAACGTTGTGTGCGATAGCCTGCATCGGAGCAGGTTCGTTCTCAGGAGGGGAGTGTTTCCATCGTTCCATGGGATCTATGCGAAGTTAACCCATACATTCATTCTGATCAAGGGCTGGATGAACAGCCACGCGGAAATTGAGAAATCGTCCATTGTTGGCACAAGAGCCAATAGTTGACGAGGGATACATACTGAGGTCGTCCCATGTTCTGCCTGGAGGTATATTGATGGCTTCAGTAGACGGTCTGATACTAGGCGATGCGCTTCGCTTCGGACGCGCCTTCTGCCTTCGCCTCGTGTTCGCCATCCAGTTGGATATTTGATTGATACTGAGACCCGTTTGATCTCTCAACTGCTCCTTTTCTTCCTCGGTGGGGTATGGGTGATCCAAGTGGGAGATGAGCCAGTCTTTCAGGATCTTGACGGAGGCACGAGGGAAGCGCGCAGCAGCAGCACCCCGCTTCGGACCATTTTCGCCCACCGACTCATCTTCGATTGGGCCTATATAGCCTAGGGAGCGAAGAGGCTTTTTCCCGGTTTGACCACCAAACAGTTGCTCGCTGTGTTCAGCCACTATACCTAACGTGTCGAGGGAGGTTTTTGACTTTTGAATGACTAATTGTTGCTCCGAGGTATTGAAGCTGCAGGGTCGGAACAAAGCTTTGCAAGGGGAACAAGCCGAAGGTTTACCATCATTTGCGCGGTAGATGATGAAACATTCCATTGACTTAGAGCGACAATGGTCACATGGTTGGACTGCCTTCTGATAATGCGGTAGCCAATGCGAGAAGTCTGTATTGAAATCTTCGGTTGCGACTTCATCGTTGACATGATCAGGAAGTCCCGGATCTTGGTCGAAAGCATGACACAGACACCTGTTAATTTGGAGTGTTAGATTCAGTCTGCTCTAGCATATGAGCCACAGCACCGATGCCTTTTTGCGCTGATTGGGAATGTCACAGAAACGGTTTGTCCTCAATATGTTTTAGGAAAAAATAGTCCACTCACCCATCGTCTCGTGCTTGACCATGAGCAGGGCAGCCAACGCGATGCTTGTCGTTGCGCGACGCAGGTCTGCTTAGCGCTGTTGTGGATTCGGGCGCAGAAGCATTGCCGAAATCAAAGAATTGGCCTAGGTCTGAAGTAGTGGGCGAAGCCATGTTGACGCTTTATGACAAACACGCCCTTCGGAAGCCTGATTAGAATGATCAGTGGACCAGGAAAGATTATAAACCTTCAACAGTTTTTACATCTGGGAGCGAGCTGACAAAAGAGCGCCCGAGCCGTATTTGGCGCTAACCGTACAATATTCTCCGATGGCAGACATGTCAACCAAAGGGCGTGTCATGTGATGAGATATGACTCCCCACCGACATGCTAACACTAGCTACATATGTAGTGAGCTTCGGCAGACACGGTTCGACGCATTGGCACACGAGCAGGGGCTGCGGTTGACGGTATACATTCACCCCTCCCCTTCCCTGAATCAACCGACGTCAGATAATATTGGATTGGGTGGCAGCTTTGCGTGCGAGATGTCATTCTACAGGTCTCAACAACAGTTGGGGATGAATGCGGGACGCTTTCCCCACCCAAGGCTGAGCGGTGAAGTCAGGCAGGCTCGTGCGAACAGTAAGTAAAGCAAAGCATCGAGACTTGATACGACACAGCCTAGAACTTGCTAGCACATTCTCTTCGCGAACCCGGATCATGACCTACCGAGTGGTTATCGTGGACAAATGCCCACTTACCTGACAGTATCTGTGTCGAGGGCTGGGTTGTTCATCTAACGAGCTGCGAGTCCTCGAGGCGACTTGACTTATCGGCACCACGGCCACTTGTTGGTTTGGCTCCAAATCGCTATGGTTACCAAACATTTCAAGCCTGTTCATGTGCATGCTTATCCAACATTTCGAGCTGAGGTGTTGTGCACTCTGCGAGCGAAAAAAGCTGCGATATCCCAGCACGAATCATGAGGCACGCACTCCTCTCAGACATCTGGAGACTTTGAACGACAGACAATCCAATGGACGACAATGAAGGAACAATTCGCTGAGAGTCACCGTTCGCACGCGCTCTATTAATGCCGGTCCCGGGCTCAACTACTACGTACGGATGATGAAGATGTACGTGGTCAGATTTTAGACTGTGGGGGGGCAGTCTAGCGTGAACGTCGGAATTGAGATCGGAGCAAAACGTTGAGCTCGAATCCTTCTTTGAATACAGAGTACCCAGTCCGATGATGAGGGGTGAGAGGATCGCAAATAGAGTTGGATTTGATGACATCCCCTTCAGTTTGAATGCATTTTATGTTCCCTTTAGTGTACTTATGTATATAGCAGTCCATGTTAAGAATTGTCACTGCAGCCGTTGACTTGTATGTTCTACGCTGCGTAGCAATCATTGCCATATACATGATTCTTTGCAGAAACGAAGTATACATACACAAAGTTCATCTTGATATCAATCCTCGGAGTTCATGAAGATGCATCCAAATGTGCACATGTGTGTATGGATATTGACAACACGTGCGTTTTCACTACTCACAGCGTGGAGGGGAACGCGTTCGTTCACGCTAGCTCAGGGTGCACTAGCGTGTCGCGCTAGTCTGATATAAGCAAGCGTTGCCTAGTCTTTCCTTAACAACAAAACAACAACAAAACAAAAGCACAGCGGCGCATACACAAGTCTTTTACTTCATATCCACCCTCACCTTGCTCCTACCACAACCCTTGCGCCTGGTAGCGGACTGTTTCTACGTTGTCCTTTTGCCCCTTTGTCCTGCGGGACCTACCTCTATTGAGTTCCCGCCATGGATGACGACTCCTTAATGGATTCCTTCGATGAGGGCGCCAGCTCCGACTTTGCGCCCGCGAAGCCCGTCAAAGTTGCCAAAGCGAAAGCTGCACCCAAAAAACCCGCTGCCGCTGCGAAGCCGCGTGGCAGACCCGCCAAAGACCCTTCAGCGCCTCCAAAACCGAGGGCCAAGGCTGCGCCGAAGAAGAAGAAGGCTGTCGTCGATAGCGATGATGAGAACTCAGACGCAGATATGAAGATGAACGGCCTAGATGATGACGAATCATTGCTGGCTGATACCCCGCCTAAGAAGAAGAAGCAGGCTCCTGCACCCAAGAAGAAAGCCGGCCCGCCTTTGTCCGACATACCTAATGAGAGCTTCGATATGGCCGATGGCCTCGTGGAAGACCCGGCAGCGAAGGGGGGGAAAGCCGCTGGCGGCTCAAGCAGTAAATATCAAAAGGTGTGTACCTTGCTTCCTGACTCGATTGTACGTGAAACTGACATCTGCGTAGCTTACCCATTTGCAACACATCATGAAGCGCCCCGATACTTATATTGGATCCGTCGAACGAACCGAGGACAGCATGTGGGTCTACAATACCGAAACAGAATCTATGGAGTACCGGAAGGTATCATACGTGCCGGGCCTGTACAAGATCTTCGACGAGATCCTTGTCAACGCCGCCGATAACAAGCAGAACGATAAGAACATGAGCGAGATTCGCGTCACCGTGGACCGTGAAACAGGCGAAATCTCCGTCAAGAACGACGGCAAGGGAATCCCGATCGAATTTCATGAAGAACACAAGATCTATGTCCCCGAGATGATCTTTGGTCATTTGCTCACCTCTTCCAATTACGACGACGACCAGGCCAAAGTTACGGGTGGTCGCAACGGTTACGGTGCTAAGCTCTGCAATGTTTTCAGCAAAGAGTTCACACTCGAGACGGTTGATTCAAAGCAGAAGAAGAAGTACAAGCAGACATGGACTGAGAATATGAGCAAGATGGGCAAAGCCAAGATCACCGACATTAAGACAGACGATTACACAAAGGTCACATATAGGGCCGATTTCGCCAAATTCGGTATGGAGGGCATCGATGATGACTTTGAGGCTCTGGTGAAGCGCAGGACGTACGACATGGCAGGCACTCTGAGGGGCGTCAAAGTCTATCTTAACGGCGAACGCGTCAAGGTCAACAGCTTTGCCAAGTACATGGAAATGTACACAAAGTCCATTCGTAAAGAGCAGGGGGGCGGCGAGGATGAAAAAGACAAGGAGGTCATCATCACAGATCGCCATGATCGCTGGGACATAGGTTTCGCTGTCTCCGATGGTTCTTTCAACCAAGTATCTTTCGTCAACTCGATTTCCACGACGTCTGGAGGTACACACGTCAACTACATTGCCGACCAGATCACAGAGAAATTGCTGGCCATTGTCAACAAAAAGAACAAGGGCGGCGTCAAACTAAAGCCAGCCCAGATCAAGAATCACATCTTCCTTTTTGTTAACTGTTCAATTGTCAACCCCGCCTTCACATCCCAGACCAAGGAGCAGCTCACCACAAAGGCCAGTCAATTTGGTAGCAAACCAGTCTTGAGTGACAAGTTCCTGAAGGCAATTGAGAAGACAGCAGTCATCCAGAACATCATGCATTTTGCACAGCAGAAGGCTGATCAACTGTTGAAAAAGACAGACGGCAACAAGCGCAGCCGGATGAACAACTCCAAGTTGACCGACGCGAACAAAGCTGGTACCAAGGACGGACATAAATGCACACTTATCCTCACTGAAGGTGATTCTGCCGCTTTGCTCGCTTTGGCCGGGCGTGCTGTGATCAATCCAGATCTGTTTGGAGTGTTTCCCCTTCGTGGAAAAATCCTCAATGTGCGCGATGCTTCCATTGACCAAATATCGAAAAACGCGGAAATCCAGAACATCAAGAAGTTTGTCGGACTACAGCACAAGAAGGAGTACACTGACACCAAAGGACTTCGCTACGGTCATATCATGATCATGACTGATCAGGATCACGACGGTAGTCATATCAAAGGGTTGCTCATCAACTTCCTCCAGTGCCAGTTCCCCAGCTTACTCCAGATCCCTGACTTCCTTCTGGAGTTCATCACTCCCATTGTTAAAGTTTGGAAAGGCGATCCGAAGGACCCCAAACGCTTGAAAAGTTTCTTCTCTATGCCCGAGTATGAGGAGTGGCGGGAACAGCACAGCAATGAGAAGGGCTGGGAACACAAGTACTACAAGGGATTGGGTACGAGTGACGTCAAGGACGCCACCGTTTATTTCAAAGACCTTGATACTCACATGAAGGCTTTCCACACCATGCGAGAACAGGAAGAAGCGCTGATCGAGCTTGTTTTCTCCAAAAAGAAGGCTGACGCTCGAAAAGAATGGCTACGTGAATTTGTGCCTGGTCGACATCTCGATCTCACCACCCCACAGATCACGTACGATGATTTTGTGAACAAGGAGCTCATCCTTTTCAGTATGGCAGACAACCTGCGCTCTATTCCTTCCGTCATCGATGGTTTCAAGCCCGGTCAACGAAAAGTACTGTACACCTGTTTCAAGCGCAACTTACGGAAAGATACAAAGGTTGTCGATCTTACTGGTTCGGCCATGAGTTTGACCGATTACGCCTACGGAAACGCGTCAATGGAAGGTACTATCGTTGGTCTTGCCCAGAACTTCGTGGGCTCGAACAACCTCAACTGTCTGGAGCCTAGCGGTAACTTCGGTTCTCGTCTTCAAGGCGGCTCCGATGCGGCCAGCGCCAGGTATCTCTATACCCGGCTGACTCCGTTTGCTAGAAAGATTTTTCACCCTGAGGATGATGCTTTACTCAAGTATGGCGAATCTGACGGCTATAAAATTGAGCCTGAGATCTACGTACCTATTCTGCCGATGATTCTCGTCAATGGCGCAGATGGTATTGGTACTGGTTGGAGCTCTAGCATACCCAACTACAACCCGATCGACATCATTGAAAATCTGCGCATTCGTTTGCAAGATGGTAATTCGAAGGAAGATATGAGGCCAATGTCCCCATGGTTTCGAGGTTTCACTGGCACCACTGAAGATATTGGTAACGATCGCTTCAAGTTCACTGGAACTGTCCGTCAGACTAGTGATAACGAGATTGAAATCACCGAATTGCCCGTTCGCATGTGGTCCCAAGCTTTCAAAGACAAGTTGGAAGACATCATCAAAGCCGAAAAGGTTCCCTCCATCATCAAGGACTACACGGATTACAATACGCCGGATAAGGTCCATTTCATCATCAAGATGGAGGATAAGCACATGGCCAACGCTCTGGCAAAAGGACTCGAAGAGACCTTCAAAATTTACAATACTCAATCGACTTCGAATCTGGTTGCATTCGATACACATGGCCGCATTCACAAATATGCAAGCACTCTGGATATTATGGAAGAATTCTATCACGTTCGCCTCAGATACTACGAGAAACGCAAAGTAAGTCCGGCCTGCCCCTGAAAGTCAGCTCACGCTAACCCAAGACAGGCACACCTATTGGCACAGATGCAAAAGGAGCTTGACAAGCTGACCAACCAGTCGCGTTTCATTCAAATGATCATCGATGGCAAGTTGGTTGTCTCTAAAAAGAAGAAGGCGGTGCTTGTAGTCGAGCTCAAGAAGCTGGACTTCACGCCTTTCCCCAAGGTTGCGGATGCAAAGGCCGCGGGTGAAACGGCAGACGCTGCCGAGGATGAGGAAGATGACGAACCTGGAGCGAACGATTACGACTATCTCCTTGGTGTAAGTTCTACCTGAGTTCATGACGTATTTCCGATCTAACAGTAGTGCAGATGGCAATTTGGTCTTTGACCCAGGAACGTGTCGAAAAGCTCAGGAAACAAATCGGCGATAAAGAAGAGGAGGTCGATCTCTTGATTAAGCTGACACCTAAAGACATTTGGCTCAGAGATCTTGAAATGTTCGAAGCCGAATGGAACCTGCAGCTTGAAGGAGATGATAAGCGGGCTAAGGCTCTTCTCAGAGATGGACGTCGTGGCTCTCGCAAGCTCGGAATCGGTGCTGCTGGCAAAGGTGGCAAGCGGAAGAAGAAGAGGAGTGGTGACAGTGACTCCGATGACTCAGAGTCTGACTATGGCCCTGCTAAGAAGAAGGCCAAACCCAAAGCTGGAGGACTTCTAGGTTATCTCAAAAAGGAAGACGAACCTATCAAGCCAAGTGCAACGGCCGCACTGAAGAACGGAGCTGTATCTCGATTGAAGCAGAGTGGTATGCTAGGATATCTCAAGAAAGACACGCCGCCCAACCTGGATGGCGCATCGGATATCGACATGCTCGACGCGGCCCCGACTGTCACCACAGCCCCTACAGCAGCACCTAAAAAAGGTCGCACGGCCGCTGCTAAGGCTTCCAAAGCTCTGAAGCCAAAGTCAGAAGAGTCTGATTCAGACGAGGACGTCTTCACAGATGTTCCTGATCATGTGGAGAAAGACACGCCAATCGAATTGGACGAAGTATCGGATGATGATCTTCCTGCTGCACCTGTCGTCGCTACCGCGCCTGCAGCAGCATCTAAAAAAGGACGCCCGACCGCTGCTAAGGCTACCAAGACTAAGTCTGCTCCCGTCGATTCCGATTCAGATGAGGACGTCTTTGCGGCTGTCGCAAAGGAAGCCGAAAAGAAAAAACCAGCGGAGACTATCACGACTTCCAGAACGGCCCGCGGCGCTGCGAGGAAGGCTACCAACTATGCGGTCGACAAAGAGAGTGACAGTGATGATATGGATGACGATTTCGATGTTAGCAATATGGTCCAGACGATTGGTGGCAGTAGTAACCACCGTCCCTTATTCTCCACCACTACTCGTCCTGGCAGCAACGGCGGTGTCACCAAAACCAATGGTCGCTCTGCTCTGTCCAAACTTTCTCCTATTGAGCTCGATCCTGATGAGACCAACTACGAGGGGCTCATGCCTCAAGGCTCGCCAAACAAGCCTGCCCCACGCAACGTCAATGACACAATTATAAGCTCGGATGAGGATGAGTTTGGATTCAGCATCAAGAAGAAGGCTCCCGCAAAGCCTGCTCCGAAGCCTGTTGCAGCAAAAGCAAAGCCTGCAGCTACCAAACCCGTACCAAAGCCCAAGGCCACAGCTTCCAGTGTCGCCACAAAGAAGACTACTCAACTCAGTCCTGCTGCTAAGGCCTATGCTGCACGTTTGGGCAAGGCTAAGCCCGTATCCAAGAAGCCCATCGCCGTTGAATCGGATGAAGATGACGAGCTGGACAATACTGAAGTCCTAGCCAATGAAATCCTCTCAGATGAAGAAGATGAGCCGACCCCGAAGCCTGCTGCTCCCAGGCCGGGCCGAAGAGCTGCCGCCAAACCGGCAAAGTATGTTGTCAGCGATGACGACGATAGCGATGAGGCGAGCGAGGCGAGCTTTGACGACGACAGCGAGTAAGCCACATCAACTGTGAACAGTCTAATGATATTGCATGTGGATGGCGCAAGATACCCGGGAGGTTCAAGCGGCGTTTGATGACGGGGTAGGAGGCTTATCGTACATCGTTTATTCCCCACGATACTGCAGAGATCGACAATCAGGGATATGAACGGTTTTCCTCTCTTTTTTCTTTCTTTCTTTCTTTCTTTCTTTCTTTCTTTCTTTCTTTCTTTCTTTCTTTCTTATGCAAGGCTTCTGCTGTAGTTAATGCGTTTGAGTTTATTATATCGTTTACGTTCAACTCAGTGGACCTTATGGGCACAGTCTCGATTAATGGAACATTTTGTATGGATACTGAATCAACTCTCGTGCTCGTGATTTCAACAGAAGGAGAAGCTTATTACACCTCACACGTTCAAATGGCGAATTGGGATAAGAATCGTACGGTTTGTGAAAACTTATATACACAGAATTCTTTTTCTCGAGATTGTGTTTTCCTCGATCAGGATATGAGATAGGTTTTTCTTTTTGTTTCTCTCGGAAAGTTCCAGTCAAATCCATCGGGTACTAGGCAAAACATGTATTTCATTCAATCATAGATCATTCGGCGACACTCTTTGCACAATCATACCCGTCGCGGCGCCTCCTCCGTTGCAGATAGCAGCTGCTCCGTATTGCCCAACTTCGAGCTGGTGGAGTAGTGTTACAAGGATGCGGCTTCCTGAGCTTCCGAGTGCGTGTCCCAAGGCAATAGCACCGCCCTTTGGATTTACGTTGTCGACGCCTAGACCGAGTATCTTTGCGTTTGCTTTGATGACAGCAGCGAACGCCTCGTTGAATTCCCAAACAGCGATGTCAGATTTCGATAGACCGGACTGCTTTAGAAGCTTCTCTACAACCGCGGAGGGGGCAATAGGGAAGTCAATCGGGTCTAATAATTGTTAGTTTACGTCGGCGCACGAAGTTGAAGGGGAACTGACCCATAGCAGCATCAGCATATGTGATAATCTTTGCCAGTACTCTGCTGTCCTGGCCATATTGCTGGGCAATTTCCTTGCTACCAAGAACAAGTGCGGATCCGCCGTCACTGAAAGAGGAGCTGTTCGCAGCTGTGACGGTACCAGTTCCATCGCGCACGAACGCCGGCTTGAGTGTCGGCACCTTCTCCAGCTTGAGCTTGTTGTAAGCTTCGTCTTCCGCAACAATGGTCTCGCCTTTCCGTGACTTGACCGTTACTGGCGCGATCTCGTCCTTGAAAAAGCCCGATTTCCATGCTTCCTGTGCACGCTTGTATGTGAGGATGGCGAAGTCGTCCTGTTCCTCTCGCGTCACCTCGTGTTTCTTCGCTGTGTTTTCTGCGCAGTTACCCATGTGGATCTGGTTGTACACGTCCCACAGACCGTCGCCAATCATTCCATCCTGCAATTGTTGATGGCCAAAGGGTGGCTGCTGACTGGCGCGGTTCAGATAGTATGGTACCCTCGTCATGTTCTCGAAACCTCCAGCCACCTGCGCTTCCGCCTGTCCCAATTCAATCGATTGTGCGGCAAGACTGACTGCCTTCAATCCTGACGCACATACTTTGTTTACGGTCGTGGCTTCGATATTGGTAGGTAGGCCGGCGAAGATGGCAGCTTGTCGAGCGGGAGCTTGTCCGACGCCTGCGCTGAGCACGTTGCCCATGTATACAGCTTCTATCGAGGAGACAGGGACCTTTGACTTCTCAAGAGCGGACTTGATCGCAGTGGCGCCCAGTTGAGTGGCGGAGACGGTGGTAAAGTTGCCATTGAACTGTGAAAAGACATGAGCATGCGTTCATAAGTTTGTTATGAAAGACTCACTGCTCCAGTAGGTGTCCGACTAGCAGATAGAATGTATGCATCTCTGACTTCTTTTCTCTGTGCAGTGGAACTGCTGAAATGTCTCTGTATGCTGGCCAACCGCTGCTGTGGCCGAGATGCCATTCTAGTGGTTGCGCGCAATGCCGATGCTGACATGATGAAGGTCAAATTTTTGAGAATAGCTATGAAAAGAAGATACGCTTAGAAGAATGCTGTAAAATAAACCACTTGTGCATACAGGCCTGCTGGCAACAACACTGAAGGAGAACTTGACGTTCGCGGAGAAACGTGGAGTGACGCCAGGATCCATGGACCGAGGCACCGATCGTTTCGGCCCTCCCCGGCTTAAACCGGCCACGCGCGGCGGCAACTGCTACCGTTCGCGTCATGTGAAGGTGCGAACCATTCAGAACATGAAGGTTTTCATCGGCCTATTCGAACATAACTCCTCCTTTGAATATCGCAGCTCGTTCTCTAAAATCCACTATCTCGAGTCTAACTTTCTTGATCTTTAGCTATACAAGTCCCTGGTGATCTGATTGTAAAAACACCGTTACTCGTGCGCAGTTGAGCCGAAAATATTCGGTGTCCCTCTAAGATACCAATTCGGATACTGCAATGGATAGACACCCTCACACAGAATAATATAATCTTGTTTTTTGTATTCATCGTTGAGGAAGATACAGGGGAGATCAAGTGTCATTGACCACAAACATTTGAATGAACGAACTTCCAAGGTTTAACTTTACCCGCCTGTTAACAACGAAAATATCGGCACAACTTACCCGCACGTCAATACATACATATATATGTATGTCCACGGCATGAGAATGACCTTAGATCAACAGATATCATCCTACAAATACTTCTACCAGTACACAGAACGACCCACTTCATTGACTGATGATCACTGTTTCCAGCTTCCACATACGTACCGCCCCACTAATCATATGCTACTTCTCCAATGGTTACGAGGACTCTCAGTATCCATTCGCCAAATTCTTAGATATCACCGACTGACTGGCGGGTGCAACTTCACCGTACCCAACAACTGACAGTATCACCACATGGTTTGTACTACACCGAGAGAATAGCCGGACGAGCTGTTTTATGGAAGATCTCCTGGTGAGATACTCAATGATCATGTACCTCACACGATGAGAGGCAAGACACAGTGTCACATTAAGACATGCTAAGGTGTACCAATTCTTCCCGGGTGTTGTATTCGATCTTTCGCGTTGCGTGGTAGAGGCGTGCAGTCCCACTTTTGGGCAATACAAAAAACACTGCAAACAAATTGTACTCACTGCATGAATATGAGAAAACTGTAGCTGAAAGAGCAAGATGATCATCTTGGAAAGACATAAAAGCGCGCCTTCCACCACCTAGTTCAGACAGCAGGTATTCTACTTAAACAGTCCTCAACCATCACTTCTCCGAGTTCACTTCAACAACACCCAAACTTACTTGCTATCCATTCAAAAATCACCCATCTTCTTACTCCGCCCATCTTCAAGCTCAACAACCATGCAACTTTCCAAGATCCTCGTCGCCGCCTCCGCCCTTCTCTCCACAGCCTTCGCAGCTCCCCCCACGACCCGCGACAACCTTCCAACCTTCAACATCTGGAACAATTGCAGCTACCCGATATGGGTCACAACCGTTGACCGTATTCGATACAGCACCGAGTCTATCAATCCCCACGGAATGTGGTATCAAAATCTGTACTATGTAAGTCAATTCGCTATGCTGCGACTCCTGTCCCTTTCAACTGCACGAGTTCCACTGGAACATCTCTCCGATCCTTCCCTCATGGCCTGAACCTATAATTACACATCATCGCAGGAATATGCTGACAAGGTCGAAGGACGGCATGACAGGAACCTCCCTCCAAATCGCCAGAACCCCAACCGGTGTCGACTCCCTTTCTGAGCCTATTCTCAACGCAGCATGTATGTCTTCTTCTATTCTCCTTTCCACGCTCCATTCCTCCTCTCCCTCATTAATATTCCATCCCTTCCAAAAGTTCATCCAGCTAACCACTGCTCTCGCCTCAAAAAAGACACATACAACAAAGCCGAGAAAACTCTTTACTACGACCTCAGCACCGTCGGCGACCGGGGCTACCCTTTTCCCGGTGAAATGCTATTGTACTACGCCGCCAAAGACCCAGAATCGTATGTTACGTGGAATGGAAGTATTGGAGAGCAGACCACCAAGGCGTATTTGGGTGGGGAGACGGATTTGATGTTACATCTTTGTATCATTGTTTAGTGCTAGGATTCGAGGTTGTGAGAGGGGAAGGGGACGTTGGATGTAATTGGAGAGCGCTCTCTGGTTTCTCTTTTGATGGATGGAGGGGTGAGGGTATTGTATTCTTTCAAGGCAGTGTTGGAATCGGTACGGTTAGGGCGAACATTAGGTAGCAAGGTCGAATACAACAGATGAACAGAAAAAGAGATCCCGCACACAATGATGGAAAGACGTGGATGGATCGATGAATTTCAATTGCCCTCAGGGATGCAAGAAGCATATGTAACCCTGTCTAAAAAAATCCAATGCAGTGCAACACTGCATCAGCTATGTTTCCCTTGCTTTCCTAACGTCCTTTGGTGATGATGCATAAAGAAAACCAAAACATGTATGCACACGAAGCTAGCCCAGATATCAAGGGACCGTGAAAACGCCAAGAGATGGGTATACCGCAAAAGCTCAAAAGGTACCACCAATACGACCGCAATACGACAGACTGTCAAAAGCAACCACACAAGAGCGAGGAGGAGGGGGCAGGTCTAGCCGCCTCGACGACCGCCTCTCCTGCCACTGCCGCTCGCCGTCCTTGACATGCCAACACCGCCGACGGCAAGGTTATTCTCACCGATGCGTCCGAGAGGAGTACCAGCATCGCTGTATCCGCCCATAGAGCTCTGCGCACTCATGGGGACGCCACCCATGGCTCCGGCTCCGACTAGTGCTCCTCCTCCAACATCAAGATGTGGTACTACGCTCCTCACGAGGCTGGTCGTCTCGTTCATGGGCTCGCGGTAGTCGGGAGGTTGGACTTGATATTCGCGTGCGCGTACGGGGGTCACTGCAGCTTGTAGCAGCCTTTCGTTGAGCTCGTCGTCGGGTCGAGCATCCCGTAACATGAGTTTAAGATCTTGTTCGACTTCTTGCGAGGCGAGCGGGGGCGGTGCGGGGGCAGATGCGTTGGTTTTTTGGAAGATTTTGGCGTCCAGAACAAAAGGTGGATTGTAGATCCAGGGTATCTGACCAGACGCGAGGTTCAGCGCTGAGCGCGTGGCACCACGTGTTGCGTGGGGATTAGAGGAAACCTGGCGCGTCATCTCGACAGGACCAGGAACATCGTCGGAGTCAGGGTCAGGGTCTCCATGCTCGCCAACTTCGGAAGCGTGGTCCCCATTCGCGCCGTTGGTGCCGTTGGCCGTGGGTTCCCCGTTTTGTGCTTCGGCGTCTTTCATCTTTGCGAAAAAATGTGATGCCGCGGTGGTCGCTTGGTTCATGGCCATGTTCAGCTCTTTCTCCGTGAACAGGCGATCGAGTGAGTATGCCGAAGCTTCAAATTGCGCATTGATGGTGCGTGCTTTGGCTTCTCGGAATGGCGAGCCAATACCGAGTTCTCCGTTGCGACCAGAAGGACCTGGCGAGTCGTTGTCTTCCTCGAACAGCTTCCTCTTGCGCTTGTTCTCCACCGCAGCATCTTCCGCATCCCCAAACTTGTGACCAGTCCGGCGAGTTTTGCGTGGTTGTTGCGGACCACCTGGACTGGCGGGATGTCCGATGCTGAATTGATTTGGGTGCAAGAGCATGGCGTTGCTGTCAGACAAGTCCAGTTGTTCCTTCTCCCGCTTCAGCTTTGCGGTGCGGTTCTGGATGCTGGCCACGAGACGTTCGCGAATGGTGGCTGCGAGCAGCTTGTGTTCCTCTTCGGCGATGCGAACTTTGTAGAAGTGGGAGTTTTCGATTTCGTTCTTGCTGTTTTCGTGCTTGTTCTACGGGGTGTCTGTGGTCAGCTTTTGAAAGAATTGCAGAGTAGCTGAGGACGGGAGCATCCTTACCCAAAGCATGGTGAGGTTGAAATCGCGCTCTTCCATGGCATCGTTGACGGCATCAACGAAGCGCGCATAGTGTTTGCCGCACTGGGCAACATAGTCAGTACCAGCGCTAGGAGCAGCCGGCACAGTGTTGCCCATGACGTGAGTGATGAGCTCCGAGGCCTCCTCTCCGCCATCCTCCAATGGCTTGTTCTTGTAAGGGTCGGCTTTGAGTATGAGGTTGATGTCAGCTTGCAGCGCGGCTAGCTGAGCTCTGTAGTGACTATCGCGGTTGTCGGAGAATGAAGTCATCATCTCTGTGAGCTTGTCGGCGAGCATGTTGCGGCGCTTGTCACGCTTCGAGACCTGCGGTTGTGGTGAAGTCGCGGAATGGCCGAGCGGAAAGTTTTCTGCCGGCGAGGGGCTGCGATTGCGGGCCATGATGGGCAAAATTTCTGGGTAGAGGAGGGGATCTGTAGAGGACGGGTGTTAACCACAGCGCTGTCGGAAGAGTACGGCTGCTGGCCGGTTGAGAGTTGGCAAAGGTGGAAGAGAAGATGGAAGGTGAAGGAGCCAGATTGGAGTGACGTGGAAATAACGATGATATATAGGACAGAGCGAAGCCTAGCTTGCGGTGAGTTATTGACTAGAGCATGGGCAACATGTGGGCAGACAGCAGCGGGGTGTGCAGAGAAGAGAAGAGGTGGGTGAGGAGTGAATTCGCGAATGCGGATGATCAGTTGCTGCGAACCAAAGCAGCCTTAGCGCGCCTTGCACACTGCTCGCTATTCGCCGAACCGCCGTGGGCCGACCAGAATCAATTCCACCCTCGATCTGCCTACAATAAGAAGCTGACTTAAATGGCTATTGTACAGTAAAGAACCAACAATAGAAGGATACAAAGACACTATGAGATTTTGAATAGAGCCAAAGGATGATCGGAATGCTTCGTCAGTCCAAGAATTGGAGCCAGAGGTCATGCAGCATATCAGCATTCAGCTTGGTCGAAGAAATATCTCTATGGTGAATCTTTGCCACGAAAGAGGGTGAAAGCGAAGGCCATCAACAAACTCCTCGGGTTTACTCCTTCAATGCTGTACATGCGACCGGGAAAGACTGCAGCGCAACCGGGGTATCTACTGAAGTATTTTATAGAGATGTAGCTTTGCAGACACGAAAGTCCCAAACCGCTGACGTCATTGATACTCAACCTCCTCTTTGGACATGTTCCACAGTTTTGTGTCCAAGATAGATAGTAACTTTTGGAAGACTCTCACATGGTCGGCTTACAACCAATTCTCTACGCGCCCCGGGCATCCAACAACGCAGCGGAATTGCCGCATCGGGAGCGATCGCTTAGATCGGGCGGTTAGTCATCACAGATCGGTACCTTGCTGTCTCGAGAACGAGCGACAGTCCGTGCTCGTGTACCTGAGTCCTGGGGGTGCACTTTGAAACATACTGCACCTCAGAACATATCCGAGAACGGCCAGCGAGCCAGAAAATAATAAGACCATTATGTCCGCCTTTCTTTTTCTTCTCTCTTCCCTCTTACCACTTCTTTTCTTCTTCAGCACCTGGGGTAGCTTCATCTTGTTCACAAAGTCCTACATACCTACATATTAATCCACCTAATCACGCATCTGGTCTAACCCTGTCCGCTCTGCTCCCGAGGCTGTCATACGCGCGCCTGTAATAACCCCACCACTCAATTGCTCTCGCCATGATTGCTCAACCTTCGTGCGCTTCGCCCACAATGAGCAGCCCCAAGCTCAAAGAGGTGTCTGTCAGACTACCCAAGGATTACGGTCGTCCCGACGAACCATGGCATCACTACTTTACGATCGATTTGATATGGACCACACTAGGCTACACCGTGTTCCATCCTTTTGTGAGTTGGGTCGTATGCCTCTGCCTGCGCGCGCAATATACTCCGTATGGAGCACCTGAAATGCGCATCGCGGTCGCGTGGGCCATGGCCATGAGTATGATCGGTATCTTCAACATCTTCAGCGACCGCATCGCATTTGGAAGACCCAGGGAGATTGATCTAGCTGAAGAGGTCATTGTCATCACGGGCGGTGTGGATGGACTGGGAGGACTGCTCGCTGAAACTTATGGCATGCGTAATGCCAATGTGGCCGTGCTGGACACGAAGAAAGTTGGCGACGAGGAGGCGGAAGACAAGGGCGTGTTGTACTATGAATGCGATATCAGCGATCCAAAGCAGGTGGAGGCTGCCGCAGCTGAAATATTGGAGGACGTACGTATAGAGATGCTTTCCATCAATAACTCGTAGCTAACCACGTCACAGCTTGGCCCGCCCACTATCTTGATCAACAACGCTGGAATCAGCCGTCCCAAATCCATTCTCGACTCCACGGCCGAAGAAGTGGAACAGTAAGCTTCCCCGTTGCTTTTAGCCATACACTATGTTTTCTCACACAAACAGAACCTTTCGCACCAACACTCTCTCGCACTTCACAACTCTCCGCACTTTTCTCCCTCACATGATCAAAGAGCGCCGTGGAACCATTGTCACCGTCGCATCTGTTCTGGGACACTTGGGTGCCGCGAACCTAGCCTCCTACACTGCATCAAAAGCTGCGCTCATTGCACTCCACCAATCCCTCCGTGCCGAGCTTGCGCAAAATCCCGATGCCGAAGAGATCAAGACCATCCTCGTGACACCGGGACAGATGGGCACGGAAATGTTCGCTGGTCTCAAGACCCCGAGCAACTTCCTCGCGCCTGTCGTCACACCCGCTGAGCTCGCCAAGGATATCTTGCGAGTGATAGAGAGGGGAGAGAGTGGCGAGATCGCTGTGCCATTGTACGCGAAATATGCCCCAGTGATGAATGTGCTGCCTGTAGGCGTTCAAGCCATAGTGAGGCGGTTGAGTGGAGTAGATAAAGCGATTGCAGGTTCCGGTTTGGTCGGGAAGACCACGTCCGAGAAGAAGTAGAAAGAGATGACGATAGATACCCTGTTTGTCAAGGATACCCTACAGCACTATGCAGTTTGCGGATAGCTTCTCAGAGCTTACTTCTGCTGCAGTGCCATGTACACTAGCTACTATATGAACTGTTTTCATACTTAATTTGTTATGGATTGTTACTTTCATTTCAATGCTTGCGTGTCAGGTCCTGCGTCCTACTTCCTCACACATCATGTGAACGTGATGGGATCGAAAATTGGATGCCACGAATGATCCAGCTTTGATTCAATCGAATCGAAGCCAAGCTCTGATAAATTGATCGCGAGTCTCGATGTAGTTTACCATTCCAATGCAGGATGTTTGGTGTACACCCCCCGTATTCTTCTCCTACACTCAGTATATGGAAAGGAACACCGAAAGGAGAACAAGAGCATTCGTCGTCCTCATCTGGATGTAGCAAGGCATTGTTACATATGGGTATCAATTTTTGTTCCTGTATCGGCGTTTTCATATCGCGAAACGTACGCATAGAGTTTAGACAACAGGACGTTCATACATACAAGATCGAACACAGCTTCCCTCATAACCAGCCAGCAAAACAAGACATAAGAAAAATAAACGAAAAGTCTCGTACCAACCCCTCCACAATCTCATGACCTTTTACACAAAAACACATCCCTAACTTTAGAAGACCATCTCATGCGGCTTCTCATCCCCCCTCAAACTAAAACTCGCCTTCAAATACGCATCCAACCCCTCGACCTTCTTCACCCCTTCCAAAACCGCCCGATCAACGACCTTCTGATCCTCAATCCTCTGCGGCTCAACCTCCTTCTTCACACCCTCCCCCTCACCGCCCTGCTCGAAAAACGCATCCTCCCCTTTCCCACCTTCCTTTCGCTCACGTGACCAATACTCATCGCTACCAACACGGTCCAGAACGTCCGAGTCAACAGCCGAGATATCGACGGTGGTGGAAGTCGCAATCACGTAGCGGTGGTTGACGCGACGGAGGGGCACGCCGTTGGATTTGTAGGGCCCGGTTATCAGGAGGGTTCCTTGGGAAAGTTGGCGTAGGAGGATCACGCGTTTGCCGCGGAAGCGGCCTGAGAGGAGGACGAGAATTGTTCCTGGGACTAGGGAGGCGCGATATTTGGTTGGGTGCGCAGTTTTGCGGGCCTGGTCTTGTTAGGGGAGGTTTCTGTGTTTATGCATTGCTGTGTTGATGGTTTGGTGTAGTGTGGAGTGGTGGAGATTGGATGTAGATGGATTTGTATCGATAATTTTTTTCACTTTCATTCTTTTGAAAATCAAAGTGATGCTTGTTTGCTTTGCCAGTTTCCAGGTGAGAGTTTCAAGGGGTGATTGTATTGCTTTCATAGTTATGTATGATTGAATGCGGACTGACCTTCTTCATCTGAGCCTCGTCCTCTGCGGGATAGTACTTCTGAGCGCCCATTTTTGTGTTTGGTTCAGACGCGAAAGTCAGGGTATGTGTTCTAGATCAAATATTCGACCAGGATTTGATTTGAATCGTTCAATTGAGAGGATGGCTTCAGGTATTGACAACGTCGAAAGCACTCGTCCCTACTCGTAAGCTGTGGGATGGCTCGCTTAGTTGCGCTATACTTGTTGTGGTCTAGTACATTTCACTTATGTTAGATGTTCGCACTTCATCTTGAGTACTTGGTATCAACGACGTGGTTCAATCTGTTCGATCTGTTTACTGTGATCTCATGTTCAGTATTTTACATTATCTTGGCAAAAAAAATCCAGATGAATCGCTTTGGCATAGCTCCAATATGCAGGTTCCAGAACAACCACCTTATGCAGGAAGGACCAGGTGTAATCTTTTTCTAGTGAAAAGAGCAAGATCTATTCATGTTTGACTTCTTGTAGTACAAATTGCGCTTTCCTCGGCATGCGAGTATATAAGGAAGGTATACACACACACACCTACACCATTCGAGAAAGAATAAGGCAGCTACGGCCATCCACTCATGGGCTACTTCAATCTGCTGCCAGCTGTTTTCTCTTCGCCCAACAAACCTCAACACTCATCGATTATTGCCTACCTAGCAATACTTGAAACATCATCAATACCTGCCTACTTTTATAATTTCTTTACCTACTCTTTCCACCTACAATGTCGAATGATTCTAGACTGAACTGGGAGGCCCAGGGACGCCATGCCGGAAGCGTCGTTCAAGATCTGGTCAGCCAGCTCAACATCGAAAGATTGGATTCCAACAGCAGATTAGTGAAGGGTATGTCCGATGCGTCGGCCTCAGACAACCTGGTCAACGACAGAGACTACGTGGTAAGGTCATCCAACCAGGATAGAACAACCGAGAAAATTGACGCAGTGCAGGCCGAGCGACTCATACAAGCGTTTGCATCACTTCCAAAAGATTCCAAGAACTCCGAGACCGGCACAGGAGTGTTGCTCAACAATCTTTACTCCAAACTCCCGCACCCGCCCATGTCATGTCTCGGAGACCCGTACAAATACCGCACGGCTGATGGAAGCAACAACAATATCATCTTCCCCGACATTGGAAAAGCTGGGAGTTTTTATTGTCGGACCGTAACGCCTCAGCATGTTCCTTCACAACTCCCTGATCCGGGCCTGATCTTTGATGCTCTCTTGGCCCGCAAAGGTCCCGTGGAACCACACCCGAACAAGATTTCTAGTCTGTTCTTTGCGATGGTGACAATCATCATTCACGATATCTTTCGTACAGATGACATAAATCCCAGTATTGTCAAAACTTCATCGTACTTGGATCTCTCCCCGTTGTACGGCGCAGATCAGCAGACACAAGATTCTGTGAGAGCCTTCGTGGATGGGAGACTGAAACCGGACACATTTGCCGAGATCAGACTGCTTGCTCAACCGCCAGAGGTATGTAAAATAAACGCCGTTGACATTCTCAGATCTCCATCATGGGATGCGAGATTGGGCTGTAAAGGTGCCTACTGATCCGAGTCAACGAACATTCGGCGGTCTTCACCGCAATGCTGAAGGATATTTCGATGATGCAGCCCTGATCAAGATTATAACAGACGCCACAGAAGACTGTGCTAGAAGCTACGGAGCTCATCGTGTTCCAATTGCACTAAGAGCGGTTGAAATGTTAGGCGTCTATCAGGCCAGGTACTGGGGAGTAGCAACGTTAAACGAAGTGCGCCGTCACTTCGGCCTGGTGCCTCACAAGACCTTCGCAAGTGTCAATCCAGACCCAGATGTAGCAGCGTCTTTGAAGACTCTGTACGGAGATGTGGATAACGTGGAATTCTATCCAGGTGTTGTGGTCGAGGAGCCAAAGCAGGCCATGACCCCTGGGTCAGGTCTCTGCGCTCCTCTTACGACCAGTATGGCAATTCTGTCAGATGCAGTCTCTCTAGTCCGCTCAGACCGTTTCAACACGATCGACTTCTCTCCAGCTTTGCTCACTGCTTTTGGTTTCGAGGAGATCAATGTGGACAGCTCAGTTGTCGGGGGGAGCATTTTAAATCGGCTCTTGATGCGAGCTTTTCGTAAGTCGCACAGCATCTCGTACGCAAAGAATATCAAACTGATATGAAATAGCCGGATAGTACCGCGGAAACTCAATATATGCCTGGTATCCATTCACGGTTCCTTCTGAAATGCGTAATATCAAGGAGTCACTGCACGAATCATCAGACTGGGACTACGATTTGCCAGCGCTCAGAACAGAGCCCGTTGTGGTTACTACATCACAAGGCATAGACAACGTTTTTGCTTCCCCATCATGGAGCATCCCTTATAGCGTCATTCCAGACCTTTCCAGTGACTTTGATACTATGCTCAACCCAGACGATCCGGAGAAACGGGCCGAGATCTGGAATGCTTTGCATCTCTCGAGCGACCACATCCCGGCTTTCTCACGAGCAATCAAAGCTACCACGAACGACTCGTTGTGGCAAAACAGTAACACGCTCGGCAGCCTCCGGGAATTCGATGCCGCAAAAGATGTCGCATCTCTCAGTTGGACTCGTTTCGTAGCCCGCCTATTCGGCATCAGAATGAAGAACGAAGCATCAGACTCCAAGAACCTTTACGATTACTTCTACTCCATCTACACCTACACGTTTCATGACAAAGACTGCACAAAATCACTGGCAGCTCAAAAGCAGGCTGCTAAAGCGTCCAAAGCGCTCAGCGACTTGATCACGCCTACATTTATGGCTGTGAAGTTGCAGCCACCCAGCAGACTCCTACAAAATATCGGCATCAATTTGTTCAACGATGACCTGCTGCCTGATCATGGTATATGCCTGCTCAAGCGCTTATTTGACGACGGCCGAAGCGTCGATCATGTTGTTGGATTGGTGACAATGCTCGCGAGCACCATAACAGTATTAAGCACCCAAGCAGTATGTTTGCCTTTCCGTACTTCCCATAGACAGACTAACGTTGCGTTAGATGACTCAGATGATCGACCTTTTTCTTACAGAGCCGTATCATAGCACTCACTGGCCAGAGATACAGAAGCTAGCAGATGACAACTCATCCGACGCTTCCGCAAAACTCCACCAGTATGCGCTTGAGGCGCTTCGTCTTACTTGTCCAGTGATCAGTAACTTGCGACTCGCCACCCTCAACACAACCATAGATGATGGTTCGACCACACATTTGATCAAGAAGGGCGATTTGATCATTCTGGATACGGCCAAAGCTTCTCAAGATCCGGAGAAGTTCCCCTCCCCCGAAGAAATCCGATTCGACCGCCCAGCAGACAACCAATATTCACTATTTGGGATTGGACCTCATGAGAGCATTGGGAATTCTGTGGTTGTGGCAGGTTTGACAGAACAACTGCGAATTCTTGCGGGACTGAAGGGATTGAGGCGGGTGCCGGGCCCTGTGGGACAATTAGGAGGCAGAAAGGTGGGCGCCGTTACTAGTTTCCTGAACGACGAGAGGGATGGCTGGGATCCTTTACCGAAAAGTAAGTCCCTACCTTTATTGAAGATATATGTCCGGTGTTGAGATAAATCTTCCTTCCTGACTAATTGATACTCCAGGCTTGAAACTGCTTTACGACAATTAGTGGGAAACGATGGCGACATTAGCTGAGTAGTCGTAGTCACTTGAAAGTCTTCAGGATTATGAGAATAGAATGTTTTGTTTTGACACCAGTCCTCATCTGCAATGGGTCAATTGAGCGAACGGCTGGTAGATCCACTGTTATGGGTTGATGGACCGGTGTCATATAGTATATCGTGACGCTTAGCCCACTCGACTGATCAACTAATTGATCAATAGCATCTCGGCTTCTGATAAATACCCAATTACCAGTATTTTGTAGACACTGTGGTGCTACAAATCATGCTGATCATCCCAAGAGACTCAACAAACCATGCACAAAACCAAAAGAATTACGTTATCTGAGGTCTACCCATATTGTATCCTGTCCTCCGGAAGATATAATTCCCCCTTTGAATGGTCTGTGTATTCAGATAACGAGACAACCTTGCTGGAATGGAGCAAATAATGGACTAGGAATAACACGTCAGTGTGGGTCGCATGCCTACTCAAGTATACATTGGCCCGACATTGCGTCTGGAAAAGCAGTGCAAAAAAGAGAATTGAACAAAGCGAGATCACTTACATGTTCCTGGTACTGGTACACACCCTGATCATCCTTACTATCCTCACTCATCAGGCTGTCGTCTCTTGCGGGAAGGAGAAGACAAATCCCCCACACCATTGCTACCCGCGAACTTGGCAGAACGAGCCTTCTTCACTGGCGATCCTTGCTGGCGATCGCCCGTCACAGGACTGCCAGTAAGTTTGCGCTTGAGATTGATACCCCCCGTGATCTCAGTGCGCGAGTGTGATTTGGTCTGGAACGTGGGATCATCGTCGGGACGCGCAGGGAGTGGGAGCGGCTTGATGCCCAGCTGCAAGGAAGACTCGGGGAGCGCACGCTTGGGAGTCTGCCACTGCATGTGTTTGGAGTGATCGAGGTTGGCGCGGCGAGGGTAGAGATCCTTCTCGTCTGTCACGGGGAGGTTTGGACCGGGCTTGTTGATCTGCGAAGCAAGGACTCGCTGGACGGATTTGCCTACTTTGACGGGCGGGCGGCGGCCAGTATCTGGGGTCGAGGGGTTTTCGTTGTTGGCGTCGCCTTCGCCTTTCTCGGCGCGCTCCTTAGCAAGACGCTGCTCTGTCTTGGATACTTGCCGCGTTGCTCGAAGGGGTTCGTAGGGAGTAACCTCGAGGTCACCGACGAATTCGTATGTATTGCCCTTCCCACGTGTAGGCGCTTTCGCGTACTCCTTTTGCGCTTCGTCCTTCCAGGCCGGGCGTCCACGGTTCATGCGGCCCGAGCGGACAATGCCATTGAAGTTGAAGTCGAAGGGCCAGAACTCCTTGAGCTCGTGCGGCAAGTACACTTTGGATGCCCAGATTGTGTAGCATGCTTTGTCGTCGAGGTAAACGTAGCGAGGAGGCGCGTCGTCGTTGTCGCGGTCGATGGGAAGCTTGATATCCTCCATGTAGAGCTTCCAGCTTGGATGGCCTTTCAGTGTAGACATTGATCGGTCGATCAGGTGCTGGGCGGACTCGCCGTTGCCGTCCTTGGGGTGCCATACCAGGCGCATGCGCTTCCCGTCGGACGACAGGATCGGCCCGTTGGATTTTGTTTTGTCTGCCATCTTGTTTGTGCTAAACTTCTGGATAGAGGTTCGTGATGTATCTGTGTGTGATGGGTGGCGGAGGGGTTGGTGATGAGAAGGTGGACAGCACGTAGTGGGCTGTATTTGTAGGGGAAGCTAGGTGGTGCAAAAGTGAGAAAACTGAGAGCATGGCCCAGTTAGGCAGATATGTAGCCGCATCAAACGCAAGATTCAGACGGGATAGGCAGGTTGAGTATTGTGTGAAAGACATGGGGTATACGACAATGGTGATGAGGCATTGTCAGATTTCAGGGTACATTTTCGAACATTTATAGATAATTTTGTAAAGACTATCTGGAATAAATTGAATTGCATCTTCGACACTGCGTTGATCCTATTAAGCTGATCCATATTCAGTGTATTCAATGTTGAATGTTGACTGATAGTGAGCATGCCTACATATGTATACGTAGGATAAGCTTTTGAGAGGTACATAACGTATGGTCAAATACTAGGCAGATAGATGAGAAAATGAGAAGTGACGTGCAGAGAAGAACCAATGACAATGTAGTAGATATTTATTCGTTCAGAAATGCACGATTGGAAGTTTGACGTGAGTGGCCACACTATGGTGTATCAAGATGATGATGGTCTTCGCACAAACTCGGCTTGTCGTCAACGATCCAAATCGACCAATCAGAAGCTTGGAGAGCTGATTACACATCCGAACCGGCAACCATCATCGCGAACTTCACGCCGCCACAACTCCAACGATAACCCACCCCCACGCCCGCAAGCGCGCCCCTAGAGCATCAATTGCACGGCTGTAAACCAAACTCGTGCCCAAGATGCTCGCCCGTCACGCTCCCGCCTCTCAGACGCTGAGCACCGCCGCCCACCGAGCTCTACCCGCAGCTACTCGTCTCTCCATCGCCGCCACCACCCCTTCCCGACACCAGAAGAGGAGTTTGGCCACCGTGCAGGATGCGCCCAAGCGGACATATGGAGGACTCAGGGATCAGGACAGGATCTTCCAGAACTTGTACGGACACCACGGGGCAGATTTGAAGAGCGCCCAGAAGTACGGCGATTGGCACAAAACAAAGGAAATCATTCTCAAGGGTCACGAATGGGTGTGTGCATCTTTGCATCGTTGAGTTTGGGCTTTTCTAACAGCCATGAATAGATCATCTCTGAAATCAAGGCTTCCGGTCTACGAGGCCGAGGTGGTGCTGGTTTCCCCTCAGGCTTGAAATGGGTATGTTGAGTCTCATGGAACCATTTGATGCATGATACTAATGTGTCGTAGTCTTTCATGAACACCAAGGATTGGGACAAGGATGATAAGCCCCGCTATTTGGTTGTCAACGCTGACGAGGGTGAGCCCGGAACCTGCAAGGACCGCGAAATCATGCGCAAGGATCCCCACAAGCTCATTGAGGGCTGCCTTGTTGCTGGTCGTGCCATGAATGCTACCGCTGCCTACATCTACATCCGAGGAGAATTCTACCACGAAGCCACTGTCTTGGAACGCGCTATCCAAGAAGCATACCAAGCCGGGTTGATCGGAAAGAATGCCTGCGGCTCTGGTTACGACTTCGATGTCTTTGTCCACCGCGGAATGGGCGCCTATGTCTGCGGTGAAGAGACATCTCTTATCGAGTCCTTGGAAGGCAAGCCTGGAAAGCCACGTCTCAAGCCCCCATTCCCCGCTGCTGTTGGTCTATTTGGATGCCCTTCCACCGTCGCAAATGTTGAAACTATTGCCGTAGCACCCACCATCTGCCGAAGAGGTGGTAGCTGGTTCGCTGGTTTCGGCCGTGAACGAAATGCGGGCACCAAGCTTTTTGCTATCTCGGGCCATGTCAACCACCCTTGCACCGTGGAGGAAGAAATGTCCATCCCTCTCCGTGAGTTGATCGACAAGCATTGCGGTGGTGTTATTGGTGGCTGGGACAACCTCAAGGCCGTCATTCCTGGTGGTTCATCAACTCCAATTTTGCCCAAGCACGTTTGCGACGATCAGCTCATGGACTTTGACGCTCTGAAGGATGCTCAGTCCGGTTTCGGAACTGCCGCTGTTATCGTCATGGACAAGTCGACCGACGTCGTCCGCGCCATTACCCGTCTCGCCAAATTCTATCACCACGAGTCCTGTGGCCAATGTACGCCCTGCCGAGAAGGTTCGAAGTGGACGCACCAGATCATGGAGCGATTTGAGAAGGGTCAGGGCCGGACACGCGAGATTGACATGTTGCAGGAGTTGACCAAGCAGGTTGAGGGCCACACTATCTGTGCTTTGGGCGAGGCTTTCGCATGGCCACTGCAAGGGTTGATCAGACACTTCAGGCCAGAGTTGGAGGAGAGAATGAGGGATTACGGAATCAAGAGCGGTGGGGAAGCATTGGCAGGCGGATGGGCACATGACGCATCCAAGAAGGGGGTCCTGATTTCCCCTGGACAGTAGACGTAGTCGGAGTGGAAGGGAGAGGATCTATCTTTGTACAATGAGTTTGTTTCCTTTTGTTTGAGCATGGTCTTCTTTTTTTCAAAGTCTCGATCACTGAAATGTGCATATAGTTGTCAGTGCAATTGACTATTTGGAGTTTGAAAAGTCTGCTGCTGTCTGAGAAGTGACAATGGTATCGCTCGCCCAACCTGAACGCCTGGTCGACCGTATTCAAGAATTAGAAAAAGCAAGGCCCCACATCAACCCTGACATATTTGAATAAACTCTTCCTCGCTAATAGCGTTGTCCCCATCCATGTCGAACTCCTCAATCATAGCCATAAGCTCATCGCTCTGCAGACCCTCACCCAATTCCTTAGCCACCCTCTCAAGATCCTGCAGTGTGATCCTCCCCTTGCCGCCCTCGTCAAACAGTCGAAACGCTCGTATAATCTCCTCCACAGGATCACGAGTGCTTATCTTCTGAGCCATCAACGTTTGAAACGTTGGGAAAGACAGCAGCAACCTCGGCGGCGACTGATACTGCGCGCCACTGCCAGCAGGAGCCTTCCCTTTGCCTTGCTGTTGCTGCTGTGTTTTTACGCCATGTGTCTGCAGGACCCCCAAAATCTCTGTTTTCGGCAAATCAAACCCCAATGCCTTCATTGCCACCTTCAACTCGTGGTAGTCAATATACCCATCTTTATCCAAATCGAATAGGTTGAACGCTTCAATAATTTCCTCTCGTTGCTCCTCGGACAGCTCGGCAAGACTATTTTGCGCGGCCGCGTCCATCCTTTCGCGCTCTTCGCGCGCTTTGCGCTCGCGCTCTAGCCTTTCGGATTCGAGGCGCTGCGCGTTCTTGGTCGTGTGCGGGAAAGAACCTGCGGGGTTCGCGAAGGTGGATTGTTGTTGCTGTGGGTTTTGAGGGGCTGGGCGGCCGAGGCCGTAGCGCGAGTTGAGGGCTGGGTTGTTGGAGGATGTTGCCATCTATTCTGTTTCGTGGGCTTGTGTGGCGTTTTGGAGAATTGTTGCCTGTGAATGGTGGGTGTTGCAGGTTGGTGACAGGACTGAATGATTGTTTTGCTCGTGTGGTAGGAAGTGATTCCTCTTTTTCCCTGTACGAATAATGGATGAAGTGCGTTTTAAGAGGGCGCTTGCGAGATCAAAGGTCAGAAAGTGTGAAAAGAAACAGAAGAGTGGCCGCTTCTGGTTTTGTACGTGTGTTGTGGTCTTTGTTTGGTGAAGTTGAGATATGCTGGGACCGGGGGAACGCGTTTAGCGTGAACCTCTTTTGGCGCTAATCTGGTTTCGGTGGTGGGATGTCTTTCCCATCTCTTTTTTTGTGCTGGGGAGGAGTATGAATGTTTGCTTACCACTGCATCGTAACTTCAAAGTACTTCACAGATACATACGATATTGTAAAAACAAAAAACACCCATGTGATGGCTGTGTTTGCTTGCTGCACATGTGTACACTCAATTGCTAGCCCTATGTCTCTGTGAGAATATGCATGTTGTCGATTGTGGCTCAGACACCTCAGTTTACCAGGCAGCAGTAGGCACCGTTAGGAAACCGCAGGCAGTCATACTAAACCTGTTATTCAGTGCTTTTTATTTGCCAATCGATCCTCACTCACTCAGCCTCCCCACTCATCTGCAAAACCTCGGGCGCTGTCGCTCACAAAGCGGTACCACGTGACACATTATTTTCTTGGCGGCGCCCGTTCACTCCCACTCACAGCTTAGACTCGCCTCTCTGTCTCTGGAGGACGCTACAAACCTTACACTACTTTGCCCGTCCACTCTCTTTCCATGACGGCCTCCTTCTCTATTTAATCTGCTCGCGGAGCACTCACTCTTTGACCTGTGTCCCACTCCCATTGCTGCACCGCAGCTTCCTGCTGTGTTTTCCCCTCGCGCTTAGCGCGTCGACCCCCAACCACAGCTTGCTCGCTGCCAACTGCAACCTCACCCTCTTCGCAGTGCCCCGGCAGCGCACCCCATCAGTCAACCCGCCGACGCGACCACTTCCGCTCGTGCGCGTTGCTATCGCCATCTCTGAGTAGCCTAGCACACGTTTCAATCCGTCAGGTTCAAAATGTCGTTTGCGTTTGGCAACTCTGGGGGCTTCGGCTCCAACAACAACAACCAGTCGTCTGGCTTCGGCGGCTTCGGCTCTAGTAATAACAACACCTCAGGTAAGTGCATTCTGGGTTTCTTTTCAACATCTCTGGCGACCGTGCCTTGCCAAGGGAGTCAACAATGCGCCGTCAAATTGGATCGCGCGGTTCATCGTCTCTAATTCGCCTTTCGCGTCTTCAGGCTTTGGGTCCAACAGCAACTCGGGCAGCATCTTCGGCCAGTCGAACAACGGCGGCGGTAGCGCTTTCGGAACCAGCAACACCAGCAATTCCGGGTTCGGAGGAGGTACGTCGCATTTTTGCGCATCGCGTTCGCATCAACTTTCGATTCCGTCGTTTGCTTCTCTCGTCTGCACCTGGTCGTTCGAAGGGTCTCGCTTCCTGATAACGATATTGGTTCCCGTAGCAAATTTGTTGGACCCGCAACTCATTTGAGCATTGATTTTCTGGCTGTTATCATTCGAATTAATCCACTGACGATTCCCTTCCAGGTGGCTTCGGCGCAAACAATAACACCACCACCAGCTTCGGCTCAAAACCGTTCGGCTCCACTGGTAACAACATGTTTGGTGGCAGCGGTGGCAACAGCTCCACATTTGGCGGATTTGGAGCGTCCAGCAACAGCTCTACGACTCCTGCATTTGGTGGAGGAAGCAACTCTGGTGGTCTCTTTGGTCAGAACAAGCCTGCTTTCGGTGCTTCCACGACCAACACTGGATCAAGCTTATTTGGTGGTGGTAACAACACCAACACAGGCGGTGGATTTGGCACCAATACATCAACCGGATTCGGCGCCTCGAACACTGGGGGTGGCTTTGGTGCAAACAATGCCAATGCACCGGCAGCTAATAATGGTACTGGATCCACCCCTTTCCAAGCAATTCAAGAGAAAGAAGCAGGGACTGCAAACAACAATGTTCAATATCAGACCATTACCTTCCAGCCCCCTTACCAGAATTTCTCGCTGGAGGAGCTGAGAACAGTCGATTACAATCAAGGACGCCGCTATGGCAACTCGAATGGCCAGGCAGGCGCTTTTGGTCAGAGTACGGGCTTTGGCGGGTTTGGTGCTAGCAACAACACCACTGCTACTACTGGCGGGTTTGGTTCGACGGCTAACAACAACACTGGCGGTGGTCTCTTTGGCGGCAACTCGAACACGAGTTTCGGCCAGAACAGCAATGCCAGCACTGGGTTTGGTGCCAACACGAATAACACAAGCGGCGGTCTGTTTGGGTCTGCCAACAAGCCTGCAGGTGGAAGTGTCTTCGGTTCAACTCCAGCTACCAACAACACGGGTGGAGGTCTTTTCGGGAACACGGCCAACAACAACAACAACACGGGTGGAGGATTTGGTGCTACCAACAACACTGGGGGCTTCGGCGCATCAAACAACACGGGGGGCGGACTCTTCGGTGGTAACAACAATGCCAACAACCAGAACAAGCCCGCTGGTTTTGGTGGCTTTGGTGCAAACAACAATACAGGTGGAGGATTCGGCGCGAACAATAACGCGGGAGGCAGTACCCTTTTCGGTGCTTCAACCAACAACAATGCCACTCCAGGATTCGGCGCGAACAACCAGGCCGCAGGCGCTGGCAGCAGCCTCTTTGGTAATTCTACCGGTGGTTTCGGTCAGAACCAGCAGAACCAGCAAGCTGGTGGTGGTCTCTTTGGCGGAGGCGGAGGCGGTGGCTTTGGTCAGAACGCTCAAAACAACCAGCAAAAGCCAGGGGGCTTGTTTGGTAACTCCACTGGGGCAGCGACAGGTGGTGGTCTATTTGGCAACTCCAACAACAACCAGCAACAGCAGCAGCAGCAGCAGCAACCAGCTACTGGAGGGCTCTTTGGTAACAAGCCAGCAACTGGTGGAGGTCTTTTCGGCAACTCGTCGACACCTGCGACTGGTGGAGGACTCTTCGGTCAGAGCAACAATGCTGGTGCGACTGGTGGAGGTCTATTTGGAAATGCAGGCGCGCAGAACAACCAGCAGGCTCCTGGAGGAGGTTTATTCGGCAATGCGAACAATCAGCAGAAGCCGGGTGGTGGGCTATTCGGAAACTCCACTGGCGCAAACAATACCAGTAGTGGACTTTTTGGCCAGAGCAACCAAGGCAACAATCAGCTTGGAGGGTCTCTGTTCGGCGGTCAGAACCAAGCGCAACAGAACCAGCAGCCCATGAACAACAGTTTGTTTGGAGCATCTGGAGGTTCGTTACTCCAGACTTCCATGAACACCAACCCCTATGGCAATGATGCTCTTTTCAGTGGCCTTGGTACACCATCACAGAGCCCCGGCCCGCTCGCCACTCCTCTGTCTAGTAGCCAGAAGAACAGGAAGAGCGCCATCTTGCCCCAGCACAAACTGAATCCGTCCCAATCAACTCGCCTTCTTACTCCTCAAGGCAAGAGGAACGGCGGCTATGGCTTCTCGTATTCCACCTACGGCACACCGACTGGCTCATCGCAGAATAGCCCCCTCAATGGCAGCATATTCAGCAGTGGGAACCTATCTCGTTCGTTGGGCAAGAGCCTTTCGACAAGCAATCTTCGCAATGGCTTCACTCCGGACACCAGCATCCTTGCTCCTGGCGCTTTTTCCGCAACAGGCCGATCTTTCGGAAGTGGTAGTCTCAAGAAGCTGAACATCAACCGAACTATTAACATGCGACCTTCTTTGTTCGATGAGCCCCAAACCGCAGATGCTTCTAGTTCTAGTACCAAGCGGGTCAGTTTCGCAGGCCCCAGCGGCGATGATGCACCTGCTACGAATGGCACCCTGACCAATGGATCACCAAAAGGATCGTCGCCTACAGGCTCTAGCGGTGCTTTGGTACTCCACCAGGACGAAAATGCGACCGAGAACCGTACGAGCACCTCCCCCCGCCCAGAAATGCAGCAAGTGAACGGCAACGAATTAGCAACTGTGCCTGGGAATAGCGCACTGACGCCTCGTACCACGTCTTCCCTCAACATCCAGAATGGGAAGGTTGTTGACCCCAAGCCTGGTCATTATTATTCTGAGCCAAGCATGGAAACGCTTAAATCCATGAGCAAAGACGAGCTGAAGAGCGTGTCGAACTTCGTTGTTGGCCGTGATAAGATCGGCAAGGTCGAATTCAACATGGGCAACCCTGTGAATCTTTCCGAAATTGATCTCGATCAAATCTTCGGCGAGATTGTCGAATTCAAACCGCGTCATGTCGCTGTTTACGGGCCCAAATTCAGGGGACAGAAGCCTGAGCTCCGTGCTCCTGGTCTGAACAAACCGTCCCGGATCACCCTTGGAAATTCTTGGCCGAAGAGTGCTTCTCAAGCAGGAAAGAATGACCCTGCACATGTTCACCGCCTGAAGCGTATCAATAACAGCGGAACCGACTTTGAATCGTTCGACCCAGAGACTGGTATCTGGATTTTCTCTGTCCCCCACTTTTCTACCTACGGGCTGGATTATGAGGAGTATGAGGAATCTAGTCCTCTAAGCGCAGTTCCAGAGACACCTGATCAGCTTGGAACCAGTCAAATGAGCGCCACCCCTGAGAACGACTCTACCGCTAGCGCTTCCCAGTCTAGCCCTGACGATACCTTTGATTTCAAGAAAGGTATGCGTCAGCGTGCCGTCGTACCGGGGCAATTTGGCAGCGATGTTGCTTACGAGCAGGAAGAAGATGTTAATGAAGGTCAGAGCGATTCTTTTTTAGGGGAGCGCTCCGTGGGTTCGCTTGATGGTCAGGAAGACTATACAGAAGAGAGCGAATCGGATTCGACTGAAGACCAGGAAATGGCAGATTCTGTGTCGGGGCCGGTCCGCACCACGGAGCAATCAACTGCTGATGCAACAGATCCTTTCAAGGAATCAGCCAAGCCCAAATCTATCCTCAAGGCAAGCCAGCTCTTGCGGCCGATGGGCACTCCTTCGAAAGGGCCTCTTGTTTTCGATGACGACTGGGCCAACACCTTGCAGCGCACCATCAGCCCCAAAAAGCAAGATCGGAAAGCTTTGCGTGAGAGCCAGGGGGATGTGCTCCGGGAGCGAGACAACAACGTGCAGCCGAAAGCGTCTGTAGCCGGAGGTCGGTCTGATAAGCTAACAATGGACCGTATGGACTTGATGGATTCACTCTTTGGCGAGACCGATAAGCGAAAAGATTCCACGATGAAGCGGGTTGGACAAGGCATTCAGGTTTGACTCCCCACTGTTTAACTTTCTGATATTCCATGCGCATGTTTTCCTTTGGGATTTCCTTGCTAGATTGATGACCCGGACCAAGTGTCCTTGTATGTAGATGCTATCAAATGAGAATCATGTATGCTGAGAATTCATTCTAGTTACCATATGCGAAGCGACCCAAGACATCGAGCGATCTGCATGAAATGGCCGAATCCGACAAAGAGTTCCATAGCTGCAACAAACCACACTTCAGCGAGAACGGTGTTCTAGTGTATGCTGGTAAACATCTAAATCCGCCTACCAATGACTTGTACGCCTATCCGCAGGAACCTATAGCAGGTGCAGGCAATGACATACGCTTCAAGCGCCTGCCAACATTCCCTGATGTAAGCTTGATTTTCTTGACACTTGGTTCATCCGGTTAACTTTTCTAGGGCGATCCACCGACATTGAACCTTCAAAAGGAGTACACAAAAGTCAGCCTTATCGAAGGAGTTCCCAAAGCCCATCCACCAACGCAGCCTACTCAAATAGATTTCGAGCGGATTGCCGAAGTAGTTGATCTCAGCACTGTAGCAGGCGAGCAAGAGCATAAGGTGTGGCAATTGCTTCATATCCTCTTCGACCAAATGCCTGAGCCTGTAGACGTGGAGGATTATAACATGGATGCGGACCGTTGGCGTAAAGAACAACTCTCTACGTTCTGGAAATCGCTTGTCTTGGGAGACGCTGAGAAGCAGGCTCGGGGTTCCGATCTGACCCCGGAAGAGAAAGCCATTGCTTATCTTAGTGGTAACTCCGTCCCGGATGCTTGTCACACTCTTATCCAAAGCCACGATCTGCGACTCGCTACGATGATCGCTCAGATTGGTGATGATGATACGATGCGCCAGGATATGATCGCCCAGATCGAGGATTGGCGCCGTATGGATGTTTTACCCGAAATCGACGACTCCAAACGTGCCCTCTACGAACTTATTTCTGGAAACTGTGCAAAATCCGAAGGCAAAACTGGTGGCGGCCGCGAAAACAAGGCGTCTAGCTTCATCATCTCCAGTCGTTTCAACCTTGATTGGCGTCGTGCTTTTGGCCTTCGCTTATGGTATGGTACAAAGGTTGATGAGCCTATCGAACTTGCCGTAGCACAATATGCAGATGCTCTCCGCGATGGGAAAGAGGACGTCAAGCCCGTTCCGTGGTTCATCGAGCAAGGAACAGACATGGGGTGGGCCGACGAACATAAAGATACCAGGGAAGATCTTCTCTGGGGTATTCTCAAGCTTTACGCTTCGTCGAAGATGGATGTTCCGGCCAATGTTGAGGACGTCCTGGCACCTGAAAATGTATCTGGCCATCCCCTCAACGCCCGCCTGTCTTTCCAGTTGTTCAACATCTTCAAAGCTCGTGTCGAAGATCCCCAGGAAAGTGAAGAACGGATTGTAGGTATGCCTATGGTGCGAGATGGGGACGACCACAATTCCTCGTTTCTATCTACGACATCGGCGACTACAGATCAAGACGACCAGACTGAGGACGCAATGGTTGAACTTGGCGACAAGCTCGCACTTACTTACGCAGCTTCATTGCATACCCCCAAGCATTGGGTGACTGCAGTTTGGGTGTATACGCATCTTTCTCAGGGTGCTACGCGAGAACATTATATCCGCTCGCTATTGGCCCAATTCTCCAATACGTTCTCTTTGACTGACTCGGATGCTACTTTCACCAAATTACTGGAGCTCAGCGTGCCGGCAACTTGGGCGCACGCCGCTGCCGCTCTGCAAGCCAAAACCGAAGGCGATGCTCTGCGTCAGGCTATGCATCTGATCAAAGCTGATGAGCTCGAAGAAGCTCACGAGGTGTTGTGCCGGAGTGTAGGACCTGAGTCTATTATTTCTCGTGATTACGACGCCCTCCGCGAGCTGCTTGGTGGATTCGTGCCTACACCTCCGAACTCTCCCAATTCCGATTCAGGTTCCGGTCGTCGTCGTCAGAAGGAGCCAGTTCAGGGTTGGAGCTACGGCGGGCAAATCTATTTCGACTACATTGAACTGCTCGATCTGACTGATCAACGATCTGGCTTCCGTGAAAATCAGGATTTGAACCACCAGATTACGTACCTACTAGGCAAACTCTCCAAGGCACTGGAGATTGTGGCGAGGGACAGACTGGCTAGTGTAGGCTTGGAAGAGCGGGTTGCTCTCACGGAGATTGCGTCGCTGGTTGCGGACGAGATCGCTAAAAACAAGGTATACATATGTGAAATTCTGGTATATCGTACGAAAATTAACACAACTCAGATGCCCGATCGTTCTCGCGTTCTCAAGCTTCCTCTCACGGAGGACAAATGGCTCAAGCACACCATCGATCTTAGTGTGGACTATTATCGCAATGTCGTCGCCGATGCAGTGCGATAGTAGCGTGCACCTGCAACATCCTTTGTCTGGACTTCTGGCAACGAGGTGAATGCGCAGGTATCTGGCGCTACTGGTGTTTCTTTCTTTCTTTCTTTCTTTCTTTCTTTCTTGATCCGTTCCGGCATTCATGTATAGTAATAGCATTGATTATCCACAGATGGGATGGAGAGACAGTGTATGGTATTCAAAAGAAACTAGGTTCCTTCAACCGAGAGTTTTTCCATGATTCGCCAAGCTGTGGTGGTGCTTCGGCCAGTAAAAGTCTAGAACAGGTGTACTTATAGAGCTTTATATCACGTAATTCCCAGATTTGATGAGCTTGAAAGGGTGTGATGAACGAAATTGTGTAGCAAGCTACGTAAAGTGAAGTTGAAGTATACTAATCACCAAAAGCTGTAGCTGAGACTACAGAAGAAGCAAATAGGTAAATCATGCTATACTGTCAAGCCGCCGTTCAACAACTTACTCCTCTTCGATCAATCCTAGTTTGCGGCAAGCCACACTTCAGCTCTCCTCAAATCCTACCCCTTTCCGTCCCTTCTCACCCACTCCATTAACCAACTTCCTCCCCTCAAAACTAAAACAACACCGAACTCCCCCCCTCTTCACCTTCACCTTCACCATCACTCTCAAACCCCCCAAACGCAAACGAAATCCTCTCACCCAACTCCATTCCCGCCCCCTGAATTCCACACCCCTTCGGACTTACACACCTCCCCAATCTAGTCCCACAACACACACTCCTCACACAAACAGTGCCAACAGCACACTGACTCGAGCGCTCGCAAAGCGGGGGCACATTGGTTTGACACTGCACCACGCCACGGTTATAACAAACCCCTGCGCCTTCAGCCGTCTGCCCGCACGCACACACCGTGGACGTCGAGTTCCCGCCAGAATCGGTGTTGCAGAGACGTGAGAAGCGGCAGTCACTATCACAAGGGGGTCGTGTGCAAACGCCGTTTGAGCAGAGGTAGCCGGGCTGGCAAGGATTGTTGCAGGCGCCGCAATGCGAGGTCGAGGTTGTGGTGTCTGTGCAGGTGCCGTTGCACAGGAGGACGCCCCGGCCGCCGCAGGTAGGTGTGCTTGTTGGTGGTGAAGTGGTTGTGTTTGTAAGGGGTAGAGAGGTGTTTGTTGGTGGGGAGGTTGGGTTAGGAGGGAGGGTCGAGTTTCCGGTTGGGAATGGGGGAAGTGTTGAGTTTGCTGTGGGGAATGGGGGAAGTGTTGAGTTTGCTGTGGGGAACGGAGGGAGAGTGGAGTTTCCTGTAGGGAAGGGCGGCAAAGTTGAGTTTGCTGTTGGGAAAGGAGGAAGCGTTGAATTACCGGTTGGAAATGGTGGCAATGTGGAGTTCCCAGTTGGGAAAGGAGGTAGTGTCGAGTTTGCAGTCGGGAAGGGCGGTAGTGTCGAGTTTCCTGTAGGGAATGGAGGCAAGGTCGAATTGGCGGGGGGTATTGGTGTGGGAGGAGCTGTTGGGTCTGGGGGAGGTAGTGTAGAATTCCACGTGGGGAAGGGAGGTAGTGTGGAGTTGGAGGTTGGGATCATTGTGGGCGGAGTGGTTGAATTGGATGGCGGAAGTGTGGAGTTGGCGGGTGGAAGGGTCGTCGGAGGAATAGTAGAATTCGAAAAACTGCTAGTCGGAGGCAGAGTGGGGTTTGTAGAAGGAATGGTCGTCGGGGGGAGCGTAGAATTGGAAGGGGGTGCGGTTGTATTTGAAGTTGGAATTCCTCCATAACCTGACGTTGTGCGGTTGGTATATGGGGGTGTCGGAGGGATGTATGAGGGAGGAGGCGATGATGTTGTACCATATGGTGGTGGTGGAAGAGGTATATAAGAGTAAGTATGACCTCTCGTAGATGAAGTCGAGGGAATTGAGATTGTAGGGTAGTAATGTGAGCCCGAGCCAGTTCCTGTACCACTGCCTATGGGGTTGTATACTGCAATCGTTGTGGTTGATGTGATACCACTATAAGAAAAACTTATGATCGAAGTTGATGCAGGTGTGGAGCAGGGTGCAAGCTTTGATTCGGTCTTTGTCACAGTGATAGTCGCTTCAAGTGTCTAGAAAAGTCAGAGCATGTTCTCTATAGACAGAAGTTTAATCGACTTACAAAACCTGTCATAGTAATTTGACCCGGAGTCACTCCCAAGCATCGACAAGCGCTGGAGTACTTGTCAGGTCGACATACACCTACAACGTAAATATAAAATCAGCTTCACTCATGTAGAGTCTTTTGGAAGTAGCACGAAGTTTCGAAATCAACCAAGTTGAGCGCGTGCATAATCCAGTGGCCCTTCATCTAGAGTGATAACGTACTAAGAGCATATTCTGGAACAGACCAGGATTTTATAGCAATCGAAGGTGCACTGGTATCTCGACCTGCAGGCGGAGCATATTTGTAACCAGGAGGTGCATGATCTAGATGACCAGCAGCTTGAGGCTGTCTTGCGTAGATACCGGCGGGATTTTTCTGGGTTGGAAAAACAGGACAAGGGGGAACGATTGTCAAAGTAGAGACGCTTGTACTGGTTAAGGTGCGTCGTCTTTCCACGAGAACAGTCAACTGATGTCCCACTTGGGGAAGGAAGGTCTCTTACACGGGACTAACTACCAGAGTAGATGTCATATAGGCGCGGCAGTCTGCCGTACCGTCTCGCCCATAGCCTTTATTGGTGAAGTTAGTTGCTCGAGAGCAGTCATCCTCAACGCAAGATGAGTATTGCCTTCCCTTCAGAAATGCAGCCACTCGAAACGGATTGAAAGAAAGGGCCAGAACAAGGGGGAGCTTCATTCTGGACGATGAGCAGACTGCGTCTTGATTGTGGATTAGCTCTAGTGTAAGTTTGGGGAAAGCCTGACTTTATGTTCTGGTCATGCTGCTAACAGCAAACATACCTAGGTAGCTGAAAGACAGGAGCCATGTACACTTCAGTGGTGGACGGGCGTGTCTGACTGAGGAGCTACTATAACGCCATGTACCCTCACTATGCTGATTCAGTTGCCTCCGAGATATTCTGAGTCTAGGTCAGCAACCAACTTGGTGATTGCGAAATTGATGGCTGAGAAGTGGTGGTGTGGTGGTCTCAGCGACGTTGACTTGTGGCCACAAGTGGTGGCGTGATGAGCCCGAAAAAGACATAGTAAGCACACATTCTCTCCATGCAAGAGTATGGCGAAGATAGAGATCTGCTGGAACGTCGAGTTTGTTCCGGATAAGATGCGTGGATCTCTAGTTTCGCTACCTGATCAATGAGGTCCATAAACATACCGTATGATAGATTGCCGTCATCAAAATATATACGAAAAGATTTAGTATAATAGGCACATGCAATCCTCTCGGTGGGTGGCAGATCTTCTGCAGGGCGGTTAAAGACGTTGGAAGAAGTGTGCAATTCATAAGAGTAGAGCTTGGTGGCGGTTTGGACAGCTGCTGGCTGTATATTGGTGGCTTCCTGCTTTCTTCCTTGGCTACTATGATAATCCACAGGGTATGAACCGCGAACAAAAACGTATATTGAGACGTTCAGAAGGGGTAAGAATGTTCCAGATTGGCAAACCCGAGCGAACCACCTTCCATACAAGAAATATGCCTTACACTCAAAAGTACACATTCGGAATCGTGTACGCTAGTACGAAGCGTGCCATGACGGCTCAAGCCACAGTGTTACACGGTGGAAGTGAACATTGGCATGATTAACCAAGGTGGACTTCCCAGACGACTTCGCTCCGCATCGTTGAATCCATATTTAATCGGACTTCCAGCTTGATACATTAATGAGCAACGCAGGCGTGGTTTTGTAATAACAATTTAATTATAAAATGAGAATCAACCATATTCCCAGCGAGCGGCACTCTCAACGCCACTGTGTAACATGGCGAGCCCTAGAGTAACGTAGAGGGGCATGCTTTATGGCAAATGAAATGTAACAAAACGTTTCTGCTGGTGACCTTGAAGAATCCATCTGAGCTACCGAAGCTCTCGGGTCGCAATGCAGTCATAAAGCTGATGTTTGTCATACTGCAATGGACTCAAGTACTGTCTGTGTCATACGTAGCATCGGTCTTGGTAGAGACACTACTACCCGGGATATAGGCGTGAGAACGGCATGCCATTAGCCAGGAATATATGACACCGAGTTCAGGTCCCGTTGGAAGTGAGAAATGGCTGAGCATTTGCTGTGCAGGTTCTTCACTTGTCAATGTCGGCCTCGTCGAACGACACTTGATAGTCAGCATTTGTTCGCAATTCTATGCTGGAGGAAGAAAGCATGCAAAAAGTGCGGCCTGAATAATAGCGTACATGATCATCCCACGAACGATGATCTGGAATGACAAGCCTAGTTTACCCCTCCCTTTAGCATTCGCTGGTGCAGCTGCCGACCCAGCGACCGCGAAATACCACATAGGGTAACCAGATGATACGCGATTGATGATCTGAACGTGAAAACTCATGGCTGCAGCCAACGCAAGGGCGAGCTGCGGTAACACTAATTGAGGAAAATTGTTCGACGCGGATTCGGAGTCTGTCGATACCGTGGAAGATTTGCCGTGTGACTCACGAGCAAGACCCAAGACTTTGTTCTTGTAATCACGCAGGTGAATTATACTTGACTGAAGCAGCAACCACAACATTGGCGCAGCGAGTAGAAACAACGGTATATTTGGCAATGTCCAGTACCGGAAGAAGCCCACATTCCTGTATGGATTGAGTGAATGATTGGCATAAAGCGGATTTCGCCAAGCTTACCAGTATTTGCTTTGAACCCAAGAATAAATGCTAGGAATTGTTTTGTGGCACCAAGGTGGTGTTGCTCCAATGGCAGGATCACAATATTCCAAATACGCCACGTACTGCGGTAATACATACCCTGAAGCTAATATAACCCCAGCAATACATGTGACGGCGATGAATCTGAGTTGACTTCTGCTTATTCGTCCTTGTAGGATGCCTGGTACGCAACTGGCAACATCAGATACGTAGACAAGACCACTCAGCAAGCCATTACTCCTCACCATCGCCGCACAAGAGAACAAGAAGCCGGATGCTAGCAACGCAGCATCTTGCCTTACAGTTCGATCTGGATTCCGACTTGCTATATGTCGGCTTTGTACGTAGCAGAGCATGCCATGAAAGTTGAGAACCGCGAACATACTTTCAGCGTATGGTGCTACAAGAAACACACCAGCAGGAGAGAAAATGTGCAGAATGGAAGCCAAAAAGGAGGCTTGATTGCCATTTGGTGTGCCCATCGTTTGGTTGAGTAGGTTGAACAAACCGACTACCGCTGCCCCATGCATCAAGGTTGACGCTGCAACAAATGCCCACAAATAGGTGTTGGATGATGTCCCCTCACTTGTCGTTGCAAATACTTATGTTCTTAGTGAGTGATCTACTGAGCATCAAGGTGACTCTTACATTCTACCACCTTTCGCAGCATGTGTGAATATGCCCAGCTAAACGCCCACTCTTGCTCATGGACCTTGTTTCTTTTTGCAGCTTGAACAAAGTAAAGAGCATCCCATCGGAACAGCTTGAGAGGAATCGCCCCTAGAGTAGTTGAATGCTTGAACTTCTCGTGTCTATCGAGATTTGGATTGGTGAAGATGAGGGAGGACGTGTCATATCCAGGGCCAGGAGCTAGAGCGGTGACAGTGAACAGCAGGCATTTCCAAGCGACGAAGAGGACTAGCAGGGTTTTCAATTGAGTGTATCTATCAGGAACCCTCCAGTTGGGGGCAGCCTTTGTGGATCCCATTGCAGATGAGAACGATTAGTATACAAGGCAAATGGAGGCGTTGCGCGATAAATAGGGAGGGGCGCGTCTTGCGTTTGATTGGGCGACACGAGAGGGTGCTTCTCGGAGCGGATCATCGTCAACGCCGATGGCCCGCTCGCTTAGCGATAGCGCACCTGCGACTTTTACCCACCAGCGCCGCCGAACTTGAAATCTCTCGTCAAGTCCACCTCGTCGTCCACCCAGTATTAACCAACAGGTCAAACGGTAAGCGCAACCCTTGAATTCCACGACTCTACAGCACATCGAACACCCGTCGCTCTGTTCCAGCAATGGACCGCGATAGTCTTGAAGATGGCTAGAGCGCAGATCAGCAGCAATGCTTTTCTCGCTCTTAGAGTTGCAGTACTTTAGTGGATGAACATTCGCTAATTGTTTCTGTTCTCAATGACAGCCTCCAACGACAAGATGCCACCAAAGGGAAAGAAGACAGCGCCTGCACCCTTCCCCCAGGGTAAGGCTGGTAGCTCCAAGAAGGCCAAGGTTCGTCCACAACTTCACGCCCTGCAAAGTTTTGTCGCAATTCTTCTAACTAGCGTAGAACCCTCTCATCGAGAAGCGCCCCAAGAACTTCGGTATCGGCCAGGACATCCAGCCCCAGCGCAATGTCTCCCGTATGGTCCGATGGCCCGCCTACGTCCGCCTTCAGCGCCAGAAGAAGATCCTCAACATGCGGTTGAAGGTTCCCCCTTCCATCTCCCAGTTCCAACACGTTCTCGACCGAAACAGTAAGTTGTATATACTTCGGGTTCGGGCACACAACAGCTGACGCAAACCAGCCGCCACTTCCGCTTTCAAGCTCCTCAACAAGTACCGACCTGAGACCAAGGCCGAGAAGAAGGAGCGTCTCACCAAGGAGGCTACTGCCATCTCTGAGGGCAAGAAGAAGGAGGATGTTTCCAAGAAGCCCTACACCGCCAAGTTCGGTCTCAACCACGTTGTTGGCCTGATTGAGAACAAGAAGGCTTCCCTCGTCTTGATCGCTAACGACGTTGACCCCATTGAGTTGGTTGTCTTCCTTCCCGCTCTCTGCCGCAAGATGGGTGTCCCATACGCCATCGTCAAGGGCAAGGCCAGACTCGGTACCGTTGTTCACCAGAAGGTATGTCAATTCGGGCACTTGATGTAAGCCACCGCTAACCAGTTCAGACTGCTGCCGTTCTCGCCTTGACCGAGGTCCGCTCCGAGGACAAGAACGAGCTCTCCAAGCTCAACTCCGCCATCAACGACGGTTACCTCGAGAAGCACAAGGAGGCTATCCGCCACTGGGGAGGTGGTATCATGGGTGCCAAGGCCAACGCTCGCATGGAGAAGCGCAGAAAAGCTCTCGAGAGCGCCATCAAGATCTAAGTAGCTTATGGCTCGGAATGGTGAATGAATATGGCGTGTCTCTTATCTCTGCATGTAGCGGCCTCGGAGCAATACCACGGAGTTTAGGACGGCCAAAAACTGCTTTTATTTTTCTTGGGCTGGGATCAATCATGAATCTTGTAACGATCACATACGAATTGTGCAGTCCCCGTGCAGGAGCAAATCCCAAGCTAATGAATGAGTAAGCCGCTAGTGGGGGTCAAATGTCAGATTAGTTATGCACCCGCCCCACCATGCTGTCCCCACTACCTTCCATACGTGGTAGCCCTAACACGTACCTGTACTTATATATGCTTCCGATTCTCGGTCTCATCGTTCCTCGTGCTACGCCATTGAGATTGCTCACCATCAGCTACTGCCTACCATGCCTTTGACGGTGCTCTCAGATACAGATGTCAGCAAGGTGCTGCATAGTTTCACCAAGCAGGATGTCCTGGATATGCAACAGAGTCTGGCCGATGCAATGCACTACTACTCAACAGCGATTGAGGAAGACTCGAATGGATGCGGTTCCTCATATCAGCCTCTCCGCACATCTCTTAAACGTAGTGACGGGCAAACTACTCTCTTCATGCCGGCCTCCAGCAATGACGGGCTCGGGGTTAAGATAGTAACCCTTGCAGTTCCCGAATCGGAGAAGAAGGGTTCCTCCAATGCACCGCCTGAGGCAACTGGCTCTGGCGCCGCATCGCTCGCATCATTTGATTCGTTGTCGCTGTCACAGGCTTCTTCGTCGTCTACATTCGATGGCCCGCCTGCCTCGACTACCAGTTCTCAATCTACGACGCCAAAGGGCAGTATAACCCTCTTGGATCGCGAGGGGGCGCCGAGAGCATTGATGAATGCGGAAGAAATCACGGCATTTCGAACGGCGCTGGCCAGTACAATGCTGTTTAAGAAGCGGCAGAATGTGCACGATGTGTTGGTGTTTGGAGCAGGCAAGCAAGCTTACTGGTAATAAACATTTGCACCCCTGCTCGAGGCCTGGTGCTGACAGCATGTTCTATAGGCACATTCGACTTGCTTTATTACTGCGAGGTTCCGAAGTTCACCATCTGAATATTATCAATCGGAGTTTCCATCGAGCACAAGAGTTGATTGAAACACTTCATAAGTCACCGGTCGGCGATGGTCAGACACTTCCGATACCTAAGATACAGATCATAACCCATGGTCACCGCGAGTATAATCGTCTTCTGAAAGCAACAGTCCGAGAATCCAGCGTCATATTCTGTACAACACCCTCAATCACACCTCTATTCCCTGCTTCCTACCTTACAAACCCAGAAGGCCGTAAGAAGGGGAGGTATGTTTCGGCGATCGGGAGCTACAAGCCGCATATGATGGAAATTCATCCAGATATTCTAAAGCAAAATGTGGCACCTGATCACGGACGCCATCATCACAAGCATGCGACAGAGGGTGGCGCGATCATTGTTGATAGTGTTGAGGCTTGTCTCAAAGAAGCTGGTGAAATCATACAAGCAGGCCTCACTGGGAACGAATTGGTTGAAGTTGGAGAGTTGATTATGTTGCGAAAGGAAGCAGAGAGAAAACGCAAAGAATGCCAGGCGCGCCAAAGCATGGAGGGTCTGGATGCTGGAGGTGTCGAACTTGGCGAATGCGAACAGCGGAAGAAGCGGCGGGGTAAGAAAGAAGAGACTGATGGAGGGTTGATGGAGTGGTTGCAAAAGGGTAACGTGATATACAAAAGCGTAGGATTGGGTCTTATGGACGTTGTGGTTGGAACAGACTTGGTGCGGCTGGCAGACGAGCGTGGAATAGGAACACGCATCGAAAATTTCTAAGGCGTGAGCGCTTAGCATGAATATATACGAATGACCGAAAATCCCTTGGAGGTTTTCCCCTAGTCTATGGAGGGTAATTGATACTGTGACTATATTTGTAGGATTGATACGCCGCGACAGTAGAACCTTATTCGTCACCAAAAAGAAAAAAAGACAGCAGTGGGCGTTCATAGATGAATCACAAGCGTGACCCGACCTAGTTAGCCCTCCACATATGGCGTAACTATTGAGGCCGAGAACCCACGATAGACGCTCAAGCACGCCAAGATCCCACTCCACAATCCCCAAACCACGAGCATCCGTCATTATCCGTACGTCGTACTCTGAGTCAAACTCACAACCATTCCCAACATCTCCTCCATCAGTCTCTTAAAACATGTCGCCACGTCTCCCATTACCCAAAACAACCATAACGAAAACACTCACCTCCTTCCGCCCAAAACCTCTTCTCCTACGCTTCAGCATGTCCACCATCACCCCCAGCATGTACAACAACAAAACTTTCCGACCAGCCTCGAACTCCTCAAACGGCGAAGTCGACAACACCACGCGCTTCCATTACCACCAGGACGGTTCTATTGTCTGGGCTGAGTACGCTGGTGGTTCTATTACCAAGGGTTTACTGATTGCTACTGTTGCGGAGAATGGAAATTTAGATATGCGGTATCATCATGTCAATACTGAGGGTGAACTCATGACGGGGAAGTGCATTTCTATTCCTGAGATTCTGAGGGATGGGCGGTTGAGGTTGAAGGAGACGTGGCAGTGGACTAGTGGGGATGGGTCGAAGGGGGAGTCGGTATTAGAGGAGGTTAGGGAGTAGTATATTTGTATAAAGGTAGTTTTATCTCTTCAATTGGGAGGCAGGAAGGCTGATTTTTTTTAAAGCTGATTTGTTCTCCTACCTGTTTCTGTGACTTTTTGTCACACTTCTCATAGCGGAGGAGAGCATGTGGGAGAGGGAGTCTTGTTCCATTCGGTGTGAAAATTTGCCATGGCTTGGTTTTGTAGCCTAATTCATCCGCTTTCGTAGGCTAGCTGAGAATTCGAATGAATCCTCATTTGCAATAATCGAAGTTGTTGTAGGTCGACTCGAAGCGGAAGATGTGTCAAATCATATACTGATTCGTTGATGGACCAGTCCTCATGAGATTGCACAGTGCGACGCTAGAATTTCGAGCAGCTTTCAAGGTGTGAAAACAGCGATTGGAAATTTTGGAGACGGCAGTATTATTCTATATAAGGCTTTTGATAGACATAATGTTGAATTGTGATGCAGAGATACTGGGAACAGTTCACTGCTACCTTCAACCAACATCCACTAGCTCCCACTGTTGGAAGAGAAGGGCAAAAAAAAAACGAATAGCGGAACAACATGTCGCAGTATGAATCAAGAAGACAATGGCATGTATACTGCACGATATGACACAACAAAAGATATGGAGCCAAAGCACAATGGTATATGACGTGAAATTAGCCAAGCCAGGTAATCCTTGTATGAACGTCGAGCAGTAGCCGTGATGGGGGCCGTTCTCTTACTCCCGCTCAATCCCTCCACGCCCCACGCCCTGTTCCACTCATCGGGACAAGACCTTAGCGGCTTCTATAACGCTTTCGGACACACCATCTCTAGACAGGTAAACTTTGGTTACCATCAATCCAGCCTTCTCTATAAGGTCACGCCAAGTCTGCTCGGACCTCTCAGCTACGCCGCACAATGCCATCATATTCACATCCTGTATGGAAACCCATTGGCCTGCTCCCTTTTCAGGCATAATCTGCTCATGTATCAATAGCACTGAGTATTCGGGCTTCATAGCGTCTCCTAGATGGCGAAGGACCTTTACGCATTCATCGTCCGGCCAGTTGTGAAGGCATTGGCGGATATAGTAAGACTTTGCCTCTGAGCAAGTGTCAGCCAACGTTCCTTTTCCTTTTCTTTTTTCTCGAGAACGCGAGTTGAGATTCTTCTGACCTTTGATGGGCTGTTCGGTGAAGAAGTCGTGTACTTGGAATTCCAACCCCTCAGCCGGCGGTGCTCGATCAATAGATGAGGGAAGGTCTTGCACAATAATTTTGCCAGGAATCTGGGGAAAATCTTTCTTCAGTGCCATCGCCCTCTGCCCGTATCCACCGCCAACATCGACAAACATGACTGGACTGATGTTCTCTTCGAAGGTATCTACCAATTTCTCCGTTACAGGGTAGAGATGCTGCAACATTGCGTGTCCCTCCCCCCAACTACTCATGAGCATTCCAAACCCCTGGCCAGCCTTTGGATTCTGCATTAAAATGCCAATTAAGTCCGTATCGGGGCGATCGAATGCCCTCTGCACAGCAGTGTTTTTTGGGTCGGTCGGGTTTTGGTAGTTATTAGATCTGAGTAGGCCTGGGAGAGCCTGATAGGTAGCATCGAGGAATTCGGAACTGTTTGGGTGAGAAACTTCATTCTGCAAAGGATGTACTTAGACCTTTGTCAAGCACTCACCAATTCAAGACTGCTCTTCCGAAGTCGGGTTTGGCAAGACTCAAGTAAGATGGTGCGAGTGTGTATGACTCAGAAGAAACTTGTTTGACGGCGCCAAATGCTGCCAGACTACTCATAATACGTTCTGTAGAGTTGCTCAGTATTCGTTTAAGGGGTGCGTGATTGGGTATGGGCGTCTGTCTACTCAATAGGAGACTGTCGGCGCCAGTTGATTCAACCAGCGAGGCCAGGGAATGAGGCGCAGTGTCGGCTTTTGCAATCTTGGAGAACAGCTCCAGGTCAAGTGCGATCTTTACCAATGTTCTTTCTACCGGATGCGAAAGCAGTAATCGAATCACAGTCTCTGTGGGTTGCTCCAGAGCGAGCGAGGCCTTTTTGCTTGCCTCATATAGTTTGACGCGAAGGTCTGTATCTATATCAGTCGGTGGTGCTACTGCAATAGCTTCCAGTGCAGCAAGGAGATTCTCGGGGGATATATCGGCCATATTGAGCAAGTGATTGATCGATGTTTTGAAGGTTCAAGCACGAAACAAATTACAATATCAGAAGTCGATGTCGACGAAGGCTGGTTTACATGAGTGGGTATATAGATACCTAGGTAGATACGCTATGGCGTCACAGATTTTATTATCTTGTATAGTAACCGTGCCACATAGCTACCTACTTACACGTTCAGTCCAGCCAACTTTGCAGACAAAGAAAAACAAGGCTGTTTACACCCCCGCTTTCCTTGCAACGCAGATCAGCTTGCCCCGCTGTATGACAGCACCTTGTTTGCATTCACCATGTGACTGACGGATAAGGTCATGGTTTTTCTCTGCTTGGGCATCATCCTGCAAACTGATTGTGGTGAACTCCTCGATGGTTGTCAGCCACCTAGGTAAGTCAGCCTAGGGAGTTAGGCTGCCACCGGCTGAACTTTGCACTCACATCTCGTACAAGCATCCCAACAGATGCAGCAGATCGTGGTGGGTATTCATGTGCGCGTCGACAACGCCGTGTTGTTGCAGTCGTTTAGGCAAGTTGACCAACCACCTGAAATGCAACGACCTTGCTCAAGCGGTCAGGGCGTCTGCACTCAGCATCTGCAACATGTTCTTTGCCCTCCATCAACCGCAGTTTTATGCAGAGAGACAAGTAAAGTTGCCTAATCTTCAGATCATTTAGCAACCTCGTATTGCCTTTCTTCTTGTGTACATATGCTTTCTCTAAACATTGCTCAAGGACCGTCGCACCGCTTCAAATATAATGAGTTTTGGCATCAGAACTATATCTGAGACGGAAGTACATGCATTTGAAACAGAAGGTGGTTGACACCGTTTTGTTTTTGGGCAATACTCGTCAATTTGAGCTTGCATATTAACAACGCTCTACGATATGAGAGTATAAATTCAAATTGCTTTATTCCGTCCGCCGAACTAAGAGAAGAAGTCTCATGATGTACCATCGTCCAGATGTCCCTTCGTACCCACTGGGCCCAAACAAAGGATACTGCCACCAAACCAACCAAAGTCTCTACCACACTATATACTTTCTCACACCTAAATTTCCTTCTCGTCTTCTCTCATTCGCAATCCCTTGTTCTACCATCTATCATCCACAAGTGACCATCAAGCCAATCGATCTAGCACATCACCCCACAAACCAACCAACTACAAACCCAATCATCATTCCACATTCCCTCCCAGCGAAGAGAGAGAGGAAGGAAGGATGAAGGGCGAGTCAAAGCCAGTGAACAGATAGATGGATGTAGATCGCTGGCGACAGTTAACAAAGCAGAGAAAACGGGCTCAAAGTACATGCGAAATTTAGAGGTGGACGACAAAAGAGATTAGAGAGCGACGAAAGTGTACATGTAGGAGCACTAGCGGGTGGTAGCGATCCTGACCCAATAGAATGAAGGGTACAAAGGAGAGAAAATGCAGCGAATAGTCGAAGGGAAGGAAATACAAATAGAGGTATGGGATACAGGAAGCAGGCAAACAACCCCCAATGGGTGGGTACTAGAACAAGAAAGAAGCTTGTACACAAAACTCCTCTCGTTACCTGAATACCCATGAAATAAAGAAGAGAAAACAATCTTAAACCCTTTCCCAAACGCAGAAGAGCTAAACAAAAAACTCCTTACAAATGTGTGGATGCGTTTCGAGGATGATGCATATTGTGGGAAGAAGCCAGATGAACAAGGGGGGAACAAAAAATGACCAAGCCCCGATTCCCATGATTTTGCTGCGGAACAAACCATCAAAGAAAAACGCCGTCCCCTAAAAGGCACTGAAACACTTAGGTCCGACCATCCTCATGTCTAAAAGACACCGACCCTGCCAAGGTCAGCTGTGAATTCCCTGTCACCAGTATCTTCGAATCCCTCCCAGGGCAAGTCATCATCCGCGCTCTCCTCATCTTCGTGGAAGCTCTGGATCGTAACTTTCTTTCCCTTCTTCTTATCGTTGTTTCCTGCCTGCTGCTCTTCGGCCTCTTTTCGCACACGTTCTGTGACGTCTTCGACAAACTGCTCAGTTATGTCTTCCTCCTTTTGTCCCTCGAGCACGTCGTGGAGGTTGTAAATATGTTCGTCTTTGGCTTTGATTTTGACGAGCAGCTCGGCGATATTTTGCTCTATGCTGACACGTTTCCTGCGACCTAGGCTTGGATCGTGGGCTTCGAGCATCGCGCGCATGACTGCAAGATCAATGTGAAGATGAGCGCGCTCATCGCACAATCCTTTAACGACTAGAGCGAGGGCCTCTGCGGGTGATCGAGCAGGTCGAAGGGTTGCGTCGACATCATCAGGCATACGTGACGAGACCGGCGTAAGCTTCGGAACACGTAGGGGTTCTGCCGAATCGTCGGGCGCGTTTTGGCGGCATACAGTGCAGTTGTCGTTGTCGTGGCTCTTGCTATGAATTTTCTGAGACAGATCTATCTTGAGAGGAACCTGCTTGCGGGAGTCAATCTTCAAGTCCGGGACAATGAATGCGGACGTCATCTCGGTAGGAGCGCTCCGGCGGCGACGACCAGTATTGCTCGACATAGATGCATCAATGAGCGCATCCCTCGCATTCGATACATCGGCATCAGTGTTATCAATGTTTGATATGTTGCCTGTGAGTTCTTCCTCGAATTGTGTGCCATTTGTCTTGGTGTTGGTTGTGTCCTTCATAGATGATTTCCGTGGTACAGACGATTGGCGAACACTCTTCTCAGACAGGATAGAGCGAATGGTATCTTCACGGGGCTGTCGTCCAGATCGCTGTGTGTTATCGAATGCTTCGCGTTCGGATCGAACTGTATTTCGCTCGAGAGGAACAGACACGGCACGTCCCCGGGCAGCAAGACGTTCTTCCTCCAATTGTCGCCGGAGACGAGCTATGTCGGAGCTGTCGATCCAGCTCAACTGCGTAAAATCCAGATCAGGGGGGGCTTGGACATTTGCGGCAGGCTTTCCGGAAGCAGCACCGCTCATGGAGTAAGACAAATCTCTATGGCGCGGTGCAAGAGAGATATCCGTAGTAGATTCCACTTCGCTTTCAACCTCTGCAGTCTGCCGAGGAACAGGAGACGACACGCTGCGGGTATAGCCAGTAGGCAAGGAAACTCGCGAATTGTCCGTGTAGGATTTTCTCGGAATTTTGTTGGATCGGCTGCTCTGGGAAGGGACATTAACCCTGCGGATGCGTGATTCTTCTTGGGTGCCGCTCCATACACGAGCATGCGAATCTTCTTCTCGTCGTCTACTAGCATTCTTCTCTTTGGCAGTGGCTGCAACGTGAGCATTCGTTTGTTGGTTGCTCGGTTGACGAATGCTGAGGATCTCGCGGGTCATGTCAGAAACCTCTTTGGCATTGTTCACTTGTCGGCTCAACGTTTTCTCCTTCTGTAGCCAACGTTGCAGATCCTTTTCGTGCTGCGCAGTCAGCTCGGCAAGCTCTTGTCGAAGTTGGTCGTTGTCATGTCGTATAGCTTCACTCGTATGCTCCTGTGTCATGTCTCGGAAATGACGGATAGTTTCATCTCGTCGCTCGACCCTAGCTTTCATAGCTGCCTCGTTTTCTGCCCATTGACGAAGATCATTCTCGCGCTTAGCTTTGAGGTTTTTCAACTGTGCTTTGAGCGCGTCATGATCTGCTTTCAGCCTTGCGTGTTCCGCTTGCTCTTGACGAGCCTTCTGCAATTCCATGTCCTTTCGATTGAGCTGTTGGGTATTTTCGTCATGGTCTGCACGCACTCGAGCTAGTTCTGCTTGAAGATTGAGGTTCTGTCGTCGGGTAGCGTTGTCAGTCTGATCGGCTTGGCGACGTAGTTGATCGTGCTGAGATCGCACACGGCTCAATTCGGCTTGTAGAGTAGCATTTTGTTGCTGAGTTGCATTTTCGGTTTGGTCTGCTTGCCGGCGTAGCTGAACTGTTTCCTCGCGGTATTGTGCCATCTCTTCATCCATTTGCTCATGGAGAGCGTCGATCTCTACGCGAAGAGAATCGTTTTCCTCCCGAAGCTGTTCGTTTTCGGAGTCCAATACCCCCTTCTCGGCCTTAAGCTCCTCGCAGGTCTGGAAAGCAACACCAAGTTGACTTGCCATATTGTCGCGTTCGGCGCTAAGACGCTTTTTCTCGATCTCGACGACAGAGATCTTGCGTTCGGTGCGGTCAAGCTTCGTGCGTAGTGTTGTCACAGTGGCCTCAAGTCCTAACTGACATTAGCAAGTTGCGTGGAGTCTATGCGATCGGTACTCACGGCTCTTTTCAATTTTCCACGAGCTCCTGCCCGAGCTTTCGCCATCAGTGGAGCCCAACGCGCTATCAGTTTGCCTTCTAGCTTCTTGCGCTTCGACCATAGCCCTCAAACGATCGATTTCTTGCGCCCGCTCCTCCATTTTTAGGTCCGTCTCGGCGCGCTCGTGCTCCATCTCGGCTACCTTGTCTTGCAACAATTGCAGCGCCGAAAATATAGCCTTCTCCTCTGAGGGCAAAGCAACACCATTGATCTTATTAAAATTAGATGGGCGCCCATTGTCGTTGTTGTTATTCGCGAAACGCGTTCGTGCAGCCGCGTCTTTGGAAAACACAGGAGTGCCGTCAGCGAAAACTCCAGATACAAGCTCAGTCAGGTTAGGAAGATCTGGTAGCACAAAAGACTGCGCTGTCGGGTTGTGGGTGGCAGTTCCTGGGCGTGACCTGGGGGTCCGCATCGCGCTTGAGGAATTGTCGACCATACCATCCACCTGCGGAGCATTATTGCGGTTACGAGCATTGCCCCATCGTGAGCTCTTGCTGTGCGAGATCGTTGCGTCAGGACGTACGTCGAACAATGAGGACTCTTCCTCGGACAGCTTCGCGTGTACTTGGGCGAGGGACGCGTGTCGGCGCTCTTTCCCAGACACAGCTGGCGAATGACGAGTACTTGCTGGGCGCGGCGAGGCGGTCATATCCAAATGACCTTTTGAAGCGCGTCGAAGTTGTGCGTCGCGCCTCAAACTCCCTGTTTCTGGGCCTAACGATCTGCGCGAGCGGCTGCTCAATGGAGTCATGTGGTAGAGGCTATCTTTGGTAGGTGTGTTCCGGTTGCTACGTTGATTCCCGCGAGCCGCCTCGACCGATACATCTTCATCGTCCGAGATGCTCTGGCCATCGAAATCGCCGAATTCCTTATTCACCATCGAGGTGTCTGGGTTGAGAGGTTCCGAATGCACGGGTTGCCAGCTAGTGTTCTTTTTTGCTGTGGAGCGAATCTTGGAATACACAGGGAGGTTTGCATTCGTGTCTGTTTCTCCGAAATCGTTGAATTGTGTTGACGCAAGCACATCATCGTTGAACCAACTGCCTCCACTCAAGTTTTTTGTGGGGTTCGACTCGGTGCTTGGGTTTTCGACTGATGAAATGGAACGCGCGCTGAGGTTTCGGGAGGCGGAAAGCTCGCGAATAGCACGCGCTTTCCCGTCCATACTCTGTGGCGGTGAGGACTGCATTGCACCCAAGGCAGGCTGTTGACAGCCAGACTGTGTGTGCGCGTCGCGTCGGTGGTGTACGTAGGTATAGAGTAATAGTAAAAGATGCCGTGTCTAAGTGTGCAGCACCAAAGAACTATGACACGTAAAAGCTATGCAAGCCAGGGACAATTGGGCGGCCAGGTTGAGCTTTGGAAGGTGCAATGTGGGATGAGTTAAAGATGGGTCGTGATGGTGGGAAAGATACAATAACATCGGAAGTAAACAGTCAACTTTGCCGATCACGCTAGGCCGCATGCACACCTAGCTCTCAACGTCATGAGAGCGTGAGAGCCAATCACCAGCCACTTGCTTTTCACTCATAATACGTCAAGGATTTGATTGTTGTACAGGTTCTCATGATAGAGTTAGTGTGTAGAGTTGCATAGAATTTGAAATAAAACGTATGTTCTGTCCTCATGTGGTCTCCCAATTCACTCTCCTCAAGCATAGCTTCTCCCTACCCATCAATAGCCATACGACTGCTAGATGACAGACCAACAGCATCAAACTACCCCCAATTCCTTCCACGTGTCTTCCTCTCCCGCCAAATGCGAGGCCGCCAAAACCCAGGAAGTCCAAGGAAGCAAAACAGAGTAGCGGATAAGCAACCCAGGGATCTGCTGCAAATGGCTGGCACGGTGCTAGCAGAGAGAATACTTTGATAATGAACATCGATACTTGTACTGCCCGCTGAAAGGCAGGGTTGCGTAGTGTATTCCAGAATCTGGCATTCGGTGCAGGCTGTGGGGGTGGAGGCAGCATTAAGCGCGGCGAGCGCTGAGGTGAAGATGGCTGATACTCGGCGACTTGCGGCGCTGGCAAATCCATGCTATCCAGCTTGCGCGGATGCAGGATGACAGAGCCCTCTGGTGACAGTTCCCTGTCTGTAGGCACTGGAGTAGATGGACTGGGCGACCTGTGATCGCTTACTGAAACACCATCACTCAGCTTAGAGCGACCTGGACGGGTGTAATGAGTTGAACCTCGATGCCGATGTTTCAATGTCGGGCCCGGAGGTGGTGTCTCCACCCTAGATATTCGAGGCTCAAAATCGTCCAGAGCTGAAGGTGCGTTGAATCCACTGAACTCATCCAGCACGGAGGTCGATTTCAAAGCCGTCATAATCTCCTCGGTCGTCGGTCGGTCTACAGGGTTCAAAGCCAACAGATGCTTGAGAGATCCATATAGCTTCTCGGGAAGATCCGTTCGTACTCGCCGCTCATGGTCAAACCCTGCCCATGAAGCAATCTCAGCCCGGAGCTTATCCAAGTCTTCGTTGTCCTCATCGATACCATCGGCCTCCACATAAGGTAGTCGCCCGAAACACATGAAATAAACAATCATCCCTAGAGAGAAGATGTCGGATTTAGTCGTGAAGTTGCCCAACGGCCCACCAGGGCTGACATGCTGCAGCACTTCGGGTGCGCAATAAGATATGGTACCGGTAGCTCCAGTGCTCTTTCTTGCCACATTTGCGACTTGTACCTCCCCAAAGTCACTCACCAACACTCTGACTTTACGTCCCGTATTGTGCAGCAAACAGTTGCTAGGTTTCAAATCCCGATGTATGTATCCATTGGCGTGCAAATGATTCAATCCAGAGGTGATGTCTTTGAAGAACGATATGATATCCTCAAAATGCATCTTGCGTGGTCCGTTCAGATTATCGGGTGTTTCCATTTGTCCTTTCGATCGTCTTCTCAGCCGCTCTTTCAGCTGCTCTGTAGTCATCGTCTGTTTCATGTTGCCGAGAACATAGCTTTGCAAGTCGCCTCCATTGCAATATTGCTGCATGATAAAAGCGCAGGGAACGCTTGGTCCAAATGTAGATATTTGGTAATCCTCCAGCCAGACGTGCCGATATGAGACTAGGTTCTGATGCGAGAGATTTTGCAGCAGTTGCACCTCAATCAACACCTTCTCCAACCATTCGTGATCATCACCAACTGGAACTCGTTTGCAGGCAAACGAGCCCAAATTGACACCATCGAGTACGTGTCGCACAAGCAGCACTACGCCCTTCCCTCCTCGGCCCAATTCCCTCTCCTCCACGAAAAAGGTTTTGAAGTAACCTGGGCTGAATGCTCTCGCAGAAATACCGTGAGATCTCCTAGGGTTTGGCTCACTGCCCATAAATTCGGCGTCTTCAGATATGTCTTCCTCGCCGACATTCCTAGCACCGCCTGTTGTTCCGCCAGTACCACCGATGGAGCGTGTAGTAGGCGCCGCAAGCTGTTTGTGTGGGGAAGTCGACCGAGAGATTTCCGTAGAGCCTGGCTGGCTCCTCCGCAGCATTTCAAAGTAGCTGGGGTTGACAAAGCCTGGGTCTGCATCTTGGAAGCCGTTATGCTCGTGTTCGTCGGAATCGGAAGCATCCTGAGAAGGTTCACGGTAGGGGCGCTTGCAGTATGGGCAAGAAGATTGTTCGACGGCATCATGCGAAGTAGCGCGCAGGGAGAGTTGTCTCGAGCGCTGGTCGTACACTACAACTGCAGAGCCATGACGGCTGCGCTCAGTCAGCGACCAGTGTGTAATTATTGGAATGTGTGGGGAGAAAGGAAACACAACTCACAGCACAATCTCTCGCGACTCGGCGGGCACGTATGGCACCAGCGACATGCCGCGCTCATCCATGGTTGCGTGAGGTGCGAGAGCTTCTGCTACTAGGCATGCACCCAACCGTGAGCAACGGCGGGGAAGGGGAAGCGGGGTGCCGCAACAGCTTCGGCGTGCAAAGTAGAATTGAACGTGTCCGACTCTGCGCTGCGTTGGAGTTGGTGGTGATGGCGCATGGCTTCATTGGGTCACCGTAAGTGCCCTGTTTGTTTGTTTGTTGTTGTCATCAAGGGGTGGAGTGAAGGCAGGGAAGTGCGTTCGAGAGATACGAGCATGGTGTACTGTGCAGCCCGATCAGGCGACTGGGGGGTGCGTGCCAGTGCGCACCGCCCAACCTGGAATGCGCAGACAGGAATAGCTCATCTCACGATCGTTAGAATCCAATCCCTTAAATTGATACAATATTGGCGAAAAATACCTCCTTGCTAAGTTTTTTTTTTTTATTGGAAGTTACAGTGTTTCCTACACTTAAAGAGGCTGATAAAAATTATTTAACAAAAAGTAGGCAGGTAACAAAAAGCTTCAAAAAAAGGAGTTTTGCTTTCAGCACCAGAGGCCAGGGATGCAATACACGAATACCTCCTTGCTTTTGATATATCCATATACAATGTTTCAGACCTTTTCACGATTGCGAAGTCTTTCCGCCTAAGAGACACGAATCTGCTCTCTTGTCTTACTCCGTTACATAAACCTCCTCACATATGCTTCCGATTTCTGTTCCAACTAAGATTTCCTTGTTATCGATACGCTTAAGGCTACACACATTCTTCGTAGTAGATCCTCGAAAGTTGCAATCGCATCTATGTATCTCGTGGTCGTTGTCAGCACCTAGGATCATAACATACACCCACTTGCTCAGTTCTCATAGCGGCGCTATAGGTATTCTTGTCCCTTCTGGCAACATCACAGAAGGTATCGAACTATCTTGTTGCACCTGGTCTGCATAATCCTCGAGGTCCCTCGTCCGGTCGCACATGTCCATGGTTGGATACTGGATCGATCGTCTTCTGCGTCCTGTGGCTGATAACCGTTGCCGATATTCAGGACTCCTGGCAGCTATGCCGTCCAGAGCCAGCGCACTGATACCACCCATCCCAATCTTCTTCCACTCTTCGAAATACAATATGGCCGTGTGTCTTTGGCTCTGCTTGGGGGCATGCAGCGCTACCAGATAAAGCGGTGCTGCCAGCCGCATGTATGCGCACCCGATTTTAAAGGCTCGAAGGAAAGCTGATGCATCCAAAACCTTTTGGAAGTGATCTGTGAAGTCGAGGTAGCTGACGGTGAGGTGTGGGGCGAGAATGTGGAACAGGTTGTGTGCGGTTGCGAAGAACGCGATGCTGAGTGCTGTGAAAGGACTGTGATACATGGTAGCTCCTTGTTCGTTTTCCCACTGGATTGTTCGCCCTTTTGTCTCGTAGGTCTCTCTAAACTCTTGCCACAGCTCGTCGATGCCGTTCTTAACTTCCATATATATCTCCAGATTCAGCGCATGGGCTTGGTTCGCTTTGCCTTCATCGATACCGATATAAATCTCGGATAAACGCGTGATGAAGGTGACCAATCGTTGGAAAATGGGTATCTTCTCGTAGAAGAGATTTTCCCTGAGTACCAGTTCCACGGGAACAAGTTCGTCTTCTTTCTTATGAGTGGTGAGGTACACAAATGCCATTTGTGTTCGGATGTGAAAATAAAGCTGACACAGGATGCCGTACTGGCAATACTCTGGTCCAGCTAACTGAATCATCCTCGCAGCACCGCTGACATGCTCGCGATATGCTGTTGCCGATGTGGCGTTCATGGCCTCAAAGATGCTCAAAAGAACAGACGTCGAAACTGTGTGCAAAGTGACAGGCTTCTTCGATCGAATCATCCGACTGTGTGTTTGCAAAGCTTTCCCGTAGATATTGCAGGAGTCTTGAATCTGAGATATATTCCGAGTCTTCATACCGCTGAATGCAGATGCTGTAGCATACAGTGCGAGCGCAAGCGCATCGTTGCTCCCATCTGTCGCTAAGACAGGTAGTCGATGAAGCCAGGTTAACCGATTCAGGATATCATCGCTTTCTCCGCTAGAAGTAAAGTAGACGAGAAACCTATCGTAGAATAATTGGCTCATAGCGTGTCGTTGGGAAATAGGCATAGCAAGTCCTTGTCTGAGCTCTGGCAGATAGTACATAGACATGTCAGATTGAACTTCGACCCCTTCTTGAGTTTTTTTGCTATTTCTTGACTTTCTAACGTTTGGTTTGGTCATGTCGATGATGATGGGACCGTTTCCGGGCCCGGGGCACTGCCGTCCGAATTTGATACACATGAGGCATTCTGGGAGAGTAGCATCGCATTTGATTCGTTTCTTACGACAAGTCGCACATGCATTCGTTCGTGGTGGCATGTTTGATTGACGAGTGAAAAGCACACAATGAAGTGGAAGCTTCAAGTGTGTCCTCATGAGGTATCCAAAGTCTGAGACGAGGCTGATGTTGGATTAGTCAGCTCGTCCAACCGTGTATCGTGGATCCTGGATTCTTCGTTTGACAATACACGCGTGAATGCTACAAGATAATCTGGCCCTCAACTCAGGAAAGACTTCCTCCGTTTTATATTTTGAAACTAGAATGTATGAGCGTTTGAATATATTGACGTCTGCAGTCTTCTATCACGTGATCATCAATCGACCTGGAAGTTCAAATGTTCATGAACGCGTTATGGTAGGGGGATAGCAAAGTCTGCTCAGGTTGGTAGCCAATATCATCACACTTTAATAGATTTCCAAGCATTCAAGGGTTGCACGCGCCTGCAAGTTCGAATGCGTAGTGCATGGATGCTCGTTCATCGGATACCGATACCTCAACCTTGGAAGTGCTGCATGCGCCCCCACACCACAATTGAAAGAACAGTCAGTACATACATGATATTCAACGACTTTGCAATCGCACACACCACTTAAACCTTACGCTAATTGACGTTTTGTGACCAAACAGTCAGGTCAGGGACATGCAAGCGGAACTATAGTACTTGGCCAATGAGAGGAAAGCGAGCATTGCAGTGAGGGGAATACACCGCGCTAGCCTCATCCAGAACAAAAACGACATGCGTCCCAAGTAAGATCTCATCGTGTAGGGCGGACGCTATCGATTCCAGACCAGTTGAGTCATGGAGTTGAAAGCTGTTTGCTCCACTCACAGGCACTGAAATTCGATAAACCCAGGCTGAAGAAAAGTATATAAAGGGTTCAAATCAAACACATTATCCTCATAACAATACTTCATTCCACCATACTCTATCTTTACTCAAACGCTCAATTCCCAGCATTATGGTTTCAACGGAAGAATCAGAGGTCCCATCAGACCTAAAGTCCCGCATGCAGGCAACATACGATACCATTGCAGTTGCCTATAACGACGCTCTTGCGGACGAAAACGACCAGATCCGCAGAAAATACACATCGCAACTCATCGATCTTCTGCAACAAAGCTCCATCAAGGAAGCCTCTATCCTAGAACTTGGATGTGGCGCCGGTGTACCGGGGACAAGCACTCTTCTCGAATCGCAGAACCCTGAGATTCACGTCATCGGCAACGACTTTTCATCCGGTCAGCTTGATCTCGCACACCAGCGTCTCCAAAGCTTTGAAGATGCAGGACAGCTGGAGTTAAGGCAGGGTGACATGATGGCTCTTGATTTCCCTCCAGCATCTTTCGATGCTGTTGTTGGGTTTTACTCGATCATCCATCTTCCGCGCGCTGAACAGACAGAGCTCCTAGGGCGTATTGTGAAGTGGTTGAAGCCAGGTGGTTATCTCCTAGCAAACTTTTCCAAGGAGGAATTTTCCAATAGAGTGAACACACAGTGGTTGGGCCAGAAGAAGGGATGGGCGTACTGGAGTGGGTGGGGCGAGGAAGGAAGTGCGAAGATGGTGGAGGAGGCTGGATTGACGATTGTTGTAAGAGAGATTTCGGACTGCGAGAACGATGCAATGTTTCTGTGGATCATTGCGAAGAAGCTTTGAACCACACATACACGTGTGTTGTTGGGTAGATTGTTGGCGCACAATCTATCGTAACACACATTAGTGTAGTCAAAGTTGCACATTTACGCACTCGAACAAGTCATCAAGAAGTTATATGGTATCTGGTCAGAATATCAGGTAGTTATCATTGCTATTGTCTAGTCGGACGAGAACATATCAACGATTTTGAACTGGTTCACTCTAGGGTGACGAAGCGTATTTGCTCTGTTACTTCACAAAACAGAATATTCATATCTATGCCATCATATTCATATACATTTACGTTCTACCGACTATCTCGGTCACGCTTGTTCTTCACGAAATCTCTGCTGTCAAAAAGTGAGTACAAATGAGTGCGACTATTCAAGGGTAATTCGCGGCTACCCTTATTAATGCCACTAGTCATCCACTGGTAGATGCAACTAGTGCAGAAGATGTGCTTGCAACTCTTCGAAAGATTAGGCTGCCTTCTTTCCATATATACGCCGAGTTTTGAAAGGTGCAATTTCATATTCATCCACGCATATTTGCGATGTGTCTTTTCATGTCGAGGAGTTGAACGCTGCCTGGGCACTCAGTTTTCGCTGGAGTGATTAACACCATGCTTGCATGTGGCATCAATGAATTTCAAAGATCTCATCTATACCATAATAAATGCACTCACTTGTTGTTTACTTACCTTCATATTTCTAAGCTTCCCTAAAGGTGCCTGGTATGGGAAGGTGCAGCTTAACTGCTTAGGCAGTTGCACGTATGTTTGACAGGCAACGCCTCTCACTATCTTCGCGTTAATGTTTGTCTTCTTCAAGATTCTTTCAGAAACATCGAATAGGTGATGAATTTCGCTACCAGACAGGGCATTCCGTCCACTTCAAGAGATTCGCGCATCGGTATCATCGCTCAGATCGCTCCCTCCATGAAGACATTTAGCTCCTCTTGCGTTCAATACCCCATCATTGAACCTCACTCATTTTTGAGTCATGTGCGATCCTCTTCACGCAAACGCACACACGCACGCACTATAAAAGCTCTCACTCTCCACTCACGTACCTCTACCGCAACCTCCACCACGACACCGATTCAACAGGAAACGATATGGCAGGAGCAAGAGGTCGCCGCAAGGGCTTGGGTTTGAGATCGACTCGCGCTTTCACTATATTGTCGGACCGGGCCTCCGTTGATGCAGACACTCCAAGCACAAAAATTCCCCCACACTACGGATTCCCACCGACTATACCGTCACCGTTCGTGGGCGACCTTCCCACAGCGTTGGACGCAATCCTCGTCTTTGGGAGCCAATACCCACAACTAAAAACTCTCACACATACACTCATTCAAGACGTTGACCACAAAACAGACTGGGTCAATCTGTTTCAATCGGTCCTGACAGCACACGCCGCAAACCCTCTCGACGGTCGCCAACTACTGGAAGAACTTCTATTCCTGATCACGCGCACACTCCTTCCAGAGCAAATAGCCGAAAATAGGCGATTCATGTACTATGTTTATGGCCAGAGGCATACATTGGCAACGCGATTGTCGCTTCGCTACGATATGCTGCGGCAGTGGAAGAAAGGATCCCCCAACCAGAACATGACCATCGAGTCGAAAGAAGCTCCAGACCCGCCCATCACGCCGCCTCCCGTCAAAAACAATCCACGATTTCCCAACCGCCGCGGACTGATGCCGAATATCATTCCAACGCTCATCGCGGCTCCTGAGTATGGGTACAATAAGCGACAAAGCGACTGCATGAAACATCACATCACCGAGCTTGACGAGCTCTTGCTCTTTTCCGACGAGACGGTAGAAAAGTGGGGGACGGTGACGTTGCTGGTGAAACTTGCGGCGGCAGTGTCGCATTGGCAATGGTTGAGGGAGAACAACGAGACCTTTTACGACATGCAGGTGAATAATTACGCGGAGCTCGATGGCAAGGCTGATGACTGCGACTGGGTAAGAGATTTGAAGCCCCCGAAGGAGAAAGATGGCGAGAGTTAGAGACTGCGTCGATATATTGCAATGTTAGCATGTCTCGGGGTCGACAACATCAATCGTTGGATGTTGGGCTGGGGCATCATGGCCACGGCCATTTCAGAGTTTATGGTTGGATTGGACTGTGGATACGATTGCGGGTTTGGTCTACTTTTTCGCATATGATGGAGTTTTGATATGTGGTCATGCAGTAAATCCCAATCAACAATTTGGTTTCCTCATTTATTTTTTACACACTCCCCCGCTCTCTTTCAACCCTACCTAACACCCTCAAAAGGCATCAAAAGCCTTCGTAGCCTCCTCCACAGCCCTTTACATCTCACTACGCGGGTAAAGCTGCAGTAAAATGTGTATAAATCACCAGATGCCATATTATAGCGAAGCGTTATTTGCCTTTAGTCGAGGTGCCTGCGCCAAGTCAGACAGACCAAAAAAATGCAGAAAGATTGAAAGAGAAGAGCCGCTCAGTGTGACTCCGAGCATCAAAAAATATATTAGGAGGATCTTGTATCATGAGTTCTGCCTGGCTCTTTCTATCTTCCAATTACTCCCCTTCACTTCGTTCCTCGATCCTTCTCGAAGACCGGTATGTTCCAACTTCTTTCGTTGCTCCCTTCATTTACGTACATGGCTTCCAAAAAATGCCGCAATCCGATACATACATACATACAGACGTACACGTTAAATAGTTTACACGCCAGTGCGTGGATCAAAGGAAAAAGCAATAAGTATGATCCATCAGAGGTAATGATATATGCTCGTTCTCTCATATCAGCGGCAGTGCGAGGAGAGAATGAGTAATGCAATCCGGAATTCCGTTAATCGCTCATATGTACACTGAAGAGAAGGAAAGAGATATGATTAAGGCGGATAGGAATCCCTATTATGAGGCATTGGGCACCTCGTTCTCTTATTGTTTGATCGTGGCATTGGTAGTGGAAGGGGTTCGCTTCCAACCTGCCCAGCCCCATCCACCGCCTCCTCCAACTGTAGCAGAAGGCGTAGGCGAGACTGTTGTTGCTGCCGGGGGAGGAGCCGCAGTAGCTGTAGAAGAAGCAGTTGGGGTTGAGTTCGACGACGGTGAAGACGTGCCTATACCCCAGGACCAACCGCTTCCCGCAGCAGCAGTTTTGGATTCCGCAGTCGGCGTTGCAGCTGGTGTTGCACCGCCGTTCGCCATCATCTTTTTCATGCTTTCAAACTTGTTTTTGTATTCTTCTAGTTCCTGCCTAGCGACGGCTTCGGCGGTCTTCGCATTGACGAGTTCGAGGAGAAGGGCTTCGTTATCGGCGGATGAGGCGGGCGCGTCTGCGCCAAGGAACTGCTGCGTTGCAAGCGACGACGATCGCTTTGTGAATTGCTGGGTGCCCTTTTGTGATTTCATCGAGGCGGTGCGGCCGAGACGCAATTCACGCAAGCCACCCGTAGATACAACACTGTCGGTAGTGTTGGAGCGCGATAGCGACGGCGTTGAATCTGGCGTGCCATCGATCCAAGCCGCAGAGCCCTTCCTTGCGTTCAGCCTGAGGTCCTGGATAGTCTTCTCAAGCTTCTGGTTTTGGTTGTACGAATCTTGCAATCGTTGTCTGGTATCCTTCAGCGCCTCGCGCGATATCGCCAGGTCGGCCTGTGTGTCGCTCATTTCCCTGGCTATTGTTTGCGCACGAATAGTCTCGGATGCAAGTTGTTCCTTGGTACGAGAGAGGTTATCGCGCAAAACCTCCTTTGTTTCGAACATGGAAGAGGCTCGGTGGTGTGTTTGATGCGATGGGAACCTTTTGTCTAACACCTCAGCAGCCTCCACGACTTCTTCCGGCGCAGCTGTGGTAGTCGTGGGGGGCTCTTCGTCATTGGGCGGCGTGAGCATAGCAGCAGTGATGGTTGTCCTCCGTCGCGATGCCCTGGTGGAAGTCGCCCCAAGCGACGACTGCTTCTTCCGAAATTTGTCCACAACGGTGCGCACAATACGATGGTCTTCCTTTCGATCCTCTCGTTGTTTCTGCAGAGCCGCTTCAATCTCACTGTTTTGGCGCTGCAGTTGGCTAACCGACATGAGAAGCTGTTCGATTTGATAATGCAGGTCTCGATCCTTGGAGGAGTGCCCCATTCGAATGGACATGGCAGTCGATTCATGGCCGGATTTGAGAGAGAGGGCATCGCCCGTAGAGCCTCGCGATATTTCGGTAAGCGCCGTGCTTTGCGTATGTGTCGACATGTCTGAACCATCTGTGGAGTTTAGAGTTGCGAGACTTTGCTTTGATGGGGTGCGGCGCAGGAAGCTTCCAGGCCTAGACGGGGCTGACAGACCAGGGCTGAGTGAGACAGATTTTGTCGAGGAATTTGACGGACCCCACAAGCGTCCCAGGAACGAAGTAGCCGACTTTTGGACTTTGGATTTCGAGTTGTCCCTTTCCTGTTCTTCGCGAAAGCTTGCTTCCAACCCCTGTAGCTTCTCACGTGTCACGTCATTTGTGAAGCTGACGAAGTCGTTTACCAAGTCATCAGCTGACTTGGCGTTTCGACCATACGGATCCCAAAGCGAACGGCCAAGAAGCAACTGCATAACATCCTCGAATTCAGAGAGCGCTAAGATTTTGGCTTCGTTCCTCTTCATCAGAGCGAGAGCGACTCGCATAATGGTCTCGGAAGCGCCTTCGGCAAAAAGAACATCGTAGATACGGAAAAGCATAGGTAGCGGGCATGTTACCGCGAAAAACGATAGAAACCACTGGGACAAATAAGCCGATTCGACTTGTAGGAATTCCAAATGAGCAGCTAGTTTCGGCATGTGTTGCTGCAATAGGCGCTGGAATTGGAAGATGCGAAGATGCAGGCCAGAAAGGTCTGGCAAGAAGCACGACCGAAGATCGTAATCTTCCATAAGCCTTGGGCTCGTTAGCAAGCACTCGGGTTTTCAACGCAGATACAAGAGAGATACGCACCGAACGAGCACACAAAAGGCCTCCTTATCCCCCATCTGCATGAGCAGTGGACCGACCAAGAAGCCAAGGCCCTGGCAATAGCCGATCTTGCTATCGTACAGGCTAAAGCACTTGAGCACACGCCCAAGCATCTTCTGCCCTTCGCCTTCTGGGTCCTTGAACATTTCAACGCCAGGAAAACTCCTGCCCAAGTCCTTATTAATGATGTTTTCATATGGGCTCGACTCGCCACACAGTTGATCGTATTGATCTTCAATCAACTTAGCCCGTGCACCAGAGGCACTCTGCCATACCACTCCCCGCAACGGCGCAGGTATTCCACCGCGTATCTTGTTGAGGGTGAGGGTCGGCAGACGTTGTATAGTTTGAGGATAGTCTCTCACGAGCGCTGCCCAGAATTCGAGCTCGGTCATGGGAGGCGGGGAGGGCAGTTGCGAGAACCGGACGTCGGTGTTGTCTGTTTGGACGAGTCGTTTGATTTGACTGATAGAGGGAGGTCGGGACTGACTCCGAGCACGAGCGACCTTCATGTTGGCTTTCGAATCGGCCATGATGGCGTTGTTTTCCTGCTCCAATCGTGCCAGCAGTAACGCCATAGCCTAAGCAAGTCAGCATCTTTGGTCGTAACCTGGATACAGGTCGTGTTATCTCCAACATACCTCGTCCTGTCCCTCCTCCTGTGGCTCCAGTTCTTCCTTCTTGTCAAGCTCTGCCCAGTCGACGTGTGCACTCTGGCTCGAGTCACTGCTGTTACTCCTATGTCGCTCGCCAGGTGTTGGTGTTTGTGTGCCATCAGGATGCTGCAGGGCGATGGATGGGCGGTTTGCAGGCGGTGTGGTGCTTCCGTCCATGCTGGCTCGGCGGCCAAAAGCAGCCATAATTTCAGCGGAATTTGGCCGAGAGGAAAGGCGTTTCTCATCGACAAGAATCTCTGGTTGAGGAAGTTTGGGCGAAACATTGTCGTCATCAGGCGTATGCAGGCCGTCGCTCTCGGAGAGCGGGACTGTCACCATCGAGTCCGTAGGCAGGGGCTTGCTATCGATGTGAGTCCTGGGAGCGCGCTCGCCGGCCTCGACTGATTTGTTGCCATCCATGATGGTGGCTGTCCCGGGTGGCGTTGGTTCAAAAGGATGACATGGGCAGGGTGCGGCGACGGTGTCTCGAGGCTCAAGCGCTGTTGTGGCACGCGTCGAATGAAAGGTTAAATGTTGAGAGGTGTGTCGTCTGCGGCGCCGAACAAGAATCCAACGCAATCTACCCTCAGGCAGCAACAAGTTTCGCTGTCTGGGACTTAAACAGAGCTGGCGGCGAAGGCGTTTCGAAGGAGAGAAAATCGGGGCCGGGGTATTCTTGATACAGCCAAACACAAGCGTGCAGCGAGCTAGCTAGCTAGCTAGCCAGGTAGACTAATGAATGTCGTACTCGTAAAAGAATGCAGACGAGGATGCCGTGAAGCTGTAGAAATGAATGAGAGATTGACTGAAAGCTCGAGCAGTCAGTCGACAGTGCACTAGACGGCGAGGGAGGAGGAGGGAGGTATTAGCGGCAGGTGGAGCTTAAAGGAGCGGAGGAGGGAGGGGGTAAGAGGAGGATCGGTCGGCGGGTGGAGTGAAGACGAGTTTCGAGACGACGGGGAAAGGAGGGCGCGGATAGGTCGAGGTTAGCTCATGACGGTGGAGGAAGGGGGTTCGCTACGGTAGCAACGGTAGCAAATAATGATAGGGTTGGGGGGGTCCCTGGACTTGGCGGCCTCGATAGTTAACTCCGTCGGGCAAGGATGGGATAGGGGATAGTGGCCGCCTTCCGGCCCTGACAAGGCCGATCACTCAACACACTGGCACACTTGGGGCGATTGTCTCGTTGATTGTCGATTGATGGATTATCATTGTTATGGGAGCGAGCATCCAGGCCCCTGCAGCTAGGTGAATGCATGCATGCGTGCATATATATCTCCCATGTGTTAAGCGCATGCCAATGCGACCATTTGTGTGACCGTTCCGCTCTTCACTACGCGTGGGATCCGCGTGCTTCAGTCCACATGTCGTCGAGTCCACGCTTTTCCCCTGCAGAGTCCCTTTTATATTTACCCTTTCGACGGATTGTTTCCCTCTACGCCTTGCCAGTCTCCACCCGAAAGGATTGGACGTCATCCCATCTCGTTAAAATTATTGGTGATGACCGACTGCGTCCGGGGAATTGTTCTTCCGTTTCGTTTGGGAGCAGGTGTGCCTCGTTCCAGTTGCTGCAAGCGCAGCTTATGTAAGACGACTATATCATGTGATGTCTACTCCCCCTCTCCGTACATATATGTAGCTACCTACCATCCATCCATCCGATCAGATTAGCAGTTTGCACAGAAACATTTGAAGGCAGCTTTCATCACTAAACAATCAAATCTACAGACGGCATGTAAATCAATACGAAAGTACCCTTCCACCCAAACAACGGACCCTCATTTGGAATCTCACCGTCGGCCTTCAGACAATTGACAAACGACAAACAAAAAAGGCAACATGTGTCAGCGTAGTCAACCGCGCGAGTATATAGTACTAATCTGTCCACCTCTCCAAGCTTGCCTACCATCTTGATAAATACCCGAGGACCCCTCAATGTCCGTCTCACATCGACAGGGGCGGCATCGCCGAGAACCAGGTATGCTGACTCCGTAATCACCGCTGTACCACTACCTAACAACTCGCAGATGAAATCTCCAATATATACAATAAATTTTATGTACTAGCGTAATCCCATCGTATTCATCGACTCAATCGATCGAATGACCTGATCGCTCTGGTATACTTATACGAAGAACCATTCACTAATCTATAAAATTCATCTAATCGCAGACGGAATTACATTGACTTAAACACTTGAACTAAACATTTCGATCCATCGTCGCAACCAACCTAGCGAGCGATGCGAAGTCCAAACCCAAAGAACAGACGACTTACCATTCCCTATTCCTTACTACAAAAATCAACGGCCCAGAAAAAATCAGCTCTGATCGGAATTGTTCACTGCTCCTCTTCCTCGTCGCTGTAGCTCTCATCAATCTTTCTGTGGCTTATAGCAGGCTCAGCTGAGTCAACCTCACGCTCCACAGACTCTATCTGTGATTCCCTAGATGTGTTAGCCAGGGAGACTGCAGAGGGCACAACCAGACTCACTCACTCTGCTGGGTCTTCCTCTTCTTCATCCGTAGACTCCCAGTCGTCTTCCTGGCCCTCTGCCTCTGTGGCCTGTGCGGGCCCGCTCGTGGTGGGAGCAGGCTGAGCGGTGGGCTCCCGAACGACAAGAGCAAGTTCGAGCTCACCTTGGGTGAGGCGAAACATCAAATCTGGATCGTAATAGATGTCGTTGATGGTTCGTTCGAGATTCCGTACGCTCCTCCGACTGTTACCAATCGTACTCTGGACCAGACCTTGCAATGCCAAAGTGATATTGACGTCATAATATACATCTTCCAGATGCCTACCCATATCAATATTCAGGCCTGAGGTGTGTCTGGGCACGGTCCTCCCCTTCCTGCTCCCGGCAGGTGGTGGGGGTGGAGATGGGGACAGCTGAACAACGGCCCGAGTCGCTTTCTTGGCCCCTTTCGCGGCCGTCTTGCCAGTTTTCTTTGCGGTTGGTTTGTCGGCCGTCTTCTTAGACTTCTTCGGGGCTGGCTGTCCATCATCATCATCATCACCTCCGTCTGAGGAGTCATCGACCTCCTCCAGCTTCCTCTTCTTCGTACCCTTCTTCCTCGTCTTCGGCTTCCCGCCAGCATCGTATGACTCCTGATGCGACAAGTACTCGTACCTGACACTTTCCACTGTTCGCAACATATTGTCCTCGAGCCACGCCTCGTCTGTGCCTAGCATCCACCAGTTGAACCTCTCGGTAGCCTCCAGGATGGAAATATCTGGGGACTGGGCGAAGATATCGGCAAGCTCCGCTCGCTCCTCCTCCGTCCAATCCCGATCCCTTGTGATTCTGGAGATGGCCTGTTGCCGCCTATCGTTCAAGGCTTTGATGGCCTGTTTGTTATTCCAATCGATAGGAGCACCTTTCTCCGGATTCCACTCGTAGAAGACAGGCTTACGTCTAGGCGCCTTGTTGTGCTTGGATGTCTCCCTCAGGTCGATGAGCTTGAGTTGCAACAGTTCCTCCTGGTCTAAATCACGGCTACTGCTGCTGATGTCCTTCTGGATGAAGCGGTTGCCGATCTGGAAGCGCTGCTTGCGGTCTTCCCAGAGGGGAGGGACTGTTTGGGCATTGCTGGATCGCGCAGGAGGTTGATCTGTGCGTGCCACGGGGCCTCCATCGGGGATCGTGGGAATGAGTCCCCATGCCTCATTGAAAGGGGGAGGATTAGTGTTCGTGGAAGGGTGCTCCCGAGCTTGGAAGAGAGTAGCAATGGGTGGGGGCTTGGACTTCTTCGACACTCGGGGAGATGTAGGTTCCAAAGCCTCCGTTCTCTGTCTCTTCGACGATTGGGATTGTGCGGATGCCGAGCGAGTAGACCTTGAACTTTTCCTAGATGGCTGAGATCGCTCCGAGGTTGGCGATAAAGAAGGGTGTGAGCGTTTCCTGGGCGACTGGACCCGCTCAGCGGTTGGTGAGGTGGGTGGGTTCGAGCGTCTCCTGGAAGGGGTAGGGGGAGGGGCCGACACGGCGCGAGCAGAAGCAGATCTAGAACTACGCCGTGTAGCAACACTATCAGGGGAAGATGCGGTGCGCTTGGGGCTACTCATGGTGACTTCAAAGTATTAGTTTGAATTGTTTGAGTATGATTTGTTTTATGTTACTGTTGGAAGCCGTAATACTCTCGTAGCAAGTAAGGTAATTTATGCCCTGAGGTGTGAGCCTTGCAATGTTTATAATCAAAATTTTGTGAAAAGACAACAGTGTTGTAAGTGACCTGAAAAGCTGTCTTCCTGAAATGCCATCTCGTGGAAATACACCTGTATTTGTAGGTGAGTGATAACGGCGGCTTTTCGAGGACGGATACAAGTCCTTTGTAGCATACAATGCCGTCTTCAAGACTCCAAAGGATGCCATCTTAGCGACCCGTCTAACAATAGATCCTTTGAGAGACATGAAAGACAACCCCGCCCAGCCACCAAATTGAAAGAATGATGAGCAGTACACAATGCATTGAGTTGTAGTCATTGTTCTCCACCAAAAAAAAATCGAGTATCGTGTGATATGATGGATCGGACGGCTACTCATCAAGCTAGTCCCATACACAGCATATTACACACCAAAAAAAAAATCAAGGGATGCTACTGAGAACAAAGAAATAGAGAAGAAGATGACAAAAAAGAATGTTGACGACTGTGGGATTCGAACCCACGCGGGCAAAGCCCATGAGAATACTGTCTCTGAAGTAGAGACAAGCTTGCGCTTGAGTCACACGCCATAACCACTCGGCCAAATCGTCGAGATTTGTTACAGCACCTCTTTTGTGCTGATTGTGGCAAATTTTTCAAATTCTTTGTCTTATATATCAGCTTGCACGCTAGAACAGACAGGCGGCTCATGCCGGCTCCAAACATTGCCTACCAAATCACCTTGACTAGTTGTTGGGGTTTTACTGGGACATCTTAGCTTGCCGAGGTTGCTAGCAGCTAGACGCGGCAGAGTTTTTGTACTCTACACTCCACTCGTTTGTATACGCCGAAGTGCAATCACTAGGTCGATTGCCCCGCGATTGTTGCTTTTAGGTAGAGAAAAACGATTACTACTTCTCCTGTTTTAGTCCGACCTATCCGGAAATTGAACTTTCAGGTAGCTTGAAAGGAGAGCCATAATGATGATAATGAGATGGGATATTCTACATGGGAAGATTATCTATCAAGCTGTTCTTTTGCTTGTGAAGTGTACAGTTATACAGGTTGAATTTACTTGTATCTACTTATATGTTTTAGTCGCTTTTGAATTCTTAATTTATTAAAGAAGATGTTCAATCGAATAGCAGTGCGGAAGAGGTATGCAGTTGACATAGCGACAATATCTCAATTATATTACATGAAGCTTAGCTCTGAACTGCAAACAGTGATGTTAGCGCATATGTGCACACTGCAAACCCCCAAAAACAATTGTTTACTCGTAGGAGATGCATCGAGGAGTCAAACACATAGAATGGGATGCTAGTTTCTTCAAATATCTGCTCACATATGTTCATTGTCATTTGTAGCACAAGGAAAATTTAAGCCACAGCCCAGACGGCAACAAAGAATTCTCACACGCGCTGTGTGTGCTGTATCTAAGCAGAGCAACCAATAGGTGGAGCTCTGCCCAAGCATTTCACCTACGCTTGTACTGCATATGGATTAGTGAATAAGTCTTTTCGATGCCGTATAGGGAAGCACGTCAGGAAATACAACACGCTCAGTGAATAGGTTCAGAAGTGAATTCAGTGGGGGCTAAGATCTGGATTGGCGGGAACAAATGTGGAGAACGAATTACTACCTGGATAAGGTAAGAACTCAGTCACTCAATCGACTCGAACGTCGTAGTGGATTGGGAAACATTTTATCGCGAAGTAGCTACATGTGCCGCGAACTCCGGGTCCTGACTCTTGGAAATCTTCCGAACCGCAAACGAATGGAGCTAATAGAGCATAGTCTTGGTGCTCACATCAGCACACCATAAGGATCTGGCATTGGGTAGTAGTTTGAAAAGAGAAAAAAAGAGTTTTTCTACGGAGCTCACCATTCTGCTGGATCTTGAATGAAGACGAACCATGCATGACTTGGATGCTATTTCGCGTTAGACCTCACGACAGAGTATATAAAAAGCTCAAATCGGCCCCCAAAACTATAACTACAACAAGCGAGCGCCTAAAGAACCGGTCAATATGATAGAGCTTGGACCCACATCTGCTGATGCCAATTGAATCCATAGCGCTCTTCTGTCTAATAGTAGCAATTAAACTCGGGTCCGCAAAAATGCCAATACACTTAAAGTGCTAGAAGAGTTCAAGTGTCTTTCTGCAGTTCCTGTGGTATAAGAGCGACGATCCCTTCCCCATGTTTAGGAGATCTGTACCTTGCCTTACCTTAATTTTGCTACCGAAAAAGTACGGGTTGTTGTTTTACTGTGCTCTTGTTCAAGTCATTCGCTACGCTTGATCATCTCAGTCTCTCGCTATATAATTCAAAGATCTATTAATTCAATTAATCACATCGCAAACGTAATCATGCTCTTCACCTCCATCGCTCCTCTCCTCCTTCTGGCGGCCAAAGCCAGCGCAGCCGGATGCAAAGGAACCTACACCTACGGCTTCTGTGAGCCAGATCGGATCGTGCGCTAGTAAGTAACTACCCTTACCATCTACACTGCGACAGCATAGCCGCCATCAACACAATTGAATCCAGTCAAAGAACTCCACTAACCAAATATCTAGCTACGACCCCGAAGATGGCATGATCTGTTCCATGAGAGATTGCGGAGGAGGCCGCGCACCCCCAAAGACAACCGATCCATGCTGCAACGCCTACAAGGGAACCGAAACCTGCGACCCCAACCCGCCACCGACCTACCTCCCCTGCTTCTCGCAGCTCCAAGCGTCCACCGCAGGCACGCTCCGTTCGTCCGCACCTGAAGTCACGCCCACGGCCTCGGCCTCGGCCACGGCTACAGTCACATCGTCGTCGTCCTCTACCGACCTTTCCGCGCTCTCACCTTCGGCAACGCCGCCTCTTGCAGGTCTTCCTACTATCAGCGGCCTCGGCAGTGTGAGACCTACTATCACGAACGCCCCTTCTGTCAATGGGACGATTACTACTGGTGGACCTAGCGGTGCTTCTGGATCGCAGAGCTCATCGGCTCCCGCAGAACAGACGAGCAATGCTGCATATGCGCTGCGCTATGACTTGGTCGGTGCCATTGCTGGCTTCGTTGGAGCCAATATGGTGGCTTTGGCTTAGGGACTTGCTGGCTGAGGTATAATCGTATGTAATGTCGTAATGTAGGGAGATTGAAGAATCAAAAACGATGCCACGATGCACAAAAAAAGATAATGGTTTGAGTGACGCGGCAGTGATGTTGATTTTCTACTAACCATAGTCCTATTCGAGCCCCCCTTTGAGCAATTCAGGGTCTGCTTGTTCGTAAACACGGTCCAACGTCTCTTGATCCATCATCGTTCCATTTCCACCGGATTCCGTCCAATCCCACAGCCTCTGAACACATATACCGACTACCATTTTATGGCATTGTTGCAGTACATTCATCTTGGCTTCATCCTCGGTAATCTCCCTGGCACCTGCTGTCACGGTCCATTTTTTCGTCTCCCTGGCATCGTACTGGAACTCGATCCATCCAGAACACGGCGCGTGGCCCATAATATATCGTTTACGGACGGGCACCCAGCTCTCCAAGCTTGCGTTTGGACCAGAGGGCTCGGCGGACAATACGAACGACTCCTCCCTTTCCAGTACTGTCACTTCTGCTATGTCCCGGGTATTTCTCCTGATGACGGTATAGTTCTCACAGTGCAAGCATTGGACAGTCATGGGACAGAAAAATGCCATCAGTTGCGTCTTCGGACGATAGTCGTATCTTCTCAAGGTCATGTGGAGTGGGGAAGGAAGCCGCTTCTCATCCTCCCAATGTACGTCACCCCAAGATTGAATTGGGACTGGAGGCTTTGCAGTACACCATGTTAAAGTTGTCGAGCCTTTCCATATGACTCCGAATCTATTAGCTTTGCTGATGATCGATTCAATGATCTTTGTGTCCCATGGCGTATTCATTGCTTCTGCATCCCATGAATTGAGTATTGGCGTGATGGTGATATGTGTGAGTGTTAGGTTCCAAGGCTTCGCTTGTAGATACGAGATAACTGTAGACCAATATCGTAATGGATCACGGATGGAGTATCCTCTTCTAACGTTATATCTGTCTGGCGTGTCCAGGTTATCGAAGACAGGAGCCAAGTGAATGGAGGAGACGTAAGGGCGACGAGGGGCGAGCAGATGGGTGAAGAAAAGTTCGCAAGTCTTGGGCCCGCTGAACGCAAATGTGTTGGTCGAGTAAAGGAGATTTATAGCTTCCGAATATCTGAAATCTGAATCAGCGCTGACCAGTTCCGGCCTTCGATTGACTTACATCTGGCGACAGGTAAGCAGCAAAGAGAGTGGACGGCGGTCCATCGGCCAGGGTGACGGATCATGATAATAATCATATTTGTCCATTTTCGATACACACAAGTCTTTGTGTAAGGGGTCGGTGGGGTCTTTTGCAGGGCAATATACGCCCACCAATCTCTTCTGTGTTCGGACGATATGAACATGACCGCCACCGACCACGAACATCCAGATCAACGCCCTGATTTCTGGTGGCAGTCTCCACAGCTGGCAAGTTTTCATCTGATCGATAGTGGTTTGGTGGATAGGTGGTTTCTGGGAAGTGCCATCCTTTTTGTCTTTTCGCACCCACCCTAACCCCATTTCAAGCTCAGTGGGATCGAGAGGTCCTTTCTCGTCTGACCGCACAGCATCCATCTCCCGAATCATTGTGGTCCCCAAGACTAAGGTCAGATTCCGTTCTCTTCTCCTCACAGAAACCGTTTTCACTTGATTCTTTGGTTCTGCTGCTGTTCCATGCCTTTTTTTTCTCCATCTATAGCATATTAACCAGCGTAGATGATACAGCAGACCACGTGGCGACCACCCACAGCACACCCCACAGAGCTCCATACCGCAGTAAAGACAATAGCCAGCCGAGATCAGTATGCAGTATACAAGACCTAGAGCCAGAATGACCGCTGTCAAGGGAAGTCCGATGGGGTAATAGAGACAGAAGATGAGAGCTCGCGCCAGGAAAGGCCAGTCTTGGTTGCTCCATGCTGACACCCACATACGAGGCTTCATACCGTCTAGCCAATCACTAACCAGTTTGGCTACACTTGGTAGCCGCTTCGAGTTCACGGGCATGGTGTACCACCTGAATTTTCGAGGTCGACGATACGTGGTCATGCCGCGGAGATGTGTAGGTGCGAGGGCAGAACGCTGAGCGACCGGCGTTTGAGAGATTACACAAACAAACTAACGAACCGTCCACCGCAAGAAAAAGAAGAGAAAATCGGGAAGATGGCGCAAAGGAAAACAACAGATAGGAGCACGCAACTAATCTAGTCCTTCAAAAAGAGCACGATTAATTCCGGTGTAATCACGGATTCCGATGTGCAAATCAGAGGCCGGCGTCCCTTAAGACGGGTGCCTAAACAATGATGAAAGAATAAACAACAAACAGAACAGGACTGGAGATTGTAGAGTGTCCAACTATTCGCTGATAAGGCGAAGTCCGGGCTAGATATTCTGGACCCATTCGCATACGCCTCAATCCTGCAGCAGAAGAAAACTCTGGGCGAAATAAACGAGGCAGAGCACAGCCCTGCGTTTCCTGTTCTTGGCGATGACGCGCGCCTGCATATGTATGATTACTTTAATCGGTCGTTGCCTGTTTGGGCCGGTGGACATCCTTTACTACGGCTACCATGTATCATACCACACCACCTTACTGTTAAAAGAAAATCTTCTAAATTTTGCTTCCCCGCAATATTTTCCCCGCCTTTTTAAAACGCCCAGGCATTTTTGAAACACCTGTTTTTTACTTCAGTGCTCACTCAGCACGTAAAAATCGATAGCAATATTTTCCTGTCTCCTCGTATCAAGAAATCTTCTAACGGCGGGAAGAAAAAAGATCTCCATTCCTACGCTCATGCCTAAGCGAAATTCTGACCGGGAAGATTGAGATGACTGGGGGAGAGGAAAAAAAAGAAACCTATGTAGTCTCTTCCTCGCTCTCAATCTGCATCTAAACCCAAATGCAAGAAAACATATACCCAACCTCTGAAGCAAGAAAAAAGAATCTTCTGATTCCACTTCCAGCTCTTTCAATCACAAAGATCCAGTTCCAAATCTCACATCCAAATCTCCAAATTCTCAATCACTCCCTCCCCATTCCCAGATCACCTCACCAACCGAGCAGTCCTCACCCCCTCCTCCCGAAACGCTCTACAAACCAGCAAAAGATTAACCCAATCATCCCCCGTCCCCGTAACAACTCCATCGCTTGGTCTTCTGCTACTCCGCGACACGCGTCCAGCGCTCAGGAAAACCTGCTCATACACCAGATTCCTCAATTCCAGCGGCAGCCTGAAGAACGGGAACGTTTTGCCGTTATGACGCCACCACGTGAGGAGTTCGGCGTTTTGGTAGTCGATGAGCTGCGCTTCGTACGGGTCGTTGTACTCGAATTTGCGGCGGAGCCTGTGGAGGAAGAAGAAGAAGAGCAAAAGTTAGTGAGGAGTTTGGGAGTAAAAGAGGGGATATGGAGGGGAGGAGTGTGACGTACCAAGTTGGAAGATGGACCCAGGACCCATCGTTGGTGTCGAGCGCGTCGATGTGCTCGATTTCAAGCTCTTGACATACAGAGGCTATGGATTGACTTGAAGCCGTCGTTGCGATTGAGTCTGTAGACTCTGTCGAATTTGGAGTCGCAGCTCCATCAGTCGCCAATGCCGGTATGACATACTCGTTCCCCGCGAAATTAAACTCCAGGAACTCGCGACCAATGTTTTCATCGTAATCGAACTCCCTCCGTTCCAAAAACCTCTTCCGCTTCTTCGTCCCCCCATTATCTTTAACCCCCGACGACCTCTTCTTCTCCTCCCTCAACGCCAGCGCCTCCACCAAACCCCCCAAACTAACTCCTTCCTTATTTCTTTCTTCAACACCACCGGGGCGCCTCACCCTCACAGCCACACTCTCAGTCAGACTCTCGAACCTCTTCTCCCGAAACGTCAACCACTGGAACCCAAGCTCCTCAGGCCCCAGGAAGTTGTTCTTGGCGCACACGAGCCGCGCATCCGCCGCGTTGGCGGGGGTCACAGATAGGATATTCGAGATGGCGAGGACGCTGTGGGTGTGCCGCGCGAGAAAGGCGAAGTTTCTGTTCTTCTCGCTGACTATGAAGGATAGTATCAGGGAGAGGATCCTGGTTGTGACTTCGTCGGGTAAAGAGGGGCTTGTGGAGGGAGTGGTAGACGCCATGATGAGATGGTTCGGCGTATGCGTGTGTGTTGCGATATGTTATGATAGGTGTGGTTTCAGTGATGCCCGTTGAGGGACGCGTCTTGCGGTCGGACGGTGGGGACAAAACGATCGTAGAGTTGAGAGTCGTCGGTTCCCGGTTGATTGTGTCTTTGTGTATCGTCGCCCCAGGAGATTTTGCTCTCGTAGTTGAGCAGCTTGCCCGCACTGCTCCTCCCGGCGAAGCGTTTGGTTTCCAATCCGTTCCGCGAGTCTGATTTGGCGCCTTAGTTGATCCCCCCAAACCTCAAGTAACCACAATAGAACCCGAGCTATCAGAGTGTAGCCATGAGGCTGCGTTGGGGGGGTGATGAAGTTAGAGGGAAAAAGGTGGTGCGGGTGGTTGGCAGCTTTATCGCTTGTTGGGGAGGGGAGACGTCTCGGATCCCTCTTAGAGGGATGTGAGAGGAGGGTGAAGGTGAAGGTGAAAGTGAAAGTGGGAGTTCCAGTCTACAACACAGAAGTGGTGAGACGCACTCTAGAGCAGGCAAGAATCTAAAAAGTCGATGTAATAGAACTGAAGCAAGCCCATTGGCTACTGTAAAACCAAATCCAGGTATCCTTCCCTGCCCCCTCAAGATACGACCCCGAATTAGCAAGCGTGGGGTGGGGCAAACAGATTGAGCACGAGGACTTGGGACTGGAAATAGAAGAATGAAGCAATGATTTGATTATAAACAGGGTCTCAACACAGGCTCATCATCACACACAAGTACACCTTCCATGGTACTACGCTGATTCAAGTTCGTAAATAGGTTCGATTCAATAGGCCGTCAATAAAAACCACGCATATACCGATACATCACGAGTACGGCTTTGATTGATAGCCCAAAAAATGAATGACATGACTATCCCTACATCATATTCGTGTGAGCGATGCGAAGAGTGAAGTGAACTGAACTTCAGCTGCGGAAGTAGATAATATGAGTTCCAGCATTGTTAGCCGACGAGTAAGCAAAGGCGCTAAGCACGCTAGCATGCATGCACCTACCATTCCCCTACTACATACCTAGGTAGTGTTCGCGTGTACAACCTGATGCAAAGAAGGGACATGAAATTGAATCGTATGATGGTATTGATACTTCGATACTCGTAACTAGGTATATAAATAAATACTGGGAGATGCATATCACATCATCAGCATCGCTGGACTAGACGCAAAAAAGATATATGATACAAATAGAAAATAATCGCGAACATGGATATCGTGCGAAAATGACCCTTTTAAGTGTATGCCGCAGAGTCGCAAGTGAAGGGGCTTCTGGGAGCCTTCTCCTGACCTCCGGCGTACTGGTTGATGATATCTTGCACACTGGCATAAGCACCGCATCCCAGGATAATGAGTCCCATGCAGAAAACGATAGCGTTGAGAATGGACAGGCAAATGTTCTTCCAGCCCTCGTACCACTTTCCTTCCTTGATGAGCTGGAACCAAAACAGCGCAGGGAAGTAGAAAGTGAAGCCGGAGATGAAGAGGGCGGAGAGGAGACCGAGGAGGGCGTTGAAGAAGGGAATGGCTTCGGCGATGACCCAAGCGATGACCGTGACAAAGGTAAGAAGCGAGACCCACCAGGTCCATCCCTTGACGCTGTTGATGTAGCGGATCGGGGAGTTGGTGAAAATGCGGTCGGTAAGGTAGCGGCCTACGACGGTTCCATTGATACTTCCGGAAATGAAGATGACGGGAAGGGCGATACCGAATGCAATGCGCGAAACGGTGGTTCCAGCGGACAACAAAGCGGGACTCTTGACATCGGCTCCAACGAAAGCGTAGATGAGACTGCCTGTAAGGGTGTAAATGAAGATCTCAATTAGACCGAGGGCCCAGATGGACTTGACGTAGTCCTTGGGAGTGTGCATCTCGGACATGAAACTGAACTGGCAAATGGCGAACGAGTAGGCGAAGATGATGTTGGTGGTAGAGAGGAAAGCGCTGTGGAAAGTGACGTCCTCTGGGGGCCAAACCGACCAGTTGACAGCAGCGAGACCGCCGGGCTTGTTGCTGGCCTGAACTCCAGTCGAAATGATGGTGACGAAGATGGCAACCATGATACTGATGAAATCAATGTAACCCAGAATGGCAAACTCGGCAAAAGAGGGCGGGAGGGAAAGAAGGAGCAGGATGATGGCTGAAACGACGGACCAGGCGAGGGCGCAGATGTGTTCCTTGTCGACAATGTTGATGAAGGCGATGGTGCCGGTCAAGGCATGCGAACCCACGAGCAAAACCAAGAAGATGACGAACATGGCACCGGTAAGCTCATAACCGAAGCGACCCCAGATCAGGCGCACAGCGTCGGAGTAGTGTTCGACAGAAGGGTGCTTCATCTTGACCTGGCCGACGACGTAACTGGTGTAAATGGCCACAAGGCCCAAACCGACTGTCAGGAGGACACCGGCCACCATGCCGACAGCGGCAAAAGCGCTGGGTACACTCAAGGAGCCCAGAGCAATAGCCTCGACGATGAGGCAAATGGTCAATCTCTTCCATCCGAGGCGGTTGTATTTTTCAGAACCCTCTTCGATGGTGGCAGTCTTCTCGAGGCCCGTTTCGGGGTCGCTCTTCTTTCCAAAGGAGTTAATGTCATCTTGCTGATCCTTGTAGGCGGGGAGTGGGCCCACGTCGGGGTAGCTGGGTGGCTGCTGTGAGATTGCGGACATGGTTGCTGTCTGACTTATGACGTCTGTCTCTTCCTGGCTATCTCTTTTCTTGATGCCCACGAGATGTTGGAAACAAGATGGGATGAGAAGAAGAAAGGAGGGAGGAGAAGCGAAGAAAGAAAGAAGGTGGAAGCTGGAGAGGTTGGGGAGGCCGGGGGAAGGCGGCCTTGTAGATAAGATATATATACGTGCCGGCCACAGGCGTTGAAGCTAGGGAGATTTGGCACGAGAGGAGAAGGGTCGTGGGGTAGAGAAAGGGGAGAAGTCAGATGGACCAGGATGGGGGAGAGAAAGCAGTGGGAGCCACGGATGGCGGAGAGTCTTCTTATTATTCCATTTCCCTTATCATTGGAAAGTTTGAGTGTGTAATAACGCGCGGTGTACAAAATCCAGACAGGCCAGGTTCGGGGTGTCGACGGATGGTGGGCTGGGGTGGCATGGGACGAGGACGAGGGCGCAGTGTCTGGATGCCTTCACTGCGCGGTATCCACTTAGCGGCGAGTTGACGTAAAGAGTGGAAAATTTTACGTACAGAGGCTCCTCCTCACGCGTCCGTGTCCTTGTTTCGAGCCAGTCATGGCGACGATGGGTCGGCAGACTAATCAGAATGTGTGAAAGGGCGTATCTCTGCTGTTTACCCACGAGCGTGCGATCCCCGCGTGGTCGTCGTGTGGAATCAGCGTGGGCAGTCGAGTCGGTTCTCCAGGAAAACAACGGGAATAGTGGTCGTCTGGATGGACGGTAGGGCTGGCTGGCCAAGGGGAATAACAGCCCTGCCGGCGCTGCCGCCCATGATGCGAGGATCTGCCCATGGCAAGCGGCGGCAAAGCCGGTGTAAGCAATCAGACAAGCACTCGAGCAATCATCCGACGGCTGGCAAAGGGCTCGCAAAGGGGATGCAGGTCAGGGACAAGCTTTCAGCGGCTGGAACGCCACCCCGGGCCTTAGCCCAATTCCCCGAATAGGCACCGAGCTTGTTTCTGCTTTCCCCCATTAGTCACCCACCACTCCTGTCCTGTCCCTGTCCTGTCCTTCTCGTCCCTGCCCAGCTGCTAGGCCGCCGCCGAAGCAAGCCGTAACGAACAACCATTCACCACATTCACCATCCTCTGCTGCTCGCCTGGCGATAACGGACTTCAACTTTAGGAAACCCACCTCCATGGTCAACCCACCGTCGAATATGTCGCATAACCATTGCCTCCCAATTGGTCCCCAGTCGCCGCCGCCCGTATCTCTCTCCCGGGAAGCCCCTACATTCGTTTGTTTCGCCCGCTGGCCTGCCTGATGGCCCTGAAAATCCTCCCGTTTCCTCCCGTTTCCCTAAACGGAAGACCATCTTCCAAGTACACATCTAACCATCGTGGAAATCATATCTATCATGCTCGCCGTTATCAGTAGCAGTGAATGCGCCAAGGTCGACTTCATTTCCCAGCATTGCATGACCCACGCACCCATCACTTTGCCAACCCTTGAAAATTTTTGCTTGCGTCCTTTACCTGCATCGACTCTTTGCGGGTTTTTTTTCTGGCTCTCGCTTGGCAAGCACTCCGACTGGTTCCGAAGAGCACCAGTCCGGTGAAGCAGAGAGACCGCTACTCGTTCGTTAATTACTAACCTACACAACAACTACCGCAGAGTTTTGGCATTCTGTCATCACGCCGTCGCAATATCCTTAGCTTTGATTAGAGAGAGCAAAGAAAGTTCCAGGTCCACCATCGAGACGAAGCCAGAACTGATTCGCCACGGTTCCATCCGGGCCAGAGTTTATAGCACATAATGCCTGCATGCATGCAAAAGGTGGTCAGATCTGACAGCCGGATTAGCTTTGGTTCCATTCAAGACTCCTTTAAGGGAGGTGCTGCGTCGAAGGAAAAAAATATCTGGTTCCGGCCCGATTGGCTACCAGTAGCCTTTCCAACTACTGGTCAGCTAGCACGTCCATGTTCTGCGCCTTACTTCGAATATTGTTCCATACATGAGGCTGGGGGCTAGTGCTTGTTATTGCTAGATGCCGAGATCCGTCGTTGTTGTATGCGCGGCACACGAAGCACTAAGTACGTTACTGACTGAAAAATCCCCACAACATAATCTGCACCCCGCACGTCAGTATACAACATGGGAGCAAAACTTGACACAGAAGTTGCCCGCCATTGGTCACTTGGGCTTGAAATTGGGTAATACATGTCAATGCTTCTTGCGTCTGCGATCGATCCCCAGAAAGCACAAACAATCTCTCCCCGCATATCACTCCAACATGGAGAGACACGCGAGTCAAAAATAAGGAATGGCGTGGAGTCGCAGCTTACTGCATATTCCGGGGAAGTCGTTGATCAATGTTTGCATTACGTGTTGGAAATCAAGTCGTATGTCACCAACCCCAGAATTTATGCTTTCACACGGACGACCACCTTTCCGAAGTGTCCGCCGCTGAACAGGTAATTCAATGCATCCTTGCCTTGCTCGAAACTGAAAACCTTATCCACCACTGGTCGAATTTGTTTCTGCTCGTAAAATTTGAGCATCTCCTCCAGACGATCTCTAGGTCCATTCAAGATTCCCTTCAGCGTGACATTTCGTCGCAGACACAGCAAATTGGTGTTGGTCCTATCTGTGCCCTCATCTACTTTGCCAGAGAGGTATCCAATGCAAGCAATGGTTCCGCCAAACTTAATGCAGTCGAAGGATTGACGCAAAGTTTTGGCACCGCCAACTTCGAAAATGATGTCGGCACCTGCGTCCGAAGTTGCCTTGAGGACTTCAGCTTCCCACTCGGGCGAAGATTTGTAATTGATGAGAGTTGAAGCACCAATGGTCTTGGCGCGTTCGAGCTTCTCATTGCTGGAAGATGTTGCTATCACCGAAGCACCGGCTGCGGATGCGATTTGCAATCCAGCAATGCTCACGCCTCCCGTACCCTGAACCAGGACGGTCTCGCCAGCGCCAACTATCTCGCCTTTGGGTCGCAATCCGTTTAGACTCATCCATGCGGTCATGGCAGCGATCGGGAGGCAGCTGGCTTCTTCGGCGCTTAGATATTCTGGCACTTTGACAACACCGTATGTGGGAAATACACGGTATTCCGTCAAAACACCCGGTTGAGGGCCTCCCAATCCATTGCCAACGTCCTTTGCTTGTACCTGACCGGACAAATGGGTGGGCGCAAACGTGCTGATTACTCGGTCACCAACTTCGAGTTGGAAAGCCGGGTTGGTGAAGGGATCGGAGGCGTTGGGAGACTGCGGCCCAACTGCTATCACGACTCCACACATGTCGCTACACGGAACGAGCGCGGGCGGATGTTCGACGGACTTGTGATGATTGTAGAGACCCATCACGACTAAACACGGGAGAGTATGAAGTTAGCAGAGCATCGGGAAGAATACCTTGATACGATATTGGTTCTGTCACATGGTAGGATTTTCGCAGAACGTTGTGAAAGCGCGTACCTTCAGTGTCGCGATAGTTCAAGCTCACAGCGAGAATCTCGACAAGCACCTCGTTCTCTCCTGGCTGAGGGCGCTCGGCTTCGCCCATTCTTAGCTTATCCAACCCGTCCTGTCCCGTCAACCATTGTTTAATCTGTTGTGGGGGTGCCATTGCTGCCGATTTGTGTATAGTTCTTAGGGGCAAATGACTCTGGTTCGATTTCTCAGATATCTGTCTTGAGATATATCTCTCTTTAAGACGAAACCAAAAATCCCGTCAATCTAGTATCGGCGAGCTTGGGCGAAAGGAGGGGTTGGCCATGGCGGGCGGCAGCGACAGCCTCGTCTTTATTCACTGAACGGGGGCAAGTCCCTGATCAAAGAGCGGTGGGCCAAGAGGCTTTTGCTACATTGAGACGAGATAGCGGGGGCGATTGAACGCATCTGAGATGGCAGGATGACGTTAGTACTTTTCTGCTGTGGTGTTGGTGAAGATCGGGTGGTTTCGGCCGATGCTGATTGACAACGGCTCGGTTCCTGCTAGAGGTGGGTAAGCAGATCGGAAGCGCACTTCCGAATCTCGGAATTGCCCACCCCAATGACGTCGATGCGGTCCTCTTGCAGACCCTGTCTGTAGGTTGCGACGTGTTTGCGACGCGTTTACGTTCGATCATCATCACAATGGAGAATTATTAGTAATAGTATCTGGGGTGATCCTCCAAGATCAACAGAAAAGCTTTTACACGCTGTTATGAGTATGTAACAGATATTCTGTAGTCTATACCACGTCACTACGTGTCGATCACAAAGGAATACCAAAGACGTTATGGAAATCATTTACAGTGCTTTTGCGATGATATCCGCCGCCTTCTCCGCCAAAGCGTATAGTGTTGCTGTTACGTGCCCACTTGTCTGTAAAGGAAGCACAGAAGCGTCAATCACACGCACGTTGCGGGTTCCATAAACCCTCAATTCGGGGTCAACTACGCCGTTGAGGTTGCGCGGTGCCATCGCAGCTGTTCCCATTGAGCGCGTGCTAGGGCTGACTGCGAGTTGATTGTTAGAGTCCAACCAGCTGACCTCAAGCATCCGCGGGTTCTAAAATGGTAGGATGTAGGAACAAATAAACAGTCACTCACAGGTTGATTGGAGATATGCTTCCCACTGCGCATCCGTAGCATTCGCGGGCAATTCATCTGATGTTGGGGACAATGTTGCGTTGACATAGCCCTGTATCGAGGTACTTTGCCAGAACTTGCGGACAAACTTCCCTGCCGCAATGACAGTGGCCAGATCGAAGGGATTGGAAAGGTAATGCGGCGTTATCAAAGGATCATTGATATCAGCTGCGGATGCTGATCTAAGATGAACGCTGCCTCTTGAGAAGGGCTGTAGAATCCAATATTGCGAAAGGAGAAGGCCTTCCACAACAATCGTGAGGACTTCTGCCGCCGCAATGCGCTGCTTGAAAAGAAGATCGCACTGAATTTCCAGTAAGTGAGTATAGTTCGTGCCCGAAGCGTTTGCTGCTGCGTCATCTCCCCATGCCGCAATCTTCTCCCGCGCTGATTTCTCGATTGCATCTGCACCGTCTTTGCCGTAAAGATCGACCACGGAAAGAAACGTGTGGTAAGCGCTTGCGGCAGGCTCAAGAATACCGGAATATGTGAATTGGTGGCCTGTCTGTCCGACAAGATTCTCGCCTACTCCCGGAATATCAATGACAGTTTCGATTCCTAGGGATGTGAGGAGCTGAGAATTTCCAACACCGGAAGCTTCAAGGATGGGTGGAGTCCGAACGGCCCCGGCGGAGAGGATCACTTCTCTACGAGCAAACAGATTTGAGGCTGTGGAGTTTGGAGCGATGTACTCTACTCCTTCCGCAACGAAATTGTCTTGCTGATTTTGTACGGGTGACCATATTATGCGCTTCACTGTACCGGATATAATCTCCAGGTTTAGTCGGGCTTCAACTGGCAGGTAGTATGCCCGCGACGCATCGCATCTCACATTTTCTTCGGAAATCAGCGTCTGTGGTCCCATACCAAAGCCCACCAGATCTCCCCTGTTCAGATCGGGATTGTGTGCAAGACCCATCTCTTTCCACGCGTTCATTACTGGCCCGGCGAATGATCCATTCTTCAGTCCAGACGTGTAGCCCACATTGACTGAGCCATCGAAACCATGATGCTGCAACTCATACGTAGCACCTGCTGCGAGCTGATCTGCCCTGGGAATAGTGTAATTCTCCGATATAAGGAAGTAGGGCAGGAGTGACGACCACGACCAAGACCAATTCGTGTTACCTGTCTCTCTTATTTCTAGATTACCGAGAGTTTCCCAGGCATTGATGGCACTGGCTTCGCCGCGGACGTATGTCATTCCTTGATGATGCCGACATCAGTTCTACTTAATTCGGATGAGGAGAAAAGATGAATTATGGTGAATCCTCGGTGGAACGTATTATAGTTGGTGAGCTCAATTGCCTGTACACTTACCATTCAAAACACTCGTTCCTCCCCATGCCTTCCCCTGCCTCATCACCAATTGCCTCTCATCGCCTTGGTCCCCACTAACTCTATACTGCCAATCAATGTCTGTGCCGAAGGACTGGCCAAATTTTGTCGGGTCAGTGACGAGTGGGTTATCCCTCTCATCTGTCCCGGGCTCTATTACTGCGACAGTGACTGATGGATCCGCGGATAACCGGTTCGCAATCGCGAGTCCGCTGGTCCCGGCACCGACGATTATAAAGTCATAAGTTGAAGAAGATGCCAAGGCTAGTACATTCTGAATGAAGAGGGAGGGGAGGCTGATAAGGATGGGCAACTTCATGGATATGGCCTGCTGGGTAGGATTGCGCTTCAGAAGACAGAGCGACATACGTACCTACATGACGCGGACGAGATTCACTTCAAGTATTCCTCAAGTGTATGTATCCGGTGGTGGTCCAACAATCCGCAAGGCTGAAATGTGCTTGGAGTGCGCACGCGGCACGGGAACACTGCCGAAAGCCCCGCTAGAATCAACCACTTCGGCTGGGGAGAGCAAATGCTCACCGCTGGTGATCCGCATCCTTTTGCCCCCCGGTGAGAAGAAATTCTACAAATGTATGTCTATTCTAAAATGCTTACATGTAGGGCGAGATGCGCGGAAGAGATGAAGCCCCCACAGCGGGAGCTAATCACGCTTCTGGCCTCACGAAGAACCCGTTTGGCGCATTGCAGGTCAGACTACTCTACTATGGACTCGAATGGGTTGGGCTATTAAGATGCAACACAATTGCGCTAGGATGTCTACACCGATCAAATATTTGAGCACAATGTGCGCATCTCAACCTCGTCCACCAAGGAGTGACGCGATGAGGCTCCCACCACAAGACGACAGCCAATAAGATGAACCAATCTATCGACCCATGCCACCACCACCACTGGCACGACATCTGTCGCCAGCGGCCGCCCTCACCGACCGAACCCTCGTTACAGCACCGTCTTCCGCCACCATGCTGCATTCGTCCAAACGCCGGTCAGCACAAGGGGAAGTACGTGGGCGTCGCCTCTCATCCTTGCTGAGGCGAATCGACAATAGCAGCATCAGAGGAGTGAGGAGCAGAATGTTGGTCACGGCCCCAAAGATTTGACTGCAATGATAACACTCGACCAGCCTACTAACTGCATGCTCCAGTATGTGCAGATTTGCTTACGATGCTTACCATGAGGGGCTGCGGAGAACAGCTGTCGGATGCACAGCCGCCCAATGAACATGAGCATCCTGCTCGTTCATACGTTTAGTACCAATCACCAGGCCGCGTACCTCTCTCAATTTCAAAAGGCTTCGGATGCATGCATCGTCATTCTAGATCCACATCAGTTCAACCGGGCCCCGGTCGGCGATCAGAAGATACTGTGTGTAGGCAGACATTGTAGCGACCGACAGTCGTGGTGGGCTCCGCTAGCTTTCATTCACCTTATTATCCTATGCGACTACAAGCACACGACTGCGCCGCCACATACATAGCCCTTCGTGCCACCCTCTTTTCCAATGGCCTGGGATAGCGGATGACTGCCTCGCTCTCCCAGCAGTAAGGCATCAACGGGAGTGAGCATTCGGTTTCAATCTGGTCGACTAGCATGCCCGACTGCATCCCGACTACCATCCAGGACCGAAGCCGACTACGCGTAAATGATTGTGGTGTTGTTGGTTCTTGGCGAGCTACAGATGACCTACACCGACAGGGCTCGCAAAGCTTGTTCCTCCTGCCGTTGCCAGCGGGCGGTGGGCTGTACACCATCTTTGTCTCGGCTGCCCTACTACAGGGCCTCTCAAATTTGTGGGCTGGCACATGGTCCGCCATTCTCTTGGCTTTTCTGTCCAGTTCGGGGTAACGATTGGTCCGCTGGCTGTAACTGATGGGAGCGGTGGCAAATTTGTGCCTGTATGCATGAGGACCCCTGCTCGCCTCCAACTGCTCTTCTATGCTATTCAAGATGCTGCATGCTGCTCTCGTTACTGTTGTGTTTTGTTCCACTTCCTCCCCAGCTCCCCTTCTTGCACCTTTCGCTTTGCTCGCACTCTCCCCTAGCACTTCTATTCGTACTGCCTGTTCTGCCCTTTTACATCAACGACAGCTTTGCATTATTCTTCTTCATCTACTATCTGCTTCTAGCTCTTCGTTAATTATCAGAGACCAAATCCGAGAGGTCTGTCCTTCCCCTCTCCAAAGGTGTCTTCCATCCAGTTACTCGTCATCTCCTGCTCAACTGCATCGAAGCGAACGAAGACGGCATCAGTGATCAACATTAACAACACTCTCTCTAGCGCCATCGCCTATCATCTGCACAATCTGGGCCCTCAATCGCCGCCGCTCGCATCATTGCGTTTCCTTCGCTGTGAATATATGTGCACCGATCGACGCCAGTCCGCTCGCATTGAAGGCCGGCTTGCACGTCCGAAATGGATCAGGGTATGGTAGCCCCTCGAAAATCCATCCACGTGTGAAATTAATCGTAATTGTGTGTAGCCCCCGTCAGAAACAACATGAATGACCATGACGAGCCCTCCGCCATTACGAGGAACGATGACCTCATAAGCATCGCCTTGCGTAGCGACGATTCCTTTGACCTCGATGAGATTGTACGTCTCACGCGAGCTGTTTCACCCCTTCATGGTGGGCCGTCCACTCACAGTACCCTCCCTTCAACCGTCCTCAGCACATTCAAAGACTCGAACGGCACAAAGCCGACGTCTATGGGTACCAGCTACCCCGTCGAGGGCAAAGGCAAGGCAGTAGCAACCTACGAATCATCCATCTCAGCTACACATGGTTCAGGCTCGGAAGCAGACGCCGAGAAAGAACATGACTTTATCGGTATTGGTGACTGGACTGGAGAGACACCACTCAAGGGCGCCACAAGGGCCCGCAAGCTGCACACGACCCGGCGCTCGAAGCACAAGAAGCCTGTCGTTATCATACAGGATCACGTCCCTGACCACTCTACCTCAAAAAACGAAGATCACTTCATTGCCGAAAACATCACTTCCCGCTACGGCAACAGAGAGACTAAGTACCTTCGTCGACGCCCAACTAAGACAGACCATGGAGACCGCCTCAATTTGGCAGAGGAAGGGCGTATCCCCCGAGGAAGTATTGATGATACCAACTCTGCTGTTGCTTCATCCCTTTCTCCCAGACGACGCTATATCCTTTTTGCATTACTCGTCACTGCCGTCTTCACTTTGATCGGTTCCACGTACGGTGCACACCATACCGGGAAAGCGCAGATAGCTCACACCAAAAGCATCATCTTCTCCGCCACTGTCGTCTTGTCTCTCTTGACGGTTATCTCCATGGTTGTCGCCAAGCGACCTTTGCAGGAAGCTTTGCTGGCGGGTGTCTTTGAATCTCTCATCGGCTTCGTGCTGGTTGTGGAGATCCACGAGTTCATGTGAGGCCCCGCACAGCATTCACGCCTTTGAAGATCTACCTTCCCTATCTACGTTTCTTGTCATACATCCTTTCTCTTTCCTCCATGTCCTTTTCGGTTGATCTTTTCGCGTTTCTCACATTCTGGCACGTGACTTTATACCCTCTGTTTCGCATGTTGCATACAAGGGTATGGGTTCCTGTTGATCGTTTTTCTGTGCATGCATGCATGGTAGATCAGATCCTCCGTCTCCCCACTTTGCCTTTTGTCTTCCTATGATCATCATTGCATTTTCTTTTTTTTTTTTCCTATTTTGAGGACTTTTAGCGGCATCGTTCCGGCTTGGCCTTTGATCTTTTCTTCGTCTTCCTTTTTCGTTTTGCATTGCGCCATGATGATGCTTTCTCTATGCTAATAGATGGGTTTCTTACAATCAATCATCTCGCAATATTTTATACACGCTCGACGCCTATAGCTGTGGAATGGCTAACCGTACTTGCACGCTTGGTGACCCTGGTGTTGATCTATGCAAAACGGATTGTGGATCATGGGAGTCTTGATGTGAGCTTTGTAAAGGCTCGCACACATGCAAGCGCTCAGGAGGTAAGTGCAGTGGAAGATGGAGTGTAGGCCATAGCATGCGAGTAAAATAAAAGGGCAATATGATCTATTCATACCATAAAATTTACAGAGTGCGCCGCGACATCCTGCAAAAAGAACAGATGTTGGATGCGAGATGTAAATCAAAAAACAAAAGATAAACTATTCCGATACCGGGAGTCGAACCCGGCTCTCGTCGGTAGCTGACATTATGCTGGAAGGCAAGATGAAAGCGACGGATGCTAGCCGATACACCATATCGGATGTTATGATGTTTGATGAGAGAAATGGCCAGCAACATTGTATATATCCATAATAACAGGTTTTCATCTGAAGTTGTAAGAGACGAGGCAGACAAGGTCTCGCTTATATAGCCTAGATAGCCTAGGCCAGATCAAGGCGCAAAACGTGACCGCGCGATACGCGACTAGATTGACCCTGGTCGCGATCGGAAGCTCCACCCACCTTACATCAAACATGGCCGTAGCGAAGCCATACGGTGTTGTTTTTGACACCATTGGGAACCGACCTCGACGGCCGCAGCCTCGCCCAACGAAAGAGCTTAGCTGGGAGCTCGCCAATCATGCCAAATCATACCTTGAAGCTGGAGAATGTATGTATTAGGCAATGCCATCCCATGTCAACTGCTCAGACCTACCTATAGATGCAACAGGATACGGATTCCTCCACTCCCTATTGTCTGCTGGAACATCTATAACTACACCTGCGAAACCTTATGTCGGAATGCTTGCGCCAGCCGCATACATCGCCTTTGCATCCTCTCTCATTGTCTACCCCGCAATTACGACCAAATCCTCGTCGGCTGAGACAGTCAAAGGCTCCGATGCAGCCTTACGATATCTTCAATGCATCTACAATACTGTCGAAGGTCCGGCGTATAAAGTCGTGAGAAAAGCGCTATCCTTCCCAGATGATCGCTCACGACGGCGTGGTCCCAAACATGGGGATGGAAGCCCGTCGCCGGGCGCTGGTGGGGACATTGAGCGATTGGACACTAAAGGAGCAGGCGCTTTGAGTGTTTGGAATCGCGCAGATGACTTCTGGCATATAGCGGGGTGGGCTTTCAATTGTTCTATTGTGCATAAGAAACGATGGACAAGATGGAAGCTCTGGCTAGAGGTCATGCTCGATCTCCTTGAGGCAGACTGGGACACATGCTGCGAGGAATCAAATGATGCCACAGGTTCAAAAGAAAGCTTGCTTCAGGACAGTCTGATATGGAGATACATCAGCAGCGAGCAGCCCACGCAACGCTCCACTCGTCGGCGCATTGTTGGAGCTGTGCTAGCATTGGGAAACAAGACATCACTCTCTCAATATCCAGAAGTCTGGAACAAGGAGACGATGGGCCCAAAGTCACAAAAGGATGACAGTATGCCCGCTGCGACTCTTGACCTCGAGAACGGAGAGCTAGGCGATTATGTCAACGAGGACGAGGATACGATTATGATGGATGCACCGGAGCAGGATGCACCAAAGCGAAGAGGTCGACCACGCAAATCCGCTATCACATTTGAAGATTCTGATGAAGAAAACTCACCCACCTCGCCATCAGACGGAGTAGCGGCACTGGGCGGGAGAGATTCGATAGAGTTGCGCCAGCGACTCATTGCTTTGATTGCATATGTAGCTCAAGAGCTGCCTGATTCCTTCACCAGCCTAGAGGACTTTTGCGATGACTTCACGGAAATTCTTAGGGGTGACGATGTGCACGCAAGCGCTTTCGGCGTACTCATTTCGACGTCGCGACTGCCGCCAGCCGTTCAATTCGCTCTGAATGGGAACTTCCTCCTCACATATGTAGCGTCTGAACCGCCAAATTATTTCCTTCAACGCCCCACACAAAACGAACTCGAGGAGGAGCTCATGCCCCTCCGCGCCACATCACAAAGCTATACCCACAATGCCAAGATATCGCTCATTCTTGAGCAGATGTTTCTATCCATGATGAAAAAAAATTGGGTAGAGTGGACCGAGTCTCTACAAGACGCCGTGGAAACTGGTATCGAAGCTCGACAAAAGGTATTTGGGTCGAGCAGAGGGAGGAAAGGCAATGCGAAAAATGAAGAGACTAGTAAAGCGGTGATGGAGGATGTGTCCAATAGGCTCATGGGTCTCGTTGAGATATTAGGGATAGCTGCTGGGCGGGAACCCCAAACATGGCCGCGGTCCTCAAATGGCTCACCACTTTCCTCCTCATCTGGAAGCGAGAGTGGGATCGAAGTAGCAGTACCGGAAAGGTTCCGTCAAAAGGAGCCAGTTCCCAGGAAATAAAAGAGTAGGCAAGTGTGCCGGGGGCTTACATAAGCATAGTTGTCGTCCGGGGTCGGCTTCACGTTTTGAGGAATCCGAATCTGCCAACTAGGGTAGAATGCATTGAAAGATGCAGTACACCTTTAGAAGCCATGTTATGTCCAGGAATCACATATTGAATGCGTACCCAGTTGGGCTTAGTATTGCCTTGAGTGTGATGTTATCAGATAAGTTTGTTGACGTGTCGGCGGGCGCAGAATCCTACAGTGGCGCATAAATTGAAGAGAATGCACGATCCTGCTGCGGCCAGACCCTCAATTACGTGACCACGGTTCACAAACTAGAGAAATCCTACACTTTTTTCCTCACTTTGAGTCATTGGCTCATACATAGTCAACATTCCCCCCCCCCCCCCCCCCCCGCAACAATACGCCAAAATAACAATCAACAACCACATCAGATTTCGACGCCGACCATCTAATCGTTCAGACCCACCATCATGCCTCCTAAAATCTCCATCGTCCGTCACGCCCAGGGTTATCATAATCTCACCCGCGACTACACGCTCCACGACCCTCTTCTAACCCCACTTGGCAAAGAACAATGCGCGACCCTGTCTTCAGTGTATCCCCATCACGCAACCGCCGACCTCGTCCTCGCGTCGCCGTTGCGCCGCACCGTGCAGACTGCTTCTTATAGCTTTGGACCAACACTTGCACGAGATGAAGTCCCATTTGTGCTAGTTCCAGAATTACAGGAAGTTGCTAATTCTGGTGAGTTTCCACTTCATTTTGCCATCTCTCGAAGATTCAACTCCTTGTTAGTCGGAAGTTGAGATGACTTGAGAGGCCTGGACGACATGTTAGTGTTGCTGAATTTTTGTTTTTCTAATGATTTTTAGGGGCTGATACCGGCACGGATGCGGAGATACTCGACAAAACCTACGAAGAGATGTTCAAAGGGGAAGATCTGGGGTTCGATTTGCAAAAGATCGATAGAAGTCGTGTAAAGGAAGGATGGAATAGTAAGGTGTGTATGCGACGACAACATTTGTGATCAGACCCGAATCGAATCTCGCGTGCAATTTCGAAAATAGATGGTCCCATGCTAACAAAAATCATCAACAGACGGGATACTGGGAATACACCCATGAAGCGCTCGCAAACCGCGCACGCGACTTCCGAAACTGGGTTTTCCAACGCCCAGAGAAACATGTACGGCCCATCTCGAAGATGCCCTTATCTATTCCCCACTAACCAATTTGCTCAGATCCTAGTCGTAACTCACGGTGCGATTGCGCACTTCTTAACCGAAGATGCCGACGTACCTGACCCCATGATTGAAACCTCGTACAAGAACTGCGAAGTACGAGATTTCGTGTTTGCTGAGGACTCGACACCTACGACAGCCCACTTATTGGAGACTAAGGAGAGTAAGGAAAAGAGGAAACCCCGGCGTGGAGAAGTCGAAGAGCACGATGTCGCAGAGGTGGAAGGGTCGATGAGTGGACAGCCTTTGAAGGTTGGCGCGTAGATGATTGCATTATAGAGGTAGATCATTGAGGATAAGTGTTTAGATAACGATAGAAGCTAGAGATAGAACATACGATATAGATAGTAATGGAGTACAGAGTATCTTGCAAATGGACCTCGCCAATTGATTAAAATGAATGTCAAAATAATTGCAACTTCCCGAACGACTTCGCCGCGGGTTTCATGGGTGGGCGATGGCAATTACTGACATAATGATCTCATTCGTTTGCAGTGTAAATTTAGCGTAGATTACACTCAGGGCAGATTCGCTTTCCTACCTACATATCTAGGTATGTAATATGTATGTATGATCGCAGTATCAGCGTGATTTCAGTCACGTGACCCGCCCTAATCTCGAGATACCTGACCATGTGGATGTCTCATGCCAGCCCAATCCGTTCAACCAAGCTGCCTATTATGCTCTCAAATAAGCACTAATATATATATCAGAGAGTGTTTGTAGAGTCCAGTAGAAAATAGTGTGCCGTCTCTGTATGTAGCTAGAATACTGTCCATTCACTGCCACTAATCTACCCGATACTTATGTAAGCTTGTTCTTCGTTTGCTTTCTATTCACTGCCTAGGCAGCAACCTCTCGTAAAAGGCTAGAACACGCCAAGAGATTATCGCTGGGGCACACACGTGGAGATACCGCCTCCGCACTATATATTCTCAAGGCTGCACTCCACCGAGCACTCCACCAAGCACTCCACCAAGCACTCCACCAAGCACTCCACCAAGCACTCCACCAAGCGCTCATCATCAACCTCAAGCATGTTGTTCAGCTCGATCCCACCAGAGCTCAAGCTTCTGGTAGCGGAGTACCTTGATCCAGAGTCCTGTTTCAATCTGGCTATATCTTGCAAGCAGATTTGGTTCTTATGCCGGTCGTTGGTCGACAAGCACTCGAAGCTATTATCGGAGAACCAGTCGCTCATCGTCCCACCATTACAACCAATGTTTGACATAATCAACAATCCTCCAAAAGGGTGGTACATCCGGGACTGTGTACTTTGGTATAGCGAGTTCAATGCCGCCGGTGAAACGCCAAAATCCTTAAAGGATAAGGAGCGCCTCATATCGTACTACACGAATTGGATGGAGGAGGAAGGATCCAAGGGTCATACAATTCCGTACAAAGGACAAACCTTCATAACGCCGATAACGCAGCTAATGCATCGCCTGCCCTTCCTCACCACCCTATCAATCAACAGTCAGCCCAACAAATATGAGCCTCATGACACCTACGAACATGCTTATATCAACTTCATGCATGTATTATCGAGGCTTTATCTTCGATCTCTCGGCACACAGCAGGTATGCAACTTGCCATTCAAATTTCTGACAACTGTCGCGGTAGTGCAGTACAATGTGAGGGATGGTTGCGATTTTGATTGGTGCCTTGGATTCATGTACATCCATCCCGTCTCTGAGGAACTTCATTGGCAGGATGCAAGGTGAAGCTGATGAGTGTAACCACAACAAACATCCTGGGAGTCGAAAACTACGGTTCAAGTTGGTGTGAAAAAATGGAGCTGGGAGAGTACAGCCTTGACTGTCAGGATCGAAACTTTGCGGAAGCTCCGGTTTCACCTGTGTAAGTATTCCCCAGACAGCATCTGATCAAGACATCACCAGGTTCCCTTCAACATGAAATACTTACTTTTCTACCCGTGATTTAGTGAGGAGCTACTATTTCTGCTTACCAGTCTGAAACCGAGAGTGATCAGTAGAATACTGAACCGTACGAGAGCGCTCAAGAAATTCTCTTATGATATGTTTGACGTGTTTCAGCGATGCGATTACGAGCCGAAGAAACTACTCTGCTCACTGGCTAAATATACGCAGTCAATTGAGCACATAACCTTGGAAGCTTATAGTAATAGGAATAGGAATGTAAGTTTACTGGATCACGCTTGCAAAGGCAATGGCTAATAGATTATTAGGTACGAGAATTTCAACCCCATCGTAGAACGAAACTCGAGGATCAAGCCATTGATCCCTATGGTGGGAAGGAAGTCGAAAACCGAGATATAAGACTTTTTGATGAGGCAGAGATCGAAGAAAAGAGCATCTCTCTCCGAGGTTGTAAGAAATTGCAATCATTGCGGTGCCACTGGGATGCGCTTTATCCCGAGTCCATCACCAAGTCACCGCACACATGCCAATACCATACTGAATATGATGTGCGCGAGCTACTTCCGGAGACGCTCGAGTCTTTACATCTCTTGGGGGAATTCTCTGACAATCAATGGCAACAAGTATGTGCGAATTTTGCGCACGACAGCCCTCTCACGCCCAAGCTGAGAAATGTTTTCATTGAGAGGGAGGACTCCCATGAGACTGCTGGCTCAAAGCCTCGCAAGAGTATAGTCTCGATCTCTAAAAACCCCCTTGCACGTTTTGGGACCAGATTATGAAACTAAGATATATCACAAGGTTGAGGATGGGATTGGGCAGGCAGGCTTTGCGCCGATGAGAAACTACAAACGGCTAGGGGAAGCGAGAGAACACTCAGGATAGTAAGATGTTCTTCCGCATGTCAATCGAAACAGTATAGAACGGAATATGAGAATACTCCCATACTATCGTAAATCGTGATGAAATTAAATCGTGAGTCATAAGGTGATCAGTGTTGAAGTCTGGCCGTTCATGACGTATAGGGCAACAATTTCAGAAGGCGCACTCTCGAACGCCTCCTACGTCAACTCCATTCGTAACCCGTCCTTCAAGCTTCTGACATAGTACCATAACTATCCCCGTCATCCGATCCATCACTCTCCTCACCTCTTACTATTCTCAACACTTCTTCAGGCACACTCTCGCCATGCCAAATAGCCAACCCCCCAAAAGTCTTCAAGCACTCCTCCCCGTACATTTGGAAAACCCAGCGATCCTCCGCACTTGAGCCTGGCCATGGCTTCATACCCAGCTTCTCTCCCAATTTCTGCAGCTCATTACTAATCTTGACGCTGTTGAGCATCTCATGCTGCTGCTCCTTCTGGAGGATCATGTACACACTGACAAGATCTGGCACGGATGAAAACGACCATGGGGATGGAAATTGCGGAGGGGGGAGTGGCGGATAAGCCGCACGCTCACGGTCAGCGGTGATGACATCGAAAGGCGGGAAGACTGCTGGATCTGTCCCTTCACCCAACGCTGCACGGATGCGGCGCTCGTCGTTCGCGAAATAATTGGTGAGCTTCTCGGCTTGCTCCGTAGGGTTCATGCTTTCGAAATTGTGCTTCGCATAGTTGTAATAGTTCTGTTCTGCTTCTTTGAAACGATCGAATTCGTCGTTGGGCGATTCAAGAATCATGCTCGAACTGAGCGTATTGTACGGGTTCTTGATGCCCAGACCTCCCTGGGCGACCGGGAAATAAATCAGGGCTTCTGGCGACGCGGAGAGAATGTGGTGTTGGTCACCTAGATAGTTTCGAAAGAGGTTGAAGATATGACTGGTGAGTTCTTGGCCTTGAAGTATGATCTCATGCATGAGATTGTAAGCATGGGTTACTGATTCAAGATGATCTTTACCAAAGACGTTGGCGAGAGGTCCGAAGAGATGAGGAGAGTAGTTTCCAATGGTGTTGTTCCAGGTATAAATCCACTCTATCATCGTAGAACATTCAGAAAGACGGTTCTTGGCACGGCTGGCGTATGCCTTGACCCTCGAACTGTCGATGGTGTGAGAAACTGTCTGGCCGGACGCGGTAAAGTTGACAAGACCAAGCGGTTCTGCTATCATATCTTTCTGGGTAGCTTGGAGACCCATAATCTTCGAGAATCTTGAAATTTCAGTTAAAGCAGTGTCATGCTGTTGCTGGTTACCGATAAAGTAACACTTGTCGCCCAGGCGGTAAAGATGAGTTTGCGTTTCCCGGTGGACGACCAGATCCAGGAAAAACAGAACGGCTTCTCCAAAGAAAACTCCAAGGCCATGTCCAACAGGAACCCCCTGGGCACGAGTGAGAATCCGATCGCTTGTTTCACGTACAATAGGGCCCATGTTGAGGGGCGCTCCAAGATAGCGCGAGAAAAAGTCGAGCCATGTCTGAGGTACACCGAGAAATTCCAACACTTTCAGTATTGTCTGATGTGGCAGCGAAGAGGCGAAAGACTCGAAACTTGCTGCAACACCATGAACCGATCCATCAAGTGCAAGCCTAAGCTTTGCTTCGATAGCCAAGGTTTTTAGTAGCAGCGCCTGAACCTTACTCGCGCATACACGATCCGGTGAAGCACCAAGGAGCTTGGGAAGCCTTGATAAGAAGAACGATTTTGCGTAATCTCCATGCCTCGTAACAGCCATATCTCTCCTTATATACGACCCGAGGGGTGGTGGCGGCGGCGGCGGGGGCACGGGCAATGGGATCCCCTTGTTCCTTTTCCTTGAATGTACCGTCATGGGTGGCGGAGCTCGGTATTTTCCTTTCCGGTGGGGCGGCGAGTTGTAACGATCGTAGTTCTGGGCTATAATTTCCAAACCCATCGGCATAAGAGGGGGTGGTGGCGACACCTCTGAGTACGAAGATGGCTTGTAGTACGCTGAAAGCCAGTATTCCATACGTTGTATCTCTCCAACAGAGCAAGTTGAGCTTTCACCCCAAATTATCGGGTATGAGATAGCCTCCCTCAAAACACTCTTGAGCTTCATACTCCACCCTATCGCGGTGGTGTGCAGGAATAGCATATCGATAATGTCTTCTTCAATAACGATGCAGTACTCGCCATCCGAGTTTTGACGGGCTGTAACCGGGAGACCGTGTCCGACATCGCGATAATTCCAGTGGCGAGCTGACTTCACGTTAAGTGTACTCTTTAACTCCCGAATTGCTGCAGGAGATTGCAGGTACCCTTGCAAGGTCTTTCGTTTCTCGTCACCGATCAGTCCGTTCTCAAGCAAGTCCTCAATGCACCATGTGACAAGATCATCGTCAACTTCTTCAATACCCTGCATAGTTCTCAAGCCATATCCATTCATAGAGCTACGCATAGATTCGAGAATCGATTTTGATTGATCGCTGGCGAACATGCTTTCGAGATACTGTTCGATAGCTGCGACATCGATGTCCTTGAATTTCGCAACGTTCTTCTCGAATGACTCAACCACAGCCTCGAGCCTATCATCCACCACTTCAAAGTCATCATCAAGCCCTGCTTTATCGAGTTTGGTGGTTACAGATGACATGCTCGGCTCTTTCTTGTCCCAAAATTGCCTCAGCAGCTCAGTATGCATTGCGGAGACGCCTAATCTATTGAGGAACCTTTCAATGATCTCAAGTAGCTCAGTCTTGGTTTTGAGCACCGTAGCTTGTGATATGGAGGGGTCATGCTGAGCTTGTTGGACCAGACGGATAAGATAACTCAGATGACTGTCGTGTTCGAGCAATGGTTTGAGCTCTTCGATTTGCTCAATAATTTTTCGAGTTTGGAGGAGCATAGTGTCTTTGGTGGTTGTGGGCTCGCTGGTCAATTCAACGTACTTTGCGTGTAACCGCGCTCTCGTGCGTTGGAGCTCTTCAGCCTTGAGCTCGGCAGCTTCCCGTAAGACGGGAGGAACCGCGGGAGGGGTAAAGGCAACAACCATGGCGAATGAAGAGATGGAGTCCCAAACAAAAATCGTTTGTCATTAATTATTTTGGAGGGAGTGGAAAGAAAACTGGAAATGAATGCAAAAGGTTTATATAGTGGAAGTTCAACATAGCCTCGCTGCCTTGTAACGATGTTCGAGGTGCTTATAACAGACCGGTCAAGGCAGACGCACATGTAGGCAATGTATTGGATACGGTGATGCTGAGCACCGACAATGGTTGCCTTGACTGACCCCTCTTTCTCGTCATTGAAACCGATCAACGATAATCATCGCGAGAACAAAATCTTGATTAAGCTGCATACAACTTACCTATCATGCATACAGACTGCTGCTGTCAAGCTCTTATTCGGCCTTGTCAACGCCCCATTATTGCTGATCATGCGCCTCACGTGGGGGAATTGAGGGGTTCATCGACGCTGCCACTTCTTCTTCGTGCTCGGCGGTTCGAGCATGATTGGGGAATTCCGTCGTCGCCAGGTACATGAGAGTGTACCTTTTCCAATACCCCACCCCCTCTATCTGCTCTCGTCGTCATCATGCTCAAAACGGTCTTCGCCGCCAACAGCACATCTCGCAAATAGCCAGCAGACACATCAACCTCGCATTCAAAGTGAGGCAAAAAACGACAACAATCTGTATGACGACAGACGCGTCCTCGGCTTCGGAACACATCATCGGCATTGAGTCGGAGCGTATCGTATAGTGAGGCAAATCTGACCTTACCTACCGAGGAACGACCGATCGGAAGATACCATACAGCTGCTTTCTCTTTTCTTGCGCAACTGCTTTGCCCTTTCGCTGCCGTGATCCCAACTAAGCTCGTATTGTCTGCCATGCGGAGTCCCGGAACCAGACTCGTCCACGCGAATGAGGATTTGCAATTGATAAGCGGGAGCTCGGTTTGGGGTGGTTTCCGGCGGAAAGAAGATGATGGAATGTCTTTAGCCTTGCGGATACATCTTGCGCTGCGAGGGCGGTGAGCCAGCGAGTTTTATGGGGGTTTCGTTCAATTCCGCTGTAGTTCTGTCAAGGCATTCGACGAGTTTCTCTCGTAGAGGAAGAAGGGAGGACCTGAGCAATTGGAACACGGTAGTGTCGAAGAAGTTCGCTATTCGATGGTGTGATGCATTCTCTGGATAAATGGAGCTGAGTTTGAACATGCAGATAGACAATGGACTTGATCACCCCACAATCACATCTGCACCGCAACCCTATTCGTCTGATACTTCTTGGTGCTCGGCAACAGAACCGTACATACCACAGCCATACTCCCAAATGCAATGCTCGTGAACCAGACGTATTTCAAACTTTCGCTATATGCCCACTGTACGCCTTTTGTCGCGCTCGCGACAACCGCAGGCGTAACGCCAGAAACCTCTCCCACCGTTTCCGGAGCAGTCAAAAACGTCTCGACGAACGCTTCGACCGACGATGCAGGGAGTCCAGCTTGGAGAGCAAACGCAGCGGTATACTTGGGTAAGTTGGTACCGAGCTTGGTGGCGAAGACGTTATAATAGATAGAGTACCCAATAGACCCACCAACGGTGCGGATGGAAAGCGACATAGCTGCTGCAGTCGTGATAAGTGCATCCGGACAAACAATCATGGCAACGGTAGCAGCGGGGACAAGGACGCCACCCACACCAAACGATGCTAGTGACCCCAAAGCCACTGTCAACCTCTCATTATCGGGATTGCAGACTGCTAAACTCCCCGCAAAAGTTGTCATGAACAGTACAGCGACTAGCAAGATCTCCCTACTTCGTCCTGGGAAGATGGATAAAGCGGCATTGAAAACAACAGCGCCTACTGCAGTTGTGAAGGCTGGACCTATACCCCGTACACCGATCTTGACGGGGATGGGCTCGTAGACAGATTTGAAAACTATGGGGAAGAAGTTGAGGATCGAGAAGAAATTCATGCCCGCAGTGAAGGCGATGAAGTAGGCAAGACCCACGATGCGTTGGTCTTTGAAGAGGGCGCCTGGTACCATGGGGTGGGCAGCGTACTTCCACTCGTAGACGACCCAAGCGGCGATGAGGAGGATTCCTAGGAGGAGTGTGCAGAGCACGTATGCACTACTCCAGGGATGTGTGTACCCTCCTGACTGAAGCGCTACGAGACTGATTCGACAAGAATCAGGAATCGGATATGTCTGAAAGGCAGGCGATCACTTACAAGAGCGTTAGTCCAGTGATGGACAATATGCCTCCGACGTAATCGATCTTCTTCAAGATAGCTCTGCGCGAGAATCCCTCGGCGCGGGTGTGGTTGTATTGAGGGAAGTAAGTGAAGAGAAGGCCGAGCCCAATGATTCCATTGTAGATTAACGAAGTCCACGGACCCCATCTCCACCCTACGTTGTTTCCATACGACCATAGCTCGACGTACAAAAGGTACGGGCAGAAAGGGAGGACGAAGGCGGTTACCAGCGCCAGAGAATACCCCCGGTACTTGACCGGTACAACTTCAGCGAGCCTGTTTCCACTTTTATCAGAACAGATGCTCGAAAGGAGATGGGGACTTATGGTAGACAAAAGCAACTTACCCAGCGAGCCCTGTCAGCTCACCTATCGCCGCACCGACACCTGATAGAGCCATTCCAGCAAGGGCTTGTGCGAAGTTATGGGCAGATCCCAAGAGAGTACATCCAAGACAGATGCAGAGCGAACCAAACAAAGCGATGTATCTTTTCCCAAACAGATCTTGAAGATATCCGGCATAAGGGCAAGCTGCAGCGATGGCAAGAATGTTGGCGGTTGGCAACCAAGCCGAGCCGTGAGCCAACTGAAGGTCCTCTTCAATGAAGCTGAGCGATCCACCTGTGAAATAGAGTATAATTTGGGAGCCTGAAGTCACCGTTGTGAGATTCCAATTTTTTGTATCGAGGACTGTAGTAGCTTACCGGTGTATAGACCGGCAAGAAAAATGGCAGCAAGAACACTGCGGATGCTCCAGATCACCTTCCCATCCGAGTCATCTCCTTTAATGGCATTGCTGTTCAGAAGATCAATGCTGTCCAAGGTTTGCTCTTTTCCGAGAGTGAGAGAGGCGTCAGTTGGCGATTGATCCACATTCTCGATATGGGCAGTGTCTTGTTTCTCATTATCGTAGTTCGAGGTCATGATATTCGCCTGTTTACTTGAAACGGTATAAATTGAATAGATACCTAGGTAGCTAGGCGGAGTTCGAAGATATGTACCTAGGTATGGACTGAAAAATGGGTTCAGAATATTTGGGTATTAGGGTTATGTAGCAACGATATTCTATCGTTCAAGTTATGTCTCATTGCCAATCGACCCTTGGGATCTAGAAGAATGACCAACATGCATGCTTGTATTATACCATGGGCCGGCCGCTATGCCTCAAGATCCGGAGTAGCTCACTTAGCGCGAAGTCCGGAATGCGGGGAAACATTCTGAGTGCAGGTGCATTCATGGCATGCACTGACTCGACCTGATCGAAGATAACATCAAGACGCGGGAATGGCTGGAATACAACCGACAGTTGAGCCATTACCTTGGCGTGGCGCATCCCAGTTGCACAGTGCTGACTCGCGATCGTGGTACAAGGCAACCTTACAAAATGTCAATCTTGGTATTGCATTATAAATCTCCTTCCGAACGGCATTGTTAGTAGCGAGGGAGAATCCGGGGGTCGACCTCCAGTATTCCAGAGGCAGATTTAAGTCTATTGGTCTCATTTCTTACTCTTTTTCACGTCCAAATCCTCTGCGACCAGCGCCTTCACGTCTTGCTCCATCAACCAGCCCTTTACACTTTCCATCACCTTCTCAAGAGTCGGGCCACCCTCCATAACATCATCCAGATTCTGCACCGTCATCCCACTCCTATGATCCGTGACCCGCTGCTGGCCATAGTTGTATGTGCGGACTTTGTCCCCTCGGCCCATCTTGGCTACTCCTACGACACTGCGTCGTAAAGCCAACATCTCCTCTTCTCTCTGCTCACGTCGAATCTGAGCAACACGAGAGCGCAGCAGGGTCCAGGCCTTCTCCTTGTTTTTGATCTGCGATCGAGAATCCTGCATAGCCACTACCGTGTTTGTGGGAATGTGCGTCAATCGCACAGCTGACTCGGTCTTGTTGACATGCTGTCCGCCCGCACCACTGGCTCGCATAACCTCCGACCTCACTTCTTTGATGTCAATGTAGTAGTCGCTTTCTGGATCATCGATGTCTTCCTGCGCAATTGAGTTTTCCTGCAAGCTGGGCAATACGAGAACCGACGCCGCACTCGTATGTGTTCGACCTTTGGATTCGGTAGCCGGGACCCGCTGAACACGATGGACACCTGCTTCACATCTAAATGTAGCATATGCATTCTCCTGTTCGATTTCCAGAATGGCTTCGGTAAGGGGTATACCGGCCTCTTGCGTACCATTCGCATTTTCGTATTTCAACAATGTGGTACGGATGCCGGAACGATTGCAGAATGCCTGATACATGCGTAAAAGATCACCCGCAAATATAGCAGCTTCTGATCCACCGGCCCCCGGACGTATTTCCATCAGACACGGCAGATGAGCGAAAGGATGTACGGGGACCAAAGATGTGACGAGGCTTTGCGAGGCATTCTGGAGTTGCTCCCTTGTCGTTTCCAGGTCATCGGCCGCCAATTCGCGAAGCTCGGCGTCGCTATCGGGGTCGTGAATCAGTGAGGTGAGCTCTGTCACAGACTTAGTTGATCAGCACTTGTAGTTTTGTCGAGATACCGAGGGCGCATGCGGACCTCGTTGGCTTTATCCCATTCCTTCAATGCATTGGTGACTGTACTGTATTCGCCCGCCTTCTTTGCTGCCTGTGTATCGAAGCCATTGGCGAGTTGATCAGTCAACTTCTGGTGTTCGAGAGCAACGTTGCGCGCGCGAGCTAACAGGGCTGGAGGGACGGTTTCGGCGGTGGTTTTGGTTGATTGGTATCGAATCGATCTCGGTATAAGGCGTGCGGTCGGCCTTGAGGCGCGGTAAAGACAGGTTCGACAGACCCAAAGTCCTGTCGACATTCCGAGTGTGATGCGCAGTCTGCAATCCTAGTATTGATTTTACGTGCTGAGTGAGCACTGAAGTAAAAAACTTGGTGTTTCAAAAAAGCCTGCATCTGCAATCCCAGGGAAAACGAGATGGAATGTCGAGAACGCGATTAGGAAAACGCGATTGTCGCTTAGCAGTCACGCTGCACGTGATGTCCACGCTCACATCTCTCCCGCCAATCACATAGGCCTGTCGTTTACACAGTAGTCTACATGAAATCGAAGCTGAGACATATCAGGAATAGGCCTTTCCGAACAGCTTGACAAGGTGACAACGTCATTCAGTTACCTATAGAGCTAGTCGCTTAGTGAAGCCATCGCGGGGAAATGCGTTCGGACGCAAGCTACGGCATCAATACCCCTCCGTTAATATCCGCATGATAACATGAGGATCTCCTAGATAATAGCAGAAATCAAGCATTGCCGTGAAAACGTTTGTTTCACAACTTTTGCGACTTCGAGTTTACTTGAGATTCCTTGCCAGGAACTTTACTCCCCCGCATTCGTGAAATTCCCCGCTTGCTAGCCAATCATGGGTCCCAACATCTACTCGCATCCCGAGCCCCAATTCCTCCACTTCCCCTCCAGACGATCCGTCGTACACAGCACCAAGGGGATAGTATCATGTACTCAGCCGCTCGCTACAGCTGCTGGCCTGGAGATTCTCCGCAAAGGAGGAAATGCGGCTGTATGTTTTATCCTAAAAACCTATCCATTTCCTCCCCAGACCTGTCACTTCGTTATATCTTCACCATTTTGTGACCCAGTAACTGAACAATCGCTATACAGGATGCTGCCGTAGCCGTAGCGGCGGCAATCAATGTCGCCGAACCCTCATCTACAGGCATAGGAGGTGACATGTTCTGTCTGTTCTATGATGCCAGCACCAAGAAGGTACATGCCATGAACGGCTCAGGGCGTTCGGGACAGAAGGTCACCCTTGAACAAATGCGAAAAGATCTCAAGATCGCCGACGGAGCGAGTGGCCAGATCCCAATGGAAAGCGTTCACGCCGTCACTGTACCCGGCGCTGCTGCAGGTTGGGTTGATTGCGTGGAGCGGTTCGGAAGCAAGAAGCTCAGCTTGAAAGAGATCCTCGAGCCAGCCATTGAACTCGCTGAAAAAGGGTTTCCTGTTTCTGAACTCTCTGCTCGTTTTGTACGTATAAAGCCCAGTGACTGCTATCCATCCACGAGAAGGATTATGAAGCAAGACCAAACATTCCATCTCTTCAATCTCCCTCCAGACTGACACTGTACACAGTGGGAAAGCGACGAAGCTCTCATCAAACGCGCCTCCCCCAACGGCAGCGAGATGCTCAAAAAAGATCCCTCCGCCCCAGACGGCTGCCGCGCCCCCAAAGCCGGCGAAATCATGAAAAATCCAACTCTAGCAAACACGTTCAAACTGCTCGCGTCCCACGGCAAATCGGGTTTCTATGAGGGGGAAGTAGCCACGCAACTCGTAAAAGTCGTCTCAGATCTCGGCGGGCACCTCACGCTCGAGGACCTCAAACACCACGCCGACACGGGCTCGGAGCCCGTCGAACCCATCTCCCTCCGGTACACGGGTCAAGGCGTGGGTGACTCTCCACAAGGCGGAATAGACCTCTGGGAACACCCGCCGAACGGACAAGGCATCGTAGCGCTGATGGCGTTAGGAATCCTGCAAGAACTCGAAAAGCAAGGCAAAATCAGCAAATGGGGACCGCAAGACCACAACAGCACACCGCACCTCCACGCCGTCATCGAAGCGCTCCGCATCGCCTTCGCAGACGCCCACTGGTTCGTCGCAGACCCGACCACCGTCTCCGTCCCTTCCTCCTCGCTCATCTCCCAACCCTACCTCGCAGACCGCGCAAACCTCTTTTCACCCACGCAAGCCGCCGCCCCGCCGCTCCACGGCTCCCCAGCCCACGCGCAGAGCGATACGGTGTACTTCTGCGCCTCGGACGCGCAGGGCAACGCAATCTCCTTCATCAACAGCAACTACGGCGGCTTCGGCACGGCGATCATCCCCAAAGGGTGCGGCTTCACGCTGCAGAACCGCGGTGCGAATTTCTCGCTCGACGCCGCGCATCCGAATGTGCTGGCGCCCAGGAAACGTCCGTATCATACTATTATCCCCGGGTTGGTCACGTATGCTCGCGATCAGTCTCTGCATAGCGTGTTTGGCGTCATGGGCGGCTTCATGCAGCCGCAGGGCCATGTGCAGGTGCTGCTTAATCAGGAAGTGTTCAAGTTGAATCCGCAGGCGGCGTTGGATGCGCCGCGGATTTGTATTGGGGCCGGCATGCCGGATGCGGATGGGCGGATGACGGATGCAACGATTTATATAGAGGAAGGGATTAGAGAGGATGTTGTTGAGGGGTTGAGGAAGCTCGGGCATAGTGTCAAGGTGTTGAGTGGGTATGGGAGGGGGATGTTTGGGCGGGGTCAGATCATTAGGCAGCATTTTGATGATGGGGTTATGGTTTGGAGTGGCGGGAGTGATTTGAGAGGGGATGGGCATGCGGCGCCTTTTTAAGGGAGGAGTGTGTGAGAGGACATCTCTGAGTATATAGTTGAGTGAGTATAGAGGCGAAGGGAGAAGAAGGCTTAGCTTAGAATGTAACCCAATCCAATTGAATTTGTATTGCTTGTCTTACCTACGGCTGACCTGAGGAAGAGAGAGAATTGGACACTGGAGTACAACAAACAATGGGAATTCCCGGATTTCGTACAACCACAAATCGACGAGACCGCATCGAAGTAGACGACATAAGAATCCCCCGAGAACAGAGAAAGAAGGCGCATGAAATCGAAAGAGGTGAGAAACGGCAAGGCAAAAAAGGAATCATACAAAAAGCATCCTCGGAAAAGGGACATCAAAAGGAAGGCATAGGTCGAGGAACTTTCAGAGAGAAGATGGTGCAGGGGGAATTCAGCGAACCCTTCGAGAGTTCCCTTTTAATCATTAAATTTTTTATTGAAAAAGCGCTCGCAGCAGGTGTCGAAGAGACGTAAAAGAGCCAATCCTAAAAGACGAAGAAGAAAGTTGACAGAACAGGACGAGGATGAGGAGAGGGAAAGGAGAAGAAGAATAAAGATACGTGTGACTCGCTAGTCCATCCCAGACCAACCACCCAAATCCAAAGAAGCAAAAAAACAACGCCATACAGACAAGAACACAAGGCTCGCTTCCATTGAAAAGACCGAGGATGAGTGGATTAGTTCGCATAAGTTTGAGTGTGATATTATGAAGGGAGAGGGAAGCAAGCAGCAGCCGTAACGACGGAGCAGAGTGAGCGTGAAACCTCAACAACTCCATGTATGAGCCAGAGCCAGACCCAAGGCCATGTCCATGTCCATCGAATCGCCACGACATGCGCGTGTAGGAGCCTGGCATGCGACTTCTTCACGATATACGGGGAGGGTCGACAGTCGCGTCCGGTCATGGGTGAAACGGAGTGCAGGGAGGATAGCATCTCGCGTTATCGATGTATTGTTATTCTTCTGGAGTGCAGGACGGGTAGCACCTTTCGTTATCGATGCATTGTGGATTGATTGCGATGCCTCGTTCTACTGGGGCGCGTAGTAAGGAGCAGCAGGCATTTGCTGGGGATAGTAGTAGGCGCCGTCCGGACCGGGTGTCATCATGCCTCCCATGCCAGGCACTGCATAGCTAGCCGGAGCCGGAGGATATCCTTCCATTGGAGGTGCGTAGAGTTGAGAGGGATCAACGTAATATGTCATTCCGTTTGATTCGTAAGCAACCGTATGTGGCTGGCCAGATGCAGCGGGAGCGGAGGGAGCCGGAGGCGCAGGTGGAGCAGCCATGGGCATACCGTAACCACTTTGCTGGGGACCTGGAACGAACATGGGGACCATATTGGCCGGAGGCGGTGCAAACTGAGGCTGAGCGTTGTTTTGTGGATAGTAGTAGCCCTGGGGAACCGGGTAGCCCTGTGGTGGGAAGCTAGGTTGGAACGGTTGGAATGCGGGAGCATGAATCGCTCGTTCGGGAATGTTCGATAGAGGAGTTCCTGTCGATGTCTGGTTGGGATAAGAAGGCTGACGTGTGTGGGGGTAGAGCGGCTGTGGCTCGGAGGGCTGGGCTGCTCCGTTGACGTGGGTGGGGATTTGCTGGTGGAAAGGCTGTTGCTCTTGCTGCTGCGGAGCCTGGAAGTTCATCGAGGCGGGCGACTCAATTCCAGCCACCGACACAGTCTTTTGAGGACGGGGCTGGTGCATTGGAAGCTGGCCCTGCCAGTTTTCGCGGAAAGTAGGGTTCTGGGGGAGAGGGTAAGGTTGTTGCTGCATGTTGTTGAAAGATGTGCCGCTGTTGGGAGAAACAACGGGCGGTGCGCCCGGTACCTTGGTCCCGCCGGGCGGAAGTCGAACAATGGGGCGAGAGGGATCCATGTAACCACCTGGACGAGACATGATGGAACCAGCTGGGGATACCATACCATCACGACCCACTTCGCGGGCCATAGAAGATCGCCTACTCATAGCAACACTAGGAGAGTATACACTGCCACCGTAGACGCTTGTCCGTCTGCTAGAGAAACCACCTCCGAAAGATCCAAATCCTCTTCCGCGCCCTCGTCCGAAGCCTTGCTGATTGGGTCGAAGTGCACGAGGGATGAAAATGAAGGAACGTTCGACCGTGGGAAAGATGTATCGAGGAGCAGCCGGTGGAAGAGAGACGCGGACAGGTTTGTCACGACGAAGGGGCGGTCGGTGATTCGGTAGGCGTGTGTGTTGCTTGATAGGGACGTTCTGGAAGAGGATGGGTGCTTTCATATCGGGAAGGAACACCCGAACAGCAGCATTGTGGGTATGGACGGTTGTGGAGAAGTTCCGAACCGGCGGGGGCTTTGGGTTCGAGTGCATGGGACCTTTCGATGGCTGATGTGTAGAAGGAGCTGCGTTGGTCGCAGCAGATGGATGTGTGGGAGCAGCGTTGTTGACCGTTTCGTGCAGGTCGTGCTGCCAGGGTGATTCAGTAGCTTCGGGCGCATTTTTTCGTAAACTAGACGATACAGGTCAGCATTTTCATTCCATTGTATACACTGGGAACGAGAGAAGATCAAAAAAAAGTCTTACTTGGCTGGTGAAAATGGCCCTCCGATGGGTGCTCCTCCACTTGCTCCTCCTCTCAGACCACCTCGACCACCAAATTGTCGGAAGCCGTTCTGTGCATGCGAGGAGCGCTGGTCGTGCATGAAGAAGGCGCCACGGTTTGGAATGAAGGCTGGATCCGAGTCTCGTTTCTTCTTGTATTCCTCATGCTCCCGTCTCTTCCGCTCCGCAAACGACTCCATGCGGCCGGGCAACGGTCCCCCGACGGGCGGGGCGGCCTCGACGGTGCTGGCCGTCTCAAAATCGATGACTTCATCGCCGGCGTGGTTGTCTGATGGCTGGAGGCCGTTGAGCATCATTTCAGTGTCCTTGGAGGGTGGGAAAGCAGCATCGGAGCGGGCAATGGGCGGTGAAGGTATGCGTCGACTCTTGATGTCTGTCCGCGGCTTCACATCTCGAGCCGGGGTCGTCTGTGTTGATTTCCGCTTGGTCTTGCCCTCGGTCAGAGAGGCAGAGCTGTCCACCTCGCTCAGGTCGCTGTTGTCGGCGTCGGCGTGCTCGTCCCCGTCGCTGGGAGCCGAAATGTCGCTCTGCGAGTCGTCGACACCCGCCACCGACCTGTCCTCGTCGTCCAAGGCCCTGCGGCGGGCGAGGTTGGTCGACCTTTTCCTGATGCCAGCCATGATTCTGGAGAGCAAATGGAGCGTGGCGTGTTGGAAACAGCGATGGAGTGGGCGCGAGGGCTGGGGGGGAAGAGTGGTGATGACTCGCTGAGAAAATGATGTGGAAGCGCGGTAAGTTCCGACGTCTAGAATCCTGGGTGGATGGGTGGGTTGAATGATGTCTAAGTTGTGCACTCAAGTAAATAATAATCCCGGCCGGCTAGCTGGCTGGCTGGCTGGCTCGCTGGCTGTTCCATGGCCCAAGCGCCGCGCTTCCTCTCCCTCTCCCGCAACACCACCCGCCGTCATTGTCTCCAACAAATAACAACAACGGTGCACGTCGCCTCGAGGAATGCAATTACATGCTGTGCCCTGTCTGTCTCCCATTCGTGTAGCCTTTGCACCGCCAACGCGACACGTCTGCCCGGGACCCTCCTGCCATCGCTCCACCTCGCAAACCACACATGCCAAACAAACAAAGACACATGCACCATCGTCCCGTCGTGATCAACACCACCTGGTTCCAGCACCTCCAAGACAGCATCCAGAGACAGGAAAAAAAAAGGACACGTGAATTTGTTTCATCTTTACCTAATCTTGCATGGCCATGTGCATATCTCTGTATACAATATACATGTCCATGCTACTGCTGCAGCTGCAGACAGGGCCACAATCAATGAATTTTGCAGCACCTCACTTTCCTTTGGAACAAGCAAATGGACCGGTACATGAAATCTTACAATTAATGTATATATTGCACTCTCACGTAAATCCAACAACCGGCTGCTGCTGATGATACATATGTACACTGAGACATTGAGGTGGGGTACAGCCTTTCTTGCTATGTATGAGACAATTGGCTGGTCGTCACTCGTCAGGTAGTTCTATGTCCTGAAGACTGAGTCAACATCAAACTCTCATGACTCCACATCCCAAGACAATTTGCTTTGATATCATTTTGCTTGTTGTATTACTATCATTTGGTATTTCACTAGTCGATGCATGCTACCGCTAATATGCGAGATCCTTCCAGTCCCATTGATGCCGTGCCGCTCTTCCCCGTGGGTGGGGAGAGGATGAAGAAAGAAAGGAAAAGGAAAAAAAGCAATCCATCCAGCGCCACGCTGATGCTAATGGGCCCCTGTCTAATGCAGTGGCCCCCCAGTGATAAAACAAAGCAAGAATGTCCGCCAGATATGCATGGTGAAATTCCTTTTGGGGGCGAGATAAGAAAAAAACCACATAGGGTCAAGGGAATTGCGGCCCCGTGAGAGTAATGTATAAGCATACAAGCTCCGATGAGGTAGCTTCACCACCATAGTACAGGTTTTGGAAAAGAAAAGGAAGAAAGGTTAGGTATGCCATGCTGAGCATTGGCGTGAACTGCTCTCCTAAGTAGTATCGTGAATATACGTGCAATCATCCCCCTTATTGCATTGGCCTTTTGCGTAGAACCTGCAGGGGATAACCTTATGCCGTTTGGGAATGAATCCCCCAAATTTATTTTTCTTAGTGGGATTGTTGTCTCGATCGTTATCAACACTATCATCGCGTTGGCGCTTGTGCCCATTGCGCGTGTGTTGCGCCTGTTGAGGCTGATTCTGCTGGTAAGCAGCGGCTGCATCCGATGGCGGAAGAGAAAAGCCGGGAAATCCCGCCCAGCCCGCTTGAGGGGGAGGAGGAGCTACTTGTGGGAATGCAGGATTGCCTCCGGACACGGCCGCCATGATAGCATTAAGATCTAGTGGTGCCGCTGCAGGTTGCTGGGAAGTCGGATAGGTCATCTGTGGTTGTGCTGGTGCTTGGGTTTGACCTTGACCAAGGGCACTAAGAATCGCTGCGAGGTCGGGGACGGGTGGAACGGATGTTGGCATAGAGACTGAGGTTGTTGGAGCCGAAGTCGAAGCTACGAGGGGAGGTGTATAGCTAGCTTGATCCGCCGTTGGCTGCTGTGGGACAGCAGGTGTAGAGAGTTGTTTTATCATGTTTTCGAGGCTGCTGAAATCGGTCAAGGCGGCCGCTGGTGTCGAAGTTTGCGCCCGCTTCAAAGTCCAATCGGGTGGCTGTCCAAAATTGGTGACTGGCGCGGATGGTGAAGGTCGGGTTTGCTGCTCTAGCGGTTCGCGAGGAGATGACGGAATGTCGCCAGGATGGGCGTAGAAAATCATCAAAGTTGTAAACTCATGCTGGATATTGGCTTCCTTTTCGGGGCATGTGGGAACACACTGGCCTCCGCCGAAAGGCGCATAGTTACGGGCGCGCTCTTCAGGATTCACATTACTAAAGTCGATTTCGGATGGTTCTTTCCAAGTCAGATATTCTGTTTCCAGCTCATCCTCATCCTCATCGTCCATCATCTCTTTGTGTTGCTTGAACATGCGTCCTTCACCTCCGATGTCACCCGCATCACGCACAAAGTTCTCATCGTGGCCGGATTCCTCCTCGGGATCGTGGTTGAAATATCGAATGGCGACCAATGATGCATCAGGTCGGAATGACACACGGAGATGGCGGCGCGATTCCTTTCGCAGGCGCTTCGCTTTCTCTTCTGGTGTCTCTGGCGGAAGCTGTTTCTCCGACTTCACTGGCGCGACGGGCTCTTCTTCTTTGGGTTTTAGCAACTGGGCCATAGTTTCGGCGAAAGAGAAGGCGGGTTTGGCACTGGCTGCCGCAGCTGGCTTCTTGTCTTTGGATGCAGAAGCTGCGGATTTGGTAGAAGGTGTCGCGGTAGAAGATGATGTCGAGGTCGAAGTCGGCTTCTTACTTGCAGCAGTCAAAGACGCAAAGAGGGCTGATGGCTTGTTGACGATCTGAGTTCCTCGAGGTTTAGCTGATGTTGGAGCAACCTTTTCGCCGGGACGTTTTTGCGACGATGCTGCCGCTGTCACTGCCTTGACCGGTACTACGCTTGCGCTCGATTTCTTTTCTCCATTAGCTGTCGACTCGGCGGGCTTCAATTTTTTTGGTGTGCCATTTCCAGTGCCCTGTAGTGCTGCTGGCCGTTTGGTGGTTTTTGACTCGGCGGCAGTCTCACTCACAAGGGGCGGGCTTACTTTGGGTTTTTTAGAACCCGCAGCCGCGCCATTGATGATGTCCTGAATAAGCGATTTGTGTCTCTCGTTTGCATTTTTCTTCATGGAATTGAGAGCTTTTATCAACTTGGTCTGCTCGAGCAATTCAGTGTTCAAGGTGCCTACGCATTTGGCCAGGACCTCGTAGATGGCAGCTGGCACATCTCCATCGTAATCCTGCATTTTGAATCGATTTGCGAGAAATTGATAGCATAAGTAAAGGAAAGGCTTCACTTGTCCAATATGGTAAAGCACGTCAGGGTGCGCGAAATCCAGAGCGGACCTCAGCGCGGTTTTAAGAAGAGCCCTCTGACCAGCCACTCGCTTCTTGAGCTCGGGAATTTCATACTTTTTCTTCTGCTCCTCCGCTTCCGTGACTGCTTTACTATCATTCCGCCACCGTTTTTGAATGGTGTTGCAAATCTCCCAAAAGTCACGTAGACTAAGCTTGATTTTCTCGGAATTGGGCCGCGACTTGCGGGGAAACCAAGTGGCCTTGATGACATCGTACCTCGTTGCTTCATGTGTGTCATCAGGCCGAGAACTCGGCAGAGGCGAAGGTTCTTCCTCCTCCTCCTCCTCACTGCTGTACTCACTGTCGTCCGAGGAATCGTCATAGCTTTCACTGTCACTAACGTCTCTCTGAATAGTCTTTCCTGATGACAACAATTTTGCCGTCGTTTTCTTCGCAAGAAGCTTCTTGTTGTCCGCGCCCGCCTTCCTTAAGTCTTTGACTGATTGGCGAGGCACATATTGTGGGAATGTAGCTACGGATGTCAGACTTTCATTCTTTGTTTGGCTGTGATGTGATGGCTTACTTCTATTCGTTGCATAATAATGCGGCACATTGCTAATGGTCACGAACTTATTCAATGGAGTGGAATTGGTGGCCTTTGCCAGGGCAGATTGATCATAATGGTTGAAACCCCCCGTTTTCTTAAGATTCGGCAGAGTATACTCTGGATTCTTGGGTGGGTTAGAGATTGCCGGCTGAACAGGCCTTTGGGATGGAAAGGCCTCGGGCGCGATTTTTGGGGTAGTGGACTTGGGAGCCTGGAAGCGAGTTAGTCTATGATGCATGAAGCCAGAGCAGACACAAATGCTTACCGGATAAGGCGAGCCAACAGCTCGTGGCGGTTGGACAGCCAAGTTATGTTGTTGAAGAGCTTGTGGAGCCACTGTACTGGCTTGTGTTTGCGGTGGGGGGTTCCGGACACCCAGTGTATATGGCGAGTGTTGCTGTTGGCGTAGTAAACTCGAGTCAACATTCAGAGAAGGGTCGATGTTTGCATTGTGAGCATAGTTGATAAGGGAGCCATGATTCTCGAATTGACCATACTGGTACGGCAACTGGGCGTGACTGGGGTAAGGTTGGTTCATCGAAGTGTATGGTTGTGACTGCGATGGAGGTTGAGGTTGAGATTGAGGTTGAGGTTGTTGCTGCTGTTGTGCCGGTTGGTGTTGAGGTCGAGGTTGTGATTGCGGTTGAGACTGTTGTAGGTAGGAGTTGAAGTGGTAGTGTTGTGTACCGGGGTTGGGCATCAGACCAGCATGGCCGAGGTGGGAGTTTGTCCAGGGCTGCTGAGCGGCAGGCTGTTCACCGGCGGGGAAGAGATTCTCGTAGGCAGGATTGTTGTATATGTCCTGGGGTTGCAGCGGGTGAAGATCACTGGGCACGTGACTGGTGGGAGCCATGGCTTATGTCTCACGGCTTTACCGCCTGACAAACAGACAGACAGAAGACAGCAATTGAATGAAAAGTTCAGTATGTAGTAGGATGGATACCGAGTCTGTGGGGCGTGATTGGTGGGGGCGGTAGAGACAGCCCTAGAACAGCAATGCAATGAGCACTAGGCCGGATTGGGAAAAATGCCAAGCAGCAGGGGGTGAGGAGGTCCGGTTTGGGCAATCAGAGGTAATATATCCGGAATGGAGTGGCAGTAGTGCTGATTGAGTGACTTGACTGACTGACTGACTGACTGACTGGCCGACCGGCTTGAGAGAGAGAGTATGAGAGATTTGCCGTCTGCAGCAGTGCTGACTGTCTTTGCGGCGATGCTTTGCTTTGCTTTGCTGGCTGGCCGGCTGGTTGTACCCAAACCCAAACGCGCGCACTCCTCGCACACTGCCTGCCGTGTTCCGCTATCCACGAATCGTAGCTTTAGAAGGTTTAAAGGGCGGCACGAGGGCCGGTTTGGCTATACGTAGCGAGCGAAGATGCCAGTGGTGATGCGCCGTCCCCGACGTTGCCACACACAAAACTCTGTCTCTCTCTCTCTCGCTCCCAGTCTTGGAGAGCAGAGCAGAGCAGATACACGCACAACTTCGCCGCAGAGCCTGCTTGCCTTCAGACACGCGCACGCCGTTATTGTTTCGCCCGCAAAGAAGCGCCCTTCAATGCCCGGAGATGCAATTAGTAGCAGGCTGCGTGGGTGTCACTTGCACACACACACACAGGCTCGCTTTTCCTTGCGACAAACACCAGCAACAAATCCACACGCACGCTGAATGCACACCCTCTCAACAGTGAGGACCGAGAACAAAGTCTAATTTAATCAGACGCCCTTGTTAACGGGCTAGAGGTCACCGAAGAGTGGCATGAAGAGTGGGTAGATGGGTGGGAGATGGGGAAGAAGAAGAGGGGGAGTTGTGAATGTTGGCGGAGGTGGGTTGGAATGGAGGAGGAAGAAGAGGAGAGGCAGCAGGCAGACGACGCCGACCTAAGTGACCTGGCGCGCTTGCCCGCCAAGCCTGCGCCCGGACGTATCACGTTGGCTCCTTCGGATGCGCCTGCCTTAGGTAAGCGGCCACCTGATCCGGGTCACGTGCTCCAGTGTCTCTGCGCTAGGCCCCGAGTAGCTCGCTAAGTAGGCCGTGGGTGTGCATGTGGGAGGGGTGGCTGGATTGGCTGCGAAACTCCAAGAGAGAGAAATAAAGAAACGAAGCTTCACGTTGCCTCTTTTGTGACCAGCTAGGCTGCCATGTTGTGTCTCTCGTTCCATATACGTGTCCCGTCCTGAATTGCATGCGCTGTTGCTGTCCTTGTCAAGCTGTTCTGCTGTTATTCAATCCATCCTCCGTGCCTACGTTACCCTTCCGCCCATCATCATCAATCACATCGCTTGCGCATGACGACGTCGTAGCCTGCTTCAACGGGCGGGCGCAAGGTAGATTGACAACACCATGGCCACACTTCGAGATCGGCAAATAGGTGAGTAACCTCCGATTGCTCCCTGTACATGCACATGCACCCTCTTGCTAAGTCCACCCACCTGTCCAGCCTCCATCCAACGTATCCTCAATCTCAATGCTCCGAAACAGCCCTCCGACACCGAAGATGCCAGCAGCGCCGTACAGCCCGCAAACACTCCCATCTTGTCCGAAACTGGCGAGCCCATATGGAAAGTCCTAGTCTTCGACGACTTCTCGAGGGATGTTGTGTCCTCGGTCCTCAGGGTCAACGATTTGCGGGCATGGGGGGTCACCATATACCTGCCCATCAACACCACAAGGCATATGATACCCGATGTAAGACAATTCTCTGGCTGCCGATTCAAACTTCACCATCTAACTGAGCAGGTACCCGTCATCTATCTCATAGAACCCACCACCGCAAACCTCCAGATCATCACCAGCGACCTATCCCGCAACCTCTACTCTCCTGCATACATCAACTTCATATCATCCGTTCCCAGGCTGCAACTGGAAGATTTCGCGCAACAGACGGTGACATCCGGTACCTCTGAGCACATAGCCCAAATATATGACCAATACTTGAACTTCATCGTCTCTGAGCCCGATCTCTTCTCGCTTGGAATGAAAGGCGCATATGGCACTTTGAACAGCAACAAGTTGACGGATCAGGAGCTTGATGAGACCATCGACCGCATTGTTTCGGGACTCTTTTCCGTCGTGGTTACTTTGGGTACGATGCCTATCATACGTAGCGAGAAGGGCGGTCCCGCGGAAAATGTCGCCGCAAAATTGGATCGCAAGCTGAGGGACCACGTCCTCAATTCAAGGACAAACCTCTTCTCTGGCGGCGACCAGAAATCAGCCTCAAGCACAAGTTCGCGGCCGGTTCTGATTCTCGTGGATCGCAACGTTGATCTGACTGCAATGCTGAGCCACAGCTGGATCTACCAGTCCCTCATCTACGATGTCTTGGATATGAACCTCAACAAAATCACCATGACTGTGCCTATCAGCAAAGAAAATCCTGAGAAGGGCACCAAGAAGCAATCCTACGATCTCACAGCCTCCGACTATTTTTGGTTACGAAATGCTTCTCTACCTTTCCCACAGGTCGCAGAAGACGTATCCCAGGAATGGAACAAGTACCAGGAAGATGCCAATGATGTCACTAAGAAGACAGGCACATCTTCTATAGACGATCTATCAGGCGACAGCAGCCAATTCGCTGCGCACCTGAAAGGGGCTATGGCGCTGCTTCCTGAACTGAGAGAACGCAAAGCGACCATCACAATGCATATGGAAATCCTCGAGACTCTAATGGAAGGCATCAAGGGTCAGTTATCATCACCCGAATATGCGTCGCATAATTTCTGATCATAAACTAGACCGAAAACTGGACCAATACTTCCAACTCGAAGAAGAACTTACCAAGCAAAACAAGACCCAGATCCTTGACTTAATCAAAGACTCGGACATGGGTAAAGAGCCCTACGATAAGCTAAGGCTCTTCCTACAATGGTAAGATAGACAACGACCAATCTTTACTGAAAACTAATTTGGTCAGGTATTTGACCACCGAGTCCGAAGTGAGCCGAGCAGACCTTGAGAGCTTCACACAAGCCCTGGACGCTGCAGGTGCCGACACGAGCTCGATCAAGTACGTAGCCACCGTGCGACAGCTCACACGAATGACCATGATCTCCTCCGCACCGACACAAGCCTCTCAGCCTGCCTCGCAGCTTTTCGGGGGCTTCAGCAATCTGAGTTCTCGCGTCACCGATCGATTCAAGGAAGCCGGCCTCGGTGCCAATTTTGACGGCCTCCTCCAGGGCGTGAAGAATTTCCTGCCTGCGAACCGAGATCTTACGCTCACCAAAATCACCGAGTCTATCATGGATCCCACCAACGCGTCGTCAAGCGCCATTAGTAAGACCGAAGACTACCTCTACTTCGACCCCCGATCCGCCAATGCGCGTGGTACGCTGCCTCCAGCCAGCCAAGCACGAAACCAGCAAGGCACTCGCATGGGTATTGAGGCTACATTTGGACAAAGACGCCAAGCGTTCTCGGAAGCCATTGTCTTCTGCGTCGGCGGTGGTAGCATGGAGTAAGTCATTCCGAATCTTCAAACATATAGAAGCAAATACTAATTTCTCGCAGCGAGTACGGCAATCTACAAGAGTGGGCCAAGAGAACCAGTGGAGGCGGCACATCCGGCATCGGCCAAAAGCGGAGAGTCATCTACGGATCTACAGCTATCCAATCGGCCACTGAGTTCCTTACCACTGATCTGGCGAGGCTCGGCAAAGAGAGCATGTAATCCACCATTGTCTCCGCAGATTTAGGGTATCATCCAAATGCAATCGAGACACCATCCAGTGTGGCGTTTTGAACCCTTTCTAACATTGGTACATGTCTTTGTGTGAAACTGTGTGACTTGGACCCTTTGGTTTACCTTCTCGAAGTGTTTAGGAAATTACCGCGCTTTTGTGCTTTCCTGACTGCAATGAACTACGCTCTTAATAATGTCCGCGCACATCGAAAAGGCGAAATGATGAGAACAGAAGGGACAGGTCAAGTATGTATACATTAATTATATGAACAGATCTAAGTACTTTGTAAGTGGGTATCTCCAACTCTCTTCTCGACCATCCTCCTGCCCTCAATCCATCACCAGCTTCACTTCCATCTTCCCGATACTTGCGTCATGCAGGCATCTCATGCGTCACGGGCCTTGTCACCGGTGCACTTGCATCCAGTTCCCCCACCTCTCTACTATCCCTCAACTCATACACGACCTTCTGATCGTGGTACGACGGCGGCACCACTCCACTATCCGCTCCTGTGCTATAAGCACTATTCGTAACATCCGCCGCAACGTCAGTGGCAGCAGGAGACCCAGCATATACATCCTGATTCACGCCCGCGTACTCGCTAGTCTTATTCCGCTGCTTCTTGCGGTGCAACAGGAAGAGAATAAAACACAGCGCAGCTATAACCCCAACGCCTGCACCAAGCCCGACCCCGATCTTAGCTCCGACAGATAACCCATCCTTCTCCTCACCAGCGCCCGCCGCATCCGCTCCTCCAGTCGCTGCCGGGCCCGTCTTGGTTGACCTTGATTTTGGCGGCGACGTAGTAGAAAAGGACGTCGAAGGCGGGATCATGGTGGTTGAAGCCTGCGCCGCCGAAGCTAGCATCGCTTCGTCTGTTTTCTGCCACCAGATGGGGATGCCGTGGCCGAGGACGGAGGTTGGGTCGGTCACTGTCGTTGTGTAGACGGGGCCGTGGTCCCAGTAGGAGGTGGAATCTGTTGGCCAGAAGTATGCGACTTGCTGGCCGCTTTTGATGCTTGAGCCGCAGAGATTGCCTTGGCCCCAATCCGAGACGGTGTATGTGAAGCCGCTATTTTTTTATCGGGGTAAGTGATGTGATGCTGTAAAAGGGGAGGGAGGGGGATTGGGTGGACAGTACCTTGGACAACACAATGCTGCCGAAGTATCTGAACCCAGCTTCAGACCATCCACGCCGTTGAAACCTGGGAACGAGGATGTGAAGGTCGTTGCTGTTTGCCATCCTTGCGGACATATCCCTGGACTATCTAATCATCCACATCCACACAAGTCAGCCATTGTCTCTCTTATGCCACTCCCTCTCTTCGTCCCTCGTCTCACCATTGTGGGGGAAAAAAGCAATAAAAGTTTCAGACTTACAATAGTACGAAAACCAACTCTCCGTCTTGCTCAGATCGACTCCTTCGTTTGGCGGCGGCAGGCAATTCGGATCATGGTAGGGGACGAACTTATCATGGGCCATCCACAGATAATTTACATCTGAAAACTCCCATATCGTATAGAGACTACAGGAGGCGGGGGGCTGGAACAGCGTCGACAGTGGACCACGGAAGAAGTCTCCATCGGGTCCTACCGTGATAGTGGGTTGAGACATGGTTTATCTCTCTTCTCTTGTCTTGTAAACTTTGATCGAAAATAAGCATACACAATCCGTCAAACACAGGATATGTACACGCGCAAAGAAAAGCAACGACAACGTTGCAAGAAATACCGCTTAAAACGAGGAGAAAACAAGAAAAAAAGTGTGGTGTAAAGGAGAGCAAGATGAAAACTAGAAGAATTCTTGCACATAGGTACATTGCATGGGAGGAGGCGAAGCAAGCAGAGAAGGACGACCAAGAAGAAGGACTATGCAGTAATCCGACCCCCGAAATAATCGAGTCCTCCCTCCCTCCATGCATCGCCCCCCGTAAGACCAAAGTCCCATCTATATTGCTGACGCCCATCTCCCCAAGCCCCACGGCGCGCACAAATCACAACGACTCTCCTTTGCCTTGGCAAAAACCTCAGCTCATTAAGCGTAGTGGTGATTCGTCGCATTTCCATGCGGCACAAACACTAAGTATTGGAAGACACATGTTAAGCTCAGCTCATACTGTTCACTACCGCATTGAGCGAATTGCGGTAGCTGGTATTCAAGCGCCCGCCAAGATATGCTCACATATTTTCCGCAAGCTCGTTAGGGTCGGAACCCGTGATCTTAATTAGAGCGAGGATGGTCATGTCTATCGGCATTGCATAGGGTAAGGACTGGCTATTGTGGATTCTTTGTGATTTGTATGGAGATTGGGGGTGGGTTGTGAGACGGAATGGGTTAGAGGGATGCGGGATGGAGGCGTAGTGCAGCTCGGAAAGGCGACGGTAGTTGGCTGATAAAGTGTTTTCAGCTGTGAAAATGAGCTTCTTCTTTCGAGACTTGGTGGAATCCATTGGATGAGAGTAATTTTTCGAAATATATGAGCTGGTGAGATGTGAAATTGGGTTTCTCAGTCAGTGTGGTAATAGGTACATAGCGAATGGATATCGTGGAAGAAAACATCTAAATACAAACAAACCACCTATCCCACCTTCTCTAGCACATGAAAATAAATCTAACGTAGAATCTAACTCATAAAACATAAAACCCTCCATGTATAATCTAAAATCCCGTAGTATTACCCCGAGGACCCTGGAAATGTAACCCTAGAAAACACCTCCGTCCTCCCTCCCAGGCCCATATATCCAATGCACCACTTTTCTCCCTCCACTTCCCTCACTTTCATCCCCTTCCCTCCTATCCAAACCCTCTAAAAACTGTCGCTCTCCAGCCAACACACTCTTACTTCTCAAAACCCACCGCACAGCATTTCCCCTCCCACCCACAGCTTCGAAGCCTCCAGTATGCAGTGACTTGGGCGTCAACACCCACGCGCGGGACAAATCATTATAACCGCTTGAAGAAAGTGCCTTCGGCACAGCTACAAGCAGAGTCTTAGAGTATACGAAGGGAGCAAAGAGAACTGCTTTTTTATTCGGCGGTGCGTGGTTGGAAGGTGATTGCGCTTGTGGGGAAGGCAGTGTGACGATCAGCGGGCCATGAGAGCATTCGTTTGCTCCTGAAGCCCACGGGATACCCGAAGAGATGGTTTGGCCGAGGATCGTGAGGAGAAAGGATAACGAAGGAATGATTTGTGAGGGATGCTGGGTCGTGAGGAAGTGGGTGATTGGGAGGGAAGGTGTGAAGAGGGATTGGATAGATTGTTGAAAAAGCGATAGCTGTGCTGGTATCGTGTTTAGAGAAGATGGCGTTGGATCTCCTTGTTGTTGGGCTGCTATGTCGAGAAGCCATTGGAGACCGCATTCGAAGGCGCAAGCTAGTGTTTGGATGAAAATGTTCCGAAGGGTTGGGACGCGTGGGTGATGGGGGTTGGCTTGTGAAGTATATGATAATATATTACTCCAAAGTGTGCTATGGCTTCGAATTCTGTATTGGATGCATATATCGATGGTGTCGCGCGCGCGTTGGACGTGAGACATAAAGGCTGGATTCGGGCGGGAGCGATGCGGGAGATCTAAGAATGTGAAGTCGAGCTGGACGTATTCAGCTCGGCCGTCGGAGCCTTGAGTGATGTTTTCTACATCATGTCGCGCGAGTGGTGGTGGCGCTAACGAAGTGACAGATGTGACAGGAGGGACCGGCCGACTAAGCCATGACATAGAACCATCGTGGAGACAAAGCGGTGGACCGGTTGTACATAAAGCGAATGGATCGCGAGATGCCAGGCCGAGGAGTAGCAGTTTGCGGAGACATTCGTCTTCAATGGAGGGTCTTTGAAATGGCGAGGCTGATATCAGGGCTAACGGGGTATTCGTTATGTTGAGAGCAATGGATATTTTGTCGCGATTTGCATCTAGTCTGCGTAAGTGCTCTGGCATTCGCGGATCACCGCGTGTTATGAGCTTGAAAACGTCTGTTGTCGCTGCTACAATCGATGTAGCGTGTGCAGAGAGCGACGTGTTTTGTTCAGTACAATGACCTGGGGAAGGACCAACATTGTCGCTGGATTTTCCCCGTATTGCTGATGGTGCCCGGAGAATGCGGAGAAGTGATTGAATCTGAGCTCGCTGTGACGGGGCGAGGGAGGCAGCTTTGTCGGCAAGCATTAACATACGCAACAAGAGAGAACCAGTGAATCGTATAATAGAGCTGATTCCGTTTTCTGAGCCAGCAATAGGACACAGGAACACGCGATTCCGTCCCATTCTCATCTCTAGGTGACACCTAAACTCCGGGTATGGACTGTCAGTAAAATACAAGCATAAGTGTATTCAATCGCCCTCATCTTTTTCCACATATTACTCCCATGTTAACTTTACGAAAGAGTCAAACAACTCACCATGCAGAACGGAACCACTCCGAATCCAGCATCCTCTCCACAAACGACAATACCACAAGATCCCCTTCCATCAAGGCAGTGTTCATCTCTTGCCGCTCTCTCCGCCATATAGACACGTCATGATCTTGAAAGCCCTCCCACTGCCTCATCCACCACTGTAGAGCACCCGCTTCATGTCTCTCAACCTCAACATCATCTAACACAACCACCACTGATCTCGCATTTCGATACACATCGCCCATCGCTGCAATCGCGCCTGCCTTTTCTACCTCATTCTCCTGATCAACACATACTTGATCGAACCATAATCCTTCCCCTTCCGATCTCTCACACAAGACCGCCATGAACATCCCTTTACTCGTTGGCAAAGGGAATTGCTCAACTGTTCGTACCCATCCGAAGGGAAGGTCTCCTAAGGGGCTGACTGTCTTTCTTGTGGCCCGATTTGACTTCTTCCACGAGTAGCTCATGGCGATGTAGCTATCATCTTGTCCCATGGGGTCGTAGATGTCATGAATGAGTTTGAAAGGGAGAGCCGAAGGAAAGAGAGGTTTAGGAGTAAAGTCTTTCGCAACGGATGGAGCGAGGTGAGCGAGAGTGGACAGCAGGATCTCTGCATCGTCATCATCATCGTTGTTGTTGTTCGAGACGGAGAGGGGAGATGAGGTCTGGGAATGCTGACGACGAGAATGAGCAGGAAATAGAAGCTGCTGCGTGACGGCAGGCTCAATGTAACGAACATGCAAGTCGGAGAAATCCAACTCGTCTTCGTCAAAGTGGTAAAATTCGCAGTCCTGTTCCACCGCCGTGTAATGGATTGGATGATCTGGAACCGCCATCGAGGGAGTAGTATGTAGAGCAACCATGTTCCTCCCCCAAAATAATATATAAGAGATATAGCGAGTCGTAGCACAAAAACACCGAGTTGATTGGGCAAACCCAACACATGTATTTGATTTCATCCAATCGCTATTGTAAAGGAGGGGAGGGGGGGTGGACGCCACATCCCGTCTTCCAACACGCTCCATGCCATTTTTTATGCTTGATTGTAATTCCTAAACACGCGCGCAGCCGCCACAATCCACACACACCTACACAAGAGGAATACGATGAAGAGCGGCCCCGTTCGCATTAGGACTTGGCACCATAAGATACGTGCAGAGCGTTGGGACGGGTGGGTTTGCGGGGAAGTGGCTAGTCAGTGTTTCTGGTTCTAGAGGACAATTGACATTCAGTGAGTAAGAGAAGCACCGGTTTGCCGGGTTCAAAGCTGGAACAGGTATGGCCTAGGAGATTTTTTTTGAGCGCGAGATGCAGTTGTCGGATTGTCATGACACGACGTTACGCCGAAGCAAAATGCGCAAACAAAAGGAATACGGAGTTATTGTCGGGTGGATCTCGCGTGATGTATGCGTTGCTTTTTTTTTGTCGTGGTGATACACCCTATACGGATCCATGCTTTGAAACATGGCGAACGTGGGGGTGTTCTCGTTCTAGTTATGCCATCATCGCGGTTCCGGGTATTGCGAGTGACGAATATGATGGTAAGGGTGACGAATAAATTCAGATCGGAACCGTGTAGAATGCGATCCGAATGTTGAATCATTCTGAAGCGTGCAACGCATGAGAAGTTTTAAATAGCCCTGGCGTTTGACACATTTGTCCGCCGTAAGAAACGCTAAATAATCTAAACTAGAGAAGAAACAGTTCCAAGGCTTATCGCCTAAAGACATCTGCCAGACTGTTTATGTTTCGTCGCATCCATTGTCAGAACAAACGCCTAATTTAGCACTCGCAAAACTGCCCTCGCCCCAGACCCGTATAAGCTCGAGACAACAACTGACAAATCTCCAAACAAAACAATTCCATCAATCGATTTTAGCATTTGCCAGCCGTCCGTTGGGACTGGAGATGACATTGGACAAACGAAGATTCTTCCGCTTGTATTTACTGTGTTTTCGGAGACGTTTTCTTGCAACCATGACGGGGACAGAACTCTTGGTCACCAAATAATTACTGAAAGATCCAAGTAGAACACTAGTCGCACAGTTAGCACGGAAACGATCGAATCCAGTGGGGGAAAAGCCATATTACCCTTTCAACGCATTACGACCTCGAGACCCGAGGATTACCAAGGTGGGTTCCAGAAAGTCAATCTGTCACGTCTATGTCAGCTGCATGCCAAAGATGTCGAAACAGTTTCGCACGTACCACTTCTGTAATCATATGCTTTGGGCTCTTGCAGTGGAACACTTCAACCACCACGCGGACCTGCAGGCGAGTCTTGCGCAGCAGTTTGAGACATCGATCAGATACCTCCACGCAAGCTTGGTATCGTGCTTTCTCCGCTGTGCCCATTGCTTCCACGTCTGCATCTGTAGCTGCGACGCTATTGGCCAAGGGCGACCCGTTCGGGTCGACAGAATGGGTTGGATTGTTCGATAGCACATGCTTCAGTGTTTCTGATTCCTGTTGCGCTGTTGTGCTTCCAGTCTCTGTGCCGCCAATACCGGTCTCTTCGTCCACCGCGTACACTGCGAGTAAGGTATCCCCATCGCGTAACACGGTGCCTATTGTCCATTCCAATGCATATGCCGCTTCTTCACTGATGTCTGTGGCCACTAGATACACCCGCTGTCGTCGCAAACCCTTTTCGGCATCGTCTTCAAACTTGTTGTAGTTGCCGCGAATTACTTGTCGCACGCACCTGTGAGCTTCAGGACTTGACTGGATGGGCGCTATACTCATGGAGAGTTGCTGTGCAGACCTCATTTCCGAAAGATCGGCCTCTGTATCCGAGTTGAATCCAGATGACTGACCACCCTCTTGGTCGAAGCTGGTATGCGGATGCACTCCCGATTTCTTCATAGACATCTTCTCGCCAGAAAGCATTGCGCCATCAGGACCAGTGACAGTCACACTTGGTTCCAGCAACGACCTTACCTTGTAGGTCTGCGAAATGTCCTTGCCTGCAAAAGAAAGTCAGTACGGGTGATTGGTAGTAGAAAAGTGATGTACTTGCGCTCTTCTTCGGCTGCTGCAAGCAGACTTCTAGCCACTTTGTCATTTCCACGCTGCTCAGTACTGTCCCGGCGAGTCCGTCGACGACCTCGGCTTTTCCCCGCATCCCAACCATCACCGTCCTCGTCTGATTCATCACTTGATTCCACGGCGCCCTCAGAATCCCCAAAGTCATCAGTTGCCAAGCGCACGCCACCCCCAGGCGCCAGTGATTCACCTGTGGTTGGATCCGATCCCTTACGATTAGCGAGACTCGAAAGGTTTCCGCCAGCCCTCCATAGGTTCCCATCCGAGAGCCTACGATATGCCGAATTCATATCTATCACCTTACCAGATTCGGTAACATATTTGTTCGGTGTAGGCTTCAAATTCATGGGATGTGTGTTCAGCTTTCGTCCGCCTGGCGACTGTGACCTACCAGGGCCAGGAGAGCCAGACTTGGTCTTGGGTTTGCCCAAAAAGCCAGCCAAAGAACCATGACGTGTGCCGTCTCTAGTGGACGCTAGCAGGTCCGATGATTCCCCGTATACCGATGACATGGCGCGAGGTTTGTTGGTCTTCTTCCCGCCCTGTGTGACTCGCTTCGGCATAGAATGGGCTTGAATGGTGGGCAGCATTTCAAATTTGTATGCTTCTTCAGGATTGATGGAAGAGCCCCCCAAGGTGCGAGCTGAGGGCGGCGGGGAGGATGGCAGAGGGCCGCGGCTGCTGCTTCGAGGGGAGGAAACCGTGTCGAGCATACTGCGGGTGACTGGAGGGGCTCCGATGTCCAGCATGCTGCGCACGGGAGATGCCGCAGCGGCTGGACTAGAGGCGCGGGCAGCAGGACGAGGGCTCTGGTTGCGCGCCGATCGCGATGGGGCTGGTTTACCCTCCAAAAGCGCCATCACCTCTCTCATCTCCTCATCGAGGGCAGATTCCAGCGACATGGCTGCGGCGAAAGGGAGAAGAGGTGCGGCGGCACTAGACAAGATGTGACGGTGGTGAGGCAGAGGCAGAGGATGTGTATGTATATGTACACGTAGTGGGTAGCTGGTGATTTGGAAAAGGGCGACAATTAATTTAGCTACGTCGGGGCTTGGGTAAGAGCAGCCGAGATGGGAGGACGTGTGTACAGGAGAGGCTGTTTGCGTATGTATGTGAAGGGTAAGTTGAAGCTCTGGTTTATGTGGTTACCAGAGGCTATGTAGCTAAGATGGCGAGCAGGGACTATGGCATCATTGGCGCGTCTGTGTACTGTAGATATACGTGGTACTGTGGTTCGCGAAAAAGGGGTTCCACGACGGCGAATCCAATTGCGACGGAGACTGACTGACTGACAGACTGACTGACTGTCGCGTGATGAGATGATGGTTGTATGGGAATGATATTTGTAGATGTCTGTCGGAATCGATAGCTAGTCGACTAGTGGCCGCGGGGTAGCGAAAGGAGCTGGCTGGCTGGCTAGCAGGCTGGCTGGCCGAAGCCGAAAGCAAAGCCGAATTGGTGGGTGGATAGAGGCGGGTGGTGTGGTGGTGGTGTTAGCCGCTGTCGGAGAACAAGTTGTTCCCCGTAGGAGTGATTGCGGACGACATAAGTAGAGAAGAAAGAGCACTGGTGATTGTATCAGGGACGGATATCGGGACAGTAAGCGCAGCTGGTGACGGCGGTGGATGGGGTACTAATGGTTTTTGGTAGTAGAGCTTCTGGAGGCTGGTGAGGGGGAGGTGAGGTTTGCGCTTGGCCTACTTGGCAAGCATCAATCAGTCCACAACAGGTGGTACTACATTCCTGTTCGAGCACCTGAGTACATGTTCAGAGCTTGATGCGTGCATGACAACTCTGTACATCTACCAAAGATGAAATAAAACAATAATAACATGGCCATCACCATGAGCCTCCACTGCTGCCACTGTTACCGCCGGCTGCGTGCTTGCTTAATATAATTCGAAACAATCCAACTGTCTCAAGACTGGATTGCTACATTGCTGTGTAAACAAGATGGATGCACAATTCAAGCGCCTTTGCGCTAAATCACTACACCTCTTGCATGCGAAAATGACTAGTGTACACGAATGACGGAAATAATCTCGGCCATATGGCCCCTTCATCTCTTCTTTGGAAGCACGATATTGGCTCGGACGGACACACCCAGCTTGTGAATCGCGTTCCTCTTCTCCCAAACCCCGCTCCTTCCTTCGACCACGGCAATCAATTCTGCTGCTACTCTCTGAGCGTAGCTGCCCTTTCCACTGCCCGTTTGCGCCCTGTTCGACGCAGCTTTCAAAATCCACTGGATTGCTATTCTCCTACGTTGTCTCCGACCGAGCGGTACAGGGATTTGCAGGGCAACACCACCACCTGCCGCACCCTTCTGGCTACGAATTCGGAACAGGGGCCCAACCGAGTCGATGGCGAGCGTGAGGTACAGGATGGGATTAAGGGGAAGATGCGATGGTGGAGGTGCGCCCGGAAGAAGAGGTTTCGCGGGGTTGACGGTGGGAATGGGTGACGTTCGAAGATGTTCAAGGACCAATGCCATATCCTGTCAATTCGATCATCAGACTACTGTAGATTTTTTCATTTTTTTTTCAGGGAACACTCGTGTAACGTACACGCTGGGCTGTACTCTTCTTGCCATGCCTCATCAAAAGACCAATGACTTGATCTACCACCGGATCATATCGATGTTTGAGGTGCCCATCCTTGGGGAGAGGAAGCGTAGGAGCATCAAACTTAAGGCCTGGAATGGCTGGAGTCGAAGAAGACGGCGGGAAGTTCAACATGCCCATGTCAGGCCCACCGCTTCCGCCAGCAGACGTGACCATTGTCGAGTAGGAGCGCGAACCTTTTGGTGCTGAATTGGAGTTGGATTTGAGAGCATCTTGCATCACTTTAGGCAACTTCTCTTGCGCAGACTTGTCTCCTTTGACAACCTAGTACACTGTCAGAATGCGCCTTTGCACATCATATTCCAAGGAGTTGTACCTCATCTACGGGTGTCCCTTGACTGATATCGGGACCCTCTGAGCCAGTGATTTCCGCCATCTGCGCAGCTTCCTCAGAAACATGTGGGAGGGGTTTTGCATCAATGCGACTGGATCGATCGGCGGCTGGGGGTTGCGGTGCTTTCGAATCGGAGTATGCTCGAAACTGCGGAGCCTTTGGTGCAATGCTGGGCCGGGGTAGCCATTGTGGTTGTGGTGCTGGCCGGTATGGAATCGATCTCGCCAAGGAGAGGATGTTTAATCGTGGAGGCATGGTGATGGAGTAAAATGCTATCGATTGAAAGGGAAGGCACTTTGGAATAATGATGTCGAGATTCATTCTGGATTCGGCGCTAGCACTAAACTAGACCGATCACGTGATGACGTCTGCCTCCAGATGTCCCAGGCGCCGCCGACTTGAGCTCAACATTTTGAACAATGGAACTTGACCGGCGTGTAGCCTTGTTGAATTGAAAATTTTACATTTGAATCGACAATCTAGTGTTCCGTTTGCATAAGACTACAGTGCCTGTACCCTCACCTCACACTACATATGATGTTGTTTGTCCGAAATTCCAACGCGTCTGCCCTTTTCTTCGCCACCAAAAAGAAACACCCCACAGGCTTGCATGCATATACATATGCATGCACACGTAGCACTGGGCGATGAGCACCAATAGTTGCAAGATAACTCCTCAGTGGTCTCCGCGGATAACTCATGCTGGAAACGATTTACCACGCCGTACTACGTGAGTAGGCAGCAATCCAACAAGCAAACAACGAGCACCTTGACCGCCATCCATGTCTCCGCTGCCGAATCGCATCATCGGGCGCCTTTTCCAAAGGACCGTTGGCGGGGAGCTACATTCAAATGTTATTTGTCTGGTTATCCTTCAGGTCTGGATCGCACTCGGCTACCCTTGTCTTTCTCTCCATTCACCGTCTCTCCGTTAAACATGCCGACCTCAACTCGGATGACTCCACAGTGTCTGAGTAATATCGTATAACGTTCGGCACCATGTAGCAAACCATGCAGTGACTGTTCCGCATGTGTATATAATGTACCAATTGACCCTACCCAAGGCCATCCAGCCCTGATTCCTTCCTTCACCGCTGAAAGAACGTGACTTCCCGCATCCGCGTGTTTAGCGCCGTCGCGTCAAGCAAGCTTTCCACACCCTTATCCCCACTTTCATCTTTCGTCTTTCCCCACACTGTACCACACGCCTATCGTTGGATTGTTGGCTACTATCGCTATCTGTGTGGTTTTCCGCAGTGCCATCTATCAGTCAAATCTAGTACTATACTGAGACTTGTCAATTTTTAATGAGTTTCAGCTTCCTTCAGCACATCTCCTGACACATTCCATCACGATCGCCTTCCAATTCTTTGTTCTTTATCCACAGCCCAACCACTCTGTTCTGTACTGGCCCTATACCGCGTTCTATTGAATCACTGCTGCGCACGGCCGCCTTCCTGCAGGCTAATTGGGAGTACCGGTAGTAGGAGATTGCCAAGTTGACTTTGTAACAGAATTTAGTTGATCAAATGGCTGACCGTGGCGGCCGTGGTGGTGGTCGGGGTGACTACAGAGGCCGTGGTAGGGGTGATGGTGCTCCCCGAGGTGGAGGTGGCTTTCGGGGTGGCGATCGTGGAAGAGGTGGCGGAGGGTATGATCGTGGTGGAAGAGGTGGAGGAGGCTATGATCGTGGTGGCAGAGGAGGTGGAGGCAGAGGCAGAGGCAGAGGTGCTCCTCGCGAGATCAAGGTCTACCGGTATGTTATTGTTTTATGAACTGGCATCCGAACATTGGCTAACGTTGATACAGAGAAGGGCAGATACCCACCCCGGATCCTGAGGTCACCAAGGTTGAGAATGCAATTGTACAGGATTTATCTCAGCCGCTTGCCGGATTGTCAGTGGACAGTCAGGACAACCTTCCTCTGAGACCAGGCTATGGGAAGGTAGGACGCGAAGTCGTGCTTTGGGCGAATTACTTCGAGCTCAAAGGAGTAGCCCCGGATACAATACTTTACCGATATTCCGTCAATGTTCAGGGTGAGACTGGGGATAGCTTGCCCAAACCCAAGAGAAAGCGACTTATAGAGCTTTTACTTCAGCAACCCCCATTCTCGGGAGCTCGCGTAGCCAGTGACTGGAGCCAGAGCCTGGTATCAGCGACGGAGCTCGACCTTGGCAGCCAGAATGCTGCTTACGACATCGAATGGTATCCTGCAGATGGTGATCCTCCGACTCCCAGCACTGAAGACGATCCCAGGAAGAAGAAAAACACTTTCAAGTTGCTGGTGGCGTCGATGACTTCGGTCAGCGTCAAGGATCTTCTCGACAATATCAGGCAGTCGAATTCCGCGTCTTCCATGAAATTGGAGACAATACAAGCACTGAACATTGTGCTTGCTTCGGGTCCCAACACTGACTCTCGCGTTGCAGTGGCTGGAGGCAACAAATTTTACCCTTTCGGGTCTCACCCACAGTTTGAATGTGCCGACTTGGGCTCCGGTCTAAATGCCCTGAGGGGGTACTATACTAGTGTCCGAACCGGAGCAAACCGCCTTTTGGTCAATATCAACGTTGCTACTGGGGCGTTCTACAAATCGGGCCCTCTTCTTGCGGTCTTGTATGAAATCGAGGGTGGATATTCAGAACGGGAGAACTACAGCAAAAAGGCTGCGTTCGTTCGCAAACTCCGTTTCGAGACGAACTACTTGCGACAAAAGGACAAGAATGGCAACAAAATCCCGAAACGCAAAGTTCACAGCATTTTCGAACTCTCGCAGTTTGGCAAGAACAGCACCAACACAACGTTCAAAACTGATGATGGCAAAGAGGTCAGCATTCGGGATCATTTCCAGAAAGCTCATGGGATTAAGCTCAAAGAGCCCAATGCACCACTGGTGAATTATGGTGACCGCAACAAGCCCAAATGGATCCCAGCGGAGTTGTGCACCGTGCTGGGCGGACAGCTGGCTCGACGCCTTCTACAAGGTGAACAGACTCGAGCAATGGTTGAGTTTGCGGCTCGGCCACCGTTCGAGAACGCCACCAGTGTAGAGCAGGATGGCTTGCAAGTCGTGAAGCTCAAAGCAGGTTTGGATGATCACCTGAAGGATTTCAAGATAAATGTGGTCCCGAATCTATTGACAGTCAAGGGTCGGATTCTTCCTTCGCCAATGTTGCAATACAGACAGAAGGCGCATCAACCCGACAATGGCGCTTGGAATCTCGACGTTCGTCAACTTGGCCAAAAGCCTTTTAGGATCGCGAAACCGCTTGGGGCGTGGAACTGTATCATCATCAATTCCGGTCGTTATCCCACTATCCGCGGTGGATCCGAGGCGGTCTTTCCGGTCTTGCAAGAATTTCGCAACGCCCTGGACACATATGGGCTAGCTCCTGGGCCTGTACAGCCACCAGTGGACGTTGACATTGACGCCAAGGCTGTTGCAAACCGTGACGTCCAGTACGTAATGAAAACGATTGAGGATGCACTTCGAAGCAAGATGAAGGCAAAGCCTAAATTTCTTCTGGTTCTGCTACCTAGCGACAATGCCGTCATTTACGATTGCGTCAAGTCTGTATGCGACTGGAAACATGGAATTGCAAATATTTGCAGTATTGCCCAAAAATTCACCAAGGAGAAGGGGCAAATGCAGTATTTTGCAAACCTGGCCCTGAAATTCAACCAGAAGCTGGGCGGGGTCAACCATTCCATTGATGTGAAGAGCCTCAGCCCCCTTGACCAGAACACCATACTGTTCGGAATCGATGTCACGCATCCTTCGCCTGGAAGCTCGGAGATGTCACCTAGTATCGCAGGCGTTGTTGCATCGATCGACTCAAATTTCTCCCAATATCCCGCCAGCATGCGGACGCAGGAAGGAAGGAAAGAGATGGTGACTGACCTTGAGGAAATGATCATCGAGCGCCTGCAACTTTGGCAACAGAAGAACCAGGGCCGTTTGCCGACTAAAGTGATTGTGTATCGCGACGGAGTATCTGAAGGACAGTATTCTATTGTCCTGAACGAGGAATTCCCGCACTTCATCAGAGCGTTTAAGAAGCTGTATGGGAAGCCCGAGAAGCATCCCAAGATATCGATTGTTGTCGTCGGAAAACGCCATCACACACGTTTCTATCCTACGAAGAAGGAGGATACCGACGGTCGCAGCGGCAATCCAAAGCCGGGCACTGTGGTTGACCGTGGTGTCACCGACGAGAGACTTTTTGATTTCTTCCTTCTGGCCCACCAGGGACTTCAGGGAACATCCAAGCCGGCGCATTACGTGGTGTTGAAGGACGATAATAAGTTCGGGGCGGATCAGCTCCAGAGCTTGACGCACAATTTGTGCTACACCTTTGCTCGTGCCACGCGTGCCGTTAGCATTTGTCCACCCGCATACTACGCTGATCTTCTTTGTGAGCGAGGGCGTTGTTATATCAATGCGGTTCTAAAGGGCGGTGATGGGGCTATCGAATATCAGAAGAATGCCCACTGGTCGAGGGATGTTCATCCGGCCCTCATGCAGACCATGTATTATCTTTAAGGGCTTGCGCCATTCGAACCTCATCAGCTGGCCTTGTCGCAGCCTTCAGGACCACCCCGACGGCTACTATGACGCTGACCGCAAGATCAGAAGCTTGGCTTATCCAACATCAAATCTGCGTTGATCTACCCAAGCCTGCATCAAGCGTGGATGCGAGTTTGTTGCGACATGCTTCGGATACATTCAACTGCTACCGACAATTGTTGACAACACTTGCAATCTTACCCACGCAGATGACATTTGTCTGATCGTTATACGATTCATTCATGTACTGACCCAGTCACTCTTTGATTTATTTCATTGCGCGCATGCTGGCCTGCTGAATTAGAAATTGAACTTGTGGGCTGTAGTTGTTGTGGGTTGATAGATAGGTACTATATAGGTACTTGAGTAGTCTTAAAAATTGGGAAATATCAAAAGCATTCATTGGAAAAGAAAAGAAATATGCTGTGCCCATCACTCGAGGACCAAGTATACACCGAGATCAGCAGTAGCAGACGCAGAATCCCTGTTGGTGTCAATGTAGTTGATTCCTCCTCGTTGGGTGGTGGTTGTTTTTCCCCACGCCTCCAGACGCAGACGTCCCAATGAGGCTAGTCCAGCCTCCCCTGCTAATGGACCCCCAGCCTCCCTGTTTCATCTCAACCCCACTGCGCTGTCAACCTGTCGCCCCTCCCACCCCGCGAAGATGCGACAGCCAGTCAGTTCGCAGAGCGCCGCGTTGGTTTTGATCTGCTTTGTCGCGCTCTCCAACGACGCGCCAGTTTGCATTTACTCATCACCAATCTCGTCAGGCACCTATGTCTTATAAGGTTTGCGCATCACAAGGTTACTCCATGTGCCGCCAAAGCCTCCAGCCACTCCCTGTCCCACCCAACTGAATTCACCAAACACCAACCACAGACCCGACAAACCGACCTCACCCTTAACCCGCATACCGAACGGGTACTCGTACGATATTACAAACACAGCACCCGCCGATTTCTCGAGCTATCGCCGTCATGATGGATACGACAGACCGCGGGAGCATTTATGACCACGACATCCCTTCTCTGACCGCCTCGTTAGAAGCCTTCGATCCTGAGCGCAGCATACATTCCATGTACAGCTCGCGCTCCAACATGCATTCTTCGCGATGGAGTGCACCGCCTGATCAAGACGAATCCGAGGCGGAGTCGGACGGCCCATGGGCCCCTCCAGCCTGGCAGCGATCTTCCAACAACCACTGGTACGTTCACACTGGCCAACCCGCGTTTGTGCGAAGCGCATGTACTAACATCCGCCTGCACCGTTAGGTACCGCAAATCGCTGCTCAGTGAAAGCCCCATGAGAACAAGCAACTCGCCGTTTGATCGCGAAATCACACCCTCGCGTATTCCATTACCCGAGTCGCCGCGAAAAGGCACGCCACGGACAAGCGCAGAGCCCATGCCACAATACGAAAGGCATTTCGCATCCGAAAATATGGCATCGAGGATGCAGAGTCCATCGGAGGACCCGCAAGGGGAGGAGCAAGACAAGATGGAGGTGTCGCAGCACGAGGAACAGTCGGACCCTCTCGACGGCTGTAGGTACCTTTCTGTTTGCCCTGTCGTTTCCGTATTTATTGTCTACCGTAATTCACATTATTTTGCCTTGTCGTGTCATGCGCTAACCCGCTCCCGCAGTTGTGCGATTTGCCATTCGTGGAGAGACCCTGTTCCGTACTGCACCTATAGAAGATACCATAACATCACTTTCCCGAGGAGTGAACATGTTAACCAGGTCCAGATTCACTTTCCTTTTAGCAATCCTGTTTGTTATCTTGAGCTGGGTTCTGGTCCAGCCATGGACGACCAGTCTAATCCCGGATGTCGCCAACGTTGCGAACATGGCAAAACAGTTCGAGCCGCTCATGTATGCTTCTGAGAACGTGATACCCCGATCGCGAGAGCTGGCCGAGGCTTCGATTGCGGTACAGGATCTAGGCGAAAGCGTCCGAGCCACAAACATGTCGGCGTCTACGGTCATCATCGATCAGCTTGATGATCTCGGTGATAGTCTCAAGGTGCTGTCGGAGAAGATCACGAGCTTCTTCACCAATGTCGATGGTGATATGGATTCGTAAGTGTCCTTCCTAACCCCAGAACAAGCCGATAGGGAGGCTAATTGTGCAGGATTCTCATCACCATGGAATGGGTGAAACGCGAGCTTCAGACCATACAAGGGCCGCAAGTGGGTATGCTGGACCGCGCCATCGGCAACATCCATGGCGGTCTTAGCAAGATTGGGGTTCTTGAGAAGGCAAACGGAGAACCGACGGCTGTCGGTGCCGTGGTCAATGACGTATTGGGACACACGGCACAACACCGATCCAAGCTCACACTGCAGAGAACGTTTGACTATCTGTTGACGACACTGGAAGAAAACATTTCCAACGAACTCACGCGCGCTGATGTCCTGTTCCAGCTTTTCGAGAGCGTAGACCGGCAATTCACGAACCTGCACCGTAGTGTGGCGAAAGAGGAGGACAGCCTGTCGAACAAGAAGGACGAATTCCTGGCCAGCCTGTGGCGTACGACGATCCCCAACAAGCTCAAGATTCGAAAGTACGAAAAGAACCTCAAGCTGCTCAAGGACGTGCGGGCGAGCACGCTGGCCAACAAGTCGGACCTCAAGGACAACATCCGCATCATCTACCAAGTCAAGGAGCAGCTGGACAAGGCGCGGAAGAACCTCATTTCCCCGTTGATCCGGCGAGCGCAGTCGAACTCGTTTGGATTGGAGCAGCAGCTCAACGACCTGTCGGGCACGTACGGGTTTCTGAAGGGCATCCGGGACGCGCAAAAGCACAAGGTCCTCAAGGAGCTGTACGCGTCGGATCCAAAGAAGCACAGCACGATAACGACGGGTCGAGAGGAGGAGGCGGCGGTGGAGGAAACGCGGTAAAGCGTGGACTAGAGTGTTTTTGGGCTCGATGCATGTTACGAAGCGATGTTTTCTTGGGAAATGTTTGTCTGGTGTTTCTGGATAGACAAAGACGCCGGACGGTTTGACATGGGAATGGGCGCATTGAGATATGGAGTACGCCTGTATAAGTTTTTGGGATGGGAGTTTAGTGTTGCTTCTCCTCTCCTCGATTTGGTTGTTGTCAGCCACGTCCTCGGGCGACGTCTCTGTCTCTCCTGTTGATTAGTGGTTTTTGGTGGATATTGGGTTCATCAGTCCAGTCACTGCAAGGCCAAGTGTAGCGGTGTTGGGAAGGATAGTACTTTTGTCAGCCGCGTTTCTTTTTTCCGTATAAAGGTGTTTGGCGTCGACCTGCCCTTTCAGCGGCGGTAAATACTTTTCTGGGGTTGGAGTTGGGGGTTATCCTATATTTTGTCCCCTCGGAGGGGTTACTAGCATCAATACAAACATTTATTCATTACCAAATGGAAATGATGGCTACATTTTGTACGGGTGGCACTTGAATTATATACACACACAGGTACATGGATGGCAGCTATGGGCGCCGAGAATATAGAGTGCATCACGTGACGAGCAAGCCGTGCAGATGGGGCCCACGCCGATCGTCGGGACTAGAGTAACGAGAGACCCACACTTCCCCATCGGGAGCCCCTAGCGCGGGTGCATACATTGGAGAGGGACGATGTAATACTCCGTGACGAGGGCATTTTTCTCTGGCTGGAGCCATTGACCTATCATCGTCTCGGCCGTCATTCTTCAGACATGCAGACGTGGTTGATGATGATGATGATTCCCAGCCACCCGTCATCAACTGCAGACGACGTCTACCGATTGGGAAAACCAAGACCAAGACCAAGAGCAGAGCGCATGGAATCAACAGTGGATGGCTGCGAATATCAAGGCGGGTGGGGTGGCCAAGGGGGAAATGGAAAGTGGAAACGTGGTGGATCTTGATTTTATGATTTTTTCTTCTTGTCCCGGGGGAATGCTGATGGGAGGTGTGCTGTTGTGTTGGTGGTGGTTCCTGGTTGTCTCGTCACATCGGCTTGGCTGGTAGGCTGTGCAGCCGTCGTGATTGGGCCGAGTGGGCGCGGGAAGGCAAAAGGTTTGGTCCCGCGTCATTCCCCACCTCGGTCGCATCGCGCGTTGGCATCCACGTCTTGTCTGCTGTCTTGTCTGTCTTCAATTCCCCCAAACCTCCTCCTTGGTTCGTCGCTGTTAGGCCCGATAGATAGCCTCTCACCTCTTGGTCCGTCCTGGCTGCGCCTTCCTGCTTTCCCCACTCCGGCCTCTTTTTGCTGTCTCTCTCTCTCTCTCTCCATCTCTCTTCCCGCGGCTCGTCGTGCGAAACCTAGCCCGGTGACTTTCTTGACCCCTTGACACTCCTCACACCCATACACCCACACCACCAGGGACTCCTGCACGCTTGCGTCCATTGTTTGTTGGGTCCATTGCTTGCTTGCTCTCTCGCTCGGTACCTACCGGCCATCTCTCGCTTGCACTCGTCATTCATCCGCTTGCTCATTCTTTGACTCAAGTCAAGTCACACCCCCCCCATCCATTCATCAATCATGAGTGAGTAATCCCCCATCTCCCATCCACCATTTACACTGCCTGGCCTGCCTCATCAATTCGCTTGCACATTCTTCGCACTTGCTTGCCCTTGCATACCGCTACTTCCACCACCTTCCATCCCCACCCCGACCATTTACCTGGCCTGGTCTGGCCGTCCGGCGCAGCCACCTTCTTGACCATCCACCATTCTCGCTCGCGATCTTGGCTAATCTTCCACGCTTGGCACCCAGAGGGAATAAGGCGTCAATTCCACCGCGTTGGCCGCACAGGAAGCTCTCTTTCTGCAGTCAACAGCAACCAAAACCAAAACTCCACCATGGCCCCCAACGGCGCGCCCACGGAGCGCACCTCGCTTCTCCCACACCCTCAAGCCGATGAGCCTCGCTGGAAGTCTTTATCCAGAAACGTCGGCCGCACCACCTGGGCCACCCTGACCAGCAATTATGTCAACGCCCTCCTCGTATTCGTCCCCATCGGCATCGTCGCTGGCGAGCTGCATTGGAATCCCACCGCCGTCTTCATCCTCAACTTCATCGCCATCGTTCCCTTGGCAAGCTTGTTGAGTTTTGCGACCGAGGAGCTATCCGCCAAGTTGGGCCAGACATTGGGTGGATTGTGCAATGCAACATTCGGCAACGCCGTGGAACTGATTGTGAGTGCCGAGTGCCCGGTTGCTGCTTTCCCCGTGTGACGCCATGACCGTACTGACAGTGCTTGTGTTAGGTGTCCATCGTGGCCCTCGAAAAGAATCAGACTCGCATTGTCCAAGCCAGTATGCTCGGCAGCATCCTATCCAACATGCTTCTGGTGAGTTGGGCGACCGATTGCAGCTCCCCGCTCAAGACTGACGTCTATAGGTTCTCGGCTGCTGTTTTCTGGCTGGCGGGTGGAACGCGCAGGAGCGCGAATTCAATTCCACCGTGGCCTCGACAATGTCCTCTTTGATGGCTGTCGCATCCGCCTCGCTCATCATACCCGCAACTCTGTACGCTGCCATGAACGGCGCTAAACACTCGGATGGCGATGAGATGGAGCACAACATCCAGCTTCTGTCCCGTGGCACCTCCATCATCCTCCTGTTGCTGTACATCCTCTACCTGTACTTCCAGCTCAAGTCCCATCATGCCCTTTTTTCCGATCTCGAAACCCAGGAGGAAGCTGCAAACGAGGACGACGGTGAGCACCACGATGGTGATATTCTGTCACCTGTCGCTGCCGGCATTGCCCTGGTGCTCGTCACTGTTTTGGTGTCCGTATGCGCAGATTTCCTCGTCGGCTCCATCGATAGCATCGTCGAGTCTGCCCACATATCTCGCACATTCATCGGTCTGATCTTGATCCCCATTGTCGGAAACGCCGCCGAACACGTGACTGCTGTGGTGGTGGCCGCCAAAGGAAAAATGGATCTTGCCATCAATGTAGCCATTGGAAGTTCCTTACAGATAGCATTGTTCGTAACTCCAGCGCTCGTGATCCTGGGCTGGATTATGAACAGGGATATGACGTTGCATTTCCAGGGATTCGAAACGGTTGTCTTCTTCCTGAGTGTGTTGGTGGTAAACTACCTCATCCAGGACGGCAAGAGCAACTACTTGGAAGGATGCATGTGCCTGGGAACGTAAGTTACTCCCCCCGATATGCGAATGCAACAGTTTGTGAAGACGAGAAATACTGACCCTGAAATCAGGTATGCGATCATAGCCTTGGCGTTTTACGTCTACCCAGACAACGCCAGCGGAACGCTCACAAACGGCTTTTTGCAGAGTTTCTTTGCGGCGTAGAGTAAAGAGGTGTGCAGGGCTTGTAGTATATATAGGGTTCCCCCCGGCGGTACTTTACGACCTGGTCTGGGGAAATCCTGCACTGACGCGGCCTGGCCCCCACTACGGGAAATCGGCACCCAGCACATGGATCAAGCGGCACGCACGCCTCTGCGGCTCCTCCCACCCAATATCTACGCATTCCTCAGCCTTGCGCCTCTTCAGCTCATGCATGCTTGTTGGGGAAAGATTCAATCTCTGATCTGCCTTTGCATCCTTGCCTTAATGCTTGTTCTCTCGTCATCGCCGGTCCTTCGTCCCTCGTCCCCTTCGCATCTACATGCGCGGGCATTCAAGCCATGATCTACTTCCCTTCCCACCCTTTTGTCTATATCCCTTCTTTCTGTTCGACTTCTTCTGCTTCACTATGTAGTTGTTGTCCTGGCACTCTTCTTGTTTCATAGTTTTCCTTGCGTAGGAGGTCACTGTGTTTGGTTTTTGTTTCTGTTGTATTTCTATCATCTCTTTTGTAAAGTAGTTATAGCGGTATTTTTCGATGGAGAACCCAAATCTCAAATCACACCTTGGTTTTCTTGATTGACTGTTGCTTTTCTATCTGACTTCTTCCTGCTATGTTCGATTAACACGCGTGGAAAAACTACTTCGTTGCTCTGAAACTGATTTCTTATGTACGGAAGTGGGTTATATCGGCTCAGTATGTTCAAAAAATTCTATACGAAATCAAGTATGAAACACGAGGAGATGCATTCTCTAATTCTCTGTTTTTTCCCCTTGATCCTCCCCTTATCCCTGATAGCTTCCAGTTCGAGAAGTAGCGAGGATAGCTACCGGCAGACGAGATGTAGCTAGGGAAGGCACCTCAGGCCCGCAACTTCTCCCTGGGTAAGAAAGAGGTCATGTCTCTGCTCCTTCGTAAACTAAGTCTTACCCTACCCTAATAAAACTTCACTACCTAACACCGTCCTGTTTCTCCTCCACATTATTCTTCGTCGGCTTCCTCAGGCTGTTAACAACTACTCACTCAAGTATTCATAGACACCGCTGCCATGGGTTCCTGTCTTTCCCGCCCCTCCCTTCCATCTTCCTCACGTCGTAAAGCAGCCCCCACAGCGTGGGTACCGCCACCCAACACAGACAACATCTTCACGCCTATCCAGGCAGACGATATCCTTTCGCAGATCCCCATCTCGGCACGTCATCCAGTTCCCCGTAAGGGCATCGAGGACGATGACGACATGGTACAAGTCATGCATACGAACTCCTTCTACGCAAATGCGTTTTTGGGCGAGCAGAATCGCCCCATCTGGACACATCCATATGTGCTTTGGTGGGGGGACCGGAAGGGTGGGATCGAGGCAGAAGGGTTCATCGACTCGATGGGGATGTGTGTTGGGCACACTGCTGTTGGAGATTTTGAGTATGGAGAGGGCACGCCTGCGAGGGTGGGTCTATCCGTTTTTCTGTCGTCATATTATATTCGTCCTTCATCTATCGTCCAAGTGTTTACATTGACTGATCGAGCTTTAGTTTTTTACTGCACCCAAGAAACAAAGCTTAGTACTCGGAGCCCGAGAGTTCGACAGAGAGACTGTTTTAACTACTGATTCTCATCTCCCTTTCTCCGTCAACATCAATTTGAAGCGCGGTACGGCACCAGACTCGCCCAAGATTACGTTTCCAGTTGTTCAGGGAATGGGGTTCGTCACGGCCAATTATCATAATGCAACTCCCATGATTCAGACTGGAGGCAGGGACGGCTTTCAAGAGGTCGGACCGCCTATCCTGATTGGCACAGCAGTCAAGTATCGAATCAAAAGCTCGGATGGATGCGACTAGTTGTTGTATGTTATTCCGGCACCCAATGAGACGTATGATGGTACTCGGTCGGTCAAGGCTGATCCGCACACTTTCACATTGCCGGCCAGTTTCAAGGGCACCATTCAAGTCGTCAAGAACCCGCTTGGGGGCGAAGGGGAAACCATTTACGACCAATCGTATGGTACCTTCGTCGTGGAAGCTTCACTATACGCGACTGTTAATGAGGCCAAGGGAACATACACATTTCAGTACACCAAGGTCGGGACCTCTCCTGCTCTTATGTTCGCACTGCCGCATCATATACAGTCGCTTGATCCAGAACTCAAGCCCACTGTCACGAGACTCCAGCTCCAAACCACGACCAAAGGTCTCGCCACGGCCCTCAAAAGCGACCGCTTGACATTCGTCGAGCCTGCCTTGCCCACAAGCATGGCTTTTGGGCCTTGGGTTCCGCCTCCTACTTCGACATTGCCACTTAGATCTCAACCAAGGTACCCGCCCGATGTGCTCGCCGCACTAGCTCGGATTGTAGATCTAGATATTCGGCGTGTCATGACCGAGAAGATACCAGAAGAAAGCATATACTACGCCGGCAAAGCCCTCTCCAAATTCGCAACTATCCTATGGATTTCCAAAGACGTGCTCAACAACCCGCCACTCACAACCGCGGGTCTCGACAAGCTCAAACTTGAATTCTCTCGTTTCGTACAAAATCGACAAAAAATGACTTTGCAGTACGACGACCAATGGAAAGGATTAGTCTCCAGTGCTGGATTTGCGGGAGGTCAGGGCGCAGATTTTGGAAATACATGGTACAATGACCATCACTTTCACTACGGCTATTTCGTTTATACCGCAGCGGTAATTGGATATATTGATCCGGCCTGGATAGCGCTTGGGGACAACAAGGCCTGGACGAACATGCTGGTCAAGGACTTTGCGGACAGCGACGATAAAGGGAGAGACTATCCCTTCTCGAGGTGTTTTGATTGGTGGCATGGGCATAGTTGGGCTAAAGGGCTCATCGAGAGTGCGGATGGTAAGGATCAGGAGAGCGTAAGTGGTTCCATGATTCCGTTGTTGATTCTACGCTAAGCACGAGATCGTGTCCGGTATAGACGGGCGAGGATGGATTCAGTGCTTTTGCGATCAAGATGTGGGGGAAGACCATCGGGGACGCGAATATGGAGAAGCGCGGTGAGTTCTTTACATTCACGTTGAGGTCTTTTGTCACTAATCAATGCTGGCACGTCTTAACGATGTAGGAAATCTCATGTTAGCCATACAAGCTCGCTCTTTCAACAACTACTTCTATCTTTCTTCGACCAACACGATCCAACCGTCTCGATTTATCGACAACAAAGTTGCGGGGATCTTATTTGAAGGGAAGGCCGACCATGCTAGTACGTACAACGCCATCTCACCACCCCTCCAAGGTCCCATCTTGAATGCTCACCACCTCTTCTCTACAGCATACTTCGGCGCAGACCCCGCCCTCACCCATGGTATTCACATGCTTCCTCTTTCCCCGCCGTCATATTACCTCCGCCCGCGCGCCTGGGTCCGTGAAGAGTGGGACACGCACTTCAGCCGCGATCGCTAGAAGAACATCGATGGAGGATGGCGTGGTGTGCTCATGATGAACCTTGCCCTTATAGACCCAAAAACTAGTTTGAACTTCTTCATGGATGGTTTGGAAGCGGGCAGGAGTGTGGACAGTGAGGGGGATGACTCGGAGGGGAAAGAGTCTGAACAGGATGAGGAGAATAAAGCAGCGAGGGTAGTGATAAAGGATAGAAGAGAAGATGGGCAAGGGGGCAAAACGTGGGACGAGAGGTGGTTGGATGGAGGGACGAGTCGTAGTTGGGGTGTTGTTTGGGCAATGGTATTGGGTGCTAGTATGGGAGTGTCGTGATGTTTGACTGGCTGTGCACGGATGTGCAAGTGGGCATTACCAAGTAGGAGAGGTCATTCAATTTCTAATAAAACTCCCGAACTATGACTTATGCTCTATTTGTCTCTCATGCTCGATATCCATCCCATTATCTAAACCCTTTTGTTTCCACTGTCCGTCCTTCCTTTTCAATGGCTTACCAGGAAAGTCTGAACACATGGCCAGCGAGCCATCTCTTGACCACAGCCACATCATGTCGTACTGCATTTTCTCATACACACTTAATTACATATGTATCTCTCCAACTAAACAAGAGGCTTCTTCAAAGCTCCAATAATCCCCTGCTTAACCATAACCCTCGGCATAGTAGCCGTCTGATGCGTCTGCTTGGTTGTCCACTCGCCACCCAAGGGCATCCTCAATCCCCTCTCATACTGCTCCCTGCTCTCGAACGGGAACGGCAGCTGCGACGCCATATACTTTGTATTAGCCTTCTGCCTCCGCTGCATCTGCATGACCCTCTCGCCACCAACTTCCCCTCCCACCAACTTCTTATCCTTCTTCCCGCCATTCTTCCCCTTTGAAGCAGAAGCCGAAGCCGAAGCCGCATGTTCTTTCTTCTGATACGTAGTCTCCCTCTTCCCTGCCCCTCCTCTCCTTCTCCCTTTACCAGAAGAAGAGGGAAGGTCCTCGCCAGCCCACGAGCCCCAACCAGGTAACGCCGCGTTCTTCTTGTCGCGCGCGGCGCGGCGCTCGTCTTCGGACGCGTTCTCCAGGGCCTCCTTTTCCGCGGCGAATTCGGCTTCGACGGCTGCGGCGTCCGAGGCGAATGCCGACGCTGTGAGGAGGTTGTTGCGCGTGATTGCGGATGTGAGGTCGATGCCTTCGTTTTCGAGGTCTGAGTCTTCATCGTCGTCGGATGAGTAGTGCACGGTTTGGAATCCGTCGGCGTCGGGGGCGCTGAGGGTTGGGTTTCCTGCTAGGCCGTGGGGTTGCGGGGCAGAAGATGAAGATTGTTTCTTCTTGTTGGCGGGTTTTTGGGGTTGAGAGGTGGTTTGGGTGGATGTGGGGTCCGTCATGGGTGAGTCGGATGAGGGCTTTTTGGACTTCTTTGCTTGGACGAGGTAGGGGTTTTGCTGCTGCTGCTGGGATGACGATGTCTCGTCGATTTTGCCCAAGTCCGCCGCTGATGCGAGACCGTTCTTCTTCTTGGATTGTTTGGGTTGGTTGCGGGTGCTGGTCGGCTTTTCTTCTGTTGATGATGACGCAGGTTTGCTAGTATCGTTTTCATCTTCAGAGCCAGACGCTGCTTCTCGTTCTTCGAATTCGCTCTGGTGGACGCGAATAGCAGGGCGGGATTTACTGGGGTCGACGGGACCGAATTTACGGCGACCGGCTCGTGTTGAGGTCTCGTCTTCGTCGGACTCGCTGTTGCTTTCCTCTCCTGCCAACTCTTTGCGGATGCGCTCAATGTCTTCGTCGTTTTGAGCCCTACGTGCGTCTTCGGCTTTTTGCATAAAGGCCATGGATCCGAGTTTGGATTCCTTGGTGGAGAAGGGGTTTTCCTTCAAGCGCCCGAGCTGACGCTGCAGAATCTGGTCGTGATCGGCGTCCTCGTCATCCATGTCTTCGTCTTCATCCTCGCTAGATAGATCAGAGGCATCCTCGTCTTCGTCCTGGACGTCTTTGCCTTCCATGCGACGACGCAGCTCCTCGTTCCTTCGAGCCATTTCAGTGACGCCTGAGCGAGCATCCTCATCCCACGCCGCTTTCCCAGAAGCCTTGACGCCTTTGGCCCACTTGCTGTCGCGGTGTTTGGCGCCCATGCGCTCTTCAGCTCGGCGGCGGCTGTTGTACTCGCGCTCATCTTCCGAGATGTCGACGCCGTCGGCTTTCAAACCATCCCGCTCGCGTTGCATCATCCTCTCACGCTCTTTCCTGTGTACCCTACGGTACGCCTTGCTCTTGATCTTCTTGACTCGCTTGGCGCGCACTTCTTCGCGGAAGAGTAGTTCTCGCTCCATCCGCAATTGTGCTCGGCGCTTCATGACTTCCTCGAGCGGAAGCTTGTTGGTCTGCAGGGTTTCCCATTTTTGTATCTTCTCTTCGTCTTCGTGGCCGTTTGAGAGCCCACTCTGTTGCAAAATGGACTGGATCGTGCTCTCGAGTTCGTTCGTAGGTGCAGCCGTAGTTGTGGCCGACAGACGAGTCTCACCTGTGCTTTTGGCGCTTCCTGGCTGGTTGAGAGGGAAGTGCAGATGCTCGGCTTGGCGATTCTGCTTGACAGTATCGACCCATCGTTCGAGAGTCTCTTCGGCTTTTGCATTGGCAGCTGCGCGGTCTAGTTTGTCCTGCTGGCGTTTTGGGAGCGGGGCGTCCAATTTGCGGGAGAGGTCGTTGCGCTTTGTGGAAGGCTTCTCATCTTGCAGCAATTTCAAGGCCTTTTTGCGCTCCGGATCGGCAGTCTTGGACTTGAAGCTGGCCAGGTCGACTTTCCTGGAAACACCGAACTCGGACGGGGCGCTCGCTTCGTGAACTTCTGCCCCGCGAGCGGTCGACTTTTGCTCTTCTTTTGCGGCTAGCGACGAGATGAGGTCCTTCAGTTGTGCTTGTCGGTCTTCCTCGTCTTCTTCCTCCTCGCCACCGCTGGAAGAGAAGTCTGAAGCGCCGTCAGCAGCGACGTCGTCTGCTTCACTTGGCGATTCGTCACTGTCGTCGAAGCTCACTCTCTTTTTCTTCGACTTTTTTGCCTTCTTTTTCTCCTCCTCCTCGCTTTCCTCGTATTGATCCAGCGCCGTGGCCAGATCAATAGCATCTTCGCCGAGGTCGTCTTCGTCCTCTTCCTCGTCACCACTATCCTCCTCATCCAAATCGATATCGTCTCCCATATCCATTTGCTGGACTCGTTTCTTCGGTTTGCCGCCCATCTGATTGCTCTGACTTCCTCGAAACGTCCACCCCTCAAACCTTTCCTCATCGCTCTCCCCAAATGCCTCGTCACTGTCGATGTCGCTATCGTTGTCATCGTCCACATGTCCCATTTTCCAATTGTTGCCTTCCGAATCGCTGCCTTCATCATAGCTATCATCACCACCTCTGGTCTGTTTCCTCCTCTTCACATCTGCACCCTCCTCTTCTTCATCTTCGTCCTCGTCCAAGTCATCCCTTGGTCTCTTTTTCTGTGCATCGTATTCCGACTCGCCAAGTCTGCTCTTGCGTCCCTTGTTGCGCTCGGGTACGTCGTGTGAGGCAATGGCGAAGGCGTTGAGTGCACGCTTCGCAGATTTCTTGGGCGCACGGCCGCCACCGCCCGAGTTTTGCGGCTTCGACGGCTTTCCCTTGGGCAGCGAGCTGCGCGATACTCTAGGAGGCATTTTTCTTGCTGCGTGGTGGAGTTGCGAAGAAAAATGTCTATCTCGATTGCTCAGAGAGTTGCGGGCGTCCGAAATCTTGGCGTTCCTCGATTATTTTTTTAAAAGGTTCGTGAGCGGGCCGCGGTTTACCCGCGCGGCGGCAGGGAATGCGCGCGGCGCTGGATGAAGACCTCCGCAATCCATCATCACTGGAGTATCCAAGCTCCAATCGAATTGCAACCTAGCCTGGAGTAATTGGCTGTCCCTTTCCTCCAAAACTCGACCTCGAGCTCAATCGCCCTGAATCTGCTCACAAGCGCAGCCGCATCAGGAGGAACAGAGAAAAAGAAGAACATTCCACGTACCCCATCGAAGCCATGTTCAAACCCACGCCCTCCCTCCAAAGAATGGTACGGCGCCTCCAGCTCACCACGAAGCAAGCCGGCAAAGAATACTACAAAGGAAACCGCGTGGGATCCCTAGGCAAAATCGACAAATACGGCCGCTTCCATGCCGATTTCGATAAGATCAGAACCTATGTGTATCCCGCGAAAGGAGTGAAGAACTTTGAGGTAATGCCCTGTCCTCAATCAATCCTTCGGGGTTTGACAGTTGCCATAACTCCGGCTAAAAGGGGCGAGAGATTGAAAGGAATTGAATTGGATCACTGACGGGTGTATAGTTGACTCCCTTCGTTACCGCACAATCCACCCGCAACATCCAAGTATCACAAGATGCGTATAGAGCACCATCGAAGGTTGTCACTGGCGCAGAGTATTTGCAGATGTGGAAAGAGCATGGTGGTAGTGATTACGTCGAAACGCCCAAGTATGTGAACGGTGAAGCGAAGAGGGGGAATATGCCTGAAGTGTGGGAGGAGAAGGGCGAGAAGCCCAAGGCCTAGAAAGCGGCCATCGATCGTGTAAGGAAAGAGAACGAAGGACTGTAAAACATTTATTGTGTCTATACCAAACGGTTGCTAGAGAGGCCAGGAGTGTTGTACGCTATGGAACAAGAGGTACAACTGTTGCATCTGGAAGGCGTTTCTTTTTTTTTTGTGTATATTATCACTGGCCGTCTCGAGGTAGAAAGATAGTCGCGTGAATCACTTTTACAAAAGGCGAAGAGATGGGTATCAATGTATGAAGTGGTCAACAATTTATTTCATCCCGTCGGAGCTTCAGCACGGTGATGACATGCGTTGCCAAACCCTCGGGTATCATATATACTCCCCAGTTACAATATGTTTTACAAAGAATCAAAGTACATGAACGGAAGCTCTGCAGCATAAACTTATACTCATCCCGATATTCACTCATCATCTGGCCTCCTAACCGCGAGGAAATAATTTCCCCACGATTCACTCCCACCTACCTCCTGCCACCCAAGACCAGGCACATACATGACGCCCTGCACCCTCATCTCGTTCCCAACCCTACCCCAGCCCCTCTCTAAAAACCACGCCCTCAACTCATCCTCGTTCACATACTTGGACCACTCGTGTGTCCCCTTGGGCACGATTCCCAACACGTCCTCAGCAACGACATTCGTAACCAACCAGCTCGTCCACGTTCTCGCAATCGTGCTCATGACGAGCCATCCACCAGGTTTTACCTGCTTCATCGCCATCTCCAAAAACGGACCGGGCGCGGATACATGTTCCAGAACCTCGAATATGGATACAATATCGTAAGCATCATTGGATGGATTTGAAGGAACGGGCAGATGTTCAATCGAGGTGTTTAAGTAGTTGAGGCGACCCGGCAGCGTGAGAGTAGGATCACGACGCTTATGAGATTCAGCAATTGCAAGGACGGAGGGTGTAGGATCGATGGCGGTTACGGAGGCGGTCGTTGGCAGGCGTGCAGCAGATTCAGCAAAGATGCCGCCGCCACAGCCAACATCGAGGTATCGTAGATTTTTGGAGGGAAGCGCGCTCGGTGGTTTCGATGTACGTGGGGTGCCGTGCATGCAGCGTGAGATGAAGGTGTGGCGGAGAGGGTTCATGAGATGGAGGATTCGCGAGGGCCCGTGGGGGTCCCACCAGCTCGAGGCGAGCGCATTGAAGTGGGCTACTTCTGTAGGGTCGACGGAGGATTTTGGGGGTGGTGGAGTGGTTGAGGTTGTGGTGGATGACGAGTAGGGTCGCGAAGTTGGGATGGTAGGAACACGAGTTGTTCGTACGTTATGGAACATCCTGAGAGGGTCTGCGGTTTGTTGTCTGCATATTGTGGCCAGAGAACGGAGCGATCTGGACGACTTCATTTTTGTTGAATGTTGAAGGTGGGGATATAGATTGCAGTGGCCGTCGACAGGTTCAAACGTTAGCTGTTGATGTCACTAGAACTTTTGATGCACAGACCAAGATAGCTATGCACCATAATCACTTTCGCATCTGGACCAATCCACTCCACCAAAACAATTTCAGCGCTGTTGTACTGTAACATTCAGCGATTGTCTCATAGGGCAGGCATCCTCTCATCTGAGGGTTAAGTTTAACGATGTTTGAATGCACCCATCCTCACCCTCACCATGAGCATGCCCTCTGAAATAGCTTGATTATACATTGATTTGTCTTTGTATCTAAACGCGATTGACATGTTTGGAGGATTGTCAAGTAAGAAGACTTTTTTAGAGCCGAAGCTCAAAATATCATGGATATAACCGACCGGATCCTGCATGCATTGTACCCTGAACGCCAGCAACCTGTGAAACCAGAATAACTACTTTCGCATGTGTGAAAAGTCCTTTAGGATGCTAGCCATATGCGTGTTTGTCTGCTTTCCACCACGTCGAACAGCCTTCTTCCTCTTCTTGTTGTCGGTCTTCTTGACTTCTGCCTGGCGAGGGGCGCTGGAAGGCTGCAACCCCGCGGCCATCAAGCTGTTGCGTAGATCGTCTGGATTTGGCGGGATCTGGATCTTGTGGAACTCATTGATGAACTCAGGGTCCATTATGTTCATGAGACTTGGATCATTGTCCCAGACTGAGACGGCTGTCTGATCCTTTTGACTTCGTTTGACGAGAACCTCGTTTTTTGCCTCCATTACCTTGAGATCATCGTGCACAGTACTCCAGCCATCCTTGAGATCCTTTACAGACAAACCTTGGGCAGATTTTTGGGCCTGAAAATAGGCCTTTAGATCAGCTGGTTTTCGGATATCGTATTTCGGTCTGTAGCGGTAGGAATCCCTGTCTTTGTTGTATGCTATACGGTTGGAGGGATTGGTGCTTCGGTAGAGGTTCTGGAGCTGAGCGCGTATGGTGGCATCCGTCACATTCAGGTAATCCATGAGGTCTTTGAAAGAGTACCACTTCTCGCTGTTCTCGGCGGCGCGACCCTTGAGGTAGTCGATGGTGTATGTAAGCTGCGTGTAGATATGGCTGCCGGTGCCTGTCTCCCTGGGCTGCGAGTGGACAACATTATCTTCAGGACGCTTGCGCTTCGCGCTCGTCGACGTATTTGAGGGAGTTGGCGACGGCGCCGCTGGGGGGTTAAGAGCGTGCATGATGCGCCCTCAGTACTAGGATACGATGTTTTATGATGGGGTGAAAGCGGATAATGGAAGAAATCGGACTGTTGGACGAAGATGAAGTGAGTTGTGGTCGTTGAACGGTATGTAGTGGATTGCGGTGGAGTGCACTGTCTGTCTGAATGCGGCTCAGGCAGTGGCAAGTGGGTACATATTAAGTGAAAGGCGCTCAGGGCAGCAGCTTGGTTTTAGGTTGGGAACCGTCTGAGGGTCGTCATGTGTATGAAGCTGTGTGCATGAGTATAATTACGCGCGTGCTGTATGGTCGAACGGGGTGAATGAGCGAGTGACTTGACAAATGAAGTGACTGACGTTCAAGACTATCTGGGCATGTATGGTGCGCGGTGCGGACAGACAGGCAGCCACGGCCGCCCTGCGCGCGCCAAGATGGCCCGAGCTTCTCCCTTCCAGAAACAAACAGCTTCAATCGTCGTGTGCATGGGTCTCTGCTTTCACACAACAACGCTCCTTTGTCTTCAACCCCGACAACCTTTACTTCTCCCTATTTCCTTTTCCCCCTCCACCGCCTGATGATGCGCTAAAGCTTTCATCGTTCTAGCACCCCATCCACCATGGCTGCGGCTGCTGTTGATGTCGGCTATATCGCCGCGTCCTACGCCGTGCCAGAGACTACCCTACATTCGTTGACATCCGATCCCACCGTCGAGCTTGTACAATCGCTGCTGGTTCAGATTGAAGCGAAGGCCCGCGAATTCGATGACCTCAAATCAGACAAGCTCCGCGCCGAGGTGGAACTCGAGGCCGCCGTGCATAGCGCAGACGCTCGCGCACGCACTCTGAAAGCAACGGCAGATAACGCTGTAAAGGAGGCCGATGACTTGCGCCAAAAGATTGCGCAAGAAGGTAGGAGGGTTCTATACGCGATTGACCGCGCTCGACACGCTGACCCCACTTTCCCACAGAAACCGCCCGCCAGCAGATTGAGACTCAGCTTCAAGACCTCAAATCGTCGGCGACAGGCTCCACATCGCAACTTCAAACCCTTGAGTCGCGTGTGAAAACTCTCGAGGCGCAGAACCGCGATACCGTAGCCCTCCACGAAGCCAAATCCGCCGCACACGACCGCCTCGCCGAAGAGCTTTCTGCACAGCACCAAAAGTTTGTCGCAATCCGCAAGCAAGTAGCCGATCTTGAGGAAAAGAACCAGTCGCTCGAGACAGCTGCGACCAGTGTTAAATTCCGCGAATCAAATTTTCAACAGGAGATTGAACTATTGCGCAAGAATAACGAATGGTTCGAAACCGAATTGAAGACGCGCGCGGCTGATAATACCAAGTTCCGCAAGGAGAAGAACACTCAGATCGCCGAACTTCAGCGCGCGAATGCCGATGCCAATCAAACCATAGATTCGCTTCGCACCAAGGAGGCATCCCAGGGCAAGCGTATTGAAGAGCTCGAGCAGCGCGTCGAACAAACGCTGTCTCGTGTACAGCAATTACAAGAGGAGGCGAGACAAAGTCAAGAATCTTTCCGTGCTGAGCTCGATAATGCCCGTCGACTTGCGTCGTTACACCAAGAGAGTGCGAATACGGTCAAGAAACGCTTGCAAGAGGTTCAAGAGCAATTGAACAACCAAGGCGATCAGGCGGCTGAGGAAGTGGGTCGGCTGCAGGCGGAGTTCGAGTCGGAACGCAACAGAGCCACCGAATACGAAAACAAAGTAGCAGAACTCGAATCTCTGCTCGAGAACCAAGAGTCCCAATTAGCCGAATTGAGAAACTCTGCTCAGGTTCCCGCTACACCACGCCGTGCTCTGAACGGAAATTTCGACTCTCCAGGACGAGCTGGTTCGCCAATTGCTTTCTCACCAGGCGGTTCCCGCCTGCGAGGTGGCCTATCCATGACGCAATTGTACACCGAAAATGCTAAGCTCAAGACCGAGATCCGTGCTTGGCAAGAGAAGGATGAGAAGCGGGCGAGAATGATGAATGAGATGCTTGAAGAATTGGAAGACAGACAACCGGAATTGGAAGAGCTCAGGCAGGAAAACGAGAGGCTGACTGCAGCTGCGCAAGAGGTGTCTTCGGTACTTGATGAAGCACTTAAAGCCAAAGAAAAAGCACAAAAGGAAGCTAGGAAGCTCCAGGGCGATCATCAGGGTCTTCTGCGTCAGCGTGAGTTGGACCGTCAACTCATACGCGATGCCACCTTCCAAAGCACATTCCTGCTATACCGACAGAGAGTGCAAGAGGAGGGCGTGGAAAACCTTTCCCCCGAAGAGGCCAAGTTTTTCGAGGAGACGACAAATAATGAGATTCCGGATCATCTGCTGGACGAAGATGAGACAGCTACCAGTCGGATACTTTCCAAACACCTTGTGCTATTTAAAGACGTTTCTCAGTTGATGGCTCAAAATCAAGAGGCTTTGAGGGCCGTCCGAGAGGTCGCCGCCCGATACGAAGGCAGTGAAGCTCAACTAAAGGCTGCTGAGCAAGAGCGCAATTTGGAAGAACTGAAGCAACTGCGTGATAAGCTAGCCGACTATGAGGGGCAAATAGAGTCACTCAATTTACGGTCGCAGAGCTTCATGAAGGAGCGCGACATGTACCGACGAATTGTTACAAGTCGTGGCCAGGCTCCTACATCTGCGATGGATGAGTCCACAGGTGGTAGAGAGACTCCCACTGCTGGCTTCGGAGACAGTGTTATAAGCATCGCCGGTGCACCCATTTCCGACAACAGCGAAATTGTCAAAGAGCTGCAAACACGCCTGGACACCGTAAAAGAAGAATATGCGACAGACCGTGCAACCTCCAAGCAGCAAGTCGACGAACTCGTCAAAGAGAACCGCCAGCTGCAAAGTGACAACGTACGACTCAGCACTAAGCAGGAGATGGTTCAAGAACGTTACGATCTCCTTCAACATAAAATCAGCAGTTTGGAGTCCGAAAAGGCCGAGTTGAAGAAACAACACGCTTCTCTATATGACGAATTCGTTAAAACCGACCAACGAAAACAGGAAGACTCTGAGAATCTGATAGAAGTGAAGAGTCAGCTCGAGAGTGTTGAACGAGAGAACGTCAATCTGAAAGCTTCCCAGTCTCTCTGGAAGACGATCGAAGCCCGCCTGAACGAGGACAAGAACATGCTCATGGAAGACAAAGCTCGGTTGAACAAGATCATCGCTGACATGCAGACCTTGCGTAACGAGCACGATCTAGCTGAAGCTCAAAATCGTCGAAACTTGCAGTCGAGGATCGATGGGCTTGAAGCAGACCTCCAGAACACGCAACGAAAGCTGGAAGAAGAAGTCGAGGACCACAAGAAGCTTGTGATGCGACATGAATGGGAGCATACCGAGAAGCAACGGAAGATCGACGATCTAATGAAGGCCGCCAACGAGGTCCGGCAGGAGCTCGCGTCAGTGAAATCGATACGCGATCAATTGCAACTACGCGTCACTGAGTTACAAGACGAATTGCGGATCGCCCATGCGCGCGTTCAGGCATCACAACCTCAGCAGTCAGCTAGCGGATCAGGAGATGGCAATGAAGAGGATCTCAGTGCTGAAGATCAGCTTGCCAACCAGGTCACTGAACTCCAACGTAAATACGAACGTGCGCAACAAGAGTTGGCTGCCGCAAACACTACGGCCGATGATCTCCGAGCTATTGCTCAAGATACCGAGGAGAGGTCACAAGAAATTCACGATGCAGCAGAGAAGCTTCAGCATGAGTTTGATGAAAACGTAGCAGAGATCTCTCGTCTACGCAAACAGGTCGAGGAAATCTCGGAGGAGCTCACCACAGCCAAGACCGAGCTATCTGAGCTTCGAGGCGGACAATCGCAAGAAATCTTGCAACTTACTCAAAAGCAACAGTCTCTCGAGGCCGAAATTGCCACCCTCAAAGAAAACATCAATGATTGCCAAGCTGAGATTGAGAGCAAGACTCAGGATGTGTCGGCTCAAGCCGAGATCGCGAAGAGAGCCCAGCAAGACTACGAAAACGAGTTCCGAAAGCATGGTGAAACCATGGCGAACCTCCGAACAGTTCGTGCAGAACGCGACACTTTCAGTGGAGAAATTACACAATACAAGACTCAGGCTGAAGCTGCTAGTGCATCGCTGGCTCAGAACGAAGAGCATTTGGCATCGACCCAGGAGCAGTACAAGCGTGAACTTGAAGAAGCTCGGACCCGGTATAGTCAATTGGAGGAGTCGAACAAAACTCTCTACGCGCAGTATGATGCGCTCACCGCTCAGATCGCTAGCCTCAAGAGTGAACAGATGTCGGTGGCTGCGAGCAATGCGGATGCTTCAAGCCTGGATTCCAACGTGAGCGGCCTCCAGGCTCTTAACAAGATCCTTCGCGACGACAAAGACGTATTACAGCTGCAGATGAATGCAAAGGAACTCGAGCTTCAACGGTTTAGGCAGGAGTTGACCCGAAAGGAGGAACAGCTGGATCGGGTCAATGAAAAGCTCATCGCCGAGCAGTCTCAGAATACAAATCGACAAAGTGGTGCAAACCACCAAGCTCTCCAGGACAGCATCGCCCAGCTTAACGTCTACCGAGAGAGCAACACTACTCTACGCAATGAGAAAAATAGATTGGAGACCGAAAGAGATGGCTTCAAGCAGAAGGTTGAGGCCCTCAACCATGAGATTGGTCCTTTGAAGGCCCGCGTTTCCGAATTGGAAGGCGAGCTCGAGATCAACAGCGGACATCTCAAAACCTTGGAAGAGGACCGCGATCGCTGGCAAAAGCGTCATCAAGATGTGCTGCTACGATACGATCGCATTGATCCCAAAGAGCTTGAAGACCTTAAGAAACAACTGGCACAACTTCAGGAAGAGCGCGACCAAGCACAACAACAAGTCGATGGCGTTGATGCACGCATCACAGCTGCGAAAGAAGAGGAGAAGGCCGTTTGGGAGGAACGTCGAAAGAATATCGTCAACCAAGCGAGGGAGAAGGCAAGGACCGACAAACAAGCCCGCGACAAGATTACAGCCGAACGCGATCAAGTCATTGTGGAACGTGATCAGCTCAAAGCAGAGCTCGAGACGGTTAAAAGCGAACTGGCAACCGTACAGTCAGATCTTGAAACTACTCGACAATCCCGCGATGAAGCTTTCGAAAAGATGGAAGCCGCGGATACAGCAATGGAAGAAGAAGGCCAGGTCAATGAGGGGAACCCTGATTTCACAGCGGCTGAGAAGGCCGAGCTTGAAGCCCGCGTTGCCGCGGCCGAAGACCGTGCCAACCAACAGTCCAACGAGTCTGTTTCTCTCGGAATTCAACTTCAAGGTTTAGGAGCACGGGAGAAAGATCTGGAGAACCAAGTTGTAAGTTCTACAATCGCCATAGTCAGTCGTGATGTTCGCGCTAACGTATTACCAGGCGGAGCTGCAGCAGCGCATCGGAGTGCTTAACAGCGAGATTTCTGAATCGCAACGCCAGAAAGCTCAAGACGACGCACGTCTTCAAGAAGTGCAATCTGGCGCTACCCCGTCTGAAGAGCAAAAGCCCCCGCAGGCTTCCGAGGAAACTAGCGATTTGACAGAGAAACTCACCATTGCGCAAAAAGAAATCGAGGACTTGCGGACGCGCGCCGAGATGGCAGAATCGCTTGCAAGCCAGAACGACAACAACGCTGTGGACGTGATTCCTGGGCAAACTAATCAGGAGACCGGTGAACAAGGCGGTGAACAACTTGCCTCAGTTCAAAGCACTCTGGAAGATCGCGAAGCTGCGATTGCCAAAGCTGAAGCCGAGATAACGGCTTTGAAGGCTGAGATAGACCAAGTTCGGCAGGATTCGGAGAAGAAGGTCAAGACTTCAGCGGAAAAGATGGACAGTCTGAAGACTAAGGCGAATGACAAGATTAAGGAGAAAGCAGTGGAGATTGAACGTCTCAACAAGGAGCTGAAGGAGAAAGAGAAGACTATTGCTGGGCTGCAGCAGGAGGTCGAGGAGCTCAAATTGCAATCGCAGGACAAGTCCAACACAATCATCGCACCCGTCAACCCTTCACCCGTGCCAGGATCGGAAGCCTCAGAGCGCGAGACACAGGACTGGATCAATGGTAATCCCACGGCTCAGAAGATCATCAAGCGCACTGTCATCCAGAGGATCAAGGCAGAACAAGACACCAAAGACGGCCAAGGTTCCGAAGATGCTACACCCATTGAGCAGCCAACAGACTCTTCCGTGATCACCAAAGAAGAGCATGAGCAGATTGTTGCCAAAAAGCAAGAAGAGAGACAGAGTTTGGTTGAGACTAAGTTTGCGGCGAAGCTAAGTCTTGCTTCCGGTCGATCTGCCAAGCTCAAGGCTCAATGGGACGTTGTGGAGAAAGCTGCTACGGAAACACCAGAGAAGCCGGTCAAGGAGGTTTACGATGTAGCCAAGACCGCAAAACCTGCACCAGCAGCACCCGTGAATGTCCCAGCCAGCAACCAGCCTTTACCACCTACGCAGCAACCACCGTCGCCTGTCACGGCAGCGATCAATGCAGCTACCCAACAATTGCCAGGCCAGCACGCTCAGGCTAACGGGGCAAGGCAAAATTCTTTCGGACCGTCTTCTTTTGGACAGTCCGGCAATCCGTTTGCCCAGTCGGTCAATCAAGCTTTCCCCAACCCCATGCAAAACCAAATGGGCCAGAGCTTCTATGGTGGTGGTCTACCACAGCCAGGCTTCTCAGCCCCTACGAATCAGTTCATGAACCCGAACCGCCCGAACTCCCCATATAACCAACAAGTTCAACAACAGCATATACAACAAGGGGGACGAGGACGTCCTGAGGTTGGTACAGGTCCCGGAGCGCTTCGAAGTCTCGGTCAACCCGCCCAGTCAGGTATTCCTCGGGGGGGCGGGACCGGAATTCCTATGCCAGGCGGCGGTCGCGGGCAGGGGAGAGGACAGGTCTCAAACGCACAAGGACAAGCATCTCAGATTGGGCGTGGGGGTGGCCAGAATAGGGGCCGCGGAGGTGGGCGTGGAGGTCAACAGCAAGCTCCAAGCAGTCCCATGAATGCAAGCGCAGCGGCGTTTCAACCTGGCGGGGGTCTTGGACGGGGACAGAAGCGAGGCGCCGAAGATGATGGCGGTCACCGTGGAGGCAAGCGACCCAGAGGTGGCCGCGGGGGTGCCGGTGGTGGTGCCGCAGGAGGATCTGCTGGTGGCGAAGAGTGATTCGCTCATCGCATGTGTTGAGATCAAAAATCAGATAGGGACGAGTATGTGGATTACCAGATGAGTTTGGTTCGTCCTGGTGGAGAACATGTACGATCGGGCAGGCACACTGGGGGGTTTTTAATCCTCTCATGTGCCATGTACGGGTTTTTCCTTATTCACTGCATTATACGGGGTATCCAGCAGATTCTACTTTTTCGTTTGTTCAAGGTTCTGATGTAATTTTTCTTCACTGTTTTTCTTTGCCACTACTGCTTTTCCCCTTGGGAGCGGCTCATCTGTATCGGTATATCACTAAGAGCGCGGGAAAGGAGGACAAGGGTGGGATGTCGATATAGCAACCTAAAAATCTCAAAGCACAGTGCATATATGATTAAGTTATATTTCCCTGTTCCTCCGTGTCGCTATGCGCTTTGTGAAGAGGCAGTCTCTTTTCTCGTCTCTCCGATAACCCGACGGTCTGCGTTACATGCCGCAACTACAAATCTCCTACGTGGCACATTCCAGAAGTCCAGCCAATCTCTAGAGTAACGCTGATTGAACATCCTTGCTTCAGATGTTACGCATTTCCTACCTTGGAGGGGAAAATGGAAGAAGCGACTTGGTCATATCCGATGGTGGAGGTTGTAGTGAGCGTACAAGTGCAAATTGCACATAGACTGGCTAACGCCATTGCAGAGATGGACTGGAGAGGGAAACGCCAGCACACAAACAAACAGATGCTGAGTCAGAATCCATAGGACTAAGACTTAGTAGTCGTGTAGCGGGGCGGATGACGGGGCAAAATTTACTTACTATAAGGGTAAGTGTGTACGGTGAGACGAGGCGGACTGATGAAGGCAAACCAGGGCGCGGAGTACGGCGGAGCATCATGGTCCTGCTTGAGAATTACGGCCGGTTCTGAGGCTGTGCAATTGACGGTTTCTTGCTTCGATTCGGTCGTGCTTTTTTGTCTGCTGAAGCAAAAGAAGATGGGTTTGAGGGGGTAGATGGAAGCGGGCGCAATCCGGGGAGTTGATGCAGCCACAATCGCGTGCCAGCGAATCACGGCAAGACGGATCTGGCCCAAACAATTGCGCAAGTTTACCGACCTTGCATCTGTGCACATCAATCAATGGCGGATAGAGGCAGATGCGCATGCAACGCACACACTCCATTATCAAGCACCGCAGATCAGCCCTAGGCGGACGGGAGGACCAGGATCAGGCAATTTGGCCAGCCTAGCGACTACCCAAAATAAAATTTAAGCTCTTAGGGGTTCCCAGTCCCTCGGGAATGGGGAATGACTGACACGAGCGAAATGCCCTTCAGTCCTCGACAGTCCAGCTCCCTAGCTCTTTTTCTTTCGCTTTTCCCTCTTTTCTTCCCCTCTCTTCCTCTTGTTTTCTAAGTTTCGCCTTGTTCTCGTCTCTTTTGTCCTCTTCCAAGATTCGTCTATTTGTTCTAGAGCCCCAGAAAGTGGTGACTGTGCCCATGCTTTTCTGAAGCTCCCCTCCCTTCCGACATTGGCACTCCCCGAAACCTGCCATTCCACCACCACCAACATGATTGATCGCGCGGCTTTACTGGGAGGCGTGCCTATGAAGGCCCTCTCTTTGGTTCTGGTACGTTGAAATCCGAAGATACATGTTGACAGTCGTCTAACAATTGTGTATAGCTCACATTCCAAAACTCAGCCCTCATCCTGGTATGAAGCATCCACCCGTCGCGCTATCAAACGTCACCGGCATGACATTGAACGAAGATTTTGGAACTGATGGATACATGCGCAGATAATGCGCTACTCCCGAACTATGCCCCTCGTCAATGGTCACCGCTTCTTCAGCTCCACATCGGTTTTTCTCAACGAAGTCATCAAACTTGCCATATCCGCCTGCGTCGCCCTTCACGACATTTCGAGTAACGCCGGCCCAAACACATCCGCCAAATCGATCCTCTACGAACTCGTAACCGGCATGTTCGCCGGTGACAGCTGGAAGTTGGCTATCCCCGCCGCCCTCTATACCCTACAAAACTCGCTACAGTATCTTGCTGTCAGTAATTTAGACCCCGCGACTTTCCAGGTCACATATCAGCTCAAGATCCTCACAACGGCTATATTCAGTGTAATAATGTTGGGGAGAGTCTTGTCGACCAAGAAATGGACGTCACTGGGGCTGTTAACACTGGGTGTCGCTATTATTCAGCTACCGCAAGATACTGCCGAGGTGACAATTGAAGATTCCATGACTGGAGAAGAGGCAAAGATTGGGAGACGCGCTCTCCAGCAGGCTGGGGCTCTTGGTACCTTGGCCGTGCGCTCGATGCTGGCATCCGCTACATCAACTGAACAGCGCCTATACATCCGCGAGGACAAGCCAGTTGACCCCGACAACCAGAACCGCTCCGTCGGCCTCGTCGCCGTTCTCATCGCCTGTGGCATCTCCGGTCTTGCGGGCGTTACTTTTGAGAAGATTCTCAAGCAGTCTCCACCCTCGCAGAAACCTGTGTCCTTGTGGGTTCGTAACTGCCAGCTCTCGTTCTTTTCTCTCTTTCCCGCCTTCTTCATTGGTGTTTGCTGGGTGGACGGTCGAGAGATCTCCGAGATTGGATTTTTCGCAGGATACAACTTTGTAGTTTGGACGGCCATCATGTTCCAGGCTGGTGGAGGTATATTGGTGGCGCTCGTGATCAAATACGCGGACAACATTGCGAAGAATTTCGCAACGAGCATCTCCATCATCGTCAGTGCTTTGGCTAGCGCCTACTTTTTCAAGTTTCAAATTACACTCGTTGTATGTACCGATAACATCTTGAAGACTGAAAGCGTCAGTCATTGCTAACATGCGAACCATCTAGTACATGATTGGAACTGCGGTTGTGATAGGTGCTACCTTTCTGTACAGCCAGCCGGAAGCCCAGCCTCCCATCAAAACAGTTGAGTACGAGGAAAGCGATATTGGCCGCCACTCAACAGGACTGGAGTCAGCTCGCCCGCTCATGATGATGCAGCCTATGCGAAGCGACAGTGCAGAAATAGAAAGAGCGGAGTCCCCTCCTAAACGCAAACCATAGAAACACGACGACATGCATAAAATTCAAAACAATTAGCCAATTAAGTAATGACTGCATCGCTTAGTATATCGAGCAGTTCGGCATTTTGGTTTACTGCTTTCTTATCTGGGCTGTCTGGGATCCAATCTAATGCGACAACCTATACCAATCTTCTTCTTGCCTTATAATACCACGTTCAACTCTGGGGCACTATTGAAACAGGAATGATGTGGTGAATACAGGGAGATTGCTTACCACGTCTCATGTTCCTCATGTTCAATTTGGGGGTAGAAGCTCACTCGTTGGTCGACAGTAGATGAGAAGAGACAGTGATAGGTGCTTCTGATCTTGATAATTCTAGGGGAGTATGGAAGCAAAAAAGAATCCGAAGCCTCTTATATCTCTCATGAAAGTGCCTGGGACCACTATGCTGAGGTCCATCTGACGGGTACGTGGCTACCGCATTCTGTGCGGTCGCGACTTCCTCTTCCATCAAGCCTCCACGCACCCCAGACATCCCCATCTACCCCTCGTTCTGAATCGCCCTCCTCCGACCCTATACTATCTTTTGCGCCCCTGCTGTCACACCATACTGTCCTCTCGTTCTCTTATTATCTATTTCATCTCATCAGGGGGAAGTATCATGGCGGAGAACCACCCTCACTCACTCTTTCCGCTCGACGACACGTCAGCCTCACAGCGGTATCCCGTCCTCCAGACGCGTTTTAGACAATTCCCCCAAGCGGTGCCTCCACGCGATCGATATCGCACGTACAGACGTGATGGCGGTGACGCTGTGGAGGACTGCGTGGAAGACGACTGGGGTGAGGAAGAAACCATGCAATTCGACGCGTTCGATGAGCAGATTCTGCAGAAGTCCATGGAGGATCGGAAGAAGAAGGCAGAAAAGGGGTTGGCCAGGTTGTCATTCACCCCGGGATATGGCTCGTCGTCTTATCGGCCTCGTGACAGCATCGTCGGCGGCGACAGCACCGACTGTAAGTACTAGAAGGATTGTATGATATTATGAAGGATTACTCATATATGAAAAGCTCGGCAGATATATCAACAGCAACAGTTGGCCCGGAGAGATCTGAGTGAGTTTAACTATCTCGGGCATTGAATGAAGCTGAGCGGATAAGCTGACAGAAGATTGCAGGCCGGTTTGCTTTCAATGCCGCGGACTTGCCAGAGACCAGTTCGGATGCCCAGTGTGAGCATTCATCGAGCCCGGCGTTTAGAGCCAGTCAGAGGCGTGTTGAGCAAGAATATGATTTTCCAGGCCAGCCGCATAAAAGCCAGCATGCATCCGAGCATGAGACGACCCATGAAACCGAAGACTACCAGGCAAGGGGGGACCTTTATGATACAAATCAATCAACATCTCGACCCTTGCCAAACTCGACTCGAAATGCGACTGCTCTTCAACACAAGCCAAGTGCTCCTGTTTGTCAGGGCATTCCTCTTGTATTCGTCAGCGAGTTGCCCTCTCGCCTACGTACGATCTTCCCTTACCCCAATTTCAACGCTGTTCAATCAAAATGTTTCGAAGCAGTCTACAAAACAGACAACAACTTCGTCCTCGCAGCACCGACTGGAAGTGGCAAGACCGTCATTCTGGAGCTGGCAATTTGTCGCGCCATTTCCACGAATACTGTAGACCAATACAAGATAGTCTATCAGGCGCCCACCAAAGCTCTGTGCTCAGAACGCCAGCGGGACTGGGAGAAGAAATTCTCGCCTGCTGGGCTCAACTGTGTTGAACTCACAGGCGACAGCGATGCACGGGATCTCAAAAATGTTCAATCGGCGAATATCATTATTACCACCCCGGAAAAGTGGGACAGCATTACGCGGAAATGGAACGACCACGAGAAACTGATGCGACTCATCAAATTGTTCTTGATTGACGAGGTCCACATCCTGAAAGAAGACCGTGGGGCGACGCTCGAAGTGGTTGTGTCTCGTATGAAAACCATTGGTACTAATGTGCGCTTCGTCGCACTTTCTGCGACTGTCCCAAATTTCAACGACGTCGCTACCTGGCTTGGAAAAAGTTCTGCTACTCCCAATGAGGCGGCTATTCACGAAAAGTTCGGAGAAGAGTTCCGGCCGGTCAGACTGCAAAAGCACGTTCGCGGGTACACGTCGAACAACCCTAACGAATTTGCGTTTGAGAAAGTAATCGATTCGAATCTTACAAGTGTAATCAAGAAGTACTCTGAACGCAAGCCTATGATGATCTTCTGTAGCACACGAAAGTCTACGGCTACAACTGCTCAAAAGCTTGCCAGCTGGTGGGCCAGCAGTGGTCCCAACGATCGCATGTGGAATGCACCGTCTACTTCTCTGGCGTTTCGTGATAAGGACTTGCAAAGTTGTGCCACATCTGGTGTAGCATTCCACCATGCTGGCATATCTCTCGAAGACAGGGTTGCGGTTGAAGACGCTTTCCTAAAGAACTTTATCAGTGTTATCTGTTGTACGTCAACTCTCGCGGTGGGTGTCAACTTGCCATGCCATATGGTCATCATTAAAAACACGGTGTTCTACACCCCTAGTATGGGAACACAAGAGTATCCCGATCTCGACATCATGCAGATGCTTGGTCGCGCTGGACGTCCCCAATTCGAAGATTCTGCAATCGCAGTCATCATGACTCGCCAAGCCAAGGTTGCAAGATACGAAAAGATGGCGATTGGTGAAGAAGTATTGGAGAGCACACTGCATCAAAATCTTGTCGACCATTTGAATGCCGAGATATGTTTAGGTACTATCAAGGATCTTCTCTCAGCGAACCGATGGCTCACTAGCACTTTCCTCTATGTTCGTTTGAACAGGAATCCGCGATATTACCAACTCCACGGGTCTGCCAGTGGGCAGACGACTGACGAGCAACTGAATGAAATTTGTTACCGAGACATTTCATTACTTCGAGAGCACCAACTCATGGTGGGCGAAGAAAATTTTCATTCAACCGAATTTGGCCAGGCCATGGCACGTTACTACGTGCATTTTAAATCTATGGTTATCTTCATGGGCCTTCCCCGGAAAGCCGCAATCTCGGAAATTGTGAGCAAGGACTCCCTCAGTTGGTGAGAGAAGCTACTAACGTGTGAAATTTAGCTTTCTGCTATAGCGCAAGCATCCGAGTTCGAGGAAATTCGGTTCCGACAAGGCGAGAAGGCTCTCTACAAACATATCAACAAGTCGGTGGTTATGCGGTTTCCAATTCCTGTGGATCTCGCCCTGTCGCCGCACAAAATCTCTCTTCTGATACAATCTGTGCTCGGAGCCGCTGACATTCCATGGGATGGGGACTTCGGAAAGCACCGACAGCAGTACAATACCGAAGCCAATTCCGTGTTCCGATCACTCACACGCCTCGTACGCTGTATCATTGACTGCCAGATCGTCCAAGAGGATGCTGTAAGTATCAACAATGCTCTACTGTTAGAGCGGAGTATCGCTGCGAGGGTTTGGGATGACTCGCCTTTGCAAATGAAGCAGATTGATAAAATAGGCATTGTGGGTGTCAGAAAGCTTGCAAGTGCCGGAATCAGGAGTATCGAGGAGCTTGAGTGCACAGAGCCTCATCGAATCGAATCAATTATCGGAAGAAATCCTCCGTTCGGCTTGAGCATCATAGAACAGTTGAAGACGTTTCCCAAACTTCGCATATCGCTGTCGCTTCAGGCAAATTCGGTATGCTGTTATTCTCACAGCTAAGATGTAAGCTAATGATTTCCAGATCTCCAAAACGCCAAATGGCGTGAAAGTTACTATCAAAGCGGACGTCGGATTCATCAACGACAAAGTGCCCGAATTCTTTAACTCAAAGTCCATCTACGTGTGTATGCTCGCGGAGACTTCAGACGGACGCAAAGTGCACTTTGCTAGGACAAGGTTCGAGCAATGATTCACGTACCTTTCTTCCGGATACTAACTCTGCACAGCTCGCGACAGCTCGGTAGAGGCCAGATGATGAATTTCTCGACTTTGTTGACCTCACCAAATCTGCGTATTAACGCCTATCTCATGTGCGATGGCATAGGTATAGCCTCCAGGTCTTATAAATGGACAAAGGCTAATGAAAAACAGCCGGGACGCAGCGATGTGCTTCGGTCACACCAAAAATTGCGCCCTCAATGTTCCCATCGAACAATGATTCACATGATACGCTGTCGCCAGGGCCACCAAACAGACCCACATCGAACATGGCTCTTCGGCGTACCGAGAGTACCACGCACGTCAAAAAGAGGCCGCCTACAGCTGAAGAGTATGATGATGGCATTGATGACGAAGAGCTCATGAAGGCATCCTCCTATGATCTGGACTTTGACCATATCGAGAATTTCGCCAATACTGCTGATACACTGACCAGAAACAACACAGCTAAAAATGCCTGTTCGACAAAGAACAGTCGTATCAAGCCAAATTATCACCCACAAGATGATGGACATGAGCCAAAGCAACTCGAGAACGGGAAATGGGCCTGCAATCACCCTTGCAAGAATAAGCAGGCCTGTAAGCATTTGTGCTGCAAAGAAGGAATGGACAAACCACCCAAGAAATCTGCTCCGAAGCATTCGCCATCAGAAGACTTGAACTCCAAATCTAGTAGTAATGTCCAAGAGATGCACAAGCCGAAGTCAATCCAGACAAAACTGCAAATTAGTCCAACAAAGCGCCAGGGCTCAAACTCCATTGCGCAAATTGATCTCACACAACCCAGCAAGAAGATGAAGCCAGAGATTTCAAAGCACTCCAAGAGCTCTGAAGCGCGTCCAAAGGACTTCCAAAAGCGTGACATACGTTCTTCGCTCAGTTCTTTGACACAAAAGAAGCCTAGATACTGCTACGGGGAAGGTGGCGACTACAAGCTGTCCTTTATGGATAATAGCAAAGACTCAAGTTCGAGCGATTACGGCGACATGGACCTTGACGAGCATTTCTCCCGCGCCCTTGCTCATACTGGTCAGGGACATGACCACCATACAAAGAGCAATCTGCAGGATCATCATGCAGATGTGAATAATAAATTCCCTGGGGGAACCGAAAGCTTCGCTGCACTGGACGAGCATCAGTCAGAGGCCTTTGGTGACGATGATTCTGTCTTCAACGGGGCCCTCATGAATCTTTCAGAAGATCCCGACAGTATCTACTTGAATCCTGGTGGCGACACAAAAGCAAATGGCAATGACTTTGACGATGAATTGGGCCTTGGTCTGGACTTGGACGCTGAAATGGGCTTCGAAGACAATGCAAATGCAGAGCCCGGAGAGTCCTTCGTTCTGCCTCATTACAAGCAGAATTCTTCACGAATCGCTGATGGAGTGATGCACCCTAAGGCGGCACGTATGCCGTTTTTAGTCGAAACAAGCAGCCCAAGACCGTCCTTCACAGCAATCAATACTGTGGAGGAAGGACAAAAACATGGTCCCTCAGAGCATATTGAGACCAACCTAGAAACATCGAGGCGCCCCGCATCCCGCGAGAAACATCAAGAACCAAATCAGAACGAAGAATCTCGAGAGAAGAAGCTAGTCGAGGAAAATGCTGCCCTAGTCAGCAATTTACCAGCGCCTGAGGCTCACCAAGGACTTGATTCGTGGCTCCTTGAGGAGTTTGGTGATGTTGTTGAAATTGTGGATGAATGAAAGGAGATATCAAGTTTCGCCATGTGCTGATCTATTTTACATCTGAGGTGTGGTTTCAGACGTGGAAACCAATGCGCACGAATCTGCATTGTTCGTATACTAACTTCAGCTTCGCTATCTGACACATTTCTACATTTGGAGGAAGATGGGGAGCATGCAGTTTCATGATGTGTGAAAGCATTCAGACAAAAGTATAAGTGATTTTGGCAATGAAAAGGGGAGATGAGTAAGGGGTAGTTATATGGCCTAGCATGTGTATAGCTTTTTTGATCATATGTTATGAAATATGATACTATGTACGCTTGAGCTATGAATTGATATGATTCGTGCGTAATCGCTCTTAGTCGCTCTTGATCTTTGTTTGTATATCACGACGTGGCTTTCTCGGCCGTGGGTGGATAGAGAATGTCACGAAAAGAAAAAAGAAACGGAAGAAAACTACCATCAACCCCCGAGTTTTATTTATCAGCAGGAATTTAATGCGTTACTTCTTTCCACATTTTATCTCAAGAGTAAGCGCTCATAACGTTCACACCAGGGACAAAAAGCGTTTGAGGCTGATAGACACACACTCACTTACACAGGAGTCTTCTTCTGTAGAACAAACTCGACAAAACATTCAAATTTTGCGGTGAGTGAATGTATGCCCATAAAACATGTGTGTTTTTGCATCTTTACTCTATTCGGTTTCCATTGTCTCTATGACAAGTACCTAGGAAAAGTCAAGAGATTGAGAAAAGGGTGCCGTAGTGAGAGATTTACATTCGCGCTACACGATATAACTGTCTAAGCAAATACGTAAAGGCCGCTCTCTATAATATCTACGCAATAGCACTACCCCTGGGTCGGACATTGTGGATCGGACGCGGGTTCTCCCGGTGCCTAGAATATGCGGGTCAGTGAAACTATCCACAATCGGATACTTCATGTTGAGGGGGAAGGAAAGGGGAAGGGAGATACTCACTTCTTAACAATCCTCTCGATGGCATCCATACCCTTGGCCAAGACATCCATCCTGGGACCGTAGCTAACACGGACAAAGTGATGGCAAGGTGAATCAAACAAGTCCCTACGCTTGGAGGGGTTCAAGTCAAAGAAGATACCGGGAACAACAATGACCTTTTCCTCGAGACAAGCAGCGAAGAAGTTGAGACCATCGTTGATGGATTCGGGCAACCCGGAGAGATCGAGCCAGAGGTAGAAGGTCGAGTTGGGCATGAACTGGAACTTGAACCCGATTTCCTGGAGACGGCCGATGACGAAGTCGCGCTTGGTGCGGAAGTGCATTTGCAGCGCGCGCATCTCGTTGCGCACACGAGGCGGGTCCAGCATGGCTACGGCGGCCTCTTGGAAGGGGACGTTGCAGCCACCGTCGAGGTAGGAACCGCAGGATCCAATGGCTTTGATGAATTCTTTGGGGCCGATAACCCAGGCGACACGCCATCCGGGGAGGCGGAAGCGCTTTGTGAGACCATCGATGATGAGGACGTCGTCGTCATCGACGTCTTCGACGTTGTCGGCTGACGAGATGACCGTGCCGTCGCAGTCGGTTGTGTAGTTGTATCCGCAGTAGAACTCATCCATGATCAGCGTCGCGCGATCACGGCAAATGTTCTGGATCTGCGCGAGCTCGGGGTTCGTGATCATCTGGCCGGTTGGGTTACGGGGGTTCGACGTGAGGATCACGGAGGTACCTCGAGCGATTTCCTCGGCCACCTTGTCCGGCGACATGTGGTACTTGTCGTCTTCGCCTAGGGGAATTGGGATAGCTGCGATGTTACGGAAAAGTGACAACATCTCGTTGTACGCAGTATAGTCGGGGATGAAGAAACCAAGGTAGCAGTTTCCGAGCACGGCGGCGATACGGATCAAACCCGCGCGACCACCGGGAACGATACAGACGTTTTCCCTATCGACAGTGTTAGCCAGATGTGCATTTTCCCAATGCCCTCGTGTTGTCAAGTATGCCACCTTCTCCACCGATTATGCCAGGAAAGAACAGTACTCACCAGGTATACTGGCTCTTCCTCCACTTTCGGTGGTGCTCATTGTACAGCCTAGCAACGGCCTCTCTCAGCGGCTTGATACCAGCTGTAGGACCATACTCTCGGCCGTGACTCGAGATGTCGACCTCCTTGGGCCTCTCGAAGCAGCCCTTGATCTCGTCGTCGACCTCAGGGGCTCCCTGGCCCAAGTTGGCCCATGATTCGGGGTCTTCGAGGTAGCCGTGCTCGTAAGCGCGCTCCGATGTCCATACGACACCAGTAGAGGCACGGGTTGGATCGAGACCGGCGTGGGGCTTGTGGCCCTCGTGTTCACGGAACTGACGATGGATCTTGGAAGTGAGTTCTGTGTGGCGCATTTGATGTTAGATTGGAACTGATTTCGTGAGTGTGAAGAGAGCGGAAAGAACCAAGAAGAGGAGAGAAAGAGAGACGAGGGCAGAGTGATGAAGTTTGAACCCATTGCGGGGAAACTGTGACCAGAAGCTGGGGTTTTATTTGGAGAGCGAACAGAAAATGTGTGAATTGACGACGAGCCAGGGAGGTGGTCCGGAGGGGAATGGAAGTGCCAGCGCAAGACAATGGGAAACAACTTACCATTCTCCGTGGGGTCTTTGGTGGAGGAAAACCTCCTGCTGCCGAAGGTGCCCGACTTCTTGAGGATTGGGATTTCGCGACCTGAGAAAGACATGATGGTGGTAGAATATGGAAACGCGAGCTCAAGACAAGCTTTTCTGCAGGCTAGTGGTTCTTGGTAGAGGGAATGGGTGAATGGTCGGGCAAGCAATCAAAAGGCAACCTAATAAATAGATCGGATCACTTTAGGCTTGTCTAGGCGGCGGGAGGATAGGTGGGGGCGTAGTGGCGAAGGGGTGCAGATGGTAGTAGAGAAGAGACTGTGGCGTCTTTTACTCTAACAGTCTGGTGGAGACGACAAGGGGGAGGGAATCAACCAAAGCAAGTCAGGGAATATTGGAGACCAGCCAGTGGATCAGAGAGGAAAGGAAGGAAAAGACGGCGAGGGAATGGAGTAGGATGGTGGTTATAAGTAAGTAAACAAGAAAAAAAGGTCCCGCGCCTTTACCCCCGCTACTAACTATCTCCAGCCCCGCCATCGCATTGTCGTTTCGCAGCCAAGTGGATGAAGAAGGAAGCTTGGACCCTTGGTTGCTTGCTTGCAACACATGCATACACTCAAATGTTGTTCAATTCCCGCCCGCCCTGGGATGATTCAGCCTTTCAGGATTGGGGGGGGCATGGGGCTGGCCTGCAGATGGGGACGGACGTCAAGATAAGTGCAGGCTTGCTTGCATGCGCGTAGCTCTGGGTGCGAGCTATGTGCTATGCTTTGCTTGCTTACTTGCGTTGCATGGATCAGCGCCCCGCGGCTGGAAAGGCGAAGAGGCATTTTCCCCCTCCGTTCTCTTGAGTCTTTTGACAGATGGAAACAGCTCGGGAACGAATCAAGGGCATCAACGGGCGCCATAGACGGTGGCGAACACGATCGCAACCAAGTGCAGACGATCCGTTCCCCTGTTCCATCGTCGTCCTGATCGTCTGTGACATGCTTGGACCGTGTCCAGGTCGCCAGCAATCAATTTAGCCTTCAACGCGTCGCACTCCCGCAAGTCGAACAATTGGGGGCCTTGAGGAGCGGTGTGGAGAAGGGAGTTGACGGCATGCCTTCGCTGCCTGCCATTGGACACAAGCAAGACAAACTGTATCGGGGTTGCAAGAAAAAGAGATGGACATCATCGGGCGTTGCGGCGTCGAGCGCACCTTGGGACTGGGGAGAGCTGAAAACAATCTGTTGGCCTGCCTGTTCCAGCCCAAACAGACTGTGGCTTATCCTGTTTTCCGACGCTGTTCGACTCTGTTGTATCTTGACCCTGGTCCTCGATTGGGCTCCTCGACTCTTTGGCAACGTTGCTGTGCTCGCTGAACTGGTTGGCGAAGCAGATGCACAAAGTGGCGGTGGAGCGGCTTTTTGGCTGGGATGCCCCTCCATCCGCTGCTGCACCCCCTGCGCTCCTTCTCCCTCGTCCCTATCCGTCTCCATCTTCATCCCCACTCTTCACCATCCCCAAGTCATCGCGCAGGCGCTTCAGCATAATCTCTTATTTCTACATAGATACAGCTCCTAATACACATCTCCTCCACCCATTTGCTCTGACCCTCTTAAACACAAAACACTAGGAAAAACAACTGTGCAGCGCATTGCCACCAAAACTACAAGAAAGAAAACTATTCTACAGGATCATCTTCCAACAGCCGCACAAAGCTGAATGGTTCAAACGGCACTCCGTCACCGATGAAATGCTTGCTCATGGCTTCTACCCAGTGCAAACGGAGCGAGTGCAGCATGGCACTGGTGCCCTCCATTACGCACAGAACCGCTACCGTGAGCATGAACCAGCCGTAGAACACAACCACCATCATGATGGATCCCGTAATGCCAGTCATGCCAAATGCGTTCTTCATCGTCATGTCCCAGAGCACAATAGAGAGACGTTGGTGAGCCAGGGAAAGAGCCCAGAGACGGAGATAGGATGCCGTATGCGACACGCAGTTGAGACAGAATTCTAACTACTGATTAGGATTTGTGTTTTTTTTGAGAGTTGGGACTGGTCCACTTACCAATAGTGTGGATGACCTGGTGGATCATGATCTCACCGAATTCGAATTCTTCGTGCTCTTCGCCGTGTCCGATATCCTGCGTGATCATGGCAATACCATCATCGTCACCGAAACTCTCGCGGCCGTTGCCGTTAAGGTTGCGGCTTTCGTCTTCGTCGTCATCATCCAGAGCGCTGACGCGGGTGCTTTCACCGATGCCACGGTATCCGAGGGCACGAGTTTTGTTGTGCTCCCATCGTAGGTAGAAGGGCTTGAGGAAAAGCAGAACCGGAACGCAGGCAAGCGCAATGAGTACGAGGAAAGTCTGAAGTCCAGCTTGTCCTGGGAACATGGGCTCGGTGCCTTCTTCGAGCGTGCCCGGCGACAAGAACATGTAAATCAACATATTCAAAAGACTGGGAGGGCTTACACCGCGCGCTGCCCAATCCACACTCCACTTGTAGACAATGGTGAAAGAGAGGTAACCAAAGATCGACTGGAAAAAGATCATTCCGGGAACGAAGTTGCCCCAGATGTCAATGGGCGTCTTGAAGTAGCGAGAGTTGACCAGAGACCACATCAGTGAAAACGTCATGTGGCACCAACCGAGCAAGATACTGAGTTTCATCTTGTAACTGTTCGAGAAGAGCAGGTCGTTGTCGGTTTCGTGCCATCTGTAGTCCAGACCGAAGGGGTACGTGTGTCCTTCAATTCGATGAGCATTCGGACCAAGGTGAACCTCGCCTTTCTCGTCCTTGTGAGAGTCCCACTCCCACATGGAGCTGAACCAGGGAAGCTCTTTAGAGAAGGCATCGCAGTAGAGTAAACCGGTATAGATGGAGAAGATACCCATCATCATGATAATGTAACGTCCATAAAAGATCATAGAGAAAAGTTCGTCAAGCTTGCTGCGCTGCAGTTTGCGTTCAAAGTATATCATGGCGAGGGCGGCTGAGAGAATAATGACACCGTGGCCGGCATCACCAAACATAACGGCGAACATGAAAGGGAACGTGACGATAGCGGGTAGCGCAGGATTGACTTCTCGGTATTTGATGGTTCCGTAAGCGTCGATGATGGTTTGGAAAGCGAGAGTGAAGCGGTTGGTCTTGAAGTACGTAGGAGGAGTCTTTGTGGTCTTGACCTGGTTGACGATGGTAGGGACTGATAGTCCTGCGCGGTCATTCACGTCAGAGAGAGTGGACTTGATCAGACCGAGGGAGTTGGTGGGCGCCCAAGCCTCGGCAATGAGAGTTTTGCGTTGGTGGTCGTATGAAAACTTGTTCAAGGTTTGGTAAGTTCCCTTCTCTTTCTTGATGATGACCATCCAAGCAGCCAGCGTACGGCCGATGGCAGTCAATTCTGCATCCAAGGTAGATTTGGTGTTCTTCAACACACTAGACAGATCGCTCAGACGGCTGTTGACCTCACGCATCTGATCACGACGGAGCTCGCTGTTCTCGTCAACGCTGTAGAGATCAGCACCCATGGACTCCGAGATCTTGCGAATCTTGGCGATGATCTCCTTTCCATGAGCGAAGATAATGAACACGTTCTTGCTGGTCTCCTCGTTGTTCTCGGGGTTGATAATGGGCTCCGGGATCTCGGATTGGTTCATGTAGAGGTTACCACGGAGGGTTCTCCACAAAATCCTCTCGAAGGCAGCAATGCGATCCCGAGGAATCACACCAGAGACGAAGCCGATGTTCATCACGGAGAAAGAGCGGTCGCCGGCAGGTTCGTTCTGGCTGTTTTGTTCCACGTCAGCCAGGAGAGGAGCATCGTCGTCGTCAAGGGAATGGCGGATTTCTTCGGTCTGTCCACGAGCCTGCCCGATATTAGTTTATATCATGTTCGAACCCTCCCTCTCAAGACATACCCTATCGAAAAAGCCACCAGCTTCTCTCAGAACCCATCGCCACTCGGTAAGCTCCACCTCACGTTTCTTTAGCGTCTCATAAGACTCGTTTAACGATGAGATCCTGTTCTCCAACTGCTGACTTTTGTCGGCCAACTCGTCGATCTCAGTAGCGGAAGGGGATGTGAAGGGGTTGTTGAAGTCGTAGATGGAGCGCATCGGGATTTCCAGCTTGTCCATTTGCTGACGGAAGTAACCTTTGGAAAGTCAGTTCGGGATCCGATCCCCCAGCGTGCGATATTGACATACGAAGTTGCCGTTCCACGTTGTCCAGCCTACGAATCTCCTGCGTGAAGGTACGTTGGAACGCAGACGTCTCGGAGTTGAGCTATAAGACAACCAACCACCGTTAGCACATTCATCTCCATCAAAGGCCATCTCCAAAGCTTGCCAAATAACTCCTGGGCCTATGGTAGATAACATACATCTCTGAAATCCATCACTCCAAGCTCTCCTAGTGCTGAAACTACCTCACGGCCGATTTCGTTGGAGATGTAGAGTTGCGTCAAGGACATGTCCGCCGAGCGGAACATGGTGTCCTTTTGTGGCGCCATGGTGGCAGCTCGAGAGGACAAGTGCTCCTATGAAGGGGAACTTGCTGTAGGGGTGGATGGGCGGTCGGTCGGGGGTTTGCGGTGGATGATGGAGAGCTGCCTCCACGATGATGCGGTGCTCGAGGTTCACCTGCGCTAGTCTCGCTTACATAATTATACATCATGTGACTGTTCAGTTATCTCACATGGCTTTTGGCTGCAAGTCAGTCACTACTATATAGCTTATGTTGAAAAAATAAGCGCAATCATTTCATTCCTACATACTTCTTATATCTTCACAGAGTGGTTTTATCTCCGTTCTTCCACGGTTGAATGAGGTCTTCGTGTACGTCATGCGTCGGAGCCTCCCCTGACGATGAGAACTTTACCAATTTTGGCTAGCTCAAAAGCAGCGACGATGAACATTTGAAGATGTCTGGGAGCGGAAGGGAAGAAATAAATCGAAGGCATTTGCCTCCTCGTTCCCCAGGAATATTCTGCTGCAGGAAGAACTTCTCATATTTGTACATCGTCTTGAAGTCTTGCCACAACAGGTCAAAATCACAATATCGAGTTGTATGTAATATATGATATAGCAAGACCGTGCAAAATGAACTCTTCTGTGAGCTTGAGCTCCAGAGAAAGGAATGCTAGATGAAAAGAAGAACGCACAATGCCGCTCGTGGGATGGATTCACCGCATGGTTCAAAGACCTCGAAATATTCGAATCGCGTAGGAGCAACCATTAGGAATTTTAAGACAGAGTCTTCGTTGTTTCTAGTTCTACGATAAATTGAATATTCTCAAGTTGGCTCGCCCAAATACATCTTCAACGCATTGATGGGGGAGGTGGCGAGCCATTATTACTAGGTGGGGGAGACGGCGAGCCGTTGTTGCTGGGTGGAGTTGGTGCAGCACCGCAAGCCGACCCATTGATGGCCTGTGTTGGATCATTTTCGCCAACCTTCTTACCATCAGCGGGGCAGAAAATTCCATCCTCCCTGACAGAGAACAATGAATTGTCAGCGTCAACCCGCTCTACATCTTCGCAAGAGACCACACCCTCGCCCGAGGCTGCATTCTCAAAGCTTCCAGTCGATGGATATGAAAATGACTCTCCACTCTTCCAAATATGCTCAAGCTATTTGGTAAAGTCAGTGGGTATCGGCATGAAGGGGAGTAATCAGGGGCTTTTACTGTTGCACTATAGCGAAGGTTGACATGGCTTTGCAGGATAGTGACGCTGCATCGCGCGATTCTACCTGGCTTGACGATAACCGCTGATTCGTACGAGCTTGTAATCTAGCCACAACATTTGTCAGTGAGAGACTATGAGTTAAAACTGCTCAACACTTACTCGTGTAAGCTCCATATCTTCCCTACCCTTAAAGTCCATCTGGATATGCTTGCCTATATACTTCCCAGACACTTCAAGGCTTTTTTTCGTGTCGACGTTTGCTACTGGGACCCCGGCTTTCACATCGACTTCGTATCCATATGTGATACCTGCTTCCCAGCCATGTTCCCATCCAGACTGCTCCTGAGAGGTCGTCTTGACCTGATGCTCCGTCGCAATATCAAGCTTTACTTTGCCAGTGAAATCGGTATCTTTTAGGTCGTTGCGAAAGTAGGCTCCAGCTGATGCCGGTGTCAGCATTCTCTGGCTTTGTATCTGTCAGCGCCGCCATATAACATAAAAGATGATCATGTGTAGTAGTTTGGACTTACTCGAAGGGCCGCTCGTTTAGCTGCTCAAATGTAGGTTCGAATGTCGCGTTCTTCAGGACCACCTTATCAGGTCTGTATTTCGAAAAGATGGGGTGAAGCGAATCAATGCAGTCGCCGGAAGTGCCCTCAAACCCTAGCAGCATGCCTTGATTCTCTGCGCCGCGCGCTACATTATGTTCTACAGGAGGGTAGTCCCAATACTTGCCAGCATCCATGTTTTGGCCGTTCACTTCCAGAACGATCCGCCCTACCCCCTTGTTCCACCCCCCGGCCCAGAGGGAAAATCTGGAGAAGGTGTGAATCCACGGATCCCATTTCACGGTTCCGTACCGCTTGCTACCATCTGATGGGGGCTTTTGCCCTTGGACTTGCTCGGTCCCATCAGTGAACTTGATCCGAATCCAATTCAGGCAGCCTTTGCTCGCCCATGCTTCGATCTCGTTAGGGAATATGCCTTGCCTCCACTTAGCTGTGCACCAGCGTCCACTGTTTGGATTTCCGACTGTTTCACCCGGTTCAACGAATGCGGGTAGACTGGAGCAGTCATCTCCGTCTCGGGAGGCGAGGGTGAGAGGTGAAGAATCTAAGGGAAGAGGATTTGCGACTACAAGAGTGGCATAGATAGAGAGAAGAGTGCAAGCAGGTTTCATTCTTCTAGTCAAGATCGTAGTTGAGTAAAAGTTAGAATGGGAGTAGAAGGCTATGCCAGTAGTGTGAGATAATGGAGAGGACGCTGTCCCTTCTTAAATGCCCGCTGGAGATAGGAGCTAGCAGTTGATGGTACTTCAATCACGGCTGTATTCGCTCCCATCGTTACCAGGCATATTTGCCCCATCTCTAACAGACACAATATGCTCTGAGTTGTGATAATGTTGATCACTGGATGATCGTTGACGTTCAAAGAGGCTGAGTCTGGGGCGGTGTCGCTGGACCATCTACAAACGATCCTCTGCCAACATAGCAACTCTCTGCATATGTGATATTCCGGGGCATGTAGGCAATGTGATAGACGGGGCAGGCAAAAGAAGGCAAGAAGCAACGGGAGGCAACAAATGCCGTAAGCATCAAACGAAGTACATTATATGTTGCCTCCCACAGGTAGGTGCGCAATGATTGGTCCTAGAAAAGTATCGGTTGCTTGTTGCCGATATACAAACTGAGACCCTAGCATTTGCTGCATCTCGTCCGAGAAGAAAGTGAAGAAATGAATAGATGTTGCGCCGCAGTCACTACATCAGGCACTTACATAGACTCAGATGGCGGCAGCTTTCGCTTTCTAGGGCAGAGATCGAGGTGCAAGGCAAAAAGTATAATATTTTGAATTATAAGACATATGAAAGCAGTCTTGTCCTACAGACCAATTTGTGCCCGAGACAAGTTGTGCTCAGGTGATTCTGCAGCACACAAAATTCAAGCTGGTGAAAAAGATTACTTGTCCAAATTCTCAGGTCAAAGGACAGGCCGAGTAGTTTGGTTGAGAGAACGGATAGCACTACATCGGGCCAGCAATCACGCGTAGGTGCGCGGGTACATACAGGAGGCTGAGGCATGGAGGCCGCCGCTAAGCACAGCCTGATCTGAGTGGCTCTGCTCTACCTACATACACGGGTTGCAAGTTTATTCAGTTCGAACTGATAAGCTCACGCATACCACATGCCTCGCCTTTGATGACGGAAAACTTCTAAAACACCAACTGTATATTGTACGGGGAACTTCAAACCACGAATCACAGCAATGGCGTGCTTGCGCTTAGAGAGTGGCGCAGTGTGACATACAACTGCCTACATATCTAGGTGGATATATGCATGTGTATACCTAGGTAGTGATGTGCATAACCCCCTGATACAGAAAAACGTGATCACTATGTAACATACCTACATGCCTACATATGTAGGTATATACATATGTTCCAAGGCCCGGATATTGACAAATGGCGAGTGGAGAGGACAATTCATTCTCATAGTTTTACGATCATATGTAACAATACGTGCAGAAGACTCTGCTTTCATATCAGTGTATTTTACTGCATTCTCTTCTTGCTTCCTTGTGGGGTGGAAGATACCGCAATAGTTTTGTCTACGGGGAGCTAAGAGACGATTGCTGGTTCCCAATAGGCAGATGGCTCGGTTCACTCCATCACGGTATCGGGACTGGTCGACTTGGACATCAGCCATATGATCACCCCCGACAAATCCCTCCATGGCTGCCGTCCATACCTACGTCTATAAACATTCAAATGTTGTCTCCAACCTCAAACCCGTGACACCTATCGTCTTGGGAAGCGGTCAACGGGCACCACGGGTTTGAGGTTGGAGACTTTATAGACGTAGATGTGGATGGCAGCCATGGGGAGATTTGTCGGTGGATCTGTCGGTTCCAATGTAGCCAAAGACTGCGATTGGGTGACATAGGTACCTACATAGGTATACACGTTCGCGATGGTAGAGAGTATCCACCGCTAAAGCCTCGCTCGGGTACCTTCCCTTTCCTGCACCCAGCGACCAGATACTCGTAGCACCCAGCCATCACCATGTTTGTACTTTGCAATCGAATGCTTAATTGAACAATCTTCTCAAACATTTATTCCTCTCTTGCATATGCCAGATTATCTCAGATGGTTTTCCTCAGTCACAGGAACTGTTCTAGTACACGCCCGCCGGAGTTAAAGAACGATTTCGGCGTACGTCATAGACTCGTCGCGACCCCATGATGAATGACCGAATCTCCAAACACGGCTATATACACCGTGACTTGTGACGCGTTGAATAGCTCGATCGAGGTGCCCTGAAGATCTCCAAATACCGATGATACATTTCCTATTTGTTCATATACCTATCATCTTACATCCCTTCTTCATATACTATTCTCCCATCTCTAAATGCGCGCCTTCTCACCACAAGCTTGCACTTCATCCTTTCGATCGATAACTTCCACAAGACCCATTGCATCTCACTTCGGAAAGGTTATCCGACCTGCCGCAACATCGTCTCTCAGAATGTCATCATCAGGCGCCCCCACAACAACAGGTCTCAACATCGAGAACAAAGACGTTCAAACCGCTCCCGGCATCTCCTTGACCAGCGACCAGCAAACAATTGTCGGCTCGGTCCTCGATCTTTTTGCAGGCAGGCCTTCTCTTCAGAAATTGGGGCTTTGGCGTGATGACGCAACTTTTACCGATCCATTGACTATTGCGCAAGGTCGGGAGCGTTACTCTGCTCAGTGGTACGGGTTACAATCTGCTTTCTCGGAGATTGAGCGATTGCACCACTCTGTGAAGGATGCCGGAAATCCCATTATTATGGATTTGAAGACACGGTATGTGGTGAAGGGTATCGGCAAGGAGCAAACGATCCAAAGTGTTGTGGCAATTCATCTTGATGAACAGGGCAAAATAGCCCGATTGGAGGACAAGTGGGATGGGAAGTTGCCGGATGGATCGATATCAAATGTGAGTTCTGTTTTTCAGCTACTGAACCCGTTCTGGTGGGCGAACTATTGGATCGCATGGGCCTTTTGGGGCTGGAGTTGGACGTGGGAAACGAGGATCTGGAGGGTGGGTGAGCGGCGCAATGTTTTGAATGTTTGTGCTAATCAGTTTCGAACAGGCTTTCAGGCATTTGAATGCAGCTACGGTCCCGAAAATGATTAATGTACCCAAAAATGCGGAAGAAGATGCGAAGAAGGGGAATTAAACCGATGTATTGATGCTTAGTACATGTATTGACGCATGGTTGGTATAAAACTGGGCAAATAATATGTACTCGTTTCTCATGACGGTCGTGAATCTAGCTTATACAGTGAGCTGACGACCATTATAAAATACATTCCTTCATATGCGGTGAAGCATCCGCCCAAGCGCAAGCTGTACAAGAAATATGATCCCAGCAATGCCGTAGCCACGGGGTTTGAAATGCACACCATCGTTCACTATCAGTATCGTGCCACACGACCCTTGTGTGACAGTTGGTAAACCCGGACCGTCCATCGTCAGAGTTGCGCAGAATCCAGCGGCGGTAGCTTGTGGCGGTTGATTATAGACAGCTACTGTTGTTTGCTGGGTGGCTGGTTGTACTTGTACGGTCACGGTCTCGACGGAGGCGACATTTACACTTCCAGCGCAACTGCCTCCAGCCGGGCAGCAACCTAATATGCTATTTTGATTTGCAGGCTGTACGCACGTGTAACCGCTGGGGCAACACCTATATCGCATGGCTCGTTAGGACGACCTCAAACTGGATGAGTGCGCTTCACTTACCAACCCCACTGGTTTATATCGCCGCAGCTTACGGAAGCTGTGTTTGGGCACAGATCTGAGCTCTGAGTAGTTACGTGCTGCCCATTGGGGTCGACGATGTATACAGCGCCAGAGAATGGGGCATTATTCGAGTACGTTTGTGGTTCAGCGTGAGCTTCTGGATGGGCGAAAGTAGAAGGAACTAGTAACGAGAAGACTCCGAGAAAATATAAGAGTTGCATCGTGTTGAAGGAAAAGGAAACCCCGTCAGTCAGCCGGAAGGATACTGAAGATCAAGGCTAGATGATATTTGTAGAGCGGTAGATATAATATTGCTTTCCAACAGCTTGATCGAAGTCGACAACGCAAGCTATCCCACCTACAACTGGACAAACTGGTGCACTAATACTAAACGGACAGACATCCGGCTGGGCCTTTGCGAACGTCTTATGACCCTCGCCAACAACTTGCATGTACAAAATGCCACGGGAAAACGTACCGGGTGGTCAGCCTCACCGGCATGTGAGGTGAGCATGCTTGATCGGTATCTATCAGTACATCGCTCGTGTTTGTCAAGCTCCACGGGACTGGGTATCCTGGTGTGCTTGGGATATGTGGAGGTGGGAGTGGCCGGGCGTCTGGAGTCGGACCAGTTGCACCTCGAGTCGCGCGGCTCATGGAGCTGTGTTGAGGTTGATGCAGCTTGGATGGAGCTACTCAGACCAGGGAAGACCCGGTGTGTAGACTGCGCTGGCCAAGTTCTGCTTCCATATCAAACATTTCGGTCAATAGCGAGATTCCTACTGCTCGTGGTGCATGGATCAGTGCCTTGATTGCTCTCCTTGGAACCGGCTCAATCGGCATTGTAAGAAAAAGCAATCGTCTAGCGTTAGGTGGAAGAAGTGAATGCATCTTGTTTCGCATGTGCTCTGATCATCCCGTCAGGCTTGCATGAGAGAAGACGCACGGACGCTATCCGAGAGCTCCCCGGTAGCGGTTTCCCAATGTGCAGGTTTAGGCTCCTCACGTGGCCTCGCGAAGTCGCGTCTGTTACTTCCGTCACCCCTCACAACCTCATGTCGTCAGCATCTTCTATCGATACAATATGACATGTCCACGCTTCAACTGCCGCCCAGATATCGTTTGTACCCAGCATACTGTTTTCGGGCATCTCCCACTTATGATACCTGGGTGAAGATCACAGCTGCGGATGTACAAGCTCTTCGCCTCGAGCCCGACTTCCCAGGTAAGGGCGCATACCCATACCCAGTTCCCCACAAAAAAGTAACATTGCATGCACAACGACACGCATTCGATATTCAACCTGCATCTGCTCACCGACTGACACGTGTTTTTGCTCTATTATCACAGGCCAGCGCATTTACTTCCACCTCAACCACCCAATCCGCTACGTGCGTCTAGTTGGCGCAGTCGTTGCCATAGAAGACATCAATACAAAATACACGGTCCTGACGATTGACGACGGCAGCGGTTCCACCATTGACCTGACGATCATCCGCCTCACCCCGGATACTTACAACCCCGTCGAATCTCCTTCCAACACCGTAGTTAGCAATCTCAATGTCATCAGCGCACCTGGCGTCTTTCATGTTACCATCGATGACAGCCGTATAGTTGACATTGGTACTGTGATTAAAGCCAAGGGCACGCTTTCTGAGTTTCGGGGGCGTAAACAGGTTGATTTGAAGAGGGCGTGGGTGGTTTCGACTACGAACGATGAGGTGAAGGCATGGGCCGAGACGGCAAAGTTCAAGGCAGATGTTCTGAACAAGGCCTGGAGAATCACCTCGGCGGAGCACAAGAAAATCACGCGTGATATGAAGGGCGAGCGACAAAGGGAGAAGGAGTACGAGCGAAAGAAAGAGGCGTATGATGCAAAAAAGAGGGAGAAGCGGAAGGCCAGGGAGGAATATATGGCGGCAAGAGAAGCTAGGTATGAAGCGAGACGGCTTAAAGAGGAAAGAATAATGAACCAAGGGGCCCTGATCTGAGAATTGCTGGAGTTAGAAAGCTCACAGACTAAAAGACTGAAGAACTTCCACGGCAAATTGTCCGTGAAAAGCAAATGCACGTGGTATATACACTTAAACCTCAACCTCTTCACTTTCAGAAATTCAGGGCGACTTGGAGTCGTCCACCACAGTATATCTGGCAAGATTCACTCCCACCTTGCCTTTGGCTCCTAATGTTAATCCGGCAGCTCGAATGACGGCAAACCTCACAGCATCCACACCCAACCCTTTCCCATCGATTAAAACCTCCGAACTAACTCCCAACAGCTCACCGAGAGCCCCAACTCCATGCGGCTGGATCTGTTCCCTGAAGTCCGCCATAGCAAGCTCCAAGCTTTGCAAAGTTCCCTTCTTTTTAATCGAACGTCCATCGCGATTCTTCATCGTCTTCCCCGCAGGGACGTATATTCTGTCAAGTTTGGAAAGAATGACTTGATGCGGAATACCGCCTACTCTAAGGCTAGACAGAAGCGACTGGTCTTTCTCTTTGATGCCGTGCATGGCGTCAATTAAAACAAAGACACGGCGGAGCTGTTTGCGGTTCTGGAGATACTTCATGATTTCGGTACCCCATTCCGTCAGCGAACCCTCGCCGTACCCAGGCATATCAACTATAGTGAGGGCGCCTGCACCGGTTATCTTCTCGTGGCCGGTAGGTGATTTGGATAGCATGATATTGTTTTTTGGCGCAATGCCGTAAAGGTTCATGGTTTTTGTGAAGCCAGGGGTGGCAGATGTGCGGGCGAGAAGTTTGGTATTGACGAGTGTATTGAGGAGGCTCGATTTGCCGACATTACTGCGTCCTACAAAGGCGACTTCGGGTACGTTGCTTTCGGGGAAGTGACGGAATTGCGCGACCGATGTCAGGATCTTTGGTGATGCTTGCTGTGTGAAGTAGAGGTTTGCTTGCGCTTTTTGAGCAAAGGTTGGCGCGAGGGTTTCCCAGTACCAGCTGTGGCCTGCAGTAGTGTCGGCTTTGATCATTGTGGAGTATGCCGGACCTCTTGGTGCTGTCGTCAAGACTTGCCGTATACGAAAGTTCTGAGACTGGGTCAAAACCCTCCGTATAGGAGAGCTGTTGTGCATGTTAGATGTGTCGTCGGCACCGAGGTCGTAATTGATTTTGAAGCCTTTACGCCGGCCAATCTTGGACTGCTTGGTTGTCGGTTTTTTCCCCTGCTGATTTGTGCCTTCTCCCTTTCGCTCCAGAGTAAGCGCTTGAGCTCCTGCTCCCCTGTCCCTTACGTACGTTATCGTTTTGTAGTATCTTGACGATATTTTATTGTTCTTTCGTACAGATTGACTGTAAAATCTCTTGCTTTCCCTCGGGGTTAAGACCTTGTTCTTTACTGTTACCCTAGCCGGCAGTTGTGTGAAAGCTATACGGTCAGATCTTTTGTCCTCAATATCTGGTGATGGTTTTCTTTCAGTCGGGTCTTCCAAGGGAATGTTGAAGCTGCGCGCTTGGTTTAGTTGCACGAATGATGATGAAGAGATTTGCAGAGGACGAGGGCGTCGATGAACGTTTGCGAGACGATTCCTCGAATTATATGGTATCTTGGAGGGCCTCCAAGTCATGATGAATCGCGGACCATTTTGTCGACTGGAGATGTAAAATAGAGGGTCGAAGGGAAGAGTGGAGAACGGGCCCGAGCTCCAACTTCTCTTCCGCCGCCGCAACTTTGACCAGACCATTCATCGACCAAGGGTTCCCCATCACCGACATTCTGTAATATCTCCAATTGAAAAGACTTCAATATTTCGGAAAACTGCTATTCGACTCGCCGTCTACGATATTCACTCCCAAAGGCGCACCCACCTCCGAAGCCAATAACCCCAAACCCCCGAACGTGCTCAGAAAGCAACAAACACCGACCATGGCACAACCAACAACCCCCCAAACCCTCCGCTCCATCTACCGCCGCCTCCTCCGCGAACTCCCGTCCACACGTCCCTCTCCAAGCCATTCCGCACGCCGCTCCACTGCGCACCAAAAGCTATCCGCCCCCTCGCTCCTCCAACAACGGCTCCGCTCCACATTCTCCACCCCCACAGAGGCGAGCCAAACCGCGCAAGTGCAGATGGCGGAACAGGCGATTCAATACGTACAAGCGCAGCGCATGTATGCGACGTTGATTGAGCGGTATAATCCAGGCATGGGTATGAGTGAGGAGGAGAGGGTGAGGTTGACGGCGAGGAAGGTAGGGATGGATTTGCCGCCCGAGTTTTCGCGATAAAGGTTTCACGAAAGGGTGAAGAGATCGTTTCTCATTTTTTGAGATGTAGAGGCCGAGAATCAAGGGGTGGATGAAATTCGTGTGGGGGATCTCTGGCTAGAGAAGCTTTAAGAAGGGATGAAATGTATGATATTTCAATGTACAAATATAAAGAAGCGAAAAGGGACATTGTAATACACGCAAGATGGACAATGTTACATGAGGAAAATTCTCGATGAGCACTTTTGATATGAAAAACTGAAGTATAAATTTTCTAGACGTCTACAACTCAAAAGACGAATTATGACCCTACCGGACACCCGCGCGTAAAGCGCATCTTGTCGCCAGCCAAAGGGTATGTGGCTTCTTTTGTGTACCCTCCCAATCACGCCGTTAAAGAAAGAAAAACATGATAACCATTCATTCCCGCAATTTCCCACACCTACCGAGTCTGTCGAGTACAACGAGGAAGCCATACCCACAACGATGCTGAATTTCCCTGCAACATGTAGCCTTCCTCGGGTGCGACTCCAACCTTGAGCCAATTGCATAACGCAACGCAGACATGCCAACGAGTCACTATTCGTATTAATCCTCGAACTTGATACCCTTGCCACCAGACGTGTCAATAGCACCCCCTCTGTACGAGCCTCTCTTCTTCTTGTTCTTCTCCTTGGTGAATCCCTTGCCCTTGGTTACAATCAGATCGGCGTGAGCGCGATCAGCGTAGTCGTAGGACTGATAAGCGTTGGTGGAAAATCGTTCATCAACCTTTGTAGTGGGCTTGATGCGCGAGAAACGATTCTCGATATGGCTTTTCTTTTTGTTTGGAACGTCGCTGGCCGAGGAATCTTCGTTTTTGCGCTTGTTGTTGGGTGCAGGAGAGTTGGCTGAGAGGGTTGCAGAGGTGTCGGATGAGTCCGATTTCACTTGAGACTTCTTTGCGACCTCGAGCTTGCCAGAGTCGCTCTCAGAGGAATCACTCTCAGAGGAATCGCTTTCAGACGAAGATGAATCGCTGCCCGAGGAAGATTCCTCCTTCTTTACCGCCTTGGCTTTGACTTTCTTTGCCTTGGTTTTCTTAGCTTTTGACTTCTTGTTGTCTGAATCACTGTCAGAAGAGTCGCTGCTGCTAGAAGAATCGCTCGACGATGATGAACTTGAGGACGACGAGGACGAGGACGAGGAAGAGGAGGACGATGAGGAATCGCTATCAGATGAGTCGCTATTTGAAGAAGAGTCATCCTTCTTCACAGCCTTCTTCGATTTGGCTTTCTTGGCTTTGGACTTTTTGTCGTCTGAGTCGCTGTCCGAAGAGTCGCTTGACGAGTCGGACGAGGAAGAAGAGTCACTATCAGACGAACCGGAGCTTGATGCTGACGAAGATGAGGATGATGATGAAGAAGAAGAAGAGGATGTCTTTTTAGTCTTCTTCGACACCTTCAGCGTCGATTTGGCTTCAACTTCCGAATCAGAGCTGTCGCTACTATCGGAGCTATCGCTACTATCGGAGCTATCGCTGCTATCAGAGCTACCCGAATCACTGGAAGCGCTGGATGAGTCCGAATCCGGCAGCGGGACACCGGCGGGATCTTCGTTCGAATCATCAGAGTCGGAGTCGGAGTCATCGCTGCCAGAAGAGCTCTCATTGTCCACGTCCATGGCCTCGGCGGCACCTTTACCAGCCGGCTTTTCCCATTTCTCGTACAGTGAGCTCAAGCTTGGTACGTCTTTTGAAGTAGCCCCGGCAGCCGGAGACGGCTTGGCTTCGTCCTGAAGTTTCTGGGCTGCCTCAGTGTATCCATGTTCACTCAGGAAATTTTGGACGATGTTAAGGAGCGGAGCGGGAGGTGCAGGCAGTTTGGTCGATTTCTTGTTGCCTTTGATAGATTTTCCAACACGGCCGGAGGCCACCTTGTCAGATGTCTTAGGTTTCGCCACACGCCCTGGCTTGTCGCCGGCTTTCTTGTTCGGAGCCATGGTGTCGATTGAAATGGTGGAGTGTTGGTTGGTGGGTCGCGTGTAGGTGAAATGTTGTTTGCAGACGGGAGCGGTAAAAAAAAAAGTTCCCAGTTGGAGCTCCAGCCTCATGTGGCGGAGAGACGCTAGTCCAGATCTGTCTGACACCACCGGCCGTACCTGCCGTTGTTCGCTCGTCTCGCACCTCCTCGACCGACATCAAGCATCACGATTGCACGTTCACGATCCACAATCACCCCTTCCAAAAGACCCAGGAAAGACGGATGCGATTAGGAGTTTTTTCACAGACGACTGTGTGTCCTCCCGTCTCGCGAAACGAGAGACCCCCTCCGGCCCCGCGAGACTCCCACGGTTGCTGCGCCCAGAGCTCCACGTCGATCCACCATTAATGGCTGCTGCATGCGCCATTCCTCCTGTATACGCCTAGAGGCCTCGGACGGCCGGCTTGCTCTTTACATGCTACTGAGCATATAAAACCACCGGCTTCGAGCTGTCCGAGCTGCCTGCCATGGATGGTAATCCGCGGCCACGTAATTACCCCAGCGGGGGTTCAAGGCCCAGTGGTGAAAGCCGCCGCCCACCTGGAGCTCCCGGAGGACCCCCTTCATCGACAAGCTCAAGATCTACTATGTCGCGCGCCGAGAGATTTGAAGATGAGCGCCGGAGAATCACGGCCAGTTGCTTCTCCAAGGTGGATGCCGATGGCTCATGTATGTCTTGCATTGCTTTCTCCAGCTCTGTGATGCTACACAGCTGCATATTTCCTGAGCCTGTTGCTAACAGATTCAGTACACGAATCCTACATAACGCATATTCGCATACAAGAGGATGGCGCCTATCCTCAAACCCCTCCCCCTCCTGGCGGCAATCCTAGAGACAAGAAACCTCGTGTAATTATTATCACAGTAAAGAATACCAGCCGAGTATCGCTGCATAAAGCCCGAGAAAATGCCAACGGTACTTTCTCTGTGGGAAAAACTTGGCATATGGCGGATTTATCATATATTGAGAATTTCGTCCATCTCGTACCCAAGAATGACGAAGAAGCACAGTACAAGCAATGGGCTGGTGAAGTTGGCTTCACTGTCACTGTAAATAAGCCGTACTACTGGGAGGCTAGCACTGCTAAAGAGAAGGAATTCTTCATTGGAAGTTTGGTGAAAATATACACAAAATACACCGACAAGTTTCAGTTGCAACAGGGGAAATTTCCGGTCCTGTCCGGCTTTAGCGCGACAGAGCTTATTGATCTTACTGATGGCCGACCATATGCTGCGACTGAAGAAGGACGGGCCGCCCATGATGCTTGGACGCAAAGGTATTCGACCAGCAAGCCCCCACCCGATGACCAAGATCCGTATGTCATGCTACAACGAGCAGCCGAAGGAAGATCAAGGAATGAACTTAGGCCCCCTCAGCCAGCAGGAATGCCATCGCCAAACGATTCGCGGCGTCCACCCGGTGCAGATCCACGACGGCCTCCTCCACTAGACAATCGAAATCTCCCACCTCCTCGCGGTCCAGGTCGTCCAGCCACCTCAGAAGGAGCCCCACAAGACAATAGGAATCTGCCACCTCCCCGTGGTCCAGGTCGCCCCCCTACTGCTGAAGGTTCTCAACGCGAACGCATGCAGCGACCAGCTGGGCCGCCATCAATGCCAAACATGAGAGATCCCAATGCTGTTCCCCGAGGGCGACCATCAGAGGAGGGCCGGCCACCTCCTTCTCCCCGCAGCGGTGGTTTCAATTCAGGAACCCCTCCACCACCAGGATTTAGAAACGGTTCCCGACCTCCGCCACCGAACGAGCCGAATTTACGAAATAGACCAAGCCGCGAGAACATGGCCCTACGCCCATCACCAAGTCGGGAACGCTTAGCACCATCATCCTCATCTACTCCACCGCCTCCTATCCCATCTCCTTCTTCTCAGCGGCTTATGTCTCCAAACTCCAGACCAGATTTACGCCCCAAGACCCCAGAAGGTTCTGGCCTTCCCTCGGTATTGGCTGCGGGGAGACCTCCGGTCCCGGACGACGCGAGATCTCAAAGATCACAAAAGTCACCGGCGCCTCCATCAAAAGATGGTCATGGCCTTGGGCTTGGAAGAGTTTCTGGGGAGGAGCGCAGACCTAACGGCTATCCTTCACCTGCTAGACGGGAGCCGTCGCCTGCTAGAGGTTATCGAAATGAACCACCTTTAACTGATCCTGCCATATCAAGGGCTGACGATAGCTACTCAGAAGAGAAGGCTGTGTTGCCAGAGCGAAGGAGACCGCCGATAGAATCTAAACCTTCGCAAGGGTCACAGTTCAGCGTGGCAAATGGTCCACCTTCCGAGTTTGTCACCCCATCGCAGACTCCTCCACCTCCCATGGCCCCGCCACCTCGTCGGAGACCACAGGAAATTCCCGAAAGATCAAAGCCAGGGTCTTTGGATGAGTCGTCTGCCAGAAAGGACCCGGGTCAACGGATGCTGAACGACAATAGTATGCTGCCTTCTCAGCCCACCCCTCCTCCAACATCGCCGTTGCCCCGGCCTCCTCCAGCGTCGCCTCTTCCACATGTTCCTAAATCACAGGAGCCCAAAGCACCTGAGATCCCAGAAGCTGCGTCTATGGAGCCTAAACCCTTGACACCGAAACCCCTGGAACCTAGAGCTTTCGAGCCTGGACCACTGCAACCCAGGCCTCTGACACCCCGTACCAAAACTCCTGCGTCCAAAACTCCGGAGCTTGACCGGATAGAAACCAAATTTCCAGAACGGAAACCAGCTGGCTCGCGGGAGCAAGAGTCCAAAATCTCGGAAGTCAAGATGCCCGAACCAGAAGCACCAGCACCAGCACCGAAAGCACCATCCCCTGTTGCCGAGAAACCACCGCCACTACTTGCAGCTTCCCGATCGCCGCCTGCTGTCGAGAATTCCGAGAAGAAGCAGCCACCAGCAGAAGTATCCCCTCTCAAGGTCCAGCCTCCCAAAGAAGACCAGCCCGAACAGAAGCCTGATACGGCATCGCCTGTAACGCCAATCACTCCTTCTGAAGACGCGAGCAAAGAGAAGGGCATGGCCAGCCTTGTTAAATCGAAGCTATCAAAGCCTACTGCGGCAGAACAACTTCGCAAGGCCGTCAAAGCTGCCGGTGCTTTCAAACCTCGTGCGGGAGGTGGCGCCGAGAAGTTCTTCGCAAAAGACACTAAAAACTCGGATGAGCCCGATGGCATTAACGCCGTATTCGTCCCTCAACGGCAGCCGGCAAAAGAGGAAGAGAAGAAGGCAGAAGAGGAGTCCAAGCCCAAACCCAAGCCGGAGCAGTCATCGAGCGAACGACCTTCCGTGGATACGGGTGTAGTACCAGCACTCAAAGTTTCCAGCCCTTTGTCTCCACCTACTGGTTCTTCAGCGGCTATTGATGAGAGGACGCGCTCTCCCTCCCCAACCCCCGAGAAGCCTGTCACCAAGGCTGAGCCCGAAGCGGAGGTCAGACGCAAGAAGCGCAGATCCAATCAGCAAGTCATGAATATCTCCAAGCTCGGCATCGATCCTGGAATTCTAGATGGTCGCGGTTTAGAGTTCGAAATCTTGCTGGCAGAGTTCGGGTGGGGCAGTAGTGAGCTTTCCCACAAGAATATTGAATCGTTGGAATCTGAGATCAAACGTGAAATTGCTCGCGTCGAAGCTGGGAGCTGGCTGAGTCATCTCGAGCAGAAGGATGACCGTGTCGAGACGGTCGAGAGAATGTTAGATCGTGCCATCGCTGAATGCGATGAGCTTGAAGGCCTCTTAACGCTGTACAATGTCGAACTAGGTGTAAGTTGCGCCCAAGAAGTCACTTCAACATACTTAATGATATTAACATACTCCAACAGAGTCTCAATGATGACATTGCGTTCATTGAAGCCCAGAGCCAAGGTTTACAGGTCCAGACAGCCAACCAAAGATTGCTACAAAATGAACTCAAGCAACTTGTCGACACAATATCTATCACTCCGGACCAACTTGAGCCACTCAGGCGTGCCCCCATTGGCAAAGTTAACGGGCTAGAGGCTATTGAATCGTCACTCGTACTTCTTTATAAGGCTTTGCTCACAATCGACCCATCCTTCATTGAGAGTAGGAAAGGAGATGCCACGAGAACTGTTGCGGCCAGTAGTGGCGGAGTCGGTAATAGCGAGCTTGCTGCAATGCAAGCGCTGCAAGAGAAGAAAGACCGATATCTTGCTGAGAGTGCCATGTTCCTGGATCGTTTGAAGAAGCACATGGACATAACCTTTGGTGCCGCCTTCCTCCAGACTAGAGATACTCTAGCTAATCTGGACCGAAAAGCCATGCCGTCAACCAAAGCCAACATCGAAGCACATGATGCCGGCCGAAACATGCTCTGGATGATCAGCCCGCTCATTCTGTTCGCGAAAGAAATCGACCAAACGTCTTGGGAGTCTCTTCTACGAATGTATCAAGGCCAAGCAGGGATCATTTACCAAGAGGAGATTCGTGACAACATAGGCTCCTGGAAGCGTTTCGCTCGGAAGCCTACCGGTGACGAACAAGATCTACTGTTTACCGCCCAGGAAAAAGAGCCCGAAAGTATTACGGGCGCAGCTAGGAAGCTTACAGTGAAGCGCAGTCAAACATTGGCACGTGGACTGCGAGTAGCTTCTAGTGATAAGGAGCCCAAGACAAACAGTGTACAGAGTGGGAAATTATTTGCTTTCGACGTTTTCTCTAAAGCTCTGGATGACATCGGACCTGTGTTGCTCACTGAGCAAAATTTCATTACAGAATTTTTCCACGCCACATCAACTGACTCTGCTGACTTCCCTGAAGCTGTCAACGCGGCACCCCCTGACCTTCGTCGTGGACCAAATCTATGGGTTCGCAAACAGTTTGAGGCAGACAGAGCAATGGCCAAACGTGTCGCTGAAGTCATGGAAGACATATTTGCATTCTGGCCTTCAGAGATCCAGAGTCTCGTGGAATGGGCTATCAAAGCTGATCCTCTGTAAGTAAAACATCCGCATTGATTACTCACTTACACTAACAACTGCGTAGACAAGGAATAGGAATCCTTTATGCTGTTGATCGCAAGCTGCATGAGATCGAGGACTCCAACCAAGACTTCTTGACACGCAACCTGCAAAAAGTGCATGAGCGCCTCACTGGTCTGTTCGTTCGCTTTGTGGATGAGCAGATCCGTGCCATAGAAGATACAAAGGTCAAGATCAAAAAGAGGAAGGGCGTTATCTCATTCATAAAAACGTTCCCGCATTTTGCTGTGGCAATAGAAAACATGCTGCCCGCTTCTGAGGAAACAAATGCGTTGGAGATTCGGCGAATGGTAGATGACGCCTACAAGAAGATCAACAAAGCCATGTTTGAGAGCTTGAAGGTTATTGCCAAAGAATCACCTGCTGTCATGGCTACACAAGGACAAGGTGACCCAGAGGACAAGGAAGCTCTCAATTACCACATTCTTCTTATCGAGAACATGAACCATTACATCGAAGAGGTGGATGGTCGCTCAGACTCGGCCTTGCTGGAATGGAAGAATAAAGCACAAGATGAGATGAAGGAGCACATGGGTCTCTACGTTGACGCCGTGATCCGGCGACCGCTGAGTAAACTTCTGGTACGTCTTGATTGATGCGTTTTACCATTGACCAGCTCACTAACAATTAATACAGGACTTTATCGAATCCACAGAGACGCTTCTCAACCAACCCGGCGGTAGGGCAGCAGCGATATCTCAACGCTCTTCGCATTCGCGCGCCGTCTACAAGAAACTCATGAACTCCTATGATGCTAGAGAAATCCGCAAGGGCATCGAATCTCTCAAGAAGCGCGTTGACAAGCACTTTGGCGACGCTGACGATCCGAGTATCAGCCGAGACCTTGTCTTCAAGGTCCTCAAGGAATGTGAGAAGAGGTACACCGATGTACACGATCGTATAGTGCGCGTCAACCAAGATGTATACTCTGGTGAGGTGGAGTCGGACTGGGGTGCTAGCGAAGTGACAGCCGCGTTCAGGAGATGATGTGAAGGGTGATGAGCAGTAAGTGCTGTGCGGATTTTTGCGATCTATGCGTATGTCTTCTCTCCATCTCAGGAAATATCAAACGCTATGGAAGATCAAAGGCCCGACAAATGGAGAGAAAGACACATTGCGAGGGTCTCCTTGGTTGCTTATTGTATAAGTGTGTTGATCCACTTCTTCCTGAAGCATTTCGCGCCTCGGAGTTTTTATGGTTTTCACTTGGAGTGGCACGGTTTGAGGGCCTGGATGTTGGATTGAAAGGTTCCCTCTCTTTTTTCTTCTTTTTCCCTGTTGTTGTCATTATGCTCACGACATATGTGTTCAACGTCATTCAACGTTATCGATGCATGAGGAACAAGTCTATGCCTTCTCATATTCTACTGAACCGTTGGCGACAGATTTTGCCGGGAAAGGAGGGGATCCCGTTATATATTCTTGGTATATATGTAGTGTATATGACTGAACGTTGCGATTCTTATGCACTTTTTCAACTCCTGTGCTCTCTCTCTCTCTCTCTCTCCCTGAACGGAGTTCTTTTCCCCACTCCCTCTTTCCAAAGTCTTCTCTAGTGCTCCTTTGGTACTGGTTGGTGGAGATATGAATGCAAAAATCAGCTGATGCTCAGCAGTTGTTTATAATGTTAAACGTATGCGTCGTAAAATACTGATTTCGTAGTCTACTTTGGTCGATATGGGCTTGTACTTTGAGGAGGCGGTTTTGTTTCCCCTCTTTTTTCATAGAAATGGGAGATCAGATGTTCTCGCGGATCGAAACACCTTCTAGGGAATCGAGTATCGTGATCCGAGGGGAATGAGGAGATAATATCAAAACAGCTGCTAGCAGCTACCACATTCAACCAAGTACTTTCATAATTCCAAACAAGCCAATTTTTCCCCTGGGCACATTACATCCAAGTTACTTCTGCTATTAGAACAGCTTAGGCACAAGCACTGGCGTCTCCCTCTTCCACTTTTGATAATCCTTCCTATCGCCATACTTCTTATCGTACTTGCCCTCGCTCAACGGGATCCCACTGATCTTGGTCAACAAGAACGTAACAAACCCAGGACTCGCCGCACACATGCCCAAAACAGTCGCCTTCCCCAAGATACCACCGCCCAAGCCCAATCCAGCCTGCGCTGGACCCCTTACGAGCAGCCCGCCAGCGGCGACCGCGATACCAGTCCAAAGCGTAATCTCACCAAAGTAATTAGGATGCCTCGACTTGGACCACAGTCCCCGGGTCAAAAACTCCTCGGAATGCTTTTTCTCTTTCTTCTCCTTGGACCATTGAGATTTCTGGCGATCAGCCAGGACCTCGAAAATGAAGCCGAAGAGGAACAGCGAGACGCCGAGGATGTCGGTCCAGTAAGGGTTCGCGGAGACGGGTTGCGGGATAGCGGCCGGAGCGACGTTCTGCAGCCTCGAGAGCGCGAAAGCGGAGCGGGGCAGCGAGTTTGTTAGCATGACGGGGAGGAGGCAGAGCGAGACCCAGGTCGCTTGTGCGAAGAAGGCGACGTAGAATTTCGAGGGCGCGCTGCGGATGCGGTCGAAGCGGGAGTCGTGGCCGTCGCTGGTTATGCGGGCGAAAAGGTAGGATCCCACTACAACGACACTTCATTAGCCCATTTCTTCTTAATTCATGTCTCTTTTTCTCTCTCTGCTGATGTTTCCCCCTTCTTCTTTGCTTTTCACCCCATCATCGCCTTGGGGGGTTCTGGGAAAGGTGAATAAAGAAACGTACGTCGCGTAGCCCATATCCCAACCCCAGCACTCAGCACCACATGTCTCCACCACCACCCAGCCTGCCCTGGCCCAGTCGCGCTCAAATACTCGCTCAGCCCTCCCGCGAAGTTTCCTGCGCTGCGCGCTCGCAGGTACGGCAGCGCCAGCGACAACGCCGTGCAAGAAAGATATGTCAAGCTTCCTGATAAATCGTAATACTGCTCAGTTTCGGCAGCGATGGAAGGGATGGCTACGGCGGTTTGGATGCCGTACGCCAGGGCGACTGTGGGGACTACGGTGCGGAGGAGGGGACTGCGGAATGCGGTTGCGCGGAGGAGGGTTTGTAGGGCCATTGCTTGGGTTTCGGGGGGTGCGATTTTGTAGAAACGTAGATAGGATAATATTGTGAACTGCGAAGTCGAAGAAGAAATTGAGCGCGAAGAAGTTGCGTGTTTTATTTATGTTTTGAGGGAATCGAGGTGAGCGGAATGGGAAGGTGCGAATATGTACGTACGCGGTTCACCTCACCAAACCGCAGCAGAGTTGCTCGAGAGATCAATGGGAAACAGTAAAGTAAAATCACTCGAGGTGAATTGAATCGTATTTTGAAGGGTTCAAGTATTTATTAAGCTTTGTTCGCGTTCGACACGGACTTTGACAGTGGTTGCAAGCTGCGCGTAGGATTGATTGATTCGCGACCACGATCGATGGCGTCATCAGCCCCCGGATTGGGGCTACTCGCACGTGCAAGTCGCATTGTCCACGCACTCAAGGAACAACAATCTCCCCGAAACCCCGAAGTCTCCATGCGTCTCGCCCGGTCTTCTGGTTTCAAATTTGGTACACTATTAGAACTAAGACACGATAACGTAGAAACATGAATGTTGGAAAAGTACAAACGGAGATGCAGCAAGCAAGATAGATCCTATGTAATCCAATCGTCATAATCTTGTTAGAACCCAAAAGAATCCAGTAAACTATTCGCGTCCGGCTCGTTAAATTGCGTCGGTGGTGGTTTCTTCTTTTCTTCTTTCTTCTCTCCCTGCTTCTTGACTTCACTGCTATTCTTTTCTTCCCCACTTCTTTCTTCATCATCCTCACTCTCGCTCGCCACTTCGGCCAGCCCTCTACCTGCCCCCTTATGTTGTTCCTTCACCGGCGCCGGCAAGTCAGCAATTACCAGAGAACTGCGACGCCGCAGTAACTTCCTGGGATCGAAGTCAAAATCTAAACTGCCTTGATTTGACGATTTAGCCTGGAAGGAGGCGCGTGGGATTGCCGGGCTGAGAGGTGGGCGGTCCGTCATGACCGATGACGGAGGAGGAGGCGTTAAGAATTCCCATGTTTTGACTGGGAGTTGCGATATTAGTGTATGTTGGAGATCATCAAAGGAAAGATGAGGGTAGAAGTAAGACGTAATATGGAGACTCACCGAGATCTAAAGCTAGCAAATCGCATCCCATTCGTTGTAACAGACCCGCTGTGTGAAGCACAAACTCCCACTCTTCCCGCATGCCAACCATAGTCGCACCCCTGAGAGTTTGCAGACTCTTCTCTCGCAATTGCTTGTAGAGCACGACCAACGCGGGATCATCCGTCAGATAGCTTCTGCTCTGGAAGTTGGGAGTCTCGGGCGGACTGAGAAGTTTCGTAAGCGGAGTCACCAGGCTACGTACTGCCCTGTCACGTTTGTTGATCATCCAGAATGCCCATGTCGCAAGCCAGCGATTGCCTTCGCGAGCAGCCTGGGGTAAGATCTTGTCGCGTAGGAAATCGAGCAGGATGGGGGAGTCGTCGCCACCATATACACGTGCTACGGCGATGGCGAGCTGGGTGTCGTTGAGTTGGTTGTGGAGAACGGATATGGCATCTAGCAGGTGGTCGGCGAGGAGAAAAAATGCAGCTGCGTACTCGAATCGGCGCTTTCCCATAAGTGCATATGCGTTTTTCAATGCCGCCGTTTTCCAGCGGTCATCGTTGAAACTGTTCATCAACAGCTTTTGCGTTGGTTTTTGCTCCCTACTCCAGGTGGCCATACGCCACAAGCCGACAAGAACAGCCTTCTTTTTCAAAGCTAGGTAGTGGAGACTACAGTCAACGGGATTCTTATCTTCCGTCTTGGTGTACTCATTCCGGGCAATGACTTCAAATTGTGCGCGCTATATCGATGTCAGCATTAGCACACATATCGAAAAAACCCTGGAGGTAAAGCTTACAAGGGCAGTGATATCAGTCATCCACATGAACATGCCCGACTCTTTAGCGTGCTGCCATAGCATTTTTCCGCTGAAATGTCTGGAGACCAAATCCACCAGGATGTCCTGGCTCTGTGAGTGAAAAGCCCATGTGATCTCACGCCAGGAAATGGGGCCTTTCTTCGCCTCGTTCAGCACGTGTTGCCGGAAGAAGAGCAAGAACCGGCCAGCGTTGTCATCGATTGAACGTCGATGTTTTTCGACCGTACCAACACACTCTATGATGTCGGCTAGATGGAATTGTTCGCGACTCGACAATAGTGGAATCTGTTTGGTTTGGACAAGCTCGTTGAGAGAGGATGCGACATCTTCAGTGAGCGACTTGGGTTCACCGTCATCAGAAAAATCGGCATATGAGGCATGCATGTCCTTCCGCGAGGCAGTCATCTGATCCTGAATTATATCAGCAAGAGCCATGTCACTAAACTCAACGAGAAGCATACCTCGGGATTTTCAGAAAAGTCATCCGCTACAAAGCCCAACGAGTGGTCAAATTCTTCACCTTCCGTCCAGAATTTCAACTTCTGAAGAAGTCGTATCAGTATTCGCTGCACGAGCAATAGTTTTCCCGAAAGCACACATTGCGATAACAATTGTGGGTGATAAACAGGCAACGGCCCATTCAGTCTGCTGACTGCTGTGAAGATGTCGATGGAGGCTGTCTTACGCGATATGCTGCGCAAGCTTGGGAACAGGCCTTCGGATACTTCGACTTTTTCGTCCTGGATGAACAGCTGGTTTCCTGCACCAATGACCAGATTTCCGCTGCTTAGCCAGACAGAGTCGCCAATCGGGTGTGGTGTTATGTCGCGAATACGAACATCTCGAATCTGCACCCATGACGGGCCTGCATTTAAATAGTCGTATCTCAGTTGTGCATAAATTACCACGCGGTGTGGAAAACCGACTGCAAGTATGGACTGGTTGTCAGGGGTGGACGACCAATCAAGGTCCTGAATGACCCCATTGCCTTCGAATTTTTCTTCGTACTCTAGCTGTGCACTACGAGTGTTCCAGATGGTCAAGGTAGTCTTCTCTTCATCCACTAGCGCTGCTTTACGGATTGATGTGCCACTCGCAAGAGAGGGATTGTGTATGCTGGTTTCGACGGTCGACGTCCTGAGCCATTCAAGTTTGCGCGTTTCTATATCGACCCTCGCTGTCCAAGAGCTCACGACACCCGACTTAGTGTAAGAGATGGCCACATCGCGAGCGAAAGTATCTAGAAACCCAGATATGACTGGTGCTGAGCCCGCTGGGTCAACAGGGAGTACAAATACTAGATCGTTGCCCGACCCCAAGTCATATGAGGAAAACTCTTCGATACCTATTTCAGAATGACCATTTGTATAACCATTTGGCTCCGATTTTAATGTGGAAAGTTTACGGCCCGTAACTGGATCCCTTTCGAGTAACGGTAGTCGTACCTCCCAACATATGCTTTTCATTTCTGAGCTGATTGTGGCAATGTGCACCAATCGACCCCCAGGCTGGGTCTCTGGGATGATCAGTAAACAAAGTGGCTTGCCTTGCAACTTGTAAGAAAGGCGTTTGACCTCGACTGCCTGGGGCCCGCGCGTATCCCAGAGTACTATATGCTCATGATGAAGAAAGACAAGAAAATTGCCATCCTGCAACAATGAGGTGCGGTGTATGTGTTCCGTCACCTTCACCGTACTATGCCGTCGCAGAGACATCCTATGTTCCGTGAGACGTTGGACCCATACGATGCATTCATCAGTCACGGTCCGTGATACAAGTGCTCGTCCACTCGGCGTGCGGTTGACCTTTTTGATTGCATGAGAGTGGCCAGTCCAAACAGCCTTGCGTTGAATGCGGTTGGTCTGGGATGGCGAGGGGTCGAGAAGGTAGTCCATCCGCGCTTGCAACCACTCCAACCGTCCATCAAAGTGGTGAGTAAGAATTGAAAACACTGATTCGGGGCTTGGGTAGCAAGATACATAGAATTGCACGTTGTCTTGTAACGCCGCGGCATTGTTCGCAAAGTGTAGATGCAGGCCATCCATATGAGCCACACTGAACACGTCGGTTTCTTTCTTCACTTTAGCGCCAATATTCTCAAAGCCCCATGCTGTCATGTTCCCACGATCGTCCAGCACCACACATATTTCGGGATTACGATTGGCGACTTCGATGAGATGGTTCAACGCCAATTGATCCTTTTCCGCGGCCGTTGCCTGCTCGACCGCTCTTTCTGTCGCATGGGTGAAGTTTTTGCCGTCGATGATGAAAGCATATCGTTTCTCCGTTGTATGATCGAGAGAGCGAGGCTTGATAGAATCGAACAAGTCTACCTCAGTCCAAAGTGCTAATCCATCCACGCCGTGATGTTCGCCCGTCACCCATATCCGCACTTTGTAGTCTGCGCATATCGTATAAAGAACATTGTCCGCCGTCTGGTCCTTGTGGAAAGGTTTCCGCCAGTGTATGCCGGTCACAATGCCCGGATGTGGGAGGTAGTAATGATCGAAAGATTGATTGGCGGAACCAAATGCCAAACGCCGCCATATCTTGAGTAGGCGATCGTAATGTCCCGTAGAAGCAATCAGCTCGGCATCGGGAGAGAAGTGGGCAAATTTGACAGAATTTGCCAGCTTCTTGGTCCATATCTGTTCCGGTGCCTCGCGCGTATTGAACAGGGTGAGGGATGCGCTGCCTATTAGCAGTTCGTCGCGCAAGCCCCATGATAACGTGGTGATCGAGTCGGCTGGATCTGGCAGGGACATATCGCCCTGAGGCCCCCACTGCGCGCATCGTCAGCGTGTGTCCCGTCATGCTTCAAGCTATGGAGATCCCCACCTTGACCACTTCGTTTGCGGGGTCTTCATCGTTGATGTATGGCTCGAAAATGTACGCTCGTTTCTTGGAGCACGTAGCAAGCTTCCCGGTATTCTCATCAAGAGCGACAGCTTCGAGCTCGTCCTCTTGGTCGATGTAGATGGTTTGGACGACGTGGTTCGGCGAGTCGAGGATGATCAGCGCATTGCCGGAGATGTAGGCCTGCAGATGTAAGTCGATCGAGTATGTTGCTCATGCAATGCGCAACATACAATAAGATGCTGTCCTTTCCAGAGCAGCGACAAACCAGTGGCTTCGGGTGGTCCATGGGCGACAGCATGCAGTTTCGCCTGCGGGCGCCCTGGGAGGATGTCGCGCATGAGGTAGCGGTTGAAAGGTGCTACCGATTCAGCATCGTCTCGTGTGTAGCAAGTGCAATAAGGCTGCGAAATTCAAAATTAAAGAACACAATAATTACACAGGAAGGGGTACGTATATTCAAAGGTTTAGGAGTTGATAGCTAGGTTGGGAGGTGCAGCCATCCGGAGCTCACGCGCACGGCCGGCAGTGTCGTCAGAGCTTCTGATCGTCAATAGAAATCCAAAAACAGCAACGAGCAACCATCTGACACCAATCTGTAGCGAACCTCATTGGGGCACTTCCTTCCCTGGATCCGCAAATACCAGCGAAGATTCTGGATGGCAGCTTGGTCTTGAACGGTACCCCGTTTAGTATCTAAATGGACACTGAAATACCTTTGAACACTTGAATTGTGCATGAATGTAGACCACCCCTTTGGATCACGTGATTGTATATGTCACTTGCGCACCTGGGCAGTCAACTCATTTGTGAGAAGATTTGTTTACATCTATACATGTCTGATCATAAAGTACTGACGAGATTAATTCCTCTTTTTCTTAGTGAATGTCTGGCGCTCGGATCTTCGGGGAATTCTATGCCATCGTCCGCTTGACATTTCCTGATACATCGCCCTCTCCTTCCCATGCAATCGTCACATCGATACCCCTATCATCTCTCTTCACCTTTCTATAGGTTATTGAGAACTTCAAATTACTTCCACTTTTGACTTCTTTTCTGCGATCTTCCTCGTCGAGGAGCAACACTGCTTGATGCCAGTGGGTCGCTGTCGAACTTGGACTGGTTGAGAAGCCCACCCCAGGCTCACCGTTCTTGCCCCATGCGCCCACATCAATTTTCAGCGCATCCTGGGGTTTGCCGGGAGGCAAGAAGAACGTGTCAAACCATATAGCAAATCCGTCTATTGAGTTCACGTCGGATCCCAGAGTCACTGATGTCGACACAGTGAAGTCCAGCTCTTTTACCATGATCTTCCGTAGGTCCAACTGGTAAAACCCAGCAGGTGATCCACCCAGTGACTTCTCTGGAACGTCAAAAACTCCGATATCACGATCGTTGAGATTGCCTCCCTTGATCATGGTTGAGAAGTCGAAACCGTAAACATCTTTCCAGAACTTCTCGCCTGTGCTCTCCGCTATCCAGTCCTTATCCGAGATGGGCGCTGCGACCATAGTACAATGCGAAGGTACCATGAGTCCGTCTTCCTTCAAGTACAAATCTCGTGCGCGGAGTACAGAGTCTAGCATGCCTTCGAAGAGGAGCCCATAACCCATCCATTCCGAAATGATGATATCTACCTTCTCTTTCCCGATGAGCTGCTGTGTGTTGAAGTCCTCAATTTTGCCTTGGATCACTTCAATCTTGCTTTCGTACCCATTCTTCTTGATATTTTGTCTCGCACGGTTGGCAATATCGGAGTTATCGACAGCAAAGACTTTCTTGGCTCCGGCGCGTGCACAAAACAGAGAAAGAATTCCCGTCCCACAACCAACGTCCAACACCACCTTGCCGGAGAAAAGCTCGGCGTTTTTTTCGATAAAGTCCCGGTAGCCCTCTGTCCGCACGCGGTCCTCGATCATTTCGCGGTGAATGCCATTGCCCTTGTAGGATTCAAAATAGTCCGTATCGCGGTCGTGGCTGAGATCAATCTTCTCGACGTCTTGCCCGATGTTCTTGTGCAATACAGCCTCGAACTCGTCATAATCCACAGCCTTGTTGTCCGTGTCAGGCATGAGGTCCCCTAGCTCAAAGAGCAGTGCATCATCTTCCAATGTTGGTTGCAGGTATTTGTCGCTAGCTATCGTGTCCGCGTCCACCTTGATACTCTTAGGGTCCGCATTCTTCTGAGCTTCAGCCCTGAGGTAGTTGATGAGCTTGATCACGGTCAATTCATCTGCTTCTATATCACGTGTTAGTCATCAGAATGGGTAAGGCCTCGATGTATGTAGTGTACCTGGTCCTAGGTTTTTGATGGTACTCTCAACATCGAAACCGTGCTCGGCACGACAGTGCGCAGTAAGTTCCGCAATCCTATTGCACTGCTGGTCGCAAAATAAGCACTTGAAGGTTGTGGTATCCGGTTCGCTCATGTCCTCGACGATGCTTCCTGCTGAGCTGGCGACATCGGAGTCGCTGTCTGACATTTTTTCTGATTCCGGTCTCTCCAGCGCCTGATATTCGATGTTCGTTAAGATGGTAGTGAGGTTTGTTCGTTCGGTCTTTTCTTGAAATCGAAAATTACCTGCTGTGTTGGTCAATATTTTAGGAAAAGAAAAGTTATCAGGGACTAATGTGGGGTGGTGCGGGGTTGGTCCGTGGCGCCTTCCCTACTGATAGCAGCGTGCCTTCTGTGTACAACATTATACAAAACTGACTACATATGTATGGATAATCAATTTGATCTCGATAGAAACTCGTTTTTCTCTTTTATTTTTATTTTTTACAATACACAAAAAAGCAGATCTTGTCCCATCCAGCCTTTTCCTCGAGTCCGTGGATTTTGTTCCCTAGGAGACTCTTCCAAGTGGCTATCGCAATGCAATAACGAACCCCAAACGCTGAGACAAGTATAAAAACAATAATTCGGGGGGTATCGTGGTGACCTAAGGAAGGTGGACTCCCCGATATCCTAGCTGAGTAGACAAAGGGAAAAAATGAAAATGTAATGGATTAGTGAGCGCCGCCTATCCGAACTGAATCATGGATGAATGATGAAGAATAGTCGCGGCGCCCTACATGCCCTGTCGATGCTTGAGTGATGGGTCTCTGCAGGTTGGTTTCCGGATGGTTGGGTTTGCGACCAGTGCAGGCTCTTGACTGTGAACCTCGACGGTGGAGCATATTGGCGTGTTCAGAGAGGTGAGGAGGGCAGTGTCTCCTCTCCGTCAGCGTGTGTCTGTGAGCTCCTGTCACCGCCAATCGCACCCGTCCTCATTCCCAGCAAGATATTTGCAACTTCAGTCTCGTCGCTGCTGTAGGATCCTCGCTTAATGGTGGCGATCGAAACATCAGAACTAGGGAGAGGATTGTTGTCTTCTTCGCTGTTCTCCCCTTCCATGGTATCACCATCATCGCTGCTAATGTCCTCCTCCGTGGTTTCCCAACCATCACCGCTGTCATTGTCGCTGGTGTTCTCATCGGCTTTGAACATCTGAGAGTTGGGGTCCATCTTCAGCATGTTCTCAAAGGCGGTCTGCCAGGAATCGATATACGGCTTCTCTGCGGGAGCGCCGTTTGTTCGGGTGAAGGCCTTTTCGATGTAGTTGCTGTCGCCATACACGGGAGATTCTGCTTTGAGGATAAGATAATCCGCAATCATTTCTTCAGTTATGGTGGGCGTGTAGAAATGACCCGTCTTGTTGGCGATGATCTTCTCCAATCGGTCCCTCAGACCACCAGTGACGCGATTCAACTTGGAAGTGAACGCATTTGATTTGCGCTCTTTGCGAGGATCGAGACAGTCGCCATTAGGCTCTTTGAACACCTTGCCGGCGAAATGCTGGTTGAATCGACTGAGAATGTTGGATGTGCGCGGCTGCATGACACCGAACTTGGCGCCCTCCACGATGAGCAGGTGGAACATCAGTTCCAGGAAGCCCTCTTCTTCTTCGTGCCACATGATTATATTCTTGGACTTCATGCCAGCACGGCCATAGAGTTGATTGCGCCAGGCGTTGATCTTGGAAATGTGTCCTGAGTTATCCCAATCGATATCCGAGTACACCTATGCCGTAGGTAAATAGTCAGCTAGGCGTTAAATAGAACGCCACGACAGAGGAACCAGATCATACGACGAGATCGCTTTTCGAGCGTCTGTGTTTGATGGTCCTATGCGACTATGCCTGGGATCTGACTTACAAGTTTCTTGAAATGGAGCTCCTTCTTGAGTCCGGTTTTCTTGTCGGTGCAGATCATGTGCAGCAACGACTCATCCTTGACGCCCACCTTTGCAGACATACGCTCGCCAACAGGCACGAGCGCTGACGCCGGCTCTCGTTTGGCGCGCTTGTTCGAATCTTGAGGATTGGGAGATGTGGTGCGCGTAGAAGAAGATGACGAGGCAAGGGAAGGTGCGCCCGAAGCTTTACGTTTCGGTGGCATGGCGCAGGCAATAGGTTTTTGTACTTACTTCAAAAGTTTGGAAGAGAAAAGTGGTCTGTTGGAGTGGTGGAGCGAGTGTGCTGAGTCAAACGAATGTATCGTAGGGCGAGCGTGTGTCGACAACCTCAGTGACGAGAAGCTGCGAAAGAGGAAGTGGTAAGGTAAAGAAATTAGAGAAGTTGAAGACCGGACCCCAAGCAAGCAGTCGGGAGATGTGAACGACAGGGTAGGGGAGCTTATATAGTACGGGTACAGAGAGACAGACGTCCGCCAAGACCACCAGCAGTCTGGCCATGGTCGATGCACAACGCAGGCAAACACCGCAAATCTAAATACACAAACATATGACATAATTGCGGGGTATTCACTTATAGTCCTCAAAAGGCTTCTCGGACTGGGGATCGGCGAATCGCCATTTTGGCCATACAGTGGACCGCCTCTATTTGCTACTGTCGAATTCGAGTTTTACAACCGACTGACCCCTTGCAACGACCTTTGTCCATCACCAAGGAGCTGTTCGAAGCGGCAGCGAAATTTTAGCTAGCAAAGTTGGGGCGTTTGCTTGCTAGGTGGGAGGAAGTGAGAGCAATCGCGTCTACCAACGCCCGACCAATGACAGCCTTTCGCCGACAGTGTAGTGTTGTCAACCAGCCACCTTGTTTTTGTTAAGAGTCATTTTATTCCCTATACCGAAATTACTGCAATTGGGGGACACGGTATGTAGTGGGGCTGTAATTGCTCACTGACATTCGAACCAGATGGCCCCCGCAGGTGCTTCCCTCTCTTGCAAGCGAACGGGTACGGATGCATGGCAAGGTCATCATACAAATACCATTTCCTAATGCTGTACTACTGAAATTCTTTGAGTTATTAGAAAGATGTTTCATTTGCAGAGGACGCGGTGCATTGATGATCGTCTCCAACGTCTCGTGAGTCAATTAACAAATGCGGCACTTGATCTGAACTGCTGCCGCGACGTACTTTTTGGTTGCTCCGCAGCTACTGCCAGTGAAAGAGGAGATAAGTGTAATAGGGGCGGACGGTCTTTGCAACCTGCGATTTACGTTTGTCAAATTAGAAGACGTGCCGGGGTATGTTATACATTGAGAGTGTCGTAGGTCTGCCCCTAATCTCGGTAACTGACATTTCTGTGATGCTTTATACCCGAACATTGTTTTTACCTTCTTTACTAATATCCTGCGCCTGATGCAGGAATCATTGTGTCTTGCTGCTGTCACTGTAGTCTCTATCTTACATGCATCCGGCCGCCAGCCTGTTTTGAATACCTGTGCATAATACATTATACTTGAATAATATCTGCACTTGTGACACCCAGTAAAGATAACCAGGACATCTTCGCAGATAAGGAAGTAAGGTATGGATGCAACAAGGTCAAATTCGAGGCAAAGGAATTCATCCTGATAACATTCTATGAACATTGGAAATTGCCTCGACAGTAATTCATCTAAGCACAGCGGAATTAGCGGATGATGTTCGTTTAAGCTCGTATTGATCCTGGCATCTTACTATATCCTGCAAGAGACAGCCAATCCTGTCTCAAGGCAAAATTCACCTGCACCTGACCTTTAGCCTTGCATGGCTCGGGCAACTTCGAGGCAAAATATATTGCCCTTAGCCGGATGGGAAGGTGTATATAAGAATGTGGCAGGTCGTTGTGACCCGTTATCTTTTGCTACCATTCTCCCGCCTCCGCAAATCTTGAAATGCATACAATATGGAAGCTGACCCTTCCTTAGTCAGCACTTCGCCCAGTACAAAGGTATGTCCTCTCCAGTCTGGAATACCCCGCCCGTCTCCCCTCCAGTTGACTTAGCACAGCTTTCCCACTCAAAGGGTACGTATCACCGATGCGCGAAGAACCGTGGAATTTGGATCTCCATGAGCAAGGCTAGATATCCTCGGGAATGATTTCGTCGCCGTCCACAACTCAACCCACGCTGGAACAGCCTTGGAATCTAACCTTGCAATTATAATTAGCCTCTCTGTGGATTGGACGGCTTCTGCATACACCATCAGCTGACTCAGATTGCAATTTATTATAGGTTGATCGAACTAGCTTTGGTCCTGTTTGTCTCGTCTGCCGTGCGGGTTCCGGATTGACGCGACTTCCTTGAGGGTCTCTCTTTAATAACGTTCGGGAATGCGCAAGAATTTCGATCCCTGTTACTAACGACCGAAACCATCTGGCTGGCTTTTGGATTTGGAGATAGGACTGCCTTTGGACTTCTTGCACGTTACGATTAGCCTTGGACAATATTCACGTTACGGTCAGCCTTTGGTCCTTTATCCTAGCTCACAACAGGTAATTCCGGTCTTTTTGGTCAGCATCCCTTTAGCTACAGGCATTTTGGTCTCACGACATTGTAAAAGTTGTTTGGGTCTCATGGTTACTTTGCACGGAGGTGTAGATCACTAACTTGCGCATAGGCACATACGATATAACCGCATCCCAAGATAACCTGGAATTTTCAAGACAACAGCGAGGATACGATATATCAAGCCAGCCATGGCAGTTTCCCGACGCTTTTGACTTCGGACTATTTGACTTCGGCCAGACGAACTCCAATACAGGGTCGTTCCTGGACCCAATATACACAAATGTGCAGCAGCTCCTGGCGCCCTCTGCAGGTGTGTCATCTTCTAGGCTAGAGTCGTTCAATTTTGGTTCCTGGGTGGCCGATCGTACCAAAACTTCGGTGGATCATCGTCCCTCCCCCTTTCCCTTTAACTGACATATTCGCAACTCAGAAGCAACTATTCCGAATGACTTCAGCAACTACGAATTGACCAAGCCCGTTGATGAGAACCCGATATATGATAGTATGTATCAAGCGACGTCGATTATCCCGGCACAGCCGCCGAGAGATCTCAAAGGCAGATTGATCTGCGGCCGCAAAGAATGTGCCCACATGACCTTTGGCACACCAAGTCTATGGAGACAACACATGGACCGTCATACCCGTCCATACAAGTGTGCCATCACCAATTGTTCCGCACACTCAGAAGGTTTCGGCTCAAAAGGCGAACTCAGACGGCACGAAAACAGCGTTCACCCCCAACCGAGCTCTTTCTCATCCTCATCCGGCTACAAAAAGTTCTACTGCCCTGTACCGAGTTGTCCTCGCTCTTATGCATCTGGGCTATCAGGCACAAGTTCGAGAAACAGACCTTTTTCTCGTAAAGACAACCGACAGAACCACATATCTCGCAAACACCGAGATCTTTATCCATCGACATTCACAGCAATCAATTCGCAAGCTGGGGCTCGTCACATCACGCCTGAGTCCCCGGACCACGATGTATATGCCGAAGAAGAGGAAATGAGTATAAGAAGAATAATATCAGATCCAGCGGTATGTTCCCATCAATATGCAGAGTGTGAGCAATGCTGACACTGCACTTTTCTTCGTAGGTCACCAAACCAGCTCCCGATATAGAGGAACACGATCGCATGCCTGTCGACGAACCTCCGACGCCAGACTACGTGAATCGCGAGCATAGTAGTGCTGTTGCAACCACAATTACTACTGCTACCGTTGCTGCTATCGCACCCACCGCTGCGATGGATGAAGCGCAATTCCACAGACCGCGAGAACAAGATGAAACAATGAAAGACAAGGTGGACGAAACCGAAGAATTGAGACAAAAAGTGAAAGACCTTGAGCGTGACTTGGAAATATGGAAGAAGCGGGTGGAGAGTCTTATCGATGTTCTTGGGTCCAAGTCGAAGTAGGTTGGATCATGTTCATGAGTGATTAGTGCGCTGATATATTTCTTTGGTGGCTTCTGTCTGATGATCATTCGTGTTGTTCCGCAAAATATCGTTATGATAATCAAGAAAGAGAACCACGTATTAGGTGGACTCGTTCTGTTCATGATGATTGTCATCTTAGTATGTAAAATTGAAATTGATCCACATTCCTCAGTCTTAGCCAGACCCATTGATTCTCCACCAACGCCGACATGTCGTGATGCGTACACACAAAGGTGCCACGTTTTACATAGCATGACCAAGGAAAAGGGTATGTATTGAAAAGAAGAGAGAAGACCCTGGCAAGCCGAGTCAAGCCTTACCCCGTCCTCTCCTCAACTTCCTTCCCTTGGTCTTCTGCGGCTTTTCCTCCTCCTCCTCATCTTCTTCTGAGTCACCAATGTCCTCCGACTCATCATCCATGTCTACATCCTCATCCTCCGGTTTCTTCGCCTTTCCCTTCTTTTTTGGGGGAGCCTTGCTGGTGGTGGTCTTTGACTTCTTGCGCGCTGCCATGGCGGCGAAGGCCTCTTCGGATGGTTCATCCATTGGGGACTCTCGCTTGCGTCCACGACCTCCTGTTGACTTCGGCGCGTACTTGGCCTCGAGGTGGTCGAAGAAGTTGCCCTGGCGAGATTTCTGGCGCTGTTGGATGAGCGATGCCAGATCGTCCATGTTGTTTGAAGCTGCGGACTTCTTGGACTTGGTAGATGCTTTGACGCTTGCTTTTCCAGCGGCAGCGCCAGATGCAGCCGCAGTCCCTTCTTCCTCTTTTTGCTTTTTGGCAGCATCACGCTTGTCGAATTCCTCCCGCTGCTTGCGTACTTTATCCTTCACTTTTTGCCTCGTCGCATCGTTGTTCGCGCGCTCGTATTTCGGGTAGCTTTCGATCGTACCTTTCGCGATTTCATCGTCCAGAATCTTGCGAAAGCGGATGTCGTCTTCGAGGACATCGGACAGCATAACCGTTTGAAAGATGTAGTCCAGGTTGCCCTCGCGCTCTGTGTATGCCTTGAGCAGATCTTGCTTTTCTTCTTCGCTACCTTTGTATTTCTGCGAGAAGTTTGTAATATTCTCAGTCGTCAGCGCTTCGGAGAATTGCTCGCGGTAGAAGGACAGCCAGTTAAAATCATCGTCATCGTCGAGCACTTCGGCTGTGCTTCCGGTCAGATCGAATCGTTCGCGACGCCGTGAATCGGAAAGGATCGCGTAGGCGAATGCGATTTCTTGGAAGAGTTTATTTGCTGCTTCTTTATCATCTGCTGTAACCTTGTCTGCGTAACGACGATGTCAGCTATGCCCTAGCACTCAGAAAGTTATGACATACCAGGATGATGCTTCAGCGCCATCCTACGATAGGCTTTCTTGACATCCTCTGCAGTAGCATCCTTATCTAGAGCAAGAACCCTGTACGGGTTTATCACTGGTGGGCCATCTTCGACGTCTGCGTCGATATCCTCGTCTTCGTCGTGGATGAATTCGTCTTCTTCAGGCGGTGCCGCTTTGCGCGCGGACTTTTTTGAGGGAGCCATAGGGAGGGAACACTTCGCGAGGATTAGAAGATTGGAATCAGCGGGTCGAATGGAGGAGTGTAGGTTGGTGGGAGAAGCAAAAGCTTGGTTTGGCGCGTAAGGTTGAGAGCGCGTCAGGTCGCGTAAAGTGGTGAGCGGAGTGGATCCGGGCGGAGTTTAGAAGGCTTTAACCGTACCTCTCACTTTTTGGCGTACACTAGCGGCACCCACCAATCTGCGTCACTTCTTTCACCCATCCGAACTCATCCTTCATCATATTGAATATTGCTATTGCTTTGAAAACGACAGTATGACACCAGGTCCTGCATCGCACGATGCACTGATGCAGCAGGCCCTAGATCTCGCACGGCAATCACCACCAAAACCCACCAATTACTGCGTCGGAGCCCTTCTCTTCAACCCAACAACCAACGAAGTATTATCTACGGGCTACACTTTAGAACTCCAAGGAAATACACACGCCGAACAATGCTGTCTCCAGAAGCTTGCACAGAAACATAATATACCAGAGGAGAAGATTGCCGAAGTATTGCCTCCAAACACCGCAATCTACACTACTATGGAACCGTGCAATCTGCGGCTGAGTGGCAATCTTCCGTGCGTAGATCGTATCATTGCGGCAAAGAATATCAAGACTGTTTATTTGGGGGTCAAGGAACCCGAGAAGTTTGTGGGTGAAAATGAAGGACGGAAGAAGTTGGAGGAAAGCGGGATTGAGTGTATGCATGTATCTGGATTGGAGGAGGAAATACTGAAAGTTGCCACGGCAGGGCACGAAAAGTAGAGCAAGACATGCTATCAGGCGATAATATTACAACAGAAAGTTTGTATGTTCTGCTGGGCCCATCTAACATAGCCAACATAAGGAGCATTGAGCAACATGTCTGGTGCTTTGGTAGAGCACTAGGAATTTGTTTATTAGTTTTCCAGAGCCTGGGGTGATTCAACGACGATGTGCTTGGGCATTCTTCATCTCTTCCAAAGCTTCGGCAAGTCTCTCACCCTCTCACGCTCTCGAGCGCTCATACGCTCGCCCAATTGTACCCAATCAGCAAACTCATCCCAAGGCTCACCTACATCATTCATGACGATATCGGTCTCGCGAGAAATTCTCTCCCGCTCTTCTTTCTTCAGCAGATCTCGTGGATTCCCTCCATACCCAATCGGTGGGAGAACAGCGGTGTTCTGGAAGACACGGGATCTGATGTCATCATCCTTATCTCTCTTCCTATAACCCTTTTCACTTTCATTCTCGGTCGAGGGGCCGGTGCGTCTGTTAGCATCTTACCTCTGTCTTTCGTCTGCTGTCAGGCCAGAGTACCATTGCATCTCTTTCTTTGGTTGTGGAGGCGGGCGACGACCAAGAAATGGGTCGACAAGACATCTTGTGAGAAAGTCTTGGACGTCAGCAGGAAGAGCTGCTTGATTGCCGAAGTCGGGATCGCTAGGCAAGGATAACCTCTCCTTGAGTGCAATATAGTCGACTAGCATCTCCTCCGTGATCAGCGGTATCAATGCCTCACTCTCATTTCGAAGGGTAGCTACATAAGAGGTGGTCCTTGGCAGTAGGGTTTCCACGCGATTTCTCCATGTTAGGAGGTCCTTAGGCTCAAATCTGGTAGTTTCCCCGAGCAATTTCTGTACCTCAGGGTTATTTCTTGATGTGAAATAGGCATTGAAAGCAACCCAAATACTAGGGAGAGTTGGTAGACTGAAGTTCGTCCCGTTCACAGCCCTGTCAACTATGAAGAGTGCATGGTAGAGTGTTATCCAAGCATCTTCCTTATTGGTCGCTAGAATCTGCTGGCTAGTTGGTGAAATAGACACGGATACATCTGGGGTCGGGGTTGCATTTGATGACTCCATGTCCTTGTTTCGGCGCGAGCGCCTTTGCCCTTGGGGTTCGCTCATGTTTATAGGAGCAGGTTTTGGAAATTGATGTGTTTCCGTCAAGATTGGAAGAGACACAACTATTTGTTATGGCAAATAAGAACAACGTTTGGCAAATAATCTGGCAGATGCACAGTGCTGGTTAGGAGATTATTTTGTCAATTAAGAATGTGGTTGACTACCTATGATCGAGATGTTGCTTTTTTCGTGTTGGTGGAGTTGAAATAGTGGCATTACTGAGTCTTTTATACAAAGGAGACGCAGGTCAGTTATGGATACACTGTATATAAATGATCGCATAGTGATTGAACGATGGACAGAGTTGAGCAGGGCAAACACGCGTCAGAGGGGAGGTAACATCATGTAATACAACTGCGTAATAGATGAATCATGTCTAAACAGAGTTGCTATGTGTTAGCATCTCGACGACAATATGCATTCCAGGAGCTTATGTGATTACGTATATAATGTACACGGGCATCTGCCGAAACAGTTCTCGGAACTGTCTTGCAAACTACTGTTGGTTATGATTCATTGCACCTAAGACAGGGCACAATTGCTTGTTAACTAGACAGAAGCCCGCAAAGCAAATTCATATCATAAAGCCGAGGCTGATACAGTGTTTGATAGTGAAGCAATTACGTGGCCAAACTAACAAGCCGGATAGTCTGAAAATTGTATTCCAAAAAACATTCTGTTTTGCTAGTAGTTTAGCCTTCTTTTCGACGAGCACCATTAAGACCTCCCGTCAGACCTCCCGCTAGACCACTGTGACTAAATATTTGCATTCTGCGGCGAGGATTGTTGATGTATATGGGTGGTGGCCCACCGCGTTCAGGATTTGCAACATTAGCATCTGCGAAAAGTTAGCATTAGAATGAAGAATATGTTAGGAAAAAACATCACTGACCTTCAGATTGGGATGTTTCTCCGCCTGTACCGGAATCTCCCCTGTCCTCCGTGTTCTGCTTATCGTTTTTCTTACTTGTCTTTTGTGGTTTGCTGCCTGCCCCGGAATCATCCTCCTCTCGCTGCCTCTTTTTCGATTGGGCGTCAGTTTCAACATTCTCATCTTCTTGCCCTTCATCTCTTTTGGTATGTTGGGAATCATCATTGTCATCTTTCGTGGGCTTTTTTCCTCCCTTCGCCCCTTTCCCTTTTTTGGATTTACTGTTCCTGTCATTGTGGTCTTGCTTGCCTTTTTTTCCTCGGCGATTACCATCGTCGTCCTTGCCTCGCTTTCTCTTTCCCGATTTGCCGCGAGATTTAGATTTGGCGCCGCCATCGCCAGGATTTCCAGCATTGTCTGAAACATCCAATGTTATGTAACGTTCGGGATCTTCTTCCTCCTCAGAGAAATCATCGATATATCCGTCTTGCTCGGCCCTTTCTCGTCGACCTGGTAAAGACTGCCAATTGTGTCTCTCATCACTCGTCGTGAATCTCGCTTCGAGGTTAATATGCCGTTGGTGGGAATCAATTCGATTTCCTTCCTCATCTAAACGAAAGTCTATATAACCTTCACCACGATCGTATGTGATGAAAGAAAATTGATGCTCGTAGACGTGTCGTATGCGCAATCCGTATTTATCCAATTTGTGTATGACGTGAGTGCCAACATCGGTATGATCAGCTATGAATGTTTCGTAGCGTATCCTTTTACTGGTTCCTTTGTCTGTATGCGCCCATTCTCCGTTTTCTGATTGGACTGTTAGTGTCCAAGCATGATAGACATCATTTAGCAGGGGACTCACTGATTACAGCACCCCAATTCTGATGTCTTTTGTTAGTCTCAAAAGAGGTGCGCGATGTCCGAGCCGAGCCGTTGCCGTCATTCCATTGGAATGGTTTTGTCTTTTCGGTTGCTGCGTGGTAAATGTCGGTGGGTATAATATCATGATCCTAGAAGCGATTAGCGGAATTCAAGCACCACTATAGCCTTTGGGGCATACGTACCGGCTCAGCTTCTCTGATTCTATTCACCTGCTCCTGTTTTGCTCGCATAGCTGCATCGTCGATCTCAGGGACCTGATCGATAGTATAATGAGCCCCACCGTAATTGACGGTCTGCTGAGCTTGGGGGAACTTATTATCTATGTTGACCTTTCTCATGTGGTCGGGCATTGTCTTGCGCAAATCGTCGGGATATCTATGGATGTCTTCTGGTCCTAACACTCTCGGTACGTTGTGGCGGCTGCCCACGTGAAACTTATCGTATAGCTTGACAAAGTTCTCTATGTGCTCATCCATCCACACACTCAGTTTGTTTCGGCGAGTCCACTCGGCTTGATAATATAGAAAGTCCTCATATGTCGCCGTTACCGCCATCAATTGACGCGAAGGGTCTATCATCGCCGAGTCGATGCCTTTGCGGAGCTTCTTTCCATCCTTTCTATATTTTTCGAGGGACTTTTCCATTTCCTTTCTTCTCTGGGGATCATATATCTCACCGGTCTGGATATCCGTAAATTTCTCCCAGTTATGCCTCCAATTATCGAGTTCGGAGGTTTCGTGGGCTTTGAGTTTTTCTGTATTTTGTGCGGCTTTTCTGGTCCAATACTTCATGCTCGCAAGCAATAGCGCTTTGTACTCATCTATAAAAGCCGACATCTCTTCTGGTGTAGTAGCATCACCCCAATTTGCCTGAGCCAATGGATTTGGCCCCGGATGGCCTGGTGGTCCTGGTAAAGGAACACCCGAAATCCCTCTACGTCCTTTCGTACCCTTCGTGGTACCTCGAGCCGTTCCACCCGCTCTAACAGCTCTGCCATCATTATGGGCAGGATCCTTGGGGACCTTGGGTGAGATCGGTTCATTCCAAAGTTTAAGTCGCTTCGATCTAGTTACTCTTCCTGTAATTTCTGGGGCTGGTGGCGTGCTCGGTCTTGGTTGAGCAGCTACATTTAAAGCACCATCTCGGTTTTCCCCAGAGCCGGGGTTCCCGGCTTGAGTGTTGTTCTCAACAGATTTCTGTGTGTCTTGAGCACCTTGAGCCTCTTCAGTGCCCTGCACAATGGTACTGGGAGCAGAGGTAATGGTAAGAACATCTCCTGTGTCAGGAGCTGATACTGGAGCGTCCTGAATACTCGTAGTTGTGTGTTGTGGCTGATTCGCTGCTTTTGAGGGATTGGAGGGGTTTCTTTGGGCGCCATCATCCGCAGGTGCATCTGTAGATACTTGTTCACCTTCGGGTACAGCTTCGATTGCGGGTGGAGCAGTAGCCTCTGTCGGAGTATTTTCGGCCTGAGGGTTGCGGTCAGTGGCATTGCTCCTTCCCTTCCTGCTTCTAACTCCTTTCCGCTTCGAGGCTGCCATAGGTACTTTGTACGACAAATTTTTGGATGTTGTGTTTTTAGTGATACGGGAGTTGTGTTGCACCAGTTGAATGTATCTGCGAGAAAGGGATGTATCGATAACTATGAAAAGTTAATTCTTTCGAGGGCTCGTACAAAGAGACTTGAGCTACTATGTGCCGAGTATGGACTTCTTTGTGCTGGTTGGAAGAAACGTGATATTGCTAAACAAAGATGCAAAATTTCATTGTCCTATTAGAATACACACAAACGCTGTATGAGAATAGAGAGCGTGCACGCCGGGGGTACTCTAGTCTTGGACGAAGTTATGTCTCTTCAAATTCTGGATATTTTCCAAATCTATGAGTGGCGCGTTGAGACGGCAAGGTACGACACAATTGATGGCAAAAATGCTATGGCATTCTCTCCTTGTCATTGTTTGTTTCTATTATGCCTAACTCAACATTGCATCCAGAGTGTGACCGATCCGAACAAAGCCTTTTCTATTGGCATTCATCTCTTTCTCAGCAGCCTAGTCAACTTGTTCGGAATCTCTGTTTTATGTCTTCCTATGGCGAACCATGTTTCACGGAAGACAGGGTAGGCAACCTTGACCCTTGATAATAACCGGGCTGTATTGCCCTTGTGGTCGTCAACAAGCCAGTCCCCGTCCACATCGTTTCATTCAAATCAGATATCTTCTGATGCGGTAGATTCTTTATGATTGATCATGATGGGGAGTATATAATTCATTGATGCACTATGTTTATCTTTGGAATACAGAAATAAGACTGAATTGACTGCGTCTTTGAAGCCGACGAACCGGTGGAGATGTACGGATTTGAGATATGGGTAGTGTTGAGGGTGTTGAGGTTGAAGAATCATGGTACGCTCGTCGCCCTCGGAAGACTGGATGCTACGCAAAGAAAAAGAAACAGGCAATGAAGAATAAAACACAGCTCGGTCAGGAAAAAAAGATATGATAAAAGCATTAGCGTCGGCGAGGGAAAAACTAGAAGCTAGCACAATGAAGTATACTTCAATCACGCACAATTGTGGTCCAACATACCCATACTGTTGAATAGCAGCTAAAGAAATAGCCGCAAGCATAATAGCAAGGAAGTGTCATGAAAGTCTATCAATTCCTCAGGTACTGCCTGGGCAAAAGCTATGTCTGTCGTGCGGGTATATCTATTCAGGGTACTCAACGAGATGCTCCAAGCGGCAAATCGCGGACAGCTCGCAATGCAACAAGGTATTAGAAAACAAAACAAAAAAAAACTGTGTAAAATACAAGAGAACCGCAAAAGTCTGTAAAGGCAACTCGCTCATGGAAGCGAAACCGTCCATCTCTTGGCCTGTCTGGTGACCGTCTTGCCCGCATTCATCAATCTGAACATCCTCCACCAACAACTCTTTATGTGTAAAACTCAACTCTGATTGAAATTGAGGCATCGAATTCAACGTCGATCGTTTGATAATGGGAAATGCAATAGTGCAGTGACTGAACGAGTCTTCGATTCTTTTCAAAATTCAACGTTCTTTGCGTTGGGGGCCAATCAATGATATTCCAGTCTTGTGGACATCTATTTGGCCTTGCTCTTAGAATTTTTTCCAGAGCCAGCAGTGGGGATCTTGCCCTTGCAGTAGAAATCAGAGCCAAAGCGTTCGACTTCCTTTGTGAGAGAGGAGTGGGTGCGCTTGGGGCGAGGACCGTCAGCACCAGGAATCGTTTGACCTTCGAACTGGGTATTGAAGTCTTTAACAAATGTCTTCCAGCCTTTCTGAGGCTTGCCGGCGGAGAGATTATTCAGAATCCAGCGGCGCTCTTCGGGAATGTATGCCTTGACAACTTCGCGGAAGCGGACTTCCGTGTTGCGGCGGATTTGTTGAACGGTGCGCTTGTTGAGGGCTGTGATGGCGTCCTGGTTGTTCCAGTCTTTGGGGGGAGGGTTTTTGAAGATGCGCTTTCTACCGTTCTTGTCGGTGAGCTTGACGACGAGCTTGGACTTCTGGTCTGAGAGGGTGCTATCAGGCATGCGCTCCCAACGGCCAGGGACGAATTGACTGAATTGGGGGCTTTTGGGGAAGGTAGAGCCCGGGTAGTTGATGTTGGTAGCCTCGGGACCCCAGACGACGTTCTTGTAGAGAGATGATTCGTCGGTGGTGGTGGCGGGCTCATCGTCGCTCATGTAGATATCGTCGCTAGCTTTTAAAGAAGCGGCGATGAGGACAGCGTCGGAGGCGTTGTTGGTGTCTACAATTCTTCCTTTGCGGTTCAGTGCTGGCTGCGTGATGGTGGTGGGAGTGGTAGTGGTGGTGGTGGTAGTGGCGGGCTTCTTCTTCTTGGGCGCGGGAGCCTCGTCTACTGTCGCCGTGCGCTTCCTCTTCTTGCCGGCGGCGGGAGCGGATGCTTTCTCCATCCTCTTCTTGATCTTTTCGGCCAGTTTCTCTGGCATGAACTCGACTTCCGAGTCCGTGTCGCTGTCGTCGACACACACTGTCTTGACGACAGGGACGCGTACCCTGCCAGGTACCAAGCTGACGCGGAGCTTCACGATGCAGGATTTCATCTTGATGGGAGGCTTTGGTACTTTGGGAGGCTTTGAGGGGGATGTGATGGTGTAGTAGGAGATGGAGAATATGCTGTGTTGAGGTGTTCGGAGGAAGAAGAAATCCGTACGGGAGAGGAGGAAGTATGTTTACATAACGGTAGATGACGTGTACGTGCTACGTGGTGCTCGCTAAAGATATTGTTATTGTTGAAAAAATTTTACAATAGGAAAGAGTGTAATCAAACAATATTATGTTCAAGACCGCAGGAACCTCAGCTATGAGCGAGATGGAGACGGTGGTTGGGTGACCGCGAATAACAATTACACCACCCAATTGCCTTGATCCAGGCCATTCATGAACTTTAAAATGTCTCTACTATTGTTTATTTACTGACAATAAACATTGAAAATGTCTTGGGTGTGGCGGGGTGAAGCCCATTGACATATAATATTGGCCGTGCACGACCGTCGACTGTCGACGTCATGCCTGCTGAACACACCGTCCGTGAGCGAATAGCAAACAATAGGAGAGAATTGCGGAAATTGGAGCTCATGAAGTAAAGAACTACATTGAGGGAACATACTCCGGCCTCAGAATTTGCAGTGGCTCACTTAGTCATGTCGAATCAGACTGATGCTATGGAAAATCGTTTGTACCCTATGTCAGAGACTGAAAAACACCAAGCTTACGGTTCTCAGTTTCCTAGAGAGAAATTGGGTTTTCCCTTGCTTTGCCATTGTGTGATGTATGCCTATCTAAGGCTTACTGGATGTACACTGATACCCATACTCCGCATCATCATCACAGTATACATACGACATTATCTCTGCAATACAACAGCAAGGCATCTACCCATCGACGTAGGCTCGTCCATGTCTCAACGAAACATCGATTTTCGTCTTTGGCAATACGACCCGCGCGTAGCGAATAAGTAACAAGACGAGACAAAGGGGAGTCAAGAGGGATATGTGATGCGAATGGACGGGAGTGGGCTACAAACGCATGGTAAACACAATGATATTTCACGGTCATACCCGGAGGGAGCTGAGTGTATACAAGACATCATGGCTTCTGGCGAGGGAACGAACAATTGGTGGACATAAATTCGAAATTTCCCCATAATTGGAGCCAAACGACGAAGAAAATTATGATAGCGGAGGCATAAATCGGAAGAGTATTTCTTCTTATTTATCTCCTCATTTAGTTCGAGATTTCTTTGTTTTCCCCAGTCAAGAACAAACGCTTTAAGCAAGCAGATGATGCAAATTAAAAATATATATATATATATATAGGTCTTCACTCTACTCATCGCCCATCCCAGTTGCCCACAACCCCCTCAGCCCACTCTCGTAACCGAAACTTCTGTACTTTTCCACTACCTGTCAATGGGATCTGTCCATCCCAGCCTTCGTTTCCTCCCTCCCAGAACACTAGCATCGGGGCTTTGTGCCGACCGAGGACTTTACGAACCCAAGACTTGACTTCTTCCAGACCAGGCTTCTCTTCGGCATCAGGAGAGAGCGACAAGAAAGCGATGGGAACTTCGACATAGCGCGGATGCGATATGCCGACAACAATGGCTCGAGTTATCGATGGATGCTCAATCAAGCGTTCTTCGATTTCCAAGGGATATATGTTCTCGCCACCTACCACACAAATAGTCAGTTCGGATCTACGGAGTTAACAAGAAAGGATAACAAACTCACCTCGGATGATGATGTCTTTGAACCGCCCCGTAATCGTACAGTACCCATCCACATCTAACACCGCTTCATCACCTGTCATCAACCACAGTTCACCCTTCTCATCCCTCACCATAACCTCCTTGGTTTTCTCTTCGTTCTCCCAATACCCACCGCAAACTTGATACCCCGCAACGCAGAGCTCGCCTCTCACGCCAATAGGTACAATACGGCCGTGTCGATCCACAATTTTGACGCGCGCGTGAGGCATAGCGGTCCCAACGGTAGTGAGACGCGCATGCATTGAATCGGTAGTATGCGCGTTGAAGATGGTAGGACTAGCTTCCGTCATGCCATAGCTAGACGTGAAATCCGACATGCCTAGCTCATTGACCATGCGCTCCATGAGCCAGCGCGGAACGGGGCTCCCAGCTACAATACCAGTGCGGAGCTGCGAGGTCCAATTCGAGGGTTTGGGGGTGTTGACGATGGCTTCCATCATTGCTGGGACGCTGTGAAGAGCTGTGCAGCGTTCGTCGTTGATGGCGGAGACAGTGGCTGCTGGATCGAAGGATTCAGAGGGGTAGACCACGCAGCTACCGTGGGTGAGGGCTGCGAGGAGTCCTAGAGTCAGACCGAAGCAGTGGAAAAGGGGTGGTGGGCAACAGAGGGTGTCGTTGACGGTAAGGAGCATGCGATCGCCGATGAAGCGAGAATTGTTGACGAGGTTGCTATTCGGAAAGATTGTTAGTTCATTTACAATTGATCATGCCTCTGGTGAATGAGATCTGAAGACGTACTGATGAGTGAGCATGGCGGCTTTGGGCCTGCCTGTGCTTCCGCTGGTGAATTGGAGGTTGGCTACATCATAGGGACTGATAACACTATCGAAAATGTCGAGTACATGTTCCGGTACCGAGTCTGCCTCTCTCAAAATATCGTCGTAGCGAATGAAACGATTGTCATCACCTCTGATCAGGCATACAGCCTTCAGGTTAGGTATAACCGACGATATTTGTTCATCTTTGAGCTTTTGTAGAAGTGGAGAATTGTCGAACCTTCCAATCCGTTGACTTGTGAACAGGAAGGTGCATCCTACACTAGTCAATGTTCGTTCTTCAGTCCAAGGAATATACAAAGTTAACTTACTAGTGTGATTCAAAGCGAACTCCATCTCTGTAGCCGTATACGTATTATTCAGTGTTACGCATATCGCACCGATTCGCGCACAAGCAAAGAAAACTGCGACGTATTTCTCACAGTTTCCACTCATGATACCAACCCTATCTCTTGGTCGCACGCCGTACTTTAACAATGCCCTTGCGAGCAGATTAGACTGCTCCCACAGCTGCTGATAGGTCCATCTTGCTTGTGTCCACGATATCACGAGACACTCATTCTGAGAATGCCTTTGGACTTGCTGTGCGAGCAATTGTGAGAGCGTGAGTTGGAGAAGGGGAGGATCCAAAGGCCCGGCAACTACAGAGAGATTTGGATAAGGCGGGAGTATGTAAGGATCGATTTGAAGAAGAGTTTGGTTGAGCCGTTGCAGGGCATCGTTTCTCCTGCTTTGGTCGTACAGCTCCGCCATCGTGGTGATATAGTTCACGATTCTAACTCTTTCTCTCTTATTTTTAGTTGGAAGACTGCTTTTACTGCGTGAATGAATTGCTTCGAAGAACCTGGCGTGTTATCAAAATATCAAAGAACCTCCCAATAATCCTCTAAACAAACAAGAATTTGGAAATAGATGATGCGAACAGACGCAGTACCGCACCGCACTACACATCCACAGTCCCCTCCAACTCAAACCACCTCACCCCAAACTTCAAACCACCAGCACAAAAATCCACTAACCAACCCGATCAAAACCCCCGTCCCTCCTCCGTCATACCGGCAAGCCATCATCCGCAGATGCCTCGGATCTGATAAAAAAAAACTGTTCTCCAGCCAATCCACCGTAAACGCGAAACCACCCCACGCTCATCATACGACCCAAATCCGCGCGTCGCATTCTACTCCGACACCGCTTGCTCCCCAATGCCCCATCACCCTACCACACACCACCGCCGCCAATCAATCAACTATTATGCGCGTATGCATTAATACACAAGGGCTAGCGACGTATATCTCGGTGGATCTATACGAGAGCACAGACTCCATCTGATAAGCCGTGCGGCCCTGACGACGCTACGCAGGGAAAATTTTTATCAGATGGAAAAAAAAAGAAGTGTACCCGACCTTGGCATGACCCTTTGAACCCCAATCCAATTCCACCTTCTCCATCTGATGAAGAGAAACAAAAGCCACACGCTCGCGTCGAAAGCTCCGGCTCAAGGGATCCTTGCCCATGCGCAAGAAAATTTTATCAGATGGAAATGACACAGCTCTTGGCCGTCTGTGCATTGGGAGGGACAACATGTGAGATGCCGCACAAGCCGAGAATAATCCCGCAATCGGTTGATCTGGCAATCTAATCAGATGAATTTTCTTTTCGCTGCTGCTCTCTCTCCGCTAGAGGTTTCGGGTGGGGCGGGATGAGTGCTCGATTAGAGTTATCTGATCCGTTCTTCTTTTCTGTGCTAAGGCGCCCGGCCCTGGTGCGTTGTGTATGGGGCGTGCATGCATGCGCGCTGTGACGTCTGAGTGTGTGTACTAGATCTGTCGGGTCGGGTGCAGGTCTTTATTGGCAGTGGCGTGATAAATTTTTTTTAGGCGGGCGGGCGGGATCATAATATGGAAGATTTGGTTGTTGTGTAATTTTTGAGGGGTGGTATATTATGGGGGAATGGGGTATTCTGGAGTTTGCCGAGAGCTGGAGAGAAGTTCGGGGAGGACTGAAGACATTGTGGTGCTTAGGGTTATCACAGGGTGTCAACCAGGCAGATGGGGGAGCAACATGGTGAATTTTGATGTGAATGTTGAAAGAAAGCTGATTGTTACCTCATGTTTTTCATCTTACTCTGCTATATACAATGAAAGAAAATGTTGGAAAACGATACTACAGCTTCGCTTTCGCAAGCGCATCTAAACTCGGCCTCACCTTCTCTTCTCCATCCCAAACAAAAGGGCTCAGTGCAAAGAACTTCTCTCGATTGACCATCATAAGTGCGCTACGCTTATGCGGCAGGTCAAGCAACTTCTCGACGTGGAATCCGTGGGCAAAATCGTAAGCAAGCACCGTGCTGCTTGTCGCCGCTGGCTCACCAACGAGGTTCCACGTGCGCGGCTCGTCAAGAAACATGTAGTGCATGAGACCAGACCACCAAGCCGAGACGCGATACGGACCTCTGAAGCGGATATCACCAACAAGAGAATGGCGACCGCGGTCGTAGGGGGAAGCCAGGTAGTGCGCACCCATGTGATCTTCCTATTGGAGCTGTTAGTGTGGAATTTCTTTGCTACTCGTAAGGAATAAAGGGGAAGGCAACGTACCATGGCCCAGTAAACCTCGAAGTAGGCGAACAAGATACCATCGAATGCAGCAAACATTGTAAGTACATGAGGATCCTCATGTAGCTTGCGGAGATACTCGCGGTGCTGTTCCAGCGTACCCGTTTCGTTCCATCCCGCAGCTACTCGGGGGTCGTTCTGCCACACATTGAAGAGTTTGAGATGCTCATCGTTCTTGTAATCTAACGCGACCATAGTGAAGTGCTCTTGTAAGTGGGGTATCCATCGACTGTAGATGATCGATCCGGGTGTCGGCTTTGGACGGCGAGTAGGATGCATGGTGTGGCGCGGGAGTGCTGGGAACTGAGTAGTGGGCGCATTTTGGAAAGGAAAGAGAGGAAATTCTGTGGTGATCGGTTTGTTCGAAACATCTAGGTGCGGTGCCCATACAGGACGAGCACCAAAAGGTGATGCTGCGCCTTGCCAGAAGGAACCCCGGAGTAGGAGATGACCATCATGTGGAGAAGATGCATCAGACCCCCGAGGATGAGCAGCGAATAGGCCAGTAGCGTAGAGCTCGGAGAGCAAAGAGCCTGCGTCCTTGCCATCAAAGAGGACGCGGAGCTGTTCAACAAGTGGATGCAACGACACCAAAGCATACGCTACCAGCCACAACTGTGGCACAGAAGGTCTTTCTAGATCCCATGAGATGGTGACAAAAGGTGATCTGCGTGTTCTGGCCCAAGAGCTGTTGTCGCCCTTTTGAGGAAGCGTGTCTTTGGGCAATATAGTGGCATCACTGAATGAGATGCTTTCATTGTGAAGTGCTACTGGCGGTAGTATTCCATTCGCATTCGCATGCGTCTCGGATAGCTTTACTCGGTAGCTTTTAGGCTGACCTGACGTAGAATCGCTCGCGACAGCATATGCTGTGAGATAAGGGTGTGGTAACTTCAAGATGAAAGCCTCTGTTACCGCTTTCCGGGGTTCGGGTTGTTGGGTCATTTCGTCTCAATTTTGGGTAGGAAACATGCGATTGACAATAACAAAAGCAAAATAATTAGAAAGAGAGTAGAGATTGGAGCGTAAGAGCCCTCTCGCTTGGATTTGGATGCCTTTCATTGACCCGAGGTCAATACTACCGGAGCTGAAGCTATACCTAGGAACAATAAGCTGGATTAGTAGAGTTTATGAAGATCGTAACAAAACCATTGAGATGCCGAATAATTGGCGCGGGCAGCTATCTCTTGTTAGCGAAGTATTACTCCGAGTGGTTCTGGCCCGTAGCGCCATGTGGGTATGATGCTACATCCAAGCCCAGAATCGAGCGGCAGTAGTATTGCACTAAAGAAGCAGGGATACCGCAGGAGTGTGGTGACGTTTCGGATGTCCAAGTCATCAGTTTTTTTTTTCTTCTTTTTTTTGAGTAGGTGGTAACTCCCGTACTCTCAAGCCAGTTCGACTGCAGTGTCACGCTGTCACACCACGAATGTTAATGGTCAAAGCTTTGTGAAAATAGCCCAAGCTCCGTGAAACCCGTCAGGGCTCTTAACTATACGGGAAAGGGTCCAAGATATCTCCTCCTACGAAGCAGCGTGTTCTACTACCTTCAACACGAACCTCAAAACTGAATTTTGTTGTCTCCATCCATCACCTTACTTCTCTACCCACTCTTACCACATCAATGTACGACCTCGTTTGTATAGGCTTCGGCCCAGCACAGCTGGCAACGGCCATTGCGAATCGTGAGGCCCGAAAGCCATGCAATGTGCTCTTCGTCGAACGCAAGGCTGAATTCTCGTGGCATAAGTCGCAATTGGCGCGAATGCGAATGGAGAATCCTTTCATCTACGATCTCGCAACCACACGCAATCCTCGATCCAGCTTCACCTTCACCAACTTCTTGCTCTCCAAGAACAGGCTAGTTGAGTTTGCGAACTCAGACCGACTCAACCCTCTTCGAATGGAGTTTGAAGAGTATCTTGTCTGGTGCGCACATCAATTCAACGAAGAAGTACGATATGGCAGCGAAGCGGTCCAGGTTTCAGCCGAAACAGTGGATGGCATGACGAGGCACTGGAATGTGATTGTCAAAGACGGCAAGGGCAATTCTTCCAGAATCCAAGCTAGAAACATCCTCGCTCCTTCACCTGCGGAAAAGCGCGAGCAAAAATCACAACCCCCATCTCTCTCGACAGTCGACTTTCTGGCCGGCCAGCGCATCATTTCTGTACACGACTATGCTTCCAGACGAAATGACATACGGGATAGGCGCGAAGTGCCACTTAATATCGCCCTGGTTGGTTCTGGGCAAGAGACGGTGGAAGTCCTTGACGACTTGCTATCATGTCCAAGGTTGGGAAACATCACATTAGTGTCTGAGAACGAATCGCTTGCTCCGCTCAAAGTTTTGAATGAAGGACCTGAAGCGCCACACCAAAAGCTGTGTTCAATCTGGGCCAAACCGTCATGGGAGCAGAAGACGAATATCTCGAGTTCATCAGAGCTGATCCAGCACATCTACGATCGAGCCTATGAGAGGATGGTAGCCACCAAGGGCAAGTATGGCCTACGTGTGGTTATAGGAAGAGACACAGCCGAGCCATGCTCTACGGCAGACGTCATCATTGCCGAGCAGGCTCTCAGGCAGCTTCCAGCAAGCGGACTGTTCAGCGAGATTGATTCGCTCGTGCTCGGTTGCCGGCAGAAAGGAGAGAGCCTGGAGGAAGTGCAATTCAAACGCGGCACTGTTAGCGATGGCTGCCGAATGTGGATGGTTGCTGCACACTCTGAGGGTGGTCGTTCATTGGCTAAGGATATTGCAGTGAGAGCGGGAGAGGTGGTGCATAGGCTGACGGCCACCTCAGCAGCAGAGTCGAAAGACGGAGGCCAAGCGCCAATGGGCATCGCCGCTAGGATCTAATGGATTGTGGTGTGATGGAATAGGGCGAGGCTGGCGCACCATCGATTCAATGAAAGGCTGCACGGATGATACAGGGTTGATGCATAGATGTTAGTAATCGAGCGTTGAAATTTTTTATCTGATGGCGCTAGGCTCGGATTGGACTCATTTCCGACATCGCCCCGAGACTTGATCCCTGGTCCGTCTTCTCTGTCGTGTGTCCTGCAGATGATCATCACAACTGTTCAAATCACCCTGTGCCAAGCCTCAATGAATTTGCGTCGATCCATCCGGCCTACCGGCCTCCTCCTGATGACCCCACTAAGCTTCTTCTACATTGGCGGCTTGGGTACCGAAGATGCCCTGGCAACATCAGCTTCATGCCTGCCCCTCTGGAGTCCTTCACGACGACAACTTGTCTAATCGAGTATCTTTGCGGTGTCGTTCCGATCCGCAAAGACCTTCTCAATGCCTATCAAGAAGCTCTCTATGCCGTCTCTGAGCCCTCTCCTCACTTTTTTCCGTCTTTTATTCTACGCCAACCCGACATGGCTGGATAGGATCCTCTTGTGCGTGGGAGCCATAGCATCAATCGCCGCCGGTGTACCCTTTCCGCTCATCGGAATCGTATTCGGTGAGCTTGTCGACGATTTCAACAGCGCATCATGTAACAACCATAACGACACTGCCAATACTGCCAATACTGCTGATACCGCGGAGCTACGTTCGTCTTTCAACAACAAAGTCCTGCTGCTCGTGTACATCGCTATCGCGACTTTTGTCCTCATTTACACCCATATTGTATGTTGGAACATTGCTTCGCAGCGCCTAGCCCAGCGCGTACGGGATCGCTACCTTAGAAGTCTACTGAGCCAAGACATTGCCTTCTTCGACAATGTCCAGGCAGGCGAGGTTTCTGCGCGTCTCAATGGTGACATCCAGGCCATTGAAACGGGGACCTCCGAGAAAGTCGGTGTCTTCTTGACATGTATGTCGTTTTGCATCACCGCCTATGTCATCGCCTTCATCAAAGTTCCTGCACTTGCTGGCATGCTCATCTCTTTGATCCCGGCTTTCCTTCTCATGGCTTTGGTGGGCGGTCATTACGTCTCCAAATATTCCACCCAGGTATCCGGATACTTTGCGAAGGCCAGCGCAATTGCTTCGGAGGGCCTCAACAACGTTGGTCTAGTACATGCTCTCGGTGCCAATGCACGGCTAGAGGAGAAGTTCAGTGGGTATCTGGGTGATTCAAGGAAAGAGGGAATCCGAAAGGCCGCGGCTGCAGCGGTTCAAGCTGGCCTACTATACTTCATCTCTTTTTCGGCCAACGCACTTGCCTATTGGCAAGGAAGCCGCAAGATTGCCGCCACTGTAGAGAATGGTGGGAACGGTACTACAGCAGGAGACCTATACACCGTCATATTCATTCTCGTTGATGGTACGTCAATTTCTCAACTTTACAAGCTGCGCAACTAACCACGATTTCAGCTGCCATTTTCCTCAGCACAGTCGCTCCCCTCCTGCCTCTGTTCGGTGGTGCTGTAGCTGCATTTGAAAGATTGCGCGTGGACATCGATCACCGTCCTACTATCGACGGCACATCAACTGCAGGAGAAAAACCGACCACTGTCAATGGAAGCGTCGAATTTAAGAACGTCTCTTTCACATACCCTTCCAGGCCAGATCACCCCGTTCTTCGAGATGTGTCTTTTACCTGTGAACCAGGCAAACTTACCGCAATCGTGGGCTTATCCGGCAGTGGAAAGTCTACTGTGGCATCTCTCATATCGCGATTCTACGACCCTGAAAGTGGCGTTGTTACACTGGACGGTCTCGATCTCACAAACTTGAATGTCAAGACATTGCGCGGTTTTCTCAGCCTCGTCCCGCAAGAGCCTTCTCTATTAGACCGATCGATACTGGAGAATATAGCTCTTGGATTGGTCAATTCTCCCGCTCACGCTCACTTGGAGAAAATTCTTCTTTCCAGTACTCTATCACAAGTGGCGGCAGACGTTCGAAATGGAGCAGACATTGATACCTGTGGAGCGAAGCTCGGGGATGAAGTTACTGAGATCCTTCGCTTGGTTCGAAGCGCGTCTGATCTTGCAGATGCTTCAGCTTTCATTGGGCGCCTTGAATGTGGACTCGCGACTTCTGTCGGCTCCAGTGGGACTTTGATTAGTGGAGGCCAGAAACAGCGCATTGCTTTAGCGCGAGCGTTGGTGCGCGATCCGAAGATTTTGATATTGGACGAAGCCACAGCTGCACTAGATTCCGCCAGTGAGCAGCGCATCCAAGCTGCTATTTCCAAAGCCTCCAAGGGACGTACTGTAGTCTCCATTGCTCACCGCCTATCCACGATCAGAACGGCGCATAAAATCATAGTAATGAAGACCGGATCCGTCTTGGAACAAGGAAACCATGAGGAGCTGATGAATTTGGACGGGTCATATGCTGATTTCATCCGCTTACAATCTGTCAAATCCACCGACGAAACCGCAACAACGCAAAAGCCTGGCGAAGACGACATCGATGCGGTACCGCAATCTGGAGGCGCGGCCATTCCTGAACCAACCGGAGAAGGTGCTTCTGCTCCACCCAAAGAGGAGTCTCAAGCAGACCAGGATATCATGGGGAAGTCCATCTCAAAAACTATGTTCCCCTTCATACGCCCTTATCTTTTCCACCTCATTGTCGCCTTTTGTGCTGCGACTATCGTCGGAGGCACTTTTCCAGCATCTGGTACAATATTTGGAAACACGCTAGGAAGTTTCTCGCCTTGTAATCCCGCCGACTACATCCGTAGTCGAGGAATGCTCTTCTCTGGGCTTTTCTTCATGCTTGCTTGCGTTGAGTTCTTGGCCAATTTTACCAATTGGGCAGTGTTTGGATACATATCTGAGCGACTGCTATTCAAAGTTCGGGTTGGCTCACTGAGGTCTTTATTAAGCCAGCCACTGCAGTGGCATGAATCGAACGGACGCAGCCCAACACAACTTCTCGATTATATAACCAAAGACGGCAATGCACTAGCTGGTTTTAGCGGGTCTATCGTTGGCACAGCATTCTCTGTCATCATCAACTTCGTTGCAGCTGTCATCTTGTCCCTTGCCATTGCTTGGAGGATCGCGCTTGTTCTTCTTGCCATCGTACCATTCTTACTTGCAGCAGGATTCATGCAGCTGCGATCCATTTCTCGCTTTGCAGAGAAACACGCCGGTGCATTTTCGTCGTCGATAGGCATCACCGTCGAGGCTGTATCAAATATCCGCACAGTAGCAGCATTGTCACTGGAAGACGAGATACTGCAGACCTACCGCAGGTCCTTGGCGGCACCGCGTAAGGAGATGGTAATCCAAAGCATCAAAACCAATGTCTGGCTCGCAGTCGCTGCTTCGATGGGCAACATTCTATATGCTTTCGCCCATTGGTGGGGCTCAACCAACGTACTGGAAGGAAGATACTCTCAAACCCAATATTTCATCATTCTTATTGCCTTGCTGGTGTCTGCACAACTTTGGGGTCAGCTGTTCACGCTTGCTCCTGAAATATCACGGGCCAAGGCTGCGATCTCTAGAGTTGTTGGCGTTCTTGAAATGCAGAAAAATACTACCAACAACTCGTCCTCGGGGAAATCAACACCGGATATTGACGACTGTGACTACGAGAAGAAGGATGTCGAGTCATACGCGAATTCGTCGCCGCCTCTCAATTTTTCAGGCGGGGCGGCTGTGGAGTTCCGGGATGTCGCTTTCTCGTATCCTGCCCGGCCCAATGTGCAGGTCGTCAAGTCTCTTTCGTTGTCCATCCGGTCCGGTCAATTCTGTGCTCTTGTCGGTCCCTCAGGCGCTGGTAAGAGTACCGTTTTGGCTCTCCTAGAGCGATTCTACAGCCCTTCTTCGGGGAGCATTACCATCGATGGCTTGGACATTTCTCGGCTCAACAGCACGTCTTTCAGAGACGAGATCGCATACGTGCCGCAGGACAATGTCTTGTTCCAGGGCACCATCAAGTTCAATCTTTCTCTAGGTGCCAGGCCGGGCTACACACCTACCGACGATGAGATCCATGAAGCATGCAAGCTAGCCAACATTCACGAAACAATTATGGGTCTTCCACAAGGCTACGATACCGAATGTGGGTCGAACGGCTCACGACTTTCTGGTGGTCAGCGACAGCGTCTGTCAATTGCTCGCGCGTTGGTCCGAAAACCAAGATTGCTTCTTCTCGATGAGAGCACAAGCGCACTTGACGCAGAAAGCGAGAAAGCTCTAGAGCTAGGCCTTGATCGGGCCGTCAAAGGAAACGGGGTGACTGTGATCGCCATCGCCCATCGCTTGAGGACTATTGCCAGAGCCGATGTAATCTTCCTTGTTGAAGGGGGTGAAGTGGTGGATCAAGGACGTCACGAAGAGCTCGTGGAACGGAGCGAAAGCTACCGTGTGAACGCCCTGCACCAGATGATTGCATAGATTTTGTAAAATAGATAGACAATTGTGTTTGTATTCGTACTTGCATAGCGTGGCATCTCCTATCCAGCATTCCCAATATACATGGAAAGCCTGTAATAATAGACCATATATCTGATTTGTACTACATCTTCCCAAGGCGCATCTACTCTAACTCCACCGCCTTAGGCAACCCATTTTCCACCCCCTCCGGAACCCAAACCATCGCCACAACCTCCGCCTCCTCCTCTCCTTCCAACTCATCCGGTAAAACTCCTTTCTCCCGCTTCACCACACCCCCCTTAACCCTCCGGAACCCTAACCCCTCGTACAACCCCCTCCCCACCTTGGTCGCCTCCAGATAAACAGGCAGGCCCGCCTGTCTCGCAACCCGCATTGCCTCCGCCATCAACAACTTGCCCACACCCTTTCTCTGGAAGCCCGGATGCACGGCCATGACGTGAACGTATACATAGCGCTCGTTTTTCCAGAGGCGCTCGCGCAGATTCCAAAGAGGCGAAAGCAGGGTCAACGCGCGGGTGTGGTGGGGTTCGGCGAGCCAGGGGAGAGAGGTCGGAGGAGTCCAGTCCGAGGGTGTAGTGTAGATGTCTAAAAGAGCCATGCCGATTGTGGTGGATGTTGTTGGCGTGGGGGTGGTGGTACATTTTAGGGTGTATTGCGTCGAGGACGTGTGCCAGTATGAGAGGGTGTGGGTGGTGTGTGATTTGCTGTTGGGAAGAGGTGGGTTAGCTTGGTGGTTGGAGATGGGAAGGAGTTTGGTGGTTCTTACCGGAATTCGGATTCTGGGTTTGTCATGTCTTCTGGCTTTGTGTCTGGGAAGAGGGCGCGGGTGATGGGGTCTTGCGCGAACGCCGCGAAGTAGGCGTTGTAGACATTGGTGATGTCTGGGATCAGGGCGGGGAGAACTGTGAAAGACATGATTGTTGAGGTGGGTGGTTTTTCAATTGTTTGGCTGTTTGGGGCGTGTTGCTGCGAGTAAAGAGAACAGGAATATCCTCTAATGTTTTGGATGTCTCTGTGTTTTCGGGAGTGGTGAACTTCTTGATGTTTTGGGGTGGAGCCAGAGACTGTTAGTTCGTCACTTGGATAATTGGGGCTTTGCTTGCAACTGATCAATCTACTGTGCACCATGTGTCAATTCTCAGCATAAAACATGTTCAGTCCACCCACACATGCCCCGTAGTTGCGCCTTGACGTTTGACACGACAATATCACAAATATCTGTTCCTGTCGCCGAGGAACGGAACCGAAGCAGAATTTCTGGCAGAAAAAAAAAAGCCATGACGCCTCATCAAACCCCCGCCGATCCCTTTTCGATGATATGCGCCGTGCATGCATGACAACCATGTTCCATGCGGAGTCCCCACAATACCAATGAGTTGACGCACCCCTTGCTGGCTAAGAAGACTAGCAAGCCGTGGTTTACTCCGAGAACCGGCGTGCTTCGGACTCGGTTTATCAGATGGAATGATCTCAGGGTCGCAAGATGTCGTGATCGCAACTTTGTCCTTGTGGATACTCGTTTCTGTTGATGCGTCACACTACATTAGAGCGACCGAGATGAGCCAGTATGCCAGTTTTGGACTCGTCATTATTCATGGACACGGGGAAGAGTGAAAGTCATACGCGGACGGGACATTGATTGCCTTCTGGTGCATATTACTGTGCAAATGAAGGCATTGAACGATTTGACTTTTTTTTAGAAAGAATGAGAACTGGGGTAGAAAGGAAAAAGTTTTTCCATTGTACAGAACAGGGGCGAAGAGATCAAGGGTGTTGACATCAAAAGTTGTCGCCTTAAAGTTATCAGATGCAGCTAACGCGCTAGCACAACACTAATGCTTATCAGATCCGCTTTTGACTGGGTACATCTCAATCTACCGGCGCTTGGCGGGCGCTTTCATGTGCCGATGCGATTTTTTGTACCAACAATTCTTTTCGTTACAAACTGATCCAGTGTATCAGTATGCATCACAATCAGATGGACCGAGGAATTCAGTGGGCCGGCCATTCTCCATCACGCCTAGCCAGCCCCTTCCCCTGCGATGACCACCTGCATGCAGCGTTCATCATGCCCGTCCTTGCTTCAAACACGTTCGCGTAGACCGACCGGCGCATCTTTGCCAATCTAGACGGCGTTGCAGCCGAGGTGCGCCATATGACGCTGAAGGCTTGCTCAGCCTGATTCGTTGTGATCACTCAAACGTCTCCGCTCGCTAGAAGAAAGAATGACACTTGGTATGAAAGAATGTAGGGGTGAGGAGGTGGGGAAAGTCGGGCCTATATTGGTCGATTTCGATCTGATAACCGGCTGATATGAGTTAGATGGCTTTGCTTCCTAGTAGAGGCTAGTCTTTCTTCTTGGGAGATCATTGGGGTTGAAGTCTCTATACTCCTTATCTTTCGAAAGATCGTCCGAAAAGAAGCTGCTCATATCGTGTCTGAGTAAGCAAGCAACTGTGCAGCGAGAGAGCATACTGCAAAGAAAGAAAGGAAGGAAGGAAGACAGGAAGATGCATCTGCGAAAGAGTGACGAGGTTTTGAGAGGTGGTGCCATTGGCACTTCTGATCAACAACTTCATGGAAGAGATGCACCAAAATCGCCATTCTCAAACTCAGCAACGGAACTCTTTGATTCCTTCGAGATGTCTGTCAATGAACCAGATTTGGAGTCGATTCTGGATATCTTGATAACAAGCTGGGTACTGTTAGTTCAACGGTATCAACGAGATTCATTCAATTGTGTCACTTGGGGTACCAAAAGTGTAGAGACCCAGACTTCTCAATGCATCACAGCTGCAGAAATGGGTCTCGGAAGCTTTGCTACTAGCACGAATTTGCTGGCCACAATTCGAAGCCTCCGGCTGACAAGTCCATCCGGAAACTCAGGAGAACTTACCGAGTTCTTTTTTCTCGATGGATCGGCAGACGAGGTAGGAACAAACCCCGTATTTCTATGTACTCAATACTGAATCATTTCACCAGTGGTCATTCCAAGTTGAAATCAAATGCCAGCAAGGCAAGCTATGGGTGAAGTCCCAGTGGCAACCTCCTACAATGTCACAGTATCAAGCCTCCGCACAGTTGTGCTTCTTCAAGAGAACTCTTGACAGCATGTTCACTAAGAGCGACATTGATATCTCAAATTTCAATCAGATATCAGAAGACGAGCTGGATACGATATGGAATTGGGGCACACCTCTCCCTCCGGCGCTCAACACATGCATGCACGATCTCATCTCCGAAAAAGCAGCATTGCATCCAGAGAAGTCTGCGGTAGAGGCTTGGGACGGTAATTTGACTTACGCGGAGGTGGATAAGTATTCCACTGAGTTGGCGCAAACTCTACTGCTGCTTGACGATTCCCCCGACCAAATCATACCAGTGCTGTTCGAGAAGTCACGCTGGACCGTAGTAGCTGTTCTCGCGATCATGAAAGCGGGAGCTTGTTTTGCGCTACTTGATCCAGCACAACCAGAGGGTCGCCTGCGTGCCATCACCCAGCAAATCAATGCGACTATGCTCATTTCTTCTAAGACGCAAACATCATTAGGGGCGCGCATAGCATCGGGCGCCGCTATAATCCCAGTATCAGAGTCGAAGTTTTCCAAAGTGTACAGTCCTATGGCAGAAGATCAGCCAAAAACTAGTCTTCCGAGAGTCTCGCCTTCGTTACCCTTATACATCCAATTCACATCCGGATCGACTGGATTACCCAAAGGTTGCATAATAACCCATTGCCAGTATACTTCCGGGGCGATGCCTCGGGCTTACTGCGTCGGATATAAAGCGCATTCTCGCGTACTGGATTTCGCTAGTTATGCATTTGATGTTTGCATCGACTCTATGCTTTGCACGTTATCGCATGGCGCAACTTTGTGCACATTATCCGAGGAGCGTCGGATGAATGACCTCAGTGGTGCCATGCGAGATATGCACGTTACACTGGCTGGGATGACTCCTTCTGTCGCACGTACTCTTGATCCAGACATTTTACCGCAACTGGAATCTCTCGCAGTCGGGGGGGAAGGTATCTCTGCTAGCGATGCAACAGCATGGCAACAACACACTACGGTTGTAAACTGCTATGGGCCATCTGAATGCACTGTAGGAGCAACGTATAACAACCAAGTGGGAGAAAAACCTTATATCAGTATGGGAAGGGGGAAAGGCTGCATAGTCTGGGTAGTAGATCCTACAGACCATAACAAACTTGTCCCGCCCGGTGCGGTTGGTGAGCTTATTATCGAGGGTCCTTTGGTGGGGAATGGGTACCTGAATAATCCAGCCAAAACAAAAGAAGTCTTCATTGAAGACCCTAGGTTTCTTACTGCAGGCAGCAAGAAGTTTACTGGACGACATGGTCGGGTTTATAAAACAGGCGATTTGGTACGATACGATCCAGACGGTACTGGCGAAGTAATCTTTGTTGGGCGCCAGGATCAACAAGTCAAACTTCGAGGACAGCGCATTGAACTCGCAGAGATCGAATACAACATGCAGAAACATCTATCCCTAGATGCGCAATTAGCCGTGGAAGTCATCAAGCCGGGCGGTACAGGAGAGCCTACACTAGTCGCATTTCTAGTTGAACAAAAGAAAGAGAAGAAAGGCAACGGCATGCGACACCTGGATGGAGACGTATTTGCTGCCTTCTCCTCCGCCTTTCAAAAATCCTTGGCGGAGATGATTAAAAAGCTTCATGAGGTGCTGCCAGTTTATATGGTGCCGAGTGCCTTCATTCCACTGTGGAAAATGCCACTGCTCGTATCGTGCAAGACAGACCGCAAGAGATTACGAGAAATCGGAACCTCGATCACCCGATTGGATCTAAGGAGATTCAGTGCAGCCATGAGCGAGAAATCGACACCGACAACTGAAATGGAGATACAGCTCGGTAAACTTTGGGCAAAAGTCCTCGGAGGTGATGCCGACTTTAGCGCGAACGACAACTTCTTCAGTATGGGTGGTGACTCTTTAAGAGCTATGAAGCTAGTTGCAGCGGCACGAGAAGATGGTGTTCAAATATCGGTTCCGGACATCATGCTAAACTCGTCGCTATCGGGCATGGCTTCCAAAGCTAAAAAGCTAGACGAAAGAGAGTCTAACGATATCGCCCCATTCTCACTGCTACCGCGAGACTGGGAGATCGGTCTTGTTACCAAAGAGGTTGCAGATCTTTGTGAAATCAGAGAGAGTGAAGTGGAGGATGTCTACCCATGCACACCTCTCCAAGAAGGATTAATGGCTCTTTCCGCGAAATTTGCCGACGCATATGTTGCTCAACGCATGGTTGAACTTCCTATATCTGACGCGGAGAAAGTATATCAATCCTTCGAAAAGGCCGCAGCAGAGTCCTCTATCCTACGCACAAGAATTGTCAATATATCTGGTCGCGGTCTCTACCAAGTGGTTCTTAGAAACGGAGAACTTGCTCGTGATCACGGCACAGACGTCGCACAGTACCTAGTAGTTGACCGCAAGGAACCTATGGAACTTGGGAAAGCACTGTTCAGATATGGTATTATCCGTGACTCCGAAAATGGCACGGCTCATATCGCCATCACCATGCATCATGCAGTCTACGACGGCTGGTCCATGCCTTTGACTCTCGAGAGAGTAAATCGCGCTTTCAACAATCTGGAAATGCCGCCTACAACATCTTTCAAACGCTTCATACAGTATCTTACTCAACTAGACCCCTCTGTGTCACAAGAGTACTGGCGCAAACAACTTGAGGATGTAACGCCCCACCAGTTCCCACCGCTACCGTACAAGGGCTACATTACTCAAGCAGACTCTCTTCTAGAGCATTACGTGACTGTTCCCACCACGGCCCATTCTCGTCTTACTCTTGCCACCATTATTCGTGGCGCTTGGGCGCTCGTGTCTAGCTTGTATCTTGGCCATAACAACGTTGTCTTCGGCGAGACTTTGACTGGCCGTTCGGCTTCTGTCCCGGGTATTGAACAAATCGAAGGCCCTATGATCACGACTGTTCCCATTCACGTCCGCCTGAACATGAGTCGACCAATTTCCGAGTTTTTGCATTCGATTCACGGTCAAACAGTAAATCAGATCCCACACGAACATCTCGGCTTACAAAACATCCGTCGATTGAGCAAGTCTGCACGCATCGCCTGTGACCTTCGTACTGGTTTGGTACTCCACCCTAAGGAGGATGAGATTGCGGACACCGCATTGGCGCACCACGACAAGCCTGCGAATCGTTTCTTACCAACAGATGATGCTGAGGCGGCAAGGGAAGCGCTCAAGTTCAACACATACGCTCTGATGCTAGTATGCACGCTGGATGAAAATGGCTTTCTCATAATGGCGAGTTTCGATTCCAAATGCATCGCGAGCTCGGTTATGGAGAAAGTACTTAAGGTGCTGGATCGCATTGTCACTGCTTTCCTCGGAAATCCGGAGAGTAAGCTGGGCGATCTCGCCGTGTTAGATGAAAACGAACTAGAAGATGCTCTCGCCATGCGACCCAAGGACGCGATGGTGGACAGTCTAGAGCCTTTGCAGGACGGCAAAGATGAGTTGTCACTGGAGCTAGCCCAGGGTTCAACTCAAGATGTCACGCCAAATGAGAAGATCTTGCTTGGATTGCTTTCCAGGATTCTAAGTATTCCAGAGCAGGATATCAAGACAAGCGATGGATTTTTTGAGCTTGGGGGCGATTCTATCAGCGCCATGCGCCTCGTCTCTGAGGCTAAAGCTTCTGGCCTCAATATCAGTGTGGCTCAGATCTTCCAAAGTTCATCGATCTCTGCGCTTGCTGCTAAGATAGTCAACGAGAAAGAAGAAAAGCTCATCGCCCTGTTAAGTCGAGTGCTAAATCTCGAAAAAGGCGATATCATTCCAACGGATGGCTTCTTTGAGCTTGGCGGCGACTCAATCGGTGCTATGAGAGTTGTTTCCGAAGCAAAGTCTCTTGGTCTCAATCTTTCAGTAGCACAGATCTTCCAGGCCACGTCGATCATTGAACTCGCTGCGATGGCTGGGGAGCTTACTTCGACAGAGGGCAGTGTTAACAGCGATAAAGTCACACCCTTCTCTACTCTGGCTACCGATAATGAAATCTTTGGTACCGACCGCATTCAGAATCTTCTGGAGGATTCAACTTGGGAGATTGCCGACATTTATCCTGTCCGACCGCTACAAAAACTCGCTGTCGACGGGACAGTCGATCTTCCACGATACTCACTACGGTATGAACTAATCGCTTTTACTGCTGGAATTGACAAGAAACGACTTGAGACCGCCTGTCAGGAAGTTGTTGGCAAAAACGAAATTCTTCGGACCGTCTTTGTTCAAGAAGAAGAAAAGTGTTTAGGCGTCGTCGTTCGCTCAATGACAATCCCCTTCTCCGAAATCTCTATCCCCAACGACACCGATACCAACGCCTTCATCCAAGACTGGATCAGAGATGACATCAATGCGCCCAAGCCCTATGGCTCGTCCTTCGTCAGTTTCACGCTCTTCACAACATCCTCCGGACCCTCCACCCTCGCTTTCCGCATCTCCCATGCCCAATACGACGAGATGTGTCTCCCACTCGTCTTCCACCAACTCGCCGCTCTCTACGCAAACACCGCCCTTCCGCCCACCATCCCCTTCACCAAACACGTCAACCACGTCGCACACAATAACACGCCTCTCGCGCTCCCATACTGGCGCAATCTTCTTCAAAACTCCAAAATGAGCATTTACAAACCCGCGCTCCCCCTCACAAACCGCACGTCCGCCTCTCTCTACCGCGAGTTCGATATCTCTGCCCGTCCAACCGGCATAACCATCGGCACACTTCCCACAGCAGCATGGGCGGTCGTACTCGCAAGACGTCTTGGCATTCCCGACGTCGTGTTCGGGGAAGTGGTTACGGGACGTAACCTCGGGATCCCAGAAGCTCATCGCATTATGGGGCCTACATGGCAATATGCGCCCTTCCGCGTCCCCTTCGAGAAATCATGGACGTACATGGATCTCCTTGCGTTCGTGCAACGACAGCACGTTGAAAGCGCGGCATTCGAAGGAATGGGACTTAGCGAGATCGTGAAAGAGTGCGTTTCGGAGTGGGAGGGCGATGGCGTGGAATGGTTCGATAGCGTTGTCCACCAGGCTCCCAGGGAGTGGGTTGATGAGTTGGCATTCGGGGCTAACGATGGGGTCAAGGCCAAATTTGAGACGGTGTATCCGCATGCGGAGCCTTTGAGGGAGTGGAAAGTACAGGCTTTTGTGTTGGAAGATGGGAAAAAGCTGGGTGTTGAGATTGTGACGTTTGAGAGTTGGAAAGGGGTTGGGGAGGAAATTTTGGGGGAGATTGGGGAAGTTTTGGGAGGGTTTTGTGGAGGAAATGTCAAGGAAAACGTTGCGATTTGAAGTAAGTACTAGTATCTGGATCCATGATCGTTAAGAAATTGATGAGATGAAGTGGTGGGAGGTTAAGTTGTTTCTAGTCTTGTCCTGGATGGCTCTTTCATTGTTTTCCATGTTTGTAATTCCAACTTACTATTACTTTTTCTTACAATTGCACCTCTCCTCACCCACATTTAGTGATGGTATACTGGATCGAGCATCGTGATGATCCCTAACTCTTGTTTTCAATTTACGTACTTGTGTGCGACAATGTGATTCCTCCATCATACTCTGCACATGTGATGTAGCATCTTGTGAATATGAGCACGAAATCAGTATGACTGTCACGCTCACCTATCGAAGTGATTTTCCAACATCAGATCTTGACATCAAACACAGCATGATCTTTCTTTCATTGAGTAAATAAGCGCGACCAAACGACTTTCAGAACACATGACCCACACATGAAACGATTTCTGCAGGTCACATGCGCTTCAAACGACAATCAAGCAAGTTTCGGTTCCGCAGACTCTTTACAGCCAAGCAAGCTTTTGGATTTTCGCTTTGAAAGACGATCGACGACAAATACAGGGACATTGAAGTATAAGAGAGGAAGTGTAACCAGAGGTATTCGGCCACCAATTATCGGAAACTTCCTTCAGAAAGGCTACTCAAGAAATCCAAGCTTTATCTGATAGATATTGTTATCATGGGAAGAACTAAAAGTAGAGCTGTGAGCGTGACCGGGAAGGGAAAACAGAGGCAGAAGCAGGAGGAGGAGGATGAGCTGAAGAAGAGAAGAAGTGCAAGGGTAGTGCGCGGGAGCGAAGATGAAACGGACGATAAAGATAAAATAGGGGAGATACGGAAAGATAAAGAGAAAGAAGAAAAAGGAGAGAAAAAACAGAAACCGAACCAGAGAGTACCCGGATGTGGTGTTTACAGTCCAAATCGACTTCGCAAGGAGATGCCCACTTTCTTCGTGGAAAACTACCTTGATCAGTTCACGAAGTGCGCACCATCAGAGCGAGATGTCTGGAAATATATGCATCTCGTAATCATGTGGAGAACCAACAATCATTGGCCAAAGCAAAAACCAAATGTTGCGGGGTTGGTGGAGTTACTGGAACGTTGTGAGGACTTGCAAGACCTGCATGATCGTTACGTGGAGGGTGAAAAGAGCGACAATGAGGCTAAAGGCAGGAAGAGTCAACCATTACCTACTTTCGAGGAGTTGAAAAAGCGAAATAGCAACGATACAGACAATAAAGATGGGGAATTCGTGGGCCGGGGTTCTCGGGGTGCTCAGGCTCATGCGGACGCAGAAGCAGGGGAGTCATCGAATACTAGCGAGGATGAGGAAATTGAGGTAAACAACGAGAGGGTATTGAACAGGGGTGTGGTATATTATAACAGTAGAGGAATTCCACCTCAAGCACCCGGTCCGTCAGGTATGAGAAACTGTCACAGTGGATTACTCCCTATCCAAATTATTTTCAAAGATCATCATACTGACCGCCAAACACAGAATTCACTCCCATCAACAGAGCAAGAGGCTCTAGATCTCGTGCAAGAAAGGCAGATACATCCAGTGATCCATTGGTATGTTCCTCGGACTCCCGTTACAGGAAAGAACTCAACGAACTTCTAGGAAACCGGGTTTTCCCAGTAGCCGTAGCTGATCTTCGTGAGAAGTGGAAAGATGGTCAAAAAACAAAGGGCGGACTCGTGTCTATTGAAGGAGAGTGTAGCGTGCTAACCTTTTGTCCGTTTCGAATCGACGATCCCGAATCTTTGCATATCATTGAAGAGGCGGTGCTGGACAACGAAAATCTCAGAGATGTCAACATAGACGTTAGACCTCTGAAGGACGAGAGAGATGTGTACACAGGTTTTCTAGCGAGAAGGAAATGATGTTGTGCAGGGAGTCAACTAGAGGGAGGGCGTTTGGTGTTTTGGTGAAGCTTCGAAACGGCGAGATACAGTCTGTATTTGTGCATCTCCAAAAATTCTGGATAGATAAATATCTTTAGGAATCTGATCCCGTTATGAGGAAGCAAAGAATTTCACAGCACGTTCTTTTCCAATGGCATGTAAATGCGTAGATCTGCGTCGAGCATACCTCGTGATTTCTATTCATTATGCTTGACAGTAGCACACTAATTGCGATATAGACACTTAGACTTCCATGAATCGTCTAGAAGTGTTAAGCGAAAATACCTCATGTGTCGTCACGCATCCATGCATTTATGAAATAAATCCCACGTGGCCATTGAGAGTGTGTGAGTGAGTCAAGTGCACTGATATTATTTCTTGCCGTATGCTATTTGCTGACAAGCAAGCCTTGTGATCCATTCATTGTCTTTTCTGCAGCTGCTTATGAGACATCGGAAACCGCGAAGTATAATAAAGGAATGTGTAATCATGGGAATACAGCCGTCAGTTGCTGACACTATCATTCCCTGCATCACCACATCGCAACTACCACTTAACATATCTCCCATCATGGGTTTGTCAAATGATGAGAGTCCCTCCCCCTCCAAACAGGAATATGAAAAGCAAAAGCAATTAATGTGGAAAGTGTTCAATGAAAGATTCTACGAAAGATTCGAAAAGCACTTCACTTACGATGATCTGTACAAATACATGAACTACTCAGTCAAGTACAAGAAAAACCATGTGAATGGAAATGAAACGGCAAGGGCGAAGAAGCAGCGTCCAAATGTCGATAGTCTGGCTACCCTCTTGAAACCCATGTCGAAGATTGCGAAAGACTTGCATGACGAATACATGAAAGTTCTTCAAGCAAGAAAGATTGCAGCGCCACCTGAATGCAGAGAATTGATGAAGAGAGGAAACATTGACATCGTTGAAGGAAGGTCTAGCGAAACGAATGGTGCGGATGGATCAGATGGGGGAGCCGATTCTGGTACTGTGGATGAAGATAATGGATATACAGCAGAGCTAGATGGGGATGCGGAGTTGCAAGATAGAGATAAAGAGTATGAGGAGCCTCAGCGTCATACCCGAGCTACATCAACTTTGGATCCACTGATCCAATGTATGTATCCCTATCCTCTTAGCTTCTCCTCCAGTATCAGCGAACTAACAAAAAAACAGTCAACTGCGCAGTCACTGTAAGGGGAGGTCATCACGAGAATGAACAACGCCATGTAACTTCGATCCCGGAGCATCGATTGGGCCAACTCCTCCGTGCAAATAACCTCTTGTTAGTCCCAAACAGTTTCCAGGAGTATTACGACGGTGGCGAGGACAAACATAGACTTATTAAGGCGAAAGTCGCTGTCACTACGCATCATGATTTTTACATCACGGACAATGATTCCTTGTGTATTTGGGACGCTGGAGAACTAGATAATGTGAGCTTGAAGGTGCACTGTGTGGTGAGGGAGGAGCATATTGTGATGCATATGGGTGTTTTGGTGAAGGAAGAGCGAGAGGAAGAGCGAGAGGAAGAGCGAGAGGAAGAGCGAGAGGAAGAGCGAGAGGAAGAGCGAGAGGAAGGGGAAGAGGAGGAGTAAGAATACGTGAGTTGAAGTGGAACATTGTGGGAGGAGGGAGGTGGAAGCAAACCAAATATTGCACAGTGGGCAACAATTCCACATAGGTCACTCACACCAACTGGAAAACTCTCATGCATTTTGCGAGTGATCTATGTAGCTAGCAAGCATTGATACGAGGTATGAATAGATGACATCTCTTTGAAGCAATGTGGTCATTGAATCGCGTCTTCCAATAATTTCATATCAACAATTCTCCAATTGAAGAGATGTCGTGACTTGCGCAGATATGTGATGCAAAAAGCATGACTATGTACAAGCCCACGAATACAGCTAACGAATTTCAGCAAGTAGACGAAGGTTGCGGCGAAGAACCGTTGGGTGATGGGGGATTGTAAAGATAAATCGATTGAAGGGATACGCATAGGCGCCTGGGTTTCACATTGATTGACCAACCTCATTGTGAGCTCATGACAAAACGCTCCGCCACCTGCCAGGGGATTGGGGGCGATTTTATCAACCAAGTCGCTCTCGATTCATGCTTTCAGTAGGTAGCACGTAAGAATTTCTCCAGTCCATGTTGCGGTCATTATGCTGTTTGAAATCAATCCGACTCTTATCTCTCGTACACATGCCTACATAGGGAGTATGCGCTGTAATCGGTGCTGTTGGAGTGTTTGAGTTGCGCCGACGGGTATTCGCTTTGGCAAAAGACGATTGATCAGTAATTACATGGACATCCATCCCATGCCCTTGATTGAGCCAAAGGATTCTGAGGTGAGACCTTATCGTTGTCAGTATTGAGTTAGGCGCGTAAACTGTCGCGGAACATACGTCACCATTCACGTGCGTTCGTGCTTGTGCATGTCCACGATAGCGTGAGTTATTCGCGCCCAGAGCCCTTACAGAGTGAACGACTCCTCTTCATCAGGCTTTCACCCATGATTCAAGAGACGTTGTGATCTTTGGATGTGCAAAGTCCAGACCGATGATTCAGCAAGATCTTGGCGATGTCGGGAACTGCTCCGCGCGTCAAGCTGTTAGTGCCACACCGTCATCATCACCCCGCAATTCACTATACAGCTACCCGTCCACCGTCGTAGGTCATCATCGCACGTGCCAATCCCCCCAAGACCCTTCCAAGAAACACTGCCTCGCACGCCAATACCTCTACTTCATTAGGACCCCCAAGCGTTTATCTTTTTGCTTTCGCATCCTCTTTTTTGCATCCGCGGGAATTTCTTCGTTTAATCATGGCGTCATACTTCGATGTTGCGCCTGCCAAAGCCGCACCGGCGGCTGATACTCTCGGTGCAGGAGATCGGGCTGCGATCGGGGATATGGGGCTGCTCAGTCCTCAGGTCGAGCGAATACTGGAGGCTATGGAGCTAGGTGAAGCGTCGAGTAGTTCGGACGAGGGTGAGGATGACGACGACGACGACAAGAAGAAAGCTAGCCTATCGGAACCGTCAGCATCTAACGCCACGAACCATCACCACAAACCAGATACGGTAGCACCACGCCAACCCAACGGCTCTTTGCCCCCCAAGGCACGCGCGTCACTACTATCTAACAAAAATCATACTAAACACCTGGGTGTCCCGGGACCGGGAACACCCCCACCTTCTGACCAACCAGTTCCCAAGGGGTTAAGGAAATCCAAAGCTACCAAACCATCCGACCTTTCGCGATTCCAAAGTTTAAGAACAATGTTGTTCAGCACGCACATTGAGCAGAACATGGCGAAGCAGAATGCAGAGCTTGCGAAGGATACGAACGCGAATGCGGAGCCGGAGGAGAAATGGAAGAAGGATTTCGAAGAGCGGAAAGGCCTCGAGAGGACACCCACATCAGACAACAAAGAAAAGGGAAAAGAGAAGGGCGTAATGAAGAGAATGGGAAGCAAACTGAAGAGATTGACGAGCAAAGACGTACCCACTGTCAAGCGAGTGCGACAAGACGATGGCAACCTATCTACAGCCAGCTCGGATGACGATCAACAGCCAAAACAACATCAGGTCGCGAAACCCTCCAATCTCCGTGAAGAGAAGAATGCTACGGATGACGACGAAGAATCGGAAATAGACCACTCCGACATTGAAGATTTAGTCCGCTGGGTATCACGAAGAGACCCCCCAAGTGATGGCGAAGCTCGCACGAAGAAAGACACCATCCCTGTCATCGAAGAACCCTCAAACCAAGACGACTCCGGACACGAAAGCCTCGGTCACTCCGACGTCGAAGACCTAGTTAGATGGGTGAGCCGTAAATCCGGTCCAAGCCCACAGAAATCTTCTCCGAACCGACATCCCTCACCCCCAGCAGAAGTACCAGGGCTCTTCCCCGAACCGGATCGCAGATTAAGCTCTGCCTCTACACAGACTGACACCTCAGGTCCGACAGGTGCGGCCGCAGCAGCAGGGGAGACAGGCAAACGCCGAGCCCGTGGTGACACGATAAGTCACGACGATGTCGATGATCTCGTGCGCTGGGTATCTCGCAAAGAAGGATCCGATACTGGTCCCGCTCCCTCTGCCAATTCAAAGAAATCCAATCAAGACCCTGCAAAGGATACACTCCCTACCCCAGATCCGTCCTCCTCTGAAGACGAAGACGCGGAAGAGCTGGTTCGCTGGGTAACCCACAAAGACGATACGTCTGGGGAGTCAGATATCGAATCTTCTGCCCCGTCGAGCAAGTTGAAACCGTCGTCCTCCTCTACTTCTCTAGCGCAGAAGAAGAGACAAGGAGGCAGCACGCTCAAGCAGGAAGTGATCTTACCGCAAGCGGGTGAGGGGGCGGCGGATAGTCATGCTAGCCTTACGCAAAACGATGTTGACGATCTGGTGCGTTGGGTGTCTAGGAGGAATACAGAAGCCAATTGAGGCAATGAAAAAGGTGGAAAATTCGATTCATCTCCATAAATCGTTGAGGCGGAGATCAAACTGTGTTTGCAAACTGCTTTTGTACGATAGATTCGGGGTTCCTTCGCCTCTTTGTGATTAGCGATTGTCTGACTTTGAGCGTGTTATACATTCCCCTTTATTGTGTTTCTATTTTGAATCTCGGGCGTTGAATTTTGGTACGTCACAACGTTGCACTTGATGGGAACGTGCCATTGTGTGGATCTCTTTGTATGCTTCCTTCTCTGGCGGTGCCCCCAATAAAATTTGAAAATTGATCGAGAGCGATATCACCTTGAAGAACGCGATCGCCAACATCATTATGTGACATGCGTGGATTTTCTTGCTTCGCAAATGACCCGACATCGGCAGCATAAAAGCAGCGCTGAACTGAACCAAGATGCATCAACACCTCTCTAGGCCGACAGCCATCTGTGCCACAGTGGGAACCGCAATCTTAACCCTCCTTCTTACTATTGTCCTCTTCCAGCGTTGGAAGATATGCATTCACTTTCTTCACAGTAGCATGCTGAGTCCGCGCCAACTCATTATGCAGCCGAACAACCACATCATTATTTCCCGTATACTTCCCAATCAAATCGAGGATATCCTTTCGAAACTTTGACCTGTACTTCGGGCCTTCCTTGGCGCACCGCTTTGTTCCTTTCATAACCAAGTACCTGTAGTGGTCCCGATCTTGCGACTGAAGATACTCCAGGATGCTACCCAAGAGGGCTGTCTGCTTCTTCATGAGTTCACGGATCGTCGGGGGCGGGTTCTCGAGACTAAGTGCACCGTTAGAGTTTGTGGGCTTTGAGAAGTCGCATGATGAAGAGGAAGTAAAGTCGAGGGGGTGGTTGGAAGTACTAGAACTATAAGATTAGATCGATAGTCAGTAAGAGTTGAAGCAGCATTTCGGTGTGAGTTTGGGTGTTGGAGAATCACAGACGTACCAATGACCGTAATCTTCGTCCACAATGTCCACCATATCTTTCAAGGGTCCGTCTCCCATCTTGGTCCCCAAAATCCGTATTCCGTCCGGGTAGTCCCCATCACGAACGTACTCGCAAAGTGTCAAGATCGCGGTATCGAAGCATTCGGGCTCGCTCTCCACGAGACGAAACTTGGGCACCCTAAAGACCAAGCACCAAGTCAGCGAATCTACCAAATGGATGTACAACTTTGATACTCTGGCAAAAGAAAAACACGCGATTTCAGGAAAAATGTAGGGGTGAGAACGAACGAAAAGCTCTTCGGGACAACCCTCATGACATCGACCTTATTCGACTCAAAATCGAACATGGCGAGGAGTCGCGGAGACTTGATGATCATGTGATTGAAGGGCGCGTCGAGCAATGGCGCTGAGGCGGAGAGGAGTGTGCCTTTAGCAGAGTGCTTGAAGGTCAGAGGGCCGATGGTGCCGGTGCCCAGGTCCATGACGTGCTCGCGTGGGAAGATGATGGGGGAAGGAGCCATGATCCACTGGCTTTGGACTTCCGTTATTATGTGTGTGCCTAATGAAGGAAGTTGCTGTGGGGCTGTGGTTTGGGGGTGGGGGGGTAGGTGAGGCGAGGTGGTGGTCGGGTAGTTGCTCAAAGGCAGCTTGTTTGTAGGTCATGGAAATAGGAAGGATCGATATGTTGTGTTTGGTACCTCACACCACACAACGACAAGTTCTTCGGTACCATCCCAGGACAAAAAACTCTGTTACTGCTCGAATCTAATTTTGAGAAAATCCTTATTAATCTGAGTCTGTCTACTTTTCATGTTCGGTGGGCTACAGCGGTACACGAAGATGACCTGCGCTCGACTATCCTCCAATGCAATATGTATACATACCTATGTATAGATACCTAGGTATGTAGGCACCATATGTTTCACGGGAATAGATCCCTCATTCACAACTCTGCTTCGTCCATATTCCTTACAAATTGTACGAACCACCTGACACCATCGACGTGACCCTGAACGCCGATTCTCTCATTGACCGTGTGGATGTCTCCCAGCCCAACTTGCTCTTTATCCCATCCGACACCATAACGGAAAATGTGCTCGCTCACGTTCCAGTAGTAGTGTGTATCTGTATTGCCAGTCATGATGCCCGGAGCAACAAGCAATTCGTTTGAGTAGATCGCACGCGACGTGCCAGAGAGAACATCAAATGGTGTAAGACGCGGTTCAAATGTCGGCGTTGTAGGCGCTGGCTCGAGTATTTTGTATACGGATAATGTGATAGAAGATGGGGTCTCGGTGCCATTGAATGGTATCAGGGCTAGATCATGTTTCTTTGCCACTTGTGCCGCGAGTGCGGTAATGTGGGTAAACACAGCCTTGGAATCTGAGCCGACGTTGATGCGATGATTGACCGTGAATTGCGTTCTTTCGGGAAGTGCATTTGCTTTTGCGCCGCCACTTATCAGGTCGATAGCTACGGAGGTCGTAAATAGATACTTTATCGCTGGTCCGAGTTTAGCTGCTTCGAGGGCTAAGTCGTCTTTCCCGTGCTTCTTTGTGCATGTTGATTGGCGGTCCCGCTTGTCCAGAAGCTTTTTGAGCTTGTTTGGAAATGAGGGTGCGTGTTCCGCGCCGCAGTGAAGCAGGGAGAGGTAGGGGTTTGTCTCATCCAGATAGGGATCGTAGGGGTTTGCTTCGATGAGAGTGATAAGTTCACCAGCAACCCCGATTCCGTTGTGCTCGGGTGGAATGCTGGAATGCCCCCCGGGCATGCGCACCGTGACTTCTACATCAACATACCCCTTCTCTCCTACGCCGGGAACAGCCCAGACCTGCCCCCAATTATCAATCACAGACATGCCTTCGTCTACGATGACTGCAACACCGTGGCGGCCATATCTCTTGACCAAGACTTCCGCTAAGTGGCCTGCACCTCGGTGTCCTGAGATCTCTTCGTCAAATCCAAAAGACAGAATCACTGTTCGTTTTGGGATATATCCGGCTTCTATGAGTGATTCAATGGCCTCCAAAGCAGCAATGAGCTGATTCTTGCAGTCACTACTGCCTCTTCCCCAGATGAATTTTCCGTCGTAGTAGCCACTGAACGGTGGATGTGTCCATTGCTCAACGGTACTATCTGGGACGGGAACAACATCCTAGAAAATATCAGCATCTTGTAAAATGCAGGAACTTCAGCAACGCTCTACCTGATGAGCCATGAGCACAGTCGGCTTCAGATTGGGATCAGTACCCGGCCACGTGAACAACAATCCGTGCGTGTTGACCTTCTCCAACTGTAACGAAGAATGGACCAAAGGAAAGGTAGAACTGAGATAGTCCGCAAACGAGTAGAAGATATCCCATCGAGGATCCTCGCCTACAGGTCCGATATCGTCGAAAGACTGTGTTGCAATACGGACGGCGCCAGCCAGCTTTTCGATGGACTTGTTGCGGAATTCATCGGATGTGAGATATTCTTCTAGATCAACAAGCTCTTTTGTGCTTTGCGATGGATAGAGAGGTTCGACTTGGGGGCATTTCGCCTCGAACTTGGTAGGGTTCTGCGTCCAGTGGGCTGCGAGCGTTTCGGTGATGTAATTGCGGAACAGAAAGACTGTCGTGAGCAGGACGGCAGCAAATTTAATCAGTCGGCTGTATTCATTCTGACGACGCACCTTTACGGAGCCTTGGTTACCCCACTCTTTGGCCATTTTGTGTAGAAGGAGTTATGATGAGATCGATGGCAGTGTTGCGGGATGGATGTTGATATTCGGCCTTACTAGAGCAAATCCGGAAGGTGTGCGAGCACATCATTGCTGACACAATCCCATCCGTGATCATTTCAAAACATTGCTTTTCAGTAGTATTACGAGATAGTCCAAGGTGGACTACGGAGATTAATATCAATATTTTGGCTTGGGTTCGAAATTTACACATGGGCACATAGTGTGGTGCCGCAAGATTGCCCTCAGTCACAGTGAGAACGTCGAGTCACGTGATTATATACGTTCGTACATGTATCCCCAGATGTCCATATGCTCACAACAATTGCTCTGAAACCGCGAAAAAAGGCCCAGTGTGATTTATTCAGTAGGTATAAGTCCGGAAAGCCCTGATAGTTCTATATTGATGAGGCCTAATCGCTCCATAGAATTGCTGCAGATGAGAAAATTATATGCACTTCAGCTCATACTTTGATGTATCAAGGAACGCATTACACGATCCATTAACAAAACAAAGAGAAATATAGTTATGGGTTAGTTTTTATGTTATTCATTCAACCACGAGAACGGTGTTAGCCGATGTACGGCCATTCACGCATTTGAATCTAACGAACACGCTGACGGCAACGTTCAACAGTATAGTATTGGGATGTAGAAAAGCATTGAAAAACTAGGAGAGCTCTGCAACGTCTCAAACCGCATTTGAGTGTAGAGATAGCGATGGCATCGGCCTAGGCATCTCTGCGCGGGTCAATGCGCGCCACCTTGGAGCCTGCCTACTGTGATTACTTTCCAGTTCATGCGAAAGCCTCACTTTATTTATTCGCCCAGTCTTCTTCAGGTGATCAACGAGCAGGCTCCTATAACTCGTGATACTAGCCATGATGAGAGCGACGTTCGCTTCTATGACAAGCCAGAAAATCACTGCGATGTAGTTGATGCGTTTGGTCTCCGTGTCGTATTGATATGAAAGACGCATCGCAGCTACAATCATAGCGAAAAGGGACAAGGTTTTGAACCCGCCATCGATTAGTGCCTGTGGACGCGGTAATTTGGCCAAGCGGATAAGGAAAACAGGAAATGAGATGACTTTGACATGTTAGCCGTCAGTTCTGGAGGAAGCTATGAATCACTGACTTAGCAAGTCTGTTATGAGATCAAGAACGGAAACGGACGTCTCCCATGGACCATTTCCAGATTGTTGAATGTATCGACATTTTCCTATAAAAATCAGCATGGGTAACAAACGGATCGCGACGGGTATTACCTGGGTTGGGACAAAGGATAACGGGCACAAGGATTGTCCATACAAGTGCGCCAGTACAAATCATTGTTGTTGCCCAATAGAACTTCGTGAGATTTGCATTCACGTACGCGTACGGGGGTCTGTAGAGCTTGAATTGAGTCAAGAAGCACAATTTGACGCAATAGATGACGATCCATAATAGTTCAATGACTGTGGTAAGACGTTGTGGGTCGCCTGATGCTCGAAACTCGGTTTGGTGAGTAGGATCAAGCACCGAGCCCTCGAGTTGATATAGTGCATCCACAATATTGTGGAGGAGCCCAAGTGCAACGAACAGCATCGGGAGCGCCAGCACGAGGGAATAGTCCTTGAACATAAGTCTTCCCTTTGAGCGTATTCTAACAATAAAACGAGAGCATAGAAACAGAGTCGAAATGGTGCTGAGTGTCCACATAGCAATCTGGAAACGTTAGACATTTAACACATCGTGGACGAAACAGCAGCTTACCTTGAGATCCCCTGCCGAGACCATCGGCGGCGACCGAGTGGACGGAACAGATGTAGACATAGCAGCTAAGCTAAGTGCATTCACGTCGCTAGGGTGGGCGATTATGTCATGTCGATCGCAAAACTATATCATAAACGAATATGATCAATGATGAGGATGAGGACGATGGCGATGTTGATGGCGTGGCCGTGTTCGTGTAAGCCGGATGCCGTAAGGTCTAAGCGCAGGTACATAGGTACTAGCATTGTAGACTCGGTAACCACAAAGCGTGGGGGCGGAAGGAGTGATGTAGTGGTGGTTCAACACGAAAAGGGTATTCCAAGACCACGTCAAACACCTCTACTAAATATTATCAAGACAAGACAGTCGTATTGGAATTTTCTTCTTGCCAAAACGTTTTAAATTATCACCCAATTATGTCACGATATACCACTGTTCTCCTAATCTCGAAATCGTTCCACTTGCTTGTTCTCATGCACGCAATCACCCAAGAAATTTTTCAAAACATCCTCAAAAATCCCTGGTGCCTCCCAAAAGGGTGCATGCTTCAATCCCTTCAGCTTCACACACTCTCCCTTCCACAAATTCCCCCATTTGATCTCATCCAGATACCCCAAATTGATGAACGGCTCATCACCCCCATTCACCACAGCAATGAGCACATCCGTGCTCGTCTCCACGACCGCAACCTGATCGACACCACCCGCACTGCGATCCGCAAAATCCTCCCACATAATTTCCCGCGCGCGACCATGAGTACGAATAGCGCAAGCTTCCATCCACGGCTCGAAGGGTGCACCAGCACTCATCCGCGCGAACTCTTTAGCTTCATCGACATTCCAATCGCGTTGCGCTGCCAAACCAAGATGCGGGTCGGTTGAGGTAAATCCTTGGCCGGTCTGTTCTTCTCCGAGGGCAGGTGGAGTTCCAATCAGCATCAAGCCCTTCATCCGAATGCTTTCTTGGTCGCGTAAGAGAGCGAGGAGCTCGATGCCTATGTGACCTCCGAGGCTCCAGCCTAATACGACTACGTCGCTGATGTTGAGATGTGTTAAGATGGTGAGTGCGAGAGAGGCATAGCCTCGCATTGTATAGCTCTGTTTTGGGTCCGGCGCATTGGAGGACGCTCCGTGCCCAGGCAGGTCGAAAGTTAGAATATGCCAGTCAGAGGAAGTAGATTCGCTTTGTTGAATGGGTCGGAAGATCTTGGAGCTAGAGGAATTGCCATGTAAGAGGAGGAGTGTTGGCTTTGAAGTTGTGGGGGTGTTTGAGGTTATGCTGATAAGTCCGTGTTCAGTGTCGAGGGTGAAGCTTTTATTTGGCATGGTGGGCAAGTTGGATTGATCCTCAGGGAGGGTTTCTTGGTGATAGATAGGGTCGACGTTCTATGCGCAAGCTTGTGGTTAGACTGATTTGTATAGTGCGGGGGTTTGGGGAGTGTAAGGTGAGGACGAAGTAGATAGGTGAGTCGCACAAGTTTCACGGGTACACCTTGACAGATACCTAGGTAGATTGTTGCCCTTCGATGCGCTAATGAATGCGTAACAACCGAGGAACCAATCAGGTACAATATGACTGTCGCTTCTCGGATTTCAGAGCAACATTGATTGTGGATATAGAGCCAAGTGGCCCTTGGACAGCGAATCATCTGCGAATGCAAAATGACGCGCGTGTGGTGTTAGTTTGACGTAGGATGCATACATATGCCACGCGCTCGGCAACTATGCTCATTGTAGAGGGTATAGGACAGAGCTGCCCCATGACACAGATGAATTTGATGCCTATATAAACAATCGAAAGGTTGGTATCATGTGCCCTCCTACTCTTCTTCCTCATCGTCTTCGTCATCTTCCTCGTCATCTTCGCCATCTGATATGTCTTCACCAAGTTCCTTGAGACGTTTCTGGTAGATATTAGCACTTCATTCGTAGCCTCCAAGAGTATAGTTCTTACTTTATCGCGTGTTCTCTTCTCCTCCAGATCACCCAAGACTACGAAGAGGTCATCGAGCTCTGTTTGCGCAGCAGCTCTCGACTCTTCCTTCTCTTTGACTGAAGCTTCTGCTCTGCGCAATTTCTCCTCCGCGTCTTTGACTTTCCAGGTTTGGTCTTGGGCTTTCGTCTTGAGATCTTGATTTTCAGACTTCAGCTTGTCGATGGTGTCTTGTAATTTAGTATTTTCGTCCTGCAGTTGCTTGATCTGTGCTTCACTGTCACGAACATGGGTCTGAAGGTTACCTGAAAGACTTTAGTTGGAAGCCAATGCTAGAATCAATATAAGGCTTACTCAATGTGCGGGTAATCGTTGCGATCTCTTCTCGGGTATGCTTTTGCGTCTGCTCGAGTCCCCTTATGGTATTCAAAGCCTCCTGTCGAGCCTTATCAGATACGCCCAAGCGTTTCTCGATGTCGGTACGAGCCATGGTGGCATCGCGTAGCTTCTCTTCGTACTCCTGTTTCATCCTTGTTGACGCAACTGTAGCATCCTTGGAAGCTTGCTGTAGCTTATTGTTCAATGTCGCCAATTGAAGATTCTGACGGTTCTCAAGTTCTTGCACGTATTGCTTTTGTTCGCGCTCCAATTTTCGCATGTCATTTTCGTGGTTTCGTTGCAGGTCGTCATTAACTTTCTTGATAGCAGCTGCCTGGCCGAGCGACGATTCTTGGGTTCTGCGATGATCCGCCTGTTCTTGGCTCAACTTTTGCTCAAGAGTCAGGTTGTCGGCCTGATATTTCTCAATGGCCTGATTCTTCTCCTCCAGCTGGCCTCTCAGCGAATCAACAAGGTCGCGATCTATCCCTTGGTCGGACTGGTGTATCTCGATCACAGGATCTCGATCGATCGCACGCGATAGCCGGCTGAAATTATCCTTCAGAAAATCAATAAATGTCTCGTCAAAGTATACGTCGGGGAGACTTGAGCCCAAGCCGGTTTGGGGCATAACCTGGTGGAGAGAGTTAGTGATATTCAGCCGAGAAAAATCGCGATAGACCATGGAGATAGCCAAATTCTTTTGTGTACCCCAATACGTACCTCAAAATCTCGAACTAGAGGATGATGACGAAGTTCCTTGATGGCGTTGAGATATTTCTCACGACCCAATGTCGACGTCAGAATTGGTTGCAGGTCGCGCCGTGGGATGGGGGAATCCTTGGTCGAGAACTCATAAATGATGCCCAAAAGCGCGGCACAAAGGCCGCGCGTAACGACATGGTCATCGCCCGGTTTCAGCACGGCTTGGACAAGGCTTTGAAGACTACTGGCTTCTCCTAGGAAGTCGTTGACTGCGGCAGCATCCTCAAACAACCATGCAGACAAGACCATGAGATAAGCGATGGATATCCTCTCATCTTCGCCCAATTGAAGACTTCCGATCAGATTAGCTGTGAGCGTTTGTATACACGTAACCACCTCCTCTCCACTTGCAGCGTCACCTTCAGCAACAGACATCAATATATTTTTAGCCTCTAAATCTTCGAAGATGAGATGGAATATGAGTGTGGCGGCGAACCATGTCCGGTAAGGGTCTATGGTTTGCGCTCCCTGAGAACCGGTCACAAGTGTGGTGAGGGCATTGGCCGTTTCATCGCCGCCCTCTGTATGCCCCCCAATGGCTCGATTAAGGAAGTGCGTGCGAATCTGCATATGATTGAAGAAGTAGGCTTTAATACACTCACAAGCAGCGAATCGCAGATCGAACAGTTCATTCGCAGCTGGGGTAAGAGCAAGGTCCAGAAGGGCGTCAATAATGTAAACAGAGATATCGGTATCGGCTGCCCCGTTGGTGGCAGGCGGCGCAACCAATGGCCGCACTTGCAATTGTGCAAACCCTTCTTGTATACGCGAATTTCCCCTGATGATGTCGGCGCAGGTATTGAGGGCCTCGACCTTGATCGGAACAACTGAACTGGGATCGAAAGCCATGTTCAGGACTTGCTGAAGCAATCCATGTTTGTGGAACGCGTTTTGGTTTGGCAGCGTGCTGGTACTCCCCTTGACCAAAAACATTCGCAATATAGCCAAAAGACCCCAGACGTTTTTGTCTGCCTGCGGACTGACCCAATCATCCTCCTCTTCAGGGGCTGATCGAGACTTCTTTTTCTTTGGGCCACCTGGAAGCAATTGCGCGAATCTTGCTACCCCTCCAGTTTCTCTGAATGTTGTCTGATTGGAAGAATTGAAACGGACAAGGTTGGCAAGCAGCGACAGACAATCTTGAACAATGATCGAGCCCTGTGTGAGCGAGCCATCGGCTTGGATCATGTCGAAGACTTTTTCGAACGCATTCTCAAATACAAAGAGTTTCTGAAGTTCGGTCGAGGACCGCGAGAGGTCATTGAGTAGTATGAGCCCCTCGGTATGTACGGCTTCTCTGGGGTCATCTAAGGTTGCGACGAGACGTGGGGTTCCCAGGGGTGCTGTGAGAATGCACTCTTGTGTTCTTTCAGGCCGCGCATCGTAGATTGCGCGAATAAGTTGGAGAGAGTAGAGACGGGAATAAAAATCGGGGGTTTCGAGTAGGTCCAAGAGGATAGTTATATTATCTTGCCGCTACCATAAGCTCAGTAACAGCAATGTCTGGAGGCCAGTCAGCATACCTGGGTGAACTCATCCGCTAACCAAAGTGCGATCTCGTCCGAAGCTTCTGGCTACACAGGTCAACTCATGCCTCAAATGTCGTATCCCTGGAGGTTGGCGTACACTGTGCTCATCTGGATTGAAAAGAGCCAGCAAGGTCTCCAGAACCACTTTAATTGTATCGACATCCTCGACATCCTTAGTCAGGCATGCGATGAGTCCGCGCAGCGCCCCTAGCCAGAGAAGCAAGATCAGTCCCGTATACCAAAGCGGCTTAACACATCCGAAAAGCAGTCCACCCCGTGGTATCTAGATATCACACACCTGACGCGACCGAAGCAGGATATTCTTTAGCAAAGCTTCGCAACCCAAGAATGGCAGCACGGCGATCCTCGAGAAGGGTTGCACTAGCTAGACGGCCGCTGAGAGTGCTTATAGTATCGGTGGCTGTCTGTTTGGCCGGAGCCTGTGCCTCGAGCATTCGCATCATTTTCGCGGAGAATGTTGTATATCTATCGGTTCATCGTGGTCTCAAGTATGAATTGGTTCGATCGATTTTGACTACTCCTCGTTGACTTGGGGACGGTCTGCGTGGATGTTCAGTGAGTGAAGACCAAGAAATTTAGCTACCTTTTACACTCTGTTCACAACACATTCAATTGGCCGTCCCAGGGCTGAGCTGAGCAGGGGATGGAGCAGGGTCCGGAACATCGAATCGCCGTCTCCGGCGCTAATCCCCAGGTCTTGGCGGTAGGGCCGTCAAAGAGATTCTGGATAGCTCGCGCGTACCATCCATGCTTTTGTCACGCCAACCGCATCTTCCTTTCTCTACCTCCGAACTCTTCACGGCTCTGCGCATTTAGTCGCTCGCCTGAAGAAGCTATCGCTTGAACATCGCGACTCGAGCGCCTAGCTCAAGGCCGCATTTGCAAGTGTAGGTATTACTCCAGCGGCCTTTACCAACGGCCTGCCTGCCACTCCCCATCTTTTCTGCACCAAAGCGCCCTCTTATCGGCCCACTTGTCTGTCAACTGTGTCCTCGTGTCTTCGAATTGACTACAGATAACTAAACCGATAATTCTTCTCCCGCTACCTTGCCGATCCAACACCCTCCCTCCTCGTACCTCTCGCGCAGTGAGCGCCTCTACCAAACATGGGTGTTCCCGCCATGTTCCGCTGGCTTAGCCAGAAGTACCCCAAGATCATCACTTCCGTCGTTGAGGAGTTCCCCAAAAAGGTCGGCGATGATAGCGTACCCGTCGATCGCACTCAGCCAAACCCCAATGGTACCGAGTTCGACAACCTATATCTAGACATGAATGGTCTTGTTCATCCTTGTACGCATCCTGAGGATAGGCCTCCCCCAAAGACCGAAGCCGACATGATGCTCGCCATCTTTGAGCAAACTGATCGTGTAATCGGCATGGTGCGCCCGCGCAAGCTATTGTACATGGCTGTGGATGGTGTTGCTCCCCGCGCGAAGATGAATCAACAGCGCTCCCGCCGATTCCGTTCCGCGAAGGAAGCGAAAGAGAAGGACGAGGAATATGCGGAGTTTGTGAAAATACTCAACGCCCAAAAAGCGAGGCAAGGCGGAGATGTCACCTCTCTTGAACAAGTTGTTGAGAAGACGTGGGACTCGAACGCCATCACCCCCGGCACACCATTCATGCACATGCTCGCAGAGAGTCTACAATACTGGTGCGCATACAAGTTCACCACTGATCCTTCGTGGAAAGACTTGAAGGTTATTATCTCAGACGCGTCTGTACCCGGAGAGGGAGAGCACAAAATAATGAACTTTGTTCGTTCGCAACGTTCCAAACCTACACATGATCCCAATACTAGTCATGTCATCTATGGATTAGATGCTGATCTCATCATGCTGGGCCTTGCAACTCATGAGCCTCACTTTCGTGTTCTGCGAGAAGATGTCTTTTTCGATTCCGGCAAAGACAAGAGCTGCCAGCGCTGCGGTCGCAAAGGTCATATGCAGCAAAATTGCCCACATCCCGATAATGGCGTCAAGCTCACAGAGGCTGAAGCTGATGAAGAGTGGAGTGCTACTTCCCATCCTCCCAAGCCCCATATTTGGTTACACATCAACGTCCTACGCGAGTATCTTGGCGTCGAGATGGACACTCCTGACCGCAAGTTTACTTACAATCTCGAACGTGCTCTTGACGATTGGGTGTTCATGTGTTTCTTCGTCGGCAATGACTTCCTTCCCCATCTTCCCAGTCTCGAAATTCGTGACCAGGGCATCGATCTTCTTACTAAGATTTGGCGAGATCTCGTACCCCAGTTTGACGACTATGTTACTAAAGAAGGTTTTCCCGATATGAAGTCTGTCCAGAAAATCCTCAAAGCTCTCGCAGGGGAGGAAGCTGGTATCTTCAAAAAGCGCAAAGAAGTCTCGGACCGTCAGGCTGCTAAGCGCAACCAACGTCAAAATAACAACAAACGAGCTCGTGGCAACGACGGCCCTATGACACCTGTCTTTCAGCGTCCCAAAGAGGACACAGACACATATAAGAACGCAGGTATCGCCTTTTTCGCCCCTGGAGACGCACAGTCTGTTGAAGTTCGTGAAGTACATAACGCTTTGATGAAGGACAAGAATCAATCCAATAGGAGTGCTGCTGCTCAGCTCAAAGCTGCAATGAAGAATAAAGCTGAAGGCGACACTCCGTCCAAGGAACCCGAGCTCGAAGAATCTGCACCATCCTCTGGTGTTGAAACGCCAGTTCAACTTGGAAAGCGTGTACGTGATGTGATGGAGGATGCCGACAACGGCACTCCAGGAAGAACGACACCTGTTGTTCCTGACACTCCAACACAAACCAAGGATGGAGAGATGCCTCCAGACACTATCAAGCTATGGGAAGACGGCTACGAGGAGAGGTACTATGCGCAGAAATTCAATGTCGCTCCTGACGATCTCGCATTCAGGCATAAGGTGGCCCGCCACTATGCTGAAGGTCTTTGCTGGGTACTAGCATACTACTTCCAGGGATGTCAGTCGTGGAATTGGTACTTCCCCTATCACTATGCTCCCTTTGCCGCAGACTTTGTGGGTCTCGAAGACATGGACCCTAGGAAGCTCTTCGATAAGGGCACTCCCTTCCATCCCTACGAACAGCTGATGGGTGTAATGCCAGCAGCCTCTAGCCATACACTTCCAGAGCCTTATCGTGTGCTTATGTCGGACCCTAATAGTCCCATCATTGATTTCTATCCCGAGGATTTCCCCATCGATCTCAACGGGAAGAAATTCGCCTGGCAAGGTGTTGCGGTGCTGCCCTTTATCGACGAAAAGCGTCTCCTCGCAGCAATGGCAACCAAGTACGGAGAGCTAAGCGATGATGAAAAGAAGCGCAACGAATTCGGCAAGGAGACTCTGATGTTTTCCCAGACCGGAACACTCTTCGCGTCCGCAAATAAGGCGCTTTACAGCAAGGGCAAAGCCAAGGTGGCAATCGATCCCGAAAAGAGTCAAGCACTACATGGGGATATGGAGCCTCACGATCTGTTCGTTCTCGACAGCCAGCTCTTGCCGCCGTTCGAGGTTGACGATACTTCCGAGTTCGAAATCGTACAGGATGGTTCAATGAGGTATTCATCACGCATTGAAACACATATCAAAGTTGCTAACAAATATATAGGGTTTACTACGAAATGCCCAAATTGGACGCGGATAAGGCGCATCGATCCGTGCTACTCAAGGGAATTACGATGCCGCCAAAAGCACTCAACGAGTACGAAGAGAACAATGTACGCCGGCAACGAGACCAGCGTAATCGTGGTGGATACCGTGGCGGACGCGGCGGCGGACGGGGTGGCTTCAATGGAAATGGCCGAGGTGGCTACAACGGAAATGGACGAGGAGGTTTTCACAACGGGCGTGGTGGAGGTATGAATTCGTTCGACGGTAATCAGTTCCCACCACCACCTTTGGGAGGCGGCTGGCCGGGAGTGCCGCTTGGCGGTCAATTGCCTCCTCCACCACCAGGATGGGCGCCTCCAGGAATTCCTCCTCCCCTAGGATTTGCTCCTCATCAAGGATTTGCTCCTCCTCCGGGCTGGGCTAATGGACTTCCTCCGCCTCCGCCTGGGTGGGCTCCTCCGCCTGGCGGATTTCCTCCTGGTGGTTTTCCTCCACCGCCGCCTGGCTGGAACAATGCGCCGCCCCCGCAACAACAGCAGCAGCAGCAGCAGCAGCAGCAGCAGCGACCGAGCTGGATGAATGCTCCTCCTACCAACGGCAATAACGGAGGTTATGGGAACGGCAATCGTGGTGGATACAATGGTGGAAACTCTGGAAGGTAGATGGTCAGACTTGACTTTCATCGTCCTGTTCTCCTTTCGATTTGAGGTTTGTCACAGGCTCGTGCGACGATATGCATGGCTTTGCATTTCTTTTTTCTTTCTCTTTCTCTTCAACGACTGCCTTCTTTATGGGCCTACGTGTGTGCGAGAAAACTTTACTTGATCGAATCGTGTACTATCTTAGTTTCCCAGTTTTCCTAAATCTCTTTCTGTACAATACTCGGGATCAGAAAAAGGGCAGGGAAAATTGGGTATGGACGGCCGGATCACATTAGTGTGATTCATCAATTCACTTCATGTTTGTATTATAAATATGGGTGCCAAAACACACCGGCGTGATGTTCAAGGTGCAAATTGTGATTGTTTGATGTTTTTTGTTTGGGTATTTTCTCTTCTCATATACTCATCGCCTCGCCTGTTATTCTGAGTACGCCATACATGATCGTGCACAAGGCCGCTATTGTCCAAAAGACGAAATGATGTTCTGCCAGAAGCCATATTTAGATCGCCGCCCTTGCTTTCTATACGTTACTGCGTCGATTGCTTGTTCCACCTACTCCGGTGGCTGGAACGGCTTGACAAGCATCTCACTGAATCTGCGCAAAAGTCAGCCTACTGCACCAAAACAATAGAAGAGGAAAGGGGCTCTTGGTTGCCCCAATCTCAACACTTACTTCTCCAATTTCTCACTACCTCTCACCTCCTCGGTGAGAAGCGGCATCTTCACGACATTAAAATCATCATACAGCTCGCCAATCTGCTCCAGATACTTTTTCTGCATCTTCCTCCTCGAATTGCACTGCTCACACGGGTTATCCTGCTTGGGGAAGAGCAGCTGGTTGACTACAATCGAATGTGTGTCAATTTCATACGAATTCAGCTCCTGAATCATACGCTCCGTCTCATACAGACTCAGGAATTCGGGGATGCAGACGCACACAAACGTCGTCATGTCTGCATCCTTGAACTGGCCGTTCACCTCGGCGATGGTCTCGCGCAGGGTTTCCATTTTCTCGATGAGCTCGTCCATGTTCTGTCCGTTGGGGAGTCGGCCCGAGGCGCCCATGAACGAGTTGAGCATGGGCCCGAATTGGCGGGAGAGCTGCGAAATCTTGGCGAGGGCTTTCTCCATGACGGTCGGGAACTGGAGGAAACGGAGGGTGTGGCCGGTCGGGGCGGTGTCGAAGATGATAACTTCGTAGGAGAGGGATTTCACTTGTTTGAGGACTTCGGCAAAGGACATTGCTTCGTCTACACCAGGAATCTGTCATTCTTGGAGTTAGCATCTCATGTGTTCTGGCTGATTATTGAGCAGAGGAAACCGTACACTGAATGCCAAATCTTGCATCATGTTGCCCATTCCACCCATTCCAGCCATTGCTTCCTCGGCAGGCTCGCCGCCCGAAGCCAGCAAGTCCTGGATGCTGCCGTTGGGATCAATTTCCATGGCGCTCAGATTATCGAAGCCCTTCACCAGTCTCGCATCCTTGCCGAACTTCTGGTCGAACGCATCCGACAGATTGTGCGCGGGGTCCGTCGAGATGAGCAAAACCGACTTGCGATGTTTGGCAAGCTGGATTGCGAGAGAGCATGATGTGGTCGTCTTTCCTACACCTCCTTTTCCACCCACGAAGATCCAGCGTAGTGTTTTCTGGTCGAGGATTGATTGAAGGGTAGGCTCCATGTCCTCGTCGGTTACGGTGAGAGAGGTGGCCATGACGGGCGAGGGTGTGTTTTGGATAATGCTCTGGGGTATACAGTGGGTTCCAGCTCAGGATAGAGATTTCTGTGTATTTACGCGATCAGACTCGTGGTAGAGCGCGGGCGTGTAATGCGAATTTACCTGTCTGCGTTCGGCTTTCTCGAAGCTTCGGAGGGGCAAAATAGTTGCTACTCGGCTCTCTGCGTATGGGATGGGGCGGGGTGTACGCAGATTACGATCGAACAAATTGGGTAGGGTTAGCAAGAGTTGAATTGTTTGCAGGATTCAAAGAGAAATAGTAACGTGTTACTTCGAGGTGGAAATCATATGTATGAGGGACGTCGCATAGCATAGCATAGCATAGATCGGTGGGGCAGGAACTAACCATCTACGTCAGGTCGAGGCGTATGCAGCTCAGCGCCACACATTGTGGCGTTCACCATGTTCGTAGGATCGGATGCTTTCAAATGTACAATTACAGTTCATATTGTACGATAACAAGTGTGCTAGTAGCAGACTCTATCAAATACTGACTAATAAAACTATTTGACCGCCAAAAAATGCTGCCATAGGGAACACGGGGCCAAATTCAAGCCCTACTGTACCTCTTTTGCAACAATGTCCGTGAAGTCTCCATTCAGAAGCCAATAACGCCACAACACCTATCAGAAATCATACAGTGATATAGGCTTCCTCCCTTCTCCATCTCTGCACGTTCATGCAGTATTTATTTGCCCTTGCGTGCTTTGCTTTTGGGTTTCGTAGCGGAGCCGTTCGAGACAACGCTGGTAGCCCGAGAAGTGGAGGGTGAAGCTGGGGAGCCCTTGGCCTTGACTGAATCAAGTTGCTTGTTCTGTCGTTTTGTTAGCAGATCTTCTTGTGCTCGGGCTAGGGGAATAACCAACCTTGACACCATTCTTGGCCTTCTTCTTAGCTGGCAGCTCCTCTTCTTCTTCACTCTCCTCCTCCTCTTCAAGCGGACGCTTGCCTTTTGCGTTCTTTCCTTCTACGCCTCCCAGCTCGCGTACCACAGCCGATATCAAGGTGGTGCAACGGCGACCAATCTCTTGTGGTGTTCGGCTGAGGAAGAACCAATCGAAGCGGAATAATGGTGACTCCCGGATCTCTTCACGAATCTTCTCATACACCGCCTCACCTTCAACACCATGCTTGTGAAGCATTACAAGAAGAAATTTGTCCTCTTCATCGGTGTAGACCTTCTTGTTGGTAGTTGACACAGTGTATTTGATCTGCAACTCCTGCAATGGTGACCGGTACTTCTTGATCTTCTGGTCAAGCAGGCGCTTTTTCTCTTCTGACTGGCGCACGCGGGCTTCACCCTCTTCCACCACGTTGATCGCTTTCTGCCAGTTGTCGAGTGTCTTGAACTTCTTCCAGAATACTTTGGCATACTCTGCGATTTCGTCTGCCGTCTTGCCATCGACTTCCTCTGAGATGCCTTCGTAGTTTGTCCGTCCGTATTTAGCCGACCCGTTCAAGAATTGCTGGAAATCGCGCTTGTTCCATTCCGGGAAGCCCTTAGCTACCAGATCCTCCTTCTCAGCTTTCTCCTCTTCTGTTAAAGGCTCCGCGTCGTCAATCTCTTGCTGCGCGAGCTGTTGGTCGGCCTCCCTCGTTTCGAGATCCTCTTCGGTGCCGTCCATCAGAGGTGCCTTGATATTGTTTTCTTTCCGATACCAAGCAGTTTCCTTATCTTGAAGCTCCGCAAGCTTTTCGGGGAAGAATTGGTAGTCGTGAATGGTGACTTGCTTAGGCGCGCGCGGGATTCGGGGTTGCTTTGCTTCTGTACGTCCGCCGGTCATAAGAGCTTGTCGGTAGTACTTATCCATCGAATAACCAATCTCTTTCCGTTCACGTTTCGACGGATTGATCCAGTTCAACCCGATTTCCTTCTTTCGGGGCTGGAAGGTCTCACCATTCCACTCGTATGCAGAGTCGGATGTGAATTTTTGAAGATCGTCGAGACCAAGCTTCTCGTACTTGGTATTCAGCTCTTTCGTCCTGTCTTCACCACGTTTGAGGATCGCATCGAAGTCGTCGTCTGTTACAGTATCGGAAGAGACGCCAGCTTTTTCTTGGGCTTGGAATACCTTCTCAGCACCGTGTTGAATCATAGTAAGAAGCTCATCTTTGGACGCTGCATTCTTCTGCGGTTGTTGCGCCCGGCCTTGTTGAATGACAAGTTGGTCGAGTCGCAACTTTTGTGCCGCACGCTCCAATACCTTCTCTTCGATGGCATTCTCAGTGACGAAACGAAACACCACAACTTGTTTTGTCTGACCGATACGATGAGCACGATCCATGGCCTGGAGATCTGCCTGGGGATTCCAATCGCTGTCGAAGAGCACGACAATGTCTGCGCTAGTCAAATTAATACCCAGACCTCCGGCACGGGTAGTGAGCAAGAAGAGGAACTTCTCGGAACCCTCCTTGTTGTAATCATCAATAGCGGCAATACGGTCCTCGTGAGCAGTGGAGCCATCGATACGGCAGTATTGGTAGTTTCGGAACACAGAATAATCCTCGAGAATATCAAGTACACGGCTCATCTGCGAGAAAATGAGGACGCGACTGCCTTGAGCCTTCATCCGTTTCAGAAGTTTGTCGAGCATCACCATCTTTGCTGCATTGTCAATCAAATGTTCGTCTGTGGTGTACGGTGGACCTGGTTCGGCGCCTTCGAACAAGTATGGGTGGTTGCAGCATTTTCGCAGTTGCATAACGATGTTGAGGAGACGGGTCTTTGATTCCTTGTTTCCAGCGGCACCGTTGACAGCGTCAATATCCTTTTCAAGGATCTTTTTGTACCACTGGACTTGCATATCGGACATGCCAATGTACAAGTTGACTTCTTTCTTCGGCAAGAGCGATTTCTCGACATCCGCTTTGACACGTCGCAGCAAGAATGGACGAAGCACCTTGTGAAGCTGCTGAACCACAGTATCGGAGTCCGATTCTTGGTTCGTGAACCAGTCATCGAAAGCAGCGGCATCGCCAAACACATCGGGGAGCAAGAAATTGAGCAAAGCCCAAAGTTCGTGCAAGTTGTTTTGCAAGGGTGTGCCGGTGATGAGAAGTCGGTTCCGCGAGTTGAACATGCGAATGATTTGTGCGAGGGAGGACTCCTCGTTCTTGATGCGATGCGCTTCGTCGATGATGATGTACTCCCAGGCGAACTTCTTAAGCTGTGACTTCTCACGTAGGATCATCTCATAACTGGTGATGAGTACATCGAACTTCTCGTCCACGACGCGATCCTGAATGAGTTCTGCACGCTCATCTTTGTTGCCCTGCAGAACCAAAACATCAACTTCCGGAATCCATCTGCTGAACTCGCGCTTCCAGTTGTCCAGCGTAGACTTGGGAACCACGACTAAGTGGGGACCAGTGATACCCATGATAAAACGGAGGTATCCGATAAATGAAATGGTTTGTAGTGTCTTTCCGAGACCCATTTCGTCCGCCAGAATACCGGAAATACCATTCTCATGCAGCGAGATCAGCCAGTTAAGACCAGCGATCTGGTAGTCTCGCATTGTCCCCTGGATGAATCCCGGAGATTCCCGAAAGACCGTCTCGTTGTGTGCACCGTGTTTCTCTTCGTGTACCAGCTCAGCATCTTCCTCCTGCTCAGTCTTGCGCCGACGCTCCGCCGCAGCTCCGCCTTTGCGCAACTTGCTAGCCTTCTTCTTGTTCTCGTCTTCGATATCTTGTCGATCGATCTCGGCAAGAATGTCTTTGATGTGAGGATTGGGGTTCGTGTCGATAAAGTGACGGAAGAGGTCGGTCAACCCCAGGAGGTAACGGAATCTACGAATCGTGTCGTCCTCCTGTATAGAGGCGGGTGGTCAGTGGTGTATACGATGATGGGCTTGTGATTGGGCATGACATACCTTCGACACGCCTAATTTGTCATGTTTCTTGCCATATATGCTCTTGCGCATGTTATGCATGTCTGTTCGTCGTTTTCGACCATCGGTTGGCCCGTCACCCGCTATACTACTCGCGGTCGTGTTGGGATTTGTGTCTGAGTCCTGAGCAGAAAATTAGAGGTAAAGCGCGTAGAAAGAATAGCAAGCATCGCGTACCGTATAATCGGGGGTGTCCTGGTAGTACTGCAATCAGGCGTCAGCTTGTTTGTTCTCAATTCCATCGTCCTCACTTATATGCGGCGCAACGGCGGTCGCGAAACAGTAGGCAAAGTGCTTACCCCGAATTTTTTGAAGCCATTGACGCGATCACCCTGGTCCTGCATCTCGACGTCTTCGGTTGCCGAGACATCAGCCGTCGAAGGACCCTCTGAATCATTGCCGCGAGACTTCCTCGGGGGAGCCATGTTGCCCGTTTGGGCCGGTCGCAGCGAGCAGTTGACTGGAAAAGATGCGCGGAGTAATCTGGAGGATAGGGAAAGAAGATTTAGGCGCGTCCGGAGTGCTCTGTGGATGGCGACGAGCAATGTCAAGGTTTGATCAACGCGAGGTGGTGGAATGGCTGACAGAATGTGAATGCGAAGTGGATATAGAAGTTGAGTCGTCTTGGCGCGTTCGCGTTGGTGCACGGGCCATTCTGCACTAGCGCGAGCCGCCGTATGATGATGACATGTAGAGCTGCGGGTCAGCCAGCCTACGCTTCTTCTTTCTCATCATCGTATCAATTTCCCGGGGCTCGGGGAAGGCCAGCATACGACAGTAATTGTTTCGATCGACTATGAAATGTATGCTTCTCTCGAGAACATCAATAACACAAGTTTTCTCTTTTCGCAAAGCAACCTATACCATTGGATGATCTAAGTGTATAGATCTTGAATTGAACGGACTGGAACCAAGAGATAATTACACCCTTTAATGAGAAACTTAAGGTCGAATTGAGCTTCTACATGAGAAACTCAAATAACATTTAGCCTATTCCAGCAATGTTGCTGTCTTGAATGGGCCAGATTGTTGAATCAATGTTCATCGGATCCACAAACAAAGGAGATGCAGAGAAAAAATATCCATCGCTGCATACTATTCTTCGTCACCGGAATCCTCACTCTCGCTTCTGGATGTCTCCCACGCGGGTCTTTTCCAGCGGGACCTGATAGAGATACAGAGTTAGTAAAGTTCATGCAAGGGTAACCAAAGGCCTGATCACAGTGATGAAGACCTCCCAATCACGGGGTCTAGACGTGTGGTGGGTCCTAGAGAACATACCCATGGTGTCTTGAATTCCTTGCTATCGGTGGCCCCGTGTATGCGTACATTAACCCATTCTTTTCCGTTGGAGTCGGTCCGCTGCTGGACGACCCAGCCTTGCATACCCGCCTCCAGAAGCGTTGTTTCCTTGGTGTCGGGGTCCGTGTATTCGTGATCCTTGATGATCTCACATTCGCGCTCGGGATTGTTCAGAGTGTGTGGAGCTGGTCCGATTGAGTCCGGAACAATACTCATCCACTTGAGCCACTGTTCGGGTGGAACTACGAAATAAATAGTCAGTAAAGTGCAAGCAGGAAGGGTACAATGGGTAAACCAAGGTCGAAAAACTGCCCCAACGCAGCACCTTATCATGCGGCTATGCGATCTCTCGAATTGACTTACCTTTCGACAGGCTGTCCGGAGGAGCATCTGGGGGAAACCAAACCGACATGATGACAGCTTGTTGTGTTGTTTCAAGATGATGGGACTAGATAGGGTCAGCTTCGAACTAGCTCAAGAATAATGTAGTCAATGCAAACGGATGGAGAGTCAATACCTGGCAGAGGAGGTACGGTAGGTCTGTAAATGGTGGAATTCAGGCAATGATGGTAGAGAGAAGGCAGAAAGATTTGACACTGTTGCGCGTAGGGCTGTTGGTATCGCGTGCTAGAAGAGAAGTAGAGGGGGTGAACCGCTGTGTAGAGGGGAAATCGCTGTTTATATAGCGTGCGTGGTGACGGCCTGATGCTGCTTTTACCTTAGTACGATTCGTTGTGTTATCACCTAGTTCATATCTGTGTAACAGACCTCCACCGCCTAGTCAAAGAACACCCAATCAGGAATTTCTGTTGACTCAGAGGTGAAAGCGGTCAAATTTATTAATTCGGTGCAGCTATCTGAAATCGTCGATTCCACCTGATGATTTGATAATAGCACTTGGGAGTTGACATAACTAAATATTGCGCAAGTCAAAACCGGGCATCGCCGAGCTATAAGATTTAATATGGCAGTTCTAGAACAAATGCAAATCCTCACAAGAGATAACCGAGTTATGCAAGAGAAACTCACTATCTTGGGGGTAGTAGCACGAGCTAACGTGACAGCAGGCATTCTTGCAGCATCCTGGCGGTTGAAAGTAATACAGAGAGGGTAACTGTCACCACACACGCCTGTGGTCTATAAATCCCCCATGTCAACCCATCTTTGCACTTTTCTTAACCCTACTACCGCCCATTCCACAGCCGCTACACCTCTCGGTCACGGTATTTTTTGGTCATATTCAGCATTCACCAGCCGTCACCATCCACTGGATCAGTCCGGGACGTCAACCCGGCGCCTGGTCTCGAGTTGACAACCAGCAGAAAGTCGCGACACCGATTTCCTTAAGAAGTATACTAGAATACATAATTATGATGAACCCACGCCAATTCCAAGACCACAAATGGAGGATGCCATGTATTCGGATTTAGATACCGCAAAATATTGTTTGGCCACCTATCGTCAAATTTCTCTCCCGTGGTCGCAAACCTGATTTTCGCACGAATTGCACCATCTCATTGCTTATTCGATGTGGGGGAACTACGAGTTGACTCTTGAGTATCGTATGTCATTTCATGGCATAGTAAGATACAATTTCTCGTAATAGAACATAAATGAATCGCGGACGATGTAACGAACATCCCAAGAGTACTGGCGTTCAATATTGTCGTACCACCATCTAGACGCCTCCCTAAATTAGTGCATGTGGTTGGTTTCCAAGTTGAGGTTATCTCAACGTAGAGATCACAAAGTAAGTCACAGAAGGAATAGCGACGAACATTCATGATAGCCTGAAAAGATATGAATCTGTGACAAGAATTGATTAAGCCGACGTTATGATACACGGGATCTGGATCAATACATTACCGCATGCAATCCGACATCCACGTATCTCACTGTCGTCAAAAAGATTCGATTAAACTCTCGAGAGAAACATTAATTATACAGATTAGAGTTGATTATCAAGCATGTCACTGAAACGTTCTAAGATGCTTCCATCTACCATTGTGGAGTCAAAAATTCCTCTAAATGCTTCCTAAAATTCGTTGTTGCACAATAGCACAATGTGACAACTCTTCAATCTTTGCTCATTTGACAACACACTGTATTCTGGGATGATTCATGCTGTAATTATAATCAGAGTCCGAGGACGGCGGTTTTGAAAAATCCGAACTTGTATGAGCACCTATCTGGACATAGGATCCTTGTTAATGTACTTTGTAGATAGAAAGTTCGCCAAATACCGCCGTTACTGCGTCCACCATGCATCGTAAGACTTGCTACAGACTTTAGTTAAAAGAGATCATGCCTTATACTCAAGCGAGCATCATACGTCTGATCTGAGTATTACTCATCAATCTTGAGTGCAAAGCCCCAGATCTGTTGGATCTAGTCTCTTACACAAATGGTAGAATAGCAATAATAATTATGTTTCGACCACAATGCTAGAAAAGCCTCCAAATTCATTTCATTTAGTGCCACTCAAAATGTTTGGATATATTGCAATATCGCTAAAAACCAATTGTAGAGTCTAGCATTTCAGGAAACGGGGACTCCTTATTCATCAATGTACGTTAAATCACAAATAGCCTGTGTATGCTTGTTCAAAATATAAAAATGCATTGAAATATGGCATGAATATACAGAGTATCAAGTAGGAATGCCCTGCAAATGCGTTTTATCATGTGTGGGTGTACCATCTGAAACTTCTACTTGAGTGTGGTTCATATGAAAACCCAGGTCTATATACATCGCGAGGTTCTGCGTAGGTAGACTTCGCATCGATCACTTCGTCGGGGCAACCATTTGAGTGAAGTGCGAGCTTCTTCTCGCTGGTCAACGTCACCCTGAGACATGTATCCGGAATATCAATCCTGCTACCAAATACGTTGATCCTGTCAGACGCCTCGGAATTAAGATATCTGGAACTCTCAAAGCCAACCAGGGAGAAAATTGGGTCTGGGTGTATATGGAGGGCGGTCCAACGAAAGGAGCTTGCCGAGTTAACCGTCCTGTCGACTGGCTTGACGATCTGGAGCCCGATGACTACGGCCCCGCCGATGGTACCCGCGGAATTCAAAAATCGGTCGCATCAATCCTCTATATACCCGTCATCCTCTCGATGTCGGTGGAGACTGGGGAAATCCCGAGTAAGCTACTCTTCATTCATTCTACTTACTAATCTGATTACATGCAACCCTCTTAAGGCGTTCATGTTGATTCCGATTCAATTCCATAGTTTAGAGCCCTATATAGAGGGTTCTGAACATGGTTTTGTAGCTGTCTGCAGCTACTGGTACAGCGGTTACACCAAACCCTTGCCAGCCTGTAATGGATTTCTCCCTCTGTGCTCAGACGAGTGGCGCTTAATTGCGTATCACTGTGTAAGAGGGTTAGATAAGAGAGAAGAAAAGGGTTTACGTGCTACTATCAGAGTTTCGTGGACGTAAGTAAGGTGCATTCATGTCGTCTAATTGATATAATCTGTACTAGCAGCCGCGGAGTCTGATAAACAGGGTGGTAGGTAGCTCCTGTGGAGCAGATTATGAAACGTAGATATGTCGGCATAGTAACCTCCATACAGCGCCGGGGTCAAATGGCGAACAGCCCTGTCTGGGTGCATTTGTCACGCTATGACATTTTGCTCTCAGCTCGTCTTTTGTGGTGTCATTTCAGCGTTGGAAAGACAGGATCCGGAGACTGACTTGCAGGTGTGTTGTGTCTAAGCGGCTAATACAGATGGGCAATTGGGCCATCCTTGGTTGCGGTTCCCCTATCACATTCTGCGATTTTGCGATGCTGACAAAGTCGCGTATGGACAGGTGTTGTCGTTGACGAGTTGATTGACGACACTAACTCAACGATCGACCGCATGCCTATAGGCATCAGGATGACTCTCGGATACTCGTGAGATGGTGGGAGGCTTCTGGTATCTCGAGATCTTGTCGGTATAACATCAGCAACAATGTAGGTATCGACGCCCGACTGTAGGCTCTTCAACATACGAATAGAAGACTAAAGGGGACCGAAGGGCGCACGCGTCCTGACACAATAATCTACCATGTACGGGGACTCCGCTACACTATTGTATGGGGTGTTGAAAATGACAATGTTCCAGAAAATTCCCCGATTGAAGATCAGGATGGGCCACAAGAACCATTGGCTGCGCATAATTTGGCACCCTGCAGCTGAACTCCGTGTCATTTACGTGGGGTCTGGCTCGGCAACTACACGCTGTTTTGGCCCCTATTTCGCGTACGCTGGTGCCAAAGGGCCCACGCTATTGAGTTTTACGTGCTGAGTGAGCACTGAAGTAAAAAACTTGGTGTTTCAAAAAGCCTGGGCGTTTTAAAAAGGCGGGTCAACCTGATTACTAAAAAAACACGATTACTAAAGAAAAACGATTACTAAAAAAACACGATTACTAAAAAAACACGAAGGGCCCACGCCAGGGGGTCTTCCTAATACAATGCGGTCGTGGCTGCCTTTTCCGATTCTGGTTAGCTTTCACGATGCTCGTTGCTATGCAAGCCTCCAGTTACGAGGACCGGCAAATCTATTGTGGCTAGCTTCCACGATTGTACTATTTGTGTGTATAGCAAGTCGAACACGGGCATCCGATGTCGAGTATTTAAGAATGATGAGTACTTCATCTCTTGATTTTCCTCATCTAGTGTTTAGACATTACTTTCTCTCGTTTACCAAACACATTCGTTTTTAGCTCGCTCAGAGCTGCTACATTCTTTTAGCTGCGGACATATAGCTCCGTTTGTGGAAAACCATACTTATTATTATTGTATTTTGAGCCTTTGTCAATCCGGCGCATTCGTACTTTCATGGTCAACATGTTTTCGATTCGCAACATTCTCACTCTCGGCCTAGCGGTTGCACCTGCTGCTGTTTCTGGCTATGCCAATGAGGAGAACTGCAAAGACTTTGGGAATTTGAAGTTGGCCTATGCGCGTGGTACGGGGAAGATTGGCGGGCAACCGTTCTGCGCAGGAAAGTTGAAGAACCAACGACTCATCAATGGTCTCGAGTGCTGTGGGTGACATTCTTGCTCACTCAGTATGCATGGGATGGATTACTGATTTGACGCAGGGGCCGATAGCAATAGTCTTCGCGGTCTCATGTTTCACTACAGCGACGGCTCGAATCAGATGTTCGGAAAGCAAGACGGTTGGAGTGGCCGGAAAGTCAATAGTGTGTATGCTCTTTTCCGGTAGAAGAGGTCAGTGCTGATTCATTGGTTTAATTTTAGGCAGAGTCGATTGGGATCCGATCAACCAGCGGGTTGACTACATCAACCTTTGGGACAATGGCTGGGCCGGATCAATGGGAGTTATCGACATGCAAGTCCAGGGCGGTAAAAAAATGACATGTGGAAAATATGATCACTGGGGCGACCCAAGCGTTCGTGTTGACACAGGCGCCAGAGGAATGATGATCGGAGCCGAAGGAGGGCATGGTGATAGTATTGACCATATCAAGTTCCTCTTCACCTCCGCAGGCCCGAGCGGACTTGACATCGTGAGCATGCAACTTCCAGGAAACGGATCGTACGTTGATTCCTAGCAAGGACATCTAACATGGGTTATGGCTGACAATGCCTTAGCACAGAGGGAGTGAGGCGCGGCACTCGCGACACATTCCACTTCGTCAACCGCCGGGAGACCGAACCACTCGTCATCGAGGATATCGAGAAGCAGACCTTCAAGCGCACAATGAGATACTGGAGTACAAAGGATACGGAAACATTTGGCTTCGGGCAAAAGTTTACGGTCGGGCTTGACATTCCTACGATATCAACTTCGATTGGATCCGAAACCGAAATGACTTGGAGCACTGAGAGCGTTCGAGAGACGAAGAACATTGACGACACAAAGGTATGGGAGCAAGCTGCAACGAATGAAACCTAAACTGATCGATCCCGTAGGTGGATTTCAAATACAAAATCCCGTCGCTGTAAGTCGCTATCCAGATTCATGGATCAGGCAATTATTAACTCTTTACTAGAACGGTTCAGCCCGGCAAGGCCGTATTCGTCGATGTTTTGAGTTGGACGGCCTCGGTACCGCAGAAACCCTACGATGCCCAAATGAAAGTGTCTTTTGGGCCCGACAGTTCTTGGCTATACAAGACGACGATCATCTACGAGTCGTACGAGGATTCTGGCATGTACTTCGACATTAACGACGAGTCTGTTGAAGATGCCGAAAAACGGATTGGCAAGGGAGGTCAAAAGGAGCTTGACAAGAATGGAAATGAGGTAACAGAAGCAGATAGGAAGAGAGCAAAGGAGGAGGCTGAGGAGAAGAAGAAGCAAGAAGCTGAAGAGAAAAAGAAGGAGGAGGAGGAAGAAGAAGAGAAGGAGGAGGAGGAGGAGGAGGAGGAGGAAGAAGAAGAAACAGAGCTAGAGGAGGAAGAAACAGAGCCAAAGGAGGAAGAAACAGAGCCAGAGGAGGAAGAAACAGAGCCAGAGGAGGAAGAAACAGAGCCAGAGGAGGAAGAAACAGAGCCAGAGGAGGAAGAAACAGAGCTAGAGGAGGAAGAAACAGAGCCAGAGGAGGAAGAAACAGAGCTAGAGGAGGAAGAAACAGAGCTAGAAGAGGAAGAGATGGAGCCAGAGGAAGAAGAGATGGAGCCAGAAGAGGAAGAGATGGAGCCAAAGGAGAAGCGAGCCATCCCCTTCCGAGCCTAGATTCATTCACTTTGGACAACTCACGTCGACTCTACTTCTTTTAAACGCAGAATCATAAACACCTAGATCCGCCTAGATAGTCCCTTTCCATTCTTACACTCGTTAATCCTATTATAATTATTGTTTTCCACGTTGACCAGAGACATTGCGGCCTAGAAGTGCAACTATTGATGTAATATCACTACAAGAATGTTATTTGAGCCAGCCTCATCTTCCCACTCTCTTGAAACCCACAAAGGCGTGCCCTGCCATAAAGCCCAGCTTCACCTACACAAAGAACAACAAGTGCCAACTGAACTGCTGACGCTCATTTAATGCAAAAATACGCAGACGATCTGGCTCGTCAATAAGAATATCGCCCGGCTACAGACGAAGCTTCGACACGTGGATATTCACAACCACTAGCTGCGACAAGAAGTGAAGAATACTATAATCATCAAATACTTGCCTACAACGGACATGATAGCTGACGGACTCATGAAGCTGCTGCCGCCGGAGAAATGACTGAATTTCGCAAATCAACTCTGACTTGTGCAGCTCCGTCATACTATTCGTTTTACATGCTATCGAGTTTCAAGCACATATCTTGCATGCTATTTATGGATATCGCCCGAAACATGAATTGCAATACCTTATGTGCCATTCTATATAGACATGCGTCTCAGACAAGCGTAACTGTGTGGTAATCCTCTTTGCCACCCTTTTCCAAATCTCTTCCGATATCTTCCTTATCACATAGCACAAAGCCGAGTCGTTTGTACATCTCTGTATCGCCTACCCTCTTCACAATCAATCCAAAGTATGTACCGGACTCGTCCACCTCGTTCTTTAGTCCGTGTCTGTCAATCGACAGAAACAAGGCAAAAATGTCAACGTTTTCCAAACTCTTGACGATCTTTAAAGCCTCTTGCGCGGCGTCATCAGCGGTAAAATCAAAATCGAAGCGAGAGTGAAACCCTTCCTGATTTCCATTTGCGGTGCGTATATTGACGTTGTTGTCATAAGGAAAGTGCCCAGGTGCTTCCGGATCGAAGTTTTCTGTCATCATATACAGCTTTTCCATGGGTGCGCGGAGCTTTATACGTCCATCCGTGACCTCGCCAAACGGATTACTACCCTTCAACGTTACTTTTGCGTCGAGAATTTCGGCAATCTCATTATATTCCCCGATATGACCGAACGGTGGGATTCCATCGCCTGATGCCCACGACCACGAGGGTGCGCGGTACTCTTCGACTCGCCGGAAACTGAGGCTTTGCCACATCAAACCCTCGACGAGATGGTTCTTCCATAGACCAGCGAGGTAGTCTTGGTTCAGCTTTTTTGCGTAGAGACTAGCGATCCCTGAAAAGGCTGGCAGTTTGTCGGATGCGCACGTCAAACTTCTTGGGCCATATAGAGTAAGCATAAAGGACCATTCATGGAGAAGATCGGTCTCGGATTTTCCTTCTAGGTCTAAACGATGCAGCCAATATAGGGACTGGGGATTCTCCGGTTCATCAAGACACAGGCCATCTTCGCCTTTGAACCCTTCGTGACACTCGCTGGCATTGTTCAGTTCAAGGAGCATCATCTGGATTTTAACTGTACTTACAAGTACATTTGTTCAGAACCATATATAAGAGTCCGACTGGAAAGAGCTCTCTCTTGGAGACTCCACGCGCGCTGGGACAGAGGTTCATCCCCCAGGTCGATGTACTTTTCTTTTAAGAGTTCTTGTTGGAGTGGCAAATTGAATGCAAGAACACTTTGTTGCAACCCATCGCGAGTATATAGTAGCTCTACAAATGTTCGTTTGATTCGCGGGCCCAGAAATCCCTCAGAGGTGTTCTTCGCTCTTGCTGCAGAAACTGTAAGATAAGCGTTTGAGTATATCGAAAGCATTTTCGAAGATTCTCTCTCCCAGTCTGCCGCATCATCTTGACAAATACACAGAGAGTCGAGCCAAAGGTAGCGTAGGCCGAGCTCACGCGTAAGCTTTACAGCATCCTGATATGTCGCTGGCATATCTGCGACAGTGATTCCGGCTTTCCTTGCTTCTAGGTTGGCGCGAGACGTCGTGAACTCAGGTGATTCGCCCCAGCAGTAGCTCAAGCTAACATACTTCCCAATAGTGCCCTCGGGAACTGGATCCCAAAGATGCACTTCGGGGCAATCAGGTGTACCCACATCGAGTATGCGAGTTGGTAGTATTGTCTGCGGCGGCTTACAAGAGGAATGTTCATCGCAATCTCGTATCCACTCGCGACTTTTCGTGATCACATTGGATGAATCAGCACGGCCCTCAACAGGTCTCCCCTGGATCAGCTCATGTAAGGGATCACCTACAGAATCAGCATAAGGAACTTGAACCGAGCTCTAAAGAAGACGAGTCACTCACTATCCCTCACACATATCCCCAACGCTGCTATCACCCAAGCCTCTTCTACTCCTTTGGCTTTTCTTCTTTTCTGCCGAGAATCATCTCCGCGGACAAAACTCATCACCCAACAGCCATCGCCGCCCTCCCTCCTCTTCACCACGAAAAGTTCAAATGTTGGCTGCCCGTATTCGAGCATTTCATTCGCTTCCCACTTGGGTCTTATTTCTTCGAGCTGGTTTTGTACATTGTTGGCAGAGGAGCATATGAGATTGCAGAGATCGCAAGATGATGCTGAATATCGCAGTGCATCCAGCGTCTGATGGTGCTCATAGCCGCGTATGCGTTGTGGCCACCTATGAACAGGCTGGATATATTTATGCCCTGTGGAACTACAAGGGAGATCTGGTGGTACGGTGGGTAGCTCTTCCCACGGAATATTTGAACAAAGACTACACAACGACATCTCGTAGAATAATTGCTGTTGTGGTGAGCGCTTCGAAATACGTCGGGGTTATAGACTTGTGGACTGATTCGACGGGCTTCATTCCTGTAAAGCTATTGAAGAAGCGGAAGGATCAGGCAGTCATGGGGGCCAAAGCCAAGCAGGCATAGCAGGCAGCGGCATCGGAGTTGGATTTCCAGATTAAGCGATGATAAGAAAATCAACCTTGGAAAAACACCCTATGATTAGCCAGCTGATAGGTGCTATCATCATCGAGTTAGTCAACTTAACAAAACAATGGGGGCAGTCTCGATCCCTGCTTATTAAGCTTGTGTGAAGGCTCTTCGTATTGATTTCGTTGCAATCGCCTGTTTCGTCTATCTCCATCGTTATCAATCATCGCTGTGCGTAGGAACACGCCTTTTTGAAACACCATTTTTGAAACAACTATTTTTTTACTTCAGTGCTCACTCAGCACGTACGATAGTGGAGGAACACCTAAACTCCAACTCAAAATGAATGGGGGCAGTCTTCTCTTGCACGGCAGTTTTGCTTCACACTCAAATCTCCATGATACTTATCTTTCAAGTCAACTCAAGTGATATATTTTATGCACAAGATGTATCTACTAGGTATTTTCAGAAAAAAAAGACCTGCGCTTCCCAAACATTAACTGATCTTGTATTCAACGGAGATGGAGGAGGCTTGTTCATAATCAAAATCAAACACGGTGTGATTAAGAATGAAATAATCATGTCTATTCATGCTACAAAATGGCAGGCCAAGTAATACTTGCTGCTTTGATGAACCTTATTTTACCTGAATCACACCAGCGTGTAAGCTGTCCGTATTACATTGAACCGCCAATTCCCTTAAACCATGTTCCTACGCTCCCAAAGCATTCTCAGGTCGCTGAGAATGGAGGCTTGCACGCACGCTCCATTTTCTGCTTGTACTCAGCCCAGAGAGCTATAGCTTTCTCAGAGTTCTTGTTGATCTCTTCCAAAAAGTCAAGTTGAGACTGAATTGCTGCATCGAACATCTTTGCGTAATCAAGTGGCTGAATGGAGTTCACGACAATTACGCCATTGGCATCTGTCTTTGCCCAATGTGGATTCATAACCCACCATGTAAGTCGCTGAAAGTCAAATGAGCCCTTTAAATGCTTTTCGTATTCTTTGAGCCTCGATGAATCATACTGAAACTTGGCGATCTTTACGCCCGGACCCTTTTGGTAACACTCAAGCAAATGAGACCCAAATTGCCAGAGCCAGCAACATAGTTGGGAGTGGGGGATCGGAAGAGCTTTCATTGTTATCAGACGATGCAGATATACCAGTGCCCAGAGATAGACGTTCGCGCCGCATGGGCCAAACTTTTCAACTGGGAACTTGATCTTATCGGCATGTTTGAGGACTTCCATACGGCTACTTCAAGTTAATCGATTGTTCCTAATGCCATCGGTAGTAACTTACCCGGTCCAGGATTAATAGAACGTATCCAACTTGCCCTCGAACTTGGGTCGTAATGAAAACCAGAGAACTTGTTTCCTCTCTGGATTTCCAACGTAGTTGAAGTCTGGCAGGCATCCCAAAATGATCGGACGGTGTAGACCTTGTGCACCAGTTGACCATCTCGCTATCATCGGCGGCCGGTTGTGCGTGTCCCAAATACGCTCCCAGTACCTCCCGTTCTTTAGTATGACCGGGCATACAATAACCAGACTGAATGGAAGTCCCATGGCACGGAGAGCATACGCGCATTCGCGCTCACCATCGAAAATGTATAGTTCGCGATCAGCCGGGCCGTGCAACAGAGAGTTTTGGGTTCATTGAACTCAGACGGCTTGGACAGCTTACGTCGCCTCACAGCTTCGCGGATCATCGCTGGTGTGATGGGACTGTCTCGAATGGTTACTCTTTCAGCTCGGAGGGCATGGGCAAGAGCATCTACCCAACCCTGAGGTCCAGTCCAAGTATTATTCCCCTTCCAGGTGCAATCGCCGGCCTTGTAGACAAAGGGGTTGAAAAATCCAATAGGTGGAGCCCTATTATATTCAAACTCAGGCTGAGTATTTGGCTTCTGTTCAAGCCCTTCCGGGGAGAGCGGATGCTCAAACTTGGGGCGAGCATTCTTCACAGACATATCCATGTATCTTGGCTTTGGGATTCGCTGGTTGGTATGCGAGAACCGTTGGACACGGAAGTTGGGAGGGGCAGGTCCAAAAGCGGAGTAATGGGCGATGTGCACTCACCCCACCAAAATTTCTCCGCCCCCGTCGTTGGAATCTCTTGCCCAACTAGTTCTTAAACACCCCATGACAGCTCTCAGAGTGAATACTAGAAATACTTACACAAGTTTCCTCATTGCGACGCAATCCACTTTGATCAAGGGTGCTTCCGAGCGCAGGCGTATCCCCTGCATCAAGGTGCCTTATCGCTCAGTTCCGCTACTAATATTTACTCACACCCATCTTTTCCAAAGTTTCACCTCAGTTCGATTCAAAATGGATGCGCCAGACAACCAAATTGAGTCTCATCGACCAGAAGACCTTCCGTTGGAAATTCTTGACGGGCCCCCAGCCAATGGAGTTTACAAATTCAGCAGTTTTGACGACGCTGAGGATGTAGAAGATTATCGACCTGGAGGTCTCCATCCTGTTCATCTAGGAGATTGGCTATCAGATGAGCGGTATCATGTCCTTCACAAATTGGGGAATGGTGGATATGCGACGGTGTGGCTCTGCAGAGACGTCAAGACCAAAAGACTAGTGGCACTGAAAATCATTATGGCCGAAGAGTCTAAACAGGATTGCCCTGATTTGAAAATCCAACAATGGGTTGCCGCGAAAAGTTCCGAGGCTTTATCTTCACCACTGATAGCCTTACCGACTGATCGTTTCTGGGCAGACGGACCAAATGGTCGCCATCTCTGCCTCGTCCTTCCTCTGCTTGGGCCACGAATTGATACGGTATGGAACAAGTTTAAGGATCCGCAAAAAATATTGCCAAAGATTGCTTTCCAGGCTTCTCAGAGCCTACAACTTCTTCATAGTCTCGGTATATGCCATGGAGGTATGTAACAGACGTTTGAAAATTGGCTAGTAAACAGTCCGTCTGCTAATACTGATATGTGCCAGATTTCCGGCCTGCAAACATCTTGCTACGGCTGTCTGGACTGGATGAATTAGAAGAAGATTCTCTCTTTCGTCTCTTGAAAGAGCCGGAGCGTGATCTCATTCTTCTTGCAGACGGCAGTCGTCCTGGTCGAGGTGCTCCCGAATACGTGGTCCGACCTCTAAATCTCAGCACTCTTCCTTCCGAAATGCTAACAAACAACATCTGTCTTATTGATTTCGGAGAATCCTTTCCCGTAGACATCCCTCCAAGCGATTTGGGCATCCCAGTATCCTATTCCTCGCCTGAACTGCTTTTTGAGCACGATGCTGCGCAATCCAATGACATTTGGGCTCTTGCCTGTACGATTTTCGAAATCATCACGGGAAGAAAGCTTTTTCCCGACATGTTTGGCGATGGAGAAGATGTAATCTTACAATGGGTCCAGCTGCTGGGTCGCATGCCGGACCGTTGGTGGAACATGTGGGAATTTCGAAAGAATTTTTTCGACGATGAAGGCAAACCTACAGGAACTGGGGCTTATGGCGCGAAAAGGATCACAATGGAGGAATGCATTTCGGAGAGTCTTACCATTAAGGATGCCACAACTGGAGTATCAAGGACACTAGAAGTGCCGGCGAGTGGACGAGGAATGCTTGCGGCTTTGCTCTTGAATTTACTGCGGTACGATCCCAAAGCCCGATGCAGTAGCAAAGAGGTTACTGAGCATGAATACTGGAAACTGGAAGTAGAAGATCCATAGAACATCTACGCTTGGTATATATATTCCTGAAATCATTGTCAGTGCCTGAACTGCTGACCTACATTTTCTTGCTCCAAAGTGGTTCTTAGGGAGTACCTAGGTAGGTTATATTTTTCAGCTGAGTATGATAGTGAAAGGTCCCATTTTCAGGCTCCGCATAAGCCTGTTGGATTTGATTAGAGTGGGCTTAGTATTGCTCAACTATTGCATAATAAGTTAAAAAAAAATTTGCTGATGTAGTTGTGAGAGCATCGTTGATGGATGAGGTAGTAACGCGTGGATTTCGGTGGGGTGCGTCACATACTAGCATTTCGTGGAGACTGTTGCGGGGCGGGCGATATTTTATCGAAGGTAGGCGGTGGAAAATAAATGAGAGTTACACCGTATACACAAGATTGGCCTGCGTGGTAGCATATTGCCTTTTCCGTTTTACTAGTAGCGGTCATACAGATGCATAGATAGTGCCTACTCATCGTTGGCACGTGCAGGGAGTACAGGGTCACACTCATGCTCACCTGCTGCCGCTTACCTACTTCACCCTCCACTCTCTGATTAGGCGACAGTGCGCATGTGAATGCCAAGCAATCCGCACTCAGCTATTCAGAATGATAACTCATCAGTTTCGTGATAATTACAGAACATGTGTCCTGCTTAGAGCTTAAAGGCAGATTATTGTGTCTTTAATACTTAGTGTTTGTGCCGCATAGAAATGCGATAAATTGTTATTACGCGTAATTACGCGTAGTACTTATCTTGTTGCTTGTTCCAAGTGCGCCGTCAATTTCGAGAAATGAGCACTCTTGAATATATCATTCCTGGAGCAGAGAATCTAAATAATTCAGTGGTGTAGAAGAGGTGATTAAGTGAATCCGTGTACTCGTGCAATTCTATGGTGAACTAATTGACCACTATAGCATCATATCACAATTAAAAGGTGTAGGGGATGGAGTAGCTATGTGTTGAATGGTATTTGTTGAATTTGGCATATTGTCAGCATAATTGGCTTGGGAAGGGCTAGACTTCTTCTCAACTTCATGAATATCGGAACTGCATCGCTAGATCATATAATTGCAAACTGAAAGGTGGTCCGCAACGAGTCTCAGTGCATTAGGCCCGTTTTTCATGCTTCACTTTCATGGCGAGATGCTTTCATTGCCTTGTTGCGTTGCCTAAACCTTCGGCGCGCCTCATTAGAGGGCCTGACAAGGAGATGCATTCCAGGGGAATACGGACACATTCAAGTCGTTGATCAGATATAGTGGCCTCACCACTCAAGATATTCGATCGCAGCGGCGCCGCCCGCGTGGGAAAATTTGGGCGACGTAGCTACGACCGCGCCAGCCCAGCATACGCTCACGGGATTGACAGACAGAATCATGAACGAATAACCCATATTATTTGGGAAATTCTCAGCCTTACAGAAATACCACAAAGTACCCTGCTGAAGACCCACTGTATTATGCTGCCATACTTTGGCTCTATCATAGAATATGATCTGCGTTTTCAAGCGTTGAATGAGACAGACAGGAATGGAGAAGTATATTTGTGGAACACAAGTAGCTAATTGATTACTTGAAGTGAATAATTAGCTTCACAAAGAGGTGCAACACAGGTATACTAAAGGTGTTGAGGCAATAACCCATTCCGGTAATCATGGGATGTACCATACGCTCGCTGACGTTGTATACGTCACTACGTCAAATGCGCAGTCAGTACGCTCGCTACGTGTGTTATTCGCTTCGTCAAGTATGCATTTAAAGGCTTGATCTGTCCATCCTGATGCCCTCACACAACTCTTTTGGTAACCTTATTTTATCAGCCTTTTGAGTGTGGGAAAAACTTCAACTTTCAATTGAAAAAAAAACACTTGGTGCCCTCAAATCATCCAACAACTAGAGACTTGACCCGTCAATTTGTGAGTGGGCGCGTACCTGGCATAGGTCTGCCACGTTGTAAATTAGCAGCCCCTGATGTGGAATGTTTTGAACTTTCGACAGTCTATCGTCTCGTTTGTGAATGAGCCTCGCTGATATTGTATTCAGATCCATAAACTAGCTTCCTGGTGGACGGCAATGTATCCAAAATAAGATCAATGAATGCCATTCGGGTGTTTCAACTTGATCGGGACATGATGTAAACATATCGGTTCTTCAATGTATATACGTACGAGATCGAGATGATTTCATTTCACACCTTGAAGAGAAACACTTTGAAATTTTGAAACTGCCAAGGGTGTCTGTCTTCATTTCACAAACTTCAAAGAAAATGCAATCACTACTCTGGGTGCGCGGTGATAGTATGAAATGTTTTGTTATTTCTATCTAGAGCTCCGGAGAAGAGGGCATCCTCTTCTTCGTCTTCGTCGTCTTCTTCTTCTTCTTCTTCTTCTCGTCGTCATCATCGTCGTCGTCGTCTACAACAAAATCTTTCAACTGAAAACTATTAGATGTGAAAAAAACAAAAAAATTGAAAGTATATGCTGACAGAAGACGGTGCCTTTACACTCGCGCGTTTGCGCGGCACCACTTTTACGGGGGGGTGGTGCTGTTGTTGTTGTTGTTGCTGCTGCTGCTGCTGCTGCAGCATCCTCCTCCTCCTCCTCCTCCTCCTCCTCCTCCTCCTTTTCATCGGCCAAAAGGCCGGAAAGGAGCGCGAACTCTTTCTCTACAACTGCATCATATTCTACTTACATATTATATAATTAGCTATTTTCATCTATTATCGAACATCAAGATGACTACGTACCAAGAGTCGCAGTGCCATCTGGCATTGGAGCTTCCTCCAACCAGCTTGTGGAAGACGCCTGCTCGGCGCCGGGAAAAGAAACCGGAGAAAGAAACAATTTACTATGCTACGTTAGTTAAATTCAGGAAAGGGAACCGTCACATACGACGACATGATGACAATTCAGACGAAACAAAAAAGAAGAAGAAGAAGAACCACATCTACATGAAAACTGAGGTTCATCTTTGACGCTAAGCCATGAGAGACGGAAAGCGACTTCCTTCCTCGATCAAGAGCCACCCAGGAGGAAAGAACTGTTCACTCGTCACCGCCGTAGAAGATCCTACATAGCTTTCAGGACTGAGCGCTGATGCCATGAGTGTGATTACTCTCATCACGTATTATGTGTGTGTTTCAATTCCCAAGCGGTCATCTTTAGAGCCATATCCAGAATCGCAACACTACACTGACACAGTGCATATGCAATTACTGCACGAAAACACCTTTTGACTAACATAAAAGCAGAGCAAGAAGTACAATAGTTGTTACAACAAAAACAGATTCGGCGATATCTGAATGATATCTTTGAACAGATAACAGAGCACATATTCGTGCACTCATTATGCCTACATATTACCGCTTTACAGACCGGCTTGGAAGACAATAATTGATTGGTATAGATATAGATACAGATAGAAGATAAAGCAACCACGTCCAAGCCATATCCCTTTCAAGTCGAAGGTGCTGGTTGATCTAACTCATCCAACCTTCCGTAAAGGGTGTATTCAGATGTGGCACCATCCGCACGTTGCAAGCCATTGAGTGTGTGCCCCGTGCACGCTCCTTCCAAATTCTGGAGCTCCCCCAAAATTCATGCACGTCATTTTATTTCACGTACATACTTGCCTGAGAGGAAGGTAGAGAAAGTACATACCTGGGTGTGTATCAGTGGGCAGTGCATTGCGGAAATTTTTTAAGTCTCCAAATGTTTTTCGTGGTGAACGTTCTACTTAGCGTTGGTTTTGGAGTTGGGAAGTGGGGGGCGGTTTTTTTGACCTGTCCGCGGGTGGCACAGCACGTTCAGAAAATAGCTGAAATGGAGGGTAATCACAACATATTGTGAGCTGCGCAGAGGCCTAGGTTGTGTACATCGTGCCAATTGCGACGCATTAAACATGCAGCGATCATATGAAGCCACGATAAAAGGAATAGTGTATTAATGCATGTGATGTTATTGCTACAGCAGTATCAGTGTGCGCGTTGTAGTATAGCATAGAACATGCGATAAGTTCATGTGATTCTACATGCACCTGAAGCAGCTCACCGTATTTTTTACTTTGAGGGTTCTATCGAACTTGCTATGCGATAGGACATCCCATCCTTTGTGAATGTTGTTCATATTCCGATCGCGACTTTGGTCCTGTGTTGTTCTTTGTTGTCTCTAGCGATGTGGTTCATGTGATGTTGGCTTTTGCCTTGGTAGCGACGTTGGAACATAGTCCAGCTCCAGCCAAACATACCAAAGCGGATAATTGAGGTGCCTCTGCTCTGGACTTTACTTCTAAATGTCAGTAGATGAGGGTGTGGAGTGGGCATGTCGATGGCTTGGGCAAAGCCCAAGCCATCGACATGTGAGCGAAGATCGCGCCCGCGACGACCATACGAAATACAAATAATTAACAAAAGTAGGATGACACGCTCAATCAAAGAGAAGCTACCATTTTTTTGGTGTTTTTTTGGCCCACGAGCCATCTTGGAGAGGCCAATCACCTCGCGTCGGAACCCGATCCTATCACACATGTCAGCTGCTGTTCTCGCTGACGCAGACGTTGATCCCAGTGCAAAAAACAAACCAAAAAAGCGCTGAGTGCATGATTCGAACCCAGGCACAATCTCCTAAGGCCAAAAAAAACGCCAAAAAATGGTAGCTTCTCTTTGATTGAGCGTGTCATCCTACTTTTGTTAATTATTTGTATTTCGTACAGCTGTAGAAGATTACTGACCTTAGTGCAGGGGCCATGCTAATCTTCTCTGTATCGTTTCAAATTGACCAAATGTCCGAAGACGAAGGCAATCCCGGTTGTTGTATTTATATAGACACCAAAAAAGTCGAAAGTGGCTAGTAGAGATAGGCGAGCAATAGAAACGCGGCTAGTCGATATTACTTTTTATCTAGCCGATCGATATTACCTGGCCAGTGCGCGAACTGAGATTATACGTCATATTGGGATGTGGGTGGCTTTGGTGGCGTGGGCGGCCCTCACCAAGATCGAGCTTCCGCTGTGTCGCTTAGGTCAGCAATCGTACTTAGCCATTGGGGATATACCACCCTGATCCAACATTGGTCGACCACGCTGGAAAACATATCCGATATGATGCGCCCGGTCTGATTTGCAATAGTCTTGAAGGAATCCGCAATCCGCAAATTGTGAGATTGATTTTCGTGAGATTGGTTTTTTGGTGTGGACGGCTTCGTTGTGGTGGTGCGGGGGATTATCCTCCACCAGGCTAGTTTTGCGCTTGATTTTTTTCCGATGAACTCCACCAAGGCAACGCCAGCATTCTCCCGACAGAACACAGGGGACTGGGTGCAATAGAAACAACAATAAAATAAGGCCTGGTTGAATTGCACCTCATCCAGGGTTTTCATGGAATTATTTGTTGTGGGGTTGATAGTTGAAGGCGGTTGTCGTTCTTCGAGCCCTTGCCCCACTTCGCTACTGCAAAGCCATGCGTGATCAGAACGAGACGAAAAGGAGCACATGGCAAGACCTAGGTTTTGTTCCAGGGGTGTAGTTGCGACTCAAAAAAGTACCATGTGGAATGGCGCATCACATCATGATGTCGGCGAGTCCCCAAGGATATCTGGTCCAGTACAAGGTTCGCCGCGAGATAGTCAATCCCAAGTGTGTGGAGAGAGGAAAATATACCCATCCTGGGAGAGGACGTGCAGGAAACCTTGGAAAAACATAGTTAGTCATAGTCTCCGCATGCTTCAAGAAGTAAAATATGAACAAGGAAAGTCCAGGGGGAATATCGTCTTAATGACCGGATATGTTAAGGCATCGCGACCCATAGATCCGGGACGATGCAAGTGCGACGACACAGTAATCTGGCCATGGAAGCTAGGCAGATTTTCTCAATAACCCAGGCAGCATGCCGGTCAATGTTACGCGGATAAGTTCAAACAAGTCTTTGGCTGAATATCCCACGTCGCATGGTACTTGGTAGTTGATCTCTGCCCCAAACATATGAGTGTCCGGAAGAGAAAGGAAATCCTGCATTTGAGTATGACCAACGGTTGTTAATTCTGGGTTGAGGTTTGGGTGACGACCAACAGTTGCTTTAGCACTCAGAGTGTGTATGCGCTGACTCGGTCAGTGAATGGATAACAGGTTGCAGCATACATACGCCACAACGGGATCTAGTAGGTACCCAATACACTATACAAGTAGGTCAGTACAGAGCTCATGTAGCAGAACGTGAATAATACACGAAAGTAAAAAGACAAAAAGGAAAACACTGCAAAATGGCATAGTTAGCATGGTCTGCACAGCGCGATAACAACGAAACACGGGGAGAGAAACATAACAATACAGACACTAGAGAGACGTGTTAGCAACAAGTTCCAAATGACGCGAAATAAATGTGACAGAAAGGGTGCAGGAAAAAAAAAACAGCAGCACTGTGAGAAGGTGTGATTAGGATAGTTCACCCGAGTGCTGAAGCAAACGGCAAATGGGATGAATTTGTATTGACTACAGTGATGTATTAGTGCTAAGTTCTATGTAGAAAGCGAAAAACAGCAACGGGGTGAACATGAACAAAGGAAATGTCAGTGATATTCTGCTGGAAGAAGTTATTAGTATTCCCGCACAGGAGACCGAGTCAAGAGACGCGACAGCTAGTTAGTACACATCTCCGTGGGTGTCGAGGACCGAAGGCTGTGGCGAAGAGTTGGACAATCTATGCTGTACGTTGTATATATGGCGCCGCGACAGGGAGCCACTCGATATCAGGGTTGGTGACTTGCACGCGCTCGGAAGGCATGAATAGGACATTGTTTGACGAAATATCATTGTATTTGGCTGCAATATCTCACAAGTTAGTAATCTACTCTCAACAATGCAATAGGAGTCAGGCAAAGTACATGCCTATCTATGTATGTACTGGTGCAGAGCCGCAGCAAGTCGTGTCCCCGCATCCAGGCTGTCTGATCTGAGGGCCCATACAGTCAACTGTCAATGTCGACGTTGCTGTATGCCGTTGCTGTTCAGTGAGGAGCGTGCATCAGCATCAGCTTCATTGGCCGTCAAAGAAAGTCGAGTGTATTGAGAAATGTGGAGACAAGGCGTGCTGGATTTGTGTTGTTATAGAGAGACGGAGTGTTTTGTTGGTGACTGGAAGGTGGGAGGGTTTTGACAGTCGAGCGGAGGGACTTTATTGCGTGTCCGATTGTGGCTCGTGCGCGTGCCCGGTGTGAGGTCACGGTCAAGTAGTGGGACTTCCTCACTGAACAATAGAATGTGAGACAGAGAAGAAAATGCAAAGCTGGGTCAATATCAAAACGGAATGCCACACCTACAATCGAAAACTACACTGCTATGTTGCAGTCAGCGCGCAAGTACCAACTCCTCGCAGCTTACCTATCCACGGTATACCTGAACTGTTGACTGGCCGCAGAGGAAAGGCACTGGGAAGTGGGATCAAGGGCCAAAAAGGTTGTTCTAAATGTTTCAACCATATGTTTTTCTTCTTGGACCGATTGTCCTCCTTGTCATGGCCTGTAACACACATTCTACGCTGCGATATCCTCCCTTACAACAGTCTCGTAACATGGCTCTTCGCCAGCGACTTTGCAAGCCGGCATGGCATTTTTCCAGGCTTTTGTTATGCTCTACTTTACACTCAGAGATAACAAACTCAAAAACAACACACAGCTCACTGACTTAGCGATTACTTCTCCATGTCCTCCTTCATGCATGATCTCCTATTCATGCCTCTGGTTAACTGCATTACAACCCATCACTTCTTACTATCCGCCGCGAACCAACTGCCCAAGCCTAATCGCTCCACTCGAGACAAGGACACAACTCACTCGCACACCAAGCATAACACCGGAGTCTATCCTGATATGCAATCGTATATGCACCGCTCGCCGATTCAGCCCACATCAGCACACCTACATGAACCACATCCGATTGCGTCGAGCTCACACACCAGACGGTGTCACTGTACCAGCATTCCAAAGAGAAAAAAAAAACCCCGAACCAGTACATTTGACGTGCAGAAAAGCCTACTTCGGTGAAGAGTGGGAAAGGCAGTAACATCATTAACCACTGCAGATCCATCGTATTTACACTACCGCGACTCTGTTCACGTTGAATAAGCAGTCAGCCCAACACATGTGCTCGTCCAGACGCAAGACGGTACACTTCTTTCCAGCGAATAATTACATTCCCGAAAGTTGATGCCACAGTCGTGCCAAAATTTTGACCAGAAAGACTCGAAAAAGCCAGGGATACGATTCGACGGGTTATTTCAAAGATAAGACACGGTCACTGATACGATGGAAAGCGTTGTAAAGGTCACCAGGAACATGTGTATAAAAGCAAAATACTCACATAGTAGTAAAGATATATCAAGACTCCATCATCTATATCCTCCCCTGCCCCCCCAACGCAAGCACAAGACATGCAAAACACAATACAACATCAAATCAGATCATCGAATCCACTCTCATCGCCTCGCGGAAAAAAACAGAGCAACAAGCCCCAACCACTTTGCAGAGGCAGTAGACGGTGGGTATCTAATTGAACCAGGAAAAAGCTAAAGCAAAGCCAAACAAAGCCAGCATGCTAAAACGCAAAGCAAAGCCCCATACACCACGCCAAAAAAACAACAAGGATAGAAACGCAGCGAACCGCTCCAGGCAGGAAAAATGCACAAAACAACGGCCAAACCCAAAAGAGTAGAGTTATGTAGTATGCATCGCCAATGAATAAGAACCCGGCGACGCACCAGGTCACTTTCATCGCTCATGTATATCGTCTTTCGTCGTGAATATTCCCATCGCTCCTCGAATCCCATTAACCCCCACGTTTCGCCCACGGACAACTCTTCGCCGCGACTCGACTCGCTCAGTCGCGCTCGCTTTGGAACGACCGTTCGCTCTGGTACGACCATGACCCCCGTCCTTCGCGGCTCACATTATCGTTCCAAGCGCCGATGCGCGATAGTAATCTATAACGAAGCAAAAAAATCAACCGTGTTCTTCACAAAGAGGCGAACAGAGAAAAAGAGCGCTGGCAGGCCTACTGTTCGTCTTGAACGACCTCGAGGTTTTCATCGGGGATGAGCTCGTAGTCGCCCTCGGGGGCAAGGTATAACGCGGAGGCGGTCATGGCGAAGCCGGACAGGACGAGGATGGACCAGGAGGCGGTGCACAGGGTCCACGAGGAATCTAGGTACCAGCCGTCGAAGAATCGGTCGTCGTTGTTGAAGAGGTAGGCCTGATCCTATTAGCGAGGTCCATGTGCGAGGGTTTCACAGACAAGACATACCACAAGAGCCATGCCAACGCATTGCACGAAGCCGGCGAAGAAGAGGAGACCGCTGACGATTTTCCAGCCTGCGGTCCTGCGTTGTACGCCGCCGGCGATTATGACGACAAAGGCGACAAGCGTGCACAGTTCGACGACGACGTCAAAGGAGAGGAGGAAGCCAACAGTGCGCCACATGTCGCAGAAGCTGCGGTCTTTGACACAATCGGATTCCCGTGGGAAGGAGGTGTAGGTATCGGTGACGCCCGAGTAGTACTTGTGGAGGCCCATGGAAAATTTGCGCTCATGATGCTGTGGACGGTCAGCAGATGCCCACGTCGAGGGACAAAGGGAATAGACGCACCGAGCTCAGGCTGACCCATCGCGGCGTCGCAATGCTGGCTATGGTCATTACGGTGCCTACACATGGTCAGAAAGACATTTCACGGAGGTGGTAGCTGGCAAAAGAACTTACTGACGAGGGTCAGCAGCAGACCGGTTGAGTAGACAGCCTTTCGCGTCATTGTGATGGTAGGGTGATAGGCAAAGAAGAGATGTTGAGGAGGAAGAGTTTGGCGGAGAGGTTGGAGGTGTGGTGGGGAGCGGAAGTAAGTTTGCTGATACGAGCGAGTTGTGAATGCGGACAGGCGTCAAAAGCTTCTGCGGGTCGTGATCCTGTTGTGACGGGGGTGGTATACTTGGCCGCAGACTAGGCGATGGCGCACGAGTATGGGGGGAGCAGGGGAATAAAGTGGGTTATCACGACAGGCAAGGAGACGAGTGCTACTGCAAACGCGGGCGGAGAGGTGACCACAGTGAGCCTGGTGGGCTCGTGATGGTGATGCGATTGCCATGTCGACATGGAATCAAAGCGGCAGTGATTGGCGATGACATCGATGGCGAGAGCCGAACGATGAGGCACGGGCCAACGCACTTTACTCGTTTGACCGCTGCCACCGAGCGAGACACGCCTTGCTCGACACTCGAGAGTCGAGATACAGCAGATAACGGCTCCAGCCATGATCGACACACGCAGTACATGTGTATGCGACGAGCTACTGTACGGATTGTGCGGGGAAGATGGAACATGTCTGAGAAAGTGTGTGACGACTGCAAATTGACCGCCCACCACCAGCTTTGCGTGTATCAGGTCAACAAACAACACGATCGCGATCGCAACCCCATTAGCGCCTTCTTGCGCGTCAATACACAAGTCCTCCCACGCAGCAGAAACCTGCCAGCCGTCCGACGCCTCGCCTCGCCTGTTCCAACAACAAGGCCCGACCGTGTCCTCGTGAACACAGACTGCACCTCCAACGGGAGATGGTCATGGATCTTCAGTGATATTCACAGTGCATATCGCCTGGCAACAGCATGGGAAAGCCAAATGTCCATGTTGGCATTCTCCTCAGCCACCTTGTGTACCCACGCTCGCGCCACATTCATCAAGGACCACATCACAAGAGAGAAAAGAAAGAGAAAAAAAATGGCGCATGGCCTGACACAGTTGCCTCTAACAAAACACTCCCACAACAACATGTACGCTACAGCTGCCTGTTGTTGAGATGTGTTGAGCGGTGTACACCCTTTTGCGACGCAACCGGAGAGCAAAAGGCGGGGATCTGCACCCTGCATTCTCATCGGTCCCTCCAGCGGCCCCCGCATAGATAACGACCCGCCCAATAGATGCCAGCGACATGTCCATGTGCATGCTCGGCGACAGCATTGCCGACGCGATATAATTACAAACTATGTACATATGATACAAGGCGCATTCGCCTAGAATAACAGGTCCTTCTTCTGCGGCTTTTGCAGTATTTCGTAGCACAGCAACCCGGCCGCTACGCTGACGTTCAGACTGTCCACCCCCAGGTGGTCCACCTGCCGGCTGTGTCGGATCCCGACTTTGAAGTGTGCAGCGTTGAGGAGACTGCTCCGGAGCCCTGTGCCTTCGTCGCCCATCATCAACAGAGTGGGATGCTGCTGGACAGGGCAGTGGTCTGCCGGCATCATCTTCAAGCTTCGAGCTATAGTGTAGACCACCCGGCTATGCTTCTCTCTGGGTGCCTCTCCAGGTATCGGTTTGCTCGGGGGCGAGGCGGGAACAGCATCAGCCGCGTAGATCCTCCATCCATCCCGCGCACTCTGGCCTAGGAAATCCGCGGGTTGTGCCACGCTGAAGATGGGTATGCCCTCTGCCGCGCCGGCAGCCGCCTTGATGGTAATATCACTCCAAGGCGCACTTCTCCGCGTAGGAGTTACTATGGCATCCACGCCGAGGAAATAGACCGACCGGGCAATGGCACCCAGGTTTCCCTCATTGAGCACACCATCAACGTAGAGTACCAATGGATGCCTCCACCCTGCTGAATCGTATTCATACTCCGTCCGTGTGCCATTGACAGTCATGTCTTCCTTGCTTTGCTTGCCCAAGGCGACTCCGAACATGCTTTGTGGAAGTGGGCGTGATTGCAAGGCGGTAATGGGAGGAACTGGTAACGGTGACGCTTCTAATACGACACCCTGGGAAAGTGGTCAGCGAGGGTTGGATGCAAAACAACAGGCGCCACTCACATTGTGCGGTCTGCCCTTGCTGGCCTTGTCTAGTGCTGGTAGGTACTCATCGCCAACCACATTTATCCTCACCGCCATGAATTTCGCCCGAGCGACGAGTGATTCACTATCAGTATTGTTGAGGCATCGATCATGTACATATAGGTTGTATAGACGTCTGCGACCTGCTCTCAAGGCGGCAAAAACACTCGAAAAGCCATAGATGAATTCAGATGCGGCAGTTGAATAGAGAAGCGATCTAATAGGATTGGGAGCCTCGGGCGCGTCAGAAACTTCTTGGTCCCTTCGCGTTCGAAAGCGTGGGCCCTGTCTGTCAGGATCCATATCTACTTGAGCATGTCCATCTAGAGTCTCTCTGCTGGGACGCTCGCGCTCGCTCTCTCCCGAATCCCGCTCCCAGGGGAATGCAGCTCCGATTCTCTTATTTCTTTCCACAGGACGAGCGCGACGTCCAAAGAAAGGTCTTAGAGGAGGTCTACGTTCATCTCTCGCGGGATATGTTGATCGATCTCTGTGACTGGATCTGCCACTCGCATATGGTGTATCCTCTGAACTTTGCCTTCCTCTCTCGATGGCTGCTGTGATTGATTTGTATCGTCGAAACGTTTGCGGGGGAGTACTCTGTGAAACTCGGGCAGTTAGACATCCTGAGAAACGGGGCCTGATCATATCGAGGCACCAGAGAAGCCAAAAGCTGCAATCGTACCTGTGGAGCACCAGTTGTAGATTCAGGATGTCAGAAACTGAACTTCCAAATAATCGGCCAACTTTTCCGGACCGCGGAATTAACAACTAGCCTCTTGGCGCGTGACGCTGATTAACGCGACCTCACGCGTCTGCGTTTGGAGCTGCACTTCCCCATGTCTGCTCTGAGCGATGTGAAAAGACGAACAAATTGATCCCGATAGTTGATATGCTTCACGACAACGTACGAGACGTATTAAAAGTCACCATACCATACTAAAAACTCGACCGACATGCGCCTCCGCAGTCTTATCGCAATCTTCCGAATCATTGAAGCTTCTCTCCGCACGAACAAGTTTCAATCAGTCTCGCCTTACGTACCCTACCAACGGCCGAATACAGCTCTCAGTAGCCAGGAGCTTATGCGAAATATTCAAAATGAGTAGCGACGGGGACGGCGCCTCCTTAATGGCGACTTTCCAGGGTAAAGGAAAGCCGACGACCACTCGCCGACAAAAGTCATTCTCACCTGGGGATTTCTTCTCGGATCAAAGCTCAGCTGCCGAGGAACTGCAGCAAAAGCGCAAAACCATGCCCCGCCGCAAATTGATCGCTGTACGCGTGTCGCCAATACGTAACCGTCACGAATATACTTATCATGAGCCCAAAGAGACGGTCGAGAAGGTATATCGCGAATATGATCGCGACGGCATTCTCATGTACACGGTGGGATTAGATGGCGGAATTACTAAAGGGGTACGGTTTTCTGCCCTCCGTTTGGTGAATGCTCCGTTTGAGTCCATGCTCTCCGTTGGTTGGATTCTTCGATTGGCTCTATCACTTGCGAACGCTCTAGCAAAAGTAATAGCACCCGTATTTAAACCCCTCTAACTCCATCGCCAGGTCACCTTCGACGAACTCCTACAACTCGACAGCGGCCAAGCAGCTTTCCAACACTTTGAGCAGCACGACGACGGCGTTTCCAGCTCGAGTAGTACAGAAGCATCGGATATGAGGATCCGCAAGATCAGGCCCAAGCGAGCCAAGGGCTCCGGATTCACCAAAGTCGCAGGCGTAGACTTCTCTTCTTCCGACGACGAGCTAGCCTCACCAAAACCTCGGCATAAGCGTGGCATATCGCGGAAAGCCGGACGGCCACGCAAAGGCGGTGCTTCTGTCATGTCATCCAGCGAGGACGATGACGGCGAGCCCAAACGACGACGTAGACGACAACCGCCACAGGGACCCACCCGTCGATCTGACCGGAAACCCGCCCAAATCCATAACTATGACCTAGATTCAGAAGATGAGCACTCCAGCGACGAGGAAGATGAAAACTCTAGTGATGTGGACATTCTTCACTCTGACATCATGGGCGGGCGCAAGCGAAAACGCGGGCGTCCTGGCAAAGTGGCCTCCCCGTCGCTGCCGCGCGCAGGCATTCGCCAATCAGAGAGGGCAACCCGCGCTACAAACAATATGCAAGAAGTCCAGGAGAACGAGATGTTCAGGGACGACTCTCCGCCAAAGCCCGTAGCACCGAAGATCACCAACGCCAAAGAAGTCTTTGTGACACTTCCACGAAGCGATCTCTTCCGGGCCCGCCACGCAGAAGGCTGCGAAGTCTGCTACAAAGGACCTAGCCTGGCTCCACTCGTTTATTGTCAAGGCTGTTCATTGTCTTACCACAAGAACTGTCTGGGCAATCGTGCGGGCCGCGAGCATCTGGTGACTAAGATTGGGGAAGACAACTACGTTCTCCAGTGCAGGAGGTGCGTCAATATGTACAAGAAGAAGGACCGCACTGCCCCGGATCTATCAATGTGCCAGGACTGCCATCACACAGGTCCGGCTTGCAAACCATTTAGGCGCTTCAAGACCCCAACTCAGGAACAAAAAGAACGTGAGGAGAATGACGGTTTCGACCCAATTGTTGACGTCCAATCCGAGCTTATCAACAATGCGCGGAATGTCATGTTTCGGTGCACGAAATGTTGGCGAGCTTATCACTATCATCATCTGCCTTCGCTGTCACCGTACGCCATGGATATAACACGAGACGAGGATGAGATTGCAGATGACCGCTTTCGGGAATATTCTTCACGGTGGACTTGCAAGGAATGCGACGAAACCGAGGATATGAAGGTGTCCGGTCTCGTTGCCTGGCGCCCCGCTGATGTCGAGACATACCGTCCTGGCACAGCCTGTTACGAGATTAACGAGGATGACAAACAGTATCTGATCAAGTGGGAGAATCAATCGTACTTTAGGTCTACTTGGTTCTCGGGTGCCTGGACTTGGGGTGTGACTGCCCCCGTGACTCGCAAGGCTTTCTTCAAACGCGAGAATGGTCCCAAGATGCGCACAGAGGATGCCATTCCCGAGGAGTACTTTCGAATAGACATCGTTCTGGACATCAAATATACCAGCTACGTCGATGTCAAGAGCGAAGAGATCTTGAAAGCCCGCATCAAGGAAGTCGACAAGGCATTGATCAAATACAAGGGTCTTGGATATGAAGATGCCGTCTGGGAGCGCGTTCCTACGCCAGAAGACGGTGATAGGTGGCTCGACTTCGTCACGGCGTACAACGACTGGGTCGCTGGTCAATACATCCGCTATCCCAAGCAATCTGCTTTGAGAGGCCGCATTGAAAAGGTCCGCGCGTCGCCATTCGCCAAATTAGAGAAGCAGAAGCAACCAGGCAATCTCGTCGGAGGAGAGTTGATGAAGTATCAGCTAGAGGGACTGAATTGGCTCTACTATCAATGGTACAGCCTGAAAAACGGTATCCTGGCCGATGAAATGGGTCTCGGCAAAACCATCCAAGTCATCGCCTTTATGGCTACCCTGATCGAAGAGCACAACTGCTTCCCTTTTCTCGTTGTCGTTCCTAACTCCACCTGCGCTAATTGGCGTCGAGAGATTAAGCAATGGATACCTTCTCTGCGCGTTGTCACCTTCTTCGGTTCGGCCGCGGCACGGAACATGGCCTCCAAGTACGAAATGTTCCCTGGTGGCTCCAAAGAACTTCGAGCACACATTGTAGTGACCTCCTACGAGGCTGCTACGGATGACAGCTGTCGACGTATATTCCGGGGCATCAGCTGGGCAGGCCTGATCATTGACGAAGGGCAGCGACTCAAGAACGACAAGAGCCAGCTCTACGAGGCTCTGACAGCGGTCAAGGCTCCATTCCGACTGTTGCTGACGGGAACGCCCCTTCAAAACAATGCTAGGGAACTCTTCAACCTTCTTCAATTCTTAGACGACACTATCAATGCCGCCGCTCTGGAGGAGAAGTATGCTGAGATGACTTCTGAGAACGTCCGAGAGCTTCATGAACAAATCCGGCCGTTCATTCTGCGAAGGACAAAAGCCCAAGTTTTGACATTCCTTCCGCCTCTGGGTCAAATCATCGTCCCACTGTCTATGAGCACTTTACAAAAGACACTGTACAAGTCTGTCCTCGCCAAAAATCCGGAGCTCCTGAAGGCGCTTTTCACCGCCAGCAGTTTGAAGCAGCAGGAACGCGCAAATCTTAGCAACATCTTGATGCAGCTTCGCAAGTGCCTTTGTCATCCGTTCGTATACAACAGGGAAATTGAAGAGCGCTCAGACATCCAAGCTGTATCCCATCGTAACCTCGTCGAGGCATCTGCAAAGCTTCAATTGTTGGAGCTTCTACTTCCCAAGCTGCAGGAGCGTGGCCACCGTGTCTTGATCTTCAGTCAATTCCTCGACATGTTGAGCATCATTGAGGATTTCATGGATGGTATGCAAATGGCATATCAGCGGCTCGATGGCACCATGGGCTCTTTGGAGAAGCAGAAGCGCATCGATCAATTCAATGCCCCTGACTCTCCATTGTTTGCTTTCCTCCTGTCAACACGTGCTGGAGGTGTCGGGATCAATTTGGCAACAGCCGATACCATCATCATTCTGGATCCGGACTTCAACCCCCATCAGGACATCCAAGCTATTTCCAGAGCGCATCGTATCGGGCAAAAGAAAAAAGTCTTGTGCTTCCAATTGATGACACGTTCAAGCGTCGAAGAAAAGATTGTTCAGATGGGTCGGAAGAAGATGGCTCTCGATCATGTCGTTGTAGAGTCACTTGATGCAGAAGACATAGAAGAGAAGGACGTGCAATCAATTCTCAAATTCGGTGCAGCTGAGTTGTTCAAGGACGACAACGCCGATCAGGATATACGTTTCGACGATGCCTCCATTGAGAAGCTTCTAGACCGCAGCCAAATCGAAAACACGAGGCAGAATGCAGACGATTCCCTTGAAGCGCAATTCAGTGTTGCCCGTGTCTGGGCCAATGATTTGGGCGCACTTGAGGATACACTGATGACGGCGGACGAGATCGCACCTCCCGATCCAGGAGTTTGGGATAAGATTCTGAAGGAGCGACAAGCTGCTGCGGCAGCAGAGGCACTCAGGCGTGCCGATGCTTTGGGCCGTGGCAAACGAGCTCGCATGGTGAGTACAACCAATGCCGTTGATCATGTCACCCTTGCTAACAATCATTCCAGAACGTTGACTACGGCATCGAAAATAATAAGGACTTGGCCGACGGCATCGATAGTACCACCACATCGCCAGTTAAAGTCGACAAATCGAGCAGCGCGCCCGAGAAACCGAAGAAGAAGAAGAAAATGGATTCTTCTGATGATGACACAGACTTCCAGCTTTCCTCTGAATCGGAGGCAGAAAGTGCGGGTATGCCCGACGACGACGAAGCTCAAGAAGAATCAGCCAATCTGCAAGGCAAGGACGTTGCGCGAGCCAATCCAAAAACACTAGTAGGGGCTTCCAAGAATACTGGTAGACCAGAAGGTGGCTCTCTAATGGATATTCGAGTGGGTACGAAGGCAACCGCACAATCCACACCTGGTTCCGTCAAAAAGCCAACCAACATCAAACCCGCAAAGCATGCTCCTCATCGCTCAGTAGTCGGCACCTTTCAACGAGCAAAAATGCCTATTCGCTCGCCCCTTGGACCTACCTTCAATCCAGCAATGCTCCCTACATGTCCTGCCTGCCGCACACAGCACCCCCGCGGGGCGTGTGAGCTCAAAGCCAGTGGTGTTGAGCACTGTGGATTGTGCGGACTTGCTCACTTCGGCTTTGCACGCACTTGCCCGCACATTCGATCGGAGACTCAGGTACGCGCCATGCTCGAAGCGTTAAAGAGCTCGCCCGAAAAGAAGGAGATTGTGGATGCTGCAACCAAGTACTTGCGTGGCGTGAAGGGCCATCTCGTCCAACTTAAGAAGAAAGAGAAGGATCGATCGGCGGGTATAAGCGGGCCTGCCGTTCGACCTTCCATTCAACAGCAGTACACGCATCAAGCGCCTCCTGCCTCGGCATATGGTGCTTCGCAACCCGTTGCGACTATAGGCTATGGTGGGACTAACGTTCATGGTTATGGTTCGCCTTACGCTCCACAAGTACCTCAGGCGTCACAACAGCAGCAAGTTTCCCCTCAAATGCCGCAAGGTCCGTCGCGATCTCAACACCCACAGAGCCTGCAGGCGTACGGATACCATGACAGTCCCGTGAACCCAGATACCGGCCGCCCGTACGACGAGCGTGAGGTTGCGGATGCCCTGAACGGCTTCTTAGGTCGTTGATTGATTCACATGTGCCAGTCACTTGGGGAAAAGGATGCAATATGGGGATATTCACTATGCAAGGAGGGAGCGCTGATCTCGGCGAACAAACTTGATTTCTTCCTTCATATCTTCATAAGGTCGGAAAGGGGGAAACGTTATTGGGTGTTCAGGTGCAAAGATATCATGGTATTTTCTTCTTCTTCTTTGGCCTCTTCTTTGGCTGACAGGAGTTCTTTCCTTTCGCCTACGGTTGGCCGGTTTGTTTATCTCGGGTTAGGGAAAATTGGGCTATGGTAGCCAGAGACGAAAAAGGTCTGCTCGATGGGCAGCAATCATGGGTCACACTGTACCCTCATCGGATATACCTGGGGATATTTTTTGCCTAGGCGCATTTTTTCTCCCACTCTGCCTCATGGACTCGGATATGACATCTTGGTATTTGAACAATGAATTCGAGAATTTTCAATTTACTAATTTGAACGCGCCGTGAGCTTTGTCGATTGCTTGTGATTGGTCGTTGGATTTGGATATCTTGATACTTGCATTGAGCTAACGAGTGTAAGAGATAAAGCGACATAACGTTGGTCATGGAAAACAAAAAAGCACGCCAGCAGACACCACATACCCCTTACCACCAAAAAAGGAAATAAAAGGCAAGTTCCATCCAAAATTGACCCGCCACCAAAACCCCAAAACGCCCAACCACCATCCCAAGCACAATCTACGCCAAAGCACCCATCGGGTCCCACAACTCCAACATCTTAGGCTTCTGCTCCAACACCTTGCGCACGGCGGTACTAACCACGACAGGATCCACAACAGCCTGATAAACAAACTGATCCATCCAGGCATCGCTCATGACAAAATATCCCTTATCGCCCACGCTATCAGACCACGAGTTCTCCACGCGCCACCGCACAGGCTTATCATCGACGACGTGGACAGCCGTGAGAACCATGGCGTGGGTCATCTGGCTCTCCTTGGTCTGCAGGCGTTCGGCCTTCTTCATGCCGAGCTTGACGTTGAAGCCGAGCTCGTATTCGAAGAGGTCCGTGTCCATGATGCCCTTTGCGGAATCAGAGTACTTGCCGACATCGCTGCCGAAGAAGACGGGGAACCCGCGTTTGAGCATGTCGATGCAAGCCTTCTTCATCGTGGTCATGTCCACGTTGACGTATGTGACTGGGCGGCCCTCGTACACGTTGCCGAGGCGCTTGACGCTGAGCAGTCTGTTGTATGGGTTGCGGGGATCGTTGACGAGGGAGAAGAGGCGGTGGACGTCTGTGCCGCCTAGCGCCCGCATTGTGCGGTTGTCTGATAACTCTTTTGCGAAGGCGGTGGGCCGTGTTTTTACGGATTTGAAGTTGCCGTCGCGGTCGTGGAATTCCCATACGAATGGCTTGTCGGGGGAAGGCGGTGGGCCGAGCATGAGGGTCAGGATGAGGTGGATTTCGCGGAGCATTTTCTCTTTTGTTGCGGCGATGGTGGATTTTAGGGTTTCTGGGGAGGAGGAGCTGGTTGTCAGGGCTCTGAGACGGATGGCGTCTTCGCGGAGTTTGGTGGTGATGAGTCTGTCCATGGTGGATGAATTCATGGCATTGAAGGAGTCTGGGTATAATGTTTGTGGCTATGATATCACGGATACGAGATTAGTTGTGATCAGAAAGGAGTTTGGGGGAGTTTCCTAGAATGAGCGGGCCTGTACATACCACGAGTCCATACTTTTCGACGAGGTTAGCTACCATATCCCATTGACCACCATCCGATACTGGAGAGGTAAGTAACTCTTGAACGATGCGGCCATCGAGAGGTTCAGAAGCTGTATCCAAGATGTTTTCCAGAAAGTAGTTTGCCTTCTCAATCTTGTCCCAGTAGAAGAGATAAGACTGCGAGAGCTGAAACTCGGAGAGGCGGTACTTGGCCATAACCGGGATCCTGAATACATTCGTGGAAGCGAAAAGCCAACATCTTCCTGAGCTACGTTGATTAGTAACGGGGAGACCCTCGGTGGGGATCTTGATGTTGAAGGTCTGGGTATCAGATATGGTAGCCGCGCGAGAGGACAAGACGGCGTTGGCTGGGTTGGAGCTCAAGGCAGCGAGCGCAAGACGATTCTGAAAGTCATTATTTAATGGCTATTTCTCGAGACGAAGAAGACATGTTCCATCATCAGTGTGAAAGAAGGTCTAGCACACACACCTTTGGGTCCGCCATGAGCTCCTCCTCCCATGCCTGAACGGCAGATAGATTTTGCTGATAAGGCCTACGAAAGGACAAAGATGAGGGAGCTATTATGGGTTAGATTGATCAGACTCGCGCGCAGAGGATGTAAGACATACGAGCATCCTGGCCGACGTAGACGTATCCGTCCTTCTCGCTGAGGGAATTGCTGTAGGGTTCGTAGAGGGTATGGCTGTCCTTGGCGTCGAGGGCCTTGAGGCGCTTCATAAGCTGCTCCTCGATGTCCTCTTCGGATGGCCTGGACTGATTTGCGCCCATATTTAGCGAGATTAAACACTTGTAGAAGAAAATCAAGATGGGAAATGATGTGTGTAGTCGCCGATTCTCTATAGTACGAGAGATGTTGAGGGAAGCGAGATGAAACGCGGTTGACGTGTTGACCATGCATCCATCACGGTATCTGCCCCTCGGTCGCAACCCCGCCCCCATGCGCTCGCTAAACTACCGCGTGCGCCCAGCTGAACCCTGCACGTCGGCGTGATGGGCATGTCACCGGCCTGTGAAGGTCATTCATATATAGGCTAGCAAGTTCACGTCTTTGTTGATGATTTCCGAATAGCAAAGCCAAGAAAGGATCGACGGAAGACTCTCATATGTGGGTATCAGGACTGGTAGGCTTCCTTCTCGTCATGATGCATCACCCCTGTACGAACACACAGCCCTATATCGTAGCCCTCGGAGTTCATCACTGTCCTTCATCGTCAGAGAGGAACTGAGGGACTACTACACCGCCACCAGCGCGCGAAAAGGTAGTCCATCCAAAGCTATGAGTGAAGAAACATCACAAATGAATTTCCCACTTCATATGTCGTTATTCTTGCACTGTATGAAATATCGCATCGGGTGCAATTTCAAACCATCGTGTCCCCGGTAGGCAGCAATCTGTTGTTCTCCTTGTAGTTAAATGTTAGCAGCTCGGTATCTTGGTATGTAGCTGACCGCATAAGACTCCGGTAAATTGTTGTTTCACTCTACCATTTCATTGACAGTACGCTGTTTTCAGCCCCCGGTCGTTCACCAGAACAGGTCAGCGTTGGAGGCCTCATCAGCACCGCCTCAGGCTGCAGTCACAAGCCGGCACCTCTCCTCCGACCCCTGCTACGAAACAAACATCTCTTATAATAGGTAGATGAGTCCACGGGCATGCATCACAGCCCGGTTTTATTAAAAGAACATTCACTTCATACACTCTCTTCGTTGCTTCTCTTTCTCTTCCCCTTGTTTGTCTTCTTCGATTTTCATCTTCCTTTCAACTTTTGTTCAAGTTTTTCTTTCCATCTTTCTCTTTACTTTACTTCGTAAAAATGAAGGACCGCGTTTACGACTGGAAAAAACGCATACTCATCCCATTATGGACCATCCGGTTCATGTGGATCATCATCGTCGTCGTGTTCTTCGGAATCTCTCTGGAGATCTTCACCTGCTACTTTGACAATGCCATATGCGACGACTACAACAGCGCTCTTACACTGTATGAAACCACCCCTACTTCACCTTGGCATATCCTATAAATCTTTCTTTCTGTTGCAACCCTACACAACGGGGTTTGTATTGGTGATCAAACCCACTAACCAACCATTTCCAGCATCAAAGCACTGCTCTACTCCTGCCTGGGCGTCATCCTACTGCTCGACACAACCCAGGTCTTCATGTTCGCCCTAGACAAGCTCGCTCCGCTAGCCCTCCTCATCATGAACGCGCTGCAAACTCTTTTCTGGGGGGGTATTCTGGTCGTTAGTATTGCGACTAGTCTCCAAAAGAAACTCGAGCCTAGTCTACTCAACGACCCGGACAAGTCCTCTGGCTTGGCTGTCAAGGCCGGTGTCCTGTATGGGTTCGAGGTCGCTTGTGTGTAAGTTTGATCCATTCAGACATTCCCCCCTGGTATTCGAAGACGGAGCTGATGATACTTTTCTTGCACAGTGCACTCTACCTACCCATGGCCATCTACGCATGTATCGCCATGCACGACCAACGCCAGATGCGGAAACGAGGCAAGTACTCGTTGGCGTCTTAACACGGGAGCACATTTCGCATAGCTTCCTCACCACCTCACCCCTTCTATCATCAACAAAAACCAATATTATCCATCCCACGTTTGGACCTGCAGCAGCTCATACCAAATCCATCGACGTAGCCTGAAGCAGTGAGAAGAAATGCTTTTCTTGTTGCATAAAGAATGAACAAAAAAGCATCCGGTAGAATAACCATATATGTATGAGAAAGCTAGCACAGCGTTCCACTTCATCGAGGACTTGTGCAGCATCTTCATGCCATACTATTCTATCCCCCCTACATACCCCCACAAATCCTGGGCGCTATCTCCTACAAAATCGGTTCCCCAGTGTCTGATCTTCGTTCCTATACAAAGAACCTACGAGAAGAGACAGAGATGAACCTCACTTACACTGTGGGCGACACAAGCCCACAAATGCAATCGACTGAATGAAGAACAGTCCTGTCTGGGGGTTTCCAGTCATATACTGCCAACATCACCTAGTCATATAGTCTGGTAACATCCATGGGGTGGGAAAAATTCAGTGATGGACAAGCCCAAGTGAAAACAATGGCGAATTGTACTCCAATATATTAGATCTAGACACAAGACAAAAAAACATAGAAGAAACAACATATTAAAAACTGCGACGTGCAATGAGTTGAAAATCGTTGATAATGATAAGAAAGATGAATTGATTGGAAATTGAGGCGTTTCCTACACCTGAAAGACTGAGGAAAAAGTTGCACAAAAAGTAGGCTGTAACAAAAAGTCTCAAGTTGATGGGAATCAGTAGACGTAAAGCCCGAGGCAACAAGAAAATGGATGAAAGACAGAAAGGAAGTCAGTAAGGCAGTGTGAATGATATCAAGTCCACTTCATCTCCGTCGTGTCTAGTCATCAACAGACACACGTTCACATCACTGACATCACGATCTCAATCACTCGTTTCAACAACAACTCCATCAAGCCAGCAAGCAAACAAACAAACTCAAAAGCAAGGAAAATCGTCAATTCAATTTCTCATGTTTCTCATGCTCTCGTCCAATCATTATGCACCATCCACCGCTCAATGCCATCAGGAGACGTTGATTCTCTCCCAAAGTAAAGCAAAAAGCAGAAAAAAAAACCCCATTTTGATCCACCAACCCAATCATTGCTGCCGCCAGCTCATTCGCATCCCTCGCTATCCAACCACCCACAAAAGACTAAAGAGAGGTGGGGGAAAATAAGCATTCAAAGCATCTCATTATCCAAAAAGGGGGAAAGAGACACCAAGTAAGCAAAGATCCCCTCTTCCTCTCCTCAAAAATAGTCGACGTGAGAAGGTAAAGAAAAGCAAGGCACTGGACGATCAATTCAAAAAAGAGAAAAGATCCGAGCCGGCGTAAAGAAAAGAAAAAGAGAAAAAGAAAACTGGTGTAAAAAAGCAGAGAAGCAAAACAGGAAGCAGCCCAGGAGGGAAAAGGGGGTATCATGCCATGCCATGCCATGCCAAAGAAGAAAGCAGTAAAGGAGGATGAGATGCGAGAAGAACCATCCCGAAAAAAGCCGCCCAGAAAAGCGCCTAAACATGTCGTTCCCGTTTTGCTTTTTGCCCATGCCTCCGAAGAAGAAGAAAACAAAAAAAGAAATTCCAAACATTCCAGAGTTTGCAATCGTCTCCGTGACCCCCTGATATTGCCCAATCGTTGTTTCCGTCAGATATCCGCCGTTTGGTGTATAGAGGACCCAGAAACTTTCTCGGCGGAGTCTCTAAAATATCATACCATGGCGTCTACCATGCCTTCCTTCAAACGTCGCCGCTAGCGAATGGTGAGGCGTTGTCGCAATTCGAACCTGATTAGGGTATGAGGGGATTTTCTGCCTGTCTTTGAGCTCGTACTCGCGCACAGCTGCCTGGCGGTCAATCTCCCTGGCCATGTCCCCGATCAGCAACGTGAGGCGCATGTGGCGGAGCGACTGAAGCCCATCTGGTATTATACCATTGGGCTTTCCAAACTCGTTCTCCAATTCAGACCCCAGCAAGTCGATTTTCGTCTTGGCCTCTTCGATGCTCGAGTTGCGGATATAGTGAAAGATGAGACGATGCTGTAAATCCATAAAACTGTCGCCAAGGTATTCCCATTCACCCCGAACCATGGTGATAGCCATCTGTGCCTCAGTATAATTCCATGTTGGTAGTGGTTGTAGGGAGCTTTGATTCATAAGTGCAACCGACAAGACATGGGCTATTGAATCGCCTTTGGCTTTAGTATTGCCTAGGTCTTCTCGGAAGTAACTCGCATTCAGGCTTGAGTTCCAAAAAGCTTCACTAGACTCCAGATCAAGCTCATCCGTGTCCTGCAGCGTGATTCGGACGCGAACGAAGACCGTGTGAGTTTGGCCAAGCTTCAGAGTCTCAAGATGAGTTGCACCCACGGTCGTCAGTACTTCACAGCCCTTTTTGGCCTCGATCACGATTTTGAGGTTTGTGAGATCACCTATTGGCTTCGCGCTCCGAGCAAAGTGAATAATCTGCTTGATCCTGTACGTGGGTAGCTCAAAATTTTGCCAGCCGTTGACCGAAACGTTCTTGCAGCATGGCAGATTGCACGGTTTTTCCTGCGGGTCTTCAATGTGCAGATACGGTAAGATAGCGACATTAATTTGGTGGATGCGCAGCCTGGGAAACACCGGCAATATGTTATGGAGGTGTCCGACAGTCGGGGACAACATAATTACGTGGGTGCGATCTTTCCTGTTTGCCGCCATCTCTAGCGATTTTGCAACGGCCAGAACCACATTCGTGGTGGATGGATTGGGACGTGGAGGAAACCACTTTTGAGTTCCATTCTTCTCGGTGAGTGACAGTACGTCACCCAAACGGCGTTTTGTATCGTCATTAACAGCACGGAGGGAGCACAACATATCTGGGATAGTGTCTGTGCCAGCTCCGTGGGTACAATGAGTAGCATATACCGCGATCCTGTCGCCAGGATTTAGAAAGTCGAGTGTTTCTACGATTACCTTTTTCACTAGTGCCAAGGAGTTTTTTCCCACATAGTAGCTTTGTTTCGGTCAGTTCACCGCGTACTCATATCATCTGACCTGATGTACGGGGCATAGATCCATGGGAAATTGGGATGAAAGTACGTATGTTTGTGTGGGAAGAAGAAAGGGGAAGTTAAGATAGGCAGGGGGATCATTGCTCAGGTTGGCTAGACCTGAGCAGTACTGTGTTTCTTACCTGATATCGATGATGAATGCTACATCCACCGTCTCATCGGCTGACTTCATGCCGTTGTGTAAAACCCCTTGGACCTCTACTGCTGCCCACATCTCATGCACAGGTGTCTTGTGTAATATCATCCTGTCCGCGGGGGTGATGCAGATGTTTGCCCCCAAAGTTGAAACAAGCCCCGGGTTAACAGGTCGCTCTTGGATACCTTCTGGTCTCGACTGGACGGAATCTAAAGGGTTTAAGATAACCCCAGTAGTAACGTCAATCATTGGGCGTCTAATTGGTGCCGGCCTAAGGTGTTCAATCATGATTGGCCGGCGAGCACCTGCCGGCTCATCATTCTCGACGTCATCTGTGTGTGACCGTCGAAAGCGCGAAAGGCCCCACGAGAAGAGTCGATTGCGTGAGGTGGATTCCTTGTTTTGGTCATCGTTTCGCGGGGCGCGCGGGCCAGGAACTAGTCGAGCGTGGTCGCTGCCGGCTGCGGGATTGGACTCGGAAACATTGGGGTCAGATGCAAGTGGCCGTGACGGGGGTGGGCTGTCTGCGCGCGGATTTGCAGAGCTATTGCTCGTGTTGGTCGACTCTTTCCGGCTGTTCCCCAGTGACCAACCCATGGTGTTGCTCAAACAGGAGCTTGACGCGGTAGATCGACTATTGCGATGTTTGCGCACGATCAAAGGCTGGTTGCTTGGTCTCCTACTCACGGGCAGTGGCAACACGGTGTCTAGAGGAGTCAAAATAGGAGTCTGAGTGTTCGACTGGGCAACGTACGTGAGAGGAGGTGGTCGGACGGGTCTTGCCAGCCAAGAAGAGACTCCAAAAAGTCTTCGCTTCCACAGGAACTTCGCGCGGAACTGGGCTTGTATGGAACAGTCAAAAGCTCACAGGAGATCTGTTTAATGATGTCGTCGAGCGGCCCGTCGTTGTTGCGGAGGGGAGGTGAAGTCAGTTTGCGATCAATTTGGCTGTAGAAAGCTGCCTCGGGGGATTTGCGCCGTATGTGAAGTGGCAACGGATAGAAGTCAATAGAAGGGGGCGCGGAGACAGCCACGCATTGTTGTGAGGCCATGGCGCTGGACGCAGCTTTGGCCCTCTTATTTGTTTGTTTGTTTGTTTGTTTTGATCCTCGCAGGCAAGAACAGGCAAGAGCGCTTGCTTGCTGTTATGATGGGTAATCGAATAGGACTTGCACGCGTATGGATGGAAAGAAAAATAGAATATGCTGCTGTTGAGTGGAAGCTGGACGGGAGGTTCATGTAGACGGATGTATATGAAGAATTGGCATCAGGACCTTACAACTGGAAAGATGCCACTTCTTCCCCCCCAAGGAAACCACGATGAAACATTAACGGCACCTGCCCCCCTTCCTTCCCACCGGCATGTCTTTCTTTGTGTAAACGTGCATTCGTTTTCTACCGCTCTGGAGCACCGTGGGATTCCACGCACCCCAGCCATAAACTGTGGTGGAATAAGTCGCGGGTTGACTTTTCATAGAGGTCCTCCCAGATTACCGCATGTTAACAGGCGAGTGAATGTTGAAATGCGCTGCTACGACTCCAGCTCGTATCTTCGATAATCGAACACTTGGGATAACTTGGGATACTCGTGCGGTCAGTACTATACATGTACGATACGTGAAGATACGTCGGCAACACACACGTAGAATTCTTTTTTTTACAATGCGTCGTGTTACTACTACATCTACACGGTTGCGCTCCTCGAGGCGATGGTATCTAGGTGGTCTTTCATCCGTTCCATGTTGTCTTCGTCCACATTTCGAAATCGAATCTGCGTGCCATGTGTAAGTGAGAGGCACGTGATTAAGGAAGGTGGATGGTTGATAGCATACGATGTCTTCTCCAGATGCTCCTCCAAACAAGACAGGCTCGGACAGACTGGATTTCACGGCTTTCCTAACTCGTTCTTCCCATACGCCTTCCCAATTCCATTCTCCCGGCCGGCGGTTTCTGCCCAACGTAGAATGTTCAACCTGTCGGTTGGGCTCGTTCGAGTTGACCTGCGACTCTGACGTGGGAGACTTGGGCGATGGCTGTTGGCGCTGGAGAGTTGCCGCACGGTATGCTTGCCATGCGTGGTATGCTGATGGGTGTGCTGCGGCTTCCAGAGGAATTGAGTCCAGAACATGCTCGTCGCTGAAGGTGGTACGGACGTAATCAATAACACGAACGATTGAAATTGGCTTCCCGGCCCCGTCATCACTAGGGACCGGCCTGAACGGGTTCTCCTTAAGATCGGGCGGCAAGTGAGTGATGCTCGGAGGTGTGCTGTCGGCGCCTGACCCACTCACGTTGCGAGAGCTCGCCGCCGACTGTCGCGCACGACCGAACCACTGTGGGAAGCCGTGCCGAAGACTAAAGCCGCCCGGAGGAAGGCGCTCATCATCCGTGGCGCTTACAGTGCCGGCATCGGTAGATCCGGTCGTATATGTGTAGGTGGTGAGAGGGGTAAGCAGTGGGTGGAAGACATCGGTGGAAAAAGTCACGAGAGGGGGTAAAGCCGGGTAGTTGGGCGGGAAGGAGATTTGGAAGCGCAACACGGCGGGAGCATATGGACCTGTTTGCGTGTGAAAAGACGGTAAGAAGGCAGACAAGTCACAAATGGACCAGCCTGGGAAATGTGTCTCCTTGGGCTCAAATGCGGTGGTGTGAAGAGTGTAGTACCTTTTCGCACAAAGATGACACCAACCCACAGGGAAGGATCGCCAGGCGTGATGCTCACAAAGACGCCATCAAGCGATGCATGGCGAAGGCCAGAGCTAGAAGAGGAGGGGGGGTCAGCGGATGCCTAGCGAGGCGGCCAGGTCATACAGCGATATTGACTCACAATTCCACGAGAAGCTGTTGTTTTCGGAAGGACTGAAGAGTCGGTAGGGCATCGGGATGAGGCATGGCGGTTGGCAGTGATGTGCCCCAAGGGAGATTGATTGATTGGGGTACTGTAGTTAGTGGAGATGGCCGCCTGGCCCGTGACATGTGGCTCGGCACTCGTTCTCCAACCACTCCACCCCCAAAAGACGACGCACTCACCCGCGCTGGCACACCGCACATCGCATCATCTCCTACCGCGAGGGCACTCACCGGAATTCCGCGCTTGCTTTGGGCGGCATGTGTAGACATTGGGTGCATGTTTACTGTTTGCAGACGTGGCAGACATCCGGTGGTGGCCTGGGCCGCACAGCGCAGCATTGGATAACCCACGCCTTCGTACAGACAGAGAGACGAATTGATGAGCATACTCAGCCAGGGTCACCTGCATGCTTCTCGCATTGCAATGCATATCTCGCGCGCGATAATTGATCCCCATTCAAACCGGAACAAGGCATGGGATGCTTTTCTAGGCTCAGACTGCTGCAACCCATTTCTCGAGACGGTCCGACTACCGTCGCACAGAAAAAACAACGCCGACTGTCGCAGATGGGTGCACAGCAGCAGCAGCAGCAGCAACGTGCCGAGGTCTCCCACCGAGGGTGGGACAGAAAGAAGGAAAACAAAAAAGGTTCAAATCGCGTCTGCGGTAGGGCAAAAGAGAGTTTCACGCTGGATGCTGGTCTGAGTGCGCAGCTCCGCTCCATGTCATTCGCCCGCAACAGGCAAACTACTACCTACTTTTCTTTTCAAGTGCAGTGATTTACCTTTGTAGTGCTGTGCAAGTCAATACGGTAGTGCTGCTAGCGCACGATTTGCGGACGAACGGTCGCCAGGTAGGTAAAGTGTATTGGCATAGTGTGACGGGCTGCTGGTGTATACAGTTGGAATGAAGTAGCACGGGTGCTTGGAACCATTGCGCCGCAGACTGATGGTTCCGCTCCTCGCAAACGGCTCCATGTCGATTGACAAAGAAGCAAGTTGCGACAATCTCCGAGTCGTCCTGTCGTGTAACGGTTGGGCACGGAGAGTAGCGTAGGGTTGAGATGCGCTGGCTCCAACCACTGTGGGATAAAAAGAAAAGAAGAAACCAACGTTTGATTGCACCAAGACGCACATGATGAAGCGCCAGGGTGCAATGATTCCCTCCGCCCAAGGTTGGGTGTCTTTGGGATGAGTGCAAACAAGTTGACGAGGTGACGTCTGATTATGATCGGACCCATCGGATGCAAGGGCGCGGGGGGTGCGGGTGTGGACACCAGCCAAACTGGCTGTATTTGGTTGCATATTCCATCTTGAGTCAATGGGGGGTGGGACCGAATAGTAATAATTCCATCACTGCCGATTGGCATGCTGCCGGTAGAGTGTCAACATTTGAAGGCAGTGCACCCGTGACCCTCGTGACCAGACACAGGCAGTTGCATCCACGACCCATCCTCCCCACCGTCGGGACCCCGTTTTCATGTGTACATGACATGACGATGTGTGTTGCTGCAGACGCCGCACGATGCAGAAGTCTGGCGGAGGAGGGGGGGCAGTTTATTCTGGGACTAGCGAGCGATGATCGGATGGAGCTGCGGCCAAGGACGGGGCCCGGGGCCTGCGAGATGGCGCGCGAGACTTCAAACATACAGACAGGCATCCAAAGAATACAGCGCTCGTCCAAAACGGGCGCAGAACAGGCGGCCGGTCAGTGTATGCATGCACGCACGCACGCACGCATTCTGCACGCGACGTGTGCTTACTCTCTCGTCAGGCTGCCAGGGCAGGCTGGAAGGCTGAAGGCTGATGGCAGAGAGAGAGACGTCCTCTCCCCCTCTCCACTCGAACGTTTGGCGAGCGAGGCCAGAAGCCGCTAAGAAAAATAGGTCGTATCACATCCTTCCATGCGTCTCTAATCTCGCGTGGGAGCTGCATGGTTGACCCCCGCCGGCCTGCAGCGACCAGCAGCCTTACACACCGCATCTCCTGGTTTGCCAAACATGACCGTTGTGCTTACCGCATCGAGCTCGCGACTCTGATTCGGCCCAATTCTCAGCTGGAGCCTTGCTGGACGAGGAACCATGCGACGGAAGTACTCCCGAAACCACTTTGTCGAATGGCATCGCATCACCTCACCATCATCACCATCATCATCGTGGTGACTGGTGACTCCGCTGGCTGTGCTGGCTGTGCTGGCCCAGTACACGGTACCTCAACTCAGCAGTACATGACATAGTTAGTGCCTGCCCTGAAGGATTGCACCCCCATGCCCCCCGTGTCCAGAAACGTGATCCTTTGGCACGCAGTACCAAGTCAGCTGACGATGGATTTGGCAGAGGGGGAGGGGCCCCCCTGGCCGTGGGAGCAGCAGAACGCGCCCTGGGAGCAACCACTGGAGATTATCATCTTTTTTATTATCATCGTCGTCACCATCCTCCACCAACAACGTCGCGCCTGGAGGCTTGGCCGCAACACCCATGACATTGTTGGCCGCTATTCTTGTCTACCCTACCAACTCACCCCATCTTGGAGAGTCGTGCGCAGACTTGTGGGGTGACAGTCTGGGAAGCGAGCCATGGACACAGCGTGCAACTGCATGGATCAATTGATGCCAACAACCCTCCACAGATGGATACGATCCTGAGATACGTACGTCCATACGTATGTATCTATGTACGCAGACACGAAACAGCTTCCAAGCCTGGCATGCCGCTGCGTATTACTGTGCCCGCCCGGCGAAAATCACCCGGTCGCGCGCCGTCAAGTGACACACGGTGGGTTGGCCCGCCGGCTGGCCATTGGCTATGCATGCGCTTTTTATTGTTTATTTATTCCATCGTACGTGTTCCCCATTCGATAGATGGCCATCTCGTCCAACAAAGAAAAGTAAGCAAACACCAGGAAGACGGTACACCGCCACTCTAGGCTAGGCTAGGCTGAGTGTTTTGGCTGGCTGGTTGGGTACATGTTTCTGATCGGAACAATTGCGGCGGGACACTCTGATGCATGCAGGTATGCTAACCCCCTATGCCGGGTAAAATACGAGACTGCCGACGAAGGAGACAAAAGGAACGATTTGAATCGATGCAACGGGAGCAGAGAACTGGAAGAAAGAAGCAGACGACGAATCATGGGAGGTGATTGGCGTGCGATGCGGCACACAGCTAATGAGACGTCAGCGGACTAAAAAGTTTGCCTCTCGGGGAAGGCAGAGGAACACCCGTGGGCCGTGGGCCGTTTACGGCGAGACCAGGGGCCGATGAGTAGCGGATGGCAGTGGTGTGCCGAAATGAAGTCTAGAGAGGAGAAGGAGAAGAAGAAGGGGAGAAAAAAAACAAGCGGAGGGCTAAGTAGGTCGGTATATTTGATTTCTCTCGACGGTCCATGGTTGGCGGCGGCGGTGGTGGCTACTGGGTGAGATGAAGGTGGCAGACTTGGCCCGGTCAGGCAAGGCGGCTGGGCTCGGCAAAAGGAGAGCAACAGTAGCGGGCTGACTAGGAAGCTGTGGTCCGGTTCCCCGGGTTTGGGCCTAGCACATCGCGATGGGGCTTGTGCGCTGATCTCTACGCCTGAGCAGCGCTCGACAAAAAGGCACAACGTCTCTGCTGCACCTTGCTCCATCACGGCTAGTGTGCCCACTGGCATGGTTCCGCTTAAGCCGGCCTGTAATGTGGTCCAAAAGCTTCTATGCCAGGCAGCCCTGGCCCCACGCTCAGGGGTAGCCTCCATCATCTCCCATCACTCACCCCCCCAGGAGCAGCAGCGCACAGCACACAGCAGCAGCAGCAGCAGCAGCAGCACATGGAGCAAAGGCACAGCACCGTGCACCCAGGCCAGGACAGGCCAGGGACAGGCCAGGCCAGGGCAGGGCAGAAGAGACAGGCATGCCAGGGTACGTGGGTGGGTAGGCAGGTAGGCAGCTTGACTCTGTCTCTCTCTCTCTGCACCACCTCTCTCCCACGTTCGATTCAGGTCGTCACTACGTAGGATCTCTGCGCCAGCCAGACATACCCTGTCCCACCGGCCTGTCAAGATGATTTGGCCATGTTTCGTCGTCGTGCCCGGGGCCCTTCACAAATTTACATTACTTACCTCTTACCGGCTCCGTGTTTGGCTGTCTGGCGGCCACTCAGTCGTCTAGTCAGGCTGTACCTCGCACCCATTCCCTTCCCTTCGACTTCCCTCACCGCTGCCCTGTCTCTATCCGCCCGACCATTACCACGTATCCACTCCCGCACCACCAGCGCCAGTCTCTCCGTTCCCTCCCCGCCGCTGCTATCCTTGCTGTCCCCCAGCGGCCCTTCCACTCCCACGACGCCACTCAAATCTTATATATCTCCCTGGTGACGCTCTTCTTCGCTGCTCTACCCTCATTCCTTCCCTTCCGTGACCCAACATCTCGGTTCCACCCAGTCATACACATACACAGTCTTGATCTGATTCATCTTTCTTCTTCTTTTTCTTCTTCTTCTTCTTCTTCTTCTTCTTCTTCTGTCATACCTCACGCAGCTTTTCATTTGCTTTTCAAGTTTGCTGTACAACTCCCACGACGCTACTACATATATCCTACTTTCCCTTCCCCTTCTTTCTCTCTCGCTCTCCACCCTTGGTTCCCACCTCTACCGCTGCTCCAATTGCAAACAAAATCCCAACCTCGACCCGATTTATTCCAGGAAACAAAGACTACATCTCTTCACCCACCAAGATCAACGCAACAATGCCTCGCCATGGCAGGGGTGCCAGCCGCACCAGAACGGACCCGCCGTTCCCCACCAAACAAATGGCCATTCTAGGTGAGCATGAGGATCAAGACATGGCGTCTCTGGTGGTATCTTGGGCACTGACATTGTCCGCGCAGCACTCTGCCGGATCAGCGAACCCATTGCCTTCATGTCCATCTTCCCCTACGCCTACTTCATGGTGGAGTCATTCGGCATCGCAAAGAGCAAGGGCGAGATCTCCATGTACACGGGCATGGTCACATCAGCATTTGCCTTCTCCGAATGCGTCAGCGGGATATTTTGGGGCCGGCTGAGCGACAGGATCGGGCGCAAGAAGGTGCTGCTGGGAGGGCTGTTCGGAACGGGACTGAGCATGTTGTTGTTCGGATTCGCCAGAAGCCTGCCAATGGCGTTGTTTGCCCGGGCGCTGGGGGGGCTGCTGAACGGGTGAGGTCATTCGTGGGACGGGCTGCAGTAGCGCTCGCTAAACTCGTGCGCAGGAACATCGGCGTACTCCAGACGACCGTCGCAGAGCTGGTAACAGCGGAGAAGCACCAGCGTGAGTCGGCCTGCCTGCGGGACCACATGTCTTTCTCGTCGTCGTCATGGCTAACTTTGGGCAGCGCGCGCGTATTCCATCATGCCCTTTGTGTGGTGCCTCGGGTGCGTATCCACTTCTCCTGAGAGCCCAACTGCACACCTGAGTAGCTAGCTGACCGCTGTTTTGTAGCACCATCATCGGCGCAACCCTTGGCGGCATTCTCGCTCGCCCCGCTTTGGCTCTGCCAACCTGGTTCGAGGGCACCATCTTCGACACGTACCCGTTCCTGCTTCCGAACCTGGTCTGCACCGCCGTCGTCATCTGCGGCCTGGCTGTCGGCATCCTGTTCCTCCACGAGACTCACGAGGACTGCAAGTACGACCGCGACCGCGGCCGCGAGCTGGGCAATTGGCTCCTCGCCAAACTCTCCCGCAAACATGACTCCTCGTCCTACGCGCCCCTATGTGACAAAGATGCTCCCCTGGACGAGGAAGACGCTGCCCCCCTGTGCCCGTCCAGGAGCAACTGCAGCTCCCCAACCTTGTGCAGCGCCCGCTCGTCCATGTCTGAGCCAGCACCCTTTGAACTCGAGAGGAAACTGACCATCCGCGATGCCTTCACTAAGCAGGTGTGCTTGAGCATCGTCTGCTACGGCATCCTCGCCTTGTAAGTTTGCTTGCTTCATTATCCCCCCCTGCTCGGGAGCGCTTACTCATGGTCCACTCCGTAGCCATACCATATCTCTCGAGCAGCTACTCCCGATCCTCATGTCCAAGGCCGAACCCACCGGGGATAATCGTCACCTTCCATTTTACTTCCAGGGCGGTTTCAACTTCACCTCCCAGACCAACGGCATGCTTTTGTCTATACAGGGCGTGCTGCAGATGGTCGCCCAAATCTTCATTTTCCCTTGGATCAGCAAGAAAATCGGTAGCCTACGCACATTCTGCCTCACGATTGCATTCTATCCTTTCCTCTACCTGCTCGCACCGTACCTCGCATTACTCCCCAAAAACTTCCGGGTTCCAGGAATCGTGCTTCTGCTGGTCTGGAAGGTCACCGCGCAGTCCTTGTCTTACCCGTCCCTTGCCATCTTGCTCACCAACTCATCGCCGTCCAAGAAGGTCCTGGGGACCTTGAACGGCGCAGCCATGGCCTCAGCCAGCGTCTGCAGAGGTTTTGGCCCCACCGTTACTGGCGCAGTCGATTCTGTCGGTGACCGCATCGGCATGTCAGGCCTTGCCTGGTGGACTTGCGCCGTCATTGCCGCTATCGGTTGGGTGCCTGGATTCTTCATGGAAGAGCCACCGCGTAAGCAGGAAGACGACGAAGAAGTTGGATTCGGCATGGAGTCATCTGACTCTGACGCCGAGTCTATTATCACCCTCACCCCGGACGATACCGCAGGGTCCGTGCTTTCTAAATAAGGTGCGACTTGCGGGCTGCCTCTCTTGAATTCTTCCTACTCAGCAGCGGCGCAGGCGGGGCTGCCTCATTATTTTCTCGCTTTCTTTTTCCAACTCTCTCATTGGCACAACTCTACATGTTTATTAATGATTTTTTTACATCTGCTTTTCGGGCGTCACCGCAACGGGTCTTTTGTTTTCACTGGGAGGAAGGTTTTTGTGGGAATTTTCCTTGGTTATTAGACGGGCACCCCCAAAAAAGAGATACCTGCAAGATGGATGGGATTTTTTTTGTTTTTGGCGTTTTCGAAGATAAAAAACACAACACGAGAAGTTGAAGTTTCGTGTTTCCCTATCAATACCCCACCGGAGCTCTCACCGGACAGAGAGAAGCTGGACTTTGTTCGGCCTGCAATCTATTTTCACGATAGTCAGAACACATGCAACCCACGTATCGTTCATTACCATCTTTCCATTGGCTCGTTCGGGGTGAGGCAACATTGTCGGCCCCCAAAAGCTCTCTGTGCTTATGCGAAGTAATGTCAGGAATAGCATCAGCACGTTTCTTTTCGCGTAGCTTTTCTTTTAGCTACGCGAGAGGAGGACGTGTCCAGGAATCCTGTAGGGGACGCTGAATGAGGGCAAAGATGAGCAAGCCTCGTTTGGGCATTAGCAGAGAAAGCAAAGTCCAATTGTAATAATGAACGAAGCCATGTAAACGATATGCCCCAAGCAAGTTGTGTTGGTCCATGTACACAGGTGTACTGAGGCATGGGGCGAAAGAAAGGGCGGCAGCTAACTCGGAGCGGCTGCCTTGCAGTGTTTGCGGTTGTTTCCTTGAGCGAACCCTTGCTTGATCGGTGAGGTCTGTAGTCATGGACATACATACACACAGTCAGCGACTTGATACGTGTTTGGACGTCAAAAGCAAGAGTCAAGGAGGAGAGGGCTTGGGCAGGCGGTGTCCTGGTGCCTCACTCATCCAAAGCAGCCATTCCTTCGTGGATCGATTGATTCATTCGTGGTCCGTCCGGTGAGATGTGCCGTATTGTGCCGTTGTCCATGACCATGCATGGTCCGTTGTTGTGTAAGCAGCCGAATGAGTCCGCGAAGATGACGGCGATGATGTATGTAGGCATGGACGATCAATACGATCAGATACGATGGACAGATGCGCAGTGCAGAGTACACAAGGTACATGGCTATGTACATACATGTATATTTCCGGTGGAAGCAGCTCGGCCCGACTACCTCGTTAGTAGCTGGCTGACTACATACTACTGACCCGCGGCTGCTGCTGCTGCTGCTGCTATCAGGGCCGCGATAAGGATCAGAACGCCGCCTCCACGCAGCAGCCAGCCTGGATGGTTGCTTTTTGGGGGGCCATGGCACACCACTCCAGGCCACCCCACGCCCGCAATTGCTCTCCGCTGCCCGTCTGCCTCCCTGCCGCTCGGTCCCAGGCGCTCAACCGGTCGCCGCCGACAAGTCAAGTCATCCATCCCTCGGGCGGACTGGATCGTCGTCGCTTACTGTACCCTCCCGTGTCTCTTCGAACCTACAACCCAGGTGCGGGGAGCTAGCTAGTTACCGCAGAGACAGACAAAACACACCTCCACCGAGCGCGACTCTGAATGCGCCATTCGGCCTCTACCACGCGCCCACATCCGCTTCCGCGTCGCATCATCCACGGCGTTGCCGGTCGCTGCTGCCCGCTGTCTTAGCCCTTCTGCCATGCCCGCGTTGTGGTGATGATTGGTACCAAGCGCGCTCTCGACGAGGGAGACGACAATGCAAACCCCTCGCTGCCCACTGCGAAGTCGCTGCCGTCACCGCCATTACACCCGCCCAGCGCCTCTTCCACCTCGTCCTTCCGAAATGTTTCCGCATGCAACAGGTACTGTGACTCTGTCTCCACGTCACCACCACCTCTCTCGGGTTGTGTGCGCTGCGTGCGGTCCCGTCTTGTGCTGTGCAATGCATTGCCACCGCTTGACGGCATGAGGCACACACGTCGCTGACACACCTACTACAGATGTCGCTTGAGGAAGAATCGCTGCGATCAGCGCTTGCCCAGCTGCAGAAGTTGCGAAAAGGCCAGTGTAAAATGCGTCGGCTACGACCCCATCACCAAGAGAGAAATCCCTCGCAGGTGTGTACAGCCCGCCATATCTACAGCCTCGAACCAGTCATCTGCATCTTATGCTGACCATTGCGGCTTCTCATTCTTAGCTATGTTTATTACCTCGAAACTCGGGTTGCATACCTGGAGTCCCTTCTGCAGGAAAACAGCATAGCTTACGCCGCGGCTGACCAATTCGATCCCGCATCCCAGGCTGCCAATGGCTCCACTCCCAGACCTGTCTCGTCCTCTGGAGGACCACCACATGAAGGAGGCGCCGCAAAGCCACCGTCGACTGACAGAACCAAAGCGGAGAACGACCAATATGACCGCAATAAGCTCGATAACCTGGTATCCAACATCGGCATGGTTTCGGTTCAGGGCGCGAGTGACCCTAGATTCCTTGGATCCACATCCGGCATATCATTTGCAAGAGTTGTGTTTGCAGCGGTCAAAAGTACTGTCTCCGGGTCATCATCCGAACGTGGAAGTGTGAGGGGGAGCAAGTCGTTTAACGCCAACATTGTCGAAGGCGGGTCCTCGATGCGCGACAGTTGCTTCGGCCTACAAACAAAGCCTACCTTCCGGCAAGCCCCATTTCCTGATAGGGAACTGGGCGCTCGGTTGGTAGAACTTTACTTTGAGCACGCCAATCCGCAAATCCCCATCTTGCATCGCGGCGAATTCATGGAAATGTTTGAACGCGTGTACGCTTCGGCTCAAGGAATCCGGACTTCGCGGGAATCCTACATGCTCAACATTGTTTTTGCTATTGGAGCCGGTATCATCATGGGTAGCTCAGACTCTAGCGAATCCCCACCCTCCGACGGCGCAATCAAGTCAAGGTCTTCACCACCGTCAAATAAAAAGCGGCGTCTTGCAGGCCACCAGCACCAGCCGGAGGAATATCACGCCTCCGCCATTGTGCATCTTGAAAATTTTCTCGGTTCCACCCCTGCTGCGGACCGACCGGATGGGTTTGGGGGAGGACTGGAAGAACTTCAAGCTGTGTTGCTGTTGGCAGGGTTCGCGTTGCTGAGACCGGTTGCGCCAGGCCTCTGGTATATTGTCGGCGTCGCTGTTCGTCTCGGTGTTGATCTTGGCTTGCACTATGAAGACGGTGTGGGGATTGATGGTGGTTCTGGACCGGATGAAGCGGTGATCAAGACAGAAGCACCCGAAGGTGACACTTCGACGGTCGGCGGCAGTGGGAAGAAGATTGGTGCGCGAGAAAGAGGGCGCAGGGAGTGGGTCCGTGATCTCCGACGAAGACTCTGGTGGTGTGTCTACTCGCTCGATAGGCTCGTGGGCACTTGTGTCGGACGACCATTTGGGATAACTGATCAGGTCATCACGACTGAGTTCCCGTCCATGTTGGACGATCGTTTCATCACCAAAGAAGGGTTTTTGGTTCCCGGGGAACACCAACGGCGACCCACATACAAAGTCGTCTCACAACATTATTTCCGGTTGAGACTGCTACAATCCGAAATACTGCAGGTGTTACAGCATCGTCAGACCCAGCAAGTAAGAGCCAGTGGAACCAACCAAGGAAATGAGTACATGCACACGAAATTACCTTCGCCCTTCTTGGCCAATTTCATGTCTTTCCGTGCATGGCGCGCCGATATCGATCGGCGTTTGTCGGAGTGGAGAGACTCGGCGCCGACTCAGCTCGATGCAGGCGTACAGTTTTCCCCGCTCTTCCTGGAATTGAACTACTGGCAGGCCATCATTATGCTGTATAGGCCAAGCCTCGTTGTTCCGACAGATCTGGTCGCGGAGCTAGGCAACGCCGATAGTAATGTCGACAGTCCATCTGTGATCAGTGTAGACGAAAACGAAGATGAAGATCTCGTGTTTTTCAAAGTGGCTGAGGCAGGACAAAAAGTGTTGAAGCTGTATCGACAACTGCACAGGGTGCATTTGGTCAATTACACCTTTCTAGCGACCCATCACCTTTTCATGGCTGGTAAGTGTCCGCTGCCGAGCCCGCCTACGCATTACTGAGTTATTTAGGGATTTCGTTTTTGTATGCGGTGTGGCACTCACCTGCTGTGCGCAGTCTTTTGGTAAGTGCGATCTTTTTTTCACCCCATTGGGAACATCGACGCGGATCTAACCCTCTCGTAGTCTTTGGATGATGTAGACTTTACGGTTCTTGCAGCAACGTCTGTGCTGGGGGACTTGATCGACAAATGCCCACCTGCTGAAGCATGTCGCGACGCATTTGACCGCATGAGCAAAGCCACAATACAGATGTGCATGGCGACGACCGGATTCGGACCTCAGGCGCTGCGCAGCGGTGCCCAACAGATGCAGGACGCCGTCCGACCCTCCACTTCACCAAACACAGCATATACGTCTACATCAGAGGCAGATGCGCGGTCGGATACGGAGATGAGCGGATACCGAGCGGCTGGGTACACCCAGCATACCCGACGGCCCACCCCACGCTTCGACATGAATCTCAAGGAGCTATTTTCGGAAGACGAAACAGACAAGCAGTCGTTCAGTCGCATTTCCAACCAAATCAGCAGCAGCATGCAGCCACCCCCTCTCCCGGGTCCAGTGCAGCACCAGCGCCAACAACAACCACCATTGAAGCACGAACTTCCGCCCCAGCAGCAGCAGCAGTTGATGCAACCTTTCTCCGCCAACCTCAAAATCTCCCCACAACTGCATTTTCAACAGCAGCAAGGATACCCCTTCCAAAACCTCCCGCCTTCCCCCCAGTACCAACAGCAGCAACAAACCCCGTCATCCACAACACCAACCCTCTCTCCACCAATCCCTCAAACCTCCCTTCCACCTACTTTCCAACAACCACAAGCACAACAGATGCCCCCTTACAACACATACTCCTCGTATCCAACAACCCTTGGCTTCTCGGACCTCGACTTTCTAGATTCATTCCCGATGCAAGGCTTCTCAGACGACGCCAACAACAACACATCCAATAATGACGGTGAAGCCGGAGGTGCAGGCAGTGGCTCGCAGGACATTGGGTTCGGAAGCATGGGGTTCGGACTTGGGCTTGGCAGCGATGGTACGCATGATTGGAGCGATGGGAACGGGTTTGATTTGTTCGAAGGGTTTTTCTTCGGACCAGGGGGTACGGGGATGTGAATGATGGAAAAAAAGATGCGGGTGAAAAGTTGGGTGTGTGTATTGGGGGGAAAGGTTGAAGGGGGGTGATTTTGGGTTTTGGTTGTGCGTTTCACGGTTTTCATGTGGATATACCCTTGGGTTCCCTTTTTATGTGTCTATGCGTGTGTGTCTGTATGTAGATGGATGGATCGATGGATGGACATGTACATGGTCGTCTTGAGCTATACGATACATGGTGGTAATGAGCGGAAAAGTTTTGGAACGTCAATCAGGTTTTTTTTCTCCTTCGCTCATACGGCGGTACATGTCACATAAGGAAACTACGTTGTTCTCCTACTCTTAACCTACTGATTGTAACCTGGTGATATGAGTACAAGACGAAAAAAGTCTTGTGTTGAAATTCCTTTTTACTTGTATTTATTTTTCTAGCAAAGATGAAACTAAAAAGGGGATGATATCGCCGTTTTATTTTCATCATCATCATCATTATCATCATCAGCTTTCACCACTGAACACATTTCATTTCCTGCCCTATCCAACGCTTTTCCCTTTATTTTCTTCCTTCCCTGCTCCCTTGTATCCCCTATCGTGTCCCTTTGCTTCGCCTTATTATTTACAAGGTAAAATCTTAAAATATAGCAAAAACGTCACTTATCATTTTCTCCAACTCTATGGTTTCACCTAACCTCCCCATCTCTCTCTCTCTCTCTCTCTCTCTCTCTCTCTCTCATAGAGTTCCCTATCACAACCAAGAAAAAAGAAGAAGAAGAAGAAGAAGAAGAAGAAGAAAAGGACAAAGAAGCCATGGTACACCCACAAAATTTCCCTATTTTCTAGTTACCAGTAAATACAATACGACTGATTCATTCCCAGATCCGAACTGGATCCAGTATCTGAAACATGCAGGATAGATACATCCGATTATATGTGATGGGAGGCAAGTGGACAGACACTTGTATTGGAAAACCATCGACCCTCTCTCTCTCTCTGTGCTCAAAGAACCTCTCGTCTTTGATAATGTTGCGAACAAAAACAAAAACGTGCTGTGTGTAGGGGGGAGAGAGGAAAGGAGAAGAGAGAGAGGATACATTTGCGAGGCAATAACTAGTCCAGGTTTAAAGAATACCAGAAACGAACACACACACACACACACACATATATATATGTGTGTATATATATATGTTGGCGTTTATCTGGTAGTAGGTATAAAGCTGATTGATTCTGAGTTGGGGTTTGGGTGATCCTACACACAGCGAAGGGTTACGACGATGAATAGACACCAAAAAAAAAAACGAGCGATAACCAAAAAAGGCATATAGCTGAATCCAAGGACAAACGGCGTTTCCATTAGCGTAGGCAAATCGAAAGCGGAAAAAGATGTCGCAGACAAGTCACATAATATGTCAAGTAGGGCACGATCGGAATAGCGCTATTCAATGGATTGGATTTCTAGCCTCTACATTGCACCGATTCACACTGTTCAAGTTCTGTATGATATCAAAAAGCTCGGCAAAAGGAAACAAAGGGAAAACAGGGAAAAGGAGAATTTGTTGTCCCACGGTACTGGGACCAGTCCCGGAATGAAGTACATCAATCCCAGTTACAGAGTCATCAATTCGAGACCCCATATAGAGCGTAGTGATTCCCATTTCATATATGGACATATGCCTGATACGATTTGCCGACGGCGTATGCATAGCCTGATCAATATGCAGCCTCGGAGTTTACCGTGGCTGAGTATTCACATCAACTGATGAGGCCGATCACAAATCTAGTTGTGACCCACAGCCTGCTTCACCGCGGGACCAAAAGAAGTGCCCATGATGACGAGCAACTCGAGGAGGAAAACGTGGAAGATGACGATGACCATGAAGATCTCGACAAAGAAAGACTTGACGAAGTGCTTGAAGACACGGCGGCGACCTTCACCATCAAAGCTCTTCCATGCATCAACGAAGCGCACGACACCGGTTCCACCCAAAGATTTCGGCACAACCTTGCCAGCGAAGGTGCGGTCGAATGGGACAACAGTGTCCTGGTCCTCGCTAAGAAGAGAGGCTTCGGTGCGGACTAGAGTTGCCATGGCCGGGATGTAGAGGAAGAGAGTAGTGGCCGCGACAGCGAAGACGAGGGCGATGAATTTGAACAAGTGCCAAGCCACGCCCGCAAGGGTGACGGTGCTGCGGCTTTGCTCGCCAACGGTGGGGAGGTTGAGGAATTGCGCAAAGACAAAGATGAGGGCGATCTGGAGGTAAGGAACGAGAGCGACGACAGCGGCGGGTAGGGCGACAATCTTCCAGGAACTGCGGTTGGGGATACGCTGCCAGAAAGTGACGTTGGAGTGCTTAGAGATGACCTTGTTGGTCCAGGCAGCGTGGAGAGGTGCACAGACGGCTCCGGCAACAGCAGCTCCAACCACAGCGGTAAATAGGTTGGCAGGAACGATCAGGAAGAAAAGATTGGTGACCTGACTAACCACCATGCTGTACAGGAAGTGGTAGCCGAAACCCTTCAGGTGTGCCCTACGTCCGGATTCAGCGCGAAGGTGCTTGAGCGTGGCGCGAATGGAGGAAGTGATTGGTTTCTCGTGGACGAGCGTCGCCTCTGGTGAAGTCTCGAGCAGGCCCTCTTTTTCTTCCCCGGTTGCGGCTTCCTTGGGCGCGGAGATGGTGATTGCAGCGTTGGGCGTCTCTATCGCAGCGAGGGTTGCGATGAGGTATTGAAGGGCGTACTCAACCTAACACGATTACTGGTAAGCACTGGCGACGAGGAAAGGCGAAAAGCAGAGCTCATTCCAAACATACCACGATCAGGAACACGAAGAAGGCAATGGCAGTTAGGACCAAAAGAATAATACCCCAGACGGGGAACTCGCCAGAGACTTTGTCGTGTTCATTGCTGATGGCACGCTTCAACACGTGCAAGCCACCGGCGTGCTCCAAACCACGGCGGACGGCGAAGTCGAGCATGATTGCAACGGGAAAAGAACAAAGGGAACAAGTATGTTGCAAAGAGCAGTGAGGGAGAAGAAGAATGGGAACAGATGAAGTGGTAGTGTGGTGTTGCTATCTGAGGGAGGGGAGGAGAGCGTAAGAGGAGGGAGGTTAAGTCGTCAGTGGCGAGGGGGAGCGCTTGTCTTGTGGTGCTTGTCGATTACCCGTCAATCCGGCCCCCCGTCGTGGAATATGGCAGCCTAGCGCCACTGTCCTAGTGCATTGCCCCAATGCATGGATGGTAGGCGCAGTCTGCACCCGCGCTGATTGGCTGGGTTTGTGAATTTCGGACATTGACATAAGCATCGTGTTCTCGCAGATTGATTGTTCGCAATCAACGTTGATTGGGAGATGGGAATACTTTGTTCATCGTTCTCGTGGGATTTAGATCTTAGAATAGGTTCTGTTCAACGGGCTTCCGAAAGCTTCATAGTGCAGACGGAGCGAAAGCAAGAGGAAAAGGCACAATACGCCAAATGTACATCTCGTATAGCAAACACCGCGTTCCTCGCTCGCGGCCGGTGCGTGAGACATGTTTCGAATTGACACCTGTACAATCGCTTGTTGGGTCCCTCAAATGGCTATACACGAGTTTACTCTTAATCAACATTGCTTGTTGAGCGTTACGGCACGGCGCGATACGACACGACAAGTCACATCACGTCGCAGCATCAATGGCACCAGGCGTCGTTAACACATATTTCATTCCCAAACACCTCATCATCGAAAGAGACCAACTATCCTTGCCATGATTTACCATCCCCGTTTGTTTTCCTGTCACTCCGTTCCATTTGCCCTTGAAATTTCCCACCCCACCACTCTAACCACATGCTGGTGAGACCCGTGAATTAATCGAAACCAAGGAAATAACCGCTTAGTAGAATCGAACAAAAAAGATACTTTTAAGGAGATAATACACAATCCGTCATGTTGCTGGCTTGTGAAGGATTCAATCTACGAGTCGTTGCGGCTGCGTGCGGTTATCCATGCTAGATTGCACTGCCGTCATAGAAAATATTTGTACTTGAGTTGAGCGAGACATGGCCCCAACGTGGGACATGGTTACGACACTCTCACGTGAGCTTGACTGCCAGGCTTGGCGTTGCAGTCTGTCTCTGTACCAAGATTGCATATGAAGCAATCTAAGCAGCAAGAGGAACAGGGTCCTGCTTTTCCGACGTCAACAGAGGCTCCTGATCAACAACAGGCTCTTCCTTCACAGCCGGCTCATGCTGGGGTGCAGCGGGAAAGTCCGTCTTCTTGGCCTCAGGAGAAGTAGAACGTCCACGGTATGAGTTGATCGTCTCCTGAGCCTTTGCGGTGTATTGTTGAGTGTAGCCCTGGACCGTCTTGGCTGCGTTACCAGTGTGTTGCGCAGCAAGATCCTTGAGCTGGGCTGCTTGCTGGTTGGCCATCTGCCTACCCTTCTCGAGCTGGGCATCGATGACTTCCTTGTTCTGAATGTACACAAGAGGAGCCAGGTAGGCGACGATGGTAGCGATCAAGGCCAATCCCCAGAGAGGAACGAACTTGATGAGGAAGTAGGAGAAGAGCGAAGCGGCGAAAGCCTGGATTCCATTACGTCAGGGTTTCAACTTTGTCAAGTGGGGGCGAACGAGAAGACTTACACCGACAGTTGTGTACACGTTCTCAGCAAATACTATGCGTTGAGACTCGATCACAAAGAAGTTGATGAACTGCTCCACATCATCCAAGAGGCGCTCAAGCGAAGCCTTGGGAATGGTGTAGTACTGGCGCGGCCTGAACTGAGAAGTAAAGCCCTTTCCAATAGTCATCTGGCCAGCAAGTTCCGCGGAAGCAGTAACTGCAGCTAATTAGTATGTGGCCAACGAGACGAGTATTTGGGAGAACATACGGCCCAGAGTTATCCATAGAGCTTTGAAGATGTAGCGGATGACGTTGAGGTATCGGGCGGAGAAGATAAAGGTAACGGCGAGGGCGAAGGAGATGGCGGTCGCGCGAGGGTTCTTCCACTGCCACAAAGTCAGCGAGATGCCACAGTGTCATTCCAAGGGGGGAACATACGCTCAAGAGACGGTAGAACAGAGAGTGGTAATGGGTGAGGGGCTGTCCCGTCGCAGCAGGCTGATCAGGAGTAGTCCGGGAGTTTGCTAGGTCGGCAAACTCGTTCCTAGTCTTCTCACTCTCGACTTTGACGCCTTGTCCAACGGGTCCTAAGAAGAGTTAGTTTTGTGTTGACATATGATGCTGCTGCCTAGCAATAAGGCCAAACAGCAAACAGGATGCGTGGTGCATGATGTGCTGGAAAGAGCTATAGGTAATGTAGCAATTTGCTTGTATACACGATTTATGGCCAAAGGGAAGCTCGGAAGGCGGCGCGAGAGAAAGCGGGGGATTTTTGGGCTTTGTGCACTGTGTCGCGAGACCACGATTAGCTCGGTTTTCAAGAAGCCAGGGTGGGCGGAAAAGAAAATGACGACTCACCTCACCATTTGCAATGTTGCTCTTGATGTTTTGGGTAGTGGGGTGGTTGTTTACGGCGGCCATGGCGGAAGAGGCTGCTGGAAGGGAGTTAGAGAGTGAGGTGGTGATGTGGTGGTGTGCGTGGTGGTGCAGATAAGAACTGTCGATTTCGGAATTAGCTGCGTCTCGGCAAGGTACGGATGGGAAGGGTGCATGGAGCTGCTTTTCGTGACTTACCTTACAATCGATCAAGCTGTCTTTGGCCCTGGTTGCGTTTTGGGCCACGTTGGAATTGCCATTTAGCTGGCCGTGGCCGTTAAGCTGGGCGTCATCGTTGACGTTGAAGGAGTCGGACATGATGAGGTTGGGATGAGGCAAACAACCGGATGGGTTATCAGCGGCGATGGGTGGTGAGTGAGGAATGAATATTGGGGAGCAGCAACGTTTGGGTTTGGTAGGAGAAGATGGGTGCAGGTTGAGAGGGAGAGGGGTTAGGTAGAAGAGGTGTTTGAGGACAGGTCGCGCAGAGGGCAAGAATAAGTTGGTGCTCGTGTGCGCGAGAGAAAGGGTGCGGTAATGGCCTACGGATGACGTCTCAGCTAGTCCAACAAGCAAACAAAATTATTGGGACCAGCAGCGACGGCTCCACCGAAACAGCGTCCATGGCATTCCAGGTGCATGCACCCGGACGCTGCTTTCTGGCAGATTCCATGTATGCTACAAACTGCGATGCGCTGGGTACATGTATAAGGGGGTATTTATCTACGTATTTGTTGTTGTAGTCGCGGGCTGGTAGGGAGCGGCTCTCTAGTAAATTAAGTGATTTGCAGGCAAGCCGGGTGGTGCGCATGCATGTGAAGACTGCCCAGACGGACAAGACAGACACTGTCGATGACGCAACCTTGGGGATGGTATTTGGGGTGTAGATCCTACGTCAGCCCATGTATTTGGGACGTAGGTATGTATTTATGTATATGGCAAAGTATCTCGGATTCCAGTCTTGAGGTCACGAGAGCAGGCTTTGGTTTGGACATGAATTGCACAGTTGATTGCTGCCTGCCAGTCTGCCAGTCTGCCAGCGCATGTGTCGTGTTCTCAAGGGGCTAGTCATTGCGTGCTTGCTGGCACGGGAAGAGCTTCATGTCCTGCAAAAGTAATGACTGTGCGGCGCAGTTTTTGTAATTACATGTTGCAAGCAAGCCAAAAACATGCATTTCTGGGGGCAGGTAGCGAGATGTATCTACATATGTAGATGCGCATCATGTGGGAGCGACTGCGCGGGGAGCGAGTGCTGAATTCATCAATGGCGTGGGTGATGGCACGTGAGGTGCCAGCCAAACGTGGGGCATGTCACGTTGACCGGCTGGCGGAACCAAGTCGACCTTCCCCAAGCACTGTAGCCGAAACCGAGTAAAGGAACAGACAGACACAAGATGAAGCATCGCTCCAACCTCACGCACATGCCGTATCGGATGGATTCGAAGGAGAATGCTACGGCTAAGCTCTTCAGGAAGGCCGGGGCTGTTGAGGGCCAGATACGGGGGAAGCTCCGCGACAGGCAACGTGTAGCGAGATGCGTCGACTCGTCGCCGGTTCATGCATTCAAAGTTGCTGGCTTGCTGCTTGCTTGTTCGATGCGCCCGCTCAATCACCACCCGCGCTGGACGTGGAATGATGGATACATGGGAACATGAAGGAAAGAAACCATGGCAAAAAAGGATGGGGGTGCAAGTGGGGGACGGCGGCAAACGGTACATAGATAGCAGGACAGCCAGAGTGTCGGATCGCATATGCTGAGTGTGGGGGTTCGAATGGGGTTTCCTGCCTGCCTGCCGGCTGCCTGCCCCATGTGCGACATGCCCCAGCAACCTTGGGCCGCATGCCCCCGACTATGCGCCAGTCATCTTCCTCGTCTGCGCACTGCGATTTGGCGCACTCGGCCAACAGACCAAGAGACAGCACTCAAGGCTCGCGACAGCAAGCCTCCCATCATCGAATAGCAAACCAGCATCCGTGCTGTACACAGCAGTCCGAGTTGCACATGCAAAAGTATTCCAGCCAGCTCTGCATCGTGGCAGTCAGGTGTATCCATCATTCATTCCGGGCCATGTGTGCATACGTACGCCGTGAATACAGATGCGGCTGGTTATACTCCAAGCGGCACGCTTTCCGCCCGCAGCAAGAGATGAGCAGCGTGATAGGCATATCTTGGAGCGTGATAACTATTGACAGCTCGAGACGCGGGACAGCTGCCAATTGCTTGTCACCCACCGACTGTCTGTCTGTCGCCCGCAGGGATCTGCCTCGTGCTCCACCGCAACTCAATACTGCCACAAGACAAGCCAGACGCGCCCAGCTACAATTCCATACATACATACATGCATACACACTCACTTACTCGCTCGCTTTCCATTCCTCCTTCACCTCGACTTGCTCACCTCCAAATCTCCCACTTCACCCTCACCTCCTCCTCCCGTCCTCGCCGCCTCTTAGCGGCGCCAACACCATTCGTGCCTCTGCCAACACTTGGGCGCGCCTATCACCGCCACCTACATCTCCCACCCGCTTTTTTCGTCTCTGGTCTGGACGCCCGTCACGATATCGGGAGGTCACGCCGCTCGAATCCCTCTCCTCTTCACCTCTCCCTCCTCACCAATATTCTCCGCCACTTCCTGATCAACCGTCCACCTACGCCAGCCAGGGAATTTATAGTGCTCGACGGCGCCCTGAAGTCATAGCCACTTTAAACCGCTCTCCCGGCTCCGTCGCCTAAATCCCTAGCATCCCCATCTTCCTTCAACACGGACACGGAAATGGTCAAAGCGTCTATACCTAGAGCCTCCACCTCACCTACCAACAACAGTCGTCTTTCCACCAGCTGCAACTGAACTGCTTCCCAGGAGTCTACTAACTTTTCAACGGCTGGCCCTCTACGGAGGCGCAAGTCTTGCTTTCTCTCACACCGCTTCAAAAAGAGAGAAAAAGAAAAGATATTAACATGATTCTTGCCAGGGGACTTTACAGCGAGTCACCGCCAGAGCGGCGTGGTCGCATTGAGAACAATCCGACTCTGCTTTACAGTTGGTGGTGCACCATCTTCTCCGCTAGCATCATCGCAACCCGACTTGTTGGCCGATATATGCGAAATGAATACCTCTTCCGCGAAGACAAGATCATGGCCTTGAGCATCATTCCCTTGTTCGCTCGCATGGCTCTCATACACGTTGTTCTCGTCTATGGCACCAACAATGCCGACACGGATGACCTGACCGACCCTCTCGAGATCCACCGTCGTGAGATTGGATCCAGGCTTGTCCTCGCAGCTAGGATCTTCTATGCGCTCTTGTAATTAACTGCCATTCTATTCGCATGGCTCATTGCTAACTTGTCCTTGTAGTATCTGGATGGCCAAGTTCACTCTCTCCGAGTTCTTGAAGCGGATGACGGATCGCTTTTGGAAGAAGGGCTACAATAACATTCTTCATGGTGCGTAACATGCCGGGACATCATGCAGTGCATTCTTTCGACACACTGAGAGCCCACTGAAGCATGTTTGCATGAGTTAAACTGACTTTGACATTAGGCATCCGAATCGTCCTTGGCGTTACCTTCGTCGGCGTCGTCGTGTCAACCGTGTCCGAGTGTCAACCCTTCCACCATTACTGGCAAGTCAAGCCTAGTCCTAGCCCGCAGTGTCGACAGGGTTATGCGCATCTCCTCACCATGGGTATTACCAATATCTTGACCGATCTGCTTCTCGTCATATTCCCCATTCCGATCATTTATGGCTCCGCTATGACCCTCAAGCGCAAGCTGTCGCTCATCTCCCTCTTCTCCATGTCCCTGGTCCCTGTAGCCATTACCTCAACCCGCATTGCGCTTGTCATCAATCGACATGGCTTGCAGCAATTCCGCTCCGTGTTTGCGTCTTCGGACATTCTCGCGGCTGCAGTCGTCTCCAACGCGATCATCCTGGGATCGTTCCTGCGTGACCGCGGTGTGAAGAAACCAAAGTACAAAGCGAGCTCGACCGTTGATAGTTTCGACCGTCGATCGTCGCTTCGTCGACCAAGGACCTTGCAGCACATGGACAGTGACGAAGATTTTGCGAGGTCAATGGGCTTTCGCACCAATCCAGAATTATCCGGAGGACGTTCCAATGTCGCGAGGCCAGCAAGAGTTGCCGATCTTGCGCTGCTGAGTTCGCATGGACAATCGGCGCCTCCCTTCGCGAACAGCACCTGGAACTTTCCGAAGCGACAATCGGGAGTCTCTGATTATAATGCCGATTGCGACAAGACCTATGAGGACCCCATGCCGAGTCCGCGCCAGGGCCGGAGGGTTTCCTTCTACGATGTCGGTGGTCTATTGGAAACCGGACATGCTGTTTCGCCCACGGATTCTGTTGTGTGTCAGGACTTTGCCACGGTGCGTATTCCCTGGATACCTGTGAAATCGACGTGCGCCGAGACACCCCGTGGTGCGGCTATTCGATGCGTTGATATCCCCCGTTGAAACATGTCTGCATGGATTATACTGACTTTATGCGCAATTTCAGGCACAGCCTCGGCGCACCTCACGCTACTCTCAGCAGTCCGAAGACATTGAAATGTCTCGACTTGTTCGCCAGCAGCTCGATCTTCGAAGCTTCCTGTCGCGAGGAAACTCAATTTCCAGGGGACACCACAATCCCGAAGAGCGCACTGAATCACGTCGTGCCATCCTTCGCAACAGCATCGAGACAAACACTGCTTCCCTCGAGGACTCTGAAGGCCACACCACTCCTTCCCTTTAACGAATTCCCTTTTTCTACTATGATACCCCACGGTCTAATCGACCTGATTGCTTTTTTTCTCTTTTCTTGTTCTACATGGAAGAAGTCTTCTCAATCCATGGAAGAGGGGGTTACAAAGGCGCTACACGGGGGCATTCTACATGATTCATGACTGCATCAACGGGAGTTCTTTTCCACATGAGCCAATATGCGGCTCGCATACCTTTAATGATTGGGCTTTTGCATGTGTACCACCACATGCGGTGAAGATTTCAGGGATATCTGGAATACATGGAATGGGGCGATTAAACGCAGGCTGGGATGTTCAGCATGGGGTTCATCGTTTGACTATCATGACGAAAGTCTTTGTCTAACCTGCGTTTGGCTATATCAGTCATGGGCGCATCCCACTCTAAATTATATGAGAATTTGGAACGAATGATTCCAAACAAACAAGTCACTTGCTCCATTCAGCCCTACGCATAGTGACATGACGCCACATAGATCCTTGCACTAATCAATGTAGATGTGGAGACGGTGCAATATGCAAATATTATGTACTGACATCTACCAGGCTTGCATAACATGACCCGAGTGTTTTTCCCTATTTGCTAAATCAGCCAGGTTCGATGGTCATAGCTCTTTCGCCATGTTCCAGTCTCCACTCCATCCCGAAGCGTAGTGCAGTGCTGCTGCCGTGGGTTCACCAAAACTATACTAGCCGAATCCAATCTTCCGGGTTGGCCTGCCGATCGACTAGCTAACCAACCGAGCCTGACACCAACGTTAACTTAGACGCACCGATCGACCGCGCATACTCCTCTTTGCCCAAGTCCGATTTTAATTAATTAGCTGACGCATGCTGCGCGACCCTGCTGCACAAATATATTAACTATAACCCCTCTTCATTATTCCAGGGCTCGATACCGCGTACGCGCGCGCACGCTGGCTGGGCGCTGACGTAGACGCGAAAGGCGGGTGCCATGTATACAATGTCCGACGACGAATGGGAAGACGATAATGGCGCTTCTACATCGTCGGTATTACTGCCAGCAACACCTACGCTCGCGGAGATGATACAAGAGACTCGTAGCGAGTTGGAGAAAAGAAAAGCTAGTAGCAACTCTGGTGACCAAAGTGTGGGTGACGACAACGGTGCCCACAACGACGACGACGAGGACGAGGACGAGGAGGTTGAAACGGATGAAGACCCCATCCTAGAAGCCGGTTTGGCTGCCCTTGACCTTCTCTCTAAGGATCCCGAACTGTGTCTGCATCTTGCATACCAACACCTGCATGACGTTCCATACAAGGATGTGTTACCATGCTGGATGAGGCTGTACGTCGATGCTGCACTAACAATAGTACTCGAAGTTGTGGAGCGAAATGTTGAGCCCAAAGAAGAACTGGAACATCACGAAAAGCGTAAAGACGAGGATTGGATAACAAAAGTGGTACGACTCCTGGACATGGCATTGATTCTCACGAGAGCTCCAAGAAGGGAGAAACTGGTCGGAAGGTGGTTCAGTGCCTTGGAAAGGTTTTTAGCAGAGAGAACGGAGAGAGAAGAATCGGATGTTAGCCCGGAACCGACATGCGACCATGCACAACAACCACCGTCCAAGAAACGCAAACTCGATCCATCCTCCTCCCCCTCTAGCTTCCCGGCTACCTTCCCAAGTACAATGGTCGATCCCAAACCAACGCTGAAACGACCGATTCCTATTGCTGAATCCCCATTCTCCCTTGTCCAATTCCAAAATCGAGTCTCAAGCCCATTGACCTGCACTCCACTCATCATCCGCGGCGCGATAGACCATTGGCCCGCCCTTCACGAACGCCCCTGGAACTCTCCACAATACCTCGTCGAAAAAACCCTAGGCGGTCGCAGACTCGTCCCCATAGAACTCGGACGAAGCTACAACGACGAAGGATGGGGGCAAAAGATTATAAGTTTCGGCGACTTTGTCAAGGATTACATGTTTTCCCACGACGACAATGGGAACTCCGCCAACGACAGCAGCAGCAGCAACAACAACAAAAACGATAATCTACAACGAGGCTACCTAGCCCAACACGACCTCTTCGCCCAAATCCCTTCCCTGCGCAACGACATCTCCATCCCAGACTACTGCTACGCGACCTTCCCACCGCACTCGCACTACCCGACGCCCGTCGAGCCCCTCCTCAACGCCTGGTTCGGCCCTAGCTCTACAATCTCCCCCCTCCACACTGACCCTTACCACAACATCCTCGCTCAGGTCGTGGGCTACAAGTATATCCGCCTCTACCCGCCTTGGGAGAGCGAGGCTTTGTATCCGCGGGGCGTCGAGGAGGGCGGCGTCGATATGAGTAATAATAGTGGGGTGGATTTGGATGTTGCTATGGGGGTTTGGAAGGAGGTTTCTTGTTTTTCTTGTGGGGAGGAGGGGGAGGAGAAGGCGGGTGCGCGGCCTTTTGGAGAGGATGGCGGTCGTGTTGGTGGTGGCTTCGCTAATGCGGAAACGCAGCTAGGTGAGGAAGCAGAAGAGGGGGGAATTGAGGAGACGGAGCTCGAGGACGATGATGATGATGATGATGATGATGATGATGATGAAGAAGAAAAAGAGGAAGAGGAAGAGACAACGCAAGAAGAATACGAGCGGCGATTCCCAAAGTTCAAGCGTGCGAGGTATGTGGAAGGGATCTTGGGGCCGGGAGAGTGCGTCTATGTACCCAAAGGGTGGTGGCATTATGTGCGTAGTTTGAGCCCTAGCTTCAGTGTGAGCTTTTGGTTCTGAGGACCGGGAAGGGGAGGAGGATGAGGTCTTCCGTATCATTATTCACTCAGATGGAGGGCGGCGGGTGAGCGAGCGAAATATCGCAAGAAAGCAAAGGGTTTGGCTAGAATCAGTAGTTGATAGAAGTGTACGAATGGGATTCATTGATATTCAAGCTCGACCATCTTGTCCTCACACTGATAAGGAGAAGAGATTAGCACAAGGCACAAAGACAGTCACATTCCTTCATTCCCAGCTTCATCTTGAATATTTTTTATGTTCCTATTCATATTGGGTGTCGCTTTGAATCTAATAATCCATATCGGAGGAAATTCTATAACTTCAATAACACCAATGGCTCTATGAGAGCCACATGCCTTTTAATATGTCATGCTAAAATTCCCTTAACTCCTCGCTATGCATATGCGCCAGATATGATTGCTTTCCAAGGGTTCACTGCCCATCTTCCCAGGGCACCACATCAGAATTGATGCGGGCAGTGTTGTTTGTGTGCATGAAGTCGGTAACTTGAGCTCCTCCGCAAATCTTGTCCTCGTTCATATATGGAAAGGCCCCAATCCGGTCCACCCCTAGATTTCGCTCTTGCTCCGGACGTGTCCACTTTCCAGCTTCGCTGCCAACAGACCACCGCTGCCGGTTTCTTGAATCTTCTCCGCATCGTCATGACCTTCTTCAGTCTTCCCAGAACCCTCGTTCTGCTCATGACTTTTAATCACACTCTTTAAGATGACATCCAGCTCAGCCAACCGCACCGGCTTCACTAGGAAAAGATTGACGCCACTTGCATGCGCTTCCTGTTGCGTATCTGTGCTCGCAACACCCGTTAAAGCAATCACCGTAGTTGGAGAAAGTCCATTGTCTCGCTCGAATGCACGGATCTGACGAGTCGCCTCTAAACCATCCATGTCCGGCATATTGATGTCCATGAGAACAACGTCGATGCTTGGCAGAGTCAGAGGTGACGAATTACCTCCCCTCGTACGTTCGGAATGGTTCAATTTGTACGTATCGAAAGCTTCGAGACCCGTTTTCGCCAACAAATGACGGTGGCCTAGCTTTTGTGCAAAAGTCTTCAAGAGCCGCAGATTGATAGGATTATCATCGACCAGGAGGCAGTTGAGTGATGATATGGGATCTGGCGGCTGGATAGAGCTCTGAGTCTTCTCAACAGAGCGAATCTCTGGGGCACTCAGAGTAGGCGTCATGGTCGGGCGGGGTGGGACTGTCAAGGCAGATATTCTGGATGGTATCGGGGGCAAGCGGTTCTCGTTCTGCCTGTTTTGAGAGGCATGGAGGACGTTCGAGGAGCCCGCTAAGGGTAGGGTACTCGGAGAATCTGTTGCGGTCGATTCAACCATCACGCGATTCGCATAACGGTCAAGACATGACGCAAGGGCCTTTGCCAGCTTGTGAGGCCCACAAGGCTGAGCAGTGCATTCAAAAATCAAACCGGGAACGGTGATAGCGGTAGTTGATTGCGCAGATGCAGCTCCACGGCACACAACGACGACTGGCGGAGCAATCGGGCTCGTCTCGGGATTTATACTGAAATGCGTTCGTAGATGTTGTGCGCCGCCTTCGGTCGCTATGTAAAGGTCGGGCGCCGGCGCATGTGGAGCTCCATAGGTCCAAGTTCGCATATGAAACCATTCGACACACATACTTTCCATCGCTTTCTTAGTCAACTGGGTGGCGTTTTTGTTTTTGGAATTGTCTACGAGCTCATTGTTGTTATCATCGAAACCGATGAAGTGCACATTCAAATTCTTTGTGCGTTTGCTGACATGGGCCAAAGCTGGGTCGGATACAGTCGCGTTGACTGTCGGGGACAGCATGGACTGCTTCATGGGACAACAGACTGTGAACTTGGTCCCGCGTCCTCTTTCGCTTCGAACCTCTACATCACCCCCGAGAAGCTCTACGAGTTGCTTGACAATGCTCAGACCTAGGCCAGTCCCCTGGCTGAGAGGGTTTTCCTGCGCAAATGAATGGAAAATTCGATTGTTGATGTAACCTTCAGACATGCCAATGCCTGAATCGGTGACAGTGAGCCGCAGTTCCGCACAATCGTCATCAATATCGTCGTTTGGAACGACATGAAGTTTGATTTTGATGTACCCAGCAGGCGTGTACTTGAGCGCATTTCCGAAGAGATTCATAATTACGCGGCGCCATGCTCCGGGCTGGGTACGGAAGGTATAGTTGCTTTTGTTGATGTCTACAACGACTGCGACGTGTGGACAGCTGGATTTGTTAGACATGTCCATGTTCGCCGATTGCTGGAAGCGGAATCCAGCAAACACGCTGTCCAACGCCTCTTCTGTCAAGACGCCCATGTCAACGTCAGAGATGATCGTCATGATGTCGTTGGTATGCCCCTGTCCAGGGCTGATTTGTTTTGACGTTTTGGAGCGCTTGCGCCGCTTCGATGACCCGCGCGTCAGATTGTTGATTTTGGCGTAGTCGAGCACCTGCAACAATGTCAGTGAGATATCGACCTCACAAAGAACTTTGGACTCACATGATTGATAGTATCCAGCAAAGTCTTTCCGCACGTTTCGATCGTCTGTATGTGACTGGATTGTTGACTGTCTATGTGCGTCTCTTTCAGAAGGTCTGACATGCCCAAGATACCGTGCAACGGCGATCTAAGCTCATGGCTGATGGATGAAATGAAGTCGGCCTTGGCTGAGTCTGCTACCTTTGTATCTAATCGGGTCACTTCAGCCATGACGCTATTGGAAAACGCAGCCAGATAACTAAGTTCTTGTTCGCTCGTGAATACGCGGAAAGGGTCCACGCTGTATACCATCAAACAAGAGTACCACTTTCCGCGGTGTGAATCCCACAAAGGATATAGGAGGAGACTTCGAGCACTTGGGAAGACAGTTTTCAGGATACTCTCGTCTTCAAAACCCCTCGATTCTGATTTTCTGAATGGGTCGATGTCCAGCTCCTCCGGCGGACTTACAGGCAAGGCTGCTTCATCTTCCGATATTGAAAAGATCTGGCCATGAGGGTAGTTGCGTAAGAGGTGCTTGAGTTCATTTTCAGATAAGTCATACCCGTAGGGCGATAAAGGTAAGTTCTGTTCTCTCTTGTAGTGGGCCGCGCCGAGGATGGTGCAAGATTTATCAGGCTCGGGGGGCTGGTCAGAGGGAACGTCGTCATCAACCAGACCGCCCCAAGTACTGACTTTGGCGTCGAAGAAAACCGCGCCTGCAGCTTCAGTAGCGTCTACGATCATTTGTGCTGCTCGGCTGAACACGGTCTTAAGTTCCGGAGACACAGATTCATTTGGCCCATTAGTAGACGACGCAGTCTTTGTAGTCATTTCGGTTTTGCTATCGTCGGCAGCGCCGATGATAGGCGTGTCAACGGTGCTACTGGGTGTTACGCTTGGGGATAAGTTGCTCATAGTTTTGAGGCTGGGGATGCTGGATCCATTCGAGTCCGCATGGGAAATAGTTGGACGACGAGAGCGGCGCAGCTGCAGTTGTTCCGGGTCATCAGGCGCAGAGGTTGCACTGAGATCGCCCTCCCAATCTAACCATTCGTCTAGGCTTGACCTCCCTTCCGCAAATGAACCAAGACTTCGCACCATGATGCCCCCACGCAAGTGGTCATCCGTAGCTCTCGACATCTGGAGGTGGCGTGTGATAGTAGTAGCCATGTCCTTGAGGAAAAGCAATTCGAAGTCGGAGATTCCTGAATGAGGTTTGTCGTCAATGACACTGTATGTGCCGATGCTGTGGCCACTGGGGCTTCGGATTGGGACTCCAGCATAAAATCGGGCTTGCGGTGGACCAGTCACGATGGGGTGATTCTTGAAGTGATCATCTTGGGAAAGATCGTTGATCACCAGCGATGGCACGGCACTGTACTCATCAATTGGACCAGCAGGTGGACCAAACTGCAGCTTCAAAGTATTGTAATCGATACTTTTTTCTTTCCGGAAAATGGCGGTACCCCAGTAGAGATTATCCTGAGCCAATTCGACTTGACCCGATTTCAAGCACATTGTCCTGGTCGCTTCGGCAAGGACATAGCAATTCTGACGATCAAAGAAGGAAACCAGGCAGCGGCGAGCATTCAAGCGCAAAGCACCAAGCTGAGCGAAGGCGGATAAGGCTATATCTTCGCTGATGTTTGGAGTATCGAGGACGGCAGGCGTGGGAGGAGGAGACGGCTGGCGAGTGTAGTCCTTGGTACGCTGGGAAGGATGGTAGTATCTGGAGTTTGAGTCAGTAAATAAAATCAAAATCAATCGAGGTAGCAGGTAAGAGTCTGACCTGTAGAACTCGCGCTCATTGACCCTATCTGGATCCTCGGCCATGACATGGTGGTTTACCTTCTTCGCCAGAGCGCGCGGGCCGGCAGAAGCACGAGATTCAGCCATAGTGAGCGGCCGAGGACATTGACCGGAGTCGGAGAGACGAAGGGTCGGCGGACATAGAAATATGCTCGCTGCGACGACGGATTATTTCTTAGCTGGCAAGATAAAGAGGGGCAGTGCCCGCAGGGTCTCTTTTAGTTGATGGGACGCGGCTTCCTAGCGCAGTTTGGTGTGGTTCGGGCGCGCGAATGGTGGAAGTGACAAGTGACTAGCAAAGGGAAGCGAGCAGTATAGTGGGCGTCCAAGTATCTTCGATGTGCGCGTACATGGGCACCTGATATGTAGGTGAGAAAATCGGGCCAGAGTAAGGGGATCAGGAACTACGGATCGGCGGCGATTGACCCCCTTGGCCGCTGAGGTCTGCGGGTTGCTGTTGGCTGTCTGACTGACTCGGCGACGGCTGGTTGGAGCTGGCACACACTGACTGACTGACAATTGTCAACGAAAGCTCAGACGCACCTTTTGACGCAGGGTCTACGGGTGGTGAGGGGGGCAGTCAGGGTCGGAGCAATTGCAGTGCAGGACGCTGCATGGGTCGGGTAAGCTGAGTTTGATATAGCCTCCGGATCCTTGCTCGCACCTCTACTCAATCTCACTTGGCGAGCTGGAGGTGGCAAATAGATGGCTGGGTGTGAGAGCGACAGAGGGTGCAACTACATTCCCGTGCTACGAGGGGCTCCTCTCTTATCTGTCTGTCCGTCTGTTCGCGATAACGGCGATTCTTCGGACTTCATTTACCTGCCGGTGGGGGTTGGCATGCCTAATTCTGCAGTAGTCCGTAGCAGTTCATTATTTGCTTCCCTGTAAAATTGTATTGACTGGGGAGGCATCGATTGCTAACTTGCAGTTACTCGGGGTGGCTAGCAATCAATCGGAATACAGCTCTAGCTCGGGATGCAGTCGACTCTGGCAGCAATAAAACAGTCCTGAACAATGTTTGACTGTCTTATATATTCTTGAAACTTCACCTACCCATCCTAATTTTTACCGCACAAGTTTTTTGTCATGATGATTGCTTTCAAGATGCGTATTTTGAGAATCAAACATTCAAACGTCTCTGATTGGTCACACGGGCTGACTAACGGTCAACCGAACTTGTACATCCATCAACCCTCATCCCCACTTGATGTGACACATCCATCTTCTACGCAAAAATGGTACGACGCTTGGTGACTATCGCTACTACCAACCTGAACCAGTGGGCTCTTGACTGGGAAGGGAATCTGGCACGTATCAAACAGTCCATCGTAGAAGCAAAATCAAAGGGTGCTCGACTTCGTGTGGGACCAGAGCTCGAGGTTTGCGGATATGGGTGTCTCGACCACTATCTGGAATCCGATGGTATAACCGCACTGAGACGCTCTTACCGTGGCTTTACTGACCCTGTTAAAGTCTACGAACATTCCATGGAGATGCTGTACGAGATCATGAAAGATAGGTCTTTCGACGATATTGTCATCGACATCGGAATGCCCGTGCAACACCAATCTTTGAGGTTCAACTGCCGTGTAATAATCTTGAATGGAAAGATCTTGCTCATCCGTTAGTGTTCCGCGTTACTTCGTAGACGTTTGCTGATGCAAACCACAGGCCCGAAGCTGTTCCTCGCCAATGATGGAAACTATCGAGAAATGCGATACTTCACCCCTAGTAAGCCCAACCACTTGGAAACCTTCACAATTCCTTCCAGAAGGATCATCGAACTTCATGGTAGCTCGACCTGCCCCTTTGGAGATGCTCTGCTCAGATTCGACGATACGACCCTCGGAGTCGAGACTTGCGAAGAGCTGTTTACCCCAAATGCTCCCCACATACTCATGGGCTTGAACGGAGCTGAAATCTTCTCGAATGCCAGTGGTTCTCATCACGCGCTCCGAAAGCTTGATCAGCGTCTGTCTTTGATCCGAGAAGCTACAGCGAAAAACGGTGGAGTTTACATTTATGCCAACCAGCAAGGTATGGATGGCGACCGGCTCTACTACGACGGGTGTTCCACTATCATTTGCAACTCAGATATAGTAGCACGCGGTTCGCAATTCTCCTTAAATGATGTCGAGGTTGTGACGGCAACCATTGACCTCAAGCGTGTTGTTGACCACCGCTTCGCTCCGTCACGGGGTATGCAGGCAGTGGCTGCCCCAACGTACGAAAGTATTTCTGTTCCCTTTGCTCTCTGCGGCTCGTCAAGTGCGGTAGTTACCAAGATCCCTACGTCTTCTTTGGCTGCCCAGCTTCATGCACCCGAGGAAGAGATTGCCCTTGGACCCGCTGCCTGGCTTTGGGATTACTTGCGTCGATCTAAAGCAGCCGGTTTCCTCATTCCCCTCTCGGGAGGTCTCGATTCTTGTTCAACAGCGACGTTAGTTTTCAGCATGTGTCGAATGGTTTTCCAAGCACTAGAAGAGGGGAACGAGCAGGTACGCCTGGATGTCAAGCGGATCGCGGGCGCACATCGCGAGGAAGGTTGGATGCCAAAGTCCCCACAGGATCTATGCAATACCATCCTCCACACCGTCTACATGGCAATGTCGAAACAATCCTCCGAGGAAACATCTTCCCGGGCCGCCCGACTGAGTGAAGCCATCGGATCCTACCACCTTCGCCTCGAGATCGACGACGTATTCCACGCTGAGCGCGACCTCCTCAAATCCACCAACAACTTCACCCCCACCTTCGAAGGCAGCACCGCCGAGAACATCGCCCTCCAGAATATCCAAGCCCGCACCCGCATGGTGACAGCATACTATTACGCGCAGATGCTCCCAACAGTACGCCAGCGCAAAGGCGGCGGCTCCCTCCTCGTCCTCGGATCCGCAAACTGCGACGAAGCACTTCGCGGCTACTACACCAAATACGACGCCAGCGCCGCCGACATCAACCCCATCGGCTCCATCTCCAAAGTCGACCTCAAGAAATTCCTCGCCTGGGCCGAATCCGAATTCTCCCTCCCCATCCTCCATGAATTCCTCGACGCCACCCCGACTGCCGAACTCCAGCCCATCACAGAAGACTACACGCAATCCGACGAAGCCGACATGGGCATGACGTACGCCGAACTCTCCGTCTTCGGCAAGCTCCGCAAGGAAGAGCGACTCGGCGCCTTTGGCATGTTTGAGCGCTTGCTCGAGGAGTGGGGGGATCAGCATTCCCCCCGCGAGATCGCGGTCAAAGTGAAGCGGTTCATACATTTTTACTCAATCAATAGGCATAAGATGACGATTCTTACGCCCAGTTATCATGCCGAGTCGTATTCGCCTGATGATAATCGGTTTGATTTGAGGCCGTTCTGTTATCCGGGCCAGTATGATGGGTGGGCTTTTAAGAAGATTGACGAGGAGGTGGAGAGGATTGAGAGTTTGTGGAAATGATTGGGGAATGAAGCACTGCAGTGTATTGGGATTTTGCGATGCGGCATCTCGACTCGAAGACTTAGATGGTATGTCAGATGGGATATTTGACGCATGCCTACTCGTCCTTGTTTGTAGAATCCTTTTTCACGAAAGACAGAGAGTTTATGTACATACAACGCAAGCTACAAAACGGCCGTCTTTCAATATGACCTTGCAAGTCAGTGACATTGCGGATCTTGCAAATAGGTGTGGATGTACGACAAAGGTCAAGCATGCTGAACATTCATATCGTGTTTGAATTCTTCGAGTCATTATCGTTACATAAAACGCAATCACTTCATCGGTAGCCTTTGTAACTGTGAAGAGTAACGTAAACTTTTGATTTCATTGTGGGTCTACCGAGAACCGTTGCACCACCCCAGACGCCGTGACTCGGAAAACCGCGAGGCAGATTTGATCTGACCCAGTTGGCACGGAATTTTTCCTTTCCTGTGCAACACTCGCAGCTGGTCTCCTCCGAATAGCCCTCATGATATCTTATGATCATCAAATATCAACCAATAATCTAGTTCATTTGGCGGACCAATTGGTTGATGAAGTGCTCACGGTTGCCAAGATCACCACCCTCGATGAAGTGCTTGAACTTGCGGGGACGGAAACCACCAGTGGGGTTGGAAAGCTTGAAGGGCCAGAGGAAGTTGGAGGCCTGCTTGAAGTTGGGGCCGACGGTGTAGATCTCGTGGATGAGATCCTCAATGCAGACGATGCCGAATTGGCCAAGGTTCTGCTCGATGACCTCGTTCTCGGAGAGAGGGAGGCGCTGCTTGTTGACCTTTCCGTAGCCACGCTTGTAGACGAGCTCGCGGACGGTCTTGAGGTTGGGGTATCCGTAGGCAACGAAGGGCTCGACGATCTTCAGCATCTCGCTGGTAGCCTTGGTGAGCTTAACGAAGACACCGTTGTTGATCTGGAGGAGACGGAGCAACTGGAGGGTCTTGCGCTTCTTGGGGTCAATCTTGTTCATACTGGCGGGCATTAGTACAGGCGATGCGTTGACAGATGCGAACATGTTAAAACGTACCCCTTGATACGGACAACGAAAGCGAGCTTGGGCTCAGCAGGAACGTAGAAAGAGTCGTTCTGCTTGGCCTTGCGCTTAGCCTCGACGACATCACGCTCGGCCTTGCGGTATTCGGCGGTGTACTTCTGAGCGCGCTCAGAGATGACGGCGCGCTTCTTCTTGTTGGCCTAAGATATCTTAGCCAACGTGACACTCCTAACTGCAAAGCAGATTCTGGGAGACATTATCGCACCTCTCGCTTCTTCTTGAGATCGGCAGCGCGGGACTCGTTGGCCTTTGCGCTGGCCTTCTGCTTCTTGAGAATCGACTCGGGGACAGCGATGTCGTTCTTGGTGGGTACGCTGGTTGGGGAAAAATGTTAGCGATGAAATCATGAAAGGCTTTGAGCAACTTACGTGGAGCCGGCCATTGTGCTGATGGTTAGTATGGGCTTGACGGGTGGTGTTGTCGTTGTCGTGAGGAGGAGGCTAAAGGTCAAATTCATTTTCGGATCGCGCAAAATCAGTGTGTGCGCTCGGACCCGCCAAGAGTTACCCACGTGATTGTTGGAAGCGCTTCTGCCCCACCAATCAAGCGGGTCGCGAGATAGAGCTACTGAACTTTTCGAGAGCTGCGGAACTCATCTGTCATGCTTCGCACGCCTCAGACCTCATAAAATCTTACCTTCAAATCCAATCCTACAAAATCTTACACAATGGGTCGAGGAGGCTCTCGAGTAAGTTCTGCGCTGTCATCCTCAATATATAAACAAACTAACATCTTCCCAGGGCGGTGGCCGCGGTGGTCGCGGTGGGCGCAAGCCGTTCCGTGGCGGCAACAAGAACAATCGTTCTGGAGGTCGGGACAACAGAACTGAGTCTTGGTTAGACCAGCCACGCAAGAATGAGCTCTTCGAGAGTTACTACCGCATGGGCGGTTTCCTGGACGAAGCGGAGTTCGAGCAGATGTGGAAGTCGCTGGCGTCCGACTTGCCCAACAGCTTCCGTTTCACTGGAACCAAATCGGATGCACTAGCTGTCCGCGAGATCTTCAAAGAGCGCTATATTCCAGCAATCACTGCCATGGACTTTGAAGGCCAGCCCGTCGAGCCACCCAAGGCTGTTGAGGCTTTCCCTGACGAGTTGGTCTGGGACATGAAGACACACAAGAAGATTGTTCGCCGCCATGCCCCGTTCGCCGATTTCCAAAAGTTCCTTGTCGCAGAAGCGGCTTCCGGTAACATCAGCAGACAAGAAGTTGTTAGCATGATCCCACCGCATTTCTTGGACGTGAAGCCTGGAATGGTTGTCCTGGACATGTGCGCTGCACCCGGCAGCAAGTCAGCACAGCTGGCTGAAATGATACATGGTGATGAGGAAGAGAGGGTCAAGAAGGCCGCGAACAACGAGTCCCCGAACACTGATGATGGAGGTGACTACAGTGACGATGGGCGATCTACCGGTCTTTTGATCGCAAACGACACCGATTACAAGCGGGCAGGCATGTTGGTGCACCAAGTCAAACGACTCAACTTTCCCAACCTCATTGTTACTCAGCACGATGCTTCCATATTCCCCTCTATCGAACTCCCGACCGGCAAAAATGGAAGGAAGCAGTACCTAAAATTCGACCGTATCCTGGCAGATGTTCCCTGCTCAGGCGATGGTACCGCTCGCAAAAACCCCAACGTTTGGGGCAAATGGACGCCGAAGGACGGCTTGGGCTTACACAACTTGCAGCTTCGGATTCTATTCCGTGGATTGCAAATGTTGAAAAAGGGCGGCCGCCTTGTATACTCAACTTGCAGCATGAACCCTACTGAGAATGAATCCGTGATTGCGGCAGCCATTCAAGCTTGTGGTGGTGTCTCCAAGGTTCAATTGGTAGACTGCTCAGATTATCTTCCGAACCTGAAGAGGAAGCCTGGTCTCAACACCTGGAAGATCATGGACACGTCAACCGTTCCTGGAAGCAACGACAAGACTGCTCATCTGTTCAGCAGCTGGGACGCGTTTGTCAAAGCACAGGCGAAATACGAGAAAGAGGAACCCGAACGTGTGTTCTCTAACAAGATCATGCCCGGAGTGTTCCCTCCCATTGCGTCTTCCGAAGAAGAACGTATTCCTCTGGAGCGCTGTGTCAGAGTATACCCTCACCTTCAGGATACTGGAGGCTTCTTTATCGCAGTTCTAGAGAAGTTAGACGATATCAAGGTCGGCCAAATCACGAGTTCGAACAACGAAGCCAGCCTCCTTCAAGCAAAAACGGAATCCGAGACCGCGACCCCAGCCAACGCGGGTGAAATGGAAGTTGACGTTACTGAGCCTCCTACCGAGTCTGCCCCCGAAGCAGGTAATCAGTCCCCATTGAAGCGTAAGTTGGAGGACACGGAAGATGCGGAAGCCGAGGCCAAACGCACCAAAACCTCGGACACGACTGCTGAACTCCCAGCTCCACAAACAGAAGAAGCAACGCCAGTAGAAGCAACATCAACTACCATCACCTCCGCCCCACCTCCAACCAAAGAAGTCACCAAGCTCAAGTCCGAACAACAATCCCAGAGCAAAGAACACTTTGAATACCTCGCCGCTGACGACCCCAATATCGCCGCCATCCTCGACTTCTTCGGCATCTCCTCACGCTTCCCCCGTGACCGCTTCATGGTCAAGAATAAAGAAGGCCTCCTCCTTAACAAACTCTACTACACGTCCGCCCTTGCCAAAACAATCATCTCGGCCAACAAGCACCGGGGCATGAAGTTCATCCACTGCGGCGTTATCACCTTCGTTGCCCACAAAATCAAAGACAAAGACCTCATGCGCGCGCCCTGGCGTCTCCAAAATGAGGGAATCCGCATCGTCGAACCCTGGGCCAACAAACGAATCGTAAACTGCACCTCCAAAGCCACTCTCCACAAGCTCCTCATCGAGATGTTCCCCAAACTCCCTCGCGACGGATCCCACGATATCGGCGAGGTAGGCGACCAGCTCAAGGATATGGAGATTGGATGCTGCTTCGTGCGCATTGAGCAGAGTGCTGGCGAAGATGGTTTCCCGTTCCGGATGGTGCTGCCGCTGTGGAGACACCCCGGTAGCGCGAACCTGATGGTCGACAAGGATGATCGGAAGGCGATGCTGTTGCGCTTGTTCAACGAGAAGGATCCGGATATCAAGAATCACGTTGCTGATAAGGCGAAGGCTGTGGAGGCGGCTAAGGCGAATGGTGGTGGTGAGGAGATGGAGGTCGAGGAAGCCGAGAGGGAGTTGGAAGAGGCTAAGGAGGAAGAAGGAGGAGATGCCGATGCCGTTGCTGGCGCTGTCGAGGATGTGCAGGAGGTTTGATGAGGGGATATGTGTGCATGGAATCGGGAGATACGATGTGTTTGATTGTAAACTTCTACCATCGATCCCCTTTTTCTAGGCCTCTCTCTTTTCTCCTAGTTTATGTACATGTCTGCCTTGATGTTATGAGGATTTCTCTTATGTAGAATGAGAAAAGTAAGGAGACAAAAAATCTATATCAGATCATTGATACTCATTCATCTATCTGTTCCCTCCACAGTTGCGGGTGATTCCAAAAAAAATAATGGAGATGTTGAGCACCCAACCGTTCACTATCTATCCGGTTTGTGATATTTTCCTTCTCTATGGTATGGTATGCCTTTCATTCACTACTAGTGAATCCGGACGCGGCGCCCAATTTCTTGCCTGTCCAACAGCAAACATGTCTCCAGCTCTCTCTGATGGACGGAATCGACCAGCCATAAAAAGGCAAGGACGAAGAAATGTATAGTAGACTACTATAAAACAGCGACAAAACGTGTAAAACGAACGTTGAATTTGTAAATGAGCAAAACGGACGCCCAACACGATGCAATATTCGAGGTAGAGAGGTAATGAGAGAGAGAGAAAAGAGCTCATTCAAAGGACGTAGTCATTCGTATCGATCCATCACAACATTCGGGGCGAGGGGGAGATGAAGTAGTCCTCCCTTCCTTCCTAACCGCGTGACAGCCCCCGTCTATATCAATATCGAGAGAAAAACGCCTGATCTGCAAGTTTGCACATCAAACGCACCAAGATCGGACGGATAGACTGCACACACACACACACACTCGCTCGAAGCGGGAGAAAAAGGGAAAAAAATATATCAAGCAGATATCCACCGCCACACTACCATCGCCGCTATATTCAAAACGCTTTCTACCGAGTTCGCACAAGTCTACTACCGTTGGTTGAAGAACCAGCTGGTGCGCTTGCCGCTCTGTTGCTGACCGGCCTCTTGTTGCTGGAGACTGCTTAGTACTGGTAGCGTGGCAGCGTCTTGGGCCTGGCCGCCGCGGAGGGGTTTGGCGATGCGTGAGCCGACTGTGTTGCCGAAGGCGAAGGAGGCGCCACCTGATGTGGGCGAGCCGAGACCGCGTGTGGAACCTTGCTTTGCGAGCTCGAGACGCTCTTTTACAGCTGTGAGTTGGGCTTCGAATCTGTTTGGTGGTAGGAGTTAGTGAGGGGTCCGACAATTGAAAGGTTCCGGGGAAAGAGGGGGAATGGGACATACCGATGATTCGCTGCTGTCAGTTTCTCTTGGCTGTCTTGCAATAGCTGCTCGAGACTCTGGATGCGCTCGTTGCGTGCAATCAATTTGCGTTCGGCAATGGCGACTTCCTTCTTGAGGCTTGAGTTCTGTTCGACAAGTTGTCGTTGAACTACAGTGAGCTGCTCGAGGTTGCGTTCCAGGAACATCATCTTTTTTTGCTGGGCTCGGTTGTTGGATGTGCGGAGTACGTTATTGTACTGTTCACGCGTCTCGTCTAGAGATATTTCCAGTTCGACGACCTGCAAGGAAAGAAGCGACGATTAGTTATAGACTTTGAGAATAGATGGAACAAGAACTTACCCGTTCACAACGGTTTTGCAAATCTCTCATCAAGCTCTTTTTCATGTTGTCGAACTCGCTGATCTGCTGCTGCACAGTCTTGCCGTTGATGCCGTTGGCCGCACCATTCGCAATAGCGCCACTCTTGATGCGCTGTTGCAGACCCTCAATCTCAGTCTTGAGTTTCTGGTTCTCCTCCGACTTGCGAGCGAGATCTTGCTTGAGACCTTCAGCAAGTTCGATCTCGCCTTCTTGTCGATCGCCGTAGGCTTCCTTTAGCGAGGCCTTGACTTCCTCAATGTCTGAAGGCGACAAGTTGCGCTCGAGCAGTTCCTCGTATTGCCGTTGAAGCTCGGATATACGTGTTTCCAAGGCCTCTCGGCGGCGGTTGTGCACATTGTCTTCTTCGTTTCGGGCAGTCAGGGACAGCTCGGCTTGACGAACAATACCCTGTGTCTCCTGGAGTTTCTCGCGGAGCTCCTGTAACGCGTCTGGGGCGACGGCTTCTCCCGACAAGCTCATCTCGTGAAGCGTGCCCAATTCTTCGATGATGTTGCGAATTGAACGTTCGTTGTCGCTGAAGACCTCGCCGCCCAAGTCGAAGCCGGCCATCATCTGAGCCATGGCCTCTGCCTTCTTCTTCTTCTTTTCGTCCAAAGCCGCGCTAGTCTCCTTTGCGTTCATTCGCGCATCCAGCAACTGCTGCTTCACATCGTCGAGTTCGACAGTGAGTTCCGAGTTGGCTTCCTTCAATCCGTCCATGGTGATGAATGCCTCCTTGCTCTCAAAGTTGATCTTTTCAATCTGCATCTTCAGTTCGTTGAGTTCTGTCGTCATGCGTTCATTATCTTTATTCGACTTTGAGTCGCGCTCCTTGAAGTATTGCAGTTCCTCCTTGGTCGTCTTTAATTGATCTTCGATTTTCGTGAGCTGGCTCTCCCTCTCCGCAACTTGATCCTGAAGTTCGTTCTCCCTCCGCAAAAACTCATCCTTTTCATCTTTGTCCAGAGGAATGCTGGGTGTTCCTGCTCGCTCAAGATCTGCCCTCGAATCTGGTCTGGATGGAGTGTCTGCGCCCTTGGTGGCTTCTAATCTTGACGGGGTTTGTGCACGGGGAGTTGTGGGAGCCTTCCTGCCAGCGCTTGTGCCTGCATCCAATGCCGGTGTCCACCGATCTTTGGGTACGCTGTCACCACTACGCCAGAGAGCCACCTCGCCCTCCAGATTCGAGATGTACGACTCAAATGAGGTAACCTGTCCTTGAGCCTTCTTGAGCATAGCTTTGAGCTCCGCGGGGCTGAGTTCGGCGTTGACCTTGGCCTTATTCTTGATTGCCTTTGCGCGCATACCGAATCGCAGAGTAGATACCGTTTCGACATCGTTGTAACTACTGGGCGAGCAATTGATAATCAGCGTTGTCCGGGAATTTCCACCCAAAGATTCTTGCAAGATTCGCGTAAGTTTTGAGTCGCGATAGGGAACGTGGGAGATTTTGGAATCCGTAAGAGCGTTAATGACCATGCCGAGGGCACTCAAACTCTTGTTGATCTTTTTCGCTTCCTCCAGCGTCTGGCCACTTGCTCCCGTCTTTCCCACTTTTTCCGAACCTGCCAAATCGACCAAAAATAGCTGACCGCTTTTCATGGAACCTGTTTCGACGTTCTTTTGTGTGACGGTGATGACGAAGATGGAGTGTGACCGCGAAGATTCAGCGTTCATGTTGGTTGCTGAAACCGCTCTCGCGCTTCCACCTCTTCTCATGACCTCGTAAACCTCTTCCACAGACGCCACGTATACCTCGAGCAAACCCTTCACGTAGACACCCTTGTTTTTTTCCTCGTGTACAGGCAGGTTGTCGTTCTGCGGGACCAAAAGATCTCGAATGCGTTCCATGTAAATTTCCATGTAGCTGACTCGCACGGTGTACTCGATGGAGCTCGGAGAGGCCATGATACTCGCAAAAATCTGTTCGACGATACGGGGGATGACACCCTTGCCCACATCGTCGTCGATGTCTGTTCCCATCATTGTGTAGGACTTTCCGGCACCGGTCTGACCATAAGCGAACACAGTACCATTGTAACCATTCAGAATATCGTCGACAGTCGGTTTGATGGAGTAATCGAACACGTCGGCCTGGCGCGAGGCCATGTCGAACACCCGATCGAAGGTGAAGGACCCGGAGGCCTCTTTCGACTACAGAGCGCATGCTGGTTAGAGGATTTACCAGTAGAGGTTGGAAAGAAAGGGTATCAATGTACCTGGACTGTACATGTGTCATCCTCCTTGAATTCTACTATAGGCTCTCCCCCGCTGGCGATTTCAATCTTGTTCTGCGGGCGAAATCGCGCCACCACTACAATGATAGGTGATTAGTCAAGTATTCTGCGTAGTAGCCACGGTCTATTAAAGGCTTCGGCGCACCTTTTATAGTATTAGACGTCCTGCAGGGCGGATTGTTAGCGATCGCTCCCCGCTCAGAGTGGGTAGGTGGGTGCTACGTACGACATGGTGGCAGCGCAAATACGAGTCTCCGGCCCGGCGGCCTCAGGGAAGGTAGAGCGAGACGCACTCTCGAGGCGAGACGAGGCGTGAGAAGTCGCTGGAGCTGTAGGGTGAGGGTGCAAGCCGTGTATTTGTTGTTGTAGTGGGCTTGGAAAGGCGGAGGGATTTCAGCAGTCAAGCTCGCTGCTCGGCTCGGCGCGTTGGAGATTAGGCCCCGCCAGTCTAAGGGGAAAATGAAGGGCACGCCCGTTTCAGCGTAGCGTAGAGTTGCGGCGAGAAGACTGCGTAGGATGTTTATTATTATAAACAATCTAGTGGATGAGGATGCATGCGCTGCTGCCATTTTGTTTCCAAAGGCTGTCCCTCCCCCAAGTTCGTTTGTCGACAACGGTTTTTGTTTATACACACATTGTACGTGACTTGCTCTAGCGCATCATCCCCACCTCGAAACGGGTGAGCCACACGCACATTTCATGCATGGGACCGCCTCTCCATGACGTGTTGCATCTCGTGCTTGTACTAGATATGAACATATTCGATATTGGACTAAAAACATGATATGGACCACCGTGAATGAACCTCGACGAACCCTGGACGCCTTCGCTATGACAAAATCAGGCCATAAAACATAGTCCCGCAACTTTATACCAATGACGCCGGAGTCTCCCTTAGCCAAAGCCCTCTCTCTCTCCTCGTTCCCCATCAGTCCTCCCAGCTCTTCTCCACCGTTTCACGCACCCTCTTAGTGTATTCTCGACGGTTGTCCTTGTACAGGTTCGATGCTTCGACGTTCGCGGGGGAGGACGTGTTCGGGTCGTTGAGAAGACTGCAAGCCTCCCATTAGCACAAATCCATCAATAATCCATGTCTAACCCGTACCTTTGGATGCTGGTGAGGATAGCAGCCACATCGTAAGTCGGACTCCAACGGTTCTGCAAGATGTCTAGGCAGAGCTCGCCCGTGCCGTAAACGTTTGGATGAAACATCTGGCTAATGAACTTGACACCTGGCGGCTTGTTGGGGTACGCCTCTTCGAAGTGCATCACTAGCCGGAATGTCCCGTCTTCAAAAGGTGTGTCTGTCGGTCCAATGATGACTGCATTCCTGTGGCACGATCAGTATCCATGCCCTCATCCAACCTTCTGTCTACCCCTCATAGTGTCGCGTGCGGGGTCGTCATACCAGGTCATAACGTTGTCGGCGATGGGCGAGGCGGAGACACCGGCTGGGGGATCGGTTTGCATGCGCTGCAGTATACTGTCAGTTCATGTATTGGAAATGTATCGTCACAGCATGATTTTGGCTATGAAGATCAGGCTGGTACGGGGCTGGATCGTGAGGTGGCGCACCTTGAAGTCTCGCATCAGACGACGGCGTGCGGCGGTAGACATGATGGGGTTCGGTTGTTCTGTTATTGATTTTTCGGGTCGCAGAGCGTGGGAAACTGGATTGAGTCGGAAAGGGTGAAGTTGCTGGAGAAGCAAACGCCGGTGTAGCTTCCTTTGATGCAGTGTTCACGCAGTGGTGGCGGTGGAGGCGCAGTCACGTGATAGCAGCTGATCAATCTGTCACCGCGTTACCAACGCACGTTGACTCCATCTCCGATTGACCATACTGATTCATTACAAGTCACATTCCATGCATCATCAAGCCCTGTGAAACGGTACGTAGCAAATAGATCTGCATTTGCTATTTATTTACCTACCTAATGCATTGTAATGATGGATGACTTTTCCACTAAACCATGGTACATGCCAGTATCGTGATCCCTATCCCAGTAATCACTGGAGTCATGATTGATCTTTAAATCCACCAAGCTCCACCCACAGTAGCAGAAGGCAGTTGTGGTGTTGGAGTAGTTGGATAGGCGATCACAGCGAATAGTACTCCCACCCACATTCAATGTGATACAATTGCCGAACCCCCTAACGCCGTAATGCACCCGCTATATACGCTCGAGGAAACAGAGAAACGCAGATCATGTCCCAGGTATGGCTGGTTACTCATTCGCCGAAAGCTCCAGCAACACCATGGTGGGTGGCGGCTGCTGATCTCTCTCGGCCAATGTAGTCAACGACGGGGAAACGCGCACGACGCTCCAGCTCGTCAAGGGGGATGTGGGACCGAATGAATCTATCATGCTCGTTGCCTGGTGGCTGGTAGTCCCATGTATCCTTGACGCCTATCAAACTATCAGTATCCACTCTGTGAGATCGGGTTATATTCTAGACTTACCAACTTGCAGCGCACCCCAAGTCAGTTGACGCCTTCGCTGGCTGTCCAACACATCTTGGTGAATTCGCTGAAAGTTCCACTTTTGGCGAGCCTCTTCCTCGAATGAAGCAAGGACCTGGGCATACTCCGAGGATGTAGCGAGATTCTTGAGTTCATCCCGGTCGTCAACCAAGTTGAACAGCTGTGGAGGGTCCACCAGCGAAGTGGTGTACTTCCATGGTCCACGACGGATCATGTACACCGGGGTGACAGTCCCTTCGCCCATGTACTCACCGTAGACTTCGTCTTTGCCAGGCTCATCGGAGACAAGGTATTTGTATAGGCTGACCCCATCAATGGGAAGAATGGCCGACGAATTACCCCCAACAAGGTCGACGAAAGTCGGGAGCAAATCCATAGTGGAAACCGACGCATCGACTCGCTTTGGCTGAAACTTGGCCGGATAGTTGATGAACATTGGTACTCGTGCGCTGTTTTCGAACCACGACATCTTATACCAGAGGTTGCGCTCGCCAAGCATGTCGCCGTGATCACCTGAGAATACGATGATAGTATCTTTGTCAAGGTAGCAATCCCTAAGTATCTTCCTCAGTTTGCCGACTTGATCATCCACAAAACTGCAAGCACCGAAGTAGGCACGTCGTGCTCGAATGGCGGCCTCATCAGGAATGGGGTTGTCCCACAAGTCAACTGTTTTCATGAGCCGCTCTGAGTGAGGGTCTTGGTCTTCACGTGCAATGGGGTTTTTCGGTAAAGGAATATCGACATCCTCGTATCTATCCCAGTAGTCACGGGTCATCGTGTAAGGGTCATGAGGGTGGGTCAAAGAAATGGTCAGAGCAAATGGACGTCGTGTTTTCGGATCAGCACGAGCCCAGTCGTAGAGATACTGTTGAGACTGGATTCGTGTTAGTGGAGTCTGTCCGGGATATTTGGGAAAACGACTGCTCAGACGCAGCGATGAAACTTACCTTGTACATGACATCCTCGTCGTAATCTAGCTGGTTGCTTCTAACACATGGACCAGCTTGCATTACGGAGGACATATTATGGTACCACTCTTGGCGTTCCTCGGGCTTGTCCCAGTTGACGGTCCAACCAAGGTCTCCAGGATATATGTCAGAGGTGAGTCTAATCAGCGTCAGTACGTAATCCCAGGTAAATGGGAAATTTACCATACCTGTGCTCGAACCCATGGAGTTGATCTTTACCAATGAAGTGCATCTTGCCCGCAAGTACAGTTTCATAGCCCTCACGCCTCAGGTAATGAGCGTACGTTGGTACGTCCGAGCTCAAGACTGACGCGTTGTCGTAGCCGCCGATCTTGGAAGGAAGCTGTCCAGTGCACATGGTGAATCTCGAAGGAGCACAGAGAGGTGAATTGCAGTATGCACTCGAGAAGACCACGCCGGTGCTGGCGAGTTCGTCAATGTTTGGCGTCTTGATCACCGAGTCGGGATCATTCATCTTGAGGAGCGGCGCTGCCATCTGATCGGCCATGATGTACAGGATGTTCGGTTTGGTTGGAGCATCGTCCTGAGCCCCCGTTCCTGACGCGTAATTCCTGCTGTTCTGCAATAGAGTTTCGGCGGTGACAAAGCGATCGCCTCCAGGCTGACGAGTCGTGCTCGGATCCCCATGTGAAGTGGAAGTGCCGCTAAAGGAATCGACATGGCCATTGCCATTCGAAGAAGGAGTGGAGGTGATGGAGACTCTACCCCCTACAGGTGCGTGTGCTTCAAGTGACGCGGCACCCACCGCTTGCAATGACTTAGATTGCTGATTGACTGTCGGCGGTGTGAATTGTTGACCATCATCTTGCGGGGCAAGCAAAACGCTGGGAGCCATGGTGGGATGGATAGCAGCGGTGTTTTGTGAGGTCTAGAGCAACCAGGCGCCGATGGTGTGGCTGAAAGGCACGTGAGCACTAATGAAACTTGAAGAATGTGAGGAAGTAGAAAGTAGGTATGTAGAGGCAGAATATTTGGGGGGGAAACAGCTGCTGTGTGTCAATTGGAGAATGTTGATGAGTGAGAGAGGAGGATGGGAGCGAGTCTCTCTTAAGTAAATGGCGGTTGCTTCGTCCTTTGGGCGGCGAAGGCAATCACGCAATTCATCGACGATGTCGCCACTAGGCCTGTTTGAGACAGATGCCATACTACGCTCCTTCCCCACAAGTGAGGTTATCAAAGATAGACTGTATGTAGCTGCAATTACGACTATGGCAAAATGTAAAATTGATGAAGTGATGATCCTGGCCCGGTGCGCACACGACCAAGATTGGCATGCATCATCACCAAAGTATATCTCCATGCTGCTGTGATGTCCAAGCATCGGGCCGCCGCTGTTTCCAAACAAAGGCGGGCGACCAGGCGTGTTGCTTGTGTGTGCAGTCGCTGGGCCTGCACAATGAAGCAAGGCCCTAGCGAGCCGGTCTAGAAGAAAGAGGAGGCAGACAGGGAGCGCAACGCAACGCAACGCAACGCAACGCACAGCAAAGTGCCGGTTAGCGTCGACCAGGCCGAGGAACCCACGGGCGGACGCGAAGACGTGATGATGAAATAACGGGGAATGCAGGATGCAGGGTCCTCGGCAGAAGCTGGCGGACAGGTTGGATCCCGGGATAATACAAAAGTGACGGAACCCCCAGCAACGCAGACTGCAAGAGAGAGGACAGCATGTGGGTGGAAGTGGTATCAAATCAGACTTGAGGACCATGTAGTTGTGGAAATGGCTTGGCACATGTCTGTCCATTGGGCATTGGGCCAGACCTCTGGCTCTCCTGAACGCTTGTACAGTGCAGTGCAGTACATACATATGTGCCATGTCGAACAAAATGTTGGGCATCAATGCAAACACACCGAGGAAGCGCTGAGGAATGTCCAGAGCAGATAGCGTGTACGTCCAGTGATACCTAGATAATGCAATTGTGGCAGCGGTGTGCGTGTCGTCGGCTATGCTGCTCCATCTGACCAATTCTTCCCACGACCACTTCATCCTGGACAAATGATGTGTCTTCCCGAATCCTCCGAACAGCAACCCGCAACGTGATCTTGTTCCGTATCGGTGCATACATGCAGCCTAGTCCCCAATCGGACGCCTAATGCTGCCCTCGGCGAATCAGCACCATTTCACCCTTGATAACACGCGCGACTAGCGCCTTCACTATTCTAACAACCCCAAACCGTACAACATCAGATTTTATGAGCTGCGCTGTCTAGAACATGCAGTCTTGCTTTTTTATTTCTTTGCCCCTTCTCCCTGCCCAGAAGATCTTTTCGGTAGTGACATGCACAATCTTTTGGCCTGCGTTGCTCGTACATGTAGACCAAAATACACTTTATACATGGTAGGAAAATATAGAATGAACAGTTGCCAATCCGAACTGCATCCATGAGCAGTCATACATACGCCTTTGACTCCTTACATACATACTCACATCATCCCTCGTGGTATTATCGTCTGATCTGCTGACCTTCCATCCTACATACACACATACGTAAAACATTCAACATCCTCGCTTCTGCAGTCGACAACAGCCTCTGCCAACCCACCATCAACATGTCAATCATGCCAACCTACAACCCCTCTCCACAGAATCCCCTTGCCACATCACTTTGGCACTTGATTTCGTGGCGTGGCGGCCATATCTACGGCTCCTCGCCTCGGCTCATCGCTGCCTGTTCACTTACGCTAATGCCTCCGCGCGTGCTTTTACCTCAACGAGAAGGTATGTACATGGGGCTGACTTCGTATGCTGATTGTATCAAGTCGAATCCGAAAACGAAGAACCAACCCCGGCTTGCAAGTGGATTGCTAGATGCGAAGTGAGCCTGACGTGGCTTTTGGAGTCATCCAGAATTCATCGAAACAGACTCTGTAGTTGAACTATTCATTCCACATCTTATTACATCGGATTGGAGATTCCAGAACCAAGTGTCACCCAATGACAGACTGGTCGATAATAGACAATCCCTCCAGTCCGCACACAAGGTTGCGTTCCCGCCCTTTCTAATCCCCTGAGCTCTTTTTCTATTCCTTCCTCGAACTTCCCAGGGATAAGAAAAGCAAAACGCCCATGTTCCTACAAAGCATTGACAACCATGCTTCCGGTATGCCCAGTATCGTACACAAAATCGTAGAATATACAGGTAAAACGAGAACAAGAAATGCTGTACACTTTTAGAAAAGAAAACGCCCCGCAGACGGACCTCGCAATGGATGTTGCAAGCAGTGGCACAAAGGCCAATCGAATCGAACTGGCAGTCAGATACTCAGCTAGATCAGAATGGACTGTCACCACCACGGCTTCGACCTCCGAAGCCACCATCTCCACGACCCCCGAAGTCGCGCCCTCCGCCACGGCCTCCAAAACCACCTCTTCCGCCGCGGCCGCCGAAGCCACCGCCTCCGCGACCCCCGTCACGGCCGCCAAAGCCACTGCTTTCACCACGACCTCCAAAATCGCGGCCTCCGCCACGACCGCCAAAGCCGCCACGGCCTCCTCCACCTGATCGCCTACCTCCGTTAAAGAGAGATGCAGGTGGAGGAGGTGGAGTAGCCATGCCCCAACCGAATTCAGCCAACCTGTTCGCACCCTCCAAGAGGCCCTGCTTATCGCCGTACCACTGGAAACTACCAAAGAGTCCGCGGAACGCCTCTTCGAGCTCATTCGGATACACATACTTGTGTGCCTCCATGCAGCTGTCAAGGATCTTAGCTGTCTCCTCTGGGATTTCTCCACGGACAGACATGTCGACGTTGGCTGCCTCAAGAGAGGTGTCCTCCACTAGAGGCATCTGGCGTAGTCGTCGCTTCACTTCATTGCGTTCAAAAGGTGTAAGAAGGAGCCAGCCCTCTCCTTCCTTGCCAGCTCGACCTGTACGACCAAGACGATGGACGTATGATTCAGTCTCTCTGGGGAGACCTATCTGAATGACGTGTGTGACATTGGGGAAGTCCATGCCACGGGCAGTCACATCAGATGAAAAGAGCACACCAGATTTACAGAAGCGGAAAGCATCTGAAGAGCGAGTCCGTGCTTGCTGCGTGAGTTTTGAGTGTATCTCATAGGTCAAAAGTCCCTGGAGAGGCGTGATTTTCCTGTGGCCACCCTTAAGTTTGTGGAAAACTGAAGAAGCTAGCCTTACTTCGGCAGTTGAGTTGAAGTAGACAATGGCTTTGAAAGGGCGGCCGTCCCGCTCCTGCGGGTTGTTATGCATTTTGACAATCAGTTCGTAAAGGGTCGGCATGATGTTTTCGAAACCTTGCAAATGAACAAGCTTCTGCGGAATTCGCTCATGGGTAGGAGCCTCATCTTCATTGACACACTTGGCGAAATGAAAGTTAGGCCTCAGGGTCTTTCTGACTAATGCCACGACATTTCGGCTGAGGGTAGCGGAGAACATCAAATTCTGTCGTGGCACTGTCTCAGGATCTGGCAGGTATTTCTTGATATTGTCGATTTCTTCTTGAAAGCCTGCATCCATGAGACGATCGGCTTCGTCCATGACCAAAGCAGCCAGTTTGGGTGCCGCAATGCCGGAATACTCGTCGGCGAAGATGTCGTTGAGACGACCGGGTGTGCCAATCAGCAGGTGGCACCCTTCACGCTGTGTCTTCGCAAGCATAGCCTTCTTCTGTGTTCCACCTACAGCGCATTGCGTAATGATGCTGGTACCTTGAGTGACTTTCTTAGCTTCGACAGCAATCTGTTCTGCAAGCTCTCGAGTTGGCGATATAATGATGGCCCTGATATCATCGGGCCTAGTCCTCTTGTATCCGCGGGAAGCCTCGCCTAGCTTAGGTTCCGATTGAATGATTCGCTGGATGACGGGAATGAGGAAACCCATAGTTTTGCCAGTACCGGTCTTCGCCTGGGCCATACTGCATTCCATTAGCCACTAGATATTTATATATAAGGGAAGGTACTTACACGTCAACACCACTCAATGCCTCATTGATGGTCCGCGTCTGAACGTCGGTCATGGTATCCAACCTCATGGATCTTGTGATGGTGTTGATGACATTGGGATGTACGAGGCCGCGGAGAGCGAGATCCTTGAACTTGGTAACAAGCTTATCGTCAGACTCGGTAACAGCCTCATCCTTGGTCTCGTGCTCTTCTGCAACATCTTCGGTAACTTCAGCGGCACCGACTTGCTGCCATTTTGCGCTTTGGTGGAAAGCTTGGGTTGCGGTGACCGGAAGCCGGGGAACTGTCATTCGCATCGCAGATGGAGCATGTACCATTGAGGTTCTCAATGCTCTCGATGATAGAACTGCCGAGGAGACATTCCTCGACAGCGCGACGGGACATCTTCGAAAGGCGCTGAACATAGTGGCGATGATTGGAAAAGGGATTCCCTTTGCCGTAGAAACGCTAAAGATTATGGGTATCAAGGGAACAAGGGTATTAAAACGATTACAGCGTCTATGAAGATCGAGAAGAAGAATAGCCGCGCAATGGCAGGCGAGATTGATGAAGGAGTGAGTGGGTGATGGATGGGCAAAAGGAGATTTACACGAAGGGAACTTTTTCGGGGGACGTGCTAGCTCGGACGCGACAGGTCCGATAAGAAATTGCTATCATCACGTGATACACATCCTTGCATGTGCGATAGTTGTGCGTCGACTGGATCATCTTTGACCAAGAATATCATCTGTAGGCCGAGAGTATTCTTTCATTGCATTATTCTTATACGGTCTGATCATCTTCTAATCTGGATATATTGGAATACATGTACGCTTCTAGATCGCCACATATCGAACGCAATTAAACTCCGTGGAATGCTGTATTTGCAAAACCGACTGCCTGCATCAGTCGGCCTGTTCCAAACGCTGCTGCTTTGCCAACCTCTCGCTGCTCATCATCTCGATTCCTTCTGTAACACCTTGCTGAAAGCCTCCGGTCAAACCGCGCACCAACCATATTACCAGATCGTTCAGCGCTTGACCAACTTTTCCGTCGTTCATCTGGCAAACGGTGTGCGACAGTTCTAGACTCCGTTGCCGAAGCCTGTCTGCTGTCATCAAGCCATTGTTGACCATCTTCTGCGTCAATTTGTGCTCCCTTTCAAGACGATATGCGTGCCCCGCGAACATCTTCATGTACGGTAGGAGGAACTGGATCATGGCGAACGTTTGAAACACAAGTATGGCGACGACACGATGCAGCGTCGACGGATTTTCAGGAGGTTCGCGCAAAGTCGCCGATTCTTGTCCGAATGCGATCATGGCGTGTGAGCATGCTTCAGTATGTATCACAGTCAAATTCGGTGGTATCGCAGCTTGCAGACAGACTGTCTCCTCTGGAGTCAGATCAGATGGGAGACCGCGGAGCAGATAGGTCATACCATGCAGATACAGCTGGCGTGTAAGAGACGCAGAAGTCTCTTCGACCTGCGTGATCGCATGTGATTCGGTATAGGACTGAGAGACCAAATTTAGACCCTGGTTCGCATATTTCCAGTTGATTCCCGTACTGCTTTCTGCCACATGGAAAAAGCTTGGAGGTGTGCTCATGGTCGATTGTGGACGACTATAACTGCATTCTTGGACTACAAGTTCTGCATCGAACGAATCGATTGAATCTCGTGAAGATCTTGTTCGAGCGCTCCCCGGTCGTGACGTGTAACCTGGTGGAGGGGTTTCGGGGACGAGTATCTCGACAGGGCCGGAAGCGCTTTTGGATGATCGTGCGCCATTGACGATTTTTCGTATGGATGGAATGGCAGGGATGCGGCTTTGGACAGTCGCGGGGAGGACGTTGAAAATCATGCTGGTCTTGTTCGGATGTGGCTCAATCGAGAATTTTCTTGAAGAGGTGTTACTCTCTGAGGATTGGGTAGGATTCATGGCGCGAGGCGCGGGGGTACGTAAATATCTCTGTTGCGGATCGCTCGCTGCATGCGGATGAAAGTGTGGGCGGGGTGCTGTTTATATGGAGATGGCGCCTTTTATTTAATCTTATGTCGTGCATTGCGATAAGCTGTGGCTCGTGTCGTCAAACGTTCCAATTGTAAGGGCGTTAATGAGCATGTGAAAGGAACACCGACAGTTGTCATTCGTTGATTGTTGAGACGTGCGCCTCTCCTGGACCAGACCCTGACGAACAAGGGTCCCACCTTCACATGTCTCAGTCATGTGATGTCTGTGAGCTTGATGCCTATGTAAGCTCTAGGTAGAATATGTGCACACGTGAATGCTATTCACAGGTTGTCCCAGCTTCATTTTCCCTGTCTTCTAGGAATGTATGTTGCGCCTGTGACTACAGGCATCGTGCTGGTCAAGGGACCCCAAGAATGTTGGAAAACGACCTCGGTACGGGCGCCTTGCCACACCAACCACAGCAGAGTCATTCCGGTTTCAGTATCACATTCAACAAACTAGAGCAACACTCTCAAAAGAATAAATAGTCGTGCTGTCTGATAAGATCTTTCGAGCAGGTCTGGAGATAGCTAGTAAGCTGATCTGGCTGAAAACACAGAGTTTTTCTTTGGAACCACTCACATGATTAAACCACGGAATGTTACCTGTGCCATCAGAGTTCCTGCGGTCCTCCCACGTGTCGTTCAAAATTGTGAAGACGCTACGACGATAGCTCATTCCTGTCATCTCTCTGATGTTTTCCAAACACATGAGTGCATACTGTTGCTGATGAGGCGAATCGGTTTCCGCCCCAGCCACAAACAGCGGGAATAAGAGGCGTTTCATATAGGAGGACGATCGGGGCATCGAAGCTGATACATCTAGAATCGCGTTGACTGAAGCTTTGATTCTAGGATCGCTACAAGGAATTTTGGTGGCATCTGGAGCGCGAAGAGCTCGGAGGATAGCTGTATGTCGGAAACTTTCTCCCAATAATCCCCACTCAAAATCGTCATTGGGAAATCGACTCAGCTTCGGACTCCAGGTCTGGAGGTGAGCTATGACCGGATCTAGCACGGCCCGATAACCGTCTTCTCCGAGTTCTTTGGCTAGAAACGCTTTGCCGGCTGTCAAAATCTCATCTAAGGCAATGAATATTTGAACGGGACAGCCGAAGAGTGAGTTCAAGATATGTCCTCCTTCCGCGGCAACAAACTTTCTTATGCTAGATGGGAAGGCAAGCTTTTCAGCTCCACTGAAGCCCCGGGAGACATCGAACCTGAATTGATTAGCCTGGGATCGTGGCACTATCAGCACACTCTTACCATGTCAACGCTGTCACGAGGAAAAGTCTATTTCTCCCCAAGTTTCGAGAGGTATTCGCCAATCTATCGCAAAGGAATGTCACGCCGTTCAGATGTGCACCTTGAGGCGATCTTCCACAATCCCAAAGCTGCGCAAATTTAGTTACCCATATGGAGTGAGTGGAGATGAGGGACACCCACATCCTGAAAAACAAGCATTAGAACGATTGCCAAGGCGATCTCCTCTTCGGTCTCGTTTAGACCAAATTGCTCTTCCTTCAACAGAAGCGCACTAAGCCCTTGAATAGCCGCGACCCGGTACTCTATGGTAGCATTGAACAGAGGGTGTCGCGGTAAGATTCCAGGTTTCGATATGTGGCACGCTGTTAGGCCAAGGATCGCATTCAGCAGCCCCGGATGCTCATGTGCCAGAGGCAGAATGTACGTTTCAAAAGGATTTGGAGAGCTTTGACAAATCCATAAGTCCGGACAAACACTTTGCTTGTCTTGTACATGTTAGCGAAGTTGTGGGGGCCCACGATACGCAGTTGCAAGCTTACAATGCCTCAGCATGTCTCGCTCTTGTTCCAAGTCCGAAAAATGCATACTATTATCGGATGTCACTGGAGGAGGGTTTCCGACCAAAGTTTCGTTGTTTGTCGGAGATGTACCGGTGGAGAGATCTGTGCTATCTACAGTGCTTGGTGGAGTCATGATGGTTGAGATCTCAGTAGTAGCGAGTGGAAGTTGTTTATCCTTGGTGGCACTCCTTGTCTTGCGAAGAGCTCCGTTTGTCATGTTGTACATTTGGATATTCAACTGGTATCCCTCGCAGACCAATCCATGGTCGATACAGCGCTGACATCGTGGGCGTTGTCTGTCGCATTTGCGAGATTTCTTGCGACACGTGCCACACACGGGATCTGTAGAAAGATGAGATAGGGTAACAACGGATATTTGGAGGCGTGGGAGACCTACCTGTCCTCCGGCCTCCTTTTACCGGTGGCATGGCGTATGATGTGAGTTGTTCGACGTTGTTAAGATGATTTGATGCGAACACTCCAGGCTGACGACGATGACTTCATGGTGCCATGATGTTCACCCGTCAGCGATCCCTGTCCTGCGCTAACGCTTTTTGCCACCGCTCACTCCTTTGACGCTGCGGTACCTATCAACTGACAGCTATCTGTGTACACAATCACCATTGTACATACTGTGTATATCCAGAATACTGACGCTAACAAATCGTCTGCTAAACCGTGAGTTGATGCACTTGATACTGATTGCAGCTGTGTGCCTTCCATGCTTGGTCCTCAGCAACGGAACGCGGAGGATCCAGGACCAGAATGAAATGAGAAGAGAGAGCCAGAGAAGAGCAAAACGCGAACATCGAGCGATATGCTCCTCTTCATGAAAAAGACGTTTGTTCCCTACTGTAATGTCAACAGATACGATCTCGGCCAACTACTTCGATCGGCTCGAACTTCCCCACAGAGTCCCACCAACTCCGACTCAGCACTCAACCTGGAGTGCGCACTGCATGGTCACGTATCTGCACTCGTATTCTCTGCATTCCCAACGGTGGCATGACTCCACACCCCCAAGAGATGAACGATAGAAGCCGTGTTGCGTAGTACTGCACACCCAATACCCACCTTGAGACGTACATATGGCAGTTGAAATTGGATATTGCGATTCTATATTTGCGTCACGCATACATACAGAATGCCAGTACAGCACAGTCATATAACAGCAGTGCGTTCTCCCACAGCCTACGAGCAAGAGAGGGTCACAGTGAGCAGGCATACGCACAGGGCTTACCATCCCCATTAAGACAAAATCGTACATCCAAATCCGTCCAATACCCCCAAAAAGAGTTGCGTAGGCGCTATTGATTTTTCTCGGTGTGGCGTTTTGCATGGTGATCAAGCAGCGAATAGTGTTGCGGCGGCGCAGTGTACCTGCATATGTTCGACCATTCTATGTAAAGTGTCACTCGCGGGTTATGTACAGTATGTACAAGTCCGCACGGTACCGGGCACATGTTGATGACATGTGCTGAGATGGCTTTGGCGGGCTGGATGAGAAGGAAGCGGCGGCGGCGGCTTAGCATCTGAATAATGACTTGATCCTTCATGAAAGTGTGTGGGGCGGTTGCGCATACCAGAGAAAAAATAGGCGGTCTTTGGGTGATTGCAAAAGCGGCGCAAGGCGAAGAAAGGGTGTTTGCGACTGAAAAGATTCCGGTTCTACAATCTTGACATGGATAGAGCTGCCAGTATTTCCACGTGAACTACATGGGGTATATGAGGAAATGACTTTTTTATTTCAACACTACATATATATGTACTGCAGGCAAAGCTATCAAAGACAAGGACTGGCTAAGGAAAGGCTAGGAAACAAGAACTTTCAACATTGACAGTGGGTATTTTTCAAACTACTAATAACAAAACAATCCCCTGATTTCGCCAAAGCCGCCTCCCCGTTCCCTCTCAATCGCATCGCTAAACAAGCAAAACATCAAAACCCTCCAAAAGCAAATCTCTCCCCGCAACACCTCCCCTTTGATTGTCCTACAGCTGCACTACTAACGCCCAGACGCGAAAGCAGCTATACTATACACAAAAACAAAAGAATCAGATAAGAAAAGGTATACAAGCGAGAAAGCCGTTGGGCTTAGCCTCGCGTTGGTGGCGTAGCCGAATGGCCACTGGCATACAGGCAAGAGCGAACTCCGCCTCCTCTTCACCAGAACAAAATAAAAAATAGTGCAGTTTATGCAGTCGAACAAAAAGAGTAATGATCAGAGAAATAGGAGACAAAGAAACGAAAATGGCTGCGTCGTAGCGTAGGCGAGTAAAAAGGGGATAATTAAAGATGGAACAAGTAGTGGGAGAAAGGTCGAAGTCTATGAGTTGATGTGTAAAGTGTTGTGTGTGGGTGATGTTCATCTAGCCATCATATATACAGATCAATAATACGATAAAGAGGAAAAAATGTTTGGAAAGGAAACAATGGAAAGGGAATTATCTCCCACCCATCCCCCAGAATAACGCTCTTGCTCGAATATCCCTACGCATTATGCCCATTAAGTAGAAGAAGATACGTTTTCAGGTCCGCGCTAGTCTTTAGAACTCCTGGCCGATGAGATGAGGGTCCGCAAACAAAAGCTCTCCGCTCCTCTTGCGCTGCACCGTCACATCGTCACTGAACTCGGTTGACGTTGGGCCCGGGCTGCCGTAGATGTTCTTGGGAACCTCGAGCTGTCCGCTACCGGCACCAGATCCCACAGGCTTTTTCTTGATCGTGAGGGGAAGACCACCGGAGAGAAGGATCTGACCGGGACCGGCGAGAGTGGGCTCCCGGCGGCCAGTGGCAGGCACAGGCTTGCGAGCCAAGCTGAGAGGTGCTGGGACAACGGTATCGTCCATCTTGATATCATCCCAACCCTTGACTTGTGGGGGCGGGGTGACAGCACGAGCTGGCTGGGCAATCGGCTCAGGAGTAGTCAGGTCGATCAGGCTAGAGCTGGTGCCGAGTGGGCTACTACGACCTGTTGACGATGCCTCGGGAGTGTTGCTCCCCGAAGGTGCGCGCATATCGGGCGTGTGACGGCCATCTGGAGCTACTCTGCCAGGAATGACAGAGTTGTTGGAGTCACGTCCAGGGAAGTGGTTGGTGCAAGGCGCCGGTGGGGGAAAGTGGTCGTGTACTGTTGGAGGAGATCTTCCAGGACGAGGCGAACGAGGAGTAGGGGGAGGTGCAAGCACGAGGATTGAGTCCGGTGTCTCCGTCTTGATATCAACGTTCAACAGCAGATCATGCTCGAACGGATCAGCGAACGGATCACTGTACCTTTCGGATTCACGAGTCTGCACTGGCGTCGGGATGCGCATAGGAGGAGCGTCGTAAGGAGACATGGGAGGATATTGGGTGGCAGCAGGGTTAGACGGAGCAGGATCGGCGAATGGGTTCTGGCCTAGAGAAGCATATTGCAACGCAGCGCTGTTTAGGGGTGGCATCGGCGATCCAGGATCCCTGGACAGATCCAAAGGTGGAAGAGAACCGGTGCTGTATCGTGACTCACGTGGGTAATGGTGCGACGATGCGCCAATGGCGCCATAACCGACGGAGTGGCGTAGAGATTTCTTGGATAGAGCGCGGCTTAGGCCGGTAGCAGCACCAGACATTGTCATCTCAGGAGCAGAAGTAGGTCCGGAACTCAAGCGAGAGCCAGCTGCTTTCTCGGCATCAACGCCAGCACCACCATTGCCGCCAGTCGGAGGGTCGTAAAGATAAGCGACCTCAGGGTAGACCTCTCCAGTACTGTTGCGCTTGTCTTTGTTCTGGTGATAACGGCGAGCGACAAACAAAGCGGCAACGAGAGCGATGAGAATAGACGCAGTTCCTCCCACAGCAACAGCAGCGGTCTGCGATTTTGAAAGAGGCGCAGGTGGAGCAGGAGGCTCCTCGGTCTTGTCTTGTGTGGTGGAGGCTAAAGGCTCAGCGACCTTGCTCGAAACACGACCGGTCGGAACAGTAGACGAGGGGCCAGTTTGAGCGGCACCAGTGGTTTCTCCATAGCCGCCTGATGATCCAGCTTTACCAGATGCACCGGATGCTTGAGAGGAAGAACCGGAGCCTTGGGAAGCTTGACCAGAAGATGCTGAGGCACCAGAAGATGCTGAGGGACCCGAAGTGGCAGTGCTTCCAGCAGCGCTTGTCGCCTTTGTGGTCTTGTCGTCGTTCAAGGGATCGGAACCTTGCATGACCGGTGAAGTGGGAATGGTGACTTCGGACGATGTGGCGGAAGACTGTAAGATGGCTTGCTTCATTGAGGGTGTCTCGCTGGATGGAATCTGGGAAGCCGAAGCACCGGAAGATTGAGGAGCACCAGAGGAAGAGGGTGGTGCAGTTCCGGAGACCGAGGGAGGAGGTACCACGCCTGAGGTAGACGGCTGAGCCGTGCCAGAGACAGAGGGCACTCCGTTGGTTGAACCAGGTGCACCAGACGAGGCCGAGGGTACACCAGATGAGATGGGTGGCTGTCCAGAGGAGATTGTTGGTTGTCCAGACGGAACTGGTGCACCAGACGAGACAGATGGCAGCCCGGAGGAGATCGTTGGTAGTCCAGATGGGACAGGCGCACCAGACGAGACAGATGGCTGCCCAGATGGGATGGGCGCACCCGATGATACTGAGCCTCCGCTGGTAGGGATTCCCGTGGCGGATGGGATTGTGATAGACGGCGCACTGGTGGGAGGGGCCAAGGACAGACTGGGCAAGATGGAGTTGGAAGAAATCGCCGTGGGAACGACAGGAGGAAGATTGTCTGAAATACTAGGAATGTTGGAAGCTTGAGATGCGCCAGTACCAGGAAAGTTAGAGATAGGAAGACCAGAAGTAAGGATATCTGGCAAAGATGACACCATGGTAGGAAGTCCGAAGGAAAGGGATTCAGACGCAGGGATACCACCGAGTGAGCCACTAGGTACCGTTGTTGGGAGGCCACTGAAGACTCCAGAGGGGATGGCTGACGACATACCACCGAAAAAGGAGCTGATGGGATCAAGGGCAGAAGAAGGAATGACGTTGGTGGGTCTGGCAGGGAAACTGCTTGGAAGATCTGTAGGCAGTCCTACAGAGATAGAGGGACGGTCGGAAGGAACAATGCTGCTGACAATGCCTCCAATACCCCCGAGGCCTGACGAGATTCCGCTGTTGATAGCAGAAGGAATCTGCGATACCTGGGACTGAGCAGAGGATACCACGCTGCTGATGCGAGAGGGGATTTGGAAAACCTCGGATTGAGCAGAAGAGATGGCGCTGCTAACACGAGAAGGCAACGCGGAAATCTGAGAGGCACCTTCATTGAGGCCGCTGCTAATACGCGATGGCAACGCCGAGATTTGAGATAGTCCCTCGTTAATGCCGCTGCTGAGACGCGAAGATACATCGGATGCACCAGCGTTGAGACCACTGCTTACGCGAGAAGGCAAGTTGTTGATGCCGCTGGTGATTCCACCGACGATACCACCCGATCGAGAGGTGTCACTAGAAGGAGCAGCAGTCGTGCCAGGGAATCTGTCTGTCTGGCTCGTGGTAGGCCCAGCTGACCCGCTGTTTGAAATTTCGGGTCTTCCAGAGCTGCGGGCAGAGGAGGCAGCTCCTGACTGACCAGTCGAGGAAGGCCTAGAGTCGGATTGCTGGCCGTTCGGCGGAAACCTGCTAGCGGTAGATTCCCTGCCCGAGGAGCTCGATACTGGAGGCCGTACATCCGATGAAGCCTGCGAACGCGATGGTTGCTGGCTGGAGGATTGCGATACGGATGGAGCAAAAGTAGGTCTCTCACTGCCTTGAGACGACACTACAGAGCTGGGCCTATCATTGCCTTGGGAAGACACTGCTGAACTGGGTCTGCCGGGCTGGAAAGACGATGAAGAAACTGTGGAGGGTTGCTGGCTGGAAATTTGCGAGGATCTCTCGTTGTCCTGGGAAGACACTGCCGAAGTAGACCTACCATTTCCCTGTGAAGACGCAGAAGACGATGCAGATGAAACAGCGGTCGTAGGCCTGTTGTTGCCCTGGGATGATGCAGTCGATGAAGATCTGTCGTTACCCTGCGAAGACACCACTGACGAAGACCTATCGTTACCTTGCGAAGAGGTTGCGGAGCTGGATCGACCGTTGCCCTGAGAGGACGCTGATGAAACTGTGGGTGGCTGCTGGCTGGGAACTTGCGACGTGGAGGACCTTTCGTTACCCTGGGAGGATGTTGCGGAGGAGGTTCGGGGATTGCCTTGACTGGTAGCTGAAGGGACCACCGAAGAAGCTGCCGAAGAGGGCTTGTTGTTGGTCTGAGATGATTGGGCAGCTTGAGATGACTTCTCTTGCTCCGCAAACATACCCATGCGACCACGACCATCAGCAGATTGTGAGGAAGCGGGCTGGCCCGCCGAACTGATTTCAGTCGAGGATCGTACGCTTGATGTTGTTGGCTGGGCACTGGAGATTACCGTCGAAGATACAACGCTGCTACTAGTCTTGCTTTGTTGAGTAGATACAACGCTGCTACTAGTCTTGCTTTGTTGAGTAGACACAACGGAGCTGCTAGTAGGAACCGCTGATGACGGAATGACGGAAGATTGACTAACAGACGATCGTCCAACTGAAGTTGAGGGACCAGTAGCCGATGATGGCACGTTTGAGGATGACACAACAGACGATGGGACGATGGACGAGCGAACGGCTGAAGTCGAAGACGGAACAACTACCGAAGTCGAAGAAGGAACAACTACCGAAGTCGAAGAAGGAACAACTACCGAAGTCGAAGAAGGGACAACTACAGAAGTTGAAGAGGGAACAACTGTTGACTGCGTGTTCGAAGAACGAACGGCGGACGACTGGCCAGCGGACGATTGAACAGTGGAGGAGCGTCCAGCAGTAGACGATGGTGCTACTACCGAGGATTCAACAGCAGACGAACGTACAGCTGATGTGGAGGGAACCACGGCCGTAGTGCTCGGGATCACTGGTTGGACTGAAGTAGATATCTTCGATTGAGATGGAACGACTTGGGATGAAGGAGCAACCACTGCCGAAGGGGCTTCCTTTTGAGATGAGACTACGGCAGAGGATGGTGCGACTACTGCTGAAGTCTTGGGTTGTTGTTGAGAGGTGGCGCCTCCGGCTTGTGATGAGGGCCCAGCACCGACCGCAGTCGTCTTTTGTTGTTCTCGTTGGGTTGTAGGGTCAGCTACTACTGCGGTTGACTTTTGTTGTTCTTGGCCGGCAGCTTTTTGAGTTGATGGGGCAGCGGCGGCGGCTTCAGTCTGCCTTTCTTGCGAAGCAGCGGCGGCGGCTTGTGTTGTTGGCTTTGTATCAACTTTGACTGTATTAGGGGCGGCGGCATTGCCTGCTGCACTGGAGGCCTGCCGCCTATCTATGTGGACATATTTGTTTCGAGGAGCATATCGTTCCTCCCGTCGGCCGACTACCTCTGCTGTAGTTGATGGTTAGCATGGTACGTGAATGGGTTGCGACCCGCCCCCCATGACCACAGGAATCCACCTTTTCCTCTCCCATCTTCCTCTCTCTCTCCTGCGCTGGTTGCTTACCTTGACCGCGAAAAGCTGCATTAGTTGGAGTGACGAGTAACGCCGTGTAGGAAAGGAATACTACGCCTTTGAACCACATCGCATTCTCGATTAAATGAGTGACTGAAAATCGACAGCAAAACGACGACGAAAGGAGAGAAGTTGGAAACCAAAAGGAAGGTATCACGGCCTTATGCCAGCCGCGAGCTGCGAAGGCCGATGGTTTTATTAGGGCGGCCGCAGGCTACACTCCATCGCGTCGGGCATGCTTTTTGGGATGGCTACCCTGCTCGCATCCGACCAGGGTATTCGGGGTTGAGGCTTAGCCCGCACCTACCAATACACACGCCCCTAGTCCGCCCATCGTTCCCACATCGTCTGCTAACAATAGAGTGGGTAGAACAGCACAGTTGCACCAGTGATTGTTCTACCCGACGACCTTGAATCATTGATTGCTTGCTACGTCAAAACTCTGGACGTCGACGAAAGCTCCCGTTTCTGGCTCCATTTGTTGTAACCGGGTGGGCAACGCCAGGACAGCCTCTCCTATTTCGCTGTGCACGGCCAGGCTAGAGCTTACATATTGTACCATGCAGGAACCTCTCCTGCTTGTGTGCTGGCGAAAAGGCGTTGCTTGGGGTCATGCGACGCGTGAGGGAAGAGCTCTGTGCTTCGCCATATTGGCATGCTAGCTTTTACGAGCGTTTCCGCCCCATTTGGCCCAAAACGTATACCTCGCTGTATTAAGAGGCCCTTCGCCAAGTAGACCGACTGCTCAGCTGCAGTGGCCTAGGTATCCATGGTGCTTCGATGTCCATGGCCCACACACGATCTAGAGGTGTAACAAGGCATACCCACCCCCACACGACGTGAACGGCATGTTTCAAACTCGATCGTTAGCAGTATATGACACAGTATAAAGAGTCTGAGTCTGCGCATGTCGCGAATTCTGTGCGATCAGCAGAATTTGCCAGCGTTTCTGTTGGATAACACGAGGCCGGGTGAAGTTGGCAAAGTGCCAGTTTTGGCTTGATTACACTGTCTCCGCGCCTCTCCGATGCACAGAAAATACATATGAGAAGCATGTTGACCTCTGCACAGGATGCACGTTAACAAGAGTACTGCCGTCTTTCACACAGAGAGACACTACTCCAATTCGTGTACCTGGCGTGGATGTTGAATTCATGAACCACGGTCTCAGTATGGTCTTCGTCGCTGGCTGGGCGTATAACGCCTGCAATGGACACAACAGAAAGGCAACAGAGTCTCCTGCATCCGCCGTCACTCGTAGACCTCCGACAACGGTTAAGACAGGTTCAGAGCCAAGAACGGCATGGAAACAGCTGGTTGACCGGAACATGTCTCGAGTCTGGACAGAGAGGTTCGTATCGCTTAACGGCACTGAGCCGAAGGCTGGGGTTGCTCTTGATGGAAGGCTAGATGTTTCCACGTAGGAATCAGGATGAGGAATGGGTTGCTGACGGAGATTGGAGCCCTGAGCAATAGAGTCATGGGTGGAGAGGAGAGGTGTATGCAAGGTACGCGCTCCAGAGTCAGTAGTCTACGGACTTCGATGAGGCACGGCTGCAGCATAGATGCATGGATGGTCACAGCTCGTATGCGTGCCGACGATAGGGGCATAGTGCTGAGCGCCGAAGTCCGTAAGCACACGCTGGGGAGAATCGCTGGTTATGTAATCCACGTGCCGTTCGCACCCCTGCTCTGCCTAGTGCCAGCCCTACCGCTAGTGCCAACTGACTTTGGACGGCACAGTTCTGTCTCTGAGCAACTCACCGAGAACTCCCACCCGCAAACCACGCGACTGAGCCTTTCGGACTTGGACGTTTTCCTGTCATTGATTGATTACAACCCCCCCTCTGCCTGCGTCATCCTGTCCTTGACCTCCACCTCTGGCAGTAGTTCACCACCCTTCCTCGTATGCTCGCACCCCGGCCCCTCTGCCTAGGCAGCTCCTGGACTACCTGCCTGAGAGCCACTCGTTTCAAGCCCTCACTTGCATCCCACCTTCCTCGGGGCCTATTAGGATCTGCGCCATGTACTTTTAGAGCTGCTACTGCCTCCTATATAACCACTTCACCCGCTCTCTCCCCGCAAAATTCGACCCATCTAGATCCCCCGCCGGACGACTATGCTCTGACCCCCTTCGCCGATCGATGTATTCTTGTCGCTGAAGCCGGCGCCGGTGGTCACGGCTGTGTATCGTTCCTCCGCGAAAAGTACATTGAGGAAGGCCCTGCCAACGGTGGCGATGGAGGGAGCGGCGGGAACATCTACATTCAGGCGATACGTGGCGAAACCTCACTTCACAAGCTCGCTAGGCGGCGTCTGATCAAGGCTGGCAGAGGAAGAAATGGTCAAGGAAAAGTACGTGGCGGCGAGCGAGGCGCCGACATACTTATCACTGTGCCGGTAGGTACCATTGTACGCGAGATCCAACGACACGATCCTATCCAGGACGAGCTGGATGAGCTGGAGCGCACCTCGCGATACACGCGCCACCAGCACCGTGACAAAGATAAAAAGGATGAAGAGGAAGGGACAGGCAGTTATCGAAGAGACAAATGGCTGGTATTCCCGGGCATGGTCCCCTCCGAACTCAATAGAATGTCCTTTCCCAAACTTCCTCCACCTCGCAAGTCACATCTTACTGCCCTTCAACCACCATCGCCCATCTGGCTAGACTTGGACAAACACATGGAGACGCCCATGCTGCTCGCTGCGGGATCTATGGGCGGATTGGGGAACCCGCATTTTGTTACCCATAACCAGTCGCGGCCGAAAATGGCTACCAGGGGCGATGCAGGCATGAAGCTGTCGTTGCAATTGGAGTTGAAGATTTTGGCAGACCTTGGTTTGGTCGGCCTACCTAACGCTGGAAAGAGTACGCTCCTGCGAGCAATGAGCAACAGTCGCGCTCGCGTCGGGAACTGGGCATTCACCACTCTTCAACCAAATGTCGGTACGGTAGTCTTGGACAATCACAAAGGTCGGCCCGTAGTTTCGAAACGTACCAGAGACGGCGAATTGCGTGAAAATTTCACCGTTGCTGACGTCCCGGGGCTAATCGAGGGCGCTCATTTAGACAAAGGCCTCGGTCTTGGCTTTCTCCGCCATGTGGAGCGGGCAGCCGTCCTCGCCTTCGTCATTGATCTATCAGCAGGCGACGCGGTGCAAGCACTGAAGCTACTCTGGAAAGAGGTATCCGAATACGAGTCGCAACGGAGCAAAGAGTTCAATGCCGAGACCCAACGCAGGTTGGTTTCTTATGTACCACCGCACTTGCGAACGGCAGAGAGCGATAGCGACGAAGACTCCATCGGGACCCCCGAGTTGGATATATCGGTTGAACCACTTCCTTTCATCCCCACTACCCCCATTTCAGCGAAACCTTGGTTCGTTGTCGCGACCAAGGCAGATGTGGATGCTACGCAGCAAAACTACACGTCGCTGCAAAAGTATCTTGATGATGTACGAACGGGCGTCCAGCCGCATCCCAGCGGCCTCAAAAACGCATGGAGGCACAAAACCCAAGCTGTTCCTATAAGCGCCATTAGGGCCGAAGGTATCGACGCTATTCCTCAGCTCGTCATGGATTTACTCGAAGAATGATACCCTCTCTTGTACAAAATGTAGCATACTATTTACGATAACAAAATGTATATTATCTGTAACAACTTCATTGACATGTCGATCCACCCAACCTTGACACGTTTTTTTCCCTTTCCATCGTCAAACCACTAGGCCTCGATACCCGCAAATTTCGCCAAACTACCTCAGGTCGCATCAGCCCTTCCAAGGTTTGCATCGTTGTCGGAAATTGCAAAGCTCTCGCTACAAAATGGTGGGGCGGCTAGAACTAGTGAGTCTTGCCTGCTGCAAGGTACCGCGCGCAGCCGCCCGCGCTGCTTTAGGCAAATCTCAAGCATTGTATTTTCTTGCCTTCTTACATCAGCGCTAACTACTCGACTCTCTCCCCCTAAGCCTAAACCGGGGCGGTATAGCTGAATAGTTGTTATTGGAAGATGCTGTAAGAATTGCGTGAGAGGGAGCCAATTGCTGAGCAAAGAAAACAGAAATAAGTTGATCTTGGAAAAAAGGAGAAGAAGAAAGGGGAAGGGTGAGCTTGGATCTTCTTTTCCCATCATCTGCAGTTTTCATCCAGCTAGCTGGTATAGGACTATGGGCTCAGCTCCCGTTCCTATAAAACACACACGTAAACAACCTCGGAACCCTTTTCCTCCGGTATCACACTCCCTTACGCACGAAAAATCGACACATTTCACAAAACTCCCTGGTAATACGAGGTCTATCTCTCAAAGGATTCTTCCCGTTTCCACACTTCCAACAACACCTAAATCCTCTTCCATGCATAATAACTCAAACTTTAAACCCTTCAAAATCGAATGTCATCTTCCCTCACTTTTTTTTTCTGTTGTGCCCGGGCCCCGTAGCACATTCCCTTTTCGTCCAACGTCTTTCAGCGCAGTGGAGATTGAAAGAGACCCGATAAAGTATAATCATTGCAATCGAATGTCTTACTCGGGCTAGCACATTTCCGGGCTACGTACACATATATGCATATGCACATGCATGCGATAAATTGTTTTAGGGAGGAGAAAAGAGTGCATGTATCTATCTGGTATATATCAGGTATGGTTCGCGAGGAGGTGGGTGGATGGGTTTGGTAGACGCGATAGTGGGGATGAGTGACATGCTGGGGAAACAGAGGGTGTAGCGGACGATAAATGCCGGGCGAGTTGGTGGGGATAATAGCGTGGAATGGTTGGTTAACGAGAGAAGGTCCAAGGTACATACGAGGTAGAGTCAGTACGTTTTGCGCTTTCTGGGGGCGGTACGCTACTGGCGTAGATCTGAGGTTATGCCTGGCTGTGATTGTGGATACGTGATTTAGTTGCCAGCCGGCGATTTTTTTTTTCCTTGGGGAGGTAGCGCTCGCTCATGTCATCTACTTATTTACTAGTTGCTGTTTGCATATCAGAACGACATTGAACTGCACTCGGGTAGTCTCGCATGGGTACATTCATCGAAGTTAACGCTCTCAAAATCTATATTCTTCTTTGAAATATTGGGTGTTGCTTAGATGTAGTTTGATATAGGGTACAGCCTTGGTTTTTCCTAGATTACATTGTAGTAGTGATAAAGTACGCCGAAATGTGTATGTAGTCACCCATATGGGGATATATCTTTGATATAATCTATCATATGCCGATTTCAGCAGACGTTGAATTCTGCTCGAAATACTTAGATATTACAACATGTAAATGTGGTCGCGATTTGCCATGCAAATCTATACCAAAATGCTGAAGATACCAAATCCAAAACGCCTGTTTTACCCCATTCGTTATTGAAGATTTTCCAGAGCGCCGACCCCTAAGCGCCATATCCAGATGCAGCTACTAAATCAATTCCCAGTCGTCACTCAGGTCCGATTCGTCGTTCGAGTCCACATTCGAGTCCGCGTTCGAATCAATGTTCGAGTCATGATTATCGTCAGAAGGTGGAGATGGGGTTTCAAGTTCGAGACCCCTACGCTCAAACTCTCCTTTGTACATCTGTAGTTGCCGATTGATTCGCTCCAGCTCCCGCTCAAAACGCTTGACCTCATCCTTGGCTACGTACCGCTTGAGACGGTGCCATCGAGGAAGCAAGATATTGCCCACAATCTGGTCAATACCCTGCTTAATACCGCGCTTCTCCGCCTCTTCTGCTGCTAGATTCCACCATTCCTGGCACTCGTCGAGAACGTGGTCGGCCATCCTAGAGAATTCGGGATGGTCGCGCATGATCTTGACTAACTTGCGGTCGACGGCTGCGAGACCCAGGTAGTTCTGGTCTGGCTTGATGCTCCCGAGTGTATCGAGGACGCGGGATGCGTATCCTTTCATCACTTTGGAGCTCTTCTGTCTAGCTGGATTGATGAGTGCGGGTGAGGCCATTGGAGTGTTCATTCCGACTAGTTCGTAGTCCTGATTGATCTCTTCTGACTCATCGTCGAAAGACAGCAGTTGTGTATTCTCTGACACGTCACAAGCTTCTTGTATGTCGAAATAAATAGAAGGTACTGAGGCCATGGGAATGCCTGTCTCGATTTGCTCGTTGTTCCGCGGAGGGGGATCAACCAAAGTGGGTGCAGTCATTTAGGTGGCTACCCAAGTCAGTTTCTCGTCTTGTCTGGTTATTAGAAATGAATTGTTACACTTACTGAAGTAGTGATGATATCGGGCTTTGTGGCCAATGTGGTTGAATGTGTTTAGTCGAGGGTAGATGATGAGAAGTGCAAGAGGAACGAAGAATTATCGTGGAGTATTTGTATTGGCTCTCACTGCGCTTAGTTCGACTGGAGGAGTTCCGTTTGTATAATTAGGGGTTGGCGCAGACCAACGGAGAGAATGTGCCTGTATTTGTCTCTCCTTTGGTTGTAAAGTGATAGACAGTGAGGGCTGGTGTACAAGCGTCGATTGTCGAGTTCTAAGCTAAAGGGTTAGAGGTAAAGGCGAGTATATTTAAATACGTACAGATCTTTGCGCTCATCAATGCGTAGGTGGTGACGCTAAAAGGCGCTATAAGTGATCGAACAGTGAATGATCAGTGAACAAACGCAGTGATGAGTGATCACGTTGCAATATAATGGTACTCGACTGAGATTCATTCACTCTTCAACACTGGCATTGTGTGTTGAATCAAACCATGAACAGACAAGCGTTAGAGCGATGCCCTGTTTATCTATTCGAGTCATGCGACTCGAGATTCGGATGTCAATTGATTACCTGCACTACATTTATTAGAATACTTCGGCCAGCGGGTTGTATCTGTAGTAGTATGCTACACATGTTACATTAGTTTTTCGAAACGTTGTTTAAACTCCAATAATTCTGTAATCCTGCTCATCAATACACCTTTGTCTATCAGCCGTTAAAGATGCATGTACTTTCATACTAATTAATATCGTTATATTTGTCTTGAACCTTTACTATTATGCAGTATTTTGTCCCTCAAAACTGAGTCTAAAACAACAGTACGATATCAGCATTAACCATGGCGATTTTTAACCATTTTTCGTCAAAACGCCTACATTTTGTCCAGAAGGGATGAAAACAGATTCGAAAGCATGAACTTCTTTCTTCTGAAAAATCTCTTTCATATATCAAAACATAACTGAGAAGCGGCAAGATTCATCCTATAACAACTCTAAAGTCGTCCGTTGAAGCATCCCAAGATGATGAAGCCTCGGAATCGGTCAACGATATCGTTTCGTAGAGATTCTGCCCAGAAGCAAGATGTTGCGAGAGAAACAAATCTTCCAAGCGCTTATCATTTGGCTTCCAATAATCCCCCTCCAGCCGACTAGCCTTGTAGAGCCAGTAAAGGCTATTGATAACACACGTCGACTCCTTATACACTTTGCAGACCCTAGCCCTATTAACTGTAGTTACATTAATACCCGCACCATACAACGCCCTCCACAGCTTCCTACGCCCCGAGAATTTCGCAAGGAATTTCGAAGCAGGCTCTTTCAGGCCCGTACAGTATATATTCAGACACCATTCGTCAGTGTTTGGACCTTGCTTCTTCACCAACATACCCGCCCACAAATGGCCTAAGCGATGGTCGGGGAATTGCGAATCGAGAGGTTGATAGCCTGTCCACCCGGCTTCTTCACCAATTGCGAAGAGCATGCCTCGCTCTGGATTAGACTTTACTGCTTCGAGGAGCTGGGTAAATGTCGCTAGGGTTTGGGTGTAGGCTCGACGGGATCCGGTTGCTTGAAAGTAGTTGTCTCGATCCGATTCGTCCTCGAAGCAGACAACACGGTCGAAGATGTCGAACGCATATCTGCTGTTCGAGTGCTGCCAGAGCTTTTTGAGGATTGTGTTGACTTCTCGATTTTTCATGCCGCAATGAGCGTCGACGCCGAAATAGGAGACGATGGGTGGGGATTCATCTTTGCGGGAGAGATCGACCTCTGGTGCTTTTAGGCCAGGCATGTTCTCAGATGTTTTGCAGTTTATATGACTGTATGGAAGATTATTGAAAAAGAGGTTGATCTTCCGGAGTGCGGTTGTGCGGAAGGTTTTTAAAGTAGTGATCGATCTTCAGTAGTGAGAGTAGCTGGGGATGTTATATACTTTTACTGCTCAAGATACAGTGATGAGAAATTCACTTTTGCTTGCAATTTTAGTGGTCAGTGAATGAGACATCTTAAGCATCGAGCACGTACACAATGTACAAAATGAATTTTTGCTTGGTGTACCACGGTCCACTTTTGAAACCTCAAAACCATAGTCCAATCCGATCAGCCCTAAATCAAATTGGTGTTTCTCACCAAGAACAGTAAAATCAAATATACCGCTTTCTTCTTCTTCAGATTTTGAATCAATCGGATCGAAAAGAAAAAAAGAAGTAGCGCAAAATGTGCAGCATGCTTTGGCATGACAGTGTGCCAGAGCAACCGTTTCTGCATTTGTTGTGATTTCGGAGGCTATGGCGATCGATGAGATCTAGTACAACACAGTAAACACCTTAAATATAATTTGAAATGGATGTATTTCAATGTCGAGTTATTATGCAATATACTGGACTGACCGTATCTTCCAGTGTTCCACAGTTTCTAAAGTTCTTTCACGAGTATCATTGAATGATACATGGCATGAAAATGCACACAGTCTATAGAACCCCGTTTTTTCTACGCGAAGAGCAAGTGGATATCTCTGGTGGATTTGAAACAGATGCATGCATTCACTTTAATGATGGAGTGAACTTCCAGTCACGTATATTGTGTAGTATTAGCGGTGCGACAATGTCTGGTCTTGTACATATCTATGCATGGGCTAATCTGGAAATTGTGCATGATTCATTCTTCAATTATTCTAGTAACTTGAACCGCTCGAGGCAATCATATTAAGATGACTCATGCTCGGCCGGAGCGTCCTGCTTGACGTCGCTCGTAGGTACGGCCTCATCCGTAGCCCGTGAAGTGTTAGACGCGCGTGGTTTCCTAACGCGAAAATTGCCCATCTGAAAGCAACCTTCCTGATTCTCATCCGAGGGCAAGCATGGAAGATAGAATAATGGGTCGCGGGGCTTCAGCCACTCTGTGAGGTTGAAGTCGCTCCATTCCGTAGAATTCGTTACGTTTTCGGCTACTTGGGGGGTGTCTTCCTCGGGTTTGGCAGGATCTTTCCAGTGGCTATCTTCACGCACAAATGGGTATTCAATCTCTTGCCAGCGGTCATTAAAGGGAAAATGGCCCGGCCGCGCAACTGCCCACATCGTGCTGAGTATGCCCTCAAAGAACCTTTGCCACCAAGGCGCTGTGAGATCTACCAAGGGACCGCCTAGTCAACAAAAGTACCGGTTAGCGTGAATCACGTAGTCGTTCGCCCCTTTGAATAACTCACCCATGTACATGTGTGGGGCCTGTCTTTCCATCTCACGCTCGAAGGTCCTCCCATGGAAATCGTTGAACAAAATGGAGAGCGCGACGCCGTACACGCCCGGGTACATGTGAGCCCATGATGTTCGATACATGTACCTCTCATGGTTCCATAGGCCATCGATGGCCAGGAGAAAAGGTTCCCATGCATCACGGGGCCCAGTTGCCGGGAGATGGTTGCGAACGAGCTGCATCATGACGCGTGTTCCCGAGTCGTACATGAAACAGAGATTGAGCGCCATTCCATTAGCTTTCTTGCACTTTGAGCCATCAGACTCGCAGTTATCGTCGCTTGCGGGAAGGTTTATCCTAAAAAACCCACCATAATCCCATCCACCGATCTTGAAAGTGCTATCAACAAGACCGGCATCAACTCGTTCACGCCACAAAGCACGAATCTGGTGAGGGCTGGCGCCCTCCAGGGCCTCGCGGTCTTCGATGATCTCGAGCACAGCACGATCGCGGACGAGATCTGGATCGCAATCACTGCCGTGATGAGTGGCATCGATCTCTAAATGTGTGCGAATCGTATAGTTTATGTGTTTGACAGACTCCGCCCACGTCACGTTATCTTCCTCGTAGTCGGTGCGGTAGAGCACAAAGCCCCATTTTTCGTATCTGGAATTCTGATCAACCCATTCGGGTTCATAACCACGCTGGCAAGTCGTCAGGTTTGAGCGATTGAATGATCCATGTCCATCCTCGGCCTTGTCTAGTTCGCCGAATTTGGCCCAGAACATGTCATTGTATTCCGATACATCCTCATGGCCAGCAAACACGGCCTGGATAGCCTTGTCTATCCAGGTGAGATTGCCATAGTCGTGTCCTCGCACATCCCACGACTTCTCCATAATTCGGATGGTAGTATGAACATCCCACAGATGTCTGGAGATGAATGCTCCGATAAGCAGGGAGAAGGCACCGGTAAAGTAAGCGCTGTAGACCAGGACCCGACGCGGGGTCAACCAGCGAGCCATCGATTCCAGAAAGACGGTAGAAAGATGTGAAAAAGAACGACAGAAAATTTAGAAGAGAAGGGCAGCCGAGAAGGGTGATATGATGGCTCTGTCGTATGTTACTTTATTCCTGGCATCCTGGTGCCTAGTTAGGGGATAAAGCGAGTGGCGCGAGGAACCTAGTGTGCTTGATGCCGCTAAAATTGCGGCCAATCCTTCCAGACCCCTGCCCGATTAATGAAACTCCCAGACACAAATTCCGGAGTTCGACTATGATCACGATAAGATAAATCAATCAAGTTCATTGCACGACGAACCGATCAATATCAGCACTATCACGACATTATTCAGTTCAGTACATATTAGTATCAGAAGAGAGAGTACACAAAGACTGTTGGCTATTATATTGCAATTTCCTTTATCTGGGTAAATGATGCCAACAGCATCGCTGCATCCATCTCGCGACGCGGTGATCTAGCTAGCTACTGAGTCAGGGAAGGGTGAGATCAAGTGCCATCTACGAATATCAAACGGATCAATGGTACTTTCCGTAAAGATTGTCACCACCGATGAACGGCACCAGATGCAAATCCTGCAACCTTGGATCTTGCTCCATCCATCGACCCCCCTTTAGCTGACTAGCTTTTAGAAGCCAAAACATGCTGTTGATGACGCACGTGTCGCGAACGTCCGTTAACCGCATATCCGATTGGTTGACAGTCGTGACAGCCATGCCAGCATCGTGTAACGCGGCCCATAGCCTCTTCCTCCCAGAAAAATGAGAATTCATGGTCAAATACTCCGCTGGATGTTTTTGATAATATTCTCGGTCAGGTTTGATAACGCAGTGAATATTGAGGCACCACTCCTCGACTTTAGTGCCGTACTTTTTGACCAGCATGCCCGCCCACATGTGCCCATACCCATTTCCCGTTCCGTTTGCATGATGGTCGAGAGCTTCTGTTTGTCCAGGCATTTCGAGAACGCAGAAGAGCAGACCTCTACCTTTAGTCGCAATGTGTTTTGCAGCTTCGACCAACTCTTTGATAGTTCCCGCCCATTTACGTACCTCTTCACGAGTTTTCTCTCCCGGCAAGAATTTGTCGCGTTCCTCGTCATTAAGGAAAATGACGGGGCGCGTGAATATATCAAAGGGGAAACTCGGTATCGATTTCCGCTTCATGTGCTGTAGGGCGAGGGTAAGTTCTACGAAATTTACTTTTCTGCTCATCTTGAGTCTGTAAAGCTCAATATACGGAGGGGTTTCAGCAGGGTCCCATGCGTGCTCGATATTTATATCGTCGGTTAAGTGGGGTAAGCGGGATGATGTCTGGCCCATCGTGTCTCAAATTTAACGTTTTATGAGGTGTCAATGATGTTGGCCCCGTTGTGTCGAAGACTACCCGAAAGGCAGAGAAGACTGCCAATTCAAAGACGAACTGTGTCGCCCGCTGCTTTGTTGAAGGTTGTGTTGAGAACGTGTGAATTTTCAGAATTCAAGGGTTGAACAGTACCTAGGTAGTAATTTGTGTGGTCGTTGGTGTATTTGTATGTATGAAGGAAAGATATATCTAGCAAGACATGACTACGGTGGGGTATATATTGCGTATGAACAGTGTGTTACAAGTGACTACACAACGTTGTGCTAAGCCGAGGCTTGTTCAGTCACGGGATCGTCACTCGAGCGATCATTCACCTCTGGCGAGCTTTGTTTCTCTCCTGTTTTCTTTTTTCTGTTGTTTGCGTAAGCCTATGCGCTCATTCACAATAATAATAAGACTTACAACTCTCGTTTGTGTAGATACCACATTAGCGTCACACCGAAGATGGCCAACACTCCAAACAAGATAAGAATTTGATATCCGTACTTGTATTTTGGAGCATCCTGTGTTGGAAAGAGAACCACTGAATGTTTCAGATATCGTCAGTGCTGCTTTGAATGGGCCTTGGTGGGGACATAAAAGTGATGGAACGTACAAGGTGTCCATAGCACAAAAGCGTAGGAGACTATATTTGCAGTTGCAACTAGAAGCTGACGTAGATTTGGGTCCGCCGCATTGAGGTTATTTCCCCAAGCCTAGGTAGTGATATGGTCAGCATATCCATTTTTTTTCGCTGGCGTATCGTAAAGTAGAATTTAGAACATACAATCAGAACAGGAGTGCCAGCGGAACCTGCGTACGATATGTAGTAAGCGAATAGCAAAGCGCTTTTTGGCACATTCCAAACGGACAAGATGATATTTGACACTATCATCAGAGCCATCAAGCCGACGATGAGCCAATAGCGCTGGCCGGTGCGGTCGGCAATGATGCCCCATGAGATGGTCGTTACTATGGCCAGCGCATTGCCAGCAGTCGGTAGCACATTTGTTTGATAAACGGTATATCCAGAAGCTTTCAACCAAAGGTTGAAGTAGCTGGTCGCCGTGTGGCATTGGGCAATCATGACATACGGAAGGATAAAGGCCCAGATTTTCCAACCAAGAAAGACTTCTTTGATGACTTTGACAGACAGACGAACAGGTTCACTGCGACCCAGACTCTCGATTCTGGTGACGCCGTATTGCCGTTCTTCTTTATTCCAGTAGAAAGCACGCGTGGTGTGTGGAAGATCCGGTATTCCGAAGAAGCCCCAAAGCGCGATAGGAATAGAGATGACGCCGTCCATGATGAATAGCCATCTCCATCCAGCTAGTCCGTGTCTGCCGTTCATCGAGGTATATAGCCCTGCCTGTAAATATCCGCTGAACATGCTAGCGATTTGCTCAACCTGCAGCAAGATGGCCACACGCTTTGTAAGTTCTTTGGGCCCGTACCATCCGCCGAGGAGCGCAATATAACCGGGGAATGCGCAAGCTTCGAGGAGACCGATGAAGAATCGAATAGCGTACATCTGGTATCGTGGTCAGTAAATAAGAAGTAATCAGAAGATGAATTAGTTTTGCGACTCACGGTTTGAATGTTCTTCGATCCAGCCATGCCCATGACCAGCGCTGACCAAGCGACCTCACAGCAGGGGATGAAAATGGAAGGACGAATATATCCGAGCTGAAGAAGTTGGGCTGGCACGCTACCAATGATGATTCCCAGTGCAAACCATGTGTTAAGCCAGTTTCGTTCGTTGCCGTACAAGTGAAGCTGTGCACTGTCAGTCTGATTCGAATTCGGAGCGTGATCATCGTGGGAGTCGCACGTCTTCCTTCATTCCTGATACAAAGGCGTTACTGTAATTTGTCTGATCCAAGTATTTGATGAAGTAACCCAGACAGACAGTGGTGCTGTTTTTCAAAATGTCAGAATTGCAAATAGTGCAGGTTGCTTAAGGGAAAGGGGATGACGAACAAGAGGTATGCATCCAGCTTTTGGACATATTTCCGGTTGCGCTTGTCTCCCTCTGCAGAATCCCAGAATAAACCCAGAACACGACGCCAACGAGGAGTCTTTTCTACTTCGCCTTCAATGTTGCTAGAAGACACTGTTCCAGTATCGACGACCGTGTCGTTTTTATGGGCTGATGCTTCGTGTGGAATGGAAGTCATAGTGTTTCGCAGGCAAATACCGTTGCAGGCGTGATGGTTACGAGGTACCCAGAGCCGGAAAACCATTTGTACAGGTTTACCATTCATCATCAGATACTTTATGTAACTAGAAGCTTTCGGTATTGGCGTCATCGGAATCTATTCGTGTGCGGATAATCGGACCATTATCTCTAAACAGAATGTTGAGCCTGCATAGTGACAAGCCTACAATGAGTTAGCAGGGGGTGGACGAGCCAAACCTACCCCAACCAAGCCTTAGATCAAGCGTCTCAAGCTGCGAAGACGGAGAAGCATAATCTTGCGTGATAAGACTCAATGTTGAAGATGGGGTTGATGTTATGGTGGATCACTATTGCACCATTGCCGCCAATTCCATTTCGGGCCGTCCTCTTTTGAACACTCCGCGATTATCCCCATGGTTAGTGTAGGAGAGATAAGACTGAAAAAGTGGAACCTCCACGTTCAATTCACGATGGTCTCGTGGAGAGCACCTTTATCTTCGGAACAATGCTTCCGAAATCGGCTGTTGATTGGATGTCCAACTGCTTGACGAGATAAAGTTGCCTGGCGCATCATCCTTCTGCGTATGTGCCGAAAGTACGGATAGTTCTTGGAATCCCACCTTCTCCACGATATCAGTTCACTGCAAGAGCCCTGGAGTGCATGCATTGGTCACGTGATTTTTCCATCGCTCCCAGCCAACCATCATCTCAGTACTCAAGATGCCAACTGACAAGCCCTCCCTCCATCTCACCCTTGAGAAGCTAGAGTTTCGCGCTCCGAATCAAGTAACAGACGACACCAGCGTACTAACCCTCAAAAATCTCGTTCTTGAGCCACTTCTCCGCTGGACCCCCTCATCCACCCCAACTCCAGCGTTATTCTCCCACTGGACGCACACACCCGATGGGCAGGAATGGCGCTTTACCATCCGTGCTGGGGCCCAATTTCATGATGGAAAAGTCTGCGAAGCAAGCGACATCATCTCATTCATCGATGCAATCTTGACTTCCCGAGACACATTCGGCATGAGGTGGAGCTATCACCGATATCTCAAAAATGCCAGCATCACGGCTGCGGATACAGAAACAGTTGTGGTGCGAAACCTAAATCCCTGCGCGTGGATATTAGATGTCTTCACCGAATTCTACATTTGTCGCGTCGACGAGAACAATCTTCCCATAGTAGGAACAGGACGCTACAAAGTGCAACATTATGCGCCACACAAGATTACTGAACTTCAAAGTATCAGCAATCACGAAAAATACCACCGCATCACCATGACTGCGGATCCCAACGCCGCAACTCGCCTCCACCAGCTCCGCAGCGGCGAAACAGACGCAGCACTAAACCTCGAGCGCTATGAGGAGCTACAGCATTTCGATGAAGAGCTCCAATGGATCAAAGCAACAAATACACTGTCCGTCATGTACTACCTCAACTGCACATCCGGGCTCTTCACCTCCCCAAAAGCCCGGTTAGCCATCAATCATGCAGTCGATACTACCCGCCTCGCACAAGAAGTCTTCTCCAACCTCGCGGAACCCTCATCAACAATCGCAAGCCCCTTCCATCTCGGCGTGCAAGAAGCGCAACATCAACCTATCCCCTACGACCCTGTCAAAGCGCGCCGTCTACTTGAACAGTGCGATGCCGCGCACCTCGAGAAACCGCTTCGTCTGCGTACACCAACGTACATGCCCGAACGCGCGGAAGCAATCTCGAGATTTGTAGTGAAAGCGCTTGAAGATGTAGGGTTGAAAGTCGTAGTTGACGTCGAGCACGATCGGCCTGCGTACGCGCGACAAGTTGGCCTTGAGAAGAACATTGGGGATATGGCGCTATTTGATTCATCGCCGAATAGCACGTTTCGGATTCTTGATGATAAGATTTCTAGTGTGGCGAAGGCAGTGTGGTGGCAGGGGTATCAGAATGACAATGTGCAGAGCCTGATGGAGGAGGCCAATCGCCTCGTTGAGGGGGGCGAGAGGGCAGGAAAGTATGCGCAAGTGGTTGAGGAGTTGCAGAGGGATCCACCGTGGTTGTATATAGTGCATCCTGTGATTCTGGGGGCGGTGAGGAAGGGGGTTGAGGGGGTGAATGTTGATCATCGTGGGGCGTTGGTGATTGGATGAGGAATCTGTCGAGATGGAGATGGCAGAGAAACGGGAATATATATTCAAATATTGTCGGTCTATTTCTGGGGGGCTCAAACGGCTCCTCTGATGTGCAGATAAAAAGATTTTTCCCTTGTCCTGACCGGCACATAACCATTTAAATCATTAGAGTATTAGCAGGATGTCATAAAATTACACCCGAAAATAATTAAGTCTTCCATGCTGGGAACGATCTTCCGGAAGACAGAAGACCATTCCAATATACACAGGAAATCGAACGCATTCAGCGACCTGAAATTCTAATCCGAGACCTTGGAAACCACGATCCGGAACCCATTTCCGCGCCAACTATCCCCAGGCTCCAAGTGCCCGCGATACGACACCGAGATCTTCTCCGCAGGGGCAGCGAAACTACCACCCCTCAAGACCCTCCTGAGAGCCCAATCCGCATCCAGCTCTTCGCGTCCATCGTCGGCGATGTACGGATACAAAAACATGCGATGTCTAGTGTGGTCGCCCCAGATGGTGCTGCACCACTCCCACACATTGCCAGCCATATCGAAGCAGCCGAAAGGTGACATGCCGCGGGGGAAAAGGCCAACCGCGACGGGACGATCGAACCCTGTATCAGCGAAATTTGCGGAGTCGATAAAGTCTTTGGCACATTGATCCCAGTTGGTCACGAATTCCGGGCCCCAGGGGTAGGCATGTGCGAATTTGTTGGGGTGAGGTTTGCTTCCGCGTGCTGCGTACTCCCATTCTGGCTCTGTGGGTAGCCGCACGTATTCGTCTTCGTCGATGCGTTTGCTTTTGCGCCACGCACTTGTAAGCCAGATGCAGTAGGCTTGAGCGTCGTACCAGGATACGTCTGTGGCGGGCACATTGCGGTGTTGAGGGTGTTTACCGACTTCGCTTTTCCACTCACGGCCTGTTTCCTTGATGAATTTGGCGTACGCGGAGTTGATGACTGGGTGGATTCCGATCTTGAATGGCTTAGTGACCTTCATTAGTTGGACGGGCTGGGTGTCGGGGCTTGCCCATGAGCCCATGGTGAATCTGCCGACGGGGATGGTCGCGAGGGCAGTCAGGTCTCGAGGATCGCCGAGACGGGAGAGTACTGCTCCCGCTTCTTCGCGGAGATGAATTGGGATGTCCATGTCGAGGATAGTGAGCATATGGCTGATGATTGTCTCTCGGCAAAAGCCATATTCTGTGTCCTGTAGAGTTTTGGCGGCCAGTAGTGCGCCCACATGCGTATGATCCGCTGAGATGTTGACCAATTTCTCGATGAGATTGGCGGACTCCTCGCTCAAATGAAGACGCCGAGACATGCTGGCGAGGACCTCCCACCAAGTAGAGGGTGACGAACTGAAAAGCGAGACCGCTGCCTCCAAAGGCTGTCCCAGAAGATGCCGGGCGGCTAAGAGCTGCTGTATCGCCTTATGCTTAGCAAAAGGTGGTAATTCTACCGTTTTGGTTGGTTGTGCTTGTTTTGATGTTTTACTGGTCGCTTCTAAGACGTCGAAAGCTGCCTTTAGATCCACGGTAGCTCTCTCCCCCCTTTCACTTAGCCACGCGTCGACCAGCTCTTCTGGGCTATCACCACGGTTCTTCGTCTCCAAAGCCAAAGTAAAGTGAACAGGCAGCGCAGCCGCTACACCAGTTCCCACTGTCACTTCCGCAGCATCCAACTTGAACAGGTCGCCCACTGTCCGCCTCCTCTGTGATTCCAGCAAAGGCAGCATGCTGAATCTCTGAACATCACGGCCATACACCCACGATCGACTTCCGACAGGGTCCAAGCCCCTCAACAGTAAGAGTCTGAGATTCTGGGCCTCTCTCACCGTCTTCACGATGGTAGCCAGATGCGTAGCCTCAAGGAATTCCACGCCATCCACCACAAACAACACCTCCCGACCCTCATCGTGTTTCCCCGCCACCGCAGCACCCCATAACGCATGCAAATCCTCCCCCATCTTTACCATCCCACCCAAGTCTTGCGCATCGAAATACCGCGCTTCAACATTTGTACAGTCCCAGCGCTCTTCCAGCGCGAGCCCTTCCTCGTTGCGCAACACTGCCGTCGGGCCCACTCTTCCATCTTTTGAGATGGCGGAACAGAGGTGCTTCGCGAAAGTGGTTTTTCCAGTGCCAGTGGGGCCTTCGATCAGGGTAAGGCGATTATCGCGCACGATCTCTGCCGCAGTGAAGTATATGGGTGGTCCTCTGGCGGCGTTTGGGTCGCGTTTGCGGAGACCTTTTGCCGCGAGGTCTGTGTGAGTGAACTTTATGAGGGGGGTTATGTATGGGGTTTCCATGATGGTTCGTTTCGGAGGTGCTGAGTGGTCTTGGGGGTGGGTGGATGAAGCATGATTATGGATTGTAGTTGTTGTTCTGGCTTGAAGACTAGAGTTGTATAGGTAGGTGGTAAGTTCTCCCCGTACGCGTGTTGGTAGTAGTTACAATGGGGTAATTTGCGCCGAAGTCGGGGAAATGTGTCTAAGGTAGCCTGGTGGAGTTCGGTCGATAGCGATGGATGGACTGGATCTGTTTGGACATTTTGAGTCAAGTTTCAATGGTAGCAAACAAGATAAGAGTCATGAACGTACCTTATCTAAGACTTGCCACTTTAGTCTACTGGAAGGATTAAAGCCAGTACCCCAAAGTTATAGGTAGCTTACAGGTAAGTACATCCAGATACTGGTTGATCGGTCAATAGCCCAATTCTATAGGCAAATGGCGCAATCGAACAGCCCCCAATGGACGACTAGTCATCTCGGCGGAATTTCAATGCGCTATCAATTTTCTCGGTTCAATCCGAGAAACCGGATGTCGGATACTCAAAAGATGGCCATTAGGTATTGATCCGACCCGTGAAGCGGTTAGGTAACAGTTGACGCTTTTCCGAAACCTCGTAAAAGCCAATTTTTGCCAGCCCCACCTAAAACCAAATCCCGCACGCGCCCAGCTGGCCACCTCGTGTTTCTCCACTGCCCCTACAACCACACCTCAACATACCCTCATCTCTAGAAGCAAACAGAAAAGCTACACAGACCGCTTCTTAGAAACGAAAAGGAGGAAGACACAAGAAGAAAAAATGCCGATAAATCAATCTTTCCAACTCCCCGCTACGGCGCAAGACCTTCCCCTCGCCGCCTCCGCCAAATCACCACTCTACCTCGTCTTCGTATCATCCATCCACCCAGAAACAGGGCTTTCGTGGTGTCCGGACGTGCGCGCCGCCATGCCCATCATCGAAGCTGCTTTCAACAAAGACGAGAGGAAAGGACTGGAACTGGGCATCGTGGAAGTGGGGCAAAGACCAGAGTACGTTCGATTTTGTTTTTATCTGACTTTCTTGAATTATCTATCTTCTTTTCTGGATTTTATTGTCGGCAAAAAAGAGTGATGCTAACGCGGAGGATGTAGATGGAAAGAACCTACCAACGTGTTCCGCACACAATGGAACGTGCACAATGTGCCATGTTTGGTGCGCTATGAGCGCAAAGGCGAGGACGGGAGCGTGGTCGAGACGGGGCGGATGATCGAGGAGGAGTTTCTGAAGGAAGGAAAGTTGGATGAATTCCTTTCTGCGTGATTGCTTTTCCGACGGGTATGCTGTGGGAGGGGTTGAGAGGGTTCCAGCGTTAAGCATTATGGCATGTCTGGTGAATCCACATCGCAGTCAATCTGCTACAAACGACGAAAACTGGGACGAAAGATTCAATTCATTAACGCGACATTCTTCCTGGTTCTCAGTACTGTATACCTGCTGTCTATCAATCTTGAGGCAAGCTAGACATATAGCACGACACATAATTAACGTAGCAACCTCCCCAGGAAATTACCAGAAAAATGAGGTGGTGTTAAGGGCAAGAAAATACATATTCCAGCAACAGCATACCCGGACTCAACCTATTAAAAGGGGAGGCTAAAACCTCCTTGATTTCATTTCAACATTTCCTACCCTTCCAGAGACCAGCATTTTCATTTGCTGATGCACATACTTCATCGCTCGCTTGAACGTGCGATTGCCAAAAAACGAAATCCATTCGTTGAACGCTGGCAAGGGCGCAGATGCTGATGTCTGCCTGCGGACGCTCGATTCTAGATGTTGCCGGGTGCTGGTGCCTGCTTGTGTACGCTCGAACCTAGATGTTGTTGAAGGGCTTCGGGGAGAAATTTCCGAGTAGCTGTGGATGGGCATTTTGGGCATTTCTGCGGAAGCGCTTTCTGCTGGTGTACGCTCGAATTTAGATGTTGTTGAAGGTCTTCGGGGAGAAATTTCCGAGTAGCTGTAGATGGGCATTTTGGGCATTTCTGCGGAAGCGCTTTCTGCTGGTGTACGCTCGAACTTAGATGTTGTTGGAGGTCTTCGGGAAGAAAAGTCCGAGTACATCTAGGCGAGCATTCTGGGCACTGCTGCAAAAGTCCTTTCTGCTTATGTGCACTCGAGCCCAGATGTTGTTCAAGTGCTTTGGGGAGAAATTTCCGAGTACTCTGTGGTGGGCACAATGGGCATCTTTGTGCACCTTTCGTCCCAAGAAGCCTGTGGGTGAGTGCTGAACGAATCTCATCACTCTTTGAACGAGCTGGCGTGGGCGTGCTAATTACAACCGGCGGATAGGGATCGCGGAATGCGGTGGTGGTGGGAGTCAGAATAGGACTTCCGGCTTGCGATGAAGTTGTGCTAGTTGCAGAACGGATATGTTCCAATGGCCGTTGCATCATTCCCGCGTTGGAGCAATTTATAAGCCCTCTCATTTCATCCATCGTGATGGTGATTTTGAGTCTTGTTTCAGTCTTTCGCGATATGCATGTCCCTTTCTCGAGATGGGATAATAGTTCCGATGGATAACTGAACCGCTTGTTGCAATTTATGTTCCCAGGACATTGCATCTCGCTCATAGGTGGACCTTGCTTGAGTTTTGAAAGCATTCGCAATGCTTCCCTGTTTGGGAAGATCTCATTGTACTTGTCGAGACTGAACTTCTCGTCTTTCTTTCAGTGTTAGCTGACTGTAATTCTTCATTCATCATCTCTCTTTGGAATCATACCAGAGTCCGGTTGGCGATTTAGACATCTGCGAGCATGGTCCGCAAATGCGTCGGCGCCTTTGAAGTCGCGCTCGCATCTGCAACACCGGAGTTGAATCATGGGGACCTGGGCCCCTGCCGCTATCGAGGAAGTCGATCGTGTCCTGCTTCCCGCAAAACAAGTGAGAGCAGTAGCGAAGGTGGTCCTGAGGCCTGAAATCAATGTCGAGTTGGTCTTTTGATGGGCAGTCAGTACCATGGTCCAGAACAGGAAGGAAGATGGAAAACTTACGACAATGTTGTCATCAATTGATGGATACGATAGGTCGTCTTTAACCCCGCACCAGGCTCCAGCATCATGAATCACGTTACATGGAATGTTACGGCCGATACAACAGATGGGCATACATATATCGGATATATGTGGGTCTTCATTCAGCATATAAGCGTCAGTCACGAAAATTGCGAATCATCACTTCTCACACCCCCTCCAGATCTCAGGAAACTTAGAAAGGGCAAGCGTAATGGCTCAAAATGTCTCAAGCTCCTTCCCATGCAGCCACCGTTATTATTGGAAAATTAAATTATATGTGTAGGCGCAGTCTAATGCAGAGTTCTCATGTAGTCGCGCCCCAGAAGTGAAAAATCCGCAGCGTTCAGGCATTAGCTGGGGCCATTCCATTTCATTTGGGCTGGTTTATATCTTCGACGTCATGACTCTCATGAATATCTTTTCGAAGGCCATCTGCGATGCATGATCGCTTCAGCGTAGTTGCTCAAGGTACGATTGGTAGAAATAGTGAAAGATTGATGTTGTCTGTCCAATCACGATGTGGATCATCCGGACCAATCATAGCTCAGAACAATTTCGACAGGTTCCTGCTTTGATGCGAGATTCTACGGGATATGTATGATCATAATCTGGTCGTGAGTTCTTTAGGATTTTCTATCTAATACAATGCATTGTAACTATCGAAGACTTTTGTGGCGAGCAGTTGCGAGCATAGTATTCAAAGACTCACAGCAATTTCCAAACAACCCTTTGCATCCCCACCCCCTCGCTGCACCACCGCTCAATCATCACCCGAGAAATCAACAGTCTCGTAGTAGTCTTCGGACATATCCAACTCATCACACCCGATCTTGTACTCATCAGTACTATACGGCCCAATTCCAGTCCACTGCAATCTCATAGCCTCGTCCGAAGTTCCTGTCCATGCGCCGGCCTCTTCAAGCTTGGCCTTGCTCTCTAGGTAGCCCCTCGCCTCAAGATATCCATCCTCCGGTACACCAGCCTTCCCAGTTCGAACGAAGGCACTCCAGGCATCCACAATCAACCGTGCGAACGGCATGTCATACCCATCGCGTTCTGGCCACCCTTGCTGTGCAATGTTACCAAAGTTGTAAGGAACTTCGCCACCATGGCACTTGTAGTAGTCGATCTGATCAGGGTTGGGATTGTCGCGACCACATTGGATGCGGGTAAGGTCAGTCCAACGTGTAGGTTGGTAAGTCCTGTTGAACTGGTATTCGTACACGGCGTCGAAGACGTTGTTCTTCACAGCCGAGTACGCAAACGCGTGGGGAAGGCACTTGAAAATTGCGGCGGTGGAGAGGAAAGAGGTAGCATCGAAGACAGCTTTCTTCTTCTCCGCTTCTGTGAAGTTGGCCCAGCTGGGATCACGTTCAGGGGAGAAGGAAGAGTTGACGAGTTGCAACAAGGGGAATTTAAAGCCGGCCTCAGCGTATTCAAGGCTTGCAGTGAAGTTGGAAGACTCGGGGAACAGATAACCCCATTCGTCGCGGAGAAAGCCGTACATGACGGGTATGTTATGCGAGTGGGCTAAGGGTCCGGACAGGGGAAGTCCGCGTGTGAAAAGGTAAACATTGTCGCGGACGGCGAAGTTGAATTGGGGTGAGCGGTCAGTCTCTGTCCACCACTTCGAAGCATCGAAATCTCGGAGACAAGAGACTGGATCAGGGGTATCGAGGCAGCCGCTTTCGCTGAGAATTTCCTCGGTACGATTGGTGTAGAATGATGGGGCCTCGTAGCGGACGCCTGGGGTAGAGTCTGGACCAGTTTCCGCGGGCCCACTTTGCATGATGGCACCTGCGATCATTTCCTCGGCTTGTGGAATGGCGAGGAGGCTGCGAACATTGACTGCACCCGCGGAATTACCCCAAATCGTTATGCGCTCTGGGTCGCCACCGAAGTTTTCGATGTTTTTGTATACCCACTCTAGAGCGGTGTACATGTCTGAGATGGCATAATTTCCATTGTGCACTCCATCTTGGAACGGCAGGAAACCCAGATTTCCAAGTCGGTAGTTGATAGAAACCACAACAATATCGCCTCTCGAAGCCAGATTGCCACCCTCCTTCTCCCAGTCGGTGCCAGTTCCCGCAGTGTTCCCACCGCCGGTGATCCAGATGATGACAGCTTTGAGCTTCTTCCTTTCCGTGGGCTCGGTTGGATTGGGCGATAGGTAGGGGGTCCATACGTTCAGGAAGTGGCAATCTTCATCCAACAAAGGCCAGCGCGCCTCAGGAGCTTGTAGGCATCCCGGTCCCCACGATAATGCATCTACATCGCCCTCGCCTTCGTATAGAGACGCGTACCCAAATCGCTCTACTGTGGGCGAGAAGCGTATCCCGCGGAACTGGAACGTGTAGAAATCACGATATCCAGTGATGTTTTGCTTGCCAGATTGCACCGTGACTTGAAGCTCCGGCTTAGGAAATGTCTCGTTGGCTTGCGTGAGTGGACCGGAGTTTGTGCACAGGCCAGGTGCAGTGGTCGTGCATGGCTGCTGCACCACCGTGCCGTCGACACTGATAGCATTGCATGATTCTGGGTGGTCGGGCGAGGAAATCCAGTAGGTAGTCGATCCATTGTCTGCGCTGTTGAAAGCTGTGAATGAGAGCGCATTGTCCAAGCCTAGAGAGAAGTTGGAGGCTGACGGCGACCATAGTTCTTCGTTGAGAGTCAAGCATCTTTGAGCGGCTGTCTCGAAGTTGGATGGCGTAAGAAGAATGCCATTGGTAGTGCGAGTGGTCGTGTTTGCTAGTTTGATCCGTTAGCGTTTCCTCGCAGAGGACAAATTGGATGAACAACAGAGTGTACACACCAGCCAAATCGTTATCACTCAGAGCCGTGATCGCACCCACATCGCGTACGTGAGGCGCTGCAGCAGCATCAGCTACAGATATGCCGCTGAGGCCTAAGCCGAGAGTGACGGCAAATTGTGCCGAATGCATTGTCGCGAGCAATTTCAAAAGATGAAATTTTCTTGTTGGCTGAAAGACTCGACTCTGAGTCTCACGATCCGACCATAAACTTCATCCTCATTGCGGGTACTTATGCTGTTTGGATGTCAGATGACGGAGACCCGGCAATTTGGTCCGTGGTTTAGGCTAATGCTGTTCGTATAGAGAATCCTTCTCTCTACATTCTGGAATCCTTCGTTGGACGTTTGAGCATTCAACGGGCATACAGACGGCATCACAAGTCAACTATCTGGTCGAAAGAGGAAATTCTGATTACAAAATGGAGCCGATATGTACGTTGAACAAGCATCTGCAAGGCGTTTACCTAGGCTGACTTGTATTAATATAAGAATCCAATTGCTCGAATGTTCGAATGTTCGATGCTGCAATGTCATGCTTGGTTTTTTCTATTTCGGGAATACTATATGCAAGCACCAGGATTTGATAAGTGGGGATCGAATCGCATGTCTGGACACCAACCACTACGAGTTCGCATTAGCTGGATACATGCAACTGTACATGTCTTGGCCAATGATCTTTTCCATGCAACTTGAGGTTTTAGACCCCACCTGGTTAGATTGATGACGGGAAATGCTTTCTTTTTGCGAATGAAAGTGGCTATGCTGCATTGCCGATGCAAGGTACCGGAAACAGAGATAATTGAACCACTATACCCCAACGGATCCGAGGGTATACCATCTCTACGCATGCGTTGCTGCGAGTGAGCACAGTTTGACCAAGGTTCGACGAGACCGACACTACCGGAATCTATGGGATGGTTCTCCGGCGACTGGGTAGCAGACGAATGCCTCAGCGGACGCGTCAATCCATTGGCATTGCCTTTGTCGTGCCGTCCGGTCCTAGTAGGAAAGACGTCGGGTGATCTGTTCTACGCGGGTCCTAATTCTGGAATGCAGCTCAGGTCTTTGGAGAGGTTACAAGGGGTCGGCACATGTGACAGAGAGGATGGGGGTCGGAACGAGGGCTAGAAAGAGGCAAGAAAGACTTTGAAGTCTTTCAAGTGACAAGTAGTCGCTGGCCTGGAGACATGGGAATGCCGGATGAGATGGATGGATGTTGTGCGTTATCGTTATCGTAATCTGCAACGTAAGCTAACCGACACGCATTACCACGTGCCGGCGCGTCGCGTGGCCCGGTCAGGAACCACGCATCTCAATATGAATGCCCTCTATGATAGAACCTGCAATGGAGCTGCGTGTAAGAGAAGCTAGAATAGTAAGACTTCATTGACATGAACTCGGGCAGGTTGGCTGACAATCATTGCTTGAGCACACAGTGTTGCGAGCCCCATTGTTCAAGCCGGATCTCCGAAAGTGGCCCGTCACCAAGCGACATAGCTACGTCATATGACATAGTACTCCCAAGCGGAGAGTAAAAAGCTGGGCTTCCCCTACATGCAGCTTCAATTGTTACCATTTCATCACCATCAATTTCATCTCAATCATAATATTCCTCCCACCATCCTCCAGCTAGCTCCAATTCCAATTCCGACTCCATCACACAGCCCACAACAACTACAGTAATAATGTCTTGGTTCAGCAGCAAGCCCGAGCCCGCGGCCTCCAGCCCGCCCACCGCGAACACCCCCAGCACAGGCCCTGGCGCCGAACAAGAGCGTTACGCCTCGCACTTCAGCATCGGAAAGGAAGGCCTCGAACAGGTCAAAGACGCCGCCTCCAAGGCAGCGAACTACAAGGGCGAAGGCGCCGAACAAGACAGATACGCTGCGCACTTCAGCCCGAACCATCACGCGGTGGCCGAGGCAGCAGCCGGCTTGTTGAAAGCGAAGGCCTCGGGCAAGGAGCCAAGCTGGCCAATCTCCTACGGTCTCGGATTCGACGGCTGGGAGCGCGCGAAGCGTATGGCGCTCTTGAAGGGAGATGGTGCAGAGCAGGTACGATACATTTGTCCCATTCTCGCAACGGGCTATGCCGTGGCGCGTTCCCACAGTGCTAACAGAGAGTGCAGGACCGATTGGCATCGCATTTCTCGGTGGACCAGGACTCGATCAGAAAGGCAGCCGGCTCCATACAAGACGGTGTCAAGGACGGAATCAACCGTGTCACCAGATAGAAAGTAACGTGCGAGCTCGGTCTCTCAGCGGTTGCGGAAAAGCACATGTATAACAGAATCAGAAGTCACGAAACAATTTACAAATGTATAATATGTTGGCAAAATGTGGAATTATATATCTTTCACCACACTATCTTTCTGACAGTGGCAGAAAACGATACAATACATGAATGCGTCTTACTGTTTCGCCCGAAATGACAACTTCTGACGTCCCGGGATGAAGTTACCCCGATGGCGGATGGATGCGTTATCCCGTTGCCCCGCATGTCAGGCAGCTTGCCCCACAGTCCCGAAGACGATGTTGATACTGCATCAACTAATACTGTACAAGACCATTGAATAAGTAAAGTATGAATTCGGTTGGGTGCAATACCCGCTGATCTTAGTATTCTGACAGAAAGTATAGTCGATTATTGCCGTAGGTCAGTCCAGTCCGTAGTACACGAAACCCAGCTTAGAATAGACTGTCCGAGCCGCTCTTGACTGATATATAAATCACCTCTACACTCTTCTATAAATTGATATCAGCACTCAACCTTGGATCCAAACTACAAGATAGATCCCAAACAAATCATGTCCCACAACATTCTCATCACCGGTGGCACAGGCTACCTAGGCGGGTCTCTCCTGGCAGACCTAACCACCGCCAATCTGCCCCCCTACGCACACCTCTTCGCCCTTGTACGGAACCCTTCTCAAGCAACAGCCATGGAAACCCACTACCCCAATGTCATCCCCCTCACCATCGACCTCACTTCCCCAGCCTCGATAACTACCACCATCGTCTCCCACAACATTACTATCATCTACCACCTCATCGACGCTAGAGACACCAACACTCCAACCTACTTCATCCGTGGCCTCGCCGCCGTCCAGAAGTCTACAGGCATACAAACGCACTTCCTCTTCACAACAGGCGCAAAGCTCTTCTCCTCCCACGCCGGCGCTCCAAGTACAGACCCACTGCCAGACTCTTCCCCGGATATGTACGATCTCCAGAAACGCCTCACCACTTCCGCACCACTGGAATTGGCCCGACAAGGAACGCTAGCAAACACTCTCGTCGTAGACGAAGCGTCGCAATTAGGTGTACGAGCATACATCTTCGCCCCATGCATCGTCTACGGTGCCGGTCGCGGGGCATTCGGAAACCGCATCTCCATCCAAACAGTCGCAGTCGTGAAAGCTGCCAAAGCCCTAGGCAAGGTCGTCGATGTCAACGTCCCTGGAACAGAATCCTCGTGGCCTGTCTGCCATATCGACGACAACACAGCGCTGTATGTGGCGATTTTGCGCGCGGCGTTGGAGGGGAGGGACGATGTGCCTTTTGGGAAGGACGGGTGGTATCTCGCTTCCTCGGGGAGCGTAGCATGGAAGCAGTTTTATGAGGGGGTTGCAAAGCCTATGAAGAAGATGGGTGTTGTGGAGAGTGAGCAAGTTGAAAGGTGGGATGGGGATGAGGAGGCTTTGAGGGGGATGTGGGGGGCTTGGGGGCACCCTGGAGAACCGACGTTGGAGCTTGTTAGAATGGTTATAGGTGGGGAGTAAGTTCGCTCTTATTCTTTTCGCTTTCGATTTTAGATCCGGAATCCCTGTGGTTAGGTGTGTTCAGGAAGATCATGGATAGGTTTGCTAACATGACATGCAGATGCTCTATGACGGCCGAAAACGGCCGAAAGATCGGATGGAAACCGCAGTATGCACCAGAGCATATTCTGGAAACCGTCGATGAAGAGGTTTCGTGGATCCTGGAGAACTTGGAATCCTAAAACTATCATCGTCGAAACTTTGTTTTGCAACCCCCAGATCTCAGGCAGCATGATAATCTACATGTGTATGTTAACTTAACGAAAATGTTGTACCAGCTAGTTAGCGCGATGAGGATACCCGAAGAGATATCATCTAGATAGTTAGTCATTCTTGCTCTATGTAACCAAAGTTGATCGAGCAGGATGAGCTTTCTTAGTCTGTTAGAACTGATTCTATGGGCTCGATGTGATGGAAACAGTCAGCAGACGGAGAGCCATATCCAGCACTCAGCACATTGTACCACCACTCTACCCCCCTCGAATTCGAAGCAATACCCAGCATGACACATGAAATAATAGCCCACAGATTAAATTTTTTATTGCTGCAATCACAGATTGCTGATATGCAGCCATATCGCCACGATCCAGTAATGCTCATCAAATCGACCGTAAGTTAAGCCCTCATATGTAGCGTCCGACTAACTATCCCAACTCTACAACTTGCTAACAACAAACGCCGCCGCATCAGCGGCATCCCGCTCATAGTTGCGGTGCTCCGCAGTGATGATAATGCCGCCCTCGCAGATGTTATCGCCATCGTGGCAGATAATGCGGGTCTTGTCGGCAGGGATAAGACCGAAATCAGGGTCATCACGGAAAGGGTCGCCGAAGTTAAGGACTGCGCGCAATTGTTAGTCCGTGTATCATTTCGAGTGGAAACATAATGAGGTATGCTCTTACCGGCGTTCACGCGGCCTGCTACGCTGGCCGAGAGACCTCGCGCGGCTTTTTGCGAGACCTGCGCTCCCTGGGAGTAGCCGGAAAGCACGATTTTGGTAGACGGGCATTGAGTTGCGGCCTGTTTTACAGTGTGTTAGTTATTGTGCATGGGATTAATATGGACGTGAATAAACAAAAGAGAGCTCACCTGGTTGATCAACTCCCCCATCTTGGTGACACCGGCTGGGTCGCCACCAAGCAAAAACCCAAACACATTCGCAGCGTAATCGACGCCCTGGACAGCGAGCCTGGATGTGCCGCCGAGTGCGGCAGCTAAGGCGTTGAAGAAAGTTGGGCCTTCGGACGCGGCGTCACCGACATTGCCGTCTTGAGTGGTGCCGCGGGCGTAGATGACTGTTCATCACGTTTGTAATTAGAAAATGTTTGAGTGGATATGAAGGAGTTTGTGGATATCATAGTCGGATGTTGCTGGTGGGAGAGGCGAAAGAACTCCAGTAGGCCATAATGAAGGTAGAGGCATGGTAGACGTTGAAGCAATGTCGCCCATGAGAAAACTTGGATATTCAAGAAACGGAATGAGTAAACATACGAGTTACCTCACGGCACGGTGTGCCATCAGTGAGCTGGTTGAAGGTATCGCCATTGAATTGGCGCTTCTGAACTTCTCCGGTAGCAGGGGACGAGGAAGGAGATTCGGCTTCGAGCGCGGCGGCGTATTGCTTAATTGTGAGATCGGAGTCGATGAGATCGGTGATGGGAAAGCTAGCGCCTTCCGCGGGGACTGCCGTGGGAGCAGCGAGAGTGGTTGCGCTGAGCAGGAGCGAGAGGGGGATGAAAGACTTCATGGCTACTTCGTGATGTAATCTTCTGGTTGTTCTCTTTCGGAGATATCCTTGCGATGGCCAGAGTGGCGAATACGGTCGTTATACCAGAAAAACGACTATTAGGTACTGAGCTTCGCCCGCGAGAGTGAATGAATGAAGAATCGAGCGAGTGATGGAAATCTGCTTGGCTGTTTGCGATCGACCAGGAAGCAGCGTTGCGTTCCTAGGAAGCAAGTAACTTAGAATGTGCACGGTGACAGTACCTAGATATATATACACATTCCCCACATAGCGACAAGTCGACCAAGTCGAACTGTCACTCCCCCACCCACCCAGTTCGTTCCTTGTTTACGTACATAACTTGCTCCGGCCTTCCAATTCGATCGAATACTTAATGACCAAGGCCGCAAAATAGACGATTAATCGCCACGCCCTCGACATCCGCCCCAACCTTGGCGAAAAGGGGCGCTGTCTCGCTTCGATCCGCCCAGGGGTCTTCTTCCTCATCCAATCAGTATGCCCAAAATGACGCCTTATCCCTGCATGCTAAGGTTTTGTAACAGTAGTCAATGCTTGGCGCGTCATGCGAAATTCGGACTGCAGAGCTGGGGGGTTTTCTTGTACCTGCAGTTTGCGGCTTAGGTGGGCTGCGCTGGCGGCGGTGGTATTTCGCTCAGAGACTGTATGGGGAAAACGTGTGCGACACCTGCCGCTCTCCTTGGTCAAGGCTATTCGGTGGGTATTGCGGGGAGTAGTGAGAACGTTGTCGTTGATAGATGAGACAATAGAACTAGTGATGTGGTGTAGAAACAGCTGGGACAGCCTCCTGCCAGATGTGGCACCTTAGACAGCAAACGTGCGGAGAGGGTGTTGTGATATTGGCTGCGCGAACAATTTTGAATGCAAGATTGCCCCCACGACATCGAAAGTCGACGGAAAACATCGGGCAACGAAATTACTGTGTGGAGCAGAAAAACCATCATAGTCGTAAGAGGGACTTGGTTCTCAGGCACGCATGGGCTCCTGTGAAACTCGGACAGTCTCGGTCATATCGGAGGAAGGGCCGAATTGAAACTCGGACTGTGAGGTGCGCATTCGACAGGTTTTCACGAATCGATATCATGAGCGAGTCGCCGGATTTTACATGGGCGTCAATAGAGCTGGTGCAAATTCCCATGTAAGCCGATCTACATATTTATGCTGACGTTGTAGCAAAGGCGCGGTTCCCAGGAACAGGTTATGGAATTTATTGCTTCAATGTGAACATGAGGCTCGTTTCTTATATATACATCTCATCATCACACTACTGTCGTCCGACCTACTGCTCCTTCAACTGGCTTAGGATAACATCAGCGGCCTTCTCTGCAACCATGTAGGTCGACACAGCCGTGAATGTACCAGGAATGCGAGGGTAGACAGAGGCATCAACAACCCTCAAGCCTTCAACACCCCTGACGTTGAAGTTGCTGTCAAGAACGGCCATCTTATCGCCATCAGCGCCGATTGGGCACGAGGACGAGGCGTGGTGTCCCCAAGTGACGTCCTTGATGTACTCCTCAAGCTGCTCATCGGTTGTCAGGTCAGCACCAGGCAAGACTTCGGTGACAGGGACGGTTTGGCTGGCCAAAGCGGAGCGAGCGAGGTGAATCGACTCCGTGATGGCCTTGATGTCGGATTTCCAATCACCCACACCAGTGTCGTAGTAGTTGTATGTGATGGCGGGAACATCGAGGGGATCGGCGGAAAGAAGCTCGACGGTTCCAGCAGTGTTGCGGGGGTGAGCTACCAACTGATCAGTACTCTTTCAAGATATATTAAGCGAGAACATACCCTTGAGAATGGCCCAGGTGAACCAATCGTGTTCTGAAGTTGCGTTGTACGCGTATCCGGGGAAGTATCCACGGAAGTTGATGGGCCCACCGAAGATGAAGGAATCCCAGTCTGAAAACAGTTAGTATCGCGTTGATGAAGCATTAGAATTGGGAAGACATACTGCCGTTAGTGGCCACGCTGGACTTGTAGAACATGTTGGCTCCTACGCCAGGTGAGGCGTAGGTTCCACGGTTGCCGAGAACAGGGTTCTGCCACGTCTTGAGGCACTCATCGTTCTCTGAGGCATCAAAGGTGCAGCCATCGAAGGCGGTCCAGTTGCTGGGAACTTTGCCTTGGACGCTGGTCTCGTAGTGGTCTTGGAGGTTAGTACCGACACCGGGAGAATCAACGACAACAGGGATGTCGAATTTGGCGAGTTCGTCAGCTGGGCCAACACCGCTAAGCTTGAGGATTTGAGGAGAGTTGTAGGCACCGCCGGCAATGATGACCTCGCGTGATGCGGTGACGGAGCCCTTGGTACCGGTTCGGCCGGCGCTCTTGGGGCTAGCGCGGTAGAGGAATTGGCCGTCGAGGAACTCGACACCAGTTGCGCGGGGAGGGGTAACGGTTTGGTCGAAAGTGACTTTGGTGACATGGCAGTTCATTCGGATGTCGAGAGGGTACATCTTAGAGCCATCTTCGTTCTTCGCCTCGCTAACAGCAACAATGAATTCACGGGCACCGTTGCGTTTGCCATCATTAGTGGAGATGGGGATTTGGAAAAGACCGTCCTTCTGGTCGCGCGCTTTGGAGTCTGCGTTGGCGTCGCCGGCAAGAAGGGTAGCGACGTTGAAGATAGCACCGACTGCATTGGAGAGGGCAACTGCTGCACCGCTGATGACACTGAAGAGTTGAGTATCTTCGGTCACGATGGTTATAGGTCCGTATTGAGTCGACAACCAACCGTCTTGTCCGTGACCGCCAGTAATTGGGAGGAGGTAGTTGTTGTTTTCGAGCTTTTGGAAGTACTTGCGCATGTTGGTGGGGGACCAGGAATCATCGCCAGTCAGAGTGGCAATGTATTCAAAGTCGGACTGGTGGGGGTAAACAGCAATGAGAGCGTTGTGAGCAGTGCAGCCTCCCAAGCTTCCTACACGAGGGTAAAGGGTGCCCTTCATGACGGATCCATCGGGTGGGCTGAGGCCAGTGTATTGACCACCATTGGGAGTCTCGTAGGTGGTTTTGAAGTCACGAGCCTGCCTCTCGTCGTCGGCGTAGTGGCGAACGAAAAAGTTCCACGCCATGTTCTCGTCCTCAGAGGCCCTAACACTGTAGGTGGGGACCGTGTAGTTGAGGTTGGCACCTTGGTCGTCACCGGCCTCAATGAGGAGAGTCTTGTGACCAGCGAGGGCCAAACGTGCGGCGAGTGGGCCACCGCCTGCTCCGGATCCAACTATGACATATTCATAGCCAGTGAGGTCGACCGCGTGGGCGAACGACGCGAGCGTTGCCACGGTATTAATAAGATATTTGAAAAGCATAATGAATGAAAGGACGGACTCTAGTATGTGTTAGTAGACCATCATTGTAATCTAGGCAAGCTGAATGTAGAGAAACTCACAAAAGTCCAAGTAATGAATGACGGGGGTAGTGGTGAGCAGAAAGGTGCTTGCGGGAAGGACTCATGGTGAACATTCACTTCTTATACATGGGCAGAGACTATCCCAGCTACGAGAGCTGCCAATGCCCCTTTTCGTTCCAGAATATCAAGTTTGTGAAATCAGCTCCCCGCTATAGGCCCATTAATTGTAGCTCCCTGAACGACCGCGGACGTGAAAGCGGCACATGCACGATTTTGGTGCTAGTCTTGGATAGTTTGAAGTCTTTGGCACACTATGATCGACAGCTTGCTGGGGTAGTGGTCTGGGGTGCGCCCTTGCCACGACGGCAGCCCCAAGATTTTTGGCAGACCTTTTTGATCCTGCTGGATCTTGCGCGCCCGATACACGATATCAAGTAAGACACAGCGATTTTTTGCCGCCGTCTCGTCTTGTGAGAAGGACGTCGACTTCGAGATGTTGATGGAAGATTGTGAACCGATATCGAAGTTGGCTCCTTCCCTCCAGCGGGCGAGCCCCTTGGAAATTTCAATAAATATCGCACGCGCTACAAGAGGGTTCAGAGACTATTCTGAGGTTTGGTCGTTGTTCCGCTCTAGCCTACATAGGCGGTCATTCCCGGGGATAACAACCGTTTACAATATTCGTTAGTGGGTCGGGCCATGCGCGACTCGCGAAAGTAACGTTATTCGCGGGTAATCTCCGAATAGCTTGTCGACAAACGGTTTCTAGCTTGTGGTGCGCAATGCCTCGGAGCGATAGCATCATCTGATTGACGTTCAGGTATATTCTGAGTTGGACTTGCGTCTTTCCACGTGGAATGCTCAGGCCAGTGTCATGCATCGACATGTGTTCTCCTGCGTTTCGGGGCGACCACTTACGCTTTTGAGTAAAAAACCAGATGAGGTTTGAATGTATCCACTACACCAATGCGTGTATAAGGATCGTCGGCCTGGGGGCTCCAGAAGTTGTTCGACGGCCGTGTAGCCGTTCAGTGGGCACCTTTACAGGGGTGGAATAACATCTTCATCTATAGAGAGTCATGGCAACGATGCCAATTGTCTGGTTTGATGTGAAACTGGATGAGGCATCGATGAAAATTTGTCCAAGCAACTTCTACCGTCTGAACTGGCGAAGCCCAATGCGATCGATGCTATACAGGAGAAGAGACTGCACGGTTGAAGACGAGAAAGCTTAATAGCGACCAAAAAGCGGGAAGAGCTCGAGAAGCTCCGGCTGGTGTGTTGTTGGTGGCTGAAGGTGTGTGGTACGATATCTTCAAGTCTGTAGCGGGCGGGTCCCACTTTCGGGCCGCGCTAGCCAAATCTCCGATGCACATGATTTTTGAGTTGTCGACCTTCAATTCTTTTCTATTTTTCTGGTTGAGAAAATTCATGACAATTCCGTGAATGCAACATTACTATCAAGAGTACTCTTCTTCTTGACCACTGTGATTGTCACATCAGTGTCCAAATTCTTAGGACCGGGTGTCATCACAAGACAAGCATCAACAAAATTCATACCTAGGTGCCTACAGAGGTACTCAGCTTCCGATTCCTCCAGGTGACGGCTATGGTATCGATACTTTGATCGAAAAGTATCTGCACCATGGGGAGAAGATGGGAGAGGTGTTGTAAACAAGATACACGGATGTTCATCTATGCGCACAGCTGCCAAAACTATTTTGGGAACCAGTGGCATGCGAAGATGTAGGTTCCTCCGTCTTAAAGTCATGTCACCGAACTCTCACTTGACAGCCTACTTTCCACGGTTTACTATAACGGGGATTAAGGGATATGTGTCTCCTGTCTTGGTTTTGCGCTAGTATTGATATGAAACTGTGAGAACTGAAGCGTGATTACCAACATATGTCATACCCAAACAACACACGGTGCTGAACAGTATCAGACTTATGATAAGAACAGGAAATCTTTTTTCGGAAATTGAATGGATGTCTCCAAACAGTGGAGAAGTACTTTGAGCAAAGATTTCGAGCATTGAAACACGAGGGGCTATGAAATGGTCCTACAATCTTCCAAAGACGTCATAAACTAACCGCTGAAACTGAAGAGGTTAGATAGCCCCAGTCAATTTTCGAAGGGATACATTATTCTAGAAGCATAATTTGTGTTGTGTATACTTGGAAGCCAGATGTAGTCAACGTTTAGAGTGCACACAACTGGTACACGTCGCGATATCATAGCGAAGATCGGTTTTCTGTCCTTTGCATATGGTTTAGGTGGGTGATTAGATCAGCATGAGATTGGAGTAATATTTGCTATTGATTAATGTCAACATCTTGATGTCGCTTTTCTCTAATCCTCGTACGCCTGCCGTGCTCCCCCTTCAACTTGCCCCACCATTGTTTCTTAGCTTGTAACACCGCAAAGCCCTTCCGCCCAATCGTCTTGCCATTCTGGAAGCTCATATCTAGTACTTTCATCAGCGGGCGACCCACCCACTTTTTACAGAACTCAAAGCATTCTCCAAAATCTGGCATGATTTCAAGAAGCAGTGATATGGTCCCCTTGTATCTCAAGCGCTGCGTCTCCCAGCTGTCCTGCTTTTGTCTCGAAGCAAGCCCCCCTTCGCAATGTGCAGATAACCGTGCAATTGCCACTACCTGATATTCATAAACTTTTGATCGAAATGGGCGCCATCACCCGCCGCAATACCGTACATGAAAGATCCCAAGTGTTGAAGACGTGTTGATCAAAGCCTTCAGATCAGCCATTCCCTGTGACGGGATCAGGGGACGGAAGACGATATGAGAGACGATCTTAAATCGCGATATGTCCTTCACCTACTTTGCCGATCTCTGAGTTGTTCATGAACTCGACCCTCAGACGATCAACTCTGCTTGCACTAATCTTGCTGATTTGAAGCTTCACGACAACAACATTAGGTAACCCAAATGCCGCCTTGAGGGTGTCATTTTGACCGCATTGGGAGACGTATATTGGTCTGGATATGTTATAATACAGTTCGGTGACGATATCTGATCAAGAGATTTCCTTACCCTATGAGAACTTTATGCGCAAATCGTTATCCATCATCAACATAAGTTTAACGAAAAGGTAGTTGCGTACCTCGTTGACATATTCTCCAAGTAGCCTATACGCTTTTGAATGCTCAAATGCATGAGTGCGCAACTTCATTGTGTCTATCAGGCCAGTTATGAAAAGTATATTTGGCACGTCGTAATTCCCAGTCCCAACCACAACAGCATCATGAAATTACTATCACCAGGAATTCCTCTTCTTGCCTTTAAGCCCGTGATCAGTGCGCTGCAGTGTCAGAACCCACTATATTCCTCTCTTCTCTACGCGCTCAACGTGCGTGTTCACTGTCTAGCGATATGACATGTGCGAAACGCTCTGCTATCTCCGTAAAACAATGCGCTATAGCCTCCTAGCGACTAAGTCCATGGATAGATGTCACCGAATCGTCGGGCTGGAACGGTGTTTTTGTGGATGCCATATTCTTTGATCCCACGTCACTATCAAGGCCTTACGTAGAATCCTATCTATTCGTGCGGTCAGGTTCTCCGGTAAAGCGTCCGTTGATTTCGGAAGCTGGAATGGTGCCTCTGGTTGGGGTTCTTTGAGTGTGCGGAAAAGGGCTTGGGGTCTTTGTTGTAGAGCCATGTCCCACCTAGACTTTCATACCTCAAAGAGATGTATCTTGGAAAATGAATTTTCCGATAGAGATATATGGTAGATATTCCAGACGGGCCTCCACTTATCACTGCGATTTCAGAGTATCGCAGAGTCATTTTCTATACTCAGTTGGATCAGTTATGAAAACTACGATGAGGACGAGACCATAATAGGTTGGAATCACCAGTTGTTTCTTCTATATCCAAACGAACAAGTTGCTGTGTGCAGTGCGCATCAGTTCATGCTGCTGTCTCCATTCATAACAATTGTTCCCCGGGGCAAGCTGCAGGTTGGACGCTAATAATGTATACCAATGCTTGCTCTATTTCACCCATATTTCTCAAATTCTGAATGTCGAAATCATTGAATAATCATTGATGCTTCCCCCGAAGCGATATTTCGTATTGATTCTGTGTTGATTGAACCATGGTCCACTGAAACAGTGCGTACACCAAGAGACAGGCATGCTAAACAGGTCTCCACCTTAGAAGCCTGTTCATCTGCTGTACTAGAAATACAACTTCTTTTTTGCTTCTGGAAGAGGTAGAGAGTCGAATCCAAGAACGTGCTTTTCAGTTCCGCGCCTGTGTAAAGAGCCCACTGCTGAATCGTCTCATCAGATCGTGTAATCACACACAACAAGCACATTGACCTGAGGGTTGTGCGCGAATCATGTGATTTCGTAGTTTCTGTTAGCATCACTAGTCCTTCATATACCCCAATGATTGCTTCTTTTTATCGATATGTCGAATAAAACTTTGAAGGGGGGGGGGAGGGCGGGGGGGTTGATCAAGGAACAGACTGGCACTATGGAGTTACACATGTCGAACGAGCCATCAACTCCAGAAGTGTCCAATGTAACTTGGTCAATGACAGACATATACTCACTGCGTATGAGGAAGCAATCTCCCTCCAAATCTTGTCTTTCCGATCCAGGAAACAACATAGCCGCTTGATGGTCGATTTGAGGTGTTGTAGACAGTTCCCCCCTACTAGTTGTTATTTCCCCACCAAGAGACCCCGCCAAACACCTAAACACCAATCATCATCCCCACTTTAAACAGTCTAGATCTCCCAAAATACAACACTCCTGCTTTCTCTACGCTTCAACGAGAAAATGCGCCGTAGTCTAACATGCGCCCAAGTCTACCACGCGGCTACCATCGCTGCGCTTTCGAATTCGTACCAAAAATCCCGCACACCGCCGCCTCCTCTTTGCCGAAAGCGGTAAAGAAGCGCGCATCGTGAGAAATCACGAGAAAAGGGGGAAAACCGCGCAAAACTGCATCGTGTGATGAGTGAAAGGCGGGGAATGGCTAATAGTAGAGCACAGCCTGTCCATAGTGAGCACGCATCTACTCCTTTCCTTTCGCACATAAAATCTCTGGTCGTGATCTCTACCCACCTGGACTCGCCGCGCGCCCAAAAGAACACATTGGAATCGAGATCGAAGCTCCACACGCACGCACACTAGTACACTGAACGCGAAAAAAAGACAAGAAAAAGGAGGGAAACAGCAAACCAGGATTGAGGACTACAATACACGTGGACACAACAATGCTCGAAGTTTTCTACGTCTTCATCTTTGCCGCTCTCTGCGAGCGCGTCGTCAACTGCGTCCTTAAACCCCCGGTCCACCCTGCGCGATTCTCCCGGGAGTTGCAACGAACATCGTCTATGAGCTCCCTTTGATGCCCATAGGCTTCATACTCGAGCGGTGTGCATTATGGTAGCCATCCTGAGCGAGGTGGCTAGAAAGGGGCTCTCACGATCGATCGGGACGGGTGCATCTCGGTGCTATGAGAGTGAAGCGTGCGGTTAGTGAAGCGTTGTTATGGGGGCAACGGTAATATTGGAGGTGCACGTGTTCTACTGGGATGGGTATGGAAGAGGTTTCTATTTTTTGTGTGGATTCATGTGTAGCGTGGTGTCATGGGAGTGGATACTGGCAAAGTTATGGGGGAATGGAAGGACGCACGTTTCGAAATTTGTTTGTGACGTTAGCAAGGCGTTACGGTTACCACGATCGACGATTCACATATGCATAGCTTACATATTGCTACTATGATTCCCCATCAATGATTCCGATATGCTATCTATAATTCGTTGCTAAGAATACGTCATCCCAGATATCCAAGGGTGTGCCCTTCACGTGACTCAGATCTTCTATGCACACATATCACGTGCCCGTATGTGCTAGATTCAGTGACGCCATTACCAATGTCTGGAGACCCCTAAACTTGTTCGGAGGAATAAACACTGGAGACCAAGGGACCAAAGTTGGAAGAACCAATACTGTGAATAGTCAGGATTGGAGGGACCTGGAAATGAAGATCGGCCATTCTCAATGCGACCAGGGGTACCAGCGCGGTCCAATTACGAGTTGAGCGCTTTGAATCGCGCAAAAATTGAACCAATCTGCCAGACAGTCTCAGGACATGATTGTGGAGATGATTGCGGGGTTTTCAGACGAAATGAAATCAATCAATCAGTGACCTCCCAATTACGGTTGACGCAGGAAGAGGCACTCCAGTCCGCAGTGTGAGTATGTGCGTGCAGTGTTCCCAGGCATTTCCTTTTCCATGCCCGAGACACTGAGCAGAAGAGAAGTACGATACGTGAGAGCTGAGTGTCGAGCCCCGATCGCTTACGTAGTTTTGTAGAAGTCCGAACAAGGTAAAATATAATCACGTCCATCCAGCTGCAAAAGAGCCACGCCTCATGCAGGCTGCGACCGTCATCTCCGCTGTGTGGTAGGCCGCGACAACGGTCAGGCCGTCTGACGTGAAGGCCTAAAACAAAAAAACAAGCATGTGGCTGGATGGACTGTAATCATCCTCTGAAAGAAACAGGCCTCCTGATTCGTATTTACTGAATTGCTAATGGTTTGTGATTGCGGTAACGGGTAAGCGCCGGCGGACGTGCTTACGGGAGAAGAGCCCGGTTTGGAAACAAACGATTGGGGCTGCAATGAGATGACCTTGTGCGCGCGTACGCTCTTTTGCGCCCCTGGCATCCGCTGATGGGATGATCAAATGACAGGTACTGTGTAAAGATATCACATAGATGCACGACACGAATGGGTGAGTATAGTGCAAAGTTTGAGGAAATATTTTACTCGATTCAACATCGATGTGGCATGGCATCAATTGCGACCTCTTATGTAACAAAAGGCGGTTTTCTTATCAACAGAGAATCGTACAAAAAACGTACAGGAATAGAAGAATAGATAGGAAAGTATGTCCTTGGCGTTCGCAAAATCAAGAGCCGTACAGCATACGCAAAACCGTCGCAGACATGGAGGAACAGTGACCTGACCATCCCACCTTATCCATCCAATGATTGATCTAGCTGCCGAGATCGCAGCCCCAGATGTCCTTGTAGAAGCCACATCCGATCTTGGTGTACTTGTCGCTCTTGAGGATGTCATAGTGACCCCTCTGGCCGGCCAAGTTGTAGCCCTTGCTAAGTTTGTCGCAAACCTCTGAGCCAAGTCCAGGGTCAGAGGAAACTTCGCAGAGCCAGCCTCCGACGAATACCTTCTCGAAGTCGGTAGGGTCGGCACCAGGAGCAACAGGAGCAAGGACTTGTCCGCCAGTTCCTGAGCCCTTCTCGATCTTGTGCTTCATCGCACCGTCACCCTCGTTGCAGGTGACTTGAGCATTGCCCTCAAGTTTGGGGTCAAGCTCGAGAGGCGCGCGGTCGATCTTCGCGCGCCATTTGTTGACGATGTCGATATAACTACCGGATCCGCCAGTGGAAGGTGCCGGGGCGGCGTAGGTGGGCTCAGGGGCCTTGGAAGAGGGAGCTGGGGGAGGAGGAGCTGGGGCGTAGGTAACCTTGGGAGGTTCAGAGGAGGGAGCTGGGGGAGGGGGGGCCGGGGCGTAGGTGGGCTGGGCAGGCTGCTGAGTGGTTTGGGGCCCTCCGCCGTATTTGATAGTCCTGATGATGGTCACAGGGTCGGGCCTTCGGTTGCCTTGACCTTCCGGGCGGTAGTTTGCCTCCACTTTCTCAACAGCCTGAGTAGGGGCAGCACCCTGGGTGACGGTAGTGACGGCCGTCTGGGTAACAATGACGAGTTTGGGCTCGGCGACAGGAGCAGCCAGAGTAGAGCCAACAAGGGCGAGAGCAGAGATGATGCTGACGGAACGCATGGTGAATTTGACGACGTGAAAGTTACGATGGGTAGTTGTAATTTGGCGAGTCCGTATGAGTAGCTTAGCAGAGCGCTAGAAAATGAATGTGGAGTCCCGAAGGATAGAGTTGGTTGTAAAAGAGAGTGTGGGCTGCAAAGAACGACCAGAATAAGGTACTACACGTCGAAGTCTCAGACTCGTGAGCAGCCAGCGTGGGCTGACCGACATTCTTATACCAGCTGGGGAGTCTACCCCCTGGACGAGCGCACGCCATAACCCATGGCGGTACATAACCCATCTCCGCACTTTGACGTCCACTAGGTGCACTGAGTCCACATAGGGCCTGTGCTCGGCCTGTGGGACCTGTTCGGGCTATCCCGTAATAAGATCACACAAGAATCTGTTTTGTGCAAGCTCTTGCTACAGTACAGAACGGGGGTTCACTCGCATCTACGCTTCTGTGACTTGTATGAGATATCTGAGACTCTGTGTCTCTTTTCCTCCTTCACAATCTGCGGGTGACATACTCATGATGGCCAACTGGAAGATTTGCCAATGGCATCTGCAGGTCAGAAGGATACACACTAGGAAAGTCTGGGTGTTGCGCCTGATCTCTGCGTTGAGAATGGTGGAAATGGGCAAGGAAGGGTACCTGCAGGAATAGTTTTCGCTTGTCCGACTGGGCAAAGATTTGCTGTTTTCGTATGGCCGAGAAGCTCGCTGAAATAGCCCGTTTACGTCTATACATTACACATCATCTAACTGCACTGATAGGACGGATTTGCAAGAGATGCGTACTCTAAACTCGAAAATAGAAGGAGTATCTAGCCTGAGTCGTATAACGGATTTTTTTGCGTCCGTGTGAGTCAGCACTAATCCCATTGTTACTTCGCCAGCCTTCATTCGAAATGTGAATAATAAAATACAGCGATCGAGAAATAACACTAAGACCCTTGACGCCACTCATTTTAGTACGCAGCTTTGGAATAAACTCAACACAAAATGATTGGCGAGCAGTTTGCCGTTCAGGGGGACGGCAGGCTTGAGCGGGTCAACTTGTTTCAGAGTTACAGGTTGGCATTAGCTTGGGAATAACGTGGATATTTACTCAGGTGCGCTGTGTCTTCGTAGTACGGGATCCTGCGCGCGGGCACGACGGTTCCGCAAGCCACTGTTTCTTATGATCTCACCTTCAATTGGATGTTGAAGAACAGTGCATGGAAAGAAGAACGAGAAGTGATCTCTCTAGTTGTGCATAACTGTGGATCGTGCAGTGAGTCCAGTAGTAGTGATAGTGTATGAATTGTGGGGTGATGGCATGGCGCAGATGGGATACGGTTCTGGACTTCTTGGTCGCAATCCTCTACTTTCCGCAGTCTCCCGGCGTCGTCATCCTTTCTTCAAGGTCATTGTTGAGCTGCAACCGGCGCGATGATTCTTACTGTGTGCAGAAATCTGTCTGCGCTGTGGAACCCGATTAGGGAGTGTGTTGTTTCCAACGGCCAGCGCCAACGTGGCTGTTTTAGCCACGCGCCGCCTCTACCCACCAGCAATCGCTCGTTCTTTCATCGCGCCTTGTTATCCATACGATGATTTCGAGACACGTGCACAGTCTACTTGGCAGCGTGTGTCTCAACGTCGACTGTCGCATGTTGAAGCGCTTCATCAGGACTCCGATTGTATCGTATGTAGTCCAGTACTCCCAGCCTGTATCCATAGAAACAACAGTCGACAAGGAAACACCCCATACCGCCCCCGTTTCAACAATGACAAGACGTCGAGGTGCCGACTAACCGGGACAGGATAGCCCTACACGTATCCGCCCGCCCTATGGCAGACCAGAATAGCATACAGAATTGCGGTCGTCTGTATGGACTTCTATTGTGTAACGACCAAAAGTAGACCGTCGGTGTGATGTGCACGAGGTTTATTGGAAGCCGTACACATTGTAAGCAAGATCTTGACGCTAGAAGATGATGTGTGACTGGTCTGGAATCTCACAGCGCAGACGCTTGAGTGCTTGTGCGGCTCTGCCTCTCTTTCGCACGAGTTTCCCCTAATTCGTCTTCCTCGCCAGGCCGATCGAACACCGATATACGCCCAAGCTCCTGGCTTACATACATACGGTACACCAACACCGTCGCATTCTGTACCTGCGCTAGATGACTTCGTCTCTAACTAGATCTTGCGAGCTTAGGACGGCGTCGATGCGTCTGAAACTCTTGTCTTTGATCGTAGAGTACATACATACATTTTGCACAGTTGATCCGCAATGTCTCACAATTCATGTTGTGTACTTTAGGTATCAAGGCGCGCTACGTTAGGGTCGCCTGACGCCTGTAATATCTCTAACTGAAGTACATCGCTACACTATTGCGATCTGCGATCTCAGAGTGCAGCAACAACAGCAATCTAGGAAAACGTTCCCCACGGACCGAGATGGCGGGTGGGGACTTGCATACCTCGTGCGACGCCCCAACACTCAACCGATTGTTTACGGTGTAAATGCTACAATAATCGATAACAGACTTTTGCACCGAGTAACAGTGCGCGGTAACCGTCAGCCGGCTCACGTGATACATGCATCACGCAGTCTTGTGTATCTTTTGCGATGCCATCCTTGTGATGTGCTTACTCCTCTGAAAAGTGCGAAGTTTCGAAAGTGGAGCGAATGTTGATCCAAGCTCTGTTTGCAGAGATGAGACAAGCTGGCGGGATCGACGGTGTGTGATAAAAAATTGCGCTTCCGTGGGTCACAAATGTGGATGAGCCAGGAAAATTTCGAGATGTCTGCGGACACATGCGAAGTCACCGTTCTGGAGTGGTGCATAGGCATAGGATTGACGATTCCTAAACATGATCTCTTGGGTAAAAAGTATTCCATGTTTTCAATACATTCATCGATTCATTACTGGAGATATGATTCTGGACCCTTCCGTAGAATCATCACCCAAGTCATTGGCATGTCATCAAAGGGATGTCACTGTTCCGCAAAACGAGTTCAGTGTCAGAATGGTACCGATGTCAGCTCTGTTACCTCCATACCCTAGTTCTACCTTTTCCAGATTTCGCATCGCCAGAATGTGTATCGTGCAGCCCGATTACCCCAGATCTCACAGGCTTGGCACTCAGAACCGTTTCACGGGCAATGTTACACGAGATGGACATCACTCTATCTCCGTATAGCGCAAACATGTTTCTGCAAGATCTCCATGTTGCCGTCGTTGTTTGGGTCGCAAAATCGTAGCAAATGATGAATGCCACCAGCCCGGTGCTTCTTCTTCGTATGCAAATGAACGGAGTCGTCGTGGGCTTTTTCCGGCTCGGTAGCTGATGTCGGTAGCTACCAGAGTTTCTAGTCGCTTGCCCAGCCCCCGATCTCGCCGTAATGCCCCCATTCACAAACTTTTCCAAACAGATGAATTGAGACCGATACGCTTATCTGGAGGCAAATTCCAGTAGTGCATTTACAATCAGTCCCTGCTGAGACTGTTGTGTATACGCCATAAATCGAAATATCCGGATACGAGGCTCAAATAGTCTGATCTCGGAATGCCGTTCCTTACACAGCAACCAAGAATTTTAATCGCTGGCGCCGGCATCGGGGGCCTCACAACAGCACTTGCGCTCCACGCCGCGGGAATCACCAACATCACCATCTACGAAGCTGCGGGTCACCTCACTACACTCGGTGTCGGAATAAATGTGCAACCTTCCGCAGTTCTGATTCTGCGGAACCTGGGTTTACTTGAAGCGCTCGAGAAGACAGCTGTTAAAACCCAAGAGCTGAACTTCTACAATCGACATGGCGATGCCATTCTATCTGAAAAGAGGGGTGTCGAGGCTGGGTATGCGGTGCCTCAATTCAGCATTCATCGTGGAGAATTTCAGATGCTGCTGCTGAGTGCGGTGAAAGAGCGTTTGGGTGAGGGTTGCTTGAAGTTGGGACACAGTCTTTCCGGAATTACGCAGGCGGACGATGGCAGCAAAGTTACTGCACACTTCGTGCTAAGAGGTGACGGGAATGCTGTTTCTGCAGGTTCTGCTGCCGAAGGGAGGTCACCAGATGTTACTGGCGACATACTTATCGCCGCAGACGGCATCAATTCCACAGCAAGAAGACTATTCTATCCGAAAGAAGGCCCGCCGCGGTTCTCCGGTCGTATGCTTTGGAGAGGGTGTATAGAACGGGCTCCTTATCTCACTGGAGCATCTATGGTGTGGGCAGGTCACGCCGACCAGAAATTTATCGCATACCCTATTTCTCAGCGTTGCGCAGCCGAAAGGGGCACCTCGTTGGTGAACTGGATAGCAGAGCTCCGTATCCGAGATAAAGACGACGAAGACGTCTCGCCACCTAAAACAGATTGGACTAAAGCAGTTTCTAAATCTGTATTTGCCGGACCTTTTGAATCGTGGCGCTGTGGAGGACTTGAGATGAAAGACCTGATCGAAAGCACCGACAAGGTCTTTGAGTTCCCTATGAGCGATCGTGATCCAGTTGAGCGGTGGTCATTTGGAAGAGTGACGTTATTGGGCGACGCAGCACATGCCATGTACCCCATTGGATCCAACGGCGCATCCCAGGCTATCATAGACGCCGAGACGTTATCGCGCCACCTTGCGGAGAACCCGGAGGACGTGCAAGGTGCACTCAAGCGATACGAGTTGGATCGCCTACCTCCAACCTCGAAGATCGTGATGGCGAACCGCGCGAATGGACCCGATCATGTGCTGCAGTTAGCTGAAGAACGCGCTCCGGAAGGATTCAAGAATGTTTATGATGTGATTCCGAAAGAAGAGTTAGAGGGAATTGGAAAGGCTTACAAGGCTATCGCCGGATTTGAGATGGATGCGGTCAATAAGAAGGCGAAAGCAACGGAAGAGGCTGCGGCGAAGTTAGGGTTGAAGAGTCCCACTGACTGGATATAAAAGTAGGTAGATTATCGAGAACTATACGCGCTTTTTATAGTGGTATGCCATGCTGATTGCATTGCCTTGGTGCTGTACATAATACAGTAGCTGGGAAACATATCGTCGAGGGTGGTCGAATAGGAAAAACTTGATCCTTTCGCGATACCATCAGTGGCAATTGAGCTTAACACGATGAAATGATTGGGGCTCCAAAGGGAAAGAGAATTCATCTCCGTCCGTCCAACCTACCATACAATCAGTGCTCGGTTTCTGTCCGCGTATATCGAGAATACAGTGCTAAACGGAGTAGTCGGTAAAATTGACACAAAAAACAAAATGTACAAGAAGGATAAGAAAGCACGAGTCCATGGTGCAAAAGCTTCAAACCGTCCCAAATAAATTTGCCTCGAAAGACCAGGGTATGTAAAATAGCCGCCTGACACTGACGTGGAAGTAGAAGAAGGCCTTAACCAAGGAAAGCAGAACGTGAAAATCCCGTAAAGGGTCCTCTCAGCACCCAAATGTACCACCCATCATCTTAAGCGTGCTCTCGTAGCAGCCAGCGCCGAACTTTTTCACTTCTGCTCCTCGTCCATCGTGATACGGCCAGCAATGCTCCTCTTAATGGGCTTCTCGTCCGCGCATACATGCATGTAGATGTTCATGGATGTTCCCGCATCATCGCAGTTGAAGGTTGGCTCGGGGATACCAAGCTTTTGAACCGGCGTATCGACGAAGTACGACTGAGTGGGACAATATTGGCCGGGAGGGCAGTATGGAATTTTGCACTTTTTCTTCAAGTAAGTTAGCGCGGTGCTCATAGATGGGGAGATAAGAACTGGGCATATATTCCCAGCATAGCAAAAAGGACGGAGATGCACTTACCTCGGAGAAATCCATCTTTAGGCCCTTTTCAGCACCGGGGCAGTTTGCACTCCTGAGTCATAGTCAGCACAAATATCCAATAAGTCTGAAATAACCATGGTTTTGTTTGATAAAGGGGATACGTACGACTTATCGAGAGCGCAGTCCACAAAGGATAAGTCATACCACAGTCGGTCGTTCTTGATTGTGTACTCGAACTGCGTATGATGTTTTGCTTGTAGCATTTCCGTGTTACTGATCTTGACAGAGACCCCGGCCGAGTTGCCATCGGGGAGCGTAATTTTTCGCACAGGCTCCCTGTAAGTAGTCCTCTTAGGGATTTGGATGGCCTCGGTACTTCCCTTTACAGTTGTTGTTAGCATGCTTAACAATTATAGCTGGTTAGATGATGCTATACAGTTACGGAGTCCACGCTCCAGGCCCAGATATCGTATGAGCAGCGGTTCTCGAGAACTGCTTCACCATAGCTACCCATCCCGACGCCCGTAAGATTGCCTTTGGACTCCCACTTGGCCCAGCCCTCGACTGGCTTGTTTACTTTCTTGCCGTTTACGGTAGCGGTGCTCAAGGCGGCTTGCAGCGCACTAAGGATGAGGATTGACTTGAACTGCATTGTGAATAAAATAAAGATAGACTTGGTTAAACCGAATGAATGTGATAGAGCCGATGCTCAAAAAACGAGGGAACGAACCGGAACGGTGCTCAAAAAAATGAATGTGAGGCCTGACGGAGAGAGAGACTAGACGAATCTGAAGACGCGAATGGATGGGAGTTAACCTAATTATACCAGTCATACGCGCCCTCGAAGGGGCACAGTTACCAACACCAAGACATTTTTCTTCGACGCCATGATGGTGCCCTTGGGTAGCGGCTGCGGCGAGTGAGATCCTACACTAGAAAAGAAAGGTGGCCATGGCAAATTTGTAGCCAAGCACTCAATACATGCATAAGTACGGCGCCGTAATGCCAGGATACCAATCTACATTCTGGGGGCTGAATGGCGACTCTCAGTTTGCGAATGGCATTGTGGGAGCGGATACGTGACATATCTACAAGAGTGTAGTTTAAAATGATCCAAGGGATTTACAGTATCGTGCGATATCCCTTTCCTTCCGCGCAGCGACAGTGGTGGTGAGTGCTCGAAAGTCAAGAACGGACTTGGCACGGGCCAACCTTTGATCAGTACAAAGTCCCTCCCCTTTCGTCTTTTACTCGGTAGACATTCCCTCCTGCGAGCGAATTGAGTATTGTACGTGGAGCTGACAGGCTCTACAATCGTGATTTGAATTGCACTTAAAAGTTGTTTCGCGGGAAGGCAATGTTTGCAATGAATGGCCTGCAAAGTATTAAACCTTATGGTGTCTTAACTGTAAGTGCTTTCCCCATCAACGCCATATTGCCTTTTCACGAGTGAGAATGTCTGCTGTTCTGCCTCCAAATACTAATATGAATTTTCGGAGGTAATGGTTATCAAAAGCCTCCAGGCACGCACGTAATCAGTGTCGGAGAGGCGTGGCAAGATGACGATTCCCAGGAACTGCGACCTCCGAAACTCAGCCTCTTAGTTCCAGTCCTGGTTCGGTCTCTGGCTCACAATCAGCAGGAATGGGCAAATATCTTCCCTTAAACACCTTCTCAGCTACAAAAGACTGAGACGGAAGGATCGGGCATGGCATGAAGTTGGAGTTGTCTCGGGCCTCGTTGCTAAGCAGGTGGAGGCTTGGAGCGGCGTAGGCAAGCTACTAAAGGAGCCGTTTGTTGAGATAAGTAAGATTATGTTCGAAGCATAAATTGCACAAGATCGTGGAAAAAAGCTAGACGATAGCTAGGATGATTGAGGTTCATGACCGAGACCTATAAGTTCTTTAGGTAGTCTTGTCCCTGTGCATACATTGAGTGGTGTGTGGGAAAGGATCTCAAGGGCGTTTGCAACCAATGCAGGAACAGCCTTCGTACCTGAACAAGAAGCCTTGCGGCTCGGCGAGGCGTCGGCCGCGGCGTAGTCATGTGGTCCTCCAGAATTTTGGCTTCCGACGAAGGTCGAGGGTGATGGCCCATACCCCTTTTTCTTCCAGTACTGGCATGCGCTAGCACGGATATGGGCTAGCTCGTCGATTAGAAGGCTAGACCCAGTATGTATATGTCGATTACGGTCGACTACGCAGTGGTACTATTCAAGTGTAAATGTGTATCGATATGATGGTCACTGATTGTACGTGTGCCGCATATGATTGCACATGTTTCGGACTGATGCTTTTCTGGGTAGTCTATACGTCGACGCTGTGATGTTCAAAGTATCGATACCAATATCGCCGTCATACTCTTGGTTCAGTTGCCGAATGTTAGTTTGGGATAGTCAGCGGTAGCGCGAGAAAAGAGAATGGATACATTATACGACTTCGTGAGTGATTGCAAGTTGCACTATGTCGCATCGCATTGCTAGAGTACAGTGCGTGTTGTCAACTGGTACCTAGGGTAGTCACCTGATGCTAGACCAAATCAGGCAATACAGAAAATGTACCCCGGTATACCGTAGTTGTTTCTGGGATGTTCACACTGCCGATTATCGCATGGATGCGAATTGATGCATATTCATATGTATATAGGAGTACTGGACTCACTATACTGCCATGATCACTACATTTTAGCTCTCAGTCGTGTGCTCAACTCATATTATGTTTGACTTTGTGTGAAAATATACAAATCAGTGTGATTTTAGAGCTATTACATGAGCAAGCTTGCTGCGACCCTACCTTGTGTTCACAAGGATTCCATCAGCCAGAGTGGTTATCGACATTGACTGAATGGAAGACTATCGCTGATCGCTCATAGAGATCAATCTACCGCGTCGAATATTCAGCTGCTCATCCGGAATCATAATCCCGAGTATTGATATGTTCCAGCATTGAAGTTGCACACTTGAGTACGATCGGCAAGATATTCGCTCAAGCTGTCAGGCTGCTATCACTACCGTGTCTACTAAGCGGGAAGATCTTGTGATGTGAATACGCATCATCCATTCTTAGGTATCGCGCAGTTGATAATACAACTCTAAGCTGTCGTAAAATGATGATGTCGAACGGTAAGCACTAAAAACAATCATTCCAATCCGTGTAGTGGGAAAAGATCATGCAGCTAAAATATTTGCTTCGGTTCGATCGAATTTCTTCATTATATAGTTTGTTCTAAAAGAAATTGGAAATTGAAGTGCTTCTCACACACGAAATGCTGATAAAACGAGGTTGGAAAAGTCAGTAGTGATCATACAGATACTGGAAGTGCTTTGCAAAACGCAATGTTTTGCGCCCTTTTTATCCTCACTAAACTATGGTTTGCAGATTGACAGTCAATCATGATACGACGAAATGATAAAACTGTAATGTAATGACAGCTTAAATGCTAGCTATTAGTTAAAAATTGGAAAGGCAGGGGTTGCAAAATGTAATATTTAAGGAAGGGAATGCCATTGCTCCTTTGAAGTGACAGTGCGATGAGCAGCGTGTTCTCATAGTCTCTTCTATACAACAGAGAAGGTATTGATGTCATCTGGACACTCTTATTTGGTAGCCGCTGTTTATAGGTGCCTTTATTGTTATAACTATATCGCCGTGCGTAGGACCACCCAAACTTCAACTTGTAATTTACTTATATCATTTGGAAATTATACGGTCATTCATCTGTCGGCGTCCAATGCAACCGGATTGTTTGACATTGCAACTTCAAGGTCTGATCGTGAAGTGATATCTGGATCCTCAATACGTCTGCTCTCCGAGATGCATCTCTATTTGCTCTATTTCAGCACTTCATCCCAGAAAATGAACATGCGGACTGTTCAATAGTTTCAGATGGATCAATGCAAGACTTCTTGCCTCTTCTATATGTCATGAGACCGAGCGATCGTGAGTGGCACTTCAGTGTCAGTATCACACATACCAAAATTTTGATAATTGCATTCATCTCTCCAAGCCTGAGATCGTGACTTCATATCACCATTGTCCATTCATATTCTATGGACAGTAAGTGCCAATCAAGACAAAAGACATCACTATTCAGAACAGATGCAGTAACTTCCAAGGCGTAAGCTACTTCCGTTTTACCCGGAGAATACCATCGGGCCAGTCCCAGAATGGCGCCACCGTCGACTGAGAACAAAGACTTCGCATCTCTCAGTGCAGAATGCCTAGAGGATGCCTAGAGGATGCCTAGCAAGGCACCAAGTGAATACCAACAAGAGATCGAAATAATACATGTATAAATATGTCCCATATCTTCCTCTACAGACGGTCGAGGGCAAAGCTTTAGAGGGACGGAAAGAGAAGTGACGAGTCCTCTTCCCTATTGCTCTCAGAATTGCAAAAAGAAGTGAGGGAAAACACGACGACTACAGCGAAAAAAACCATGGATTTGAGAAACCAGACCTAGGTACATTAATGGAAGCTATGAGAGCAGGAAATTGAGATTGGGAGATGCTAGAGCTTGAGGCATACCCCGTTTAGCTCACTACAAAGGTGAACTCCCGGCATCTCAACGACTGTCCAAACTATGAGGTATGTAGGTCCTTGATTGCAAAACCAAACGAATTTTGAAGTTCACCAACCTGCCCGAAGTTTGTATACTTACAGCACAGTGTCGAGCAGTGTTAGCAGCGACTACTACGTACCACTGCAAGTGGGAAGAGACACCGCACCACGCCATTTCCCAGCAACGCCGGAATCGCCTTTGACCTGGAAAATGATGCTCACGTATTGTGCCATGCCGGCGCCCGGCACTGGATCAGGGGCGGCGTCTATCAAGGGGCGCCGAGAAGTAAGAAGAAGAAAACGCGATGCAACGACGCATCCGCCCATCACCACATATTACATTTCTGCTGTGAAAGCCAAGTCAGGCACAAGACGGGCTGCCTTGGGATTACGAGTCCGCCGCCCGAATTTTTCTTGTCGGAGTGCGCAGAGGGGCGGGCATCGGATGGGTCGGCAGTCTAGGATTTGGCAGCGTGCTTGGCCTACAGTATGGCTTTTGGCACTGAAAGCGCGCTCAATAATCGATCGCACAGTATTCAGAGAGACTTCGGGGATTCCGGAGCAATAAGCAAGCCACACAGATGATATTGAGCTTGTCTTCTGGGAGTACTGTGGCGACAAAGAAGCTGCCCGGTGTTATGAGTTTACAAGAGGACTGGAGGAGTTCGTTGCGATCGACGTCATTCCCGCAGCGGAATGCTTGGCTTGGCGGAACTTGTTGAAGTGGGCCTGCCCAGCCACTCTGTGGCTGCCTAGCCTTGGTTCTAACATCACAACATTTGCTGGAGCCGCCTTTCCTGCCGCATGCGACAGAATGAAATACTACGTGATTGGTAGCTGTCAGATCTCCAGTGTCCTCCTGACAATTTATTCCCGCTGTCATCCATTTGTCTCCACCCAAGTTTGATCCCTACTGGGGGTCACTGACATACGCTCTGTACTTGAGACACTTCGAGAGTTCTGTATAATTACATACACAAAAGATGGATGACTGTTGCAAAAGTTGTGCTTAATTGTCGCAGAAGTTAATTTCACGCGGTATAACATCAACTAGACGAAAAATTGATGCTCAATTGAGAATTCTCATGATATTGGCAAGAATGATGATATCCCGCTCTTGATACTCAATCTAGCAGCGAAAGCACTCTGAGCGGAAACTACGCAACCCGGAACCTGAATTGATCGATGATATTCAGGGGTCTATCATAGTAGGCGCGGCCGAGAGCATCCACTGTGATTAGTTCATACAATTTCTTGGCCACGGAAAAGAAAACACTGACCTTGAATTGCGTGGGATATACCCCAAACAAGCTTGGAGTACCCCCGATACGATCAACATTCTTGGCCTCCACTCCTCCAAGTGCACCGACTGCTCCCCAATGGTGAGCCACACGCTGACTCTCCCCGATGGGCGCTCCACGGATCGTTTCATGGATGGAGAACGTATCCATGCAGCCGCGGGAAGCCTGCATACACATGATGGGAAAGAATGGCCTAGCACTGCTTCATTCAGTACAAGCGATGATAACTGCAACTTAATACCAAGCCTAAAGTGTTGGAGCCTGAGACGTCGGTGTCAAAGGTTGCGGAATTGTTCCAAAACAATCTTTCTGTCACTGACGCATTGTTGTACTCTGATCGCCTATTTTTACGCGCTGGTCTGCCGACAGTCAGCTAAGAAGACCAAGTCGGGCACTTCATCTGCTTTCCTCTTTTTTAATCCCTCACTTCATAATTTCCCTTTCTTCTTCAATCGGCTGGTCTGGTTTATTGGTTTCTTTTCCTTTTTTCCTTTATTCGCGCATTCGTCATTCCGGAAGACATAGAATCTTGTTCTTATGTTTTAATTACGATAGACACCGGCAGCACTTCTACTTTCTCCCTCCTCCTTCGCAACCCCGATCCCAATCCCCTTACCTTTGAGAAGACAAAACATTGCTCTTTGAGCGTGACGCAAAATGCCGACTCTCGATGTCAGTGAACTGAACATCGTCATCGCCGTTCTTGGTATGTCTTCATATTCCCGCCATATCACTTTCAATATATATTAATTACACTTAGGTGCTTTCATAATCACCTTTGGCATCATTTCGGTGAAAGTCAAACAAGTCTGGTACTTGGGCGAGGCGTGTAAGTTAAACCATACTATGTGGTACAGAGACCGGTAGTCAACTGACATTTCGGAACACCAGTGCCTGCCGTTATCTTGGGTATAATTTTGGGACCCATATCAGCCAAGTTCCTGGATGCAGAAAAATGGGGCTCTGCTGTGGAGGGACAGAAAGAAGCCATCACTTTGGTTTGTTCACCCAGTTCTTCATCCAGAAATCTACTAACCGTCGCATAGGGCATCTGCCGAGTTGTCATCGGAGTGCAGCTGGTCATGGCCGGGATCCAGCTTCCTGCCAAATACATCCACAAGAACTGGAAAGAGATGGCAACTCTGTTGCTCCCTGTCATGACAATCATGTGGCTATGCACCGGCTTGTGTATCTACATCACGATCCCTAAGATCTCCTTCCTCGCTGCCCTCGTCATCGGATCCTGCTGCACATGTACGGATCCTGTGCTGTCTCAAGCAGTCGCCAAAGGCCCATTTGCAGACAAATATGTCCCGCGTGCTCTGCGTGAAATCATCTCAGCAGAGGCCGGCGGCAACGATGGATTCGGCTTTCCATTCTTGATGTTCGTCTATGATCTATCTGGTTGAGAATTGATTCCCCTGCGCACATGCTAACAGTTGATATCCAGGCTAGCCACCTTTTTGATCCGCCACGCAGACAAGGAAGGAGTCCAATTCAAGGAGGGATTTTCTGCCGCCGTTACTGAGGGAGCACCCCACTTGCTCAAGCGCGCGGGCGATGTCGGTCGCTTGGGTGGAGGCATTCCCAAGGCCATCGAGCAGTGGTTCGTCGAGGGATGGTTCTACTTCATCTTGATGTCGATCGCCATTGGAGTTATCGTCGGAGTCTTCAGTTTGTTTGCCATCAAGTTCGGGTTGCGTAGGAAGTGGGTGGATTCGGAGAGCTTCTTGTTGTGGCCTACTGCTGTTGGCCTTTTCACCTTGGGTGTTTGCGGAGCCATCGGAACTGACGATCTCCTCGCTTGCGTAAGGGAACACTGTAATCATGATCACCGCAGCTCAAAGCTAACTTCACTATTTTAGTTCGTGGCCGGTACCGTCATGAACTGGAACGGGCTATACCTCGAGGAATCACTCAAACGCCATGATGAGGTCAACTCGTGTGTTGACATTCTTCTTACCTTCGGTGGCTTCATGTACATCGGTACCATCTTCCCTTGGGACTCGTTCCAACAGCCTCAAGTCACCGGAATCACCGTGGGGAGGCTCTTCCTCCTTGGTTTCCTTGTCCTGTGAGTTGTACCCCATACTTTGCCATTTCCATCATTCTGACCTCGATGCAGTGTTTTCCGACGAATTCCAGCTATCTTCATGACTTACCAAGTGGGATTGAAGAGCTGTAAGTATGGGCCGACACCCACTTCTTCTCTCTTTGAGAACAGAACAGCATCACTAACCCGGTATCTACAGGCGTGAAAAGCTGGAAAGAAGCACTATTCATGGGATACTTCGGCCCAATCGGTAAGCCAAAGTACCAGGAGAACTCGAAACCGCAATTCTAACTTTACCCCAGGAATCGGCGCTGTATTCTTCGTCGAACACGCAAGCCATTTCTTCCCCAAACCTGAAGAAGCCACCACTGCCGAAGAAGAGGACCTCATGCTCGCGATCCGCCCAACCATCTACTGGCTCGTTCTCTTCTCCATTGTTGTCCACGGTCTTTCAATCCCAGCGCTCAACCTTTGCTACGAATGGCGCGGCGTTCCCCCGATCATCGAAGAGCAGCCTATCGAAGTCCCAGTCTTCTCGCTCAACGCTGCGGCACCATCAAACGGATACGTCAACCCGAAGCGCAAGTCGATTATGGTGCACAACCGTTTCTCAAGGCCTGTATCGCAGGCTCCTCAGGAGTTGTACAGGTGGCATGCTCAAAACAACTCGGAGGAGACTTTGAAAGGTCACGTTTAGATAGCCCGATGGACATCACTTTTATCTTGTCTTGCGCGCGGAGCCACATTCGAAGAGATACGCAGTATACCCGGGGTAGAAAAGATTGGGGAGCACGGATTGAGGAAATGGGGAGCGCGATGCTACCAGTGATTAGCACAATCCAAGTCTATCGTTTCTTTCTTTCTCACGGATGAGCGCAAGCATGCAACCGGTGTCGGATCAGGGGGCCGTTTTTTTTTTTTGCTGCCACGGCCTCATACCTTCCGCTCGCTTAGATACATTGTCTATTAAGTTTATGATTTAATCATCGCATTTCCATGCGGCACAAACACTAGGTATTAAAAAACACAATAAATCTGCCTTTAAGCTCTAGGCAGGACACATGTTCCGTAGTTCACAAAACTAATAAGTTATTATTCTAAATAGCTGAGTGCGGATTAGGTCATCGAGGACCTCAACACCACAACTCAACAATCCAATACATTGTCTATATGTAAGACTATATGAATAAATGATGATGCTAGACCATTCTGATGATCATGCGTCATCATGACACGTAAAGCCGGAAAATGATTGTAATGTTAGTGCTTGTCACCCCGGATCCCCCACCTAACTGTTAAATGTATCCCTTGTAGCGCATGACCCATGCCACTATCTCCTTCGGTTCGGTGTCCTTCTGGTTTAGAATCTCCCGAAAAACTTTCCAAACCCACTAACGTTCGAGTCTTTAATCTTTCTCACGGCGCGGTTCAAATGTCCGCTGTACTCCATAGGCCCTTCCTCTCGCAACAAGTCTAGTTGACTCATGATATCCTTCCGAAGCCTCGCATTGATGCGAACACGTTCAGCTTTCCCTTTTGCCGAGATCTCGTTGAGTTTGGAGTTTGCGAATGCCAATCCGATACGCTCATTCAGATCTTGCTCGTCTGCGTCGGGGCTGCTCCCTTCAATTTGGTCCTTTGTATCATTTTTCCGGGGAGAGTCTGGGGCCGGATCGGTGGGAAACGCAGCCTCCATGCGTGAGAACTCCGTAAGAGCTGCTTTCAGCTCCAAATCTTCATCCTCACTATTGGTGGTCTCGCCACGGCTTCCCAGTGATGACAAAGGGGAATAATAGGTATCTGAAGCCCAACGAACAACCTTCTCTCCACTTTTGACGCTTGGCACTGTGTCTCCTGGGTTGAAACTCTTGTCAGGATCGGGCTTGATGCTGGCATTTGGGTGAAGCGTCAAGTCCACGTCGGATGATGTGTCCACGTCTTGATAACTCAGATCATCCATTGACTTTGCGCCTCGAACTGTAGTACCGGCGCTGCGGCGTCCTTTGCCCAGCCAGTGATGCTCTGTAGGGTATTCGAAGGTGTAGGTAGCAGCTCTATTCTTTCTGCGATCAGCCTTCCACTCTCGGAGCATCGCAAGATGACTACGAGCAAAAGAGGATTTAGGCCGATCATGCTTGAAGTTATGGTTGTCGGTATCACCAGCGTTGCTCATGGAGAGATGTGGCACATTGCTAACCGTCCCCCACCCTGGAGAATCTGGCCGTGGACTTGAGATTGACTGATCCCTATGTGGAGCGGAACTTGCTAAAGTGGTGTCATAATCGCGGATTGCAGTTGCCACGTTGGTGAATTCGATGGCAAGAGCCGAGAAAAATGGGTCATTTATGCTGCGTTCCGACAAGGAAGGACCACCTCGCCCGGATGACGTTGGCGATGGAGGCAATGGAATTTCTTCCGGGGTGTTGCAAAGTAAATCCTTGAATGAGAAAGATCGCATATTGACTTTTTCAGTCGATTATATTTCAATGACGTAGAAGTATGTGTCAGTGTTGGATGGGTTGAATTCGGACAAGGATTGGTAGAGGTATTGGTGATATATTGTGCCAGGAGAACGCAATGTTGAAGGTTGAGTGAGAAAAATTTGAGAAGAGATATCGGCATGTCTTGGTCGATCTGGTATACAAATAAATATGTAGGGGGGATAGTGAAAGACAAGCTCAGACTACGTAAGCAAACGAGATGTCTCACAAGGACAGACAACTCTAAGCAGAAATTGAAGAGAAAACAAACACCGCGGTATTAAAAGGTAATAGTGCAAACAGTTTAAACCATCGTTAATCCTTTTTCACTCTCTTCCAGAGTCTATGATCGAATCCAGATCGGGCTGTACCTTACGAACAACGCCCGCAATCTCCGCCCACATTCTATCCATATCTTTGTCACTATCCACGATCTCGTTCATCCTAAAAAGATCGAGTTAGACAAAGGAACTCCCAATATCGGAGCGAATTGCTATCAGACTTACGGATGCAAAATATCATGATGCCAAAACTGCCCGTGACTCTCCGGTCCCAAAACCGTAGCCCCCACTAATGTTCGCCCTCCTTCTTCCGCGGTCCTCGCAGTGAAGTATTGTAATCCCTGATTGATCAACTGCAGAGGGCGCGCAAACCCGCGGCCAAGCTCAGTCTTACATAAACCAGGACAACATGCATTCACAATGATGGAAGGGGTTTCCTTCGCCTCCCTATCTGTGGTTGTCGTTGCTTTCGCCATATGTTTCATTACGGCCATTCCAAGGAGTTTCACCGCGCAGTATGAGTGTTCTAGCGCGAAAAACTTCGGATCGTTGAGGTGCTCAAGTAAATTTCCGTTGTGGGTGTTCTGATACGATGATCTTTTAACCCAGATGTGTCCGTTGCTGTTGACGAATGTGAGATGAGATGGAGACCCAGTTACATTTGTCGTCCTACGGAGGATAGGAAGAATGAGAGCAGCCATGAGAGCTGTGGATAAGACGTTGACTTGAAGAGCCGTTTCGTATCCGGTGTCTAGTTTGACGAATGACGGTGCTGCCATGCCTGCGTTTAGCAGAGCAATATGCAGCTGCGTTGTTTCTTTTTCCAAGGCTATGGCGAAACCTTGAACAGAAGAAATGTTTGTAAGATCGACTAGGAGAATACTCATGAAGTCATCTGTTCGCCCGCTGCGCTCCATAATTTTTCTTTTCGTTTCTTCGCCTTTAGACTGTGTTCGGACGGCGAGGATCAGTTTGGTCACTCCCTTCTGCGCGTACTTGACTGCTGCCTCATAACCGAGTCCGGCGTTCGCCCCGGTGACGAGAACTGTTTTGCCATCGAAGGTGATATTGGGATCCTCTGGTGGGTTCTTCACTGCCCATCGCATAAGTGACAAGCGATTCAACCCGGGTGGTGGGCCTCCAGGTGATTTGCGTCCAGTGATTGAAATTGGTGTCGACATAGTGAATTTTTGAGGCTGCGTGAATCCGCCATACTACAAATTCCATCTGAAGACTATATATCTGCTTGTTGTGCTGTTAGGGGCTGGAAAGGGTCTGATGCGGAGCTGCTAGTGCGGTACTCCGCACCACCACAAAAGTGAATAAATTCGTCCGAAACACATTGAATGACGCTTCTGACGCTCATTATTATTTTCGTCCGTTCATTGAACTTATTGAATCCATCTATTTGTACCACTGCATTGACTCGGCTGTGATGCTCCATGTGCAATCGTGCGTATAGTTGGCGTGAGGCGAAAGAGTCTAGTCAGCCCCCAACATTCTCCCACGCATTGTCGGCTCATAATCGCCAATGTAAATCCTTTCCAACAGTCCCTTCTGTCTCAAATTGACTTCAGCCCACCTCAGCCATCCAGCGTACGTGCCTTCCACGCAGTCGCTACCGACCACTTTCCTCCATCGTATCCCCAGAGTGTCGCCCCCAAATAGTTTCGCCGAGAAGCCATGACCCAGCTTCAAGCACCAAGAATCTCTAATCACAACTTCCACCATACTCCTCGCCAGCTTTTGATCATCTGACTCTTCTTCCCCTGGTCCAGGCAGCGGTAATGAGAACAGACGCTGCTGCAGCGTACCGTCCCAATTTGTCAACTGCTCGTGCGCATACGAATGCGCCATCATACTGAAGAGCCAACATTTCTCACGAACGTATTTGGGGCCATCCCACCCGTTTTCCTCGTCGACCCATCGCTCAACAGCTCCAAGGCATTGGATTTGCACCGCATAGTCGGTCATTGATTCGTCGTTGATAGCCATCTTGCCTTTGCCGTCCTCGTTTGTGACTAGCTCAGGCGGAACCCGCATCAGCGGTACGTGACTGACCAGTGGATGCTTGTGCGCCCCCGTGGTAGTGTTCTTGCCCTCCCAAAGCTTCAAAAATATGTGGTGCGCACGCTTGATGAGGGGGTTGTTGGCCGCGCTGATCAGCGTGAAATTCACAATGGAGATGTTCGGGAATTCCCCCAACGTGAAACCCGCGAAATCGATGGGCGAAGCTGGGTTCATGATGTGTTGAGTCCAAAGCGCATCGAGATCACCATACAATAGAATGCCGACGTCCATGTAGACACCGCCATACCTCAGCAACAGTGGAAATCGCACCAAATCGCTTGTGTGCTGCGCTGCGTACTCGCCAATCAATGTTTTGTTTCGGAAAGCGTCGGGCACGACATCAGGAGACGTGATGTCGAGATAATTCGCGATGTTTCGTGGGGAGCCCTCCACCGTGTCCAGTACGTAGACCGTCCATCCCAAAGGCGAGAGTCTGCGATGCCACGCGATGATGTTTCGGAGAGAATTCGGGTGTAATGAATGGATTCCAGTATGCCAGAAAGCAAATATCGATTTCGAGTTGGGCTCAGGGGGAGGCGGTGAAGTAAGACTATTAGGAAGAGATGATTCGTCGATAGGTGAAGCAGCGCGATAAGGAAGCGGTTCTGTCCCGGGAATTGAAGGATATTCCACCATGATTGGTGCAATGCAATAAAGTAACCGTCTTGATATTCTCTGAAAGCTGTTTTGCAGAATGTCTACACGTCGAGGAACAATGTTGTCGATTTATACGCAAGGTAGCTCAAGTGTTCGGTGTAAAGCAATGGGGTCATTTCGACTCATACGTGCTAGTCTATGCCAAATCGGGCTAGCCTCGCCTTACAAGAGCGATCCCAGCCACACGGTTGCGCAGTCCCCTATCAAGACCAACACTCGGCTTTGACCTCTGATTGGTGCTATCACGCTGTTTCCCTAGCGAAGGATTGTGTCCGCCTAGTGAGGGACCATATGGAGGACGCATGAGTGTAGAATGAGTAACCTTGTGCACGAAGTTTCTCGCCCGAGATCTTGTAAATATAGCAAGTGAGCTGACAATCACCCAAAAGTACACCGGATTTCTTTCCTCGCAACCGACTCCTTTCTTACATGTGTAAGTGAGAAGTGATTTGTGATCAAGGAGTTGGAGGAGATGTAAGTTGGAGTATGAGGGATTGTCATTGTAAGTTTGTCATGTCTGCATCTGATGCGCTGTTTTATTTCATGTCTTTGAAGTAGCGCGACACTCCGTTCTCCTTGTCTGCCAATTGCGAGGACATCAATGGCAACATCCTACCCGTCGAGGGTGTGTTCGCAGCCTCTCTGGCGCGTCAACGATTCAGTATCCTGCACATTATTGTTAGCGCTTTAAATATGCACATATTTAGCGTCCGAGGTAGGAACGTATGAACGGAAAATATTTCAGGACAGTCTGAGAGATCATTTTAATGGTTAAAATAACTTGCGATTCGCGATACTTCGTAGTTAGTACATGATCCTCTCATTCATGTCAGGAGATTCGAAGAACACAATTAAGACACATGTGCTATGTTCTCGGAGGAGTACTATATGGACAGAAGATAGGGGTTTATATTCAAAGAAATCTAGATATTGTGGCAATATTAAGCTCCGGAGAGTCAAGGACGATGCAAAGTCCTTAAATTGAAGAATGCGATCTGTTTCACACTCATAGAGACGGTAATACAGGGTGGTGGTGACAATCAAGTTCTTTATTGCTTTGTAGATACCAGTACCACCAGACAATAACATGGGCACTCTCTAACGTTCTATTAAAAGTTCGGAACACATCATCAGACAGCATGATCGGCTCCAGCACTCTGAACAAAGGGTGTCCGACAAAGTGGGCACAACCGAGAATTATCCATCCTTATCTCGACCCATTCGACCAAGCACCTACGGCCAAAGACATGACCGCAAGTAGTGCGTACCGGGTGATGCCCCTCGCCATATTCTTCCAGACAGCAAGGACATTTTGTGCCAATTTCATCATCCCGAAGAGTAGCAACTTCGAGCCCGTCGATGAAGTTGATCGCCTGCAGTTCCTGCATCTCCAGAGACTGGAACAAAGCGTTGGGAGCCTCGCTCAGTAATCGTAGAAGGTTTCCCTGAACTTGCATCACGGAAAACATGACATCATCGCCGATGCGAATGTCGTTAACGTATCCATGATTAAAGGCTCCAGATGTCGGAACAGATTCAGTGGCACTGATACCTGAAGACGTAGTCATCTCAGTGCTATGAATAGCAACTGAATCGGGGGTTTCTGGAGTCTGTTGCCGTGGAATATCGTCGCCCGACTGGTCTACTGGGGGACTGTTCTCTTGTGGGTGATCTGACATGATCCCGGAGGCTTTTGTTTTGGAAGAATTTAAGTGTAGATGGTTGAATGTGCTGAAGGTCGATAGTATGTAAAGTCCAGAGTGTTGAAGGTTGAAAGTATTGGAGGTAGATACTGTCGAAGGCTGAGGGTATGTAATGTTGAGAGTATCGGAATTCGAGAGTTCCTAGTTATTCATAACTTTAATTCGAGTTGGGTAGTGAATGATTACTTTATACAGGGGTTTGGTCGAGATTTTAGTAATAGGAATGTATTAGAAGGGTCAACACAAAATATATAACAAGAGAGCCTCGAAAGCAAAAAACTCGAGTGAAAACATTCAACGAGCCAATGGAGTCATAGTGGTGTTATATAATTCAATTACCGTGGCCAACCAAACCGGGGATTCACGAGAATAACAGCATGGAGCTCACTGCTAAACCCTGGCCAAAGCGGAGGTCATTAAAATCAAGCTTTGATATACGAACGCACGTCTTTTGTTATGTTTGACTTGCACACAAGCACATCACACAGTTTCCGACCAAGTCACGATGCCCTATTCCACTCTTCAATTCCCATTCATGATCAGTATCTGTATTCCGATTTCACTTGATCAGTCCCGTGTTCGCACATCCACTCTGCAGCCTTCAAATATCCCAGGATATTATGACCTTGTCCACCGAATTCATTGGAGAAAGGTCTAACAACAGCTTCGGGCAATGTATATCGATGTCCTCTCCAAGTCCGAAATTGAATGTGATGAATATGAACCGTAATATCGCGATGATTGAAAAAGTCCCATGCACGGATATGATGTTTTTCGTACAAGCGATTCAGAGCTGAATAATAGCCAAAGTCCCCAGCAGACACAGCGGCAAAAGTAAGGTGCTGAACAAGCGACCCAAGATTCTCATCTTTTGCCCATGGCTGGGGAGAATCTGACCCTGAACCCCACCTGTTTCTGATCCTTTCGAGAATTTCGGAGAAGGCAAGACTAATGCACAGATGATCATTAGTATGTTGTGGTGACAGATAATGGATTTCCACGCTCACATGCTGATTCCGCCACCCATTGAAAACCCAGTGATTATAATCTGCTTCGGTGATGAACCGCGTGCCGCCATTGACTCCACTGCCATGTTGATCGCATCATATGCTGCTATCCGCATCGCATGCCACATGTCCCGAAAGAAGCTGTGTACTTGATGCCCGTTCTCATACACCGGATATGGTATGTCCCACCATGAAGGACCTTTCGCGAAGACCCACATGTTCATGTGCAACTCATTGGAATCACAACCAAGAAAAGCAATCGTAATTTTCTCGCCATTGCATACCACAATCCCTCTACGGCTGGCATTTATTCCAGTAATGAGCTCTGTCACTTCCAGTTGCGGATTCTGGTAGTGCGATTGGAGAGCAGAGGCGATGTTGTGAATGTCCGGATCAAGGGTAGACCGCCATAAGATATCAGCTGCGTCTTTGATATCCCACCACTCCCATGGACCGTCCTGCAATTCCACCAGCGGCATATTAGTTCAAGTTACTTGGACTGTTGTGTCGCGGATGAATGAAGAAAGTGGTATGAAGGACTTCGGGTGGTCAATGCAGCGTTTTAAAATACGTAAGTTCACACGTTACACTAGGTTTGTCAGACAAACGATAAGCAAATAAATGAAAACGTCGTGACCGAGAAGCTTTTCAGGCCGATGGTAAATGACTGCCCTCAATTACCAAATCAAAAGCTTATGTTAGTGATGGCCTCATTGGCATCACGCAAACAGAAATCTAGCCAGATTGTCCTAGATATCACAAACTCCCCATCTAGCAGGTGATATCTGCTTGCTCTCTGTAGCTTTTCTGGGAATTATTTTTTCGAATTGCTCGTTCGCGTACTCTAACTCTATATTGAGGCTCTATGAATAAAGCGTACTTTGTCTCTGCAATCGCGGAAAGCATTCGAAAAGAACCCAAAGGAACCGCAAATAATGGTGCCGGTATCCGAAATTCCGTGCCTCCAAACATGGAGACAGGAAGCATGCAGAACGATCACAGGTTCTTCTTGCCGCCGGTTTTCCTGTCCCATCTAAAAGTAAACTGAAGTTAGCTAAAATCTCTTTCTAAGAACAGTCGCGAAATGCAGTCCACTCACAGTCCCAGGAAGAATTTCCACAAAATCGAGAATAGAATTCCTTGGAGCCCGTTCGCAAGAATTCTCGTCTTGAGACCGCGACCAAAGAGTCCCAGCTTGCCGTCTTGACGGATAACACGCCTGGCAGCTTCGGCTGGGATATAAAGTTAGCCGGTGCCGACTGAAATAGAGATATGATGAGATCATACAGTACGAGACTTTAATATCGTTGACCTGGCGATATGTCTTCACGACGCGAAGAGAATTGGATATGGTATCTGAGATAACAGAAGCACAGAATCCGATGAAAGCTGCCCTCAAAAGCCATAAAAGCAGATGCTCGGTACGAGAAGGCTCATGCAGCGCTTCGGATAGCCAGTTGTACGTAGCAAACCATGGATAATTGCCAACAAAAGTCGCAGCCGCTGTCGCGAAAGCTCCCCACCATAGACTACCAATGCCATCGGTCCGGATCCGATTTCTGAGAAGAGTCGTTCCGCGAGCGCCTTGAGCTTGAAGAGTCGTTTTTAGGGTATCAATTGGAGTCAATATCATGCGACACGCAGCAGCGCAAGCGGAGACAAAGATGGTCTGAATAGGCGATGGAAGCTTTGCAAGGTACGAATTCGAGTGCAGTAAAGCGAGTATGCCAGCATTCTTATAGCGGACAGATGGTGTCAGTTTTGCAAATATATAATGGTGGTTGTCTGTGATTTTGTATTCACGGGATATATACGTACAGCGGCTGTATCGAAGAATCTGGCCGAGGGCCCCTGGATGAACGCAGCGCCAACACCCTGGTAATATCTTCGAATCCCCCCATCACTATACAATGTTTTTGTTGCAACCGAAAATGATGTGCCATGGCGATATTGATAGTTCATGATGGTTCGCATTGGCATCAAAAGAGCCACTTGGAGTACCATAGCAGCTGCGCCAGTGAGCCCGCCACCTAAAGCGCGCTTCAAAGCCCCAGTGAAGTCAAATTTCGCATCATCTGCCTCGATCCATCCAACTATGAAAATTGTGAGGAGCCCAGCAGCAAAAACAAATGATATAGCCCACCAAAAATACTTGTATTCGCTTTCCTCTTGCTCTTGCGATTTCAATGACGCGTTGTCGTTATCTGAGGGAGCGGTGTACTGTGCGCGCGCGTCATTTGCGAGAAGAGGCGAACGCTCATCCTGGTCTTGCATGTTTCCTCTTGGATCGCGGCGTAAGGCCATTGGAATAGCGTTGATGTGTGAGTGTTGCGGATACTACGAAGAGAAGTCCTTTTATCGAGGTGTCGATTTATAAACATTGATGACGTGATTCTCGGCTTTAATTCCGCCCGAGACCGAATTCGAAAAGGTGTGACTTGTCATCAACAGATTTCAGAGTTTCTGTTTCTGCAGAGAGGCTGGCAATGAAATCGAAGCTACGGATTCTTCCTGAGTGTGCAACGATACGATCGGAAGATTTATCCTCTCCTATCGTTTAAATACTTCATGCGTCATCACGAACGAACCCGACAATTTGAAGGCATCAATTCGACAAGCGAAGTTATTCCAGCGGGTTATACCTCGGCCACGGTATCCAGGCATCACTTTTGAAATCGTAGGCTACAAGCAGATTGGACCATAGCGTCTTATGAACCCCATGCCATGCTAGGTAAGGTCACGTGATATTTTGCCACTTCTATTCCATCAGCGGTATAGTTTTGCACTGTTTGATTGGGAATAGAGTTAACATACGTTATGAATATATGCGTCGGAAACCCGACGCGCTTTGGGATGATCGTTATGATAGGCTATCGGCAGCTATCAGCAGGCCACAATTTCCATCCTTCCAATGCATCCGTACGTCGCTTAACCATCTGTATCAGATTGGATGCCGTACTCGTAGAAACATCAAGCCATTCACAATGAGCAATATACGATCAGTTCAGCCATACAGAGCACGGAGACGTTGAATTCGGCACCAAATGGGTTACAAAGGAGTTTCTACAATGCTTATCGTCATTGTACACCCACAATGTAGGTAAATAGGAAAAGTATATCAATAACGGTGACGACAGCCCTCTTTGATTTAGACAGGGACAAATAATCGAAGGAGATAATTGGTGATTCTAAAGACATACTTACTTTGTACTCGAACGTTTACGACAAGAAATATTTACCAGTATTCACCATGCAAGGCAGCCTCCGGAACTCCGAAACCCCCAGCTTGCCAAGCATTAGCCGCGTACTCGTTTTTGAGCTTCTGCGGGAAGAACAAAGAATCCAGATCGCTAAATCTGACGTCTCGTATGAAACCATCTCTTCCGCTTCCTCCGATTCCTCCGCTGGCGGAGGTGTATGGTTGCCTTTCGACCCCTGGTATGAGAACGAACACGTAGAACAATGGATTCAAGAGCAGGCGGATCGAGTCTTTGGATTTTATGACGGTGGCGTTATCAATCATGACGTTGCCGCTGTTCAAAAAGCCAGGTATGTCACGCTCAGTGAAGTTATGCGACATGAAGACAGGAGTGGCGATAGAAAACAGTTTGTTAATTCACAATCCTTCATCAAATTCCGCAATTTCAGTCATTCCGGCGCGACGATCATCGGCAATATTATAGACATCTGCCGAGATTTCGTCCACAGACGTGTATTACAGCTATACCGCATGAATGAAGACCGTAATGCAAATTCATATCAGGCAAATCGATAATGCTTCATTTGCCACGGATACCAACTTCCTTGCCTTCCTGGGATAGGCAACGATGCTGGGTCGGTCGACTCTGATATTGATTTCAAGTTGCTTCTGCGGAGAGCCGTATCATGAGGATGACGAACACACTTCTGTCTATTCATCGCGCGCCCAAGTCATCGAAAAGAGCTGCTTAGTACGGTGGACGGAATCTGGGAAGTCCATCTCAAATTATCGTCTTATGTGCCCTCGGGTGCTGATTGAACGCGCAGGCAACGAGGTAACTACTGAGAACTGAGCTCTTTGTGACTCGAGAACTCATCGATTGAAGTTCAGTTTCCTCAAATTTCCTAGTGTGTATACTAGAATTATCATCCTATTCATGTATTGAGATTGAGCAATTATTTCACGTTTGCCATTCAAGTTCTTGAACTTCTCTTTTGCCTCGTGTGTTCTCAGCTGAACACATCCAAGCATTTTGTGATGCTGGCGGCATGCTTATTTCAAATGGTGATGTTCTGCTACTTATTTCAAACTTCAAATGTTGCATGTTGTACATCCGGTAGGGTGTTCTGTAGAGAGAGACGAACATTGTAGTCAGTTAAAAACACCCTGTACAGTGTGGTATCAGCATATACGGGTTTGTCCCTAGGTATCAGGACGGAATGAGATCTCTTCGTTGTCGTATAGATATGCAGGAGTCGCTACGCCGCAGAAACAAAGATTACCGTAAGCCTGGAACACAACCCTCTGCTCCCACATGTGCTTGCAAACGGGTGAGTAGACTCCCTAGATCTCGAGTCGAGCGTATGCAGATAGATTGATTGTGACAGACTTCGTTGGGAAGCTCGAACTCTACGTTCCTGTAGTGACGAAAAAGGATCGTAAGTGTGCGTGCGATGGGCTGAAGCGGCGCAGAGCTTACCTCTATGGGGCACAGTATATGATTCTTCCCAGTATGTTTGGGTGCCGAGATAACGTGTACTTCCGTGTGGGGCCGAAACAAGCATGCATGTGCACTGTGCACTGTGCTTGTTAGGCGTCTAGTCGCTAGATATTTGGGGGCCATGCCAAGGCGGTTTTGGTCTCGTTTACGTTGGCCTGCGAACGTTAGTTTTTCGCTGAATGACCTAGTTGCTTTTGTTTTTCCCGAAATGAAATGAATCGCGATAATGAAATCAGGTTTATAAACAGAAGGGAGGATGCAATACGCGACCTATTGACGACATTCATATCGTATTTGTCGCCGAAAAAAAATCAAGAAATGATTGTGGATCGTGATCTCCATGGACTCATGATAACGCACAGCCGTTTTTGACCGTTGTACGCCGCATGTAATAATACTTCGCCATGTTTCGGGCTCAGCCCGCCTCAGCTTACCGGACCTAACGCTGTATGCCTGAATTTATATATTCTGGCGTGGCTCGCGTATGCAATTTTGTCGATTTTACTGCAAGCAACACCATAGCCCTACCACATCATGGCATCCGACGACGACTTTGAGTCGACAACAACGACTTCGAGACGGGCTTCTAGAACGAGATCGGCTACACGGACGAGTCCAGAGTCGGCTACCACCACCAGACAGTCAGTAGAGGTAGATCTGCCATCCGTTTTTCCTTCCGAAATCGCATCTGAGCTTCCATCCGAATATGCTTCCGCTACTCCATCTGATGTACTTTCTGGTCTGTCAACTGCTCTACCGTCCACGCTACCTTCCGGTTACCCAAATTCTACAGACGGGATGGTCGTGCTACCCGACGGCGCGGGTATAACCATCGGCGATCGAAAATACGATAGCTTTTTGACAAAAGAAGCCGCAGCTTCCTATCGCACGTTGAACTCGAGTGTCACCGGATGCTATGCGCAAAATGGCGCCATGCCATTGCTCTTATCGGATCATGCTATGTGCAATTTAGGATTCCATTGCCCAAACAGTACCGATCTTATGCCTCCACAGTAAGTGATGCGATAAAGCCAGTAGAGATGGAAGTCAACAGGGAGAAAGAACTGACATAACTGTTAGGTATTGCCCACCAAGCTTCGAATGCCAGGCTGCAAGATCCATGAAAGGCTCTTGCCCGGAACAAGGCATATTAGAGCCTATCGTATGTAAGGCTGGGTATTATTGTCCACCTGGAGGACAGAATCAGTATCCGTGCAAAAAAGGTGTGTGATCACCGAAGTTTTGCTTCATGGCGATATCGAGCCAACTGACCTCTTTTTTGCAGGGACATTCTGTCCAGTCGGTAGTTTCGAGCCATGGAAATGTTCGTTTGGCGCGATATGTGAGTCAATCTAATGTCCAAGATCTTGATAGCAGGTTCGGTTAACTAACGGTATATCTACGACAGGCCCGGCAGAGTCAGAGCGCCAGATAGTGACAGTACCTTTTGGGTTTATGATCGCGTTTGACGTCCTGTTGGGAATCATTGTCGCCATAGGTTTCTTCATCTCAGCTCGTCGTAAACGCACCAAACGAAATTACTCCGTGGTCAAGAACGAGAAGGATCTCGACGCAGACGACGTGGAATTAATCCCAACAGGCGACCGAGCATCAGTAGCCACATTTCATGACCAGGATGAACTCGACTCCAACCCCGACTTCAAAGTTTTCATGCATTTCGTTGCGCGAATAATAAAGACGAAGGAGGTTGGTCTCTCGTTCGACTTCGAAGGTTTAGAATTCGAGCCTCAGCGTGGGAAGAAAGTTCTAAAGGGCGTCAGTGGCAGTATCAAAAGTGGCTCCATGTGGGCTGTAATGGGTGGAAGCGGCGCGGGAAAATCGACATTCTTTAATGTTTTAATGGGAAAAACGAAGAACACCGGCGGTTCGATCAAGATCAACGGACACGCCAAGGACTTGACCAAGTACAAGAAGTTGATTGGATACGTGCCTCAGGATGATATCGTCATACCGGAGCTGACGGTTCGTGAGAACATCTTGCACTCGGCACGCGTACGACTTCCGATGACGTGGAGAGATAATGAAATCCAGGAATACGTCGACTCACTTATATCGTGCATTGGACTAAGCCATGTTCAGCACTCCCTCGTCGGTGACGCGACTCGACCAGTTGTCTCCGGTGGCCAAAGAAAGCGCGTCAGTATCGGTATGGAGCTCGCGGCTGCCCCCATGTGCATCTTCCTCGACGAACCCACATCAGGTCTCGATTCCACATCCGCATCCTCGATCATGCGACTGCTAAAAGCCATCTCCAAGCTTGGCGTTACTACTATTACCATCATTCACCAGCCTCGCGAGCAAATATACACAGGCTTTGACAACATCATGCTCCTTGGGAATGGGAGCATGATATACGCAGGCCCAACCACAAGCACAAGCACTTATTTCAATTCTCTCGGCTTCACGTTTCCCACGCGCGAAAATCCTGCAGATGTCATCATGGACATCATCACTGGTCATGGTCAGCAGTATACACACGATCGTAACTGGGCGACGGATTCAGTTGGAAGTCTTGTAGATCAATGGTCGAGTAAAGGAATGCGAACGCAATTTTTGGACGCATCTACACCTCCTCGGACTGCCTCGCCCTCCAACTCTGTGATATCGACTCCTGAGCAAGAAGAGTTTCTCCGGCTGACCATGAAGAAGCGTGGCGCCTCTTGGCCCGCACAGGCTTACTACTGCTGCAAACGAAGCATAACTCAGCAAGTTCGCACCAAAGGGAGTTTTTTCTTCGAGATTGGCATTGGCGCGCTCGCAGGTGGCGTCATCGGGCTTTCAGCCTCCGCTGCCAAGGGGCAACTATTCCGTGGTCTATACAAAGACAGCTTCATTATTTTGTCACCTGCCGTCGACTACCAGTCTGTTCCTCAAGTAGGCCTACTCGGTGGAATGGCGGTTGGTCTTGCAGCTTCCGCTCCCGCTGTACGAGTGTTCGGCGAGGAGAAAATGATCTTCAACCGGGAGGCAGCCGCCGGTCATAGTATGAGCGCTTATTATGTCGGTAAGATGGTTTCCGTCTTGCCTCGCCTCTTCCTTTCTAGCTTGCACTATAGCGTCTTTATGGGGATTCTTGCGACGCCGATTATGGCCTGGACGGATATGTTCATTGCGATATTGCTATACTTCTTCTGCGTTTATGGACTTGCGTCCTGCGTGGGGATGGTGGTCAAGCGCGAAGACGGGCCATTACTTGCTGTCATGGCGAGTCTTATAATAGGCATCCTTGGCGGCGTTGCCCCGCCATTAAGCAAGGTAGCGACGTGGAAGCTTGAATGGCTATGGCGAATGTCTCCCGGTGTTTGGTTCACGGAAGCGTTTGTCAGTCAGTGCTTGTTACCTTTGGACTACCTGTACTTCTTAAAAGCTGCAAGCGAGGCTACGGGTTTTAAGCTTGGCCAGTTCAGCTTAGACATGGGGTAAGTTCTCTTTTTTCTCCCCGCGCAAACGAAAATTAACGTTTAACAGAATGCTTTTCGTGATTGGATGTGTGTATCGTATCATCGCCTACGTACTGCTGATAACGGTACAGCGAAAACGCTAAGTTGAGTGGCAATCGCTCAACTTTACCTTGTTATACCCTTAGACACTCTGTACTTTAATGTAATTTCTTAAGAGCGGATAATACAACATCACGGAGTCATAAGCTAGCATGATTTGACGATATAGAGCTATGTGAAACGAGATCGCATTTGCAAGACACAAACTAGCCTGGACCTTTACTTCCGATCTTCGTCCCGAGTATTTACAATCAAGCACCACCATCTACATGTCAACAACGAGCCATGAACACCATGAAAATTCCGGTTACACTCTAGGCTCCCTCTTGCCTCTCAATATTGTCGCTCTGAACTCGAGGAATGGCTCCCTCGCCGACGGGACGGATTCGTAGTATAGCAACCCTGCCTGCCTTTGCATTTGATTTGACCTCATTCACGTTGCTCTGTTGGCGTTCCTGATTTTCGATATGATCATGAGAGCGCACACTGTTTACTCGAGCGTACAGATCTGGTGTCTCTTCCAGATATTTCACAACTTCTGCAAGTTCTGGAAGATTTACTTGCCTCTGTTCCGGCTCAAAGGCTAACCTGCGTTTTATCTCGTGAACCAGTCGAATGTTGTATTTGCTGTCCCTTGGCCAGTTTTCCCAGATCCCTCGTATTGTTTCTGCATCCAGAGGGCGGTTGAAGTAATCAAATCCGATAATCGTTTCCGCTTTGTACACTTCGATATTTAGCTCAAAGAATTCCATAGCACAAAGCAGGGAGATAGCAACCAAAAGGTTACTGGGTAAAGTAAACGTAGGCCTTTGTACATAGCGCATTGAAGAGCAAGCCCTGAACATCCACGATAACAACCACTTAAAACCAGCCGGGCTTCCACTGCCTTGTGGAATTACGAGTTGTTTGGTCCGAGAAGCACCGGGTCTCGCGTCGACCCTTTTCAAGTACTTGGCAATAACGGTACGACCGCAAAACAGTTGCAGCATCTTCTTCGGAACTGAACGTCCGAGCTCGACTCCTGTTACTGCTTCCACAATATCCACCTTCCGCCCTTTCAATTGTTTGTGGAGCCATCTGCGCTCAAAAAAGGGTGGAATTGAATCAAGATTCAGGGTATTACGTATTTCGTTAACGTGTTCAAGAAGCTCCGCGTTTGATGGCTGGTGCGTGGCATGTCTTTCATGTCCCCCGCGATCGCCCTGTGCACTGGTTGTATATGTATGAGCGTAGGGTAGCATTGATGGCATCGGGTGCTGGAGATATTGATTAAAGTAGCCGTAGTCTTGGTAACAACTCCAAGGTGCCCGAGCTGTGAGAGTATAGTCGCCGGTGAGGTATTGTCCGTAATAGAATTGGTAATACTCCGACATCATGTTTTGGGGCCATCGAACGACGAAGGCGGACGGGACTGAATCATTATTGGGCGGCGGGAATTCAAAAACATAGCCGTCATTGTAGTAATAGTAAGTTGCCATGCTGGGAGACAGTACTTCTTCCTCCTCTCCACTCTCTGGAAGTGCGTTGTCATCTCCAGAGTCGGCATGTTCTGAGGCTGAGCTTGTGTATGCGTTCGGGTCGGAGTCTATGATTGTGTTTGCGTCGTTCATGTTTGCTTCCGGCAAACGTGGACTTTTGCTTGTTTCCCTCGCTGAGTCGTTCAATTCACCCCTCATGTTGGAGCTTGGATTATGCGATGTAACGATAGTAAAGAATGGGAAAATTTGTCATTGTATTGGTGGATGCAGTGTTGTGCAATCCAAATGATAGCTTATAGTTCACGACGATAGGAAGCTGAGGAAGGATTTAGGCAGTGCCATTACTAAGTTTGGTCAGGCAAGTACATGCCCAGGTGTACTACTGTGCTTGTCACGTGATACATTTCTCTACTCAAACCTTGGAATGTTTGCCACGACACAAACAGCTCTTCCACTCTGATGAAGACATGCTGTCATTAGAAACCCATTTTCAAACTTGAGAGAGTGATTTTATTCATTTGCTTCTCGCAAAGATGTGGAGAATTAGTTATTTGTATTGTGAGCATGTCTGGCATGACAAAAACAATGCACCATGCCTCCCCGGATTTTCGGACCTGCGCTTCGTCTCCATCATGTTCACCTGATTGAAAATTCATGAAAAATGACGCTGGCTTGCTTTGTTTCAGGCTGTTCTGACGTCAAAGTATCGGTGGATTTCGCACTATGGACTCGTTACATCGTGAGGTCTTCGAGTGGCCCGGTGTTGCCATCTCTGAGGGACATTGTACGTTCGACACGGTCCACTGAGTCGCTAGGTGTCAGAGTCACACCATTTTTAGCTGAAATATCTTCTAAGTTGGCGTCTTCTTCGCTTTGTCTCAACCCTGCTTCCTCTTCCTCGCGTCTTCGTGTCGCTTCTGCCTCTTGGCGATCTTTCTCTGCTCCTAAAAACTCGGCGCGGAAGCAACAAGACTTGACCCATTTGATCCTCCTCTGCCCCTCGCCGACATCTTCTTCGATATAGTGCACATGTCGACAATACTTTACACCACTGTCAGGGAGCCTGGTTTCCATACTGGGGTTCGTGGGTTCTGACCCGGTGGCATTGTTGCCTTCGGTTGCATTTCTCTTGCGCAAGCATCGTATGTGGGCTTGGCTATTCTTTTCAGCGTTCCATGGTAAAGATGAATGGTTTGTCGCTTCATTGAAATCTGAGTGAAGACCGTAGAGAGACGGATCCTCGTTCTCGATTGCATATAATGACAACTCGCAGCAACCTTCTTCTCCTTCGCTTCTGCTGAGTATTTTCGGATGATATATGCGCCAGGAGCGGCTTAGTTGATATTCTGAAGCCTGAAAACCTCTACTATTCCGAACTCTCCGCCTCCAAATACGTCTGATCTTTCGTCTCCACCTTCAGGACCAAAGATAAGGTTGTACAGCGAGTACTGCATTGGACGCATCGATCAGCGGCTGCGCATAGTCGTAAGTATTCACTCCGTGTATATCACCCGCCAAGGTATAACGATTGCCTTTCGCGTCTTTGTGGGTGTTCCAGATAGGTTTCAAGTCCTCCAACAAGATGGCCCTCTCCGTGGCTGGGGTCTCCTTGGTGGACGCCGCTCCCATTGCAGTATGAAGGTGAGTCAGCTTCCGAGAAGGTAGCAAGCAAGTACTGGAATTTTTGTCGAAATTGAATTGGGACGTGTCTGCAATGCCGATTTCAGGCCACTAAATGTAATGCTATTACCGCTCAAGTGAGTGAACTGATGTTGTCCTGAGATGATGGAATGAATAGCTTTGGCGATATCAGAGGTGCAGTAGTGTGATTGCGAATGATGAAACTGTTATGGATGGATGGTAGAAATGAATTCTGGATGTTGCTGGAAGACGTCCTAGAGGTGTGACTACTCATCGAAGGTCGTTCTTGCGCCCCTCTCATCCTGTAGCTTGGTGGCTGTTTCTTGTTGCAGTGTCCCCGCATCGACCACATCGTAGACCACCGATATTGAACGATTCACCGGGTCATTTTCCGTGAACTCAGAAAAAGGTTATGGAAAATTCCTTCGATTCCAGAATACGTGGAACGAAAAATTCATAACTGCCTATTTCATTTAGTTCGTCAATGCACCCAAAAACTGTGTACATCGCCAGTCGAGACCTTCAACATTGAATGACGGAGTATTGACCATGTGAACGTCACGGTTCATTACGGATCACTCGTCAGTCACTTCATATTGCAGTCGATACGTCACTCATGAGCACCGACGATAACTATACCAATATTTCACATATCTCAAACACATAACTATAATAACTCGCGCCGATTTCTGCCTGAATACCTGGCATCCTCACCAGCTTTGCATACATTGGGCCCAAGTTCTTTTAAAATGGCATCGAAAAATAAGATCAACAAGCCACAAGTAGCAGCGAGGGAGCGCTATCCTCCCGCCCCTCCAGCTGAGTTCTACCACGCTCCAAAAGTCACACGTACTGGAGCCAAAAAGAATAGTGAGAATAACATTTTGGTCCAAAAAGCCACTCCAGGCATCGCGGGCGCAACTCAGAAACGCCCACCAAAAATGAAACCCAGGCGACGCCCTCCCCCTATAGATTTGAACGCATCTGCACATACCTCGCGCTCACCACTCGTGAAATCACCAAACCCTGTCACCCCGAAACGCCAGACCCAATCCACACTATCTTTCGTCCCGGTATCTGTATTCACTCCCGTGTGCGAACCAGCACCAAAGAAAAAGTCCTTGAAAGCTAAAGCTGCCGGCCGAGCTCAGCCAAAAACCCGTCCGCAGTCTCGCTCGGAAGACAGCGACTTTGGTGTCGAGATACTTCCGGACTCCCCAGTCTTTCCCAAGACTGAGTTGAAAGAGAGCATGAGGACGTATGCAGAGGTGGCGGGAGGTAGTCGAAAGACTGATGGGCGGCCGAAACCAGTAGTCGAGTGGGATATTGAATCCAAAGAAGAGTTTGTCATTGTTGAAAATCTTGGGCTGGAAGAAGAATATGAGAGAGGTGGTAGGTGGAAGTGGACTCTATTTGGCAGACGTGTGTGAGTGAATGAAAGTTCAATATCAATCACCAAGTAGCTAGTCGCCAGCTAAGTATTTATCATTAATTTCAAAGTGGCGTTTCTCTTCTGGTATTGTTCGTATATTGCACCCAATAAGACTCGTAGAGGAGAAATCTACTGGGACCTGAGATTTGAGAAGCTGTCAAGTCTTTTTCATCTATCGCGCGAACTAGATTAGCGAAGTGTGAAATAATGTAACTGAAATACCAAATGAAAATAGAGTTTTATGGTATGGCATACTCGGCAGGACGCATGGCGATGGCGAGAGTTGGATCCAAACTACCGGATTCGCTCGACTCTTTCGAATCATCTGGTTTCACGTCACGTCGTAATGCGAAGATTATGGTCACATGGCGATACCAAGTAGCGTTTATGGTTATCTGTAATTCACCCCAAATCTTCACTTACTTTACAAGCGCATCGTCTCCACCAACTTTCACCTTTCTGCGAAGGAGGTGATGTACGCCAACGCATATTGATGCTCTTCAATGAGCACGACAGCCACCTCCACCCAACAAAAGACATCGTGGAAGACATTAAAGTGGTCAATACGCTGCACGTCACACATTCTTCTCCCAATCTTTACGTTTCCCATCGACAAAATAATCGTCTTACCTGTAAACAAGTCTTCTAGCTTCTCTAATCTCGCAATCGATGATTTCTATTGCTTTTGCTGTGCAAGAGCATATAATGGACCAAAAGCGCGGGCCGCGCTTGCGTGGTATTGGTAAGCCCGAACTACTCGAACCATCTCATTTGCAAAGCAGCGGCCTAGAAAACGAATCGAAACGTCTTGGAGACCAAACCGAGCATGATATCGATCAGCAACTTAACCAACTGAGCGATTACCAGGGGGGAGACAGCAGTGCTGAGAAAGAAAATAAGCGGGAATTGTCAACCCAAGACGAGAACACGGCCGGCCACAAGGATATTAAAGTCGGCAGATACGGCGACGCTGCCTATGAGAACATACAGTTTTACGAAGAGGGCGAGAGCGATGACGCTTTATCGATGGCTGGGTATACAGATGGAGAATCTGATGATAGTGGCGAGAGCGACGAGGATGTAGGCTACGACGAGAATGAGAATGGAAACAGTCGTATCTGGATGCCTCCAGATCTTCTTCGATCTTCTGAAGAGAGGCTTCTAGAGGATAATGTGTCCCCGCTTTCCTCACCCTCCTCACCTCCCTTGATACTCGCACCGCGCCCCATACGCCCTGAATCTGCGATGGGGGATTATTTCGACGACCATCCGCCCGCTCAGATTCAGGATGAGGTCCTACCAGAGAACCCTCGCGACAACTACGCAGCCGACACGCCCGCACCTTCCACGATGGGATCGCCGCCTACCCCAACAAATCGCGGTTCCAAACCCACCACGTTCATGACGACATCTGCAGACCCAACTCTATTCAACACCACACGCTTTGCCTCGCGGCAGAGGCTAACCGGCTTGCACCGTGAAACGTACCAACGAAGCATCTCCATCCGCACGAGCGCCTTCTCACTACCTTATCTGGTCGACATCCCCGAAGCAATGCTAACATTCTACTGTGGCAAATACAATGTCCGAGCGTTGATCAAAAACTACACTCTCACTCCTCCCTCACCATCGTTCCTCCCGTCTCCAACATCCGAAACAGAGCCCGAGAGTCCTGCGGAAATGACAACGGACCTCCTCATACCCGCAACTCGCGCGACGCCCGCCTCACTCCAGCGCATCGTTCGATACATGCGCCGCAGTACAATGCCAGGTGTCAAAGGCACGCAGCCGCTCTACGAGTTCCACATCCCAGCCAGCATCGACATGACCATTGACACAATCCGCAGCTTACGGTTGCTTGGACTTGAAGCCGACGCTTTGAGACTTCAGCGTTTACTCGTATTCCAGACGATCTCTCAGCCGGCAAGAGCGTTGACAATGGATGATATGGAGATTATCTGGATGCGGTATGGACAGGTGCTTCGAGAGACACCTGTGGGGGATGCGCTGGTGTGCTGGATCTTGTATGAGGGCCTGGGTGTTGGGGACGGGACAAGAGGTAGTGTAGGGGAAGTAGACGAAGAGGTTTTGATGGTGCTCGAAGAGAAGGGATTCGAGGAGCTGAGAGAGATGGTTCGTGGAGAAATTACTCGGCGGAAGTGGAGAGAAGAAGTCAGGAAAGAATTTCTGGAGCGCCGGGCCGAGGAGAGAAGGTGTGTGAGAGAACTGAACAAAATGGGCGTGCCATGGGGGAAGAGCAGCCGGAATAAGAAAGTTGGACAACTTCTTGGGGTGGATGTGGGCGAGTTGGAGGATATGAGATGGTCGATGGGATGGGCGGTTGAGGAGCGATCTGCCGCTGGAACTTTCCCCACGAGCAGCAAGTTGGACAGGAGCGGCTCACACACAACGGATACACACGATAAACCGAAGGCAACGGTTGGCTTTCGACCAGGACAGACACCAAATCGGCACATGTATAGCCAGCCAGCAGTCGTCAACGGTCCATCAACAATGGATTCGCCCAGGCAGTCCGTCCACCAGCATCTCCCAGCAAAAATTCTTCTCAACAAGCCTCTGCCTCAGATTCCGTCCCCGTCGACTCAGGATGAAACGGTTGAAACTCGAATACGGAGTGGAATATTTCGAAAGAGGATTCCTCGTCCTCCAGCACCGGCCGCCAATTCCGCAACTACTCGCACGTCGAATTCTAATGAGACATGTGGGAGCTGTAGTCGTTCATCTTGAGATGTTTCCTTGGGGGCTGGCGACTGCATTACGCACAGCGTGACATATCACATGCATCTTTGGGGATTTATGGGAACATTTGAATGTGGGTGAGATTCATCAAGTTCCTACAGTTGGGGAACAGATAAAAGGATATCGCTGCAAGCGGATTTACTGTTCTAACGGACGGATGAAAAGGGGGGGAGAGAATAGGATAGATAAGAAATGAGTGGTGAGGATGCAATGCAATTTGATGCCATAAATTGAATGGCTTCGCACTGTCTCCGGGTGGCGTTCAGCCACATAGCACAGCCACATGACGTGGGCAAAACGCGTAACTTGACAGCCCGCGCCGGGTATCCGAGTTCATGATGATGCATGCTAACTGCAAGCATACATGCCTAAGTACCTACCTTTCTAATAATATAATACCTCTGCTTCTCTTCTTTTCTTCCCTGCTTCTGTCTAGATTCAAACCTTTCGACAAGCATGTAAACCACCACCTGAATTCTATCCTGCCCACCCACGAACCATGGCATCCGCGACCCCGCCTCCGCCACTTTCTCCAAGTCAAACCCATGCCCTCTTCGATATCCTGATCCACCACCAGCTCTACGCCGAGATCGAAGCCTTCAAATACCCTCAGGCCATTTCGCGATATGGATTCCCATTCACAAAAGCCGACGGCGACCAGACTACATCTCCGCTGCTGCAGTCTATGCTCAATAAGTTTGTGCTGCGGCTCCCCGGTGTCAAGAATCTTAGCACGACAGCGTTTTGGCAGGATAAAGTGAGCATCCTGGTAGCAAAGCTCGCAGAGGCAGAGCTTAGCGAGAGCTACGATAAGGGTGCTATTGGAAGCCGGAAGGCGCTGGCCGCTGCCATCAGCAGTCTATTGGAGTATGTGGCGAGAGGCATGTTGGGAGGATATCCTGTGGGAGGGAGGGAGAAGGGTAGTGAGGCAAGCGATAAAAAGGGAGAAGATGATAAAGAAAGTGTTGGAAAGAAAGAATACGATATGAAAAACCCCGACGACATTCTTCAAGCTTGGGACGACGGGATGCGACAATTGATCTATGGTGATTTGCTCGATGAGTTGTTTGAGAAGGTCGCTGCCTCCGACAAACTGGCTGATCACTCGAGTCTCGTCCAAGCCGCACATGAGTATATACTTTTGAAGTGAGTCCATTCCATCTTCTAGCTGGTCTTGGGAGTTAATGCGCGTAGCCTTGCATCCTTCTTGCACCACATCTTCATCATGTCGCCGGACGGCCAATACCTCCTTCGCCTCCTCGAAAACATCCACCGTCTTATCCCATATGGCATGATCCGACAGACCCTGCGCTATGGGAACGCGGCGACGATGATCAATGCTATGGTCAAACTGATATTGACCAAAATTTCCGTGACCGCCATCACCAACTTCATAGGTTTGACTAATAATAGCAACGATGGCATGAACTTAATGCAGCAGATCATATCCACTGTGGCGGCGTGGGATACAGCCGAGTTCCAGAAGAAAGCTGGGAAGCTCGAGTCCTGTAGAGAGGCCCCCAGGAAGGAAGTTTTCAAGGCCATAAAAGCCCATGTGTATGCTTCACGCGACAAGCACGACGCCGCACGTAGCATCTCCATCGCCGAATCCAAATCCATCATCGCAGTCATCCTCGAAACGTCCACGCCTCCTGTATCCACCAGCTCGCTGAACGACGACCAACATGCCATTGCTATGGAGTTCTACAGCAACTACCTCTCCATCCGCGACCGTGAAGAGATTACGAAGATCTTGTGTAAACTACAACCTGATGTCCTCACATTAGCCATGAAAGAACTCGTGGGTGCCTTTGATCCGGTCATTCGATCTGTTCACAAGGCAGTAGATCTCTCCGAGACGGTCACTGACGCCCAGAACTTCCTCAACGATCTCATCAAAGTCTCCAAACCGAAAAAGATTAACAACGTCGGCAGCCGCGCCGGAAGTCGCGCAGGTTCGCGATCCAATAGCCGCGATCCATCTCCTAAGGAAACCGAATCCACACCCGCCAGCATCCTCGACCCACCAAACAGCCTCCAAGTTCCCACAGTGGAAGACTACATCAGTCTCCTCCGCACCCACATGCCTTCTTCGCACAAATTCCTGCATCAAGTCTGCAGCAAAGCGCCCGACCTGGCCAACGAGTATCGCACTTACGCCCGTTCTGTCCTCGACGAATTCCGCGTCAACGACAACGCTACTCTTACACAAGACAGCTCCGAACGCGGCGCAGGTAGCATGACACTTCCGCTGCAATCCCTCTTTTCAACCCTCGCCTCCACCAAACAAGACGAGCTAAAACCTCTACTTGACAAACACGAAGCCCATCTCCAAACCCTCAAGCAAACCTCGAACCAACGTCTCCACGCCGTAATTTCATCCAGCATCGCCCCTACACCCAACGCCACCCAACGAAATTTGTCCAAACCACCACAACAACCTAAAACTGGCACCACACACGGCCCAGGCATGTATCTCTCCCGTTGGCATTCTCTCCTCGACGTAACTTACATCACTCCCGAAACTCTTTCTGGCCCTGTGCGTCGCGGATGGGAAGTCAAAGGCGAGCTCGACGGAAAGGGGTTGAAGACAAGTGCACTACTAGCCCGCGTGGCTCGGAAATCGAGTAGTAAAGAGCGTGAGCAAAACGCAGGTGCCAGCGGTTCAGGGAGAACCGCTTCGAATAGTGTGTCAAGCCATTCCGACGCTGCGACAGTCACGGTCAGTGTCGCGGATGGTACGGGCGATGCGGAGGAACGCCGGGAACGGAATAGAGATGGGCTTGAGGAGGATGCAATCAGGCGTGTTTGGGAAGGCTTGGAGAGTGGTTGGACAGGCGTTTGTAAGGGACTTGAAGTGATGGGGGACTAGTAGCTAGTAGCTAGCTACCTGAGAGCTTTTGTCATGTTGCAATCGATAGACCAATTAACTTTTCCGTCATGGAGTAAAGGTTTATGTTCCACTCACGCAGTAGCGGATGGTGTATTCTGTTTCTCACTCGTTGTGTAGACGGTGATCAATCATGTTGTTTGCGTAATCTCTCTCGACAGGACACAGAGTCATCGAATTCGCAAGAAAACGACATTTCGTTCCTGTTTCCACCAAAACATCGGACTCGGGTTGGGATGTAAAAAACAATGGTCTTTACTAAAGCAATAACAATAGAGAAAATGGGAAAGTCACCGGCAGTAAAGCTCTTCAAAACAAAGACATTGAAAAGAGAAAAAACTTCATGACATTACATTGCGAAATCAACACCGCGCAATTCATCCTCAGTAGACGGACCAAATCCTACGTAAACCTCCTCCATAAACGCCCATAACATGCAAATGCTCAAACAACGACGCCCCTTTCCCCCAATCTCACCCCAGAACCCTTCAAGCCATGACCATCTCCATCGTTATCGCCATCCCACCGTACCCTTTTCACACAACCACTCGCCCAAGCAACCAACACACACTTTGCAACCCTCGCAACCTGCTGCGCGGAAAACGGAAGCGGCTGTCTTAGCAGCTCTTCGATATCTACAGCGAGGGTATTCGCTGTTCTGAGTTTCGCTGAATCCATTTTCTTCTTCGCCTTGGTAAGATCGAGTTTGGGCGTTTTGGAAGCCGAGTTCACGGGGGAGAGTTTTGTTGGGGTCAGAGGCGGCGATGGAGGTAGGGGCCGTGCTTGCGGTTGTGCTTTGTTTGAGTGCTGTTGCTGAGTTTGTAGAGAAGAGCACGGTAGCACTGATGCTACTGCTGTTGTAGTCGCTGATGTCGCGGCACCGTCAACACCGGCGACAGATGTAGTAGGGACGCCCATATAACACTCCAGCAACTCGCGGAACGTCGCGTCCACCACCACACCTACTTTCTCTTTCTTCCTCTTCATCATGGCTTTCTCCCTCGTTGACGCGGCACCCAACGCGCCCGCCGTCCCGTTAAAGAAAGAAGGCGAAGTAGGGGTTTGAGAGGGAGATGATGATCCCATCAGATCGATAAGACGGTCGAGTAACATCGTATACCGCGCCACTCGCGCTGTCGCGGTAACCATCTCTTCCTCTTCCTCTTCCTCATCTTCTACCCCCTTCTTCTTTTTGGAAGATGCAGATTTCCCCAGTCTACCCTGCTCTCGAAACGCGACAGCAGCATTCCGACGCTCATACAGTGCGCCGAAAGCAGTGTCTTCGGCGCCTCCGTGGAAACGGTGCACTTTGTCGATGAGGGCTTCTAGTCTAGCTAGTAGACGCCCTGTTTCGTGACCGCCGCCGGCGACGAGGAGGATGGCATCTATCACGGAGGATGCAGCGAGTGGAGGGAGACCGCCGGTAGAAGCGAATGGTAGTGATGCGATGCTGCGGAGGAGGTCGGGTAGGGTGTATGATTGAATGCTCGGGATTCGTGCGTTGGGGAGGGACTCGAGGTATGCTTTTTGAGGGGATGTAGGGGGTGGGACTGGGAGGGCGGACTTTGTTCGTAAAGCGTGGAGGGTGGATGGCGTGATTTGGAGGGTTGATAATGTTGGAGTAGATGCGGTGGAAGTGGTGGGTATCGTATCAGGGAATAAGGATTGGGAAAGAGGGATACAGCTGCACGCCATATGTTTAGAATAGAGGGTCGAGGTTACGGAGGCGCGGGTGGTAGTGCGTTGCGTGATGCTGAGAGGCTGGCGGTGGAGGGTTATGCTGTGCATGCCGTCTTCTAGGGGTATGCTTGAAATGGTGATGCCGTAGGCGCCTTTGCGCATGCTCTTCTGTTCTTGGGATTGTGGAGTGGATGGTCGTGGTGTGATGGTGGGTAAAACAGGGCTTCCAAGGATAATGGAGAGGGCTGCAAGTTCAGCGGATGACACTGCCACGCCAGAAAGCCCTTCATTCTGTACAGATTTCTGGATATCTCGAGCCCATAACTCGTGTTTGGGATTATTAGACGATGCTGTGCTAGAACCCACGCCACTTTCGTATGCAGCAGATGGAGACGCTGTAGATGATTTTTTGGAGAGCGAGCGCGTCAGCGACAACGTGACCTCTGACAGATCAAGCGATGCACGGGTTGCTGGACTTGGAGGTGAGATGACAGGTCGTCGCCCGTCTCTTGATGCGCGCATCGATCTTGAGCGTTGTATCTTCTTGGACGACGCTAGGAATTTGAAAATCTCTGGAGGATAGTTTGTTCTCTCGGAAAGTGGACGACTGCGCAACTGAGTCGCAAGAAGTTCGTAAAATTCCTCAACAGGCATCTCAGAATTCGGATAGTGTTGATGCGACTGGTGGAACAAGGCTGATGTGTACACGCCTTCGTCACCGGCTTTGACGAGACCCGCCACTGAAGGAATCCAGTCGCCATTGCCTTCTCCATTCTTCTGTCTCCTGGGACCGAAAAATCGCTGCCATCCCCGAGTGTCGACATTAGCGGTTTTGGTATTGGCGTCGATAATGTTGCTGGATGTGTTGTTCCTTTTGGTTTTCCCGTCCTCCAAGCTTGGAGCCACAAATTTGTACTCGTCGCTACACCGGCGCGCCTTAGCCCCCTTCTCTTCCTCTTTAACATCTCCAACGGTGCGGGGCTGCAACCACGAAAGTCGTTGTTTAGCGACGACTGCCACCATGATTGAGGTCTCAATGACGATGATACAAGCGAAAGCCAAGCGAAATAAGCTCAAATGACAGATTCAGCAGCAAACTTGCAACATTCAACTCAGACGTTTGTCGTCGGGGGAGTCGGTTTTTAAATACTAACAGCTAGTCATTTAGACGATCCAACGGTCATTTAGGAAGGCCAGAATTCGTGTTGTAAATTTTGCGGTGCGGATAATGGTAGCGGATGGGTCCCTAGTATTACAAATGCAGGGACCTATCGGATGGCCAGGAACCCGCCCAAAAGTACGAATGAATGAGTAAAATTTAGTAGTGTGACTTGAGAGTCAGGCGTGTTGCAAAGGGGGCAGGATTAAGCAACAATGCATGGGACCCGTCCGCACAGTCGATCCTATCCCCCCTTCACACGTACATGGACAGGGGCCTTCCTCTTGCAGTTTCCTTCTGGTCCAAAGGGGTATGACGCGCAGTCATCACCGGTGATCGCAGTTCTGGGTAAGCATCATAAGCTTGCGGGGGGTCGGGATTAACGTAGTCGGTGCAGACAGTGGTTGCCTAACGCTTGAAATGACGATGATGGCTGATGGCGGGTGGAATGCGAAAGGGCCGATTTCAGAGGGCGGATGGGACAGGACTGGTTTGTATACCATGTATACATAGGTACATTGTCGTTTGCTTGCTTGTTTGTTTGTTTGACGGATAACGTGAATGACTCGATAATCCGATTGCATTTGCAAGCATACACATGTATGGGAAAAAGGGAGAAAAATTGCAACAACTTTCGACTTGATTACCAACCACCAAACAAAGACGTATAAAGATGAGGCTCGCCAAAAGGACGTGCTGATTCACGCTTCTTCCTCTTGCGCTTTCCATAACATGCGTGCTAACATCCCTAGTATGGCCAGCGACTACTGTACCTGACAATGTCATGCGCGGCGACCACCAGATGTCCGGCGTCATGTTTCTTGTTTCTGCAAAGGAGAAAAAAAAATTACCAATGCAGATTTCGCTCAAAGAACGGGCTCGGGTTGCGGATTTTTCCAAGGCCGGATCAAGAAGGAATGGTTCCTTTGTCGTTCCGAGCCGACCGGCCTAGCCGATTGATCACCACAACCACCACACGTGATAGATCGATCCGTCCAACGACAATAACGGATTGGACAAGAGACATCTCCGTGAAAGCCATGTGCAATAGCGCGCCACATTTTCTATCTTGCATCCGCCTTTCCGCCTCTCCGATGATGTTCAATTCGATCATACAGCGGCTGTCACATGCCCTGACAGCGCGCCCTCCCTTGAACACTACACACATGTACGGTGAGCTAGAACACAATTGGATGCGGTATCCGGATTTGTCTTCTCACCGAAAAATAGTGGTGATGGAACAAGATCGTGTCCTCGACTAGAGGGCTTTGCGCAATGTTCTAGAGCTCAGCAGCTCCTGTACCTTGAGCAGCCTCTTCTGCGCTATGCTGACTGGAACGGGATGTTTGAATACGAGGATGATCATCGCCCGAGTTGCAAACATGATCAAACAGCGCCGGGTCCATGTTGTGTACTCCTCACTCAACGACGTCGGTTCCTGGTACATGTCCGTCGTAACGGACGTCCGACTAGCAGCAGCACCTACGGCCGAAACCCAGTAAAAGACGCCTGCCATGTCACCCCAGATATCGCCGACATTGGTGCGCTCAATGATCTCATACAACGACTGGGTCAAACGCTTTGTAAACACCTCTGGGGGTTGCACGGACGCCCGATCGAGGAGCACGACGTTCCGTGCGGGTTCGGCTGCGACTGATAGTGGCACGCGCATAATTATGGCCGACGTGTAGATGATGGCTGTGATGCGACATGCTTCGTAGACAAAATCCCCCGACGTGGGTAGACCGGGTACGAATGCTGATGGAAGAAGGGCTAGCTTCGTGCGTATTTCGGCCACTTTGGCATCGTAATCGACCGTCGAGGGCGTCGCCTTCAAATCATTGTTATATCTAGACACTGACATCTCTGCACTGATTTCGGCATCCACTATACTGTCCGACCCTGCATGTAGTGAAAGGAAGAGATCAGTCAAGTCTCGCATGTCGCAAATGATTTCGTAAGTATACATATTGCAGGCAGGATCTTTGACCACGGGAACCAGCTCCGGCGTACGATAGAACAAAGGCGATTCGGGCAATGCTTCCGGACCATCTTCAAGTATGGGAGGAGGGTTCCATTGGGCAAATTCCGGAAGAGGGGCGGCTTCGCAAATGATGTCGCTGTGTAGACACACTATCGCGCAAGTTATGCCTACAGGTCCCATCGTCATGAGATTATCCATTCCGCCACGATGAGCAATGAGTTTGGCAACACCCATCTCATGCCAGCGCAATGTCTGCTCATTGCAGCTCCACATCTCCCCCGCCAACATGTGGACAATGACTATCATTGTAGAGTCGTGGGCCTGTAACTCGGCCGAGTTGAGCCGGCCCTTGATCCACGACAAGATCTCGCCCTTGACGACAGCGGTACGGCGGCTTTCTCCCCGTACACCAGCGTGCATGTCCATCCATGTGCAAGCGACAATGGTAGAAGACAGGAGAATATGCGGATGCGAAAGCATGGCAGGTAACCATCTTTTCAGGGTAGACGCCGAGGAAAATGTTCTGTTGCAAGTCCTCACTAGCATGAAAGAGTCCAACTCCCTACTCTCGAACTTGGGAAGAACGAGGAAAGGATCCACGCCGTTGCCAAATCCACGTGGGAATCGCTTCGAAGCCTCTTCGAGAGCAATATCCAGAAGTCTCTGGTCGTGCTGAGCCGTGCGCTCGTAGTCGAGCACGGAGTGTGCAGGTACGGTCGAATCTAGGGCAGTGCGCGCGTCCAGGTAGCGACGGGGTCGGAAAGAGATAGAAAGAGCGGTCGTTCTTGTCGTATAAGGTGCAGTGATGGCTGCGGGGCCTTGCTGGCTCGTACCTCGCCATGCTTCCAACGTGCTTCGGTACAGCGCTTGGTCGTCGACCTCATCCCACCACGAACGTAGTTTGGGTGGTCCTGTGGATGCAGTCGGAGGAGGATGGCGTAAGACGTCATTCGCCGTGGACACTAAACTCGATGCTTTGGGTTGGTTCGATATGGCTTTGGCAGGTGGGGGATCAACAGGTGCAGTAGTAGTGGTTGAGGACGACTCATTGTTTTTTCGTTTTTGCTCTGATGACTTGTAGCGGTACTGAATCATAGCCTGAGACCGGACGCTTCTCTTCGCCTTTTCGTCCTTGAATTGCGAAGGGTCAGTGGCGGTGAGGAACTGCAACTGAGGAGGACCGCCGCCATTCCGTTTGCGCGACCTTCGAGATGGTCGGGGTTGGGCTGTTTGATCGCCAGATGGCTGTGGTGCTGCCGGGTTCGGGTCTGGAGGATGGGAAACTTTGTTGGCTTCATGGCAAATATGATTAGCTGATGACGACGATGACGAATGCCATTGATGATGAGGTACAACGGGATAGCTACCTGGATTCGAGGAAGACATGACGATGCCCTCGAGTCTGAATTCTCTCGACGAACGATATATTGGGTGCAGATGTCATTAATACCAAAACCAAAAAAAAAATTACTATTGCGAAGCAACAGCAGGGAACGATGATGTCAAAGTGAAGAAAATAGCGCTGAATAGATCAGGTTCGATGATTCCAATGAGATGCTACCATGCAAGCCTACATATGAAGAGGACAGCGGGAGGCATGCAGACGTTTGATATGTGAATTGCAAATGCACCGAAGAGCTGAGAGCTCACAGCCTCGCATCCATCACAGATGTGGTGCAGGGGCAGATCAGGACCCAAGGCGCTACTCGTAGCTAGACCCTGCCATCGTGTTAAACCCGCAAGCCCCTCGTTGTACATTATACGACCCATCTGCGGGCTCCAATCATTTAGACGTCTAGAAATGCCCTTTCTTTTTCTCTGTCGTCTGTTCGTCACTCATAAACGGCAGGTGTCACCGATTTGCTTTTTTCTTTCTCCCTCTCTCGTTTTCTTCGGTTCCCTTCCCCGACCCTATTAATAGAGTGTCTTGTGAAATGCGACGCTTCTATAATTAACTCGCAGCTCGGTTGGTCCCTTGGAGAAATCTTCTGTCCGGTGGAATTCTTTCCGTAATAACTGATCAGCATCACTGCATATATGTCTTTCTGCTAAGCAACATGAGATGAGATGGAGCAGTTCGACAGAGCGCCAAGGCCCGAGTCCCGATCCGATCTAGCCGCCGCACGTGTCCCGCCTGATCCCCCATGGATCGCCGGGATCCCACTGGACTGGCTCAGCCACCAACCTCAGCCCAATGTCAACATGCATTCCAAATAACCCAACCTACACCACACTTCCTGGATAGCATTCCGCCATCTCCTGGTTACCCCCTCCATGGTGGCTTCAAGCCATAACGCTAATAAGCACCATGACGCCGCCTCAGTCTTGAACACATAGGCCGTTGGGCCTCACCGTTTGGTTCTCCTTACCTCATTTCAGGCCCTCTCAAATCCTTCCAAGTTCACCTTGCATTAGCGTCAAATTGCTTGTAGGATAGGTGTACGATGCTGGCACTTGCATATGGAAAAGAAAAAAATTCTTGGGGCCGCAAAAGCATCGAGCAACACTGTTCTGGTAAGACTGTGCCTACTAAAGAATGATATATATGGTCCCCGATAGTCGATTCGTCCATTTCCATCAATCACATCACAAGGCCATTCTGTGGCTAGCTACTCGCATTTCCTTCCTCGTCTTCGCCCTCTAACCATGTTTGCTCGCTCATATCGGCGGACGAATCTGAGTCGGATTCGTTCTCTGGGTCGGATTCATCTTCCAAGTCAGAACCAATGTCGGAGCCAGAGTAAGAAACATAATCTTCGTTATCATCAGACTCAGAGCCGTAATCGGAATCGACGTCCACATCCTCCCCTTCAACGTCAATCTCAAAGTCAGGCTCAAGTTCAGAATCTAGGTCAGATTCAGTTGCAGAGTCGATATCGGAACCATCATCATAAGGAATGTCTTTGGAAAACGAGGCCTCGAATGTAACGTCGTCGAGAAGTTCATTTGCACGAACTTGCTCCGAGTCTAATGGGTGTGGCGCGCCGCGATGATCGAATACAGGGTGCGTCTGTTTCTTCAGATATGTATGACGCTCTGAGGCTTCATCTTCGTCATCTTCTTCTTCGCTGTCATATGACGATATAGAAGAAGCTTCGCTCATATCTGTCTCATATAGATCCGAGTCCTCGTCTGCGTCTATTTCTGTGTTTGGCGCAGCGTTGTTGGTCATGGCCGTATCCAGATGCTGGGGGCCCATGCCGTCATTGCGTATAGAAGTATCAATCTTCTCGTGTGTCACGCCGCCGATTCCATGACCTCGGCCAGCCAGTGGTAGACCTTCTTCGGAATTATCAACGTAAGGCGGGACCCCTGGACCTCTAGCATTTGTTTCGTCACCGAGATCTTCCATGTTTTCAAACTCTTCCATATCTCCAGGCTCTTCCATGTCAAATTCTTGCTCGTCCCCATCGAAATCCTCCATGTAGTCATCGAGAACCGAAGCATCATATTCATCTTCACCTTCATCTTCCGCGTTCCATGGCTCTGACATGTTGTCGCGTTCCCCACCCGGGGGGATGTCTGAGAACCCCCCTCTGCTGTTCACGGATCCGGCACCGTGCATCATGTTCGGCTGTTCCTGCCCCTCAAGATGAGAAAGTTCAAAAGATGGATCATGAGCAGCCATTGGCGAAGAAGGTTCCCCGGAAGGTGAATAATGTTCCTGGGCCAGGTCTTCAGAGCGTTTCGATGAGAAAAGATTCCTAAGACCTTTCTTCAATCGTCCCTTTGTGTCAGTAGGAGCTGACACCGGTTGAGCAGTGAATGCATGCTCTGCGTTGTTGTATGCTGAATTTTTGCCCTAAATGGAAGAGGTACAAAGTCAGCATAATTCAGATAAGGTTGTTTCGTGGTGTCTAAGTGTACATCACACTCCGGAGAACGTACCCTGATCTCAGCCTCAACAGCTTTACGCTCTTCTTGGGCCATCTTGTACTCATGTATCCTTTGGTTTTCCGCGTCTTCCCGCTGTCTTCGCCTTTCCCGGTCGTCCGCTTCCTGTTCTTCACGAGCCAGATCAATCTCGCGTTTCCTTTCCCTTTCCATCTCTTCTTGCTCTCTACGTCGTTCGCGGTCAGCCGCCATCTCTTCTTCACGCATCAACTCATCCTCGCGTTTCCGCTGCTTTTCAATATCTTGCTGTTCTCGGAGTCTCTCCCGCTCAATCTCCTTTTCTTCAGTCTCTATAGCTTCACGCTCTTTCCGCTCTTGCTTCTCTTGTAGAGCGATATCCTCATTTTCTCGCTTTTTATCTCTGGCAATATCCTCATCTTCCCGCTTCTTCTCTTTTTCCACTAATTCCTCTTCTCGCTTTCGTTCCTTCTCTATTGCCTTGTCTTCAGCATCTCGTGCTTTCTGCTCCGCATCCTCCTCAGCTTTCATCTGCTCGTCCTCCCGTTTGCGGTCACGTTCAGCAAACTCCTCCTCTCGCCGCCTCTCCCGCTCTGCTGCCCTTTCTTCAGCATCTCGGGCTTTCCGCTCTGCATCTTCCTCAGCTTTCATCTGCTGCTCTTCCCGCCTCCGGTCACGGTGAGCAAACTCCTCCTCTTGCCGCCTTTCTCGCTCCGCTGCCTTCTCTTCAGCCCTCTGGGCCTTGCGTTCCGCGCGTGTGGCAAATTCCTGCTCTTCACGTGCTCTCTCATGCTCCCTCTTAGCCTCTTCTTCCTGCCTGCGTTGTTCCAACGCTGCTGCTTTCTCCTCCGCTCGCAGAGCCTTCTGCTCAGTGCGCGTTTGAATCCGCTCCGAATCCCGTTCTTGCTCTGTCTGCCGAGAGGCAGCTCTACGCTCCCGCTCTTGTTCCCGCTCAGAAACCTTTTCTTCGGCGCGGAGATTGTTACGTTCCATACGAGCTTGTATGCGATCCGCATCGTTCTCCTGCTCCGCTTGTCGTCGAGCCATCTTACGCTCACGCTCTTGTTCGCGCTCCGCAGCTTTCTCTTCTGCTCTCATAGCGTGGCGTTCAGCGCGCACCTGACGTTCTTCTTGGTCGTGAGCGTGTTGGTATTCCCTTTTCGCTGCGGCTTCTTCGCGCTCTCTTTCCAAGGCCGCGGCTCGTTCTTCGCCTTCCGCGGCGCGGCGTTGGGCCTGGACTTGGTAGTTTTCTTCCTGGAGCGAGTTTTGATATTGTCTTGTGGCGTCTCGCTCTGCGCGGTCGCGTTCGGTGGCGGCGGCTTTCTCTTCTGCCATTGCGGCGCGGCGGTTGACGCGGGCTTGGTATTCATCGTCGTCGACGATTAGGTCGTCGTCTTGGTGGCCACGATGTCCAGGTTGATGGCCCTTGTTCGTGGGGTTATCGGGGTGATTAGGATGAGCGGGATGGTCCGGATTCGTGTAGTTTCTCAGATATTCCAATTCACCCCTGTCGCTTGCTGCTTGAGTCTCCTCTTCGAGTCTCTTCTTTTCTTCCTTTCTCTTCGCTTTTTTCTTAGCTTTCCTTTTGACTTTCGCCACTGCGGCCTTCTTTTCTTCCTCTAGCGTCATGGCAGGCGCGTTTAGGTCTTTCGAATTGGGGTCCTTTCCATCATTCGAATTCCCATCCTTTGACTTGGAATCCTTCTCATCTTTGGGCTTAACATCCTGTCCGTCTTTGGATTTTTGATCTTTGCCGTCTTTAGATTTTGGATCTTTGCTGTCTTTTGATTCTGAATCTTTACTGTCTTTTGTCCCAAAAAAATTCTTTTTCTTCTTCTTTGGACTCTTGCCATCCTTCGTGTCAGGCTTTTTCTTATCTGGACTTTTATCATCTTTTGTCTGCGAGGCTTCTCCGTCCTTTGCGTGTAACTCTTTAGAGCTAGCATCGTTCTTAGTCTTTTCTTTGTTGCCTTTCTTCTTTTTCCTGTCTGGACTTGTGGTATCTGTATCCTTCTGTTTAGGGTCCACGACGTCAAGAATTCTTGCCATTAGATTAACCTTGATATGCGTCTTTTCATCAGGGTGCTTTGCGTCTTTATCATTTGCCTTTAGGTCTTTGGGATTGATATCCTTTGTTGAAGATTCCATCTTGAGGGGGTTCTTGATATCTTTGCCCTCGGTTTCAGAGCCCTTTTTGGGCTTCTCTGTCTCATCCTTCGTTTTTGATTTCTTGTTCTTTTTGTCCTTGGTCGCAGGATCTTTACTCGCAGTCTCTTTGCCGGCCATATCGATCTTCTTGATCTCCGGCACTTCAGGCTGTAACGTCTCAGCAGTTTCTGCCTTTGATAGGTTACCCAATAATGTGAATTTCTTCTTCGGGGGCTTGCCGGTACTCTTCATGGGGTCAACAGGTGCGCTAACAGTTTTGGTATCTCTGTTCTTCTCCCCCTTAGAAAAGTCACTCTGTTTAATATCTTCTGGAATCCTTCTTTGTTTTTCAACTTTGAACTTTCCGTCTTTCTTCTTTTCTTGATCTACTGTATCATGGGCTTCATGACTTGGGCCCGCAATTCTAGAAAAGTCAACGGTTGATGGTGGACCCGCAATGCTGGATAAATCAACAATCGGTGGATGACCTGCACTGGTCTTGACTCGTTTCAAAGATTGTAGTAGGTTGCTAGGTCTGCGAAGAGGATCCTGATGAGGAGTTGGTGGGTCATGCAATTCCGTGCGACGAATCTCGGGAGTAGACAGCAGATCTCGAATCGCGCCAACTTTCTCCTCTTTCCCCTCCACAGGGGCTTTGATCTTGAAGAAGAGCGATTTGGTTCTCTTATTACCGGATTCGCTTGGCTTTGCTGGCTCAGCGCTTGTGGCAGAGCGAGATAAGGGCTTCAAAACCTGGCTTTTCACTTTGTCATCAGGCCCAATGACAGAAGATTTTCCAAGACTCTTAGCTTCAAAGATGTCTTTATTTTTCTGTTTTTTGAGCTCCTTCTCAATCTTCTCCTGTTCCCGCTGTTCTTTTTCTGCCTTCCTTCTCTCTGATCGGTTGGATTCCTTTTCCTTGGTGTGTTCTGGCTGTCCACTGGCCTTCTTCTCGCTTTTCTGTTGCTTACGTGCGGCATCAGCCATCTGCTTGTTTGCCTTATCTGCTGCATGTTTCTCCTCCCTTATTCTCCTTTTCTCTTCTTTCTTTTTCTCATATTCCAATTTCTCTGCCTCTCTCTTTTCGCGCTTCAGTTGTCTGGCTTGCTCCCTCTGTGCCGAGTCTGTATTCTTGACATCCAACTGTGCGAAACCTCGCATCTCATTTTCTAGAGCGTTATCCCCCCTATTCTTTCCATGCTTTCTCTTTTCAGGTGATGTTCTCTCATCCTTAGGTAGCTTGGGTTGATTCAATGGTCCTTTTCGGTCTTTCTCTGCCTTCTTCTCACGTTCTTTCCTTGCCGCATCCGCGTCTCGCTTTTGCGCCTTTGCAGCATCGCTTTTCTCCTTTTCTAGTTGCTTCTCACCCTCCTTACGCTTATCCTGCTCGCGGCGTGCAGCATCATTCTTTTCCTTTTCCTGTTTCTTCTCATTCTCTTTTTGCTTCTCGCGCTCGCGGCGAACTGTATCAGCTTGGTGCTTCTCAGCCTTCACCTGATCTCTCCTCTCTTTATCAGCATTCTTCTCCAGCTCCTTTTGTTGCACCCTCTGTTTCTCCTGTTCACGTCGAGCTTGATCTGCTTGTTGCTTCTCAGCCTTCTCTCTATCTCTTTTTTCCTTTTCAACCTTCCTCTCCCGCTCCTTCTGCTTCTCCTGTTCACGTCGAGCTTGATCTGCATGTAGTTTCTCAGCCTTCTCCCTGTCTTTTTTCTCCTTCTCAGCCTTCTTCTCTCTCTCCCTTTGTTGTGCCCTCTGCTTGTCCTGTTCTTGTCGAGCTCGATCAGCCTGCTGTTTCTGTACCCTCTCTCTGTCCCTCTTTTCCTTTTCGAGCTGCTGATCTCGCTGCCTTTGCTGCTCCTTCAGTCGTTGCTGACGCTTATCCTCCTCCCGTTTCTTCTCCTCCCTTTCCTTCCTTTCTTTTTCCTGTTTGTGGTTGTCCTGTGAGGGGTTCTTAGGAGTATGTTTAACGGACCTGCCGTTAAGAGCAACGGTATTTCTGCGTTTCGCCATTGTTCATATAATAAGTTGCTCAGATATGTCTCGCAAAAAGTATCTGAAGAGTTGTGGAGTATGTGTGTGGTCAAATCTGGGAGGTATGATGTGGATAGATTTATAACCGGGGCACCACCATGGCATGTTTGTCTTTCCTACTGATATAGCTGTGTTTGTAGCCCACATTCACTGCTCGTGGTATGTGGTGATCTTTCTGATGATATAGTGCAAGAAATGTAGGCAGCTTATAATTGAATAATGTCTACATGCAATGTTTACGCCGTTCAAGGGCCAAGTGTATTTTGAGAATCTTGGTGGTTGTGTTATGGAGGACCTTTTTTAGGTGTGATTTTGAAATATGTGAATACACTGACGGATATTCTACGTAGCTCAAAGCCGGTGCTTTCATATGTGACGTACAGTCGTTCACCCTTTCAGCCACACGCAGAACGTCACGATCAGACATGAATCCCTGATTGAATTTACACACCCACGCATGTATGTCATATTTTTACCTGAGAATCTTTGTGTTAATTTACGAACAACTTCGCACTAACCAAATTAATTAACTATATTAAGAACAGGTTTGTAGATACATATTTAGCGCTAGGGAAAAAAAAGGAAAAAGAACGAGAAAGGGAAAGGGAAAGGGAAACGGAAAGAAAAGGAGAGAAATGGGTAAAACTACTTTTGAAGGGTGTAGTACAATGATGCTATTTTTTTTATAATCACACTTTTTTGAAAATGGAAAAAAGGGACAAAGAAACAGAGATAAAGGAGAACATGTCTAGGCAAGGAAGAGGGTATTCTAACAGAACAAAAGATAGTATGAGAAACCAAACCAGCCATTTTTCTATAAAAACACCTCATGGGCGCGGCACGAGAATCAAACATCTGATGCGAGCGCTAGGTACTGACTTCGTACATATCGAAGTATGAGCAGAGATCTCAGATCAGAGACACGGATCTCAGCCCTAAGAGGGAACCTTCACATCAGGTATCATAGGTAAAAGATTCCCCTGTCACGGATAAATCGTCGAAACCATATTCCAGAAAAGGCTCCAGGTCAATAGCCAAGTCATCGCCATACGGAACCTCCAAATGTTGAGCCTTGTCGTAAGTCCACATCGGCGCTTTCAGCTTCAACTCGAACTTGTTCTCCTTAATGTGGTTCTTGATCCAATACAAGACCGATACCCCTGCAAATAACAAATCTCAGTACACAAGATAGGAAGTTCGAAGTCGTGACAGAAACATACCTTCACCGTTGGCCTTGATACTCTCATCCCAACCAAATTCGGGGTCGTCACCCCATTTCCAGAACTCCTTCACTGAAATGGATTGAATTCTCATCGAGCCTGGGTAAACCCTACCCAAGAGTTCTATCAAATACGCCCGAGCAAAGTTCATGCAGCCTTTTCTCTCTCGTTCCCACTCGTCGCTGATGCCACCAATGACGGCGTCATCTTTAGTTATACCATTCAGCGTGGTACGTCCTACTTGAGCATCTGGAAATGGTGGTTTGGCGTGCATGACATAAAATTCACAATGTCCATATTCATCCGGGTGAAACCTTGCTTGCGCCCATGAATTGGCGACCTTCAGGAAATTCAATGCCTCAGTTTCTGTCGACGCGGCCATTGATGAAATTCGAATCGGGTATTGGTAGCCGTATGATAAGGATTGTGTTGAAGTATGTTGATTTGCCGATCGTGTTCTGTGAAGAGTGACGTATTTGAAAGAAGTGCTAGGAGTGGTTTGATGTTTGGAGATCTGTCGTAGATGGTTACTGTGAAGGTAAATGCTCGCCCATGGGACACCTTTTTATACCTTTCTTTCTTGCCACTCTGCGCACGCACTCAAAGCTTCATGTCATACATGCCTTGAGGATGAGTCAATCCCATGATTCCGGGAAATACTTTGAGGCAGAACTGAACAATATAACTATCTAGTGGGTAGTACATTCATGAGATTCACCGCGTCTTTTAAACACGATGGGTCATACAGATTAACAAATGAACCAATCAAGCCATCAGACCACGTGAAGAGAACTTGAGATTTGACTCCTGGCAATAGAATCATTCAGCAGGTCAGCTGCACGTGGTCAATCTCGTTGTGGCAACCCTACTTCAGGTGGGGGGCATGTATTACACTGAATCCCTAATCCCAGTATACACTACCTCAACTGTATGAAAGGGGGCGGCCTTATGACACTGCAACAACATGAATCATACTGAAACGCGTTTCCCCAACTATTACATGTGCAACATCATCGAACCTTACGACACATACAGGTGCGGGAAACAAATTATTAGATCGTGTCACTCGACTAATTCGTGTGCTGCCAATCTGCCGTTCCGTGCCGCACCCCTTGTACGATCTCACCCCAAGTTAACTTCTACTTCTTGGTGAATTATATGTAGAATCGTGGGCGATAATTTTGGCCTGGGACTTTTTCAGGTGTCTAGAAATTGACTGACTTTCTATCAATCTCTAGAAACGAATAACATCGTACTTAGATACTTTATTGTATAGTGAGTGGGCAGAAGCATCGCTTTTCACCAAAGCCTGTAAGCGCACCATATTTGCACTATATTATCAGAGTGACAAGATATAGTTTGATTTAGTGAAATATTAATAGAGAATATTGATATTAAGTCTTTCTGTGATTCTGCGATCCTAGCGTGTGATATCGTCCGGCTGAAACACATCGACAACTTTCTCAGTACACGATTTCTTATTGTGTACAAATATACGTTTGTATCACAGAACGAGGAAATTTCCTATTGGGGGACCATCCATCGACTTAAATCAAAAACATCGCAAATGAAGCGCATAACCTCAGTCCCTCAGCCCCAACATATTCATCGCATTTAAACTCATGTATAGCATATCAAAATTGTGCCACCCAGAAGAAGCGAACGCCCCGCTATTCAAGAACAAACATATCGACTACATCAACCTACCGCTACCCCCATTGCCTCTCGCTCTAACCCCCTCGAGTGCACCGGCACAATCCCCGCAATATTCCTTGACCCACTGACCCACCTCTCCTTCTTTCTTTTTCTTCTCAGCATCGCTACTAGCCCCCAGCAATACACCGACCCGCTCACATCTTCCTACCTCATCGCCGAGCCAGCTCTCGTACTCGCCATCCACGACCTCCTTCTCAATGCGATTTACGACGCGCAGGGCGACAAGCAGGTCGTGGCGATGATGCGCCAGATTTTGGCGGGTGCGGTGCAGACGAAGGGCAGAAGATCGTTGGGTGGATGATGTGGATAGAGGAGACGAAGAAGAGGATAATGGAGCGTATGTGGGCGGATTTGAGAGGAGCGACGCGAATGTTTGCTCGCTATGAAATGTATTAGCCGGTTGAACAATACAGTTGAAAGACCAAAACATACCATTTATTGGTTTGATCATCGGGAGACATAGACGAGATAGGGAAGGTGTTGGTTTGATTTAGGAAAGCATCCTCAATGTCGTGTAGATAAATTGCTCGATTCATGGTGGACGACGGGCCAACGCCGAGGCGAGACATGAACTTTGCGGCGTTACGTTCGTGCCACCATACCCAAGACTCACGTGAGGTATAGAAGAAGTTTGCGCCGCCGCTGAGGACGAGGAGAATAACGAGGACTTTGTGTGTAGAGATAACGTTTCCAAGACCGGCGAAAGCAGCGAGGATCCAGCTCATAAGCGTTGTTAGTATGCTGACGATGATGTTACCAATCAGTTGGGCGATGAAGTTGCCCGTCGTTTGAGGTCGCAGTTTGAACTTGCGTGGACGATTGGGTGGTGGGATGTCTTGTGCAGTGAACTGTGCTGCCTTGGTCATCACACCGATTTGACCGAAGATATTGAGGACTTTGCCTGTGCTACGATTGTGTCCGAGCCTGGCGACTTGGTCGTTCACCACATCGATAAGATCTTGAGCTTCCAATTCCATATCCTGGAGACTTTGACGTTCAATGAGCTTCTTGGCGAATCGAGGGTTGCGCGACCAATCAACTTTACTGTAAACGGTCAATTTACAGCGGGCTTTGTGGACGTGAGTAATGACGATCTTGGTTAGGAGTATGAAGCGGTCATGGCCAGGGAGGTACCACGGTGTTTTTCGGTCAGCCACAACGTAGCAGAGGTGGTCGTTCAGAACTTCAATGATTTGATAATCGCCGATGACTATAGCGTCAGATTGCCCGGGTTGGGCGATTTCATACTCGAAATCACGGCGCTGCTTGCCTTTATCGGTCGTCTTCCACGGTCCTTGCACGATGCGCTGAGCCCAGCGCTCCCTGTAAAGCATCTGGAAGACTGCACTCTTGTCACCAAAAAGTATGTGGAAAAGTCCCTTGGCACTGATGTCGTAGTCCTTTTCTATTGCTACCTCTGTCATGTCTTTCGGAGTGAATACGACAGGATGGGGCGGCAGTTTGAACTTAGGGGCATTCCGGTTGGCGCCACCTGGAGGGCCAAATAAATTTCCGTCAATGCGGAGGCTCTTTTTAAGGTCCTTTCCACCATACCCAGGGTCCATTGGGGTATGTAATGACACGTCTTCCCAGCCATCGGGATCGGATGCTTGCTCATTGTCGTTGACCTCCATTCTTATCAAGCTTTTCATGACATCTTCCATTCCAAATTCTCCGGTAGTCGCGTTACGAACCAAGAAGTTCAGACGGCGCTGGAGTAGCTTCAAAGGCTCAAGGAATGTCTTGATTGTGATTCGCGTAGCTCCATCTTCTTTCCTACTGGCTTTGAAATGAAGGAAGAGGAAATCGCAGTCTTTACCAGGAGCAGCAGTAACCTCGTCAATGGAAGCCATGTTGACGCCAGTGATAAGAACTAATCCAAGATGGTTGCTGAAGAGGTAAATGTTCTTTGTGGTGACATAAACACGACCCGGGAATTCCTGTTGTTCTGTAGGGTTCCACACAGCGCGAAACACAAGCACAACCTTCTCAGAGCGAGGGACTGTGGGAAATAGTATGCGAAACTGTGCGTCCTGCATGCGTAAAGCTAGGGGATAATAATTCGGGAACTCTTCAGTAGAAACACTCGGCCTGGGAGCAATTGATGACGCGCCTAAGCTCATTGTCTTGCGATGATTGGCATTGGACGAGCTTGTGGGTCCAGGTGAGGGGTCCCTTGACGGCGCTTCACTGGCTCCAAACGGATCCAACGGTGAGGAGCGGAGTGTTGGACTGACAGGATCAGTTACGCTTCGATCCCTACCGACATTATCGTCGTCTTTTCCAAGAAGATTAATGTAGCCCCAGTTCACAGAGCCCCAAAGATTAGCCATCAGGCCGCCTGGCATGTTACCCGACCTGCCTATACCTAAGCCCCGTTCACCGCTCACTGCAACGGCTGCTTTACTGAGATTTGTGGGTGCAGGTGGATTGGCAAGTGTAGAAGGGGACAAACTACTATGGGGTAGTGTTTGTCCCAAAACTAATCGAGTATCTGGAAGACCCGGTGCAGGTGCAGTTATTTGGCCAACTTGTACGATGTTATGACTCGCAGAAGCAAGACTCGCAGAGATCAAACTGGCTATACCGCCTGAAGCAGATGAAGGATTGCTCCCACTCAGCTGGGGTCCAACAGTGGATTTACGAGTCAGATCCAGCTTTTCCATGATTCTTGTGGCATGATCTCGTCTACCGCTCTCGCCCACGTCTATGCCCGTACTTCGGCGAGCTACATCAAAGCTTCCGCGGGCCACCAAGCCGTCCGGTTGCGGAATAGCGAGTGTTTCGGATCTATCAAGCGCTCCAATATCGTCACTAAGATGGCTTGCATGACCTTCTGATGTTTTTGCGGCAAATTCCGGGGCAACCGGTGGGCTAATAGAAAAGGCGGCGTCAACAGAGCCTGGTGCTCCAGCATCTTTTGAGTCCTCGAGTGCTTTTCGCTTGGCCACTTCGAATGACGAGATCCATTCGGTAAGATCAGTCTGCGTATCCGCTTGCAGAAGGATTGTCGTGTCTTTAGTTTTAACCTCAAAACAAAAGCGTCTTTCTTCTTGGAATGCAGGCCGAATACCGCATAGCAAGACACCAATCTTTTCCGACTCCTCTACAGCACCAGAGCGAGTGCCCTGGGTGAGCCAACCAAAGATGCCATGCTTCACAAAGAACCATCTGCGAACCCAGTATGTGCGCGCAGGTTTTCCGGTGATGGTGCGTTGGAAGAGCCAACCCTGCTTTTCTGACTTTTCAATCGTGGAATCCGGTTTTGCAGGGGACGGAATATTGGCCGAAGAAGCCGCTTGCGAGGATAAATAGGGGACTGTCGAAATAGCATAAGAATCGATATCACGGGATGGCCTCGCACTCAACTCAGCACTATTCTCGACCTGTTGGCGTGCGAGATGAAGCTCTCGCTTGAACACGCGCTCGCCATTTTCTATCTCTTTACTCCACCCACGAACACGGTCCATGTCAGAACTCCAGGTATTGAAAGATTTAGCAGAGCTTTCTCGTGCTGTTCTCATGTCGCGCCATTGCTCTGAGATTACTTTGACTAAGATCTTGTCCAATGTGACGCGAACCTGCGGGGCAAGGACACAAAAGTCCATGCTGGCTTTTAAATATGCCTTCCTGGCCTCGTGCAACTGAAACGCATCTTCGCGCAACGAGGATGCCTCCTTTGTCTTGATTTGCCCAGCGTATCGTGCAATTGCGCCGTCGAAAACTCTCTGGGTATTATCCAAACTTCTTCTGGCATCTTTCAACATGCGGAGGTCGTTTTGTAAGAAAGCGCGGATTGGCTCGCAGACATTGGACTCAGCCTTCTTCATGCTCCGTAGTGTGCTGTTCCAAAATTCGCGTGCGCCTTCACCAAATCGTTTCAAAGCCAAGACAGTGTAGTCGTGATCGAGCACAGCTTCGGATAGCTGAAGAGGGGGGTGCGATGCCTGGATGTAGCCATCTACCAATGATTGTAGCGCATTCATTTCGGTCGCCAGCCTTGACACTGCGCGGATGTAGCCATCGAGCCATCGTTCTATTAGGTCGATTTGGTCGCCGAAATGGACAGCGGTGGCGCGAAAAGTGGGAGAATCGAGCGCGGCTTCTTTGATCACGACCGGACTACGGAAATGTAAAGGTAAGCCTTCATGTTGAGCGTTGGTGGGGAGAGTGATCCCACATACATCAGGTCTAATGGCCGGGTCACCTGCTCGAGGGTGGTGGACGCTGCAGACTCATCGGCCATTGCTTCTTTGAAGGCTAGAGGTGATATTCGTAGGGTGTTTTACACGGATGGAACGGATTGCGTGGATCGGCAACGAAAGGAAGTTATACATTGATATTACAATAACAAATGCCAAACGAGCTCAATGACAACGATAGTAGAGCTGACGGTGGGTCAGAAATCTGTTCCCGGGTGAGTAAATAATATATACATGCACGTATACTACGTACGTCGGTAAGTATGTACGTACAGGCGCGTATTGGGTGTTCAGCTGTCGGCAGCTTGCCTACGCTTATCTCCATACCCAATTGATCGAACGACGTCAGCACCCCTGCCCATCTCGGCCAAACATATCTCCGACGTCTGCTCGAAATCTTGGCGTTCCATAATTTTTTGTATAGCGTCTCTAATCCTCGGCCTCTGTTTACCTTCCCCGTTTTTACCATCTTTTTTCTGCAACCAAGACAATGGCTAGAACCAAAGAAAAAAAGTCGTCCAAGGGCGTGAAGCGTGAATTCTCCTCGGAACCTGCGACTCGTGTTGCTGAGGAAGACCGACCCGCTAAGAAAACAAAGCTTCTTGACGATACCGACGATGAAGACGATGAGGAAGACGTTGGAGGCGTATCGCTGAAAGTCAATGAAGAGTATGCGCGTCGGTTTGAGCATAACAAGAAGCGCGAGGAAAAGCACAGATGTATGCACATTCACAACCCTCAATTTATTCACCGGGACTGACCAATCTTAGTGGAAGAGAAGTATGGCAAAGAGGATGACTCTGAGGATTCGGAAGATGGCGTGGAAGAAGATGACGCCGGAGAACTTGTTACCGAAGCCCTCGACGCCGATATTTCAGCTACTCTACAAGCCCTACGCTCCAAAGACCCCCGCATCTACGACTCGGAAGTCAAGTTCTTCCGCGAGGAGGACAACGATGGCTCTGCACCTACAAATGGAACAAACAAAGAAAGCTCAATGACTTTGAAGCAGTACCATACCAAGAATCTGTTGGAGGGCAAGTTTGGCGACGATGAGGAAGCCCCACCTAAAACCTATGCGCAAGAGCAGGAGGAAGCACGTCAAGATCTGCTTAAGGAGGCCTTAGCAGCGGAAGACGGTGAGGACGAAGATGACTTCATGGTCGCGAAACGCAAAATCGAACCGGCTCCCAAAACTCAGCGCCCCAAAATCACAGCTGCAGATATCGAGAACGCCGATAAGGATCCTGAGAACTTTTTATCCAACTACATGGCATCTCGCGCCTGGGTGCCCAAGGGAGACACCCAATTCAAGCCGCTAGAGTCCGACGACGAGGACGAAGAAGCCGCGGCTGATGAATACGAGAACTCTTACAACCTCTACTTCGAGGACACCCCGAATGCCAACGAGAAACTTGTCACTTATGCTCGTGACGCCGTCGCAAAGACTACTGTTCGCCGTGACGGCCAAAGCAGCCGAGCGAAAGCGCGCGAAGCAGCAAGAGCGAAGCGAGAGGCGGAAAGGAAACAGCGCGAGGAGGATCTTGCTCGCCTACGAAAACTCAAAGTGGATGAGATGGAACAGAAAGTCAACAAAATTCGTGAGGTTGGTGGCTTGAAGGGACGTGACTTCAACGTGGCTGAATGGAAAGATGTCCTGGAAGCCGATTGGTCCGATGATCAATGGGACAAGGAGATGCGCAAGCGCTTCGGCGAGTCGTACTACGACGACGAAGAAGGGATCGGATCGGATAGCGACGATGGCAAGAAAAAGAAGCGGAAGCCCAAGAAGCCCAAGTTCGATGATGACATCGACATCAAAGACCTTGTCCCCGATTTCAAAGACGACGAAGACGAAAAGCCCGAAATTGACCTATCTTCAGACGACGATCAAGATGCCGAACCTGGAGCTGAGGATGAAGATGAAGACATGGACGACGGAACCAGCAAACCCTCAAAAACCAGCAAACAGCTCAAGCGCGAACGTGCCGATGCGAAAAGCGCTTCTCGTCGCGACAGGCGTCTAATCGAGAACCTCGTTGATGACAGTCTGAAATACGAAAAAGCCATGGCGACAAGTACCAAGAAATCCGCACCTGTGCGTTTCCGCTACCGCGAGACATCACCAACCACCTTTGGCATGACGGCGCGCGATATTCTCCTCGCAAGCGATAAGCAGCTCAACGAATTTGCAGGCCTCAAGAAACTCGCCACTTTCCGTGATCCGGACAAGAAGAAGAAAGACAAGAAGCATCTCAGCAAAAAGGCGAGACTGAGGCAATGGCGACAAGAAACCTTTGGCAGTGCTGATGGACCAAAAGGTGGTTTCGAGGCTTTGGTCGGCGACGAGGCCACTGGTGATGTGCAGATGGGCGGTGTGGAAGACGGAGGAGTGAACATCAAGGAGGGCGAAGGCAAGAAGAAGCGGAAGAGAAAGAACAAGGGGAAAGCCAAAGCGGAAGCTTGAGTCCCTTTCATCTCTGTACCAAAAGAGTCTTGATTATCTCCATTCATAAGTAAAATGACTTATCACATTCACATCATTTTCATTCCTCCGTCTTGGACTAAGCGTGATAAGAAACAAGGTCAAACAGTGAATCATGTCCCTCTACATTTTTTGGCTTCCATCCCGTTCCGAACATCATGATCACATGTTCTACTACTCTGTCGGCTACTGTTCGCATCTTCGCGTGTAATTCGTTATTAAAAAATTGTAGTTTCGAACCGCACTATGCGGCTACATCTCTATTCTATATCCACGTCGTTCAGGACCAACGTCTCTTGATGCGTAGCACTATGGTAATTGGTAGACGTATTGGCGAATGGTTTCGCCAACTTCACACCTTTAATTCGAATGTATGGTCATGTCTTCCAAGAGTGAAGTAAATACAGAGAACTAGACTTGAACACTGTTGAGTGCTGACAATTCAGGCACGACTGCGAATATGCAGACTTACTCAAGTCTTTTGATGTGTAATCCAGGGAAATAGGAAACGTGAACACAACTTCTTGGTCGTAGATCGTTGTGGAAAGAATGACACTGGCTGATGATGCCTTTATTGTTTTGGCTACATATACGGAATCATACATTGCTTATGACGATAAACAACATAGTACTTCGTAGAGAAGAAGTTCGTAAGCCCAAATGCTCATATATGCACTTCGTACAACAACCGCACCAAACTCGTACATTGCCCATTTGAAGCATAAAGCCTTCAACGCTGCAATTAAGCAGCCGCGAGGTTAGCCTTACCAAGCCCCCAGCGGTCAGCAAACGGATCGTACGAAGCATTCAACCACCGGGTGTATTCATTCGAATCAGCAACCCACTGCGACACCTGGTCTCCAAACACATGCGCAACATAAGCATACGCGGTATCAGAAGCAGCACTGACTCCGCTTCCAGTCCACACATTACCATCTTGTACCCAGCGAGCGTGGGTCTGGTAGTCGACATTTGTGCCAAAAGTAGTAGCCCACGCCCACGCTTTCTTGTTCGTCGTTGCTTTCTTGTTGTCGAGGACACCGGCACGGGCCAGGATCGTGGAGCCAGTGCACACGCTGATGATGTCTCTCAGCTTAGGGTAGATCTCCTTGACGAAGTCGATTTCGTTGGAGACGTCGGCACGGGTACCGCCGCCACCGGGGACGAGGAGCACGTCGATTGGGCCCTTGTTTCTGATCTTCGCCTTGTCTGGGCATGTTGCGGGCTCGTCAAGGTCTGTGGTGAAGTTGCTCGCGGCGAGTTCGCGGTACTGGGCCAGTGTGATGCTGGGTGGCAATGCAAATTCGAAGTCCAGACCCCCCATCCGACTACCGGTAGCTGCTGGTGTGCTGTTGACCGAGAGGACGGAGAGTTCAAATCGGCTGACGTTTCGATATGACATTACCAGACCGGTGAGCACATCGAGAGGGCCGAATAGGTCGATTGGTTGGATTGCAGAGTGGAGTAGAATACCGAAGTGAACTGGGGTCGCGGAGGTGTTTGCAAATGGAGGAGCTACATCTTGCGCAAAAGTGGTGCTGCTTATGGCCGCTGCCATCAATATGGTAAATGTTTTGGTATACATATTGGGTGAAATGGCGAAACTCTGTCACAGAAGTGATGATGACTGAAGTCGATGGTAGACAAGATGAGGATTCGAGACTGATTTATATATCGCCAGTATACTATAATCATGTACGGGAGTGGACTATAATCCCCACATGAAACGGTAAGGATGCGCTAGTTTACTATACACAATTGTACGAGTGTGCCAATCAATATGCATACGTACGACTGCGAAGAACTAGAGGTAAGAGTGGAATAGTGACGCCAAGAACTCTCCCTTAAAACAAAATCCGCATCCGTGCGAAGCCCAGGAAACAAACCCGACTGCCTACATGTATGCACGCTTAACCTTCATTTGTGATGACCGGAAATTCTCCTTTGACATGCGTGGGTATAGTTTCTAAGTCTTGGTATCCTTGGTACTGATGCGAATTGACCAAAGGCGAGTCCACCGAGAGACCGAGCAAAGAAACCATTGGTATCAATTGCCCGGAAAAAACAGTTGACGAAGAAGTGTGGGGTGCACTTGGACACACCGAATAACCGCCCTGTGGTGCGTGGCGTGCATTTGAGCGCATTTCCGTGCCTGCGTGCATTAGAGCCCCGTGCAATAAACAAATCCGTTCTCGTCATTTGTCGTGCGAATGCCCGGCCCCCAAGCCCCAGCTTAGGGTGCACCAACTACGTTGGAATTAGGTGCTTAGTCAGTCAAGTCCGGCCGGCTCTAGGGACTTGTGTATGGGAAATGAGAACAATGATGAGCATACATAGGCGAAACACGATAGGGACAAGGAATCCTATCGGTGTAGGGATCTCGAGATATAGTATGAAAATATGGAACGGATTGCCTATTTGAGCATCACTGCATAGTGGAATAATTCGTCCGGGGTCTTCGAAAAGGCATTCACAGGGTTCGATTCAGCAATGCCATGTAGCACCGTGTCAGGAAAGGCATTTCTTACGAATGTTATGAACTTGGAGTCAGTTATGTAGTCATCTTATCGCGTAACTAGACTACTTTGCTGTGAGCGCGAGGATCTATACACCAAATGTACATGTGTACTGGTTGAAGCCATCTCCGAGATTTGCTTCAAGCTTCATGTCAAACAAATAAACCACATCTCCTAGAGTTACACCATTCCTCAGAAATGAGAACTCCAATTGGTACAACCCTACCACCATCTCTGTCCAAAACCATGACATCTCAACCCGGCCGCGGATATCCACCAACTCCGGATTTAAGACCGGACATCTCCGTTTCGACTCGTACATTCACCAAGCTTTTGCTTTACATCAACATTAGCAAAATCCCAGGTACCCGAACCAATAACCCAACTGCAACCCTAAGATGGCATTCATCTCCCCCAAGATCTGCCAAGTGTTACACACCGATCTCCAATCTTCTATGCCCGCTGAACATGCTTCACTGCGTGCGTAATGCACCCACGGTTCACATCTTGTAAACTTCTCATATGAGGGTATTTGTAATCACGCGAGCAAAACATGATGACACTTTTTATAATTCCACAGCGACGATGGAGTGAGGGGTTATTCTATGTATCCGATTTGGGGCATGCTAGACGAGATCCTCATTCGAGATTAGAAATGGAATAGATAGGTTGAAGGGGAGGCGAGTTGCAAGTTGTTTGTCGAGTCAGTCGCAGTGCTTCACATAATTCCGAGGTGACGAGAATGGCTAGGTAATCGCTTTCAACAGCGCAGATCAGGAGCCTCGGATATCCCCTACTTGGGAATATCAAGTTTGGTGTAGACTAATGTTGATTCCTCATTTTTCTGGATATGTGTATTTCACTCTCTCCGATAGAGCAAAAATCCACTCACATCCAACATTCACAGAACAAATGATGAAGAGAACACACGGAAAGTAATTACTAGGTTATCTAACAACAACTTGCAGGTTACAAAAGTATATTCCCCAAGGAATTCATACCTTGAGCTACCAAAGATAACCACTTCTCAGCAGCAAACCCCCCATCTTCCCCATAACAAAACAAAAAAAAAAGCCGCCTACCTAACAGCAGTCCCCTTCTTGAACGTAGCACTGTCCTCATCCCACCCACTTTCGCCGCTATCCCTGGTTCTCCTCACATCCCCAATCTCGCTCCTACTCCGCCCATGATGCCTCCTGCTCCTCTTCTTCTCTTTGTCCCCATGCTTCCTCCCTCCGTACCCACCGAGCAACAACCCTCCTACAGCCCCTAATCCAGGGAAAATCGCATCTCCAATTAACCCACCCGCGCCCGCGCCAAGGAACGTATCGCGGTCTTTCCGCGAGCCGGAAGTCGAGCTCCCGCGCGTAGCGTCATCAGCGTGTTCGGAACGATGACGACGGTGGTGGCGGTGGGTTGATGAGGAAGAAGGGGAGCGATGGTGGTGATGTCTTGATCTGCGTGGTCGGATTTCAGATGTAGAGTCGTGGGCGGAGAAATCCGAGGACTCGGCGTCGTCACGGGTGCGGGAACCGTCGCGGTGATGGCGGCGGGAGCGGGAATGAGAATGTGAGCGATGGGAGTGGTGGGAGTATGACGGGTCTGTGTGGGAGTGGGAGCGGTGTTTACGGTGTTTACGGTGGTGGCGACGGCGGGCTTCTTCGCTGGAGGATGAGGCTGAGTGGCGATTTGAGGAGGCGTCGCTTGAGCCCGAGTCCGAATCGTCTTCGAAGCGGACGCGGGGTGGTTGAGAGTGGCTTCTGACGGGATGAGGTGCAGGTCCTAAGTAGGTGTTTGGGGGTGGTTGTTGTTGGGATGGGTGGTGGGAGGACTGTTGAGGGACGTAGGAGGTGTTGGGATATGGGGGGAACATTGGATCTTCTGGGTAAGGAGGAGGTTGAGGTCGGGGTTGATAAGTTTGTAGTTGTTGATGTTGATTTTGGTGTTGCTCTGGTGCTAAAGAATACGTTGAAGCGTCTGGTCCTGTGATTTCAAGTCGTGGTGGAGGTTGCTGGACTGGTTGATGCTGCTGAGTATATGGATGTGCTGGTTGCTGTTGGTAATGCTGGTTTCCCATCTGCTCAGAGGCAGCAGTGCCCAGGTAGTACTCGGCTGCCGCCATGGTATCTTTCTTGGATCGTGTTGATGAATATGGTGTTACTCTTTGAGACGTATGATGATATTAAGACCGAACGGGGGGTTCAGGTATATGCCTCCTTATCTGATATGCTGTATGTTTGCTCCGATTCCGAATATTGTAGTTAAATTTATTTGCTGGCTAAGGCAAAAATTGTTACTGAGACAAGGGCCCTTAAAGACGGGAGCGGAGCCTAACGTTAAGTAGGACGTCCAAAGGACATCATGAGCGCCACGCCGGCGAATAGTTCTCCACTTTCTTACACAAGCCCAGTTCGCCTCATGCTCGAAAGAGTCACACCGGGGCGCATCCTTTGCCGGATCTGTACGTCATCTGAGCGTCTGTACGTGAGCAATCTAGGTAGCCTAGCGGGCACGTACCTTTGTACCAGTTGCAGCCTGATCAAACACATAAGCGTGGAACATGTGCATGTTCTACAACATTTGGAGTCCTTTTACGCCGCACTTTCTTTTTGCGTATTTTGGTCTTGCTGTTAAAAATCGGCTTGATCAAGACTTCTATTCGATTTCACAACAGCAGTTCCTTCACCCATCCTTCAAAATCACTAACGCCACACACCCTCTTTCTTCACCCCCACTTAATAGACAAGATACCAAGCACATATTTCCCTGCGCTGGTGGTCACATTCGACTTTTCCTCTTCCTGGTACGACGTCATCTGAGCGTACGTGAGACAGTGTGCATTTGACAAGCCATACATCGGGTAGATCGGGGAGGCTTGGCCGTTGAGTGTATGCGTGCCGCTAGCCGGTTTAGCGAGTGCTCATGCAGAGCTGTAGGGTTTGCTGCACTGAAAGTTCACTTGTGATCAATAATGTAACGATACATGAAGTAAATGCATAAGAAAAAATGTAAGTGTAGTGGTGACAACTTGATGAACCACAACTGAACTCAGCAGTGTTGGGGACGCAGAAGTACGCCTGTCCGCCTCACATCGCCCACTTGCGAGATCGTACGTTTATTAGTTTTTTGAGTATGTGTACTGCCAAGAAACGAGACTGTAGGCCATGCCGAACCAATCAAAGAGCGCCGTTGCTCCAAAAGGCGAGTATGTACAAGTAAGAAAATAGTGGTCATCAGGCTCGCGCCTTGTCCTTCTCGCTAACGACATGCTCCGTAGGAACGTGTGTGACCGGGGCGCCCTGAGCTTGTGCCTCGATATCCGTTGGTTTCTTGTAGGCATCGGCGGGGATGGGCACGCCTTCAATTTTCTTGACATTCTTCCCTTCCTTGAACATCATGATGCCACCCAGTCCGGCCACGATGCAGCCCAGCGCGACAAAAGTCCCAGTCGCCCAGGACGGGCGTTCATAGCGGTTGTAGTTGTACATATAGTAGCACAGCACAACTTGGAAAAATGTGTTCCAAACATTCATCCAGACCACCCAATCCATCTTCCAGCCCTTGGTAGGGGGAGCGCGATGCGCCGTGGGTGGAGGATCAGGGATCTTCTTCGCAGGAATAGGGACGGCCGGGTCATTTGGATCAACTTCTGCAGCGCCAGCGGCAGACGGCAGCTGATCGGAGCCGGGGAGGCGAAACCAGCCCTGGTGGATACCCGCCAGTCGCCTTATGCCGGTTTGCGTACGATTTTTCCCGCCAACCCTCCACCAAGCCCACCAGTACAAATCGCGAAATCGCCATGGTGCCAGCCCGAAACCCGTAACGCAAAAGAGAGCGTTGAGAATCTGCGAGTCGATCTCGATCCATATCCGTCGTGGTGATTGTATATCGTTGCAAGTCGGAGTGCACATGGCGGGTGCAGCATTGCACAGGAGAAGGAACAGCATACCGCCCCAAGCGACTACGTTCAAACCGTACAGCGTGATGAGAAAACCGGAAGGCGTCAAGAACCACTTCCAGAAACCCTTCAGCCCAATCATCGTAGACTCTTTCCAAGGGACTTTAGGAGGCGGAACGTAACCGTTGGTATACTGTTCGAGTTAGACAGGGAAGCACATTGAAAATCAAGAATGGAATCATACCTCTCGTCGCATCTCTGGCTTCTTGTCGCGTTTGCCAAATAAGCCCTTATTTTTCTTCTCTGATTGCGTGCCTCCCACCACTGGCTCCTCCTTTTCTGTAAAATCGGTGCCCTCCTGGCTGGGCGCAGTTGTCATGGGAAGGGGGGATTGTTCCGAGGTTCTTGTGCGATGCGCGCTCACGTCGTCCTCTGTCACTTCCGTTACAGCGGGAAAGGGCTCAACACCGAGCATATTGGACGAATTGGATCTCGCCTTGCCTAAGGCGGGTCTTGAAGACTGGTCGTAATCAGAGTCAGGCTCTGGACCACCTCTGTTCCTCTGAGCCAACATTGCGCTCTCTTCACTCCTGGTTCTCTCGGCCTTTTGTCTTTGCGGCTCCTCGTTCCACCCTGATTCACTGAACGATCCTCTTCTTATGTCGGACAACGTAGGTGCTCTCGATGTAACACTTCCTGTTGCCGCCCACATGCCTGCCGGAGGCGTGGCTTCCATCAACTTGAGGCTGGCGGTGCGGATGCGACTGCTGGCAGATGCATTGGTCGAGGTTCGCGAACGGCGGCCGGGCGGTGAATTGGGAACGTCGGACTGAGCACTCGAAGGATGTTGTGGAGAGTCTGGATGGGGGAACGGAACGGGTGTTGGCACACTGGCGTTGGCGTCTGACGAAGCCATGCTTATGTGAAGGTTGAAGGAGAGGAAGAAAAGCTGCTAAGGCATGGCGAGTGTTTTATTGTTGTGTCTAGAAGGAATGACCCCCATGGAGGAAATCGGACCTAATGGCTAGGGTGCTTCGCCCCTGCTGGGGTTACCAAGGTGGGTACAGCGTTTTGCCCGTATCTCCACAAGATACGGCAATACGCGTAAAGGTAGATTACACGTTCCTCGTACAGCAAACGTATCGGCCTTTACCGTGGATGTTGCTGACAGACACTCGTGTTTTGTATTTCATGGCATGTTTCGGTACTCGAGATCAATACCGGTAGATGACGCGCCACTCCCACACGATGAGCTGATGATGATGACGGCGACAACGAGGCGGCTCCTTAATCCGCAGGCGTGGCAGCGTAGGCCAAGGGAAACGCGCGGCGGGAAAGGTGCGTGTGTCTTGTTGCCACTGGTTTCAAGCTGGTAGCGCCGGGTAAAGCCAACCAACAAAACCTTCACATCACTCAGAAAAGAACTGAAAGCAGGTTTGCTGGATGGAAGACGGGTCATGGAAATAATAACACAGGAAAGCATTGTGGTGATTGTGATTGCCATGGGCAGGGTTCGAAGGGGGCCTAGAACTTCCCCATGCAAAGATGGTTGACTGGAAGGAAAAAAAGGGACTCGCGAGCCACTTTTGCCCGTGTAGCGTGCAGCCGAGGCTTTGACTGAGCCCACGACAAATTCTCCGTTGCCAATCAGACGTCAAGCGAGCATCGCAGATACGTGCGAGAGAGAGCACCGTCAGCTCAACAACCATCCATACCCACATCAAACATTTTACTTCCTCAAACAGCCACTCTTGCGAGGACCGGGCTCTACTATGCATGCACTCATCTGTGGCTGTGTGAATTGTCGCAACCTATCCATTGATTCGTTGAATCGAATTATATACCAGTTTTGTACTAGTCCATCATCGCACATAGACCTCAGTATGCCCATTACTGTGTGGTGTGCTTGATCAATCGCCCTGATTAACTAATTATCATAAAAACATTCCCGCAGAATTTGCTTTCTCTTTACAACCATTTTCCCACATTCCCCCAGATACATCGACCAGTTGACTTTACAACAGAGCCCAGACAAAGCCAAGCGCCACGGCAGCAGCCGCAAAAGCGGATGACTGACCATGCATCTTAGACGCCGATGAAGAGCCAGGCACACCGGACGATGACGACTCAGACCCACCGGTAGTCGTGGTGGTTAGGGAAGTCGTAGGAGTCGGGGTGATGCTGAGTGAGGTAGTGTTGACAGGCCCAGGTCCCGATGGCAATGTTGGCACTGGCGTCTCTCCAGCCGGGATGGACATTTCGCCGGGGACACTGGTTGTAGGCAGTATCGCGACTGAAGATGAAGGGGAGGCAAGAATGCTAGACACTACACTCGAGACAATGCTCGAGGCAATGCTAGAGACAGCAGATGTGGGCAAAATTGAAGGAGTCTCGGTTCCGCTGACGGAGCCAGTGGAAAGGAAGGTACTCGACTCGGAGATGGGCAGGATGCTCATTATGTCGGTGGGAGCGCCTGTTCATGTTAGTCAGTCGTTGTTGATTACATTGTCAACTGTATATTCGAACGCACATGCATCGCAAGGTTCGACGACGCAGACCTCATTGCATGGCGACGATGAAGACGGTGGTGGTTGCGTCGACATACTGGTTTGAGCCTGGGCGCTAGCCAGGAAGAGGAAGGCGCTGTATAAGAAACGTGCACCAAGCATCGTGGTTGACGATCAGGCAGTGGCCTTGATGTGGGATACGCAGGGTGGCTTCGATGGTAAGGAAAGGTCCAGCGTATATGTATGCAGGAGACAGTTGGTTGATGTGGTCGAGGTGAGGAGAAAGGTGAGTCGCGGACGTTCAGTGAATAAATAAATACAACTGGGCAATATTGTTTGTCTTTTCAGGTGCGCTCATGTGGTGAGTGACACGCAGCGCCATGCAGGCATTACGTATACCCATCCATCCTAGGTAGGACAAAGGCATTCCCGTTGTATCCATGAACCCTACTAGGCAACAAAACACCGTCATGCCTTTATTGAATGAGGATGGACGAGCGAGGCCTCTCCTCCTCTGTGTGGACGTTCCGACCAGATCCCGTGACCGGCGAGTGGGGCTGTGAATGTTTTAGCGGGGCAGATCATGGCTAAACACTCAGCACCTTCCCATCGCAACCGCCGCCTCCGATCAGCAAACCAACCACCACCCAACCTTCCATGAACATGAAACCCACCGCCACCGTCGCCAGCCTCCTTCCCTTCCCATCCCCGCTCCAATCGCTCATCCGCGACTCACCCACAGACCATGATTCCTCTACTACTTCCGCCCTGCACTCGCTCGCTATCCAGATAGTGCATAACCTTCAACATCAGCACTTCTGGACGCACCTCCACATCCACACCCACTCGCCAGTCACCAATGCGCCCCTTCCACGGCCCCTGATTTCCGGTCTGCCTCCCCAACGCCTCTATATCCACCCGGACGAGCAGATTGAGCTGGTCAAGTCCGCCGATCGCGCCCGCAAAGCAGCCGCAAAAGCAAAGGCAGAAAAGGACGCCACCGGTGAAGACTCAGCAGCAGCAGCATCTTTGGACGTCAAAGCGGCGCCGGAGCGAGAGTGGGTTCTACCCACGCGCTTGAGCGAGAAATGGACGTTGCGCCGCCTCGCTGAGATCTTTGATGCTGTCTCTCTAGTCCCGCCTGCGCCTGCAACCGAGTCGGAGGAAGGAAACGCACTCAATGGCGATGTGAGCGATCAAAATTTGGTCAGGGAGAACCCATGGCGGACGACGAAAAGAGTGGTGCTGGCTACCGCGGACACCGACAGCACTGTTGTGTACTACATCATGCAAGATGGTCTGGTGAAGCCGCGCCAGAACTGAGGTGAAAATTTCCACAGTTCCGGAGCATTCGGACATACAGCCATCGCCATTGCATATTGCATATGCAAGCCATGGAGGGCATGAAGGGCCATGTCAGGCACCAAGCTGGATGGTCTCTGCATCAGTAGAAGAGGCTTATTGGATAGTGAGGAGAATTGGCTTTGGGTACCTGACCATGCGCCGCCAAAGCAGGGGCATATGGGAACCGGCATATACATGCCCGAGCCTTGGACCACTAGCCGTACGTCTATTTCGGTAGGCATTCACTGGATTTGTCGTTGTGGCCAACCGACAGTTCTCAATGTCACATCGAGAGATGAATGGCAATGTCCCAATATTTGAATACACCTTATCCTCTCTCAGTCCACAAAACGAGAGAGCAAAGGAGGCGCATTGACGAGACCGTTCACTTGATTGGTAGGTAGGATCGGTGACAGTGGGCCAGCAAATGGACGATCAGAAGAAGAAAAGTTGAGTGATTGCATTTATTGATTGTAGAGCATGATACCCTAGAAGTATATATACTCTAATTTTTATCTCGCCCTACGTCTTCCTCTCATGCAATGCATTGATTCTAAGCGTAGCGATAATGTATCCTGCTATGACACTTCCTCTCATGATTTTGACTATGCGCCACTCATCACCAACGCTTATTGTATCAAACCAAGCGATGTAAATGATTTTTGTGGGATCCATTCCCATAGCAAGATCTCCAGAGAAAACAACGAGAACAACCTCCGAGACAAATAACGAACATGGATATAATATAACAATGTACATACATAAAATGCACTAAGAACAAGCCAGCCCCCTTACCCTGCTTTTTAAAAATGCTGAGAGCAAATAAAACCACATAAACCCTAATCGTCACATCATCAAACATGGTCGTTTATCAGACATGATCCAAAATGAACAAAATATAAACCAAGAAAAGAGGATGCGTCTTCAAAGCCCCTCCAACCCTTCCAGCCCCTCTAGACCCTCCAAACTCCCACTCCTCCCCACCCCTACACTAATACTCTGCTGCCTATGCGGTAGCCCTCGTTGCCCCTGTCCTCCCAAATCCTGCTCCCCAGCGGCACCACCGCCAACGCCAAGCCCACCAAACCCAAACCCGTCGTGGTGCGCAAACATGCCTCCCTCGTCATTTGCTCCTAGAACAGGCGGTTCGACATTGAACGGTAAAAACCACCCCGCGTTGCTCGGATCATAGAACCCGGATCCACTACCGGCGCCAGCCAGGGGATCGAGGCCCCAGAACGAGCCCGGATGTGCCGAGGAGAGATCAGTAAAGGGAGAGAGGTCCATTTGCGAGGCGGCTTGCGATGGGTGCATAAGGCTCGAGGGCGATGTATTGAGCATGCTGAGGCTGGCGTTGTGCGAGGGGTGAGTATGGTGAGGAGAGAATTCTGAGAGATACGGGGATTGCTGCTGCGCAAAAAAGGCGGGATCGAAGGCGTCGATGGCTTCTTGCGGATTGATCGTGATTTGACCTAGTTGTTGGTGGAGCGCGTTATGGTGGAGATGTTGCTGTTGGGCGGCGGCTGCAGCCGCATGGCGCTGTTGTTGAAGGTGTTGTTGCTGTTGCTGATGTGCTTGCTGCTGGGCCTGCTGGGCCTGCTGTTGCGCCGCATTTGATTTGTTTAATAAATTGGAGGATGCATCGGGTTTGGAAACGGATTTGGATTTGTTCTTGCGGGCTTGCTTGCGGTGTTGGTCGGCTCGCGAGGGTGGCGAGAGCGAGGCGAAGAACTCTTCGACGCTCTGTAGGTCGCTCTTTTGGCCGAGCACAGCGTCTGTTCCTGGTTCGTTCGCGTTCGACTCGGCCGCATCTTCATAATCCGTCTTAGAGACGCCGTGTGGATATCTGTCAAACCAGTCCCCGTATTGAAAAATGACAGCTTTGCTCTTTTCGCCCACGGCGGCAGGTCCTCTTATCTGCGCATCGGCGTGTTGGCGGTACAGTTCTCTCAGATTCTCGGCCATGTAGTGAAACATTCCCCAATACTTCTTCATCTTACTCAGATACTTCACATTATACGCCAGATATTTCTTTGACTGTGCTTCGAGTTTTGGGTTTTTGGAAAAGACTCCGTGAACGTGAACGGTGGAGGAAAAGAAGGCAGCATAGCCTGCAAATGGGGCGACGACATTATGGTCCATGGCCTCATTGATGAGCATCGATATTTGGTTGGCGGCGTCCAGAGCACTGCGAGCGGACTCGGTGAGAAAGTCATGCGGCATGTCTTTGGGTGGCCGGCTACCGGCTCGAGAGGGTAGGGAGAAGCGGTACATGAAGAGTATGATTTGCTGGTAGAGTATGTGTAGGTAGAGATATTGGTTCGCCGTCCTACCAATGGCATGACTTTTGACGTTTTCGGGGCTGAACACAAGCATATCGGGAAGAGAATCCTTGAACTCCCTCGCTTCTTGCTTGATGACATTTAACGTCGAGTTGGTTGACCACATGGGTTCCTTTTCACGTTCTTTGCCGCCGAGATTCATGTATTTGACAAGTTTGCCCCAAATGCAAACAAGCCGTATAGTGTACGCAGTCACGCCCATGTTTTCGCGAGGATTTGCCAGTTGACCGCTATCCGATGCAAGAGGGTTGGGCACATGGCCGTCCAGGGATTCGGTGGGAGCCTGTATCTCATGCACATATAAATGCTCTTTGACGGGTAACTGCACCTCAATGTACTGCTCATGGACAAACAAGGGTCTGTCGGTGCCAGATGAGTTGAACCGGTCCATGAGAAAACATGACCACATGGTCCTCCGGCGAATTTCCCGATCTGTGAGACTGAGTGGTTTTCGGTCGGCCTCGGTGGAACTTGGGTCGTATTCCAACTCTTTGTGCAGCTGTAAAGCATATGCCATCCTTTGCGCCATGCCACCAAACATCCAACTTCGACCACCCTGACATGTGCCGAATTCATGCAAGCCCAGCAATAGGTAAACGATGAGGATAGTAATGTTTGGCGAGTCGAAACGCCTTAGGGAAATCTCGCGTGCTCTCTCCGCCCAGTTGTCCCCTCGCAAGAAACAAGGCTCGGTCCGCAGCTGTGGATGGGTCGAGAACCGGGCTGATATGGCGCAAATGGCGAGTATAAGCACAGGCGGTACGTTGCCGGACGCTAGCCTCCGCATGAAACTAGGTTTGTGCAGTAAAGGATAGCTCTGGCCATATACATAGTCGAAATACACTTCGGCAAGATGTTCCTGGATTTCTTTTGGTGGTAAGCTTTCTGCACCTTCAGTAAGCAGACTCTGCTCGTCAGTTTCCTTGCTCTTGGATTCGGACCCAACCACATGCGGGTTGGCCGTCTTTGTTTTGGCCCACTGGTCTAACTCATTTCCGAAGGCCTCCTCAGCACCGCGTTTCTTGTTGGCTGTCGGTGTCTTTGGCGGAGCTCCCGGTATAGCAGGTTTGACGACTGACCTGCCCACGCCAGCGACGGATGGTAAACTTTCCTTTGGTATCAGCTTGACAACACGGTCTTCCATGCGGCGCAGTCGCTTGTCGAGCATGGCCATGTAGTCTGTCCTTGGTGCAGCTTTGCGGGTGGTGACTTTGTACACACAAGGTATCCGACTTCTAAGGCAATGTTTACATGCCGGTTTCTCGCCTGAACAACGAATCTTCTTCCGGCGACAAGCTATGCACGCAAGAGGTAGTCTTTTCCTTTCCTTTCCTGCCTTTGTTTTCATCTCACTCCACGAGGGCGGATCCGTCCCATCATTGCTGTCGGCTTTAGCAGCCATGTCAGTGCCGTCCCTACCGGAGCCGTCCTCGAGCCTCATGCTCAAAGTAGAGCCGTCGTTGAGAGTGTCCCCAATAGCCAGCATTCCCAGACCGGCGGTGCTCTCGGGGCTTGTGGTGTGGCCATCGCGCGTCGAGTTCATCTTGAGGCCGCTATTGGGATTGGCGGAGCTCACACTTAGACGGTGTGGATGAGCACTCGCGGCTGCAGCCATGGTGTCATCGCTCATGTTGCTTATGCTATCTCTATGCGACTGGAGATTTGCGGTTTTGATGGTGGGTTGCGGCCTGTCAAAAGTGGAGTTGAAGCCGTGATTTTGGCCATAGACGGCAAAGTCGGAGAAGGAAGCCATGGCAGCGTTAGGGCTGTTGGAGGAATTGCGGACAGGAGAGCGAAGGGGGGACGGGAGAGGATGCAGGCCGTAGTCAGCGAGGGTGAGAGGATCCGAATCGTGGTGGGATTGTGAGAAGCGTGCGTGGTGTTGCGGGTGATGGTGCGGCTGGGGTGTGGCCATTGGATCTATGCCATGCAATGGTCGATGTTGTGGATTGATGGCTTGCTACTGTGGGTGGCGGCGATATAAGATGGATGCAGTCAGGGCGGAATGGATCGGATGGAGACGAGACGTCGCATTCGAGGGTGTGCGAGTTGCTGCGAGCGCAGGCAGGGTCCCCATGCAACGGTTCGCTCAGAGTTGTTCACGCATATCAGGTCCTGTCATGTCGCCATTCCTAGCTATGATCCTTTTGCTTTTTTTTCTCGCTGGTTGCGGCGAGCTGCGGCTCTGGGTGGGCGGAATGGCTTGTCTTGCTGGTGGGAAAAGGGACAGACAAACGGGTGGGGAGTGAAATTGGGCGGTGGTGGTGTTTAGTCGGAGGAGAATCGGCGAGGAAATGGACTGGGCAGCAGCAGTGGCAGGCGCGGACACAGGCGCAACCGCTCCTTCCTTCCCTTGGGGATGGGTAGCTTCCCCACAAACCGTGCGCGCCTTCCCTCGCTGATGGCTTGCGCTGCTCGTGCTTGCCACGCTCAATGCTACACTACATATCTACATGTACCAGGCACTCTGTTACCATTACGAATTAGCAACCAACACCAGTTGACAGCAAGCAGGCAAGCCACCCTCTTCTCCCTACCTGCTATGGGTTGCATGCACCCTTACCTATATCACCACCATGGCGCGTATCCCTCTGGGCGTCATCGCCTTTTGTGCTTGGTTTCCATTCTTCCCTGCAATTCCTGCACGCCAGCGGGCAAAGTGGGGTGTCCTCCGCGGTGACGCCAGCAGGCCAATCATGGCGGGTGCGATGGACCCCTAGTCAGCGGCGGATCCCTGCCACTGGCGAGCTCCCCACATGCTTCGTTCCTTTGCCATCTAGTGTACGTCGCTAGCCTATTGCTCAGACACGACAAATCAATCCACAGTCTGGAGTCTCTCAGCAATCGCCCATCGAACAAACCAAGCCTCCCCCAACCCTGCCATGGCTAGCCTCTTGAAGACTTGCGGCTCCCTCATCGCCTCCAAGACGACTAATTCCCAAGTATCCGCCTGGCTGCGCCTTACTCGTACGCTGGATCCACGGCGCAATCCTGCTGTACATGTATACATGTCACTCACTTCACCCACATATGTATGCCTATATATTCATATACATTGATCTGCATAGTGCCTGCACGCGAGAAGGGGGCCCGCCTGCCTATTTCTCTCCATATTCCTTCGCCTTGCTTTTCTTGATTTGACCACTTTTCGTCCATTTCTCTTCCTCTTTTCGTATCCCATGTGCTGCTCTCTTTCTCAATGCGGGGTGTCCACATGGCGCTCTTTTTCCCCTTCCCACCTCTCGCCTAAACTTCCGAACCGCCTCTACAGCCAACCACTCCCTTGGCTCCCACTTTTTTTTATTGAGCAGTAATCACTCTCCAATATCAGCTCCATCAACACACACTATCCACAATATCACCACTAATCTCCTTCTCTCTGCCTTTCACCCATTCATCCATCTACCTCGTCTGCTATGCGTCACCCCTCTCCACCGCCTTTCATTCAAATGTTCGCGACTCACGCGCCCAATGCCCATCACCTACTTCACACTTACATATGTAGCCAACACGTCCATCGCCTATCCCTGCCTGCTGCTTGGCTGTAGTCTGAATCCCATATGCGCGCCTAACTCCTCACCCCTCCAACTAACATTCTCTTTGCTCACCTTGTGACCGACCAAGAAAATCTTCGCCTTCGCATGCAACAAGTCTTTTTGATTGCTGACAAGTGCCACGCCGCCGCACTCTTGCCCTAGCTGATGGCTGCCTTCGTATACCACCCGTACCCACAGCCGTAAAAAAACTCGTAATTCCTTGCATACACGGATGGGCGGGTGGTAAGTGGTGGTGGTCAGCCACGCAACAATCGTCATTGTCCAACATCTGTCACTTACGCGATCGGTCTCGTTGGGTGCCTCGAGTGCCTAGGTATGTACGTATGCCAATCATACAGCCTCGGGTCCACATTAGTATGCGACTTTCGCGAAAAGGTACCTTTATCATCCATCTCACCGGACTGATGGACTTCGTGTCTTGATGCCTCTCTTGCCAAATAATCTTCTCTTCGTAATGTCCCTTCAAATTTGAAGACCAGATAGTTACACATGCACACGTCAATAACCAAATAAAAAATATAAAAAATTCGAACCTCAAAATTCGATTCCTGTATTCCCAAAAACTAGAAGTCCTCAACCAGTCATCGCAAATCCCAAAAACCGAAAGAAATAAAATGCAACTAGACGCAAGTCTTGTTTTCCGAAATTCATTTCTTTTTCCCATTTTCCAGAATCTTTTTTCTTTTTACTTTGTTCGTTGTTTCCTGCCGATCCAATCACGTCGTCGTCTCCCCTTTCTGCCCTCTCTACGCCTCAATCCAACCCCCCTACCTCCGCATGTCCGTACTGGGGGGTGGGGGATGCGAGGTTGTTGACGTACCATACGGCGGCACAGTAGGCCTAAATCCCAAAATCTTATCCATAGCCAACATCACCCACGTCACGGTTAAACTCGATGAGCATGCAAGCAAGCAAACAGTCTCCTACGAAACCAGCCATCGAAGACGGATTCGTCACGTGATGTATATAGCGCAGGGAATATTTCTCTCTTTTTCAAATCTCTGACATCTTACCTATTTTACTCGGTGTCCTTGCCGATTGCTCAGAAAGGTACACACAAAGACGAGGACAATAGATTTCATTAGAGGTATAGAATACTCAAACACACCAACTTCGCAGTATCCATATTCCCCCAGTATATCCTCGCTGACATCGCTATACGTGCACAAATTACCTAGGTAAGTATATCAGAAATCCAGCTTGACATTATACCCCAATATCATGCCATCATCCGGTAGCAAATTTCCCATAACATGTCATCAGCATCAACAACAGCGCGATACGCAATCTCAATCCGCAGCAGCTTCCCCCTTCCATAAATTACCTGGTCCTGACAGCGGTCAAGAGTTCCTGGTTCCCGTACTCGTCCCAGCGTTCGTACTTATGCTTGTCCATTCCGTGGGTACTACGCAAATTGCAAGTATCCGGAAACGGGCAAAATCCTTGATCACGCTCAAATGCGCATTGATGACCCAGATCTACAAGCCTTCATCAGTAACACACCTACACAGCAAAAAAAAAAAAAAAAAAAGTGAACTTACAGCAGTCCACGTTCTCACAAGATGGGTCTTTGCAAGCCAGACTGCGCGTCTTGTAGCGCAGAGCATTTAGTTCACTAGGGGTCAGCTTCGGCTCGTGCTGGAAGTAGCAACCGCTTCCATTATTGCATTTTCCGTTGTTTAGATGCCAGTGGTTGCATAGATTTTTGCCGCCCCTCTTCATGCGCGCGTCAAGAGCCACTTTGGCATTTTGCTCTATCGATGGGAGTTGTTCATCAAGGCGCTGGCCGGATGCATTGTAGTAGGCATATTTTTTCTTCGTGTTGGTCTTTGCTGCAATAGATATGGGCTGATCAGGTAAAACCCCCCCTTTACCGACCTTAGCCCAAGAGGAATCGCCCGACCCATTGACTGGAGTCGCAAGCGACGAGGCAGTAGTGGTTGGAGAGGACGTAGTCGGAGTGTTGCTTGATGAAACAGGAATCGGGGAGTCTGAATTTTGCCTCGTGGTCCTATAGAGCTGGTTGTTCATAGGGGCAGGAGGTACAAAAGTTTGCATGGAAGGGTTCCAGTCAGGCAAGGCTTGGTTCCTAAATACACCATCAAAACGGGTACGATGGAAATTAGATAGCTCCGCAAAGCCTCTATACGCGGGCGTTGACTCGAGGAGGGTAATTCTAGCTGCTTTTCGTTCGTCGTGCTTATACTCCTCGAGATTCAGCAGATAACCCGCGTCATGGCAGGCTCCAAATACAATATGCTTGCACGTGGGATTATTGCTGAAAGTGCGCAGCATTTCTTGGGTGCATGTCAGTGGGCATCATCGAGAATGATGGAAGACCTACTAACCTTTAATCTTATGATCGGCGCGTTCTTTCCCTTGGCCTACATCAACAATACTAAACAAAGACTGGTTGATAGAGAAGTTCTGTGCAAACACACGGAACTCCGCCGGGTGACGAAGCAGGCCAACCGACGAGAGCTTTTGGGCGAGTTTATCGAGACTCAGATATATATGAACCATGATAGGCCAGTTACCAGAATCTTTATACAACGAGGATACATGATCGCGAATAGCATGCTGTAGCCTTGAAGCTGCTTCTGAACCGCCATTGTTAGCGGCCTCCTTGAGCAGAGCATCTTGAAACTATTTAACAATCAGTCAAAATGCCTACGGCGAGAAGACGTGTAATACGGTCACTCACGATGACACCGTCTCCATCAATAAGAGCTAGCACGAAAGAATTATTGTCCTAAAAATTCCATGAGCAGGCAAAGTCACGATACGAGGCTGAAGAACAACACACCATTTCTTGTTGGTTCTGCGTGACCTGCCTCTCCATCGAGTCGACCTTCCTCTGATAGGCACGGCGATTATCTCTCTCGCTAGCATAATCATTCTGCAAATTTGAGTGGTCTTCTTGAAGTTCAGCGTATTGGTGGATCAAGTCCTATCACGACAAGTCAGATTGTCGCGTGCACAGGCGGGGAGAGCCTGAGGAAGAGCATGGCAACGCACTGCGAACAGCTTCTGGCGCGCTTCATCGGAAGCCTGGAAATCTCTCATCCTAGCGGCAAAGTCCGCCGCATTGATTTGGCTTGCCATGCTGTTTATGCCAACCATATCCACTATGAAGTGGCTCGAAGAAGATGCGTTAGGTTGGGCAGTAGACATAATGAAGGGTGCAGCTGCCGAAGTTTGGGTTAGAGTCGATCGAGACTAACTTGTTTGGGACTAGTACCGAGTTCTTGTCTAGGTGTAGTCAGTGTAGTACAGCGAAATATCGCTCCGGTATTTGGATAGTCTTGTTTGAGATAAACTTACACGGATAATAGTGATGGTTCAGCTTGCGAGTGATGCTTGGCACGAGTGTGGATTTCGAGTCCCAGCGTGTGCTAGTGTGAGGCTGAGGAAGAGGCGTTGCGGTACAGGGAAAGATTGGTCAAGTTTCTGAGTAGCGAATAAGTTTGAGATAGACAAAGACCATCGGTCCTAATAAATAACTCTGTAGGTGGGACTTGACACAAATGTGGTCTGACATTTGGACATTCTCTGGGGAAACTGAATACAGAATACTGATTACCGTTTCCCGTTTCCCGTTTTCTGTATCCTGCATCCTGTTCTTGTAGGCTGTGTACAAGAGCACCGATTACAGTTTCCTGTATTCTGTATTTCACACTCCACTCCCGCAAGCCATATTAATGCATAATATTTATTACAGTTTCCTGTTTCCCGTTATCTTGCAGTACCTGCACTATGCTCCCGTAAGCTGAATAGATTACTATCATTACATTTCCTGCTTGTTGTCTCCCGTTTCTGCTCTCCGAATTTCGTTTTCCGCTTTCTGATTCCTGTACTTTGTAATCTGTTCTCGCGAGCTGTATCAAGGCATAATACTAATTACAGATTCCGGTTTCCGGTTTCTCGTGACCTACTTCCTATGTCTTGCACCTTTTTCTTCAACAAGATGACTTTACAAAGCTACAAATAGAAGTAACTTACCATTTCACGTTTCCGGTACCCTGTACCCTGTTCTCGTGAAATGGTTACAATACACTGGATCCCGTTTCTCAGTTCCTGGGCTCCGCTCTCGGAAGAAGAGAATGCGGCAGTTTAGATACCGGATACTGATTACTGGCAGTCAACCGCTGGTCCAGTTTCCGTTTCCTGTATACTGTCTTGTGGGTTAGGTGCGGCGTAGGGAAAAATTTTCGGTTCTTGGGCCCTGCTCTCAGAAGAAGAGAAGGTGGCAACCTAAAAATAGCGTGCCGACTGTTGGTTGCCGTTTTGAGGTTCAGCTTCACGTTTACCGTTGCTCGTTTCTCATTTCTCGTCGACCCATTTCCCCATTTCCCATTTCATGTATCCTGCTCTCCGGTCTTACGCAACGATAAAACCTCCGAGACAATGACCTATTGTAATAATGTCCCTTTGCTGGATAGAGCGAATGTGTCCCGTAGTGGTTCGCACATCGGCTTGGAAAAAATTGCGGTGTGTACCAAGGTCGTCGATGCCACGTGATGTTGTATCATCTACTTGTATTGTTGGTGGCACTTACGCACAATACTTGCGTTTATCGGTGAGACAGTCGGCGGACTCAAGCTCTGGTGATTTCAGGCTAACTAGAATGTATAAAGTACTGAGCTCCCTATGGATGCACGTATGTTGGTAACACCATTGAAGATAGCACTAGAATATCTCTCCAGGTCTAGAATCCAATGAACATGCAGGTAGGGTCTTGCAAGAGCCCATATATAATTCATAATTTCGTGATCGCTAGCTTTCATAATGACTCGGAATTTTTGACATGCCGGCCTTAAGATATAACACCAAATCCGATTCGCAAGTCGAAATTACGATCCATATACAATCTTGAAAGTCCATGCATACCTGTCTGCAGCAAACAGAGCGGCATCAACAGTCATCGTCAAAGTTCCATCATCATTCCTCGTTGTAGGAATGTTCGTGCCCGACATTTCCCCTCCGAGCACTTCGATACTATCGCCATCTAAGAATGGCACCCGATCGGGCACTAAAAGCGTAGTTGCCTCAGCACTCGGTGCATTCAGAACGTGGATGTAAAAGGCATCGTCGCTGATAGTATATCTGAAATCATCTTTGCCGCTTGTTGTTTGCCAGAAACGTGTGCCGTAGATAGATTCGCCACGCTCACCGATCCACGCGCCCGCATCTCTAAGGCCCTTTTGCATGATCTCCGGGATCGTTCCGTTCGCCATAGGCCCCACATCGAGCAAGAAGTTGCCGTTCTTCGACACGATGTCTACTAGTGTGGTCACAATGTCTTGGCCTGTCAAATACCCACTGTCTGGTGTATCTTTGTTGTATCCGTACGAGAAGGGATCCATGCCGCGGTTGGACTCCCACTTGCTTGCAAGCGTTTCGCTAATAGAGTAGTATTCGGGAGTGGTGAAGTCGCCACCAGAAGCATCAGTATGGTCCGTTGAACCGTACCCGCAGCGGTTGTTGTATGTCACTTGCCGTCCCTGATCGCGCGCCCAATTCAACCACTTGGAGAGCATGATGGTGGCGTTATTGGCACCACCGATATCGCACCACATAATCTCTGTATCGTAACGGTCATCGTAGGCTAGAGTTTCCATTTGGGGCAACTGAAGGCCAGTCACGTAGTCTTCCACTTGTACGTGGCCGGTATAGGGCACTTCCTCGCCAGTGTAGGGGTTTCTGGGGGGTCCGCCTGGAAACCCTCCACAACAATCGGTAGCATACTCGGCATAGTCTGGATTGAACCATTCGGGCATGGAAAAATATGTCCCTCGTCTGATTTCAGGATAGTACGTCTTTGCAGCGCTCATCAATTCAGCTATAAAATCCCGTTTGGGGCCCAATTTCACCGACGATCGCAGACTTGTCGATTCTGGAACATCATAGATAGCGAAGCCTTCATGATGCTCTTCAAAGCTGTTAGATTCTCGAAGACCCATTGGACAAGATAGTACTTACTAGTCACAGGGACAACGTATTTCGCGCCGGCGGCCGCCACAAGATCCACCCACTCTTTCGCATCAAATGCACTTCCGGTGAACGATGGAATGAAGGAATCATAATCAAATTCGTCGCCATAGGTATCACGATGGTATTGATATGTTTGTGACCTGTATTCTGGTTGCGTCATTCGAATCCAGTACCATTCTGCGTAATCCGCCTTGTCACCTTGGTTGCCAAAGGCCGGAACGGAGTAAAGGCCCCAGTGGATAAATATGCCAAACTTGGCATTGTTGTACCAATCCGGAGTCCAGTGGTGATTTAAGCTGTCTTTTGTAGCGCTATAATCACCGAATCCACACATCCCATTGACGTCGGTTGAGGCAGTCTGTGAATCGCCCCAAGTCGCCGTCACCGTTCCTGAGCAAGAAGTTCCGCCGGTGATTCCTTCTTTGTTCTTCACTCCAACTTGTGCCACAACCTGCTGTCCCGCCATCAGTCGAGTTACGGTAGCTTGGCGAACGACATCGAAGGACGTGGAGGAGGCTGAGATGGTGAGATTATCCGCTTTCGTGAACGAGTTGATAGAATCCTCATTAGAAAGCACCATCTCGATTATTTGAACATAATCGGAACCTTCGAACCATTTTGAGGTGAGCGTAGCACCTGTAATAGTTAAGGACGAAGGTGATTCTCTTTTAATCACTGTATGGGCAGCATCTTGATTGAGTGGACTGGAGTGAACGATTCTCGAACTTGCGAGTACAATTAGAGCGCATGTCAAACTTGCTGGAGAGCCGAATGATAACATGGTTGCAGTAGTGATTGTGATGATTTGAGTATAGAGATTTTGTTCCCATATATACTCTCACTGCTTTCGTGATCAAACCACCGGACGACTATCTCAACTCGTGCGTCGGCCTAGTACACTGCAAGCGCGATTCTGGATACGCTTAGCCGCTCCTCTTCATTATAATCATGTGCAAGTTTAGTCCTGCAGTCCTGTTGATGGAAGTTTTCAAGAGCCAATCGGCGGTACCCGCTCGACTTCAATGCTCAAATGACCCGGTGGAACAATTCGATACTTCCTCTTTCGACCGACTCCATCGAGCAGAAGCTCCATGTAGTAGTATTCCCCGACTAAAACAATAGCCCTCGACCAGGTTCCCCGCAAAGACAGACCTTGGAATCGGAAGTCATATCGATCGATCGAGTTTGAATGTTCGAGCCGGTTTTTTTATCTTCATACCAGAATCACAACTGCATGCAGAAAAGACATTATGATAGCGGGTGCATGGAGGAGCGTTTTTATTGGCTATTGAGCTTGGTGCAGTTGTAGTAATTCAGGAGTTGTTACACGCACACATGAACTAGTATATACACATTTTTTTCCCTTCGTTTTGAAAAGTGGTTTTGAAGACCTCTCTGTACCAAAGTTTCTGGCTCTTAGACTACACGAGGAAGGGCGTAGACTAGCTCCCCCGCTCCCCACAATGATGATGCAACCAATTACGCCGAGGAGTTCCGCGCAGTCACAGAAGAGCTTCAACTTGACGAGACTTACTAGATTACTCAATTGCTTCTTAGTTCCAACCAGCAAGGCGCGCGTTGCTTGCTCCAATTATCTGTCGCAAAACGATACCATCTAAATATTTCCGTGGGTTCCAGAGTTCTAGTTCTTTCGGCCCCTCCTACTACCCTTAGTCAAGTCTCAGACAACTGGAGCTTATTTACATAAGAACGCGGAATTACCAGCGTCTTCAATACTAATCCCCTCTTGTATAAGAACGCACCAGCGCCCTTCTTCAATTGCATTCTCCCACATCAAACAACCTCAAAACAGCACATAGATCAATCTTTTCAATAAATCCCACCCCACCACCTCTACAATGGCCAGCGCGACAAAGAAAGCCCGGACTACCCCTCCCTACGAACTCATCTACTGGCCGTCCATTCCAGGCCGCGGTGAGTTCGTTCGACTCGTACTAGAAGCCACTGGGACGTCATACACGGACGTAGGAAACGCTTCCGAAGACGGCATTCAAGCCGTACTCGCGCTGAAAGACGAAAATGCCACCACAAGCGGAGAGGGAAACCCGCCTGCGTTCGCGCCACCTGCATTGAAAGTGCCTGGCGAAGGTAAAGACGGGAAGGCATTGGTGATATATCAGACTCCTAGCATACTTGTACGATGCCCTTCTCATACTAAAACTGGGATGTGGAATGGGGGTGACAGCTGCTGATACGAATTGGAGCGCAGGCATACCTCGGTGAAAAGCTCGATCTGGCTGGCACCGATGAAGCTGAGAAACACTATGTTCTGTCGCACGCACTGACGGCCCTGGACCTCAATAACGAGGCGCACGATACCCACCACCCAATTGCCCCACATCTTTACTATGAAGACCAGAAGGATGAGTCTCTGCGCAAAGCTCAAGCCTTTCGCGAATCCCGCTTGCCCAAGTTCTTCGGCTTCTTCGAGCGTGTGTTGAAGGGGAACGAGGGCGAGGGAAACGGCAAATACCTGGTGGGTAAGAAGCTGAGTTATGCGGATACAACGGTGTGGCAGGTGTTGGATGGACTTAAGTTTGCATTCCCCAAGGAGCTGGCGGCGATCGAGAAAGATTACCCGACATTGTTCGGCAGCTTCTACACTGGAATCAAGGATGAGGGTGGACTGAAGGACTATCTGGCGAGTAAGCGTCGGCTCCCATACAGCGAGGGTGTTTTCAGACACTATCCAGAGCTGGACCGACAGTAGGTAAATGGGGAAAAGTTAGCAAGTGCAATGTAGCAGGCACAGCAACACAATTAGAAGAAATTCACAAAGAGTCAATTGAAAAGTGGTATCTGAACGCCCGTGAGCAGGCCCCATATCATGTCATTTTTTTGATGCCGGATACACGTAATGCATGCCCGATGCCCTACTCCTGAACCGTATGAAAGCCTTTTCGCCAAACAACCACCAAATCTAGTAGTCGGAAGCCGCGGTCTGGGGGAACTCGAAGTTGACGGTCTTGCCAGTGAGGCGCTTGTAGACCTCGGAGTAAGTGTCGAGTCTGTAGTCGACACCACCACGCTCCTTCTCGTCAAGAACAACCTTCAACAGCTTGGAGCCATCCTCCTTGGTGCGGAGACGCTTGCCAACGATCTCAACGGGGTAGACGAGGTCGGTGAGGATGTTGTCGTGGACGGCAGTAAGAGTCCTGGAACGGGGACGCTTCTGGGTCTGGGAGTTGCGCGAGCGGTTGGAACGCTTGGGGCGGGGAAGAATGCGGCGGGAAGCAACGATCAGCACGTGGCGGTCAGAGAACTTCTTCTCGAGCTCACGGGTGAGACTAAATCACAGTTAGTACGAAGAATCTTCGTCATGAATACCAAGGAATACTGACCGCTGCTGGATCTTGTGCCATCCCTGAAGAAGGGGAACAGGGACAAAGATGACAATAGCCTTCCTGCCGTGGCCGACCTCGATCTAAGAATCCTGGTGTCAGCAAAGCTGCCCAGTGCCCAACGCCTCTTCGATCAACAGTTGTGTGTATGTGTGTGCGTGTATGCGATTGCGAAGGCTTCGAAGCCATAACCAGAGCGCATTTTGCGGAGGAGTGTGTGAACTGTAGTGTACGAGGTAATGCTTCATCTTACCTCGCGAGCGGACACGAACTGAAGAGGGCGGAGAGCGCTCTTCATGTCCTGGGTGTTGTTCTGGAGATCCTCGAGGGCATTGTTGATGGCAGTCTCAATCTCCGAAGGCGACGTGCGCGACGGGCTGTTGGGGGCGATCTTGGAGAGCTGCGACATTTTGGCGGTGGTGTCGAAAGTTTGGCCGGTGTTGAGTGTCCTGAAGAAGCCCAAAAGATATCGACGAAAGTGTGCAAGATGTAATAAGCGAGTAGCGCTAGTGCTATGAGGATTAGCGTGGTTCATGGCCCTTTTCCGCTCAACGATCATCGACACCACTAGCCACATGAACATCCGCGCGCTGTTTCAACAATTACACACTTGATTAACAATTTCGCACCCATACCACTATACTATTTGCTGCTGTAACTACCACAGATTCTACTCCATTAACCATAGATTCCTTCATCTATTTATAAGGCGGAACTACCCAGTACAGGAATCCATTCATCGCCGCAGCCGTCATCACACCGGTCCAGTGAATGTAATGATAGTCAAACTTCTCCGCTACAGACATCAATCCAAGGCATCTTGCTGGATTCATCGCTATCGTTTTCGCGTTAACAGAGCTCATATTTAGCATTGACCAGCAAAACTTACAAGCTCCAGAATACCCAGGCCGAGCAATGCCGGACGCGAAAGTACACAGCATTATAGCCAGGCCGACCTAAGAAGACCGGTCAGTATTCCATAGATAGGAGAATGAGTCGTCACAAAAAAGACGGGATATTACCAGGATGGTCGATAATGCAGGTCCCAGTGACTCTCGCTGACGCGGATCGAGTCCAACACCAAAAGCGATGAAAATCAGTACGAACGTAGTCATTGTCTCCATTCCGTACCTATCGAATCGTCAGCTGAAAGTATTCACATACTCCATTCCAAATTGAGATTTCTCACGCTTGTCCTGGAGTCACCAGTTGCTCGTCAAAGAAACAGCCGGGCACTGTACGAAAGGCTGCCGCAGGCATGCCGAGACTGGCTCGGAGAATCCACGCAGCGACGACAGCCCCTACGCATTGGAATATGACGTACAAAACTGTCCTTGGGAACGAGGCAAGTCGCGCCGCGAATGTTGATAGCGTGACAGTTGGATTGAAATGACCTCCGGAGACCGGCCCTCCAGCGAAGATGAAAAGCGATATAAGCAAGCCATTCGAGATCGCTCCGAGTATTGCAGGCGTTATTTGACCTAGAGAGGTCGCCGTAAGCGCTGGTTGCAAGCCCATAGAATACAATCCGCCGATATAGCTCTGAGCAAATACCCCTACCCCTTCAATGGCAGCTTCTTTCCAGAGGTCACGGTCGAAAAAGCCTTGAAGGTCGAAGCTTTGTTGCCAGGTGAAATTTGCAGCGGCATCTGGGGCTTTCGATGTAACAGTGTCGTATTCCGGAGCCTTGGGCGAAACTGTAAACTCCAAATTTCCGCCTATGCGACCTGCGAAAGGGCGTGAAGATATTGGAAGCTCATCATTATCTATCTTTCTCTTTTTGCGCTGGCGGAGCTCGTTCTGTGATGATGGTGTGCTACCGAGCTCAATGTCACTTTCAGCACCCATTATGACTGCGTGACAATTTGAACTATTTTTCGCAGATCAGGATATGGTTGTTATACTTGAATAATTCCGACTCGCTTGGGTGATAATGACTAATTTTCCGTAAGCGGAAAGAGGTATACAAATTGGGACATGCCGTATTTCAGCTTTGGCGCCGGTGTAAAGAGCTCGGAGATTGGCTAGAATGCCATGGCGTTGGTTTGAATGCTGACCGTGTAACTAGGTACAGAAGTAGTGCATTCGCAAACTAAATAGAATCAGGACTTCATAGACACTGGCATGCACCTATCAAGTGATTGAAATGAGGTCCAGAAAATCACGGTGAGTTTGCGAGACGCCCCTTCTCAATTCAAATGCCAATAAAGAATTTGATCATGGCCGACGTAGCTTCATGGTGGCATATTGTAATTCGCATACAAATGCATTGGCAATCGGATGGCTTCGGAAGGGAAGAATGGGAAGAATGGCAATTCCAACGCACAGGTAACTTCATGTTGGGAAAGACGTGCTTACACATATAGGCGGGGTACTTTCCTTTTCAGATTGATGTGGAACGACACGAGATATTGTGATCAAGTTGTGGATATCAAACGTTAATTTCGAAGGTCCCTCATCTTAACTATCGAGCCAGTAGCCGTATTCCCCGGTGCAGCGTTGGCACACAGCGCCGAGCATCGAATCACGAACAACATGTATGATTACACCACAGAATGAAATCCCCTGAGACAGTCTCTTGATCGATCGATCAAGTGAGAGCTGTTTCACTCGAAGACGCTGTCCATCATTTTGCTCTTTGCTCGATTTCATCTCCACCAAACCGACTGGCAAGATCTTTAATGAAGACACTGTAGCAGGAAATACATCTGCGGTGTCGCACTGAGTTTCTTATGTGAAGCTTGGCCTTTGTTTCTAGTACTTCCATGGGTTATTTCTGCAATATCTTCTCCCTATGAAGTAAGTCTTGTTATCTCGAATAGGTAAACCGCACCCAACCGATAATTTACTGAGATTAAGTCAACTTGCCCAGCTTTGATCCATTACCCCCTCAAGAATTACTCGGAAATTCGACAGCATGAGTTCGAATATCCAAGCGTGTGGACAATATATTTCGGGATTGGATTGTTCCTTTCGTTTCCGTATGGAAATTCAATAGGACGGGGAGCGCTTTTTGAGAAATTATATGTCTTTTTGGTCATCGCTGGGGGGTTTTTTTTTTGGTTTATTTTATCGCTGTAAACCCTTCGCTGTGTGTAGGATCACCTGAACTCTAACTCAAAACAAATAAATAAGAAAAGGAGAAATTGTATAGTTAAATACATATGCGGTTGGTGTTATTTTTGTACTGTCCTATCGTTATTGACAGCACAGACCGAAAGTGTAATTAAAGAAATTGAAAAACATAAGACTGTCTACACCATTAGGCTGATAGGTGAGTTCGATATTCGAAAATGCAGGACTTACCAATGGATTGATAGGGTGCCATAAGTTTGCAGTAGCTCAATATGAGATAATCTGCGTTATTGTGTTGCTTGAAAGAATGATCGAATGTCGTTCTCTTACCCCCTACCTCACACGCGGTGATCAGTATTTCAGTGGGAAACAGAGATTGGTCTCAACTATGAGTAGAACTCGGCGGTATTAAACAAGGATCTTTCCCAAAAGTTATGATTGGGCACAGAACCATCGACTGGGGTGGTCAGATACGCGGGAGAGCGGCGGTAAAGTGGATGAAAAGTTTCCAGCGTCAGGCAGCCATGAAGATAGTGAGCTAGCTTCACTAATAATATGTTGCCTCTAAATTTCCTACGTCTACTATACTTAACTTACACAGAGAGAATCCTCTGCCACATAATGGCTACTTAGGAAAAACACGCCATCATTCCACCACAAAAGACAGCTTCGACTCTTCTCCAAACTCCGCCGCAAATTCTTCAAGCACCCTTTTCCTCCTCTCCGCCAGCTCTTTCCCAGCTCCCGTCTTCATCATTCCCGCCAACAGGAACAGCTTCTCGTGAAAATGCTCAATCGCCACACTCATAGGCTGCTCCTTCAGCTTCGCCGCGCTAAATGAAAAGCAACGAGCTATGCCCACGGCCCCGATCGCATCCAAACGATCCGCGTCTTGAACAATTGCAAGCTCGGGATACTTTTTCAACACGTTGATGACAGATTGTGGGTCTTTGGACTCGTTGGAGTAGCCTACATGCTTGACGACAGTTTGGACACGGGTTGCTAGGTCGGCGTCTGCGCCGCGTGCTTGAAGGATGGTGGAAACGAGGTTTTTTACGTCTTCGCCGGGTGCGGCATATTTATGATCGCCTACATCTAAATCACACCATCAAAATTCACAAGGATTAGCTATTATCGCTTCATGTTTTGGAACTCTTTTCTGATGCAGGGTGATGGTGATATACCGTGTAGCAGAGCAGCGAGGAACAGTGCCGGCACGTTGTACTCTTGGCTTGGATTTTGTTCTTTTTCTAGGGCAAGGAGGCGGTTTGCGTTTGAGACGACGCGTAGAATGTGATGGTAGTCGTGTGAACTGTCGTGATCTGGAGATGACATGTAACCGTGTACATAGGCATTGACGGATCTCACGAGATCCTTGTGCTGTTGGGGTATAGGGAGGACGGGGAAAGGGATATTTTCTGCCATTTTTTTATAGCTTTTGGTTCTGCAGATGATCTGTAGTGGTGCGGAAGAAGATAATATGGAACACGCGTTTGGGGATAGGAACGAGAATTTTTTATATATGCGGTAAATTTCTGCGAGAAATTGTCCGAAAAAATGATGACCAAGAACTCTGGAAAGCTAGAAAGGGCGGTTTAGGCAGAAATCACTTGTTGCCTGGTAGGTAGAGACTCGAGAGGGAAAGGTGAGGTTACGGATGGCGCCGTCGTCCGTAGAAAAAAGACGAAATAGGAAAAGCAGGAAACGCGAAGTCACATGTTCAAAGCCAATTCAACTTGTCGGCCGCCCTTTTCTTTCAAAGACCCAGCCAAATGCAGTTGCTCAGCTCTTGGCTTCAATGCGACGAATGGACGTTGAAATGAAAGTAAGAGTGCTTCAGCTGTGGGAGTGACTGCCTGAGAATACGCCCTGACCGGTCTGCTCATAGGCCAAATTCTACCGGTGAACAATGCTGTAATCTCTTTGCTATTTTTGATATCCAAGAAATCAATCAACAAAGCAGACGGGTTCGGGTACAAAGGGGAAAGGTGGAATGTGGAGAAGTGATTGTCAGGGTCGTCATTTTGTCTTGCCTTGCTGGACCTCGGCAGCGGCGCCAACCAAGCATGACTTCACAAGACACCCCTCGAATAAGCCAACCAGCCTCCTACACTCGACATATCCCCCTTCCACTGATACGTTGACGCGTCTTCACGGAGCACCCATTCATTGGGACCGCCAATATGTATCGACAGGCGACTCAAAAGACCTCTGAGGTCTTGTCGCTGCCGTCGCAATACCTCGGCATGTACTCCGAATTCATCACCAAGAACAGCAGCGCCGTGTCGCAAATCGAATCCGCACTGCGGTCGTTGACATACATCATACCAGGTGCGCATGCAATGTGAGACTATCTAGATCAAACATGACATTGATAACACAACCATAGGTCGCTTCCGTGAATCTGAGATCGCATCCGAATCATGTAAGGCTTGAACCCCTTCTCACGTCACGACTGGTAGCTAACACGGTGCAGTACATAGTGGCGTGCAACTTCTCGCACTCTATCATGACTCTCTACTCGCAAAGGCGATGGCACGCCTGCCGAATCTGCAGCGCCAACATCCCACACCTCACAATCGCTACACCAAGTTCTGGACACAAAGGTCGCCGACTTACAAGCGCATCGCACTCGTGCTCCAAATGATACAGTATACAGAGCTCTTATGGGAAATGGCGGCAAAGAGAAAGGGCGAGAAGGTGCGATGGCGGGTCGTGGTACTACTTGAAGGTGTCAAGGCCTTGTGCAGATTACTGCTATTGCGATTGACAAACTCGAGACCCTTGGTATCGCCACCCCTGCCGCAGAGGGAGGTCGATCCCAGCTCGCTGGAGGATTCTTCGGCCTCGGCGAACGGAATGGACACGCCACCGAGCGAGCAGTCGACGGAGGAAGAAAACTGGAAGATGCCTCGTACCGGATTGTCTATGCCCAGTCTGCCCGACTCTTCCGACATCTCTAGCTACCTCCTCTCCAAAGTTCTTACCGCAGATGACATCAAACCTCCAAAAGCACTGCTTCACAGAGTCAGTGGCAAGGGAGAGATGGCCGAAGTGTTGTACATTCTTCGGCCGGTCGTATACGCACTTGCAATGCAGCACTTTAGCGGGGATAGGAAGAGCTGGCGTCCGTGGTTGATTGGCTTGAGCATAGAGTATGGCGCACGGCAGCTGGCCAAGAACGATTTCCAAGAAAGGCTTGCTGGTGGGTTGAGAGGCCTAACTGGACTAGAGAAGGAGGAGTTGAGAAAACGGGGCTGGTCGATGGGGTGGTGGATGATGCGTGGGGCCTTCTACGAGAACATCACGAAGTATGTATTCCGTTGTCACGCCGGGAGGAAAGATACTGGACTAACAAAATGACCAGGGCTTGGATACACGCTGTCACCCGGAGGCTCCGAAACAAACCACTTCTCGACATCGTCGGAGGTGTCATTGAGGATTATGAGTTCCTCTGGGACCAATATTATTTCCCCACAGCAACACTCTGATTATTCAATTTTCTCTTTTGTATGGACTAGGTTATTTGGGTGGCGATATTGATTTTAGCTGGGCAAGGTGTACGATAGCATGCAGTACGGATGGGACTGAAGGTATGGGCGGTCACGAAGTCTCTAGTGTAGGGGTGCCGGCTTAGATGACTACTGGTTTGGTCTCTGGTATACCGCGATAGGACGTTACTTTAATATCTCAGCCGGTTGGTTATTATAATGGATATCCCAATGTTATGACTCGTTTGCTATTTCAAACGGATTCGATTTCTACATGACAGACGGTTTGAAAATAGTCTGAAGTAAATGTTTCATAGCAATAAGTTAACAGAAGTTGACCGCACTGTTAATATCCTGTGCTGATTGGGAGAGCAAGAGCATCGCAGTGTGCCTGGTGGGATTGATTCATCGGGTTGGTCCGAGCTTCACTTTCCGAGAGCTTCGATGACCATCATAGAGCCTCAGCGTCAACACACAATCTCAACCCCTCCAAGCCACCACCCTCTCACCCACCATCTCGACCCACACGTCCTCACCCTTACCTCCACATATTCTCGGCCGAATCCTACGTGATGCCCGCCACAACAGCAGAGACGCTGTCACTCGTGACCCGTAACGTCTCGGTCGCGCCTCTCGTGCTTCTCTCCGCAGCAGATCACTACGGTCGACAAGCAAAAGGCACACGAAAGCGAGTGGTCGGTGTGCTCCTAGGGCAGAACGACGGCAAAAATGTACGGGTTTCCAACAGTTTCGCTGGTATGCAAGCAACCCAAATTCCCCACCAATTTCGCCGCTTCGTGCTCTCCAGGCATGGTGAGCGCTGGTACAGATCACAGCGCTAACACAGGATACAGTGCCTTTCGAAGAAGACGAGAAAGACCCTTCAGTTTGGTTCCTGGATCACAACTATGTCGAGTCGATGAACGACATGTTCAAGAAAGTGAACGCGCGGGAGAAGTTGATTGGGTGGTATCACACTGGTCCTAAACTACGTGCGTCCGATCTCGAGATCAACGAGTTGTTCAAGAGATATACGCCGCATCCGCTACTTGTCATCATCGATGTGCAACCACAAGAAGTGGGTGTACCGACAGACGCATACTTCGCGGTGGAGGAAATCAAGGATGTAAGTTTCCCAAGCGACCCTGCGGACTGTCCTCTATGTCTTGCAAAGCTGGATGACAATTCTGGATATCTAACGTGATTTTGCAGGACGGGACCACAACTTCCAAGACTTTCGTTCACACACCCTCATTAATTGAGGCAGAAGAAGCAGAAGAAATCGGTGTTGAGCACCTCCTCCGAGACATCCGTGACGTCGCCGTCGGCACCCTCTCCACCCGCATAACCTCACAGCTTCAATCATTGCAGGGCCTGCACCTGCGTCTCCGTGACATTGGCCAATACCTACAGAAGGTCCTGGACGGCGACCTGCCCGTTAACCACGCCATACTCGGCAACTTACAAGACGTATTCAATCTTCTCCCGAACCTTTCCACGCCGAAGCCCACACCAGTCGGCGGCGCCACAAACGGAGTCGGTCCAGCAGCCGGCGTAGCTGGAGGATTGGACAATGGCGAGCTGGCGCGCGCGATGAGCGTCAAGACGAACGACCAATTGATGGCCATCTATCTCTCGAGTTTGATCCGCGCCATAACGGCGTTCCACGACCTGATTGAGAACAAGATCCAGAACAAGCAAGCAGCAGAGGATAAGGAAAGCAAAAAGGAGGAAGGTGACAAGGATAAGAAGGCCAACGGCGCGAGTAGCGAGGCAAAGGAAGGAGACAAGGAAAAGGAGAAAGACAAGGTCAAGGAGGAGAAGAAGAAGGGTTGATTGAGCAAGAAAGCAGACGAAGCGAAGACGAGGAACCCGGATAATTTATCTAGATGAGCAGGGATGGTGTAACTACTGTGCCTGAATTCGTGCATCGTATGGGACTGTGTATAACATCAACATACACCATCAATCTTCCTCCCGTTTGGTAGACTTTTGAGAATCCTAGTGACCCGCCATTGAAAGGGGTAAAAGGAAACAATCGATGCAAATGAACATGACCCACTTCCCTGTCTTCAAACCCTCTCAATCCACTTTTTGTGCCATGCCAAATAGAATTATGTTTCAATTAACTACTGCCACATTGCGAAACAACCTTGGGTCATGTCCCGTCTAGAATTCATGGGCGGAAAACGAGAAATTGTGACTTTCAAATCCCATTTCCCAATTTCTCACTTTTCGGTTTCTCAGTTGCTGTTTTCCACTCCCCACCTTTTTTATTTTTTCAACTCTCATCCCCCTTGTCCATCTCTTTATTTGACTTTGTAAATTTCTTGAAAAGCAGCTCATTGAATCGCTGTGATTGTAATTGGGTTCAGAATGGTAACTAAAGTATCGAATATTCTACTTGATATGTTTTCTGGACGCAAACAAATGTCACACGAGCAGCTCGCGACCCTGCTTTGTGGCAACTAGCAGTTGACATCGATATATGGAAGCAGAAGAGGCAGGACATACGGGATTGTAGGCTCATTCTAGTCGTGAATTCAAATTTCTTGATTTTTGGGATAATTATATTGAGCAGCACTTATCTAGTGTAGCCTTGTCGTAGGGAGCGATACGAGCAAATGATGGTGTGGAATGGATCAGGGTCACCCCGCGTGCGCAACCAACAGAATGCCCCGGATCTACTCCATACAACCTTCTGTCCGAATCGTTGCCGGTGATGGGTCATTGCCTCCAAAGAGCCCTGCCTCAGCCATTGTCTCTGTTTTCTTATCTCCTCAACCTCAAGATCAATCCCCCCATCCGGCAGCCCAGCCAGCCGCCTCCTCACACCCAACCTCGCGATTAACGACAAAACCCCCGAACAAGCCCTCACACCTCTCCGAAAGCACGCACGCTAGCAAATGCTTACACACAGGCCCAGCCGTATTGGCGCCCATCACCTCATTGTCCAAACTCAGACCACCGAAATTCCACATCTTCTCCTCCTCTTCTGGACGAGCATCGTCCCCGCCGTCAAGCTGGTGATGGGCTGGCAGAGGAGAAGAAGGGAGATGTTGGGGATGGAAGACATTTGGAAAAGCAGAAAAGGTGAAAGCGGGACAGGAACAGTTCCATGCGCGTAAACGAACTTCGTACGATGTATTTGCTTCGTAGGATGTGGAGAAGCGTGAGGAGCGATGTTGTGCGGAGCGCACGTAATATACCGTGTCTAGATCCGCATTGGAGTCTTCACCTGCATCTGCATTAACATGTGCGGTTGTTGGGATTATATTGTCCACGTTCTCCGTGTGGGGTTCGTTGATGGATGGGTCTCGAGGAAACCTTGTTTTTGAACCGACTGCGTGGTTGTATGGTCCGGCAACTTGGGGGTCCGTGTCGGGGTGATGGAGTGTGGTAGCGTCGTCTGTATCTGAATTTGGGTGTGGATTCGCGGGAGCGATTTCCTGTAGTTGCCCGTCACCTCTCGTTCCCGCTGCGTTTGATTCATTCGCGAGGGCACTTGTGACTTTGGCTGGAGTGGTGACAGCAGCCCTCGACCCATCCCGTAGAGCAATTCCTGTTTGGGGGTGTGGTTGTCGTCGACGGATATGGAACCGTGTGACTAGCTTCCGATCCAAAAGATCTAGAGCAGGCAGTAACTCATTGGGAAACAGCACGTGCAACGTCATCAAATGTTTTCTGACGGGCTCAGATGCATGGCTTAAGGGATTCAACGCGACGGCCGCTTGGGCCGACGCTGGAGTGGTAGTGGTAACGTCAGCGGCATGCTGCGGAAGGCCGAGTGCGTTCAGAGAGGTGAGTAGCTTGGTTACGAATTCGCGTGGCGAGGTCAAGTCATTTGACGATGACATGCTTGCAACATGGCGCGAGCATGGCCGTGGATGGTCGGTGGAATTGGCATCGACTGACAAGATTCCTGTTTCTATTTGAAGCGGTCAGAATAAAGTTGCCATGGGAGTTGCGGGGGAACGCGACGCTAGCATCGTGCTCGGACGCTCCTTCTTTGCGATCAACATTTCCGCCAGGCTGTTGCGTGACCACGTGATGTTGAAATAGCACCATGCAATTGACCGAAGATCTCGATCGATTTGCATCGCAATCACAATCGAAACGTTCGTGTCCACAATAACCCAACGGCATTCTCATGAGACTCGAATTTTTCGGAAGACTTGACATTACGGGCTTCATCCATGGCATCTGAAGCGGTGAAGGCGACGTGTCCAAGATTGCGATGCCAGATCGTGATCTATATGTCAATATCACCGAGAAGCCCTCCGACTGCTTTGGAGAGAGAAATTCACTGGTACACAACCTTGGAATAAGTCTCGGCGACTCAATGCTGATTATCCGTAGAGTCCGGGATGATGAGTTTCAATCGCTGTTCAATCGAAGGGGCATTGATGCAGCAAGTGAAGACTCAAGTCACAAACACACACTGGTTAGAGAAGGTTGAACTAAAGGCCTCTTGTCGGCGGTGATGTCATACGATAAGCCATGTAAAGTAATCAACGTTACATTTCCTGCCTCCTCGGAATGGATGCTATTCTTATTTGTGATGCCGAAGAGGATGGTCATGGAGCCGTAATGATGCCATCAATTACCTGCTTTCCGAACAGTCCGCTTCACTCCCCAAACGCTGCGTACTACCCAAGCAGTGGCTGCGGAATTGCAATCCGTCCCCATTGAGCTGCTGCGGTAAGCGATCCGGGCACCGTCTCGAGATGAGTCCGGCATGGTTCATCACGGGCACACCGCTCAGACGCGCCGTACGATGCAAAGAAGGCGTCAGTGGGATCTAAACTAAGTTGGCCTGACATGCTGCACAAGATGGCGAATACGGACATTGATGGCATTTGAATAGCTTCACCTGGGAGGTTTATTTTGTTGCCCTTTGTAGTTTGTTTTGAAACGGGGGCTGGTGGCATGGAGCGACGGATGGGGAAGCAGGAAGCAGGACAAAGGGAAGACAGGAAAGCGTGGCAGCTGCAGGGACTCGACGGCGGCTGCAAGCAAGGCCAGTCAGGGTCGGCATGGGGCCCTATCGGGGACACAAGAGCAGCTGCGGGACGGGAAACGCAGATCGCGTCGCGCAGAGTGTCGCGCATGGGAATTGGCGGGGTCAGATATGGTTAAACGAACAAGCACGGCGAACCTAGACCGCGGCCCCATGACCAAAGATAGAACATTTGAATACACCAAACTCGATTCCGCAAGACGGTAGGTGGGATGCCAATCAATTGCATCGCGAGAGGAAGGTCGGGTGTCAGTCAGATGGACGAGGTCATGCCACGGCAATCAGGGAAAGAGGCACGAAGCATTCAATGGGATAAGGGAGGGGAAGGTGTGGGCCAGGCCAGAAGGGCGTGTAGCAATCAACAGGCAGCGGTGCTGGATTGATTGATTGATTGATTGATAGATACCTAGAGTGGTCAGTGAGGGGTAGACATGCCCGGGCAAGAGAGGAGCGAGAGAGGCGCGGTATGGGTCGGCTTTGGCAAACACTGTGCACAGCCCCCCCGGTCATCAAGCACCAATTTGCAGGAGGCGCGGTACGCAAGCCAAAAAGCAAGAGGAAGCCCGGAATAGACAGGGAGGGCGTCGGGGGGATACGAAGATACGGGCGATGACGACGGTGAGGGTTCATTTGCGTGTGGGGAATCCGTAATTTAATTTACCGTCTCCATTGTCGTTTGGAGTTTGTTGGAGGGGCAGCCAGACCGGGCGATTCCGATACCGATAACGATAACGATAAGGCACCTGCCACACCCTCCTCCCTGTCAGCATGACTTCAGAAGTCAACTCCAGGGCGAGATGGTGTGACATTTTCATCTCGTGAGAGCCTCAGCTGCTCCTCCATCTCGCGACACGGGCAACCACACTGCCCACCGTGGGGGGGATCCCATTATTGTTGAGGGCGCTGAGGGTGTCCACCTGAGACGGGGTCGCTTTCACATGCAAAGTGGGTGTGGCGCACCGCCTGGGGTGGGTTCCCACCATGTCCGGCGAGCCATTGCCCACATGTCGCGCTCAATGGCGACCGTCCACCCCGTCAGATGGGCAGATGGGCCATGCCAGTGGGCAATTGGAGAGCGAGGGCAACAGCAAGTGACGCGAAGACGGTTTGGCGCCAGCATCCGAAATTTTGTTCGCCCTGGCAGTGATTTGAAAGTCTCTGCTCTGGGTGGACGGGCGCGTGGCGTTGTGCCATGATCCATGAACCGCCAACATGATGACTTTTCGTCTGGAGTCCATCCATCCACCCATCCACATGTCCAGAGGGACGGGCGTCACGAGACCCGACTGATCAGCCGACGAATGAGCGGCGGCGCTGGCGGCTACATCGGGCTGTGAGAAGAGCGTTGCATGCTAAGTGGTGGAGCGCGACAGGCAAACACGATTGATGTTTTCCAAGTCCGCTAGTCGCATGCCCGTTGCCGATTGAACGGTGGGCAGAGGAAGTTTGCATCAGCTAACGCAGAGAGGAATGTGGCAGGCAGGTCGGGCGGTAACTTGACAGAGGCTCGAGCAGACAACTAGCTGATGCCAGAGGAAACAATGGCACTGGAATGTGGAGCGAGCCGAAACCCAAACGGCAGAGGAGCGGTCAGGGTTTGCTTCTTGGGCTCTTGTCAGGCCTTGTTGAGCAGCGCGATGGGCACACGTTCCCTCTGGCTCCATCAAAGTATACACGAGTACACATGTAATTCCGTATAAGGAATGACGAGGGCGGTGACTTTGGCCCACACCGGCCAGGCTACAGAAGAAGGACTAGATGAAAGTGAACAGGCAACAAGCCTGCGCATCAAGTTGCATAACATTCCGGTCTTCACCTGCATACATGGTTGCTATTCCTCGACGATTAGTGGCAGGAGAGCAGGGCGGAAGAAGGCAATTCAATTAGCAGCCACCAGGCAGAACCGTGACACGTATCTATGCCTCGCGACAACGAGGCAGGGCCGACGTTGGGTGGTCCAATGGCACGGCTACAAGTCGCAGAGGAATGAGGCCACAGCATTGATTGTCGTCCTGGAGCATTGAATTGCTGGAGGGCACTGGTGGGCTGGGAACTGGTGAGGTCGCGAAGGACTGACTGTCGGTATTCACGGCTGTGTAGAGTGGTGGTGGATGTTGACTGCTGGTGCTGCATGATGATGGACAATGACTATGACGGAAGCGGGCATGACGCGGATGAGCAACCCCAGGGCCCAGCCGGGGTGTGTGGTAAAGCCAACAATGGCCATGTGTGTATGAATCCGTCATGTATGCATGCATGTAGGTAGTCGGTAGGCGTCAGGTGGGTAATACTCTATGGATGTATGTACATGGTATGTCTGAAGTGTGGAGAGGGGAGTAGAGTAGAGGGGAGCGACAGGGGGTGGTGGGTGGCTGTCGGTCCAGCCAATCCATACGCGAATCCCCCTCCATTATCGCCATCGCACCGCCCGGGGTCTGGTGCTGCTAAACCGCTGTACTTGATACTGGGAGAATGTAACATTGGAAGATGGAATTGGCAGCACCACCCTCAATTGAATCGATGAACAATTGATTGACTGACTGACTGAGCGACTGAGCGACTGATTAATTGATTCTATTGATTCCCCCACGCAAGCATGAACGAGCCTGAGTCACACAGCGTGAGAGCAAATGGGTGGTGAGCAAGCAAGCAACCCTGGTTGGCTGCCTCTTTCCGGCGGTCGGTTCGCGCTTTCGCTGCGCTTCCATTCACTTCTTGGCCCCCCGTCTATTCGTCAGCCCCGCGGCCGCGCACTCAGTCAGTCAGTCAGTCAGTCAGTAGTAGAGTGGTAGTGCTGGTGGTAGTCACTGTAGTCAGTCACTCACACACGCTCACCAAGTCAGTCACTCGGTCAGAGAGGGCGAGCGTGCGCACCTGAGCCCTGCCGTAGCACACCCTCTTTGCCTCTTTGTCCGCATCCCAAGGCACCTGGTTTCAGCGCTGCTCGCCCAAATGACTTTAGTCCCCATTTCCTTGTTCTCCCACTGTTGAAACACTCCCCCAGCGCCCAACACCATCGCGTCATTCATAAACCCTCCGTTCCCCCCCCCATCCTCCCCCCCTCCCAAAGAGGAGAGAGAAAGAGAGAGAGAACGAAACCGCGAAGCCTTCTTGGTCCTGCTATCGCCTGCTTATATCCGCCCGTCCAGCCAATCCCTCCAATTCACCAATTGATTTGATCCGCTTCGCCCTCTTCTACTAAACTCCGCTGCCTACCTGCTTCCAATTCCCTCCCGTGACTAATCCCTCTTCACGCCCTTCGCCATTCACCAACCAGCATTCGGACAATTGATATTTCGTCCGTCCCCTCCCCCCGACAAAAACCATTTATTCGATTCCCTTGGGTTCCACGGATACGGCCCGGCCTACCTATATAAGTCGTGTTCGCCCCCTCAGCCTTCACAGTCATACTCTACCCAACAACTTCGCTGCTGCCTACTGGACCACCGACCCTCGCACTGCGGCTTATATAGAACGCAGCCTCCCACCTCACCTCGCCTTTACAGCGCAGGCACCCCACTTCACAATCCAACCGCCATGGAAGCAAACTTCAAGTCCACCCCCAGTCAAAGACTCACCGTTTCCTCCCTCCTCTCCCCTCCCGAAATGAAGAGGTCAGAGTCATTTGGCTCCGTTGCCGCCCATTCTCAAGCCAGATCCTCCTTCTCCTCCTTCAATTCCGAAGCCCCGAAACCCCCCATGGCTGCCTTGTTCGCCCCAACATCTTCAACCCCCAACCGTGCCGCCTACGCTTCCCCACCAATCTCGCCATACGACTCCCAAGCCACCAAGGAAAACGTCGATTGCGCCGACGAGGAGGGTGTAAGGGATCCCCAACTCTTTGTCCGCAGTGACCCTGCCAGCACCATCTCGCTCGACCAGCCGCTGTTCCCTCAGGAGCCCGTCGACCGCGCCGCCCAAGACGCCATCAACAACCACATGAAGTCATCCGACTTTGCCAATTTGCCCAGCAAACCGGCTCGCGAGGATTACGAGTTGGCCGTGTCCTTTGTTTCCACCGTCTACAAATCGTACAACAAGAACCCCCGTGCCTGGTGGGCTCAAGAGCGGGAGTTTGAGCAGCGGTACAGCCGCCCCACAGGCGTCCAGAAGAGACCGGCACTGAAGAAGTTGGCACCCGCTCCGTCGTCCAAACAGAAGATTGCCCTTCCTAAGCTCACCCGCCCTCCTCGCGCTCCGAAGCGTACTCCCGTCACTCAAGTCTATGACTCGTTTGACCACACCCCCGCATCTTCGTCGCCTAAGCCTCCGCGCCCAGCCACCAATCGCGATGACACCGATTACAACTCGCTCCCCGACTATTCGCCACCTCTCGACACGCTGCCCAAGGGCAACAACAAAGTTCTCAAGGCCGATTGGAAAGGTCAGATGCTCGATCTCTCCAAGGATCCAGACCACCACATGCTGCACGAGGCTGAAGTCAACCTTGCATCGACACTTCGCCTGTCATGTGCAACCTACCTCTGCAGCAAGCGACGCATCTTCCAGGCCCGAATTGACGCTTTGAAGATTGGCAAGGAGTTTCGCAAGACGGACGCTCAGCAAGCCTGCAAGATCGACGTCAACAAGGCCAGCAAATTGTGGCAAGCCTACGACAAGGTTGGCTGGTTCAAGGCCGACTATTTCAGACAATATGTCTAAACCATCTCCTCTACTACATATTTATTACGGCGTTTGTTTCCCCTTGTTCTTTCCTCCTTCGACTACAGACAACTACACAATTTGTTTTTCTCCGTTGCTGCCATTCGCATGCAACTGCAGGATGGTGGGCATGAAGTTGCATAACGGTTATCTGGGACGGCGGTGTTGTGGTTCCTTTTCATCTAGGCTTCTCTTACAGGCATGTTGGGGACAAGCGGATGCATCCCCACTCTCTCTTAACGAGCTTTTCACGACTGGCGTTTCTCTACTCTCTTATCACCGGGATGGTATGCATATTCGGGAATATTGGCTGGGTCTCATTTGTTTTCTTTTTCTCCTCATCTTTTCATCATGAGACGGCGGGGCATCTTTCCCCTCTTACTCCTTGCATCCACATCGACCCACGCCGCTCAGCCCATTTCAAGTTGTCTTCTTTTTTATTTTCTTTTGTCTACGCCCCATTCATGCGATACCCCTTAGCCCCTTCCCAACGAACGATTGATGTATGTATGTCTCGGGGACCCCGAGCTTTCTTTTCTTTCTCCCGAGCAGTCCAGGCATTCTCGCTTGTCGATTGGCTCCTTTTTCCTTTCTAGTTGTTCCTGTTCGTCAAGTGCAGCAGATTGTTTGGTAGATAGGAATTATACAAGTTCAGAAGTCGGCCGATGAAATCGCCGCTTAGCCAGTGAGCAAGCATGTCCATGTTCGTTTTAGCCACCACCTTGATTGACACAGCAATCTTATGATCCACGTCTGAGTAGGTAGACGAATGAATTACTTGCATGAACGCCGGTACGTAGGAGCTCGAATGCTTTCTTATCATTGACGAACACATGCAATGACGATCCATGTACGCGATTGCAGTGCGCAAAAGTTTAGTGCTCAGATGGCCCGGTCTTGCTGGTGTGATTCAAAGTAGGCTGTTTGCCGTTTTGGTTTACAGGTACGTGCCTACCGGCGGCGGGCGGGGAGTAGTCGGGGACTAATCAGCAACTGTGGCGCGGCGTCAGCGGTCTAAATTTGGGGCTTTGACACCCCCGGCCAAACTTCAAACACCTTCGCTCGGGTGCAGGAGCGAACCAACAACGACCTCACATCACGACCACCCACGCTGCGGAACAGCGCGGAAACATACACAATGTCGCAAACTCAGCAGGTTGAGCGGAGTGGCTCTATATCGAGCCAGGATCCCCACAACGAGGCGCAGAAGAAGACGAAGAGCAAGAGGCCGCCGAGTGAGTTCGCGACACCCCCGGTGGAAGGAGGCAAAAGGGGAACCGCAATCCGGGAACGAACCGCCTCGTAACGGGACAGGACGGGCTTACAAGAAGAGCTCATACTGATTATTCTGAACAGATACCGCTTTCCGACAGCAGAGATTGAAAGCATGGCAGTGCGTGATCTCCAACCTAGGCTGGAGCTACGTAGCAGGACGGTGCAACTGACAACTCCGCAGACCCATCCTCACCCCGAAAACGGTTCTACCCATCTTCTTCATCTTCGGAATAATATTCGCACCCCTCGGAGGGCTTCTTATATACGCGAACAGTCTAGTAAGCAATAAACCCGGTCCACCGGATGGGACAGCAGGCATGGCTAATCTCTCTATCAGGTTCAAGAGCTTTCCATCGACTATACCCGCTGTCACGAAAAGGCGCCCACAGTTGACGCCGAATTTGTTCCCGAGAACGGCGATCCCACCGAGGACATGGGAGACGAGTTTGTGTCAGCGTCGTTCAAAGATCCGATGAGAGTCAAGCCCAGATGGGGGAAATATATAAAGAACCACACATGGCACGGCGTCAGAACAAATCCCACGCAACATTGCGTCTTGGTATTCGATATACCAACCAATATGGAGCCGCCTGTTCTCTTCTATTACCGTCTGGACAACTTCTACCAAAACCACCGAAGATATGTAAAATCTTTCGACATGAATCAACTGAAGGGCGACGCTGTTAGCTCGGCCGACATCGAGTCCGGCGAGTGCGATCCATTGGGCAACAACTATGGGAAGATAAATGGTCATCCTGATCCCGATAACCGCCCAATTTACCCCTGCGGCTTGATTGCAAACTCCATGTTCAACGATAGTTATACGAATTTGGTTGCATCCAATGCCAGGAGGGATGACAACAACAATGCCAACGAGACATACAACTTCACGCAAGATGGCATCATCTGGAGCACCGAAGCCGATCTGTATGGTGAAACCAAATACCAACCCAAGGACATCAGGCCCCCTCCCAACTGGGTAGATCAATTCCCAGAAAATACTGGTTATGATACCCTGGAACATTCTCAACTTCCAAATCTTCATACCAATCTAGCTTTTCAGGTATGGATGAGGACTGCAGGTTTGCCTTATTTCAGCAAGCTGGCACAGCGCAACGACAAGGATGTTTTGGAGAAGGGTACTTATCGTCTTGAAATCGTTGACAGTATGACATCACATCGTTCTAATATATCGGGTCGAAACTCTGCTAATGGTCATGCAGTCTTCCCAGTGTTAAAGTACGGTGGTACAAAGTCCATTCTCATCTCGACTCGAACAGTCATGGGTGGGAAGAATATCTTCCTGGGCATTGCCTACATAGTAGTGGGCGGTCTCTGCATATTGCTCGGCACCATCTTCACCCTCACCCACCTCGTCAAACCAAGGTATGAGACAGAGTCCACTCGAGGGACATCGCATGCTAACCGCGGCAGAAAACTCGGTGATCACACGTATCTGTCCTGGAACAATGAACCCAGTACGGCGACAACGACTGGACGGAGTGCTCGTCCGGGCGACGGGGCCTTATAGTTTCAATTATCCTGCTCTTCATGTGGCCAATCTGTCTCTTTCACTCTTCATCTTCGATCGGACCGGGAACCAAAGGTCATGGGTTTGGGTATTGTATTTACCTGTGAGTCGTCTAAGCGGTCTGGAGTTGAGGCGTCGTTTATACCGTTCAATTGATGTGTAATATCAATCTTTCTTCTTGTATCAATGTATTGCAACTTGAGACCTACTAGTCTTTCTTAGGGATTATTTTCCAGAGTGCACTGACATGGTAGGAAGAAGTGATGGGATTTGACTAGCTCCCGAGACATTGAGCGCCCGCTTCCGTCCACAATGGCGGCCCGGCCAGACGTTTGGATGGTTGGCGAATTCGACCCAGATTGCCAATTTTTGAGACTGTGGAATCCAGACTCCATGGCAAATGCAAGATATAAACTGCCGGCTATGCCCTAGGAAACAGTCATTATTGAGATCAACACTCAACAGCCATCAATCATATCATAGATACAAGCCTCTCCCGGCAACCCGTTTCTTGTCATCTCCCACCAGCATTCCACAAAAAGCTAGATTCCAGCAGCACCGAAATGATAGTCAAACCACTCCTTGCCTCGTTAGGGCTAGGACTCGGACTCCTATCTAGAGCCTCCGCTGAAGACAGCAGCAACTTCGATTGCGGGACCAACGCAGCCCACGCCTCTGAGCACTTCATATCTACCCTCGAGTCCCTGCACTCTCCACAAGCCAATGGCTCCCCCGCAGCCCGCGCAGCCGCCCACTACTCTGTGCTCAACGCCCGTGAGAAAGACAACAACACGGCCATCACCATCGACGCCGTCTTCCACATTGTAGCCAAAACCTCCAAGAAGAGCGACATCACCAACGAAATGCCGTCCTCGCAACTCGACGCCCTCAATAACGCCTACAAAGAGTACGGCATATCCTTCAACCTCATCAACGTAACCTGGAACACAAACGACGCCTGGGCCGTCGGCGAGCCGCCCGCGGACTCTGAAATGAAGAAAACCCTCCGCCAGGGCACATACCGCACGCTCAACCTGTACTTCCAAACGGACCTCACCGGCGGCGTCCTGGGCCGCTGCACCCTCCCGTCACCCATCGCAAACGGCAAATCAGACGCCTCAGCCTACGCAAACGACGGCTGCAACGTAAACGCAAACACCATGCCCGGCGGCTCACTCGAAGACTACAACAGCGGCAAAACCGCCGTCCACGAAACAGGCCACTGGCTCGGCCTCCTCCACACGTTTGAAGGAAACTCGTGCGAGGGCCCCGGCGATTACATCGACGATACCCCCTTTGAGCGCGAGGCTACCGATGGATGTCCCGTTAGCCCGCCCAAGATGACGTGTCCTGGTCAAAAGGGCGCGGATGGCAAGGAGGTTAGCATCGATCCGATTCATAACTTTATGGATTATTCCACGGATGCGTGCTATGAGGGCTTCACCAAGTTGCAGCACGATAGGATGCATTTCATGTACAATTTGTATCGGGATGGGAACTAACTCTTAAAGAGGTTGTTAATTGGTTTATGCATGTACATGGGCTATCTATTTTGACCGGGTGATGTGATGGAATGGAAGGTGGTCATTCCTTCGAATGTGGTTTCCTGGTTGATGGAAAGATGATGGATGGCTGTTTGATTTGTTCGGTCCTCTCGCTTTTCCTTTTTCTGTCTTCCCTGGTTATTTTCTTCCTCTGTGTGTCATCCCCCTTCCCCCCCTGCTATTTTCTCTTCTCTGTCTCCTCAAGTTCTCTCGTTTGCTTTTGCCCATCTCTCATTATATTTTCTTGTTTGGTTTTCTCTGTCTATAAATTGTTGCCTCTCCCTGTCTATATAGGGGTTTTTCTTTCTTTTAGTAAGTACGTTCCTATATACCGGAAAGACAACTCCCCTCCGATATCTGTATTGGCGAACAATGTATATAAATTTCTAATCCGTCGTTATGTTATTCATGTTCGCGCAGTCTTCACATTACAGATATAGAACTTCTTGCTTCTCTTACGGTTCGGGAGTGCCGACATCTACCACGGAGAGGGATATACAGGAAGTAATGGGACGAGGGATGGTGAAGCAGAACGAACCAGCACCTGCGTAGGAAAACCACCTTCCGATGCCCAGTTCTCAAGGACCATGGTCCGACTCTCTCCTCGCATATTTCGTAAACACTCACAACTGCCTACCGACAAAAACCAACGTAATGTAATGAGTCTAGGCCCCCAAGCACATTGTCTCAACTGTCAGGTCTAGTCCCAATGGCCCCCTCCGGCCCTCCGGCAAGGCTGGACTCAAGTTTAAGACAACTCCGTGTATAGGGCTGAGCTAGAACGTGCATTTGTTGTACGGTCTTGGAACAAGCATTTTTGAGACATTTGTTTTGTTTCGGGGGAACGACTTGTATGGTGGTCTAGATTTTCGGCCTTTTCATAACTCTTCCGCTTTTTCTTACTTTCGATTTGAGTGTCATTGGGAATTTGCTCAGCATCGATGCTTTTCTGCTTGCTGTTTGCTGTTTGCGGAAAGTGGATGTGTTTGTTTTGGGGTTAGTCTGGGGTGAGATGGAGATGGAAGACGTATGTGGTTCTTTCATCCTCTTTCTCTTGATATGTGAGTGTCCATGAATCAGCATTTGTACATATGAGGTGTGGGTATACTATGCGCACAAGTAGGTAAGTGTGATGGATCCAAGTTGAGGAAAATTTTTGAAAAACTGGTTCTGTGTGACAAGACACTCCACACGCTGTGAATTGACTCGCGTATGCAAAGTTGTGCTACCATGTGAGACGTCATCTGTACACCCTTTGCGATCTGTATGCGTGGTTTAGCAAAGCTAGGTGTTTGATTTTGTATGGATGTTGAAGGAGGGTCGTGTACCTGCTTATCCTGAAAGAAGAAAGAAGCTGTCGTTCTGATTGTTCACGACAGTTCCATCTGCAACACCCAACCCCACTTGCTATCCTGAACAAAGAGATAGCTTCTTCAGCCATCGTCCCTCATCCCTCACACCCGTCCAACGGTCTAAAAACGAAGCTGCGCACCCCACTCCACCACCTTCCCCCCGCGGCGCCACCACCATTCGCCGTGAGTATCTCCACATAGCACTTGAAGCCCAGAACCAGCAAAACATCCCATAAATCATATTCCCCTCGCACCCAGCGAGCCCCTGATGTCTACCACATCCATCCTCCCCATTCTCCCCAAGACACCATCAACGACAACATCACTCCCATCAAAAACCCTATCCACGACATCCTCCCCCTTCCCAGCAGTTCTACCCAAGCGCCAGCCAAAACCCCCGTCGGTCCTCCGCTACACTCTGATTCTCCTCAAAGCGCGCCCCTCGCCCTCGGATATCGGCGCTATCAGCGTATACTCAACTACGTGGAGCGCAGCGCTAGATCATAACCGGTGTGTTCATACGTCTTCGTCTACCTGTGCAGGAAGGACACGTCCGACACTTACTTCTCCACTGGCTAGCTTGGACTGTTGTCGGTTCCAGGACGCAGAGTCGGATGTTGAAGACGCACCGAAGCTGAAAAGGAGGTATATTGTTGGAAGAAAGATAAGGAAGGAGGAACGGAGTCATAGGATAGATTCACCGCCGCCGCCGTATCGGCCTTGAAAATCCGACCCCTCTCCCTCTCAATTGTTTTGACAGCGGACGTTAGGATATGGCTGTACCAGTGGATTACAGGGGGGATGCGGCGCTGGATCGAGTCGGCAAGTACTTTAGATCAATTGCAGAGCACGGTGTCAGGATCACGGTGTGGGTTGTGGTAGTGGCGATTGTGTCGTTTGCCATTGTGGTTTTGAAACCGGAGAGGGAGACGATTGGGGAGAGCGATGATACAGGGAAGAGAAACGAAGAGGAGCAGAGAATGAGAGAGTTTGAAGACTTGGATACGAGGGATACTTGTGTGGTGCTTTGATCAGGTACAGTTTGAAGGGAAATTGATTGGTTTTGAGGAAAATGGAAATGGAGAAGTGGAGAGTGATTGGAAAAAGAAGGAAAATGCTATTTTGGTTGATATATTCTTCTTCATGTTCTCGCCTTCTTTCTAGGTCATTGTCATTTCGGTTTAGTCTTGGTCGTACATTCTTCCGCCCTTGCTTCACCACCCTGGAATTTACATGGATTTATAATCATGGGATATTGAAAATCATGCCCTTAAGACACGATGATTGACAACCTGTTGACTCTTCACGATTGAAACGGGGCTAGGCGGAAAAAATCCTTTCCTGTTGGAAACCTCTTTCTCCGTGCAATTGCCACTCTCTTGTTACATGATGGGCAAAAGGTTATTCTTCTTGTGCCATGCTTATATTCTTCACATCTTCCTGATCCCAAAAGCACGATAAAGCAGTCACTAGAATACATAGTGCGTATGTGCGGGTGTACGCGGTTTCCCCAGCTAACAGTACACACACTGTGAATATTCGTCATTCACCAATATAGGGGAATTGTGAATACAAGGTATCATATCGGTTGGCAATTACAGCGGGTGCAGATCTGATCGAGTATACTAAGAATTACATAAACAATTACAGTCTTCCTGCTTAGGGTAAGAAGAGCAGGACTCGGAAATACGACAATAGCATTACTCATCTGACGCAGTAATTATTGCCAATCTCATTGCTACTATGAACGTGGCTGTATTCGGAAGCGTGCAAGTTGAATGAATGGAGCGATTGGTTTTGTGAGCAGGGTGTGAGGGTGACATCATTAATGACAGGGGAAAGATGCAATCACTCTAGGGACGAGATATTTACAAACAAGATTCTTATGTGAACGGGATTTACGCTTGTAGAGTAGATGAAACGAGAATATTATATTTCTGAAGCTTTTTGTTGCCCGTCTACTTTTTGTTTAACCTTTTTTATCATCATTCTTAAGTGTAGAAATCACTGTAACTTCCAATCAAAAAAAAAAAAAAAAAAAAAAAAAAAAACTCATATTTCTGATAAGGAAGAAGAGAGGGACGGATTTGATTGTCAGAATGAAGAAGACACACTTCATATCTTCCAAGCTATCGAGTGCATACTGTCCCCTTCCCCTGGTAAAATTAAAGCTATTGGGGCATATATAGAGTTCTCGGAGTCTCCGATGTAAGACTGACGCACAATAGTCACGGAATAACCCAATATCATCGTAAAGTGTGACTGTCCAACGTGAAATGAAGGGACGCTAGTCCGAACAGAACTGCGCCCATCCTCTCACAATAATGTATCGGTAACCTTCTCAAGACATTGGAGGTATATCATAAGGAGGTGCGACACTTGGCATCCAACACTTTATTGACAGTGCCCTGTCATTCCAGCCAACATTCTCCAAGCGCCAGCTGGTTGTGGTAATCCAATAGCGATTTTTCCAATCTCGACAGTTTTCAGAGCTGCAGAAGAACGTCAATCGAAAGAATGATTCATACGTGTTCGAGCTGTAGACTTACTCGTAGAGATAACACCCCCAATACTGGCGATCAGCCCTCGGAGTGAAAGCGATAGAAGAGGCGGTGGCTTTACTGTGATCCGACATTAGCGCTGTTTGATCTGGGGTGATAATGTGTACATACGACCAGCCATAGCAGATGGCCCTACGTTGATACCTCAAATTCAAATCGGTTTCGGTGAGAAATCCCCAGCGCTCACCGGTGCAGGCAGGGTCTGAATACACACGGACCTGTATACATATTAGCCGTCAGAAGCAACGTGACGCATCTGGTGATATCTTGCCATGCCCCACTGATCGTTACCGAGAGCATTTACATCTGACCCGTTTGAGAAGAGCTGGATTCACAAGTTAGTGAACATTCTGTAGTAGCTGGTTTGGACGAATTTACCACTTGCTCGCCGCTGGATAGCTCGAGATGCTCGGATTGATCACTGTCTTCTGGCTCTCTACCCTCTTGGCTAGAGGAGATCGCCATTCCGTTGGCATCAAGAAGATGTTCAACTGGGCCGAAAGGGCTGGTTTCGATCACGCGGACATAGGAAGCAGTGTCCACAGGTTTAGCACGACCGCCGACGATCGCACCAAGCGCAAGGGAACAAAGGAAGAGGGCATGGAGTATGCAATATAGCAATAGCATGGCTGCAGTGGTGTCACCGGCGAATTGGTTGTCTTGATGGAGATTGACTTTGGCAGTGGGAGGTAAAAATTTATGAAGAAGGACGAGAAACCTAGATTAAATAGTTAGCCAGCCGATTGCAGAGGCCACTTCCTGTGTGACCAAAACTAGCGTTTGGTTTCGGGCAATTCCCTCGCCGCAATTCACTGAATTGTGAAAGACTCACCGCGGGAGAGACAGGCGCAGTTGTCCAGGGCACTGCCCTAGGCAAGTGCGGTCCGGTAAAGCTCAATGCCTTATCAGCTTACATGAAAGTTAGTAGCTGTGTTCAAGTGTTATTTTGATAGTCGGAGCTGCTTTTTCGGGGGAAAGTAATATGCCTCACAGATGTGTATCCCCTACACGGCATCTCGCGAGCAGGATAATCGAGAACACGGACGCGCAGCCACTATTCTTGCAAACATCTCGCAAAAAGTATGGAACGCACAGTTCTGTATGGAAGAAGAGGACTACAGATAAGGAAAATACGGGTATCATATTCCGACTCTCCCCATCCCAATATACATGCTTATCCTTCAACCATGTCCCGTCGCCCTACGTCCTCAACGCCGTCATGTCTCATCTCCCGAATCACAAATCCCATATCATTTCTTCCCCTCCCCGGTAACGCCCACTGTAGCTTCGTTCCCCCACCAAATCCCAAACCTCCTTTTGAAAACTTCGACACTCTGCGATACGTCCCTGCCTTTCTCTGTTTCTTCGCGGTGGATACGAGTAGCAGCTGCCATGAGCCCAACGGACACTGCAAATATGGGGTCGATACGTCTGTTGTTTTGAGATAGTAAGCACAGGTGTGGGTTGGCGCGGCGTCGGAAGGGAAGAAGATAGGATAGGATAAGGGAGGAGCGGAGCGAAGGGAACGGACTTTGAGATGATGTGTTGGTACGCCATTTTTCGAGATTGTTCCCGATTTGATAATTGAAGACGTTTCGTATAGAAATAATATGCGAGGGTGGCTCGATCTGCAGTACTGGGAGTTGTTGTTTTGATCAAGTTGCGCGGCGGTGGATGTCCGTTGCACGCACTTCAGTCCTTCCCAGGCTCCCAATATCTTTAGTAGGTTACCTTTGTCCTCTCACAACCCGAAGATAGTGAATATGGACAAACAGTCCGGAATTAAGCTGGTAAATAACGTAGTTGCTGTCCCTCTCGACGAGGATAAAAAAAAGATTGAAGAGGAAGTCGCAATAAACTCGGCCTCGGCTTCGTTAGATTGGATAGAAGATCGACCCTGGATGCACGCACCACCCGCCCACTCACTTCCGCGCGTCCCACCCAACCCCGCGAATTGGCCTCCCGCCTGGCTACGCAGTCCCCAAACGCAGGTACATATTGGCGCTGAAACGGGCATATCTAGCATGTCTTGAGAGCTGCATGTGCCCTGACGATTGATAAATTCTTAGTCTCATGTAGCAGTCGACTCTGTTTGCTTGACTATCCATGTGGGATGTGATGTCTGACTCGTGACCGATGTCGTCATGGTCTCAGCGTCCTAATGAGCCGCAAGTCACACGCTGAATGATCAATGTCTAGATGGGATATTGCAGTCATCGAGTGATACTTCACAAAATAGTGCTAGGAAGTAACCCTTTAGTCCGAATCAATGTATTGAGCTGGTCGGCTAAGTAGGTGGTGTGAAGAGGCTCACAGTACAGTACAACGCAGGAAAAGAAACCGAAAGACAAAATCAACCATGGTCTCCGCACCCCACACCTGCTGAGCAGTCTGTGAAACTACCTGTCTGAGTGACTGAAAGGTCCATAAAGCATGAGAGCCGCCCATGAAGTCGATGAAGATCGAGAGCCCATTCCTGTCAAACCCAATATATGGTTGACTCGGCTGGGTTTGATGTCGTGGCCACACACACCAAGTCCTCAAGTGTCATTCGTGTGTAGTATTGCCATTCATGAAGAAAAAAAGTCCCATATAAACCGATAACGCCATCAGCCATACTGCCGCGCCCTTCCCCAAGCCTGGTATTGAAGATACTAAGGAAGTGGTCAGGTGGCGGCTTTCAAATTGCCTCGCCGAAGGTGTTCTCGCCCGAATATCTGGTCTCCTGTTAGTCCGAAGCCCAATGGTGTATGATTTGGGACGAGCAACGTACGTGATGTACAAGAAGCCGTCCTCGTCTTTGTGCTCCTCGTAGATGGAGCTCATCAGGGCGGCCGTCGGGGGGAGTTGCTCATCGACGAAGATGAATATGGCCTTCTCGGGTGACAGCTTGATTCGTTTGCGGATCACATAGACAAACTGGCCAACGGTGAGGTCGGCGGGCACAAGGTACTTCTTCTTGTCTATGGTTGCAATGTCCGACTTCTCGACCTTTTCGCAAATGACCTGATGCATAGTCAGTAACATTATCTGAAGGTGAAGGAGTGGCACAGGAGGCGTACTGGAATGCGGTCGTTGTACTTCTGCCTGATGCGCTCGGCCTCGGCCTTGCGCTTCTCGAAGGGGTGCTCGTCCTTGAACTTTGAGCGCATGTTGGGTGGTTGAACAAGTAGTCTGTGAGTTGAGAATAAAGAGTTTGGTGGGTGCGAGGGAGAGTTGTGACCGTGTTTGTTGTGTGGATGTGTGATGGGTGGCGTGGAGGTTATGTAGGTGGAGAGGGAGAGAGGCAGGAGTAGGCAGCGGCGGTGAGAGCCAGCGTTATAAGAGGCGGGGCGCAGCTGCCCCATGGCATGCCCCGCTTAGTCAACCACCACCACGTATAGTCAACAAGGAGGTCGCACCTGCGAATACACACACTGCATCATTCATCACTCACAACCACCAGCAACATGCGACACTTGTCTCTGAGCCCAGACATCAGTCACGTTGTTTCTTTGTTCAAGCGGCTCGCAGGTGACTCTTTGTATACCTAGATGATCGAGCCGTGACCTGGACCTTAGCCCCCAGGTACAAGCGAGCGTAGTAGGCTCCAGAACAGCAGCCCTGCGTCGGAATCATCAAGTTATCTTGTACGCAACAGCAGGTGGTGTAGTGGGTTTTGTTATCATACTGTTAATAACCTGCAGACTAAGAGAATATAGGTGAAGCATTCAAGAATGTCCATCCTTGATGTTCGTCGCTTTGTCTAACCTCGCGCTCTGTGAGGAGTCATGTACACCTCGTAGTGACTGCTGACCTGCCCGTAATCACGCCGCTGTTTGACTCATTGAATGTTGCTGCCTCGTAGGTATCTACCTATCTATGTACACATCTACACATACACTATCGCAGTTGGGTACCTATTTCGTATACATGGCATATACACGTTGTCGATCATGCATCACAGCGTTCAAAGCCATGCCATTTGAAAGCGGACACGCTTTAATGGGCCATATATTGTGCATACAGCTTGTCTATGACGTGCTCACCTTCAACACACATGCCACGCAAGACCAAGAGGGACACAATAGATCACTGTAGCATATCGAAGGCGGCTCGTGGCAAAAATAACAAACTGGAATGTTCTCTGGGAGACATGGGGGTTGGCTGACGGTATACGCACGTGACTTTGAGTTTGCCGCGTTTGCACCGGCTTCCAATTACATCGCCAATTCTCGGCCCCTCTAGTCTACACAGCTCGTCCCTGCGTGAGCGTGGTGTGATGCTCGCTCATTCCACTCCTTCACCATCCCTCAATTGAGCTTCCCCACCACCTGCTGTTAAAAATCTACTCCGCAAATGATCTTTCACTCATAACACCCAATCTAATTTCATTCTGATCCATACTTCTATTTATCCCAACATTGTCAAGAGGGGGTGTTAGCTCTCGCGATGCCCACCCTCCGACCATCGGGCGCTCTCTTAAGAGCTTCCAAGCTCCCCTCACCGTCCTTCTTCACGCCATACCGCCCTCTTCTTCATGACAACAGCTTCTTTACCGCGCGGCGGATATCACCTCAGCGAGCCTTCTCCAACGTTTCGCGCCTGCGAGAAAAGAAAGATCCATTGAAAGAATGGCGCGAACCCCCACCCAGCAAATGGCCAAACAGGATCAGACTGCTCATGCTCCCCTTTATTGGAGCCATGATCTACTCAATGGTACGTACAAAAATACTTACTGTTTCACTTCAGTCATTAAAAACACCAATTGACATCGTCCTGGAAAACACAGGTCACCGATAAATCGCTTCACGCGGCACCCCCGAGCATCGCCGAAAAAGACTCCCTCCTCAAGCGCGAATCAGGCATAACCGAAAACTCCCCTATGCGCCTCCGCATGGAAGCCTTCATAAAGCAGCACCAAAAGAAAATTGTCCAAGAGCTCGAAAAGGTCGACGGCAAGCGCTTCATTGTCGACAGCTGGCAGCGCCCCGAGGGCGGCGGTGGTATCTCGTGCGTCCTACAAGATGGCAACGTCTTTGAAAAAGCAGGCGTCAACATCTCGGTCGTCTATGGCCGCCTCCCGAAACCCGCCATCGCGAAAATGCGCGCGAACCATAAAGCGCTGGATCCTGATGTCGAGAGTCTGGAGTTCTTCGCGAGCGGTCTGAGCATGGTGCTGCACCCCAAGAACCCCAATGCGCCGACAGTACACCTCAACTACCGCTACTTCGAGACGGCCGACGACGACGGCAAAACGAACGCATGGTGGTACGGCGGCGGGTGCGATCTCACGCCCTCGTACCTCTACGACGAAGATGCTATACATTTCCATTCGACCATCAAGGAAGCCTGCGATAAGCACGACAAAGATTACTACCCCAAGTTCAAGAAATGGTGCGACGAGTACTTCAACAACAAGCACCGCGGCGAGACGCGCGGTGTCGGCGGCATCTTCTTCGACGACCTCGACGAGACGGAAAAGGACCAGGAGCAGCTCTTCTCCTTCGTGCAGTCTTGCCTCGGCGCATTCCTACCTTCATATTTGCCCATCATAAATCGCAGAAAGGATATGCCGTTTACGGAGCAGCAGAAACAGTGGCAGCAGTTGAGGAGGGGTCGCTACGTCGAGTTCAACCTTGTACATGATCGGGGTACAGCTTTTGGATTAAACACGCCTGGGTCGCGCGTCGAGAGCATCTTGATGAGTTTACCGCTCACCGCGAGGTGGCAGTATATGCATGAGCCGGAGAAGGGCAGCCGCGAAGAAAGGCTATTGGATGTGTTGAAGAATCCGAAAGACTGGGTATAGCTTAAACGATGGACGTTTAAAAAAGAAAAAAGAAACTTGTATATGACTGTATATATTTTGTAGATTAGCTTAAGAGAAGAGAGAAAAGAATTGGTCAAAAATCGGTAAAAGGTTCGGAAGACTTGATAAAAATTTGCGATGCAGGTGAATGACATCAAACAGTCTGTTGCTGTTGCTTTATTTGTCTCAAATATACTATGATCAGGGCGTTGGCTAAAGCTATGCTATGCACAGTGCACTCCCCAACGCATTTCTTTTTTTCAGGATCTTCTACAGCCTAGCAGGAGTAGTCCTCAGTCACTGGAGATACGAATTCGCGCTCAACCACTCCCTAACCACCTTTTCGTCTCTCGACGCATACTTGGCGTGACTCCTGATGGTATCGTCGATAACTTCCAACCCCTTGTTGTAACCCCTGGTGTCCTTACCCTCGAAGAAAGCCTTGATCTCATCGGCCACCTTCTCATCCGCGAACTTGTTCAAGCCGAATCGCAGGAAGCGCTCCAGCACGACCTTGTTGCCAGCCAGGGTAGGGAAGATGTCTGAATCCCAGTGGTCGCGAACAAACTTCCACACCTCGATGCGGACTTTGGCGTTGGCGGATAGCACGATGGTGCCCGAATGCTTGTCCTGCATGGCCACCTTGTCGGAGAAGATGAATGAGAGGAACTCCTGGGCCAACTCGGGAGTTTGCACGCGACCCATGGCACGGAGGCAGATTTCCTTACCGTCGATGGATGTCGTGTTGAGGTATTCGTTTTGGACTGCCTTGAAGGCGGACTCGCCACGCGTCTTGATGGCAATGGCGAAGACACCTCCGCGCAGCGACGGGTTAATCGAGGACTTGTCTTCCCCGGAAATGTACAAGTCGAATCGGCGGAGAGCCTCGTCGACCGTACCCTTGTGACCAAGAAGACCCGCAGTGAGAATAAGCTGGGCGCGGAGCTGACCGATCAAGAAGCCCTCGCCATCTTTGAAGTCCCAGCCAACGCGTTCTACTGCCGGGCTGACCAACTTGAGGCTATACTTCTTCAGTGCTTCGCTGACATCCTCTACACCAGAGAACACATTGCGAACGTTACCAATGTTGGTAAGGATTTGAGACCAGACCCTGGAACTGTTAGTCGTATATTGTAGCAAACATTGCAGTACTCACAAATAGTCCGTCTCGTCCTGGAACCGTTCCACAAGGGCCAACAGACCAGGTGTTGAGCCATAACCGGCCACTGCGTTGGCATATGCATCACCAACGAGACCGATCTTATCCTGGACAGACAAGTGATGACGAGCCTCACCGAGCTTCTTGAGCCGCTCGGCTGGATAGTTGGTGCGGTAGAACCCGGTGAGGTTCTTGTTAACTTGGTAGAATGCATCATCGACGTCCCGAATGGTATCCTCCTTTTGTGTCATAGCAATAGTCTTGTGGAGGGATGCAGAAGATGCAGAAGAGCCAGAGTGTAGGCCTAGAGGAATCCACCAAACGGTCTCATCCTCCTCTGGCTTGGCATCACCGGCAAGCAAGAAGCGTTGCTGGCGAAGCCCGATCTGACCAGGTTCTTCAGCGACCGTAACGACCGGGAATCCGATCTTACGGATCCAGTTATCCATGAAAGCATTGACATCCTGTCCAGAAGCTTTGCTAAGTGCTGACCAGAGGTCGTTGGTGGTGGCGTTTGAGTACTTGTGGGCCTTCAAGTAATCTGCTACACCCTGCAAGAACACTTTCTCGCCAAGATGGGAGCTAAGCATGCGGATGACGGAACTCCCCTTGAGATAACTGATGTGATCGAAGATTTGGTCTACTTCGAGGCCGTCGTACACGGGAACTTCGATTGGGTGAGAGAATCGCAGGGAATCAAGTTGGAAGGCTGTTTGAACAGATTCAGTCTAAACATTTTGTTAGCACAGATGGAGTAAGACTACCTCGAGATTTCGAACGTACAACAAACTGTCCCCAAACATTCCACTCTGTCTGCAGTCAGTATTGAACGCAATAGTTGAATTACAGGCGTACGTACCAGGGTACAAGTGATCAATCGCAAACCAGCCAACCCATGTAGCAAAGCCTTCGTTGAGCCAAAGCTCGCTCCACCAATCCATGGTAACGAGGTTGCCAAACCATTGGTGGGCAAGCTCGTGTGCCACAACATATGCCACGCGATTGCGATAGCTGTCTGCGGAGGTTTCCGGGTCGAAGAGTACTGCAGTAGTTCTATATACTTGTTAGACTTCTGCCACTTATGGAAATACTGAAGATAACATACCGGTAGGTGATTAAGCCCCAGTTTTCCATAGCACCGTGTGACTGCAAAACAACGATCAGTAGAATTCACGGAGAAAGAAGGGAGGGGGGCACATATGATTGGCTAACAATCAGCACAATGCATCATGCGCGCACATAGGGTAACTTACAAATTCATGAACGGCCAGAAGGTCGACTTTCGGGAGCGGATAGTCAATTTGGAAGACCTGAAATATAGTGAGTTGCTGGCCTTGATTGCCCATGCTTACATATTACACACCTCGGAAAAGTAGTCGACGATCTTGTGGCAGTTGTCCAGGGCAAACCGACCCTGCTCCTTCAGACCACGGGTAGTGTATACCCTCACAGGCAAGTTCTTGCCGTTGTATTTCCGCTCAGTGAAGGCCTCGACGTATTCGAAATCTCCAATTGCCCATGCAAGGAGGTATGTAGACATTATTGGCGAGCGTTCAAAGACAACGGTGTGGAAGCCCTCCCTCTTGCTCTCCCGAATCTCTTTCTCCGGCATGTTGCTAAGCGCAATTTGGTCCTTTGGTATTTCTAGCTCGACATCGAAGGTAGCTTTGAGATTGGGCTCATCGAAACAGGGGAAAGCACGGCGAGCGTCGCAGGATTCAAATTGGGTACTGAACATGTAGTGGAACTCGTCATCTTTGGCGACAGAAGCAGGAACCTCGCCTTTCGGGGTGTATTTGGATCGGTAGAAGCCCGCCATGATGTTGTTCACGAAGCCACCAAACTTGATGGTAAGCTCAGCCTCTCCAGTGTGCTGGATCTTCTCCCCAAAGTCAAGGGTTACCCGTTGACGCTTTTCATCGTACGAGATGTCCTTGGCCGACTTGGTAGCCCCTCCTACTTTAAGCTCCGCGCTCTGGACTTTGATCTCGTGGGAGTTGAGGACAATGTCGTTGAAGCCGTCATCTTTGGTTATGTTTGTGGTGATGGTGACGGTACCTTGGTAGTTGAACTTTCCGCCGAACTCGAGGTCATGGATGGAGACGGTATAATGCGACGGTTTAATCCTAATTGATCAGTGAGCGAGTAATGAATGAGATCAAAATGGATAAACTCACCATGATGGCAGGATGTCTCTGTCGGAGGCCATTGCGAATAAGCTACTGTTGCCTTCACTTGAACAGAGCCTGGTTTGTCTTCTGAATGGTGGACAGCTGATTGAAGCCGCGGCAAATGCTGGACGATGACCGAATCGAGGGGTTGCACGTGGGGTAATGAGCTCGCGTGCTCTGCTGACTGTAGAGAAGGTGTGTTTGGTTGCAAAGCTTTGGGTGGAAGGTATGGATGGGCGCCGTCGGAGTAACGTCGAGAGCTGTGGACGAGAACAGCGTCTCGGCAGAAAGGTTAAGGAGGCCAGGTTTAATGGTGGGGCTCAGAGCGGAGCTGAATTGCGGAATTCAATGATTGCTCGCATGCGACATGCACGAGGCTCGAAGGTTGCCCTCCCAAGGTAGAATAAAAGCGGGACAGTGCACTCGAGAACCACAGCATCTGGTAATGGGCTACCAACCTCACAACTGTTGGGTGAATCCATAACAGCAGCATACATTCTACTTGGACATTAATTGCAGAAAAGAAAGGTTTTAGATAAATGTACCCTCCGACGTACAACCATGTGTCTTGTTGTTCGTTTTCGTGCGAGCATGTCTGCCTGCTGTTGCTGCTGCTGCTGCCACCGCCACCACGACCCCGCGCTCCACCGAGACTGACCGAGTGTTGTTGATGGGCAAGGTATGCCATGACATCAGTTTGTCTTTGCATGGCGATCTCGAACACACAAGCCGAGGGGTTTCAATCTCTGCTGCGACATGACTTTGAACAAAATTGACGTATGGTGTCGATTGGCCTTTCAGCCTCACCACTGCTATACGTTAGGTAGCTAGATAGTACAGATCCGTATTAATACAAGAGGCGCCCAACAGCATAAACGGTCAAATGTTTCAAGCCTCGCCAAAGCCTTGAAATAGATTGTACCATGCCAATGATGTCGGTACTCTCACGCACGCAAGCGAGTGCCTTCAAGTCCCACCATCGCAACCTAAGCAAATACCCGAAAATCATGATGCGCCGGTTCCATGCCCTTATGTTATGGTGCTTCCTACCTTCGAGCTGACAGCTCAAAGATTTCCCAAGCTTTCCTGTGATATAGAAAGATCAGACTTTCTCATTCGACACTTGCATTCGTTGTCCTCATATCCTGATCAGCACGTCCAGACATGGCACTCTCCACTCCTTCTTGCCCACGAGCCCCTTGACCCATTCGTAATTTGCACCCCCGCTGGCTTCACTGACTCCAGCCATCTTCTCGCGAAGTCCATCTGTTGCACTCTTGAATACCGCTTGCGCCGTATGGTTTGCCGCCTGCGCAAACACACCCGCTGTGTCCATGATACTGTCCCGGAACGGCGTCGTGCCGTTCAGCGCGAGCTCCGTCGTTTCCGAAAGTGGCGCTTCAAACCAAGGCGTTTGGAAGTCAAAGAGGGCTACGACAAGTATGAAGAGGAGGAGCGAACAGTAGACGCATGGTCGGTTCAAGAAGTAGGTCGCTGAGATGAAGAGTACGAGGAAAACGGGTGATGCACTGGTTCGCAGTCTAACACAGTCCGTATTAGTACAAAGCGCTCGCAGTATTGTGTGAAGAGTCCTTACAGGAAGAAGAGGACGGGGATCCAACTTCGCAAACAAAACATGGTAACCTCGCGTGCGCACAATGCGCTGGGGCGAAGGTGTGTATGGGTTGATTGCGAAAGTGCAGTTGTGTTGTAGGCGGGAAGTCGAGGTATGCAGTACCACAGTGAGCGAATGTGAGTTGAATTATTAATATGTAGTTAGTTGGTGGTAACAGGGTGAAGGCGGAAGTAAAGGTGGGAGGGCGGCGGAATAAACAATCTGGGTTCCGCCCGGACTGGACCGGGGGGCCTCCGATTCAAGACACGTGACCTTATGCAAGAGCCTTTCAAATGTTGGGACACCTAGAGGTTGAAGTTGAAGGACCACCGAATGTGATTTATGCAAGCTTGGATACTTGGGAGCATTTTGATAAGGTTCTGACTTGTGTCATCAAGACCGGTATTGTTAGGCCTAATGCCAGTCCCGTGATCGGCTATTCACTTGAGCGCTTCAGATATTCAAATATTCGTTTGAGCTCGTCCGATTGTCGGCATACGTATGATATCGCCAATAGATCGGGCCAAAACGAAGCTGAGAATTTTAGTACACTATCCAGCTGATATCTTTGAATTCCCCTGGAATACACTTTGTCCTATCACCCGGAATCTTAGTGTCCCACATGTACTGTGAAGCATCAGATTGCTTACACCCTTCGCTTCCAGAAACATGTCTCATTCATGGTTCATTTCTAACCCTCATTCACTTACAGCCGTATTCCTCTGAATTCCCACTGCATTCACTGTTCAATACAAACATACCTGGCACTTGAGGTATATTAGGTAAGTCTGTCCGTAACCCCGGTTATTAGGGATGCACATGTGCGAGGTATTGACAGCATTTCTTTCTACAAGTACCGGTATGAGACAGAACGGATAGTCAAAAAATTCAGAAGTCAGCCAACAAGTAGAAAATCCGTTGTAGGCGTATCACCGCATACTAGTAATTTACGAAGTTGTAGTATACTTCTAGCTATCTGCTACCAGCTACCAGCATGTACTCGATAGAAGTCACTAGAGCTCAATCAAACAGCAATTTGCAGTAATGTACTCCATCGTTACTTCGTACATAGTTAAAAATGCAGAGCATAGTTCACAACGGAGTAGGCTTTACGTATCATTCGATTTTGTTGATATGCTCTTTCGACAATGCCTTTCGCCTGCTTGCTCTGTCACGGCCAGATCCAATCAATATCTGAATATGTGCTACTGCCTTTCATTGTCACAACCTTCCAGCTGAAGTTTACGTACTATTGGGTCATCGAGTTTCTAACTCTATTCCTTACCTCGCCCCTGGGAAAGCTGAAAGCCGCATTCTGGGCATTAGTGAGATCATCACCAGATCACTGCATAGTACATTTTATGCAAGCATGAAATCATCACATTTTGATTTTTAGAAAATTAACCTGTTTTACATTTGAGGCTATAAACGCGTAAGTTCCCTCCTTCCAATGATTTGCGATCGAATATCGCACCCAATTACCGGGACATACCCAGGGACATGAAGACAGGGATGTTGAGTCGATGGTAGGGCTGATCTTTCGCAGGGTCCATGCGTGTGGTCGAGTAGACATAGTACAAATATCTTGATTAGCGAGCGTAGCACGGTACAACGGCGATTTAATCCTTCGCTTCTGTTGCTGGGAAACGGGAAGAAATGACTCGGGTGGCCTGGGTTGTCAGGTCGATATCTCGTTGCGACGAGAAGGGGAGCTGGTGAGCGTTAGGCTTGTGAGCCTGACATGTTCTAGCTCGGTTCTTTTGTTCCTTGGTTTTATTCTTGTTTTGTGTGCATGATTCAAAGCTTCGGGGTTTTGGAAAGTGGGTTCCGTCTACGTACGTTAATGAGAAAGGGTCTGGTTCTTCCAGACTTGACTGGGCCTATCAGAAAGACTATACCATCTTCGAGCATGAATCACCGGGCTCATAGACATACTACTCAGGGTATATGCTTCACATACGGAAGCCTGTTTGCTAATCGAAACTTGGATGTCGTCAAACGAATTCCCATTGTATGACATGGACCCCTAATCAGACGAAGGGAGTCGTTTGGGGTTACGTCAATCATTAAAACCAGTATGACATGCTGTGCAAGATCCTAGAACGCTGCGAGTTGAGATATACATAGTGAAGAACATCCAAGGTTCTCGTCGATTCCACCATGCGTGCGACAATGGGTACCCCTCGAACCTCAGCCCTGTCAAATACGCGTTCAGGCCCACTAAATTGACAAGTTAGCGGCTCTGATCTTTGAGCGCGCAATCGCCCCTCCACCGGATGCAAGCAGTCCCTTCAATGAGCAAACCCCTAGGCTGGTTAAACAACTACACGCCATAGTATCGCAGTTCGATTAGATATATGACAAAGAATTTTATACCTTTCCCTCTATACACCCTCCGCCGTCTTAAGATCATTAATAGTCAGTTGATTATCTTTTATCTTCTGAGGAAAACGTATAGCAGAGAGAATGAAGAAGCAGGAAAGCATAGAGCTAATTTTAACTGACAGTTGGGCTGACCTGTCTCTCGTCTCCGTCCTGTCGAAGTACTGGCAGGGAGTGACTCTTTGGCTTCGAGTGCTATTACGCATTGAAGTGTCCGGTCTTGACACCGATTCTAGAACAATAAAATCATTCTCATTCATTTCAAACTGCATACTTTGCTTTGTTATCTCATGGTGCTGGTTCATCTAGTATGATGCTCACGAGTTGATGATACTACGTGGGCTCGATATAACCCATGGAAACTTTCCTTTCACAGCTCTGGTTTTCCAGAAGGACACCGTTTTGAATCTCGAAACGATCAACTGGTCTTTGAGGAGAGATCGTGAATGCGTGTGGTTGTCGTCTGATATTGAAACTCGATTTCAGTTCCCACCATCTTTTATAAGACAGTAGACAGTTACGTGTGTAGGTAGTTGCTCTCGGGCTGTGTTCACCTCCAAGAAAATGCGAATCCTTCTCTTTACAAGCAAAGCAATGGGATACTAATCATGACACTCGATATCAAGGTCCTATTCTAGTCCCCTTGATTCGCATAGACAAAGCTACTCGCTATATTCGTCGGCCACGACCACATCGTGAGGAGCCGCATTAGCCCGCTACGCGCTTCCGAAATTAGCGCCTCCATCCGCGTGCCACTCAACTACCCAACAACCTACCCGCCAAAATCGACGCCTCACAGAAAGAAGCAACAAGAACAAGCCACAAACTCGACCACACTTTAATAGAAAAATAAGGGACCGGAACCGAAGGAGAAACCATGGCGACGGCAATGACGCCTGATGACTCGCAGGGAAGCCAACGGTACGAGGAAGAGCACGTCCACTCCGTCTACGAGCAAATCGCATCGCATTTCTCGTCGACAAGGTACAAGGTGTGCGTCCACCCATCCGACTCACCCACCCACTCACCCAAAAACTTCCTCACTTTTCTTCTCTCGCAACGAGCCACTTGTGTATCTGTGTCCAGGGACATGACGCAATGAGCTCCATTTCGATCAGCCATGTACCCTCGTTCATTTCGACTAACTAACGAGAGAGAGAAAATAGCCTTGGCCGATCGTAGAGCGCTTCCTCAAAGAGCAGCAAGATGGCGCCGTCGGAGCAGACATTGGCTGCGGTAACGGGAAATACCTGGCTGTGAATCCGCGCGTGTACATTGTGGGATCTGATCGGTAAATCCACCCATCCCTCCAATCACCCATGTATAATTCGCCGTCGTTATTATGGTGTGGTCGACAAAAAAGGGTACTTGATGACTGACTTTTTGGCGGGTGATTTTGAATCATTGTAGATCTCGTAACCTCGCGCAAATCGCGACTCAGCACTACCCGCATTCCGCGATAGTCGCGGATAATTTATCACTTCCGCACCCGGCGTCTACGTTTGATTTTGCCATTTCGATAGCGGTGGTGCATCACTTGTCGACGCCGGCGCGGCGTGTAGAAGCTGTGGAGGCGATTCTGGAGTTGTTGAAGTCTCCGCAACAGGGAGAGGTAGCTGCTAGCGGGGGGAAAGCACTGATCTACGTGTGGGCATTGGAGCAAAAAGATAGTCGGAGAGGGTGGGACGAGGGGCATGAGCAAGATGTTATGGTGCCATGGGTGTTGAAAGAGAAGAAGGAGAAGGCACAGAAAGAGAGGAAAGGGAGACGCAAAGAAGCAAAGGAGGGGGCAGGAGTAGAGGGTGAGAAGTCTGCTGCAGTGAACCAGCCTGAGTCGGCGAAACCAGCGGAGGATAAGACTTTCCTGCGGTACTATCACCTGTACAAGAAAGGCGAGCTCGAACGCGATATCACTGAAGCAGGAGGAGAGGTGGTCGAGTCGGGATATGAGAAGGATAATTGGTGGGCGATAGCAACGCGCAAGCAGTGAACTACGTAGAAAACAACATATATCGACATCCTCACTCCTCTCTGAGAACCACGGGCAAGCCATGTGAGCTTTCTGTGAGTGGGAAGAGTTGCCAATAGAATCCTACAGCCCCAGCGACTAGGATAATGTAGTATGCAACAGTCCATATGACTCCTTTCCCTCCGGGATGACCTTTGGTCTCGTTTCTTTGATCCACGCCGACAGGACCGATGGGTTCCCCTGCTTCCACGCCCACTCTCCCCCAGAATCGCGGAAGTCCCTGCCAATTGCAGAATGCGTGAACAAGTACAATTGAATAGACGTTACCGGTGCGTAGAAATACGAAGGCGGCAAAGAATCCAAACAAGGAGGTATACGTAAATTGGAAGAGCGAGCGGAGGACGGCCAACAGCAGTGGGGTTTGTGGATGTGTTAAGCGGAATTCGTACAAATGATGAACGTGAGCGATGCCAAAGTACAGCGGAGTAAGGAATATGATCTGCTTCCCGGAAAATCGGGCGAGAACGTGAAGCGGTATTATCAGCGAGCGCCAAATTAGTTCCTCGCTGACGGGGCCCTACAGTCCATTAGCAAGAAGAGCCGGTGTGTACCATATCAATTCACATACGACTACAAAGTTCCGATATCCGATCCAGCTGCTCAGAGAATCATACAGCCCGGTACCTCTGATCCAGTATTTGAGCTCACCGTCGACTATACCGGTTTCAAACAAGGGTCCGGCGAACAGGATGACCACAAGCAGCATGGTCCTCACTATGTCTAAGAGAGAGACGGGCCACAGGCCTAGCAATGAAAGCATATCTGCTACAGGGACATCTCCAGATTGATACAGCACGCAGACTGTCAGAATTACACTGACAACGCATGAGAAGGTAACCGCTCGAATGCGGGCGCGTATAGACGACGGAGCATCACGTGTCAACTGTGGAGATGGACGGGTTGCCGCCGAAATGTAAAACGGAGCCACGTAGATGATGGTGAAGAGAACCTGAAGATTATGTTTTAGTGTTTGAGGCGGTTGCGGTGCAGGTGAAGCACTGCAACGAGCAGTTAAATATAGGCAAGGAAGAGGAGTGAACCTTGCAAAGAGAAGGAAAAGCGGGACGCACCGACAGGAAAGCAGCAGTGGCAGGAGAAACGGGTGGCGGTTTGGGAACTGGTGACATGATGAGTTAGACGGAAGGAGACAGGTCGAGCAGAGGATGAGACTGGAAGATGTTGAGGTGGAACTGGTGTTGCATAGCGTGGGCGCGTGTGGAGGGAAAAGAGGAGCCACGCAGGCCAATGGATGCCAACGTACCGCCTTTGATGTGCTTCGCGTAGAGATCGCTCACCAGGTCCCTCCAGCCTTTGACAGGCGGCGGCATTGTTAGTTGGCAGCAGACTAAAGGCAAGCGTCAGTATGTATGTATCTGGATCGGAGATGAATGGCAGCGATCGGGTTCTTTGAGTGCTTTGTCGGGAGGCTACGTGAGCATTCCGGTTATGATTGTTGGACAACAACAATACACAGTGCCCAGGTGTACCCCACGCACGGCATGGGATGCTCGGAGGAAACATTGACCGGCTCCGGGGCTGACTCTCACGTGGCCGCCCCAACGACAGGCCCCAACGAGTCTGGAGCATTGAACAGCAAAACAACAGCCAGGGATTTGTGCACGACCAAGCATTATTCCAATGCATTTTTCCAAAATTCGAGCCAATTAGCGAAATGGGTGTCATTGAGGCCACTTTGAATTTTCCCAAAGGAGGCTCAACTCCACCCCCGTCGCATGAAGCAGAAACACGCTTGCGCTGCTGAGCATCGAACCCCCTGCATACACTCGCGCGCGCACCCCCCACCGAGAGACTCGCGCAGCCAGCACCGGCCCGTGGCAGGGCGTCAGTGGAGGTGCTCCGAAATTGGCCGTCATTTTACGCTCGCTGGCATCGTCCGCCCACGGCTCGTTATCGATTATTGCAACTTGGGTGTCCCTTGAACGCATTGAAGGCGGCCGTACCGCTGTGCGAATCATCCCCAGATGCCAGAGGGAACATCCTAAGAACGCAAATTATACTCCTCGAATCGCACGGCAATCGTCGCTGCACAAAAATTGACAAGGCGCGCCCGCATCGTCCGGCTCGTGCTTGACCGCCATCTCGGTACCTCGAGCTAGCATTGGACGGAAACCTGCTGTCGTCTACCTGCTGCATGCACCTCAGAGGGAACAGGCGCGCCTCGTCTACGTTAGAGTCCCAAGCCCGTTAGTTGTTAGCAGCTGGCTGGCTCGCAGCCACTTGCTGCCACCCTCCTGAATCGCTTTAACACCCGCTGCCCACTCCTCGCCTCTTCTTTTCCAAAACCTCAAACCTTTTAATGCCCTTGGGCCCCATTTGTCACACTCTTTTGGACTCTCTGTATAGCTTCTTGTCACTCTTTGGTTTCCCCACCCCATCTACATATCGTATTTCCAATTTTTTTCATTCTCCCCATACTACCATTTACTTCGTCGTTATACCGTCATCGTCATCTACTGTTTCATTTCCAAATCCCCCATTAACGTTTTCGTTTTTCCTCCGCCATCCAACGCCTTCATGAGCCTTCACTCATTTCATTGCGTAACGCGCCCATGAGCTCACGCGTTTGAGTTCAATTTGCGCTGCCTAACTCAGCACCCGTCACCACACTATGTCTGCCTCAGAGAGCAGGCCCGACTCCGACACTCCTTTCCTGTCACCGCTCGCCAGCGCTCCAAAGTTTTCACCGCCGTCAACGAGAAACGTTTCCCCTATTCGTAGGCCTCTTCACGACAGGTCAAACTCGCAAACCAACCAATTTGCCGGTCCTACCATTCGTGTCGTCGATGATCCTGGAACCGACGTCTATTCAAAGACACCATTTCCGAGTGAGCCATCGCAAATCTTACCACCACATAATGCGCCGGGATATGCGTTCGAGCGCAGGGGTCCTCGCGTTTCAGAAGGAGGAACTGTTGCCAATGCGGTCGCAAAGCTCGAAGCCACTAGGACCCTGGTCCCCAAACCACTGCAGAATAGCAAGAAAGCAGCCAGACACTCAGCCTCCACTAGCACCTCAGAAGCAGACACTTTCATAGCATCTTCGTTTTCTCCCTCATCCACTCGGTTCTCTCAGGCCAGCACACCCCCGTCCTCGCCCTCTGCTCGCTCGTCACTCGTTACCGGGAAGGAATTGGAACCGCTTGAAGAGGTCCCCTCATCACCATCAAGGTCTACCATTCGGCTTATTGCTCCCTCTACTTCCGCCAGCTCCGAGGCGCCGTCTGAAAGTCACGCATTAACTCCAAGGGCATCTGCCGCGTCGCTTGCTTCCACTGCGTCATTGGGCACCCCCGATACTCAAGTACATCACAGGAGGTCGTCTTCCAATTTCGTTGTTCTGAACGACACCCCCTCTACTCAGGGCCACAGGCGTACACCATCGTCACCGTCCAGCAGGAAGAAGCAGGCTTCATCTGACAATACACCGTCGCGTCGACCCGTTTCGCAAGCATCTTTCGCGCAATCACTCGCTTTTTCTGACATCACTTCCATCAGCGAACAGCCAAGACCTTCTACACGAGGTACAGAGATTATTCATGAAGCACGTACAACAACACTCACGAGTGGAACGCCAATCAACTATCCCGTCGTTCGCGCCCCTTCCGCCAGCAGCCTATGGGCCGAGTCGCAAGAGTTGCCATCGATTTCCTCACGAATGAATAACCGCAACTCACAGGTGCACCAATGGAGCTCACAGCTTTCTACCATACACTCGGAATCAGAACGCGCTTCGCATTCGCTCAGCGTGCGCTCGTTTTCCCAAGATGGTGCTTCAAATTCGGGACGAGGTTATATACCACACGAAAGACACGCGGTTGAAAGCATCGCTTCTTCTGAGAATGTCTCGGCAAGTGCTACCGATTCGTCTGTGGCGATACCTCTTCCATTGTTTTCCCCCTTGACTGGTCCTTCACATCATGACGAGAAGGGATCGGATGAAGCGCTTGATACTGTGTCGCCATTACAATCACCTCCGCTTCGAATGAAACGGTCGGGTCTCTTGCGAAGATTGGACAGTGACACACGCTCAACACGATCGAATTCCTCTTCGCGACCCAGCTCGTCACAATCAGACTTATCCACCTTCTTCACCAACAGCATCCCTGGATGGGCGAGGTACGTGCTATGTTTTCTCGAGGAGCCACTGGTATAATATCTAATTTAAGCAGAGTTTACTACCGAAAAGGCGAACGTGTATCAATCGGTGCACCAGAATCTCTTTCAGACTCGTCTGATAACTATCGCCTACATACCGCACAAAGTGGGCGCACAACCACACCTTCGGAAGGCAACGCTCCGTTTGGAATATACCGCCCACGTAACAGGCCTCACGAACGAATATCACAGGCCGAGTCACTTTACTTGTCGGATGAATTAGACAACCAGGAACCTTATGTCATCGGTCGTGAGCGACTTATGAGCCCGCCCTTCACCCCTCGTCTACGCCAGGATCGCCGAAGCCAAGCTCAACTCAGTGCTTGGAAAGCACCTTCCTTCGACGAGAACTTCGGATCAATGTTGTTCAGCCGTCAAAACCGGCAAATTGTTCTGTTCTGCTTTGGTTTTCTCTGTCCTCTATGTAAGTTACTTCCCAATCTTGCAGGCGCGTGCAGGTCATCTGACAGCCATTTGTAGTATGGATGGTCGCTGCAGTCCTCCCTTTACCTCCCGACCCGACGTCCAAAAAACCCAGAGACAGCCAAATGGACATTGAGCGTCAGCTTGAACGCAACTTCGGACCCGTCGACGACAAATCATTCAAAAAAGCCACTTGGTGGCGCAATTTGAACAGGGTCATGTCTGGCTTGGGGACTCTGCTTATCGGAGCAATTGTAGGTCGTTCCTAGTTCTTGAATTCTAGCAAGCCACTAACAGAATCATCAGATCGCATTGGCCATATTGGCTTCTCGAATGAAATAGTTCCCTCTCATATTATAACGGACGTATAATTGTCGACACCATGTTCCATCAACATGAACACATATATGAATCACTCCATATTCCTTCGCCGGGCTTCTACATCAATCCAACTATCAACACGCTTCTACCGGCCTATTATCTCCCACGATGATACTTCACGCATCTACGACCGCGTTACGCCACTTATGTCATTTAATCTCTTATTATTCCCGAGCTGCATTTAACGACCGGGGGCTCTTCTGAGTCTCCGTCTTTAGTGTCTACGTAGCTTTCGTACATGTCTCTGTACCTTTTTTTTTGTCTAGATTCCCACCAGTGGCTTCTGTTTCTTGAGCGTTTTTACCGTCTGCATCGCATCGCATAGCTTAGCGGGCGTTTGTATTCACTTTGTTCTTCAGCTTCAGCCTGATCTATATCGATCTTTTTCTTTTTGGCAGCTTTTCTCTTGAGCCTGTGTACAGGCGAACCCTATTGTTTCGTTTTGTCCTGTTGATACCTAAGACCGCCATGCAACATTGGTTGGCGCGTTGAATGGGTCTGGCGCCTGCACAACTTGTGCTACTTGCATTGAAATAATGTAGTTTTGAACGATACGGCAATTGTAATTGTATAAAGAATTATGCCACGGCCTGAGAAGCTACGGCGGATATCAAACCACTGTCTTTTCCAAAACCACCCCCTTTGCTTGGATACGTGAAGCAGATCGAGGCAGGCGAATAAAACTGACTTTGAAGAACAAGGCAAGGTTGCTCATACGATGGCATGACGGTGCCGCGTGCGCAAAGCTGTAACTCCAGGACCTGAGGCACGTCGCAAAGAACGACCGAAGCCGAGGCCTCTCTGTGTCTCTGCGTCAATGTGCAAGACAAGAAAGGGAACTAACGCCGCCAGCTCTCTGCTGTGGGGATTGGTGAAATGAACAGCGACCGACTGAAGAGTCATGAAGGGACTTCCGCAGCCTTCGGCGATTGATCTCTGCGCCTCTTAATGTGGCGGAGTTGATCTTCTGGGTAGGTGATGATGGATGAGTCGAAAGTGAGTCAAAGGAGCTAGTCCGCATCGGTACCACTCGCCCCGCCTTCCATCACTTGAAAAGAGAGTCTGCTCTCACGACTTTTTTCGACCACAGCTCAAGCATCGGCGCACGCGATACTACTACATCCACCTACACTTCTGTCCCGCTTCTACTCTCTACCCCTTGAATTTCCATAAACACCCGCGATCGACAAGTAATCAGCAATTATGGCGGTCCGCGCTCAATTTGAAGGTTCGAACGAGTGAGCTTTGCCCCACCCTTCATGGAGCAACTACTCCTCAGGGCAACACATTGACTTGTATACAGGGTTGGTGTGTTCTCTACTCTCACAAACGCATATGCTATTGTAGCAGTGGGAGCTTCAGAGAACTTTTACAGGTTCGTTACTTTCTCGCTCTCGCTCTCTAGCTTCTCGACTGCGCATTCAGTCGCACAGAAAGCCATGAGGCGAAACTTTGGCCTGTTAGAACCACATTAACCTTATGCGACAGCATCTTTGAGGCCGAGCTTCAAGACGTCATTCCAATTTGCCATGCTACGATAGCCGGTACCAGGATAGTGGGTCGTTTGACCGCAGGGTATGTGGCGCAACTACTACCGCAGTCTTTTCACGCAAACGATACTAAGTCTGTCCAGTAACAAGAAAGGTCTCCTTGTTCCCACAACAACTACAGATCAAGAGCTTCAACATCTGCGCAACTCCATTCCAGATAGCGTCAAGATCCAAAGAATAGAAGAGCGCCTTTCCGCACTCGGCAATGTTATCTGCTGCAATGACCACGTCGCTCTCGTGCACCCCGATATCGAGCGAGAGACGGAGGAGATAATAGCCGATGTTTTGGGCGTCGAAGTCTTCAGGCAGACTATTGCGGACAATGTGTTGACGGGTAGCTACATGTCGTTAAGCAATCAAGGCGGCATCGTGCACCCCAAGACGAGCATCCAAGATCAGGACGAGTTGAGCAGTCTTCTGCAGGTACCACTTGTGGCAGGCAGTGTGAACCGAGGAAGCGCCGTTGTCGGTGCGGGTATGGTGGTAAACGACTGGATGGCTGTCACGGGTAAGTTCTGAAGCTGTTCTGTCTCGCCAATACGTGCGCTAAAAACATTTTGTAGGCCTCGATACCACTGCTACTGAGCTTTCGGTAGTTGAGTCCGTCTTCAGACTAGGCGAAGGCAACGGCCCCAGCGCCATCAACACTACACACAAAGATGCGATGGTCGAGTCCTTCTACTAAGTCAACTTCTGTGGCATTAATAGTGGCAAAATGTGATATGGTTGATCCCTCTACTAAATCAGATCTTCCGCCGACTGTGATGGCTGCATTCACAGGACTCTCCACGCTGTATTCTATATATATAATTGCGTTGGATTGAGGTATGGCGCGCATCGGCGTCCGAGGCATAGGAAGAACAGGAGTTAGAAAACGGAGCATGTGCATCTGCTGCTCTTCTGGTGTAGAAACTGGTCAATATCACGCCGCTGTGATTGCAGCAGAGGCCATTTGTGTCAAATATTCATTTATACCAAAGACAAAACTGCGGTGATGAGCTCGCCAATGGAGTGACGTCTATAGTAACATTTTCAGAGCACGGTGCCCTCTCACAGTCTGATAGGGCTGAAGATCGGCGGGGCTTGGCGCTATTTCCGATCTCATAGCTCATACCGCCGCCTGCTTGCATGTACCTCTAGACAACATTGAAAACAAGCATCTCGTTCAGACGCCCGCTTACTGCATATATACGCTAATCTATATGACTGTCTTTATCTGAATTCGAAATCCTTCTGTCCCGCGTCGCGGGCTCCTTTTTGCGCCAGCAACGACCATGCCTTCCGACACTTCCAAAGCGCTCTCTAAGCGTAACGCCTCCACGGCTCTCATGCCACCTCCTCCGGCACCCAAGCGTATAAAAAGACCTTCAGTCGTGTTACCCGAAGATGTATACACCTCAGCCATATCTCATATCATCCGACGCGACTTCTTCCCTGGGCTCGCCGAAACTGACGCTCAGCGCGACTACCTCAGCGCACTGGAAAGCAAGGACAAAAGATGGATTCGAGAGGCGGGAAACAAGTTGGCTGAAGTTATGACTCCTGTTCCTGGACGTTCATCAGCGAGAAACACACGGTTCAAAACAGGGTTGTCTCAGAGCGCAAGTGGAGAAAAGACACCAAGCACATGGGGAGCAGACACACCTAGAACAGAAATAGGTGACAACAAAGAAGAGGACGAGGATGAAGAAGGCTTAAGCAAACTAGACAAAGTGGACTTGGACATGAGTTTGAATGCTTTTCAGGCCAAATACACCTCAGAAGATCAGGAGTCTTTCAACCAGCTTCTCGATACGCAGAACCACAAGCGCTTCGAAAAGCAAGCATGGCTTCACGACGGAAATCGTTACGCAAGCAAGCAGCGCATTGCGCAGCAAAAAGTCATCGAAGCCCGCCGCCAAGCGGCTGCCGAGGACACCAATTCCACAGCGGTGGTGCCAGTACGTCCCAGCCAGGACCTGGACGAGCGCCCCGCAGCCCCGAATACACACAAGCACACCGCCTTCAACCATCTGATGTTCGAACCAGAAGGTATCGAATCGTGGGCCCCGACACGCGCTCAGGCTGCTCAAGATGCATCTCTCGCGCCTCCAAAACGCGTCCTTCACGCCAATACCCGCATGCCCCCCGCCATCGAGCACCCTCCACAACCTTCGAGCCCTACTCATTCTCAAATTCGAAACGCCGTCGCCGGACGCCCGAATCTGAGCGCCAGCGAGGGCGGATACACGGGCAGCGAGACCCCGCGAGTGAACGGATACTCATTCGTCGATGCCACCCCTCCTTCCCCCGAAGACGAGGACGAAGACGAACCGCCCACAGACCTCCTCGAACGCTTCGGTGCAGGCAGCTCCTCGTCAACAGCCTCGCCCTTCACCATCCCCGAGTCCCAGCGCCGCGAGAAACTCCATCATCAAATGGTCGATCGCATCTCCGCTTCCAAACGCTCTTCATCTTCTGCTTCAAACACTACGTCGTCTGTCTCCAAAGCCCCGACTCCTCATCTTGGCCTCGGCCTCTTCACATCCGAGAAGACGCCACGGTTCACCAGCGCCCCTACGCCCGCTGCTATGCGCGAGCAGCTCGCAGCGAGGAAACTGGGGAATCTGACGCCTGCTGCGCAAAGGCTTTTCCAGAGTGTGGGGAGGACGCCGGGGCGAGCTGGGAGTGCGGGAGGAGGAAGCGGCGGATTCGGTGATGCGCCTGGGAAGGGTGGGAAGATGTGGACGCCTACACCCAGGACTGTTGGTGGCAGTGGCGGGAAGAAGGGTAGGAAGGCGTGATGCGATTGATGGATGCGAAGTGGATTTCTATGCAGATGGACTTTATGATACCCCAAATTTCACCTTCTATTTTATTCTTCTCCTCTATTTTTTAAACTTGCGCCTGTGCTTGCAGACGTCAATAACTTGTCCGTGTCCTTGAGACCTATATCTTATCGACTATCCCATGATTATGATTATGATTTGCCTGCAGAAGATGACGACACAAGGAGGCAACACATAAGTTCACAAACTGTGAACGGAATTCAACAAGAGGTCAATCATGACTAATTCTATATTCCGCTAGTCCTTTTCTCAATGGAAAAATCTCCATGTTTCTCCATATACTACTACCTAACTACTACATGTTGCACCCGATCCACTTTTCAACACCCAAACAAATCAAATCCCGCTGCAGCTCACGAGCAGGAAACCGCGAAAACAGAGAAGCGGCGGTGTTAGATCCAGAAAGAACAGCAAAATTAGCGTGCGAAAGTTAGATCAAACACTCCCACGGAGGCGAAGGGAGGGGAGGGAATAACGGGCTCAAAATCAAACAAAGATAACGATATAATTCCAATAACTAAGTCACATACACAGACGAACGCACACGAAGGCACGAAGGCAGGAAGCAACAAACGAGGACCCGATGCTATATGCAAACGCCATGCTTTCGATGATATATAGAAGAACAAGGGGGGAGGGATGGGGGGAAAGCAAAAAAGACGGACGCAAACAAAAGACAGAAGAACAAAGTCCCCTTGGGCAAGGACTACACCGCCGCCTGAATCCAGACGGATGGCTTGCTCAATCATCAGAACGAATCCCTTCCCAGCAACGAGAGCTATACACAGGCGGCCGAAACAAGACCAAAGTCTTGAGAGAGATCCAGAGCAAAAGAAAAAGAAAGGCAATAACGGGTTGAAGAGGAAAAGGAGGTTGTAGATTACAAAGATAAGTTTGGACTGATTGAGGGAGGAGCGCAGTGACTAAAGAGGATCGAGGTGTTGACATGTCTATCCACCACGACGACGCCCCGAGTCTGGCCCCGAATAGTTTCTGAATTGTGTACCCGGGGTATGGTAGCTCCTGTACTGCCTACGTTGGCGTGACGAACCTTCGGCAGGACGTTCAGAGGCAGCTTCGCGAGGCACACTTGGAGCTTGTTCGTACGACGGTGTTCGGCGATGAGAGGTTTGGGGGTGAGAGGGGGGATATGCGGTCTGTGATGCGAATGCCATGGGTGGAGGTTGCGAATGTGCGGGTGGGGGAGGGGCCATGTTGGCGGGGAGAATGGGTTGGCCGCCATATTGATGAATTTTGAGTGGCGGGTAGGGCGACAGGGCCGTGGGCGGAGGGGGAGGCGCCTGGAAACTGCCTGGTGGAGGTATGTAGCCTCCATGATATTGAGGTGGGGGGTTAATGGCCGGTGTGTAAGGCGGGGGAGGCGCGTGATGAGATGGGCGCTGCACTGGAGCATAGGCTGCTGCGGAGGGCGAAGGATACGACGATCTTTGGGACGGCGCAGGATCGTAATGTGCAAAGCGGAAGTTGATTGGATTGTTGGGTGGTGGTCCTGATGACTTTTGTGGGATGGATGCGCTGATCGATGGAAGTTGCGTTGTTGTAGTCGGTGTGTAGCGACTGTGTTGAGGAGGGTGCGATGAAGCAGCTTGACTTGGTTCTGCATGATACGGCTGGGGCGGGCTCGCTGCATATGGTGACGCTGAAGGAGGTCGAGGTGCCTGCGATCCACTCATACGCCTATCGCGCGCCCAATGCGAGGAAGATATTTCTTGAGACCCTGAACGAGGAGGTGGATAGGATGGTGCTACTCTGGGTGACTGGTTATAGGAAAGAGGTGGAGCCTGTGGAGATGCAGTATATGATGATGATGGTCCTTTATTGACATCTTGGCCATGGTGTTCGGAATGTTCAGTCGAGTCCGTGGCAGTATACGGCCGAGCAAGCGGAGCTGTAGTATCACGCATCCGGTCACGCTCCGTAGACGGCAGGTGGTTGTTCTCCATTTTATCGGGCCTCGAGCTGGAAGGTATCCTTCCTTCAGAAATAGCCTTTGCATCCAGCATGGCACGTATGGATTTCATAGGGTCTCTCTTTCGTAAAGCCTCTTCGCTCATGCTCTTCGCATAACGTGGATTCCAGCTCGGTGTGGTCCGAGTGGCTGAAGACCAAGATCCTGAATCGGTTGGTACTCTTGAGAACACCTTTGGCAGCTCCGGGTACGTCTGGGGAGGATCATATCTATGCGAAGGGGTATCTCTTCCGTTCTCAAGAGGTGCATTTGGAGGGGGCGGTTCAAAAACAGTTGAATGAGATTCATGATGCCTTGTGACCGGCGACTCCGCCTCGTCATTCAACATATCCATGATACGATGTGTCGAACGCGCAGGAGCTTCGGACTTTGCGACTGGCTGGTCAATCGTGGGTTGTTGCACGGCGATGGCCTCTGTACGCAATGGGTCCTTTTGAGGAGCGTCTTGCACCATTGGCTGATCTACAGACTTTTGGCCTGTAGCAGTGTCCGGCAGAGGTTGCTCTTCTGTGGACGGCAATGGTTCCATCGGAGAGGATTGGCGAGGTAGCGTGGCCGGGCTAGGCTCATCCTGAGGTTGCTTCTTGATCTGCGGAAGGGGTCCTCGAGATGCCTCTGTTGATAAAGAAGCAAGTAAGAATAATGCGTCGGCTTGTTCGTTTGGAATGACTGCAGGTGGCGGGGGTTGCGGTGGGGCATTTTCGACATCTTTGGCAGCATTTAGCAGACTCATGACGTTCCAATGAGCCACTGCTTCCGTCCGGTCTCGACCGTTGTAAGTTGCGAACGGAAGATCCTCAATCTTGTCATCGGCATCTTCATTTCTAGCAACAAAGTCCGATCTTACTTGGTCGAGGCGTTTTCGGAGCATATCTTCATCAAGCATTGCTTCAGTATCGACATATGCTCGGCTACGAGAGGCATATTTGGACTCAAGTCGATCGTCACCTGTGGTGGTAGGGAATTTCATATAAGTAACGGCTACTAGATTATCCTGAGAGAATGTTAGTGGATTGTCGGTTGGCACAATCTTGAAGTCTTACTTCGTCATCGGTAGCAGCTGCTTCGCGACCTTTCGCTTCCCTGTCAATCTGCTTCATTCGGTAGTAGCATTGAAGCAAGAGGTCTTCTTGAAGATCTTTGAAGCGTTGCTACTCGGATCAGTAATCGTGTTTTCTAACACGGTGCAAGACAACTTACAATATATTTCTCTCGCTCAATCTGCTCGGTCGCAATACGAACACGCTCGAGCTGGTCAAGTTTCTCTCCCCTCAAAGCATTCAGCTGAGCAAGTCGACTTTCTTTGCGCTGGTCGAGGCCGGCCATAAGGGGTTCGTACTCGGGAACCTGCTTATAGTACTCTGGTTCCTTTTCCAGATTTCGAAGCGAACGGTTAGAAAGTTCCTCCAAGATGAGTTTTTGAACCTTGGCGAGACTGCGATAGCTCATCTTCAAATTAAGCTGGCGGCGCAAATCCGTCTCGACATTGATGTCCGAATGCGGTGCGCGTCGACGCCCAGGCATTCGCTTTCCTAGTTTGGTAGGCGCATCGCCATTACCTGGCAGAACATGATGCAAATTCTGGCTACTGTCGACTTCTGCCATCTGCTCTGGTGAATTGGGTGCAGTCGAGGCATCTGTTAGTTCGGGGGGTAGGTCGGCGGCATCAGCAGGGGTCTGTGTTGTTTTGCGCTTCTTTCTACGAGGCTGCAGCTCGGAAACGTCGCTCTGGGTGCGTGTAAGAACACCATTTGGGCGGGCACTGGCCGATTGCGAAGAAGCATCTGAGGCGCGGCGTTTTTTGCCAGCTACGCCGGCGGCATCTTCAATGGGCAGTTGGTCTGCGGCTTGCAATTCAGGCGTCTGCGACGCATCCGCCGCATTCACTGCGGAAGCGTGGTCAACCATTGATGGTGCAGATGGCTGGGGCGAACCAGAATCGGTCGAAAGTCGGGTGCGCTTCGCTGGTCTTTCATCCTCGTCGACGTCTGAATGCGCATCCTGGATTTGCGCGAGGTCATTTAAAGAACTGCGACGGCTGGTTGAGCTCGCAATTGAAGGCGCGCCCGAGCTCGTCTGAACAGATGCTGTCTTTGCAGCACGACGGGTTGTCATGTGGAGCGCAATCGATGGTGCCAGACGCGAAGTCTTTCCTCCTTGAACTGAGTTTCGTCGCTTAGAAGACGCTAGCTCGGCTGCACGGCCGCCAAGTCATACCATGTTAGCATTGCTTCGGGAGGCAACATGAAGCCGGCTGTATGCAGCACAGGGACAAGAAGTAGACATACCCGGTGTTGCTTTGGCCGGTGAGCTGTGGAAAGCCTTTGTTGCTTTGTTCTTGCGCTTTGGCGGCATTGTGGTGTGACTGAAACGTGACAAGACACTGTGTACCGGGGATATTACTGCGCGTGTACATGATCAGCCCCATGACCACGGGTTATATGAAGCAACTTTTGAAGTACAAACATGTCGGGAGATGAATGGAAAAACAAGCACAACTTACAGGAGTGGTCCAAGGCTGTTGAGCGTCTGCTTGCGATCAAGTGGTTTTCGAAGTCGAACACTGTGAAGTGCGGCAGCTGAGGCCCAGTCAGCTCCTGAATCAATGTCCATGACGAGGAACCACGCAGACTACAAAGCAGACATGGCATTGCAACATGCGATCCAGGTTTTCAAGCCCAGATTCACATATGCCAGCATAGTTGTGGGTTCGAGAGGGATGAACTTGCCTTGATCCGATCAAGTGGTGTGTTGTGTCTCGGTGGCACACACAATGGCTGAACAGTGAATAGTGCGATGAAGGGAACAGTCACAGAACTAAACAGCCATTCTCCAGAGAGTCACTGTTCAAGCTCCCGGGGGTTTTCAAGTGGTCCAGAAAGACAGTCTGGCCAGCGGCTTCAAGGCGCTGGATAGCAAGGAAAAGGGACCAAAGGAGTCTGCAAAAGAAATGCTCCTCGGAAGGTAGAAAATGAAGGGAGAGAAGTGGGTTCTTGCCGGACTCTGCTCAGCGAGGATAGAAGACAGGAAATCAATATTGATGAGCCGCAGAGCCCAAGATTGGTAGGGTGGTGTGTGGTTGAAGAAGTGGATGGCGTTGCAAGATGAAGGAACTGGTGTCGGATTTGGCGCTAGTCCCGGAAAGACTGACTAAACGGTACAGAATACAGCACCCTCACCCAATGGTAGCACAGCTGTTGGCGACAATAGAGGCACAATAGTAGCAAGCAAGGCTGTACTGGCAGATGTAGGTGAGCAGTGGGCGCTCGAGTCCTTGCTTGGCGGTAGAGTGTGGAGGTGAATGCGAGCGAGAATGACGGCTGGTCGGAGAGGTGCTGTAACTCGAATGGGAAATAGCAAAAGATGACACCGAAACTCCTTTGCTCGCCTACTTTGCCTGCAGAACCGCACCGCACCTGACGGAACTTCCTCCTACAATCAGCGTGGGTACGATTCTTGTAGCACCGCCATGACAGTTATTCATGTACATTTCACCATCACTTGTCTTGCTTCGCTGTAGGTTTCAAGAGGCAAAAACGTCATTAGCCGTACGCTAGGCGAATATGCGTTGTTACGACCACACAACCAAGCATGATCCTTCTCGCACTGAATGCCGATGCTGTGCAATGATAACAGGTTCAAGTAGACGCTGATTTACATTTATGGGTTGAACGATGATGGGACAGAGAAGTGTTTTTGAGGGCCATTGACAAGATGATGATTTCAGTCCTTCAATCTGGCCCTCCGGCCCCGTTTGCCTCAGAGTGGAAGACGCATAGGTGGCGATGCTTTGCATGCTCATCACGGTTGATCTTGCACGGAAGCTTGCCATAAGCCAGTACCACCTAGCAAGAGAAATAAATATGCGAACGATAGAAGCGCTGCATCAGAGTCACGTATCCCCAGTCTGTCATCATCTTCACAGTACATGTGTGGTGTAGTCAAGTGAATACATCCATCATCTCATCCGACGTAATATAAGTGTCCGCTTAGCCCGGGCTCACTCAGCAAGTCAGATGCAGTACAGTACAGTACCGATCAGCCCCATGGTTCCCAAGGCGCCGCCACCGGGTCTCCAAGTATCGCTACTTTGTTTTCTTCTCGAGGCGCACAGAGGGCTGTTCCTTTTTCTCTACTTTCCCCACGCTGCGCTAACTCGCACGCTTTCGCACGAAGTGCAAGTTGGGACGGTGTTGCTCCCTTGGCAGGCGTGGAGTTTTCCCAAATGCTCCCATTGGCCAGTGGGCGCTGCACGTCAACGGCGGCGGCGGATCCCTTCCCCCTGGCGCGAACCGCATCGAGCATCGCCAGCACCATCCATCGACACCTACTGTGTAGGCATTGCCCCTAGCATCTGGACATGAGAGCCGCGTCGGAGCGACCATGGCCCGGCATCGACATCATCGCCCCCCCCCCCTCATTTCTGGTGTGAATCGATGTTGGTAGCCCTTTGGGTTAATCTTGGAAATTGTGATTCTTCTCACGGTTGGGAAATGAGGGCATGGGGGAACCAAATCCTGGTTGTGCACAGCGATGCTAGTCTCGGTCCAATTGTCACACAGCGTTAGCGGCAAATCCAATGCACGGCTATGGGATCAATATGAGAAAAATTTCTTATTTGCAGTGTTTATATTTTGTTTTGTCATCTTGATTTTTTTTTTCTTTCGGGGGGGCTTTGGCCGTGGCAGAATTACATCATTGCCGCAGGGCATGTTACAACCAAGCTCACTGCTGCTCATTCGTGTTCCGTCTACAAGAACTGTTAAGACATTGACTATTACGTGCTGTCTTCGCCCTTCGTGTGGAAACAAAACCCAAGTCTATAGGGTACGAAGCAACGTGAGAATAAAACGAGGAAGGAAATTGGTATATAGAGACTCGCTCAGTCGAACAAAAGGGAAAAATGCAGTTCGCTCGGCGACGAGTGAAAGTATAGTGGACATTGCGCGCTTGCTACATCGGTCAATGGTGGTGATGCTTCACCCAGACCGACTACGGTTGGTCTCGGGTTGTAGGTTTACTTTGCGAAGGCTTTGGCTGGTGCTGCTCCTTGGCGAGGAGTTGAGTACAAAGTCGGGGATCGGCGGAGTCATACCTCTGCTCGGAGGTGATGTGCTTCGTGAGCGACTGGGTCTGGGGCTGAGTCCACGGTCGCTGGTAAAACTACGAGCGTAGCCAATCCTGCTCGGGCTGGCAGTACGGCTGAGGTTGCTGGTAGAACGCATACGACTGTATGGCCTGGCTGGGCAGGCAATCGCTTGATCTGATAAGGGGCTAGCTATAATGCTAGTTCCCGGTGTTGCTGCTGGTGGCGGCACTGGACTTTCGCTTCTGAAAAGAGGGTGGATGTGAGACTCGTGACCGATAACAGGACTGGGTGGTCGGCACGGGTCCAACATCATCTTCGGGGGAAGTGGCAGATCCCCATCTTCCTCGTCAGAGGCGGGAAATGGGCCATCCAAAGCTCGAGCGGGTGATGCGGGGCGGCTTTGGGGAATTGCTTCTAGAGCAGTGCCCTTGGTAGGTGCTGCAGGTGTTTGTTGAGCAGCAGCAACGAGCTGTGCTGAAGCTGCAGTCAACTGGAGTACTATCTGGGGATCGGCTTCCCATCTATCGAACCCGTCTTGAGATGCAGAGTCAAAAGACTGGATGTCCGAATACACGCTCCTTGTCGACCGCTTATTGAGAAGTCTAGAACGGGATGTGGCTGGACGGACGACGTGGTGTAACGACTCCCTCCATGATTGCAATGATTGCGAAGATCGAGTGGAGAAGGTGGGCGATGGCAAAGCCGCGAGTGGAGACGACGGCTGCGCTGGCTGCATCATGAACATACTGTGTGGCGTGTTCGAGTGTCGTAGTTCGGACATGACGGAGTCGCGTGGACCGGATATAATGACCGATTGTGCTTTTGGTGTCGATCTGCACCATAGTGGAGAAGTGAATAGGGCGATTTGACTGAGGCAAGCCAATATCCAGATGGCTATCTGTGCAGTCAGACGATCATACTTTGCGGTATCTGGACTTGCAGATGAAAGCTCTGATAGTCGTGATCTTGTAGTGATGATCGCCGCCAGTGAAACTCCCAAGGCCACCACTGAGCATGTAATGCACAAGGCTACCAACAGGTGTTTACCCTGCGTAGAGTCCTTGAAGAAGCCACCTCTTGACCATGCGTATTGCACTGAGAATAATGTCACAGATCCCAAAGCCAGCATGTCTAGCGCACTTGCTGCAGCGGCAAGCCCACGTAATGAGTTGCTCGTGGCTGGCAGAGAGGCGGCATTGAGGATATCCAGGATAGTATCTGCAGCTGTGGTAGACAATGTCACTATTCCAAGGAGAGAGAGGTAGAATTTCCGAGACCAGGCCATAGTGATAGGCCTAGACTGAAGCAAGAACTGGTAAAGGCTGCACGGGAGGGTGAGGCGATTTTGCAGCTAATTTGCAGTGTTCGAAAGAATTGTTGATGAGAGTGCCTTTGTATACCAAACTCTGGAGTAATGCACCAGGGTTAGGCGGGGGCCATAACAGATCGTAACGAAGTCGTAACAGTTCGTAGATGACTCGAGAAGGGGGAGATGGGGGGTTGTTGAAGTGGAATTTCAGCAGCTCCACGCAAGCACCGGATGACTATCACCGAGGCAATAATAACAATCTACCAGTGAAGGCGCGAGAGACGATGCGGTTCAAGATGATAGTGTAAATAGAGAGCGCGTTCGCGGTCGACACGAAGTCCCAATGCGGAGGGCTGCAGGAGTAGTCCGGGGCCGGCAGGTGTATAATTATCCAGGCGCGGGTAGTTGGCTGATGGATCTCGGGACGGCACCGTTTAGGTAGAAGCGAGCGATGGATTGAAATGAAAGCGAGTGATGGTGGAACGAGAGAATGAACAGAACAGAACAGAAGGAAGCAGAGAAGAGGATGGAAAAGAGGGGACCCACGAGAACATTAAAGGTAAATTTAGCAGAGGCAGAGCTGGCTTGTTGAATTATTGTTTTGTGCTGCCGCACGCGAGTGGGACTCGGAACATGGGCCAGGATGATTCCTGGAGGAGGGTGACGTTACAGGCATTGGGGTGAGATGGCAGGACCCCAGCACCATGACACACACCATGAGTACGGGGATGGGCGGGCGAATGGCTTCGAATCTTGAATTCGCAGCACAGGCTTCGAGAATCTTGTACCGGCAAGGCAGCAAACTTTCCGAGCCCGCCATGGGCCAATGGCAACGCCATCGCCCGCCTGACAGCCAGACGGCCAGCCAGGCCCAGCTTGGAGACTCCTGTGATACACTTTGCGAGGTGGGGCCGCGTCTGCCATCATTTCCCACCACGCGTTGTTGTTTGGACTTGTGTTTCTTTTTGCTTTTCCCAAACAAACAGTCTGTCGAGCTCGAGCAACACGGCATGGCGAGCAGAATGCAAAGGGGGTGGTGGGGGTGGCGGCAGCCAGTCCCCTCATCGCACACCATTACCACCCACTGGACCCGTCTGCAATGCCACGCCTGCGTAGGACCGCGAGCAATAGTCGGTTTGATGGCAATAGTGCTTCAGCTGTGGTGTTGCCAATCATGTCTCCTTCGCAGACCAATGCCTTGTTTGTTGATGCGATACGACATTGGGCTTAGCACCTAGCGTTGACAAGCAACGGGCGGTTGTACAAGAAACCAAGTTGCTTCCGCGTGTCTGCGGTTGAGGGAGCCCTGCGGGTATGCTGAGGTTCACTAGCCAAACAGGCCTCCCTCCCCCTTGAAGTCTGGGAAGACGTGGCCGGGCGATTCATGAAACTTAAACGCGTAGAAAGAAAGTGAAACAAACATGCAAGCGCGGAAGCGGCTGGCGGGGTGACGGGCGTGACGGGCAGTGAGGCAAAGGGGCATGGGTAGGAGCAAGACTCTGAGTCGGTTAGTAGGCCTGCCTGGCGTCATGGAGGTGAAGACGCTAGGGGAGATGAAGTCTCGATCCTCGTGATTCGATTGCGTGTAGCGCATGAACACACACGGGGACACTATGATGGTTCAGGAACTGGTCCCATATCGTTGTTGATGCCCTGTTTTGGACACCATCGATGGTTGGCCAGATCGATCTCATCAGATCAGCTTTGTCCATTCAAATTTCGGGAGCAAGCGTTGAATGTTCGTTGAATGTTCGGTTCTTCCCACGTCCCGAGCTTGAAAATTCACATTGACGGCATCCGATATCATGTGACCTTGCACCCGCCACAGATGACTAGAACTAGCTGCCGCCACAGCGGGGGAATGATATTCCGTTCTTGTGTCCCGCCTTCCCCAACGAGTGAGTGATTCTAGGTGAAGTAATAGAGGTTCTGCCTAATACATAACTTCCCATCACCTCCGCCTACTCATCACCCAACTCAACTCTTGGTCCATTGCTCAACCCGAGCTTCCATCCATTCTTTCCCCCAAATTTCCCACAACCAGCCCTGAGCGACCAGTCAGCAAACCCCAATCTCAACTATCGCCCCCGCCTTCAACCACCCTCGGTCACAACCGTCAACGGTGCACCCAGCCGTCAAAATGAAGATCACTTTCAAGGTCAGCCGAACATTCGATCCATACTTCTTCCAGCGACCGGCTCCTGACTATAGTTATAGGATCTGAAGCAGAACAAATTCGTCATCGAAGCGGAGCCCTCCGAAACGGTGCGCAAGCTTTCCAAAGTAATTCCACGTCACAGAACAGCCAACTAACGCCACGGCAGATTGGCGACCTCAAGGCCAAGATACAGGCAGACAAGTCCTGGGAAGTCTCACAGCAGAAGCTCATCTATTCCGGTACGCTCGTCTTAATTTCCCGAGACATTCCATGACAGTCAATAACCCGTGACACAGGCAAGATCCTCCAAGATGCTAACACCATCGAATCATACAACATCGAGGAGAAGGGCTTCATAGTCTGCATGGTATCTAGAGTATGTGTACCCATCTTTGTCAAGCTTCCCGCTTGCTGACAACCCATAGCCCAAGACGACCGCTGCGAGCTCAAGTAAACCACCATCCACGCCAGCCCCTGCCGCTGCTCAAACTCCTGCTGCGCCCGCTGCTCCCGCGCCAGCTGCCTCTTCGACCAGCGACAATGCTCCTGGAACCCCTTCACCTGCACCCGCATCGGCATCCAATCCCAATCAGTTCAATGACCCTTCAGCCTTGACCATGGGAAGCGAGCGGGACGCTGCTATTAGCAACATGGAGAGCATGGGCTTTGCCAGGGCAGATATCGATGCCGCTATGCGCGCCGCGTTCTTCAACCCCGATCGTGCGGTTGAGTACCTCCTCAATGTGAGACCTGTTTCTTATCAATACGCGATTCTATATTAACATGATCCTAGGGCATTCCAGATAGCGCGCGCCAAGAACAGCAACAGGCCCAGGCCGCAGCCGGTCAAACTGGCGGGGCGACATCTCCCCCACCCGCTACTGCTCCTACTACTACCTCCGGAGGCGACGAACCCGTAAATCTATTCGAAGCTGCGGCGCAAGCCGGCCAAGGCGGTCGTGGTGGAGCTGGTGGTGGTCGTGCAGCGGCTACTGGTGGTGCGGCTGGAGCAGGCGGCGCGCTCGGTAGCAATAGTCTGGATTTCCTGCGTAACAATCCGCAATTTCAGCAACTACGACAGGTCGTACAACAGCAGCCGCAAATGTTGGAGCCTATCCTTCAACAAGTTGGCGCAGGCAACCCTCAACTCGCTCAGCTGATTGCCAACCACCCAGAGCAATTCTTGCAATTGCTTGCGGAGGATGTTGATGAGGACGCGCCGCTACCTCCTGGTGCCCAGGCTATCAGTGTCACCGAGGAGGAGCGCGAAGCTATCGATCGTCTCTGTCGTCTAGGATTTGAGCGCGACCTTGTGATCCAAGCGTATTTTGCGTGCGACAAGAACGAGGAGCTAGCAGCCAACTTCTTGTTCGACCAGCCCGAAGAGCCGGATGATCAACAGTAGAAACAACGATGTCGTTTCGGTTCTGGATGGTCATCGTGTCAAGCTTTTCATTCCTTCTCTATCTCCCCGCCTGGCCTTGCTTGCTTGCTTTCTGATTTGATCGGGGGAGGACTTTATGGAAAATGCAGGCAGCAAACAGATACGTCTTAAAATCATACCCCCTTGCACACTATATATGGGATTTCTTGCCACTGTCCAATTACATGCCAGCTCCTGTGCTTTTGGTTGCCGGCAAGGTCTTCATGCATGCTCATATCGTATTACGGGAAACGTCAGATAAGGGACAATGGGGTTACGGAGGGAATGACTACACCCCGACAAATCCTTCACTCAAGCTTAAGATTGAAAGCGTCGGAAATCTTCTTATGCAATCGAGAAAGCAAGCTATGTGCTTCCTGGCTGGGTCTCAGATCCAAGGGACTCGAGAATCAAGGCAACAATAATAAAAAAAGAAATGAAAGTGCAGACCCATGACCCTCGTGTTTTCCGTATTTCCAACTACTCCTTTTTGGAGTGACTGTGAACTTTGCTGAGCTTTTGTGAACGGCTTTCGTACCATTATCAATCCATTGCTGTAGCTCTCGCCCCTTCGTATTAATTCTGCAGCCAGGAGCCTAGCGAGTGGATTCTGTACAACACATTGAACTGTATAGTGTGAAAGGAAAGAAAAAATTTTACTTGTTGATCTTCATCTGCTATGAAACAAGCTTATTGTAGTAGAGACAGTGGCTGACTACCGTATCTGTTCAAAGACAATTTCGAGCAAGTTAGCCGACGATAATTTATTATGTTTGCATTCAGGACCGTTCTTGACCCGCATTTGGTTGATGACAGATACCTTTGCTCTAGTCCTTTTTTTCATACTATCTAGGTGGTTCAATGTTATATCAGTAAACCAGACAGCCAGGAGTGCATTTGCATGCGAATGGTATTTGCGTAGTTGAATGACGCACAATGTATTGGATATATATCTACTTTGAGTTAAACGCTGGTTTCTACTACGCGGGTGTCATAAACAAGAAGTAAGGAAAAAGCTTTTGGATCCTTTTTTTGATCACGCCCTCCATTCTCATTTTCCCTCTCACCCTGCAATCCAACTTTCAAAACACGGAGCTCACGACGTTTTCAGCAGGCTTACTCTTCTTACCACACCATTAGATTCTAGTTCTCGAATGCTATCTAGTGGTGGAACAACCGAATGTGCTGTTCGACAAACGTGATGCCCAACTTCTCAGCCGTCTCAAACACGGCTCCGTCGTTCTGGCTGCCGGTGGGTGCGGCGAGGTACTTGGCGCCACTGCGCTTCGCCCTGAAGACATTGTCGATGAAAGGGAAGAAGGCGTCGGAGCTCAAAGCAACGCCTTGTAGCTTCTCCAACCACTCCTTGCGCTCTTCGGCAGTGAAGGGTTCTGGGACCTTGCCCTCTTCGAAGTTGGCTTCGAAGTCGTCGCGCTCGATGCCTGAGTCGGGTACTAGGCCGCTGCAGAGGAGATCGATAGCATTGGACTTGGAGGGACGCTTAGTGCCCTTCTTCCAGGACAGAGAGAGAGTTTTGGGGTGGAAGCGCATCCACCAGTTATCGGCTTTGTCACCAGCAAGGCGGGTGCAATGGATACGGGCTGGCAAAAAGATTAGTCAAAGTTGCCTTGACATTGAGAGGGAAAACTTACATTGTTGACCAGCTCCAAGGCCAATAACTTGACCGTTGAGAGCGTAACACACACTGTTGGATTGTGTGTACTTGAGAGCAATCGTAGCGACAGTCAGGTCGCGCAGGGCAGACTCTGGCAATGGGCTTGAGTTCTTGGGAACAATAACAGTGTTGAAAGTCTCAGCAGGCACTATCTTAGCGTCATTGCGGTGTTGCTGGAGGTTGATACCGAAAACGGTCCTCGTCTCTTCAGCACCTGGGACGAAGTCGGGGTCCATCTCAAGAACAAGGAATTTTCCAGCCTTCTTCTTCCTCAGCACCTCAAGTGCCTCATCAGAGTACTTGGGGGCAATGACACCATCCGAGACTTCTCGGCTGATGATTTTGGCAGTGGGGAGGTCCACCTCGTGTGAAAGAGCAATCATGTCGCCGAAGCTGGACATGCGGTCGGCACCACGCGCTCTTGCGTAAGCTTGTGCCAAGCCAGACTTCTCAATGCCTTCGATGTCGTCGACCATGTAAACCTTCCTCTCCTCCTCACTAAGGGGAACTCCAATTGCTGCGCCGGCGGGAGACACGTGCTTGAAACTCGCGGCAGCGGGATATTTGAGGGCCTTGCTGAGCTCCTGAACCAGTGGCCAGGCATTTAGGGCATCGAGCAAGTTGATGTATCCAGGAGAGCCGCAAAGGACCTTGAAAGGGATCTTAGATTCCGACATGAAAACGGTCGCAGGTTTCTGGTGGGGGTTCGCGCCGTATCGGAGAGGTAGCTGCTGCTCGCCTTCACCGGCATACTTCTTGCGGAAGAAGCCCGAGATGGCACTGTCATAGGCAGCGGTTTGCTCGAAAGCCTTCAAAGCATACGTCTGCCTGCTCTTCTCCGAAACCTCGCCGTGCTCTTTAAGCTCGACAAGGAAGTCATGGTAGTCTTTGGGGTCGCTGATGGTGGTGACACGGGAGTGGTTCTTGGCTGCGGCCCTGAGCAGGGTCACACCACCGATATCGATCTCCTCTACGGCCTCGGGGATAGTGACGTTGATGCGGGCCACCGTCTCGGAAAAGGGGTATAGGTTGCAGACAACAAAATCGATTTTATCGATGCTGTTGGCGGAAAGATCAGAGTCGTCTGACTCAATGTTGCGGGCGAGAATACCGCCGTGGACGGCGGGGTGGAGGGTTTTGACGCGGCCACCGAGCATCTCGGGGGCTTTGGTGATGGCAGAAACATCGTCAACAGGGAAGTTGGCCTGGCGGATCATCTTTGCGGTTCCTCCTGAGGCCAGCAGGCGTACGCCATTGTCAACGAGGCCCTTGGCCAGGTCGAGCAGTCCTGTCTTGTCATAGACGGACAGGATGGCTGTTGGACTTTGTCAGTAGGTAGCAGGTATCGGAGCGTAGGTGCAGACGTACCAGTTTTTTGGCCACCCATTGTGGAAGTGTGTGAGGAATTGGAAAGGGGAAAAGAGAATAGAGGAAGGGTATCAAGGTGGTATCTGGTGCAGTGAAGAAAGAGGGATGGACGAAGCCAGCGGGAAAAAAAAAAGTAGGTGGTGGTGACCAGATTGGCAGAATGAAAATTCCCGTATGCGCCTGCCCCGCGCGACTGACGTGCTGCTGCCCGCAATTGCAACCAAAACACCCAAAAGACTAACAAAATAGCAGCTCACTAACAAATGTACCCCTCCTTCGCTCTTTCCCCTCGTTCGTCCGATTTCGGCAAGGTCGCGTGTTACCGGGATCTGCTAGGGCTGCGCTAGAGCCGCGCGCTAGCTTGGACTCGAGGCGGCTGGGGTTTCTATGTAGAGACACCATGCATGCCTCTCTACACGTGGGATCAAAGGATGGACCCATCAGCTGGCAATCAATTGCATGTCTGCACCAACACATCTGGCTACGGTAGCTCTCTGATAAGCAGCTTCCCTGCCGCATATAACTTGAATCTCATCCTGAACTTCATCACGAATACGTACGCCAATCACTGTCAAGATGTCAGCTTTCATACCTCGGCTGCCGTGCTCAGATCCCCGTAGACGCTCTGATACATATTCTTCCTCTTCCACCGTGTTTGTCAAATCACAAACTTCCCACTTTTCGCCCCAATTTCGGTCATGGGGTCCCAACCGAGCCCAGATGACCTAATCACCCACCTCAAACACGTTCTCGTCGAGCTGAACGCCCATCCATACCCCAACATCCCCAACCCTCCAGAGACTCCAAAGCGTGCCTCCGTAGCTCTGATCCTCCGCGTCCAGCCAAACTACTCGCACTGGCCCGTTTCCTCTGATCAGCCCTCAGACCTGCAATCCGAACAACACCGTCACTCGTCTCCTGCTTCAGACGCAGCCCCCAAGCCCTCCGTCAAAGACACCCTCGATACCTTCTTCGACCAAGACTGGGTCAAGCACGGCGACCCAGAACTCCTCTTCATAAAGCGCGCCGCTCGCGAAGGCGATAAATGGAACGGGCACGTCGCCTTGCCGGGCGGGAAACGTGATCCAGAAGATGCATCGGACCAAGACACAGCGGCCCGCGAAGCCCTCGAAGAAGTAGGCATAGACCTAAACGTTCACAATGCCATTCCCGTAGGAAACCTCCCACAGCGGGTCGTCACAACGAGTTGGGGCAAAGTGCCGCTCATGGTTCTCTGTCCGTACTTGTACCTCTTGACTGCGCCCGCGTACCCGTCTCAGCGCCTCCAGCCCACCGAAGTGGCTTCGACGCATTGGGTCCCGCTACGTGCGCTGCAAGCTCCAGGGCTCCGCACGCATGAGCATGCCGATGTCTCGGCGCGTCTGGCGCGCTCGGAACTCGGTATCAAGCGCTGGTTCCTGCAGGGCATGCTGTCCAAGATGATGTTCGCCGCCATTCGCCTGGTCCCCGCGAATTCAACTTACTGTGCCACGATCCCGGGGTTTGTGCCTGAGGAGGTAGACAGTCCCGCTGCGAAGACACAACCGCCGCCGTTGCTGCTGTGGGGTCTTACTCTGGGTGTGGTTTCGGATTTGCTTGAACATCTGCCTCCGCATAATGCCCTCGAGCTGTGGACATATCCAACTTTCACCCACTACGATGTCAGGGCCATCATGTGGGCATTATCATACCGCTTCCGCAAGCAGAAAGCGCGCGAGTTGAGCACGGCTGTCGAGGACACCACGACGGCGGGCACCGAACAGGAGGTCACTGATTTACCTGTTGCGCCAGAAGAGGATCTTGAGAAGGGTAAAGAAGGGTATAAGCCCGGTGAAGTTGGCATCGCGGGATTAGGATTGGGAAGGCACTGGGGACGCACTGGTCGTGTCAAGATGATGGCTCGAGGCGCTGCTGTGAATTCACTGCTAGAAGGGTACTATCCCATTGTCAGAAAAGCCGTGGCATTGGCGCTAGTGGGGCGTGTGACGGCTATCGCGGTGCTCGCCGCATGGGCTTTCAGATTCTATCACAGGAGACGGGTGCAATAGATTAAGGTAGGTATATTCAACTGCGCTTTTTCTCACCGTTTTTCGTGTTCTTTTCTCGCACATGCTCCAAGGCATGGTATACAAGCGGACTCTTGTAGAATGATTTCGGCCGTAACTAGTTAGCTGTCCATCATAGAAATGAAGATCAAGAACATGGAACCATGTCCAATTCGAAGAAGTGAAACAGGGAAGGGGAGTCACAATGGCGTGTATCTTTCATGGGATGTTTCCCATTCCCTTTGGAAACCCGTTCGGGAATTCGAATGCTGATGCTATGCAGCACTTCTGCGTAAGCCCCTATATGCTCGGGAAGAAACAAGTAAACCCAAGACTTAAAAAACGGTAGCAAGTCCGAGGCAGAAATCTAACTTCTTTTCCTCTAATCAATCAACAGATAAACAGGTCATCCAGGTAGACTTGACGGCTGGGTATATGCACATCGTCCTCCGACAAACCAGGGCGTCTATGTGCCCTTATCCATTCTCTTCGTTTCCTACCGCAGTATGCCTCCCACTCCTTATCCGACATACGTGCATAGTAGGTACTGTGTGACCGCTTCGACCTTCTATATTTTGTCTTCACCCACGCAATCCCCAGTATTTCGACCAAATTCTCCCCCCTGACTTTCACAAGCACGGGGAACGACAAACCTGAGATCAGGGCAAGCTTATCACCGGGACACGTGAAGACATGTGCGAAGCCTGGGCAGGTTTTTCTTTCGGAAGCGATTTGGAGGGCGAAGGCACCATCTCCCGCGACGGAGATGACTTCGGCGAAGAGGTAGCCTTTGACTATGAGAATGCTGTCGTCTTGGGGGTGGAGTCTTTGGTAATGTGGAGAGTGCGAAGTAACGTCGTAAGGTCTACGGTATAGGTAATCGTGTTCCCGCCACTCTTCTGGATACTCCACGTCACGGCAGTCGGCAGTGAGATTGTGCGAGAAATCGGGGATCCATGACGATGCGTGTTCGCACCGTCGCTGGGCTGCGAGCGTCAGGAGCTGTATTGAACTTTGCTGTGAAAGTAGATAGATACTGAGTTGCTTGAAGACCTCGGCTTTGGAGAGAGTATAGTCTACGGAAGGCGTTTTGTTGTTGGTGTTCGGCCTATCCAGAATACTTTGGATTCCATAGCTCATATCTCTAGGGTCGGTTGCGCTTCGAGTACATATAGCTTCCAGGACTTGTGCGTGGATCTTACGTTTTGTATCAGGTGGGTGCGGATAATTCAAATCGTCCCGACTCATGTCCGGACCAGGAGCAATTCCTCTAAAGATGTCGAAAACACCCATTGATGCCACGGTAAGCAGAATTGACATTGCTGGTAGGACAGCAATGATCATGAACCCGAGCGCCATCCAATCCATTTCAGCTGTATCTACAACTGCAAAAAGACCCGGTGCTAGTATCATATAGCCTGCTAACAAAAGCACCAATACTCTCAGTGACGCAAGGTACGTAGACAATACGGTCAATTCCGAACAAAACGACCAATATTCCTGAAAATAAGGTGGGCTATAGCGTGTGTCTCGCTGGACTTCTGAATGATACAAAGTCCGTACGTAACCTACGTTGAGCCACCTGCGAAGATGAAGCCTGTAATCGCTGTTCGTGCTCTCAATACTTGCCAGAAAGAGAGTGCTGAACTGCAGCCTGGTCCAACTCAACCGGCGATATCCGCATACCACTACAGGATTCGCGGAAAACACTATCTCTTGGAACGTCCAGATTCGCTTTACCCACATGCAGTCGAAAACCTGCTCAAGGTCTTCAATGGTACATAGAGGATTTTCACGAAAAGCTTGTAAGCGTTTGGAGATCGTATTTAGCTTCCCTATGCAGGACGTTAATTTTATAAGTAGACGATGGCGAACTATTCGAGAAGACTCACGTTTTGTGTCAAGTGGGATCATACTTGTCTTCAGTCCCCACCGCGCCATCAGCTGATTGGCATATGAGGCGTAAACGCGTGGCCTGGCTCGTACAGGCTGTTCAAGATCACCTCCGTTTTCAAAGAAGAACTCTAAGAATCCAGTCTTGGAAAGAAGGTCCATAGCGCGTTCTGTACTTGCGGACCCTTTTCCTAGCCAGATATAGGTCGTCCTGGCCCCCGAATATATGTCACCCATGAGACCTATTTGATGCGCTTTTTCCAGATTATCTTTCTGGTTGAGGCTAATTGCGTCGACCCATATGGTAAACGAACCAAGCATCTTGCGTAGATGCTGCATTGCCGAATAACAATTCGATGTTACATGGAAGGCTATTCCATTGCAGGACACAACATCTGGTACTGGCGCCGACGTACCCCAGACATACGACAGCGCGTCAAATGAGGGATTGAGGCTGAGATCAGCGATAGTAACATCGGAATAGATTGGACCTCCGTCGTCACCTTTGCTTGGATCAGGAGCATGAATGTGGAGAAGCCGAATGCATCGTGATTTGGGCGAAATCGGCAAATCCTTGTAAAACTGGTCGATGGAGTCGTTCATTCTTCTTAATCGCAGTTCTGCGTCCGAGCTAGGGAAATTGCTGCTGTGAATAAGAATGTACAGGACCTGCGATCGTTTATGTACAGTTAATCTGCCTGCCTGGGGCGGACAAGGCTGAGGATCCCAATGAGGGAGACCGTGTCAGCCTTGCTTGGCATGACCATGGGGCACACAAGATGGCTGAGTGCAGTCCCAGAGTGAGATACATGCATGGGTACATGCTTAAATCGGTACGTGTGTACTGAAATGTCTAGAGAGTTGTGCAAGATACATATACCCGGTCAGACATGTAGTTGCGTAGTTGGATATCGCACTACTGACCTTCATATGCATAGCTGACCACAACGTCCACGACAATCGAATTCGCAGGAGTCGGACTACGTACATTCGATTGGACGACAGGGAGTGAATTAAAAAAGCACTGGTATTCACTCTTCTCTCTCGTACATACAGGTACAGAATGATCTACTACAACGTCTGACCAATCTCTTCTCTCAGCTCGACCCTCTTCCGCGATGCTGTGAACCCAAGGAAAAGAGAAAGAATAGGCAGATATAAAAAACTCCACATACATGAGGAATTATGTACATTTGATGTGTCATCTCCACATTTTGATTTTTCGTTTATTTGTTTGTTCGCTCTCAATAGGAAATTCCTTGTCTAAACCATTTACTTCAAGCACCGTAGGCAACCTGAGGGTTGGGCTCGCCCGGCGCCATGAAGTTTGTCTCCGAGTTCTTCGCAGCCTTGGCGGCTGAGCAGCGTGCCATTGTGGGGGAACTGCAACATGGTTAGTCAATTTAATTCACATCCAACATGATGATGAACAACTTACTTCCTGGAGATGACATCTGTGAAGAAGAAATTCTCGATGGGCTTCTGGAGCGCCTGCCCACTCGATTTAGAGCCCTTGTTCTGATCTACCAATTGCACCTTGCTCAATTCTGGAAGCGCGACAGGCTCGGCAACGTCGTACATGCGCAGCGCAGGGGAGATTTCCACCATGCGATCTCGGAGAGCCTCGACGTCATCATACGGAAGCTCGGCACCAAGATATTCTGAGGCTGCGCGGATGATCTTCCAGTCTTCCCGCGAGGCACCTGGAAGGCCGACGGCGGCACGCGTCATCTGCACGCGGCCCTCAGTATTCACGTATGTGACAGACTTCTCGGTATATGCAGCACCGGGAAGGACGACATCAGCAAGCTGGGCGCCTCGGTCACCGTGGTGACCCTGGTAAACCACAAAGGCATCCTTTGGAATCTCGGCCTCGTTGATCTCATCGGCTCCAAGTAACCACACAAATTTGGGGGTTGTGTTCGCAACCTCAGGCGACGGCACTGTGAAGCCGACCTCAAAAGCACCAGTTCGTGAAGCGGTCCTCTGGAGGACGTTATAGCCGTTCCATTCGGGTGTTTGGAAGTTGGCCTTGGACTTCTCTACGAATGCACCGACTTGCTCGTAGATAGATTTGGCGTCTGGGTGTTCGGTGACCGCGCTACCGACGATGATCAATGGTTTCTTAGCCGACTGTAGCTTCTTGCCGAACTCGCCAGAGAAGACGTTCTTGAGGTCAGTGGAAGATGATCCAAGATTCTCGTATTCGAAAGTGCTCTCAAAGTCCTCGCCAACAAGACCGATGGTCAAGTCGGATCTCAGCCATTGTTTTCTGATACGCGCGTTGAGCACAGCAGCTTCATGTCGTGGATTGGTACCGATGAGAAGGATAGCATCCGCCTCTTCTACACCGTAGATCTTTGAGTTGAAAGCATAGTTTGATCGAACGTCGATACCGTGCGCGATTGGTTCACTGCCACCTGGCTGATCGAGAGCAAGGTTGTCAGAGCCAAGTCTGTTCGCAAGGTCTTTCATGGCGACCAAGGTTTCCGTCTCTGTCAGATGACCTGCAACAGCCTTGAATTCGTTGGCCTTTGGTGCAATCTTCTTGTATGCATTGCCAATTTCAACGAGCGCTTGCTCCCAGGAGGCTGGCTGGAACTGGTTGTCGACACGAATGAGAGGGTTCACAAGTCGTTGGGTGCTGAGCGCGTCACAGGCAAATCGTGATTTGTCATCGATCCATTCCTCGTTAATGTCGTCGTTGAGTCTGGGCAGTATTCGCATAACCTGTTGGCCACGAGCATCTACACGGATGTTGGAGCCTAGACCATTCAGCACATCGATTGTTTCGGTGTGATAGAGTTCCCAGGGCCGGGCCTTGAATGCGTATGGCTTCGATGTTAGAGCGCCAACGGGGCAGAGATCAATAACGTTTCCAGACATCTCAGAGTCGAGCGTCTTCTCAAGGTAGGTGCCGATTTGGATGTCGTTGCCGCGGCCGGTGGAGCCCATTTCGGGTGCGCCCGCAACGTCGTTGGAGAATCGAATACATCTTGTGCAGTGAATGCATCTGTTCATGGAAGTCTGTATTCTGTCAGTGCACGTCCCAAGCTGGAAACTGTGTCTTCAGGTCCTACTTTGATCAAGGGACCGATGTTTTTGTCCTCAACCGCACGCTTGCCACCGACCTCGTGGAATCGCCCTCGGTCGCCGCCATACCGCATGGACTGATCCTGCAAATCACACTCGCCTCCCTGATCGCAAATGGGGCAGTCAAGCGGATGGTTGGCGAGCAAGAACTCCATGACACCCTCGCGGGCCTTGTGGACGAGGGGCGAGTCGGTCTTGACTACCATCCCAGGCTGTACTGGCCACGCGCACGAGGCCACAGGTTTAGGAGCCCGCTCCACCTCGACCAGACACATGCGGCAGTTACCGGCAATCATCAGTTTCTCGTGGTAGCAGTATCGGGGAACGGTGCTTCCGGCTTTCTCGCAAGCTTGGATAAGGGCCGAGCCAGCTGTGAGGGAGCATTAGAGGGAGTCGGGCAGCTTTGGAGAGTCGAAGCAAGCAGCATACCTTCGATTGACACTTTTTTCCCATCTATCAAGCGCGTTAGTAGGCGTCGCGGAAGTCGTCGAGAGGTGGCACAAACCGATGGTGAGCTCCACCTCCGCCGGCTTGCGGGCAGAGGCAGTAAAGGCCCGGCTGCCATTGAAGCCTGCCTGGGACGCAGGCCGCTTCAATGACCGGATCAATTGTTGCCGCAGCATGTTGTGGCGAGAGCAAGGACGCGGGATCGATGGGGATTGTAGAGGCTCAATCTACGACGAGACGTCAATTCATGAGCTTGCCGGTGCCAAGCCTAACGCTGGCATAATCCGCCCCGTGATTGGCCGGCCGACCGGGGCATATAAAATTCTCGCCTCCTCCCAACATCCTTTTCTTCTTCAACTCATTTTTGGGACGATTTTATTGTGGGAAACTCGGGCTTCATTCCCCTTCTTCCTCTACAATCTTCCCTAGAGCACGACTGAACGTGCGCCGTAGCTGGAGCAGATGAGGTTTTCTATGAAATCTTGTTCCTTACCAACGTCGCTACATACTACATAGACTCACTCAACTGCACCATACTTCAAAGCATTATGAAAGGAATCATCTGCTACTGCGAAATGTATTGCGCGTACGTTGCTATCGATGATTGTCACCGATGCACCATCCATGGCTCTACTGCGTCATGACTGCATTGATTCTGCCTGCCTGGAGTGCTCCGGCTATGTCATTACAAATCATACCTGATATTGTTTTCATTGGTTGAGATGACAGAAGCTTGATAGCTAGGAATTAAGGGACATCTGGAGTCATTGCTCCCCGCGGTCCTTCCATCAGAAGCCGGTCCAAACGCTCACAACACACCACGAACCTGTACACATGTATCTTTGGTTACCGGCGTGTATTCCCATACCGTTAACCCGCTTTCGCACGTTCTCCGTCATGCTCCATGTGTGTGATTGAACAGAATAATAATTGTCTACAATACCAGTACGCTTATCAAATAGGGATCGGGATATCGTAAGTCCATCCGCAACAAGCCTAGGAATGAGAACCCATACAAGACTATATTCCCCTCCAATGGGGACGAAAATCAAATAACTCCATTTTTTATGCAGGCACTACAAGAGGCATCGGGTCTGTGTCAGACCGTCTTGATCTACGCCATTATTCGTTGTCGCTCTCGGCACCAATCTCCATCTTCGCACCGTTTCCAGCAGTAGCCTTTGCAGTGGGGGCAGAGAGCTTCTGGGGAGGGACGCCGTAGCCGTTCCTGTTACGGAAGAAGAAAACACCCTTGCCCTCACCCTCGGCACCCTCGCTGGGCTCGACCCACTGGCACCTGCGAGCGCTGGTCCACATGGCCTTGAGGAAACCAATGGCGCCACCCTCGGTATCAGATCGGTAGTGCTTGCCCATTACCTTCTTGATAGCCTCAGAAGCCTCGTCGGCATTGTAGAAGGGGATCTGAGAGACGTAGTGGTGGAGAACGTGGGTTTCGACGATGCCGTGGAGAAGGGTGCGACCAACAAACCCAAATTCACGGTCAATGGTAGCGGCAGCACCGCGAGTGTATGTCCAGGTTTGCGCATCGTAGTGGGGTAGAGTGGGATCGGTGTGCTGCAAAAAGGTAATGGCCACTAGGTCATATTAGCACCATCTCTATCTTCATGAAACACGATATGTGACTTACCGAGCCAGTGGTTTACCCAAAGGTATGGAATGAAATACCATACAAGGAGATTGTTCCACCCGAAGTTGCTACCCACGTAATACAGCGCACTGCCGGTGAGGGCGAGACCGAGGTCACTGAGGAGAATGAGGTGCTCGTCTTTCTTCTCGTAGAGCGGGCTGGAGGGCAGAAAGTGGTTAACACCTCCCCCAAAACCATTCTTCTTGCTTTTGCCTTTACCCTCGGCCTGTCGCTCGTGGTAATTGTGGCCGGTAACATTGGCGATAAGATACAAGGGCCAGCCGGCGAGCTGCTGGCCGACCGAGTGGATAGCAGTCGCGATGGGAGTCTCCTCAGTCAATTCGTGAAGTTCGTGCGCGAATTTGCCAATGCGAGAAGCATACTCATCCCTGGTTTTGGGCACAAAAACCATGTCACGCTCCATGTGACCGGTAGCCTTGTGGTGCTTGCCGTGAGAGATCTTCCACGAAAAGTATGGAACGAGGAGGGCGGAATGGGCGAACCAGCCCACAGTGTCATTGAGCACCTTGGAGGTAGAGAAGGACTGGTGACCACACTCGTGGGCCATGACCCAGAGACCAGTTCCGAACAGGCCCTGCACGACCGTATATCCGGCCCACAAGGCAGCTCGGACGGGGGTCGAGGGAATCGTCTCGGGGGTCACATAGTTGTGGAAGAGATAGAAAGTGGCGGCCAACGAAGCGATGTCGCGGAAAACGTAGTAGAAGCCCTTGACGGCCGAACGCTCGAAACAGTGAGCGGGGATGGCGTCACGGATCTGCTTGATTGTGTAGTCTGGGATTTCGAATTCATTGCCGTTGGTGTCGAGAAGCTTGCCGCGAGACGACTTGGCATCAGTGGACTCGAGGGAGGACAACGAAGTGTTGGACGCCGAACCGGCAATGGAATCGGAGGGAGAAACGTTGGCGGAGTTGACAGAAGACGAGGCAGCCGTGTCCGAGGTGACAGTTCTCCTCAGGACAGGATTCTGGGGTCGAGCAGTAGTAGCAGCCATCTTGGAAGCGGGGCAATGGATTTTGCTGGCAGAAAGAGAAGTTGATGAAGAAGGGCAGAAGATTTATCGAGGGTCCCGGATGATGGACCGATTACAATGGGCGATAAGGAGGGGGTACTGTTGAGACGCAGGAGACTTGTTGAGACCAAGCTACCACAGAGCGACACGAACGGAAGGGCGAGTGGGAGGAGGGGACCCAGTTGCTGTCAATGGCGACAGAGATGAGAGGAAAAGCAGGCAGAGCGGAAAAGTGAAAAGAACAAGACTGCGGGGGGTTAGGGATTTTAAGGAGGAGAGGGAGGCAGTGGGGTGGTGGACAAGGGAAGGCGGTCAGGGCGTGCTGGATTGCAAAAAAAAAAGCGCCAGGGTGGTGTAGGAAAGCACCACCCAGCAGCTACCCTTTGGGATGGAGGGGGCGTTCGAGAAGGTGCGGCCCAGGGGCGGATGGCAAGCTAAACCGCTAAGGTTCCAAGCACGGCCAGGCACAGCAGCCGCCGTTTTTCGGCATCAAATCACGTCGGTCGTGTTCAACATCAGCTCTCCACCGCCAACGACACAACAACGCAATGGTCAGTCGATTGCCACCCGCCCACGGCCTGCACAGACGCAGCAAGAAAAGCCATGAATCCACGACAGCGCCCTCGTTCGCTCGCTGGGTCAAACCGGAGCAAGCCCACCGGCTAGCCTTGCTGATTGCTCCGATTTCTTCCCAGATAGCTCCGCTGCTCCAGATATACGCCCACAGAGAGAGATGGTCCAGAAACAGCCCGCGCGCGAGGCTTGGCTTTGCTCTCCCCATTGCATTTGCATCCTTTGGCTTGCACCTCGGCGGCAGGTTTCCCACGAGCAGACCGCCAATCTGCAACCACTTGGCTGTCTGCTAGTACCCTAAAAGGCTGTTGCTCCGTTGCATCGGCAGCCTGGCTGTCTCGTCCAGTGACTGTGCCTGAAGGTCATCGCGGGAAGGGATCCGATGATCGTCACAAACGGAGTTCACATACATCGAATTGTGCCGACGGCTTCTTTGCTCACGACTCGCACCGCACCTGAGAATTTTGCTCGCTCCCTTCACATCTCTCCCAGAATTATGGGGTCAGGGTAAATCGATCGACAGCGCCAGTCTGGAAATGGCTTAGTCGTAAACCCTGACACTGTGCACCACCTGTAGAGCTCTGCTGGAAGACCAACGCGGGGTCTGGAAGCCACACTGTCTGCTCACCCTGTCCCCAACGCCACCTCTATCGTCCCTTGATATGTACATTCCTCTAACTCGGATGCTTATGCCTTCACTTGGATGTCGGTCTTTGAGACGGAAACGGAAATGGCCTTCTTGCGTAGAGGATCTCCCCAACTACCGTGACAGCTATCTCGGTCGTCTGCCAGCCTTCGACGTGATGCCGAGCAGTATCGACGGTGGTCAATCTTCTCACCGCAATTGCTGGTTCATCGACATCATAGTTAGCCCACTTAGACAGCCGCAATCCTTCTTCACATGCCAGGCATACACGGTACTGTCGCCATTCACTTGTGATAAACTGGACTTTCTTAGTCGATCAAGATTCCCGGTCACAAGCCTTCATCGGATTAACAACAGCGTTATCTGCAGGGGTGTGCTGCATCGGAATATCGCATGGTGGGAAGTTAGGTGTAACACATGCTACTTACGAATAGAAGAGCTGAGACGAATCGGCCGGAACCTCTGACTTGTAAGTGAATGTAGTTACGGTACACTGCCGTGCTTCCATGCGATATCACAATGTAGTACACGTACGTATTATTGTACAGTATGTCCGGCCGTGATATTACCCTATCAACATGCTGAAATACTTGCGTGATGCATGTTCAGAATGATTGAAGCCTCTGAAAGTAAGTTTCGTATGCGCTGCATCAATATTCACTCAAAACTGTACGCTAGTATTAATCGTCATATTCGCTTGAGCTTGCTTGAAAACCCCACTGCTGTACTATCTGCGGAGGTCAACAACTACGACTTGGCAGTTGAATTGAACACTGCCCTGATGTTAGATATCGCGGCAACCAATGCCAAGCCGCCGATAGCCGACGGTTTTTCAGCAAACCGCCACGACCTCTACCCCCACCACCAGCCAGACGACACCACAGTACATTCACTGCAGTTCCAATACAGCAACATCGAGCATTCAGTACAAAAGACCGTCTTGAAGGGTTCTAGCCTCGCTTGCCAAACTTACAAGGTGGCGTTACTACAAAGTCCTATCAGCATTATCAACCTCACCAATGATTCAATAACATTTTCTCTTTGGAGGCGCTACTTGCATTTGATATCTCACCACGAGGATCAAAAGGCTATTGACATTCCAGTCATTATTCCCTAACACCAGCTCGGGTCGCAGTACCCGTAAATTCGTAAAACGCCAATCACCAGGCTCATTTTTACTCCCAGATCCACTGTGTCGCCTTGATCCGACTTGGCATCAAATCGGGGTATTACCACCAAGCATCGATAACAATCATGCCGACCTTGGCGCTCGTAAACTTCAATCTTGTGTGCGCTACCTTGGGAGGGTTCGTGACCCTGTTCGGTCTTGTCTCCTACCTCTTCAAGGAGAAATACTACCTCTCTGAGGCATGTAAGTTCTCACTGGAAGGACAATCGTATTTTCCTCAACTAAATGTTTTGTGGCAGTGATTTCGCTTCTTGCAGGCCTTGTATTCTCTCCACATGCTACCAATCTGCTGAGACCCCAGCAATATGCATTGGACGATCCTGAACTTTTGGGCACTATTACCTTGTACTTCTCCAGACTTGTGCTTGGCGTGCAATTGGTCCTTGCGGGTGTCCAGTTGCCGTCCAAATATCTGAAACAGGAATGGAAAAGCTTGGCTCTTCTTTTAGGCCCAGGCATGACTGTAATGTGGCTCGTCACAGGTTTGCTGGTCTTCGCTTTCGTGCCACATATAAACTTTCTTGAAGCTCTCGTTGTAGGCGCGTGCGTAGCTCCAACGGATCCTGTTCTCTCAAACTCCATCGTCAAGGGGCGATTTGCGGATAAGAATATCCCTAAGCAACTGCAAAACATCATCGTTGCTGAATCAGGAGCCAACGATGGATTGGGTTATCCGTTTTTGTTTCTACCGCTGTATCTGATACAGCACATCGGCCATGGAGGAGCAGGCCAAGATAACAAGGCAGCAACTGCCATTGGAGCATGGTTCGGAGAAACATGGGGTTACACTATAATCCTGAGTGTTGTCTACGGAGCTGCTGTCGGTTGGATCGCAAAGGAACTACTACATTGGGCAGAGGAACGCAACTATGTTGACAAGGAGAGTTTTCTTGTCTTTGCTATTGCTTTGGCACTGTTCATCATAGGAACTGTGGGCATGATTGGCTCCGACGACGTTTTGGCATGCTTCGTGGCAGGCAATGCTTTCACTTGGGATGACTGGTTTCGAGTCGAGACTCAGGATGACAGTTTTCAGCCCACCATCGACATGTTGCTGAACGTATCTGTTTTTATTTGGTTCGGTAAGTGTGTCCGACCTATAGACCCTCGCCATCACTCACTCGTCTTCTTAGGAGCGGTCTGCCCGTGGAAAGAATTTGCCGAAAACTCTGTTATCCCCATCTACCGACTAATATTTCTCGGCATTTTCGTGCTTCTTCTTCGACGTCTTCCAGTCGTTTTTGCTATGCATAGGTATATTCATCAAATTGAACAGACTCGCCAAGCAGTGTATGTGGGTTTCTTCGGTCCCATCGGCGTCAGTGCCATCTTCTATCTCTACATTACCTTGGAATTTCTCAGGGGTATCAAGGTAGATGGCGAAGTACGACCAGACGCAGAGTATCTGATAGAGGTAGTTTACGTGGTGGTCTGGTTCCTGGTCATATGCAGTGTGGTAATACTTCTTGCTTCGCTTGTCTCACTTCAGGTCTAACTCGAATGCAGGTTATCCACGGTCTGAGCGTACCCATGGGAAAGCTGGGCTTCTGGCTGCCACGAACTCTCTCGCGCGCCATCTCATCTAGGAGAGAAGACAGCCCAGAGCCTTTCCATGTCCGTACGCAGAATGATGTTCCCGGTGAGGAAACAGATAATGGACTTCGTCGACGCCCAGGCATAAACTCCAGCAACTCTCTCCCTCAACATGTTCATCCCATCGGCAGGAGACCAGTTCCGCAGATCAATTCTGGTACACCCGTCCATTCCGAGAATCCATCAGCATCAACTTCTTCGGTAGGCGCGGATCAAATCACAGCGTCATCCGGTGCTCAGAATGCTCAAAATGCTACCGCGCCAGCTTCACGGAGCACGACACCCCCACTCCCAGACCGCACCATTCGTTACATTGATGAGCTGCCTGCCGGTAACGCGGTTTAAAACGTGACTGCTCAACTTATCGTGACCGCGTGTCACTTTAGGAACATGGCCAAACTATCAGAGGGTCCTCCCCGTTCACCTCCGATGTATCGTTACTCGGAGTTGGTGCTTTTCTCCGCATCTGTCTCGATGCAGTGAGAACATTACTCTCTCTGAGTCATCCATCCACTCCCAATACTCCACTCCTTTTCCTATTGTTTACCCACTATTGTCCGATGATTCATTCATTTACATATGCAAGGTGGACATCAGTCTGCCTAGCCTACATATACATTATATAGATTATATATACATATATAGCTACATACATACACACAATCCAAACCTGGTATTCGCGCATTTTATTTATTCCGAGTTGAGTTCAGGTGATCCGACACACAGCGAAGTGTTACAACGATAAATAAACCAAAAAAACGAGCGATAATCAAAAAGACAACCGAATTTTGCCTTCACACAAGCTTATGAAGCAGGGATCGGGGGTATTCGCGCATACACCTCCTCGTGTTGTAGGCAGCCAATTTGTTGTGATGGTTGTTAAATTGATGAAAAGAGGAGGAAAACCGCCAAGACAGAACCCCCCTCTCCTTTTTGTAATGGGCGCTAGCGCTCCTAACTTTATGTAGTAGTTACACTATGGCCTAGTGCTAACAGTAAGACTTACTTCTCATAAGCACTTTGTATCCTTGCCTGCTTTTTATTACTACCTTTTTTATCTGCCTTTTTAAGTGTAGGAATTTTTAGGTCATCGCTCGTGATTTTGGTTTATTCCTCGTTGTAACCCTTCGCTGAGTGTAGGATCCCCAAAACTCCAACTCAGAATAAGTAAAGAGTAGGAAACGCTGTGACTTCTAATTAAGAAGCAGAAAACCCTTATGAATAAACTATCATACGAGTATTGAACTAAGAATGATTTCATATTTGCACATATGTAGAGTTAATGGACTGCATCAATTACGCAGACTTCTCTGCGAGGTACTGAGACAGCTGTTCTTGACTATGCATAGATCTTGACTGCTGTGCTTCATTACGAAATACTATATAAAAAACAGATCAGAGTAATTGCCAACCATTTGGCATCAGACATCATGAACATTGTTTTTCATTCCACTCCTCCAGCTCTACCGTGGGTCACTGATGATGACTGGAACCTTGGACAAGACTTCCAACTCGATGAAAGACACACATATCGTGGTTATTCTCGCAATAGTTTCGTCCTGCTGTTGTTTGTTCTCTTACTCTCGAGCTGTTTGAAGGCCGACTCCAACACGAACCCAAAAAAAAATGCTCGACAGCAACGAGCTGCCTACAAAATTGAATGGACGGGTGGAGGATCGAACTCCAGACCTCCCGCAGATTAGATGCAAAGCGGGCGCTCTACCACTGAGCTACACGCCCGTTTAAAGGCTTTCAAGTTGCAAATTGTGTGTAGTATATAAAATATATATGTATTTTAGAAAACATGATAGCCTTTTCTCTCGTTCCCGAGGGGTGCTCATGCACATAACGATTTAGATATGGAGTTTTACGTGCTTGGAAATCAGGTGTTTCAGAAAGGCGGGCCAATCTGATGACTAAAAGGACACGGCTAAATGCCCTAAGAATCCTCAGTGAACCACGGTACGACACAAAGATTTAGATACTAGTACAGATCTTAAGGGTGCCCCCCGATCCTTGCGTATTAAGCTTGTGTGAAGGCTTAATTTTTCAAATTCGTTGTAATCGCTTGTTTTTTATACCTCTATCGTCGTAAACTATCGCTGTGTGTAGGAACACATAAACTCAACTCAAAATCAAAGTACAGATCTCAGACTCGATTTTTAAATGGCTTCGCCAGTCACTCTCACTAAGTTGATTCTGAGTAAAAGTTTGAGTGATCATCACACAGCGAAGGGTTACTCTTACTATATTTTATTTATTCATTCTAAGTTGGAGTTTAGCTGATCCTACACACAGCGAAGAGTTTACAGAAATAAAGGTACTAAGAAAAACGAGCGATAACCAAAAAAGCAAGTCTCTCACTGTATACAGTCTATCTTCAATATGTGGTCGGAATACCGCCCCGCTGGTTGACATTTTCAATATATGCCTATAAATAGTGACCACGTGCATTTCCACGTGGGAGATAAGAAATTCACGTTGGGTTAAGAGCCTATGGGACGAGAAAATATTCAGTCCACAAATCTACATAGGATTGATTTGTTTACTTAATCACACTGATTCTACCCACTGATATTGTAGCAGCATCCTTCGGGAACTATGGAATGTGGAGGGATGTAGATCCGCATAACGGGCGAACACCGGGCCGCAGTTTATCCGAACATCATCACTGTAATGGAGTACATCTTCCCTCGCATCAATGAGCATCCACAACTCCCCTCATTCACGGCCTTTACAATGCGGTACTCTCTCCCTTTTGTAGCCTACATGGCATCCATTGCCTCTGCTGCGCGCTTCATGATTCACATCCCGGCAACGCAGCTTATGAACCCTTCCACTCTCCCCTCAACCACCCACGTCACGCTTCAATCCTCCGGTCCCCCACAAGACGCATATATAACGCGGTCCAACTCTTTCAACTTCCACAATATCTCCACTGGGAGTTACCTAGCCACTGTTCACTGTCGGGACTTCGCGTTCGAGCCTTTGCGCATCGATGTCACGTTGGAAGAAGCTGTCGAAGGCAGCGGAGAGAAGAAAGAAGTCGTTCGTGCGTGGCAGACATTCCTTGGGAATGAATGGGAAAACAAAGGTGAGAGTAGAGGCCATGGTGGAAACGGCCTGGTTATTGAGGCTAAACCTCTGGGTGGAAAGTTCTTTTATCAAGAACGTACTGGCTGTGAGTGCTTGTCCCTAAGGGTAGTTGCTGTGTCGAGTATGCTAACTTATAGCCAGTTTCTCCATTATCGTTCCTGAAGAACCCTATGATTCTCATGGCTCTCGTATCCATGGTCTTGATTTTCGGCATGCCTTACATTATGGATAACAGTACGTTTCAGCATTCTACCTTCATATTTTTGGGTGTGGCACGAGCTAACATTTGCACAGTGGATCCTGAGATGAAGGCAGAATACGAGGAAATGCAGAAGAAGGGCGTTATGGGCAGCGCTACTACCGATACCGCAAACCAAATTCAAAACTTTGACCTGGCTGGATGGATGGCCGGCAAGACGGATACGCCTAATCGCGGCCAAAGTCCGGCTCCACCGTCGAAGAAAAAGTGATGATAAAATATATTATAATGGATACAGACGATGGTTCAAAGCTTCGCAGCTGATGGCTGTTGAATGAGCACTTAGAGACGGGGCTTATAGTATTGTTTAAGATATAACCTGGGAAGTTTATGCTATCGCGATAAGTACAAAACATTGCATGATATGCTCAATACCATTTCCTGTTCAATCAGTTTTCCCCGTCAGTCACCAGTACAGCAGTCGAATTCGCTCTCTACAGACGAGCCAATGGGCCATCACTCCGCACCACTCCCAGCGACGCTTTGGATATGTCCGAAACCGAATTGCAACCTGTCAGCTGCATGCATCGTCGAAACTCTTCGTATAGGATATCTAGACCTTTCGTGACACCCGCTTCGCCATCGTACTGGTCGCAAGTTAGCTATCGGCTCACAGACAACAATTTCGCTGAGACTCACAGCTAGACCCCAGATGGCTGGCCGACCAACCCAACAGCATTCCGCTCCCAATGCCAATGCTTTGAATATATCCGCGCCAGATCTAATCCCACCGTCGATATGCACCCTGATTTTCCCAGCCGCGGCTTCGACGCATTCTTGCAGCACATCAATCGTAGCGGGCGTTTGGTCAAGCTGTCTTCCTCCATGATTGCTCACAATCACCCCATCACATCCAAACTCTCTCGCAAGAACCACATCTTCCGCCGTCACCACGCCCTTGATCCATATCTCCATCCTGGTAATTGCCCTCAGATACGGTATTTCGTGCGTCCACGAATGCGCGTCCTCACTAAATCCAGTGAAATTCGAGTCGTGCGTCTTAGAACGTACCTCCATTGTCGAACGCTCCAGCATTGGCAGCTTCACATTTTCCGGGGCACGGAAATCATTGCGATACTCATTATACCGCACCCCCAACACCGGGCTATCCGCAGTGAGGAAAATGGCTCGACAGCCCGCCTTCTCAGCCCGCCTGATAATGCGTTCTTGCATTTTGCGGTCTTTCATCGTATAGAGCTGCATCACGTGGGCGATCGGCGCTGTTGCTGTACCGAGTTTCGCAGCCTCTACAATGTCTTCGACAGAGTAGTTCGCAAACGACGATACGCCCATGTGGATGTTGCGCTTTGCGCAGGCGCGACTCGTAGCTAGTTCGCCATCTTCATGTGCCATGGCTTGGAGCCCGGCTGGGGAGACGCAGAGTGGGAAATCGATGTTTTGGCCGAAGACTGCCGTGGATGGGTTTACTTTGGAGACATCGCGGAGCACGCGTGCACGGAGACGGTACTTGTCGTATGCAGTGGTGTTCTCGTGGACGGTGATTTGGTTCGTGGAGCCGTCGTTGTAGAAGTCTGGGGGGAGTTGTAGTTTATGGTCAGTAAAGTGAGCATCTATTGATGTCTTTTGGTATAGCGTGGAAATCTCGAGAGGTTTTACTTTTAATAACTTCGGTCAACTTGGCTGAACCAGCATCTTTCAGATCTGGTATACTCAGTATCATTTGCTGGGGTGATGTTTTAACAGGAATAGGTAGGCCAGCCATGATGCCGAAACTTGTCGGGATGCTTTCGGACTTGCAAAAAGTGAACGAACTTTCGATGTAACTAGAATCCTGGAAGCAGTGTCGAGCTCTCTGATCTATTGATTCTGACCTTCATTTCTATTCACTTTGGCAGACATTTATACAATAATCTTTATCCGATATCTCCTACAGCCGTAGTATATGATGTAGTATGTAGGGTTCGCATCCTTGTCGGCGCGCCCTATTGTAGCACCCCATGTCTTGTCACCAGCGTCGTTAGCTTAAATCCGCACAGCTTGCCACTATTTCACCATGCAAGATCCAGATATTGCTCGCACGGTAGACATCGTATTTTTCCTCAGTCGTAGGAAAGCAAGAGGTAAATAGTCTGAGTCACACAAGTAGTTTCAGCAGCTTACATGTAAGTCTGTAGTTTCGCAAGCTACCTACTTTTCCGGCGGGGAAACCCCTCATACGAAATCCCTCGGATCAACTGGATTGGTAAGTCACAACGTCTATATTCTATACCCTGAACAACAAAAAGTCGTCTCTCGTATTATTTAAAGTCGACACACACTATACGTCATTTCCGTTCTTCCTGTCAGCATCTGTTAACGAAACAAAAAAGTATATATAGATTCAGCCACTACACATCAGTATCAACATGTCTGACCCTTCAAACAACCGAACCGCGATCCTCTCCGCATCCGCCCCTCAACCCCCTCCGTTCCTCTCCCAAGCTATCCGCCAAGGCGACTTCATCTTCTGCTCAGGTCAGATCGGCGTGGATCCAAAGACAAGCAGCATTGTAGAAGGGAGTGTAGGAGATAGAACGGTATGTACCCTCCCCTCTACTTCTCCTACCTTGACAGTGTTTTATATTCGAGGATTGGACATTAATTTCACAAGTAAATAGGCACAAATCCTCCGAAACCTCTCCGCAGTCCTAGAAGAAGCCGGCTCGAGTCTCGCATTCGTGAACAAAGCAAACATCTATCTCGTCAACACAGAGGACTTTGCGCCAGTGAATGAGGTGTATGTTTCGTTTTTTGGGGAGGTGAAGCCGGTACGTCGATGACTAACGTTTCTTTACTGGTCTTTATGTGGTTGCAAAAGTTGGGATAAGTATGAGTTGTTTCGGTGCTGATGTGATGGTGAACAACAGGCTCGTACGTGTGTGTTTGTCAAGGCTTTGCCGCTGGGGACGGATGTGGAGATTGAGGTCGTGGCTGGGGTTGATCCTGCGAGGGCGAAGCTTTGAATGGGTGGTTTAGAGAAAGAGGGGTAGAGGGGTAGAAGTGATTTGATTATGTTATTCTGTCTCGTCCTTGTGGTATGCCAAGTATGGTGATTGCCATTGGTATGCCGACCGTTCGATCTGACGAGATGTGGAATTCATAAACACTTACCTTCCAATATATTCATAGGCGGAGGGAATGTACACTTAGTACGGGCCAATCAAGAAGCGGACTATGATCGTTCGTATTCAAGTCGATGGATACTACGCACTCACTCGCCTAAAGTAGAATAATGTCTATACGTGACCTGATTTTGGTATGCGTAAAGCCACTTGATGAATGGGAGGTTGTTTTCTCAGCGAGCATGAGTATGGTGTCATTTTAACTTGTTATTCGAGCCATGCTACCAAACCGACCGGAATTTATAAATGTGTAGAATTGAAATCAAGTTGTTTATCAATTCGAGGCGACTCCAACTGATATTTGTATTTGTATTGTTGATGTATCCAAGTTGAGTGTGGTTGGACCTGATTACATTGGGAGTTTTAGCTTCATATGCTAGATGTCGATACATCGCAGACAACTGTGTCATAGGCGTCGAAGGCAGCTGTGACTTTGTTATTCTGATGGACATGTAACAACACATACGTATGGGGACCCGAATATATTGGACAAAAACAAAAGAGGAAGGTTGACGACTATTGAAACTATCGAGAAACGAGTCTACTGCGTGGCATCAAAGTTTAAAAAACAGCATCCTGGACTGATCAAGCACAGCATTGAAGACGCATGAGGACCATATAATTTGATACCCAGATGTGACAACGGAGAAGGATGATGGAAAAGGCATGCATAAGTTGGTAGCCTTGTCTGGTCGCGTGCATCGATTGCGTTGAGGTGCGCTTCGCCGTTGCAAAAATTCTTCACATTTTTTGCCCCTGACCCGATTGGCCCAAGCGAGCCCGAGATTTCCCGATGACAAGCCCCTTTGCGGATCTGGCCTCTTTCTTTAGGAGGCCTCGCGGCGCGGGTACACGGGAGTGAGAGAGGCAGAAGGGGGAAAAAGCACGCTGGCTACTTAAGATTGGGGAAGAGACAATATGGGGTGGGGAGGGAGTGGGAAGTGGAGTTCTCTCTTGGGTTACTTGCGCGCCACGCACTAAGGGGACCTTTGCGGAGCTCGGTAATGCTAAAAGATTTTTCGACGGTACTTTACTGGAGTGAGGGTTTTTTTTTCTTGTGGTTGGGACGAACAGATGCCAGAGAAGAGTGCGTGCGCAAGATGAGATCCGACTATGGGCCTGAAGTCGCTACAGCAACGACTGGACTGGATTTTCTCACCCTGTGGATAACCTGCGGATTTTGCTACATGTTCTGAAACCTGGGGCTCTCAGAGAGGACAGGCGGCCTTTGCTGGCAATTGGGCATAGGTGGTGATTGGTATCAATCAATAATGTGTTGAATGATGGGAAAAATGAATGGACCGTGTATGATGTTTAGATGAATTGGTGGGAGATGACAGCGGAACAGCACCTACAGACTCTATCACCACCTATCAATCAGATGAATTGCAACTGCAAAAGAGAAAAAGGCGAAAAGCAAAGTTGCATACGTCTGTGACTGTCGCATTTACCATGCTCGATCCAAAGGTCCTCGGCATCATCACAAGCTGAGCAGGTGGTAGGGAGCAAGCTGTTGCGGTTGCTGGGCTGACTAAGTTAGCGCTATCCGGTCTTCAGTGGCCCGTGCTCGACCCATTTTTCTCTCTCCTGCTTCTTTTAAGACCGCGACTTCTCTCTTCATCGCACCCTCACTCTTGCATCCAGCGTTCGCATCAGTCGGACTTCATCTCTCCACTCCATCCTTTCACATACCTTCACATCCTTCGCGATGGCTGAACAAAAGGGTTCCGTCTTCGGCATGCCGGTTCGTACACCCCCTTCACACGCTTCCCCTGCCATCTGCCTGCATCCCCGAATGCCTCTCCGGCCACCTCAGCCTATCAATCCATCTCAATGGTTCCGAACAATCTTTGTTCAGCCTCACGATACGAATCTCAGATGGATTCTGGCTGTCGGCGGCGGGACGCATTGGGCGCTGGCTCAGCGTCGCAGCTCCGACTTTATTTTGTAACACGTGCTAACATGTATCCCAGGCTTTTGTTGTCGACTTCTTGAGTACGTCCATCGTTGCTAGCCTGCCTCCATCGATTTCTGGATCAATTGAGCCCGAAATTCGCTGTTGGCATGGCTAGCAAAAATTTTCCTGCTCCGACACGTTTGCTAATCCCTTATCTACAGTGGGTGGTGTTTCCGCTGCCGTCTCGAAGACCGCCGCTGCCCCCATCGAGCGTGTCAAGCTCCTTATCCAGAACCAGGTATGTCAAGCTGCTCCCGTCTTCCGCTGCTTTTCACTGCACAATCGCTGACAATATCTGTGCAGGATGAGATGCTTAAGTCCGGTCGTCTCGACCGCAAGTACGACGGTATCGTCGAGTGCTTCAAGCGTACCTCGCAACAGGAGGGTGTCCTCTCCCTCTGGCGTGGTAACACTGCCAACGTCATCCGTTACTTCCCCACCCAGGCCCTGAACTTCGCTTTCCGCGACACCTACAAGTCCATGTTCGCCTTCAAGAAGGAGCGTGATGGTTACGCCAAGTGGATGGCCGGTAACTTGGCCTCCGGTGGTGTAAGTACCAGTCGTAAATGAATTGCATCAAATCACATCTAACAAGCGATTAGGCTGCTGGTGCCACTTCCCTCCTCTTCGTCTACTCCCTCGATTACGCCCGTACCCGTCTCGCCAACGACGCAAAGAACGCCAAGAAGGGTGGTGACCGTCAATTCAACGGTCTCGTAGACGTCTACAAGAAGACCCTCGCCTCCGACGGTATTGCCGGTCTCTACCGTGGTTTCGGTCCCTCCGTTCTTGGTATCGTCGTCTACCGTGGTCTGTACTTCGGTATGTACGACTCGATCAAGCCTGTTCTCCTTACCGGCTCCCTCGAGGGTAACTTCTTGGCCTCTTTCTTGCTCGGATGGACTGTCACCACTGGTGCCGGTATCGCTTCTTACCCCCTTGACACTGTCCGTCGTCGCATGATGATGACCTCTGGTGAGGTAAGTTTAAAATACGCTCTCCTCTCTTGCCCACAGCCACTAACCAATTGCAGGCCGTCAAGTACAAGTCTTCCATGGATGCCGCCCGCCAGATCGTCGCCGCTGAGGGTGTCAAGTCTCTCTTCAAGGGTGCCGGTGCCAACATCCTCCGTGGTGTTGCCGGTGCCGGTGTCTTGTCCATCTACGACCAGGCCCAGCTCCTCATCTTCGGCAAGAAGTTCAAATAGATGTATCACCCCATCGCCGATACCCTAATAGAACGATGTGGAGGAAGGATACGATAGTAGCGTGAGGGGACGAGGGGCGTTAGGTGTGGTGGTTGATTGATAGAGCAATAACAGGCCCGCATCTGTGGGCAGGGAATTGGCTCTGGTTAACGAAAAGCACTCTGTCGGTGGCAAACACCTTGTACTTTACATTGCCGGCACTTCTTATTCCCTCTCACAGCACCCTGTATTACATGTCATGCTCGGCTTGCATTGCTTAGTCTGTTTATCACCTTTTTTTCCTTGCTGTATTCTCCTTCTCGCTTGGTGAACTGGGGGAAAATAGTGGTTTATAGATATCTATTGCGGGTTTCCTATTACGAACTATACTGCTCCCTGTATGCAAAGTGATGATATTGCCTTCGTGGCTGATGCGTTTTCCTTCACCGTGTCTACCAACATTTGAAATACCAGTTTGTCATGCAGGGTTGACCTTGGACGAATGACGATCTGAATCCAATCAAGGTACCTTTTGAGAGCCTCGTGCACCCTGTCCTCACTGGTTGTTCCTTACCGCCTTCCACGCCGCTTCTTCTCCCTTCTTCAGCGCTTCTCCAGCTTTGGCTAACATATTCCACGCCGCTCCTCCGACCCCCTCCGTCCCAGCACCATCTCCACCTCCATCCGCAGGACCACCGCTAATACCCCCGTTCATTGGCGCATATGGTGAGTTGTCTGGCGCCTGCACGTACCCAGGCGGGTGCTCCAAGCTCGCCTGCCCCTCACTCTGCGGCTGTGGTACTGCTCCACCCTTGTGTTCGTGCTGATATGGTGACGGCACAGGAGCGCCTGGGGCGTTCAAGCTTACCGGGCCGCTGGAGAAGCTCGGTTGTGTAGAGGTCGTAGTGGAGTGCGTGGGCAAGTTCGAAGCTTGCGGAGGTGGGATGTAGGTTTGCGAGGGGAGCGTCGTCGTTTGCTGTCGCGTTTCGGTCGTAATGTGATGTGCGGTGTACCCTCCTCCTGATCCTGGTGCAGCGCCTGGTTGCGGTGGTGGTGGGTTTCCCGTGCTATCGTTGTTCGTGGAGGCTGTTGGAGCCAACGGTCTCGCACCGGGTTGAGGAGGCGGCGGATTTGAGGATGATGCAGTGGTCGTCGCGGGAATGTGGGCGGGTGTTGTTCGTGTTGGTGGTGGGTTTGCATCTTGCGAATTGGAATCAGATGTTTTTGGGGTAACACCTTCGACGGTTTGGCCTGTGGTGGGTGCTATGGGAGCATCCCTGTGGATGAGAATTGGAGGCATCTTGGGACCTGGTTATCTTTCCTTTCGATTCGGAGATGATCCTTTGGTGTATGGTTTAGGGTAGAGTCGAAGATCGCGGTAGTGGATAGAGTGTGGTGATGTCTTAAGTTCGTGAATTCAATGGACAGCAATGTGATTTGAAGAGGCGAGTATTGCGGACGGTATTAACAAGTGATTCAGGTGAGCGTCAAGGTAAACGTGGTCTGATTGCTGGTGCCTGAACAAGAGGGTCCATTTGGCGCATACGTGAGGAGAACTACCTAGTGTATGAATGATGTCACTGTCACGTGTGGTGCTGCTTTCGGACTCATCCATTCGCCTACTACAAGTCTTTTTATGTCTACCTAGGTATATAGATCTGCGATCATCTCTACACGCCCTTACTACGATATCCCCCTGTATATATAGCAGTGCGTGAACGCCATCGACTGCATCGTTCCAATATCGTACATATGTCTAGTCCCGCTGCCGAACGCGCGTTATTTCCCAGGGAGTCAACTGTTCAATATCATAGGTGCACTTTGATTTTTCCTTCATGTCGCCCCGGATTCTCGAAGCATGCTTGATTCTGTTTTCATATCATTTTCTCCCCAATGACTCGGGCCGGACGGGTCCGCTACCGACATATGTTTCCTCATGGTTGTCGAGTGCCTGCCTACGTTTGTACATACTCAGGTTGCGGGCTTCTCGAGAAACCTGACCCCGAATTCTCATGCATACGTTAGTCGGCAAATGCAATCAATAATTGGCAGCACCGCAATATATATTGTGGTGGCTCCGAGCCAATATAGGAAAGATGCGCACTACTTGTTCAGTTCCCAGTCGGATAGAATGGCTATTTCGCCAATGCTCAACCCCCGTACCACAAACAGTCTACACATATGCAATCCTATTTCTTGGTATCTGGTAAGAATGTCTGGGCAAGATGCCTATAAGTCCTCACCAACAAATCATACGATGTGTATTTCGCCTTTTTTATTGGACTTTTGACTGTTCGTGATAAATACTATTTTGACCACGTTGTGGTTTAATTGTTACACATCGTTGTCCAGACCCCTGCCTCCATTCCCCTGCTACTCTCCTAGCATACTAGAGGTGGATATATTCTCCCGTCTTCTGTTACGACGTTTCAGACCGTTATTGCGCAAGGACTGATCCAAACAGATGGTAATGTTCATATTGCAATTCCTTCATTGGGTTGTCTGTGTGGCTTGATCCATCTAGAGTTGGTGTACAGCGCCGGTGTGATTGGTGCGAAATCTTGGAACAACAGTAACGCGCACGTTGATGTGTGGAAAAATCTGGGGTAGATCGATGCGCGATCTATGTCTTTTGTGGAGGCGAACTATGCTGTCTGTGACTACAGGTGTGCGTGAACTTCAGGTATAAAAGATGCTAATGATCGTTCAGTCTTCAGGACAAATAGCTGTGGCATCAACTCTACAGATTCACTCTATCGATCCAAGAAGTCTTTGTTCTACTTGACACCATGAGACTCACATCTCTTCTTCCCATCGCTCTTGCGGCTTTGGCAATCGCTGCCCCTACTGCTACGACCGATGAGGTCAAGAGGAACAACATTGTGAAGCGTGCTTCCTACTCTGATGTTCCAACCACGGGCTACGCAACCCAGAACGGTGGCACTACTGGTGGACGAGGCGGAACTACTACGACTGTTTCTTCCTTCGCTCAATTCACCGCTGCCGTGAAGGGTGACAGTGCCAAAATCGTGGTTGTGTCAGGTCCCATCACTAGCACGGGCAATGTCAAGATTGGCTCAAACACCAGCATCATCGGCAAGGACTCATCTGCTGGTGAGTATTTGACTCCGTTGTCATATGAATGTAAAAAAGCTAACGTGATCGTGTCAGTTTTGACTGGCTTCACCTTGACTGTGAAGGACGTCAAGAACGTCATCATTCGCAACATTGCGGTCAAGAAGGTCATTGGTGGTGATGCTATTGCGGTTCAAGTTGCCCAGAACGTGTGGATTGATCACGTCGATCTTTCTGCCGACATGGACCACGACAAGGACTACTACGATGGACTGCTCGATTTGACCCACGCCGCTGATTTCATTACCGTTTCATACACGTACTTCCACGACCACTGGAAGTAAGTCTTCTCCACCCTCTATCTCTGACTGTCTTATTCAGCCCCCTCTTTTAAAGACTAGTAAATACTCTAGTAATGTTGACTTACTTTTCTACGCAGGGGCTCTTTGATCGGTCACTCCGACAACAACGCCGCTGAAGACACGGGCAAGCTTCGTGTAACCTACTACAACAACTACTGGAAGAACGTCAACTCCCGTGGTCCGTCTCTTCGCTTCGGTACCGGACACATCTTCAACAGCGTCTACGACAACGTAGGTGACGGAATCAACACCCGCCAGGGTGCTCAGGTTCTTGTCGAGAACAATGTCTTCTCCGGCGTTAAGAAGCCACTCTACAGCACCGACAGCGGTTACGCCGTTGCCAGGGGTAACGACTTTGGTGGTGCATCTAACACTGCTCTTGCTGGAAACTTGAACAGTGTCCCCTACGGTGGTTACACCCTTCTTGCGGCAAGTGCAGTTCGTGGTGCTGTTGTTGGACAAGCCGGAACTACCTTGAAGTTCTAAACAATGGCTTCTTATATCGGGCAATCGGTGTGAGGAATTTACATTCCTCGGGAAAGTGGTGTTACTTGACCGTTGTGTCTGCGTTTAGTGACGGCTTGTTGAAAATGTATATATTTTTGAGTCCAATAAATTCGATGAAATGGATTTGACATGGATTCGGGAGAAAAAAAAGTCTCTCCGTGCGATACTCCCCCAAATAAGATAAAATCCCGTGACTAGAGGTCTGAAAGTGTAGCAACATAGGTGCATATTGAAGCAAATACTAAGATACGAGTTTATCAACGAATTTTAATGCGTTGGAAGGTAGATGGACATTGATTTAAATATTTAAGAGAACGCTTTAGTGCTGTCATAAAAGAGACTAACATGTCAGCCGAAAAACTGTTCACTTTCATGCAGAATTATATTGGTTCGAGAACCACGGTTCAAGACAACACCAACACAAAACCGTCGCTTTCTGCGAAGTAAACTAAAATATTTGATAGTCTGCGTATTCTTAGCTTGATTAGATCTGACCAGAATAGGGTAAGGAGGTGCTTACACAAGAGATGCATGCTTTGCAGTGTGATTGAGTGAATTGTCCTTTCTGTTGCCCATCTACAGTACCTGTCAAGTTGGTTGCGACCATTCTGTAACAAGCCCTTTTGCTAGTGTGATTTTCAGCTGCAAGAAAATATATTCGTTTCGGGTGCTTGATGGGATAATTGATACGCTCAGATCCACGAGCAGCAGTCTCATGTTACTGATGCGGAATATGAATACGCACTTCTCAGCATCAGCAAATCGCGTCGTCAACCCCGGCATAATCATGACGTTTGCATCATGGACGAGGTTGAGACAACACTATGCTTACTCTCTTGATTCGCTTCAATGTAGATCCACCCATGTTGTAGGAGGAACAATCACAAGAACCCTACAAAATTGTTTCGTTTCTCTCACTGTGAATGCTCGATACATGGGTGCGGTGACCGTGTAAACCTTACAGACCCCTTAGCCCGATTCGTGTTGGCCGACCACGATCAGCAGCTAACATTAAGCATTTCCACACATGTCGTTGCTAGTGTGTGGGCGCCGTTATTGTTATTAATAGTCTTCAGAAAACTGCCATGGAAATTGCTGCTGACGTTTCTGATACAACATGGATCGTGCGTAGGAGTTTCCTTTTCCATGTCTCATATGTCTAGTTACTTTTCCATGCGTGGAGTAGAATTAAAATTATTACTCGGACTGACAAGTGATATGGATACCATACTCCGACTACACCGAATCGAATGGTGTGTTCGAAGTGGATGAGTGCTGCTGTGGCACCGGCACCAAAGAGCATTCACGCCATCGAACCTTGGAACGATTGAGCGTTTTAACACCTTTTCCGAATCTAGCCAAAAGCGTGTGATGGTTCTGGTAAGGACTGGAGTGTGAATGATTCCTTTCAGCTGTTCGCGATTGAATTATATTATTAGCCACACGCATTCAGAAACCAACTATTGCTATTACTGGTGCCATCGCGATGGCGCACGCCATTGACAACATTGGCAATACCATGCGTGCACTTGGAATTGGATACAGCGAGCACCAGAATCTCGTCCATGAGTTCACAATCTCTGAGAATCAACTGTCCGAGTAATCTCATGAGCCCCACGAATATTTTCTTTCATCATGATATAATCATGACAGAGATAGTTCGCCTCATGTGCCACATGTTTGAGGGTGGATTCCCACGAACCGAATCTCCAAACTAGCCATCTCCGGGATCAGCGGGAAGGTCTTCTCCGTAGTCACAGTCTAGTAGCGTGAAATTCACAGTTCTATCGACGAGCTAACAGCTGAAAACTAATCGATAGCTTCCACTTGTGAAGCGGGCGTAGGCTGATTGTTGGAATGGATGACGGACCCTTCATTCTGCTTAGAATATATGTCGCCCGGAAGCGTACCACAAGTCTGGTATCCTCAGCGTTTTCATACTTCTCGCGCACAATACCAGATATTATATTATGACTTTGAATTCGTGTCTCGGTTTCCCAAGATATTAATTGATAGGATAGGTGAATACGTACCATGACGCTCTCTTCTCAACGGCCAATCATCCTCGCCGCCATCGCCATCTTCCTTCTCAATTTCTTCTTTCTCTTGAGCAGAGAGGGCAGTCCGTTCTGTCGCTCAGTACCATATCTCCGAAATGAGGACTCAGATGCCAACTTCAGCGAATCGCCCTCTCGTATCACACATATATCGAAACCGGGCGAAGAAAGACTTGCTTTCGCAATGTTCTTCTCCAGCACTGTGGATCAATCCGAAGATCTGGCCAACGACAACTACTTCATCTCAGCGCGGATGCTAGTATGGCAACTCCTCCACAGCCCACGAACTCGCAGCCGCCGACCCATCGACGTCGTCATCCTCGTCACACCATCCGTCTCCGAATCCCGCCGCGCCGTCCTCAAAGCCGACGGTGCCGTCATCCAACCCATCGACTTCCTACGCAAAGAGTGGGGCGAATTCCGAGAAACAAGGTGGGAGGATATGCTGGCGAAACTGAGGGGATGGGAAATGACGCAGTACAGCCGCGTGGCCATGCTAGATACCGACACGATCCTGCGCGAGCCTATTGACCACGTCTTCGACGACGAAGCAGCGCAGTTCAGGAAGACGCTCGCGATAGATGGCGTGAGGAATAAACCGCCGGAGGGAGCGCCGCCGCTACCCGATTCGTACGTTCTTGCGGGAGTGGGGGAAACGTTCAGCCCTGAACACCCGTTCCCTCCATACTGGGACGGCGATGGGGTCAACGGCGGGTTGTATAAAAAGGGGTACTTCAATGGCGGGTTTCTCGTCTTCTCGCCCAGCAAGGCCTTGTTCGAGTATTTTGTTTACATGATCAAGACACCGAACTCTTTTATCGCGGAGCTTGCGGAACAGAACTTGCTGAACAACGTGCACGATTGGAATGGCCCGGCTCCGTGGCGAACGTTGAATAGTTCCTGGAATCTGATGTATGCGAACGACGACGATCTGAGAGGTGGGTTGCGGACGATGCACCAGAAATGGTTCGAGAATCCCAGAGCAGACGAAAAGAAGAACGGGGAGCTCGTCAAGGAAGAAATGAGACGGGCGCGATGGGAAATGCAGGGATGGTACGACGCTTTGGAGGATTCGAGGTAACGACAAAGACCCATATGAACAATTGTGTTCCTTTTTTTTCTCGATTTCTTGTAAATGTACTATCGTAACTCTTCATTGATACCCAGGAGGGTGTTGTCTGCACACGGCATTTATACTGGAACAATACCATTACCCCGAACCCGGACAGTTTCAACGTGCAGCGAAACGACGTATATAATTCGAGGATGATAGAGGGCTATCGCGGATGGGGAAGGCGTGGGACCTGACGATCCCAGGAGATTGATAGAGACAGTCGATGTGACTGGCGATTGCATTAATACCCTGGACCGATTAGGACACACATGTACGTATCTACAGGCAGGCATATGCCGTGTATGCGATGAACTTGATAGCGACGCGAACACTCGGCTGCGATGCTGATTCCGGTTTTTGTCTGAACAAGAAGTGTGTACTACTGGAGTCCTCTGTTGATCAATCAATAACAGTGATTCGGTTTGTTAGCCCCACCATTTCCACGTCTCTGAAAACCCGTTCATACTGGTGAGACGTCGACTTTGAATTGAAGCGACCCATCAATTTTCCTAAGCGACTGATCCGTCCCGCGGACGATCCGGGGTCAGGTTTCAAACATCAGGATATTTCTCCGCTAGCGCCAGCCTGCCAAGTCAATATAATATAGAATAAAATAGACAACCCAGGGCCGAAAGAGGGGTCTTGTTTCTATACACCCGGCTTTCTATTAAGTCACTTCGCCTGTTCATTGGAGGGGATTGGAGTGGACCCGTCTTGGAGTCATGTGTTGCCCTTGTCTCCAGAGTAACGTTTACCATAAATGGCTTTTCGCCCGCGATAGTGTTTATATGAAAGGAGTAATGACATGCAGATCCTGACCAAGGGAGAAATCGACATGGTAAATTGGATCTTTGATATCGAAGAGATGGGTATATAAGATGGACAGTGTAGTCGGCACTTTTCCCAATTGCCGCCGCACAGTGTTGATCGATTCAAGCTTCACTCATCCATCCATCTTCCCTCCAAACCACCCAAAAGATCGATCAATTAAATCACCATGAAGTTTGCCGTCCTCGCAACCCTCGCGAGCACCGCGCAAGCAGTAATCAACTGGGAAATCGTGCGCGCCGCCAACCCAACCGCAGACCAAACCGATGCGTACAACCGCATCAACTATGCGATGCGTCTAGCAGTCGAGCGGTACTCGCGTCTCAGCAGCGCGTCAAAGACAATCCGCGTCTACTATGCCCCCGGTGTGCCCACCGCAGAGGCAAACTACAATGGCGATTTGCGCTTCGGCAGCGACCGCGCGTACATGACGCAGCGCACGGCTCTGCACGAAATCTCGCATACCCTAGGTGTAGGGCAGACTGCTGCTTTTGACCGGCTGTGCGCGAGTGGGAATTGGCCTACTGCTTTGCCGTTGTTGAGGCAATGGGACGGCGGGAATGCGAAGATCAATTGCGGGGGGTCGCATTTTTGGCCGTACGGGTTGAACTATGAGACTGAGTGGAGTGAGACGAATGCGGATCGCAATGTAAGTCTTCTTCTTCATTAGAGAACCGGGGCAGAGTGGTCTTTGGGAATGTGTGAAGCTGACTTACATAGGTTTTATTGGTCACGGCTATGATCAGAGATGGGATGTAAACGGGTTTCTGCTATTTGGGACAATCTTTGAGCGAACTTCTTCCTCTTCTTGTTTATACGAATTTTACGATTGGCGGATTGGAATAGCAGGTTATGTGGTGTTCAAATGGGTCTTGGCCTCTACTTCATCAGTGAAGTAGCAGTGATGAGATATCGACAGCGGCGAGGTGTACACACCGAATTACGTATTCCCTAGAGTAGCTATGAAGGTCTTACGAATCATATACATTACCTGCCTTTATGGAGCAATCCTCACCAACTTCCTAATTTGTATCTATGCTAGCTGGAAGAAAACCCTATTTACGTAACAAGCTGCGCAAAGACATCATGCACGGGAAGAAAGAGCGTTAATGTAGAAAAGGATCAGGAAAAAAGGGTGAAAGGAAAAGGGTATCATCTTCACCAAGCTACTACTACGTACTACTAACCTCGTGAGGATAGAAATCCACCAGAATGTTAAAGTGTGTATATGCAATCCTGCCTCACCGTCCTTTCTTCGTACCCCAAATAACCCCCCCAGTGATATCCATCACTCCCCATGCACTTCCTCATCGGCATTTTCTGTATGGAGAAGCCCGTTCCTTACGCAAGGGAAAAGAAAGCAAACGGTATTGTCTCAACTTTAGAGCGGCGGAGACTCAGGTCGAGCGATGGCTTGCATGAAGTACCAGTCATCTGTCTCTTCTGCGAAGCCTCCGCCATCGTCCATTGTCAGTTTTCCAAGGGCCGGTACAATGCCATCATAATCGGGTCGCACGCCGCTTTCCACGACAGACTCATACCCTAACGCGCCAATCTCCCAGACACACTTGCAATGCGGACAGGCCAATTCTTGAATAGCAGATGGAACAGTGAGGGGATAGCAACAACGAAAGCACGTGAAGGAGCAGCGTTCGCAGTACGTTTTACCCGACGCTGAAGGCCGCGCTATTCCATAGCAGAGCTCGCAGCGAGATTTTCCGGGAATTGATTTTGTAAGCTCAGATCCGGGGGTTTTCCACGCTTGGCGGAGGGAATCTGCAATGCGGTCCTGGGATCTACCAGAATCTCCTACCTCTTCACTGGTGACCTTGGTGATCGCTTCACGGCAAGCAGGCAGGGAACACTGCGGACCGAGGGGTTTGGCCAAGTTGAGTTGGAATTGGAGGGCTTGTTCACGTAGTATGGGAGCATCGACGTTCTGATCAAAGGGACCTTCGTAGTTGGGGCCTTGAACGGCTTGTCGGATAGGTAAGCCACCTAGAGGCATCTGAAGCATCTGGCCAGACTGCAAAAGATCGTTCGCAGAAGAGATGCCTGAGTCTTTATCGCAATGCTTCATAATTGGTCCCTGGTCCTGTTCCTCTATAGCTTCATTGTTGCTATCTTGCTTCTCAGCTGTTTCGTCGTATGGTATATATGTGAATTTGCTTGCCTCTTTCAGGGAGCAATCGTCTCGACCGACTTCCAAGACGTTGATAGAGCCGTATACGTCTCCCAAGATCAGCTTGCTCTTGTCTGGCGAAAACGCACCAGACATAACTCCGGAAGTCAAGGTGGTTAGGTCTTTCACGAATGTTTCTTCTTCAGAAGCAACGACGTTCCATACCTTGACAACACCGTCAGATGATCCAGTATACAGTCTCGTGGCATTATCACCCCAAGACAAGAAGCGTACACCGGTATCCGTTACCTCCCGGTCAATATCTTCGTCCAATGGCATCAGAGAGTGCGCATGAGCGAGTTCTCGCAGAAAGTAGTCCGGCCGACGGATGTCCCACACGTATGCTCGACCAGAAGTGCAGCCAGCAGCAATAAGAAAGTCATCTCCTGGACTGTTATAATCATTAGAATCGTCATCTCGCAGAATTTAGAACGGACTTACCACCAGGCAATATCGTTCATATCTAGAGCCCTGCATTCAAGCTCCATATGCATGCTGTACTTTCCTACGTCCACTTGGTCATGTAGGCGCACTACTGATCGCGTTCCACGATTGACACCAGAGCCAGCGACACAGCCTGCTGCAAACCAGTTTTCACGTGGATGAAATGCCAGATCAAATACGTTTTTCCCGGAACCGATAATGTTCAATGGCTGTTTGGGCCGACTGACATCCCATAAACACATGTCACCACTTAAGTCTCTACCATCCTGGCGGACATTAGCACCGAAACCCGCAAGCAGTAAATGTTCTGACGTAGGCGAGAATCGAAGTGCAGTAGGTAAAATATTCTCGTTCGGTCTGCTCGTGGCTTTCTGCGAACTAAAGTTATCGATCTGAATATCCTGGCAATCGTGATCAATCATCCGTATGGTTTTGATAGCATTCGTGCTTGGTTTTTTGGAGGCAGTGGCCAGCAAGCCAGAGGAATTGATGGCCATGATATCAACTGGCGCTTTGTGTTTCCATGCTCCGCTCCACTTTGGTTGTCCGAAGCTTGCCTTATCTGCATCTGGCTGCGTTTCCCAGATGCAAACCTTATGATCGTAGCCGCCCGAGTAGACGAATCTACCATCAGGCGAGAAGATGACTGATGACACTGTCTTGTAGAGCTTTCGATCCTGCGAAGCATACATGGCGTGTGTCGAGTTCGGGCCGGTCTCGGTCCGTGGACGTTGAACACTGTGCCCACCCAACTCATGCATAACATTGTACGTGAGATCGCCGAATAATAGATTGTTGCCTTTGTTGTATTGCATAGATAGGGCGTCGTCTACACAGATTGCGCCCGCGACGAAGCATTCTCCCTCCGGAGACCAAGCGACGGCATGAACATCACTGGATGCACCCGTATATGAGAAGGAAGGCCCTAAGGAGTCCTGGACCTTATTCTTTAACGTATACGAGACCGCTCGGGACGCGAACTTCCAGCCTCGTCGGGACTGTAAACCAAGTTCTCGATCTGAGACCATGGAAGTCACAGAGGCCTTGCTGATAGTACTGTAGTCTCTGTTGGGTCTAGCCGCGGCCAATCGCTCAATTACCGGACGGTTTATTTGAATCTGACCAGTTTGGGCATCTGTTAAGAATGACTTGAGGCTGTCCCGATCACGGTTCCGAAGCTGTTTCTTGACCTCGTCCTGTATGCGGAGCAACATTGGCTCTGGAAGGTTTTCTAATAGTTTCTGCAAACACTCCCGGCTAGTTCTATGTCTTCGTTCATCGGGTATACCGAGTACCTTGTATGCCGCTGTCTGCATCACTTTGAGCTCCGCACGGCTGAAATCTACGTGAATCAAAGATCCCTGCCAGTCTCGGCTGGTAAGTTGATCCCACTCCTGGTTCCGTGGCGTATCTTGTATTATAGACCTTTCTGCCGAAGACAGATAGGGCAACTTTTCGTGGGGGAACTGTGGTTGTTTCTGCTGCCTTTGCGCAGATATGGCGAGGAGAGCGTCTTCCTTTTCGAAGGAATGCGGTACTAAAGGTACGTTGTCAATTGGAATAGCCACCTCTGGCGCTGATTTGAGAGACTCAGGCGGCTCCACCGACTTCTGCTCCATCGACACGTCATCTTCTGCTTCGTACATTTGCGGACTGCGCAACTTGGACCAAGTGTAGTCTTTTACAGCCACTGAGCGTCGGGGGCGGTCACGACGAAGCTCTGCGCTAGGCGAGTATTCCACTGAAGGGACAGGTTCTTGAACGTGAGGTTTGGGAGAAAAACTGGGGGTTGGTTTGTATGAGAGTGGTGCAGCGGGCGGAAAAGAGGCAGATTCTGGATCGTACGACGGAGGCAATATCCAAGCCGGGGGATCTTTGGATTTATCGCGCTTGTGAAGTTTTGTTGAATAAGTGCTTTGCAGTTTCGGATATGAACGCCCGGGATAGTATCTGGAGAACTCGGCCACAATTTCTTTCCATTGTAACTTCTTGACCTCCTTCAAGTATATGAGAAAGTGACGCTCTTCTTCCATCAGAGCCACAGGAAGCGTCGCTGATTGCGTGCGAGTTGAGATATCGGGGGTATTCATCATCATTGGAGCGCGAATACTTTGGGCTGGAAGGAGAGCAGTGGCCGATTGCGCCTGGAAGCCAGTAAAACCATTGCTTGCAGGTTGGGAAGGGTATTCCTGGCAAGCGAAGTTTGTCTGAGCTGCATGATTCTCAAACGCCTTTGTATGCGATACATTGGGCACATTCGTGAATGGAGGGCCACGTATTTGTGAAGTAGCAGGTTTATCTACAAATAGCGTCGTAACGTTATTGGAAGGAAGTGCTTGACTGGGAGATTGAATAGCAGCCGCTCGGTCCGTATTGGATTCTATTGCTTGGATGGACGTTATGTGACCCGAATTCAGCGACGACGCCGGTGGGACAGGATTAGCCGCGGGTACTGAAGTACGCAGAGGCGCGTGGTTCGGGGTGGATAGCTTCCTTCGCTTCTCGGGTTGTGGGCTCTGAATCGCGAAGCCTCCTTGGATGGGGATATAGCTCTTAAAGGTGCCATTGTTCCCATTGTGTGTGGGGAATGGAGGGAAATTGATGTTGTTGCTATGAAGCGCCGAAGGTACAGCGTATGGACTCGCGAAGGAAGGGTATACGTTGGCTGGGGGATTGGGTGTAGGATTGCTGGCTAGGTGGCCATTCGCGAAGGGTGGGCCCTGCTGCGAAGGGTAGAGATGGCGCACATTTTCAGGCAACGGTATCGGGGTATTGGCTTTCTTTTTCTTTTCGGGCGACGGTGGGAACAGTCGCGACAACGGGCCGTCGTCATCAGAGTCTCGAGTGAGATCGATTGGCTTGCTGGTAGCCGCATAGTCAGTTGCATGGACACTTGGGGAAGAAACGAGGAATGCAAATAGATGAGCAGGAGGCACTTACCTGGACGCCATGGTAGCGCGCAGTTGGCACGATTGCAGCCATGCAAAAGTGGTAGAGAGAGCGTGGAAGGATGGAGGGGGATGGCGGCGCGTCGATTAAGTCGCGTAAAGTGGAGTCTGAACGGATGGCGTTCGTGGAGAGAGGTACAGTGGAAGGACAGTCCAGGCCAGGCACGGCAAGAGCTATGGCTGTGCTTGTGTGGCGCAAATCGAGGGAAGGTAGGTGCACAGGTCAGACGTTCCCCTCCACTCAACGCCAACTCACCTGTGCTTGTTGCCATCTTCACCTCTGTTTTCTTCTTCAGTCCAGTCTCCTTCATCCGACTAGACTTGTCGGCAATCTACATTCATCGTGTCGCGCAAGATGAGAGAGGGTTGGTGGATCTGCTCTCGCTCACATGTGATTCGGCAATGCGCCCAGCTCCCTGCGGGCATCCATCATCACGTCCGTCGTCGGTCAACCGTGGCTAGCTGCCTAGGCGATAGCGTACACGACGGGTACAGGGAGCAGCATGCATATGTATCGAGCAGACGAATTGCTTGATTACGAGAAGTGACCGCGTGCTGCTTGGGTGCCCTTGACGTGCATTCATATGCATTCGCTACAGTAATTCTCCTACAGACAGCAGTACACATGAACATGCATACCTATCCATCATCATCATCGACCACGCACTTCCGTCAGCAAATACCACCACCAAATCTCTCGTTATCTCCCCCCGGCGCAATGGCAACGAGCCGTAACCATCGAGGTCGCGGCCGTTATCTGCCTGCCTGCTACGCTCCTATCTCTGCTCGTATCGTACCCATGTCACCTAAGATCCTACACCGACGAAGCACCGTCGAAAAGGGGAGGCGCACGCGACAAAGAACAAAAGACGGCTCTCTGCAGCTCACGAGTCTAGAATTTCATGTTCAAGCAGCCCTGCATGACGCACGAGGCTTCCGCTTAGCATCCATCATCATCAATTCGAGCAGCTGCCTTTAAACCCCCATCTCGTCCGTACCCGCTGCGTGATAGCTACCCAGGTACACATCTCGTCATCTCAATTCCACCGTCTGCTCCGCTTGCCTTTCTCCACCAAAACTGCGCGACTTCGGGCAAACACAGCGGGGTAGGGGTCATTGCACTTCCCACTAAACAATTAGCTGACCCACGATAAGACGACTCCCTGCTTTCTGGTACCAGCAAACGTAACACATATATATAGCTCCAGCTCGCGGGGAAACTCCATCGCATCTTCGGTCCCGATCCGACTTTGCCCTTGTCCCTTTTAAATCAACGCGAGGGAGGGCCTCACACCGAAACCACAGCCATCGCAATCCATTCTTTACATCTCTGCGCAACCATGTCGCGCAGCTTGAGCATAACCCAACGCCAGGCATCCGTGACGGATGTCCGCGCAGATGCTGCCCTCGCAAAGATGGGCTACGCAAGTGAATTACCCAGAAATCTATCCATGTTGAGTGTTTTGGGATTGTAAGTACCCTTTCCTTTTTCATTCGTCACCAATTGCACAAAGTGCTAACATTTTAGTCAGATCATTTGCTATCATGGCCGTACCCTTTGGTCTCTCCACTACCATGTACATTACGCTTACCGACGGACAAGCCGTTACCATCCTTTGGGGCTGGGTTCTCGTGTCTCTGATCTCTCTCTCCATCGCTGCCTCCCTCGCCGAAATCTGCGCCGTCTATCCTACAGCGGGAGGCGTCTACTACTGGTCCGCGATGCTTTCGACCCGCAAGTACGCGCCTGTAGCCTCGTGGGTTACTGGATGGTTGACACTTGTGGGGAACTGGACAGTGACTCTATCAATCAACTTCTCCGGAGGGCAGCTGATCTTGAGTGCCATCACTTTATGGAAAGAGGATTTCGTTGCCAATGCGTACCAGACAATCCTCATGTTTTGGGCCGTCATGATAGTGTGCATGCTTGTTAATATCTTTGGGGCAAAGTACCTCGACCTCATCAACAAGATCTGCATCTACTGGACCGCCAGCAGCGTAGTCATCATCCTCGTCACTCTCCTGAGCATGGCGGATACGAAGCGAAACGCCAAATTCGTCTTCACTCACTATGATGCCTCTCAGTCGGGCTGGTAAGTCTACACCTAGCCATCAACACAGCAGAGGCTTGAGACTAACCCACCTGGACAGGCCTTCTGGCTGGGCCTTCTTCGTTGGTCTTCTTCAAGCCGCATACACTCTGACAGGATACGGAATGGTCGCCAGTATGTGCGAGGAAGTCCAGAACCCCGAACGCGAAGTTCCCAAAGCAATCGTCCTCTCTGTTGCCGCCGCAGGTGTGACCGGCATCATTTACCTGATTCCCATTCTCTTCGTCCTCCCAGACGTGCAAATGCTGCTCGACGTCGCAAACGGCCAGCCCATCGGGCTCCTCTTCAAAACCGTCACGGGCTCCGCGGCTGGCGGTTTCGGCCTCCTTTTCTTGATCCTGGGTATCTTGTTCTTCGCTGGAGTAGGTGCGTTGACGGCGGCGTCGCGCTGCACGTATGCGTTTGCGCGCGATGGAGCGATCCCGGGGAGTCGGTACTGGGCGAGGGTGGACAAACGCTTCGACATGCCGCTGTACGCACTGTTCTTGTCGACCGCGGTGGATTGCTTGCTGGGACTCATCTACTTTGGCAGCACGGCGGCTTTCAACTCGTTCACGGGTGTTGCTACCATCTGCCTGTCCACCTCCTACGGCATGCCGATTCTCATCTCTGTTCTACGTGGGCGGCGCGCTGTTAAACACTCTTCGTTTAGCTTGGGACGGTTCGGCTATGCGATTAATTGTGCCATGATTGTGTGGATTTGTCTCGCTGTTGTGTTGTTCTGTATGCCCGTCAGTTTGCCGGTTGAGGCGGAGAGCATGAATTACGCATCAGTAGTCTTTGCCGGATTCGCGACCATCAGTGTGGTGTGGTACTTTGTGCGAGGGCGAAAGAACTTCACCGGTCCGCCTGTGCCGCAGGATGTCGAGCCTGGGCAGGAGGTGGGTGTGGAAGGCGTTGGGGTTACGGATGTTGAGGGTGCTGAAGATAATAGCTTACATGCGAAGAAGGTGGAAGGAGAGAAGTTGTGAGCAATGAAGGGGGCGAATCTGTTTATGGGTGTTGAAATTGTGAGAGATGTAACTTGTAAATATAAACGCGGCGTTGTTCATTGTAGTCATGTTCGGAGAAGATAATGTCTGCCTACGTTTTATCCTCTGCGCATTTCTGACTGGCTTTCTGACAACCTAGCGTTCGAACAGAGAGACTGCGACGATGATGATGATGATGATGGCTGGAAATCAGAGTGAGGTTGGACCAAAGGTTTTCAAGTCTCAGCTGGTACATTTGCATCTAATCGTAAACTACAGCAGCTCAAACACAGAGGCATAGCATGCCAAAGCATATTCAAGGGGAGGGGTGATCGCCGCACGCATGCAGGAAAAGAACCAATAAAACAAAGACTGACCCACGCACAAAGGAAACAGACATAGACACACCCCTAGAAGTTCCAAACCCAACAAGCAGCCAATTTACACATGGTGACCCGCCCTCTACCATCCGTGTTCGGTGCCCGGAGGAAGAGAGACTCCCACGATATGAACGCCGATAGAAAGAAACGATCCATTATTCGCATGACACATCAAGCGTTCGCATCAAGACGTGTTCCATTTACGACAAGCGTGCCGTGGGGGTTTGCGCTATATGTGTGTGTGTGTGTATTGGTGTGCCTTTGGAAGGCAATCCGGTACGCTGGATCCGCCGAATGGAAGAGGCGTCGGCAGATTACTATGGCGAGGAAAGAAAGGGAGCAGCCTAGCAGCAACCCTTCTTCGCCTCTGGATCGGCTGACTTGCTTATTTCCAGCACTTTGCGTTCGCCCCCAAGAACATTTTGGCTGCCCTCTCCCTGATCAAGAGCCTTGCTAGACACGATACGGTAGATCTCTGTACACCGCATTAGTTCGCCTCAATCCATCCAGATACTAAAGGGAGCAGCCGATTTGTTTGTCGTGCGCGAGGAAAGCTATTCGTACCTGTGAGAATATTCTGGAAAGCCAATTCAACGTTGCTGGCGTCCAGGGCAGACGTCTCGATGAAGGACAAGTTGTTTTCACCTATATGCGCAATATCAGTATTCCACCGACAACAGAATGGGAGCGGTTGCAAAGACGCACTTGCGAATTGTTTGGCTTCCTCTGTGGGAACAGCCCGTAGATGTCTCAGATCGCTCTTGTTACCGACCAGCATAATGACGATATTGGAGTCAGCATGATCACGGAGCTCCTTCAACCATCTAGTCACATTCTCATATGTTTGGTGTTTGCTAATGTCGTAAACAAGAAGTGCTCCGACGGCGCCACGGTAGTATGCTGAGGTGATGGCGCGGTATCGCTCCTGACCCGCAGTGTCCCAAATCTGCGCTTTGATGGTTTTGGCATCTACTTGGATAGATCGTGTGGCAAATTCGACACCGATGGTCGACTTGGAGTCTAGGTTGAACTCGTTGCGGGTGAAACGACTCAAAAGGTTGGATTTACCAACACCTGAGTCTCCGATGAGCACGACTGCGGGGAATTAGTACCGCCGATACGAGGGGAACGCTGGAGATTGTATACCCTTGAAGAGAAACTGCACAGGCCAGGGTCAGCAAACATATTCGCATGATCTAGCATCGCCGTTGTGGACACTTACATCGTATTCGTCGTTCGCCATGGTTGCGGTGGGCGCAGGCGAGGGGGTTTCAGTGCGAGTTGCGGTGAAGGTGGGGTTCCCAGGCAGTGTGGGGTGCTCGTGTGTCAAAGACGGTATATGAGGGGCGGCAAGTGCTATTTCCTAGAGTCGATAGATGCGTAAAGTGGCGCGGTATATTTCAAAGAGGACGGTGTTGGCTTGTTCGGCTGCCTCGTCGTGGTGGATAAAGCAAGAGCTCGGGGATGCATGCTGCGCGGCGCTGGCGGTGTCGCACGGGCCCTTTACCCACACGTGACATATGGCACCTGCACACATGCAACATTGAATACACCTGGGCATCACTCAACTGCAATCACAGTACTTCAAGAGAGACATAATTTTATGTCTGCTGTCTCTTACCTTGTTCACTCATTCACTTCGCCAAAGATCCGGGCTCGGGCTTTTCCATGAATCGATACAACGCAATCCACCGTTGAGGGGGCCGCCTCTACTCCTTCACCAACACTCGTCAAACATCCTGACCAATTAGAGCCGTTGCCCGCCATCGCCCTCATCATGATCGTGAGGCTGAGCCTGGACGAGTATGACCGGCACTATGACACAGACGACGTATCCGTCACTTCAACTGTTCCCGACGATCAAGCTATTGATGGTCATGGCTACTTTGAAGTTGAAGCCATCCTTTCCGAGGGAAACAATGTTGACGACGGCACTACCGTTTACCTCACAAAATGGCAGGGCTACCCTCCCCACGAGTAAGCCTCGCCAATTCTGATGCTCTGGATCTACCCTAACATGGAGTTTTCAGATGTACCTGGGAGCCGCGGGAGCACATCGAAAACACCGGAATGCTTCGTCTTTGGGAGGCCAACAAGCGGAAAATGAGTGAAGACGACTTCACTGAATTGGCAGACAGTAACCATGACTTATTCGAGGAAGCAAAGATCAAGGCACAGGAGTTAAAGCAAAAGCGCCAGCTCAAACGCAAGAAGAAGAGGAAGCGGCGAGCGCCTGCTCAACAGCCACCTGATGAAAGCGATGATAGCAATGAGGATGTACCTTTGATAGCAAGAAAGCGAGCTCCAGGCCAGCAAACTCAAAGGTCTTCCGAGAATGAACAGCACCGGGATTCCAACAGCAATCCAAACAAGAGAGCTTCCCTGAACAGGCCTCGCGTAATCGTAATTGATTCTTCCGATTCTTCCGACGAGGCTTCAGATGATTTTCTGAAACCACTTTTCGATGACACTGGCTCTGAACCGAGAGCGAACGGGGGACTGGATTCACTTTTCTACGACGTTGGCTCTGAGCCGACAGCGAAGGGACATGAAGTTACGCAGCGTAGTGCCAGATCGACAGAGCTGGCCCTTGTTCCTGGGCCAAGTAAAGAAAAGCGACATAAGACGACCAGAATCTCAACTGCGAAAGATATGCAAGAAAAAAGATCAGAAGTTCCTGCTCATCCAAGCGCTACAAAAGGATTGCAGAGAAGAAGGGGGTCTGGATCAACCGTTGACAATGCAAACGCTAGTGCAACGAAAACTGCTTCCACAAACGCCACTCACGCCGAAAAATCCGGGGGAAAATCTGGCGCCCATACATCAACATCTAAGGCAGTTAGAGGTAAACCCAGCTCTGCTAAGGATGCTGCCACTACGACGAAGTCGGGCCCTTCAACTTCAAAGCCGATGACTAAAATTACACCCTCAAACAACAAGGACACCGCCAGAATCAGAAGCCCGATTAGGATTGTCAATGGCCCGAAACCACGATCGCGAGAATCTAAGACCACAAGGCATTTCCAAACCTTGCATGCTCGAGACAGTGGCAGAAAACGCTTTCAGGCCGAGGGGACTCCTGACCCAGCTTCTCTAGAATTTGTCAACGGTATCCCAACAGGGAAAGCACCACCAAGGGCCCAGCCAAAGACTTCCATTCAAACGACCGACAACCCCTTCGGCCGCCGCGAATCGAGTTCGCGAAGGCTTGTATACAACTCGTCACCCTCTCCTCCACCAACATACCCGTTGCAGCCTTACGAGATCGATAAGGTACCAATGGTGTGCCTCGACTTTAGATCTGGTAACTGCCCTTACTCAGCTCAGGATTGTAGGTTTATGCACCGGCACACCAGTCCTTCTGGGCGCCCGTATAAGGTAGGCCCTCTGGATGGAAAGATACCTGGGAAATACCTCAAACCAGCTTTGACCTGCCATTACTGGCTGAGAACGGCGGGAGGCTGTACCAAGACTGCAGAAGATTGCGACTTTGCACACCGTAACACAGGTCGAGTTAAACCTGGACCTAATCATTCTGTAGAAATCATTGACCGAAACGAGATACCGGTGAAGGATAAATCTACCAATTCTACACAAGCGGCTGAAAAACCTATCTCTCCCTCACAAGCAGCCATGGGATTTATATCTCCTCCGCAAGCAGCTGAAAACCCTATCACTCTTACACAAGCAGTTGCAAAACCTGTCGCTCCTACACAACCAACTAAAAAACCTGTCGCTCCTACACAGCCAACTGAAAAACCTGTCGCTCCTACACAACTAGTTGAAAAACTTGTCCCTCCTGCACAACCAGCTGAAAAATCTATCCTTCCTACACAGCCAACTGGAAAACCTGTCTCTCCTACACAACCAGTTGAAAAACTTGTCCCTCCTGCACAACCATCTGAAAAATCTATCCTTCCTACACAGCCAACTGGAAAACCTGTCTCTCCTACACAACCAGTTGAAAAACTTGTCCCTCCTGCACAACCATCTGAAAAATCTATCCTTCCTACACAGCCAACTAGAAAACCTGTCTCTCCTACACAACCAGTTGAAAAACTTGTCCCTCCTGCACAACCAGCTGAAAAACCTATGGCTCCTACACCGGCAAGCATACACAGATTCATTGATCCACTGCCATTGGTCGTTGGTAGACACGATCCCACAACTTCTGTCGCGGCTCCTGTAGCTCAGATTCCCATGAAGAACAGGATTACCTGCCGGTAAGTTGGGGTCGAACTTGGTTGCTTGTCGTGAATGTGTGACTATTCGACGGACCGTGCTTGATCCCAGGGTTTAAGATTGCTGACTGATGTTAGGTACTGGTTAAGAGGTTACCTTGGCTGCAAGATGTCTCCAGAGGCTTGCAATTTCGCACACTGGAATACTGGACGTATTACTGCCCACAATGGGATCGATATCAATGAACAGCCGCTGTTTGTGCCGGAAAGAACGTGTTATTTCTGGAACCAACACGAATGCCCGAAAGAAGACCAGTGTGAGAATGCGCACAAATACACAGGATTTATAGCAACTGCACCACCAGGTTGGAAATCAAAAATAAGTTAGACTCCCCAATATTCATCATCTCCACGACGCAATGCTTACATGACTATATCTACAGCGGCACATGACAAGTACCGGTACAAAGACGGGTACACTGAGCAGTACACTTGCTACCTTTGGACTCAATCCATGTGTGAAAAAAAACCGGAGAGCTGCCACTTTGTGCATGCTTGGGGGGGTATTGACGTTGCAGATCCTCCGCTAGGTATGGTCTTTGTTAGCCTAGTTATCTCTTGTTGGGCTGACACAAACGCACAGGGTTTGTGCAACTTCCCTCAATACACGGACAGCAGAGTGTACAACCAACGCCTGGTCATGCGCAACTGGATAAACACAAGGCCCCTGTCCAAACCCCAGGGGCTCAAGGCGAAGAAAAAGAAGGCGACGATTTGGTGAATGCTTTGCCAGTAATTCACATGCATCGCCCTAAGAATGCTACATTGGCAGCAGCTCAGCCAACTCTATCGGTAAAATCGCAAGCACCCGCCACGCCAGTAGAAAAATCTACTATGGATCTAAAGAAAAGAATCGAGCAGGCTTGCAAGCTGAATTTCAAGGAGATGTTCGTCTACAATAGCGAGACCGTTCAAGATGCTACGTTGGATAAGAGAGCATTCCTCGTTTTTCACCCATGTCACCATTTGGAAGAGCTAGAGGTACTGACACGGTGGTTGCTGATTCATCATGTCGAGGTGTTCAACTTTTGGTCTAACGGCGGCGAATGGGACGCGTTCAAAAATGAAATAGCGCAGGGAGGAACAGGCATAGTGATTGTAAGTTGATTAGTCGGTCACGACCTCCTGAACCTTGAACTGATTGTTGTACAGACACACCCAGACTTTGAACTGTTTGCAGAAATCTCGGGTTTCTCGCAAATTCTCAAAGCTAATGTCCGCATTTGGTCCATTGGGCACCAGCCTGGCCTGGAGTTCGATACAAATCTACCTCATATCTTCCCCGACATTCAATACCGATACGACCGCATCGAGATCTTCCCTCATGGCGGCATTGTTTATATCACGGATGACGTCTTCCTTAACCAACCCACGCAAGCCCTGGACATCATCAAACATTTCATTGCTAAGGTTGAAGCGTGCCGTCGCATTATCGACGGGCCCATCGATCCGTGGAGACTGGTCGATTTTCTCCCATGGCGCATAGGTGTGCGACCTGATTTTATGGAATTCCTCTACAACACTGTCTTGAGGTACGAAGCCGTACCTATCAACAAAAACCCCAATCTACAAGCCGCCATTGCCGCTAGACGCTCTAGCCTCCTCGCACTCTACAAACTGCTCTCCGCGTACCCATACATCGAGCAAGATATTCCATACGCTTCCGAAAACGACGACGGTACCGGTCCTAATCCAGCTATCCCCGACCCACACCCCCCATACAGCACCCGCGCGGACGACTTTTTCCCCATCATCTCGGAGCGCCGCGCCGTCATGGAAGACACATTCTACAGAGCGCTATCGGTCTCACAAAGCGCTGCCAATACCAGCATGGTCGAATACTTTGGCGACATGCTGCTCGTGCTACGCCACTCATACCGTCGCTACTTCGTCGTGCACTCGACGCCCAAGGACGTCTCGGCGCAAGACTGGGTGCAACGCATCAATGTACTGGAGGAGGTCATTACGCCGGAGCGGTGTATGGAGTTGTTACGGAACAAGGAAGGTAAAGGGTTTGAGTTCTTTGAATGGGCTTCTTTCGCGGAGGGCTAGGGCAAGGCGAAGGCGTAAAGCAGGAATTGTGTGTTTATGTGTCTGTCTGTCTGACACACACACTCTCTCTCTTACCTCCAGTGTCCTCTGGGCGGGCTTTCTATTCGTTTTACCCCATCATCCTTCATCTCTAATTCCTTCTATCGAGGCTGGTAAAGTAAGAAGCAAGTATCTGGTAAGGTTCACGCTTCGTTTCCCCGTCTCAATACTCATCCGAGTAACGGGGGCATGCATTGTCGTTTCGTTCGTGTGCTACAGTCACTCGTTCTTCCATGCATGTTCGTTGTGATTTTTCTTTTTCTTTTTCTTTTTCTTTTTCTTTTTCTTTTTCTTTTTCTTTTTCCCTCTCTTCTCCCCTTTTGTCCACTTTAGTCTGTAACATGGACCCGCGAACACACATGTAAAAAAAACCAAAAAAAAGTCAAAGGAGCGCATACATAAATTGTAGCAATAACATCGATACTGTCTTTATAATACAAGGGGAGCTTAAAAGTAAGAAAATGAGAGAACGGTGCTTGAATTGGTGACAAAGTAGTTCATTCCCCTTGTGTATTTCGCTGTTGTGAGGTTATATTAGGGCTTTGCCCAGATCAGCCGTGGTCGTGGCTAACATTACATGGTGAATAGATGGATAGTCTGCTGATCTCACGAAAGGGGGGATTCTGTTTGTTTTTTACTTCTTCGAGAAGACTCGGGCACTTGATATGATGAGGGGACAGATGTCTACAGGGAAGGCCCGGCATTTTTGATCTGACACTCCAGTTGAAGGGAAGGAAGTCTGGGAACTTGACGCACGACCAAGTTTTTCACCAGAAATGGGGACGAGGGAAGATGCACATGGGCAAACAATAGGCTTTTCTTTGCAGAAAGAGGTTCATTATATACAAAGTATATCTATATATCATACATCCTATATCCACACAGTGTCGACGGGAATGATAGGTCTAACATCAAGAACAATCTACTTCTCTCTTCCCATTGCACGGAAACAACCAAAAAGAGGTACTGTCAATTGAACACGGAAAAAAGCAAGAGGATATATATACCCGCCGACCGAAACGTAGCGGAAAAAGGTATTCAAAGTCCAGGGCCGATGAAGATATAGGAAGATGTGGAGGAGAGGAAGTGGAGGTAAGGCCGTAAAACTTCATCGTCTGTTGAGTTTGAGGTGTATCGTCGAAGTTGTTGGCGCGAAGAGAGGCCCAAGAGGTTCAAGGTGGTCCAAAAGCCAAGTTACATGCCGCTCGCGAATCCAGCGTAAGCCATGTTTTGATTCACACTGACTACTGTGATTGTGCCGTTTATGATGATGGTGACTTCGACTTCGCCTTCTGATCCTTGTTTTGAGCCTCGTTATCGTGCTGCTTCGCCTTAGCAGCCTCTTTGCGAGCATTGATTCTCGCCTCTTCGGCCTCGACCATTTCTGTAAACAACGCGTTAGCCTGCACGATCTACATTTACTCTGGGGAGAAAATCACTCACCTCTCCACTGGTCCTCGCCAGCATATCTCTCATGATGTATCTTCTTCTCAATCAAATGCTTGTGCTCAGGGTCGTTGGGATCCACCACCTTGATGGTTTCCCACCTGCCCTTACCCTTGTTTGCGTCGTCGGCCTCGAACGCGAAGCTTGCCAGCAATGCTGCAAGGGTAAGACCCTGGGCATACATACGCGCCTGCACCAACTTATTGGTTCCACTCATAGTCGATTTGCGGTTTACGACCATCCAGGAACCGGCCATGGAGGCGACCCAGAAGGTAAAGAGGATGGGGTATCGGTTTTCGGACGCCCAGTCGCTAGTACGCTGAACAAGGGTTTTGTTGGACTCGTAAAGGGCATTGCGCTCTCGTTCGCGCTCAATCTCACGCTTCTTTTCGGGGTTGTGCTCGATGTCGAATTTAGCAGAGGCACGATCGGCGGCGATGACGGCTGTGCAGGTTTCGTTAGCTGTGCAATCGAAAAAGATATATAAAACGGAATCATTGCCGTTCACATACCAGCAAAGGATCCTGCCGACGCTCCAAGGAAAGCTCGGAATGGTACTGTGAGCGCCCTGAAATTGGGATATCTCCTACTCGCCAGAACGACAGCTGTACTACCGAGTGCTAGACCGGCCAAACCGCCTATCGTTCCACCTTTGACTGTGGCACTATGGTGACCGTTGCGTTAGATGAATACGATAACAGGGAAAGCGAACATGAAGTATAACTTGCTAAAGAAGGACCAACATACTTGTAATGCGCCTCCTCCTCTTCTTTTGTGAGAATCTTCATGATTGGGTGTTTATGTTGACGATAGAAGTTGCGATTTCCTGTGGCTCAAATTCCAATGGGAACAAAAGCCCTTCTCCACAGAATTGACTGTTAGCCTTCTTAGAGGATTGTCAAATGTCGTAAGTTAGGGTCGTGCAGATCGGATGCACGAGACTATGGGGATTTGGGATGATTGCGCAAACAATGCGAGCGCAATGGGAACTCGAGAAGCTGAGGGGAATACAATCGTTGTGGCGGGGGCAGAGAAGAGTGGGATGAGGAAGGGTTTTAAAAATGAAAGAGTGCAGAAGAGCAAGAGGCAGAGCGGCAATCCTCATGGTGACGTCGCCGAGATTCCCGAGCTCTGGCCGCCGGGGCCGCACACAAGCGCGGTTGCAGGTGCAGGGGTATCTTGATGAGCTAAGGTTTTATTGTTATCACTCCACCGTCACGCATGCAACTCTGATTAATCGGAGCGAGTTAATCATCAGTGGAATTGAGAGATAGATGGGAAACCTTCTTTTCTATGTATTCAGTCATGCTTACTCAAGCCAGCCCGTCTGCTCTGTGAATCCAGGATCAGGATAGAGAAAGCAACCTTGGAATGTAAGAAAACGGTTCAAGTACAAGTGTTCCATTGGCGCTATTCAAGCAACACTTTCGGAAGGATGATCCATCTACAAAGTCTATGTATAGGTGGTTTTTTCATCTCCATCGTCCGCATGCGCCCGCTGCTCATTGGAATTGAATCACGCGATCGGCATCTGCCGCTTCGGCTTCTCACTCGCCAGACCCTATTGCCCTGCCGCTGTGGCCGCCCGGCATCACTCATATCACTATTACTGTCCCAATTATCGGTCCTTTTTCATGTGCGTCTTCTGCAAATATTTTTTCTTTTCCAATCCAAAACACGATTCCTGTTTACCGGCATGAGCGTACATCAAAAAGAGAGCAAGGTTCGAGATTCCACCGCTGACTGATGATGATGATGGCGCTACGAAATCCAGGATGTGAGCACCGAAACCTGCCCGCACTCGCCCCGAACCAACGCCATCGAACCATCTCCGAGATCTCGCCTTTGCGTGCTCCAGTACATATGCAGGTAGATACCCATCTTCATCTAACTAGCCAATACTTGTTTTGCACTTTTCACCACCCATCATTCATGTCTCAATCGTTATATCGAAATTGTTTGAATTAGAAGCAATCAAGGCTCGCAGCTAGAGAATGTACTGATCCGAGAAAAATACACACATTGTCCGAGCTGGTAGCCATGCCTACAATTATCATGTAACCCGTGCAAGAGGGCCCCCATGTCTTAACGACAAAGCCCCTCGAGCTCACCATATGTCATATCATCCATATACCACGCTAATTCTGCCAACCGCCGTCTCCGACTGAGAAATACCGTGGTAAACAAGAGAGGGAAACGATACTAACCCAACATGCCACATGGCATGACATGTACTACTTTTGTCTATGCCAACGGCTTGGAACAACTCTTTTCGACATCAAGCGTAGCTAGCTTTGGCATATGCGCGTACTTTTCTCGAGATTATAGTCGACGGCAGCGAACGCGTCATATTACCCAATTGCATAGTATGCTCAAGACAGCAAAGGCGAATGTTGCATAGTTTTGTCAATACGAGAGCCGCCGAACATTCGAATCGAGATTGGAAAGGTGTTTAGCGGAAACCACCGTATCCGCCGCCGCCGCCGCCGCGATGGGCATTGTTGCCGTAACGTGGTGGAAGAAGGCTTCCTGGAGGACCAGGGCGAGTAGCCATGGCTGGGTTGCAGCACAGCATCGCGACGCGAGAGCCGTACTTGGACCCGCGAAGGGAGACCATGTGCTTGCGGATGTGGGAAGCGACAATCTCACGGTGATGGTTGCTGCTGTTGGTAAGGATGTACTGGACCAGGTAGTTGCCAAACTGATCACCAGCAACTATCGATTTGTTAGTCTGTAATCAACTACGAAGAACATTGGCTAAACTTACTGTCAATCAACGGCATGCGAGGGCGGTCAGGTCGAGCCTCGCACACACGCTCCAAGTAGCGCTCGAGGAACTCGCTGCCACCGATCTTGAGACATTTCTCAATGACCTTGGAAGCATACTGATCGACGCTGTAGTCGGTAGCGAATCGAAGGATGTGGTCAATAGCACGGCTGCGGTCGGCTGGAGCACCGTGCTCGCAGATGTGCTGGATGCACCAGTTACCGAACTGGCCATGAGAAATGACATCGATGCTCGCAAGGACCTCGTTGATGCATGGACGCTGAGATGACAGTCAGCTGCACTGAACAATAAAGCTAGGATTGAACCTTGATCATATTTGTCACATACCTTGTCCTCCTCCAAACAGTTCTCGAAGATGTTCTGGACAACAAGACTACCAGTCTCTCCGAGGGCGACCTCGTGCCACATACCCTGGAGGGCTTCGTTGACATAGCGCATGATCTGAGGTGGGGAATCGCTCCAGCGCAGTTCGAAGAGCTTCTGCCAAACGTGGCACGCATAGCGATGGATCACGGTCTCGGGGATGCGACGCAATAGTTCATGAACCATGATGGCCTTGTACTGCTCAGGAACGCAATCGAAGGCTTTCTGGACCACATGGCAACCAAATGGATCCATGCTCAAGCTAAGAGTATTGCCGCGGATAGCCTGTGCAATAGCAACAACCTGCTCGGATGTACCGTGCTCGAAGCAGCGCTGAACAAGGAAGTTGCCGAAGCGGTTGATCATGAGCATGTAGGCTTGCGCGATGATAGACTCAATGATCTCGAACTTCTGCTCCGGCGTTCCAATCTTGAGCTTCTGCTGCAAGAAGATAGAGGCTTGCTGGTCGTTGTTACAGATGATCTTATCAACAATGTTTTTCCAGTTGCAGCTCATGTTGCGGTCCAAGAGACGGCGATAGTTCATGGGCTCGGCAGAGCCGATGTACTTGAAGTCGGAACCGGACTCACTCGGAGGCTACATGATAGTTAGCAAGGTGATCCATTGTTTGCCAGCTGACCCAGCGAATTGTACGTACCTGAGAATTCCAAGGAGATGGTGCCATGAAGCCATTGCCGGCACTGAAGCCGTTGCTAGCGCTGAACTCAGATGCTTCAGGTGACAGCTTAATCATTGGGCCACCAATGGGGCCTGGTCCATATGACTGGGGAGTACCGATGTACTGGCCGTTGTAGGATTGGAGCTCCAGAGCCGAAGGCGGGCGAGTCGGAGGGTTGCTACCACCACGGAAGCCGGGATCGATCGGAAAGTGGGTAGGCTCGTTGAGAAAGCTGCTACGGCCTCGATAGTTTGGCTGGACAAGAGAAGGGCGACCGGCAGCTTGAGGTGGATTAGGGCCGAAGCCATGCTGCTGCTGCTGCTGAGTGTTATTGTAGAAGGCGCGAGAGTCAGCACCCCATCCATAGTTGGGTCGGTTGGCAGCGTTGAAGTTCTTCTGCAGTTGAGAGAGGGTCTGCTCGGTAATCTCCTCGTTGTAGCTGTACTCGCTATCAGAGACCTGTCCCAAGTGGTCCACGGTAGACTTGGCGACATGTGAGCTGTGCAGCTCTTGGTTGACACGAGCGACCTCGCTACGGGCCTCTAGGAGTTCAGCTTGCATCTTCTTGTACTCGGCAGTAGTGACGACGACGGAATCGGGCTCTGTCGCGGGAGTGTTCCTAACGAACTCGTCGGTAGCAGGAGTGATGGGAAAGGAGCCGTTGGAGGAGCCGTACAGGTCGTCTGGAGAGGATCGCTCATTAAGCCGCTGCAGCAGAGAGTCAACAATGGAAGGCTCATCGTTGTTGCTCGTCTCAACCTTGGTGTTCTGGCCAGAAGAGTCAGCGAGGTTTTTGGTAACGAACAAACGCTCTGTCTGCAAGATCCGGGCCCGAAAGTGCCCTGCGCAGATGTAGAACAGAGCAGAGCAGTGTAGGAGACTTACCTTGAATCCGTTGCGGTTCGCCTGAGACGGCAAGGCATTGCCCTGCGAAGGTCCCAGCGGATGCTTCTTCATATGAGATGTCAACATGGGGTTGGCAAACTGATTGAGGGGTTGGTGACGGAAGCCTACCGCGCCCAAGCACTCCGGGGATGTGTCGATGCGGAGATCTTCGGCGATGCTAAACCTGCCGGTGCCCTTGCGAGGGGTGGGCGAGCCGTCAGTGGTGACGTTGAAGCTGCTCATATTGGTGGATGGTAGATTGAAGAGATCCCAGAAATCCGATACGTGAGCTGGTATCAAAATCGTGTAAGAAAGCTATCTGCAGAGGGACGAAGGGACCGGCTTGGCAGCGTAAATGGCCACAAGTAGATACAGAAACCGGGGCAGGATAGCAGAAAGCAGAAGAGTTGCAGGAAAAGACAGCAGATGGCAGCTATATGAGGGAGATAACCCGTGTAGGGTCACTTGGCCTGGAAAGAGGGACGAAGGCCAGGGCCAGTAGTTGCAATGATGGGCAGAGTAAGAGTTGTCCTCAATAAGAGGGAAGGTAGGGCAGAAAAGAGTGTGATGCTGATAGTCGTGATTGTGGGAGAAGGAGGAGGAGGGGGAAGAGGAGGAAGAGGCGTCGCGAGGCGGGGCGGGTAGGTGGTCTGTTTGGGAAGGAACCCCCAGACACGACAAACGGCAGTCACGTCATATCCGCCCATGCACCGTGTGGAAATAAGCAGAAGCCCGTCGATCGGTATTGTAGCTACGAGAGGAACGACGACGCAGTCACTTCCCATTGCCTGTCCAAGAATCCCAATGCCAATGCACCATCGACGCCCTTCCACCTTGCCTCTGCTCCGAGGACTACGAAGTCAGGTTGCCCTACTCCTGTCACCATGGGTACCATCCTCGCTGCTTGCCGCAGACCATCTTCATTGCTACCCCAGATCACGAGTTCCAGCCTTTCGTCTTCCAACGGCCGCAAGAACGCTGCACCAATCGATGGGGCGCCGCTATTCCCATAGGCATGCTTGCCTCCTCTTCCGTCGCGTATGCTGATAACGCCCGGACTCGGGGTAATTGGAAAATCGGGATGGACACCTTCCGACAGAGTCGAGTTGAGAACAATCGTTATCAAGTTGCCAGTGGTGCTGTTCGTCTTCCTAGATGCTGCAGCTGACTGGATGAAGGCGTCGGCATGGAAGTATTGATACAAATTGCGAGATACCTGCAGCGCAATCGACGTGGTGCCATTACTGTCCTGGTGTTGAATGGTGAATGGCCCTTGACTACGTAGTATGGCTGTCATGGCACCCAATTGCCTACCAGAACGCACTATATCCTCGTTGGTGGACTGCTGTGAGAGAGAGTGCCATTCGTTGTTCTGTTTGTGAATGGTGATGGAGCTACCACCACTGCTCTCTGCTGTATCCTTACCAAGAGCTACATTCGAGCCGTCGACTGTAAGTGATTGTGTTCCGAGAACTATAGGATCAAATTCCAGGCTTAAAACGTTCGAAGTAGTTATGGTGTGGCCTTTGACGTGCACCCGTCCATATTGTCCTGGATCTTCTAAGGAGAGGACTCGAAGGCCTCCTTTGGACCCCATGTCTCCTGGGTCTCCTACCACCATTTCAAATTCGTCTAGTTTCCTTGGAAGAGAGGCGTTACTTTTTGTTTGGGTGTAATAAAAGTCCACTAGCTGTGGAGTCGTCATTACGGTCTCCCACCAATGGTTTTGACCAGGTACTTCGTTGTAGCTTGAGTTCGTACCCGATAAGTAGAGCTGTTGCGAAAGTAGTCGTGAATTGTATGCTGGGACATTGTCGTCTATTTCACCATGCTGCTGCTGAATCGGGATGCCGCGAGCGTTGGGCATGAGCATCTCGTGACGGTAGCTGTTGAGAGAAGCGCTGACTACAGCAGTACGTCGCGGGTCTGCCGGCTGCCATAATTCGTATGGGACATACTCTGGGGTCCATCAGCGAGGACTGTATAAGTTTAAAAGGAGTCTTACTCTGTATGGATGCATATCCAGAAACAGGTGCGGCGGCAAGAACCTTATCTGGCCTATGAGTGAGGGCGTACCAAGTGCCCTGCCCACCATTTGAATGTCCTGAAACAATCCATCGTTCTGTATTCACGCCAGGACCGTGCCACCCAACAAAATCAATCCATGTAGATATGCTGTTCACTGCAGCTTCAACGTCGGCGAAACCCCAATTATCTGCATCTATTTAGCTTTGGCTCCCATAAAGGAAATGTCCACATACGCCAATCATCCCCACTCCAAGGTGTAACACCGGTTGGGAACATGACCTTGGGAAGAAAACACAAGGTTAGCACAGCGTTTCTGGAAAGCATCTACAATTCCATGATACACGAAGATCATTTCTAAGTTTACATGCTACAATGTTCTTAGTACTTACCCAGGCGCATAAGTCTGGAACCGAATCTAGGGCATGAGAGACCTGATCATTGTCGGCTTCTAGCCCTGCCCCATGTAGACCGAGGAGAACAGGCAGGCCAGAATCGTTTTCGGAGGCACACGAAATATTTCCCGCAGGTGGTCTGAGCATGGTATAAGAAGCCATGCCGGCCGGATGTAGATAAGTAATCTTATGCGGCTCGTAAATGGAAGTCGTTGTCAAATTCTGGGTGGTTTCCAAAGTAGAAGAACCATCTTCACCTTCAGTCTTGTAGGTGATAAAGTAAGACAGTGAGGAAACATTAGCAGAGGGCAAGGAGACGTTGAACGCCACTGGCCTAGTTTGTCCAGCTGCTATTACTATACCGAGTGAATCATTAGACGGTGATTGAGTCTGGCTAGAAGTCAGAAACTGCGACGGGTCCACAAGTGCGCTTTTCAAGGGTTCCTGCTCTTCCAGCCTCAGTAAGGAAAATGGAGACCTCACGTGTGAAGGTTGAATGCCGATGACCTCGACAGCTTGTTCGCCGCTATTTCGGAGGACTATCGAGCCTACAGGAGAAGCCAATCTACCGCCCACGACGTCGGACACGAGGATCCCAGGCTTGACCAGTTCCAGAGATCCCTTCACGCGTTCAGCATGGATGATCACGTCAATTGTAGGTGCCAGAATGCCACCAAAAGCTCTTACGTCTCGAACAAGACGAAGATCAATCTGATGGTCTCCTGGTGCTAGATGTAGAACCGGTGGTGCATTTCGAAAGGTAAAGAAGTCACCTCCAAAGTAGTGAGTGTCGTCGACCCAAAATTCGAGCACAGCATCGGTGTAGAGGATTACATGCTGGACCTGGTCTCCGGTGACAGTCAGGGTTCCACGAGCCCAAGACTGGTATTGCACAGCCGCCCATCCATAGACGATTTTCAGGAAATCCCAATTGACATTGGAATGGGAGATGCTGAGGGTGGCATTGGCAGCTTCCGAGGACTGGGAAGTTTGTGATGCCTCTGAGATGTTCCACTTTGCGGATCCATTGGCAGGCAAAGAGCTCCTGAACAGAGCACTGGGATCGTAATGAAGTGAGCGGAAGCCGCCTACATACTCGAGTGGATCGGCTCCCCAAGTAGCTTCTGTCAAACGGTTAGCACGGCCGACGGAGTGTTTTAGTTAATCAAATGTGCACACTAGGTTTAGGAAACCTGGATGAGCATGCCTCTTGTTCCGACTTGGAATGGACCCAAGACCTGCCACGAGCTGCCAAAAGACAGCGGCGCGGACGCATTCTCTTGACGCTTTTCTAGTGCAACTGCTAGGCGGTCGTGCTGATACGCATCGCAGAAGACTACCAAGGGAAGAAGCGAGGCTATACACCAATATACAAGATACAATGAGCGAAGCATTGTTACCGTCTGAAAGCGGCTCGGTTGGATCCCTCTCGTATTCGAGGTTGAGGCTGTAACTATGTAGGCACACGAAGCGGTGGCGGCGGTGCACCAGGTGTGGTTGAATCAAGCATCGTCATTGAACGCGGACCCCAGTCGGTTCCATGTTGAGCAAATGGTGAACCCGTAGCCCAATCCGGACGAGGCGCATGTTAATCAATCACACTCAGTGGTGGGTGATTACAACCTCCCATTCCGCCCTTATTTTCCCTTTCCTCTCTAAACATACATACTACCTACTGCTAGACAGGCACATTTCACCCGTCTCGGTTTTTGTGCGACGCTTCCTGGCTTTTCTTTGACAGGGACACATCGCATCACCTCACCTCTCTACACCTCATCTCCGCCCATCGCCCAGCCCTCCATGGATTGATTGCGCGTCGCATTGCGCAAACCCCACAACCACACCCACGATAACCTCGTGCCTGCTCTCCCTACGCCATCGACATGGCTTCGGCGTCGGGCGACTCCAATCCGCATGCCACCTTCAAATTCCCCGCTTTCCAGCCCGACCTACTTCCGACTTACGAGGAGGAAGAGCCCTTCGGCATCAGCTCTTCGCGCACCGCTAGCCCGAACCACGCAGCACAGCCAAATGGCCATGCGCTTCCCCCCGATACCAGATGGCAGCCGCGCAGGGACCAGAAATGGACACAGGGACAAGGGCAAGCCAATGGCTCGGCGCATGCCCATGGGCGACAGAAGAGCATCTCCGAGGCCTTCAGGACGATACGGACGCGAAAGGCGAGCGTCAGCCAGAATGCTGCTGAACTCGCCGATGCTTTGAGAGCCCCCGTGTCTACAAAGCTTGTGGTATGTTTGCATGCAGTGTATGCATGCATGTAGCCCGACGGTCTTTTTGGCTCAATGCTAATCCTGGTGACAGCTGCTGTGCTTATTCTGGTACATGACCTCCATTTTCACAAACACCTCATCCAAAGCCATCCTCACGGCTCTACCGAAGCCAGTGACTCTCACACTTATACAGTTCGCTTTTGTCTCGGGATGGTGTTTGGTTCTGGCCGCACTGGCAAGGCGATACCCCAGACTGAAGCAGACTCTGCCTTTCTTGAAATACGGAATCCGTCCACCGTCCCGAGAGCTGATCAAAACCGTGCTGCCTCTTGCGCTCTTTCAAGTTGGCGGACATGTGATGAGTTCTGATGCCACGCGCCGGATTCCCGTATCCTTGGTACACACCATCAAGGGATTATCTCCGCTGTTGACCGTTGGAGCCTACCGTATATTCTTCCGGATTCGATACTCGATTCCCACATATCTATCCCTGATCCCGCTTACCCTCGGTGTCATCTTGGCATGCTCTGCCGATTTTAATGCCAACTTTGTTGGGCTGATTATGGCTTTTGCAAGCGCCATCTTGTTCGTCACACAAAATATCGTTTCCAAGAAACTGTTCAACGAAGCTGCAGCAGCTGAGAAAGATGGTTTCGTTTCGAGCCGAGCAGCAAAGCCAGACAAGCTGAATCTGCTCTGCTATTCATCTGGTCTCGCACTCCTGCTAACAGCTCCGCTTTGGCTGTGGTCCGAAGGGTTCACCTTGCTGCATGATTTCTTCAGCGATGCGTCCATAGACCTTTCCAACAAGCCTGGCGCATATGATCACGGTCGTCTGCTTCTCGAGTTCCTGTTCAACGGCACCTTTCATTTTGGACAGAACATCGTGGCCTTTGTTCTCCTGTCCATGATTTCTCCAGTCACATACTCTGTTGCCAGTCTCATCAAGCGTGTTTTTGTCATTGTATTTGCCATTATTTGGTTTGGAAAACCGGTGACCGGAGTCCAAATGTTCGGATTTCTCCTGACATTCTTGGGATTGTACCTGTACGATCGCACGTCGGATGCGGCGAAGAAGGACAAGCAGGCGCGGGCACTCCAGTCCAAAGCAGAGGGAGCGCTGCTGCCTCTCACTACTGACGGTCTCCCCCGCCCCAACTTCACTGCCAGCCCCGCTACGTTCTCAGCCGGCGGAGCCTATCCCATGGTCCCTAGAGAGGACAAGAGAGACGACGATGTGGGTCCCTCTGCCCGGCCACGTGGGAACTCAACACAGCGCAAGTGGCTGCCGCCGCCTGGCTCCAAACAGGGGGAGACTTGGATAAACAACAAATCTGCCGGGGTGGGCGTGTCTTATGGCTGATGATAAGGGGATGTTTCTTTCATAGGAGCAGATATCTTGTGAATCTTGTTACGAAGCAGTATTTTTGTAATATATGACTGGAACCACACAGCATGGCATGGCACGACATAGAAACACGACAATCAAAAGACGGCATCTGGATGGCGTTTATTTCGTAATGAGTATCCACGTACTTATTGGGCAGATTTTATAATGAAGAGAGAATGTTGTATACATGACATTGAGAAATTGCGCCAAACGCGAAAAAAACATTGAAGTTATGTAGAAGCTGCCAAGAATGACACGACAGTGATACCTGGACAACGTGCATCCGCACAAGACGGGGGGCAATTCTTGATTTCCTTCTCTTGGTCACATTTCTAGAACAAAGTGGAATGTCGCAAGGTCGGTTTCCATGGCAGCGTGATGCACCGAGTCGTCATTCTCTCGAGCGCGGGTAGGCGCATGATTAAGCGAGCTTCTGACTACCAACGAGCCGATGAGACCCTCGCGGCTCGTGACATCAACGGCCACCTTTCACCAGCCAACATTACAACCCCCGTATTCTTTAGCCTGTATTCTACCTGTGCTTTGGCCCGCGGTACTGTGCTAGCACCATGGCCCAACTTCAGGTGAATGGCAATGGCAGCCGCCCGACCAACATCAAACACCCCTCGGCCCCTTCTCTCATGATGAATGCCCACTTTGCTTCCGTTGGGGAGGATGCTTCGACCGAGGAGTATGAGCACGGCATACAAGTTATCGACGAAGACAAGCTCTTCAAGTATGCCTCTATTTCTTCCGCTACCGTCGCTATCCAGCCCACCGTGTCCGTGTGCTAATATCTGCGGTGCAATCTAGTGGGAACTTGTCTACCTATCTCAACGTTGAAAAGATTATACCCGCCGGATTCAACTACCATGTCATATCTGTCTTCGGCTCCCAATCTACGGGAAAATCCACCCTTCTCAACTACCTCTTCGGCACCCAGTTCGGTGTCATGTCCGAGCAGGAACGTCGTCAGACCACCAAGGGAATATGGATGAGCAAGAACAAGCGCGAGGAGGCCAGCAGAGGAATGGCGGAAAATATACTGGTCATGGATGTGGAAGGAACCGATGGTCGCGAGCGCGGAGAGGACCAAGACTTTGAGCGCAAGAGCGCTTTGTTTGCTCTGGCCACCAGCGAAGTTTTGATCGTGAACATCTGGGAGCACCAAGTTGGTTTGTACCAGGGTGCTAACATGGGTTTGCTGAAGACTGTCTTCGAAGTCAATTTGCAACTCTTCGTCAAGGACTCCAAGTACGTACACCTGACTATTGGACCTCATGTTTTTGCTCACCATTCAATAGGACCATGCCCCGCTCCCTCCTCTTTTTCGTAATACGCGACCATCTCGGAACCACCCCTCTCACGAACCTCCAAAATACTCTCATCCAAGATCTGTCCAAGCTATGGTCTACGATATCGAAGCCTGCGGGTCTGGAGAACTCGCGGATAGAGGACTATTTTGACTTTGCCTTCGTCGCGCTGCCCCACAAGATCTTACAACCGGAGAAATTCGAACAAGAGGTGGACAAGCTGGGACGACGTTTCAAGGAAGGCTACACCGACCCGAAGAAGAGTGGGCTACTCGATGAGGCGTCGTTACCCATATTCTTGCCTCAATATCACAGGCGCATTCCCGCTGATGGATTCCCCGTGTACGCTGAGGGTATTTGGGATCAAATCGTGAATAACAAGGATTTGGACTTGCCCACTCAGCAGGAACTTTTGGCACAATTCCGTTGCGACGAGATCTCGCGAGAGGTTCTCATTGCTTTTGACGAAAAAGTTACCCCGCTTGAAGACACACAGGCCGAAGATGCGAGGTCTGGAAAATCATCAATAATCCCCGAACTGGGTGCGATAATGAACGCAGCCCGGACAAAGGTTCTCAAAGACTTCGAAACAAACGCGAGTCGGTATCACAAAGGTGTATATGCCCGTAAAAAGGCGGAACTGGAAGGCAAGGTCGACACCCGGCTGAAAGCACTCTTCCAGAAGCAACTCAGTGCGGCGCACAAATCTGGAGTAGAGGCCTTCAGCAATGCCGTCAGCGCTGCCGTCAAAGGCGGCCAGAAGAAGGGCGCCTCGTACGACTTTGCCCAAATTGTGGAAAGCGAGAAGCAGAACGCACTTTCCAAGTTTGAGAAGGAGGCCCAAGCTATTCTTGTCGAAGGTGCTGCTTGGAGTACCTATAAGCAGGAATTGAATTTGTATCAAAAAGAGCTGGACCAGGTCTCATCCCGCCTACGCAGGGAAGAAATGCGCCGGTTGGCCACACGAGTAGAGCGCTGGGTGCGATCTCGCTTGGACGAGTCAATCGGTCTGGAATTCAACAAGCTTGGTAGTGGTCGAGGAGGATCTGGAGCACCAGAACATGGCGACCGACCGCCTTCCGAGAAGGATCTTTGGGATCGCGTATGGACCATCTTTACTGCCACGGTCGAGGATGCCGAGAAACGATTTACAGACCGCGCCCGAAGCTTTGATGCCAGCCCTGAAGAGGTCGAAGTTGGTCTCTGGAGATTACGACGCAAGTCTTGGGGTGTCCTTCGTGCCAAGATCGAAGAGGAGGTCATGGAGGGCAACATCCTACTGAAACTACGGGAGAACTTTGAGGACAAGTTCCGATATGATGAGCTCGGCGTCCCGAGAATATGGCGGCCTACTGATGATATTGAAGGACAATACACCAAAGCCCGTGAATCCACCATCACACTTATCCCTCTTTTGTGTCGCTTCAAGCTCTCAAAAACGTCCGCCCCGCCACCACTCGATGCATGGATAGGCGACGCCCCAGCATCAGTGTCACCAGCAGACGAAGAAGACTTGACCCCTATCGGCGGCGTCGACGACGAAGAGGGAAAGAGCTTGGAAGAGGAGATGACCATTCTCAGCGATACCAAGCAGGCCGATCTCCTGATACGCTTCAAGAAGACGGCCGACGGTGTTTACGTCGAGGCTAAGCGTAGTGCCATTGGAGGCATGACCCAAGTTCCTCTCTATTTCTACGGCCTATTACTCGCCCTAGGCTGGAATGAGATTGTCACTGGTAAGCTCCGCAACAGCACCTTTCACAGATCAATGTCAGTACTAACCTGAATATCTATAGTCCTTCGTAACCCTGTTTACTTCATCTTCCTTATTCTTGCTGGTATTGGCGCTTATGTCACCTACACGCTCAACCTTTGGGGCCCCATGGCACGCATGGCCAACGCAGCGTCCGCCCAGGCAGTCGACATCGGCAAAGAGCGTCTCCGCGAGTTTCTTGAGAATACGGAGACGGGACGTCAGGCGGCGGCCATGTCCGGTCGGCAACAGCGTGGCGAAGCGGTTCGCATGGATCGGTTGGATGGCCAGGGTAAGAAGAGCGATGGGGCAGATGAGGACGATCTTGATGATATCTGATTGTCGTCTTTCTCTTTGCCTGACATGACACGTTTGCCGACAGAAAAAGGTGTCGAAGTATTGTTATTAGTCGTTGATGTAGCGAGCGGACTGAGCGTTTGACGCAACGAGCGAGGGGGGTCTTTCCCTTCTCTTCTGGGCTAGTATTGTTTTATTTCCTTTTCCTTCCTTAATATAGAGGGTGTGAGGACCGCTGGGATGGATGAATGATAGGAGGGTTATTTTTTTTTGAATACAGTCGGTCGTCGCGGTTGTAGATAGGTACATGTAGATAACGATGCACGATCACGATCATGATTATGATCCCCGAGGGGATTTTAGGTACGAAAAATTGACGATGGTGATGATGACGACGACGACATCCACGTTTTCCCCATCTTGTGGACTTGTGATATTTGGAATGTTGGTCATTGATGGGGGATTTGGGTGTTCCTTGCCTTTGCGAGCTTTTTGGATCGTACGACTGTGTAGCGCACATGAGGAAAAAGAAAAGAGACTCGTTCCATTTACCCTCATTACAGGAAAAGGGGTGAGGTGAAATGGAGTGACTATGTCCGAATGGCAGCTTCACTTCAAATGGCACGCAGAATGAGTAGCAGCGAGTAAACATTGAACTAGTTTGGGACACCCGAAGAGGATCCCTACCAAATATGAGGGTTCCCTATTCCCTGAAAAACAAGAACGCCAAAGAATAGGAGAAAACCTAATGAAAACACTCCAGCCTACTAATCATAGTACGCTCTCAGCTCGTCTTCATTCATGGCCTCCTCAGCATCCCTAAGAGCGTGCTCCGACATAACCTCCGGCTGGATCCAGTCCTCGTGCCCAAATGCCCCAGCATACTCGTCATCCGACCCCGATTGCCCCTCGACGTCGACGCCCTCGGCCTTCATGGTCTGCGCCTTCCTCGCCGCATCCGACGCCAGCTTATCAGCGCCGATATTCCCCACGTTCGTGTCGTGTCCCTTGACCCAGATCAACTCCGTCTTGGAGCCGCAGCGATCGCGGTCATCCATCATGGCGCGGATAGGCTTGATGAGATCCTTGTTTTCGACGTCCTTACCCTTCGAGGATTTCCAGTTGTTGGTGACCCATCTCTTGTACCATTCGGTGACGCATCTGATTGCGTAGTTTGAGTCGCTGTAGACGCGGACGTAGCGGTCGATGGGCACGATTTCCAAGGCCCGTTTGATGGCTGTCAGTTCGGCGCGTTGGTTGGTTTGGCGGTCGCCGACGAGCGGGGCGGAGATGTTCCTATTGAGGGGGGGAAAAAGTTGAGCGTTTAGTACGGTGAAGGGGAGTATCAAAGGAGGAGGTGGAGAGATGGGTGGATTGGTTTACCTTGAGTCGTTGGGCCCGAACCAGATGCCTATTCCGCCTACCGCGCCGACTTGACCGTTGCCCTTTGCAGCGCCGTCAGTGTAAACGTCGATGAATCCTTCAAAATCGCCCGTAGGCATCCTTTTGCGGGCGTTGAGTTCGGCATCTGTCTTGGTTGAGATTGTGCCGTCCGCATTCAATTTGAGAGTCCGGTCGAAACCGTCCTCTGCGTCTGGCGGAAGTGGGCCCGTACCTGGGATGTAGTCGCCATCAACGGGCATTGCCAAAGCGGAACCGTCATTTCTCTTCTGCTTCTTCGCCGTCTTCCCTGGTGCAGCGACCGAAGGTGTGGAGGAACCGAAGGGCCCCTTGTGGCTTACGTTGTCGCCGCCGACATCTGAAGACGTAGATTGCTTGCCTTCGTCAACATACGCCTGTGCCTCTTCAAAAGTCGCGAAGCTCTTTTGTTTCCCGCCCCTGAAGCCCTTAACTTGCTCGAGCACGGATGGGTAATCTTTATAAACGCCGGGGGTGTGGCCAACCTGAACACCGTAATATTTTATGGGCTGTTTTCCGGATTTGGGTGTCAGGGCAGTCGACATAGGACCGCTGTTGGCATCAGCGGCTAGGAAAGCCTCGGCTTCACTGAGGGTGCTGAACTTTTTGACTAGTGTTTTGGTCAGATGGTGCAGCTGTGAAGTGTAAACGGTGGGGAGCACTTGCATACGGGATTGCTGTATCCATTCGTCTGCTTCTTCGCATCTTCCCAGTTGAAGAACAAGCCCGTTTCGAACCCAGCCCGGACGGCGTAGTACGCTGGAGTCCCTGCCTTGCGCTTCGTACCCGAAGAGGTTGTCGAAACGGACCTACTGCCCGGCATTGTGTCTTCGAATTCCTCTTCTATGTCTTGCTCGTTATATGGGTGGTCGGATGTATTGCGACGAGCAGTGGTACTTTGGAAGGCGCGCGTAAATGGGAAATGGCGGGAACAAGGGCGCAGAGGTGGGACTTGTAGTGCGTAGGGGAGACAATTGGCGCAGGCCAATAATCTGTGTGAGCAATAGCAGACTTGTCAATGTGCTGTCGAGCGGGTGAGGTTTTGAGCAAACAGGGCCAGTTTGCGCGCAGAGTAAAACATACCGTGGATGATGGAGGCTTGACGCGTGTGCACGGGAGCAGACCAGACGCGTAGAGAGCCAAATTGCTCTCATGTACGTATCGCAGAAGAGGCGAAGGAAAGAGGGAGAGACAAGCTATACAGAGCAGCGTTTATTTGATAAGAGATCTGAGGAGGTGGGATGCCAATGGGAGCAACCCCAAAGGCAAGGCACAGAGGATGGACCATGGGTCATTTGATGGTGAGGGGTTGGTATGATACTCAGGCAAGTATTGTTGCGTACAGGCGCTGAGATGATGGTATTTATTTTCCCATCTCAATGCAGCGGTAATATTAGGGGAGTATCCATAATACAGTACATAGATGTACCATTATCTGATCATCCGCATCCGTGCTTGAAATCGTGGTCGCTGCATGCGAACCTAAGCATACATGGTACTCTCTATGTAGTTTCTGGGCGCTCGCATTTCACACACCGCTTTGCTTCCAACCTTTGTCACTCACTGAGGTACCCACTGCATGCTACGTAGTTGCATGCCTATTACCTACCTCCGTTTTCCATACATATCGCGACAGCTGCGCAGCCATGTTTGAAGGAAGACACGCGCGAGATGCGTACCATTTGCGGATGCATCGAGCCCGCTCCGTGGTCCTCTCCAACCCAGAGCTGGTTGAGATAAGAGCAGCACAGCGGACTTTCGAGGGCGCATATATCCGCACAGCAATAGGTCAATTTTCTTTTGCCCTTATTGTACTCAAGATCTTCACTTCCGAATTCTACTCTATTGGCGCATTGTTTGCGGTATACGGTGCAGGCATCTTGGCTCTCAGTTTGTTCCGGCGACAGCAAGGTCAGCCCTCCAACGCACCCAGACATGTATAGATGTATTTGGATGATGCCCCTCGGCTGACACCTGCAACAGGAAACAAACAGTTCTTCTCGGAGTTGGGAGAGGATGGGTTGCACCGGAAGAAGTTCAGAACCAGCGGCAACGTCGTTGCGGTGTTGACTGCACTCAGCATGGCCGCCTACATCTGCTTATTGGTCTTGACTTTACGATTGGAAACGTAGCTGCACCACCACATGGGCAGTACGACAACACCGGTACACCACTCAGCGAGCAGCACTTTACCGCGTATGAATCGGCTTCGGATGATCGACTGTAGCCGTCTTGGCCAGGAATGAATCCTCCCAATCAGGGCATCCTCGATACGGAAGCACCATTCTGGGCTGCGAATACACGAGCAGTCCCCTTTGTAGCTCCGTCTACCGTGGAGCCGTGCTCGGTACTGGCCTTTACTCAGATTGCACGCCAATGCTTGGTACCTGCACGCTCTTTGCCTTTTTCCTTTGTTTGGTCATCTGGTGCGCATGTACGTGGGAGGCAGCTAGCTCGGGGAGCGAAGCAATGACCCAAGCCATACGACGTTGCTTCGTTTCGGGGATGACATGGCAGGTCCGAAACAGGGACGAATGGTGGTTTGGAGCGCAAAGCGTCGACTAGTCTGGGCGCGACAGCAACGGGCGTGTACAGGCGATTGGGTATGACGCCGAGACGAGGCGATGGCGGGGAGGCTGTGGTTTGCTCATGGCGGGTGACGGTGAAGAATGAGGAGGGAAGGTGTGACTTGACGTATTTGCTGCTCCTCTTGAATGGAATTGATTGATGATACATACATGTAGGCGTGTGTAAAGAGCCAAGTCGGTGAGGTGACATGGGCATACGCACTCTCGGCCATTGTCATACATGGAAAATATACCACGTGAATACGGTACATGTACATCACATTCAAAGATGCTGGGCCAGACAGCATTGGGCATTTGCCTTGCACGCGTCCGTGGGGAGGAGAACGGGGTATTTATCATGGCAGCCTAGTCTGCCTGAGGCTCGGAGTCATCCACGCAGAGCATTCACACTTGACTCTCTCACTTGCTGTTCCAGTCCGCCTGTGCGTATCTATCATTCAATCCGTCACTCCATCAGTCATTCAATCGATCAATCAATCAATCAATCATACTACCCTCAGCTCACCTCGTCTGTCACCCATACCTGCGACAACCCATTCTCCTATTTCCCAATAATTCCCTTTCCCATCTTCCATTTCCTCTCCTCACGTTCACAGCTGCGGCCCTCCTCACGATCCAAACGATTCCCTCTTTTGCGTCTCTCCCGCTTTGGTTTCCCTGCGCCGAACGGTACACAGGTAGCGTAGCTACATAAGCTGGTGCTGGCCGAATCGGGTTAGGTGCACGGAGCAAAACAAGCATCAATGGAAGCCCTGCCGATACTCGCTGCTTGCCAAGCGGCTATAGCATCATCGCCGGGATCAGAAATAATAATTCCATCACCACCAAGGCCCGCATCAGTAGGCACACAGTCACACCTGCAAAAGAATCAAACATTGACCGACTCACAGGACCAGAATTCCAGAGGCGTTCAAGGCCCTATTTCAAAACGCCCGATTGACCCGACCTCCATCACTCCTCCACCATCCCCGCCACTGCCCGCCAGACGCCGTTCGTCTGCAACGCCCATACGCCCACTTCTAGCCAGCGCCACCAGCCAGCACTCGATTATTGCCAAAAACGTTCTCATGAGCAAGATCAATTTCCCTGGCTCGGAACACGCCCTGCATCTTGATCCCGAAGATTCGCGCCCGCGCCCACGTTCTGCTCGGCCTCCTCTTCCTCCAAAAGTTTCCAGCCTATCGTCCATTGGCGACAGGGATCCCACCCACCACCAGCACCATGCAGATGTAAAGGCGACCCCAACCATAAGCGAACATGGCCATCCTCACATGATTCGGAAGGACGGCGTAGGTGTCGCTTTGAGCGATACTCCCCTCCCGTCGCGTCCTGCCAGCCCGCGCATGTACGTTTGTTTTCCCTCCTGATAAATCCGTCATAGTACCCCCACCATCACCTCCGCACCTTTCTAACCCCCCCTTTAGGGTTCCGATGCGTACCATCTCTGCCAGCTCCACCCCGCGCATACGACCTACCACCCTCGATATCCCCGGCCTAACAAAGTCCAAAGTCTCGCCGGATGGCAAGATTGCCCAGCGCGATGTCGGCTCCAAGCTTGTCATCGTCATGGTCGGCCTGCCCGCGCGCGGCAAGAGCTACATCACCAAGAAGATGACCAGGTACCTGAACTGGTCCCAGCACGATACCAAGATCTTCAACGTCGGCGAAAAGCGTCGTGTTGCAGCCAACGAGCGCGGGATGCGACTTTCTTCCACGACCCTCGAGAAAATGCCCTCCGGTATTGCGCGCGCGGTAGAGAATGGTGATACCCTGCCGCAGATAGCCGCAAAGATGATGATCAACGGGGACGCCCAGTCCCAGTCCTTGTCCCCGCTCAACCTGGGCAGCCCGGCTGGAGACCGCACTCCCGAAGGAACAGATCCCAAGACCAACCGTGATAACGAAGAAGCCATCGACGATCGACCCTCGTCGACGTCGTCTCCACAGGTGAAGGTCATATCTCCAGGTCCTGAGGCGCCTACCCCCAAGAACAACGAGGAAGAACCAGGTGAGTCTATGGACCAATCCGCTGGCTTTTTCGACCCATCGAACAAGAAGGCTGCTCAGATTCGAGAGCAATGCGCCATGGAGACTCTAGACGATCTTCTGAATTGGGTAGTTGATGGTAACGGTTCGGTGGGTATATTCGATGCAACCAACAGCACTCTTCCACGCCGGAAGCAGATTATGGAGAAGATACGCCAGCGAGCAGGCTCAGAGCTCAATGTGCTTTTCGTTGAGTCCATCTGTGAAGACAAGAATCTACTCGAATCGAACATGCGCCTCAAACTATCTGGCCCGGATTATGAAGGCAAGGACCCGACCGCAGCATTGATTGACTTCAAGAAACGTGTCGAGATCTACGAGAAGAACTACGTTCCGCTCGGCGACTACGAGGAGGAAAACAACATGTCGTACGTGAAGATGATCGATGTTGGCCGAAAGATGATATCCCACCAGATCAAGGGTTTCTTGGCTGGTCAGGCAGTGTACTACCTTCTCAACTTCAACCTCTCCCCCCGTATGATTTGGATCACCCGTCATGGCGAATCAGCAGACAATGTGGCCGGCAAGATTGGAGGGGATTCTAACTTGACTGAGAGCGGTCACAAGTACGCTCGGGCCATGACGCGCTTCATCGATCAGCAACGTATGAAATGGGAAGTCCATCTTGCCGACAAGATCGCAAATACCCATTTTCCACCCTGTCCAGGCGATCATACTCCCCCTAATCCGTACTTCAGCACTGGTCATGAACCCAAGAGCTTCTGTGTCTGGTCCAGCATGCTGAAACGCGGTATCCAGACCGCTTCATACTTTTGCGAGGAGGAATATGACCTCAAGCAAATGCGCATGCTCGACGAGCTGAACGCCGGTATGATGGAAGGTCACACGTACGAGGAGATCAAGAGCAAGTATAGGGAAGAGTTTGAGAGGCGATCGGCCGACAAGATCTCCTATCGCTACCCGGGCCCTGGTGGAGAAGGCTACCTCGACATCATCCAGCGCATTCGACCCATCATCTTCGAGCTCGAGCGCATGACGGACCACTGCTTGCTCGTAACCCATCGATCTGTCGCTCGTGTCTTGCTGGCTTACTTCCAGGGCCTGAAGCGTGAAGACGTTGCCGACTTGGACTGCCCGCTGGGTATGCTCTATCAGATGGAGCCCAAGCCGTACGGTGTCGAGTTCAAGGCTTGGAGGTATAATTCTGAGACGGATGATTTCGACCACCTCCCTGACTACAAGCTCCGACGTGCCCCCCGTCCTCTGGTACCCTGATACATTCTTCTCGGTTCTCTCCATCACTTTGCGGTCTTTTGCGTTTTTTTTTCTTCCTTTCTCTTCTATGCGGCTGCTTAATCGCAGCCTAGCGGGGACATCGTCTCATAAAACCTTCCCCTAGCTGGTTGGCTGGCTTTCTCCCCCCCTTTTTTTCCTTGACTTTGTATTACTAGTTACCCACGTGTATGCGAACATGACACTTCCGAAATCACGTGGTATGCTCTTCCTTCTTCCTTTTCATGCTGCATATAGGTGGGTATCGGTGGGGGGATTTTTCTTTTCCCTTTCTTTTCTTCCTTTACCCCAACCATGAATATACCATCTTCTCTCTCTGTTCCTGTTTCTTCACGGCATCATGAAAGGTGGGGGCTGGCTGGCATAAGCGTAGCATTAGATGGTTCTCTATTCAAACATGGATAATGGCAATATTCTCCCCCCCCCCCTCGCTCCTGTCTCTTCCTACTTTCCTATGCCAACAATTTCCCAATTTTATTCTTCTCTCTTGTTTGCCCATCTCCTCCATCTCCCTCCATCCTCCTTCTTGGGGACTGGAGAGACCGGGAACTCTTTTCAATTCTTTTTTTCTGTATTGCGGTCCTTTCGTTTAATGTGCATCATATGGCGTTTGCTTACTTACTGGCCTTTCTCGTTCATGATCTTCGTCTAATAATCTTGTCTGTCTTACGAAGTCTATCTGGAGAACAGAAGTTAGGCATGCATGGATGTATGGTGGGAAAGTGGCATATGTGTGGTCAATTCAGCCAATGGTCTGTTTCGAAGACGACATGTACTGATAAATCATACGCAATGATCACTTGACCCCATCTATTGAAGCATCCAAATGTTCATTCTTTGCTAAAGGGGACTTGGGTGTGTCCAATCATAATACCAGACTCTGTCTGCAGGTGTTTGCTGTATGCAAGTACCGTTACACAAGACTGGGTAGGCCTTTACTTTGCTTCTTACTGGCCGTTCTCTTCCGTCCATTCCACCCCACTTCCCATTCACCAACTACGCACCCACCAACATCGAAGGGAAATAAGGGAAGAAGAAAAGAGGCTCCCGTCAAGCCAATACCACCATGGCGCTCCTATCGAAAATGTTCAAGTGCTACTGCTGCACTCCCACTCGCGACCAAAAACCCTCCCTATCCGAGAAATCCGCTCTCCCCGCCTACAAAGATGACGGCCCCAGCAAAGCCGAAGTAGCAGACACCATCGTAGCCAAGCTCTTCGCCGCCGAGAAGAACGACGCAGTGCTCCAAGCCGATCTCCGCTCCACCATCCATGCCTATGGCTGGTACGACGGTCTCGCGAAAGCCATCCTCTCAGCACTGGAGAACGCCATCAAGCTTGGCGAGAAAATGGGTCCTGCTATGAAGACGGCGTATGACCAGGCGGTTGTGGGAGTCAACGAGGTCAAGCAGTGGGCGGAGGCGCATCCGGAGATGGCGGCTGTCATCGTTACGCTTGTTGCGCTTGGTGTGCTTGCGTTGATGGTGCCGTGGGCGCTGGGTGTTCTTGGGTTTGCCGAGGAGGGGATCATCGGTGGTGAGTTCTGCTTGTCCTTACATCTATTCTCCTTTTCAGTGCCGTGGATATACTGACGTTTGATTGCGTGCGCTTTAGAATCGTGGGCTGCGGTTTGGCAAGCTACGTATCGTGGCTTTGTTCCCAAGGGCTCGCTGTTCTCGTACTTGCAGAGCCTTGGGACTAAGATTGGACGGGGTTGGGTCGGTTGAGTATCTCCTGGAGCTTCTTACACCATCGTCTCCTTGAGTCAGTTATCTGTTCAATTCATGAGGCTGAAATGGGCAACATATGGGCATGGAGGAAGCATAATGGCGCCCGCCGGCTACATTCCCGGGCGGGCAAGCATACTGAGGCTACTTGATTTTCATGTACATCAAGGGATATGAATCAGGGCTCATGAAATTTCCCCCGAGAAAATGGTATAGATTTCACCACTATTGAGCGAGACTTTTTTTACTTCTTCCCCTGTATATGATAAGCTGAGGCAAAGGGTTGCAACGATCTCTGATTTTGCCAAGTGCGGAGATTAGACAATAATGCACTGCATCCTCCCTCAATGAGTTACATCTGACTTCTTACCCCTTGCATGGGAAGTGAGTAGTAGGTGTCATCCTATAATCCATTCACTCGCTTGGCGTCTAGTGTCGAAATGGATGACGTAAGTGTATATTCTACAGCAGAAAATCACTTTTTGTAATCACTTTTTACACAATTTCGACAGTCCAACAATAATTGCTCTCCCTCGGTACGATTGTTCTCATCGCCTTGGACATTTTTATACCAATTGCACTATTCAGCAACTGTCGCTTTGGATACAGCTTCGAAGTCGGCTGGAGAAAAAGGAAGGACAGAAAAGAGCTATATACTGTTTACACCAATTCCCCAACTACGCGTCAAAAGCTGTCGAATACCCGTAGTCATTCCAACTTCGATCCCCGAAACTCCCCAAGAAACAAAGAAAAGGCAAAACAGACACAAAACCCCATCCATAAACTTCGCTCATTCAGCCATGCCATCGCAACCGTCCAATCGCACCAACAAACCTCTTCAAACCCTCGCCACCCTCCTTACCACCCTCCTCCCGCAATCACCAAAAAACCTTATACATCCCTTCCCCCCATCACCAACACACCCCGACCTAACCGCCCAAATATCCTCTCTCCTCCTCCACCCAACCCTCGAAGCAACGCTGCACATCCTAAATGCCGACCTCCCCTCAGCCCACTTCCTCGTTCGCCACATGCAAGCCGCGCCCGCGGTCGAAGGCATGCTTCTCCACGGCATCCTGCATCGCTGCGAGGGGGATTACGATAACGCGCGTGCGTGGGTCCGGGATGTAGGCGATCTTTGTGAGGGGTGGGTTGCGAAACGACGAGGGGAGGAGAAGTTAGACGAGGCGATCTTGGAGAAGTGTGGTGGAGGGGATGTAGAGGGGAGAGGGAGGGAGTTTGTGGAGTTTGTGTATGGGGGGTCGGAAGGGGAAGGAGGTGCAGAGGCGTTGATTAGAGATGTTAAGGCGTTTCGGAAACATAGAGGTGGTGGTGAGAATGCGGAAAGGGAGTTGGCGGAGAGAGTGAGGAGAGAAGTAGAGAGGGTGGTGTTGTGGTGTAAGGGAAAGTTTGGGGACGGGGAGTGGGTGGATGCTAGTGCGGCTTGGGTTAAGGATAGCGAGGAGGTGCGGCAGACAAAGATGGAGATGGTTAGTGGGGGTAAAGGGTGGAGGAAGTTTTGAAGAGATTGAGCCTTTCTGCTTTCAAACGTCTGTCTTATAACGCTGGTGGTAAAGAGTCGATTTGTTCTTTCCGGCGATATAGAAGAGGGGTGGAAGCATGTCTCAAACCAACTATCTCCATTCCAGGATCACTGAACCAAAATCAATCGCTGATGAAGATGGTTTAACTGCTAATATTATCGCTATTAAACACAGTCTCACCACAGCAAGCAGCTTCTTCGAAACAGCGACAGGAGCACAGTCCCTACCCTCCTGATATTCTATGTACCCATCAAGGTGGAAGCAATAAACCCTGCCCACACGAACCAGAGGATCATAGACATGCCGCAAACCACAAACCAACGAAAGCGTCCCTCCATCAACCCACGAGAAAACAAACAAACAAATGCACGCCAGCTGAGACAGACAAATGACTTACAAGCACAAAGCCCATCACTCTTTCACCAAGGATACAAAATCCTGACTTGTTTCTGCCCGATCTTGCAATACGATCTGACCTCCTTTTGACTTTGATACAAAATACTTCACAGATCAATTGTGTTTTGGGGCAAATCCACCCCGCGCATTTTGGTACAACATTCAATACCAACTGTTGACTTGATACCTAAAACGAAAAGAAAAACTTCGGCAGCAAAAGAAGAAGTAAGGCACCGCTCATCAACCTATACACTATCCGCTCACCCGCAAAGAACACCTCACATTTCTCCATTCTTTTCCTTCCACTTCCCTCGCGTGGCCCTCGGAACAAATAATTAGCCGGCAAAGCATGATGATCAACCCCATCATTCCCCCTAAGCCCACCAACGTCTTTATTTGCTTGAGTCAGGCAAACACACCCCACACGAACACGAACATCGGGTCTTGGATCTTCCTGCTCGGTGTATTTCTAGTGTTGATGGGTTGGCTGTACTTGTATTGTGCAGGAGACAGAACCGACGGGAAGGGCGTGGCAGGGAAGGAGAAGTATGTGGATGCGGGGACACAGACAGAGGGTGTGGAAGTCGATGATCATGGGGGAAGGGAGAAAGATGAGAGCAATTCAATATGGGGTCGAGTGGATGATGGAGATGATGTGGGTTGGGCTAGGGTGGCGGCGGCGGTGGACAGAGAATATTCGAAAACGATGAGAGGTCGGTTGTGAGAGTTGTATCTTTGGGATTAGGGAGTGTGGACTCAAATTGAAAATGAGTACTGTAATTTAGAATGTTCTGGCCCCCTTCTAGAATCAGCAACCGATGGGAGTGGAGAATTCATAAACGAACCGTATCGAACCTGACAGTTCTTTCATCTCCTGCCATCCCAACATTTTGAATACCAGACAAACTCATCAGCCCAAAGTTAGCACCCTCTTCCATTTTGGACTACACGCGATCCCCGCTCCTCCAAACGCAAGCGATAACCCCGTGAACACAATTAGCGGGCCATACGTAGTTCCATACCCAAACTTCCCAATTTCCACTTGGTTTCCAGCCTTCACCAACGGCACACTAATCAGCCCACCAGCTACATACCCAATCCCCCGCGCGCCATTCAACATACCATAGAGCACGCCGGAATCCAGCGCTTCATTGCGGGCCGCAGCATCGTGCTCCAAATCGTTCATGATCCCGCCCCACGTCGCACTGTACCCACTAGCGAAGAATCCAAAGGTAATTGCGAATAGCGTGAGTAAAGCTATGCTATTTTGAGCGGCGAGACCCCAGAACAGAAACGCCGAGATGGCGGAGCTGAGGGCTGATATGGCAGTTACGGTGGAGGCGGAGAGGCGGAGATGCTTATTGTCGCTGAGGAAGCCGAAGAAAGTCGACGAGCAGATCCCAGGGATATTGATCAGCGTGATGAGTAGCGTGGAGAATGTAGGAGATAATGCAGATACGTTGCGTGCGTATTCTGTTAAATATGTCTGAGGGATCCCGTAGCCCGCGCTTTGGAGCAGAGTCGCGATGCTGTAGATCCAGAATGCTTGATGTCGGAGGAAATTCCAGGGGATTTTTCGTCCGCGGGCGGTTTCAGAGGCATTTAGACTTGTTTGGGGGGTGGCGATCATGAGGATTGATAGTATGCCCGCTCCCAGGGTGATGACGGCCCATACGATCATGGTGGTGCGGAGACTGGTTTTGTCGAGGAGTCCGCGGAAGATGAAAGGGCAGGTAGAACCTACAATGTTCTTGGATGAAAGTACTATGCCATATGCTATTGCACGATTACAGATTCTGTTGTCCGTGTTGAACCATTCCCCAAGGGATAATGTTGTTGGACTGAAGACTAAGGCACATCCTAGCGCTGCCAGAACTCCCCTGCGGAGATGTTACATTAGTTCTGATTCCTGTTCAATGAAGCCCGGGAGACTTACTGAGTTGCAACAAGATGCCAAACATGTTTGCTCAGCGAGGACAAAGCGAAGCTAGCACATGCGATAATGGCCCCAAGAATTGCTGCCGTCCGACGATAATGAGCCCAGCGACGGGTAAACAGGGCAAACATGAACGGCATGGAGATATACATAACACCATTTGATGTTGTCCCGATGATGCCTGTGATCTCGCGACCGCCCGCCATGGTCCAGTGCTCGAAATAGTATTCTTGCAGGACGCCGTAGCTCATTGCAAATCCTTGTGAACTTGATTAGCCGTGAACTAGCGAACTAGAGAGTGGAATCTACCCCATATTGGAAACTGTGAGAGTGCAGCCCCAAAAAGAGCAGATGCTCTCTTCCTGTCGGTATCACGCTGCCTTGCAATATCACTGTCAGCAGTGGAACTTGAGTCCGGCGCTGGGGGAACTGAGCCTCCTAGGCTGTTGAGAGAGTGAGATTCCGATATTCCAACATTTGCCATGATGCATTTATTCGGTACTTGAGAGGAAGAGAATGTGTGAGAAGTACCTAGGTATGTACTGCAAGAGGTGGATGATTCATACTTTTGGTGGTTGTCCAGGAATCCGGCGTCCAGCCAATCAAAGCCACTCTGACGTAGTTTATCTTTATTCGCGCATGCAGCGGAGAATGATTGGATGATTAGACTACATGCCATTCTCGTACTCTGCTATCGAGCCGATGTATCATTTTCTTTATATCCGGCCGGAATTATTCCATGATCAGAGAGAAATAGAGCTAGATTGCTCACATGCCCGACCAAATAATCAAAGAACAAGAGCAGCAGCAGCAACTATCTTAAAAGTGGGGGAAGCAAGAGTCAAAGGATTACACTGAAGTACTTGGAGGAGAGGGGAATATAGGTATCATTTTGAGACAATTGCCAAGATGCACCCCGTCTTCTTTGATAAAAAACTCAAGAGACATTCAAACCACTGGAGGCCGATATTGCAGGAAGCTCTCCACTCGACTGGACATCACGGGGTCTCTACTTCTGTTAGAGTTGACGAAGATGCAGAAAATTCGCACGACGTTATTACTCGTTCAAATTCCATATGAACAAAACTAGAGTGGAGCGTTGTACGTACATTCGTAGTTTGATGAGTTTCGATTTTGTTTAAATGTGCAACGAGTAACTTACGTCTGAATTCCGATATCTGTTTTTTGAAAACCCAGGCTTTCCGGAATGCCACTGGCTCCGGCGCTACAAAGATGGTATACTATCTTTCCAGGCTGCATAGAATAGATCCAGGAGTTATTTTTCGACCTTACGATCTTGCCCGAGCTAATGGAGATTTTTCATACCTACAAACGCCGTCGTACTGAACTCATAAAACATTTATTTGGTACTGTCAAGGGATCGAAGTGGTATATTGCAACTCTACCGCGTCTCCTGTCTATGCCAGATTGCATAGTCCGGGAGCATATTGATAATTGCCTAGAATTTATACAGTTTGTTTGAGGGAACTATCAACGCAGTATATATTATCATTCACTCACCGCCCCTCCCCAGATCCCCCTACCCATCCGCTTTGTGTCACCGCTACCACGCACGAACCCGTTCGATGTACAAACCCGCATTCACATACCGCTCATCTGACTTGTATACAAATAAAGTCTAAGTCACGATTTTTGATATAGAAAAACCAGCACCGATATGGTCCAGGGGTTAGGATTTCTGATTTTCATGATGTGAAATCTTCAGACGACCCGGGGTATGTTATATTCACTCTTGTCAGCCATAGATAGCGCCTGAATAACTCACTAACTTGACTCTTAGTTCGAACCCCGGTATCGGTACTACTTTTTTTCTCCTTTCTTTTCGCCCATGTTGTGCCTTTCTTTTGTGATGGTGGGGCATATCATGGTTACGTCAAAACTTATGCCTTGAAGTCGTAAACCGGACGAGAAAATAAGAACAAGATTAGTAAATACTTTGAATGCAGAGAGAAGTCAAAAGTATACTTATATAATGGGTAAGCCCTAAAACTTAGTTTTTGCGATTGTCTGTCGTTATCCAATAGGTTCATTGCTGCGATGTAGGGGTCTGAGAATGTCACACCACAAGTGGAGCTACCCAAGCCTACCGCAGCATCATCGTTGCAAGCAGTCGTCGGACCGTTTACAAATCTGAGACAGAGCCCAGTCCAGTGAATAGCCGCTATAGGAAAAGACACGGTATATCACTTGACACGTCAGACTCGCCAAGTTATCTCACTCACGTTGACATGAAAATATCTATTCGTTGATTTCTACCAGATTGATATTAAAAAAAGTACCCACGATGACAGTGACAATGAAATCCCTAGCAGATTGACTTGGGTGTTCACAGTCTGTCAACCAGTGATGACCCCTTCTGCATTGAGAGCACCTCAATAGCTTTCAGAATAGACAATAGGAAAACTAGAAAAGGGAGTTACACACGTTCTTACCATTGACAAAAACTAGTCTGCAATTCAATATATTCCTTTCGACGAGCGATTGGAAAATCGGCAAACATATAGCATGAGATGTCTACACAAAAGCGCAGCACAGCGACGAGTTTTTACGGAACACTTCTTCTAATCATGGAGTCTCCGGTGGTGTCTCTCGTTTGCATTCAGGACATAACTCGTCGGGCTCATCTTCCTGAAGAACGTGATCATCGCTTCTTTGGAACTTTGGACAACTTCTCCCTCTAGCGACTGCTGCTCGACAATGGGCAATGTGTTTGATGCGAGTAGGTTCGCCGCCTAACCTGGCGTGCCAGGATGAGCATGCGAACATGGCTCGTACATTTTGACACATCTAAAATAGTGGTTAGCAATTCGCCGTCATTATTGAAATGCTTTGTGCATACATTATCGTGGCTCTTGGGTTGATCCTTGCTGCCCCGCGAGACGCGGTCTTGGAGCACCAATCTCCAGATTGCGATATCAGTCTCAGGAAGAAATTTGGAAATAGGTGTTGGTGAAGATTAGAGTTGCAGATCGTCCTGAAGCGTAGGAATTGGTGTAACAGACTCGTGGCAATCTGAGATGAGAACACACTCTCAGAGTGAAAAGACCATGGTATTGAACTGTGTTAACGGTATGTCACAGGCGCAGCGTGAGTGTATGAATACCTGCTTGATGAACCCCGGCTGCATGAGAACAACACCTACCCTAGCGTCCGTGACGTTGGCGATAGGCAGAGCTCTCGTTTAAAGTCGACATCCGCTGTTCATTGCCACGTCATGACTGGTACTCGTGTATGTCTTAAAATGCACATCTTATCACTGGAATCGTTCGAACGCCGGCAGCCTATGCACGCAGGTCAACCGGAATCAATTGCAACTACCCCGCTTCGACTTCGATAAGAAGTATACCTGAACATTCTGGAAAAGAGGTTGCAAAGAGATGGGGAAGGTGATCAGCGACGCGCTGCCCGCATATCCGAAAATAAGCGAAAACGACATGTATCAACAACAATCAATAAGCAGAACATGCATGGAGTCAAGGAACGCTGCGGAAGAAAGCTGCGGAGTCTTGGAGCGGAGGGTTATTATCCCCACTACACCCAAATCAGCATATCGACCGTTTTGTCAATTCCGTCCGCATCAATGATCAGGACAACAATTAAGACACCAATGAGAGAGACTGCTCTCATCGATGAACATGAATTGTAACGAACCATATCGTTCAAAACTAATCGCTCAACCGGAGCTCAATCTTCCAATGATCCTTGCTTAGTCCATCGCCGATGAAGCCTGTTGGTGGGTCTTGGAAACCTTTTGAAAAGTCGCACTTTTAACTCCTTTTGCTTATCAAGAACAAACATCTTTTCTTTTCACTCTCCCAGCAGTAATATTGAAAGCTTCGACATTTACATTCAGGACGATAGGACTGTGTAAAAGAAATGGGCCATTGTCGTGACGGGGATGCGAGTCAATATAGCAACAACGAGATTACTCCTGCAGATGTTTGCCCGCCCAGGATCCCTGCTGTAGAATCTTTCTGAAATTCCCTGTAGTATAACTGACCACCCAAGAGATATGAGGAAACAAAACACTTGTATGCGAAAGGACTCGTACATATCAGGTATGTGTTGCTCCTATGACCACTCTATGAAGCCCAATTGCTTACGATGTCGAAGTTCATGTGCTGAGCATATGCAGTTGTTCGTGTGATTTTAAATTCTTTGTTCAGAACATATTCTGGCGTGGAGAATAACAACCACTACTTGATACATTCTTTGTTGACATTTACTACATACCATGTCTGATATGCCGCTATTTATCAATTGGTGTTCTTTGTTCAACGTTAGTTCAGAAATGAGAGAACCCCTGAGTTATCAAAGGGCTTTACGAAAGTTTGCTGGCTCAGCAACTGAGAATCAACTCAAGTCCTGTGCGAATGCCGAAAATGACTAGTCCACGTCGCTCGCAGCGATTGCGATCTGGAAAGGGAGCGCAAACGTCTTCGGTCACAAAAGGTAAAGCAAGATCTGTCTCGGCTGTCTCTTCGGTGGACCTCGATTTCTTGGAAACCCAAATCTCCGAGAAGCTTACCAAAAAGCTCGACAAGACTACAAGAACGCGACGCAAGATTGCTTCGTCCATATCATCAGGCTATTTCACCGAAGAACAAACAGACGAAGAAGATAGCGAATATGAGAAACATCTTCAAAGATCACCGCTAGACTCAGAATACAGCGACATAGAAAATTTCACCGCCAAGAGGAAGGAGTCCTACGACAGCAGATACGAGTCTGGAAACGAAGACTACGAGCTCAACGATTTTGTCGTAGACGACGACGTCTCCATCAAAAGTGAAAGTGACGCAACTATCAAAGCCCATTCACCTACCTACAATACTCGACGCGCGTCCGCGATTACGTCCACTCTATCCGTTATTTCAGAAGCAACGCGGCGATCCAAGAGTAGCACCTCCTCGAGACTTTTCTTCTCTGAATCAGAAGATGGGATACAGACGCTTGATATGATGGCCTGGTTACAATTAGGTATCGCATCCGATGATCCTGAGGACGTTGGCGAGGGCGTTGTGACGGAGCCAAGTGCGGAGGTGGTCGAGGAGATATCGGATGCAGTGGCGATGTTTTCGAGGCGATGTAATAGGGGGAGGCCGCCAATTCGATTGCGTCTCTCTTCGTTTGCTGGGAAAGATGGTGAGGTCAAGGAAGCATTGGATAGAGCTGTGGATTTGGGACTGGGGAGAAAGTTGTCGTTGCGGGATGGGACTAAACTTTGGACTATTGGACCGAAAACCAAGTGAAGTTTTTTCGGGGGTAACCAGTCAATACATATCGCTATAAATTATCATGGATTTCTGCCAATTCTCCAATAGATGTTGTTGCAAGTGATATACAAAAGTAGACAGTGACCTGATGGGACCAGATAGACTCAGCGAACTTCGGTCTAGCCTAAAATAGAATAGTGTCTCGTCGATAAGTCTAGATGACAATGCCGACTTCATTCAATCTCCGTCACCTTACAGGGCCGAGTCTGAGATGACGTCTCGCAACGAATTCAAACCTTCCGTTCCGCCAAAATTCGGTTATCAAGAACGAGAAGCATTGCCAAATGACTTAAGACGACGACGGCCGTCTCCTTTGCTAAGGGATAACAAGCCTCTACCAGAACCGCCAGAGAAACCTTTGCCAATACCGCCATCTAATTCCTGGGAGTCAAGTGGAAGATATCAAGCTACCATTCTTTGGATCCTTGGGTTTTTTGTCTGGTTCCTTTTGATTGTTATCTTGCTGCCAATCATCATGGAGCGAGAAGCAATGCCTAGGATGAATGGTTTCATTGCGAGCATTTTCACCCCACTTTGGAAAGAAGACAGTTCTTGAACAGAGAAGTAGAAAGCTCTACAGAGTCCCGATTTGCTGCGTTTCGGGATTCTACAACTTCGACTCCTTGGCTGTGGCATCCACCAGGCTCTTTCGACCACCGAAGCCGAACAGATAAGCTGCTACCTTGCGCATCTGAATCTCTTCGCTCCCTTCCGTTATCCTGTACCTCCTATGATGCCTCCAAATATGCTCGAATGGATAATGCCTCGAATAACCGTTTCCGCCGTGAACTTGGATCGCCCGATCAGCAGCTTCACAACACAGACGGTTTGCCCAGTAATTACACATTGAGACTTTATCTCCAATTCTCTTCTCCACCTCCACATGTGGCATGGAGTCCATCTCAACGGCTGTTTTTCTGATCAATTGTCGCAACATCTCACATTGGGTAGCTAGTTCTACCAGTGGAAACTGGACCCCTTGGTTATGGGACAATGGTGTACCAAAAGGTGCCCGCTGGTTGGCATACTCAACAGATTGTTTCACGCAATAAACAGCGGCCCCGAGTGAGGATGCAGCTTGTCGAATGCGATTCTCGTGCACGAAAGCCTGTGCTACGCCTAGTCCGTTATGGACTGGTCCAAGGATCGCACTGTTGGGTACCCAAACATCCTTAATGGAAATAGTGGCATGATCTGTGGGCATGTTGAGTGTCCTACGGACTGTCAATGATTGTGCCACCAACAATTGGAGGAGCTAGATGACATTACCATTCATAGGATACTGCTTCGAGACCCGGCGTTTCGCGAGGCACGACAAAGCAAGATATTCCTTTAGCCTGTCCGTCTTTGCCCTGCGTTCTCGCAAAAATGAAGCAATGCGTTGCCGCATGCATGCCTGTTTGCCACTTTTTGTAGCCATTTAGAAGCCACCCATCAACACCATTCCTCTTCTCGGGTCTCCCGTTGGTCTCCATATGGGTCGCATCTGACCCGTGGCCGGGCTCCGTCAGTCCAAAAGTGATCCTGACTTTCCCAGCCAATCGACCTTGAATCAGTTCTTTCTTCTGTTGCTCGTTTCCATAGTTCATAACCATCACAACGTCTGGGGCATTGCCGACAATAGAATGTTCATTCTGCAGATCATTGAACAGGCCAAGCCCTTTGGCCGCGAGGTGCTCTCTTATGACGGCCATCCACAAATTGCTGCCTCGCCCATCTTCATCGCTTCGCCCGCCGTACTGCTTTGGAAGCGAAAGTCGGAAGTATCCTGCCTCCTCTGCGAGGCGTTTCGATTCGTGGAGTAAGTCCTCCCACTCTTTGCGAGGCAGGCCGCCATTGTCCCAGTCCGTCCGCGCATGTTCGCGTCGATGGTCGAAAAATCGATTATTATCATCTTTGTTCTGCAATGGCATGATTTTGTCTTCGATGAATTTGTCAAGATCGTCAAGCAGCTTCTGCAGCTCGGCAGGTATTGAGAAGTTCATTGTGTCCCCCATGGTTTCTGTGCGTGATGGATATAAAACGGAATCCAATCAATCATAGTATGAAAGAGAGTCGAAGTTCTTATGGAAACCGGTACGACGCAACATAGAACCTTGCTTCGGATCCTTCATTTTGATGACTCGCGGGAGTATGCTCGTAAGCAGCACCTCACCAATTGCGGAGGTTTGCGGGGATGTATGCCAAGCCATCTGGGGCCTCGGCCTCGCGGACACACTCTGAGTAAATGTTCATCTACATATTTCATGAGTAGACAAACCGGAAGTAGATTCATTATGTTGTAAGAGACCAATTCTCATCATGTCACGACAAGTCAAGTCTTCTCTGGGTGTACCATGATGGTATGGTAAGATGTTAGTTCTATCTGATATTGAGTGGTATATAACATTAGTTCTGCTTTCTCTGTCAAAGAAAATCGAACGTAGGAAATGGAGTCCATCATACGAATTCAACCCCTCAGAAAGAGAAGGAAGAACGCCATCAAGGATTCTCGTTTGTCTTTTCCCTCTTCGCAGCTCAGGGGTTCTGCTGGCTTTTTCATGTACTCGCCTGCCATCTCACGGGAGGACAAGTAGAAAAAAGAACAGATGAACAATGACGAAAGACGACGTCTAGAAGAAATAAAAGAGAGGAATTCAGCTCGACATGAGATATCCTCACAGATTCGCAGTCATCGACAACAAATATGAAAACCGCCTCACAGCCACCACAGAACCATGTAGAAGTTACAACATCGTCAAAAGTACTTTTCTTCACATAACCGTAGCGTGGAAGAAGAAAAATCGTAACTTATTGGAATCGCGCCAGTCGCTCCTGAGGTGGTATATCGTAGCACGGAATCGGCCCACACGAGGAGAAATGATATCGGCAAACCATTTACCGAAGAAACGCCCAGGTAGAATAGTACGTCATGAATTTCCTGCTTTTGTGAATAAGTGAAAGACAACATGCTTTATTCCATGTCGACATCACCCTCTGCGTCTAGATCCGAATCTTCACCTCTCAAAGCTGGAGGCAATTGATGGCGAATTTTATTGAACTCGAGCTGGCAATTTTGCGCGTCTTCGAGCAGACCGTTGACTTGAAATGTATGCGTACAAATACCGTAAGAAACAGCCTTCCACAGCACGCTCCGACCTTGCTTGCTGATACTACGCGCTGCGCGGGCCGCACCCAGAGGTTGCTTGCCGACCTGATCGGCGAAAAACCTGCTGGCCATGTAATTGAGGCACATGGACATGAACTGGTAATTCATCAGTTTTTGCCCTCTTTGCGTGGCAGTCTGGATTAATGTCTTCCGACGATTGATCGACGGCTCCGGGATAATGACGGCGCGGATGATCTGGAATGCACACTCTATGTGAAGGTTTGGGTGGTTGGTGCAAAGCGATTGGAGTTGTGCGAATAGCAACTGAATCTGGTAGTGTTCAGGGTGCGATGGGTTACTGATGATCAGCAGGCGATTACACATAGCGAGTATGACAATATCCGTTTTAAAATCGGCGGTAGACTTGGAATCTGGAAGATCGAACTCCGCACCGGAATAGATAGCAAGCGCTGATTCCACCGAGCCGTTGCACTGATCGAGCACCGCAGACAGATAACTCAATGCACAAGCATACGGCTCTAGACCTTGAAATGGGGGCTGAGAGGATCGTTCTTGCAGCATGGTCACGGCGCTCTTTGCGGTCGACCTGTCCTCATGGTAACACGCGACAATGCCAATGGCGAATTTGATGTGCCAATCCAGGATCTTAACCCAGTCTCTCTGTTTCAAAGCAGCAGGAATTGAGATACCGAAGGATGGAGGCCTTTGGAGAATTGCTACAAAAGTCAGAAAACATCACACTGTCTTTTATACTCATACGTACCGTTTGTCAACGTATGCCCCTCCTGCAGATAGCTGTTACCTCTGTCATGGGGCAAACTTGCCAGACCGCTGAGATTGTACACAAGAGTCTTCAAGTAGGGTTGCGGAAGCCAGGCGAATACTAATTCATCGCGACCGTCCCCCGCTTTGGTGAAGACTCCACCAGTGTCAAAAGTCAGATTGCCACCAATGCTTTTTTCAATTAGTACCGAGAATACTCCCTGAACTGGGCCAAGGTCCTGGTCAACTTTGGCTTGCAAAGCGTTTAACTTTTCGAAATTCGACTGGCCTTGTTGAAGCATACACGCTACATCAATGCAGTCAATCAATACGTCGATTTGGCCCAATTGTTTCGCAGATAGCTGCAACTGGAGGCTGCGGGCCGAAGCGATCGCGCGCTGTGCATGTTCGAATCTATCATGAGCAGTGCCGCGTAGATGCACCATTGCCTCCAATGTACAGCAGGTGACATATATGGCTCTATCTCCCCTTCTCTCAGCGTGATCGGCAATGATACGAAGCTGTGACAGCGCAGAAGCAATTTCTGGACGTCCAGGCACCTGGAGAGCGAGGGTAACTTTCAAGAATCGGAATGCATACACCCATACGATATGTCGAAACGTTTCCGTTTCTTGAATGGGCTGATCCAGAAGTTTCAACGCTGCTCGAGGACTGCTTTTGAAGTGATAGCGAGCCTGTAGATGGGTCATGGCATACTTCAGGTCGTGGAAATGATTCCGACTACAAAGTGCAATCTGTGTGCTTGTTAGCATTGGGACAGCTGTATTTGACAGATGGACGCACCCCCTTGGCCAACGTCTCTTCAATCTCTTGGTTATTATCTGTTTCTTCGACCAATAGACTGGCATATCGAAGTCTCAACAGTGCCTCATCGCGTGGCGCCTGGCTGTACTTCTTGAGCACCGCGTCCATACATCCCAGGGCAGTGGACATGAGCTTGTAGTACTGGTCCAAATCGGCTTTGTTCATTGCCATGGCTGCCAAAGAACCTAGGCTCCGAGCGGCAGCAATGTACTCATCTGCAGCCGATAGAATCATGACCACAAGATCATCTGGAAGCGGTTTCGAAGGGACATGCTGAGGGCGTGTAGGGGTTTGCAATTGTGACGAAGGCCTTTTGATGACGACCTGCGGTTGGGAACGCTTTATCGTGAGGGATTGAGCGGAAGGGCTCCGGTGCTGGTTCGAAGATGTGGGGGTGTGAGCATGAGCATTGGAGGAAGGGGTTCCCTGTGGTTGAAGAGGAGCTCTGTGCTGATTGTGGTTTTGCGATGGCGTGCCTTGCGGGCGATTTTGCGATCGCGGGTTTTCCTGGAAAGATTGTGATCTCTGAGCAGTCTTCGCGACAGGTGTCTGTGACGGCTGGCCTTGCGGCGGTCGTGCGTACCCGTGGGTCATGTCTCTCCCCATGTTACCAACACTGCTTGAACCGCCTGCCCTCTGTGCGGACTTGGGGACCTGAACCTGAACTTGGCGTATACGAGGAGCTTGCATCTGAGGCAGAGGATTCGTATTTCTGGGCGACGGCGGTATCACGACCTGTGGATGCGACACGCGCGGAGCGGGTGTTTGCTGCACAGATGGGGGGTATGGCTGGCTTGCGCTTGGCGGGACTGCCGTCCGCGGTCCATTTGGGGTAGGTTGTGATTGGGGAAACATGTGGAGTGCCTGGGGATGTTGTTGAGGAAACTGCATCCCGTAGCCCATCTGTTGCTGCTGCTGCTGGTAGGCATGTTGCTGTGGTGGCGCGGGTGCCGGTAGAGGTGCATACTGGCCGCCATTGGGATGCGCCGATGGGGCCTGCGACGGTGGCCAGTTGTTATAACGAGGGTCCATTACGAATCAGGCCTCTCGCGGAGGTAACGATTCACTGGCAACGGTTTCGTATGCGTAAAAGTGCCATGGTCCTGGAGTGTGTTATGGGCGACTCAAGAGTGGAGGTCATCTTTCCATATCGCATGCACAGGGAAGAGCGACGCGCTCCGTTCACGCCACAGCCGCGCGGGTATTCTGCCCAATCACTCGTCTTCATCAGACTGTATGATCCATGAACTGAGCCGAGGCGATCACTAATATGTATTTCTGCGCCGAGATATTCGTCGTTTTCTTTCCTTTCTCGCTCTATCGCGAATTTTCAGCTCTATCTACACAGTCTGAGCAGGTGTGCGTTGTGGTTGATTGGGGTTCCTGATTCGAGCCATCACAATTTGCATAACGGGTTGCGATATAGCGTTCATAGTACAGCACATCATCTGCCATTGATATACACATACGAGAATCGCGTGGACTGTACCTGGCAGCTGGAGAGCATACATCTGTCTCGCACGATACATTCAATTCGTCATACATTGCGTGTGTAGCCTTGTCCCACTGCCAATCCTCCGGCTATCTTCCAAGTACAGGCTTGGATCCCAAGAGACTACAAATAGTAGCATCGCAGCACCACTCTCCGTGCCCAAGCAAACGAGACAAAAACCATGGCTTTTCTCCTAGGCTACGGCAAGACGAGCTACACTCATCATCCCGATCCTATCTCTCTCCCCACCAAATCTGGTTCCAAAACCACTCTCACCGACTTCGCTGCCTCGGCCATCCCACCATGTCACTTGAACCCTCTCCTTTTCAACGGACATCTTCAGACCATGAGGACAGCACTTAAGGATGCCGGACCCCCAATTTACTACAAACGTCAAATTTTCAAGTCCCCCCATTCTGTCTACCCGGGCGAGTTCGCTGTGGACTTTGTCGTGTCGCGCGAGGTGGGACAGGAAGCCAAGGAAGACCCCACGTTACCTGAGCGAACTACTTTCTACACAGAAGACGAGTTCACTTCGCTCGCTAGCGATGACGAAGTTCCCATGCTGGTCAGTCTGCACGGATTGTCGGGAGGCAGCCATGAAGTGTATCTGCGCGAAGTTTTGGCGCCACTTGTGCCTCAAGGGTGGGCTGCGTGTGTCGTGAATGGTCGCGGGTGTGCGCTCTCCAAGATCACGTCTCCGCATCTTTTCAACGCACGCTCGACGTGGGATGTGCGGCAGACAATCCGGTATCTACGCGAGACGTTTCCGAACCGTCCGTTGTATGCGGTGGGATACTCGCTGGGGGCGAATATCCTGTCGAATTATGTTGGAGAGGAAGGGGAAGAGTGCGTCCTGAAGGCTGCCATAGCCTGCTCGAATCCATGGAACTTGGAGGTGTGTGCGAAAGCGCTGCAAAGGACGTATTTGGGGCTGGAGGTGTACAGTAGGGCTATGGGGGGCAACCTACAGAAACTGTATGAGCAACACAAAGATATGATCGTGCAGAACCCGGCCATCACAGACGAAAAGGTGCGGGCTTGCAAGTACATAGGCGACTTTGATCGGTAAGACATTCCTCACTCATGACACCAAGAGGGAAGCAGCTGCGCAGATTGTTAATCACGTGGAACAGGGTAGTCCAAGCACCAACATGGGGATATCCCACCGAAGGCGCGTACTATCGAGACGCTCAATCCGCGGATGCAGTCGTGGCTATTAAGATTCCTTTTCTTGCTATCAACGCTACTGATGACCCTGTAAGTCTTTTATCCGATATCGCAGTTTCTTTTCCAGCACTCCCTCAATACATCGATACTGATGTTATACAGATATCCCATGTCGAAGGCATTCCATTCGCAGAATTCCGACAAAACCCATATACCGTTCTGTGTACCACAAACTGGGGTGGCCACTTGAGCTGGTTCCAGTTGGGCGGTAAACGATGGTTCGCTACAGCGATAGTGAGCTTCCTTACAAAGATGCACGATGAGATCGATGTTAGCGCTCCTTTGCCTGGGAAAAAAGAGGCAGATGCCAAGATGGTGGAAAAGAAGTATCCGATTTTCGATCCGAAGAATCGTCGGTTGATATTGCCGGGTGCGTAGGGGCAGTCACGAAGTGGTGTAGAAAAATCCGGGCAGTAGTTCGATAGAAACGGGGTATCATAGATTTTCGTAGACAGGAAGTATAGATATAGACCGTCGATAACGACCAAGGCTTGCTCATCCAAAGGAGACCCTCTTCTTCTTGGGTTTTGAGGTCTTTTCCGGCACCTCGTCGTCCACGTCTTCAATCCGCCCGGGGTCCGAATGCCTGCTCTTTCTTTTCTTCTTCAGGCCTTTCTTAGTCTCCTCCTACACATAAGTTAGCGATCAGGTTTCCATCCGACAAGTGTGCAAACACTCACAAATTTTGCCTTCTTCTCTTCACTCCTCTCCTCCGCTTCCTTTCTCTTCGCCTCTCTAATCTCCTCCAACTGCCTCGCCCGCATAATTTTACTTTCAACGTTCTTGTCCTTCTCTGCATTCACCACGCTCATAATCGCCATCATACTGGCAGGGTCATCCACAAATTTCTTGCCCTTCTTCTGACCCTTCGGTTTTGCGATACCCGCAGGGATAATGCTGTTCAGCGCGGGGATGTCGAGCTCCTTCTCCGTGTACTTGCGTCGTTTGGGTTTGTGTGGGTTGGCCAGGTTTGCTTTCGTTTTCTGCGCACCGCCGGGCTTTGCGAGAGCCATGGACTTCTGCTTGCGTTTGGAGATGCCCTCGGGAGCGCTGCCGGTGGGTTTTGATCTTGCGCCGCCTTTTTTGGAGGATGCACCGCCGCTTTTGCCTCCTTTTGAGGAAGGCTTCCCCTTTCCCATTGTCTTTGTGGAACCCATCGTGTTGGCGTAGTCGATTGATTCGAGATTCGTGGGAAAAGATTAGAGAAAGTAGCGAAGTGGTCCTGGGAAAGTAGTGGAGCTCGAACTTTTTTGTTGTCGGCGCTCCGCAAACGCCGACAACCCATGCTAGACCTTGGCGCGTCTGACGACAACCCCAGCCTCGCAGCAGCGCAACCCGCAGCCGTAGCTTGACTTCACACATCACGACCTCAATCACTTGACTCTACGCATACATACGATATCCCACGGTCTCCACAACCTGAACTCACATTTCGGGATCGAAATGTCGTCTAACCGCCTTTTCCGATTCCCCAAACCCGCCTGGTTCAACAACGCAAATGGAAGGACAGCAGGCGTCTACACAGCCGGAGCTCTGGTACGGGTTCCCCATGTCACATCGATCATTTGAACTGCACTGAAATCTGGCCTGATGCTAACATATATGTATTCAGTTCTCCCTCGGCTTCTACATCCTGATCGATATCGCTTCCTGGTCCCACTCTGCGCTCAACGGCTCCGACGCACACGTCACATTCGTGGACTGGATCCCCGGAATCTGCAGTGCGCTAGGCATGCTCGTCATCAACAGCATCGACAAGTCCCGCCTGTCCGCTGATAGTTTCTCGTACTCTGGCAATGGCGTCGCCTGGAAGGCGAGACTGGTTCTCTTCCTGGGATTTGCGCTACTGGCTGGTGGATTGGCGGGGAGTGTGGTTGTTTTGGTCATGAAGTACGTGGTGACATCTGTTGTCTTGCCCACGCTTTGGCTCGGTATTGGAAACGTTGTCGCAAATGGTTTGGTCATGCTGAGGTGAGTTCTGCACATGAAAAGTGCTCGGGAAGCGAATGGTATGGGACACTACTAACACTTTTAAAGCTCTGCCGTGCTCTGGGTGGCTCAAAACATGGAAGATGAATATACTTATAACCTAGCACTATAGCAGTGACCCTTGTTGAAGATTGGAAAACCATTGGCGGGGGACAAATTCCATGTAGCTCTGGCATACATACATACTACATGAAGTGATTTCGAATGAGAGGAGTCGAACCAGGAGTTAGAATACCCAGAAACAGGACGAGTGACGGGGTGTTAACATTGTCTTATTGTTCTTGTACATTAGCAGCAGGTTGTTTGAATTCACTGTATCAAAGCAGAAGTCAGATTTATCGAAGATATAGATATTCCCAACTTTCACGCATGCAATAAGAGGTATAATCGACATAATGTTACAGAACCGCTGAAGTGAACCAGCCCTAAATGCAAACGTCTGTCCGAAGACGCATAGAATCCCTTCCACGCCTCCCAAGATACAATTTCCGGTACCGGTACCGTTACCAGAGCCGCAGTCCCTGCTTAACCGCGACACTTCATAATCGCCACCTTCCAAATATGTTTGTCTTTACTGGGCTTGGTCGGCTGGTCAGAAATCTTGGTCCTCCTGGAAGAACAGCGTGAAACTGATAATAGTAGCGTAGATCAACAGACCGCCGACAACCGACATGGCCGCTGCGCCGCCTTCGATAGTCGCAGAATGATACAAAAGAGCTGGAAGGGCTGGAGTCGAGTATTAGCAATGATTGCACATTATGCGCGTGATGTGATCTCCAGCTTCCGGGTCTCGGCCTCCCCCAGCCAGAATCGATAAGGGAACTTACCGATACCCATCACCACGAAGAATCCAGTCAGGAACCTTCCAAAGTCCACGACTCCACTTCCCGAGCTTTCCATGAAATCATCGTGGTTGGCGGCGCGCCCGCATAGCCAATTCGGCAGCGGTGCGATAACGTAAGTTGCGACGACGAGAAGGGTAAGGTAGTTTTTGAAGAGTGCGGCACTCAAAATGACGAGGAGGAAGCCTATTGCCAGGATCTATGAGAACAAAGGCGTCAGTAAGGAAAGAGACATGTGAAGACCGGCAGGCAGACGTACGAAGGAAAGGCCGATGATGGTCTTAATGCCGGCCATGATTTGAAGGAGAGGTGAAAGCCTCAGGTAGACGGTCTGCGGGACTTGGTGTTATCCGTAGGCGATAGGAAGTCCAGTTAGCGGACGCGCATATATGGTATGTATATTGATTAAAGATTGATAGTTACTCACGGCTACGTGATTGCTGGAGTTGCGGTTGCGTAGCGCTTGCCCGTGAGGCTGGGTACGCACGGACGCGTCTGTCTTGGCGAGAAGCTGTCTGTCTGTTGGAGCTTCGTAATTGAAGCTGCCTACTACACCACATCCATCGGTCGCGATTCTCTCCGCCAACGCTCCTGCTTCTTCCTCTTTTCCTACAGACATATACTTGTCTTGCGTTGTGACGACCACCTAATTTCCAATTTCTGACCGTTCATCAACTGCAAGAGCTTGCCCCGCCTCTCTCCCCGGACCAACACTTAGCTCGCCGTCCCACCAGCCATGTTCAGGAACAATTACGACAACGATTCGGTGACCTTCTCGCCGCAAGGCCGAATCTTCCAAGTTGAATATGCACAAGAAGCAGTCAAGCAGGGCTCAGTTGTCGTCGGCATAGTCAGCAAGACACATGCAGTACTGGCTGCGATCAAGGTACATATACATGCTCTTACCACCATCGCTTGACTATCAATTCTAATTTGTGCTCAGCGAAATGCCGAAGAACTTTCCTCTTACCAGAAGAAAATCATCCCAATAGACTCGCACTTTGGCGTTGCTCTTGCCGGTCTCGCCTCCGATGCCCGCGTTCTCTCCAACTTCATGAAGCAGCAGTCACTCTCATCCCGCCTTACGTATGACCGCGCGATTCCCCTCTCCGACATCACCTCTCGCATTGCCGACCGGGCGCAGACGAATACTCAGCAGTACGGACGGCGGCCATATGGTGTGGGCTTGCTGATCGCCGGTGTGGACGCAAAGGGCCCCCATCTATTTGAGTTCCAACCTAGCGGCGTTACGCAGGAGATGGTAGCTTGCGGAATTGGTGCGAGGAGCCAAATGGCGAGGACTTACCTAGAGAGGCACCTGGATGAATTCGAAAGCTCAAGCCGGGAGGAACTCATCAAGCATGCGTTGAGGGCGTTGAAGGAGTCTCTGTCGCAAGACAAGGAACTTACCGTCGACAATACTAGTGTTGGGATCGGTGGTTTGGACGAGAGCTTTGTACTGTATGAGGGCCAGGATCTTACCGAGTGGCTGGATGCTACATTCGAAAACAGGGAAGGTGGCGGTGACGAGGGTGGCGATGCCATGGAGACTGATTCATAATCATTTCGCCCATCGAAGTTATAGGGCATAGTACCTTGACATGCCTGGACGCGTGGACCAGGGGAACAGCTGGACACCAGCCTACTGGAGCTGTTACGATAACTACGTAGATCATGAACAAGTGTCAAAGACTTTATATGCATTCACGATCATGCAATAGAAAGAATATGGAAATCATAACTGGAAGCATCAAGGGGGGTTCACTTGGGCATGTTGCTTTGCGATCATAAAACTCGCCGTTTGTTGCAGACACCTGGACCTAAAGGGCTCAAGTGCTAACTTGAACACGACCAAAACTGGCGCACCTTTTTAGGTAATATCTTCTGGCTTTCAACATGAGAGTCAACAGTTGTTCATTCAGTATATATCGATATGTTCAGTATATGACAGCAGTGGGAAGTTCAATTGATGTTATGGCCCGGGTTCGGATCACGTGATGAGTCCGCCGAGCGGAACCCGCAAATCTCCAGCCAAGCTCCAACCATCCATCCCCAAACTTCACAACCACCACCTCATCCCCCAACCCACTCAGTCTCCCACATCCGACCTCCATCCAAACCATCACAATGGCATTCGCGTGGAAAGCCTCCGGCATCTCGTACGCCCTCCCCCCGCACTTTCCCCGAGTCAATTGAGAGCAGGCAATTGACGAATCCTTACACAAAAACAGCTACAACCGCTACATCTCGGTCGCATCGCGTGTCGTGCGTCGCTCGCTGAAGGAGGACAAGCGCATTGCCGCCGAAAAGAGGGGCGAGAGCGACTTGCGGTTCGCCAAGTGGGAGGTGAGTTCCCAGCTGCATACATCTTCAAAAGGCCATTGGAGTTCGGGATTCGGGTGCTGATGCGTGGAATATACAGAACGGCAAGCAGGGCGAGGTGAAGAACTTGGCTGACGCCAACGCCGCGGCGGAGTCTTCTGCAGGAAGCTCCTAAATGTGCACAACTGGAAATGATATGGGGGGTTTGATGGGCGGCACAATGTGTGTGTGGTGATAGGGATGCGGAGAGAAGGTGGTTAGTATCCACCGGGGATGAATGTATATCTTTGTACTACCAAACACGGCATTCGTGGTGGATGAGGAATCTTTCGAAAAGACAATGCACAGCTAGGATTTGCACGCAGTTATATGCATGTTCGTGAAATGTTGTATGTGGGTGCGAGACGGAAGCTCATCGCTCAATCGACGATCTGAAATGCACGTCTCGCTCAATATCATGCACTTTGAAAAAAACTTGTTAGCATAATGTGATTCTTACCTTCTATCGCATATCAAACTTACACAACTCCATTGATGTCGAGTAGCCAATGTTGCTCAGAGCCTAGCTAACACGCGGAGCTGCCCGCATAGATACGGTACTAAACTGGGTACCTAATGTGGCTAACCAACGTTCCCGCGTCTACTACAGATCATCAGCGCCCACCAACTCATTCCACCAGCGCGCCCGCCATGGAGCCCAAAATTATCGACATAACGGAAAAGTTTACAGCAGCATGCAATGGTAAAACACAGCCCCGACTTTTTCTCTGCGTCTCATCATCACTACTTGCGCGCTTTCTGCGTACTGGTTGTGGCTTGATTTCCATGTGCGTTTTTGGACTCCACTAAGGTTGTCACATGGGATCGGCTGCTTTGAGTGATTGCCCCAAGTCCAGATCATGAGCGCGTGTGGAAATTCGAATATTCGGTGGATCGCGCTGACAGATTGATGTGTTTTTTAGGTCTTGATGTTGGACAGCTGGTCAAGGATGCGGTGTTTACGCTTTATGAATCGATCGGGGCTGTCGAGGTACTGATTGCCACCATCCCCATCTCCTAGAGTTGAACTTCGGGCTGATATGTACGGCTAGATCATGGACCCCAAAATGGACAGCGGGTTTCTCCAACCTGGCGAGAGTCTTGAAGACGATTACGACCCCTTGACCCGGATCAGTCCCGAGGAGCTCATCGGCATCATGGACCAGCTACTCTGCTATGAAATGGCATGGCACACTGGCTACCCTCTTTCCCAAACTCTATTCACTTCCATTCACATCGATCGGCTGCTTTGGCCCGAAGCAAAGGTTTTGGAGCAAGCCCAGTTTTACCGTGGAGAAGTAGAAGAGAGCAGAAGACCCGATCTGCTGCTCGAAGCACTGAGAGCCTACTGTCTAGCGGTCGTGAAGAGCTGCGACTATGTCATTGCGAAAATTACTTCCCGTGACTACTTCGAAGAAGAGGATTTTTGCTCTCAGACTTACAATCGTGTACTCTTCGTGCAGATTCCGACCGATGTCTTCGCGCGAGAACTAGATGCTGTTATTGAGGCTGTAGAAGAGAGTACTGAAATCGACAAGACCCTTCAATCAGCCATCATTCTCAGATTAAATGTACGCAAAACTTTGCTCTTGGCGTTGGACATCGACCTTCCCCTTCCTTATCTAGCCATGTACTGGTTACCGATCTTGAATTCTCTCACGACGATTGAGGAAACGCATCTGCTAGGGAAGCCCGTACCCAGCGCATTCAGCACAAAAATCCAACGCCGCCTTGCGTCTACAGTTCCCCCACGTCCAATCGCAGAAGTAGCGTTCAAAGATGCTATGAAGACATTCAGGCAGCTCTGCACAGACTGTCAGGAGGCCACTCGCTTCATCCAAATCCCTAAGGATCCTATTGAATACCAGTCATTCTTGTGGACGTTTGCGACCAGGAACCCACCGCCGTTGCCATATTCTCGGTCTTATCTAGGCACAATCGCTTTTAGTCCCGAAATATTACAATCCAATGTCCCCCTCACCTTGATAGATATCGAATCTTTTGTGTTCAAGTCAGAATCAAAGGTACTGGATCCATCGCACCGAGCACTATCACCTCCTCTCAACCCACGCCTTCCATACCCATTGGGCCTCCAATTAGTCAATGTTATCGACACATTCTTGGACAGGGTAAACCCTGCATACACGGAGCTCTGGATTACGCTGTGTCAAAATAGATGTCGAATAAGACGCATGTTGATACACGTAATTGCTGCATGGGACATATTACAGAAAGAAGCCGAGACTGCAGACGCAGAGCTTGCAACCATATGCCAGGCGATGGGCATCGCCCACGAGCTCATGGACAAGCCGCTGACTACATGGGTGTACATCAGGAAACTATGGATGCTAGAGAAGGTTATCTTGCTAGGCTTCGACCAAACGATCTACAGACTGGACGAGATGAGTTTCATGTACTACTTCCTCTACATGGTTGCTGAGCAGCGGGCCAGATTGCTAGCCCAATGCAAACAACATGTCATCGGTACTCCTCCGCCTTCGCCGCAAAGATCCCAATCACCGGCCTTATCACTACCACTACGCCCAACGCCCTCCCAACCATCAAGCCAATCTCCAACGCAACCAGTCTCCGAAGAAGATTCAACCCTCTCCGTCATCAACTTTCCCCCAACATCCGTACCACCGCCAAACTTCACCGCCTCTATTATAGACTCCACATCCCACATCGAACTAGATGATAGCGAAAACGCCGCGTTCTTGAGGAACTCGCACAGAATAGCGACAGGTACTCTTGCCCTCGCAGCCGCTCTCTCCCGTCTCTACACCATACTCCTATATCTTCGCGGCCCGAACAAAATCTCACCCCTAAGCACCTCGTATCTCCGCTATGAAGCACGAATGAAACCCTTCCACGCTCTTTCCTCACCACCAACCTCGTCTCCTTCGGTATTCGAGAACTCACAGAATTTGGCGGGAGGTGTTTCTTTATTGCAGAAGGCGCAGGGCCTGGGCAATGATGTGTGGACGGAAATGCAAGATGCAACAATGGTAGCTATGCAACGTTTAAATGACGCAACAGAAGAAGCAGCGAAAGGAAGTAAAGCTGAAGGTGTGAAGGATGCTTGGGATGCAGAGATGAAAGGGCTTACTGAGACATGCATGATTTTTGATGAGATTGCTGCGGAGATGCGAGGGAGGCTTTATGGGGAGGAGTCTGGCGAAGGGGTGAAGGGGATCAAGGTTCTGATAGAAAAGGAGGATGGAAAGGATTACGATTGTTTGGGGTGGATTACGCCGGGATTGAAGTGGGAGATGTGATGGTGTTTGAGTCTTCAGAAGGATGTGTGTATATGCTGCTGAAGAGCATAGCAACTCAGAGTCCTAGAGTATGGTCGAAGAGAATATAAGAAATGCCTTTGCATGGTCCATTGATTGCGACATACATATATACCTCACAGGCACGCACCAAAACCCCATCCTCGATCCATCAAAAAGCTCATAGGTATCGAGATCCAAAGTATCCCACAAAGAAAGCTCCATACTGGGTATCACAGAACCTTCATAATCAATACACCCAACCCAAAACGCCTAAAAGAAAGTACACGCCGAGATACACACACAGACAAGGAAGACAAGGCTGGAGAACGCAAATCTCTCAACCCTTATACTTCCTCAACACACCCTCCCTAACCTTCCTAACACTCCGCGCAGACAACGCATCTTTCCCCGTCTCCCCAGCCTTCTTAGACGCAATCTTCGCTTCAGTAATGAGCGAGCGCATGAAGAGCGTGTAGCTTAGAAAGACCTGTACATGATTAGCTCCATTTCATATACATGTGATGCAAAACACAGAGAGTTGATATAATAGAAAGATAACAGAAAAAGAAACATACCAGAATATCCACATCCTTGCTGATGGCGCGATTGCTCTGCGCTTTGACAATCTTCTTGATGGTGGGCCGGGGGTAGAGTGATTTCGCCATGCTGTAATGGGTGTTGTTTATTGTTGTCGTCGTGCTCGTCTTTGGGAGATGATTTTGCCTTCTCTCCTTGTTTAATCCTAGCTGAAGGGTTTGGAAGAAATTGTCGATCGGTGTTGATGTTATGTAGAAAAGATGGCCAGCCTGTTATTGTTTATCTTCGTGGAGTCGCGATTTGTGTACTGGACTTGGTTCCGATGATGGAGATTTGTGTGGTTAAGAGTAAATTGGCGTAATGTGTAGAGTGTTGCGGACTGGTATGTCAGTCGCGGTTGGTTATACTGTTCATTCGGAGTCTGTTGATTTGATGTTCGTTGTGAATGGGCGTGGCTGTTGACGTTGTTCAAGATGGTCTGTGCTGAGGGCTACGCGCCGACACGTGAGAACAGGAGTTCGCTGAATTGCTATGGGAGCCAATAAGACCAAAGGAATTTGGTATGACCAATGTTCCCGAATTTCACAGGATGAACTTTCCGGTGAACGAATTCACGAATAGTCAATTGCGAATACACGTGTGTCGATTCTGCCTACCAGTTGACTGTTTCACGTACATAGGTATGTAAATTAGACTCTCAACTGAACCTTTGTGTCACGTTTTACAAGTAAATTGTGCATGTAGAATAACAAATGAAAATGCTCTTATAAAACACTTCTATCTGGGACTAATCACAGGTATTGGTACAAAAAGCCCGCCTGTCAAGCAGCAATCTCCACAACATCCTCCAGCTAGATCTTCCGTATTTACACTTACACGTTGAGGCCAAGTTCTGAAGCGTACGGTAGAACGAACAGGTCACCGACCGATGATACCGTGGCCTTGGTCTCGAGTAATGACTTGGCAGCCTAGCCATATAATTAGCATGTAAACAATCACGGAGACGAATGACGAAACTTACCGATTTGACGGCCTCATCTGTAACACTGTCGATCTTCTGGGCAACCTCGTCGATCTGGTATGCCTTGTTGTCGCTGAAAAGGCCGTTACCAGTGAGGATCAAGCCAGCCTTGACGTCCTGGCCATTCTCCAACTCCTTAAACTTAGCTGCGGCCTTAGCCTTGGAAATTTCCTCCGTGGAGACATCGCCGGAAGCGATCTTCTTGATGAGTTCCACAGCAGTCTTGGCAGTTTGTGCAACGCTTTCGGCCTGGCCAGTGATGGTGGTGTACAGAAGACCAGCATCAGAGTAGATGGCGCTTGTCGTGTTGACCTTAGTACCGGGGGTAGCCTTTGCGTTGCCGAGGAGGGAAAAGCCAGGAGACCACTTGATGTTGGATTGACCACCAAGAAGAGATCCGAGAACAGCGATTTCAGGCTTGTAGGACTGGCCAGTGAATGAGCTAGATCCAGGGAAAGCAATGACCATGGCGTTAGAGCGGTCGTGGGCGATACGCTCCTCTCCACCGTAGTACTTGGTCTGCTGAGTGCCAGCGGAGTTTGCAGAACCCGCCTGTGATGGGACATCATCAAAGAACTCGTTCACCCACTTGGAAAGGTCGTTGTGCTCGGCGCCGTTGGCGACAACCGCGAAGTTGGGCTTGGCGAATGCGTGCTTGGAGAATTCCTCAATGAGTTCAGCGTCAAGGTACTTGGTGTAGGGTGTGGTGGAGGCGGAAGCGGTCGGTGTGCCGAGACCGCGGTGGAAAGCGAGAGCGTGGGCGGACTGGATGGCCATATCCGTAGGGCTGGCGAGGAATCGCTTGTGGGCGAAGTGGATCAAAGGAAGAACCTCTTCGGTGTATACGTGTGCTGGCTGCCATCAGTATCTTGCCCAATTCCATCTCAAATGGTGTGATCCGACATACGCTGGAATTTGGTGGAGGCAGCAACCTCGCCGAAGAGCTCAACGAAGTAAGGTAGGTCATCGCGGAGAAACTTGGCCTGGAGGACGAGGTTCTCGCGGGTGTGATACGCGGTCAATTCAGCTCCCAAGAGCTCGGATTCCCGTACAATGCGCAGCGTTGACCTTCGGTCAGTGGACTAGATGGCAATTGAGCATTAGCAGAGCTCCCCACGACTCTTCATCTGGTTGGAAACGGCATGGCGTACCCGGAATGCAAAGTTCTGCAGGCCCTCGGTGAGGCCAGGGAGCGGCTGGAAGCGGGTGCCCGCCTTGGAGACGAGCGCAAGAGTGGTGGTAGGACCGGCAAAGTCCCTGCTGGCAAACTTGACGCCCTTTGCCTCGCCGGACTGATACTGGAACGATCCTGAAGCGGGAGAAGCAAGCCCGCGGCGCTGGGCCGGGCGGACTGCCTGCGATCGGGCAGCTTGCTGTGCGCCCCGGCAGGCGGTCGTGCGGGAGAACATGGTGAAGCGGGCGCCGTGGGACGAGGCTGGAGGCAATGGGGGGAGGGCAATGGCTGGGATGGGATGAGTGCTGTGGTGAGCTGTATGCTGCTTCTCGATGGGTCGACTGGTTTTCGGATTATGTAAGTGCTGCACTAGCCCCGATTGGACGTTGGTCCCCCGCTATGATTTTCTGCTGCTGCCGACGGAAGCTTGCCTCGCTGACTGTCTGCGTCTTTTTCACTCTTCCTTCTTTCACTTTTGCTATATCTACTCGGACCCTGCCCAATGCCTCCGCGGTAGCCCTCCTGGACCCTAGATATCTGGCAAATATCTAGGCACAATTATGTCGTACACCCAGCACGAGACTCCGGCGCTCGCGGAGCTCTGCTCCTTCCTCGTTCAAGACATCTACGGCGAACTTGCAGCACGAGTCTACTCGATCCTCGCCCGCTATGGTCGCCAAAATCTCAACCAGCTGGTCAGGGCTTCTTATCTGAATCGGCGCCAGATTTCCTTGGGCCTCGTCACCCTGGTCCAGTCACACCTAGTTTTTCATTCGTCCCGTGTCTCGCCCGTGACAGCTTACGAGATTGACTGGCAACAGTCGTATGCACTGGTACGCTTCGGGAAAGTCGTGAAGTCAGTCGAAGATCGATTTGGCAAGAATGCAAGCGCCATTGTTGGGAATTTACTCGAGCACGGCCACACGCGCATTGGGGATCTGAAGAACGCTCTTTTCCCACCCCAAAATCCTAGCGAGGACTACGGTGACGAAGGAACCAATGGTGCAGGTGCAAAACGGAAGCGAGCGAATGGTACCAACGCCAATGGGGCGGACGGTAAAGTCAATGGAATAGTCAATGGCGCGACAAACGGTGCTCTCGAGGAAGAACAGGGTACAGGCGCTCCTGACAAGATGTACTTGAAAACGGTTGACGAATTTTACGATGCAATTCATTTGCTCATGCAGACTGGGTGGGTCATGAAGGTCGATGAGATGCAATATCTCTCTCCGGGCGACTACCACCAAGTAGCCCTAACGCAAGTTCTGGATGAACGGTGGAACGGACAAATGCCTTCAGGAACGAAAGACAAGGGCAATGTTAAGAAGGATCTTTGCCAGCGTAAGCGAAACATACGCGATGCTTGGGCAGAGCCTCCACAGTTCGTCAAAACGAAACGAAACCCCAACAGTGGGACGTATGAGCAGTCGAACAAGCGAATCAAGATCAACGGCACACATGCCTTGCCTTCAAGTGGCGGTGGTGATAACTTTGATAACGCTGAAGACCGGCTTCCCATTCGCATCAATAGGGACAAAATCGCGGTTGCCATGCGTACCGACCAACTGGTTCGACTCGCAGAGCAACGGCTTGGTACCACTACTGCTCGCATCTACGAAATCATGTTGCGCGAAATCGAATCGCAGGTTCCACGGTGCTTTGAAGAATGGCCAGATCCACCACCCGATCCCAAAAGCGCTGAACCTCCTCCTCCACCACCTACTTACCTTGTGACAACTCGCGAAGTCGAATTACGGACAAAGGACTTCGATATCTGCGAAGGTCTGGATCCGCAAGCAGTCAGTAAAATCACCGGCCGGAGCCTTGACAGAAACTTGAAAATGGAAGATCCCGTGGACCCTGCAGATCTTGGTCAATACCAGCGGTTCGAATTGATTCATGCCCACATCGATCTCTTGTCCAGGGATCCATTCCGCTTCGTTACGTGGCACTCGGGCTCGGGTCATTCGGAGTGGCAGATCGAGTTTGGGGAGATTGCACAGCGACACATTCAACAAGAGATCGAGAACACTGTATCTGCCAGAAAGCCTCAGTTCGGACTGAAGCTCATACGGGCGCTGAAGAAGAAGGGGAAACTTGATGAACGTCAAGCCGGCCTTACCATGATGATACCTGCTGCTGAAATCAGGGGTGTTGTCAACGATCTCGCTGTCCAAGGCTTTGTTCAAACACAAGAAGTTCCCAAGGTCGAGCGACGGGAAGCGAAACATTCCATCCACTTGATCTGGTATGACCGTCAACGCGCACGTGAGAAGCTTCTTCATGATACATACAAAGGGATGATTCGTATCATACAACGTATCGCCTTCGAGCGAGAGAAAGTGCAAGCCGTGCTCGAGAAGGCAGAGCGTACTGATGTTCGTGGCAACGAGTCGCGGTTCTTGGGCCGCGACGAGTTGGACATGCTTAACTCGTGGAAGGACGTGGAAGAGAGACTACTCCTGCAGCTCTCCCGTGAGGATGATCTTGTTGCCATCTTGCGCGACTTCCACGGGGCGCTGATCTCTTCATAGTAGATACGAATATTTTCGCACGGCAAGTGTCGCCTTCTGTACATTATTCCATGTTGCGATGAGATTGTATCTGGGTGGCGCATCTGGATGGACGGAATCCTGTTCAATTTTTTTCATAACAAAAAAAGCATTTTGGTAGGGACGAGATACCCACTTGGCATTGGAAATGGAAAATATTGGAGTTCATGTTTCACTTGCACTCTGTCTATTCTAGAGACATACTACTATGATGCGGTGTCGAACCCTCACCATGAAATTTGTTTCTCGAGACTCCCAACAGCATACTAAAACGACACAAACAAGGGTGTCAATCTCGAAGCGAAGCTCAGCCCGTTATTTTAGAGGGCCTTGGTCTCCATGACATCATGAACCTGTCACTTTGAGCTCACCATTCTCGATCCCCTACACCAAAGAAACGAAATGCTATAGTGACTGTCATTGTCTTTCCTACAGCCCTGCCTATTTATCTCAACCCCAAGCAAGGAAAGTCTAGTCACTGGAAATTGAATCATTTCAAGCTCAGTTGGCTGTAGCGCCACTCCAATATGATGGCCTCAAGCTTCCGCTCTATATCCACCCTCACCTGCAACAATGCCGCGGGCGCATTCCGAAGACATGGTCTACAAACTCAAATCCGCTTTTTAACTGCAACCTCTCCCTGCCTCACCTCTGATGACAAGAAACGAATGGGACATAACCCCCAGGCCAACCAACCAGACTCAATCAATGCCTCTGTACGGAAGGACACTCCAAACATGGACACGCAATCCAGCGCTTCTCCTGATGAAGGAAAAAGCGGGGACGACCATCCAGCAAAGCAGCCAGACACTCAAGCAGAGCCCAGTAGGGTGACGGGGATTGGTGGAAAAGGGAGAGTTGAAGGGGGTAAGGAAGGGTTGGGTGAGAGGACCGACAAATAAAATTGGGTGGGAAATGAGGATGGAGAGTTATTGGGAAGATGGAAGGACGACAAGGGACTCATTTGGAATACGTGTATGAGTGAGGCGATGGATGATGCAGTATGTTTTGTTGTTTTGCTATTCTATTATATCATTTTCCCCCCAGAGGGCTGTACGTGTAACAGTCCCATGCATATATTCGAAGACGTAAATCAACCACTGAAGAGGAGCTCAGAGGATTTGATGTACAAAAGAGGAAAGAAGGGGGGGTTGCATTTGTATTACTATCATCCACCTAAGTCTCGGATTGTTCACGTTGCGGTTGCATGTCTTTGATGCTGGTACTTGGTCACTGTCTGTAGGATCCTTTTACGCCTTTAGGTATCATCCAGGCAGAGCACTGCTGCAGTCCTCTGTATCACACAGTTCCCTCGGTGTTTATCTAAGCGCACAACAGCACAACAGTGGGGACTCGAGCGTGGAAACCACAAGATGTACAACACCATACTCGAACACGGCGCTCGAACCAATAAAGCATCCCACACCCTCGGCAACACCTCGTGTGCCTCGCGTGAGACGTACGTACGAAGCACCATCAAAGGATCATCAACCCGCAAAGCGCGTGGCTTTCTTCCATTCTTCTCTTGCTTACTTGTACGCGAGATGAATGATCGTTCGTGCGAGTGGGAGTGGGAGCGAGAGCGATTTGGTTGCCTTCTAAGCTTTCCTCTAGCGCCGGATATTGCTTGTGCCCGCGCACAGCAATGCGATGAGCTCGCGCGGTATGTGTACAATTATCTGCCAATCCGGCTAGGGTTTCTCGTATGGTTATCCCATTAGGAAAGGTCTGGTCTGTTTTCCAAAAATACAAGGAACCCAGTGCACGGACCACAACCCTAACCAGAGTCTCACTTTTGGACCCTCGGACTTCGAGACAGCCCCTAAACACCTATTAAGACCAAGGCTTGTTTCCTGTTTCAAATGCTTTTGTACTGTTGATTCGTCGACCCCCCCAACCCAAATGCGAATCTTGACCTCATTTTGACCACACACGGACTTGGCCCAGGTGTCGTCCTGCCTAGTCAGTTGTTGAAGGGAGCGGAAACCATGCGACTCGGGGGTTTAAGGCATTGTTGTGCATGCTATTCACCTCAGGCTGGAGCACCGGACGCCCAAAGCAGGTCACTGTTCGTACCTGAGCGCCCCCAGGTTTTCACCGCTGTCATCGTATGGCATTCAAGACTTCCATGATCATGGAAACCCATCTCACTCGAGACGATACATGTGCGCCCAGGCGAGGAACGTTGATATGTGGATGACTACATTCCACAATTGTGGCGTGGTCGTTTCGCGACGATTCAAAAACCCAGCCTGGCCAAACATCTTTTCACTGCTTGTCTAGCAACTGTAGCCGCAGTGAGTGAATTGCCTAGCAGTAGCACGTCTCACCTATCAAGATGTGGCCCCATATCGTAAGACTAGCCTGAAAGGGTGACAGACAGTCAGGCCTACCGCGCTCTCGCCGTAACCACCCCTGCTCGAGGTCTGTTTTCCGCAATCACCGGAGGTACGTGCGGTGTGGGCGCCAGACTGTATAACATCGACATGCTGTCGTGGTGAGGCATCGTTTGAAGCTTCAGTTCACTCATTTTTTTACCCAACCACAGTCGTTCACTCACTTTCGAGGTCTTGACCTCATTACTTTCTTTAACCCTTTTACACACACATCTAAACCATGGCGAGCCATATTGCATTCTTGACTCTTGCATTTCTTTCTTCTTTTGCCAACTCAATCCCTGTAGCCTCTCAGGGCTCGACTATCGATGTGCGCAGCGACGTACAAACAGAATCCAGGTTCAGCTACCCTCTAGACAAGCGACAACAGAAACTTTTTCCGCTGCGGGTTCTTCCTCTCGGTGCATCAATTACATATGGTACCGCAAGCTCGGACGGCAATGGCTATCGAAAAGCTCTCCGTGATCAGCTCCGCTTTAGTGGCTGGGAGGTCAACATGGTCGGCAACCAACAAGGCGGCCGCATGACCGACAATGTAAGATTATTCATGGTTTGCAAGTTCAGAGAGCTTTGATTAACCATTTCGTAGGACAATTCCGGTTACCCGGGTTTCCGCGTTGACGAGATATTAACAAAAGCGGAGCAAGTTGTCGGCAGGCAACCCAATGTGATTACCATCAAGTGAGCACATCGATCTTCTGAATCATGCATATATGCTGACTGGAAATAGCGCTGGTACCAACGATGCGGTTCAGAACAAGACTGGATTGCCCGTTGAGGAAGTAGGAAAGCGTATGGACCAGATGCTCGACCTCCTTTACGAGAAAATTCCAGGTGTAACCATCCTCTTTTCAACTCTGCTCACGAACAAGGGAGCCACCACCGACAGCCGTGTCAAGAACATTGTCAACCCACAATATCGAGCCCTCGTCGAGCGCCGCCGCAAGCAAAACCAGCGCATTGTCCTCGCCGAGATGTACGAATCCGACACCCCCTGGCTCTCTAAGAACGAGCTCTCCGACGGCACCCACCCCACCGACGCCGGCTACAAGAAAATGGCTGCCATCTGGTGGGCCGCCTTCCAGGAAGCCGACAAAGCAGGCATGCTTCAACCCCCCAACAAAGCCACCCTCCTCCAGCGCTGCGAACAACCCGCCAAGATTGAGGGCAGCAAAATTCAACTCCCAGCCAACTTCTACGGCCCTGTCGAACCCCTCCAATTCGCTGAAGCCGCAAAGAACGACGCCCAGGAAGCACTGTGGAGAAAAGACAACGACGGCTACTACGTGTACAAGTGGATCAACAACGAGTTCGTAGACGGCGCGCGCATGGATATCAAGTCCAACTGCTGGGCTAAAGGTACGATTATACCCCCACCAACATCTCCCTCCTCCCAACAAGAAAACTAACATGAGCTTGTCTAGATGTCCGCTGGCTCGACGTTAACGGTGACGGTCTCGTCGATTTCATCTGTCTCGACAAAAACCGCGCCCTCGATATCCAAATCAACAAGGGCAACTACCCCCCGACCTTCGAAAACGTCGGAAAATGCACTGTCCCGCATATTGGTGACGACGGCGCTGTTGCGGATCCTTTGTTGCCCAAGAAACCGTAGATGGTGTTTCGATCCTTTTCGTCTCCTTTCAGCTCTCTTATCTCCTTTGGTTAGACGTTTTGTTTTTGCAAAGAGAGACGATAGAAGAAAGGTAGACACGGAAGATCGTCACCCTGTTTCACGTTTTCTTGTCTCTTTTCTCGGCCGTCATATCACTAAAGATAATGTTTTACATGTCTAATGTGCTGTTCCTGTTCCTTTTTTTTTTTGCATGTCGTATGGATTGGCTGTTTGTCGATGAGGGGGTTCATGCGAGCAACGGCGATGTCGGTTTACCTCTTCGCATTCTCGAACCCTTTGCTTTATTTTTTGATACCCCAAGTTCCCGGGCTTTTTTTAGTTTCCTTGTTTATATTCTACCCTGCCTTGTTGCACATTAAGCGGTATTTGTTTTGGGTTGTTTATTGTTTAGTTTTGAGATGAGAGGGAAACAAGTATGTCTGCTTGACATGACATAACATAACTTGATATATGAAATATTTGTCTCCCCGAGGCGTCTTGAGCTAGCATGCTTGCGCGGGAACATTCCATCATCTTTTGCCATTCTCTTCCCATGAATTAATACTTGACAAGTGACCTTTATTTTTCAATCTTCTCAGGGCTAATAGCTTATATTTCCAACTATCCAATATACAAGCCCGAATTGCTGGGTTTTAACCGCACTACACTCCCATACTTCACCAATTATCAGTTTCTGGGAACAGTTGTCTCTGAAAAAGGTAATACATCCCCAACAAACCACCCTAACCTAGACTCCTTAAGGACATAAATAAGCATGCGCAGCAGGTCGACACCTCACCGGACATCAACTCTTCATTCCCCTGCCTCTCACAGCCTTGGCCGGATAATCTAGCATTATACGAGAAATCGATAACACTCATGTCTCTTCTTAATTTTCGTAAACAGGTACCTACGCCAGCATGTCTTCGAAAAAGACAAAATTCAGACGAGAAAGAAATAGGAACGGAAGATATTGGGAGTTGATTGAATCCCAGTGTGCCCAAGAGGGAAAAAAGTACAAGGGAAGGAGGAAGGAGAAAGCGAAATTGATGTTTTCAAACAAATCCCGACCAAACTCAGCCCCCCACCCACTTCCCTTTCGCTCGCTCGTTTCGAAACACCACACTACCCACACACAAACATACCCATAAAAAAGTGGGGGGGGGGGGGGGGGGGGGGATAGGAATTTGTTTCGCTAGTCACTTGTCACATTTTGTGAAACAATAATTACTATGTTCCCACAAGGGTGATCTACCTATTTCCCCGTTTTTTTCAATTCGGGTGTTATTGTTGATGGTGGTATGAGGGAGATGCTGGGGGTGATGTGAAGAAGTGGGGAATTTCGATAGTTTTTAGCGGTTTGATGTTCCGTCTTGATTTTTTGTTCGCTTGGGGTTCCTTGGGCTCCGACTCAGTCAGTGTATAAGGGAATTCTGTTATACATGTACTGGGTAGGGGATACAGATGATTGCAGATAAGGGGAAAGAAAGTAGCTCAGATGCGCACAAGAGAAGTGTGCGGCTTGTCGATGCATAGATTGAGATGGGTAATACATGTCTGGGATCTGGTCGTGGATATATGCAGGCACTTCTTGGTGTTCGCGAGAGGTACCCCTGTCATGTACGAGTTTGTAGATCAACAGCTATCTACTGTGTATCTATGTTTCCGTGATCGACGACCAATCTGAACCAGATCGGTATCGTTTCCGCAGAGTCAAAGTCCTAAGACAAAACACATCCAAAGGCTCATTTCTCTCACTACAAAAATCATCACATCGCCTTCTCGCCCGCTTCATCGGGAGTGTTCCTCTCTACTGTAGCCTCGACCTTCTCAGTCATCAATTCCTTGACGCCTCTCATCGCCGCCACACTAACCGTAGCCAGAGCGACAAAAGGTACAACGCTCCACCATCCAAGCCTGTAAGCTCTAGCATACGACCAATAACTCGCCTGCCATGCCGCACTCATAACTTCTGCAGTTGCACCTTGGACCCCACGTCCAGTGACCGTTGTCTGCGTACCTGCCGCCATAGCTTTGAGCAGTGCAGGGACAGAAGATGCTGGGAGCCCAGCGGAGATCGCCGCAGAGCCAACATCGGAAGCGTAATGCGAATTGAGACGGCTATTGATGACAGCGTTGATGACGGCTGATCCAAAAGCACCGCCGATGGCGCGAGCGGAGAAGGCAAGGCCAGTCGCAGTGGATAGGAAGGCGTGCGGTGCTGTGAACTGCACGCAGGCCACTAGAAGCGTGAGAGGTCCTGAGCAGCCGATACCAGTGAGTACCGTGAAGATGATTTGAGGGGTTGACCAGTCAGGTCGGATGCACGCATAACAGATGGTAGCGATTAGGAAGACACCGTAGGTGAAGACGAGCGGGGTTTCTGATGATGCGTTAGTTCGTGGTCTGAGGAATGAAGTTTGAAAGACGTACTCATGTCTTTGAAACGTGTCGCGTACCATGTGACTGGTAGGGAGAAGAGAAGAGAGGGAATCTTGTAAGAGAGCTGGCGGACTGCGATATCCCAACTGTTGTCCTCAAATCCAAGGTTGAGGATGATCTGAGGAGTGACGGAGTTGACGGCGGAGTAGAAGATCCAACCTTCTACCGCGAACGCGAATGTCGCGAGCCAAAAGTTGGGTCCGTTGCTGAAAAACACATGTGCGACAATGCCATCAGATCTGCCCTTCCATTCATATACACAGAAGACAATGAAAAGCACTCCTCCCACAGCTAAATTGGCACACACGTGGGGATCGCTCCAGGGATATGCTCCTCCAGCCCAGTTCAGGGCCAGTAGCATCAAGGTAGCACTTGCAATAAGCAGAAAACTGCCGATAGGGTCGCAGGCCCACACCCATTCCTTGAGCTTCATCCTAGGGTAGTCGGTGCGTTTCTTAGGCCAGTAGAAAGCCATTATGCCAATGGAAGTCAAGCCATGAAGGGCTGCCTGGATCCAGAAGATGTTTCGCCAGCCTGCAGGATTGATATTGGTCACAGCACCTGCTGCCAAACCACCCACTCTATGAGTTATCGGTCAGTTTGATAGTCATGGTGAAAGTACAATTTGGGTTGCACCTACAATCCGCCCACGGCACCCCCCAGGTAGGCAAAACCGTTGGCTAATGGCCGATACTTCATGGGCAGAATTTCGGAAGGAATCGACTGGACGATGGAGATGGTTGCGAGGGTGATACCGATTAATATTCCACCTCCGATCACCATGTTCATGGAAGTGGCTTTGGCACAGATGATGCTTCCAGCAAAAGCAATCAATGGCGGCAATGAAGCGAACAGCTTGCGATCCAAAACATCAGATAATCGGCCTACGAGCGGAGAAAGAACGGATTGCATGAGCAAAGGGCCCTAGATAGCGTTAAGTTGCTGTTGGGCTTCGCGGTTGATTTCACATACCTGAATGATCCAACCAGCTATAGCTGGCTCGCCTAGATCGCGGATGATGAACGATATGACACCTGGGTAACGTATCAGCGAGACGAGCTACATGTTGGCGGAGGAAATTCAACTCAACATACTTCCTGCAGCTACGACAACGAAGACTTGGGACATGATACTGTAGCTATATGAGACGGGCGCACAGACGGTAGTGAGTATGATACGCACGCAAAGCAAGTAATGAAAACCACGAGCCACGATCTCCAAGTCAGGTCGATATGAATAGCATCTTCGTTCACTTCTTGCTGGAGAGGGACAACATGAGAGTTGAGATCGTGCGATTTGCGGTTGTGTGAGTCGGAGACTCTTTCGACTGCGTTGGCCTCATTTTTGGCATCCATCTTGGAACATGGAGAGCGATACAAAAACGAATCGAAGAACAGTAAGCGAAGATGCAAACATGTACCTAGTTATATATGATGAAAGATGCACTGGTGCTAGCTGGAACCAGTTAAACATGGCATGTCGCCTGGTGCAGGACACGGGATGCATAAGCATGCAGTCGGCAGTTGAGAATAGGGTTATGCAATTGGCGAAGCGAGGGCTTCTGGCTTCCTCGTGGGGATGTTGATATCCGACATTCCTGGAGGAATTCTGACTCGCCGCGGGGACCCCATGCATGTCGATCAGCAGCTACCTGTGTAGGGAATGGCGGGGTGTGGAGTAGTGTAGGCGGCGACATGTCACCGCAACGACCTTAACTTGATTGTTGTTAGACTGTGATGTCGAATTCCATGAAGGATCAATCCGCGGGGTGGTGGGTATTCTAGACTTGCTTCTATACGCACATGAGAAGCTGCAGGAGAGTTGGGAATGAAGTATGTAAATGTAGTGTGGAGATGATTCATTACGTTCAATATGGAATCGATCGTCGGGCTATCAAGACATGCCCAGCCTCAAGCACAATGAACAGCTGAAGTTCGCACAGTTCATAGGGGCCACAACCAGAATACAAAAAGACGATAGGTATGGAGCCTTATAAAAAATACATACATTATGTATATACAGGTCTTCCATGAGAGCGTCGGTGGCGTCGGCCCGAGATTTTTCCGTGCCCCTCCAATCAGGAAAGAGTTATATAACAATAAACAACCAGCTGCTCCTCCCCCCGTCGTGGCTTCCTCCTCCACCCGCTGCGCAGGGACAGCTACTAACAAATACCGTCGTGACACTTCCCCCAGAGGAAGGAAAAGAAGACTAACACGACGAGATAGGAACTCTCCCCTCGCAAGAATAACTGCTCCAACTTCCAACTGACCTCCTCTCTTCTGCCTCTTCTGCCTCGTCTCCTTGTTCCCTTCGCAACATACTCTTTGAGGACTTCCCAGTCAGAATATCCGCCACTTCATCAATCCACTAATTCATCAACCTACCGATCCATTGATTCTGCGGTCCAGGACCAACCACGCCATGGCCGTCGACACTGATCCCGGAACGGCCTACCACAGCGGCAAGCTGATTCCACTCAAGACCAAGGATGAAGTGCGTGCCAGCACCGAAACCCAACAAGTCTACGTCATCGAGACTCCTTCTCGCAATGCCAATGAGGTCAAGGAGTGAGCAACTTGTGCCTTCTCAACGTGCCTTTTTCCAGCTTACTGACTTGCGTAGTATGATTCACGAGGCCCTCCCGGATTTCAAGACCGCAGAAGTGTCCCATCTACGCCGTGTTGTCCAGTTCAAGTACCTGCCGGGCCATCTCCAGAGACAGTTCGGCCCGCCTCCAAGGCTTCCAAGAGGTGACGACCACGATACCCCTATAGACTTATCTCCATCTTCCACACCACTTCCTCAATCCCCCTTAGGCTCCGATCCCGAAGACGATGGCCTCCTAACATCTTTATCTCCGCCCTCTTCCCCCCTTCCTCCTTTTCCCCCAGACCCTGAAACCCTTGAGAGTTCAGTTACTAAAGACGAGGATTTAGTTCGTTACTTCATCTTGTGCCCAACCCGCTACATGCAGCATGCCGATCTTTTTGCCTTGCTCCGGAAACAAGAGCCGTTCTCCTCTTTCCCGGTCGGACCTAGGCTCTTATACGTGACCGTTCCCACCCTGGCACCCACCTCATCGGAGCAGGCCGCCGAATGGAGCGCAGCCTATTGGCCCATTGCTTACAAAAACACTAATCCCTATGGCCCGCACCCCAGTCTCGTTGCTAGGAACGCCGCCGAAATGGAGAACAAAGCTGGTGACTTTCTCGCTCTTGCCAAAAAGGCAGGCATTGAGATATCTAATACTGGCATCGGTGAAAATATCGGCTGCGTTGTGGTGGATCACAGCCGGGAAGTGCCCGAAGTTGTCGCCGTGGCAGGCGATTGCCGCTGGCGCTCCCCTACAGGCAATGCCGAGTGCCACGATGGACACGGCAACGTCATGGCACACTCCGTGCAGCGCGCGATTGCCATGGTCGCAAAGAAGAGGCTTCGCCGCACAGGCGCAAATCCAACGCTGCTCGATCGTTCACTGTTCGGCGACATCCCTTTGACCGAAGTAGAGACACCCTATTACGAGAAAGACAACGTCAATGCCAACGGCTATCTCTGCGTGGACCTGGACATCTATCTCACCCACGAACCTTGTGTTATGTGTTCCATGGCCATCGTGCATTCACGATTCAGGCGCTGCGTCTTCGCCAACCGGATGCCCTTGACGGGCGGCATGACAGCAGACTCAATTGGTGATGCTAATCATCCTGGCAAGGGATTGCGACACGGCATGTTCTGGAGGCCAAGCGAGCTGAACTGGAAGTTCCTGACTTGGGAATGGCAGAGCGATGACGAGGAGGCGCAATCGAGCATCGATGATACCCTGCACGTTTAGAGGGATGTACTGTATGAGCGGTGCAGCTTGGATAGGAGGTTAGCATTCCAGCATTGTGGCATTGTAGTATTTGTTATCACCCGATGGAAAAGCCAGAACTGCAAGAGCATCTTAAGGGGGACAATGATACCAAGAATAATTGTAATGAATACAAGTAGTTTCTAATTTCTTGGGATGATGTGAAGCGCATGGTGTTGGGCATGTAGGAATGCGCACGTGCGGTCGTGGCCGCGTCAATTCCTTAGCGCGTTCAGTTGTCGATGCATCTGTCCGTCTATTTTCCTTGTCAGCATTGCATGTCAACATTCTCATACCAACAATCATGCTACCCGATGAGATCCTCGATACTTTGCAATCGGAATTTCCGTGTAGGGAGTCACAAATTCAGCAATTGACTGCGTTCTATTCGGTACGATCTTTTAGCCTTTGCAACACATATTACGAAGCTGTACAGCTACTTATCAGCACCAGGAACACCACCTCCCCTCACCACCCCTCCTAGTTGCTCACGGTCTCACTGCCACAGGCAAATCGTCGATCATAAAATCACTACTCGAACTATCATCGTTGCCTCATGCTGTCATAAGATGTCGCGAATGCATTACGGGAAGACATCTGTTGGAGCGCATTGTTGCATCATGTTTAGATGCACTGGACACATTTGGCGACGAGAGAATCGATAGGAAACGCTTTGCACGAACCGAGAACTTGAGTAGCCTCGCAGTGAATCTGCAGAGGCTTTTAGAAGGACGGAATAAGTTCGTACTGGTGCTAGACGGTATCGACAAACAAAGGGAAGCCCCGCCAACAATGATGGCGGCTCTGGGAAGGTTTCGAGAAGTGGTGAGTGTTGTCCATCAGGATGCAACGAAATTTCCCTACTCTCGCATTGAAATTGACAAAGTGCGCAGATACCCAATCTCTCAATCATCCTGATATCGAACCTCCCTCTTACGCAAGCCCTCTACACTCCATCCACCCCACACATCCACTTCGCACCCTACCCGCGCTCTTCGCTCCTCACCATACTTGCCGCCAAACCTCCTAAGATCTTTCTCACGCCGCCTTCAACTGAGAAATTCCCTGATTACACACCCGACCTCGCCGCTGAAGACGATGCGTGGCTATGGGGTCGCTTCACCTCCGCTGTTTACGACTCTCTCTCCAAACACACAGGCCGCGACCTCGTCAATTTTCGTATTGCAGCTTTGAAGCTCTGGCGTCCTTTCGTAGAGCCCGTCGAGGCAGGCACATTTGGAACAAGGGATTTCTCAAGATTGATGGTCAACCGACGGCACCTCTTCCAAGGCGAAGAAGGCGTGCTCGACCGCATAATCGCTTCGGAAAGCACCCTCACAAACCCGACGGGCACCGTACCTCCGACACCCAAAAGAAACTTAAGAACCCTCGCTCACGATCTCCCTTACTACGCTACACACCTCCTTATAGCCGCATACCTCGCCTCCTACAACCCTTCCCGTACAGACGTAACTTACTTCATGAAGCACACCGACAAGCGCAAGAACAAGCGCCGTGTGCACACATCCTCGGGAACTGGCGCCATGAAATCAAAGCATCGCAAGATCTCGCGTCATCTGCTCACGCCTTCTCCATTCCCTCTCGACCGCCTTCTCGCTATCTTTAGGGCCCTGCTGGACGATGCAGGCGTGCCGCAGTCGGCGGACTTGTATACCCAGGTGGCGACGCTGACGAGTATGCGGCTACTGGTCAAGGCGGGAGGTGCAGGTAGTGCTGACCCGTTAGATACGGGAGCAAAGTGGAGGGTCAATTTTGGATGGGAGTATGCAAGGGGGTTGGGGAGGACTGTTGGGCTGGAAGTTGGGGAATATCTTGTCGGTGGAGTGGACTGAAGGGAAAGACACATAGATGCAAGAAACTTGAATTTGGTGGGGCGACCGTTACGTCGCCGACTCATTTACTACAAGCAAGCAATTATAGATCCTATGATATGTACAATGCCCCGTTCGATGATGAGACGTGTGTTCGGTCTTACGAACTGCAGCTACACTGCATCAAACCCTTGTACTTTGGCACGTCGCCGCAGAAACGGTCTTCCTCGCCTTGATCCCAGCCCCAGTTCTCTTGGAAGGGGTCGAGATTGAGTTTCATGATTTGAGGCAGGATCTCGCGCTCACCCTTCTTCTCAACACGCTCGATGAGTTCGTCTAGTATCCAGGAGCGGGGAACAAACTACAAAAACAATCGTCAGTGTGTTTCCTCTATATGCAAAAATTCGCTTTCGAGATGGAAAAGGGAGGGAAGTCTTGAGAACATACGTTTGGGTTCACACTCCGCATAGCCGCCTGGCGCTCCGCATCAGCAGCCTCCCCCCAATCCTCTTTAACACGCGCCGCCCATTTCTCCAACCACTTGCCTAGCCGCTCACGTGAAGCATCTTCCTGACGGGGGGCTTCGTTGCTGCGGAAGAATCGACCCGCGACATCCTTCCTCGCCTCCTCACTCTTCAGCTCATCGAGTGCGAACCCAGACAAGCGACGGAACGCATGATGGAAATCAAGCTCGAATGCTTGCAGACAGTCTAGGAGTTCCGAGTACAGCGAGTCAAAGTCATCTTGTTTTGTAGTTTTGAGTCCCAGACGGGCCGTCATGAGACGCTTGTACTCGGCGAGGAAGACGGCTTTGAATTCCTCGCCGCCGCGCTCGATGATGGATTCTGCGCGTTTGATGAGCTCGTCGGTATCTTCTTCTTTTACACCATCGTCGATGAAGGAGGATGTGTCGACGGTGGAGCCTGCGCCCATGAGTTCGCCAAGGGACTCGCCTAGACGGACTAGGTTCCACCATATGATAGTAGGTTGGTTCCTGTAGGAGTAGCGGAGCATGCCGTCGTCGTGGTTAGGGGTGTATGTAGGATCGAATGTGTCGAGGAAAGCGAAGGGCCCGAAGTCGATGCTCAGGCCAAGAATGGAAGTGTTGTCTGTGTTGAGCACGCCGTTCATGAAGCCGTAGGCCTGCCATTTGGCGACCGTGAGGGCGTTGGCACGGATGATTGAGCGATAAAGACGAGTGTATCTGTTTTCTTCTGCGGTGCCGGTGCCTTCTATTGTTTCGCGTGGGATACCGGTGGAGGCAGAGGCGTGTGTTTCTTTGACATCGCCGTCGGGAAGCTTGGAAGCCAGCTTGTCCCATCCACCGTAGACGTGTTCAGCTGTGTAGTCGGACAGCTCGCGGATGAGTTTGCGATCGCCGCGCATACGTGGGAGGTCAAAGGTCCCGAAGCGGATCCATGATTGCGCGAAGCGTGCTACAATGGCTCCCGGCTCGAGTCTTTCTCGCCTGACCTTGGTGTCTTTGCATAGCGTGAGTGCCAGTGCTCTCGTGGTGGGGATCCCAATCGCATTCAAGTATTCCGATACCACGAATTCCCTTATGCTAGACCGAAGCACCGCTTTCCCGTCCGCAAACCGCGAATACGGCGTTCGTCCAGCGCCTTTGAGCTGAAGCTCATACCGCGTCCCCGAGTCTGGGTTTGTGGTCTCGAATAAGGAGATAGCGCGCCCGTCGCCCAATTGTCCAGCCCATTGCCCGAATTGGTATCCACCATAACACTGTGCCCATGGATATATGCCTCCTCCTTCCGAGTTTTCCTTTTCATCCCATGTTATGATCTTGCTTCCTGAGAACACCTGCTTGAACTCTTCTGTTTGCGCTTCGGACTCGGCGAGCCCAATGTCACTAAGGGCACGTGGGCTGACGCATAAGAGCTCGGGATGTTCAGTTGGCTCTGGGCGCACATATGTGTAGAGCGCTTCTTTGACTAGACGTGGACCAAGATGTTCTCGGGAGGCGGCGTGCGACACTGACGGCGTGGGGAAGGCGGGGTCGGTGGGGAGGTTTGACGTGAAAGTATTGGATTTTGGGAGTGATCGAAGGGTGTGGGAGCCTTTGGCCTTTGATGTACCGTTCGTGGCTTGAGTTCCATTACTAGAGGAGTCGAGGTGCGCCATGATTTGCGATAGGCGCATCGATTGAGTGCCAGTTCTTTTGATGTGTTGATTTGTGATCACAGGTCGAGTTTGACGTGAGATGGCCCGGCGTAAAAGCATTAATTAGGCAGAAGATGGGAATTAAAGAGGTAATATGGTAGCAAGCAGTAGATTATGAAGGAGTGAGCATCAAAATATGTATCCCGATGTGGACTGGAAAATATTGCGATGGCGGAGTTGATCGGTCAAAATGACGCGCAACGGGAGGAGGGTCGTTGGCGTCATTGCCTCGGTAGAAGTGGAGTTCGAAGCATTTCAAGATCTGCGTTCCGGAATTTTGTCCCGTAATCTTTTGATAGGTGTCCAAATTATCATCATAACTTTAATCACAAGTATTCGAGTTGCGTACGACTATGTGGTTTTAAGCGTCTATGTACACATGTGGTTCGACCATGTATAGTCCAAGCTACACGTGATAGCGTGTCTTATCGTTATCGATAAGCCGTAGTAATCGGGATAGTCTACTCGCTCGCGTTGCGAGCAATTCTTATTGGTAAAAGCATTTTGGAGCCGAACAGCGAGTTACGACATACACTACGCCGCATTACCAACACGTCTTGGAATTGTATACTTCCCCTCGCCAGCAGAACAGTTTTCTTCTGACTATCGCTTTCTAAAAACTGAGAGCCATCAAGGAATACCTGCGACCACACCAAAAACCAATAACCCAATCATCAGATACGAGGTAAGTATCCAGTAGTTCGAGCGCTCAAGTACATATACTGGACCCTACCAGCATACTATTGCTGATGTCAGACGACTATTATGGTAGTTAATAGTCTATTTTCCGTGCTGATTTTGATTTCTGAAAGGAACCATTGATACCAGTAAAGCTCATCTTTACGCCCGACTACATGGAGCCTCGAAAGATACCTGGTTTCTACTTTGACCCGGAGAAGAAAAAGTACTTCCAAATTCAGGCTGCCCATCACGCGCCTGCAGCAGATTCCAAATACTCTACGGATAACATTTTGAAAGAGAAAAAGAAAGAAACACTACGAAAAAATGCAGAACAGAAGGAGAAGAAGGTACGAAGCGAGACAATCGTCCGGCGGCTTCGAGACGATCCTATCATGTCTGCTAGTTTAGACCGGGAAATGGGATTGAGGAAAACATCCTACTACATGCGTACAGCCTGGCCTAATGCCTTTGCATCACGCATGTCGACAAGACCGAAGGTGATTGTCGACCGTCCCGTCGGGTATGTAACAACGTATATGGAGACAACACGTTGTATCGCGTTTCGGAAGTATAGTGGTGAATTGAGACGTCCGTGTACTGAACTGATTTTCTGTTCTTCAGGTCTTTTGTCCACTTATTCGATGTTGATCCAAACACAAGGACTATCTATGCGGTGCATGCGGAGAATCAGATCAAGCGACGGCGAACACACACTCCTCAGCTTCCAGCAGCCCCCGTCATGGACTCGCCGCCTGCTGACGCTGGCGACACCACAACCTATTTTACCTTGAATGAATATACGATGGAGCCCTGGGATGAACTTCATCGCTTGACTTCGCCAATTTCTTCATTGCAATATCTACCAAGTTCGTAAGCCCTGGAAGTATCACTTTTTATGACGGAAGAACCAAACGTTGCCAATCATGAACCTCCGCCTACTCATGGAGCCCATTGTGCACACTCTTTGCTGACCTCAGTGATTAGGATCAGGTGCGTTGGCCGCGACTACATACGGCTCTGACAGGCCTCCCACTATACATTTCTCGGATCCTGAGCGAGACGGCCCTTACGTTGCCGAACAGTTCACACCTCAGGATACTGCCAGCATATGGACGGCTAGGGCGCGACCAATATCTTTTATTGATTCACCCTCGGCTATACGTGACAACTCAGTATGTGTTTTGGCTTTAAGAATCTACCAGTGCGCAGAAGCATCCTCTCGATTATTTTTCTAACCTCGAAATTCCTTGAATCAGACGCCGGCAAATGATACCGACCACTTGGCTATTGGTACGTCAAAGGCTTTGCTGCTATTTCAGCGTTTACCGACCGGGCTATGGGACTGTGCGACAGTCTTTGAATCCGATGTCGATGTATTGGCAGTAGATTGGATGGCACCCACAACGATAGTCACGGGTTGCCGTGATGGTAACATCCACCTCCACGATATACGCTCTCGAGGATCTTCGAACATACTCAAACATCCATACCCCATCTCATCATTGAAGCGTGCCGATGACCCGACGCGGCTCGTCTGTGCCGGTCTTCAAGACTCGCTATGCCTATACGACATTAGATTCTCAAGGCGCTCGAAATCGCCAGATGCAAGCTCTTCCGAGACAAAACACCGGGGAAATCGCAGTAGGAAGAAAAGAAGGAAAATTCAGCATAACGCATACGAAAATTCGTCGCAGCCTGTCCTCACCTTTGTTCATTCAAATGCCTACGAGACACAGTCAGCCATGGATATTCATCCGCAATTGGGCCTGATTGCAGCGGCACAGTACAACGTAGACACAGCAGTGCGAATCCACAATCTTTGGACAGGAAAGGTGGTGAAGCAAATCGAGCGGAATGGTCTTCGGCAAGGTGGACAGAAATACCTGTCAGATGTGCAATGTCTGAAATTCGTGGATGCGGAACAGGACGGCGTCGAGCTGTGGTCGAATTGGGGCGGCAGTATTGTCAAGTTTAACTTATAGTAGCCACCCTTTCACACCATCTGCAAGTAGATATCGTCCTCCGGTCGTCCTCCGGTCATCATCCCTTGCATGATGACCTATTATAGAATACCCGGGAATCCTGTCCGAAACTCGAAACTCATACGTCTTACCATATATAGTCTTCTTGTGAAACTCGTACTGCCTATATTCCAACCCAATCGCAAGCAAGGAATAACATGAACATGTTAATTGCTTGTTCGTAGCATGGTGAATCTGGAAATGCAGCCTTACCCCAAGTCGAACCTCACAGCGTGATCTCCAGAACCACGTCTCCACTCTGGTCTCGTTCGCCTCCAGTTCACTTGTAAAAGACGCGTACTTTGCACTTCATGCGCCACTGCCCAGCACGCTTATCGGCACTGAACTGGCTCGGGCGGCAGTTCCCACACGATCCCAATCTCCTCCGATGTTCCAGAGCTGGCGGTGGAGCGTCAAATGGCAAGCAATTCACTCCCGTGTTATCCGGCAGAGCGCTCGCTTACCGCTTGGCAATGACGAAGCGCCTCGATGATTGTATACGATAGGGGCTAGTTGCTTGATTTACCTGTGTGGACAAGAAAGTCCATGCAAACACGCATAGTTTGAAATTTGAAGTTGCGAATCACGCTTCTGATGCTGCTGTTCTTCCGCTGCCTTGGCCTGCACCTCATCCCGTGCCCTGTTTTGCCCTTCTCCTTTCTGCTTCTCTTCAATCACCATCTTCTTCTTTTCTGACCTGTACAGCCACACTCATTGCATCGAATTCAAGATATACATAGACTTTTTTTCCTACAGGCTTCTGCCCGCCTACGCATCCGCTCATTTCCCAAACTTCGATTCTCTCCACTTCCACGACAAACCGAACTACCAACCACTCCACAAAATCGTCCAAATTCCCCGAAATCGATCAGAAACCCGAATCCTTCTCCACAAAAACTCCACGATGGTGAAAGCAACCTCGACCTTCATTCTCTCTCTGCTCTCCCTCGTTCCTACCATCACCGCCAACTGCGAAGCACCAGTTCCCTGCCAAGATGAATCTCTCAATCGTCTAAATACCACTGAATGCCAAACCGTACACGCCTTCCTAGCACGCGGCTCTAACTCCGGATTTCCTGGCCACCTTGGACCCCTCATCAGGTCCGTCTGCACCAACCTTACCTCTGGCAGCTCGGATGTCACGTGTGGTTACGAAAACATCGACTACCCAGCCAACTCGTCGAGAGATGGAGAGGGCATGTGGTGCAAGTCGGCGCATATTGGCGCTACCCAGGGCCAGAAGCAGATGAAAGAATACTCGGAGAGGTGCCCGGATGCGAAGTTGGTCTTGCTCGGATTTTCGCAAGGAGGTAGCGTCGCTTTGGATGTTTTGGGAGGTGGCGGCGGCGAGGAAGATGGCACGGTTTTTGGTTGTATCCAGGAATCCAGCCCGGCGTTGAATCCTAAGGAGGTTCCTGGGTCGAAGAGTGAGTTGCTTTTTTTGTTTGTTTTGGCTCCCTTCAGTTTGCTTTTTCTTGTGACTCTTCAATGCGTTGGTCGTCTCGCGCCTCTCCATGTCCCTTGTTACCCCTGTCTTGGTTTTGGGTTTGCTCCCCCCGTAAAGTTAAAACATAACGACAATTAGCACTTCCATGAGTCTAACTGCGTTTCCATTCACCCTCTCTCCACTCAATTGAAGATTTCAATGCTGACATTCGACCCTCTAGTCGTCGCAGCCGTGGTGTTTGGTGCCGTCCGCCGCAGCGCAGACCAGCCCTTCACCGTCAAAAATGGTGGCCAGAATTACAACGGCACTACTCCTCGCACCGGATCTCTTGCTGAGGGTCTTGCGCAATTCACCCCTGTTCTGCGCGAATACTGCAACGAACACGATCCCATCTGCGCTCCTGAGAGCTTGCCCCAGAACGTTGAGAACCATCTCGACTACTTCTCCAAGTTCGACGATGAGGCTTCGGAATGGATCGTGCAGAAGGCAGGTTTTACCAGTGCTAAAGCTACCAACGGGAACACTGATAGCGGTGAGAGACAAGGTGTGCAAGGTGGTAACAACACGAGTGCGGCGGTTGGCTTGATGGGTGCTAGATGGGGAGTGGCTATGAGCGCTTTCGGAGTCGTTGTTGCGGGAGTGATGTGAGTATAGTTGTGTAGAAAGCATTTCAGTCTGTTGTTAAGAGTATACTTTGTAATTTCTTTGGACCTTGAGTCTTTATTTTTTTTCGTTTGCACACTCATGGGCGTTGGTGTTTTTCTTGTGTTACGAGCAAAAGTCGCATTTGTCTACAGAAGCTGGTATGAGCTCCTGATATATGCATATATATGTATGTATACGTAGATACATGTAAATATTGGAAGCTTTGTGAAAGAGAGTAGAGTAGGTCATAGTCAAATCCTATTCTCTCGCTTTCCCGCTTCATGATTTCATCACTACTCTGAGCTGGATTCCTATTGGGCGAAAATGTATACTACAACCGTCAAACATGGCTTTCCATGTAGGCACATACATATGTATGTATGTATGTGAGATGAAGCACATGCATTTGAAGTCATGTCAACGTGATTGACACGTGAATATGGAAGCATGCCAGCATGACTCGCGTCTCCGTTTCCCCAGCTTTCGCCCTGTGACGGCGACGAGGCTGAGGCGAGCCGAGGCCCAACTAATCCGATGGTTAGCTGCAGTCCGTCCATCTCCACCATCCTTATCCATACGGCTCCGAAGCCAGACAGCCATGCCCGACGTTCACATCCATTGCCGACATCCTTTACATCTGGTTCCGCCCTGATCCATTCATCTATGTGTTATTTTGGTTGTTCCTGATCTTGTTCATTGATTGAGCAAACCTCACCGTGGGGTGTAATCCGACTGGTGATGTCAGACTCGGTGGGTACGTACGATAACAGTAGCAAGAGATGGGACGATATACAGAAATGATACCGGCCTTGTAGATTGTGTATGCTAATGCGACGAGCCAACAGACAGGGTCTTCAGCCATGCGCTCAACACAGTCAACAAGATCCGCATTGGATCGCAGAAACCACCGTCCGTGACGCGACTGAAGCTCTATGGACTTTATAAACAAGCTATGGGTATACACAACTCCCAGCTTTTCTCGCCTATAAACACCTGGCAGCTGACATATACAAGAGGGCGATGTGGATGGTATCATGGAACGCTCCGAAGACAATACCGATGAAGGGCATCGCGCGCGGGAGAAATGGTACGGCGCACGCGTCACAAATCCCGACACCAGCCCATCTTGAAGATACCATGACCGGACTGACTTAAGATTGTTGCAGGGACGCCTGGAAACAGCAGAATGGCATGACACGTACCGAAGCAAAGCGCCGATACATAACCACCCTTATCGAAACTATGCACAAATACGCCTCCCCATCAGTCGACTCCCGCGAACTCGTTGCAGAGCTCGAATTTGTCTGGGATCAAGTCAAATCCAACGTACCGTCTTCATCATCATCGTCTCCCCTTCGCAATAGCGGCTCCATGGGTCTTCAAATGCCGCCGCCCACATACCCCCAGTTCCATACTCCAGCCACCAATCAACAAGACAAAGGAAGGGAGGAAGCCAACGACCCGGATAGCTCCCTTCAAATAAAGAGTCCAATGTCCCAAAGCGAAGAAGACCTGGAGAATGAGGAGGCAGAACTAGAGAGGGAAGAATTCGTCGACGCGCCAGATTCCCAAGACCACCCCAACCCAAATACCACGAACCCATATACCCTCCCGTCCACAACCGCGAACGCGAATGCACAAACAGACCTCACAATTCAAGAACCAATCCCTTACACAACCCCACAGCGACCCCCGCCGCGAACAACCGTAGCAGGTGGCCTCCTCCCGGCCCTCTTCACACCAACCCCCGCTTTACCTTCCTCCAATACTACCAAACCCTCTGCAGCCGATCAAAAGTGGCGCAAGCGAATCGAAGCTTCTCTCATCAAGCAGACTGCCGAAATCGCCGCTCTGCGCGAGCAGCTCGAAGCTAGATCCCTCTTCACGCATACCAAGAAATTCATCTTCTTCCGCTTCCTATGGCGTGTGTTGTGGGGCAGCGTCAAACATGTCGCGATCGATATCGTGATCTTGGGCGTTGTGCTGCTTTGGATGCGTAAGAAAGATGATCGCAGATTGGAGGGCGCGGTCAGGGTTTTGCTTGGGGATGCAGTCGCGCAAGTTCAAAAGGTAGGGGGAGTCGGGAGATTAGGGAGAGTTGGAGGAATTGTGGGGATTGTTGGTGGAGCTGGGGCGAAGAAGGATGGGTGATTCGCTGCTGGTCGGTGTTTTTTACTTGTTGGCCTACGTGACGACCTCTTTCCAGCATACTTGGTGTGCATGATCTGTATACATTATTTGCATGTATGGGCTACGGTGATGTTTTACGAAACGTAATGCGATATCTAGATGTGTATGGTTTTTCTCTGTGGTCGTTACCAACTCGATGTTATCTTCTTCCTCGCTTCCGGGATGAATTGAAGCAGTAAAGGACATGAATATGCCATTCAACATTCCGCTCTCATATGCTTGGTTCCTTTAACCTCATAAAGAGTATAAGCAAGTCACATAAAATCAGTGAACCCCCATTACCTAGGTATTTATATCGACATCGCAGACCCATCCCCCAAAACAAACATAAACACGTTCTCCTAGTTCGCCCAGCCACAAACATGATTTCACACCCATCCGTCAGCAACACCCATTCCCAATCATGACAAATCCCCCTTCGCATGACCAATCCAATCGATTTAGGAATGTCGAATCCTGAATCCCAACGCCCACGCTAACCAGCCTTGCCCATCGCATGAGAGAAAAAAACACCAAGACACGCGCATTCACTAAAAGTAGAACAGCACCTTTCTCTCTAGTGGGGGGGATTCGGAATGCGGAGGAGGAACGCGGGGGAACGGAGGCAAAGGGGAAATTACGTTTGGACACTGGCCTTTGCGCCAAACAAGCATAATGATGGAAAAAAATGAATTGAATTGAGAAGTGCTATATGTATACAATATGTTTACCTGTACAGTTGTATATTTGCAGATTAGATTGTAAGCACATCTGTTTACGGGTTGTTTACGTGGGTCGCGGGTTTATACATATGTAGCCGATCAGATAAATGGATGGGATATTTTGATGATCCAGGACGCGCGGATAGAGTGGCAGATCAGATGGCAAAGAATAGCGGGAAGTTCGACAAGCACGTTTGTTTACTCAACTACCCGAATCACGCTTAACACCCTGCTCTTTGAGAAGTATCCATGTATATACATGCATGGATGCGTACATGTGTCTATGTGCGTACGCGCCGCATGCCTGCCCTTGCCCGGAGGAAGTATCCTAGTAGAGCACCATTGACGGATTTGGGCTTGCTTGCTTGCTTGGAAACGTTGGACGGTAGGCTTAGGAATCAACTACATTGTACAACGAAATGATGAGATGCTTGCGCGCTCGGGGCAGGAAAAAAACAGCGATTTTGAATCGTCGTAATTACGGGTATCATTCCTTTTTGCTTATGAGAACCCTCGTTTGTCCCGGGGGCCAAATCATCATCCCTGGTGAATATCTTGCTTCGTGAGAAGATGTTTTCGCCACAAGCTCGCAAGCGAACGAGACAGAGACAAAGAGAGAAAGGGAAATAGAGGATCCGAGATGTGTTAAACGCCAGCCAAGACGGCAAATAGATTAAACACGTCTGCAACAGAACCGCTCTCCGGGCAGCAGCAACGTGCAGAATGATTCCAAGTGGCGGCATCGCAGCTAACAATGCTCGTACCTGAACGCGACCCAACGCCACCTCGACTACCCACATGTGTACCTTGACGATGCGCGTTCCCGCCTGCCTATCTCATCCACTGGAGGAGCTCGGGATGATGCGTGCGCGCTGCTTGGCCCGACGCATGGCATGTGTCCCTCATCGCACCCTGTACAATATATGTACAGTACATTGTACATGGGGCGGGATTCCCCCCCCCTCCCTTGTCGTCATGGAATCTTGACGTCGGAGCTAGATACGCTTATGCATTGCCATCGCAACGTGCAATTGGGGGTTGGTGTAGTCTGCGTGCTTGGCGCCCCTCCCTTTCCACCAGATCATAACCCGATTTCGGTGAACGGCTGGGGCTGGGGGGTGTTAGCTGGGTATCGTGCATCAAGGATCTCGCTCGAGAGGAGGAGGAGGAGGGGGTGGGGGAGGTATAAGTATCGGGGATGCTTGGGGCTCTTGTTCTGGTTTTTTTTGTTTCTTCACCCCGGCGCTTCTTTGTTTGCTGTTAGTCGAAGTTAGTTTTGAGATTATAACTTTGTTGATTGGCATTAGTTTGGATAGCATCGCGAGACGTCATCGTAGGTATCTCCAACTTCATAACAGCCACTCCCGCTCTTTTTTTTTTGGTTCGATGTCGGTGGCTGACATATCTCATACTTTCTTCAGTTCAGAAACCCACGATTCGAATTGACAAGATCGATAGATTTCCGTCATCAATAACAATACGGCTCTACTCCGCGAATTCAAAAAGTCAACATGCTTGCTAGATTAGCAATCCTGGGGCTGGCCGGTGCCGCCAGTGCTCTCGCAAATGCCCAGTGTGGTGCCGTTCTCAAGAATGATGGCGAGCCGGTCGGCGAATTCAAAGATGTCAATGGCAGTACGTCCATCTATCAATTGATTCTCCTCAAGCAACAAACACCAAACACACCCTCATCGCCTAAATCCCAAAAACACCTTCCCTCATTCCCAAACATCCATCCAATTCCATACACTCCCCCTTCCCCTCAAAATGGCAACTAATTAACGCTCCTCCTCTCAAACAGCACAAATCTACCACTCCTACCCAACCTCCGGTGGCTCAAACACAACTGCCATTCTCTACCTGACCGACATCTTCGGGGTCCCGAACCCACAAGCCAAGCTCCTCGCAGATTCCCTCGCCACAGCCGCCTACACAGTCATCATGCCGGATCTTTTCAAAGGCGACCCCGTGCCGCTCGACGCCCTCGAGGGCCCTGGCCTAAACCTCACGGATTGGGTTGCGAGACATCCCCAGGAGGAAGTCGATGCGATTATCGAGGCTACTATTGCGTATGTCTCTTCCTCTATCTGTTTGCCCAGAAACTATTTCCCCCAATCCTTTCTTCTCTCTCCTTTCTTCTTGAATCAGAGGGAAAAATTTCATAAGGGAAGGGGGAGCGAAACGGAAAACCGCCGAAAAAAAAAGATAACAGTGACTTGAAAACGACGGAAAAAATCTGACTTGGAAAAACCAGGTATATCCACACCACGCTCTCGATCCCCAAAATCGCAGCAGTAGGATACTGCTTCGGCGGTAAATACGTGCCCCGCCACATGACTGCTTCCTCGGGCGGCATCGACATCGGTTTCATAGCGCACCCGTCGAACCTGCTCCCCGCTGAAATCGAGGCAATTGCAGGCCCGATTAGTATCGCTGCTGGAGGTAACATTTTCCCCCTCCCCACTTCCTTAATACAGTAGAGAAGAAAGGAACACTAACGTTGTTTGTGACAAAACAGAACTCGACGCAACATACAACGCGACGCACCGCAATACCGCCGAGGACATCCTCATGTCGAAAAACCTCACGTTCGAGGCTAGTTTGTATTCTGGGGCACCGCATGGATTCGGGGTTAAAGTTGATTGGGCGGTGCGGGAGCAGCGGTATGCGAAGACGGCGGCGTTTGAGCAGGCGCTTAGGTGGTTTGGGTTCTGGGCTTGAACGTTGAAGTGAAAGAATGCAGAGACAATGGGATGGGATGGGCGGAGAATGAGAGTTTGGAGTTTCTTGAACGAATGTAGTGTTGATGGATTCACGTTTAGAGTTTTTCTTTAGGTGATGTATTTGTGCATTTATACGAGTGAATATATTCTTGTTATCGAATGGTTTTCGGGTGCTGTACCTTGGTGGGATCTCGTTCCTCTTGTTTGTTGTGTGTAGCCAGATGGGGGTTTTCACGTAGCTCGAAGCCCACATATTCAGTACTTGCACAGGACTTTAGAATTCTTAAAGATTTCAAGGATAGAGCACGATCTTTTCCTACATGGCAATTTTAGTGTTTCATGATGGACGATCCTAGACGACTGTGTGCATAAGCACGTGGACGTATATAGTTGAGTCATTTGTGAATGTAAAGAACCCGAATGTCCATTGCATAGAAAAAAGAGCAAGATTTGTATACACATCAGCACGACCGAAAAGATCTACAGGACCCCAAAAAACCAAAAGGTATGTTTGGGAAGAAAAGATTAGATAAAGATCTAAGTGACCGTAAAGGAAATAAAGAATACAGGAAACTAGGTGGAAAAGAAGTGGGATGAAAGAGTTATACCAAACACACTTCGAGATCAATCAAGATAGTGGGGGTGATGAGAAATCCTCCCCGAGTTCCCACTCCCAAGACCTACCCAAGTTAAACTCCAAAACTAAGATATATGAAGCCTCCAGCAAAAAGAGACGCAGGACGCTCAAACGAACAACATCCACTTCTATCGTGACACATACACACATCCCATATACACCAACCTTATTTAGCCATGACATCCACGTACCGCCCACCCTTCTTCTTCTTCGCACTTGGTCCTTTCCTAGCCTGTGGTGCGCCAAGTAAATCGTCGATACTACTCGCAGTGCTCATACCAGTTCCAGGTCTCGATGGCGGACCGCTCGCGCCTGGGAAACTGGGGCGGGTCAGAACCGGCGGCTTAGGACCGCTCAGAGCACTGCCATCTTCATTGTCGGAAGGCAACCCCGGCGTGGAAGCCCGAGAAGCAGGACCTGCACTCATGGGCGGCGGCATGGACGAAGAGCGAGAATTGGGAGGCAGACCGGAACGAGGAGGGGCGCTGAGATGGGAGCCTGAAGGGAGAGAAGATGGCGGACCCATGGAAGGTGGGGGGTTACCACCACTGATGCTTCTTGGGGGAGGCGGCGTCATTGGCTTTGCGGTCGCGGCTTCGGCTCCGGCCTTCTTGTTGACCCATTTGCCGAGATCTGGATCATAGTAGAAGGAGGATTCTTCGCCGAGTTTGGCTTTGATGGGACCGGGTGCAGCATTGGGGTCTTTCTTGAACCATCCGCCGAACCAGCCTCCCTTCTTGGCTGCCGCGGCTTCTTTGTCTCGTTTTGCGTCCGCTTCGGCGGCAGCGAGGACGGCTGCGTCGGCGGTACGGTTCGCGGGAGCGGTAGATGACGATGATGAAGAGATCTTGAGGTTAGCCGCGCGAGATACTAGATCATCTTCCTCGTCGTCGTCCATGAACGATTTAGGTTTGGGTTTGGGCTTTTCATCGTCCTCGTCTTCTTGATCGGAATTGTTGTTGTTATAGGGGGTGAAAGTTGGTGGCTCGTACGAACTTGGAGGTTCGTAGCCACTCGATGAGGGTGCTTGGTCAGTTGGTTCATTGTCGGTGCTCGCCGCGAGAGGTTGGTATCCTCCAAACGCGGGTGATGGTTCGGCCGATCCAGACGCGGGCTGGTATGGACTACCGTATGAGGGCTGCGATATTGTGTGTTCGGACCTCAGAGGAGAATAAGATGCGGCCTTGGTAAGCGTTGGATGGCCCGGGCTCAACTGCGCTTGCATCGGAGCGTATGGGCTGGCAAGGCCCGGTGATATGACATGGGATTCAGACACTGTTCGTGCATTGCCGCTGCCCTCGAGTGAATCCAAGGAAGGGCGACCGCCGGGTTCGTACCGACCTCGTGTAGACTCCATCGATGACCTTGGCGCATACGCGTTCGATGCGTTCGACGGTGCATATCTGGAATTTGAGGAAGCGGCAGGGGGAGAAGAGACACCATATCCAGAGTATGCACCGTAGAGGTCAGCACTTGACTGGACTGGGCTCATAGTAGGTGTATCGCCAGCAATCTTCGCAAAAGGCCCAGCCTCATCACCCGGAGTTTGACCCGCGGCCCGGTTTTCATCGTCGCCAGCGATGAAGCTGTTGAATTTCGACAACAATGAGCTTGATACTTTGTCCATGTTCGGCTTAGAAAATAAGGAGGATGACCCATCTTGGGGCGATTGAGATAAGCGATTGCTCAAATCATCCAAGCTCGTGATGAAACTGGCATTGTAGTATGGTGAAACTTTCGGGGTGGCTTTCATCGCTGCAGCAATGGCATCGCAATAAGCCCGAGCCTCGGTGCGTAGACCATGCTCTGCCAGGCGATAAGCGTGGGCAAGCTTGAAATTCTGCAGGTGGGGTATGATGTGGGTATTTCCTTGGGCTGATAGCGAAAGACCAAACTCGTAAACCTCTGTAAGAAGAACCGGCTCTAGATCCACTCCGAGATCCAGTGGGTTCTGGCGGTGATCGGCGCCAATCAAGACAATATCGGACTGAGGGTCGTCGACTCCGCTGATGACGCACACAACGCGAGCAAATATGAAGCATATATGCCCTGCTTCAACACGGCCATAACCTGCCAGTAGTCTGCCCAGGGAAAGCAAGGCGGCTACGTCTCCTTCACTGCGGTTATTGAGAATCAAGGACAGAGACTCCTGCCACTTGTCTAGGCCTTGCAAAGCATTCTGGGTGTTTGCTCCATCGGTGCTCACCATCTGGAAGCCTGCCCGAGCGGACGCAGGTACAAGCTGATCGATACATTCTTCATGGTTGCCGGCAAAGATCTGGTATAGCACAGCGAGTGGTTGGTTATCACGATCAACCTTCTTGACCTCCTCACGCACGAACTCTTGCACTACTTGCTTCCATGTATCCTTGCTGAGAGTGGACGAAAGGATCATCGCATGGGCCCAGAGGCGCTGATCCACGGCGTGCCACACAGCCTTCTCTCGGTCGCCCTTGGTTAGGTGATTTCGAAGTTCCTCAAGAGACCGAGAGTTTGCAGGCTCAGCTTGCGCTTGGCCAGTGTTTGACCTAGTGATCCCGACGAGATCAGCAGCAGTTGCAAAAGACGCTTCGCCTTCTGTAGATTTATCTGCTTCAGGTGAGAGAACTTTTCGGACGGCAGCTTCAGCGGCCTCGTTTCCATGCAGATGGCCATCGTGATCTACCAGTACTTGCAGTACCTTCCATAGCAGAATCTTCTCGCCGAAGCGCTTTTGATCCGTCTCATTCGAAAATTGGCTTAGCGATGGAGTCCTGAACTGATTCTCCAATTCCTCGATCTGTGCGCTGAGCCAGCCAGAAACTTCCTTCTTCTTGCCCTTCGCCTTGAGAGGACCTGGGAACTTGGAGATCTCAGGCGAGAGTGGTAGAATTTCCTTGATCGTCTGGATCTTCACTTCACCAGGGCTGCATTTCATCATTGGCATGGTTGCACCGCCTCCGTAACGAGGTATTTGCTTGGGAAAAGTCGTCACAACAGTCCCTCCCAATCCCCACGTGAAAACTGGCGCACCTTTCCACCGAAGTAGCGGGTCGCTCGCACGTTCATCAGTTGGTACTATGGGTTCGTAATCGGGAGCTACTTGGGTTCGTGGCGGTATGGTGTTCAAGTTTTGAGCAGATGATGGAACTGCCATAGCAGCCCCAAAAGTTGAGGGCTGCGGCATGAAGTTGTGGGATGAGGCGGGTCGATCGTAGGAAGCAGATCGGTTGGGCTGCTTCATGGTAGTTGTTGGAGACTGCGATTGGGTCCGCGGCGGGGAAACAACAGAGCCTCCAGCATTTGGCTGGACAGGTTGATACTGCGGTGCGTAGTTGCTCCTCTTTCTTGGAGAGCTCACAGCAGATGATGGACGGCTTCGTTGAGGGGGAGTTTCTGATCGCGGTGGTGGCGGAGGCACTGGAGTCGAAGTTTGAGCCTGCTCTTCGCTTTCACTGACGCCCTCGAGAGGAGTTTTGTAAGGAACACGAGGAACGCCCTCAGCAGAGTGCAAAGCATGCAGAGGTGGTGCTGCATGAGAGGCATGCTGTTCCTGAGCCGTAGCTTGCTGTTCTTGTCCCTGATGCTGGGGCGACGTATGAAACGCGAGTGGACTAGACGTACGAGGAGCATATGGCTGTATTGGTGGGCGAGGAAGAGTATTGGGGGGCGCGGAAGCACTTGGAGGGGGCGGCGCAGGAGAGTATCTCGAGGAGGCAGGCGGAGGAGCTGGACCAGAAGGGGGCGCGGGAGAGTATCTCGCGTTTGCTGCAGGAGCTGCGGAAGCTGCCGGAGGGGCAGGTGAGTATCGGTTCGAAGGAGGTGCAGTCGCGGCTTGAGGAACGGGAAGGCTATTTGTTCGCACGGGTGCGGAGGGCTGATCAGGAAACACCGGCAATTGTTCCGGTTGCTGGAGTTGTGAAATGAGATTGTCAGAGTCGGGGCGGAATTCATTACGCAAAGAAGACCATGATGCTGTTCGCTCCTTGGACGGGAAGCCATGTGTTGGAGAAAGCTGGGGAGATGGCTGTGGGGTGTAACGTGGTGATGGTTTCGGTTTCGAGGTCACAGGCAAGTCGGCAAAAAAATCACTTGAAGGCGATCTCGCCAGGGACGCTGACTTTGGACCAGCATTTGGTGGCGGCATACCAGTCATTTGAGAGTGAGTTGAGTGTCCGGAGGATGGTGGGGAGAGACTACTAGCAGGCATGGTGGGGGGTAGAGGAGGAGGGCGAGAGGCGCCACTGCCAGACATACTGCTACTCCGAGGTGGTGGAGGAGCAGGCTGAGATTGTGGAATCGAAGTGGTTCGTGCTGCCGGTCGTTTGCGAGTAGTTACGACGTCGTCTGGTAGATCATATGGCGAGTGGTAGCCGCCCTTCGCTTTAGCAGCGAAGCTTTCCGAAGAACTAGGCATGGACGGTCTAGGAACCTGTTGCTGATATGGAGACGGCTGCGCGTAAGCTCCATATGGCGTGGCAGGGGCCGCAGATTTCGGTTGATCGATTTGAGTAAAGTTTGAGAACTGTGAGCCCTGAACGCCATAGGGATTGGCTGGTGACTGTGGTGCCTGAGTCGGTTGAGGGGCATATCGGCTGGCCGTAGATTGAATAGGTTGCGGCGCTGCGGGAGCGGACTCGTCCTCTAGAAACCCCTCGTCGTCATCCAAATCTATAATCGGGGCTTCTGCAGTATCTGGCAAGAAGTCGTCGTCCATGTCCAGATCCCAAAGAGGGTCGGTATCAGCTGATGCAGATTTGTCGACGATGTGAGCTCCAGGACCTTCGGAAGCGGGCGATTCGGCCTGAACAGGCTGGCTGGCAGCGACGGCACCAAAGAAATCATCCTCGGCGGTGTTACCCCAGTCCAGCTCCTCTCCGGTGTTTCCTCCGACCTTGGTGTTGCCAATGACATCGTCGCCCACGGTTGTGCCAACAGCTTCAGCCTGCGGGGTTTGCAAAGGATCTGGAATTATATCTGTTGCTGTTCGTACAGGCGCATCTTGCGGCACGCCTCCCAGATCGAAGACCTCACCCGAGTCCCACTCGTCCGCGGCAGATTGAGTGCTATCGAGTAATGGCACTTTTGCGCTTTCGGCCACTGCGTCTTCCAATAGCGACGTTTCAGCTTGCGATTCGTAGTTTTCCGCCAAGGGAGCTTCCGGCGATCCCGGCGAGTCTGACTCTCCTGAGTCTTCCGACTCTTGTTGTACCGTAGTATCCTCATCGTGGCCGTTCATGGTACCGACAGGATATTCCGGCGACGCATGCGTGGCTGCGGCAGCAGACGCGAGGTGTTCGACGAAGTCGTCGTCCGCGACGGGAGCGCGCTCAGGGGTATCATCATTACTCGCGGAAGCGGCAGGGGCGACGGGCGCGGAAATGGTAGGCAATTCATCGTCGTCCTCCAAACCCTGGTCCAGCTCGGGTTTGGATTGAGGGATGATCTGGGGCGAGGGTTGGAACTGCAACGGTTTATTCTGGTCGGCTTCGGCGTGATCGGGTCGCAGGGCGGGATTCCATGAGGGTTCCGATGGCGATAGGGTGTCGGCGTAGGCGTAGGAGAAGTTGGGCGCGCCGTCCTCCATGTTGTAGTATTATTTGTACAGTGTAAAAGAAGAGGGGTATCTGCGAATACTGCGCGACCGAGTCAGTGCTGCGATGGATGAAAGGTGGAAAGGTATCGGCGGAACTCGGGGGTGGTGGCCAGGCGAGGCTTCGCGACTAGAGGGATCAAAGAGACTGTAGAAATAGTGAAAGGTAAAGGGAAAGGCGGGGAGAAGAGCGGTTGAGAAAGGAAAGTTGGAATGAGTAAGTAACTAAGTTTTTGTGATCATCCCTTTCCACGTCGGCGCGCAGGTAGATGGATGGCTCGATTCGACGTCAGACAGGTATGAATACAGAGTAATACATACCGAAGTAGCTATCTATACAACAGAAGAAAAGGCACAAGGCCAGAGCCCGGGGCAGAGGGCGATTTCAATGGTGCAGAAAATGCGCGAGGAGGGAACTCTAGAAAAGAGCCACGAGGCAGAGATGCATCGCTAATAACGACGTTTACTTTTAATGAAAAGGACAGCGAGAGGGTCAAAGGTCGCGATGGAGGGTTGTAAAGCGGGCTAGTAGGAGTCGGGAACGGGGTTGTACCCGAGATGAGTAAATTACGGCGAACCGTGTCTAATGCAATCAATACTCCACTTTAGGCCCATTGGAACATCGTTTCGATTTCTTGAATGCTGTATTTACGGTATAGTATATACATTACATCCACGTTTCCCCAGCTTGCGTGTATCAACGTCGTCAGCCACTGTGGCGCTGAACGTCCGTCTCCAATCCACCTTACTGTCCATTAATAGATGGATCAGCATCGTCAGACAGCAGCATTCATCGTTGCGATTCTTCCTGTGTACATACATTTCCACAACCACTACCCCTCTCTTCCGCGCTCATATCCTCTACCACGCTCTCTATTCCCATAAACTCCTCACCGGCGTGTCCTCTTTAGCATAAGCCGCTGCGGCCTCCCCGAACCAAAACCGCATATCTGGCCGCCCTGGACCCAGTTTACCCTAAACTCCCTCGTCAACACTCCCGCGGACCCCCGAGATCGACAACAACTGCTTTGTCCGCCTTCAAAACATCATCACCTATATACACCGACCGCTTCAAGTGCATGGTTGCCCAATAAACGTCAGCAGCTTGACTCCGGCCCGCTTCTGCCTGCTCCCATGAGACATGGCCGCACCCCATCAATACCACCAACCCAATGCCCCCGACGACGACTCCGATCTTGAGCTCGACCTGGAAGAGCTCGACCCCGTGTCCTCAGCTGCTTCGCCGCCCCATTCGCAACCACAACGTACATCGAAAGATCGCAGTAGAAGACCGTATCATGAGCTGGGCGCACGCATTCCCTTGAGGAGCTTGAGGGTGGGAAGATTACGCGGGAACAGGAGGACACAGGAGCCCGAGGATGAGGATTTGCGAGGTCTAATAGACGACGAGGAAGATGGCAACAGAAATTCAGGGGGTAGTTATGGCCAGTCGGGCGATGATGATGCGCCATTGCTGCCATCCCAGGGGTCAAGACGGCGCAATCATCAGCGGGCTCCCAGCACTCTGTCGCGCATCCAATCCAGCATTCGCCTCCCAAGTTTTCTTGCTAGTCCCAACAGGCCAGGTGAACAGCCTCCTCACCCCGAAGGCGAGTCGGATGCCGAAGAGGAGCATGACCCTACAACCCAGCGCACCATTGCTACGGGCCAGCCCCAAAACTCCCGCTTCCCCGCAAACGCCGTCTCCAACGCAAAATACACGCCATGGAGCTTCCTTCCTCGAACGCTGTACAACGAATTCTCCTACTTTATCAACATGTATTTCTTGCTCGTAGCATTGTCCCAGATTATACCCGCTTTACGACTTGGTTACCTTTCAACATATATTGCACCTTTGGCGTTTGTTATTACAGTTACTCTGGGTAAGGAAGCCCTCGATGATATCGCTCGCCGACGGAGAGACGCAGAAGCAAATTCAGAACCTTACACCGTTTTGAAATTTGAAGAGAATGGCGCAGGAAACGGCCTTGCGCCAGGGAAGAGCTCGGCCAACAAGAGGAGGGCCCGCAAGCTGCAACGCGGAAGTAGCCGCTTGACCGACATTGAGGACGAGGAGCAGCAGATTTCAACCACAAAGGGTTTGGCCACGGCCACATTTTGGGAGCTGAGCAAGCCGTCGCGAAGCCTAAAAGTGGGAGACGTTGTAAAACTGGGCAAAGACCAGCGAGTGCCTGCAGACATGGTTGTCTTGAAGAGCTCTTCCCTGGATGCTGTTCCGCCACCGCCAGCGACACCCAGTACATCATTGCTGGATGACGCAACAGTACAGGAGGAGCCCAAAGGCCATTCAGAGAACGGCGCAACTTCAATGCAGTCTTCTGGGGAGGCTTTCATCCGGACTGACCAGCTAGATGGTGAGACGGACTGGAAGTTACGTCTGACGTCTCCATTGACCCAAAATTTGGACGTCGGTGAATACACTCGCCTGCGTGTAATTGCGGGTAAACCGGACAAAAAAGTCAATGAATTCTATGGCACTATTGAACTTCAGCCAAAACGACAAAAACAATACGATCCCCACGATCAAGAAGAGCCATCTGCTGCAGAGGTTCAATCAGCTCCGCTTAGTATCGATAACACAATATGGGCAAATACTGTCCTGGCTTCAAGCTCCACCGTACTCGCTGTCGTTGTCTACACAGGCCCACAAACCCGGCAGGCTCTATCTACATCACCTTCCCGGTCTAAAACAGGATTGCTGGAGCTGGAAATCAACGCGCTCACCAAATTCTTGTGTATATTCACACTAACGCTGTCTTTTGTGCTTGTGGCCCTAGCCAAATTCCAGGTAATTGACGGTCGAGCTTGGTACGTTTCCATGCTACGATTCCTCATTCTCTTCTCCACCATTGTCCCAGTAGGTCTACGTGTGAATCTCGACATGGGCAAGTCGGTGTATGCCTGGTTCATTGAACACGACAAGAGTATACCTGATACTGTGGTACGGACCAGCACGATACCCGAAGATCTGGGTAGAATCGAGTACCTTCTCAGTGATAAGACAGGTACTCTGACTCAAAATGGTGAGCTGACTCTATACGGATGCTGCCTTGACTTGTACTGAATGCAACACAGAAATGGAAATGAAGAAGATCCATATTGGTACAGTCTCGTATGCCAATGACGCCATGGAAGAAGTTTCTTCTTATACCCAGCAAAGCTTCAGCACTCCTGCTGGAGAACCACCATCGTACATAACGCCATCCTCGACCTATGTAGCCCCTTTGACATCGGCCACACGTACCCGGAGGGAGATAGGCTCTCGTGTTCGCGATGTTGTCCTTGCTTTAGCCCTATGCCACAATGTCACGCCCATTGCCGAGGAAGAAGACGGCCAAGTCGTTACTAGCTACCAGGCTTCGTCTCCCGATGAAATTGCCATCATCCGATGGACTGAGGCTGTAGGTTTGAAGCTTATACAGCGTGATCGTGAGTCCATGACTCTCCAGTCCTGTGCAAGTGGGAACGCCGTTGTTCGGGTCCGTATCCTCAACGTTTTCCCCTTCACTTCGGAAAGCAAGCGTATGGGCATTGTCATCAAGTTTTATCAGGGTCCCATCACCTCACCATCTGAGGATGATGGAGAGATATGGTTCTTCCAGAAGGGTGCAGATACTGTCATGACTGCTATTGTTGCAGCGAACGACTGGTTGGACGAAGAGACTGCGAATATGGCAAGAGAAGGCCTCAGAACTCTGGTAGTGGGCCGCAAGAAACTGTCGGCAGAGACCTACCAAGATTTCTCAGCTCGTCACGCCCAGGCATCAATGGCATTGCACAACCGAGATCACGCTGTCGCAGAGGTCGTCAAGAAATTCCTGGAACGCGATCTCGAGCTTCTTGGTGTAACGGGTGTAGAAGACAAACTGCAGAAGGATGTCAAGCCTTCCCTGGAGCTTCTTCGTAATGCAGGAATCAAGATCTGGATGTTGACGGGAGATAAGGTCGAGACTGCTCGCTGTGTTGCCGTCAGCTCAAAGCTGGTCGCACGCGGGCAGTACGTTCACACCATTGCGAAGTGTAGGTCACCGCTGATTGCTGCTACCTACTGTTACTGACTCTTACAGTGAAACGCAAAGAACTCGCCCTGTCCTCTATCGACTATCTCCGTGGCAAAACCGATGCCTGCCTCCTCATTGACGGTGAATCTCTTGCCCTCATGTTAACCCACTATCGCCAACAGTTTATCTCCATCGCCGTGCAGCTCCCCACTGTGGTTGCCTGCCGTTGCTCCCCGACACAAAAAGCCGACGTAGCGCACCTAATCCGTGCCTTCACCAAGAAGCGCGTGTGCTGCATCGGCGACGGCGGCAACGATGTGTCCATGATCCAAGCCGCCGACGTAGGCGTGGGAATTGTCGGCAAAGAAGGTAAACAAGCTTCCCTCGCCGCCGACTTCTCCATCACCCAATTTCATCACCTCGTCAAACTCCTCGTCTGGCACGGTCGCAACTCGTACAAACGCTCCGCCAAACTCTCCCAATTCGTCATCCACCGTGGCCTCATCATCTCCATCTGCCAAACCGTCTTCTCCATCTCCACTGCCATCAACCCCAACGCACTGTACAGGGACTGGCTCCTCGTCGGTTACTCCACCATCTACACCATGATGCCCGTTTTCTCGCTCGTCCTCGACACCGACGTCGACGAGTCAGTCGCAAACCTCTATCCCGAACTCTATGCCGAGCTCAAGCTCGGCCGCTCCCTCTCCACCAAATCCTTCCTCATCTGGGTCGCCGTCTCTCTCTACCAAGGCGGCATCATCCAAGGTCTCTCCCAGCTCCTCGCCGGCGTTGATCCAAACCCTACATCCACAATATTCCGTCGCATGGTGTCCATTTCCTTCTCCGCGCTCGTCACGAACGAACTCGTCATGGTCGCCACCGAAGTCACGACCTGGCATTGGATCATGATCGCTTCGATTGTCGGCACCGCTGCCATCTATTTCGGCAGCGTGCCGTTCCTGGAGGGGTATTTTGATCTTGGGTTCGTGGCGAGTATTGGGTTTTGGTGGAGATTCGCGGTTGTTGCGGGAATCAGTTTGGTACCGCCTTATGTTGGAAAGGTTGTTGGGAGGTGGGTTCGGCCACCGAGTTATCGGAAGGTTAGAGGGGTTTGAGAGGGGTGTGCATGTGAACATGAAACTTGTTGTGTTTGTCTTCTTGTTGTTTCTTTTTGAGGTTTGTATTGGTGGTGGTTGGGGGAGGATAGGAACGGGAATGGGGATTTGTGTGTATGATTGTTCGGTCTTTGGTATGGTAGATGGTGTGAATTCTATTCATTTCTTCCTCTCTTTTTCGTTTCACGGTTCTTCAATGTATATCGCATCCGGTTCTTTTTCTGGGTGGTTTTTGGTGTCACATTCTCCACCATTTCTTGTATCTTCCATTCGTGTTCGTTGTCAGTTACTGATCTTTCTTGCTTAGACGGATTCTCTGATTCTTATTCTTTTATTTCTTCTTGTCCCTTGTTCTCCCTTCATGCGAAATTGTTCCCCTAGGTCTTCATGTTCATATTCTTCGATTCGAAACGCTGCTCCTTTTCATATGCCAAAAAATTGCGATCATCGCGTATTCGTGTCCTAAACAGATCGGGACGGCATAAAGAGATTTATTATGGCGCACCGGTGTTGTTTGCTCATCAGGAGTGTACCCAATCTATCAATTCTGAGTTGTAGTATGGGTGATCCTACACACAGCGAAGGGTTTATAGCAATAAGAGGAACCAAAAAACGAGCGATTACCAAAAACTTCTTGGATCTATTAATCGCGACGTTGTCGCAGTATCAAGTACCAAGGGAGGAAATGTCAATTGATACGATATAATATATACTGCTCTAGCTCGAAGATGTCGTCTCTGGTTTTGAATCGTTCTTGTGTGATGTTGCACACTTTATTCGTGTCCCCTCTAGGTGCATAGACACATAAGCACTCCATCTCAGCGCGCGCTTCGCGATTCCAACCTCTCAGTCTGGAAATGTGTTGAAGAGACAGCCTGGCAGGCCACATGATTCGCAGAATCGCGGTTACACAGCGTCTGGCCAGAGCTCGATCACATAATCATGCATGAGTGTCTGCTCTCCCTCGCTTGCCCCCCCTCACTGCGACACCCGTGTCTTCTGTGTTTTTCTCTTCCACCAAAATTTTCTGCTGCCGGGCCTCCGTGCATTGCGGCTTCTGGTTCTCTTATCTTAGAGTTTTTTCGAGCACCAAGCAGTATGGCGAAGCTGCCTCTCGTGCCACGTCGTGCCGGACAAGCTATGATACGCGGATTCCCCTGGTATCTGTCTGAATTGACGCAGTATATGCATGATCAATATGTTCATGGGAGAGAAGACTTGAGATATCAGAAGTATCTCTACATACACCCAACATTTGAAGGGGGAAAAAGAGACTTTCGCGATACATGGTTAGTCCTCGTTCAAACGCCCCAAATTCGGGTCTGAAGAAAGATCAATTAATGTTTGAAGGAACCGTTGGGATGGGGCTAGGGTCGATGCTGCGGAGCAGTCTGTTCGTTTTAGATCATGCATACGTAAGGCTGCTAGAACAGAACAAAACATGAATAGGTGAGTTTTCCAACACCTTCAAGATGCGTTAAACTGACGACGTCATTGTAATAGTAAGATCTTCCGCAGGACTCACATCTCTCTACCCTTTGATCATAACACTTCGATTTTGTAACACCTATCTCCAGAAGCACTTGAGCGTTTTCGAAATGCCGAGCCTCACCAAAGAGACTTGGAGAAGCTCCAGATGAGGCATGCTGAGCTTCGCCACATGATCGTCCTTGCAACTCTGCAATATAGTCAGATTGTCCAGGAGATTCGGTTCATTTTACGTATGTTCAACGACTATAGCCAGAGGAGCTGTAATTATAGGCTCATATCTGCGAAGTACATCATTCCAATGGCGACGGTAAATGAGAGATTGGGGATTGCCATCGGCAATTTCGAACATACCCTACGCACAAGGAATTATCTGGCGCAAGGTGCTTTTCAGTTGAGACTATACCGTTCTCAAAAGGTACTGAAGGATCTTCGTGACACAATACGAGAGCAAATCTTTGCTAGGACATCTCCCGCCGTACAAGAATCGCTAGGGAGTCCCGGTGCATCACATAGGATGCGCAAGCAACTCGCCAATATCCGGCACCACTCTGTCATGGTCGAAATGCATGTGATCACAGCTTTTTCCTCGAAGCTGATGCAGAGCGACATCCAGCAATACAATGCCGATCCGAAGCGATGGTATAATGACAGCATAAAATTAGTCTGTATCTGGCTACACAAGAGAATGGGCGGAATTCTTGATGATATTCATGTCCTAATGTATCCGTTTACCTCGTTCCTACCTAAGAACGCTTTGAAGAGAGATGTAAACTATCGCAAGAAGATCAGGAAACGGAGGAAGGAATACAGTGCTAAAAGTTTTGAGATTTTGGCTGCATGTCGATATCCGAAGCCCACATCATCAGATCCCTACCCGGATGAAGTACCGATAAATTTAGCGGCGTCTATCACAACTATACGAGGTTTCCGAATGGAGAAGTTCCCCGAATCAGTATCCAAAGTGGAGATCGAACGTGCACGCCGCTTGTACATGAATACCATGGGGGCTGTAATCCCTGTCCTAAGGAAGCCAACCACGAAAAAAGTAAGAAAAAGCTTGAAGTTCCTTGGTTTCAGCGATGAGGATATCAAAGATATGGACAAAGTGTTGCGGAAGGCTGCTGTTCATGCTGGTGTGCACCAGTATAAAAAGTGGGACAAGAAGACCGTCGGCTACAGATCAAACCAACGAGCACGAAAATCCGAGAAATTGATTGGATACGGTAATAAAGTGGTTCAGAGAGAATGAACACGCTCGAGAACAAACTTTAACGACAATGTAAGAACCTTCATTTTCCGCACTCCGAGATCCCTCTGAGAATCAACTCCTTCCCCCATCTAAAACCGGGATGGTGCTAAGTGTGCACGATACCAGACTTATATACGACTGTGCCAACTGCATTTGACAATACGGATCGATGTGGCCTGGGGTGGATGGTTGCGACTGATGAGGCGGGCCCCTTTCTCTATCTGCACACGATATGTTTTCCTATTATTTTCTCCTTATTCCTCTTACTTGAGATCTTCATGTACTCAGCGCAACTCTGTACTCAAGGCGTTCTTAGGACTTCTAGTGCGGACTGGCAATGCTGAATGAGTGGCTGGAATCTCTGAAATCGATGTGAGATATATCATTAATGAAATATATGGGTATCACCAGCTAATTCCCCCCCACCCTTCTCATACCCTACCTATGTTTGGCATGCATACGTTTAGGTCACTGCATGGAACTATTATACAGCAGGTCTTGCTCGAAGCCAATCTCAGGCGGACATCATTGACGGATGTACCTGAGCTTCACACCAAAATCTGAGTGCGTAACACCAGTGCTGTTGTTGATCTCATCTGCTCATCATCATTTAGATTGATTTGGAAATTCGTCTGCTCTTCATTTAAGATAGGAATTCGGTCGTTTTCGCAGTCCGTAGTCGGAGTCGATGCGCCTATCTGTCCTTGCACATGCAAGGCCTAAGTCGCAGGATTTTCTGCACTGAACAGCATTTGGTACAATGGATCACTGGACTCGCGTCGTGATTTAGAATGTCGATCATCCTTTACTCAAAATGGACAACTGCCTTAACTTCTTCCTATAATATTCTCATACACTGTTCACCAGGAAGGGGTGTTACTCTCACAGCGATTCGGCAGTCATATACTTGGTGGTAAGATTGTGCAATACACGTTCCTCTTCAATCAATTCAATACCAGTGGCTTATTAAAGATTCAGTGATTGCATCACACTGCGTATTGAATATCAACTCAAGAAACTACAAGCTAACTAATACTCAGTTCGTACTTGGGCGCGACCAACAACCAGTGGCGCGGCAGCATACCCGACAAGATTCACTTTACCAGAACAGCTTGTCAACGATACCCCTTACATAAAAATCTACGAGTATCTAACCACTAAAGAAATCAATTGTAAGTGGCAGGCCCAAATGCCGATACTCTTACAGTGCCTTCGTCATCTGATTCATTAGCCGCAGATTGTTAATCTCCTATATGTTGTTAGTACTCTGATGGTAGATTCCCACCAGCAGGTTCCGTGCAGATGCAGGGGATATTTTGCCTGCATGCCATGCGGTAGTCAGCCGAATATGTAAATTTACCATTACACCGCGTGTTATTCCCGCCAATATTCTCCCAGCTCGGCAGTTTCCAAATGGTAAATATCATATCAACTCCCGCGCAAACCAGCATAAGATTTTGGCACAACCAACTGTCTCTCAACTCCACCTCTCGAATCTCTACATTCCAACATGTTTGTATTCTTCTACCTACTCTTAGCATATTTGAAGTTTGTCTTATCCGAATTTAACGCCACCGCTAGACCGCGCAAACCTATTGTCCTTGAGCGATCCGGTGGATTTCAGATCGGTGGGAAGATTATACAGAGCCCGTTCAACCCCAACTTTACACTTTCTTGCGACCATGGGTACATGGAGTACTTTGTCCCATGGCGGCCTCGGAAGACGAGCTTGGTCATGTGGCATAGCTCAAGCACGTACGTCCTTTCCCACTCTTCCTTCAACTCTATACAACAATGCCCATACCTTCTCAACTTCCTCCTTACGCTCCTCCAAAGGAAACAAAGACACGTACATATCTAACTCCAATTCGCCCCCTCACAGCCAAGTCTGGCAAAACCGCTGGGACTCAGGCCCAGGATACAAAGACCTCTTCCTCCGCCGTAACTACCCCATCTACCTCTGGGACGGACCCCGCGTAGGCCGCGCAAACTGGCCCTGCCAACCAACATCTTACACGCCGTCCTACCAGGACCAAGCCAACTTCGCCGCCTGGAACTTCGGACCCCGGTACCCGCTCTGGTGGCCCGACGTGCAGTTCCCCGTCGCCGACGCGGCCGCCTGGCAGCACGCCACGAGCGCGCGCTACATCGAGTACGACACAACTGCGAACGTGGAGCTCCAAGCTTCCGCTGCGGCTATCGCGGCGGACTCGGGGAAAGTGGGGAAAGAGATTGTGTATTTGACGAATTCTGCGGGCGGGCTGCGGGCTATGCTCACTACTGCCAAAGCTAATAACACGAATATCAAGGGGATTGTGACGTACGAAAGCATTGGGTACGTTTTTCCTGATAACGTGAACGTCACCGCTGGAACAGGTGGGTTTGGCCCGGTTGTGGTGCCGGTGAAACAGTTTAAGAAGTTGGCGCAGTTGAAGGCTGTGCAGTTTGTTTGGGGAGATCATCGGGCTGCGAACTATTCGTATGTCGCGGAGTCGAGGAGGGTTGCTGAGCTGATTAATTCGTATGGGGGGAATGCGAGGGTGCTTATGTTGGGTGAGGAAGGGTTGAAGGGGAGTACGCATATTCCGTTTGCGGATTTGGATAATGAGAAGGTTGCGGGGTTATTGGATGGGTTTTTGGAGGATGCCGGGTTGGATGGGTATGTGGACGAGGATGCCGAGGATTGGAGTGATGAGGATCGATGATGTCTCGCTTGTAAGTGTGTGAAGACCGGTATCTGAAGAAAACGGTCCATGAGGATGATACAAAAGCACTTGATTCCGCAAAAGCTATGGATTAGTAGATACCAAGATGCCATAGCGACAACGAACTGCATGTATGATAGCATCCGGAGATCTAATTCGCGATTTTATCTCTTTCTCTCACTCAATGCTTTATAACGGTCTATTCCCCGAACGCAAAGATATGTGCTCATCTACAGAATCGCAGTTCCGTTCACGTGAGAGCTCACACCGCCTGTACACACATTAGCAACTCCCAATATAACTCAAGATGAGTAACGGGAGAATCAACATACCAGGACAATTCGCTGGCGCCGAACTAAAAAAGAACACCCACCTCCCCCTCTCCCTACACTTAACCGCCAACTTCTCCAAATCCAACATCTCCCCCAACGGCATGCCCCACAACGCAAGAATATACTCGTGCAAATGATACTCCTCATGCGTCGGCCATGCCTCAAACGTCGGTGAATCCCCCGCAACCGCCGCAAAATAGCAATCATGCAACCAATCAATCATGCGCTCCTCCTGACTTACACCCGCCCATCTCTGTCCCTCCATACCCTCGCCATGACGCAGTGCAGCTTCCGCGCGCACTTCGGGAGTTTTGCTATCGTAGGCTTCTTTCCAGCCGGACCTGATGAAGAGCATGTCGCCAATACGGATGTCGCCGCCTTGAGCTGCGGGTCGGATGTCGATGCCTTGGTCTTTACCACACTGATACAGTTCTTCAAAGGAAATGGGGTAGTAGTCGAAAGGGTCGTAGGCGATTCCTTTCTTATGCGCGTAGCTGCGGTAGTCGAGGAGGATGCCTCGTCCGGCTATGCCGTGCTCTGCCCAATGGTGGATGGAGCATTTGTTGTTTGCGCTTGGGCCAACGATGTCGGAGCCTTTTGTCTGGAGAAGAATTCAGTAGTGACGAATTGGTGATGGAGTGTTTACTTACGCCGTTGTAGAATGAACCGCTTGGCAGGTGAGCAAACTTGGGGGATGCTCGTTAGCTGTGGAAATGTGATGATGGGTTGGGGTTTCGTACATGTCTAAAACCATCCCATTGTGTTCCGCTTTGAGTGTTTAAGTGGTAAATATCATCGTAGACGTAGTTCTCTGCCAAAGTCTTGATCTCGTGTGTGAAAGTCTGACGATCAAAAGCGGGTTGTGTAGGTACATTGAGCGGAAGGCTGGTATTTGTTAGTACCTGCATTGATAATTTGACGTTCGATCAAGCTATAGAAGTCATACTTGAGGGGAATGATTTCGCCTGATTGAATCTCTTTGGCAGCGGCTGCTACTCGTGTAGGCGTGAGTAGATTGAGTCGGCCGATCTTCCAACGTTAGCGAAGGCTCGCCTTAGAACATGGAGTGACGTACATAGTCATCGTCACCCCAAACCCACGCAGCACCTTCAGGTGCCCCTTGTATTTTGGGTAGCTCCTTTCTGGTGGGAAACTTTGTGCAGTCTGGGTCCCAAGGAATAGTGGTTGCTGTCTTGTTCATTGTGACGAAATCTTTGATCTGTGTCAAACGCTGGCTTGCTGTACTTTTAGGTTCCGTCATTGAACTGTTATTCGGAATAATAAAGCTTTGGAGGCCCTGAGATTATCAAGATGTTGTTAAGAAGAGCTGGAAAGTCTATCGTCATATTCAGTGGATCAAGGTCGACTTGTAACTTATAGACAGGTCCACTCAAAGTGGCGGCTAGTGGAGCGGAGTTATGACATAGTGCCCCCCGCATTTCTTGAATTCTTCCGAGTATCTCCACGCGAGTCGTCGGACACGCGCGAGACAATTCCATTGTTGAAATTGTTGTAATGTTGCATGATGGATGTGTAGAACGTTGGTGGAACCGAAAAGTAGTTTGGAAATGTAGGAAATGTAAGATCAAAGGGTTCTTCTTAGTTCGCTGACGTGCTCACTGGCTGGCTTTCTCTGCAATCGATTGGCCTTTCCACAACATGTAAATTCGACTGTTATAATCCACTACCGCACATGCATTCCCTATATTGCCTAGCATTAATTAGTATCCGTCCACTTTTTCCTCTGCTGCAATAGTGGGTTCCGTACACGAATTCTTGGACAGGCGCAAAAGTGTTGACACCTGCGCGAATCGTAAGGCTTCGAAGTCAACCGTTCAGTGAAATATAGTAAGATGCATGACCAGACTTTTGCAAAAAGTAAACCCAAGTCCAGTAGGAAGACAACAGGGCATTCGCGGGCAAAAAATGGTGCCCATTCTCGGAATCGAACCGAGGATCTTCTCATTTCGCATGTATACGAGTGAGACGCTGTACCCCTAAGCCAAACGGGCGCGCATTTATACAATTCTAACAGCATATACAGTATATATACTACGCCAATTCCAGAAAGAAAGCGAATAGTTATCGTGTTGATAAAGAAGTCTTGAATACTTCTCTTACCTGAATCGCGATGAAAGTTCCGATTGGAACAGGAATGAAAGTGGAGCCACTGGATGGTGGGGTTACGCCGCTTATCCTATGGGGCAAGGGGCATTTGCATCCCAGGACTTAGAGCTCAAGATTCGAAATCGAACCAAACTATCACAAATTTTCTAGATAAGTGAGAGATTCGAGATAGGGACTTTGCATTTGCGCGTAGGGATACATCATGTTTTCAAGTTCGTTGTGTTCGCAATCGATCTTTGCCTGCACCTTTCTTTCCCCTCGTACCACTATCAACTCCTGAAATGCAATAGTAATTGGACAGTGTCTGGTATATTTCGGCTTCGATTGGGGATTAAGAGGAAATGCAGAGATGAAAAGCTAGAATTATCGATGAATCAGGACTTGCGTCGATCGGATTACTCGCCTGTCTATGACCTTTCCAACTTAGAATTCAGAATTCGTACTCAGAATGATATCGTGTGGACCTCAGAGATTATTATCATCGGACAGTGATTATTATTTTTTTGGAAAACACGATGAATCATGTTGGGACGACTGGTCCTACATTATTGAACACTGCTGAATACTGGTTTGCTTCCTGGCCTAGAATAATAGCGAATACCATCCTAAGATCAGTAGAACTCCAAGTCAGAATCGATATCAAATATAGAAAACTTACACAGGAACACTCGATCTTTTGAACAGGAAGACTACAGTTTGCTCTCATACGTCGCCGCCCACACACCCCACTCCTCAACCTTCCCATCAATAGCACCCACAATCTCCTCCTTAGTAGGCACCTTAGACAACTCTCCATGACCAAGTTTCTCCCTCAACGCAACCAACACAAAATAATACCTATGCGGACCGTGGCCTCGAGGCGGTCTTGCCGGGATATACACCGCATTCCTTCGATTCTTCCCCACCCGCCATCCGCTCTTAACAACCTTCGTCCCATCCTCTTCAACCTTCACAACTTCCAAATCCGCTGGTGAGATCGAAGTCGCAGTCCGCGGTATCGAAGTGTATATACCGTGGACATTTGAATGACCGAGCGGCGCATCCGGATCCTCGGCTAAGAAAAGGTATTCTTTGGTGTTTGGAGATGCGGCGGGCCATTTGAGTGTGGGAATGCGCCCCGCTCCAAACGCTGAGTACTCATCGCTGAGCTTTGCACCTGATGCGCCGCAGTCTGGGGATGTGAGGGGGATGGTTGGATTGCGGGTTTTGGCGAAGGGCGCGGATTTTATCAAGAGGTCGGCGTCGTAGCCGCGACGGCGGTAGAGGAGTCGTCCTAGGCAGTATTCTAGCATCCGGAGGAGCCACATGGTGCTGGGTTATTTGGTGCGATCAGTATATAGTGAGCTTCAATATTTTGCTGGTGTCGAATTTATAGGTAATTGTGCAGATTGTGTACGTTGATATGGCGGTCGCGGATCCACGGCGTTTCGCTCGGAGTTAGTGACGGGTGAGACCGAAAAGTCCCTCGTGTGGCAGGTACCACGTTTTACGTTGTGCGGTACATGTGAGTCAGTCAGCCCGATGTGATCTGCTCCATCTCGTGCATAGGTATCACACATGATGATGTTCAAGGACCTTCTGTTACTCAATCTCGCATTGTATTATTTCGGCATCTTCATCCATACTGCCTATACTATCGCTTCTCGATGGAGTCAAGGAAAAGACCTAGAAAAAAGGCCAATAGAAAAGACCTAATGAAGCCTTTGAATATACTAGGCAAAAGAGTGCTCCATGTCTGCAGCACGTAGGGAATGTAAACCATAATGGACAAGAAAACCACCAATAACACCTGGACATGTGATCGATTGATACCCTCCCACCTCGAGGCCGACCTCACACATCCCGGGATGCATCCGCGAGAGATCGTGAATACAAGGCACGAAGGTTCACGGTACTATCAGATGGACTGGACTCCAAAGAATCTGCGAGCTGAGACCTCTTTAGACGCGGTGGTTGTAGCGAAGTATAACTTGTGATCAAGGCCGGTTTGACCGGGGAATAGAAGCCAGCAGTTACACCGGTAGTTGGAACTTTACTGGACTCGCCGGTCATCTTGTGAGTGGATGTAGCGGGTGAATAGTATGTTAATGTTGGTGTGTTGGCGGCCTTTCGTAAAACCCTTCCTCTAGCGGTTTCATCATCAACAGCTGCATTTGCGATGCTCTCGGGTGTCTTTGTGAAATCCTGATCGTAAGGAATTGTTTTGATTTGGCTGGGCTCAGGCTTGACAACCTCGATGTCTTTGCTCGAGGCGTGGGTGGTAGCCTCTTCGACCGGCACCTCGACCTGTTCACCTCGCGTATTGTATGCAATCCGTGTCCTTTCTCGCAATCGGTTCAACGTTTTCACCGTGGTGCGCTTTCTTGGTGGAATATCCACAAACTTCGCTTTCCCGGGATTGATCATTGTTACCACTTGAGCCACTCCTATCTCTTCGAAATCTTCGTCATCGTCCTCGTCCCCGGTGCACTCCCCATTAGCTTCTCGCAGATCTTTGAATTTGTAGCACTCCTCCGAAGTACCGTGCAAATGATACTTGCATTCATTGGCTTCTTGCTCGTCACTCTTTTCTCCTTCGGTTCGGCGGTCTGTCGTTTGCAGCGCCATCACAACAAATTCCGCAGGCAGACCTCTGAGGCCACCCTTCCGCTTCATATCGCCTAGGAATTCTTCTCTGGATTCAACAGACCTCTCCACCACGAATCGCTTCAGCACACCAGGAACATTATCTACAATGAAAACGTAGGCAATGGTTTCATTGTCTGCTGGTATGCTGCTGGGAATAGATTCTGCGAGAATGTCGATAATGCGGTCGGCGAAAGAGTAGTCGCCTAGGGAAGCACCATAGATATAGGCGTTGATGAGCGACCAGCAGTACTGCCAAGGATTTTCTCCGGTTGGGAGGGAAGTAGAAGATGGCGAATTCATAGACATGCTGGTGCCTAGGCATGGTGACAGCTGGCCGGTGGTGCGGTATGTCTTATATAGTTCTACCGCGTGAGGATCGGCGAAAGGCATAACTGCATCTTTGCGCTGCCGAGGAGAAGTGGTCAGTGACGTTTTTGTAGAATGTGAAGGGCTTTGTTCTCGCAGAAGGTTTGTAGGTGTTTTGGAGAGAACTTTGGCAGCGCTGATTGAATGCTCGTTGCGGGTGATCTGGTGTGGTGCTTGGCGTGACTGTAAACCTCCTGCATTGACGGCGCGCGTGGCGAGGCCTTGTGCGTCCATGACTTCGAGAGAGTCCTTTCTATAACGTGTTTCTGTCTGTATGGCGGGGATGCTAATCTTGAGAGAGGGAGGAGGTAGCTTTGCTCGGGAGATAGAACTAGGCTGTGGCTCTGTCGTATCCAGGTCAATGTTTTGATTTGATGATGCGGCCATGGTGGCAGGAGCTTTCAATGGCACAGTTCGTTGGGGGTGGTTTCGAGGAAAGCCTGCAGCCTCGCAGAATGATATTACAGTCATCCCTTCTTGATGCTCATTGGCTGTTGTGTGTGTAACACTCGCGGGGACACTAGTCGGCTCTACCCTATAGGTATAAAGATCATGTAAAGGGTTGGCATGAGCGTCAAGATCATCCTGGCTGACCATTCGGCCGTTTCGCAGGTAACAATGTCGATCCGTCGGCCCCAGAAATGACCGAATGTCTGGTGATGCCGATCCGTCCACGACCAATTTAGGACCTCGGAGCTTCTTGTGAATTCTGCTTCGTGATCGCTTTGGTACATTGGGGGTTTTCTTATTCGCTTCCTTCCCGAACCCTAAACCCATAGTATCTAACGAGTTATTGTGATCTTCTACATATAACGACTGCGCGGCGGGAGAATATGGGGATGATGACTTGGAAGTGAGTGATGATGTCGTTGGCGGCGCCGCTGTCGGCTTCCAACGTGTTCTGAGACTTTTGAATGATGGCTTGTGTGATAATGAAGGGAATTTATTGAGAGGAGAGGGAGGCAGGGAACTTGAAGTTGGCTGAGAAGCTCCCTGAGGTTGTCGACGTGAAAAGTTGACAATATATGTTTCTCCATTCGCACGCTGCATGGGCGCATGCACGGGAAACATATTGAATCTATGTTGCTGTCAGATTTGGAGACTAACTAAGACTGTGGAGAAGAAACTGGGAACTGGAAAAGTTGAGTAAATTGAAAAGAAGATGGAGAGAAGAAGAACATTCATTGCAAGGGAAGTGTCTTTAAATGTTGGCTGCGTCATATCTCTTCGTGTGACTTGCTGGGACGCATGGACGCCAGTGAGCCATTCACTCGAGCTATTCACCCCATTTTCTGTGTACAAAACGTGAAAGCACCTTGCAGGTAATACCACAGTAATCGACTAGCACCAACATGATGATCGACTGTTCTTCGGGCACTATACCGCAGATGTGTTTAAAGTGCAGAAAACGATCGCCGCTACTACCCGCCTCATTGGCATCAGCCTCACGGACCACTAGTCTCATAGTACAAAGGCCTTACACGGTCCAATTCATAATCGGGACTTTAGAATCTCCAGAGAACATACCCCGCCCGTCCGTTTATATGCCGTCCACCCTTGCCACGCGATCGTCCTATCTCCGCCGCCGGATCCATCCTCCATACAAGGGCGAAAAGATTACAAAAGTAGTGCTCGTAGAGGCCTACTACGACGCTCTCGTGCTGTACAAATCCTGGCTTCAACATGGCGTGGTACCGAAATTTCGACGCTCCTCGCATACACCGATCCCCACACTTGAAGGCACATTGCTATGGTCTGAATGCTTTGACCTCGTGCGCGCACACGTCATGGGCACACGCTTCGAGCATGGCGAGTTCTCGGACTACGTGATGGACGAGTTGGTGCGATGGCTCGATCCAACGCAGGAACCAAATATAGAAGCACTGGACTTTGTGTTTCGAGAAAATGGCGTGAGCGAGGAGCTGCAACGTTTCGTCGTAGACAGGATGTTCGCGGTAGAAGAGCATATACGCAAGATCTTTCTATCGTTCTTGGAGAGAAAGTTAAAAGGAAAACTTGGAATTGCCAGACAGGCGAGGCTGTCGGAGTATCATGTTGGAGACAATGATGCTGATTGCGAAGATTCGCAGAATTCAGAAACCGAGGACGATGACAGCACTGCAGAATTCTCAAGTGAAGACGAGAGAGCGAGTTTTGGTAGGCATCAGGTGGCTATGCCAAATCGATCACCCACACCGCCTATGCCGCCGAACCGCTCCCTTTCTACGCGACACGCCCTTCGAGAATTTCACCGTGAATATGATCCGATCTCTACCGCTATACGTGAACCGCGCTCTCCTTATCTTATGCGCAGCTACTCTTCGTTCCAACGTCCCGTGCCGTTTCCTCCAGCCGAATATCTCGCTAGCGCTAAGAATGACGCCGTCGTGCGCAGATACGACGTGCGAAGGAAGCCACTACCCAGCTTACCCATGTCCTTTAAAGATGATAGTCATCCAATTGTGAGACATGGGAGTTTACCCACGTTGAGACCTGCAATTGTGGTCAGCATGGATGGGGAGAACGAGAAGAGACTCGTATCGAGAACGAAGGGGAAACATCCATCAGGCGAGGCGACAGAATTGGAGGGGCGCACCGTGACGCCGGAGGAGCTACTAGAATCGACCCCGAGGGCAGATAGCCCATCTTATGAAGAATGAAATCTTTGATCTGAAATAACTCGATATGGACTTGGGTATATATGTATAAATTCTATTCAATACTGTAACGAGGTTAACAGTGGTATTGAATAAGACGGACAACCAAGTTTTAGAATGATCTTCTGCATGCAACAAAAAGTCTATGAACAATCGCCGTGTCTAATAACAATGAACGGTATCGAAAGCGGGGGTTTACCGCCCTGTAATCCAAATCCCCCCAATGCTGCTCAAAATTGCGTACCAAAAGTACAATTCATCCAAGTGAAAAAAAAATCATTAACGCTATATACGAGCATTACTCCTCCTCCAGAACTTTTGATACCTTGATATTGATGCCGAAGCCATACTGTTTGTTAAACCCCAACCCGTAAGATCGATAGGCCGTGATGTCTTCGAGTGACGAGTCAACGATCTCCAAGACAAAGTTCCGGAAAACAGCGGCAACAGTAAGGTACAGTTCGGCATAAGCGAGTTGCATGCCCACGCAGTTTCGTGCGCCCTTGACGAAGGTAGCTAGATACTTGTTCAGATTTTCTCCGTTAGCATCAGCTTCAATCCAGCGTTCCGGACGGAACACCTGCGGCTCGGGGAAGATATCGGCGTTGTTGTTGATGAGATATGGGGAACAGCCGATAGAAGTGCCAGCCGGAATCACCCAATTCTTGTATACGAGGTCTGTCATAGACATTCTCGCAGAGCGGAAGATCAGGATAGTCTCGCAACGGAGGCCTTCCTTGATGACTGCGGTCAAGTACGGGAGTATCGAGAGTGTAGCCCATGATGGCCGAGAGTCGGGCGTCGGCATTACTGTCAAAAGCTCCCGACGAAGCTTAGCCAGGATCAATGGGTTGAGCAGTAGGTGGCAGGTAATGTTAGTCATGAATCGAGAAGGAATTTCCAGTCCGGCGAGTGAAAGCATCCATCCTTCGTCTGTGAGACGTTCCAGGGACCGCTCTGCAGCAGAGAGTCGCGATCTAGCAACGGAATCGAATATAGTGGTAGGCGTTTCAGCGAATTTCCCCCCTCGAACTGTCTTGACTGCCTGGGCGGCTTGAGATTCGCATTGGGCACGGTATTCGAGGATCGGCTTCATGCTTGGATTGATAATCATCTGGGCTTTCCTGGGAATAATTTTCGCTAAGGTCAGAAGGAATGGGAAATAAGTAGCCCATGGGCCAGAGAACATGATTCTGACCAGAGCTTCCAGAAAAGGGTTCTTGAAATCTAGATTATTGTTAAGTAGGTTGCTCTTCACATTATAGGCGTACTCATTCATGATATCGAATGTTAGCACTCCGAATGCGTTCTTAGCGTGAATTACTTTCCCAAGGGTCTTTGCCTGTTTCAAGTTTCCAACAAACTTGTCAACATTGTTCTGAATAATGTGCTCCAGACGTGTGACGTTGGATTTGGAAAAGAAGGTTGCAACAGGGGCTCGGAATCGTCGATGCTCGATATGGTTGCTGGCGGAATGATGCGCAGTTGGAGCCCCTGTAATTTTCGTATGACTGATTTGGCGTGAGTCATTGTAACTGCCGTGTATCGTATCGAAGAACTCGGGATCGATTATGGAAAGTTGATCGGGAAGGACACGAACGATGCTACCGTACCGCTTGTGCATATTCTCCACCTGCTTGAAGTAGCGGCCTCCGAGAATTAGATTGAAGTACATCTCGGGGATCTCAGATGCTCCCGCCCACCAGGGACCAGGGAATCCAGCAAGCGGATGTAAAGTGACGTTGTAGATAGAGCGAAGGATTAAATACGCTGTGTACAGTATCAAGATTACGAGGCAGAGAGTTGTGAGTTCCATGGTGTTGGGGTTGAATTGTTATCGGCATTAGTGAACGAGCTTTGTTTAAGGGAATTTCTTGGTACCAAATGAATGTGTGGTATATGAGTAGTTTTGAAATGAGTTAAAACATGGTGAAAACGCTTGGGAAGTGCTTTAACTGAAGTGGGGCATCAAACGCGTTGTGTATGTACTAAGATAGAGCGGAGTGAAAGAGATCGAACAATTTGCAAACACAATGTGGATTAGTTTGCTCAGTCTGAACACCACTCCGCGAGGATACCATAGTTGGGCCGAAGATGATCCGTACGGACCGATTTCTGGGCACGAGTCCGCATACTTGAGGACTTGTGTTACTCGAGTTGGATCAAACGCAACAAACACCTCTGGCATCTCTGGCATATGATCGCAGCATGTTGACAGTGCTTTATCTTTGTTCCCTTGTTGATGTTAAGCGCACATGACAAAAGATGTCAGCGAATTGAAAAAGTTGAACTCTTATATTGTGACAGGACTAAATCGAGTATACACTTGAGTGTGTGGTCGTGAATCCATATGAGATCGCTCGGGACTTTTCATAAAACGTAGAAATACATTAACAACTCGTTGTCATAGATTACTCAAAACTTTTTGTCTTCGGTTGGCCGAAGAATGTAAGGATGTAAATCAATCTTTCTCGAGAATGCCCAACTCTCAAACTTGTCCCAGTTCACGCACTTTCTAAACCCCGTAGATTTCATAGCAGGTTTCTCGGCGGTTGGATCCGTCCATACAAATGTATCGACGCTAGTATCTGCCTTACACATCGTGTTCCTCCTCAGTGTCTCAATGCAGTGATCTTCCATGGTCAGCGCGTGCTTGAACATCGTGGGGGAGCATTTACCGAGATGTCTTTGGATATCGGGGACCCGCGTTGGGTCGATGTGTGGGTAAAAATGATCACGATACAGCCATAGTCGTAGTCGTCGCTAGAAGACTGTTAGTTTTGGTTATAGCTGGAAGTGATCGATCACTTACCAGACAATGGATATCGTGGTACACGTGTAGTGAGGCCAGATAGCCCCCATCGTCAACTTTTACGGACTCGTCGATGGACGCGCCAACGGATGTTATCTCCTCTGCAGTCGCATTGAAGAAGCCAGCTGCTCAATGTAAGAGACATACAGAGACTGAGAGAATGACCCTTACGAAGAAGTAGATCCTCCCAGGCTTTTGTATTTGCATTGTTTGGTGTTCCGGTAAATGCGCTGTGAGAGTGGGTATCCGTTCGTTCTTCGGTGATTTCCGCGAGTGCTTCTGCCACTGGAGCTAGACACATCAGCATTTCCCGATATAGAGATGAAGAGTAGAGCTCACTGTAGATATACTCGTCTGGCTTTGAGCGATGCCATCTTGGATAGGTGACACACATGTGGAGGATAGCGATAACAAGGATCAGGTGAACGAAGATGAAGTAAAACTGTGAAAGCTTCTTTCTCGTTCGAGAGGCTGAGTCCTCATGTTGATCAGAAGCTGTACATGACTCAATGTCATTGTCATTCTGGCTGAGCCGGTGATAGTGATTTTCCACGTTCATTTTTGCTATGTCTAGAAGCAAGAGGATCCGAAAGGTGCTGAAGAAAATAGAAGGCAAACTTGTGACGTATGAGTAGCAATGCATATCTACGTTGTCGAACTTGCCACAGCAGGCATCAATGTACACATATGTAGGATGACAGTAGCCAAGACGGGATTTATTACTTTTTGACGATCAATGATATCAGTGATGATCTTCTTGAAAAAAGGGTGAGTCGTGCTTGCTCCAAGTGAGGAGGGAATGGCACATATAAGAAGAGCGCATCTACCGGATGAAAACACACATCATTCAAGCGCAAAACTCAACTCATCTTTTCACCGTAACTCTATCGATACGTTATTTGGCCTACGCATTCCCCCAAAACTACTTTCATCATGCAAGTTACATCATTCCTCTTTGGCATCCTAGCCACCGGTATCGTGTTAGTGAATGGAAGTCCAATTCCAGGTCAGTCCTTCTCCATCATCCCTGCCACATTGCTGAGGAGTATAGAACCATACGAAGAGAATGCATGCGGTAAGTCATGGAAGTACTTTCAGTCCTATTTACGCTTTCTCATCCGATAAAGGACCCAAAGCGGAGGGCACAATCGACGCACGCGGGGATAGCGTGGAGCAGTCGCGATGCCTTTGGTGAATGACGGAATATGTACATTATATTAGCTATACAATTTCAATACTGCAATAAATCACATTCGACAATTGAATGCATGCTCTAGACCGGTGTTCCACCGTTTTGACCCACTGAATTAGGTTGAATCCTCCCGCTCGCTTACTGTACACCTGCAGCGCCGATCAAGTACTCAGGGTAGCTCGGAATCTCGCCTCCATCGAGTAATAGACGTACGATGACGTCGATCTGAACCCTGGACATGATAAGAAAGCATAATGCCCATTCAGCTCGCGACTTGACCCCATTTCAAGCATGTATATCTATATCTCCAGGAGCCCATTCTTGGGCGTTATTGTCGCAGTTAATCAACAGCGTGGCGATGCAAGACTTTCGGACCCCGAATCCTACATGCGCGCCTCCCGCAATTGGAAAAGAGCGACAAAGGTGTACGTCGCCAGGCATGCTGTCTTGAAATACGAGATGACCAATATCTGCCTTCTTTTCATGATGTCAGATGTCTATCGCAGTGGATGTGAAGAGGGTGCGCACCATACAGCGATTCATGACAGCATTTATAGAACGCAACATGTCTGGAGTGTATGCTACTTTTTCACTCGTGTCCAATTTTACACGCATGCACCATGTTGTTTTACTTTGGATCCTATGATATTTTCGTTGGTATCATCTCGCTATTAATATGTTTGGATATCGTCGCCGTCGTCACCCGCGTGTATGCCAGGAGGCTGACGCGCCAGAAGCTGGAGACGGATGACTGGCTGGTCGTTCCGGTGCTGGTAAGATAACGTCGTAGTTCTTCAACCGACAATAAAGATACTAATAGGCCTCGAGATTTTGAATATTGGCATGGCCGTATCTGTCTTCATTGGAATCGGTGATCATGCTCTCACGCACAGGTACCCCACAAGCGATGTATCGCCAGAGCAAGCAGCTTATGGAAAGGCGAAGCAAGGCGTTTTGATGAAGGTGAGCGAGTTTAGTCTTCCAACATATTTGCTATAAACTGAGTACGCTAGATTGAATACGCATTGCTCCTCATGGTCGCCGCCGCACTCACCCTCATCAAGCTTTCCTTTTTATTCTTCTACAAACGTGTGTTTGTTTACGACAAGACGAACTGGAAAGATGTTCGCAATATCATCATACATGCTCTAATCGCCCTCATCATCATATGGGGTCTCGGCTTCGTTCTCATTATGTTGACTGGGTGTCGCAATCACTTCTATGCACACTATTCCACATTGGAAGACACAATGGGAAAATGCATCAACACATTCCTGTACTTGTATGCATTTGCGATAAGCGATTTCATAACCGATGTCTTGATCATCCTGACGCCAATACCTTTCATCTTGAAGCTGAGGCTATCTTTGAAACGCAAACTTGGTATCATGCTTGTGTTCCTCTTAGGAGCTCTGTAAGTAAAGATTTCGGTTTCAGTTACCAAGCTAACAACGCAGGGCTGCTATCACTTCCATGATGCGCATGATTTGGATGAAGTACATCATGGACATGACAGAAAGTCAGATGCCACGGGAATTTGCCAATCCGATAGACATGCCATTTAGTAAGTATTCCAAACGGATGGAGAACTTTACTGACGAGACTAGTCGTGATCTCGACCGAAATGTTTTGGTTCATCCTTGAAGCAACGATTGCTTTAATCGCGGCCTGTCTACCGACCATCTCGACGATATTCCGTACTGGGCCTGTTCATCACTTCCTTCAAAACTTCTCTAGCAAAGGCTCTATAAAATCGGGCAGTACCTTCAGTGGAAAATCGAGACTGGCGGATTGGAGGAAGACTGGAGGACAGAGTAAACATACTCAGGTGGAAGTATAAGGTTGGTAATTCATATTGTTATCAATGCATGCAATGTCTCTCATCTGCAGTCATCATATTTTTCAGACTTGAACATAGATTATAGCTCCTATTTGTAGTATATGTCACATAAGATTTTTACCAAAGCAAATCCCTTTTCTTGTGTACGGGTGAATCGTGATAAGCACGGAACATGGGTCCTGCCTGAAGCTCGAAGGCTGATTCATCGTGTTCTTCAATACCAAGTGTTTGTGCTGCATGGAAATGCGAAGACCCCAATAATAGACTTAGTGTACGGGTGAAGCCATGATGATGTTCGTCTCGACTATTTGGGAGACCCACAGTCAAGTAGATGGCTGACAAAGCCGAATTGAGACAAAGAAGTATGCACAGTACAACCTTAGGTGCCCGGACGTTTTCAGAATCTAGATGTCCAGGGCGCGCGAAACTAGTAGTAAAAGCTTGATTTTCAACGTATTGCTAGAAAAAATACAAACGAGCGAGTATTCAAAAAACACTGGTACGATGAAGTGTATCACGCGCTCTGTTTCATGCGTTGCAGCGCTGTTGATAGTGTTGCTCAAGCTCATTTGTCTATCTTCACATCGAAGCTCTCCCGAACCATCTCCGAGAGTCACCGAGATGTTGCACCTCAATTTTCGACTTCTCTCAATCCACGCCCACGCCATCTCCGACTCCAACTTCGGTCAATTCCAACTCGACTCCCCTTCATCGTATAACATTTAGTTATATCAAAAATGCACTTCCATTAGCTGATGGTTACGCGTAGTATAGATATTCTTTTCTTTGCCCCGCAACTTTGGGTGACGGCTTTCATCAAGATACACCGTGTGTTCATCGCCGCATGAGCTAGGCCCACGATGTCTGTCCCCGACGACGATTTCGATCCCGAGTACGATACTGTCGAGGAAGATTTTCACGTCACTCCTCTTATTTCGCTGCCTGCACTATCGCCCACGCCGGCCGTGTACCCTGGATGTTGTGTTGCGCTGAGTCCTCTTCTGCTTTCCAACCTGAGTACCATTCTGCCCTCATCTTCAAGCTTGATCCTGTCTATAGGCAGTGGTACTGGATTTCTGGAAGCTCTCCTCCGCTCCGAGCCACATGATATCAATATCATCGGTGTCGAAGTGCACCCCAGTATCAATCGGTACCTTCAAACAAACCACCACCGGGTTGTGGCGGGCAGCTACTCCCTTGAGCCCCTTGCCATCGAAGCAGAAACATGGTTGTTCATCTACCCGAGACGCGTAGGGCTTGTTCAGTCTTATATATCTACGTATGGCCAAGGTGTCATAAATCAGATAGTGTGGATTGGCCCAACGGCTGATTGGGAAGACTACAAACAATGCTTTGAAGTGCATTGGGACTTGAAAGTTCAAAGCGCAGGTGAGCTAGGTGGAAGAGGCTGGGAGCTTGTTGCAGTTGCCTCCAAGAAGCCGGCTTAAACAAGAAAGACAGTGGAGAAAATCAAAAGAACAGGACTTGAAACAAAGAAATCATTGTTTCAGACGCCGGGAGGTGTCAAAATCATATGATAAATTTCCCACACACATATGTGCAGGCAGACGTGTTCGCCGTGCGCTCCTTTGTCTGCTACTTCTCCTTGTCCTAGCCTTACCCGGGTTTGCCTAGCGGGGAGGCAAACAGAACAAGAGTATAACAAATCCCATGTCCTACAGCATTTCCTCCCTTAGTTCTTCCTTCAGTTCCTTCCTCCAAATCTATCAATACCCCTTTTGACTCACAGAAAACGGGTGGACAAAACCGCGAGATGTTATATTCTGCCCTCTTCAGCCTATCCGGGCTATCCTTCATCTTCTTTGGCCCTGCCGCCGTCTTGCGCGAGACAGAATTCGAATTGTTAGGTGCGGCATTCACGTTGTACGCAGGGACGCCTCAGATATGGGAATCTGTCCAACAGGCGCGCCTCGAGGCTCAACAGCCGGCTAGCACTTTTGCTGGTCTTCCGTCAATACAGAACGAAGTTCCTTCGAATTCTACGGATGGAAGGTCATTCAACAACCCACTTTTTTACGAAATCTGCGAAATCGATCGCAACGAAGCAACTTGTTCTGCCCCGAAAAAAGCATCTGTGGTTGAGTCGGAAGGCGTGGAAGGCGTGGAAGATGTGGAAGACGTACAAGACGTACAAGACGTACAAGACGTACAAGACGTACAAGACGTACAAGACGTACAAGACGTACAAGACGTACAAGACGTACAAGACGTACAAGACGTGGAAGGCGTGGAAGCAGAGACCGCTGAGCAAACAGCTGAGGGGGAAAGCCATACGCACGAGACATATCAACCGACGAGCGATCACATAACATCTCAACGGAGAGATCGACAGCTTCTTAAGTCCGCCGACGATGCATTCCAGTACGCTCTTTACTGGATTAAAACAACTTGGGACTCTAGTATTATTAGCTTGTCAGAACGGTTTAATCGGTCAAGCCATGGTTTGCTCTCGAGCGAGTGGCGGAAAAGCAAAGGTCTGACATCTGCCGTTTATTATAAAGAGACACTAACGTGGACGACAGTGGCATACTTCGTTCTCGGCATCTTTTTTCTCATTGCAATCAAGGATCTATGTGTATGGGGGGTTGAAACAGTCTACATAAGGATGTTTCCCCGTGGTCGACCCCTGGTCAATCCCAAAACCATTGTTTTTGCTACGATTTATACAATTATTCAATGTTTAAAGGTGGCATTGGATGAATCTGAGTATTACTCTACGTGGCCTCCGGCAAGGTCTTTGCACGGGTTCTGGCGAATTCCATTGTCGGTTCTCGCTGCATATGCCCCCGCGCTTTTGGTCACGCAAACCATCAAACTCACGGGATTGAATCGCTATTTTTGGTTGTATGCTACCATTTTTCAGACATTGGTCCTCGTTCTATCGTGGCTTGTCAGCAAAAACTGGAATACGGCACTGTTGAAGATTGATCACTGGGCTGTCTTCGTCATGACCCTCCTTTTGCTTATCAGATATTCCGATTCAGCTCCCGTACAGAGTCCCGGCAGCGACAATAAGCCGCAATACCCAAAGCCAGATCTCATCATATCTGAAATAAGGACAGAAGGAAAGAATGGGAATAGCCCGGTCCAAAATGAAGAGGAAGGTGGGAGTGGAGATGCCGATCAGAACCGCCCATTGCAGCCTGATAATTCTGCCCCAGAGGAGCATAATGAATCTAAAACACCTACTTCATCCGAGAAAAAAGGTCCTTGGGGAACTAAACACCAAAAGCGTGTTATGAGCCTTGATTCTGACGCAGAGAAACCAAGTAACACTGAAAGGACGACGTCTTCTCCAGAACTAGAAAGAACCCCTCAAGAGCCAGTTCAGACCGCAGACATCGAACCGGAAGCGTCATCACCTAGCGGAGCACCATAGCCTCGCTTGCAACAAGCACCAATGAAGTATGGGCGTACCAGGCGATCCAGACCCTCGCCCGAAAATGATCCCAATTTCAGTTCTACAGAGTCTACGCAGGACCGACGTCTGGACCTGCAACGTCTCAGCCAGCAACAAAAGAATATAAAGAAGTCTCGGACGAGAGCGAATCAAGCACCGGGAGTCCTCCTCGATATCTACCTTCTACACCCGCACCCCAGCCTCCTCAGATCGGAATCCAGGAGAGGCACCGCAAGTTGCAAGCCTAAGGTCGATCTGGCAAACTAAGATTGAACACCACTTCGGGAGCAGTCCAAACGCCCCCAGCATCGGAGCCGTTACCTAAGGAGAGAGAGCCACCAGAAGAAGAGCCCGTCTACGGCCGCCCCGACGGCAGCAAAAGAACCAAACCCGACAATGAAAGCGCCGAACCCCACGACGGAATCGCCACGTTTGATCCCAGGATCTTTCAAAACGAGCTCCGCGAAACCGGTTTCAAGCGTCCCGGGAGTGGGAAGCGGTGGTCGAAACTCTCGGGCAATACAGAGTACACTCGTCACAATCCTTCATCGGCGGGGACTCGCAATACCCTCAAATCACCCTTAGCGGTGACACCTTCGCCAATCTCATCTTCACAGAATGGAACCGATGGACCGGCCGCGTCCTCCGGGCAGGAGAAGAGTCCACATGACAAGATATTTGAGAAGAATTCGGATAAAGGATTGACAAAGGAGAACAAGGAGATCCTACGCAGAGTATTTGATATTAAGAACGAGCGTGACTTCATCGACATGAAGCAGTTCCAGGCGATGGCGAGGGAAGCGGGATATTGACAGCGACGCGATGGTTGGGGTATTGATATGTTCTTTTCTACGTTTTTGGAACGTTCCTGTGCTGATCGGGCGCGTTGCGCTGCCTACTTGTTATGCGTATCCGTTTTTCTTTCCTCTCTTCTTTTTCTCTGCTGCAGTTCTAGTTCTCTTTGTTCGATACTTGTTGCAATTGATTCTTCTCCTCTATAGGCTGACACTATTCGTGATGTGCAATGGCTGCTACTATGTGGCAAGAAAACATAGGCAGCGTGGATTAGAACGGCCAGGGAGCCACGGCTGTGGGAGGGCCGTGTGCGCGGAGTAAATAAAAATATAGCCCAGGATAGTATAAACACTTGCGCATCTACCTGAGGAAAGCGAAAACCCATCGCAGAGATATTTTCGGGTTGTGGTGTGGTGTGACATTCACCTGCCGTAAGGTTGAACATTGCGGGTAGGATGGCGGGACATGGTAAAAAAGAGTGAATGCGCGGGCGACTCAGCGCATGCTACGGCGAAGACGTGGGCGGTGCGGCGCTACAACAACAAAAGCAACAACATGCGGCGCGCGGAGAATGACAGGTAGCGAGGCGCGCAAGAGAGAAACACCAAATAGCGGGGTAGGTAGACATACTCACAAGACATGGCAGGGACACATGGAGGCATACTACTACTTGAGTGAAGAGAGAAAGACTTCATAGCGACACCAAGGTTTGAACAACATCACACAAGGGTAGAACAACAAGAGAAGAACATCAGAGTAAGAGGAAGGTTGATTGATTGATTGATTGACTTGAAAATACATGATGAAGTAGAAGGATGTTCATACATGTATGTTGAGAAGAAGTATCCACCACGACAACACCAAGAAGCTTGACCCATAAGATGACATGAACCTCAACACCAACACTCAACACCAAGATCCTTTGTTCCAAGCACCAAGGGACCCCATGGCCTCGAACCATGCCCTGTACCAAATGTTTCCATGATGTTCTTGCCGATCGAGCCAGCGAAGCACTCATCCGTAGATGAGGAACGCCCGAGGGTATGATTGAGAAACCCTCGCCGGTGCCCAGGGTGTTCGCCCTGTATTTTTGTCGAAAGCTGACATTGAGTCGGGAGCGTTGGGTCGGGGAGGCTGCAAGGCGTGCGCGTTGTGAGAAGGCTCGATGATTGTTTGTTGGAAGGATGTGCAATGTGACAGGAAGCGGCGACAGTGAAGAAAGCCGAAGGATGTTTGAAGTTGTCGATGCAAATTGTTTGTTGGAGCAGAAGATGGTAGACCGAGGCAGCTGTGCTCAATGAGTGACCCCGACCCAACGCGAAAGAGAACAAGAACCAAAGTGGACTTGTACTAGACCTGGACATGAATCTATCGGAGGGAGATACAAGGAAGGGTCTTTGCTGAGAGGCTGAAGGTCGGTAGGCCACACACTTCCAAGTAGGCGTTCAAGTTCCACACAGCCAAAACAGCAAAGCTGGATTGGTAGGCCACACACTACAAAGAAGGCGCTCAAATTCCACACGGCCGACCCAGCATGAGCTCGGAGCGCCGCAATGCAAATGTCACGAATGAGACACATCAAGGAACTAGCGGCAAGCCACTTGGTCTTGAAGCGAGACAATTGACATGAAGCATGTTCTGTTGAATGTCAGTATGCGAAAGGACAATGGAGGAAGAAGAACATAACTTGATGTTGACATGTGGTCAAGACATGACACAAGTATGTGTATGACATGGAGGCAGGCGTGCCATGATGTTGGAGGCAGGAAGGTAGGAAGGTAGGCAATTGATATGTGGTATGAGGTTGGATGTAAGACTTGGAAGGTATTGAAGAAGAGAAGGCAATGTAGAAGTTGTTGAGACAGCCAGGTTGTTGAGTAGTGGAGGGAGGAAGAAAGCGACGGAGGGAGAGGGGAGGGGGGGTTTATATAGTGCCCTCCGGAGCCTTAGCGCCTCCGCTCACGTGACCTGGAAGCAAAGGTTTCTCCGGGCGGACAAACAGTCGTTCCGGGGCGAATCAAGGTGAATGAGGGAACTAGAGGCAATATTAGAGGCTTTTTGACTGTATGAGTCACAGAAATGACGTAGGCAGACTCATTAGATTGCCTGGTAGCTCACTGTCCAGCTCCGTCTGGCCGTGGCGGATATGGGGTTGAAGCTGGGTCTATGTGGTGCTTATATAGAACATAGTGATTCAACGGCATTTTTTGATGGCCTATACTGAAGAGCTCAGTAGAGAGTAGCTATCTAGAAGTCATGGCGACTGGATTGGGGAGAACATGTGAATTGTCGTTGCAAGTGATACTGCGATAGAACGCAACGACTGGCGACTTTTTGAATCCATGGCTTTTTGGCTGCGCCCGTGTGGGGAAACAGGAGCGATGTAGATGCCAAAACAGCGTGACTTATTGCCAGATCCCTTGCGGCCATCGAGGCTCCAGTGATGTAGTAAACGTAGGCTGTCTATTCACAAAGGGTCAAGCCGCAGATTCTGCTTGCCGTATGGTATTGATATGGGTAGAGACCGCTGTAGTGCTTCATATCTTGCGAAGCTCGACTAGAGCTCTAGATGCGTCTGCTCTTGAGTATGGAGACACGGGCAGAGATTTCATATCAAATTGAGCGGCGGGACAGACAGAGAAGCAGCTATTGATGCTACTCTACGTCCGCTACAGATGCCAATGGATATTGATCCAGCACATTATTGGGGAGCCGCGGCCCAAATCCAAGTAAGATGTGGGGATACCATCGATGAGAGCTACCCGCCATTTCTCGTAGTCCGACAAAGAGGAACAAGCCTGAATCGAGTGGATGTCCCACCAAACGAGCGTCGAGCGATGCACTACATGGGGCTTTACCTCGCCCACTTGCGCCACGGATGTGAAGCTGATGACTTGAAAGAACCGTTGTGATCAATATATCAGTGTAATGAGTCCGCGCAGATGATGCCGCCTCAGCTTGCATCGTGTCCTGCGCTGGATGACCGGGTGACCACCCGGCTGTCGCGAGCAATATCGTGAACGTCACATCCGGCCAACCGGGGCCCTCGAAGCTACTTGTAGACATGACATGTAGGAAACCAGTATCACGCCCATAACATTAAAACTACCAGATAGATACAGCTACTTGTAACATATCCTTCTTCATCGTGCGTATGCTCTATACCTGCGACGTCGCGGTCTGCAAAAATCTTACATCGTCGCACCGGCCGCTGTCGCGCTGCCGGCGTCCAACACGGCCCCCTCCTCTGGATCGTTGCCCTTGACAAGCTTGATGCTAACTTCAGGGTCTTGAGAGTAGACGCGCAAGCCCATAACACACACGGCATTCCAGTGCCTTTGTTTTTTGTCGTCTGCTTGAGTCGGCTTCTCGTCCGCCTCATCGCTGCCACTATCACTGACAGGGCCGGCAGGACCGCCGTGCGACTCATACGACTCGAATCCGGCGGGAGCGTGGCTATTCGACGGAAGATGAGCATGCGACTCGTCGTCGGTATCTTCAGTGTCACGGTCGTCGTGGTTATCAGCTTTTGCGGTATGAGATTCTCCCTCCGCGTCCTCGTCGTCAGACTCCGAGCCCTCTGGATTGTCGTCCTTTCTTGTGGCCTCCACTGCTTTCTCCTCGTCGATATCAACGCTGGGACCTTTCTTGTTTTCCACGTTGGTTTCTGCCGTCTTTTCTTCGCCGGCCTGTGTGCCCTCTTCCTTCTTTTCTTTCGCGGCTCTCTCGTTCTCCTCGCGCTCGCGCTTTTCCTTTCTCCAAGCATCGAACTCGGCTCTCTCTTTTTCAGCCTCAAGTTTTTTCTTCTTCCGCGTTTCCTCCTCTGCCGCCTCCTTCTTCTTCTCTTCCTCCGTTGGGGCGGCGATTCCTCTGGCATTTGCAATGTCGTAATTGAGACCGATCTGCCTCAACTTCTGCGGGTTTGTATTTGCGAGCGCCATAACGGCATCGGCAACCTCTACACCAGCGTCGTCCTTGAAAGCGGAGATCTTCGGCAATACTTGATATCGACCAGGTCCCAAGTCAATTTCAGCGGAGATGCTGCGGTTACCAAACCATGCGCCACGCGCACGAACGATGTGATCCCCCGGCGAAGCGCCTTCTTCCTGCAGAAGGAAATGCAGATCAAAACTATACTTTCCTTCGAGGCCTTTGAAGTACCGGTCATCGAGCTAGGACTGCGGTTAGAACAACAATACTGTATACATGGCTCTCCATATACTTGCCTGGGAAAGGACAAAGACAGTGGGCCCGGCCTTCTTGATCTCGACGATGAATTTGGTGTTCATGTATCCCGTCACCCAAGCAACGTCGACGCTTGTCCACTTCTGAACGACAGTCCAGTCTTTGTTGAAGAGGCGGGTTCTGTCGAGAAAGTAGAATCGCTTTTGCAAATCATTGAAGGACATCCAGAACAGGCCATCGTCAGCGAAGCGATGATTCAACTTCTTCATCCAGTACGGAGTCCACTCTTCAGATCCGTCAGACCAAGCCCCGTTCCATTCACCACTTCCCTTCCAATTGCGTTTACCCCAAGGGTTGCGAATCTGAACCAGTCTGTGCTTCTTCCCATTCTCATCTTCCTCTTCCACCGCTTTGATTACGGAATAAGCGTGTCCAAGTGCGAGACCTTTGCGGGTGTCTTTGTCGTTACCAAAAGCATGGTGTGATGATGCTGAGAAGAGGAAGTTCTTGTTGACGCCCAGCAGTTCCTTCCATAGTCGCTCTTTACTGAGAATGCGGTTGGTAAGGACATTTGTGGTCACGCCACCAGTCAAATCCTCTATCGCTTCTCCCGTAATACCTCCAGCAATGGAATCATAATCACCGTGGACCTTGGCATATGCCTTTTCGAGCAGTGGCAGCCACGTCTCGTTTTGATCAGCGCAGGAAGCAAAATATAGAGCATCCGATCCTGTCTGTTCATTCTTCTTCCACTTGCGTTCTTGAGTGCCAGTCGCATCGTAAACTTCTCCGAAGGCTTCGAAGTCGGGATTCTTGAGGTACAAATTGTCGTCGACCACTGTCCAGATCCACTCGCCGTCACGGTAGAAGACGAACCCGTATACACCGCATTGCTCGTCCCTTTCTACACAGATGCGATCCATCAAGGTTGGGTTACTGCATATGGACGCCACAGCCGCAATGAACCAGCAGTCTCCGTTAGCACCCTGCTGAACATCAGAACTCGAGTATCCATCCACAGTGAATGCTGGTTCATCGAAGATCCAATCAATTCGATGAACGGTGGAAGGACGCCGAGGACCATTGCTATCTCCGCTTTTGAGCGCTCGCGCCGTGGCCTCAAGATCGATTGCTACAGCGGTATTGGCCATAATTTTGCTGGCTACGAGGGTCTTGAACGCTTCGCCCAGCTCCTCCGGATCTACTTCGTCGTCATCGTCATCTCCACGTTTGAACGAATCCATTAGCCCCTCCAAGCAGTTGTTTATTCCTCGATCACCCTCGATATCGAATTCAGGGTCGGTGAATTTTTCGTTAGTCCTATGGCATTCACGCACGATTCGCTTCACTCGGGTGCGACATTCTTCCGCGGCTATCTCATACGATTGTGCGGCATTTTGCCCAGTGGCTGGGCCTGGCTTTTGCAGAGGAGGAAGCAAGTTGGCGTAGAGACTGGGTGGAAAGATATTCGTCACTTTGGTTGGCTTTTTGGTGATGAGCTTCTCCCAGAAGTCCTCCACGACCTCTTGCGGAGCTTTTGAATGGCCATCGTCGTCGCCTACATACGACATTTTGGGTCAAGGAGCACTGGGTTCGCAAGTCAGCAAAGTTCCTCGTTTCTACGGCATGGTCTTTGGCTGATGCATACAATCCGGAATACCTCGCGCGGCTAAGATGGTCTGAAAGTCTCAATGGTAAGTGGGGACGTTGAATGACAGGAAAAGATTCACATTTGCATCGAGCTGTGGCGCTCGTTATATCAATTTTACTGGAAGGATTGGGGGCCAGAAGCGCAGCCTTGTCATCTTGAGATTCTCAGCTAGTGCATGTTCACCGGTTGAGATGTTAGCATCAGTTGGGGGCTAGAAAGATGGTTTGGGCTCAGCTTGTAACCATACTGGGTACGTGTGTGAGCAAAATGCGCATCGAGCCAATGAGCATCTGGTCAGGGTGGTTAGCTGAGTCTCATGTATTACCGCCAAGGTAAGATGCCGTCTGTTGCGTAAATGGTGTTCTATTGGTACCGTATAATCTTACCCTTTGTAGATATTCCGACGCTTAGCTACAGTTGGATCTACAGCATGGCTGCATCGTGAGCATTAACCTTGAAAGGTAAAGTAGGTGCAGAGGAATACTTACATTATGGTATCGCCGTCACGAACTTCTCGGTTCGCCTTTAGAATTATGCAATTATGCTTGGTTCGGGAGGCGCATTGGAGAGCCTTCATTTGACCTCCTTGTACTATACCACGGTGACTTCTTTGAAACGGCGACAAGGCACGATGAGCGGACAGCACTGCAGAAATGCGACAGGTGCTGATTGACAATGAAGGCAGTGGCAAGACTATGACTCGAGATATCGCCGTTGGCCACCTTTGTTGCGCATTGATCAAAACTTATCATACTGATGATCTTCATACCCGAGCACCCAAATGCCCGCCAGGGGGACATGGTCGAGACTCGGTGCGCGAGGCCCTCATTCTTAAGATGGCTCAGTTCTCTTCTGAAGCCGGTGATGATAGCTCGAATTCCATATTTCAATCGACGTGTGCCTCCTGTGATGTGGCGGCCGTCTCGCGATGTGTCCTCTCTCTGGCGAACTGGGGTCTGCTTCGAATTCTCCATTCGTCTTGGCTACGGAACGCAGGATCTCTACAACAAATTGAGTATATATAAGCACAATTCTACGCTATACGCGAGATTTCTGAATGTATAAGATGTTTCAATGTTCCAATGCTGATGGTCAATAAAGTGTCAGGTGATCGTTCCGGAGCCACCTCGGCTTCCGCAAACCTGCACGGAGCTATGGCCATCCTCGAGCGTTCGTTCCCCGCTTGAGCTTGCATCCTCCAACCACCGCCGCCGACGACGACCTCGACCTACCAGTCAAGACCTTTCACGACTTCGAGCCCTCTTCTCAGCCCCGCGCTGGAGAATACCGCGAGACGAGCAAACACAACTCTCTGCTTGATGAATCCATAGAAAGAAAAGATACCCCGAGCACAGCCATGGCTCGTTTCTCCAACCCTTTTGCCTTCACCCCTCTGCCTGTTATCATCCTAACGACAGTGACGTATGTTGCTTTATTTTCTGGCCTGCTCACCACCCACCTCACCGTTCCTGCTCATCCCTCCAAGACCCCGTCCGGCACAAATTTGACTCAAGCTTGGATAGACCTCGAGACCATTACTCGCTATCATCACCCCTACAATAGCCATGCCAACGATGATGTTCGGAAATATCTTCTATCCCGTGTCAAGCAACATGTGACCTCGAAAAACCTCACCGACCACCAGGTCCAGATCATAGACGACAACGTTTCCAACGTCACTTTCTCCGAAGGTAGCACTACCGTGTATTTCGAGGGAACAAATATCATCGTCGCCATCCGAGGTTCCGAAGATGGCGAGTCTTTTTATTCCGCCAATCGGGCTCCTGAAAATGGGGGTGTGCTTGTCAATGCCCATTACGATTCTGTTAGCACAGGCTATGGTGCTACGGATGATGGTGTCGGTGTCGTTTCGGTGTTGCAACTGCTGTCATACTTTACCGAGGAGGGTAATTGGCCAAAAAGGACCGTCGTTCTTTTACTGAACAATGGCGAGGAAGATTTCCTGAATGGCGCTAAAGCTTTCATGCGGCATCCTATATCCCAGGTTCCACATACCTTCTTGAACCTCGAAGGTGCGGGTGCTGGGGGTCGCGCCACCCTCTTTAGGAGCACAGATACCGAGGTGACCAGTTTCTACAAAGCAGCCAGCCGCCCTTTCGGTACAGTTGCGAGCAGTGACGGGTTCAAAAAACATCTCATTCGTAGCGAAACAGACTATGTTGTCTTCAACGGCGAGCTCGGCCTACGGGGGCTTGATGTCGCTTTCATGGAACCTCGAGCCCGATACCATACCATAGAGGACTCTACTAAAGAGACTTCACTTGATTCCGTATGGCATATGCTTTCGGCTTCTATTGCTACCACTGCTGGCCTGGCGGACGATACGAGCACCACATTCAGCGGCACTGGTCAGCCTCGTTCGGATGGCACGGTCGATGCCGGCACAGGCAGTGAAGCAGTCTGGTTTGACATGTTCGGCAGGGTGTTCGTCATATTCCGTCTCCACACTCTGTTTGCTCTATGTGTGACCCTGCTTGTTGTAGCCCCAATCACTCTGATAGGTTTGACTGTGGGGCTATCCAAAGCCGACAAGAACTTTCTCTTCGCTCGAAAACAATATGTACATTCGCCTGATGACGATGAGCCTATTCAACTCAACGGTTGGCGTGGCTTCTTCAGGTTCCCGATTACGTTTGGCGTTTCAACTGCTATTACTGTTGCATTGGCTTTTCTTTTTCAGCGCGTCAATCCGCATATCGTCTACAGTAGTCCATTTGCTGTTTGGGCGTAAGTACTTGCCTCCTCTGGATGTTCTTCCGACACTGACCAAGTTCGTAGATCAATGTTTTCGGCATGGTGCTTCTCCGCCTGGTTCCTCCTGCGCGGAGCAAGCGCTATGCGACCTTCGGCGTTGCAGCGCATGTACGCATTGATCTGGGTGTTCATTGGGAGCTTTGCTCTATTGATTTTCACCACAATCCTTGTCCAGAATTTTCAAGTTGCTGGGGGCTATTTTGCCTTGTTCTACTTTGCCAGCGTCTTCTTTGCACTCGTGTTATCATATATCGAGTTATTTTGCGCCCCAAAGAAGTCCGCATACGTTGCTCTATGCGATCAAGAAGATTCACAAGCTCAACATGCCGATGCTTCAAGCAGGCCGCTTACCGGAAGCACGAGCGGTCCTCGTTCTGGAGATCGCTCGCCCCTGATGGACGATGACGCCACGGAGACAACCTCACTCTTGCGAGGTGATCGCCGCAGCTTCCGACGTTATGACGGCCGACGACAATCCACCAGTGAAGGGACCGACTCGGGCGAGCGATCCGCAGATCTGGGCCATGCATACCCTGGAGAGCAAAAGTGGAGTGGCAAGCTGCCAAACTGGCTGTGGATAGTCCAGTTCCTTGCTATCGCACCTATAAACATCGTTCTTGTGGGCCAATTAGCGTTACTCACTACCTCTGGATTGTACCAAACGCCAGCCGACGGTAGTCCCACCCTCTTCATATACCTTGCTTTCGCCGTGCTCACGACGCTTCTGGCCGTTCCCCTCGGACCCTTCATCCATCGTTTCACATATCACGTCCCGACCTTTCTATTCTTTGTTTGCGTCGGCACGGTCATCTACAATCTCATCGCATTCCCCTTCTCCCGGGAGCACCGATTGAAAGTTTACTTCCAGCAGCAGGTCGACTTAGAAAGCGGCATGAATACTGTCTCATTAACGGGACTGGACGGCTACGTACAGGATATCATCAACGAGCTGCCTAGCGCCCAAGGTCAGGAAATTGATTGCAGGAGTCCCCATAAGAAGAGTCGCGCGGAACTGAAGAAATGTGCGTGGCAAGGCCTGCCGGTACACGTCGCGCCGACACTCATTCCATTTGGCAACAAGACTACCCCCGATTCCTGGCTAGATTATTCTATTACTAGGAACAAATCCGCCAATGAGGCGTCCATACGTCTTGTAGGGCAGAATACAAGGGCGTGTCGCATCATGTTTGACACGCCGGCTACTAATTTAGTTGTGGGTGGCGCTGTTTCAGACGACCCCCGCTTCAACGCAACAACGGGCAAGACAAGCGAAATACGTCTTTGGCACAGGACCTGGTCCACGCCGTTCACCGTCAACTTTACATGGGACGGCGATGCGAAGTCTTCTGGAAGAGTCGTTTGTCTCTGGTCCGATGCAAATGCGAACGATGTTCCGGCATTTAACGAGGTACAGCACTACATTCCGAATTGGGCGGTGGCGACCAAATATTCAGATGGTCTAGTAGATATTTCCAGGGCTTTTGTGGTATGACGAGGGCGGCCATGATCTTGCTCGCCCAACACGTTGCAGCCTGGTCAATGCTGTCACATAGGCCGTTGTCTCCTTTCTCACTTTGCTGCGATATCCTTTCTGACTGCATTTAAGTACGGCGCATCTGCGGTTCCTTCGTCGCGTTCTGGTCTCATTTGTCCGAGCTCCGCACTCCCGCACTGCTGTTTTATTCTTGTCTCTCCTTTTATGCATTTTGTTTTTCTTTGGGGTCGGTAATCGGTACATACGTTCAGTATATCATGAGTGCACCATAGTTGCATGTTAATGAAAAACGAATGCCACGAGCACGCCCACGACAGTCCTCCCGGATCTTTCACATGCAATAACACACTTTCCTTTCCATAATTTCATTTTTACTTAATCAACACAGACATTGCGAGGCCCATCATGTCTGGTATTTTGGGCAGCGTCCGGGATTGCAGCCATAACCACCCGGTGCTTGTCACTATTGTAGGTCTCGTTGTCTTTGTACCTGGAACATTCTTCATCATCACTGGCAAGCCACCGAATCTCACATATGAATCAATCGCAAACATTTCCGGCGCTTTATCCGAATATACATCGCAGTACCCACAGGAATTAGATTTCAACTTCTCGTTGACAGGACGGACCTACGAATCTGGACGAAATACCACTATACGAATACTAGAGAACACACGCGAGCATCTTGAGCAACACCTGATACCCCTGGCGGATCAATTACGTCTGGACGTTCTTAGGCTGTTGGCTGTTTGGAAACATCGGTGGGCAGCGCATTTTCCCATCTCAAGACTCTTATCGGCCGTATACACTGCGGCTCTGCCTGCTGCTTTTCTGCTTCTCGCACGCCTTTACCCTTGCTCTTGGGCGGCGCAACACCAGATTACGATAGCAAGCGCTCTTCATATCTTAGCACTTATCACACTTGGGAACCAAACGGTGTCGATCCAGGATCTACTTATCACGGCTTTTTTCATGGCATTGTTCAAAGCCCTGGAAATGGGAACTAGATCGCGGAAGAAAGAGTCAAGGGATGGTTGTATGGACAAAATGGTGGGGGACAGTGCGTCATGCGATTCGCCGCAGGACGCGTTATATCATGACTCGAGATCAGTAGTTGAAACCCTACTGTCGCAATCTCATTCGATCGCCAAGTCAAGCATCTTCTCGATTCCTAAATTATATTCATCTTCCGCCAAACCCGGGCATGGTACTGATACCATCATGATGAGCGGTTCCAGAGACGAAGAGATGGAGCGACTGCGCACAGCACTAACAGAAGCGAGAACAGCGCAAACAGTGAAGGAACTGGAAGCAAAGCGTGCAAGAGCGGAGGTACACAAAGCCAGAGTGAAACTCGACCAAACATACACAGAGTATCAGAGTCTGAGGGAAGAGATGAGGAATATCAAGCAAAACCTTGCGCGTGATCACCAAGCAGTGGTCTATCGCAAGGATATCGAGCTCTTTGCCATGCGGAAAGCCGGCGAGCAAAAGGAGAACTACATCAAGGACCGCGAATCGAAACTGCAGGATATATACCGATCGCAAAAGGCAGTTCTGGAATTAAAAGACGCGCATATACGAAATTTGAAAGACAGAGTGTCCCATTACGAGCGCCAGAATAGCCCCGAGCCGAATACCGAGGCCAGCAATGATGATGCGATGCATTCTGTAAGCGAAAGTGAATCTCAATCTGCTGTTCAAGTCAAGCTCTATCGCGTCCAAGGAAGAAGTTCGGTCGAGATAGCGCACGAAGTTGAAGAGAAGGACATGGAAATCGCAAAGCTGAAACTGGATCTTTCAAAGGCCGCCAGCGCGGTCGAAGCACTCACAAAAACACAGGAAGAGCTTAAGCGTGCTTGGGATGCTACATTTGAAGCAGAAAATGGCTTGAAGGAGGAACGGAAGCGGCATGCAGATACACAGCATAAATTACGGGATGCCGTTAAGAGAGTGGAGGAAGAGATCAAGATTGGAAGCCATAAGGGTGCACTTTCAACCCTACCAACGATTGACGAGCAAGACAAGAAGGAGTTAGAGGCGATGTGTACGTACAACATCTCTTCATACATCCGCTACCCTAAGCAAGCAACATCGACACATGTGACCATTGGCGTTGTGAGACCTGGGTCGCCGTCGAGGCAGTATTATCGAATCCATCGCTTACTTGAGAAACGTAGTCAACACCGCGCAAGAAGACAATCTACGCCTTTACACCAAGATTGAGGCCTTCGAAAAACGCATCCAGAATTCAAATTCCAAAGTGTTCCAGGCCGAGCAAGAAGTCGAAACTCTCAAAGAGCAGTTGAGACTCGAAAAAGCGATTAACGAAGACATGGCGACAGCTCGTCCTTCTCTTGTTCACAGGGTTCACTTTCAGCGCATGGAGGGGCAATTGAGGGAGTGTCGCGATGCCCTTGAGGCTGTTGGAGAAGAGATAGCCAACAAAGATCACCAGATTGATGAGCTTTCTCACGCAAGAGTGGTTGCAGATCAAGCGCGGATGAAAGCGGAACAAGAAAAGGATGATCTCAGAAATTCCATTACCCAACTCGAAAGTACAAAGCAACAGCTCATGCTAGATCATGAGCGATTGGCCAAACACCGGCTCCGCCAACGAACGACATCCGCGGACTATAATCCGTCTGCACGTTCCAGTGGTGCAACGCTCATTACAGAACCTTCAGCTTCTTCTGAACCGGCGATTTCATCTCATGATCCTTCTCCGCTGTCACTTGTCTCACAGGACGCAGCCCCATCAGCACCTACCGTTGCCTTGACACCGACAACCACAGTTGAAAGTATTCAAGCCACACCCGAACGCCATGTCCGTCAGGAAGACCGGAATAGATTGAGTCTGATCTCCAACGACGTCCCACCAGCCGAGCTACGCTCCCCACGCCGCCGGTCTCTGACTTTGAAGAGTCTGATAAAGAAAATGGTGAACAAGGACGGAATTGAAGAAGGGGATACAACTACCAACAGACTCTCTAAGATCAAAGAGAAAGATAAGGAGAAGAGAAAATCTTTCCCACTCACCGCGGGCCGCCCTAAGACAGCGTCGGCCCCAAAAGACAAGAAACCTTTGGTGCGACCTGAGACTGCCACCGCGACGCAACCAGAGAGTGCAGACGTGACTAGGGCGACTCATGCTCTCTCGCTTCCGCCTCCCGGAGTTCGCGACTTTGCAACTGTGGAAAATTCGAAGACAGAGCAAGCGCCCAGGCCAAAAACCGCGGCACCTGCTGCATCCGAAGCCAACGGAGGGCTGACAATGGAGAGCCCGAGAACCTCGCGGTATCACGAAGAATTTGATTATAGTAGTATTGAGAATGCGGCGAGGCCACAGACTGCGACGGTTGGGACAGGCGGGAAGACTGGAAAGCAAGAGAGACCAAAGAGTAGGGCGTGGAGTGTTTCGTAAGTGCATCTTGCTTAGATCTGCTCACCATCCGGTTTGTATATGGGATTTCACTAACTCTATACGCTTATAGGAAGAAGTTCGGTAGAAAGAGTGCAGTTTTGGTGTGACGTCCTGCCGCTGGAGAGCGAAACGAAGCAACGAGGTCTAGGAGAGAAAATGAGGGACACGGTATGTTAATCTTACGAAAGTACGGTTTTGCGATGCCAAAATACATGTAATCAGTCTGATCCAATGTTAAGATGATAAGGGCGGGACGTTTTTTCCCTGTGCATTTCTCATTTCTCTTCCCTAGATTTTGATATTCTTTAGATATTCGTTATGCAGCTTAATATATCATCAATCATTCTATTATATGTCACCATTCTGGACGCGAGGTGACGATTAAGGCCAGACGTCAGATGGAGGGGGCGGCATAGAGGACAATACTCCTCTTAACAGACGAATCATTTTCCAACACCCCATCCCCCAATTCCGTTCAAGGAATTCTTCTCTGCATCTATATTGCCTTCTTGAACCATCTTCTTCTGCCACTCCAATGGTTCTTTTGCTTCTTCCACTGGCCCTACGCTCCCGCCCTCTTTCCTTTTCTCTAGCCACTCTTCGATCTCAACCTCTGGTACAAAGTTCCCATGCAGCCCTAACTTCAGCTTCACCGGCAGATGTACCACAGCCAAAGGACCCTTGGCCAATTCCAATGCATCAAAGATGAGAATATCGTTCCTCAGAACATCCAAATGGTTTAGCAGCGCAACGATGTAACCATCACCTTCTCCCTCACTCCCTTCTTTGGGCACAAAGACCGGCTCTTGGAACGTACTCGTTGGACCTGCCCAGAACACGTCGTCTTTTCCGCCTGTACTCCAATCGAAATGCCCGAGCACATTGAATAACCCTCCAGCTGGGGGCCCGCATTTCGCGATGTCATAGGGGCGCGAGGGATCTATTATGCATTGCCAGAAGTGCTTGTAGGGTTTCGTTACGAAGCGGTCGTCGATGCGTGAGAATTCGCCGTTGATTCCGTAGGTTTTCGTGGGCGTTATACGGGTGTGGGTTGGCGCGGATGGGTCGAGAGTCCAGCGGTAGGTGTCTGAGATGAGTTTGTTGCGTTGAGGCAGGGATGTTGGTGTTGGAGATGTGGGGACATTGTCTGGAGGGAAGAAGTAGAAGACGTTTGAGGAGGCGACGGTTAGGTCAATGATTATTTTGTTGTCGGGGGTCTCGTAGGCGCCTGCGATGTGACCGTGGAAGCCTACTCGTGAACACATATTAGATATATAAAGCGTCCTTGTTTGAAACAGTGAAGGCAAGAATGTCAGATTCAACATACCATTATCAGCGCGAAACCACCTAATATCCTCCCTTTTCCCACCACGTCGCGGCACAACCCCATACCACTGATCCTCCTCGGGATCCCACGCAAAGCAATTCCCCCCTCTTTTCATCCTCTCCACATCAATCTTCAACGGCGTCAACGGCAACACCAAATAAGTTTCCGTGATGGCACAATCATGAATCATCCCACAAAACGGCGCCTCATACCAACACTCCTCCGTCTTCACCCCATCCTTATCAATCGTATACACGACAATCTCGCGGCTCCCATCCGCGCCATCGCCTCCAGCCTGATACCCAAACCCCACCATCTCCCCCGTCCGCGGATCAAACTTCGGATGCGCAGTAAACGTCGGACTCGTGACCTGCCCTTCGAAATCGTACCTCCCGATCGTGGAAAGCGAAATGGGATCCATAGCAAACGGCGGTCCGTCTTCCTTACTCGCCAACAACATCCCCCTCCAGAACACGACATTCGTGTTCGCTGCCGTCCGCACGATCCCCTTCACCATCTCGTTGTCCGTGAACGGATTCCTGTACTTCCCGAGCAGTGCGCGGCGGGCTTTTGTTTCCGCGGTGAAGCGATCCGTGTGGACGTAGCGTTGTTTGAAGTCGACGTGCCCGTTGGCGAAGCGGAATGCCGAGACGCTGCCATCGCCGTTGAAGTGGATGTCTTCTTCGAAGATTGGCGGGAAGCGGTGGTCGGGTTGCACGCGGTAGAAGGTGCCATTGATGTCTGTGGGGATGGTGCCTGTGGTTTCGAGCTGGTGGATATCGGCTTCGAGGCGGGAGGGCTTGTTGAAGCCTGTGAAGAAGGGTGTGTCTGGGAATTTGGTCTGGGCGGTTGTTGTGCGTTTTGAAGAGGTGTAGGGCGGTGGAGGCGCGGTTGCGAGGGAGAAGATGTGGGCCATGTTTTTTTTGGTGATTGGCGTAGTTTTTGTTTCTTTTCTCTTAACACAAGCTTGTTTTCACTGGAGGCGAGCTCGTTGAACGTTTTGTTTCTCCCTTCAGGTCATGTACGCGTGCTTACTCTCTTTGCGTCTTCTTCTCAACTCAGCAGCCTGTGTTCGGAACAAGCATAAGTTCTAAGATATATGATAAGATACCTACTAGAAACCCCCATAAACATACCTAGGTAGTCACTTCGGAGGAACTAATTTGAACCGCAACAACTCCCTCATCACACCACAATCCATCAACCCAGTTATATCACACATTCCCACCAATCCCTCAAATCAGCACCAAACCGCCATCACAGCGGGAATACCGAACTTACGGCGTATTCCCCATCACGCCTGCGCGCCTGCCCCCCGTCCCACCCAGATGTGGGGACCGCGGAGATCAAGCGGGGTAAATAAACACATCACATTATCCTTGGATAAACAAGGGCCGGCGGGACGACATGTCGGAACTATGAGACCGAGCTGTGAGCGACAGCGCATGGTGGTGGGGGGTCGGGGGGATGTCACCGTAGGTATTTCGAGTACCGAGATTGAGTTGGGATAGCGTGGTGGGAAAGCGCGATGAGGCGTTTGGAGAAGGTTTTGGAGGATGAATGGGGGATTGCGTGGATACGGATCTTGGGGGTGTAAGTTGAGGGTGGGATTCATTCAACTGTGTTTGGTGGACTTCTGTGTGTGGGGATGCGTTTATTGTGTCGTGTTGACAGGCAGATTCAGTAGAAACTAGCATATCTGAAAGGAACGAAACTCGAAAAAAGTCTCTACCAGGAGAATTGATTGAGTTGAAAGAAAGCAACTACAAAGGATAAGAGCATTTGCAGTGACATCGAAGAAGAGACCCTACCCAGCAACTCAACACAGTTCCCGCCAACATGAAAGGCACAATCGCCATCGAAGAAGCAATCATCGACCTAGCAGGCGTAGAATCCCACAGCTTCGCCCAATTCCAAACCTTGATGCGCCCAGGAAGCGACCCCTCAACCACACTCTCCGCCCACGAGAAACGCCTCCTAGACATCCACGATGACCGCCTCAAGCAAATGGACGCCCACGGCGTGGAATACATGCTCCTCTCCCTAACCTCCCCAGGCGCACAAGGCGAAGCAGACCCCGCCAAAGCCCAAAAGCTCGCCCAAGTTGCAAACGACTACCTCGCAGGCGAAGTCTCCAAGAACCCAAACCGCTTCGGCGCCCTCGCCGCGTTATCCATGCACAACGCAGCGGACGCCGCGAGCGAACTCCGCCGAGCAGTCACGCAATTGGGCATGTTCGGCGGCTTGGTGAATGATTTCCAATCCTCGGGCGCCTCCGCAGAAGAAAAAATATACTTCGATACACCAGCGTACGACGAGTTCTGGAAGACGGTGCAAGAACTAGACGTGCCGATTTATTTTCATCCTCGGTATGCAATTCCCCAGGATCTGGAAGAAGGGACCAAGTATGGCGCGCGGAAGCATTTGCTGGGTGCGGGTGTGCAGTTCCATCTTGATTTGAGTTGGCATTTGTATGCGGTTTGTAGTTCTGGGGTTTTGGATCGGTTTCCGGGGGTACAGATTGTGGCGGGACATCTGGGGGAAGGGTGAGTTGGATCCACTGTTCACGTAGTCGTGTTGTTAATTATGCGGATTTGAGCTGACGTTCGAGATGTTAGGATCCCATTTAACCTTTGGCGGGTAGGTTGCGCTGCTGCATGGACACTTTGATGAGATATAAATGCGACATGCTGGCTAACCTTTTTCTTTGGGTTCATCTCGTAGGCGACACACTGGATCAACCATCCTTTTAAACGTGGTCATAGACCGATGAAGCACGATTACTCGTATTATTGGACGCACAATGTGTCCATCACGACGTCTGGGAACTTCAACACGCGGGGGCTGAAGTATTGTATTGAAGAGTTGGGAATTGACCGATGTCTCTATGCGATAGGTACTATTTCTTCACTTCGGAGTGATGGCTTGAGCTAATCAAGATTGTTTAGATACGCCTTATGAAACTGTCGAAGAGGGCCAGAATTGGTGGAAAACTGTGGATTTGCCGGAGGAGCAGAAGGAAGCTGTTGCGAGAAGGAATGCTATTAGGTTGTTCAAGCTACCCTTGGAAGAATGATGGGCCTAGGGTGTTTGGTGATGTTGGAAATTCTGAGGGAGTGCTATAAGTGAATTGAATGGTCGTAAGTCAGATTGTTCTGCTGCGAACAACGAATTTGCCTGCACTGTACTTATAAGATACTCGGCTTTGTCATGCGCTATCACGTTACTATGATTTTAACTTTCGCTGTAGCTCAAGTGGCCGTAGGAAGTGTATGGAAAAGTTGTTCGTACAAAATATGCTAAAGAGATCCTTGTAGCAGCTGAATGTTACTTAGATTAGTCCTTGAACTGGAACTTTGTGAACAAGCTGAAGTAATTTTCACCGAACGAGAAGAACGGACTGAATGCATTGGTAGTAATCTGGGTGTAATTCAATTGATTCATGCACGACAGTACAGAAGCATGCACTAGATGCTAGAGAACTATCCGCTAATTTCCGATTGTGGTTTACTCAGGACTAACGGAGGCAGGCTTTCGCTAGGATCGCCACCGAAATGAGGTGCTCTCAGATCATCGTCAGCGACTTGCTCACCTGTAGCGGGATGCGTGTAATGGAATGGAACCACACGAGTGTCGGGCCACATCATGGCATCCTCGAGAAGCTCGTCTGGTCCATTTGGATCCTCGGGGTATTTTTTCGACATGAACGGTATGTAATTCGGTTTGGTATGGGACCAGCCCTTCTCGAACGTCGCGTGCCAGAATGGGAAGTACTTGAGGCGGAAAATCTTCCATATACCATCCTCTTTGATGTATTCGTTTTCGTAGATTCCACCTTCCCACCATTGAACGAGCCCGCGTGGATGTGTGTCTTTGATGCTTTCATGCGTACCCGCTGACATCATGCTGCGGAAGCGGCCCTTTGCACGTGTGCCATTTGTGTCGATGTCGACTATTCCCTGGATCTGAGGGTGATCGAGCAAAAATCCATGGACTGGGCCGTTTCTCCCGCTCACAAATGTTTTCGCAAAGCGGCCGATGTAGAGTCGCTTGACGCCTTCTTTGCCATTGTAGCGCCCACCTAGAAACTCGACACAAGTATCCGGGTGGTCGGAGTAGAGATCAGCCACCTGTAAATCGTCAGCGCGACCAACTCTTCGAACCCAGAGATAGCAAAAAACTTACCTCCTTGTATAAACACTTGTCGAGGTAATACCCATATTTGTACTGTAGTTTGCGAACCTCCTCCTGGTCTGTCATCGATGACACCTACATGTGAGCGGAGCCTGAGGGAAATGATGACTAAGCATGGACCTACCACTCAAGCGCGTCACTTGGTTCTGCAATTGTGCAACAATTTTTTTGAGGTCGTCGATCTCGTTGCTCATTGTGTTGATTTGCTGTATTTTTCGAATCAGTATAAGAATAGTCGACCACTTTCCTGGCCGTCATGTTGATGGTTCGTCTCCCTCTTAAATGTTGTAGACCTGCATGCGACCGCTTCTCGCACCGAGAACCCCTACCACATTAGGAGCTTCCCCTCCAACAAACAGAGGTGGGATTCACGTTTCCGTCACACTATCATGCACAGAACTGGCTCATGGGACCGGCATTTTGCCACGAGTGTGTGCACGTTCAGGTCCCGCGGCTGTATACGACCGAGACCTAGGTAGTCGGAGTGTCGCCACGGAGCCGAGTGGGGTTGGCGACAAGCAACACCCACACGAGTGGGGTAAACCGCGATGCGCGCACGATCTGCAGAGCACCATGACGATTTCGCCTCTTCTTGATATCCTTTACATTTCAGTTGTAGATTTGTCTGCATCTGTATACTGTCCTCGTACGAGTATTACAGCACTGTCGGCCGTGACGAAGTTCAGTTACCCAATCAACTCAACACTCTCACAGCGGTTCCTCTAAGCTATATCGCTACAATGGGTCTCCCGGAAACAATTGAGACGCGACTGTTCATCAATGGCGAAGTACGCTGAACTCGAAGATTTGCATTACTTGTGCTTACTTTGTGTAGTTCTCCGAATCGTCAAATGGCAAGACGTTCGACCTCACCAATCCCGCGACATTGAAACACGTTGCGAAAGGTGCGTGCTCGATGATTTCATCTTTCCCTACGATATCTAACCATTCTATAGTCCATGAAGCTTCCGAAGAAGATACAGATCGGGCTGTAGCTGCCGCAAAAGCTGCTTTTCCTTCATGGTCGGCTTTATCGCCTGAGCAAAGAGGCGAATATTTCAAGAAGCTTGCAGCCCTTATTCGCGAACACAATGATGAGCTGAGCGCTCTTGAAGCAGCTTCCATGGGAAAGCCAGTTGCTACTTTTTTCGACGGTATGGCATCAGCGAGCACATGGGATAATTACTCCAGGGCCGGCCGCAACGTTGGAGGCACGACTAGTGTCCAGACTCCAGGCTTTTTGAACATGACTTTGCGCCAGCCTTATGGTGTTGTTGCCGCCATCCTGCCCTGGAATGTGCCTCTTCTGTTTTTTGCGAAGAAGGTCTGTCCTGCCCTCATTGTTGGAAACACGGTGGTTTTGAAGAGCAGTGAAAAGGCGCCATTGACTGTGAGTATATTGACGAACGTTCTTCGTAGATATTTGCTCTGCTAATCTGTACAGTCTGCATTTGTCGCAACACTGGTTCAGAAGGCCGGATTCCCCCCGGGCGTTCTCAACATCATTACAGGTTTTGGTAATGTGAGTGGATCGATCCTGAGCAGCCACATGGATGTGCGTGCTCTGTCTTTCACTGGATCCGGCCGTACTGGGCGGTTGATTCAAGCAGCAGCAGCGAAGTCGAATTTGAAACAGGTGTATCTTGAGCTTGGTGGCAAATCGCCATCCGTTATCTTCGACGACGCCGACCTCGAGAAAGCCGCCAAGGAGACATCCCACAGTGTACAAGGCAACAGTGGTCAGGTCTGCATGATGAATTCGCGCATATACGTGCAAGATACGGCCGCCGACAGATACATCGAGCTTTTCAAAGAGCACTTGATAAAGGATACTCGTATTGGCGATCCACTCAGCAAAGACACGAACCACGGTCCGCAGGCAGATGAAGTGCAGCACAAGACTGTGTTGAAATATCTCGATATGGGCAAGCAGTCTGGCGATGTTATTCTCGGTGGTGGAGCTGTCTCCGACCGGGAAGGTTATTACATCCAACCAACCATTTTCACAAACACGGCGGAAGATGCCACGGTCATGAAAGAGGAAATCTTCGGCCCTGTGGTCAACATCAACGTGTTCAAGACCGAAGAGGAAGTGCTGGCCAAGGCGAACAATACCGAGTATGGTCTGTATGCGTCGGTTTGGACCAAGAACATAGACCGGGCGATGCGGTTCGCCAAAGGCTTTGAAGCTGGAATGGTTGGTGTGAACTGTACGAGTCCACAAACCGCGCTCGACATGCCCTTTGGGGGCTACAAAGCCAGCGGCACAGGTAGGGAGGGAGAACCCAACTACACGCTGGACAATTTCCTGGAGACGAAGGCAGTTCTCATCAAGCTGGAATAAGTGGTCATGTTAGAGGCGAACGGGTATCATGTTGTGCTTGCGATGATGATGGTTCCCCCGGTAGCAGTAGACATGGGACCGGCAAGTCACTGCCATGGTCCTCTGCGGGCTCCCCGACCCATCACATCACATCAGTGGTGCCAAGTCGGAGGCATCACCACAGCAATGCAAAGTTTGTGGCGCACACGCCTCTTTATTGTTATTAGCAGCGTTAATGACAGGCATCCTCCTGAATCATGTGGAAACAAGCTTACCCGTCCCTGCGCTAGCGTTAGCTGAACGTCCCCACACTTGTTAGCGGAGCATCTCCCCGCATTTCTCCAACCCTTCGATTCCTCTTTTGCGCATTCGTAGCTACAGGGCGGATTATCATCCTATCGTAGACTATCCAGGTCCCTCATACACGCATCGAATGAGAGTCATCCCACTCGAGTAGCGGTGTTGGTGGGTCTGGGGTCTCTGCCGAGCTCCTCCCCGAATTGATCATGGCAGACGTTTCGGCCGCTTCAGGTCATCTGCTTCCGCAACAGCAGCAGCAGCCGCCTTCACGCACGCCCGGCGCCCATCGTGTGCATAGTAGTTGTGACCGGTGCCGTAGCAGGAAGACAAAGGTCAGTTGCTAACTCGTGGCATTATAACCTGCCAAGCCGTTAATCGCTGCTGCAGTGTATCGATCCAAGTACGGTTTTATTTCTCATTGGATGTTGCGCCATGTCACATACCGTCCTTCCAAATATTGACTATCAGTAGTTCCTGGACCCTGTCGATATTGTGCTCGCACTGGCTCGACTTGTCAGATAGCAACGCCCCGCCGCAAACGGCCCTACTATCATGTTACCGAAGAAGAGTACCAGTGCTCCATGCGCATTCTGGAACACATCTTCCCCGATCGTGAACTTAACCTGGTGACTTTGAGAGGCATTGCCAAGGACATCACCGATGGCAGGCTTGTCAATCCCCTTTCGGGGCAACCCATATCCGTCAAGGATGAGCCATCCCCGGAAGACGAAGGTAGCCCCGAGGACTCGGACAATCCGGTCTTGGATTCTGTGAACGATCTTCATGAGCCGCTGGGCTGTATGATGCAGGATTCGACCGGAAGGTTCAGTGAGTAGTTTGACCTGGCAACGCCGCTATTGTCTTCGTAGCTAACTATGATGGAGGGTATGTGGGAGCTCACTCGGAAATTCCGTTCAACGCTGCCGTTTGTTCCATGGGAAGAGGCGTACAGAATCCCAAGATAATAGGACCTCCCAAGCTAGGTTCGTATCCCCCTCAAACTCTTACTCCAGCTTCATCGGCGGATCGGGATTCCGTTGAACGATTCAACCTTCCAAGGCGTGAGCTCTGCGATTTCTATATCTCGAGATTTCTCGAGGACGTCCACTGTACCCACTGGTTATACTCCACCGAAGCCTTCCTCTATAGAGTTGATAGAACATATGCTGGCAGTGGCGAGTATGCTTCCAACTCATGGATATGTTCTCTTTACGCAATCTTCGCCATTGGCGCAGCTAGCTACGAGGAGCCGGCAGGAAGATCTCCGCTTCCACCTGGCTCCCCTGCTGCCTCTGATGAACGGACCTCGACCGACTATATAGCCTTGGCTAAGCAACTTATCCCTAGCGCCTACGATGAAGCCGACATTGACAGTATAAGAGCCATGGCTATCATGGTATGTTGATCAAATCGCATCGTTTTTTGGAATCGGGCTGATATATTCAAAGAGTATTGCTCTTGAGAATGTAATGTCAAGAACGAGTTCTTATCTCTTCATGGGAGCAAGCATACAGATGGCTTATTCATTGGGCCTGCATCGTGATCAGATTCCGGACACAGCAGCGGCGATGGAGCACGAACAAAGCCGGCGAATATGGTGGACACTGTTCAACCTCGATCAAGAGATTTCATCAAGGGGTGGTAGTCCGTCTCTTATTGATGAACGGCATTTAAAAATCACCACGCCTCTTCCATCTGAGCAAGTAAGACATACAGAAACATTCAAGAGCTCGATTGTGAACGCTGAAACCCACAGATACTGTATCCGGGAATGCACACACCTTTATCATGGTTGTCAACCTCCATTACCTTGTGCCGTCTGAAACGCGAAATCATCCAAGCAGTATATACCGAACGCATCACAAATTCACGTACCATATCCTTCTCTACAGTAACAAATCTACTCATATCCTTGCAAGGATGGCACTCGCTTATACCGCCTCACCTCAAACACGATGTTCCAATAGCGCCAAGTCATAGACGCGCAGTCGCTATTCTACACCTCCAATACTGGGGCACAACCATTTTACTCTGTCGCCCTTTTCTTCTCTATCTGGTACTGAGATACAGCACCCTAGATTCGTCCAAGAGAATATGGTTCGAACGTATGGGGAAAGCATGTATCGAAGCAGCACAGAAAAGCATCGCAATTTTGCAGAAAATGGGAGAAGACAACATTCTTACCAGCCTTACCGCATTTGACAGCACTTGCATCCTCCGAGTAATCATGATCTTCATACTCGCTTACGCGCATACCAAAATCCCGCAATACCGTTCACACATTGAGACGGGGCTCGCGATGCTCCGCCAGATGGAGCAGATTGGATTTACAAAGATGGTTACAGAGGAAACACCAATTCGGGTAGCAGAACTCGGTATTACATTCGATGAGGGCAAAGAGACTCAGCCTGGCGTGGTGCTTGACGACGCTTTGATTGCCCAATTATGGAATAATTTTGATCCGTAAGCCAGACAACACCACAATTCAAAGGAAAGATGATTGACTCCTCTTCTAGAAACTACATGACACCACTGCAAACCCAACAAACCCTAGATCTCGCATTTGATGATGCAAACTCCTACGATCTCAACTCTCAGATCTTGCAATTCACCAGCATAGACGATTCGATCGTGATCGACCCCTCTCAAGCATATCAGCAATTCGGCTACCGGTGAGGCCTTCAACACGTTCAACACGATACAACATCCCGAAGAGGATATTGAGGGTTTTCGGCCTTACAATACCTATCGCTCTGCTTGCGCAGTTCGCAACTAGAGTTGTTGCGTTATGAGCCAGGCATTTCGCATAACACGATCAAAATCCTGGTCCGGCTGTGCGGCAGCTGGATTTCATTAAAACTTTGAATAGTATATAATTCGAAACACATTAGTAAATGTAATAAAGGTAGCCCAATCAATTCATGTGGGTGACCCCTGGATCTCTACATACTTCTCTCAACCTTGAAAACACGATGATCGATCACGTGATCCGTCATACCTCAAATGGTCAACTGGTCAAAGTTGATACTCTTCCTGCCGCCCAATGACTACATACCTTGTGAAGCTCGAATGAGCAATCACGTTATATAAGATAGAAAATATTCATGCATGAATGTTCAACTGTTTCCAGAATTAATACATCATATGCCGAGACGCTTCAAAGTTCAAACATTCAAAATGTTGTTGAGAAGCCAGTCTCACGTGACACGAACATTCACCCACCCGCATTCCCCACATCCTCAACCTTTCCAATTCCCACCATCAACTTTCCATTCAACAAACTAGGCAGTTAAACATACACTCCCACCCCCAAAAACGCCGCGGATGATCTACATACCCGCCAAGCGAGGATCCCTTCCAAGGGTTCCAACATTAACCGACAATCTCTTCGCTCGTGGCCAATGTGGGGCCGACGCATGGCGGGGAGAATGCGCAACGTGCGTCAAACGCAGGGGTAAGATCAAGAGAAATATATACGACATGTATAAGAGGTGATGACATGGCGAATGAACGGGTAAGTTCGGACCTTTTTATGGGGAGGGGGGAAGAGGGGTTATATAAGCTGTGGTCTTGTTGGGAAAAATGCGCAATTTAGAGCTCTTGTGCGTGACGCAGGTGCGTTTGTGCTCCGGACCACGTATGTATATGGACAGGCGGGCGTCGCATTCGAGATTTGAGGACTGCATATGTTGAAGGTCTGTTACTCGATGGTGATCTTCTATTGAGGTATCGTCGACTCACGCTTGACATCTCACTTTGTTCTAAGAGAAAACTGCGTCGCACGAGGATTCCAAGATGGCGCTGGGAATCATCGAGCCGAGGACCGAGAGGAAACTTCCTGGGACAGAGCTGCTTCTTGATACCGAGCAGACAGAACAGAGCCAAGAGCAAGGCGGATTGCAACATGGGAAGGGCAAAGTAAATTTGAACCCCTCCAAAAAACCTTCTCAACAGCACAATTGTAGCTAATTCAAGATCCTGGGCACAAGAAAACAGAAATCATACTCATCCCGCAACCATCAAATGACCCAAATGATCCGCTTGTAAGCCGCCTCTCCCCTAGCGAACAAACAATAAGCCTACAAACATTCCACCATGCATTATAATAAAGACGACTAAAAGACATGCCGTAGCTCTGGCCAACATGGAAGCGCGAAACCGCTTTTTCCGTCCTCTTCCTTAACTGCATCGTCTTCGCCGCTTGCCCCGGCCCCATGATAGCACCGGCAACCGTCGCATTAGCCGCTCAGTTAGAGGTACCTATCAAACATGTAGCGCAGCTTTCAGGGTACCAGCTCCTGATTGTAGGCGCTCTAGGGTGAGTTTCGTCCTCTCCCCCAAAACACACCGAATATAAAATCACTGCTGGATTGATCAAGATGAGTTAACGAATACGTGCGCAGTCCGCTCGTCTCAGTCCTCGCAGAAAAATACGGTAAACGCCCCCAATTCCTCATCGCGAGTCTCTTTGGCGTCATCGGCACAGGAATCTGTATAGCGGGTTTCGATCAGTCGTCGCTTCACGCATCCTACCGTGTTCTCCTCGCCGGTCGGATGATCCAGGGGATTGGCACCACGGCCTACGAATCCTTGTCGGTAGCGGCTATCGGCGATATGTTTTTCTTGCACGAACGGGGCCTTCGGACAGCGCTTTTGGTGCTCACGCTCGCGTCCATGTCGTCGTTTATTGCGGTTGTAGCGGGGACCATGTTTGAGCATCTAGGGGCGAGGAATTTGTTTGTTGTGCTGCTGCCGATACAAGTTGCTGCTCTTGTAGGGGTTGTTGGGGGGATTCCTGAGATGCAGTTTCGGAGGGGTAAGATGGATGACTCGAGGGGCTTGGATGTGGATGAGAAGAATGGAAAAGATGGAATTGGAGGGGAGGAAGTCGTACCTGATTCACACGAATCTGTCGGAGGGACGGTGACGAACTCGAATGCGGGCGCCACAGACCCTGCCGTAGATCAACGACGAACGTTTCTGCAGGATCTGCGGGTTACATCGGGAACCTACTCCCACGACAGTGTCCTCAAGCTTCTCGGCTCAATCTTCATCCACTTTCTCAATCCGGCGGTACTTTGGGTTCAGATCGTCAGCGCAGTCCTCGTAGTACGTATTCCTGTCCACTCTCTCATTCAAAGTGTCACCCAGCTAACGTCCTCTCCCCATCAGTCTTTCTTCGTCGGCACAGCATACACCTTGGCGCAAATCTTCACTCCAAAGCCGTACTCCCTCACCGTCTCACAAAATGGATTTTTCTTCACAGGTGCGCTGGTCGGCGGTATCTTAGGTGTGATATCCGGCCCTCTCTGTGATTTCATTGCCCGCCGACTCGCACGTCGCAACGGTGGAGTGTTCGAAGCCGAGTTCCGCATCCCAATTTGTTTCGTCGCCGTGGTTGTTTTTGCCGTAGGTTGGTTCGTATTCGGGTGGGCGCTTGATCAGGGAAAAGTCGGGGGGATTGGAGCAAGCAATACTGTGCTGCTTTGCTCGGCTTGTTACGGGATGATTTGTTTTGCGACAAGTGTTGCGAGTACCGGAGCAGGGTTATATGTGCTGTGAGTCATCCATTTCTTCTTTTTCTCCTCATTATTTTTCGGTTGCTGTCTGAAGGTCTTGGGCGCCCGTTGGTTTAAGATTTGTCGTGAGTAAGCTGCTAATCTGGATATGTCAGTGATGCGTTTCCAGCCCATTCTACCGAAATTTTCATACTGCAAATGATGATCAAGAATTTCTTGTTCTACGCATTCAGCTCCTTTATCAATGAGTTCGCTGCGGAAAAAGGGCCCGCGCATATGGCGAGGGTGTTTGGGATAGCGACTCTAGCTGGGTTCACTACCTGTATCCCGATGTATGTATTCGGGAAGTTGAACAGAGCTACCATAGTAAGAGTGATCAAGAGTAGATCTGAATAGGGCGTCGTGCTAGTATTCTGGAGTAGAAGAGAATATGATAAAAGGTTCCTGATATACAACGTCTGTGTGGAGTCTCAGATATACGAGACTCAACTTATCCTAGAGCATCAATGTGTATTAAAGTAAGGCTCAAATCTATTCGTGAACATCTGTTAGATCTGAAAAGAGCTACGGGACACTACATCAAGAGTTATAGGAGTGTTTCACTCGCTGGTACATAAGTGAACATACGAAGGTTCCCATATGGGAATCATTCACTTCACATCGATGTTATAGTAGTACATATCACGTTGCAACCGTACTAGATATCTTCGATGCTTCAGAAACTCGTTTCTCGTGGTGTATTCTCTCTGTTCATGATCTAATATACATAATAAAAATACAAACAAAGACCCGACCCAAACCCCCCGTCCCGAAGACCCGATCACCTCTCCGTGATAATCACGAACTCACTGTCCTCAGACTCCTCCCCCGAATCTGAGGACAGTGAGTCCGGATCCATCACCTCCTCCGCCCCGCTGCTCCCCCCACCCTCCATCACCGTGAACGGTGCCGCCGCCAGACCCGCCCTCACCGCCGCCAAGTCCTCCAGGCCCCGAATCTGAGCGATCCAGACCTCATCCAACCGCCGCCCAGCCTCTTGCTCGTGCGCCTGAGAGACGCGGAGGGCGACCCGAAGGGAAGCCAACTCGCGCTTCGAGGCGTCGAGCTCGAGGAGGGCAGCGGCGGATGTCTCCCGCTCCTTCTCAAGGTCCTCGTCTAGGACGAGCTTCTCCGCACCCAGCTGGAGCAGTCTACGCTCCCCATCGTAGAGCTGCTGGCACAACTGGGCTTGGAGAGCCGCCGAGTACTGCTTGACGCCTTGGAGCTCCTGCTCTTTGGCGGTGCAATCCGCTTTCGCGGTCTCAAGGTTCTCGGCGGTGGCCTTGAGGTGAGGAGGGGGAGGGAGGATCATGGGTTTGGTTTGGAGCTGGGTCTGGACGGCGGCCAGCTCGGCCTTGGTGTTGTAGACGTGGGTCTGCTCCCGCAACAGACTCGTCTTGGTGGCACTAAGTGCCTTCTGGAGGGAGGCGACCTCTCCCGCATGTGCGGCGCGCTCCTTGTCCAGTTGAGCTACCATTGCAGCCCGCTCTTTCTCGAATTCCGCCTTCATCTCCTCCATCTTCTTGGCGGCGAGAATGCCCTCGAAGTGAACTACCATCTTGGTAGCTTTGTCGACTTCGGCGACGAGTTCTTTCTCGAAATTTGCCTTCATGGCCTTCGTAGCCGCGCGCTCCTCGGCAAGAGTTGTTTCCAACTCTTCGATCTTAACGGCTGTGGCGTTGCGCTCTTCGTCGAACTCGACCCACTGGTCCTTCAAGGCGCGATGCGCGATGTCGAGCTCGCCTTGGCCGTGACCAATGGCCATGCATAGCTTCTGGGCGATGAACTTGGGGATTGTGACCTGGTCGAAGTGGCGGGGAAGAGCCTGGAGCTGCTTGATGAATTCGCCGATTTCCTGGAGGGCCTCGGTGACCTCTCCGACGGGAATGTAGATGGGAGTGTACCTCATGGTGAATGGTGTTGCGGGATGAATTTTGAGTTGTTAAGTGAGGTGGTTTGAGAGTTGACAGTGGAGTTTCGTTGGGTTGAGAGGATGACCGCGTGTGAGATGAGACACGGTGTGCTAATGAGCAGTGTAGATAGGAGCTATTCAGCTGGAGAAAGTGGCGGTTGGATGTAGAAAGCTGGTATGCTGAAGTGCGGTATGATTGGGCGGTGATAAGCCGATAGGAGAGTGCTTGTGAGGTCGGAGATCGTGATGCTGATGAGCTGAATGATGTGATGCTTGAAAGCGGGAGAATGATATGCTGATAAGCAGTGTAGGTGGTCGCTATGAAGCTGGGAGGTTGCGTGCTTTGACGGCGGGAAGATGAGATGCTATGAAGCTGGAGGAGAGGACGCCGTTAAGCTGGAAATAGAGTGCTGTGAAGCAAGGAGAGAGGATGGTTGCAGTGAATCAATTGGCAGGATACCAAGATAACAAGTCAGAAAGTTGATGTTGTGAGAGTGTTGGAGAGGTTAAGTGCGGAGGGAGGCTGTCCAGTTGTTTTGATATTGATTGTGTGGGCTTGTCACGTGTCCAGCGGAGAGCTTTGTGTAACGCGACTTGACGTCAACAATAGCGACGGCCTCTCATTGGTGACAATATAAGGGTTTGGCGAGGTGAAGACGTTACTTTGTTTTCTGGTGAAGATGAATGGTGGGCGAGCGGGGAGACGGTTGTGGCGGTGAAGGCAGAAGTCGGTCAGATTGGCAATGAGACACCTGGGTTTGAAGAATTGAAAACATGAAGTTACGCATGCACGTGGAAATAGATCGAACATTCTGCTGTGTTGGACGCAGTATGATGTGGCACACACCCATCTCCGTGTTCGAATTTGAAGACAATGTTTTTTCATTCATGCATGAGGGTGGTTCCGTGATTCATCGTGCCATTCTGGATGCTTGAATTCCTCAAATAGACTGTTAGTCAATCTGCATATCAACAGCCATGAGCTCGTAGAGATGATCTAACCGACATTCGTGGCGAAGCTTTACTATATCACCAACCCCAAAGCCCCCATTCCCACTAGGGCTAACCAACTCACGTCCAGTCTCTCCGAACCACCCCTATCGTCCTGCCCTGGTTTCATCCATCCGCTCTCTTCTGGGCTGCTCCACATGGTTGTCTTCTGCCCGCCGACTGCTACGACCGTTTTCCCCGCTCCTGCAGAAATCGACAATCCATCACCTGGTCCCAACGTGTGATCTCCAATAATATACTTTGTCGTCCCATCCACGACTGTAACCTTGAATCCATCGTCCATATCAATAATTGGGGTAGGCGGTTCAAGCGTAGCCGTGGAAGACCCAACGGCAAGTACTGTCTGACTCGAGTCCGCCCTTAGTGATAGCGCCGTTCCATCGATAGTGACGGGATGATCCACTTGAAGTGTTGAGCCCCATACGAGATACTGATATCGGCTCGCGCTCACCACAGCGGTAATATCGCCACCAAACATTACGGTCTGCGACAATGGCGGCGCAAGAGTGGCTGTTCGTCCATTTACAATAGCGAGCGTGGTCCCATCGTTGTCGATTGAGTAAGTGGTAGCGGAGGCTCCTACGCCAGCAACTACAGGGAACCCTCGCATACTGAGTGGGTAGCCTGCGACGATAGATGGAGAAGGTGTGATAGTGCGAACCGTAGAGCGGATTGTCCAGCCCTCGTTTTGGTGTTCTAGAACGAGACTGCCGTCTTCGAGGTGAATTTCAACGCCTGTGTCTGGTACCGTGATCGTTTTGTCTGCACTCAGTGTTTGACCCGAGATTATAAAAGTAGATTCCGGAACTGGTGTCAATTTCTGGCCGTTGAACTTGGTGACACCAACGGGAAGTCCTGCTTCTGCTCTGCCCGTCGTCTGAGCATCAGGGACGCTGGACTTTTCCACGAGCTGGGCGGCGGCGGTTGGTTGCGGAACATTAGGTATTTGCATGCCAGGAGTTGCTTGTGATGGTAGGGGCTGGGTGAAAGATTCGGTTGCGGCAGGTACCGTTGATTGGGAAATCCGTCCGCGATTTTCCTGCGATGGTCGTGGTGATTCTTCTTCTTCTTCAAAGCCGGTCGCTACTGGTTGGAAGACCACCTTGGGAAGGCGTCCGTCTTCCGAAGAGGTCGAGATTGCAGTTGCATTGAGCGCTAAGTTGATAATCAGTACAGTGTGCTGAAGGATTCGGTCGCTATGCGATTGATCGAGCCACTTCTAGTTTACATTATGTGTACAAAGCCCTGAACGATCAACCGAACTCATGCAATTGACTTACGCGCTTGACGATTCTCTACCACAGCGCATTGTACCCCTATTATAAACGCCAGGAACATCCACAGCCATGACAACATCTTGTAAAACGAGCGGCAGCGTCCGAAGACGTGTAAAACGAGTGACTGGAGAGAATTGGTGGAAGAACGCGCCACTTCTGGGCAAGGAATGGGCGCTCCATAAGAACTTAAGTCTCGCTGCAAGCTGATCAATGCGTCGCTAAGGCATGACGCTACTAGGATCACGACAGTGCAAAAGTAGGCTAGTGTAGAAGCTTATACACGTAGGGACCAGAAGTTTGAGGCTTCAAATGCTCGGTTGTGCACCTGTCTCGCTGGTCAGTAAGTTACACACGGTAACAATGGCATTGACGTAGAAGATGGCGAATAAATTTTAATCATGTCGATCTCTGTGTCTCCCCATTTTCACCAACTCTGATTTGATCCATAGACAAAATCACTTACCCCGGGCTACTAGCGTGATGCTCCTTTCACGATGGTCTAGTTCCAGGCCAAGCCGAACCAAGCGAGCCCCTGGAAACTTCCGAGGTGCGCAAATCATCAAAATGGGCAGGTGACTTCAGCGGAAAAGGTTAGGTATTCCGGTACTGAGTTTGACTACTAGTTGCGTTTTGTCACAACAACATTATGCATTTTGACAAACAAATGAATCGTTTTTGCCTTTCCATAACTTCGAAAGAAGTTCAGAAAAAGTGGTTTATGTCTCATACGCTTCAGCGTACCTAGGCATGTATGAATTCTCACCATAAGTTGTCGACACATAGAGTTATCTCGGATCTACAATTATTTTACATATTAGTTGAGTTTTCTTTTTAATTTGGAAGTAGAAGTGTTTCTCACACTTATCAAGATAATAGAAGGAGGTTATAAAAAGTAGGCGGCAACAAAAAGCTTCATCTGAGGAGTCTGCTTTCGGCGCCGGAGCAGGGTGCAACACCCTCCCTTATATAGTGGAGCTGCAGATTAAATGATTCGAAAGGCGCAAGTATCAAGATCTCTATTCATACCCATCACGTAGATTCATTACATTTTATATGCACAATGGGGTGTAGAGATGCAGAATGGCAAGTAGGAGCTTCATCTTTTATCAAGAGTCTAGCAAGAACGGATGATCTGAACAAGGTCTGGTGACTTGCTCGGAAGTCGATTGTGCAGTCTCATTATGCGATGCAGCTAAGAAAGAATTTCAAAACGGCATCTGGACAACTGCGTTGGCTGATGTAAATATTCTCGCCTGTGCAAGGTGAGTCGTGTTGGAGCCGCCCATCGAAAATGCTCCCAGGCATTACTTGAACGATTTCACTATGAGTTTCTGTACAAAACCACTTCTATGCTCCCTCCCAAGGATGTTAACGTTTTGTCAAGCGTCATGTGATTTTAACATCACGTGAGTATCAAACATTCACGCCTGCATCCATCGATGCTAGTACGTCCCCCTGGAAAGAAAAACATAGCAAATTGCAACTCCCAACCCACAGAGAAAACCCTCAGAGGAAAATCATGAAATCTATGAATCTAGGGAAAACAAAAGAAACCCCAACCCGCTCATCCCAAGATCAACGATACCGCCAATGCTTCTTCCACTCCCCATAAAAATTCTCACTTTGCTCCAATCCCAAGCTCATTACTGAAATAATCGTATCCCACGACGTTTCTGGCTCCTCGTCCGTCGCGTCATTCACCCCCTCATTCCCCTCATCCTCTTCTCCTCCTTCGACACCCGACAGAGCCCCTTCACCCGGAAATGTCAACCCAAGACCGACTTCGACCTCTGGCGACGCGCCAACTGACGCAGAAGAGCGGGGAGATTCATTACGTCTCCCTGATCTCTCTGATACCTCTGACGGTGAAGAATCTGGAAAAGCCGGAGAATCAGTCGATGCAAATCTCCCACGAAACGCCTCGAGTTCAGATCTTGTGGTGAAAGGGGTGTAGTAGACCGATTGCACAGAGTTCGCCGAGGTGGAGGAGAGACGTTGGAGTTCGCCTTCATTAGCAGAAGTAGGCTCGTTGGCCACACGCTCTGATATCGGCGATGATGGCGGAGTGAGCGCAGTCGTTGTGATGACTGAGAGACGTCTGGGTTGTTCTTCGTTGCTGTTCGAAGTAGGCGATGGGGATGGTGGTGATGATGGACGTGGCGTCATGCCAGTCGGATAGTTCGGTACATCTATATCGGTGTCTGACGTCTGTTCATTTTTAGAAGGAATCGAATCTTTTCCTTTCGGTGAGGCTGGCGGCCACCGCTCCAGTGGCGGAGATGGAGATGGCGATGGAGTGAACAGGAAGGGGTATCGTAAAGGCCGTGGTCGTGATTGCGGCTCATATACCCGTTCTGACAGATCTGGAGCCTGCGCTGAAGGAGAAGGGGTACGCGGGGATGAAGTTTGTGACGGGAGTGATGGCGATGGTGCAAGCCGTGGAGGCAAAGCTTCCAATCGCGGTTCCCGTTCGTCAAGGTCGAGGGGGTGCGGTGTAATACATTCCAGCGGTGGAATACCCAACGTATCGACGAGTGAGTCGCGGCGGCGCGGTGATGTTCGAGGCGTAGCTACCCTCTCCTCTTCTCCCTTATCTTCTCTTTCCCCTCCCTCTTGACAAATCTCTGCGATGTCTGTGAGTGGATCGTGGTGGCGGAGAGGCGATGACAAGGGCGTACCTGTACGCTCATCCCTATGATCCTTTTCTTCCTTTTCCCGACCATCTAATTCCTTCTCTTCCATGTTGGGATTTTCTTCGGAGGTATCATTAACCAGCACATCCACACTCCCCCTCTGTTCCCACTTACACGACCTAACTTTTCTTTCTTGGTCGCCGTTCCCCTCTACAACACTCACCTCCCGATACCGCGGAGCCATCGCAAGACTAGAGTCCAGCGAATTAACTTCCGTGAATATCTCCACATTCTTTCCATTGTCAATCTCTCTGAGTTCCCCGATGTCGATGCCGGTATTAGTATCTACTTGACTGTCAGAATCAGAGTAAACACCCCCCTGAGTTCCCCGCCATTTCATGATAATTTCTGCTAAAGGTCGTATAGAAGGCTTGTCTTTACCTTTCTTAGGTGTTTCAGAGGCTTCATTCGATAAGTTCTCAACACTGATATCGGGATGAACTATGAGAGAGTCATTCCGACGACGTTCGTTTCCCCCCTTGTCGGGGTCTTCAAACACAACTGATGACTGTAACCGAGGCGGCTCACAGTGGATCATAGAAGGGATGTGTGGCTGAGATATCCTATGAGAAGGTTTCTTTATCTTCGGGGATGCGGGATTATTCCTTCGTAGACCTTTTTCGCATACTGGGCTTGCATCGTAGATGTCTTCGTCGTCGACGGTGTTTGGAGGGCAGATGGAAGAGAGTAGCGAGCGCAACTTTGCGACTGTGTCTTTGACCGTTGTTCTATGCATGTTGGGGAGGAATTTGGGAGGAATTCTTGTTTCCTCTTGAGAGAAAGTGATAGGTTGGAGAAAATACGTGGGTGAAAGTGTAGATGGGAAAATTCATTGTGGCAACGACAGAGTAGATATACCTATGGGGGCGGAAGAAGTGAGACAGATAAGAGCGTACAGCAATGTTTCCATCAAAAGGGGAGTTGTTTGGTGGTTTGATGAACACTCACTATACTCGCTCAGCCCATGCCGTTCTGTCTCGATCAAACACTGGCAAGCAAGTATGCCGGCAAACGGAAGTGCAAACCAATCGATCCACCGACCTAGTCCATTGCAAATTTAGGCAGAGAAAGAGGTTTTATTTATGTCTCAACATACCAGATAAGAAGAAGAAAACAAACAGAACAATTGGTATATACAGAGAACACAATCGCACAATCGGGGGTAGATCCGCTCTCTCCCTGTCTACTGCCGCTAATTAAATCTATCAGTCCCCACCCGATCCCCGCAAGAGAGAAAAACATAACAAGACAAGAAGGTGCCCTTTGCCTGGGCAAATGATGAAGTGAACAAGTAAGTAGGAAGAATATATACCGCTCTCACGCAAGCATCGCAAAAAAACAAACAAACCTTTTCTATCCTCTCCACAGCCGCAACTCTAATACTACCATTCGAAATCAGAACAAGCATGCTCTGTTCAATAGGGCGCTTTCCCAATCCTCTTTCCTACATGGCCACCATCTTCCTCGTCATCATCGTCATCCCCCACATCGATGCTTTTCAAGAAGTCGCTAAAGTCAGGTTGCCTCCTCTTACCCCCTCCAATTTTCTTTCCCGCCACAGGTGCAGCACTTCCTAATCCCAATCGCTCGCCCCCGCCATCGGGGCCCGTAGTGAACGCACTTCCAACAGTTCCGCTCCTACCGCGACTTGTGCTACGATCGCGCAGACTACGTGCGCCGTGCGTACTGCTCCCACGCTTAGAGTTCCGGGTTTTGGCGACGCCAATGGAGCCATTGGACTGGGAAAAGTCTGTGCTGTTGCTGTTATTGCCGGGTGCCGTTCTAGGGCGTTCGTGGGTTTGTTCGAACGAGGGGCTTCCAGTTGGTGAGGTAGTAGCTTGGTCCCGGAGGGATTCTGGGATTGGAGGGACAGGTGGAACGGCGTCTCTAGAGTAGGCACGGTGGTGGGCGGTAGATGCGTGGGTAGGTGAGGGTGGCGACTGCTGCGAGGCCTGGGAATGTGGACGGGGCGTGGTAGAAACAGCTGGAGTGGTAGCGTCGTCGGGAGACGAAGGATCAGCGGTGATGAAGGACGCGTCTGTCAAGCTGTGTACGCTGACCATGGAGTCTGAAGCGGAGGAGTCGTGAGCGAAATCTTCTTGGTAGCGAACGGTTGGTGGCCGGACAGAGTATGATGAGCGCGGGGGAGCTCCAGCAAGAACGCGTTTGAGCTCCTCGACTCGGGGTGCAGAGTGAATTGACGAAGTGCTACCCGGGGTATTGGATGGGCTGCGGTTGCGATGCGGTGATGAAAGGCGGCCAACGAGCCCATAAGCTGTCGAAGGTGGGCGGCTGCGACTGTGCGCACGATGGGGAGAGGGAAGAGGAGAATTGTTCGCGCTATCAAGATTGCCGTTGGGGATGGTAACACCTAGGTAGTTATTCTTCTGGCCGGAAGCCGCAGTCTTGGACCCAGTCATGGAGGCAGAAGATGGGTCCTTGACATTGGAAGCCAGACAGGCATCTTTTGTCCACTCTGCGAGCAACTCTTCCCTTACTTTGTATGATAATTGGGGCAGTGGCCTGAGTGTCTGTGGTGCATTCAACGCGATCGACATGGACCGGGCACCTGGTGAACTGGGTGGGCTGGAAGGAGGCGAGTTAAGGGAGGTGGCATACCCATCTGCGATACAATCAACGAAAGCCTCACGAAGGTCGAACGGCTTGAGCGCTTCTGTTTGTACGATTTCTGTAGGCAGCTTGGCAGGATCATTATGTGGTGTATCAATGCGTTCGAGAGGCATGGGCGGGACGCGAATGTCCTTCACCCATAGACCCTTGTTGCTACGCCGTGAGATCTCTGCATGCAATGTTCTGCCAACCGAGGAAGTCTCAAAATCCATGGCTGTGCTCAGAGCCCACAGGTAGCCGTGAACGAGACTCCCGATGCGAACCTTGGAACCAGGGTTGCTGATTGATACAATATCCTCTTGCAATCGAAGAATCATGGGTAATCCATTCCGAGCGGCATTGACGCCAAGTTTGTTCACGAGAGTTGTGAGCATAAGGTGGAGAAGCAACAGATCTGGCTCCGAGTCCACAAACTGCAGGGCATTCTCGTATACCGCGAGATGAAGCAGAGCTAGAAATGTGTTCTTCACGCGTTTTGGGGATTTATCGCGCTGTGAGGCATTGGAGACCGCCCGCCTAGCCAAACCGCCTTTGTCGTTCTCCTTCTTCTCCTTTCGATAGTCGTCTGCGAGCTTGAGATCCTCCTTGTTTTTCTCCAAATTCAGCCAAGTGAGCAAAGCATCGATGTAAGCCTTCCGGACTTGTCCACTAGGATCACGAAGAAGCCACTGTGTACCCTCCCACGCTTTGACGCCAACCGAGCTTCTCGATACAGATGCGGACGATCCGTCAGGCCTTCGGGTATTTGCTGTCCTGATGATATTCTTCACAGTCTCCAGAGCTGTCAGTCGCGCATTTTCGAACGAGAAGAACCTGTCAGTCCCAGGGGATTTTTCATGAAGACCAGCCGAACTGGCGATCGCATTTGCCGCTCCGACGGGATCTTCAATAGCATCGGCCGTGTTACTGATGGGGGTCAAAGGAGAGGGCTTAAGACGAGCGAGGATAGCCGCGACCATATCGGAGATCTGATCGGTATAGTAGACATGAGTGGCCAGACTCGCCATGCATTTTTTCACTGTTTCCAACAGATGCAACCTAGATTGCGAAGCGCCTTTCACCTTCTCCATAACTACGCCGCCTAGACTTCCCACCGAAGATCTGGGATCGCTTGACTGCTTTTCTGAGCCTATAGTCGTTGCTTGCTGAGGATGTGGCATGATGGCAGTACCAGGACCACCAAGCTGGAGAAGCAGTAGTGTATGAGCGACAAGGCCAACCAAAACATCCATGACGCTCAGACCGATAAAGTTTATCGGGGAACTGAGCAGGTAGTTTACTACAGTTGCAAGGACCAACTGACGATCGAGATCCTCTTCTACGATAGGGCTTCGTACCAGCGCTTCGACAGTGTAGACTAGAATCATGTAACGATCTTGCACAGGTGCCCATCCACAGATCATTGACATGAGACTTGTTTCCCAATTGATCGAGCCCAGCCCATCTTGCGGTTCTCGCGGTTTGACATGGGTCCCGATGAATTGCAAGACAGCAGCCGTTGCGATACGCATGTGGCCCCGGTTCACACCCAGAAAGATATGCCTCAGAGCCTGTAGCGCAAGGACCCCAACCTCTTGTTCCGCCAGCTTGTCCGCCTCTTCTGTCGTTCCCGAAGCTGCGATTACATTTTCCTCTTCTTCGTCGGTTCGTGCCGTAGAAACGCTTTGCCGGCGTCGTATAACATCCTCTTTCTCTTGATCCCCATGCTCGTTCTTTTCACGTGCTGCAAGTGTGCGGAGGTAGTCGCCATTCTCAGCCCATATGTTATTAAGAATGACCGGAATGAGGACCGCAATCTGCCTCCCCGTCTCCGCTCCCAGCGATTCCGACGCGGCGACAGCCTTGAGCGCCCGTAGACCCGACTTGCGATAACGAATGGCAACGGGCCAACTGACGGGCGCCTTAGTATTCTTTCCCACGTCGTTTCCCACATCGCGAGACGCAAAATGAGCGTAGAGCTGCACTATCTCCTCATACTGCTTGATATAATCCTGTTCGGCGGCGAGATTGGCGGGGTCCTGGTTCGCGCAGAGGGACTCGAAAGTGGGCACGGAATCCTCGACCATGGCAACATCGTTGGACTTGAGGATAGTGCGCAAGCTGCGTAACACGGCGGCGGCGAAAAGGGGGAGGTCACGGGGGCACTTTTCGACGAGCGCTTTGAGAATCTCGAGAGTTACTTGTACGTTGCTGTGGCTATCCGTCAGCGCAGGCCTCGCGATTGTAGTAGTCGTAAAAGAGACAATGGACGTACCCTATCCTTCCTTTCCACACATCCGCCGTCATGCGCTTATCCAAAAAGTCGCCGACTTTTTGCAATTTGCTGCGGCGCGTGCTCGCATAGTAGAGCAGATAGCTCAGCTCGCTAGAATTGGCCTTGACCTCGACATTGTTCTTTTGGAACTTGGGGTAACACTTGAGCACGAGCACCTGGTGTTTTGGGCGACACGCCTGGCGTGCGGCATTCATTGGGACTGATGCGGCGGCGAGGGCAGGTGAGTTGGTCGTCGAGTCGAGCCAGCGAGGGCGCTCGGCGGCGATCAAGGGTTATAAGGACGGGCAGTTCGGTGTGGTGTGAAGATAGATGTGCAAGTCGACGTTGTATGCACGCGTGCGGCGCTGCCTAGTAATAGATGGATGGATGGCCCACGGAGCGGAGTGGAGAACGGAGGTTGAGGGGAGGGGAGCGAGAGCGAGAAGGGTCGGACGAATTAGCGTGTGCGAGAGAGAGAGAGAGAGAGAGATGCAACCCGATGAGGTCGGGAGGTGAGGTGGATGTCGAGGAATTGCCGGGGGGTGTGTGAGGTGTTGCTGGCTGGCAGGCACACAATGAGGATAGCAGCTAGCGGTGATTACATGGACCGATACCCAGGCATAACACAATGTTGTTGTCTATACAAAGTACCTAGTCAATAGTGGGAAATGTGGTCACTACGATGACGGGGGCTAGCCCTCAGCCCTGTTTGCCCGCTAGTGAGGCATGATGACGACGACCAGCAACGAGCATCATTCGTTCATTTATTCATCCGAAGATTCAAAGCGGGCAGCAATCATCAACCATTTCTTTGACATGATTTCCTTTGGTATTGACACGTCTTTATACGCGTGCTGAGCTATAATTACAAATCGACATAAAATGCTAATTAGGAACAAGTAATAGTAGAGTATAGACACACATCGCTCGACCATGTTACATATGTACTTGTGTACAGTTTCCAACCACCGCCTAGACCTGTTCATTGTTTTCCTCCTCTTACCCTTCCGTAGTGTCTCATCATATTAATTCCTATAGCTTGCCACTTTTTGCTTCACCCACGAGTGTTTCGGAGACTTTGACACCATGTAGCGCTTGTCTAGTGCGCTTTTTTGTTCCATTCCATGCGTGATTGAATCCAAACGACCTTTAATCATAGTTATGGGTAGCTGTTGACGGGGCTCGGTCGAGTAGCCAGTGTTGCCACCTTCCACAAGCAGCTCACGGAACCGCTGAGGCAAATTCGGCTGGTGTCCGAGTCTGATCTTGAGGGCCAAAAGTGATTTAGTCTCATTCAACTTTTCATCTCCATTGAACTTCGTGGTTCCTGGTGGCCCAAAGACCATGTAGAGAGTAGAGCCAGTGGTGTGAGGAGTCACCCAGAACGAGGTACCTGGAGGCATGCCTCGGAGTATGAAGTCAGGGTGAAGGTAAGGCAAATGGCTATGTAGCCAACGCCAGTCTTGTAACCGATCCGGATTCAGCTCTGGGGTCACCGAGTATCGCTTTTGGGCGCGTGTGCCGGTCCTGAGCGGCACGCCCGGCACGCGAAACTGCATCTCCACCGGATGGCGGGCCTCTAGGAAACGATGGGCTTTGGATAGCTGGTTCTCTACCAACCAAATATCTGTCATCATTTTACCGCCAAATGGGATAGTTTTGAATCCTTGATGCTGGTAATGAGTATTGAAGTCGGGAGGCGGAGGCGGACCGTTGCCCTTCTTCTTCTTCGGCGGCGGGCCTGGCTTCGGTTCGCCCATTATGTATTTGTTGTAGGTATCTGGGAGGTTGTGCTGCCTCATTGCATCCAAGTTTTTCATTTCGCGTTGGTCTGGGGGCAGTTTCAAAGGATATAAAATGTGCCCTGGCTGCACTCTACTGTAGGCCTCCGCCAGCGTGATGTTTGCTGCAACCAACTTCTTCTTATCTGAGTATAGATTGATACGCTGCTCGGTATCTTCGAGCTTTGGTGGTTCATAACGATGGAGCTCGAGAAGTGGGTGTGCACCAACGGTGTTTTTGAGCTTGAGGAGAGGGTAGAGTCGGAGAGTGCGGTGTTGCGGAATGGTGAGCCATTGTGGTGGCAGTGGCGGTAATGATACACGTATCGGGGATTTGCGCGCGCATGTAAAGATTCGATTTAGGTGGTGGAAGCCATTATATGTTCGGGAAGTGGTCGACATGGGAAATCATCGAGTGCTTTTGCCGCAAGGGGGAATACATGTACGCAGGAACTCGACTTTTCGGCGCGTGTGCTAATCCATAAACAGCTAGCGTCAACCTCACTCTGTCCGCTCATCTGGAGTAGGCCCACTACTTGAAGTGCAGATAAAAACTACATACCTAGGTATATAGGTGTGTGTTTACAGGAGCACGGCTTCGAAGAATAAATATCTGGCACTCGAACAAATGTATAGCATAGGCCGGCCACTTAGCAGTCTACACTAGCCCAACCCAATCCCACCCATTCTCGACACTTCGTTACTGTGCCACCCTCAAGCTGTCCAACTCTACCCCTTCGTCGCCAGTCGCGCGAAAACTAACCCTCCTCCGACTTCCTGCCCCATCTCCTACCCCCTCTCCCCGTTCCACTTCGTCACCCTCTTCAAGTACATCTCGCGTTGTAGCCCCATCGCCGCTCGCCACCTCCACGACCTCCCCATGATTCCCGCCAACACTCTCCATAGTAAAAGGACTAGCAGTCGGCGCATCCAACAGTGCTAGTTCCTCCGTCTTAAACCATCTGGGCATGCCCCACGTTCTCAATGGGATGTACAACAGGATGAACACTGGAAATCCAATCGCTGCTATAGTCTGCGTGATGGCGAATGTAGCAGCAAACCCGACCAACTCGAGCCCGACAAAGACCCAGACGGCGCTGCGCCGGTGTACGCGCTGTAAAGGATCCGAGCGCGGGGTAAGGTGCTTATCCTTGAGCAGGAAAAGCAGTTTAAGGGTTATGCCATTGGCTTCGAGAGCTTGAATACCCATCACGAAAAAGAGGCCTGCGAGCACCGCTTGTGGAATCAGGTTGAGAACGATGAGTAATGGGCCTGTCATTGTTCCCAGAGTTAAAAGGCCTTGCGCGAGGTTTGACACACGCTGCTCGACGACATGATCGACCACACGGCGTGTATGTCCCTTATTGGCCTCCGAATCATCATCGGAAATGGTGCGCGTGACGCAGAGGGAGGTCGTGTGGAAAGGGGCTTGCGGGATTAGACCATTAGGAAATGGGATGCCGAGGAGGCCTGCCACGCCGGTGGTGAGACCGAGAAGGAAGATGTCCCAGTGGAAACCAGCGGGTTTACGAAGAGGAAATTCAGTGCCTTGTGCAATGAGCGAGGATACGTTATGGTCGAACCAAAATAGGATGGTCAAAAGGATTGCGAAAGGAATGGCTAGAAAGATGTCTCCAGTGCTAATGTCCCAGAAATGGATAAACCAGCCGCGATCTGTAGTCGGAAAGAAAGCTTTGGAGGTTGGAAGTTTGAGAAGTTCAATGTTCGCCATCTTTCCAATGTGAACAAAACCTGTGAAGAACACTACCGTCAGAGGAGTGCCGTAATCCTCGATGAATTTCCGGATATGTCGTTGGAAGAGTGACGAGTTGCCAATGATACCACAGATGTAGGCTACTGCCGTCACCAGGAGCGAAATGACGATGGACAAATAGGCGGACGTATCGTCAACCTCCCATTGCCGGGTCAGAACCTGTATCCCCTTCTGTAGGTAGATGAAAGCCACATAGAAACCAAAGATGTCACAGGAAAAGCGAGTTACATAGCGCAGGCCGTTGCACGAATTCGTGATAGCGAGGATCCAATGGAAGATGAGTGACCATCTGAAGAGCAATCAGTGGATGCGTAGGTCTGTTGATTGACTCTCCACTCACATGCCAATCCACGCCATGAAAGCGAAGTAATTCGTGCCGCGCGGTGTAATTATGTCGTAAACGGTGTAATTGAAAACAGTGATGGGTCCTGACCCGAGTCAGTCATTGTCAGTTGCGAGTTGAGCGCAAAGCGCGTACCTGTGACACCGACGATCACTAACGGTTGACAGGCTGCTATCGAAAACACGACGGATGCCATGACCGACGCTAAAAGGACTTCGTTGACGCCGAAACTCTGGTCGGTCTTTGCGAACATATCCAGACTAAATGCCAGCGCTGGCAAAATGCTACATTCTGTTAGTGTGTTGGACTCGCGATGCAGCATGAACTTGATCATTGAAGATGAACGATGAGCGAAAAGAAGGTGAAAGATTTGGTATTGAAACCTACATACTTTGCAAAGTACATGTACACCGTCGCAGGCACAACTCGATAGTCCCACGCATCTTTCCAGTCGCTCCAGTAGAACGGCGCTCTTCGTCGCACATCATTGATCATGCCTGCAAACAGTCTTGTCTTCCACCATGGCGCTTTCCTCACGGAAGGCGACGTTCTCAATCGGCCAGACTCACGTGTATTATGGCGAGATAATTGCGCTTCATCTTGGTCGTTGCGGCTCTTCATCGAACCTGAAGATGATGCGAGGTTGAAGGGCGCACGTGTTTTCCACGATTTCGTAGGGTGGCGGCTTGGAGACGCAGAAGTGCGCTGCGAAAGGCCGTGGCCGGGTGTTGGGGCGTCGAGAGCTTGCGCAGAAGTCATGGTTTTTTTCAAGTGTATGTTAGCTTTCCGACTTAACAGATCGCATTTTATCACTGCATTCAAAGATTCCTGGTACGGTTTGACGTTGCGGTGAGGTGTGGCACCATGTAAGAGGATTGCGAATTGGCGAGGGCCCGGTAATAAGGGGACAAATCGAGTATAGGGATAACTTTTTTCTGCGGGGACAGGCAGCCGATTTGATGACTTCAACATCAGAAGGCACCAGACGGTGCTTGGCAGCTGTCATGACTTATCGTCTCTTCGGTCACTTTATTCACTTAAACTCAGAAGGCATAGCATCATTGATCTTGTGAAGTACGGCCATGAGAAGATCTGATCTTTGACAAAACTCAACAAGATCGTTCAAGGTCTGGACTGATGAAATCACATGATACTCCTAAATCGGAATAGCGTCTAGCGTACTCCGCTTCTTCCCGTCATCATTAGCAGACCACAGGGTTTTGCTGTTGAGAAAGAAAACGCCGTCGAATACAGGCAATCAAAAGTTCGACCACTCTCGTAGAGAAAGACATCTAAAAATCGGCATAAAAGAGTGCCAGTCTTAGTCCCAAGATATCATCCGCCTGAAAGGTCCTAAAAGTTCACAAATGCAGGGTACAGTGCCATCGTATGTAAACATCACTTTGTTTTCGGGTCAGGAACGTACTTTTACAAGAGAGAATTATATTATGCATACGAACTACAAGAGGATACGCTTTATGGGGCACAACAGACAACTGGATCGAGACCATCAGATTAGGCTGCTCGTCGACTCAGGGAGGGTACTCGCGAGCGCGAGCTTTGCGCAGAACCGGACAAAACCTTGCCTTCATGCTCATGCAATCTGTTCTGAGGCCGGAGCTCTTCGATCATCCGGACCATCTTGCAGACGACTTTCTTGTCGTCATTTTGGTCTCGGAACCAGGCGTGATCACAGGTGTACAGAATTTGCTTGAGCTCGCGAGAGTACATACCATCCTGCCGCCCATCGAGCTCCTTCAAGCGCTCTGCCCAATCCTCGTGAACTTCATCGGCTTCCTCAGGCAGGCATAACTGGAGAATGATTTCTACCAAGTTATAGCAATCTGTGCCTTGAGCCATCAGCTCCAAGACATCCGGGCTCTGGGATGTATCTGTGAGACCAAAATCAGCAAGGAGAACTTTAGGGTGTTCATCCCCGTTCTTCGAAGAGTCGAGGAAGACATTCTTCTTGTGCAGATCATGATGCCAGTATGGCACCCAATTTTCGGCACCAAGTCCAGTATGGCACGCCTCTAAAGCTTTCGCGATAGAGTAGAAGACGTGCCAGATAAAGGACTCGGGGATCTTCTTTCCAGCATCGCTGTGGTTATTGATCAGATCCCCCAAGTCACCACTGTCGCAGTACTGCATGTAGAGCTTACTGCCGGAACCGCTGTCTTGAGCTTGACTTGCTGGAATATAGTCTTGTACCCGAACGATGTTTGGGAATTGGGACAGTAATTCTGCAACCTCATGCTCATAATCTGCGGCATTTGCATTAATCTCTTTGCAGATAAGGCGTTCGCCTGTGTGTGTGTCTCTCACAAGAGAGATCCCCAGGTTCATGCTTCCACACGAGCCGCCCAGCCACTCAAGTGTGGTATATCTCTCTTGTGGTTCTTTTTGTTTGTATAGTTTGTTTTTCATTTTGAATGATTTGTATCCAAAATGGTAGTGGAATTTGGAGTTGAAACTATTGTTGTTTCTGTATATAGAATGCTATCATGCTTTTCTGAAGATATATATGTACGTTGAGATTTACTCCTTGCACAGAAACAGAGTCAATTCTGGCTAAACAATGGATATGCATCAGTACAATTCGGTGCGGTCCATATCCCAGCATTGTGTACTCACCGCGTATTCACACAAGACAACCCAGCATAATTCATACACTTTCCCATGATGGATTCCGTGGTCTGCTCATTGTTTACACCTTTTCCAAATCTCCATGGCATATATGTCTTGTGATTTTTCAAGGGGGCGAACTTTCATTTGCCCATCTTGAGTTAATTGTGGTGGGTATCGATCTGTGATGGGAATCATTCGAGGATAGATGTCGTAGGTATCAGGAGATTGTAAGATAGCGATTGCATGAGAAAAAAAAACCCTGGCATCTCGGAAAAGCTGCTATATATACATATCTTCTACTATGCTTGCTTTTAGAAGATTTTAGAAGTTTGGATGGGATCAGCAAACGATTGTGTTTAGCATTTCATGTACTAGTGCTATGTCTTACAATTCGCGATGAGACATGCAATCTCTTGATAGACAAACTTTGCCGATGGGAAAAAACGACATGTCGTAAATCTTCATTCAAAGAGAAAGAGAGAGAGAGAGAGAACAAAGGAGGCCAGCCAATCTATCTGTACCAAATCCTTGTCTCTGGAGCAATAACTTGTGACTTGTCTTGTCAAATCACTTGTATCAAGCGTGGCCAGAGACAAGACAGATACTCAAAGACGACTCAAGACTCCCTGTTTGCGACAAAAAAAGCTCATCAAGCGCAGTAGATTTTTTCATGCATATGCTTCATGACTGAGAACTGAAACAGGATTTGACGTTGAACTTCATCCTAAGTCATTGGATGAGCTACGTGAGCATGCTGTAAAAATATTTGGTAGATTTTCGTGTGTCCCTGTATTCTGAATAATGCCTCCTCATCGACATACGATAAGTACGTCCGTTATAGAGTGAAGAGATCATATCACAGGGAACCAAGTAGATATTCGCTGACCTGCCTAATAGATTGATGAAGCATCAGACAACAGTGTTAGCGTTATGATGACCTGGTAACATTCGGTACGCCCTTGGACATCGAAACAATAAGAGCATGACTTACTTTTGCATTCATAGTGCCTTCACAATGATCGAAAACTTCATGGCAACGTTTATGCACAATGTATTTGAGACTTATGTATCTGACAATGTGCAATTCGTCGCAAAAGATACATATACTTTCCCAAAGACTCTACTGGAAACAGAATAATCACATTACCCAGAGAATCTCCAGAGAGAATCGAGCTAGAACAATTCTAAACGGAGCAGTCTATCATCAAAGCTAAAACAATGCGACATAGACAAGATAGACACGCTCCCCGCTACATTCCCATCCGGGACCTCGGCCATGGCGGCGGAGCAAACAACTTAGGCATGTCCCTAGTCCAATGCACGCAAACCCAGACAGTCCTACTCCGTAAGAAGGTAGCCCATCCCAACGGCCAATACGAAGCCCATTTCCTCGACCGCCTCAAACGATTACCCAACATCATGAGACTCCACGACTACAACCCCCACCCGCGCGCCGGCATCGACGAGCTATACTTCGAGTACTGCGAGTACGGTACGCTTGCTCAAGTGCGCCGACGACACGTCACTCAGCACACGAGGATCCCAGAGTCGTTTATATGGCGTGTCCTCCTTTCAGTCGGGAAAGCGTTGGAAGGGTGCCATACTGGGTTGGGAGCACGGGGGTGGACTCCGATCCTGCATACAGACGTTCATCTTGGGAATATCCTTCTCGGTGCTCCGTCATCTAGAAACAATAGAGATCCGCGGATCGTCCTCGCTGATTTCGGGCGCGCGCGATTAGTTAGTAGTCGGAGGGAGTTGTACGATGACATCGCTATGCTTGGATTCATGATTTATGAATTCTGTCAGATACGTAGTTCAATCACGGAGGTATTGCAAGAGGTAATGGCGGGAAGAGCTTTGTGGGCGTATTCGAGCAAGTTGTTGGAGGTTCTGGATATGTTGAGAAGTTATCAGGATCCGAGGCGGCCGGTTGAGCCGCGTTGGCAGGCTGATCCTAGACGGCCTATTTTGCCGAAGATGGATATTGTGGAGTTGTTGGCATGGATTGAGCGCAGACGTGATAGGGCGCGGATGAGGGAGCATGGGAATGTGATTCTCTTGCGCTAGCTTTCATCTTTGGCTCTTTTTTCTTAGAGGGTGGGCTTACACACTGCAGATATTCAATGCATATCTTTTGGTTTAATATTTTGCCAGTGTATTTTGATCTGCACATTATTTCTTTTCTCTATACTAATTCATCCGTTTTCTTGGATCAAAGCTTTAGTGACAATCTTGAGTGTATTTAACAATGATAAGAGTGACAGGTTTTAAAACAGAACAAAGAAGTAGTATCATACGAAAGAATTGTGGTATATAAATGCTCAACAGCCGCCACAACACCCCCGGCAAGAACACCACCGTAGAAGCCACATAACAATGCACGTGTATCAAAAACAACAAACAGCCTCCAACATGACACCCAGAAATTCACCTAAAATTCTCAACAGTTGCATGGACCCAGCCCCAACCTCCATCACCTCAGCAACCCCGCCCTTCCAAAAGGCGGCGGCAACCCCAACACAACCCCTCCTCCACCCGTCCCACTTTGCGGCCTTGAACAGCAATTATGCGCAACGCCGATATTCCCGTTCGGACAGCATCCCGTGGAGCGCGGCGGCTGGGCGATCTGTGGCGGCAATTGGGCTTGTGGGACGCAAGGGATTGGGGAGAGGGTTTGCACCAGAACGGGAAGATGCGGGGCCATTTTGTTATAGTCGGCCCATGTGTATTCGGGGAGGTTTGAGTAGGCTTTTCCGGAGGTCAGGAGAAGAACGTAGGAAGAGGGAGAGGAGGGGAAGAGGTAGAGGGCCTGTTTGATGGATAGGGAGGTTAGTTGAGATTATGATAGGGGGGTGGGGTCTGTGTGAAAGATTTGGTGGAAGTCGAGGAAAGAGGTTGGGGAAAAAAAGGGAAGATTGAGAGTTTAGACGATAGAAAAGGTCGTAGAACGGGAGTGAAAGAGAAAGACGTACGGCAACCCCACTGAAATCCGGCGCTTCCTCCAAAAACTTGTTGGTCCCGCCCATGCCCTCCTCCTTCGCCGCATTCTTCAAATCCCAACTTCCTCCACCCCTCACAGTGCGCATGAAGTAACTCCCATCCGCGCCGAGACTCACGAAACTGGGTGCCTCGCGGCCGTTCTCCTCCCAGGTGGTTTTCCATGCGTCTTGCGAGACAAGGCGGTTTAGAATAGCCTTTTCCAGACTGGCGGGGAGGTTGGCCCATGATGCTGAATTCTTGTCGTGGGCGTAGTAGCTCTCCCAGGGACCGAGGGTTATGGAGAGGGTGGCGAGATCGCGGATCACGTGTGGGTGACCTTCGTAGAGGTAATTTGTGAGGGGGTTGGGGAGGTTGAAGTGGGCTTTTTGGGGAGTGTCAGTACTGCTCTTTGGGTTTGGGGTTTCGGATGTGCTCGGTGGATCACTTCGAGATAACTGCCACCACGCGTATCACACATTCTAGCTCTCATGGCGATGTGATGTTATGCAGCATCTCTCACATCAACCCCAACATGACCTTCATATACGCCACCCCAGAGTCTCAGTTGAGAATATTACCAGAAAGCAATACTTACAGCACTTAATATCACCATCCGTATCCCTATAACTTAAGAAATACGCCCCACCCTCACCGAGCGCATACTCCAAAACGTCCCCAATTGGCGGCTGCCTCGTGAATAGTGCCTCCACATCCGGTGGGCAATTGTGCCAAGCCCAATGCGTCGGGCTGTTGAAGAGATACGCTTCTTTCGGTCCAAGGACAAAGTTGACGAAGATGGTCATGTTGGACGAAGCTGTGGTTGGATACGATGAGGATTAGGGAATATGACTCTTGGCAGGAGAGGTGGGCCCCAGGACTCAAGGAGACGGATGGGTATGATGAGATGACGACGGTTCCAAATGGGCGATCCTGGGTAATGAATTGCGAGACGAGGTCCGTAGTGGTAGTTCCAGGACGCTATAATGCGTACCAGTCGCCCTCCGCATACGAGATTATGATAAAGAATGTAAGCGTTCAACAATCTAGTGCAAGGGTGCAAATGAACAAGAGGACGACAGGGGACGCTGAGGTACAAGTGGAATCTATGTTAGATGTCAGAGTGAAAGTTGGAAAGGCAGTAGCCTTGTATGATGGAGTGGGTCGTTTCAGCTGGCTGGGCCCCCTCCTCGTACTCGCTAAAACAAGACCGGTTCTATTTTCAGGTTGCTTGATACAACGACAAAGACGCTAACTACATCACGGCCTGATATACTTCACATGCGAAGGGATACGATGCTCGCCAAATTTGGTGAAGACTGGGGTTCATTCATGTGCCCCTTATCAATATATAGCGTTTACCAGCTATAGGAATAGCTTCCACCGCCCATTCCCAATGTCAAATTGAAGTGCCTGTGCGAGCGAATACGCCCGACCTTGCCAAATACAGAGGGGATATCCCATGACCGCTTCCAAAAGCCACCGTTGCATATTTCCATGTTTCCCCAAAAGTTGAATCGCGATGATAATGATGATACACGGAAACCCTAAGTACTCCATCCCCTCCAAGAATCTCAGCTTGCATAGTTTTTGATGAGAAGAAATAGGAACACCTACCGATTGCCTCGATTGCGGCCAGGTAAAGGCGGTGGCACAAGCGGGTTTCCATATGCATCGGTGTTCATGGTGATCCGGCAGTCGGGGCAATACCATTTGGTACGTCGCGCGGGGATATCCTTCGTGGTCATGTTCACGCAACCCAAGTGGAACCACTCCTTTTCGCACTACACAGAGTCAGCTGAGTGCTGCAATCCAGCCGTAGGAACAAGTTGAGACTTACATTGTTGTCGCAAGAGATCATCTGCCCATAACTAACATCATCGCATAAGCAATAGCGAGGCTCGTTAGGGTCGATGTCATCGGCGGGCTCATTGTCCTCATCTGCCTTCTTTTTCTTCTTATTTTTGTTACCTTGCACCCGTTTAACGTTCGTCACTGATTTTTGTCCCTCGGATCCGGCCGTGATATCACCCTTTGGTGGTGGCTTCTTACGACTGCTTACACGAGTGGGTCCAGGAAGTGCAGGCTGACTGAAGATACTTTGGCGACGAAGATCCCGGGTCGTCTTCTGCGACTCCAGTGGTTTTGGCTCCTCACTCTGGGCTTTGGGCGTCGGGACATGACCACGGGATGATCGAGGGCGTGTAGGTAAAGCGGCCTCCGCTGTAGATGTGGTACTCTTGGGGGCTTTGGCAGCCGGTGGGGCAGATGGAGGGGGAGTGGCACCTTTTGGAGCAACTGACTCTCGCCTAGGGCGAGTCGAGGCTGCAGTGACATTGGATACAGGCAGCATGGGCACTATGGGCGATCTCGCAGTTTCGACCGGAGTTGTGATAGCGGGCGAGGGCGGGTTGGGAGTGGCATGTCGGCTCGCGGTCTGACCTGGAGGCTTTGTGGCTTTGGGTGTAGCCGGTCCTGCTGGAGCAAGTGGGACTTGTATGGTCATTGATCGCACGTTCTCCGGAAGAGGGACGGGAGTATTCATGACCGGCGAAGGGGCAACAGGTGTTGCTGTTCTGGGAGTGGAACTGACGGCCGGTGGGGGAGCAGGCGCTAGAGGAGGGAGAATACGAGGACGCTTGGTATCTGGCTGTTTTGATGCGCTGTCTTGGGAGGCCACTGATGGTTCTCTTGTTTGCAAAGTCGGCGTGGAGGCTGTCGGTTGCGGCGATGCCTCTCGCTTGCGCTTGCTGCGTGTATTGGTTTTTGATTTGACAACCAGCATGGACAGATCCAGTTCTTGGATATCGTCGGCAGCTTGAATGAGCTTTTTCGTGGCTTCCTGAAGCTCTTTCGCGTCACGTACAGCTTGCCGGCGCCTGGTCTCGCGTTTGAGATCTGTCGAGCTCGTGGATGTAGCAGGTTCAACGGCAATGGTATCTTCCGGTACAATTTCTGCTGGTGTTTCGACAGGGACAGTGGTAGGGGCAGCGGTGGCAGTAGGGGCAGAGACAGGGACAGAGATAGGGACAGAGACAGGGACAGAGATAGGGACAGAGACAGGGACAGAGACGGGGACAGAGTCAGGGACAGGAGCAGGAGCAGGAGCAGGGGTAGCATCTACCTCGACATGGTTGGTGGTGGGTATGGGAGCGGTAGCGGCAGGGGGAGATGATGCCCTTTCAAGCACAGGAGAACTTGCAGCGGGCTTCGGTTTTGACGACGCTGGAACGGGCTCTTCGTCCAGCATCTCCTCGCCGGTTGCCTCGCAGCGTGCCTTCTCCTTATCGTAGTATTCCTGGCCTCTGTGACTCAGTTCCAACTGCCTCTTGATCATGGTCTCACTAGGAAGCCAGACTGCATTCTTCTTCATCTTCTTTCTGAGAACAGCCATCTCATAATCCGTCAGCTTGAACCAAGGGGCCCATCTACTTCCGGGCTTCGCATCTGGGGGAGGTGGTGACAGTCTGGCTAAAGCATTGCTCGTGGAGATGCCGGCGACGGCGCTGTGTACATTGGTACCCGAGCCCGGGGCCCGCACACGTACTCTCGGCGGCTTTGGGTGTTTATCTTTATTGATCTTGAGCCTCCTGGGGGTGATGGCAAGGTCGATAGTCGAGCCGACCTCGGAATCAGAGCTGGGAGAGCTGTGATCACGGGCGCGTGAGCCAGGGAGTGACCTTCTGTGAGCACGAGGCCGAGATGTGGAGCTGTTTCCATGACGGCCAGCATCGAACGTCAGGCGGAGATGCGGGGCCCTGTCGAAACCGCGGTTGGCGGGTCGTGTTGCTTGGGGGGAGACGGGAGCCGGAGTAGGATCGCGCGATGGGGGCTCAGGCAGGGCCTTGAGTTTGGTCTTTATGATCTTAATGCGATGAGCATGACGCTCAGCTACTTCGTAGAGGCGCGTGGCTTCGGCGAAAGAAGACTCGCGAGAGTGGAGAGCTTTCCTCAGAGCAGCGGCGATCTCGGCGCGTAGCGCTGTAGGGTCGGGGCGGGCATTGGCGGGCAAAGTCGGGAGCTTGCCATACTTGACAGTGAGCTCATGGACGAGATGAGTGGCATCGAGATAGGCAGAATCAAGATCTCCTATGAGGCGGAGAGAGCGGACCAGGTCGGAGGGGAAATACTCGGTATAGTCGAGGAAGTCGTTGACGGTAGTAAGGGCATCGGGATTCGGAGCAGGCTGGGGGGTCACGTCGGACAGGACTCCTCCATCGTCAGCCATGATGGTGTTGACGTTGTCGCATCGCGGGGCGGCGCGCGCTGCTGGGTGAGAGACGGCAGATGGGCGCGTCAACCTCTCCAGCCACGCGTCGATGGTGTCGGAGAGTGAAATTGGAGGAGCAGACAGGGCGGCAGCGAGACGGAGGTTGATGTGAAGGGAGGAAGGAAGGCGGTGTGCTTTCTTTTTCGGGGGCTTGCGGTATCTTTGGGGGGTTGCACGACTCTCATCACCTTGCCTTCGTCGCTGTCGTGCCCTTCCCCGACGTCCCTGATTGGGTCTGATTACTTAATCGTTCTCTTGGCACACCATCCAACGTCGTCCATAGCACCATCACCACCACCCGGGTACGTACAGATATCAAGTGCAGGATTTTCAGTATATCGTGTCAGCAGGCGTTCGAAATTCAATCGGAGTTAGTCATTCAATGTTCAAGATACTTGCAGTTCATGTAGTCGTCACTAAGCGCCCCAAATAGTTTTTCAAGACCGCATGCCATCGCCTGTTTCAGCAACGCGTGCGTATCTCCTTCTGATAAACTTGGATATATGCACATATAAGCACCTACAGACGCGAAATGTACCGGCAATAATTTGTAAAGTGTTCAGGTTCCCACCAGTTTGTGGTTTGAGACTCTTACGTTAACGCCCCGAAATTTCTATTACTTGGTGAGACAATGTCTTTCGTCCCCACGCCAGAAGCACGTGTTTGCTCTTTCCCCTTTAGTTTGACTCTACCTACATGTACCCTATTTATATCACCAAATCCTCCCTGGGATAGAAAACCTTTCCTCCTCGTCCTCACCCTCGTTAATCAACCCTTGTTCAACCACCACCATGGCAATTCCTCCCGTCTACCTCGACCGTCTTGAACGGCTGTCCAAACTCATTCAATCTGACTTGGCAGCACTTCCCGATAGAACCATAACCCCGCAGCCAGTCCCAGAATCTGTATCCGCCAGCGACGACGATAATTCAGGCGGTGTGCCTCTCTCGGCCGACGACCTTGCTTCGAGCATTCTGGGTAATCAGGCAAAGCAAAGCCCCGATTTATCGCCGTCTTCAACCCCTGGACAAGCTCCCACAAAAGGTAATACAAAACCCCTGCCTGCCACCATCAATCCGAACAACGTACGTCGAGTCCTGTGGAAGACGGGAGCGCCAAGCTCTTCTAACCCGGGCTCCATGCCCAAACCCCCCGCTTCCTCTGTCAAATTGCCCCCCACTACTCTCGTGCAGAGCCAGCTCGCAAAGGAGGAGTCCTTCGCGCCCATTTTGGCCCTCGCCAAGTACCCCTATAAGTACTGCAGCAGGGACAATTCTCAAGACGTTGCATCTGCCTTCTTTGACGCCGGCAAATTCTGGGCGCGCGATTGGGACTTGTGAGTGCAGCGCTGGTCGATTGCTTGGTAGTTTCCACTGATTTGTTGCAGATATTACGTGTGGGACATCGAAGAGAGCAAGCCTCTCATCCTCGTCGGTGAGAGCCAGTTCAGCCACCTTCTGCAAGAGATCAATACTGCCCTTGATTTGTCCCTGAGGATTACCGACTATCAACAGGAGGAAGGTCTTGTCGGCCGCTTTCCGGATCACCCACGCTGCCAACCTCGCTACCTAGGCCGCTCGCATTCAAGAGAAGAGTACAACAACCTGACTAACAGCGTCCCAAACACCATGGCTCGCCCGGCAGGAGAAGCCTTGCCACCGTCAATGGCTGACCGTACCTTGGAAGACTTCAAGGAAATGATCGAGGACATGTGGGAACAGACCAAGGCTAAGAACAAGGCTACGAAGGAAAGGAAGAAAGTAGAGCGGCTTGCTAAGCAGAGGATGTTTGCCGACCAATTCAAGCGCGCCCAGCGGTACTTGGGTCTTCGCCAGATAAGACAGCGTAAGTTCAACTTGCTTGACGTTTGAGACTTGCGCTCGACTGACATGCCTCTAGCAAATGACGTACCTGGCATTCCAGCTGCAATCGATGTCACTGTACCTGCCCCTTTCCCGTGTGACAAGTCCGTAATATTCATCTGCGTTGATGTAGAGTCTTACGAGAAGGCTCACCACCTGATCACCGAGGTTGGCATTGCCACGCTCGATACTCGCGACCTTTCCGGAATTCCTCCTGGAAACGACGGCAAGAACTGGCGGCCCCTCATACGCGCTCGGCACTTCCGTATCCAGGAATACAGCCATCTGGTCAATTCTGAATACGTAAGCGGGTGTCCTGATCGTTTCGATTTTGGCAGGTCGGAGTGGGTACGACTCGCGGATGCCGCAGCAATGACTGCGGAGTGCTTCAAGGAACCTTTCTGCGGCACGAACTGGGCTGGCACGTCTGATATGAAGCTAGAGGAGCGCAACTTGATCTTTCTTGGACATGACGCACAAGGCGATATCCGATACCTACAGACTCTCGGCTTCGATGCGATGGCCTTACCCAACATGCTGGAAACCCAGGATACTGCGACTATGTACCGAGTCTGGCGTCGGGAGCTAAATCCTACCAACCTCGGCCGCATCCTGTACTCATTCGACATCCCCGGTTTCAATCTCCACAACGCTGGCAACGACGCTGTCTTCACAGTCCAGGCTATGCTCGCAATCTGTGTGCGCGAGGCGTCCATCCGTGACTCTCCTGAGCTGAAGACTATACGTGCTGAGGAGCGACAAGCGAAAGCTAGTGCTCTGATGGAGGAAGCTAAACTTCGCACTCAAGATGAGGCCGAAGGCTGGAGTGAAAATGAGGCTGATGGCGATGGTGGGGAGCCAGTCAAAACCATCTTGCAACCTAAGCAACCTTTTCCGGCTTTCTATCCACCTCAACCAAACTACCAAGTTGATGGTACGCATGAGATAGGCTCTGGTGGCCGTGGAGCTCGGGGCGGCAGGGGGCGAGGAGGTGGCGATCGTATGGGTGGAGGCCAGGTTAGCACCATACGGAAGGACGGGCACGATATCACTGGACAATTTGCGGAAATGTCTGTACAGAACAACCGCCGTGCGAATCAGAATCGGGGGCAAGGGCAAGGGCGAGGCCGTGGCCGTGGCCGTGGCGGCAACGGCCCGGGTAGCTCTTCGAGTCCTAACTACGGCTTTCAGGAGGCTGAACAGAAGCCGCAATATTTTTGGTAAGCATCCAGCGCATGCTGCTTGCTATCAATTGATGTTTATGGACTGATTCGCGGGATGCCGGGGTGTGGCTTCCAAGGTTGCCATGAGCAATCCTGGCAGGGTATGTTTAGCTACCATGGCCAGGATCCATGGAAAGGCGGCTTTATTTAGCTACCTGGACGTGGCATGGGAGAAGACACTTGATAAAACAATGGAAACACTCGATTGGAATGGTTTTCTATTTGGATAGGTGATGCTGATGACGATGACTCCATCTCACTAAGCTTCTCTGGTGGTTTGATTGGCATTAATTGTATTCGCCATTCACTCTGGTTGTTGATGGATAGTTTGCGGCGCAGTGTAGAAGAGAATAGCAACAGGCAGCCAGGATGCCCGCACCCCATGGATCATCGATAGCCGAGGCAGCATCTCCATCATCCATGGTTAGTTCTTGGGCCATGGCTCCCTCACAGTGAGAAGCGAAGACACAACTAAGCATGGCGGTTTCTCATAACTGCCGTCTTTCTATGTATGGTTGAGCAACTGTTTGATTCCATGATGAACAAGGCGTATTTGTCCCATCTCAGCTCTTGGCTGCTGCTACTACAACATCAATTGATGACGCATTCCCCCCCCCCCCCACGTGCCCGGCAGTCAACGTCGGTTTTCCGCTTCAGACTGAAACATGTGACAGACTTGACATAGTCAAAGCTTACTGATCATCGCAGAGTATACTATCGGAAGGAAAAAGAAAAGAAAAAAAAAAAAGTCAAAAAGGGTTCACGTTGGGCGGCGAGTGCCTGGATCTCCGCCTTGCACACTTCGCACCGAGAACGGGTTAGCGTGCTGCCCACGTTTCATTGCGCACTGTTCACCGGTTTTCCCGTCCGTCCCCATCCGTGCGGCTTCTTCCATCTATTCTCCCTCCCACGAGGCATTGTATGCATCATCCTCCACCGGCCGTCTATCGGATTGCGTCTGCTCTCATCGATTGGGTACACGTAACGTGCCCCGTTCGTGCGAAGATGCGTTCCTGCTCGAGGGCTGATAACCTGCCTTGACACCCTATTCCTGGCATCCTGGTTGCCGGCAGCGCCGACATGACGATCGAGGGCGCGCGCACGTCAGATGCATTGGAAATTGATCGCCCTAGGCATCCATCTTTCGCACACGACGTATATTTAACTCTCTACATTTGCGCGGTTGCGCAGTCCTTCGTGATAGCGTCGTGTCATGGCTTCCCCTTTCCCTCCTTCCCCTTTCATACCTTCGAGCTGAAACACGTTTATTCGAGGCAGCCAGATGACAAGCAAACAACGGCTTGCATGAATCGTTATTCCGTCTGCATATCCTGCCTTGTCGTCGCCATCGCCTGTTTTTCTCCTCATCTTCGCATTCGCATATCGTCCTTTCCAGTTGCCTTGTTCGCCTCTTTCTATCCCCACCGTTGCTTATCGGGTGCATCCATACATACATAGACCTCCCTCCCCCCCCACCCCACGATCCTTCGCTATTTCCCGCTACCTCGCAGATATCTGTTGTTTTGTCCGACTTTGCGCACTGCGAAGAAAGAGAAGATGATGACTTGCAAAAATGTTCCGTACGGGCATGAGCAGATTCAATCGCCGCAACACGGCACGGTGGTGCAGCTGCCTCGCTTGAAGATTGCTGCGCAAAAGGATGTCACGGGGCGGGACAGCCCCAGAAGAGACTCGTTGAGCTCATCGACGGGCGACTCGGGATATAACAGTGACCCAGACACAGACCGGGACGGGGATGCTCAGTTCTCACCATTGGTGTTTGGAGGCCTGGAACATGGCAAGTAACTTCATGCCTATGTGAAGACAAGACGATGCTAACAGCAATGCAGCATTATATACTTCACTTGATATAACTTCGAGCCTACCTCTCTCACCCAAAATCACCGGTTTCATTGTTCCCAAACCAAAAGGGGAAATACCTGTGTATACAGCGAAATCACCCTTGTTCAAGAGAAATAAGAGCTTACAGAACCCACTTCCCCCACCCAAGATTGAGGTCACTAGCTGTCCGACATCTTCACCCAATTGTGAGGTTCAGTCTGCATTGAAGACTTCGGATACTTCCAAGGGCGTTGCCCCCCCATCCGTGCCTCCCGATCAGCATAAAGACGACGCCTCACGCCAGGAAAACATCGAACAGTGGATCGACCTCAACCTCCAAGCACGTCCCAAAGAACGAAACCCTTCCATTGTCTCCTTTTCATCGTCAGGCAGTTGCGATATGTATTCGTCAAACAACAACAGTGAAGACGAGGACACTGGTCCATCAAACTCGCTTGCAGCTGCGCGCGGCAGCAAGCTCTCGAAAGCTACACTCAAAACCATTGAGCTAATCCTTCGCAAGATCGAACTCAATCTAAACTATGCCGCCTACATCCAATGCCTCGAAGGCCCCCACATACGGCAACGCCCGGGAACCACCTCGCGAAGTACTTCCAGGGGGAACACCAATCGTAGCCACGCCAATAATGCGAGCAAACGCAAATCTCGTCCCTCAGATGATCTGCTGCCTCAACCCCCAGACGACCCTAGCGATGACGACGAGAACAATCCTAATAAGCGTCGCCGCATCTCTGTTGCCACCACAGCCTCCGACTCCGACTCCGGTCCGCGCTTTGCCTGCCCTTTCTACAAGCATGACCCCGTGCGGTTTCGCACCCGCCGCACATGTCCCGGTCCGGGTTGGACCACCGTACATCGCATGAAAGAGCATCTGTACCGCGCTCACGGGCAGCCCGTCTATTGCCCGAGATGCTTCACCACCTTCTCCTCCTCTACCGATTTATCGAGCCATTTGAGGGCCGACTCGTGTCCGGTTTCTGAACCACTGCCGATTGAGGGCATCGATCTCGAGACACAAAACACTCTGAAGAAGAGAAGTGTGGCGAACAGATTGGAAGAGGATAAGTGGAGGGATGCGTATATGTTGTTGTTTCCGGATGTTGATGTGGATGATATACCATCGCCATGTAAGTCACTTGACTGTTACGATTCCTTCATTTCCTTCCCAGTAATGAGTCTCCCGCACGTCGCTTCTAAGCCTCTGAGAATTTGCTTGTATCTCCTAACCCTTATCCTAAAACAGACTACACAACCCATTCCCCAACAGAAGATTCCCGCCGCTTCCGCCGCATGCTCATGGACCGCGTTCGCACGGAGCTCCTCGCGACCGCCGAGCGCGGACCAAACACTCTCGTCGAGCAGCGCGTCCTACGACAAGTCGCCTCTATCATACAAAACTGCGAATCCGAACTACTATCTTCATTCCAATCTTCATCCGCCAACCCCTCAATCTCGACGCCTTCATTCTCTATGGGACCAGGACAGAACAGTTCGTCTTCAAGACGAACATCACATACCGGACTCCCCACGTCGGTTTCTGAAGAATTCACACCCGCCGCGCTGTCGCAAGCGCGAAGACCCATCTTCCGTTCACCATTCGATGCCCCCTCCTCTGCACCCACGCAGCCTCCTCCAAACCAACAGATCGCAAATTCCCAACCACAATCCTCGCAGCCAATGAGCCCAGGAACCTTCTCTCAGCCTCAGCCTCACCCTCCTCCTCCATCGTCCTTTCCACCCTCCAACATCCCGTCCGTCGGCGGACCCTTCGTCCTCGACCCCGAGGGTCCCGGGGCTCCCCCTCCCACCGGTCTTGTCGAGGGCTGGGAATTCTCAAGCTCGATCGACTGGGACACGGTCTTCGCGCCTGGCGTGGACTTTTCGCTCGAAGAGTCGCAGTATGGGCAGATGCATGGAAATCGCGATGGAGTAGGGGATAGAGAGGTCGTTGTTTGGACGTGAGAATATCCTTCATGTCCCTCCCCCTTCTTTCTTTCTGGGGGAGGGAAAGGAAGGCGCGAGAGGGGGTGGTAGTAGATAAGAGGGGATATGTTTCATAATATCCCGCATATGTTTACTCGGAGGACTTTTTCGGTGTTAAATCGAGGCATGGATTTGCGTTGGATAATTATCCGGATGGGGTTCGTTGGGTTAGGATACGAGGGATGCTGGCATCTCTCGCGTTTTCGCCTAGGCAAAGGACATCTTTGGTCTCCTTAGTGTAATGCTGTTGGTATGCTTGCTGGACAAGTAGTTTGTTTCCTCTATCATTTTCAGAGAATTAGTTACTACATAGTTTCGTCTAATCGATTGCTACAAACACTTCTTTTCTCCTTTGTCTCCATGGCTACCTATTGACCTGTCCTCGTGCATTTAGTTCCGCTAAACTTCTGTTCATGTAATGGTGTGTGTTTCCCTGGACTGATGCAGTTTCTCCTGATTTCTGAGCAAGTGCACTACGCCATAAACAATGTGATTGGCTGTCTATTGAATTCTGATGAACATGCTGCTCCTAAACTACGTTTGACTGGAGAGAGACATACACAATGTGTCTGATCTTGAGTATTTCTCACACAACGTCTGAGCAATGTTCTCGGGGGGTTTCACAATGCAGTAGTACCTCTTCTGAGATATCAAGTATATAACATCTTTTCCATTCCTTCAAACATATATCAGATCAAACTATAAACAACAGTAACAGGAGCAAAACCGCGTATCAGAAAACTCTACAAATCTTTATCAAAAAAAAAAGGCTTTCCCCAACTTTCCATCATGAACGACCATATCCCCGGCGGATACGTCCTCATCAAGGATCTCCACGAGTGCAACGGGAACAACAACGAAGGTATCTCCCTCGTCAAAGATCCAGCAACGCAAACTCTTCCAATCTGCAAGAAAATAGAAGACTTGCGAGGAAACGGGACTGACATGGAAGCCGAAGCCTTAGTGCAACTCGATAAGTTCCCCAACATCATTAAACTGCACGACTACAACCCCGTAGACTCAACCCCCGCTGCCATCCCCCCTTCAGAACCAGTCCCCGCGAGCGAACCCCCACGAAAAGACTCCATCTTCCAACCCAGCTCAGTCCTAACTAAATCACAACCACCACCCGACTCCGAATCAGAAGCACAACTCTCACCCCTCCCAGAAACCCGCCCGCCACTAAACCACCTCTTCCTCGAATACTGCGACCTCGGCACGCTCGCAAGCCTCACCAACACGCACGCCCAACTCGAACTCCGCATCCCCGAATCCTTCATCTGGTACGTGCTCTACGCGCTCCTCAAAGCCGTGCACGCCTGCCAAACAGGTCTCGGGACAAAACCCAACTGGCGCCCCATCACGCACCACGACATCCACGCCAACAACGTCCTCCTCTCCTCCTCGTCCCCAGACATCACGTCCAGCACCGGCGGCTACCCGCGCGTCGTCCTCGCCGACTTCGGACTCGCAGAGTACGGCTCTAACAACTACTGGGCCGATGTTGTGGATGTTGCTGCCGTAGGGATGTCGCTGTGCTGGAGTCAGTTCGAGGATGATGAGATATATGAGGCGATGAGGTGCGGGATCGGTGTTGATATCGCGGAGTGGCCGTATTCCCAGACGCTGTATAATGTTTTGCAGGATCTGGCTTTTGGCGACCAGATGCGTGTTGCGGAGGCTGTGGAGATGGTGAGGAGGGGTTGTGCGGTCGCGGATTCGATGGAGTATGGCGGGAAGGTTTGGCCGTCGCGAACGGTGGTGGATTGAAGTCTGTCTCTCTATCCCTCCTTTTTTTTAAGTTTTTTGCTTATGCTTTTGGGGTTTGATGGTCTTGTTACATAGACTGCTACACCGTTAATTTAGTCTAAATGCATTAAATGATTCGTGAAAAGCGATAACATGAGTTTTTATATTCACTTTAGAATTCCAGTAACGTGATTGTGCTGAGTATACATTATGGGGTTTAGCCCACTCCAGAATTAACTGTCAACGCTCTGTCAGTGTTTAAAATCATGTTTACAGCCTTAGGAAGGTACGTTAAAAGGTTATTAAACAGTATGTTAAACTAGAAAGAGCGACTAATAGCCTGTTCCAAACTCAGCTAAAACCTATAAGGTAGGTATTCAGATGTCGTTTTTCACTATTTCAAAGACACCGAGTGCTGCTACGACTGTGCAATTCAAGCTTGACATTTTTCGTGGAGACCTATTAGATTTAGCGAAGTAGCTACAGGTTATACTAAGCATGAAGCTTGCTATATGAGTGTATACATTAAATCAGGAGTAATTCATTGAACACAACGCGGCATGTCAGACCTCATCATCACGTGACTTGCCTCGAACTGTTGAGAACATAACAGTCACAAGTACGCTGACGAGTGCAGATGATGTATTATAATCAATCGATTTAAGCCATCTATATCAGTTTTGTCTTAATCATTGATACTGAATATATCGTGGTTCAGATTGCGCTTATACGATACTACTGTGTTGCGGCATTGCCATGTCACGGACAGTGTGCCAAACAAACTTCATGTCAGACTTTCTGCTCATATGCACTTCACCTCATGACAGATTGTTTGATCCGTAGTCACGTTGTAGGATTTCTTCCACCACATTCCTTCGCCCTCTGTACTGATTCGCACCCACAGCCTCATTTCGTCATCCGCATACTCCACCACACCTCTGCTATGAGCTACTCCTCTCCTCTTTTGATACACTACTATTATTTCCCTTTCTGCCACCACTATGCCTCGAGTCGGCCGCAAAAAAAGGGCACAGAGAGCTGCCAAAAGCCCGGATCAAACAGGCAAAATCATCTGCCTCAATTTTGAGGATTACGAGACAAGCTCACACGCATCTTTACTGATCTTTTTTCGTGTGTTGATCTAGTGTAGTCACATCGATTTTCGAAGTGCGACTTGGAAGAATGTCTAGAAAGTACAAATAGAAAGAACTGAAACATTCCCCCATCTCTTCTTTTTTTGGAACTGGTTCGACATCATGTCATTATATTGTTTTACTAAACCTTCACAGCCCGATCAAAGATAGAATAATATCCTCACTCATTCTGCATCGACCATGGCAGGTGATTGAAGATAGGACCATGAATGGAAAATTCGAAAGTTAGACAATGTCACACAACACTGAGGTACCATTCCCCAAAGACTCTAGCAAACAATGTATCAGTTTATGAAACTGAGTATTTCTTAGTCGTATTCTGTAAAGTGATCCGCAACACAAGACATCAAACAATGTCAGGCGTTGTGCAGGTGATCATTGTTCAAAACACAGTCAGTGTACACATAAACCCCCAAGATGCAATGTAGCGATCCTCAGAATCGAGAAAAGAAGAAGACGAGACAAAAAAAAGGACCATATTAACCATAATTCCACCAACCAAAACCGTCATCATGCAGACCAATCCCGAGCCCGCGACTCTCCCAGGTGGATATCGCATCATCAGGGACCTAGGTAAGCAAGGCGGCTTCTTTAACAAAGGCATCCACCTCGTCGAAAACATTCATGAAGACCCACCCAGACTCATGATCTGCAAAACAGTCGAATCAGGTACGCCATACCGGGAAGTCCCCATTCTCTTCCGCCTTAGGGGCTTCTCATTTATAAACCAAATCGTCGATTTCGTGCCGTGTGCCACTGATACCGACTTTTCTAGCATGGCTAAACAAGAGATGCAGCACCATTCAGTAGGCAGCTTGAATAAGCCCGCGTACCAGATGTTCGGAGTACCTCGTAGCTTAACAGACAGTGCGCAACCCTACGTCCAAGAGGTGTCGCCTTCGAACAAGACCGACCACATCTATCTCGAATACGCTGATCTCGGCTCCCTAGCTGAACTAACCGAGCGCCATCGAGCGAAAGGCGTCCGGATCCCAGAGTCATTCCTCTGGCACGTATTCCTCTCCATCGCAAAAGCGTTGAAAGCGTGCCACACTGGCCTGGGTAGACAAGGCTGGCGGGCTATCCGCCACGGCGACGTCGATCTGGGTAACATCCTCCTCGCGTCTCCCGTCGACGAAGACATGTTGTACCCGAAGGTTATGCTTGCGGATTTTGGATGCGCGGTTGAAGCCGGCTGGTTGCTCGGAGGCGAGCATCTGTTTGATCTCAGCGACGATGTCGCGTCTCTGGGCCGGACAATGCGCACGGCAGCTGATTCCCTGCCCACGCGGAAGGTCCTTATAGAGAGGAACCCGCATATGCGGACCATGTCGCAGGAGCAGTGCACGCGTGTGTGGAGAAAGATGTATGAGGACGATTTGAAGGGGTATTCGGCGGAGTTCTCGAAACTGCTTGACGCGTGCAATAGGAAAAATCCCCAGACGGGTCTTCCGGATTGTCTGACGTCGACGGAGTTGGTGAATATGATTGAAGCTCTGCATAATAAGATGCGTATTGCTGAGGCTTTGGACGGCAGGACCATGTTCCATGAGCATGGTGGAGAACTGATGTTTTAGTTTTCTTCTCGTTCCGCATTGGTGACTCGTATTGCTGTTTTCTGCTTCATTTGTAACTTATCCGACTATTCGATTATACCCCGCCGCTGTTGCTCACATAATGTAATCTAATTGAATTGTAAAGTTGAATTTAATCGTGCCCGGAAAAGTATTGATATGCTTGAGAGTGAAATAGTGGAACACTGGGGATTGCATGGGCGTGGTTTGGCCAACATTAATCAATTCTATTCGCTTTTGCGCCTAGAAGTTTGTCAATCATCTTTGATACCGCCCACTGCTTTTACTATGTCTGAAATAATACTTCAAAGCTCAGGGAGCAATGAATAGCTAAACAAACAAAAGGACTATTTGAAGCAAGTACATATTTACAATTTCCCGAAGGAACAACATCTTTTCGTGATGATACATTTTTGTTACCAATTCCACTGAAATACCAGGTAAGGATATCATCGGCTAGTGATAGCGATGACAACAGAAATCACTTCGTCTGAGTCTTACTTGGCAAGGCTGCGAAGGGCAAGCTTCTTGCGTGCTTGAACAGTGTAAGCATACAAGGCGTCTTTGAACGCAAACAAGAACGCAGCGGTAATGACACTTTGAGTGACTTTGGGGCCGATACCTGTAAGACGTTAACATTGTGATCCCCATCAAGATTTGTAAGAAAATTTACCTCCGTAAAGGCCGGAATAGCCCTGCTCGTCGATGATATTTCGGAAAGTTGTGAGCATGCTTTCCTTTGGCCCGTTCTTGCCCGCAACATGCATCCTGCTCTTCACCGTGATGTAAGGGTAGGTGATGCTCGTGGCGAGCAACTTGCCCAAAGCACCGAGGTAAAAAGCATCCGTTGGCGTCACGCGGCGCTTCTTCTCGAGCATGTTTTTCAACTGCTCAAACACGGTGTATTGCAAAATTGGGTTGATGACAAGCACCAACGCTGGCATGACACCCGCAAATAGACGTGCGGGACCCTCTTCACGGAGCAGTGTGAGCAAGGTGCCAAGTGTAGAGGGTGCCTTTGCGGGCTTGGATCCAGGGAGGACCTGCTCTTCCGATTCCGACTTGCGCGCTGTCATGCGTGTGTTGACAACCCAGATGGGGTTGGTGATAAGAACGGTTGCACTGCCGGCTAGAGCGCCTGCCATCATCGATTCGACCGTCGTGAGTTTCGAGGATGCGCGACCAGCTTTGAGCGCAGCTTTCTCGAAGAACGCGCGGGTCCACTCATACCCTGTGTGTCATCAGTCCAATGTTTCTCTCTGCACTTTTGTGCTAGCACTGACAATAGTAGTATACGAAATTGGTGACGCTGATCCCAAATAACGCAGACTCAAGACCAGCGTATAGGCCCGCGACACCTTCTCGTCTGATTATGCTACGGGCGGCGTTGAGGGTAGACGATTGAGCACGTTTCGACTCGACTTGGGCTCGTGTGGAAAGCGTGATGAGTGGATAACTGTCTCATTGTCATCAGTCTCTAGTCCAGGAGTGTCTAATTCGCGCTATTCTCTTAACTTACGTCAAAGCCATCGAGAGTAAGCCTCCACCTGCGCCAGCAAGCGCATGCGCGACATTGTCGCTTTGTTGAGCAGCAGTACTATTAGGCACTGCCGAAGTACTCTCGAGAATTTTCTCTTGCGCGCTCTTTGACGTTGGTTCCGACATGTCGACGCGACCTTCACGTGTCAAATGTGAAGCTTGGAATTGCGGAGGTGAGCGGGGGTGGTTGTGGGGAGATTCCTGGGGAGGACAACGTAAATCACGGATATCGGGAGTGGCTTCCAATGGGATGTAGAAACGGTTCGAGGACAAAGAGTCGTTTAGATTGGAGGTGAGGAGAAAGCATCTCGAGGTCCACGGTTACTGTTGGCTTGTGAACGGTATGGACTTGAGGGTCCGCATTCAACGCCCGCATTTGGACCGAGGTTAAGGCCGATCACGTGGTCGGAAATGATGATCCATCATCACAAGCTGCAATCTCCTCCTTTATGCATGAGAACATTCTCACAGTCCTACGTGGAATTCTTGTAGACTAAGGGTGACTGATCTATGAGCTGATAGCATGATTGGTTGTTCATCTCGATCATGAAACAAATATCACGTGCAAAGGTATTCGGCTCCAGCACATGTCCAAACGTCCAAGCTCGTCTCCGGTTTTCGCCTGAAGTATGCCCCCAATAACACCGAAGCTAGGCTTTTGAGGTATAGGCCTTCACTCAAACACATGGGGTAGTACAAGTGGGGGAACTCCTAAATTATGGTCCAAGAAACCTACAGTATGTCACACACAATATGGGCATGCAATGGTGGTGCTGTGATTGATTGAGTAGCTAAGCTAGTGACGCCTGAAGCCTACATTACAAGGGAAGGCCCACCTGAGGATATAGTGTCAACTGCTCTTTCTACTTCAATATCTTATCAAATAACATCTTAACATAGTTCTAAAAAGCTGTTTGTAGGATCTAAACATAACATAAAGCCTTAAATGAGGGTTAATAACTAATCCTAGGGTGAGCCCGCTTCGTAATGTAATAATACTCATCGTCCGAATATTCGCTGTTCCAGGTATCTAAAAGGACCATATAGCAGTGCCGAAAGAACCAGAGCTATTTCGAAGCCGATATCTCCAGTGGATTCGGCTATAGGCCCAGTAAACCATATCTGATTCATGCTCGGTATTACCAAAGCAAAGCAAAGAACGGCAGCTCCTATGGCTGCAAAACCAGGGGGCAGTTTTTTGGAGTCGTTCCACGCTGTTGTGTCTTCAGTATAGCAGTCGAAGTTTCGTCCACGAAAGATGATATGATCAACCAGAACAACTCCGATGAAGGCAGCTGACCAATATCCGATCAAGCCTAGGAAGTTCTCCAGATTGACGAAGAATCTTTTGGCAGCTTCAATAGCGACTCCGATAACAATGGCGGTTATCACGACGGAGAAGATGTAGCGAGGAATACGGAACATCCAAGGGACAAACATCTGGAAGTTGAGGGTGATGCTGTACATGGTCGCGGACAAATTGCCAACCATGCTGAACTGTATGACATTAGTGGATATCGACATACTCCCTGAAGACCAAACACTCACAGCAAGCACGACAGTGACAAAACGTCCAAAACCACCGACGGGATGCATCATTGCTGCTAGAACACCACTTGCAGCATTCTTCTCATACCCTTCTGTCCAGGTGGGAATATTGGGAGTGGCGCCGCCTATCGCAGCTCCTAGAGTCATTAAGAGGATAGTCGGTAAAGCGAGACCCATGTACGTGTAGAACGCGATCCGGAACCTTTAATCGTTAGCCACAGCTCCATCATGAACTACAGGGGGATGTCGCATCGGGATGTCACAGCTCGGGAGGTTAAGTGTACTATCTAGTATTCACGAATAGAAGGCTCCAGTAGAAGATTCTCAGCAGCTCTTGTATTCGCGAGGAAAGTGATAGTACACCATGCTCCCGTCATATGACATCCCGATGTGACATCCCCCCTGTACGGGTGACCTTACGGAGGTGCCTTTGGATGCATATATGTTGAGAAGTCGGAAGCCAACGCTGCCCACGGTAGCATGAAGCTTGCAACAAGCCCACCAAAAGACAGGATTTGAGGAGCGGTAGCAGCTGGAACAACGACTTGTTCTTTGAGATGCTTCCCTCCGACTCCGGTTGCGATCACAATAGCGATTAATGCCGGCACCCAGGCATACTTCTCGTAGAAATGCAAGACCTTGAACCCACAGAAAGAGATCAAGAGCGATAATAGAGCGATAATAACGATGCCCACAGTGGCATTGACAGATGTTCCGTTGGTCACAGCAGACAGTGCTTGACCGCCAATCACTGAATCAACCACGCAAAATCCAGTAAGGGTGGCCAGGTTGAGTAGGACGAGAATAGACACAAAGTATTTCCTAAGCACTGTGAGCCATCCATTGCGCGCATCAATAGGTTTGATGGAGGAATAGGCATACCCAAATGAGAACCTGGCTTGTACAAGTTGTCGCATTCCAGTCTTTGGCCCCCACGTGCACATGTAGGCGACCGGTATAGTGGAGAATAGGGTAAAAAAGAAGATGACAAGAGCTGCGTCTCTTAAACTTAATCCAAAACTTGTGGTTCCTACCATTCCAAACGTGATCCTGTCCTCTGATTCAGTCCAAACCCAGAGAAAAAAAATGAATACATGACGATACAGCACTTACGGTAACATGTTGCAGCTCATACAGAACCATAGCGAGAAGACATGCCAGTATCGAGTGATCGTCCTTTCATCATAGGGAACTGGAATTGCGCCTTTCACCTCGATTCCGCCACGGTTTTCCAATCTTGAGACATATCCCATGAAACCACGAGAATGAGACTCTGTTCCCGTGCTCACTTGAACGACGTGCTTCTCTACATCGTTTCCCGCATCCATCTCTTCGTGGCTTTGAGTGCCTGCCCCCATCTTCGGGATATCGGTGTAGAAGCTCCCGTGGCGATGCGCTAGGGAAGAGGAAAAATTGTTTTCGCAAGATGAGGAGCAACACTCAAATTTCTACAATGATTATCTGGTGGCGTGGTGGTGGCGAATTGCGGCTAACACGCACAAGCAAAGTGGAACGGGAATCGTGACTATGTCTGTAAGCCTGTGACGAGGGTGAGAATGAGCAGAGAAACTCTGGGGTTCACAGCGGGCATGACATTGCATGGGGTATAATTTTTTCAATTATGACTCTACATTAACCATTGCGCCGGCCGTGAGCGTAGTGCGCGGTCAACCTTTGTTATCCGAGCGTGTTCTAGAAGGGAGCAAAAGCGAGCTAACCGATCTTGGCCTAGTCTCTCAACTTTCAACTCATCACATTCAGAACGTACAGCGACGCCGAAGATGCCCGACCGGCACCGAGTACCCACTTCACTTATCAGTTTCACGGGCTTCTTCGCACCGATATCATGACGATGATAGCGGTTAAATGCACCGTGCTGGTGGCCTTATGGCGGCTGGTATTCCCGACCTTTGAAACATTGACATAAGTCTGCATCGTTTCCTCGCCAGTGACGGAGCCTCCAGTGCTCAAACATGGGAAAAGAGACCTCTCCCAACGACAAGCAGGGCACCGGTAATGCAGATGTGCCAGTCTCAGAGGGCGAGATTTCCGACCAGTATAGTGTCTATACAAGAAAAGAAAAATGGATCATAGTCGGGCTGGTCGCTTTGGCTGGATTTTATAGGTAAGTAGGTAAATCAACGAATTGATATCTACCTTTATGTCCACAAGAGAAGGGATAGCTAACGAGCCTTCAAGTCCTCTGCCTGCGAACATATACTTCCCCGCCATTCCCCAGCTCTCCTCCGCTTTTGGTGTAACGATCGAGGCCATGAATCAAACGGTTACCGTCTATCTGATTTTCCAGGGCATTTCCCCTATGCTATGGGGCCCTTTGTCGGATCGGTACGGCCGCAGACTTGTCTTCCTCGCCTGTCTGTCAATTCTCGTCGCATCCAGCATTGGTCTCGCGCTGTGTCCCACCAACTCCTTTTGGCTACTCTTATTCCTTCGATGTTTTCAATCAGGAGGAAGCGCAAGTACGATCGCCTTGGGCGCAGGCGTCATTGGCGATATAGCTACGACCAAAGAAAGAGGTGGCTATTTTGGAATGTTTAATCTTGGACCAATGCTCGCGCCATGCATAGCACCTGCAGCTGGAGGAGCGATTGCGCAGGCCCTAGGATGGCGGGCAATATTCTGGCTGGTTGTTATCATGGTTGCCGTCTGTCTGGTTTTCATCGCAATGTTCCTCCCCGAAACGCTTCGCGCAATCGCCGGCAACGGAAGTGTCCCAGTCCCTCGTCATTTGCGGCCGATTATTCCCGTGGTGGGCCGCAAATATACCTCGCCGACTGCATCCGTCAACGATGCGCCCCCACGAAAGAAACAATCTATCAACCCGTTCGTTTTATTCACCTATCCGGACGTACTAGTTCTCCTTTCCTTCACCGGGATCGTCTACGCCGTAAACTATACCGTCACTGCTACGATATCGTCCTCCTTCAAGGAAATTTATCCCCACCTTTCCGAAACCGTACTTGGACTGTGCTATCTTCCTACAGGCGCTGGCATGATCATCGGTAGCACTCTCACTGGCAAACTGCTCGATTGGCAATACGCACAATGTAAAGCTAAGAGCGGCGACCGCTTCACCATCGAATACGCACGCCTGCGTATCATGCCCATCTACCTCGTTATTTTCGTCGCAGGTGTCCTCGGATGGGGGTGGAGTCTTCAAGCACATGCGCACATGGCTGTGCCTCTCATCATCGGCGTTGTTCTAGGCTGGACATCCATGGGCATCCTCAACACCACTATGACCCTCAATATCGACATCTTACAGAGTCGGAGTTCGGGCGCAACGGCGTGTACAAACCTTGTTCGCTGCTCTTTGGCTGCTATCCTGGTATCTTGCATCGACCGTATGACTAACGCCATGACGATCGGATGGACTTATACATTTTGGGCGGCGATTTGTGCTTTGTTGCTCCCACTTATGTATCTTGAGATCAGAATGGGTCCGCGGTGGAGAGAAAAACGGGAGAGGAGAGAGATGCAATAATATAGCAAATAATCGAAACAAAAACAATTTAATCTAACTTCAACTACATGTCAACACTACTTGATATTTACTTTAGATGATTCATTTGTTCTATTGGCTCGCCGATCAACAAGAGATCTGTAAATGGGCTTACTGACATATCTCACACCTCGCACAGATATGTCAGGGGTGTGATTTGGTGATTTGGTGATCTGGAATTGAGTGATTTGTCTCATCGCAACAATACCTGATAATTCTCAAGAGATGACGTCACTCGATAATTCGTCGCAGCTTGGGAGCCTCCAATCGCTTTGCTTGTTTCTGATTTCCAGCCGAATTGGCCAGAATGCTTCATCGAGTTTGATTTCCTGGACCAATTGGTACCCGTAATCAAGCTCGCTAGTGTGATTTCTTATCAAGAGAAAAGGGTGCCAATCTCTCGTGTTCTCCAGTTTTATGTGACATATATTTTACTAGACAAATGCACTTTTCCTCCCTTGGGAAGAACAGAATGGGAATTTGGAATTGCTTTCGTTCTTTCCTACACCGATGAATTAATTTGAACGTCTTTCCCCCCTGAGCATTACGAAGCGTGGTGGTTGTGCTGCCCTATAAATTTCCTTCAATTCGAGAGTATAGGTGCCTTACCGACTCACGCAGAGTTTTCAGTCATTTGGATCAAACCCCGATTCAATCTCCTCCCTCACGCAAATATCCCATAAAGATATAAAAATAGGACACAGACTGCAATTGAATCATCAATAACCTACCATCACTAGTTTACACTCTACAATGGGTGATATATATTTGGCGTGCTCAATGTACATACTGATGTCGGTACGCGCGAGCATCTGGAAACTGATAGAAGAGGTTGGAGGCCACCAGAATTCGGTCAAGTTGTCTCAGGCAAACTATCAATGATTTTAATTTATCTCATGGGCCAATTTAATCGTACGGAATGCGATGAATATGTGCAAAGCAAAATTTGATTCATTCCTTTGTTCCCAATTAGTCTCCAATCAATGCAACCTCGCCGCGAATTCTTCTGGCGTCATATCCGGCCCATCCCCTTTTTTCTTCAATTCCTCCTCACTGACGCCCGCGTTCAATTTCTCAATGAGGTCTTCCGGGACAAATTCGGAACCCAATGGATTCTTCTGGAATGCTTCCCCAAACATATACCTGGTAGCCTCCTCGGCCGTGTCAAAATTATCTACCTGCGTCTCAATCATATTACCATCGGGGTCGTTATAGTAGATGCTTGTCGTAGGGCCATGGTTGACGCATGCGATGGGCAGGATTCCATGCTTCTTGCGCTGTTGATACGCAGTGAGCAGGTCGGATAGCGAGGCGAATGTGAATGCCATGTGGGAGAGTCCCGCTACGTTGGGAACCCTTGGCTTGTACTGAGGGGAAGTGACGATAGCTATGCGGTGGTGCTCGGAGTCGTAAGTGGTGAAAGCGGAGTAAGGGTTTTCGAAGACGAGATGACCTCCTGTGAAGGTGATGTAGAAGTCTCGCATAACAGAGAGCTTGTCGGTCGTTGTTTGGAGAACGACGTGGGCGAGGTGGGAAGGAAACAAGACTTTAGGCTTTTCTGAAAGATCACCCATGGAGGGGATGGTTGTATTCATTTTTGAGGTTATTGAAGTCATTGTGTTGTTCGATGGCTTGCTATAAAGCTTGCTTTGAATGTGATGGATTGAGGCACAAAGATGAGCGTACAATAATGTGGCCTTTATTATGAGCACTAAGAGGACTTTATAATCTATGTATGTGCATTATCTGGTCCGAATTCTTCTCAAACATATCGGGAGCGTCTTCAAGTCTCAGAAGCTTAGGAATTGGTCGCTAGACAACAACCTGTGCTTATAAATACTCTCGGAACCTGAGACCCAGGTTCCGAAACCTCATCTTGAGCCTCTCCGGCTTCCCGCGAGGAATCCACAGATTACAAATATTATCCAGGTCGGTAGATTTTCTGGGAGGCCTAACAGTTGGGGGCAAAATGATTGGCTATGACTCAGCTCAAAATCGTGTAGGAGCTGCTTCGCATGATTATAAAGAAAGCACAATGAGCGATCAGGATGAAAGTAATGATTAAGCAGTTAAACAATTTTTTTCAGGACGGTTCAGGACTAATTGTACGTAATTCTGTCTCACTAGGGCGTAGATACGTGTTGGAGTACTTCCTTTGACAACTGCCTTAAGCCTTCCAAGGAGCATAGCTTCCAGATGTCTTGCAATGTTCCCAATGAATCAATCATTTCCTCTGTCCAATTTTCATCAGTTCGAACTGCGAATATGCGGGCTGTCTAACGTTCCACTATTATTTTCAAATCGACAACCAGCATTGTTGTTATCTTGTTTGAACTACTGTTCAGTGAACAACGGTACCCTTAGAAACCTTATATCAATATCGTATGTTGTTGAAACTGATGATTGCGTACCAAGAAAGGCCACTATAAAACCTCATATCTTATGTACTCTCGTCTACCGAGCTATGTCACGAGGTTCAAACTGCCACACGCCATGCATCCTCCCATCAAGCACCCAATGCGTTCTCCCTCGAAAGATATTTGAATGTTCAACTAGACATTATACTTAGGATAAAATTCCCACGCTATGAAAAGTCTTATTCGAACAAGCATGCCGATTCCGCCTTGTACTATGTATCTCAAACTTAGCGTCCCCACGCACTCCACGTCGATAGGATCCGGATTCCTTTCCGCCATCCTGCAGCCGATCAAGTACGTGGAGCGAGGCTGTGAAACCCAACCATGCGACATAGTAGATGTCCATCTCTATTTCCCCACACAAAGCACATGTCCGATTGAGATTGGGGCGCTTTAACTAACAGTCCGTACACATCCCGATGCGGCAACCACCACGTTTGCTGCGGCGCCAGCGCACGTGCTATCCTGGCAAAAGATCAGCATTTCCTACTTTGGTTCCCGGAGGATTTTGAGAAACATCCGATCGTGTACAAGTGATACAATTTGACTATGCAGGCCTTTGAAGATGACCCTTACCTACTATGACATATGTCAAAGGAGAATAGTACTTAAAGAGAGTGATAACACACCAAAGATTCATTCTCATCACAACACTCTCCATTCACACTCGTTAAAGATCAATCGATTTCCAACCCAAAACCAACTACAATCCAATCTTTTCAAAATGCAGTTCACTACCATCCTCGCTTCCCTCCTCTCTGCTGCTGCGGTTACCACCGCTGCCACCTTCGACATGCGAACCCGCCAGATTGTTTGCAGTCCCGGAACTCTCGAATGCGGGAGTCTCTCTATCGCCGCCAACCCCGTTTTGATGGAGTGTAACGAAGAGGGCCAACTTGTGATCTCTGAGGTCTGTGAGAAAGGCTGCGGCGACTTCGAGGGCGTCATTGGTTGCATGTAAATCACTCGTGCGAGTTGGGGTATGTGTTCTCGATTCGACTCGTTTTTCTCGAAAAAGAAATGCTTATGGTTATAGATTCTATGTGGGAAGTGTAGCTGGCAACCTTAGATACTGGGGGTTGGGCCGCGGGGGAATATACAATTGAGCTAGTTTTACTTCAATGGGAAATATGCTTGAAAATCTCCCTTCTACTTTGTATTCTATTATCCGGTCGTGTCTTGGATGTCTTCTTGCGATTTATCAGTGAGACTTTCTCACGCGGGGACAATCTAGAAGGTTGTCAGTCCAGTTGGCTCTATTCGGGAGATGGTAGGTATATGCGGGAGTCCATGCTCTCGTTCTCGACGTTGATACTGGATGCGATACAAACACTTGGAGTGAGAAATGGAATAAAAGGCGTGCTTGATTCAGACTTCTGCAAGGCTAGAACCAAAAGACAGCATATGGACGCGGGATTATGCCCAAAGTAGCAAACGTCACGCCAAATCACCATGTGAGGCAGCTTCCATCTCGCCACCTGGGAGAGGAAATCACTTAGATCAGCGTGTATATGGATGATTACCTCGACTTTTTATCCAAAAGTATGCCCTGAAAAAGTACGACAGGAACATTAAACAAAAAAGGCTGAGTAACTGAGCATAGCAAAAACAACAACACGGACTGTCTATCTAGAAAGACTGATATGCCGATCTCCAAACCATACAATTCCGACTAGAACGACCGACCATGCTCCATCACCGCGTTCTGGTTCTCAACTACAATATAATCCACACCCACAATCAGCTTCAAAGACTTCCCGTCAATAAACTGCTCCTCGTCGGGGCGAATCTTCTCAATGTAAAAAGGATCGCTTTGCATCTTCGCCAAGGTCTGTATATCGTGCATCCAAAACTCCGCAGCGCCATCGAATTCCAGAATCGGTGGTGCACCTTCGGCTCGTGCTAAGTCGCGGAACTCGGGGGTAGAGTGGTACTGTAATAACGTGAAATGTTAGAACTTTATAGCTGGCTTTGTAGGGATAGTAGGATTTGCTCAAGGGTAAGGAAGATTTGAGCATACCTGCGAGTATTTCACGACGCCAATGCGAAGATGAAAGGGTGTGACAAGTTCTGTGTGCTTGTTCGCCCAGTAATCGTTGAATTGCTCAGGCGTAATGCCTTCCTTGCGGTTGTAGAACAGTTTGACGTGGAACATGCGCTCCATGTTCATGGTGCATGCTGCTTTATAAGTCAAGCAGCAGCATTGTTCTGGGACGCTAATGTCTGTGTTGTTGGTGTACTGAGGAGCTGGCGGCGCTGCTCCGCACGACGCAGCAACGATGGGTAGGAAAGATAGAAGAGTGTTGAACTTCATGTTGATGTATGGGATGTGTTGTTCAAAGAGTATGTGACTGACTATTCAGAAGAGACCATGGCGGGTCTCTCCAACATTTATATTCTTAACAGCTCTATATAATGTTGCAAGGCTGATATATACTGGTCACAACTACTTCCAGCTTTTCGCTAATAACTACTAAGAATGGAACGCATATCAAGATCTAGATTACTTTGGAATTAGCATTGCTCGAAACTCGGAAATTCAGAGAATAGCGTACAAGGAATCTTCGCGAATGCGAGACTCTGCCCCATTTTAACATCTTGATGCGGAACTCCATCGTCTTTACTCGTACGTCAAGTGGGTGGATCATGAAATGAGCTTAGCATCAATACGACGAGCTTTTAGTATTTCTCTGTTTAATGTACTAATGCAGTAGTGGAATGGAAAATCTTGGGTGCTAGCAGTTGTAAGCTTAGGTGAGATGATGTGGGGGCAGGAACTTAGAAACACGTCTCGAATGCTTGTCATGAGGATTTGGACGATAATTTCGCCTATCTGGAACAATTTTCGGCCGAGCGAGTAGATAATTCTTGAGTGGCGGGGGCTGTCTGATGCTGTATGCTCTCGCACACATAATACGAAATTTATGCCGTCGGCTTGAATGTTAGCAAGACTTGTTGTCACCGAAGACCGAAGACCGAATCACGACGAAACTGCAACACTTGTTCCTAGCCGAAGATTATGAGCTATCGCTAACATCTGCGAAGGATTTGGCCCTCATATTTGCCAATCAAGATGCAGATACGTTGAGAGTTGGGTAATAGATTCAGACAACATTTATAGTTCTGACGAGGAAACTACTAATACAAGTATCAAAATCAACACTGGAGATCCTTGCATGACGGAAAAGAACGCAGGTGAATACAATTAAAATTAGATACATGTGATCAGGCGCCTGGAGAAATCACAGACCTTGATATCCGACCAATGATCGACTTACACTACTTGCTACATGTCTATTTCATCTTGTATACCAAAGGCGACGTCAAAATGAGAAAGACAAATAAAAGCTCTTGTGATAATCCTCCTGTGCTTTCTGCGCCTTTTCTCCAATCTCCTCGTCGCTCATGTTCAAACTCATTTCAACTTGCTCGATGAAAATTCGTACACGGTATCCATCGGCACGCACTGAACGAACCCGAGACAATGTATGAACTACCTCTTCTCTGAAACTGAACAGCGGCGCGATTCGACTCTTCTTGTAGATGCTGGGTACGCACCAGACTAACAACTCGGTCCTCTTGTGAAAGTTGGCTGCAAAGCTCAAACACCAACTCCACTTGGTCTCAATGACGACTTTTCTTATTCTATCAGCGGGAGTGACACCTGTATCCCATTCATCGCATTTAAGTATAGTCTGAAGAGAGGTGATGCAGTTGGGATTAAGATCGAAGTGAATCGTTCGGTAAAATGCTTCGACCATTTCCCTACGGGTGCGAGGGTTGCGTACAAAGCTTTTGTTCCATAAGTGCGATGATGAAAAGCGAAAGGGTATGCGAGGCGGTAGCAATGAGCCTCTTGTATCTCTGGGACAATAAATAGGCTGGCTGTGATGTGTTTCCCATGGCTTTTTCGATAGGCTTCCCATAGATGTCGATCCGTTTTGCTCTTCCCACACGACCTGAATGAGTGTCTCGAAGATCCGATCTCGGAGCTCGCGGGGTAAACGTTCCACGCTTGCAAAGAGATCTGAGGTTGCCGCGTTGTTGTATTCTGAGGTATAGTTTCGGAGGTGGTCTGCCGCGGTGATCCATGCGCTCCGACGCTCTGTAATATTAATCGAGTGCATCCCCCCATTTTGTCTTTTATGGGATACCCTCAGCGTCCTAGACGCCGTGTTCGTAGACACCAACAATGTGTCATCAAGAATTTCTCTAAAACGCCGAGTAGCATGACTGTACTTTTGTACGAGTGTGTAATAATGCTCTCGATCTCTTAGGCCCACTATTCCGTGATGGAGGAGTGTGGGTTCGAGACGGGTTCGAATATCGCTTTCGCCAGTGATCGTGAGTGTTCTCAGTGAAGTGATGGGCCCGAGTCGCCAGTCGTCGGTGTGGAATGCCATAGCAGTGAAGGTATGTCAAGTAGAGAGAGGAATCGATGGGTACTGAGGCAAGTGAATCGTTAGGTGGCCGACGTCTTATAGTACTTTCTCGAACCACTCTTGATAGAGGCCACAGAAAACTTGCTTGCTCACTCTAAGGCCTTGAATGGAAACAAAAACGACAGATTGATTTGCGGGCTCGTTGTTCTATAATAGGAGGCCGAGGAGTGGCCGGCGCAGCAATCAATATCTCATTTTGCTCCTGTGTGTAGAAACAGGAGATCTCTAAGTGGAATTATGGTTCAGCGTTAGGTCATTATTATGGGGAAGCTTACATAGCAAAGAATTGCAGCATTTGATAAAGCGTCGAATATTATTTGACGGAGCAACCATGTTGAGTCAATGGATGACGATCCTATCGGAAACCCAGAAAACCGCTCCACCAGTAGCTCTAGTCACTCCCATCCTTCCTAATTCCTTCCAGTCGCCCGGAGATCATTGTGCCGAATTAATTTCAGTGCTGGCCGTGGGTATGTTTTCTAATCACCTGCCTTATTGTGCCGTTGTTTATTTTGGACCATTTTGTGTTTCGGCATGAACAGTAGCCACAACTTAACACCATTCATGCCCAACACCGTCAACTATCTCATGACATCCTATATCAATAAGTTTGACATCCAATAACATCCTTCTGAGACCCATTGAACAATCTGTTCTTGGCCTGCTGATACACAGGCAGTGCAGCCCGTCTTATGAGGTTATACCATTGGACAAAACTAAGACCCTGTACCGCATGTCGATGTATCGTCTCCAACACACTCCTCTCACTACTATTGAGATCAAACTCCTCTTCGTCGATGAAGATTTGCACACGGTATCCCGCAGCGCGTACGTCTCGACAGAGAGGAATCACCACGATTAGCCAGTCCGTGAAATCTTTCAGGCCCTCATGTCCGAAATCGCGCGCTTTGCACCAGACTGTGAACAGGGTGTGCTTGCGAAACATGGTTGCGTGGCTCAGATGCCATGACCATGCTTCTCTAATTACGACCTTTGAGATGAAGTCGAGGGGTATGGTGTTTGTGCCCCATGTGTCGCGTGTTAATGAGGTGTGATTGGGATCCGGACAATAACAGTCTTCTTTGTACAGTTGGTAGTAAGTGGTTCGGTAAAAAGATTCTACCATCTCCTTGCGAAAGGAGTTGCTGATGAAGGGATTGGTAAATAGGTGAACCGGCGAGTGACGAGAAGGAACTGGGGCGTGTAAACATCTAGTCCGATACACGGGAATTGCATTGTTGGGATTCCATGGGTGGTGAAATTTCAAACTCCAAAGCACTCTAGTACGCTTCTGTTCGCAAACAGCTATTTGGTCTTTCCACATCTGCTGAAGGAGAGTCTCGTATATCTGGTCCCGAAGCTCGCGAGGTAAAACTAAGATGGCGGTTACGATCCGGGCTGTGTTTGTGTATGCTATTGGTTCTGTAATGTACTTATCGATCAGGTTAACGGTGGATATCCAAGCTGTGTAATTAGTAACGAATCGGGCTTTTTGATAAGCTCTTCTCAATATCCACATACGTCCGCAAGGCTTCTTTCCGCGGTATCTCGCACATGTTCGACAGTGATCGCGTAGGGTCGGATAATAGTTTCTTAGACGCTTAATGGCAATAATATGCTCATGGAGGAGTCTAAAGAAGAGTCAGTATCGTGATATAGTGACTGGCGGGGTCTACGTACGCATGGAACGACGTTTCCTCTTCGCGGTAGATTTTGTTGAAAATTCTAGTTGTCAAGATGAATTTAATGGTTGTTGGTTGAAATAGATCGTGGACCACGAATTGTTGTACGCAAGATGCAAATGCAGCTACAGCGACCACTGCGACAATCGAAATGACGATCTTCAAGTCAAGCGTGATAGGCATGATGAATGATGGCGATGCGGACCGATGGCAGTTGTCGCGAATCGAAATACTGGATTCTTATACATCCTTCGCCTATACTTAAGAATGACCCAAAGGGTAGAAGCCAGCTTGCCCTCTAGATGCTAATTTTTTCATTACCAAAAGAAGTTTCATGATTGGCCACTACGACAGAAGTGTTGAGAAGAATAGTCTGCAATCATTTCACGCCCCTTGGAGATCCATTAATCCTCATCGCCACGAGCACGCTTTTCAAGTCCCAAGTGCGCAGTTAGAGGTGGAAAAGTCGAATTCTGTGTATCCAAAAAAGTCTAGAATTTGGCATGAAGGTAAGGAGGAAGCAATATTCAATAATGTTGGCAGCTTGCTGAATTCCATGCGATCATTACGGGTAAATTTGCTGTGATTTTGTGTGTTCTAATTTTGTCTCCTCATATTCCAATATCGTGGATATAAGTCCGAATGCGGGTCCATGAGATCATTGTATGTGGTGAACCACAGTTGATTCGCATGCCATATCTCTCAAGTCGACCTCAAGGGATCGGATGACCACATTCCTGCATGAGCTTCATGCGGCAGCGGGAGTTCCAGTTCCAGCGTCAGCTACACCAGCTCCATTTTCCTGCGCTGCATTCTCATCCTTCTCCCAAGGCTTCCTCCTTCTGCCCTTGGCGGGTAATGAACCCTGACCTTCTAGAACGGTGTCTGGGATGTCCTTGATGCCCGGGATGGGCTGACCAGTGGTCACCAGCTCAACAATGTGGGCGAACGATGTGGGGTAGGGCGCTGGGGGCTCGTTTGGATTGGAGGCCGAAGGGGAGGGGAGAATGCCACCAGCGCTGGGTGTGTGTTGCGGGGCAGGGTTATTAGTGACGGCAGAGTCTATTGAAGCTGAAAAGGTGGAGGTGGAGGATGGAGGAGGTGAGACGAGGGCTGGACGGCCGCGCTGGAGGCGGTAGGCCTTGTAGGCATCGAAGTCGATGTTGGTGGAGTGTTTCCTAGAATAATAGAAGCATCGGGCGCGCAGCGTCAGTTCGGAAGTCTGCTCGGGCGAAGTGGTGCTGCCCAAGATGGCCTGCAGACCAGCCTGGAACTCGACATCGTCATCCCAATTGTAGGCCTCGAGAGCGTCGTAGACGTCGTCCAAGCCGTCGGGGCTCATGACGATCGGAACATAAGTGAGTTGAAGGAAAAGGTTAAAGTGAAGGCGGGGCGAGCAGCGATTGGGCCAAACGTCAGAAGGCCTTGGGCGAGGTCAAGCTCAGACCGAGGTGCGCCCGAAGCTCCCTTTTGGCGACTGGCGCACGTACCACTCCACAGTAGTTGTTCTTCTCTCTCTCCCACAAACCAAACCTAAGCTTCCCCTCCCCTCACACCAGCCTACTTCTCCCTCATCTCACCTTCCCGCTCCACGATCACCTCCTTCTTCATTCTCCCACAACCTCTTTTCCATCTCTTTCCTGCCTCCCTCATCTTCTAAAAGCATCTCTCTACCATCCTCATCATCCTCATCATTGCATTGAGCTCCACCACACATCATGTCCGAGTTCATAGGGTTAGTGGCCAGCCTCCTCCTTGTGCCGTCTGCTGAGCTAGCCTGGAGCTTTCGCTAACGTGCATGGTGTAGAGCTCGCATATCTCTCATCTCCAAGAGCGACATCCGGTATGTATGCATCCATTGACCCTCGCCGATCCATCGAGACGCGTCCTGAGACATTTCCAGATACGTTGGTACCCTCATTGAGATCAACTCTGAGCAGTCGACCGTCTCCCTTGACAATGTGCGATCCTTTGGTACTGAGGGTCGTCGCGGCGGCAAGGACGAGTACGCGCCTTCGGACGCCGTGTACGAGCAGATTGTCTTCCGCGGTAGCGACGTGAAGGATCTGCGCATCGAAGAGCCTCCCAAGGAAAAGCCTCCAATGCCGCAGGACCCAGCCATCATCGGGGTAAGTCTTTGTCCCCTCATTCATTTCTTTCGTCTATGGGTCCGGTGATGTAAAATTTCGGATGTAAACCTTTTAAACCACCGAGAGCGCAAAAACCGTGTGGATATTTTCCGTTGCCTTCCTTCTGAGTACCCTTAAACCCAACATTTTTGAGTCGCTGCAAGTCATTCATGATCAATCGCTAACACCAATGGCTCGACTCAACAGGTACAACAACAGAATCAAGGCCCATCCAACTCTCAGCCTAATCAACAATCGCCCGCCCCGGGCCCTCAGCAACAACAGCAACCGCCTCATCAACAAGCGCCCCCCAATTTTCCCCCACATGGTAACTTCCCGCCTGGGTATCCCCCTCCCTTCGGCCAGCCACCATATCAGAATAGATTTGGGCCTCAGGGTGGGTTCCCCGGCGGCCCTGGTCCTTTCGGGCCTGGTTTTGGGATGCCTCCCCCTGGCCCTTATGGTGCTCCTCCGGGCTGGTTTCCTCCAGGCCCTCCTGGTCAGGGATTCAATGGCCAGCCCGGATTCCCACCCAACATGCCGATGGGTCCTCCTGGCCAACACAACCAGAATCAGCCACCCACTGGACCCAAGGGCGCTGCTCCAATTGGTCCTCCTGGTAACAAGGAAGACCAGCGCAATGCTCAACCCAAGGTCGCAGAAGCAGATGGTGGTTCAGCCAAACCTGCAGAGTCCAAGCCAAATGCGAAAGCAACCGGCGTTACTCCTACACCAGCTGCGGCCAAGCAACCACCTCCACCTCCTGTGGACTCGAAACCTGATGTCGCAGCAGCGCTAGCCCCTCCCGCGCCAGCAGCTCAGTCTGTGGCAGCTCCCAAGGCCGCACCGACAGGTCCCAAGGGCGGTCGCATTGTGCCCGCTGTTCCTCTTGCTAGCCCGCATGTGCCTAAGAATGCTGCTTCGAGCCAGGCTCAAGCTTCGTCTTCGGCGCCTGCGCCTCAGGCGAACTATCAGAACGCGACTCAGGCAGCCACTGCTGCAGTCGCTGCTGCTATGGCGAAGCTTGAGGTTGCACAAGGACGGGCTCCTGCTCCTCAAACGCAGCCTATGAATGCCAACTTGCAAGATCGCATTAATGATATGCGAGATGACCAAGCTCGTCGGGGCACTAGTCATCGTGGTGGCCGTGGGGGGCGTGGCGGCAGGGGCGGACATCATGCACCCAAAATGGAGATCCCAGCTACCGATTTTGATTTCGAGTCTGCCAATGCTAAGTTCAGTAAAATGGACGCGGTCAAGGACGCGATCGCATCAGGGTCGCCCCTGGGCGACGGCAACGTACCTCCCAGCGTCGAGTCTGTGGCCAACGGAGATGAGGCTGAGGAACCCGAGGTTGACATCCCACCACCTGCTGCCTATAATAAGTCGAGCAGCTTTTTCGATAACATCTCGAATGAATTGAAGGATCGAGAAGACTCGGCCAACCGACGCGGACAGGAGTTCCGGACCGAGGAGCGACGCAAGAATATGGAGACGTTCGGCCAAGGCAGCGTTGATGGCTACCGAGGTGGTTTCCGCGGACGGGGCCGTGGCCGTGGTCGGGGACGCGGATTCAACAGCGGATTTCGTGGCGCCCCACGCGGCGGACGAGGACGCGGCGGAGGCGCACAGTTTGGTGAGCAAATCGCTTAATCACTCTTTGCTCTGGTCTCTGTCCGCATGATGATTGTTTGGTCGCTATTTTGTTAGCAAAGCGCAAGGGGCTAGACCCTATTGCATTGATTTCACGCATAACGATTTGGGCAACGGGTATAGGATGCGCAGGACTGGAATCTGTCCTACGGTCCAAACGTGTCGGCAGGCATTGGCGTACGTGAAGCGATTGATATGTACCATTATACTTGTTTTGTCTTTGGACTTTTTTTGGTCTGGTCTTTGGTTTTTCCCTACCTTACGAGGCGGAGGAATTATGGCGTTCACATGTACACCCGAAGCCGAAGGTCTTCTGGGATTTCTATCTTCTCTTTTCTTCTACGTTTGATATGACTGGTGGCACTGGTTCAAAGTCCACCTCGATAAAACAAGAGAAGAAAAATATCACCCGTGCAGTAGAGGAACCGAGGGCAACAACCTGGGTTGTGCTCTCAAATCACCTCCAACCATCATTTGCTCCCTTCTCGCTGATTTTTGTGATCATATTCTCATCCTCATCTCGTACTGGTTCTTGGTAGCTTCGTTGGTATTGACATATATCACTGGCATGCACCTTTGACGTTTTCTGGCTTGTATGTGTATAACATTATTCATCTCGCCATGCCATGCCATGCCATTTCATTCATATACATTCATATATACTCAGGTACAAAATATACATATATACGTTTCCCGCCCGAATCCTTTCAACACGATATTTTACAACTCAACTCTTCAAATGGTATCAATCAGTCAGTCATCAACACATTAACACATCAAGTTTCGCATCCCCCTCTCCCTTCCTTTTCTCAATCACCCAAGCAGCGCCGCATCCAACACCCTATCCCTAACAGCCCTAACCTCATCACTCTTCTCCCTCAACCTGCGCCTCGCCTCCAAAAACCTAGCTTTCCAGACCTCAGCATCATCGTCATCTCCGTCATCGCCATCGCCCTCGAACTCGAGATCACCATCGTCGTCGTCACGGACATGTCGCTGCGCAACCGTAGTAGCACCAGAAGAAGGAGATGGAACAGGAAGCCTAGAAAGCCCCCTAACGACCCATTCCCCCGTCAACCCGGACCCCATCGTCGCAGAAGTCGACGCGCCACCAAACGCGACAGAAAAGAAGATGTCGAAGGATTCTCTGATCCTGCTGCCTGCACCGCGCCTGGTCGTAGAAGACGAGTGTTTGTTGCTGTTGTGTGCTTCGGAGGCAATGTCCGCGTCCCGCGCCGCTTCGTTCGTCGCCGGACCATCGTCGTCGGAGTCGTCTTCGTCGAGCGGGGATTCGTAGCCGTCCCTGCCGACGCGGAACCGCACGCATTCGATTTTGCGGATCCCGCCTTTGGGGGCGTGCGGGCCTAGGAGACTTGCTAGACTTCCGTTGCTGTTGCCGTTTCCAGTTCCAGGTGCGTTATTGTTGTTGTTGTTCGAGATTCCGGATGCGAGACCCAGACATGACGCTAGGGTGAGGGCTAGAAGAGGGTGGGGCTGGGGTCTCGTATTTGTGTTTGGGGAGGGAGATGAGAGGACAGGATGTAAGATTGCGGCAGCAAGGTTCTTAGCTTCGTGGCCTCGGAGGCGCTTGCGGCGACCGGAAAGGGGCGCGCGGATTATTTCTGCTACGAGGGCGCGGTTGAGGGATTCAGGAGGTAGAGAGGGGAGGGATGTCTGATTTGAGGTCGCGATCGATGTCTTTTGAGATGAGGATTGCGGTGGTGCGGAGGTAGGGTGCGTTTGTGTCGTAGTTGCTGCTACTGAGGACGAGGAAGGAGACGCGTGGTATGGTGAGGGAGCGGAGGTGTGGGATCGAGATTGGGGTGTTTGCTGATTACGACGTAGAGACTGTTCGTGTCGTAGGAACGGCGAGTCGGTGCTGAGCGCGGTCGAAGAGGTCATAGCTGTGCTTGGTGTGTGGTCTTCTTCTCCGGTCACCAGGACGGTTGGGGTTACGAGGTGGACAGGGTTGCCAACGTTCTTTGGAACTTGTAGACTCAGACGGTGCGGACGCTGGGCGCTTTGTTGCAGCTGCGAGTCGATGGTCGTAGGGGAAACGGCAGAGGCTGGGGTGGGAGGGAAGCGGAAATGCTGCTGCTGTTGCTGCTGATCGACTGGAGGGTCGGATTGAGCACGCTCTACTATCGGTGTGAGGGTACCAGTCGTCCTGTTCATCTCTATGGGCGGGCCTTCCTTCGTTTTGGGGTTCGCGGGGAAGGTCACAAAGGGCCCGTCGCGGACTGAGCGATTGCTCGGAGGCCTGCCTCGCAGTTTCCCGGTGGATGAAGTATTATTGCTTGGCCAAGCTGAAGAGACGGCGGGACCATGTCGCCGCCTCGCCCGGGGTTTGGAACTGGAAGAAGGCGTGATTGCCGACTGCGGCTCATCGAAGTAATCCGGATGAGCAGATTGCGGAGTCACGGCAGAAAGAGGATGCGGTGTGGTGGGATTGTCCTGCGTGTTCACACGCCATCGAATGTGCTGGCCTGACATGGGCGAAGCCGAGTACGGCGTGAGATTTTTGTTTGTATTCATTCTCCCAGGGATTGGTGACGGGGTCATGGCGGACGAAGGGGTGATACCAGATGTTGCCCATGGGTCGTTTGCGCCTAAGAAGCCATCCATGTTGTCGGGGTGTGCGCTTGATGGATATGCTGATTGAGGCTGGAGCACATTGCCAAAGGGAATCGAGGTATCTAGCTGTGGGCGCTTTCGTGGCGGTTCCGCATCCACCATGTCTAGCTCATCGTCTCCTTCGTCGGCCTTTCTACGTCCACGCTTAGGTCGATATTTTGGATCGAGAGCTCTGATGGCCAGATCCTCCCCCAAAGGCACGCCATCACGGCCATCTTCTGGAAAAGGATCGTGAGGCGGCGGAATTTGTAGATAGTACTGGTGTTGTTTACCGAGCATGTACTCGAAGAAGGCATCAATGTGCATTGCGCGCATCCATCGCTGCATAGATCAGTATATGCTATGTTCACATAGCTAACCGTATAAGAAATTGGAAACAAAAGTATGAAAGGGAGACAGGAAGACGATCTTGGGGAGAAAGTAAAATGGATTTCATTATTGGCTGCTGGCAAGTTACGGCATTGCAAGTGTTGCTTCAACTTTTCTGGGACGTGGAACATGCAATTGGTAATGCTCCGGATGTTGGTGGCACTGGGTTGCGGATTGTGTTTGGTGGAGGTTTGAGGTTCGGGTTCCGAGTGTGGAGCCCAGGGCTGGCTGCAAGGTCATCTTGGGCTGCATATCCCGACCTTCCGACTTGTACATTTATGCAGGAGCAGTCGACACGGCCATTAGTGAGGAGATGCGCCATTTTGTTGAAAACAGCAGCAATGTGTTACCTTAGATGCAATGAACATTTCCGGGAATTACCGAGTAACATGGTGCAAATAGAAAAGAGAAAATTGAAAGAGAAAGAGAAAAGAAACGATGAACGAAAGCGCATCTTACCTTTAGTCTCACAGAATACTGCTGCACCTTCTGCGTGCTCTGCCCTTTATCAGTATCCGGCGGCTCGACACCAAGATCTAAAGCCAACTGTGTCCACGTCTTGATCTCCTTTGCATCAAACTTGCGGATCAATTCGAACAGGGACCAGGTGCTAAATGCCTTGCCGTCGCTCTTGGGTGGTGTTCGAAACTGGCGTATCAATTCCGTGGTATCTATCTCGGTCGCGAAGTTGGGATTGCAGTACAGTATGAAGGCAGCAAAGGCCTCGTCCAGAGTATCGTCGGAGACATGGCGCGATGGGGCAGGTCGGTCGGTGGGGACGTAGCTCGTGGCGGGTAGTTGCTTGGGCTGAGGCGGGGCGGGAGAGATGTTGGAGAAGCGTGGCGACGAGTTGGATGGGGTGGAGGGCGTCTGGGAAGCGCGGGACATGTCGGCATAGAAGGGGTGGGTGAGGTGGTGAGGGCTGTTGAGGGCAGCATTGTCGGGCTGGAGGAGGTGGCTGTTGCTGTTGTTGTTGCGGGAAGGGTTTGCGCTTTGGTCGATGGCCGGGTCCATGGGCGGTGCGGCGGCATGGCGAAAGGAGGAGAAGCTCGAGCCGGCGTGACTCGAGTGCTCAAAGTGAGGATGGGCGTGCGCATGCGATGTCAAGTGGATGTTGTGATCAGACTCTGGGCCTGCGCCGAAGTCGACCTGCATCGTGCCAGCCAGCCCAAGTAGCTCTCAATTCAATATAATGTGGTCCGCTCAGCGCCCCATATGGCAGGCCCGTGGTGTCTGGGTATTCGATGATATGTTGCCGGCTGTGCTCTACATTCATGCGCCTGCCTCACGGCTGCTCCCCACGGTATCTCGAGTCGTTGCAGACAAAGCGCTGGCTGCGATATGCGCGCCGCTTCTATTATATCATGTGGATAGCTGTCCTGCAGGTAGACAGGCAGACAGGCAGCGCGATGCTGGCGGGCGCCCGATAAACAAATCGCGACCAGCGCGAGTAACTGCCGGAACAAATGGTAACGGTGCGATGCGATGACTGGGCGCGCGCCGAGCTGGCCGGTGATGGCTCGACCACGGTAGTAGTGGGTGGTTTTGGCGGAGATGGGATGCGACAGAGTTCAAAAGGCGTGATAATTTGCGGTCCGAGGCTTGGGGTGTTTTGCTGCTTCGGGGGCATTTTGCGCACTTATTGTAGGCTAAGTAGGTTCGCCCCCTCTGCGCTGCGCTGCGCTGCGCTGCGCTGCGCTGTGCCTGCGTCTATAAATAGCGCCCACGCTTCTGCCAGCTGGTCCTTCGTTGCATCGACCTGTCTCTGCATGCTTTGAATGGCTGGCTGATGCCCAAATCCCCGTACCCTGAAACAGCCCCCCTCGCTTGCAGACATGTCGACCTGTTGACCTGTCGTCCCCTGCACCACGTCACGACGTCACAAGACAATCTGAAAATTGCAACGGATAACCCTTTGTTGTTGGTTGTATACTCGGCATTTCCTGTCTACCTGAGAGCTTCTCTTCCTAGTCAAGCATTGCTTTGCAACACTCTCTATACCAATATCCTTTCTACCTTATCACCATCTTATCGTCAAGTATTCCCCCAACTTACCTACCCTTATAAAGATGAATATCTACTTCGAGGTGAATCTGATGACAAGCCAGGCCATCCCAGCAACGACTTGTTCAGACCTTAAACCATTGAAGATACAACATCGTCCAACATGGCCGAGCATATTAAGCCTAGTCTGACTTGAGTGTAGACGTAGCCAGAGTGGTAGGCTGGAAATCCGCAGATGTGGCCGCGTTCGTGGTGAAGATTGTAGGCTCGGGGGCCTCCACGGCGTTTGAATCGCATCCTCCAGGAATCAAACACACAATCGCATCATCATCATCATTCACCTCTCGATCGTAAATCTCAATGGAGGGAGGCAAATTTGAAGGATAGCGCGGGCGTCCCGAGATGATAGTATGAGGCGGGAGAACCTTGACACGCGCTTCATTGTCACCGAGAGTGTCAGAGGGCGCCGCCGGGTGGACAAGAGAAACAACGGCCGGTCCATAACGACCAAGAGCCACGCCAGGATCCTTGAATGCCATGCCGTTGGAAGCCCTGGAGGGCGCTGTAGGAGCAGCGAGCGAAGTGGCAGCCAGACCGTGGCTAATAGTCAAGCCAGGGACCAGCGAAAGCGGGATCTCGGAGAACTTGGGGATATCGGATGGGTTCGCCTATACGATCGAATCAGCGTCTGCAAGTCTGCGAACAGCGAGAGTGGGGACACTCGGGAAGGTTATGGGACGTACAGGAGGAGCGAGCGAGAAGGTGCTCGTGGGGCCTTCTGCGGCGATGGCCATGGCAGAGGTCTGACGGCCGACGAGGGCGCCTGCGAGGAGGAAGAGGAGCTTCATAGTGGATGGCTCACGAAGTAAAGCTTGTAGGGTGTTGGCTGGTGTTTTACGGCAAAGAGATATCGATAGGTTATGGTTGAGGTTGAGTCGCAGGTCAAGAGAGGGCTGGTTGAGGGGTGAGTAGAGGATGAGGGGTGGGATTTTCTATACAACGAGACAAACGGGACGCGGTCGCACAGAGCCAGCGTTTGTGATTCAATGAGATCATTGGTCGGTTGGAAGTTGCGTGTGAAGGGGGACTGTCTAAGTAAGGCAGGGACCAACAACTCCTTTCTAGTTTGTAAATTAGTACATGCGCACACACCTACCTGTGTTTCCATTCACACATGTAGGTAGGCTATCTATAGATCGAGTTGGCTGGATAGTCATGGCCAAGTAGAAAGTGAACAACGCAAAAGAGATACGTTGGGTGGAACCAACAAGCAGATCCCACGTCCTTGAAACTCATCTATATTGTGTTCTTCAAACTATCTAGCCCCCATTTGCACTCATGTCTACATTTTAGATCGACCATCTATGCGCCCTTTCTGTTGATATCCTGCACAAATCCGTCTAATGCATTCCGGAATTGCTGGCTGTACTCAATCGCAATCTGCTGTTGATACCAGCTATGCCTCGCGTTATGATCCGCCACAAGGTTATGCGCCAGCTCATGACAGAAAGTCAAGAACCAACTATCAAGTGCTCGCAGTCTTCCTTCCACCGTACCGAACCCGCCGACGTGCAGTCCCATGAACCACGCCAGATTGAAGAACAAAGTCCCGCTCAAATTGAAAGCTACCGTATTCGATTTCTTGTCGAGGAAGATGTTGACGGCCGCTGGGTTAACGCCAAAGATTGATGAGAGTCCGAAAATTAGCGGCAGGAAAGCAGAAAGCTCCGAGTGGATTTCATTTGGCATCTCGGTTTGCTCCGGACCGAAGTAAACGTCAACATGCCTGCCGTTGTACGGGATAGTGAAGGCCTTGTGCAGATTTTCCCACTGTTCCCCGTTGCAGTAGCCGCCCCTATCAAGCTCAGTGGGATCTTGGTGGTGTTTGGTGTTGATAGCATCCATACCGGTTGGCCTGCATTCCTTGATCGCATTTTGGATATTGGATCTTGTGGCTTGGATATCACGATTGATCTGAGGTCCATCGGTCCTGGTAGAGGGTACCTGTGGCTTCTTGAAGAGCGTTTTTGTGAAGTTGCTTAGGAAATTGTTGTTTTCGTTGCGCCGAGGACTTTTCTCCGCTAGCTCCATATCGTCTGAACCGCCAAAAGCACCAGGCATTTTACGAGTCTTCTCCGGTGTCGGTCCTGGAGTAGGCACATCGGCATCAGGTTCTTTCTCCGCTTTCTCGTCTGGATAAGCATTGCCTGATTTGACCTGTTCGGCAGCACGCTGCTGCTCTTCGTACTCACGCTCCAATTCCAGTTGTTTGGCAAGTCGGGCTTCATATTCCTTCTTTCGCAAGATCCGCTCGACGTTGATGCCTTTCTCTTGCAGGCGACGAAGAGATTCAGTCAATATGCGCTCTAAAGCTATCGCATCGTTCTGCTTTGGACGACGGATAAGTAGCCTGATGAGCTCGCTACTCACTTCAAACAAGTCGTATTTAGGCGTAACGTACAGCACAGTGCCACTGCTTGAGCTGCGCTTGATGACTGCTGACCGCCTAGACGATGTCGCTACGTTCCGATCCGCAAGAGAAAAGCGAATAGTTATGTCTGACACACATTGCACGGTCAAGTTTGTATTGAGCCACTTGGCATCGTATCGTATACTCTTTTTTGATGCATCACGCTCGTATTCGTGAAGGAAAAGCCGTGCGCGCTCGAGGATATTCCTTTTCAACTGCTGAGCTAGTGTCTGATCACGTGCAGCTACACCCACGCGCACATCGTGCTTCACTAGGGTAGATAACTTCTGTACGCCGAAGCGAGCATAGAAATCCTCCAGTGACTCTTCTTGGGGGGCGGCGATGATGTATTCGCGGAATCGGATGAAAACACTGACATCATCGATGATTACGAGTTCGTTTGGTTTGTTCAGAGACCATTCACGGTGCATACCCGGCTCGTCCAAGTCATCTAGACTGTCCTCTTCAACTGAGATAAGCTGTTTGGTTTCTTCTTTGATATCTCGGTACCCTAGAAGTGCGGTCGAGGACATCAATTGTTTCGCGAGATCTTTGTCCTTCCAGAGATTGTCCGCATGCTCTGCAAGCTTTCTGAGCAAATCAAGGTAACGATCCTGACCGATGGTATTCAAAAAGCGGGCAGGGTTGCGACAAAGGAGACTGGCAAGATCGTGACTGCTGGGCTCATGCTTTGCGCCTACCTTGAGAAGGAACGCAGTAGCCTCCGCGCCGTACTGGACGTAATCTAGAATCCCCTTGTATTCTTGGTCTCGGCCAACGAAAACAGTCTCGGGTGGGTCGTAATGGTGGACCCTCATTTCCGTTTTGCCCGACTGCGTTCGCGTACGGTCTTCGAATCCACTGCAACTTGGATCCAGATAGAACTTGCGGAAAATAGGTACGATGTTTGTAGACATCAAACTTCTCAGGAGATCCCTGTGTTGATCCAATTCCGCCGCCCTATTCGCTAGGTAGGAAAATTGCATCTCAGCGTCTACCTTCGTTCGTGGAGGCGACTTGACGACCCTCTGGATGCAGTCTGTGATGTCCGGATCGCGCTGAACTCCAAGCTTGTCTGCGTATGGTCTTAGATCAGCACGTAGAACCGCAAAGCCTAAGCAGGCAGCTTGCTCATTTGTGAAGCACTGAAAGGGCCCGACTAGAGCTGGAAACTTCGCTTGTTCGGTGGGCAGAATGGGTATTGTGAGGGATGACAGCTGCTTAGCTTCTGATCCGTAGCCATTTTTGAAGTAGTTTTGCAGAAAGTACCTGATCGTCAGATTGTACAATTGTAAATCATTCGATTGTCCGGCACGGTGAAGAATGCTGATAATACTGTTCGTATCAGGCCACTGCTTCAAGCCCAAGGAAATTAGAAGGTCTCCTTCTCGTGTATTGGGCTTGAACTCGAATGGAAGCTTCACTTGACACAAGCCCATGGTCAATATAGTTTGCTCTGGGGCATATAGGTCGGAAGCTTTGAACAATTGACCTTGCTTTACCGAAGACCCCTCAGCGGGAAGGAATGCGGTTTCTCGGAGACGATTTAGATCCCTCTGAGGCAGTTCGTCTTTGACAGAAGCAAAATATCGAATGAGATCAGCATGATTCCAAGGATGTTTTTCTTGAGAAGACGAGGCATCCTGGTTTCGCATGCGGTCGAAAACCATGGCTAGATCCACTGTCTTTCTCACTCCCAACGCCAGCAAAAACTTCTCCTTCCAGCCAAAGTGGTTTACTGTGGGCAGGTCCTCGAACAGTTTGACGGAAGGGAAGTATGATTCTGCCGGCCTTCGCATTCCCACCTTTGTCGGCATGATAGGATGGCTTCCAAGAATATTGACAATGGCTTCCTTGGAGGAACCATCAAGCTGATCCCATACTTTGGTGGTCAACACCAGCACTTGTGTCGCGAGCTTCTCTGATGACGAGAACTCCTGGAGTTGAGGAGAAGTCGTCATGAATCGGAGCCATTCCACCATAGACAGTTCTCTCCAGCTGAACATTTGCAACTGCTTGACCGGTATTGCTTTAGAAAACTGGAAGGGTATCGTGTCAAACGGCACCGGCAGTGTCGGTGTGATCCTTGCTGCATTGATATATGTCCTTACGTCGCCAAGGGGTATCATCCTTCCAGACTCGCTCGTATTGTCGGAATTAATTTTGACTATGGTCACGCTGAACAAACTACGTGCGCCAAGTGTATCGATCTCATTGCTTTCTAGCTTGGAGCCACACCACTTGAGAAACTCTGAAAGCTCTTCCTCATTAAGAGCGCGTCGTTCAAGGCCATTCCGAATATCAGTCATGGTAAGCTCTGATATGAAGCCTCTTTCATGCAGATTTAACATGAAGGTATAGGCTCTTCTTGCAAGGTCTTGCGGCATCATTGGAACCTCGCCTAAGAAGCTCAAAGTTTCTGCAGGCATTCGTACATCCTTACTTGCCATGACGCCTTTTGAGGAGAGAACGTCTATAGAGCGTTCGTTTGAGCAATTCCAAAATGCATCAGTCATAGTATCTCCGAGTAAAGTGGAAGGATGCGAGGCATTTGGTGTGAATTGGGCAAAGATGTATGCCGCCTTTTCCACCATGGCTTCCATCGTGTCTTGGTTATATCGCTCTCGCAGTTCAGCGAAATCCAGCATATATGTAATGCGGCATGCCAGACCTGCAACACGCAACAACTCCTTATTCCAGTCAGATATATTACGGGCATGAAGATCAATGTTCTCGCGCTCAACGGTAGGTATAAGCGATGGTGCGGAGACATGAGCGAGAAATCCTGTAGTTTGAGCAGTTGGAAATCCGATGAAAATGCGACCAGCTTTGGTGGGAAGCACCTCCGCGAAGATTCGTGTCGCCAAATCAGCTGTCGTCCCGGAACTTGTTGAGAGGGACGTGGATTGATCGTGGTAGGGAGAGGTGAGGATAGCGACTCTTGTTTTCTTTGGAGGCGGTTTCTTCGTGGCTCGTTCAATCTCGGCTGCAAATCTTGTGGATACACGTGTAGTGACTTCTACTGTACACACTTGGAGGAATATAACGCCCTTTGAGTCCCCAGATAAGTCGTCGTTATCATCGGCTGGAACGTGAGCCTGAATAGGCAGAGGTTTGCTGGGTTTGCTAGCAACAGAGGTTGTAGACCCAGAGAATTTTGAGAAAAAGCTTTTGAGGGTGGTTCCAGCGTTCCTGACCTCTGCTTGGACAAGCTCAGCAGCTCGCTTAGGTGGGTTCTGGGCTGTAGCTATGACATTACTCCAGACAGCATCTATCTGCGAATGTTGGCGCGTCACGTTTGCCACCCTCATAAAGCCCCCATGCGTGTCTATACGGAGGCCTTGCGGCACTCGCACTTCCACTGCAGGCGATGTCTTCTTAGCGAAAGATATAATTTTGTGGTTGTCTAAACGTAATTCAATGGACTGAAGGCCGACGAAGGTCAAACTGGTGGCAAGAAATTGGCAGAGTGTTGGTAGATTGGGTATCTTGGAAGGACTGTACGAAGGCGATGCAGGGTCTGCTTGGCGATAGTCAAGAGAAAAGGTGGTATCAGAGGTACGATGCTCCTGTGGAACATTCGCAACCTTAGTAGAAAGCGTATTGCCTTTCCAATAAAAGGCCATAGTCCGATCGCCAGACACCACGAACGGCTCATCACAGTCGGCGAAGACGCTGTAAAATCCAACACCAAATGCCCCGATTTTAGTCTCGTCGGGATTTCCATCGGCGATGCTTTTCAGTCGACTCCAGTCAGCAGCCGTAAAGGGTTGGCCATTGTTGGTCACAACAAGTCGTTTGAGAGTGTGATGTTGGATTATATGCTTGAGCAATACTGATGGATCCGAGCTCTGAGGTGTAGGTGTGTTTAGAGAAGGATCCGTCTCGTATTTGATCACAACGCCAGTAGCACCCGCATCGGAAGCATTTTGAATGAGTTCTCGCAGTGTGGTATGTTCTGTAGAATATCGAGCAAGCACCTTGTCAATAAGAGCTCTCGTGTTGACCGTGACCTCGCTGTCTTGGCCGTCAGCCATGGTCTGGTTGCGCAGCCGCGCAAAATCAACGGATGCCATGATGAACGTAGTGTGCGGAAGATGAAAGGAGGTGTCAGAGAGTGGTGGCTAAATAAATAATGAGCAAACCAATTAGTTAGCTCGAAGTATCTAGAAGATGAGGTACATGTCTCATGCGAGCATAAGTGAGCTTGTGGATATGTATAGGACGTTTGCCAATCCAGCTGACTGCTGTCTATGGGAGCCTTGTGGGTGGCAAATCCGAGAAAAGCGACAGAACACCAGAGACCGATGTGTCTCAGAGTCTTCAACGCCCACGCTATGCTGGATAAACACAATACTAACAAGACTTTCAGATGGATGGAATGAGGTGAAGGAAGTGAGATGCAAAGTGTCGGTTTGATTCGGAACGTAGTTGAAGCATGCTCGCCCAATGTTCCTAGTGTCAAGGGTTTCGGCTAGCACCCAAGATGGCCTAGCGCGCCAAGTCACGTCCGTCCCCGTGGATTATTCCCAAGCCCCAGATTTCTCGCAGCGGAGCCTATTCACAAGTCACTATTATTCACTGCGCCATGTATTCAGCGGTGTTGCTTGCTTTCAGATTGTAAAAGTGTTTCTCGCAACATCTCCGATGTGGTTATGGCGCTCGATCCTCTCTCCCCAATTGCGCCTGCGCGCATACGGGCACTTCTCCTCCCCATCGGCCGCATCAAGCGCTCGCGGTTCCTAACCTTTGTTGATTCTTTACAGTCGCATTCACTCATTAGACTCGGAGATGTCAGTCCTGACCCCCGGCCAGATAGGAGTATGGACCCATCAAGGAATCATCCGATGACGCATTTGCTGATCCTGGCTTTGTGCAGACATGTTCTCCCCCTTAGCATTTCCCAGCGGAACCCTTCTATATGACTTGTCAACATCACTGCCGCCACCATCCCATCTTACTCTGTCCCCTTTTGAACAGTTTCGGGAACCATTGTTGGTTATTGGAATTGCGGATGCCTCTGAATATCCTTGGCTCTTCCGGTCACGTGCAGATGATGATTCCTCCGCCACAGAGACAGACGAACCGGAAGCAGAAGATGGGGACCAGCTCCAGTCTGCCATTGAAGATTTGCGCGAGAGCCATCCGAGAGCATCGCTCTGCAGCATCATGATGTTTGACTCTCCCACTCAAAGCCAGCATCCACAGCTCCCACCAGAGACTCTATTTGTGCCACCTGCGGGGCAGCTCAAACCAACCACTATCAAAACGCTCATGTGCGATCTCACATCCACTCTTCTCGCAGAGCTGACGACTTTGGCAAAATCAATACAAGCGCTGCCGATCATCCCCTCGCCAGCCTCCCAAGCCGGCCTGGCAGACCATGTACCTGTCTGGGCTGGAACTGACCCACACAATTCACGGCGCAATTCTCAGATTCCTGCAGGCAGTCGACCAGAATCTCCGTTGCCTGGTTCCCAAAAAGATCTACATCGCATGTCAATGCCAGTGTTGCCTTCAAGTTCTGGTGCATCTTCGACTCCGGGTGACTCCGGGGCTACATCACCTACCGGAGGGGGCGCGCGCACACCCCCTACGACCTTCGACGAAATATCAGGCATAAACGCCGCTAATGCTTTGCATCGGACTAGCAGCAACCCCCAAAAACCTAATGGGGCGAGAGACTCAAGTGCCGATAGAGTGTCTATTCACGGATTTGGCTCGGGCGGCGTAGGTGAGCGTGCACGTAACAAAGCTCGTGGTCGAGTGAGTGTCATCGTTGGCACGCTATTCATGTCGGCGGGGCAGTGGAATGAGGCGATAATCGAACTTTCCGAAGGAGCCATGCGTGCGCGGCAGTTAAGTGATCATCTGTGGCATGCAAAAGCTTTGGAACATATACTGGTGTGTTTGCTGCTATATGCATGGGCGGGCTTTGACTTCCAGGTGAGTGTACCTACCTATTACATCTACATGCGAGTAACAGGTATCAGATCCCCCCCATCTGCTATCCAACATATGACAAGTCAACGAGCGTTAAATCTCCACCATTCACCCCGTCCGCAGCAGACGTGAGCGCACAGCAGCCCCGAAGCTCACAGCATGAAGCGGCCCTCGAGCGACTTAATGCTGTTATTCCTGACTTGGTCAATATGATATTAAATATCTATACCCGCGCCGCGAATTTCACCGGCGAAAATCTTCCTCCATTGGCTTTCTCGGAGTGTGTTATTCGCTTCTCGAAACTTCTAGCGGCTATGAATCTCTCTGCTGGCTATATTGACGCAGATGCTTTGAACCATCTCGTTCGAAATACGCCTTTTCGTGAGAAGCCAAGGCTGTCTGTTCCGAGATTGAGCGTCAATCCGACCAGAAACGATATAGCAAACATACTCTTTCGAGCGCTGCCGGGTCCTTTAGAGACGTCAGGCATGAGTGCCACGGATCGGGTGGTCATTCTCGCTGGTGTTGCTTCTGTGCTTTCAGCACTTGAGTTACAGAGGAAAAAAGCTGTGGTCATGAAAGAATTCATCACGTCGTTGATTCCTGGCTTAGTACAAGCACGTAAGGTGGGTGCTGCAGAAATGGGCGTTCATCCAGCAGCTGGCTTGGCAGCTTTGAATATGACTAGTAATAGCGCATCTGGTGCCGGTGCACTCGCTTTGGGCGAAGGGGAAGTTGAGAATGGGATCGATGAATTTCTCGGGTTGCTGGGTCGCATCTATGGCATACCGGATACCAGAAACAACATTTGGTCGCAGTCGCTAACTGCAACTGCAAATGGAGATGGCGCCCCTCTTCCAAGCAGTGCAAGTCAAGGCGTAGTCGAAGAGATCCTTCGAATTTCTTCCCTCCGATCCTTTGGCAGTGTTGGCCTAAAACTGGATATTTTGCGTATGTGCATCAACTTTTGCGAAGCACTTCCAGACTTCAATGGGGTGATCCACTTCACAGCTCTTTTACTCCGGTTGGCCGGTCCAGGGACAGCGCCGAAACCCAACAGTACTGATGTGTTCGTGTCTCTGCCGCGCGAAGAACAAGTACGATTGTTCGGAAACATCTCCCGAACAGTAGCTACCGCCAGAAAGCTTGGTCTGCAGCATGTTGACACCGAGTATTGGGATGACTTCTTGGTCCGAGGGCTTTTCATCATGGAAGAGCCGGTCTCTCTTCGCTTGACCCAACACCGGCCCGCTGAGTTGAAGTCGGCGCAAGGATCTAAAGAAGGGCCCTTCATTCATAATCCATGGAACAAACAAGCCCAGTCTAATGAGGTTGATACAACCCTGGTCTCGAATGAAGAGTATCGGTTCGTAATTGCTTTGCAGAATCCCTATGATTTCGAGCTGGAAGTCGATTCTTTGAAAATAGCCGCGGAGGGTGTTGAATTCGTTGCGCATGAAGAGAAATTCCTCCTCGGGCCATATAGAACACAAAAGTTCCCGATCGGCGGTGTGGCTCGTTCCTCTGGAACTCTGGAAATCATTGGTTGTTATATCAAGGTCACTGGATGCAAAGAGCGCTTGTTCCCCATTTTCCCCGACCCTTGGAAACCTGGTCGGGAACTCAAGATGAAAAGGATTGGCTTGAAAGCTTGTCTCGGGGCACCCATGTCACGGCCTGCTTCTGCTATAGGCGATATTCCCAGTATCGCGAAAGTCTCAGCTCCCAAACCCGATTCACTAACCTTCAATGTTATACCAGATCAGCCTGTGATGGTTATTACTGATGTTTCATTACCACAAGGGGCCTTGATGGTTCTAGATGGGGAGAAGAAACGGTTCAGCATCACCGTCAAGAACACATCGGAAACGACTACCGTAGATTTCGTCCACATCTCTTTCCAGGACACAGCGACTGCCGCGATACAAGCCGCAATCTCGAACCGAGACCTGCCAGCCGTTGAATTACATGAGCTCGAGACTCAGCTTGCGTACTATCCATCATTAAGGTGGTGCAAAGAACAGGATGAAGAGACCATAGTGATAAAACCGGGTGAGACGTCTAGTTTTGACGTGGAAGTCGTGGGTCGAACACAGCTTACGGAAGCTCTCATCCAGCTTGATTACGCCAATTTAGGAAAGCGTCGCTCAGATGTCAAAGATAGATTCTTCACACGACAAGTTTCAGTCCCGATATCCATCACCGTCAACGCAAGCGTTCAACTCCAACGTTCGGATATTGTTTCTCTACCCGGGGATTTTGCATGGTCCAACAAGGGACATTCTCCGGCTCTCACCGCTACTTCACCGTTAGCAGCTGATGTAACATCCTCTATTCTGGCTAACAAGCACGATACGCATTTCCAGAATTTCCTGCAGCATTCACAATTGCATGGGAACCTCGAGGAATACTGCATGCTTTTACTTGACTTGCGCAATTCATGGCCCAATCCCCTCCATATCTCGTTACAAATTCGGGCAGCCTCACTCGACGACGAAGAAAGTCAAGACCCATGGAAAAAGGCATACACAATTTCTGAAACCATACAACCGGGACACATTAACAGGGTTGTTCTTATCCTTCCGAAAATTTACCTCGAAAATCCATATGCTTCCGTACCTTCACTCAACCCCGCCAACCAACGTCAATTCGTTGTTAGTACAAGTAAAATATCACCCGAGGTTGAGCGAAGCAATCGAGAAGCGTTCTGGTACCGCCACGAATTACTCAAGTTGATCAGGGGGACATGGCGGGAAGAGGGTCAAGGCCGTCACGGCGATCTAGACGTTCGCCCCATGCGCTTCTCGCCTCGCATGGTCGAGGCTGTCAAGTTAGACGACCTAATGTTCGAAACAACAGTCGTTCCTGATACGCCCCAGGATGATAACAACGGCATCGTTCAACGACTTAGTCGGTCCAAATTCCAAGTTCAATCCGACGAATTTCTCTCACTCCAAGTCAAAGTTCACAACCGAAGCTCGAAACCGATCTTACCGCTCCTACGGCTCCAACCACACCTCGCTAGTCTTCCTCATAGCGTTGCCCTCGATCTTGACAAACGTTTCTCATGGAGTGGAGTGCTGCAACGGCGTCTACCACCTATCCAGCCGGGTCAGGCGGTTGAGGCAGAACTTGGTATCACCGCGCTCAGCAGCGGCGTCTTCGAAGTGGGCGTCACGGTTGATGAGATTGAGCTGCCCGCCGATCAAAATGCAGTACATGGCAATCGACCTAGAAGTGGCACGGGATTATTGCAAGCTCAAATTTTGGGAGAACCCAAACTGCGCTCGTGGCACTCTAAAGAACCGTGTACGATTGTGGCAAAGAGAAAAGTCGATGGGGTATGATGACGATGTATATCGCAGTTGAAGTTGTGTTGTATAATGATGCATAGCTGTGTGTTTCCGGGTTGGTATATACCTAGGTAGACTCAACGCGTATTGTGTACGTTTTGTCGTTGATTTATTGCCTGTGAACCAGATTTCTTGATGACCTCTGCATGACGCTCAATTATACATTGCACACAGTCGAGTCTACGGTACAAAAGAAAGCCTTCCAACAAATCACCGGCGTGCGCGGTTGTAAGGATACACGTCACACTGCTATCAAACCCTCCGGGGAAAAGACAGCTCGTAGAAACTCATGTAGGAAAAGCCTAACGAAATAGTTGATTTATTATACGTAAGACACAAGCTAAGACTCGCAATGAAGAGCTCCTGGGGGAGCGCACCCTCATTGCAAGTGTCCCGTGCTTGTAGAGTATCAATGATGAAGCTTCTATGTGTACATACGTGCAATAGAATTTACCTCACCCCATTCCGTGCACGATATGGAGATTGGAATAGAAATACAAGAATTTTGGGGGAGTGCTTTACCAGCGATCCGAATTTCCTAAGTCTGGATAAAAGAGTTCCGGATCATCCGACAAGAGTTCAAAAAAACGCCAATAGACTCAATACATGAGCTCCCCCTCTGGTAAGTGGTCGATCAAATATGATTGCGTTACGAAATTCCAATCTCCAGTGTTGAGTGTCCGTTGTACATAAAGCAGCCAAAGGCCATCCGGGTGTGCCACGTCTGCGTCAGAAGCGGAGCGTGGTACATAACTGAGATACTCCAAGTGGGATCCATGCTGTTCGACCTCTTCCAATAATTGATGCGTGAGGTACCCGACATCTACATCTCGGGGTCTACAATCGTCCAAATTGTTCAACACGCGCAAGCCACGAAGCCTCTTGTGCGTTGCGATAGCAGTCTTGAGAAATTTCAAGGGTAAGCAAAAGTACAAAGTTAGGGGCAACGTAATTTACTCACCAAAACCTTCTTGAGCGAAGAGTCTGGACCGATTATCAAGTCAAGATCTCTCGTAGAAATGGAATGCATGGGCGGGAGTCCTGCTAGGGTCGAGGAAAACGGCTTGTAAAAACTGCTTGCAGTATACGGCCTGCGCCGAGGCCCCCGTGTTTCAGCATTTGTATTTTGGTGATTTGATTCCGCCATCGGCAGGTAGACAGCTATTGTCTCGAGGAGCTGACAGGTGTTAACTACTGAACACAGCGCCTCGGGTTCAGCATTAACATGGAGATGTCGCAAGGAGGTGGAATGATGCTCAATGCCAGATTTGTGAATTAACCCAGACTTTACCGTGTCGATTACCAACTTATGTAGCCCTTGAAAAGACTGAAGTAAGCCTTGGAACTCATTCAACAAATCCTGTAAATTTTCATCGGGCAGCACGATGACTTCGAAGTGTTTCAAACGAGCACTGTCGCCCAAGGAGTGGAGAGACGCCGCCAAACGTGCCAAAATGCCACCCCTGAGGGAAATATAATCCAATTTCAGTTGGACCAATTTGCTCAAATGGAAGTGGCTGTCCAAAGAAAACGACTCATTCTCCCGCAGCCTAAAATGTGCCAATTGCAGAAACTTGACGTCGGCTACCCAAGCCGTCTGACCTGTGCGACTGAAGAAGCTTTGAGGATCATGGTTGAACATGAAATCTATCGATAAATTTCGAAACTTTTGGAGGGCTTGAATAATAGGGCGTGTGTCGGGTTGAATAAATTGACTCTCAGCAATGAGCCCCATGTGGAAATCAGTCAGCAGCGTGCATGAAGATAGCAGCCTGCCAATTTCCTCGAGATTCACCGGAGTGTTTGATTCGGGAACCTTGATGCTGGCAATACACAGTAGGCGCAAGTTCTGCTGTCGCTCGAGAAGAAGTTTGAGTATGTCATGTTCGAGAGATTGCCTGCTGCGAAAAGATTCGAGTTGGTTCTGGGGGATGGCAGAGACAAGAGCTTCCTGGTTGGTATGCAGCGTCTGTGAGGTCTGGAAAGTATCAGCATAAATCTAGTCAACGATCATTTTACAATCAGCCATGCTTCGATGGGTTGTCGAGTTGAACACGCGCCACGCTATGTTGTACTTCGCGTTATCACCTTGAATCCATATACGTACCCAAAGACATGTGTGATCAATGACCAAATGGCGAACGGTTTCCAACCCTTCACGACCTCCCAATTTTGTAAGTGTATCCTCGAAAGACTTTTCGGCGCGCGCATAGAAGTGTAAGGGAAAGACACCGGCTAAAACATCGTGCCAATCCCGACAGACTAGTCTCACGGTGTTCTGGTCTCCGGGCCTGCGGATCTGCGACGACACTCAGCTTACTGACTCAGTTGAAAAAGATACTATTACATACAAAGGAAAAAACTTGCTGCTTAAGTTCCAGCGGCAATCTAGTAAAGATTGAGCGATCTGCTGACTCGAGCTTTGGTGCGGCAGGAGATCTGGAAACACTTGTCGGGTCCATCTCGTCTCTCTATACGAGAATATCTAGACACAGCTATTAGCGTATGACTGATTTTACTGACATATGATGAGCAAACCTACCTGAGGGGGTTTCTTTCTGTAATTCGTGCCGCCTGCTGCCGCGACGTTGATAGGTGCCTGGACTTTTACTCCAGCTAGTGATGCTGTGTGCTTTGCTGTGTAAGAGAAAGAGAGGAGAGTGAAAAATGGGAAGAGGATATATTTTTAATAGAGGAAGGTGCTCCCCCCGCACTTACCAATACCTACAAGATGACTGTAAAATCTGTGAATGAAACCCGGATCTCCTATCATCAGAGCGCCGGTCACACAAACTAACAATCTTGCTGTCTAATGCCCATGAGAGCACAACAAACGCTGGGGCTCTGCGCGACCCGCGACCCGCTTCCCTCGAAACATCCCGATCTACAGTATTATGAAGAGTGGCGCATCAGGAAAGTGAAGAACCCTCGAACTTAAGTGACCTGACCGCTAACTTGAATTAGTTCAGATCATTTCGGGCCCATGCACATATATGTAGCGTTCTGTACATAGCTATATGGATAGTGTGGACGAAGAGAGCCTCAATCAGAGCTCAGGCTTTATACAGCGTTGTAGTGCGATTGAAGTAATATTCTTTAGCGCAATTGGGTATTTTTTTTTGCGAACAGAACATATCTCAAACTAGAGAATGATTCGCTCGAATATTGAAATGCTTCATCCAAGCTTCACGGGATGGTAATGGGGTGAGTTTTCCGACGTTGGCGAGACAAGCGAGCTCTTTGTTCGACGATAGAAGAGTACGAACCATGATTGCTTGAATATTGATTGCCATTTGATTATCTAGAAGCAATCCAATTTCACAAGAAATATAACAACACGCTTAAACATAGATCGAGCCGGTCAGCTGCATAGCTTGATTTATAAGCTACTCAGTTCAAATGCCTCAAACTTCTGATCGCCTGTACTGAAGAGCATAGACTTGTAAGTGCATCTTGCCTGAAGCCTCATTCTGCTACGTTGAAGCCTATATGTGTGCATGACTTTGATTCTGGCAATAATATGCAGGATTTTCACTACTCCGTAGAAGAAATAAGCTCGATTCTCAAAGAGTTTCAAGATATCAACACAGTCGCCAGCAGTCTACCCCCAATTAGGCTTGATCTTCCAACTGCTAGTGTGTTATGGTGGTTGAAATCGATCACCAAGAATCAGAAATCTCATTTGCGTCTCTATCCAGTAAGTTTATTCCCCGCATGGTTTTGTTTCTCTTTAGGGACAAATCGTTGACCATCCTTTTCAGAAACTTCAGGAAGCAATTGCCGCACACAAGAAAAAAACATGCACTCAGTGTGTTCAACAACTCAAATTGGGAGGAGGATGAAGAACGCGGCACTCTGGACTACGAAAATTTGTGCCGTTCTGATGTTGAGCGCGAGATGGTCTGGAATGTTGCTGATCAGATGATCGAGTATCTTGGGAAGCATGGATCACGCTTAAAGTTACTATGCGTTGCACCAAAGGCGAATTCGCCATGGTATTCTCGTGAAACATGTCTTCATTGTCCTCCTCATACACCGGGGGAGAGTCGGACGAGAATGGTGAAGAGTCCGGGGACGACGAAAATGAGGATCAGCGAATACGTCTTGAGTACTATTTTGCCTCTCGCAAAAAGGTCAGTAAGCTTGGAAGGAAGCGAAGGACGGTAGTTTCATATCCAACGGTGCCATTGGAATATCTGAATTGGTCCCTTATGTTCCAAGATTTTCACTGCCGGGAATGGTTCCGGAAAGGACTTCGTTGATTTGTACTCAGGAGGAGTCGGCCTAAATTGTTTTTCAGGCATATACCAATGCGCCACACAGTGCGTTCTGCTATTAGTCGCTAAATTAAGATTCTTGGACGTGTGCAGATCACTCAGCCCCGGAATGAAACACGAGTTATAAGTGTAAGCACTGTGCGCGTCACATTACTAGCACAAGATGACAAGTACGATTTCTCTTTTGGATTACCGTTATAAGCAATTGGGCTAAATTATGGAAAGGTTAATGATCAACGTTCATCAAAGGATTTGCAGGTAGATTATACACCTCAAATGGAAGTTGTATTATTATATTCATTGTTTAACTCGGCATATCTGGGCTGATCTTCCAGACATATATAAAGCTGTCGTCCAGGCCAGCAGATAAAACATTAAACAAACATCTTACCAATCTCCATTCGAGCCCATCAACAGTATTCCCAATCTCAGAATCTACTTCCATCTCTGTTTAATATGTTTGGTTCTTCGCTCAAGTCAATCTCGATTTTCCTCCTACTCCAAACTGCTCAATGTTGCGCGCCAAATGACGCGCGACAAGCTGGCAATGACACCAATTCCACGCCTGAGCATCCTTACGTAGTCCGTGGCGATGACAGCCCTGCCGATCTACAAACCACGGGTTATTACGTTAACCACTTCTCGTTGAACGTGAACAACCTGACCCGGTCCATCGACTTCTACACCAGAGTGTTCGGTATGCGATTCATGTTCACATATCATCTTACGCCTCACCTCTCATTCACATATGTGACCCACAGCCAAGGTGGTCGTAATGGCACTGGGTACCAAACAAATGGAGAGTTGATTCGGGAGAAGAACAACAATGGCGGAGCAATCGAGTTCGTACACTTCACACCACCGAACAAGAAGGATATTGAAGGGCCGAAAGTTCGTGCGACTACTTTAAGTCACGTTGGAATGGTTGTTCCCGACCCAAAAGCAACGCAAGAAAGGCTCAAACAGCAAGGAGTCCCAATTTATAAGGGTGTTGGAGAAGATATGCCTACGGAGGGGCCATTTGCAAGTCCGTTTTACTTGGGCGACGCGACAAACTTGAGCCCTGATGACTTCGCGGCCATTCAAGCTGGCATGACGAAACTCAATTTTCAAAATATCTTTGCTGAGGATCCGGATGGCAATCTTTTGGAGATTATACCCAGAGAAGAGAGTATATCATTTTGATAGGGATGAGGCTCCGAGCCGGTTAAGTTTTTAGCATCCCCTGGGTCGATCTCGTGTGCATTACCAAGAATACATACCAATAGAATCTTCGTCTTATCGACCACATATCACTTTCGTGGTATAGACCATGCGATTCGTGAGAACTGACAAAATACAAACACGAACACACTATAATCCACTTTTAATATCTAGGTAAAACACACGCAAAAGGTCGCAGCCGACGACGTTGTGGTGGATATTGTACTCATCATATGCATGCGCACTCTCCAATCTTAATTCATTCTCCACTTCATCAACCCTCTGTTTCCGTAACTTATAACCTTACTATATAAGTGATGCCGAATCCGTACTTCCCATATTCGAATGGACCATGCAGATCGCAACCAAAAAATCAATGACATATCGTACACTCACAATGGCACTAGAATAATCGCAGCTTAGACGTCGAGGTCTTAGCGTACGGGATATTTCCCTGGTAGAAAAGGAGCTGAAGCGTTCGAATACAACATTTACTTAGCCGTTTGTTTGATGCTAGGATGATCTCTGTATCTCAACTGAAAATGTCTGACTCTGTACAACACGAATGGTATACGCACCGGCATACATGGGACTGCTATAGCCGTTTTCAAACAAGGTGATAACTCGCACAATTCATACGACTCTCTTGTCCTGACCTCACTTTTAAGGTCCGGCGGCTACACATACACAAGGCTCCGAAATATATCGTTTACCAACCAATACGACTGCGTAGCCTTCAAAACAGTGCAAACTTCATCAAAGTGGACAGCATCTGGTGCCATAACTCACACGGCATCTCAGTCGGCTCGATAGGCGGCACCACCGGGTGCACTGAAATTATGCAAAATATCTACGTGACCAACGCCGTGATGGTCGGCAACTCCAAAGCATCTGGTATCAAGCTGTGGCCCGGCGGCGCAGGCCACGGAACTGATTTTGTTCGAAACGTTACCTGGGACGGCGTTACGCTTACTGACTGACTACGCCGCGCCGATCCAGTCTTGATGTGCCTCGGATAAGACATATTGTGAGTCCAACCCGAGCACCGCTCAGGTCTCACACACCCACTTAATGGATTCAAGGGAGATACCAACGATAAGTACAAGGATACTGTTGCAAATATCAGCTGCCCCTGCAACGGAAAGTGCGACATGCAGTTTCCTAACTGGGACGTAAAAGCGGCGTCTTGGACGGCGAAGTCCTTGTGGTCAACCTCAAGTTGATACTAAAGCGGAGACTCTGTATATCTCTGGGGCGTTGGATTGAGAGGTTTCGCCAGATTTTCGCAAGGCCTTTGTGGTTGTTTTCATCGAAGTGATTATACATCTCCCACGGATGGGTTGATATCACTATGTCCCTAATACAGATCTGGGAAGATACTATCCTTCGGGGATTCACTTATAATTCTCTTGCCTTTTATCTTCTCTTCTTCTTATGTATAGATGTAATCTATCTTTCATGCCATGTTACTTACACTTGACAACGCTCTGTCTCGTCCGAGGCAGTGGTGGACATCGCATTATACATTAGCGACTCTTGAATCGGTCTTTTATTCCGGCCTTTTTACCTGGTCTTATACCCTTGGATACAGAATAACGCCGGATACTCTTCATGTTCAACTGACCCTCGTAGCACTGGTATGGGAGCACATTGGGACAAGAAAGATTTAGCAGTGATGTAGGCATATCCTTCGCAAAGGGCCGTTTGATGGCAAATATATGTTGCTTATTGGTTATAGTTCCTGGAATTAAATGCTCAAATGAATCAAGTGAACAGGGACATGTATATCGAGTATTCAAAGCCCTCTGTGCAATGTGAGTGTGGGACAATATATGAGTACACAAGAGCTTGAGTTTGGATTCGAAGCGATAGAGGTACTGCATAACCTGGGAGGCGAAATCATACAAGATAGCGTCTTTAATACCCAAATGAATGTATTTGGGTCTTTCCATTTCTGTGAGCTGTAGTCCCATACAGTACTGAGCTCAAGTGCTGTTTTGAGGTGAAGTCCGCACGAGCCAATCAGACTTCACCCCAGAGGCTCAGTACGTCATCGTAAGCAGAACTTCAGGTGGAGATTGCGAAAACCAAACCATTAGCAATGGAAACAGGAGTAGAATGCCACAGAAAGCTTTGAATCTAGTTAGAAAATAGAGAGGGAACTTCACTCAAATGTAGAATAATGGTAGACTAATGCTGAGCGCGGTACGCGATGCGCGCATACTATGGTTCGCGACTACATACTATGTACAAGCACTGTAGTTCACTACCAGAACATCGTGATGCCAAAGGAAAACGGCCAACCCCAAAATCTCGATTGAAGGATTCTGTAGGCACTCTGCTTTGATTAATTATCATTCAAATCCGTGCGGAGAATCCTCTTCTCAGCTGCCCAGGCTCGAGTAGTGCATTGAGTTCTTCTGAGCGAACGCCTCGCTTAGGCCCTAGAGAGCGACGGGCTGCCTCCAACTACGGTGCCAACTCGATAGTCACCCACGATGGCATTCTTCGCGCCAAAAACTCGATTGCATCCTCTTCTGGATCATGGCAATTGGACGAAATGATCTGCGCAATCCCCGTCTAGTGAAGGAATGAGACGTTGTCAGACAAGGATGCAGGGCCAAACAGGGTTATGCAGCTCCAGACGCAAACTATGACATCACCTCCTGCGGCCGTCACTCCCAACCTCCTGACCAGCCTTTAAAACCGGCACGGCCACATCTCCTGCGAGCTATCCTTCAGCTCTCGCATAGCCTTTTTGGTTCCAGGCTTCACTTTTCGGCCTTGTGTAGTATAGTCTGCTTCGAGTCTTCTTTCCCCGTTTTTCCACGATATACCCTTTACGATTCCCCTTGGACATCCACCAAGCTACATAATATTACATCATGGCCGCACCCCAAGAGAAGCCGCTCAATGAGTAAGTCATTGCTTCAGACGTAAACAGTCAGTCGGGATCATCATACTCACAATCGTAGGCTCCTCTCCCGTTCAATGGTTGACCTCTACGTCGGCCCAGAGAACACGCACTGGATCCTCCACGAGAAGCTCCTCTGCTACCACTCTCCCTTCTTCCGCAACATCTTCTACAAGAAAGGCTCCACCACCAGCTCTTACGGTCTTCCCGAGGAAGAGGACGTCACATTCAAGACCTTCGTCGGCTGGCTCTACAGCACTTCCCTCCCCGTGCCCCGCGAGGAAGCCGATCTCTCAGTCCTCTTCGACCTCTACCTGCTATCCGAGAAGCTCCAAATCCCAGCCTTGGTCTCCGACGTGCTCCAGGTTGTCCGCGAGTGGTACAAGTACTCCGACACATACCCTGGCCTCAGGAGAGTGCAATACATCTACGCCAACACGGAAGATGGCAGCCCCATGCGCCACATGCTCGTGCACAGCGTAGCACGCTTGATGGTGCTGGAGAAGGGCATCCCGCCGCACTGGGACAAGGCGCTCCGCAAGAACGGACAGCTGGCTGTCGACATCATCAAGGCGATCCAGGACTGGCGTCTCAGCGAAGAGGTTGTGCCCGACTCCCGCGACGACCCCGCCGAGGCCGAGGACCTCATCGACGTGGACGAGGAGCTCGCCAACGCCGACTCGCAGGCTGAAGGCGAGGCCGAGGCTGAAGCGGATGTCGAGGATGAGGCGGATGAGCCCGAAGCCGAGTTGTCTGAGGATAACACTGTTGTTGACTCGCCGGTGCAGAAGCAGCACTCTGTCTCTTTGAAGGATACGCAGAGCAAGGGTGACGCTTTGGCAAAGGACTTCAAGAACATCAGCCTGCAGGCTGTGCCTAACGGCATCTCCAACGGCGACTACGGCACGCTCCAGCATTAAATCAAGCCCGCATGGTCATTGAACAAATGACCTATCTATCTCTCTTCGGATCTAGTTTGCAACCAAAAACGAACTTTTGCTTTTTTTTCTTCTCTGGGATAGCGAATAACGGCAATGGCGCAAATAGGGTGGACACAACATGAGTTTTTTGATTTTCTTCTCTCCATCTCTCGGATTATATTGCCTGATCTTCCTTTTCCTTTTTCTCTCGAAGTTTCCCGGTAATGCTTCTTTCCCCTACCTGAATTCGATTCACAATGTAATTGTAACCCACCTTCTACCTTAGCTTAGCTTAGCTTACCAAAACCTGACTTTACCTCTTCGAAAACGCACGTATTCCATTCCATGTCTTTGTTTCCTCGAGGGGGGAGAGATTCACGCCTTCACCCCCTCGGCAATACCAGATTGTGATACACGCTGCTATGGAAAGCCGAGTCGAGCTACGTCTTGCGTGACATTGTATCCCCCCCGTCTTCCTTCCGTAGTCGGCCATTATTTTTTGTTCCGTGACACGGCATCTATCGTAGCGTATTGGCAATGGTATTGGCTTGGGATTTGTGTGTTGCTTGTGCTACTAGATGCTACGCAAACCAATGCTCATTTGCGGTTGTTGCCTCGGTTCATCATCTTCATTATCAGTGGATAGTATGTGTGTATGTGTTGTGACGCGGAGTTGAACATTGAATCGATATTATGGCTAGAGCGAATGTTTTTATTTTATTTTTTGCCCCCTTGGTTGCTTTTCCTCGTCGTCGTCGTGGAGGGAGGTAGGTAGTTTTATGTAGGCTAACACTCGAGTCTTGTCATCTCTTATATGAGGGCTCTAGATAAAGGGATGAATGGAATACACACGAGTGTGACGATTAGTTAAAGATGGGTGTATGTATGATGTCCATGCCACTGATCATCCTCTTCTTCTGTTTTTTCCTTCAAGGCGGTGGTTTTTCTTCTTCTCTTTTCTTCTTCTTTTTTCTCTCCTGCATGTACCATTTGTTCAATTGTTTACTTTGTTTGTTTACTTTTTTTTCTAGTATTTACCCTTTTGTAACGTGGTGAATCACACCGTATGTATCCTCAAACATAAAACTACCCCTCTCCCTTCCCTCCCCCCCTGAGAAAGGATATAAAGGATTCCAAGAAGTGCATAAACCACACGCACATGAGACAGTTTCAGAAACAAATAAAATATGGCGAGTGTCCACTGGACCCTTTCTTTCTCGTCCAATTGTCCATGAAACCTAATTAAACAGTTCCCATTTCCCTAAGCAAAGGGGGGAAATGGGAAACACAATTGGCCTATTCTTCATCTCTTCCCTAGTCCAAGGAGCAATCTTGGCTCAAACCCTGAAACTCAAAACCCCAAGTTAAAAAGAAAAATTTCCCCGCAGTGGAGAAGAAGATGAGAAAAAGGGGGGATATTACGGTCCAAGTGAATTCGGTGCATAGAGAAAAGTTCGAACGTGATACAGAGATGCAAAAAGGGAAAGTAGAGAGGGCGGACCCTTGTCTAAGAGAGGAAGGAAGGGTTGGTCGGTTAGTTAGTGTCGAGCGGTCTGTATCAAACTACATAGTACATACATACTACCACGACGACATCAATAGCCGTCATGTACTATAGGACTAAGCGAAGCTACGATTTTACTATTTATGATTATATATCGGTATTTCAATGGGGAATCTTTCCCGCACCATAGGGTTTTAATCAGGCCATGAATGATCAAAAGGTAAGACAAGTAAAAAAGAAGTGGAGCAGATTCAGCAGTTTAGCCCAGATTATATGGAGACGGAGGAATCTTGTGACTCTCTCGACGTGTATGAAGCTAGCAGGAATTGGTAGACAGCTCTGGTTAGTATGCAGCAAGTGTGTCCTCTCTCTACTTGTGGGGTTTTGGGTTGCGCGAGAGGCAAGACGAGTATTGGCGGCAGGATAGTTTGATGCAAAAGAAATTTCTTTTAATTGCGGGGCGTGGAAGCAGGGCAGGCGAATGAGAGGTTGTAGAGGTTGGACAGGTTGGAAGGAAGGAGCGAGCAAGAGACGGGAATACGCAAAGCCGACCCGCCCCCGGCATCGCAACATCAGCAGCAGTGCATCTTGTTCGTTTAACAGGTGATGGGGAATGGTTTTCCCGACAGACAGACCGGGGGCGCGAGGCAAGGCGGGTATGGATTGGGTGTGATTCCCAAGCGAACTGTCCAAGGACGTTGCAGGTCATGGTTGCATGATGGGGGCAGGTACCTGGCATGTGGCGCGGCTTGTCGGACTCTTTGTTCCAGCGGGCGGAGAGGTGAGGAATATACATGGCACAAGTTGTAATGGGAAGATGGAACATGTACATATGCAGGGCAAGAGGGAACAGCAGATGCAAGCAAGTGAGCAGCAAGCAGGCAATGCGAGATTAGGGATGGGAGCAACTATCGGGCGGCTGTCGGTGCAATCAATGTCAAGCATGGAGGCGCGTAGGGTTCGGTAGCGTTTTGTCCATATTATAGGGCATGGAAGAGCAGGTCGAGAGTTCACGGAGGAGGAAGAGGTTCGGAGGGGGGATGGAAAGGGAATAGCGCGCATGGGGGTCGGATGGAAAGAGCAACGAATCCATATTGCGCCTGCTGCGGTGCGACCGTGTCTGTACGCAGATGTCTTCTTTTTCTTCGCATGCATACATACTTGGGTAGCTGTATGTCAATCGCAGATGGCAATGGTTGACAAGCGTTCGAAAAGGGGATAGAGGGATGGATGGAGAATGGAGAATTGGAGAATTGGAGAATGCAGATGAGTCACGAGGGGCGGTGGGTCGGGTCAAGGGGGTGGGTGTGGTGTTCGAATTGATACATATGGTACGGTATGTAGTGAAGAGGCTGAAACAGCAGAGTGCGATGGAGTGTTTCGAGGCGGCGGAGGAGGCACCAGGGAGGAGAAGCAGGCGGTGGCAGGAGCGACCAGGAGGGGAGAAGGAGCCAGGAGATCAAACCCTTTGGCGCCTTCCTCGTGCGCCAAACGGCCCATGGCGTGAAACAGTGGCACACTCGCCTAAGGCGGCGGCGGCGCGTGATTGGCCCGCGCCGGCTTTATTGGCAATCCAAGTGCGACACGGCTGCATGCATCGGGCGACTGGAGGAGAGTCAGTCGTTGACGCACACTAGCAGGACTCCTGCTTGTCCGTTGCTTTGCTTGCGCGCCGGACGGAATTGATAGTTGCTGGTCAGCCAGTCAATGGGGAAAAAAAAGAGAGCAAAAGTGAGAACAAGGAATGGATGGGAGGGGGGAAGAACACATGCGTCGGCGATACCGTCCCATCAATCAAGAAGCAGGTGAGTGGGAGCCAGCCGGGCGGTTTGGGTCGGTGGGGCCTAGACTGAAGCATCTGAATCTGTCTCGCGATTCCTCATCTTCTTCAGTTGCAAAAGAAGAGGACAGACAATTCATTCATTCTTCTTCTCTATGCAGCCAAGGTAGCTGCTATTAGGAGGTCGCTGCTGGGATCCGCCAACGTACTTGGTTACTTAGTTAGTTAGTTAGTTAGCCATGTATGTATAATGAATGGATGATGGACTTTTTGGAATGACAAAGTCCGTGCTCAACTCCGTGTGTGTCTCCCATTTTTATCTTTTGATCCCATCCATGCCCGACTCCACAGCCAGCTTGGAGCGCCCGCCCCTCCAAGCAATCCCACCCCGGCACCCCCCGGCCTCTTAGCCTGTCTGGCTTGTCGCTGTCTGTCCGCCAGTCCGTCAGTCACTGCGAGTGAGACCAACCGCAACGCGACGTCCATCTGCAATGCCCATGAGAGAGAGAGTGTGTGTGTATGTCTATGTGTGTGTGTATGTCTATGTGTGTGTGTGTGTGTGAGAGAATGGGAGACTGTGTACTCTCTCTCTCCCTCTCCAATAACTACTTGCAACCGATAGTCCTACTGCTCATTTCCCTATCCTCTCTCCATCCCCCTTCCATCCATCCATCCTCATCTCTCTCTACTATCCTCCATCCCCATCCGTACCGTTTCCACTCCCGCCCCTGCACATCTCCCAAGCCCGCCTCCCAACCAACGGTAAAACAAAAAAAGTCGCGCCGCTGCTGCTGGAGTCCGCACGGCCACCTGCTACAAGCCCAATTACGGAGAGGGGCCTCTGCGACTGCGCCATTGCTGATCGCATCCGTCCCATCGTTTTTGCGTGCCCCGACGCCCCTCGCTGCTGTTGCACGTCCTCCAATCCTGCCTAGCTGACCTTATCCTTCGACACGTAGTGTAGCGGAACCCTCCACGGTCCCTGCTTCACCACCACTCCTCTCATCTCGACTCCCCCTCACCACTGCTATCCACAGCCATGACAACCGCCGTCGCTCAAACCCCGGTCCCGGCATCCCATGCCCCAGCCAACTTGGACCACTCCCACCCCTCGAGGACATATGCCGCCATCGCGCCCTCCACCACCTCTTCTGCTTCTTCTCCCATCATCGTGACGCCCAACTCCAAAGCTTCGCACAACAACACCAGGGTATCGGATAACAATGCTTCACCTACCTCCTCCAGTGATGGCTCCGTACCCCACCAGCGAGCAGCGGAGGGAAAGCGCTCACCACTTTCGTATGTCTGCTCAAAAGTCATCGTCTCGTTCGTCTCTTAGACACCCTTCTTCTTCTATTAGTCCCACCACCACCCCAATCATGTCTCCTCCCGCCTCGCGAGACGGTCCCTCTAACCGCAAGTCCACGAGTAGGTCCCGCGGCCTCCAGTCCGCCGCTCCCAAAATCGTCGTCAAGAAAGAGCCCTCGTCGCCCGACATGACCACCTCGCGCCATCGCCCGCGCCGTCTCGACTTGTCCGCCTCCAACAGCATCGTCCACTCCTCGGGCGCCCTCACCGCCAGGCCCGCTGGGCCCTTGACTGCCAACGACATGGGCCTCGCCTGCCTGTCCCCCGGCTTCCACACCAACGACCCTTCGATGCGCGAGCAGCTTCACAAGAGCATGGACGTCCGAGAGCGACAGAGGCAGATCATCGAAGCCCGCCAAAAGCACGGCGGGCCAGGCACCGCTACTCCTTCGCTCGGTGCCATGGGCGGCAAGAATGGCTTGGGTGAAGACGACAACAGCACTCCCCGACCCCACGATGCCAGTCCCTTTGGTCGTCCCATCAAGACTCCCACCACCGCCAGGAGAAAGGGCCCACCTCCCGGTCTTTCCATCGCGCCTCCTTCCCACTCCCAGTTTGCCAACGAGAGAGTCATCCAGTCGGCTCCCATCAACCAGTCCTTCACTGGTCTCCGCAACATTCCCCCCTCGCGCCAGCTCGCAAACGCTCCTTCCAACCTTTCCCAGTCTTCGCACATCCACCACGTTCCTGCGCAACAGACCAACAACCGCCTGCCGCCGATTGCCGACGTCTTCCCCGAGCCTCTGGGCACCGCCCGCAACCCCTACGGAAACAACAGCCCTGGCACCTCGTCGCACTCGAATCAGCCGCCGCCGCTGCCTTCGCCTGGTTTCCCTCACCACCAGCAGGCCCCGTTGACATCTCGCCCGCGCGAGTACAAGTCTGCCGAGGAGGCCGTTCAGTCTCTGTCCGGTGGTCGCGAGGACCTCTTGCCACGCATCGTCCACTACGGCGGACACCAACCCCCAACTCCCCCCTCGCCAATGCCCAACAAGAACGCATCTTCGTCATACATGGCCAACGCCGACGTTCAGCGCAGTGGCAGCTCGCGAAGGCGCCCAAGAGATGAATATGAACGCGATATGGGAACTCCGCCGCTCGGCCGCCAGCAGCCGCGCACCGGCCCCTTTGGCGAAGGCCGTGATACTCCCGAGACCCAGCGCAAGAAGAAGGAAGAATTCATTGGCTTGTGTGCAAGAGCTTGGGATCTGTTTCATTCGTAAATAAAATGGCTTCGGCCTTTGTCGGATCGTCGCGGCGTCCTTCGGGAGCTCGAGACAGGACGAACTGCTGTCTACGGACACGCCCTTCGCTTGCATCTTTTCTATGTTCAGCTCCGTTTCACCACTTCGTTCGCCATTCCTGCATCTATTGCACCGATATCTGTGCGCACGATACAGCTATATTACCCTTCGATCGCCTTCGACGTCACTTTTTCCACTATTCTCGAAACACCTTTCGCACGCGCGCCTCTTATTTCCTTGATATACCACCCCTCAAAAAAGCGCCGGCAATCTAATAGGGCTCGTACGGATATTCTTCACGGTTACCATCTTCTTCCTTGTCTCTCAGCTTATGCCTTTATTCACTCTGCCTTCTTCATGTCCACAGGTACGAGGACAAAGGATTGGATTGTGGATGTTATCTGTTCATGGTTTCATGACGTGGCTGGGCATGGGATTTTTTTCGCTTCTACTATTTTTCCTTCGTCGCTACGCTTCCTGCATGAAACACACGCGTGTCTCATGCTTGTATGAGGGTATTACGGGTCACGCAGTCATATACGCAAAGGGACCTTTAACCGACTTCTTCTTTTGTCTAATTCGAGCTCAATACCTTTTTCGCGTCAGACCATCTTGTCTCGTCTCTTTCTCGACTATCGCTATCTTTACCATTTACCCACATTATCGCGTCTTTTTTTTCATACCTACTCTTGTTACTTCTTCTCTTTGGTCGTGGCAGGGATTTCCCCCCACAGACACTCTAGGGTGGCGTTTATTATTGTTTCATTTGTTGCACCGGTGGTTGAGGAACAACGTGGATGGATCGGGGTCGGATTTGAATGATGGGGGTTCTTTGGGTGGAAATCGTCGATTTGAGGGAATTTGTTAGGTGTGGATGAAAGTTTGGGCGATGGTTGGGTTTGAGAACTCTTTCATCACCATCTAGTTGTTTCCTTCTCCGAGTCGCGACTTTTTTACCTTTTTGACACTCGAATTCAAATGCTTCATTTTTTTTCAAATCATTCCTAGCCGTTTTCATGCCTGTGATTGTGACGACTTTTTTTTTTCCCTTCTTTTCTCTGACCTTCCTACCTAACAAACAAACATCCAAATCTCAAAACATAAACAAACACACATCTCGAAACAGGCATATCCTATCGACTTTTCTCAATAACCTTCCCTATCCCAGGATTCCCCTTCCCATCGATAGTAGTCTCTCGAGAGAGACTATCGATACTAACTAAGCTAGCTAGCTTATCGGAGTACGCAACGCACGCACGCAACGCACGCGACGCATACGCATACGCACACGCCGCAACGTAATCGCAGCCCTCGTCCTCGCACGCACCATTGCTCTTCCCACACACTATTGCTCATTGTCCGTGTCCGGAACTAATGGCAGGCGAGAGGACATTCTGTCTTGAATGGAAAGGAAAAAACAATAATTAACCAAGGGAAGCCCGGGAAAAAAAATTGATTCAACGGGGCTTGGTACATGACTCTTTCCCTCTCTTACTCTCTCTCTCTCTCTCTTTGTTTCTCTTTGCCCGGATCTATTGAAAGATAATTTTTGTGAAAAAAAAAAAGAGTAGTCATAGGATGGCAAAAAGGATTTCATTTCGCTGGCTGTGTGCTTATGTGTATGGAGATTTGAGCTCAGTCAGCCAAGTTAGTTTAGTCAGGTCAGGTCAGGTCAGTAGTAGGTAAAGGCAAGGTGTGCATTCTTTTCGGAGATTTCGCTTTCCCAATATTTCCATTTTCATGTCAGATTCTTATATTTATTTATTTCGTGGTCCTCGAAGGAAGATTGATGACATTGATGGACTAAGAATAGCTCGGCTATAGCTGGGAGGTGTAAATGCGGCATTCTGAAAGGAATGGATGGGTGGATGGATGGATGGATAACTTGCATGTATTATAGCTTATCTATATGCGAGTTATCTTGATACTTCTTCAAATAATCTTGACTTAAAATTGTTTAGACGCGCTTCTTCTTGTGTTGTGCTGTTGTTGTTCTACAGGGTGGTTGGCATACTTAGGGAAAGTACAGCTTGATCACTCCTTCTCCCAACTCCCTTCCTCTTTCGATTTCTTCTTCTTCTGGTCATCAAACCATGTTCGTTAATCCTCTTTTTTTATGGTAGGATCTTTGCTTTTAGCTCGATTCCAAGCACGGTAGTGAATCAATCGCATTTCTATGCGGCACAAACACTTGGTAGTGGAAAAATCACATGATAATACTGCCTTCGAGCGCTAGGCAGAACAACAACACATGTTCCGTGGTAGATCGCTTTCTTATCATTTTTCCTTTGAATCTTCTCTTCCCTTGGATGATGTGGGTTACGAGAAGTGTTTGTTTATAAATTTAACTATCTATGCACGATGGGATGAATGCAAAATGTCTGTTATGTTGTTTGCGAACTGAATAATTTTTTAAACTCGTAATTCCTCGGTCAGTGAGTTCATAATCTCTTGTGCATGGTGTCTCAATATCTGGAGAAAGGTCGATGTATAGTATTAGGATTCTGTGTAAACGAAATGCAATTAACGTAGGTGGCTATCTGCCCTGTATACTTTGTCACCTTTTCGATCATTTCATTATGCTTTATCTCTTTTTTGGAGGGTCGGTTCATCATATCTATGGTGTGCTAGATGAATTATGTTCGTAGCTAGGGTTCTGAACTTGTCTCTTTCTCTCGTGATCCACATCGAGTTCATTCGCTCTCTAAGTCTCTAAGTCCAGATATGTATTGTCTTAGATTAATTGAAGGTAGGGTATTCGAGCAGCATAGTGGAGTGCGGGAAGGTAGGCATGATTTACGAAAAGTGCTTTTAGGTATTGGTATACTGGGTATGGAATTACAGTTATGGGCGAGGAAACGGGAGAGCGATCATTTATCATAGTTTCCCATAGCGCTTCATGATTGAGGTTGTTGCACTCTGCTGGTGGGGAGTAAGAGTCCGAGAGAGAATGGAAATGATGCAGCAGAGTTCTGAATTGTTTGTGTTTTCTCAACAATAAAATGCTCTTGAATCAAGGGCCGTAGAGTTCGAGGGAAGTGAACCATCCTGGAGGTGGAATCTGTGTAACCACTCCAACACGCAAGGGATGTACACCGAACCAACATGTGGTCTTCCTTTCAATTCTCAATCTTCTCGAATTGCTGCATTCCAATCCCTCTCACCCCATGCTGGCATCTTCGACTACATTGTGGTGCGGGCATCGCGAAGCAAGATGATCGCGATAGTGCAGAAACGCAGCACAATCGCAGGAGCCATAACAGTAATCATCCTAATCCTAGCACTTTCGCTCTTCAGTCCTCCGACAACAACCTATCACCGTCTCCACGACGGATGGAAGTCATTCAAAGGCCACGGAATACTAGAAGACAACAACAACTCACCAACATCCCACTCTTCCAGCGAAAAACTCGCAATCGTAACCTTCCTCTCCGGCACCCTCGACAAAGAAGACTCCACCTGGGAAAAGGACGAGTACTTCTCCGCCACCCGCCTCCTAACCTGGCAACTCCTCCACAGCGAAACGACCAAGATTCGCCGTCCGAACCTCGACTTCTTCGTCATCGTCACACCGTCTGTCTCGCAGTCCCGTCGTGACCGCCTCGAAAAGGACGGTGCGAAGCTATGGCCGATTGACTTTTTATACGCCGAGTGGCTGCGTGAGACGGACCACGAGATGCGATGGGACGACCTCATGGGGAAACTGCGCGTGTGGCAGATGGTGGAGTATAGTCGGATTCTGCTTCTAGATGGCGATATTATCCTGCTTGAGCCTCTTGACGGCGTCTTCGACGACCCTGGGGCACAATTCCAACGCACGAATCGCTCCGTCGATATCATGGGCCCCTTCCCGCACCCCAACGACGGCGGTGAAGAAGGAGGAGAAGAACCGCCGCAGCAGCTACTCCTCCCAGACTCGTACGTCCTGGGCGGGACCCACGAAACCATCGGCCCAGTCCACTCCTTCCCACCGACTTTTGAAAATAACGGCCTCCAAAAACACGGTTACTTCAACGCAGGCTTCTTTATCTTGTCTCCCTCGCTGCACCTCTTCGACTACTACACCGCGCTCATGAACATCAAGGATGGGTTCGACCCACACTACATGGAGCAGAATCTTCTGAATCGCGTGCATGCGTGGGAGGGCCCGCTGCCGTGGGCGCTGATTGATGTCAGGTGGAATATGGTGGCTGTTACGGACGAAGATCTTGATGGTGGGGTGAGGAGTATTCACCAGAAATGGTTTGTGGATCCGACGAGTGGGAGTCGGAGGGTGAGGGATATTGGGGTTAGGTTGAGGTGGGAGATGCAGGGGTGGTATGATGCTATGGATTTGGCGAAGGACGGGGAGGTGATTTGAGGAGGCTTACGTTTGTGTGGATAGTGTGCTGGGTTTGTTTCTTCATCCTTGATGAGTGCTGGATAGTTTGGTTGATCAAGTGTTGTTGTAGGGAGTTGTCATCTATGATCGAATTCCATGATATTTTGCTTACAAGTCTTGTTGGCATTCGCGCAGAAAAGATCCATGGATCTACGCTTTCAGGCATGTAAGTTATTGATCTAGAGAGTAATAGGGAACCAACGACATCGTTACAAATTTTGGAGCCGTTATAGAGGCACGATGCAATCCGTTGACAACATAAACTTGCAGACTCATCGGAATAAGTGATTACTGCTACAAGATATGGAAAATGGGTATCTGATATGGCAACATAGGAACTACTTTGTGGAGGTGAAAATACCCTACACTCCGCGTCGCTCGTCGGGCATGTTCTTCCGCTCCTTCGCAGTCGCCTTCTTGCGACGACGCTCGATAGCCCTGTCGCGATCCTTCGGCTTCATGGACTGGAATTGTTCTTTGAGCGCAAGCTGCTTCTGGTCCGATTTCTTCAAGTAGAATGGCTGCTTGCCTTGTTTGATCAACTCCTTCTCCTTCTTTCTGTGCTCAGACAGAACGCTTTGCTGCCGGTCCTTCTTCTCTTGTGTCTTCAGCTGCGACTCCATTGAGATCAACTTTTTCTTCAACTTCTCCTTGTCCGCTTCGTTTTTGGTCTTCTTGATGGCGTCTTTCAACTCTGCCATTTCAGACTTCTTGTAATCGTCCAAGAAGGCGTATCTCTTCCTGATCGTATTCTCGTCGGGCTTCGGTCCGGTAATGCTGTCGAAACGAGGATCACGGGAGACAGGTTTCTTGACATCGACTACTTGACGCTTGCGTGAAACAGCGCGTTTGCTGGACTGAACTGCCGGTGCATGCTTGCTTGATCGCGCGTGGGGAGCAGCGTCAGAATCAGACGAATCATCTTCATCCTCTTCCTTGTTTTTACCATCTTTCTTCGCGGATGGAGTTTGCGGTTTGCTCGTCTTCTGCTTTTTCTTGGTGGGGCCTTCTTGTGCCAATCTGGCGGCCTTGATTTCCTGCAATCGCTCCCTCAGTGCTTGTAACTTATTCTCCTGTGATTTTGTCGACTCGTCGCCGCGTTTCCGTTTGCGATCTGTCGATTGCTGCTTTGCCAAAGCGTCTTGCGCTTTCGCGAGAGCGCCGAAAGAGACTTTGCTCATCTGTGCCTGCACAGCCCCGTCGTTGTCTGATTGCTCCTCCCCAGAATCCTCTGCATCCTCGTCTTCTTCTTCCGAGCTGAGCACTTCCATGCCGTCACCTCCGGTCTCTATCACGGAGGGAGAGGTGGATCGGTCGGTGATCTCGTAGTATTCTTCGTCGTCGGTGCTTTCCTCATACGCCCGCATCTTGCGGTCAAGTTTCGAAGAGAGCGGCATTGTTGCAGGTTCTTTCAAAGCGACCAGATAGCCCAGAAACAAGAATGTGTGAAGAATCTAACTTTGTTGGGGTGAATGTGGAATTATCTTGAAGTTTTAGTGCCCCGCAACCTCATTGGTCAGATCTCGGCGAAACATAAGTCCGGCCATCGCCATATTGTTGCGCCTGAGATGCTCATTCTTCCGCTTTTGACCTATGTCAATACCCCGCGTCCTTGGACGCCTACCTAGCTACAAGCCTCTTTCATTGTGTGGAGAGCTCACTAACGGTCTAAACAATGGAGCAAACAGACGAGCTGTCACCACGGTACAACCCCAGCCTACCCACCGACACACCTGTAACTAATAGTGTCAAGAACGCTGGCATCGCAACGACTGCCGCGTCCAACTTCCATACAACCACTATGACCCGTGGGAATGAGCATGGTGACGATCCCTCGAGCATCTCTCGGCCAGCCCCTCCAAACAATTTCCATGCACCTTCCTCGGCGCAGACGTACTCGACAAACGGCCCTGCGCTCTTCGGTCAGAACTATCCCCCAAGCTCTTTCTACCAGTTCGGTGAACAATACCCGTCGCAACAAGGCCCGCAGCCATATTGGCAGCAGTGGAGTCCCACAAATTACTACGGCACACCACAGTATCCAGTACCAGCGTACAGTCAAACAGGACCTGCGACGAGCTTCTTCTCGCCGAACGTTCCTATGCCGAGCGCCTATCCATATCCAGGATATCCGACACCATTCGGTGGTTTGAATGCTCAATCAAAGTACGGGGCCTATACATTCAAGCGTAGAGGCACGCGAGCTGACACCTTAAGCAGGCCTTTCGTACCACAGGATATACGTGGTGCAGGCAAGTGGGACAGTAGCATAAGTAACGACGAGGCGTTGAGAGGCGTCGGGTACGATCTGCTCCATCAGACTAAGCGTAAAGGGTCTCGGAAATCCCGGGTTGACAAAAAACATAGGGCATCTACCGCGGTTGAGCCGTCGAGCCGCGAGATCGATCAGGAGAAGAATCGGTGCAAGCAGGTCGTGAACAGCCTCCTGGAGAAGGACGTCCTACAGGATATTCATAAGAAAGAGCCTCCACGCATAGCAAAAATCATGCTTCCCGCTCCTCTCCCTAGCAACCAATACCTGGCGCAAGCCCTTTGCACCCCAGAAGTTCACATTCCACCGGAACGGAAGCTCGTGATCCTCGACCTGAACGGAACTCTCATCTACCGACCCGATTCTCGTAAAAAACCCAAGAAACTGATCTCCCGACCTAACCTTCCTTGGTTCCTCCAATACCTGTTTGAGAACTTCGATGTCATGATCTGGTCCAGCGCTAAACCAGAGAACGTTAAAGCTTTGGTCGAAATTGGATTGCGGGAGTTTCGTTTTCGCCTTGTTGCTGAGTGGGCTCGCGATACCTTGGGCTTGAGACCTGAGCACTACCACAAACGGGTACAATGCTACAAGAACCTCAATCTGGTGTGGGCTTCGGGAGCTATTCAACGTCATGCGCAACTACGGGGTCCAGGGAGATGCTACGACCAACGCAATACTATACTAATTGACGATTCGGCTCTCAAAGCGAGTGCCCAGCCATACAATCTCGTGGAGATCCCCGAGTTCCAGGGCGAGGTAATCAAGCAAGACATATTGGGAGAAGTGGCCGGTTATCTTGAACTACTTAAGATGCAGCAAGATGTGTCCAAGTTCATAAAGAGGGAGCCGTTCAGGGCTGATGGAACCTGGATGTTCGATTTTGGCAACCTGAAGCCTGTCTGTCCAGTGTCTGCGGAGGGTGGAGGGCAAGGGCAAGGGCATGAGCCAGCGGTGCTAGCTAATATGGCAGGTTAAGCACTGCAGGATCCAGCGCTGCATCTGCAGCCGAATTTTCTATGCGATCAGGATTATGGGAGGCGTTCATTATGATACCAAGGGTTCCAGGCGTACAAAATTAGATCGGGTGGCTAAGCATTGATGCTTACTGATGGAGTTTTCTGTCGGGACCTACATGATCTGGTCTGAGGGGTTTAGTACCTGTCACGACCTATCGTGCAGTAGGGTCCAGGCTTAATCATAATGGAATATAACCATCTTCTTCAGCGTGGTTGATCCGTTCAATGTCATGAACACGCTTTTCGTTCGGTCAACTATGTGATTCTTCATTCCTCCAGACTCAATATTGAGACTTTCACTCCTATGCCGCCTCTCATACATCTGGATGGTCTGACTGTAAGAGTATGTCGCAGATTCCAGGTAGATGGCATTCCATGCGTGGATGCTACCCATGCATACACTTCGTCACTTATTTCATTCCGGCCAGATCATCTCATGATAATGGGCATGGTTCTTGCTACTTTGTGAAAAGCTACATCTTGCTACAATCCTTTCGGGAACCACAACCTAGATCGAGCACGAACATTCATAACAGGACATGTGTATCAATATAAGTTGTAGAAGTAATGGCCATTCATATATATACACAGATGGCCAGATGCCCATTGCTCAACCAAATGCATGCCATATACACATCGCATACCTAGTCATGTATCCTGAAAATCCCAATCATATGAACGCCATCCCATGCATCCGTCCCATGAGCCGATAGACTCTACTCAAAGCTCTGGGGATTCCAGAAAGTGGCTTGAGGATCCCACTTCGACTTAAGCTGCTGAAGCGAGCTGGCGAGCTCAGTACCATAGTACAGCTCATGCGCTTGCTCACGGCTGTAGGAAGGATCAACGTAGTTGAGGTAAGCGCCAAAGTGCGTCTCCGGTTGCGCATTGACGATGACGTCGTTGATGCCGTTGACGAAATCAATGCCCTCCTGCTTGTCTGTCTTACCGTAGTTCTGGAAGACCCAGAGCGAGTCGCGGTCAGCGTAGGCGGCGAATGTTGTGTCCTTCGTGTTGATGGCGGAGCCGGGGCCGCCGTAGAGGTTGATGATGACAAAGTAGTCGATGGGTGCGCCTGCGTGGATGTAGTCGTAGAAGGCATCGAGGGTGTCCTTGGTGAGGCCGCCGTCTTTCTCTGGGACGGTAATGGATTTGGCGAAGAAGGTGTCGTGCTCGTCGTAGCCCTCGAGCGGCATGACAATATTGTTAATATCGGACATGAGCTTGAGGTAGTCAATCCAACCATAGTCTTGAACGATGGTGTTGTTGGGGGTGGGCACACTGCGAAGGATCTCGGGCAGGATGGTTGAGTTGAACTCTTCGGGTGTACCGAAGAAAGTTCCTCCGAGGTTGTAAGTCTTGGTGCCATCGAGGTAGATGCCGTATGAAATGCGGTTGTCGATGACAGACTTGTTGAGGGACACTTCCTGGAGGTGGAGGAAGGTGTTTGTGAAGTCTTCTTGCTTTCCGTAGAGCTTGTCGGCCCATTGGAAAGAAAAGTAAGTCACTGACTCGGGAGCTGCTTGAGTGCGGAGGTAGAAGCTTGTAATGATACCGAAAGAGTCAGCAGCTCCACGGAGGGCCCAGTAAAGGTCAGAGTTGGAAGTCGAGTCGGCTTTGACAAGAGTGCCATCGGCCAGAACAACATCGAGTGCTACGATATGATCCAAGGCAATACCCCAGTTGCGGGAAGTATGACCGTAGCCTGGTCACGTGTCAGTATGCGGTGGAACTATGCAAGCAATCCCGTGTCCGAGAAAATGTCTTACCACCATGCGTGAAATGACCACCGATGCCGACGCCAGGGCAAGTACCATGCGAGATTGCCCGCTTGCCTTGATCCCAGACACCCTGTGCAAGATTACCCAGGCGGACACCTCCGCCCACCTTAGCCACGTTGGTGTTCGTGTCAAGAGAGACCTCGTGAAGACCTTGGAGGTTGATCACTATTACATGTCAGAAGTGCCTTGTTGGTTGTGGGTCTTGCTCGTAACGTACCAACTGAGCCATCTTGGCCACCTGAACTGAATGAAGCGTATGAATGACCACCTGAGCGAGCCTGAACCTTGAGACCGCATTCATGGGCACATTTGACTGCGTCTTGGACGTGCTGATCAGTAGTAGGGAGAACAATGACCTTCGGCTTATAAGCCAATCGAAGGTTGAAAGGCTCAGCAAGCTCGGCATAGTCTGGTGAGTTCTCCCACTTGACGGGGACGTCATGATCACCAAGACAGTCTGCTACCTGGCGAGCCCGAGTTGCAAGACCGGCCGAAGCCAGCCCAACGAGCAAGCCGCTCGACAGAATCTGGAGCTTCATGTTCTCAGGATATTGTTCAGGAAGTACAACAGCGAAATCTGAAGATTCACCAAGGCCGAAGTGGAAAAAGGTTCGTGAATGAGAAGAAAGATGAAGAACACCGACTTGGAGATTTTTGAAAGACGGGGAAGTAAGTCATATTTTATAGCTCACCGACGCCGCTGGGCAGCTGTACCTGCGACAGGAATCTAAAATGAGAAGACCCTGCCATTGGAGTATAACGAAGACCTGTGGGGCAGGGTATCAATAGTCATGGGGCTAAAGAGGGCTATGGGAACCTGGAATTAGGACACCCGCTTTCATCTAATTGGCAGTCTGTCCTAAATGAGGGAAGAGATGGAAGCAGGGTCAACGTGGCTGGAAGGATACCTGAGGTCTGAGCATGATATCCTGGGGGAGGTATCAAATCCAATGAAAGGAACTGCACGTGCGTGCTTCGCCTGGAGGAGATGTCACCAAGAATGGCAAGATTGTAGGCAGCAGGCAGCCAGTCGGGGTCGACAGTGTTGAGAGAATAATATCCAAAGCAGTAAAACCAACGTGTTGGAGGACCCAAGAAGGAACCCGGCTACAAGGTCAGCAGTCTTATGCTTAGCTTACTTCACTTCAGTGCAACTAATTCGGTACCTGCGTGCTGGGAAGTATCCTTGCAGCTGGCGAATGCTTGTCGTGGCGAACGACCGTGAACACTTGTAGACGTTAATTACATTTGATCAACTGTACCACGTACAGAGTGACACGAGTGAGATGGCAGTCGAACTACACTCAACAGCTGCAGAAAACGAATATTAAAATCCTGGGTTTGTCAATCTTCTGGATGTTGCCAACAATCAGGCGCCCTCTCGATCCTCCAAGCGCAGAAACAATATGCTGACCGCGGGACAAGGGCTTACCCGTAGTCATCCTACCCTTATCAAGTTGATCCAACACAGACACAATCCTTTAGCCCAGCCTGTAGCGTTTATGTTCCCAAGGTTCCGGCATCCCTCCGATGTCCTCCACAGCCCACGCGTGGCAAGACAAGCCATCCCACAGTTCAGGCTTCAAAGACGGGGATCCTACTGCCGCGTATCATGGCTGCGCCGCACGTCAACATACGCTCCCGTAAGATCCCGTATCTTTGGACCGAGTCAAAAGGGTGTGCGAGACACGGCGACCTGTGCGACAAGAAGGTGGGGGGGAGGACAATCACCAAGCCGCAGATGTAACCATTTTCTTTGCTGCGCGCGCGCGAGTGTTGGGGGTTAGGATTGCAATTTGCAAGCCACCAACGCGGCAACAAGGCAGGGAGATTTGTCTCAAGGCGGTACCCGGCCGCGAAACATCTGCCCATTATTATTTCAGCTGGTCAGAACGTGGCATTGCTTGGATTCGTAGACCGTGAGCCGTCCCCCGACTTGACACTACAAGTGCAAACGCGGGGGGAACACCTCCACAATTCGCGGTGAGATGCCAGTAGAAGATGACGGAACACAGACCAGGTCGTAACACTAGCATTCCTAGCGAATTCACTTAGCCGACGTGGAAAATGGTAGCTTGCGATGTTCGCATGTTGCAGCGCCAACGAGTCTTTCTGCGCCCAACTCCTAGAAGCTTGGTGTTGGTAGTGCAGTCACTGCGGTGCCACTGCGTAGTCAAATTTCCTCGATTCCTCGGCGGTAAACAATTTCGCGCATGGCGAATGCATGGGGTTCTACCATGCATATTGAATGCAGGATGGATGCGTGTTTCTTAGCGTGCCGTGTCTGCCCCCGGTTCGAGAATCAAACGGTCCGGCATGACTTTGAGGTGTAGCCCCGTAGGGAGTGAGATCTGCATGCGCTGGCGCCACGAACAAAGAGACCGGTGGAGACAAGAATGAATCTCTATGAACAGAGTCTGATTTGCTGCGACGAGCTGAATCGTCCATCACTTGATCAAGAATTGGAAGCTTACTGCATTTATACGTATACGAGGACGTCGAAATGGGTTCCATACTGCGGTCCTCCAGACTCGTACGTATCTCAATACGTAGGTGGTGTCTAAAGGCAGTGATAGGCTGATGGGTAAAACATGTAAGCCAACCATTTCCATACCACGGGCGAATAGCCTCCGAATTATCATCAGCCCCAAGAGGCGCATGAAGCATGGTCTCTGACCATTGATTAGAAACAATCGCCGGATGATCGCGTTCAAGTTCCCTCAGCTCCCTCCAGCTACCGTCGAGCGATTTGCACTCAAGATTGATGACCCGATTCTGTATCGCACGTATCTGATAGTAGAGAGCCTGAGCAACAGCCTAGTCACTTTTTATTGTCTCTTCTATACGTCTTGCAGTTCGATCAGAAAGTTCCGGGGCATCCTAATATGACTGTCGATAGTCGGTCATGGTATATGCAGCCTATTTGAATACAAGTCTCGTGAAGTAATAGAGCATCAGCCCAAGACAGAGAGCATTCAGTCCAGATCAGTGCTCCACTGTCTCCGATACTTAAATACACGAGGACTCTAGCCCGTCACCATAAACACCAAGTGATTTAGACAGCAATGATTACACGACTTCGAACATGATAAAACAACCCACGCTTCGCAGAATCAGACTGATTACCCAGAAAGAAAAAAGAGCAGAATGCACCATTAACATTTCCCCATCCCTCAACCCAGACCGGTCTTCGCTCGAACCCCAAGAAGAATAGTAACCCCTCCGACGATCCCATCGACCCCTCACCCCCACCAACGGTCCTTTTCGCGGAACATGTTCGCCCCACCACAGTCCACAACTCAAAACTCACACTTCATCTTCCAATCTCTCTCCTTCCGTCTCAACAATCACCAGCTATATAAAGCAGCGTGCACTTCAAACTTCCATCAATTCGAAGTAACATTCGGTCGACTAGCTCAGCTGGTTAGAGCGTGGTGCTAATAACTTCCTTGTTAACGCCAAGGTCGTGAGTTCGATCCTCGGCAAGTGCCCTTTGAAATACCAAAGATTATATCGAACATTATACTAACGGTTCAATAGCGTTGACCTGAGCCCTCTTCACTATCTTTTTTGGAGTTTTTTTGGCTGTTGGCGGTGGGTGGGGGGTGAGGGGTGGATAAGCGAGACGAGGACTACCCATCACTATTTTTTGTTCTCGGTGTCGAACGAACAACAGTGCTGGTAGGGATGTATAGGTGTATATTTTGAGTATATGTATTTTGAATCAACGTGATCTTTCCGTAGCCTACGAGGAAATGATTGTAAAGACGTAGCGGGTGTGCATGGATGTCATGGGTTGCGTAGGCTGCGTAGTCATGGTGAAGAGATGCGATCGCAAGAGAACAACTACCACTCACGCATCAAACACAGAAATGTACCAACAGACTAACCATATTTCTCTGCAAATACATGAAACATACAGTGTATGTATGTCGGTATCGTCTCGGGCAGTAGCCTGATTTTTTTTTTCGGTACTTCTCAATTGCAGCATGTAGACCCTCGATGTAAATAGTCTGACAGTCTTGGACTGAAGCTTTTGTGAGACAAGATTGGGGAACGCATTTGAGACTAGGATCAAGCGATGAAAGATTCGAGGAGATCATCTATCCACTAGTACTGAGGGATGTTGAGTGGCATCAAGTACACACAGGGGGCACCGAACGAGGAGTCGGCAATGACTGCCACAAAGGAGGAGATGGTCAACCTGCGATCGCAGTGATGGGCGCTGCAGAACAGTGTTAGATGTTCAGTTACAATCAACCTTCACAACACAAAACCATGATCGCACTACAATTCACGAGAGAGAATTTCGTTGTCATGGTATCATTAACTTTGCTACAATTACGCCGTCTCTATCAACCCCAGCCAACGCCATCGTAGTGGGGCGCATCGGAAAACACTCGCACTTCAATTCTCAACCTTTACGGCTTCATCCATCCGGCACGCTCCTTGTTGCAGATGGTCTCCAGGTTGAAACTGTCGCGGAACGCTTCATACTGCTGAAGTGCAGCGGCGTTGGCCGCTTTCACACGACCCGAACTCAGCTTCGAGGTGGCCGCAACAACATCGTTATCGCGCTTCTCGTCGGTCTGCTTTGGTCCGCCTACACATTTACCGCTCTTGCTCCATTGCGCATCAGCGGCCGCCTTCCAGATGGCAGTCGCGTCAACCGTCATTTCAGGAGTGTAGTAGAGTCGGCAATCGGCTTCCTCGTAGACGAACTGCAACGCGGTTTCGGAGGTATCGTTCTGTCTAATGCCATCTCTGACGTTGACACCAGCAGCCCCGTTAGCAGCGCGGCTGAAAACCAGATTCTTCGTATATTCCGTGGCTAAGACCGATTGATTCAGCTTCTCCTTCAGTGCACCGGTGGCGAGGTAAATGGCGTTGCGCGCCGCATTCTGAATGTAGCTCCATCCAAGGTTGTTTACGCCCTTCACCCCACCGACGGCCTGGATCTTGTTCCGGTTGCTGCGGCCACCCAATGCAATGGTTTTGACACCTGCCTGCTGTGACATGAACTCAGTGAATATGGTACAGGTCGAGGCGCAATATCCGTCCGTGAGCATGACAATATTCTCGGCCTTGAACCGGGGACCACCAGTGACGTTGGCAAGGGGCCCGTAGCCAGTGATGTTGATGCCGCCAGAGTACTTGGTCATCACGTCGGATAGATTCCAGCGGGATAGGGTAGTGTAATTGTCGCCATTGACCTCGTGAGGGCCAATCTTCTGATCCCAAGAAGCAAAAGGCTTTCCATCAACAGTCATATCTGTTTTCCGATCGAACCAAGAGTTTTGAATGTTGATTAGAGTATAATTGACAGTATCGACGCGAGGAATGTCGGCAGTGAAAGCGCTGAATGACTCGCCAATGAGATCGGCACCCTCTGTGTATCGCCATCGGTTGGCCCCGTAGGGATCAATTGAAGGGAAAAGCTGCTTGAAGAGGTCGTATCCTTGGAGAATCGTACCGCCACCATTTGCTTGAAGATCAATGATCAATTTGGTTTTGCCATCGGCGAGCGCTTTTGCAAAGAATTTTTGAGATGTCTGCTGGAAAGGCTCTTCCCAAGAATCGACAGTAACGAAATTGATCACCTGAAGAACAGCCACATCTTTATGACCAGGGCTGTCAATGTAAAATCCATTGATGATGCCTCCAGGGCCAGGGACGACGGCCTTGGGGAATCCTGGAGCGGCGGGAGTAACATCATCAGCTTCGGCGTGGACAGCCTGGGCCGAAGCAGCCGCAGTAGCAGAGTAAGTAAAGAATTTGTTGGCCAGGTCTTCACCAGTCGCAATGCCGCGGAAGGTTTGCCACACGCTGGCATAGTTTTCCATGGTGTAACTTGAGCCATTGGCAAACTTGAGCGTCGTTGTAGCGCCAGGGTAGACAAAGCGACCACGACCACCACCTGTGAACGAACCGGATCCGCTGCCTTCCGAACCAAGACTTATCTGAGACAACTCGTAGAAGACGTTGTTGTACAGGGCATCTCGGTCTTGGAGAGTTCCCCACTGGCTCCAGTCTTCGAGGAACTCGATGGCAGGCTTCCCATCGATCTCGACTACAGGCGATGGCGTGTAGGTGATATTCTTGAATTGGAAACCCAATACATCTTCAAATGCAAAAACAGCTGGCAACTTGTCGCCATCCTCGGACACGGAAACCAGAGGAACGGGACGTCCAAAAGAGAAGATACTACCCACCGAGTCGGGAACGTAAGATAAGTGTCCGTCGTGAGCAGATTGGATCAGGGTATAAAGAGACCAGCCAAAATCATATTCGCTAGTGAACTGGCCAGCGTCAAGTTGAGCGGCAATATCTTTCAACCCGCCAAGGATGTCGATTGGAGGTTGCACTTTTTCCGCGTACTCGGCTGGCGGATTCTTGAGAACAGTGAGTGTGCTCTGCCATTCGAGATAGAGAGGCATCTCGGCCAGCAAGCTCTTGGCAGACGAAACATTGACAGGAATAGACTGGAGGCAATCAAAGGCCAATTTGGCAGGGATTTTGGCGGTCAAGAAGCTCGCATCCGGATCGCTGTACACGGCCTCGGACACGCGAGCACATGGTGGCAAAGTGGTGTTTGTGCTCTGGCGCACTTTGAGTGGGCGAAGGTGCTGAGCAGGACGAGGCGCAGGCGGGGCCATTGGCTGAGTGTAGGCGGGAAGTTCATCAACCTAGAAGAGAAGCCAAAGTCAGTATATTCCCAGCAGATGCATGTGCCAATGAATCCTTGAAGCGTTGCTTCTCGGCAGGGCCTTGAACTTACCCTCGATGCCAGAGGATGGACAACGGCAGCGCCGACAGAAACAGCGGCCGCGGCCACAAGGGCGCAAACGGACAGCTTCATTGTGTTTTTGCCGAGACGAGGTCGGGCGAGGATATCAAGAAGGTCGCGGAATATAGACCAACGAGGGGAAGGTTGGAAAGAATGGACAGCAAACAATGTAGTCTGCTTGTAAAAGAGAGTGGAAGAGGACAATTATATATCCCAGCGGTGGTTAAGTGAGAGGGAGGAAAGAGAGGAGGGAGAGGGATGGGGTAGGCGTTATGTAGCAAGTGAACAGGTACCCAGGTGGGCAGGAGCGATTGTCGTGGTCACGTGCGAGGCTTCGGTGGATTGGTGCGTGTTTGGGGAGTCACAACGAGGTCACAGTAACGGCTGGTGCGTGACTGTGTAACCGGTTGTACCTGGATGCGAATATTTTGAGGCGGATTGAAATGAGCAGGAGAAATTACAGGCGTAGGACAATCTTCCAGTCTCCAGATGCCAACGATGGACCAAAGAGATTGATATTAGCTCAGGCAGGTCCTGGGGGAGTCCTCGATTCTCTTTATGAATATTTTGCAGCAGATCCCAAGGGGGCCGGGGCACTAAGCAATGACGCAGGTACAAGCAAGCATCGGTAAACGAGTTAATAAGAAATATACTAGACGCAAGCAAACTACTGTACCCGCCCCGGCGGTCCACGCTCTGGACGGGGCCCCCATATCGACTTGAGTGAATGAGCGGGCGAGTGACTGCACAAGGCCAATCGGCAAACGAGCACCATGGCCTTGAAAACTATAGTGGGCCATGCCGGGCCATCTTTTGCTGATTGGGGCTCTGGCAAACAAACATTTATTGCCGAACGCGGATAGCTGCCTGCAGCATCGAATAGCCTTTTACGAGCATAATTAGACGCATGGAAAGGGGTTTGGACCGTGGCAGGGTTCCGTACTGATCGAATTGTGCCAATGCTACCGGATTGTTGACGATAATATCCATCCATTCACCAGAACAATTCCTGCCACCTCGAGCAGTTCGGTACGTTGACGGCGATTCTTGAAGCTAGAGAATGGCTGGAGATGGAGTCGTCGTCTGTGTGTTCCGAACTTCGGGTCTGGCGGCTGGTAACATGGCCTTGGCACACGTTTCAGGCCACTCCTCTCCACAGAGACATCACTGACATGAACATGCTATCCCACAATAATCATGCACTACCCATTTAGCATCTGCTACCTACTGCCCGTTTTCACCCTCAACACCCTCTAGCTGTCCTTTTTCGTCCCACTATCGCCTCCTATCAGCTATCGTCGTGCTCCAGCTAGTGCCATTGTACGCCTGAACCTTTGGACACACCTCGTCATCGTCTATCTAGCAACGGCCATGGAGGACCATGTCCCTTCTTCTCTTTCTGCCCGACTGACGAGCCCTTCTAGCCTCTCCTCCAGCCTCGTATCACGTTGCCCCCTTTCTTCTCCTCGGCAGCCGAACATTTTCTCCTTTGCCCCAGTGACGCGGCCAGATCTCCAAACATTAATATTGTGATCGCTTTTTACCCCAAGGTCGATCCAGCATGTACCGTCCGTGCATACCAAAGTCGGCTGTTTTTTTTTTACGGGTCCAAAATCTATCATGACGCGCTTTGCATGCGTCCGCGCGCCAAACCGTGCGAAAAATGTCACCGATCGAAGAACCACCGTGCCGTCAGTACCTAGGTAGCGTTGCCTGCCTGATGTCTCGGGCAGTGCGAGAATAGTAAGAAAATCCGTCGGGCACGACATGAAAGCACAACAGCACAGCCCGCACACCCAGCCTCCAACAAAGCGGAACCACGAAAACTGATGGCCGCTAAGCCGAGATTAAGTTTCCGTCACCATACCGAGTCTTCTCCAGTGGTCCAAAAGTACATACCCGCCACGCACAAGGACATCGTTGCCACATCAGTTCAACTGCTAGTGTCGAAACTTCCGGGTACTTCACTAAACCGGCGACCGTCCAGAGTTGCTGCTAGAACACTCAAGATTCGAGACCGATCTGGTCATACCAGCCAAGTAGCGTCAAGCAATATCTGATAACAAAACAAGATCGTTTGTATTCGAGAAAATCGCCGAGGCCACTTTGGATATATTGTTGGCTGCTGACTTCCCCGGGTAAAGCCAATTAATGTGCGACCGATCCCGGCCTTGAGTTCGAGACCACGATGAATATACGAGTATACAGTCTGCGAACCACAAAAGACTAGTCTACCCTCAAACCGTGAGGCATGTGAGACTTTTTCAATTCATCCTCCCGTCAACTAGTCCGGTCGCTCATTCACGTTGAGGCAACGTGTGCACATTCACGACGACGGCAACAAGCACTTGACACCTGCCACGTACACGCTCTCTATTTATCCGCCTCGAAGCCCAGAGTGCCACCCGTTTCTATTCTCGAACATAAGCATCCTTCATGTCGCAAGGGACACTAATGTGAGAGTCACAGAGCGCATGCTCTGCATTCCATCACGTTTCCTTCTTCTACAGACTGGTCCAGTGCGGTTCGAAACGCAACACCGGCGGTATTAATTCCTTTCTATAACAAGGGTATGGCACGCACACCTCTCCCTTCATTCTATTTCCCACAAATTCGTTCGTCACATGTAGTCAACCCAATCGCCGGTCTTAAAATTCACACAGGACGCCGTCGATACTCTCCTTGTACCAACCGAATTCAGAATCCTTGAATTGACTTTACACACTCCATTGTGCCCTCTTCCCCATCCGACCCATTTCTTCCATATCACAGTATTGACAGGCCCATCTTTGTCTACAACTTCACATACTACATACCACGTACAGGCTCAACCACGCAATGTACCGAGAAAAAACATGCTTCCCTTCTGTCCTCTTGAACAACAACTGCAAGACTTCAACAACACCAAAAAATAGCAGCATAGTCCCGGACTCTGTCCTTGGTGGTCCCTATTTGTATACAAAGTTATTAAAGTAGAATCCCGTAGAATGATAGACACCTCATTCCCTCCTCTCTTGAGTAGAAAAGAAAGAATTACTCATCAAACCGGATTTTAATTGTCGGGAGAGGGAAAATAGAAGATGTAGAGACATCGGACCTACTTTGACTGCTACTTCTTTCCTCTTCTTTCTATTATTTCTCCCTCTCCATTGTACATCCAGTGAGAGCTACAAATCCTTACCATAGAACAATTGAAAATGTATAGACCAAAGAAGGAAATACACAGCCATCAGGGCACACTCACAAGAAAAAGGGACTAAAACCTCATATCAATTGACTGCGCAATTGATGCCGATGAACCAGTGGAGATGTACGGATTTGGGAATATGTGTAGTGTTGAGGTTGAAGAACCCCATGGTACGCTCGTCGCCCTCCGCTATTAAAAGAGCAGAGTTCTCACAAGGCTCAATATGGCACCCCACTCCCCTCGGTGTACATCACAGAACATCTTCACCGGAATAAGAGCCAAAGACGAGAAACTCAATGGTCCCTAGGTAGGAAATAATTGCTAGACCAAGTATTCTTTACTGTATTATTGTATTGCATTAAACGACATCGACATGGCACATTTACAAGCAACATAAAATCGAAAAGTAACAGTTCAAAATCTTCAGTCGCATCTCCCAGTATAATTACATACACACGCACCAGTCGCCTTCGTCGTGCTTTTCCGCGTCTCACCTCCATCTCCACTTGTTGTTTTTAGGAGCCCCTGGAATAACATTGATCTCATTGTACAGACGCGAGCGGACCATGAATGATGTACAAAAGAAAAAAAACACAAGCACAGGTACTCGTGCAATAAGAGAGGACCGAAGTTTCTCGCTATCTCACAAGCTCCAAATGCTCACTGAGAGAGCCGGTGGAAGAAGGATTTTGCGACAAGTTGGTAGAGTTTTGCGGGGTGTGATGGTGAGGCTGTTGGTTGAGGATGGCGTTGTACTGTTTGCTCAGAGATTAGCTTGTGCGGTATATACCAGGTAATCTGTATCCGTGGTTTGCTAGGAAAAGGCGAAGGGGTGTGTAGGGGAATAAGGAGTGGGGAGAAAACATACCTTGAAAGCAAAGTTAAGACAAAGCGCCACAACCAGACCAACGCACACCACCAAAGGTCCCAATACACTATCGAAATCTTTACCACTCCGTTCTCTGATCAAGCGGTTGCGCCACATATATACGCCATATCCCCATGCGAGGGTGAAAACCGCAAAGACAATGTACACGATGGCAAGCGCTTGCGCAACGCGGTTGTTCTCCCCAGCAGCATTGTACAGACCGAGCGACAACGATGCTAGCAATACACCGACGTGCTGCCACTTGATAAATGTGCGTTGGTTAGCCAGCCAGACTTTGGCTTCGACGCGCACAGGGCCCTGATCCTTGATCCATACACCAGGGTCACGGATCCCCGGTGGCAGTTGCACCTTTTGCTGCCCCTTTTTGCGGGCGTAACGTGAGGTGGAAAACGACGGGAACAGGGAGCCTAGACCTGTGCTGCGTGAGAAGGGAGCATCTTCCCGACCATTGGCTTCGCCTTCACCATCTGATTCTGCCTCTTCGTCACCAGGATTTTGAGCACCTTGATCCGTAACGTTGCCCATCATCGAGGGTTTAGTGGGTGCGCTGGCTTTGCGGGAGGACATGGCGCCCGCAGGAGAGCCAGTCATATTGGCGGGGGACATGTGCGAAGCACGGAATGAAGGACTCGCGTGGGTACCAAACAACGAACCGACTGCTAGATCGTCTTCTGCGGCCTTCTTCTTGCGTTGCTGCTCCCCCTCAAAGGCTTGTTCGGGGTTGAGCTTGATGTCGGTTTCGACTTCGTTGAGCCAAAAGGGGAACGTGTTGACTTGATCCTCAAACAGCTTTGCCACTCCTTGAACAAACTTGGAGAAGCGCGGTGCTTCTTTGACAAGGTGAGAATTAATCAAATCGTCGATCCATTCGTACCTCTTGCCGCGCTTGACCTTGATCTCCAGAAGTGCATGGGGAAAGTCGTAAAATTCTCCCTTCCTCAACCCACTAAATGGATATTCCATCTGACGATCGTCAATGTCCCGCCTATGCCAGTCATCCGGGTCACGGCAAGGCCTATCCATGTCCAGAGCATCCTCGCGGATGAGAGCCAGATTGGTATCCAGTGAAACGCGCACGCGGTCGTCACCAGGGATTTGGAAAGCGGTGCGCGTGTAGTTAGCCCGAAGGACTGGCTGCAAACCGCGGTCTCCTATGAAGCTCTGGATATCCTTGACCACTGTCTTGAATTCACTAACATCCTCTTCGTCCTTCGTACTGCTCTGCTCCATCTTTTGTACGCTCTTCTCCATGCTATATTTTCCCTCAATAAAAGGTTGAATGTACTTTTGCTTGATTGCGAAGCGTTGTTCTGAGCTCGCGTCACCTTCCTTCATTTCCTTCTTTTCGAAATATATGGTGGGATCCTCTGCCAATTGCCCATACCATCTCAGCCGGAGCGAGGTCGCATTAGGAACGTGGGTGACCTTGTCACTGTATAAAGAAAAGTCCGGGTTATCGAAGTAGATGGAGGTGATGGTGGGGTCACGCTGGGATCCCTCGGCGATTCGAGAAGACTGGGGGTTGTAGACAAGCACGGGCAGGCGACGTAGGATGACGGTCTTGACTTCGAGAAGATTGTCCTTGTGTACCCAAACTATATTGCGTTAGGAAAACCATGAGTATGATGAACACGGGCTTACATTTGTAAGAGGTCGAGTCCTCTCCGTTGGTTGGGTTCTCATTGAAGGAAAGCTCCGCTTGGGGCTTTCCGGCCAGGCTCTGGCGGACGAAGGCATACATGGCAGACAGACGGTAGACTAGCGGCGAATGATCTTCTGTGTATATGGGCTTTTCGGCAAGGCGTGCATTGACAAAGGGACGCAACCTGTACGAACGGCCGCGCAACTTGTCATGCTTCTTGGTAGCCTTCAACACAGCGGTATAGTTGATCCTGCTATACGTCTCCAGCTCCTTGACCTCCTTTGTAATGGCATCCAGCTCGGCCAGGACTTGGTTGAGAATCTTCTTCTTGTCCTCTTCCTTGACCACGGGCTTTGCAGCAGTGACATCGGCATACGAGGGAGCATCTTCTTTGTCCTCTGTATCCTCGGATTTGATACCAACAGCCAATGGCTCAAGCTTCTTTTCGCAGGCTGACAGGCGCTCGCGGAGCTTCTGGGTCGTGTTCTTCTTAAAGTTGTAGACCTTGTCCAGCTGCACATTGGCCAGCTCCTCGGTGAAGCGCGTCACATCGTCCGAGGTCCACTGCTTGTCGTCATCGTTCTCGCGGAGGAGCTGCTTGAGCTTCTCGTAATCGACGTAGTGGTCCTTCCAAGGGGCGTAGACGCTTCTGCGGAGGGTGGTGCCGAACTTCATGGCGGCGGAGCTTGCGAGCTACTAAGCAAGTAGTTGTCGTAGCGAGTGGTAACGGGGGTTTTGACGGTGCTAATGGCTAATGGCCTGCAGGCTGTGAGCAGTCACCTGCAGAGAAATGGCAATGCTGCAGAAGGATAATAAAATGGTGCGTCAAGACATGCAACAACAAGAAAAAGGATGCGACAGCAGCAGCGACAAGCTTTGCAAAAGTGCTGTGAAGCAATCGAGGATAGGTGGGGCGGGAAGAGCAAACCATGGCAACCAATTACACGGCGCACGTGCAAATGTTGTTTCGGTCAGTGCCTTCCATCGTCATAACAGCAACGGTCAACCAGACAAGTCGGGCCGGACCGAACCAAGGTTCCCCATCTGAACCTCACTCCGTCCAACACACAACCACAACAATGCACAATCCCAACACATCAATCAACGTTGCAGACATCACACATCATCACTCGAATCCATTCGTGGACAACAAGTAGTGGCAGTTTAAACAAGTAGACATTTTTGAGTTATCGCGGCCGCAGGAGGGGATAAATCCTCAAATGTAGCGCCCGCCCGCCAGAGGCCCCTATTTGCAGGTATATAATAAACACGAAGAGTAATCCGAGTGAGCAACTGACCACGCAGCTCCTGCACCCAGAGAATGCAAGCCTTGCAGGCGTAGAGACTTTCGGCAAGAAGAGAAGAGAAGTTACTTGTCATGCAAGAACAAAGTGGAGTGTCCAACCCAGAGCACACACGCAATGGTTTTGCAACAAAGAAGGTAAATGCGCATGAATCATCAGGAAAAGAGCTGGGCAGCAGCAGAGTGAAGAGAAGGAACAAAACAGAGGCTGGACAGCAGGTTGAAACCAAGAACAAGCACCAGCTGCTGCTTTAGTCGGTCCACTTAAATCCCGAGTATTTGCCAGCTGCGGCAGCAACGTTATCGCCGAACGAGCCGACAACGTTGCCAGCAGGGGCGTAGTTGCAGACAGTGTACTTGTTCAACTTGGAGCTGGCTCCGCCGACAGTCATCCGGGCGCCACAGTCAACTGTAACGCAGCCAACGTGGGTGGTGCCCTTCCAGAGCATCTGGGTAAGGTGACCGTACTTCTCAAACTCGTCGTGGTCCAAAGCACCGGTGCTGTCCTTGGGCGGTTCCTGGTCCCAGTAGTGGTAGATGTCGGCCTCGCCCTTGTACCAGGACTCGGTGATGCCGGCGGTCACGTTGTAGGCGTCTCCGGAGAGAGTGAAAAGGTTCTGGCCTTGACCCTTGGTGGTGTGGTGCTCAAAGTCGCAGAAAGCGGCAGCCGTCTTGGCACCGGCTTCGCAGTCGTCGCTCCACTCCAGGTTGCTAGCGCCGTGGTTGGCACGAGCGCGGTTGTGGTGCCAGAGCGCAGCGTTCTTGTAGTCCTGGCCGGAAGAGAGTTCGGCCTGGCCTTCTCCAGAAATGTGGTCTACGCCGTACACGGGAGTAGCTGGGGGAGGAGGGGCAGAAGATGACGGGGCGGGAGGAGGAGGTGCATAGCTAGAGGTTGTAGGGACAACCGTGGTGGAGGGCTTGGCAGACGTGGTAGGGGCGGCCGAGGTGGTGGGGACAGCCGATGGGATGACAATTGGCGTGTAGATGGGCACTGGCGACGAGGAAGAGGAGGGGGGTGGTGGTGGTGGGACCTCCGCATACGAGGATGGGGGAGCAACCTCAGCATACGAAGACGGCTTGGGAGCAACGTAGCTGGGCTCGGGCTCGGGCTTGTGGCTCTTGACTGAAGCGTCGGCGCTCGCGGTGGGTAGAGGTTGACCAGCGGTAACGTAGACGGTGACAGTCTCGACGTGGACACGGGTCTCGGTGTAAACCTTGCGTCGCTCAATGGGACCAGCAAGAACACCGGCAGCCAGAGCTGAGGCGAGAACAACGGAAGAGCGCATCTTGAATTTGTTTTGAGTCAGGTGACGGATATGGAATCTTGGATCGTTGTAGTGGGACGGTTGATCAACTGGAAGGGAAGAGTCAGAAGAGATATTCAAACGAGGGTGCTGGGATCCCAGGGAAGAAGATGGAGTTTTTTTTTATCGACGACATGGAGAGAAACATCGCCACCAGCCATGAATGCAAGCCAGTGGGCACGAGGACGAAAGCAAGAGGGTGTACGTACATGGGCGATTGTGTGTTTTGAAGCTGTGGGCTAGTACGACCGAGGCGTACAATGGGACAAGAAGAGAGTGACTGAGTTGGATAAAGAAAATAAAGAGTGTGGGGTCTGGTAGCTAGCTACACAAAGGCGTCTGATCAACAAAGGAATGTGGGTGATCGCAAAAGATGAGGAGGGAAGAGAGGGATGGAGGCGTATAATATGTATAGTCCGACGGCTTCGTTAGGCTGGAGCGCCTGACATGCCTGGGCTGGGTGGACCGGGGAGCCCCTGGAGAATCGGGAAAGCACCGAGATTAAGCGAGGCAGGAGCGATCGCTGAAACGCCAAAACACAGAATGCAGATTACACAGCCAGGGCGGTTTGATGAGAGAGCAGGGCACGTGAGCGGGAAGGAACACCAGGGCACGGTGGGATATTACACCAGCAATTTCTGCCTCGCTGGCCAGCCCGGGTTCTCGTCATCACGGTGCGCCCAAGCCACTGCCCATATACATGTCTGTTCTGTGGTGGTGCTGCTGTCTGCGCCGCATGTCGAAGGAGCAGGCTGTGTTTGTTTGTTCGTCCTCGGCTGCCCTAATATAAACAATGATACCTCCTCGCGCATCTCACCCGGGTGACCAGCCACGGCAACCACGGCACCAGAATTCAACACGCAGAAGAACAAGATCAATTCACTGGGCGGGCCGAACTATAATTGCTCGTGGCTAACGACTCCACTCTGCGACTCGATGTTTGATGAAGGGACGTTGGTCTGATCTAGTGCCCGGCCTCGTGATTGGCTGCCGTGGTTTGGTGGGGAAACGCCAGTCCCCGAGCCTTATTTCCCGGATGCTCGACATCTTCACTCACCCTCACTCTCTATCCAGTCATGCCGTGTCTTCGTCCACTTTGATGTGATGGATGCTTGCACACTTGTTTCCTGCTCGTCACATCTCCATCGGTTTCCTCGTTGCACATGTCGGTTTCCTGCCTGCATGGAGCCTCCCACCGCGTTTGCAGTCCCGTCGAGATTGGCCCGGAAACCGGTGGCGGCTCCCTCTCATTAAACTCGGGCATCCTGTACAACTGCATCCAACAAATTCATGCACTCTGGCCCACGTCAGCCATGAGTTGGATCACGACCATCTGCCAAATCTCCAGACCTCATGCTTTCTTCTTCTCCCGCTCCCCTATTTCCACATTTGCACACGGCACCCGCAATGGCACGCCAACCCCTCCTGTGGTCTAAAACATCCACATCCCAACTCAGTGCCTCAAAACCAACTTCTGCTCGCCAATCTTCCCGCTCCCTAGCTCCCGCTCTATCCATTTACTGAGTTACAGCCTACCTTACTCCTGTCCCACACCGCTGCCCGCGTGCTCTTCTTCGTATTGTGGCGAGCAGCCATCAGTCAGGACCACACCCACCATCGGCGCCCAGTGCCCTTTCTGGAACACCAGCTCGTTTGCACTCGCTCTCCTTTCTCCAAAATGCATCCCAAAGCAGGCCTTTGTCAAGGAAAGTAGGTACCCAGGTAGGCATCTCGTCAGCAGCTCCAGAACCACCAGTCATCACCTCTCGCCCGTCCTCGCTCCTTCGTTCTTACCCGAGACCCAATTATAACCACCCAAGATTACCCCGGAAATTCCTACCTCCAAATCCGCAGTACGCATCTTGGAGTAAGCAATCACCGCCCAACCACACACGTACCCTTGCAGAGCAAGTAAGCCAAGGCACCTGCGAAACCTCGCATGCAGTAAGCAAAAAAGTCCCGAACGTCCCTCCAGCCACAACGCCCATTTGCCAGAAAGACCAGCCCCATCCAAACGCCCGTTGCTTGCCTTTTTTGCGTGCGCCTCTTATCCACCACCGCCCGCCGCAACCACCAACAACGCGATTGGCATGTGTGCAGTCTCACTCTGTTTCACGCAATGTCGCAAGGATATGCGCCCTTCTGTCTTCACGTAGGTACCCTTAGGTCCCCACTAACACTACCGGCAACGTGGGACAAAGACCCGCGTCGCGTGTCAATGCCACTTTACAACTATTCCCGCGGAGACTACAGTATCAGCAAGACCAGCAAGAAAAAGAAAACAAAGAATCGGGCGCTGTTGGACTGCCTGACAGCCAACTACTCGCGCAAAACCTGACCCACCCTCTACTATTCTTCGTTTCATATCTTGTGCTCCAAGTGACTTGCGCCAATGTTTGAGACGGTGTCTAAAGGATATAGTGGCGAATCCCCGTGTCATGACTACTTGTACCCACCACTGACTGCTGCCACTCTTTTTTTGTTTTCTTTCTTTCTTCCTTTCTTTTTGTTCGTGTCATCAGACCTGGTCCCGTGGGTTTAGGTGACAAAGATGTCTATTCTGGGAACAGGGGGGTGCGAAGTTGGTGTCTGCTGCACGTTTGGACAGCTTTAGGCCATCTCATTGATTAGGTGTTCTTGCGATATCACTAACAAGACTGACCTCTTGAATCATTCCAACTCCAACAGATGAACAGATATATCGTCCAGATAGATATCACAATTCCAAATTGGATTTCGGGTAATCCTACACACAGCGATAGTTGCAACGATAGATATCGCTAACTAGGTAAACAACAGGGTAGATACGTAGACATATAGACATATGCCCCAAACACCCAATTATCATCATTAAGAACCCCCAAAGCAAACCCCCTCCAAAGGGAAACAAGTAAGAAACGAAAAAGTAATATCAGAATGTCGTTAAGAAACATCATAATCCTCCACATACAAAGACACACACAACATCAGCAAAACCTCATCACGACATGACAGTATCCCCCAAATCCACCTCCCTACACGCACCGGCCTCACAAACCAACACGCCCTCCTTGCCGCCATCCATACTCTTCACCAACGCATTCCTCTCCCTCAACCACATCCCCAGCCCTTCCTTCCCACCAACCCGACTCACAGTCCCCACCCCAACAGGTCTTTCCCTATACCGTCTAAGCCACTCGTCCACCCTTTCCCCCTCCCCAGTAACAACCACATGCCGAACGCCAAACCTCCCCGCAACAACCGCATCCATCATTCCGGGAAACAAGAACGGGTGCTGCATGACCTCAGCCTCAAACGCATGCAGCGTGTCTCTAGCTTTAGCCCTGTACGCGTCGTCCTCGAGCAGGTTGGCCAAGCGGTCGAGGTTGCGCGCAGACACGCCGTTGGTGCCGGGCTCGGCGTTGTCCATGCCGTCTTTGAGCCGCATGATGAGGTCTGCCTGGCCCTCGGGCGTCGAGAAGAAGCCCAGGTTCGCCGTATCCCAGAATTGCGCGATTTGCGTGCCTTGCAGGTTGTCGGCCCACGAGAGATATGTGTCGTTGAACGTGGCTTCGTACAGGTCGAGAAGACCAGAGATGAGGTAGGCGTAGTCGTCTGCGAAGCCGGGCACGGTGCCGGGGCCCTCGCGGTAGACGCGGAGGAGCGTGTGGGTGGTGGGGTTGTACAGGTTCTGTTTGATGAAGGCGGCGGCTTTCTCGGCGGCTGCGAGGTAGGTTTGTGGGGAGGGGGAGGAGGATGGCGGGAGTGCGGCTGCGACGCGCGCGAGGGCGCCGATCGCGAGGCCGTTCCAGGAGACTACGATTTTGTCGTCGAGGGCTGGGCGGGGGCGTTCGCGCTCGCGGTGGGCCAGGAGTTTGGCCCGCCCGTTTGCGAGGATTTGTGTGATTTCCGGGACCGAGAGGGCGAATTCGCGGGCTAGGTCTTCTGGGGTTGTGGAGCCGGCTTGTGAGAGCACGTTTTGGTTGATGAGTTCGTCGTGTGCGTCGTGCTCTGGGCTCACGTTGCCTTCGTCTTTGACGTTGTAGTGCCGTGCGAGGATGTCGGCGTCGCGTTCGCCCAGGACGGTTTGGAATTCTTTGAAGGTCCAGACGTAGAAGGCCCCTTCGCGCTTTTCCTTGTCTGTGGAGCGATAGAGGGAGTCTGCGTCTTCGGCAGAGAAGAAGCCTCCGTTGGGAGCGTGCATAGGAGGGCTTGTGAGGTAGGTTGCGATGTCGTGAACAGCGGATAGGTGGGCGGGGTCGCCGGTCAGGAGGTAGGCATCGAGGTAGACAGGAAGAAGCTGCGCTTGATCATAAAGCCTGGAAACTGTTAGAGGATGCTATGCAGGTATGAATCTGAATCTGCGGCTCACATCTTCTCAAAATGCGGTAAACTCCAATCACGCGTCACTGAGTATCGAGCAAAGCCGTGGCCAATTTGGTCATGAATTCCACCCTTGTTCATGGCCGTCAATGTCGCCAATACCATGTCCTTTGCCTGTGTACACTCCTTTGCGCCCACTACATCGGCAACAGCGCTGGGATAGGAAGTCAACTTCAGGAGGAAGCTGAGATTCGCGGGTGTGGGGAATTTAGGAGCACCTCCGAAGCCTGCAAACTGCTTGTCGAATTTTGCGGCAAAATGCTCATACGCGTCGTCCAGTAACTCCAAGTCCAACCCGTCGGCTTCTGCGCCCTCTTGCCGACTAATGTTTCCATCTTGAGCGAATTCCTTCAACTGCGACGTGATGTCTTTCGCAGACTCCAAACAACGTTCCCGCTGAGTCTTCCACATATCCCTGATCTTCTCCAAGATGCCGACAAATCCCACATGTTCGCCCAAGGCCATGGTGGAGCCGGGCCCAGGCCAGTATGTGCCGCCGAAAATGGGCTCAAGATCCGGGGTGAGGAAGACGTTGAGAGGCCAGCCCCCAGAGCCCGTCGTCGCCTGGACGTAGTTCATGTATATGCGATCGACGTCTGGCCTTTCCTCGCGATCAATCTTGATGGGGATGAAGTAATTGTTGAGCAGAGCCGCCACTTCTGCGTTCTCAAACGATTCCCTTTCCATTACGTGGCACCAGTGGCATGCGGCATATCCAATGCTGATGAAGATCAGACGGTCGGACTTTTTGGCCAGCTCGAGAGCTTCCGGTCCCCACATCTGCCATGCGACGGGGTTGTTCATGTGGGCGCGAACCTTTGGCGCAGAGGTGTGTTAGAAGAGTGTGCGCAGCACGGCATTGAAAGACCACTGATGTCGCAATGGAGCTTCGACTCACATATGGACTCCTGCTCTCGCCGAGCCGATTGACGAGCTTCAAGTCATTTCCTGTGGCAACCGAAGACGAAGCTCCAGCTTCTGAAGTGCTCCTTCCGTCCATTTTGAGTATCTGTGTGTGGAATCTCAAGGCGCGGGTACGCGCGGGCTTTGTTGGCGGGGCAGCTTGCTGCACTGCGATGCGAGGGGTGGCGTTTACGACTGCAGGTTGAAGGGAGGCTGCGGGAGAACAGGGCGCTCGAAGTCGGAATCGCACTTGAGGCATACACTTGAGTGCAGTGCGGACAGAGTCGTGATGTAGTAGTGTTTCTGGAAACAGCAAAGGGCAGATAAGGAACGAGAAAATTCGGTGGCGTGCATTTTCCCGGCAAGCTCCACGAAGCTCTCTCTCTCCTCCTCATTCTACCACCACCACCACCACCACCAGCACCCCGCCGCACCACCTCCGCAGCGCGGTCCGACGTAATGCTGTAGGGCTGATGCAATGGCCTGTCTCTTTGATTGGCCCGGGACCCTGGACCCTGGATCTCACCTCGGCTATACTATCTCAATATTGTGGAGCCTCGAAACTTTTTCTGATCGTTTTTCCTTTTCACTTTTGATTCTTCCCCACCCCTTATCTCGACTCCCCGATAGCAATCCAAGTGGAGTCCATGTTTAGTTTGATGATGCTATTACTCATTCAATGTCCAATTGCTACTCGTCACTAGCTTCAAGTCGGAACAATATCCAATGTTGAGGGAAAGAGGTGTCCAGATATCATCGCAACCGCTTTCAGTAGTGTCGATCGCGTCAGAAATACAAGTGATGACGATCTCGCCGAAAAGAAAAGAAAAAAAAATATTCGAGCTGCATGAGAAACAGCCGGCGTGACCGGGATTGTAGATCTTCCCCTGGAAATGTGTACCGCACTGAGCATATGGCAGGTTTAGCGATTCAACGTCTCCTGTCATTGATAGCGGAGATATCCAGTGCCCTGATATAAACTCAGGCCTGCCATTTTCTCCATGTGCAGTCACTTGCGGGCCATTATTACTCTGCGTCCAGATTCTATTTGTATTCAACATGGCTACATATTCAAGTGTTCGGAGAGTCTGGTATTACCATCTATTCAATACCTCACACCGTGTTTACCTACGAAAAAGCACTCAACATCACGGTTTCAATATCATACATCACTTGGTCATATATCTTGTACTGGGAAAACGATGAAATTCAAAAATACTAGTCAAAGGGCCGGCTGCTCCCATCGTCGCCGCTGCTCAGCCTGCAGCCCAGAGGCAATTCGCCCCATCAACTGCGTGATGTTCAGTCTCTGGGCAGGATCCTGTTCCAGACAAGCACCCACGAGTCCACGCAGCTCCTCGCTGTACTGGTCTGCTTTCCTCAAATTGGCATCGAAATCAGCATCCATCCCCCATGTCCTCATTGCCAGCATGCAGTATATCACCAGTCCCAGCTGGTAGATATCCGACTTGAGGCTGAAGTAAGGAGACTCAGGAGCTGCGAACTCTGCATTCTGCCACATGCATAAAAAGGGCTTATCGACCTCTGCGCTTGAGTCTGCAGCCAGGATTGCTCCGTTTTGCAGCTGTGAAAAGTGTGTTGCGCTGCAGCCGAAGTCGCCTAGCAGGACTCGTGGCAGCATTGTTTCACACCCATGATCTACAGTCAAGAAGACATTGGACGGGCTTATGTCGAGGTGGTAGATGGGGTTCCAGGTGGCAAGGGTGGACGAGAAGACGTCAACGATAGGACCTTGCTGGCAAAACCTTACTGCTTCGGCAAGTTGGGCGAAGACATGCCAGATCTCAAACTCGGAAAACTCTCGATCCTGCTCATTGAGGAAGTCGATGGCGTTGGAAAGTGTGCCTTGATTGCAGTAATCGAGCCAGACGCTTCCCTTTGTCTCTTCCACGGACCCGTCTTGAAGGTACCAGCCCTCAATCGACGTGATGTTTGGGTGTCCGCGAAGCTGCTTCAGAATCTCAATCTCCTTTTGCGCAGGGCCGTTCCAGACATCATATAGTTTGAAACGCTTCTCGATGAGAAGACGTTGGCGAGTATTGTCGCGGACAAGCAGGATTCCCTCGTTGTTGCATCCGTCGGATTCTTGGATCTCCCGGACTACGTCGAGGCTGTGATATTCCATTTTGTATGCTTTTGACATTTGAAGATGGTTTTTGGTGTTGCTTGTTGCTTATTGAGTTGAAGATATTTGTTTGTTGAACTATCTACGGCTACTGCGGCCATACTGAATATTTATCATGAAGCGTTCGTGTTCCAATGTACACTGTGAAAGTCTCTGTATATAGCTAGGTCAATATCAGGAGTAAACATGGTACTGCACAATGCTGCTGTGCAGGTAGAAAAACGAACAACCAACAATGCCACCAAAGAAACCATAAGGAACGGCTCAAGGTTGAAGATAGTCGCATTGTATAATACCCGGGGTGCAGAAAAGTTAGATACTAAGACGCCATGTAGTGCAGCGGTTCAACACCCTGACAACCTACTCGAATGTGCTTAAATCCGACTCCTTCCTTGCTATTATGGTGTATTATTTGGAGCACACAGCGTATCCTATGCAGATACGCAACTTTCTGAGCCAGTGGGGAATTGTGAGGAGGAAGTCAGCGCTTGTCGACTTGGTAGTCCTCCCCACGCGAATGTGTTGCCGCCCTGGATGCCATTTGTTTCGCAGGGCAATATGACAGGCGGAGAAGAATTGATGTCTTATATTTATCGTCGAGCCAATGTTTGCTTTTAAGAATACATCAGTTGTGTTTTACATCGCGCTCATCAGTACCCATGCATGTATTATCCATCATTAGCACTTTGTTTGTGTGTGAGATTCATCGATTGCATTTCAATAAAAACAACTTCGCAATCTATCACTTTACCATCGGTGCGAAGCAATTGGACTTTGATTTGTCTCTACACAGTTGTATCCACAGCTCACCTCGTCGTTGGATTCTGCATCGTTGATGTTGAGATATAGTTCATCATTGGACCAAACAAAACGATGGTACCCCACACAATGAAATGAATCAGCTGGTATAGACTTTACTGGTGTATCTTTGTAAAAAAACATTGGGGCCGCTGCTAAGTGTAGTGAAGTTTACACCGCCTATTTTCAAGGCTGTGCAGTGGCGCTTCTAGTGTGTGGCACTCGAATAGGAAAAGTATTGCTCGCTTACGATCAGGTCATCAAGGCGGGAATCCACCAAATGAACGTGCACTCCTACCGCCCCTAACCAGATCACTAGATTTCGGTCGGTATAAGTACCTACCTACGTGCCAATCCGCTGGTCGACTGAGCGCCCCAAACCGAATTACCAGCAAATCGGAATCAGTAATGAAGATGGGATTGCTATTTGATGGTATGGACTATAAGAAGGAAGTCGGCTACTTCCGCTCGTGAGGATTCCTAAAGATGATACTCGTCGATATCTTTTAACAGGCTTAACTTTAGGCTTCATGATGAGAAATCCCGATACGCTCAGGACGTGATCAGAACCCGAAAACAATTGCCAAAGACTGCTAAGGACATTGATCGAATCAAAGCGAACATGCTGCAAAAGCCGCCTACGCCACGCGCTGAAAACCGCCTTCGGGAATTGGAAAGAGAGTACACAGATCTGACAGCGCATTTCGAAGCGTCACAGCGGAACTACATCACGGCTGGACAAAACATTGAGGTGCACATATCAGACTTCATGAAGCCATCAAGCTTAGCACTTTGCGCAGGCATGATGACTCGTTTACCCAGGGAACTACGGGACCAGATCTACGAAACAGTTCTCATACTTGTGTGGAAAGAGCGAAGACAGGGTTGGTTCACCATTACCCATGAGCACCAGCCTAATGTCCATTTCTTGATGAAGGAAAAACCATGGGATGACGATGATGCTTTACCGATATATCCGATCACGTTACCCGACTATCGCGACGTGGCCCCTTCGCATCTGTGGAATGAAGGGTATGTGGGTCTTGACGTGCGCAAAGAGCTGGTTGAAGCTTTCTATCGAACAGGTCGATTCTGTCTCGACATGTGCCAACAACGCAAGAACTTCAAGATCGACGAATTCTTGACCGATGACGTATGGAATACGGGAATCAAGCCGTATGACTTTGTCTCGCGGGTCTACATCGATTACATCTATACTCCTTATGTGGAATGCGTGACGAAGTTTCGCAAGAACTCCCAGATTGCAATACTGCTCAAGTTGAGAGCGTTCCAGTGGAGCATGAACATGTCGAGAAGACTCCTATCGCATGTGGATCACAGCCTTCTACAACCTTGTAGAGAACTTCGAGAAGCAGGATATAAGGTACTGGTGTTCATTGATGGTATCGCGGTAGACTTGGATAAAGGTATGGATCCAGCCAAGGTCCCGGAATGGGTACAGGCTCATGATGACCTTCGCTCTCGCTATGGTGGCACCTTGGATTAGTTAATATGTTGGAACAGTGTGGCTTTTCTTTTCTTTGTGCGATGGATCCCACCAGACTTCGATCAAATGTGCGCAATGAAGTCGGAAAGGGAAAACTGCAAAATGCTTGTCGCGATCCTCAATTATATATTATGTAGATTTTGGAGAATGCTGTACGTAATAGACGAAATCATAGCGCCATCAATTTGTGAAGAATACCATAGCTTCATGATTCCATATGTATATATCGCATGAGATGACACCCGGTTACAGCTAATGCGTCGTACGGGTCACGGCGTCTACAGCTTCAAATGTTGTTTGTACCAAGGAACAAGTTGGCCCCACATTTTGAACTGTCTATTTGTAGCGTATATAGCTAATTCCCCTATCTTGTTTCGTCTTACGGGGCCACAACAACTAAAAAGCGAAGAGCTTGCATTCGCTGTCACCTGTTCTCGCGCCCACGATGTCTTGGAGGAGTTTAATCAACACCCACTATTATATCACCAACTCCGCCTGCACCGCCCCCACTCATGGTTATTTCAAGCCAACGGAGCACTACAACCCTTTCCAAACCGATTTAGTAAATTTGTAAGGCCCCACAGCTCCTGTCATTTGTCTTGCTAAGCGTTCGCCCAACTCACCAGCCACCTGTCGTTTCGACTTCAAGAAACCACCCCTCTCCATCCACCACACGCTCTACCCCTACACTTCCCCCGCCAAACTCACAAAAATGGTCAATCTGAAGCCCCTCCAAAAACCAATCTCAGCATCATGGGAGCGTACCATCACGCGCAATGACTACAACAAAATGCTGAAGGGTTTCCAACCCTCCGACATGGATCACAAGTGGGGCATGCAAGCCGATGCGCCCGACGCGCAGGGAAACATCAACCTACACGCCTACAGAAGCTGGATGTCAGAAATCATGTTTTCAATCACTGTTGAAGTTGCAGATCTCAATAGCACAGAAGATAAGGACTGGGCCAAGGTCGTCAAGATATCGTGGAATGAGCAGCCGGGTGGTATGAAGGTTAGCGAGGCGGAGGCAAAGGAAGATATGACCGACCTGTGCCGCAACCTTCTAAGCTGCAAGATATAGTGATGGCTGGCGTTGGCTATGATCGCGCCATTTACATTTCTTTTAGGAGATGTGCCGAAGGATATGGGTGAGTTGTACCCTTTGTACCGAGTCATCTGCCATTAAATTCCCATATGGCGTGGTGTTTAGATTCGCCATTCAGTGAAACAGTTTTCGATAGTGTCGCTAACCTTGTACCAGCAGTGTAGTATAGGTGGCACATTAGGAGTGAATGATGAGACTTGAGATCGACTGAACACTTCGATCTATCGTTGCAACTAGTTTGAAGACATAAAGATGGTCTTTCGACTTCAATGAAATTTTGACGTTTCGTCTTATGTCGTCTTACTCATCGAATTGCAAATGTTCAGAGCCCTCTTGCATGTTCCTGAGTTAATATGGGTAGCGAGATAGCAGGCCAGTAGGAATGAAACGACGTTTCGCAAAAGATGGCCGACTTGTGCCGAAACAGCTACTCACAGATTGAAGTGCGCTCTTTGGTCGATCCCGCTATATCGTGGTACGTGTATCTTGGATCCCTTACTTATTCCCCGACTAGGTGTATTTCATTTTTCTAAAGATTGTCGTCATGTGACTTGTATACTTAAAGGCCCGATGGATGTTCACTATAAGACACCCATGCTCTTCCGGTTACAACATCAGGGAACCGCTTCTCAAGGTCGTTTGACTGACTTTTTAGTTGCACGTCAAGACCTCAGCCTCCGAGCAGCTGTCAATTGCCGTAGATGCCATCGGCTTCGGTTCTTTGTCCAAGTTGTCCGAGACGATCGAGATCTCGTCAACACAACATCTAGTTAGTGCTACGCTCTAGATACTGCCTAGTATCCTGACTGCAGCAAGTTGTTGTCTCAAATAATCACAAGGTTTATCTGGGTCCTCTGATGGCTGATTGTAGAGTTGATTGGCTAGCTAATGGATTTACTCTACAAAGGCGCCCAGAGGATTCTTCCTGTCCAGGCTGGATCGAAGATTATGTGAAAGGCGGCGTCTCATCTTGTAAAGATTTAGTCTTTCTTTTGCGTGGAGGTGGAGATTTCAAGTGTTCATCCAAGAGAACTACTGCAGAAGCGGGACCCCGTATTAACCCGACGCGCTTACTCCCTGCATGCATAAGCAGGGCGGTCTGAATTATCTTGCATCAAGTATCGAGTGTAGCAAGCTGAAATCAACCATCCCAGTCGCACAGTAGTTCGATGACCTGCGCAGTGAGAGTCAGCGCAAACACAGTACATGTTCCAGGTCCGTTGCTGTCGGCATTTACCGTGCAGCACTCTTGGTCAATCCAAATCTCCAAATCATCCACTACCAGATGGAGAACGCCGTTTTTGATGTTACTGTATGCCAGGAAAACTAATGCAAATGGAGGAAGTCTTTGCCTTGGCATTGAAGAGGGAGGTTGGAAACAGCCGTCCACCAATGACATTGTGGCAACGCACAGCCGATGGTATGAGGGTGCCCTTCACCCGATACATACATACATAGTCAGTTTGGAGTTAGCGCGTGTTTGGTTTTAATCAAAGCTGACCTACAGCAACCAACCGAGAGACTTGGGCCAGACTATCAATACGAGCGACACTGTAGCACAAGAACATCTGCCGGCTCCATTTGGTCCGGAAGAGGTCAACGAGCATGCTATTTCAGGAGAGATCCCCGGTTCGATATGCATGCACCAGGACAGCAGCCACCTCACCTTTAGTGTGTCGATCGTTCCCGCCCACTAGCATTCATCCATTTCGCAATTGCGTGTGTGGCATCGCCCTCGTTTTTACCCATCTCCAGCATGGATTAATAAATGCGCATCATGCCACGGATTTTCCTGCTACCCGACAGCACCCTGGCTTGCTTATTGATCCTTCTTCAAGCCTCTTCTCTCCACCATTTCTTTTCCTGGACCGAAATGTGAAGCACTCAACGCCACTTGACTGCCTAGCTCACCGTTTCCACTGCTGCGATAACTGTCGCGCCACATGAGCCATGTCGGCTTTCACGCCTGAACAGCTGGCATATTTGCAAGCACATCGGGACGACTCGAGGGTTCATGAGATCTATGGAGTATACTGCGTTCCCATCGCACTCGCAACCATCAGCACGACTCTGCGGGTATGGGCGAAGACCGCGGGTCGGAATGGAGTCACACTGGACGACTGGCTCATCATTGCTGCAACGGTACGCTCTTTGCTCGGAACTTCACTGGGGGTTTTATCTTACTGTCCTTGACAGGTGTGTCTCGTTGGACAATGCGCAAGCGGCCTGGGATTCGGCCCACCTCACGGTATGGGAAGACATGTCATTGCAAGTGAGCCTTACGATCTGATGATGGTGCGGAAGGTATGTGATCGTCACGGAGTCGAAGCGATCTGAACTGAAGAATACTGTACAGGGCGATTATGTGTTTAGCCACTTCTACGATATCGCACTGGTCATGGTCAAGCTCAGTATCCTCGCATTCTACTATCGCATCTTTGCTCTTCCTATATTTCGAAAATTCGTAGTTGCAACCGCGGCTTTCGTCATTGCTTGGGGCATTGGAATCACCGTAACACTCGCACTTGCATGCCGTCCGATAGCCGCATTCTGGGACTCTAATGTCGCAGGAGACTGCCTCGAGTTAGTTACATTCACATATGTGAGTCCTCCAATGAATGGAATTATTTTATGAAAGCCGAGCTGACGAAGTTATAGTTCACAAACATCTCGAATCTATGCACGGATATCTGGATCTTTGTCATGCCTTGGCCAGTTATTTGGCACTTGCGTATGCAGACTAAGAGGAAAGTGCTACTGTGCTTTATCTTCTCCATCGGTCTTGCGTAAGTAACCGCCATTCACCTTGCGAGATATCGTATAGTTAACGTATTATGTAGGACTTGTGTTGTTTCCTCCGTCCGCCTTACGGTAGTCCTCGGCCATGGAAATCCGGATTTCACATGGTACTATGTACCCCTGGGCGCATATTCCGCGTTTGAACCGCTCGGCGGTCTACTGTGCGCAAACCTACCCATCATATTTCACATGTGGCGCAAACGACGCAATATCCTCACCGATTCCTTCCGCTTCAAAACGCAGCCGTCATCGACCGCTACACCCAATTCAGGTGGATCGCGACGAAGTCGTATCGCACGCTCCCTTGGACTCAGTAATAATTCGCAAAGCCTTGGAGATAGCCAGGCGCGCACAATTATCGGAGACGAAGAGAGTGGTTGGCATCAAGAGACGCAGGAGCAACGTGCGGAGCAATCTCAGCGGGCGCAATTCTTCGACAAAGTCGAGAAATCGCACACTATCAGTGTAGACGTGGCGCCCAGCGAGAACAGTTCCCGCAGAGAGCCGCTATTCAGTAGCAGCAGTGCTGGCATCCAACTTCCACCAAGGGCTGCCGAAGGCATGAAGAAAAATGTCTGGGAAGTCAGAAGGCAGAGATGAATGAGGCCAACTTTACGATCTGTCTTACCATCATGTTCCTTTCTTGTCTATTTTATATCTATTGCTTACATACTCTCCTTTGTTGATCTATCTCGATACCCAAGGGCACATTATCGGTATAAGGAAGGGCGCATTGGGAACAACGGGGCACTGTCATGACGCACTTGGCTTTGAGCAAGGATCCTGTTCTTCATTCTTCGGTTATTGAAGGCAATAATGGTATTTGAGAGGGAAAAAAAGGCGTGCGTCCTACAAACTTTGTAACAATTGGAATATCTCCGTCTCGTGTTCTAGTATGAGATATCGAACCCAGAATTGATACACTGAACACCAACCGCTGGATGCCATCGGCATGGTTGAATCCCCTCTCATCACAAGTTATGATCGCTCACGAACACTCAAAATAACCACACCAAGCAGCTGAAATTCTACTCTTGACAGATGACAACGATAGCATGAGGAGTGACATATCGAGGTCGACTCTGTTGGCGATGCTCTCCCATGAACCCATCCCCCCAAGTGTAATGGTTCACGGGAAGATATGTGGGGCAGAGAGGCTTCCCGTTCCATGGTTGAGTTTCAACTCAACTTGCACTAACGACTTCAACAGCTCATGATGACCAGCACTTGCCCCAAAACACGACCAAATCGAGCATACCTATCCCATAATGAGAGACGTATTGACCGTATTGATCGAGATCAATGCAACCTTGCACGATTCAGAAGGTTCTTTACGCCCCTTCTAACATTATCAAGAATCGCAGAAGAAACAAAGATGTCATGGACGGTACATTTCCAGCCTTACCTTAAGTCGTACCAGCGCATCAACGGCCTCGGCCGCCTTACTCGGATCGACATGTGTACATTATCACAGTCTCCACTCACTCAACAAAGCTCCATAACAGAAGAAACGTCAACAACGTCGTGATTACCCCTCCCGTCCACCCCAATTCCCCGACCTTTAGCTCCCACACCTCCAGCCCTCGTATCAACTAATTCGCCCATCCATCCCTCCCTTCCGCCCGCGTCCCAGAATAACCCAACCGCTCCCCCAGATAAAGTGCACGTATCCATTCGCACTCCACGGAAGTGCTTCCTAGACTTCCACGCCTCCGTCTGACGGGCATACAGATTACATGCAACGCTACCATTCGACTCCGAGCTCTAGACTTTTTCATTTGGTTTTGGAATCATCGTGCAAACGCAAGGGCGGTGGCGCCGGCGGATCCCGTTCCCGATGGCTGACCGGGGAGTGGGGAAAATATGAGGTGGTTGCGGGCTGGGGTAAGCGAGGGTTGAGTGTGATTGGTAGGGTATTTCAAGGTCGCATGGGTGCATTTTGATTGAGGGAGGCTGGGTCGTAGTCTTGGATGGGGGTCTAGAGCTGGGGGGATGTTTTGATCGCTTTCTTCCTGTGGCGACGACGGTGCGCCGAGGTTCAAAGTTTTGGCAGGTGAGTGTTCTGCGCGATGCCGGACTTTCGGAGTGGCCGGATACTCGATGTCAGCTTACTATCACTTTCAAAGTGTCATATCCCTTGCAGCAGCCTTTCCTGGGGACTGGATTGAGATGTAAAGATAACTGGAGGTAATGACCGAAAGCTCACGTGACTGATCCCGGGTCATTATTAGATGAAAGTTGACAGCTGTAGAAGGTAGGTTGAGATGCTTTCAACAGTATGCTCATATAGAAAGTGTAGCCAATGAACTGTCCTGAGGTGCACTGAAATTTCTAATGGGGATCACACATTAAACGCAGTCGTACACGGAGGTAGATTGATACATATGTACCTACGAAGCTACTAAAATACATAGATGATTAAGCACACAGTCCGGTAGCTATATCTCGATTCCAAATCCAGACCCTGATTATCATCATACTTCACATTTGAGACTCGAGGTCATGGGAGCACAGGCAAATCCACGTCAGTACGGTACCTTTGCAGCATGCTCCAACCACCATTCGCACCGCTCTCCACGTCCCCCTTCCCATGTATACGCGTCTGCAACCAGGAACTGATTGACAACGCCTGGATCGGAGTACATGTAGTACTTCAAATACTCAGTCACATTCGAAAGCGTCGCAACCCCGCCCGTAGTATTCAGTGATAGTAGCTTCTGGCTCTCCTCGGTCCATTGAGGCCATTCGATTGACACGCCATCCTCACCTACAGGGACTTGAGCTTTCGTGTTACCCGCCTGCGCATCGGCCACTGTGATGGTGGGATCGTCATGGATGATGAAGTTACCCCATATTTTGCGGAAAGCGTGCTTGAAACTCTGGCCTGGCGCGCTTCTTTCGTACCACAGAGCTTGCAAGTCGAAGCCATGGTATGCTGGAAGAGCACTGAACTGGTACTTCCATGCCTGTGGGAAGGCGGAGGTGAGCCAGTAACTTGGACAGTCGAAGGCATACTCTGCGAAGACATTGAAGACGCGTTGTTGCTGGCCGGTGCCGAATGGAGATTGGTTGACCGCGGTTGGAGAAGATGTGCCGTCGGTTGCGAAGAGAGGTGCTGAGGGATCGACAGGTTGATCATCACCATCGTACGAGTATTGCGCCTCTACCCCGAGCTTGTCTTCGGGGAGGAAAGACGGGAAGGTGATGTTGATGTAATCTCGGAAATCTTGAAGAGTTTTTGTATAAGGTGGACTAAGCGGGATACCCTCATCTGCCATGTTGCCGGAAAGAATGCGCTTTCCTATTAGATCCTTGGCCAGGAGTTGCTCCGAGGGAAGCTGTTGAATGAACTCGCCGTCAGTGACGGGAAGAAACGCAAATGAGCCAAAAGAACCGGCTTCAGAAACGAGAGCGCTGGCATTCTGGAGTACAGTAGTGTTAGTGTCACGCAAACATTGTAGGGTTGTGGCATTATGACAGCCGGCAGCTTCTACGAAAGCATCATAGGATGCAGTCGGAACAGGGTCATTGTAGCCGTGCTGATAAGGTACCCAAGGGCTGGCAGCGATGATCTATTAAAAGCCTTAGTAGCTGTTCTCTTTCGCATTGTATTCATAGTCCGGATTGGGATGTGCTAAACACAGTTTTGTGAAGCTGGGACTATCCAACCTACATTGTTGAAGAGAGATTCATTTTGGGCGCCACCATACGCCATAGCTTGATACCTACATCGCGGGGAAGAAGATTAGCTGAAGTCAAGCAGGGATAGTTGATGGTTGCTGGCTCTTACATCACCGCTCCAGCCCCAGCGCTCTCGCCTGCGATTGTGACGCGATTCGGATCGCCCCCGAATTTCCTGATGTTCTGCTGAACCCATTGCAGGGCGAAGTTCATGTCGAGAAGACCGGCATTGAGTGCGCCATGCTCTTTGACTTCATCTCCAGCGAGAAAGCCAAATGCGCCTAGGCGATCTGTATTGGTTAGGAAGAGCACCGTGAAGCTTCGGATTATGAACCTACACTGGATGATCACCGAAATGAATCCATTGTCATTGATGCTCATGAACTCTGTGGGGTTAAGGCCCGAAGCCGAAAATAAACCATACCCACCACCATCTGCGATTGAAATGTTATGGTGAAGTTCGACTGCATCAAATATAGATGGAAACTTACGAATCCAGAAGAAGACAGGCAGACTGCTTGCATTTGCGGGCGCAAAGACGTTCAAAAACAAACAATCTTCATCTCCAGGACCAGACAAAAACCCATATTCTTCTGGCGTTTCCTTTGAGGCGCCGGTCTGAGGGCAGATGGGTGGATCACTCGTCGCAAGTTGAATGCCTGTGCGGTTGGTGGCTGGTGAGTGGGGAGCAGCGAATCTGAGGTTCCCAAGAGGCGGTGCCGCATAACGAATGCTACGATAGATTAGTCGACGCGGATCAGCGAAGAAGAACGGAGTTATGCACACCCTTTGAAAACATTGATGCTGTGATTCACATCGTGAGTGCCTTCATAGATAGCATAACCAAGATCGACGGAGGGTGACGACGTTTCTCTTGGCGAAAGCGGATGTGCGTCGGCACCGCTCCAGACACCAACAACGCAGAGCGCGATTGCATTTGCTGAGAGTTTCATATTCCTCTCTATTTAATCGAGCTCCTGGGTGTCTGCTGTCGAAGTCCCGGTTATTGAAGCACCGACTGTGCGAGTCAAAGATCAAAAGTCAGTGTGGCAATTTCATGCGCGGTACCTACAGGGCTATAAATCTACCGGTAGAGACACACTGCGCCTGTTAGTGCTACCGTTGGTATTGACAAATGAAAGCCATGCAAACACGCTCTCCCTGTCAATGTTGCCTACCTGTTTTCGGGTAGGCTTCAGTTGTGACCAGTTAGCTAGCCGATGATGGCGAGGATTTGGGCGTTCACTTGCCTGTGATTTGCCAATTCCAACGGTCAGTGTAGCTATGCGCGGAAATTGGCCAACAAGCGCAAAGGATGCCCCTGAGTACCGGCTTTCAAAACTTCCCAATAAGGAATGCGACAATGTCGAAACGTGCATCAGGAGGTAGCAGCCGGGTAACAGAGAATCGATGCGCTTTTGACCACTATAACGATTTACGAACTACAGTCGCCGACTCGAAAGTATTTTTCCTTCGCATGGATAGTCACCACGTGGTGCTTTGCCGACATTTGGTACGATGGTGGCTTTTGCCTTGCTGAGAACCATCAGGAATCAAGCGAGGCGGCTGATGGCAAGTTGCGGCTTTATTCCACCAATTGATTGGTCCATTAATGGTTCGAATACGGCAATATATCCTTACGCATCAATACTTTGCTAGCGGACGAAATCGACTATCAATCCGGAAGAGTAGCGTGAATGCGTGGCCGCCACCATCGTATTTCGAACGTTCTCGCCGTTGATAATGGCAGCATCTTTCTGGATGTTTGAACTAGGAGAGAGGTTAAGAATTCGCATTCGTCTATGGCTGCGAAATCCTGACTAGAAACTATAATGGACTGTGGACTGTGAACGATGTCTATGAGGATGACTGCAGAGCACGCGACTGAGTACACACATCACCCGGGGCCCAGGCGCCTGGTTCTCACTGTTGCTGGGTTGGCTGTCGGTTCGCTGCATTCACTTTCTCGGGACCAATAACATTCATTAATATACACAAGTCCTGCTGCGTGTGGCTTCCAACGGTGTGGTTACCAGCGAGCACCTGTTCTGCAGATGAAGGTATTTTTAGGGAATATAGGCTCGATAAATCGCCGTGGCGCACTTCAGCTTGACTATTGAGTAGTCTGTTATGAGCATCCCATGGAATACTGGATTATGGACCAGCTCATGTAGCGGATCGGAATACTCAGTCTGCTCCTGTCTGTTCTCGATGAAAGATGCCTATGGCATACACACATGGTGCTTATTCCCACCATGTAAAGGCGATATCACACCCAATTAGTCATGCTTCTCACGATTTGATGTGATTTTACAACGTATGTGAGACACGGTATACAATTGGATTTGACTAAATTGACATCACTGAAGCGCTAATCATGACAATTCAAACCGGGGTTCGCATTGCATGTTGCTTAGCTCCTTGTTAAACCCCCGTGTCCTCCATACCTAGCATGTAAATCATTGACACCCCGCAACAATGAAAATACGACCTGATACAATAAGGGGGAAAGATTTGGCCGTAAGAATTTTTTGAAGTCGCAACCGATATACCATCCATGATGTGATTTGAAATGAGTGTCTCTCCCGACACTCGATAGAAAAGAATGAAGAAAGTAGAGCCTAAATCTTACGCCATTTCCCCGAAGCAATTTAAGATCCATGACGCAGTCTCGTTCCCTCGCCTTCAAGATGATCGATATGTATTGATCATCCAAACATCGATCAGAAATGCTGGATCAAGCATCTACCGATTTCGATTCAAGCCTGTTTCCTAGCAAATGCGAAGATCATAAGAAACTGCTCAAAAGAGATATTTGAGCTAGCTCCCTCGGTTTGACTGAACTCGACATACTTCCGAATCTGCGTTGTCAAGGTTTCCAAGTCTTTCATCGAGTTCTGACTAAGCTTGACTTCGAACGGGCCTTTATCCGTGCTGACCCGAGCAAAAAATTCGATTTCCCTAACAGCTTGTTTGCCTACCGCATTTTGAGGAATGGAAGCATCAACAGGGAAAGCAGTGGCGGAAGCTGCGTGGGGAGAAGAGCTGCGCTGAGAGTTTGTACCCAAACCAGACACTGCAGAGTCCTCTGTAAAGGTGGTGTCGGAGTGAGTGCGAGGAGCTGTAAGATCGAGAATGTGTTCCACTGTTTGACTTTCTGTACACGAAGTAGATTCGCGATCTTTTTCGAAACTTCCCTGTTTGGGAGAGAGGACGGGGGCATTCTCACCATCTGCATTTGGGTTTGTGTCATGGACGATTGCAGGATCACTATCCTTTGTCTCAGCCTCGCAGCCAGCTTGCTGTGATTCTGTGCCCTCCTGGAGATTAGAATCAATGGGCGTGCCATTATCTGTTGTCTGATCGTTCTGAACAGCTCCCCGGGGTTCGATATCGTTATTTGAATGTGGGGTTGCAACCTTCTCACCATCCTCGTTTTTGAGCAACGATCCGCGCAAAGATCGGCGGGTGACACGCGTCTTAGGCGTGTTTACTTTTTGAGCGCCTTTACTCTTACTTCCAGCTTCCGTGTTCGTTGGCGAATCCTTGTTGGAGCTATTTGGCGTGCTATCCAATTTCTGGAGCTTGGCTGGACGGTGGGTAGAAGCTGACTTGGAGGCAGGACTACCTTGAACTTGATGCTTGCGTTTATGCGATATCCTATTGGATCCTGGAGGGAGTTTGTCCAGATTCGTGGAAATAGGTTCAGCAAGTGCAGCTGTGGTTGGAGAGTCATTTGAGGCTGTCTTCGTGTTAGTCGACATTAACAACAGCAAAGCTCGCCCATTCATAACCGAAGCAAGCTCCTCAAGTTCCTGAATCTTCGACGCCAGGTCTTTTCAATACTTCTATAGTAACTTACCTGAAAAGGCTGCGATGCTTTCAGCAGAGTTATCTAACGATTCGCTCATGACACGTGACGATGAAAGAGCAGAATCCACTTCCATGCCTTCCGGAGACAGCATCGAGTCACCCGCGTTTTCAGTCTGCAAAGTCGCGAACTGTGTCACTGGTTCTGTTATCTGTCAGTTCCGAGGAAGTAAACTGCAGCTTTATGACGATAGCCAAACTGTAAAGACAGATGTATAACGCACCGTTGATAGCTGACGACTGAGACTCCGTAGGTGGGGTTTTGGAGACAGCAGCTGATTTTTGAGTAGCAGTCTCAACAGCATGAAAACCCTGATCTAGAGCTTTATCTTCTCCCAGCGCATATTTGCGAAATGCGTTCGGATTGTTTTTGAACTTTTGATAGTAGAATGGCCACTCATCTTGAGCTCGACCAGTCAACATTCGCACACGCTTGTATGCCCGATCCAAGTTTCTGAATCCCTGGCGGGTATTGATTGGGCTGAGAGAATATCCTGGATGTAGAGCCATGCGGAGGTAGTTGGTCTTGATCCATTCGCCAAGCTGCTGATCCTCCGTCTCCTGGCTATCCTGCAATACGATCTGGATTTTATTGAGTATCACGAGGTCGACGTACCCATCAACGTGCTCCATATCGTCCATCTCTTAGATTAAGCCGTGTTCGTCCCACGTGTCCAGGTTGGCTCCGGAGTCTGCGGATAGCTTTGTTGATGTCGAGGCAGTAATGCGACGAAACCAGTTTGTATTGGAAGATACGTGGGCTTTAGTAGATACTTCGAACTAGTGAGTTTGCGAGGCAGCCTGAGAATCTCAAAGCCAGCGTTGTGGTGATGTCAAGAGACTGGAGTTGTGCTATCGCGAACAAATTTTAGCTCGCTGGTGGCGGCGAGGGGGTGCGGTGTGCGCAGCAGTGTGCGCAATGAATCGATTCAGTGGACTAAAAAACTTTTCTTGTACCCAATGAAGTCTCGGTGTGGAGATGGTTGAGTAGATGGTTGAATGGTTTGTGGTGGTGCAGAGGTGAGTGGAAGGCTCAAATATAGGTTGTCCAAGTGGCCTACTGCAGTTTTGAGCACGGAGCACGTGACGAAAGTTGCCCGATCTGCCACAAACCATTCTGAGACCTGAAACAGTATCTGTGAATGGCAGTACAGCTTCCTAATAAACTTCTCTTTTGTATCAATGTAGAAATGAGCTGGGCGCATAGAGGCTCAACTGGTTTGACATCGTCGCGTGCTTGACCCGCTTGGTCTACGTATTATAATTTATGTATGCATATCAACATGCCGTAACAGATGCCCGTATCAACATGAGCGCATACTTCTATCAGATACTAAACATTTCTCTCGCGCTCAGTAGAGCACGAAGTGGCACACCATTATTATTACGTACAAAAACCAGACTCATAGGCAGACTGTCTCCCTCGACTCTCCGCTGCTTTGTACACATATCACTACGCCTGCTTACTATGCATTGTATAGCTTCCCGATAGCTTGAATGAATACAATGCTATTGCATTGGACGAAAAAGAATCTCCAGCCCAGCCTTTGCATCGCGCACGTAGTTTATACGACATCATGCTACTTGAAACGAACGATATCACAAACAATCTCTGCTCTTCGAGGACTATAAAAGCAATCTATCGAATTGACTCGAACTTCTTCAACAGTGACTACTCTCATCGACGTCTCCGGCGCCTGTTTACATTCCCGCCAGCTAATCCGCCACCCGATTCCACCCTACCTTGTATCGGAACCGTTGGCAGAGAAATACCAGCAGCATTTCCCGCTGCTGGTCTTAATTGCCTGAGTGTATTGACCGGAGGACTTCGTTGCGGTAAGGTCGAGGGATTCGGAGAGCCACTTGTGTTCAGTTCTTCTCTCAAGTTCTCATATTGCTGCTTACACCAGGCTAACACTTCGTATGATTTGGGCCTTGTACTTGGATCGGGTATCAAACAGCCTTGTATTGTTTCGTTGAGTTGTTTAGAGTACCCCGGGGCTGGGTCCTTCATATCGAACTGCGTCGGGAGATTGACGAGATTGCAAATGCAAGCCATGACAGCTCCAAGCTGCCAGACCTGGAATAAGAGCATCAAGTTAGTGATAAGTGCCAGTTTTGACATGTTTCACGGTGGCTATACGTACGTCGCTGCGAGCAGTAAATCTAGGAGACTCTGGAGGCTGCCAGCCTAGATATATACACATCATCAGTACTGTGGGAGTGCATCTTGGCGCAGAAGATTAGGGCAAAGATGCACGCACCTGCAGTCATGAAGGAGGTGGTAGCTCGATCTTTGTTCCTATCTCTATAGACAGAAGATCTTTGCACCGCACAACCAAAATCGGCTAATTGAAAAGTGTATGCTGTCGTTTGACCTTTAGGTGTCCCTTTGGTGACCAAGATGTTGGCGGGCTTGATATCACGATGCCATGTCTGCAACACATGTAATGATTAAAAGCTTTGCAGCATACTTAGAAATCCGGATTCTGGGAACTTACCATATTCCATCCATCATGATAATCATCTTTAGATGCCCTTTTCTCACTGTTACCGTAGTGGCAATAAGTCAACGCGTCGAAAACCTGTATAAACCACTCCCACACGTCAATCTCGTTGAAAAGTTCTGCTTGGTTTTCGCGACGTTTCTTTATGAATGAGTTCAAGCCTCCCTCCGAACATCTCCTGAGATATAGGCTTGCTTTGCTTGCCTTCCTGTCCACATAGTGATCAACAATAGAGTTGACTAAAGGGCTTAGCTTTGATGGTAATTATTACAATATCTCTCTCAGTGAGGCTACATACTGTGTGGGTGTGGTGGACATGATAGAAACTTCAGAATCAAAATCTCCTGCTCCACGAGGCCGTTCTCGATCTCTCTTCCTAAATAGTAGATGTGAGATCAGTTTTATGTAAGAATAATGATCATGATAAGCCTAGATATAATCGGGTGATAGGTCGAGATAGGGATTCTTCGTACAGGAGTATGACTCACTTCCTCCTCGCTTTTCGATATACTCTTTTTTCGTTTTGGCATCCCGGACTAGAAATATCCCCCCATTCATACCTCCCTTTAGTCAAGATTAGCAACTGATGTCTATGGTCACGCTTGTGGAACGAGCCTTATTGGGAGGCCATCATTAGGTCTTACTTCATGGTTGTTAAGGTTCATGACTGTAGTCCATTTACGTTCGGGAGTTTCACGTATCTCCTTCCACCATGGATCATCATATGATCTTATAATGAGTTCTGGCATTTCTGCAAGTAAAGCCTAAAGTTGGGTGTTCAGTGCTAAGTTAAAGCTTGCGATCGAAGACCGTGAGTAGTAGGTGTGTATCCTCACATTTCACATTGTTTATCACTCATCATGATCAATTTCACATCATCACAATGATTGAAGAAGCAGTAGAAGAAGAGAAGATTCACGAAGACTCATTCCACCCCCAGGAGTCTTCCAATTGATGGATGGTGGTTGTCGGTGGAAACCCATGTGATCGTTCACAAGCATACCACAAATCGCGTAAACACTCTTGATCAATTCTGGAAGTGAACCGATCCCCAACTACATACGTCAAATGGTGCTGGCTGCGTGCAAGTAGGTGACTTACCAAGTGCGATTGCGAAGCATGCAACAAATTTACCCGGGTACACCTTGTGGTTGGACATTGCCACGCCACATAAAGTACGTACGTGGTCCTGCACCGTTTGCTGTGAAGAAGGTCAGAGACGATAAAGTAACATGATATATGCATGAGTTCTTACATCCACAACTCTTCGTGCATGCTTGTGAGAAGGCCCAAGCTGCGGAATGCTAGGGTTGTGAACGACTAAAAGTAGGTGCGCCAACGTATTATATTGATGTCCCATAACTACACGCTGTCAGTGATAACGAACCAGCGGCGAAATCTTGGGGTTACTACCATGGGTCTTTTCATGGAATCGTATATCGGGGAACGAACGCCCACTTCCATCGCGATCTTGGCGGTGAAAGAAGGGGTCGAAGCTGTCCGGTCGTTGCATTCTCCAAGATTTGTTCTCTTCCATGAGCTGATCGTATCTTATGACGCTGTGTCTCTGTTCACCGAACGCGAAGTTGCAAACATCCCCGAGGTGTGCAATCGTTCTTGTTGCCCAGATGGAGTCATCTGCAGGGTCGAATGAGCGATCCGCTGGAAATATGTGTAGCTGGAAAGCGCGTTGCGTCATTAGAGAAATCCATAGCTCCTGGCGAAAAGCTGCCCAATAAATTGCCTGTCTGAAGTTTGGGCCGGATGTAGCCGCGTAGAAATGTTCAGCTGCACTGATAATGGCCTGGGTGCCGAACAGGTGCCCTTGTGGGTCAGAGCCAGTTACCGATACTATGGCATATTAGGCACTATACATATCCTGGGAAGCTTTCAGCTTACTATTCATTTCTTCTAACAAGCGTAAGATGATGGTGGCGGCTAGGAGAGATTCGTCACGACTCGCCACATCATCATTCAATGCCGGTATCAGTGTCTCAAAACAGCGTGAATAATACGCATCAGCAACATAGGCATCGAAGTCAGTTGTACGGCTTAGCTGTCGTGCCGATAATGCTAGTATGGCATTCATTAATGTGCTGTTGTTCTTCGCACGGTGAACTACATGGACACCGAAATGGCTCCTAGAATCCATCATGTCAAACTAAAACATTGTTAGTGGGTTTTATGATGATATTACAGGCCTCATACAAACAAGGCAACATTCTCGATATAATGCTGGAGTAACATGGCTTCCTGCTCATGGTCAAGAGGCCAAAGTACTGGAACACCTGGTGGTTGCTGGTATACGAAAGTACTTGTATCTTCAGATTCAATCCTCGAGTCTGGTACTGGTAAGTTGTTCAGGGTGACAGAAATTTCCGGTGGTGCTAAATTGTCTCGGGTGGGGGATTCTGAATTCAGAAGTGACAACACAGGCAGAACTTCGTGTGAATTGTTCGAGGACCCAGGGGGACTTCGCTCATGCACTTGATCGAGATCAAGACTGTGCGCGGATTGTACTTCCACGTCCTCCGTTTCTTCGTTGATCACTTCTTCCGTATATTGAGATCGTATTTCTCGAGACTCATCGTGGAATCTCACTGATTGCGTACATTCTCAGTATCTGCCGTGAAGAAGAACGGAAATTCGTACGTCTTGGTGGGAATCGGACCCATGGCTGCGTACTGCTAAAAGACTCCTGCGCTGATGACCGCCTGAATCGCCGGCCAGTATCGTAAAGGCAAATTTTCTTGGTTTTAACACAGCGTTCGCAACTCGGCCGTTTTCCGTCACCTAGTGCGTGTACAAAAGTCTCAGCAATGCCGCCCACAACAAAGATTGTGAAGGGCGAACTTTACATCGATAATGACGAACGCGGCATCGATCGCTATGAGTGTGAGGATAACATTGTCTTGGCTAGTGTAATTATACCACTCACCAAGGCATACTGAGCCTGTAGTTGGCCTCAACGAATTCCTAGAATCTCGAGACAGAATGGAGAGAATTTCCTCATGACGCGCGTAGCGATTCCAGTACTGCACTAAAATTCCTCTCTCGGATAATAGCCGATCATGTGTAATCGGAAATGTCACATCGCTTTAAAGCGGGGGAATTAACCCCGCCTCCCACGTTGAACGTTTCTTTGGAGATTGACTAACTACAAAACATCCCAGCAACTCGTATTACTAAACTTTGCTTCATTCATGGGTACAATCTTGGATGGCTTCGCCTTTCAATTCTTGGTTCTTATCACTACATACGTCGTCGTTGCTCATCAAGGGCATTGACGCAGACCACCATACTTCCTAAGTTAAACCTGAGTGGAGAACCCCGCACCACCAACCCTGCATGGTCCAGTATACGGCAATATTGTCCGCAGAAGCCTAGTCTGATAAGTCTGAACAGCTGTCACCATTCCGTGAGCTCCGTAACTGATTTCACCTCAAACAATCATTCATCGCCATGCCACATGCCTTGGTATCAGAGCAGCCGTCGAGCTTCAACGACGAGAAGCTGTATGTGAACGACGGTCTTCTTCACCCAGAACAGGTTGGTGCTCTCATACCATCTTCGCCAGATCTCCCAGTCCAGGAGCTACGCCGGCGGTACAACGAAGATGGATATCTATTCTTGAAAGGGCTACTGCCGCGTGCAGATGTTCTAAGAGCTCGAGAAGAATACTTCAAGATGATGTCACCAAGCGGCGTATTGAAACCCGGCACCGAGCCTGTTGATGGCATCTTTGATGATACGAAAGACGCATCAGACTTCCCCGGCATTGGAGCAGGCGCAGCTCCAGGAAACGGAAAGCCAGGCGAAGGAACAGCGGAGAAGTTTGTCAGCCTCGCCCTCCAAGCCCACTACGAGGACTGGTACAAGGAGACATTCTGCAAACACTCCATTTTACGAGAGACCATTGCAAAGATTTCAGGTTGGGGCGAGAATACTTTCGGAGTCCGGAGAAGCTTATTGAGAAACAACACGCCCGGTAATAAAGCGATTGGAGTGCATTATGACCAAATTTTCCTGCGCCATGGGGAAGATACAAGTTTCACAGCTTGGGTTCCCATGGGCGATATTAGTCTGACGGGCGGTGGACTCATTTACCTAGAGAATGGTATGTAAGATGCTTTCTAGATCCCCCACGTAACGTGTCTGACAAACGACAAGGTCATGTCTTGGGTCGAGAAGTTGAAACCGAATTCACAAAAAAAGCCAAAGAAAGCGGGCTTTCTGAAGAGCAAGCAAAGTACGCTTTCAACCAGAACATGCTCTCAACAGGGCTACTGTCAGATGGCCCACGAGAGTACAGTGACACCTTCAATCGTAGGTGGCTGGTCACTGCTTACGAGGCGGGTGATGTTGTCCTTCATACACCGTATACGGTAAGACATTCGAACTCAACCCTTACAAAAGGCTTACAGAACTTTAGATTCACGCATCCACTATAAATAACGACCCGAAAAACGTTATACGTGTGGGTACTGATTTAAGATTTGTGGATAAGAGTAGACCGTGGGACACAAGATGGGATAAGTATTATGAGTTCAACGATGGAGTTTAGCCTGGCAGTATAGCACATGGTTGATGAGATCTAATCCTCTGTTCTCACTTCGCCTGTGGGTGTACTACAACCTAATACATATAGTTTTGATGCGTCTATCAATCTGTATATATAGGTGTCAGTTCACAAATAAGCCAGTCGAATACAAGATTGTTGATCATTCCCAGTCCAATCAACGAGAAAATTCGATACAGGATGAGTGTTTCGCGAATGGCTTTCTCCATCAATCATGTTAATACAAGCATATCTGACTATATTTCAGCAGCATGTCGCCCAAGATTGCAATAATTGATTGAGCACCCGAGTGGTTTTGGACATTGGAATCGATTCAGTGCAGTGTTCATAATTCAGTGTTGTTTTATATCGCCTTCATCACGTACATGAACATGGTGAACATTTGAACGGATATCACCAACCAAATAACACATCTCCCTCGGGCTTTCATAATAGTCATATTCTTTTCGCGTTATTACCATGCCGAAGTATTCAATCTTGCGGTCTGAGCTTCGGCCCACCAGACTGGGATCTGTATATAATGCAAGGGCATGGAGTAGCCGAAATCCGGACCGTGAATTGGTCGTTCATCAGGATCAGCAGCATGGATAGGCGCTAGTTCAAGACTCGGACTGTTACCTCGATGTAGATAATAAGGTGGTCAATGTAGAGTCTCGATTTAAAGAACGCGGCATAAGCGCGTAGAGACGAATACTTCGGCCACTTGCGATCTAGAATACAGGGTGTTGATGTGCCAAAGTGGGTACGCGGATATTAGATATGACTAGAATGATGGACGAGAATGGTGAAGTGAAAATGGCCAAGGGATTCCCGGGTGAGAAACATATATATCCTTGACCTTGCAGATATACATCGCAAATAGATGCGATATTTGCATTTGGCAATTCTTCGGGTCCCGATAGGAACTATGTATACACTTTTTCCTTTCCCCGAGAAATCACCCCCTCTTGATCTGACGAGATACCTCCATTTATTCCCGTCAGACACCGCTGATGCGAATCACCTAAGATGGGTACATGACTACCTCAAGCCTTACACACCGCCGCGTGCCTCGCGCTTACGTACGAATTGATTAACGCCACAGCACCGCCAAGCTATTTGCTAAAAACGACTTAGGGCGCGCCGAACACCGAGCGCTTTACTCTGTATAGACCGCCGGATGCGAAGTCCGGACTCTAGGAAAGTATGCCAGTAGTGAAGAGATCCAAAAATCGCATCAGGCCGTTTCGTGTGGTGGCCGCGCGACACATGGCACGTCGGAAACCGGATCGCGGGTAGCTGTAGGGTTTCGATTTATGTGTGCCTTAAATGCAAAATGGTTTGGAAAAGAAGTAACTGAGCATGATCCGGCGGGTGATGATTGGCCTTAGCTTGCGTGATCGGGAAATAAGTTTGAGCTTGCCTCATCTGTTAAGCGAGCGGGATCAGGGGATAGTAATATGTACTAAATTTTGTGCGAGTGGAAAGGGAGTTATTGACATAGAGGGAGTTGAGAGCTTCGACGTCCGTGAGGAACTAGATCCTGCCATTGTGCAACCACTCATCATGATTTTTTGATCGCCAGTTCTGAATTACAAGAACATTTCGTGAAATCTCGGCCAAACAATCGCCACAACAGTCACGATTGCCGGTATTCCTTGGCTTTATCGTGAAGTGGAGACATAGCTTTGGTCTCCACGTAGATCTCAAGTTGCCCCTTTGGGAGATAAGCCGAGGCACATCGACGAACTCGGTACCCAAGATCGGCCTACAGACAGATTCCTACATGTATACAGCCAACGTAGTATATTATTGTAACTTCCAGGATTAATTCTAATCATGCGACTTAGTAAATCTATCTCGATCGAACCTTCCCTCGAATGAGTATACTTAATCATATCTTCCATCAAAAATGTAGCGTAGGAGACAATTCTCAAATCTCCTCATAAGTGCGTCCTTCCACCATCTAGATCAACTTCAGTTTCTTCATTTAGTAGACGCTATTTTTTCGATTTGAATGGAAGTGTGTTTAGAAAACCGTTCCCATATCGACTGATGTACTAATGATGTCCTTAATCTAACAAATACATGTATATATATGGTTTCTAATGTTACTAAGTCGTTCAACTTCCGGGACATTAGAAGGAGTTTCGAGCATATGTCTATCTACCTATTCGGTTGAGCTCCTAGGCACCCAGGCACCCATTGCATACACCTTCGTTCGTATGAACCAGAATCTGACTGTTCATGAACTACCCAGTACAGCAACGGCAATCTTCGGGGGATATCATCAAGTCCGTGCTGGTGCGGCAGGGATATCAGAATTCGAAAGCGGCCTTAATGATCCTGCAACTGTGTATAACGAGGCTGTGGGCGTTGGGACACCACTGGGTAGTAGCTTAGAGGCGGGTGCAAAGTGAGTCTTGTGCGCCATCAAACCATATCAACTTGTCCATATGTACGAGTTCCTCCGACCTCCGAGGATTCAAAACTTGGGGTGTTGAGGAATCTTCTTCCGTACGAAGGCAGCGGGGACGATGAGGACGCTTTGAACTCTGTCGCATGTGAATCGTGCGAGTATGTACAGACGGGAGGGTGATTGCCGAGGAGGATTCGGAATGTGACGGCCATGAGGACCGGTACGAGAACTTCCCCACGAATTACTAGGATAGGGTGGAAACCTTGAACTTTGTGCATCAACATGTAATGATAGACAATGATCAGTCAACGTTACACATGTACGCTTCCAAGGCGAGCAATATTGAGTGGTGAAGGGTTAGGTCGATGAGGATAAATATAGACTAAAATATACTCAATGGGGGCAGTGCACGCTCCATCCATCAAATCTTGGCGTGGATGGTGCCCGGCACATGTGGCGCGCTGTCTTTCCCCATGCAGACTTGGTCAAATCCATCAAACTCTCGCCCTTTTGTCCTCCCAGCACTGTTTGCCGGGTTAGTAACCAGCTTGTCATGGACGGTGGGCCGCTGAGGCGAGCGCGCTGAGGCCCAGTGAATCCCTTCCCATGAGTAAAAAGGAAAATGTCTCTGGCGTCACTGGTGTCAGGAAGCCCACGCAGGGCCAGCGGAAAGGCCCCAGCGGAACTCCTTTGTCTCCTAGCAGTTTAAGCGTCGCTCAAAGCAGGCGTAAACAAGGAGCTATTGCTGGTCCAACTGCGCGCGTGCCTTACATCCTTCGTTTTGGCTACGATGGCTGGTATGGTCGCAGCAATTTCCGTTAAGGCGCTTCCCCCTCCCTGGCGTTTGCTTACCGCTTTCCCTACTCCGTGTATCGCCCTGCCCGGGGCCTTTCGGAGCGGAGCCTGTCGAGGGAATGCCTCGCGGGACTCTACCAGACACAAAAATCTATCGTTTCCCCAAGCTATGATCTGCTGCTTTCTCTGCCCATGAACCCATTTTACCACCCATTACCCGCTTCCACTAATCATTCTCCACCCCTGACACCCAGGTCATCATCACTGCCACCACAATCGCCCATCGACCGACATCATAATCATCTCGCCTACCCCCAATCCTGGGACCTTCCTTTGGACATTGGGCTTAAATCAACTTCGCCGCATGCACTAGTGTGGTGGTTGTGCAGCATCCTGCATTTGCGTCCTGCAAATATCCTTTGTTACGGCTCTGGGGAGAATCAGGCTTGCCGACCCCTGCGAGGCTCCAGCTCGGACAAGAAGCGAGCAACTCACGCCGTACTTCCCAGCGATTAGAATGTTACCCAGCACTCAAATGCTGACGGGTTCAACGTCGCATGCCAATTATAAATCGGACGACTCTGCCATCTCGGACAAACCACTAATCTCCTCCAGCTTTGTTTTTCTTCACGTCGACCAAAAGAACATATCATCGACGGAAGAGATGCAAGCAGGGTCAAGAGGGCGGGGCAACAATGACGATTTGTGGCATTCCATGGGGAGTAGGCGGCAGGGAGAACGTAGAGAAGAACAATCCGCTTACCATTTCACCTCATCACATCATAGCCCACTTCGGGGCACATTCGCGCCAGTCCCAATGATCTCAACTAGTACCGTCGACAGACCCACCCCATCGTCTCCAGAATCCCACAGAAGAAGAAACAAACCAGCCTCGTTACGCAGTCTACTCTCACGCCGTTCATCAGCTGAGCCTGGCACCGCTGATCAACTCCCTCTCGCAAGTCCGCATTCACATCACCGTTCATCATCTCGGGATGGCAAACTGATTCCCGAACCACTCTTCTCCGCTCGCTCGTCCTCCAGGAGCATGCCCAATTCGCCTCTTGCCGTGTCAACGAACCATCCTGACATAGCTCGAGCCAAGTCCGCATCCCCAGCATATCCTGTACAGACACAGTATGAGCCCCCCTCGCTCGCTCTTCCCGTTACCTCGTTTCCACAGCGCGCGACGTCCATGGAAACGTATTTTGACCCTAATGCTTCGCGTAATACATGGCCGCACTCAGATCCACGACCTTCCACAGCCATGCCACAGACTTATGGAGCGCAACCCGAAACAGAACCCTTTAATGATTACAACGAGTTTCATCTGTTTGCTGAGGCGATGAGCGGACTTCCGGATAGCTTCGATGCCATGTCGCCAAATGAAGCACCAAGATTGCAAGCTTCTCTTTTTGCTAGAGGTAATCAAAATGACATGATACCGCTACCTTTAATGAACTCTTCTGCTTTCGAAAGCCGCCGACCCAGCTCCAACGATTTTGCTTCACTCCGACATTCTCGAGACCGGTCGACATCTAGATCAGAATATCGCGGATATTCTCAAATGAGTCGACCGGCACATACATCACAAGAAGTCATTCCGATACCCAGTATGGACGATGAATGGGATCCCCAGCAACGACGCCGTGAAATCACCGGGTATAGCTCAGTTCCGAATGCAAATGATAGGTGGTCCTCACATCAGCATTCCGATAGCGCTCTATCCTACAGTACCGCTGTTCCTGGAATTGATTCCTATGAACAACCATCGAGCTTCGATGCCGCTTCATCATCAAATTATGCTTTCCCGCCACCGTCTAACTCAGACTTTCCTCGTCGAGCATCGTACGATCGACCACCAACCGAGCCCATGCCCCCCCATTTGGCCGTTGTGAATATGGAGCTCGAGAGACTGGGAATAGAAGATGAGCAGAATCCAGATGACGAGTTGCCAAACTACCAACAAAGCCAGGCGGAGATGAACGAAAGAAGAAGAGTAGAAGCTTCGGCTAGGGCTAGGGAACTTGAGAACAGATGGAACAGTTCTCGTGGTTACAGATGAAGATAGTTCTCCTGCTCCGTCATTGCGTATCATGCGTACAAGCGTTCATGTTTAGAGGCGTCATCTCCCCAGTCAATTTCCCCTTGTATATTCTTCTGGTTTGCCCTAGTTTTGGGGTATTCTTTGTTCTTTTTACATACTTTGTTTCTACTTGTACAAAAGTCTTTATCTCTATTGAAACACTCGAACAGGCTACTATTTCTAATGATGTCATGTTTGGCAACTCGAATTTGGATCACACCGTCTTTCCCTTGATCTGCAAAACCACACATAACTAGCACACTTCATGGTCTTGGTGTTCTCAAGTCCAATTTGTGACGCCAACATCTGAAGAAAGGCAGTGGTCTCGCATGCTCTCTTCGGCAATCGTTCCTCTGTTGAATTCGTATATTTTTCCCGTCGAGTCAGATAGCTCGTATGAACAAGCCTTAGCACATAGTTTTCATTTGTCCAATCAATGTCCGTCTTTCCCTTGCTCTCCACTCGGCTCTCTTAATACAGATCACATAGATGTATGCCCGCCACCCCGTGTACACTGCAAACTCAGTACCCTCGAACATGCAAAGTACCTCGTAAATCTACATCGATTATTTAGACTAAGCAGAACAAGCGGATCTGTATCACACCGTCTTTGGTTGCTTTTTCCTGTCAAGTCTGCCTCGGGAACTGCCTCGAACGGCTACTATTCCCATTTCGCTCATGTGCATATCGCCCCCTATCACTACATCTGTACTCTGCGGGAAGTTTGCTGGGATGTCGCGTACCAGTACGAGCACGACAGTGCTTTAGCGAGATATCGAAGGGGTAATTACTTTATTTTAAGGTCTGCAGTGGGTTACAATAGGTAGTTAGCCGGGCTGGACGGAGCATCGCTGTCTGATCAAGTAGTACACATGCATCAAACATGGGTTCTGATTCACTTCCGCAACAAGTTGAATCGCACATCATAAAAAGCGGCAATTCGATGTGCAGATACATGTCACAATTGCATTTGCGATACTCCGCAGTATGTAGGCACTTTCGTCGGCAGGTCGCACCAACACCGTGGGTAGATTGCCTGACTATCCAGGTGTCAACTTGAGACTTTCGTGTTGCCTCCTTCCTAAATGCTTGAACTGTATTATGTGAAGCGATCCGATCGCTTCCGGCTTTGTCTGACGCGGTAAGCAATGCGCTATTGTATATCAACGGAATTCAGCACAACTCTGAAGACCACCTGTACAGATTTATGTCAACCAGGATAGAAGGTCTTCGTATACCTGGCCCGATCCTGCTTCTTCATGGCTTATTTCTGTCTGATGCGTGGGGTGGTGTGGGGGCCAAACCGCCACTACAAGACTTTTCGACAAACAAATCTGTGATTCAATTCAGAGGCCATCTCTCTGCCCATTACATAGGCTGACGGGATAGATGTAAGCGGGGGTATACCGGAAGAAGATAAAAACGTGGTGGCCCACTCCTACCTAATGTTTGAACTAGCGTTGACCACGGGGTCATGAATCGTAGGTCCCGCTACACATTAGATTGCGATCGCACACGAGTAGCCATACGCTACATGTGGGTGAAACGCGCCTTCTATACAGTACAGTCGCAAAACTCATACAATGTCTAGGGCCGCAAGGCTGAGACCAGGTGGGGTCTCTTCTCAGAGGTCCCGTTTCGGAAATCAACACGCCGCAATCGAAAACGCAAGCGTCTCATAATGCACACCTCTTTAGATGCAAGAGGGTGATGGGGCGTATCGTTGAGCTTTGAAGCCAGACAATTCAATAATAGCTTCTATCCACTTTTCACTAATCTAGATCCGCCTCCCCGTATTTTCCTTGTCGTCAGCGCAAACGTGGGAAATACGATGCAGCGGTGCAGTAGTGCTGCCGCCCCTACGCCTCTATTCAACGGGGTAAGCATACTGCTTATTTCTTTTGTCTGCATTCAACGTGGCAGGGGCCGCATATAAAGGCCCACTCAATGGGCACACCGTGGTCAAACCGTACGTATGCCTTCTTCTGGACAGGATCATCATCTCCCCACATCTAGCCATTTCTGCGATTCTTACACGTCACTGGATTGGTTTTCGTGATGCTTCGTTTGTCGGGTCTGTGGTCATGGGTGAGCGTTGGGGCTGTGCACTCAAGAGATGCATGCATCGAATGCAAAAATAGAATAAGAGAAGTCATACGCCAATATGCTGTTAATTGATTTTAAGATATTATGATTGTCGCCTGAGATGGTTGTATACAGGCTTGCATGGAATCGATAGTCCTCATCAGAGCAACTGCCGTTATCCTCAGCAAAGTCCAACTGTATGGAGTCCTACAGCTAGCTACATTATTAGCTGCCGTATTGATCCTTCGCTCCTTGATACTTTCATATGCTGATCAAATATTTTAATCGTGTATAAATTTAGGATTACGCATCGTAGTCAAAGACACTTCGAGCTCTACAGCAAGTTGAGCTGAGCTACCAATGGTACTGCACGAACCAACGGGGGACAGCTAGTAAAATTGCATTTTTTTTCTCTCATGTGGTACAGCATATTTGAATCAAATCTATTAGAGCTATTGCGCGATATGTATGCAAAAGTGATGGATATGCAATGCAACGCTGAAAATACCAGAAAAGAAACCAGACTCGACAGGCCAATCACCCCCTTCTCATTCGAATGAAGAGAAATGAGCATGTCGTATCGTTCCGAGAACCAGCCTCTTTGAGTTGACTGCTGACCACTCTCATGAATAGCTCGTGTTGAGCCAGCGCTTACTAAACCTTGATGAGTTTCCGGGATGGGGTTATCCCCTCGTCGTCTTCCGCTTCCCTTGAACGCTTCAAACACCCGTTCGCTGACTGAGGTGTCAAAACTGCTAGAGGTTCTCGAGCTACGGGAATGACAGTGATACAGCTCAAGCATGGTGTGGATGTCTTTCTCAACATAGCTTCAGGGGCAGCTCCGAACGCCGTCATTGCTATGGGGCTATACAATGTATGGCTGTTGGCTCTATCATAGATACGCTGTGTCACAGGGACGTTGGACTTCTGCAGCTCTGCAGATTCGGTGTATTTCCAGTCTACCTTGCACAGCTCCATGTCTCGGACCGAGAAGTGAGGGCTTTGCAGGCGGTTCTTGACAGCGCAGTTGTGCAGCGCCTCGATGTCATTCTTAGTCTCCACAACATCGGTCATGACGATCCACCTGCAAAGTTTGGGGAATTTCATGAACTTGATGCGGGTCACAGGCAGTGGGATAGTGAGCAGGCCGGCTGCTGAGATGCGCGCCCATGATTCCTTGCGGAACCACTGTGCTGTCCATGCTACCGGGACCGCAGAGTATTCCTTTCCATTTCTCTCGTACACCTGATTTGACCAAGTCTTGCGCAACTGTACATGGGTGTCGGATCTCTTTCGGTCTTGCGGGTTTATGATGGCTCCGAATGCAAAATTCTCCCATGCGTAGCCCCATTCGTGATCGGGCAGATCGAGGCGGATCCAAGGTTCATTCATATTGCCCCTACGCAAGATACCAAAAGCATGGACAAGCTCGTGCACTAAGGTAGCCGCGAATTGAAAATCGTGGCGAAACTGATCGCATTTAGAGCGCGTACTGTATCCTGTTTGTTCATCCTCGTAGTAGTTTCGCAGCCTACCATTCAGTTCGATTATCACAGATACGTCGTGCTGGAATGCTTTGGAGCATGATGGGGTATGTGAGGGCTTCTTGTTCAGCAACAGTGTGCGGCCCCAGAGTCTATCTTCGGGGTTCCTGAAACGGAAGTAAACGCAATGCGCTAAACAATCCAGCGCTTTCTTTACCCCTCGCAGATACAAGCTGATCTGAGCGTCGGACTTCCAAGCCGTGGGGTTTGTGAGGTAAGTCCTTCCAGAGCCCAGATCGGTCTGTACACAGCCGTATGTAAGTGGAATGAAAAATTCGAGTAAGCGATCTTCCTGCAAAAATAGCGAAGCCAATTGAAGTGCCTGTTTTAAATGATTGTTTGAGAGTGTTGCACTCTGAAATACAGAGTGTATCTCATTATCGAAGTTTCCGGGAAGTACCGATGGGTCATTAAGGAGCTTAAGGCGATCGTTCCTGTTGGCTACTTCAACTAAGTCATTGATGCTAAGCTGTTCTTTGCACATGATGAATAGGAAAGGCAAAAATTTGTATAAAATGGAAGGAACGAAAAAAGTCGCTATCGATGGGAATGGAAGGAAAGACAAAGGAGATTTGGCTCGAAAAAGAGAAAGTGAAATGAAGTGTAATACGAGAAGGCAGAATGCTACTATGATGCAGATGATGATGGACAGCAAGATACTTGTGGTAAAAGGCATGTTTTCTCCTAGACTGAGTACAAAGAGAATTTTCTCGCGAATAGAACAATAAAATATAAAAATAGGCTCTCATTATGGTCATCTGTTCAACAGACAAAGAGATGGCAGGAAGAATGGAACACAGCAATTGTCTTTCAAAAGCGTAAGCTGCCACAATGCGGTGTCAAAAGAAAACACTAATTCTCAACTCATGGATGCAGAGGGTGGCTTACCAGATGAGAAATTTGTTGTTTGTCCCAAGTTTGTCTTGGCTCTTATTGTTGACAACGATCAACGTGAACTAAAACAGTTCATATGTCTTACTCATACTTGTAAAGTCATGCGCGGACTGAGCTTAGTGTCCAAATTATATCGATAATTCTAAGAGACAGTATATATGGTCAGAAGGAAGAAACTGCAAGCCTCCATCTCGACAGATTATACTTCAAAGGATAGTAAATCAAGTTCAGTTCGAAAAGGTCAAGGCAACAATGATCTCGCGGTGCGCAAGACCAATCTGGATGCCTTTTTGATTTGTTTTTCAAAGAATCCAGCATAGAAACGATATATCAAGTGTGTAACGCCATTTCACAAATTGGTCACGTGATTTTGTGTGACATGTGTAATGTTGTGTTCAAATGTTCCTTAGGGTCTTCAAAGGTTAATCGCGACGACGATGACGATGGCGGTGACGAAGAAGTTGAAGATGCTAACAGCTATAAATCTCGATTGCCTGTTCTCGAGAGCGAGGTAAAGGTCGGACGCAAGAGAGAATGCGAGCTTGATTATGTTACATACATCGTTGCATGCCCGAGCTGATTAAAAAGTGATAACATTTCTATATCTTTGTAAGGCTAGAGAAGAAAATTGGGCAGAAGTCTAAGTGACAAACTCTTTGCCGAATAGAACTTTTATGAGAATTTAACATCTCACGCGTCAACATCTTCTCCATACTTCTTCACAATATTCTCAAACACCTCGTCCAGCGTGGCTTTTCCGACGCTAAAGAACTCAACCCCCAGATCATTCTTCACTGATTCTAACATCTTGATCAACTCTACTAGATCATGTCTCTCGGCAGGAACTTCAATACGAAGCTGCCCACCCTGTGTCTCGCGGCTAACCTTTGCGTTGGCAAATGTGTTGGCGACCCAGTTCTTCATGACCTGTAGTTCCTCGGGCGTTGTGCGTGGTGCGGATTTGGATACGAGGTGAATATGGTACGACTCTCCGGCGCGTTTCTTCAACTCTTCACGCTCACCCAGCGCTAGCATACGAGACGATACGATTCCGATGCGGTCAGCGAGGGCATCTGCCTCTTCCATCGAATGCGTTGTTAAAACCACGGCGCGATCTCTGGATACGGATTGAAGACACTTCCACATGGTGCGCTTTGCATTCGCATCCAACGCCGAGCTAGGTTCATCGAGGACAAGCACCCTGGGGTTACCCACGAGCGCGACTGCTAGAGATAGTTTGCGTTTGGTACCACCCGAGAGGTTTTGAGCAAGTTGATTTGTCCATTGTCCCAAACCGCACGCGGCAATGACAGAACCAACGTTTTGCTCAATATCTCTTACGCCGCGGATCTTCGCGAAGAAGCGCAGCGTTTCGGAGACGGTCAGTACATCTGCTGAATCGAACTGCGGGCAGACACCTAAATTCGCACGCGCTACTACGGGAGAGGTCAGAATCGAGTGTCGCGCAATCTCTATTTTGGAACTAGAAGTTGATGGTTTGATGTCGCCGCGGATCATAGAGATGAGCGTCGACTTTCCAGCACCGTTCGGACCGAGAAGGGCGAAGATTTCGGAGGACTGGACTCCGAATGTCACATTGTCGACGGCCATGTTCTTTCGGAACGACTTGGACACTGATTCCACGAGTAAATCAGTATTTTCGGCTTTGAGACGTTTCTTCTCCTGTATGACGTCTTTGGAAAACATTTCGGTAGCTTCGGCATCTCGAATGGCTTTGCGAGAGCCGAAAGATGGTAACTTGAAGGTGCTATCCCACCATAGAAGTAATCCAAAGAGGAAGAGGCCTTGCAGAATAAGGTACAGTATAGGACCACCGAACAGATAAATCGAACCCGAGCTGTGGCCACGACACAGGGTTGTAAACTGGCCAAGACCGATGACCAGAGCCCTCTGTATGCAAACAACGGGTGAGAAGATTCCCATGCCGAAGAAAAGCGCATTTAGACCACTCTCCATTGCCCCATATGTAGAACTAGAGGACACGCCAATCATGCCAGCAAAGACTTCAAACATAGTCAGTGATTGTTTTTGGTTGCTTCCAGGATCCACTTACAGGCGAAGTAAAAAATGACTTGTCCCAGAGAGAACAAGAACCATGATGTCACCGCCGTTCTCGCGAACATGGAGATGATGTAGCTAAGCAAGGTAGCTACGAAACCATAGAGAACCAGAGTGATAAAGATGAAGCCGAGTCCATACCACACTGGGCTTGAAGCCGCCAAAAAAATGACTGCCACGACGCTAATGGCAAATACGACTATTCCATCAAATGCAAGATGAGATAGCCAAAGCGGAATTGGGCGGATGCCGTTGGAATATTGCATAGATCGAACGTTGGAGATCCTTTCGTTGGTGGGGTAAAGCGTGAAGAAGGCTGGATAACTGGGGTAATTATTAGCTTGCAACTATTGCTTGAACCAATTTTAGGGATACGAACACAGCCAATATCAGCCCGTAGTATATCAAGAAGATGATGGGCTTTACATCGAGGTACGCCGGCATCTCCTGCTCACCAAACTTCATATAGAACGAAGAGATTGGGACCCCGCCCATGATATTGTTGAAGAAATTGAGCATCTGTTGCGTTTTGCTGGCACTAGTGACGAGAGAGAAGATCGTCGGCTTATCATCACCCAACCAAAGACCTCCGTCGATGGTGCTCTTTCCATATCCGCCTGACTCCGGGTCACTCTGCTGGGCTTTGATGAGCTCTGTAATCTCCTCTATTGTTTCCACAATCTGTAGCTGGTTCCTCAATTGCGTCGCATTTGCGTAGCCTTGATATGAGTAACCGGACCAAGAAGGAGAAGAAGTATGGTTGACCGAGTATACGTCCGTCATCAGCTTCAATCGATCATCGGTCACTTTACTCTTTGGCCCGATCACGTAGCTATAACTCGGAGAGACAGTATTGGAAAAGTCACTGCGGTAGCTCATTTCGTAGATGGGTTGAAATTGCGAGGGACATGGCATCGGCGCCCTGACGCTAGCAATCAAGAGCGGTGACACTCCCGCGCCGCCGATGCCAAATCCGAGCGCAACAAGATAGGGGATCCAGCGGCGCCGAAGGATCTTAAAGCGCTTGACGAACAGCAGCCACCACTGCTTGAGCACAGATATTGGCTGTCCCTCTTTGAGTTCGTATGTTGTTTCGGTGTCGGGAGCGCCGATTGTGTCAATATTGTTTTCCATTCCCGCTGTTGCCGTTTCAGAAGATACGATGTTGTCGCCAGTTGCTTTCAAGAATAGCTCCTCCATGGTTGGGCCTGAGATGCCATAGTTGTGAATGCCTTGTGATTCGAGATGCTCCACAACCAACCCCGCGAGAGTGGCAGTGGCTACCCGGTAAACCATCTGATGTCTGCTACCTTCCTTCTCTGCTGGTATTGACTTGGGTAAGTCTACATCAGTTCCGCTGGCCAACTTGATGGTATATCCGTTTCCATACTGATTTTTCAACATCGCAGAAGTGCCCTCGGCGCGCAGAGAGCCTTTGTGCATGATGACAATGTTGTCCGCCAGATAATCTGCCTCGTCCAGGAAATGAGTCGTCATTATAATAGTGCGCCTAGGACGCTCGGCGAGCAGGATTTCCCAGATCCGGCGACGTGAGATGGGATCCAGGCCAGTGGACACCTCGTCAATACAGCATACCGCTGAGCCACCAGAGAATGTCATTGCCAGCTGCAGTTTTCTCTTTTGCCCTCCAGATAGTGTCTTCGCTTGGAAAGAGAGCTTCTTCTGCAGATCGCACATACGGGCGAGATCGGCGACGACTTCCTTGTTGACAGGCTGGGTGCACTTGAGCTCACTGAAGATACGGATATGCTCCACGACAGTCAGGTCGGGCCTCCATGAATTGTTAGTATTATCAGAGACTGACACGCAATGGCAACGTACCATATAACATTGTTCTGCGGCGCATAACCAATTCCCCCAGAAGGGTCTAGAATGATTTTCCCGGAAGTGACCTTCTGATTACCAGCGATGCAATTCATAGTCGTACTTTTTCCGCTGCCGTTTGGACCAAGTAAACAAAGAATTTGACCAGGGTGGGCTGCCATGTCCAGGCCCTTCACAGCTTTGACATCCTGTCGTCGCTTGAAAATACGCGTGAAAAATGTAGGTTTGTATCTAAACGAGACAATCAGCTGACTGAAAAAACGTTGATGGGTTGAGGATTATCCTACGTTTTGCAGAATGTCTGAAGCGTGACAGTTGGCTCCTGGGGACCCGAAGGCGGTACGAAGACACGGCTGGCAGAGGTCGTAGTAAATAACAGATGCTCTACGCCAAAAGCCAACACGGGGAAGACGACAATGTGGATCGCAAGGAAAATCCATAGAGTTCCAATGCTCACCCGCCATTCTTGGGCATCCGTTGAAAAGATGCCAGCTTCTGGGTTCCCCCACATCCGTATTGGAGTATCTGCAGCTTCGAAGGTAGCTACACCACTAATGAAGTACGTGTATGTCGCAGTAGGGCAAAGAAGGGCCAAAATAATAGCAGTTCCATGAGTCTGGCTGGTCAGAACCTGAGGCAGTATGGCAAATATGACAACTATGAGTATCATGATAGAACTGCTGAGCTGCGACTTCTTGAAAAATGAAGATCCAAAGAGCGAAAAAGAAGCCAGCGCCAGGCCTGTCGTAATGGTAACCCCGAGAGGCACGTTTTGCGATGTTTTTGGAAAAACCACGGTGCTGATGACGACTCCAACGACGATCCAACTGGGTAGGTAGACGGCTACAAAGGAGAGCCAGGTCGAAATCTGCCGCACGAGGCGCCCGCGTATATTGGAGCCACCAGGAATCATGGTGTCGATCAAACCGGACATTCCTAAATTTTTGGATACAGTGTCAGCATAGTCCATTCGAGTAATTGTGTGATGCCGGATCTATAGATCGCGATGCCCTCACATCATCAAATGATACATGCCCATATGTCCCGGTGGCATATCAACTCATCAAATACCACAATGCAAATACACGTACCGAGTTCCCTTTCCTGGGCCACAAAAGAAGTCATGTAGTACACAATGTCAAACAAACAGAAACAAAAGATTGTTCCGAACGCGTAGATGCAAAGCGCAAGATAGGTGCTGGTTCTGCTATCATCGAGAGTGGCCTGGTCGTCATTGGTGTATATCACGTTGTTCATGTCTTTTGGGAGTTGCGTCGCATTCGTCCCAGCATGCGCAATTATTTCTTGGTCCACGGCACGCTGGAGCGGCATAAGATACAGTTCGACAGCGTTGGAGTCTTTGGTGACATCTGCGAAGGATCCGTAATTGTCGCTTTCACCACGAAGAGTATAGTTCCATGCACCCTTCTCCGACTCATTGCTGCCTTGCTGCAGAGACGAGAGAAAGACAATGGCACCGTAGCAGTTCGAGACACCGGAAAGATCCGAAGCACAGGCTCTTGACAGCGACTGTGCATCGTCGAAAAGTTGAGGGGTCTTTCCACCTGAGCGAATTTGTTGCGATAGCCCTTCAATTACGGCTGACACATCTCCACCTTTCATGCCGTTATCGACGAAACCCACGATATCACGTCCAACGGTTTGGGACAGACTGTCTTGGAATGATCGTACCTGACACACAAAGGTCAGCATGCTTTTGCATATGGGTAAGGATGCAGTAGATACTCACATGATGCGAAGACGAAACTCCCCATTTTTGAGGCGAGGCGAAGAAGGCTTTCGAATATGCAACGATGAATACAATGACGACTGGAATGACGATAGCGCGAAAGAATGTGGAGGGCGCCCTGCGGATACAAAGGATGAGGAGATTTTTGCGGATTAACGCGTTGGTCTGTATCGAGTCAGTACAAGTCCCAATTTCTTCACCGTCGATGAGATTTTGTGAGAAGTTACCTGACGGAGCAACAAATTCATGTTGCGCAACGGCGAAAATGGAGAAACAAAAGAAAGAAGTAAAGAATGAAAGGAGAGCTTCCGGTAAACCGACGTATGCGGCTAATAGACCACAAGTATAGATTCTCGTCTTTGGCGCCTGGTATAGAAAGACTGATCGATTATATAAACTATTACTTCGACATGTCAAATTGGGGGGTTACTGGTTAAGTACGGTGTCCGTGGTGATGCAGTTTGTGGAGAAGACCAAGATCGCAACGAATGACAAGGCGTGCACACTTCATGCTAAGCCTCATCCTCCTCCCACATCACTAAGTCGCCTACAATAGCAATGATATACTCGTATAATTCAGCCTGTTTGCCTGAACGGAGCACCGAAGCTATAGTTTAAGGGGGTGCGGCTGTGCATAACGGCCCCAGATCTTCTTTAGCGAACCCCGGGTAGGTATCCACGGCGTTTTCTTCAGATCAACCTTGCCGCAATGTGTCAGTTCTGTTCCTATTTGTATTCAACAACTATGATTGGACTCAGTCGCTGTTCTTATGACAGTATGCAATGTCATGTTCCTATTGTTCATGTGGCATGAGTGGCTAACTTAGAGTGCTGAAGCGCTATGCGCATGACGATCAATATTGAAGGAACAAAACACCGGCCCGTTAATTCGGCATTCATCAAGTAACCTCGTCGCAAACCAACATATACAAGAATTGGGAGGATTGATGTCCAACGGTAAACGTAGAAAACCGACTAAAGCTGGCAAAACACAGGGTCTAATGCTTAGCGCGATAGGCAGTACTTTCTAGGTGCTCAATGCTCTTTAGATGCAAATCAGGCCTCCCTTTCCTCGTCAGATATACCGGCCACTACAAGGCTAACGAGGCGCAAAACTGTCATACAAGTTTCAGAACGCGCGTCCACGTTCTCTTTTGTTGTGTTTGTGTGTGATGCAGGAACTCACACAATCCACTGTTGCTTAGCTCTATTCAAGCCAGGTTGGTTTACAACATGGAAACGTAGACCATCTATTACGCTACGCGATTGCCTAGCCTAATCTCTGTTTCATTATTTTTCTTCTCGCTCTCGTTTAGCGCATGCAAACCATCTACAAAGGAAGTACATGTGTGCATGTGGTAGAGATTCGCGTTTGACGGAGAAATGGTACGGGTTGGACACGGCGAGCCCACACTGGTAGCGTAGGAGTATAGCCATTCCTTTACCCCGACTCATTATGTCACCCATGTCTCTACCCTGCATATCAGTGAAAAACTTATTGGGTGGATGAGATGTGTGCGAGGTGAGTTACAGCGCAGTGGCATGAGCGAAAACTGATTGCAAATAGAACATCCCACTACCAGTCTCCTGTGGGTATCAACAAACGCATGGACTTGTCCAAATTTTTGCAGCTGCGCCTCCTTGAAGAAACTGAAACCGAACTCGACAGGTAGATCAATGTAGAAGAGTTTGTAATGATTGATTTCTGAAGCCTTCCGGGTCAACCACTAGAATATAACAGTACGCGACGACGAACCCTGGACGAGGCGCAGCCCCTTGTATATCGATAAAACCACCGCCCCTTTGCATGGGAAATGATCAGCTAGAGATATTCTCCATCGGGAATCAGCTCTGTATTCGCAGTGTCGCAAATGGGTTGGGTTTTGGGGTCGTTAATGAGGAAGGATGTGGCATACTGCGGAATCAAGGCGGTATATACTAGGGCGGTAAATAAGTGTCGGTAGAGTGAGCGTAAATGCGTATTATTGAGACCTAGGGGTAAAGGTGGAGTTCAAAGTAAAACCCTTACCTAGACGTTCTATAACAATACTCTACTCTCACCCCAGCGAAGAATGCTTTCCCATGGCGTTCCTGTTCTAGAGAAGTGGCCTTAGAAAGACCTAAAGCTTTTAATTAGTTTGTGCAGTCTTAGATTCTATCATAGATTTGAAGATAGGACCTCACCCAACTTTGTTATAATCTGATCGTCCAGAACTTCCCCCAGTCCAGACTTCAAGTTATGCACTCCTACGCCGTCAAGAGCCGTTAATTGCCAGCCCCCAGATGAGATAAATCTTGTTCGAAGCGCTGTCCTTTTTGCAAGGTACCATGCCGGGCATTGACATATTGATTGCACAGAGCGTGCTATTCTAAATAGAAACGAATTTCTTGGTTTTGTGCAAGGTTAACTTAGAGTCGTTTAGTATTCAATCCCTTGTTTAATGTGTCCGGCTTTAGAATGAGAAGAAATTTATGTAGTCCTTTGGTATCAATCTCTCGCACATTCTCAATGATAAATTAATCATTAAAGTTACTTTAGCAGAAGCCACTACAAAAATGATTCTCGAGGGCATCTTCCCTAGGACAGCACAAGATAATAAGCAGTATTGCTATCCGCCTCTAGCTGTGAGCGACTTCTAGCCAGGAATAATCTATGGAGATCAACGAGGGTAAGACGAGGCTACTCAGGGCGCGACAACTCCCGTCTTAGAGTGCCAGAGCTAAAGACTTTTGCTGGAGCGTATATTCCCATTGCCACCTTCGCCAACTCAATGATCTAATCGAACCTCGGCCCTCGAATGATGCTCACATTAATGGGTGCAAAAGGGCCACAATATAGAACTAATTAGTCGCAAATCTTCTACATACACTATCTTTACCGGGGAACCTCAACCCTGATGTTGCCTCCATTACTAAACTTTCCCCAAAGGTCTATTCACCAGATACGATAATCTCTAATAAATTAACATACCAAATGGTCCATTCTAAGCGTGAATTTTCAGCCACATCCAAAAAGTTCCTTGTATCGTTGGGGTGAAGGTCCATGTTCAGTATGTTCGAAAACGCTCTGCCAATATCACCGATAAGACCTAGCTGCCATTCAGCACTTGATAAGATCTGCTTGTTGGAGCTGAAGGAGTGCGTTGGGTGTGCAAGGTCTTGACAGACAGTTGCGCGATGTATTTTTACTGCTCAGATATTAGTCGAAGTTCAGATAGCGAGGTGGAGATTGGGTACATCTCGACTGCGTATGGAAGGGTGCACGAAGTTCAAAGGGAATAGCGATATCAACACTCTACTCTATGTGGCCTAGTAAGCAGTCAGCGAGTAGATAGAAACATAGGCAATGATTGATGGGAAGGCTTACTACGTGTATGCCTCGCCTGCATCATCTCACACTTAAAATCGGTATGTCATCGAGTTTAACAGCCCAATTAGATATCAGTAGAGGAGGCGGTTACGATAGCAGGATCCATCAATCTAGACCTGGTAGAACTGCCCGGCAGGGACCCACGGTCTCCCGAGAAAAATAGAAGAGCGTGGAGTAATTACACCGAGAAAACGACAAGGCACACAGTCGATAGCCGTACCGCTGTTATTATTTTTAGTAGAGAGACCATCAACAACAGCAGCTTGGCACAGAGCATCGATCGTGGAAATACATGTCTTCAACCAACTAACTATGAAAGGCTCATATGGCACATATCACCGCACCAAGAACCAGGAAGTCCAGCTGGTAGCATCGTTTTCTCCACCTCCTTTTTTCTCCGCTCCTCCATATATTAAAGATTATATCTTATAACAAGTATATCATCCGTCTTCGATCACGAAGATTTCGATTCCAGCGCGATAGCGTGATGATTCCTTGTCCCCTCAATGCGGGTAATGTTTGTTACAAAAAAAATACATGTCTTCAACCACATGTGACATTCCAGATAGCGGCTTTGAGGCGCCCGGGAAGTAAACATGCAGTAGCATTGCATCCTGTGAGAAGTAATAACGACAACAAGCAGTGTGTCAAACTGCGTACATACATGTCCTCAATCGCTCTGCGATAGCATTGCATACACCACACTTTTAGAGAGTGTGTTGACTTTGGTGGGAAAGTGGGATCGCGCGTCTTCAATCGAGCCATGCCAATTCAATGACATCTACCCAATAGCGTCGCATCCTTCCAGACCCGAAGTAGGCCCTGACATGTCACTGCTGGGGCACAAACACGTGTAGTTTAGTACACGTAAGGGATGATCCGGTATGGCACCAGCTCGACATATCGATCCCAATCTTTGCCGTACTTCCTCCTGCACTTCTCCTCGTCCCTCCTCTCTCGGTGGAGCAGCAAAATGGCAAAGTAGACCATGAAGAAGTAAGTGACGATCATGCCCCAGCCTTTGGCTTCTCCGGGGACAGCATACTTCTGGTAGGTGTTTCTGAAATAGACACCGTCAGGAGGTATGGCCTGGAGGGGATGTTTGGCAGCATCTTTGATGACGTATCCAGCAAGGGCGGTGGGGAGGACGTAGGACCAGCTCATAACCCAGTCACCGAGGTAATTAATGTGACGCGCAGTACCCCACCAGCCAGAGACGAGAAGTTTGGAACCAGCGGCTGTTTCGATGTATTTCAAGTGCTTGACGCGCGGGTCGTTTGGATCCGTGCGGAAACGGTTCTTTTCGTTGTTGACTGCCCTGAAAATGTAGTACCCCAAGCCTTGCACAGCGACAACGGCAGCGATGCCCTTCACACCAAGTTCTACGGGGTACGTGGAGAGGTACCGCGTTTGGAGACTGTAGCTGAAGGGAACCCAGACCAAGTCACCGAACGCAAGCATCATGCCAAAACCGTCCGCAATCAGATCGATGGTGGTGAGAATCGCAGGTTCCATATACAGTGCGTCCAGAGTGTATAGGGCCTGGGAGAATGTGATGAGTACAATTGAGTCTGTGACTTTTCCGAAATTTCGATATTGCTGTGCGATGAAGGCTAGATCAAGGATGACCCAGCCAAGCATACCGGGGCGGAGTTCGCACCACGATTTTATGTCCACTTCACCAAAAATGGGGAGAGTGACACGAGGGTTGAGTTCACGGCCGATGAACCAATCGTACAGTACATTGCCAGAGTGACCACCAGCAGCCAGCTCGCGCTGGTTGGGATCCTTGGGGTGCTTGACACTGAAGGAAGCGACGTAAACGTAAGTGGCCAAGGCGTAGGCAATCAAGATGTTAGTAGTCAAGAGACCAACGTAGTTATCGGAAATGAAGGTCCATACGATGAAATCAGCACCTTCGACAACGGTGCCGGCGGCCAAGATGGTGAGGATGAAAATGGCAGAGGAAAAGGCTGCATGGAGTCAGCATGGAGAAGAATTACCTTGAAGGAATCATGTGATTCACTAACCATTGAAACGGTACTTGAGGCGACCACCAGATCTCAACTCGGTTCCCTCAACTTTGGTAGCTGGGAGGAATGAATACAGAGTGAGACTGAGGAGATAGTAGCCCAGAGTGCCAAGGACAGCATTCGTGTTGATAAGCCCGGAGAAGCCGGTCCAACCAACCTCCTTCTTCAATTGATCCAAAGTCAGAGTGGACGGGTTGAGTAGCGAAGGAGCAGGGCATCCGGAGACATCGTTGCATAGGAAAACAAAAGTGTAGCAAAGCAGAGGAAGACCGAAGGAGATGACGAAAGCACCGGGTCTAAATGAGGTTAGAACTGGCGAGCTGGGAGATTTCTTCTCGGTCAAAAAACGAAAAGGGGTTCGACATACGGTCCAAAGAATTCATAACCATGCGACTCTTCTACGGCCGACTCGGCTTTTCGTTTTGGGGCCATTGTCGCGACGTTGAATGGCAGTCGAAATGTAGAATGTGGTGTTGATTGACGCGTCGGAAAAGGGGCCGGCCTCAATTGTACTATTGGCTTTTGCACGAACCCACAAATAAGACTGGCGCACCCTTTTGGAGCAAATGACGGGAGGCGAGGGCCTTATATAGTCAAGACAGTGAGGTGACAAACAAAAAGAAAATGGGACGATGGGAGGGTGTAGACGGAAAGCGAAGTTCCGGATGGCAGAGCGTCATGACGCTGTGGATTCATCTTGTAGCAGATGCGCTAGAACACAAAAGGGATAGCGTTCGGCAAGACATACTGGCTGGGACTGATTGGCCAGGCCGAGTCTCTCACGGCGGAGCGACGGGCGGAACGTGGCCCTATTGTAGTGTGCCAGGCTACGAACTGCTATTGCTGCTAACGTTATTCCGGTCTGTCCCTGTACCTAATCACTGCTACAGTACAGTGCATACACTGCAGGAACAGGCAAGCATCAAACCGTCTGATTATGTGAACGGTGAAAGTTGTCTTTTTCACCCACCAGACGCCAGATTTCGAACCAACCACCCCATCCCACCATTCAATTCATACAATACCGGACACAGGCTTGCCCGATTTTGTCTCCACCATGCAGCTGATACCTCTATCGGCGTTGCTCGCTTTCCTCTCGTTGACTTCGTCTGCGGCCGCCGCATCAGACAAACCGCTCAAGCCATGTACCGCCATCTCACCCACCACCGCGCGCTTCTTCGATCTGAATCCCATGCACCGGGGCCCGCCGGCAAAAGACGACAACGGCAAAAAGAAGAAGAGCAAGGATGAAGACGAGGGCAGTAGCTGGCATGCAAAAGGCTACGACTATGGCGCAAACTTCACCGTCAACTTCTGCGGTCCCGTTGTCGAGGAACTGGATAAAGTCGTAGACTTGGACAAGGATTTGAGGAAGAACGTGAGTGCTTATTACGAGCAAGATGGGAAGACATATGCTATAGGGTGAGTAGCTTCCGCATTCCCGGCGCACTGCGCGATTGAAAGAGGAAGACCGAGAAGGCACCCGAGCCATCATCCATCATTGTTTGCTATCTTCAGCGCTGACTCGCCCTCCCCATAGATTGGAAAACCACGAACCCGTATTCCGCGGGCGCAAACTGATCCTCAACTACACTGGCGGCTCTCTCTGCCCCTCCTCGTCCTCCCGCCGCGACCTGCTTCCCACTACCCTTGACCTCTCCCCTCGCGAGATCGTAGATGGAGACGGAGATGATGACGATGACGACAAAAACAAAGACAAGGATGATAAGAACAAGAAGAAACCCTCCTCTTCCAAGCGCCGCAAATCCTCCATAATCTCTCTTCTCTGCGATTCGGACCCTCTGGCAAAGACCTCGGTCTCTTTTGTCGCCGCTGTCGATGACTGCGTCTACTTCTTCGAAGGCCGCTCACCACACGCCTGCGGAGGCGTACACGTTGAGAAGCAGGCTCTCGGCCCAGGCGGAGTCTTCGGCGTCATCGTTCTCATCGCCGTACTTGTATACCTCGTTGGTGGTTGCGTTTACCAGCGGACAGTGATGCACCAGCGTGGATGGCGACAACTCCCCAACTACCAAATGTGGGCCGGAATCGCCCGGTTTGCTACTGTACGCAAACAACGTTTTCCTTGAATTCCCACCTGTGCGCTTCTCTCGCAAATGCGATTTGGCCAGAACTAACACGCCTTGCTTTGTTTAGGATATGTTCATTATTCTTACCTCGTCTTGCGCCCGTTTCCTCCCATCGCGTAGAGGATACAGCCGCGTTTCCCTGGGACAGGATAGCCGTGGTCGATCACGGAGAAACGACGATGAAGACCGTTTGATAGACAACCTAGACGAAGAGTGGGACGACTAAAGCACCCATCTGTCCTTTTCCTCCCATCTTTCTTCTGTTCATCTTGGCATTTCTGCGTGTATATAGGAATCTTTGGGGTTTCCTTTGTTTCTTCTTGTTTTCCTTTTTTTTTTGTATCAATGGTCTCACCGAGCAATACGCATGCCACGAGATACCGGAGAGGGAGCTGTATTCGCTCTCCATGAAACTATATTTCTCCAGAAGCTCGTTGTTTGGGCTGCGAGTTGGTCGTGTATGATTTCAGGGAGGATCAGGGTGAAGCACATGACGGTTTTGCTAGCATATCGGCTGGTGAATCACCTATAGAAAGCCAACACTCAGGTAGAAATGGTACCGACGTATCATCATAAACACACATTGAATCGCTTTCTTATCAGACCCATAGTCGTAAGAGGCCTGTTGCGCACGCCTTCCGTCTCTATCGATCAAAATAATTCAACCGGCGATCCAAGCGCTTTTCTGTTACACACTTTGCTTTCCCCCGTGGTGCAAGAATGTCTTCCATTGGTTTCAAACACCCCGCTTGCGGATATTGGCACGAGTCTCGGCAGACTATGACAGGCATGCCGGTACCTCCAGAACTCCCGCCGACGTCCAATGAAGTTCTGTCGATAGACAAAACGCTCCCGGTATCTGAATCACATAGTGATCAAACCGAATGTAATAGTATAAACCCTATGGGCTGATTGTGCCTTTTCACTGTTAACTATCATTTTCCGGGGAGAAATGACCAAGTGTTAGCTTACTGTACATGCGCTGAACCTCTAACTCAGGCTCTTTTCGCGAATTACATGCTGTACTTTACCACTCTTGCCTAATCAACAAGTCTACCTTTCGAATGCATGTTGGAGCTTCGTATAGATCCTTGAGGGACTATCGTACTTTTATTTTCCTATCGGTATAAGGCGAAGATTGATATCTCGACATAATCTCGAGAAAGTAGTAGCCTGCAGCAGTGTGTTATCGCAGCAGAAGATCTATTGCGGAAATCTATCGTTATCCAGAATATATATCATATGTGAACACTCTGTGTGTTCAATGACACACATTCATATTCCTCGATTTATTTTCCAGGGCTCAGCTTTAGCCCTTAACGAACTTCTCCAAAGTCAGTGAGTTGCGTTCGATACTGCAATATTCATTCCAAAAAGTAGTCAAAACCACGGACTTAAGTTTACCAATCTTTCATCTATACATTATAGTATTCCATGTTCGCTTAAGTAATGATGCTACTGATGGCAAATTCAAGATACGCGTTGACGTATCTTGCTGTTTTCAGTTGCAGTGTTCGCGCATTCGCTTCATCTTTTGAGAGCTTGCAAGTCTACCGCAGACCGCTCCTTGTGATTTGTTTTGCTCTCTTTACCTCTGGGATATCCGCGGAAATTATCGTTCTTCCAATGGCTCTTGTGGTCGTTCATTTGACCTATTCATATCTTCTGCGCTTTTCCTGTGGTACGTTTGAAGGATTTGAATTACGCTTTTGGCATACGGAGAGCGGCTTCGGATTGATGGTCTGGATAAAATGTTAACAAAACGGGTCTTTCTATTATGTAGATCCAGTTGAATGTCTGCAGGCGTACCATAGAGTCGCATCGCGCATCGGCTGCCATCTTGTCTTCCCGGAGATTTCAAAACGACTAATCTATATGTTCGGCATCGCTGCCCTGCCTTTACCTCGTAAACAACTGGGCATACGGCAATTTACCGTCATCTTCGTACTATCCCACTGAAACTACATAAGAGAGTGAAACTTGATGACATGACACACAATAGATTGACTACAGCTCGTATACGAGTGAGGGACCATGAGTAGCGGGGGTCGATTGTGTGAGCGCATTAGAAACGTCATTGTACATTCTTAGAGAATTGATGTACCATATGAGATTAGAATGAACTATTGACGCAATTCCAGTGTCTACCTAGGCACCTACCTACCTACCTAGGTAGGTATGTATGTGCAATACGATAAGTGCATGTTCACTCTTAGACGAGATACTGGCTGGGCTCAGTGTGTCACCTCCATTAGGCAACAATGACCTAATTTACTTTGTAAGACACATTCACACCGACATTTGGGATGCACGTGACCGCGCGCGTGTACCGTGCGGGGATAGCGTGGTTCGTGCTACGGTGGTCCAACCTATGTTTGTTTATGACTGTCGTGGGCCAGCTATATATCCCCGTAGCTTCCTTCATTTCTGCCGCTTGTCAACTGGTACACGCTTGAGCCTCTTCCTCTGTCTGCTTCTTGCTCGTTCGCAAGGATGGAGTGGGACGAAATCCATCAGCAAGCCAAAAACACAGTAACAGGCTCTACCGTCAACAACTTCGAAGCCGACCGGTACCTCGTGGGCATCATCAAGTTGAACGAGCCTCTTCACCGCCTAGGGGAATTTCAATTGCTCTGGATCAAGGTAACTGGGAAGGTGACTGTGAGAAAATTCCAGAATGTATACATGGAGCATCAACCGGACGTTGAAATCAAGTTGCATTTCCAGGACGAAGATATCTCTCTGGACACCGCATGCGAGGACCTAGATCTTTACAGGGACAAGCTGATTGTTTTGAGAGCCATGGAAAAAGATGCTAGTGGCCATGCTACCCGCATCCCACCTTCTGCACCTTCCACTTTGCTTGACTTTCCTACCTACCATCCAACCACCTCGCCACACTCCCGAATCAAGCAAGAACGCCAATCCCCGCAACCGCTCGCACCTGACAATCCAGAAGATCAAGACGCCATTGAAAGCATGGCTGAATGCCGTTTGTCACCCGCGTCTCATTCAGAACCCACCCTGTTGAGCGACGGGTCGTTTGATCTGTCGCAGGTCTTCAATCGCGAGGACTCGGAAGAGAGGGACAAATCGGCTGTCACAGCAACATACCATTACATTGACGAGGTCATGGGTCAAGATGATCCCGATATCTTAGAGGCTAGCGCCTTGAAAGCTCTAGACATGCTTACATCTATCAAGAGCATATTGACGCGGCATTCAAACAGTAGTCCAGATGCTGCGACGTGGAAACAAGCAGTCGAAGAGCTGGAGAGTCAAGCAGAACGCGAACGCCCGCGTACTATTATAGGCGTAGTTGGTAATACTGGTGCCGGAAAGTCCAGCGTCATCAACGCATTACTTGACGAGGAGCGACTGGTTCCGACAAATTGTATGCGCGCATGTACGGCCGTCGTAACATCCATCTCTCACAACACTAGCAAGGACACTTCTACCAAATACCGCGCCGAAATTCAATTCATCGAGCCAGCTGATTGGGAGAGGGAGCTCCGCATCCTAATGACCGAGTTTTCTGAGAACGGCACTCTATCTGCCGAGACAAAGGACCCTAACTCCGACGCCGGCGTAGCATGGTCGAAATTCAAAGCGGTGTATCCCAAGATCCCCAAGGACGCGCTCAGAGACTGGACACCCGAGAAATTGATGGGTGTCAAGACTGTTCTTGACTGCCTCGGGACCACGAAACATGTAAATTCCGCTTCCCCGGACCGTTTCTACGCGGGATTGCAGAAGTACGTGGATAGCAAAGAAAAGACTGGAGTCCAAGACAGGAAAGGAAAGAAAGACAAAAAGGACAAGCTCTCGTCTCCAGAGATTGAATATTGGCCCTTGATAAAGGAAGTGAGGATTTACACCAAGGCCAAAGCCCTCGAAACTGGTGCGGTGGTGGTCGACTTGCCAGGCGTGCACGATTCTAATGCTGCTCGTGCTGCCGTCGCCGAGCGCTACATCAAGCAGTGTACGGGGCTCTGGATCGTCGCACCAATAAACCGCGCGGTCGACGACAAAGCTGCCAAAAACCTCCTAGGTGACAGTTTCAAGCGCCAACTGAAATATGATGGCAATTACTCTAATGTCACCTTCATATGCTCCAAGACGGACGATATTTCGATCACTGAAGCCACTGATAGCTTGGGTCTACATAGCGAGATGTCCGATTTGGAGGATCGTTACTTTGGCTATGAAACTGAGCTCACGTCTATTGAGAAAGCTATCAAAGAATCGAAAGATTCTATCGCAGTATACCAAGAAATGATTTCAAGTCATGAAAAAGAAACGGAGATCTGGGAAGACCTCAAGGACAGCGTCGAGGAAGGAAAGAGGGTCTTCGCGCCGTTGGACCGATCAGCGGGTAAGCGCAAGAGGCGCAGTTTGAAGAAGAAGTCGAGGAAACGACAGCAACCCATTGATTCGGATCTGGAGTATGATGATTCCGACGAAGACTACCAGACGGATGCTGATATGGAAGGCGAAGCCGACGGCGAAGTGATAAAAACACCTCAACAGCCGCTTGCCATTAACGACATCAAGTCTAAGATCAATCAACTACGGCATCACAAGAAGAATGCTCGGGACGAGAAAGCTTTGGTTCAAGAGAAAATCACCGATTCCAGAAAGAAAGCACACAGGCTCAAAGAAAAGATGGACGAAATTCGTGGAGCAATGTCTGCTTTGTGCATTTCTGGACGGAACGAATACTCGAAAGGTGCCATTCAACAGGATTTTGCCGCAGGTATCAGGGAGTTGGACATGGAAAATGCAGAGGAAGAGGACGAGGAACACTTCGATCCAACTCAAGACCTTCGTGATTATGACGATGTTGCCTGCTCACTTCCCGTATTCTGTGTGAGCAGCAGAGCTTACCAGAAGATGAGCGGCCGTCTGAAGAAAGATGATCCTGTTCCGGGCTTCAAGACTCTCGCGGAGACTGAGATGCCTCAACTACAGGAACATTGCAGGCAGCCGACGGCGGCCAAACGATTACAGTCTAGCCGAAAGCTCTTGCTTGGCTTCAAAACTCAACTGACAGCGTATTCACTGTGGGCTTCCTCTGATAACGGGGATCTGAATATGTCTGAGGATGATAAAAGCCAGCAACTGAAGCATCTAGAGAAGCGACTTGGCGAGTTAGAGAAAGGCTTTGAGCGGACAGGTGCGGCATGCATCCACATGATCAACAAAGAGTTGCAAAATCAGATTTATGACCGGTATCCAAATTTGGTCAATGAGGCCGTTCGAGAAGCACCCCAGATAGCCAATAGGTGGGGGTCCCACAAAAGCGAGGGGGGCTTACATTACATAACTTATAAGGTAAGTTATTTTAAAATCGTGTTGTTTGTGCATGATGAGCGAACACTTACTTTACCAGGCGGTATGCAAACGGTTCGGCGTCTACCTTTCGTCTACTGCAGGTCATCGCGACTTCAACGCTGATTTGTAAGTACTACATTCTCTGCACCATATTGGCTTATTCAATAACCATCGCAACAGGACCGACTCGATAATTAAACAGATGGCGACAGGCTGGGAGCGAGCCTTTCAGAATCGCCTTCCTGCGGCACTGGACGGGTATACAGATGCTTGCGGTTCTCTCCTTCACAAGTTCCACGAAACTATCGAGCAGAGCGGACATGAAGCAGGAACATCCCTGGTGACGCTATCGCTCCTCAGGAGCTCCATCAGCAGCAACGAGCAGCTTTTCCGGGACAAAGTCAACGATTTCCTCACCATTATATCAGATTTCAATCGCGAAGCGAATCGAGAATTCGTACCCGTGGTGGCTTACGCTATGGAAGAGGCGTACAAGAAATGCGTTGATGAGGCCGGTACTGGTAGTTACATGCGAATGAGGGACCACATGACGTCGCACGTCGAGGTGCACCGCTACAAGATGTTTACGACTGCGTCTCAAACCGTCATTAAGTCTCTCACGATGATGTGCGATAGATTGGAAAAGTGTATGTCAACCAACGCCAACGGCATCTTCGCGTCAGTTCGTGCGTCGTACCTGCGAGCTTTCAGTGGTCTACAAGTCAGCCAGAACGTGCGGTCGAGGTCTGAACGGATTTTGAGGGCCGAATTGGTCGCACTATTGAACCAGACGGACGAGTTGTTCGAACCTATTGTGAAGGGCGGTGCACTCGGAGCTGAATTTGGTGTTCAAGATGCGGCAGAGGAAAACACATCTTTCTCTGTCGTCCACAGAAGCTCCATGGCTGTCGATGAAGCTACGCCGCTCCGGACTGTCAGTGACGTGGATACATCTGCATCTTCGAGCCCCGGTGAACCTGTCGAGTGGGATCCCATGGAGGTTTAATATGCGTAAGCAGGGGAACTACTGGGTCGATGTTTGCCAGGTCTTCTTGCCTTGTGCGATGAGTGAAACATTTCGATTTCTTTCGGCGTCCACGTTTTCGACTGGCTGAATGATTAAAAGTTCTTGCCTTTTCTTACAGAAGTGGACTGTTATACTTCGTCTTTTACCTTTTTCACTTCCAAATTTTCCTGTATTTATACTTTTTCTTCCCTCACGGACATGCTAGCCTGGCTGAAAAAGCAGACAAGCAGGACCTCTTCTTTCTCCTTTCTTTCTCCCCCTTCCTCCATTCCCTCGTTAGTGGGACATTCGTTCGAGGGGGTTTATTTGACTGATGATGCAATTACGTAGTATATATTAGTGAGGTTTTAGCTCCTATACTGCTACTGACGTGGATGAGCTGTGCATATGGGGCTCTCGAATGCAGTCCAATAGGTAGCTTCTTCTCTCAAACAATGCAAACTAATTGACTCAGACTCTTGATACTTTCAATGCACTGTTAAACTGGCGATTATACTTTAGGCTATTGCAGTTTGTGATTGGCACACTGCCGAAGCTTCTAGGACTGTTATGAGCTGCCCAGAGTCGCAACTGGCACGCCTGGAAACCGATTGGCTGACGAAGAGGGGAGTACTCTAGGCGCAAGAGGGTGATCTCTGTCTAAAACTTGGAATTGCATACTCCGCTCGCAGCTCTCGCCGCTCATGGAGTAGGAGAAAGTCGTCTGTATATTGAGGTTTAGCGCACCCCCCGACAATGCATTAACTACACTTTCTACACTAACACACTTTCAAACAGCGTATTAATCTTGGAAGACTGTTGATGGCTAATGCCAGGATGCGGCAAGCTCTATAATGTACATGTGTATGTATTTACTAGTTACCAGACCACCCCAGCCAATCACAGCACGTTCAAGCCCGCTCCTACAATCAGAAGCGGGCCCGGCGGCAACGAGCTCACGTGACAAGCCAAGCCCTGCCGATGCACGGACCCGATGCTCGACTATATAGCCGAGTTTCATTTCGCTTCTTCTAATACCCATTGTTCATTCATTTCTATATAAAAGGTCACGACTCGTTCGTGTGCCTTTCCCTTCTTTGTTATACCCCATTTTTATTCGTTTCTATCTAACATGGTATGAAGCTTGGAGCAAGGGGATTCAATCCTACCTTTCTTATATATGGGCATGCGCAAGGCAGCCATTGTTGGGAATCTAGGTTGTGGTTGTGGTATTAATGACGAGTGGAAATTTGAAAAAAAAAACTCTTTTGTAAATAGGCGCTAGCGCTCCTTTTGGCTAGCCTCTTAGCGCATAGCTACAGTTGCGGCTGTGCTGTAGCGCTAATTGTGGAGATGGTTGAGATGGTTGAGACGGTTGAGATGGTTGAGACGGTCGAGATGTTGTACCGTGGCTCAGTGAGGATTTTTCTGAGTGGCATTTACCCATGATTTTTTAGTCATCAGGTTGACCCGCCTTTTCAAAACACCATTTTTGAAACACCAAGTTTTTTACTTCAGTGCTCACTCAGCACGTAAAACTGTGTAGCACAAGACGGATTGGAGAATCTACTAGCTGCCCTTCAAGGTATCTAGGTAGGAATATTTTTGCTGGCCCACAATTCTTCTTCTTTTCGTTGATCATGTTGCCTTTGGGTGACAGATTGAAGAAGAGATCAATTGATATGTGTGATGCTCCTCTGTGAGGTGCTCAATTGCTTGTGCTGGTGGGGGCGGACCGACGACGGGCTGGTTGATGGGCTGTCTCTGCTTTCAACCTGAAGATGTACCTGCGGCCGTATCTGGGCTCTGTATGCTCGCAATCGGTTCCATGATGAGATCTGCGGACATGTAAAGTCGTTCCATGATATCATACTGGCTTTGTTCTATTCTCTCCATCTATTGACTTTGCCGCCTCCTCCCCAGGCTCTGCAAGCCGTGCATCAATCTGCCCGTTATCTCGTTCGTCAACACCAACTTCTTCTCCTTCTTCTCCTTCTTCCTCCTCTTCGGCTGTCTTCTCCCCCTGCAGTGCTCTGTACTTTCTCCTCTTTTTCTTGTCCGCGCTAGCCTTCTTCTTCGACTTCTGCTTCGCCTTGATAGCTGTGCGGCTCTGCTCCCCAAGCTCGAGCTCTTCAATGCGTTCCCCTAGCAGCTTCCTCGCTGTCTTGCGGTTTTGTGTCCGGCTACGCGTGTCTTGACATTTGACCACAATGCCCGTTGGGATATGTTTGAGCTGAACCGCCGACGATGTCTTGTTGATCTTTTGTCCACCCGGACCACTGCCCTTGAGGAAATTCTCAATGATGTCGGCGTCGTCGATTACGCGGCGCGGTGGTAGCGGTTTTGCGCTGACTGAGGGTGTGGTAGAAAATGTTGCGCGCCATGTATACGTGGGCGGGCGGCGGGCGGCGTCATTGAAGATGCGGAGAGGCAGGCGGGAGAGAGGATTTGTATTCATTGCGGGTTCTGTTGGCGACTGGGTTCAGGTGATTCGTGGTGCAAATAAGACATTATGGTAGCATCATGCATACAGCGCTCGACAATGGGAAACAAGGAGCTGTTGCCCGACGAATTGAAGCTGTGTACCATCGGTGTTCTGCAGTGGGCAGCTTCGTGCGGCCGGCGATCTACGGCCGTTGCCGTCTAATTGATGCGGAGCCGGGGTGGTTGGTTCAGGATAGGGATGGATAGGGAGCGAATGAAATTTCCCGTTCCCCATTACACCACCACGACTCCATTGCACGTCCCACTGTCCACCAAAGGCAACGAAGCACCCAAAAGAAAATACTGCCAATCGTTCCAAAGCGCTCGTCTCGATCGCGTCCCAAAAGCCACCGAGAGCTGCTCGCCACAGCATGCTGCTAGACTCGGCATCTGTCTCCACCGTCATCCTGCTCGCCGCCGCCTCCGGCCTCCTCATCGCAACCATGCTCTACCCATCCTCACTGCTCCGATGGCTGCAGCGCAAGCGCTACCAATATGAAGTCACATTTTCGCTGTACATGCTGACGCCGACCGAGAAGTTCATACTGAGTACGTCTATACTTGCCCTTCAATCGCCCAAACCGCGATTCCCGGTCGTTCATCGAGTTCCCCTGTCGCCAAACGCATAAACAAACATATGCACATACTTAGAACCACAAACATATTGCATATGCCAAACCTCCTTCATACAAACCAAAAGTACAGGAAGTCGTATAAAAGATATACAAGCTGACCTAGTCAAAACAGACTCCCTCCTCTTCCTCCTACTCTCGCTCTTCATAATAGCCGCCTCACTTTACCTCCCCGAACACGTCATGATCATCGCAAACCGCATGTTCTACTACTTCTCCGGCGATGATAGCAACCTCTCAGCCGCCGACGCTGCCGCTGCCGCTCATTCGAACCCCGCAACCATGCACACGCAGATCATGAACGGACCGGGGAAAGCGTATATGGAACCGTAGACTGTTGTTAAGAATCGGCGGTACTTGCAGCTATAACTGAGAGACTCGGGTTTGCGAGCAGAAGTTGTTTTGTAGCTCTCTTCTTCCCTTCGTATTGTTAGATCAGAGAGGGCGCCAGGAATCGTCGACTTGACTTGGCTTTCTACCACATGGTCCGTTTCTCTTTGGCATACCCTCTTGTTTCCTTACTATTAATACTTCTTCTCTTGATTGGAGATATTCTTACGTTGCATTGGGCGGCTACCCGGCGTTAATTTGCTCTTTTAATAAGAGTAGCGACCCTAGCGATAGGGTCATATGTATATAGCAATACGTATACTTCATAATGCCAAACGACCTGGTACCAAGCTTACAAATGTGGACTCGAACATGCTTCTGCTATCCCGATACCAAATGCTTACGTTGTGACACATATCAAGTGGTGCAAGTATATGACGCTTGCCCTCATCCCCACGAAATGTCAGGTATGGATGTATAGCTATGATGATCCATAGCGTGTGTGGCTCGTCTCCATACAAACAAAAACGCCTCGAGGAGTACTTTATATCTATCCACTTCTGCATTGCCAATCCAGCAGTCTTTGTCCCATCTTGTCCCGCTTTATCTCCCACTCGTTAAGTTTATGTCGCGGAATTAAGGAATTAAAGATTGAGAATGAAAGGAAGAAAGAAAGAGAGTTGGCTCGCCCGCCTTTATATATGTCTATATGTTACGTCTGATCTTAATGTACAATCTGGATATACAGCTTACCGGTAAAAACCTGCAGGAGGGTCAACTACAGGAGATATCCAATATTTCTGTATTCACTCCTGGTATGTCCCCAACCATTGAGACCTTGCAATATTTCGCTTACCACACCAGGGTTTCTATCGATTATACAGCACTATATCTATACCCGGTAGTCGATTTTGGGAAGTGATTTCAAACATCCAGTCACGTTGTTACCTTATAATTGCACACAGATGTGGTATCATCCAATAATTCCGGGGACTGCACAACACACAATGCAATGATGAAATCTGACCAGTTCAATTATCACCGAAATTTCCAAATAGTCCTGAGTCGCCTGTGGCGAATGCGTTGAATGCGGCGAATGCCTAAAAAATCCAGCTGGTATATCGAATTTGTGACCCTCAATCTCATCTCATCTCACTCCTCTCCGAGTTCTTTGTTAGAGAAGAGAAGGCCGTATCGTGATATGTAAAAGATGAAAGGAGTGAAGGAGTGACTGGCAGCGATGGACAGGTTGTGCAGATGCTATCGTAACATGTAAAAGACAAAAGTGAGTGAGCGAGTGAGTGAGTGACTGGCAGCGATGAATCAAACGATTAGAAATTTCCAAAATAGTTGATAAATACGTCAGATGAGACAGTTAAAAGTAGAGGAAATGAGGTGGCGAAGGATGGACAACACGTCAGATGAGTCAAGTACAAGTAAAGGTGAAAGACGTTTAATCTTGACTATTTAACTCCCAGCAGAAGTTGCACAACTACGACTCCTCCACTCACCCATAGCTTCCGAACTTGCACACAGACAGCCTCCACTCCGCCCAACGCCCAATACTTCTTGAACTTGACTCCCCTTCCCCCGGCTGCATACGTGAAAGCTCTCGCCAAAATGGTCAACACCCGGCTTTCGCGCGCCGAGAAACGAAAAGGAAAAGATAAAGGACCTGCGACCCAGATTGTCGACCTGTGTTTCAACCTCGGCGGTCGCGCTTTCCGGCAGCCTGAGGAGTTCAGCACTGAAAACCCCATCTACATCAACGCAAAAGGACCGTCAAGCACGATCTACAAGACCGCATTGTCGAGAGCGCGCAAACCTACACAAGCCAAATCGCGGGTGACGATATCCTTATTCGCAGAGGAAAAGCAGGATGAGCCACCTACGGGTCTATTCAAGTATCTGTTGATCGGATGGGTCCCTATGAGTATACTGGAAGAGAACAAAAGCGAGACCGGTACCAAGCGATCATATGGAACTATGGTGGGCCTCGAGCGACCTAAAGACAACGACATCATCGAATACGATCACGACGACGTCGACAACTTCCCTATGATGGCTGTTGTGAAGCTCAACTCCGACGAGAATCAACTATCAACGCGTTGTTACGTGCTCATGCACCAAGAAGATGGAACATGCACATCATACGCCGTTTCCGCTGATGATGTCTTCTACATGAGCATGTATCGAGATGAGACGAGCAGCAAGAAGGACCGCAAAGGGAACTGGAATCGCCTAGTCAACAAGTTCGCACTCCAACAAACTCCAATTACCGGAAACCCACCCGCACTTCGACGAGCACGCGACCGGTCAAAGTCGGTGCTGCCTCCCACTACGTCTCTCGAAAATGAGATCAACTCGCTTCTAGCAACATACGAGCTGACCAAGAAGCCCTGGTGTCTCGACGAGTTCAAGGAAATCCTCGAGGACCTGAATCCAGATCCCGTCAACGCGCCCCCAGAGAACACTGCTCTACACGGATTCGCAAACCTCGAAGACGATTCGGCCTTGTTCACGCAGGCCAAGGCGCAGAACGTCATTGACGAAATCAGGATCGCGTGGCCAGACACTGAAGTGGATCCCGTACATCTCGCTATGCTTGGCCGGGGAATCCAATGCGCGGACGACACAGCACCCGACTATATACATCTGCATGCGTATATTCGCTATGGCACCAACCTCATTCAGAAGTCTATCGCCGCTGGCGAAGTCGATGCCAATATCGCCTTGCAAGTTGAAGACGGGGAAGATAGACAGACGCAAGAAAAGGTGTTGGCTTCCATCGCTCAAACCACCCATGACACGATCAGGAATGTCTTGGGGTCCGCGAAGCTTCAGAAAGCACCTCTTTCTGACGCACATGCATATCGTAAGCTTCTCGTTGCGTTGAAGGCGAAGCTGGTAGAGATAGTAGTGGCCGACAAGGAATTTGCACGGATGCTGAAGGATTCGATCGGTGACCAAGCAATTGGAGCCAACTACCAGGACATCTGGGCCAAATGTTGCGAACAGTCGGACACGGAAGGGGCTAGAGCAGCATTCATGGATATTACAAAGCTCGTTATTGGGGCGCTGAGGGCGCACGAGGGTTATTTGGCCAAACGGGTCAAGGATATCGTTGATATCTTGGACAAAGCTGGCATCTAGAGCAGCTGGGACGGAGTTCATCATCCGCGGGCATGCGATACAATGGTCACTATCGATTCGTTCACATCCGACGGTGGAGACGTGCCTAAATGGATTTGAAGGGTAGTAAGGGAACGGTGCATTCGCACGGAACTGGGTGGATGATGGATGATGATATGGCTGACATTGAAGCTGCCATGCTGAGGTAGATTAAGTACTTCACTAAATACATACTGATTTCCTTCAGCCCTCTTCGTGACCAACTGTACTGCCTAATAACTGGAAAAGCGAAGCATTCGACGAAAACATTAACGATGAGCGCAGCAGAAAACAGCCCAATATAATACAGCCTAGAGCTCTCCTCAATACAGTCCCCAAAAAGCAGAAACGCAACATATATGTACCAACTCACTCATAGCCCAAATACAATCCTCACAGAATTTGCCAACGCCATCGGCTGGTAACTATTTACACAACAGACTACATCGAAATCTCTGACTTGATCCAGAAAGTTCTGTCTCACGGTACCTTCCTCAGAAATAAGCACGAGAACAACCGGCACGCTTTCCATCGCCTGACCCCCACGACCCACCATCTCAACGACATCTCTGCAGAATCGCACCTGCTGCTCAAACGCCCGCGGGTAAACAGCGCGCACGTTCGCAGCCGCGCATACGACGAGCATGATAGCGCCACTAGCAGATAAGAAGTCGCCGTGCGTCTCCGTCATGCCGTGATCGAGACGGTAAGGGATGTGGCGAACAGGCCGATGGACAGCGCGACCGAGAGGCTCAAAAGGGTCCATATTTTTGTCGAGAGTGGTGTTGGGTGGATGTGGGACGAAGGGCGTGAAGAGAGTTACTACTTCTGCGACATTTAGGTGCTGGAGGCGGGTGTGAGTTTGTGGTGGGCATCGATAGAGCGTGGGGTTTCCAGCTGTGGTGGATGGAGATGGTGATGGGGAGGCGGTTTGTGCTCGGAGAAGGGCGGTGAGGTTTGATAATTTCGGGAATTCCGTGGGGGACATGGTCGTGATTTTATTTTTGTTTTTTTCTGATTTTCTTTGATCTGGCCGGTTTGGTGTGGAATGGGGGTGCCTAGTCTGGATTCCAATCTGGTTTCGATGTATGACTTCCTTTCTCTTTCCCTTTATTGATTTCTCGTACCCGTTTCTCTGTTCGACCTAGAGATGTTGCCTGAAACGTGTACGTCGTTGTTTGGCGATGTTTCTCAACTGCTCAATGACTGGTAAAGTGGAACGGACCCGTTTTCGGGATGTGGCGATGATTCCTTCACCGATGTACTAGTCTCGTAAGGAGATTGCTTGCGGTGGGTGTCGAGGCCGAGTGATTAAATATCTGCACGATGATAATGATTGCTGATGGGCGGGGGAAGAGTGACAGTTGATGCCTGACGGACTACCCGAAACGAGTAGGGTCGCGGTAGAGCAGGGCGCAAGTGATGAAATGATTCGTGTTAAATACAATGAATCCGCTGACGAGTATATAGATATATAATTTGATCAATCGCCTATGGCCAAAGAGCAAGTACCATGATGTTGCCGGCCAGGTTAGTGTACTCAAGTATTAATACTGGCGGATCGCAGGTTGGACCGTGGGCTTTGCTCATAGATTCGGCGTCATGTTCCAATTTGTAAGTCTATCAGGGGAAAGTTTCTTCGAATATAACGAACAATAATATCGGCGGCGACCCAAGCGTGCTACAGCATGAGAATGCGCAAGAGGTTGCACGCGGAACGTGTCTCCGTGGACCGATTTATTCCAGAAAACAAAAGCGAGACGCCCAATCCGGCGAAATGGTATTCAATTCGCTGCACAGTGTTGGCGACAAAGGCCGAAGCATGGCATAGCCCTCAGGCAAGCGGCATAAATGGACGCCTCGGTGCGGCAATGTCACGCAAAAGTATTCGTAAGTTGGCGGGAGGTCACCCGTAAGGCTATGGGAAAGGAGAAGGCGAATTCACATGGCAAAGCGGCTGCAACGCTGGAGTGCGGTGGCCAGAAAAGAAAATTGGAAAGCCCCATGCGGGTGTAGCAGAAGGTGAATCGAGAATGGACCTGGTCGGTTACAGGCTGATGGACGAGCAAGGGATTGGAAAAAAAGGCCGAGCAGCAAACCAGTAGCATCGGAGAAGAGATCCGGCAACCGGGGAGTAGAGCAAGAAGTTGTTATTCGCCATAGATGCAGTCGGCTGGGTATCATGGTGGCGCACGGGGGTCATTGACCTTTTGAGCAGCTTGTGCAGAAGCGTTGCTAGATGACAGCGGGTTTACGACGCAGCACTTGAGATGGGGCCAGTCAGACGTGGACGCCTCGCATGCTGATGGCCTTTGTGCAACGTGGTAATCAGCCGTCGAGGGCGAGGGCGAGGGTGAGGTCTGCATTGCATCCTGCCTGGCCGTATGCATGCGGGTGACTGCTGCACCACCCACACAGAACGACTGCGAGTAGCAATATCATGCACGGATGATAGATCATCGTGGATGCATCGATTGAGGTGTGTTCGCGGGGAGCTCGGGTGCGAAACGAGGTCGTGTTGCCGGCGCCGTGCTTCCTCAGACTATGTAAACGCAGGAGGTGCGAGCACAGCAGCCCGACAGTGTTGCATTTGGTGCACATTGGCCAAATGCCCCGACGACATGTCCGATTCCATTCATTCTGTATCACGCAGCACCGGATGAAGAATCTGGGGTCGCTGACTTAGCACCCCAATCGGGCAAGGCGCCTCCAAACAGGTAAACACCACCCCAAGTTCGACCATGTGCTATGGCGATGCCATAGACCGATCTCTTTCACATACACCGCTTAGTCGCCGCCAACTTGGTGCGCAGAGAGACGTAACGTGATGCCGTCTGTCGTTGACTGTAAGCTACCACGGTTTGCTCCTCTTCTCCCTCTGAAATCATCCCTGACGAAACATCACTAGCAGAATCGCCTTTGCACGACGCGCTAGAGTCTCTGGAGCGAGGTGAGCACGCGTCGTACCAAACATTACACGGCTTGTACTGACCAAAGGGAAGCATCGCAAACACCCGCCAAACAGAGAACTGTCAAAGTTTCCGAAGTTGTCGACGCCATCTGCAGTCAGGCCTTTGACCATGGATTGCAACAGGATGAGTTGCGTCAAATCATATACATCATCTCCAATAAAACAGAACTGGACCAGACCAGCGTGACCACTCTGATCAAAAATCTCTATCCCGCTCAAAGCATCCCCGCCAATGTCATCATTACTGTGGTTGGGGCGCTCGGCCAAGGCAGAGGCAAACCTACGCCTGGTACCCAGAACAACCTGGTCAAGTGGCTTGCCATTGTCCACGAGGTGCTCGAGGACCCCGCCGTTCTCTCTCGTCTCTATGGCGTTCTCTTCGGCATGCTCGATATGATTAGTATCAGGTGATTGCTTTGTTTTCCCCGAAACCCCTCTAATACCCAGCTGTACTAAATCCAGCAGGACCTCCTTGTGCCATCTGTTGTCGTTGATCACCCGCCGGAAGCATGTCAAACCGTTCCGCATACAATATCTGTATGCTCTCAAACGTTCGTCGCACTGGATATCGTAGCCACTAACATGAACGTAGGCTTGATTTCTCTCGCAGTCTCGGCAACGAGCCTGCACTGCAAGGCCTCCTCCGCATTTACAAGGATTATTATCCCGATATTCTCCTCGGAAGCACTTCCACGAGCCGCAATTCGTTTGCTCCGGTCAGTTCATGATCCCGTCTTGGCATCTCTATGCACATACGTACCGATCCGTTTAAGCGTAGTCACATCTATGTGTCCGTGCCTATCAAATGTCTGACGAACCGTGATTATAGCAACCCGATGTCGAATGGCGAACTCGGCTGCTTGCAATACAAGACCGTGATGCGGCAGCTACAGATACCACAGGCCAGCACAATGGTTTCAGAGTCCTGAGGAAAGCACCTCAACACATCAAGAATCGAATCATCCCAGACGTGCATACGTTCTACACAAATGAAGTGTGTAACACCATTATCTACTCGGTGGAAACCCGCTTACAATATCTGTTAGGCTTCTGTGACCTTGGAAGGAATCGACAATGTGGACGATTTCGTTGGGAAGCTGGACAAAATAGATCCACCGGGGCAGCTCATCTCGTTTCTTACAGATCCTTTACTACAAAAATACGTCAATTTGAAACCCTCCCCTATTCTGGAGCGTCGTATTGAGTTGTGGCTATCGAATTGTCTCGAGGAGCACTACAATGATACCAAGGAAGGTACAATTGACAGTATCTCTCTCTCGGAAATATTGGACGGGTTACTCAAGCATGCCCAATATACAAAGGTGCGTACACAAGAACTAAAGGTTTATCTGTTTTTCTTGCTGACCATTTTTAGAAACTCATGCCTATTGTTGAGACGTTCTTGAGGGAATACCTTACAATTTGGGACGGTCTGAATGATCTCGAGACATTGTTGAGTCTGGTGTCTTACATACCAATACAACCTTTCCAAAGTCAGTTCTTCGTCTCCCCATTCGCATACAATTGCTTACTTGCCACAGGTGCTTACACAGCCTTTCTTCAGTCAGTAGAGCGGGCACTCACGACTCAAAACACAAGTGGCCACAGCCAATTGTTACATTTCTACACCGATCTCTTCCGACAATGGTCCATCCGCGCATCTCCACAAGCCAAGAAACCTCATTCAGCTTTCGCAGGCTCAGATCAAACCTCGCTCAAGGACCTGGTTTCTCACGTCTCTCACCTCTCAACATCCCTCCTCCTCGCCCTCCCCATTGGACATGAAACCCAAATAACTTCCACCATTCTCTCCTTTTTCGAACTCGTCGCCACATCCTCAACCCCACACCGCATTCCCATCCTCCTCCTCCCAACCCCCTTAATTTCCCTCCTGGTGCTAACCCCATCAACAACGACCCTCTCCCGCACCACCGGCCTCATAGCTACCTACAAACACGCCTTCAATGTACATCCCACGCCGGTGCGGGACTACTACCCCACCTCCCTCATCGACACCTTCAACGTGCTGATCCGCGATGTCTACAACCTCATCTGGATCTCGCGCGCGCTTTCGATCGCCAAAGACGATGCTGGCCGCGATAAGGCTATCGGTTTGCATTGCGCCCCTACGCTTCGTGAGGGCCTTGCTGGATACCTTAATGCAGACTTTGATCGCGAGTACGCGCTCGCTCCTGCGTTTGGCCTCTCGTACAATCCTCAGACTGCCGCATTAGCGGCCGGTGTGTGGGACACTATCCAGGACGCGGAGTTGCGAAGGTTGTACGGGGGTGATGGGGAAAGTGAGGATGCCGAGAGACACTTGGGACCTGTCAGTCAGCGCAGCTTGGATGTGTTGCGGAAAAGGGGTGGTGTGGATATTGAGTGGGAACGGTACCGGGTTGAGGTGCTGAGGTGGTTAGAAGCTAGGGGGTTAGCTGGGATCAAGGAGTTTTTGTGGGCGAGCTCGGAGAGCTTGAAGAAGAAATACGGGAATTGAATTATTTCCATTTCTCTTCTTCTGCTTTCGCTTTCTGAGTAACCGACGCGAGGGGGAAACAATGGTGTAAGATCGCTGGCTACTATTTTGCGTTTAGGATAGGCAGGGTGTTGAGCTTGCGGTTTTGCTTGCATCGTATTATTTGGTATACCCCAAGTATGGTAACATATAGATTTTTCTGAGGTGTGTACCTTGTCTCGGCCACACAAATAAGCTGTGGTAGATTGATAGAACAAAAACTAGGCGCATAATAGGAAAAAGTGTGACAACATATACAGCGGGACTGCTATAAGCGACCTGCATCAAGTTATAACGAATCCCCAAAGTCTTTCGAACCAGTTCGTACAATCCGAATTCACGGAGCGGTACATAGAACGTTACACATGATCTGAACATACCTACGCCGTACTAGTGAACGTCTATCTGGCCATTGATTTATAGAATCCGAATCAAAGACAGAAATCAAGATGTCGGCGGGAGAGCATTTCAAGTCAAAGCTGATTTCATTTCCGCCTTGGCCAAATTTCTCCTACTGGTCGAATTTCAATGTAAATCTGTGCTTGATTGATTGATTGATGACATCTCCAAGTATCCTCGGTGACGATGAAAATTTGAGTTTGCGAAAATCCACCCCAAGTAGCTCTATAATTGATGACAGGATGTAGGCAACATCACCGCAGAGACTTCTGCCACGCTTCGCGTCGCACAGAAGGTTTCGGTGTTGGGTTCTCCTGTGGGCTCACAGGCGCGAGATTACATACAAAAAGAACTAACTGGCATGGACACGGCGGCGGTTGGCGTTGGCTCTGCATTCTTATTTTAGTACCCGCCGATGGAAACACCCTCATCTATTTGATGGCACTTATTGCTTTGTCGCGTTGATCGTGACGCCACTGCTTGATGGCTGACGTTAATGCCCGGAGGGCGGGTAATAGTCGATAGTGCTTTGCGTGAGTATCAGGAGCGAGGCTCGTGATTCTGTTAATTGATTCAGATGTTGACAGTTTCACGTCCATCTATTTCTTGTCATTGCCTGTGGCCAAACCCCCACATCGTGGTGATGAGCCCACGCAATTACTGGCGAGGCAGCGGGGTGAGGTGAAGGATCGCAATTGTCCTGCGTGGCACATGCTCAGATTCTGTCCACTGTTCCGATGCTCGACTGTTGGACTACAGAGTCTACTGTCTCGTTCGTTCCGGTTGGTTCCTCAGGAATCACTCCATGACGACAGTGTAGCGGATGAAAGACGCGATCAATGATTCCATACAGTCTGTCGCGAGTAAGTCAGGCCTCCGTTGGGGCGGTCTAAAGTGATTTCCGTAGCATGCGATTGGACGAATGGTGGTAAGGTTGGGAACAGACACCTTTGGGGGTATTGATGGATACAATGGATCGCAGTCATCGATGTGGGAAGCACGAGGTGAGTGGGATTCCGGCTGTAGTACAAGGAAAGAAAGAAAAAAGCTTGTCGCCGGGTGGGCGGAGGAGAGCCAGAGACGTTATTCCCATTGCATGTTTAATCCGACGATTATGCGGCGCACCGGAGGCTACCTTCGGCATCTGCTGTTGGGAGCTGGCGGGATGACGGAGAGTGGCTCGTGCACGTAAAGATCCCATCAATTCCCCCAGCAACATATTTTTCCCTCCTTCCTTCTTTCCCCATCTCGCTTCATCTCCATCTTCCCCTCTCCCTCCACATTCATCACACAATGGCCACTTCTCTGCGATTGAGCGCAAGCGCTCTCCGCTTCACTGCTCCCCGCCGCTCCGCCGTTGCTTTCAATGGCTTCCGCAGCTACTCCAGCAAGACCCAGGTGCGTGTCTTCATCCCCAACGCTTTATTGATGCCGCATCTAACAATTGGGTACAGTCTTTGAAGGAGACTTTCGCCGCGAAGCTCCCCGGAGAGATCGAGAAGATCAAGAAGCTCCGCAAGTAGGCAGCCCTGATTTCCATCCCCAGAACCCCTTGCGCTAACAGGTTCATTCAGGGAGCATGGCAACAAGGTTGTCGGCGAGGTCACCCTCGACCAGGTCTACGGCGGTGCCCGTGGCATCAAGTCGCTCGTCTGGGAGGTAAGATCATATGCATCAGCTTCGACGGGAAAAACATAAGCTTATCATGACCAGGGTTCCGTTTTGGACTCCGAGGAGGGCATCCGTTTCCGTGGAAAGACCGTACGTGCATCCATTCGATACTCGATCGATCAAAAACTCACACATCACAGATCCCCGAGTGCCAGGAGGTTCTCCCCAAGGCTCCCGGTGGCACCGAGCCCCTCCCCGAGGGTCTTTTCTGGCTCTTGCTCACCGGCGAGGTCCCCTCCGAGCAGCAGGTTCGTGACTTGTCTGCCGACTGGGCCGCTCGTTCCGATATCCCCAAGTTCGTTGAGGAGCTTATCGACCGCTGCCCTACCGATCTCCACCCCATGGCTCAGTTCTCTTTGGCTGTCACCGCTCTCGAGCGCGAGTCCAGCTTCGCCAAGGCATACGCCCAGGGAATGCACAAGTCGCAATACTGGGAGCACACTTTCGAGGACTCCATGAACCTCATCGCCAAGCTCCCCACCATTGCTGCTAAGATCTACCGCAACATCTACAAGGATGGCCGCGTTGCTCCCATCCAGAAGGACAAGGACTACTCTTACAACTTGGCCAACCAGCTCGGTTTCGCCGACAACAAGGACTTTGTTGAGCTCATGAGGTTGTACCTCACCATCCACACTGACCACGAGGGTGGCAACGTCAGCGCCCACACCACCCACTTGGTTGGCAGTGCTCTCAGCTCCCCTTACCTTTCTTTGGCTGCCGGTCTCAACGGTCTTGCCGGTCCTCTTCACGGATTGGCCAACCAGGAAGTGCTTGTGTGGCTCCAGAGGATGAAGAAGGCCATTGGCAACGACCTCAGCGACCAGGCCATCAAGGACTACCTCTGGTCCACCCTCAAGGCCGGCCAAGTCGTGCCCGGTTACGGCCACGCTGTGCTCCGCAAGACCGACCCCCGCTACGTTTCCCAGCGCGAGTTCGCCCAGAAGCACCTTGCTGATGACCCCATGTTCAAGCTTGTCAGCCAGGTCTACAAGATCGCCCCCGGTGTTCTCACCGAGCACGGCAAGACCAAGAACCCCTACCCCAACGTCGACGCCCACTCCGGTGTCCTCCTCCAGTACTACGGCCTCACCGAGCAGGGCTACTACACCGTCCTCTTCGGTGTGTCCCGCGCTCTCGGTGTCCTTCCCCAGCTCATCATCGACCGTGCCGTCGGCGCCCCCATTGAGCGACCCAAGTCTTTCAGCACCGAGGCGTACGCCAAGCTTGTTGGTGCCACTTTGTAGATTGACAACGTGTATTATGAGGGAGTTAGAACATTTAGGCAAGATGCTGTGGGCCTTGGGCGTCAAGATTTGCTATGTATCAACTAGAATTGGGTTTGTAGGGATAGGATTGTACGTTTTGATAACTTAGCATGCATCGAACCTTTACTTGTTCGGAAGGGTTTGCTGTAAAAGCACCTATTTATTCTCATTCAGTTCACAATTTGCTCTTAGTTCCATTCAATATGTCTCTGTGAATATCCCCGTGGTTGTAGAGCAGAGCAGAGGTAGTCTTGGTATTGCGACTACTTTGATGGCGAGTAATGCCGATACATCTGACATTCAATGGCTGCACCGCCGTAATGCATGATGATGATGTGCTGCCTGTAGCACTGACGCGATTGCTCAGGAACTGGCGTCATGCATGGCAACTCGGTTCGTTTCCCTTCTCAGGAAACAGCTAAATTAACACCAATGCTTGTGCCCATCCAACGGGTAAAGCTGTACATCACGTCACAAGTTGAGACGACAAAAGAGGCAGGCATGAAGGTCAACGCCTTAGCATGCAGTTTGCGCAACGATGGCGAAGGTATATGTAAAGAGAAAGCCTTGCTCGCTGATTCCACGCCTGAGCAGTACAGTTGACCATTGTGCCTCCGCATCCATAAACGACCAACATGAAGTACGCTCACGTTGTCGCAACACTGCTTGTGCAGAGCACCACCGTGCTAGCAGATGTTAATCTCTTGCCTGTTCAAATCAGAGCCCCATCCATTGCTCATTTCAAAGACATTATTCGCAACGAGACGTACGACTTTGGCTGCCGACCAGCTGCGCTCCCCACAAAAGACGGGTTCAAGCTTCATGCGTTCCTCACGGAAGCGCAAATCGGCCATTTTGTGAAAGAGTACGAGTTCAGCGAGCTTTCTTTGCGTACGAGTCTGGTCAAGAGACAGGAGGATACTGCGCCTATTGGAGCTGGTGATCGATTCGAGGATGGTAATGTGGCTCCCCTTGGCCTAGGCACGAAGGAGGCAGGAGTATGTATTTCCCGCGTGCAACATCCCACTGCCAAAAATTTTGTTTATTAACATTTTCTCCGCGAACTCAGGCAAGTATAGAAACCCTCTTGAATATTGGAGAAATCAGCACCGCTGTCAGAGGTCTGGTAAACGCATACGATTCTGTCTCGGTCGTCGACCTACCACACAAAACGTTCGAAGGGGTCACACAGTTCGCTGGCTATGTTGGCGGTGGTTCAAACAAATCGAACTATCATCTATATCTTACTGCAGGATCTCATGCCCGCGAACGAGGAGGACCCGATCAGTTGATATACTGGGTATCCGACCTGCTAGCAGCGAATAAATCGGGGATTGGCCTGACGTACGGTGAAAAATCATACACCAATGACCAGGTGGTGAGTATCCTCGAAGCTGGGATTGTGTTCTTTCCCCTAGTCAACCCTGATGGAGTCGCGTACGATCAGGAGACGGGATCTCTATGGCGCAAGAACAGAAACACTGCGTCCGGCAACGGAAGTGCCACTGGGGTCGACATCAATCGCAATTTCGATTTCCTCTGGGATTTCCAAAAGTACTTTGATCCCTCGGCGAACCCGGCCTCGACGTCTCCAAGCTCTCAAACCTTCCGTGGGACTGCGCCCGAGTCTGAAGCGGAGGCCAAAAACATCGTGTCCATTTACAAGGAGTTTCCGAATGTTCGCTTTTACATGGATATCCATTCGGCGACGGGCGACATACTGTATCCCTGGGGCCACGACGAAGGACAGAGCAACGACACGAATCAGAATTTCCTCAATCCCGAGTTTGATGGCAAACGCGGGGTGGTCGGCGATGATGTTTACAAAGAGTTTATCCCATCGACGGACGACAGCAACCTGCGAACCGTTGCGACCAAAGCGGTGACAGCCATGAGCGCGGTTGGAGGACGGCCTTACACGGCGGGTCCTGGAGTAGGACTCTATCCCACGTCGGGAGGTGTGGCCGACTACACTTTTAGCAGATATTGGGGCATCGAGGGCGTCAACAAGGTGTACAGCTTCACGCTCGAGTTTGGATACCCGACGAATTTCTATCCCACGCTCCAAGAGTTTAATGAGAATGTGCTTGATACCAATGCAGGGTTCACTGATTGGGCGTTGGCAGCCATTGAGGTTGGCTTTGAATGAGCAGGATGCAGGTCTTGGGAGCCGGATGGTTTGGTTGACGTGGGGGTGGTGTGCATGCACCAATGCAATGCATTTATTCCAGGTTCCAGATGTCGGTACAGAAAAGGTACCGGAATGCTAGGTAGATGAAAAGGAAGAAAGAATTCCACAATCTATGCTACATACAACAATACTCGTATTCTATTCAAACATGATTCCATGGGCAACAATGAGGGAGGTGGAAATGTGCAGTGGTTGTCCAGCTACCGGTAGCCGAGTAGTCTTCGGCTTTTACCCGATCGGTCGGCGTGGTGGGCCACTATGGAGAAGCAAGCACCAGCGATGGATACTGGCCATGGCTAGAAATAAACATGGTCGAGGTTGAGCCCTGACTCTCCGCGGCTGTCTGTCTCCCTAGCCTCGATGGCCTTGACCCTGACACCCTGATTCCCGACGGGCCCCTATTTGCTCCGGTTCCCCTTGCTGATCCACGGTTTAGCTTGTGGCGGCCGCGGCTGGCTGGCCCTGCGACCATTTCAAGATGCGACGCCTCGATTGACGGCGCCTTGATCAGGAATCATCAAAAACACCACGTCCGGGTCAGCCCTAGAATTTCCGTTGAGCGGCGGTGTCAGGCAAGGGGCGCGCGCGGGAAAGAAGCAACAATGGTCTAGGTTGAGGCTTTATATCTGAGCTCGTGGCCTATCGGGCGGCTTGTTGAGGCTCCTGGCAAAAGTGTTGGAGAGCCGCCGCTGTCACCGCCAGCCAGCAAGCCAGCCCACTGGGGTTTGTGTGTGCCTGTGGCCGGCGAACGGTTCAATTCCCGCAGAGGTACCGTACTGTTGACGACCTGCAAAAAGCGGTACATGAAATGACCAAGATAAGCCCCAATTTCCCTTGTTGACAGCAGGGAGCACGCTGGATTGTTATTTATGTATGATTGCTGTTTCCAGCACCCGCCACCATCACAAAGAAAGAGGTCGGCAGTGGCCTTCGCTGCATTTCCTTCCACCCATATATCAATCATAAGTAGCAAGTGAACTTTGCCCTGGCATACATCCATAGAGTAGGCGGAACCTCCTGGTCCTCCCGAAAGCGGTCTTGGCGTCCGGCGCATCATTCACCACCGCAGCCGCCGCCAACAACCCAGCCAGCTCAGCTCGGGCCATATCGCGCGCAGCCAACGCTTTCGACTCAATCGAGCTCCCCCGAAACTTTTCTGCTCTTTTCTTTCTTCATCCTCCTTTTTCCCATTATTCTGTCCTCTCTCTACTTATCCTCCCTTCCTCAGCGAACGACGCGCCCTCCTGCCTTGGTCCGGCCCCCTTTATCGACAACATTCACCCAGAGATGAGCACTTCCGTAACTCCAGCTGGCATTCCAGCTCCACCGGCCTTGGAGAAGAAGCCCGTCAAGTTTTCCAACCTTCTCCGTAAGTGAAGCCTCCCGTCTGTCTTCCGACGATTCGGAAGCTGCCTTTGGGTTGCACCAGCTGCGGGAACAATTGCTGACGTTGGAGCTTACAGTCGGAGCTGGCCTGAACTTGTTTGAGTGAGTACTCACCTCGGAGATGCATCGCCTGCACGTACTGCTCGGATGCTAATTCATCATGATAGAGTCACAACTCTGGGACAGCCGCTAGAAGTGGTCAAGACCACCGTGAGTAACCACCGCAGACAGTCATGTGGCAACACAAATCATTAATTGCTATGGACAGATGGCCTCCAACCGTACTGAAGGTTTCGGTGGTGCTATCGGGCGTATTTGGGGTCGTGGCGGTGTGTTAGGATGTAAGTGTCTTCGGTACAATCACATGCTAACAATGAGCATCCGGCCTTGGACACAACCTCGGACTGCGAGCGACATGCTGGGAATTCAAGGCTCGCTGACACTGCTACTCTAGTCTACCAAGGCCTTATTCCCTGGGCCTGGATCGAAGCCTCCACCAAAGGAGCCGTCCTGCTCTTCGTCGCTTCCGAGGCCGAATTCTATGCCAAGTCCTTCGGCGCTCCCAACTTCGTCGCCGGAATCTCGGGCGGTATGGTCGGAGGTCTTGCGCAGGCCTATGCTACCATGGGCTTCTGCACTTGCATGAAGACCGTGGAGATCACAAAGCACAAGGTCGCGGCTGCCGGGATGAAGCCCCCAGGCACCATGGAGACATTCATGGAGATCTGGCGCAAGGAAGGTATTCGCGGTATCAACAAGGGCGTGAACGCTGTTGCGGTCCGCCAGGTCACCAACTGGGGATCCCGCTTCGGTCTCTCCCGTGTGGCCGAGACCGGCATCAGGAGAGTGACCGGGAAAGAGGAAGGCCAGAAGCTCGGCGTCATGGAAAAGATCATCGCATCTGCGCTTGGTGGTGGTCTCAGTGCCTGGAACCAGCCCATCGAGGTCATCCGCGTTGAGATGCAGTCCAAGACTGTGGACCCTAACCGCCCCAAGAACTTGACTGTGGCCAAGGCAGCCAAGTACATCTACTCCAACAATGGTATGAAGGGATTGTATCGTGGAGTTACCCCCAGAATCGGGCTCGGCGTTTGGCAAACTGTTTGCATGGTAGCTTTGGGCGATGTGTAAGTTCTGACCCCAAACTTTCCCACAAGCGCGCGTTACTAACTGGTGATTTAGTGCCAAAGAGGCGGTTGAAAAGCTCACGGGCGACAAGGTCACAGCTAAGCATTAGATGGCGTTCATTGGTGTATGCTGCCGGCGTGCAATTGACGTCTGCAAGGACTTGAACTTTTTATTTGGGAGCCACAGCGATATTGCTATTCGGGAAATGGTTTTCAACATGCTCATCAGCGTTTGAAACATGTATTACTTGATAGATCAACTAAACACCATGGGTCGGCGTGGTATTAATCATTCTCAGGAACATGATTCCAATCGGCCAACGAATGCTGTTCCGTGATATCGATGGCCGTGGATAACAATAAGGGAGTCTCTGGCCTTCACATGCTTCGTTGCTGGCGAGTTTTATGTGCTGTGCACGGAATAAACTACGTGAAATATGTCAAAAATTGGTGATGGAAAAGTCGGGCCAGCCTGACTACTAAAAAATATGGTAAAGATGCTACTCAAAATCATTCAGGGCTCATGGTACAACATCTCAACAACCCCCCTGCTCTTACACTTCAATCCAGCAGCAAAGTCACGAATCCACCCATGGCTGGTATCTACTTCAACCAGTTGACTTCTTGAACATCTCCATGCGTCGTATAAATCCAAAAAGTCCCCAGTCTCTCACTAATTGAGGAAAAAGCGATAGATCGTTACTTCCTATTTTGATGGTTGTAGGGTGGCCCGTGCGCTCTTACGACATGCAGCGCTGTACATCAAACAACCTCACCTTCTCCACCACCGACCTTTGACAAACAACATCCATAACCAACTTCTTATTTCACCACAAGTTATCCCCGGAATTTCCATCTCGCTGTCCAAGAAATATCACGAGGATGAGGAGCGCATCATGGCCATCCCGCCCATATCTTGCGTCAAGGCCAATACGCAGCACGGATCTACCAGAGTGAGCCAGGAAATGTTATGCTTGTTTTCGACCATGCTAATCTTGGAACTATAGTTCCCCGACCACCACTGTCGACCCGTGATAAAGGATTGGCGATGCGAATTGACAGCTTTATCACGTGCTTACAACCTATATTTCGTGGCTAGTAACGAGTCGATATACATCTACGAGCCAACTTTTCCAAGTCAAGATGTGTGCTCCTGCCACAGTTTTGTCATTGACCCGCCCATATCGTCGCCTGATCTCAATTTCCAAATTGACCCTGAGGATCCACACTCCATCACCAGACTGCACCTCGATTATCTTGGAAAGGACGAGATATTGATCGTCACTTGCGACGATGGCGATGCGATAGGTTATCGAGTACCCGAGATTATCCGTGCAATGTCACGTGAAAGGACCCGGATACCTGAGAAAGAGATTGACATTAGAGATGAAGTCCGCGTCTTCTTTCACCTTAACCTCGGCCGCAGCGCCTGGGGAATCTCTGTCCATCGAGAGGCACGTTTGATCGCGTTCAGTGCCAACACACACCGCATTACGGTATTTGCATATGCACTATCAAGAACAGCAGGCAATGTCCCGCAAGATGAACTTGCCCAGGGATTTCCCTACCACAGGGAAACAGACAACATTGTGTACCTCCAGGCGCAGGCTAACATTCCCGCCATCTCATTCGACAATAGTGACAAGTCTGGCAGGTGGCTAGCAAGCAGTTCCATAGACGGGAACATTCACGTTTGGGATCTTCATTCTCCAAAGCAACCTGCCAGGGTCATTACAATAGGCTGCTGCGTTAGCGTTCGAAACCCGTCAATAAAGCCTGAAATCTGCGGGTGTTTTAATAGGACAATGGTCCCACACGCTGCATGGGCATCAATGTTCGTCGATCCACGAGCCTGCCGTCGAGCTGGAACGTTGCAAGAAGCGTGTGGGCCTGGAATGAGTGCAGCTAGCCAGGCTGACGGTTCGCCATGCTTCTGGGATATCACAGAGAAAGGAGACCGATATAAGGTAGTTAGAGTCACACCCCTCTCGTGGTCTTCGCCAGGCCCTACTATGTCGCCCGACGATACGTACGACGAGATGTCGCTTCCCTCATCTGCAGATTCCCAAGAATCAGATGAAGATGATACACACCAACCAGCTACACAACAACACCCAGGCGGATCTCAATCCCTCCTAACAAGCGGCCTCGACGCCACTACGGAAGAGCACGCGACGCTGAACGACACGTCTCCTGTCACCTCAGACGTCAGTCCTACCATTCCGAACCCTGCATACGATTTTTCTTCTGATGAAGAGATGGACGAAGCAGACGAGTCAGAGGAAGAGCTGACTTTTTTAATGGACGCAACTGGCCAGCCCTCTCTCAACCTCAACTTGTTCTTTCCACCTGCCCCAGACCCAGTGGTAGCTCCCGAGCCGACCAGACACCCCTATTGCACCGTGTCTACCTCCCGCCCCTTGACATTCTCCTCTCCACCAATCACACATACGTCTGGCCCCCTCATCATCGTCACTAAAGAAGAAATCTACCTCTTCCAACGTCCCCTCGACGATCTTTACAGCTCTCACCCACGCAGTTGCACGGACCCCATTCTCTTCATGCGTAACCCCCTCTTCCCAGCCGTCTCTCCAACCTCCGGTGGAACCCCTAGCCGGGGTCATATTCCGCATAGTCACCGCCATAGCTTTGCCACGCAGATTCCTGAGCTTGGCGTCTTCGTCGTTGGGTCACCTGCGGGTCGCGTCGGTATCTTCCGTATGACTTGTACCACTTCGAGTCGCTCCAAATCTCCAATGTACGGATTCCGCCTCGAGCGCATTCTCCCGACAATTGAGCATGAAAATGAGGATTCGGATAGTGAGGGACAACTTACTATCGCAGATATGTGGGGGAAGAAGCTAGTGGGCGTTTCGGTGGGTCCGATTCAGGGTATGCAGGATGGTGGGGATGAAGATTCGGATGAAGATTATAACGACGAGCGAGGAATGGAAGAGAATGCTACAAAAGCTAGACAGTGGATGCGGAGATGGAGGTTGTTCATGCATTATAATGATCATACTGTGTGGAGCTATGAACTCAAGGAAAAACCTGATGGCATTCCTGAATTGGGGGACTTAATTGTATGAGTCATTGCGTAATAACTTCGGTCTTTTCGATCCCATGTATTCATAAATGGACAGGCAGTTCATCTAATTACTTATAATATTTTGTAGCGGGCTGGAGGCATAAGAATACCTAATACTCTCATGATGAACTGCTCTTCAATTATATCCTAACTAAGTCAACACGCCTTCCGCGCCAGTCGCCTCAAAGTATATAGCCTTCTCAATACTGAATTCGCGAATTCCCCAAATCGAGTTCGACTGCCCCCATCCAGAACCCTTCACGCCCTTGAATGGCACAGTGACTGGTTCCAGAATCAGCGCTATCTTCCCAGTGGTGGTAGTGGCTAGAGTATGTACTTACCGAAATCGGTGCTGGTCACGTTGTTGATGTGGACTTGGCCTGTTTCCAGCTGTTCTGGGATTGGAGATAAAAGTAAGTGTGGTGTACGCCCGACATGTTTTGGTGGCTTAACAGAATTACTTACTCGCAATGTTATACGCATGCTCCCAATTAGTACTGTGAACGGCAGCGTTCAAGCCATACGCCGAGTCATTGGCTTTCTCCACGGCATCGTCGTCGTCTTCTGCCATGTATACAGTTGCTGAAGGGCCAAATGTCTCTTCGTCAAATATGCGAGCGTCTCTCGGTACGTTTGTGATCAGCGTTGGCTTCAGGCTTGTCTCGCTCAGATACTCGGGGCCACCCGCAAGGAACTTGGCGCCCTTATCATGGGCGTCTTGGAGCATGCCGTATGCGCGGTCTGCTGACTGTTTGGTCACGCCATTGCCAACGGATGACATGTTGGCAAAGATGTCGGAAAGGATCGGAACGAACTCGTCGTATACTGCTTTGTGTACGATGATGCGTTCGGTCGAGAAACACACCTGGCCGTGATCCACAACAGCTTCCAAGTTTATCAGCAATCTACCCAGATTCTCCTACGGGGGGAATTGAACGTACCACCTGTCGCGCACAGCTGAGCTGCCTTTTGCAAATCCGCATCTGCTAGTACGAGTGCTGGTCCCTTCCCCCCGAGCTCCATCAAAACCGGCTTCAGGTACCGCGCAGCCAACTGACCAATCTGCCTACCAACCGCTGCACTTCCGATGAAGTCGATTTTGCGAGTGGCTTTGTGGGCTACGACCGCCTCGGTGACCTAGAAAAGAAGAATGGCGAAATCAGCGGAATCTCATCATAGACAGTTCCAATACATTTGATGCTCCAGGATAACGTACCGCCGCGGCCATGTCGCGCTTAGCTTGGATCATATTAATCACACCATTTGGAATCCCAGCTTCCTCGAAACATTCCCGGATAAGATGGTGCGTCTGCGGACACAACTCGGAAGCTTTCACAACAACGGTACATCCAGCCGCCAAAGCCATAGACATGGCCCGCAGAGGAAGAATCACAGCACCGTTCCACCTACAGCAACTCGTTAATCCACATTCATCCTATACATACACTGTGTCTGTGAAATAAAGTAAAAACTCACGGCTGGATAATCAGCACAACACCAATCGGCTCCCGAACCACAATCGTCAATCCCTCGGACTCCTGCCCATCAGGTCCGCCCATCCGCTGCGGCACCGTCCCTCAAATCTCGCTCGTCGCCGCTGCAACCTCCCTCAATGTACTAATCCCGAGCTGAACATTCTTATCCGCGAATCGCTGCGGGCAGCTCGTTTCAGCGATCTGACTCGCTGCGAGCGCCTGGGAGCGAGCCTCGATGATATCAGCAGCTTTGAGCAGCAAACTACGGCGATGAAGCGGAGTAGTCGAACGCCATGTTTTGAAGGCTGTAGCCGCGGCGTCGCACGCTTTTGAGGCGGTTTCCGCCGTGGACGAGATGGCGTAGTGGAGGGGTTTGTTTGAAAGGGAGCTGGTGATTGGGAATAAGGTGTCGTTGTTGGAAAAAGGGTATGCTGAGCCGTTGATCCAGAGGGGGATTACTTTGTGGTTGTCTGGGGCTGAGGGGTGAGGTGTTAGCACCATGTTCGAAACGATCTTGGATTTGTTAGTTGTTGGGATGGTTTTTTGGTCAAACACTGGAGATGTGTTTGTTTTATTGTCTACGGGAATTGCTGCTGGTGTTCGTTTATATATGTTTATGTGGTGGATGGGTGAGGTCTAATCAATGCTTCATATTACAGATGGTTGGGCCGCAATTCTGCTCCACCTTTTGTGTAATCTTACCCCTCATCCGTACCACTTCTAAACAGCTTGCATGCGTTGTTAATTTGGTCAGTAAATCCTCTGGGGACTAATTAGGATAATCTATACGCCATAGTAAGTTGTTGGTTTTCAAGCTCGCCGCTGGAAGCAAGTTAGTAGCGGAGATGTCGGCTTCCCTTATGTCCAGACAACCATGCTCGTCCTTTACAATGGATATAAGACGGACGAAAAAATCATTCCCCTGGCCAGATTTCTTTTTCTCAATCAGAAAATGAAAAGAAGTCATGAGGGGGGGAAAAAAAGGGGGAGGGGGCGGGCGGGGAGGACAATTTGCTATGTAAGATCGATATCGCATTTGTGCTCTTTTCGTATGTGCATATGTAGGTATCCGGCATCATTGAGTTTGAGAGATATACAAGCTGTTGAAACTCGAGCATTAGAATATACACTTTGCCAATGTTGATGTCTATACAGACATAGAAATATACGTTATTACAGACCCTTCTGATGAGCCACTCATCTCACATTGCATAAGCATATACAAGACGTCTCGATGCCTTATACTTGGACAAGTTTTTGAGAAAAGACTGGAAATTAAAGAGTTCTAACTATATAGCATTCGAGGTTGTAGATTAACATGGCTTATTTTTCTCGAGATTTCGAGATAGTCCAAAATCAGCAAACATTGCTCCCCCTTCTCTGAGTGGATCATGAAGAAAAAACTAATCTATATCTGGTATTACTTTGATTGAGTGAAGCATTATCGCATTTCAAATCAAAACGATCACGAAACTGCAGCCTTCTCTTCGCTTCCCCCTTTTTTTTTTTGCCCATATCGTCCCTTACTGCTTCTCTTTTGGGTTTACGGCCTGTTCGATATCACAACTCTATGTATTCATATTCGTGTGGACAAGGAACACGTTAGTCACCTTTACTTTCATATTGATGCACGACAACCTTATTATGAATCCATCTTCAGATAATCTGTCTTCCTTCCGTGACTCTCTGGCGCAGTGAAATTGACACTGTTGTACTTGGACGTCACGAGAAAATAAATACATAAATAGTGAGTAGGTGATGGAGGTGGTTTCTTCTGGTCTATACTCTCTGGAATACGAGTTCACACAGAGTATCGATCTGTAACTTTGGAAGTATAACGTATCCGGCTACTTCATGACTAGCTGAAGACTAGAGATTGATGATTGATCCCGAGGAGATGATATTCTCGGGTTTACTATCCCACTTCTCAATTCCTCTGGGAATCGAGTGTAAGTTACTTGCTTGTAGTACCTGATATCACTGAAACCATTCGTATTTGTCCGTTGGCTTGGGACCAATTTGTTCTCCGGGGTCTTTACCATCATAGGCGATGTTATCCGTGTGAAAATCCTAGATCTTAATCTGGTAGAAGAAGAGAGGTTGAGAGCTGGCTGAAGACGGATGAAAATTCACAAGGCGTCCTTCAAACTCTGTCTCAAGCGTCCCTCTTCCTCCAGCCTCTTCAATAACATCTCCGGTAGTTCGAACAATCGAACTTCCGCTAGCTCTTCCAAAATAGCGTGACTAGACCTCAAAAACCGTTTCTTGAAAACTTGCCAAAGCTTCTCGTCCACCTCTTCTCCCGTTCCAGGCCGCGGGTAATAAGGATCATTCCTAAAGAACGCCGCACAAGCTTGCTCGATTCCCGCGCCGTCCATCGAGAGCGGACGACAGCAGTCAAAGTCCAGCATCCACACGCGGTGATTGCCCAGATAGTCCAAAGAAAACGAGGACGAAGACGAAGACTCACTTTCTCTCGGGGGCGCAAGTACGAACTCAACATCGTTTGCGTCGATTCGCGCACCCCAATGCATGAGCGCGAGCGCGTCTGCCATGGTTCCTGCGTAGGATGCGATGTCCAGACCAAGTTCCTCCATCTGATTGATGTGGAAGGGTACATTTCTTAGGCTGAACCTGTGGAAGCGCGAAGAATTCTCACTACTTCCCTGGCGATAGCGGCGTCTTCGGCCTAGATACGGTCGGATAAGACAGCAGTCGTCGTCGGGGTTGTTCTTCACAAAGTGTGAGAGCTCGGCGTTGGATTCACAGAAGAGATCGACGACTTTGTCACTGATGGATCGCGGGACTGCTGGGATGCGTTCGGAGATGAGGGCTCTGCAGGCTGTGTAGTCTTTTGGGAATCTAGGTAGTTGTGGCTCCGACCACTGTGTGTCAGAGGGTTCGATTAGCGCGTGGCATCGTGGGATGGAGGGAAGTGACGAGAGAGGATGGCGCAATTCGGCTTCTAGTATGAGTTTGTGTATTGTATAATCGTTTCTAAGGGATCGTCCTGGTCCACCATCTTCGCGCTTGATAGCGGTTTGTTCTTCGTCCTTGTTCTGGCTGCTAGTGGACCATACACTGCCGCAAAAACCCTTTCCTATGCAGCGGTAAGCAAGAGTGAAGTTCTGCATGCTGAGGTTGAGTGATGCGATCGATGTTGCTTCGGTATTTCTTCGTTTCAGACGATTATAATCTGTGTTAACGAGCTGATGGTGAAAGCATACACAAGGAAGAGTCTCATATAAGTACGTGTGTGAATCATGACGCAGCTGCCATAGTGTGCGGTCGTCGCCGGCAGGAGTTATGAGGATATCTCTATTTGTGTGTGGCCCAATAAGAGATATTTTCAATAGGAGCCTGACGATAGGTACCGTGGTACGCATGGCTAAGAGACTTACGTATAGAACACTCTTGATTTGAAGTGACTCATATTTTTTCCTATTCTCATCTCTTGACATGCGACACAGCTATTGCATAAGGCATGCATTTCCTAGGTACAAAGTTGTTATACTCTACAACTCTGATGTGGTGAGGCGGCTTTGTTATCTCAAAACTTACTCAAAGACTTTTGGATGAACTATATTGAATACTTATTTGCGACAGTAGGACCGTTCCGGGAAGATAGGGGACTGTGATTGTGTATGAAGTAAACCCCCCTTTTTCATTTGCCACAAGCCTAGGGTGTTTGCGGCAGCAAACAGCAGACTGATTATATATCCAGTGTTCCTGGGTTGCATGTAATCATTTTATAGACGAAATACTACGGGACACTCTCCTACTTATATAAGTCAACCGTCAATCTCATGCCAGGAAAGGAAAATGCATTGATTGTTTCAGATTTTTTTAATTTAATCTCCAGTAGTTACTTGAGTATTTATGTGATCCCGCTAATTTCTATATGCCAAGAACAACTCCTTCTCAGGGCAAGTCGATACACCCAGCGTACATCTATCATATATGCCATGCAAGTTACTATAGCCGAAGCACAATCAGAAGCATTCAACGACCGTATGCCTATCTCCTTGTCTCTTCAAGTATATGAAATGATGGCGAAGCTCGTATATCTCTTCATTGCTCCTCCCACGTCAAGTTGAAGCGCCCTTCAGCATTCTTGTATGTCTTCAGGCAGTTCAACACGTCCTCTGCTGTCTTTGCCTCGGACACGATGCCAGCATTGTTCTCCCCAATGAAGCCGGATTCGACAGCATTGGTCACCCAAGCCAAGAGGCCATCCCAATACCCATTCACATTGTACACAATGACGGGCATGTTGTGGATACCTAGCTGGTTCCACGTTGTTATTTCCATGAGCTCCTCCATTGTACCGTATCCACCAGACAGCGCGACGAAGCCACCACCGGGACCGCCCTCGATGACCTCGCGCGCCATCATTTGCTTGCGAGTGTGCATGTCCTTGACTATTGTCGTCTTGCCAAAGATGGACTCGTCGATGGTGTGCGCATTGGGGTCGTTGGGGTCATGGTTCTGCTCAAACTTGACCAGCGGTTGAGGAATGATTCCATGTACCGAGTCGGGGCCGCTGAGGGAAACGAGGGTACGGGCTACTTCGCCCATGAGACCGACGGTGCCTGGTGGTGGTGTTAGTTGGAGTAATTGAGGCTGCCAAAGCGGAAATGTACTTACCGCCACCGTAGACCAATTTGATGCCATTGTCGTGCAGGATTCGAGCGAGAGCCCTCGCAGACTCGAGGTGAACGGGTGACTTCCCCGAAGAAGCACCACAGAAGACACAGACAACAGGTTGCTTGGTAGAGCTCTCGGAGATTGTCATGTTGAGGGGTGTTGGATGGAGATTGAGAAATGACTTGGGTATCTGAATTGTGTGTAACGAGGATGGTGCTGAGAGTTGGGGGCTGGTTGATAGTCGATAAGTTGGTTGAGGGGTGAAGCCAAAGGTGGGGTGTGAGTTGAGCTGAAGATGGGAAATTTGTGTTCAAGAGAATGGCAAGAAATAGGTGGAAGTGAATAGTTCAAGGTATAGCGTCAGCATGGAGTCATTGGGCGGGCACATGATGTGAATACTTTGTTTGGTATGTGCTCAAGTATGTATGGATGACTGGAATTGCGAACGGGTTGACTGTCGTGGGCAAGCGGGCCCTGCAGTGGACCAACGCGATGCTGCATACACCCCCACGACCCCGGTCGCGTCACCGACCAGTCGGCACCCCCCAACGCTTGGCGTGCCTCAATGTGGCCGAACATTTCGTCCCAACTCTTTCACTCCAGTCACTACGCCCACCTTTCGTCCCGACTAACAACCCTCTCTAGGCGGAATCCTCTGCCAATTCCACAGCCATGCCAGAGGCACCACAGAATGCTCAGCCTGAGCAGGGCGGCGGTACAGGAAATGTACGTGATCCGCGGCCGTTGCACCCTCACCGGGGCCACGTATTCCCCGCATGAGTCCACCATGCTGATTGCTGACGCCTCTGTTGCAGATGCTGCGCACCATGGCCCAGAGCGTTGGCATGTTTTTCCTCATCCAGTATGGCATGAAGAACTTCTTCCCCCAGGCCCAGCAGCAGACTGCCGATGTTGCAAAGGGTCCCGCCTCCGTCCCCAACTCCAGAGTCTCCATCCCCATGTTCGACAACCGCCCGCGTCAATTGGACGAAGGCGCTGTGTGGAATCCCGTACCATCGAGTATTGCGCCCATGTGGCCCCTAGGCACCGAGCTTGACATATCACTGTACATCTCGCCATCCTTGGCTATGCCCGCCCTCAAAAGCATGCCTAAAGACGCGCTTGTGATAGATGAGAAGAATTTCAAGTTTGGTGATTACTCTGAGAACCGACATATCAGCACAGAGTTTGCAGTTCCCAAGGAGGTTCAGAATAATGCCACGTTGTTTGGCCACTTCTACGTTGCCCAGAGTGGTGCTGTTGTGGATCCCACATCTCCCAAATATGACCCCACCAAAGCGTACCACTTCATCAGGCGATTGAGTGAATTTCATCCCAAGAAGAAAATCTCCAAGACGCGAAATCTGCTTTCTGATCTCCCGGACACGGTAGAGAGTGAAGAAGAAAAGAACCAGCCTAAAGTGATCGCTTCGTACTACCACTCCAACTTTTCCCTGTCCATGATCCCTGATACCGGCGTGGTCAACTATCCGTCTCTACATGTCGGAGTGAGAGAGTTCTTTCAGCTGGATCAGACTGGTTCCAGGGATGCTACTGGCCAACACGGCTGGTACTACCCCGTGCTGTTCGCCAATACCTTTTGGCAGCTCAAGAAGAACATGATCGAGCTTAACGATACCGTCAAGACGCTGCCCCTTCATGTGGATCTCAACACGCTCGCCAACTGGAAGTTCAACCTTTACGCGTCCATGGAAGCCAACATTCGGTCCAACGCCGCCGCCGCTGCGCAGGGACAGAAGAATGTCGCGGGTAGCGATGGCTCCGAGATGGAAATGTTCAAGGAGATTCTGATCGATAGCAACTCGTATCTCCTCGCTGTGACTGCTGTTGTGTCCGTTTTCCACATGATATTCGAAATGCTTGCTTTCAAGAACGATGTGCAGCATTGGCGCAAGAAGAAGGATAACATCGGTACCTCTGTCCGCTCTATCCTCGCCAACGTTTTCATGCAAACCGTCATCTTCCTCTACCTCCTTGACAACAACGAGAACACATCGTGGATGATCATGTTTGGTCAGGCTATGGGCATTGCGATTGAAGCGTGGAAAATCACCAAAGCGGTCAACGTCCGTATTAGACCCACCCAACCGGGTTCCTATCTTCCGTACAGCATCGTCTTTGAAGACAAGCATGTTCTCAACGAGACCGAAAAGAAGACACAGGAATACGATGCCATCGCCTTCAAGTACATGTACTACATTGCCGTTCCACTTCTCGGCGCTTATGCCGTGTACTCGCTCATGTACGACACGCACAAGTCGTGGTACTCTTTTATCATCACGACGCTCGTCGGTTCCGTTTACGCCTATGGCTTTCTCATGATGGTTCCCTCCCTCTACATCAACTACCGCTTGAAATCCGTTGCGCACATGCCCGGCCGCGCCATGACATATAAGTTTCTCAACACCTTCATCGACGACTTATTCGCATTCACCATCAAGATGCCTACTCTCCATCGTCTGGCCACACTCCGTGACGACGTTATTTTCTTCGTCTACATCTATCAGACCTGGGTATACAAGGTCGACCACACCCGTATCAACGAGTTTGGACAGGGTGGCGATGAGGAGGAGGAAGAGGAGAAGAAGGCGGCAAAACCTTTGACTGCTTCTCCGGAGGATGACAAGGCGAAGCTGGCCGAGAAGGTGAGCGAGAAGGATGGGCCGTCCGTTGCAAAGGCTTCGGGAAGCCAGAAGAAGGGTGAGGGTAGGAAAAGAAAGTAGACCAGATCAGGTTCAATGAGCGATGGGAACGTTCGTTGAAGGGTTTTGAGGTCTGCAACATAATAGTATAACGGCGCATGCTGACCACATCTTTTAAGTCATATATTTTGATAGGTTGAGGTTTCTTCGCATCCTTCGCCAGATAGAAGAACATGCATGTCACATATGTTTTATAGCAACCCATATATGAATACACCAATGCCTTGACATCATGATCTAGCTGTCAGCGTTCGGCTGGCAGGTAATTACTATATTATACATATGAACCTCCATACAGTACACGAGAAAAATAAACATTGCTGCACTATGTTTACGTCAGTGGTGTTTACATCATACTTTGATATAAGCTCAACAACATGGTGTCTGCTCGCTCAGCATGTACAATCGATAGATGGCATATTGCTTCTCATTCACTGCAAGTACGAACACACATTACAGTCGAATTCCATTCTCATTTTTCTGATTAGTGGTGAAGGGCAATTATTATTTAACGTATGATTTATCTCCATGATAAAGTATATAAACCTAATATTCATACACGCACGACAACCGCTACTTTTCCACTTGGAAGATGCAAAGGCCCATCATCAGCCGGATGAGGTTGCCGCCCGCACAACGCCATGCAATGCATTGGAAAATCAGAAAACAGCCCAATCACTGACCGTCATGGCGAGCACCTTCTCCCTCGGGAACGCCAGCCCACGAGTAGAGGACTGGGAATGGGGGAATGAGACCCACGCTTCAAAATTACAAGGTAATGAGCCACCATTTGCTCGCTGAATTGCTGAGCTGGTGAAAAAAAAGACGTATCATCGAATGGATCATCGGACGAGCTGTGAGACAGACTTTCCGAGGGATCTAGTCATGTCTGTCATGTCAATATCCACCACCAGGCATACCAGGTAGTTGGAATCCAAATCCAGGAATGGCAGGAGGAACAGCCACTTGAGGTTCCGGGCGAGGTTCAATGTGGCGAATTTCGTGAGCCTGGACTTGAGGGCGATCTACTTTACGGAAGCGGCTCTCGTTATCATGTCCACCGCCACCACCACGACCTCCACGGGAATGACCACCACGTCCCCGGCCAGCTTCAGCTGGAACGCGACGGCTGATTGCTATTACAGCGTTAGAGACTCGTATTTCAAGGCAGATTCGATGTGCCTTACCTTTGGAGGAAACACCTGCTCCGATCTCGATATCAGGTTCCTCAATCACCATACCTCCCTGTAATTCAAGACCGCCAGTACCGCCATGCTCAGCCGTCACAACCCATTTACGGTCAGCGTCCGTCAACCGGGAAATGGGAATCACACTGATGCCGTTATCGTAATTACTGCAATCGCGTGGGCCAAAACCCACACCCCAACGAGTCTGTATACGTTAATATCAGTCTGCCCTGGTTCCACAAGACCACAACTCACCTGTCGAGCCTTTGAAAGTGTATTTGGATCATGCATTTCATCCATGCCGTCCTTTGCAGCAACCGCATCGGGACGAGTCATCATCTTGACGAAAGCATGGCGCTTCTCCGAGGCTACGATACAGGTCTGTACTCTGCCAAAGCGACTGAAGATAGCTCGAATCTCACTCTCAGTACCACCAGCGCCACCGACAAACAGTGTGCGACTAAGAACTCTAATGTGTTCAGGGGGCAAGTTTGGGTCCCAGTCAACAAATTTTGATGAGCCATTCTGAGATGAATTACCAGGTGGACTCTGTCGTCGCTGTGCAGGGGGGGTGCGCTGACGATATTCACTACGGTCACTACGTCCGCCGCGATTTTTACCACGTCCACGACCCCGCTCAGCACGGTCTGGGCGGTTTGCATTGTTGCCTTGGTTAACCGCATTCGGGTCGTAAGCACCATATGTGGGACTATCCCGGCGGTTTGGTGGAGATCTACGCACAGGGGAGCGCCGTCGACCATTATAGTCGGGCGATCGGCTGCGATCCCGATACCTATTACTGCTCTGCTCGTAACGATCCTGTGGGGCAGCGTTCTGCATCATGGGTGGGGTGTGTGTTACGGCTGCTGGTTGAGAGGGCGCAAAAGGGATCCCACTGTTTTGTGCTTGGTGCAGTGCGTTCAATACCTGAACTCCCTGCATGGCGTTGATTGTGCCTGCTTGCATGCCTTGAAGGATTTGTGCTACAAGATCATTGACGTTACCAATACCAGGTATAGAAGCGGGCGGAGCGCTTGGCGGAGCCACTGGTGTGTTAGGCATATAAGCTGGAGGGGGTGGAGGAACCGCGCCTTGTGGGAAGGACTGGACTGGTGGAGCTGCTGGCATAGCATTAGTCTGTACAGGTGGTTGAGCAAAACCCGCGAGCGCGGCAAGCAAAGCACCGGCATCTTGAGGCGCTGGAACAGGAGCTTGAGCAGGAGCTACAGTGAATGGGTTAGTTTGGCCAACAAGACCTTGTTGGTTTTGTATGTTGAAAGATTTCGGTGGACTACCAGGAGGAGTGTCTGCAGATGTGTGGTTAGAGCTGAGGGGGTTTGTTATCCAGGCCATGGATGAGCGGTCCTCACTTGTCTTGGGGTTGTCCACTTGTTGCTTGAAACCTGCAATCATTTCACGGGGGAAAGTTTGACTCCGCTCCCAGATATCCAAAAGCTTTGAGATTTTCTCTTTCTGATCGGCGGGTGCGCATTGAACGAGCTCAGTCATTAGACCTGGCAACACGTCGGTGATCTGCTGTACGCCTGAAGCGAATGTGCCAGGAGCCGCAGTCTTTATGACAGCCTGACCTGTCTTTCGAGCGCGATCTAGCCATGCACGGGACACCGAGTCTACAACGTAAAGGACACCGAGTTTATAGTTCGCAGGATTGCTCTTGAATTGTTGGGCGATCTTTTGGACGATGGCAGCATCGGACTACAAGGCGAAGGGTCAGTTTAGCACGCATTTCCTCCGCGCAGCGCATGGTCGGGCAGCATTCGGTTGGCATACCTGAACATTCTCGATGCACTTGTCCGTAATAGCCTGAACCTTGGTCTTGGTGACGCCTGGGGGCTTCAGTGAAAGCAGCGAGTGCAGCAACGATCCGATTTCCTCTATGGCCGCCATGGCTATGTTAGATAGCGAGGTACACCTCCGCTGGGTGAAGAGCAAAAAGCTTGTCGGTCAAATGTGAGATACAGGTCTTGAGCGACAAAGTCTGGACCACAATATGAACACGTCGGTGGTCTGGCAGTACTCGGCCTTTCCAGCAGGATGAGTGGTACAATAGGTTAAATCGCACGAAGCTCCTATGACGAAAGTTATGCAACAGCCGCGCGTGATCAGAGTGGCGGGCGGGCGAGCCAATGTTTCTATGTTGAGGTGGCAAGATAAAAGCAATTGGCAGTTACCCGTACTGTGTCTACCTACAGTAAGAACTGCGCAAGTGAAGGAAAGCTCACTCTGCGGCTAGCCGGATAGAGAGTTGGGCACACAGAGAGTTGAACACCTGCGTTAAACGACAGGCAGTTGATGATGAGAAGTTGACGATGGAGGCCTGTAGCCAGCCGGACTTTACGTGGTGCAGAGTTGGGATGGAGAGTCGCTCGTGAAGCTGGCGTCGCAGAAATGCAAGTGCCCGGCGATCCTTGGCTTTTATTACCTAACTAAAAATCACGTGATAGTTGCACTTTTCGCTCCGCCCAATCAGCGTGCAGCGAATTTATTGGCTTCAAGGCAAGTGATGATGCACGAAACTATAATTAAACTATGCCCGAGTTCTGGATTGGGATTCGACGATGCGGTAGATATCCGTACTACCACGCCGCAATCACCTCTTCAATCTCCACGGTCTCAAGCACTTTTCTGTCCACCACCCTTTCCTTGTATTGTGGTCTCAATTGCTAAGAGCGATATCCAGCGAACAGCTGATCTGATCAATCAATCAATGAATTCGGAGTTGGAGTTTGGGGGATCCTACACACAGCGAAGGGCTTACAATGATAAAGCAACCAAAAAACAGGCGATGACCAAAAATTCAAAGATCTGATCAATAAAGTAGGAGAATGAGCTCGGGAATAACATTGCGTTTATGGATGAGTGGTTCCATCAGCGCCGTGCTGATGTGCATTTTGGACATCCTCATGCGAGCTATCTCACCATCTATCGCCGATTTCGTGACCTGCAACTTAATGGCCTTGACCTCCTGAGCAGCTCCTTACCTGTGGCACCGGCAGATCGTCTGCGCCCCCAAACTGATCCCATCAATCTTCCGCAATGATTACAACATGACCGCTCGTAAGGGATTCGGCCAACGCTTCCTGCACTGGCAGTCATGAGGAGTGGACGTGCACTCTCTTCGATGCCTCCTGGGCCTTGACACAGGCCGGCTGGCTCTTTGTTCCATCAAATTAGATGCAGGATATCTTGTGCCAACGCTCCAAAGCCAGACTGATGATATTGAGGTATTTCGGGTATTGGTTTACGCTTCCCGCACCAGCAGTCGTCAGGAGTAGACATCCACTTTCTTTAAACGCCTCCTAGGCTCCTTGTTCTATCTAACCGGATACAGGATATCTTGTGCTAACGTTCCAAAGCGAGACTAATGATATTCAAATATTTCAAGTATTGGCTTACAAGCACGACCTTGTCCTGGTCCATGTTGGTCACCAAGTAATGAACCACGCGAATCATGGTGATCACATAGAGGGGACTCATGGAACACATCATCAACCCATTCGTGCAGTTCCTCCAACCTCTCCTGCTTTTTCTCTCCTGCGCTGGGATTCTCCTTCTCGTATTTCTCACAGATATCCCTGGCAGTGGTGTTGATCGGATCCTCTTGTTCGGGTTTGTACTCGCCATCTTCTTCGTCTTCTCCGGGGACTAAGCGAGGATGGAGGACAATGAGCTGGCCCTTTATGGCAGCTCCTGGTGGCGATATCGACTCTAGGTTTGAAGGATACTCATTTGTGAAAGAAGAGCGATAGCCTATAGTTACGGCTTCTAACTGGGCTGATGTACGCAGGCTCCTGTGTGTAGCTTAGAGGCTGCGTCCTGATTCTAGAAATCAAAATATTATAATGTGTCCTGATATCATTAACATAGCTATCAGTCTAAAGAATGGTACCTCATCATAAGAGGCTGTTGACCTTCGGTCTAATCCCGCTTGCTAAATCTGTCGGAAGACAAGAACATGTTACATATCTTATGACAGTGTTTTATATGTATCTGCTGCCAATAATACATCAAAATACATTCTAGAGTTGGAGTCGGGTTGTTCCTGCACACAGCGAAAAAAAAGACATTTATACTGATGATCCTCAGTCAATTCAATGACCGTGGTCTAGTTGAAACAGGCATATACCCAGGCATATGTCATTTCTCTGTTATGGGCGCACATATCTGCCGGAACAGACGAGACTCCTTTCTTGTTGAACATGTTCATCATCTGCTGTCTTCGTGTCATCTCAATCTCTGCAACTATTCTTGCTTCTGAGGATCAGATTGGTCTACCACGGAAAAGGAATACACGATATGAATTGGAACACCAGCACAGAAGGCTGTTTTTCCAAAGCACCTCAAACTACGAAATGACATGTGTATTCACACTGCCAAACCATCTGGTCGGGTGAGAGCAAATGACATGCTGTTTAATACAGGAAGCACTTCGAGATATGCACAAATTCATCTATGTGCTTTTGCGTACTCGTAAATAGTGGAATGTCTTTTGCTTGTTGACAATGTATGCTGAATTGTAAAAGAACCATGGGAGTATCATCGGTTGGCAGAGCAACAATATTTGCCAAGTACATTTGCATGTCAATGTAACACCAACCACTCAAACCATCACAAAACGCAGTATCGGGGCATAAAGTTTAACGACAAAGAAAATCGGGATCTTTGCATGCAAGACGGAGAATAAGATTACACGGAAAGGCCATTGCCCCTTGAAGCACCCGCCAGCTGTAGATGTTCGCCCTTTTTTGAATGGTATACATTTTATACAGATTAGGGAGAGCTCAACCGACGAGCCTTTTCAGCACGGATAGCCCACACTCTCACTTTGCCCACCACAGCCAAAATCCATCTATGACTTCTCGAGTTCAGCCAAGATCTTCTCACCCTTAGCGCGCGCCGACTGCAAGTCACCGACCATGTAGAAAGCACCTATAATAAGTTAGTCATAAAGATCACGTAATAATTTCACGGATGTAACGTACCTTCGGGGAGATCGTCACCCTCACCGGCCAAGATAGCCTTGAAAGAGTTGATAGTCTCCTTGAGGTCGACAAGCTTTCCCTCGATACCAGTGAAGACCTGAGCGACAGTGAAAGGCTGGCTCAAGAAACGCTGGATCTTACGGGCACGCTCGACGGTAAGCTTGTCGGCTTCCGACAATTCATCCATACCCAAAATGGCAATGATATCCTGGAGCGACTTGTACTCCTGGAGAATTTGCTGGACACGGGTGGCGGTGTTGTAGTGGTCGTCACCGACAATACGGGGATCCAACATACGGGACTTGGAGTCAAGAGGGTCGACGGCGGGGTAGATACCCAACTCGGAGATACCACGGGACAAGACAGTGGTGGCGTCCAAATGGGCGAAAGTGGTGGCAGGGGCGGGATCCGTCAAATCGTCAGCGGGCACGTAAACGGCCTGGACGGAGGTAATGGAACCCTTCTGGGTGGTGGTGATACGCTCTTGCATAGCACCCATGTCGACGGCGAGAGTGGGCTGGTAACCGACGGCAGAGGGGATACGACCAAGAAGAGCAGACACCTCGGAACCGGCCTGGGTGAAACGGAAAATCTGAAGAAAAAAACAACGTCAGTAACGTTCAGACTGGTATGGTGGAGCAGGACATCGCAGTGTCAAATTGAACCCCTCAAGGGGTCATGCCATCCAACACTGCACCAAAAAATACTTACGTTGTCAATGAAGAGCAACACATCCTGACCCTCAGCGTCTCGGAAGTACTCAGCGACAGTGAGACCAGTGAGAGCGACACGGGCACGGGCACCTGGGGGCTCGTTCATCTGACCGAAGACCAGAGACACCTTGGACTCGCCATCAAGCTGGATGACGGAAGTCTCCTGCATTTCGTGGTACAGATCGTTACCCTCACGGGTACGCTCACCGACACCAGTGAAGACGGAGAAACCACCGTGGGCCTTGGCGATGTTGTTCTGAGAATGTGTTAGTCGTTATCTTGTCGCGGGTGGCAGAAAGCTTACAATCAGCTCCTGAATGAAGACAGTCTTTCCGACACCGGCACCTCCGAAGAGACCAATCTTTCCACCACGGGCGTAAGGAGCCAACAAGTCGACAACCTTGATACCAGTGACGAGAACCTCAGCGGAGGTGGACTGCTCGACGAACTCTGGGGGGTCGGTGTGGATAGGAGCGAACTTGTCGGTCTTGATGGGACCACGCTCGTCAATGGGGTCACCAGTGACGTTCATGATGCGACCAAGGGTAGCAGGGCCGACGGGAATGGTGATGGGAGCACCAGTGTCACTGCACTCTGTTCAAACGTCAGTTTTGGTCTTGTACGGATCCAGGGCAGGGAGTAACTTACTGGCACCACGGACGAGACCCTCGGTACCTAATTCCATCAGTCAGCATCGCGCGCATCTCAATTGAAGCGCGACGTCGACTTACCGTCCATGGCAATACATCTGACGACGTTTTCACCCAAATGTTGCTGTGCATAATTAGCGCCCGTGTCCACAAGTTGGATGGCTTGGCATTCTTACTGCGACCTCCAGAACCAGCTTCTGGCCGCCATTGTCGGTTGTCAAGGCGTTGAGAATGGGAGGAAGCTGCTCGCCATCGAATTTGACTGCAATTGATCGTCAGTGGATGTTCTCGTGATGGAATCCCTGATGGCTCAGGCGCAGTGGTATTGCCGGAGCTGGGAAAAGTTTTCGGCTCGGGCTAGCGAGACATGGGATATTCGCATACCATCGACGACGGCACCGATGACAGTGTGGATCTTTCCGTCCTTTCCAGCATCTGTCGATGCGAACCTCGAAGCGAAGGCTGGGGCGAAGCTCTTGGAGATGGGTTTGAAGGCACGCTGGGCCACGGATGGGCGAAGGGAGGCCCGGATCGACCGTTGGAAGCCGCTGCAGTTCATCGAATTAGCATCGCCTTCATCGCCAATTGCAACCAGGAGGCCTTCAACTTACTTCCTGAGCATGATGGGCGGCGAGGATGTGGGAGTGTGGTTGGGAGAGGGTGGTGTGTAGAGGTCAAGAGCTGCGAGAGGATGTCGAGCTTTTGCAGGAGGAAGACTGGCACTCGGACCGTGGCACTAGGCCCAATCGAGCTTCTCGGCGGCGAGCTCCTTAGCAACGCCGTCCGTAGAAAATCACTCTGTGTGCTGCTATCATGTTCATACTATATGATATTTTGGGTTCTCATTTTCGTTTTCCGCTCAATTGATCATCTGAACAGTGTGTCTCTTCATACAGTGCATGCAATTCAATCGAATGAGCAGATGAAAAGTTTTTCCAGTTGTTTGATGACCTTCCCAGATGCATCATCTCCGGACTCCAAAGATGTAACAACACTGAGCGCTTTACTACATTGTTGATGTAGCAAGAAACCTGCTACAATATTTGGATACCATACCATCATGAACCCCTCCAGTGTCCCAACAGAAATTCAGCCCCCACCCTTATCCCTATCCCACACAGACCTTGTTTTCGTTTCCATTTCTTCAAAACGAGAACGATGTTCCGAGGTCCTTGTGATGTGCCTTTCAATTGCGGGTCATAGTGGTGAGGGCGATTCACCATATCATACCGTCAATCATTTCAGTCTATTATGGTAGATGAACAGCATGACGGAGCCATAGCGTTACTTGCAACACTGATTATCTTGTATGCAGTCATTTTCCAAGTCGATACGTGCTTATCAATTGGCAAATCACACACATACAGCCTGACATAACAGACCGTAGAAAGGCTGTGATTAGATACTATAACAAACTGGGGAAAATCTATATTCAAATTTCGGGGCGCGTTTCGGCCGTTCAGGAAAGTTCCATTCTACAGCGGGCAGAGCGCAAGCTCGTGCACCATCGAGGTCGTTACAATACAAACGCATTGGCGAATACGCATCAAAGTAGCTATTGCGGCATTATACCGAACATTTCCACATCAATCACTCCTTTGATCCTCATCAAAGGGTGCTCTCCAGAGCAAGCACCTGAAAAGAGAAATCAGCAAAAATCTAGTAGGGTTTGGAGAGAGGAGCCTTACGATAGCGCTGCGCGACGGGATATAGACCTGTAAGAAGTTCTTGCGGTCGTTCCACGCAAATGGAGTTGTGAAAAACCTTGTGCTCTCGTCGACGTTACCGTGACCTCCAAAATCTTTGCTGTCTGTGTTCAAAACGATACGATATGTGCCCTCCTGCTCTACACCGACGCGGTAGTCGGTGAAGCTGTTCGAGGGGTGGAAGTTGAAGATCCAGAGGAGACCAGCTCGCTCAAACACAATGACTTTATCGTTCTCATTCTTCAAGCTGACGTATGCTTGCGAGGAGTTGAGCCACCCGTACTTTTCTTCAGTCCACTGCATCTTGCTATCGAAGTCATTTAGGAAGTGATAGCGTAGCAACTTATCATCGACTAGGTTGAACTGTCGCCGAGCGTATTGAAAGCTATTGCCATTTCCTTCGCGGGGGAAATCAAGCCACTCCGGATGGCCGAATTCGTTACCTTCGAAATTGAGGTAACCTTCACCCCCGAGGCCATGCGTGATCAACCGTATCAACTTGTGGAGGGACAGCCCCCTCGCAATGACAGATGTCTCTTCCGATAATGTGGACATGTTAGTATACATTTCGGCATCGCACAACCAGAACAGCAATGTCTTGTCGCCAACAAGACTATCAACGGTCAGCGAAGCTCGGACATAGATAAGGGGTATCTTACGCTTGATCATGGCTCTCGGCATAGGCGATTGTCTTCTCGCCATGTCGGCGATTTGTCAAAGTAAAGACAAGATTGCCCATATCCCAATCAATGTCTTGCTTCTCTTTCAACCATTTGATGTACAAGTCTGGAACAGCCATGGCAAGTCGATAGTCGAATCCTATTCCACCAAGCGACAGTGGTACGCAAAGACCAGGCATACCCGAGACATCTTCTGCGATGGTTATGCAATCGGGGTATAGTTTGTGGAGCATCTCGTTGGCCAGCATGAGATAGACTACACCTTCTTCATCAACACCTGGACCGAAGTACTCATGATAACCACCAGAAAAGCCCCTAGGGAGTGGGTTAGTCATAAACCAGCAGTCAGAAGTTTATTTCACTTACGTTCCAATGCCGTGGTGAGTGTATAGCATACTGGTTACACCGTCGAAACGGAAACCGTCAAACTGATATTCCTCCATCCAAAAGCGCAAGTTGCTCATAAGGAAACGAAGTACTTCGTGGCTGCCATAGTTGAAGAGGCGACTGTCCCAAAGCTCATGGCGACCCTTGGCACCTTCGTGGAAGTAGAGGTGGTCACTGTTGTCGAACATGTTCAACCCATCCAGTACATTCTTAGAGGCGTGGCTGTGCACAACATCGAGCAACACCGTGATTCCCATGCCGTGAGCGGTATCAATGAGTTCCTTGAGGTCATCTGGTGGTCCGTAGCGACTGCTCGCAGCGAAGAAGCTGTTGATTTGGTAGCCAAAGCTCGCATAGTAAGCATGCTCCATGATGGCCATCAGCTGGATGACGTTGTATCCCAAGTCCTTGATTCTCGGAAGAATATTGTGTGTGAATTCCTTGTAGGTAGCCACCTTTTGCTCCGGCGAAGAGATGCCAACGTGGGCTTCGTAGATTCTGGCGCTTCGGGGTTTCGGTGGGCGCTTGTTCTTGAAAACATAAGTCGCTTCTTTGGGGGGATTCCAGAAACGAGCATCGTATACAGGGGAAACGTTGAGGTCTTGGGTCACCCGCTTGATCCAAGCGGGGATGCGCTCCTGTCGAGCGTGGTCATTTGGCACGACGAGTGAGATCTACAACTCACGGTTAGAATGGCGGTGCAGAGCCAGCAAAAGCGAAATGGCACAGAAATACCTTGATCTTGGAGTCATGGGGAATGGATGGTTTGCCATTGTTTCCCGGAACTATCACTTCAAACACACCAAATTCATTCTTGTTCATAGGGGTAGCATCGCGATCCCAGTTGTTGAAGTCTCCGATCAGGTAGGCTCGCAGGGCATTGGGGGCCCACTCTCTGTACTTGACGTCGCCGTTGTCTTGGACATGAAAGCCGAACAGCTCGTAACCCTGAACAGCAATCAGTATTGTGGATCTTGAAGGGGAGTGGATAGAGGTGGAGTGCTTGCCCTGGTGAAGTTTTCAATGCCGCCCTCGGTCTCGTCGATTGTCTTCAACCACTGTCTTGTTTTTGCGTAACGACTGCGGAGGGCGTCTTTGAAGGGCGAGAGGTAGCTGTCGAGCTCAACAATTCCTGCAGAGATGAAGAAAGTCAGTTGATCAAGAATCTTTCTCGTCAATATCGATTAGGGAGATACAGAGAGACATACCTGTGCCGTCGTTGGGAATCTGGCCTGGTGCGGGATCCGTCACGGAATTTCCAGAGCTGCCATTCACAGCCATGGTCGTGAAGGCAAAAGGCTGGGGAGATGGGAGTGGGGCGAAGTGGGGATCAGTGGCAGTTGATCGGTGTGAGCACACTGGGACTGGCTGGTGAGATACAGCAGTTGGGCGTAGGAAGCAGGCGGGGGAAAAGAAGAGCAGCGAAGGGGAGGAGAAGGGGAGCAGCAGAGGCAATTGAAGGACCCGTTGTCTGCGAGGAGGAGCAGCAACATTATTGCGGGGTGGTGTCTGGCCATGGGCATCTCAGCATGTCGGAGGGCTCAGCTCATTTGCTGGAGCTCGTCGTCCTCAACCAAAAAACGCCCGTATCCCTGCCGCGCGCCGTTCAACGTCATAGCGCGATAGCGCCTCAGTCGCGAAGAGGCATCGCGTCCGAATGCGCAGAGTCGCTAGTTTTGCATTGTAGAGGAGCTAGAGGCCATGGAGGATAACCTGCCCTGGGCCGTCTTTTGTGCAATTGGACAGGTGTCGCGCCGTCCTGCTGGTGTCTGTTTTTGGTTGTTGTTGTTTTTTGGCCCTTTCAAATGATGTTGCTTCTCGTCCTGCTCACGCCGCCCGAAACGGACGGGACGGGAAGCGGGTTAGCCCCAATAGAACAGAATAGCCGCCCGCCGCCGCACTCCACTCCACCCCCCGCTGCACAACTCCGCCGCCCTGCCTATCTGCTTGCGCCTAGGAGGGAGCTACCCCGCCAGCTGGTGCGGAGAGCGCGCGAGCTCGCCACAACCATCCAGACAGACTGACAGCCAGACAGCCGCACTCAACACATGGCGAATCGTCGTCGTCATGACGCCCAGCCACAGCCCGCCCCCAGCACAACACCACTTCCACATCACTACCACTACCACCACCACCACCGCTTTCCCTCATCACCACGCATGCCCGCAATGTGCCTTGCATCGTGAGCCCCATCCGTACTTGCTTACCCAAGTGCATATGCACCCCATCCGAGGCCCCCTCCTCATCCCACCATGTGAACTTGCCAACACTGAGAATCCCCACCCTCCACTCCGGATACCATGGCTTCTCGCACTGCCCTTCTTACCATCTCATCCCACCCCAGAGCTTCATGCATTTCCCTTGCCACCACTGCCCATCGCTCCTTCTCCCCAACCTGCCGCCCCGCTTCTCGCTACAACCCTTCCGACTTCACTACCCAGGGCTACTCTACCCAAGGTTGGTCCTCCTTGTACTTTCCGGATGAGCCCCTAAAAGGTCCGCTAGGTACAGCCTCAAGTCCCTCTGAGCCCAAAATCACTCCCCGGAGTCTGAAGGAGCACCTGGATCGCTATGTCGTTGGCCAGGAATACGCAAAGACCGTCATTGCCACGGCCGTCTACAGCCAGCACCTGAGGAGAAAACTGCAGACTTCCCACGCCGAGGACCACGCTTGTAATGGTACGCTCGCCTTGTAGCCTGTGTCTTCTAGAGTCGCATTGTAATGATTAAACATGTTGTACAGACGAATGGCCAGGCCATGCACAAGCCATACCAAATGACCAGATTGAGAAGTCAAACGTACTTATGCTAGGTCCCACGGGCACCGGCAAGACCCTGATGACCAAGACGGTAGCCCGCAGCTTGAATGTGCCCTACAGCGTGTCTGACTGCACCCCCTTCACCCAATCGGGCTATATTGGAGAGGATGCCGAGACCTGTGTCGCCCGGCTGCTTGCCGCTGCCAACTACGACGTCGACGCAGCAGAGTGGGGCATCATTGTCCTGGACGAAATCGACAAAATCGCCGGCGTCAAAGTTGCCCATGGTAAGGATATTGGTGGCGAGGGCGTCCAACAGTCTCTGCTCAAAATCATCGAAGGCACCACGCTCCAGATCCAGGCGAAGCCGGAGCGTAATAGCAGATCCCCCAACCCTCCCGGAGGTCCAAATGGCCTCTCTTCTAGTGGGCCTAATCCCATGGCCCCCAGTGGGAAAGGCGAGGTTTTCAATGTCAGGACGGACAACATCCTCTTTATATGTACAGGCGCATTTGTCGGCCTGGACAAGATCATCTTGAATCGCAAAGCAAAAGGAGGCATGGGCTTCGGTGCACAGGTCAGATCATCAGCTGCCGACACGGACAAACATGCCACCAGGTTGAGCGACGCAGATGTGGCCAGTTTCAGCAAAGATATGCCCATTTACATTCCGGTTGACACAGATTCGCCTTCGCAGCATCACACCAACGGTTATCGAGAGGAACACTACAACATATTGAATTATAGTGAACCATCCGATCTTCAGAAATATGGCATGATACCCGAACTCGTCGGTCGAATACCGAAAACCTGCGCCGTCTCTACCCTGGACGAAGAAGCGCTCGTGCGTATACTTACTGAGCCAGAGAACAGTCTCATTGAGCAGGAAAAAAGACTATTTCTTGCTGATAAGATCGAATTGCACTTCACAAGCCCCTCCCTGAGAGAGATCGCAGCGAAAGCATTGCGGATGGGCACCGGGGCTCGTGGATTGAGGGCTGTGGTGGAACGATTGCTTCTGGGTTGCAAATTCAATGCACCGGGTATGAATCGTGGATTGGGGATATTCCAGTTCGTCTGCTAACACGCATTGGCAGGTTCCTCTGTCAGACACATTCTCATCACCAGAGAAGCCGCTCAGCTCAAATGCGCACCCTTATGTTTTAACAGAGGGCAATATCAGACTTTCCAAACAACGATCAAACAGGAAGAAGATGAATGGGAAGAGGAGTTACAAGCAAAGAATTCCGCCGTGAATGTTCCACAGCGAGCAGAAGTGAGCGTTGCGACTGGGTAATGGTCTTACACACACCAAGGTTAGTTAGACAGGCGGTCGTATATAACAACATATACTTCAAAGAGTAGCACTGTAGTTGCGCACTGCGGTCATACTACAATATCGAAGGATAACAATTTTTCGCGCTCCCTCCCGCGAAATCTTACCAACCGTCTCTCTATCATTCCTGCATCGTGTCTTGTAATACGTACATAAATCCACGAAGATATGCAAAAATGCTTCCTTATCTTCCAACTGTCCTTTCAATATCAACCTGCAGCATCGTTATCCCAAAAGCGACCCCCCCGGTTGCCGGTCAAGCCCTGCACCACCCCTGCCACTCGCGACGCATCCTTCGATCGAATCAAATCCCAAGAACGTACACGGCTTTTCTTTCTTTACCCTCGTTCCTTCTTCCCGACCCAACGAGCCGCAATGCAAGTCAGCCAGGCCAAGCGTAAGCAATCTATGCCTAATCTATTACCCGCGCCTCTATGCATGGGCTTTCATCACTCGCCTCTCTTTTTTCCTCCTTGAGCGTCCGATTACTACCGATGCTGGATAGTGAGGACGGTTGGCCTGACGTGAAGCAAATGCAGCTTGCAGGTGCTACGGGAGAGTTCGGGATCCTCCGATGAACATGGTGGGAAGGGAGATAACGCCTTCTTTCTGATCAATTTATGCGGTGGGTGGTTTGAGCACAAACATACGTACGTACTTACCTAGCCGGCTTCTTGAAAATTGGTCCGAAGAAGACGCTGCAGGGGAAAGAATCGGATGCATCTTGACACACTCTTCTCTTAATCTCGCTGCCTCCGACATGTTCCAGGCTCGCCTGCATATCTACGTCAGTTCACCTTGCATATGGGCACCACGTCTCTCTAAGAACAAAGCTTTCCGTGTACCGACTTGAAGGAGCTTATGAATAACCCGCACACCGATTGTGTCAATATGGTAGATATACCGCAAATGCTACACTGCCTTCAAGTTCACACGCATATCAACCACTGTCCAGCGCAAAGCTTCATATCATGGCTGGGAGGGGAGGGGGGAAAGCAAGAGGCGGGGTTGTATATCGCTTTCCATGGAACACGTCAAATGTGATGGACCATGTAATGAATCATCCCACCCTTCTTTCGTTCCCAAGGAAAAAAGACGCAAGGGAAAAGGGAAAGTACCAATTGTCGAATTCTGGTAGCGAAGCCCAGTTGGTTCCAAAGTCTAATGCGGTCCTTTCCCCTCCTCTGCCATTGTGTACATACTTTTCTGGGCTAAACGACTCATAATGCATCAGTCGAGTTGCATCATTGCTTCTCATGTTTGTACTTTTCCATGGGGGCTTTGGGGTGTGATTATGTTTCTCAGGCGTATCGCGCAGTGTCGAAAGATGCAGGTACGTAGTTGTAGTTTCACGTAAACTCACATGCTGCTCATCGAACTTCATTACTTACACTTTGCTACTATATGATATCATATGTAGTCATCTAGATACACAGGGAACAAGTGGGGGTTCCTGAAGATAAGAAAGAGCAAAGGAGATAGAGATGCATACTCAGGTACCCGCATATGCAGTGTCCTTCACCAAGCAGCATCCGTACCACAAGACCGCAAGAACAAAAAAACAAGATAATCAGATGCATATGTTGATTCGGTATGGGGTCCCGTCAACCAATCTTCCCATCTAAACCTTCGCAACTTCTATATCCCACGCGTTATGTTGTCTTTAAGGGCACACGCGTACATGCATATATGCATGCATAGACCGGCAGACTTCAATCTTGCAAGACGTTGGTTCTGGGATGGTGTACCCAAGGGCTGTTGTGAGAATCAGGCTCTTTACAGTTTGGGTTTCTCTTTGGGTTTCTCTCTCTTTCTTGTTTGTTCGTCGTTCGGCATGTGCTAGAGTGCGCAACTTACCCCGCGGCATGGATTCAAAGATGGCTGCTTTCTAGGTCGTAATTAGAGTGTGAGAAATAGATCTTCATACAGGGTGAATGAAGAGGAAGGAGCGGAATGATGGAGAGGATTCGCTTCGTTAAACCCGGACTACCGGCTGACGATTCATAGTACAAAGTCCTAAGTGAAGGTTTGGGGGAAGGGCAGGAGATTCTTGTCTCCCGACATGTAGCAAAGCTCTTTGCTTCCTTCCTAAGTAATGATCGGTTGCTGCACTTTCTTTGGTCCTGCTGGGCTTAGCAATCGACGTAGGTAGGTAGTGTCGCTCTTTCCAAACATATATTGACGACCAGTAAAATCAATGTGTCTCTACAAACAAACTGCCCAGCCGAAAACAAAAACCTCTTGATCATCAATTGAGATGAGCTACACACCTTTATTCGCACGCAAATATGCTGAATTCGACATGTTCCCTTATTTTTCCCTTGCATTTGGTACAAGAAATGACATCTCAACCTTATCATACCACAATCTCCTTACTCGCTTTCGAATCATCGGGACCGACTCCCATATTTACTAGGTGAAATTGCACGACCATGAAAACCAAGAACTTCGTTTACTGCCGTAGACAGTGCTCGAGATAAATCAAGCCGACCAATCTACTTGCCGTCCATCGATCTATCCATCCATCCGCTTGCCCGCCCCAAGCCGCGCCTTTGCTCCGATCCGACCCAGATGCCGCCGCTTACCTATCTTGCAAGCATTCAAAGGCCGACGGGTCCAACAATGCAGTACCGACCATGCCGAACTCACCTTATACATACAATTATACATTGAACGGACACAACATGGCTGGCCAACTCATACACACATATGCAAGCATGCACCCACGCCTCCATGCACCTACGAGACGAATTACTTCGTATCAAACACCCAGTCTTCATGGTCGGCCCATGATGCATTCAATCAATCAACCAGTCAATCAATTTGATCGATCTAGGAAAGTGTGGGTAGATGCCTGCGCAGCTCTGGCCACCAAACCCAAACAAAGTACAACGCTGGGCCATGATAGGAACACCAAACAATCAAGCAATAAGTGTTTAGAAGAGAGAAAAATACTCCCCTGTCGTGTCTAGCTCGCTTGCGTCATCTCACCTCCATCGACTTTACATTCGTATGGCCCTCGTAATTCCGCCCAATTCTCGCCTACATGGGTACTTGCTTGCTTTGCTGCAGGGCAACAAATCACAGAAAGAAGAACACACATCAACGGCTTGCGCACACAGAGCGCAAGACAAACAACTGACTGGTAACACTTCAAGCAAAAACCCCCCGACCAAATGAATATATGGAAATAACAAAACAACCTGCCGAACACAGCGTGCGCAATATCACCGCAATGACATTACATGCAGTACTGCTTGCTGCATGCAAGCCCGCAACGGCCGATCATGCACAGAAAATACCCTCTCCCCTTCATCTACCAACCACAAACTTCCTTTCCCCCCTCCAACCCTCCTCCCTTTACATTCGTATCCACCCCACCCACCCCTCCTCTAGTAGCAAAAGACGTTATGGAAGAGATAGAACAGGCGCAGATGCGAGATGCAGGACACACGTACACACACTCTAGAATCTTGTAAACGAACACGGCTTCTTTTCTATTCGCGCGGTTCTTCATTCCTTGCCGCTCTCCTCCACCCACCCACCCACCCCATTTCCATCTCCCCTTCGCAATCTTTCTTTCCGCCGGGCATTCTTCCGATTCGTCATGTCTGTCTCCTGCTCTTCCCTTTCCTTCATCTTTCATCGGTATCTAGGCACTTGCCTTGCCTATCCACTCCATCTTCCTCGGATTCGTATCGTATCATATCATGCAGTATCTTGTTCTCGACTCGTCTGCAAGTTGGCGGCAGGCGAGCGGGCATCATCATCGTCGGCGTCGGCGTACATGGAACTGTCGGGTCAGGATTTTGGACCCTCCCCCCTCCTCCTCCTCACCTTCCACCCCTAACCATCTCCCCCTCCCTGACCATGCCATGTCTTGCCGACCCGCCGCCCAATCTAGAAAAAAGGCAACGCAATTTATCGGTGCTTCAGACGCAGAGGCAGGGCCCCAAGAGCAGGCAAGGGTAAGGATTAGGTTAGGAGGTTGAGGTGGATGGTGTGCGCGGCGCCCTCAATATCGAGGCTGTAGAGGGGAGGTTTTTTTTTCTTTTGTGTTGGATGGATGCATGCATACCTGCCCGCGTGCATGCATCAATGGCGTGGTATCTCGGGGTTTATTCAATGTTTGTTTTCTCTATGCTGAAGTGATTGTGCTGGGTGGACTGGGAGGGGCGAGCTAATACTTTCACATTGATAGCCAGAGCTTGAAATGGGTGCTGCTCAATTGAGAGACATCAAGGCATAGGATCCATTTGCTTGTTTATCCAAAATAAACTAAAAAACTTGAGCAATTCCTATGCGATTGAAGGGAGATGAATAGACCAAAAACCTATCAAGACCTTTTGCAATGTGAACATCATGGTGATACGCTGTCAAAACGTGAACATTGATCAAAACTCAGATATCCGCCCTTTCCTGTATAATGCGCCGCCCGGTTCCTTTGGTATCTTTGGATGCGAATGCGATGATCGTGAAGCGACTAGCACTTCACAAACCACCCATCGCCTCAAACGCCAGTCTGTTTTGTAAAGATTTGCCCACCCAACCAGTTCTCCGTTGCGCTGTCCCTTGTAATCAAACGCCAAAGCCCAATGCGGAAGCTGCTCGATCATACCTCGATGCACCCGTCCGCTGAAAGAAGAATACAATTATCAAGAATTGAAACAATAACAAGACAGCAATAGCGTTTGGAATATCACCCAACGTCGGAACGAAGAAAATAAATTCACACCCACAAAGAGCAATCAAAGTCCCTGGATTCATTCGGGATCTTCAACATAAAAGTATACGCAGCGATACTGCTTGCCCTTCTTTGTCGGACCTTGCTCCCAAGTTGGAGAAGCCGGCCTAGAAAGGTTCAAAGGAGTCGTAACAGTAGATTGCGGTGCGGAAGCATAGTAGTTGTTATGCTGAGGGAATTGAGCAACGTCGGAGGAGAAGGAGAATGCGAAATTGTCAATGGACTGCGGACGCGGGAGTTGAGAGTCCATGCTCATGCGCGGATTCGTGGGGCTGATCATGGGGGCGTCAAAGGAACTCGGACCGCGTTGATGCCTTGCAAAAGTTGCAGCGGACGCTGAGGATGGTGGGGAGGAAAATTGAGTTGCAACTTGGCGATGAGGCTGCGGAATGCCGACGGGCATATGAGCCGGTGTCTGCTGATACGTACTCTCCATAGGCGATATTGGGTTGGCGAATTGGGGCACGATTGGCGTCGAAGGCTGGGAATAGTGGCCCATATTGGTGGCGTACTGGTTTTCCGGGCTCCCAAAGCTCATGTTGGTATTGATATTTGTATTTATGTTGGTGTTGATGGTTGGATTTGGAGTGTTGATGCTGTTGTATACGGGAATGCAAATGTTTTGCGGGTGTGGTTGGGTGTACTGTTGTGGTACATATGGCTGGGCGGGAATGTTGAGTGCGCGGGGTTGCATCTCGGGCTCCTTGTTCTTGTGATCGTCGGTAATATGGAAGACATCGGACAGGTGTTGCGCAACCATATTACCTGACTGGCTATCCCGAAAGGTGAAGATGACGCGATAGCCTTGGGGAGACTTGTCTTCCTGGTGGCGACAATAGCAAGCGATGCGCATAGCGAAATCGACCTGCTTGGCTCCGGGCATGGAGGATTTCGGGTCCACGGGTTCCTTGAACCGTTTGTATTCCTTCTCGTTGATCATAATGACACGGTCGTTCTCGTATTTGAGAAAGCCATCCTCATCGGTAGTCTTCTTCTTCTTGCGATCGTAGCGCTTGCGCTCGCGCTCTTTGCATCCTTCGCAGATGACGACCTCGCCGCCATTCTGAGGGTGTCGCTCGTCGTCCTTGTCCAGCTCACCAAGCTGGACGTGGGCGGGTCTCCTCGGCATGCGCTCTTGGCCAGCAGCACGCCGGAGAGCTCTTGCGCGGTCTTCGGGCTCTTCAACAGCAGTAGCGCAGACGAGATTGACCTGCATTTCCACTATACGGCCTTTGGACTCGGCATCTTCTCTGTCTTGGGGGGTGGCGTGCTGCTTTGGTTTGGCCAGCGTTTGGGGAGGAAACCGGATGTGCTCGTACGTCGACGGAGTCATGAGCAGCTCCATCTTGATTTGAGTTTCGGCGCGAGTCTTGGACTTGTCACCCTTCAAGTAGACCTCGACCGAGGGTTCGTGGGATTGAGGAATGACGATGGCGTCGGGGTTGGACAAGTCGATGTCCCAAGCATCGTTGGGTGACGACTCTTCCTTTGTGACGAAGAGAGCCTCGCTCGAGGTTTCGGGGGAGTTTGAACTGCTGGGATCGTGAGAATAGTCGCCGGGCGAACTGATTGAGCCGAAAAAGGGTTGGGAGTCGGGGGTGGTGACGATGGGGGATTGTTGATAGTTGGTAAAATCGAAGAAATCGGCGGCGTCGACCGGCTCCATCTTGACGGTGTCGTGCCAGTGGGGGGAGAGATCTATGGCCGAATCGCGGGCGTGGATGATGGGGTCCGGGGCCGCGAAGAAGCTCTCCGAAGATGCATCGGCAGCATCATCTGGGAATTGGTCGGCAAGGTGAGCGTTGGGGTTGTGGAGATCGGCAGGGTTGATGGTGGTATATAAGCTCGCCATGATGGTGGGAGGGTGAAGGTGCAGGAGGTGCAGGAGCAACGAAAGGTTGCGGCTGCACTCACTGGGTGGAGGGCTGCTGGGGCAAAGAGGGGACGGATGCTAGCGAGCGTGGTGGTGTTGGAAATGGCAGGCACGGCGGGCCACGGGAGGAGTGGCAGCAGGTAATGTTGGGCGTGGGGCAGCGGTGCGGCCAGCGACTAGCAAGACGAGCCCAATATAATGAATTGGGTCGTCTATCGTCTATCCCGAAATGGAGACGAAGGATGGTGGAAACGTCGATGCAGTGGTTGGTTCCGGTTCTGGATGATGGGCAAGGTCCGTGGGCAGGGGACGAGGGGTGCGGCCAATGAGGCGGGGAGGATGCACCGTTTGATCAATTCCTTCAAGACAAATTTTTCGGTAGATGCAGCGGGAAGGATCCCTCAAAGGGCAGTTTTGCGTTTGTCTTTTTTTGGCCTCGATTTCTTCTTGGTGTTGTCTTGGAGGGTAGGAAGACAGACGGTGGAGGTCAAGGGAGAAGAAGAAGAGAAGGGAGGGAAGCGGGGTAGACGAGTCCGTCTGTGTGTAGTAGAAAGAAAGGATGGAAGAAGGAAAGCAAGAGAGAAGAGCGAGTGCGGGATGATGGGGACCAGTGGGACCCGGGTGGAACTGCGGAGGGAGAGGAGGAAGGGGAAGATGTGGGTAGGTAGGTGGATGGATGGGCGAGGAGGCGGGTAGATAAGATGGTGGATGGATGAGCAGCTGGGGGGGGGGATCTGAAGATGAAGAAGAGGGAATTGGGAGGCAGCAAAGGCCGGGCAGGTGTAGACTAAAAAGCTCGAATCCACCGTCCAGTCGAGCAACTAATGCATCCATCCATCAACGACGACCGTCGTCTTCCCCCCCCCACCCCAGACGACCGAACGCTCAGACTTCCGTGCCTCGCCGTCAATCAGGGAACGCCCGCCCAGAATTCCAACCCTCAGAACCCTGTCGGCGCCGCGAACACCACCACCACCACCACCACCAGCAGCGGCAGCAGCTAGCTAACTAACCAGCCCAGCCAGCTAGCGACCGATTGTGCTTTGCTTGTACGCACACGCACAATACCCAGCGACGCACACTTGCGCACACAGTGCCCTTGTTGTTGCTTACCTGCTTAATTACTCATGCACCTACTGCCGTCTGTCTGTACTGTATGTACTGTACTGTGCTGTGCTGTGCTCTCTATGCCATCCCTCCCACACACACACACACACCACACGTCGCATCCCTAGATCGGCTCCGCCTTCTCCAGGTCCTCAGCTCTGGTAGTAGTCCACTGTTTGCGCGCCGTCGTCCGTCCATGACCCCTGCTTGCTGCTTCCTCTCGCTCTCTGCATCTGCCCGTCCTTGGTGATGGATTCATGAATGAATGAATGAATGATGGTTGGCGACTGCTATTGCGTGCTATCATGCCATCATGGTGCCCTGCCCAAAAGTCTATTGTATCATGTGTACATGTACCTGACTATCAACTCACGCTCCTCGCCCCGAGGACGTATGTCTGTCCTAATACATGCTGGCGTGCACATCTCGCCCTGGGCTCTGCTAACCACGACTGCCACCAGTCGCCGTAATCGACACCATGGAGCCCTTGCTCGCGCGCATACCTACCTACCTACATACATACGTACGTACGTACATACGTTGATAGACACATTGTTATTCATGGATAGATAGATGGATGGATCATGGACCGAGTCTATTGTGCGGATCCGGACCAGTCTCCGCCCATAAATGCTGCCCACAATCCACCACCTGCTATTTACTGGGCCTATGTACCTAACTATCTACTTTGCTGCACTGTACTTGCTGGACTAGCTAGGCCTTTTTTTCCCCAGTCAATCCCCCCGTTCGTCGTCACCCCATTCCATCCCCCGTCTGCAAGTAGTCTACCTATGTACCTAGCATCCATTCTCCACGTAACGTCTGCTGCACAGCGATAAAACTCTGCCCCAGCGTCAACCCGCCCGCCCACGCGCAAATAGCCCCTTGATGCCGCATCCTAGACGCCTCCAATGCTACTGCGCTGCCCTGTATGGAGATACAACCGCCGTTGTTATTAATAAGTATCAGAAAGAAAGAAAAAACTCAACCCGTTGTCTCCTTTCCCACCACTAGCCTCGTCATCGGTGGCGAAATCCAACTCCATCCATCACAAACCAAGAATAGCCATCCCACATCACTAAAAATTTTGCCTGCCTGCCTGCCTGCCCGTCTGCTAGCTGCTGTGTGGGTGTGTGCATCTCCTCCTGCTGCTGCTCACCACTGGCGCCCAGCTACGCTCCAACTCTCGGAACGACTCTGGTTCTAACAACCACTCGTAGCCATATCTTCCGATGCCCAACATGCAGCCCAGCCGTGCCACCGTCGCTCCCCTGTGTGATTCGTTCCTAGTCGGCTGCGCCAACGCCTGCTATACCTGCTATACCCACCGAACTGCTGTACCGGTCTGTACCGAGTCACTCTACAGTAGTCTACACCTGCTCCATTCTGCAGGTACAGTACATCAGAGCACAGCACGCTGGCATGCACCCAACCTGCATACCTACATACTCACTGTAGTCAGGAATCATCTCATCTACTGCCAGCTAGCTAGCTATCGAAGAAAGGACCCCAGACCCTTCTCACCCCTTACATTTCCTCCTAGTCGACATCTTCCTCCTCCGCCATCCCAGAATTGAATCCCACCGCCAGCCTAGCAAAGCCCTCCGTTCACGCAGGGTCCTATTGTTTCTAATCAAGCCTGCCGCAGTCTAAACTCTCTCGGCCGCCTACCCCACAGTGCTATCAACTCTATCAGTGGTCATCACTCCGCACCAAGGAGACCCAATTGCGAGCTGAGACTTGAGTCCTTATCGTCTCGATTCTACCAATCGCCCTGTCATGGAAACAAGCAAAGAGGACGGTAACAACTCAATCAGACTTCCAACTGCTTTCGGGCTGTCTGGTTGGTACCGTATCCAGCAATCTATTGCGTCAGGTTCGAATAAAGTAGAACGTCCACTGGGTTACCCTACCCAACCACGGTAGGCGGGGTGGCCAGAGTGACAAGTTTGGTAAACCAGTCCAGTGCCATCCACCAATTGGATGCTACAACACGTTCTTCCTCTGCAGAGTACCTACTGACATCTTCACTGTATATCCTCATCACGTCGACTTGGATCTGATTGATCGCCAATGAGCCGAAATGTCCCGATCGCTGGTTTCCCGGCACTCTCTGGACTTCCTCCATCATGTTCAAGATATTACTGACCACTGCTTAACTGTGCCGGAACATCGTGTCACTCATTACACTGCGCCGCTATACAGGTCCAATCGCCTTCTCTCCCCTATCCCCTTCGTTGTTCTGTTCTGTTTCCCCACGTACAAGGCACGGGAGAACGTCGAAGACTCAATCAAGACCTTTCGCTGGATGCCATTGGTGTTGGTTGGCCTGCCCGACCAGATGGTGGTATCATGTCCCGCAACATACTCTCCGATCATCCACCCCTCCGTCCCACCCCCAGGTTCACGCCCACGAACCATGGTGCTTGTGCACCCAGTGGTGACCCACAGCACGGCATACATCAATTACTCGCTTGAACTGACTGACCTCGATGCCATTGACCGTACCCTTCACCTGGCAAACCTTAGATGACTTTTCGATATTGAACGATAATCGCAACAGGGTTCTAGCAACGAGCCATGCATGCAGTATGATAACACACGACGATCTCTCCCCATTGTTGCCCTCCAATATCATAGTAGAGATCTAGACATGGGTCGAGTTGACGGGCACGAACGGCTACTGTGCCACGGCATGGGCCAAGTCTTGGCAGCAGGTCGAAGACAGGGTGTGGACCGAACCGTGTCTCGCGATTTGTTAGATTCTGATGATGGCAGTAGTGTAGGATAGAGACGAGTAGCCTACAAAGACTGCGTCATCTCATAGTCGGTTGCAGATGGGCATGGCCGTGTCTATATCTGGCCTGTATAGACATGTTTCATGTATGTGTTCATGTACGACTTCATTATCCCCCCGCTTTGATACGCACCTATAGTTCATGCGAGAGGAATCAGGACAAGTGTGTGCGTGTAAGCAGGACCCTGGTCCTCTTGCAATAAAGTTCTACTGGGGACACGTTTGGTCCATCTCTTTTGGAGGTGTGATGACAACAAGCAAAGACGTAAAGAGATGGTTCGTCCCGGATCAATCAAGCTGCAACCATTGCAGCCCAGCTACAGTTGAGGGTGATGGATATGGTGGAAACTCGGCACGATAAGATACAAAGTTCCTGGGCAAGACCCGAAGCTGGAACCAACCATGATATCGTCACTGTTTGCCCAGCGATCGATGTTCGTTTCACGCGCTGAGATCCGTAGTTGGCCAAAGGCAAAGGAAGGGAGGTAATGGCCAGGCCCCATGGTTCAGGTTGATGGCTCGGCAAGTCCAAAGACAACGGGTGCGTGCATGATGCGGTACATGCATCTTGATAGGTAACTCGACACCAGAGCGAGCAATCAGAGAAGCCTTGATCGATAGTGACGCTTCCAAGCTGCCAGACGTGTCCAAAGCAGGTCGGGCAGACAGCCAGTCAGCCAGTGGATCCCTTGATCAGTAAGTACATCAAGTTACTCACTGGGGCAGCTTCTGTGTAACATGTCCTTCATGCTGGTAATATGGGGGTGCTCGATATAGCAAGGCAAAGACGTTATTGTGCTTTGCATCCAACCCGCGCACGCACGGAGGAAGACGCTATGGTTTATCAAAGAGTCACAGCGCAACACACACACGCCGTGCATTAAACCTCTCGTACCCACCAATCAACCCACATCGCGCACCACCACCGTGCATCCATCACCGTTGTCCCCCTCCCCGCACCTGTACCCAGGAATCTTATCCACAAGCTCTTCCCTCTGGACTTGTCGTCGTCTTGATGCCACAGCCGTCGGGATGGTGTCGCACTTGGTTTGGGGGCCCAGTTCACTTGCCAGATTCGAAGGGACCAACGACAGACCGACCGACTGCAACCTGCTGCCTGCCTGCCTGCGCCTTGCCCTTGCCAAATGGCATGCCCTCCATCCCTCCATCCCTCCCATCCATCTTCAACCCCTCCTCTCCTCCAAGCCATTCATATATCTCTCGCATTGCTCCCCGCTCTCACGCCTCTCGTCTTCTCCACTCTGCCCACCGATCAGCCCATGCTCGTGTTCAATCCCCACTGTCATACATACAAACATGCTTCCAGACTGTCGTACGCAGAGATCGGTCCAACACGCTGTGCTAGGTAGTGCGAGGGTGATGCCATTCTCGCAGTAGCCGACTGGGTCTCTGCCATCTGCATTCGGTAATGCGCAGCAGTCAATAGCCTTGCGGACCTGCGTACGCATCCATCGTCTCCACTCCTCATTTTTCTTTGCACGCCATCCTCTTTGCACTGTACATGTGTGCACGCGCATTACATAACGTGCGAAAAAGACATACGCGGGTGCTGCAAACTATATCCATCACTCCGCTACTGGCCCGGACCGGACGCACGATTCGGTGCCGCACGGTATACAGCCTGGGGTATACCGCTTGCGGACGGGCACTTGTTCAGCTTTCTACCGCCTACCATCTGCAACAGCCAGGAGAACAATAACTCTCCGGCATTTCTTCCTTTGCATACGTACATACCACACCGTCTACAACCACCGTTGATTCCAATTCATCGTCACTTTACTCTTTGAGTCCATCCATTGTCAACCGTCGCCTGGCTTGCAAGCGCCGGCATCTCAGCTAGCCTGTTTGTTCTTCTCAAAGAGGGTCCATGCCAATCCAATAACCCTGGCCGTGAAGCTACTACAGAGTACTAATGAAACAATGATCCATCGTCCATGGCTAGCATCACTGACAACAAGAGGAAAAACGGCCGCAACGACTTACCCAGTCTCGCTAAGCCGGGCGGCGGCCGCTAACCAGCTACCCACCCTCAAATCCTACCCATGGAGCCGAGACTCTCAGATCGTAACCGATGGCGCGGCCGCTTAGAGGCAAGTAAACAAGTCAGGGTTTGCGGGCCCATCTCCGCGTCCGTCCCGGCTCAAGTGTTAGCTGGAGGAAAGCAGAAGGACCGGAAGGGAGTTATTTAAGAGGCTCGGCACAATGAAGGCGAAAAACTGCTACTGTCAAGCACGGGAAGCTGGCGGCGCACTCCGACACACAACAATGACTACTCTCATATTCATCATGTAATTTCCATGTAGAATAAATGCCGTCGCGCCTGCCGGGAGTAAGCGTGCCTGGCCCGAATATTGCGTTGGTCCGAAGTTTTGACGGTGCAGTGCATGAATAATGTGGGCAAAGCGCAAAGTCGAAAGCAAAGCAATTGCGTTGGGGTCCAAGCAATAGCAAAAGCTGAATGACAAGTGCATCCATTGTTTCGGTACTCCCATGAGTCTTTCACGAGAATAGAAAATTTAGGCGAAAGGCAGCAAGGTGCGCACCACACCGCTGCCGATCCTTCCGAATGGTCAGTCAGGTACGGCATGGCCAAGGTCAAGAATGTCAATGAAGATGGAGCTGAAGGGGAAGAACAGTGGAAAAACACACTTCCCACGTTAAACCCTCGGTCTTCCATCCCGGGCAATGGTAACTGAATCAAAAAAGATAACGATGATGTACATCACACAGTCTTCAAACCTTCTCTACCCCCCCTTCCCCTCCCTGATCAAGACTAGCCGGTTACCTGTTCCCCTCGCTCTTTCCCTTTGCCATGGGAACAGGACTCTATGCGTGGAATAGCAGGGCTGCAGGGTTTGCGTGTTCTTTTTGCTTTGATGCTTGGTTCGCGCAAGAACTCTATCCCACATGTACATATGTACATCACATCACTTCGCCCGGGTTTTTATCAAATTTACCACGGCGCGAGCAAGGTTTGCTGGGGGGGGAGAAGTGGGACTTTGCTCATCTTTCTGGGATTTCTCTTCGGCGTCCATTGTTGGATGGTTGGTTTGATTGGCATGAGTAGATGAGATTTGGATCGTGTGTATGGACCCGGCTATCTTCACTTCATCTTTGTTGTCTCTAATGGAGTTTGGTGATGTTGCTGGTTTGTCTTCGCCGAAGTTACAATGTCTATTTCTTCTAGTCGATGAGAAAGGACGAATTGATGGAGGAGGAAGAGAAGAAGTGGTGATATGGCAGTGAGTAAGTGCTGTATACACATACACTGACAGTTGATCTTACGTACTTTAGCAAGTAGAGAGTACTATAGACTTCTCCAAACGAATTCGGAGCTTCGCTTTCGGGCTTTCTGTTCTTGTCTACTCATGTCGGAACTCCGAAACTTATCATCATCATGTCATGCCAAAGTAATCTTCGCTTTCTGATCTGATCCACGCATCTCGGAACCCCAAAACCTATCACTATCATGTCTTCGCTTTTCTTTATTCGGGACTCCATAACCAGTCAAACTCTGGTCAATTCACCATACCGCACTAAACCCCTCACACAGAAACCCATGCAAGGGTAAAGACAGGGAAAGGGAAAGGGAAACAGACATCACCCTCATGTCCAAGAAAAACCACGGCATGGGAAAACTTGGTAAACAGTCCACGCTTTACCAGTGCCTCTCTACCACACACACAAGCCTCACTCTAGAGGACCAAACCCCACGCTATCACCATCACCTCAGCAACCCATCTTATCGTCCTCCTGCTCGTTGCTCAGATAGTGCTCCCGTGGTTCGACACCAATCTACCCTCTCATGCAACTCCCCCCCACGGCCACCACCGTCTACTGTCTGGATACCTATCTACATGGGACCTAGTAAGATAGCCAAGCAAACAGCTACACCATTCAGAGCCTCCAGATACAGATAGACAGACAGACAGACACCCACACACACACACGCATAGTCCTGCGTTATCCGGCTGTCCCGCTACAGCGCTACTGCTATTCCCATAGCTTATCCCCCATCCCCCCAATCCGTGCACTGCTACTCTCTAGCTCCAAACTCTAAAATGGCGTTCCAGAGATCTACGTCGTTCAGATCGTGGGAGGCAGTGGGGTGCGATGGTGGCAAAGAGATCAAGGCAGATACATGTCCGTGCCCGCAGTGAAGGATTAGATCTCAGCACAGCTGAAGAAGGATACGTACCCTTGTCCCAATGCAGTGAACGTGTGTGTACGCGTGTTTGTCTGTGTGTGTGGGGTCAATTGTCCCATGCCCTCTCTCTGACACTTCTTCCCTTTGCGCTCGCTCGTCACGAAATCTGGTAAAACCGGCGTGAAGGAAAGCTATCGAACACACAAAAAAAACCTTGGGTAACATCATTGTTGCATTCGCAGTTACGTGCACTTCGGATTTTAAGTTTCTCGCAAAGAGCACGGTTTTGTTTTGTTTTGCTCGGTTCCTTGCGAAATGGTGCGTGATGATTCCGATCAGTGGGAAGGGGGGGGAGCCATGTGAGAAATGCATTCGTCACATTGTCATCATCGCATTGGTCCGTTTCTGCTTTGTTGTTGCGATTTTTGAGTTTTGCTCCAGTCGTTCGGTTCGTCACCATCGCAACACGGCCACGTGCGTGCGTGTGTGTAGGGTTTTTCTAAACGTTAGTTTTCAGACAAGGGTACGCAATGGATCCTGGTATCGTGTGCATGTCAGATCAAAAGTGGAACATGTTCTGGTTTTTAGCTTTCTGTCATCATTTCCTCCCCATGGTAATCTCTTGTGTGATGCCACTGATTCTTCCACGTGGAAACCCATGCTCCTGTTTGGTACAGTGATAGATAAACAAAGGAAATCCATGCCATACCCTGCTATTTTCCTTGCTGTTTCATCGTAATCCCTGGATATCGGATATACCGGGGAACAGAGATAGCCCAGCTTGCCTGCCAAAGTGATGATGCACCAGTATTAGGGACCGAGATGGTGAAAATTCGTTTATGAACGCTTATCTCAGCCCGCTACTTTTGATCAATGTGTGATGTTCCGCAAGCAATCGAATGCAGTGAATAAAGAAGTGTGAATAATGACTTCTATGGTAATCCTCTGCAAGAGAAGGTTCAGTGATAAAAGAGAAAAAGTGACAAGGAGAATCAGTAGTAAGGTGCATCAATTAGAACTCTTATTGGTTGACTACAGGTCACTCTGTCCGAACACCGACACCGTAATGCAGGTCTTGGAACTCTTTTTAAGCCAGAATTCTGTAGGACTCGTTGCGCTGCCAAGATTTGCGCCTAGTTGCCTTCTAAAGACCTCCCTTACGAAGAAAGTCACGCTGGATATCCTGGAATCTAACTCCAGCGGCTTGCTTCTGGTTTTCTAGTCTCTAGGGTGTCCCACTAATAGGAATGCTGCAGTCTTAAGCTAACTCTTGCAGCCTGCCTTTTATACAGGCATGATAAATACTTATTAGCGTTGTACTCTTAATAAGTTTATTATATATTGCTTTAAGCTCTTCGACCTCGTTCCTATTGCGGCACAAGTGAAATGCGTAGTCTCTAATTAGAGAGCATGGAGGATCATCGCTAGGGCTGCTGCTGCTGCTGCTGACGAATGCCTTAAGAACCCATACAGATTCGTTCCCTTTGTATGGACTCTCAAGTGCAGTTGATAATTCAGTAATAAGAAGCCTGCTGTTTTTATACCCTCTCTTGTCAATGTATTTAACTAGTTGGTGACTTTCCGCTGCCTTCCAGAAGTCTTTGAATGCTTTAGCTTGTGTAGGGGTTTTGATTAACATCTTAGTGTATACAACACTAAGACGATGAACCTGTTCTTTTGTTTTACAGGCTTGATATCCAAAAGTAGCATATATAGGTGTGCCACTTTCAGGGCTTCTGCCTGAGTATAGGAAGGCCAGAAGCTTGAGAGTATATTGTTTGCTGATGGGCTGTAATTCTTCTATGGGAGTTTGTTTATCAGAATCACAAAGACTCTCGCGGGCCTTGTTCATTGCTTTGTCTTGTCTGTCTTGCTCTCTTGAATTGCTGGCTGGTTCGATTGTCCGGCTTGCAGTCTGTGGGGCTTCGGTCATTAAGCTGCCAGGCAATCCATACTTGACGACAGGTGTCTTCCCGTTCCCGTTAAGAAAAATGGCCTTAAACTTGAAGAACATGTCGAAAGTAAGTTTCGGAGTGGCGATTTGGTACATCAGGTCGACTATGTTGTCTGCCAATAGCTTATCGCCAAGCGACGAGGCCAAACGGATCTCTAGTTCGTCGATTCTCAGGCATCCCACGATGCTCTCCATCCACTCTTCTAATCGGCTAAGTGAATTTTTTTCATCCATGCTGCTACCCATATACGCATGGATGATCAAGAGAATGCGATCAAGATCATGATCATAATTGTGTGCTTTCCTCGACGCATCCAGCGCTCCTGACATTTTGCCCATAGCATCTTCGATTTTGGACTTGTTCTTCGTCACTAATTCCATGAGACGTCGCTCCGCTGGGATAATCCGTGTCTTATAGACGTTGTATAAGATACTCCACAGCTTCTCTCGAGATTCATCATTGTCGTGAACTTGAACCACAACTAGCTGAAACTGAAACAACTGCGTCCAGTTGGCTTCACTTACCTAGGCAGCTAACTACCTCTTGCGCAATCTTGAAAGACTGCGAGGGCTTGTTCCTTGGGGATGGATTCATATCAATGACCCAGATGAATATGTTTTTGTTCTGTTCATTCATGTGCATCGATGCGATGCTTGCGTTATCGCTCGCCAGCCTGCTTGAAAGAAGCATGGCAAGCAGTTCCAAGGATCTCAGTGCGATGTTTCTCGCCGACTTGGTGTATGGTTGGGGCTGACTTTGCATGTCGTCGACCATTCGGAGCAGCAGTCGGTTGTAGCCCGATATGGGAACAGTAAAGAGGCAATTGTGTCTCCTAGCTTCCTGATCTGCAGCTGCATGGAAGCGATCAAGTCGTGTAGGACGAGACATGGCTGTGTAGTTGCAATGATCTATCCCCAGATCTGCGCGTGAAGAGGTGATGACTGCAAGGGATTTCTGCATCAGTGGTTAGCATACGTCTCAATCCGCATACGGATGCCCAGCACAGCATGTGACGCCATAAATCGAAAGACTCACCTTCCTTTGTCTTTCTTCCGGGTATAGGCCAGGTACCGGGGCTATAAGAACCCGGTGGAGGTGGGGCTCAACCAGCGTTATCCTTTTGGGTCGATGATTAGCACTTTCGTACGCAACCACACTGCCGCAATGCCGTTGGTATTCTTTGTGCAAATGAAGCTAGTCCTTCACAAAAATCTGTGGAGATGGGGCAAGCATCGATTGCCAGACACGGATTGGGGGAGTGGTGGTAGAGAAGAGGAGGAGGAGGAGGAGGAGGAGAAGGCAAGTGGTGGACGAGGGAGAGTTAAATAGACAGCCGACGGGAGGGCATTGGACGAGCAGATAAGTAAGAGAGGGGTTCAAGCGATCTGATTGACGCCTGTCAGTGGCGAATGTGCCTAGGGAACTAGTGATAAGGATCTTGTATCTCTCATTAACAGAGGTGCGGAGAGGAGCGGTGAAAGTCAGTTGGGGAAGGCAGGTGTAACACAAAATCGTCACTTGGAGCAGGTGCGTTGCGGAGTGTTGATATAGCGTAAGAGATTAGCTGCCCGTATCGGCGGGTAATTGACTGATGGACACACTGTTTACTGTCTTGATGTACGCGCCTTTGATGTCTCTCGCTGTACCGCTGTGTGCAACCTATTCATCTAACCAAGGGCACATGATTGTTTCTGACTTGTCAGGGTATTGCATCATGCAGCATAGCGGGATGGTTATTTCAAAGTGGTATGTCTGCCTGGACACCATTGAATTCAAGATGAAATTTTTTAGTTATTGCTCGTTTTTTTGGTCTATGTATTGTTGTAATCCCAAAATCCAAATCCAAATTAATAATAATTCAAGATGTAGCCCCCCCGAGTCAAGAGTATAACAACAGAAGTATATGATTATGGTATAGTACATGGACATTTTGATGAGCAAGAAGCAAAGGGACAGACAGTCGGGTTCAGTAAATTTTATACATTGTGAAAGGGGTAGTATGAACATGACCTCTGATGATAAATCAACGGTGCATGATTGAGATAAACATTTACGTCGAATGAGATTGCCCCCCATTCTTCAACCGGGAAACCCAAAAACTTCGGCTGAGCTCGAAATACTGATCCTCGTCCCCGCAATCGCTACGAATATACAGAACAAATCCACGACGAGCAATGCCGCGCCGCCGACCATGAATCGAGGGCTAAAGATTCTGTAAAGCATCAAATGTCTCCTCAAATGGCCAGCCCACATCGTCGTCGCCAGGTTGATCGTGGCGTAGAAGAGCAGGTGGGTACCTACGGCCTTGGCGACGTCTCCTAACAATCCCTTCTTCTTGGGCGGCTGTTTCCACAGCACAAGTGCGGGGACGGCAACGGCACAGAGTATCTGAGCGCCAAAGTGGTTAAGGATGACAAGAAGTGGTGACCATGGATAGCGAATAGTACGAAGAGGGATGAACGCCGTTTCCCATTGGATACTTGCCAAAGTCGCTTGGTGGCCGGTCTTGAAGAAATGAAACGAGCCCAATAATCCCAGAATGACCGGACCGATAGGGCTGTCGGAGAGTTTATTGGTATCGATGATCTCAAAGAGTGAAAATATCTGCCACATTGCTAACGCAAGCGCGCCTGCTCCCATCGGCTTCTGCACGAGTGCAATGGCCAGGTACCAAACGGTGATCAGGAGGGCGTATCGAGACCCATGCACATTGGCATACCCAAGAATAGTGATAGATGTGCGCCCATTGTTAGTGGCGACGTTAGAGGTGCTGGTTGCAGCTCGATTCTCTATCTCCAAAAGAGGTTTTGACCAAATGAATGTGGAGTAACCGAATCCGAGGGAAATGGCGAAAGTGATTATAGCAACAACGATCTTGGATGTTTTCAACGTTTCACCCAGCCAGGGGTACCAATCACCGTCATCGGCAGCATCCATGGTCCAGAAAGCAGCGCTTAAAAGTAGGCCAAAGCGAAGGGCCAAGTTCAGCCACATGATTGCAGATCCTTGGTATGATCGTGTGCCTTCGTAGTAACCTCGTATAAAAACAGGTATAAGGAGTGCAACCACGTACGGTATGGCCAGTTGCCATGTGGCAGAAGTGGAAGAATTGGCTGAGGCATAGTACGTAGACTTGCAGTACGGCATCTGCTCCTCCCTACACAGACGAGATAGAGAAGCCATCCGGGTTAAGATGATGAACAGAATCGAGTGATAGCAACCCAATGCTCGATCGGCAATGGCCTTTTGCCGAAAGGACGAAAGGGCTGCAACCACACCAAATGTACAAAGGAAATAAAGGAGGATCTCATCTTCCCAGATGGTGAACGAGTTTGCAGCAAAACCAATGGATAGAAGAAGAGTAAAGCCGACACTCATCCAGCCCCAGATGGTCGTAGGAAATGGTAAGAAAAGCCTACTTCTGATGCGCCAGAATGCAGATGAGACGCCCGTCATACCCCCAACTACTGCTGCACAGATAAGCACGTGCTCTTTCGCAAAGGAGGTAAGAGCGAAGGTAGCCCCGAAGCCTACAAGAACGCCAATGATTGTGCCCATTCCTCCGTGGATGAGCAATGCCGGGGTTAGCTCTGTTTGATCACCCGCCGTGCCTCGAGAGTAGATGGCAAGGACTACAAGCGTAGACAACAGTATCATAACACCATTGAGCATTCTGGGGACATCAAAGCGGGCCCAGAGCCCACGACAGATACTGAGCGTCTCTTGTTGGTAGGCCGAGAAAGCGGAGTAGACTGACTGAAAATGGCCTTGGTGAGCTGTAGTGTTGGCCATATCCCAGGCAGCATGCGCAGCAGTCCAGAGTGCAAGAGAACTCATCCGAGTGCTCTCCTCGATGCCGCGCGCCAGAGCATACTCGTGCTGATAGCGATGTATTTGGGCAGCCGTCAGGCGATTGACAATTGCAAGATTTTGATAATCATCGCCGCTTGCGCCAATGAAAGCTTCTTCGATAGGTTTACCGAGGTTGTTGAAGGGGATGGGCATTCCAAGTAGAAGAGATAATGTAGGGACAAGATCGATCTGTGCGACTGGCCTCTCCTTTGCGGTAGCCGGAGGATGTATGTAGTCTGAAGAGCTTCGTCCAAACGCTGGCTGCTTAGTATACATCCACAGCGCAGCTTGAATCTCGTCGTCTGATTCACCGCCATGATCTCCTTTTGCATCCATACCATGATCTCCCATAACGACAAGAAGGGTGTTGTCATCCAGTGCCTCAATCATCTGGCGAATGACACCATCCATCTGACTGAGCTTCGCGTTCATAGCAGGGTGATCGGGTCCATAGCGATGTCCTGCATGATCAACCCCAAGGTAGTGGCCAATGACCACATCCCACTTGCTCGTGTTTGAGGGATGCATGAGGGGGAAAACATGCTCGGTGACACCATTGTCGACGGTATGTAAATCCCACACATTGAATGAGTCGTAGGGTCTCGTAAGGTTTGGTTCAAAATACCCAGGGAAGAGCGCATGCCAGGTGTCATCTCCGATATGAACGATTCTTTTGCTGGCATTCTTCAGCTGCGCCACTAGATTGTCCTCTTCAATAGCGGTGCCTGCAAAATTCGATCCAGCATCGATAAATGTAGGCAATGTCCCCGTTGTAAGACCCTTGAGTCGCTGCAATGTGGTCGTAGGAGGGTCTGCGATGAAAGGGAGAAGGAAGGCATTGTTGGGTTGATTGACCGCTGTCTCGTACAGCACCGGGATAGCGTTATGAAATTGATGTGCTGTTTCGTCGGCCCCATCGGCGGGAAAGGGAATGGTGAAATCGTAACGAAGGGCATCGACTAATATTACAATGGCTTTGTCAAACGTTTTTGGATGCCAGCATCCTGGTTCGGAGGAGCCCGAAATATATGAGAGGGGGCTATCGATGGGCGGTGATGCGCATTCAGACTTGTGGTCCAACACCAGTCGCGTAAGAAGGAAACCGCTGGTGAAAAGATAGATGCCCAGAATGTGTAGTATTCTGTGATTGATTAGCGGTCGCTTTGCTTACGAGTAAGTCGGGAAGACCATACAGTATCCAAGTAAAGAAAGCTATTACGATGCCATGCGCAGCTTTAAAATGCACTTCGCCAGCTCTATTGGCTTCTTCCCCTGCATCTGCCGATGTTGACTTCAAGGCCTGGGCTTCTTGCTTCTCCTTTTCGACCTTGGCTTTGGCATATGCGGCTGAGATGCCCTTAAATGACGGCTGGGGTTCGCCATGATCCATTTGAACAGTTGTTTTTCAAGCTCGTAGCTCCATTGACGGGGTTGAGACGAATCTCAAAAACAATTGCGTTACGTCGGAAGCCCGCTCGGTGGTTTCGGATCGGTAGAAAGTTGTTCCGTAGTCAACGATGATTGGTGCATCGTAAACATCTAACGTTCAAGCTGCAGCTCAAGGGACATCCTTGCCCTGAAATAGCGATCATCTGACGAATGGGTCCTCATTACAATGAACGCGTCAGTCGGTCTAGATGCCGATAGCCAATAGTGTGCTTGGGGCAAGAATTTGCAGTGCATGATGATCTTTGAAGGCCTGATTTTTCTTGTGCAAGTTGGTTGTCATTGAAGAAGTATATACTCCCTTGGTGTTCGCTGACACGCGCGGCAGGGCATATCATACATTAGAAAATAAAAGCTATGTAAAGGTCATAACCTTTGCAGAAAAGTGGCCGAGATGACAAAAGATGTCATGATTAAGTAGCCAAACGATTCCGAGAAATATACAAGGTGCAAAAGGCCACGGCCCGAGCTACAGACAAGCATCAGGCTAGAAGGGTATCCAAAATGACGAACCGCTCAAAAAGCCTTCATCAATATATCAAGGTCGTAGCCAAATGGCTTGTGCAGGTTGGGTATTAGAGTTATTGAGTCGATGCGAGTGGCCCGGATTTACGACATCTCGAGCGATCAAGATCAAGAGCGGAGGGGTCTCGAGAACTAGCAGTACTGGTCCTTGCTGTTCTTTTCCTTTAGCCCGCCGATACGGTCGAGGTCAAGCGAGTCGAATCGATCTGATGAATCGCGTTGGTAGGGTGGAAGTTCCTCCTGCAAAGGCTCCAAACCCACGCTATGCTCCCCGACTTTGACAACAACGACACGACCCGATTGGCGTTTTCCACTCTCGTCCACCTCGTCGGGGAAAGTGATGCGGATCTCCGGAACCGGGCTGGCTGGAGGGCTTGATGAGTTGGCGACCAGATCTTGCTTTTCCTGGTAGACGACTATGGACTCGCGACCCTTGCCAAATGGTGCGGCGGTGATGGTCAATCGGCGGTGACCGGATTTTCTCTTCTCGTACAAAGGAAGCTTTGGCTCACTCTCCTTGTTGGCCTTGCGCATCCTCCTCAAAAATAGCAGCGCGACAACCGATACCATTGCCAAGATCAAAAGCACGACAAGGGACACTACGAGGCCAATTGTGGTTGAAGCGTCGAGACCACCCTTCTTCTCATCGCGCACAACCAGGACGTGAATGGAGTTGAGCATGTTGGCAGTGTTTGTGGAAGTGAATGGTGAGTTTGTTTGTTTGTTTGCTTGCTTGCGTATGTGTGACGGCAGGTAGATGGATGGTTGATTCGTTATACGTCGTGTAACTTGGTGAACAGATGAGATGGCCTGGTGATGTGATTAAGGAACGTATTAACTGGAGGAATTGATGTTAGCATCCGGGTCGCAGGTCTGCAAGGTTGGCGTGGAGGGTCTTGGCGGAATGCGTGATGGGGAAGCAACGCACTTTAATCTGTTGGGGAGCGTCGTAACGGGAATGTTGCGCAATGAATGGATGCAAGTATCGCTGAAGGAGTGAAGCGATACTGCTAAGTGAGGGACGGGGCGTGAGGGAGGAGGGAGAGACTTTGGGCGCAGCAGGGTGAGGAAGAGAGAAGGAAGAGAAAAGACGAAGGAAGGCCGGCCGGAGAGGAGGTCTTGAGTCTTGCTCCCAGTCCGGCGAGGCGCTTCTAGGTCTCTGGGGGATGGTGAAGCTCAGGCCTCAGCGGATAAGGATCATAAGATTGAGGTCCAGCTCGAGGCCAATCAGCGAGCGCGACCCCTGGCCCGATCAACCGAGCCCAGGCCGGATTTGGCGAGGGCAATAAACAAAACTGTGATGAACCACTTGGACCTGTGGACGAAGCGCCCCACACGAGGGGGGATAATCACGATAACAATAAAGCAGCCATGCACTGTGCAGCAGCACACCGTCATCAGCATCCGGTGGTGGATGGCGCCTATATATGCAAGTAGAGAAGAAGACATGCAAAGAAAGACTGCGGCTGCGGCGACGGCGACGGATGGAACGCCTGCTCCACGGCCAAGGCGGTAGTTTGGCAGCGGATTTGGCGTGGGCGGCCACAAAGTCGCGTGCCGAGCAGGCACTCATCTCAACTGGGAAGTTGCGGGAACATGGCGCAGGGGGCGCGAGAAAAAGGGGAGGGATGACGAGGGCGCGAGCAAGTAACAGGCGATAATAATGGCAATACTATGACACCAGCCGACGATATTGGACACAACAATGACGAAAAGTTTTCTCACAGCCCTCAGCAACAGCAGCAGCAGCGGCGGCAACAAAACAACAAAACAACATGGCAAACCCGCACCAGCCTCTGGCTTCCTTGCGTCCTTGCTTGCCTGCTCGGGCAACCACCGTGGCCACCAGGTCCTACCCAGTACGCCTCCCACCTCTGGCATCACGAACTCATCACGGCTCCTGGCTGTCAAGTTACAACTATCTATAGCCATCTGCCTATTCCCATGTGCCCCAGCCGTCGCTGGCGAGACATGCCGTGCTTTAGTTTTGCTCTGCAACCGACCACTTTTAGTTCCCCCCCATCACAAGTGACAGCAAGTTACAGCGAGTTACAGCAAGTCAGCAACGTGGCGCCTGAAACGAACGCTGTGGGTGCAGAAGTCGCAGCGCAAAACGGCTTCTCCAGGTCCCGTTCGAATCCAACGGCCCTGCAGCCAGCCCCGCGTGAGCCATGTCTGCATTCTCCAGCTCCAGCACCAGTAGCCGTCTGCATCTTGCCTTTGGCTGCCACCTACTCAGTGTGTACATACGTATGTATGCATCTGAGCAAACACTAGTCGCTCTCCGTGGCTCGGACTTGGAGCGATGGGGAGAGGATGAGCCCACGCTAGAAATTCCCCGTGCCTATTTTTGATGTGCAACAACAAGTAGGCCAAGTAGTCTCCCGTCATCAACGAGCGGACTGCCACAATACCACGGCTGTGAAGCTATCCATCAGATACATGTGCTGAACCGTACGGCGGCACGGCAGGCGGGTACTGGAGTAGTAGGTACTTGGGCATTCTATTTTTGAACCCACAGAAACAGCCAACACCATTCGAAGTTGTGAAAGGCAAATGGCTGAGTGTGTACCCGAGTACATAGATAGTTACATACTTACTCAAGCATGCCATTTTGACCACTATGATGCAAGATAATAATAACAACAACATCATATTCACCATTTCGTGAACGTTGCGAGAGGCAAGCTTTTCCCGTGTCCCTGGGCCCCCGAGGCTCCGGTGTTGCAGGCCTTGAGACGGCGCGATGCTGCATCGAAACCCCCCAGAATCACGGATGCGATTTCTTCCATGGGGGACACATGTCTTGCCAAGACGCAGCATTCGTAATGCGTGACAGTCTCCTCTCACAACGTTCCATCATCTTGCAGAGCCCCCCCATCTACAATACTGGATCAAGGAGAGCCGCCTCCGAAGACGTACCCGAACAGGGCCGCGGTGCAGCCAATGGCGACGCAGAGCCATCGTGGGCTTGTCGTGCTACGGCTGAGTCCAACAGGCAAGGGAAAGGCGGTGTACAGATGCAGGAATCTCTCAGAGATCGCCCCGTGAGAGCGCGACACAGAGCAGACTTGCGAGGTGGTGTGTGGAGAAAGGCGATCAAAGTTCCGATATGGCTGCTGTTGTTTCCGGCGCCAGCGCATCATTATCATCATCATCATCATCATCATCATCACCACTACCACCACTCGAGCAAAAGCCAAATCCCATGGATCCTCGCCAACACACACAGGCGTGCACAATGCCATGTATCGATCAATCATGGGAACTGCTACCTGTACATGTATTTGTGCGAATGTACATGTGCTGTGTCTCTTGCGTGCAAGGTAGTGACACCGGAATTCACCCCATTTGGTGAGCAGACGAACGTAGGTAGATTTGTTAAAATTCCGAGGGGGGACGTGCGTTCAGGGCAAAAAAGCAACTCTGAACTCAATAGACACTCGGACGCATCCAATTGCACTTGTTGGTACAGCTGGAGCACATTGAGCCAGATAATCGACTGCATTGGTAGGCTGCCTGTCCAAACCCTGAAGGGTCCAACGCACCGTACATGCAAGCACTAGGTGCTCGGATACACAGTTGTGCGCTCGACTCGGTGAAGTGCCTAGGTAGATGGTAAGAATGTGAGGATGAGAGCGAGCCACGACTACGCGCAGAGCGAGGGAAAAGACGAAGGCAGATACAAGAAAAGGAAAAGAAAAGGGAACCCAAGGGCGGTCGAGAACAGACAGGACGCCCCAGGTTAAGTTGGCAGGGCTCCTGGTGTGAAACGCATCAGTCAACCCATGTCCTTCATCTAAAAAGGCCATGCGAGGGCATGGGCGTGTCTCACGCTTCACCCTCGGCGTCGTGATCGTCTCCATGATTGATTGCATCGTCGCAAGCAGCACACAGACAGCCTCCTCGCTGGGCTTGGCGTACATATGCGCACACAGGCAGAGGGGCAGGTCGAGGGCAGGAGTCAGCAGCCAGTCCATCTGGACTTGATCCGACCGAGGGCTGCCGTGTAGAAGAAGCGTCCCAGAGATGCTTGTGTGAGGCTGGCTGAATGCTTGAAGCCTTGGGTGTCAGCAACACCAGCACCACCAAGCCAGCGAGCAGCGGAGAGGGCCCCAGCGGTGCCAGGCCCGGCCAGGCAAAGTTGGAGACGGGAACTAAAATCCGTAGGCGAGCCCAAGGCTGGCTAGCGACGATCCGGGTGGTTCATCTGGCTGCTCTTTTCGCCGTGCTGCCCTGCTGCTGCCTGTACCAACTTAAACGTCCCTACTGACTAGCAGGTACATACATAACATCCATCCCTCTACACGCCTAGCGGAGCGGTGCGCCTGGATTGGTACCAAGCTGCACCTTGGCCATCCTTCTATTGTACATCTTCTCTCCCACCTCCACCTCCCACACCACCACCGACCATCCCTCTTCCCTCCAGTCTGTTGCGCTTCCACTCTTCTCCGCGACCAATCCCCCCGCGCCCGTTTGCTTTCCTCCCCGTCCTATTTCTCCTCCGGCCTCCGGCCTGGCTCTCTGCCGTTTTTCTGCTACACGCCCTCTCGCCCGCCATCGCTCCACAACCCACGTCCATTCCATACCTCGCACGCATACACAATTACATATTCAGCTGCTGTCCGGCGCCCTTGCGTCCGTCGCCCGCTGCCGCCTGGTCCAAACAATTGCACCCTCATGCGTTCCCTGCCCGGCGCGCAACATCACTGCTTCGAGAGTGGTTAGAGGGAGCCTGTTGACCTTGCACGAACCCAAAGGGACGAGCGTCTGCCCTACCTACATATCTTCTTTCCTTCTCTCCCTCGCGGCCCCCGCTGGCCTCCTCCCTTCGCTCGCCCATCCCGACTCGAGTGCTCTGCCGCTCTGCTGCTGTACCATAGGCTTTCGTCACATTCATAAGCCATCCACATACATATATTCTCGCATTTCTCCCCATTTGCTTGCTTCGAGTACGCTTCTTCCACCGCCCGCATGTCCTGTCCTGCCCTGCATATGCTGACGCCTAGACCTAGCCTGCCCACAATCTTTGACCTGACAGCAATAAGCAACCCCTCCCTGCCTACGCTCTCAAAAAATCATCCCGCCGCATTTCGCTGCCTTGGCTTGCCTGCTGTACCATCTCATCGTCTATGGAATTCGCATCAGGCATGGTCGGACGCAACATGAATTCAGCGAACAACACCGTACGTACCATGATTCCTGGTCGCAACCTACCCCAGACTGATTGATAGTTCCAGATCCGAACGCGTGATTACACGGGTGGTGTTTCGCTCAACGCTGCTGATAATGACCGCACTCCTTCTCTGCCTTGGGGCGGGAGCATATGGAATTCAAATGCTATTGGTGCTAATTTTGGCACCTCTACGAGAGATACCTCACGTCCTCGCGGTATGCCGTCTCCCCTCGCCTGGGCATATATGTCTGCATATACATGTACAATCAAAGCTGACATTGCACAGAGAACGGCGCCTTTGATGACCAAATCGAGGGAAAGACTGGTTCTGGGTCCCTCGTTGCATCTTCCGAGTCCGACCACTGGAACCCCAATCGTTCCCGATGGCGCGATAATACTCCCGCCATACCTCATGTGCGTAGCTCGGGTGTCTCTCCTGCCCGCAAGAGTTCCATAATACAGCCCGAGCCGCCTCAGCAGTTCGCCGACGGTACGTCTTCGAGCTTTTTCCCAGTCTCAAGATCATCCGTGGCAGGCTTGCCGCTCTCGAAACCATTGCTTGATCCGACAACTTCAAACTTCACGTCAACCAATTTCGCGTCGACTCGCCGAGCCGACCCGCTCGCAGCCAATACTTTCGCCAATTTCGCGTTTACGCAAAATGATGTAGCTTCTCGGCAAGATACTTCGGCCCTATCGTGGCACGACGCTGCCTCGGTACACTCTCCTACCGATGACAGGCGTAGTGTGGAGTACTTTGGCTCCACGAGTGCATCAGCTTCGCGGAGCGGGAGTTTGCCACCCTCGCGCCACGGCAACGAACCCATTCAATTCGGCCAGAATGCAGATGCATTCGCGAGGTATGCGCAGCCTGGACAGCGACAGCATGCTTCATTCTCTGTTGGCAATGGCCGCGCCTACCCTGAACGCAGTGGGTCCATTCAAAGTGATAGCTTACAGATGCTCTCAAGGTACAGTCTAGAGAATGATGTGGAAACTGCACCAATGTCACACAGGCCCTCCATAAGCACAAACAATGGTCTTGCGTCGACTTTCAGCCCTTCCATGAATGGCACAATGCTAGCTCACGAAACCTACTCCGACCAACAACCCCTAAGTCGACCCGATGAGGTTGGCTACGGAAATGGGGGCACATTTACGCACAACAGCTCATCCTTTGGTCAAACCAGTGACACGGGTTTCCCGTTTCGACCTATCAATTTCGATGCACACAGTCGCAGTGCACCAAATGGTACTGGCGTCCGCCAAAGTCCTTACTATTCCAGCACTCACACCCCTGCTTTTGATCATTTGAACCCTGAGCAAACTCTTGCCCAACAGACCCTCGCGAACCGCAACAACCTGGCAGTTGTACAAAACAAGCTACAAGGTTTTCAGCAGTTTCAGCAAGAGCGACGCAATGTCTTCAACCACAACCAAATCCACCCATCTCAATTCCACCAATACATGGCTGCACATCAATTGCAGAACGCATATCCTCTCCGTTTCCCCATGCCCAATGCCATGCAAATGCCCCATCTACCTCCGACTATGATGCAGGCCGTTCCTGGTATGGCTCCACTCGAGGCCCCCACTGGTCCACGGAACAATTCTGTTCCATCCGATGTCACCGTTATGAGTGAGAAGCTAGTGTATTTCCGAAACTGTACAAAGAACAACCGCCGAATCGAGCTAAAGGAGATCTTCGGCTTCATTGTCGAGTTCAGCGGAGACCAGCACGGGTCTCGTTTCATCCAGAACAGATTGGAGCTTGCGAATAGTGACGAGAAAGACAAGGTTTTCAAAGAGATTCAGGAAAACAGTTTGCAGCTAATGCAGGATGTTTTTGGTAATTATGTCATCCAGAAGTTCTTCGAACATGGCGATCAGACCCAAAAGAAATTCCTTGCCAATCGCATGAAGGGCCATGTACTGGAGCTTTCTTGCGGCATGTATGGTTGTCGGGTAGTCCAGAAGGTAAGAGCGGCCGTCTTTGTATCAGGATCTCTGCTAACTATTGTAGGCTCTCGAGTATGTTCTCGTTGATCAGCAAGCATCGATCGTAAAAGAACTGGAAAAGGATGTCTTGAGATGTGTCCGTGATAATAATGGAAACCATGTCATCCAGAAGGTTATAGAAAGGGTACCCATCGAGTACATCGGTAACATCATAGAGGCTTTCCGTGGTCAGGTCGGCTCTCTTGCGACCAACAGTTTCGGTTGCCGTGTGGTCCAGCGGCTGCTGGAGAAATGCCCGGAACCCAAACGACGATTTGTTTTGGCTGAGCTTCACGCCGAAGGGCCCAAACTCATCTCCGACCAATATGGCAACTATGTCACCCAACATATCCTCGAATGCGGGCTTCCAGAAGACAGCGCAAAGGTCATCACGGCCGTTCGGGCCCAGCTCTTGACATTTTCCAAACACAAATTTGCCAGCAATGTCGTCGAGAAGTGCTTGCAATACGGAACAGATGATCAAAGCCGTGACATCATGCTCACCATCATTCAAAAGAATGATCGCGGCGAGAATATGCTCCCAACGCTGATCAAAGACAGCTATGGCAACTATGTTATCCGTACGTCGTCATGGACTTGCCGTTTGTTAACATTGCTAATCGAATGCAGAGAAACTGATGGACAGACTTACTCAACCACACTACGACGAATTGGTTGAGGTTCTTAAGCCAGAGCTGGAAAAGGCCAAAAAAGCCATCTCCGGCAAACAGATACTATCGGTATGGAGACTTTCATGACTAATCGAGGCCGCGCGTTAACAAGTTATTCAGGTCGAGAAGAAACTACATCGTTTCGATCATCAACGAGTCGATAGCCCTTCCAACGAGGCAACTTCGCCGGCTGGAAACCCACCCACACCACCACTCTCGAGTGCGACACAGAGCCCTCAAAGCAGCTCGCTCCCCAGCGTCAACACCTCCGTGGACGAACCTGTACACTCATCTCATTCGGCAACCATCAAAAATTTCATTACCCCTTCGGATATGGTCAGCATTGAACAAGATGCTTCGTAGATATATGACATGACGATCGAAAGGATAGACGATACGACTCGCGCACATACTTTCACGCCCTTTTCGCTGTTTAATCTTAAGTTCATGCATGGATATGGGATTTAATTCGGGCGTTCGTTTTGTTCCGTGGGCGGGAAGCATGCTATATACCATCATTCCTATCATGTGATGGAATTCTCCTGGATTGCTCAGCTTCACGGCCCCTGTTTATAATGTTTTTTTCCCTTTCCAGGGATATTGTCAACTCAAGTTCATGGGTTAGAAGGATCCGCACGTATACAAGCCCGACGGGATATACCAGGAACGGGGCGCATTCCAAGGATTCGTTCGGCGCTGTGGCGATCCTCAGTATTGTTTCAAACATGGAGGAAGAAAAAAGAGAAGAGAAACTTATCTACATTCCGGAGTAGTGTTCATCATCGGTAGCATTGGTATATCACACTCGGGTTCGGTGTAGATGGACTTGATCGGGATCCAGTCGGGTAGACTTACTATAATCGCCCGACGAATGGATCTTTGTAGCTGTCCATCGTTTCTCTATGGAGGACAGTTTATTTCGTCGACTTACTCTTTATGGATTTCGCAATGTATATATATACATATATAGATGATATATCTTATTTCTACCTCACATGGCAGTTGCGTACCAGTTGAGAGATTCAACAACCGTTTACTCAGACTGTCAATATCAGTTCATTGAGACTCAAAACAAAGCTGACAAGGCCAGTGCAGGCTTTATGTTTAGAGAAATTCACTACAACCATAGTTCACTAGTGGCATATGCCAAGGAATCCAAACACCGCCCGGCATCTGCAGGCTTCAAAAGCTTCAAAGGTTCTAGACTGATATCCCGCTGCCAGAAGGAATCGCAACTGCCACATTGACGCAATTGTAGTTGTGAAACTCACTTACTAGGTCCTTTTTATCTGAGTTATGTGCTGCTGTGTCGAACCTCCCCATCGATGTAGCCGCCGGGAGACACGGGTCGCTTTGCTTGTTCGGCACTCTTTAGACCGAACTGGCTATCCCCGCAAAACCCAGGCCCTGCTTGGGGCTCCGCTCCGCTAGACGGTCGGCATTAGTTAGTTCGGGCCTGTCAACCATCAATCGGCTGTTTGCTGTTGGCTTCTCCATCTTTTCCCTCTTCTTCCACCCTTCCCGTGGCTCTGGTCTGAACAAGTGTATACCGACCCTCCCCTTTATTACTACCTATCAGCACTCATCATAACTCGTGATTCGAGTACCCAACCGCGAGAATGGCAAAAGTCTTCGATTATTCAGAAGGTAGGTGCGTCTCACCCCGTTCACTATAGCCGACATGCACAATTAATTCCTGGTGACACATGATTTTTGCAGTTGCGAAACACAACACAGCCGACAGCTGTTGGGTGATCTTGTATGGCAAGGTCTACGATGTGACCTCTTTCCTCGCCGAACACCCTGGAGGATCCAAGGTCATCCTTCAACTCGCCGGAACCGACGCCACAGAGGAGTACGATCCTATACACCCACCCGGAATTCTAGAAGAGAACCTATCGGCGGAGCAAATGCTCGGCAGCATTCGTCAAGAGACACTACCGTCCACCGAGAAGACACCGGTAGAGACTGGTGAGGTGGAACCAGATGGGCCGGTGGATCTGGAGACTGTGCTGAATATCGACGAGATTGAGGCTGTCGCCACCAAGCAAATCAGCAAGAAAGCGTGGGCATACTATTATTCTGCAAGTGATGACTTGACTAGCAAAAGTTTCAACAATGCGGTGTACAGGAAGATCTTGCTGCGACCGCGCGTCTTTGTCGATTGCACAAATTGCGATACGTCCACCACGTTCCTTGGCCACAAGGTCAAGATGCCCATATACGTTTCGCCAGCAGCAATGGCGCGTCTGGCGCACGCGGATGGCGAACACGGGATCGCGCAAGCGTGCGAGAAATTTGGTGCCATGCAACTGATTAGTCAAAATGCCAGCATGACGCCCGAGCAGATTGTGGCGGATGCGAAGGAAGATCAAGTGTTCGGCTGGCAGCTGTATGTGCAGAACGAACGAGCCAAGAGCGAAGCTATGCTCGAGCGGATCAACAAGCTTTTCCAGGTTAAATTCATCTGCCTCACACTGGATGCGCCGGTGCCAGGCAAAAGAGAAGACGACGAGAGGAGCAAAAATATCGGATCCAACCTTCCTGTACGAGCAGCGGTCCAGGAAGATGCAAGTGTTAGCAAAACGACGAGCAATTCCAAGACGCCCAGCCCCCCGAAGTCAATGGGCGTGGGACAGTCGCTTTTCTGGGGCACTGCGGCGGACCTCACGTGGCGCACCACGCTTCCCTGGCTCGCGGCTCACACTTCACTTCCGATTGTGCTCAAGGGCATACAGACGCACGAAGATGCTTATCTTGCTTCCCTTCACGCTCCACAGGTCAAGGCCATCATCCTTTCCAACCACGGAGGGAGGGCTTTGGACACGGCACCGCCAGCGGTGCACACATTGTTGGAGATTAGACGATACTGCCCAGAGGTATTTGACAAGATTGAAGTGTGGGTTGATGGAGGGATCAAGAGGGGCACCGATGTGGTGAAGGCACTGGCATTGGGGGCAAGAGGTGTGGGAGTGGGCAGGGCGGCCTTGTTTGGGTTGGGGGCTGGTGGAAAAGAGGGCGTGGAGAGGGTGCTTGAAATACTGAAGGCTGAGACGGAGACGTGCATGCGGCTTCTGGGAGTGGAGAAGGTGGATCAATTGGGCTTGCAACATGTAAGTGATGTGCAATGGACGTCTGTTACCGTGATGAAACCAAGAGACACTGACGATGGACTGCAGATCAATACCCGAGCAGTGGAGAGAGATATATACGATGGACCTGCAGCGTTGGAGCGACCGAGCCTGAGTTCTCGAATTCTTGCAAAGCTGTGATATGGCAGACGTAGATAGAAAACAATGCGATAAACGGGGGCAGCGCGGATAGCGACGAAGCCAGGCACGATCCCCCCTGGTCCATGTGCATGGGGAGGTAAAGTCTTCAAGTCACTGTGCAATGACGTGCCATACTGCTCTTGCTATCTCCTTGGGCGAAGGTGAGCTTACGACGCAGCAAGCAAAATCATCCCACTGATGAACAGGCAATATAGCCAAGGAAGGCGAGCAGCAGCAGGCCGACGGTGGGGGGGAACATGATCACGCGGTGCTGCATGGCAATATACATCAAAGCCAGTGTGGATGCATGCATGGATTTTGGCATCCCAATGGGGGTCGGCACATGGGACACGGAGAGTGCATATCAAGCGTCTTGTTCCATGTAGGTGCTTGTATGCAGACTCGTATATGCAAAAAGGGCACGTGAAGGTCACACACAATCAATCAATATATGTACATGTTTGTACATGTGTATGCAGTCGATGACGGCGTGGGAGATGGGGCGAGTGCCGAGAAGTGACAGAGCACTGCGGCGTACATTGAGCAGCCATGCATCGGAGGGCTGACGTTGAGCGGATTCCCATGGCCACACACACACAGGGACCATTTGCAAGACAAGACAGCCCCCCCCGGAGGCTTCCAGAAAGGCCTGTGACGGACAGAATCAGCCACCCAACCAAACCTCAGCCCTACCCACCATCTCGGGCTCCAGCACCAACGCTCCTGCAGCTGCCACGTGTGTGCTTGCCCCATCAGGTAGCCGTCTACGTACGCCATCAGGCCACGGCCAGCAAGCACGTGAGACGGAACACATGTACACCTGGGCATGTACATGTACCCAGACCTGTATACACACACGCACATTGCATTACATTACGCTGAGCACATATACACATATACACGCATACGTACGTGTATACGGGCCTGTGGCTACTGTCCATAGAGACCCAGGCTGTCGTCGTTGTCGCTACACCCGTGTCTCCCCCGCCAGTCCGTCGAGCGCGTGTCACCGAGGGCTGCTGCTACTGGGTGGATGAGAGACATTCAGGCCCATGCACTTGGCTATGTAGCAGTGTACATAGTATATCGTGTTGTGTCTGCTGCGACCAACTCGATCCGACGAGGCGCAGCCGGCGCAGCCGGCGCAGAGGCAAGAAGCGAAAGCCAAGGCCATGTACCGACTGTATCGACTGTACGCTATACGCTGTCCGTCACCCTCATCATCCTCGAGTCCTGCCCTCTCTGTCCTCGCTAATCGATGGATTCGTTAGATAAGCGCGCTAAAAGGAATGCGTCCGAGAATCTAACTACGGACGTGATCGCTCCGGAACCAGGCACCGCTATCGTCTGTACTTAGCTATCCCATGTATCCCATGCTACCACCATGTATAACACAACACAACCATGCCTGCCATGTCCCCCCCCGTCGTGTCTGCACTGCCCTATCTCCCGGTTACCCCATTCGCCATCACCCAGGTGCGCTGCTACATGTTTTATATTGTACAACAACCCCTCACCCCCTCCCACGGGATGACGGTAATCATGATGATGATGATGATGCTCGCCTTCCCAGCTCGACTCAGCTCCCAGCTTTACAATCCCCAAGCCATGCCGGCACTCGTCCATCTCCACTTCTTCTCACTCTCCCTCTCCTCTCGCTCTCGTGTGTCTGTGTGTGCAACGGTTGGGCGGCATTGGCACTAGCACTGGCTAATTTCCGTGTCTTTCTCGGATCGTGAAGAGTCCAAGTCGACCTAAGCTGTTCTGGTGAAGGAAGCATCACAAAAGCACAAAAGTTTGCCCGGTGGTGGAACCAGAAACGACAAACAGAGCGCTGCCTTGCTTCGTTCCGTAGCTGTGGCTATGCTCCTGGGGGCTGTCCGGTTGGTCTCCTGCGCTTGCTTCACGGAACGGCGCGTGGGTGCCCTGGGTGCCCTTGGATGATTGATACGAGTCCTCCCTTGGTAGCGAAACAAGCTGTTTGGCCCAGCCGATTCGCCGTTGCCCTCATCTCCTCTTACCTTGCCCTGCCCTACCAGACCATACCGTACCTTCCTGCTGCTGCTGCTGCTGGCCTGACCTTTTCCTTCCCTCTCTCTTTCTCTCGTTGGTATCTGCTTCCTTCCCTCATGGACAGCCTTTGATAAGACGTCACTCTTTCCCTCCTCACTCCACCTTCCTTTTTTTTTCCACAGTCCATCTTCTTCCATCAACTCCTCCTCCTCTACTATTGCTCTCTTCACACTTCTCCTTCATACCTTCTTTCCCATATCACGCTCTACCTTGTCTGCATTTCTTCACCACTTGATTTACATACGCCCACTATCCCTTCCAAGCTTGTCTTGTTTACTTCTCACCTATACTCTATCGCCTGATCCCTTCACGCTTCCTCATCCAATTCACCTACCCATCTCTACCGAAAATGCAGTGCCCCAACTGTCAAGGGAATGGCACCGTCAAGTGCGACAGCTGCTACGGATCAGGCTGCGGCGACTGCAAGAAGTCGGGCAGAATAACATGCCATGTGTGTGAGTACTTTCTGGAATCCCAACTGCACAGAGAGGCCTCAAGCGGGGGTTCTCTCGTGGCCCATGGTCGTGCAATGGAAATACGGATATGCTTTGATTGGACTGTTTGACTGACTTCGGCTATCCGATGCATCAGGTGAAGGCACCGGCGACATCAATCACGATTGAATTCTGCGGCTTTCCCGCTGCAGCCGGGTACGAACTCACTGCTATACCTGGCCCAAATAGGAATCCGGGGAACGTTGGCTGATTGGGCAGGGATCCCTAGGTATGCGCCCTCCCTTACTCTTACCCAAAGTACTGTACATACGACAGAGCATTGGTTGCCTTGTTACTTCTCCTTCGTCACTGCCAACTCCAATGGGGTGATTCACCATGTTCAACCAGGACCTTCCCCGCTGACAGCTAGCTCCCTATAGATGTTGCATTTGTTTCTCCCTTTTCCTTGTCTTCTCCCCATTCCCGTATATACCCAATCATTCGTTCTTCACCCGGCCGACCCGTGTTCATCAGCCAAGCAAGCACTGTGCAGTCGTTGATGCGCCAGGCAGCAGCCCCCTTCATCGCCGTAATCCGCGGCATATATCATCTTATAGAATTTGTACTCAATTATCACTATGTATACCATGTTTTAAAAAAAACCAATTTCCGAACCTCGAGAACCGAATGAGTGTCCATTTAATCATGCCCGTTCGTCCATATTTGAACGCCGTCCTACTCCCCGGTTGAATTGACCCCATTGGATGGTGCTTGAGATGATGTTTCGTTGTAGGACCACGATTGGACTGGGATTTTGTGGGCATGGGGGGGGGGGGGGGGGGGGGAGGGGTGTTGCAGGTTGCTATATGTATGCGGAGTTATCAGACCTTGTCATGGGATGGGGCCACTCATTTCCGTTTCCATTCTTCCTTTCTGTGTGCCTTCGGGGGATCTACGTATGACGTGGTTGTAGGGATCGGCGGCTGGGATGTCCTTCTGCCAACGGTCCCAACGTCGCACTCTGTTTGGCCCGCTGGGAGAGATTGTGTATTTCGTTTGCTCTTATTGCTATTGATGCGATTGGACCCTACTCTTATTGGAGACGAACTGTCCATTCCCTCCTTTACTTGGCTCGTTCCCTTTTTCCTTTCTTCTCCATTCCAGCTGAACCCTTTTTTTTATTGGAAAACCTCTTGTTGGAATATGTGTAGCGAAGTGAGACATGGACATGGTATCGTATCATATCGTATCCACACCCTGGAACTCCTACTCACTAGCGCCCTTGTCTCTCTCGTGTCATCCACTCCCAACTTCATACACTCGCTGTGCTGTGTGTTTGGGGTAGACGACCAATGTCTCTCCCTTCTCGCTCTTATCTTCGCTTCTTACTATCCCCCCTTCTGCTGTCCCAATCTCCAATGTCTCAAACCCGCACTCAATCTTGAGCCCGTGCGCAAACCTCATCTTCTCTTTCCCACTTGCATCATCGTCAGTCCAGAAAAAAAAGTAGTGGTGGGTCTATATTGATGCAGGATTGCAGAACCCTGGTGAGCATGTGGGATCCCATCCTTCTGAATTCCTTCCTTGCTTCCTTCATTTTTTTTTCCATTCCTTCTTATTCCTCGTGCTGCTAATCACAGTCACGGCAATTGTACCTACCTACCGCGTGCGTGCGTGCACGCACGCATATACCGCATGTGTGCATGTTGCGCTCAGTTGATTGCCTATTATTCGCGGTTGAAGCTTTCAGCTCATTACCCTCTCCCTTTCCTCGGAGGACGGCATTCGCCTACATATTTTTCTCTTTCTTTCATTCGAGATTAGAAGCAATTCTATTCCCTCATCCAATCAAATCCCGATCGACGAGCATCACTCCTGTCTTTTCCACAAAAACAAGAAAAAAAATCTCTATTCTCAGCTCGACAGGGTGTTGCATTTTCGGAAACAAGACGGAAGGAATGTTTTGGTTTTGGTCGAATGCCCCCCCCCCTCTGTTCGTGTCGACGTGCCATTTCTGATTGTTCTGTCATATCCTTCCTTCCTTCCTTTCCTCTCCCTCTCTTTCTACCTGTGTCTCCTACTCATCCACAAATAAGTGAAGCACCTCGTTCAACAGTTTCTGGGCATGTAGTCAACACGTCAATGGCTCAATGATCCAGAAGCTAGGGTCACCGTTCAGGATGACAAGGCTCTGTCCCTCTCATGGACCCCACTCACTAACCGTCCGTCTGACCGATTTACTTGCATACCTACCCATCCATGCATGCATGTAGAATCCTTACCACTAGGCACAAGCGATGTAAGCATGGCAAGGGAGTATCCACCAGGGGCTTGGATGCATACATGTAACGACCAAGCAAAGCAAAGCAAGCCCAGACCAAGAATATAGGCAGCATAAGCAAGCAGAATAACCAAAAAAAAAAAGAAGGATCGGGATCGGCGATATAATCGGAAAAACCAACCATGCATGCAGTCTTTCAATCTATACACCGGAAAAGCAGAAGAAAACGAAGAAGACGAATCAGAAGCCTTGAGACGGGAAGAAAAAAAAGAAAGTGAGCAAGTAATGCAAACGGAGATCACCGCCGCCGCCGTGAAGGACTTTCCCTTCATCCGCCTTCAGCTCTTGTGTACCCTTGGGCATGCTGAAGGACTCAACGAAGGGCGGTGAGCCAGAAGCTGACACCGGAGCGCCGACAATTGGATGACGGTGACACAAGTAGGCAGGCAAACAAACGGGCATAAGACAACTCGGCGGCTCGGCGCGGCGTGCATGTGTTTGCCTTTTTTTCTCAAAACTTTTTCTTTCTTGTCCGACTTACTGTGTCCACCGGAACCGATGGGGATATTTCGCCTCACTATTCTCGTGGCTTATGCACTTTGCTATCTGGGGTTTCTTTCTATTGATTGGGGCCAGCATCGCATGCCGTCTTGGGGAGGCGTCGGCTGAGTCTAGATGTGTACGTTACGTGGTGCGATGTGGTGCGTGTGTGTGAAGGCGCAGTGGGTTATGGTCATATCTGGGGCGTCGATATCTCACCAGACGGTGGGAGGACCACTTGTTCTCCAGGTAATTTGAGTCACAGTCGGTGGCAGCATAGATCGATGATGGAGAGTCACGAATCACAAATCATATTCATCGATATTTGGGTTAGAAACGCAGGGGGAAAGAGCTTTGTGATTTTCTTCTTCTTCTCTGGAGATACCATAAGGGTAGGAATTTTGTTGTCGTGATGATGCCTAAACCGTCGAAGTCAAGACCATACTCCGTTTTAGCCATGGGTGCGTCACCAATTCGTGTGCGAGCAGCATGTAGTAATACCACATTCCACCTCCCCTATAATACCCGACTAGAAATTTATACTTTTGAAAGCATAGTTGAAAAAAGGCCCGGCGTCATCATCATCTTCGTCGACTGCCGAATCTTTGACCAGATCGCTCATAACTAGATGCGTTTCTGAACTGTGGCGTTTGAGAATATCCGGTCTAGGCGGTTTACAAGGCGTTGGCGATGAAGCTTTAAGTTCACCTGCACAAACATGTTAATACTCAACGTCTCTCGCATCTTGAACTGGTGTCATCTGGAAAGGAGTAGGGCTGGAAGAATCCAACTCCTTCACCAATCCACGGACACAGGTTCAAGATCGGGATCATGTTCGTCGCCCCAGTCCATCTTCTCCAACTCACGCCTGAAGAAATCTTGCTCATCCTCGAGCACTCCAGCCGTAGTCCCCATAGCCACCGGGTACCTCTTCAGGTTATGCCAATGCGTCAACGCTCGAAGGGCTTGTTCCAACGGAACACTCTCGTCGACCTCGGCATCCACATCGCTGCCTGCCAACCAGTCGTCTCGTAGCTCTGGTTGGCAATGTAGGTATACGGCAGTAATTACTCGCATGTTCGACGATCGCCACTTCCGCCCGCAGTAGGGAACTTGGTTCTTGAACAACTTGAGAGTGTAGAGTCGCAACTCAGGTTGTGGGACCTTTAGGCTTTTTCGCAAGAACTGCGAAGACTTGTATGACACCAGCATCAGATTGCGGTGGGCCTTGTTCTTGCACATTTTCTGCATTATGCGCAAGTAATTGATAGAAGTGAAGAAAGCGCGCCACGAGAAGTTTGTGATAGGCTCCTTTGGAAGCTCGTGAGTGGGATAACCGAGCTCATCAACTTCGGGTGGTTGCGTCACTGTTAGATGGGTTGATTGGTCGACGCCTGATTCCTGGCTCATATTTTCATCTCTCGTCATCCGAATGGGCGGCGGGACTGCATCATCTGAATCCGAACCCAGATCGACCCTTTCTTCCGATGTTTCCTGTTCCACACCAATTCTTGAATGGATTCGGCAGAAGTGAAAGAAACTGTTCGTATTAGCAAAGATTCCTTCCAGGTATGCGAGCATCATACTTGAGTTCTTCCTGTTGGCATTTGAAATTTACCACCTTCTCAATCTCTTGTAGCTGTAGAAGTTTGAGTATGAGTGGAACGTAACTCGAATCCACAAGCAGTTGCGTTATGTACTCGAATTTCAGAATGTCTACACCAAGGGGTTAATATTCATTCTGAAGCTGATCCAACAATACTTACGAGACACCTTGAACCATTTTAGCATCAAGATCAGTATGCCGGAAACTGCCTTGTCCAGAACCTCCTGCATGCGCATGGTATCCACTTCTTCATTTGTAGCCACTGTGACATTGTGTCCATTGACACCGTTTGCCTGTCCACTATGTCCGTTTTGATCCTGGAATTGAAAACCGCTTTGCAAACCGTTAGGCCCGTTAGCCTGCGTGACCAGAGCGGTCACATGTGACAGAATCGCTTTGATCAGCACAATGATTACAGACTGTAAGATGGGAAGTGATTTTTGCTTCAAGTGTGTCAGAAGAGTTGATGTTGATGGTTCCATGTGGTGTTGTACTCACATAACACACTTCCACCAAGTTCATCCTCTCTTCAATACTCCCAGGTTGTGGTGCTTGCTTCTCTTCATGGCGCTCATTAGGTTCAAGCGATAATTCACTCATGTCGGGATGTTCATCCGCATCAGACCAGCCCCTTTCGTACTTCATGAATTGGACGCGCTCATCCCATAGTTGCTTCATAGCACGTGTCGCTCGCATCCGTTTCGCGAAGAGATCTGCGGCCTCCAAGATTGAGGTAGGTATGTCAGGCCCCTCCCATTTCCGTCCAACAAGCAGATCTTGCAGGTCAGTTGAGCCTTTCCCACCAAGCTTATTGCTCGATTCATCCAGTGGCGGATAAAGAAATGGAAACATCTGATTCGTCTGGTAATTCTGCTTTTTTCCGCCTTTACCGCCAGGACCACCCGGAGATGGTGGAGGGGAAGGCGCAGGAGTTGCGATATGGACAGGCTGATGGAGAATCGAAGTATTGTTACCACTTGTATCCCCGAGTCCAGAACCAAAAACATGATTTCCGGCAGCCTTGTTTGGGTGGTTTTTAAGGGGAGGAAGGATCGAATTGTTTTCAGGTTCTAGGGGGAAGAGAGGGGGCGGAGGGTTGTAAGCAGGGTATTTGGAAAGGATCTCCTGCCGAAACAGATGGTAGTCCAAAGGTGATGCAGTTATAAGAGGTTGACCTCTCGCATCAGACGACTCAAGAGTCTGGTCCTCGAAGGACTCCTTTGCTTTTTTGACTTGCGATAGACCGCCAAATGTGACCAACATAGTTTTCCACACCAACAAACAAACCTTTGCGAGCGGCAGGTTTATACTGTCATCCCAACGCATTTTTGCAACAAGTTCCAAGAGCTGCATAAGTAGACCTGGATCCTGGAGGTTCACAATCGCTTTTCTGATGTTGAGATCATCATCATCTTTCTCCTTTACACGTGCGACCTCCAGAACAACAAACACAGCAGTCATAGCACACCACACCTCACGACGCTCAGCTTCCTTCCCATCACGGGGTACATCTGGGTTTGCTTCGACGCCACAGGCGCGTAGACATGATGAATGTAGCACGTCCACAATACTTTGCAGACCGCCTTGGTCCACCAGGAGTTGAACATTGTTCTTGATCAATTGAATTTGGTGGTGAGACGAACTGTAGGTGCTTGTTGAGTGGCCGTCACCGCTGCTTGCAGTTTCCTGGGTAGTAGCGTCCATTCCGATATCACTGGCGGGGAGGCCAGCAGTCTCATGCCAGCATCCGAGCAGGAGGTAAACCAAGGCCTCGAGTTTTTTCAGCCGTGCTACAGGACTTGACTGATTCAAAAGCCTGACAAGACTTTGCATAAAATCGTTCTGTTGTTGCTGAGTGGCATTGGACCAGTCCAGCTCGCCCTGGTTATACGTGGAGCTGTTCTCCACACCATGATATGTAGCCCACTCGTGCGCAAACGATGTATGGGACTTCAATAACATGGCTTGCTCTTCGACACTGTAAGAGAACCATTCCTCAATTTCATCTTCAAAGGACGAGGCATCTTCATAAGTAAAGGCATATGGAGTCGGTTCGACGGTAGGCAAGTCTCGAACGAGATTTTGAAGCTGTTGGAGGGACAACGAGTCGGAAGGCTGCGAGGAAGGAGGTGCAGGCGGTGCGGGAGGAGGCAGATGAAGGGGCGCAGGAGGTACACTGCTGGCTCTTGGGAGTGTCGGGCGCGAGGCGGTCGATGTCCCGGTGCCACCGGGGATGGGTTGTAGGTTCGCACCCTCGTCCAAGAGAAGCCCTTGTTGCTCGGCTGTGTCCAGTGGTAGACCTAGGTCTTCTTCGATCGGTTCGGCTTCTATTACGGGCGTTTGGGTACTGTCAAGACCCAATAACTCCGCTTCGTCGACAGCGGGGGGGACGAGGGGCGCCTCGGGCGCATTGGTGTTGTCCATAGCAGTCCGCGTGCTAATCTAGTTGGACTCGTAGAGCGGTACTGTCAATGGAGATGTAGATGCAGTGGGCATTTTTTCGTATAAATCACGGCAAGTCCATGGTCTTGCACGAGATTTCAGCGTATAGTGTATACAACGGTCACAAGCATGCGGCCGAAGTCGACTGCTCTTCCCTCTCGGAAGTGGGTGCTTGCCCGCAATGCCAAGACCTTGCAGCCAATGAGCCTCTGTTATCGTATTATACAGCAACATTTACAAGCAGAACACACAATTTTTGTATAGCATGGCATGCATGGATATCGAATTCACAAGATATGAAATCTGTCCTCGCTCATGTGGATGTCTTGACAGATGAACAGCCCGAGGAACTCCAGAACCCGCCCCTTCGCTCGAAACTAACCCGCCAGCAGCGCGCTATTGCCTCTGAACATTCGAGATTCCCCAACCCATCCTGGCTACTCCTGTCACCGAAAACAAGCAAAAAATGCAAACACTACACTGCCTCTCTAGTGGGTGTTATCGAGGAACTAGCGCAAATGTCATGAAGAAGAAGAAAGCCCACAGGGTAATGGGAATCTGCAATAAGAACAAACTCCCGCAGCATAGCCCGAGGCATCTGAACATATTGACCCCATCCCTACGAAGAGAATGTACCTCGAAAATATATCGTTTGTCAGAAAAGAAAGCTTATTGTCAGCTTGCCCAGTATCATGGTACCGCTTTGATGTGCGATATCAGATGTTCGTTGCTCCCTAGAAGCAGTCACAATGGACGATGTATACGTTGATCCCAGGCTCCTCACAGCTCCAGCTAGCCGCTTTGGTCGGAATTGTTCTCGCGCTCCTTGATCTCGTCAGGCACGATACCTGCATTCTCGCATGCACGCTTGTAAATAGCGCACTCGTCATAGGCACGTTGGCAATCCGACTTGAATTTGTCGCAAGAAGCACTCAACTCGGTGATGGCTTGCTCGGTCAGGAGTTTTTCCAGCGTCCACTTCTCGATGTTTTGTTGTTCGTTCTCTTTCAACTGCGTAATGAACTGAACCGCACGCTGCAGGATGGAACCTTTGTTCTTCTCACACCCTGGCACAATCTTGGCTAGTTCGTTGATGCCTTCGTTTATGGTCTCGCGGCGACGTCGTTCAACTAGAAGACAGCCATGTTAATTCAGTAACATTCGAAGGGCACGAGCCTCAGACTTACCCTCTTTATGGTTATCTCTGCGAACCTTGTGCCATTCTTCCGTACCAACTTGGGGCTTGTGGGTAGCACTAGAAGGAGGAGAATCGTTGGCTGAGGGTGGCACTCCGCGACTTGACGACGTGGCTGCTTTGAGAGCCTCGAGACTGAAATCCTGCATGCCCTGCTGTTGTTGATGGTGGTCACCCATGCTGAATGACGATCCATCCCCCGCGGACCCTTGCGGCTGGAAAGAAAGCTCTGTGGCTTGGGGAACTGTCATTTGGTGGTAGGCGAGAGCGGCCGCAGCAGTGTCCCCAACACTCGCAGTGTTTCCGCTTCCGTTGTGGTGCACATCGAACTGTTGCTGCATGTCGTCATTGGTTGAGGAATTGTGTGCAGCAAGGAACTGTGCGGTATCTTGATCGCTCAGGTCGCTGGTGTTGGTAGTAGCAGAGGGCGCGGAACGGCTTAGGCCCTGGTCGCGAGAGTCGCGTTTACGCTTGTTGTTATGCATGGAGTCGTGTACTCCCAAGCCGGTCTTGGACGTATCGGTCGGGTAGCCAGCAGTGTCCGCCATGGTGTTTACCGACCAAGAAGAGAAACGAAAGATCTATAGAGTTGCTAGATCTCACACAGAGCGGGCAAAGTCTCGGAAAAAGCAGTTTTGCCAACTGGAGGCGAAGATAAGGAAGGTTCGATGGGGGACGACTTGTGCAGGCCCGAAGGTCAAAGTCGCAAATGAAGGGGAATGAATGGCAACTTTGGACGAGTAGTGCCTACCATATACAATTCGTAGCAATCATGCGCCGAGCAAGGGCATACACGGTCTATCGAGGAACAAAACGTTAGCATGAGCAAGCACGCAACTCCATCATGATACGGGCCGGATGCGACGCGTGGACGATGGCACACCAACGATTATCTGCAATCGAAGGACAGCGCGGTTAAAAGTGAAGAGTGAAAGGCGTTGAAATCGCGCCAGTCGCTCAGCCTTTACAAGACGGGCATTTGGTGCATCGTTGTCTCTCTCCCAGAGCGCGCGCGCGCGTGAAAGCCATCAACAGCGCGCGGCGGGCACGGCCGGATATGTGGAAGCCCCACGGCAGTTGCAAGGCAAGCAGGACAGCAGATGGCACGCCCATGTAGTCGCATCGCAGTTGCAACGCAGCGGAGAGCCATGGCGGTGGACTATCCCCAAAGACGGTGATGAAAGTGGACTTACGGTGAAGACGATGATGTTGATGAGTACGACGGTCACCTGATAGCCTGTTCCCAGTTGAGGTAAGCAGGTGGACAAGGCAGTAGTTCGGCGATGGGAGACAGGAATTGACGCGAAAAGCGTGATGAAAATTGGCACACAAAAAGTGAATAGGAACGAGAACCGCACGGGAGCGGAAGCACTTACTTTGAACTGCTTGGTGTTGTGCGAGAATTCCAAACAGCACTTGGGATTATGGATTGGGATATGGTCTTCAGTTTGGAGGTAAGGTGATATCGAGGTCACGCGGATCGGGGCTGCAGCGGTCTTTATGTTTTCGAAAGGCGCGCTAGGCCTGCGTTGGGAACCGACCAATCACAGCGCAGCCTCACCCACACATGCCAGTGTCTCCCCGCCCCTCCCAAATCCCCCTAGCCAGCCGCCGCCCGCGTTCGCGCAAACCAAAGCAGAGCAGCATGCATTCATGCAACAAACGCAACGCAACTCCTCCTTCTTTGTCAAGCTCCATCTTCATCCATATTCAATCTCTCTCAGGGAAGGGTGACGCAGAGCACTCGAGTGCTTCGCCATAATCACGCCCGTTTCGGAGCTTTTCTCAACGACGTGTGCTCGACCATCACCACAAGTGCCTACCCGCTTTTGCTCGTGAACTCTCCGTACTCCCGTACCATATAGATGCAGCCAGTCAGTGCAGTACAGTACATAACAGCAATGATTACCTATGCACCTGCAAACAACCACCACCACTACCACTAGGGCTACCACACACACTCTCTCCCACACCCTCATTCACCTACACCCATACCTATCAACCTACTCACTTGCCCATCTTATCAGGCCTCTCACGCGCCGACTCGCTCCAATACTCATGGTGAGTTCATGTGGCGGCTAGTCTATCTATTCCCTGCCACTCCCCACCGAAGCGCATGTGACCGCTCTCCCCACACCTACCTCTTCTTCACGCTGACACATAGCCACTGTCTGCATCCGTTTGCTACCTTCCTTTTCACACGCTTCCAACACCAGCTCCAGTCTTCACATACATATCGATTCATGGCAAATCTCTGTACAACAGTCCGCCCCACCGTTTCCTCCATCCAGAGCTCTGTTCCAGCTCATCGTCTCTTTCGCTTTGTCTCGTCGTGCAGTTGGTCTTGCATGCGCCTTCTGTACCCGCCAGAGACCCCATTGTTCTCGCATGAATAGTACCACCACCCCAGATGAGGGCCCGACATCACCATCATCATCGACGGATAGATTAATGCAAGGTCACACACCGGGTTCCCGTTCTGGATGCACCCTCCATCAACACTTGCACACATGTAGGTAGTTTGCTTGCCTCTCCTCGTGATCCATATTGCAACCCTACACAGCAATGTCTCATTCGTCACGGCCAATAATGTCCTCTCGAGCATCCACCGTAGCATAAGAACATGCACACACTGCATATATGATTGGCATCAGTCGCCATCGGTTGTTCATCTCAGACTTGAAGGGTATATTCCGTAGTCTTGAATTCGACATGGCTACGATTGCTGGTTTCCAACTATCTTCAAAGGACTACTGACTATCTTCAAGTGTTTGCTACTTAGATATATGCAATTACATACAGGTACTCTAGTAGTCATATAGTGGCACGACTAAAGTGCCCTGATTGTAACTCGGGCGGATATCGTGATTTGCTCATTTCTTTCCACTGAGCATGGAAGTAGACCTGCACCGTTGTTACGTACGCAATTCACTATCATGGGGGAAGTTACAATGGATCCCGACAATCGTTGACAACTTTGAGTGAATGATTACCATATCATCGAGACATAAAGTGACGGATACAGTGATCAATCATCTCAAACACTGAAAATCATTTTTGTCAGATAATAGACTGCAAGGCAAGGCAGTATCAAAGGCAATAGTATGTGAGGTTACAACCATTTGAAGTAAGATTGGGTCGACTGGAAGCTGATGCCTGGGAGTAAGTCTAGTAGTTTCTACGGGGTCTTAGCGCACATGCGGGGCTTGGCAGGCGACGCAGACGATGAATTTCCCAAACCATCCAGCTCGCTATAGTCACACTCCTCACCATCCCCTCAATTCTATACCCACTTCTTTCCAGCACACGTGCCACCTCTCCAACTCTTTACTTTAACACTTTATTACCCAAAAATGTCCGCCGGTGCCGTCTCAAACCCGCCTACGGCTGCATCTGGCGAGTCCAAGAATGCTCGCAAGAAGAAGGCCAAGGGCGAAGCTGCGACTGCGGTACCTGCTCTCGTTGAGAAGACCACCTCTGAATTCGGTACCAACGGATCCGAAGCTGCAGGACGAACCGCTGGTGCTGAAGACAATGCTTTCGTCAAGGAGCTACAAAAGTATGTGATTCTCGGAGCTATAGTCCTCACAAATGTGGTACTTTGACTGTACTAATCCGCTCCACAGAAACGTGCGAAATGTAACCAAGAAGCTGGTATGTCTATTTTCTTGCGTATGCACTCCTCCAATCTGGACTATTGTTGACCTCTTCTCCAGAACGCCATGTCAAAGGTCAATGAGATCGTTGCTGCCAATCCCAATGTTTCCATCGATGATCTCGTGTCTACCCGCAAAATCAACGCCGATCAGAAAGCCCAGCTCCTGAAGAAACCCGCTCTCCAGAACCAACTCTCCCAATTGGAGGAGCAGCTGGCCAACTACAAGAAGTTCGAGCAGGAATACCAAAGCAAGTTTGCCCAAGAGAAGGAGATCTTGCAGAAAGGTCACTCGGAGGAGCTTGCAAAGCTGAGGGACACACTCAAAGCTGAGGCGGTGCTGGAGCAAAAGAAGGCCTTGAGGGAGAAGTTCCTTACATTGTCTCGCTTTTTGAGGGCCGCTGCGGCTCGACGCCAGCTTGAGGAGGACGACTCAGACCTAAGCAAGGCTTTTGAGGGTGCTCTGCTATTGGTATACGGCGGCGACGCCAGTGCGGTCGCAGCAACCGAGAAGCTGATTGACGGAGCCTCTGACAACGTGCCTTCAACCGAGGGCATCGTTCTGGATGTCACCTGTATGTCCACGCCAAGCAAAGCGAACCGCCACCACTACTAACATCCGCACAGATGCACAGATCAAGCAAGCCGCGCTCGAGGAAGCTCCTTTCGCTGCAGAGGAAGCTTGGGTGGATGATGTTGCCCAGGCGCAGCCTTCAGACCCCGAAGCCGTCTCAACCGATCCTACTATCGCCAATGCAGGCCTCACCGAGCTCAATGACTCAATCCCAGTCAACGGAGTAGATGGTACAGCAGATGTGCCGGAAGCTCCACAAGTGTCGAGCATAGATGCGGGTGCATCCAATGCGGCAGGAGGTGACTGGGAGAAGACGCAATCCGGTTCTGATGATCCTCTCACAGAATCATATGAGATCGTTCCCCGGGATCCTGCCGAGACCGAGACTCCTGCTGCTACTGCGCCTGTGAATGAGACCCGGAGCTGGGCCGACGATCCCGTGGACAGCAATGCAGTAGCGCCTACCAATGGCAACGATGGCTTCCAAGAAGTCCACAATACTCGAGGGGGTCGCGGAAGAGCCCAGTATCAAGGTGAGGGTCGTGGAGGATACAGGGGTCGTGGCGGTCCTCGGGGTAGCGGTCGTGGTGGTCGCGGCCGTGGTCGAGGCGATGGGTTCCGTGGTGGCCGAGGTGGTTTCCGTGGAGGTCCCCGTGGAGGCGATGCGCAGTAGGCATGCGTTGTTGTTGCTTCTTGATTCCCGGAGCCACTCAAAGTGGGGCCGTGATTTAGGCTCTTTTGTTTGGGGCCATCACTTTCGCTGTTCTCTACCATCATGTTCTGAGCATCTCTGAAAAGGGGAGGTATAAAAAGTGCATGTGCGTTTGTACAGCCTGGTCGTTTTACTCTGCATAGCATCGGTGCCCTGGGTGGGTTCTCGGAAATGGGCCATTTGTGTACTATAGTGGCTACTGGATTACGAGTGCTCAACCATATGAGCTTGTATTATCAAACATCTCTCCACGAAGCAACGTGATGTCTCTGTTCATCGCCGAGCTCCACAGCACACACGTCGAATTTGCCATTAGCTTGCAGCACTGCCTACATCTTAGATCAGATAACCTCAGCAATGACGACTAGTCGCTGCGGTTGTGGGGTGGGAAGCTAGGGCCAATAATTTCTCCAGCTCGCTCCTGCAGGACGATCCGGAGGAAAATCTTTCCAGGGGTAGTGGACACTGAGATAGCCGAATGTGGAGGCGGGAGCCAACGTGGCCATGGCCTAGTGACGGTTGAGGTGACGCCGCATCGACCTGCATACCAACGTTTGTTTGGCTTGAGCTTGTTTCATGTGTGTATGTGTGTGTGTGTCCTATACATCGGATAGGTTCATTTCTTTGGCGTTCGAGGCGGATACGTGGTTGTCAGAGACTGAATGGACAGAGGAGCAGCTCGATGCAGTCAATCACACGGCAGATGTTGGAGAACCAAGCTGATATTATCGAGGATTAACTCTACCATGCGGAAGACCAAAGGGCCATGACAGTGATCGTAGCGGTGCTATCGGAACGCGATCTTTGCTAAACATGGGGTCGGCCGATTCGAGAACGCTCCTTATGTATCACTCTCAGCCATGAGTCACAGTTGTGTGCATATTGTCTCTGGAAGATAACGTAGACAAACGGCTCTTCTTTATTTATTGCGATATTAAATGCTGGCAGTGTGTGCATCACGACGTAGTGCGATGCTGGAATTGAGACGTGGAAGTGCGCGGAAACCTCCAACACTGAGCAATTGCATGACGACGGCAGGCGAAAGTCGCTGTCCAGTCTATGGAGCGTAAACTATTGTACAAGTACTGCACCCTGAGGCTCAAAGATGAAGAAAAAATGGACAGCGTAGGTGCGTGGTGCGTGGTGTCGCTATTGCGTCTTTTTTCCGCACTTGAGGAACACTTGCAGTAATTCTCGAACGAAAGATTGCAATTCGTCACCGAAATAATTGACCAGTCGACAGTGACTGCCGTTATGTTTATATCATTTTGACTGAAGAAAATGACGTGCATGTGTATAGTAAAAACACGCCTGCATGTGCTGTGCTAAGCTGATGGCCAACAGCCACAATCAGATAAGAGTAATATGGAGATCACATTTTACGTGTGGCCTTATGACGTGCATGACGTGGGACTATCGACTTGAGTCAAAACAGTTCGCCCGGTCAACGCTGTCTACTTGGCCCAGGATCATTGCGCGGAGGGCAGTACTCATGGCATACTGCGCGCTCAACACGAAACAATGCAGTCGCCTCCACGGGTAGACTTAGACATGAGCATTCCGACCATCTGCTCTACACCAATTAGGAATAGATAGGTGGAAAGTTGATGGCATGATCCTCAGGTGAGGCGAGAAGTTCAGCGCTGCGACAGGGTTTATCGATTAAGCGTTAGTGTAGTCTTGGCGGGACTCGCACCTCCCGCCTTTGACAGGTCTCCTGGCCATACTCATAGTTCGTACCATCGCCTCCAGAACGCCAAAATACATTTCCCAGAGCACGCCAGCCCTCCTGTCTATCAAATGCGCTGCTCATAGGGAGTCGTGGTGCTGCCTTTTCTACTCGTCCCAACGTTGCGTGGCGAGCTTGGCGAATGCTGCCCTCGGCCCTCCTCCCCAACTCACTTCCGCCTGCCTCACGAGTGCTTTGCAACTACTCCGAGACGCTTGCGCCGCTCGCTCGCGCCCAAATTCCACCACGATGGACAACCCGGTGGATGTTATTCCTTCGGTCGAGCCCGCTGCCGCCAACAATGACGATTCCACCGCCAAAATTGCTCTGACACCACCGACGAGCGAAGACTTGGACATCAAGAGGGAACCGACCATGTCGTCTGAACTGTCCGACATTGATAGCGACGATGGAGAAGATATAGAGCCTGACCATTATTGGGACGGCGGCAAAATCCCCGTTTTTTGTCCAGTATGTGCACATCTGGCGGCATTTCGAGTGGGATGCATTGCGCTGTGGAATGCTCGTGCGATATGCATACAAATGACTATGTAGCGGTTGACTAACGGTTGCCTTGTAGACTATGGATCAATTCCGCAACTTCCAACGGTTCGTCGAAAAGGTGAACAAGTATGGCATGAAGTCGGGAATCGTTAAAGTGATACCCCCAAAAGAGTGGTAAGTGCGACTCCAGCTGCTACAATTCTTACTAGATCGCCACTAAATTCTATTGATCACAGGCGAGAGTCGTTGCCAGACCTTTCCGAAGCAGTGAAGTCGATCAAAGTAAAAAACCCAATCACACAGGAATTCGCCGGCCAACACGGCATCTACACTCAAGCGAACATCGAGAAGCAGAGATCTTATAATTTGCCCGAATGGAAGGCAGTTACCGAAGAAGCGCATCATCAGCCGCCAGCCAAGAGAGGTGAGCGACGCAGAGCTGCCGCCGATGCCCCTACTCGTACACGTTCTACAAGAGCTCAGGCATCGGCTGCAAGCAAGGGCGACACCACACCTGTGTCTAAGCGTGGCCCCGGACGACCTCGGCGCCGCCCACTCAAGCCTGTAGCAAGAGACGAAGAGGACGACGATTCATCTGTCGAGGTTCCTCCTACGCCGAAATCCCCCATGGAAGAGGATAAGAAGCCGTCGAGGAGATCCAAAGACGGCCAGGATGATGCTGCGCCTACAAGAGCGAGAGGCCGACAGCCGAGAGGAGAACAGAAGAAGTCGACTGCCTCTCGTCGCATGAACAATCGAACCGCCATGGCAGATTTCATTGATGAAGAAGCCTTCGAGGATTTCGATTATCATCTTGCCCACATCGACGAATTCACTCCCGAAAGATGCAAAGAACTGGAGGAAAACTACTGGAAAACCATCAACTACGGTTCACCAATGTACGGTGCTGATATGCCCGGATCCCTTTTTGAAGACGAAACAACAAGCTGGAATGTTGCGAAACTCCCCAACCTGCTGGATGTTCTTGGCACTAAGGTGCCTGGTGTCAACACTGCATATCTCTATCTGGGTATGTGGAAGGCCACTTTCGCATGGCATCTGGAGGATGTCGACCTTTACAGTATCAACTACATTCACTTCGGAGCTCCCAAACAGTGGTACAGCATTTCTCAGGAAGATGCTAGGCGATTTGAAGCCGCCATGAAGAACATATGGCCGCGCGACGCTAAAAATTGCTCCCAATTCCTCCGGCATAAGACCTACCTTATTTCACCACAACAACTAGAAAAGCAGTTCAACATCAAAGTCAACCGCCTTGTCCATTACGAAGGCGAGTTCGTCATTACCTATCCGTATGGCTATCACTCTGGTTACAATATCGGATACAATTGTGCCGAGTCGGTGAACTTTGCCAACGAATCCTGGTTGAGCTACGGCAGGATTGCTAAGAAATGCGAGTGCGAGGCCGACAGCGTCTGGGTCGATGTTAATGAAATCGAACGGAAGTTAAGAGGTGAACCAACACCCGAGTACTATGAAGAAACCGACACGGAAGATGAAGATGCTGCGGACCATCTGCCCAGTCCACCACCAAGTGTGGCTGGTAAACCTAAAGGTAGACCAGGCCGAAAGCCGGCGGGCAACAAGCGCAAAAGAGGAAATAAGGAACCGGAAGAGGCTCCCAAGACGAAAAAGATCAGGCGCATTCGCATTCGCATCAAGGTCCCTGGAAGGGGTATGCCCTGTGTTCTCTGTCCTAACGATGTTGAGTACGATGAACTTCTTCCTACCGACAATGGCCTGAAAGCCCACCGCATCTGCGCCGACTACACACCGGAGACATTCATTTCGAAGAAAGGCGGCATCGATACCATATGCAATGTTGCAAATATCGGGAAAGATCGTTTGGAACTGAAGTGCAACTACTGCCGCTCAAAACGAGGCGCCGTCTTCCAATGTTCACAGAAGAAGTGCACCAGAGCCTTCCACGCCACTTGTGCCATGGCAGCAGGTGTGCAAGTAGACTTGGGCCCTATGCCAACGTTCGACGAGGAGGGTACAGAGTATTATTACGACGGTTACGACTTCCGTTGCCGTTTCCACAGACCAAAGAAGAGGAACAACAAGACTGTGGACGTGGATGCTTTGGAGAAGGACAAGTTCGTCATGAACTACGCCAAGATGCTGAAACCGAAAGACGCCGTGCAATTCCAGTACGTCGGTGGAGAAATGTATCAGATCTACGGTGCTACGGTGGTAGAGAATAGACCTGGAGAGCAGGCTATTCTCGTCGACGTTCTTCCTGACGGGTAAGTGGATACGTGAGGGTGAAGATCCGAAATTGTTAACCATGAACTAGGGATCGCGTTGAAGTAGAGTGGAAGTATCTTTTGAAACTGGAACCGGCAGAATCTCAACGTCTCAAACCGTCTGCTAACGCGAAACCTCTCCCTGAGCACCTCAAGGAAACCGATGCTTCCCTCGATATGTCAAACCGCACAGACGGCGTTCCGGACATGGGCGACCCATTCCAGGATCCTAATGCAGTGCAGAAATGGGCTGAGTTCAATACCGCTCCCGACGTGACTCAGAAAATTAGCCGAGTTGATCTCAGTAAGGAAAACCAGCTATGGTATTATCTAGGAAAGACTTCCACGGAAGCACGACCACAATACACGGAAAACCCAGCGAAGCAGGAGCACAATTCCAAGAGCAACTTCTTGGACACGGTCAGGCCCCCACCGCCGATTGTGCCAGCTTTTCAACATCGTTCGTATCCGGCCTCCTATCCATTGAAACCGGCGCCTGTCTCCATCCCACCAAGGACTCCAATTCAGTCGAATCGGCCATATATGTACAAGCCAAAGGAAGCGATGATGTCTACGTTCAGGTCCCCGAACTACAACCCAGACACTCGCAAGAATCCCAATTCCCCTGTCGCGCACCAGCCAAACGCGTACAGTTACCGCTCCACAAATCCTCCCAATGGACAGCCAGTATATCAAAATACTTATCAAAATCATCGTCCCTCACAGCAGTATATCCCCTATGCTCCGCCACCAACTGGACCTGTCTCAGCATCCAAGTCCCTGCTCGAGGGTATTCACCAGTATGCCTCTCCATATGCGACTCACTCACCTGCATCGCCTAGGGACCTCCAACCGCTGCCTTATGCTTCTGGACAAGGCCAAGGCTCTGCTTATCGACCACCATATGGATCTTTCGTCGCTCCTTCACAGCCTTCTTTGCCACCCCGCAGTGGTGCTCCCGCCTCAAGCGTGCTAAGCAATCCCGTTGGGACCAGCAAACCTCCAATGTACGCCACTGCATATCCCTCTTCCGTTGATTCTTTAGCACAGCCCCCACCCTCACAAGTTGAATATCTTGCCTACGTTGCCAACTACCCGTATCTGAAAAACGCATTTTTAAGGAGAGCAAAAACTTACATATCTCCTTATAGTCCTGGTGGCGGATTTACGTCGGAATGGGCGCCTAAACCTACTCCCGGAGGCTCTGCGCCGCCGCATCCCTTTGGTGCACAACCAAGTCCCCGTAATGGACGACTCAGTTTCACTGGTGATTTGCCAACCAGCCCTCCAGTTGCAAGGCCAACTCCGCAATTTCAGTCGGCAGATGCATTCCAACGAGACCTTGCTCAGGCTCAACGTCACCCTAGCGGAACTCCCAAATGGGATCAAATGTTCCAACAGCTGAACACAAACAACAAAAATTTACACAGCCCTAGTTTACCGAGGAGTCCGGCGTACATGCAGCCTCTTGCACCGCGTCTACCCAGCGCATCCAGGTCATCGGCAGCTCCTGTCCTAGCACCGGCCCCACAATTGAGCCATACGCCATCACTACCACCCCCGAACGAGCCACAACGACCCATTCCGAGCCCCCTTAGCGATGCGGCAAAGAGCCCCACCGCCGGGACTGAGAACGTAGTACCGGAGAAGCCCGCGGTACACTCTGGAGAGACATGGCGGTATACGCAGTAGATATTTGGTTTTAATGCACGTGGGGAAGTTAAGCCGTGTACACTCACGTCGAGATGCGGGATTGTGGTCAAAACAGTGTATTTTTCAATATGTATATGATAGGCGAATGAGGAGTTCATCCAAGGAGGATTGCGGGAACTTGGGACCTTTCCATGGCTGGTCATGCACAATGGATTAGGTAAATGGGGGGAGTTCTGATGTACTACTACTCTAATGCCTCATAAGATATCACTGTAGTCAAAAGACCACCATCATGATAACATTTTAATTTCTAGTAATGTATTATGCAACAATCTTGCAAAGTTGATCGGATGGGGGTATCTAACTAGGACCTGAAATCTCTATGAACTACAATTCCGGGTGGAGCTGGGATTTTGAGCGGCACCACGGACGGTGTACTCGCAATGGAATGTAAGAATGAGCAGCAGAAGTATTTTTCCTCGGTATCATAGTGACTTTTGCTGTACATGATAGTTGCTGAACAAGACGCCTTGTAGAATGGTGTTGCGCCTTGGTGTTGGCCTCACAAAACACGGGGTCCGCATCGGGATGTCGCATGGCGGGAGCACAGTGTACCGAACCAATATTCACAGGCGAAGAACTGCTGTCGATTCTTTCCCAAATTTGTGACATGTCGATGTGGGGTCCACTCCCCCACCTTGTAGTGTGGAGATGATAATCGAATTAATGGAGACCATATTTGTACAGCTACAGTGTTCATTTTCCATACCTCAATTTTGGCACGGTACATATTACCTTTCATCTCAAGTTTCTTCCATCAAATCACAACAATCACATCCGATATGGTCTAGTGGCTAGGATTTGCCGCTCTCATTCAACAGAGTCAAAACACGTTAGTGCCGGCAAGGCCCGGGTTCGATTCCCGGTGTCGGAAAGATTTCTCTTTTGCTGTTTGGAAAGCACTGGGATATGCCTCTTTTTTTTTGCGGGTGAAGGGCAGTGGATGGTTGGAAGTCGGGGAGGAGGATGGTGATGTTGGTGATGTGACGTGGGGCACTGCACGCAATGTGTGGTTTCAGGGTTGCAATTTTTGCACGTTTGGAATGGGCATTGAAAAGTTCACGAGATCCGTGTATTCTTGGACCGAGACCCTATGTACGTAGAGATAACGAACGGAGAGAACCTGCAGAATTGATATTTTCGAGTCACATTGTGGCTGGAAACCCAATCAGAAGGCCGACGATTTGATGTGAGAGATGTAGATGAGAAAAGAGGCATTGTGCTATGGATACAAGTAGTTCATGTAACAAAATACCGTCGTCACATTAGAGATGGCATGCTGTGTACTTACTCTACACGCACTCAAGGAGGAAAAAGAATGCCATAAACTCAAGCATCATCCTGCATACACTAAACATCCATACTGCCTTGTTACATAACACGAAGACACAATGTTACCACGATACGTATGAAGAATTATTCATTTGCAATTTCTTAGCGTAATGAGAATCTCATTAAAAAAAAGGTGTAACAAAACAGAGTCGACCCAAGGAAACGCGTTACACATGACATAACAATACATACATACAAAGACAAACGAGACCGAAGTCCCAATAAAGTGTTGGGTAGGAGAAGAACAGGCACGCGCAGTTAATGTGTGTGCGCAAAAAGAAGAAGCTGGAAGAAGAAGCTGGAAGAAGAAGCTGAAAGAAAACTCAATTCGTCATGATCGTGCTCTTTCATCTCGTATCGCGTCAGATAAACCAGTCCCCTTAGTTTTAGGTCTGGGTATGCTTCACTCGTGTCCAGTTCCCCATCTTCCAGACGGCCCTCTCGAAGCGTGCAATCCGCCCAACCTCATCCCCCCTAGACCCGAGGGATCCCCTGATCCTCCTCCGAACACACCCCCCGGGCCATTGCCATTACCACCACCACCGCTAGCAGGATGATGTGAGAAACTGGGTAGGCCACTGGTCGTTGTACTTGGCGGTCCAAGCAACTTGATCATCTGCTCAAGAGCCGTCTTACCTCTCTCCTTGACATCGCGATCGGCATCCCTGCTTAGCAGCCTAGCGCCCTCTTCGAAGCCCAGATTGCGAAGTATGCTGGCGCGCTCGCGCGAAGCAGGTTCATCGGTGTGATCGTCTATCCAGATGAGGTTCTGGATTAGCCATGCGCAGCAGCTGCGTACTTCGCGGTGTGGGTGTGAGAGGAGCGGCAGTATGTGCGACATCAATGAAGTTTGGGCCAGAAGCTGGGCCCGTTGGTTCGGGCGACCGTTAGCGATATGAACAAGTATGAAGAGGGTTGAGGAGAGGATGGTTGGAGGATAGTAGTTGGAGTAGTTTGGCAGGCGAGGGAGCGCCGAAGTCGAACTAGTGGCAGGAGCGAAGGGGTGGCGTGTGGGCGACCAATAGGTTGAGCCATTTGTCGAGGTGGTGGAGGCTACGGGGTTTGGATGTACGGTACTTTTTGGCCGGAGTTTGGAGTCCAAGAGCTCGAAAAAGGCGCTGTGACCGACAGTCTTGAGAAGGTGATCTACCATTTCACCAGACGCCTTCTCTTCAGTAAGGAGATTGCGAATGAAATCAAGCGCCTGTTCTTGGAGACGGATATCGTCACGTTCGCTATTCACACGAGCATCTTGTTCGTCGTCGCGAATTTGCTGAAGGCGGTCGTGAATTTCGTTAGCATCGATATAGCGAGGTTCTGGACGTTGCTGCCGACGTAGAGAAGAAATGTTGGAGATCATGGTGTCTTCGTCTTCCGAGGATGTAGGCTCTTCATCCACATCCATGTGTGGATCATCAGCAGCGTTCAGCAGATCCACTTGTTCGCCAGCTGCATTCGGTGTCCCCATTCCAAGTGGTGCAGAAGCAGCGGATTTAGACGGCTCCCCCTTGAGCACTTGAACCAGCCATCCGATGCCCAACTCTTCCAGGCAATGAAATTTCGTCGTACGTTCCAGGTTGAGACAAAGGTGCTTCAATGCCCAGAGACTACCTAAACGTAGGTCAAAGTTGGCAGAGTGGCAATGTCTGCAAAGGGTCTTCAATGCACCCGCCTGAATGATACCCTGTCAAAAATACGAGTTAGCACCAAGCGGAGGAGGAAGGAGATGCGGATACACACCCTACGCATAGGGGAAAACTCAAGAACGAGATTAATAATAACATCCGTAGCAGCAATTTGCACTTTGATGCTGGGATGCCCGAGCAGCTCAAAAATTGGGTGTGCAACCCCGTAATCAATCAAACTAGTCCGTAGCACACTGATAGATCTTGACAGAGACCTCGTCAAAACGCACGCGGCGACGAGGACAGGTTCAGGGTTTCCACCTTTGACTGTAATCAAGCTTGGCCGGTCGTTCGTGTTGGCTCGGTAAGGGACAAGTGAGTCAATAATATGAGTTGCAGCCCCCAGCTCAATGACCATTTTTCGCAGGCTATCCTGGGTGTCTGCTATAGCTGCTAGTGCCAATAAGGCACTCTCTCGATACCGGAAGGCACGAAGTACATCTACACAAATCCCAGGACTGCCTAGTGCTGAAGAAGTAGGGTCGACATTCGGATCTCTGACTGGTGGTACCGAGGATTTTGGTTGCCACAACGGCTTGGATGACGCCGTTACGGGATCAAATGACTTCTTCAGAAGTTGAATAAGCGCAGGTAAAGCACGTGCGTCGATCGCCGCATTCTGCAATGTTTTGTTGCCTACACATAGCTCTGCGAGGATGAGAGGCGATCGTTCCAATACCAAACCAACCTCTTCCTTCTCCAACGGGCCAGCAGCAGCGGGTTGCTTCTCCTGTTCCAATGTAGAGTTGGCCTCGTCTATCATCTTGACAATTAGAGGCACGATCAGATAGGATAAATGCCGTTCGCGCGTCGATTTAGATGGGTCGTTCAGCGTCCACTTGCCGCTAAATTTCTTTAGCAACGACAAGAGCCAACACGCTGATAGTCTTCCCCTCCCCTCCCCTCTTCGAGCCACAAACATCAGCCACGTGAACAAAGGTGTTTCAGATTCATTGACAACGACGTTCTTGCTTGGCGACTGTTGAACTGAGTCCACGCTCGACAAGCGCGTGTAGCTATCGCCAGTCGATGATGGTGATGATGTCTGTGTACCGAGGGCGGGCCATGATCTCGCATAAGAATCATGTTTGTTCTTCAAAGTCTGCAACCTTGGTATTAAATCATCCCACCCAGGTTGATCATCCTGTGTATCTAGACCTATAGAGTTCGGCCATCTGAATGTGCGCTGTATCGAAGATGAATAAAGAAACTTCGCGGTGCAATAATGCGAGTCCTTGATGATTGCCGAGATGGCGTCGAGAATATCAGGCAGGTAAGTTCTTGGACGCTTGTGAAGGCCAGAGCTTTCGGCAATAGAAGGATCATCCGCTGCGGCTACGTTAGCCATGATCTCCGTCAGTAACTCTAAAACGTCTGCTTCGAGCAACAACTGTTTTTGGCTATCCTCTTTACATGTCTTCACAATCAGCTGCGCTAACGAGGACCACTGTTGGCAGCCTAGCCTGGAACTCTGATCGAATATGTCTGCTAAGCGTTGAACAACTGGTTTCATGTATAGTTGCTGGGTGACTGTATGTGAGAGTGTCACGGAAGAATCCCACCCCGACCTCTCTTGTGCGACGGCATCGACGATCTGGTTCACGGTACGTAGCGTTGCAAGGACCAGCTTCGGGGGCGTTTCGGATGGCGATAACGCCTCGAGGAGTGGCGAAAGAACATCTCCAGCAAGCAGTGGTTTTATGAATGCCGGGCCGCCTGCAGTGACATATTAGCCCTCGAGTCTCGTCTACAACCGAAGATTGTGCACTTCGTGATACTTCTAGATGGACCACTTCTCCCAGATGGTAACTCACCATTCGCCAAACTGCCCACCACAAGGGTCGCCTGTAAGCGTAATTCATCGTCTACGTCCCATTCACAATCCCTTTCCACTACTGACGGGGCCCCACTGCCGTTGGTAACTCCACCCTTCTCCTCTTTCCTTGTTCCGCCTTTGAGTAGTCCGACGAGAGGTTTGATAATACCATGTATGACAGCTAATTCCTTTCGCTGTTCATGTCCCACTATTTCGTTCTTGAGGTTTCGGAGCGCGTTGAGCTGGGCTTCGGGCGTGCTTGGTTTCGAAAGTTCTGTTAGCGCATTCGGTATGGCTGTTCGGCCCATAGCGGGTGAGCAGAAATTTGGAGTTTGATGCGGCGCAATGGGGGGAATGCGTGGGCTCGTGGTCTTTGTAGGTTTTCTTGGGCGGGATATGCAGTGCGCGCTCAGTATCGATGATGGTATCAAATGCAGTAAGGGATCAGTGATGCGAGTGTGATCGGTCAATCTAGCAGCTGCTTTGTGAGAAGACTCCAATGTCGGGTGCTTCGCAGCGAGGCTAAGTGGGTGATGCTGATGGATAGATAGATAGAGCGAGGCAGGCGGGGATCTTCCGACGCCACGAGGAAACGACGACGGCTTTCGGACGAGATGCTTCAAGAGCCGCAAGGTGATACTCGGATCCTTCTGGGGCCTGGTGTTCTTATACTGACTGTGAAGTGAGTGAATGACTACACTGCCGCATCACAAACTTTGTACGCGTTCTGTAGGCTTGCATGGCGAGGTCTGACGTTTCCGCCAAGACAAAGCGGAAGCGGTACCGTCCGCTTCTTTGCGCGCGCCTCTCGCGCATGTAACTGAGACTGACTACCAACTTCAATAATTATATATGCGACATTCAATCCCACAACAACAATCACGAACTACCATATCACCTAGTGCAGAAGCGCTTCTTTTTATTGTAATATCATAGACACGTAGCTCATAGTTTCATACAAAAAACTCCCATGACCCGTTACCCGGAAGCCGTATGATACAGCCACCTAACCTGTTGCCTTGTCCTCAGTAATCATCTCAACATCAATTACCCTCGATGCCAGAATTATATTTAAACATAGCATAATGACAAAGGAAAAAGTGTGTGTTTCCCCGGGTCGTCTGGCTCTATTGAGCCTTCGATGCATTCCCCATGTGAATTTCTACACCAGATCCATCGTACACACGTCTCCTTCTTGACTCGTACTCAAACGAAGACACCCTCATCCTTCTCTGTTTCTTTACCGCCCTCGGTAAAGATGACGACGGATATACATGCTGCGTACGCTTCTCTAATCGCACACGCCATGCACGTTTCCTTGATATTTGCAATGATAGCGCTATGGCCATGATGCGAACACCATGCTCTTGCGAAGACTTCGTTGTCGCTCACGCCAAGCGCCTCAATAGTGAGTACTTTGCTGACTTGCATATGGGCAGGCTTGTCAGATGATGTGAGGGTGAGGGACTTTTTGGAAGGTGACGAGCGCGAGGATGAGGGACGGGAGGTTCGACCAGATTGACGACCCCAATCATGAAGATCCACAAGACCATCGTCAATCTTGACTGCTTGGTATTCGAAGTCGTAGAAGAGCACTATTATATATCAGCCTGTGGATTCCGGTCAGGGACAAGAAAAATTCTTACCGTGCGGGCCTTGGTGGCATGGAAACGCGTTGATGAAGTCCACGTCGTATGTAAGCTTCATTGGCCAGCTGTCACCACCGCATGCAAAATAAATAGCTGAATCGAACACCATTGGTACTCCGGAAGATTGTCTCGCAGAGCTGGTTTGATCTTTGGCGGGGACGAATGAGAGTCTGTTGATGCGAATCAGGTCAGTAACGTCTTCTGTGTCTGGCATTGGCACTTCATAATCAGCAGCTGGGTAGCTGGCTTCTTCTGGGCCCAAAGGATCCGTTCGCTCGTCCATTGATTCAACATCCACTGGAAAAAGTTTCGGGTCCAGTGATTCGTGTTGCTTGATACGCACGCACTCTGTCCGCTTCAAATCTGGAGTATATATGCATGGCCCGATCCATCCCGCAATCTGTTTCACACCTCTTGCAGCCCCAAGGACTTTGCCGACGATACACTGAGCAGACCAGTACGTGTTTGCACGGTATTGAAATCCAGAAGAAGTATGCATATGGGTAAGGTACTTGAGTGCTTCGCCCGTATCCCGATCACAATCTATTAGACTGTTCATAATGAGCCACGGCAATGTTCGTCCAGGGAGTACAATCCCAGAGAACCATGACATAGCATCAGCTGACCGATCCTCGAGTGGCTTCTCCCTCCTGTCCTTTTCTTCCAAGACATAGTCTATCTCGTCCATGTTGGGCCACTTGAGCATCACTGCAAATACACGCAGAGCTTCTATCTGCCGTTTCTTGCTCTTCAGCTCAAAACTGAAAGTACTCTGGACATTTGACGTTCGGGACTTTGTAATCTCCATGTTCTCCATCCAACGCTGTGCGACGGCCAGGTCCCACGTTATGGCTGGAGGTAACTGCAATAGCAATTTCCGCTTAGCCTTGTCCGTGTAACCTTTGGAGTGAATGCGGAGGTACAGTTCGACAGATAGCAGCAGCTGATGGAAGAATTCTTGCTTTCTGTGTTGGTCAGGCGAATCAAAAAACTTCGCCACCACCTGGTTCTTCGGGTTAGAAAAGTCTATCCACGAAGGATTCGAAAGAACATCGATCAAGTCCTCTATTTGCTGTGCTATGCCGTAGTGAGGATGGTCGCTATAGCGTTCTGGATCCTCGATCAATGTACTGTACAGATATCTGTACATTTCCTCTGGGTCCTGCGACAGCGAAGTTAGGACAAATGCTCCAAAATACACCAGGAACAGGTCAAACACTGACATCGATTTCAAGGCCATTTTCCAGGCGCTGCAGCCGGTCCAGTATTTGTAGGAACTTCAACTTCTTGGGCTTGATATCCCCAGCTAGCTTCATTGGTGGTACACTACTCGCCGACTTGCTGATCCAAAAATTCAGTGTTGTGGTTCCTGCGCTTTTCCCATACGCGTATGCCATAGATGGCTGTTCCAAAGATAACCAAGGAAATTGACTCTCGGGGTTCCCTGTCATGTTGAGGGACATGTCTCGGTACGCCGGTTGATTGAAAGAAGCCCGATCTGTCCGTGTTTGATGCTCCGAAGTCATGACTGCGTAGAAGCGATCATACCCTTGCGGAGCGTTTGGTATCGCATCGCAATATCCCCGGAAAGCAGAAGCACCAGTACGGATCAGCTCTTCGGCCTCTCTGGGATCCAGCTCATGATCCGACCTGTACCCGCTCGGAGGCCACTTTCTGGAGCTGCGAAATTCCTCTAGGGGGGTAGGATGGGAATACGATCCTGCTCGACGGGGCGGGGCGTACTGTCGGAACGGCATGATGCCATTTTCGGCTCCGCTGGACGAAGGGCGAACAACATGCGGTTGCGAGCCATGACGAGCCACTTTCGTGCGCGTCACGACCGGACTGGTGCGTGTCTTGGGCAATCGATTGAGCTGGAGCTGGGCTAGGTCTGCCGTGACCGCTGCTTCGTCTGGGAAAGCATAGGGGAGAGGCGCAATGGGTGCTGGCGGCAGGGCAGGGCCCCGGTTTGCATCGCGTTGCCTCTGTCTTTTGGCATATTCCCAGGAACCTACTTCCGAATGCATATCTTCATAACGTGGATCAAGTTCGCGTGAGACACCTATCAACAAACCTGGGTTAGCACGCGAGCGCGCAATGGATGAATTGAGAGTGTATCAGAGATGCAGTAATGCGGCATGTGTGCGTACACGAATGCTGTTGTGCGTTGCTCGTGGGCAAATGAGTAAAACAGCGCAAGGTTGGTTGGCTTACAACAGTACGCTCATGATACAATCAAGGCGTTGAGCGCTGCTACCGCCGTCGGCTTGCTTGGGGAATGAGCGAGAGACGCGTTTGCCGTAGAGCCAGTCCACCCTGTGTACAAACGGGCTGGTTTTTGTTCCGAAAGGTCGAGAGGGCTTGTCGATTATGGGAATAGCTGCAAGCAGCGTTGTGTGGGTGTTGGTGGGGGAGGGGGAGCGGAGGGAGGGAGGGGTCGCAAGGGCCGTCCGTCTTTACGTTTGTTTCGGAGAATGGATTGGGGGTCTACAGTGCTGCTGTACTGCACCGTACCGTGTGGCATGGGGCCTTGAGCGCTTCATGCTGCCTGCTGCTTATTGCCATGCATCCCCAACTGTCGCACATGCGCATGTACTATCAAAGTCGCCCAGCTGTCCAGCTACCAATCGTTTCTTTGCCAGGTTCAGGACATGCAAAGAACCACCCAAGTGGAGCCATGGCCTCACTTCTACCCGCGCCCGTCGCGTGTCATTTGTCCAGCACATCAATCCCTACATTCAGCACTTAGCATATGCCGCTTGCGAGCGACCATCTCTGAATGCGACTCCAAGCCACCATACCATGGAGCGGGCTTTGGCGAAGCCGCTTGCTTACCACATCTAAACCAACCTGTGGCTGGTAGGGCCAACGTCTGACCATCTTCATCGTCTCTCCCGTACTGGAGCACACCGATTGATGCATTGCATGTATAATTGATACGTATTCAATTTTCAAAGAGGTCGACGCGAACACAGTATGCAGATTCGTTTCATAATCTAAAGGTATCAAAGGGGCTGGATGTATGCTGCTCAATCACCAGGCGAGTCCATGCCGCTCCACCTGAGCAATTAGACGGCAAGTAAGAATGGAATACTCGCTTTTCTCTTTCGGGAAGAGAAAAAAAAACCCCCCTCCCCCCACCTCGTCCTCCGACTACGAGGCCAGATGCAAGATAATAATTGTCGAAACCATCATCGATTTCTGGACATCTCAAAGTCAAGGTCGATGCTACGGCTCACAGGTTTCTGCTTTCGACGCGGATAGTTCAGGGTCCACTGTTACGGTTGTCGAATCCGCCATGACCGGAGTTGTGTCCGGCTCTTTCTCGAGAACATAGCCCTGCCCACGCTCTACGAGCCCCTTGTAATAATCCACCAGGGTTTCCGGCTTGGGGACTATGCGCCACTCTAGTCTCTTCAGAAATTCGACTTCCAACAAAGCCAGCTCCCGCAGGCTTACCCCGCCAACCTTTGCATACAAGCTGTTAGTCCAGAAGCTATCGCTGAGGCCTTTTGCTGCTACTGTGGCTGCCGTTATGAGGAAGCGGTGGACGGTTAGACTGCTAATCGTGAAAGCGGGATACATGGTGCAAAGTTTATCGACATAAAAGACCATGGATAACAGGATAGGCGGAGATAGAGTTGCATGCACGATTAACCGTACCAGGTAATCTCTGACGGATATGGCAGGCGGTGCCCTATGCAACGGTCAATATCAATCTTGGTCAGCCAAATGTGATGCACGTACCTAGAATGGAAACGGGTGAGATGCCCGTCGCGAAGCGGGAAATCGTCGTTCAGACGCACCAGCTCCATCAGCATATCCGATATTAGAACGCCCAGGTCCTTCACATCACACGTTTCGTACTGCAACGGCATCACTTTGACACTTTGGGACAGCGGCCGCGCCCTTTTGGCCGGGGAAGACTGTGGCATGAGAGTGCTTGCCACACTCTGTCTTAGGTTTTGGAGTGAAGACTGCTCCCGCCCCGTAGCCTCTGACACCACGTCGTCGCCCGCGTCCTCGTCTCTTGGCTGTTTCGACTCCCCTGATTCCTTCAACTCTCTAGCCCCAGACGGATCATGCTGGGCAGACACTGCAGGTTGCGGGTCAATCCGCAGCAGAGGTTCTGGAGGTTCCGTGGCGACAACTTCGGCGGAGGGATCCCCCCGCTCGACTTGGGAGGTGGATGTAGATGGTGCAGGGAGAGACACCAAGGTGGTGCTCCGGTCGTCGGGTTGCGGGGCGGGACGATATGTAGGAGGATAGCCTGGTGGGGTGTACTGGGTGCCCGAGTCTTGGTATCCTTTCCTCTTGTGGGAGGGCGATTGGGGGTACGGCGGCACGGGCGAGGGAGCCAGAGGCGAGGTAGGTATGTCGCGGCGCGTTGCGGTGGTGGAGGCTACGGGGAATCTGGGAGAGCGTGTCCGTCTCGAGGCGGCATGGTAGGAGGAGCGGGAGTGGGGGTGGTTCTGGTGGAAGGCGGCCGAGGGCGAGGGGGGTGCTGAGACGGTTGGCGACGACGAGGTAAGCATGCCTGGCGGGAAGAGAGGAAAGAGGGAGTGGTGAGGAGATTCGGGGCTGTCGGTCGCAAAGAGGGATTCCTGATTTTGCGAGCGCCCAGCTGCGAATGGCGCCACTAGGGTTGGCTAGGAAGACGTAGGGCGGCGTCGGGGGACATGTTGGACGACAGTGATTATATTCAAGTGGATAGGTGGAGAGACGGACAGATCAAGACAGGGCACGACAGCGTCGAGGCGACCTGGAGAGTTTACGGCCCGTCTGAGGGGCAGCGCGGCCAGAGAGAGGAGTCTTTTGCACGTTTGTGCGTCTGCGCAGATGATTGGAGCCAGCGCCAATGGAGCCTCACCAACGCGATTGAGTACCTACATCCAAGGGGAATGGTACATGTACTCTTGCACCACCATCGTTGCGCTGATTGATTGATTGATTGCGCATTATTCGACAAAGTATGTATGCATGCATGCAAGCATGGTATTTATTCCTGCTAGTCAGTCCAGCCATCCATCCTCTGCGCGTGCTGCTGCTGCTGTGCATGGCCGTCTCAAGCAACAAGGGACAGGACAGTCCTATCAAGTCTATCTTGGGGTTATCTGGGGGAGCTGCATTCGGCCTAGCGTGTGCGCAATCGGCGTCGCAGCATCAGCCCTACCACAGAAACTTTTTTACCCTCACGTTTCATCAACCTTTTTTTTTTCTTCTTCCTCTTCTTTGTTGACTATCCTGTGAACGACGGAAAAAGGAGCCACAGTGTTGAAAATCTCAGTCGCCGTTCCGTGCCATCCGTACATGTTACGTAACATGCATGCGTACGCCGTTGGGTACTTGGGTACTCCCCATAGACGCACCACCACCAATCTTGTCCACGAGTGCCCTTTTCCGCGCGCTCCTGATCTCCAACACTAGAGTAGCCGTGCCTGTTATGTAAATCAAATAAGATCCGCGCTACGTCACACGTGGGCCAGCATACGGTTCGGATTAAACTTTGCCCGTCAATCCGTAGCCGTCATGACTACATTTCTCGACGTCTTCTCGACAATGATAGTATAATGGTCATGATTATGGCTGGCTGCACTATCACAAGAGCGACACTAATCCTCACTCGCCTGTTCAACTATGTACAAGAAATTTTCAGAGTGCCCCCCCCCCCCCCCCCCCCCCCCAAAAAAAAACTTGGCCGCCCCGTCCTGGTATATCAAACTCCGGCAACGAGGGAGGCCGGGTATCTCCCAATCCATCCACTGCCCAGTAAAACAAAGAAAAGTACACATTACACCAGCTCCGGATTACCATGGCACCCACCATGCTCGTGATCTGGAACCCGGCTTGCAATCATGACCGCCGAAACAAGTGCCGAAAATACATTCCAGAAATGATATCGTTTCCATCTCGCCTGTCTCTACCCCAATTATTCACCCGTGGCACCAAGTTTAGTTACTTCTTCAAGGCTCCATTTAAAGTCTGCGTCGTGCGAAGCCCTCACTTCTGTGCGTGGTTGGGCGCCTCCAGTTCGGCCGTGAAGGACTGCTGCTGCGCGGGGGGTGATGCCAGTTCCGCCGGTACTGTGTGGTTGTGTTCTTTCATTTCCGACATCCTGCAACAAAACAAGTCAGCAAACTCAGTCGTGATATAGCATTTCATCAGATATGTCGGTACTAACCGTGGCGATTGCATCGGAGTGAAAACACCACTCATGTGTTGATCCGTTACGTTCTGCTGCCCATAGGGAGGTAACTGCCCACCGTACTCTGCTTGTTGCATGTTGGCACTGTATATGCTGGCTGGTGGAAATCCTGGGGATCCTGGATATGGCGATGGTCCTCCGTAAGAGCTGTGGCCATCTCCGGGCATCGGTGTACTAGCTGTCGTCTCTCTTTTGTTCATCATCTCCTTTAGACTCTTCGCCCGACCAACGTAGAAGAACAATGCCGCGCAAAGCACCAAGAAGGCGACTGCACCCACGACGATTCCGGCGATGACGCCTCCGCTGAGACCGTGGTGGGAATTGCTGTTGATGTTGACCGGATCTGGTGTTCCGGTGGCGCCGTGTGTATTTGTGAGGGTCGAGGTTGCCTCCTTAGGGATTTCTTCACCAGGCGCGACCTGGAACGAAGAATCCTTGACCGCCTTGATCTGCGCATCCAGAGTTTGTGTCGAGTTGGGGTTGATCACGCCCACCATCTCGTGGTCCAGACAAGATCGAGGCGCCGCGCAGTAGAAGAAGATGGGTTCCGACGAGTTGATTTTGAGTTGGAAGTGTGTGAGCTGCAATCGCAGGGTCAGTATGGTCTCATACTCGCCTTACACAGCCTGGCAGCTAACATCACATAGTGACAGACAAAAACGGAAAAGGAACTTACATCGTTCACAGTGTTAACCCATTGGGTCTCACTCCAGAAGCCAACCTTGTCCTTTCCTGTGTATTCATAGGGCACACAGGGGCTTCCGAACTCAGCCCTAGCCACGGAGTGATCTGGCGGGTAGAACTCAAAATCCACAGTGTCCCCTACCTTGACATCTTTCAGCTCTTGCGGTTCATACTTGAAACCTCCTGCTCCCACTTTGACGCTATGTGTTTTTGGTGGTTCACTACTCGATGAGGACGAAGAAGAAGATGGAGATGAAGATGACGATAGCGATGCAGAGGGTGTGACTGATGACCTGTCTGATGACCCAGAAGGAGTGGGAGTGGATGAAATCGAGGTTATCGTTGCACTCGACATGGCGAATGGTATCCAAGCAGTGAGAAAGAACCGCAGATAAGACGCTATGTAATCGGAGAGAGTCTATTAGGTGGTAGCAGATACTGTATGCTGATATCAGTTGCCGTCAGTTCAACTTCTTTCGAGGTCGAAACAAGAAAAGAAGAAGAAGAACCGTTTTTGCGAAAGGACAGTAAAAGCAAGCACGAGATAGCAAAAGAGGTGGGAAAGAGAGAAACCCGCCCGTGGCAGCGGCACCCACCTCCCCATATCAATAACCACACCTTTCTTCCCATGTGGCGTCGGATATTTACCCCCCTTGCCGTCAGCAAATGTACCATCCAGCCCTCCATCTCCCCGATTTCACAGCGCACCCTTGTCGATAGCTCTTAGTGAGCACTGCTCCCACTCAAAAGCGCAAGGGTGCTTGGTTCGAAGGAAGTCTAGTTCTTACCAACTCTCCATTCATCCAATGGTGTCTTTGCTCCGTCAGCCTTGCTTATCCTTAGGCCGGGGCTGAGATGGTTGAGAGGACTCGCTTGCTCGTATTATGTTGCTAGTGCCATTGCATTGGAGCATCGCATAAGCCCGACGGGCGGAAGGTAGCCCGTGCGTTTTGTTCTCCTTCTGTTTCTATTCATCCATTTCTTCGTCTGCTGGCTCCGTCGTGGGAGAAACAATGGAGCTAGGTGGTGCGCAGGCGGCGCGGCCCCGAAAAAGCACTGTTCACGAAAACAATAGTCGCAGGGGCTCAGTACAAAACAAGCTCTAGGTCCGTAAATCTCGACGCGGGAAGTAGAGAGAAAGATAGAGAGCATGGGCGGTATGGTGATTAGGGCTCGGCATCTGAAAATGGCCAATGTACAGTGTGACTGCTGACCCCTCTCCGCCCAGTATACATTTTCTATAATTACCCCATCCCCTCCTCCCATAACGACATTATATTGGCTGTGCCTCTCAACGATGCAGTCTCGATATCTCGTTAGTATATGCAGGCACAGGTCACAAATAGCTGTATAGCTTTGTATGCCTTCGCTGTATCACCCCGGCATCACCGAGTTAACCATCGGTCTCCAGCTAAGGTGTACTGCGCCATTGTGGCCCACGATGAACAAGCTTTTCCTCAGCTACTGCCGGAAACTGCAGGTATTACATTGCGTTCCCCAAGAAGCTTAGCGCACCGTTCGACTGCACCTTTTGTTTCCTCCAAACAGCCAGTTGTAGGCCTCGCGCGGTGAAACATTTTTGCTTCGCCTGAAGAGCTGCATCAGCCATGCTTTCCCCATCTTTTGTTACTTTGTTTAGCGATTACGACTGGTTCATCCATCCACCTGGGCGGAGACAGAGAACGAAATCAAACTTTGTGAAGATTTCAGGACGACGAGGCTCGGAAATTCATAAGATGGCTGGCTGCCCTGTTACGGTTTGTTTAGGTCGCTCCACATGGTGAATCATACAAGTGAGGGACTGAGGCATCCATGACTATCGGGCACTACCACGCACGGGTGCTATTATTAGAGGGGCACTAGCCCATCACCTCACCCATATATCCCTACCTTCCACACCAATCTTTATGTACCTACACAACCTGATCGCATCAACTTTCTCTGTTCTCCAGGCTTGGCAACATAAAGCAGGCAAAGCAGATACACATATACAAGGCGATAAACACCGTGAACCCATTCAGCATCCCTTTAATAGCTCGCGAGGGTTGCGCCGTGCGGCAAACGGTGATGGACGATAGAGTCAGATGAGATGGATGAGATGAGACGAGATGGGATAAATGCATGTGATGTTCAAGTTTGCCGCGTCCTCAATATGTCAGCAGCGCTCAAGCTTTCGCAGCAGAACAAAACAGCACATTATTAACACCATCATCCTCGCAGCCGTTTCTATTCTTCGAGCTTCTATTTCCGTAGTGCGCGTTGTCCCCCTACCACCACCTAAACTTTCCTTCAACACGACATGGAAATTGGAAATTGGAATTTTGGAAAAGTGCATCCTTCGCTCGCCTTCTTCCCCTTCGTGAACGCTAACGAATCCAACAACCCCGAAAACTATGCCTTAAGCAAGAACAGTACAGAAAGAAGAAGAACCCAATGATCTGCAACAAGCCCACCCGAGCAAGAAAAAAAGGGGAAAATCACGCCACTAGCTAGCCATCTATCCCCTTTGGAAATCATTTCGGCCCCCAAGAAAACCAACCACCCTCTGGACCCTCCCCACATTAAAAAAATAGTCATTCGCAATCGCCTTGTTACCTAATATTGGCTCCACTTTTAAAGTTATCGCCGGGGGGGGGGGGGGCGAGCTTGTATGGGTTTGTCCTCCCGCGAGTGAAGAGAACAAGGTAAGGGTCCGGATATAACAGAGAAAAGAGACTACTATGTCGGAGATGTGCTTCCTCTCGCACGTAAAAAAAAATGTGTCCGAGAGTGGAATGAAATTACGATTGATTGACCGGATGGAGTATTTCATCTGGTGTGACATCTTGTTGATTACACTGATTCATTTTTGGATATGTTTTTTGAGGGAGGTGACAGATCTGTGTACTTAGTTGTACTACTTACTCCTTATGATAAGCGATTCTGTAGTATAGCACACGGCAGAAGCAATATTGTACTACTGGGCAATCATTCCTCTCCCTTGTTTTCCGGTCATTCGACCACATATACCTTCCCGTACACCATCCGGCTCCATCGACAGTGCCCTTCAAGCTTCATTCCCGTGTTTATTGGTCTTTCCGTCGCATAATATCTATATTTTACGAAGCAAATGAAAGTATACCATGAATGGAGGGGGTATATCGCAGATTGTTCAATCCACTAGTGTAGCAAGACAGGCAGCTTGGGATCTTCAATGATGAAGATCATCATTGCCATTCTTTATTTCAGCCATAGAAACCCTCCCGAGGTAAAGCCCTAAACGTAGAGACTAAACGAACTGCGCTTATATGAACATGTTGCTCAACGCTGATATCGCCATGATAATTTGCTTCACCCAATCAACGATCTGTGATCAGACCTATATAGACGCATTTGTCGACCCGATATTCTGAGAACCGACAGCACGCGTGAAGAAGTAGTGAGCGGTGACGAGAGATTACCCAGCGCATGTATTGCACTAAGACCATGCTGTGGTATGGCAAGATGGGATATGAACAGTCGGAAGTGAGGAAATATTTTGGTAAATTCGAATTTGTGAGTCGCCAGGAAAACATAACTCAGGGAAATGTAGCATAGAGGAAAAGAGACCCGCCGTGACGGCGTCTTTGCATGATGGCTAGTCAAGATGTGGAGAGAAAAGCAAGGAAATGTTGTGACTGAAACGCCAGGTAAATGCAAACTGAGACGAGGCAGTTTTGGTGTTATTCTCCAGCAATCCGCCCCTTAGCGTGCTTGATGCAAGTCATTCTGAGAGAGCTTCTTAGTAAGACGACTCTTTCTAGGGCCTAGGACTTGCTGTTGCCACGCGATGTGGGTTTGGACTCACGGAAAATAAACCGAGGGGTGGCATTCCTGGTGTCCTTGTGTGCAGTGGCGGGCTTTTCATATCCTCTTGTACGTAATCGGTGGTGAGATCGATCCGCATTTCTTGCTGTTCGAATTCTTTCCTCTTGTTGAGAATGTATTCCTTTACTTCGGGCTGGTGATAGCTAAGCATATCTCCCAGTGTAGATTTGTCAGATCGCAAAAGCTTGCCCCACTTCCTGCGTTGTTTGCGGTTTCGAATAGGATCCCAGACAGGGTGATCGTGCTCCACAAAAATGAGGGAGTGCTTGAAGATGAGATTGTTAGCTGAGAGGAAATAACAACCTGATACATTCATACACGTACCGCATAATACCAATTTCCAATATTGTCATCGGTTGGCCTTTTGATCGATTGTAGGGTGGTATCGGAAAGAAACCCGATCAAGCATTCTACCACGCTCTCATCATCGGTACAGTTTTCTGCATCTGTCAGCTCTAGGAAATGGCCGGCGCTTATCTTCAGAGCGTATGTACCGTGTGTTCCAAGCAAGTCCACCAGACCTAGATATGCTGTTCCAACTCCCATGAAAAATACTTGAGTCGCCTCGTGAGGTCTTGTAGATCACGTTAGTACTGTCACTTGTGCGGTCGGTGGGATGGACTAACTCGATATAGTTCTCCCAGATATACGCTGCAACTTCACGAGCTTGCTGGATCCTCACTTCAGGATCGTTTGCGCTTACGTACCCTCCGTCATCCTTCAATGAATCAGTGTAACTCTCACGATAAGACCGATGCTGGAACTTACATCTTCGACGAAAACCACCTTTGGTATATTCACATCGATAACTTCGAAGTCATTTTCCACGGCCCAATCAATATAGTCCTTCGCACTATCAGTCTTGCACAGTTGTCAGCAGCTGGATAGCACAGCACAGTGCGAATGAACTCACCAACCACATGTTATGCAACTCGGTACGGCCGGTGACTGGATCAGGCTGAATCGTGACAGCAGGCGGGTCGTGAAATACGACGAGGAGGGGATGCCGTCCCATAAAATCGGGTCTATATATATCAGTAAAGCACTAGACATAACAGACGATTGTACACACGTGGCTACAACTTCATGCTGAAACGTTTCAGCTAAGCCGGAGTTGTTGATCATCAATGGTATCATGCAGTGTTCCTGTGATAGTTCATGGCTTTGCCATTCTCGGATGACATTATGCATGCGCTTGGTAGCCCCTAAAGCGGGTCCGGTCCTGTCCAGCTGCTTAGGAAACAGACATTTCCAATACCTAGAATGCTGCTGTTTGACTTTGGAGACTGTTTGCACGGCAGATGGCTTAGGGCTCAATCCTTGCTCGAGCCGCTCAGGGGGCTGCAACATGAGAGTTCTTGTGACCGCCAGAGCGGACCGAGCAATGGACCGCAGATTATAGCCCCCTTCGAGACATACTGCGACCTTACCTTCAGCTACTCTCATAAGCATATGTGTCATATGTGCATAGCAAGCTGGTGTGACGTGGCAGCCTCCAAGCAAGTCCCCTTCAGCAGCATCGAAACCTGCGGAAATGATGATCAGGTCAGGGTCGAATTCGGTTGCTATAGGCATGACCACTTCTTGAAAAGCATATAAGTACTCAGCATCGCCCATGCCGTGGTCTTCCCAGGGTATATTGACGTTGCGCCCCAATCCAGCCCCCTCCCCACAGTAGGTCAGATCTCCGTCCGGTAGATTGGGATAAAAGTTACCCCCCCTGAATACGTGCAGAGATACGTATAGAACATTCGGATCGTCATAGAAAGCATGCTGGACACCATTACCGTGGTGGACATCCCAGTCCAAGATCATGATTTTCCGACACTTGTCTGGGAAGTCATTCTGGCAAACGCGGGCAGCGATGGGGACGTTGTTGAAGATGCAGAAGCCAGACGGTTGGTCACTCTCGGCATGATGTCCAGGTGGGCGAATGATGGCGATGGCGTTGCGAACGTCACCTCGAACCACAGCTCTGCAAGCTTCAATCGCGCCACCCGCTGCGAGTGTTGCGCTCAAGAATGTCGAGTTATGGAAGTATATCGAATCATGTTGATCCGCAATATTCTTGAGCTCTGACTCCTGTTTATCTACATAAGATCAGATCAGCGAATCCAGTGGTGGGGACCACGTGATATGAAGCATTGGATAACATACTTTGCAAAGACGCTATGAAATGATAGTGTTTTGGCGTGTGGATGAGACAGATCTCGCCTTCGGAAGCGGGCCTAGCCAAAATTCTCCAGCACTGTTCGTCGGCTGCGTCTTCATCGAGATCGTCTGCACCTTGCACTAAACCAGCTTGCTGAATTTCATTGAATATCTCAGATATGCGCCGGGGGTCTTCAGGATGTATGCCGTCTTCGAGAATAGCATCCGAAGACTCTGCATGGAATTTCATTTTGGCATCGTAAACTAGGCCGGTTTTATTCGACGAGTAAGGTAGAGGTGGGAATCTGGGGGGAGGTGGAATGATCACCCTGACGGCTGAAGCACGAACTACTTCCATGGGTTCTGGAAAGCTGGGCACATCATCTGGTAAGCTGTCCGAGCTGTACTTTAAGCTATCCGTAATGAGGGACGGCTTGGATGCCATGCCAGCCTTGGTTGTGTCGCCAGAATCGCCATATATGGACTTGCCTGTCGTTAGGAAATCCGGTGGTTTCGTGAGCATCGTAGCAGGATTGATGGTCGCGGGATTTCCCCCATATATCGCTTCCGTTGACTCCAAAATTGATTCGTTCATAAAGATATCATCTTCGTCGGCAAGTTCTTCGTCGCCTAGTATTGTAGCCATGGAACAAGCGATGTTTCGTGTGTGATGTTTATCCGATGTGGCTTCTGTGGACTGGTTAGTCACGTCTTTGAGTTGTTCCCTCTAAAATGTTCTATAATGTCTGACAAGGCGGGTGATCGTCGCAGCTTGATCTAACACCACATGTAGGATGATCTTGATAGCTGGAATCAGTGCTCTAGCTCTTGGAAGAGCAGCGTCCCTTGACGACCAAGCAGCAAGAAATAATGATAATAACAATCCTAAGTAGCTTGTGGGATGCAACCAGGCGATGGAAGAAATGTCTTACTCACGTCTCAATATGGAGAGTATCACTTCATAGCACTGTCGCTGACTTTCGAGATGAGTGGTTTTTTGCACCTTTGGACCCAATCCGAGATTACCCGCGACACTGAGGCTTCGAAGATCTTGACACTGATTCGCTGATGCCCTCAACCAGGAAAGCCGGGTATCACTTGTAGCTCTGAAGCGATGACCCAATCAAGGGTTATGTATGCTGCGGTCCCGTGATACAAGATCCTGTGGAAAGGATTGCGAGGCGATACACGCAAAGATTAGTGGTCTAGAGTAGTGACTAGTCAATTATGATGAGAGTTGCAAAAAGCGCCCTGATGAGGCTAGAAGTCGAGGTGGTCGTGAGTTGCGCTGGTTCGAAAGGGAAGTTGATGGTACTGTCGCGACTAGGACGCAGCACAACAGTCTTGGCAACCAGATCGCTCGCTCTAAGCCTAATCCGGACATACACAATACAGACAACCTTGAAATCTTTGGAAGCATCTATCGTGGTTTATAGTTCTGTTAAGTTATTTCTCGACTGCGAATCAGGTATTCGGATTTTTTATACCTGTTGCACGACCTAAGGTAGTCTATTCATTACGCGAAGCTGATTGTCACGCAAGAGCTCGCGGGGACATCCGGAGAAGAAGTAAGGGTACAGAATCTGTCTTTTGGCATCTTAATTGAGAGCATAGTATATACCGCCACTCACTCGTTATGCACAGCCAAATCTGACCTCTTTATCGACTGGAATCATCGTAAAGCGTGGTATCATTCATTGAGTGATCATATCATATTATTTGTCTTGCATCATAACTATTTGTTGCTTGGAACGCCTGCTTTCTTATAGCTTGGGCATTGCCTGGCTCTGTCCTGATTCCTAAGCGGCACCATCTACCTTGGCGATGTACACCAAGAGATCGAGCACCCGGCGAGAGTAACCCCACTCGTTGTCGTACCACGAGACCAACTTGACGAAGTTCTTGTTCAGGGAGATACCGGCCTTGGCATCGAAGATGGATGAACGGTTGTCACCAATCAAGTCGGTGGATACGATCTCATCCTCGGTGTAGCCGAGAATACCCTTCAATTGACCCTCAGAAGCCTCCTTGACGGCGGCCTTGATCTCGTCATAAGTAGCGCCCTTCTCGATACGGGCAGTAAGATCAACGACGGAGACGTTGGCAGTGGGAACACGCATGGACATGCCAGTGAGCTTGCCGTTGAGGTCGGGGATGACCTTGCCAACAGCCTTGGCGGCACCAGTGCTGCTGGGAATGATGTTCTGAGCAGCGGTGCGGCCTCCACGCCAGTCCTTGCTGGAAGGACCGTCAACAACCTTCTGGGTGGCGGTGTATGAGTGGATGGTGGTCATCAAGCCCTCGATGATGGTGAACTTGTCGTGGATAACCTTGGCGAGAGGAGCGAGGCAGTTGGTCGTGCATGAGGCGTTGGAGAGCACCTCGATGTCCGACTTGTATGTCTCCTCGTTCACACCCATGACGAACATGGGAGCATCTGCGGAGGGAGCAGAGATGACAACCTTCTTAGCACCGCCCTTCAAGTGAGCCTTGGCCTTGTCGGTGGTGGTGAAGACACCGGTGGACTCGACGACGTAGTAAGCGCCAGTCTCGCTCCAGGGGATGTTGCCGGGGTCCTTCTCGGTGTAGAACTTGATGGTCTTGCCATTGACCTTGAGGTTGTTGCCGTCAACTTCAATGGTGCCCTTGAATTGGCCGTGGGTGCTGTCGTACTTGAGCATGTAGGCCTATCCGTTCGTTAGCCTTGGGTTCACAACGACGGACCGTCTTACTCGCAGAGAGCGGGTGAGAAGGAGACGAGAAGATGACTTACGGCATAGTGGGGCTCAATGAAAGGGTCGTTGACGGCGGTGATGAGGACATCGTCGTGCTCAATGCTGCAGATGCTAGTCAGCAAGAGGAACGAGCAGGCGAAGAGGTGGAGGTCAAGACTCACGCGTTGCGGAAGACGATCCTGCCAATGCGGCCGAAACCGTTGATGCCGACCTTTACGACCATGTTAGATGTGATGGGAATGTGAGGAGGGGTGTTGGTGGGAGGTAGGTAGAGGTTGGTGGTGGAAGAGTGGTGGAGGAGGGGCGCAGAAACAAAAACAGAGACACTTTGTTGGGTCGTGGTGGGGTTGAGGGAGGGGCTAAATAGTCAGTCAGGTCGAGCACGGCGGACGTCACGTCACACACGGACGCAGACGCAGACGCAGAAGTTCTAGGCGGAAGAGCTGCAGTATGTTGTTTTACTTTTCTGTAATGGCAACTGCGGCGCCGGGACGCCCAATAGCAGCAGACTCTTTGCCTCCCGCCCACCCACGCATCCGGCCGGCTGCTCAGTGTCTTGTCTGTCTGGTGCATCAGACAACCTTACTCGGACGCGGCGGTGGCCTGGCCAGCCGACCTGGTGGTGCCATCGCTCATCACTCATCCATCAACCCATGAGCAGCAACCCGGCTTCGACCGGATTCGAGCCTGTACCGGCTCTCCTCTTACTTTTTCAAGCAGCGTCTGCTTGCTATGCGGTTGCGAAGAGCTCAACCGAGTGGGAAAAAACGAACAAGACAAGAAAAAGGAAATTGGTTGTCAATCAAAGCATTTTCTTTTACTCGTTGCCCCACCGCTGAGCACCAGCCGCAGCCCACCACCGCCCGCCGGCTTCGCAGTCAAATCAAAACATGCCCAGAGATTCAGATTTGGGCGAAGCCGGCGCCACGGGAAGGAAATTTTGATTGAACCCTCGCAGCATCATCAACATGGCGGATGACTGGTGCGTGGGATCTTGGTGGTATCCTGTCCTATAGTGTGTGTATGTGTGTGTATGCACCTTCCGGGGCCGCCATTTGATAAGGATCGTGACAGTGCATCATTATATTATGCAGGCGCAGTTTTCTCCCAGCGCGCGGATAGGCCGTGATTTGCGTAATTCGCGGCAATCTCACCGCCACAGTCGGACCCAGCCTCGCGTGATGTTGCCGTGTTGTTCAGGTGCGACGGTTGTTCAGTCACTTTGCAAGTGGTCGTCTGTCTTTTAGAAACGCGGGAGACGCACCACTGTCGACAGTGGTGAGATGGGGAGAGGCGTTTACTAAGTAGCGTATCCGCGGCCGGGAGCCTAGACAAAGAACACCATTAGTAGCTTCAAAACGAGGGTACATATTCTTGACTTACCCGCGGCATAGCCTTCTTGTGCGATGCCAGCCAGCATGGATCAATGGATGGAGAACTGATGGTCGATGTACCTGCAGGAGCAAAAGGGCCCGAGATGGCGATCCAAGAACTTCATAGGGCTGACCTCTCTCACCTGCTGCCTCAACTCAATTCGTCTCTTTTCGTCTCGTCTCGTCGGGCCGAGGTCTTTTTTCCAATTGGTGCTGAGGTACTTGTGGTCCCATCCATTCTTCCATTAATCCTATCATCCATCCATGGCCATGTTCAAATACATACACACATGGAGCAATAGGTCAAGTTTACCACTGGAAGCTTTATACATGGATAGGAAGTTGCAAGACCTCAGGCCAGGCACGAGAATGGGAGATGCATCGTTGACTGGCATGTCCATACATGTACGCATGCCAGCATCATTAATTAAAGTTCCGATAACGATATGTGATATCCATACTAATGGCAGGCACATTGCCTACAGCACCTACATATATATGTATGTGATGTGGTACAGACAGGATTGTGCGCGCACCATCCATGAACCCGGCCCAACGCACTACAACAATGCCTTTTGCTTACCTCCTCTCGATAGATGCGATAGATAGATATAAGCAAACTGGTGTTTTAATAGTGCCCGACACCAGGAAGTAGCAAGTGTAGCCCTATGGAGCATCTGGGGGGATTAGGATTTCCGGGAATGGCATGTTTTTGGGCGTCTGTGGCCAATCATGAGCTCCGAGTTGTTGAGTGGTGGAGTGATCAGGATGCCAAGCAAATCAGAAACTACGAGCTTGCTCGCTCCTTCTTCGCGATAATCCCATCGTCACCTCCCCATCCACACCCACCGACCCATTGGCACTCAGCGTTCCCTCGACGGGAACTGACTCCCTCTCCTTTCGTAATCTAGCGACAATCTCCACTCTCCACTCTACCCATTCGCCATGTTGCGAACCTCAATCGTCCGGGCCGCCAGGAGCTCAGCTTCTGTCGTCCCATCCACCGCGACCCGTCAAGCTGTCTACACGCCCCGCATCGCACCCGTCGCCTGCGCCCAGCAGCAGCAGCAGATCCGCCAGGCCCATGCCATTTCCAATCCCACACTCGCCAACCTCGAGAAGCGATGGGAGGATATGCCTCCTCAGGAGCAGGCCGACCTGTGGATGTCGCTGAGGGACCGCATGAAGGTTGACTGGAAGGAGCTTACTCTACAGGAGAAGAAGGCCGGTGCGTATACCTACCCCATATCTCGCCATTGGATCCTCTACCTGCCTATATGACGTATCCATATGTTCCCCAGCTACCTGTATCGTGTTTCGGTACAATCTCGGGGCTATCGCACAACGTGGTTTTCTGGAGCTCAGATATCGTAAAGGGAAACTAACTCATCACTTGTTCACAGCCTACTACATCGCCTTCGGTCCCCACGGCCCACGACGACCCCCTCCCCCAGATGAGGGCCGCAAGGTCTTCTTCCTCTCTGCCGGCGTCATCGCTGCTGCTGTGGCCGTCTTCTCCATCGTTCGCATGTTTGCCAACCCTGTCCGACCACGCACCATGACCAAGGAATGGCAGGAGGCGTCCGAAGAGTACATGAAGGTATGCTTCGATCGCTACCACAAGTGCATCTGCGCAATTCTTGATATCTGTGCTAACACGCTTTGCAGGCACAAGGAACTGAGCCCATCACTTTCAAGCCTGGAATGATGGTTCAGAGCAAGTCTGAGAAAGACCTTAGCCCCAACGAGAAGCTTAATGATGAGTAAAAGGTTTTCACAAGGCTAAACAACCACTACCAATACACTACTTTTTCCTTGGGTTCATATTTCCTCACTTGGTCCTGTTTGTGTGCTATATTTCAAATCAAGAGAGGGCTACAAGCTCAACGGTAAAGAGTCGCCGCTCGGTTGGCATTGTCATATTAGTCCGCCTGTGTACAGAAAATTTAGAGAGGCATTTTCAGCATGGCTTATTTCCAAGATGTGTTCGACGTGTGCTTCACAGCCTCTGGTCTCTCAACTCATTCTTGCTCGGCGGTGGGCCATTTTTTGGCATGTATAATCCACAGCTATCACTCCAATCTATGGGTTCTCCTCTTCGGATTCTATAGTTCGATGGATAGCACTATGGTGCCAGCCTCGTTCACTTGATACAGATACGGCGCAGGAGTAGCAAGCTCTGCACTGCCTGAACGCGTTTTGAAATTGAAACAAACCATGGGCATTGGTTTCGACATCTCTAGGCATGTCTGTAGGCTTCGATTCCGGCCAGCCGAGTCAATGTTTGTCTGATATCTCTCCATCCGCGGCCGATACTACGCAGCTAGCAGCATGCGTGAGACATAACATAAGCAGGCGGACCGGAACGTACGTTCAAAAGACCACGATTTGCTTCCAGGTGTGTGGCCAAGTATCATATCTCCCCGGCCGAAGAAACGATCCTGCGGCCACGGCGCGGAGCGGGGTGTCATGTGGCAGATGGTGGCAAAATAGGCCATCCTGTCAAAGCCACTGAGATACATTGGATGGGCTTGAACGTAGATTATCTTCGTAGAAGACGTTGATGGCGAGCAGTATGAAAGGTTATGTTTTGGTTGGATGGCTGCGATGTCGTAGGTCAGTCTCAGTTGGTGAGTCGGCTGAGTCAAGAGAGATGGGACGGTGCAACGAGGGCTTTGGTATGATATCTTTATCATCGAGAGTCTATTCACTCTCCCAAGACCTTCAATTGTGCCGAGGAAGAAGGATTGATGCCATCGAGTAGTTTCGTGTGTTTGCACGAGCAGATGCTTTCCTGAGGCCATTCATCGAATTTCTCCTCGAGATCAACTGAATGTACGAACACACAGAAATTGAGCTTCACGCCTAGAGAGTATGCATCTAGATGCTAAGACGACCTGGTTAGTTTCTGCATCGATTATCAATTGAATTGATTACTGACACAGTCACTCTTTTTTTGGTTGCTCCTCGCTCTACTTGGTGAAGAGGCTTATCATGATGGGTCGTCAAATAGGACATGCAGACCTAAAGCACTATATCTCGACTCAGATAGCAAACAAAAAAGATCCAAGCATTCATACCAGAATCTCAAAGCTGTCATAACTGTGAATCTTCATGTGTGCCTATATGATTTGCCTCCTGTAGACCATGGACATCAAATGCTGAGTAATCGCCATCGGCGGTTAACCACCTACAACCCCCGACATCCATTCCACACCTCTCGGGAGCTCCGTGAAGTTTTCTAGAAACGTCATTCCGCGAACAACATCCCCAAACATCACTGTTCCCATTCTCGCCCATCCGTACCAATCACATCTCAATTCACACATACACATCCAGAATGTTCGGAGGTACGTTCACCCTCCGCAATTGACGAAGCGCGTACACGGATCCTAGCTAACGCGAGATTGCCTCGTTACAGCACCACCGCAACCTTCGCCAGCCGAGCTCGAGGCCGCCGAGCGCGAGACCGTTGGATCGATTAAGCTGGTCGCTGCTGCCGCCGCTGTTTTGTACTTTTGTACGTATATTTCCCCCATGACTCCTTGCATGCCTTCTAGAATCCGGCACGGAGACTTTGGGTATGTTTGTGCAGAGGGAGAGCATATTAGCTGACAGTTTTGGTGGATCGTCTAGCACCTTTCCTTGTCGAATACATGCCCAAGGTTTTTTAGGTAGAAGCCTAGTTTTTCGACTGCGGAGTCTGCATCATTGGATGCTTGGGATGGACGACCGGAATATCGAGTGCTGTTCTTTTTCTTTCGGACGGTGACACCGGACGACGATGCGCCCAACTAGATCCCGTCAAGACTTCGATTACTTTATTCGCGTTTCTATCATGAATAACCAGACACTACATTGTAACATTATTGGATGCATGGGCGGGCTGAGGCGCTGACATGCTTGTAAACTACAACTATTACGACATGATGGAAAGAAATCCAAGGGTCGTTTTTCTTTTAGAGATGGAAAGCTCCGAAAACTATACAACAATTGTATTAAGTGTCACCTCTCTAGCAATGCCCGGCTCGTGATGTCGGCTCTATGGGTTCGCCTGGATTTGCTATTCAAATAGGCACCAGATCATCGTTCGTCGAAAGATTGGAACCCCTCGCCCAAACTCGCCTTGCTACATGCTGCCTCTACGGTGCCGGCGTTACCTCGTTATGCTGCTGACCGAATATGCCAACAGTGGCCTTCGTACTCAAATTGATCGTACATGCTCCCCCGTTACTTTTTATCTTCTCATGGTAGAAGACCTTGTGGGCGGCTTTCGCTCCTTCTCCGCCTTCTCCCATTCCTCATACTCTGTAGCCAGCTCGTCTGTCTCTTTCTTGAGATGCGTGAGTTGTCTATCGTAATCTTTGAGAATCTGCATTTTGTTAGTATCGGGGAAACTGAATACCAATGTTGACTACTCACTTTATCCAGAGACTGCAAATCGGACTCCGAGAGAACCTCAGACTCTTGCTGACCGTCGACCGCTTTGCCTAATCGCTCTGTTTCTTTCTCTAATATATGCGCACGCTCTCGCACTCCAGACATGCGCGCCCAGATTTCTTCTTGTCGACCTCCGAGGACAGGGTCAAAGGTCTTCTTTTCGAGTTCCACAAGTTTCTTCTTAAGCTCTTCTTCCGCTTGGTCCATGACATAGCCACGGTTCCTCAGAATCTGTACCTTTGTCGCAAGGGTCAGGATTCGCTGGGTGTGTACGATGTGTTTCCTCCTCGCCTCGGATATCCGTTGTGTCACGTTCAGTTCGTGCTGGTCCTTCATAAGTGACAGACTATTGTTTATCTCGTGTAGTCGTGTGCGCAATCCGGTGACCGCTAAGCTTTGGTACTGGATCCGCGCTGCTATCTCCTCAAATCCACGCACAAGGACGGGTATGTAGCCAGGGCTAGGCTTCTTCGCAAGTGCTTCCTCCCATTTGCGCTCATCTTCGTAAGGAGAGGGACCGTAGAACGCCGCTTCGTCTGGATTGACTGAATTGTAGAAGTAGTATTGGAACACACATTCCGGGCTAGTAGGATCCCACTTATTGAAAATGGTCTTAATTTGCTCTGGGACAGACTTTTCTCCTTCAAACATTTTAGTGAATGCCAAATACCATGTTCATGATTAACGTACTTTGGCCACTCAAAGATCCACTCGCCCACGAATCTTTCGTGCTTTGCCTTAGCTGAGGAAGGCCTTGTTGGCTTTGCTGCAATTGTTGCGCCTGAGCTGCAGTAAGAGTAGGCGCTGGTTGTAGCCGTCCACCGAAGAGACTGTTACTCAGATTCGGTTGTGGCTGTTGAGCCTGACTTTGGCCAAACAGTCCCCCCGTACTTTGCTGCTGCTGCTGCTGCTGCTGCTGCTGCTGAGGTTGCTGCTGAGGTTGTCCGAACAAGCCCCCGGTTTGCTGTTGCTGCTGCGCTCCTCCAAATAGGCTGCTGCCGGCATTGGCAGGCTGCGCACCACCAAAAGTACTGCCGCCAGTATTTGTCGATTGCGCACCACCAAAAAGACCACCGCCGGTACTTGCGGGTTGCGATGCACCGAAGAGACCGCTGGAGTTTTGCTGCTGAGTTGTCTGTGGCTGCGACTGACCGAAAAGACCCCCGGGTGGTGCAGATGTGCTCCCGAAGAGCGTTCCGGTCTTCTTCTCAGGCTGACCGCCAAACAACGACATGTCGAACAGTTAAGCCGGGCTGGGAGATGTTAAGGTGGATGGTCGCGACGCGTTGTGATCAGGTGCACGCAAAATAAATTCCCTAAAGCCTATCGCAGGTGACTAGCAAGGAGGGCTTCAGATGCACAGGGACTGTAGGTGACTGCGGTCGAGGAGGGAAGCGAGAGTGATGGTGGTTGAGGAACAGTCCGCAATGGATTGTTATTGTGTACTGGGACCCGCTATCAAAGAAGTCGTTGCGTTGATGTTCGAGCTGCGGCAAGCTCCCGCCAATCACCTGCTCGTCTGGCTTGCTTATGTCATTTTGCTGCGGCCAACGCTTCCAACAACGACCTTCGACACCAGGCTTTTGGGCGCAGAGTACCCGCCATTGGCACCCCGGATTCAAGATGTCGTCCCGTCAACCCAGGTAATTTTCCTTCTAAAGCTTTTCCGCAAGACTTGGAAGCTAATTCGAACGCAGATTCAACCAAGAGAACCTCATCGACACCACCCCTCTCCCCGACCACATCCCCAAGGTCAAGGAGCTCGGCGCCAGCTCTGCACCCCTCCTTAGCGCTTCTTACTTCATCGGTGCGCGATGCAAGGACTACAACGATGACTACATGATGTGCAAGACCGAGGCCAACGGTCGGGGTGAGCTGGATTGCATGAAGGAAGGCCGTAAGGTCACCAGATGTGCGGCCAGCGTGTAAGGCTTCCTATGCCCAGATATATCGGATATAGCCCGGCTGATGCGCGCGATAGGATCAAGGACTTGAACGATCATTGCCTGGCAGAGTTCCGCACTCACTGGCAGTGTTTGGAGAACCACAATCAGCAGCTCTGGAACTGTCGATCAGAGGAGCGAAAGCTGAACAAGTGTGTATTTGACAAGCTGGTAGGTTCTGTCTCTTCACTGCGTTGCAGCGCTCCTAATCAGTTGTAGAAACTCGAGAAGACGATACCCGACACACCCAAGGGCGAAACCCCAGTTCATCTACGAGCACGCCAGATCTTTTCGACTCACTAGCTTTGTATTTTATTATCCATTATGAAGAATTATCCAAAGAAACCCTTCTAGAACCTTACCGTATGTTTGTGACGTGGACGCGGTCAAGTTGGCAGGGTTGCCTTGATCAAACCTCACCAAGTGTGTGACCTTGCTAAACGCACTGGTTTGGCCCTCCACCCAATTCAATACACAGCACTCTCCAAATACCACATTATTTTCTTGCTCTCTTCCGTAATCCTCTATCTCGGATAACTACATCTCTTGGTCAACACGGTTGCCATGGCGAGTAACGGTGAAGTTATTCGCTCCCACTGTACGTGAAGTATTGCTTCCGTCGTCTCACTCATGTGCCTACTACTTGCGCGTTTATGGCTCCCGCGTCCTCAGTCAATTTACTGTGACTCCTACCTCTATTGTGACTGCGATAGTCACACTGGAGCCTTTTGTCGACTCCTGTCGTCCTTCCGAGTCGTATATAATCTTCTTTATTCCACACCCACAGCCTTTTGTCACCGAAGCTGATCTCGCGACTCATCATACTGGACAGCGCATATACATTCATACGTCGATTCAAAGCCTAATCATACAGAATATCTACGCATCTGTTGTACTTCCACCATGGCATCTGTCACCTGCACTATGACCGCGCCGCCCCTTGACCCTTTCGACGACGTATATGCGCTTTCCGTAGAAAGTGCTACTATTTCAGATTTCGAGGATAGAAATGGATTCGATGGTGGGTGCAAGCAAGAAAAGGTTGACAGCAACACTGTCCGATATCCACATCATTCGTCCGTCCCGATCATCGACAGTCATTCACCTATTCCGGGTCTTGCAGCCGCTGGGTATGGGCTGGTACCGGGAACACGTTGTTCTACGCCAAAACAGCAGTTTCCTTGTCAGGCCATCGAGTGGTCAGACCAAGACTTGTGTAAGTTGATCTACTACTGTATTCGCAATTTTGAATAACAGAACGGTAGACTATCTCGTCTACACAAGATTCGGCGAAAGAGTAGCCAACAACTACTCCACCTCCACGTCCTACTACTCCACTGGAACCGACTCCACGAACCTTGTTACCCTGCAGCTCACGTACTACGAACCTGCCACGCCCACCAGCTACTCCGCTGACGCCCCGATCGGCACTGGCCGCCCTGTCATCAAGGTGCTCGCCAGATCTCAGCCGAGCGCCAGTCTTCCTCAAGCTAGACGCTCCATCGCTGCCGACTTGCTATCGTGTACGGATACCCTAAAGCATGCCATCCGTAGCGATGCGCTCCTTGGCGATATATATCCACTGAGCGAGGCGGAGCTGAAAAGTATCAGGTCTGCGATGGTGTTGATGAGGTACATATCAGAAGAAGAGTGGGACGGTCGACGCGCGCAGCTCCAAAATTCTGTGGGTGGAGAATCGGAAGATGGTGAGCTAGTGAGTCCGGAGGTGAAACTCTGGAGCATCCATGCAAAGCTGGAGTTGTTTCTGTTAGAAGTAGGATACTATGAGTTTAGCACATGGTTTGCACAGATCAACGACGCTGTGGGGATGAAGAGCGAGGAGAGGAGGACGTTGGCAAGGGGTTTCGGATATAGGGCGAAGTGGTTGGAGAGGGCACTGAACGAGTGTTAAAGGTGGGAGGCGGCGACGGTTGTGCAAGCCTTCATGCTGATACTCCCCGTGGGGATCTATTAGCACCCATTCTATGTGTGAATAGTTTGCCCAATGATATCTGGCTGGGCGGTATGAAGTCAGATCCATGACTGGTAAGTCAGCTTCATGCTACGCTATTCACAGGGTGGAGTCTTGTAGCAATGTAGGATAGGGTGGGGCTTTCTTGTAGGTGCTTGTGTCTTGGTCTTGCCTATGGCGGGTATATAACTGATGTATTAACAATTTTCAACATGATTCGGAGTCTCTCCTCAACGCCCTGGTGGTCTAGTATTGAATAGTCTGCCCCTCAAGCTGGCCCGGGCTGCTGCAGGCGAGCTTCTTAAGAAGGAACTTCCATCAAGGATGGAGCTGCTCCCCTCATACTCCATACTCAGTCTGGTATTCCTTCCGACTTGTGGAGGTGTTTGCGTTTGTACATTCCTTCTAATAAATGCAGCCCCTGAGCTCCGTCGATTCGATCTTCTCCTGTTCGGGGGAGGAGGTGGCGCTCGGAAAGCGGATGAAGGGCCCTCATTTTCTGAAGATGAATCGATGAGTGAGGAATCGGTGTGTTCATAGCTACCAGCTTCCGGTATATCCTCATCTAGATCGCGTTCTTCCTGAAGAGTACCCGACATGGACGCTTCCTCCATAGCGAGCATTTGTGATACATGGCCTTCAAGCATGCTGCCCTCAATGAAAGAGTCCTCGTTGAAAGTAACATCGGCTGTCTGCCTTGTCGTGTTGCCTTCTTCCACTTCGCTATCGCTGTCACTTTCGTCCTCGCTTTCGCTCATGTCACTCTCGTCCGCTTCGGCCTCGGGTACTTCGTCATCCAGGTCTCGCTCTCCTTCAACATCTTCCATATCCTCCGCACCCTCTCGAGCCTCGGCATTAGCAGTTTCCTGTTGCGCAGCCTGCAAGTCCATCATAGCCTGTTCGCGCCTTGCAAGTGCTTCCTGCTCCTCCCGCTCTGCTTTCTCATCCTCGCTTGCTTGGAACGTTTTGAGGACGCCGGGCGGCCGGATCCAGGTCGCACCATAACGCTGGATGTTCAGTTTTCGTTGGGATATCTTGTTTTCTTCCGAACTAAGTTGCGCAAGTAGGCCCCTTGAAGAGTTGTAATGGTGGTCGTGTTGTGGGTGCGAGGCTCGTTGATGGTTGGGGTTTGCGGGGGATGAGGGGGCATCGTCATAGATTATAGGGTGGGTGGTACGCAGAGACGGCCACAAAGAAGAGTCCTGTGAGTTCGTGATTAGATATAAATTTCAGACAGCTCGCATTGAATGTGTACGAGGAGCTTGTAGATTCGCCAGAAAAGTCTCCCGGAATGTCTGTTATGGTGTGGGTAGGAGGAGCCTTGGAACATACTGACCGCTCGCGGTGGAATGGTGGGAATGGACAGCATGGCGAAAAGGGGGTCGCCTGTCAGTTCAAATTGGACTCGAGCATTACCGGTTACGTAGATTGTGAGGGTGGTGAGTGTATCGCATGTCGTGAGTATGCGGTATGGTTGCTCAGTATGCGATGTAAATACCCGCACGGACCAGAATGGATTTGGACCGAACTGCCCACCCAGGCCACCCCACCCGACACTGTACAGAATGCATTCCGATTTCTCTGGTATGGTCAAACGCAACTGCAGAGTAGTTGCTGCTGCCAGCTGTTTATCATGACATCGCTTACAAGCCCGAGTTCCTGTTTCTACCCCTTGTCGCCCCGTAGAATCCAAAGATGCTTCACCATGCAATCCACAACAGTGCGTATACTTGGGTACACGGAAGCTACAAGGCGTGCCATGGACGGAGTGTCACGTATAGAAATAGAGAGGTCTGGCCCTCGGTATGGAAAGAAAAGGAAAAAAGAAAGAAAAAGCATATACAGTAGCTAGTGTACGCCTCCGGTATGTCGTTGGTTATGCATGGTTGACTAACTAGAGACGACTTGACAGCGGCATCCCCACCACTATGAGGTAGTCGAGCCTGCACGGTCCCCCCAGTCTCTACCAGCCCATGTCCGCCTGAACCCAACCATCGCATCCTCTCTGCAGATCAGAGCAGGGAGGGCTTCGTGTTCCGCATCGCTCCCCTGCTTTAGTCGTGCTCTCCCACCATCATGGCACAGCAGCTTGCCCGGCGGCTAGAACCCCATGGCCCGCACTGCGCTCAAGTGTCCAACACCACGTTGCCCTTGACCTTGACCGAGCAAGACCCCTTGCCCACTATGTGCGACCTTCCCGTGACGGCCATGCTGCATTGGGATCCTCCCACAGCTCAACTTGGCGTCTGGGTTCAACCCCATTGCCGCTCAGACACTCCTCAGCCACCCATCCTGTCCCAGCTTTAATTGAATACGAGCTCGTCTTCGCCGACCTGACTATCCCCCATCTATCTCTTTGCTGTCTCCACTCTGCCTTCGCCCATCGCGAATGCCTCACGACGCTCTCCAACGGGGACTTGAGTCGAGTCAAAACCCTCTGGGACTGTAGTCACCATCTATCCGTGAAATGGTTACCATGTCGTCAAGACGCACCGTTTTGAGGTTGGTTTGTCTGTTGCAAGCCGTCGGCTTCCTGCGCGGTACACCGCTAACCGTTACAGTGCGGATCTGAAGGAGAGGCATGTCAACATGATGGCCTTTTCCGCCTGCATTGGCTTCGGCTTGTTCCTGAACAGTGGAAAGGCCATCTACATCGCCGGTCCTGGCCTTGCCATAGTTGCTATGGTGCTGGCCTGCTCCGTCATGTGGGCAGTCGTGGCTTGCTTGGGGGAAATGACAGCCTTGTTTCCCGTACAAGGACCACTTTTTGAATTCCCAGGCCGATTTCTGGATGAAGCGGTGGGGTACGCGACCGGCTGGGTAGGTACGGTCCGCTCTGAGCCGTGCCGCGAGTTGACCTTGAACAGATAACATGGTTTGCCTGGGTTGTCATTCTTGCGGCCGAGATACTTGCTGTGGCTCAGCTATGGAAATTCCGTTTCGAGCCAGAGTACCTCAAATCAGTGGGGTATCCCGAAACTCAACTTGGGTGGAGTACCGAGGGATACAGTCCAGCAGTGTGGGTGTTTTTATTCCTCGTGCTCATTGGCTTGATAAACATGCTACCCGTACGCCTCTACGGCCAGATCGAGTACGTCTTCGGGGTTGTCAAAATTGTCTTCATCTCGCTCTTGATCGTTTTTAATGTCATACTCTCCGCAATACAACGAGTCCATCACGACTCCCACTTCTGGACTTGGGAGAGGCCGTGGGGTTTCGCTTCCGACAGCATGATCGTCCACCCATCGCACGATACCGACCCAGGAATTGTACTACGGGGTGATGTGGGACATTTTCTAGCGCTTTGGACAGCGACAGTAACTACACTATTTTCATTCGTGGGTATGTAATATTCCCAATTGCGATCAGACGAGTAGAAGGGTACACCGTGTACAGAAGCGCTTTCCATTGGAGATTGCTAACATGACACCTTGTTTCTTCAGGCTTCGAAACCATCGCTATCACTGCTCCGGAAAACAAAGATCTGGAAAAACACGAAACCATCAAGCTCGCGACCAAGAAACTCACCATGCGCATCACGATCCTTTACATTCTTGGAACCTTTGTGGGCGGTCTCAATGTACCTTGTAAGCATATAATAACACTGTCGACGGGCTCTATTGACATATACAAGACGATGACGTGAACCTGGTCAATATTCAGATCAACAGTGTACGCGCCGGGCACAATAGTGTGTTTGTTCTTGCGGCAGTCCGTAATCACCTTCGGTACTGGCCATCGATTTTCAACGGATTTTTCATCTTCTCAGCGACAACATCCGGAATCAACGCGCTCTACAACTCAAGTCGTTTGCTACACGCACTAGCAAGTATTCCTGAAGCCTGGCCGTTGTGGTTTCAAAATAGCAGAAGACGGCTGGAAAGAACAACTGACAGAGGAGTCCCTCTGGGGACGGTTTTTGTTAGCTGGTGTTGCGGACTCATGTCATTTCTCGCCATAAAACCATTCCCCTCGGTTGTATTGGGAAGGATCACGAACAACGCAGTGGTCTCGGAGCTGATCTGCTATTCAGTCATCTGTCTTTCATATATACAGTTCTACCACAAGATCAAAGACGCCGCCAACGATCACACACTCGAGAATCGAAATGCATTCAATCGCGACGATAAACAATATCCATACCGCACACACGGTCAGCTTTTCCGCGCGTACTATGGCTTTCTGTTCTGCCTTCTACTCATTGCGTTCAACAACTGGCGCGCATTCGTGGATCCGTTTTCAATGCCCGATTTCATAGCTTCCTATATCGGGGTATGTTCACCCATGTTCGATCACTGATGGGCCATCATATTACAGAAGCTGATTTTGCTTTAGATCCTCGCGTTCTTTACCCTAATAGCTGCCTATCACGTCAAATCGGATGGATGGAATCCGCTGGAGTGGAGGCGTAATGCTTCAATGCAGATCAATCGCCCGCCTCCAAGAGTCGTGGTGCCGGGGCGTAGGAGAGGCCATCTTGATTTCCCTAACCCGAAGGCACCAATATGGGAACCTGAAAACGCAAAAGCGCTCATAGCGTTCTCGTGGGGGTGGCTCAAATGAATCAAGGGGATGGCGTTGCTAGCCGTGACGCGATTTCACGCCATTGCGGCTCTCCTTGTAAAAAAAGAGCTTGTAGTAGGACCGACTACTAGTTAAACGACGACTAATGCGTTTGCTATACGAGGACGTTGGAACCTTTGTGAGTCATTATGTTCCGCTTGCAGTTGATCCTCAAGTCAGGCTACAATGGGCCAAGCGGATCGCACAAAGAGGCGACAGGTTTCTTTTCCGGCGTGTATCAAGAAAGTGGGATTGGCTGGGCAATAGGTAGAATTGATGGTTCATGGTTCCACAGCAGAGTATAGTATAGTGGTTTTGGATGCAGCACCAGTGTTCGTACACGGGTACTTGAGTATCTGCTACATTGTGTGCACCCCAACATTTGAACAGTTGGCCATCAGGTGACGCAAATCCGGTCAGAGGCATGACTGAGTCGCTCAGATACAGAACAAGTATATACGGCGCATAGTCTAGATTAGGCGACCGGGCAGGGGACGTGCCAGAACGTGGTAAACGGATGTCGATCATTTGGGAATGGTCGCGAAACCAACCAGGGGTCTTTCGCTCGCTCGGCCGGCCGCTTTTATTACACACCCCCAGTCAAGCTGAAGTCTCCCCATCCCAACACTGCTGCAGCAGCAGTCTGCAGCGCACCTCTGCCTAGGTGACTGGGTGGGTGGCTAGGAAATGTGGCAGCCAAGACAGGCGTTGTCCGCAGCGGTCGGTCCTCGTTGCATCCATCCTCATAACCAGCCCAGTCGATCGGCTACTGTACCGCAGCCTTCGACGACATAGCTCAGCAATGCATCCATCCCACGTCAACTTCACTTGCTCTTCTCAAGCCTCGTCGCTCGCAACAGCTTGCGCCCTCGTGTCCCGCCCTTCTGACTGCTCGTCAGGCCCGTGCCGCGTCCATGTCGTCTCAACACAGGATTCTTGCGGAAGTCTGGCAGCATCTTGAAGGCAGGAACGACATTGCTAACATCGTGCGAGAGATCATCGGCCAGCACTCGCTCGATTCAGCTCTGCAGCATGACAGCTCGACTCACGCTGAAGAAACCATCCGAACCATCATCTGGCTCAAAACCATCTTCGATCTTCAGAGATGCTATCTGTCTGGAATTGCGTCCGGCGTCGCCGAATGCCCGCCTTTCGTTTCATCCTGTCTTCTGCCACACGAATTATTGTTTTCTTCCATCCTTTACCTCATAAATGTCAAGACCCGTTTTTTCTCTAGCCAAACCACTCTCATGACTAAGGAGTTCACCCGGCCTAGGCACATCCTCACGCAGACCATTCTCTCTGGGTTGCGATTGCTACTTCTACGCAAACAAGATGTCGATCCTCATGATAAGAGACGCTTGCAAAACGCCATCAACTCAGCTTGGAAGGACGATCGCCTATTCGGCGTAGAACGATTCGTTGTGTCGGAGATATACGCTGAAGTATTGAACTCTCTGGGCGATACATCTCGCCAAAATCCGTACCATCGAGAATGGGTTAATGCCAATCTTCCAACATATGCGGCAGGTCTAGTAAGATTTTTATACAATCTTTCCAAAGGCTCGTGCTGACCTTGATAGTATCCGCTCGACATGAGGCACGAGACTTTCGTTACTCCTCTCATTCACGGAACTATGGAAGAAGATTGGATAGATGCTTTCTGGGTATTGTATGACTGTTTATGGGCGGTCGAATGCGCAGTGACACAACGATTTGTCGATTCTCGCCGGGAAATCGGTGCGCTTGGTTCTCGCGACATCAGCGCCGACACCGACGAAGCACTTGAGAGCATTTGGCAGACAAGGACAAGTCTGATAATCTCAATGTTTCATGTGAAAGGACCGATGACGCCCACACCTGGACTACTCGACTCTCTCGCCGTTGTGCTGTTGGAATGGGATGACGATATAGATAACTTCCTGTCACGCCAGGATTCTCTGGCTGTGAGTACGCTTTTCATTATGTTGCCCCATGTAGCAAATAGTAGGAAACGGAGAACGGCAACAAAACCGACAAACACTTTTCCCCTTCCAATCCTCTTATCATTCGGGCTTCTTGCAGATGTCATTTGACTGATTTCTGCTTCAGCAACAAATTACGTCAGCACGACCAACACCACCTCGAAACAATAGTTACGGCAAAGTTATTTCAGAAACAGTTCCATACGTCGAGTCAGCCCTAGGAGGCTTCGCAGAATGGCTATCAAGTCGGAATCTAGGACATGAGCAGGCCAGCTTTCGCAAAACTCGAATTACCTCAGATGATCTGCAAGAGCTAGTGAGAGAATGGGTCACAAAGATCACATCACCAAAGGGGGAGACGATCTTGAAAGAGCTGGAAGGATCACAGTTGCCAGTATACGTCGTAAACTGTCCGAAGCTACACGTCTTGCCCAAGAAATGGCTGGAACACAAACTGCGTTGGTGTGATAAATGGGCATATGAAGCTGTCCATGAAAACTCTCCTATGGTTTCATGGAAAGAGGGTATACAATGCCCTAGCTGCCAGTCGGGAGAAAGGATAAAATTCGCGCGGCTCATTGAACCTTTCCAGCACCTATCTGCCGCTCTCGACAATTTGATCATTGATCCCCTTAGCTTAAATCAGCTCAACGTTGGAGGTTCCAGTACGGGCTCTTACGATACGACGTCGGCATCACTTGCATCACGCTCCACCTCGGATACTGGAAGCATTGGAATGAGTTTCCCCTCCAGCTCTGCTATGAACGGTACCGTCTCTTCGCACGCTTCAAGGATCAGCGATACCAATAACACATCCCAATCTTCGAATCATCCTCCACGATATACGGAGTCACCAATCAGTCCACTAACAATGGGACCGCCTTCTACACGCTCTCAATCGCAAACTTCCATTGTAGAGTACCCCGTAAGTCCATTGAACGAGTCGCTTAACATACCCATCCCGATGTCCGTGAGCACTCGCCTTTCTATGGATCTTCCAATCCCAGTTCATACTCCGCCATTTACCGAAAGTGCTGTGGATGATGCGTTCACGTCAATTTCCGAGCTTTCGGAGGACAGGCTATATACTCCCTCCAACGATTCGATAAGGAGCGTGCCTAGTTTTGCAAGATTGAAGTCGGCAAGCCGCACTGTGAGAATTGCCAACTCAATACGTCGAAAACCTACTTTAAGAGTCGCTGAGCCGTGTCCGTTGCCAAAAGATCCAGCCTTTGTGTTTTCTTCCACGGGTCACTCGTTACTTCTCTGGGGCAGTGATACTACGGATCATTTACTTCGCTTTGATATACCCAGCAACGAGACTTCGGCTATTCAAGGATGCAGATATGAAGTGACTGGAATCGAGGCGGCGGCAGCAGGTAACCACAGATGCGCTATAGTTGTTTCCAGCGGTCTCTCAAAACGGAAGCTGATTGTTTTCAGCGGCACGAATTTGACATCGGAGTCAGAATTTGATCTCGACTCTTCATACAAGCTGACCAAGATATCAGTCTGCGTTTCGAGGAATGATAGATTTGTTGCCTTATCTTTAAACGACCAGATTCAACTCTTCAGCTTGGAAGATGGTATAAAACGAATTCCATTTCACCATCAAATACATGTTCATGAGCTCAAAGGAGGTGTTTCACACACAAGAGTCCTCTCAGTTGAACGTAGCATGAGTGGTGGCGGTCACAAGAGATCTGGGAGCAGCAACGATGAAAAATCAGAATCAAGCTGGCTGAGTAGTAACTCGAAAGGCCTGAGCTCGAAGGAGAAAGCAGAAGAACAGCAGCGACAGGCAGCTGTGGTATCACGCAGAATTTATTTTTCTACGGATAGCAAACGGCTCGTCGTAGCGACACAGCTTGGAGACCACTGTATATACGTTGACGTATATGACTGTACCCACGAACCAGTTGGGACCATTTCGGAGCAATCACGCTCTTTCAAGATGCCCCCGTGGACTCTCAACGACGGGGATCTGACGGGAGTATTCTACGATTCCGAAAGACGAGCTGCGCTTGTCACCGCTTTCCTGGGGAAAGAATATCCGCTGCTCATTCCTTTTCCAGGCTACGATCCCCTCCAGAACGAAACCTACTCCACAAAGATTATTAACGCTGCACAATCTCCTTCGGGTGCGACTTTGATTGCTGTCAACGCCATGACAGAAGTTATCCAATTCGAATATACAACCAAGGGTCATTTTGCGCCGCGCAAGCTCAAAAAATCCGCAAGCAAGATATCCACCAGTGTATTCAAACCAGGAGCCATCGCACTTGCTATGCCACTTGAGAATTTACTACAAATGTTCTGGATCAAGGATGGAAAATGCATGCTGCGTAGCGTGAAGATTGGAGTTGGAGAGCAATTCAAAGACTATGACATTAGGCCGCACTTTGATCGATTAATGAGTATGCAGAAGCCCGTTATCGCAAGAGCGCCTAGTTTGAAGATTCCCGAGTTGGATGGGACCTGAGAGAATCTTCTTCTCAATGAATTTTCACGACTTTCATGCCACGGAATGACTACGGTACAGATTGTGTTTATTGCATTGGACGAGAGCAAAGAATCTGATCAGAAAGCCACAATGCTTCGGATGTGACCACCCTGACGATCAGTACCGCCAAGGCCAGCCGAGGAGAAGAGGGGGCAAGGCAGTTGACTCTTGACGTAAAATTAGGGGGTTTTTGTATTCAATCTGTAATTCTGTATTTTTATCACTTACTACACTGTCAAGGGATATAGCCAACTTTACTAGGCTCGACCCGAGACCAAAAACAATGGAAGAGACTGATAACAGCTCGGTAATCTGGAGTAACACCAACCTCGATTTGCGTCCAAATATCAGGCATGAGATGGGTCAAACACGATGTATTATTAAGATCGCCGCGGACATTGGGAAAATGCAGTGGGGAAACTTCAAACGGGGTTCATAGACCTCGGACGCCGGATACGACATGTACATGGTCGGCGACGTTTCCTTTCAACAGAAAAATTCTACGCGGACAAGGTCGAGTCCTAAAGCAGAATTGTCATTAGTACTGGAAGCGAGATACCCTGGTTGAGCGACAGTAGCGACAGCCGATGGCGACTACGTAGTGTACGATACCTGATGTCTGTCATGATCAGCTACGGCTCATCGTCCTCATAAGAGCCGCCCCCAAACCCAGCCTGTAGTGAAATACATGCACGTGTATGATTGCTCGTTCGCAACCCCTTGGACACCTGCATGCAATACGCAAACAAGCCGTTCACATAAATGACCCCAAAATAGCACTCCCAGCCAATATTACCATCCCCTTTGACAATATTACAAGGTTTGCACGGGAAGGATGAGGGAGGGCGAAACCCCCATGCCTATAAAGGAGCGTAATAGCATGCTTATCCTTCCGATCGGTAATCTTCAAGCTGATCCCAAGAGGACTAGCACTCGTGTCTGTACACGCAAGTTTCGCTTACCCCTGTCTCGTTCGTTTTCCCTTCTTCAGGATAACAGCAGCTTGAGGTCTGCCGGTCACCCTCGGCCGGCAGTTAGCCTGCTTGTTTTTTGAACCTGGAAACTTCGTCCTTTCTCTCCCCCTAATGATGGGTTCAATAATAAGGGGAGAACTTTTGCCCGACTTGCATCCTTTTTGGATTGGTGGACTACGAGATAGCATAGCCCACCTTTGCACCTGGGTCTTCTGCACTGCATCGCCATGGATACCTGAAATGGGCAATCATGATGTCTGATCTCAGGAAAAACCCAGCTACAACATGATCATAGGGGCATATTCCTTCTACTTCTCTCGTCTCTACGAATGCAGGGGGTAGCATGGTTATTCGCGGTGTTCAAAGAGTGCAGGCGTTAGGTTAAAGTGACGATTAGACTACGGACGCACTCCAGTAAGTAGACTAGACTAGTCAACTTAACGCTTTGAAAACGTTTGAAATAAGTGTACTAACGATGGCTAACCATTCATTCACCGCACGGTGGCAAGCATCCTTCGTTGACTACGGCGCCACTATCCAAACATAGAATTGTATTGTCGTACGAAACGGTGGTTCCGCGACCTGCCTGTCGTCCCGCCCAACGCCTCAACCGCTCTCTTTTGATGTAGGTACACTCTCGTACTTTCGAATAGCCCCATACGTAAGAGCGCATGGTACGCAGCACCCTTTTGTGAGCAACCAAAGCATAACACGTTCAACGGTACATAGCAGTATAGCGAAGCATCCTATACTATTGTCTACATAACCTCAAAAATTACATAAGAGCGTAAACATATCAGCGTATTAATTGACCCTGGTATGCCTCGCTGATAAGTCTGGATATTTCGGAGGCAAGAGAGGTACAAAACAGTACGTAAAAGTTCACAGCAAAAGTCGCAGCCGCCCAACGTGCCACGGCAAAAAAGCACGAGGCCAAATGAGAAACGAACGTCCCACACCCACCCATCTATCATGCATTGTCGAGACCCGAGAGTCGTCAATACACGGGTGCATATTCTTGTCCACGAGGATACGATACGATGCCCATGCTTGCATGCATGCATACATACGCATATTTATACGTATATATGTACCCGTAAGCATTTTGGTAGAAGCAACGATAAACGTACATACGTTCATACGTACATACATATACGAGACTTGTCTGATATTCACAAGCCACAAGGCAGGCAGAACATGTCTAGCATCCGACAGGTGGTGGGACCTCGGTCCAGCGCCCGGGAGACGTATCAATGTCCGGTGGACATCTGCATTGCGCTGGCTAGCGAGCGGCAAGTTCGGCGGCTGAACTTTCCTCGACGAAGAAGTAGGGGTGAGGGGGCCAGTCGATGATTTGCCTAGCTTTTGCCTCTGCAGCTGAAGCTGAGAAGAGTGAACTATGAGGTATAACGGTTTGGCCGACTGACCGGTGAATGATTCGGTTGTACGAATGGGTCGTGTCTAAGATTGGGGTTTACTGCGTCTGTAACATAGTTACCAGCATAGTGGTTCGGTGGGGTGCTTCGGGTGTGGGGGTGGTAAGCCGGCAGTCGATACGATACGAAACGTATGACACAAATGGGTAGAACTATGAGCAATTCGAACGTCGATAATGCACTCATCACCGCACACTGGATGAAGTTCCCCCGACGGGGGATTGTGATGATGCAAATGGGGGCCGATAAGACTGTCAGCTAAAGTTGTTTGATAACCCAATGTTGTACACGCTACTCAATGGAAATTAACCCGGGATGCGAAGCAATATGATGCTCGTCCTGCATCAAGGTGACAACCCAAAACCTGAGTTCGATGACCGAACAAAACTCCGATTTGTATGTCACGCCCTCAAAACACGTCTATCGGCCGGCCCGTCCACCACCCCGACCCTTGATCTTCCTCAGAATGTCCTCGCCACCACCGTATCCCCTCTGTTTCTCTGTGTTGGTTTGGACATTGCTCTTCGGTACAATCGTGTAAGTCTCTCTGGAGGGCTCCATTCGAGCGCGCACAAAACTCCTCTCAGGCGCAAGAGCCTTGGCTCGGGCAGCAGCTGCGGCGGCAGCCTGGCTACTTTGAGCAGTGTTACGGGCAGGTAGATTGCTGGTATTTGATTAGTCACAAACTGGAAGTATACTGACAGGGAAGGTACTTACGTAGGATCATAATCTGCCTGCGCAAACTCCTTTTTACGATAGTCGTCGGTTCGTCTCAGGATGGGACGCTTCCATTCGGTGAACAAGCGCTCAGCTTGTCGCTTGATATTCAACTCTGGTCGTGGGCTTTTGCAGTAGAATATGATGACCTTGCCGATACCAGAAGCAACTAGACACTCTTTGTTCACTGGGAGCTTCGCCAGTGCAGCGAATAGCTCCTTTTGTATGTCATACGCAGGAAGACTCCCATCACTAAGGGGTTCCAGGAAGAAGCGTACAGCTTCAAGCAGGTTGGTTTCCGGATCAACGATAGACTCCTTGAGCGTATTCTTATTGAGTAAGGCAACGACTTCGGGAAGCAACCGGAGCTTGTGGCGAGCTGGTTCACCAACTTTCCGTCCCTCGTTGTCACGCTCGGCAGCGGATGCCATGCGTTTACGCATATCCTCAATCTCGGCATCTGCCATGCCTTCTAGATCAATGTCGCCCTTCTTGCGTCGGCGGGAAGCACCTGGCTTCACAATCGCGTTGATTTGTTGGTCGAGAGCGCGTTTGCGGCCTTTTCATTGTTAGCGCCAGTAGATTTGTATTGGTTCACCACAGTGATACATACGCTCTTCGGGTGTGAGATTCTCCTCAGGCTCCGCCTCTGGGCTGGCTCGAGCCTTGCTCTCCCGAGTTTTCTTCGACCGCTTACTGCGACTCGAAGCCGCAGTGCCCTCATCGCCTTCTTCAGCATCTCCATCCTTGTTCTTTCTCCTGCGTGTCTTCTCCGTCCTCTTCTTCTTCTTCTTCGGCTGGTCAGCCTCCCCTTCAGCCCTCTTCCTCTTGTGCACACCGATCAAGTTGACATTTGTGTCGTCAATGACCTGCGCGGGCCGCTCCTCAATGTCAATGTTGTTCTCGTCGAAGGTATCGAACTGATCATCGTCGAGTTCAGAAAGTACAGATTCATTGTCGGAAAGGCCAGCTTCCTGGATGTCATCGGGGTCGGGCATTTCGTTGATCTTCTCCGTGACTTCCATATCTTGATCGGGAGCACCGGCTGGTGGATTCGGAGTGGAGTTTTCCTCGTCAATCTCGGGGCGCAGAGGGTCATCCGGCTCATTTCCAGCTTCCGGAAGGGGTGAGTTGGAATGCGATCGAGTGAAGTCGACGTCCTCCATACTGGCAAACAACCTCTACCCGTCAGCAAGGAATATTTTGGGTATTGATGAAGAGAAAGCGCGGGCGGACGGTGGGATGGAGCTGCACCAGGGTTTTCGAAAACAGTCGAGATAGAGAAGAGGGAGTAGTTGGTTGACAAGATCGCTCTGGTGGATGAAAGGACCACTGGGTCGGCGCGCTGGTCCGGAAAAACGAAGCGCCGCAGCCGGCGATGGGTCAATCACCTCCAGTCGCACTCACTCGCCGCCCTGATTACTAAGATATTAGGTAAAAGATGCCTAGAAAATCACTCATTAAACCGTGGTACAACTCCACTCAACTATCTCGACGACACCAACCATAAGCATCAAAGGAATCATCACCGACTGCTGCCTGTCTGAGAGCGAAGATAAAAGGGTGAGGTAGGCCAGTATTCAGCCCCTGATACCGACACTTCTCACTTTCTCCTTCGGCGTGACAGCTCTTTGTTCGACCTTGAGAACAACAGTACCGCGCTGGCTATTCAAACAGCCACCTATTGTTTCGACCCTGAGTGATAAGCAACCGACTTGCATCCTCTGTTATTCCCGTCCGCAGGAGGCCAAATTACTGAAGCCGCTCACTTTGGCCGTTTCCGCTAGGAGCTCCCTACCTCCTCCGTTCTTCCCATCGATCTCCGGGAGCGCCGAGGAGATCCTTCACCACAAAGGTTACTCAGTGTGCGTTGTGATTGCAATTGTGCTTTGCGGTGCTTTGCTTGGGGCTAGCTGGATTGGAGAAGGGAGGGTTATATTTTGGGAGGACAGCAGTGGTGGAGGATTGCGAGTTGTGGCACAGGCCTAGGTACACGGCGCAAGCCTTTGCTGTCTCCATCTGGCGAGACATCATAGCTAGCAACAAGGCGAAAAGATACATTTTTCGTGTTTGAGAGCGAGGAAGTCGATTGTTCATTTTGTTCATCTCCGCTAGTCAACCTTCACTCTCGACCTGCGAGCCAGAGCAAACAGCTTTGCACCAGCCCTTCACTCACATAACATTCTTCTCCACAGGGACGCTTCTTCGAGCTAATCCTACAGGGGTCACTAGCCGTTATGTCTTCATCATCCGATGAAGTTGCTGCCGACTTCAAAGATGCCTTGCAAGATTTAAAGCTCAATAGCAGACCGGAAATCAGCAATTTGACTATCATCGCCAAAGAGAACACAGAGTATGCCCAGGCAATATCGCAAGAACTGGAAAATCATATTAGGACTGTGAGTGACTACAAGACGCTGGATAATATATTTTCGTAGCATTTGGACATTCAAGCTCACTGATATCAGACACGCCCCGAATGGAAGCTTCCGGCTCTTTACGTACTTGATTCCATTGTCAAGAATGTCGGAACACCGTACACTGTTTACCTTGGTCGTAACTTATATCGGACTTTCATGGACGCATACCTAGTAATCGGCGAATCCACCCGCAAAGCGATGGAAGGCTTGTTGAGAACATGGAAGCAGCCCGTGCCTGATTCTATGGATCCGCGCCCTGTCTTTCCTCCTGAAGTGACTGGTGACATTGAAAATGCACTCAACAAATTCCGGTCGGCTATCCAATCTACTCCAGCTGCTCGACCATTACACGTCTTACCCCCTAGACCTGCCACAAATACGACTTGGCGAAGCACTCCAACTCCTCCGCAAAACGGAAATCGATATACTGCTCCCCAAGATCCAAGAGCTCGCCAGGTAAGTCTGAGTTTTATCTCCGCGCGAAGGCGACTGCTAACGTATACCCATAGCAGTTCCCTCCCACCCCACAATACGGGAGCTATCAATCCCCTGTGCCTGGCCAGAATACTTACAGCACTCCACAACCACTGCCTTCGCCTATGTCCTCGAACGACCTGGATGATCTGAAGGCAGAGGTCGGGAAGCTGATTTCCAATACGCAGCAAGCTTTTGCCTATAATCCTGCCGACACTGCTCTCCAGACCAAATTGAATGCTCTATTGCAGTTGAAGAAGGTTCTTGATACACAAACTTTGCCTCCTCAGCAACTTGAAGCTGTCCGCATGCAGGTCAGGAACCTAGCCCCGCCTCCTACACCTGTGCCCACCCAAACCCCAGTCCCAAACTCATCTTCTTTGCCAAACTTTGTGCCTCCAGTATCGTTTCAACCACCAATGATACATTCCCCGCACCAAAATACAAACTCCCCCTTTCCTCCGCCCTCAAGTGCGCCTGTCAATCTTGCACAATTACTTGCAAATGCAAGACCACCTGCTCCTCCAGTCACTGCAATGTCTCCTGCACCACCAATGCCTGCAGCGCCTGCGATGCCAAATTTGGCAGATTTTCTTCGAGCGGTTCCTCCTCCCGCGCAGTCTTCATCGACACCCGCCGTGACACCATTCTTTCCACCCTCGTTTCCGGTGCGCCCTGCTGTTTCAACGCCGATTCAAACACCTGCCATCTCAACTCCAGCACCGGCAACTGCACCTACTGCCAACCTTGCAGAGCTTATCGCACAGTTCAGCAAACCCCCAACAGCACCTCCTGCACAGCCAGCTCAAATTCCGCCCCCACAATTTACACCACAGATACCAACCGGAGCCCCTACCCAGGGAAATCCTGAATGGCTTTTAAATGCTCTCAAAGGGCTACCATTTTTAGCCACACCTTCTGGTTCCACACCTCTGGCATCCGAGCCCATGACACGACAGTCATCTGCTCCCACAAATGGTGTGGGTGAAATCGAGTTGACAACTGCATCCTTAAAACAGTAAGTCGCATGAGTGAAGATATATAATGAAGTGTTAATCCTTTTAAGGCCCCGGTTTCATCTAATCTCGAGATTGTATGAAGCATATCCGAATATGTGCTCCACCTGCGGCCGACGATTTGAATCCACGCCCCAGGGCAAGGAGAAGAAGGCGCGCCATATGGACTGGCACTTCAAAGTTAAGGATCCCGACGCTGCCAAACGTGGCATTCATCGAAGCTGGTATATTAGTGAGAAGGTATGTTTGCATGAGTCTAATTGAAGATCCAAACTAACAGATTTCTAGGAATGGTTGGAATACCGCGAGATGGACGAGACGTCACCCGATCAAGCCAACAACGGCGCTTCTGGGTCTGCTACTGCTGTGAAGAAGCAAGCACAGGATCGATATGTTCCTGTTCCCCAGGATCCCGCAGAGGCGCAGGTTCCCTGCCCAATTTGCCAAGAAAAATTCAAGAATGTATGGCTTCCGGAGGGTAATGAGTTTGTGTGGATGGATGCATTGCAAGTGGGTGGGAGAATTTATCACGCGACTTGCTATGAAGAATATAGCAAAGGAGCAGGAATCGCGATGCCGAGCACCCCAGACTCTGTCCTTGGAAAACGCAAGGCAGAGGCTGGCACACCGGCCTCCGGCAAAAAGGCGCGTGCTTATTGAGCCAGGACGTCAGACTTGTGTGATCGCATTAAATAATCATTCTTCCGAATTGTGGCATAGCGAAGGCGTTTTGGAATCATTCATATGGAAAGCACTAGGTTTTTGTAAAGTACATCCGTAGCAGCTTGCAATTATCATCGGAAACAAGCATCCCGGTCGCAATTTCAGATACATTGAATGCCATGTTTGTGCAATGATGAACGACTATTGCCACTGAAGAGTGGTTGATTGAGTGATTGATTGCTTCCACCAGTGAGTGGTGTTGGCCGATCAACATGGGATGAATTGCCGACCTCGGGACAAGTTGGCACACGGGCCAAGGTTTCCTTTCCTGCGGAGCGAGCGCAACGACCTCAGACGCACGTTAGCTCATCAAGCTTCCGTCCAACCTCACTTTTGTCCGACGCCATTGCCCGCTCAGAGCTACCTCGTCGTCCTTGAGCCACACACCCTTCTGTTCTCCTCGTCTCCCTATTCCTCACACACCTACACAATGGCTCCTTTACAGGACTCGTCGGTCGATGACCTCAAGAACACCGTTGCGCGGCTTGAGTCGCGAATCGCTGAGCTGGAGACGAAGCTGGGAGGCGCACCCGCCGCCGTACCGTCTGCAACAGACAGTGTGAGGATGATTTTGATGGGTCCGCCCGGTGCTGGTGAGTTATCTCAACCCTCTCGGTGGAACGGATGTGCAGTGGTTGGAGCCCGGATTTTTCTGACTGATCCGCGCAAACAGGCAAGGGCACACAGGCACCCCGAATCAAGGACAAGTTCTGCGCCTGCCATCTCGTACGTTTCCCTTACGCCTTCGAACCCACCGGCACATCTTTGACTTGGACCATAAAAACGTTTACTGATGGATGCAGGCTACCGGAGATATGCTACGAGCACAGGTTGCGAAGAAGACGACACTTGGTCGGGAAGCCAAGAAGATCATGGACGCTGGTGGTCTTGTGAGCGACGAGATTATGATTAACATGATCAAGAGCGAGCTCGACAACAACCAAGAGTGCCAAAAAGGGTGCGTAGTTTGTTACTCCCATAATGCACTGCCTCCGTCGGACTTCACACTTCTTACTGTACCACTGCTAACAAGAGCCTGCGCTGTAGTTTCATTCTCGACGGTTTCCCGCGAACCGTCACCCAGGCCGAGAAACTCGACGAGATGCTGCAGACGTCGCAAAAGCCACTGCAACACGCAGTAGAGCTCCAAATAGATGACGCGCTCCTCGTCGCCCGCATCACCGGTCGTCTCGTGCACCCTGCCTCTGGTCGCTCCTACCACAAGATCTTCAACCCGCCAAAGTCGGACATGACCGACGATGTGACGGGCGAGCCTTTGATCCAGCGCTCTGACGACAACGCCGAAACCCTCAAGAAGCGTCTCGGCACGTATCACCAGCAGACTGCCCCTGTCGTGTCTTACTACCAGAAGACTGGCATCTGGAAACCCATCGATGCTAGCCAGGAGCCTGGTCAGGTCTGGAAGAGCCTACTCAGGATCTTCGATGACAAGCCTACGACGATAGGTGGCAGGAGCGGTGCTCTGCTCAACAAGATTGGTCTCAAGAACTAAAGCGTGATTCGTGCGGCGTTGGCGGAGTGAAGGAGAGGGAGGAAGAGATTGGAGATGGCAGTCCGTCAGTGGCGAGTGCTTGACGCGCTTGGTGGGTGGGGAGTGGGAACATGTAAGATTCACGCCCTAAGGCATGTCATGGGGGTATTTATTGTCCTCTGTATATGTGCGATGGGACCCTCTTTTTTCTTCACAGTCACGACGAAAAGAAAATTCTCATGTTTGGAAACCCCTTCACGTCCTATCTGCACGTTATCAAGAGAACCAAAAAAAGCATAAGTCCATTCAACATCTTTATTTTCTCTTGCTTTCCTTCGTCGAAGTAGCCGGGCAAAGTTCTTTTCAGTCATGCACACAAAGGTCAATGTCGTCAAACTCTGTTGAGAAGTGCATGGTGGATGGGGGTGAGCCGGGTCATCCCCCCTTGTATATGTAAGCAATTGAAACTGGTTACTCTGGACGCTCTTATGGGAGCAGAGATGGATTAATACATTCTATGCTGCTTTCTCTGACATGCTTCCCCTTCTCGTTTAAGCATCTTCCTTTAGTCTTGACGGGTTTCCCGGCACGTCCTGTTTTGATGGGTGCGATTATATGACTGACAGAATGATCTTTGGGAACGGCATACGTGATCATATGAGATATGGGCTGAGGGTTCTCCTTGTGAGATTCTCGTGGCTAGCATATCACGATGGCAAGAGTTAGAAAGTATCTGTGCAGTCACTACCTTGTGGGTAGGTCTACACGTACAATCATACAGGCCTTGCATTACCTTCCTGATTTCTCAATACGTGAGTGTAGTTTGAACAAACGGTGGAAGTGGAATTGGTATCATATGTGCGTATAAGAAGAAAGTGAAGAGAAGAATTCGACACAAGAATATCAGTACAACCACCAAATACAATCAATGCTCCCGACTCAACACCTTCTTGCAAGCACCCATCTCAAGCTCGTATTTTTCAATCGCCCTCTGGCTCTTCGCCAACTTGGCGAGCAGGTATTGCACACGACCTGCGATGAGCGCCGGTCTCCCCTCGATGTCACTCAAGCGCAACAACTCGCCCTCGCACTTTTCAATCGTCGCGTTCTCCACTTTGACCAACTCGGTCAACACAGCAAGATCGAGGCGACTGCGGAGTACGCTGTCTTTTGTAAGCCGCTTGAACGCTGGATGGTAGACGGGCTTGCCGGGCTTGATCAGTGATGGGCGGCCCGAAGGGGATGATACAATAGAGATGAGTTCGACCTGTTCAAGAGCGCGTAGTGTCTTCTCGCCATTACTCTTGAAAGTATCGTCTAAGAGAATTTCGTTATAGCGAAGAGATTCTTCTTCGGCGAGCTTCTTGATCAGAAGCCAGGCTTGCTCGGGAGACCAGTTGCGCGACTCAGCATCGTCAATGCCGAAGATGTACATTTTGAGGATCTCTGAGGCCGACTGGTCAATAATTTCGTGGACGGCCTTTGTGGGAGTCTCGCCAGTTTTAACTATAATTGAGGGTGCATAGTTAGTACAGTTCGAATAATTGTGGTATGACTGATTATAAAAGTCTGATCGTTAAGCATTGTGACTGGGACTATACTTACTGCGTCGAGCTAAGAACTCGAGATCGGTGAGACGTCCACCCAGAAGATCAATACATGTGTCGAGTTCTTGAAGATCAGTGCGTGTTTCAGAGGGAACTTCTTTAGGAGAACCATCTTTAGGCGCTGGGTCGTCTGCCACATCGGCATCGAGGTGGCGAAGCACAAACTTCTTAGCGACGTGCGGTGAACAATCTGAAAGTGGGATTTGGTGAAAGACGCGATCTGGAAGAGCTTTCGAGAGAGATTTGGTGTAAGCAACGTCGTGGGTGAGGAATACCACATGAGCAATGTTAGAAGTGGTCAAACGAGCAGCCCTTTATCCTGTTAGTATGCAAGTATCTTGACGAGCAGGGTACGCTTACCAGTCCGAGATTTTGTCGTACACTACGCCTCCCTCCTGGCTTTTGTGAAGAAAGTTGTCGATAACGACGACAGGTCTGAGATCTGGGTGAGCTTCAAGCCATTCATCGTCTGGGAGATGAGCGTCTTTATCGTCCTTGTGGCGTTGGTCAAGAGCAATCTGTCGCAAAGCTGTTCCAGTCGTATTCCAGATCTTCGCAAGCTGGGAATCAAGAGTCTCGGAAAATCCGGTCTTGACACCCGTCGCTCCTTGCGCAGCCAGGTCTATCATACCAGATAAGTTATTCAGCCAAGAAAAGACGGGCTTATATCCAACCCCCGCTGCTGCTGCATTGATGGTTGCGCTTTCGCCTCGAGCTTCCTGGATAGGCTTGCAGTCGATAACGAGTTTGTGTTTTCTGTCCTTCACTAAATTTGCAGGTACGAGGTTAGCAAAGCTCATTAGTACATGAACAGCACGCCAGGTAGTGCTTTATACCCGGAGTATACGTACAAGCTTGATCAACAACAAGCTCGCGCTTCCCAGAGCCGCGAGGCCCCTGAACAATTATGAAGGTATCAGCGGTTTCCATGAGCCAAGTCTGAATTTGTTCAATGTTCTGTTTCCTGTCATCCCATACGGCTTCCATGCCATCATCATCGCGCGACTTGTGATGCCACGGTATGAAGTCGGTTGCGTAACCGACTATCCACTTGTACCAGCTATTTTCCTGGATATTTAGTACTCGGGTAATGTGCGCTTTGACAAAAAATGTTCGGATTCTGTGTACATATCAGTTGTCGTACTGGCTGGGCCAAAATCTGCACATTGGACTTACGGATCAAAGACCGCAACGGTAATACCAGCAACGATAGCAGCAAGGATAGGAACCACAATCCTTGGGTGATTCACAATCCAGTCTCGGATCCAGTGTGCCTTGATCTTGCGCTCATATTTCAGTCTTAGGAGTGTGCCACTTTTACCACCACCTTCTGTTTCACCGATCACAAAGCCATGCATACAGTTCCTCGCCACAACCGCAGTTCGCATGTCTGCGTAATCTAGGTAAGCGAACCTCGGCAAGACCTTTGAATCTGGAGGTTGAACAACGATATCATTCAGTTTCCCATATGGTCTGAAGAACTCGTATAGCTTCTCTTGGGAGAGCTCTACTGGTTCTGACCCTGGCTCGGGCGCCACAAATTCAACTCTCAGGCGAGGAGTAGGCAGACGGAAAAGATCCTCAACCCATGGTCGCCCTTTTACCAAGCTGACACTCATACCTTGCAATGGGCTCCACCATGGTTTGATTGGGTGATCAGTCAAGTACTGTTGGAGCACTTTTTCAACTTCGGATAAAGACGCATCTCCACCATGCGTAAACTTGACAAAGGCTCCACCTTCTTTGAGTCTCCATAGTGTTTCAGTGGCCCGTATAGAGAGGTTAGATTTCGTCGCTGCGTTCTTGATGATCTTGCTCGGTTCAGTCCCGGTCATCGATGGGCTGATGAAGTAACTGAGAAACCCCGGTGCTTTATCAGGGAAAGTCATAGGAAACCCTAAATACTTCTGTATCTTCATTGGAGACACATCTGTCGCAATCAGCTTACAGACACATGGGCGGAGATACTATGAAAACCCACTGTCAAAAAACAGAATTCCTTCATTGGGCCCAGCGTTGATGTGACCAGACTGATTCTCGCCTGCCTGAAAAGAGGCATATCGGCTTCGTAATCCTGGATATGTGAAACATGAAGGAGGATTGTGTCTTTCTAGTTATTAGTATGCCATCTCGAACGCTGTTCGAACAATATAACGATACCTTGCGAGTGACCCTGAAGCTCTCACGCGTGCCAATGAGCTGTTTTGGGAGGCGCTATGCCTCCCGAACCTTGTAAACATTCTTGCAAAGGCAAATCAAATGCACATGACTGCGATGGTTATGTCAAACCCAAAGTTGAGATGAATGCCGGACAAGGAAAGTTAATGCTAGCTGATGACGTCGACGCGCTGAGCTTCGCAAGGCTAGCGCTGCCACGGTCATCACGTGACAAAAGGCACTCTCAAACAGTCAACCGATTATATTCAACTAGTAGAGGTACATAGACGCACGAACCAAAGAGCTCGGTGTATAAGAAGCAGCTACTTATCATATCTAGGACTTACAAATACCTGGTAGTTCTCCTTACTTTTGGAACTGCTATATAATCTTGCTACTCTATCATGCAGCAACCGGGGCGACAACAACGCGCTTCCACTCTGCCGTGGGTGGCTCTGAGGTCCAGTCTCATGCCGACGCTATATGCAGTACTCTTGAGAATCTTGCGCTCTGCTTTTTCACATTAGACATCGTGCTATTCCGTGTGCTAGTATATGTTTCGCATTTCATGACGGGTTGCAAGGGGCGAATATGCTTGGATTGACTCTCCCTCCTTTTTTGCTCTCCCTTGGAGTCAAACCACGCATTGCGTTTGACTAAGCCTGTAACTGAATTGATTGCACACGAGATTGATACTTTGACAATGTATGTGATTGATTGGATTGATTAATGGCCAATACAAACAACTATTTACTGAAACAAACAAGTACATAATCTACAGCGCAAGTACCGTCCCAAACAGACTCCAATAAAGATGAAAAAGGTATCTTGCAGGTGTAGTGATTGAGTCAAAAAGAAGAGATCCGAATCCTATAAGTATACCGTCTCTTAAACACATAGCCAAAACCATAAATACCGCATTGCGCATTTTCGTCATTCCTTTCGTTCGTGCTCATAATCTCGACTCGTGGATTTTTCCCGCGTTATGTGATTTAAGCGGCGGCCGCAAGCAACTCTTTGGGAGTGTCATTTGCCTTGTTGAGCAGCTCGTATGGGAGACTCTTCACGATACCACCAGTGACAGGAAGCAGCGTGCCGACTCCAGAAAGGAACGAATCAACATCGCGAGCACATTGCCTTCCTTCGTTGATACCCCTACATATTTGTTAGCGGTTGCCAGATTGCTTGATGTTAGAATGATGACTTACCAGACAATCAAAGATTGACCGCGACGGCAATCACCAGCGGCGAAAACACCGGAAAGGTTAGTGTTGTAGTGGCCTGGAGATGTCTTGACATTCTTGCGCGCGTCGCGCTCCACAATGTCGGCCAGAACGCGCTCCTCAGGACCCAAGAAACCCATAGACAACAGGACAAGGTCGGCAGGGAAGAATTCCTCGCTACCCTCAACCTGCTTCATGTCCCATCCACCGGAAGCAGACTTGGTCCATTCGACACGGACAGTGTTGATACCCTTCACATTGCCCTTGCCGTCGTCTACGAACTCCTTGGACATGACACAGTACTCACGAGGATCTTTACCCATGTGTGTTTTAACCTCGGAGTGACCATAGTCAGTGCGGTAGACGCGCGGCCATTGAGGCCAAGGGTTGTCACGAGCACGTTCCGCGGGAGGTTGAGGCAATAGCTCGAAGTTAACGACCGATTTGGCGCCGTGGCGAACTGAAGTACCAATACAGTCATTGCCAGTGTCACCACCACCAATCACCACGACGTGCTTGTCCTTGGCTGAGAGATATGCGTCATCGGCGAGGTCAGAGTCAAGAAGGGACTTCGTGTTCTTGTGCAAGAATTGCATGGCGAAGTGGATCCCTTCCAGGTTGCGGTTAGGAATTGGTAGGTCACGGGCAACGGTCGCACCAGTAGCGATGACAACGGCATCATTCTCCGCACGGAGAGACTCGAGAGAAGGCTGGCCATCAGCTCCTACGGTCACTCCTGTGACAAAAGCCACACCCTCGGCGGCCAAGAAGTCGACACGACGTTGCACAATCTTCTTGTCGAGCTTCATGTTCGGAATGCCGTACATGAGAAGACCACCAACACGGTCAGCACGCTCGTAAACGGTGACCTGATGACCACACTTATTCAGCTGATCAGCAGCGGCAAGACCGGCAGGACCGGAACCGATAATGGCCACCTTCTTGCCAGTACGCTGCTGTGGTGGTGTCGGCACCATCCAACCCATCTCGAATCCACGGTCGATGATGGCACACTCAATAGACTTGATGCCGACAGGGTCCTCATTGATGCCTAGCACACAGGCACCCTCGCATGGAGCGGGGCATACTCGACCTGTAAATTCAGGGAAATTATTCTAGCGAAAAGTCAGCTACACATATTATAATATACTATCAGCAAGCTAAACTCACGGTCATCAGCCTATCAGGAGGTTAGTCAGAGATGTTTCAATATTGTGTGCCAGGAAGTCAACTTACAGTCGGTTAAGGGCGTCCTTCCATTGATTAGCGAAGACCAATTCGTTCCATTTAGGGATCAAATTTGAAATGGGGCATCCAGTGTCAGACTGGCAGAACGGTACACCGCAGTCCATGCAACGAGCAGTCTGGTACTTGAGCTCGTCTTCGTTCAAGCGTTGGGAGAGCTCTTGCCAATCACGGGTACGTGTCTTTGGGTTTCGGTATTTCTCGGAGCGACGTTGGTACTTCATGAACCCGCGTGTTTTGTCCAGAACAAGTGCCTTCTTTTTCTCAGCCTTGGCGTCGATCACACTCTCTTCGATATCGAGAAGATCACTCTTCTTCTTCCCCTTCGCCTCGGCGTCGTGTTCAGCCTTGATTGACTCTTCGTGCGCGGAACGAACGGGATTGCCAGGGAGAATGGGGAGTGGGTATTCATTCTTCCTCTTTTCAGCCTCTTTGGCAGCTTCTTCCATGAGCACGCGCTTGTAGTCGACCGGCATGACCTTGATGAAGCGAGGTAGGGCACGGTTGAAATCGAGAAGAATTCGAGCAGCGAGCTCGGACCCAGTGTAGTGGTGATGGTCCTCGATAAGGCCACGCAAAAATGCAATTTCTTGGGGATCTTCAACACCAGAGAGCTCAACCATTTCCTGGTTAACCTTCTGCTCGAAATCCTGGTGAATATCAAGAACATAGGCAATACCACCCGACATGCCGGCAGCGAAATTGCGACCAGTGGCGCCCAGAATAACGATGCGTCCGCCCGTCATGTACTCGCATCCGTGATCGCCGACACCCTCGACAACCGCGGTTGCACCAGAGTTACGGACAGCGAAACGCTCGGCGGCTACACCACGGAAGAAGCAAGTTCCCTTAGTAGCACCGTACAAACAGACGTTACCAATGAGGATATTCTCCTCGGCACGGTACAAAGCAGTGCGCGGCGGGTAAACGATGAGGCGACCTCCAGAGAGACCCTTGCCGACATAGTCGTTAGCATCACCCTCCAGCTCAAGAGTAACACCAGGTGCGAGGTAGGCGCCGAAAGATTGACCAGCAGATCCACGGATGTTCGCGTGGATCGTATCTTGGGGTAGGCCGGCCTCTCCATAGCGTCGGCTGATCTGGTAGGAGAGTGTAGCACCAAGAGCACGGTCTGTGTTGACAATGTCGCACTCAATACGAGCTGGGAGACCTTTCTCGAGAGCAAGCTCAGACTCGGCAATGAGTTTGTTGTCCAAGCGGACATGGAGACGATGGTCTTGCTTGCGGACATTGAATGTGGCAACACCAGGTCGAAGGGTGTGGGCAGGCGTGAGGATGAGAGACAGGTCAATGTTCTCGGTTTTCGCAGTGCGAAGGTCATCTCGCACGCGGAGGACCTCACAGTGACCAACCATATCGTTGATAGTGCGGAATCCAAGCTTGGCCATGATGGCACGCAGCTCGTTGGCAACGTAGTAGAAGAAATTGATGACGTGCTCTGGTGTACCGACGAATTTCTTCCTCAGCTCAGGGTCTTGGGTGGCAATGCCAACGGGGCAGGTATTCACTACGGCACAGTCAGTAAACAATAATGTAAACACATTACAACCAGTCAACAGGTGTCAAAATGCCACGCTGTGTGGCAACTTGGAATCCTTTGGATAACACGAGGGGAGGGCATGCGGCAACGTACAGTGCTACAATCATGTTAGCTCGTGTTTTATCACATCAAAAATTCGTACGAAACTTACGCATTTTCTCATCATAATACAGCCCATGGCGATCAAGGGGGTTGTAGCAAAACCCCATTCTTCAGCACCGAGCAGACAGGCGATGGCAACATCCCTACCAGTGCGGAGCTGACCATCAGTCTGGACAATAACACGGCCACGGAGGTCGTTCAACACCAGAGTTTGGTGAGTTTCAGCGAGACCCAATTCCCAAGGAAGACCGGCATATTTGATACCAGTCCATCGAGAAGCTCCCGTACCACCATCATGACCGGAGATCAAGATGTGATCGGCTTTCGCCTTGGCGACACCAGAGGCGACGATGCCAACACCAGTCTCGGAGACAAGCTTAACAGAAACCCTAGCACGGGGATTGGCGCACTTGAGATCATAAATGAGCTGCTTGAGATCTTCGATGGAGTAAATGTCGTGGTGAGGAGGCGGGCTGATCAATCCGACACCCGGGGTGGAATGGCGGGTCTTAGCAATGGATTGAGACACCTTGTGACCGGGAAGTTCACCGCCCTCTCCAGGCTTGGCTCCTTGGGCCATCTTGATCTGGAGTTCATCGGCATCGGCGAGGTAGTTGGATGTGACACCGAAGCGCCCGGAGGCAATCTGCTTGATAGCCGAGCGCATAGTATCGCCGTTTTCCATCCGGAGGCTTCGCTCGGAATCTTCACCACCTTCACCTGTGTTGGATTTTCCACCCAGACGGTTCATAGCAACGGCAAGAGTGGAATGAGATTCCATTGAAATCGAGCCGTAAGACATGGCGCCAGTGACGAACCTGCGAACAATGTCGGTCCAAGGCTCCACCTGATCGATTGGAATGGGAGTGCGATCTTCGAAGTTGAAGTCTAACAGACCGCGCAGAGTGCAGTCCTTGATACGCTCGTACTCAGCAATGGAGTATGCCTCGTAAGATTTATCGTTTTTGGTGCGGACGGCATCCTGGATGTTGGCAAGCGCAGTCGGGTCGTTGACGTGAGGCTCACCGCCATCTCGCCAATGATATTCGCCAGTTTCGGATAGCCCGGGCACTTCGACAATAGGACGGGAGGGGAAACCTTTCTCGTGGAGGGCAAAAGCATCCTGGGCGAAGTCGCGGAAAGTGGCACCCTTGATACGTGTGGCAGTACCAGTGAAGCATCGATCCACGACGGAGTCGTCGATACCAAGAGCCTCAAAGATCTGAGCGCCTTTGTACGATTGTAGGGTGGATATACCCATTTTGCTCATGACTTTGAGGATACCACCGTCGCAAGAGTGCTTGTAGTTCTCGATGAGCTGTTCTTGCGGCAACTTCTTGCGGATCAAGCCCTCACGGTGCATCTTGAGGATGCATTCAATGGCAAGGTATGGGCAGATGGCATCAGCACCGTAACCGACAAGAACACACATATGGTGAACCTCACGAGCCTCTGCGGTTTCCACGACAAGGGCAACTCGGGATCGCCACTTATTGCGGACAAGATGGTGATGGACCATACCAGTAGCCAAACAAGCAGAGACAGCGACGCGTTCAGCGGACGTGGCACGGTCAGAAAGGACGAGAATACTATCGCCACTGTCGATACATTCGGTAGCACCATCACAGATGCGGTCAAGAGCGTCGATGTAGCCCTGAACGCCTTCACTCTTGGGGAAAGTGATGTCGATGGTCTTCACTGTCCACTCAGGGTACAAGGTGTGGGTGTTGACCAGAGCTTTGTACTCCTCGAGAGACAAGATGGGGGAGGGTAGGAGCAACCTCCCACACTGTGACTCGTCCATCTCTAGAAGGTTACCTTGAGGACCGACGTAAGCCTCCAATGACATGACAATAGCCTCACGGATGGGGTCAATTGGCGGGTTGGTGACTTGGGCGAACAGTTGACGGAAGTACTCGTACATGAGGCGAGGTTGCTGCGCCAAACATGCCAGAGGTGCATCGTTGCCCATAGAGCCTAGAGCTTCCTTGGAATCAGCTGCCATGGGAGCAAGAAGCAAAGTGACCTGCTCCAAAGAATATCCGAATGCTTTTAGTCGAGGATCCTCGTGAACACGAGCCTCTGTGAGTGCGTGGGAAAGATCGACGCCCTTTTCAACGACTTGGTTCTTGATTTTAGGCAAGCTCAAAAGGTTCTTGTCGACCCATGATCGGAAATCAAATCGAGCAGAGACTGTGTTCTTCAGCTCTGTATCATCGACGATACGACCGGCAACAGTGTCAACAAGCAACATGCGCCCGGGCTGCAGACGGCCCTTCTGAACCACCCGCTCAGGGTCGATGGAGATGGTTCCGACTTCAGAGGCGCATACGATTCGGTCATCGTCGGTAACATAGTAACGGCAAGGACGGAGACCGTTTCTATCAAGATTGGCACCGCAGTATCGTCCATCAGAGAAAGTGAACAGGGCTGGGCCGTCCCAGGGCTCCATCATGCAAGCGGCCCACTCATAGAAAGCCTGCTTGGCGGGATCCATAGATTGGTTACCTTGCCATGCTTCGGGGACCATGAGCATAACCGCTTCTGGCAAAGAGAGTACACCGTTAATGGTGAGAAGCTCAAGTACGTTGTCGAAGGCGGCAGAGTCGGACCCTCCGTCTTCCACAATGGGGTATAGAAGATCGAGATCGTCACCGAACATGTCTGATTTCATCACACCCTCTCGGGCTCGCATCCAGTTCTTGTTACCTCGTAGCGTGTTGATCTCACCGTTGTGGGCTGCCCATCGCAAGGGCTGTGCACGATCCCAGCTGGGGAATGTGTTAGTAGAGAAACGGGAATGAACGAGGGCGAAATGGCCCTCGTAGTCGACAGAGACCAAATCGTGATAGTATTCATAGACCTGCACGGGAGCAAGCTGTCCCTTGTAAACTATGTTCTTGTTGCTCAAGGAGCAGATATAGAACCTAAAATTGCAGACGCAAAGTCAGTACGATCCATGCAAACTTGTTCAGAGAGGCTATCAGGGCGTCGAAAAGCTGCACCTTGCGGTGTCTCGCGATAAGACGACTCTGTACCCGTAGTGTACGTACCAGTTGTGCAGACCAATAACGTGTGTAGACCTCTTGCGCAGCACGTAAAGCTGACGCTCAAAGTATGCAGCATTGTGCGTGCTTGCAAAGTCCTCCTTTGGCTCCTTACCCTCACCATATGCTTTCTTCAACACAACGAAAGGTTGGAGAATAATAGGCTCTCGTGACAGAGCTGCCGGACCCAGCAGTGTAGAGTCCCTAGGAACCACTCGCCATCCTAGCACTCTCAGATCCAACTGGTCCGCCACATCCTCAAACATTGCCTTGGTTTCATCCAGCGCTGCGGCATCGGGCTTGAAGAACAGATTTCCAGTCGCGTAGTCGCCCAGTTGAGGAAGCGTGAAGCCCTGATCTTTGCCGAACTCCTTGACAAAGAATCGGTGGGGGATGGAAGTCATAACTCCAGCGCCATCGCCATCGCGGGCATCGGACCCAACGGCACCTCGATGGGTCATGTTGCAGAGAAGGGACCGAGCTATTCCAGTTAGCTAGGAAAAACACAGTCGAGAATCTTGCATATTCCTACCATCGGAAACGATTTTGTGGCTTGCTTTGCCCTTGATGTGGCTGTTGATGATTAGCTCTCGTTGGTGAATACAACCTAAGCAAGGCAGACATACGCAGCAAAACCCACACCACAAGCATCCTTCTCGTACTCGGGATCATAGAGACCCTGCTTCAAGGGAAGGGCTCCAGCCCATGACTTGTTTTCAGGGCCATCCTGGTAAGGAAAGACTGAACTCTCCTCTTCGACAAACGGGGTTTCCTGCGGCAATTTGGTATCTTCGGCGAAGGAAACGCTACCCATTATATCGGCAGCGGGCCGAGGTATTGAGCGTGGGTTTGAGGGGAGGTAGGGTGATTTTCGAATTGGTGGAGTGGCCGCTTTGAAGGGGTATCAAAAGAAAGGGCGACAATGCGGGGTCGCCGGGATCTAGGAGCACTCTTTGGGATTGCTGGAACTGATTGAGGCCAATGTTAGTATTAATCAAAGCTTTTTCTCTGGTGTGCTACAAACTGAAGGCTAGGAGATCGGGCCGACAGAATCGTACAGAGGGCGAGAGATTGAAGCAAGGATGGCGAGGCGAAAAGTACAAAAAAGCATGGAAATGAGTTGCATGCACCGGCAGCATTCCACAGAATTGGAGAAGGATGACGGGCGAGCTCCGTCACGCACAGAGTGACCCCAGTAGCATATAAGCCAGGTGACGCTACTGTAGTCTCGAGCCGATCAATTGATAGCTGGCTGGCATGCAGGCCGTGGTGGTGATAAGAGGATTCGACGAATGGGGGGAGCGCGGGGTTGAAAGACGTCCAAACAGGGCACTCGGCACATCCCTGTAGAAGAGGGTATTTGGGCTGGAAGTGTACTGCAGGATTGGATTGTCGATACAGACAGCGTGGGGAAGAGAGGGGAAACATGAGGCGGAGGGCAGGGCAGGGCGGAGGGACAATGGCAGCGACTTACCCTTGAAAGGTGGTTCCGGTGAGCGCAAAGGGCAGCAGATGAGGGGATCGAGGTGGGAGCAGGCTGGCGACTTGCGGGAGGGTAGGTTGGAGACGGAGAGAGGGTGTGTGAGGGAGGGGAAAGTGGAAGAGAACGGGCAATGGGTGCTTAAGAAGGGAGTCGAGGACTCGTCGGGGTGGGGTCTGTCAAAAAAGTTGAACTACCTCCGCGCTAGCTTTGGCACCTTTACCTGCCAATGGCAGGATGAACGAGGGAGGGAGGGAGTGAAATTGTTTATTGATGGATCAGACCTAGGGCCGGCTACGAAATTCAAAGCGCTTGCCGGCACGGTGGACAGCAGTTGCCGGCCTGTTCTGGGTGGTGTATCTCGCGTTGGCATGTAGCGAGGGCGTGGCACATGTCAGAGAAGCTTTACAAAGGTCACGGTTTCGCCAAACAGCACAGCAGAGACAATGGAAAGCACCCAATTGATGGGCGCATTTGGAATAGATGAAGGTGATATAGTTTGTGCGGTCGCGCTTGGCGACGCTCGTGTGCGCACACGATATAGATGGGTACGTAGACAGAGACGGAGAGGAGGTGGTGATGGTGGTGGTGGCAGCAAGCATGGCCAGAAATTTGGAGGATGCATGCACCGACGACGTATACCCCACGGTTCTGCTCGACCCCAGGGCTCCAGGCGGGCGAATGGCAGCGCTCCGAATTCGCATTTGCTTTGGCTGGACAAGGATCCGCTGCGCTGGGGGCTCCACCGGCCAGAGGGCCGCTCGCTGGTGCGTCAGATTGCGCCCGCGGCCATTGGCTCCGCTCTCTAGCGCCCTGCTGCCCGATGCTCCTTTGTCGTAATTCCGGGTGGTCAACACCAGACCAGCCGCTTATCTCGACACTGTCTCCTCCATGGATCAGTGGATGGCCGCATGGCATGACTGGGTGGAGGGATGGGAAAAGAAACGTCGCCGCCGCCGCTAGTTACCCAGATGAGCCGCCGGACATCTGAGGTGAGGCGAGGCGACGTGAGTGAGTGAGCCCGCAACCGGCGGAACTGCCTTCTGATAGGCCGGGAGCCGCCACTCTCCATCCCCCCCATCTATCCCGCCTCCCGTTCCTCTCCTCTCCGAGCGGAAAACTCTGAGGTGTGGCCCGAATTCCAATATACTCCAAACAGACAGTGGACAGAAAAATAACATAAAAAACATAGACAACTCCACGTATGCTACGCAGCATGTTCCTTTCGTTCTCCAATCGACATCGCCCACTGTCGATCTAGTTACAGCAACAGGCCCGCGAGTCCATCTCTCTAAGCGTACATGCGTACATCATCACCATCATTCATCATGGACCGCCACGCGCACGGAAAAGACGTGGCGGTAAACGAGCACGCTTCGGGGGATCCCGGAACAGCCATGCTCTCTTTCTCTCTTCTTCTTCAGACACGGCTGGTGCCAGCGGGATACCGCATTGTTGCCTTCGCCTAGTGTTTCCGTGGCTATCCCGTCCATCGTTCCACCCACTCTCTGCCTTTCCTCCCGCCGATGTCGCTTTCACCTCCCACTGCTCATTTCCCCATCCAACCAGCCAACCCGTTTGCTGTACCTAATGCAAATGCCGCTTCGGGACAAGACGACCCTTAGCTACTGTAGAGTGGGAGTCGCAGCCTTCCTTCCGCACCCGTCTTGACATCAAACAGTTACATACTCGATTCATTTATCAGTCCGACCGCTGCCGCCCGACACTTGCTGCCATCCTCTGCTACATCACTGACTTGTCTACTGTACTTTACTGTACTCCATGTACTCTTCTCCATGTAGGCTCCCTGCATTGGTACCCTCCCCCCCGCAATCCAACCTACATAATGTATTGTACATATACATATGCAATCGCCCACACCTTTGCCTGCCCGCGTGACACTCTGTCCGTGATGTACATGTATACATTCTACTTCCATACACACATGTATGCATACACACCATGCTCTCCGTCCCTCCCTCGTCTCCTCCCCCCTCCTTGCTTGCGAACCAATCATGCTTGTGCCCCTTCCACACCAATCAAATAACACCCGTGGGCGGAAACGTGAAACCACTCCCACCAAGCTTCCGAATCACACATTTGCCTGTATACATACCCTGTATCCATCCATACCCGTATGTACAGAGAGCATCGTGTGACTAAAAACCCGCCTCGTCACTGCACATATACAACCCTCAACTCAAATCCTGCATCCAGTTAATCTCCAGCGATGCGCCTCTGTCTTGGCCCAAATCTAAATACTTGCTCCCTAAACACGTTCCCAATCACTCGCTATACAACCACCTTGGTAGAGCTTGCCGCACAAGCCGCCCGAAACCTCAATGCCAGAAACAAATCAAACATGAACTCATTCAAATACTCAACATCGCTTGCAATCCATCAACGTCACATAGCATGGGGAGAGAGGTGGTCCACGCCTAGTAACAAAATTTCTGTTTGTTTTCATTCATGGGTCGTGCTTAAACGCTATTCGTATAGAGGTTTATAGACCTCCCGTGGTGCTGCACTCAAAAAGTGTGCCCGGCAGGCCCTACATTGACACCCTCCGGCATCCAATTCTACACGCCAAGACTCCATGTACAGCATGAGGCTGCCTCGCTACCCAATGCAATGCCTTTTTATATTCGAGTGGCCCAACCGTGTAATAAACATCAAATATGGGTGGGTCCAGAAGAAGGTTCGTGATCGTGTGGAAGAAAGCCTGGGGAGTGTGGGGTCAGCGAGCCGCTGGGAAGGGTGGGGTGGGGCAATTCCGTCGAGTTGGAATCAACATACAGAAAGAACTTGGAGCTCTCTGAGCCCTTCTAGTCCTTCATCTCATCGTCTTCTGCCTCCTTGAAGTCCTCATCGTCGTCCTCGTCCTCGTCCTCGCCGAGTTCCTGAGCAGCCTTGGCGAAGTCGATGTTCTTGCCGCGCGTGCGCCTGCCAACGATGTTGTCGGTGTCGATCTCGGCCATGGTGTCCTCTTCGATGTCTATGTTCCAGTCAGTCTCCGTGTTCCGATCATCGTGTTTGTCCAAAATGAAGCATACCCTCGGCGCCCTGCGATACTCGATTAGCTATTTGCGCCAATGCTACTGCAAGGCTTAACATACCTGATCCTCGGGACCAGACTCATCGCTGGAGTCATCCTCGGCGGACTCCTCCACGTTCTCAGCTGGGGCCTTGCCCTTGCCCTTGTCGGTAACACCAGCTTCGACGCCCTCCATCTGGTGGTCTTCAGGTTGAGCGGACATGGTGAATGGAGGATTGGATGTGTATAGCCGTGATTTGGTAATACGCTGAAGGTTTCCGAAGAAAAGCGCACGGATTCGAATGGGCAAGTAAAGGTGAGTAGCGGCGATGTTGTTGTTGCTGGTGGGGAAAGTCAAGAAGCTCTGGACTTGCCTGCCTACCAATTGACTAACCGCATTGGGACGCGGTTACCTCAGTAACACCAGTTGATCGTTTGCTTGCCACAAGTGAGCAAATCCCACGTGCAACTTGGAAAGCGGCATGTAGGTGTTTGCTTTCTAACAACCAATCCTTCTATGTAAAACCTGGTGCAAGTAGCAAACTGTCGGGATGATTGCCGAAGGATGAGGGCTAAACCATGAGTCCGCCCCATACCGATGTTGCGTTGCTACTGATTCGCGAGTGAACCTGATGGCACAGGTACACTACATATGCAAGACGCCCAACACTGTGCTGTCGAAGACATTATTACATTCTTATTCAGTATATCAAAAGCATCGTCTTGGCTATTGAACGGCGTCTGCTATGACCATATGTTCTGAGCTCTCTGGAATTGCGAAAATGTGACATCTATCAAAGTACAATTGCTCGGCCTACATATGCGTCTCAAATTACTGCATCGTACCCTATGCCCTTCAGAATTTCAAAGCACCATGTACTACAGTTCTCGTCGAGTCTGCTAGGTGAATGTGATGAATAGTGGTGATAGGACTCCTGTGCTGAAGTACTGTGTGCATGCAAGAAATTTGTACCAAAATCTACACTTCTTACTGACTGCTTGATAGCTGGGTACGATGTGAGTTCACCCAGATATTATCGTCTTCGTCCCTAAAGCGAGTGTTCAAGATTGATTCCCACCTTGTAGTTCTTTCTCTATGTGGTGAAGTACCTGAGGCTAGTGCACGTCTTGGCACTTCCACACTTCCACCGAAGCTTTGACGCGTACGAACCACCGCCTAGATCCAGCAATTCCCCACGACATCATCAGCGCTTCGCTTGCAGCACCTCACCTCTCTCTTTGCACGATAACACTTTACCTACTTCCAACGGGAAATTCATTTTCTAGTCCTTCTTCAAATTCACGGGAACTACGTGAGATTACACCGCCAACATGGTATGCTTAAGCTCCACGATCGCCATCGGAGCTTGCTTGCTAATTGATTGCAGTTCATAGCTCGAAGCGAATATGGTGAGTATCTCTTGCTGCAGTGTTGGAAAAGGAAAAGGCTGACAATCTGTTCCTAGACCGAGGCATCAAGTGCGTAACCCCGCCGTATCCCATTCGCAAACTCCAAGCTCACAGTAGTTCAGCACTTTCTCCCCCGAAGGTCGTCTCTTCCAGGTCGAATACTCACTAGAAGCTATCAAGCTCGGATCGACAGCGATAGGTGTACGTTCCCTTTCCGTTTCCGTACACCTTTGTGAGGGGTATTGTGCAAGACACTCGTACTCATGATCTCCAGGTAGCAACCGGCGAAGGTGTAATCCTCGGCGTAGAAAAGCGCGTAACCTCCACGCTCCTCGAGACTTCCTCGGTCGAGAAGATTGTAGAAATCGATCGCCACATTGGTTGCGCCATGTCAGGTCTGCAGGCCGATGCCCGTAGCATGGTCGAGCATGCCCGTGTGGAGAGCCAGAACCACGCATTCAACTACGCAGAGCCTCTTAGGGTGGAGAGTTGTACACAGGCCATATGCGATCTGGCACTGAGATTTGGAGAGGGTGCTGAAGGCGAGGAGAGCATCATGAGCAGGCCGTTCGGAGTGGCGCTGCTGATCGCGGGGTATGATGAGGATGGTCCAAGCCTGTACGTTGACCCCACGATCGAAGATGGAGCACGGAATCAAAAGCAGCTTCTAACAAGTTTTTCAGCTACCACGCAGAACCATCCGGTACCTTTTACCGCTACGATGCCAAAGCCATTGGTTCCGGTTCCGAGGGCGCACAGGCCGAGCTCCAAAACGAATTCCACAAGTCACTCACTCTTTCCGAGGCGGAGGTGTTGGTGCTCAAGACGCTGAAGCAGGTCATGGAGGAGAAACTGGACAGCAAGAACGTACAATTGGCGAGCGTGACGAAAGACAAGGGTTTCCGGATCTATACGGATGCAGAGATGGAGGAGGTCGTCGGAAGATTGCCCACCAACTAAACTCAAAATATGCTTTGAGCGGTACAGGAACGTCAAGGCCATGATAACCATGATAACGTCTTCTAGCGCCACATTGTGGCTATGAATAGATCCAAGCTTGAAGACCTGAATGATATAGAATCCGCAATTGAGCTTGGTAGCGTGGTGAACAGCCTAGAACAACAGATATCCCATGCCATGTATCCACCTCACCATGGTAGATCACAAATTATTAGATTGGATCAGTGTCGGAAGCGCCGTAGATGAATTGAGCCAGGCCGGACAGTTGGAGATTGGAAATCAAGTCTATTCCGCGATCCTCTCCGCTAGTATACAGCATGCTAGTTCTATGAAACCAAGACTTTCCTCGATCATGCTTGCATCATCCTTCCCCCTATCGCATATGTATTGTACATTTCTCTCTTTCCCCACTGCAGCTTCCCAAAAGCTCTCTAGAACGGGTTGTCCTCTGGGGGTATCTCGCGGACGAAGTAATCGCCAAGGATGGGCACCTTTCGCATAATGTCCTCACGCACACGAGGGACCTCGGAGAAGAAGAAGAGGGCGAAGAAGCCGGCTACGCCACCGAAACCGGCTGCGAGAGAGCCACTGTCATGCACTTTTAGCATTGTTCGACGAATCGCGCAATCACCGACATTGCCCATCGCAACATGCGTTCGCAGAGAAATTGTTGCGAACAGACGTGACTGAACGGGTGGTAGTGATGGAATGGGACCAAGCACGTACTACTTGAAGAGATGGCGAGACGTAATGCCGTGGAAGTTAGGCTGGATCTTGTACCTGCGGGAGACACGAGCGTTAGCAATATTCCTTTCCCTCTCAACACCACGCCGATATTCCTCCCTCCTCTTCTTTTCCATTGATACGTTCGGTATCCTGCAGCTCGTAATGCATTGGCGATGATGCAGCAATCGGTTTCCCCTCCTCTTATTCCGTGCGTTCAAACTCCGCCAATTCCTTTCCACTCCCTCGATTTCCGCCCATTGCCCCCTTTGTCCCCATTTCCAACGAAGAGGAAAATACTTAGACGTACTGAGGACCGAATCTGCTGCGGTAGGCCTGGTAAGGGGAGCGAGAGCTCTGTACTCTGTGGTCAGCCCATCCATTCCTCACTTTCGTGCATGTCGAACCACCCGGGGGGGGTTCCATCTTGGCGCCAATTGGTACGGTGGAGAGCTTACGATGGCAGTGGGAGTCTTTCCCAGGTTGCCGGAAGGCTGTGGCTTTATAGAGGTCATGGTTGCGGGAGCGGGTTGGGCGGCGAGCGTTGAGAGAGGTGCAGAGGTTTGACGTCGAAAGACGAAGTTGGAGGAGCCAGGGCTTGGCGGCTCTCGGTCGAGGTGTGGACCAATCAGGCCACTCGGATTCTGCGACTGCTGATTTTCTATTCTGTGGACGTATTACATTGAGAGGTCCTTGCAAACATTTGAACATTGTAATCAATATTTGAGCATGTGGACCCAAATCATTCAGTCACTTGCATTAAGTTACTATTTGTTCTTGTGGCAACGTGATTGAAATTATGTGCGGTCAACCCGACTCTGGACACCCAACATTTGGCCAGTATTGGTCAGATCTGTTGCTCATGTATACATGTACTGTGCGATGCTATGTCTATTTGTTTTGCGGTATATCCTTATAATCAATCTAAAGGCAACTCTAACAACTCCATTAACACCAGGGTATACCCACTTGCCCAAACCCCAAGTCAAATTTCGGTCACCAGTCTCCTGTTCCCCACCATGAGTATCGACTCATCATACACGATTATCACCTTCTTTGCTCGCCGCTATCTTTGCATCTACTGCCTCACGCCAGTCCTTACCGTAAACTGTAGTCATATATGTTGCAATAGTCGCTACGACCATGAAAAGCGCTGATATCGTAGAAAACCATCCTACACCAATCTTTCGGACAGCTGGAAGACAGGCTGCAGAACCAGCTGCAGCGAAAACATAGCGCATCATGTAATTTCCCGCTAGCAATATGTCAGCTTCTAGCGAGACAAAGGCGCAAACGGCGACTTACCAACTACTTCTGAACTCCGACTCTGCATGACGTCCAGACAGTAAGTATTCAAACTCGGGAAACAGAACAGCTGGGCCACGCCTTGAGTGAACATCATGATGACTGGTAGTGCTACGCCTCCAACTCTCTTCTCAACGCTCCACCCGTATATCAGCATGCATGCTGGAATAACGATGCCCATGAAGGGCAGACAGGATTTCAAGCGATCTTCAGAAACCCGAGTGCCGCGTATCTTGATATACTTCTTCACGATATGATCAGCCCAGCGTCCGCCAAAGAAAGTGCCCAGCAGGTATCCGCATCCAGGGGCAATATAAAATAACCCGGATTGAAGAGGGGTAGTAAGATCGAAACGCGGATTCAGAACATAGCGGATCGGGGTGAGGAGAGAGTACATATTCCAGACGAGAGATGACGACGCTATGGCTACGGTCAGAAGATTCGGGTATCGGTATAGCAAGGCGATGCGAAACGGATTGAGCCATTTCCACATAAGGCTTGCTTTCTCTTTTCGCGGTTTGCCCTCGAGCTCCTGGGCTTGTCGATAGTGGATGGTCTCGGGCTGTAAAAACATGACGAATACGCATGCTGCTCCAGCTAAAGCTGTCTGTAGCCAGAAGATGTCTCGCCATGTTCGGAATGTGACGATGATACCGCCAATGAAAGGTCCTGCGCTAGGGTTTAGAGATATATATTGAGAGGGCACATGTGCAAGGGTAACGCACCTAGAGCGGGGCCAATAAGGGTACCCGACATGAACCTGTCAACGTATATTGTCAGTATTGCCTTTGAGAATCACGGCTGAGGATCCCGTGTCTGCACATTGAAAATTGCTGTGCGCATTGGTAGCAGTAGGAGTTCAGCTTACCATCCAAGCGCTGTTCCACGTTCAGTGGGCTTGTAGATATCTCCGATGACACTTGACCCAATGACAAGAAAGGCTGTCCCTTGGAAAGCAGTCAATATCCTGAAGATGAAGAATGAAGCCAAATTTGGCGCCAATGCAGTCCCGATTGAGAAAGCAAAGAACAGCGCTGCACTAGCTACCAAGACCTATCCATACTCGATCAGTTTGTTAAATTCTTTTGCAATTTTGCTGTAATTACCCATAGAAAGATGACTGTCAAGTCAGGTTGATGCGTACCCGTTTGCGCCCGTATATGTTTCCAAAGGGTCCGTAAAAACATGGACTAATGCCCATGAAAAGCATATACATGGCATTGGAAAGATTGATAATGGATCCATCGCAGTTAAAAGTAGCCGCTACCTCAGGTACAGCTGATAATACAGTGGTCGAAGAGACAGGTGCCAAGAAGCCGCAGAAAGAAAGTACAGCAGTGATGATCATCTTACGACGCTCGGTGAAACGATTGTATATCTCGTCCCCATCGCCAGTGACCACATAGGCGACATTGGGCATGTCATGATTGCTGACGTTTGAAGCTGTATGTTGGAGTTGTAGCCGATTGTTGTTGCTCTCTGGGATGATGGAGGCAAACTGTTTCTCATCGTGCTGCAAGGAGCTGGGGTTGGTGGCTGGCTCTGTAGTTGCCCTCGTTGCCGAAGAGGATGTTTGAGTTGGGGAAGCCATGGTAGAATTCTTGTTGCATGCCAAGGTCAATTTGAAGATGATGTATATTCACTAGGTCTCAGAATGCTCGACGGCGTTCTCATATGCCCCCCAATTGAACGGAAAAGCAAACCAACAGTGAGTCAGTAGATACTAGAATGCATGCAGGGCTACGTAAAGAAAGGACCGTTGATTCTCTTGATTGTTATCGTAGCTAGCGCGAGTCATCCATCGAGGCATTTGATAGGTAGCTAGGCCTGCTGTACGTTTTTCCGTGAAGATTTTTTGTTCCAATGCGGAAAGGAAAGTGCTTATCCGGCCCATGGAGGATTCAGAATGCCTACCGGCCGAAACAATTACTAGCGCACCCCACAAGCATAGGCATTAATCACATTCATTGCAATGGACCACGTATTTATTCCTTATTGTCATCTCAGAATTTGAGTATTTTAGTACATCCTAGACAAGCAGCCTAGAATCATCGTTGAGCAATTGGGCCTGTGTGCTTCAGCCAAATTGAGCAACATCCCTTGTTCCCTTATACCGAAAATAGATCGCATACGATGCGAAACACTACCAATGTCCTCATGTTCAAAGCCGACCTTGTCGCACATGGACCACCATAGACTATCCCATATGCAAACGCCAATACCAGAATAATGTCAAGAAGAACGCCAGCCATGCAAGAAGCCCGTTTTACCACCCGCGAGAGACCAAATCTATATCGATAGCTTGTCGAGACTTAACCTATCCACACTGCGCTGTCGCTTGACCATCCCCAGCTTGTAGTATCTCTCTTCGCCAGCCGCTGTACGACCCCCAATGTACCATTTTTCTGCTCCCTTTATTTCGTTGAACCCTTCCGAAGAGCTGTCTGAGCCTCTCCTGTTGCGTCCTCTCGAGTTGCCGGGAATAGGGAATGCTTTGGTGGTGGGTGAGGTAGACCGGTGGTAGGGTGCAGCATGCTGCCTTGTTGGTTGGAACTGAGACGTGGCTTGCACAGCAGCGGCTGTGGGACCTGGTGAAGAAGGGGTCGCTTTAGTTGTTAACGTCCGAGACTGCGTTGAGCTCGAGGCCTGTGTTGAGGATGTAGAGGCGTGGGGATACGAGGCTGCCGTGGAGGAAGATGTTGCAGCTTTTTGTATGGCGGACTGAGCGCGGAACGCGGCGAGGAAATTAGAGAAGAAGGGTCTGTTTGTCGACATGGTGGTGTCGGAGGAGTCTGGGCCGGACGATGAACGCTGTCGGTCGTCGAGCATCAATACCTAGGCGGGCGGATTTGGTGCGAAGCTGAGCGCCAGGGGATGTGCAGTGTACAACTGTAGTCGGTGTCGTCTGCGGGACATGCAAGAGTGGAGGTGTACTGAATGCGACGGATGATGGTGAGCAACGTGGATGTGACGTCGTGGGGAGCTGAGGGCTAATGGATGGCTTGGGTGTGACGCTGGTAGAAGGGAAACCGGATGGAGCGGCTGCGGGTTGTTCCTTGGGGTAGCGAAAAGGCAGCGGGGGATGTGCAGAGTGTTTATCTGTGTGGGTATAGAGGTGGGCGGCAGAGCGGCGGGAAGGAGGGATGGATATGTTTGGCGTACATGGAGTTGACGGATGATGAATGATTATCAAAGGAAGATATCGGAAGCATCTGATTCGACGCCCTGCCGCGATTCCGAACTGTACCGAGACCTGAACCTGCTGCCCTACCAAACCATACCACATACATGTACCACGACATGGCAGCCTTCTGCCTGGTTATTACCTGCGCGCATGGAGGCATCTATCCTGCAACAGTGCTGTAGGTGGATAGATCGTCTTGGATCATTCATCTACATGCAACGAAGAGATCTGCCTCAAGCACGCCATGCAGCATGATGTTGTGCAGCTTCTGCACGGCTTGTCCACAAACTGATAGCCGGCCAGCCTTGCTCACCCACCCACCCACTCACTCATCATCGATCGATGGCACTGCCGACCCCTCACATAACATCCCATGTACATGTCCCGCTTCTGTAAACATCCCACTCTCCCGTATCCAGTGCCTGATGGAAGAGCTGGGAATGGCATGTGACGGCTCGCTGTTCATGTTCAGATGGTGATGATCCCGTTGACCCGACCGTTTCCTCCATGGCCGCCTGATCACGCATGCCAACACATTTGCGGTCACCGTCACAGACTCTGCCAGAAGGCCTGATTTGAAGCGCAGGGGGTTTGCATTGCTTTTTCGCATCAACCGTGGTCAGAATCAAGTTATGTTGCAAGTGCACCTTGATTGACATTCGGGGAAACGGAAAGTCAGTTTTCTCGTGGAAGGTTTCGCGAGCCGATGACCGAGTCCAAGCATCGTATTGGACTGTCCAAGGTTTTATTGTTCAGAGAGTCGGACGCCCTTTTACAAAGGTAGGTATTGCTGCACAGTACGCTGGCAGATTCTGCACCTGTCGACAACTGGACTACCAGTGTGTATACACATGTGCATGCATGGCCGTGTTGGCTGTCTAGGTGCATGCCACGAGTGTGGCGCACCAACATTTGAATACCCGGAGAGTAGCCCATCCATGGTCAACCATGGTCAACCATTGTCCATGGACGGCAAACTTTGAGCTATGGAACTCGGCACAAAAAGCATACGCGATGAATTGCTCAAGCATGCATTGGAACGATGCTGATCTAGATGCTGCTGGCGATGGGTGCCCCTGAGTTCGGACCGTTTCTCGCTCGAGTACCTGTGCCTAATGCATCATGCATCCATCGCAAGCTGGAGACGCACGCGTCATCCACGCCGTCTCCCTTTGCTCCCACGGTACTCGCAACTCCAGCGTGCTGCAACTACTGTCGACGGGCCTGTTTGGACCCCCACTCAGAAAAAGATTTTTTTTTCCCCTCTTCTTCTTCTTCGCATCTGGGGCCATTCGTCATGGATGGAAAAGACCGAAGGCAGATGAGAGCCGCCTAGGTCCGATGGCCGATGGCCGACGGCTGACCTGACCTGACGTGCGTACTCGAGTACATACGCAGTGGACGTTGGGATATTTTTATACTCGGAGACGATTGCTTGGTTGCTTGTTTGCTTGCTTGCATGCTTGCTTATATGGCAAATAAACAGCAGCTCCACTCATCATTTGGCAACGGCCAATAAGCTCTGCAGTCGTGCGGAGAAGGCATTGGCATCTCTTCCGTTTCGGGACGTTTTCTGCCTGTCAGCCATCAACGCAAACCTACATAGCACTAGCATCGTCATCGTCGTCGTCGTCGTCATGCTTCTTTGGCCCACTCTGCAGACGGCAACTCTCTGGAATATTCAAAAGTATCTAGGAATTAAATCGCCATGAACCTGGACTGGAGCATCGCGTACGTACTCATGTATACACTATGCACGTAGACAGCCAAACAAAAAAAGGAGCGAGCACGTTGAATCCATCTACCGACCCAGCATCATCTCACTGACAGGAGGCCGCAGAGGACGCCGGTTGACCCATCCCCACGGAAAGCAGCGCCACCCGGCGGGAACCCCCTGCGGCTCTCAATCTCCCTCTCTCTTTCTCCTTCTGTCGGTCGCCCCTGCCCTACCCTGCCCTGTCCTGGTCTGGTCTGGCCTGGGCCTGCCCGCCGACTCTTGCCTTCTCCATAAAACCTGCCTCACACGTCACTTCAATAAACACTCACCTTTCTTTGCCCACACTCTTTACCCTCCTTCACTTTTCCTTCCACTTCTTCTAGAATCCCTTAATACCCCTTGTTAATCCTAATACTTCTCCCTTCCCGCCATTGTCTGCACCTTGGTCCATTCTCACCCATAAATACAAAACCCACCATGCATCTCACTTCCACCCTCCTGGCTGCTGCTGCCACCCTTTCGGGCGCCAACGCTGCCTCCAAGGGTTTCAACTATGGTGCTTTCTTTGGCAATCAGCAGGCCAAGCAGTATGTCGATTTCAAGTACGAGTTCGAAGCTGCCCAAGAGCTTCCCGGAACCAACGGCCAGTTCAACAGTGCCCGTCTGTATACCATGATTCAGCACGGAACCGCAAACACCGTCATCTCTGCTATCCAGGCCGCCATTGACACCAAAACCGAGCTTCTCTTGGGTATCTGGGCCTCTGCTGGATCCGCAGTCGTCGACAACGAAATCACCGCCTTGAAGACTGCCATCAGCCAATACGGCTCTGCCTTCACTGATCTCGTTGTCGGTATCTCTGTCGGTAGCGAGGACTTGTACCGCATTACCCCTACTGCCATTGGCAACGGCGAGACAAACCCTGGCGCTCAGCCCGCTGAGCTCGTCAACTACATCAAGAGGGTTCGGGATGCCATCTCGGGAACCACCATGTCCGGAAAGCCTATTGGACATGTCGACACCTGGACTGCCTACGACAACTCCAGCAACGCTGAAGTGATCGCTAACCTCGATTTCCTTGGTGTTGATGCCTACCCCTTCTGGGAGGTCGAGCACGATAACAGCATTGGTAACGCCAACACCACCTTCTACGATGCCCTCCAGAAGACCAAGAATGCTTCTCAAGGAAAGCCTGTTTGGGTCACCGAGACAGGTTGGCCCGTGTCTGGGCCCAACCAGGGCAACGCTCAGGCGAACGCAGACAATGCCGGTATCTACTGGCAAGACGTCACCTGTTCTCTTCTTTCTCAGGGAGTGAACCTCTGGTACTACACCCTGCAGGATGTTCAATTCGGCAACCCGGTCCCTAGCTTTGGCCTGAAGCCCGGAGGTGACCTCAAGGCCGTTAGCCCCTTGTTCGATCTTTCTTGCCCGGCCGGCCTCAAGCCTGTAAGCTACCTTTTCCCGATTATTATTTCGTCTACTCTGTCCCCTGTTTTGCTCTTGCTACTGTACAACTACGTGCTTCTTTCGTCCATCGTCTTTCGTCTTCTACCTAAAGCCGAGTTTCGCCCGCCATGCAATTGTTGGCATTACTGCAGATCCCCTGAAGTCGCTCCATTCCCTAGAGACTGGGATGGCAGGCACTTCGGCTGGATAGCGCGGGCTAATCGGTCTTTGAAGACGAAAAGTGTCACGTTGAAGCCTAGCAGTACACTGGCAGTGAGCCTAAGTAAACAGAATAGCGAGCTTCCTCTTGATGAATTTCTGCTAACGGTAGACAGCGCTCCCAGTAGATCATACACGCACCACGTCCGTTCCTCCAGCACCACCAACACCACCGCCATTACCTGTTACAAGTCTTCCTCCTACTCAACCCGTACAACCCCCTCCCATCCCGAATAAACCAACCGAGACTCCGGCCTGGCCTGATCTTGCGCCAACTTTCTTAGCGCCTAGCAAGATCCTCCCCATCGATTCTTTGGATCCAAACAAGATCATCGGCAATCCTTTCACGGCTCAGCTATCGCCAACTCGTTCCACAATCTTCTCATTCAACCTTCCACCGGGACCGGGTAAGATGTGCAATCTCGTATTCACTCTTCCACCGCCATACGATCCGCAATATCCTTCTCCTTACACCATGACTTCGCCCGGTGGAATCGTTGTATTTCGTCTCACCACATCTGGCGTGCCTTCTCAGGTTGTTGGAAACATCCCCGCGCTCTTGCCGGGCAACAAGTATTTGATCCAAAGTGCACCTTGCTCGAAAGAGCAGCTGAATTTTCGGATAGATTCGGTGGGAGGGCTAGATCTCTCGTTTTTCCAAACTCCATCACCAGCGCCGATTGGGTTGTTCCAGGAATGGTCTTTTTGAACTGGATACTGAATAATACCGGATGCAATATGGTGTTCTGGTGGGGACAGGGGATCGGATGCCTGCTGCATGTATCATTAAAGAAGTGTATGTTCTGAGATTTTAGTTTTGCATAATGTAATGTTCCAGTCATTTGGGGCGCTTCTGAAATCGTGAAACTTTGTCAACTACCATGTGATGATTTTCCCCTGGAATTAATAGAAGTAAGCCTACAATGCGTGCTTCCCTGTAGGACTATCACAACCTAATTTTCCAAGATTGGTGACCGTATTGGGTGACGACGGAATAGGGGAAAGACACCGTGATAGAATGAAGTTGATTGGTAGATTGAGCGAGTATCAACAGCAAGTCTACTCAAAATACACGAAACCTTCCCAAACACCTTGCCGTGCGGAAACCAGAAGCCAGCTCAGCAGCATAAAGCAGATCGCTTAACAACAATAAGACCCCGATATACAAGAAGTAGCAGAAACACGCGATGCAACACAGACGAAATGTCCTCTCCGGCGATGCTTTTTGTTGGAAAACTTGTACACACAGTGTACACATAAACGCATAAATACACCCCTCCCCCCAACTTCCTCTCCCTTAATCCAACCCGACATCCCATCCCCACAATCCCCTCCCCTCCTCATTTCAACGTCTTCGCTCAGAACAACCAAACGTACCAAAACAGCACGCTGACGGCGGCGAAGAAGAGCAGCCAAACCTTCCACCCTACGCCCGTTTTCTCCGCCATGCGCAGCATGCGTGTCATGGTGCCCCTGATCTTGAGGCGCGAGGCTTCGAACTGGTCGTTCATCTTTTCGGCGAGGGTCGTCGAGGTGCGGATTTCGTCGCCAATGGCTACTGTGAGCTGTGAGGGGGGTTGGGGAACAAGTCAGTTTCTTTGTTTCTTTCTTCTTTTTGTTTTGTTTCGGGGAGCGGTGGAGTGATGTAGTTCTTTTTAGATCTCTCTAGGAGAGTCTCTCTCTCTGTGTACGTGTGTTGTATGAGAGTAGGATGGGATTGGTAGGGATACATGATATAGTGGGATCGTGTATATATTCTTGTTCTGTTCTGTTCTGTCCTCGAGGGGGTAGGTGACAAAAAGGAAACAAAAAAACTCACATCCTTCAACATCTTGACCTTGCCCGTCAACACGCCAAACTGCTCTTCATTCTGGCTCTCCAACTCCTCCATGGCCTGCGCGCTGTATTGGCCTCTCGAATTCGGCGTGGCAGATCTGTACCCAACCCCGTTGCTGTTCCCCGCCGCGGGGCCCACCCCTCCTCCTCCTATTGACGCAGCATTCCCGGGATATGCGCTGAAGGCTGATCCCCCGTTCAGCGCAAGGTGGTCTGCTGAGCCAGACGGCGAGTATCCGTACCCGGCTGGCGATGCGCCGTACGGCGACCGCGCTCCCTTGTTCTTGGTTTTGGACGGTGATGTGGAGCGGTTATACGAGGAGAAGAGGTCGTTTCTTGGATCGGGCGAGCGGCTAAATCTATCGTGGGTTCGAAAAAGGGTGTAGGTTAGCGGTTGTTGTGCCTTTGTTTCGTGCTACTTTGTACGTTGCGCCTGGGGAGAGTTGGGCGCATACCTTTTGGACATGGCGCAGTTCTCAAATATGCCGCCTGAGTGTGTTGTGTTGCTTTGCTATTGGTATCGATGCTTAAGAGGAGGTGCCTGCAGAGTAAGAGAGTCAGGTGGATGTGGGATATAATCTAATTCCCGAATAACACAATTCGGTGTTTGCTGCGTCGAGGCCAGTTGGACGAATGTCAACCTTCCCCCAGAGGCGGTTTTTGTCGGAGCTTAGAGAGGCCAAAACGCCGATCGGAACCACGCATGTGCTCAAGTGCTGTTCTAGAACCAGGCACGTGCGTCGGGGAGTTTCTACGTTGGATCGGATTCAAGTGTTATAACTGAGAGCTCAACATGCATAGACCTTGCGTTAGCCATTTGTTTGTTCAGCTCCCCGTATTCGAAAAGATCACTTGTTGGTCTCGATGATGACAAGCCAAGCACGTTCTACAGTACGCCATCGCCATGTTGGTAAAAGTGAATCAAACTATAGGCTCGCGCCTCATTAAACATCGATTAAGAAAAGGAAGGGTCAATCAACAAGAAGCTCCCCAGGAGATTCCCGCACCTTTCTACAGTCCTGAAAAACTCCCTGTGAATATTGCCAAAAAGACGTGCCTTGGAGAACAAGCTTTCGGTATAGAGTAAGCTCAATTCGACAGCACCAGGTTACATATTCGTCGCGAAGACGTCTCTTCCAGCGCGCGTCTAGTACTCAGCATCCACACCCTCCTCACCCTCGAGACTATCGGCGGCGACCTCCTCGTAGTCACGCTCAAGAGCAGCGAGATCCTCACGGGCCTCGGAGAACTCGCCTTCCTCCATACCCTCACCAACATACCAGTGAACGAAAGCACGCTTGGAGTACATGAGATCGAACTTGTGTGACAAAGCGGACCAGGCCTCGGCGATGGCAGTGGTGTTGGAAAGCATGCAGACGGCACGGTTGACCTTGGCCAAGTCGCCGTTGGGCACGGTCTCTGGGGGCTGGTAGCAGATACCGAGCTTGAATCCGGTAGGGCACCAGTCAACAAACTGGATGGTGCGCTTGGTCTTGAGCTGGGCAATAGCAACGTGGGTGTCCTTGGGAACCACATCGCCGCGGTACAACAAGCAAGTAGCCATGTACTTTCCGTTGCGGGGGTCGCACTTGACCATCTGGTTGTCGGGCTCGAAGCAAGAGTTGGTGATCTCCATGACCGAGTTGGCCTCGTGGGAAGCCTTGGCAGTGGAGATGACGGGCGAGTAGGCAACGAGAGGGAAATGGATACGGGGGTAGGGCACCAAGTTAGTCTGGAACTCGTTGAGATCGACGTTCAGGGAGCCGTCGAAGCGGAGCGAGGCAGTGATGGACGAAACGACTGAAGCATGTTAGCTGAGCAAAACCCCGTTGTTCCGCAATTCAACATACCCTGAGCAATGAGACGGTTCAGGTTCTCAAAGTTGGGGCGCTCGATACCCAAGTTCCTTCGGCAGATGCCGTAGATGGCCTCGTTGTCGACCATGAAGCTGCAGTCGGAGTGCTCCAGAGTGGTGTGGGTGGTGAGGATAGAGTTGTAAGGTTCGACAACCGACGTGGCCACCTGGGGTGCAGGGTAGACACAGAACTCGAGCTTGCACTTCTTGCCATAGTCCACGGACAGACGCTCCATCAACAACGCACCGAAACCAGAACCGGTTCCACCGCCGAAAGAGTGGAAGACGAGGAAACCTTGAAGACCCGAGCAGTTGTCTGCAACGCGGCGGACCTTGTCGAGCACCTGGTCGATGAGCTCCTTACCCACGGTGTAGTGGCCACGAGCATAGTTGTTGGACGCATCCTCCTTTCCGGTGATCATGTGCTCGGGGTGGAAAAGGGAGCGGTAGGTGCCGGTGCGGACCTCGTCGACGACATTGGGCTCGAGATCGCAGTAGATGGTACGGGGAACGTACTTGCCCTGGCCTGGTCGTGGTTAGACAGATCTGGGAGAGGCAAAACAAAACCAAAAAAAATCAACATGAGGCAGCAGCTCACCAGTCTCGGAGAAGAAAGTGCTGAAACCGTGGTCGTCATCAGCAGCTTTGCGCTCCTCAGTCAAGTAACCATCGGGCTGGATGCCGTGCTCGAGGCAGTAGAGCTGTGTTTTTTCCAGGGACGTTAGTAAACATGGTCGAAAACGGCGGCCCAAGGGCCGACAAGCAAGCAAGCCCCTCGCAACTGGCGGTAGGAGTGAAATAAAGGGGCGTCAAGGTGCGGGCGGTTGCAGACTCACCTCCCAGCAGGAATTCGCAATCTGGCAACCAGCCTGGCCGACTGCACGCGTACATTGTCAGTATTGAGGCATATAGTTGGGGGGGTTCCACACCAGGCGGTCAAGGGCTTGGATGGGGGTGGGGAAGGGAGAGGGCGACGTACCGTTCAAACTAATAACCTCTCTCATGGTGTCGTAGGAATTGGGGATGTAGATGGATGGGCGGGCGGATCGGAGAAGAACTAATTCGCGGGTGGCAGGCGAATTGGGGGGAGTGGAGGGGTGTGTGGTGTGTTGTGGGTGTTGATGGAGGCACGAAGATTTGTACTGCTGCTGGCCTGGCTGGCATGGGTCCGGGACGGGATAAACAACCCTTTGGGCCCGCGGGGCGCGTAGCCTGGCCCGAGCGTGCCCTGATTGGCTGATCCGCGCCCACGCTTGCCCCCTCTCTGTCTCCTTCCAAGCAGACAGATAGACTTGCATTCTCGTTGATATTCCATCCTGTCTGCCATCGTCTTGCTGCTTCCTCCCTTGTTTGCTTCTTCATCCTGCTTCTTCACCTTCTTCTTCTACCTCTGCAAGAGGTGCCGACGGGGGACATTCTCTTTTTCTTCTTCTTCTTCTCCCCTTGTTCCATCTTATATATCAATCAATCGAATAATCAATCCATCCATCCATTCACCCATCCGTTCACCCATTGCAAGACCACCTACCTCTGCTGCTGTCTGTCTGCCCAGCCCTCCTGAGAAAGCGTTGGTCTCGTGCGTGGCTGTGATTGAGAGAAAGAATGAATGCCACTGACGCAGGTCAAGATGCGCATCTTCACCCGCCTGCTATGCGTTCTTGCCCACGCCGCAACTCTGAATGCCAACGTTGAGAAGACCGTCTTTCTCGGCCCTAGTCCTGTAACACCCTCCAATGTCGACGACAATTCCACACCCCTCAGCTTGGACAACCTCCACATAGACGTGCTTGACCCAGCCCACCGCCATATCCTTCCCACGCGCCTGCCTGTTCAGTTCCCCGTAGAAGCCGCTCCCCACGGCCTCGACTCTTGGTATTTGTTGCACGGCTTGGAGCACAACCGCCGCTACGAGGTACGCATCTGCTGGCCAGCGACACAACCCACCGATTTCTGGTTGGATACTTTCACCATCGGAGCCTTATACGCCAGCCCCGACCTTGTCCATTCACTCGTAGACTACAACATCGTCCATTCCAAGGAACTCGATCTTCGCGCGCATTCACGCGCCGACTCCCTATTATTTCTTCGGATCCAGGCAGCAGCCTCTTACTTCACCACAAACCAAACTTTGATGCAACAATCTGAGCCGGTAGACGTCGACATTATTCTCGATCCCTTCATACTCAACATTCTGCCCCGCTCTCTGGGGCCTACTGCTGTATACATCATCCTGGTTGGTGTATTCGCATGGGTTGCATCTGGCTTCATCTACCGCTGGCTACTTCCGATTGCCCACCAGGTACCTGACAAAGAAGAATAGTGTGGTGCGTGTCTTGAATCCTTGCTGGACCAAATACCACATCAGAAGGAGTCTTCAACAAATACTACATAGCAGGCGGGCCACCTGGATCAGACAAAGGAAACAGAAGAGTAACACAGGCCGGTTCGCTCGTCAAACACCATGTCTAATTTGATAGGCCCTCCTCCACCACCACCACCACCCCCTCCTCCGCCACCGCCGCCACCACCATCCAGGAAGAACATCAAATCTCTTCCCGCTGAACTTCTTCTCGACATCATCCACTTTCTCCAGATTTGCGACTTTACCAGTCTTGCTTTGGCCATTTACTCCATCCTACAAACTCACGGCATCGCTCCGCCCATGACTCGCGACATTTACATGTCCATCATGAATTGGCAAACGAATGCCCAGGCTCAGGATGTGCAGACGGAAGATTCTTTGACCAGGTCGAGATCAAGGGTACGTTTTCAATACTCGGATATCATCTTGTGACGTTCCAAGATTCCCATCATGTGTGGATCGTTTTGCAGTTCGATGCATTGAAATCTTTCTGCGTGAACTATGCTTGTACTGACGTTGTATCCCTTTCGTTTAGGTTGCGCTTCTGCCAAACGAGATTCACATGATGATCATGAACCATCTGTCGCCCACCGAAAGACTGGCGTGGCTGTTGTCGGACACTGGTCTACTATCACGTTACTTCCCTGACGTCGACGAGGAAACAAGGCGCAGATTATGGGACTTGATTGGAGGGGGAAATCAAGATTGATATGAAAGAAAGCTATAAGCAAGCAAGCAAGCAGGGAGCCACTAGCGCCAAATATGCTCAGATAATCTCAGGGTAACGCCAATATGTGTTTGCTCTCCTTGTTCCACCCATTGCCACGCTATGCATACATGTGATAAAAATAACTCCTATCGTGACCTGTGTTTCCGGTATAACCTCATGGGCAGTTCTTCTCTTGGAGAAAGGTCACTCGTAGCCTGGCTCGAACTGATCTCCCAGTCCAATAGTCACCTTGACGTTCATAGCTCCCAATTCCTGAATCAACAACTTGGCCGCATACGGAACCGTCAAGCTCCGAACGCCCTTCTCGCTCTCGCAGATCCTACACCACCCCTGGCTCCCCATCTGCCCGCATTGCCCACAGACATCCATGGTGTGCGCATCCGAACTCAGCATCAGGCGCTCGAGCAATAACTGGCCTGCACCGTACGCAATCAAGCAATCGCGCTCCATCTCGCCGAGACGCAAACCACCCTGGCGCGATCGACCCTCGGTGGGTTGACGCGTGAGTGTCGTCCGCGGGCCACGTGACCGCGAGTGCATCTTGTCCTGCACCATGTGCTTGAGCTTTTGGTAGTAGATTGGACCGAAGAAGACGTAGAACTGGAGGGCTTCGCCAGTGATGCCCGACGTCAAGTAATCTTTGCCAGTGTACGAGAAGCCGTTCTTGACGAGGATGTCGGCCATGTCGACGACTTTGGAGCCGCCAAATGCGGTGCCGTATTCGAGTGTGCCGTTGACAACACCCGCTTTGCCGGAGAGGAGCTCCATCATTTTTCCGACTGTCATTCGCGAGGGGAAGCCGTGGGGGTTCATGATGATGTCTGGGCACACGCCGCGGTCGTTGAAGGGCATATCCTCCTGTGGGGAAATGAGGCCTACGACTCCTTTTTGTCCGTGGCGCGAGGAGAACTTGTCACCGAGTTCAGGTCGGCGCGTTTGGCGGAAAAGGAGCTTCATCAAGTTTACACCTGCTTCGTTCTGTGTAACGCAGGCCTTGTCAATATACGAACAGTCGGGCAGTTTGTACCCCATGTGTTGCGGCTTGTAAGCGTAGCGTGTCGTGTGTGTAGTCGTATCTATAGGTATCTCCTTCATCATGTAGACGTCCCCCTGGTTGATGCGAGCTCCGACTTGCGCCAATCCGTCCGTGCCTATATTAGCGAATCTGGCATCGGATTCGTCGTTCAAGATTCCAGCATTGATTCTGTCCTCTGCTCCATTGGCATACGATTTCAGGGGTACCACTGTCTTCTTGAAAATCTGGCAACGACCAAATCCACGGTCGCAAGAAGCTTTGTTGACCACTAGTGCATCCTCAATATCGTATCCAGAATAGGACATAACAGCAACAGTAGCATTTTGACCGGCTGGAAGTTTATCGTATTTGGTAAGCTCGATTGTGCGAGTTTTGACCATGGGTTGCTGCGGATATACCATTAGATAAAGCAGGGTGTCGATGCGAGTGAGTTGGTTGTAGGCAATAGCGCCGATAGCTTGTTTACCCATAGCACATTGGTAGGTGTTACGCGGCGACTGGTTATGATGAGGGTATGGTATAAGACCAGCAACTGCACCCAAGATCGTGAAAGGTTCGATTTCCAGATGTGTAGTAAAAGTGCCGATCTCCTTCTCCGAGATGGAGATATTGGAATCGTTCTCTTCATTCACATCCAAGTACTCCACGAGCCCGCGTGTGAGGAAGTCTTCAAATTCCATGGTGCCTTTTCGTAGGGCCTTCAAGTAACGTGATGTGACCCTCGACTTTCCGTTCTCCACTATGATCATCGGTCTGCAGATGCGACCTTCATCGGTAGCAATGTGTACTTCGTTGAAATCATGATTAATGTTGATGCTCGTGAACTCTGAAATTTTCCCGGCTCTTCGAAACTTCCGGAAGCGATCCAGATACCTCTTGGGCGTATCGGTGACGGCAACAGGTGTGCCGTTCAAGCAAACAGTATAAACACCTTCTGCGTGTATCTCCTCTCCTGTCTGTAAGCAAACGTCTTCAGCCCCAAGTGTGAACACAATTTTCCTAACAGGATCCTCGTCGTCTTCGGTGGTGATGTGTGTCATGAGTGCCAAATTCTTGACAAGGCCACAGGCCTCTCCTTCTGGGGTATCAGAGGTACACAGCATACCAAACTGCGAAGGTTGCAGCGCACGAGGACCAGACACTTTACGAGTTTTTTCGAACTGACTGGATATTCTCGTCATCATGCCCAGTGCAGCAATATAACTCAGACGGCTTAGAACGTGAGTGACACCAGCACGTTCCATTTTGAAGCGCTTCAGACTCCAGTTCCCAGTAGCAATAGCACGCTCGACACCCATCGTGATGTGATTTTTGTGTACGCTGAAATGTGAAAATGCATCAAACTCCTGGGCTCGATTCTGTTTCTTCAAAACCTTGTCCACGCTCAGTTTGAAGTCGTGATTGAAGCGTTTGAAATGATCTTCGAAAAGCAGCGATAGCATCTGGCCAGAAAGTTCTAGACGTTTGTTTCCCACATAATCACGATCATCGACAAGTTTCGGGTCTTGCATTGCCATCACTACTCGGCGAGCCATCATAGCGACGTAGAGCGCCTTCGGTCGGAAATTGGTACCGACCACGGGCACATGTGGCAGAACGACGTTTGACAGACACTCGATCGCTTCAAGGTGGTAATTGCGTAGGCGAGAGGCGCCTGCAGGGCGTTTCGTCAGTCGCACGCGATGTCCAATGTACTCCAAGGCTTTTTCTTGTGTGTATATTTGTTCTTTTGCGCAAGCCTCGAAGTTGATCGAAAAGCTGTCTTGGTATGCACTGTCTTCGCCAGCGATCATTAATAAGATTTCCTTGTCGGAGTGCACACCGAGTGCTTTCAGCACGAAGACGATTGGAATCTCTTCTGACAAAGTATTGTGCCGCAGGTACATTAGACCCTTTTTCTGAATCACATATGTTTTGGTCCGTCGCTCGTGCGTTGAACTAGTAACGCTGGCTTGCATAATTCCCTTTGCACTTTCGACAATAACTCGGTTTTTGTTCAGCTGCTCCTGGACCAGAATGACTTTCTCTTGTCCTCTCGTGATGAAGTAGCCTCCTGGGTCGAGTGGGCATTCATCCATGACTGCCATTTCTCGGTCATTCTTCCCTGACAGCACACATTTGTTGCTCTTCAACATTATGGGCAACCTGCCAATTTTCACGCTGGTTCTTTTAACTTTGGTATTTCCTCTCGTGTACACAATGTCGACAACGATTGGGGCGGCATATGTCATATCCCTCAACCGGCATTCGTTCGGGGTGACGGTACTTTTGTGGCCCTCGGTAAGATCATCCTCATCCTGCCGATTTGGGGTCAAGACCCTGATATCCGTGTATTCCAGCAGAAACTTTGGGTCGAAATCGCTGCGCACGAAGCGGTTGGCCTTGATGATTTTTTTGAGTTCAACGTCCACGAAATGGTTGTATGAGTCAACATGTTGTTTGACCAGGCCCTTCGTCTTCAAGAAAGCAGGCAGCAGATTCCACTTGTCTCTCGCCGTGTTGATGGGATCAGTAAGGCTTTTGCTGCAGTAGAAGGGTTCGAGCATAGCGGCGAATTCGTCTTTGGCGCTGCTGTTGAGGGGTGCTTTTTGACGGCGTTTCTGGTCGGCCAACGCGGTAAGAGTGTCACCATCTATCATTTGCGCCTCGGGGACTAGATCAGCTTGCTCTGCCACGGGTCTCCTGCCTTCTTCTTGCGCAACTTCGCCGGCGCTCTTTTTATTGCCGTTGGCCGCCCCGCGCGGGGCAGCATTTGGCGTCGGTTTCGCGGCTTCCTATTTAAACTATTGAGCTTCCAAAGATTGTAGAAAGGGTAACGTGACTGACCTTTTTAGCCACCATGTCTGCGATCCATGAATCAAGGCTGTGTCTAGTTGGGGGGTGTTGGTAGTGGAAGAGCGCACGATGTTGTCTCGGAGAGCTTTGGAGCTCCGAAATATTTTTAGCGTGCAGCTGCGGCGAGTCAGACTGGATGCGAATTCGCGACCCACCAGCCCGGATAGTAGATTACACAGGTGGGGAACAGATTCAACAGATTCAACAGAACAACCATCTCGCAAGAAAGACCAACATTCTTATCAACCACGAATTAGATCCTAGAGCAATCACCTCTGCTCATTGCCTACCGACAGCCTTCAAATATAACGGGGCAGGTAATGATAGGGAGCGCATGGTACGACAATCATACTAGTGCAATGTGCATACATCACCGCAGGACAACCATATTTCCGAAGGTCGTAATTACATGTCAGGTCTCGCGTCCTAGGAAGCATAACGATTGCAAAAGCACAGCTTGCAAAGGCTGGGCGAGATGCACAGAACCATACGAATAGATCAAAACGGACATTCCATTGAACACTGAGTATATGCATCTTTTCACGACGCCGAGAAACTCCGCTTCCATGCCGCCAAATAAGCAAATCTTACCTGAAAGACTGCCCTATCATACAACCAGATTTGCTTCAATGTAGCAAGTCCCACCCGCAAGTGGTCGATATTGAGTTCCAAGTGGCAATGCACACAGTGCACGTGCTTGGCTAACTGCAGACTTGCCATAAAGCCGAATTTCAGCAATCTGCTAGAAAGCTGCACCGCCCATTTCTCCGTCACCGTTGAGGGTCCTAAGCTGTTGTTCGGCAAGTTCTGATCTCAGTGCAGCGTTGTTCGACTCCCTTTCGGCCTTTTCCCACTCCATCAGTCCATTGCGTTTGGCCGCTTCTTTCTGCTCGATGATCTCACGCAGCCTGCGTGCCTCCTCCTCCAACTTGAGTATTTTGCTTTTGTCCACAATCTCCGGGGCTCTCTGACCTCCTGGAATTTCCTTGGCGAGATCAGTCAAGTGATCCCGGAAACGCTGGGTACGAGGGTACGTGGTGGAAGTGCTATTGCTGGATCCGCGAAAAGGAGGAGCAAAAGGAGTCGGCCCACTTCCAGAACCGCGCGGCCCAGAAGGTGGTCCACTAGCAAAATGACCACCGCCTCGTCCTCCCCAATGAGCAGACCCACGACGAGGTGGTCCTCCGGAGAATTCTCGGGGTGTATCGTAGCCAAACCCTCCGCGACCGCCGCCACGAGGACGAGTTGGTGCAGCAAGCACGGGGTTATTGCTCCGTGGAAAGGCAGGCGCATGTGTAGTGGGGTTCGAAGGGCCAGCCGGTGGTGACATAGCAGGAGATGGGAAGCCACGGTTGGAGGGCCCAGTTGGGGGTGCTCGTTGGTAGCTATTGTCACCATTGCGGAACGATGAGGACGGCCCACTCGGAGGCGCGAACTCTCGCTCTCGGTCTACTCTAGGTCCAGTGGGAGGGGTTTCACGATGTCGTGGTGGCGAACGCTCCCTCTCACGTTCCCGTGTAAATTCTCGAGGTCGTTCGGCTTCCCGTTCGCGAAACGGTGATCTGGGCGCTGAATCCCTCATTGGTACATCTTCCACGACCAAACTAGCCCTGCTAGGATGGATTGGAGGGGGAGATGAACGCCGTGACGTGGCAGCGGATTCTCTGCCCGAGACATCATGAGATGCGTATGCTTGCCGGACAGGGGATGGGGATCTCCGGCGCCAAGTATCTGCTTGGAATATCTCCGGCCGTTCCCGTCTGGGAGAAGGTGAACGACGCCGATAGTCCCTATTATCACGGGCAGGCGTATAGCGACGAGGGGGACTGCCATTCGTTAATACACAATTTCAATCTTATGCCAGATTCAACCTACCTGTGTGCGCGCGAACGAGGTTCTTCGAATCGACCTATATGACGCGGCGATCTCGCTCCGCGGCTCCGAGCTGGCGAAAGATCCCTCTCCCTGGGCGGTGGTGGAGACCTGTCGCGACGCGGCGAACGGGTGTAAGAATCGTATTCTCGACGTGGCGGTGACCTGGCTCGATCGCCTCTGAAGTCGTCTCGCCTGGGTGAAAACCCTCGGCGAGGAGGAGATCGGGGCCTTGCTCTCCAGCGATCATCGTCTCGTCTCAGCGGGCTGCGGGACCGTCTGCGGAATGCGGGTGAACGGCTCCGTGGACGAGAGGCTCGACTACCACCCGGGGTGTATGTATCTGCACCGCTCAGGCCACGGCGAGGCGGCGAGCGATTCGAGCGGTAGCTATCGATGCGAGGGCCAGGGGAGCGCGGACGGTACGTGTTGGAAAACCTGTCGTCCCTAAATCATTAGCTGAGCAAGGCAACACATAGGGTCCAGCGAGTGACAAAGGCACAGGCTGAGACACGTCAAGACTTGACAAACCTTCTATCGCGATCTCTGTCTCTGTCCATTCTTCCAATCAATAAAGTGCGCAAGAGTATTTGGCAGGTGCAGGCTCGGAGAAGATATTTTGCGCAAAGATTCGAGGGGTTAGAGGCAATAAGGTGGTTGTGTTGACAGCAGTCGCTGCGCTTGCATGCGAGCAAAAAGTGAAGTTCCGAGCCACGCTGACTAACCGAGACAATGGCAGCCTATGGCCCGCTCCTATGACCTTCTCCTGAGTATACGCATGGACAATCAATGGTGAGCTCATTCCTCTTCACTTACCATTACGCCTTTACACAAGACCGCAATGTTTGTCTTAAAACGCGAATAACCATCTTCCCAATCTCCCTTGTAAAAAGCAATCTTGACCGTCTTGATAAATCACTGTACACTCCGACATCCCACGGTTCCTCGGTTTGAAGCTCTTTGATCGTTTTGATTCAATGTTTGTAGCGCACGCCGCTCGCATATCGAAACTCCCAGTGCTAATATTCTTATGATCGCCCGATGAACCGTTGTAACCATACCGGACGCCTGCACCAAAGCCCATAGCAATCCCCCAGCTGCCCTTTCAGCAGCACTTGGTATCTTTACAGTTCTTTACAATGCAGTGGTTTCTTCTTTACGTTTCCCCCCCTTGAATTCCTGGCCACTCTAGTCTACCTTCCCTCCCTCTTCTGCCGTTTCCGAGATTCATCCGCGATCATTTGGCTCAGATCATCTTGATCAATCGCGGACCATTGCCCTTGCATTTCTGCCCTCCTCTGTGCTTCGTACTGCTGCCTCAACGCTTCCTTATCAAGCTTATCGTTGTTGGTCAGAGAATCAACATCGACAGAGACATCGATGTCACCAGCTTTGCGCTTGCGCTGGCTATTGTCGCCAAAGGTGTCGCGTTTAGCCGCATCGAGATCGTACGCATGTTCGCCGCCGAAGAAGCCGGTGGCTTGTATATTCTTCTCGGGGAGTACTTGGAAAGCGCTTCTTGGCGCGCCTGGTTCCTCAGTTTCAATCCCCTTCCGCTGTTTGCGAAGAGTGAATTCACCACCAATGGTCTCTGTGCCACCAATCTCTGAAGGTAAAGCAGATGCCGTCCCTGTCATCGTCGTCTGAATACCGGAGAGGTCTTCGGTTTCGTCCTCTTCATCCTCATCTTCGTCTTCCTCCTCTTCCTCACTTTCCTCATCCTCACTTTCGCCCTCAGCACGCAACACCCCCCAGATGTTTCGCTCAACAGGTTCGCCATGTTGGGTCGGCGCCTCCTGCTCTGCGAGCAGACCTACGCCCAAGGGGTCACCGCCCCACAGCGGCCGGTTGGTGTTTTCCTCCACCGGTGGCTTACCCCATTGACCAGCACTGAAACCCCAGACACCTCCAGGGGGTATGGGCGCGTTCACGCCAGGAATCTTGAGGTTTGGGTATGAGGGTGGTGGACCGAAACGTTGCTGATTGATGAGCCATGGTGGAGGTTGGCCAGGTTGATTCATGCCCACAGCTTCTTTCAGCTCCTCGCTAAGAACTCCCGGTTTGAGATGTACTAAGCTCGTCTCAAACTCTTTGCCTTCGTAATATACTTCGCCGTATTTCGTCATTTCTGGTTTCGTTTGGCGTCGGAAGAAAGCATCGTAAAGCTTCCCGTAATCAATATCAAGCTTTCCAATTTTTCCCTGTACACGTTCGCGCTGCTTCTGCCTCATAGACATTTCGGCCTGTTTTTCGAGGTGAGCGTCGCGCATCTCCGATATTCCAGTTTCCTGGATAAATTTAGGCAATGCGAATGGCGGCTTCTCAATGCCACGTTTAGACGACAAGTATTCTCTCTTGAGTGACCAATGAGTAGGCACAGGTACTACGTTTTTGGAGCCCTTGAGAGCAATCAAAAGCGCAGGATCCGATGAAGATACATCAGTCCACTCCACCAGCTCCGGTTTCTTGACCATTGCCTTGAGTTGAGCAATCGACGGTTTGTTCATCTCCTTGCGCTGTCTCTTGGAGATTTTGTTTTTCTGTTCCTCCTCCTCCTCCTCCGAGAAGTCACCGTCGTCACTGAGTATCATCTCTTCTTTTTTCTCGTCATCCTGTTCAGCATCCTCAGCTGCGGATTGGCGGAATTTTTCGAAAACGCTTCTATACTGTTCGAACAGAGGGTTGTCAAGGTCATACTGTGTAGTTAAGTCGTCAACCTCCAGAAGGTCCGCAGCTCGGACCGCCTGTTCATCGTTATTTGTCTTGTCGTCAGGTGCAGGAGATTCGCTCTCACGTGCAGAGCTGCCAGCCTCCGTTGGGGTCTCCTGAGAAGGAATTAGTATTGTACGTGCCACTAAAGAAGGGCAACCTACAGCGCGCTGTGACTTCTTCTTCTGGCGGCGATACGAGTTCTTGCTCGCCTTCTTGCCGCTTACGGTCCCACGGGACATGATGACGATACTGCTCTAGAATCGAGCGCGCTTGATCGGAGGTGTACGGGGGGACTTGCTCGTCGCGCGAGGCTTGGATGAAGGCCACGCAGCGGGCGCGAGGCACCAGCGCAGTGCCAGCGCGCTAAAATGTAATGAGAATAGAGCAGACAGGAAGCTGGGACGCCAGGTGACTTTGTACGAACAAGAGCTGGATCACAGAGTGGGAAGATGGGTTCAAGGGTGGAGGTTGGGATGGGCAGTGCTCGAAGTGAGCAGTCTCGTCGTCGGTAAATCCCGCACAGACCCCCTCACGACACGTGATTAGTGCTCTCTACCTGGGCAATTCTGTATGCTCCTTGGAATAATGAAGCATCACCACCACCACTCTGTTGATGATCATACACGTGCAGACATTCTCAGATAGGCTACACTGAATGTCAGAAGTAAGATGTGCGGGACTAGACATATTCGACACGAGTCAGAAATCTATGATCTATCGTTTTCATCAAAGTACTTTGCCCAGAATGCCCTGTAATGTTTCTTCTGCCCAAGTTCGTTAATTTCTCGTATCTCTTTGGGCGTCAATTTGAAGGTCGCTGCGCGCAAGTAGTCACTCAACCTTTGCTCTTTGGAGCTCGTGGTTATAGGTACGACGTCCTGGTCGATACACCACCTCAGGCTGATCTCAGCTGCGGTCACCGCGTACTTCTTCTCTAAAGATGCCATGTAATCATCCACTGGACCAGGTGTTGCTCTTGTGACGGCAGTAAGAGGAGCATAGGCCGTGGTCGCTATGCCATGTTCTTTGTGGAACGCGAGTAGTTCGGGGTGCTGGAGGTAAGGATGGAACTCTATCTGATTTGTCGCAGGTACCACCTTGGCCGTTTTGAGGATTGCGGTCAAGTGTTTTGGGAGGAAGTTAGATACTCCAATGCTTTTCGTGAGGCCGGCAGCCTGAACAGTCTCCATGTCTGCCCATGCTTTCTGCAACTCTTCGTCGGAATTGGCCCAAAACGGGCTGTGGATCAAGTATCTGGCATCCTGTCAGTCTTATTGGTAGGGTGCACGAAGAAGCTGAATACATCAGACATACAGGTCCAATTGGTCGAGCTGTAGCTTCCTGAGAGATTCTTTAATAGCCTCTTGGATGTTGCTAACATTTGTTTGCACCTTGGACACGACATAAAGCTTCTCTCGTGGAACCCCGCCTTCTTTGATGGCTGTACCGAGTTCAGGCTCCGTCTTGTATACTGTGAAGCGTTAGTATACATCAAGTCCAATGTTTGCCCAATCGTTTGGAAAGACGGGTCCGTTGAGTTGGCAGTTCACATACTTTCCGCACCATCCAAGTGTGTGTATTCCAATTTAATTGCTGTTTTTACTCCATCCACGAGGGCTTGGTCAATCCTGCTTTCCTCCCCCTTCTTATACCATGCCGTGCCGGTTCCGTATCCAAGCATAGGCATGGACGTACCGTCGTTGAGTTTCAAGCTCGGGATTGGAGTATGAATATTGGCCATTTTTGGAGTTTGGTGATTATATTCAACAAGATAACTACAGTGCAAATTATGTCAAACAAGACCGAAAGCGCGTCGAAGTATCGAGCGGGGTGGAGCTCGGTTGAAATACGACAAAAGTGGGGGATGAATGACGTTGAATATGATACACACCTGGGTACTCGGCATGCTAGCAGGAGTACACTGTATCTGCACAACTCTTTTCCGCTCAACAAGAACCGATCATGAAGCAAGGGAATATAGTGGTGACATCCCAATGCACCCAGTACATGCTTCGATTTCCGGGAGACACACGAGCCGAGTGGACCAATCAAACAGGTTATCTCAGTCTCGATCTCAGCGAGGTCGTACCGTGACTTGCTCATGACCAAATGCCATGGAACATGTACATAAGGCCAAAATCAGGCCTTCGCGTACACATGATCAGGCACCGTAGAGTTGCGCAAATACAGGCACACCGCGATCCTTAGTGAATCACGACTTACAGTATTATCATTAATTTTTAACACATTAGGTATTCTCAGAAGGTTCTTGGTGTTGAGAATTGACGATTTTTGACTGTGAGGCGTTCATAACTATGTAGGGCGTGTCGCGCATGTTATTTGCGCAACTCTACACCCAGCTACATTACAGGGGTGGGCCCACCATAGGATCAGCTATCAACACACATTCAAGGCTTTACTTTATGTCTAGATACTATTAACATCCCTTTAAAACTATACTAAGATGCGATTCAACAGGGTATTAAAGTAGAAAGAGTACCTAGTTAACACTTTATCCTTGAGTGGGCCCTCCCCTGTAGTAGACACACAACTCGAATCCGAAATGAACATCATCTACATCACACGGGAAAATGACAAGTGCGCGATGTGCTAAAGACAATAATTTGGCATTAGAAAGGATGGGATTGGGAGCAATGTTATCTATCCAACATATCTAACTAATAGCAAAGTCTTGAATATGGTATCATCAGACCATCAATCACTAAACAGGAGAAGCTCGCAACTCGGGGTGCCGCCTTTCCCTCGTCTTCCTGTGACCATCCGCTGTGCGACAGGTATAAATGAATAAATGAAACGCTGAAGAAAGGAAATTGGATGCAGAGTTATTGTACTTTTTTTGAATTTTGCTAATAAGGGATACTGTATAATGATCCCGGTTGACTATCATTACATTATTCTGGGGTAGATAGCAGAGGCTTAAGCGCTCTTCTCGTGCTGAGTCGACACACGTTGCAATGAGACAACTAAAGGCTGTTAGTAAAGAAGGAGTGCGTAGCGGAAGAGGGAACAACTTACCAAAGTCTTCAAGTGAACGTTGCTTCTGGTCCTTCTTGGGAGACTTGCCGTGCATGAGGTTGTCGAAGCCTTGGCTACCCTGGAGAAGATAGTAGACACCGCCCATGACACAGAAGACACCGAAAGAGAAGACCCAGATACGGACAACAGCGACGATGCTGGTCTGGCCACCAACGAACCAACCAAAGATACAGAAGAGAGTGGCGAGGATATCAACGACGAGGATAGCACCGCTGAGCTGCCACGAAGGAAGGGAAGACCAGAAAGGACCGTTGGCACGGGTGATGAAGATGAGCCAATTCTCAGTAAGAGAGATCTCAAGGAAGAGAACTTCATCACGGACACCAAAGTTCTGGACGATACCACCACTGATGCCTTGACCAGCGGGGTTGGGAAGGTTCTGGTAGGGGAACATGGTAGTGAGTGTGATCCAGGTACCGACAGCCAAGATAACACCGAGCAAGACGGACATACCCCAGAGCTTAGGCAGGTTCCACTTGACAGGCGTCTTGCTGAAAGGAGCGTTATCGTAGGCGATGGCAAGAGTGGCAATATCGGCGAAAATGGCAATGAAGACCACGAGCTGGAGGTTGAGAGACTCGTTCAAGATGGCGATCCAGAGACCCAAGAAGATTTCAAGATGGATGGACAAGGCGATACGGTAGACAACGTAGGCGTACATGCGGTGGAAAATCTGGCGAGAAGTCTTGAGAGCGTCGATGATGGCAGAGAGACCAGGGGCGAGGAAAACGATATCAGCAGCAGATCGGGCAGCGTCAGAGGCACCCTCAACAGCAATACCAGTATCAGCCTTCTTCAGGGAGGGGGCATCGTTGACACCGTCACCAGTCATGGCAACGAGGTAACCACGCTGTTGGAGAATCTCGACGACGTTGTACTTGTGTTGGGGGAAAACCTCAGCGAAACCATCAGCAGCCTCGACGAAATCGTAGACCTCAGATCCAGGCATGTCACCACCGCCACCGAGACCAAGACGCTCGGCATCGTAGATGTTGGTACCAAGACCGAGCTGACGGGAAGTCTCACGAGCGATACCGACGGCATCACCAGTCAACATCTTGACAGACAGACCAAGAGTTCTAGCCTCGTTGACAGTGCGGCCAGTATCGTGACGAGGGGGGTCGGAGCAGGGCATGATACCGAGGATCTCCCAGGCGTTGTTACCACGCTTGCGAGCGACACCGAGAGAGCGGAAACCACGGGTAGCGAACTCAGCGACCTTGTTCTTATAGGCCTCGTCAACAGCCTCGGGAATGGGGTGATCTTCTTCGACAGTCTTGAGAACGAAGAGAGGGGCTCCCTTGACACAGATGATGCGCTCGCCTTGGGGTGATTCGACTACTGCCTGGACCTTCTTGGAGACGGGGTCAAAGGGGTGGAAATCTATGACCTTGTACTTGGACAGGACCGACTATGTTATGTTAGCTCAGTTCAAAACTCTCAAAATGGCACGAAATCCATCATGGTTATAATGCCTCGAGGATGCTTATAATGCATCATGTACGAGCTGATCTCCTGATATATCGAGGGATGTGGATACCGACATATGCATAACCATGCAAATGAAACGGCGAAAAGATGGTCACTTACTTCTGCGGAAAAATGTTAGCAATTGCACGTGATGAAGTAAAACGGAACTAAACTGGAAACATACTGGCTCTCGGATAGAATTTCAGTGACTTCAGGAATGCCTTGTCAATGGCATCGATACCCTTCTTCTTTCGGGAGGCAGCCAAACAGGCGGTGAGCATGAGATCTTCAGGTTCAACGCCAGCTACGGTGTAGGGCTCAGCGAGGGAAAGCTTGTTCTTGGTGAGGGTACCAGTCTTGTCAGAGCACAGGATCTCAACACCAGCTAGAGACTCGATAGCGGAAAGCTTCTGAACGATAGCCTGCTTCTTGGCGAGATAGGCAGCGCCGACAGCCATGGTGGTAGTGACGACAGCGGGAAGACCGACGGGGACACCAATGATGGTGATGGCAAGAGTGAATTCGAGAATGTGAACGATACCGTTGGAACGGTAGAAGGAGCTGACCCAGACGACCAAAAGAGTGAGGACGACCAAGATGAGCAAAACCGTACCTATACCATTGAGAACCTCAGTGAAGTGACCAGTTCCGCCAGATGCGCTGGCGACCAAAGAGGCGGCGCGACCGACGAAGGTAGAGTCACCGGTGGCGGTGATGACAACGAAGGCCTCACCACGCTTGACGGCGGAGGATTGGAAAACCTGGTCACCCTTGTGCTTATCGACAGCGAGGGACTCGCCGGTGATGGAAGACTGGTCGACCTGTAGGAATGCATCTTCGGTAATAATGCGGCCGTCGGCGGGAATGATGGTACCTTCTTCGACCTGAAGGATGTCACCAGGAACGACTTCGGGGGCTTCAACCTCGACGAGGGTGCCTTCACGGAGAACGGTGGCCTTGAGAGCGAGAGTCTTCTTGAGTTCGGCAACAATGGAACCGGCCTGGAATTCTTGGATGAAACCAACACAGGCGTTGAGCAAGAGGAGACCGCAAATGACACCGAAATCAACCCAATCCTGAAGACCGGCAGCCAAGATGGCGGCAGCCTCCATGACGAATTGAATGGGACCAACGAAGAACATGAGGAACTTGAGGACGAGGTTCTCCTTATCCTCTGTGGGCCTTGTCAGCGAATATTCAAAGCGAGCGGGCAAGAGCAGACAACATACCCTTCATCTGGTTGAGACCAAACTTCTTGCGGCGGGAGAGGACCTCCGAGTTGGTGAGACCAATGCGATTGTCGGTCTGGAGGAGCTCCTCGGGGACGACGCGAGCGGTACCAGCAGCGGGGGCACCCTCCTCTTCTTCATAGTCCATGGCAGGATCATTGGACTCAAGATCCTCGATCAGAGCGTCAATGTCCTCATCTTCCTCTTCCGGCTCATCCATACCAGCCTTGGGAGGCAGGACCTTCTTCTCGTCGGTGTACTCCTTTTCATTCTGTTGATTGGGTCAGCAGGCGCGTCGATGGAGCAGCAGACGGCGGCAATGGACTCACGAGCTGTCCGCTCGGCACGTTAGTGCCTAGGTGGTTAGGCGGGATAGCTCCCGTGTTCTGGCGGGGGTTAGCACGAGCTACGAGGCGACGGTTGGGGGCTAGCAGGGCTCACCTCAGCCATTGTGAAGATGGGGCGCAGGAATTGAGAACAACAACCGGTCGGATGAAGATGGGAGGGAGTTGGAAAGCAGCGACGGGGAGTCTTGCTTTTTTAGGTTCCGCAGCGGACGGAGGTGGGAGGGTACAGGAATTAGCTGTTCTGGATGAAGGTTAGCCAAGGCCGGCCAGCAGACGCGATTGTTGTGGTAATTTGGTTGTGGTGATTTGTTGACCACGGGCACGGGCCGCTTTCCACCAGAGCAGGGCAGAGCTGTTGGCAATACAACCGGGGGAGCTCGGGCCAGGCTGGGCGCGCGAGCAAGCAATGGAGCAAGCGCGCCAGCCAGCGGACATGGAATGGGCAGACGATGAATCATGGATATGAATCCATGAGGGCACCGCTGATGATGATGATAAGGCCGGCCAAGGCGAGGGCGACGAAAAGAAAAGAAAGAAATTTGGTTGGTTGAGGGGAGCAAAGGTGGTGGGACGTACGTACGTAGTAGTGCAATTGAGAACGCAGACCCAGCCGCGAATCGCAATTGAGTCTGTCTCGCCGTCGAGGGGACAGGTAGTACTGGGAGGAGGAGGGAGGAGGGAAGGAAGGGTGAGGAGAGCAGGTCCAAAGTGCTGAGGTGACAACTCTCTGGTGGACTGGAAGCTGGGGGAGACGGGCAGCTTTATTATATGTATTGTTCACGGATGCACACGACTGAGTGACAAGAGGCGGCTAGCTGCAATCGGCCAGTCAAGTATTACTTACACAGGCACTTGGTTGGGCCAAAGGGCCAGGGTCGAGCGTGGTGGCATCCATCCGTCCTCCATCCAGCCATCGCTCCATCCACATCCATGATCCCTCATCATCTCATCTGTGTGTCTACTATCGCGCCCCCGTCGCAGGTTTTTTTACCGAATGCCGCGCCAGAAGGGAAGATCAACACTGCCAACCCCCCCGTCTGACAGGCCGCCGGCCCCCTGTGTTTACCTGTTTCCGTCTCTACGAGTTTGATAATCCCCCCCCAACCCGCGTGCAGCGTTTGACTGCCTTGCCTGCACTGATTCACGCTGAAGCGTTCTTGGCTGCCGCCGAAGCATTGCGCTCAAACCACCGCCGCCGTGCTGTTTGGCCATTCTCCTTCACTCCGCTCCTCACCACTGTCATGATGGCCCCCTGCCGTGCTGCCCTTGCGTGCTTGCCAAGTGCGGTTTGCGGCCATTGGGTTATCTAGATAGCCGACTTGGTTCAATGGTTAGCATTTCTGCTTTTCGACCGAACCAAGCCCTGTCGCAAAGAAGAAAGCTGGCAAGCTCGACGGCGACCGGGGGAGCTTGCGCTCGGACGGTGCTCGTCGCGAATACGGCCCCAGGCAGGCAGGCCGCCAGGCCGTCTCCACGACGACCGCATGAAACGCCCACTCGAATGCGGGTTGGCCCGAGGCCCTGCTTCCCTTCTGCCACCATCTACCTAGCAGCATGCGGCTGTTGTGTGCGCGCGCTCTCTCGTCTCTCTCTCTCTGTGTGTCCAGAGAGGAGGAGCCAAGCGTCCGTCGCAGCACATACGCACGCACGCACTCGTCGGCTTCCCCTCGAGGCAAAGCCAGCGAGAAAACTCTGAAAGCCCGCATTTCTTGTCATCTCTCCACATTGCGCGAATTTATTTCCTGAGCCTGGCTGGCGGTGAGCTGGCCTCTGCATCCATCTATGGAGGCATTATTTGCCGCCGGGCGAGAGTCTCTGGGCAGGCAGTCACTCGGACAGGACAATGGCGCAATGGCACAGTAATCAATCAATCCCTTGATAACGTCAAGAGCGCGATTTTTCGAAATTTTCACCACAAGAGCCTTGGCTGCGGCAAAGAGGGCACACGGTGGAAAAGGGAAATCCGTTTCGAATCGTCGCCTTTTGCATGAAACTTTTGAAGCTTCACCTGGCCCTACCGTCCCACGGTGCGTGCGTGGAGACGGTTGGTTGACTCTACATGCGACGCGGTACCCCGATGGTCCACGACTGACTGCCTGCCAGGCTGCTCGCTTGACGCCGAGCGCTTCACCATCCCAACGGTGGCGTCGTGGTATATAGCACAGCGATGTCGATTATGGACGAGCTGCCGACGAGGATGCTGAATCGAGAAGATCAACGATGCCGTTTGATTGCCTAGTACGAGCATGCAGGGCCAGAGTGGATGGGGAGGTTGGGGGAGGCATGCATTGTCTGGAGTTGCTAGCTGTTCAGGGAAGCGGAACCCCCACATTCTGGAGCACAGGGCGAGATGCACTACTGCAATGCAGAGATTTTATGCACGTCCGATAGCATGTACAGCACTGACTACTCGGTCAGGTAACGAACAACGTCGGCAGGCATCCCTGCGGGCCTTGGCGTCTTGTACACGCTTCTGCGCATACCAAGCTCCAATCACAATTGAATTGTTTCATCCCACGGTCCATTTGTCTGATAAAGGCTCCGTGTGGAAGGCTTGCCGGATGGAGACGCCAAGTTGCTCGTATCACACCCTCTCTCTCACACGGTGACGTCCTTCAGCGAGGTGAGCGAGCACAGACGGACGCGGATCAAGCTTCGGGATTCGTGAATACGTCAGTAGGATTGTGGTGCTGCAGATGCTGGAGTGCACGATGCAAGGATGCATCGATGGACAGACTGGACAGCAGAGAGAGAGAGACTACCTACTCGACTAGTTGACTTATAGCAGCAGTGGCAGCGGTAGTAGGTAAATGTATATGTATATGCTCATAGTACAGATCAATGTAGAGTTAGATAGTTGTGTACCTGAGCGGATGCCGGGCAGCCAGCCAGTAGGGGCGCGGAGAGACGCTTAGTCTGCTGCACTGCTGCACGCAATTCGCTGGCGGCCTGTAACCCTGGCACGTGCAGCCAATCGCCCCGTCGGCCGCCCTTCAGCCGCGGCTCGCATCCATCACAGTTCCTCTCTCGTACAGCACTCAACTACGAACCAACGATAAGCGACTCTGTCTGAGACGCCGCCTGGCAAACTCCAACATGTTCCATTCCTCACCACTGCCTTTGCCACATGCAGCAATCTTTCCCATGTCCCGGATTTCAGCCTCCGCCGTTGCATCCGCCGTCAGTCGGCCAGACAGCCGACGTGCCAAGCATGATGCGTGGCTGGGAAGTCAGTCAGTCAGTCAGTCGGACTGCCCTTCGCGGCCACCACCACCACCAGCTTTGTTGTCGTCGGCTTCGTCATCTCCGAAAGCCCAGCAGTCGCACAGGAGAAGGGCAAAGTCAGACTCCACTTCCAATAACGTTGCGCAGATTGCTCCCTCTCTTGGTCCTAGCCACGCCCAACCATTCATCCGAGCTAGCCTGCATCTGGCCGCCATCTAAACAAATAAACACTCACCAAGCATACAAACTCCACCAAGCAACTCCATCATGGGTCCCTCATTTCGCTGCCCATATATAGCATTGGCAGTATGATCTACCGTTGCTTCTCCAACCTAATCCCATTGCATGCCCTTCTCCAAGACATCTGGTCGCCTTGGTCATTGTTCATCTCAATCTACACATCAATTGACTCGTGTCCGAAGCCCCTTTTGACCGTCTCCACGATTGCTATCGCCTGCTTATAGTGAGGCAAGACAATATCGCCGACGTGTCTCCTGCTTGTCCTCAATCTGCCATCTGTTAGTCGGCAGCTACACAAATCAAGTCTGCACTACTCCTCAATCATCTCCAACCTTTTATTTTTTTCCTTTGCCATTTCTGGGCGGCGCGGCACGCTGCCATAAATCGCGCACCTCTGTGCAAAGTCGTTGATTCGGTCGGTCTCGATTAATCACTCTACAGAAATGCGACTTGGCTTTGCTCAATAGTCTAGCGCTTGCGAAGAGTTTTGCTTTCTTCTGTTGAGGGTCCAGTCAACTGCCATTCTTTCGACGCGCCGTGCGACAGGTACATGTTGTTCCGAGGGTGCCGTCTCATCTTCGTCGGAACATTAGGGCGATCCCCCGCGAGCACCTTCCAGAATTCGAACACGTCCAAAAAGCCACCTTGAACATGTACATGTCCTGGGATATCGCTGTGTTCATCGTGGCAATCACACACCACAGACGTCTCAGCCCGTCACTCAACGACACGTACGGAGCGGGAATCCCTCGCCAAGACGCCTGAAGCATTCCAGTCTGCAGCAGTCTGCAGTGACCCACTTGGCATCCGCTCATCAATATTTCTCACACGCTTGGCGTGGGCGTGAGGTTCGGGGCCGCGCAAGAAACCAGATTCAAAAAACTGTGTTGCAAAAGCTTGACATGATTCTCGTCCTCTTGTTTGACCGTAACATTGGATGATTCAGAATATGACTTGATCCCTGCTTCATCCCAGCAAATAATCGCTGGAGCGAACCGTTTGCCTGTCTCTTGCTGCGTACAGTAGCACAACTAGACTTGGCAGCGCTTTGCAAGAGTTTGGAGACCCGGCTGCAATGCTTCGCTGTGGACAACGGCATTCTTGAAAAATCCAATCGATCGACTCTTGCACATAGGCATCTTTCCCCGGATCCCCCGACGGGTGTACGGATTCGATGTGAAAAGGAAGGTCATCAGGATGATCTTCGATGAGGCATCTTTGCATGCATTGCCCATCTCTCGCTCCCTTCAGATCCGTACGTACCAAGGCGCGTGGCACTCTACGCATGCAGCCTTATCAATCTTTGCACCTGCGCACTAAACTATTCACAGCGTACTGCAGTGCATCGTCATCGTGTAAAGGAAAAATTCCCATGACCAAGACTGCTTTTCAATCTCTGAGAGCCGCACTCAAAGCAGCTTTACCCTCCAAATACCCCGGATGCTATAGACACATATGCCGGCCAACGCGCCCAACGTCTGGGCGTTTGGGGGAAAGGAAGTACCGCCCACCCGCTGCATGTCACCTTACCCATACTAACCGTCCCACCACATCGCGTAGATGCTCGCGAGAGAACCTAAGTGCCATGCCTGACTGTCGCATGTACAGCCTGGCAGGATAATAGGCTACGCATCTGACATTTCCCCGCTCTTTTCCCACAGTGGGTACCCATATTGTTTTGGGAGCGAGCGAAGTGGAAAGAAGAAGCATGAATAGCCTATCCACTCTTTGATGCTTGGTTCAACTTAGCGGTGGGTAAAACACCTCTTACGTCTTTTACATCCATACTTTGTAGACAAGTGAGGGCAAGACGGGTTAAGAACAGTCAAGACGTAAGGCCCTGAAAAGCTTGGTACTTTTCGCCCCAGTAAGCGTTTTATGTATCAGAATCCACATGGGTTCTCTTTCGTTTCGTGTAGACTTGCTCATCCCGCAGCCTCGTTTATGGGTGTGATAACGTCGATCTTGAGCCTGGATTTGGTGTTTGCTCTTGTGACACCCTTGGTTTTAGAGCTCGTCGCGTATCTTCGCCCCGTGGGGAGCGTGCGTCCCCAGCCAATCCAATGCCTTCTCTTGCCTCACTGTGACTCCTTCGTCCTGAGGCAGTGGCTTTTCCTTGTTGCAGAAACAAGCACGTCGATCTCGGGGATATTTTCCATAAGATCCTCTTGCTATGAACATGCTCCATATGCTATCCTGTCTTCTTATGGGGGCATGGGGATCGCATTGTGAAACTACCACACGTGTCAAAAGAGCGGGGAGTCGGAGATATTTGGATGGCGAGCGTGGAGAAGATGACTTCATCCGATGCATTTTCTTGTGTCCGTGTAGAAGCCCATTACGGGTACTCTCATGCATACCAACTCTTTGCTTGTCTGTGACGTTGTCTTTGGTTGGAAGCAGAAATGGGGGGTGATGAACCGATTGAAGTCACACAGATTGTCTAGTTTCTCTTGCTCCTGCGCCTGTTCTGACAGATTCGACATGCAATCTTTGTTCATAGAGTGCACAACGTGCGCTGGAGGAGTTGGATACCTCTGCCTCTAGCTATATCTCTATGGGCTCTTGTGGGGATAACAAAACACGTAAAAGCTTTATTCTGATTTCCAGTCCGCAATACCAAGATATGTACTTAATGGACCCCGATGTTCCCTATCCGACTCAAAAGTAGAAAAAAGTAGAGGCAGTCATTGATTTGATCGGTGGAGTGAACGCAACCAAGTAAGCAGAGTTTTGATGTCACTGACTATCTCGATTATTGGCATCATTGAGCATGAATATAGTAGAATATGCATAGTCACCTTTCTGCTGTGAATCACGGATATTCATCTGGTTGTTTTGCCTACTTTCCATCCAAATTGAGTCAGACACATAATTATCACCCCGTCGTCACCCCGAAAGAGTCACCCGTGAAGGCAAAACACAGCTCTGAATCTTCCCATCGCCGCCATCATTCCATCTCTCAAAAAGTCTCACTCATTTTCCACACATTCAAGTTCAATCATCCAAAATGTGCCTCAGCGGTGCATTTGACTCCCTCCCCTTTGTCTTACTTCACACCCCTCTTCTCCATGTCTTATATTCTCCGAAAGTCACGCTTGAACAAACAGAAACAGCGAACAGAATCACATACAAAACCCTACGATATAGTGAAAAGAGATACCACGCACCGCCGCTCGAATGCCTACTGGAATTCGAACCGCACCCAGAGAACGAAACCTTTTACGGCAAAGACGTCGACCGTTCATACCACACTACATATCGCCACCACAACATACACACCGAAAACACCGACCGAAGATGTTGTTATTTACTTCAGGTTATTCGAGTGAAGAATCCTCCGATTCCGATTCTTCCTCTTCATTTTCTTCGTCGTCATTCAAGACCGCAAACGAGATAAGCGAGGAGAGCGACGACAGCATCATCAACGATAGTAACAGTGAGACCATGATCAAACCTCAAACAAGAGACATCACCCCGGTTACGATGAGGAGAAGGACAGCACCTGAAATGGGCACCAGAAACAGGCGCCATAACAACAGCAATGACCAGGAAACACACAAACGCAGAACGCTGCACAACTCCCACCCCAAGCCCGTATCCGCGGATATATTACAGTATGTGACTGAGAACCGCGACACACGTCTGCCGGATAGTGCTCGTAGAATCCAGCAACAACGGCCTAGGAAACGACCTCCGCCGCTGTGGCAGTCCGAGGAGAGTCCACGTGGCGAGGAGAAAGTGGAGGATGGTGGAGAGGGTGGTCATGTGCAAGAGGACGAGGACGATGACGATGACGAGGAAAATGGCGATTCCGGCGAGGTCTGTTCGGTCTGGCCGGTAGATGTCTATCGAGATATTGTGGAGCAAGAGTATAGCAAGGTCTTCTCTGTCGGGGGATAAGATGTTCGGAGGGGAGGCAGAGGATATATGAATGATGTGTGTGTATTGGGGATATGGATAGTAACTGGGTGCTGGTGTTGCAAAAAACTTGGTCTTCGGTAGACTTTTGTCTTGAATGGTGAAACAACGTACCTGTTTTTTCCTCTTGATGATAGTGCTGACGAAATGTTTAACAAACCGCGTGTTTTGAGCACCGCAGTAGTAGTACCTTCATTCACCTAAAATACACACGAGTACTCTCTCCTGTCGACCTAGGAGTTGCACCAGTAGTTACCCAAAGCTAGACCATCAGACTCAGGACAAGTTTAGGCTCATATTTCACCCTATTTGGAGAAACCAAGCAGTAGAGTCAACCGTAATATGACTAAAATGGCACCAAGGGTGCGTCGTCTCGCCTGTTCCCTTGATGCTATTCGCTTCGATGCATCATAGTCCGGAAAGAGACACGTGGTATGAATTGGTTGTGGAATGAACTGTGCAACGAGCTATATAGCTCACCGTCCTTTCCGCCTCGGATCTCGACTACTGTCGTATGATGGCTTTCCACTAGCAATCGTTTTTCCTAACAAAGATTTAGCTATATCCTCATATGTTGAAACATCTATACGTACTTAGCACAGCACGACGAAGATCTTCACCTCGTACAGGCTGCTCACGCGTGATTACGCGCGGTGTGTCTGTTGCTCCTGTCGGAAAACCAAGTTGCTTGCACATCGGATTCTCGACACCGGGATTATCGGGCTTTTTTCTACAATTCCGTGATTGCCACGTTAGTGTTTTGTCATAGATAAAGTAGTGCAAATGCCCTCCACTTACTTATTATACACGGTCAGAGGGTTGAGATTATGATCTGACCACGGTTTTTGCGTGGACGCATTGTAGGCCTCAACCGAAGCAAGCCTCGGTGGCCACCTGCTCTCACCCAACATCTTTTTCAATCTGGCAAATTCCACAATGTTGAGACCCATGTTACTCAGAAGAAAGTGCCTCAGAGTCATAAGATCGCCATGACATATCCGACGGGGTAGTCGCAGTGGCGCTACCGGCAAGACAAACTCTCCATATTTATCACTGGGGTTAGGAATGATTTCGCGACTGATGAGCTCTCTCTCACGCTCCAAAATTTGGGCCATGTCACGGTGAATTGCCTTGATCTCTTCGGGTAGTTCTCCTGATAGCATAGCCTTGCGATTGTATTGGGACGGCCCTCCCGATGGCAGGAACTGTGGTTGTAAAGAGGCTGCTGCATTTTCGGCTGATGGAGAATTTGCAACGTGTGTGTAGAAACCCATACCTCTGAAGGAACGACTAGACGCTTCCGATTTCTGGGGAGCACGTTTGAAGAGACCAAGAATTTCATTGTTGACGCGGTTCTTGCGCGCGTCAGCCACGTCTGGCGGAAGAGAAGACATTGAGCACTTCGTCCAGCAGAATGACAGTAGGCAGGTGGAATGAGAGCCTAGTGTGGATGCATATGGTGTGTATGGTGCTGTGCGGTGCCTCCGTGGTTGGTTAGTTGTGTGAGGTTGTGCCGTACACCCCTGCCCCACTGAGCAGTCGCGTAGATACTAGGTTGTAGGTTTGTAGGAGCACTGCCAAGCCCCAAATACCATCAAGCATCAAGAACTCAGGTCCGAATCCCCTTTTGACTACTAGGTAGTGATATCGCAAAGGCAGCGGCCTATCCTAGCCCTTGTTTTTATTATGCATGGCCCGGTTCTGAGCCGGCATACCGAGATAATATGCACATCCTTACTGGATCGCGCTAAACCTAATCTGGTCTGACGATATTTGATCTATCAACGCGTCATGGTAGAATCACCTGTAAATCCACATGTATTATTTCTGACATCAAGACAAATGGATACATCTTATTTGCCAGAATACTTCGCATATCATTCTTGTATAAAACACCCCTGTGTAAGAAGTATTCGACCACCATTCCTATAACGAACACCATACACTCGCATGAAGCTCTTCCCTACTTTAGTTCTCCGCCTGTCAATACATCAGCTACCCCGTAAGCCTATCCAAAATAGCCTCAAGATCCGTGGCTTTACAACAAGCCCGAAAATCAAGATGCAGTCCGTGAAGAACACAATCGCCGAGAATATGGGCAAGATCGTCTCAGGCGCGCACTCTCTCGCCCCAGAGGATTCCCAGTTCTCTCTTGAGCAGGTTCCCGATCTCTCAGGAAAGGTTGCCGTTGTGACGGGTGGATCGGAAGGTATTGGATATGGTTGCACGCATACGCTGCTCACCCACAACATCTCCAAGCTTTTCGTCCTGTCAGTCACAGAGAAGGAACTCATCGATGATGCAATCAATGCCATCAAGGAGGAGCTCGGCGAGGAAATGGCAAACAGGGTTCATTGGATTCACTGCGAACTCTCAGACTGGGAAGCCACCAGCAAGACGGCGTTTGACATTGCTTCCAAGACGGATAGAATCGACATCCTCATCAACAACGCTGCTCGCGGCATCATGACAGCCCAACTGGCAAAGAACGGAGTTGATCTCCACATGGCTGCTAACCACATGGGCCACGTGGTGTTGACTTCGCATCTTCTGCCTCTTTTGAAGAAGACGAGTGAAAAGGGGGATACAGTGCGAATCGTGAACTTGGGCAGCAATGCGCACGAAGGTTCACCCAAGGATACAAAATTCGATAGTGTCGAAGAACTGAACAAGGATAATGGGCCACAACAGCAATACGGGCGCTCAAAGTTGGCGGCTATCCTGTACTCCAAGTATTTGAACAAGCATTTGACCAGCCAATATCCCAATATTCTTGTCAATGCGACACATCCTGGTGTGGTGGAGACAAGACAGTCGGCCGAGCTGATCCATGAAGCGTACCCGCTGGGCGGATATGCAATGAGCGTAGGGCTCGCGCCTTTCAAAAAGACTCAATTCGAAGGAGCTGTTTCTACTATGTTTGCATCGACGGCGACCACAAAAAGCGGCCAGTATATTTGCCCTCCGGCGATTGTAGAGAGGGGCAGTGACCTGGCAAACGACGAAGAGCTGGGCGAACGCTTGATGGAATTGACAAGGAAAACCATCAAGGAGAGGACTGCCAGTGCGAGTGTGGAGAAGGGATGCCCAATGAAAGATTTCTGAGCAGAGCATGTATTAAACGTTGTATTAGAAAATAGAACTACTCTATCTGGCACAGAGAATAGCCAATTAGATCGGACTGACTTGATTGCAGTATGCGCATCTCGTGAAAATTTCTATAAACGGTACGAGGGGGGTGATTCATCCATGGCATAAATCGTAGATAGTGACCTAAGTCGAAGGAAACATCCCCGGTATAATACTGTCCTTCCTCGTGTCCCTTTCCCCTTCCCCTTTACCAAAGTGCCAACAATGCACTTCCGCCCTCCTTTCCTTTTTCAGCTCGTGCCGAACCCCTCTGCCTCCCAGAGGCATACCCAAGTCTTTCACGGCATCTCTGAGCCATGTATCTGCCGCTCTGTTCTGTAGCCTAATCCCGAAACACGACAACATCTTCGCACTGAACGCCCTCTGTTCTAGGTACTCGCTTATCCGTCCAACTTTTTTATAGCAGTTGAAGCCGACGGACCATTGGCAGTAGGAAATGAAATCATCCCGTAAAGTGAGATCAGTGATCATTGGCGGAAGCACTTCCTTCAGTTCAGCGGCAAACTCGGGGGCCCAGCCCAGGAACATGACAGCGGGGACTTCGACCTTTTGCAAGCGAGGAAAGTTGTGCAGGACAGACAATGTCCCTTGTATTCCAGGGAAATGCAGTCCGTTTTCCAGAAGTTCTGTTGGGGATAGAGAATCTGCCGCCATATTGAGGGTAAGTTTGCATTCCTCGAGTGTGTTTTGGAGGTTTGCTAGTGCGATGTTAAGACCGTCGAGATTCAGGAACTGTGCTAGTAAGGGTGGTCCTTGGGAAGAGTTGTTGAAAAGCACTTCCTGATCATAGTGGAGCCGTTTCAAATGTGGGGTTGCGCAGAGAAGTTGTTCCAGTGTGCTTCGATTGATGTTCGTGCGAAACAAGTGAAGGGTCGTCAGGCTTTCACTTCGTGGAGGTGAGGGACGATTCCAATTCAGCTGCCATGGTTGAGACATGGTATATTCGAAAGTGGTTACTGATGGAGAGTAGTAGATGGGGCGAATAAGATCGAGGTTTATGTATGACAGCGAATTATCGGGATCGAATCGTTTATCACCCAAGACGACATTATTCAACTTGGGAAATAGATGATCTGCCCGCTTCAAGATTTGGGGCAAGAAGATGGAATACATCAGGAAACCATCGCCCAGGTCCAAGGTGGTCAACTCGTAGCAGCGCGTCAGCACTAGTGTCGCCAGAGCGTCTTTGTTTCTCCCCTTGAATTGGTCTTGGGATTTATGCATGCTTTCGTCGACCAGACTGTAGAACTGGTTGGAAGCAAATATTTTCTGGGCCCGTGAGAGCGTGGTGCAATCCTCCAACCCCCATAGTTTGGGTCCAGATATGCGTTTGGAGGAATCTTCTGGGGGCCATGGATTATACTTTGTCCAGCACGGCAAAGGCCCTCGTAGTTTGAAGCTGTGGATATGTGAAGCAAGCTGCGGGCGCTCGAGCAAGGTGCGAAGCAGAAAAGCGAGGCTTCGTGCGCACCCACGGGACTTGGTAGCTGTGAACTTGAGATGACGATAGAGGCGGGGCACTACGTCGTGATTGAATCTTGTCGAGACGCGCACCAAAGCATTGTAGTCGTAGCTCGTCAGGTAATCGAGCAGCAGGGACAGGACATCAGCAGGAACATCAGTGAGGCGCGCCATGGCTGACTCTGGAGGCAGCAGAGCACTCAAGGCTCTTGTCCTCAGCTCAGGCTTCACGAGGTTGTCTTGTCAGATACATATATAAGGTATGAGCGAGTGTTCAACATGTGCAATAGAATCATTTAGCGGCCATGTCGGATGAGCATGCAATCCAAGGGTGGGTCGCGCAGGACGGTGGAGAAGGGATGGAATGAGGACAGAGAACCACGCAGGCGGCCAACGGTAGAGTGAAGTTGGCTCGTCACATGCTTTAGCCGCCACGCAGTCGCCTCGAACGGGAAGCTTATTAGGCAGGCCCCCAAGGGAGATTAACCCGATATTGACTGAAGCGCAAGTGACGAGTTGTTTTCGGCGCACCCGAGTCATTCAATGGAACGATGAATACATGACAGTGCTGGGAACATACATGTGTACATCTACACCACGCAACACGCCGCGCGCCGCAATAGGAATGTGACACGGTACGTCCAGTACATGCCGGCTACCGACCACGACAGACACGGACTTGGTGTCCAATGGAATGCGCGGCGGCGCAAAACGTTGCCGTCATCCTAACCTCGCGCTCGTGTGCGCAAACAGCAACATACACTCGGGCAATCCTGTCATCACCAACACGTGCTTGCCCTGCCCCGCGTGCACATCTTCGCTGATGGAAGTGCTTGGACCTTTTCTCGTACTGTGCGCACCGTGGCTGGCTGCATGTTCCTCCATGAACCACGCTGTTCTGCGGCCAACCCGAGCTCCGTGCTGCCGTGCGCGATAACCGTTGATTGATTGATTGATTGATAGAAAGATAGCCAGAATGGGCCGAATCAATCCTACATTCTGTCATCGCCTAGGTCGGCGGACATGCCGCCTCTCGAACCTGTCCAAGTGGTACTGCGATGCCAATCCAAGAGGCACTCCTTCGCGTTCACCTCGCAGCAGCCGCCCAATCCGTCCACTTTCAGGGTAGGCTGGATCGACCAATGTCACCTCGTTGACTAGATTCCAGTGTGCCGCCGACCCCCATCGCATTGACATGGGATACACCGCCTTTGCTATAACCCCGTTGTTCTTACACGTCGTAGCGAGATCTTCAAACTGACGCTCAAACCATTCTAGAGACGTATCAGGTGGCTGCCATATAGATATCGATTTCAACTGGCTAATTTGATCAACAAGGTCTAAGCTGGCAGATGCCGTATACGACACATCCATTCTTGCGCACAAAAGCCGATTGGCTTCGTCTTGTGCGTCCTGGTGCGAGGGTGTCGCAGACAGGATGGATGTATCGAAAGGAAATGGGAATTGTGCATGGGACATATCGGTCCGCAGGCTAAGGTGACGGAGAGACATTGGCAGACGAGGCTCTAAGGGTGTCATGATCGAGAATCCAGCATCGCCGCTGATGAAAGGAATGGGGACCTCCAGAGTGCTTAGCTTGTCGAATGCGCGGAGGTCTAGGGAACTCGACATATGCAGCTCGGTGGGTTGTTTGAAAAATGGTTGTTCGCTGTCGCAAAATTCCACGCTGAGTACCAGTGTTTCTAGCGTCTCTCGAACATTCGTCAAACATGCATTCCACAGATCCAGCTGTAGCCACGACTCTCGCAGCCCATCATTATACATGCTTGCATCATGCCATAGTTCGCATACAAGTGAACGTAAATGGGGAGTTGTTGGGAGTAGTTCTTGCAGATGAGAAAGAACTGGACCACTGTAACGAATAACCAGCTTGGTGATGGAAATGGGGTCGAGTCTGGGAGTTGGAGTGCGGATTCTCGTCACCCGGGAAAGAAGAATCCTACCCGCGTCACAGGGTATACTGAATTCGAGTGTGCGGACACCTTGCATCTTCCACATTAGCCACACTTTGAACGCCTCTACCTTTCCTCTGTGTCGATGTCCAGACTTGGTGTCGCAGTTGTATGAGAACTCCTGGATTGATCTGATACGCTCAACAAGCGGTGAATCATCGACGCCACTGCGAACGCGCTCCACAAGGTTCTGTAGACGAAGCGTTTCGTTTTGGTGATCGGAGATATCCAGACGTTTCAGCGAAGGCAACACCAGCAGGAGCAAGGCTGCGTATGCACCATATTCCCCATAGATCAAGGCTTCATGAAAATCCTCCCCGTAGGAGACCAAAGGTTCGTTCTGGATATGAGACTGTATCTTGTCGTGTACGATTTGTCGACTTTCGCTATCACCGGGTAAGAAGTACTGCCCTGCAACAGTCCCCTCTTTAGGCGATATACCAACACGAAGTGTTTTCACCAGCTCTCCCAGGTGAGGCTGGTCCAGCACGGTGATGAGCAGACGGTCGATGCGCGGAATGTAACCCCCGGGTGGGATGAGGAGGTCCACATGGTTGTATAGGAACGGGGTGGTTAGGTTATATAAGCCCTTTGAGGTTCGAGATAGAGCATATAATGCGGATTGTTCCAAGTAACTCAAAATAAATTCAACGATTTCAACAGGCAAATCAGCAAGGGAAGGCATTGGTTCTAGGTACGATGTCGGTGTTCAAGCAAGTCGGCAGATGGTAGCGATATGAAATGGTGAGGCTACTGCCTAATGAGGGGTTGTTTGACCTGCTTGAACTGGCAGGCAATGGATCGAACCATGGCAGATGATGACTGATCATCGTGTCAACAATCAACAACCAATGGCGAGCTGGCAAACGACTTTGTATCATTGACTGACCTCCCTACGGATTATGGCGAACGATTGGCCAGGTTTTGCCTGGTTCACGACGATGACCTGGAGGCGATTTGCGGGAGTTGGTAGGCGATTAGATATTTGGTAGGTATGCATGTACAGTCGTTCATCAAACCAGTACACGACAACTGTTGGATGTTGGTCAAGTCGATGTCATACATAGATTACTCATGTATGTGTGCATGTATCTTGTCGCCTGTCAATCAGTTGGATGTAGTGAGCGAGCTAAGATTACCGACCGACCGACGCTTGGCGCCACTCTACGCGGTCGCGTGGCTTCGACGCGTCTAGGTCTGTCTGGGAATCGAATCGATCAACTCCAAGCGTGCCTTCTTCTCGTCGTCACTACCAACAATACAATGGCTTCTCCGCAGCATTTGCGCGGTCGCTATGCCCGTTAGTACCCCCCAAAATCCCCTGGCTCAAAGACAGAGATTTGACCTGCAGCTCTAGATGCACCCGGGCCTACCTTCCTTGCTTACACGCCAGACGGCAAGAAACTGGTCACGGCCGGAGTCGACAGTTTTTGCCGCATCTTCAACTCCCGATCTGACCAGGAACCCACCAATGTCGACGACTGCGAAGAGAACAATGCAGCCATCGTTGCTGGCGTATGTTCGCATCGTCCCAAGTAGAGCGAAAGAGAGGCTAATGGTGGCCCACAGAATACTTTCTTCATCATCGTCGCAGAGAACGGCAACATCAGCAGGTATTCTCTGGCGAATCACAAATTCGAATATTATCTAGATCGCGTCTCTCTTCCGGCCCGAGATGTTGCTCTCAGTCCGGACGAACAATGGGTCGCTGTTGCTAGCGAGTATGGCCTCGCCGTTCCTCTCACTCAGAGCTTCCCCGCTGACGTTTTAGTGAGCATACAGTGCTTCTAGTCACCACCGGTGGAAGGCATGAACGGCAGACCAAGAAGTTGTCTGACCACCAAGGTTCCGTTCAGCATGTTTCGTTCGATACTGTTGGTCAACGCTTGGCCGTATCCTCGACCAACGGCGTCGTCTACATATACTCTCTCGAATCGACGGAACCGAAGATGATCAAACAACTAGGCGGTCTGATAAGGCGATACGAACAAGGCATCGAATCGAGCTCCGAGGTGATATGGCATCCAGATGGCAGAGCGTTTGCCGTTCCAACTCCGCTACGAGAAATCCAAGTCGTTTCACTCAACGACTGGGAAAAGCAGCAAACCTTCAAAACTCCCCATTCTGCAGATATCACTGCTGCTTCCTGGTCTCCCAATGGCTCATTCCTGGCTACCACCGCAAGTGATTTGAAACTTTGCCTTTGGGATACGAAGACGTTGAAATTAGTGAAGACGTACGACGATGTCAAGGCAACTATAACTGCTATGAAATGGCATCCAACTGATAACGTTTTGTCATATACCAATTCGGAGGGCCAGCTCTACATACACGAAGATTTCGTTCCCTTGGAATACGCGGATCGTCTGCAAAAACCAGTTCAACCCGCCCCTTTCTTTCACGATCCTGCAGAAGATCGTCTCAGCAATCCTACTTCAAAACCGGCCAATGGACTCACGCGCACTCTTCCAGAACGTCGACAACGAGAAATCTCTATGGATCCCCTCGATGAAATTCTAGGGGTCGATTTCCAAGACGAAGATATGGACGATTTTGTGGATGATGATGATGGTGCTGGCTATGCGCCCGTTGTCAATGGCCACGGGAAGCGTACGAATGGCCATCTTGACTCTCTTCAATCAAAAGCCAAACGACACGCTCAAGCTTCCAATGTCAGGCTGCCTGATATCCACGAACCCTTTCAACCCGGTGCAACCCCATGGCGTGGCAATCGGCGTATGCTCTGTTGTTCGCTTTTTGGTTACGTTTCTACTGTTTCGCAAGAAGGCGACCAAAGTACCGTGGAGCTCAAGTTCGCCGACAAAAGATACCGAGATGCAAAAATCTCTGACATCTATGGCTACGACAAAGCCGCGCTCAGCACGAAGGGTGCCCTTCTATCCTGCCAGCCTGGCGAAGAGCATCCAGCCATGATCTATTATCGCCCGCATGGTACATGGACGGCAAATTCTGAAGACTGGCGAACTAAGCTGCCCGATGGTGAATCAGTGACCTCAATCGCGCTGAGTGAAAGCTACGCTGTCGTGACTACAAGCTCAAATTACGTGCGAATCTACAGTTTGTTCGGTCTTCCTATACGCATATATCGGCAGAAATCGTCGCCAGCTGTAACGTGCGCGGCATGGCGCGACTACGTTCTCACAGTTGGCAATGGTCCTGTCGGCGCTGACGGGACATCTCAACTTCTCTACACCATCGAGAACGTAAAGCGGGACGAAGTTTACCAATCGGAGGACATTGTGGCTTTACCAAAAAACACAACATTGCAATCTGTTTTCTTCTCAGCAGATGGCGACCCTTACATATATGACTCTGATGGTGTGCTCCTCACATTACTTCGATGGCGAAACACTGGCCAGGCTCGATGGGTTCCCATGTTAGATACGAGGAACCTTTCACGACGTGTAGGCGGCGGGAAGGAAGAAACTTATTGGCCTGTTGGAGTACAAACCGACGAGAACAATAACCGTGTCTTTGAGTGTTTCATTGTCAAGGGCAGTGAAAGGTATCCCACCAACCCTCCACCCTTGTTAAGCCAATTCCCCCTGGAAATACCCATTTCGTCGTCCAACGAGGACGCTTCAGCAAATGAACTCGAACATGAATTTGTTCTCTCAACAATCCTTCATACCCAACTCACGGAAACTCTGTCGCACACTCGACCGACGGAAGAGCAGGATGCCGATTTGCGGGATTTAGAAGGACGTGCTGATGCGGCGCTGCTGCGCATGTTGCCTCCGGAATGCAAAGTCGAACAGCGCAATCCCAAAGCTTTAGAGTTGGTGGAGCTTATGCGGGATAGTAACGATAAGTTTATCAAGGGTGCGCTGAAGGCAGCCGAACGATTCGCAAAGAATCCAGAGTTGATCAAGAAGATGAAGAAGATACAAGCGAGGAAAGATAAGGCGAGGCTGACAGGTGGTGAAGTGGAAGACTTGATTGAAGATGATGATAACGACGATGACGATGATGTATATGGAGACTTCTAATTGGGTTGTCTTTGGGAGAGTCATGACGTGCGCTTTCAGCTTGTTGTAACTTTAATCCGCAGGAATTGCCCTATTTGATTATACCACACATTACCAATACCCAGCACATGAATGTCTTGTTGTGTACCCGGGTTGTTGGAAAATTGATTTGAAGCCACTTCCGAGTTCGACAGAAGATGATGCAGGTGATTTGTCCTTTATTTCAGTTTTCGACAAGTTTTTGCATGTACTATCGGCAGTGTCATACATTTGGGGTATATAAATCATTGGACACGCCTGATGCTGAACGTTCAGTCGTTCTCTCCCTAGCCTACTCATTCCAGACAGACCGTGAAGCACCCCCTGGTTGCTATCTTTAGTCCTGAGATTGAATGCCAAGAGGCAACAAATCTCACCTTTCCCGACTAAACCTACACCCCAAAGCCTTCCACTGCCATGGACACCATCCCGCCTTCTCCCGCACAAGCTAGTCTCGCACACAAGCTCAAAAACACAACTGTCTCTGTAGCAGCGAGGTAATTCAACGTGTCGAGCAGTATCTTCAGATGGCGCGCAAAGTTCTCCTCGTACTTGCCCAACATGTCGAACATCTTGTCGACGCGTTGCGGGTCGTATACGTAAGGCGAGGCTTTGGAACTTCGTTGCGAGGACAGGGGTGCGGGTGTGCGTGACGATGGGTTGGCTGAGGAAGAGGAAGAACTTGCCTGCGCGTTTGCGCGGGCGACGAGATCTGGATCGGCGACGATGAGGTACCGCGAAAGGTTTTGTGTGAAGGTGGCGAACATGGCGCAAGTCGACATGATTTTGTTGTTGATCTGTAGAAGGAAAAAAAGTTCGATGTTAGCTTAACATGTCTCCGAATGTTTTGTATTACACTTCCTTTTGTGTCCAAAGCGATGGGAGAAAAACAGAGAATAATGATAGTGATGGACTAAGATATGCGGGAGACTCACTCGTAGCAGCTTACTGTTAGTAAGCATGCATTCTTTCAAACAGGTAGCCAGGAAATCCACATGATCCTGCATCAACTCGTCGACCGTTCTTTTTTGCCCATCTCTGGTTTTCCCCTCTCCACTCTCCTCAGTCAACCTCTCCATGAGGGCAACCCAGTTCGGCTCAATGACTTCGGCAGTGCAATAATACAATAGCTGCTGAACGAACACTAACATGCGCGCCCGTAGTGTCCAGGCTTTCCTTTTCCAGAGTTCGATCCTGGCGTTTCTAGACCGATATTTCCATGCCGCATTCTTGCCCTGCTCACTCCAACACTCGACAAGGCTGGTTTCGAGGTGTCGGAGGGAGAGTAAATAACGGAAGAGAAGCTGATAGCGCGTCAATGTGACTCGACTCACAACAAGAGAGAGCGGGAAGGGCATGGCGTAGTCAAAGACGAGGGCCTGGAAACCAGTGATATTACTATCGTCAGTAACGGAGGCTGCGGCAGCATTTGTGGCGGGTGTAAAGATGGTCCCCGCATTCGCAGCTTCTTGGTCCAGTCCGGTCACTGTTACAATTTTCATGAGCCAGTTGGTTAAGCCCGTGACGTTTATCTGCACCTTAACATCTTCCTTATAGGGGTCTTCGGCTGCGACAGAGCCGGGTTGGCGGACAACGATGTCCAATAAACTTTGCAATTTTCCAATGTTGACATTTTTGGCGGGTTTCTTGAGTTCAGAGGCGCCCAATTCGAGGAAGTAGGTGAAGAAGTCGGATCGATCAAGGAAGAAGTAGTGCTTCAAGGATCGTAAACGGGCAGGCAGTTGGTGTGTTGTGAGGAGAAGGTTGAACAGAGATGAATTGGCATAGTCGTACGCAGAGTTTACATTGTCCAGGAAACGAGCGTCATCGAAGGAAGAGGGAACATCTTGCACAGTCTTACTGATATCGACTCCCCCACATTCACGAACAACATTGAGATATTTCCCTGCCAACAGGACTTTATCCTTGACCCCCTCAAGTTGAGGTGGGACTAGGGCATCTCGCATCGTGTATCGCTTCTCCCAGTACTCATCAGTGTAGTCCTGATCTAACCTCTCCCTCTTGATACTCTTTTGCTCTTTGATGAGAAATTCGGCGTGGGGATCCCTTATGCCTCCGTGATGTAGCCATTCGTTTAGCATAGCCATGTAGGGCTTACTGGCCTCTCGTAAAAGTGTTGTGAGCAGCTCTCTGGCTGCCGGATCCCCTGACATGGTCGCCAGTCTCCGTGTGATCAGCCCTAGCACGCTGCCTCCCTTACATATCTTTTTACTCGAGAGCTGTACGTTCCCTCCCTCCCTTAAGCTTTCCAATATTCCTTCTAGGTCATCGTCATCATCCTCGGAAGATTCCGATCCATCATCTTCCAGTATGCCGTTCGCCTTGAGCAGTTCCACCCCGGTTGTGTACAGCTGGAAAAGCATGTGGCTAGTTTGTTTCGTGTGCAAGTTCAATACATGTAAAGTGAAGGATTCATTGGTCAACATTTGATGCTCCAATTGGGCCATCAAGGTCAGGTAATCTTTGAGCAAGCGGCGCACCGCGGCGCAAAGGGAATGATTTACGGCGCCGTATTCCTCGCGGCTCAAAACCTCGACGCATGTCTCGACGGCAATGTAATGAGTGGCCATCTTCAGCATAGACTTGGTCAGGTCACGAAGGCTGGGATCTAAACCGGACAGGATGCGGAATTGAGGACCAAGCAACCGGTCCTTCTCTTCGTGAGGGTTGTAGGTGTCGGCGAAGCGTATGTATTGGCCCTCGAACCCCATGAAGACGAACAGAAGATCCTCGATGATGGCGTGTTCCTGCTGCTCCAAGGAAAGCTGGACGAGGGGTGTAGGCTGTAGTATGGATGGGGCGGTCGAGGCCAATGGAGGAATAGAGATGCGGGTTGCGAGAGGAGCACTAGTATGGGGGACCAGCCTGGCATGGGGATCCCATGGCGCTGGAGGATCTTCTGGAGGCTTCCTGTCGCCTACTCTATCCTTTTCTCTCTCCCGATCCGGCCTCGATCTCTCCGATTTCGTGCGGGTATGGACAGCGGTGGAATGCTTCAACGGGCTTCTGGTGCGCCGTATCTCGGTCTCGCGCTCTCTGACTTCGCGCTTTTCCGTGGTTCGCTCGACGAGACCGGCGGGCTTGTTACGGACGTGGGAGGCGGTTGCGGAGCTGCGTCGTTCGTCATCGCGTTCTCGATCTCGTTCCCGCTCCCCGCTGCCAGAAGGGACGCGGGGCCGTGTCGACGACGCGTAGTTTGCAGAGCGGCGGTCGGCTGTGGTAGTGGTGGTGGTGGTCGGGGGTTTGCCCTTTGCGGGGTTTCGGGAGGACATTATGGCCGTGGCCGGTGCCTGGCTGGTTCCATGGAGCCACGGAAGGGTAAGTGTTTATTGTGTTGTTTTGTTTGCTGCTTTGCGGTTCATGCACGCAGGCGGGCAGACAGGTAGGCCGTGGTTGATTGGCTGGTGTCGTCCCAGCTGCCTTTGGAGCAAGTCTAAGCGAGTACCTCCACCACCCATCTCAACATCACCATCTCAGCATCAACATTTACTTTTTCATCTTCATTGCTTGCCCCCCTCAGGATCTATATTCATCCTACTTATCTACTTAATTCGTCTCCCAGAATCAAAAACCTTTTGAAGTACCTTTCCAACCCCTGGCCGCCTTGCTCTCCCAGCTCTACAACCGATCCAACCCATCCATCAGGCCGTATAATCATCACAGCACCCTGGTCTGCCCCAATTCCGTACCGGTTGTGTGCAACCCAGTCCTCATCATACAAGACTCTACCGTGTGGCATATCACCCATTATCTCATACGCTGAAGCACCACCGGGCCCACCGAAGACAGAAAGCCACGAGATAGGATACTTGGAATCAAACAGCCAGGGAAACCTCGCTACCGATTCATCGAATGCTGTGAGCCTGGATTTTGTCTTCTCTACTCGGCCAACAAACATGACAATGTAGAATCGTGCCACATTTGGGGTTTCTCTTTGTAACCGAGTGTCCTCAAACGTCGCGGGCTTTTGAAGCTTCACGTCAGGTGCGCGCTGCCCTGGTAGAATCGACGACAGACGCGCGAATTGGTTGACATTAAGGTAATCGTCCGGCTCGTAGAAGATGCCCAGTCCACTAGTAAAGGTGCCAGCCTCTGCCATGACCTTGCCGAGTATCTCGTTGGGGTCTGCATCTGCATCGCCCGTCCAATTCTCCGGCAAGTGCATCGTCATGAGCCGTGCAATGTCCTTGTCATAGTTGATCAATCGCTGAACGTTGGGCAATCGCTCTTTCTCGTATGTGTGCAATACATCTGCTTTGGCGAGTCCCTGAAGCACCAGGGACAGCTTCCATCCCAGGTTAACGGCATCGTGGAGACCAGTGTTCATTCCTTGCGCTGCACCCGAGGAGTGCGTGTGGCAAGAGTCGCCTGCAAGGAAAATGCAGTCCTCGACGAAGAATGAGCGGGCGATGCGCTGCCCAACCACATAGATCGTCCACCAATCCACCTGTTTGAAGCTTAGAGAGAAAGGTTTCACGGCAGCTACTGCTTCTTTCACCGCCGCATCCTCATCGAAGACCGTGTACGCCTGCTGTGTTGCTGGCGTGAAAGCATAACCGATTCGCGTTGCTCCTCGGTCAAGAGCTGCCCACAACACATTTCCATGCGTCGGACTCTCTATAGCACAGTATGTTCTCGGTTTTGGTAGATCGGTTTCGACCACGCCATCCACCCGTACCCATTTGTCTTCACTTGAAGTCCCGTCGAACGGGATGTCCATCGCTCTTCTTACAAATGATCGTCCGCCGTCCGCACCTATGAGGTATCTGCATTTGACCAGTTTTGTTTCTTGCCTTGCTCGATTTTCCATGGTTCCAATGACTCTATGCCCGCCCATGTCCACGCCTTCCACTATGTCGATCTTTGTCAGCTCCCAAGCAGACTCCAATTGCACACCCTCCTCGGCCAACGCTTGCCTGAAGATCTCTTCTTGATACTTCTGTCGCAGCACCAGCGCGAAATTCCACTTGGTATCATTCATGTTCTCCATAAAGCTCCAGCCCCTGCCTGGCACTTCGTTCCCATTCTTGTCGTAATTCACCGTAGATCGACATGCGAAGCATTGCTGTGCAAGCGAGTCCGCCAGACCCAGCTGATCGAGCATCTCGCTGGATCGTGGGTATAGTGTGATGGCGCGGCCATACTGATCCTGTGCAGATTTGCTCTCCTTCTCAATGATTTTTACACGGTGGTTGGGGAGATTACGGGCAAGTTGCAGGGCTGTTACGAGACCTAGGAATAGTTAATAGAGAGCTCTTCAACTCTGGAGACAACAGTGGTTTCGGTTACCGACAGGTCCTCCGCCAATAACAAGGACATCGACGATTTCAACAGTGGGTTCCGCATCGCTCATCATGTCTTATAATTTGCCGCCCCAGAGCCCTGATTGAGATTTTGTCTGAGAGGTAGTACAATATCAATACGAAGGTGCAACTGGATGCTTTGAATGTTGATTTTTTCCATCGGAAGCCAACAAAATATCGGCAGGCTTCCAGCAAATAAACATGAAAAGGCAATTACCGATAAGCTATGCGGGTGATCTATGAGATACTCGATGTGGTGTGTATTGACAGGGAGATATCAGCGCCGTAGTCTGTAGGATGGGGGTTTTCGATGATAAGACTCGGTAATAAGGGCCAGAGTACCGATAAGCTATTTCCCATACCTGCATATGCACATGTACATATACGGATGGTATGACGCATGATACCAGGAGGTTGATCGTGCATACCGTAGAACCCGCCATACAAAACGCACGTTATCACTATTGACCGCATGATAGAATAGCAAGAGTAGCTAACATGATTGTATTATTCGAATGAGAAGAGCTCTGTTGACTCTTGAAGAGTAGCTACTCAGCAGATCTAGGCTTAACAGATGTCTAATAGTTCTTGCTACTTATAGGACTTATACTCCGTCTAGCTACTCTATTATGCGGTCACAACCAAAGGTGCAGCCATCAGATACTACATCTCGCGGTAATGAATCGCCAGGGGAAGGAGTAATTGACAGCTACAAGCTAAAACTTCCCTTCGCTCACCTTTGCATCATAGTATAAGATTGAGTCAAGTAACAATTGGGCTCCTAACGCACAATGTTCTAGACTCGTATATTCGTTTGGGTTGTGGCTAATTCCGTCTCGACTAGGTACAAATATCATACTCGTGGGGCACACCCGAGATGTCCAAGCACTGTCGTGGCCTGCCCTGCTTTTCATATCCATGATCTGGTCTTCTCCGACGGACTTTTGAGCAGCTGTGCGGACCGCACTAATGCACTGAAGGTGAAATATTGACTCGGGCAATCCCCACGTTCGCTGGATACTGTATGGCGTTCCGTTCGATTCTTCTATCATGACCTGGTCGAAAGCTTTAAAGATGGACTTTGCAAGTTGCTCCACCATTTCGTCTGTTGAGCATCGAATATCGATGATGAACTCCACCCCTGCCGGAATAGTCGCTTGACTGGAGGTATCACTTTTGATGACGCCTACTGTGGCTACACCAAGTCCAGTATTCAGCGCCACATCTCGAACCGTCGAAATCAGCCGCGATGCAGTCACAAGAGCATCCGCGCGACCAGGCATGGGTGTTGTACCAGAGTGGCCTTCGACGCCAGCGACTCTCACCGCAAACCATTTCATGCCTTGCACTGATGTGACTATTCCTACTGATTTGCCTTCTTTTTCTAAGATAGGTCCTTGTTCGATATGAAGTTCGAAGTGACACTCCAACGGATTTTCCCTGTAATCGCACTTGGTCTCTCCCAGATATCCAATATCTTTCAGTGCTTGCTTCATTCTCATACCCTCGCTATCCTGTATTTCCCAACAGGCGGCGAGTCCAGTGGAAGACTTGGTTGACCAGACTCCAGAGGCCATCATGGCTCCAGGGAATCGGGCGCCTTCCTCGTTTGTCCAATTGACTAGGGCGATCGGGCAGAAAGTCGTGATTTTGTTCTCGTGGAGTGTTCGGAGGACCTCCAAAGCAGCTTGAACACCAAGAATACCGTCATATCTGCCACCTGCAGGTTGCGTGTCCATGTGGCTACCCATTGCGATGGGATTCTTATCCTTAGCGGTTCCCGGTCGAATCGCGAATATGTTGCCCATCTCGTCAATCTTGACTTCACATCCGATGTTGCTACACTCAGCAACGAGCCAGTCACGGGCCTGCTTGTCTTCCTGGCTGAGTGAAAGGCGACACATGCCTGTGGATGGTGCGGCCAGAGCTCCCCATGATGTGCAGGTGCTCTGGAGTGTTTTGTTCAGCCTATCGCCGTTGATTTTCAACCCGTCGCGAGACATCTCGCTGCGATCAAACATCTACTCCGGTGCAGTACGAAGTTTATTGAACAGCAGCGAGGTACCAGGTGCGCTTATCGCCGGGCGGAGATGTCCGACGAGAGTTCAATTTGCCGGGTAAGGAGCCATTTCCATGACCAGTTTCCGTGACTGGTTATCACTGCAGGATGCAAATCCAAGAATTTGCTAGGTGCCGTGTATTGATTGAGATAAGTTAACTCCGAGGAAGACGACGTCTTGCGCGGGGCATGAGGGGTTGCGATAAGTACCTCACTCTTCAGGCTAGCGTCGAATCCAACTATCATCATGATGTACATTTTGTAAACGGATGGTCAAGACTCCAGTAAGATGCCCTGGAAGACTGGAGAGCAATGTCAACTACATACGACGTTATCATTGTGAATGGCGTGGTGGTGACTGACACAGATGTTGGAGAATATGATATTGGTATCAAGGACGAGAAGGTTGCTAAGGTAGCCAAGAAAGGAGACCTGCGGGACGCAAAGGCCACACGAACAATAGATGCAGAAGGGGGTTATGTCATGGTACGTTTCTGCGTTTCTGAGCCCACGAAGTGCATTAGATACTGACAGTACGGAAGCCAGGTGGCGTAGATGGGTGCGTATTCTCAGAGCCCCCCATACATTGATCCACCACGCTATATCGGGAAACCATCGTAGAAACATCGTGATTGGAGCCATATTCGAATGCTAATGAGCTCAGGCATGTTCATCTTCAAGAGCCACCGCTGTTTGGTAAAGGTTCATCAGCGGACAACTACGAAACCGGTATGCTAAACCCTGTTTTCCAAACACAAAGGCTAAGTCTCTGTTGTAGGGAGTAGATCTGCTGTCTGCGGAGGTACTACCTGCATGGTTTCTTTTGCTCCTCAGAAGAAAAGTGAAGATACTCTTCTCGACACTCTAAGAGCCACCTATGAAAGAGCTAGAGATAATTGCTACATAGACTACTCGTTCCATCTGCTCGTGGGTAACCCATCAGAGAGAGCCCTTTCGGAATTCAAAACACTGCGAGAAGAAGGCATCACATCACTCAAGATATACATGACCTATGAAGCCCTCAAACTCAATGACGGCCAAATCCTCGACGTGCTCCTCGAAGCTCGCAAGCAGAAGATCACGACAATGGTCCACGCCGAGAATGGCGAAGTAATAGACTGGATGACCAAGCAGCTCGAGAAGCGCAAGCTTTACGCCCCAAAGTATCACGGCACATCACATCCACCAGTGGCGGAAACAGAAGCAACGTACCGCGCGATCCAGCTCTCCGATTTCATGGACAGTCCCATTCTGATCGTCCACGTATCCACCCCAGAAGCCGCAGCACACATCCGATCCGCGCAGAGTCGTGGAATCCCCATCTATGCCGAAACATGCCCGCAATACCTCTTCCTCACGCGCTCGGATCTCGACAAACCAGGCTTCGAAGGCGCCAAGTGTGTGTGCAGTCCGCCCCCTCGTGAGAGCGAAGCAGACTGCGATGTCATCTGGGACGGCCTCTCCAACGGAACTTTCACGATACTGAGTTCGGATCACTGTCCATTCCGCTACAACGACAACGTGAACGGCAAGCAGACGTGCGTCACCGACGAGTACCCCGTTGGTCATTTCAAGTATATCCCCAACGGCATCGCAGGCATCGAGACGCGACTTTCTCTTGCGCTCGGGGCGGACCGGCTCGACGTCAAAAAGTTTGTGGAGCTGACCTCGACTAACCCCGCGAAACTTTATGGACTGCACCCTCTCAAGGGAGCATTGGTGGAAGGACAATCAGATGCTGATATCAACATCTGGTACCCTCCGGAGAAGATGCAGGAGTTCCAGCTCAAGAATGAAATGCTGCATCATAATGTCGATTACACGCCTTTTGAAGGCAGAACCATGAAACAGTGGCCTCGGTACACACTTCTCAGGGGAAAGGTGGTGTGGGATAGAGACAATGGTGGACTGTTGGGTGAGAAGGGCTACGGGAAATTTATCAAGAGGGAGGCGAGCTCTCTGGCTAAGCCTAGACATGAAGGAGAATGGGGAATTTTTGAAGATGGGTCATTTGGATTCTCCTAGATAGGTGAGTGAATGAGAGCTTTTCTTTTTACGAAATGGGCCATCTAACGATTTGAGATGGTCTTGCAGATGTTTGTACGCTATACAGTAGCTTCCTTCAGTGCCTAACGGCAAACAACGTGCACAGCGTCAAGCGAGGCGTTTGTTGTTACACGCATTGCTCAAGCGAGGCGTTTGTTGTTACACGCATTGCTCAAGCGAGATGAGATTACCCGGGAGGTTTCTCTTTGAATCCAATGTGCACAATATCGATTCTGCCGTGAAACAAGCGTGTTTCGAATTTTCATTCATTTTGTCTTTACGAAACAAACAAATTATTGACCACAGTCATCAAGTTGGGAAAAGAAAAAAAAGGGAATAAAGTAGCAGGTTGACATGTAAGATCAATGGGTTTATTGACAAAGCTATACACAGATATCAACTTATAAATATTTACTCGAAGAATGAAGGGCTCAACAACTGCATGGAACTAGTCTACATGATCGTCATCGTCGTCATCGTCAGGCTGTAAAGCCAACTCCCAACCAAGCTTTTCCTGTATGCTCTAACCAGAGTAAACGGCGGGGCCGGGGGAGGTGTACTGGAAGGACGAGTCGTAGATGGCCTTGGTGAAGAGGGGGTCGCTGCGTCACACCGTCAGTCTCAAAATCTCCCATACCACTGTAATCGGAAAGATGAGATAAAAAAAAGACATACCTGAGCTTGTAGGCACCGGGGAAGCTAACACCGGCAGGAGTAGCGCTACCACCACCAGTGACCTTGACCTGGAAGCACGAGACGTACGGCTGGGGGTTGCCGACACCAGCGTGGAGAGCGATGGCTTCGGCACGAACGAGATAGTCGCCGGCGGCGATGTTGCTCGGGACGGTGAAGGCGCGCTTTCCGCAGTTTGCGTTGAGGATCTCGGTGCCCCAGGTTGGGGTGGTGCCCTTGTAGCCGTCTTCAGCGACCTTGAAGAAGGATCCGCTCTTTGCGGTTTTGGCGTCATCGACCTTGGCCATGTAGATGAGAACGGGGCCGTAGTGGTTTCCGCCGATGGCGGGCTGGCTGCAGGAACGCTCGTTGGGCTGAGCGTGCATCTCGACGGTCAAGGGGCTGCCGGCTGTTTTGATAGACTTGGTCAGTACATGAATGGAGCACCGAGAGAGGGAACAACGTACCGGCGACCTCGCAGACTCCCGAAGAAGAGGCTGGGCCAATACCGCAGAACATATCGGATGAGGAGAGCGACGAGATGGGGTTGTTGTTGGCGACGGTCCTGGTGCAGGACGTGCCCTTATCGGTGGATCCGACCCAGAGTTGTTGCCATGTCGAGTGGGCAGAGACGGCGGCCGCGGAGGCGACGAGGAGAGCAGCGGTTCTCATTTTCGAAGAAGTTTGTTGTTTCAACTAAGTCGTGGGAAAGCGAAAGTGGGTGAGTGTCTTCTGGTGCTGAATGCTTGATGGGACTCCAAGTCTAAACGTCAAGAATACGATGCGAGCATATGGGCTTTTATATCCATCTTGTATTTCCCTGTGGGGAAGCCCTCATGTGGTGAGGTGTAGTTTGATGATTTAGATTAACGGCTACTATACAGTAAACACACCAAGCACGCTTACCGGTCCGGAAAAGCCACGGATCGTCATGATGCATCGCCCAAATTGAACGTGTGCGCAGATGCCCAGTCAAAGCCTCGTTGCCTCGATTCCGCTTGCTATTAATCTAAGGTTCATATTACACAATGTCGGCAGACGGTGGCTACGGTCGCACGCGCCTGCAGGCTTGCAATTTATTCGCACTGTGCACATGGCTCCCCAACTAATTACTATCTCGATCGCTGCCTAACTCTTTCATAGTAGTAGAGCGGCATCGACAGTCTACTACGCGGCTGGGGATCGAGCACTGCAACCCAGGTTCTGCATTGAGACCGGAATCAAGTACGAGCTTCCGGGTAGGCATGGGGTTGGTGTGCAGCGCGCTGTGCCTTGATATCGCATTTCGGAAGAGGCTCTCGTGCACGAAGCTGTCTAAGCAGAGCCGTCTAGACTGGGAACTCTAGATATATGAACTGCGGTGAACTGCTACCCCAGGACGCGTAAGTACAGCCCTGCACCTAGGCATCTATGCCACCGCACTGGCCCTGATGCTGCAAGAAGCCTAATGGTTGGCGTAGTTGATATGTACTTGGTAAGTGATGGCGTCCTGATCCTCACGGTCCCATCTCCCGATACTGGAGCATATTGATTATTTGCATTTGGCGTGTCTTTCCAACGGCATTCTGCGATACATATATGTGTGTGTGTGTGTGTGTTTGAAAGCCTTGAGCCTTCTTGAATGATGGGAGAAGCCAAGGTGCATTTTTCATCTAGCGTAAAACCGCATCCCAGCAACCGGGGACAAATAAGTGATAAAGTTGCTTAAACATGTACACTGCAATCTAAATGGTGGACTAACCAAGTACAAAACTCTAAGCCTGACCATGTAATCGAATAATTTGCGGATGCGCTACCAAGTCTCTTTGCATGCCGATATGGAGATGCAAAGGTATAGTAACAAACTCCTCGGGCAGATTTCTGCATCCCGTTAGTACGTGGGTCGCGTTGAGATGAAGTTTCGGTATGTATGCGAGACTTTTGGTTTCACATGTTTGCAGCCAATGCGCATTTGCATCTTCTCGAAGGGTATGCAAGAGGTTGCAGTACCAGATGTATGCACCTGCGGATCGAATACGCTACAACTGCATTGTGCATGTGAGTCTATCGTGCAAAACCGATGCAAGTTTTCATGCGAACCTCTTTCATCGGTTGTGGTGGGATCAATAGGATTTTGAAATTATTTTTATTTGATTTCCATTATGGATAAAACAATACAAGTGGTATACTCGACGATATAACACAAGATATTAGACAAAAGAAATTGGGCTTATATGCCCGCTTCCACCAACCAGCCCGCCCATTAATACTACTAGAACAAGAGATGCGATAGATCTCAGATCTATTCCTCCTCGTCTTCCTCGGCGGCCCTGGTGGCGAGCACATAGCGGTCCACACCGTGCTTGTCCTTGCCGTGCTCGAGGCACAACTTGCTGAGAGCAGCAATCATGTTCTCGATGGCAGGATCCTTCCTGCTGCGGTCCTTGCGACCAAGGTTGTTCAACCAAGTGATCTGCTCGAGGAGGTAGTACACGATGGCGATGACGATGATGACACCGAAGCTGTAACACCAAACAACGACGACGGTGACCACATCGACCCAGCCGTCGGCACGGAAGTTGTAGGTACCGTTGGGATCGGTCTCGTAAGGCTCGCCAGACAACCAACCGAAGATACAGAAAAGCGTAGCGACGACATCGACGACGAAGATGGCAGCAACGAGCTGGAAACTGGGGAGAGTTTTACCACCACGCGTGACGAAGATGAGCCAGTTCTCAGTGAGGGCGATTTCGAGGAACAGAATCTCTTGAACAGAGCCGAAGTTCTGGATGATACCACCGTTGGGGAGGAACAGAGTACCGCGGATGACCCAGGTGCCGAGAGCGAGGAGGATGCCGAGAATGACCGAGATGAACCAAATCTTGGGAAGTTGCCATTCCACGGGACGAGGCTCCGAGTAGGCATTATCATAAGCGACAGCGACGGTGGCAAGATCGGCGAACAGGGCGATGAAGACAATGAGATCAGCTCGGACAGTTTCGTTGATGATGATCATCTGACATTGTGTTAGTAATGATGGAAAGCATGGCACAGTGGATCAAATACATACCGAGCTGACGAGGTAGATCTCGAGATGCAGACAAAGCGCGATACGGTACTGGATATAGGCCTTCATACGCTGGAAAATTTGTCGGGCAGTCTTGATGGCCAAGACGATGGTGGAAAGACCAGGGGCAAGGAAAACAATGTCGGCGGCGGCTTGAGCAGCTTCGGTAGATCCCTCGACAGCGATACCACAATCGGATTTCTTCAGGGAAGGAGCATCGTTGACACCTAGTATGATTAGCGATCGATCAAGAAACTAGTTACTGGGCGTAACTTACCATCACCAGTCATGGCAGTGAGATGGCCACGCTGCTGCAACATTTCGACGACCTGGTACTTGTGCTCGGGGAAAACTTCAGCGAAACCGTCTGCGCGCTCAACCAAGTCGTGCTGGGTGGTACCAGAGAGACCGCCGTGAATCAATTTTGTAGAGTTGTAAACCTTGGTTCCGAGAGCAAGCATCTTACAGGTTTCCTTGGCAATAGCAATGGCATCACCAGTCAACATCTTGACGGCAACACCGAGCTGTTGGGCTTCGATGATGGTCTGGGCGGTGTCCTCACGAGGGGGATCGAACATGGACAAGAGACCGAGAAGGATCCAGGGGCCGTCGTTGACCTGGTACGCAACACCGAGAGAACGGAAACCGCGGCGGGCGAAATCGGCAGCCTTTTCACGGAACAAGCGAGCAGTCTCTTCGTCACAGTCGGAGAGGGTGAGGATGGCCTTGGGAGCACCTTTGGCGCAGACATACTTGTCACCGCCCATGTGGCAGACGGTAGTGATACGCTTGGAGACGGGGTCAAAGGGAGTGAACTTCTCGGTCCTCCAGCCCTGTGCGAGGATCTCGCGAGCCTTGGGGTAACGTCTGATGGTGAGGAGAGTGATCTTGTCAATGGGGTCGAGAGACTTGAGGTTGTGCGAAGAAGCGAGAGCGGCAACAGCCATCATCCAGTTCACATCTTGGCCTTCGGCGACGTAGGGCTCGCGAATACTCAACTGGTTGGCAGTCAAAGTTCCGGTCTTGTCGGAGCAGAGAATGTCCACACCAGCAAGCGATTCAATGGCGGTAAGCTTTTGCACGATAGCCTTCTGCTCAGCGAGGTAAGCAGCGCCGACGGCGAGAGTGGTGGTAGTGACGACGGGAAGACCGACGGGCACACCAATGATGAGGAGGATCAAAGCGTAGTGCAAAAGAGTGACGGAGTCGCCGGCGGGCTCACGAGCGATGGCGATAGGAATGTGACGGAAGAAACCACCAATCCAAGCGGCGAGGATGAAGAACATGACCAAGACAAGAAGCGCGGTACCGATGGAGTTCATGATGGCCTTGAAGTGACCTTGGTCCTGAGCACCAGCGACGAGAGAAGCAGTGCGACCGACGAAGGAGTGCTTAGCGGAGGTGAGGGCAATACCGTAGGCCTTGCCGCGCTTGCAACCGGTGGTGTAGTAAGCGACTTCGCCCATGTACTTGTCGACGGCGAGGGACTCTCCAGTGATGGCGGACTGATCGGTAGCGATGAGAGAGACACCCTCGTGGACGGGACCCTCGTGGTCTTCATCGCCCTCTTTCTCGTTGTCAGGGTCGTCGGATTCGTCAAACATGTCTTCCTCCTTGAGCTTCAAGTAGGTCTCGTAGTCCTCGGGGGTGTCAAAGTTGCAGATGAGACGGACGTCAGCCGGGACCGTGTTTCCTTCCTCGACGACAATCTAGATGGCTGTGAGCTGTGCGGTCAGGTGGAAGACGACCGGGAGATGACTTACGATATCACCAGGGACGATTTCGCGGGCAAGGATGGTGACTGGGCCACCATCACGGATCACAGTAGCTTTCATGGCGATGTCTCCCTTCAAACTGGCGACGACGTCGGCAGCCTGCTTTTCCTGGTACCAACCGACGACAGCGTTAAGCAAGAGAATACCACAGATGACACCGAAATCGATCCAATCGCCCAAACCAGCAGCAAGAAGAGCAGCAATTTCCATGACTGGAGAAACATTAGTTCTGGGAACAGAGACGGGCAATTGATGGGGTGAGGAACCGTACCGTAAAGAATGGGGCCCTGGAAGTAGCTGAGGAACTGCTTCAACCAATTGGTCTTCTCGGTGGTGATTTCGTTGAAGCCATAGATTTTGCGGCGACGGTCGACATCGGCAGATGTGAGACCAGCACGGAGATCAGTGTTCAATTGCTGCGGAAGAGAAAGAAAAAAGCACTGTCAGCACATGAAGAAGAATTGGTAGCAACAGGGAAAGGGAAAGCAGAAGAAGAGAAAAAAAGAGGAGAGAAAACAAAAAAAAAAACGTACATCGTCGGGAACAGCTCCAGCGTCTTGGACGGGAGCAGCGGCGGTAGCGCTACCGGACTTCCAGAACTGCCACCACTGCTTCTGCTTGGTCTCGCCACCGGCGGCGTGAGGGTTGACCTTGTTGTCGCGGTAGAAGAGAATGTACTTTTGCAGAGCAGTGTACTCGTCCATGCCGTCAAAACCGGACATGGAGACGATGGACTTTGAGCGGGTTGCCACGGAGGCATTGCGCTCAATGTCGTCGCTGGGGCCAGCCATGGCGGAGAGCGGGCGGCTGGCGGACGGGAGGGGGGTCTTTGTTGGTGTTGAGGGACGTCACTCAGCAGAAGAGGCAAGAGCTGTCGAGTCGAGTAGAGTCAAAGCAGAACCTTCCGAAAGCCACCACTGGGGGACAAAGAGGGAAACGGAGGGGATGGACAGACAAGACGGACAGACTACTTGCAGCAAGCAACCGAGTGGAAGGAAAAAAGAGAGAGAGGATGGGGGGGTCGCTAGGCTTTATCAACGAGTCGAGCTGCTCACTAACCAGAGGACCCTGACCTGACGTCGACGGCTCGTATTGTCTGTCTCGCTTGGCCGGGTGGAGTGGGAGGGAGGCAGGCCAGCAGCAGTAGGGATGCAGCAATTATAATCCCACCCACCCATGGGGCAGCCCATTAGGAGCGCATACATGGTAACTGAGTTACTACTTACATGCATCGCTACATCGACACATGCATGCATGGGGCGGCCAGGCGAACGGCCAGCGAATGGCAGGCGCCGGCAAAGCAAATCACCAGGCCTGCCGGCCGATCCGAGAGCGTGCGTGGAGAGTGAGCCGCGGGATTTTTCGACATTTTTTTCTTCTCCTTCGCGCCCTCTCTCACCCGCCCTCTCTCACTCACTCACTCTCTCTCTCTAATCGGCTGGCTCTCGCTATGGCGCGCTGGCTCGGTCGCTCGCCTCGTTGGCCTGGGAGAGAGGTGTTCAACGGGGGGGTCGTGGGGAGCTTCCAGGCCGCCACTAGCCCGTTACGGCATGCTTCCATCGGTGGGGAAACAAGAGGGGGCCCAAGCTCCTCCACCAGGAAGCAAGCAAGCAAGCAAGCAAGCATCCAAGCCGCGCCTGCCCCCCCCCCTCCCCTGCCCGTCGATGCTCTTGCCCTGCTCTGCTCCTTCCCCCCTCCTCTTGCGCAGGCTTAGGCAGGCTTAAGCAGGCTTGATCGCAATTGCTGTTTTGAACGCACGTTATTGTCATCATCGTCATCATCATCATCATCAGCATCGTCGGTCAGTCAGTCAGTCAATGGGTGAATGGATGATTGTTGTCGTGGCATGGTCAACACATTTGCATTCGTTTGCTGTTCCCTCGTGTGTGCGTGCTGCATCATCATGTCCGCTCAGCGCTCGGCATGTATGTAGGTAGCCATCATGTGTGTGTGTGTGTGTGTGTGTGTGCATGTCCGGCGTGCCCAATCGCTCAACAGGCGTTCGTTTGGTTTGCTAGAGCTATCCGTCGTTCAACTGCTTCTCCGAACCAATTTTTTTCTTCTTTTCTTTTCTTTTCTTCTCTTCTCGTTCCCGCGTTTTGTTGATTCTTCGCTTCTCTCGCCTCGTCAGCCCTCGATTTGTTTCGCTCTGCCTGCTTCTGCTTCTGCTTCTGCGCGCTCGCCGCCACCGCCAACCTCTCCGCGCCGTCGAGCCAAGGCCGGCTAACCTTTGGATCGCCACAAATTGAAACGGTTCGCGCTGCACCTACCCGCCTAGGACGTCTGTCGCACAGAGAGCAGAAAATTCAGAGTCGAGTCGGGCGGGCATTGGCCAATCAGGCGTCGGCGAGCAGAAATCGCGCACCGGGAGCATCCATGCAGCCATGGCGCCGTCACCTGGTAGGGATTGCGTCGGCCGGGCAGACATGACGTTGGTGGGCCCCGATGGATCAGCCATGACGGGGTGCATCGCTGTCCAGCCCGGCCCTCTTGCCTGCCTGCTGCTAGCCAACCCAGCCCAGCCCGCGCCTGCGAGCACCGCTAAGCTTCACAGCACGCCCGACAAGCTTTGCGTGCCCCCCGGGCAAATCTCTTTGCGACTTCATCGCCCGCCCATTACTCGCTGTGCCGCACGTCACCCAACACACGACATCAATTGAGACAGAGAGAGAGAGAGAGATGGAAAGAGTGCAGGCACCGGAGAGAGAGACAGCATGCCCTCACGTCCTTGGTCAGCCGCCATTACTCGCTCTGCGACATGCAAAACGATAATGGTAGGTAATCCCCTTGACCAACTCGGCCGATGTGTCTCCAGTCAGGTACCATCGTCGACCGGTGACCGCCCCCATCCTGGGGCTATCCACCTCGAGACCCGCCTCCATTTATTGCCAGCCAGCCAGCTAGCGAGGCAAGCTGCTTTTAATCCCGCGCGCTTTTTCGCTTGCGCACGCCTTGAGCAATTAAAAAAATTGTGCAGAGCGACGAGACGTGGACCTGAAAATTTCCTCGTCCCTCGTCGGCCGAAGAGATAACAGTCGCACTTTGTTTGCATCCAGTCGCTCAAACTTAGCATCATCTACTTACCCATCTGCTGCACACCGCCACACCGGCTGCCTGGCTAGCAATCGCGGCATCTGCACCGTTGCCCATGCAAGACATCCAAAACCTTCCATAAACGTCTCGCCTCCCCAACGGCGCATGCTGTCGTGCTTTCAACACCGTCCCCGCGCTTGTCGCTACCGCCACGAAGAACACCAGAAGAAGCTGAGAGAAGAAGAAAAAATGAAAAAGGCCGAATCGTGCAGTCGCGTGAAGCTCGGCCCCAGTGTATGCGTGCCTTGCTTGGATCCGGACATCCATCTCCTGGCTAACAACCTCACCAACCAATCTTGCTATTATTGCCGTCGAAATAACTTATGGGGAGCTCAGTAGCCTGTCTGCCTCTTCACGAAACTGGCACGCTATCAGGCCCCACTTTGAACAATCAAACATCGCAATCCAAATCTCCTGAACGCTCCACCCCCATGCATGCGGCCCCGTGTTTCCTCGATGTCTACCTAGGTATATCACCACATGTATAACAACACTCGCAGTCACTCAGGTACCACCATACCAAAACAACCCCTTTCGACCACGTTGATGCATGCATCCACCCGCTACAACCAGCGCATAGACGCCGTTGTTGTTTAGACTTGTGCGATACGGGGCTGTCTGGTCGATGCACTGTCAGATCCAACTGCCTCCTTGCAATCTCATGATTATGCCGATGCAACAAGCAATCCAGTCAGCCTCATACCTACCTCCTCCCCGGAAATAATCAGTCAGCATCCCACAAACAAACAAACAAACAGACAAACAAACAACATTGACCCTTGCATCCCGTCCCCCGTGCATCCATGCAATGAACCGTTTCTACCGTTGGGATCCATGTTTGTTTTGTTTGCTGTTGATGCTGTTGTTGTCGCTGTTGTTGAAAGCAGTCTGCTCGGGTCGGCCTTATTCGGCACGCGAGCATTCGAATCCATCCTTCATCGGGCGGGCTTCGACTCAATCCACGTTCCCAATTTGGAAACCCGGCCGCCGCCGCTGTCGCCGTCCTCCCTACAGATTGTGCAATCTCGCTCAGACCGGCAATCGATCGCATCGACCGCCTTTGATAGGAAAAGTACCTTGACTGTCCATGTGCATTGCGACCTGGTTAGGTGTCCGCGTCTGGTCGCTCAATCAATTGACCAACGTAGCAAAACAATCCCTCATCAGATCCCGTGGTGACGCGCGCTTGAGTGAGATTTGTATGAACCTTTCCAACGCGCGCCTTTTTTCCGCCCTTCGGCCTTGTTCCGCACCAAAGCGAGGCTCCATCCTCCGATACCGCTAGCCTTGTCCGCAAATCGGATCGCCTAGTCTCACGTGAGCAAGGAGTGCTGTTCAGATGCCCAACACTTCCACATGTATTTCGATGAGCGGATATGCTGGCCATCCTGTCGACAGAGAGGGGTTTTCAATGTTGCAGAAGGCAGAGTATGTGCGTGTATTGTTGTGAATTTTCACCAAGGCTGAGGAAAGCACGTTGGATACCAATTGGAATCGCGCCCGAAAAGAAGAGCCCTCATTTTCTCACCTCTTCTCCTCTCTTCCATGGCCCCAACTATATATATGCAGCAACTCCTTCTCAAGCCTCTTATCTAGATCTCGGTCGAAGTAGGCTCGGGCGGAGGTGTTCCTGTAAGTTGAAAACCGACGTTAGTGGATATCCTCCGTACAGCATCACACCATCAACCTACCAAGCCGAGTGGTGTAGCTCGTGAGCGTTGTACGGTACGTCAAAGTCGTAGGGATGGTCCTCTCCTGAGTCAACGTTGTTCGAGCCTGAGAAGAAGAAAAAGTCAGTCAAGAGATATCTCAGGGAACATGCCAATTCCTAATGTAGGGAAGATAGATACTGTCTTGTAGACATCTCGAGTGATGGAGATGGTCTCAGTTGTCCTTGCCGTCACGGGCACGGCCCTCGTCTGCAGGAAAGGAAAGGAGAAGTTAGTTGCTTCCAAGTAAACAACGCAGTGCATCACTTACAGCGAGGACCGTGCTGGTCACGCGTTGGGTATACGTAGTGCCTACTCGGGTTGTGTAGGACGTTGAAGTAGTTCGGAGGGTCGATGTACGGTAAAGAACGGATGTTACGGTAGCCCTTGTGTAAATCGTCGACGTCGTCTCGATTTCCCGGACAGATGCTGCATCAACATTAGCACGTGCGTTTCTCAGAGGGCTTCCCCAATCTGCAATCATTTACTTGAAGTGGTTCGAGCCGTCAGTGTCCGGGTAATTGATATGCTGCCCGTGATTGTCGATGTCTGAATGAGAGTCCTAGTAGGAGCAGTTCGCGTGATTTCCCGCGTCGTCGTCTCACGAGGGAGGGTGGTCGTCAGCGTAGACGCTATGACCCTAGTTGAAGTTGTGCGGATCTAAATGGATTAGTATCCGGATTGGACGCAACGTGGGAAGCAACCTATTGTTTGGGTGTTGGTGGTGGGTATGAACCTCGTTGACGTCTCTCGAACCTAAATATGGATTTGGGTCAGCGGGAACTTGCCAAAACAAAAAGCACGATAAAGGACCGTTGGAATACCGTCTGAGTCAATGTAGACAGAATATCACGAGTCGTCGTGAGACGGCCCACGGTGATAGTGCTCGTAGACAAGGCATTCTCCGCCGTGGATGTGACGGTAATGGAAGATGTTGCTGGGGTTCATTGTTAGCTTCTGTTCTGCTCTTGCGTCTCTTGGTCCGAGTCTATGCAGACACAAGGGCGCACATCAGCATCGACTTACTTGTAGTTGCAGATGTCGATATGCTTGTTGATATGCTGGTGGAAACCGACGTTGATGTTGATATGCTAGTTGACACCGATGTTGACACCGATACTTGGGTAATGGTGACTGCAGGCTGCGTCTCTACACTTATCGTTATCTGGGTGACTGTAACCGCCGATTGCGTCGATGTGACATATCTAGATTGCATGTTTAGCGTCTCTTTCGAGAATAGATGCAAAAGGTAGCTTACGTGGTGAACCCTGGCTGTGTGGCTACAGTAGTTGATATCTGGGTGATTGTGACTGCTGCCTGAGTTGCTGTGACATATCTGCATCATCCTGTAAGTAACATTTAACAATACATCGGGCCATTTGAATTATCTTACGCAGTAACGGCTGGCGGAGTTGAGACTGTCGTGGAAATGGTCGTTGACACGCTGGTAGACACTTCTGTCACTGTGGACCCTGGCTGGGTTGCCGTGACCACTCTATATAATCCTTAGAAACTCTCCAATAATGGAATGGACAGCGAGATAAACTTACGCGGTGACAGCTGGCTGGGTTGCTGTGATGGTTCTGTATCATCTGATGAGTAAAGACTTGATAGTAGGGTGGGAAGGGGGTCGGGAGAACGGCTTACGCAGTAGAAGTGACGGCAGGTTCGGTTGCTGTGATGGTTCTACATCTTCCCGTGAGTGATTTTTCTATAAGAACCAGAGACTCTATGGATAGCTTACGCAGTGGAAGTAATGGCTGGCTGTGTCGCTGTAATGGTTCTGTATTCATGTTAACCGGTATGTCGAGGTGGGGAAGAAAATAATCCGGAAAGCTTACGCCGTGACAGCTGATTCGGTGGCCGTGATTGTTCTTTTCATTCTTTCAGCGACTATTTTGAGGGAAGGGTGCATCGAGATAGCTTACGCAGTCACAAGAGGTGCCGTTGCAGTTGCGGTGATAGTTCTGTATAATTTATTCAGTCAAATCTCCCCAAATGAACAGCGATCCGGGTAGCTTACGCAGTAACTGCGGGCTGGGTTGCCGTGATGGTTCTGGATGGATCGTTCAGCAATCTCGTGAAAATAGTTGAGGGAGTTTACAAAAGCTTACGCAGTGATTGTGACACTTGATGTAGATGTAGAGCAGACCTGTTTGGTATGAGCATGAAGTCAACCGTCGTAGGAGAGCACTCTTGAAGTCTTTCCTCGATAACAGCACGCGCGAAGAGCATATGTTCGACGGCATTAGGAGAGCTTACCCTCGTTATAGTGGAGGTGCTCTCTGGAGGGGTTGAGCTACTCTCGGGGGCAGAGGAACTGCTTTCTGCACTGGAGCTTGATAGAGTTGAAGAAGAGGCGCTGGTAACTGATGACGAAGGATTGGCAGAGGAACTGCTGTCTATGCTGGAGCTTAAAACAGTTGAAGAAGAGGTGCTGGCAGCTGATGACAAAGGACTGGCAGAGGAACTGCTCTCTATGCTGGACCTTAATACAGTTGAAGAAAAGGGGCTGGCAGCTGATGACGAAGGACTGGCAGAGGACGACGATGAGCCGGCAATTGATGACAAGGAGCTTGAAGTATCAGGTATCTATAACAATTAGCTTGACAGAGACAATGGACCGCCTGTGTGCTGTGCTATGCTTAACGTGCAAGGAAAAACTGAAGGAAATCATTGGAGGTTGTCACGATCAGCATGGACATCGGAGGAATTGAGTACATGCTAGCCATGGGATTTGAAACGCCGAAGCGCAAGTATCATCGGATTTATTGCTACTGTATTGTTGTCCGATGAAGATGGAATGTCTGCCCATGCTCCAGTTCATCGCATTCTTCTTTCATCCCTTGACCCCAGAGGGACGTGCAGACAGAGCCATGCCATGTATCACTGGGATATACATGAATATATACCAGGAATGCGTTGGTGAAATGATAAAGCAAGCAGCGTCATTGCCACTGGTAGGATGGGACAACCGCTGGCTAGTCTGCGCTAAAATGATCAAATCAGCCATGCGACCTTTGCAGTAGAAGTACACACATGTGCATAGGTATGTACATAAGTATGTAGAGCCTATCGGGAATAACTAATCGCCACCCGTCATGGTACAGCGCGTCTACCTCGGAATACCTCGAGCCTCTACGCGCCCGCTCCGGATGTAAATGAATCACTGCAGGACCCTCGCCTACGCTCCCTTTCAATACCTCCATAGCCTTGCCCATGATCTTCTTGGTTTTCGCCGCCGCAGCACGTGCTGTCTTCGTGATAGTGGGTGCAACAGCGGTACGCAAATATTCTAGCGACCCGCGGCGCTGAGTTGTTCGCTTCTTGCTCGTCCTCTTTGGTCGGCCCATCGTCATCAGTTGGTTGGTCGGTATCTGTATAGGCGGAGTAATACTTATGTGTACCAGGCTCTGACGCTTTTAAGTATACCATCGCCGATTATATACTTTCGCTGTTTGCGGCCACAGATCAGTACCCGTGGTCGTGTGCAGTGTGAGATGAGGCACAAAGCAAATGTTGGGAACTGAAAGACGGCCAGATATCTGGGTTCTCGCATCGGGCGTAGTGAAAGACTCCTGCAAACAGGTGCTCCTTTTCCTCCTTTTCTTTTTTTTTCTCGCGCAAAATAAATTGCAAAAGTAACATAGCGAGCCGGTCCGAAGCTCAACGGGTCGTAGATGCCATCTTCATCATGTTCACAGCATTGTATACAGCGACGACTCTTTTTTCCTGTCTTGCTGGTCACACGTGGGCCGAGTTTACCGCGAATGATCAGAACTTATTTGTCTATTTCTCACAATCCTCTGGTCGTAACTCGAGCCTCGACAATCTGTGCAACAGTGCGGCGATCGACGTGGTCATCTTAGGCTTCGTGCGTAGTTGTACGTATATGCCCAAATCCGAGTGCAGTGCGTCGTCCGGAGCTGTGAACAGCCATCTGAGATATAGTTCAATTTGACTAACTCTATATCTATGCAATCTAGTTACTGGAACTGCAGGATACCGTGAGTGTACCTCTCATAAATCATTTGTTTTATGTATCCAACGTTGCGATATTCCCGTGTCACACTGGCTGGCCTTCTCCACATCTTTTCCATTGACTGACTCTGTATTGACTCCCGTAGCTACTATCGACTTTGGCTCATCAAATTGCAACGAGACCAGACGTCAAGACGAAGCAGTAGCACCAGGACTAGCTGTGTGTACGAAGCTAGGGCAGCAGGTGAAGCGGTGTCAGAAGATGGGTAAAAGGGTTTTCTTGAGCATTGGTGGCTCGTCTTCTAACACATCATTCAATGGAGGAAACGCCGGACGCAATGAAGCCAAAGAAGCCGCGAAATCAATGTGGAATTTGTTTGGTGGGGGAACTGATTCGCCACTGCTCCGACCGTTCGGTCAAGACGTTGTTATCGATGGCTATGACATTGGTAATGCTTCTCCCATTCCTTTCTCGGTCGACAGCTAATCAATAACGGTAGATCACGAACAAGGTTCATCAGAAAATTACGATGTCTTTATATCGAGGCTTAGATCACTAGCCAACACGGGCGCTAAACCCACCTACATCTCAACTGCACCGCTCTGCAAATTGGCGGGCCCAGACAGCACCAGAGCTACGTTGGCTCTTGTAGATTTTGTCTTTATTCGCTTTTATAATTCTGCATCGTGTGCTATGGGAACGCCAGGATTTTGCTCATCACTACAGCAGTGGTATCGGGATATCATACCTTCACCGCATCTGGCATTCCCGAAAGTTCTCCTCGGAGGCTTGAGCTTTGACAATGGCAACTCGGGCTACGTTCCCGCGGAACGCTTTCGCGATGCTATTTGTGTAGCGAAGAAGCCAGGTTTCATGTGTTTCTGGAATGCAGATAAATTTGGGGGCGTAATGCTTTGGGATGGTACCAGGGGAGTGGCAAACATGGTGAATGAAGCGGGTCATGGAATAGACTATTTGACATATGTTAAAAATGTATTAGTGGAGACATGATTCTTCCATCATGTTACTTCGCTGCTTTCGTATGCCAAACCATATTCAACATTCTTTATTCAATGCCGAGACTTGGCTGGATGAAGTATGCGTCATGGACATCCCTCCCTTGTGCCGCGGAATACCAGCGCGGTCCACTCCATCCGTTTTAGGCATGACGACGTGCTACTGCAGGATCAAAACGAACTATACGGGAATGGAACTAAAATTCATATCGAGTGTTTTGGTATTTCTCAGCCTTTCCAGAAAAGGACATGAACTGTCACTGCCTTCTGCTACCCTTGGCCCTTGGGGCGCTATGCATGTCTTGAAAGATGGTAAAAAAGAGAATGGGAAGCGAAAAAATCGAGCAATTTGGACGTGAGGTAAGGAATCACAGAATTACTAGAGACCAGGATGAACTACCAGTTAATGACAGCTCTACCAAGGAATCTCCGGGTAATGAAAATGACCGTACGGAGAAGCAGGATCTATCTGGCAATACTATGAACGAGAAAACATCGACAGAACAGGCGAGGACAACCCAAAATATAGAAGATGACGAAAATGAATCGTTCGAACAAGTACAAGTCGAAAAAAAGGGCACACATAATAATCCTCAAGTGGAATCGAATGACATCGTTCCAGGATGTGTATATCCTGAAGTACCCGATCCTTGCGACCCAGCTCGCATTTTAACATCCAAGGACCTCCGCAACCAACGTCTGATATTCTGGGTGTTTATTGCCAGCCTTAATATTGGTATGGCCATGATCGCTCTGTTCTCGAAGCAGGGTATTGTGGTTTTCGTCTTCATTCTCTTCATAAAGAGTAAAGACTTCATCTCTTGTATCATCTCAGGCCTGGGACGGTTGACCGAATCTATCTATTGTATATTCAAACCGTTAACTGTAGGTATATCCTATCCATGAATATACACGGAGATCGCGGTAGCTACAGATAGCAATGTACTGACTCCTCTCACGCGACCTTAGCCAACCCCTCGACAATGGATTTTGACGCTAATACCCGCATATTCGGAAAGCGAAGAGCAAATTGTGAAGACCATATATTCTCTCCGCGACAACGAAGTTGGACAGCACCGTCAGGTGATGGTGGTTCTGCTGGATGGAAAGCCTCGCGACGTACGCCGCCACATGACGAGGATTATTCGTGATTTTGAACGGCCTTACATAACACTCAAGTTCAAGCGGGGCTCACTGAAGATAACAGCGGGTTTTGCTCAAGATGTGCCTGTTATAGTCATTGAAAAGGTTAAGAACAGTGGTAAGTATATGTGAAGGCTAAGAGTGATATCTGTGTTCAAAGTTAACGGGAGAAAACAGGCAAAAAAGACTCACTTGTATTGTGTCACGACTTATTCAACGTCCCCAGGGAAAATGTGCCGCTCTATACCAAGCTCTTGAGAGAAGAGATTTGGAATGATATCCTACCGGTATTGACGGAAGGTGAAAACTTCGAAAAATTCGACATGGTATTTTGTACAGACGCAGACTCGACCATATACAAAGGTGCCGTTGCCAATCTAGCTGATGCACTGGTGCGAGATAAGAACGCCATCGCTGCTTGTGGCCTGGTGTTGGTGGAATTGGAACCAGGTTTCGAGTGGTCTTTTTGGAATTTATACCAGCAGTTTCAATACAGTTATGGAAAATATGGTGAGTGGCAGTCCCAAGATGGATGGATACCAGCCATTGCAACTTCTTGAGCTGGCTCTTGCCTCATAGATTGAGGCAAGGACAGACTCCCATCTACTACCCATGCTATTGGAGTTTTACACCCATGGCTATTTCAACTTCTGAACTGACCTCATCTCAGTGCGCCGACAAGCTGAGAGTTACATTGGTAAAGTCACATGTCTACCCGGATGCATTACTATGATAGCAGTAAGGGACGAGATGGCGGGGGCGATCCGCAAGTACGCGGAGCCTATCACCAAATACCCGGTGGTTTTTCATCAGGTCCAGTATCTCGTGAGTCGTCTCGCCATTCATCATGGGTTCTCAAAGATTCTCACGCGACTTTGTAGGGTACAGATAGGCGACTTACCTACTCCATGCTTTCTCAAAACTCAAAACTACATACACTGTTTGTCTCTAACGCGATCAGCGAGACCATCGCACCCCAATCTTTACAGCATTATCTATCCCAAAGACGCCGCTGGGGATCTAATGCATATTTTAATAACTATTTCTACTTCATGGGCGAGAAGGTGATCGACAAATCGAACTGCCTGTGTGACTGGATCTGCTGACATGACGATACTTAGATGATCTTGATCTCCCGCATTTCAGCCTTGATAGACATAGCCAGACTCTCTATGGTGTACTATCGAGTTCTAAACACCGCCTTATTTCTCAAGGGACTGACTGAAAACGTTTCCATCCTGTCACTTATGCCGTTAATGATCGTCGCATATTTGCCTACCGTTTGGTACTTGATGACCATTTTCACTTTGGAGAAAGAGTTGCAAAAGAGAGCACACAAACTCATGATCGGCCTCTGTATCAATAAAATCATCAGCTATTTCATCACAGTCATGATTTTCACGAAAGTGGCCAAAAACCTGGGCAGTCAAGGTATGCTTATTTCCCGTTGTCCCCGGGCAACAAAGGGAGAAGGGCCCACTCCCCCCACTCCCCACTCCCCCCACTCCTCCCCTAACAGTCTGAGCTCGAACAATAGCACTAAGTCACATTCCACAGTTTGGGGTATGTCGGGTGTCACGGCAACATCGGCTACAGCGCCTGTAGCGGCTACATCGGAGGTGAGATCGGATGTAACATCGGGTGTAACGGCCCAGACGACAGCAACTCTGAATCAGCCGCACGGGGCGGAGGAAGGCCGGGAAGTGCCCTGGTCAAGCGATCGTGATGATCCGAATCACGAGTTCAGTGTGTTCTAGATTGAGCTAGTTGGCATTTACCTAATGTTACAGAGAATTCGTACTCTTATCGGAATGCTTTATGTAGCGTTCGAGCTTATGACACGGAAAAACGAGATGCATTGCATTTCTGAGAGGAATATGGAAGTATATTGTTACCTAAACTCCTGAACCAAAACTGTGTTGTTTGACAACTTCAAGTCCTCAATGATTCTAAAATCGATACCAATCTGCCTCATGCAAATGGCGACAGCGTCGAACTCAGCCTCGATTTATGATCGACACCACCCATCATGAGGAAGCTTTTCCATCCAACCCATTACCTCTTGCACGAGTGGGTCGTAGAACACTAATCGGCCACATCCCATTTTCTTGAGTCTCTTAGCAAAAACAAGTCCGGGAGAACATGAGAGCAAGGACTGTCCAGGTTTGTACGCAATGCCGACGACGAGAATACGAGCATGACGATTCTCTAGTATCGAGCTAACCCGGTTGTGAAATATGCGAGCCTTCGTGCCTGGGCGTCTCCTCATCTGAGCCGTAGCTTTCTCTAGTACTGGCAGATTCTTATTGTTTGCGAACAGGTAAAGTGGATTGATGGGGATACAGGTACCACCCACCCCAAGCCCGGGGGTATATGGCATGTATCCATACGGCTTTGAGCTCGCAGCTCGCATCATTTCGTCGGGATCAATACTATGGTTCCTTGCTGCATCTGCAACCTCATTCGCATACGCTATGTTGACCATGCGCTGGCAGTTCTCAAACAGCTTCGTCATCTCTGCTGTTTCGGGGGACGAAACAGGCAGAGTGTGATCGAATACTTGAGAGTAGAGACTTTGAATAACCCTCAACGATTTTGGGGTAAGTCCTGAAACAATCTTTGGTATTTCCTTGACAATGGGTTCCTGTCGACCGGGATCGACTCGTTCTGGTGACATGCCACAATGATACAAGTCTTTGTAAGCATTGAAAACTTGGCGTGTAGTGCCTACACAGACAGAAGACTCGAGAATAATCGCTGATCCGGGACGGGCAATATTCAGGGCAGTCCTAATCGCCGACAGAAGATGAGTTAAGTTGATCGAGCGGTCACTCCTCAGAGGGGTGGGAACAGAGATGAGAAAATGCGTTGCTTGGTTCAACTTTTCCTTTTGCGTAGAGAGGGTGACATTGGGCAAGTGCTGGAAAGACTTCTCTAACTCTGTAATGCGTTTCTGGGAAATGTCGTAACCGATCGAAGGAAACACCCGACCGAATTCTCGTAGTAGAGTTTCGCCCACAAAGCCCACACCAATAATGCAGACGCAAGGCTTGATGCTTTCGATGTCGATTGCGTGCTCTAAATAAGTAATCCCATGTAGTTTCGGAATATGTGTGTTGTCCTTGGAACAGAGAGTGGAATTCATAGTTGTTCCTTGCGATGTTTGCTAAGTAAAGGATTTCTTTTTCTGGTACAATAGTGAGAGATTGGCGAGGGGAGAATCATCGGGAGCAGAACAGGTGGATATATATTGTGTTGCAAAATTGTGGATTATACAAAGCAATTTGCAATAGGATAAGTCTACAATTTTTTTCGGTTATTGGAAATTCGCACTGTCCTTTGAAACCATACGGTGGGGACTATATCAGTTAACGAACATGAACAAAAGATGAACAACCAATTGCGGTCATAACAGACATGTGAACGATTGCTATGTCAATCGTCGGATTCTAATGGATCCACACAAAGCGATTCCATTGTATTCTCGGATGAGCTTGTGACCGATCTCTTGGGGCTTGCAAGCGGACATGCGTTCCTAGAAGTATCGTAATTTTATGACGCTACGATAACGTAAGAACGTTCACGGGCTCGAGAGGTGATCAAGACTAGACTCTTGCGCTTTGCAAATACTTGAAATTGATGATACTATACGGTTTTCTCACGCACTAAAGAAAGTTGTGTTTGTCTATTATTGAGATACAATGCCATTAACGGATGACATAAAAGTGAACAGTTGGCCTGTCCAATATATAATACACTGCTACATATCAAAGCAATCCTTTCGATTATCTACAGTGAATGTTGAGAGATTTTCACCTGTCTTCAACACACATTGTCACTTACTATGATTCTACAATAAGCATACAGTGCAGTGATTGAAATACTGTGCCCTGTGACTCGCGACGATGGTGGCGAAGACAGTACATAAAGCATACAATGAACGCATCTAATTTCTCTGGGTCAAGACATCTCTGCCACTTTTCTCTTTCGGTTTCGCGCGCCGGAGCGTTTAAGATGAGGTGGGAAGTCTTTTGTGCTGTAATCGCAATCCCTAGTTTCGCTCTCTTCTATTTGTCTATTGTCGCTATTCCTCTCCTTTGTTCGATATTTTTCATGGCTGTGACAGTAAACCGAATGCTTTGAGTGTATCCGTGGTCGCTCTCTATAAGACGCGTTATCGATACCATGGGTTTCGGCCTCGGAGGCATCTTCAGAGTCGGACACGGGGATCGGAAGACGCAGGGAGGACGGCCCTTCTACTACCATGTCTTCTCTCAATCTAACAGGAAGTGCTGCATTCTCTGCTTCGTCGTTGTCTTGCTGCGCAGGTCTTGATTGTTCATCCGCCGATATGTGTTTCACAAACCCCAGAAAAGGCTGTATTGCTGTCTCTAGTCGCTTTAGATACTGCTTCGCCGTTTTCATAGCCCATACAATCCCTTTTTTCTCGACTTGAAGTTCCTTCACTTTCGCATTCGCACTTTCGATAGCTTCTGTGTGGTCTTCTTCCTCGCTGTCAGATGCGGAAAACTCATCGGGCGAGGGTTTGGCGATTGGGTTTTCAGCATGAGCAACAGATAGTGAGGGGTCTAGTAATTGTCGAGCATGATCTTGTATTGTGCGCTGGGCAGTCGCAATCTGCATGTTGACTTGATGAAGGTCCGCGCCTAGCCTGGTGACGTTTTGGCGGGCTGCATTTACATCTCGCAGGTACGTGCTGAGAGCATTCGTCATCATCTCAACACGATTTTGAGGCTGATCCAGAGAGTCTGCCAACTCGATTGTTTCTTCAGAGCAATCTTGCGCAGAGATTTCATCCTCCAAAATTGAATCTATGTGAGCGATTGGTTCAGGATCGTTCCCTTGATCAATATAGCGGCGGTCAATCCGGGAATCAGCCAGTCGCATGCTTGCCCAACGGATTAAGTTGGCCTGAAAGAATATCAACACCAGTTCATTGTTTCAAATCATTTAAATCGACGTACCATTATAGTGTCGATTTCAATTGACGTCTTTGCAATAGAATCTAGATGAAGATACCCTTCGGTACTTCTTGTCCACGAAGGCAGCTTTCCTGGCTAAGTGCGAGATTATCGACCTGGATATGTGGTTATAGGTAACAGTAGATGTAAGTGAAAGATGATGGTGGTTGTTCGGTCAAAGGAACCAATGACTGTCGGACGGAGGCCGTTAAAGAAAGAGACGCGTTAGAGTGGCTAGCACGTCATCTTTGTGAAGGTGACTGTTGCGACTGAACGGGGGAATGCTTAACAACTACGCGAATGACGAATGCAGCGAATAGGTTGGGTGTGTGTGTGTGTTCCTGGCGGGATGTGTGTTTATAGCTCGAGCTGTTGCTTGAGTGATTGCTTCTTGCTAGTCGTTTTTTCAAGTTAGACTGCCAAGCCAAATCTGAACAAAACAATGCTTAGCGTCAGGAAACGGTCACAGTTGATTAGACGGAGATCTTAGTTTGTTTTGATTTCTGCAAATGAATGCAATTGCTTCAATATGATACATCTTGGAATACTGCAAAGGTCATCAGGTAGCCTGCGGATTCGCAAAAGAGTGGGCTGAGACGGAGCTATTATCATCTCCTAGTGACCTCATAATCAACATGAATCATCTCTGTGATTGCAATAATCCATCGATCTTTCTTTGACCGATATCTCATCTATTGCGTATCACCTTTCAATACTCTGCTAACTGCAGTCTCCTTCCGATGTTCCTGCGAATGACATCTCTCTGATCTTCGTTTGGGTCTTCAGTCTCCTTCTGCTTGAGAGCTGAGAGCAGCATTCCTGCATCGAAAAAGCCATCTAAGGAAGTTCAAAATCAGCCAATGAAACAATGTAAGAGCTCTACTAGTTCGAGAGAAATAGGGAATTGAAGGAAATGTGTATAGCAAGGAAAACGATTATAGGTGGTTGAAGGGGGCATGTGTAATAGTAATCTGTAGTGAACATCCCCCCCAAAAAAGGTAAGGTGGTAATGAAACAAGATGGGGGGCAGGTGGAGCTTAGGAAGATGAGAAGGTATTGGGATAGAGCTTGTTTGCCACTGCCCGTGTGCACTTCTTCGTCTTGAGCGTCTTGATAGACGCGAGACGTGGCGAGCTCACATGGACAGTGGTGAGCGGCTTGAATGGGGGTGAATGAGGTGGAGTGGGAGGGACGGTTGACCTGAGCGTGATTTTCGCAGCAGAGTTGTAAGGCAAAGGAGAAGGGGTCGTCCTACATCCACCGAGGCCGTCGTCGTCCTCGTCTACGATATCCTCCTGTTGAGGAGCAACGGGCTTTCCATCATTAACTATAATTCGCCCTCGGGATTTCAAGCGATGCTGTTGGGGTCGATGTTCGGCTTCGCGAGCCCGGGAGGCAGTCTTGTCAGCCGATGTGCCACGACGCCGTAGTTGGCGAAGTAGTTTACGAATCTCCAGGAAATAAGATTCCAAGGCATCTATGAAACGTGATGTTTGGCGATGCTTGGAAGACGCGCAAATCGATATGCTACCATCTTTGATTATGTAGCCAATACCAAACCCATCGCCAGATGTTGGACCGAAACCGAATTGGCGGAGGGAAGGATTGCCACAGTTTGATGTCGAAAGCACTGTACTATTGATTTTGTCCCATCCACCATCGGCAAAGAGAGCAGGCAGCGTATGTTGCGTTGGTACTGGTGGCGAACTACTGATCGAGTCATTCTCAGAGAGTACTGAATTCCTCTTGGGGGATCCGACAGTTGAACTGATTGCTTCTGGACTTGAACCACGAGTAGAGTCCCATCCATCGCTACTGGCCATCTCGGCACCGTCTTCGTCAATCGCTCGTTGCCAAATACAATACAAAGCATACATGTGGCGGTCGGGTCCCTGTGCCTTTCCACAATCTTTGGACGTCATGCTATGCTTCTGACACGCTTTCCGGAGGGCATCAATTTTTGCCGCGGCTGGATTGCCTCCCCAGAATGTTTTGACAAAGTCCACTGACTCTTCCGACACAGATCGAATAGCTTCCGTTCTCCCGTGATAATATAGTTTGGTCATGGCTGGTTCATAGACGCACTCCATCCGGCCGTAGAGGCCATAGTAAGCGGCCTGGAATGCCATTTGTACAAATGCGTCCGGCGAAAACCCCATTGATGTCATGAAATTCTTACCGTAAGTAGGGAATTCTAGTGTCGCAAATTCGTTTTGTTGGATCAAGTCGGCTAATCGCGTCTCTGCAAATCTCAAGGCGGTACTGAGTTCCGGTATCATGTCCCATTCCAGTTTGTGCGGAGTTGTCTGAACATCCCCAAAACTTTCTGGGTCCCTCTTCGCCGGATCCGGGCTAGATGATGCCCAAAGGCTAGGAGCATTACCATTGATTGTCCGCGCGAATCGAAGAATAGTGTCGGTGTACACATCGGAAGCGAAGCGTAGGACAGTATGTCCATCGACACCAGTGTGTTCAAAATTGATTCCCGCGCTCCCATTCTTGCACACAATGATTTGAAGCTTATCGTACCAGCGATTGGTGCAAGTACCGACTTGGACTCCTTGCTCAACTTTACTAGAGCCACAGAGCATGTTCATACAGAGGTCGGCACCAGTCTGTGGTTCAGTATAATCCAGACAAAGGATGAATAATGCGGAATCGACAATGTTCAAACAATCTGAGTTATTGGAGCCCTCCTCTCGATGTAGAACATCTCTTAGACCGGACCAGACCTTGCGGTTCTCCGTACTCAAGACTCCCAGGGCTCCTTTTGCAGCTTCCCGGATAGGGAGTTTTGCAGCATCTTCAACGATGACCGATAGGTTCAGGGATATGTCTTTCTCAGACATTATTAAATCGGAATTGTCATCAAGGACGTCGAACCAATAGAACTGGCCGTGACAAAGCACAACGATGTGCTTCGCAGTTGGATCTTGTCCAATCTGGCAGCCATTCTCCGTCGGGATTCGCGCGGTACCGAATAGCCGAGAGTACTGATACATGCAAAGGGGCTGCCCTCGAACAGTGTCAGGCGGGAGCTCCTCGCGTCGGACAGCTCGGACAAAAGACAGTGCTGAAACCACCAAGGAGGCCGCACGAGTGACTTGGTTGTTGCGTGCTGGAGTGGGATCATCTTCCAGAAGGAAAAAGGGATTTAGGTTGAGTACTACAGGATTCTCGAAGTTTAAATACGAGTCATACCCTAACAGGAAAAAGTCAGTACGTTTAAAGCACTGCAAATGCTGGTCGAAAGCGAGACGAATGTAGGAAGCAGCTGAGATGGGGGGAGGCGCCAAGATGATGGACACGCCTCTGCGACGATGGGCAGGAACTCACAGAATTGTTCGATATAGTTCGCTTTTCCACTGGCATACTTTTTGAGTTTCTCGTGCAACACTGGGCCATCCGCCTTAAGGAAGTCCTGAACGGCAATCGTAGTGTCGTTGTGCTCTTTTGGGGACTGCAAGGGCTTTAGAGCAGCTAGATACTTCTTACAAGAACTCTCGAGCTCTGGTATGGGTAGTTTTGGAAGCTTGTCCTGATGTGCAAAGGTAATGCCAGGTCTTGAGTTTGGGTTGGTGTGGTGGCCGAGAGGATCTTTGGCTTCTGACGGAAACGATGCAGTGCTGTCCCTTGCAGATGCCTCGGACCGTATGGAGCCGTTGACTTCTGAGCTCGACATGGTGACTGACGTAGATACCAGAGTGCCGTCAAGCGACGATGGTTGGGTAAAGGTGCGGACTGCCATGATATAGGTGTCGATTAGCTAAGCGTAGAGAGGCGAGATGGATGTGCTGATGGAGAGTAGCCGCAAGGCGGTGCGGTAGAAATAATGGCAGTCTTGAAGACAGTAGAGCGGCATTGATGTTGGGGGTAGGTACATCAGGCGGGGGTCTAGGAGCGTGGGTGCGGTTCTTATACTATACTGCACAGGGAAGAGGAAAGTCTTGGGGTGGGGAAAAGGCAGACAGCGACCGACGACATATGTATACACAAGTGAAAAGGTAAAAGGTCGATGGCATAGTAGGCTAGATAAGGCGACGCGGAGAGAGGTGACGAAACAGAAGTGGATCCTTACCGTGTCCCTAGCAGTTGATGACCGGGCGGACTACAGGAGGCCTGTTTGGCATGCACGGAAGGTATGTACCTAAGACTGTCAGAAGCATGCAACAGCTCACCTATGGCAGCAGCTAACGTATGGCCAGGAGGGTCCAAGGCTGGATAAAGAACCGGAAAAGGACTGCCGCCGCGTGGATGGTGTGCAGGTGATGAACTATCTCGGACAGGAGGATACGATTTGGGAAGACGTGATGGTCCGAGGCAGCATCAGTTGCTACGGACAGATGGAAGTCGAAGTCAGCAGCAGCAGCAGCAGCGAAGCGACGAGGTGTGAGTAGTTGGACTAGTCGAGGCAATTTAATCAAGAGAAGGTCGAGAACCAAATCATGACCGGACGGTCATCTGGTTGGTCGCTTGATTTGTTGGCCTGATTGACTGATTGATTGACTGATTGTGCGAGTGCGTGAAGGCGCGAGCGACTATGTATGCAAGTGTAAATTCCGGATCGCTAGGTATAGCTATGTCTTTGAGTGTTTCAAATGACGGTCGTCGATGACGGCTCGTGGCCGGCACGCGAGCCTTCAAATCGATGGCACTCCACACTCACTCGTGCCATACGTAAGTAAGCACGTATGTAGTAGGTATGTACCTAGGTAGGTACATTGGCATACCGCAAATGTTTGGAACATGCGGGGAAGTGAAAGCACCTGACGTCACACGTGCGCCGGCGGAAGGGAACACGTCTGGGCAGTGCAATAATCTCATCCCGCGTGCATATGGAAAAAAGATTGTCCGAGCTTATGTGATCCTTGATTATGTAAGCTTAGTTGGTCACATGCCTGGACTGGAGGTTAATTCATGTCCACAACAGACAAGCAAAACACCTCGCGCAGGCAGGGCGACAAGCAGACATCAGTGTCATGACGGACCTGCTGCAAGTGTTGCCCGACTTTGACACGCGCCCATACACCCATCTGCTGCCGTCGCTTGACAAGGCTCTCATCGCTACCAACGACCTGGTCACTCTCGAGCCGCATCATGTAGCGAAGCGTGCTCACTTGCCCAGTGCCGACGTGCGCAAGCTGGCCGAAGCCGTTGTGCGTGCCCTTCATATTCACCTTGGCCTTCCCGTGCAGGAGCCCGGGCATGCCGCCGCCGCCGCCGCCGCTGCTACTACCACTACTACTGATGGCGGTGGTCTGAAAGACGATGATGACTGCTGCTGCATCAGCACCCTGGATGAGAAACTTGACGCTGCTCTTCTGGGTGGCATTCGGCCTGGCTATTTGGTTGAAGTGACCGGCGAGAGGTTCACCTTCCCCCCTCCCCAAACATACTACCCACGTACCCACCTATCAACCTGTGCAAACTCCCCAATACTGACCCCTCTGACATGATGAACTCAGCGGCGCCGGAAAAACCCAGCTCCTTCTCACCCTCTTGCTTGCCTCGCAGTTGCCTCCCCCACACGGTCTTGCCAGATCTGCCGTCTACATTTCCACCGAAGCACCCCTCGCCACAACTCGTCTCACCCAGCTACTGTCCAGTCACCCGTCCCTTGTCGCCCTACCGCAAACAAAAAAACCCTCGCTGTCGCGGATCCTGAGTATCCAGACACCCGACCTTGAGTCGCAAGAACACATCTTGCGCTATCAACTGCCGGTAGCCATCAAGAAACACAATGTGGGCCTCGTGGTTCTGGACTCTGTCGCTGCAAACTTCCGCGCTGAGTTCGACAAGGACTCTTCACGCAATGGCCCCGCATCAATGGCGAAGCGGAGTGCTCAGTTGGTGCATCTAGGAGCTTTGCTACGTGACCTTGCGCGCACCGAGAACATTTCCATTGTCGTAGCGAATCAGGTCGCCGACCGTTTCACAGCCGCCCCAGCCCCTTCGCCCAATCCTGTCTCCAGAACCACATCTACCAACAGCCAGTCCAATACTACCATCCATAATTCAAGTCTCGCCCCGCAACTACCTGTCAACGGCCCATCCACCCAATCCGAAGGAGGCTTCATGTTGTCGCCGAATCCATTGGCCTTGGATCATCAACAATGCTGGTTCACGGGATGGGGTGACATTCGGTCGGATTCATTGGACGCCCTGAAAACGCCATCGCTTGGGCTTGTTTGGACAAATCAGATTGCATGCCGGATTGCTCTGGTCAAGAAACCTGTGCTGGCAAGTCGGTCGTCAGTCATCAATGGGAAAGATGAACGCAATGAAGATCAAAGTCACATCTCCAAATGGCAACGCTGGTTCAAGGTCGTTTTTGCGTCTTGGGCACCACCATCAGAAGATCGAGGGGTGGAGTACGAGATACTCCGGAGTGGCTTACGCCATACAGACTCTAAAACCGGAAATCTAGCTGCTGTAGAGTAGTGTCAACGCCTTCATATGATGATACTTGCATTCTTTCGTGCCTCATCTGATACAATGTTAGTGGTCGATTTCTGTCTTATCTTGTACTACGATATCATAGTTGCTGCAGCACAGATTCAAGGTAGGTTTATTCGCAAAGTAACACCAAAGCTAAGATGGTCTCCCCTAACGAATACGTCACTCGTCCCTGAAAACCCATTTCCCACCTTTTCTCTGAGCCTCCAGCCATCTTTCTTTCACTATTCCCTTTTCTATTTCCCTCGATTTCGCTTTATCTGCCTCCACCTCCTGCGTATCTGGAAATCCGGTCCTCCAGAACCCCGGCGGACTCCTCCCTCTTTCGAACGCTTGTCTGTGTTTGCCATGCTCGTTTGCCATTTGCCGCGTCCTAGCTTGTAAAACGAGCTCAATCCTCTCAGCCTCGCTCATTTGCGTGAGTCCAAATGTATCATACGCTTCACCGAGGTACTCGTGGAGTAGATCTTCCTCTTGACTAGTATCCAGAGGCGCAGCTGCACGAGCCAATGCCCGGAATGTAGAGCCGCAACATTCGGCGCTCGTACATCCGGGAAGGCAGAAGCGATCGGAGCGCTTGCGCACCGTCTCGGAAAATGCGTGTGTGTATCCTTGGTTGTACGCTGGATTAGGCTTGAAGTCGAGGACACCCAGTTCATCCATCGGCTTGGACCGAAGGGGCTTAGAATTTTGGGGGATAGACGGGGATGCAACCCTTCTAGAGGGACCCGAGTGCGTCCCCATGATCCAGGCTGGACGTCCATTTGGGACAGCGTGCGGACGATCAATGAGATTTTCCTTGGATGCAAGGAGCTTTTTCTGTGGCACTCGAGTGGATTGTGTGGTATGGAGTTGGCGAGCCGAAGTAGAGGGAGACAATCCCTCAGGCGGGAGCACTGCCAAAAGTTTTGCAGGAGCAGTCTTCGGGGTTGTCATTATGTCCTTGGATGGAGTTGCAAAGTCTTTTCGAGCGTGCAACTTATGATTGTAATGTGCTCTTGCATCACGAGGTGATAGTCGTTCATTATCGTTCATAGGGGGAGGTGTTTCTCCTGACTCGGTCAAGAAGTTATGCTTCGATTTTGGGCCGTCTCTTCTCATACGCTTATTAGACGTCTCTTTATCCGTTCTTAGTATGGCATTCGAATTTAGAGGCTTCAAGACATGGATGGGTGCCTCTGAAAGATTCTCATGCTCGACTTCCATCTGCAAGCGCACTGTTCCCGTGCAGCGCTTGTTCTCCGTTTCAGCCATTTCGGGGCGAGATTCTTGCTTCACGGTGGTACCATCGAAGCGCGAAGTATTCGATATCTGATGCTGCGGTACCTCATTCATAAGTGAGCGGCCATGCGCGGTCCTGCTGGGTGACTTGTCGGATGTATTAACGAATTTTCCACCGATTTCGTCGAGATCCATAGTCTCCTTCCGAAGCAGACTTTTTGTGGCTCTCAACAAAGGAGGGCTGCTTCGTGGTTCTTCCTTCACATGAATGGGCTTTGCGGGTGTACCATCTGACCGGTCTGTAAATACTTTGATGTCTTTCGAAGGTTTGTGCTTGCGCTTGCGCTTAAGAGACCGCTCAGATAGAAATTCTGGCGCATCGTTATCGCCACCTTCAGAGGCTGCTACTTGGTTTGTGTGTATGACTTCATCCTCGGTTGTTTGGCTAGATGTTACTTTTTCTGAACCGAAGTGCTCTTCGAAGGAGTCGTGGATCTCGCCTACTCCTGACTCTAAGATCCGTCCATGATCTACAGGCAGTGGAGAAGATGCTTGCTGTGATCGCTCCCGTGCAACATCACCACCTTCCTGACACCCTATTCTACTTTCCACTTCTGATCTTGGAAGTCCTTGAATAGAGGGTAGACGTGGTGGGGACGCAAGAGATACAATGGGGCCAGGGGTCGAGTGATCTTGTGGGAGAAGCGATTGCGGTGTTGTTAGTGTTGTACATCTTGGACTGGACGCCCATTTAAGTTCGTCTTCCATACGGTCAGGGGTTCCCGATGTATCAGAATGTTGACCTGTTGCATTTCCCACAACCTTCGATCTCCGCTTGATAGTATTACGGTCACAGTATTCCTGCCAGGCTTTTACGCTCTCCTTCATTTCCTTGTTCTTCTGCATAACGGCAGCATTCTTTCGTTCCAAATACTGAACTTTTTGAATACTGTTGCGGAATCGCATATTGAGCTCATTGTATTTCTCGGTCAAACGTTGAATTTCAGTCTTGGAGACAGTGGAGCCCAGTATGGTAGGGTCTAATTGCTCTATGCGTGAGATAGAGGCAGTACCCTGCTCCTGCAATAATTCCGTGAGTCGTGCATTCTCTTCTCTCAGGCAGGTGACCTCGGCATTGACCAGGGCAAGATTTCTTTCGTGCTCTTCGTCTTCTACACGTGGGTGAGTACATGTGTGCAGACCAGGTACTTATATGTGTAGTAGAAAGGATTTGGGTGAAGAAGTGGGTACATACTGTTCATGAGCTCTTTCGCTTGGACCTCGTTTCCTAGAACCCATTAATATTCTGTGGCTATCATCAGACTGTCTAGGCACTCACGATTCTTCCATTCTGACTCAATCTTGGGCGTAATGACTTCATCGTAGACACGCGCCCAGATGTCTCTGTTTTTATCCACCCAAGCCGCAAGACCGTCCATGGTAGAACGTTATACAAGTCAGGAAACAGACATCAATTACAAGCAGTTGAAAACAGGATGCGCATATAAAGTAAATATGTATGTATCAATGTTAGGTAAGTGCTTAAAAACGATACGAAGACGTTTGGGTGACAGATGCCTAGAGTTCGGCGAATCGCGTATGGCGCGCGCCTGCGCGTTCGGGGTTAGGTAATCACAGCGTAGCTGGCGTAGTCGGCCACCGTCATTGAGACCTCCGACTTCCGCAATACACACCCACAGCCCGAAAGTACCTTTCACGATGAAGCGGGTGCGAGAGGACGCAACACACCATGGACAGTCCTACAAACTGCGCCGAGTCTCAGCTCACACTCATCTCTTTGTACTGAGCGAAGAAATTCTTGTGCGTATTCTTTCGTTTGTCCCAGTGCCTACACTACTCGTGTGCCAATTGTCAGTGGTTTCATCTGCATTCCAATCCTGAAAGCTTACAGTGGACGCAGGATATGCAAGAAACTCGGTCGCCTTGCGGTTGACTCTGAACTATGGAAAGCCGCTTTTTACACGCGATTTGTCATGCCCAGGGCTGCACGGATACCTGGCATCAAAGAGACACACTCCCAACATCTGCGGTACTCGTCGAAGTTATCCAAATGGTTGCATGATAGTCATTTGTTGCAACATGGGAGGAAGATAAACTGGAAGCACCAGTACCGGCTCCGGCACAACTGGTCGAAGGGGTCTTGTGCCATCAGTGAGATTACCGTGGCGCAACCGCCCTCTGATCTTCCCCTTTTGGTGGTCATGTCGGATCGTGCGATATATACGGCAGATGCTGTGCTTGGACTCCGCGCATGGAGTTCTAAAGATGGGCAGGATTTCATCGCTGCAGCGCCGCCCTTTTCGAGAATGCCGACTGGTCTCCCGCGATCGCCTACGTCCATCACGATAGATAAGTCGGAGGGGTGCGGGGCATACGAACGAGTAGTAGTTGGCTTTGCTGATGGTTCATTCATGGTTTTCGCACTTGCGCTGTATGAGAAGGTCTTTGAAATGCTCTTCGCACACCCACCATCTACCAGTGGCGCGCTGACGGCCCTCGCATACTCGTCACCACACCTTCTTTCAATGACACACGATCATCTACTTTCCATATATGCTTTCTCTGAAAGCCATCGTTCAAATCAAACGACTTTAATGGCCCCAAAGCTACTGTATTCACTGAAGTCCCATACAATATGGGCTCCAGCTTCTCTATCGATACGTTCGACATCAACAGCCATGATCGCGGCAATCGCATACGCATTACCTACGTACTTATCCGGATGGACTATTGGCATTCAAGAGATGCGAATTTCCTTAGAGGGCGATTTGCTCGAATCACGTCTAGCAACTGCGTCGGAGGTGCAATCGTGTACTTTATCGGACCAACCATCTCCATCTTCGACAGCCATCCGCTCCTCGTCGTCTTTCATCAGCGGTACTCGGGACGCATTACGTGTTGATCCGTCCGTGGTTTCTAAACCGACATCAATGTCGTACTCGCATCCCTACCTACTCGTGGCCCATCCAGACAATACACTGGCGCTTTACCTTGTTAAATCGACAAATTCGGTATTGTCTATTAGTTCCGGTAGCCGATTATGGGGCCATACATCTTCCGTATCTGGAACACACGTTGGATCGCGAGGCAAAGCCGTTTCCGTGAGTCGTTTGGGCGACGAGCTGCGTGTGTGGGATTTGGAAAGTGGTATAGCGTCCAAGGATTGTAGAAGGCAGATCTCAGGCGGACGAATTAGCGTAAGGGTGAAGCCTGCGAAAGACAATGAAGGAAATAGCGACGAGGATGCGGCCTTGTCTCCTAAGCACAGCCTCCGGCTCGCTCTCGACAAAGGGTTCGACGACTCTACAATCAGCAAAGGGTGGGTAGGCTTCGACGAGCAAAACGTCATTGTGCTGCGCGAGAAGAGCGAAGGCAGTCAGGTACTGGTTGTACATGACTTTTCGTGACCGGATTCGACGTGTTTTGGTACGCCACGCCATGGGGGCGCTGCACGTGGCTGGTTGTGAGCATACTAGAGGCTGTCTGGGATGAGAGTCCAAAGGCATGCAGACGAGAGGCAGCAAAGACGATGGCGATGATGATGGCTAGCTGTTGACAACCTTGGCTTGGCCAGTGGATGGATTGGCAGAGCAAGTAGGTAGCTGTAAGCAAGCAAAGAAGCAAGGCAATGCGCAAGATGTGAATGGGGAGGATCATCGGCAGCACTCTTGGGTGGTGACTATGGAGTGAAGACGTATGCAGTGACAGACAGGTCATGTACACAGACGGCGGTGGAGGTGCACTCGAGTCACAGGATGTCGTCGAGCATCGACGACGCAGCGCGGCATTGGTGACGGCTGTCGACGGGCCATTAATTGTGCCGTTTGCAACAAGACATAGGTAACCCACGGCGGCACACAAAGTCTAACCGCTTCGGTTGGCGCTAAAGCTCGCGGGCACTTTGGCGGGCGATAATTTTCTCCCTCGCCCTTCAGAGTCCTCTCTCCTACGACAACATCACTGACCTGCGACTTAACTCAATTGGCCGAGTTGCTAGATTTGCGAGTTCAGAAGTTCCCAGGAAGACCTTTGCGCATCACCCTTTTCGCCGAAACGACTCTCTGAAGGCCTTGCAGGTAAGTCGGCATTGCCTCCACATTCGCTGCTGCCATACATGGTACTTACGCCGCCACGTTCAGCAGCACAACTATTCTCGATATGGATTACCAAGCTCCCACAGGAGGTGCCGGTGGCCGTGGCTGCTACAACTGTACGTATCATCTCTGTTCGCATTCAGACGCCAGCTCCATTGTCTGTCTGTCTGTCTGTCTGTCTGTCCGCCTGGTCCACCCGTTTGTGAGCCAACGTCATGAGCTCCAACCGGACACGGAACCCATGCCCCCCACATCATGTGACTTGCCCACCAGCCTTGCAACTCCCGACGTCGCATTCGCCATCCGACACTGCCACGCTTTTATACCCGACGACGACTTCTTGGTTACGTTTCTTATTACCGCCGCTGTGCTTTGAGTTCGTACTACCCTCGTATTTTGCTTACTTTTTTTCCTTTGCCAGGCGGCCAAAATACTCACCGCGCAGCCGAGTGCCCCAGCAAGGGCAACCCCACTTGCTACAACTGCGGCGAGCAGGGTCATCTCAGCAGGGAGTGCACATCCCCCCAGGCCGAGAAGTCCTGCTACCGATGCGGTGGTGTCGGCCACATCAGCCGTGATTGCACCAAGGACGGAGGCCCTGCTATGGGCGGCGGCGCTCGCGGTGGCCAAGAATGCTACAAGTGTGGCAAGACCGGCCACATCGCTAGGAACTGCTCTCAGGGTGGTGGAAGCTACGGCGGAGGAGCCTACGGAGGTCAGGGCGGCTATGGCGGCGGCCAGGGCGGCTATGGTGGTGCTAGGCAGACCACCTGCTACTCCTGTGGCGGTTTTGGTCACATGAGCCGTGACTGTACTCAGGGCCAGAAGTGCTACAACTGTAAGTCAATCACCCTCTCTCGTGGAAATGATTTTACTCACCATGTTCAGGTGGCGAGGTTGGTCACTTGTCCCGCGACTGCCCCTCCGAGACCACCAACGAGCGTGTCTGCTACCGCTGCAAGCAGCCTGGTCACGTCCAGAACGCTTGCCCCAACTAAACACCTAAATCCTCGTCGGTCGTCAAATCTGGATCCCGCTTCATGTTCATCATGATCCTCTCACCACTACGGTGAAGAGTGTCTGTCTTGTGAGGAGGCCGAGAGTCTGTGTTTTCATGAACGATTGGCATGTTTACGAATTTCCTTTCATTGTACATGTTCTCATCTTGCGGCTGAGCGCCGTCTTTCGACCCTGCGCGCACAAAAGCATCATTCATCGCTTGGCATTATTGGACACAGTTCGAGTGTAGCCGACTAAGAGTCGGTCTGCAGGACAGAAGGTTTACGGAAAGAAGTCCTGAGTCTGGGAAAATACTTGCATCGGTGGAAGATGGGGGAGCGGTTTATTGGAAGCAGGAGAATGGAAGTCAATGTTCTCCAACAACTTGCGTTCAATCATTGATTGGAGAGTCTTCGTGGAAGCGGGTGAGCGATTACGTTAGGAAAATGGAAATGAAAGCTATATCCGCTTTTTTTTTGGATATAGAAGTGTCTCTCATGTCAATCTCCACCGTCCTCACATGAAGTGATCTACGTATCTTACACTTGTTCCTATCGGATGGGTGCCATGTGCCAGGTTTCTCGCAACATACAATAGGACTCTGCTAAAGTCTAGTTGGTATCCATCGGTGCCATGGACACGTCTCCCTTCACCACATTCTGCATTGTCACCTATCTACTTGCATGTAGTTGGAGCATCTACGATTTGGCTGCATGCACAAAAATTGCCTTTGAGCCGATTAGAATGGTTCTCACGATGTACAACAGCATTTGAACATCACTGAGCACTAGCCACAGAGATCAATGGCAGTGATGATGCTAAGGACGACATTGCCCTATAATTCAACGAACCCCCTGTATGCGAACAGAAAGCATGTTACCACATAATGAGCAACGCGTATGTAGCTAGTTTTGGTGCCGTGCTTGCTATCCTCTAGAGCAATTATAATTCAGCGGGAAAGAAAAATTGCATCACAAGCAGCAGTTGACATTGAGCTGGGAGTTAATGATGCTGTATGTATACTCCTATATACGCCGCCGAGCTTCTCACCTCGATCAGATTGTAGCAATCGGTACAATAGCCCGCAAAGGCGGACGAGGAAACATTCATGGAAGCCTAGTTTCTTCCGTTGCATTCGCTAGATAGAACTAGGTGACATGCGATACTTTGTACAAGAAGAGCTCCAGTGCAGCATAATCTTATCGTTAAGAAAGTGTCAGCGGGCCATCTTACACTGTATAATCCTCTCGCTCGAATGAGCCCGGCAGCAGTATGAAACCAATATAGACATGTGACTGTGAACTATGCGTGCATTGCTACTAGGTACTTACCGTTACCACCGGGTTTTGGCCTCGTTCCCCGTAGAATTATAGCTAACAAAACTATGTTGCTCTACAGAGGCATAGAGTGTATAACGTCTGTAGTTAAGCTATCGCCCACGGGATAGCTGCAAGTCCATGGAAACTCAAATAGTGAGTGACAGAGGAGAACTGCGAACATCCTCAGATACACACGCAGAGTCCTTCTTTCTATCATTCACCATTCTCACCGATCTTCGACCATCACAATCACTCGAGGTGTTTTGCAAGGCCATCATGGCCCCCGCAACTACCCTGCTACACCACTAAGAACGCTATTGGCAAGCCCGGACGCAGGCTTTACAGAGCATATTGAAAGTTAGGCATTCCTCAAATACGGTCCAAAGCCTGAAAATTAGGCAACCGGGATCAACTCAGGGTGGGAGGCCGCACAGATCGCGCTCGAGCTACTGAAGGAAGGCTTTGGGCCGAATAGTCTGCTGAACACTCTCGGTCCTACCATTGCTAAAGCCGACGCGTACTGAAAGAATTCGGTCCAGAGACCAACGGAAAAGATTGGAACCAAAGATGAATGGGTGAGCGCCAAAGGAAGAGCGGTTGCTTTCTTGCCCAGCGTAACGGCAGAACGCTTTGTGGCAGACACACTTCTAATCACCAAGGAAACCCGGAACAATATGTCAAGCGTACTGTCAGAACGGGTATATCGGTTGTGTCTGACATTGTCGAAGGATGGGACGGCGAAACAACTCACTTCACACTACCCAATTTTGCCATGTCGGTGGATTACAAGATACCCGTTCATCGAAGCCCCAGGCAACGAGCGACAAGGCGCTTCAATCAGGTGGAACAATATTAGATGTGCTGGAGATAGCAGTGAGAGACGTGGAGGGCGCCGACAATAGGTAGTCAATTGATGGTGTGAATATCTTTGCTAGGTATGTGGTACGGTGATGGCGTGGATGACGAGCATCTGCAGTTAAGTATGAGAGAAAGTCTGTCACCCACGAAATCATCAATTCGAGTTTGCGTCCTCAAAAGAACATTGCTAGTGGGAAGTTATCGGTGTAGATTGGATTTAGGTTTTGAAGAGGCAACGATAAATAGAGTACTGCATTCCCCGGAAAGGAGAGGTAACACATTGAACGGTTGCCAAGCCGCGGCCTGTGAGCTAGTACTTAGTCAGCGCTTCGATGAGATAGACGATCCAAATGATTGGTCAAATCTTGTGCATTGTATTGTATCGCACCCACGCGCACGACAGACACGGTCGCGTAGAGGCACAACAAATCGAACACAACACAACACAACCCGCTGTAACATCACCACCACCACCGCCCACTCTAGGCGCGCAAACTATCCATCGCGTGCACTGTTTTCGCCATGGCGTCCAGAAGAGTGCGTGAGAACCGCGAGAATCAATTCTACGATGTTGGAGTCCAGGGAAGGTGTGTACTCGTTCCATGCCAGCGCGACTAGCTAGCATCGGCAACTGATAACTTTCTACAGGAAGACGGGAATCACGCTTGAAGACAAGGGTGTGCGCGACGAACATGGTTTGGAGCCTCTCTCTGGAATCTTCTCCTCCCCGCAAAAGTCCCCGCCAAAGCCATCAGCCCTGGACCCTTCTGGAGGCACCGTGACAGACTCAGAGTCTATGGATATACAAGAAAGTACGCGCCTGCCACCTTGAGTCTATGAGCTGAGACTGACATGGCTTGTTTTCAGGCTCCATCCCGGACATCACCACATCTGCTCACCTTCTCCGTACCTCCAGAACTCATTTACCCCCGCCAAAATCCCGATCACCTATCAAAACTACTCTGGGGTCGTCCCCACGTCGTCAGTCATCGATAGCGCCCCGCGCACGATCCGCAAACTTGCCTTCGAGTCCTCCCCGAGCAGTCTCCCATCCTGCAGTCAACCGTCGGCTGGACTTTGTCCAGGATGAGTCGAGCCTTCAAGAAACACCAGCCCTGAGTGGATCCGGGCAGCCTCGTGGGAAGCGCCCAAGTGTATATGATATCGAAGATTCGCCAAGTCGGGCCAATAGTATTACCCTCGAGGAATCCATACAGGAAGAAATAACAGCCGCAGAGGATCCTGTTGATCTTGGAGAAGAATACATGGGCGAGGAGAGCTACATGTCTGATATCGGACAGGACGTTGATGCGGAAATTACAGATGAAGTCACCCAGGAAGCCGAAGACACCGAGCTCATTCCCGACCCTCCAAAACTGCCAGGCAAGAGAGGAAGGAAGCGGAAGTCGGAGGTTGTGGAGCCACCCATGCCAGAGCCGGTAACCAAAACTCGTCGACGGGGAGCTCCTTTAAGAGAAAGTTTGGAGAAGCCAAAGAAAAACTCGAAGACTGCCGCAGCCGGGCCAGCATCCGAACCACGACGGTCCAAGCGCGTTTCCGAGCATACAGAAGAAGAATCAAACGAGCCGTCAACAACAACAATAACGGATATCGACACTTCATTGGCCCAGCCAAAACGGCGGGGGCGACCTCCGAAAAATGGGTCACAGCCTGAAAAGGCCCAGGAATCTGTCACCATGAAACAAAAACCAAAGTCGAACCCGAAGTCGGGCACCGAAGAACCGGTTTTCAAGAAACCAAAGTCTGCTGCAAGGCCTCCAAAAGAGCCGGCCAAGAACCCTACCTCCAATGGACTTGCTCAGAACGATCTAGATCAGCCTGTAGAGAACGGCAAATTTGTCGATGTGCACGGCAACCCTATCTCCAAGGCTGATATTGATCAGATGTCGACCACGTCGGCAGGATCCAGATTTGCTCGAGGTAGATATCTTTCAGTATTCCGCGAGCTGGAGCCACAAGACGTTGCACTCCCTTCTCGAACAGGGAGGCACCGTGTCCAGCCTATTGAATTTTGGAAAAACGAAAAATGTTCCTACGACTCCGAAGGCAACATGCAAGCAATCGTCAAAAACGAGATGAAAGAGCCTGTTCGGCCTGCATATAGCGGCTACAAAGCGAAAAAGAAAAGAAAAAGGCTACCGGTCATTGAGGACGACGAGGTGCTTGACCTCGAACCGTGGGAAGAGGAGGAAGGTGTATTCAATGGCATCTTCAAGGACTGGGATGTCGAAGCTGAAGTGCCTACTAACGATCTGGTAGAGAGCAGTATGTTTTCGATACTGTTATTGTTCTGCACCTCCCCTTGCTAATTTCTCCACAGATTTAGCATGGTCCACCAAAGGCATTAATCCTGTCGATGTAGCAGATGCCTCTTTTAAGTTCACTAAACTTTCATCCGCAGGCAGTGAGAGTTTCATGAGTTGGGGTTTCATTGAACTCAACGCAGACCAGATGAAGCGCAGCAAGAACTCAAGACGCATGCACTTGGTGTTCCATGTCCAGAGTGGCGCGGTCGAAGTAAAAGTTCACGAAAACGTTTTCACGGTGCATAGAGGGGGCGTGTGGCATGTGCCTCGTGGTAAGTTCACTTTCACTTGCTCCAGCGTTTGTCCAGGCTGTCGCCTTGCATTTCTTTTTCGCTGTTGCATACCCTCCCGTGTTTTGCCTCTGTGTCACGGCAGCTATTTCATACTTCTGTCGGCAACTTGTCCGACGTCGCTGTGTTCTTCGACACGCCCCTCCACATGTCTGCCATCGCATTGCACAGCATTTCAAGAAATATCGCCTACTACTGGGTCCGCTGTTGGAGCCCCAAGGCAGAGTTTTGAGATTCCTTTCTACCACCTTTCCGCTGATGATCGGCGTATTCTCTTTGTTGCATCGTTGTTTCCATCAGAGCAGCATACAATCCTTGTCAATCGGCAAGCGACTCATCCGGCTTGTACTTCTAGATGTTCTCCCATTCTATTCCGAAACACTCTGGTGTTCTTGTCTTCTTTTGTTTACGTCCTATATCTGCTTATGGAACCCATTCGCTAACATGAGATATTAGGCAACACATACAGCATGAAGAATGTTGGCAGCGCCACCAGTCGCATATTCTTCGCCCAAGCTTTCGAGTCGCGCGCTGAAGCTGAATAAAGTCATTCTTTGCTTCACGTCGCACCGATATGCGCAGCTCGCTGCAGATAGTGGAGCCAGTACGAGTCAAACAAGCGGTGAGGAGCGCATCCGGCGGTATGATATCAATGTGGAGTTTTACCACTTTCCATGGCGATCACAATGGTTTTCCAAATTTTGAAGACCCACTCGTCTAAATGCCGGGGTTAGTTATCATGAGTTTAGCGTTAGATGAACTTGGGCAGGTTTGCCCGTTTCACCGGACCTTCGGCGTCCTGTACCTGTTCGCGTACACCTAGTGCAATAGTGTGGAGCTCTCCGGTACTTGAATGGTTCGCGTTACAGTCAGATGCAGTGCACTACTCCCTTGTGGGCAATGTACTATATATGTTGCGTGGAGAACTATCGATTGTTAGGGCTAAATGACAGTTTTTTTTTCCCATCGAAGGAGACGGCGATCTTAGAGTAGAATGGTGCTCTCCACTCGGGGAAAAATCACTCGAATGCAGACATTCGCCAATGTCGTCATGTTCGAATGAATCCCACCTTTTTTTCTTGCCCAATCTATCAGATGATTCGTTTCGCTGGCTCCTCCTCATGATGAAATAGTCCTTCACCGACTTTCGGTCGTTTTCACCGCTATGATGTGATATTGGGGATGATTTTCGAGCGTTTGCCACCTAGACAGAAACTTAGCACGGAATATGTACAAGCAAAAGCAGGCGCAGGGTGGCTCGGAAAGGCAAAGGTCGTACGGCAAGGCTGTTGCCCAACCCCCAACACTCTTCCCGTCAATGGGAGGCACCCGTGGAAGAACGCTCAAACCCGGCTCCCCGCGTGCATGGTTTTTTCGTCGATTCCATGATTTCCTGTCCAGTGCAGATAGATGGCTAGACTCGACATTGGAGCGCCTGCAGGGCACATGTAGTAGCCGCGCTTACAAGGATGGACAATCGAGTGACGAACGTGAGGTGGGCAGAGGGATTAGTATCAATCTTGGCAATAGTTTGTATACGCTCGTATTGTCTTCAACTTGATCATTTATTCATCGGTTGATCTGGATCCCTGTCAACTCGTAGTAAAGCGGTGACCACGAGTGGTCAGAGTTCGACATGACTTCATCCAAGATCTCGTGTTGACGCTGTGCAATGGTAGCAGCAGACGGCTCTTGCAAGCACGCTGTTGGTGCAACGCAAATGGATATGCATCCCGTCCTTCCCCATCCCTCGTGTATCGTTGAAATATCGGGAGAGGGAGACCGGGGCTTTTCTCAATGACCTGTGGATGGCCTGGTTACACCCGGTAATGCTTCAGTTGTGGCGTCACAGGGTCGGAACCAGAAGGGAGGGGCGGTGTAAGGCGGTGTGTGTTTGTTTGCTGGCAGCATTGGTCAATCGTCGTAAGAGATACCGTTGTCTGTCGCGAGGGGGTTCATGAAGCCATGCGTTATATCGATCTTTATTCAGATACTTGCAAAATGTAGCCGGCGAGAAACAATGGCTGGGTGGTTCTCAAATCGGTCATCAGCCTCAGGGGGCCACAACATGGGCGCGACCAGTGTGTGAGCAAGTTGAGACTAATGTTCAGTCATTTTGCTTTTTTCTCGTCTGGTTCCGGAGTCGCTTCGCCGCCCGGAGCACCCACCCACATGGAGGCACAGGACCAGGCACCCACGACATGCATGGCGGTCATGTACAATGTTTCTTTTACACCAGAGAGAGCAATGGATCGCGTTTCACCATTCTTGGAAGCGCTCGGTCTTTGCCCTGTTTGTCCTGGGCGACCAGTGTGAGTTCATCAGTCATTACCGTGCGCGCTCTCCAAACCAGTACCCAGATTGACCGAGATTGCCACCGACCTCTTCCTCCGACAATGCCGCGTGGTACATGATTTTCCATTCGGGGATAACCATACAGTGGAGCGACAGTGCTTGCTCAGGTGAAGCGTGGCCCCACATTCCCCGATCAGGACACTGGCGCCTCCCCATACGACTATGAGCCTATGATGATGACGATGATGGTGATGGTGGTGGTGGTGATAGTCTATGGCGAGTCATAGCGAAACGCCCAATGGAGCTCGACGCCAGTATTAGCAGGGTAACGGGCCTCGACGACGATTTGACCGGTTGGTGGCCAGGAAGGCGATGACTGCCCATTCCGGTGCTCGGCCAGCACTCGGTTCCATCATGCCGTCTTTTTCGCACTCTCTACTGATTAGCATTCCCACCATGTGTACATAGCCAAAGTCTGAGCTTGTGCTTGGTTCGTACAATGGAAGGTGAAGATGAAACGAGCTTCTCTGTGAGTTCTGTTCTAATCTCGAAGAGAGTGTTGTAGCGAGCAACGGGTTACGAGACGCGGCGTGATTTTGGATCAAGGTTGATCCAATCCATACATAGATGGATGGATACATGGATGCATAGGTAGATTGTATGAACATAACCTTATGAGGGCACCCGAACTTCTGCCGGCTACTTGCGGCGCATCGAACTGGTCGCCCGTTTCAAGAAGGGCCGCTCCACACGCACCTTGCTTGACGTGGCCGCCATTCATTCATTTATTTATTCCATCCCAGGCACATCATTGCCGTGAACAAATGCACAAGGCGGGTAATCCCTGACTGATGCGGAATGTGTGCCGCACCGCCCTCATACGTCTCCACTTGTTGCATCCCGGCGGGAACGAACGTTCTCCTGCCAACACAGCAGCGACATGTTTGACACTTGACATGAATGAGTTGGAGGAGCCAGCCAGCCAGCCAGCCAGCACGATTCAGATTGGCGAGTTTGTCACGTCTCAGGCAGAGTTGACGCTACTGTTCCAGGAGCTTCTCGAACAAGTCGCCAAAATGGGTTCCATGGTCCGGCGGGAGATTTGGTTTGACGAACATGTTCGCATGCGCTGCCGGGAGCAGAGATGTGCACCAGGCCGTCGCATCAAAGTGGGATCGAAGGATGAGTGGACGGATGGATGGATGGGGCCATTTCACGATCATGCTATGGTGCACTACCACGCCACAAATTTCAAATTCGGGCATGCATCCATCATCCATCTGGCTGGCATTTGTCTCATGCTTCGACACGATTCATGCCCAGGCTCCCCCTTTCTCCACGTTCCAAACACGATGCAATCACACAGTCAGCCATTCAGCCAGTGCACGCGACTCCCGTTCCATTGCAGACTGGGAAAGTATAGCCTATCCAAGTATCAGTGCTAAGCAAGCCCGAGGATGCTCAATGGCATAATTGCACCGCGAGAGGGGGATGCCTGAATCCGCTGTGCACGCCCTCGAATCGACTCCATTTATGCCTCTGCAATTGATGCTAGAAGAAAAAAAAAAATGCATACACAGATACGTACCGCAAATACTTACCTAGGTACTTAGTTGCTTAGACAGCAGATATCCATCCGAGTGCAGGGATGGCCCTTGCCTAGGGGCTGTGACTATCGCCCAACGGTCGTTCTTTCTTGGGCCCTGCGGCAGAAGCAATGCAGAAGATCCAGAGAAAAAAGAAAGGGAGGAGGGAAAAGGGGGTCCGAGGGGAACATGTTGCCCTCTAATGATATCATCCTTCATTTCCCAAAGCTCGGTGCGCGAGCCGCCGGTTCCCGTCATGATTGCAGGGCTGAACAAGGCTGCTGGGATGAGGGAGAGAACTTCTCCATTGTTCTTTTTCAAGTCGCCGAGAAATGAAGGGGAAAGAAAAAAGTGAAGACATCCATGCTCGCTAATCCTCCCCAATGCCGCCCCTCCCTCCCTCTGTCAACTACCGTCTCGAGTGAGGCGCGTCCGCTAACTACACAAGCAACTGGCCATAGTTCTTCCAATGACTTTTGCTCCCATGTTCGTGAAAACTAGAAAATCTGCCCGCGCACAGTGACAGCTCAACGCGCAGCACATGGCTGGCTGGTCTATGCCACGTACTCTTGTCCGTGACCGATAGTTTCGCGCCTGTTTGCTATACGTCATCGGCGAGAAGGTGATTCACCGCCCTCATTCATGAATTCACAAATGCATGGAATGCCTTGTATCCATCATCTCGCTTGACGTCGTCGTCGACTGTATTCATGAAAACTCTGCACCTGGGCTGCCAGAACCTTTCCCGCCCCCCCTCCCCCCGAGAATGACTCCCTTGTGAACAATTTCGATGATATGATTGCTTTCTGATATTCGTTTCATTGACCAGTGTCCCAGCCACAAGAGTAGATATTCTAAAAAACGCAGTGCTGGACGGGATAAAAAAAAAAAAAGAGCTTGATCTATAGACAATGGAGGATGCACTTGCTGGAAATCAAAATGCAGAACCGTGAGCGCTACCCGCCAATATGGTATATCTAATGCAGAAAGGGGGACGGAAAAGAGGGAAAGAAGATGCAGAATTTCAGGCATCCGTTCGCTATGATGTCGGAAAATGACTCGAATGATGATGACGAGGAAAAAGAAATAAAAGAAAATAGCCAGGGAAATGAAGGGCGACAAACACCGTGCCGCACCCAGCGCTAAATACCACAGACATAGAGCCGCTCAAAATGACCAGAAATGCTGATGTTGACAATGCGAAGCGGTACCCATATTCAGCCCCCGTGCCTTTGATATGCAAACCGACCCAACCCAAACTCTATGCACCTATGTTGCTGTTTTGATTCGTCATTACTCATTCGAACACGCTCGTTTGACTCGGTAACCTGCCCGAATACAGAGAAAGGCCCCGTTCTCCAGGATTGCTGTTTGCAAATTACTGCACACCCACCGTCGTGACAATACGATCGGAGTGTTCGTGATGTTGGCCTACGATTCGTCCGGATCCCCTCTCTTCAGGCTCTTCACGCTGCCTGTGGTACTGCGCTGCGAGGACCGGTCCGGACTCCTTCCACCAAGACTTCTCGTTTCGGTGTCTGTCCTCAATCCGCCCTCCTCCTCGCGTTTTCTTTTCCCAAAAGGCTCGTCCATTCGTTCGTGTCCGTCCTCTCTTCTCAAGGGAAGATATGAGCTGGGGACGGGCGCAGTTCGAGCGCCGCTGATCAAGTCTGCTTCAGATCGAGGATTGATTTGTGGCAAGGTGGGACCGAGTTGGGGTGGCACGCTGGACCGAGATCTGGCATCTGCCCGCCGTCGGCTGAAGGAGCTGCTTCTTCTTCGATGCCCCGATCCACTTTCGGTGCGTTGGTGGTATGTTGGATGATGAACCGGGCCCGATGAAGGAGGTGCTGGTGGCGCTGGTGGCTGATGCTGATGTGTGTGAGGCGGTGGAGCTTGGTGAGGAACTAGTTGGTGCTGAGGAACATTCGTGGGCGTGAAGCCATGTGGTGCTGGGATAATAGGGCCCGGGATGGGAGCGGGCACCACAAGCGATGTTGGGGGTGAGCTGAGGCTCGTAGCGGATGGGTGCAGTTGGAACACTGGAGCATTTGCACGAGCGCTCATCTCCTGCTCTCCCAATTGCCAGTGCATCGATTCTGCCGATCTCCATGGGATTCCCATCTCTGTAGCCACCTTTTGCCACATCTGGTCCTTGAATCTGCATGAGCTCGTTAGCGTCTGTGGCCTGCAATCATGGTGGTTTCGTGAAGTAGCGAGTTCGACATACCGAGCATATAGTCTTGCGAGCTTGTTTTTCTTTTCTTCGTCCCAGACAGCGCGCTTTTCCAGATAGTTCTGGTAGCGCAGGCGACACGAGATGGAGCTCCGTCCTGGCAAGCGCTTGGCAATGTCGTCCCATTTCATGCCTTGCCCACGTAGTTCTATGGTGAGATTGTCTTCCTCTGGGGTCCATTTTGATTGCTTTTTGGCAGGGCTCTCATCCTGAAGTGGCGTCTGCGAAGCAGCCCTTTTGATCATCTGGTGGGGCGGAGAACCATTGGAGCCTGGTTGCCCGTGGGAGGCTGGCGCTGGTACCGGCTGGCCCGAGTAGAGAGGACGGAACTGCGGCGGTGGACCGGGATCGGGATGTCGATGGAGTTCGGAGAGGGCAGGGAGAACCGGTCCACCTTGCATAGATAGCCCCGGCGGAGGTCCAGTGGTCGAATATGCTGGGGGAGGCGCACCGTATTGTGGCGAGGAAGTTACATAGGCAGGCAGCGGCGCAGGGTGAGGGGAACAGGAGCTCGCGTACACAGCGGAATGAGGGTACGCGGGGGGTGCGTTTGTGTACCCTCTTGACACTGAGGCAGAATTCGAGTTTGTCGAGGTTGAGCTTTTTTTGCTCGCCGGGGACTCGGAGCCCCGAGGCTCGATGAGGAGATTGATATCCACGATAGGCAGGGCGGACTAGCTTCAGGCCAGCCCATGTATTGACAAAAACGTTTGGTATACTTCGCACGACACTACCGAGACGTGGTTGGGGCGGGATGAAGTTGGCGATGGTGTGGACTTGATGTTGTTTGATGTTGTTGTTGTTGTTGCTGTTGTTGTCTGTGGAGGCAGAGCAGGCGGATAGTAGCAAAAGAAAAGATGCAAGTCGAGTTGGCGAGTGGTAGGAAAGGGTGAGAGATGGGGAGGGAAAGGGAAGGGGGGAGGAGGAGGTGATGAGGCTGGAGCAGGTTGGGAGTGTGGTGCCAATGTAGGTCGAGGACCAGTTGCAAAGTACCTTTGACGATTCAGGACGTGAGTGGTTGTGTACTTGGGGAAGCTATTTAGGATGTGGAACAACAGGTAATTGGTGCAGGGGCTTGAAACATGGTCGCCAATGGATCCTCTAACGACAGGCGGGCATATCCACTAGTTGGGAGGGGGGGCGGAGGGCAGATAGGTAGAGGATGATGATGATGGGTTTGTAAGGGGGGAGAGAAGAAAAGGTCGGTGGGAGTTTGGGAAGGAAAAAAAGAGTGGGTAGTGGCAGCAGTAGTGGCTACTAGGTAGAGTGGAGGGGAAGAGGAGGTGAGTGAATGGAGAGCGAGTGCCAACGAGCGTGCGAGTGGATGGGAGTAGAGTGGGTTAGCTGGTTACAGATGGGTGCGTGGTTTAGTTAGCCCCCCAGTTAGGCAAGTTCAGTCGAGGGAAGGGAAGGAAGTAGGGGAAGTAAGGTAGGTAGGTACGCTGGATAGATGGAGTAGGCACGATAGGGTAGGGTAGGCAGGCACGTAGGCAGGGCAGGGCAGGGCAGGTAGGCAGGCAGCAGGTAGGTGCGACTATAGTATACTTGGGTAGGTAGCAAGCACCTGGCTAGCTAGCACAGTCTGTTACTGACTGACTGTCATGTCAAGTCAAGTCATGTCATGCACGTCGTTGTGGAGCGCAGGGCGGTGCCGCCTCGTTGTCTGTGTCTTGTCTGCGTGTCTGCGTAGGGGGTAGGGATAGGGATCCGGGGCTGCGGATTGCTTGGGGAGCGAGCGCCCGCGCACGACCAACTGACTGACTGACTGACTGACTGACTGGAGGGCCATGACTACAGAGTGCCTTGACTTCACTTGACTGACTTCATTCCAATCTGCCTCTCTGTCTGTCTGTCTGTCTGTGTGTGCTGGCGGCGGCGCCACCGCTAGCTTGTTGCTAGTACCTGGCCTGCCTCTGTCATGGCCTCGTGTCAAATGTCGCTAGTCAATGAACCCATCCCCTACTGCTCGTCGTGGTTATTATTATCATCATCATCATCGTCATCGTCACTACCGCTTGGTCCTCATCATCACCGCCTGCTGTCCCTCTCCTCCCTCATGGTTTCCCTTCGCGAGAGAGGAAGAGAGAGAGCCGAGGAAAAACAAACAATGGATTGGAAAAAGAAAAAATAGAAAAAGGTGAAAAATTGAAAACATGCCATGACGTGTCGCTTCACTCTTGCTTCCCTACCGTCTTCTTCCTCTTCGTCCATCCCAATCAATCGACTCATCATCCCTCTTTCTGCCGAACTGGTCTTCCTTTTTCGGGCCTCAACGCGTCGCCGACAAAACGGGGCTGCACACACGCACACGCACAAAGCCTGTTGCATGGCTGACAACAAGCCATTGTTCATGATCCACAACCCCTGATCGCACATTGCAATGGCAGTGGTACGACGATGCAGCGAATCGGAGGCGGTGAACCCCTCCAGGGATCCATCTCCCTTCACCTTGGCTGTCTGCTTGTCTGTCTGTCTGCTGTCCATCTGCCCGTCTGCCCTTCTGTCCGCGTTGCTGGGCTGGACTGGGCTGGCCTGGGCAAGGGCCCGGGTTGATTGATGACCTGGCGGCGCGCCGCGAACAAGATCTGCAATCCTTCGCCCTGCCCTACGGCTATCAATCTGTCGCTACCAAATGTCCTTGTTGGTTCGTATAAACCCACGCCGGCTGACTTGATCATCCTCCTCCTCATCATCATCATGGCGGTGCAGTTGGTGATGATGTGTTCACGCCCAAGTATCCGTCCCGTCTGCATCTGTCTGCTTTCCTGTTCCGTTGCCCTCGCCACTGCTGCGATGCGCTGCATTGCACTGCTGGCCACTTCCGCGCCATGTACACCGGAAAGGAGAAGAGCGGTGAAATGCTGCGGTGAACTGCCGAGACCTGCCCGGGACGTCTGCCCTACTTGTCATTCAACTATCCTATTTCAATCTATAGATGCATCCGCGTCTCGGTACATGGGAATCCATCCACCTACCTGTTTATTAGGGTTTGTGCATCATCCGAGTAACTCAGCAACCAAGTGCCACGGTAGTTTCGCTCTCATCCGGCGGCGACCCATGCAGCTCTTGTCCGCTGTGCGAGACGAGAGTGTTTGGTCGCAGCGTCAATGCGCGCGTCAGGGAGTGGGAAAAATGATGCGCATAAGGCGGTGAACAGGCTGCCTGATTCGCGCCCAAATCAATGCCCACCCAGCACTCTTGGGCCATGTTTGAGAGCGGTTTGGAAGAAGGCGCCCGTCGGTGCTAAAACGCCCGAACTGCCATCTGCATTAGCCGCATGCACCAGAATGCTGTTCTTCCAAGTTGATTGAATGATTCAGTCCTTTGCTCCTTTGTTCGTTGATTGACGATTGGTTGATCAACGGAATAAACCAGGTCTAACATGGGTGGATGGATTGATTGATTGATTAGCTGGACGCATCGTGTAAACTGCTCCATCCTCGGTAGGTAGCACTGTTGTACTTCTGGATGATGCGAAGGAATGCACCCTGGCCTCCCGTGCACTGTGTTGTTCATCGTTAGCTGGGTATTTATAGTTCCGGGGTGGGTGCATGGGGATAAGCGGTGAAGGCGTGCGTCCATGTGTTGGTACATGTAGTGAACGATGATGCTCTTGATCTGGTACCAGCATAGCCTGCTTGCTTGTTTGTTTACTTGTTCCGCTGCGAAGAGTATCATGACATGTCCATGTACGTCTCCAAATACCTATAGGTACCTGTGTTTACACTGCAAAATGTGCGTATGGTATGTACAAACATGTACAGACAGCACGATTAGACGCGTTGTGGCGTCGAGTGGTTTGTGGTTGGCATGGCTGCCAGCTTAACTGTGCCTGTGTCCCCATCGTTTTTCATCGGATGCGTCATGCATGCAGGCCGTCGTTGGTGGTGCGCTGTCCTGAGACATGCATACATACATGAACACACATGGGTCAATCGTTGTACATAGGTGTGCATTTCGTTCATGTGGTGAACAACAGCAGCCGCCTGTGTGCAGGCATCCATCAATCCACCCATTCATTCATTCATTCATGCACATAGCGCTCGAGGTGCATTGCCGTTGGCTCACGTGACATGCCACTCTCGCTTACACCAGCACTTGAGTTGACTGTACCATTCTCTTACTTACATAAGGGGACCGACGCTCTGTTAGGTAATTGCTTACATAGCCTTTGGACTTTCTGGTACATTACATGGACTACATGTGCTGCTCATCGCACATAACGCAGCAAATAGCACATGTTCGTGATGCATGTATGTAATTACGGTAGGATTTTGGCCTCTCCGCCAAAGGTACTTGACAACATAGTATGGATGCATGCATGTAGGTGCGAATGGCTCCCAACATCATCTTCATCGCAACGAGCCGCCCGAGCTACTTACTGTACGATACCGTACCGTAATAATAAACACGTCCCTCTCTCTCTCACGAGCTCGCCTTCAACAACGAAAAATCGAAACCATCTCCGCCACCACGGATCACGTGTAGCCCCCCTCACATCGGCGATTGTCACTCACATGTCTCTCCAAGCCGCAGCAGACGTTGCTCTCTTGGTCACCTCTGCCAACTCGTCATCCGAGCGTAGAGTTTCTCCAGCATGGACCTTAGCACACTTCAAGACCCGCCTCGAGCCCATCACCGGAATTCCCGCCAGTTGCCAACAGTTGACACTGCGCATCAATTCTCAGGACCCTGTATCCATCTCCGCTGTCGATGAAGAACAGACCCAGCTTGCTGCATTCCCTTTGCAGCCATATGCTGAGCTGGTAGTACGTGCATCCCATCCTAATGACCTTGCCCGTTTTTACTGATTCTCCTTTTATTAGGTTGCTGATACTCGCCCGCCCTCGGCCCGTCCCAACTTCTCCGATTTGTCTGCTGTGGAAAAGTATGAGATGCCCTCCGCAGAATATGAATCCCGCTCCGACAGCGTTCTCGCGTGGAAGAAAGCCCAAAAGCTGGGACGTTTCGATCCCAACGCCCCTACTATTGAGCAGCAAAAGGTTCTAGCGTCAGAGCGAGAGATTCAAGAGAGAGGTAAGTCGATTCCTTTTCCATCCATTGCCCATTCTTCAGCCCAAGGGGAATCCACATCTGCCCAGGTTCGCTTGAATACATTAAGGTGGCTCTACGTTTCCTCCCAGATTTGATCCGTCACACCCAACTGTCGACGAGTTTCATTGCGAATACCACTGGCTCCCCGTGTGGGGGGGAGGGGGGTCCCTGTGTTGCCAATCAACTTGTCTTCCCAGCCCGTTTGAGAAGTATCAACATCCTACCAATATTATCCAACGGCCTCCCTTCGCCGCATTCATCAAAGACCTGATATCGCCACTTCATACGATACAAGTATCCTAGGCTCCCCATTTCCGTAGCCATGTCCCCGGGAGTTCCATTCTATTTCTGGAAGCGAATCTAGGATGCATCTTTGCCTACATCTCCACGTGTCTAGTGCGAGAAACCTATTTAGGCACATGGGGCGAGTACTTCATCTGCTTTTTTGATGAAACAACCAAGGGATGGGGGAATGATTAACCGGTCAATCTAGTGGGACGCCAGCCAGAAAAGAAAGAAAATTTCGCTGGAGAACCTGGTACAATCCGCGATCAGATCCTTAGGCCACCTAGAAGCGCCATGGTAACCGACCGGCCCGTTCGCGATAACGGCGTGCAGACTATAGCTTGGCCTGCAACCCACGGGAGGAGTCGAATGTAGAATATACCACGGGAGTTTTGAGTCCCCGCGCCGGATTATTTTACCCCTATCAGCTCGTCCCCTCATCAATTTCCTCGCTCACGCTTACACAAACTCACTTAAACTTATCTCTATGCCTCCACCCACTAACATTGTGAGCAATAGGTCTTACAATTCAGTGCCGTGTTCGTCTACTTCCCGAGTCTGATGCTCGTCGCGGTACAGTCATGTATCTCGGACTCGTTCCCGAAATCCCTGGTATAGGATTCTGGGTTGGGGTCGCATTGGATGAGCCGACTGGCAAAAACGATGGATCAGTCAAGGGCAAACGATACTTTGACTGCGGAAGCAATTATGGTGTATTCGTACGGCCAGAGCGCTGTGAGTCTGGAGAATTCCCACCACTGGACCTGGGAGATGAGGATATGGAGGAGCTCTAGAATGCTGTCGTCTTGTCCTGTAAAGGTTCAGGCTTGCCCCAAGTAGAGAGAGGTTCTAGTCATCTCACGTCATTTCTACTACCAGAATCGTGCAGATCTGTGAAGGGTACCTTTTCTATAAGACCACTGGTACACCGTCTCATGTTGTACAATTTGACTATGCCCATGGTCCTGAGCCTACAAGATGTACCCTAATTAGGTTTGCATATATCACGGCCGTCTTTCTTCCAATGCTTCACTTTGAAGACATACTGCACCGTTACCACATGAACATCTTCATAGTTTTAACCCCACCGCTTTCCAGTTCATGTGTAGCCATCGCATATCCTCATGTTTTTGTGGGACTGCTTTCAATTACTTGTCTACATGAAATCAAGAGTAACTAAATTGAGATTATTGTTTTCCTCCTCTTATGTCTGCTAGACAACGTCCTTGCTTAGCATTATTGAAAATGGACTGTCTCGTTCTTTTATCACTATGTCAATGGGTTGTGACATTTCCCAGCAACTGCGCGTCTGAGAATTGATGATCGAATATCGCCAATCTACGATTGTGTCTCAGTACGGTAAGGATCCTAATCCTTGTTCGAAGAACCACTGCCTCCCATTACACCCCTGGTACTATTATCTGATAGTCTCCAGACACGACTCTCTCGAATCACTCCAAGAGAATTTGGCCCTAATCGAGGGGGAGCTTTATTGAGTGTTCGTAATTCAACAGTATCTGTTTCTCGAATAAGATCCTCGGAGGAGCGGTGGCTGCTGGGGAGATGTATGTCGAGATCATGGCGAACATGCATACCCCCATTTTCATCGATAGAAAGCTCCGTTGGCTGTGATACATATCCATGATTTGCGAATGAACCTTTCCAGAATGCCATTTTCGAGACAGTTGTGGATCGGCTGTTACCAGTGGTGCCCTTCAGTTGTGATTTATTCGACCATGACTTGGATCGCGGCTGTTGTTTTGATCCTTTGAATTTGGGATTAAGGTATTGCTTGAAGAAGATTCTAAGCGCTGGAGCATTCGCACATATCACTCCAACGTATAGCTCAGCAAGGGTCCAATTCCAGACTTCCCATGACTGCCAACTAATGTCGTAAGTCTCGTAATAGAGAATCCAAGTAGAGTATGTTCGCACGGCTCCAAAAGCAACAACTCCATAAGCTATAGCAAATATACCAAATAAAGCGGCCTTTTGGCGGAGTGGAATTTGGATTTTCCAGTAGATGAAGCTGGGAAGTAAAGCAGTGATAAAATCCTGAATAGTAGAGACAATGCCTGCGGCTAGTACAACAGGGGCCTCTTCAATGCATGTATACTTGTCTAAAGTCGTGGGCGCAAAGTTAGTTAACAATGTCTCTGTACCGTCGTGCAAGAAGGATTGTACTAACATCCGGCTACCATCTTTTCTATGTCACTTTGGTTCCAGAAAGCAGAAATGGGTTGACATCCGAAGAGCGAGATTAGACAGAAGGTCATAGTAGATAGTACAATAGACCCAACCGTGAGCCATGTCGCTGCCTTGAAAGCTTGAGAAACCCCTCGTGCTCCTAGGCGGCGATAGAATAAAAGAATAGAGATCTTAATCAATCCCGTAGCTACAACAAAGTTGATTTCAATAGCCATAACAAGTTTGCGCTGGAGGGTGTAGAGTGGGAATTCCATGTCCCATATGTGACAGCCGCCATGATACTTATCTACAGCTGCAAAAGGTTAGTGTTGCTAAAATAGGAAGAGGAATCACATACTCGTACCAAGTGGGATCACGACAGTCAATGCTGTAATGGATGGCTTTTATAGTAAGTGAATGCCTTGCGTTGACCAAAGTAAAGCATACAAGAGAAGTTATCATAAGCCAATCATCCCAACCACCGTAACGTTATAGGCGTAACCGCACCCATAGTCTTGCAAACACAAGTAACAAAGCAATAGGACCGAAAATGGACGCAATGATAGAGGCCGCGATCGGGCGGGTTTCTAGATTCACATAATTCGGAACAGGCCATGAAGCAATGATATCGAGCGGAGGATGAATACCACCAGGCATGTTGACGGCTGAATGCACACGCCTTGCTATCATGCATTTGTTACAGAGAAGGACAAAGAGAAAAGTTACAATTTAAGAGTTGATAAAAAACTAGGGGCGCTTTTATATTATCATAGCCGCCCCCTTCCCCCATGTTTGAGGCCTAGCTATTCTCTAGTTTATGTTCTTAGGTTCAGCGTGCTAAGAGAATAGGGCCGACCTTTTCTAAATGCAGGGAAAGGCTGTATTAAAATAAAGAGATTGTGCTACACCCCTACATTAGCAAGATTCTATTATAGAGATGTGCAAAATGTATAGAGATAAGCACAAATATGCGTATTTAAGTATAACTCTATATATATTTCTAATTTAGCTATAATAGCTAATGCTGTTATAACTTTTTAATCTTAAACTATATTTATTTTAAATTTTTATTTACTATATAAAGCTATAAAGTAAGATAGTATAGTAAATAAGCACCTAAATATATTTAAAAATACTATTTTTTTTATTTTAAGTTAGAGTTAAAGTAATTCTACATACAGTAATAAGTAATAATAATAAATAAACTATTAAAATAAGTAATAACTAAAAAAAAAAAAGTTAAGTTTTACTTTTACTAAGCTTATTAAAAAAAAGTAAAAAATACTTTTTTAGTATTAGCTTAATTAAGCACTAGTACTAAAAAAATAGTTTTTTTAGTTTAGTTTTTATTTAAAGTTAACTTTAAGTTTTTAACTAACTATTATACTTAAAGTAAAATAGTACTATAACTACTATAACTGCTATAACTACTATATACTAAAAATAAAATTTAAACTAAAATTTAAAATAAAACATATAATAATATAAAAAGTGTAAAATAAATATTTCAAAATTTTTTTTAAGTTAGAGTTAAAGTAATTTTATATATAGTAATAAGTTATAATATTAAATAAAGTAAAATAATAAGTAATTATTAAAAAGACTAGATAGTTTTACTTTTACTTAAAAAAGAAATTAAAAAGTACTTTTTAGTTTTAGTTTTTATTAAGTACTAGCTTAAAGCTAGTCTAAATTACGCACTAGCGCTAAAAACTAGATTTTTAGTTTATTTTTTTATTTTAAAGATGCTTTCTAATTCTTTAACTATAAAATAGAATAAACTTTAGACTTAAATATATAATAATATAAAAACACTAAAGAGTTTAAAACTTATAATACTACTACTTATAGTACTTTTATAAACTAGTACTAAGCTATTTTAATTTAAACTAGTACTAAAAAGTACTTTTTAATTTCTTCTTTAAGTAAAGGTAAAAATTATTTAGTCTTTTTAGTTATTACTTATTTTTTTAGTTTCTTTCTATTATAACTTATTACTATATATAAAATTACTTTAACTCTATTTTAAAAAATAAAAAAATAAAAAAATACTACTTTTATAAAAATTTTTTTTTATAAAACTTTTTAGCTTTATTTGTTTTATTTTTTTTTAATTTTTAAGTTAAAGTTAAAGTAATGTTAACGTGTTTTACAAGCAAGTTGCCCACCTAAGCAAGTTGCCTACTTTCTACTAGCGCACCACCTGCGCGCAATAATTGCATAATATTTTAACTATAATAAGCTTAAAAGCTATATACTAAAGCTAACCTATAGCTTGCTATATCTAATATTAAAGCGTAATACATTTAGAGCATTAGGCAAGCTGCAAACATATATAATATACTTTAAAAAACTATTAGTAACTAACGCGCTAAAAAGCGCATGCAATATAACTATAAAGTAAACTTAAAGCGCTTAACAAAACTAAAAAAAAAAGCTATAACTTAAAGAGTTTTTAAGTAGTCTGCATAAGGTCTTACGCTCTTAAAGTCTATTATATAAAAAATAGCAAATAGACTTTTTAAATTACAAGGTAGCAACTCTGTTAGCAAAAACTAAGTTAACAACTTTATTAAGCGGACTCTTAAGCTCTGCAAGCGCTAGAGCTGTCTACATAACTATTAGTAAGCTGCCTGTAAAAATTCTACAGCTATCTAGCGCTAGTTTAACTTAATATAAAAAATAAAATAAAAATAGAAAATTGTAGACAGCAATATCTACAACTTTAATAAAACTAAGTTTATAATAGGCAAGATTTTAGCGCAAATAGTTATTACTAGTTTAGAGGCAGCTAGAAAAAAAAAGGTTATCTAGCCTAAGACCTATAAGTGTGTTACTATTATCTAAGGCGTTAAAGCTATAAGTTACCTGCTTTTACTCTTTATTATCTTTACAGGCAGCGTGCTTATTAATACTTAGTTTAAAAACTTACTACGTAATTAGGTTCTTAAAGTTAGCTTTAATAGCTAGATAAATAACTAGCTTACTCTTGCCTAGTTAGAGCACTTTAATAAGCATATAAAGTTAAGCGCTATAGATGCGCACTAGCTACTTATAATTAATAGCTATAAAAGCTATAGCTTGCTTAAATTCTAGAATCTTTATAAGAAAAAGAAAGTTATCCTTTACTATATGCTTTTATACTTATTATATTTACTATAACTTTTAAATATTACTTACTTTGCGCTGTTAAAGCGTAAGTATAGTAACTATATATTAGGCTTAGCACGCAACTGCATACATTTTATTAGTAAAAAAACCTTTCTCTAAGTATTTAAGCTAGCTTTTAAATAGTTTTTAATAGTAGAAAATATTAAGGCAGGCTTTAAAGGAGCTAGGTTAGTCTTATATAACTTAAAAGCTATTTTATTAAAGCTTAATATAAGGTTGCAAACTCTAGCACTATTACTACTAAGGCAAGGCGCATAGAAAGCGTAGACACTATATAATGCGCGCAAGATTAAAGTGTAGTTTATACTTATTTAATAAAGGGTTTAAAACTATTATAAGTTCTTTATAAGCTTATTAAATAAAAAAATTAATTAGCTAAGTAAAGGCGTATAGTAGATTACACATAATATAGTATTATTATAAAAAGAACAAGCGTATATACAAAGCGCAATTAATAAGCTTATAAAGCGTTATTTAAGAAAACATAAGTATATTTAAACAAAGAAGACTCTAATAGTAGAGAAAGTATAAAACTTAATTACTAAGAAAGTAGGTAAAAAGTATAATACTAGTAAAAGGCTAGCGCGCAAGGTGCGCAGCGCAAGGCACTATAGATGTTATAGTAAAAAAAAACACAACTTTTACACCTATAAGGTAGAAATAGAAGATTCTAAAGATAGTAATAAGTTTAAAAAATAGATTAGCTTACTACTATTTTTAATAAGTGTGTTATTTATTGCGCGATTGTTGCGCGCAGGTAGTGCGCTAGTAGAAAGTAGGCAACTTGCTTAGGTGGGCGACTTGCTTGTAAAACACGTTATATATAGTAATAGTTTTAAATAAAAAAATTACTAAAATAATAAGTAATTTTTACTTTTACTTAAGCTTATTTAGCTAGTAAAAGTAAAAGGCACTTTTAAGTAGTAGCTAGTTTAAATTAAAATAGCTTAAAGCTTGTTTTAATTAAAGCTAGCGCTAAAAACTAGATTTTTTTTTACTATAAAAGTTTTTTTTAAAACTATAACTATTATTTGCTAGAACACTGCTAGAATAGTACTTTAAACTATAAATATTACTTATTTTAATATAAAAAATTTAAACTTTTATAATAATATAAAAAAGAAATGCTGCCTTTATACATAAAAGACTTTTTTTTTATTTTTATACTATAACTAATTCTATATAAAAGACATTTATTAACTTTATTAACTTTATTAACTTTATTAACTTTATTAACTTTATTAACTTTATTAACTTTATTAACTTTATTAACTTTATTAACTTTATTAACTTTATTAACTTTATTAACTTTATTAACTTTATTAACTTTATTAACTTTATTAACCTTATTAACTTTATTAACTTTATTAACTTTATTAAAATAGTAATTATTTTTATTAAACTAGACTTTTTTTATGTTCTCCTCTACTTAGTACTAATAATAATAGATACTTAAAGTATAAATAAAAGTAGCTAGCTTTACTGTTTTAGTATAAAAAAGCTTAAATTTTTAATAATATTACTTAAAGTGCAGTATCTAGTAGTGAGTAAAATAAAATAAAACTTTACTTTAAATTTAATTAAAAATAAACTACTTTATATATACTTATTTTATTTATTCTTTATTTATTTTTATTTTTTAAGTTAAAGTTTAAGTAATTTTATATATAGCAATAAGTTACAGTAATAAAAAGACTAAAAAATAAGTAATAACTAAAAAAAAAAGTTTTTACTTTTAATTAAGCATATTAAGCTTATAAAGTTAAAAAGCACCTTTTAGCACTAGCTAGTCTAAATTAAAATAGCTTAAAGCTTATTTTAATTAGGCACTAGCGCTAAAAACTAGCTTTTTTTTTATTATAAAAGTTTTCTTTAAAGCTATAACTACTATTTGCTAAAGCAGTGTTCTAAACTATAAATATTATTATTTTAAACTATAAATATTATTATTTTAAACTATAGATATTAGTTTTAATATAAATCTTTTTAATAAAAACTTATAGCAGAGAATGCTGCTGCTAATATATATAAAAAAAAAATTATTTTTATTTTTATGCTATAGCTAATTTTATATAAGAAATATTTATTAATTTTATTAACTTTATTTTTTTTTTATTTTTTTTTTATTTTTTTTAAGATAGAGTTAAGGTAATTCTACACACAGCAATAAGTAACAATAATAAATAAACTAAAATAATAAGTAATAACTAAAAAGACATGCAATTTTTGCCTTTACTTAAAGAAAGAATTAATAAGCACTTTTTAGTACTAGCCTTAATTAGGTACTAGCGCTAAAAGACTAGTTTTTTTACTTTATTTTTTTATTTTAAAATTAACTTTAAATTTTTAACTAACTACTATACTTAAAGTAGAATAGCACTATAACTACTACATGCTAAAAATAAAATCTAAATAAAATTCTAAACTAGAATACATAACAATATAAAAAAACTAGAATAAATATTTAAAATTTATAATAATACTAATACCTGCTATACTTTTATATATAAAAAACTTTTAAAATGTTTTAGCTTTATTTTTTTTATATTAGCTAATC